TCGACGTCAAAGTAGCTAATCTCTTAGAATAGTTTTCAATAAATCGCTTATAAAAATTACACATTCCTACGAACCGCTGTAAATCTTGAACTGTCTTAGGTCTAGGGAAATTCTGAACTTTGTTGACCAAACTTTCGTCTGTTCTGATTTCACCTTCGCCTACCACATACCCCAGGAAGTTAACGCGCTTCCTGAGGAACTCACATTTACCCGGGCTCGCATAGAGCTGTGCGTTTTTTAAGCGTCTGAAGACTTCTTCAAGATGCTTCAGGTGTTGCTCTTCCGACTCTGAGAAGACCAAGATGTCGTCCATATAGACGACAACGAAGTCATTCAATTTGCCCGGAAGAGCGAATTCATAATGGATTGGAAGGCTGCAGGCGCATTCGTCAAGCCGAATGGCATGCCCTTCATTGATAGTGCCCAGAGTCAGAGCTGAAAGCTGTCTTGGGTCTATCCTTCGGCGCTACCTGGATCTGATGGTAGCCCGAAGCCAGGTCGAGCTTACTGAATACACGAGCCTTGTATACTCGGTCCAGTAGCTCGTCGATCAAGGGCAATGGGTATTTGTTCTTGATCGTCTGTTCGTTGAGGCCGCGGTAGTCAATGCACATTCGCAGACTACCGTCCTTCTTCCTCACGAACAGAACTGGAGCGCCATAGGGCGAATTCGACGGCTCAATTCGTCCTGATTCTAGGAGCTTTTTGATTTGGCGCTCCAGCTCCTCCTTCTCCGGCAGCGACAGTCGATAGCGCGGCCTGTATACAGGCTCTGCACCTGGTTTCGTCTCGATTTCCAGGTAAGGCAGCTTGTAATCGTTTGGTAAGTCTGGCAACTCAGCCGGGAACAGCGCTGCATACTTCTCTAACAGCTTTTTTAGGTTCTTGTTTCCGTTACTGAGGTCATCCAAACTGACCCCGCGTCCTCTTTGACGGTAATCTTGAAGAGAACGAGCTCTTCAATCTCCTCTGCTCGCGCCAGCTGCTTGGTCATTGCCCGTTTCGACAGGCATTCGATCTGCACTGGCGCCAATCCAACTGCTTTTCGTCTGGGGCCTACTAATGGCACCCAGCTTTCTCCGACTCTGGCCTTCCCTTGGTCCAATTGGACTCCAAACTCGTTCCAAAAGGGAATGCCAAGGATGGCATCATGGCCGGAGTCCTGGTCGACGACGAAGAACGACTGACATGTCTCTTCGTTGCCGACGCGAATCGTCAGAGGGGCCTCTTCTCGTCTATGACGACGGTCTCCTCTGTCTTAACTGCCAATGCCACTGGCTTGGCCGGCATCTTCACCGTGGGCAGTTTCCATTGCTTCACGAAGTCCTTGGACACGATGTAACTTGCACATCCCGTGTCCAGGAGAGCCCTGCAGCTGTTCCCTTCAAGTTGTATCTCAATTTCTGGGACAGTTGCCACGGTAGGAGCATCAACTTTAAGTTGATAGCTCATTAATGGCTCCAATCCTCGGTCAACTTCCTTAATAGTTTCCATAGATTTAATTTCACCATTGTCACTCTCTGCCTTTTCCTTTTGCACAGTCGAATACTTAGAAAACAATTTCATTGCACTATCTACCTGACTATCCACTGCGTCTGAGGAAGCTTGTTTTGCTGTTGTAGCTCCCGTCGTCGGCTGCGAAGGTGGTGTTTCGCGTATGGAACCGTCGGGATAGACGTACATCACCTTGACTGGCAGCTTAGCAGTTTGACCAGCGGTGCAATTGCGCGCAATATGGCCAACCTTCTTGCAGCGGAAGCAACGACGCTGTAGGTACAGCTGCTCCAGCTCGCCTGTAAACCTTGGGCGCGGCGTGAATGCATCGATTTGCATTGGGTCGTATGACGTAGGGCTGGGCGCGGCGGTCCAGGATGGACTCACCACCGTTCGTCCACGACTTCTCTGCTCTTTCTTCTCCAGCTTAAAGGCTAACTTAATGCCTTCTTGCAGCGTTGTTGGGTCTAAGAGATCCAGCTGATCCTTGATGTTAGGCTTCGCTCCTCGGATCAGCTGCTGCAGCACGGTCTCGTCCGAGAGACCAAGGTAAGTTCTCAGCCGGGAGAGTTCTGTGATGAATTCCATCACCGAGCCAGTTTGTCGACATTCAGCGAACTTGTCGCTGATGTCTCTAACAGCATTTGCAGGGATAAAATTTTCCCTGATGGACTGCTTGAAGGTGTTCCAGGATACGGAACCATCCTTCAACTGCTGATAGACTTCTGGGTTACCGCAAACCCATTCTTCAGCAAAGCCTGTGAGGTAGCAGGCTGCAGTCCATGCACAACGTCTTTCCGAGACGCCGTGCGCGACGAGATAGCGCTCCATTGAGCGCAGCCAGGCTTCCACCGTTGGGAGATCCATTCGTCCGTCGTATTTGTCCGGACGAGGGACATGCAATCGCTCTTCCGCGAGCGAGAAAGTAAACTCCTGTTCCATAGGCAGCTAGTAATCCAAAAATCCTTTCCAAACTTCTTCTCTTCCTCGAGGTGAATCCTGTCGTAGCACCTCACACGTATCCGCCCGTGTTGGCAATCAAACAACTTTAACAAAAAAACTTAACCGAAACTTTTCCTTGCTTCTGATGGGTTTTCAGAAGCCTCGCAACCAAGTGTAAGACTCAGTCCGTAGGTCAGAATAAGATTAGTTTATTTTCTATAAAATCCAGCTATTTAAGACATTTTGACGCGACGCGTAAATGTAAACAAACGCGTCGCGTCGCGTCGCGCGTTAATGAATTAACGCGCGCGTGTCCCGGGAGTTCTGAAGGCCTTACTGCAGCTCGTTGCAGTTCGTTTGGGCGGCCTTGGGCTTGGTGGTGATCGCCCAGATTTAGGCTTTCGCCTAAATGAACCTTAATGCTTACAAATGGAGGATGTCACGTCGACATCCCCATTCTACAAGTCGGACGCCTCGTCCACCCGTCGCTACGACGTGTCGTGGGCAAAGGAACCTTGGAGCTACGATGGCAGAGGAGACCTGCCTACGCTCAACAGTTGGTTCCGGGCCGTTACGCGTTTCCTCCGGGCTCGCAGTATCCGATGTGATGGCGTCAGGCAGTCCGTGCAATCTGAAAACGTTGTTGACAAAGAGGTACGCGGTTTCTTCTGCCGTAATTGTCTTTTTACATGGCAAGATCATTACCATTTTTGTTAATCGGTCTACCACGACCAGCACCATATCGTTTCCGGTCTCCGGCGAAGTCTCGAACGGTCCACAAAAGTCCATAGATATTTCCTGCCACGGTCTGGCTGGGATACTCATCGGTTGAAGCAACCCTTGTGTTGCTCGATTTGCCGGCTTTGCGAGCTGGCATTCAGGACATGTTTTGACGAACTGCTGTACATCTTTAAACATTTTTGGCCAATAAAATGAGCGTGCCAACTTACCAAAAGTTCTGTCGGCGCCTGGATGTCCTGCAATTTGTAAGGCCGCATAGTGTAGTTTGCTCTAAACTCACTATGTGCCCTTGCGAAGGCTAGCGCGTTGCGCTAACCCAGACAGGCCTCTAGCCAACTCTAAGGAGTCGCGCTAGAGAGCCTTGCGCGCGCCAGCGCGCTACCCTAATTCCATAGGGTTATGCAGCCAGCTCTACTGAGCTGCGCTACAAGTCTAGGGAGTGCTACCGCACCTCCCTAAGGGAGTAGGCCACACAGCCAACTCCAAGGAGCTACGCTACAAGGCCTAGGGAGTGCTACCGCACTCCCCTAAGTGTGCACTGCACACTAGAACTCCACGCAGCGCTTACGGTGCTGCACTACGAAGCCGTAAGGCTTCAACAACGATTGCACATTAGTTCTCGCTAATGTGCAATATTATAAATAGCTAGAAATTAACGATAATATTCATACTTTATCTTAATCCTGAGCCTGGGCTTACACTTGGTTGCGAGGCTCATCAAATCAAGTATCATTGCCAGGAAAGAGAGGCGGAATCTCTTTTGGATTGCCAGACTTGGCGGAAGTGTTGACCGTTGTCAACGAGTTTTTTAAATTTTTTCTTGTGTTATATTTTTCTCCTACCTAGGATTTAGGCTTTCGCCTAAATGAACCTTAATGCTTACAAATGGAGGATGTCACGTCGACATCCCCATTCTACAAGTCGGACGCCTCGTCCACCCGTCGCTACGACGTGTCGTGGGCAAAGGAACCTTGGAGCTACGATGGCAGAGGAGACCTGCCTACGCTCAACAGTTGGTTCCGGGCCGTTACGCGTTTCCTCCGGGCTCGCAGGATCCCGAAGGAAGCACACGCGTTTACGGCCTACTACTTCTTGAAGGACGACGCTCAGGCTAGGGTCGATGCCGACGTCGAGCTCTACGAGGCTCTCTCCAACGATGAGATCTCGTGGAGTGAATTCCAGGAGCGTCTGAAGGAGTTCTTTATTCCTCCAGACGCCCTGATGCTCTACAGGCACAGGTTCCTTGACTGCCACCAAACGGGCACAGTCAATGAATTTGTGTCTGCCCTCCTCCGGTTCCAGACCATCTTGTCGTTAGACAATGATGCGGTCAAGGACCAATTGATTCGTGGGTGCAAGCCCCGAGTCAGAATGAACCTCCGGTCGTTCAACCCGGCCACGCTGGGCGATGCAATCCGCATTGCTTACGCAGCCGAGGATGACAACAGCACGCCGAATTACTGCTGGACAAGCTACGCGTCCGGCAGTAGCGCACGAAAGGAAGAACCACCAAGCGACCCAATGCTGGTGGACGCGTTAAAAGTTTTGCGCGCTTCCTCGGGCGATGTGTTCACCTTGTTTCGCGAAGGCCGTTGTTTCCGCTGCCGCGAAAAAGGACACATCGCCAAGAACTGTTCCAAAGGCAAGCCCAAGAAACCAAGGGCGAAGCCAGTTGCGAGGGTCAATGCAGCTACAGTTTCTTCTTCAGAGGATGTAGACCCAGTTGACCAACTAGTTAGAGACTTAGGTGAGAAAATAAAATCTTATTTACGATCCTATTCTACTAGCAGCAGTAACAGTTTGGATGTGTGCGCAACAATGGTTCAGGAAGGGGCAGAAGAGCATGAGGAAGAGGAAGAGGCAGTAGACTTGGCTTCAAAAATACTGGAAGCAGCTCGCAGTGTGTTCGCAGAACACAAAGAGGAAACAGGATTGCCGGCTGAAGTACTGGACGCCGCGCAGAGAGCCTTCCAGGCAAAAGAGGAAGAGCTGGGAATACCAGCAGACGTTCTGAGGGCCGCAAGCAAGGCCTTCGAAGACGAAACAGACTCGCACCATAGCTTTAACGAGTCTGATTGGGGCCCAGAGCCCGAAAAGGAAGAAGAATTAGGGTCGTCAGAGAGTGAGGACGACACGGACGAGATTTTCCTGGAAGCGGCGGACTTCTCTGAGGACGAAGAGGAGTTCACAGAAGCGGAGGACATCCCAAGACCGGTGTCTTGTGGCCAGCTGACAGTATTTCCCCCGGCAGTGTCTTCACCGCCGCAGGTCGACTGCCAGTTGGACGGGCACAAGAGCCGCGTCCTCCTGGATACTGGCTGTGCAACATATGTAATGTCGCACAGCTTTGCCGAGCAATGTGGACTTGGTCTGGTGCCGACAAAGCAACAGCAAGTCCACCTCGCTGCTAAAACAAAGGAGAGGGTTCTGATCACACATCAGACCCTCCCAGTTAAAGTCAGAATCGGAGACGAAGAAACAACTCAGTGCTTCTTCGTCCTCGATCAGCACTCGGGCTACGATGCCATTCTTGGAATCCCCTTCTGGAACGAGTTCAACGTCCAGATAGAGGGCTCCAAGGCCCGAGTCGGCAGAGCGCTGGTTCCCCTAGTGGAACCAGACAAGAAGAAAGTATCCGCGGCACCAATTGAGATCCTCTGCCTGTCGAAACGGGCGATGAGGAAACAATTGGCCCGCCCAGAGGAGGTTGAAGAGTTGATACTCTTCACCGTTAGCGTCGCTGAGGACGGGACCGTGTCCCTGGAAGACCTCAGCGACGGAAATCCTAAATTGTTAGCGGTGTTAGAAAAGAACAAGGACGTTTTACCGGCTGTCCTGCCGCCGTTACCTGTGGAGACAAAGCTCCCGTACTTGCACATCGAAACTGTGCCGGGAGCTCAGCCTGTTCATCGCCCCAGGTACAGGATGTCCTGGGCGGAAACGCAAGAGTTGGAGCGCCAGATCAAAGATTGATCAAGGCAGGGCGAATTGAGCCGTCCACGTCGCCCTACGGCGCTCCTGTCCTGTTTGTTAAAAAGAGGACGGCAGTCTACGCATGTGCATAGACTACCGTGGCCTTAATGAGCAGACAATCAGGAACAAATATCCTTTGCCCCTGATTGACGAGTTGCTGGACCGTGTTTACCGGGCACGAGTCTTCAGCAAACTCGATTTGGCCTCGGGCTACCATCAGATCCAGGTAGCGCCCGAGGATCGCCCAAAGACAGCATTCAGCTCGTCCTTGGGGCATTATCAATGGAAAGGCATGCCGTTCGGTTTAACAAACGCCCCGGCCGCCTTCCAATCGATAATGAATGACCTCTTCCGAGACCTTTTGAACAAGTACGTGGTCGTCTACATGGACGACATCCTTGTTTTCTCGGAAACAGAAGAGGTCCACTTGAAGCACCTCAATGAGGTCTTCAAGCGTTTAAGAGACGCCGGGCTCTATGCGAGCCCGAAGAAGTGTGAATTCCTCAGGAAGCGCGTCAACTTCCTGGGGTATGTGGTTGGTGAAGGAGGATTCGCACCGACGAAAGCTTAATTTCAAAGGTGCGACAATTTCCGAGACCAAAAACAATACAGGATTTACAACGTTTTGTAGGAATGTGCAATTTTTACAAGCGTTTTATTAAAAACTATTCTGGAATGGTTGCGACTTTGACGTCGAGGGCGGGTTCCTCGAAGTCCAACCGAAATACAAGACCGGTCCAGTGGGACGAGGTCTGTGAAAAAGAGTTTCTTGAGGCCAAACGCGCTTTGACAACGGCGCCGTGCCTCCGAATTCCTGACCCGCACGGGAAATTCGAAGTCTTCACTGATGCGTCCGAAAACGCAAAAGCGATAGGAGCAGTACTGATGCAGAATGGGCATCCCTGCGCCTACGAATCGAAGAAATTGAGCAAAGCTGAGCTCAATTACCCGATTCGAGACAAAGAACTCCTGCAATTGTGCATGCGGTATCCAAATGGAGGCCGTTCCTCGTGGCTCAACCATTTGTGGTTCACTCTGACCACAAGTCGTTGAAGGATTTCATGTCCCAGAAGGCAGTGGAGGGCAGGTTGGCAAGGTGGAGGGAAAAGCTAGATCAATTTCCAATCGAAATTGTCTATACTCCTGGCACCGAAAACCCTGTCGCCGATGCCCTCTCTAGGATAGAAATAAAATTCCTATGCCCAATTACCGAGGAGGACGAGAAAGCAGTATTGCGAGCGTCCTATGCAGAGAACGAGGATTGGAAGACGCGATTGGAGGAACTACAAGCAAAGGAGGACGATTGGGTGCCCGGAGACAAAGATCGATTCACTATGGAAGACGGTCTACTCTATTACAGGAACAATTCGGACTTGCCTTGGCGATTGTGTATTAGTGACGAGTCTACGAAGCTAAAACTAATCCATGATCATCATAGCAGCCCAATTGCAGGCCACCCGGGCGTCGAGAGGACATATGCGAAACTTGCACGGGCATTCTACTGGCCCAAGATGCTTCGAGATGTCCAGCGGTACACGCGAGAGTGCTTGGAGTGCCAGCTCTCGAAGCCAGCAACAGGATTGACGCAAGGGCTACTCCAGCCAATGTCAATTCCAACGAGGCCGTGGCAGGAATCGCAATGGATTTCATCACGGGCCTCCCAGCAGCAGTTCCAAGCGGTAACGACACAATCCTGGTCGTTACAGATCGCCTCACCAAGATGACAACACTCCTGCCGTGTAAAGAGACCATCACGGCGGAGCAGACAGCAGACCTGTTTGTTAAAGGAGTATTCCGACTCCATGGCTTGCCAGACACGATCACTTCGGACAGGGACCCGCGATTCGTGTCCAATTTCTGGCAAGCATTACACAAATCAATGGGTACACGCCTCAAAATGTCAACGGCAGCGCACCCTCAGACGGACGGACAGTCTGAACGGACGATCAGGACGGTCCAGCAGATGTTGAAGCCGTTCACGCTTCAAAACAAGAGCAGCTGGGAGTCCCTCCTTGCTCTAATCGAATTTGCTTACAATGACTCAGTCCATTCTTCAATTGGCGTTACTCCATTTCAAGCCAACTATGGCTTTAGTCCCACAGGCATTGCACGCCAAGCGATTAGTAACATTCCGGCATCAGGAGAATATCTCCAGTGCCTTAATGATACTATTCACCAGGCGCGCGATGCAATGCAAAGGGCCCAGGAACAACAGGAGAAACAGGCCAACAAAAGAAGGACTGACCCAGAAGAAGCAATGGAGCCGGGACGTTATGCCTACGTCCGGCGAAAAAACAACGAGAAACGGAAGCTGGGGCGTCTATATGACGGCCCCTTTAAAATATTGAAGATTGGAGGCAATGCAGTTGAATTGCAATTGCCTCCAGATTCCAAGGCGCACCGAGTGTTTAACATCGGCCGCCTGAAGCTCCACCACGGGCCACCTCCAGCGTATGCAATCCGGGACGCTGATGAGGTGGCCGAGCAAACCTATGAAGTTGAGGAATTGTTAGCACACGCGATCCACGGCTCAAGGAGGTCTTACCTGGTTCGGTGGGTTGGCTACACCGAAGACGATGATGTTTGGGAGCCCGAGGAGCACATCGACTCGGGCACAGTGGAGCGGTATTGGCGACGTGTGCGGGCGCGACAAATTGACGTGCCCTCGTGGGCGCCCCCGCCAGGCTCCCTCCACCATGGAGACTGATCCCACTGACGCTGTGGGGGTGACCTCAGTTAGAGGTGAGAGAGTGTAAGGCCGCATAGTGTAGTTTGCTCTAAACTCACTATGTGCCCTTGCGAAGGCTAGCGCGTTGCGCTAACCCAGACAGGCCTCTAGCCAACTCTAAGGAGTCGCGCTAGAGAGCCTTGCGCGCGCCAGCGCGCTACCCTAATTCCATAGGGTTATGCAGCCAGCTCTACTGAGCTGCGCTACAAGTCTAGGGAGTGCTACCGCACCTCCCTAAGGGAGTAGGCCACACAGCCAACTCCAAGGAGCTACGCTACAAGGCCTAGGGAGTGCTACCGCACTCCCCTAAGTGTGCACTGCACACTAGAACTCCACGCAGCGCTTACGGTGCTGCACTACGAAGCCGTAAGGCTTCAACAACGATTGCACATTAGTTCTCGCTAATGTGCAATATTATAAATAGCTAGAAATTAACAATAATATTCATACTTAATCTTACTACAGAGCCTGGGCTTACAGTTTACGTTTACGTGTTGCGCGTTTTCATTAACGCGCAGCTTAACGTGGAGGCCGTAGGCCTCCGTAAGCGCTGTCCGTTGGCAGCGTTCTTGGTGTTGCTCCCTCTGGGGAGTAAGGGTGACGCACATTCGCTTAGTAATAAGCTTAATGTGTTACAGTGTCCACGATGTTTGTAAGGAGCACTGTCCTCGTGTTCAACGTCGAACGGGGGGATCGTCCCTTCGACGTCTTCCATAGGTTCTGGCATCTCGACGCACAGAAAAAACTTTAGGTAGGAGATTTAACACAAAAAATAAAATTTCCGATTAACGAAAATTTCTAAAACACAGTTGACTACCGGTCAACACTTCCGCCAAAGGTTTGGCAACACTGGGAGAGATTCCGCTTCTCTTCTGAGCTGTTGATACTTGGTCTTTTTGAGCCTCGCAACCAAGTGTAAGCCCAGGCTCAGGATTAAGATAAAGTATCAATATTATTACTGTTTTCTAGCTATTTATAATATTGCACATTAGCGAGAACTAATGTGCAATCGTTGTAGCACTCCCTAGGCCTCGTAGCGTAGCTCCTTGGAGTTGGCTGTGTGGCCTACTCCCTTAGGGAAGTGCGGTAGCACTCCCTAGACTTGTAGCGCAGCTCAGTAGAGCTGGCTGCATAACCCTATGGAATTAGGGTAGCGCGCTGGCGCGCGCAAGGCTCTCTAGCGCGACTCCTTAGAGTTAGCTAGAGGCCTGTGCCGGTTAGTGCAACGCGCTAGCCTTCGCAAGGGCACATAGCGAGTTTAGAGCAAACTACGCTATGCGGCTTTACACAATCTTACCGTGGGCGTTCATAGCGCGGCGCAGCGCGGTGTGATGGAAACAGCTCTTCGAAAGTAGTACGGGTCGGTCTTTTGATAGCGTATTTCAAAAATTTTGTAGTGTTACAAAATTGATCATATCCCCCCCCCCCCCCGGAACTGAGCCTGACTTCTACTGGCTTAAGCTTCGAATCATATCAAACGCTCTGCTCCTGTGCAATATAAGTACGGGTCAGACCGAAGTATTTTTTGGATTGAAGCTGAAAGTATGTTAATTTATGAACTTATAAGCCTTTGTTAAGTCAGGCGGTAAGATACCGTGCTGGCACAGTAAACGTCGCAAAGTAAAGTAATGACTTTTGAAAAATCGGTTCATTGTTAAATATAAACAAATGCTCTTCTTAAAGTTTTGTGCAAAAATAGCTTTTAACTTTAAACGCTTCGATTGCTTGTAAGAGGAATCTTAATGACTCGTATTTATTGTAACTATTCATACTGTTCGGTAAAACCCGTTACAAAGCTATGTTAATGTATTGCCCGTTTTCATTAACGTTGCCTGTAGGCAGTATTCTTGGTGGTGCGCTCGCAGTGAGTAAGAGTAACGTACACTCGCTAAGTTAAAAGCTCAATGTGTTATACAATCGCTGCGGAAGACCTATTTAGAACTCTTTCACAAATTTTGTTTATACTTACTTTAATGTTAGTAGCATTTATTAATTTATTTAGAGTAAGCTTGATTTTATAGAAGCTAATCAAGTGGGATTGGAATGTTTATATTATGGGCACATTTTGTGGATGAGGTCGAATAGAGTAGCACAGTTAAAAATCTAAGCAAAGACTAATTAGCGTACTAATAAATTAAATGTATCACTATGTCGTTCATTCCAAAACTGCTTCAACAATTATATTTCAACACATACACTTGAATCACAGTCAAAAAATGTCGAAGTTTTATCACAAGTCGCAGCTAGCGTTCAGCCAAGTTTAAGTACTCCTTTTTATTCTTAAATTTAAGCATTATCATATTGATCGCAAGACCGTTATCTTTTTTAATATTATTAATTAAATGTTAAAAATGTCAGTTTAGTCACAATAACGTTTAAAGTTTACCATGAATAGTTAACGCATAAATTGAGTTATTTCTGTGTGAATACTTGTCATTTTTGCCATCATTTGCTTAAATTACTTAAGAAATGATATAATCCAATCAAGAGTAATGGCGAGTGTTATAGCATAACCCATTTTTGAATTTTGTTTAAACCAATGCATACAGTTTTTAGGTGAATTGAGATTAACATTAAAAATCATCAGTAGCGTTGATATGTATGAACCGCATACTCCAAGTAAGTAAAATATTGGGCCCTGGTGATTAGCCATTCCTGCAAACGATAGAAATACATATTGAATTGAAGCTAGTAAAAAAAGAACTGGCTTCGTTCGTTTTCCAAACTTGAGAGCGGTGGAATAAATACCAGCATGAACATCGTCAAGTTTATCTTGATGTGCGTAAATGGTATCATACATAATTACCCAGAAAACAGAGCTTAGGTATAATGGTGCTACGACGGGCCAAAACATGGCATCAGCACCAACTAAAGCGGGCCAACCCATGAGAGCACCGTAACTGAAAGTTAAACCAAGAAAAGCTTGTGGATAATACGTAAACCGTTTAAAAGAAGGATAAAGCGAAACAGGAAGTAATGAAAGGACCCCTAACTTCACCGTGTAAGAGTTTAAACTGCACAATATAATGAGAGCAGTAGATAATTGAACACCCAGTAGCCCCAGAGCTTCAGGAACACCAACCTTTCCATTTGCAAGTGGTCTATTGGAACTCCTTCGAACTTTGGCATCCAGCTTCCTATCCCATAAATCATTAATCACGCATCCTGCACTACGCATAACAAAGGAACCGAGAGCAAATATAGTCAATACTTTAACAGTGGAAAATATCGGAACTTTAATGGAATACGCCGCCATAAGAATTGACCAGGTACAGGGACAATAGAGCAATATAGTCCCTACGGGCGCATGCACTCTTGATAATGATCCATATGTTTTGATTTTCTCAAACAAAGCTGTCCTTTTTTCCTTGGTCTTGCTTCTTACGCCGTTACACCGTTGATCGCTTGTTTCGCTTGACGAGTAGTTCCTGTAACTTGTAGTATGTAGATGTCCTATTAATACTTTGTAAGCGTTATTTCTTAACAGAAATTGTCGAGAAAACCGAAATACACAGAACCCCCTCCAAATCATATTATATATATTATATTTATTTCAATTCGAAGAATTTGTACGTCACAGTAAAAGAATAGAAACAGTTTTTGGAGATAGGTCTTTAAATCCACCTTTATTCAGTGGTTGTCTCGTTTTGGTACCTTTCCCAGTGTCGTGGTCACATAAATTTAACAAAGAGCTGAAAAGAAACTTACTTTATAGATTTGACATATCCAATAAATTAGCTTGAGGATGACGGATAATAGCCTCCTACTTAGCAATTAGTAATTATTACTAAGTACTTCTAAGTAAGTAAATGAAACTCTACTAATGTTGCTTATAATTATTAAGGAAACAGTATATACGAATTATTTCCAAATAGGAATTACCACATAAAGCGTTGAACTACATCTGGCTCTGAATCCCAGTAAAACTGCTTATAAACATAAATCAGTACAGTTAGAGTATTAACGGAAAAGAAGACAAGAAATTGTAATGCATTCTTCTTTAAACTCTGAACTTTAATAATGCTGGCATAGATTATAGTTGGCAAAATGAAATAACGTAATTCCAATAAGGGCGAAGGGATTAGCGGGAGCACGAGAGCTAAAATCAAAGCAAAAGCGTCAAGCAAATTGAGTTGCACATAAACAAACCACCATAAGAACCAATAACCAAAAACATATACAGGCATTATAGCATATCTTGTCCACCAAGCTCGAGCAATGGTTTTCCGCCATATGTAAAAGACATAGTGTCTATTGTCCGCGAGCAGAAAGGGATGAGCATATCTAATGTAACGATTAGTACCAGTTATACTTACCAGACTTCTTACGTGTTTAGTTTGGCTATTAACAATAACAGGCAGCCCAAACAGCATGAGCTAATATAATAGTTAATTGATTTTGGCATAGTTTTTAACATCCTCAACATGACAGGGAGTAGATGAAATTCAGCTACTATAAAGAATGCAACATAGTAGTTCAACTGAGAAAAATGAATCATTGCTTGGTGATGGGATTTATCACCCAGAACAATTGAGCCGTTCCAAAACAGAAAAGTGGCAGAGAAAAGAAACACAAGCGCATAACCATATAATTCCCTAATAATCCTTTTGAAATGGTAATAACAGGTAGATAGTAATGATAAGAGCGACAAAATAACATTTGAAAACGTGATATCAATCATCTTGGGATTGTAAAAACTAAAAGATCGTGAAAAATATACAATTGCATTGGTTAATGCCCATATAACGTTTGTCTGACGAAAAAAGAGAGATAAAAAACTTATAAAAGCACTTAGTTGAGGCCGTTGGCGAAGTGCGAGTGAGAACGAAAGCAATACCAATACCGTGCTCCATGTATCGGTATAATACAATCCCGAAACAAACCATAATGGAGGCAAGGAACACATTGAAAGAGTTCGCATGATCAATGCATTATTGGATGATTGAGGATGTAGTTGTTTGAGGATATCGAATAGCACTACAGGTGCAATAAGAACAAGAGCAGCGGCGTTAACAAAGCGTAACGCTCCGACACTGCATCCCAAGATGGGACTTAAGACCAACGACAACAGGTAAAGACCAGGCGGTGTAGTAATAGCAGGGTCCCAGTCCCAATTGCCCCTACAATAATGCTGAGCCTGCCGAACATGAAATATTTCATCCATATAAGGTTGAGGATTCTTTAAATTCATGAAATAAAATAGCAAGGTAGTACCAAGAAAGAAACATATTGCAGCTAGCGCTGTTGGACCATTGCGTTTAAATGCAAATGCCATGTGTGCTAACCAGAAATGAAGGTTGGAACGAAGGAATAACAAGTTTAAAACACCGAATAATTTATTCGTGTAAAGTATGCTTTCCTTATATAAATATGGACACACACTTTTTTCTTCTGAAGTATATTTGCTCCGCCAAAAAAGAAATGAATTATCACTTGTATACGTTGATACCCAAGGACTTAGAATCAATCAGTATGACAATATTCAAGTTGTTACCAGAAACTTTCGATATTTGACAAGAAAGGACGACACTCAAATTCAGATACTACTTCATATCAGCAAATAGTTCCTAGTGTAAGAGCTGTATAACACGGAAGCATACCAATAAAATATGTTAAATGAAATTTCGCACAATCCAAAAATAACGTATATTTTATCTTTTCTTAAAATTACATACGTAAGTTATGTAAATTGAACCGAAAAAAATGGAAAAAATGGACGAAGTTTTATAAAATTTCCTATTGTTTGTCGGATATTGTTTGTGAATATTTCCGTGCTGTCGAGAGGAAAACGCTTTCGTTACGACACACCAAATATGTCAGTGACAATATACTTTTGGTACCTGTTCATACATTTAATATTTGCATTTCTTGTTGATTTACCCGTTGGAGAGTGGTTAGGGCCTTATTTTCATTTTTTATCTGGCCTCAGATATGCTTACTTGAAACAATTCCGAGACCCCATCCTCCTTGAGGAGGCAGCCTGGAAACGAAGTTTTTTTCTTTCAGAAGCCTTTATTCAGATACCATTTTTGTTTTGGGCATCTTACCAGCTTTACAAGCTCTTATACGTTGAGGCTTGTTCCGCAACTGTTAAGTTAAAGAATGAAGTGCCCACTGATGAAAATAAGACAAGTATCACTTCAAAAGCATTATTAGCAAAATACGACTTCTCCGTTGAAACTCTTTTTAACAACAATGTACATCTGATACTCGGTATTCTTATTTACTCTGTCCACTCAGGAACAACGACAATTGCGTGTATTGCCGAGCTGTTGGAACGTCAGCAATGGACAATTGTTTGCTTTTATGCACCATACGTAATTGTGCCTCTGTGGATGACTGTCGATACCTCGAAGCGAATTCTATTGTTGACAAATCGCCGCACCAATGCCAGCTCAGTAGCCGCCTCCAGACAGAACGTACTTTCAACCACTCACACTGACTAAGCACTCAAAACTGTATTATTCTGCTCGGGAGCTAAATAAGAAGCTCTGTATACTTAAAAACCCCCATTACCTATAAAAAAAACCTGTAATTCGAGGCATTCTGTTTCTAAGAACATGCTACAAGTACCCTCTGCTGAGACTGTTCGACAGACGCTGTTAGCCAACCCCGAACTGTTGCAACGCGTTCAAAGCATGTTCCCACAACTCGCACAAGCCGTTCGCAGTCCTAGTGCCTTTGAGCAAGCTTGGCTCTCCATAAATCCGGCGAGCTTCTTTACTTCTGCGTCTCTTAACAACTCAAGTATGCAGTTTTCTTCTGAAGTCGTAAGTCTACATAACATTTAATGACAAATGGCTCTTTTAATAGTATTTACTATTAACCTTACATAGGCTGATGAAGACCTTATGGCTGTTGCTGTGCAACAACGCATTGAAGAACAGATCCGCCAAGACGCGATTGCAGAGAATATGCAAACCGCTTTAGAAAATCACCCAGAGACGTTCACGCAGGTTCCTATGCTCTACGTACCTGTAGAAGTGAACGGACAACCGGTGAAAGCATTTGTGGATTCAGGTGCTCAAGCGACTATAGGTACGTCTTAAACTGCTTCCGAGCGTGTTGCCTTATTGAAACTAGTTCACTGACACTGTTGTCATAGCTTCTTCAGACTGTATTCGTCGATGCAAGTACGTATTTAACTGTGGCTATCGCCACGTTTTCTCCTAAATGAAGCTAAACATTTCAACTAGTCTCACGCATCTCATTGACAAGCGCTTTTCCGGTGTCGCCCGGGGAGTTGGCACTGCAAAAATTGTGGGTGTGATTCATAGCGCACCTTTGAAAATCGGGAAACTTTTCTTACCTTGCAAATTTACCGTCTTAGAACAACAAGATGTCGATCTACTATTGGGATTGGATATGCTGCGTCGTTATCAAGCATGCATTGACCTAAACGAAAATGTTCTTTGCTTTCACAGTGAACGAATTCCCTTCTTGCCCGAGTCAGAGATTCCGAAGGCGAAACCCATCGTCAGTTCGGGAATTGACGTCCAAACACCTAATAACGCTAGCAACTCTTTAGATTTGGGATCAGCGGTTCCTACCAATTCCGTTCCGGGGACTTCCAAACCCTCTGCGCCCTCGCAAAGCATTCTAGCCAAGCTGGACCAGCTCGTCGCTATGGGTTTTGATCGTGGTGAAGCTGCTCAAGCTTTGGAAGCTGCAAATGGCGACGCGGAGATTGCTGCTTCGTTCCTCCTGTAAGGCAAACGACTTTAGTACTTACGATCGCATAATACGACCCCACTGGCAATCCTGGTACGAAGTAATGAATACCAACGCGAACAGAATTTTTACGCCCCCAAGGGACCTACAATAGGCTCCTCTGACAACTGGCCCGCCCGAAACCCCACCTCACCTCAATCACACACAAACACGAGCATCCCAAATCATTTAAAATCTTTGTCTTCTATGACTAGCCTATTGCCTAGTAGAAGAAGCCCAAGATTTTACCACCAGTGTTCTTGGCACGGGCCTCATTGTGAGACATGATACCACGGGAGGTGGTCAAGACGACAACACCGACTTGACGAGAAGGCAGAAGTTGACTGACCCACTTCTCCATATCCTTGAGCTTGATGTTGAAGCGAGGAGAAATGACACCACACTTGTTGATACGGCCGTTCAGTTGGATGACAATCTTGCCAGAACGGTGGTCGTCAATCTCCTCAAACTCGCCAATGTAACCGTTTTGTTGCATGACGGTCAAGAACTTGACAATAACCTTGGAGGAAGGACGAACAATCACTTGACGACGTCCACGACGCTCAGCATTGACGATGTTGTTAAGACAGTCAGAGAGGACAGATTGACGGACCATTTTTGCTGGTTGGTTTTGGGTAAGGTGCTTGTGTTGTCACAGTATTTTTGGTGTCGATGAATTAGAAAAGCAGTCACAATTGGACTCACCAAAATACCAATTCTTGAGCATGTGGGGGAATTGGGTTTTGATGGCGGTGAAAGACCAAAACCCCCACTGATCCACCAAGGGTATTGCAAACGCGCTCAATCGCCCTCTGTAGACGACGCGAGCAGCTCCTACGCAGCCATTATCGTTCATCGACATGCAATTCTGTCCCACGTGCGGTAATCATCTCATAGTGTCTGTGGACGAGAACGGCACAAACACGTTTGACTGTCGAACGTGTCCGTATCGTTTTCCGATTTCCATTTTGATGTACCACCGCCATGAATTTGCTCAAAAACAAGTTGACGATGTTCTCGGTGGCAAAGAAGCTTGGGAATCTAACCAACAAACCGACATTCCTTGTGAGAATAAGAATTGCGACAACAGACGGGCTTACTTCTTCCAATTACAAATTCGCAGTGCTGATGAACCTATGAGTACCTTCTATCGTTGTACAGAGTGCGGTTATCAATGGAGAGAAAATTGATTTGCTTTGACACGAACTTTTGAGTAATAGGGTTCTGCATTAATGAGGGTTGGACATGTACGGCGTTGCTGGGTTGCTTCAAAGTGGTGTACAACGTTGGCGTGATGTGATTAAATTTACTGTTGAGTGAATGAAAATACTTACAGGGCTTTCGTTAGCAGGTTGAGACAGAAGACAGGCCTGAAAATTATTCGACTGTAGCATTTCACTTCAGCGAACTTGAGACTAACACGTTAAAACACAATAAACCTGCCGTGTGTAAGTACTAAACTCGGGTTTCCGAGATTTAAGAATCCTTTTGACAATTTTTAAACGTAATCTCGCAGGAAGCCGTGCGAAACAATGAATGCTTTTAAGCAAAAACGAGTGTAGAACGGTAAGGGGTACGGAGGAAACAGAACACAGATACACGAATGCGTATGTGGTGGAATGAGAGAGATAAATCAAATCTAAGAGATGTAAATAACGCTTACGCGCAACCGAAGCGCAATCCAACAGTGAAGAAAGGCGTTTGCGAGTTTAGAATTACGGCTGACGTTCCCACATTTGAAGCTTCGTAATAACAGACTCACCGGTGTTGCGCACACACTTGTGTTTCACGCGAGACTGGCCAGTCCACTGCTTTATTTGTGAAGCATTGCTTATTTTAGACCACTCACTGCTATGCTCAAGCAAAGGCAACGAGTGAGAAAGTTTACAAGCCGCAAAACGACTGGACAAGCAGCCTTCCTCATCTGTAACAGTGATTATCCGTTTCGTACAACGAAATAGCATTCCGAGAGTCAGAAGTCTACAGTCTCCCATGATATGTATACGTGATACTATGGACTCTTGTGTTTGAAGAAAGACTAATGCATCTTCGAAGGAGCCAACGATGTGGGCAGATGTACCAGCAATTAGCTGCCTATATTCATCGATTTTAGGAAGACTGCTAACGATGACACACAAAACATTAGCACCCAACACATCCCGAAACTTCAGGTAAGTTTCGACGTTGGTAATTAGTGCATTAACTTTAGCACGATTCGTATGCGTCACAATGCGACCGAGTAGTTGGCGCTCGACAGAGTCGTTAGCCGATCGCCCTGCACCAGCCGACCCAAGGGAAGGGACAATGAGCGAAATATTCTTGTTTATCCGCGGCCATTTCTTGCGCGAAAAAAAATAGATGAAGGCGGCGACAGGATCGACGTAAGCCTGGGGAGCAGGAATCTCATGGCTCGCGGAATGCATAATTACATGGGCACCCTTACATGCACGGATCAACCGTTCAGAAGAAGCTGTGGGTAACACCGTATCATATTTGCCGATGAGATGCAATGTTGGAATTTCAAGAGTCATAGACGTACAAAAGCCATCAATGGCGAGAGGACGGCAGTAGCCCGAACAGAAGACGGCAAACATAAACGGCTTCTGGTTGAAATATTCCTGGTACTTTGGAATTGTGACTAGTGAAGCCAAATTAAATCCGAGGTTCGTTCCCTGCGAGAAAGTGATTAACCCATCAAACGGACCGTGCTCTTGCATATAAGCAGACAAATGCTTCCACGCCAACTTTGGTTCCAAAACATCATCGTAAAAGGTGGAAATCAACCACCAGCCATAAAAATTCGAACACAGCGTCTCTGTGTTCTGCAGACGCACAGACTCTGTAGCAGAGGTGGAATTGTTCACGTGTGTTAAATTGATGGGTCCATTAGGGAAGTAGAAATCCGCAAAATCGTTCATGCGTTCGCGCAATGCGCGTAGTTTCACCGAGAAAAGCTCGCCCGACTGCTCATACCCATGCAGACACAGTATCTTGATACGACGCTGTGGATTTGTGGGGGCAGTTTCCATGGTGTGAGCAACTGCAGAGTGGGGTACGAATGTGGGGTCAGGACCAGACAACGAATCAAAGGTTCTTACCACACTGTTCAGTGAAAGAAAGCCGACGTGCCCGAGAGTCACCGAGGGCAAAGACCGTTTAAGACCGCCTGGTGGCCGGGTGTATTTACTTTATTTATATCAACCCCACACCCAACAGTTTAGATCACACGATAAGCATAACCAACCGCGTACAGTTGGAAAAACCCTAGGAGTAATGAACGACGTGTGATCCGCAATCCCCGCTAGTCATTGGGCAAATAGTTATTAAGGGAACAATGCGTTTATGTTAAGTAAGCAGAAAATGCGCTTGGGCACATCCTCACAATTCTTCAAGATTCACAAGCGGTGACCAAAGTTGAGTGCGCATTCACGCTTCACCGTATTTGTGATAATGAGTGGCAGGCACAATGCCCAACATTCATCTTGTTCGTTATTCAGAGGCTTCCTCGCACGCCACGTGTGGTGATTAAGCTGATGTTCACCTTTGAAACAAGGTTACCGACGTCCAACAATCCCATGAGTTCCCCACTTTTTACCACCACGTTTAACGCGTCTTGGCGTGCCCGGGCCCTGAAACGTAAATGCTCATTCGTCCACACGTGCAGTCGACAGCTCGTAGCTAACAAACCAAAAAAATCTATAATGTAAACTATTTACATCAAATCCACGTCAGCCCCGGCAATCAAAGGAACAGTCGGGACAGAAACAATTCTGGACGCAGCCTGGAGGGCAGGAGTGTTAGGGTCACCAAGTGATAAACGAAAACGTGGGGCGGAGAAATGAGCTTATGTAACAGCAAGCAAAAAACTCATGACCCTGCTTCCATTCAACGGCTCGTCCTGCCACTCAGTCACTTTGCCTCTTTACTCCTTATACAAAAGTGTGGGGACATTCCAACGGAAGCAAGTAGGCTCATCAAAAGTGTTATGCTCGTAGCCGAGCTCACCAATGGCACCAGCATCGAGCATGAAAGCGCGACCCTTGGGTAAAGGAAGCTCAATCCAACGAGCAGCCAAACCACGAAGGGCATGACCATGGGCGACAACGAGGATGTTGCCATCGACATCCTTGTCTACGGAATCCATTTGGATGCTACGGCACTTGGCAACAATACGGTCAAGACGTTGGCAAACCTGCTCAGGCGACTCACCGTTCGTGCAGCCGTTCTTCCAGATTTCCCACTCACCAGAAGGCTGGAGCTTACGAATCTCACTAGTAAGAAGACCCTCATAGTCGCCATAATCCCACTCGGCGATGTCGGCGTCTACATCAACGGGAACGCTGGGATCGATGCCAAGCAACTCAAGAGTACGGCGAGCACGCTGCAGCGGGGAAACGATAATACGACACAGCTTATTGGTGTCGATTAGCTTGCCGGGACCGACAAAGTGTTTCGTGTGCTTCACAATGAGATCCTCACCAACCTTGGCCAAGGGGATATCAGTGCTGCCAGTATGTTGACCCGTAAGGGACCACTCAGTCTACCGGTGTTAGCATGATACATACAGCAAGGAATGCTTGCAAATCATTAAGAGAAACACGACCCCTTACAGCGACCGCGCTACCACTGAGACAAAAAAAGCGAAAAGGTGGGGCAGGTTTCCATCATAAGTTTCTAATATACCGACTTCCTTGCAATAGCTTTATTTGTTCCGCAATAGTCGCCGTGGACTCGTGCTCTCCAACATATGTCTCTTACCTCACCGTGACGAATAACAAAGACTCTGCGTTTTCCAGCCATCTGTTGGATAAAGGTTCTTGTCAGCGGAGAACTCGGCGACTAAGTTTTGAAAAAAATACACCGCGCGCTATTATGCATTACGTTACTTTAAGGAGGCAGAAGGTGCGTTTAACAAATGCTTAAAGCGAACGAAGTGCAGCAAATTACTACACACTGTGTTATTGTACGCAACAATTTTTTGGGACTCGTTAATGGTTTTAACGCGGCCGTTAAAATTGCAAAGCAGTCTCAAGCAGTGCGTTACATTTCGATATAGCAGCTTAACAAAAGTTAAGGAGATTTTGCGAGAACACAAATCGTACTTTAACGAAACGTAACGATATTTAGCACGACTTCATTGTAGTACACAAAGTTTCGATATATTATTTAACGAGATTTAGCAAACGGTAACGCAACGTGATGAAACGCGCTATAGTCCGGTAAACACGATACAGAACTATAACGCGAAATATAGATGTCTCTTTAAAGATCTTTAAGTTACGTTAAGCATATTAACGATGCTCACAGCAGTACACACAAGTTTATTACAGTACACTATAATTAATAACGATGTCTTACGGGGCCTAAGAACAAACACACTAAGAAGCAGTACAGTGCGCTAAACAAGTTACGGTGCAGCACGTAGTAATTTGGTAATGACTTAACGAACTCTATCGAGGGCAACGGAGACTGTCTCCTCTACACGTAACAGCGGTAGTACTCCGTAGTATGCCATACATTCTGCTTGCGAAGCCACGATATACTCGTTATGACGTGTCTCAGTAGAGTTTTGTTCACGTCATGGCGGACACCGCAGGGACCGATCTAGGCAAATGGGATTCCTCTCGTCCGCTTGCCTCTCCGCATACATGCACCTTAGCCTCGCACACACTATCATTTCTAATCTTGTAACACGGTATTTAGACATACCGCACTTCTTGTGAGAGTTACCGCACCCCTACCTAAATGCTCCACCAAAAAACCACTTGTGTCGGGCTTGCATAGCAAAGCCCTACGCATCTCGTGTGTGACGAGCGAAAATGCTTAATGCAAAAACTGTAACGAACGTGCTGGAGAGCACACCAGCTGGACAGACGATTCTCTCTTTGTCCGTTTCAAACAATCAAAAGTCATTACGAGAAAAACTCTCGGAGAACTTGTACTCTTCGTACTTAGATCTAGACGCGGAATTCCGTCAATTATGTGTTGCCAAAATCAAGCAATTGTCTCCGGAAGAACCGTTGTATTGGCAGATTGATCATCTTTACCTCGTACTACACAAAGCTTTTGTCGTAGAAGCCAATCGGTCTGGACAAAACCAAAATCAGGAAAGTGATGGTGCTGTCGCTGCTGCTCTTGCTCCTATGTCTGTACCTGAAAGTACTGGCATTGTCAATCATGGTAAAATAAGTGTGAATTTACAGTATGCCTATAGTTGCTAACACATCACAGACAACGGGCTCCCGACAAAGGACACATCGTCTTTCTCTCATGCACTTCTAATGCTCACAACAGCGGGACCCATGTTCACATCCACGGCAAAGTTGTCGTCCCTCGACCCTCGGCTACCAGATGGAGGAAAGATTGCTGCTTCCACTGCGGTTGTTCCCGTGGATGCCAAAGCTTCGCCGATGGATCCAAAGCTGCGTCAAGTATCGCCTACCTATTCATTCAAGCCGTCTAACCCTGTCATGCCATACCAACCCACACACATCAAGCTGCCGTCCGCTTCGCGGATATCGAGTGGACCCTTTCAAAGTTTTTTCCCTACAAAAGATCAAGATGCATCCGTCGTTCCAGAAGCGCTGTTTCAGTCTGCCGTCTGGCATGTTCAGTCAGCAAAATATCAGTCCTCTTCTACCAATGAGCTGCTCGACGTAGACTTCATACGCGATAACCTGCACGTTTTGTCTGACGATGTATATGCTGATGCTCCTATATCACAGCGGCTACGTGAATTGAATTCTCGGTTGCTGCAGCTTAATGAGATGCAAGCAGCCCGTCTCATCTCTGCACCTCTTGACTCAATCCCGCAAGCCGAATTGCAGTTAACGCACAGCATCGAGCATGATCTTGCTGATCTTGTACAAACATATGAACTTTCACCCGAAACCGTGGCACAAGCCGGAAGCATCGACCTTTCCTTTACGGCTCCAGGTCCACTATACCAGGGAACTCTGCCACCCGTAGTGCCGGCAGCCATGGACGCGGCAGCCATTCACATGTCCAACCGGGCTCTTTCTGCGCATCCTGCTATGAACTATGTCTGGGCGCAAGCACCGGCGAGAGCATCTCCCGATGTTCATCGCAGAAGCGGAAGCAAATCGCGCAAGTAATTTCGCTCATTCGTGAATCAGTCATACGCGCTTGCTCGTCCAAGGACTCTACTAATCCCCTGTAGCAGGCTGGCGCCACCAAAACTGTCTCGCGTGTTCATATGCTCTATATAGAATATAAATTATGAAACTAGACCAGTAAACCCTTATCCATCTTTTGTTTGCGCTGCGTGGTGCGCAAAAAAGTGCTCTATATTCATCTATTCTAGCTTCGCGTTTGCTTAAACTAGCCAGTTACACAATAAGCGATGTCGGGAAACCGAGCGAAACATTCGATGGTGTTGCTCGCTATTCTCGCTCGTTCATCGTTCTGTCTCGTGAACTAGGGCCGTAACTCGTTTAAACTTGTTATTGGCATTGTTGTCTCAACTTTCACCTTCTTCTTCCAAACTACCTTACCTTCCCTCATCGTGCAAACCCTCACCCACCCTTGTCATTCTTTCCGTACTTTTCATGAAACGGCCTTCAACGCCAGTACGTCGTCGCCTACGCTCCGGCAGGGAGTCTACCGTTCTTTCCAAGAGCGTGGACATTGATGAGCAGCGCACTCCGAGACCGTCAGATTTTCAACGGACCTCCAGTAGTCCGACCATCGGCCGTCACAGGGTCCAGCGTCAGCGTAGACTCTTCGAGATTAGCAGTAGCACGCCTACCTCCCTGAACATCTCTACTTCGGTTTTTCGTAATACCCCACACCGACCAATTCGTCGCGCGAGTTCCGGTGGAGGTGTTTTACACACTCGTGCCCTGCACAGAACGTCGTCTCCTCTACCTATTACCGTTCCAACAACTGCCCAAACGTCTTTGACGAGAATGGCCTCTCCTACGAGTGCGTCGTCGAAAGACATTGCAGATATCTCTGGTCAGAATGTAAGTTTTTGTTTTGAACGAGTTACAGGCTTGAAGATGAAGAAATCTCTCTGAATGACATTTTTTGAGACAGAACAAGTCATTTTCCTTAACCACGTTCATGCGGTGGACGAGTTTAGGAGTTGATGCACTAATTTCAAAATTCAAAACCGAGATTTCTTCTCTTTTTGCTTTTTTTTCGTTTCAATCCCTTAACGAAAGAGCTGTTTTATCAGCCTTTCATACTTGATCCATTTACTAACTAATGTTTCACCCAGGATTTGGATTTAATTGAGCAGGTTCATGAGTTACAGAATAGGGTTGCAACCTTGGAACATGAGAATTCTCTCTTGTCTCTTCAGCTTACAGCTGACAAAGATGAGAAAGATCCCCTCTCTTCCAGCCAGCAAGATTCTTCAGTTTACAAAGAAGATTATAATTATTTTAAGCACAAGATTTCCGAGCTTGAGACCTCAAACGTTGAGAAGCAGACTGAACTTGAGTCCATATCTCGAAAACTACTTGATGCTACCGAAGACTCCAATGAGAAGCAAAAACTGTACTGTGACTCGCAAAAGCGCATCGATGATGTCGCTAAGCAATTTGAGCAGAACGTACAGCTTTGAAAGAAGCCGAAGAAGAGCAGCACAGGCTCGAAAAACTTCTCATGGCGTCGACGAAAGAGCTTGCGCCCCTGCGGCAGACAGAAGCTCGTCTGCAAAAGGAGCTCGCAGAAAGCAAGAAAGTTCGTGAAGATCTTGAGAAAAGGCTCGCGGGTCAAGAAAGTTCTGACTCGTCCGAGTCTGTGTCTGCAGAGAAGCAACAGCTTAAGCGGACGTTGGATACTCAAAACGCCGAGTTAGAACGACTTCGTTCAAAACTCGCCGAGAAGGAGAAACTTTCGCTTGAGTATGAATCCGTTCTTCAAGATATCCGTGTGGCCGAGAACGAGCTTAAGGCCAGAAATGAAAAAATGGGCGAAGTTTTGCATAATGCAATCCAGCAGTTAGCTGGCGAGCGCAAGACGAATGCTGATTTAAACGAGAAGATTCAGTCACTTTCCGCAGATGCTGAGGAAAAAGAGCAGCACTTAAACGAACTTCAGGACTTACTTAAACAGTCTCAACAGAGTTTAGCTGACGAAAAAGACAACAACTCGCATCTTGAGGAGAACATATCTGAGTTAAAGCAAAAACTTGAAGGTGTGGACAAGTCTCTCGCTACCGCCGAATTAGAATTGGCGGAGACGCAGGCAAAGCTGAAAGAAGCTGTTCAAGAGAAGGAGGTGTTGAAGACCAATGTTTCGGAAACACAGACGCGCTTGGATGAAGCAAACATGGTTCTGACTGATGAAATCAATAAGAGTAAACAGTGTTTGTCTGAACTTTCGGAAGGAAAGAAACTTCGCACGGAGCTCGAAAATGTTATTTCGGAGCAAAAGAAACAGCTCGCCACCTTTACCGAACAATCCCAGGAATTTGAGGAATATAAGCAAAAGGCAGAAGCTTTTGAAAAGCAAGCTGCTGAACTTCAGTTATGCCAGACCACTATTGATGAGATGAAAGAAATGATTTCTAAGCTCGAAACCGAGAAGCAAGATGCACTTAACCAGCAGCAAGACTTAAAGAACGACCTCCAATCTAAGCAAGAAACAGTTGAATCTTTGCAAAAATCACAAGTTGATTTCCAAGAGCAGCTGTCTGCTTCGCAAGCAGAACGTTCGGAATTGACTAGTCTTATTGATGAAAAGGAAGCCGAGGTAACCGAGTACAAACGGGCTACCAAGGTAGCTGAAGAAAAGGTTGAGTCTTTAGACCATGAATTGGACGATTTACGTAATTCCATTTCAGTTCTTGAGCAGGATAAGTCAAAGCTTACTTCTGAACTTGAACAACTTCGAGAGGAGGCATCACAAAAAGATCTTGAGCATACTTCCTTGTCGAAGAAGTTAGAGGACTTTGAAAATTTGTCGAATGAGCATAATGAAGTTGTCGAGCAGGTTGCTTCTCTACAAACTGCTTTGGAAACTGAAAAAGAGAAACTCAATTCAGTCTCTGAAACGCTTGTCGAAGCACAGCAGAAACTTGCTTCCTCACAAGCTGCTTATGCGAAGAAGGAAGAGGACTTCGAAGCTTTGAGCGCACAACTGGACGAAAGTATTGGTCAAGTTAGAGATTTCCAGGAGAAGCTTACCGAGGATGCCAGAGTACAAGACGAACTCAATATCAGAATCGGTAATCTCCAGAAAACTGAAGAAGAACTACTCCAAAAAGTCTCAACCTCCGATGGATTGATTGACAAATTCAAAGAAAAGCTTCAATCGACATTGTCTGATTATAAGGGCGTTTCTGAGGAGCGCGATTCCCTGAAGAAACAGTTCGATGAGCTTTCTGAAATGCATGGTTCTTTGCAAGAGGAATCTGATGAGCAAGCAAAGCAACTTGATGCTTATAAAGAGAAGCTTGTGCAAAAGAACAACGACATTGAGAAGTTGAAGAATGACTGCGAGACTAATTCGCAGGCGTTGTCAATGGTTGAAGGCCAACGTATGGAGTTGCAAGCTCTTGTTGATGAATTACGGGATTCTTACTCAAAATGTGAGGAACAGCTTGCGGCAACAAGGGAAATGGTTGCTAATAACTCCAAGTCTTTGGAGGAAAGTACGGCTAGAGAAGAAGAGCTTAAGCAACTGGTCGCATCTTTGGAGGAATCCGTTGAATCGAAGGATACTGAGATCATGGATTTGCAGACACAGCTTAACGGAACAACCTCTGAGCTTGAGTCCCTGAGAGATAGTTTAAGCGATGCACATGCAAACAACGAGCAGCTGGAATCTTCCAAGGATGAACTCTTGGCGGAGTTGAATTCGGCAAAGGAAGCAATTTCGAAAATGAACTCTGAGAAGGAGGAGCATACTCGTTTAATTGATGAGCATGAGAAGAAACTTGAATCTGAGAAGGAAGAACGTGCTCGTTTAGTTGATGCACATACGAAGAATCTTCAATCAGAGCAAGACAAACGTGAGCTTATTGAGCAAGAAAAGGCAGAGCTGAACACACAATTAGAGGCTTTGACGTCTAATCTTTCTGCTGCAAACTCAAACCAAAGTCGTCTTCAAGAGCAGGTCTCAGCTCTTGAAAGTGAGTTAAAGCAAGGCCAGCTTAACATTACTGAGTTACAGCACAAGTACGATGATGCTGTAGAAGCACAAGAAGCTTTGAGCAAGCAACTTGAAAATAAGACTGCTGAACTTGAGCAGCTCCACGAATCTCTTGCTGGTACTACTACTAAGCTTAAGCAACGTGAGGAAGAGTCTAGTGATCTTACAGAAAGAGTCGCATCATTGACTACCGAACTGGAGAAAGCTAATAAGGTTCTTGCCGAAACGAATGAGGAATTTGCTAAATCCGGTGAACTTGTAGAGAAACTTCAAATTCAGACAAGTGAGTTGGAGAAGAAACATGCTGATGTTGAGATCTTGCTCCAAGAGAAGACTCAAGAATTGGCCAAGGTGCTGGAACACAAAGATACTTTGGAGGCATCAAAACTTTCTGTCGAAAGCATTCTCTCTGAGAACGAAGAGGAGCTGAGAAAGCTCAAGGAAGAGAATACTCAGCTCTCTGAAACGCTGGCTGCTGTAAAAACAACATGCGATTCGCTTGCCGATGAACGCTCCAGTTTGGAGAGACAACAATCACAACTTCAAGAACAACTTAGTGCCTTGCAGTCAGATATTGTCGATATCAAGTTGAAGAAGGAGCAATTGCAATCTGATCTTGACACAAAGGTTATCGACCTTAATCAGTCTGATGAGACACAAAAGCAGCTTCGGAAGTTGAATAAGGAACTTCTTTCGAAGATTGCTGGTTTACAGCACATGTCTGAGAAACTCTCGACAGCCGAATCAAACCTTAAAGAGAAAGCATCAGATCTCGAGAAGCTTAGTGGTGAGCATGACAAGGTTCTTAGTGACTATGCTTCCCTGCAAAATAAGCTTGAAGATTCAGAGACAAAATCTGCAGCTTTGTCTCAGAAGGTAGTTGAATTGGAGAAGTCTTTGCAACTTTCTGATATTAGTAAGACATCTTTCATGGAAAAGCTTAAAAGTGCATTGGAAGAAAAGACAGAGCTTCAAGTCATTTATGACGATTTGTCTGAGAAGGTTAAATCCTTCGGTTCTGCGCTACATGACAACCTCAATGAGGGTAATCCGATTCTGCAGACCATTGATAATGCCCGAGAAAAGGGTTTCGGTTATCTCGACGCTCTTTCGAGTGTAATTCTTTCTTCTTATAATGAACATGAGTCTAGTGTCAAACAATTACAAAGCTCTAGTAATCTGCTTCAGAATAAACTCTCGATGGCTGAAATCAGAGTTGATGAACTTCGTGGTCAATGTGAGGAACTCTCTTCCAGTTTGAGTGATGCAAACGAACAGAGGGAACAACAAACCAAGGAGTTGAATGCTCTTCGTCGTGAATTTGAGAACATCGAAGAGAAGAACAACTTTTTGCAAACAAAGCTTGAGGGTAAACAAAGCGAGCTTGCAACAAGTGCCGCTTCAAATGAAGAACTTCAGAAAGAAAATAATACGCTTCAGAAGAAGCTTGAAGAATCCAACGCTCTGCTTAAGAGCAAGGAAGCCCAGGTACTGAAACTGGAAGCTGAAATTGACGATCTGAATAACAAGGTCGATAGTCTTTCTCAAGACTTAAATTCTGTAAAGAACACACTTGCTCAAAATTCCAATCTGCTTGACCAGAGAACTGCAACAGTTGAATCACTCTCTAAGAGTTTGGACAGTGAACGTCAAGGAAAACTCGAATACACCGAAAAGGTGAAGGGTCTTCAACTGCAAACGGAAACACTTCAGCGTGAGCTTAAGGGGGCTCAAACAGAGGCTAAAGAGGTACGCGACGAGCTGGAGAAATCGAATTCTCTGATTGAACAATTAGAACAAACCCGAAAAACGGAGAAAGAAAGCCATACGTCCTCGACTGAAGCGCTTCAGTCAGAAATTGAAAAGCTTCTTTCTAAAATAGAGGAACTCGAGTCTTCCGTTGAAAGCGGAAGATTAGAGGTTACTAAAGCCGTTGAAGAACATCAAAGGGTTATAAATGAGCATACGAGCTCTTACGAATCCGTTTTGGATTCTTTGCGTAAAGAAGTTGAAAAGAAATCTGCAGATTTGGAAATTAAAAACCAAGCTGTTAGTGCTCTTGAAGAAAAAGTCACTGAACTTCAACAGCAGCATGCTGCCGTGATTCGTGATTATGAGGGAAGAGAGAGTGATTTGAAGGAGAAACTTTCTAAGCAACAACAGGAACTCGAAAGTGTTACTGTCGGACTTACTAAAACAAAGCAGGATATTAAAGACAAAGACAAACAAATTGAGCAATTGCGCGATTCCGTCTCTCAACTTAGCGATGCCAAGTTGTCACTTGATGAGGAGGTTCATAATGTTAATTTGCGTCTTGCTTCCGTGAAGGAGGAGTTGGCTTCCGTTAGATCAGATCTTAAGGTAAAGGAACAACAGCTGAGTCGTGCCAAGGATGATGATGAGGAAAACAGCAGAAAATTTGCTGCTTTGAGTGCTCTTCCAGCTGAGTGTGAAAAGTTGAAGCTTAGAGTCTCAGAGCTCACTGCGAGCTTGAAAGATCGTGATGAAGAATCCGCAAAGCTTGCTTCTGAGAACGCTGTTTTCCTTGAGCAATGCAGAAATCTGCAGAAGACAATTCAAGGAGAACAGCAAGTGTCTTCTGATATGCGACAAAAGTGTAAAGATTTGGAGGAGGTTTGCACCTCTTTGCACGATCAGCTTGAAAGACAAGCTCGGGCATTTGCTGAAAGCGAGCAGAACAGGGCCAAGGAATTGGCAAGTATGAAGCATAACTTGAAGACCAATGAGAAACTACTTAAATCGCTTAGGCAAAAACAGAGTAGATCTATTTCTCGTTCAACTGCTCTGGTTTATGAAAATTACTTGCTTGAGTTTGAAGATGCCTTCAATGGTTTGAAGGACAGAATTAGTGCCATGGAGCTATCCCAAGAGAAGCTCGAGTTGACTTGGTACGGTCGTTTCCTTGGTTCAATGGATTCCGACAGACGTGAGCAGCTGCAAGGATTTAAGGAGCAAATCGCAAAGGTTGGATCAATGTTGGGATCTAATTTTGCTGAGCTTTTGCGGAAGGATGCTGAAGTTTGCCTCCATGAGGAGAACGAACGCGATTCTCTTATTGAGTCTTACAGCCAAAAGGTTTCAGATATGTCTGCGTCGGTGAATGCACTTCAGTCTTTGCTCGATAAAGAAATGCGGTTCCGTGAATCTTTGGCTTTCTCGAAAGCCTACTTATTGAAAACCTGTGCTTTGCAGGCTGGTCCCAACAAGTCGACGGTCTTAGACTATTTCCCGACTTCGCGGTATCCGAAGGCAGCAAAACTGAAGAGCGCGTTTTTGAGCGTCTTGTCTATCCAACGCATGAAAAAGTTGAGCCAGCAGGCTGCTCGCGCTCAACAAATTCTTGGAGCGCTTCACTGATAAACCACTTTACTCTCATTAATGTTCATTTTTTGGTTAACAACTACATTGAAGCATAAAAGTACAGTTTATTTTGGTTAATATATTTATTACTGAACGACACATAACTATTAACAAAATGACCCACGAGGAAGTTGAGCCTGATTCCGTTACATGGTTTTATACTTACATAATTTATGGAGTGTGAGTAAATGGAAGGACTGATTCCCCAGTAGAAGAGCAGGGGGTTGGACCGCAAAGCCAAGAAAGTCTCCAGCGTATTTTTACAGACTCGGAGGAAACAGGAACTTTAGAAACATCGAAAATTTCAGATAACGCATCCTTAGACTCCGGAGCCAATTCTGGAGCACCTTGAATTGGATGCAATTCCAAATGTAATGACTTGACGACAGCAATTTGTAGATTAATCTTGGACACCGGATTGGTGTTGTTGTTGGAAAAAACGGCCTTGAAGCGTACAGTTAATGAATCATCTACATTGCTGCTGTTCAAAGCGAAAACCTCTAGGGATAAAGAATCTGTTTTGCAAATAGAAACAGAAGGTTGGGCAATTGAAGAAGCAGTAGTAGCTGTAGCAGCAGGTACGGAAGGAATAAAAGCAGGGTCCTGCAAAAGATCAAACACAGAAGAAGAATTCGAGGTCTCTTTTTGCTCAACTTTATCAAGACTAAATGCATTGGAGACTGGGTTCGGAGTGGACGAGGAATTCTCAGAGGAAAGTGCGCTCGCCCCAGCGGAAGGGCTAGCTTGCGTTGGTTCATCACCGAAATCAATAAGTGAAAGTGATTGAATGTTTGAAGTAGCAGAATCAACGGCGGCGTCCATTTTCTCAGACGGTTGACCGTGCACATTCTGCTCATTGCATTGGCCAAGAACGGAGTGAATTAAGTCATTCAGCTCTAGAAGTTTTGACACATAGTATTCATCTTCGGATTCTTCTTGCAGCAAACGGTTTACCGTGGTCTGACAAGCTTTCAGCGAATCGATCGCTTCCTCAAGCGATTCCTCACCAACATGCTCTCCCGACAACATACGCTGTACAAGATGTGTTTTCTTCGTAATGTTCTCGATATCCGCTGAAGCGGTAGCATAATAGTCTTCCGTATCATCCTTTTCGTAGCCTGCAATGATCTTCATTAAAGCATTTGCTTCAGCAAGATCCATGGGGGTACCACGACGAAGAAGTTCTTGCAGTTTCGCTTCATGCGCGATACGATCCTCCTTCGCCAGCTCTTGGGCTGAACGGAGTGTGCTCTTCGGAATCATAACGTTAATGGCATCCTTGTCGACTTTGGGGAACTTATAGCCACGATAAGCCATAAGCTCCCGCATATCATGGATTCGGGTAAAGTCAGCCCGGTGACGACTGTTTTTACATAAAAGAATGTTCCATTCCTCCAGCATCTCCAATATCTTCTTATGAATTTTGTTCAATCGAAGAGGAGGATGGACAGGGAAACATTGTAAGAAACGTTTCAAGAAGTCTTCAGAAGCAAGTTGCAAATGAAAAGGGTAGCCACAATTCTTCACTAATATATCAAGTAACTGGAGATGTTAGCAAAAGGGAATAGTGATATTTCTCAGCAAGGTCGTAATTTATCCAGCATAAAGACGCAAAATGTAGTATGCTGTTCACTGTTTTATTTTACAGATTGGGACGCTTACATTAAGAGAAAGATAGGCAACGGTGGGATTCCCAAGATTCAAACGTTTAAGGAGGAGAAGAGCTGCCTCACGGGGTCTTTATTTTATGTTAGCATTAAATCACTCGATCGTGAATGTTCACGTACAAGTTTCCTTGTTTTTCATTAATATAATCAGCAATTTCCAAATTTAAAGCCAAGTTAGGTTCAAGATTAAACGGATCCGTCGCCTTGTCTGTATAAAGTTGGCGTTAATACCCTGACGCTGTTCAATAGCACTTCTGCTGAAATTACTTACTGATATACTTCAGTAGTGCGCGACTGCTTCTTGAACCATTCATTTTTTACACACTCGAACGTTATACAGTAGAAGGAGAGCAAAAGATCAAAAAAGACGACGAATATTGCTCCTTTAGGGGCAATTCTTTAAAGAGAATGAATATTTACGTGTTGGTACAGGTAAAGAGGCCGGTATTGAACGTGGACGACTGCCCCAGCCTTGAAGCCCGCTACAAGCCGGAAGGTAATAAATGTGTGGATGGTGTTGGTGTATCTCCCCTCGAAAAAGTCACCACCAAGAAATGTCCGATAGTACTCTAATTAATAGTAACTACGACCAACAGAAGTAAGAGGACAAGATGGGACCTCCTAAACGCGGTGCTAAATCTCATTTCGGCGGCCATCGGGGTGGAAAATCATTTAATAGAAATGGTGGGGGGAAATCCGGTGGTTTGCGACTAGCAATGTGGGATTTTGGCCATTGCAACCCAAATGCTTGCTCCGGAAAACGATTAGAACGACTTGGACTTATTCGCAGTCTCCGTGTTGGCCAAAAAAGTCGAGGGGTCGTTGTCACGTAAGTCCGTTGTTAATGAGCTTATATTGTAGCAAGGGATCTGTTACTACCTGCTTATACCAATCATGATACGCCTCAATATCATAAGAGATGAGCAGTAATAGAAGTCAGCCCTTTTTTATGACCAAGGACTGTATAAATGGAACACCATCTGCTAACTACTATAGTCCCAATGGCAAGCTTCCGGTGTCACCCGCTGATCGCGAAGTGTATGAACAAGGAGGCGCTGCCGTTGTAGAATGTTCATGGGCTCGTCTAGAGGAGGTTCCTTTTGACAGAATTGGAGGACGGTGTGAACGATTACTTCCATATCTTGTTGCTTCAAACCCTGTTAATTATGGTCGCCCTTGGCGACTTAACTGTGCAGAGGCATTAGCTGCTTGTTTATACATCGTCGGCTATCCTGAAGAAGCCAAAAAGCTTATGGACTCGTTCACATGGGGCCATGCCTTTTTTGAAGTCAATGAAGAACTTCTTAACATTTACAGCAATTGTAAGTCGGCCGAAGAGGTCTCTGCTGCGGAGAAGCGTTACCTAGAAGAAATGGAGGAAGATTATCAAGCCCGGCGGGCAGAACCGACCGGTAGTGAGTGGGAACTTGGCAATCAAAATCGTGCTGCTAGAGATACGCAAGTAGACGAAGATAAACCTGCAGAATCAGACACCGGTGCTTCCGCAGGAGAACCTTCTTCCACAGTCAGCGAAGAAGAAGACGATGAGAGCTGGCGTAGTATCGTCCGCTCAAGATTGCCAAAGGAAATATGATGAGAAAACTGGTTAAATTTTTATATATTTTTGGTTCTCGTAAAAGCATTTCTTAAATATGTTAATCTACAGTTAAAACATTGTAAAAGTGAACTACTACGGAAGATAGCTTTTTAGTCCAAATAGCATCACATCGTTCTTAGAGGTATTAGCAAATGCCTTTATTTCCTTAAGCCAGTCGGAACTTGCTACTTCCAAGTCCTCAAGTTTATCTTCAACACCTCCCAAAATACGACCACGTTTTGTAAGCGAGTCAGTGAGCTGATTAAATATGCTTTTCTGTTTAGGATGATATCTTTGAATTGGGGGCGCTGACGAGTTTGATGATGAAGCTTGATCTGTTGAAGGCGTAACGACTTTGGGTGGCCGGATCTTGTTCGCTGGACGATGTGGACCGGCCAATATCAGGTTTAAGTCTTCCGGAGATACATACTGCTCACCCTTCAACCAAGACCAGGTGGATATAGTAGGCCGAGCTGCAAACTTCTTCGCTAGAACGATGATAGTAGGCGCCGGAACCATTCCCAGATGGAAACCTGTTCCAGCAATGGATCCTAAGGCACAAGCGTTTGGATATACCGTAGGCAGAATGTATTGACCATTCGTCAAAAGAGCATTTTGCATATCGCCAGTTACGGAAATGTCCTTTGGTAACTTTAAAGATAACTCTTCCTTCAAATTAGGCAAAGTGTACCACGATGCACTAGAATCTGAATGCAAACAAACAAGTGAACCCATTTCGGAGAATTTTGACGGCAAGATATTTGCATGAACACATTTTTTGCGGTTAAAGTGGATTGAGGAGCACTTTTGATTCATGCCCTGGTAAAGAGCAGTACTTGATTCGGAGCATATTGAGATATAAATTGGTTCTTGCAAAGGAGAACCTATGATTGTTAATGCTTGTCCATCAGCGGTAGCGTCGACACCAGACTGCGTAACGGGACGTATGCTAACTATCTTGGAACTGCTAAACTCAAATGCGTGCTCAAAGAAGACCTCATGTACACCATTCTGGTTCATGCTTATTTGAAAGACGTATACTCTGCCAACAGATGATCCGACTAGTGCATAGAGCTGCGCGGGTCTTTTGTTATCGGGAGAGAACACCGAAAAGCAAGAGGACGTGACATGCTCTGAACTGAAATGGCTGAGCTTTCCCTTTCTTCTGAAAGCATCTGCGAAGTCTGCAAGACTAATTTCACAGGAAATGTGTGGACCTCTCAAGTCAATAATTGCCAGGCACCCATTCGTATAACCAACAAGCAAGAAACCGATATCCGACATATTCAGGTGAGACACTTGACCTTGTTTGAGGTCAAGTATGTACTTTCCACGAATTGTTCCTTCAACAGCAAAAGGATCATGAATTTTAGCGATTCCTTCAGCAAGAGTAACATGGGATCCGTTATCCTTAGCGCTTCTTCCAACAAGCAATACTCTGCCCAAAGTATCTGCACATGCAAGCTCGACTGTGAATCTGGAAATGGAAACACTAGTAAATGAGCAATTAGGGCGAAGATTGCTTTCCAAAACTTCTGAGAAATCCAAGTAAACAGCAGAATGCGAAGAGATTAATCCTTTAGACACATTCCATAATGTCAAGCTTAGTTTTCTAGACGTCACGAATACGCTTCTCGAGTCAAGCTGTCGCAGAAAGCCCGGATGTTCTGTACCTCCACGAATAAGTGAAGGGAGGGCATTAAGAATTGTTGTTTCGTACAGACTATCCCAAGCTAGTTTAGACATCATAAAAAATCCCATCAACTTTGTGTTTGGAAGCGAAAGTGCTAAGGCTGGAGGCAATACAGAAGAATGAGTAATGACATCGCCTGTGGGCAATGCGAGTGGCAGGATAGAGCCGTCTTCAAAGAGTACAAGCATTGCATAAGGAGCATGGCCTCCAGAATAGTGGGGTGATGCGGACGGAATAACAAGAAAACTCACAGGTTCTTTTCCTGCGTCAAACGGAAAGAAGCGCTGCGAATCAGGAGTGGTATAGTATTCAGTTAGTTGTTTCACATCTGCAATTCCTTCTGGGTTTTTCTTGTACAGCATGAGGGATACTCCCTGCATCTGAGAATCCTTAGGCAGGCCACCCATCATAAGAACATATGAAAAGTCCAACTTTTCTGAGACACACCAAAACATTTGTCGTATAGGTTCAAGTTTTACTGGATGCAAACTGGGCAAGTCTGGGTCAAAAGCGTGGACATTTGAATCAATAAATGTTTTGGTTTGAATGGGTTCATCACTAGCGACATTCCAAAATGCATATACCGAATCTTCATACCAGCAAAGAAAATGAGTACCCCAAGGACTCCAAACACAGCCTTGAACATGTGGACGGCGATATTGCGTGGTCGTAGCGAAACTAGCTGCCAAGCTTCCAGGTGCAAATTCTAGCTCAAAATACCGTAACGCCTTTGATGCTTTGAGAGAGTAGAGTACGACTCCAATGTCGTATACGATCAGCAATAAGCCTAAATCTTTGGGGTTTATGTGGATACCCTGTACCGCTGAAACGCTTTTCTTCGCAAAAGGATAGCCTAAGTATTGTGTTAGTTACGAAAATCTTGTATGGTGAGAGACGCACCCATTAGCTTCCACTCTTCTTGCCGCTCCGTGTACTGGTTCTCAATTCGGTAGCTTCCAAAGCCACGTCTCGTTGTATCATAAGCAAACACTGAACCGTCCTGTAAACCGAGATACAGCCATTCAACTGCGGAATCTACCCCGATAGCAGTAACTTTTCTATGAAGAGTAAGTGAAGAAACAGGATCTTTGTTCTGTGGCCTGGTCAGATCGAAAGAATATAACATATTATTCGTTCCAATCAGGATTAAATGCATCCAATGAATAACCAAATGGGAAAGTTTCACACCCGGTGGAATAACATATTGCGTCTGTACTGAACCCTTGCCGAATATATAAATAATGTCTTCCGATGTTTCTGTACAAAGTCAGTACATAGATGAGTTTTAAAGTGCTCTGTAAACTACCTAAAGCAAGCAATTCTTGTGCTGCATCATAATACCAATTTACAGGTTTGCCAATAACACCGAATCTATTGTACTAAAAACAGTATTAGTAAATACGACGTCTAGTGTGACTATAACATACATCGTCCACTTGTAGAGAAATGCTCAGGTTCTCTAATCCTTTACTTAGGTCATTTGCATCAGCACTATTCTTTTTCGATTGTTTTTTCGAGAAAAGGCCCATTTTAAGACGAAAAATGAGTGATAAATAAGTTTAACCAGTATTGGTTTCTGTATGAAAGAGTTTGGTACGAACAATTTCAATTCTACCACAATAGCAGAATCTGCGCGAAAAAGCTCCCAGGCAGACGAAGATATGAGCTGATCTTCCGTTACGGCAACAAATAAATAAAAATGTGAAAATAGCGGAATAGTTTATATATTGTAACTAAACTGAAGGTTTATAAGTTTATTGTTTGGTTGTCAGGGGAAGTAGTGTCCTTGTGGCAGCATGATGGAATGGGAGGCTGACCAGTTGTTCAATGGGTTATTAGCTGTTTTAGCCTCAAAACACCGCGGCTGTAAGGTTCGTTACGGACTAACTTTAACAAGATCATCTAAGAGAACATACGTTGAAGTCAACTTTCTTTAGTGTAAGGTTGTCGTTTCTCACTCTCGCCTACTTTATTCCACAACCAACTTGGAAGACCACCCTTGTTATTCGAATTTCATTCGTTTTTCAAGGAATTGGCTTCGTATTCACTCTTTTTACACTGTTAACTGTCTTTTTTTTTTATTTTAGATTGGATATTTCCCTTTTTCACTCGTTTCAATTGTTTTCTGTCAAGTGGTAAACAATATATCTCTAACACGTAAAATAGCACAAACCCGAAGGAATGTGTATGTAAAATATATAATATTTTCTGATGATGAACACGAATCGAAAAAAAAGTCAAAAAGATCTGAGAATTGCTAGAGCTTCAACAGATGACTACCAAGATGGTGGTACATACCTTAACAATCCTCTTATCATAGGTCGTATTGACGAAACAACACTATCTGATGAATGTAAGCGTATAATATTCAGAGAAAACTTAGGTCCTCTCGAGTTCGAGAAGTTTGTCGACTTTCAAAATGCTCGAGCATACACTTCGCAACGCGGATTGCACGACAGCGATGCAAGACAACTCTGTTTGGCTGCCAGACTGATTCAAAAGATTACACCTGAATCTGAGATTATTCATGACTTTGCAGGCAAAGCTTCAGGACTTCATCAGTCTTTATCGTTTTCTCGAAATGGTTATAATGGCGGCTGGACTTCGAACTCTAGTCGCTCTCTGATGTTAAAAAGAAGCGAAACTTCTTCGGGCTTTGTCCGTTCAAGAACGTACAAGGTTCCTCCCGTAAATGATGACGACCTCTCTATCCGTTCAGGCATCTCAGTCAATTCACGGAAAACCATCAATACCGTCCCCATCAATGGAGGTCTGTCTTCTAAAGGATCACACGAAACACTTAGTTACGGTAAGCAAAAGCCAGCTGCAGAAAAAGGGTCTGGTTTTTTCCGGCTTTTCAGGTTTTCAAACTTTAAACGAGACAAGTCTAAGGACAAAGAGAAGTCTTCGTTGGGTAGGAGAGGCAGTATACGCTCTATAAAATTAAAGCCTTCTTCTCTGCGAACTATTGGATCCTCGGATGCAAATTTAATGACAGAAAAAAATATGTCCATACCTGAGGAGTGGATGCCAAGAGTGCACCGATTGGAAGCTGATGTCGGCATTCATAAAATTGTTTCGTCCCGTGTTTTGCTCACTGCTGATGATGTTCACTTTACGCTCGTTGATATCACAGGAATTCGCGATTCCTCACTTTTGAGGCAGGAGCTTTTGGCTGCTGTTGGATTGTCTGATATCGCCCAGTATTCATTTTACCTTACGGAGATTGGAGGAGCGCAATATATTGAGGAGTTGGATGACACAAAGTTATTGAGTGTGCAAAAACATGCTGATGAGAAAGGTTCATTAAAGTTATTTATTAAGCCAACTAATTCTTCTCATTTAGCGTTAAGCATTGACTCGCATTTCACGGAGGACTTGCAGGCTAAAGCATCCTTGGGCTTAAATGATGGAACTGGCACTGGACTTCGTAACAATCTCACTTTGCAAATTCCAAGAGACGGTATTGACTTTAGGACGCCGTCAACCTCACCGATTTCAATAAGTCCACGTCATCTCGAGCCCGATAAAGCTTATTCAATTCGTGCAAACTCACCTGCTAGCCGATTTAAGGGTTTTGAAATTATTCGTGGAGCCAAGGGCGAGCACGCGGAAGAACTTCTTGATGGAAGGAAAAACCAAAGTTGCGAAGATGGCTTTCAAGTGATTAGGCCTCATAAAAAAGTCACTGTTCAAGTTGATGCGGCTGCCAATGCATCCTCTGTTCCCTATAACATCATTGCTCATCGTTTACCACCAAAGCCGCCCGCAATGACTGAGGAATATCGCCAAAAATTACGGAACTCTATCCATCAAATACGCACGTCTGGAGCAATCCCCTCTAAACCGCATTTAAAAACAAAAACATCATTTCTTACTAGTGATGAACTTAGAAGACAAAAATCTGGAATTTTTAAAACTCAGACGATTGAGCTAGATTCTGAAACGGAACTTGAATCCGAGACAAACACGGCAATAAGTGCGAATTCTGAGAATGCTGATTCATGGTCTTTGTTTAGCAACGCTCCTGCATATGATGAATCACAGTTAGCAGATGACGTGTTTTGGTCTGTAAAGCCTGCAGACATAGAAAAGGAAGAAAAAAAGGCGGAAGTTGATAAGCGAATTCCGTCAAATGGATCTACTACTTCGAAAGAAAGTAAAATCTTGCAGCCTTACCCCAAAGCGGCTGATTTTAAAATGCGTCGCTTCGCTACTTCTCATAGTTTCCCGGCACGTTCACGGTCGGATTCTTATACACAGAAGCTCAAAAAAGTGAATAGTTTTGATCAAGAGTTGAGACCCTCACCGGATATTGTTTACGAAAACTTGGAAAAGTTCTTCCCAAATCATAATCTTGATGAGCTCGTTGTTGCTGAATCGAATGAGACAGCTCAACCTTCTAAAGTGAATCATCGTAGAGGACACAGAAAGCTGAAGTCCATTCGTTTGGTTGCTCGTGAAGCTGTAGAAGCAAGACAGCGGCTGAAAGAAGAATTGGATGAACAGCAGAGAAACGTTAATATTCTTCGACGCAAGAGTACGAAACTGTGGGGTTCTCGAATTATTGAAATGAAACCCAATGAGGAAGAGCTGGAGTTCATAAACACATTGTCTCCCAACCGTATGGCAATGCCTTCACCGGGAATTACATTCCGCTGGGTAAAGGGTCGATTGATTGGAAACGGAACATACGGAAGGGTATATCTTGCAATGAATCTGAACACTGGTGAAATGATAGCCGTGAAGCAGGTTGAAGTTCCGCAAGCCATATCTGGCGTAAGAGATGAATGGAAACGAAATATTGTCGAAGCAATTAATTCTGAAATCACTATGATGTCTGATCTCGATCATCTGAACATTGTTCAGTACCTGGGTTATGAGAAATCGGCTACCGAAATATCTATTTTCTTGGAATATGTTCCTGGTGGCTCTGTTGGTCGCTTTTTGCGCAAGCATGGACCGTTTTCGGAAAGGGTTACACGGTATATCATAAGACAAGTTCTTCAAGGTCTGTCTTATTTACATTCTAGAGGCATAATTCACAGAGACCTGAAAGCTGATAACCTTTTACTTGATTTTGATGGCACCTGTAAAATCTCTGACTTTGGAATCTCAAAATATAGCACGAATATCTATGGTAATGATGCTAACATGTCTATGCAAGGCACAATCTTCTGGATGGCGCCTGAAGTAATTCACAACTCACACCAAGGTTACAGCGCTAAGGTTGATATCTGGTCTCTTGGATGTGTCGTTTTGGAAATGCTGGCTGGTCGTCGACCTTGGTCGAATGAGGAAGCCGTACAGGCTATGTTCAAACTTGGAACAGAAAAACAGGCGCCTCCTATTCCGGATGATGTTAAGCCACATATATCACAGGAAGTTGTTGACTTTTTAAATGCGTGTTTCACTATTGATCCCGAACAGCGACCTACCGTGGATCAGCTTTTGCAACATCCATTTGTGAAGCAGGAACATGATGAAAACTTTAAGAGTTCTGAGTTGCTGAATATCTTGCTCGTAAAGGATGAAAAGTTTTAGATGAATTAATCTGTAATTAGCACAACTATTACTGATCTCTAAGATACTTTCTGAGTGTGCTTCTTGTAGTTTTTGCAATGAGAGCTGCTTTACACTGTTATATACGCTACGCCAGTACAATCTACAATGGCATGCATATATGTATAGTATTTAATTTATCTTCTTCCTGAACAGTAGCTTAATTATGATTTTCACCTCCTGCCGAACTTTGTCATTCTTTTTCGATGTTTTGTGTACGTCCCTACGGCGGTTCGGTCACGTCTGTCTCAAAAGGTTTTTTTCAGGTAACTTTCATATTATTTGGATTTATTAACAGAAATACAGATATAATAAAATATTATTTTCTGTAAATAAACTAAAATAAAGGAACGGAAGCTTTATAGAAAAGCTTATTCTTTGCAAAAAGAATCAAAAATTAAAAAAAAAAGTCGCCAATAACTTTTCACGATGGAAATCAGGTTTCGCTTTCTCCAAGTTAATCGGAACCTATATACTCAACGAACAAAGTGAATACTGGGTGTTTTTATTATAAATAGCTAAGTGTTCATTATACAATTGCATTAAATAGTTCAACTAAAGCTAAAACAGGCTAAGTGGATAAAACATGGACATCAAAAACTGTTTCCATAACATATAGTTTATACTTCAAAGTGGGGAAATTTGAAAATATGATGAGAACCATATCGTTATCGAAGGAACCTGACCATTACTGGTCGTGGTTTCTAATGTTAATCTACAGAATGGATATCTGATTTTCATTATTTACTCTTTTCATAAAACAAGCGCCGTTCATGATAAAATAGCAAGTATCTACATGGGTTGTTAGTTGAGATCATGAACACTAATGTTTCTTAATAAACGTACGCTTCTGCTTGTAGAACCTGTTTTTCGGAAACCTCTGTGATTGTTGTGTCATCTAATTGGAACCACTGGTAGAGAGTATTAGTACTTGTGAAAAGACACCAAAAAAGCTTCGTGCATACCTGGTTTTCGTAAAGAATATAAACAATGTAGTGTCCCGTATCAAGTGTTCCTTTGTGACAAACAACGGAGAACAGTCCATAGTCAACTTTGCTTCTCTCGCTTGATGTCTCAAGAGACAGACGAAGAGGAAAAGACACATATTTCTCAATTTTACAAGAATTCGTGGAACTTTCGTTCCTGAAACGTTTCAGTTGTATCGAAAGTGTTGGCGACAATTTGTGAAATTGTAATTGTTTTGTAGCGTCAAGTCCATTACAAGAACTGCACCTGTAATGAACAGCCTCCGGTGCAACAAAACTAGTGATCGGTTGTTAGCCAATGCCTTTAACTTGGCTTTCACATACCTTTTCAAGCATCCTTCAAGAGTAGACTCCTTTATATCCAAGTTAATATCCACCATCGGATCCATGGTTCTCTTTTTCGTTTTGCACTTTAAGCATGTAACTGTGCTGTACATCGTACCCCCAAAAACTTTGTGAATAACACAATCACAGTCTGAGTTGTTTGTTCCTCCCATATCTACATGCAATTGGTTCAATAAATACACGAGAAATTCGTGCCCGTCTTGTTGAGAATATCCACACAAATCCCGACTTATGTTCCACATTAGGCTAAGGATGGTAGTAGGACCAAAGAAACTAGCCTTGTCCAAACGTCCATAAACCACGGAGAACATGTCATCCACAGCGCAGGCCATGCACGAGCTTTTCTTGCAAAAAGATGATGTGTGGTAACCACTCAAAAACAAGTTTCTCAATGTAGGATTATGCAGTATGCTTTGCAGAATTACACTCATAAAACAGGTTGCACCCATATTCTGCATACCACGTAAGCCAGCGGTAATGCATGCATCCTTGAATAGCAAGTCCGTTCCCTTCTTCACGGGCATAAGTCGTTCTTCTTCAGGTGATGCACTTCCAACATCTAATTTCCATGCTTCCAAGCTCTTACAATTGGATCGTAACCGTTCAAGATCACGATCATATACATAATCTTCGCATGCAAAGCAATAAATATATGCGTTCTTCATATCCACCACTAGCAATTGTTAATAAAATGAAAAGTGCATCCAACCATGTAAAGAATATACCAAGCTTGTGCTGAGTATTCTGGTAATGCCCTTTTCCATCCTCGGCCCAAAGACAACCAACGTGTTTGCAATGAAGGCACTGAACACTTCTCTTGGAAATTGCCCCACAGTCTTCACATGAGATGCAGACAGTCTGTAACGTGTATGCAGTTAGTAATGTTCATATATGGCATCCATATCGTTTCATTATTCCTTACGTTGCCGTTAGCCCATATGCGCTGACAAGCTTCCCAAAAAGTGTCAGCAAGATTGGGCAATTGAGAAAGATGGGGACACGACATGACTACTTTAAATAAGTAGGAAGCTACAAGCTAGTAGCGAAAATGATGAAATGAAACTGCTGCTTCAGGTCACCAATTTAGCGAGTTTTACCGTGGGTAAAACGACCAGAGTCTCTATGGAGAACTTGCCGGCGATAAGCCAAATGAACAAACAGTAAGGGCTAGCACAGACAAGATCGAGAGACTCCCCTTTTAAACTTTTCGTTGCTCCTGTTCTGTGTCCAACCTTTGGGGTTTTTAAGCAGCGTTGGCGACGGCGGTGTTGCGGCGACTATGCGCCGCTTTCTAGGGAACAAAGGCGAAAGAAAGTGGAGTTTTTCATGTTAATTGGAATGTAATACTTTTTGGAATGTTGTTCAAGTTGACTTGTTGACAGCATTTTCTACGGGCAATTGGACATCGTCTAGGTCTTCGGGAATGTCACAGTATTCACGCAATTGCTTCACATCTGCACCCATATCACGGCAAAACGCGAAGAGAGTGTGAATCTGATCTGTCCACATATTTGCAGCTTCCAAATAGCGTCTTGTTTCCATTTTTTGTGTTTTCACAGCAGCAGGGTCCAATCGCTTTTGTTTTTGTATCTCTTCTTGTAAATTATTGATTTTTTCTTGTAGTGATGTGAGTGTCTCTACCGTATATTCGTTGTTCTCATTGGGATCTTCTGGTCGGGCACGAAGTTTTTTCTCTTCCTCAATGGTTGAACACAATTCTCCAATTTTTAGTTCCAACTGCTGAATTTCTTGTTCTAATTTTACAATTAAAGCCTCACGAGAACGTTTCGACTGAGAAGGGAATGACCAATAGTAGTTACTAGTACCGATTTTTTCGCAATGAACCACTCCATCATCAACTAACGATTGTAGTACTTCCTTTACTGTCTGCATGACGATGTGTCTTTTTGATCCGAGCTTTTCCAGCTCTTTTAACTGGTAAAAGTCTCGCTAATAATCGTGTTAGTGAATACGCTTGCTGTCGTTTTTATGTCAATGAGCTACAAACCGACTCGTAAAAAATTTGTTCCAGGCGCCTTCTTTTCTCATCTAACGACAATCCTTTGGGAGGCATACTTAATGCAATTGTTTGTGGTAGAAGGAAAAAACAACGCGTGCTTTGGCTTATATACTGTATTTAAGACGCGTTTCTTTTCATGTTGCGCGACGCGTTTTAACGACCGCGTGACGTAATACGTCGCGTTTTATAAAATAAGCGTAAATTAAACGAGTGTTCTACCACCAATCAACGCAAAATGCGATAGAAAGAATGGCAAATACTGATACAGCATATTCATTCGCCGTCACCAAGAATTAAGGCAGGCGTATTTTTTTTTTACAGAAAGAACGCATGCCGCTTTCTGTTCTTTTCATACTTCGTCGCTGAAAGTTCCCGTTCTTGCTCACATAACAAACATCCACGTTCACCCCGCCTACCACGGAAGAGATAATAAATGGCGCAAAAATAGCACAATTGGGGAAGGGGTTGTTGCCGAACCAATCAACGTTCGCTATACAAAGGACCGTCGATCACTATTTAGCTTCCCCACAATACGGCCCGATCGACGCGCCCATTTAGTAAAAATTGAATGCGGTTACGTGCACGAAGTTATTTTTCAGCTGCTGTTAATGCTCTTTACTTTCACCTTTTCTCGTCTCATACACCCACCATTTCATAGTGTCCTCGGTCTCTTGCTGGACCCTGATGTCATGCCTTCGCTTGCCCCGCGCTTTACTCTAATTCTCTCCCCATTTCTGACCAATCGTATGATTGTGGAACCATAGCACAATCGCGTTTTTGAATTTCATTAATTCTATTGGATAGTCGGAATAAAGCGGAAAACATCCCGTCATTTATTGGTTAGAAACCAGCAGACTTAAGTCGCAACATTATTTTATTCATTTTTTAAACGGGTGGCTTAAGTCTCTCATGCGTAGGATAAAACGAGCACAAATTCGTAACTGCACTCCTACCATCTCCCAAGCTCCAACAATCCTCCGAGTAGACCTCTCCTCTACCACGATACCACCTTTTGGCCCGTTTCGTTAGGTCTGGAGTACTCCCAATCTTCCAATCTCCATTTGTGTATTTTACACGGCATCGGCTGTTTGTTATTGTAATATTAGTATTTGTGGCCGCTGACTGTTCTTTGTACAAGGGAAAATTTCTACCACTTTAAGCCAGGATTGCAAAATTACCACTGTGTGGCGATTTATTTTGAACGATTCTCCGGGAGAAGTCCGTACAACTCTTCTTCTTGTCACCTCTGCTTTTTGGACTTATTTGACAAAAGTAGGTCTCTGTAAATATTAAAGGAGGTCCCCAATTTGTTCCTTAGATTTGCTGTGTACTAATTTCTACAAAATGGTTGTCTCGATGGTTTCTATTTTGCTGTCCGTCGGACTTGCTTGGTATGTGGGCTATATTGCCAATCAAATTTTCAACCGTGACCCGAAGCGTCCGCCTGTTGTATTTCACTGGTTTCCCTTCATCGGTTCCGCTGTGACATATGGTATTGATCCTTATGTCTTTTTCCGTCAGTGCCGTGCTAAATACGGCGACGTGTTCACTTTCGTACTTATGGGTCGCAAGATTACGGCATACCTTGGTGTGAAGGGAAACGACTTCCTTTTCAACGGTAAGCTGGCTGATCTCAGTGCCGAGGAGGCTTACTCCCACTTGACTACTCCTGTATTTGGTAAAGACGTTGTTTACGATGTCCCTAACCATGTTCTTATGGAACATAAAAAGTTTATCAAGTCTGGTCTCGGTTTCGACCAGTTCCGTGCCTATGTCCCCCTTATCGTCAACGAAATGCACGATTTCCTTGCCAAGGCTCCCACTTGGGGACCTGGTAAGTCTGGTGTCGCTGATCTGTTGGCCACTATGCCTGTTATGACTATCTATACTGCTTCTCGTACTTTGCAAGGTGAGGAGGTCCGTGCTGGTTTTAACGCTGGCTTTGCCGACTTGTATCATGATCTTGACCAAGGCTTTACCCCAATCAACTTTATCTTCCCATGGTTGCCCCTTCCCCGTAACAAGCGCCGCGATCGTGCTCACAACATCATGGCCGAAACCTACTTGAACATCATCAAGAAGCGTCGTGCTGCTCACGAGAATCCCGGCACCGATATGATCTGGACTTTGATGGGTAGCCGTTACAGGGATGGCCGTCCTCTTAAGGACCATGAGATTGCTAACATGATGATTGCCCTCTTAATGGCTGGCCAACACACTTCCGCTGCTACGATCATGTGGATTTTGTCCTTGCTGGGCAGCAAGCCTGAGGTCATTGAGATGCTCTATGAAGAGCAGAAACGTGTTTTCGGAAAGGAGCTTCGCCCTCTTGACTTCGACTCCTACAAGGATCTCCACTTGGTGAACTACGTTATCCGCGAGGCTCTTCGCCTTCACCCTCCGATCCACAGTATTATGCGTAAGGTGAAACGCAACTTGGCTGTCCCTGGCACCAAGATTGTCATTCCTGCTGGTCATCATTTGCTTGCGGCCCCGGGTGTCACTGCCACCGATGAGGAGTTCTTTGCTCACGCCAAGGACTTCGATCCCGAGCGTTGGAATTCTCGTGTTAACGAGGACGAAGGCGATGTGGAGAGAGTTGACTATGGTTATGGTCTCGTCACTAAGGGTGCCGCTTCCCCTTTCCTTCCATTTGGAGCTGGTCGTCACCGCTGCATTGGAGAGCAATTTGCCACGATGCACTTGTGCACTCTTGTTTCTACGTTTGTTCGTGAGTACAAGTGGACGACCGTTGGCGGCGTGCCCAAGGTGGACTATTCCAGTATGGTTGCCCTTCCGCTTGGTCCTGTAAAGATCGCCTGGGAGCGCAGGGAGTAAGGATGAGTGCTCTTTGTCGTCGGCGGGAAACACAGTTGCTACGGAATCGTCCGAAACATTGTCTTTTATCTTGATTTTTCTGAAAAGTGCCCAGAGCGTTCGTGTGAAACGATATCCTCTTGTGCTGCCTTTTCTTGTATCTTTTACCATTTTACCTTTTTGAATGTGCTTTTTAAAGATGCTTCTGTATTACGTCCGGCACACTTCACATCTTCTCCTTTTTCTTTTCCTTATTTTTATGAGGGTTGGCATGCCGTTACGACGCGAAGCTGGTCCGACATGTTGGCCGGGCAGTGATACCTGCCTGCCTTGATGTCGGCCCAGGCTCGTCGAGACTGGCTGTCTGTACTTTTTAGTGTACTACATTTTGGCATGTATTATATATTATATATTGACCAGACGTTTCAGGTGTAGTTGTGTTACTTGGGCCAGAGATGAGTGAGGTATCGTTTTTCGTAGAGCAAGCGGCTGCTCAAGCAGCGTGGAGGCCTTACGGGCAGGGAGCAGGCAGTCGGCTCCGCGTTGGGTCGGTGTCATCCAGGCCCACTGTGATGAAACCTGCCAATCCGGGCTAGCCTCTGTTTCCCCTTACGCCTTGCATCTCATCTCCCGTCCGGTTCATTCTAGTTCATAATGTTTCGTCACATCTCGTTGACGGTGGTTTCCGCTCAATGAACAGCCCACAGAATCGCTAACAAAAAGCACATAGCGAAAAGAACGCGCACCCCAAGGGGTTTCGAAGCGGCCGACGCGATCTCTGCAAGGTTGAGCCGAACGGAAAAGTTGTTATGGCTGGGAGCCAAAGGTCTGACGCCAATGCAGTAGTTACCGTTCGTGCGAAGGGCAGCCTGGTACGAGGCATCATTGTGTTGAGCAGGAGCCCGTAAACTGTTACTGACGTCCCAGTACTTGGAATTGGAGCCAACCGAGTAATCGCCGTACGACTTGTTGTCTACATTACACACATCATTGCTGTTGTCAGAATCGCTAGACGGTCCGTAGATGAAGTAAGCAAACGGATCGGTATGATTCCGTGTAAATGAGATTGATGCCACACCAATTTTGTGTTTGTCGACTGTAATCTGGGCACAGTAGCAGCCAGATGTAGCCACTAAGACACCACTGGTTGTCGCTGTTGCATGCGAACGTCCATACACCGAACCAACAATTGTCGAAAGTACGAGTGTGTAAGAGACAAGGCTAGTTCGCATGACAAAAAGCTGAATGACGCGTGGACCAATGCCGTGACATAAGGTCCTTATAAGTAATGCCGGACTACTTTACAGCTTGAAATCGCTTTACGGCTACTAGTGTCGCTGCCCTTTTTGAGTCAACGCATGCATTGGCCGATAGGATCTGTCGCCGCCGTATGAGTTTCAGGGCTTCTCCATAAGCGTAACGTGGTAGCATGCTAGATACGACAAACCACACAAAGAAGAAAGCTAAGACACCCCTATGGAACGAGGAAGGACGATTGCCAGGAAAAGGCAAGAAAATCACGCAAAACGTGATGCTCATGGTGGTCTGTGAGAATGATTGAGCAGCGCTAACAGCAAACCCCGCTGGGAAAAAATAACAATCCAAGAGTTTTGCAAATACGAGAGTGCCCGTGGAGGAACACCAGCCGAGATACTCTTTCTCATGAAATCATCAGTAAAAGTGCGGCTGCATGCGCTTCATTCCGATTGCACAAAGTATGTGAATTCATGCGCAACGGCCCGTACGGCAATCATTACATGGTCATCTTTAGTTAGTTTCTTTTCTTGTAATTCTGTATGCTTCTATCTCTTCGAATAGCCCCCACCACTCCCCACTTGAACCGTTTTGGTGTTGAGTTTCTCTCGGCCCCCACGAATTCTCCCACACACAAATTCTCATTCTACCACCACCACCACCACCATCCCACTACTCTACCACGCGACGCGTTTTCCATTTAACACCAGGCAACCTTAGTGCCAGCTACTACGAGCCACACACCCAAGCCATCTCACCCACAGCCAACAACACTCATCGCCGAAAGCCCAGTTTCTTCTTCAAACTGACCGAATATCAGGACTTCGGCTGCAATTGACATGATTTCCGGGTTTTCCAACGGATTTTGGTCCAAGGACTATGCGACTGGCGTGAAAACTGTTTTCGAGCAACTGGACAAGGGCCTGGTCGAAAACTACCAGTGTATGGCGGCAGCGATTAGAGTGTCGGTGTCGACGCCGACGGTATTGTGCTGATATCTTTAGTCTGGAGTCGAAATCGGCCTTGCTGGTCGTGTTTAAAGCTTATTCGGATGAAGAATTTATTTAGCTAACCTTCGTTTAGTGCTGGAGCTGCTAAAGCTGTATCAACAGGCAAATGAAGAGTTTGGACAGAAACTGAACGCCATTGGTAGTTCATTACTGCAGGTTAATGGCGGACATACCTCTGAAGATACGGCAACTACCAAAAAAGCAGTTGATGGTTTCCGTTATGAGATTACCAATCAAGGTCGGCAATTTTGTCGCATTGCACACGACCTGCAGACTCTCATCATCGGCCCACTGAGCAGAAAAAGTGAAGATCACAGCGAGAAGGTGCAACGAAGCAATACCGTTCTCAACAACCCAAGTTCGTGTGTATGAAAAGAAACTCGTTGACACACGGAAAGCTGAAAAGTGTATACTTCAACAAGTGCCGAACATTTGAAGACTATGTTGAGGAATTACAGAACACAGAGGGTCCAGAGGCACTCGAACTTGCTCGAATGACCAACAGAGACAGTATCAACGGTCACAAGAGCACTGGAAGCAGCAGCTCGGTTGCAAAAAGCAATTCTGAGGAGAGTGTTGACACAGCGAAACTCGATGAGGACAAAACGATCGTACATGTCGGCTTCACTAAATTCACTCGCTCAGAGTTTCGTGACGTTATTGCACAAATGCTTACACAGCTACCTCTTGCCGACAAACGTGTTCCTATTCTGGGTACGTATCAGCACACCTGTTCTGGTAATACGATCGTGACTTGGCTTCAAGAAAATCTTGAGATTCCAAATGTTGTTTCAGCAGAAGCGTTTGGACAAAGCTTACTCACAGAGGGCTATATTCGTTACCTCGGCGTTGTCGGCGGCACATTCTGTAACAGCAGTAACATTTTCTATCAATGGAAGGATAAGGCTTTCCAATTCTGCGGACTGAAGGGCGAAGCAGAACTGGCGGAGAACGTGAAAGCTGTTCCCATCGTCGGCACATATCTCTCCGGTTACTTGTCGAATCGCAAACGTTATGCTTCTGAAACTACGCTACAGCGGCTGGAACGCGAGGCGAAGGAAGCGAACTCAGATTACAAAAGTGCCGTCCGTGATCTGGATAAAACACGAACTTTGCTCGAGGAAAACCTTTTTGATCATTTTGTTTTCCTTCAATCATGTGTGAAAGAGCGCGCTGGAATGGTGAAGGACGTATTTTCCAACACTTCCGCCGTCGTCTCCAACGTGGTGCCTGCCATGCAGGCAACCGCCGATCAGATTGGCGTCTTTCACGAAATCATTCAACCGGACGCTGAGGTTCGTTTTATTCTTGAATCGCATGCTACCGGCCCATTCCTGCCACATGTTGAGGTGCATGAGGACTACTATAACAACGTTGATGAACAAACGTTCGGTGTTGAGCTTGACTTCCTCGCTCGTCGTGATAAGAAGCGTGTTCCTTTGCTCATTAGTACCATCCTCTCCTACCTTGATGAATGTTATCCAGCCTTTGAGTCTGACGATCAGCGACAAATGATCTGGACTCGCTCCCCTCCCTTGTCTTCCATCCACCAGCTTCGTGAAGCCATTATCCAGTCCAATGGCATAAGTCGTGAGATTCTGACACATTACGATCCTCAGGTGATTGTCGGCTTGCTCAAACTCTTTCTTCTTGAGCTTCCCGACTCTCCGATACCTTCGAAGTTCTATGAGGTCGTACGTTCTATATATGTCAATCATGGAGCCGATGAAACGATGCGCAACCGACTTGTCCAAAGCATGTTGAGCCAGCTGAGAATTGTAAATATTGCGGCTCTCGATGCCATTATAACTCATCTGAGTCGCTTAAATGCGCTAACAACGAACGATGCCAGCTCGGAATTTATAAACCGAGTATCCGTCGTTTTTTCGCTCTGTTTCCTGCGACCAGAGACTTGGACTGTGGCTACGCAGCATGACAAGCATCCTCAGAAGCTTGCATTTGACTTGCTGTCGAACGGGCCTCTTATTTTTACCGAACTCAAGCGTTCCGCCGCTTCTCATAGAAAGGCTAGCATAACCGGAAGAAGTGTGTCTATCGATTCTTCTATCTCTGCTGATCCTTACCAACGTCCTCCATCAATTGAATCGCTTTCCTTGACAGATGATGCTACTGCCGTACAAGAAACGCAAACGGAAGATAGTGTTTTGAAGTCACTGCCTGAGAATTCCAAGTCCCCTTCGCGTGAAACTTCCCTGCGTCGTTCTGCGTACGGTTATTCCAGGAAGGGAAGACGTGTTTCAAATGCGAGTACGACCCTTTCTACCACTGAGCGCGATAGAAATTCTGCCTCACCCGAAGAGTTGGAAAACGTCGCACTCATGGAATCTAATGATGCTTAGATGAACGCATTTTTTTTTGAACGTTCTCAATGTTTGTTCGCTTGCACCTGTTCTCGTTCTTTTGGTGATGACTTCTAAGCGATGTGTCTATTGAAATGTTTTGTTTCGCATTCCCCCTCTATTTTCTTTCTATTTAACGCTTGCATATTCCAACATGTACACATGCTTACCCATTATCTCAACAAAAGCACAACTTACGCTAATATGGTGCGTTGAGTATCCCACTTTCTCTAGGTTCAACATAGCGGAAAAAGCTGTAATGTCATTTCTTTCACATATTTATTTTTTCTTTAGTAGCAGCAATTTCAATAAATAAACGACATCATTGGCACACGCAATCAAGGAAATAAGCTTACAAAAGGTAATAGGAAGATGATAATTGAAAGAGGAATGATTGAAGTGTAGAAACGACCAAACTAAAATGAATGTACCGGATTGTACTGGGAAACGAAACGAAAAAGATGACAACTTTTCAGTGATAGATTACAAGGCAATCTTTTAAGACTAGAACGGTAACAACCGTTTTTGTTGCTGAGATGTATTAAGAACCAGTGCTAGAAACGAACATTAGTGCTGCTGTTGCAACTTGGCCAAGTTTTCCATGATTCCTTGATACTGTTGTTGGGCTTGAGACGCAGCAGCACTCATGTTAGAAGGACCAGGAACGCCGAAACCAGAAATGAATGGATATTGCGAGGGAGGTGACTGAGTGTTTGGATCATAAACAGGGGGAGAGGCCTGCGCAGCGTTTTCATAGTACAAACTCGGATTCGAATTTGATACTTGATTTAATGAAGAAGGAAACGGAAAACTTGAAGGGGAGGAAGAGGGAAGCGCAGACGAAGTAAGCAAAGTAGTAACGAGTTGTCGTAGCCCTGACACACTCAAACCGCCAATAATATTAGCAAGGTTTGGGTTTGCTAATCCTGCTGCTTGCTGGAGAACAGCATTTTGTGGGCTATACGAATTATTTGTATTGCTCACTTGCATTGCAGAAGAGTACTGCAAAGCATTAGATTTTGCGCGAGCCAGTAGCTCAGCGGCAATAGGAGCATCAATATTTGTATACTCTAGAAAGTAAGTAAAGTCAGAAAACCCGTACAAAATCTTGAAGTAGTCAACAACTTACCATCGTAATGAATTTCAAATTCTTTTGATGTCTTTTTGAATATTTGTAGGGACACCTTTCCCGAACGTTCCAGGTTTGTATTGATGTATAGTATAGCCATCACATTTTCGAGTAAGAGTTGACGCACAATAGACGAGAGAGATGTCTGTGAGGAAAGATACATTGTATCGGTGCTGAGAAAATGTGTACGGAACACTTTTTCCACATACCGTACAAACGTCCGTGCACAATCATCTGTAACAACAATCTGACAATCGGGAACAGCATGTCTCATCGACATGCTGTACTCTTCTGGTGTTCGTAATTCATGAAAATGCGTTATGTTCGGTGAGCGTGAACGCTGATCCCTATACGAGATTTGGTTAACATTAAAAGCAGAACGGGCCAAGTCAGAAGCATACCTCTTGCCCCTAAGTCTTGATGGAGAAGCAGAACGTCGCTCCGGCGACCGTGACCGACGAGAACGTTTCAAAGCACCAATTTGCTGCTGATACTTTTTCTGCGGCTTTGACGTATCCAAATGAAGCTTGCGTCCTTGTAGCATAGTGCCTTGTTCTGAGTGCAAGGCTGCAGCACATTCTTCATTAGTAAAGAATTGAGCAAATCCGTAAGTTTGCTTCAATGAAATCTGAGCCAAGCGACCGTATTTTTCAAAAATCTTCCAAACTTCACGCTTTGATACCTTTTCTGGTGGCAGATTGCCTAGAAAAAGACGAGAAGCATCTGGGAATTGTCCTGGGTACCAGGAGGACATAATTTTCTTTTCCGTCTCAAGAAACTGTTGATACGCAGGCTCATCACTGGGCTGAAACCGGTATACAATGTCCTTGTTTTCGCCATTTTTACGAGTATTTTGTCCTTCGGGAGCCGAAGATATTTCCTTTATAGACAGAAGGGGAGAGTGTTCAACAGACGACGATACAGAGGCAATGGAGGAAGAATGTGCCGTGTTGGTAAAGTGACTATAGCTACTCATACTGTCAATGGGACTTGCAAGGGTATGTGGAAAGGATGGAGCCTTAGCATCATGGACAGCCGAGGAAGATTGTACAGAAGTCGGCTGAGCTGAAGCCGAGAGACTGGTGGCGGAAGGTACTAAAGCAGAGAGTATTGCTTGGATATCAATGTTGGAAGGTTGGGCAGGTGGTTCAAGTGACTCGACAGACGGTAGCTCACTCGGTTGCCCACCTTGCACGGAAGGAAACGTGTTGTTTACGGACGGAGAAAAGGATATCGGGTTGGCGGACGGGGAATACGGAGGAGAATCTGTGTTCGGTTCGTTGTCTGGCGTCAATGAACGTTCCTGGGGAAACGACTGCGCGTCGACTGATGCTTCTACAGAGGATTTCGGCACAATATTTCCATTATTGGTACTTTCTCCATAGATAGGAGGTGCACCTGATGTATCTGTTCCCGTTTGTGGGTTCGACGAATCCGCAGCTGCATCAACATGAGACCCCAACAAGGCTGCAGACGAGCCAAGCGGTTGTGTCGATGGTGCTTTTTCATCGTTCAGAGCCGAGGACAAATCGTTCTGCTCCTTGCCCTCAGTAACGTCGTTCGCATCACCGTTTTCAACAGCAGGCTGGATGGAACTTTTTTCAGCATCAGCTGAGACTTCCACGGACGAAGAAGCGGTCCCTGTGGTATCTGAAGCAATCAATTGTTGATCAATTTCCTGCGTTTCTTGGTGAGAGTCCATGGACAAGGCGTTTCACGCTTTCAAAGCAAATGCAAATGAAATCACGGGAATTGCTTGTGAATCGACTGACGAACGCGTTTTAACACGCAAACACAGTAAAAACGAGTCTAAATAACACAAAATCACAGGACAAGAAGATAATCTCAGAACAAAAACACCGAACGAAGAAAACAAAACCAACAAAATAAAAAGCACACGCGGTACGAGAACTAGAGACAAAAACACTAAATTCTTCTGATAAATATTTTCCGTAAAGGTGCTTCAAGTACGTTTTCGTGTCCTGCTACAGGCAAAATCACCGTGTATGCATACAATGAAGAAGTTCGTTCTGGTTGAATGACCGGTGTGTTCGCGTGTTTAAGGTTTTTATACATGCCTCACCTTTCCCTTTTCGAAAGAATGACGTAGAGGGGTATGACGAAACCGCCACCAACGAATCACCAACGAATCGTGTAGAAGCCACGTGAAACCTTGCGAAGCCTTAAATAGTCTAATTGACGTAACGAGCTTCTTTGCGCTTCGAACCAAAATTGCCACAAATTACGAGAACGTTCTGGAATCGAAGAAGTGAAATAATTCGCTTTTATTTTGGCATTATTATTCCTACTCTGCACCCACGAGTCGGGACCTGACGTCTTTCTAAGATCATGGTGCATTTTAGTGATCCCCTGATTTTAAGCTTAGATAATAAACTAACTTAGATTTCGCTAAGATAATCATCAACGGCGCTAAACACCATCAGCCTGTGTGCTTGAAGCACGCTCCTGGTTGGTGAGATGCCGAGCCGACTGCTACTTCAAAAGACAACACATACTTGTCCTTCCATCCCACCCAACACCCACTCACTCACCCAGTTTGACTCGAACCGGATTGAGAAGACTCAACGATGGAGCAACCTCCTCTTGCCGCCGTAGATCCTTATCCCTTGACGAACCCTCAAAGCCCTCCTGGCCATCCTGGCAATTTAACACCGGCACAGAGTGAGAAACTGAAACTTGTCCGGGAAAAGCTTCTGAGTCTGGGTTACACCAAGCGTCTGGATGATGCCACATTGGTATGAAAGACCTTCTGAAGCAGTTCAAGAGGTTACTAATGTAATTTACTGTGTAGTTGCGTTTTCTCCGTGCTCGGAAGTTCAACATCCATCAAATGCTGGAAATGTTCACCAACTGTGAGAAGTGGAGAACCGAGTTTGGTGTCGATGACCTTGTAAAGAACTTCAAATACGAGGAAAAGGAAGCTGTGTTCCAGTACTATCCTCAATTTTATCATAAGACGGACAAAGAGGGTCGCCCTGTGTATATTGAACAATTGGGCAAGATTGACTTGAAAAAAATGTACCAAATTACTACACAAGAGCGTATGCTCCAGAATCTTGTGTATGAATACGAAGTGCTTGCCGAGGAACGCTTTGTAAGTCTTTTAGGAAGTGTTTACAACCGATTGGAATGGGAGCTTGAAAAGCCCTAAAAGTTGGTCGTACTCACTCTCCGCAGCTTACCATGGCTTATGAACAAACGTACTAACCGCTATCTGCTTCTAGCCTGCCTGTTCTCGTATGTCCGGCGGTCTCATTGAAACGTCGTGCACGATTATGGATTTGAAGGGTGTCGGCTTGACCAGTATTCATTCTGTGTACAGTTACGTCAAACAAGCCTCTAGAATTGTATGTGAAGGAAACGTGTATGAGTGCTGTTATGCTGCTTCTCTACGGTTCCCCCGCCCCTTTATTTTCCCGCTAACAAAGTTCACAGAGCCAAGATTACTACCCTGAGCGTATGGGCAAGCTTTATCTCGTTAATGCTCCATGGGGATTTTCCTCCGCGTTTAATTTAATCAAGGGCTTTTTGGATGAGGATACCGTGAAGAAGATCCACGTCTTAGGTTCGAGCTACCAAAAGCATCTTTTGGCTCAAATCCCGGCGGAGAATCTCCCACTCCGTTTTGGCGGAAAGTGCGATTGTCCTGGAGGCTGTGAGTTTTCGGACGCTGGTCCTTGGCATGATCCTCAATGGATGAACAAGAAGGTGACAGCGACTGTTGAGTCCGAGAAGTAAGTATACTTATGATGCTTCTGAACGGAGTACGACTTTGACGGGAGCGCCATGCAAGAACGAAAACGTATAGATCATGGCTTACGTCAAAGCAGGCACAATGTGAAACATTCTAGTGTTCCCATGCTGACCGATAAACCATTTTGTTTAACTTAAAGATCAATAAATTTGCATACTGCATATTGCATACAGCATTAAACAAACGCGGGAGTAGTAATGGCGTTTTTATATAGCGACCCATTGTTAAGAATTGTCGATTCTGTCTCTGCTGCCACACGACGCATGCTGATCATTACGAGTCTCTGTCAGTCTTGTTGGTTAGCGCATTAGCGAGACACGTGGGTGTGGGGCAAATAGGGATGGTTTAGGAGCGCAAACGCAGTCGAAGGAGATTATCATTTCCTAGCTGTTGTTGTATGGGACGCGTTGTGCCCACTCCCATACGCAAGGCCAGTAGCGAGAATGGATGAAAAGGCGCTATTCGGCACTTTCATGCGTACAGCTGCATGCTGCACTGAATTGGCGAAGGAGGACATTCCGTTCTGCAAATCTGTCGACTCAAAATTCGGGAGAAGCCTGTCAGATTTGTCTAAACGTCTTTTGAACGTTAGTCAGTCGTTTCTGAGTAAAATTGACGGAAACAAGGCATCAGGACTTGTAGACGTTGAGGACATTAATAATCGGTGGAGTGATATTGTCGATTCTATCGATACGTTGCTCGAGAATGCAGTAAGTAAACGAATCGACCAAGGAAGCGCGTCGACTTTGCTTCAAAGTTCATTACTAACTCAGTTTCCATAGGATCTTTCGCTCGACAAGGCAAAGGGAATTGTTACGAAGCCAAAGGTTGCCGTTGCTCCTGTAAACAATGCTCAGTCGTCGCAACCAAAGAAGGAAAAATTGCCTTACCGTCTCATTCACGCATTCAACATTCCCAAACCGCAACTTCGGTTCAAACACCCCGTCAATAATCATCCTACAACTCCATGGTTGTGGAAATTGACCGAGAAACCTAACGCACTTGTTCCTTTGGAGAAACTGCTGGACCAAGTGCGAGCAGACAAAGCATTGCAGTTGTCGCTCCCTCATCCCTATGAAGCCGAAATTAAAAACAGTAGTCGCCCCAAGCAGCTGTACGAGACGAAGAATCCTGTGCAAAAAGGAGCAGTCGAAGAGACTGATCCAATCTGGGTGGATAACAGCGAGAGCCTTCATTCTATGTTGGAGGAGCTTAAACAAGCCACTGAAATTGCTGTTGATTTGGAACATCACGACTACCGTTCTTACTCTGGCTTTGTTTGTCTCATGCAAATCAGTACACGGAACCAAGATTGGATTGTTGATACACTCGAGTTACGTGAAGAACTTGAGTGTCTTAACATTGTGTTTACCGATCCTAAAATCATTAAGGTTCTGCACGGTGCGACAATGGATGTCATTTGGCTGCAGCGTGACTTTGGACTTTATTTAGTTGGGCTTTTCGACACCTACTACGCAACCAAGGCTCTCGGTTTCGAGGGGCATGGTTTGGCCTTCTTATTAAAAAAGTATTGTCAGTTTGAGGCTGACAAACGTTATCAAATGGCCGATTGGCGTATCCGGCCTTTGCCGAAGGAAATGCTAAAATATGCTCAGTCTGACACCCATTTTCTGCTCTACGTTTTTGACTGCTTGCGGGTTGAATTGCTTGAGCAATCTTCGCGACGAAAGGAAGATCTCATGCAGTATGTGGTAAAGAGCAGCGACGACGTTGCACTTCGTCGTTATGAACGTGAGGCTTACGACGAAATCTACGGTCTGGGGACAGACGGTTGGAGACATGTCCTGACGAAATGGGGTTCTTCAAAAATCATTGGTCGTGAAGCTCTGGCCGTGTTTAAAAGTCTGCATCGCTGGCGCGATCAAGTAGCTCGCAACGAAGACGAAAGTGTTCGTTATGTTATGCCAAATCATCTTCTCGTAAAGCTTGCTGCTAGCATGCCTTCTGACCCCTCTGATCTGTACACTAGTGCACGCCAGCTTCCCCCATTAGTTCGTATGTATGCGAACGAAATCATTGAAGTAATTCAAAATGCCAGAGAGGACGAAGTGAAGCGAGCTACTACAGACGAGCAGCGCACCGAGGACACGGTTATGCAAGATCAACTTGTTACACCTGTAACAACAAGAGAGGTTGGCGCGGAGATTGTCATTCACACAGAATTGTTCGAGCCTTCAACGCAAAACAAGGCAATCATTGAATCAATGTCTACCCTGAATTCCCCGTTCTGGTGTGCGAGTGAGTTACTGCCTTCACGGAAAGACAAAGCAGATCGTATTAAAAAGTCGCTATTCCTTTCTATTCCCCTTCCCGCCACAGCGTTGGACACTAAAACGAACGAAGCTCAAGAAACACAAGTGTCAGAACCAAAACAAGAGCCTGTGGGTTCTGTTGTACCAGAGAATGAAGTGCTTATACTTCACGAACTGGGCAGTTCCAAGCGGAAACGCGGTCAATTAGAGAAAAAGGTCCGTATTCAGGAAACTACAACGGATATTGTTCCTGAAGTTTTGGCCTCTGTGCAGCAGGAAACCCCTGTAAAAACCGAGAGTCCTGATAGTCCAGACGAGGACTCGATTGCAGTAGCCCGTGAAAATGTTCCTAAAAAACGCAAGCAAAAGAAGAAAAAGGTTAAGCAAGCTAAAACGGCTGCTGCGGAACCCGAAACCCCATTTGATTATTCTGCTCAAAAGAACCCGCTGTTGTCCATGTACTCGAGTACGAAGCCCTCTTCTCGGTCTAAAGCATCCTTCAATCCCTACGCCTCTACTCAAGATGTGAAGCGTGATGTGAAGCAAGTTAAGAAGCGAAAAGCAACGAGTGGTAAAAGTAAAACTTATTAAGTGGGACACGCCTCTCATCAAAAAATGACCAAGAATGATGCATGTTTTTGTGAACACTGTTCTACTTGTGTGGTCCACAGCTTTCCAAATGATTCATACTGTCTTCTTTCACATCGCATATCGTACAGATCATTTTGAATTTTTTCGATTTTTGTCACCAATCGTTGGGCACTCTCTTTGTTTTTGTTTTTTTTTTTTTGGTTCATGGTACACAGTGGTCTTCGTTCTTCCATGTCATTTTCCCTCATAGCGTTCTTCATATGTTATAATAGAATTCTTGGAACATGGGTTCCCTATTTCTAATACTCGATTAAATATTGTCTGCAAGGGTCGAGCTAAAAAATAGTAATGCTATGGTAGAAATCCGAATGGAAATACTCGTTATTCTGCCGTTTTGTCACCTAATCAACAGGGAATTAACCATATAACTATCGCCCCTGGTATTCATCCACTTGTCAAAAACAAAATACTTTTAGACAGTAAAGGTAGTATGAAACGAGCAATGTTACACACAAGAGACTTTAGATGGACCTCCATATCCTCTACGTTGCTTCCACGTCTTGCTTTGGCCAAAGAAAAGCCGGATTCTGTTATTTTGGGGATTACGAGTACAGGAAAAGCCAATATTGAGAAGTATCAACATTTAGCTAAAGAATGTATCGAAACTGCACCCAAACCAAATGACATTCGTCTGTTTTGGAACAAAGCAGGTTTTACAAGATTGGCTTTAATACAACTTGGTGAAAATACGAATGCTACTTCTGTTCGTACAGCTGCTGCAAGTGCCGCCGCCTTGCTGAAGAAGAATGGCGCTAAAAATATTGCCGTGGATGACATGGGACATCCTGCAGCAGCTGCCATTGGTGCCGCTCTTGGTACTTACGACTTTTCGCTTCGTCGCGATCAGCTGGCTTTGACGCAAAACAACAGTCGTACGGAAAAGAAAGATCTCTTTGGAGCCGAGCCTTCAGAGCCGGTTTCTTTCACTCATCTTGGTGATGAGACGAAGAAGGATGATTTCCACACGGGTTTGATTGAGGCATGTGCCCAGAACTTTGCACGTTCCCTCATGGAATGTCCTGCCAACTATATGACATCTGTGCAGTTCTGTGACATTGCTTCCAACGTTTTCAAGGACTCATCCAAGGTAAATGTGCTTGTTCACGATGAGAAGTGGATCGATGAACAACGCATGAACGGCCTGTTGTCCGTAAACGCTGGATCTGTCATTCCTCCTCGTTTCCTTGAAGTCCGCTACCAAGGTGCATCAAACGCTGATGACAAATGGCTTGCTCTTGTGGGCAAAGGCATCACCTTTGATGCAGGTGGAATTAGTCTTAAACCGTCTGCAAACATGAAAGAAATGCGTGCTGATATGGGTGGTGCTGCCGTCATGTTGTCTACTGTATTTGCCATTGAAAAGCTCCAATTGCCCATTAATGTTGTGTTTGTTACTGCCTTGACAGAGAACCTGCCATCTGGTTCTGCCCAAAAGCCAGGAGACGTGATCTTTATGCGCAATGGCTTGAGTGTTGAAGTTGATAACACTGACGCTGAGGGTCGTTTGGTGCTGGCAGATGCAATTCATTACGTCTCCGAAATGTATCCTACGAAGGCCGTCGTTGAAGCTAGTACACTTACTGGCGCAATGCTTATGGCCCTGGGAACCGTGTATACGGGTGCTTTTGTTCAGGGCGAAGAATTGTGGTCCAAGATTGACCAAGCAGCAAAGGCTACTGACGAGCCTTTCTGGCGTATGCCATTCCATGATGCATACTTAAAACCTCTGACAAAGTCCTCTGCGGCTGATTTATGCAATGTGAGTCGCGGAACTGGCGGCGGTGCTTGTGCCGCCGCAGCATTTGTCAAGTGCTTCCTTGCTAATAAGGATGATGTCTTTGCCCATCTTGACATTGCCGGTGTTATGAACAAAAAGGTGAACGCTTGGGACTTTGATGGTATGAGTGGCCGTCCCGTTCGCGCTCTCATTGAACTTGCTCGTCTCTATGCTGAGGCCAGACTTTAATCGGCAGAACAGAACATGAATTTAACTCAAACTAAGCCGAATGATTCCCTATTTTCCCCTCCTTTCGAATTAATTTCCGCCAATCTTCAATTGCACCTGGCTCGTACATGACTATTTTGTTTTCATTCACCCTATTGTGTTGGCGAAACAAACCTTGGAGCTACCATTTGCTACAATATTCTTCTATGAACTCATCTGAATCAACATCTCCTTTCTACGCTATGTTACGTTTTAATACATGTTTGATGTAAACAACCGTAACTACCAATAAAAAAAATTTTGCAAGGCGTCTTCTATTTCTACGAGCTCCTCGTTTAGGACATACGTTTTGCTTCATATTTGTGGCTATTATAGCGAAGCAAGAAACATCTTGTGTATATTTGCTAATGACTCTAACATGACTCATCTCGACGCAACAAGCTGATAATATTTGTGTATAGCCACCGTCGTTGAAGACGAGGCGTACAAATGATTGCTTCATTTACGGGACTTCGTCACCATATGCTAACTCACTCTCCGACGGCGACATCTGGTACTAACAAATTGTCTTTCTTCGGAGAACTTACTGATACATGTAAACAATGATGTGACTCGAATATGCATGACAATTTGGTAATATCGTCGTAGCACGAAAGTCTATCCAATACTAAACCATCCTCGGTTTTGAGATGGACCGACGAGGATAAGTTATGTAATACGGAACGGGTTGTGATTCATTCATTACCTGCGCACTTATATATAAAGAAGATTGCTTGTCTGCTTCCGGAGACCATACAAGATAACTGCATTTTATTGTCTTACATTATGTCTGGAAAAGGTGAGATTCTTGTTGGAGAATATTTGTTCCAACGCCTGCTCGAATTGGGTGTCAAGTCTATCCTTGGTGTGCCCGGTGACTTTAACTTGGCACTGCTTGACCTAATTGAGAAGATTGGCGACGATTCTTTCCGCTGGGTCGGTAACACCAATGAATTGAACGGAGCTTACGCTGCTGACGGTTATGCCCGTGTGAAGGGAATTTCAGCCATTGTTACTACTTTCGGTGTCGGTGAACTTTCTGCCATCAACGGTCTTGCTGGTGCTTATGCCGAGCACGTTCCAGTCGTTCACATTGTTGGTATGCCCTCAACCAAGTCTCAAGCTTCTGGCGCTTTGTTGCATCACACGCTTGGTAACGGGGATTTTACCGTGTTCATGGAAATGAGCGAGAAGGTCTCGGCCTACACCGTCATGCTCACAGACGGCGAAACTGCCGCCGACAAGATTGACAAGGCCTTATCCATCAGCTACCGCAAAGCCAGACCCGTGTACATCGGTATTCCCAGCGACGTCGGTTACTTTAAGACCAGCTCGGCCGGCTTAAAAAAGCCCCTTCAGCTGGAGGAACCTGCCAACGATCCTAAGATCGAGGAGGAGGTCGTTCACACCATCGTCCAAATGATTAATGCTTCCAAGAAGCCTGTTATTTTGGCCGATGCTTGTGTTACTCGTCACCGTGTGATCAAGGAGTTGCACGAGCTCATTAACTTGACACATTTCCCCACATACGTTACTCCTATGGGTAAGTCCTCAGTCGATGAGGTCTCCGAATGGTTTGACGGTGTATACGTTGGCTCCATCAGTGACCCTGCTGTCAAGGATCGCATCGAGTCGAGCGATTTGATTCTTTCTGTGGGTGGTCTTAAGTCTGACTTTAACACGGGCTCTTTCTCCTATCATATCAGCCAGAAGAATACCATCGAGTTCCACTCGGACCATACGAAGATTCGTTATGCCCTGTACCCTGGAATTTCCATGAAATATTTGCTGCGTCGTGTCATCTCTTCCCTTGACGCCAAGGCTATGCGGGCTAAGGCTGCCAAGGCCATTGGCTTCCATGTGAAGCCTGTCCATGCTGAGGGTTTCCCCAAGGACTCCATTACCCACCAATGGTTCTGGCCCAAGTTCAGCGAGTTCTTGATTCCTCGCGATGTCGTCGTCACCGAGACTGGTACTGCCAACTTTGGTGTCCTTGACGTTCGTTTCCCGCACAACGTTACTGCCATCAGCCAAGTTCTTTGGGGTTCCATTGGTTACTCCGTTGGTGCAGCCTTTGGTGCAGCTTTGGGTGTTTACGACTCTGCAGAGCCTGATCGCCGTACCATCCTCGTTGTCGGTGACGGTTCTTTGCAATTGACGCTTACGGAAATTTCTACGTTCATTCGTCAAGGCTTGAAGCCCATCATTTTCATTCTCAACAACAACGGTTACACAATTGAGCGTTTGATTCATGGTTTGCATGCCGTTTACAACGAGATTAACACAAAGTGGGGCTATCAAGAGCTCCTCAAGTTTTTCGGTGCCGATCAATCGCGTACATACAAGGTTCAAACACCCTCCGACGTTGAGAAGTTGTTCAAGGATAAGCAATTCGCCTCTGCCGACGTGATCCAACTCGTTGAGGTTGTTATGCCCACCTTCGACGCACCACGTATTCTCGTTGAGCAAGCCAAGCTTACTGCCAAGATCAACAAGCAGTAGGGAGATGGAAGATGAGTATGAATTAACGACCTAGGAGACAATTGTGCATCTATTGATTGCACATGGCTGCTTCATTGTTTTGTTTCTCTACGTGTACGGTCGGCCATTGTCGGCTCTTATGAATGATTTTATTATGTGTCATCTCTACGAACCATTGGAATTGCATATATTCACATACATGGCGCCGAGTAAAACAGGGGGAGAACGAAGGAGTGAAGGGGACACAGTAATGAGGGATAAGAGGGATTGTATTAGTTGCAGTAGACGTACATTTGTCAGTGGGCAGAGCACAATTCACGCAGTAGATGTAGCACCCGTTGCTCTCGCTCGTTCTCGTACCATACGGAACGCTCATCATGGGAACAGATCAGGTTTCGGTAACATTCGTCAGCTTTGCGAGGCCATCGGCTGCCCTCTTTCCCTGTCAGCCTATTATGGTTCTGTTCTTTTCATAATGATACTTCCACCCGGCACCAATTCGAACAGAACTCACTCACACTGACGTGAAATTACCCGAAAAAAAAGTCTTCTACTCTTCTATTTGCGCGTAATTCGTTCGTCAAGACCAGATTTCTTTCTGAAGCGTCTACGCTCCGCAATTGTTGTTTTTGCTGAATTACCTCATTTCGCCCACGCGCTCTAATTTCGGCAACCTTGTTTTCTGGCCTGCTCCAACAAGTACGTTTCGGCGCAGTACATCTTGTAACCCTCGGTCAACCTACCCTCCGCCATTACCACGGTCGAGATAAATCTTACTGTTCTCGCAACTGTTCCGCGATTTTCACCACGATTTAAGCTTGAGAATTGCCGTAGCAGAGTTCTTTTGCAACTTGTTTTGTTTGTTTTCAACATTGTTTGAGGGTTTGCGCTAGAAAAGGCATCTACAGTTGTTTCTGCTTTAGATTTGCAGATATTTTTTGGCTTTCTGATCGGTTTCTGCCTAAAAGGACGCGTTACAGAAGGAACTGAGTGATTTCTTGACCGAAAAACGAGCTGACGTTAGTCAAACGAACCTAGTTCTCGTTTTAATATTTCTTGTTAGACGTTTTATACGCCGTATACGGTCTATATTTGTTTTCTTCACAGGCGTACGCACTGGTCGTCTGAAAAAAAAAAGCTGTTCTACATCGTTTAACAGCTTGTTGTTTTCTTTCACAAGGTTAGGACTCCAGGAATTTGCCTGTTTGTGGTCCCCCTTAATTGAATAATCTTCTTCTTCTTGTTCACGCATAATACGGTTCAAAGCTAGCATCTTCCTAGTGCTCAGCTCATCTCTGCTTCACACGCAGCAGTTTAGTCATACTCCAAACGTCTTTTTTCCTTTCACATCATCATCATGCCTGAAGGACCAGGAAGACTTGGCAATTTAACGCCAGAACAAGAGGCTTTGCTCAAACAATTCTGGAAAAAAATGTTCGAATTCTTTGAGCTGCCGCTGCAAAAACGCTCTGACAGTTTCAGCAGCGCCAAAAGTTTTCTCTCCGATTCCTCTGCTGTCAGCTTCTCCCATTACGCTGCCTCTGTTATGTCCTCTTCCACAAAGCCGTCCATCTCTACAGTTCCTGTCGGATCCATGGGACCTGCATTAAAGCCTGTACCCACTAATGCAAGTGGCCGTACGAGTAAGAGCACGAGCAAGAACAGCAGCAAGGGATCTGGCAAGAGTAAATCCCACAAAAGTTCTAAAGTGAAGAAAAACGACACGGAAGGTCGCATTCACAAAGTCCTCTCGCAATGGACACCCACCGAACTGCGTAATGCATTCTGGGAAATGATTAAAACCGACAACCCTGACGCCTTGCTTCTTCGTTTTCTTCGTGCACGTAAATGGGATCTCCAAGCCGCCGTCGCCATGTTCCTGGAAACGATGCAATGGCGTTTCCGCGAAATGAACGTTACCGACATTCTGAAGAACGCTGATCATCTCAAAGACGACAAGGATTTCCTTTTCCAATTGCGCATTGGCAAGTGTTTTATTTATGGTGAAGATTTGTGTGGTCGCCCTATCTGCTACATCCGCTCGCGTTTGCACAAGCTGAACCAGGTGTCTCAAGAGTCCGTGGAGCGTTTGACCGTTTGGGTTATGGAGACAGCCCGTCTTTTGCTGAAGCCTCCCGTGGAAACGGCCACAGTCGTGTTCGATATGACTGACTTTAGCATGTCTAACATGGACTATGCGCCTTTGAAGTTCATGATCAAGTGTTTAGAGGCACACTATCCCGAGTGTCTCGGTGTGTGCATTGTACATAAGGCACCTTGGCTCTTCCAGGGTGTGTGGCAAGTGATTAAGACCTGGCTGGACCCGGTTGTTGTGTCTAAGGTGAAGTTTACACGCAACGCGAAGGACTTGCAGCAATTCATTAAGACCGACTACATTCTCAAGGAGCTTGGTGGACCCAATCCTTGGTCATACACGTATCCCGAGCCTTGCCCTAGCGAGACCGAGGGCACACGAGACACGGTCACGCGTGACAAGCTCAAAGACGAGAAGAATGACATTGCTGTTCAATACGAAAGAGCCACGATCGACTGGATCATGGGTTATACGGATCCCGCGGAGGTGAAGGGCAAACGCACTCAACTGGCTTCGGAGCTGAAGGATGCTTACTGGCGTTTGGACAAGTACGTTCGTGGTCCCTCTGTCTACGATCGCATGGGACTTATTTCACCCAATCCCTCCTGTTTCCCAACGAAAGAATACGCCTCTAAAGTATCACGTTCTCGTCGCTAATCGTATTCGTCTTCGTCTGATGAACACTGGCGTCGCCGACTTGATGCTAACGCTTTCACGTAATACGATCACTATTCATTACACACACACACACACTCACACACACGCACTACAGACACGAACAAACACGAACTTTCTTCTACAACACGCAAAACACCTGCTCGCGCGCATCCGTGCACGTTTTAATTCTTTTTTGTTTCTTCCCTCGCTTTTTGCGATTGCATGCGGGACGCGCTTTGCCTCCTCGTGTATGATTTAACTTACGTACATTCCTTAAAAACGTGTTCATGAAGGCGCTAAAGGTCGGGACGACGGGTAGGAAGGAGGGGAGCGACGGGTGATAGAATTGGGAATTGATTTCCAGGGAGGGTGACATGAAGGCGGGATCAACGGCAACAGAGGTTGGGCGGGGAACAGCGGAAAAACGGTTCCATCTCTTGAGCTCATGATCAAGGCGTCTGCTGGTGAGACGCCAGTGTTGTCGCGGTCGAGATCACGGAGCAATTCGTTTTTTCCTCGCAGCCGTCTCTACACGGCGGCTGCTACTGCTGCTACTGCCATATGGCTAGCGAGACGGGCCACGTCATCGTTCTTCTTGCGCATGCTGAATTAAGCGGTCACGTGATGCGGCATCGCTTCCTTAAGCGAGATGCTTGAGTTTGGCGGGGGATCGACACTCAGGTACAGCGGGAGGTACCGCGGGCTTGACAGCAGGTTCCTTTTAACAAACAAAACGCCATAAACAAAACATTGACTATTTCATTATATCGATTCCCGATAGTCTTCTTTGACAAGCTTGAATCATCTTAACTTATACGAATTAAATCCCAGTCCCATACGATGGCAATCAAAACGTCGTCAACATCAGCATGGGAAGTCGAGCTGAACCTGGCTATTAATGTGGCACGCGAGTGCGGGATCATCATTAGAAACGCTCGGGACAAGAGAATGACGGGTTCGGTGATGGCCGGCCCTATAAACACCAAAATGAATACAACAGACTTGGTCACAGAAACAGATGTTGAGGTGGAGCAGCTCGTGAAACGTTCCCTCGCACAAAGATTTCCCGAGTATGCCTTCGTGGGCGAAGAATCGTATGCAGCAGGCGAAAAAACGGTTCTTACTGATCAACCCACTTGGATTGTTGATCCCATTGACGGTACAACGAACTTTGTGCATGGATTTCCCTTCGTCGCTGTCTCTATCGGATTGTTTGTGAACAAGACGCCTGTAGTCGGCGTCGTGTACAATCCCATACTCGACCAGCTGTACTACGCGTCCAAAGGATGTGGTGCGTATGTCGTGGACAATGCTCGAAACACAGTCGACAAAACCGAGGAACATGCAGTGCGTCTTCCACTCGTGCGACAGCCTCTGGGACCAGTCAACACGTCTGTCGTTACTTGTGAGTGGGGAAGCGACCGCTCTGGCAACAATTTTGAAGCAAAGTGTGCTTGCTTCCGCAATTTGGCTGCCGACAGAGCAGATCATGGAGGGATGGCACACGCATTGCGTGCCATCGGTTCAGCAGCCTTGAATACATGTTTGGTTGCTACGGGCCAGCTGGATGCATACTGGGAAGGCGGTCCCTGGATCTGGGATATAGCTGCTGCCTCGTGCATTCTGACCGAGGCCGGCGGAGTCCTGCTCGATGCCAATCCTCCAAAGGACACGGACGTTATTGTGCCCATTTCAGGCCATGGCTTTGAATGCCGTCGATACTTTGCTATTCGACCGTCCACGAATGGCTATAAGGATCAAAAACCCTTTGCTCGCGACTTTTATCAATACGTGACCGTCCCTTTGCAGTTCTAGCGTTAGAACAAGTGGGATACGATGAGACATGCTTTGCTAATGAATGACAATTATACACGATGGACTGAAAGAAGTCCCTTGCTACATCAACGGTCGCACTGAGACGTTCACGTCTTGCGACTTGTTCAGTTTCTCCTTGCTCGCCATGTCCACCGAGATCAAACTGGCTTGGTCAGCCTTGTGAGAAGAAGTGTTGACTTGCTCTCCGGACGGAGGCTGATCATGACCGTCTTCCTCAGTAGATGCAGTAGCCTGCTTTTGTAATTCTTGTGTGTTGGGCGCAAAGTAACCATAACAGATGCCGTATAGAGCAATTACAATCATGGGCAGAAAGCCGATGACAAAAACATATGCCGAGCGGACATCCTCGTTGTACAAGTGCAGCTGTGCATTCCAAGCACCAACAAACTGGAAAATAATTCGAGGAATGAAACACAAGAGGAGGAACAGGATTGCTGTGTCGCGTTGTCTAGGACAGTTGCCGTAGAATTTTCGATAGACGAGGAACTGTCCAAGGATTGCTAACCAGCAAAGTGTTAAGAAGACACAAGCGACTTTTGCGCGAGAATCTACCACAACATCCAGATTCCCCTCCGTAATTGCTGCCCATGGTCGCAAGGCATCGAGAAAAAAAGTTATGAGTAGTAAAATGTAAAACAGAACGGGCACGTAAAACTCGAACCCGTAGATCCAGTGATCGCGTGAGTCGAGCTTCTCTATAGTCTGGTTTTGTGCAAGCAGGTACACGCGGCGACCATAACCGTACGATGAGACGAAGTGCCATAAAGATGCCAAACAAGCACAAGTGCCCGCCTGAAAGAGGAAACCTAGCAGGGCGACATAATTGCCCGGCAGTATCGCGCGGTCGATTTCAATCCAGTCAAGTCCGGCAAACGCTAGCAAGAAGAGCATGAAGGTTAAAAAAATCCACTCAGCTCTTCGCCTGCACCGTGCTGTGCAAGGGTTGTGCGGACATGCCCAACCATGTTTTATCATGTTGGGGAGGATGAACGCAACAAGGACGAAACAGATAACGGAAATGAGAACGCCAGTCCTGCCATGGGGACCAATGGGTAAAATGGGCGAGTCACAATGCACACCGACAAGTGTGCCATCGTCGTCGATGGTGGGGACATACTCATCGTTGTACACACAACAGTACGTATCATTGCTGAGAGTGTCGTTGGCGTACCATTGATAGTCAAAGAACCGAAAAAGGGCTGCTTGCGAAGAATTCATTGCAAAGCCCAAGCTGAAGAAATGCGAATTGTAGATGTGACGAAAAGCAATCAACGATGGATCGAAACAGAATGGAGAGTCGTTGAGTAAGAAAGAACGCGTGTCTGCACTTGTGCAAGAGAGAGGAGGATGATCGAGTGCGTTTGGTAAACGGCGCATGCGGAAGAAGGAGCATCACTATGGAAGGGATATGCAGTCATTGTTCCCACATTTACCGGTCGGCTGAGGAAGCCGTGTTCGAGGTCTTAGATGAATGCTTGGTTGTCTTTTTCTTACGAACAACCGGCAAAAAGGATACGGGTGCCGACGAAGAGGCCGATTTCCCCCAAGTCAACAAGCCGATTTTGGGGGAGACAGTCCAATGCAGCGAGTAGTTGGCTTCCTTGTTCGCAAACGAGTTGCTGTACTCGTGAAACGGGTGAGAAATGCTGTCTGTGTACACATTCTTCAAGGAAAGCATACACTGCTTCTTGCTAGTAAGCACAGTGTCCCACACAACAACATCGTTGATCTTCTGTGAGGGCGTTAGTAGGGAGGAGAAAGGGACGGAGGGGCAGAGGGAGAGAGAGAGGAGGCATAGAGTCAATTGTGAAGCAGGCAACAGCGTTACCAGACGATGAATGAGAAGGGAAGGGAAAGGAAAATACCTATTGGCACCGTCCATTGATACCTTCCATTGGCACCTTCCATTCTTCGTCACGCTCCTCCTGTCCTCTCTTTTCTGTCTGATGCACTTACGTTTTCTGGCGTAGTATAAGAAGCAACCACATAGACAACAACGTCTTTGGTGTTCCAATTCCACAGAGGCGTCAAGTCTGCGTCCACATCAAAATTCACCTGGGCATATTGCTGTCGTTTGCCGTGAAACGCATGTGAAAACCGAGCAATCCGACTACAGCCATCGTTAGTAAAGAATGTCGCACAACGGCACGAAAAGTATGCACTCTGAAACTTTCACCAACCCACTCAAAGCCCTACACTACGTACTATTTTGCCGAGTAAATGTGGACAGGATCAACATCCAGGTCTCCGGGATTCGTAAAGCCTGAAAGCACAAACACCAGTATAATCAAGACACCCAGCGCCTGGTTGAGGCGACTGAAGACAGCCTGGAAGCGGCCGTACGAGGAATTGAGCATGCACATGCCTGCAGGTCCTGTTGTGGTAGCGTTTCTGCGTCCGTGTGGTGCGAACACAAGCAGGCCTTGCTCGGTGGGAGTTGGTGGGGGAATGTGGGATAAAGCGGGATTCCTTGGTGGTGAGTGGGATACACTCGCACGTGCTGGACCGCCGTGCACGAGCTCGGACAAGGTTGGGAATTGCACCGAGCGTGGGGGCAATGGAGACCGTGCGATGGCTCTAATTGCCGAAAAACTTTATTCCCGCAACATGCGGGGTGACCACGTGCTGTGACCAAATGACGTCATGCGTCGTCTTAAGAAAGGTGTGCCTTCACGACGACGGGGGACGGGATGGTTGGAGGACGCGCGCGTCGTCGTCGTGTCGACCCAGGGATTCACACAGTGGGGCAGCCGCAGCGCGCCAGGAGTTGTGGCAGGACGGAATTCGCGTAAAATAAAATACGGTGGAAGGGTGCACAACAACAGGCGTAAACTCCAAAAGCTCCCTAAAACACGGAATCATTTTCGTGTGCACGACGCGTCGAGGAGTATGACGTCGGCAAGGACTCGGTATTTGGATCTCCGAGCACGCGATGGCAGGGTCGGGCAAGAGGGCGGAAACCGATCGGCCTTTTCGTCATTGACGACAGATCATCAACATTTGGGTTTCAGTTTCGAGTCGGCGGTTCAGGGGCTGCCGTCAGCAAAAGCCATTCACAGTACTGAGCGTGACCTTAAGGGGCTTACGAAGCTAATATTAACGACGCGTTTTCATTGGAGGAAGTTTCAGAAACTGAAAAACTCTGGTGCTACTGATTGGATAGCCGGAACCGAGGGCCGGAATCTTTACACAGCACGTTGCGACAGCATTGGGCGTGTGGGGAGGAGTTAGTCGTTTCGACGCGAGGGCATGGAAATGGAAGACTGTACGCGCGTTCGATAGCGTAGACAGCAGCTGTGGTGACCAGCAGGACGCCCACGGGATCAGAACCGCTGAACCCGGGAAAAAAGGTGCTGCGTGCGTGTGTGGACCAGCAGGGCTGATCGAACGAGTCCGCTGCAATTCATCGCGGAAAAAGCCCCACACTCGCTTCTGTGGGGGCGAGCTGCACATGCGACGGGCTCTGACGTACGAGATGTTGCGTGGTTGTCGTAACGGCTGCGCGGAACATGCGTCACTCGTGCGAATTACACTACACAGATAATGACGTCAGCTATCGGTAATGCAGTTTCGCTGTCGCGTTTGCGCCGAAAAGTCAATTCGGGATGCCTGTGACGAGGGGTGGGAGCAAGAGAGGAGCAAATGAGAGGCGGAACACAACGCTATGGGAGCAGCGAACGGCGAGGAATAGGGCGAGCGAGAAAGGTTGTGGACCTGGCACGGATCCGTGCATTCCGACCAAACACACAGTCGTCGACAGCGAGTCGGGGGTCGGCAAGCAGTGTGAATTCGACGTGGTTTTGTTTGGGTGTGTCGCGACGCGACGCGCAGACGCACTGCGTCATTCTTCTCTCACTCCCCCGCTCCTAAGCTCGGTCTGCGGTTCATCCGCCCCTTCCCCAGGCATGATCGGCACGAGCCGATCATGCAGATCCTCTTCCAACAGCGACAACAGACATCACCGTGGGGCCGTTGCTAGGAACCAGTTGCTACCCAGGAGCTCGGCGTTCAGCCATTCCGCGAGCGCGATTGCACGAGGCATGACGTAGGCCGTTTTTCGACGAATCACAGCGCGTACCGCCAATTTCTGGACTGTTTCTCGTACTTTCTTCCGCACGTGCCTGCACGCAGTCTCACATTCGGTGACATCAGCGGCTAAGTGTCGATGATAAGCTTAGATAATATCGCATTGCTTCGGCAGTTGAGCCGACGGCATAAGGGCCGCGGGAATGCTTATTTGGGGCCTGTACCACCCACGTGCACCTTGTCCTCTACCACACGCCTTTTGCATTTTCTCGCTCAGAAAACCGCTGCCAATTCTCTCCAAACGTCTCTACGGTGATCCTCCATCGTACTACGACACGAGCACGGTTCTTCTTCACCTGATTTGCGGCGTTCTGACCTGTTTTTCGCTGTTTGTTGATTCCCTCTGGGCTTGTTCTGTGTGTTTACTCTAGTAGCTCCTTCCTGCGTCTGTCTCTCTCTCGGCTGGCTACGTACGCTCGTTATATTTCGTTAACCCTCGCTATTCCAGTTAGGCATCATCAGTAGGTCTCGTTATTCGGCCGTCCCAGCATCCACCGCACGTTTATCGGCTCTTGTTGATCGTGTGGCGTTTTTTCCCTCGTGCGCTCGACCTCTACGTCATCGATCGCCCTCTCTCCGCTTGCGTCACTTCCGATCCGGCACATCGCATCTCCGCCTTTCTCGGCTAAGTGCAACATCGCCGACGACCCGCAACCTTGAAACCCACGTGCCAAGCCTCGGCCTCCCTTCCTCCACCTCGGCACTTGGTCCCTCCTCCACACAAGAAGGCCCCGTCACCCGCTTCTCGCTCGCTGTCTCCTCGTGTGTGCTCATTCACTACCACCACCTCCACCAGCACGCGACGACTTTTTCGCGTATTCGCGCATCCATTGCCTGTGATTGTAAGCAAGTTTTTTGCTTCTGAGTCCCGACGTCTGTTCCTCTGTGTGCACTTTTGTTTTCGCGTCCTTCTTGCTACTTTTGACGCCGAATTGCTCGATTTTTCACGTTTTTTCGTCGTTTGAAGAAAGTAGAACGAGTTAAAATTTCGCGTGTCTCTTTTCGTGTCGGCGAATTTTCGTGTTCTCGTGACTCATTGTTGACTCTTCTCTTTTCGTTTGTTTCGTGCTTTACGTTGTTTTACTCAATTACGCGTTCTCTGTAGAACCGGGTTTCGTTTTCGTCTTAGCAGTTCTCGTTTACGTTTTCGCCAATACGTGCTATTATGGACGAATTCCATACTGTTGCTCAAAATATAGACGCCAAGCCTGTATTAAACGGTACACCTTCTCCCACCACATCAACACTGTCGGCCACGACGGTTTTCTCGCCTGCCACCAGTACTTCCGGAACCGCTCAAGAAACGAGCAGTCTTCTCTCGGGTAACTCGGGTTACGTGCCGATAGGCAACTCCACTGCTTTAACTGTTGCCGCCGCTGCTGCAGGCGCAATTTCATCGGCTTCCTCTTCTTCAGCTCCCTCGACACCTGCGACGGTGTCGCCTGCAATGTCGTCCACACCCTCTGTATCTTACCATTCACACGCCGTCTCGGGCGGTTCTGATACTACATCGCCCATCACGGCACTCCCACCAGGAGCCGCAATGGCTGTTCGTTCGGGCACTCCAGCGCTAAACGAGCACGCACACATCGCTGCTGCTTCCAATGGCGCACCCACGCGTCTGCCTCCTATCAACTGCATTACGGAGACGTTCCCCTCTCAGCAAGTCTGGGGAGCAGCCCCGTCGCCTGTTGCTACGGCACAGCAACAGCCGCCGCAAACGCAGCAAGCGCAACAGCAGCAGCAGCAGCAACAACAGAGTCCAACGGAGGCGGTTGGTTACTCTGCAGCGCAGCCACATGCAGTCTGCATGCCCCCTCAACAACCGTCGCAACAAACGACACCCAACCCGTCAGGATTTTACATTAATCGCAATATTCCCATTCATAACGATACCTTTGCCACGTATGTGCATTCCGTTCATGCGTCTCCGGCTCCTCTGCAGCCTGCTGCAAAACAATCGGCTACACATGCTTCAGTCATGACATTGCCTATGCCTCCGTCGGCTGCCTCGCTACCACTCGCCGGTGGGGCTCCATACGCGCGTGCTGGCATGCCATACACACGTGTTGATTCGATGCATCCTTCTCCGTCCAGTGAATACTATGGACCCTATGCACGCAGCTCTGAGCTTCGCATCAGCCATAAGCTCGCCGAACGAAAGCGGAGAAAGGAGATGAAGGAGCTTTTTGATGACCTACGTGATGCCCTTCCTCTCGACAAAAACACAAAGTCGTCGAAGTGGGGCGTTCTGACTCGTGCAATTCAGTACATTGAGCAGCTCAAGTCAGAGCAAGTTGCCCTGGAGGCTTATGTGAAGAGTTTGGAGAAGAATATGAAGGAGAAGATTGAGGAGAAACCGTCTCTGTGATCTGGGAGCACATTTTGTTTTCTCCCGTACTTTTATTTGTTGAGTAATTGTTTTCTTTTTGGTCGCTTAATCTGTCCCCTATACAACGCACTTGATTTCATGCCACAAACTTTTCTGGTTTGATTCCCGGCAGTTCCTTTGCTCTCTCCTGCTTCTCTGCGTGCTGATTGTTCTTCTCATTACTTACCAGTTATGGCTACCTTGGTCACATGTTAAACTCCCTTCTTACTTTCACAAATTTTTTTTTTACTTTGTTCTTCTCTCTCTCTTGTCCTTTTGCTTTATCTCTGCTTCTCGTTATCCACGTTGATGCTATATTCTCTTCATAAACGCACGTCTAATACCTTTCCCATGCAAGCAAACTTGTTCTTCCACTGCTGTTGCAAACACATGTTACGATTCGTGTGGCTTGACGAAAATCCCTATCGCGGTTCCCCTTGCATATTCCATCTTTCGTTTCCCTAATTTTGTTTTTCCCCTTTCCCTTCTTCGTTGGTTCATACGTTTCCGTGGTGATCTCGTTTGCAATACTTATAAAGCAGTGTCGTTTGGTTTCTTCTTTTTCTTCTTTATACTCTTTTATCCAAGTTTCACGTTTTCGACATGAATAATTGTTTTGCTAATGGTGCACTTGCAGGACCTTTATCGTTTGCATCTTGTGATAACTGATGCATTCAAAAATACCGTTGCTCGCTAATGATTCTACAAGTCTGGCTTTTAGTTAGAGTGGTATACCGTGCACATTTGCAGGAGGACGGGAGCTGTGTTCCTCAACACGGCTCTTATCACAGATGGTTATATGGCAATTCTTGTTGGCGTCAGGCGTTCTGTGCATTTCGTTTTCGGGTTGTCAGCAGTCTGTACGGACGGACCGTTTGACACGTTTGCCCTGTCTCTTTCTCTCTTTCCCATACACATATACACGCATACACATTTTCCTTTTATCATTCGAGCTTCGCGCGCGTTGACGCACCATTAGTGCCGGACACACACATACACACACACATACTCTTGTTTGTGAGCTATCAACTTTAGGTCCATTAAGGGCTTTTAAGCAGTTACATTCTCTAATCGATGTGGCTACAGTAACTCTAAACATGATTCACCGTTGTTCGTAACAAAAACTCCATATTTGTATCCTTAGGGCGCAAGAGGCGGCGACGTGTGAAGGTTGCTGTACATGTTATGTTGCATTGGTTGAATTGTTTAGCAGGTTGAAACTCACGGGCGGTGAAGTGTGCGTATGCTTTCAATTTTCTTTTTCTCCCATCTCAATATTGTCAGGATTCCTTTTCTATCATTGTTTTTTTTTTGTTCCTTTCCCTTCGCGGAATTAAAATCGTTACCATCATTATTATTGTTATATCATTATTACTATTAATATATATATGTATCAGTTACCATTTCAAATCGTCTATTGAAAGAACTCCGTGTTTTTTGCGTCGTCCATTCCAGCGACCTATCCAGACGTTCATTCTCCTTCGGGATGCCTGGTCATATAGATTAACAGTAGGAATAATAACATCAACATCCAGAGCAGAACAAAAGACAGACAGGTCGTAGAAGCTTGAATGTTCGCTATACGGGGCGAGAAACGAAACGCACGAGGGACTGCTACCCCGGGCCATTCGCAAATCTCTGGGTCCAAACGGTGCAGGAGGAGATGTGAGTATAGAGTTTAAGTTGCTAACGACACTGAGCTTTTTGCCTTTAGGTCTATATTCCCAACCGGTAACACGAAAGCTGACGATTCTATCGAACGTCGGCCTTCGCTTATTCAGATAGTCAGAAAGAGCTTCAGGATGTGTTTGCATCATTGTTGCCATATGAACTGATGCAGTATTTGGATCGTCCGTCAGTAATTGCTGGAGCTCTTCATCTTCGAGCTGGTCGAGAATTTTGCGTTTCCTGTCATCTACATATATGAGCGTTTTCAGGGCTTTCGCTATGGCGACGGCAACTTTTTCTTTTCCAATGCTGTAAGTGCTAACAACCACAAGCAATCGTGAAGCATCTGCTTCTTGCAACAAACGACACTTTTCAGCACAGGCGTTTACAACCTCAGATTGGGCTGGCAGCATGTACTTGGGATCAAGATAAGTAGTGTCTAGGTATAGCCGATGTATGTGCTTGTCACGCAGTAGAGGATGTTCAATGTGTGCTCTGCACGCTCGGAAGTCTCCAGTGTGCAGCACACGTTTCGTTCCTTCGCTGTGAATTGTTTCAAAGAGGAAAATGCTTGAGCCAGGACAATGGTTTGCAGGAATGACGAAGACAGTAACGCCATAGACATTGTGCGGTTCATTTTCGCTCAGACACTTAATGTACTTTTTGTCAACGTGCAGTATATTTTCCAGCAAACGGCCTGTAACACTCGAACAATAAATAGGACCATGACACCAGGAGGAGGAAAGTCCGCCATAATGATCAGAATGAAAATGAGATAAAAAGTACGCTTCCACTCCGTCTATTTTTCCATATTTAAATGCGTCGACGGCAAACGGAATGTTGAAAGGCATGAGTTTGTAACGTGGAACGGTGCGTTGCTTTTTGTTTCGCAAGACGATACTCGTAGAGGATGTCATTTTTTTACGCACTTGAACAGTTGTACTTTCTTCAACGGTATCGCTCGTAACCTGTTTCATGCTAGTTTTACCATCCAAGCAATCGTTGACATGGACGTCAACACTTATAGAAAGTGTACTTAAATCCATTCCGCAAATAGGACAAACGGTTTCTTCAGCTTCTTTTTCACCGTACAAGCGTCGAAAAGCCTCAGACTGTTTTTCTAAAATACATCCTTCGTTAACATTTTCCCACATCGGTGCAAAACTGTTAGTACTTATAAAACTTGGATCATTGAACTCTTTCAGTATCTGCGCGATATTCTCATCATCCTTCTTGTGTGCTGATGAAGCGGTTTCTTGGTTTGTGGAGCGAGTCGCTTCATTAGAATTAGTAGTTGCCTTTTTTCCAGTTGAAGAGCCCATTTCTTCTTTAAACAAAATGCTGGAAGAGGCATCAGCTTTCTTAAAAAAGTCCAGAATACTTCCAGCTTTTCTTTTCCCCATTTTTTGGGATTTGAAGCTACTTTGAACTCTGCCAGATGATTTCTTCATGAAAACGCAAAAAAATGTAAATGAACCAAAACGTCGCTGAATGCAAAAAGGTATAACAAAAAAGAAGAATAAGGAATGCAAAAATGTTTAAAACAACTAGACTAGTAGAACATTAGGAAAACAAGATTTTTAGTAGTGTTTTTGTTGCCGTTCATACAAAATGTGGTAAAAGGCGAGTGTTCATGAAATATGGAAAACTCAAGTACATGGAACATGGAGGCGTAATACTAGGAAGGCTTGAGGTTTCGTTTCAATGATTCATTTTTGAGTGATGGATTTGAGTTGAATAACTTATTAAAAGTGTTTATTGAATAGCATCTAACTTTGGTGAGACGATGAAAAGGAATACAGAGAGTTGGTAATTTTCCTATATGATAACAAAAGAGTTCAGAATTGTTGTTCAAGTGGAGAAAAAACCCTAAGAGTGCACATGTATAGTGTGTAAAAGTTCACGTTTTGGAAATTACTTGTTTGCGCGACTGAGACGTTTTCTCTTCAAGTTTTTATCGCGAGACTTGCCCCTCTCCAGCTTCAATTCAGTGGTCTCGTCGTGCTCCTCATCGACAATTTCAGTCACCATTGCACGCTGACGTTCTGTTTGTTTCTTGCGCCGACGATAAGCAGGTCGATTGATCGGTGATAGCCCCTCAAATAGAACGCTGTCGCTTCTCTTTCCTAAAGTAGCAACATAGGAGAACGGTAGGTAACCGTGTTGAATGACCAGAAAGTCTCCATAATTGCGCTCAATGAGCATACTGAAATTATCCTCATCCACGAGTGGATTGACTTCGTGTTTGTATACCCATTCGAACTCATCCATCGTCACAAATAGAAATGTGGAAGGAGGTAGGAGTTAATAAAGTAGTTAGACTCGTTAAACTTGACATTTCCCGGACACGTAAACAAACCGAACTACAGTTTCGTAAACAAACACATCCGAAGGAATGACAAAGCTAAATGGAATAGAAATATCTTAAAAACGTCATAAGGCTAAGCTTAACAACCGTATTTTTCCAAGTTCTCACAAAGCCGTTCCAAATTCTTAGCATAAATTCCAGCTTTTGTATGATCGTGGAAGGTAACAATGCCATTCACCTGATCTATATGAGCATTTAGACGCTGGTCCTTAATCATATCAATAAGTGTGTACTGTAGTGCCGCTGGTGAGACACACAGATGTTTCGCAAATACCGGTATGCTTGCTCGTAAATAATTCCTTGAGTATAGTGCAATATTAAGTTCTAAGAATACATTCTTTTGGGCGAGCATAATGTCCTGCACAAAAGTAACTTGGTGCGCGGCGAGACAGGGAAGCAGACGAGTTGCATCTTTACGGTCCAGGATTTCATACCGAGCACACTTTTTTAGCATTGGATAGATGTCCGTAGTTTTTGAGAGGGGATGTACATACAGTTTTAGCAAGAGATCCGCCAACTCAGTTGTCGGTTGGGACAAAAATATACAGATGGCAGTCATACGAACGCATTCAGACACAATCGGGTCCTGTAATCGTGACTCGTAGTCGAGGACTTTTGAGTAATTTAATGCAGCATCTCCATACTGATGGGTTTCATCAAGTGTGCGAGCATTGCAGAAGAGAAAATCAGTAACTAACTGCTCGTTTTTTTCTCGATTCAGGTATTGTATAGACGTCCGTAAAAGCATCGCTGCCTTATCATACTGTTTCGTCTTCATATAATTATCTGCTATACGAAGGCGAACAAGCAAAATTTGTTCATTCTCATCATCTTTGACCATTACATTCTCTACCTCTTTCAAAAATGGAATAGCTGCCTCATACTGGCCTTGCTCTTCCTCAATAGAGGCCAATTGAAGACAGCAATTCACATATACATTACGACGAACATCAGATAGATTTTGAATACGTTCATGAAAGTGCAGCAACAGGCTTTTTCTTTTGTCAAGCTCTTTCGTCTCGCCAAAATAGGTCAACAGTACTTCTTGCTGGGATACGCTTTCCTTATACCGTTCAGGCGATAAATAATATGAAATACACTCAAACAAATCCGATAACCGAGAAGAAACATCGACTCCTTTCAGCAATATATCAAGCTGTTCAGCCGTTAAGTTGACTAAAGACGCCATTTTGCAGAACACCTCGTACACGCTTTACTAGTAGCAGTTGGTCTTCTCCCAAAAGGATCCAGTAGAGAAGCCGCGAATAAAAAGCCGCTCAAGGCAGATTGACAAATACAGAACAAACCAACTTAATCACGATAAAACCCTATGTAGAACTTGTACTGAGACCCACTACTCCGTTACGAACAAATGCCACCTCACACCGAACTATTAGAACAAACAAAAGTATTTATAATCCTAACATTACCCTGTCTTATACGCCTTAAGCGCCCAAGAATTTGCTTGATTGTACATTTTTCGCCAGCAAATAAATGCTTGTGTTGCTCAAATTACCGTCCTTGTTAGTAAGGACGCAAATAACATACACATTAGCGATAAAAGAAAACACAAGCAGAATTTAAATAATTCCAAACACCTTCTTCAGTTGGATGATAAGCTGCCACTCCTCACGTGAAACCTCATTTCTGAATGCTGGATCTTTGAGCGCATCAATACTGCGTCTCGAAATGTGAGAATACAACATATCCTTCTCATCCACTTGACGACCAAACAAAATCTGTGAGCCATTAGACTCAAGCTTAACGGCAACACCAGCACCAGCTTGACCCTTCTTGACCTTCTCAACAGGCTTGTGATTAGATTCAATACTTGCGACAGTGCCAAGTTCAACCACTTGGTTTTCACCATCGGGGCCAGGCTTGACTGCAACAATAGGCGTTCCGGTACGAAGAATACCCTCAACAACATCGACACCAAGAATAATGGGATCACGCTTGTTGAAAGCGGCAACAGTTCTGAGGACACAAGGGAAAACTGCAACACCCTTACCCTCCTCACGTTTCTTCTCCATGAGTTGCTTCTGATGTGCGGTGAAAGCATCAAACAAGTGATAAATAATGTTAGCAGAGAAAATCTTGATGCCCATTTGCTCAGCAAGCTCCTCGGCATCCTTGTCAATCTTGACATCGAAACACAACATGATAGCGTATTCAGGTGCCTTCTCAAGCATGGTAGCACTGCGCATAATATCCTTTTTGTACACAGGACCAACACTAACCGAGGAAACTGGAATCTCCATTTGCTTCAAGAACTCAAGCAAAGCCTCCAAGGAACCCAAAGTAGATGCCTGGACGGAAACACCGACACCAGATGTGTCGATGCGTCCCAAAAGATCCTCCAAATCTTCCATAATCTCGTCAGCAAGTTCCTCCTCATCATCGTCAGGACCAACAACGAGGAGACGCGAACCAGCAACAGCCTTATCCAAATCGTTAGCACAGATTTTAACACCCATAGCAGCCTTAATTTCCTTGTGATGGACATAAGCAGATTTAATACGCATTTCCTTCAACGGTTGAGGAGTCAACAGGGCACGGACTGTGGTGATGATAGGACCAGACATACCGCAAAGGATAATGCGGTCACCCTCCCTCAAAACACCGTTGGACAAGACGACATCGACAGTGGCACCCAGACCCTCAATGACCTTAACCTCGAGAACCGTACACTCCAATTTAGAGAGGTACTTGAGGTTTTCGGACATACGAGATTGGGTAAGCGTAATGAGCAGCTTGAGAAGATCGGGAACACCCTCACCAGACACGGCAGAAGTAGGAACGAGAGATACGTAGCGACCCATGTTCTTATTCTCGTAATAAAGCGCAGCGTTAAGACCTTGCTCATTAAGTTGCAAGATGACACTCTTCACACGATCTTGGAACTCGCGTTGAATAGCCTTCTTCTGCTTCTTCAAAGAATCTTGGAATGCGTTGTCTTTGATAGAGTGCCATCCGTAGAGACGGTCAACCTTGTTCAAAGCGACAATAAACGGAGTTTTACGTTCACGCAACAGACGAATACTTTCGATTGTTTGAGGCTCCAGACCGTGCATGATATCGATAACAAGAATAGCAATGTTACAAAGGGAAGAACCACGAGAACGAAGGTTTGTGAAGGACTCGTGACCAGGAGTATCAATGATCAATAAACCGGGAATCTGGTAATCAATTTTACTTTCTTTCTCCATAACCTTGACCTTCTCCTTAAGGGCATCAATAGGGAAGTAAGTAGCACCAATTTGTTGAGTAATACCACCAGCTTCACCTTCCTGAACATTACTGCGTCTCAAGTTATCAAGCAACTTGGTCTTACCAGTATCGACGTGACCAAGAATACAGCAAATGGGGGAACGCATGTTAGAGCTAGAGACGTTGGAATCAGTGTTTCCTTCAGCCTCTGGAATGGCATCCACGTCATTCTTCGTCTCCTTCTTTCCGTCCTTGGCTTTAGCCTTGGAATCCTCAGAAGACTTCGAATCTTCAGTGGGTTTCTCCTCCTCTTGGAGTTGCTCTTCCCAGGAAGCAGGTTCAGGCTCATCCAAAGCAGCCTCCCAGCTGTCGAACATAGCCTCATCCTCAGCGGCCTTTTCTTCCTCCTTCAACTTTGAAGGGACGGGAGAAGCTGGGGTTTCGGAAGGAGTTTGTGCCTCAGTTGTAGTAGGTGTTAAGATAACAGAAGATGAGGCAGAAGATGCATTACTCTTCCCAGAGCGTTTACGGTTGTCATAAACTGGTTTCTTCTTCTTTTTCTCCTTCTTCTCACCCTCAGCCTTTTCGGCAAGACCAGCGACGACATAACCGGCTTCAAGCATTTGTTTTTTCCGCCGTTCGGCCAGAGCCATGGCTTCTTTCTGCTTCTTGGTAAGATATTTACCTTGAGCCTTTAACTCTTCCTTCTTTCTTTTTTCCTTTTCTTTCTTTCTTTGCTTGGCCTCTTCCTTTTTGCGTTCCTCTTCCTCGAGACGGCGTTGCTCTTCAGCAATGCGACGCTCCTCCTCCTCCTTCTCTCGCTTCAGTTCTTCCTCGCGAGCACGTTGTTGCTCGAGCATCTTCTGCAGAGCTGCAACATTGGGACCCTTTCTCTTTCCTTTGCCGGTTTTGACGGGGGCTTCCTTAGGAGTGGCAGACTCCTCTGTAGCAGAACTGTCCAAAGGCGACGATGTTCCGGTGACGGGAGTTTGAGAAGAAGGAGTGCCCTTTTTGGCGGCTTGTTGCTGCTTTTTACGAAGCTTTTCGCGCTCTTTACGTTCACGTTCCTTTTCCTTCTTCGACTTAATACGAATTTCAGGAACAGCAACATCAACCTCCTCCTCAACAGGCTCAACAACCTTGTTGGCCTTCTTCTTCTTGTTCTTCTTAGGCTTGATAGGGGCGAATTCATCCTCTGAGATTACACCGGCAGTGAGTTCAACGGGACCAGTTTTCACGGGTTCCTCGGGCTCTTCAAGCTCCTCCTCGACGGGAGGAGAAGGAGTGTTCTTCTTTCCTTTCTTGCCCTTCTTTTTCTTAGAAGGAGCCGTCTCAGTCAAGTCCAACTTCTCCATCTTCTCCTCAACCTCCTCTTCTACGGGTTCAGGTTCCTTATAAGCATTTTGACCGCTAATATCGGTACCGAGGTCGTCTTCCCAGTCGGCATAAGCGTTTTTTTTCCCTTTTTTACCCATTTTATCCCTCCGGAGAGTGGTTGGTAGTGTCTGTGTTGTTTGGTACTGTGGTGCCTTAACTGCCGACCACGAGGTAAGGGTACGGCAATTATGGCGCTCCCGGTATAGAAGCAGGCAAAAACAGGATTGTTGACTTAACAAGTATATAAATGGTATATATATATAAAAATAGTATATGAATATTGTAATGCTTAACCGGAAATGATAATGGAACAGTCTTCATTTGCTTTGAAATTGAAGGATTTCTGTAGTAGATTCTAATATAAATGCTGATTAGACAAAAAAGTGTTAACAAAAGATGAAACAAAATGAATCGTAACAACAAATGACAGTCATTTTAAAGGTGTTTGTTATACAGTGACACTCGGGAATGAATGGAGGCCGCATAGTCACTGGAAACCGGGCGCTCAAGTTCCTCAATAAAAACAGAAGCACGGGTACTGTCATCATTTTTTATAATGAAGGTTTGGATGGTTCGCAGCCGTCCCGTAATCCAAGAGGCCAGAATCTTTCCACGCTGCTTTCCACGAAGACGAGAACGAGGAAAGCTTCCTTTTGCTGTGAAAGCGACGACATCAACAACGATTTGGTGCTCATTCAGTATGCTGTTGACGATGACTGGTACAATGGCAGCTAGATGGTCCTGACCTATAACCTCAACGACAACGATGACAGCACCTGCAGACTGAAAAACGGCACACCCATTAGGAGTGATGCGAAGATGCGAACGTTCCACAGTATCTTCAATATCACAAGGGAAATGACTAAGACCATTCACTTCAAACGTTTCACCAATTTCACCTAATACATACAGCAGCTGCATGTCTACCAAAGGTCCGTCGTTGCCCATTTGTTCGCTAGTAATCTGTAGGAAGCCAAAATCACCTGTGCGAACATAAGTCGAGTCACCTAACAAGCCGTCTTTAATTCGTGCTCCAAAACGTTCCAAATCGGTGGGCTCTTTCGATTCAAAAAACGAGAGTGCATTCGCCATAGAGCGTACCCATATTTCACCGTACTCACCCGCATGACACAGTTCTTGCGTGTCTGGGTTAACAATGGCTATTTGGGTAGACACGGGCACCATTCCAAAGTCTAATAAGGGAAGAGAGTATACTTTATTCTTTGATTCACAAATCTGGATGAGTCCATGTCGAAGGGCACGTAAGTCAACACACAGCTGCTGGGGAGCATTACCCATATAAGATCGTGTCGAAACAACAGGATTAAGAGGGTGACTGTATACTGGGCTAAATGCGTAGGGACTCATACCATGGCTAGCCAAGAAAGTTTGAAGCTCTTGCAAATAGCCAGCATTAGTCCTGGTTGAATGGGGAACCATTAAGTTTTTGAGCTCAGACAGTGGTGGCCAGCGAGCATTAGAAACAGACCGTGCATGCTCAATGGTCTGCAACGTTGCGTACGTATCCTTAATTTTATATTTAGAAATGGTTTGGAACAGTAATAAAGGGTTCGTCGCAAAGTCCACAGGAGACAAGAGATATGTAGTTGAGCCCAGAAATGTGCCTAGCAAAACAGTATGAATGAAACCGATACCGTTCATGCTTCGAACATGACCTAACACTGGCTTTGAGTGGTTCAGTTGATATGTCTCCTTGTGAATCTGACACATTTCCAAGATAGCAGTATGATTGTATGAAGCCAACGTGATGCGATGGTCAGGAGAATTATATGCCCAAACGAGTGCTGGGAAAGCAGGATTGAGGGCAATAGGCGGAACATCAAAACCACACTCACGGCAACTCTTGCTTTGCTTGTTAATTTTTGATGTGAGTATAAAAGGGGGGAGATTAACATGGGCGGCTGTTGCTGATTGTCGCAAATGTTGACTAACATTTTTGCTTCGTACAATGGTGTCTGCATCCGTGTTCAACAAAACTGCTGTCACCTTGTACCGTTTAATTAGATGGAGTAAGGCCGGAACGTCCTCTGACAGACGGAACGCATCAAGAGGAGGAACAGGAATTGGTATTAGACCGAGATAGAAGCAGGCGTAAACAGCATAAATGAAATCTTCAGAATGCGTGTACATTAAAAGAACGACTTTACCAATTCGTAAGAATTTACGTTTGGTTAGGTAGCGTGCGACAGTTGCAATCTTTACATCAAACTTTCGCCAAGAAATTGCTTTTCCCTCTCGTCCCTTTCCATCAATAGGCACATACACAATGTCATCGGGTGTCGAATTTACTCGAACTTGCAGAAGCTGTACAATGCTTTGGAAGTTAGAAATGTCGGTCTTCGTCCTACGATCATATGACAGTGGTTTTCCAATGAAGCCGCTGTATTGCAATTCTTGATCACATAGCATGGCCTTTCGTGTATTGCTTGCGAAATCCGACCAGATGCCAAAGATAGCATCCTCACCCACAGGCAAATTGTAAACTGCTCGCTCTACTGCAAACTTCACATACACGAACGGTAGGGTTCCACGCTCGTAAGCCTTGCGGCACATCATGTTTCCAATTTCACGGCGACCATTTTTTGTCACACGAGGCAATGTGTAGGGTGCACAAATCAGAACACAGTACACACGAACTTGGTGGTATTCTAAAAGATATTCGATACATTCGCAAGTTAGGACATCCAACATCGTATAATCGAGTGCCATTTGACTGCCCGAAGAATCAGTGGCAACATTCGCAACTTGGCTTTCTAAAAGAACGACAGGCAAATGCTCATTGTTGATATAAATGTCAAAAGCCGAGCAATCAAAAACTTTTGAGACTTTTCTCATGATGGTATTTACGAGATGCGACGTGTAATGATGAAAGAAAATAGTGTCCTGTTTTCCATCATCTACCCATTCAACCTTTTGCTGTAAACGGTCTTCGTACAAACCCAAAACATGAACTTTACCCTTATGAATAAATCCCAACAGACCCGTTCGAAGGAATTCCTGATTTGAAGGCACAGGCTGAAGAGTATCACTAGAGATGTAGTATGTGCGAGCATGGAAAATAGCTTCTGTTTGTTTTGGCAATCCGAAAAAACCACCAGATAAAGAAGGAGAATCGACCCAAATCTCACCGACGATATTAGGTAAGCAAAGGATTTGGGTTTCTGGATCAACAATAGCCAACGTGGCATCGGCAAAAGGATACCAAAAAGCGCCAACACGAATGGTGCCCGGAAGCTTTGATTGTCGTCTTGATTTTTCGTCTTCCGCGATGATAACAACTTCGTTAAGTTTCAAAGGATCCTTTTCCAGCAAAACTTCTGCAATCTCATTCTCGTGCGTTCGAGGCATTCGTGAAGCTTTGGGGAACAGAAACTCTTCACCGCCAATCCAATCCTTCATTGATATGATCATTCCTCCGTGTTCTGGTAAACACAAAAGGGGAACAATTGTTGATCGCGCTTTTTGGTTGCCTAACGGTTTAAGCCAACGATCAGCAACAATTTCCTGAAACTCGCAGTCTACGTTTAGGCAGTCAACCATACACATGCGCAACGCACCAAGGTCTACAGGATGTTTCTTTGAAAAGCCGAGGGTGGCTTTTGGATCGTTTTGATAGTTGTAGGCAATGGTTTTCAAACCGGCATAGTCTGTTAACATAACCGAACAGCGATAGCGTGTAGCCAAATTTGCCCATAAACCTGGAATAAAAACGGCAGATTGAGGACACCATACTGTAGTGTAACCCATATACAATGAGTTCAACACGCCAGAAATTAGACCCACTGATTGGCGCAAGTCCAAGTAGGTAAGGAAAATATCTGACTGCTCTACGGATTCGCGATCGTAACCCATTGTTGTTGGCTTCGTAGTTTCGGCAGGCGGAGCAGAGGCATGCACAGCGCCTAGACTGAGCATCTGGTGCATGATTGTACGATGAGAGATAACGACGCCGTGAAGTTCGCCGATGGGTGAACGAGAAAACTCAATGTATGCAAGGTCCGGAAGTTGTAATGGAGCAAAAGTTTCATTCTTTTTTAAATGCAGTCCACCAAACTCGTTTGTTTTCCACCATTCCACGCCCTTTGGCCAGTGCAGCTTTTTTGTAGTCAAGTCTCGCTGGAAAGCCTTCAGGTTGGCGTCCGTTGTTAAAGCTCGTTTCGCACCAGTAGTTTTTAAGATAAATGTAAGCTCATTGTAATCGTCGAAACGGTTAATGGGCACAGCAACGACACCAGCAATAAGGCATCCAAACAATGAGACAACAAAGTCGATAATTTCAGAATCCCGGTACATGAGAGCAACACGATCACTGCGGAAAAGACCGCTTTTGTCGCGAATGACTTGGGCCACTTTCTCTGCTCGAGAAGCAATTTTTTCCCAAGTACTGGAAGCAAACTCCTTTCCTTTATTATCAAGAATGATGAAGGCCGCCTTTTTTCCATGCTTAGCTCCGCGATACCGTAGGACGGATGCAATGTTTGTGAACTGTTTCATCTCGACCTTGGGATCCAGAGGATCCATAACAGGGAAAGGAATATCTCTTGGTTCTAATGGATATTGCTGCTTTCCAGCATACTGGGCCCATTGTTGGTTGACGAGCTGTTCCTCAGCATTGCATACACTGCCAAAATTGCTTTCATCGAATATATTAGCAACGTCTGTACGCTTCGTTGAAGTAGACTTTCGCAGTTGTGGGACTGGTTCCTGTATTGTAGACAGCACTGATGCTCGTTTTAACATGGCTGCATCTGAGCTTGATGATGATGACCGCTCGTGTGCATTGTAGAATAATGGTTGTGCTGAATTTTCCGGTAAGACCTGACTTTGCCTTTTGCTCATCTCAAATGCCTCCCACTGGTCATGTAAGGCTAGTTTTTTCTTCTGATAGCCTTTTTCCGTGAGTAAACCATTTTGAAATTCGAGTTGCAAGTCCTGAAGCTTTTGCCGGAGTTCTTCAGATACATGCTCTGGGATACTCATATTAAGATTTCATTGACATCCGCACTTTCTTTCCAGCATCAACAATTCAGAAACGGATTCCTCTGACCGACCAAACGTGGTATTTTTCTCTAATTTTTGGGTGTGAAGGTCCCGTCGGAAAGTGGAGAATGCGGTGCACTAGTTGCTGTTACCAGAACTCTTACCTCCATAAAAAAGTAGAAGCCAGTTTTTAGGAAACAAAAGGGTTTAGCATTAAAAGTAGATAAATTAGTTACCGAAATAAGTGATGTTTGGTAATTTAAAGTTTAGCGAATCGTCCTTCTTTTTGTTTTTTTTTTTATTTTAATAAACAGCATTTGGTAATCTGAATTAGTAACATTTCGCGATTTTAAGTGGGTTTTATTTATATTTATATTTTTAAATTTTATTGTTTTTTTTTTTATTATTTTGTTTTTTTATTTTATTTTTTATTAATTAAATCTGATTTGACGGGTCCACAGTTTGAGACAATTTGGAGTAATTTTTACTTGAACAATGTTATATGTCTTGCGGAATAGGCATTATTAATTGTTGAATTTTTATTTAATTTTTATTCTATTTGAATTTATTTAATTTTATTTGCTTAATTAAAAAAAATATATAATAAAAAAAAAAAAAAGGTTACACATAACCAACATCACATTTCTCTCCCCCCTTGCTCTTCTTCACAACCAATTCTCTTTGAATAGTTTCAGAATTTCTATTCTTTTTTTGCTTCCTCCTCCACATACACTACCTAGTCAAAAACACTTCTCGGTGAGAACCAACTTCCTCTCGGCGTGATCAACTGCTATGAGAGCTGAAAACGAATTTATCCTCACCATTGAGGACTCAGAAGATGACATCCAATACGATGACAGTGAAATAGAAGCTGAAAGCGACATGGAGGCGGAAAAGGAGACGAAAAAGGTTCAGAAGAAGCAAAAGAAGAAAAAGAACAAGGAAAATGACTTCTCCGGCTCGTTCATGTTCGAGAGTGGAATCAATGATGGTGTGGAAGCCGGTAACGGTACAGATTGGGACTTTCAATCGGCCAAAAATGCGTTAAGAAATAATACCACAGATGTTGATTTGAATTCCATCATCCAGCGGAACAGGAAGCAACCTACAAGCGAAGAAAATAAAGAGGTGCATCAGGAATCTTCTGCAGATGATGTCTCCAGTGCTGAGGAAGAGGAAGAAACCACCGCTGTGGACAGCGATGAAGAATCGTTTACTGGAATCGCATCCGACGATGAGGATTTGGCTACAGACGGCTTCGGTGGTGCTGTAAAGGAACAGGCTTCAGATTCTTCGGATGAAGATTCAGACGAAGACGACATCACGGTTCCGGTTCCTGACACTGTTCCAGGTGAAGTTAACGAGATCGACTCGGACTCTGCCGTGTCTGATGATGATGAGGAACAAGCTCGTATAGAGCGCGAAAAGTCTGAAGCTTATTTTGCCGCTGGCGCAGAAGATGCAGCTGCCGTCACTGCCCAGGTTTCTTTCCAAGACATGAAACTTTCTCGTCCTATCTTGCGTGGTTTAAGCTCTTTGAACTTTGAGGATCCCACTCCTATTCAATCAAAAACAATTCCCGTTGCATTACTTGGAAAAGATATTGTTGGTGCTGCCGTCACCGGTAGTGGTAAAACGGCAGCATTTGTCGTTCCCATCCTAGAACGTCTTGTATACCGCCCGAAAAAGATTCCCACATCTCGTGTACTCATTATTTGTCCAACCCGTGAGTTGGCTATGCAATGTCACAATGTGGCCAAGCGGATTGCCGCATTCACCGACATTACTTTGTGTCTTTGTGTCGGTGGTTTGTCCTTGAAGGTTCAAGAACAAGAACTCCGTAAGCGACCCGATATCATTATCGCTACGCCCGGTCGTTTCATCGATCATGTTCGCAACTCCCAAGGCTTTTCTGTTGACAACATTGAGATTATGGTCATTGATGAAGCCGATCGTATGCTGGAGGACGGTTTCGCCGATGAATTGAACGAAATCGTAAAGCTTTGTCCAAAATCTCGTCAAACAATGCTTTTTTCGGCTACCATGACTGAAAAGGTTGACGACCTTGTTCGTCTTTCTTTGAACCGTCCTGTGCGTATCTTCGTGGATGCTAAAAAGGCTACGGCCAAGCGATTGGTGCAGGAATTTATTCGTGTACGACCCCAACGTGAGCAATTGCGTCCTGCCATGCTTGTTCACATTTGCAAGACTTTCTTTCATCGCCGTGTTATTATCTTCTTCCGCAACAAGGCATTTGCTCACAAAATGCGCATCATTTTTGGCCTTGTTGGCTTGAATGCCACTGAAATTCACGGTTCACTTTCTCAAGAACAACGTGTCCGAGCCTTAGAGGATTTCCGTGATGGAAAGGTTGATTACCTTCTTGCTACAGATGTCGCTTCTCGTGGTCTTGATATTAAGGGTGTCGAATTCGTTATCAACTACGAGGCTCCCGCCTCCCATGAAATTTATTTGCATCGTGTCGGTCGTACCGCCCGTGCTGGAAGAAGTGGTCGTGCCATTTCACTTGTTGGTGAGAATGACAGAAAGGTCATTAAAGACGTTCTAAAGTCTTCTGAGAATCAGCATGATAATGTTGTTAGCAGAAACCTTGACTTCCCTCGAGTTGAGGCTATCGGCAAAGAACTCGAGGAATTGGAAGACACAGTAAAGCAAGTCATGGAAGAAGAAAAACAAGAACGTCATATTAAGATTGCTGAACGTGATCTGAAGAAGGGTGAAAACATACTGAAACATCAAGATGAGATTAAGGCTCGTCCTGCTCGTACTTGGTTCCAAACGGAGAAGGAGAAGAAGGCCTCAAAGACGGCAGCTACCGGAAAGGCTGTTCCTCTGTCCAAACGCAAGAAGGCAATGGATGCTGAGGAGGCAGCAGCACGTCCATACAAAAAGACTCGTCAAGACCGCATGAAAAAGGGCAAAAACAGCAAGTCTGGTAAGAACTCCAAACGCGGAAAGAAGTGATCGTCTTTTGACTCATGCCGTTTGATGGAGCTTCACCGTACTTGACAAAATATTATAGGAATTCATTACACTAAGGGTTTTTGGTTATTAATAAAAAGTTCGTTTCTTTTGGATAGATGAATTCAACAATAAAGGATTGAGGAAAATGTATATCTATTATTACTTACAGAAGTCAAGTAGGGCAAATGGATAGCAAAAAAGGTATATAAATAAGCTCAACGCTTCTTCCGACTACGAGGAACTGCTATTTTTCGTCCTGCTGGAGGTGCAGGTTGGGAATTCGTAGATCCCATGTTGAACTGGAAAGGTGTACCAGCAGCACCAGTACTGGGAGTACCGGGTGCTGACGGAGTGGTATTCAACGAGTTCGATGAGGCCCCAAACGTGAAGCCACTAGGTGTGGGATTAGGTGCTTGGTTGGCGCCAAAGTTCATCGACGGAGCCGGAGCGTTGTTGGCCCCATTAAAGGCCATTGAAGGTGCAGAAGATGTTCCAGCGGAAAATGAAAATCCGCCAGTTGCAGGTTTGGCAGATCCAAAACCAGTGTTACTAGCCCCAAAGGGCGTAGCGGGTGCAGGTGCACTTTGAAACGGAGTTGATCCGAATGCTGGAGCAGCAGTATTCTGTGAGCCAAAGCCAGCAGACGTACCGGCAGCACTTCCAAATGAAAATGAGGGTGCAGGAGTTGCACCAGAAGCAACCGGAGCTGCAGCAGGCGCACCAGCAGTTGACTGTTGACCAAATGAGAAGCCCGTAGTGGATGGGGCGGCTGCATTGGTAGAGCCAAAAGAAAAGCTTGGTGCTGACGGAGCAGTAGTGTTATTTGTAGTCATAGAAGCCGACGCTTCGGCAGGCTTTGTAGGCGCAGAGAAATTGAATACCGGGGCCGGTTTAGCTGTAGGTGCTTCTGTCTTGACAGCACCAAAACTGAAGGCAGGTTTTTGTTCCGCAGTCTTACCAGTTGCATTATTGTCTTTCGTTCCTGCCGATAAAGAACCGAAGCCAGAACCGGTGCTACCAAAATTGAACCCAGTTGAAGGTGCTGTCACAGAGGGTTTAGTGACATCCGCGGAGGGTGTTGAGGTAGGCTTTATACCGAATGTAAACGGCTTCACGGTCTCAGCTTTGGAGGGTTCTTCCTTCTTTAAGCCTTCGGGAGCAGTCTCAGACTTTGATGCCGTAGAAGGAGGGACACCGAAATTAAACTTCGGAGTGGTAGAGGGAACCGAAGTCGACGACGAGTCTTTGGGGGCACCGAAAGAGAAACCACCAGCTGAAAAGGTGCTGGACGGCTTCGATTCCCCGGTGGCAGCAGGCTTCTCCTTTTCAGTAACCAAAGGGGCAGTGGTGTTCTGCACATCAGTAGGCTTAGTAGAGCCGAATGAGAAAGAAAAGCCTCCAGCGGGCTTTGAAATGGATGCCGTTGAAGGTTCAGATGCCTTATCGGATGCTTGCTCGGACGGTTTACTGGTTGAAAAAGAAAACTTTGGCGTCGTTGACTCAGCAGCGGCCTTGTCCTTTTTCAGCTCGGGCACAACCGGCTTACCCAAGGGAGCACCGAATGAAAAGACTGGCTTTTGGGTGTCCTGCTTTTGTGAAGACGATTCTTTCGGTTCGTCAGGTTTGGATTCCCTCGCTTGCACGGGTTTAGCCAAACCCCCAAATGAGAAAGAGGGCTTAGGTTGGGTACTAGGTTCCTTGCTAGCTGCTTGACCAAAAGAGAACGCAGGTGTTTTTGAACTTGTGACACTATCGGCCTCGGAAGTAGGTTTCTTTTCAGTGTTAGGGAAGAATGAAAATGGCTTGGCCGCAGCCGGCTGGGTTTCCTTTTCATCTCTTTTCTCCGTTGCGACCGAAGGAGCAGGGGTAGTCGTGCTAGCAAAAGAAAAGCTCGGCGTTTCCTTCTCCTGTTTCTTCTCGGGCACAGCAAATGAAACTTCTTTGGGCGCCGGAACTTTGAAGAATGAGGGTACAGACGGGACATTCTCAGATTTAGTCTTAGTCTTAGTTGTCTCCGGAGCCGAAGTAGCATTCGTCTGTTCTTGTACAGGAGGCGGCACCTTGATGTCTGTTGGTGCAAACTTCACCACCTTCTCCGGTGCCGTTTTTTGATTCTCTTCCTTCGTTGCTACCTCTTTTTGTTTTTCTTCCGGTTTTTTTGCGGCTTGCGCAATTTTAGATACAGGAACTGATTGTTTCAGCTCTTCAAAGGTCGCGCCAGTATTAGGAAGTGAAGGCTTTTCTGCAAACGTTTTCTTCAAATTGAATGCTGAAGAGAGTGTAGAAGAAGGCTTAGGAGACTCTTTAACGGGAGATGGTTCAGAATCATTACCAAATATTTCGTCCAAGTCTTCATCAACAGCAGTAAAGACAGTTCGATATCCCCGGCGTCGTGGTGTTGTAGAAGAGGATCCTCTGAAAACACGCGAGGAGTTGGGGTTGAGAATACTAATTTCCCTGTCCATGAGCAATGATCCCTCCTCGTCTCTCTCAAACGGTGTCACCGTTTGAACCTCGGCATCTACCATTTGTTTTTTCACCGGACGAAGGGCATGAACGTCGATACCCTGGTCTATGCGATGATGGCAATGAGGACAACAATTATGACAAGACGCAGCTGTGGAACGAATATGCTTACGCTTCGACTCATCCTTGCTAGCACGAGCGTGCTTTCTTGTTTGCTTCTTAAAAGGCTGAATATCTGTTGTGGAAGCAGAAAACTGCTCTTCAAGAGCATGTACGTCTTTTTTAGATTCCTCCTTTTGAACAGGAGCCTTCACAGCGTGTTCACGGATCTTCAAATCTCTTGAAGTAGAAGGAATAGGGCGTCTTGCAGAATGCAGCAAATCAACGGATTTACCCGGAATCATCGTTTCTGCCACAGAGGCGGGAAGTACAAGGTTATTAGTGACCGCAGCTGCATTAATCTCGCTGGCAAAGCCATTAGTGTGCGCAGCCGTGTGTGAATGATCATTCTCTGAACTTTTTGAGACCGGCAATTGCTTTTTTGGAGTCATTGAATCGTGAAGTTGCCCATAATCGTGATTACGCGAACGAGGAGCTCTGGAAACCTTAATCATTTGAGGTGTCTTTCCCAAGTAATGTGGTGTCAGTTCCGCATCAAAAAGACTTTTTTCAGTGTTTTCACGAACATGACTTTTCCGAGAGGAAGAGTACGAATCCTCCTGTTCCTCTGTACTATCCAATTGCCCCATGAATGGTTTTAGTATTGACGTAAACACGGACTTCACCGAAGACAGCAAAGTTCTTTTACGTTTTGAATGTCTCTCATAAGGGGATCCATTTTTTGATGACCGCTTACGCGGTTGAGAAACGACCGGCGGCATTACGGCAGTTTCATATGACTGGTTCCTAGTGAGGGAAACGTGTGGTTATGTGTGCAGGGTGTGGAGAGGTGACTCCTCGTTTTGGTGGTGAATTTCCAAGGTCACCACCAAAAGTTGCTCCACACACTGAAAAGGGGAAATAATAATGCAATCACATTATGGCTGTTATTAGCACTTAATGTTAACGTTAAGCCGTGCTTTCATCCATCATTGAGGTATATATACATGTCGTGGCTTTTTCTCAAAAATTCTAAAATAAAAATGAATTATTTTTTAGTTAGAACACTTGTCATTTAATAAATAGCTTGTAAATATCACCACTAATGGTGCCGGCCAAGATGCCCCATTGGGCTTCTCCTTTGGAACTCTTCATCAAAACAGTGTACTTCAACTTGTTTGTTAGAGTACACAGTTGTCTTTCTTGTTGCAAGACAACCTGTAGACCTAGCGACTTGAGCCTGTCATCTTTTGGCTTCATGTTACAGTCATAAACAGTCAAAACATTCAACTTATCACATCCAAATAGGGTGTCGGTTTGTGATAAGTAGTAACTGTCGACACCCATTCTTGGAACAGTGTCTGTGCTCACAAGCTTTAGCACATTTGTTTCTGGGATATATTCAACGACACAGACAGAGTCGCGCACCGTCGTTGCAAAAATGTAGTTCTTGTACGAGCACAACGAGACTGCCATAGAACGGAGGTTGAGTGTACAGTCACCATTGCTGAATTTCTTTTGGACCACATCAAGCACTTTTAAACCTAACGTCTTACCAGCGGAGTAACAGAGAGCATATTCACCAACAGGGCATATGCTAAGCACTGGTTGTTCAGTGTACACAGTGATCACATGGCGAATGTCAATGGTCGGATGATCATCAGGTTTAGAGAGCGTTAGAATAAGAACTCGACCATTGCCATTTTTGGATTTTTCTAAGCCAGTTCCTATGCACAGATGACGATACTTTTTATGGTTAATACCACGAACAGTCCAAACTGCAGACAGTTAGCTACTTCCGGAATAAATAAAATATATTCATGGCACTTACAGCACATGGAATAGATGGTTTCACCGGGTTTGAAAATGGTTTTGCCCTTTAAGTCTGTTGATGGCCACGGCTTTGAGACATTCTCAAATCTTCACATGCAATTAGTAAATTACTCGTGAAAATTAATTCAACATACGTGTTCGCATCGCAAAAATATAAATCGGATGTTTCAGCATTAAGTATGGGGATATGACAGCACCCAACAACAAGTGTATTCGTAAACTTATCATGTAGTAAGCGGCGAGGGGTTGCACTCACGGGGAATCTCCGGGCGATTGTGTCTTCTTGAACTTGGACTTCTGATACGTAAAGTGAATCTTGCGAAAAAAATGCAATCATTTGCTGTCCAAGAGAATCGGGAAAAGGTGAGAAAGGACAAACACCATGAATATTTTGAAGGGTTTCGGGCCCAATAACAGGAATTATTGACAAAAATGAACTGTCGTCGGCTTTTCTATTTTTTGTGATTGAATAGATAGATCCTTGCCAAGCATAAAGAGAGCTTTGTTCACCCATATTTGCTTGCAACATCAATGGAAGTGTTTGAAACCGCTCTCTACTGACGAAATTGACTTGAACATTAGTCATATCTATCATGATAACACGAAAGCAAACCAGATAGCCATTCTTCGTAGAAGTTAGAACTGTAGCCTCGTTTTCAGTTTCTCTAAGGTAAGACACACTAATGGGTAAGAAGACATCGTTTTCCACGATTTCGTGGACGGAACCATCTTCATGCAACTGGAATTTGTTAATTAATCGAACCCCTTCTGTGGTGATAGAATGAAACGAAAGGTGACTGTCTGCTGTACCGGTTACCACAATTTCAGTATTGTTCATTGAAATGATACATCCACAGAGTACTTCGGCGAAAATAGGAATAGTAACATCAGTTAAACTGCAGTGTAAGGAATCATTTCGTTTCAGCGAGAGAATTTTTCCAACGGAAGAGCCACCCTCCTTCTGTTCAACAATAAACAGAGAACTTGGCGAAGAGAACGATATAACAAATTCGGAATCTTGTGCTGCTTGAAGTATTGCAAAAGGTTGTTCACCAAAACAACACCTGTGAATAGCATTTTTTGTAATCTGAATAAAAATACCAGAAAAGCACAGTACTAATAAAGAAGTTGAAACCTCAAAATGCAACTCATCCGTAACATCTTCCACGGCACCGTCCTGTGACACCTTTAAGATCTGCGTCTGCCAAGGATAATTAAGCCAACAATAACTCTCATCTTCACTAGCTTGAAACATTCGCATGAGCGTCGCTCCAAAAGTCAGTGTAGCTTCAAGAACTGGATATAGTCTTTTTCCGTAACGCAGTTGATACAAGGCACCAGATTTCCCTATACCACTGGCTGTGACAATGGATGACTGCGTCAAGTCACCATTGAGTACCGTGCCATTACGGGCTTTTAAACAGACGAAATCCCAAACGGGAGCCCAACAGGGAATATCGTACAACAAAGAGACCTTGTCTCCTTGAATTTCGTAAAATCCACCGTCGCAACCGTCACCAGTAGCTAGGAGATATGGACTTAATGGGACCAAAGGAGAGGTTGCTGGGTTGTTAATCTTTCCACAGTATAAGTAATCAATAGAAACGACAGAAGTACGAACTCGAAAGATGTCTCCATTGTCAAACGCCAAAAGATACACATTCGTTGATGAAAGGTCGGGTTCAAAAGCAACGACTAATGCATCATCTTCAACCTGTGGAAGATCTTCTGACAAAAACTGTAAGTCGCCGCATTCAATTTGTGATACGGATAAAAGACACATTCGAGTTTCGAGAACCACAATAAAGTGTTCGGGGATATTCGGGCAGGAAACGAAATGAGAACAGAGGGAAAAATCATTAGGAACGGGTATAGTGTATTGCGAATAAGAGGTACTTGTGGATGCACAGAAACCCTGACTCCAAACAAACAATGCTATCCGTGGTGTTGCTTTTGTGTCAAGGAAGAGTACAGCGAGGATGTCACTTTCCTTCATTTTTGCTTGAGGATATAGGAAGGTCGTGTAGAGTATGGTACCCTGTAAATTTAAGTCTAAGAATGCAGATAGTTTGTTTTCTTGATAGTTAGGCTGCATCAACAGTATTGAATTCGTCCAAGCACTTATAGCCAAAGTACGAGTGTTGATGGAAGAGCTGATACTCTTTCCAAGTTGCTCGTCATTGTTCAACAGACGTAACATATCAATACGAATTGTACAAGCAGATTCTGCTTCAAACTCTTGCAGCTGTTTCTGTTTTATACTCAAAATATGACAATAGCCCTTGACATCCGTAACAACTAGATACCCCAGTACTGATGCATCTGATTGAACTTCAGACGTAGAAGTCCATTCTGCTCCTCTAATCTGGGCTGAAAAGTCAACCGTCTGTAACGAAACAATGTGTTCGGGGGTAGCTCTAGCAATGGTAAATGACGCGTTAGACACAAACAATATGTAACAAACTGAGTCCAGTCGCATTATCTTAAACGCCCACTTGGAGCGTGTCGACCTATGAACATGTTGAATCATGATACAAGGAATTAGGCCAAGGCCCACGATAGTGGGATTAGTAAATGCTGTCTTAGCGATGTAGTACCCGTTGCCTATATCACAAGAATTTACTCCCCGCGAACTTTAGGTAGAATAAGGTTTCGCGTAAGTCGCAACGCGACGCTACTGAGGATAAGCTTCCATACACGGTCGAAAAGGAATTCAAATTAAGGGTCCAGTCGACGCGTTTTACGCTTCTTCTCATACTTTTCACGTGTCTTTTCGGCTGAATATACTGACACATAAACTGTTTTAAATTAACACGTAAATAGCGCGAAAAATCTAAGAATACTCCGTGCCTACGTTCGGTTTATGTATAGCGAAGGCTTGGCGGAACGTGAAACTGCCAACGGCAGGCTTGAAGTTACTAAAGCTTAAGGAAGGAAGAATTAGACTGGTCTTTTATATAAATTTTAGGAAGTAACTTTGAGACAAAAAATTACAGCAACATTTACGCGTTTCCATAAATTACATGAAGGGATTGATTCTCAACAATAAAATAGCATTTTCTTACATTATATTAAGATTGTTGTTTATTCTTGCTTTCCCCACGCGAACCCCGGATTGTTTATTTGTGATGCGAACCCCGCATGACGACACGCGACGCGACAGAATAGAATAAATACTAATAGCATTTCCACTTTACAACATTGTCCTGTAAAGATGGCTCTTTTTCGATGCATCCAATTCAATGCGCACTACAGATTGATGGGAATTTTCTATTATCTTATTAAGACTTTAGTATTAATGACTTCATCTCTCTCTCAATTCATTGAGTTCAAAGGCAATGCAGCCCCAGAACAGTTTCATGAGCTGTTAAACTTTTATCTTTACGTCTGTAACAGCAAGTACTCCGAACTGAAGACCGAAAAGCCGCCTCAATGGCATCCCCTCAAACTCTACGAACTGTATAGAATTGCACGAGGGGTTCATTTCACTCTTGTCCAAAACATTGTCTTACATGAGGGGGACCAATTCTCAGAAAAACGAGACTTTTGGAACTGTCAAAAAAACACTTGCTTTGTTACGGATGAGTTGTCGGTTGTATTTACTAAGTCAGAGCGATTTATTCTTGCAGTCATTTTCTACGCTTCCAAATTTCGTACTACGATTCATTCTTACACAAGCTTGTTTCTCGATGCGCTAGAGACGTTGTACTACAAGCTTCGTTCCAAACTTCACGATTCTCTTACTCCGGCATCAGAAAATTTTGATCTCGAATCCAACAGCCCGAGAAATCCTCGTAAAAAAATTAAATGGGAATCTGATTCAGAAACGGAGAAACACTCCCCCAAACAAGCAAACACTCTATACATGTATTCTTTACTACGTGAAACACGCATGTCGCAAAGATGCCGCAATTCAAAATTAAGCTCAAGCGACTGCGCGGTGACATCATCGTCGTCTGTTGACCTTCCAACTACCCCAACTCGAACTTACCAAGAACCAAACACTTGTTTGAAGGCCATTGACAACCATTGCGGTAAGGAAGCGAAGACTGGATGCCTTCTTCCTAACAAAACCTTTTTACTACGACGTCCTGTTTCTCTTTCCATGAAAGATTCAGATTCAGATCCCGAATTAAAAGCACTTAAAAAGACGGCTTCTGACGACGTTATCTCTTTCAATTTGAACAATGATGGCAGTCTTCAGTTCGATTTTCGACCTTCCTCCTTCTCTCAGCTCTCACGAAATGCTTTGTTTCTACGAGGCCGTCGCTTGACGAAGGAGTACCCACGTTCATGCCAACATATGTTTACGAAGAGACGGCAACAACGTCGTGTGTGCAAGAGAGCAGATTCTCGTGCTGCAAAGAAGGCTTTAGAGGCAACTGCAAAAGCCCTTGCTCAGGAGGCACGCCGTTCTCCTCCTCTTTCGGATTCAAGTTCGGAATCTTTGACAATATTACCAAAAGACAATGAACCCCCGGTATCGCCTATTCAAGAGAATGGTGAAAACACACCAAGTGTACTAAACGCCATTCCAACGAACGAAGTTATTCTTATGGGTTCCGAAAACACTGTTCCACAAAAAAAAAACTCTAATTGGAAAAAGCCTATCGCTCAGCCGTTACAAGCACCGTTACAGGTTTCGCATGTGAACACACTTGCTGAACAGTCTATTAATAAGCAAACTGTGAATGTCTGGCGTGTAGATGTGGACGGTACGACACTCAATGAAGTCGAATCTTCTGCCGACAAGGAAAATGTCGTCTCTAAAAATCAATTGAAATGTGAAAAGCCTGATGTTGGTGATGACGAATTGACCTTGCTAAGTCGGCGTTTTGAGCTCTGCAAAATTAGTGAGCCTAGCTCTACACCCCAGGGAACCGTTAATGAAAAGACACCTTCAACAGCTAAAGCGCCAAAAATAGAACAACCACAGGATTGTTCCCCGATTTCGTCTGATGTTAAAGTGGATCCAGAAGAGGTGCAAGAGCATACGACTGAACAAAAAGAGCCCGAAGCACCCAAAGGACCTGAAAGATCCAATTCACTTAAACCCTCCTCACCCTCGGTTACGGAAGCGCATACAGATATTCCCGTTGAACCGGCCATTGCAACCGAAGAAACTGTGCAGAAGGAAGGAGAGGCCGTCAAATCCATAAATCCCGCGTCTTCACCCGATTCCAGTGCCGTGGAAATCCAAGCTGATTCATGCAGCGAACATTACACAGCTGAACCGCCGGGCAACTCCTTTCAGAAAACTGATGAATCAAATAAAGAACCAGTTGCGAAACAGACCCCTACTGTTTCTCAGCCAAAACCAAAAGTAACACCTGTGCAGGCTAAAGCGAAAAAGAAACCAGCCAAACAACCCTCGGCCAATGCAAACTCGACCGCAATACCACCTGAACTTGAAGTACCGCTCTTCGCGTATTCGCAAATACTGTCCGCAGTCAAATCTCGCCCGAAATTAGCGAAACCAGATATGAAAAAGGAGGAACTGGATAAGGCACTCAGCATGATAGATGCCAAATTGCCTAAAGATGGGTCTTCTGACTTTATTGAAGATCTCGGTGTTCACAAATCGGATATCGTGGACTTTGCCGAAGCACAAATCATGGCTACTGAGTATCTTTACAAGAACTTACAACGCTTTGATAATCCTGTCTTACTTTTAAAAGCAGCATTTTATCTGCATAGAGATCACGAGCAACTGAAAGCATTGAACGATGAGGAACTACTTGACCTTATCATGATCAAGTCTCACTGTGTAAAGTACACTGGGCCCCTCTCTGATGAACCCGTTACCGATGAATTCATCACTAAGGATGACCCTTACCGAATTACCGAAATTAATATCTACTCTGTGGAAGGCGCTTACCACCATCATTTATGGATGCAGAAGTGTCACAAAAAGGTTCCTATAACTGAAGAACTCAAGGCTCGCTGCCGTTCCTGGCTGTCCGAGCAGACGATGCGAGTGATGTACGCAGCTATGTGTATTGATTTAACTACACGCTCATTACGTCGTCGCGGCCCTATTTTGGCTTGGCAACGCGAGCACCCTGGAGAAACTCTTCCAAAGGAGCTAGTTGACATGTTTAATGCTCCGACTGAATTATCAGCGGCTTATCACCGCTATTTGAAAGCAAAGGAAAACTTGGAAAAGGCCGAATTCAACGAGCGGATCGTCGAAGGCGTCCATAAACGATCTGAAAAGCAAGATTACAAAATCCTTGTTGCAGCTGAAAAGAATCGGCGGGAGAATACGAACCCGCTAAAGCAAGAGCCAGAAGTGGATGGTGAAGACTCTGATTCAAGTTCTTCTACTTCAGGGAAACACAAGGCAAAAACGTCTAAACGTAAAACAAAAAACAAGGTGAAGAAGAACCGTCGTCGAAAGAAAAACGGCAAACGGCGTTGAACTACTAACTGAACAGTATGATTAAACAGTTGAAACGAAACCGTTTTGAGTTCTATTAACCAACTATAACAAACCATTGAAATGCCAATAATCCACAAGAACAGTCTTCTGAAAAGATGGAAACACCGCTAACTCTTATACTGTGGTCCAGTTTTAGTTTCGATAGTGACCGATCCTTAGGTTAAGAGTTATTAAACTTAGTTCAAGAGCAATTGAAAGGCGAGCAAGACAGGTGTGAGTCTAGAGGCAGTATAAGAACATAAATCTTAGGATGTTCATTAAAACTACCATGCTTAATTCATTCACTACGCATATTAACACACCCTTACAAATCCATCTCCCATGCCACCTCAAGTATACCCCATTGCTTACACCACTCTTTGTGGTGTAAGTAGTTGTTGCCAACATTCACCACCAAAAAGCCCTCTCGAGGTCGGCCATAGCTATCGCAGAGAAAGTTGAATTGTGGCCTCTTGAAGTCGTTTACGAGTATACAAACATGATTCACGCTGTCTTTATTTTTAATAATAGAGGACTTCCTCGATTAACAAAGTTTTATACACCAATTGATGAAGATGTTCAACAGAAGCTACTTACAGAAATCTTCCAACTTGTTTCACTTAGACCGCCTACAGCATGTAATTTTCTTGAAAGTAGTCTTATCGGAGGAAAAAATAGAGTTATTTATCGGTGCTACGCAACTTTATACTTTGTGTTCGTTGTCGATGAAGGAGAAAGCGAACTCGGAATCCTTGATTTGATTCAGGTACGACGGATATGAAATAAAAGAGAAAAGCACTCGGAAAGGTCTTTTTTTAATTTGTAGCGGATTATTGGTAAACGAAAGATGGAACTTGTATACTAATTATCATCATCAGGTATTTGTTGAAGCTTTAGATCGCTGCTTTGAAAACGTCTGCGAATTGGATTTGGTAAGAAGAACTTGTAGTGTGAAGGAAAACAAAACCCCCTTGTCATCATCTAACCGGTTGAATCAAAGATTTTCAAGTACGAAGAAATCCATACCATTTTAGCAGAAGTCGTCTGTGGTGGATTAGTTCTGGAAACGAATATACATGACATCGTTGGAGCTGCTGAAAACAGTGTTCTGAAAAGCCGGAATCTTGGAAATGCATTCTCCAACGCGTTCTCGTTCACGAATAGGTTTTAGAAAGAAAACGCCAAACGGACAAGATGAAAGAATGATTTAAAGGGGGTGCCCTAATTGAAAAACGACATTTGTATGTATGTTGTGTAAGATTGAGAGACATACCCCTTCTCTCCTTTACACGATGGATGAATAAGGACTGTCTTCAGTATCATGAACAGTGAGAACAGGATAATTGTAATCGCCAAAAGTCATTTCTCGTGACAGGGTATATAAGTTCTCTACCTCCGGATCAATGTCGAAGAACAGGCCGCCTTCGTAGTTAGAATTGATACGGTCATCAGAAACAGCCATAGTACTGTAAGAATTCATCGTTTGGTTAGAGTTATCAATTAACCGTGCACGAGACTGGTCAAATGTTGGCACCCAGTATTTTGATTGTCCTCCTTGCACATAACGCAATCCATGTCGGGTTCGCACAGCCCTTGCACTTGGTGCATATGGGATAATATTCGCACCGGGTTCAAACTCTCTATAGTCGTACCGTTCGCCTGTAGTCGTTTGTATAATGTCGCACCAAACATCCACTAGACCAAGGCAATCAACAAGGGCCCGTTTCAAGGGAAGTCGCCCGCATGACACTTCGCCCGGAACTTTGTAATCTTCCCATCGAAATGCGTGTCGATGCAGCAGAGCGAAAAAAGGCATCTCTAGACACATCAGTATGTCCTGTATTCTATTTGCCGTTTCTTCAGAATCAGCTGGGAAGGCATGAGCCCATTGCAGAACAGACAGGATGGTCATCTGCCAGTAGGAAGCAAAAATAATAGCCTTGACGGACAAGAATTTAGGAACCGGGCGGAACGGTTCGAGTTCCGAATGGAGAACGTACCAAAAAGTTGTGAGTGAATATAAAGAGATCGTAATGGAAACGTTATATATAATTACAATCCAAATTGCCGGAGACAGAAGTAAAGAACTTGAACCCTCGTCTCCCTGTGGGCTCAGCTCCGATACAATTTGAACAAGAACGAGAATAGGCTTCATTAGAGTGTACTGTAAAATGCCACGCTTTAAATTTAAAAATGTTTTTGGGTCGCTTAGATCAATTTCACCAAGTATATGAGTCATAGGCCAAGGGTGAGGGCGAGAAGGCTGTCCATGAAGCATAAGAACTGTTGCTCTTTCTCCCCCCAAGTAGTCTATAAGCAAACAGAAAAAACAGTACAGCACAAAGGCCTACGCGTAACCAAAATGTTAGTAATAGAACCAGTGACTGTATCAAGACTAAGCATCCGTAGGACACGCTTAAGACAAGAATGATTAACATACCTCATACATTTCTCGAAGAAATTCTACCCATTTGCCTGCCCTAGGATAGTATAATTCAAAGGCGCAAGAAAACGAATATAAAGGGACCCTTTAAAAGAAGTTAACAGGCCAAAATTCAAGGGGAATGCTCATTTTGCTCCGAGTCATGAAGAGTTACGAAACAAGAACTCTTAATTAGTTCACTTACATAAACAAGATCCGACAAACGGACCGTTGCAGGAGTGGTTTACGGTAGTTTTTTAAGTGATTCCATATAGCAAGGAAGGAAACAGCGGACGCAAATCCCGCAAACAGAAAACATATAAACCGTAAACTAAGATGCATTTTCTCAATTAAAAGCCAAACATTGATGTTTAAATCTGAATATAATGAGTATTAGGTATCCAATTGGTGCAGTTATTTAACAATTAACGTCAGAATGGCAGAATTTCGCCTTCCTGCTAAGTTGCCTTGTTTTCGTGGGTGGCCGAGAGTCGACAAGAGTTCCTCTGTAGGAATTACCAATTTTTACTTAACAGTAGAGATGGTGAAGAAGAATGGAAATGTTTCTAGGATTGAAATAAAAGCAGAGGAGCCGAAGAATTGGCGTGAAGTTTACGGTCAAATAAAAGCAATGAAAAGCAAAATTATTGCACCGGTAGACAACATGGGTTGTCATACACTGGCTGACAGAAAAGATCCCAAAGTGTTTCGTTTACAAACCCTCGTAGCACTCATGCTATCTAGTCAAACCAAGGATACTGTTCTTGGTCCTACAATGAAGAACTTGAAAGAGAACATGCCGAAAGGGCTTACTGTTGAAGGATTGGAAGCTATAGATGAAAAGGAATTAAATATTCTCATTGAAAAGGTCGGGTTTCATAACCGGAAGGCCATGTACTTGAAAAAGACTGCTAAGATTTTAAAGGAAAAGTACGATGGTGACATTCCGGATACAATTGAAGGTTTGATGGAATTACCAGGCGTAGGGCCTAAGATGGGCTACTTGTGTCTGGGTGTCGCTTGGAACAAGATCGACGGAATTGGCGTAGACGTTCATGTTCATAGGATATCGAATTTACTTGGTTGGGTTCATACAAAAACCGAAGAACAAACGCGACTAGCACTGCAGAGCTGGCTTCCAAAAGAGCTTTGGCTCGACGTAAACCACATGCTCGTTGGGTTTGGACAAATGATATGCTTACCTCGAGGGAGACGCTGTGACATCTGTACACTAGCAGAAAACAATCTCTGTCCTAGCGCTTTCACAGAAAACTCGCGAATCAGCAAACAGTCGAAGAAGGGGCAAGCAAAGGACAAACGTGATCTCGTAGCTGACGAAGACGAGGATAAAGACGACAAGCTTACTACGAGAAAGACGGAATCGCCTTCACTGTCTCCGCGAGACGAAAAACCAGCCGTACTTCAAGAAGACGAACGCCCTGCCAGGCCTCGGCGGGCAGCTTTTGAACGATCACACTACTTTTCAAAAAAGTATCTCGAGGACATTGAGGATTTAGTATAAAACAGTTATTCACATTATGGAAAAGCATTTATGTACTTAATATAGTACGACGTTCATGAACCATTTCTCGTTTAATAAACAGTCAAAAGCTCCATGATTGCTTGCATCATCTTGTCCACATCTTTTTGGGAGGATGCTTCGACGTAAACACGCACAGCGTCCTCTGTGCCAGAAGCACGAATAAAGGCACGAGCGGATTCGTACGGACGCATAATCTCGTCCACAATTTGTTGAAGGCCTGATGGCTTTACCAGACGACGGTCGGCGTCTGTACAAACAAACTCAAAGCGGTTGCGCACAGTAGCTTTCGCCAATGCATTAGGGAGATCATGGTACATATTTAACCAGTCAGCAGCATTCCAACCGAGCACTTGCAGCAAGAAAACAACCATCAGAGTATCACTAATGCTATCTCCAATAGCTTGGTTGCAAAGGGTAGAGAGTCCCTTCAACAAGTTGACCGCAGAGCGTTGTTCTCCTGTCGCGTTTGCAGGCAACGTGTCCAGTTTTTGGAGACAAGACTTACTGAAAACGACAGTGCCGTGTCCGTTGGCTTCGAAATAGACACCAATGTCGTACTCCCTTGCAGCCTTCTCAAGATGCTTAACACCGGTCAATACGCATTCGGCCCGAATGTTCAATTCATCTTCGAGGTATACTGTTGAAGCACCATTCGCGTAAGCAGTTTGGATGACACCTAATTTAAGATCAAGTTGTGATGCCTTAATGCATGCAGAGAGTTGTTTCGCCGCCAAAACACTTATTTTGTCTCCGTCAAGCAGATGGAATTTTTTTGCAGAGTCCACGAAGTAGAAAACAACTCTATCCGCGTCTCCGTCAAAGGAAGCACAGAGCTGCATGGGTGAAAGAGTTCCACTCAGTCCGGCGGGAAGGGACTGAGTTGTTTTGACGAAATCAGCACCGCAGTTCTTGTTCAGCAGATCGGTCTGCTCCGTGTTTTTATTGACCAATTCAATCTCCAAAAATGGGAGGAGCATTGAGCAAAGCTTCTCCAAATGAATAGCACCGACACCATTGGCACAGTCGATGATAAGTTTTGTTTTTCCAGTCTCAAATGGCACGAATTGTTTGCACAAGTCGACAAAGGAGGAAGATAAGGTTTTGTAGTAAGATTCAATATGAGGGATCGAGGAAGGAACGTGATACTCGGAGTTTTCGTTAATGGCCTGAATTAGCCAGTGTAATTGGGGAGTCGTAAGAAGACCATAGTCATAAAAATCGGCATTACGACTCTGAAGAGCGTTTATCAGAGTCTTCGAGAGGTGTGGAGACGACGGCCGTGTGTCTGAAGCCAGCACAACAGATGGTTTCACGGATGAATAAGAGGGATTGGCAATGACTGTTTCAATTTCTTTAATAGCAGCTTCCAGTTCTGATTCAGAAGAAGCGTTCGCCAGACGCGTACAGAGAGGTTCCCACGTTTGATCCAGCATTCCGCCGTTTGCATCGATGATTTTTACGCCATTATCGTTTACTGGGTTGTGTGAAGCAGTGATCATAACGCCAATAGTTTGGCCGTTAAGCTGTTGACTACGAAGACAAGCAGCAATTCCGCAGCGAGCGACAGCCTTTTCCAGCGTGTCTGCTTTTCCACGAAAGCCTGCTGTTCCGTACGTGTAGATTGTGTTTTTTGTCATGGGGGAAATGATATAGGGAGAAGGGAACTTCAGCTGGGCGACGAAGCCTATTAATTATCCTTTATGCCGACGTCATAGAAAAAAATGGACGCGGGGAAATCACACGTAACGAGAAGCGTAAAACGGCGGGGTACAGTGAGAAGTGGGGAAACGTATGAAACGGTAGAATGGGCTACGGAATAACTTTTCTGTTATTGGGGTTTGCTGTGTGATGTATGTGGTACGTTTTGTTGGCTGTGTCTATCCCTGGCAGCCTATGCTGCGGACTGGATTTATCAGGTAGTAAATTCCATGAACTCCCATTTGTTTATTATTGAGCTGTAATTTGGTTACTGCAGCGGGGCAGTTCTTCTTATACATTGCAGCGGCTGTGGATATGCCACAGCATTGTTTTAATTTAATTATTCTGTCCTTGGTTGATTTTTTATTGATTTCTAATAGACACCCTTCGGTTTGTTTACGTGTGGCGCGATTTAATTTAGATTCTTGAACGCGAAGAGTTTAGGCTTCCTTATAAGCTGTTCATTGAAGTATCTTGTGGAGGAAGGACCGGTAAGGGTTAGACACTATTCGCTTAAATTAAGCTTAAATGTGTCTATAAGTCGCATTTTCGCAGGATAGGAATGCAATTTGTTGTTGTAACAGTCATTTTTTCTGCTGGAAACATAACTGTTTTTATATTCACACAAATTCGTTAAAGCCTATATGCTCTTTTCAGTTTCGATTCACTTTATTGTTTAGTCACTCGCTTATACTGGTTTACGTAAGTAACGTTGGACCATGAATTGCTTATGTCAGTGACCATTACTTCTGTACAAGAAAACGGCTGATGTGCTTGTTCGAAATTTTAATCTCGCATTAAAGCGATCAGCCGAAAACGACCGAAAATTACGGTAAGCGTTTATTTGCTGGTTTCATTGTCATTATGTTTGCGATCGTTTCGTAAATTAATTTTCGTGGTAGCCTTCGTCGATGCACATACGGCGCAAATGTAGATATGAAAACAATGGCTGCCAGTCCAGGATTGTCTGAATCCATTCGTATCATAAACAACACACTGTCGCTGGTGAAACAAACGCGAGCTCTCCACTAATCGCTAACCGTCAGCCCCGCTAAACCCTATTCTTAATTTCGCAAACAAACTTTCATTAAGCGAGCCGTGCGACATTTTAACGAATGAAGAACTGTTCCCACCCTACGGTCTCACGTGATTTGGACCGGTATCGACGCGTCTCGCGACGCGTGTCTTCTACCCTCTCCGTATACCCTTATTGCAATCTTGCTCCGAATTAAACAGCATTATGGACCGTCCTACTCCCAGAATCAACGCTAAGCTTTTGGACCAGTTCGTTGGACGTACTGTTCGCGTTGTCGGAAAGGTTATTTCCGTCCAAGGAAGAAGTGCGACGATTGACTCGAACGGGACTGTTAATATGCAGCTTACCATGGTAAATATTTTACTTATTTGTCGAAGATCTGTCTAACGGTGAATTTAGGACAACATGCTGGAACCAAATCATTTTTACGAGTTTGTTTCATCTGTAAAGCCAGATCTTTCTTTGCAACTGCTTACCTACGTGGATTTCGGCACAGATATCGGTATGTTGAGTCTCTCGACTCGCGATTGAGTTCGTCGATAACTACGTATTAGTTACTAACGGAAGAAACAACAGACATGGACATCTACGATAATGTTGTTGAGCTCTCGCAAGCTCATAAGTCAATCTTCTGTGAATAGATCGTTGGTCACCCTCCCTATGCATATGTCTGTCTACACACTACACACTCTACTACACCTAGAAGGTTATTTGTGACAGCATTTGTTAGCCACAAACGTTTGGATGACCTCAACCTGACATGTTCTGGTTCTGAGGACTGTCCTTCCGTTACCGAAAAAGACTTCGTACCGTTACAGTACAGGAAAATAGTTTTTCAACCTATGGTTGTGCAAGCATTGAGGGGTTTCTTTGCTTCCGTTGGTTAACACTTATTCCGTCATCTATCGTCCTTGAAATCAGCTCGGAACCGTCAAAAGTTCCTGCCGAATTAGAGTCTTGCCCCAGTGTCAGTGTTCCTACCAACCAGCTCGCACACAGTACAACTACCACCAACAACATTTATTACCAGGCAGAAGTTCAGGCTTCTTGCTGAAACTTGTTAATAAACGTTGAATTATACAGAATGGGTCCGAATGAGCACTCTTCAAAGTCGCTTTGGTCGATTTTTCGGAAGTTTTCGAAACGTTCGTTGCACGGCAGACATCACAGAAAAGGTGATCAGAAGGGTCGGAGAACGAGTTCTCTGCATCGTATACCTTCCAATGAGTCGGACACACAACTTAACGTCGGTACGGACGCTCAATCGTTGCAATCTCACACACTTCCTTCGCGAAATTATAGAGCACGGTCTACAACACCGATGCCGCCTCGTGCTACGCCAACATTGAGACGAGCCTACACTCCTAGTCGTTCTCCTGTCCCTGCGCATGCTCCTGTTCCCTCTAAACCTTCTATACGTCATTACTCAAAAAGTCCTGAACCTACAAATCCGACGACAACGCAGAAACAGCGGCTTAATCAGCAGCCAGAATCCAATGACACCTCCAACACCTCCAATGCACACAAGTCGCCTGCGTTTGCAGATAAGCGGCCAGACGGCGATCGTCCACAGGCCCTAACCATTTCCACTACTAATACCGCAGAGACTGCTGCAAGCAACAAGACATCTGAGACTTTAAAATCTCCCAACTCGTTGGCTAGTGATACTCCTACTTCAGAGATTCACCCAAATGTCCTGGAGGATATACGGATAGAAGAGGATTCTGTAAAGTTTTCCGATGACAAGAAAGTTGGACCAGATGGCAAACGGCCTGTCCTCAGAGCACATGTGACCACGAAAGATTCCAAGGTTCTTCTTCCGGAACCTGTGAAGCCAGACACGACTGCAGACGTTGAAGCTGAACCACTTGAACCGCCTCAACCGGTTGAGTTTCCCCGGGAGCTTGAGACAGATGGCACGTACAATGCACCTTTGCCTTATCCTGATAACAATTGCAAGTTGGCTCCGCTCTTTCGGAAATTGACTGAGCAACAACAGAAGCATTATGATGAGGTACTCGACTTTTGTCTTCATCTGAAAGAGGTGCCAAATAGTGCACACAGCAAAGAGAACTCTCCGTTGACGGAATTCGAGCGTTATTGGCTTTCTCGAGAATGTATACTACGATATCTGCGTGCCACGAAATGGCGTGTGCAGGATGCGAAGAAGCGTCTCGTTGATACGCTTGTTTGGCGAAGACAAAACAATGTGAATGATTTATCACCATCTGAAATTGAACCAGAAAACTATACTGGAAAGCAGGTGTTGCTTGGCTACGACAATAATGGTCGTTCGTGTGTTTATTTGTATCCTGCCCGGCAGAACACGAAGAATTCTCCGCGACAAATTCTGCATTTGGTATATTCGCTTGAATGTGCTATTGAGCTGATGCCACCGGGGGTGGAGACGTTAGCTTTGCTTGTTAACTTTAAATCCACATCTTCTCGTTCTAATCCTAGCGTTGGTCAGGGCAAGGAGGTGCTTAGTATTCTTCAGACTCATTACTGTGAGAGATTAGGAAGGGCCTTGGTTATCAACATACCATGGGCGGTCTGGGGGTTTTTTAAGCTCATTTCGCCGTTTATTGATCCATTAACAAGAGAAAAACTGAAGTTTAATGAACCGCTCGATCGGTATGTCCCTTCAGACCAGCTTGATATGACTTTTGGCGGTACCTTAAAGTTCGACTATATTCATGATAAGTATTGGCCTCAACTTGTCGAACTGTGTAAAACTCGGAGAGAAGCAAGTTTAAAGCGATGGCGCGCACTCGGTTCTAAAATTGGAACTAGCGAATGGGTCACCAAAGGCGGAGAGGAGTATATTCAGAGAATGCGCGAGTACGTGAGGCCGTCGTTGGCTTACGTGCAGATTGCCCAAAAGGAGTATGAGTCCTCGTTGGCAGTATATCAACAGAGCTTACACTCTCGGCGCACACAACCTGTGTCCTCAGTCGCTACAGATCCATCATACTCTGATAATCCAAAGCTCCTTGCTGAGACTGACAGTGACTCTGCATCCTTTGTTACAGCCATCAATCAATCTGTCACCTAAGCACGATAATATGCTACACTTTTTTTTCTTGAATCCGTCTCTCAGCACTCTGTTTTTGCCTCCGCTAAAGCTTATGCCGCGCTTTTTATTCTCTTCTCTTGTTTCTGTTGTTGAGGTAGTACCTTTTAGTATCCAAATGGCGCTTTTAAGAGTTTGCGGATACTTTTTGGTTCATGCTGATGCTGCTGTGTACATTATGTCTGTGATATTCCTTACTGTAACATTAACATATTCGGTTTTTGACGTTTCAATTTCTTGATGCTTCAATCGGTTTGCCGAGTAATTATAACTGTAACTAGTTATGCTATATAAAAGTGTTAATACACCTCTCGTATATGATGAATATATCTGGAGGCCGACGCTCGGAAATACATTTTCATTTTTTTTCTTTATCATAAACAATCCGTCCAATTTATTAGAGATGCCTTTTCGTAGACGTGGTCCCGTCATTTGATCGTTATTTTGCTTTGTTCTGCTCTATTTGCAGCTTTGTTGATCGTGTCTTGAGCAAGCGTAACGATTACTCTAAGTCCTTCTGGCTACCACATCAAATTCAATTGTATTTATTAATTTAGCATCTTAAAACTTCAGAATATGTATCTTTAAGAGCTCAGTAAATGAGTCAACGTTACAAGGATTGCAAATTGTTGGTTTTTGAAGATGGTTTCCATTCAGGAAATTACGAACAAACTTTATTCTTCAAAAAGTAAACCCAGAACAGATGCTTTAAGCGAGTTGAGGGATTTAGGATCCTTTCTGAGAAAAGAAAAGCTTAACTTTGAAGGGTACAAGTCGCTTTTTGATGCCTTAATTCATGCTTGTCATTTCGAAAAAGAAGCACTACAACACGCTTTAAAGAAGAAATTAAAAAATTCGGAACTTATTTCTGAACGTCTCCAAAGGACAACATCGTGTCTCCGTTTTGTTATTGAGGCATGTTTACTAAATTTAGAAGAACACGAAGTCTTGTATCTCATTCCTGCCTTGAAACAATTATGCTACTATTCTTCAGGTGCACTATGCGTGGATGTCACTCTTGACGTTGCGAAATGTCTTCAAACATTAGTTTCTTTTAAGCCACACATTCAGCATTTGACGTTTCCTGTTTGGGAAAATCTAGTTATTACTAGTTGCGACATTGTGGAAGAATTAATCAATGAAGATCAACCAAGGAATACATTTGTAAGTAAACACGTATCTGTATTCTTTTGCTTATTACTAACACAATCTTAGTTTTCCGAAGAATTGAATTCTGAGGACTCTTCACGTTTACGTCTCAGGCAAGAAACTTTTGAATTTATTGTCCTTTTGAAGAAACTTCTCAGTTGGTTTGCCGCACCAATTGTGTTAGTACGGGATCGTCTTCACAACCTCTTATCCTTTTTCTTCAAGTCATATCCATCTATGACCAATGGGCATATATATGCCTTGGATATTCTACATGTAATCATAAGGTACTCTGTAACTACAACAGGTTTTTCTGAGACAACGGTTAAATATGTACAAATGTGCATGAAATTGTTCGTTCGTTTACAAAGTCCAAAACGACTGAATCTTCAAGATAAGCTCATTCCCTCTTTGGCCTTGTCGTTTCCGATATGGTCGAGACCAAGTTTTTGGCAAAAACTCGGGGCGTCAGGAGAAGAGCTTTGTACCATGCTTTTCAACGAACTTCGTAATCAGTTAAATGGCCGTTTGGGACCCTTACCGATGCATTGTTTTTTATATCAAGTTGTGGACTCAGTCGCTATTGAGACACTCTACAGACCCCAGGACGTCATTTTTTATACCATTAAACGATCTTTCTCTCTGGTGCATTACTTGTATTATTTCTTCCTCGCACATATTTGTATACAGCATGATACGGTGTTTAGAAGCCAATTACTTGATGAAAGCCCAACACGAAAACGAACAAAAGTATCAGTTAATTTTGAAGAGCTGATTGGCGCATGCCACGATAACGGGTCATCAAACAATCTAATTAATCTTCAGTTGGTATCATTCGTCTGTCTCTTCTCTACTCATTTGACGTCGGATGTCATTCATAAATCCTTGTTAATATCGAAACGATTATGCGATGGAGAAGGTTCGTTTGGATATTGGTCATTATTTTTGACAAGCGCTATTTTACATAATCAGCACTACTTCCAGTATTTACAAACTGATGAGAAAAAGCAAGTACTGAGTATATCCACTTCTTTTATTTCTCACCCTAACGTACGCTACTTGGCTTGTTACATATTAGGCTACTCATTTACAAATGCTCTTCTTCCATTTCCTTCTTTGATACCCTATGTCAAAGAACAGTTATCTTTCATAAAGACAACACCTTTAATTCCTGTGACTGAAACTATCTATTATTGGAAATGTTTATATGCTATACTCGCCGAAAACAACTACATAAATGTTCTGGACTTTGAGGTGTTGTTTAGTAAATGGCTTCGCTCAACGTTACTTGATTTAATTATTAAGCAAGAGAATTTCTTGTTTGTCGACGATGTGAGTATCTTCAAAATGATGCTGGAACTCTTTTCGGAAATGTATAACTTCAATTGCTCAATAATCTGTAAGGAAGCTCATACATCAACTGAGTCTGATCTAAACATTCTCTATGAATTACGCACATTTGTATATACGGATTTTAAATTTAAACAGTATCATGAACAGAAAAAGAGTTTTACAAAAGAGTCAACTAATGTTGACTACAGATTGTGTTTTCCGACTGATTTGTTAGTGAAGTTAGTCTGTGAACTTTTCCGTTTTCTTGAACAAGTTGAAGATTCTTTCTTTGCTAACAAGGAATTACGTCTTCGAAAAATTCAATTCAAGCAGTTAAACCACATCTACTTTTTGTTATGCATTCTGGGACTGGCCGATAACGACTCATTTTTAAATCGGCTTACTTCAGAGCTAAAAAAGATTACCGAACGGTTGCAATCGCTTCTAAGTAATTACACAGAATACGTTTCACAGGTGCTTCCCATAGCATTCAATTTTGCTTCGTGCGAGATCACTAAACGAAACGGTGAAAAAGTTAACACTTTGAACGCATTGAGCGAAAAGAATGCAGCTATTGGTACATTAGTCTGTGCTTATTTGAAAAGTATTTTCTCTGCTTACTGGGACAGCTACATTTTAAAAGTGCAGGATGAATCGGCTGCAATTGATGAGTTTTCAATGACGGATGCCAGTAACCCTTGGAAGACTAAGGATCTGGCAAAGCCTGACATTCTTCAAATGCACACGCTTGATAAAGTTTTTTTGGGCCTTCAAAAATTGTTCGTTAAGGCGTCGATCTGCTCCGAACAAGATTTAAAATCGTTCTTGCAAATGTTACCGGTCGAGCAATACTTCTCACATTCGAAATACATCTCCCAATTGGTGTCTAGTCTGGCCCGTGAATCAGCAGCACTCTATGCTGATCTTATAGTATACTATGCTCAAACGATTCTGACAAAGTACAAATACGAACGCGACGAAATTTATCTTACAACATTTCTGTGTATATTAGAGGAAACACTTCCGTTTATATCTGCACTTGATGAGCGCGGTAAAGGATTGCTAACCAAAATATACCAGTTTGTTTATAAAGTTTGTATTGTAAATCGATACGCGTCCTGTAATTTTAGGCAAGTGTTCTTGGAATTTACTGCTGACTGTTTGCGTTTACGAAATGCCGCTTTTATTCCGGAACAAATATTTATCGCAATTAAAGTTATGTTTAATACTGAGCTTCATGTAAGCTTCCTTGCTGCTTCGGTGTGTTCACAAATTCCAGCAACTCTTCCATCTGACTCACCTATCAATTCTGGTTTCAAGACTGAGATTATTGAGTACTATCTAAGTTTAAAAGAACAATCTCTTACATTGGTTCATGTATTTCTGTTTGCAAACATATTCTCTCATTGTCACAAATACAAAGTGGAGGCACTGTATCTCCTATTACGGTGTGGACAATCCATAGAATTACGGTCCTTTGTTTTGTCATTTTTTCGTTCTTTGATGAAAGAAAATAGAAGCATCTTAAAGTGTTTCAACTTTTATATGTCTTCGCTTATTGATTTGTTCATTACCTATGATCTAAATTCGGTACCAGACGACTTCTTCTCGTTTCCTTATAAAACACTATACGCTGATGCCATTTCGTTCATAAAAGACAATCTACCTTCCTTAGCATTAACGCTTTTAAAAAAGAACGAAAGGTCCCTGTTTATTCTTAATTGTAAACGGGTACAGATTGAAAGCGATGATGTTTACTATACCCTCAAACCAATATTGAATTTAGAGCAGTCTATCAACAGTTGTGTTTTGGACGGCACTGATTTAGAAATTCAATATTCGTCTCCGAATGAATTCATAACAGTGTTGGATTATGCATTAACGAAACTATCATTGATTATTGGACGGCGTGCTGACTTATTGTGTGAACCTGTTGCGTCAATTGGGTTAACACAAATTCTTTGTTTCCTTGATAAATTTGAAAACGAGGAGTCTGCTACGGAAAGATCAGAGGCAACGTTTCTTCTTAGTTTTGTTAATCAACAGCTCTCTGTTCTTGAGCTGAAACACGACAATCGCATGCCCACTCTTTATCTTTTGGTGAACAAGGTGACTGCAAAAGTCGCTAACACATTTGACGAAGATGCAGCATTTTCTTGTGCTTTGCAGTTATGTGTCGTTTTATCGCAATGTAAATGGGCATATGAGAATCTTTACTTTTGTAAATCTACATTGATACTGCTCTTAAAACTTTACGATGAACCCGGTTTAAAGCACTTAGTTCTTGGCTGTATTCGATTTATTTTAAGTAATGTGAGTGACATTATTACAAAGGAAATCGAGTTTTCCGTTTGCTTTCTTATGCTGCTTTTTAAAACACTGACGATTGAGAATGAGGAAAAATGGAAAGATTGTTCAAAGAAACTATTACTTTGGTTCAGTGGAAAAGTTGAGAACGAATATACTTCCATATTTCCCTGTTCGGTTGCGATTTTCATAAAATGTTATTACTATAACTGCATCCAACAACAGACGACGATTGAGGTTTGGGAGTCAGCAATCCGGTATTTAATTTCTAGCCCAACACTTATCGAAAATATCATTGAGTGGCCCGGTCTTCCTGAAAGCGTATGGGGATTTCTCCATCGTTGTCCTTATTCTAATATTTTTGTTACATTGGAGAAGAGTTTTTCCTTTAACAGAAAATTCGGTGAAATTGACTTCATTGATTCCTCTATTCGCTCTTTTTTCTCGAAAACGCTAGGGCAGTCTTTTCTGTATGAACTTCGCGTTAATGGTCACTTACCCAAAGAACATGATAAATGTCATAAACTCGCAACGATTGACGAATCGTTTTTGGAAAAAAGGCAACAAATCCAGTACTTAATTGTTCATTATATTTTGACCCAAAAGAACACATTTGACCCTGTGCAAACGCTGCAACTTGAAAATATAATTCGTCGCACTATAGCAAGTGATCCAGATAAGTTATACATAAAGATACTTGATTCTGACACATACTCTTGTTTGTGCTCAAAGGACACTACTGATTTATACCTCTCATTTGATGCCGGTTATGATGATAGATCCATGTTTGCGAACTGGTTGAAGTTGATTTATGAAACCATTCTGAAAAAGATAGAGGATGTCGCGTTTGTTAATGCAATGAGAGATCTTCTACACTCTTTTAAAAATTTGGCCAATCATCTGTTAAAATACGTTTGTCATCTGGCCCTTCTTTACGAAGAATATCACGGAAATGACAACGAAGTTCGTACTGCTCTTGAAGAATTATTTAACGAAGCACTTGCAACTAGTCGAGGATCAGAACGAGAAACTGTTTTAGATGTTGTTTCTTATCTACGTATGAACAATCGTATCGTAGAAAGAAGACCATTCTTTCGAAATCTCTGGCTTGACCTTGACTTCTTTTCGGCGTCGCAGGCAGCCTTTGAGTTAGGAAGGTTGGAAGAAGGATTTCTATATTTAAGCACAGCTCATTCCAAGTCATCACCCAATCCGCATTTGTTTAAGTCTGAGTTACTGAAATTCGTTAACCATTTACCTGACCCCGATGTTTATTACGGTGTTGAAAGAGAAGTCGGATTTACAAATATCCTCGAAAGCAACTTGCGAGAGAAAAATCTACAGAATGTTGTCTCGTTAGCGGATTCGCTGGCTCTTAGTTGTTTAGCAGAAACAAATAAACTGCAATCACTTATGGCTGAAGGTCTTCACTTCATGGGTTTTTCTTTCCTTAACAATTATTTTCTTGAAGGACTTCACAAAGACCAATTGCTAAACGACAATTCGTCTGAATTTTATTCTTCTTTTTGGAGAATGCAAAGATGGGATCTTCCTGCAAGTAGTGAGCTTTGTACGCCAGATGCACTTTTATTCTCTTGTTTCCAAAAACTTCACTTACGAAAGCAGATTTCGACCACAAAACTCATCGTTCCTCCCAAAATCAGTTGTAACATGTCAGAAAAAAAGTTGGTTTTCTTTGCACAATTATCGGAAATTGAGCAAGTCCTGGTCAATAATCAGCAACCATCAAGAATTATTCGCGAAAATCACACCGATATATCCTGTCAGGAACTTGACATATTGGAGATTGCAGAACCAGTTTTTTCCTGTCAACGTGTTGTGCTTAACATATTGTCTTCTTGCAATCCAACACCTCAAGTGGATAAATGCAATCTATCAAAAAATCACCTGAACGCATTACTGAACATAACGCAGCAATACATGGCCTTGGGAGCTTACCAGCTGGCTTTATCTTCTATCATTGAGTGTAATTCGCTTTACAGAAAATACTCACTTAGTGATGAAGCACTCAGTCTTCAAATAGTATTTCGCACTTCGCAGGTTCTATGGGAAAAGGGGGAAAAACTTCAAGCTATAAAAATGTTAAGAGGAAAGCTAAGCACAAGTCAGTCATTATGCAAAAACAGCTCCGTAATGTTTTCTGTATTAGGTCGATGGCTCTCGGAAACGAGATCAGAAAAAACATCAACAATACTGAAACATTATTTCGAAAAGTCTATATCAACTGTTGACGGTGCTTCTGCAATTGAAAAGGCGGAAGTATTTATCACTTATGCGAAATTCTGCGATTTACAAGCAGAAAATTCAGAAATAGATGAGAATTTGAGACAGATGGAGGCTATTCTGTCTCAAAAGCATAGTGATATACAGAGCATATCTGAGGAAGCTAAACAAACTTCGGTGCGTTCAAATGCTTATGAAGTGCTTCGACGTCATTTACAAAAAGAAATTGCAGCTTATACGAATGACAAAAAGGAATATGAGAATTTGCTTTCTCATCAGAAGTTACTGTTAAAGAAGAGTACAGTAAACTATTTGAAGGCTTTATCACTTGGAGAAGAAAGTGAGACAATTCTTGCTCGTTTTTGTACGCTTTGGTTTTCACAAACAGAGTCGGTGGCTTTGAATGAAGAGCTGTATTTCCTTTTAAATTCATTTCCGCTTCAAAAGTTTATTTGTGTTTACTATCAGCTGGCGGCACGAATTGAGAAATCAGAAAGCATGTTTCAAAAATCCCTTCAAATGTTGTGTGAGAAGGTAGCCGGACAACATCCGTATCATGTATTACATGTCTTGTATGCTTTGGCAATAACGACGAATCGCGGACAACAAACTTCGCACAGTGAACGTGAGGCGGTTGTTTCAAAATTAATTGCCAAACTGGAACAGGAAGGTCAAAACAAACAACTTGTTCAAAAATTACTTCGTTGTTATGACGCTTATGTCAAACTTGCCAGTTGGTCGCCGCGACTAACGAAATCAAAAATCCCATTAGCCCACGCACCGGTGAAGGATGTATTCTTAAATGATATACCATCCTGGAAAGTTGCATCAGTAACCTCCAAAATTCCCGTTAGTATAGATGGTGACTACTCAGCTATCCCTGTAGTGGAATCATTTGAGCCAGTTATTGATATTGCCAGTGGTATTAATGCTCCTAAAGTCTTAACTTTTCGGGTTTCGGATGGACTAACATTGAAACAACTTGTAAAAGGAGGAAATGATGACTTACGCCAAGATGCAGTTATGGAGCAGGTTTTTGGTCAAATTAACGGCCTTATGAAGCGGCACAGAGCTACAAGAATCCGGAATCTTCAAATGCGCACTTATAAAGTCATACCTTTAGCGCCAAAAACGGGTATAATTGAGTGGGTTTCGAATACCATTCCCCTTGCTGTTTACCTCGAGCCGGCGCATCAACAGTATTATTCCGATGACTGGACAGTTTCGAAGTGTCGTAAATTAATTTCTGAAAAACAAACGGAGGACAATGAAACGCGGAGAAAGGTATTCGATATGGTTTGTAGACACTATCATCCTGTATTGCGTTATTTCTTCTTCGAGAATTTTATAGAACCAAAAATTTGGTTCAGAAATCAAACTCGGTACTCAAGAAGCACAGCAGTTTCTTCCGTATTAGGATACGTTTTAGGCCTTGGTGATCGACATGGACATAATATATTGCTTGATATAAGTACTGGGGAAGCTATCCACATTGACTTGGGGATTGCCTTCGAGCAAGTAAGAGTTACATTTTTTTCTATAAGCATAAATGCTAACATGAGTAATAGGGGAAAAAGCTGCCAATACCGGAAATTGTGCCTTTCAGGTTGACTCGGGATATTGTCGACGGAATGGGTGTTACTAATATTGAGGGTGTCTTTCGAAAATGCATGCAGCTAACACTTGAGGTTTTACGGAAGGAAGCAGATTCTGCGTTGGCAATACTTGGAGTGTTGCGTTATGACCCTCTGTTTTCATGGCTTTTGTCGCCATTAACTCGACAAAAGAAAATTAAATTAATGTCAACCAGAGACATTAAAGAAAAAGAAGACAACGGAGCAGGGAAATCGGGCAAAAGGACCTCTGCCTTTGGAACGCACGGTGTAGAAGCTGAACGGGCATTGCTGAAAGTTCGTCAAAAGCTATCATCAGTGCTTTCTGAAGAGGCACATGTCAATGAATTGATCAACGAAGCAAGAGATCCATCTAAATTAGCCTTGATGTTTTGTGGCTGGTCTGCATTTCAATGAAGGTTAAGTTTTAATATGATTTAGTATTAAATTTTGTAAAAGTATATATTCTAGAAATCAGAGCAACACATACACGATAAATAAAATAAAGAAGATCTCTGCAAATGTTCAAATTTACCGCTATAACAAGTTTATACGAACGGCTTCCTCATTCGGATGCAGTCGATTCTTGACCGACATCAATTTTTTGTCCTTGTACTTTTTACCAAGAACCAACTGCAAACGATGGCGAAAAAACAATCTTTAAGAAGTAGAAACGCAAGGCGTGCTGTTGAACCGGAGCTGCAACAGGACGTCCCTGCAAAGGAATCAAACGATTCTACTGATGTTCGCGTTGCGAAAGAGTTGGCAAGTGTTGCTGCTCGATACAATACTACGAACACTCAGAGTAAGGCGATTAAAAAACAATCTTCAAAGAAGAAGAATAAGACCAAGCTGAAGCAAGCTATGCAAGCTGAGGCTAGAGAAGAAAGACTTGAAACAAAAATTCAGAAGGCTTTGAAACACCGTGAAAAGATTAAAGCTCGTAAGGTATGTGCTCTTGTTTTGACCCATTATGGTTACTAATACGATTAATAGGTTGCGGAGTAATTGATGTTGCAATCTATTGAGCAACTGTTTTTGGCTATGCTTGCACAGTGATAGAATTTTTTGTTTTTCAATTCTGCTCTTCAAAATTGCCCGTTCATGTGCCTGTACCTTTTTAGTTTTGAATATTTTGGGGGAATTATATTACTTTCAGTTTTTTGTTTGGCATTAATTTTGATTTTGGTGATTTGTTGAAATGTGATTACAGCCAGTGGTAATGTAGGTCTGTGTGATAGCTAGTGTTTTTGGATGCACTGCAGGATTAAAGAATTAATAGCGACTATGACTGAAAGAAACTTTGCAGCAATTGCTGTTTGAAAAGCAAAATTAAGTTCATGTGCGTACTTTGTTTCGTCGGGTGAAATGTGTTTGATGAATAAAGGAAGACATTCATTTTGAGTGCTTCAGTAGGAAAGATATTGGATTGTGTTACGAATAGTATTAAAAGTGATAATATATAGTCTCTGGGTTACAGCTTAGCAAAGTGTCTCTAATATACATAGTTTCATGCGATAAGACCCTAGCATATTCTGATGCTCGTACCATAATTATTTGTGACGCTATGGTATTTAAGTTTTCTGTACCGTCTCATTAATTTCAGATCATTATTAAAAGAACAGAAACAGAGAGAGCATACATGCCATTTTCATTATACAAGTAATGAACAGCTATCTGAACACTGACACTATTTTAGTATATTCAATCTCATTAAACTTCGCTTATTGATCCGAACAGCCTAAACTTTCTTTACATGACTGCAGACTATTGCAATTGTATGCATAGAGGAATGTTTGTATAGTATCGGATCGACATCCAAACTTAGTGAAACCAATGAGATTTATTCTTAGTATTTATTAAAACCCTAATAGCTAATTGATGAGGTACTAATGCCGTTCCGGCAGTGTGTCCTGCAGAGGCTGTTTTGCGTGACGTTCGTGCTCCTGTCACTTTCTTTCTTAATGAAAATACAGCTTGCGTCAAAAAATGTCTTTGTGCACCTTCAAATTAGTACAATTTGCTACAAATGAATCGGCACCACAGCCTAAATAGTTTAATAGTCGTATCACTAAGGATGAACTTTTAAACTCACATGAATGTTACTCAAGTTTAGAGCGACAAATCAAAGCTCGCGTATTTTTGGCATCTTCGAGCAACCAATGAACTGATGTCCTCTTATTTCGCTCAGCGCGCCAATTAATCATGAGTTTAATATTAGGACTATGAATCCCAACCTGTTTTGGCAATTAAACTCCCTGTATTAGTATGCTATAATACAGTAATAACTATCCTTTTTCTCGCTTCTCTATTTAGGGCGTTTATTTAACGAAAACAACATAGCATTACGGCGATTAGACATCGGCAGCAACTTATTGAACTACTGGTCTGGATTACTACTACTCATTTAGATAACCAATGTACTGCTTGTAACCAATTGAAACAAGACTATAAACTATGTAGATACTAAGTCTTAGTAACTGTGATAACTTTTTCCGTTCGTTTGCTGTATCGTCCAAAATTGCATTGCCGCCAAGTTATCGCAAGGATGTTTTGTCAATTTTCCAAGATGTGCTCTTTGAATGCTTCGCAGTTCTCGGTATTGTTTTTCTTTTATTGTAGCTATTAGCCGTAAACAGTGTCACGTTAGAGGTTCGTATTAGCACCGATTTAATAATTTAAGCACGATAGGTCTACAAACCATTAATTACGATCGATCTCGACCAGTGCTTCTAAAGAATTCCAATCCCGATTTTCACGTTACTTCTTAACACAGAATGCGTGAATATAGATAGACGGGATTTAAGGTTGGTTTAAGCGAATTGTCCTGTTTCAAAAAGAAAGACAATCATTGCTCAGCGGTGGAAACATATGTAATTTGTAGGGCTTTTTATTTCAAATTCAGAGATAATATGATACACAATTCTTAATTCCTAATTGGAAGAAATGCTATTGTAAATTCTCTCGTTCTGCAAAGACGCATAGTCATAGACTGCATAAAAAACACGTGCAATTGAAGAACGCTTCGGTTCCATTGTTATAGAGGATTTGGATAAATTAGTCCTACAACTAATTGAGGCTCATCGTTGTCGCTTTCAGCTGTAGAATGGTGTAAGAACGGGGTTTTATGGACAGACAATTTGCAAAATGTATAGTGCTGAGTTGCACGGCTTTTTTGGATATGATTATTGGTTTTTCGTTTAAGAATTCGGCTAGACATAACACATAGAGTTGTTATTAGATTTCAATTGTTACAGATTTATACTTGCACGAGGATGTTTTACTTCTTAGCGTTTAACAATGATCAATCAAGACATACAGAATTTCAAACCGCCTTCCCTTTCACTTGTGCAATTCTAATTGCGATGTATTCAAGCTCGCGACAACGAGAAATCAAACAGAACACAAAGCCTTGTGTTTTCTCCGTTTCAATTCTACCTCTAAAACATCATCGTCGCCATCGTATCAGCCAACTGTCTCTCATCTACGCCCTGCAACACAAAGCCCGCATTTTCTGACGTCCATATCGTTATGAAATACAATACTGTTACGCATTACTGATATTGACTAGTTTATGCCACTCAGCCCAACTGGACCAGTCCCCGGACCTGATCAGTCGCTAAGCGCGAGTTTTTGCCCTATAAGGTTTGGCGGGACGCGTGTTGTAGTCGCTTTGTGAAGCTTAGACCCCAAGCTGCATGGCGTCATCAATGACGTAGTGCCATAACCATAACAGGAGCCTCGTGTGCAGAGCATGTCTTCCCTTTCCCACAGCACTGCAACTGGTGTTGACAGGCTAAAAATCCAAGCATTTGTACAGAAATACAGCTTTACGAGCTCTGAAACGTCTTAATTATCCAGGATAATTGTTTATATCTAAATTCCATGTTCAGAATGCCGCGTACGTAGCGTTTTTTATCAACTTACCCGAGCCTCTGGAGGCCTTAGGAGGCCTTAGGAGACCTTTTGGGTTCTCGTTTGCTGAGACTTGCTGCTAACAATCCGTAGACAAAGCAAAAATTGATAATGACTCGGAGGAAATTGACGATAGTAACAAGGTACGCGGAACACGTTGTAGGGATCGTTGAGGGAGCCATACATTGGACTACTCGCGACTCAACACGCCTAGATGCCGTCTAAGCGCAATGGGGAGCTAACATCTGCCTTTAGAACATCATTCTTGGTCTTGTCTCCCAGCTGAGGTACGGTTTGGAAACACGACTTGTAGTTGCTGATTAATTACAGGCCAAATATGGATCTTTCACGCGTGACACTACCTACGTTTGTTCTGGAGCCGCGTTCAATGCTTGAACGCATTACAAAGTGAGTTTTAGCTGGTGCTTTGTTCGTTTTCACACGAGCAATGCGTCCTTCATATGAGAATTCGATGTACTTACACATCTATCAGCTTTATGTCTCATCCTGGGCTTTGTTTTCCTCTGTCCTCTGAGCCGGACCCAACGCGTCGTTTCCTCAATGTTGTTCGTTTCTACCTTTCCGGATGGCACATTCGCCCACGAGGCGTGAAGAAGCCTTTGAACCCCATTTTGGGCGAAACGTTTACCGGTTTTTGGAAATTTCCATACCACAACAGCCCCGACGTTACACTGCAGAAGCTGAAAGGCACAGCCGTGTATGTGTCGGAACAAGTTTCTCACCATCCGCCCGTCAGCGCGTACTTCTACATGTGTCCCGAGTACCATGTTCGCATTGATGGCGTGCTGAAACCAAGATCGAAATTCTTGGGGAACTCGGCGGCCAGTATCATGGAAGGCGTTGCCAGTCTTCAACTGCAAGACATTCAAGAAGATTACTTCCTCACACAACCTAACATGTATGCGCGTGGCATTCTGTTTGGTAAGCTGAGAATTGAACTCGGCGACCATGTCATTGTTCGCTGTCCAAAAAACGATCTCATTGCCAATATCGAATTTAAGGTGAAGGGTTTTATAAGTGGCACTTATAATTCTATCTTTGGAAAGGTGAAGCGGGAGAGCACCGGTGAAGTGCTCTACCAATTGTCTGGAAAATGGGATTCGCAAATGTTTCTTGAGAACGTCAAGACGCAGGAAGTTACGCCATTTTTAGATATCAATGATCTGGTAGTCGCAGCCATTAGTACCCGGCCCCTTGACGAGCAAGGAGAACGCGAGTCCCGCCGGCTTTGGTTTGATACCTGCGAGGCCATTAAGGCGCGCGACCAGTCGAAGGCAACCTTGCACAAAACGGCCATTGAAGACCGTCAACGTAAAGAAGTGAAAGCCCGTGAGGCCAAACATGAAGTTTGGCAGCCAAAATATTTCACGAAAACTGGACCAGAAGAGTACAAAATTAAACTCAATATACCAGACGGTATCTCAAACTTGCAAAAACTGGCTCTTGTTGACGATTTCATTCCAGTTTTTAGCAAGGCTGACCATGCCCAAATGCACGCGCAATTGAACGCTGACTTGGTACAACGTGTCCCTGAACCTACAAATCCTCCTGCTCCTCTTCATCATCATCATTCGCTGCGTCCCATGCAGCCTCACTTTAATCGCAGCTCAACTACGCTTGCTTCTATGCGGAGTGACATCTCACTTGACGAGTACCACGATGCACAGTTGCCCGATGCTCACATCCTCTCACAATTGAACGATCACCTTTCCAGTTAAGTTGTTTCGCATTGATGCTTTTGGTGAGCGATTTATTTATCTCCGAATTGTTTTGTTTTCATACACCTCTAGACTGTTTATAACATTGCATCTAACTGTCCGCATTGTTCTGTATTACTTGAAGCTTATAAGCGAAACCCTTGGACAAGGGTATATGACTAAATTACCGAACGAGGCGCTGTCCTCTGCAATTCTACTCTCAACTTTTTTTTTAATTTCTGATGCTTCTGGATTCCAAATTTGAATACTGCGGACCCTCCGTAGCACCCAAATATGCTGTTTCACGACCCAATGGCTCAACTAAAGCGGGACTAGTCCTGCTCCGGGTGTCGCTGTTTTCCCTGTTCTTCTTGTGAATGGCTTTCGATGGGACTAGTCATGACTTGGGTCTCTGTGTTTCAAAGTGAAGTTTCATGAGCGAGACTTTTTCAGTTCGTGAATATCCGTTTTTATTGATGAAAGTTTTAATGCTGTTAACGAGAGTTGCTCTTGTTTCATTCTATGAATGATTTTGTTTGTTTGTTTGTTTGTTTTTTAAATTTTTTTCTTTTGAGGATTTTACTTTTATCATTTTGATACAGGATATTACCTCGGACGACCAGAGTCACTTCAACGAAGTTTTCTGCCGACTGATTGTGACTCTATGATTTTCTCATTTGACCTTGAGGCTGCGTTTCGTGGTGGTGAGTTTTAAGTTTATGCTCCACCATCATTCTGGATTATTCGATGAGCTTCGGTAGTTACTGCTGTTGGTATATAAAACACCAGCGACTGCCCTCACCGGGTTCTCCTTGACGACCTAACGTTAGACTTTGAAGTTTTTGACAACTTTACTTTTAGTAATATCCGGCGAATTTTTGTCGTACTAAAAAGAACACAGTTTCGCTGTTATGGCAGATCAATTGAAAGCACAGGGAAACGCGGCTTTTGCCAAGAAGGATTTCGAAACAGCCATTGATTTTTTTACTCAGGCCATTAACGTTGATCCTAACAACCATGTTTTGTACTCTAATCGCTCCGCTAGTTATGCTTCTCTGAAAAAGTATGACGACGCACTCAAAGACGCTGAGAAGTGTGTGAGCATTAAACCCGATTGGGTCAAGGGATACTCTCGTAAGGGTGCTGCTTTGCACGGTTTGGGCGATTTACAGGCCGCCTCTCAAGCTTACCAAAAGGGTTTGGATATTGACCCCGATAACACTCAATTGAAGAACGGTCTTGCAAGCGTTGAGAACTCCATGAGAAGCTCGAGTTCCTTCGATCCCTTTGCTCAGCTGTCGAGCAAGTTGAATGATCCTGAACTGCTTCAGAAGATCTCAGCTAACCCGGAGACCTCTGCTCTCTTGGCTGACCCTGAATTCATGCAAAAGTTGGCTAAGATTCAACAGAACCCACAATCCCTGCTCCAAGAGCTGAATGATCCTCGTGTCGTCAAGCTCTTTGGTGTGCTCATGGGTATTGATCAAATGGCCAAGGAGACTGGCAACTCCGCCCCCGCGGCTGCATCGAACGCATCGTCTACTCCCGCAAAGCCGGCTACCCCCGAACCTACTCCTGCTTCGACGGGTGCTCAAACCGAGGATGTTTCCATGGAAGAATCTACGGAGCCTGAGCAAGACAACGAGAAGCGCGAGAAGGCCGAGAAGAAGGCTGCCGCTGATGCAGAAAAGCTGAAGGGTAACGAGCACTACAAGAAGCGCGATTTCCCTGTCGCCATTGAGCACTACAAGAAGGCCTGGGAAATGTTTAAGGACATTACTTACCTCAACAACTTGGCTGCTGCTTATTACGAGGCTGACGAACTTGACGAGTGTCTGAAGACTTGCCAGATGGCCGTTGACGAGGGCCGTGAGGCGCGTGCTGACTTCAAGCTTATTGCCAAGGCTCTTGGCCGCATGGGTACGGCTTACCAAAAGCAAGGCGATTTTACGAACGCCATCGAATACTTCCAGCGTTCCTTGACCGAGCACCGCAGCCCCGACATTCTCACCAAGCTGAAGGAAACTGAGAAGGCCAAGGAAAAGGCTGACCGCGAGGCTTATGTCAACCCTGAGCTTGCGGAGCAAGCTCGTGCAAAGGGTAATGAGTTGTTCAAGGCTGGTGATTTCGCTGGCGCTATCAAGGAGTACACCGAGGTCACCAAGCGTGCTCCCAATGATCCTCGTGGCTTCAGCAACCGTGCTGCCGCTTACCTTAAGGTTATGGCCCCCGCCGAAGCTATTCGCGACTGCAACACTGCAATTGGTATCGATGCTACCTTTGCCAAGGCGTACCTGCGCAAGGCCCAAGGTCTTTTCATGTTGAAGGAGTACACCAAGTGTATTGATGCTTGCAATGAGGCCTCTGAGGTTGATCGCAAGGAGCCCAACACTGGCAAGAACGCTCGTGAAATCGAAAAGCAGTTGGCTATGGTTATGAATGCTATGGCTGCTCAACGTCAAAATGAAACTGAAGAGGAGACTATGGCTCGTATTCAAAAGGATCCAGAATTGGTTAGCATCTTGCAAGACCCTGTTATGCAAACTATCCTGTCTCAAGCTCGCCAAAATCCCTCTGCTCTTATGGAACACATGAAGAACCCTAGCGTAAAGAGCAAGGTTGAGAAGCTGATCGCTGCTGGTGTTATCCGTTTGGGTTAAACGGAACTGTAGCTGTGCTCGCACAATGCTTCATTGGTGTTCTGTGGTTGAGCATTGTTGGTTTTTAAGCTCTGTGTCTTGGAATAGACGATTGCAGATGTTACGACACAAAAGTAATGACAATGGCTGCAAACAGCTTAGGATAAGGATTCATTAGAACATGTTTGCTAATAGGTCATTTAATGAATAAGTTGCTCTAGGCTTGTGAGGAGTGAGGAAACGGGAGTGCGGTAGTGACGGGCTTAGATTTATGAACAGAAGATATCGACAGAAGATATCGAATGGACTAGAATGGCAACCGAGTTCTCTGGTCTAGCAATTCAAGTGAGTTTACGCTTTTATTACTCTACGGTTTTGCAGAACCCGTATAGCCGGTCTCTCCACTCTCCACTCTCTCTCATCTTATCTTACCGATACCTTATTTTTAGATAACTTTAATTCTCGGCCTGTTCATGTCACGAAGCATCTACACCAATTTCGTTTTTGAGAGCTTCCTGAAATCGTTCACAGGATTGAACGAGACGTGGTTTGGATCATGGAGAAGAGTTCAACACCCTTTGAGAACCTTTCTGTTCCTTCAGAAGCCACTATTGCCGAGATTAAAGGCGAGCTTTGTACGTGTCATTTTTGCTTCATTTTGTGAAATACGACACTAGAGCGCTAACAAATTATGTGTAGTGAACGGAGATCCTCAAAACAATCGGTTTACACAAAGATTGATCCAAAATTACGATGTATGACAGAATTGCAAGAAACGGAACATGATTTTGCTGCATGCTAACGAACTCACAGAAACGGACATACGTTCCAATTGACCTTTCGAAAAATGTCGACGTGTCTTCGAATGTTCATAATGAAGTTTCCTTCACTAAAAAGCAGTTATTTCAGCTGTATACACAACAAGGACTCTCTGGCTGGCTTAAGGTCTTCTTGATGTCGTTACGGTTGCCTCTCAACGTTATTTTTGGACAGGATTTGCCTCCTCTCGAACCAAAATTCCCTCTCAGCAAAATCAATGCTCTCGCTTGGCATACGTCGTTACCAATTGTAATCTTTGCCGAGGTGTCTAGCCAAAACAATATCCTTTTCTACGACGTTGCTAGCTCTGCATTCCTTAAGCAACGCCTGCAGCTGCCTCCTAATGCTGGATTTGTGACGGCTATGCATCTGACCAAACAAAATTACCTGTACGTTGGCACGTCTTCCGGCCGGTTGTTCGAGTGGAAGCTCTCCTTCGTGAAACGAACTTCGTCAGCTGGTGCAACGAAGCGTGTGAATATTACCGTCTCTATTTTGGAGAGCAGCGGCATAGACTACTTCTACGGCTGCGACATGCTACTGGGCGGAATCACATCTTTGACGTGCACGATAGATGGCTTTCATCTAATCATCGGAACGCGCCGCGGTGTCTGGTTGTACAACACAGTGCTCAAGCAGCCTGGCTACCGACTCTGCGCATACGCTTGCAACTACGTTGGATTTTCCGGACCTCAACACTCTATCCTGACGGTTGTTTGCGGAAAACTTATTCTTCTTTTCTCGTGTTCTACCTTTGGCGTCGGCTTAAGCCTGTCGTTCCCTGCGTTCGTTAATTCTAGCAACACCGTCGAGTCGGTTGCCTGGCTTGCTGGTGAAAAAACACTGCTGTACTCCGTTAAAGACGTTGAGAGCATCCAAGTACTCAACGTGACTTCTCACCAACTGAGCGACATGCCGCCTACCTATATTCGTTCCACACCCATCTGCACACCGTTTGTCAAATCGCGTGGCTACGGCGGTGCTGTTTCGCAGCTGTGCGTTGATCCAAAATCGAAACGCCTGGTCGTGTCCTTCGACAAAACGCCCTACCTTGCCGTCTTCTCCGTTGACAATGGTGAGCGCGGCTTATTTATCAACCCTGTTGGTCTTGTCAAGGGCCCTACTTGGAGAGATTCCACCAACTTGGGATTCCCAGCTCAGTTCTCCTTTTGCCGCTCGTTTCTCAAGGGCGCACTTTTGCTCACATCTTGGGAGAGTGGACAGCTTGTTTTAACGCCGTTTTATTTTGCTACTGAGAATAAGTTGCATTGGTAAGGGGCGAAGAGGAGGGCTGTGGAAAGATGTATATGACTGTTTCTCTCGCACGCAGCCTGTCTAGAGCGGTCTCGAGGGACATGATTCCACAGTATTCAATTGTGTGTTTAGACTATTAAGTCCCGTCTCCATTCTTCATCTGCACGCATTCCAAACTCTCTACTGCTGTGTACCCATTCGTCGTGCGTTCGTCTCTCGTCCACCCCTCCGTCTGCCCTTCTGATAATCTCTGTAATACCCGCAATATGATGAAAATATAGGGAAAGGCGAAATAGATTACGAAAATAAAAGTGAACCTGTTAAATTGAGCGAGCATGTGGCCGATTACATGTAGTTCGTAAGTTGTTATTACTGTTATTACTGTTATTATTACTCTCTTCCTCTCCGTACACCTGTTCGTCCCCCTCTTCCCTCCCTGTTCTGCTCTTCTTGACACTTGCTTTCTTTCACCGCAATGTTCCGCTCCCCTCTTCTGCCTGACCTGACGGCAGACGACCGGGCGTAGCAACATCATCACCGCCATCGTCCGTCTGACGCTCCATTCCGACGGTTGACGGAACACACTTAACCAATCCCTTTTCCTCCATACGATTACTTCCTTTTGTGCCCAATAACCCACACACGCTTACCCTTCTTCCCCACACTTTGTTTCTTGGTGGTGAAGTTCACAGGGGGGAAGCCACACATTATATACTCTACTTTACGCCTTACCCACTCCTTAACACAGTTGACTCTCCTACCCCTACCTTGTCTCCCTCCTGTTATTTCGAGGCTGGTGCTTAATAAATAGACAGACATAACCGTCCATCACCGACAGTTGTGTTATTTGGTTCTTCTTACGGTAACTGTCTACTTAATATCTGTCGGCGTAGGTTTATTCTGACAGCGTAGTCTTTGCAGGTGCTCCATCGTCTATCGCTGGTTTAATAAGAAAGTTGAGTCACCACACGGATCTAGGGTGTTGATTTGGATTCTCTAGTGCATTGCAGTCATTTTGGATTGGTTGCTGTTTTGCTCGTCTCTGTTTTGTAAAAACGAAACAAGTACTGGCTCTGTAATTTCGCGTAGGAGCTACAGGACATCTTCTTCTGTCCGGGAATCTGTATTTTAAATCGCTGGACACCGTCTGCTGTGTTTGGTCTCCCGGAGAAAATCACTCTCAGTGTGTCTGCTGTATATTATCAGTATTGAACGAACAACGAAAGTAATGAGAATTTGAAGGAAACGATATGAAAGATAATCCAAATATGTTATATCGCTGTGCTGCCCGTTACCCTATCCAGGTAATCGTCACGGTATTTATTCTTGCAGCGTTTTCTTACGTTTCGTTCTTCGACACAATCACCCGCCAGGAATTACCGGCTCTGGCACGGACACTAGAGCAATGGAACCTGTTTGACAGACTCCCGAAAAACAAGGGTGAGCCTGCTCCTTACCTTGTGGCCGAGTCATCGTTCGACTCTGAAACAGGCGCGCAAAACTGGGAGCTTGTATTTGAGACGGACAACGAGAACCAGGTCGACTACGGTCTCATCGAAGTGTTCCGTCCCGCCGGCCAGGAAACGACTTTTTCTATGGGCTTTTTGGAAACACACGTAAACGCTTCTGCCGAGTCCTTCACCTCTGGCCGTGATAGCTATGTCAAGCTTGGTACCTCCAATATGTCTTTGCTCAACACAGTCATGCCCATAAAGTCGGCACAAAAGGTCGTTGAAGAGACGCCCTCGATTTCCGACTTGCTTTTGCAACGTCTCCTCCCAGCAATTCAGAAGCACACCTTCTCCTTGACGTGGACCTTGCGATTCCTCGGTAACGCTTGGATGCATGTCTTTAAACTCGCTAGCCATGCTTCCACGACCGAGCTTGTTCTTGTGGGTACTGCCTACGTTTGCATGATCGTGTCCATTATCTCTCTTCTCACAAACATGCGTCGTCTCGGTTCGCGCATTTGGCTTTCCGTCAGTGCCTTACTGTGTGTGATGATTGCTATTCAGTTGGCTATTTCTTGCCAGCAGGTTATTGGCGGCCATGTTGATTTCTACTCCGTTGTCGAGGCTGTTCCATTCATTGTTAACGCAATTGGTTTTGAGAAACCACTGTCTCTTGCTCGTGCTGTCATACCCGAATGCTCTATCAAGTCCACCAATCCCTTGCACGAGGAAGTTGCTAAGGCCTGCTCCAGGGCTACCAAGCCTTTGTTGCGCCATTTTGGAGTGAGTATGCTGGTTTTGGGTGTGTTCTCTTACGTGAATTTTGGTGTCAATCAATTCGCTTTCTTCACTACCGTTCTTGTCATCGAGATGTTGCTCAACGTTACGTTTTTCGTCTCTTTCCTCACGCTCAAGCTTGAGCTCCGTCGTTTCAAGGTCAGTTCCAACTTGCACAAGGCTTTGGTCGAGGAGGGCTTTTCTGAGTCTACTGCGACTAGTGTCGTTCGCTCAAGCGAGCAACAAACGAAGAGTAACGTCGAGAAGGGATTTTCGATCAAGCGTTGCATTGCGTCTATCCGTACGGTTTTGTTGATCGGCTTTGTTGGCATCAATTTGTTCAAGTTGTGTTCTGTGTCTTTCCCCTCTTACAAAAACTTGTCCAACTCCAACCAGTGCATGCCTTTGTCTACATACAACCTTGATGTTACGGTCAATTTCTTTAAGCAGAACGCTTTCCAAAGCGTTTTAGCTAAGCTTCCCGCTCAGGTGCATGAACATGCTACCCGTGTACGTTTTCTTCCTCCCATCATCTGTCAAGCACCTCCTCCTGCAACCAAAAGCGAGTCCTATAGTGTCTTGAAGGACATTTACCGTTTGTTCACTGGCACGGTTTTGCCAAAGTGGTTCATGATTGGTTTCGCTTTCAGTATCGCTGCTAATGTGTACTTGCTGAACGTCGCCAGAGTTTACATTCAAAAGAGTAACAACAGTAACAAGCCGGCCAAAACCAAGGAGAAGATTGTCGAGGTGGTTAAGCGCATCCACGTTTCCACGCCTTCGGCCGCACCTCCCGTCACGGATCCTAAGGATGTGGTTGTCCGTCCCTTGACGGAGTGTGTTGAGCTGTATAAGGGCGGAAAGGTCTCCGAGCTGAATGATGAGGAGATTGTTTCACTCGTTCTTGCTAAAAAAATTCCTCTGTATGCTTTGGAAAAGGTTCTGAAAGATTTGGAGCGCGCTGTGTACATCAGACGCATTGCCGTTTCTAGAACTTCGTCTACGAAAACGTTGGAAACGTCCGCTATTCCTGTGTACAATTTTGATTACGCTCGAGTCTTGAACGCTTGTTGTGAAAATGTTATTGGTTACATGCCCCTTCCTCTCGGTGTTGCTGGTCCTCTTATTATTGATGGAAAGTCGTACTACATTCCTCTTGCTACTACGGAGGGTGCTCTTGTCGCTTCTGCCATGCGTGGTTGCAAGGCTATCAATGCTGGCGGCGGTGCTACTACTATCCTTACTCGCGATGAGATGGCTCGTGGTCCTTGCATTACATTCCCTACTTTGTCTAGAGCTGGTTTCGCCAAGATGTGGCTTGACAGTCCTGAAGGACAGGAGGTGGTTAAGAATGCATTCAACTCGACGAGTAGATTTGCCCGGTTGCAGCACCTTAAGACCGCTCTGGCGGGCACTCGTCTTTACGTTCGTTTCTGTACTAGCACTGGTGACGCCATGGGTATGAACATGATTTCCAAGGGTGTTGAGCATGCCCTTGCTGTTATGTGTAATGAGGCCGGTTTCGAGGATATGAAGGTTGTCAGTGTTTCTGGAAATTATTGCACGGATAAAAAGCCGGCTGCTATTAACTGGATTGAGGGTCGTGGAAAGAGTGTTGTCGCTGAGGCTATTGTTCCGGCTAAGGCTGTTGAGTCTATTTTGAAGACAACTGTCGATGATTTGGTGCAACTGAACATCAACAAGAACTTGATTGGTAGTGCTATGGCTGGTTGTGTGGGTGGCTTCAATGCCCACGCTGCCAACCTTGTCACGGCCATTTTCCTCGCTACCGGACAGGATCCTGCTCAGAATGTGGAAAGTAGCAACTGTATTACATTGATGGACAACGTTAATGGCAATCTCCGTATCAGTGTATCTATGCCTTCCATCGAAGTCGGTACCATCGGAGGTGGTACTGTGCTTGAGCCACAAGCTGCAATGTTGGATCTGTTAGGTGTCCGTGGTCCTCATCCCACAAATCCCGGTAGCAATGCCCGTCAATTGGCACGGATTGTTGCTGCTGGCGTTATGGCTGGTGAGCTTTCTCTTTGCTCTGCACTTGCTAGTGGTCACTTGGTTAAATCGCACATTGGTTTAAATCGTAGTGCCCTGAATACACCCGTTGCTGGAACTTCTGCGAATAAACAGCCGCCTGTTGATTTGCTCTCGGCCATTAATCGTGCCAGACAGCCTGCCAAAAACTAATCTTTGTTCGGTGTGCTGGAGGCTCCAAAAAAAAAAGAAAGAAAAAAGCATTAGTATTATTCCCCTCGGCTCTTATCCAAGCAGTACCAGCTGTGACTTTCGGCATCACGCTAGGAACCATTACACGTAAACTTTGTTATGGACTAGAATATAATGAAAATATCTCTTGACAAATGTACGTCTTCTCCATTAAGACGTGGCATGCTAGAGTTTAGGCTAAAAATAATTATGGTGAACTATTACTAATAGTTGACGCTCGGAGAGCGTGTCTTGGCATTTAGTGTTTGCTAGCATTAGACCATGGGCGTCGTATATTGATTCTTCTGCGCTAATAGGCATTGGTCGTCTTTAGATGGCAACTCTTAAGTACAGTTACTGGCTTGGGTATGCTGGAATATGGTCTACTGGATACGGTATAGGCGACAGAGTCGGTGAGTCATGGTTGCATACCACTGATGTAGGATGCGGCAAATTAGATATATATCCACTTAGTACTTATTGGATATAAATGAGATACAATAGCATTCCACATCAAGCTATTTTTTTCGGTAAACAATGAGTTCCGAGCTAGCTGGTTTTAAGAACATTATGTTTATTCGTCATGGAGAGATCCCTCGTGAGAAGAAGGGACATCTGCTTCATGACCCATTGCTGACAGAACATGGACGAAGACAGTGTGAACGGTTGAGGAAGCACTTGGACGATGAACATTTGCAAATTGACTTAATTCTGTGTTCTCCAATGCGTGACGTTTTACAAACTTTAACAATTGCACTGCAAGATTACCTGCATAAGAATCCTACGATACCCGTTCAAGTTCTTCCACTTTTGCAGGACTGCAAGAGCAACAATGTCGGCTCAGACGTTGAACAGCTGGAACAAGAGTTTCCTAATTATGATTATTCCGCGTGCCACAACACTCCGTTCCCGGGGAAAAGGGGTATCAATGCTTCAAACTTTGAAATGAGTGTCCTTAGAGCGCGAATTCTCTTTGAATACCTGGCAGCTCTACCTCAGAAGAACATAATTGTTGTTACTCACGACTCTGTTATACGTTTGCTTCAGGGAAAGCAGAAGCCTACTGACAATTTGGATGCCCCACCTAAAGAAGAATCATTTACTCCGTGTGAACACGAGTTTTATACGTTACGGGGCAGCAAAATAGACGGTTACCAACTTGTTCAGAATAATGACTTCAACAAAAAAGTTTAGAGAAAAAAAATTTGTAACAAGCCATGTTTTCCAAAATCCAAAAAGAATTGTTGTAAGTGAATTTATGATGGTAAATTTAAATTATATATTTATGAACAAAATCGAGCTAAAACGTAATAAATAAGAAAGTGGCTAAAGAAGAGAGAATAGTATGAAAACATCTCCATATCGTGAAGAACCTCGCATTTTAAAGTAACGTTTTCTATTACTTCCATCCGATCTTATTCGTGTCGTAGCATTATTTGGTGGTGACTTTTGAGAAGGACTCCTCCAAAAAGGCCTCTACGCATTAACAAACATTCACTTGGCTTCCCCTGGTGAAGAGGGAATTGCTGACTGAGTGATAGGTTTTGGTTTATTCTGGGATTTGTTATTGGACACAATAGGTTTTGGTACTTAGGTAGTTTTTCCTTGTTTAAAAATTTGTTTATTATCTCTGCTTTGGGTTGTTTATACCACAACATCTAAACAGCAAAAATGTTCAATGTCAGTTGGGATATAAAAACTGCATCTCCCGCTACTTCGAAAAAACAGGGAAAAAACAATGCTTCGAAAAAAAGACCACAAAAACGGAAAAGATCAAACAATTCTGAGGAGAAATCGACGAACACAGCCCAAGAGAAGTCTCTTGGAAAAAAGAAGTCCAACGGTCGAAAGCCAGATGAAAAGAAACCAGGGAAAAATGATGCTGATGTGAAATTGGCAAAGTCGACAAAGACGGCCCCTCCAAAACGGCCAAAGCTGACATCCCTTCAGCAGAAAATGAAAGAAAAACTTGATGGTGCTGCTTTTCGCTGGATCAACGAAAAACTGTACACCACGGATAGTGCAGATGCTGTAAAGCTTTTCTCGGAACATCCCGAAATGTTCCATACTTATCACACTGGTTTCCGACACCAAGTGGAATCTTGGCCCGAGAATCCAGTAGATATATTCATTGGCTTTATCAAAGAACAGTTTTTTGAAGACAAAAAACGAGATGTCTACATTGCCGATCTAGGGTGTGGAGACGCAAAAATTGCACTTGAATGCGCTTCAATGAAGCATATACACGTCTCTAGTTTCGACTTGGTTGCCCATAACGAACGGGTGACGGCTGCTGATATTGCTCATTTACCATTGGAAGCAGGGACGATGGACGTTGCTATATTCTGCCTGAGTCTTATGGGAACGAATTTGGATACTTTTCTTCGTGAAGCACACCGAGTACTCAAACCTGACGGCGAGCTTTGGGTGGCCGAAATCAAAAGTCGGTTTACGGATAAGCGCGGAAAAGTTTTTGGTGAAGAGCTTACAAAAGTCGGGTTTGAGTTGGAGCATATGTATGAGGAGAACAAGATGTTCACTCTGTTCCAGTTCCGGCGTGTCGAGCAAGGTGAGACAGATACTTTACCTGTGCTTTTAAACCCTTGTATTTATAAAAGGAGATAACCTGGTCCCGGTGAGCACAGATGAAGATTTGAACTCATTAGTGTCTGTATCCAAAACTCGATATCCTGTGATCAAACAAGACCTGATGGTTTTGTTCGGCATTTGTTATATTCGGATATGATATTTCTTTTCTATTCTATTCTACTTTTCTATTCTTCTTTTATTCTTCTTTTATTTTTATTTTTTTTAATTGTATTTCTACTTTGGGAACGGTTTTATTATTTAGACAAATATATGTGGAATAAGTCAAACTGAACTGGACTCTGTGAACCGCAATCCTGCCGCTATCAATTTCGTCCCTCACCAAGCGACTTTTGACCAGTCTGTGCGCCATTCACGCACTGCACGTTACTGTGTTTCCTGTTATAGCAGCATCCAATGACGGCAACCTGTTACGGCTACTATAGTCGCAAGCCTGTCGCAGCCATGTCAGGATTTGCGCAGATTTGTTATTTAAAGCATCACCCTTCCCGAAATGCGGCTAAGCGAAACTTTATTTCTCGTTTAAATGGTGTCTGACGCGAGGATGAAAAAGCAGGAAAAAACCGCCCGGACGAACTTGCCCTCTACCTACCACCACTTGGATCACTGCCTCAAGTTGAGAGCACCAGAAGAGACGGAGACCGCTTGTTTGCAATATGAAGATTACGGACAAGTTGCAGCTGCCCGAGTACAGAGACCGAGTTACTTGGAGTTATGAGTACTTTCCCCCGAAAACGAGTACGGGTGTTGTCAACCTGTACAATCGTATTGAACGGATGAGAGACTGGGGACATCCAACATTTGTAGATGTCACTTGGGGTGCAGGTGGTAGTTCGTCTGATCTGACACCCGTAATCGTTAAAGTTACCCAGTCAGACTATGGTTTGGATACGTGTATGCATCTTACCTGCACAAACATGGCCACGAAGCAGATTGACGAGGCCTTGGAACGTGCTTACAAGGTCGGCTGTCGTAACATTCTTGCTCTTCGGGGTGATCCGGTCAAGCATGAGTCGGAATGGACCGCTCTTGAGGGTGGATTTGAATATGCATGCGATTTGGTTCGGCATATTCGCAAGAAATACGGTGATGAGTTTTGTATCGGTGTCGCTGGTTATCCGGAGGGATACGCCCCAGGAGACGACATTGACGCTACTATCAAGCATCTCAAAATCAAGGTTGACGAGGGTGCCTCGTTCATCGTTACACAAATGTTTTACGACGCTGAGAACTTTGTCGACTGGGTCAAGCGTGTTCGTGCTGCGGGTATTACTATTCCCATCTTCCCTGGAATCATGCCCATCCAGTCTTGGTCAACGTTCAATCGACGCTGCGAGTGGAGCGGTGTTCGTATTCCTCAGCACTTCATTGATGCTTTGGAACCTTTGAAGGACGATGATGCTCTGGTTCGCGAGAAGGGCTCTGAACTCATGGCCGAGATGTGTCAAAAACTCGTCGACAACGGAATTACCCGCTTGCATTTCTACACAATGAACTTGGAAAAAGCCACAAAAATGATTATTGAGAAGATGGGCCTCCTTAATCAATATATTGAGACTCCAAAAAACGAACTTACCTCGCACATCCGTTCTCCTTCACAACTTCAATTCCTTGACAACCCTCGGCCGAACGAAACCGTACGCCCAATGTTCTGGAAGACACGTTCACAGAGTTTTATTTCGCGAACAGAACAGTGGGATGAATTCCCAAACGGTCGTTGGGGTGACTCTCGCAGTCCTGCTTTTGGCGAGTTTGATCCCAAGCATCATGGTTTGAAGCAAACAGACGCAGAAATTCGTGCTCTTTGGGGTTCACCTGAAAACATCCGTGATTTGGGCAATGTGTTTGCCGCGTACTGTGAGCGTAAACTCGCTTGTCTTCCTTGGAGTGACATTCCACTGAGCGGCGAGAGTGCTATTATTGCTGATAAGTTAGCCGAATTGAACCGTCAAGGTATACTGACCATCAACTCACAACCCCCCGTTTGCGCTGCCCCAAGTACTGATCCTCTTTTTGGTTGGGGTCCTGCACATGGTTATGTTTTCCAAAAAGCTTATCTTGAGTTCTTCATGCATCCAGATCAAGTGAAGAGCTTACTGGAAGTTATTCCTTCTTTTAAAACTGTACAGTACTACATCACTGATTACGAGGGCAGTCTTGAAACAAATGGCGAATTAGACGTGCCCAGTGCTGTTACTTGGGGTGTTTTCCCCAATAGCGAAGTAATCCAACCCACCGTGGTAGAGTCGGCTTCGTTCCTTGCTTGGAAAGATGAGGCTTACAGTCTTGGTCTGTCATGGGCGAAGGCCCATTCCAGTACATCTGCTCCTTTCAAACTTCTGACGAATATTGTTAAAGAATGGAAACTCTGTGTAATTGTCGATAATGATTTCCGCGCCAAGGACACACTTTTCCGCTTCCTCGAACAAGTCAAACCTTTGCGCGAATTGCATCCCGAGTTCTTCTCTCACTAAAAATATCTAATCCGTTCGTTCAACCGCAACAACATCTTTCCGCCTACATCTTGTCCCTCTTTTTTTGTTTCATTGGATTAACTCCATAATAGTGTTTTATGATGGGTATGACTTTTCAAAAAGCTTCAACAGTTTTAGCATCTCTAGGGTCAAAAAAATACCTTTACTTCTGGTACTGTTTTAATTACAGTTGGTGTAATGTATAGTGTTTGAAATACGGCTGTGTCTGTGTACATTGTAATTGGCGAGGAGATGATAGATTAAAGCTACGGTCTGTTGATTTGAGAGACGGCCAGGTTTGTGTGTATTGAGTTCCGGAATGCAGAGCCAATTTTTTTTTCCAAAGCATCGAGTTCCTGACCCGCAGCAGTGTGATGCAGTTTTCGCGCCTTGTTGCACTGTCGAACTTCTCTATTGGCCATGTATAAACAGTTTTCGAGCCAGTACAAATGTGCTTTTGATTGTGCTATGCAATGCTTCCAAGCGGCTTCCGAGCACTCGAATCCAAGCTCCAAATTGTCAGCTCTTGTGATAAGCATTTCTGAAGCTATGGCTGCTTGAAGAAGAGCGTTCGGAGTGCCGGGTGCACTCGGTCGAGTGTAACGCTGTAAGTCAATTGCCCGTATATGTTCTCCTTTTCCAGCATTGGCTACGCAAGCTTGCATTCTTTCAGAAAGTATTGACGAGGGTGGTAGTGGAATTATTCGTTCATCAACATTGTTTTGACCGGTGGATAGTAATGCTTCTTCTTCAACTATACGCATGGCTCTTCGCCGGTCTTCCTGTGATAAAGGTTTGTCATGATCTGTTTAGTTAGCATAATACCTTTTTGTTGTATCGTACAAGGTAAAGAGCTTAATGAGGATTGCATGTCACTTTTTTGAGGAGAGAGTTGATGAAGATTTGAAAATGAAAATATTCGTACGTTTTGAACGAGATTCTAGCAGAAGGAAAAACGCGTAGATTTCTTTTTTTTATTGTTGGAAAGACAAGGCCTTTCGTCAAAACGTAGATATCGCACAAAATAAAAAAAATCTTAAAGAAGGAAAATACAGCAAAAAAAAGGAAAATAAACAAGGGAACGGCCCTGAGATAAAAAGAAACCGAAAGATTGACGAAAAAACAGTTCTAAAATGTACAAATGTCCTTGTTTTTGGAGGGGAATGGACTAGTTAAGAGAGGATCTCAGATGAAGTTGGAGCTTTTTGGAATACGGGAGGAATAAACAAATAACAAGGATGAGACTTAATTCTTTCAAGGTATTGCAATTGCAGAAGTCGAACCGAGACTATTTCATGGATGAATGTAATGGAAGTAGAATAACTTTCTTATTCTTATCAAAGGATAAATAAGAGATATAATATGATTCTAAACGAGGAAAAAAAAACGAGAATGGGAATGAGAAAACGAATACAACTCTCAAAACAGTAATGATACAACCTTCATGCAGACATTTTCTTAATAAAGAGTAAAGTAACTTGGCCATACAAATTCATCTTCCACAATTTGACATATTTTTTGAACGACGAACTTCTCAACTTTGGCAACATTCTTTAAGACTTGCTTGTTTGGTTCTCCGACAACACTGTCCACGCGGATATTTTTAATGATCGAAGACTGCACGTCACCACGATTGTGTTCAAGTGTGTCTACAAAGCAGACGTGGACATGAGATGCAATGAGCGCTACTACAAGAGTCCCATCTAGAACAATATCGCTAAGTTGAAGTGTAAACGGGAGCATAGCGAAATCCTTGCTCGGGTAGTTTACGGCTAAACATGCTTCCATGGACATTGTCATGTTTCCGCTGTACTGGACATGAGCAATGATCTGCACGTCTCCAATCGAATTTCTCAGAAACGAAGGTGTTTCCGCAGAGTTGGGAACCGACTTGTGGATGTTAGACTCGGCGATGTTTTGCGGAGATTGTTGATTCGATGTCTGTGTGTGATTCATGTTTACGTCTGTAGAATCCTTTTTGTGAACTCCGTTTTCAGTAGCTCCGTATGGAGGCAGTTCGGTCATATTTTCCTCTTCCCTGTCTGACTCTTCATCGTCCAACGAAGAACTATCGTCTGAATAAAGAGTCTCCTCATACAGCCGGGGATCAGGATCACAAATGTCTTGTATCGTAACGTCCGGCACACTTGTACCAAAGTCAAAACTCGTGATATGTAAATCTTGAATGTACCGAGGCAACGAAAGCTTTGCAATTTTTGTGTCCAGCTTAGCCCTTAGCTTTTCTGCAATCTGTTCATCCAACAAGTTCCATTGAATATCAATTGACATTTGAAGAATAAGACAAGACAAATTGGAGATAGGTACTAATGCTTGTGATTGGTATCACGGGTTGTTACACGTACGATCAGTTGTTTGCGATTTCGGTCGATGAATACTAATAGTCCCTAAGAATAATTTCCACTTAACACTCAGAAACTCGTTTCTCGTTGTTCTGTAATTTGAATGAAATATCAAGATGATCCGTTTCAGCAAATCCAAAAAAAAATAACAATAGAAAATCCGTTAAGAAGGTGTTATCAAGTATAAGCGTAGCTTGAAGGAGAATTTCCTCAAGCTTTGAAAAAGGGACAATTGTTTTTACAAAACACGCACAGCGATAAACAGAAAGTTAGACAGTTCAACGGTTCGTGTTCATTCACACATCCTCTCTGCTCAAATTTCTAAAACACTACCGGCCAATTCCGTTTTCGTTATTGTTATCCAACTCCTGGAACCGGATTTCATAACCGGTGAACTTTTCGGCTTCCCGGACTTTACCTAGAGAAAAAGATTTCCGATAGTTCGGAGACGCTTCGGTGAGATTCTAAATCACCGGATGGTGTCCGCAACTTCTCCGGCTTCACCGTGCCTTTTTGGTGTTGTTCCAGTCTCCCCATGTCGGTGACTTTTCGGTCAACAAACCCCTCACCAGTTCGGTTTCCCACTAGTCGGTGTTCTTAATCTCTGGGCGGGGATTTGAGAGGGGAGGTCGGTCTTCTAGTTCTTTCAGTCCAGCAGCAGCAGCTTGTTACTGGTAGGGGCAGGGATTTGCGCTGGAACAAAAGGACGGAAAGAGCTACTCAGACAAAGAACAGTGGGTACCCTAGGATCGATATATTCGCAGAAATACTGTCTTGGAAACTCCTCACTCTCTCAACCGACTTTGAGGTATATCATTCCATAATTGTTTTATATTGTATTTACATAGTTATTCTTCACTCTATGGGTGTTTCTCATTCTGTTCAGACATCTTCCGGTGAAGAAAATGGAAATGGAAGTGACAGTTGGCAATTGTCGAACTTTAAGGAACGGCAAGTTATCGGAAAGGGTACCTGGGGCACTGTTCGGATTATTAAACACAAGGGAACGAAGGAGAAGTTTGCTTTAAAAAAGATTGTGAAAAAGGAAAAGTCTCCAAAACAGATGGTTAAGCTGAGAAGGGAATGTGAAATCTTACGGGAACTGTCAAACCCGCTTGTCTGTCAGTTGAGAGACAGCTTTGAGGATAACAACAGTGTGTATATTATTACGGACTTAATGAGCGGTGGTGATTTACGATACCACATTTCACAGCATCGATTTGAAGAACGTGTGCTGCAATTTTGGCTCGCAGAGATTGCTGCCGCCATTTTGTACATTCATTCTCGAAACATAATCCATCGGGATATAAAACCAGATAACATTTTACTGGACCATCTCGGTCACTGTCATTTGGCCGACTTTAATGTGGCTCAAAAAGTTGATCCAGAACAACCCGTTGCAACAGGTGTTGCCGGCACACCTGCTTACATGGCACCCGAGTTCTTTTTTTTTCAGCAATGCAGCTTTGAAGCGGATTGGTGGTCGCTAGGAGTGGTAATGTACGAGTGCTTTCATCAGGAAAGGCCGTTTGACGGTTCTGCCGCTTACGACTGGATGCAGAAGGACGAACAGGAACGACAAAAAATGCTCCCAGACATCGAGCAAATGTTTGTGCCGAAGTTTTCCAAAGACGCAATGTCGAACGAAGCTGAGGATGCCGCAAAGAAGTTCCTTCGAGCGAATTCGAAACAGCGTTTGGGTCATCATCCTGCCGACGTTTTTCAGCACTCGTTCTTCCATAACTTCCCACTATCCGACCTTAACCAATGCAAAATCCCGCCTCTCTACCGCCCTTGCCAAACGAAGCTAAATGCTGATCCGATATTGGAGCTGGAGGCGTACATTTAGAACTAGCATCCTCTCCTCTGGTACATACTATACATTTCCCTCATTGATCCCTCCCTTACCTCTAAACCTCCTAGCTGATGTAGCTCAAGTACGTTAATATTATATGTTCCTCGCCAATGTGCAAACAAAGAAGACCATATGCAAGTCTCATTGACTATTATAAAACTATGTACATCATATATTTTTTCCTTCTACAGTACGAGTGCAAGAAATATCTCTCTAACAACCAAAGTAAACACCCTCGATATCGAGCATTGAGAAACAACGCTCAGCACTAGGCTCTACGAAAGCAGTGACAATAGTGATTTTGGGGAATACCAAGGATAAGGTTTTGATACTCTCAACCAACGAAACATAAACCACAAGAATAATGCTCTCTTGCGGAACACCGAAATCTACGAGCACCTGAAGTGCCATAAGCACATTCGCTTCATCACGCAGGGCGGCCGCCATAAGGACAACATCCATGGCAGCAATACCATGCGGGAATTTGTAGAACTTCAAGCTCGGCTCACCAGTCTCACCATGAATTTGTACGAGAATCTTGCCCATTCTCACATCTGTGTACTGTCTCAGAAGAGCTGCTTCCAAGGTGCCTCCTGACCGCAGAATGGAAACACCGCAAATCTGTAAATTATTAGTTGAAGCCATTAAAACGAAACAAGATGTCGTCTTTTTTTTTCTCCTCTACTCACCTGTTTGGCCAGTTTCAGACCAGTCCACTTGGAGCCACTGTGCAGCGTCACTTCTGTTTCTTCGAACGCCAAACAATCGCTCATAAGACTCATCAACATAGAACCAATACGACTAAGATAGAATTGTACAGAGTCAGAGTCCGTAGATTTGTCTAACAAAATTGTCTTGATAGCTTCGAGTTCGGGCGTCTTTCGTAACTCAATGATATTCAAAGTTATGTCGTTGATCGTAGGCGCCATTGCCTGCAACGTACTCAAGTTGCGCATATGGCCAGAGCTTTGGTGCGACAGTGTTCGAATAATATAGTTGTACACCATATTCAAGGCAGTCTTGTTGTCGCGACCGCGAGGAACGATAATGTCCGTATACTTGGCTTGCGTACGAACATACGTGTCATAACTAGGCTTCACGAAGCGAGAATACTGCTGCAGCACACCCAGTATGTCACGACCTCTGTAGGTAATGTCTCGACTTAATCTGCGGGACAAACAAACGTCCGGGTCTGTGTCCAGGAAGATGGAAACATCAAATAGGCTGCGGATATTTTCATTAAATAAAGCAAAAATTCCCTCAACAATAATGATGCTAGCTCCATACACAGTAATGGTCTCATTTAAGCGATTGTGCTCAATGAAACTGTACACAGGAATCTCAACCTTCCGACCAGCTTTGATCTCGACAAGCTTCTCATAAAGCAAATCCCAGTCAATAGACTCGGGTTTGTCAAAATCATAGTTGTTTTGCAGCGCCTGCTGACGCTGTTCAGGGGTCAGAGGCTTGTAAAAGGAATCAAGGGACAGGATAACAACATTCGGCTGGTTTAAAGACTTAACAATTGACTGAGCTACAGAAGTTTTTCCACTTCCTGATGGACCAGCAATTCCGACGAAGCGAATTCTTCTCCACGGAGGCTGATATGTCACAGCATTCGTACTCATAGAGCTCAAGGAAGTCATAGAACTCATCAAGGAACCGTTCTTTCTATGAAAATGTAAATTTGGATTTTCGTTTGTTCGCCCAGTCAAAACCCGAACGTTTCTTAAAGAAATGAAAGTGCTCCTGTTTGCCGCAAAACAATTAAAATACACACCCTGTTAAGCAATATAATCACCGACGTAGAATAAATAATCAAATAGATATTACCCTGTCCCTTGTTTTGTTGGATTCCTGTAGCTTATGGTATGTGAAAAAGACAGAACAACACAGCAGATATATGCTTGCCGAGCAAAAAAGCAGGAAAATAAATAAGTTATTGTGACAAACAGAATTCCAGCTCGAGCTATAAAGAGAAGGAGAAAGAGTTGGAATAAGAGAACAAAGAATTCTCTCTCGATAACCAAAACTTGCTGGGTAATCGAGAAAGAACGAAAGACAAATAAAAGAATAGAGTTTACGACGAGAATTAGCAAGCTGAAAGAAGACAGTACGCCTGGATACTACGATTGCTATCAATGAGCAGAAACATCTTTTATTCATACTATTTAGTCGTTTACCGCGGTAGAACCGCGTTTGAGTAATTGTAGATTTTTCGATTAGAAGAAGGGATAAACGTAACACTATCGTCTATACAAGGGAAAATGCATCAAATTTAACGAGTAAACAGCTCCAGAAAAGCGATAGCTGAAGAAATATGTAAAATGGTTCGCTCGTGGATCGAACACGGGACTGCTGGTGAGAACGAAGTTGCTACTACTGTACCACCAAAATCTTTCTCTGTGTTGGCCGGTAGTAAACAGAGTCGACTATACCACCTGCGACTGGCTACGACTGAAAGCCCGTGCTAATGCAGACAGCCATAGAAGAGGTAAAAGACAATACAATTGTTGCTGTAAAACAGGTGCTGGAGGAGGAGGATAGTAGCATTTAGATATATATATATATATATATAACATAGAGGAAAAAGGCCAATGCAACTCAGAACAGGGTGTTTTATGAACAGTAAGCAGGTCTAAGAAACTAAAATATACCCGTTGACTCTAAAGCAAATCATGAAATCACGTATCTATTTAATCCTAAATCCAATAAATCCATTGACGGAGATCATAAGTAACCGCAGTATAAACAACAAGACAAACAGTTACTCAACATAGTTTGTCGAGAGTTACTCGTAACTACATTGGTATCGATGGAACATCCAGAGGAATGCATTTCTTACTACACAGACATGCCTGGATACGCTTGCTGTTCCCCTCCCTTCTCCCCTTCTCCTCTTCTCCTCTTCCGCTCTCCCCTCTTCCCAGTTATTAAGGGTTCTCCGCCTTTAACATTCCCTCAGCCTTAATCTAGTATAGCTAAAATCTTTACTGAAGGATTTGTAGTTTGTTCTCACTATGCTCCAACCTCACCTTTCCACACCCCACTCCACTCCGTACAAAAAAACGTAACCCTTTTTTGCATCTCCTATACCCCTTTTCATAGCTGGAAATTTATCTAATGAGTACTCTCGGATCTGTTTTTGTTAAAAGTGCAGTTAGCGGCGATACTCTGAATGTGCTTGTTAAAAAAAGCCCAAACCAAATTCTGGAACGCACTGTATCGTTAGCTTATATCGAATGCCCTCGTTTTAAGCGTGAAGGTGACGATCCCTTCGCTTTCGAGGCACAGGACTTTGTCCGTAAGGCTATTGTGGGAAAGCCCGTACAGTTGACGATCTCATACATTGTTCCATCGACGCAGAGAGAGTATGGACGCATTTCCTTCAAAGGAGAGGACCTCACAACGGCATTGCTCGATGCTGGTTTAGCCAAGCTGCGTCCAGAAGCTCGTAAGCGTGATGATGGTCCCGATTCTTACCATGCAATCCTTCAAAAGGCGGAAGAGGTTGCCCAGCACAAGAAACTTGGCATCTGGGGTCCTGCAAATGCCGCAGTCAACACGTCCCAAACGGACCCCTTGAAGCCTGCTGCTTACTTGCAAGCACACAAGACCGAGAAGATCAACGCCATCATTACTCAAGTTCGCGATGGAGACAACTTCCGTGTTCGCCTGCTGATGAAGCCTAAGCAACATCAGTTCATCACTCTTGCTTTGGCTGGTGTCCGTTGCCCTCGCTCTAAGCGGTACGGAAACAACGAGACTGAAGCCGAGCCTTTTGGCGATGCTGCGAAGTCTTTTGTCGAGAGCCGTTTGCTTCAGCGTAATGTAATCGTTGAGCTCTTGGGTCTTGCTCCTAACAACATTACTTTCATTGGAAGAGTTCTGCACCCTGCTGGCAACATCGCAACTGTTCTTTTGTCTGCTGGTTTGGCTCGCGTTGCTGACTATCATGGCTCCATTCTCGGTGCCGATGCCATGGGCAAGCTTAGACAAATTGAGCGTCAAGCAAAGGTCGAGAACAAGGGTATGTGGAAAGACGCTTCCTTTGTAAACACTGCAATGGACAAGAGTAATGCCAACGACTACGAAGCGGTTGTTACCCGCGTGATTTCTTCCGACAGTTTGGAGATTGCCAAGGCGGATGGTACTGAGAAGCGTATTCAACTCAGCAGCGTTCGTCATCCTCGTCCCGCCGTTGAGAAAGAGTCCTCTTACCAGCTTGAGGCTCGGGAATTTCTGAGAAAGAAGCTCATTGGTAAACAGGTTACCGTGTCCACCGACTTTGTCCGCCCTGGACAAAATGGTCTTCCTCCTGTTGACGCATGCACTGTGACGCTCCCTGACGGAACGAATGCCGCTATGTTGGTGGTGGAAAACGGTTACGCATCGGTTGTGCGCCATCGTCGTGAAGACTTGGACCGTTCTCCCCTTTATGACCATCTGCTTGAAACCGAGGCTAGAGCCCAACAAGCTAAGAAGGGTATGTGGTCTGGCAAGAAGTCTGCATTGAAGGAACCAGTCAACGCATCAGAGTCGGTGGTTCGTTCTCGTCAGTACCTTCCTTCTTTGCAAAAGAGCAAGCGCCTGTCTGCGGTCATTGAGTTCGTTGTTAGCGGTTCCCGTTTCAGATGCTACTCCCAAAAGGAGAACTGTAACTTTGCAATTGCTTGTGCCGGTATTCGTACTCCTCGTTATAACAAAACTGAAAACAGCGAACGCTGTGGTGAAGAGGCCTACAACGTCTCGAAGCCTCTTCTTCAAAAGGATGTAGAGTTAGAGATTCTCAGTGTCGATAACAGTGGATGCTTTATCGGAAACATTTACACTTCTCGGAACGACAGCATTGCTGAAGTTCTTCTTGAAAAGGGTTTGGCTTGGTCGCAAGGATACCCTAATCAATCTAATGTTCAAAGAACTGTCTATGATGAGGCTGAACAACGGGCTAAGGCTCAGAGAATCGGTCTTTGGGAGAACTACGTTGAGCCTACCGAAAAGCAAACCGTGAAGACTACCGACACTGACACTGCTTCAAAGGGTAAGACCTATGTTGATGTCGTGTTGAGTGATATCGGAGATGAAGGCAAGTTTTCTTTCCAGATTGTTGGTGACGAGGTGAAACAATTGGAGGGACTCATGAAATCTTTGGCTGCCTACAAGGCAAATGCACAATCTCTTGATGGCCAAATCAAGGTTGGTGCTAACATTGCCGCCCTCTCCTCCTATGATAACGCTATGTACAGAGCACGCATTCTTCGTTGTGATCGCGACAACAACATCGCTGATGTGGTGCTCTATGATTACGGAAGTGTTGAGCAGATTCCCTTTAAGAATCTTTTTTCTTTGCCCGAAAATTACCGTGTCCTGAAACCTCAAGCGCACACTGCCACTCTTACGTTTGTTCAATTCCCTTCTACTGGTTCGGACTATGCTGATGATGCTAAAGCCACTTTACATAAACTTACTGCCAACAAACAGTTTGTCGCTTGTATTGATGGTGAAAACAATAACGTCCTTTCTGTTACACTTATTGATCCTCAAGTGGGCTCCGATTTTGAGCAATCAATTAATGCACAGCTGGTTGAAGAAGGTGTTGCTAGTCTTCTGCCAAAGAAAAAGCGCTCTATTCTTGGCGATCCCGCGCTCTTAGAGGCTTTGACTGAATTGCAGGAAAACGCTCGTCGTTCGCATATCGGTATGTGGACCTACGGCGACCCCCTTGATTATGAGGATTAGTTATGTCTAAGTAAACAGAATAGAAAATTATGGTTTATTAATAGAAGCAAAAAATTGCCTATCATTGCACAGCCGTCTTTCAGGAATATTGTTTTTTTTTAGGTATTATTCCCTCGTCCAATGTACCCCAAATGAATTTTGTATGCTTATTATCAAAAAATATGTCTGTGGATAGTTGGCAACGGGAACCTGCTCCGGAATTAAGTATTAGATGTCTTTAGCTTCAGGTTCTTGTCCACAAGCTGCAGAGCACAAATCACACTCGTGTCACCGTTCTCAGTGCGTTCATCAGTGGCATAGAAAATCTCTCCCCCTTCTCCGAGCTTTCCCCGTCCATCTGCTAGCAGTCGAATGTTATAGCCGGTAATGACATGAACAAGTTTGGCTGTTTCAACATGGCGGACTTCAATGAAAGAGGGTTCAAAGGCAAGGATATATGGATAGGACAACGCAAACTTTTGGGGACAACCTTCCCAAACAACAAACCAAGTTGGTCTTGACCGCCAGCCATTACGGTTGACATAGAAGGCAAACTCAGAGTAACATAGAAGGAATTCTCCACCATTCATTCGGTAGATTGCTATAGGCTTGATATTCTCTCTCCGTTCGACGAACTCAAGAGACGTATCTGCCGGATCAAGAAGCGACTGTGTTTCGAGATTGTCGAGACTCACGACCTCAAATCCCCGTGTACAGCCAACACACAGTTTATTCTTCAAAAAGTGAATAGAGGTAGACTCCGTTGGCATATATAGCTCCTTTAAAACACGTAAAGGGTCCTGTGACACAGCAAGCAACTTCTTCAAACCTGCCTGCTTCGATGTCCGTGCAAGTTGTTGCACTGGTTCCAGCACTTTTATAGTTGTGCTTAAAGTTGAACTCTTAACAATACAAACCAAAACCTTTCCAAGACAAATACCAACTTTGAAAAAGCTTGTATGTCCAGATATCTTTTTTGGCTTACGAGGTGCTTGGCCAACCTCAGTAGAAATCCACGAAAGAGAATACGAGTATAAGACTTTATCGGAAAGAAGGAGTAAAAGATTGTACTCTTCAATGACTTCCAGTTGAGAAACGTTAGGTAAAGAGAGAATGCGTATAGGTTGAACCAAAATCATACTGTGTGGTTTGCGCGTAGAAAGATATATACCGGTATCTGTACCAAATAGCAGGCGTCGTCCACCATCATAGACACCGATGGCGTTTACGCGATCTGATACCGAAAAGAAGTCTCTGCATACGACAGTTGATTCAAACCACTGACTCTTTTTAAAGATTGCCTGTTGCTGCCTTTCGATATGTTCTTGCCATTTATCTCTTCCAACTTCGGTGCTAGCGTACAATGTCACTTCGTAACCCTTTTTTCCTAGAAGTTGCAAGTTGAAAGGGTACATTTTGTTCGCAGGGCGTCCAATATGCGCTGTAGCTTTCAAGGGACTTTGAAGCAAATACTTTTTAGAAGTAGGCATTTTGTTTCCGGAATCATCAATGAGCGAGAACCGCAAAAACATCAAAGACATGGGCCTCTGATGAACTTTAAAGAACTGTCTCTTGGAAACAGTTTTGGGTTTAACAAGAAGAAGTGCATTATCAAAAAGGAACAAGTGAACATCACTACTTGATTCAAAAGAGGCAGATCCAGCGTTCTTCTTTTTCAGCGGACCCTTGAAAATTAATTGACGATTGTCGTCCAGTAGATGAAGCTCGTAATGTTCGCCTGGTTTAAATAAGAGCTGTTTGTTAAGTTGCATGAGATTGAAGCGGTTTTCCGCCTTTCCACTTTCGACATTCAATCGAGTCAAGAACTCCTTGATTAGTTCAATAACCTTCGGTATATCTTGAGTATCGGAATTCTCACTATCAGTATACTTCAATACAGCACTCAACAAAAGAGGATATCGAGCCAGACGGGTTGTTGGCTTGGTGAGATAACCGTTTAATTCCAACTTGCGAGACTCTTTAAGTCGCTCTGTTTCATATACAAACTTTGCAAAGGCCGGATTATTAGCTTTCTCGGTCTCAAACTCATATTTTCCGTAAAGCTGACCAGCGCCATAGCGAATAAAAGGTTCAAAACGAGGTACAAATTCCAAAAATATATCAGCAACGCGTTGTACAACGGGCTCCTTATTTTGACGGACAGTCAAGGCTTCTGCGAGTTTTGAATTCACAGAATGGACCTCTAAAGCATTTAGGAAAACGGTACGAATAAACTTTTCTTTCTTTGCTTCAGGGATGCAATTAGAGGCATATAGGGGTTTAATCCAGTAATCACGTAGGTATTCAAGATCTTTAACAAAGTCGCGTTCAGTGTAGATAACTTCACAAATGACCTCTTGTCTCTTCTTTTCCCTTTCGCTGACGCTATCAGCAATCTCTTTGGGAACACTATAAATCCAAAGTTTCTGTTCCTTGTCGTCAAAAGCAACAGATGAAGACTGACTGAGTTCCAGCTGAAACTTCGCCCGCATTTTCGCATACATACGCTGCTGTTGTTCAACTCTCCAGGGACAAGTAGCGGAGTAGCAGGGCTCGGAGCGCACACAGGTAGGAGAATAACAGTTTGTCAAGATAGTGAAGACACCAATTGGAAGCTTCCTTTCAGTATTCATAGTCTCAGCCTGGGTTTCAAGTTGGCCTTTCTCGTTGATAGAAGAAACTTCAGAGGGGATGTAGCCATTGTTGAAAGCAGGATCACTCAATTGATACACCTCACGAAAAGAATCACGCAGACGATGGTCATAAGTAACATCATGAAACATTTTCTGTGCATCCAAAGCACGACCGACTAGCAAGGCCAAATTTCGATCAGCTGTACGAGTGATACGAAGAAGAACTGAGACAGCGTGTTCTCCCGTAAAAGCATTTGTATAGACAACACCATTTTTTATTCTGTCACCCAATTGTAACCGTGAAATAAAATCATAAGCAACGTCTGACAAAATTGCAGGATATGCCCGATGACGCCTTAGCCTGGGAGAACGTGCGGGAGCAAGCTGGGTTGTGAGCTCTGATTTGCGTTTCTGTACAGGAGCAGTCTTTGAGGGTACAGAACTTATTGACATAGACGAAATGGATTGCGAAAGAGGAACGCCATCCTGATCACGCTGACCTCGAATCCGAGAAAGAGTCGCTGCATCAAATGAATGGTTTCGCGTTGATTGATAGTCCAAACTGCCACGAGCAGCTCCCAAAGAGCCCTGGTACGTATTGAAGCCAGGACGGAACTTGGACAAAGGTATTGACGTTGTAATCGTCGCTTCAGTCGGAACGTCACTCAGAGAAGCATTGTAACGCGAGGGAGACGAACTAATAACCGTCTGCGAATTTAACGTAGTTGTTGCAGAGACGCTTGAACCCGTTCGAGGTACGGGATCTGGCTGTTGAAACACTGATGCAGGCACTGCGGCAACCTTGCCAAGTGGACTGGTAGAGGAAGATGCAGAACTGTCACGCGGAGAATCAAAATACAGTTCGCTGGAGTTACTCAAACGACTTCTACTTTCACCAGAAAGCCTGTTCGTGTAAGCGGTGTTTGAAAATGGATTTAAGTTTGGTTTAGAAGCAATGAATGGACCACTGGCTTCGCTGGAAGTGTATGAATGATGCTTGTATGAGCCAGTTTCGAATTCCCCCGCGGATGGATCAAAGGGCGAGAAATCGTTCAGGTAATTATGTCCCGTTCCCGCGGCGGAGAAAATACTGATTTCAGAGGATTTTTCCGTCGAATTTAACGACGGAGAAAACACTCGAGCATTACGCTGAGAAGCATACGGTTGGGATGACGGTGCCGGTAAAGCAAATGGTGCTTCCATGAGCTGCTCCGGGGCACCCGTAAACTGTGGAGGACACACGTTAGGTGCCGTTGCTAAACCGTTGTCCGTGCCAGCACTTAGAGGCTTCCTGAGCATCCGCTGAACAGTCGGAGGGTTGTTCGACGTGGGATCTTCACTAGGAGGTGTATTGTTCACATAGTTATGGGAGACGGAACGCCTTGTTGTTCCAAAAATCGCCTTGTATGCATGGTTGCCATCCGAATGCTCCGGAGCTTCGTACGAGTAATAACTCATTATAAAAGCCTACCTGTCGCAAGATAAAGCATAGAATAGACAGCAATTCTTCACTAAGTGGATGGCTCTGTCCAGGTGTGGTGTTCGTTAGAACTCGGCGTTTTTTTAAACAGTATCTTGCTCTGAGCCAATTAAGAGAAACAAAAGATAAAGAAAAGAAAGAGAATATCTTCTAAAAGATGTAGGTATCGAATAGAATAAGCTATATTGCGGCTCCGGGTGCGATGCAGTGGGCACGTCGTTTTGACCCCTTTCCCCTGGTCAGCGATCGAAATTGATGGACACCAAAATTAAGGTTCGCTTATTGTATTGCGGAACAAAGTTTATTTGTCACATGATAAGCACGTGGAGGTTAGGTCATTCCGCCTTTCACACCCCATGAAGATTAACGACTGTTACTAGGCAACCCCCTGTACGATTCTCAATTGGGACTGATTGATAAACGAGAACCAATCCTATAATGACCGATTGTTGAAAGAATGCAATCACGGATTCATGTAATTTGCTGATGTACGACGTAATTAGTATATATTGCCCATGTACCCTAACAGATGAGTATAAAGTTTGTCAGAAGTAACATCCCAAACACCACCACCATTTGACACTATTCCACACCAGCAACAACATTTAGTTTAATTGACTTGACCCTTACCGCGGTACCAGTTCTATCTGTTGATTACGTTCTCTCATTCGGCACTAGGACTTGGTGTCTTCTTAATATCCCTTTAATCCTCGGTCCCTTGACGACTTAAGACTTTGCATTTGGTACATTTGAGCTTTCGAATCTATCCTCTTATTTGGATCATTGACTTCGCTGTCAATTATTGTAACGAACTAAGTTCCTAGTAGTGAAGAATCTTTGCTTGTGATCCAGCTTTTGGTGTTAAATGATTTGAAAAACACATCCTTGGTAATTCAAGTGTTCTACTGTTGTCCAAGACGTTAAGCCTCAATCCATTGCTATCTCTCTGTTATTTTATGTCTAATTCTTCTTTTCTTTGAACTCTCAAAGGCTATACTATTACTGCTACCCTATTTGACTTTCAGTTAACGGTAGTTTTTGAATTTGTTTTTTTTTTTTCTTTTGTGTTTTTCTAATACTTCTGCTTTTTTCGTTTTAAATGTGCATTTTTTCATGCTTAATAAACTTCCTACATGAAGTTTCCAAATGGTATTTTAAGTCGGCGGAGACGATCTAGTGAATCGACTCCGGATCGCCCTAAAAGTTTAGAGGCACCCTCCTTCACTTATTCTGTCGTGGATCCTGATGATGCGGAAGATTCTTTTCAAATAAGGAAGAGAAATTCTTTCTCGGGTCTTCCTCAATATGTTCCTACACCTGTTCCCCTTCCGCACACGTCTAGCTCACTTCCCTTTCGAACTTTAAACAACCGCAGTTCATTTGTCAGACGAGAGCTGCCGCAACCCCCTTGCTCACCTACCCACTCGCCTCCATGTGTCAGTCCTCGTCGTCCCGTATCCAATCTATCAAGTATTTCTGAGCATAATGCTGTCTTCTCTAACATATGTGAAGATTTCAGTCCTAACGATCATCTTTCCTCCGATTTATTTTTTTCATGCGCTGGACAGTCGCAGGTTTCAGCTGGCTCAACTAGTTCGCATCCTTTACCGCAAGTCCCTGCACGACCGCTTCCCAGTACTCCTCCCTCACCCGAATATCCACGAAGCTCCGGCGCGAGTACCCCCTCCAGCTTCTTTTCCTTGTACGGAGTTCAATCTCAAAACACCTCTCCAGAGCCGTATGGCTCCGTACTTTCTTCTCCAACCTCGTCGCTTGGCAGGCGCTCCATCAACTATTACTACACTGCTAATGCAGCCGGTGGAGACAGTGTCTACGATCCATGCTACTCTCCGTTTGACGAAGACGGATCTTCGTTCAACCCCGGAACCTTTAATTCGTATGACTCTTCCACGGATTCATTCTCATTTGTCTCTTCTTATTCGCGAGCTCTTCCCAAAGTTCCGCTCAAGGAATATACCACAGGTGAAATTGACTTTCCTCTTCTCTCGCCTTCACAACTTGTCACGTCTCATGAAGCTCTTTCAATGAAATGCAGAGACCCTTGGTCACTGAATAGCCTCTACAAGTGGTGTCGAGATGTATTGGCACCATTAATGGTGAAACAAGAGGAAGGTGGGTATTATCATTACGAAGTTGCACAGGCAATGGCTACTCTTTTTACCCTGCGTATTCCAAAATTGGATTTCTTACTGGCCGAAATGTTAGCGAAAAATATTCTCATTGATTGGATTCGTGAGGGTGTTGTGAATGTGCTTAACTTTGAAAAGCTCTTAATTGAATTTAATCATAAGGAAGATTTAGAACACGCCGGAGTTCTGCCCGCACTGACTACAGGTGGATGTTATTCGTACACTTGTTGCTCCCAAGACCGTTCAGACAAATGTGCTTGCTACAGCTCAAGATGCCTGCACTCACCCTTGCAGAAATGCTTCGAAAATGCTGACTTGTCTAATTCCTGGAACAACTATTGGAATCTTCCACTGAGTGATGAGTTGCCTGGTCTGCTTACAAAAAAGGAGATCACACGACAGAATAACATTCACGAACTTATATGCAAAGAATCTGAGTACGTCGCGGATTTGGATTCTCTTGCAGATCTGTTTCGTGATGGGCTATTAAAATCTGAAACGGATATCATTCCGCTGGGTCGCTTGGCAGATTTTATCCAATCCGTTTTCGGAAACGTCGAAACAATAAGAACGATTCACTCGCATAGATTTTTGCCGCAATTGCTCGTTCGTGAGAAACTTCAAGGGCCCATTGTATCGTCCATTGGAGATGTAATATTGGAGTGGATACGTGTGGCCCGTGATGGCTACATTAATTATGCACGACAATTTCCTCTTGCGGATGAGACGTACAAGTTTGAGTGCCAAAGAAATACTTGCTTTGCCAAATGGCTCGCTGGTTGCAGAATGGATCCAAGGTGTCGGCGATTAGACTTTCAACATTTTCTACAGCGTCCTACTCAAAGATTGCAACGGTATACGTTGGAATTAAACACGATTTTGAAGCATACCGACCCCGAAAGTTTGGATTACAAATTCCTCACTCAAGCCTTGAAGGACATTCGCGCTACATGTGAAGAGTGCGATGCAGTTATTGCGACAGTCCTTGAGACTAATCGTATCCGTGACCTTTCGTTTCAACTTCTTTTCAAGAATAACGAGCACGTGAATTTGGATCTTCGAAGTCCTTTGAGGGAGTTCTTTTACGAGGGCGAGGTTTTACGAAAAAGCAATTCGCGTTTAGAATGGTTGAATATCCATCTTTTCTTACTAGATAATTATCTAGTAATGACCAAAGTAAAGAGGGAAAGAAAAAGTTCTGCTACGAAATATCTTGTTTCCAAAAGGCCTATTCCATTAGATCTTCTGGTCGTGGAAAGAATTGATGATTTATCTTTACATCGGTCTAGCCCTTCAAGAATGTTTGGAAACTTTTCACTAACTACTTCAGAGGGAACGTTTCGTACACGCAGATCCTCTATGCGTTTAAACAAATTCCAATCGCAGTCCACGCTTTCCGAGAAACACAAGCGTTCGAACAGCGATAATACCTTGTCTCCAGGACGATCTGAAAAACAACAACTTTTTGCATTTGCTGTTCGACACTTAGGGCGAACTCCTATGACATACACGTTTTATACTGAGACAGCTCAAGCAAGAAAAATATGGATCGAAAAATTAAATTTTGCTCAGAAACGACATGCTCAAAAACAGCATGACAAGGTTCCCTTTGCCGCTAAAGTCTTGTCCGACGTTCTTTTTAAGGACACATCAGATGGTCCATACTTTAATTCCTCATCTCAAGATTCTTCTGCAAAGATTGACCTTGTTGAAGGTTCAGTTGTGGACAGGGCTCTGCAAGAAGCCTCTTGGAAATATCCAATCCCTACCGCGGGTGACTTACCAAATGCTATAGCTTCAGGACCTGTGTTTAGTATTGCTCAATTTTGCTTAGAAGGGAATACCGTCTCATTTTTTGCTGCAACCTGCAACGGAGTTTTCTACGGTGAGCATGGTAAAGACAAAGACATCCGCAGTTGGCGGAAGGTCTTCGACCATAGAAGAGTCACTCAGCTCGGCGTTCTCGAAGAATTTGATCTGTTATTAGAGCTGAGAGATAAAACTCTCTTCGCACACAAGCTGAGTCAGATTATCGAATTGACGAATCCAGAACCGTTCGTGGAGAGGGGAACTGCCCAAGTACTTGGAACACCTCATGCAGTGTCACAGTTTAAAATTGCCAAGGTTGAGGAGGGCTCCCTGCTAAAGCGTTCGCGTACGTATATCTTGTATAAAGAAATGACGGGCACTTTTACCTTTATTCGTTGTTGTGAACCTGTTGTCGGTTTCGGCCATAATTATCAGAAAGCCTATGGTTTCCGTCAAAAAGATGTTATTTCATTTCGGGTGGTTGATCAATTCCAAGTTACGAATGATACGAGTTTTGCAAATGTATTCAAGTACTCTTTTGCTGTCACTAATTCTAAGGGTACGGATTAGTATTGTTTAATTATTTTTACTAACAATTTTCTCAGGTATTGAAGTTATTAGACTGGATCCAAAGCTACGGAATAACATTCCTAGTCAAGTCAGCCTTTATGACTCACCAGCCCGCAACTTTGCAATGTCATCGAAACCGTTATCTTTGCTGCGGACTTCAAAGCGCGGCATTTTTGCTTGTTGTTATGAAACAGGTGCTTTTTTTGTTACTAGTGAAGGTCAGCTTACTCGTACAACGGAGTTTATTAACTGGTTGGGCACTCCAGAACATGTCTGCATGGTTGGTGACTACTTGTTATCCTTTGACAAAAACTTTGTTGAAATTTGGAGCACTGAAACTTTGCAATTGGAACAAATAATTCAGGGAAACTCCATTCAATATCATCCCAGCGGCTCCGAATGGCACCCAAGCGGCATAATGCCTGTATTTAGTATGACACACCCTGTATACCCTGACCGCCGCCTGATCATGGCATTGGAACTAACTAAGCTGGGTAATGAATTGCCATGATTGCATAATTTCATCGTTTTTCTTTATCGTTCAAAGTCTTTTTCGTTCTTCTTTATTTCGTTTTTATTTCATTTATGTTTACCACTTTATTCTCTTAATTGTAATTTAACTCGTAATTAAATTGCTCAAACACAATAGTAATTTACTACATAAAACTAGCGGCGCTTCCTAGCCTTGGTTCCGGCCCCTTAGATAAGTGCTACTGTAGACCCTGGCTGCTTGCTTTCCCGTTACACCATCTAGCGCCTCTACCAAAGAAGGGCTTGGACCTCACTTCCATTTATTACCGTAAAGGGCAACCATAAATATCTAGTATCGTACACTTATCCCCAGCGCTTGTCCTTGACGTGTAAATTATATGAGTACTGCATCGTTAGAGGTATTAGGGATCAATTCGTCAAAAAATGACATGAAAGAACAAGATGACAAACGCTGGGTTTGGATCCCAGATCCTGAAAACGCTTTCGTTAAAGCTTGCGTTATAGAAGAACTAAAAGATCACCAGTTACGTGTGCGATACAATAATTTTCGAGATGAGAAGATTGTTTTGGAGGCAGAAACCCTGCCGGTCAATCCGTCCAATTTTGACAGTGTTGATGACATGGCAGAGCTTACACATCTCAATGAGCCGTCTATTGCGTACAATTTGGAGCAACGGTATATGTCAGACCTCATTTATACATATTCTGGTCTTTTCTTAGTTGCCATTAATCCGTATAATCTTCTTCCTATATACAACAAAGATATTATTCAATTATACAAAGACAAAACCTATGGAAGAAAATACCCGCATATTTTCTCGGTTGCCGACCTTGCTTATAATAACTTGCTAGAAAAGAAGGAACATCAAAGTATTCTGGTCACTGGTGAATCTGGTGCTGGTAAAACTGAAAACACGAAACGAATCATTCAGTATCTTGCCTCTGTTGCCAACAGTTCGCAGTACACGGAAGGTCAGATCGAAGAGCAGATCCTTCAAACAAACCCCATTCTCGAGTCCTTTGGTAATGCACAAACAGTGAGAAATAACAACTCTTCTCGGTTTGGTAAATTTATCAGAATCGAGTTTTCTGCTAGTGGAGAAATCTCAAATGCCACAATCGATTGGTATTTGCTTGAAAAGTCCAGAGTCGTTCGTCAAAGCCCGGAGGAACGAAGTTACCATGTATTTTACCAGCTGATTAAAGGTGCAGATGAGGCGCTACGCAACAAGCTACTTTTAAGTAAGACCACCGACGAATACAATTACTTAAAAGAATCATCGAACACCATTGATGGGGTCGATGATGCGGCAGAATTCGAGAAGCTGTTAGCCTCGATGAAAACATTAAACTTCACGGAGCAGGAGATGATTGCTTCATTCAAAATTCTCTCTATTGTTCTGCTCTTGGGAAACATTACCGTTGTCGCTGATCGCAATGGTGCTGCTCGCTTGCCTAATCCAGACGAAATTGACAAAATTTGTCATTTAATGGGGATGAAACCTGAGGAGTTTTCGCAAAACCTTATTCGGCCTAAAATTCGTGCAGGACGCGAATGGGTATTTTCAGCAAGAAGTCAAGTTCAAGTGGCATCCTCTCTTGAAGCTTTAGCCAAAACGATCTATGAGCGAAATTTTGGGTGGCTCGTTGATCGCATTAATCAGTCTTTGAAGAATTCGGGTACAACTTCTCGTCATTTTATTGGTATTTTGGATATTGCAGGTTTTGAAATTTTTAAGCATAATAGTTTTGAACAACTTTGCATTAACTACACAAATGAACGGTTGCAACAATTCTTTAACCATCACATGTTTGTCTTGGAACAGGAAGAGTACATGCGAGAGAGTATCAAATGGGAATTTCAAGATTTTGGTCACGATTTGCAACCTACAATTGATTTGATCGAAAAGAGCAAGCCCATTGGTATCTTGTCCTGCTTGGATGAGGAATGTGTTATGCCGAAAGCTACGGACACCACTTTTACAGAGAAACTGAATGCTCTCTGGAATGGCAAGTCGACAAAGTACAAACCGTCAAAGTTTGGTTGTGATGGCTTTACTCTTACACATTACGCCGCCGATGTTGAATACAAAACTGAAGGCTGGTTGGAGAAAAACAGCGACCCTTTAAATGAGAACGTTGCGAACTTAATCGCGAATTCCTCAAACAAGCATCTGGCAAGCCTGTTCGCCGATTATAAGGACCCCGTTGGATCAGTCACTCGGACGAGCAAGAAAAAGGGTGTTTTCCGTACTGTCGCTCAACGCCATAAAGAACAGCTTAACCAGTTGATGAATCAGTTTGGTGTCACGAATCCTCACTTCGTTCGATGCATTGTTCCGAATCAACTGAAAAAGGCTCACGTTTTCAATTGGCCTCTTGTACTCGAGCAACTAAGATGTAATGGTGTGCTTGAGGGAATTAGAATCACTCGTTCAGGATTCCCTAATAGACTCACGTTTAATGATTTTCGTTTACGATATGAAATTATGGTTAATGTGTCTAAGAACAACCAATACGTGGAATCGCGAAAAGCCTCTTTGCTGATACTTCAAGAACTCGATGTTGATTCTGATTTGTACCGAATTGGTATTTCCAAAGTGTTTTTTAGAGCAGGTGTTCTAGCAATCTTGGAGAAAAGACGTACGGAGTATCTTCAGCGATTGATGACGGGCTTGCAATCATGTATCAGAGGTGCTGCTCAGCGAAAACGTTACCAAAAAACATTAAACGCAATCACGGCATCCAAACTTATTGAGAAAAACTTGTACTACTATAAAGATCTCGCACAATTTTCTTGGGCAAAGTTATTTCTTACGATTCGTCCACTATTAAGTAGCACGCAGAATGACGAGAAGCTGAAGAAAAAGGATGAAGAACTAGCAAGGGTCAATTATGAACTGAAAAAGTCACAAGCGAGCTTTCGACAAGCTGAGGATCAGCGAAAGGCTACAGAAGATTCGATCAAAAATTTGGAGAAAGTTTTAGAAACAGAGCGATCCATAGCTGTGGATAAAGAAGAAATTCTTTATAGAACACAGGAAAAGGTTAACGACTTGCTCGAAACTATTTCCAAACTCGAAAGCGATATATCTGAGAAGGACGAGAGAGTAAACTCCTTTTCGGAAGAAATGGAATTACTTGTCAAGGAACATACACAGCTTGTGGAAGCATCTACAAAGACAGATAACGAGTTATTTGAAACAAAAGAGAAATTGGAGGCAGTGTTAGCTTCCAATGAAGAGCTTGATGAGAAAGTTTCAACGCTGACAGCATCTCTTGCAAGTGCCAACTCCCAAAACGAGCAGCTTGCTCGGGAAAACAAATCTCTTTCCGAGACTGTTGATGAGCTTACATCATCCGAGAAGAACAGAGAAGAACTGGAGCGTGCTATCAATGAGCTTAACACAAAATGGAAATCTCGTGAACAAGAGCTGTTGGATAAGGAGAAGGCTCTTGAAGAAGAACTTCAAACTTCAAATGACAACTTTTCCAAACTTCAAGAAGAAAAGGAGCAAGCACAAAAGCAGTTTAAGGAGGCTTTACAATCTTCAAACGACGTCTCGGCTAAGCTCCAGCAAGAGAAGGAACAAACTCAAAAGCAATACGAGGACGCTTTGCAGAAAGCAAATGACAAATCAACTAGACTTCAGACGGAGAAAGACCAAGTTCAAAGCCAGCTTGATCAGCTTCGTTCTGATCTTAAACACTCGCGCTCTCGTTTTGACGAAATAAGCAAAGAGGGAGGAGAGCTTCAAGCTAAGTTGAAGAGACTTGAGGAAGCTAATGACGATTTGGAATCAATGAAGAAAATCCAACAGCTAACGATAAGTGATCTCGAAGAGAAGGTCTCATTTTTGGAGGCTGACTTGAAGCAACTCGTCAACTTAAAGAATGAGGTTGCTGATCTGAAGTTAAAGAATGGTGAATTGCAAGAACAGTTGAGCGACATGCATGTGCTCAAGGAGAAGCTGAACCAACGTGATAATACGCTTCGAAGCTATTCTGAAGAGATAGACTCGTTGCGGTCAGAGGTTAATACGTTGCAAGGGTACCGTGATAAGTACAATGCACTTTCATCTCAAAGTACCTCTCTTAAGTCGTCAGCAGATAAGTTGAAGGGCGAACTTGACCAAATTAAGGTGTACGTGAATAAATTTCTTCACGCAGAGGAAGAACTTAATCGTACACGTCTTCAACTGAACACTTCGAATGAGGCAAATTCGATGCTCAATGAGAAGATTGATCTTTTGACGAAAGAACGCGATTCTCTCGAAGGCGAAGTCCACCATGGTAAAGAACGGATTAGTCTTCTTCAGGATACCATTCAAAGACAAAGAGGGGACTTGGCGTCTGTCGATGAACTTAAAGATAAAATACGCACTTTTGAATCTCAAATTTCGCAATTAAAGGGTGAGCTTAAAGAAGAGAAGAACAAGGTTTCGACGTTAACTCAATATTCTAAAGAAGCAGAAATACTTCGGAGTCAGCTGAAAAAGATGCAGAACATCGAGGAAGAACTGAACAAGGCCAAGAGCGAGCTCAAACAGGTGCGTAGTCTGCGTTCTGAAATTGAACTTCTCAAAGGAAAGGTCGGTTCGCAAGAATTGCTTAGATCAAAGAACAAAGAACTGGAACTTCGTGCTACGGAATTGCGCAAAGAGTTGTCTTCTGTGCAAGAGCGTACGAAGCGAAAAGAGCAAGAGTTGCAAAAACTTAAAACCACGCTCGAAAATGAAAAAATGGAAACTAAAGAAAATCTTCAGCGGATGTTTACTCCGCAAAGGAAAACCATTTTTGATTTGCATGAGCGAAACGCTAGTCAAGCGATGTATGAGAATCTAAAGAAGGCATACAACCGGTTAGGAGCCGAAAAGGCTAATCTGGAGAAGCGTTTGGAGGCAGCTACTTCATCACAATTGGCTTCTCAAGGCACTGGTGGTTCCGTCGAACGCTCGAATTTGAGTCATGCCCTTGAAATTAGCGTATTGAAGAAGAAGCTAGCACAAGAACAGCACAAAATTCATGGTGTTTATGTACAACATGAGCAGGAAATGCAAGCAAAAACTAGGGAGTATAACCTTTTGCAAAAGCGCTACAATGATTCCTTAATTGATGTTAGAGCATTAAGAGATCGGATAACTTTCCTGGAACAGCAGCTTGAGGATCTGCAATGAATTTCATGATCTACAGCTATAATTTGGCATTTTACTGACATTCATTTTAAAGCATTTCTCTTAATATCCCGTAGTATTCACGATTATACCCTAATATTTATTTACATATCATCCTAACTATTACCAGATTGCTCCTCGTCGTTTTCTTCTTCCTCGCTCTGTGAATCATCCTGTGATTGTGTTGAATTATCATCGTTCATAGCTACGATACCTTCAACTTCGTTGGCGGGAACGAAGTAAGAAATGAATTTTATCATTCCCGACTTACCAATTTCAGCGGATGCCCGTGCGCCGATAAGGTAATTGTACTGATTGTGAGTGTCGTTTTTTGTTCGATCTAGATAGCCGTTACGAACAAGCTGTACGAGTGTACGGTCCAAATCATGGCGCAAAGGAATATGGGTGAGAACAAGAAGAGATTGAAGATATGCCTTCAAATCGCTCTCAAGAAGAGAGCCTTGTGAGAGTGCAATTAGGGAGAGTGTAATAAAGAGAAAAGCAGTTTGTGCGTTTTCGAGTGGCGATCTTGGAACAGTGAAGTCCTGGTACTCGTCAGGTAATTCGTTTCGCAGGATCCAGTATTTTGTGGTAGAGGCCCTCGCCGTGTTTGTTTTTCGTAATTGAGACACTTCCATAAACTTGCTTAAGTCATTGCTCACAATTTCGCACAATTTCATACCAAATGTGCTGTTGAGTTTTCTGTTGGCAAGGTCTATGACCTTGGGGAAATATTGACGAGGAGTGTTCGGAAGAAAAGCTTTTTGAATGATCTCTCTTCGGCTCAATGGCTGTCTAGAAGCCTGTGAACAAATAGCAAGTCGAATTGTGTTCTTTACCATTAAGTTCAGATCGATTTCGCGGTTTTGAGTAGCAACAGGAGGTTCGTACTCATCACTACTGTCATCAGAACGTTGTTGTTGATTGGAATTAGAAAGTCTTTGGGAGCGTCTAGGTGGGTGTGACACTTCTTCATACTCGGATCCACTTTCATCTTCATCAGCAACAATTTGGGAAGCGGTCAATCTCCTTGAACGCTGAGAATTTGAAGAAGATAAATCTATTTCATCATTATCACGACTATACCGAGTTCGTTTCCGCATTTTCTCTTCTTAAATTCCCCAGATTCTCAAAATACAGTTATGGATAAGGAAAGGCATCAAGCCAGAAAAAGGTTAGACTCTCGGGACTCGAACACATTAGCTTTTGGCTGCATATTTTTTGGTGGTGAGTTTAGTAATAGATTGATGGTGATTGGCGGACAGTAGGATGCCCCGCTGATGTCTGTTGATGGTCTGCGACACTGACCCTGCCAGGTTGACCATAGCCATGCTTCCTATAAGAAGTGCCGATTTGATTCTGGGAAAATGTGTGCATTTTAACGTGTTTCCGAAAGTTTTTAGAAGATGGATTTCAGCAGGAGAGTTAAATACGCTTAAAACCTATGCTCCAAAGCTTCGTTCCGAGCCGATTTCAACAAAAAGCTTAAATGGCAATGCGAAACTGACGCGTAAAACATCCGCTAGACGGTTCAATTTTCCTCGAAAGAATGTTATTTCTATAACTCCTGTTGCTGTAGACAAACTTAAGGAACTGCTGCTTTCTCAAGACAAGCTCTTACGGATTGGTGTCAAGCAGAAAGGATGTGCAGGCCAATCATACTCTTTCGAATACGTGGATCAACCTGACAAGTTTGACGAAATTGTCGAACAAGACGGTGTTCGTGTGATCGTTCAAAGACGAGCATTGCTACAAATTATCGGATCTTCTATGGATTTTAAGGATGATGATTTACAGTCACGGTTTGTGTTTAGCAATCCGAACGTAAAGTCTACTTGTGGATGTGGTGAATCTTTTGTTACAAATAATCCTTGAATTGATTGAGACGATGATGACGTGCTGACCCGTCTTCTTTTTTCTTTGGTCTCTTCAACAAAAACGAAGATTGCCTTCTATACAACAAGCCTTTGTTCGTGGAATTAAAACAAAACGACTTTTAATAAAGTTTGTTTAATTGGGTGTTTCTCGTTTGAAAGACACTTTCTGCCCGAATATCGTTTTGGCTTTCTACAACGGCTTTACGAGCAACGTAGAGTGATGTTCTCCTTCTCATTCGTTGTACACTTATTTATGACTGTTTCCCTTTTCTCTTGTCCTTCATTTTTGTCTCCTTTTCTCAATTGATTAATTGTCACTTTTGAATGCTTTTTGTTTCCATTCTTTTCATTACATATCTCCTCTTATGAACTCATACGGATTTTTCCACCGCAGCGAGAGGTTTACGATTTTTAAGAAAGGTGCGGTATATCCACCTGTCAAACATATTCCCCTAGCAATTGGTTAGCGGATCCTATAAATGTGTTTGTTTGTGAGTGTTTCTCAATCTGTACCCATTGATATTTTCTTGTTATTCCGTGAGACAACCAGATTCCCCATGCTCCCATGTTATTGGCAAATTTAATGTCTGTCAATAAGCGGTCCCCAATGATAGCCAATTCTTTAGGATGGCGGGCATCCGTTTGCTCAAGCAATGTGGTCAATGCCTCACGATAGCCTCCGGGTTTTTGCTGCGTATGTCGGATTACTGGGATTTTGTTTCGTCGCTCAAATTCTCTTGCCTGTGGATGTTAGCTTATCCCCGCATACGACGCGAACGCATTCATCGTTCTTCGCGATTCTTCATACGTCGATGCCTGTTTTGTCCTCTAATTGTGATCCAATAGAATTGCTAAATACTACGACATTTCTGTCGCCATACTGGGCCTTAAGTTCATTAAGCTTGCTCAAATTTTTGTGATAGATGTCAAGCTGTTTTGAAATAGAGATGCAATTATCCTTGTCTAAAACGATTGCTTTAATATTAATTTGCTGTTTATATTTGTCACTTAGAACTCGGCTTAAATCTTTAGATATGGTAGCAAATGACTCATAAATTGCATCGGGTACTAATGTTGATGGGTTTCTTATACAACTGAACGTGGATGTGATAGCTGGTATATTAATTGGCATTGATAATATGAGGATGTAAGTTTGGTGGGATCTGTCGAAGGAAAAAAAATATCGGTATACATTTTATCCTGTTATTAGAATTACGGATGAGTACTTATGTTACAGATAACAATCACATGAAAAGATAAGCAATATGTAGGTTCGTTTACAGCGCTTTCATTAGTGTATTTATTAAAAATAATACTGTTATTACTAAGCCAAAGCTCTCTCGCCTTGGCATTTTTTGAGGTTTAAGTTTTTCTGAAAAATCATTCGGTGATGTAGGGGAATAAGAGCACGATTATTCAAAGAATATTCACATCCATTGTTAGATGTAAAATAAACTTGAGGAGTTTTTACACATTTGTAAATATGTCTCGCGAGCAACAAGAGAAAGCAGTCAGTAGTGTTTCAGACGTATTGCTTTCCTAAGAGGTCCTCTGTTGCTGCACAAGACTATGCTTAAATGGAAGTAAGCCGGTAATAAAGGGAATTGGTTGTAAAGGAAAAACGGACTTTTCAAAAGAACATTGAAATTTGGGGTTTTTTTTAAGCTTATACATCATAGTAGCATGTCAAATATTGTGCCACTAGATAAAAAAATGTCAGAGCTATTTTTTGGCTTTTTTTAAGAACATGGAAGGAGAAACGGAAACGGTTTAACAAAAAGAAGAAGAAAAAGAACCAAACGGAAACCAAAAAGGGACGTTTCTAGGGCCATTATTTTAAAGTCTTTTGCCAAGCAAAAACACTTTGTTCTAAAGATGACCAATTCGGTGAAAGAAGAAATGGTCGCATCAATGATAGAAGAGAGAAAAAGAGAGAGTTGGAGAGTGTGTGGGAGTGAGATAATGAGAGAGTAATTTGGGTATGCCACCGTGTCTAATTAGACAACGTATTGCGACACCCAATTGTCGGCAAAACGACTAGCACACTTGTAGCGTCTGTCCAAATATTTGCGGTAGATTGAACGGGAATGAACTTGCGCGTCAACAAGGCACTCCACAATGGATGCTGCACATGGTTTAAGTTGTCGTTCGGTGTAACCACTGTAGTACACATGTTTCACGGCCCAATGCGATTTTTCTAACATTCGAGTGGATAGGTAATGAGCCGATGCTGCAAGGAAACTCGGAAGTCCGCCTACAAAACGCTCATCCATTAACGTAAGCTCGAGTAAGTACTTGGCAAGAGTCCGCGTATCGAAATCATAGTCATCCGCCTTACTAATTCGACGCAGAAAGGACATGGGTCCCGGCCATCCAACATCAAAATTCAACATGAGCAGCATATAGCGTTCAGCACACAAAATCTCCTCATGAGTATAACCCCCATCTACGAGAGTGACTATTTCCTGGATGCTGGGATACTGCACTTCCTCATATTTGCAAGCAATGAGAAGCGCAGAAACACCAACCAGCTGGAATTTATGCACTGAGACAACCTTGATGCTCAAAAAGCGATCAATCAAATTGATAGTAAGGTATAGTGTTTCCGGTTGCAAACGAAAGCGAGCATGAACCTTGACGATCCAGTCCACTAGAATACTACGCATACCCCATTCAAGTTCAGTTTGCATTTCCATATAACGAGGGTTTGGTGCAAGCCGCTGCTCTAGCGTATAAAGGTAATCAAAGATTTCGCGAGAGTACTCATGCACCATACTGGGGTCACAATCCACCTCGTAAACTACTGGGTTCGTTTCGCAAAAGGCAGTAACCTGCTCGAGCTCGACAATGTCCTCCTGAGTCCATTGAGGAATGCCTACACGAGGCTCTTCTTCAGTTGGTGAACGGTCTCGTGTTGGCGAATCTGAGAAGTACGAATTCCGGTGAAAATTTCCGGTTTTGTCCAATTGACGTTCTCCGACTTCGTCTAGATGACTGTTGTTCTCTTTGAAATCTTCAACATACGAAAGCTTGGCCTCTTTCCTTTCAAAGGTTTCATCCTGACAAGAACGGAAACGTTTTGTCGCTGTTGGACCGTGCATAGACTGAGCAACATTGGTAACGTTCCTCAACGGATCTCTAGGATGTAAGGAAACAACTCTATCAGTAATCATTTGCTTTTTTCCATGAATATTGATATTCTCGTGGTATTTATGGACTGCAGAGTAGGATTGCTGTTTCATAATGCAAACAAAACGACCGTTCCAAAAATGAATAATCACAACCTGAGACAAAAATTGACAAAGGTCTTGATATGAGCACTGTTTAAAGCCCTAGAAAGCCAATATGAAAGCGAAATAACTTAATGGACAAGCCAAAACCCACAAAATCAGAAAAAAGAGGAGATAGTTTCCTCCCGATTAAAGAAAAGGAGCAAACGTCCAAAACAGCAAGACGACCAAGATCGAAACCAGAGCAATAAAAACAGCGTACAAGACTTAAAAGGGCTTAGACTTACAAGGAGTTCATAGAAGAGTAGTTACTGGAACCCCTGCAGCTACTAGCGGACCGAAAAAGGAGGAGTGCAGCGAGCTTCAGCGAGTAGTACCTAAACTCAGTGTCGTCAATTTTTAAAATGAACATACAATATGCGAAAATAATCCGTTTTTGTGCAGTTTCGGCTCTTTAATGATAATTCATGTATTTATTCGGTTTTTGTGTGTTGAAGACGCGTTTTATTTGCTTTGTTATGTACGAGCGCGTCGCGTCGCGCTACGCCAACAAAATACAGAATGCGACGCGTCAATTAAGTTATCTTTAACCATACACTCAATTGAAGCAAAGGAAGGAGCATGCTGTTAAATTTTGACTCAGATGGAAGCAGCCATTACGAGGCGTACATTACAGACGATGAAGGAACAATTCTCAGCAATTTAGGACTAAACTCTAACTATGATGGCCAATTTAGTGAAGAAAGTTCTTTCATAGACTCCGACGGAAATGAAGAAGAAGAGGAGGAGGAGCAATTGACACGTTCTAAGAAGAAAAACAGTCGAAAATCACTAAAACGCAGCTTAACGCTAGAGTATATTCCCGAAGAACCCAAAGAAAACACATCCCTACTTTTTCGTACGTTAGATGGAAACAACGCTGTTCTCGACGAATCGCTGACAGTTCTTCAGGCTATTTAGAAGACGAACACTTATCACCATACCAATTAAGTCAATTATTAGCTATCTACGAGGGTCGCTACGAGGCGCTGCTTCTCGAGTTCTTAAATTTTATTTTGCAGGTTGGACATATCTCCGCCTCATGGATGAAACATACTAACATTTTAGTGCTGTGGTTGCACTGGAGAACTCAATCAATTCGATATTCAGGACTGTGATTCCATTCCGCAGACACTCTCTCAATTGGAAGAAAGCCGTTTTGACAAGGTTTGTGAAGCTTCAAACGCTCTTTTGCGCTGACCTTATCAGTTACTTGTTCATCGGACGGAATACTTGCTTATACAGAATGAACGAAAACCATCCTACAGGAATTTGCTCAAATCTTTTCTCGGAAAGTTTATACGGGTGGGTGTAAGTGAAAGTGAAATGTTCGAACAGGCATTTATAAGTTCCCTGGTCAATTGGTTGGTTTGCTTATCGTCAAATAAATGGATTGCAATTCGACATACGGCGACTATGTTGTGCATAACCATTGCCCAAACTCTTTGTGAGATTCACAAGTGCGAACCTGCCGCAAACACAAGTGAGGGAAGCTTTTCCGCAGTGACCAGTGAAGAACCGTTTTATGAATTAGTGGAACAAGTGTTTGATAGGTACGCATACTCGTGGAGCTCATTGCATCTTTTTTAACAAAGTCAGCGTGGTCGTTCTTCGTCTCCGTGATCAACGCCCAGTGATTCGCTTGGAGTGTGTGAAGGCACTTTCGGCAGGCTTTCTATCTTCGTATGTCATTTTTTCAGAACCCCGAAACTTAAAGTATATGGATCGCTCATTTTTCGACAGCGTATGTTACGAATGGAAATATTTTAGCTACTAACTAACACTTTTAAGGATGTGAGGATTCGCAAACAGGCACTGGATTTTGTTCAGCAATACCTTGACAAGCATAGAGAGCAAGAATTACCAAACGGATTTGACTTGTTCCTTGAAAGAATTTACAGTTCCCTGATGAATATCTCCTTATATGAAACCGACTCAGGTGCCCAAATTACCGCTATTAAGATCTGGTATTCGTTAATGAAACGATCTGGACATGCAATCACATGGCTTCCACAGCTATACCCGCTTTTTCTGATCCCGTCGAAGATAGTTCTCCAACAAATGGGGAAAATACTTCATTTACAAGCTACCGTTTGCATTGATAATGTATTTCGGGAGTTAGGTGGTTCAAGATTAGTACAAACGAAACTGAAAAAAGCTCATTTAACAATCGCTCCTCGAACGTTGCGAGAATACTTCACAGCCATTGCTGCTTTTCAGGCTATGCTTCAACCATTCCAAAACGCACTTGAACAAGACAACGATGATGCTCTGGCATATGGTGTTTCACCGTTGTCAGGCGGTAGAGAGTGTCTAAGGAATTCGAATACAACCTTATTCAGACAGTTGAATCGCGTGTTTGCGACCATAGATACATGTTTTTCGGAATCAAAACTCCCCGACATGCTTCCCGATGTCTTGCTCTTCGATTTTGATGAGTTGTGTCAAACATTCTCGGAATTCTCTGAGCTTAACCCCTCTATGGCGTGCCGTACTTTCATCAGTCTTTACTTGTTTCATCGCGCACGCTTGGATCAGAAAAGAGGCACTCACCACCGCAAACTGAAAGCAAACGAAAAGGAAAACAGAATTCCTAAGACAAGATCTTGTTCTTGTGTTTTGAAAAAGCTTCCAGCACTGCTGCGCAAGTTTAGAGAAAGCCCGGCACTATGTACTATACTTATTGGCGTTCTTTTCCAGTACAGAAATGATTTATCGGATGACTTAACTGCGTTTTATGATGCAGCCGTAGATGAAGTTGCGCGGATTTTTGAGTTGTCTACGAATCAGGAACTTCTAATTGCCTGTTGTCTAATTTTCTCTAATGGAAGCAAGCAAAATAACCAGAACGAGTATTGTCTTCGCGAAGGAAAGCTTCAATATATGGCAGACAGTCTTATTTCCCAATGCGAGGAAGACCTCAAGAATTTGGACGACGACTCTTCGCATCGTTTAGCAACAAAGCTCTCAGTTACTGAAGCAATCTTGCCATTGCTATATCGGAACATTCAGATGGAAGATCTAGTTGCCTGGCAGCTTTCCTGTTTGTGTTCGGAAGAGATGCACAATCAAACGCAGGAGACCCAAATCAACTCTGTATCCAGTAGCATTTTGGCACTAACGAAGTTGGACATGCTCATTCATTTGGCCGATTCTGATGCATCAATATACCTTCAGGAGGACACAATGGTTCACGCAGTTCATACATATCGAGACCTCAAAGATGAGCATGGCCTTCACGTATTGCTTCGACTCTGTTTTGCTCAATCGCTGGAACCCGACGGATTAAAATATGAAACGTTAAACCTTGAAATTCGGAAAACATTAACAACAAACGCATTTAGCACTTTGTTTAGAGCTTGTGTACGTTCAACATCGCAACCATAATGTGCTTACTAACCGTTTTACTAGGTTTGTATTTACACAATTCCTCAAATGATGATCACGAAAGACTTTGCAGGTGTCTTGAAAAACATCGAGTCTAACATCTTATGGCAAAATCTGATGCATTGGGCCGACAAACCTGAAACTATAACTGAAAAAGATGAACTTGATGAATCTGGTGAAACAAACATCCACAAACTTGAATTACAGCACTTAAAAGAACAGCTAAACGGTACAAACGAAGTTATTTACTTGAACGAGATGATTCGCAAATTCGATACGACCATGAGAAAAATCGTGCAAATTGGAACGGATTAATGATGAACATGATCGGAGTTTTTTATTAATAAACAGAAACTATTACACTCAAAAAGTTTTAAGAAATTTGGTCAATTAAAGGTGTGGATACTGTCATACTGAGGATGCAACTATTTGGTGGCTACGCAATATCGACGGAAAATTTTCGTGGCAGTCAGATATACAAGCTGAGCCCTACAGCGTAGGGTCTCTTGTCGACTCACCAGCTCTCGCAACACTCAACCTTTACTTCGTTAATCGAGTAAAAATCGCAGCTGCATTTGCAGTTTGATCATTTTTATTTAACTTGCTATTCTTTTCTTTCTCAGCTTTAGCTTTGACTTTTTAGCAAGATGTCACTATATACTTGCCAAACATGTGCAGTCGCATTTCGCGATTCTAACGCACAACGTACTCATTGGAAGTCTGACTGGCATCATTATAACCTGAAACGGAAGGTTGCACAGCTTCCTCACGTTTCTGCTGAAGTTTTTGCTGAAAAAGTGCTTTCCATTCAACAGCAAAATGAGGAAGTTAAGAAGCGAGCAAACTTTACGGAGGAGTGCCCTGCTTGTGGAAAGACCTATTACTCAAGCGGTGCTTTCTCTACTCACCTCGAGTCGAAAAAGCATAAGGAGAATGTCCGCAATTATGAAAAGAAGGTGCATAGTCGTCTGCTGAAACAAGATGATGTTTCCAGTCTTGCTAGCTCAACCCTTTCTCTTGGAGACTCAATTGAGGCTTCAGAGGACGAGAGCGAAGATTTGGAGACTGAAAGCAGAGCCTTTGCACGTATGTCTCTTCAAAATGCGACAAACGTTGTTGGAAACATAACGGCTCCTACGTTAACGGGTACTGATGTGAGTGCAGAAGCCCTTGAGGCAGAACTGCAACGCCGCTTGAGTGAAAAAATTGGTTTGAACGATTGCTTGTTTTGTACTTCTTCTTTCGCTTCTGCCAGTGCTTGTAGACAGCACATGAAGATTTCGCATAGTCTCTTCATTCCTGAGAGGGAGTTTCTGGTTGATGAGGAGGGTCTCTTTAATTACTTGGCTGAGAAGGTTTCTGTGCACCACATGTGCCTCACGTGTGGCAGAGAAATGAAGAACCTTGAGGGCATTCGTGCGCACATGCAGCAAAAAGGACACAGTCGCATTCCTTACGAAAGTGAGGAGGAGCAATTGGCCATCTCTGACTTCTACGATTTCACAACTTCGTATCCTACAGAGAGTAATACTGCAGATACCAATGTTGTGGACGATGACCACGATGAGGAATGGGAGGACGCTTCCTCTGATTCCGATGACAGCATTGACAGTGTTGATGCTGACCGCTATTTGATTGCCGATGATGTCGAGCTTCAATTGCCTTCCGGTGCCCGTGTTGGTCACCGGTCACTTGCTCGCTATTTCCGTCAAAATTTGCGTTCGTCTTCCGTAGTTTCAGCTGGTGCCTCTGTTCATCAGGATGTCGCCCAACGCGCCATGAGCGGTGCTGCTTTGGCCAAGCGCAATGCTGTTGAAACCGGTTTGGCAGGTGTCCGGGATGGCAGAAAAGATTACAGTGCCTCACACATTAATACGTTCCAGGATCAACGCAGACGCGAAGACTTCAAAACCAAAATGGGACTTAAGAATAACAACAAAAAGCATTTCCGTGATGCCTTGCTGCAATAAACAGCTTCATCTAACCAATCTGCTGGCACCGTTGTCTTTGAGACATCTAACATTTACAAGCCAGCAGTACCCATTTTTCTTCGGCCTATATTCACTCCTTCGTTTGTAAATGTGTTTTTCTTTGTATGGAAGTTTAACTTTTTGACTGCAGTCTCTACAGGATTGCACTACTCTTCTTAGATTGAGTAAAAGATACTCTGTAATCCGGTTCACAAGTTTTGAGCCATTATATCTAGGTAGTTCTCTTTAAAACCGAATCCTTGCCCCTCTTTCATTAGCGTATGCAAGAGCAATTGATGTATTTATGTGTATCAAAAATTTTGAAAATGATGGTATCGAGCTATGGTATGGTATATTCCTCAGGTAAGAGGACACAGACCCCTCTAAGCCAGTGCCCTGTAACTTTTGTTCCTCCCGTAGATGCCGTGCGTGAAAGGTTATCGTGAATAGTAAAGGACGTTTTAGATTTACTGTGTACAAAATTAATATCCATCGGTCTCCATGATACTTTAGTTCGAAGATACGACTTCAATAATTAATTCACGTGTCTTTTGCACGTTAGCCTCATCACCCTTAATGGTGACAATATCGTCTCCTGGAGTACGTGGGATATCAATTTGAGTCTTTGTTTCCTTACGAATCTTGTTCACAGTAGAACCACCTGCACCAATGATAACACGATGGAATTTTGAGGGAATGTTAAGGTAACCAACGCAGTTACCATTCTTTTGTTGATCAACAAAAGTGTTGATTGCGCTGATGGCCTTCTCAACGTTTTCCTTGCGACCGCGAATAGTCCAGCTTTGAGTATCAGCCTCATCAACTACTTCACGAACAAGTTTCCAAGGATACTCGGCCTCTTCTTCATCTGCAATGACAGCAATCGTGGTTTTTCCAGCCTCCATTTTATGGGGGCGATCGACATAAACATGATGCCGAGAGTATGCATTACGCAAAATGTTACTTTGAAGTAGACGTTGGGCCAAAGCTTTTGGAACTTCAGTAGTCGTTTGGTATTGTGCCTCAACAATATCTTCGATAAGCTTTCTAGCTTGTTCACAGTTTTCCGCAATACCTTCGATCTTGATGGTGACCGTATCAGCATTTGTACGGTTAGGAATGTTTAATTTGACAGATGCCTTTTCCTCAATATCACGACGAGTAGAGCCCATACGACCAATGATGGCACTAACTGTGCGTTGAGGAATTGTCATTTCCAGTACACTTCTGTTCTTCAACTCCTCGGCCGTTTCTAACAACTTCTCAGCAAGTGCCTCAACAATTTGTTTTTCGCCTCGCAGAACGACCTCATTGGGCTTGTCCTTTCTGCTTTCCTTAGGGAAGCTAACAAGACGAGCAGAAATAGAACGGTCGCTAGGACCGCCGCAGCTTAAGATGATTTTTTGCAAAGTAGAACCACCCGGTCCAATCAAGCTGCGATGCAGCTCATTTTCAATAATGATAACTTTCTCCACCTGGTTCTCAATTTCAGTCACAACCTCGTTGATCGTTTTCACCGCATCCTTGACGCTGGCTTCCTCACCCTTGATCTTCAAGTTCGAGGTCTCAGAATCTTCGCTATCTTCGATGTCGATCATTACACCGTATTGGGTTCGCAAGTTCTCAATGTTCATACCGTTACGACCGACAATTCTGGAAACTGCTGAAGATGGAACGGTAATTTCCTCCACGAAACTCATCTTTTTCTCGTAATTGAACAACTCCATAAGCTCTCCCCTTTGCAGCATTTGCGCTCTTCTTTCCACCACGAATGACAACTTCATCTGCTGAAGCGGGTTGCATAACACTAGAAGACGTAGCATCTGTTTCGTTCTCACGAGGAAAACGGACACGAACATCATATTTTTCTTCTAAGCGACGGACATAAACACCGTTTGGTCCAATTAAGGCACGGTGAAACTCATGAGGAATATTCAAACGAAGGATGGTGTCGTCCTTCAAAGCCTCAACCTGGCTCAGAATTTGAGCCTTAGCCTCTTCCACGTTCTTTTTGATACCTTGGATCTTAACGTGTCCATCATCAATAGAAATTTGAGTTCCAAGCTTCTCGCGAAGCTTCATAACATTAGAGCCACTCTTGCCGATGATGTTCTTAGAGTATTCTTGAGGAATTTCAAATTCAACAACATATGAGTTGAGAATTTCGGTATTCTTTGCTTCGTGAACAATTTGCTTGATTTCACGTGCAATACGCTCCACGTCGCTTTGGAAACCGCGGATATAAACATCATTTTCGGTACTGCTCTCGCGATGGGAAGAAGTACCGAGTTGGACAATTACATTTTCATCAGAGGATCCAATAATGGCATTCAGAGTAGTACCCTTGGGTCCAACAATGTACTTGTGATACTTCGAGGGAATATCCAGGGTTTCAGAGGTGATCTTGGCAGAGTCGATAGCAAACTTTTGGATATTGGCCGCAAGTTCTGACAGCTTGTTTTGAACATCTTCCGGCTTCTCCTCAGCGGAAACTTCGCCCTCGAAGCAAAGAACAACATCGGGGTCGTTCTCCTCCAAGAGGATGGTAACATTGTGATCCTTCTTGATGCGTTGAAGGTTACGTCCCTTGGCACCAATTACATAACGTTGAAGCAAAGGATCAATCTCGACATGGTGGAATTTCCAAGGGGGGTAATTGTTGACAAGTTGGACGAGCTCTTCACGAGCTTTGTGAAGACCGTCCTTTTCTTTGCCGGAGATTTCAAGAACAACAGCCTTCTTAGAAGTCTTGAGTTCCTCACGCTTTGGCACAAAGATGTTAACACTGTTAGAGGATTCAATAGGAGCGAGAAGCTTCATACGAGTGAACAAGCGAGCCAAGATACAGGCGTGGGCAAAGGGATCTTCGGCAGAAGCGTATGCAGGTGTAATGTTAAGGGCATCAATAAGTGTAGAGTTAGCACGTTCCATGGTTAGCCGAATACCTTCACTAATGGCCATGGCGGGTCCGCGAACAATGACAAGCTCAGAGGTGGGATCCTTAGCTGTCGGCAAAACAACGGAACAGCCTGTCTTCTCTGCAATTTCATGAATTCCCGAGGCCTTTTCGCCGGCAATGAAACGGTGCTGACGGCGAGGAATAGAAATCATTGTGGGAATTGTAGTACGACTTAACTCTTCATGAAGCCCCTCAAGAGTTAAGACACATTCTCGTACAGCTTGCTTATCACCCGAAACGATGATAGGAGCCACGAGGCCCTCCGAGACTGGCGTGGCAAAGGGGACGTTAATCTTCAGGTCTTTGCCCTCCTCCATCTTTTCGATGGACGAATTGTTAGGGCCACGAATCAAATCATAGAAGTCAGAGGGAATAGAAGTGACTTGCACAGTGGTATGGCTTGTCCGCTTGTTGACAATTTCTTCGATTTCCTTACGGGCCATCTCGGCACCATTCATCTCACCAGAAATTGTAATTTCAGTCACATCATTTTCGTCAACTTCATCTTCCATTTTTGAGCTGGAGGACTCGTCCTCGCGCTTAGGGAATTGGATGTTAGTCATGGAACGCTCCATGATTCCCTTAAGAGTCTGACCATGGGCACCAATGATGGAGCCATTAACGAAACTAGGAACAACGACTTTGAGCACTACTTGGCGGCCAAAGTTTTTGTACACGAGACGCTTAGCCAGCTCAACATCGGCAGCCTTACCACGAATGAGATAGGTCGTTGTCTTAGTGCGTGAAGCAGTTGAAACATTAATAGAAGTATTGGTCTTTGTAATAATACCCTTAATGATTTCGCCTACCGAGCCCTGCTTTCCAAACTCTCTGATAGGAGCTTGTTGCTCGGGGGTCATCGTAACAGTCTCCACGCAAACAGACTTTGATTTATTCGCCGAAGCAGTAGGGGAAGCAGCACTAGAGGCCGGAGACTTTGTCCTCGAGCTTGCGCTGGACGCTGTGTTGCCTTTCACCCAAGCAAGAGGACGGCGTGTCTTAGGAGCATCAGCATTAGAAGGAGTGAGACTAGGGAATGCTGTTTCCGAGTGAACATCTACAACAGGTTTAGAGACCTTCTTCTTTGATGCCTTGTCGACTTCTTTCTTTGCAGACTGGTGTACTTGTTCATGTGCTCTTTGAACAAGGACCGATGGCGACACTGACGAGTCCATCAATGACTGCGATGATGATGTTTCATTTGCTGTCGACTCCGTTTCCGGAAACAGTTCTGAAACTTTTTCCTCCGTCTCGACTACGGGATTAGAGCTAACTTCCTGAAGGGCGTCCATATACAAAATACGAATCGTATCAAATGTGTAATCAAAAGTGAAGTAACTTAGAAGCAAATCGTGTCAAAACGAAACAATACAAATTTCTCTACACAAAGGTAAAAGCCTCAAATGCTGTAATTATACTGCTAAAAAGGAAATAAAGAAGACTTAATGCACAATCACGGAGGGGACGTGGTGTTGGGCAGTTACGTTGAAGCTAGCTGATGTCTTGGGAGAGAAGTGGGTTTCTGGTGTTCGTTAAATTGTGCTAAAGGAAGATTGCGAGTTCGGTTAGTAGTTTAACGCTGTATCGTGGCGCGTTCGACTTGCATACGGTTGGAAGGAAAGGCGCACTTGAAGCCTTTTAGTATGGGCTAAAAGGTAGCTAAATGTAATAGCCGGAGGGTGATAAACCATTTGATTGAGGGGTCAGGAACAGTGTCTTTGTAGCGGAAAAAGCGGGGGATTACCATTGGCTATGTCTGTAGTTCGTTGACTCTGTTAGTCTGAAAACGTTTATGGTTTGACAGAAGGGAAACATAAGAAAAGTCCACTGCTGTATAAGAGAACTGAGAAGACAAAGAGCTTGAGGATGTGTGTGCGTCTTGATAACAATTCATCTCTGTAGTTGCATATACTTGCTGCTTCTTTATTGCTACCAATTGCGTCCCTGTATTGTCCCAGAGCAAAACATCATTGCTAAGTGTGATCAATGGCTTACAGTGAATTACGTTTTACCTCTCTCTCTCTCTCTTTCTCTCTCTCGCTGTCTCGTGCTCTCCTTTTTCAGTCGACTTAGCCAGCTCTATAAGAATCATTAAACTTTTGCTTGTACATAATATATGCGTGTAGTAGAGTAAGTACAGAAGTAGAAACCGGTATGATGAACGTTCTCGACCGTCCTAATGACTTCTTGGAAGGATAAGTTAAGGCCTGACAGGAAAAAAGTCAGAGATAGCAATAGAAATTGCAGTGTATCTGCAAGATATACCAGAGATTGATGGATGTTAGAAAATTTTGCAACTAAATGTGATGATATGAGGTGTTACGCGGTGTCTTGTTTGGAACTGACGGGAGTAGGCATGAAAACTCGCATGTATAGTTGACAGCTTCGTATCCCAGGCGATGCCGGGCGGTTGAGTGAAAGCCAGACACACCCACATTTGATGATGTCCGCTTAATGCGTAACAATGTCCACCCAGAGAATTGGAAGCGCTCAAATACCCAGCACAGTTTAGTTTCAATCGCACTTTGCATATTACTCGTAACAACAGCCCTAAGCGTTAAGAATAAACACAGAGGTAGTCTTCAGCAAACGGCCAAAGCACATTATCTTTGTTACCCGTTATGCAAAGCACACTCGTGCGCGCACCTAGTGAGGCAACAAGGGTCGCTGGAGGAGAATGAACAGCTCATCAAGCTCCTTGAAGTTTTCCTGGTTTTCGGCAAATTGGCGGTGCCTCTTCCCACGAATGTGCAATTCAAAGCTCTCAAACTTTTCACGACAGTTTTCACAGTATCCCGGCTTAGAGTCTACGCGAACCCTGCGTTGTTCAGCAGTTTGGAGAACAGTCTGGTATTTCTTGTCCACGACCGAATTAGATTTTTGTTGAATTATGCGTTTTTTCAAGCCGATCATGTCCCTTCCCTTCGAAGCCGACAATGGCATATTTGGATTGCTGCCGTAGCGCACAGCAGAGTGTGCAGACAGAGCTACAGAAGTTAAGTTAGATTGAGAGATGCCCGACGCGGCCAGCCCGTCGTCGATCTTGCGTCCAAGCACTTGGTAAACAGAAGGTGTTTCGGGAGTTCGTAGGTTTGCGACACCATATGCAATAGTTTTTTCATCTCTAGGTGTAGTGATCGCTGGGGTAGTTGTACCAAGCGATGCTGAGCGTGTAAGGTTTCCGGCCTGCGGTTCCTTCACCTGATTATATTTTGTGTAGGCTGCTAATTTCGTGGTAAGTCGTCGGCGAGTTTCGGGAATAAATGGACAGCGTCCAATGCTTGTGGCACGGAAAGTAGGCCAGGGAACATCCTTTCCCGGCAACGGTTTCGGCCACTCTCGTAACAGAATGGGTTTGTAAAGATTATCAGCATCGTGAACGAGCAGGAAGGGTCCCTTGAAGTGGACAAAGTCTTGTCTTGGCGCCGAAAGGTCTCGCTCATTCGTGCCCTGAACTTTTTCCACGTACAACAAGTAGCTCAAGTCGCGGGGAGGTGCTTCAACTACAGGCTGCTCCCCTTCAAGCAATGTTCTCAACACTCGGTTAAGCTCTACAGACAGAATAGGTTAGTAAAAGAGAACATCCAATAAACAAACAAGAGCGCACACGTACTTTCCATTGCCCAAACCTTCATATTAAGCTGACGGGCCTTCACCAGGACATCATGCTTAGACAAGCGAGACATGCTGATGCATAAATCACGGGTAGTGGCAACATGAGTAACGCTGGTCGAGAAGAACGTCTCCACAGATCCACCGAGCAGCTCAATGTGTTTGGTAAGCCGCTGACGGAGAATTTCTTCACATGAGTCAAGATAAAAGTGAAAACTAGGAAAAGCCTTTCGGTACTGACGTCGCCATTCCTGAAGCCGCGCCTTTTGTGAATTAGATGCACGCACAATGGGAGCAGAAACTGTAGCAGCCGCCACATTCCGGTCTGCCGGTTCCTCTGCCGTGTCGTTCTGTGTGAGTTGTTTCATTAAAGGCAGATTTTTCTCATTGAGCACATCATGCTTGATTCGTTTCGTCGGTTTTCTATACGATACGGGAGTCAAAACGGTTTGTCGTTTTGGCGTCACCTCAACTGTTACGTCTTGGTCTTTGGTTTGGTTTTCGTCTTGCGCATAAACAACCTGTGCTTCGTGCTCAATTGGTGTGTGTTCCCGTTTTTCAACAGTTTCATGTTTTCCAGCTATTATGTTTGTAGATCGCGGGGCGAGTGGGCATCTTCCAACTGTCATGAAATAGAAAAAGTGAATTTACCGGTTCCTAGGGAGGGAGGGTAAATCTTAAGGGAAGTTTGACTTCAGAGTGTTGGTACAGTGTAAGTGCCTCTTGGTGGATCTGGTAAACCGTCGAAGGTGTGTAAGAAAAAGAACACGCAGACAGAACCACAAACCCTAATTCTAGTACTGTTTTCGTTATACGTACCGTTCTACCGTTCTCGAACTGATTGGAACTGGGTTGATGCTATTATTGAAAGAATCTTACTTAATTAGCAGCAATGACCAAACGCGACAAACTGTACATTTGTACTGCAAGTAGAAGTGCAGGTTTGACGTACTTTGTAAATGTAATTGTAGTGTACAGAGATGGGAGGAAATGAAGGCTTCAGAGAACCATCCAAATTAAGCTCTAGCGAGACGACGCGTACACCGTGTTTCGCGTTGCATTTGTACGCGTTCGTCACGTGACTGTCGGTGCTATATAAGGGCAAGAACAGCCTTCGTGAACTTGCCTTCTGCAACTATGCAAGGTAAGTTTTTGACAATGTCCTCCGAAGTGATATGATGCTACGTGAATTATATTCGATTAGTCTTTACGACGCCAACATGGGTACACCATTTATTAACGCCTGATCATCCTCGAGAGACATTCAAATGTTTATGATCAACAATGCTAACGAAAGAAGAAGGTTTAGTGGTGGACATGGTTAGTGTGACTATTCTATTCGCAGGTTGACTTCATTGTGTTCTTGGATGTTGAAGTGTGGTGTTGTTTAGGGTTTATTTTGTCTGTCGATGTTAATCCGTTTTTCTGAGTACAAGGCTCTGGGACAAGGAAGTTTCGTGGCGCTGTTTCCCTGAGTCTGTCTGAATTTTTCAATAGCATGAATATTCAGAGTTTTTGTGACGAGTATGTGAGGTTTTGTTTGTGTGTTACAGTGTTACAGTGTGAACGAGACTTGTTCTAGGTTAAACCGATGGAACTGCTAATTGGCGGCGTTTGGTCTCTGGCGGAACCTCCAGTTAGCGTTTGCTTAAGAAGAAATGAATATGAGAACTGGTTTATATTAAAGCTAAAAGATCCTCTGCTTGTGCCTAACATCGACATTTTAGACATCACCGACTCTTGTAGTCGCTAACGGTTTATGAATGCAGATGATCGCTTGCAGAACATCGCAGAAGCCAGTGGTGATATATTTCTAATGTAGCAACTTTTAACCGAATGACGACGACGACAGTAAGTCCAGTTTTGATAAACAGCCGTGTTCCTTTCGTCTTTGGTGATCCGAAATAATCATGTCCGTTACGAAAAGGGGAATAGGCATTAAACCACTAAGACCTCAATTACAGTTTACTATTAAGAAAAGGGCGTTGAGCAGTAGTATCCAAACTTGTTTGGTTTCGGCTATAAGTAACTTAATGCTATGAGATTGTTCCTCAAGTTAGGAATTCATCAGAACTTGCAGATCATATGAACGGAAACAGAAAGGGCGTGATTTCTTCAAAACATCGCTTATCCTTCAAATGCTTGGCAAACCTTAGAGAGACATCAGCTTAACAAACAAACTTTAAGCCTTCGTTTAGATACATTTGGTAGTGTTAGCGACAAGGAATAAGAATCAACAGTTTACGATTGAAATAGCGTTTAAAGCCACATGAAGTAGCTGTGGTTTGTAACTATGTGTGAAAGTAGATAATTTAAAGTACTGATTCCAATTGTGCGTCTTTCAAACTTTAACGAGCATCAACTTATTTAATGAAAATGTGTCTGGAGACTTATTCATAAAATGATCATAATTTTTGTTTGCCGACATTCAATGGAATCAATTGATGGCATAGAGTTAATTTGTATTTTCTTGCTGAAAGTTATATACTGTTTTTTGAATAAATGCCTGTCAAAAACTTTAGCACTTGGATAAATCATTCCCTTATATATATCTTCCTCCTAGTATACTCGCAAACTCAAGCTTACAAGTACAACTTCCCTTCTCAAAACCCCGTTCACTACCTCCTCTCTAGGTAATCCGCTTAAACCATATTTGTAAGGATAGATTATTCCCTGTGCTTCTTTTTTTGACTCTGCACCTTTTATACAAGTACATTTCCATTCTTCATCATTAATGCATACCGACATTTGTGTATGTTCGCATCCACTAACTCCCCTTAGTGCTCATCATTTATGTGCATCAAGACGGAGCGACATTTTTTTTCTTCGGAAAACATTCATTCCATGTTCAGCAAATTCATGCCGTGAAACAGAACCAAGCTGGAAAAATTCCATTGGCATAGAACCGGCTCCCTGCCAAGCAAAAGTTATCGCGCTAAACATTAATGTTAGTGACAAAGGCAGTATAAGAAACGTACTCTTTTGGTAAATAGGAGCGAACTTGCGCTGTTGAAGGAGCTAATGCTCGTAGCTCTGCTTCAAATCTTGTTCTGAACCCCGGCAATTTCACATTTCCACCGACTAAAACGATATTCGCCAAAAACAATGCTGCCAGATCCTCAGGAAACTGCTCCAAAGACTGCATTACGGTTTCTGGAATTCCTGATTGGTGCATACCGATGTCACTCGGAGAAAAAAGTAGTTCGGGAGTCACAAAACGCTCGGTACACAAACCAAGAATCTGTTGCTCACGAGCGTCAGCAGCGGACGTGGACGAAATAACTCCACCCATGCGACCGGAACTGTAGTCAGGCAAAGCATAGAACATTTGTAGTGGATTACGTCGCAATCGACGTCCCATTTCCATATCCTTCTTCAAGTTCTGAGAGACAAAACACGTGGCCTCCTTAATCTCGTTCACCAAATAGAAATCCTTCATCATGTTGAACTTTCTGTAAGAGATTATTTCTTTTAAGTAGTTTGTTAAAAAGCGTCCACCGAGATCAATTCGGCGAATGCCTTGCTCCATTGCGATACCATTCATGACAGGAATGATGTGTGTAAAGCTATAGCCACTATCGATGACAAGCACACAGTCCTTATACGCACCCCATTCTTTCGGTTCTTTGAATGCAGAACGTAAATCGTTCCATGCAACAAACTCTGCCGGCAACCCTGTAAATAATGAGTCAAACTCAAACTCTTCAAATACGACCTGAGTGGTATTCATTTGTATACTCGGCATTGTAAAGGGTGCTTCCGTCAAAACAAGGGAATGACCATTCATTTTTTGATCCTGTATTCCAAGACGCTGGAATGTCTGATCCCAGAGAGAAATTTCTGTAGACCAATTCGTTACATAGCCCTGCGGTCGAGTTAGACATGATTCGCAATTAAAACGACAATCGGCTATATAGACGCCCGGATAAATTATTATTTAATCCAGAACGTCCAACATGTTGGTTACCTTTTCATGAGCTCGTTTGAATTGGAGTGAACTGAAATCCTTGCACACCGAAATTTCATCACCGAGAAATAATCGATTTCCATCCTTTGACCGACACAAGCAATTTGGAATGGATCTATGTTCAATTGTTAACAGTCAAGTTATTCTCATACAAAACTCCAGTTGTTCTTCCGCATACAAACACTCGTCATTAGGGAAACCCGCTTTTATTGTGTAGGCACCATTGTCAAGAATTAGTGTATTACTGGGTAGAGTCATGACATTGCTTGCATCTTTTGTGCTCTACCAAGTTTTCCTTCTCTAATAGTTTGTTTTTTTTGTGGTGGTTGACTTGGTGGTTAAATGCCACACCAAAAAATAGGCAATATACTAAGTGAAGCTGTAGTAGCCATTACAAGCGGGAGAAGCCAGAATAGGCTCATGAATTGGCAAAACGACTGAGGAACAAGTCCTGCAATACTTCCACCGCTGATTGAAACCGAACCATTTCATCCAGAAACCTCCCGGCACAAGTTGAATGCTCTCTTGTTCTTTCTAGTACTTATTTATATCTATAAAGAAAGCAAATGATCTTATTATGCCATGTTCAAAAATGACCGGAGAAAACCCACGAGCATATAATCGAAATTGATTTCTCATGTTGAACCTGTTGTGACTCTCCTCCAATGGATATACAGTTAACATCGTGTTAACAATAAAACTTTTTAAGACTTTTGAGTAGGATTAGCGGCGGGAACAGATCCTGAAAGTAATGCTTGCATGAATTGCTGTTGCTCACCGGAAAGTCCACTCACGAGGTGTTGCAGTGAAGCTGGATTTGAGGATTCCATGTGAGAAACAAACTCTCTGAAAAAGGCATATGGTTCAATCCGATCAAGAGGAGTGTGGAATAATGGGTCTTCCTCCAACAAGTAATCACCTTCGAAGCAGGCAAAATCATCGACATACTCCTCATCGTCAGAGAAAGCACCCTCAGGGTGTCCTGTTGCAAAGTCATTTGCGGTTTCATCATCTTCAGCATCCCAGTCTCCGTGCTCGTCCCAGTTTGCCGTAGTCATATCAAATGCTTCGCCATCGTAGTCGCGTTCAATTTGAGCACGATTCTTCATGGCCTCCGGAAGCGAAGCCAACAAAGTAAGAATCACTTGCAACATTTGACACCAACCACTTTGTAAAGAAGGCGGCACTTGTTCATTAGGAAGGGAAAGAAGTGATACAATGGCAAGCATACTGATCTTTTTGTCATGGACTCTGGCAAAACGGCCAATATCGTTAAACCACAATGTGAAAAAGGGAGCAGTCCACTGGTGGGCCTCCAAAACTTGCAAAGTTGCCAAGGCATTATAGCACAGAGCATTTACAATGACCTCAATCAAGAATACTCTGTAAGAACCTGCACTGGGTTTCTCAGAAACCAACAAGCGATCACCAGCAAGCTCAATGAACGATTGCAGGTATTGATCCAGACAACCAGGCAAATGAAGCATAAGCAACTCGGCCAGTTTGCATGCGGCAACGCGATCATTCAAGGCTAAATGATCATTTGTGAATACCAGGTGGATAATTTCTACCATGGCAGAAAGGTAGTCGGGACGGCTGCGCAAAGCATCAGCGCCATACATTACATAATTGTTGAGAGCAGGAGAACAATCCTCAATGTATTCGATTGCGGAATCCTTCAAAACACTTTGAAGTTTCTCAAACACTGTCCACATGACAGGTGAAATAGATTTGGAGACAAATGTACAGCCATCAACAATCTCAAATACCTCAGAAAAGACGTCCCAAACAGAGTTATCCAAAGTAAAAGTGAATAATGGGAGAAGAACACGCTCAATCTCTTGCAAAACATCAACTGTGTTTTCCAAGCTGAGAATCATCGTGCTCAGCGTGTTCAGGATACCCGCCGCGGCAATGGACTTGTCATCGGGCAACGAGTCCATGTCGTCAGCGGCGGTCTGCTCCAAACTTTCACGCATAAGCTTCATGAATGTGTCGCGCAATTGAACGCAAAGCTGGGATGCGAAAGGTGTAAGTTCATGACTGAACATACTAACAAAGTCCTCCATACAGCTCGAAAGAGCATCAATGTCAATTTCGTTAGCCATTTGCAGAAGCGTCTGCATAATCATGGGCACGTGAGGAGTAATTGCAGTGTGCACTTCAGTGTGACGCATAAGAGGTTGCAAAGCAAGAGCAGCCTGCACACGAACAGCCAAAGCCTCGTCACGAAGAGCGTTGAGAACTGAATTGTATGCATTCAGCAATTGATTCTTGTCACTCCATTTTATGTCGGCGAAACGGTTGATCATTTCACATGCTCTAGAACGCAAGTAACCAACAGTGCTGGTAAACTCAGGCAAAACGTGAACAACAATGAAGTCCTGCATCATGTCGACGACAGGGCTGTTTTTGGCCAAGATCGCGTGTGAAATGGAACCAACCATACGCAAAGCTCCCTCCTTTTCGCGAGGATTTTTCTCTTGAGCGGAAGCACTGGCATACTTGTTAAGCATGCCAGTAGCAAAGTTCAGAATACCCATAAACGTCTGCTTAGCGCGGCGGGATGCAAGCTTAACCAAGAATCTGGAGGCTGCAACGTCAGGGGAATTGAAGTCATCATAAATATCGATGTACTTGTGGATGAACTCAACTTGATCCATTTCCCAGAGTTCTTCATCCTCTTCACTCATGCAAAGTTGAGGGAAAATGAAGTGTGCAACCAAGTTCTCAACATGAGGCTGCAGGAGCACCCAGGTGTTCTTAGGCTTCACACAATCCTCATAGAAACAGCCCAAGTGGAAGAGGAGGCGTGGAGATAACCATACTTGTCCTTGAATCCAAAGTGCCGTTTGAGACAGGTACACTTGCAAAATATTAGGAACCACATTCACTTGAAGAGTTTGAGCAAATGTCTTATACTCAGTAGACATGTCTCTAGAAACGGAAGTGGGCAAACCGTAACGTGTGAAAAGACGGTTCAAGGTGAAGTAAGCCCATTTCTTGCATTTCAACCAAACGTGAGACGAACGAACATCGGCATCGATGCTCATTACGGAAGCAGGCAGGGCGCGTTGAACCACGGCGAGCAAAAGTTGAATCCATGAGAAGATATTGTCGTTAGCCAACAGCTCAATGGGTATTTCGAGAGAGACCACCGACTTAAAAGTCTTCAAGATGAGACGGAGCATCTCAGCCGAAGCATCGTCATCCTGTGCTACCAATCTTTGGGCATGCTGAAGGAGACAAGGGAACAGAGAAGTAATAACAGGTCCAATGTCACGACAGCGATCCTCCACGCGCCACCGGTATACCTTAGCAAGTTCATGCATGCAAATAAGGCCAGCATATATTTCACGAGCATCACTCGACTGAACCAAGTTGGCGGTAAACTCAACAAAACTAGGCCATTGGTCGGGGAAATCGGTAGAAAGAATGATGTTAAGGATAGCCATTAAATGTGACCGTGTGGAAACGGGACTTTGAAGCAGAACTGGCAGCAAGTTCTGTCTAAAGATGGCCTTCTTGTCTTCGGGAATGTCGAGAGGAGAAGCTGCATCTTTGGCACTGCTCCATGACCGAGCAATTCTATTCTTCAAATAAATAACCGCTAAAAACTATGTTAGTAAACGTGAAACCATAAAAACCAGTTCAAATTCGCTCAGAATGCTCTTCGAAAAGTACAAAATTACAGTGAAGAAGATAATTTCGCAAGGAATGGTGCAAAATACCCAAATCATGTTTTCTCTAATCCACAAGGATGAAGCAAACCTCAACGAATGTGATTTTTTTTTTAAAAGAACATACCAGCTTGCCGGGTAGACAATTCAATTCCTTCATTTCCAAGGAGTTGGAGCACAGCAAGGACAAAATCGGGCTCTTTCTCCAATTGCTTCAAGGAGAGCTCGGCTCTTGCACGAACGTTTTGATCCGAGCTCAAAGTCGCATCGAAATGCTCGACCAACGACATGTTTGAAGGAAATCGCTAGGCAGGTTGCTCTGGGTCGGTTGACTTTTTATGGTGGAGTACTCTTAAAGTACCCCCACAACGCAGCCATGGGGGTGAGCAGACAACACATAGAGTTGCAGTCTCGGATCAAGCCTTACTAAAAAAATGACTCAAAAAGTGTAGCGTTGCCGAAGTTAAATTAGTGTGTTTGTTAGACAGGAGTAGAAGGGAGTCAGCTGCGGGTGCGACATATGCAGATGATCATCAACTAGAAAAGTTAAATAATGACAGGTGTTACACAGATTTATGTAGTGTATTCCTCAATATAATTTAGCATATCGTGAGGCGCATCCAATGCTTCTAAGATGAAGCAGATCCGTTCGTTTCGTTCATTTCAGCTGTTCCAGTGTCAGCATGGATAGATTGCAGATACGGTTTCCCTTCGGAATTAAGACAAACTTCATAACCGGCTTCATTTACAACGGTGCTTTGTACAGGCTGTTGAGGTTGTAGGCGAGCGACAAGAGACTGGTTCTCGACGTTGTTGAAGAGAAGCTGTCTAATGCAGAGGATGGTAATTTCACGAATGTACGGATTATGATCATCGATGTTGCATTGTTGAAGTATAAGAGGTATGGCGCCCAGCTCGCGCACTTCATCCTGTAAAGTCGGATGAAGGTGAAGCAAGAAAGTAATCAAGCGCAAGCACTCTCGTTTCAAACCCGCTGCAGCTTCGGCGAATTCATTGCGGACGGGATCCTGAGCCGAAGCCGCTGAAGTCGCGACCAGAGTTTTCGCAGGAAACAGGTTGCTCGCTAAGCCCAAGACGTCTACAAGCAGTTTTACGAGAGGCTTGAGAGAACCGTCAGAAGCATTGGCGGCGGGTGAAATCAAATCGGGATGATCAGGAACGATACATGGCTTGAATGTGTCGCGTTCGAGGTCGTCATTAGCGACATCAAGAAAAAGTGAGTAAAATTTAATGCACGTTAAAAACACAGACACGTGTTCTGCAAATGTCGTGAGTGAAAGATCAGAGGAGAAGGAGGATGTGCTGAGGTCCGACAGCATCAAGCGTAGAGAACTACCTTTTTCAAGAAAGCTTGCAGTGGCCGTCTGGAATGTTTCTGGAGCCAGAGCGATTGCAGATTTTGCGGACGCATCTTCCAGTAATTCATTCAAGGTATTCAACACGAAATACAAGGTGCGATGCCCACAATCTTGGCTCACGGAAATCAGCTTGCTCGTAAAACCCTGTTGAAAAATCTTCTCCACAAACCCTTTCAACAGCGCGGTTTCGCGGTGACCAATCTCCAGCACTCCGTCCATGCAAAAAAGAATGTAAAGCAATGTTTGACCGCGTTCCGTAAGACACAGGTCTTGAATCGGATCTGTCTGGGGATCCTTTTCTAAGGATAGCTCGAGAGACCACAAAGCGACGGTGAACGCAGAATGTAGACCATCGCTCACGTACACGCGAGGTGTGCGATCTTGCATAATAAGTCCAGGAGTGCTACCATCTGTCTCGAACAAAAACTGCCAAAGCTGTCTGCTAATGGGCGAGGTACCAGCGGAAGCATTTGCGAAGGCCTGCCAAAAAAAACGGTCATTGGGATCTTCCGAAACAGACGGGTTGGGAAGTACATGGTGAAACCACACCAGCAAGCCGCATTTTTCGGCAGTTTTTTGTGCTTCTGGTCCCGCAGAGAGTAAATTTCTCACAACCTTTGCCCGTAGATGGGAACAATCACTGGAAGATGCGATTTGTTGTGTCTGCAGCAGAGAATGCCACAACTCCTCATTCAGAGCTAATTGAGCACGTATGTCAGCATCTACAGTCGATCCAAGTAGCGCATTTAACGAAGTTGGCTCGGAATCGTCCATAGTCTCGTTTTAGACTCGTATGCTGAACGTCAAACGTCTTGGCGAAAATTTTTAACAATCCTTATGTTGGATGCAGTTTACACAAGCAAGGGTCTGCATTCGAGGGTCAATGCCTACCAACGAAATAGGCACTCACTCGACGTTAACCTACTAGTTGCAAACATTATTAGCACATGTTGATCGACCAGAGAGAACAAAAGAAGTAGCATAAGAAAACGACGCGAACTAGTCTGCGAAAAGAAATGAATTGTCGGATACGCCGCCGTTGCTAGCACGACAAGCCCGGTTATCGTCAAGGTATACACAGCAACGTTATTCCCGCTGCAACGTCCCAAAACAGCACGACGGTCGTGGAAAAACAAAAAGGTAGAAGAAGCGATGAAACGTTGGATGTAACTAGTTTTTGCGGAATGGGGAAAAACGTGCCAGTACAGCCACAACCGGAATGGAAGAACGATCGAGGCCAGCTGAGATGTTTGCCTGCGCGTTCAGGTGTCATTGGCGACGAAGCGTAGTGGGAGAATTAACTTCATGGCAAAGCGAGTGTATCGTTTCTGGCGAAACAAGCTCCATTCTTAGTAATAAACAATTAATCCTGTCCAATTCAACAGAACAAACAATTGCCTGAACTGAGCAGGTCGCGCATTCGCACTTTCACACAGAAACTGACAACTCAACTGCCGATAGCGCACACTAACTTTCCATTCCATTTTTTGTCCGCGAATATAGTATGCGCCTATTAAGGTCTGCGGTAATTATCTCATATCTTATCTTATCAGATAACAGTAGATATGCTTTATTGAAGCTTATCACAGCAGCCAATCACAACAGACGCCGCCGTTTACGCAGGACCAAATGAATGATTGGTCAGTGACAGGTAAGGCAAATCAAGGAGCCACAGCACCGGTAATAACGAGCCGAGGAAAGAAGCGAGAGAAGCTGACTGGAACGCCAGCAATGATCTGCGGTAGGAGCATCCGCAAGTCGAGAACAATATCTGAAGACGGGTGAAGATTTGACAACGAATGTGTAGGGCAAGCACGAGTGAGTAACGGAACACACGCGTCTAAAGCACTTGCCGAGGTTCAATTTCAAAATAGATTCGCTCGGCATTGCCGGACACGACCCAAATATAATCACCTCGGCCGCAATCGCCGTCAGCACGCCGTTACTGGTTTATCCATGCTACTGCTACAAGAGTCGATAGAGGGGGAAGGAAAGTGAGCAGTGGGAGAACACGCCTAGCAACTCCTGAACAAAACGCGTGACGTCACGCGACGAAGTGACGCGACGCGTTAGACAGATGCACTAAGAAAGCGGCTGTATCCCCACCGACTCCTCATCCACCAACAACCATGTCCGTTCTAAGGGAATGGCATTTCGGCACTGCCTCTCTATAAACACGCACAGCATCCTTTCAAACTCCGTTATGCGAGCAAGCCAGTCAAACGTGTTCTATACTGAGTAATTGGCATGATTTGTTGCAGTAATCTGTCTAAATCAAGGCGTCAGACTCGCTTCCCCTCTTAGGTTGTGCACGGAGGCCTGCACTGAGTTAAAATGAACTATAGTGCATTTTTAACCACTGCAGAATTACCGTTTACTGCACTGCGCTATTTTTTGTTTCTCACAATAATGCATTTTAGCGAGACTTACTGCGTGCTATCACGCTTGACTGTGTCGTGTTATCTCCCACGCTGCCAGGGTCCCGACCGCACCGGCTGATCCGCTATTGTCAACATCTGCATTTCCCCATCTTCCAATCGCTTCTTTAAGCTTTCTCTGCCAGATTTTTTATTGTTTGAACCTGTCTTCTCCCATCATCCTTCTCCCATCCCTACCCATCCACCATGAAGGCCTGGTTGCAATCAAAGTAAGTGTTTAAAGGTTTGAGCGGGCCGTAGCAGCGGCAAGATGGTTTAAATGTGTTCTACAAAGTTGTAAAGCACGTAAGCTCTTGGACGGGCAGTATCTTGCGCATCTCAGCTGTTTTTCACAGACGAAATGTGGCTTGTGTGATAACGAGGACGGGCTAGAGCTGAGAACGGAACTGTGAATGGAGAAAGACGTTTGGTCGGGATTATGACGATTTGAAGAAGCTGTGACGGCCGGGAGCGTTCTCGACACCGTGTTTGTTCACTGTACGATGGTCAGATTGCTTGCTTGAGGAGGAGGAGGAAGGGAAGAAGAGGGGCTGTATCTGGTTCTCTCTTCTGTCTTCTACTGCTTGTTCATTTTTATCCAACGTTTTCTCTCGTTCACTAGTTTCATCGCTTTCCTGCTCGTTTTCACGTTACGACCTATACTGCGTGATTTACGGGTTGTCCTTACCTCTTTACTAACACTCGCAGTATCGCCTACTACACTGGTACAGCTGAGCCTATCTATGGTCGAGAGGCCATTGAGACTGTCGAGGAGGTCGTCGGTGACAGCAACCCGTTCCATGAACTCGAGCCCATCGACTACCAGTGGGATACTCCGGCATCGAGCCATGTGGAGACTGAGACGTTCTATATAAAGCCTGTGACGGGCAACTACATGTGTTTCGTGCAAATCATCCACTCGAACCTCGGTTCCTGGACAACCACTGCTCAGGTCGTGTGCCGTGTGTTCGATTTGAGCAACCCAGAGAACGACTTGTGGACGTCGACTAACTTGAGCGAGTTTACCTTCGAGGACAACAAGCAGTCGTTCAAGGCCGACAAGGTTTCTTTCCAGTTGCAGCCAGACCGTCGCTCCTACAAAGTCCAATGTTCGGTGTGCATGGACTCTATTATCGATTTCACGTTTGAGCGTCTTGCACCTCCATTTAAAATCGGAGAGCATGCAACGACGTCCTACGGCACCGACCACACGAAGCCCTGGGCTACTATGAAGCATTCCTTCTGGCCTCGTGCCTCTGTCACTGGCAGTATCGTCGCGCATGGAAAGGTGATCGATGTTACGGGATCGGGTATGTTTGTGCATGCTCTTCAGAATGGTAAGCCACAGCATCTGGGTTGTGCTTGGGAGTTTGCCCTTCTCCTGCACTCCAAGTACACTGCTGTGATGATGCAATTCAAGACCCCTCCCAGCTATGGCTCTGCCGTTGTTAATGTCGGCGGTATAGCTACGGATGAAGGTGTCGTTGCAGCTACCGTGAAGAATTCCGTCGTTCACAAGGCCACTAAGCTTGATCCCGACACGGAGTGGCAGGAACCAACCCGCATCGAGTATGTGTGGAGCGGTAAAGACGCCGAGACGTTCACAAAGGATGTGAAGCTTGAGGTTGACGCTGAGCTTGGCCGCCGACTCGAGCGGATAGATGTGTTGTCTGAGATACCTTCCTGGCTGAGAGGCTTCGTTCATGGTATTTCTGGCACAAAGCCCTTTATTTACCAATACAACTCTCCTGTCACCTTCTCTCTTACCATTGGTGACGAGGTGATTCATGAGGATGCTGTTCTGTTCAATGAGACTACCTTTATCTCGTAAACTGTGTATTCGCCCATGTACGCAACGTGATACTCCTGTGATTCGTGTTCAAACACGGCGAGGGAAGGAGAGCATGTGGGTTACTGACAACACCTCCCTTGTATCCCCATCATAATTTTCAAGGGTGACTTCCGGTAAAGAGCTATGTACTCGTTGTCAACGTGTCTTCGCGAGGCATGAAGTGGTCGTTGTCGCATCTATAACGAGTTGGAAACATTTGTGCCGTGGTCGCCATTACTCAAACTCGTCAACTTCTGCCTGGATATACATATACCTGTCTAACTTATTGTCTCGGATGCAACTTTTTTCTTTTAATCTGACAGGGCAGGCAGTTGCACGGGGTCAGGATTGTTGGTATGTTAGCAGCAGCCGGGTGAAATGTTTTCCAAATCAATGTAATTTACCATGTTGCTGTCTACACTCTCCACGAATTGATAATTCCCTCAGAAAAGGCTATGTCTTTTTATTCAGTTTATACTTTATACGTATGTATAAGTTGCATCGCAATAAGCCGTGTTTTTTTTTTGAGCAATCTCATGAATATGAATATTTTCGTTTCACAAATCATCTTATGACGAGGAGGGTTTTATGAAAGTCGTGTCGTTCTGTAAATCACTTTGTAACAAGAGTTCCCCGTTCGCTAAAGATGATTATTTCAGCAACATGACAAGTCTTCGTCATCAGAGGATCTCTTTCTTTGTCTATATTAAAAATCAGTAATTATCTATAACCCATACGAACTCCAATCTTTCCTTCAGCCCTTTAACTCCCTTTTTTTTTTTCTTGATCAGCATGCTGCCTACTATCACAACTACGCCTACCGCAGTAAGTGCGAGTTTGCACAAGTCGGATATTTTCTCACTAAACCAGTAACGAAAGAATTAACATGTTACGTTTTTGCTTGCTGGATTTTCTATGCCTATAGATATTGGGGTTTTCGCGAATTGATCTTTCTTTTTGAATTTTTGGACATATTCTGACGAAAAAACGTTAGCAATTTTTGATCCTGTCACTTTTGTTGCGATATATCTTTCTGAAAGTCTTTAAGTTCACATAATTTATTTTCCTTTGGTCGTTAATCTTTTGAAATGTCGGGCAATTGTTTAACAAAAGAGCAATTATTGTCTTTAACAAAGAAACAAGCTCTTCGTAACTACCAAGAAGTAGCGTACAACATTGCAATAAAGCAAAATACCTTGCTTGTTATGAACACAGGTGCTGGAAAAACTCTTCTTGCTATTAAACTGATTGAATATGTACTTGAGCAGGAGAATTCGACATGTGAAAAAACCTCAAAGAGGATCTCTATATTTCTTGTACCCAAGGTTCCGCTTGTCGAACAGCAGGCCGATTATGTGCAGACGCAACTCAATCGGCCCGTTGGTCGCTTTTGTGGTGAAATCTCTAATTTATATCACGACAATGTGTTCGCCGAGAAGTTTATGAAAAACGACGTAGTTGTCGTAACAGGAGGTTTGCTGTTTGAGTGTTTGTCGAAAGGCTTTATTAAACTCAGCGATGTAAACCTTCTGATATTTGACGAATGCCATCATGCAAGTAAAGATGATGTCTATGTGAGAATCATGAAGTATTTCTATCATGAACCTCTTCGAGAACATCCCGAAACAATTATGCCACGTGTTTTTGGCATGACTGCCTCACCTCTAATGGGGAATAAATGGGCTCTTGAGAAAGAGTTCAATAAATTGGAAGATATTTATGATTCTAAGTTATGTATTATTACTGATGAGGATCTTGGAAAAGAACTTCGTAGCCCCAAAACATTCATACTTCAATACAGTATTGAGGACTTCTCTACTCAATCAAAGGTCTCCGATCGATTTTGGAAGCTAACAGAGAATTTTGACCGGCTTAAACAGATTATAACACGCGTTGTAACCGAAACCGTCGAGTTGGGCCTTTGGTTTGGAGATTACAGTTGGCAGTTCTTTTTGAGACATGCACTTAAAAAGTACGATGCCAGACGGCTGAGAGGCGCTGAAGTTCCCAAAGAAGAAGTTTTAGCTTTTGAAGCATTACAGGAGGAAGTTAGGAAAGCAAATCTTTTGACGACTTCCAAGCAGCTGCGCAAGCCAAAGTTAAATGGAATTGATGTCACTAATAAGGTCATTATCCTTTATAAGTTTTTAAGGAATTTGTTTGCTACAAATTCTACTGCTAGAGTTATCATATTCGTGGAAAGAAAGGTAACCGCTTTTTTGCTGAAGCTTTTTTTTGACAAGATTGATTTCGAAGGGATCCGTGTTGAGTCGCTTGTCGGTAACGGGAGCAACCAAGCAGGCGATGAACAGATGTCGTACAAACTTCAAAAGGAAGTAATACGTCGTTTTAAGCACGGATCAGCAAACGTGTTGGTTGCTACCGCAATTGCCGAAGAAGGCCTTGATATTCCGTCTTGCGACGTTGTCTTTCGCTTTTCTTTATGTAAAACAGCAATCCAATTGATTCAAAGCAAAGGCCGTGCTCGTGCGAATACTTCTATTTTTGTCAACTTGCTGAGCGAGGATGAAAAAGAACTGTTTTCTGAGTTGTGCACAAAGGAAATTATCTTAAAGGAAACACTGTACGCTTATTGCTGTACACGGTCGCCGAAAGTCGAATTTGATAACAACATTACTGATTTTTTTAATGACGATAACGAGCTTTACAAAATTGAAGAAACTGGGGCATTGCTGACACCATTTATTGCTGTAAGCTTGCTCTACGGACTTTGTCAACGAATTCCTTCCGATCCTTACACACTCTATTTACCAGAATTTAAAATTCAGAATGAGGGTGAACACTTTACCTGTGAATTACGTCTCCCGGCTATTCTCAAGATTCCACCGTATATAACGCCTCCTTGCAGAAACAAAAAGAAAGCAAAACGTTATGCTGCTGTCAAAGCATGCTTGCAACTTATTGAAAGTGAACTTATTGACAAACGTTTGCGTATCAAAACTTTTTATGATGAGCTTCTCGAAGCTGAAAAGGAAGAGCAAGAACACTCTATGAAAAACCTTCCTCAGCAGAAATGGGAACGTTGCACTCCTTCTGTATGGCAAGTGAAAAAGCATGTCAAAACCGTTTATGCCACTGTCATTTTTGTCGATAGCCTTGAAGGTGAATCAAGCTTCAAATGCTATCCCTTGCTATACATAATTCCTGATTGTCCTTTCTCAGTCGCTGGTCCCCTTCGTTTGAATTCAGCCAAAAATAGGATTGATGTCTTGTGCCATACTATACCAACATGTTTTGCATTGGATCTGGAATTACGAGAAGAACTGGATAAATTCACGTTGTTTATGCTACAATTAGGATTGTCAAAGACTTTAATTTCTACCTCTTCTCCTTCTTATTGGTTTGCACCACTTCATGGTTCGTATACATCGTTCGAGAGTCTTTTTACGATCCCATCTAATGCGAGGGAAGATCTCCGAACTATTATTAATGTTGAGCTTTTAAGAAAGTGTCTTTCCGAAAACACCCCTCTGCATCCCAAGTTATTAGACACTCTGTCGCCATCGTCACTGTTATGTTCTGCAAAGGGATATTACACAGATCATCATCAGTTTCATTCTCTTCAAACTTCAGATAAACTAGGCGCAAAAGACGAAGAGACTAAAACGTTTGTTAATGTTATCAGATGTCCATTACGAACAAATTTTTTGTTATTCCAGTCCCGTGCTGTGGCTACACAAGGTGCGAAACGTCGAAAACGAGAAACAAGAGTGCAAAGAATTGAAGTTACCAAGCTTCTAATCATGCCTTTTCCCTATGAAATTCGAAATTCTGCTTTACTTCTTCCTTCACTGTTATACATGTTTGAGCAGGTCCACCTCGTCGACGCTTTAAGGGTTAGGCTGCAAGCTAAAATTTCTACAAAGTCCTTACTTGAAGCCTCTACATCACCAGGAAGTGTTTTGCCATTCGATTATGATCGGTATGAGTTTTACGGTGATACATTTCTTAAACTTGCTGCTTCAAACTCGGTTTTCCTATCTTATCTCTGGGTACCTGAATGCAAACTTCATATTGAAAGAAAACGTATTATCCGAAACTCGACTCTTTTTACCATCAGTAAAAAACATGATTTGCCTGGTTTTCTTCTTTCGGAACCCTTTGTGATTAAGACTTTCATTCCGTTCGGTTATCAACCAACACAGAAGTCTAAAAATAAAATGGAAAGGTCTCAGCTCTTGGCTAACAAAACTGTAGCAGATATTGTTGAATCAAGCTTGGGAGCTTGTCTTTATGACTCGGGCGTTGATGAGGCGTTAGCACTTGGTACGCGTTTAGGCCTTAACTTTTATAAGACGACTAAGTGGGACGAATGGAATTCTGTGTTTAATGTCGAGAACTTAGTTCCTTCTGCAGAAAACGACTGTTTCAAACATGCTTCTGGACTGGAATCTCTAGTCGGTTATACGTTCAAACATCCGGGTCTTTTAAAGATTGCATTTACACATGCTTCTTATGTAAAAACGACACAGACGGCTGTCAATTATCAACAGCTTGAGTTTCTAGGAGACGCTGTACTGGATTTTATTGTTGTCCGCTATTTATTTAAAAAGTACCAAAATAAGACGGCTGCGGAGCTTACTGATACAAAGTCATTTTATGTTTGTAACAAAAGTCTTGCATACGTTTCTTTTAAACTTGGTTTATATGATTTTATGCTTCAGGACAACGAAGACATACGCAACGCCTATAAGGAGTATAAAAGTGTGATTGACAAACTTCAGCAAGATACCAAGATAGATTCTAATCATCCAACTCCTAGCGAAAAGTTTTGGTTGTTAATTGAACCACCAAAGTTTCTTTCTGACATTTTTGAGTCATTTGTATGCGCTGTTTATTTGGACTCCGGCTTTCAGTTCAGTGCGCTTGAACCTTTTCTTAAATTTTTAGTTGAAGAATTGGGCGATTATGAAGGCGTTTTTAATGAACCGCCTGTGTTTTCTCAAATCAATCAACATTTGCAGAAACAAGGTTGCAAGCAATATAAATTTCAATGTGTCATCATTGATGAAGAGGAAAAATCGGACCTTCTGTATACGAAAGCAGTTACTCATCATTATGAATATTCTTTGATTATACATGATGAAATTGTTTGCTCGGCGAAGGCTTTGAACAAAAAGAATTCGCAAAAATTACTTTCGCTGGCACTCAAGGAATTGTACCAGAAAGCCTCTGTGCGACTGTTTCGGAAATGTGAGTGTCAATTGTCTAACTCTGACTAAATGCATCGGTATAAGGTTTGGATAAAGATACGAATTCTGTGGTTTAATGTAGATTGAGTTTGTTTCGCTTTTGAGTTTTTTTATGCCTTAGTTGTTTTCTCAGCCAACACAATTTTAAGGGCTTCTACTTCCTTTTCGAGGCTTCGAATTTCGTTGTGGTATTGCTCTAAGTTTTTGTTCAGCTGATCGCGCCGTTTTACCATTTCTTGCTCACGTTCCTTGTATTCCCTTTCTGATTCGGCAGCAAGTTTGGAAATCCTTTTATGGATTGCTGTTTGTTTTTCTGTGAGAAGCTTGCTCTCTGCTTTCTTTAAGCGAGGTAATCCGGTTTTTCTGCTTAGCAATTGTGCTTTGCGATAATTCTCGTAGACTTGGTACTCTGTTCTTTGAATTAATTCGAGCATGTGATGCTTAATGAGAAGGTCTTTCAATTTCAGGAAATCACTGTAACTTTCGTCATTAACAGTTGATACTCCCCATGGGTATTTACGCCCTATGACTTGGTGACCTTCTTCAGTAAGAATCTTTTTGGTGCTGCCAATCACTGCAAAAGGCATCGCATCATTCAATGATTTGGCAATTTCTGGGGTTGATGCCTCTGCAGACGGACGGAAGATCATAATCTTTTGTGCTTCGATGATGTTCATAATTTTGCTTTTAAGTCTAGAAAGTTCATTGACTGTCAGCGTGTCTGCTTTCGCTATGATTGGTATAAGGTTGACATGAGGGCCTAGTTCTTGCATGGCAATAACATCAAGAGGCATTAAGCCACATGACACTGGCTTAATAAAGTATAGACAGACATGGACACGGTTGTCGTCACGATTAGCCTGCAAACTTTTTTGATCTTGCACAAGGTATTGTTCGTGTTGATCATGCAGGTATTCTGCTACGGTATCCCAACAACCGGTATTGTTGATGAAATCACCAAACCCAGGAGTATCAATGATGGATAAATGCACTGTTAAACCGTTTTCCTCGATATCCATCTTGTGAGACTCAATAGTCATCACCTTCTCTACGCCAAGCTTGTTGATTCCCTTGTATGTATGCTGTTTCTTAACTGGTGACGAGAAAAGCGTGTTGCATAAAGTTGTTTTTCCAAGACCCATGCTTCCACAAAGAAGAATTGTGTAGTTGCACTCTTTTTTCATAATAAACTGATCGCTGCGTTTTAGTTAGTTGCTGTTTTAAGAAGCTATTTCGTACCGGTTAGGCGGTAAACTGTCCAGGTTCACAAGGACTCGAGCTTTTTCATTCATAACCATGGTTCTTTTTTTATAAATTCAATGGGCAGGTGTTGTTTTTGGTTGGAATAAACCCTTCAATACTCTGGCAATATGATAATTGAAATTAAGGTTACATAATTATTTATGTATCTTTAGCTCAATTTCATAAGCACATACTCTTCTTTATTTAATGTAAAACATTGTATGAACTATATTCGTTAAAATAATATATTTGTTTTTTCAGCTTTGCAGAATTCACTACCTCATTAAACTTAAGAGTTGCTCGCAACTACAATTCAGAAAACGTGATGCGTATAGTACACTACTTTAGATATCATGTGAAATATTCCCATATATTAAACATACAAATACAAAGTCCTCGTTACTTCATAGACTTCAAAAAATTATCAACGCCAAAGGGATCCTTGTCCTTTTCAAACATCACAGGACCAGACCGAGTCTGTGTGCAAGTTAGTATCAAATCTCTAGTTAATATAATAATGCGTACCTGTGAGACATTTTCTGTTCCACGAAACTTCTTATGCACTTCGCCGAGTTCACTAAACCGATTTTCGCCAGCCAAACGTTCCAATTCAGCATCAGCATCTACAGTACGAGACAAGGTTGCTCCAGGACGGTATAGGGAAGAAGAGGGCGCAGCTTTCCATGGTTTATCATAAACATTGTAGGAATCATCGTCTCCAAAACCCGAGCCAATGCCCGAAGCTTGGTTGAATAAACGCGTATCTATCATCGCCTCTTGGGAAATCTTTGGTTGATCAACACCCAAAGCCATATTCTCAGCAACATCGCGGTGTCGCTCACGCTCCGCGAGTCGAGAACGATGTTCTGAGCCCATCCTATTAAGACGCAATTCGCGTTCAACCTCCTTTCTTCTTTCCCGACGAAGTCGTTCACGTTCTGCAACAGCCGCGCGAGTCTCAGGATCCTCTTCCTCATTGGCTGCAGGTTCAATAGATGATGAGCGAGACCGGTAAGGAGATGCACTTCTACTCCGAGAAGCTGACCGCTTAGAACGTGAAGACTCGTCCAATACGCCCATTCTTTCTTCCCTAGCCTTTTGCGCAAGAAGACGAAGTTGTTCCTCCTTCTCTTGACGTTCTTTTTCAGCAACTTTTTGACGCATTATAGCGCGATAGTGTACTTCTTCACGAGCCTGTCTTTCGGCAACATATAGAGCTTCTGAAAACTTGGCGAAGCCATCACTGATCTCAACATCATTTGATCCCCGACCATCAGCAGCGAGACGTTTGTCGAGTGGAATGGTGTATCCTTTAGGATTTTTCCAATTGGAAATACTAGGAGGAATCTGCCATTCTTGCTGCTCCTTTGCAGTAACCTTTCTTGGGGGCGAATGCAATACGGGAGGAGGCGGCGAAGGTGGACCGCGTGGAACTTTTTTGTGACGGAATTTGGGAGGTTCAAGAGGGTCCTGTTGTGCATCGACTAGTTTGATTATGCGTTGCTTTGGTTCGGAGGTATTGCCCATTTGACTACTGGGCGTGTAACGAATGTAAACGGGTTCTTCTTTTTTCTGAACTGCAACATTTTTTGGCCGCGACTGTGCTAACTTTCCGGAAACAATTTTTGTCAGAGCTAGTTTTGTCTTTTCTGCAATGCGTTCTTTTTCTTCTTCAGAAGGTTTGGACAAGTCAATCTCGTTCATACCAACACGAGCTTGTAACGGAATTAAGTCTTGGAAAGAAGCCTGTACCAAGTCCTTGTATTGAGAGCCTTGCTTAACAATTGCGTCGTATTGAATAGCACCCTCAGCATCGACTTGTAAAGCTAGTGACTTTGAGGAGGTGCTCTTTTAAGTTATGTTAGTTTCTATTTCAAACATGGTAGTCATTGACTCGAGCGTACATTTTGTTTCCGACCCATTCCAAGTGGGTATTGAGCAACATGAATTTCCGGAAATCTGTCAAACGTTAACACAGTGTCCTTCCAATAGTAAATGTCTTGTAATAAATTAACCACATACGCTCCACCGTCTTCAAAATCTTCCAAGCTACTTGGAATCCATCCTTTTCGTTGTCCGTACGCTGGAATCTGTTTCTTTTTCGCGATGAGAGCTGACGGGGGCGTATAATCAACTTCTTCGTCGTCTTCCTCATCGTCAACCACGGGGTTTGGCAGAATTCTTATGATTGTTAGCAATCGAACACTCTAAACTCAAAAGCAACTAACCGATGAAGTTCTTCTGCTAAAGAAGACATTTTTGGATAAACTTCTAGGACTTAGATGTCAGGTTTTTGGACCGTTCGCTACCTGACACGTAGTACCAAATAAGGTTCATTTAAGGTGGGGGTCGCTAAAAGTGAAGGCGGGGGTACCTGGGGTTTCATTCTCCACTAGCTCCAATACCCAACCGGCACAGGAAAGCTTTCTGCTAACAACACCGCGGTACAAAAATTGACTCAGCGATTTTGTTCGGAGTCGTCTTGCTTGTGGAATACTATACAAGCAATTCGGATGTTCTAAAATGGTTTGTAGCTTTCGTTTTCTTTTGAATTGCATGAATTGCTTACGAATTATTATTTAGTCAAAAGAAGGTGTACCAGGCATAACGAACGACACCAAGTTAGCCTTATCAAACAAGGATGAAATTACTAAAGATGCTCATTTTCAGTTAGAAAGGGCTCTCCCAGATTTGGAAGAAGAAGCTTACGGCGAGTATGTTTGGAAAATAGATAACTGGGCTGGAACTCGACAGAAGGGAGAATAGCCCTATCTTCAATGTCGGTGAACATCAGTTTCGGATAACATTTTTCCCGCAAGGAACTCTGGAAGCACCTGGTTTTGTTTCTCTCTATCTTGAGTATGTGCCATCAAAAACGCAAGTTGAAAATGGTTACGCCTGTTGCGTTCAGTTCGCACTCCTTATGTCCAATGCACGGGAACCATCAGCACAAGTAGCTAGCGCAACTCATTGCCGTTATACGAAAGATATACCTGATTGGGGTTTTACCCGGTATTATGACTCGAGAAAACTACTTGTACGTACCGGTGGACAAACCAGACCTATTATTGAAAATGGCTCTGTGTTGATTTCTGCCCACGTTCGGGTTTTGAGAGACGTTACAGGTGTGCTGTGGCATCCTCTTTTGGATTACGATTCCAAAGTTGCAACTGGGTTTGTTGGGTTGAAAAACCAAGGTGCGACCTGCTATATGAACTCGCTTTTGCAGTCCCTGTACATCATTCCGGCGTTCCGTCGTTGTGTTTACCAAATTCCGACAGAGGATGATTCTCCATCAGACAGTGTTGCATATGCCTTACAGCGTTGCTTTTACAACCTTGAGTACTCAAAAGATGCGGTCTCAACTATCGAGCTTACCAAGTCTTTTGGTTGGGATTCGTTGGACTCGTTCATGCAACATGATGTTCAGGAGTTTAACCGTGTTCTTCAGGACAACCTTGAAAAACGGATGAAAGGAACGCCTGTAGAAGATGCGCTAACAAAACTTTTTGTTGGAAAGATGAAAAGTTACATTTGCTGTGTTGATGTCAACTTTGAATCAGCACGCGAAGAAGATTTTTGGGACATTCAGCTGAATGTCAAAGGAATGAAAGATATGGAGGAGTCGTTCCGGGATTATATTCAAGTCGAGATGCTGGAGGGTGACAACTGCTATCATGCCGACACATATGGTCTACAACGAGCTCGTAAAGGTGTAATTTTTGAATCATTTCCTCCGATTTTGCACATTCAGTTGAAGCGTTTTGAATACGATTTTGAAAGGGATATGATGATTAAGATTAATGACCGCTATGAATTCCCTCTGGAGTTTGATGCCAGCCCATATATGGATGAGGCAGCTAAAACGCCTGGCCAAAAAATCCAGTACGTTCTGCATGGAGTTTTAGTGCATTCTGGAGATTTGCACGCAGGTCATTACTATGCTCTACTCAAGCCTGGTAAAGATGATAAATGGTTTAAGTTCGACGATAATCGCGTTACTCCCGCCATGCTTCGAGAAGTTTTAGAGGAAAACTATGGTGGTGATACGGTCGTTTATCCTCCCTATAAACCTGCTATTAAGTTAAAAAGATGCATGAGCGCGTATATGCTTGTTTATTTAAGAAAAGACAAAATCGATGAATTGTTCGCTCCAATTGCGCGGGAAGAAATACCTCAGCATTTAAGAACTGTCCTTGATGAGGAAATTCGGATTCAGGACGAGAAAAGAAAAGAACGTGCCGAAAGTCATCTGTACACGAATGTGCGGATAGTAACAAAGTCCTCGTTCGCACAGCATCATGAGTTCGACTTGGCTAATTTTGATGATCCTTATGATGCAGAACTAGTACCACAAATGCGTCTCCTCAAATCGACAAAGTTTTCGGATTTTGTAACTGATGCAGCAAAGCAATTTAAACTGGGAAAGTGATAACTTACGCTTTTGGTTCTTGGTAAAGAGAAAGAATGGAACTTTTAGGGTGGAAAGCCCAATTTCAGAAAGTGATGCTAATCTTGAAACTCTGAAGCAAAAGTGGCATGGAACACGATGATTCTCTTTACCTATTTATGGAAGAAAAGAACGAAACCACAAATCTTGTTCATTCAGATAAGACCTTGACTCGAATATTTTTGTCTTTTTAAAGTATTTTGATGCGAAGCTGCGAAATCAGTGGTATAGGGCCTTTCTATGTTAAAGCTTCGGCAACTATAGGCTCTATCCTTGACTGTTTACGAAAACTTAAAAAATTACCGAAAGATACGCCGTTGACGGTTTATGAGGAAATAGAGCCTGGTGAAATTGATGAACTCCGTCCAAACTCGACGTTTGCTCGTTCTGGATTAGGCAATGGTGATATTATCTGTTTTCAAAATAGCAACATCAAGACTGGCAAGTACAAAAACGCGCGTGAGCTTTATGCCTACATACAAAACAGAGTTCTTACTACTTTCCGACCTCGTTACATCGATCAAGAGCATACGGTGGAGTTTGAATTATTGTTAGACCAAAGACTGGCTTATAACGATATTTGCAAAGAAATTGGCGATCGTTTTAATGTTTCGGGTGACAGGGTTCGCTTGACTACATGTAATTCGTTCACCTATGCTCCTAATACTGTCGTTCCTAATGATGATAGTATCACGCTTAAAGATATCATCCAGGTTCCAGAATCAGAAGCCCCATGTAGCATCGTCTTTTATGAAATTATGGAAATTAGTCTCTCCGACCTTAACAAAAAAAGGCCTATCGAAGTAACATGGTTGCTCGATGGCTTAAATCATTTGGAAAGTTTACACCTCTACGTTAACAAATCTGACACAATTCTCGATGTCCTAAACGTATTGAAAGAGCAGTTCCAGGGACAAATTGACGATTCCAAAAAAGTTCGATTCTATGAAATTAGCAACGGTAAATTCTATAGGGATATCAGTTTAAGGACACCGGTGCGTTCGCTCAGTGCGTTTGCTGAACTCATTGGTGAAACGATCCCCGACGAAGAGGTTGAACGACAACCCGAAGATCGTGTGGTTCATGTTTATCATTTCCATAAGGAGATCAACCGTATTCACGGAGTTCCGTTTAGATTTGTCCTGAAACCAAATGAGTCGTTCAGCGAGACTAAGATTCGTCTGATGGAACGAACTCGGTACCCGCCTGAAATTCTGGCGGCTACTAAATTTGCACTTGTTGACTTTACTTACAACAAAGTGCGATACTTGGACGATGAAGACAATGTTTACGATCTAATTGCGCAAAGCAATAATGCTCTCGCGTTAGATCATGCAAACAAAAATCATAAAAAGAGTAGCGTTCTTGATCGCGCTATCCAGATGAAGGGATAGAGTTGCTTTGCACCTCTATGTTCTGATACAAATCAAACGCCCTCGTCTGAATTATTTTCCGTCCGTTCACCCTCCAATTTTAACGTTGTGTTCAAGTTATGTTTTTCTGTTGTACGGATAGAGTCCTCCTTTAGCACCTCATTTTCGATCATCAACTCTTTTGTAAAGCTGTAAAGCTTACTGCTGTGATTAGAGATTATCTTAACATCTTCTTACCTGGAGTACTCTGATAACTCTCGCTTGTTATTTAAATCCATTGTGCAATAGACTGCGAGGTAGAGAGGCATTCACGAAGTCGGTTTACAAGTTAAACGTTTGTTTCAATTACAACTGATTAGCTTGTTGCTAATTCTTTTAATACTGTATCTGGCAAAATATAATATTTAACTAATTACCACAACTATTACGTATGCTACTAATATTCAATTCGAATAATTGATTTAAGTTTAAACATCGACATCATAATACTGTAATTTAATTTTGTTGTACTTTATAGCCACAAAAATACAGCACTCTAGTGAATGAATATGAACGGAGAAGATAATGTTCAGGTGTTTACAGGGCGAACATGTTGTAGGGAGCACAGTAATCTAATTTTTTGGTTAAGTTCTAAACAATGTAATTCAATGCTTCATGAGTAAAGCTGCTGCTGCTTCAGCATCCTTCATTTCTTCATCATTATCAGTAGATGTGTCGTTCATGGAAGTGTCCTGCAATTCTTGAGTTGCAGTGGGTTTTGTATAATGTTTTTGTTGCTGTCGCAGCATAGCGTTAACAATTTCTAATTCGTTTATCCTTTTCAACAAGCTTTCAATTTGAGTGTCCCTATAATCTTGAATGAGCTTAAAGCCTTCAGTGTTTTGTTGTCGTAATTTGTCGCATTCGCGTTGAAGAGTATTAATTTCTTGCCGTTCTTCAGAAGCGGAAGTTGAAGCCGTTTGGTATTGCTCTGTGATAAAGTTAAGATCTTCACGTTGTGTTTTAAGTAGATGTTCAAGCTTCACGTTGTGTTCTCTAGCTTGTTTCAGTTCTTGTTGTGCGTCTGACAGCGGTACGTCCTGCAGCCAACGGAAACCGATTTGGAGTTGCTGGTCAAGTGTGGATACATTTTTTTCCAGCTCTACATTTTTGTCACTTAATTCCGTGTTCTTTTGCCGTGTAGTTTCCTCTTTCTTTTTTAACTCGGCATTTTCAATCTTTAACAAGCGCATTTGCTCTCGATATTCTTGCATTAAATCAATTTGCTTTGAGAGTTGTTGCTCCATGCTCTCCAATTCCGCTTGTTTATCGTTTTTAACGAGAGTGACTTCTCGTAATTCTGATTGAATCATTTGAAGTCGTTTTTGAAGATACGAGACAGTCAGGTTATTTTCAAAATCGGTGGAGAGTGCATCAAATTCAACATTGTCTCCAGCAGATTCTCTTTGTTCTTCTGTTGAGGAAATTCTCATGACACTAGGATAATCATTAGTAATAGTTCCTCCTCCAGAACGCAAGCGTTCTTCGAGTGTCGAGGATGAGTTAATAGGGGTCTCCATTGCAACATTTGAGGATGCCGTCGCGATTGTGAGAGCTCTTAAATCAGGAATACTGTCCAATGGCCAAGTAGTTATCTTTGGATTTCGAAAATAGGTTGCAAGCTTGTAAGCATCTTCTGTGACCTTTTCTGCATCAGAAATGGACCTTGCAGTGCTTTGTTTATAAAAGTTCACATTTGATGCCTGTTCAGTATGAGCAGCAGACATTTCCTCTGGACTCGAGTTGAGAGAAGCAGTAATGCCCACACAATTGATAAAATGAGTAGGATCCGCTACATTATCAAAAAACTTGAGAACATGTTCAATGGAATTCTCCTGGATTAAACGGACAACTGGGATGTTACGGGTGTTCCAGGACAAATTTGCCGTGTAGAAGGAAATCATATCAAAAAGAATGATCCCGTCAACGTTTGGCATTGAATGTTTCTCCAAATCTGAGGGTGTGCAAATGTAAACGGTAGGAGCTTGAGTGAGAGAAGGAGTTGAGTTTGCAGTTTCGGGTTTCCAAATTTCAGCTTCGATAGCATTTTGCTGAAGATATGTAACCAAAAGTTGAACGACCGTTTCGTTATAAACAACGATGAGCAATCTTTTTCCATAAATCTCCAAGTTGTTTAATAGAACTTGTAAAAATTCAAATTTATATGAAGATTCAAATTGCCGAGAAAGCTCGCGCGATTCCGATGTGGATTGCAGTCTGTCTTGTTCATACAAGACTGGGTGATGTGCGATGTCGTGTGCATACTTTAAAAACGGTAGGATTCGCTCGAGAACTCTGTCATCACTGGGACCCGTACAAAAGTAGTCGATACAGAATGCAAAATACTGGACGAGTCTGTGCATCATTTTTTTCTGAAGAGATGTCATCGGGACAAGGATATCGTGCACGCTTTCCTTATTTGTAGGAAGAAGGATATTTGGAGTTTTAACCGGAAACCCAAATAGCTTTTCAAAGACAGACTCTTTTAGCTCTGCTTCATTTTCGACATCTGAACGTAACCGTTTTGCGTCTCCGGAAATATCCATTGACCCATCATCTTTTTCCGTAGGCAATTCTGCAAGCTGAGACAACCTACGTTTGGCCAGCTGTTTAGATTTCCATTCCTCGACAAGTCTTGATTGACAGAGGTCTTTCCGTATGTATGATATGGACGAAGTTGCCTCGTTTCTTACCGAGTAATGGGTGCTAGTTTCGTCTATAATAGATTCTGGGTGTGTTTTGGCAGGTTCCATTCGGTAAAATGTCTGTCACCCTCTGTAGAACGAAAAAACCGTTCGTAAATAAAAATTTATTCAAGAAAATCTATTCCTCAAACTTCTAGTTGTGTTTGTATATCGTGGACTTGGTGTGTCCGAAAATAAAAGGTGGTCAAACTGTATAAGAAACGAGACGCTCAATAAACATGATGTAGTTATGGATAATCATTATTGAAACAGAAATCAGTCCGACGGGGAAAGCTATATTAACATTGATGCTACGGAAGAGCCTGCCGTCAGAAATTTTTTTCTCTTCAAAAACGGAGACTACTGTTTGGGTTTATCAAGGGAATAATTGGACCAAGAGCGGAATGTGTTTAGGTATTAAGTTCTGTAAAAGTGCTACATACCTAGATAGATTATACTAAAAGACCGTCTGAAATACAATTCTACCTTAGCTCCCAGAATGAGATACATGAAAATAGAATGTTTCCCTTCGTTAGCAAAGTATTTTGCTCAATATCCTTATTACGATTACTATGTTTGGAACAATTGGAACAAAGGAATACAAAACTCATTATTTTTTTAAAATATTTTTTCTTAATTTTTTTATTTTATTTTTCGACAACTAAAAAAACAAAATCCCAAATTCTCTTTCACTTAAACCATATTAACTTAAACCACTCCTCGGCTACAAAGAACTTTCAAAAGACGCCAATCGTTCCTGTTTTTTAGTTCTGTTTTCTGTGTAATGTTGATTTTGCCCACACCTTCCTTACCACCAAAATGGAAGTTTACCACACTTAGTAGTATCTCCCCAAGACCAAACTGCAGAAAACAGCAGAATGGTTTTTTCAGATCTTGGACGGCGTCTTAATGCCGCTTTAGGAGAGCTCTCCAAGTCAGATGTTGTTAACGATGAGGTAAGTTGATTTTAAAGTCCAATCGCCCAGAATTATAACAAATATAGGTCGTCGATGGCGTTCTCAAGTCCATCTGTAAAGCGCTTCTGGAAAGTGATGTGAATGTTCGTCTTGTTCAAGAACTGAGAGGAAATATAAAAAAACGTATAAACGTGAAATCACTGCCGGCCGGCCCGAATGGAAAAAGAGTCGTTCAAAAGGCTGTCTTCGACGAGCTTTGCGATCTTTTGGATCCGAAAACCCAGGCCTTTACCCCTAAAAAAGGACGTCCAAATGTTATTATGTTTGTTGGTTTACAAGGTAGCGGTAAAACAACAACATGTACGAAGCTTGCCTTATACTATCAACGTCGTGGCTTCAAATCATGCCTGGTTGCAGCCGATACATTTCGTGCCGGTGCTTTTGACCAATTAAAACAGAATGCACTAAAGGCACGAATTCCCTTTTATGGTAGCTACACTGAGGCAGATCCTGTGGTTGTCGCACAGACAGGTGTAGACAAATTCAAAAAGGAACGATTTGACATTATTATTGTGGATACCTCCGGTAGACATCAACAAGAGAAAGAGCTTTTTAACGAAATGATAGAAATTTCTGAGGCTGTTCGACCAAATCAAACTATCATGGTTCTTGATGCAAGTATCGGTCAGGCCGCCGAGTCTCAAAGTCGGGCGTTCAAGGAAAGTGCTAATTTTGGAGCCGTCATCGTCACAAAACTTGACGGCCACGCAAAGGGCGGTGGTGCTTTGTCTGCGGTTGCTGCTACAAAAACACCCATTATCTTCATTGGTACAGGAGAACACATCAATGACTTGGAGCGGTTTTCACCGCGCTCCTTTATTTCAAAGTTGCTCGGAATGGGTGACATAGAGGGTCTGCTAGAACATGTTCAATCATTGGGCCTGGATAAGCAACAAAACATGGTCAAAAATCTAGAGCAAGGAAAGTTCACCGTGCGCGATTTCCGTGACCAGCTTTCCAACATCATGAAGCTTGGTCCTCTTAGCAAGATGGCCAGTATGATTCCTGGTATGGGAGATATGATGAACGGCATGGATGATGCTGAAGGCTCTATGCGTATGAAGCGCATGCTGTTTATTGTTGATTCTATGACAGAGCAAGAATTGAATTCAGACGGCCTTATTTTCAAAGAACAGCCAACGCGTATAATGCGAGTAGCTCGTGGCAGCGGAACAAGCGTTCTGGAAGTTGAGGAGACACTTTCTCAAGTTCGCGTTTTCGCTCAAATGGCTAAAAAAATGGGAGGCAAGGATGGTATCCTCAACCAAATGGGTGGTGCTGGTGGTCTCAAGAAGGACCCTAAGCAGATTGCTGCCATGCAAAAACGACTCCAATCGATGGGTGGATTACCCGGAATGGGTGGTGGTATGCCGAATTTGGGTGATATATCGAAGATGGCCAGTGGACTCAACATGGGCGACCTTTCTAAAATGGCAAATATGTTCATGGGCGGCGCTAATAATGGAGGAGGTCCTGGAGGTTTGGACTTTGGTGCTATGATGAACCAATTTGGAAACATGCGAGGAATGCCTGCTGCTAGAGGGGGACGTCGTAGAAGATAAGCACCTGGATATTTCGGACTAAACTTATCCCAGCAATTTTTAGTTACCAACTGTCATTTCCTCTGCCATCTCCGTTTCTATAACTACCCTTTACATCTTTTCCGGTTGTTAATTTAACCCTGTTTATGACCAATTTCTTACTACTAGAAGCTACTAGGCTTGGAATTACGGCTTTCTTATATGTTGTTATGTAAGAATTCTTTGGTTTAATAGTTATTCATTCTAATTAATTGTAAATTAACAAACCTTTTCCAATTGTGTTTTCCAGGTGTAAAATGTCCGACCCGTACTATTGCGGCATACCTACTCATTTCAACAATTAAAAAACCTCTTTTCACGAAAAGAATGGCTGAATATAATGAAGATACGTTTTCTTTTGAAACACTAAGAAACAACGTATCAAATTTCTGTCTTTTTTTTAATAAATATACTCAAGACCAAAGACAAAAGCTATTAGATGATAAAAATGAACATCTGAAACAATGCTCAGAACTATGGGGTATAAGTATGACAATTGGAACGCGGGGCTAACAATTTATACGTAGAAAAACAAAAGAAAACGGAAAAGGAACTTGAAAGAGCACAATTGCGTGAAAAGGAAGTAATGGATAATATCGAGAAAGAAAAACTAGAACAACTGACTATAACGCAAGAAATACAACGTTATACCGAGATATTAGAAGATATGAACCGGAGAAAAGCACTTTTAGCAGAAGAAATTGAACGGCAACAGTCGGTTTTGACCGCAAAACGAGAATTGAAAGCAAAAGAGGAACACCATTTCATGAAACAGAAAAGTTTAGACAATCCAGAATTGCAATTCTGGGAAAAATATCTGGGAATGAGAATTGAAGGTGTTCGCGAGGATGAACTTCGAATTGTGTTTGTTAACATCGACGATAAAAATTGGAAGAAGCGGTTTTCCTTTCATATCAACTTCATGGAAAAGCTATACGAAGGTAGGCTTGTGCAGTCATGAATGCCTTAATCTTATTAACTGAATCCACAGTTACAAAGTGTAATCCTCCATTATCAAATTTGGAAGAACTTGTTGAGCGGCTCAACAAAACAAGAAACTTTTTCCGCTTTTTGAAAGAAATTCGGATGTCGTTTTATATTTATGCTCACTCAAATAGCTAAGGGATGTGGTTTGGATGATGATTACCAAATTTTTCAAGGTTCTCGTTTTACATCAATCATGCTCGTATCTTCCTCGGTATCTGAAACAACATGCACTGTTTCTTCTTCGTTCTTTTGTGCAATTTGTTTGTTATACTCCATCGCTTCAGCAAACTTGTTTAACATGTTGCTACTGGATGTATCCAGAAGAATGCCATGCTATTTAAAGTTAGTGATACTATGCAATAGACCGTAATTCTTACCTGCTCAAACGTTTCAAGTTTTGAAATGGTATGTGCATAACTTTGCGATGGTAACGTTCTTGGAATTTTCAGTTTTCCAAGTAAAGATATCAATAGCTTTTTATCTTTTGCTGGTGCTATGTTAGTCATTTGTCTTGAACATAATTTTTCAAAACATACACTCATCGTCCTCGAGTTCTACAAGTGCATCAATAATGTTGTCCGCAATATGCAAGTGTAGATCTTGATTTTCGAGTTTGAGATTATCATGAAGCATGTAAAGTTTTTCAAAATCAATCCAGTCAAGTATCTGCTGAGCAATATTAAGAGGTGTTAATACTCGATCATCGTCATCCAGACTATCATAAATTTCCATCAAATGTAGTAGTGTATCACAAAACACCTAGACAACATGTTAGAAGTTGTGTATGTAAATACACATCGACTTACGTTTCCAATTCTACGCTGATTTTCATAAGAACCAAATGCATATACAGGGAAAAAGTATCCGAGAACTTGGCGTAAACGCTGATTCTCAAATGTGTTTGGTTCAAAGTATTGAATGATCAGTGGTTTTATGAACTGTAACTGTTAGAAATAAAACCGTATAGCACTTCTTAAATCTTACCAAATCGTCATGAAAATGTACAATCATAAGAAACTTTGATATAGCTTCGGCGGCATTCGCCTGTAGTTCTTGATTTTCAAGGTCACTTAAAGCAGTAAGATACATATCAGAGATTTCTTGTTCATGGTCCTCGGCAATGCTGGGGCCAAACATTAAAATAATGTCACAAATGACGTGGATGGAAATGAGTTGTAAACTAGTGTCGCCATTTGTGAAACAATGAAGATACAGTGTAATGTTTTCTTTGGCCAATTCACGATGGAGTAAACAACTTAGACCAAGACACTTAAGACCTTTTTCACGAATTGGTGCGTCGTGACTACGCACGGAGGGAATAATGATAGACTGAAGTATCGTGGGTAGAAAATGATTTTTGTTGAAGTCTGAAGTGATGTTCTCAAACATGAACTGAATGTATGTTAAACAGTGTAACTCAGAAAAAGCTGCTTTTATATCCTTTTCGTTAAGTTGTGTTGCCAATTTTTCCTCTGCGTTAGCAGCAGGAACTTCTGGGATAACGTCTGGCGATTGTGTTTCCGCAGCAGACAATGATGAGCGAGCATCAGAGTCAGTATCTAATTCAGAGGGTGAGGACTTGTTGGGCTCAACTTGTTCTTGTTGCGGTGTCTCGTGTCCTTGTTCGTACACGTCCGTAATAACTTCCATCATGAGGGAGCAGAAATCCAACTCGCTCGTGCACAGCTTGACCATAAGCTCAATTTGAAGTTTAACAATTTGATCAGGAAGCTCAAGCGTTGTGAGACTGTTTGAAAGGCAACCAAGCAATTTTCTTCGTCCAATCTCATCACCTAAATTCATGTTGTTGCATATATGAAGAAGCTGTTGGATAACAAAGCAAACTTCCTCATAAACAGTTTCATTGCGCATCCGTACATACTGCTGTTCTAGGAAGAAAGTCAGTTGAACAAGATCGGGAATGCGCTCATTCAATTCCGTAAGATTTTGTTGGACGCAGATGCTGTTGAAAACCCTTGCCAAAATAGATGATTCCGCTGTCAGTTCTTTCCAGAAAGACTCTTCAAACTGGAGATCTTTAAAAATCTCAGGACGTAATTTAAAAAAGTTTTCTAGTACAAGAACCGCTATTTCCTCGTTGTTAACAACATCAAGTCTTTCCAAGAGTTCCAAGAGGTTGTTATTAGCGTTAGATATCCAGCTTGTTGATAGCATTTGTGCTGCGGCTAATTGTACAGTTTCATCACGATCTTTTAGACCCCATTTAAGAATACGTATACGTTTTCGAATGTTCAAGTAACGGAAATCGCCAATCTTTGGCAGTACTTTGGCATAAACGATCCGACGGTTCTTTGGGTCCACATCACGGGCACGTTCTAAAATGAACGGAAGAGTTTTGTTGCTCACTTCAACATTCAGTAACACAGCTCGACGAACATCTACACTAGGATCACTTTGTAAAAGAAATAGAAGGGTATCACGGACTTCGTTTTCATCCGTTTCATCTTGATCCTGTAAACGAGAGAGTGCAATTGCAGCCTCAACTCGCACGGTAGACTCTTTATCACGAACACGAAGTAGTAGCTTAGAGCGCAGTGTACCATATAATTCGTCACTAAATATGTTAGTAAATGCTATACTTAGTTTCTGACTTACTCAATTTCTCGTAACATATTAGTGACTCTGGCTATTGCTTGACAGCATCTGTAGCGAACGACCTTGTCTTTCGCATCAACCCCTTTCAACAAATGCTTTAAAATCGGTTGTGCCAAGTCATAGTCTGGTATTTTTTGTTGCAAATAATTAATAAATGTAATAATAAATCGCAGAACCCTTTCTGCATTAGGGTTTCCGCGTTTTATGCGAATAAGAGCATTCAGACAACCAAGAAGATCCGGTAAAAAATCGTTCTCGTCTTTTAAAAGGAATAACCTGTTACATAGCTTGCGATGACTAGCGATACTTTTTTGACTAGCAGAAACCACTGCACTTACCGACATCTGACTCGACAAGTTTTCTTAAGAGATGCCAGTGACTAGTTGTAGCCCGTTTCCCTCTTTTCGTACAGTTTCTTCTGCTTTTTTACGCGCAATGGTAAAGCTACAGGTGAAGTTGGCTTCTTAGGTGTTCAAAACAAAATTCGAGCGAACAAAACACAGGAAACTTAAAAATGTATTCATAGACTAAACATGATTATCATTGCTACAACACATAAACTAAAAAGCAGAAAAATGAATGTTGTTTTTAGGGTAGAATTTCACCTTCGTTCACCGGACTAATGGTAAGCCTACGAAGTTTGTCCGTAGCAGACTGAAAGGAAGATGCTTGAGCGGAGTCGTTTTCTTTTTTATGCACCTCGGCCATCTCTTCAACTTTTTTCCACATTGTAGCTCTATTAGTTTCTTCGAGTGCGCGCTCTCTACGGAGCTCAACATACTCAGAATCAATTTCGTCAAATAGAACTGGGTTGATATCCATGAATAACTTCAGCACATTTCGAACCATGAGATGGATGACGCTGCGGCGTTAGAATGAATTAAGAGAAATAGGATTCGCGACTCTGTGTGAAACTTACCGATTCCAATGCGTCTTTGATATTTCGTAAAGAGGTGGGTACATTATGGGTAGAATAACTTCAACATTTTCTTCAACCAAATGCACAAAATAGTCGTTATTAAACAAGTACAAGGCTCTCTCGGCAACCTGAAAATTTTGGCTCGAGATCGAGTTAGCCAGTTTTTGAAGCAACGGAATCTGGAGCTTTACGAATTCAGAAGGCTCCATCACTTCGATTAGATCTTCAATTTCGTTCAAAAATAGAACTTCTTTAGAGCTGTTTACTTTTGGCCAGTAACGTAAAAGACCATAGATCACCTATACTGCATTAGTATGGAATGTAAGGACAATAACGTAGGAAAAATTGCTTCTTCCCAGCGTACCAAACTTACATCACATGTTAGAGAGGGGTCCTTTTCCACAAATTGAACGACACCATATACAATTTGTGGATAGAAAAGTGGTAGAGAGCGTGCCTTGTGTAAGGGCAAGAGAACACGAATTAGAAATAGCTTGTGTTCATCCTTCAAGGGCAAAGCAAAGCCATTAATGATACTTCCGAGAATTTCCAACAACTCGGCAATACCATTAAAGCGTTCTTCTTCATATATATAGCGAAGAAAAATATTGTTTATAGAGCGGCGAACAAATGCTCTTAGAGACAGAAACTTTCCATATATCCGATGAAGAATTGTCTTCAGGAAATCTCGTTCACGAGGATCTTCACTATCAAACAACTCTAGAAGTTTGAGAATAAACTTCTGATTAATGAAGGCCTTGGCCACGGACGTATTTAAGTTTGGAGATTCGAAGAACCGAAGGAAAAAATCATAGACAAGATGCAGATGCGGCCAAGCAACTTCGAGCGCTAGCTCATCTTCCTCCACCTCGACTGCATCATTGTCATTTATTATCGAAGGTGGAGGTAGTGGACGAAAGACATTAATACTGAACATATGAACAATGTTGGGATAAATGTATTCGTCAAAAGCCTCCTTTCGGATAGAAACAAGATCAATCAAATCTTGAAGAGCTTCACGTTTTACCTCTTTGCCATATAAATCACTAGAAGGATCATTGAAGTCAAAGATCACACAACACTGATCAAGTTTTTCAATGATCAACGAGTGCCATTTGTTAGGGGGGACGTCTAACATATGAATTAGCTGTAATCCTTCAAAGATAACTATATCCATGAACAAAACAAATACCTGCAAAAGTAGGAAGACGCACTAGATCACATTCTTGTGAAACATGCATAAAAGAAGACCTCTGCTTTCGTATAGGTCGAGACCCTTCCAAAGAGACTTCGTCTCTTGGAAGCTTTATTGTGTCCACGGGCACTGTTTTTGATGAACCTTTCGGGACATCAAGAAATTCTTCATTAGCATGAGGTGGTGCTGTTGGACAAGAGTTCCGGTACTGAAATACGTGTCAGTAAATCATGTTCAATAACAAAGTAACTCTTACTATAGAAGCAAATTCTGTGTCCGGAGGAGGACTATGCTCGTCCATTTGATGAATGCCGGTCTGTCCCTCAGCTGACTGGCTTCGGAATGACTGATATACAAATCCATCAGTCTAACTGTCCCATAATTTTCACTTACCATTACAACCGGCGTAAAGCGTTAGGAGCTGTAACAACAATCTCACAAAAAAAACTTCCAAAAATAAGCCTCGTTTAAATATAGTCCAAAACCCAAAAGTGTCCCCAAGAATTGCACGAAAAAGGGCCTAATTGTCTGTATTCTTTAGGAAAATGAAGAAAAACCGAAGAAGAAACGAAACAATTTGGTTTTGCTGTATAATGTGTGAATGGTTGTAGTGGCCCTTGGCATAGGTTAGTCCAGGGACATCTCTTCCTTAAACAGTATTAACTGTCCAGACGTAAAACACATACCAGACACTCTAAAGGAGTTGTCCTAATCGATGGAAGCTGTTTATTAGATAGAAGCAGGTGTTTGTCTTAAAACTTTTAGCGGAACTGCATTCTTTGCATCTTTTTTCGTCTAAAACATTTCAGTCTAAAACTCCCTTGGACGTTAACAAAAGCAGTTTTCGAGCTTTGTGGAGCGCTGAACGTAATTGAATCTTCCAGTTAAAGCTTTATATTCACTGGATTATCTTAACGTGCTGTTGCAAGTTTAGTCTTTCTACTTCGTATTCGGTACCAGGATTCAAACAAATTACATTCATTCTCTCGATTTCCCTTCGGCAACTTCTATCATTTTGATTCAACAACACTATCTCTCTAGAGCTTTCGTTGCCTTCCTGGATGAATCTATGTTTTCAATCCATTCAAGCACCTGCTATACAGACTGCTGTTTGTTGTAAATTTATTCCAAATGAGAACGTTATAATCGTATCTCGTCGCCTTCAGCTTTTTGTCTATACCCTCAGTAAAAACAATGAGCTCTGTGAGCGTGCCACAATACCTCTGCATGCAAACGCACTCCATCTACTTGCTTATCGTCCACTAGACCTTGAGCAAGACTATTTGCTTATAGTAACTCAAGATGGCTACTACTTTTCTGTGTACTGGGACGATAATTTTGGAAAGGTTGCTCTCGACAGCCCGCTTCAGATGTGCACTACACAACCCAGCTACCCAAATACATCCTGGAGAAGCTTTTGCTTAGTAAATCAAGAGGCTCAACTGGTACTTATTAGGACATCAGAAATGAAGGTCTTGTGCCTGTCTATTTTTTCAGAGGAACAACGGAAACAACAGGGTTTCTCCATCGGAGACGGTGCTGAATTGTTACTTCCCGGATATCTCGTTATGGACATGTGTTTTCTGCAACACGGGAATCCTCCGCAGGTTGCCGTTCTTTCACAAACTGTCGACTCAACAAAGGTGACGGTACATAAGCTGAATTTGCAGTCGGATTCGTTTGATTCTGGCTCTGTAGTCTTAAAAAATTCACTTTACTACAAACTAATGGCAGTTGGAAAGAAGGGACTAATTGCACTGGGAGAGGACAACATTTCCTATTTCAATCGTGGTACTGTTATTTCCATCCGTGCACCGTCGGTACGGTTTTCCCATTATTGTGCGCTGCGTGGTTTAAAAAGACAATTTGTTCTTGTTAGTGCGGAAGGTAACGTGTATACGCTTTCGTGTAACCCTTTATTCCACAAATTGTATACATTGATGGTGGAAGAACTTCCGTTTTCACCAGTTTTCAATGTATCTTCAGTTATGGCTATTGATGAAGAAAGGCTTTTCGCTTCTAATATCAATGGATCCATACACATTCTTTCATTACCGTCATACACTGTCTCGGAAATAACGGCAGGACACGGTGCTATACATGATATGCAGTTTTTCGAGAGTGGCAGTGGAAACACTCTGCTTTTATGTGCAGGTTCACTTAATTCTGGTTCTCTAATTTACTTATGTAATTCGCTTAGTGCGGAACCTATCTCATTATTCGATTTGTCTGGAGTCTTGCACGTTTGGCCTGTGCACTTTCAATCAGTTCTAAAACTCTTTGTTGGTATGGCTAATGAAACAAAAGTGTTCACAATGGTCAGTCTGTACGAAGCTGAATTTGATCCTGAATTAAGTTTAGATGAAAGTACATTGGCACTATCAGCTTGTGAAAATGGCTACGTCCAGATCACAAATAAGTCACTTCGTTATTGCACTGAAACATCAAAGGATGCTATCCCGTTAGAAGGCATTACAAGTGTAAGTTCTTTGGGGGCTTACGCGGCTATTGTGATTGATAATACATCACTTGTAATTTACAATATGACAAAGGAAATTGCACGAACCACGTTTTCAAAAGAAGTATCTGCAGTTGATTTTGCTAGTCCACTACGAATTGTAGTTGGATTTTGGAACAAAACCATGGAGATGTTGGCAATTAGGGACAACTCTTTTATATGTGTCCTTCGAAAAAGTCTAAACTTTATACCCCGTGATGTTTTACTACAATTCAGCAATGACGATCGTTTACACCTTTTTATGGGTTCCGATGAGGGAAATCTCTGTGTCGCTACAGTAGAAAAATCCCTTATTACAAACATGGATTACCGTGTATTGGGCTCAACGCCCATTCACTTCACTCGACTTCTTATATCGACAGGAGCATATGTCATTTGTACAAATGACAAGCCGCATATGGTATATGGACTTCATGGGAAGCTGGCTTTTATGCCACTTAATGTTCCTTCATCAATAGATCTCAATGCTTTTCTTGATGAGAAGTTGAGGTTTTGCCTTGTAAGCGCACATAGTGAAGGAGTCTCTATTTTACATCTCGACAATCAGCCAAAACTTTCAGTTACTCGGCTGAAAACAAAACTATTACCTCAAAAGGCTGCTATAATAGATCAAACAGTTTTGTTTTCTGGTTTGAAACAACAGCCTAATGGTCTTGGAGAATTATCCGCTCAGTATTCACTTGTTTGCTCGAAAGTTTATGACCAATTTGAGTTGTGCTCTTTCAAACTGGATGAATTTGAGGAGTGCACATCTGTGATTGCCAGCTCATCCTCGCTATTTGTGGTGACGACTGCGAAAAAGTATCCTTATAATTATTTCTCCGTCAGTGGAAGACTATTGGTAATTAAAGCAAGTTCGGAAAATCGCGAGCTAGACGTTCAAAGCACGTATAGCCATTCGTCTGGGTTTGCTTCTTGCGTGGAGTATGGAAAATGTCTGTTCGCAGCTTCCGATGACTGTATTTTGACATTTGTTTTGGACGCTACTGAAGTTCGTTTGATTGGCACCACACACTGTGTAACAGTTCTAATTCAGTTACTTGTTGACGAAGACCGGTTAATCACTGTGGACGCTTTTGGGGCCTTAACAGTTTACCAAATCTCTGACTCTCAGTTGGTTTGGTTAGCAAACATACAGTCAAAGCCCGAATGGGCTTATCATGCGTGTGTCATGCGGCCCTTCCAGTACCTGACTTTCGCGATTGACGGAAGTGTACATCAAATTCAGTTGTTAAACGACAACAATGATGCTTCTCCGACAGGCTTCCGTCTAGAGTCGACTTGTTCATTGAAACTACATGACAGGGTGTTATGTGCTAGTGCCGGGTCTCTAACTACTGTGAAAAAAGATGCTCCTCTTTCACCACAAATAACGTTCGGCACAGAATTAGGTGCCGTTGGCAGCGTTCTGCAGTTCGATGAGAAAAAGGAGGAATACATAGCGCTTCAAAAAGCAATTTGGCACCAGCGATTGAATTATGTTGGCAAGTATGAACTTCCAATTGAGAGCGATCACTCAAAAGTTGCTAGCTGTTTTGTAGACGCAAGTCTTTTTCAGCTTGCGAAAAACTGGACACAAGAACAGCTGTACCGTCTCGTCCGGGACATGGATGGTTTAGAGTCTCTGAATTCACAAGAAAAAATAAATCGAGTCCTAAATGAACTGGATGTCGTTTCAAAAGTTGATTTATCCAGTGTAGCATAGGACTTTGTCTTTGGGAATGGTTTATGATTTTAGGATCGTTTAGATGTGTTAATAAATCTTTTATTTTGTTGTATATGTCTCTACAATATGAATGACTGCAGTAACTATCATAATAACTAAGAATGATGGCTTCACTTCCTATATTAACATGCTGGTCCTACACGGAACTAGCGGAGATGAGGCGATTCCATCAGTGTCGTGTCCTTAGGAGGATGCGATTTTTATTGCAGCATCACCCTAGTGTTCCGCGTATACCTCCCCTTATCAATTCTTTAAAATAAGCAGCTTTATTTCACGTTCGTTATTGTTATGAGCAGCCCTAAAGTTTTTCAAAAAGTCGACGAGTTTCGTAACTGGCGAAACGAGTTGTATAAACATGGAAAAGTCATTGGATTTGTTCCTACGATGGGAGCGTTGCACGATGGCCACATGTCGCTCATTGAGCAGGCTATGAAAGACTCTGATGTCGTTGTTGTTAGTATTTTTGTGAACCCTTCTCAGTTTGGACCGACTGAGGATTTAGACAAGTATCCTCGTACTCTTGATTCCGACTTAGAGAAAATTCGTGAGCTCCAAAAACGCACGAATCGCGCAGTAGATGCAGTGTTGTGTCCCACCGTAACGGAGATGTATCCTTCCGGATACAATCCTGCTTCTACTACACACACGGGAGCATTCGTAACGGTTAAAGGATTTTCGCATCAGCTTGAAGGACAATTCCGTCCTACATTCTTCCGCGGTGTCGCAACTGTTGTTACAAAATTGCTCCACATCGTGCATCCAGCCAAGTTGTATCTTGGCCAGAAGGATTTCCAACAAACGGTTGTCCTTCGTCGCATGGTTAAAGACTTATTGATGGACACTCAAGTAATCATCTGCCCTATCGTCCGCGAACAAGATGGTTTGGCATTGAGTAGTCGTAATGTCTATTTGAGCGAGAAGGAACGTACAGAGGCCACTGCTTTGTACCGTTCACTCACTTCGGCCAAGGCTCTTGTTAAACCTGGAACCAAAAGGGCAACCATAATTCAGCATGTAGAGGACTTTTTGAAGAAGGAGCTTCCTGCATGTACTATTGATTATGTTTCCGTTGCCAATATCGACAATTTGCATGAGTTGGACGCTTATCAAGAGCCTGGAAAGTATGTACTCAATGCCGTCATTCGTTTGGGAACAACTCGTTTGTTGGACAACATCATACTCTAGATTACTGAAAACCGGTCAGCGTGCTTCATTATCGTTTTGATAGTGAGTTCTTGGGATAACTGCTCAGCATCGCATCGTAGTTTAACTTTTTGATACCTAATGAAAAAACATTATGATTAAGTCTAGACAACAATAGTACAAGTAATATTTCTACAAGCTGTACAAACTTTCACAGGGGAGGTGCCTTATTGAATCTTACTAGCCTGCCCTTTCGATAGAAAATAGTACAATTTGAGAAAAAAAGGAGAGGAAGAGAAACGTTTCGTCTTACTGCTTTTCCTTTTTACCGTAAAGCTTGTTAACAGCTTACACAACAGTCGTTTCAAACGTATCCTTGCGAACCTTATTTTCTTCTACTGTTCATGTCATCTTCTACCAACACTTGTTCAATAAAACCTCAGCTCAGGACACCCTAGAAAATGGATTTTGAGCAACAAAACACAGAAGAGTTTGATATCGTTAAGGTATACAATCGGTTTCTGCATGATGATCCCGAAATTACTATGCCTGTTGCTGCTATTGAAGCTCTTGTCCAGCTTTTGTCCAGAAGTCAAGGTAAGGAATGACTTTTGAGCTCATTTTAGTAACATTACGAAGCAAATACGATCTCTGAGTTTATGGATATATTGAAAAATGGATCGAACGCATTAAAAGAAGGTGTCGAGAATAGTATTTCACTTTCTGCAGGTTGCGATCTTTTCCAGCGTTTTGTTACTCGTTCTTTGCACGACGTCGGGGTATGTAGCGTTAAAATACTGTTTGGTTTTTGAACATCTAAGCTAATCTGGCTTCAGGATTTTGAACAATGCAAGAGACATCTCATGGAAAATGGCAAGTTATTTATTCAACGTGCTCGCGCTTGCAGACAAACAATTGCAGAACTCGGATACCCTTTAATAAGAGATGACAGCGTGATCCTTACACACGGATTTTCCCGTAGTGTTGCTGCTGTTTTGTTTGCTGCTGCTAAACGCCATGTTCGTTTCAAGGTTTATGTCACCGAATCTCGTCCTAGCGGCTCTGGTTGCATTATGGCGGCGACCCTAAATGAAGCTGGAATCCCGTCTTGCCTTGTTCTCGATTCTGCCGTTAGTTTTACCTTGAACAAAGTTGACCTTGTTTTAGTGGGTGCTGAAGGTGTCGTTGAAAACGGTGGTTTGATTAATCAAATTGGTACCTTCCAGCTCGCTTTGTTTGCTAAGCATGCTCATAAACCCTTTTATGCTGTTGCTGAAAGGTATGATGAATGACCCATCACTGGATGAACGAGCAGGTGCTTGCACCTTTCGTTCATTACTGGTGTATGCTGCGAAGATTGATTTCTAACTCAATTTAGTCACAAGTTTGTGCGTATGTTCCCTCTGTCTCAGTACGATCTTCCTTTCAATAGACCAATTTTGGAGTTTGATGATCCTTCACCTAGAAAGTCCTTGGAGAAGCTTACTGTTAAGCCAACACCTTCCAATGTTATTCAAAATGATATTATTATGTCAGAGGATCAAATTCGGAACAATCCTTCTCTGGACGTAACACCGCCGGAATTCATTTCTGGTCTTATTACCGATCTTGGTATTATTGATTCTAAGAGCGGTGTTTCTGAAGAGTTGATTAAACTCTATCTTTAGACTCAAAAATTCAGCACATTGAATCTCGGAAGAAGCAGCTCTCCCTTGTTTCATGGCGCCTATTTTGAATAAAAAAAAGCTTACATCTCGTATTTAACAGACGAATAATGAAAACGTATATTGGAGATGTAGTTCAAGTTCCATTTAAACTTAATCTATTCGTACAGAGTTGAAGTAACTATTGTTATTACACAAAGGAACTATGAAACAAAATCATTTTACTGTAGTAACTCGGAAGGTGTCTGGTTTGCTTTTTCTATCAGGTTAAGTTCTATTAGTAACTACTATTTGATTACCAGCTTTCTCTGTTAGCTACCAAATTTTTACCATCTGTCTTCTTTTAAAGGAAGAACGACAGGAAAACTGACAGTAAAGTGAATATTTTTCCACTGATCAATCACAGCTTTATTAATCGTTGGAAAAAAGGCTTGATTTGGGAAAATTTATACATTTCATCACAGGTTATGCAAAATGTCGTTCAAAAAGCATACCTCTACGAAGAGACCAAATATTGAGCTACCGAGGGGATTCAGAACGTCTCCTTTGAGCTCTCAAACCATCACCAGTAGTGGTAGCGAGTCTTTGGATTATTATTTATTAGGAGGAATTCCATCCAAAAGTTTAATTGTGATTGAGGAGCAGGGAACAACTGACTACGCTTCTGTCTTTCTTAAAACATATGCAGCAGAAGGTTTGTTGCAAGGACATGCTGTTTGGCTAGGTCCGAATATTGGTCCAGCTTGGTTTCGCACATTGCCAGATCAACATTCAAAGCCTTCACGCACTGTGAAACACCCGGACAATCAGTCTCCACGTACAACAGACAGCATGAAAATTGCTTGGAGATACCAGTCCTTAAAAAAGGCAGAAAAGAAATTTGTGGAAAATGTTCCTGATGGTTTCACGCATTCATTCAGCTTTACCAAGCATCTCCCACTTTCTACGGAAATGAAGTTTGCTGCTTCTCGGTTGCCTTTCGAGTCTGGAAGTAATCCGTATGCAGTTGTACTACAAGACTTGTCACAGTTTTTGTCACAACTTCCCTCCGGAAGTGTATGCAGACTCGTCTTACCATCGCTGCTCTCTCCGGCGTTCTATCCAATTCATGCTTCCAAACCGATGCACTTTGTTCGTTTCATTCACAGTTTGCTGGCACTTATCAAATGTACTACTAGTATTCATCTTACTTGCATGTGTTCAGTCCCTATCACTTTATTCTCCCGGGATTGTGAACAGACCTTTTGGCTGGAAAACCTGGCATCGTGCGCTATATCGCTTCATCCTTTTGAAGTTAAACAAGAACATGAACGGGATCCAACTGACAAAACGCAGGGTCTACTTAAAATACATAAATTGCCTTTACCTCTTCCTTTCACAGAGAAACCAAATACAGATGAGGCTGGGGATTTAGCATTTACCATGTCGAAACGGCATATCACTATTGAACCCTGGGTTTTGCCGCCAATTGTGGACAATCAAGAGCAAAAAAAGACAAACAAAAACATTGATTTTTAAACACGGTCATTTGCTATGCCGGATGTAGGAATTTTTGGAATCTACGATCGGATTTTACTTCCTTTAGAAATTCGTCTCTTGTATATCATACATGGCGATTATAGAAAGAATACAGTAGACATAGCAGGTTTACCCAATTAATGGACTAACTACTTAAATTTCTGTGTAATCGTATTTTAGTATCTAAATATTTTAATAACTCTCTAAGAACAGCTTGTTGCTTGAGTATTATCCTCAATTAAACATTATTGACCTATTATTATAGTAGTATTTTGTTAATTTAAGTAACTTCATCCCACATCCACACCTTTGAAACTGGACGTTTACCAATACCTGGTTTTCAGTCTTAGGCAATTATTTGACGATTTTTGCCCTTCTTTTGACCGTTAATTAACAGAAACTCATTAGGCCGTCTGTTATTTGCGATTTTGCTGAAGATTCAACGTCGATTGACTTGTTGTTAACAAATTTTATCATTTTTGGAAATTGCTTGTCTTTTCGGTCACCCAAAGTAATTATCAGCCAAGAAGGGCGTAAAAGACTTGATATAATATAACAAGCTTTGTGCTCGTCAGTATAATAAATCTTCTGATTAATTTTTTTCTAAGATGAAGAAAAACTACGGAATTTTCCTGGATGCTGGTTCCAGTGGTACTAGATTACAAGTTTACGTATGGGATTCAGCAGGCTCTTCACAATTGGAAGTTCTTCCAGCAGAGCTTCCTCAAATTGCCATGGGTTCTACAGATGGAAAAGAATGGACAACCAAAACGAATCCAGGAATTGCAAGTTTCTCATCCAAGCCTACCTCTGTTGGTAAGGATCACTTGAAGAAATTACTAGACTTCGCTGCAAAGGTAATTCCAGAATCCGAGTATCAAGATACGCCTGTATTTCTGAGTGCTACTGCCGGAATGCGTTTGTTGCCGAAGAAGCAACAGGAAATCATACTTTCAAATGCGTGTAGTTACATTCAAGACAATTACAACTTCAAACTTGATGATTGTGATAGCATGATTCGTGTTATCGATGGCAAAACTGAAGGATTGTATGGTTGGCTCGCTGTAAATTACCTCCTTGGACACTTGGATCCAAAATCCAATCAGACAGTTGGCTTTCTCGATATGGGAGGTGCAAGCGCCCAAGTCGCATTTGAAGCGCCCGTTGAAAAATACAGCAATTATTCGGATGTACTTTCGCACATTCAGCTTGGCCTTTTAAATGGCGGACATTTAGATTATGATGTGTTCCTTACAACTTGGCTTGGTTTTGGCGCGAATGAAGCCAGAAGAAGATATTACGAGCAATTACTTTCCTCGGCGAGAGATAAAAGTGAAACACTTTCGGACCCATGTTCACACAAGAATCACCACTTCAGTATGAATGGTGCCTCATTCGTTGGAACAGGCGATATTCAAAAATGTGTGTCACAAATGAATCCTTTGCTCCAAAAAACTCTTCCTTGCAATCGTGATCCCTGTTTGTTTGGCGGTGTCCATGTTCCACCGATTGACTTCAACTCTACAGAGTTCATTGGTGTGTCTGAGTTTTGGCATAATACTCATGATGTTTTCGATATGGGCGGTAAGTATCATTTTCCTTCTTATTACGAGAAAGTTGCGGATTTCTGCTCTCAGGACTGGGACTCTGTTTTGCAACAGTATAAGGAAGGTAATTTTGCAAAGGCAATGAGTGAAGGCAAACTGAAGAAACTCTGTTTCAAGGCGACTTGGGTTATGAGTGTTTTACATGAAGGATTTGGAGTTCCGAAAAGCAATTCAACCATTCAAGGCCATGATAATTTGGAAGACGGTTTGAATGTAATTCCTTCTTTTCATTCTTCTTTCAGCAGCGTCAACAAAATAGAAGGTTCTGAGGTTTCATGGACATTGGGACAGGTTTTATTGTACGCATCTAACGATGTTTCACGGAAGGGCTTTGCTACACTCGTACCGGTCCGCCCATCCAGTAATGAGCTGGTATTTTCTATATTCTGGAAAGCGGCATTGGTACTCTTGGGTGTCTCTTCGTTGCTTCTTCTTATTTTCAGCAGAAAACAGAGACATAAACTTCGTTCCATGGTAAGACGTTTTCAGGATAAGAAATATCGCACTGTTATGACAGCTACTGGTGCATATGAAGAGGTTTACGAGCCAGCTAAAGATGATGTTGAACTCGGTCCTGTGTTACCCAGAAGCAAATCTACCTCTAATTTTACGACCATCATTAATTCATCGGGTGTGCTCTCTCGTACTGTAAGTCGGGAAAGAATTCCTCGTCCTTCAACCGAGCGTTAATAATAAGTCCGCTTCCACACCGTTTACGACGTTTTTACGATAAATCCCGCCAAGTTTGGGTAACTTGAGCAATAATCTAGTTGTAAGACTTCTAATCGTCCATCTTTTATTTAACAGAATTCTTTAGTGAATAAGCACATTTTTTCTTTAATCATATAGTTGTCGTTGAAACGCAAATTATCTGATTGTTTGATAATTGCAATCAAAACTCGTTTAAATATCTTCTGCCTTTTGGTTTACTGAAATAATTGGTCAAACTGCCTACAACCGTTCATGGAGGAAGAGCGGGTCTAAGAAATGGGAATACCTGGATTATGGGAAGAAATTGATTCTTCAAAAACTAGTTCTAGTAAGTGTAGTTCACGTATGAGTACGTAGGCTAATAATTTTGACTTATTGCAACTGTCTGTTGAACACTGGAAAAAACACTCTTGTCCGTTAAAAATTGCTATTGATGCATCTATTTGGTCTATACAGATTCAATCCGGACAAGGCGGATCAAATCCTGCTCTCAGAACATTTTATTACCGGTTATGTCGTTTACAAAAGGCAGGAGTAGCAGTTGTTTTTGTCTTTGATGGACCAAAGAGACCGAGCTGGAAACGTAATAAGCTATTGCATTTAAATACGCGCGAACTGCCGTTACACAAAGCTATGAAAAAACTAATAACTGCGTTTGGTATGTTGTATTGGGATGCACCCGGTGAGGCAGAAGCAGATTGCGCCCTGCTTCAAAAGCTCAAAATTGTGGACTATGTTTGGACTGAAGATGCGGATGTTTTTGCCTTCGGAGGTCGACATATTATACGAAATGATAAGTCCTCAGAACGAAATAACATATTCAATATCCAAGTGTATAATGCCGACAAGATTTATACATTGACAAATTTAAACTGCAACGGAGTCATTCTCATCGCGCTGTTAAACAGCGGAGATTACAATACAAAAGGTCTGCTTAACTGCGGTATACAAACCGCTTTGGCGGCTGCAAAACTTGGCTACGGCGATAAGCTGGTGAAAACAAAAGACTACGACAACTGGCGTAGATCATTAGAGACTGCTATTCGAGAAAACAAGGGTGGATATCTTTCCAGGCGGAGAATAAATTTTGTTATTGAGAACAACTTCCCTGATCCAAATATTTTGGGATATTATACATCACCGGTTGTATCAGCTGAGAGCGCGTTGAAGAACTTTTTCTCAGCTGCTCAATGGACTCGTGAACCAGACCTAAGTGAAATTCACGCATACACGGAAAACACATTTTGCTGGACTGGGATTGAAGGGGTTTTAGGCTTTAGTCGAAGTATTTCTTTGCCATACTTGACATGGTCATTGCTATATCAGAATAAGTTTAAAAACCTTCGGATAACCATTCGTGGCGAGAAGCTAACCACGGACACAGCTCAAATTGTCATGAGAAGAATTGAATTGGAGCCTTACAGCTTTATCCTTACGCGAGTTAGTTATATCATTGACGAGGTACTTTCCAAAGACGATTCTCCAAGAAAAGACGAATTAAAAAAGAAGCTCCGTTTTTGGGTTCCTAAAGTTTTTTTCAAAAACTACGAACACAACATCGTTACGCAGCTCTGTCCCATTATAAATAACGTCACATCCGAGGGCAATCTTTCCAAGCAAATTAATGAACTGACGCAGACAACACGGAGATTAAGTCTTGAGCCAACGACAGCTTTGAAGGAAAAGGCACGGCAGCTCTCGAGTAATCCAACAAAGTGTAGTCCTAAAATTTACACTCTCACACTGGAGGATTCCGATACTGAAGATGAGTTACCAAGATTGGAGGTCATTACCAAAGGAAAATTAATAAGGAAGAATACCGAGTCGAAGTTTAAGCAAAAAGAATCTCACAGTCTTAAAAACAAAACGGAGCCAGAAGTTATAGTGGTTCCCGATGATTCGCCAACGAAACCCCAAAAAAGTGATGGTAAGAAGGTATATTTGCGCAAAAGTCTGGGCGGTGCATGGAGAGAAAATGAGAGTGATAATGGGCATTTAGCTTGTTATGAAAATGTACCAGTAATTGATCTGACTTCTCTTTAGGTAGTTCCCTTATATATTCTATTTACTTCGTTTGTAATTTTTGTGGAAGTTGATGAAGTGTATCCGCTTCCTCGTCTAAGTTTGAAAGATGCTTTTGAATTGTTTGAAGACCAGCTTCAAGCAATTGGTGTGCAGTAAAATTGTTATCATAAGCCTTAAACCTTGTTTGGTACCTTGTTTGCAAACGTTCCTTATGCTCGTCTAACATTTCGTAATGGCTTCTTATACGGGTTGGGGACCATAGAGAAAATGAGCAAGTGACTAAATGAATCCAACGTTCATAAAGAAGTGTGCTCGTGAGAATATAATGTTTGCTACACGTTATGTGAAGTAGACGTGACAATATGTCTACAGCTGGAAAGCCATTTGTCGACGAGAGATATGATTCAAAAACGTGAAGAAGCCAATAGTGAGTTGGCTTAAAAGATCGGGATGACGCTGCATACTGTAAGAGCCTCTGCCAAACATCCTTAGGTACAGAGAGTTGATAAAGAGTAGACAGCGCTTCAAGGTAGGCAAAGGCATTCTTAATATCATCAACGGCACAGAAACCGGTTACAACTGCTGATAGTGTATGCGTTGTAGGATAGAGAATATCATCTAGAGAATATTTCTTAATATTTTCCCCGTTTAGAAAAACACCGTAATGTGATTGAAGAAAAGAGTGCATTTTCCAAGGCTCATTGTCTTTGGCAATACTTAAGAATAGCTGATCAAAACTCATCGCATTAGGAAAAATCCCATGTTCCTTCATGGACTGATTTATGACATCGAGGACGCGTTGTTGATATGAAGAAACAGAATTATTGCAAAGTTCTTGGTATCTAAGGTGACGTTTTAACTCTGCCTTTCTTCCGACAATCAGAGAAATGATGCTATTATAATAACAGCGATTTGGCGAGAGCTTGTTTTTTTTCACGTACATTTGTATCTGGTTGGCAAGCTTTCTATTGCCTACCAAGAACGACAAATGCAACAAATGGTTACAATCATTTATAGACAATTGAACATCTTGTCTTACAACATCACGAAATATTTTAAAGGCCGTGCTTGCTATAAGGGGTATTGGAATGTTACTCTTTTGTTCAGACTTTGCAGGGCGTAGAGAGCGTAATAGGTTTTGGTATAGATGTCTAGAAATGAATGAGAGTTCCTTTCGCTGCCGAAGAGTATTGTACTCCTTTGTGATGCTCACAAGATCGCCCCGTTTTACCTCTTCCGCCAACTTTTTCGTTTTCTCATGTACTTTATAGCGAAATTGTATTTCTGAAGGAGGTTGCCTTAACAATTCAAGCAGGCTTGAATTTATTATTGAATTAGAAAAGCATCTCGCGCAAACAACTTTAGCCTGTATTCGAAAACATGAACTCAGTGCAAAGCGAAACATAATTACCAAGCAAGAAGAGATATCGCAGTAGAACCGGATTCATCTAAATAGACAACTACCCTTCAAACAACATATAACAAACATCCAGTATTGCTTTTCTGGCACTTAGGTACCTTCAGGAAATCCTACTTCCGCAAATACTTTAAATTATTAGTCAGTAACTGTAAAAAGTGGTGAACAGCAGACTTGCTTGGTCGAAGGTGGAATAGAAAAGAAAATGATTTACGAGTCTCAATTCGCCGTAGTTATGGAGAGTTCTGGGAATTTTAATGTTATTGGAAAGAGAATGTTACATGCGATGTACAGTGCTCATGGGAATTGTTTCAGTTTTTGTTTTTTTAATGTTGTACTAATTACAGAATTTTAACATAGATTACAGACGGCAGTCTTTGAGTGTACAGCATTCAAAACTTTCCCAGCTCGAATTTGATGTTCCATTTCGTTAACGTTGGTGCTTAATAAGTTTGTAGAATAGCACTTTCAAGCTCTTCCAAACGCTTACTAATCGCAATACTGTTTTCTGTATCTTCTGTTGTGTTCAATACCTCTAAACGAGCCGTACAATCACGTATCGTTTTCTCCCAAGCCTTAGTTTCTGTTAAAAGTTGATCCGTTTGTTGGTCAAATTTCGATAACTGTGTAATGGTGTCTGCAGCATTAATATGTAGACGATGAGTGTCCTTCAATCGCTTATACAAGAGTGGCAGTACTTTTACCCATTGGTTGATGACGGGTATCTTTTCGTAAAGTTTCTGTAGCATGTGAGTAAATTCTCGATCCGTACAAAACTCAGTATCTAAAGATTCAACATTCAGCTTTTCCTTCATGTATTCCTCGTACTGGTCACGAAGCTGTTGAAGAAGCTCAATTCTTTTTTTTACTTGTATTTCATCAATGGAGTCTAATAGCTCAACTCGTGAACACAGACGATTTAATGTCAGGTTTATAGGTTCATCCAGTACGCCAACCTTTTCCTCAAGAATGGACAGATTCTTCTCTAGTTCTAAGATATGTGAACGAAGTGAAGCGTTTTCAGTTTGTGTTTTTTGTAGTTGCTGACGAAGTTCATCTTCACATTTATTCATATCCCCAAACTTGTTTGGCTCAAATGCAAGCTTCTGCTCAAGTTCCGAGATGTTCAAACGTTCTTGAATTTGAAATGCGTCAAGTTTTTTATTAAGTTGGTGACAATCCCGTTCTCCAATTTGATCATCTTTTGTCATTGCTTCTTGTAACAGTTCGTCAACTTGTTGCTTTAAGTTCGCAAGTCGTTGAGAGAAAGTTTCTTTCTGTTCATCTAAACAGCATTCGGCGGTTCTATTGAAAGTTGATTCCCTAAGAGTCTGGGCCTGTATCGCTTCTGAGGACTCGTCTCCGTAAAATAGCTTCCTTGAATCTTGTGCAGCATTTTTACAGTTCATCATCTCACAGTCGGATATTTCATACGCGCAGGTATTGTGCTTTTCATTCAATTGAACTGGCTCATCGTACTCATAAACCTCTGGGGCCGTGTCCAGTTCCAATTCAATGGAGTTAGACATGTTCTCGTGAAAGTCGATATGAAAAGAAATTGAAAGTCAATAGTGTAAATATGCTAGCTTAACTAACAAAACGTTAACAACTCCATTCATATAGCAATTTCTTTGTTTTCATTTAAACTATTCGCGTTTTCCTCTCGTTTCAAAATAAGGTTTACCAACGTTAATGCAAACACGTACGCGTCAAAGTTTACCTAGACACTTCATTGAGCGAAAACGGAGAAGAACACTGCAAAATAGCTGTTAAACAACTGTAAAAGTGCCTCTGTACGCGAGAAAGTGATCAAAATAAGTTCCGGGAAAAAATAAATCCTCTTCGGTTACCGATCTACCCGCTCCCTAGAGCTGTGTTTTACACCAGGATATACCTTTTCATTTTTCCTCGATAACTTGTAAAAAACAGGCAAAAACAAGGTCTACAGTCATTTGCGTTATTATTTATTACTCGTTTCACCGTAGTGTGAAGGAGAGGAGGGATCTCACGGATTGTTTCGTTAAAAAGAGCGGTTATACAAAAAAATAACAAAATCAAAACGATAAAAAAGCAAAGATGCATTTGCGCTCATTAAGGAGTATTGTCTCTACGGTACTATTGTTTGCACTTTTCTTTACCAAATGTACTGCTGAAAGTACACATACAAACAACTGGGCAGTGCTTATTTCCACTTCTCGGTTTTGGTTCAATTATCGCCATATTGCCAATGTTTTGGGTATCTACCGCTCTGTAAAACGATTGGGCATTCCCGACGATCAAATTATTCTGATGCTGGCAGACGACATTGCTTGCAATCCCCGCAACATGTTCCCTGCATCCGTTTTCGGTAATGCCGACCGGGCTTTAGATTTGTATGGAGATGATATTCAGGTGGACTACCGTGGTTATGAAGTTACTGTGGAATCTTTTATTCGTTTGCTGACGGGCCGTGTTCCTGAGAACACACCGGTTAGCAAACGTTTGTTGACGAACGAGAATTCTAACATACTCATATACATGACAGGACATGGAGGTGATGAGTTTATCAAATTTCAAGATGCCGAAGACTTAAGCGCTCATGATATTGCCGATGCTTTGGAACAGATGCATCAGCATAAACGCTTTAACGAAATCTTATTTATCGCTGATACATGTCAAGCAAACTCACTTTACAAACACATTTACACTCCAAATATCCTCGCAGTTGGAAGCAGCGAAGTAGGAACATCGTCCCTCTCGCACCACGCAGATACTGATATTGGCGTAGCCGTTATCGACCGGTTTACATTCTACAATCTGGAGTTCCTCGAGACACGAGTTGATATTAAGAGCAGACTCACATTGAAAGACCTGTTCGATTCGTATGATGTGAATCTCATCAAATCGCAACCTGGTGTGCGCACAGATTTGTTTCACCGCGATTTGTCACAAGTGCTCATTACCGATTTTTTTGGCAATGTTCGAGACATTGAGCTCAATGCATACGAAAATGTCTCCTTTTTGCAAGAATCGTCTCCCGAAAATAAACTGACGGTTTTCTCCCCTGCAAACGACACAGGCATCGTTTATCCTCGTGCCACTTCCTCAAACACACAAAATGATACGGCCGAGCTGTTAACCAGCAGCAGCATTCTTGGCGACTCCAAGATTCACAAGTTCTCGCCGTTCCTTGCTTTACTTACCGTTTTCCTTTTCCCTGTCCTTTTGTTACGAAGCAAACGTTGATCATTAATTTACACAGAAAAAAAATTATGTTATGTAATATCATCATGGATTGACAGATGCATACTTACACTGTCTCGTTTCTCCATGTGTAACAACATTACGTCCTCATAAACTCCCCACTATCCATTTATTTGGCAATCATTTTATATTTATTGAATAACCTAATCCAAATATGAAGCTTTAAGGGAGGAGGAAAGCAAAATGCAGCGGAAGTTCCGCGTTCGGAAACGCAGAACAGTTCTTTTGTGAGGAAGTGCAAAATCAGGCAATCATTAGTTCAGCTTAGCAACCTTCAACGCATTATCAAGGTCAGCAATTAAATCGTCTGCATCCTCGATACCAATGCAAATACGAATCAAGTCTTCCTTAAGGCCACGCTCCTCACGGACCTCCTTGGCAATGGAAGCATGACTCATGTATGCAGGCATACTGATAAGGGAGTTAACGGAACCGAAAGAGACGGAGATCTCGAAAAGCTTCGTGTTATCGCAAATAGCTCTCGACTTCTCAACGCTACCCGTCTGCACAGACATGACAGCACCCGGTCCACGAGCAAAGCTATTAAAGACGGCGGTGGAAGGGTCCTCGGGGTCAAGACCAGGGAAGTTAACTTTAAGACCCTTGCTCTTCAAGAACTTGGCAACGGCAATTGCGTTTGCTTGGGCACGCTCCACACGAAGTCCCATCGTCTTGATGCCACGAAGCAACAAGAAGGACTCGAAGGGAGCAAGGGCAGCACCGCGACTGTTAATGTTGAAGTAAATACGCTTGGCCAACTCGTCGCTGTTCGTGGCAATCACACCGCCCATGACATCGTGGTGACCAGACAAGTACTTGGTGCAGGACTCGTACTCGATGTCATAACCAAAGTCAAGGGGGTTACACAAGATGGGAGAAAGCATTGTGTTGTCAATGACAATGATAGCCTTGGGAGACTTTTGGCGGGTAATACGGATGACCTCCTTTACGTCGCAAATCTTAATCATTGGGTTGGTAGGACTTTCGACCAGAACCATAGCCGTATCGGGGCGCAAAGCAGCCTCAAAGGCAGTGATGGAGGTCGTGTCAATGTTGGACACCTCAAAACCATACAACTTCTTGCAGTGAGTCAACAAACGGTCGCTGCCGCCATACAAGTCGTCGCCAGCAACAACGTGGCTGTTGGACTCCAGCATACAAACAATCATATCCAAGGCTGACATACCGTTGCTAGTAACGAAAGCATGCTTGGCCTTCATCAACTTGGCCAAGTGGCCTTGCAAGGTAGTACGAGTAGGGTTTCCCGACCGGGTGTAGTCGAATTCACCAGGACTGTCGAGAGTCTCTTGTTGGAAGGTAGCCGACTGGTAGATAGGAACAGAGGAAGCCTTGTATTGATCCTTGTTCGTGGTGACATGCACCAATTCGGTAGACAACGAAAACTTGTGTTCAGGCATGTCGTTAACAGTCATTTTAGTGTTGATTTAAATGAAATAAGATCGGTATGTGTGTAGAAGAAAAAGAAAGAAAAACCACACAGAAGAACGATTTCACGAAGAAAAAAAGGAAAAAATTATTTGAAATAAAAAAAATAATTCGCAAAAAATAAAGGAATAAAAAAGTTTTTAAAAAATAAAAAAAAATTAAACCGAAAAAATCCAAATAAATCACAAAAAAATCAGCGAAACCCTAGCGCTCGATAAAAAATTATTTCGTGTGAAATGAATGAATGTAACGGAAAAAAGGACAGGATCTGGCGCTTTATAAATTGCGAGTTTCTCGACCACTTCCTTGTCAGGGTGGAAGCTATTGGTGGTGACGGTAATGTGGTGTGTGTCAGATAATCGCCGCCTATTTTAAGATGGCGCCAACAAAAAGTTCATGCGAATTAGTGCCGGCTAGCGACAATGTCATCAGCGAAAATCTTGCAAGCGAATTCGCAATTTCAGGTTGAAGTGAAGCAATACCAAAGCTACAGCCAAAAGATCTGCGTCAAAGGGCCCAGGAAAATCCCAGACGCGCGTACAGGGTTTCCCCATACAAACCAAGTGATATTTCGACCGTTTCAGGTCAATTGACGCCCAGAGAAGTCGATTCTTCGAGTAGAAGGTGCAGATAGGCGCAGCCGATAACTCTGGTGACTCGGAAAAATGGCGTTACTGGAACTGATATAAACAGAAACAAAAAGGAAATTTTCATCCGGCTCGAATAGGAATCTATCAACGGATTCGTATCACGTATCAGTAGGAATTCAATTGACTGCGAGAAAGGAAAGACAAGAGAAGGGAGTGTGGCATTGGTGCCGCAGGAAGCAGCAAGAACTGCAGTTGAACAATGTGTTTTCGTTGGATATTGCAGTTCTGTTTTGTTTTGGCATTAGACGCGTTCAGGACGCGAAAATAAGGTTAGAATTGTCGGCGATCTGCATGGATCGACATAAGGAGCAGGAGGAGAGTGCAACGAAGCACAAAGAAGCTTGTTAAAAACTTAACACATCGTGTTGGAGAGCGTTAATCAGTATAGGAAATAGTAGAGTTCTACCTTAAATGATATAACGACCTGTTGGAGCACACTGCAAGACGTTCGTACTCCTTATTTACACGCCCCCACACCCCCACCTACTGTTTACGTCTTGGCGCTGTCGCGTCGTTCTCACTCCCAGACAGCAAGCATGGCGTTTTACAACAATTCTGCAAATCCTGCGTACTTTCAGCCGCAATATGGGCAGGACGCTATAGGAATGGCTCCTACGGACACTGCTATGTACGTAGACGACACCCAGGGTGAACAGCTGTCGAAAGGTTGGCTTGCTGCCTTTTCGACCTCAGGTTATCCCGGCGAACAGACGCTTCTCGAGGAACTTGGAATTAATTTTGGTCACATTAAGCAAAAGGTTTGTTGTCTCTAGCTCACAGACGCGATTCGGCACGACGCTAACTTTTTTGGTTCAGACAATGACGGTGTTGAACCCATTCCGTTACGTGGACACACACATTATGGACGATACGGACCTCGCTGGCCCTGTTTTATTTTGTCTCCTGTTCAGTACTTTCCTTTCGCTGCATGGTCGCTCACATTTTGGTTATATTTACGGAGTCGCCTTGTTGGGTTCTTGCAGTCTGCACATTGTCCTACGTCTAATGTCTCCCAAATCACTCAGCTTCCTCCGTACAGTGAGTGTCTTGGGTTACTGTTTGCTGCCGTTGGTAATGGTTGCTTTCGGCCGAGTGTTGATTGATTTTAAGTATGTACTTGTAAACGCAGTGAGAATCATGAACAGGCTGTTCATGTCGACTTGTAGCAGCTCTACGAAGCTCCATGCCGATTCAATTCCACTCGCTCACCTGCCTCCCATCCCCTTCGCCTTCTAACTTGCGCAGTAGTTTGTTTGGTTATATTTTTACGGCCATTTCATGTGCTTGGTGCACCTATGCAGCAAGCGTAATGTTTGTCGCTATCCTCCAACTCTCAGACATGCGATTTTTGGTTGCTTATCCTGTGTTCCTGTTTTATGCCGTGTTCGCCGTCATGACGGTCTTTTCCAACTAGCATTCCTTTTTTATGAATGCTACGGATAACAAAAAACTATGGTGAATGGATATCTTGCAAAAAAAACCTATTCTCCTCCCCTCAGTCCGTAAAACCACTTTACACACACTTTTTTGCCGATTCTGTTTTTCTTATGTTTTTTTTTTTATTTCATTAAACTTGTGTTTGCACATGGTAACAGATAACCAACTTTACTGGTCTATGCAAAGTTGAGTGTCTCTCTCTACTCAAACTCCTTGTCGACGGCACCACTGGCAACGGTTTCGTACGCTCTTCCGACGTGACTGACGAGGTCGGTAGCGAGTGTCGCACGTTTCTTTTCCTCAAAAGCGAAACGACTGCACAAACGCGTGCTTACGCATGCACCAAATGCAGCGAGAAGCAGACATTCGCGTGGGCCCATCTCGCCCTCAGTCTTCCATTCGTCATCTAAGTACATACGTCTCCAGGCCAAGAAGGCAGCTAAAATGCCCGTCATCACATCACCCTGGCCTCCGCAACGCTTCAGACCGCCTCTGAGGGTACAAGTGAACGTGGTATCGCCGTCGGAAATCGTGTCGTGCAAGCCTTTGCGGATAATAACCACATTCATCTTGCGTGCCAATACTGCACAGGGATCTTCTTCTTCGAGTGAAACGTTAAGACGGTCGCACAACCTCTTGAACTCAATGACGTTTGGAGTAAGAACGACGTTATGGTAACCCGAGACGAGCTCAGGCTTCTGTTGGATGAGGAACAAGCCGTCAGCATCAATTACCATGGGCATGTTTTGTTGTCGAGCGTATGTGATGATACGCTCCATCGTAGCCAGCATCCATTCATCACGACCAAGACCAGGACCGATGACAATTACGTGCAGACGCTTCATTATGGGCTTTACGAGGTCCAAAATTTTGTCGATGTTGTCTTGTGGTCCAGCTGTTGCTTTTTCAAGCAAGAAAGGATGCACGATCAAATCGGGCGAGTAGCTCTTAATTACGTTGGCGGCTTTCTTTTCACACACAATATGGCTTTGATCACAACCGAAAAGCATGCTTGAAATGGAGGAATAATACGGAGCTCCCGTATAATGTTGACAGCCGCCGAAGACGCCAACTCGTCCTGCCTGTCCCTTATGGAACGTTTCCAACAACGGAGGAATCATTTTTCTGAGGCGGTCCAGCAGAACCAGAGCATCTTTTTGAGGCGCCTTCATCGTTTTAAATGACCTGTTTATATCGGGGATCAGCTTCAAATTTGAACTTGACTTTACAGTGTGAAATCACTTAGTAGAGAACAGCCGAACCACGAACCCACCAAAAGACACATACGCCCAAGGTCTGCCGACAACGTTACATCATCCGTTCGCGGAGGTGCGGGGACTTGTCGGTATGACGTAGGCGAAATTAAAGTCGAGATTAACTTCGCTTAGCCGCAATTATCGCTGGGGAAGGTTAAAAAAAAACAGAACAGCAGCAATTGCATGCGAACCTGGCGTAAAACACACGCGGGAAACATAGAAGCGACACCAATGCGTGCGATGGAATGCATCCCCTTCAGTTAAAGTTAAATCAGATTCACCCGCGTCTTTAACAAGCCACCGTTGAAGTTTCTCATAGCCGTGTGCTTCTTGCGAGGCAACTGCAACCGCCGGAATGCTTCCATGACATGACACACTTGAAGGGGTGTGCGTTCTTCCGTTAAACCGTCGAACAGGTACCGCTCTTTGCGGCGTTTCGTCTGGTGAGCTAGACTGCCGTTTTCGTTTTGTAACTGATCCATACGTTGCTTCACGGCCAAAGCCTCCTCAATAAGCGTCGCGACGATCTCGAAGGTCAGAAAGCCCAAGATATCGACGATATCGTCGTTTGGCCGCGTTTCCGTCAACAAGGCCATTCCACACCACTCTCGAAACCGCTTACCTTTACGGTATGTGAAACTGGCCTGCCGACACTCACTCCAGTGAACATATTCTTCTCGTGTCATTTGTCGTGTCCGTTCATCGGCCATTCGAAGCCGTTCTCGTGTGGCGGATGCCGCCTCTGCCATTTCGTTATCTTCTTCATAGTCCTCAGGGTCAGGAATGGGCTCGGGAAACATAAACTTGATCTCCCATGGCAAAGTGACAGGTGCTTTTCGGATTTTCGTGCGGAGATCTGCATCCTCTAGCAATTCTTTTGTGTCGGTAGCGTTGGCGTCCTGTTCTTTTGCGTTCTTTCGCACGTCCTTCCACGACAGGTAATTCTTCAAACGGTTTACCTTAGCCTTGTCGTGCCGGATTAGGAAGAACAGATCCTCCACCGAGATGGATCGCGATCCTCGGCGCAGAGCCAGTTCATTTGCTTGAATCAACATTTCCATGACTTGACCACGAATTAATTCCTCCACCAACACCGTCGTTTCTTGGAGGGGATCCTGCACCTCCCCCAAAATAAACATCATCTGCTGGATTTCCACCCGATATTTGCTCATTTTGACTTTAGTGTTGGTTGCGCAACGTTTTGCGTTTAAGTTCGTTCACTGTACCTAAGAAAAACAGTATTGATGAAAGTAATGGCAGGATGAAATTTGCTCTGAAAAACCTACGAATGCAAGTGGGTTTTCTTCTTCTAATACTCAAAAACTGAGCTGTTTTGACGTTTATTGTAAAACTCCGAGTTTTCCTTTTCATCACCTAGTGACTTTATGGTGGTGAGTCTAAAAGGAAAATAAAGTTTTCGGTTCAACAAACTGTAAAATTAAGCTCAATAAGGTTTGGCAATCTATGGAGCAATGAGCCAATCAATAGCATCCATTGCTCCTATAAAATTCGTATCAGATGAACGATATGACGTTTAATTCATCCAAGATCAGATAACTTAGGCTACAGCGTCTGCTGGCACTTGCCAAGAACCAAAACATAACGGTTTGGATGAGTGCTGTAGATGAGCAGCACCTATGGAACCCTTAGAGATACACAAGCGATGAATGAAGGACAAGAAAGTCTTCGATTGCTGGACAATGATCCGCTGGAGGATCCGGAAGTGTCACCTCACACTGCTCAGTTTCTAGCAACAGAATTGGAGGAACATGAGGAACAGCACCATGTCCTAGAAGGAATTTCGAAAGCGGAAGCAATATCGGCGTCCTGGTCGCGAAAATCGCTCGTCATTGCTTATTCTGGGTAAACAAATCCTATAGGAAAAAGCTTGAGTTGAAAATCGAAATTTGCTAACACTGTTGGCAGACTGTATTTGACGTCGTTCATTGTTTCTTTGGAACAACAGACAACTTTCTCCTTGCAACGGTTTGCAACCAGCAATTTTGCTGCGCATTCGAATTTGGCGACTATCAACTTATTTGGTAATATATTTCTTGCCGTCGCAAAACCGCCTATGGTAAAAGCCGGTGATGTGTTTGGAAGAACAGAAGCATTGTTCGGCGCTGTGACGCTGTACCTAATCAGTTACATACTGTTGGCGATCTCACAAAACTTTAGCCAGTTTATGGTTGCTTCTATGCTTTACATGTGCGGCCAGACGGGCCTCTTCATCATGAATCAGTTGATTATTGCCGATACCTCTTCCCTCATCAACCGCGGGCTACTTTCAGCATTGCCCGACTTACCTTATTTATTTACTGTTTGGCTGGGACCCGCAATTGCCCAGGCGTTGCATCCAGAGAAAAACAACGGATGGCGATGGGGTTATGGAATGTGGGCGTTTATTCTTCCACTCGCGTCCTTTCCTCTGTTGCTGTCACTTTACACGAACCAGCGTCGAGCAAAGCGATTGGGCTTGATTCGACATTCTCATGCCCAGAATTTCGTATAGAAGTGCGAATCTCTCGTTACTGGAAAAGAATTGGACGGAACGGGCATAATCTTGTTCCTCCTTGGCTTCTGTCTTGTCCTTTATCCATTGTCACGTTTCGGTCTTTCTACTGGGGTATTTGGTATCAGCAAGCACGATCTTATTCTTATGTCTCTTGGAGTTGCCGGTGTGCTTCTACTGTTTTGGTACGAGTGTGTGTATGCGGAGTACCCGATTTTTGCCCTGCGTTCCTTAATACACCCTACCATTATGGGTTCGTGTTTCCTTCTATTTTTCTCCTTTGTGTCATTTTATCTTTTTCAGAACTTTCTCACTTCCTACCTGCAAGTTTCATTGTACTATGATGTCGATCGTGCTGGAATTGCCAGCAATATATATTCCTTCTCAAGCACGACAACGGGAATTCTTTCCGGACTCGTCATGAAACGTCTTGGTCGTTACCGTGCACTGCTGTTTACCGGTATTCCTCTTTACGCACTTGGTGTGCTGCTCATGTATGCACAGGGGTTCTTCTCTCCAATTGCTCCGTATGCTATCTTCATTGGACTTTTTATGGCTGGACTGGGCGGCGGACTGATGGTGATTAGTGCTCAAGTGGCCGTACAATCTGTCTCCGAGCATTGTACTCTTGGTGCCAACCTCGCTCTGTATCTGACCTTTTCATCAATTGGTGGGGCTTTTGGTTCTGCCCTTGCCAAAGGCATGTGGACAAAGAACCTGTCGAATGGATTGCTGACGCTTCTTAACCCGTACCTTTCAACAGATGAAATCGACAAAATCTTCCACGATCTTCGAGTCGCTCTTTCGTACGTTCCTGGAACTCATATTCGCGAACTCATCAATACGGCCTTTGCTCAGGCACAACGATTGCTTACCGGGTGGGCGGTCGTCACTACATTGCTTATGTTCGTTTCTGCCTCCTTCATACAAGACAAGTCTCTCAGCCAACCTTCCCCCGAACTGCATCCCGAGACAGCTCTGTCGCACCACAGCAGTCGCTGAGCGCAAACAACATTAAGTGCTACAACTGTCACAACTGTCACAATTGACGCTGTATTCAATGTATTTTTACAAATTTGAAGCATAGCTTTTACGTCTAAAGACGCGACACAGCACTTTCGCTTACGATTAACGTTACGGCATCACGGGCAGTTCATTGGTGGCAATCAAAATAAGATGCCATAAGGTGTTAGCACGTGACCACAAGGTTGCAGATCACAATGCGCGTAACCCGTCCACCACGAACAATTAAACCGCCTTCACCCCAGTCGGACACCTCATCATTTACACAATTCGTCGCACCCCTGAACCCCGCTCAACCTTAGTCGCACAGTTTTTCGCCATACTACGCCAACGCAACGTTTATTTGCCTACTGATCTAAAACTTCATCAAGTGAGGGCGGTCACCGCTAGAGAGGGCGAAGGAAGCAGCAAGATACTCCTTCATGTTGGGGATAGACTTGATGGAAGCCAAGAGCTTAGCATCAACGGCCTTTTGGTCAGCGATGCGCTCAGCAGGGAGGGCCTTCTTGGGGGCGCTCTCGGCGAAGAAAGCCTCATCCTTCTTGACGGGGCCCTTGGCCTTTTGCTTAGCAAAGTAGGCCTTGGTGAACTTCTCAACAGGGACACCAGAAACGTCAATCTTGGGAGCCGAGGTGGCGATGACGTAGCGGTGGTTGACACGGCGGAGGGGGACACCGTTGATCTTGTAAGGACCAGTGATGACGAGAGTGTCCTCCAATTGACCGAGAACAACGACACGCTTTCCACGGAATCTTCCAGCCAAAACAATGCACACGGTACCGGGGGTCAAAGAGGGACGAAGCTTCGTGGGTCTGACAGCCTTGCGGACGGTCTTGCGGACAGCCTCACGAGTAGCGGGATAGTACTTGGAAGCAGCTTGTCCAGCAGGGAGGACAACACGTTCGCCGCCGTTCTTAGCTCCGTTGACCTTGACAGTAGACATTTTCTTGCTTGGAGTTTTTGGGTGGTGTAAGGGAGAAGTAATAGGATTTTCTGTGATTTAGTTGGGGCCTGTTTCACAGTCACGGTTTGTGTCTGTTAGGGTAGGGTTATGGGACTGAGACACTAGGGCGAGGGAGAATGAAACGACAAATAAAAATAAAAATTTTTGTTAAAAACGGATTCCGGCGTTTTGTAACGGGGGCTGTTTTTCTGTGAATAATTCCATGTATATTTATTTCATTTTTGCCTTGACGAAGCCTCCTAGTACGAACATGATTATCATGTGACCTCAAGGGCGTTACGCTTATTCCGAATAAGCGTCGCTTAATGGGCAGAAGGAGGAAATGCCAGTCAAAACAGGATTAACGAGAAGGATAATTGGCAGCAACGGGGAGATTGAGACGACTTATTAGTAAGGAATACACTTAGTAAAATGAATTGCTCAACCTTGTTCAACTCTCCTCTTTCTTTGCCTTTTTTGTGGCCCTCTTTCTAGGAGTGCGTGTTCTCTTCTTCGCGGCAGCAGCAGCCTTTTTATCGAATTGCTCTTGCATGCTCTTCCGCGAGCTGGCTCCTCGTGCTTGCAACTCTGTGTTCTTCTCCACGACGAAAGGATCATCTGCTTTTTTGCCGATCATTGCAGTAAGCAGTTCAATTTCTTTGGCCCACATTTCGGGCTTCTCAGCCGGTGTTTCGAGCACAAGTGGGATTCCATCCCAGCGAGGATCATTCACAATGAGGCGAAACGGTTCGAGTCCAAGGAACCCAAGACCGATATGTTCGTGCAAATCACGATTGCTACCAAGAGGAGCCTTAGAATCGTTCAAGTGCCATCCGCCTACAAACTCGACTCCAACTTTTTCGTCAAACTCTTGAATCACTTGCTCGTAGGTTTCTTGTGTACGAATATCAAATCCTGCAGCAAACGTATGACAAGTATCCAAACAAACACGCCAGCGTGAAGTATCCTTAATCAGACTCTTCAGTTCTGCAAAGTCATCAAAGACGCCTCCAAGACATTGACCTTGTCCTGCCATATTTTCTGTCACGATAGTAACATTTTCTGTGGCTTCGTGTGCACGATTGATACAATCGGCGAGGTTCTTTAAAGCTTGAGACTTTTCGCATGAAGCATAACTGCCCGGACTAGCACGGAAATTAGCAATGACGGGTTTCATATGGAGGGGACTTCTTGTTCCTTCACGGAAGTACATACTGGAAATTATAAAGGCCCACGCCCAAACGCTCGCATCGTTTTAGATCATCCAAAAAGCAATTGAATGCCTGTTCACGTTTTGTTTCATCAGCATTTGCCATGTTAATGAGATAGCTTCCATGGACGAGCGCATGTTTTTTCGCATCGAATTTGGCGTCCGCACAGGCTTTACGAAACTTCTCCGCAACGTCTTCTGTCAATTCTGGCGAAACCCATTTTCTCTGTGACTTTACAAAAAACGCGCAGCAAGTCGCACTGGTAGATTATTAGTCGAATGAAATAGAAAATGAAATGAGTATCATCGGACGATTCCGTAAGACGTACTTGATGTTTAGCATATTTGTAACTGCATTAAACACGCCACCAGCTGCTGAAATGTGTGCACCGAGGAACTTTGACATTTCAAGTACAGTTTTTTGTGTTGACTCTTCTTCTTTGTCGGCCTTTGATTTGGATTCTCGAGCTGCCGCTAGTCGTTTTGACGACCGCTTCTCCGGTGTAGTATTTTCGTTTCCTTTTTTAGGATGAGAGGTGGAATCCGTGCCTTCTGGACTCGTTTCTTGGTCAATTTTTCTCTTCAGAGTACTCGTCATATCGGTACCAAAAGAATTTCCTAATAAACTAAACCTTTTGTTTCAATAAATGTTACAAGGACAACACGGACAACGTATTCGGTGGTATTTCACTCTTGAAATAATGTTCTAAACGCCGTTTTCTTATCCACGCCGTCAGGACCTTATTGGAGACTAACGCTTACCAGCACCGCGAGCTTACCACCGATAGCCTAAATTGTCAGAAACGAGCTATCTCTTGCTTTTATACAGATTTGAATTGTATGTTGATGCTCAATTGCTGTTTAGGATCTGTTTTATAAAAGAACGAGCTGAAAGATCTGATTTTAAAGGAATTGTCCCGATTTCATATCTTTCGCTCAACATACACGCAATTGGTTTAAATTACTAGACCATTTTTGGGTCTCCTCTTCATTTCAACACAGTCCAGCTGGTTTGCTTTCTTCAGTCCTACGGATGCCATCTCGACATCATTCAACAGTAGACCGTGAGCCTACTCCGTATCCAGCTGCGCTACTTGAAAGTCCAGAGAAATCAAAAGATATAAGCGACTCAGTCAATGAGGATGATGATGATGTCGTTTCCGAACCCGCTCGCAACGAGTTGAGGCTTGACGGTTATTGTTCGCAGGAACCTGTGACAACGAATCAGCAATTTGTTGCTCCATCAGATGTACAGTACTCCTCAAGCCAACCAATAACTCGAAAACGTATTTCTCTGCCTACTCATTCATTACCAAAACGAGCCCGACCGAAGCGACCCTCATTACAGAACCCTGTTATGAGTAACCTCGATCAATACATCGCACCTCTTCACAAGCATCACAGATTATTAGTTCAACATCAATACTTACCGGGTGGATACAAACGATTAACACAATCAGAAGTTACGGTTGACAATCTTCGACAGACCGGGTTTCTTGAACCCATTGTATTTCCTTCTTTTGATGCACATGCAAATGAGTTGCTTACTCTTCGTAGAATTGCCACGCTTATTGGATACGATTGTCCACTGGCTCTTGTTGATGTTGTGACTCAGCGTCAAATTAAAAACAAAATGAATATGAAGGAGTGGATAGACTACATGTCGGTTACGCCTCAAAAACGGGCTCGAATTTACGATGTTCTAAGCCTAGAAGTCTCTACAACCAAACTAAAAAACTACGCACGCAAACCAGACATTGTGAGGGATTTTGATTTGATTAATCTTGTGTGGCCGCCTTGTTCCTATGCAATGGGCGATCATCCTCGTGTGGATACCTACTGCTCTATGTCCGCAGAAAATGCTTATACCGATTTTCATGTTGAGTTCGGGGGCTCCTGTGCTTACTATGACATTGCAAAAGGGTGCAAGCAGTTTTATCTCATTCCCAATTCAAAAAAAAATTTAGAGATTTACGAGAACTGGCTGTATTCTAAAGACGAACGAACAGAAAGCTTCTTACCAAATCTTGTCGACTGCTGCTACCGTGTCGAAGTTCATAAAAACGAGACAATAGTCATTCCGTCAGGGTGGATTTATGCAGTTGCTAACCTTTGTGATACAACTGCTATTTCCGGCAATTTCCTCACGTCCCTTCATTTGAAGCAGGAGCTGGATGTTTTTGATATGGAAAAACGTATGGGAATCAAAAGTTACTATCAATATCCATGTTTTGAGAGTATTATGTGGTATTCCGCGCTTTATTTTTACTTCTCATTTCCGGACGAAGCTCCTCGTGATGAGATTGACATTAAGTTATCCGTGTATGAAACGGGTGCTCTGTTACCAGTAGAGTCATTCACAGGTCAAGAATTGGAAGGATTTGAACATTTGCTTGACTTTATCTTCATACAATCCCAGCTACTTCTGACCTTTGAACAGCCTATAAATACAAAAGGCGAGTATGTGGATTTACCGAATCAAGATTACAAGACGGCGTATCGAATGGTTCCTCCAGTGCTTGATGAGACCTGTTTAAGTTTCACAAAAAAATTCGGTACTTGGCTGTCGTTTCACAAACATTCTGAGATAGAATTGCCAAAACTGACCAAAAACAATTATCGGGACAACAAAAGCCAAACGAGAGCTTCTCGGAAAGGACGGCGACGAAGGCAGCAACAACAGACGCTGAAGCTTTTGCTTGATAATGTATCTGTTAAAACCAACAAGGCCGTTTTGAGCCGCTACAAACAACATAAAGTTCTGCTGAAAAAGAAGCAAGCATTGTTGCGGTTGAAAGAGCGGTCTCAAAAAAAAAGAGATTGCTTCGAATTTGAAGAGTCTCCGGAAGTGATTCAATTGGTGAACACCGAAATGAATCCTGACGAAAGCAGCTGGGAGGATTCAGAGACGCGGAGTTTTTTCTTCCCTTCACCATCTAATGGACTGGGGGACAACGATTTTATTGAACTTCTAAATGCTTATGTTGATTCTGAAAGCGTACCAGCATCCAATGATCAATCCAAGCAAAGCTCAATCGAGTCGCGTACAGTGTATGATTCACTCTCTGTCACTTTTCTCCCTGAGCAGTCGAGCAACAATTCCTTTGACACTAGTCAAAGTATCGTTTCTAATGATCTTTTTTACGACAAAGACGGTTCTACCACGCTTGTGGATGTTGAGGCACAGTTACCGACTGTCCAGGCCACTGATACTCTGGACTTAATCAGTTTCAGTGACCTAAAAAGGGAAATGGATTTATTTCCCTCAATGACTGAGACAACTTTGGAGTCAAATCCTAATCATATGTTTATTCTTCCAAAGGAAGAGCCGACTGAGACTCTTCAGCCTCAACCTGTATCCAATGAGAATTGTTTGCAGCTTGTACTGCATAGCAGCTCGTCGTTTTACAAGAAGTATTATTAAGACTTCATTACGTATTTTACTCTCCGTTTATCTTCTTCCATGTCTTCACTTTCTTCCTTTCTCCCCCCTTTACGAACCTTGATTCTGTTGTATTTATCTAGTTGTGTTTTATTATCCCTTTTTGACAGTATATGATATCAGTTACTTCGTTTTTTACAAAAATGATGTAGCTCATTACAATCTTTTTCATTTGTTCCATAGCTTTGTGTGAAGGCTTTATTATATTACAAATGGGTTAAAGTTGAACAGTTTATTAATTATAAAAAAGATACCAGGTAACGGAATTTGCCAAAAAACGAAAACAAATTCCGACATCTGTATAAATAAAAACAATTTCAATTGACGGACTGAAAAATAAATTTACCGATTAACCCCAGACTTGAATAAACAATCATTTGATATAAAATGATATAAAATAATATAAAATAATAAAAAATAAATCGACAAATAATGAAATAAATAAAAACAGAAACTGACTAAAACGAACTCTACCGCTCTCAGAAAGCCTCAAATATCCATGTATCTTCGTTTTCTACGTTACTGTTCCATGAATAATTGAAAGGTTGAGGGGAACCACCAGAGACCAAAAGTGCCTACAAGCGTATTTTTGCTTTTTAACAGAAAAACCTGAATGCAACAAGTAAATAAGCATTCTTTAGACTATTTTCTTACTACAGAGGAATTCAATGAGCAGAATGTGGACGACTTAAACGACTTTATCAAAAAATCAGATTCTCTTTCCTTGTACTACGGTAAGTTCTAACCACTTGGTCGCTATTACTAATCGTTGTAGGTGACAATATTAATGTCATTGTATTCGTTCCTATTGAAAAGAATGCCGACTTTGCAGTAAATCCGTCAGTGAAAGTCACTGATTCCTTCCAAATTACTGGTACCATATCAGAGGTCCACGAGTCACGAAAACAACAACAGCTGAAACGACAAAACCTTTCTGTGTTTCGTGTTACCAAGGAGAACGTCCCAGCTTCTTTTGTTCATGAAGTAAATGATGAATGGATAGCCTTTTGGACTTTTCATGTTACAATTGGTTCGTTGCGATCTTTTTTATAAGTTCTACGAACTAAAACTAACCTTTTTATACACAAAGACAAGTACTATGAGTTTAGACACGGCGAACTAGAAATTCGAGTCAACAAACTTTCAAAAGGCGAATTTGCTACAATCCAAACAGACGAGTTGTCAGATAATCATTTGCGGAGAAAGAGTTCCATTAGAGAAACCGTTGATTCTTATCTAAATGAAGTTACTAGCGACACAAAGGATGGTCATGACACAGACAATAGTGTCTCTGATGATAATGAATTTGACGACGATGAAGATGACTCATTTATTAATGAAGAGAATGAAGACTTCAACCTTTTTGGCGCCTTCTCTAACGATAAACTCTTTCCAGGAAAAAGCCCGACGATCGCAGGATCCATTGTATTAGGGTCTCTGTCATCGTTAACACTCGGAACAAGCCATACCAGGATGGTAAAAAAACGGTTCTCATGTTATGCACCTCTTTCGTTCACTTATAAGACCTTTATGCTTGACGAGTTTTCCTGTCTTATCAGCATCGGAATACGGCCAGTTGAAACCAGCAGCGTACTCAGGCTTCTATCTTTTGAACCGATGTCATCCGACTGTAAGGTTTCTATGTTTAGGATCAATAAATCCGAAAACGAGCTTTCGCTCTTCCCGGGTGATATGTTTTCTTTTACATATAGAATTATATCCAGTCAACCACTCTCTTCCTTTCAACTTATGCTCAAGTCGCATCTTGAAGTCGTTCATCCATCAATAGCTGGAACCACCTTGAAGCATAACATTTCTTTCGGCTATACTCATACAATCACTTTAAAAAAGGAAAAAGACAACACACTTTTACGTCACAAAAAAAGCACATCGAGCTTAAGTGCTATTAACTCCGTTCCGGTTGTACAAAAAGTTAGCTGCCGACTTGGATTCCCGCAGTTGATTCAGGTTGGAGAGACATTCGGTATATCAGTGCGATTTTACAACGCAACAGAGCATCCGATAGAGCTCCATGTTCAGCTGCCGCCGTTTTTTTACAGGGAATTTCTCATTCCACTGGTCGAACAGCATTCATCCACAGACTCTCGAGATGCTCAGCACTCATCCAAACCCAGTCCCGGCATCATTGCGCTCAGCACGACGATATCGACAGGCTTCATCACCCCAATGGCCGAGAAAAGCTTGTCACTCCAGTTCTATCCGGTAAAGCCCGGATTCTACGACTTGGGCAGCATCAAGTTCAATTGCCCCTCGAACTCGCCGCATCTGTGGAAGCAGTTGCACAGCGACCTAAAGATTCTCGTGGAAAGCTCCTAGCATTTATATAAGTAAGTGGTCACATAAACAATTATTATTTTTGAATTTCCTCGCAATTAAATTTACCTCAGAAATGAAAAGTCAAAATACAATTAAAAGTCTACCAAAAGTATAAATGAAACCAAATAATTTAACGTCACAACCTTGTTCTCAACAGCTTACTGTAACAAGGCAACCAACTGGGGGTTGGAAGAGATTACTGCAGAGTATTGCTGAGAGAGAGCCTTGAGAAGGTTAATGAGCTCAACACGAACATTATCGTTAATCTGTTCGCTAGGTCCGGTAAGAACAGATGCAAAAATATGAATCAGTTGTTCAACGTATTGAAGGACAACGGGATTGTTTTGGTGGAAGAGAGTGATGATCATGCGGTACACTGGGGCATTCTCAAGGTAGTCCTCCTTCAAAGGCAAGTTAGACACAACGATGGGGAACACTTGATCCAAGGGAATAGCCTCAGGACGGGACAAGATCAGACGAGCAATGCAACCAACGGCATTGTCGCGAGCAGTGCGGAACAGCTCCTTTTCGAAGAAGGGTTGAAGCTTCTGAAGAATGTTCATGTATTGAGAGCTCATGTCTTCAGTAGAGTATTGACAAAGCAAACCAATAGAGTAGGCGGCATTGCTTTGAACCTCACCCTCAGAGTCGGAGAGTGCAGTCATGAACAACTTAAAGATCTCTTCAGTGAAAGGAGTGATAGCAGCTTGAAGACCACCAGCAACCTCACCAATACAAGCAATAGACATGGCACGCTCAGAACCGTTCTTGCTCATGTAGTACTTGGCAACATGAGGCAAGAAGATCTTGAACGAGTTAGCAAAGTCAGCACCCAAAGCCATAGAAAGGGCGATGATGACATCGGAAGCAGAGTCAATAAGAAGTGCATCTTGCTCGGTATCCTCATCGTCCTCACCTTGGACAACATCCTCCTCCTCGAAGTCATCATCAAAAGCATCACCGGCTTGAACCATGTGTTGCTTTTGCAAAACCTCAAGGATAACCTCACAAAGTCTCTCATAGTCGTCGCCAAGAACGGCGGGACCACAAGCCTTCATGGCTTCGGCAAAGTTACGCAAAACCTCAGTTGCAACGGACTTCTCGTACTCCTCCTCCAAGGTGTCGAAACTGCACTTGCGAACGGCCTCGAAAACATTTTGCACGGGCTGAGGAACAGGGACCTTCACAGGGAAACCAGCTTCCCATTGAGGGACGTTGGAAATCTTGTAAAAGGAAGTGGCACAGCGCCAGAGACTGCTAATGGCAGACTTGCGAACACCCTCGTAGAAGTGGGTAGTGCAAGCAACCAACTTTTCAACGGCAGGCTCCAAGTAGTCGACGAAAGGAGTACCAACAAAGGCACAAATCTCGCCAACAGCATCAGCAGCAATCTCCTTTTCCATGGCAATGGCGGAGTTAACACCCATTGCCTTCTCAAGCTCTTCGTCATCCTCTTCCTCGTTGCCAGTCTCAGCGGCCTCAAGAAGCTGAGAGATCTCGTCGGCAGAGGGTGCACCAACCTTCTCAGAAATAACATCAGACTCATCTTGATCCAAGGACTTGAACAAGGCAGGCATGATGTGAGGCAAGAATGGAGCAAACTCCTCCTTGTAGACGCGAGCGAGGACAGAGTAGAAGCAATAAGAGCACTCACGAAGACGAGAGTGATCCAATTGAATGCCCTCGTAGGCAAATTGAACAAGCTGCTCAGTGTAAGGCAAGAAAACTTCCTTACCAACAGCACTGGCAATAGCGCCAAGGGTATCCATGACAGTGCCGCGGAACTCGTAGGTCTCCTCATCGGTGTTGCTCTTCAAACAGTTCGACAAACTGTTCATGGTATGCTCAAAGTAGGGCAGGAAAGTTTCCTGGGCAGCAAAAGCAGCAGAACCAATGGCCGCAGCGACACAACTCTTGATGTCCAAGGTAATGTCGGCCTCCAAAAGATAGAGCAAACGCTCCATCAAAGTAGGCATGTAACCAGCGATCTCATCCTTGTCCATACCCTCGAGCAAGGCGTCAATGCAGTTGCAGGCAGCCTTGCCGACCTTCACACCTTGCATAGACATGAGCTCGAAAACGAGAGGCAAGAATTGAGCATGATGCTTGGAAACCTCGTGGGGAATCTCAATAGCGATCTGACTGAGTGCGAGCAAGGCAGCTTGACGAACCTCAGGGTCGGTGTCGCACAAACCACTAACGACGATGGGGAAGACCTCGGTGAGCTTGCTCGTGACGGACTCAGAACTGCCTTCAACAGACACGCCGAGAGCCAAGAGAGCAGCCTTACGGTAACGAGGCTCGGGAGATTGAGAGAAGCTTTGGACGGCCTCAAACATAGGATAGAAAACATGAGTAGGAGGAAGATGAGTAGACAACAAATCAATAGAACGAAGAGCCAAGCGAGAAGGACAATCCTCGTCGACGTCGTCCGTATCCTCTTCTGTAGCAATCTCCAAAAGCGCATACACCAGGGGCTTACCAACCTTAAGTGCCTGCAATTTTCTGCTCTTAAAGCGGACGCAAGAAATGATGAAGGACAGAGCCATGCAGCGAATCTCCTGGTCCAATTGCTTGGTGGAAGCAATGTTCATGATCACCTCGATGATGTTACCCAAAGACTTGGAGATAATGGCACCGGAGGCAATGAGGAAGGTGTTGAACACCTCGAAAATCGTCTTGCACTTGTCAGTCTCACCCGTCTGGACAACGTCTTGGAGAACGTTCAGCAAGTTGGGGAGAGTGGCACGGTAAGCCTCCAACAGCTTCTTGTTGTCCGAATCCAGGATCTCAGCAATAGCACCGAGACCCTGGGCGGAAATGACACGGACCTCACGGTTGGTGTCTTGAATGGTTTGAGAGAAGAGCTGGGTGAAGTCGAGCAGAAGAGTCTCGTCCACGTCCACAGCCTCAACAATAGAGTACAAAATATAAACGCCCATCTCACGAACCGACTCGTTCTGGTCCATAGCAGCGTTGACCAAGAACGCAGACAGTTCGTTCCATTTTCCTTCGGGCAAATCAAGCTTGGCAAGAGCAGAGATGACACGAGCAAAGGCGTGTTGAACAATCTTAACAGGCTCCTTCAAGCTGATGTCAAGCATACTCTGGCGGATCTGTGCTTGAACATCTGCGGCGACTTGGGGCCAGAAAGTGCTGCAGAGCTTTCTGGCCTCGACAGCAGCCAACTGACGAACCTGCGAGTTGTCGCAGGAAGTCATAATGTGAAACAAAGATAGCAGCGACTGAGGCTGACTATAGTACTTTTTCAACGCATCCGTAGCAGCAGTAATCTGTGCGGTGTCAGGGGCAGTGCTCTGAAAAAGCAACTGCTGCAATTCCTCTGTGAAAGTGTCCATCTAAGGGCGTTAGCAGGAGAGAACGAGGGGAGAGAGGGAGAGAGAACGGCACCGGGAGAAAGTGTCCACGGCATGCGTAAACCGTCTCTCTGGGCGGTTCGTGCTTTGCAGCATACCTTTGAATGCAAATAAATAGCCTATTAGTTTAACTCAGCAGTACGACCTGCTATCTATGATATAAGAAAGAACAAAAAAAAAGAGGAACGAGCACCTAGCAGTTGGTAGAGGAGAAGTGCTCTGAGGAGGAAGCTGCAGTTTCCTCCACAGGGAAGCTTATTTGTACCAGAGCATGGGCCCTAGGGAAGCGCAGTGCAGGCGAAAATAGGCGACAGAAGCGGAACGCAGCTGCGCTAGTCGTTACGAGACAAAGTGGGGGCACCCGAGACCACGCGAAGCTGGGGTAGTTTAGCGATGGTTGGAAATATGAAAGTAAACAAAAACAGCGTTCTCCGAGTTGGCGAGAATCAACCAGCACGAACGACCTAGTGCATGAATATGATCGAGTTTGCTGCACTACTGCACTGGAACGCACCACATTGCCCTCCATCCCTCTCCGAGTGTCCGATTCGGCACCTTGGGTCGTCCGTAGCCAGACGATTCTGAGTTTACTGACTTACGGTCGCTGTTCGCGCGTTACCCGGCCACTTGTACGGAACGCTTTTTAAACGCTATAGCTTTTTAAAAACGCGATATTCGGTAGCGACGAGCTGAATCGTGTGACCGTGCGTAGCGACAATATCCGAGGACTATGGAGAGCTAGGCGACGACAGATGTGGGGAAGGTGGGGACAGTGTGGGAGTGATGCGGGGGTCGGTGGGACCACAGCAAGACCGCAGCGCAGTGGAGTCTGCGAGGCGGCCAGCGGTGGTGAGGACCCTCGGGGGGACAGGAGGGAGGAGTAAGGAGGAAGGGAAGAATGAGAAGAGAAGTACGAGGTAGGAGAGAAGAGGCAGGAGGCAGAAGGGACATTTATTGCTGTAAAAGAAGACAAGATTCGGCAGACACACACACGCAACCATACACAAACGTACACAAGCAGTTACCGTAGAGACGACGAGAGACGGAGTGACCAAGAGCAACTGCCAGTGCTGCTGCGACCAAGCAAGATCGGTGATGACCAAGGAAGAACACCAGTTGCCAGACAACAGGCACCAAAACCAGAACAAATACCATAACACCTAATACAAACCATTGCACCGCTCACCTTGCTCACCAACCATTGCACCCTAGCGTATTCGTAAACTCTATTCGTATTTCCTAAAAACATTCGTCTAAACAAGCTTTAACGCCCGGAGACGACGCCTGTGGTAGGTTGCATCCAGAAAGATGTCTAGTTCTTGGCAGAAAGGGCAACAACACCGGGAAGAGCCTTACCCTCAAGAAGCTCAAGAGAAGCACCGCCACCAGTGGAGACGTGGGAGAGCTCGGCCTCCTTACCGTACTTCTTGGCAACAGTGGCAGTGTCACCACCACCGATGATGACAACAGAGCCGTCATGGGCAGCCTTGACACAAGCGTCAAGCATGGACTTGGTGCCGTTGGCGAACTTGTCGAACTCGAAGACACCGGCGGGACCGTTCCAGACAATGGTCTTGGAGGTGGCAATGACATCGGCGAACTTGGCAGAGGAGACAGCACCGCAGTCAAGACCCATCCAACCCTCAGGGATACCCTCAGCGTCGGTGGCAGTACCAACAGTGGCGTCCTTGTCGAACTTGTCGGCAGTGACGAAGTCAGTGGGGAGGAAGACCTCGACGTTGTTCTTCTTGGCCTTCTCAATCATGGATTGGACGTTTTGAGAACCGGCCTCATCGAACAAGGAGTTACCGATCTTCATGTTGTCAAGGACCTTCTTGAAGGTGAAAGCCATACCACCGCAGATGATGAGGCGGTTGACCTTGTCCAAGAGGTTGTCAATAAGTTGGATCTTGTCGGCAACCTTGGCACCACCCAAGATGGCAAGGAAGGGGCGGACGGGGTTCTCAAGAGCCTTGGCGAAGTAGTCGAGCTCCTTCTTCATAAGGAAACCGGCGACACGGACCTTGTCGACACCGACCATGGAGGAGTGGGCACGGTGAGCAGTACCGAAGGCATCGTTGACGAAAACGTCACCGAGAGAAGTCAAAGACTTGCGGAAAGCCTCAACCTTGGCGGGCTCGGCCTTCTCCTTCTTACCGTCGACCTTGCGGGAACCCTCCTCCTCGATGTGGTAACGGAGGTTCTCCAAGAGGATGACCTCACCGTTGGTGGCAGCTTGGCAGGTTTGCTCAACCTCAGGACCAACACAGTCGTTGAGGAACTTAACGGGCTTACCCAAAAGCTTCTCCAACTCAGCGGCAACGGGCTTCAAGGAGTACTTGGCGACGCGCTCACCGTTGGGGCGACCCAAGTGAGACATGAGGATGACGGCCTTGGCCTTGTGCTCAATGGCGTACTTGATGGTGGGGAGAGCACCAACGATACGAGCGTTGTTGGTGATGCGGTCACCGTCCAAGGGGACGTTGAAGTCAACACGCATGAGAACACGCTTGTCAGTCAAGTCGATGTCAGTGATGGAGAGCTTAGTGGAAAGAGACATGTTGTGAAGAACGAATAAATGAATGTTCGTGGTGATTAGTGGACGAAGATGTCTGCCTTTTATACCTGTCTGGCGCGGAACCCATGACGCACTCGGAAACTTCCATGGAAGCCTGTAGATCGAGTGCTCGGAGAAACTGAGTGTCATGGCACAGCCGGAAGACACTAAAGCCGCTACGATTGGCCGATGATCCGATTTACCGATGCTTGTTTTCGCTCCTCGTCCGCTTATCTCTCGGAAAAACTCATCGGTTGACCTGAGGTGTCTAATTTGCGTCATTAGTACGACATCCCCGCACCTTAACAACGCCTACGTAGCGCCTCATTCGTCCGAAGTCACTCCACCCCGTCGCCAGGTGCGAAAACCGCGACAAAGCTTCCCCCAGTACTGGTGATCACTGCACATTAATTCTCCGAGCTGCAGATCATTGCTGTCGATCCGTCGATCATTTACTACGAGCATGAGCACAATACGTCATTCAGTCACTGAAACATATGTCTATTGAACTATGTATACAACAAGAACCAGGAAAGAAAGAGTGGAAATGCGTCTGCTGGTTGAAAGCAGACGCGTCATTAGCATTCGTCACAGTCGCTTGACGGCACTCAGTCGCAAAGGCGCGTGCAGAGGCAAAGCACCGAGCTCCGATTCTGCACACACACGCCGACCAGTAGGTTATACTGCTACAGCGCGACACTGCGACGGTCGTCAAACGCGTCGTCACTCGGTGCAACGGTTGAAGTTGCATCGCTATGAATTTGTTTACTGGCACGCCAATTAAGACCTTTGCGTGATAGGCAGGAGAACGTGAGAGAGGGGAGAGAATAAAATCAAACGATGACAGCGGGAAAGGGAGCAGGTGTTAGGCGGCGAGAGCCAGGAGAAGGAGTCGGGTCACACACGCACACACATATACACATTAGTGTGCGCGGACACACGACACGGTTGCCCGGGAGACTTAGAACTCGAGCTTCTTGGGTTGCTCCCAAGGCTTGGTTTGGTCGGTGAAGTGACCGTAGTTAGCCGTGGAGAGATAGAAGGGAGTCTGGAGCTTGAGCTCTCTAACGAGAACACCGGGACGGAGATCAAAGTTCTTGCGGATGATCTCGACAAGCTCGGCAGAGCTCTTGGAGGAGGTACCGTAGGTCTCGACGAAAATAGACAAAGGCTCAGCGACACCAATGGCGTAAGAAAGCTGGACAAGAGCACGACGAGCAAGACCGGCAGCGACAAGGGACTTGGCAACCCAACGACCAGCGTAGGCAGCGGAACGATCGACCTTGGAGTAGTCCTTACCGGAGAAGGCACCACCACCGTGGGCACCCCATCCACCGTAGGTGTCGACAATAATTTTACGACCGGTCAAACCGGCATCACCTTGGGGACCACCAATGACGAAGCGACCAGAGGGCTGGATGTGGTAGATAGTGCGATCGTCAAGGAACTTGGCGGGAATCGTCTTCTTGACGATCTTTTCGAGAATCTCAGAACGGAGATCCTCAGTGGAGATCTCATCGGCGTGTTGAGCAGAAACGACGACGGTGTCGACACGGCGGGGAATGACGGCACCGTTGTCTTGCTCGTACTCGACAGTAACTTGTGTCTTGGTGTCAGGACGCAACCAAGGAAGGGTACCGTTGCGACGAGCCTCGGACATGGCAGCGTTCAGGCGGTGAGACAAGAGAACGGTCAAGGGAAGCAACTCGGGGGTCTCGTCGGTAGCATAACCGAACATGATACCCTGGTCACCAGCACCCAACTCCTCCAAGGCCTTCTCGTAGTGAAGACCCTGGGCAATATCGGGGGATTGTTGCTCAATAGCAACAAGCACATTACAGGTCTTGTAGTCAAAACCCTTGTCAGAAGAGTCGTAGCCGATGTTCTTAATGGTGTCACGGACAACCTTCTGGAAGTCAAGCTTGGCACGGGTAGTAATCTCACCGAAAACCATAATCATACCGGTCTTGGCGGCAGTTTCACAAGCAACCTTAGAGAAGGGGTCTTCCTTCAAGCATGCATCCAAAATAGCATCAGAAACCTGGTCACAGATCTTGTCGGGGTGACCCTCACCGACAGATTCGGAGGTGAAAAGAAAAGTCTCGGGCTTGGACATTTTAATAAATTGTTTAGTGGTAAGAAAGATAAAAATCTAGTTTATGAATATAGAAATAGAAATACACGTAATGGACGACGCCAAACAGAAAAAATTGACCTTTTCTTCAATCCACAGAGCAGCACAAGGTTCGTAGTTTCACCCAGACTGTTGGGTTTAAAATTAAGGGAATCGCTCATTATATGTCGTGCGCCAAAGTTGCGTGACTGCTAATCGCGTAACCGACAGCCAGTTTCACGCGTTCATGTCTTTTTTTCGCACCCCTGTCGATGACGACATTTTGCTGAGAAGCCAAAATGCTTTAAGCTTTGCGGGGGCGGAGATCCAGAACGCTGGACGGTGTAGCGCGCAAGTGCGATCTGGCCAGTCAGCTCTCGCGGGCGTGAGCCATACAGAATGTGTGTAACTTAGCTGCATGACTGGGGAGAAGTAGTGAATTAAATGCATGGATCGCTTTGATAGAACGTTATTCGTTAATAGGCTAGAAATATATGTACGATTATTTTTTCCCTCTTCTGAAGCCAACTTGGGTTTTTGGTGCGCGGTTCTTTTCCCTTTGCCAACTCCCTCCCACACCGTCGAGATCATGAGCAGCAACAGCTTGACGAGAATTGCTATTGTCAGTTCTGACAAGTGTCGGCCGAAGGTATGTGGCATTGTTTTGGTAGTCGTTATGGTTGGCTGTTGCCATTTTTGTTTCTCGAGTTTCTGGTTTTTTTTTTCTCTCTTTTACAAGCTATACTTGTTTACGACTGCTGCGATTACTTGCTAGGTTTATTTAAAAATGCAGGGCTAACCTATTTTTTTAGAAATGTCGTCAGGAGTGCCGTAAATCCTGTCCAGTTGTCCGTACAGGAAAGCTGTGTATCGAGGTTACACCTAATGACCGTATCGCCTTTATCAGTGAAACTCTGTGTATCGGTTGCGGTATTTGCGTGAAAAAATGTCCTTTCAGTGCCATTAACATCATTAATCTGCCCACCAATCTCGATCAGGAGGTTACGCACAGATACTCGGCCAACTCGTTCAAGTTGCATCGTCTTCCTACTCCTCGGCCTGGTCAGGTGCTGGGTTTGGTGGGTACCAACGGTATCGGCAAGTCTACTGCTCTTAAAATTCTTTCCGGAAAGCTGAAGCCCAATTTGGGTCGTTATGACAATCCCCCTGACTGGGACGAGGTTGTCAAGTTCTTCCGCGGTAGTGAGCTTCAAAACTTCTTCACGAAGGTGCTGGAGGACAACATCCGCGCCTTGGTGAAGCCTCAGTACGTCGATCACATTCCTCGTGCCATCAAGGTGGCCGACAAGCGCGTCAACACCCTTCTTTCTGGCCGTGCAAACAACAACAATTTTGAGGATATTATCAAGGAGCTCGAGCTTACCGGTGTGCTGGATCGCGATGTTTCACTATTGTCTGGTGGTGAGCTGCAACGTTTTGCCATTGCAGCCGTCGCTACCCAAAAAGCTGATGTTTACATGTTTGATGAGCCTTCGTCGTATCTCGACATTAAGCAGCGTCTCAAGGCTGGTCGTGTCATTCGTAGTCTGCTTGGTGCTACTAACTATGTCATTGTCGTTGAGCACGATTTGTCCGTTTTGGATTACCTTTCCGACTACGTTTGTGTGCTTTATGGTGTGCCTTCTGTGTACGGTGTTGTCACTCTTCCCTACTCTGTCCGCGAGGGTATCAACATTTTCTTGGATGGTCACATTCCCACTGAGAACCTGCGTTTCCGTAATGAGGGTCTTTCTTTCCGCCTCGCCGATGTTACGGAAGAGGCTACAGTGGAACGTACTGCCAATTACAACTATCCCAATCACGAAATCACTCAAGGCAACTTCAGCCTTAAGATTAAGTCTGGTGAGTTTTCTGATGCAGAGATTATTGTGCTGTTGGGTCAAAATGGTACGGGTAAGACTACATTCTGTAAGTGGATGGCCAAGAACTCGGACTTGAAGATTAGTATGAAGCCTCAGACAATCGCACCTAAGTTCCCCGGCTCCGTCCGTATGCTGTTCTTCAAGAAGATTCGTGCTGCCTTTTTGAATCCCAAATTCCAAAGCGAAGTCTGCAAGCCTTTGAACATCGACGCCATTATTGATCAAGAAGTCCTCAACCTTTCCGGTGGTGAGCTGCAACGTGTTGCTATTTGTCTTGCTCTTGGTATGCCCGCTGATGTGTACCTTATTGATGAACCTTCTGCCTATCTTGATTCTGAACAGCGTATTATTGCATCCAAGGTCATTAAGCGTTTCATTATCAACTCTCGCAAGACTGCCTTTATTGTCGAGCACGATTTCATCATGGCTACATACCTTGCTGATCGTGTCGTTCTCTTTGAGGGTGAGCCTTCCAAGCGTGCTCTCTGTAACCCTCCTCAATCTCTCCTTACGGGTATGAACTCGTTCTTGAAGATGTTGGACGTTACTTTCCGTCGTGATCCCAATACTCTCCGTCCTCGTATTAACAAGTACGACAGTCAAATGGACCAGGAGCAAAAGGCCAGCGGCAACTTCTTCTTTTTGGAGAACTAAAATATTTGACAATTCGTTACGGATGCTTGTTTATTTCGGGGTTATAAAAACTAATTTACTTCTGGTGTTTATGGAATTAATATTGGAGGTTGAAGGAGGGTGAGTTATGAACGTATATTGGGGTGTAGAAAGGAACGGGGACAACGGCTGTATGTTACAGGATTGCAATGAGTTTATCTGGACGGAGGGATTGCCAGAGGGGGTTTTGTTGTTTCTTTAGACGACTTGATAGGATGGTTCGTTAATTACGGAGCATGAAACATGGCGAGGGGCACGGTTTTATATCTTACTGTTTTTAATAGAATTTGATATTAATAGATTCAAAATATTATTCCTCGCTTTATAGGGTTGAGATACTTGGAATTTAATTCTTCATAAAAAAAATAAAATAAATAAATAAATAAAGATAGCTATATTTAAAAATTAACTGTATTAATATTACAGCAACGGAATGACTAAGATTACGTGAGTAAATTCAAGCTTATTTTATTCAAAACATTCAGTAAACTTATTCTAATTTAACTGATCGGCAAGAAATTACTTTTCATTAAACCCTTAGAATACAACCACAATGTTTTACTTAGTGCAGCTCTATTGCATTTAGCTATTACATAACCATACATAGTAAATCGCTTTATATAAAAGCAATTGGCCGATTATTTTGTTTCTTCCGTATTCCACGTGTCTCGTTTTTGCATCAGAAGATTGAATCCTAAGACTACGGACTTTGAAGACCGCACCAGAATTCCGAAATACTCAATTAGCTCCTTATAATTGACTTTCTTTCTTGCTACTTAGATTACTTTACTACTCCTCTGCTCTCCACTATCTTTTGCTTTCATCTGCTCAGTCTCAGTCCCAGCGGCTTTTCTGCCACACCCTTCCTCGACTCAATTAAGGTTTGTGGTAATCGGTGTAACCTACCGTTCGCCATCACGCATCCACAAAAATACACAAAATTGGAAATTGAGATTAGAATTGGTCATTAACTTGCTCTCACTGTTCTAGTGAATGCCCATACTCTTTTTTCTAAAAGATGAACGTGGACGAGGAGTTTTGCCGTGTTTGCCGGTGTGAAGGGACGCCAGAGTCACCTCTATATCATCCTTGGTACGCGTTTTTCTAGATCCAGATTAAAATGCTGACACCTTTACAGCAAATGCAGTGGCAGTATTCGTTATGTTCATCAGGAATGGTAAGTTGTTGCGTTCTTAGTGCTTTTCGCGTCTCTTTCTCGGCTTGCAGCTAACAGAAGCATAGTCTGGTTGAATGGCTGAAACACAGTCGCAAGAAATACTGTGAACTCTGTTACACACCGTTTAGTTTTACAAAAGGTTTGTGTCTAGCTTGCTTGTATTTAATTGTCTAACACGAAATTCAGTATACGCAGATTCTATGCCACGCACCCTGCCCTTCAAAGTTTTGTGCATTCAAATGTGGAAGAGCTTCTTGAGCTTCGCACAAATCTTGTTTAGAGGTCTTGTTGCTTGGTTCTTCTATGGCTTTGCCTTAGAATACTGTTCGCGATTTGCGTTCGTACTTTCCTTGCAAATTGGTGACTATTTGGCTCATAACAAGCCATCTACTATGCCACGGATGACTGAACCCTTGTTCCCAGTGTTGCCAGACTTTGTTTATAAGGTTGTACCCTTCCCTGGTCTGATGACCCGTGTTGTGGATGGATTCTTCATTGCTTTATTTACAGTGTCTGTGTTTGTAACCTTTGCATTAATTCGGGAATGGGTCCTGCAAAACGCTATTCAGGTTGCTGATGAGATGCAAGACCAACGGGCTGAAATGCAGGATCAACAGGCGCCCGGAGCTCCGAATGCAGCTGATATCCGGAATGCTCGAGCACATGTCGCATTCATTATTGAGCAGATGCAAAATGAGCAGCGTCGTTTGCAGGAGCGTCGGCAACAGAATAATCAAATTGCCCAACAACCTGACAACATTCCCCAAAATGCCGGAGATGCAAACGGACTCTTGGGAGAACTCGTCCATGCGATAGCTCAGGAAGCGCGCGATCAGGAACAGCAAGATGGCGCTCATGATGCTGTTCACCCAGAGGAACCCCAGGCACAACATTTAGACCCGGAAGTGGAAGAGGAAAATGTTCATCAGCCTGCTCGCGAGGAAAGACCAATTGATGACGTTTTTCACCTTGGCGGAGAGGAAAATACAGATTTGCCTAGACGTGACGTCCACCTTGATTCTGCTGAGGAGCGTAACCATGAGGCCGTAGCCAACCACGATGTCGAGACCACTTCTTCCGACGATTCTGGCTTGGACGATCAACAGCAAGAAAACCGTAATGAGCCTGCCTCGGATACTGATGAGCAGGAGGCTGTTGTTCGTAATGCTGTCGACCGAGCTGCTCAGGAAGATGCTGCCATTGAGGCCGTTAGAGCCCAACAAGTTGCCGAGGCGGAAGAAGGAGAGGATGATTTTCTTGAATTACTTGGATTGCGTGGCCCTATCGGTGTTATTATCAAAAACAGCTTGTCGGCTATTATCGCTATGCAATTATTGCTACAGTTATTTATTGATTTCCCCTATATCTGGGGTCGTATTGTGATAGAGACTACTTTCTATGTTTTACGGAGTCCTGCTTCACTTATAACTGGTTCTTTTGCCATAGTTAGCAGACTGGTTTCTTTCTTTGGTTCAAGCATATACAACCTTATTTACCTTGTATCTCGTGTTCCAGGTGTGTCTGCCGTATTTAAAAAGATCGGAATTTATGACTTTTTCTCGACATCTTTCTCTGAGGTGGTGAATCAGTTGAAGTCCAAGTTGACAAGCTACATTGTGATTCCAGGAAGCCAATTGAGTGTAATGACGTCTTTCTTTAGAACAGAGAATCTCGAGTGGGCTTTAAAAAAGCTGAAGATGCTTCCTGTGTATCGTGTGGCACATATGTTCTTGAACGTTTGCATTGATTTCTCCAAAAACTACTCCGTCAGGCCGATAGACCGACTTGTCTCCATCGGTTTTGGATACTTGATGTTCTTTGGAATTGGAATGTGGTATTTGAAGAGAAAGAAATTTATCGGCAGCCATCCTCAAGTCCAGAATTTCGAACTTGCATTGCGAGAGATTTTGCAACAGTGTGTTTCTGTTGCCAAATTTATTATTATTTTCGCTATCGAGTTAGTCGTTTTCCCTTTCTTCTGTGGAATACTTATCTGCTTCTGTCTTCAGGGCGTATTTCCCAATTGGGATTTGAACTTCCTACACAGTTCAATGGTTTCATTTCCATATCGTACTGGCTTTATTACATGGTTCCTTGGCATCACCTACATGTTTGAGTTCGCTTTGTTCGTTTCAAACATTCGTAAGGTTGTTCGGCCCGGTGTGCTCTTCTTTCTGCGTGATCCCAACGATCCTAATTTCCATCCTTTACGTGAGACACTCGAAAAACCACTTCTGCTTCAACTGAAAAAGATTGGTTTTAGTGCAATTTTGTACTTTGCTTTTATTATTGGATGCGTAGGAAGTGTCGTTTATGTCATACGCCTTACGGGTTTAGTCTTTCCTCTTACATACCACAGAGGAGAATTTATTTTCATAGCGCCTCTCGACTTGCTGGCTATTCATGCCTTAATTTATACTATCGGCAAGCGCATTGGTCCTTTGAAAATTGTTGAAAGCGTTTGGACTTTCATTCTTTCTGCACTCTGTCGTTGCCTGCGCATCTCTTCTTATGTCATGGGAAAACGTTATGTTGCAGAAGAAGGTCATTTTAAAAACAAACTGTTCCCAATGCTTGCTCGCTTACGTTTCAAATCCATTGTTGGCGAGGATGTTGTTGAGGAGGAAAAACTCGATTTGTCGCCTGAAAATTTTGAGCGTGATGGCTGCTTCGTTCGCTGTCCATCCTTCGATGCCGTTCCGGTAAAGAAAAACGCTATGCTCATATTTGTTACGGAAGACGGTCATGAACTACAAGGCGAAAAGAAGAAGCTGGAGGAATCCAACGAATTTATGCTTGCCTACGCACCGCCGAAGTTTTATGCTCGGTTATGGGGGCTCTTGTTGTGTTCTTGGCTTATTGCTGCCATTGCGAACATCTTCATTGTAATTGTTCCAATGCTCGTTGGCCGCCGGCTGTATGCCTACATGTTGCCCAAGGCTGTGGATAATGACATTTATGCTTACACTATTGGCATAGTGTCCCTGGGATTTATCGCTTACACGATTTATCTTCTCCGGACGTATCGGGAAAAGTTTACCTTGCATTCTGTGACAAGTTTCATTCGTCAATATGGCTTAGTCCAATTGGTGAAAACTACCGCTTGGGCTTGCTACATGGTTTCCGTTTCACTGTTTGTTGTCCCGCTGTTGGTAGCTGTTGCGCTTGATTTGTATTTCGTTATCCCCATCCGGACCTTAATTGTGTGTTTCGAGAGCAACTCGGCCCTGAAAATCAATAATCTTACGGTAGACCTCAACATGGACTATTATGTGGCCTTGTGTGTTCTCTTCTCATTCGGCTTCATTCGGTTCTCTCTCGAGCAAGGTTTAAACAACCTTAATGATGCCTTGAGCCAACTTTGGAGACGTGGTGGTCTTGGTCTTAAGACCATCGCTTTTTTGTTTGCTTTCATTGTGTTCCCTTTTGCCTTTGGCGTGGCCACACTTCCACTCGTTGATAATGTTTTCCAAATGATCAGCAAACATATTCCGATACCTGAATTCGTTACCTTCTCATACCAGACGTTATATTGCCGGGCTTGCTATCCCCTACTCTTCAACGCTATATTATTTTCCTTCTTGTTTACTAGGGCTAAGCGTTTGTTTTCCAGTTGGACCGTAGAAGTTCGTGATGATCTTTACATGGTAGGAACGAAACTTCATAATTACGATGATGCTGGTGCAAGTCGTGCCGAGCAATAGGCTCTCTATTGTTTTGGTAGCATATGGAAAAAAATGTCGAAAGTGTTCATTATTAATGTTATATGAAGAAGGTTTAACGGACCATTATTTTATATAGAAAGCTGTGTTACTCCATAGTATAGCAATGAAGTATCAGAGCGCCGTTTCTTTTGGTTTGTCTTTAAACTTTGAGTTGCGTATAACAATTAAGTCTGTGTCTTGGGATTACATTTTTTTTACACTTAATAATTCTACCAAATCACCGACCAAACAGAAGATTTGTAATAATTATAATATTGTTTGTTGATAGAGGAGTGAGGCTTTAACTCCGGTAGACTTGTTCACTTTTTGATTCTCATCTTGCTTCTTCTCCGTAGTACTTTTATCCTGGAGAGCCCAAGAAAGCTACCATAATACTAGAGTAAAAAACTGGATTCACGAAACACAATCTTGGGCTAATCCTATAGGTAGAGCGTTCCTTCAAATTTCCTTGAGAGCGTTATTTGTTTGCTTTTTCCACACGAGCTGTTCTTTAGGGTTAATTCAAGATGAACTCGCTACCTGATTCACCAATCCCGATTAAACAATTCGTTTCTCGGTTTAAACAGGGATCCACGAAACAGATGTACATTCCGTGTATTTCTGTAGTAGTGATTCTGATTCAATGGCTTGTTTCAATTGGTTCATATTCAGGAAAAGGTGCACCTCCTATGTTCGGTGATTTTGAAGCACAAAGGCATTGGATGGAGCTCACATTACACGTTCCTATATCACAATGGTACTATGAAAACTTGGAATGGTGGGGACTTGATTATCCTCCGCTGACAGCTTTTGTTTCTTGGCTTTTTGGTATCATTGGTAACTATTTGGGTGATCCTGCTTGGTTCGCTTTTGAAGCTTCTCATGGCTTGGAAACGGAGGGACTTAAGTTGTACATGAGATCTACTGTTATAATTTGCCATGCTTTAGTCTTGACACCTCCGTTAATTTTCTATTCAAAGTGGTGGACCCGTCGGATTCCGGATTTCGTTGAAAGAGTATGGATAACATGCGCCGTGTTATACTATCCTTAAAATGTGTACTAACTACGATTTAGAATGCTGTCCTGACGATGGTTTTATTGCAACCAGCTCTCATGCTTATCGATCATGGTCACTTCCAATACAACTGCGTTATGCTTGGTCTTGTAATGTATTCAATTGCTAATTTGTTGAGAGATCAATATATCGCAGCGGCAATCCTGTTTTGCCTCTCTGTTTGTTTTAAGCAAATGTCTCTTTACTTTGCGCCAGCAATCTTTGCATATTTGTTAGGTCGTTGCATGAAGCCTCGATTTAACCCCCTGCGACTTTTATCTCTTGGCTTAACTGTAATCTCGACTTTTGCATTAAACTTTTTGCCCTGGTTATATCTTGATTATCGTAAGCAAATTCCTCCAGGTTTTACATCGAATTTTTCCCTTCGCTAGAGGTCTATTTGAAGACAAGGTAGCGAACTTCTGGTGCGCTATTAACGTTATCATCAAAATTCGAAAGATCTTTTCGTTGGAACAATTAAAGTTAATTAGTCTGATATTCACACTGGCAGCTATCCTTCCATCATGCGTGATGCTCTATATGTATCCCCGAAAGAGACTCCTTGCTTTCGGTTTCGCCAGTTGTGCCTGGGGCTTCTTCTTGTTTTCTTTCCAAGTCCACGAAAAGACGGTGCTGCTGCCTTTAATGCTTACTACTGTTCTTCTCTGTCATGGTTTAGCAGATGTTAAATCTTGGGTTTCGTTGGCCAACAACTTGGCGGTATTCAGGTATGGTTTTAATTTCCGAGTCTGTATACTCTAGCATTTACTACCGTTTACTAACAATTTAAAAAACAGTCTTTGGCCATTACTGAAACGCGACGGACTTATTCTTCAGTTCTTCGTATTAGTTATGATGTGGAACTGGTTGGGACGGATGATTGTCTTTTCTAAGAATCTTTTCTTCCGATACCTTCAAGCTGTAAGTTTCTAACTTAATTCTGTGATTCTAACACCAGTAGTCATTTTATGTTGCTATGATTGTTCTTCTTTTGACTGACATATTTGTTTCGCCTCCCGCACGATTCCCTGATATATGGGTTGTGCTCAACGTCCTTGTCTCCTTTGCTGGATTCGTGGTAATTTGGCTCTGGTTGATCCTTCGTATGCTGCATGTAACAAGCAAGCTTTCACACGACCTGAATATTAAAAAGCAAAACTAATTATTATTCAACTCCCATGGAGGAATTAATACTTTACTTTACCAAGTTCTATCATGACAGCGACATACAAATTACAGACCGAAGGAAATCCTTTAGAAAATATGATGATAAACGAAAGTAGCTAATGATAGAAAGAAAGACAAAAAACAACTTTACCGAATGGAGGAAACGATGGAATGGGTGCCGTATTAGTACAGAGCCAGTTGACTCGTTAAGACATTCGAATGCACAAGAAACGGGATATTGTTTGGGTCCGCAGGGTTTGCGGATATGATTGGAGGATATAGTCTAAGAGGTGTCAAACACGGCTTTTGCAGAAACCGTTTGAATATGGTCAGCAATGACAGGTTCACCAGGAACGTTGCTTTCCGAATAGGAAGCTGCTGGTGCCATCTCGCTTGCAGTCGCAACATTCGTTTTCATCGATGTTGCGACTTTTCGAAGAGGTTGACGCTTCCGCTTTGTAGAAGCTACTCTCTTCGGGCGAGAAGACTCGTCTAACCGTATCTGCTCCAACAAATCCTCGCATCGCTTCGCAAGTTCTTTTGAACTCCAGTCCGCAGTTGATGAAAAGAGTGCAGGATCATCCAAGAGAATATTAATTTCAGTAGGGACCAAACAAAACCGCTCATTATGCTCAATTAATGAATGAACAGCCTCAATAGCAAGGAAACTTTCATCAACAGGATCATTGCTCTTCGAGTAGAGAATGTTGGGGGTAATTACTGTTGCGAGATTATGAATGTCCATTTTGCTACCAAGGTCATCATTAATGTGAGAGAAGGACGCAACCCAATACAAAAATCCAAAAATTATTTCCATAGTATCACGGTGACTTTTTGGAAGAAGACATATAGTAAGATGAAGAACTCGTAGCCGGTCTTCCTCCTCTTCAAGTTTGGAAGATGTAATAAATAAACCAAAAAGCTTAAATGTTAAAAGGGGATCCGGTAATTCACGTAAAAACTTTTTGAGCAAGGCGGCTAACTGGATAGAGCCTTCATTTTCAAAATGGACACTTTCCGGGGTGTTGTCAACTTGATCACTGAGCTCCTTCAGACGGCGAATATTTCCGTTCTTACGAAACACGCCAACCACAGACATATCTTTCTGTTTCATGATTTTGAGAGTGTCTTCAATAAACTGCGGGACCCGACTCACTCCGCCTTCGTGAGCCAAGCTTGATTTCACGCCGTTACGTTCCACTAAAACGTCAAGAGGAACACCAAAGACACCTTTTTTCCTCATGTTTTTACGATCACTGTCCCGGCTTTTGAATGCTTTTCCAAATTTCTCCCAAAATCTTCCCTTCCGTAAGTCGCTCATTTCCATTAGCTCATCAAGAGAATAGTAATCTTTCACCAAAGGATGTAGTGTCAGGACTGCAACATGCTTGGTAAAAAGCAGTTGCAGATTCGTGAGCTCTGTAAAGCGACGTTGGGGAGGGGTAGCGGGAAGCGAAAGGCATTGCTGATCGCCCGTTCGGACAATATTTTCAGATGCCTTCCGAATGGAAGAAGCTGCAAAGCTGGGCATATGACGAAAAGCATTAGGACGATGTTCGCGATTACGCTGTTCAGCAATGACTTTGGGGATGTCGTCAAGTGTGAATGCTCGACAATCATCGTACAGTTCTAACGGGGGTTCCTTTTCTTCAATTGTCTTCGGAAGTTCGTGAGAATTCGAAGCTTTAGGTCGTTGTTGAATATCGGGTGTAATTATAAGTGAAGTGGATTTCGTAGGATGATGTCCCTTCATTCTGGTAACTGGGGTCGAAATGTCAGGCACCAGAACACTTTGAGAACGAGAGATATTGCGTGAAGATTTCAACCGGCGCAAATCGTTAAGTGTGGATGCATACTTTTTGAAAGTATCAACACTTGATTCATCATTTTGAGTGCTTCGTGAATCGGATGAGCTAACAACAGTGGATGAACTGAAATTGACTTGCTTTAGTTGCGATGTTGGTTTAATAGGCGCAAGAGTATTGTCAGCCAAAATTCGGTAAAGTCGGGCAAGAGCAATTCGCAAAAGGTAGGTATACTGAGTAAGACGACTAGCGTATCTGAAATGGCAATCACTAGACTGCAAATCGGGGTCCGTGAAGCAAAGGTAGCACTGGATTTCCTTTTTTCGGTCATTCCATCTTGCCCAGTCAAACGATCCAGGTTTGGTGTATTTACAAGAAGCACAAGAAAGGCATTGAATGTGGCATCGAATGTCTGAGCAATATACGCAGTCTTCCTCTAAGGCTTGATGGCAAATGTAACATAAATCAGATTGTGCATCCGCATAAGAAGGAGGTATTTGAAAACGTTTCGTCGAATAACTTTCATCAAGAAGTCGTGAATTCTCAATAATAAGAAGAAATTGAGGGAGTGCAGCTTTAAACTTGTGATCTTGCTCAAGGCGCAAGCCACCAGTCAAAGATATTCTTATCAACAATTTAAGATAGTGGGCCAAACCGGAAAAGAGTGAAAGAAACTCTTGCACAGCAGAGACTTCACGTAGTTCGGTTTTATGACATTTGGCTATTAGCGCAAATATAGATACAAGCTTCTTGCACAATAGCTTAGCCTCACGAATATAAGGCATACCCTTCGCCTGATGTTTAAACAAATTGTGTTCCAATGAATCAATTCCCTTAAATAAAACCTCAACATGCATAATAAACTTTTGAACAACAAGGACACATTTCATAAAATCACGGTTGGAAACATGAAGAAGCATATCACTAATGCAGGAAGCTGTGTACTCTTCATAGGCGGACAAAGTCCGCCATATATGAAAGATACGCTGTTCCATCTGCTTCTCGTGTTTTTTGTAGAGTACGGAGTCCTGTTCATCCTGATCAACCAACGCACCGTCTGATACATCTTGTTTCCCAAGAACCTCGTCAGTAGCAGTCGGGAGCTTCACATTCCAGAATTTGAAAATCATATGGCAGGGAACATGCCAACTCTGAACTGTACCATTACGAAAAACTTCGACGAATTGACGAAGAATCGGTCCTCGACAACCACAGCAGCGTGAAGCAAACATTGTGGAGTAATGATAGTGACAATACACATTTCCATCATGTTCGTAGTAGGAGTCATTCGGCCCAAATATCGTAGAACACAATGTACACGTAAAATGTTCAATATGATACTTTTTGTTTAAGGCAGTAATGTAGTAACCGCGCAAGGCCATGCCACAATTCGCACAGAGCAAGTCAAGTCGGCGGAAATAATCCTTCTCACAGAGAGGTATTTGGCCTGTATGATCTGCACTTTCTGTAGGAAAGAATTTTGTAGCAACAGGAACACCACAGTCATAACACCGAAAACAATCCAAGTGGAAAATGTCGTTTAGCGCTCGTACGTATTGACCAGAAACAGGAAGTCCACAACGCCCGCAAATTCTCGATGAAGTGGTTTTTCTCGACCGTATCGGCTTAGACTCCGTTTTCCCCGTGAAAGACTTGCCTCGTGAACGCACTAGCATGCTGCGTGAGCTGGGATAATGATTTATTGGCGCTGGAGAGTCTGGTCGTGAGGAACAATGACTATCTGAACGCATGTGTGTAGCTGTTCGAGCTGATGTGGCTCGAGAGTTACATTTCATACTCAGAGAAAGAGACGAAGTCTCCGCACTGTAGTCAGTCTCTCGAGAAGACAGTTCACGTCGTACCGTGGCGGGCTTATTTTCTTCAGCATGATCTTCGTGACTACTCATGCTCACAGATAGAGACTAAAAACAAGTTGAAGAGGACAGTTGCTGTCCAAACACGCGGTGCTAGCAGAGCTGATGATCGTTACTGGCACGAATACCGTATAAAATGATTCTGACGCTGAAAGCTCCGCCAGCACAAGGCTCCTTGTATAAACGAAAGAAAGCCGGCTATGGTTTCTAATATTTTCTTTTACAGCGGAATATATGCTTTATTAAAGAAAAATAAAAGAAACTCGAGCTTTCTTAGATGAAGTTGGTTGTGGTACAAACGTGGTGGTAGTCGTTGTATAGCTACGAGCAGCGTGGTCGTTAAGGGCGTCAGCAGGCACAGGTGAAATGGATGACTATATATAGGCGTATGCAACCAAATTACAATTTGTTTTTATAATTTTTATATAGCGCAAGAGACTGCGCTTGTCGAGGCTTATTACTGCATGCATGACTGTGCACGGTTATTTTACTATTTTTCTACACCAAAACAAAAGATATTTCATAAGTTAATTATATAAATTGAATTGTCTTTTCATGAAGAACACAAATATTGATTTCAATGTGGATGTTTATTTTGACTATTTCGCATAGTTTTCGTACACCGAAGCTGGTCCAATGCTGAAGCCTGTATAGCATTAAGCTCTGTAGTAGGGAAATTCCTCACCTCCACCAACTCCATCAGCCTTGGAGAAAACTCTTTACTTTGGCCGAATCTGTTCAAAATGGCTGGAAAAGGGTCTCAATTGAAAAATTTAAAACAATCTATTCGCCAAACTGGCGTTTTCGATGCCCGAAAGGGCAAGAAACACGTTCGCCAGAGAGGTTCTATGAGTCGGGAGGAGAGAGCTTCTAAGCTGGATAAAATTCATTCTGATGTACGTTGTAATCGTTGGTTTAGGTTTTCAAATCAGCTGTTTAAGAAGTAGAGATGAATTCAGCTAACAATGTTCAGTTTAATCGATTTGATCGCCAGTACACGCGTCAAAAATTCGAAATCATTAATAAAAAGACGAAGGGTACCGAAGGACGGCCCGGCATCAGCAGAGGTGTTGGTGAAGAAATCAGAAAACGAACCATTGGCGAAAAATTAAAAAGAAAAAACAGAACAGGTGCCATCGTCGATCGTCGTTTTGGCGAAAATAATCCACTGTTGACGCCAGAGGAGAAGATGCTGCAGCGTTTCAGTCTTGAACAAAAGCGTCAGCTTGCTTCTTCAGAGCTTACCTTGGCCGACGAAGAGGTGCTTACTCATGGTTCTCGGCCTCTTTCAGAATTGGAAACTTTGGATGACCATGCACGTTCTGACGACGATATGGATATGGACGGTGAAATTGTTCGCCGTGCTCATTTCGGTGGTTTTGATGAAGATGAGGAAGAAGACGAAGGCGGTGAGCGGAAAAAGACGAAGCATGAGGTTATGCAAGAAATCATTGCTAAGTCAAAGCGGTACAAAGCAGAACGCCAAGCCGAAAAGGAGCAGCTTGAGGAGGAACGTGAAAAGCTTGATGAGGAAATGGACGATATTCAGAGTCTGCTTTCCAACTACGCTCGTGAGACTCGTAAATCGGCTGGCAAGGAAGTCAAACTGGAGCCCACGAAGGAGGATGTCAGATATGACGCCTTTGTGCGCGAAATGGTTTTTGATCGCCGTGCTCGTCCCTCTGAGCGGACCAAAACGGAAGAGGAGATTGCTCAAGCCGAAGCTGATCGCCTTCGCGAACTTGAAGAACAGCGTTTGCAGCGGATGCATAATGCAAAAGCTGGTTATGCTGATGGTCGTGAAGGCGACAGCTTGGAGGACGACTACGTTCCCGACGAAACAGATAACGTTTTTGGTTTCGGTGAAGGTTTGACTGCCAAGGAAGACGATGAGGAGTCGTTTACCGGTTTCCAGAGTGGATCTGAGTCTGAAGAGAGCGCAGACGATGAGGTTGACGATGAGGCTACTCACAAGAAATCGTCGAAGGGAAAGACGGTCCGTTTTGCGTTGGACGAAAAACCGTCGCGGAAAAATGGCGGCAAAAAAGAGCTTGCATATACGTATGAGTGCCCTCTTACACATGCACATTTCTTGGACATGCTTGATGGATTGAACGTCGAAGACCATGATACAGTTATCACTCGCATTCGCACACTTCATCACATGAAACTTCATCCCGAAAACAAGGGCCGACTGGAGAAGTTTGCGATTGTGCTTGTGAAACATATTCTTTACCTGTCGACCCAACAGTCCATTCCTTTTGGAGTCATCAATCAAGTAGCACAGCATCTTATGCGTATGGCCGAGACTTACTCCTTGGCCATCGCCAATACCTTTCGTGCAGTGCTAACAGGCATGCAAAAACGTTTGGCAGACAGCTATGCCGACAGTGAAGTGACATTTCCAGCCAATTATGATTTGGTATTCCTGAACACTATTCCCTCTATTTTCCCCACATCCGACTTAAAGCATCCAGTTGTTTCCCCAGCCATGCTAATTATGGCTGAAAGTATCTCACAAAGCAAGTGTCAAACACTTGCAGATTGGACCAGAAAGATGTTCCTGGTGAATTTGTTTGTTAAGTATCAACGCATAAGCAAGCGTTACGTTCCTGAGACTCTAAATGCTATCGCGCAACTCCTTGTTGTTCTTTCCCCGGTAGCATTGGAGAAAGCTCCTGGAGCATTCCCACTTACGGCACAGATTTGGTCATCAGGCCAAAAGCATGAGTTCGGCATTCAGGATATCTCGTTGGATGCCCCTACTAAAATTTCCCTCAATGATTTGGGAACAATGGAAGCGCTTGAGCTTCAAAGCTCCCTTTTGCTTGTTGTGCTGAACCTAGTGAAAGGTACTGCTGATCTGTTCAATGGTCAAGCAGCTTATCTTGAAATGTTTGAGCCGATACTGTCACTTCTCGGTATCTACACTGAAAACGAAAAGCTTTTACATCCCGAGTTGGCCGCCCATCTTCACACTGTCCATGATCATGTGAGCAAACTCGTTGAAAAGGCACGCGAACTTCGCAAGCCATTACAGTTGCAACAACACCGTCCCATCGCCATTTCTGCCCAATTGCCTAAGTTTGAGGAGAGATACACTGTGGAGAAGCATGACATGGATGCAGAGCGTAACGAGCTCAACAAACTGCGCGCTCAACACCGTGATGCTCGGAGAGGCGCTATCAGAACTCTTCGTCGTGATGCTCAATTCGTTGCTCGCGAGCGGTCCAAGGAACAACGTGAAAAGACCAAGGCTTACAATGAAAAGATGCGCAAACTGGAGAATCGGTTGCAGCATTTTGACTCTGCTGTCTAATTTATCAACAGTTCATGTTTTATTTTTGGTTAAATCTATTGGGTTACGGATAAAAGGGAAGGAGAATATTAGAATTATAGCTAAACGAATGGCTACTTTTTTCTATTACAAAAAGCCTCTCGATTTCATTTAAAACTTACGGGCGTCATTAACATGGGGGATGGTATTGAAACTAAAGGAAGGTATAAAACGAAGAAGACTTTGAAAACTTAACCGCTTAAAAAAAAGGTAAACAAAAACAGAAGATATTCTTAAAGCATCTACATGAAAAGGAAGGTGCTATCTATTTTATACGGACGCAAGGGAGGAGAGAATCATAATCAACCAAACAAAAGAAGGATGCGAAAAGGTGAACGGAGCAGCAACCAGAATTATCCGTTTATCATCAAAGAAAGTGCAGTCTGCAATTTCATGTTATTTTTTTCCTTAATTTCCTTCTTGTTCAGCCTCGAGCTCCTCCAAGTAGCGCATAGCCAACAAAGCAGCTTGGCAGCCGCTACCAGCAGAGGTAATGGCTTGACGGAAGACACGGTCCTGGACATCACCGGCGGCGAAGAAACCACGAATGCTTGTACGGGGAGTACCGTCAATGGTGTGCACATAACCGTCAGCATCCAACTCAACTTGGCCCTCTACAATCTTTGTAGCGGGGATGTGACCGATGGCATAGAAAAGACCGTTAACAGCCAAGTCGGAAGTAGCACCGGTCTGATTGTTCTTGATGACGATGTTGTTAAGAAGTCTGCCGTCACCCTGAGCCTCGACGACACTGGTGTTCCAAACAATCTCGACCTTGGGGTGGTTCGTCAGACGCTTGGCCATGATAGGGGAAGCACGAAGCTTGTCACGACGGACGAGCACGTACACCTTGCTGCCGTACTTGGTCAAGAACAAGGCCTCTTCAGCAGCAGAGTCACCGCCTCCGACAACAGCCAAAGGCTTGTTACGGAAAATGGGAACGGCGCCATCACAAACGGCACAAGCAGAAATACCTGCCTGCCAGTACTGCTCCTCACCCTTGACATGGAGACGCTTGGCACTAGCACCGGTAGCCAGAATAATGGTGTCAGCGGTTTCGGGCTCTTGGTCCTCGGCACCCTCGAGCCAGAACTTGAAGGGACGAGCATTCAAGTCAAGCTTCGACACGGTTTCAGTGATGATTTCCGTACCGAAACGCTCGGATTGTTGACGGAACCGTTCTGTCAATTCCGTACCACCAATAGCCTCAGGGAAACCAGGGAAGTTCTCGACCTCGGTTGTAGTAGTCAACTGACCGCCGGCAGCGATTCCATTAGCCAGCATACCCTCGTACATCGTAGGGTGGACCTCACCACGGGCCAAGTAAATTGCGGCAGTGTGACCAGCGGGACCGGATCCAATAATGACAACTTTACGGTGCATCTTTTCTATAACGATTTGTTCAAAAGTTTCTGAGTTGAAGTTGTGCAGACGTCGCGTTTACCTGGTGTGTGCGTGTGTGTTCTGTTACGACTTTATGTTGTGTTGGCGGGGTGACTAGCCAGCCTTTATACTTTTAGTCAGGGCCATTGATGTGTCATCCTGATGACTCAAAATGTGGTCCAGATTTGCAAGAGTCAAGTGGAACGAGACTGTAACGAGCGGCAGTGAGAGGTAGTGAGCGGCTATGATTTGCATCGAGTCACGAGGTGTAGCGAAGCGAGGCGAGGTCTAACGAAATGCAGTGAACTTTGACGAACGTTAGTGTAGTGCGGTGACAAACTTTAGTGAGGTTCAGCAGAGTTTGGCGAATTTTATCGAAGCTTAACGATGTTCAATGATGCAGTTTTGTGCATCGCGTTAAATTTGATAACGAGCTTTTGTGATTTATATAGAACACTATAGTGTCACACTAAATCGATTACCGATAAATACCGCACAATAACGCACATTTGTTTCCCACAACCCCCTTTGGTCGCTACACCAATTCTGCTGCACCCCTTTTGCTAGCGCTTAATGCAGCCCAGCACGGATTCGTGCATGGGATGATGGCCACCCGGGTACATTTTTCCACAGAATATCATTCATACAGCAAGTGATTGTTCATACTTAATATCATTGCCCCTCGGAACACACAACCGACGGTGGTCGCATTCCTGAACGCTTAAATTGCGCGATATCGAGCTCGTGCGACAGAGCGACCTTTTAATTCGCGTTTCATTGGACAACAATTCCCCCACAAAAAGTAAATTCACCTAGGTTGTCAAGCACCCGTGAAAAACAATTTCGGCGGTGATGAAAAATCCTAATAAAAACCTGGACGGAAAAGTTTGTTTGGCGGTTTGAGAAATGAGTTTTGTTTTTTGCTCTTATGCAACTCTGAACCCTCGTTTTTCGCCTGGCATTCCCCTTCTTCGTCCTTTTGCTGTCGCACATTTTCTTAAGCGAGCCAATCAGAAAATTAGCCGACCACGGTTTCTGAGTCCTGGATGCTGTCTGCAGGCGAAAGGATTTCGGCAACATGTAAAGTAGGATTTTCAGAAGGTATAAAGGCATTCTCTGCTGTCTGGAAGGTCGTCACTGGTCGTCACTGGTCGTGTTCTGGTTGTTTTTACTCGCTCGAATCGGCAACGAACTTTGCTCCTGCGACATTTTTTGGACTAATTCATACTTTAAAGTTCGCGACCAATACTGAGCTATTAACTTACAGCTTGAAGAGGAACAAGAGAGGAGAAGCTCAAAAAGGAAGTGTTCTGTCTTGTTAAAATAATTTTCGTTGTCTTTTCTGTAACGAATTTTCAGAATTCCATCTCTTTCATTGAACAAAATGGAGAAAGTCGGCACGAAAGTAGACACAAAAGTCGACTCGAAAGACGAAATCACCCCGGTGCATTCACCAATGGATTCGTTTTCCGACAAGCTGGACAAAAACAGCGTCGATTTGGAAACGAAGAACTTGAGTGAATTTCTTAGTAACAAACACCCTGCTCATCCTCAGAATTGGCCGGCCTGGAAACGCTGGTCGGTGCTTATTTTTTATAGTGCCATGCAGGCATTTGTGCTGTGGACGTCAAGCGCCTACGGAAGTCTCTCGTCGGCTGTGAGCGAGTATTTCCACGTATCTACACAAGTGTCCATGCTGAACATGAGTATGAACATCCTGGGATGTGGTCTGGGACCCATCTTTCTTGGTCCTCTCTCAGACATTGGCGGCCGGAAGCCCGTGTACTTGGTTTCCATGGTCATCTACATCCTCTTTAACATTTCGTGTGCAATTCCCAAGAACATCAGCCAGATGATCATTTCTCATTTCATCATTGGCGTCGCCGGCAGCACGGCATTGACAAATGTCGCTGGTAGTGTGGCCGATATGTTCTCAGAAGACGGATCTGGTATGGGTATGGGAATGTTTACCTGGGCCTGTTCGGTCAGTGCTGTTGGTTCGCCCATTGGTGCAGCTTTATACGAGAATCCGCACATGGGTTGGCGCTGGCTGTACTGGCTGAACATGATGGTCGGCGGCCTCTTCCTTTTGGGTCTTCTTTTTACGCCCGAGACGCTGCCGACACTAATCATTCGCAAGTACGAATTGGCTCAAGGACACTCGGTTGAGTTCATTCCTAAATTGACGACTAAGGATGCTGTGCGAAACATTCGTTTTGTCGTTACAATGGGTTTCCGCATCATGTTGACTGAGCCGGTTGTCATTGCTCTTGGTTGGTACAACGCTTTTGCCTACGGTGTCGGCTACTTCTTCTTGAACGCAATCTGGCCCGTGTTTGCCGGAGTGTACAAGATGTCGGCCATGGCCGCCAGTTGCACATATCTCTCCAACATTGTTGCTTGTTTGATCATCTATTTGTATCAACCAATCCAGGAGTACATTTACCAGCTTGACCGCAAGAAGCATGGCGGTGTTGGTAGACCTGAGGCCCGTTTCAAGAGTGCCGTTTGGATTTCTTTGCTCTTCCCTGCCGGTATGTTCCTGTTTGCGTTTACGTGCAGCGGTGGTCACCCTTGGATTGTGCCTATCATCGGTATGTGTATGCAAGCAATCCCCAATTCGCACAATTGGCTTTGCTGCTTGACCTACCTTACAGACGCGTACCCCGTCGTTGCTGCTTCTGCTGTTGCCGCATACACTCTCCCGAGTTATGCCGGTGCGACTGCCTTTGCCCACATCAGTATTGTCATGTTCGATAAGCTCTCACCCAAATGGGCCGTTGCCATTCTTGCCTTTGTCAGTCTTCTCATTCCCGTCCTCATTCTCTGTATTTACCTTTTCGGCAAACGTCTTCGTGACCGCAGCAAACTTACGGGTGACAAGGCAATTCGCTATCTCCCTCATTAAAACGGACGAGTACTACTTGCATGAAAAAAGCACAAATTCAATTGAGAAATGTGCTTCCCTAGCATCCGTTCAACGCCTACTGATATGTGTATTTCATTTTCCCCTTCTTGTTTACGTTTGACCTTTTTTGGTTTCCTGATAAAATTCTCAAAACATGTTATTTTTTAATTTGAGAGATTCAAAATTAGTATAATGCTTAATAACGTTTTGCCCATGTTTCGTTTGTACGAAATTATAACTAACAACATGTCGAATGCCGGGAAAGAATAATGTTGCGGACAGTAAGAGGATTACAGAAAGTGAAGTATGGCGTTTTGTTACAAGTGGAAACACTTTTAGATTTATTCTGTGAGAGAATAGCTTCTGACCTTTGAGAAGAAATAGTCACGATTCTGAGTCAAGGGAAAATCAATCTTCTCAGATGTTTGTGTATGAAGGGAATAAAATGCTAACCAGTGTAATCGACGACCACGAACTTGGAGTTCTTGAACATTGGTGTAGCGTATGGATGAATTGTAAGATACAACCAAATGTCCCGAAGGAGACATTGACCATGTGCCGACTTTTGCAGCAACTTCTGCAGAACTGAAACCAGACGGTGTGAATAAGGTTGGGACAAATCGGTTCACAAGACGGACGATGTCTTTGGGCTCGCTGGGGGATTGGTACACGATACAGGAACCATCGGGATAAAAACGAAGATACCGATAGTAAGTGATGAGATGAACGACCTGGTTCCAACCGGTATCACTGGTTCCTTCACGAAAGTAGCGACAACGATCAATGTAACAGCCATCATACCGAATTCTTGGTTTCTTTCGGAACATGTACTTCCATGAATTGTTGTAAGATTCTTTGACCTCCTGTTCTATTGCATGCAATGGCTCAAACCATTCATGATCCTCAACGCTGTAGTAACAAAACTGTTGATATAGTATGTCCGACCGTAAAGCGGAAGCAAATCTACGAGAGACGAGTGACAGTGTGCAAAGCTGTTTCACATCTGACATGGATCGAAAACAGTGTTGAAGAACTATAAGCAGGACTTCTTGTGGGAGTTTTTCAATTGCAGAAATAATGCGATGAGTTACTAGCTCATCGGGTGCGTTTACCTCTGAAGAGTCCACAGACTTTGTTTTGTCATCCTCTGTAAAAGCAGTTCGTCTACCTTCGGCCAGTTTCAATCTTTCCAATTTTCGGTACACCTCTTCTACATCTTCGTGCGATTTGTGTGCCTGTCTGTATTTTTCTAAAGAATCCGAGAGCTCTCCTTGTTGCTCGAGCTTGATAGCAGAGGAATAGAGCTCAAGAGCATTTTGTAATTCCGGTGAAATCTGACCTTCCATGAGTCCATCTGTTCTGTAGGAGAATTTCTATCGGTGCAAATGTATATATTAACGGGACAATAGTCGTTTCAAGTGAGTTTTATGTATAAGTTTCAGTATATATATAAAATAGAAGTGCTGGTTATATAGCAAGCCAGACCAGCATAAACTCCCAAGTTGCAAATATGTCAAAAAAGCAACTTGATGAGGCTCAAGTGCGGATTCCCGCAGCCATTGTCGGCTCTTTTCTAAGCTGTGTAGCTAGTAAGCTGAGTTGATTGTGTATAAAGAATGTCATTTGCTAACATGTTGCTTCTCATCACTGCAGTGACTCCATTTGACGTAGTGAAAACCCGTGTTCAGACTCAAACCTCAACCTTGCAATTCAAAAACATCGGACAGTTTACCTCTAGAATTGTCCGGCAAGAAGGATTTGGTTCATTATTTCGAGGCTTGAGTGCTGCCCTATGTCTTGTCGTACCTTCGGCAACTATACAGCTTACTAGTTATGAATGGCTAAAAGCAAAGGTTTTACCGAAAGATAAAGCCTGGGCACCGTCTGCTGCTGGAGCTTTAGCTCGGGCATGTGCGACACTTCTTGTTGCCCCATTTGAATTGGCCCGGACACGTTTGCAAAGTTCGCATCATGCGAACCAGACACGTATGCAGGCGTTCCGAAACGTGTCACGAGGAATTGTCACCGGCGTATCTGAGAATGGAATTCTTTCTGCTTGGAGAGGCGTTGGTTTAACATTGGTTATGAATATTCCGTTCAGCAGTATCTATTGGTACAGTTATGAGAAACTTCGGAAGACCTACGACCAAAAGTTTCATTCCAATGGAAACTTTATGGAAAGCTTCATTTGTGGAGGTCTCGCGGGAACTTTTGCAAGTATTGTGACTCATCCTGTAGATGTTGTGAAAACGCATCGACAAATTCAAGGTGACTTAGGTTATTCGCAACCGTTACAAAGAGTAAGTGTCATTATTCGAACATTGAATAAGCAAGGTCTCCGAGTATACTTCAGAGGAGCAATTCCTCGATGTATAAAGATTACTCCATACTGTGCTATTATGATCGGAACATATGAAGCTATGAAAGGACTACTTAGAAAGAAAAATTAGATAGAATTATTAGACTTTTTTGACAAAGCTTGTAAAACTATAGATATACGGAGGAAGGTACAGGCATATAGATTTTTGTATATACCTGAAAAAGATCAAGAACAGTTGTATGAACAACACGCTTAAAAATAAGAAATTAAGTAAACATTCTATTTAGGCATATTAAGAGGAATTACTATTTTTTTATCAATTAAGTCCTAGGGTTTCGGGTTTATAAAAATCCAAAATAATCCAAAAAAATCCCATAAAAAAATACGTATATACATATTCCTGCCTTCAATGCAATACCATAATCAAACTCAAACAATGATTTCAATTTTTTGTTAAATTATTAACTCTTTCCCTCTTCCTTTTCCGCGGTAGAAATTCAACACCACCGCGGACCTTCCGAGCTGTCCCAAGTTCATTCTTTGACCTTGCACCAAGGTATTGAAGCTGCTTTATTTGGAAAATATGACACTGAATCTGATTCGGTATGCATTTCCTTCGCTGGAACCTATGGGCTTTTTACACATTCCGCGACCATTTTTGACGGAACCTCTCCGACGCGATATTTTACAGAAAGCTGTTGTCTTTGAGGCCAATCGTGACCGTGCAGGCACTGCAAATACGAAATCTCGGTCAGAAATAAATTGTTCTGGAAAAAAATTACGACCTCAAAAAGGTACAGGAAGAGCTCGTTTAGGCGATGCTTCAAGCCCAATGCTTCGAGGAGGAGCCGTGGCTCATGGTCCAAAGCCTAGGGACTTTACAACAAAAATGCCGACGAAGATATTTAGCAAAGCAATGAGAGTTGCTCTTAGCGAACGATTTCGACAAAATGAATTGCTGGTACTAGACTCACCACTACATACGGAACAACTTACTTCAAAGCTGCTAAACGCATTTGTAAAGCTTCATGACCTTGGTGCTCCATATGGACGAACCCTCTTCATCCTGGATGACTTGTCCTACTCCACTTCTGCTGCAACAAATAAACGATTTATCGAGGCAACTACCAGTTTGGGACGGCATTGCGAATTTCTACCTGCCTCCCAATTGCAAATTAGGCACGCATTAAAATTCGGAAAGCTTGCGATAGAGCACAAAGCATTTTCAACACTTTACCAATTGTATCACGATCCTTGCTACCTTCTCCCACACCTTGCAACTGCCTCTGTCTCGACCTCCGATATCAGTGGATGTAGTTGAAAACGAATTAACTCGCTAACAAGATAATTCTCATCAGCGTCGGGAAAAGAATCTATTTTGGCAGCTCTGACTACGTTTATTTGCTCATTGTAGTTGCTTTAACGGGAAATTCTACCTTATTATCTTACTCTGCCCTAAACTCGTTTTCTTTTTATGTCGCGACTGTTCATAACGGCTGTGCAGGTTGCTGCTTTGGTATATGAATTCAATGAACACTTTTTTCAGCTGCAGGTCACAGCGGGACCCAGTATGTTGCCCACACTTGATTACACGTATGTTTACGACGTTAATTACTCCGTCAACTAAAACACAAGTGTAGCGGTGAAATTGTCTTACTGAACAAATGGTCTGGCAAATTCGCCCGAAACTGCAAGGTTGGCGATCTTGTTGTTGCTACAAAACCCAGCAATGCCCAACAAAGTGTCTGCAAGCGAATCCTTGGAATGGTATGCATTTTCGGGACATAGTTCTATCGTCTATTGCTCTTTCTCGATACATCGTATTAACTGCTTATAGCCCGGTGATACTGTGTTTGTAGACCCTACAATATCTGACAAAACGATTAAAGTACCAGTGGGACATGTCTGGCTTGCAGGAGACAACGTGGTTCATTCTTTAGATAGTCGCTCCTATGGACCTGTTCCTTTCGGTCTCGTTACTGCTAAAGTGATAGCTCGAGTATGGCCAAAACCAACTTGGTTTTTGAATGGCCTGCAAGATGAAGGCCCTTTTGATGACTTTTTTTAGGATTACGATTTACTTTAAAAAACATCCATTCCTTAGGAAATTGGTATACTAACTGTATAAATAACTCACCTCCCTTTCAAATATCATGCTATATTTCATCTTATTATATATAAATACTGGTTTACAAGAGAGCTTAGTTTATATTTTCCATAGTAAAAAGGTTAAACGCTATTTAAACTGAAAAGAAGAACGTAGTACTGCAATGCTTGCTTGCCTCCCCTGTTTATGAGACGAATCGTAAGCTATGCAAGAAGGGTTAAACGATATGGGAATAGATAACAGCTGTCAGAAATTAGATCACCGAAGGAAACCAATCTTCGTCTAGAGAAGATGGCTCATTAAAGTAATCACTAGAGAGAAACGATGACTGTAGGGAATGAAGACAAGATTCTTCATGCACTGCTAATTGTTCACGCGTGCTAAAAGTAAGGGTGCAGGTATTACAGCGGTATTGATAACGAGAAAGTAGCGGGCTACTTGGGAACGCCGTCTGATCCGAGGGCGTGTAAAATCGTTTAGACGAATTTTCAGAAAAGCTCGACTGATTACATGCAGACCAGCTTCGTTTTCGTCGTGATTTTCCAGGGCGTACCACAGAAGGAAGCCGATGGAGCCGTCGAGATTGCAAAGCCTGTCGAGCAGCAACTCGAGCATCAGACAGGCCACTATCACTCATACTCCATTTCATAGGACACCCACCCATTGGCGTTTCCCATACAGATTCGGTCTTTAGATAGCCTGAACCAGGAGTCCACGTATTTGTTCGAGCCATATTTGCCGGGCCATATGAAATGTCTTCAAAACTAGAAGTATACAGTGAATCCGTATCCACTAGTGTTTTCGCGACACTTGATGGTAGTTCGCTATTAACCTCATAAACCTGTTCTGGTCGAACACAAATGTTATCTGTTACCGCCATTTCGTTGTTTAATGGTTCGGGTTTATTCACGTTTTCGCGCACTAGATCTGCTGAACCATCGGACTTAACAATCAATGATACTGCTATAACCTGTATGTTTTGAGCAGATGCTGCAGCTGCAGGTGCCGAGACCTTAACCGGAGAAAGATTCAGATTGCAATAATCATTCCACTGGAAAGGATGCTGTTGTTCTGGCCAATCGGAATACAAGTCACTGCTCAACTCTGTTGGGTTAGAAGATAAAGAAGAAATAGTAGGATTCGAAGAGTTTAGATCAACAGGGGCCCCGGACACGGAGAGTATTTTCGGATCAATATTGCAGTAGCTGTTGCAATTGTCAAAGTAACCAACATCCAGGCCTTGTTGAATTCTTGGTGTTCGGACAGGTGAGCAGAGTATCTCATTCTTCAACGAAGAAGGTGCATAGCATTTTGCAAGAGTACTACTTGCTTCCAAGTTCTCCTTTCGTCTCCGTGCAGATAGTGTCCCAAAGGAATGCTCCCTGTTCATAGTCCGATTCGAATTTGTCTACGCAAATTCTAGCTTGTCGAGTTATCGACTTCGTTAATTGATTTAATAAAAGAACCCTGCACGCGTTTCAATTGCCTCAAGCAGATAGAATAAATCTTGTCAAAAGTGCTGGTTTCAGTTAATATTTAGAATAAGTATTATGCACTCTGAAACGTCAAAAGAACAGATCATTCAATCTTTGTGAAAACTCTTCAACAATATTTCCGTATCACAAAACTCCGTTTAAGTAATGCGTTTAAAAGAGAAACAGAAGTATCTAGTGTGAGATAATGAGTACGAATTAATGACACCGGTTTAGAAAGATGTGTGAAGAAAATAAAAAGTCTGTATACGAAAACAAAGTAGGTATTCAGCGGAAAGAAGAGGCGTGTGTTACTCCGGCAAATTTAACAAACGAATTACTCTCCTTCCCTCCAGTATATTTCTTGCACAATGATCTGAAACAACTGTTTGCTTTGTCTCACCAAGACAAAGAAAAACGGAAACAAAGGTATGACAACATGACCAGCCTGGTATCATTAAAAGATTGACCAACTGCTCACATGTATAAGATAATAATAAATGAAACACGAGCATGCTTCAAGTGTTGTGAGTCTGTAGTAGATGCTGAAATGTGACTCAGTTGACAAAAAGAAAACAAAACACAAATGAAGTGTTGAACAAAGTTTGTGTCATGAATGTGTTGAAAATAGTAATAAGTACGGACTGTTTTCTCTGACTAAAGGACATTTCCTTTGGTTTTGAGAAATTGAAAAGCACGTTGCATGGCATGAAGATATTCCCATGCGTACTTATTGTCCGGACAAACAGTACGTGTACGCATTTGAGCCCAAATTCGTGGGTAACCCAGCACTGAGTTGTTCTTCAAGAAGAAAAGACTATCCGTCCAAGCGTCGTCCCAACCTTGCTTGAAAAGTGCATGGCAGAACGTTTCTCCGGGACATTGATGAGTCCAGTAGTTCACATGCTCTTCATATTCCGAATCACGTTTTTGAACAAAGGCCTTTGGAGGATCGAGGCTTTTAGGTAAAGGTTTCGGTCCAGGATACACGACATTGCCTGCCTCGTTCATTTCACGGAAATCCCATTCACCACCTCTTCCATCAGAGAACTTATATGTCCAAAAGTAGGAGCCGCCGTTTTTCTCGGTATACAAGAGAACTTGTGCCTCTCCAAAATCTTTGCGTCTCTTATCCGGTAATTTAGTACGGCCCCAAGATTGTTCCGAGAGTGTACAGCTCCATTCTCCAACAGCAACGCTGCATTCCTCTGCATCAGGGCATCCCTCGCCTGCCTCTACACGTTTAACGATGTCTTTAGGACGCTGCTTGCAGTCATCCTCGGAAAAACAGAAATAATAGTGATGGTCAACGACATAGCTTCCCTCTTGCTCATGCTGGTGAACCCATTCAACCCAAGCTGTTAAGAAGTTTGTTAGTAGAATGTCAAAAACACAGAATTAGAGGTAAGCAATGTTACTCAATTTTTAAAGGCACTGCAGCAAAGAACATACCATTTAAATCCCAACCATCTCCAATGTAGACTGGGATTTCCTTATCGACGACTGCTCTACAGGCTGTATAATATCTTCCAAGAACCTCGTTTTGGCCGTAATTGGGTTCACTCACAACCTGTATACCAACAATGTTGGGGAATTGCGCAAACACATCGGACATGTACCGTACGGTGTCTACCGAACGTTGCTGGAAATTTGCATTTGAAAAGAATTCAGCCTTTCCGGACGAAGTTCCCGAATGGATTGCTTCGTTTGCACCACCGTACACAGCGTGCAAATCGAGCAGAACACCAATGCCATATTTATGAGCTTCTTGGACTTTTTTGATAAGAATGGAAATACAGTTCTCGTAGACTCCGGCATAAGCTTCAAAGGGGGAATCCTTAAATAAGGATGCATGACTCAGGGACCAGAAACCGATGGGGATACGAACACTGTTTACGTTTCGCTCAGCCAAATACTTCCAGTCTTCGTCTACAATCCAGCTATTCCAATGATGTTCAAAACGACGTTTGGCCTCCTCGACTCCGAATTTGGCTACTAAACCAGAGACAGCGTCCAGTTCAGAGTCACCGTCACTGACATGGAGATCATGACAAATCCATCTTTCTAGACAAAACCAGCTGCCAATATTTACACCATACTGTTTTCTATACACATAAAGGTCACGTTCAGTCATGTTTGTTCTACGCAGGCGCGCATCCTCTGCCGGGATTCACGTCATGCCGAAGTCCTCAGCACATACGTCATTTTATGGTGGTGAGAAGGAAAGCTTAAGCTCAATATAAGCGAATGAAAGAATGAAAGAATGAAATTTCAAAAACAGTATATTTAAATTAAAAGCGTAGTATGTATCCTAAGCACAAACGAGCACTTTAATGATTATTTTTAGTTGTGGTAAATACATCGCGATATCTAATAAAATTGACTAAGTAATAAGCTAAACAGTTACAATTGAAACAGCAGGCAACCTTGTTTTAATATGTATGTGTGCGTGTGTGTGAATACGCATACAAATTAAGTATATGCCTACGAATTCACTTTCAATAGTTTTGTTGTGTAAATGAATTGAATGTCATAATAAAAAGTTCAGCACACGAAAACCACTGTGTTTTACAAACATTAATAAATTGAGTTCTCGTATCAGATAACTATGTTCCAAACTGCTTCAAAGAAAGATCTTAATGAAGATATAGTCAAATTCTGGTTAAAAAAAGCATCATGAGGATAATAAAGGATTGAATTGGTTATTTACAAGGACATTTTTCCGACTGAACTAAAGTAAACGATAAGGTTTTATAAGAATCGAGTCACAACAGCACATCAAAATTCATTAGACATATTATTAAGATTGTAATTGCTCTATATAGTTCTTTTCCCCGTTTGAACGTTACTGTTGAATAAATTCTCGCATCATCATATTAAGGTTTATAACACCGGGAATAAGCGAGCGGCCGAAACTTGACCATATATACATGTCAAAAATAACAGTACCCAAATTGAACAGTGACATTGTTTGTAAAACAATTTAAAATTTTAGTTTGTCGAACATAAATTATTATAGTTTTACTTACCGTAGCAAGGGTGCATAGTTTCTCTAAATGTGTCTTACGTCAGCAACAACACAGTTACAGTTATAATGACAAGCTATAATTGCATTTGCATGAGTTGTAGAAAACAGTATCATTAATGAATCTTATAGATAAGAACTCAAATCCACCAATTTTTAACAAAACAAAAGGAATAAGCTTGTACTTTGTTTAACACTCATTATTCTCAATAACTTCGAGTGTTGTTTTTGATTTTAAAAGCGTAATTACTCACGGACAAATTGGATATTCCAATGCAAACAATTACAAAGAGAATTAGGTATTGAAATTCAGTAAAATTGTCACCCGTAATTGCATTGCTAATAATGAGGGATTGCAATTAAGGTCCACACGCAATTTAAGTGTACACATCACGGCTTATACATAAATTAGATTGGATAATAAACAGCTCATCGCTTATTAAACGATACTCAAATATTTGAAAATGCTCCATCCTTCTGTAATGATGAAACAATTATTTAAACACAGCATCACCATAGTGTGTTTGAATTTCAGCGATGTATCCGGAAAGACTTTGCACCATTACAGCTTTTTGACTGGAGATATTTATATCTGTAAGGACGAGTTGTGGCAAGGCTGTTGTTTAATTATTCGGTTACACAGTCGCATAAGATTATTAACACTAATAAGTTCGATCAGCAAACCAGATATTGTAAAGCACATTAACAATGAAAGATTTTACTTTCATCACTCTTAATTGGCGAAACATGTTGTAAATCATATAAACATAAAGTAATGTATCCCATGAAAAGAACAATCCTTAAACGAAGCATCTCCGTTATCGATGTCGTTGACTCAATGACGTGAAGAACATTGAATAATGAAGAGGCGCCCACTATGTCATTAATTAAATGTATAAAAACGATTAACGAAACTGTTCAATACTAGAGAATCTTCATTTTAATGTCTTTCTATGCAAAGAGCTGCGGTACTGGAAACCGACAGAAGACTCACTCAGTACTGGCGTTGGTAACCTGGCCCACTTGCGGAACATAAGAATAATTGACAGTCCATCTTCACAATTCGATTTTTTTTAGAAGAGGTTTTTTGAACCTGCCATTAGGGACCCGTATTAATTCGTGCTTCCTTTGTCATATATATGATGGGAATATTACTATAAGCAGTTTGCCTGATGAGAGTATTATGGAGCGTTCCTTTGTTGTAAGTGATGGTATAGCAAACATATAGCAAGTTGTTACTTTTAGTAACAGTTAAATGAAAAGCGGCAATTTATCACTTTTCTTATAGTTCTGTTACAATAAGCGTCCGTGTCAAAGAGTTCTGAGATGCAAGGCTATTAGTGTGATGTGCGAGAAAAACGAGACACTCATAACTTAGAATTCGACAGTCTATGACAGAACTATATTAATTATTAAGGAAGCTGTGATATATCACAGGGTCTCCGAACACTGTTAACTCCAATTATAATTCCTCCTTTCAGCGGCGATTTGTTCAGTCAGTAGTATTTCGACTATTCTGCAAAGCCTAGCCCGGTTTGAATAATAAAAATCTTATGTTATAGTTCACTTGTTTCAATAGAGCCATTTGTAGATGCAATGCAAAGTCAGCTTAAGAAAGACGATAATCCTTTCAATTGCATTTTCATTGTATTGACGTAATCGCTTTTGGAGATACATTATTCAAACAAAATCCTTGGATTTAACTGACTTTTTTTCAAGGAAAAGAATTCAATTTCTGGTTACAAATTTGAAGAGTTGAGAATTGTTACAGGCCTAATTGGAGACAAATTAAAATGTAAAAATATGTACCTCAAGAGTCCATTATGTTAATGGATTGTCTTAACTCTCTTCCGCACATAAGCACAATGGTTTCAAGACCCACCCTTAGCAAATCCGTACATTACATTCTAATATATTAATCTTTGACTATTCCTTTATTCTAACGTTCTGCTCTAAGTTTTTATTAGTCAATCTTCATCACGATCAAGCCATGTCTCCTCTAACGTCTCAGGCTCTAGGATTTTACAAGGCAACACTTTAATAAATTTGCCATCAACTTTAAGCTGCTGATAGGCGACCGTTTCAAATTCGTCTGATGCAGAATTGCGACAACTCTCCTTATGTTCTTTACAAGCCATTTCAGTCCTAAGATACCGTCCACAGCAAGAGAGGCAGGTATTATACTGAAGTCCACGAACAGGTTCAATGATAAAATAATCATCAAAAAGAGAAATGATCTTATCCTCAGTAACTGCCTTCTTCAGTGGTATTTGAAAAATAATCTCTTCCACTGACTCCTTGTATATCTCCACGTCACGAGGATTGCGGATCACCTGCTGACGATCACTTTCCGAGTATGGAACAAGTTTATCGCCATACTTCTCAACAAATTTATCAATTTTTGCCGCAAGTTCCTCATCGATCTCGAGCTCTTCATCACTATCATCATCACTATCATCAACTTTAGAGCTTGACAAAGCTGCATAAAATGCGTCAGATTTAGCTTTTTTAGCCTTTTCATACTCAGCGAGGTGAGGAATGCAGTTATCCAATGTTAACAATGACTGACATTCTTGACAAAACAAAACGGCGACTTGATCTACCAACGTAAGACCAATTGGGTATAGGCTTGCCGCTAGCTGAATACTACCTCTGGCCAAAGGCTTTCGCTCGGGAAGACAGTAGAAGCTTATAAATTGCTTTAAAGGCTGTGCGGGAGAAAGCATTATTCGTCAACAAGATGCAAAAATGGGTTTCAAGTTATTTGGGAGAAGATGTCTTCTTAGGTCGCAAAATTACTTGTGTATGCAAGTCAAAAAAGGTTTAAGCTAAACAGTTGCGAACTGTCATAACAGCTACAGTATGCGTAATTCTAGGCCCCGTAATGTGACCAAAGTTCGTACTTTTCCGTACTTCTGGCTATTAATACTGCTTGAGAGCAACGTGTAAAAGTAAACAAACGCGTCGCGTCGCGTCGCAATATAAATAAAAACCGCACACGCGTGGGAAGGTGGTAACCGGCAGTTATTCTCGACGAAGAAGCACGGATCGGACCCTTGATCGCTTATTTTTAAGCTTATTCGCGTTGCATTACTATTTAACTATTCACTGTCCTAACAAATACTATTTATGGCATTGATCAATGCTGCGGTAATGGCAATACCTATTAAATAGTTGACAGAATCTTAAAAACAAATGCCTTCTATGACCTTGACGAGTGTGGACTCTTTCGCTCGTAAAAATAAAAAAAAAAAAAAACGCACAAAGATACTTCAAACAAAAAAGTTTTTAATCATCAAACAGTCTCTAGTGCCTAAGAAGCGTTCCAACCCATAACACGATTATGGGGTTTCACTCCAATAAATCCATATGCCCTATAGCACCGCCTTACTGGAACCCCTCACCTAATTCTATCTCAGGTGCTCTTGTAACTTGGCTCATGACGATACCGACGGCGTCTGTGTCCTTTTTCTAAGCCTTCTATGACTTTTTATTTCTATATGAACATCACGTCTGACCGCACAAACTGCGCAGCCTGTGAGGTTGGTTAACTGTAACTACTCGATGACTCCGACCATCCTTCCATCTCCGAACGCAACCCGTCACCATTACCCTGCCACAGAGAACCACCATGAAGGGGATGCATTGAGCATGTAGCTAATATTATGAAATTTGGCGATTAATGAAAACACTGTTGTTATTCAATCAAGCCTTTAAACAAAAAACAGCTCGAACTCGACTTTTGTACGGCAGTACTACTGTCGGCCATTACAACTTTAAGCTCTCGGTAACGATGCAACGTGTTTCGCATTCGTTAAGGTGAACCAATCCAGATTTAAACAAAGGAAAACGTGTTCGCAATTTGTCGCAACAATAAAGCAAACGCATATACAACACAGATCAATTTCCAAAAAAGAAAACAGTAACATAAAGTATAATTTCCTGTATGTTCCTTTCACGTTTTTCAGCATACTCTAGACGTCATCCGTGCAGAACTTGCACTTTGATAGAACAGAAAGAAAAAAACTATATAAGGGAGACAATGTACCTCATTCTCCTCAGAAAGGTTTTCCTGTAGAGCATTGATCTACGGCTCAGCAGTAGAAGGCAGTGTTTGCTTTTTCCGCACAACTTGGCAAATACAATTAATTATTACTTCTTTTATTTTCAGACTACATATATAACCAGGTTCGGTTCGTCTCAAGCAATCGACGCTACAACATATCCAAATAATCCACTTTGCTTTAAGGGTGCCGATATTGCTTTATTAATTAATATCGCCTTGGGGATACTATTCTAATTACAAAATGACGACCAAAGATCCCACGAAGGAAGACCCCACATCAACTACGGTCACATTTTTTGACGATTTGCATCACTCTTCATCCAGCGAGTCGGCAAACAAGCCGGACGACCTTAGCAAAGACAGTGTTGAAGTTACTGCAGTGCCAGGAACGGCCGTTTCTACGGGCGAAGAACCATCGGAATTGCGCAAGTTTTGGGTGGTTTTTGTATGCGGAGTTGCCTTAGTCTCTGATGGATACTGCGGAAATACAATTGGCACGGTAATTACGATTCTCAAGAAATTGTATCCAACTGAAACAGCACATTCTAGTGCTCTGAAGAATGTGGGTATGATTGCTTATGTGGGAACGCTCGTGGGCCAATTGACATTTGGGTATATTTCCGACCAAATTGGCCGCAAGCGAGGTATGATTACCGCTACCATCATTCTTATCGTTTCCATTGCTCTCTGCGCTGGCGCATATGGAAACCATGGAAGCATTAAGGGTATGATTACCGCACTCATCGTATACCGCTTTTTTCTAGGTATTGGTATTGGTGCTGAATATCCATGTGGCTCCGTCGCAGCGTCCGAATCCACAGCTGAAATGAAGTCCGGTCAGCGACATGCAGTCTTTATTTCGGTAACAAACCTGGCACTTGTTACTGGCTCTATTTTGGGTGTTCTTATCCCGTTTATCCTCACAAGTATTTTGGGGGATAACCGTCTTCGGATTGTTTGGAGACTGTCAATTGGTCTTGGTGTTATTATTCCCATATTCCTTTTGTTTTTCCGCTTCAGAATTAAGGAATCAAAGTCGTATATACGTTATCGCCTTCATTATTCAAAGATCCCCTGGCATATAGTACTTCAAATGTACGGATGGCGGCTCGTAACTCTCTGCATTATTTGGTTCGTGTACGATTTGTCGGCTTGTGCCTTTGGCCTTTATGTGAGTACAATCGTTAAGGGAGTGCTTCCAAACAACACATCTATGGCGAAGACTTTTGGCTGGTCAACCGTTATTAACACGTTTTATCTTCCTGGAACCATCATTGGTGCTTTCTGTTCTGATTGGATTGGACCCAAATACTGTCTTGTGGTCGGTCTCGTGCTCCAAGGCGTTATTGGGTTCTTTATGTCTGGTTTCTACAGTGATCTCGTAAAACATATTGCGGGCTTCTGTGTTATTTACGGTCTTTTCCTCAGTCTTGGCAACTTTGGACCTGGAAATAACATTGGACTTCTTGCAGCCAAAACTTCTCCCGCGTGTTTCCGCGGATTATACTACGGTATTAGCGCAGCAATTGGTAAATGCGGTGCAATTGCTGGCGTCTATGCTTTTGGCGGTAACGCTATCCGGACATACTTCTTTATTGCCAGTGCTTTAGCCATTGTCGTTGCAATTCTGACATACTTTTTCGTGCCAAACGTAAGGCAGACATGTATTGAAGACGAAGATACCCGGTTCGCTCGTGTTTGCCAAGAGAACGGATATAATGTTTTTGACTTTACCGAACAAATTCGCGTGGGGCCCAACAAAAGCTCCGCGTAACTGTTATCATGATTAATGTTTTGACGATATTTGACTTTGAAAAGAAGCTCTTTTTGAAATTCTTGCGTTAATAATACTTAGCTGACTTTCCCAAGTGGACCATGCTCAATTCAGTGGTCCCTTGACATAAGCATCTTCAGGCGTGAAGACGAAAACAGGCAACTGTCGCAGAACACATCCGCAACAACACATGTGGAATGCTGTTCTGGAATTGCCGATTGAGTGGCTCGACATTGATTGTTAAATTTGTCGAAGATATCAACGAATTGGAATGTTCGGCTAAGCAGTTGGTTCAATCCGCTGTACGGATTGTATAATGTTGTAATAATGGCTTATATTGTATAAGCCATGCAAGCTTCTTAGCGCAGACAATGATTTTAGTAAGCTTCTCGCAATTTATGGAAAGGAGCTTTTCCCTCTTCCCGTCTCCTTAGTTTCATTTTTAAATTACTTCTCTATAGAAATACTATAATTGCAGACGAATGGCTCAATTCTAACAACAACCCTATAACTTTAAACAGGGACACACCACTGTCCCTTAAAACAAAGTCCCCAGGCGTAATGAGAATCAGCTAATGATTCGTAGCAATAATTATATTTTAATTATATACTTATTATTTAACTTGATCAACTCAAGTCGCAGAGTACAAGACGGCTCCGCAATACACAAAGATCATTACTCTTCATATAACAGCTCGCTCCTTCAATCCCAACGAAAGATTGCATCAACTGTGTGCGCTTAACAACATGTGTTCCAGACCTTGGTGATATCGTGCAATAGCACCATACCAAGGTGCACCAAAGTACAGTACTGGCACCGAGTGATTTTGTCATTAAGAGGTTTCAAACATAAAAGGAAGAAGAGGAAAATGGGGAGGGGCATTGTCATAACGTCTATTAGGAAAAGTAAGAAAAACTCATTACAAAGCGGTGGATAAAGATGCATCACCAGGCACTCAAGAGCACACACATAGCAGGTCACCAACAAGACATGCCAAAAAAACATAAAAACAGAGGGAAGAAGAAACAGAAAACCAGATCACCTTTGAGCAATAGAACGGCTCGAATGACGAACCAAGGAAGCACGACGAGTACGCGGTTGGGCAACCTCAGAATGTCTGTAGTTATGATTATTAAGAATTGTGTCGTCCGTTGCATGGTCCGTTTGACACCCATAAGTGCTGATCGAACTCAATGCATTGAACAACTCCTCGTAATCCGGAGGGGGCGTATCGCAATGAGGAGGCGGCACGTCGTTGTCAAAGGGAGGTGGATTCACTGACGGTACCCGGAACAACTCTGTTGGCCGAGCGGCCGGCTCAGTAGTGCGGCTCTGTTCACCTGCTGTTGAAGGTTGTGCACGGCTGCTTGAATCAAGAACAGATTGAGTTGTATAAGAAGTGCGCTCAGAGGGGTCACAAGCAGATGCATTGATTCTGCAAGGACATGGTAGAACAACCTGGCTATTTTCGCGCAAATCGCCATACGCCGGTAATAATGTGGAGTTTTGAACACATCTGCACGACAGAATGCGAACAGGAGTTTCAATATTGATTTCAAAGAATTTCCTCTTGTTCGGATTGTCAGGATCAACAATAGACAGGACTAGCAGCGCCCTCAGGCGATGACGGATCTTAATGTACTTGTATGTTGTATCAAATGTTAATTTGTCCTTGTCTTTGGCCAAACAATTCGGGAGCTTCACCTTAAAATTAAAAAAGGCACTAGACACGCCGTCACCTTCATCAGCAGACTCGAACAAATTGTCCGAATCCGTGTGTTTTGACGAACGCTCGGTAAGCTGTACTCGCCGCTTCGGGTCAACTCGAACGTATTTCCGGCTTCGACACCAGTACTCACAAGTTTCAACAATAGCCACGGCGATTTTGTAAAGACGCACCTTGTCTAGTAAGACAAAACGAAATGACACGGGTACAGTCTCTCCGAGTCGGAACGATTTCCCGGGAACTTGCACTTCATAATGCAAACGATCATCCCAGTCACGAGAAATATTGATTGGTTCAGAGGCAGAAAGACTGGCGGGAGAAGGCGTACGCACGAGTTGGACATCACAACGGCCGTTTAAGTTGCTTTTGAATGCACCAAAACGCTCAAGAGATGCATCCAAACTGTAACGTACCCAGCCCATTTTAGCTTCAACAGATTCAGGAAAGTAATTGGGAATAACAAGGTCAAAATTGTACGTATACTCGCCAGGAGCAAACACACTATAACCACGAAGGGAAGCGGCAGAAGCACTTGGAGCAGGTAACTGCTGTCCCACAAGTCGGGCAATATCTGCACCGTGTTGAGGAGCATCAGCATCTTTCATCTGAGGATTGTAAAAGTTCCAAGTGTGAGAAATGATTACTTTATCTTCAAAGCTGTCATGACCCTTAGGAGGAATACCTTCAGGCCACTCGGTACGCGAGCGGCCATTAAACGAAAGGGAAATGTTGCGAATGTTGGCAGGTTTAGCGACTCGCAAAACAAGAGCTCCGCGAAGAATGACGGGATTCTCAATTTGACATTCGTTTAAACCGAAGCCGGACAGATAAAGCACAGGCTCCAGCAACGCGATAGACAGCGACATACCACCACCGTGAGAGGATGCCAGTGGTTTTTTTATGACTGGTGGCACATAACTCGAAACGTTGTTTCCAATGATAGAAGTCACGGTAGCATTGCCAAAAATGTTTGCCGAAGAAGGGCTCAAAGTTAGCGGCGGCTTCTGGGTGATACCACCGTTCATGGAACCCGCAGTGCCAGCGTTTTCAGATGACACAGCGTGAGCCTGCTGTCGCTGAGTAGCAACAACATTTGTTTGAGCCGTGCCAGCTACCTTCGCGGCTGCGGACGAGGAGTAACGGTGGTGATGGTTGCTGCCGTTCGAGTCGTGATGATGAAGTGTCGCAGAAATAGTTTTGCCAATACGGCCAAACGCTGGAAGTGAAAGATCGCCTTTCATGTGAACAACAGCGGGGGGTGGAAGAATCGGGAGGACGGACGGAGGGGAAGTGGAGTAAGACAGTTTGTGGGACAGTTTGAATAAAGAAAAGGGAACGAAGGAACAAACAAGGAGCAGCAAGCTAAAAAGCGATAGTGAGGTCTGAGCAAGCAGAGTCTCGAGTTTTTCTCACTCTCACCTTTCAGTAAGAGAACAGAACTGAAGGAGAAGAAACAGCAAACAGCCGAACTGGCTGTATTGAAAATAAGTCGTAAATGCCCAGAAGAGCGGAGATGTCAAACACACGGGGGCGAATAATGGCCGAAAGAAACAACACAACTGAATGCTGGGGGAGGAAGTAACAGATGCCAAGTACGAATGACAAACGCTAACGACACAAATGCTTGAAGGAATTGTTCTGACAAGAAATGCCAATTAGGTCGCGAAAATCTTACACGATGCGAGAAAGAGAGTCAGAGAGAGACAGAGACAGAAATTAAGGAAACGTGCCACACAACAAACTGTTCGACACGCAACTGAAAATCCAAAACGCAGAAACAACCGTTAATCAGCTGCTAGCAGTCTATAAATCAATTCTCACAGCGAAAAAAAGCACACAGCAAAGGAGGCGCCGCTACCAGCGAGGAAGCAAGCGATGAGACACCGAGAGGCCGTATTTTGGTTGGAAATGCAGAGAAAAGCGCGCAGAAGTACCAATCCCGGTCTATTTGGCCACGCTTTTCGAAAAAACAGTACACAAGTTCACAATCGGAACTAGATTACACGTAAGGTGTGTTTTTTGGCCCAATTTTGGGTTAAATGGGGGCGAAAAAATGGCGGTCCGTAGAGTTCAGAGTCTCTTGGCCCTGGGTAAAGCCTATTAACATGTATGACCAAGATTATAAGAACTACGTACAGATGACGTGAATTGTAATACGAAAGAAAACAATACAGCGTAACAATGGCTTCACAAACCTGCACAGACGTTCGGTACGACAATTGTGTACGGCGCGATAGTATTTTGGTGACAGACACTGTGTGTAGTGGTTAATGGCAGAAGAAAGCAGTATGGACACGGTTAGTGGCGTTCCGCTCGGGTACGGGCCGAGGTAAAGCAGCGGAAACCCTGGCGGTGAAGGCGGGGTATTTGTGCTGTGGACGGCGGGGAGTGCGGGACGGAAATGGGGCAAAACCGGCGAAATGCGCGTCCAATCCCCATCCGAGTGGAAGAGAAACAGACCACCCACATTCGAGCGGAATAATGACATCACAAGGCACGCTGCGGATTGGACGAGTTTTCGTTTCGATAACGTAAGCGAAACCTGTCAGCGAATAGGAAGAGGGGTGCGACACGGGTGCGGTGGTGCCGAAAAGCCAAAACAGCAAACGGAAAGAAAATAAAGGTTTTGCCGTGAAGACGCGGTGGAAACAAATTTTGCATTGGTAAAAACCGCGCGCATAATGGTGGAATTATGGTCTCGGTTCAATCGATGTGGTAGTTTTCGTGGATAAGACCTCTTCCATTGCTCAGTTTTCCCTCGCTCGCGGCTAAGCTGCGCGAAATTTGACCCAATCAGCATTAAGCTTGCTTTAAGAAAAAAAGCGTCTTTGATCGTGCAGTTTTAGCTTTTAGCCAATCAAAACTGCGCTATAAGACCCTTTCGGTCTAATTGGCCTTTATCGCACGTGAGATCTTAACGAGGCAGAACGAGCATGAGCTGTTCGTTGGAGCACGCTAGGAGACAGCAGCACATACTCAAGCTTATGTAAGATAACTAAAAATGACTAAAACACGAATATCGTTCCCATACTACCCCACAAACAACGAACCAAGTCGCGACAATGCTGACTGTTTGTAATCGGTTTTTCTTGTGTAGACAACCGTAACTCCATTAAGGTGGCCCGAAAATAACCCCTCACTCACTCCCTCACCACCACAGGGGATGATATAGTCGTCTATACGATTCGAACTTGGTGTATCGATGAGAAACAAAAAAATCACAGCACAAACAAAGCGAATCGAAACGGGGAACGCGACTAAAACCAGGAGCCTGACCTCGAAAAACACGTGTCATGTGCTGGTTTTTACTGGCGATTGTTGCCAGCTACTTTGGACAAACCTAGTATCATCAATGACGGCCTATCTGTTGTTACAGAGCCTCCATAGATAACGCTTTCATGTGGTTATCTAGAGTACTGTAGCGGGCTGTTTCATTTAGAGTCCTATTTCTCCACTCCACACCGCACTTAACCACAACCAACCACCTTACGCGTATTTCTTTTTCAAATTAGCAGACTCTTATCGTCCTTACGGCGCATTTTCTCATCTGTTAATTTTTTTTTCTTTCTTTCTTTCTTTCTTTCTTTCTCTCTCAATTTCTCGTTTTTTGACTTCTTTTAACTTGTTCCCGTGTTATTCGTCATGTTTGCTCCTACTCTGCTGAAAGCTTCCTTCCGTTCCTTCTCCCGTGTTCAGTCGATTTCCCGTGTCGGTGCTGTCGCTTCCTCTGTCGCTCGTGCTCGTCAGTGTTCTGGTGTCTCGTTGAACTCGTTGCGTCTCACTCCCCGTTGGTATTCCAGTAAGTAAAGATGATGCAGATCATAACGTCATAGAGCGTCGATCCATGACGGCTTCCAAAAGTCTAAGCGAAACAAAATGGCGGGGCACAGTGTGTTGCAGTGTGAAGGAAACACAAGTTTGAATTGCTGTTTAAATCGCACTGACGTGAGCTCCCTCCTTGATAAAACGGATACGCAAATGTTTCTTTACGCGATCGACTGTGTCTGCTTTGTTAATTTTTTTCTTACCCTTGCTAACCAATTATTTAGCCGTCAGATATACTCGTGAACATGAATGGGTCTCTGTTGACGGGGACGTCGGAACTGTCGGTATTACAAAGTACGCAGCTGATGCCCTTAATGACGTTGTGTTCGTCGAATTGCCTGAAGAGGGTTCGGAAGTTTCTGTTGGTGACAACGTCGGTGCTGTCGAATCCGTCAAGTCTGCCAGTGATGTCTATTCTCCCGTTTCTGGCTCAATTGTTGACATTAACGAAGAATTGAATGATTCCCCTGGCACTATTAATGTCTCTCCTGAGAAGGAGGGCTGGTTGTGTAAGATCAAGCTTTCTGATGCTTCTGAGGTTGACAAATTGCTCGACAAAGAGAGTTACGACACATTTTGCAAAGAAGCTGATGAGGCTCACTAAATGTACGAGTAGAGACACAGTAGCGCTCTCCTTTCGCTCACACCCACGCACATACACATCCATTCTCTCACTCACACACATCCTTTCGCCAGACGTTATTGTCTCTTTCTTTAACACTTGTATGCTTATCATACGTTATTATGAACTCTTATGCGCACCCACCATACACAAGCCCTTCTCTCTTCTTTTCTAGTGACAGTTGGTAAACCGTATCTCGGTTGGTGAACAGGGTGGATTATAGCCTTTCAGTTCATTCAATGTCCCTCTTTGCTCCTTGTTCAACCGAGGTCTTTTATAGCAGCGTTGTTTTTATAATTATCTTCTTTACGATTTCTACATGCGATATGAAATGCACTAAATTGTATTCCTCCATTCCTTTTCTCTCGGACTCAGAAATTTATCAGAGTTAAAATTGTAAATGAATATACATACGAATTAGAAATAGCCTACAAATTTTAGAGTGTCCTTTTTGTCAGCAGCGCCGTTATTAATTACATCAATAGTCGCCTTGGAAAAAATACAATGTTAAAAGGCATCACCAAGGATGACCAAAGGACTAGGAGTTTCGGCACATAGACGTTTTATGTCAACACAAACATTAAGCAAAGAAAGAAGCAATAATAAGAGCCACGATTGTAGGTGCAAATGCACTCAAAGAGACAGAACGTGATGCGGAAGAAGCGATCGTAGTTTGGTTTCCTGCAAACATGCCAGGGCTAGGAGTGCCCTCAGCAGGAGGGACAGTCATACTGACCATGGTTGCGTTAGGTCCGTAAGTGGGAACTCCAGTAGGAGGGTACACAGGAACAGTGCCTGTTCCAGTGGGAACAGGAGTCGTACCAGGCACCAAAGTAGTGGTTCTGTTGTCAGTACCAGTGTAAGTGATAGGAGGTGCAGTAGTGCGGTTCGTCCATGTAGCAGTCATGGTCTCGTTACCGGGCACACTCGTGGGGTGTTGAGTAGGAACAGTGTATGTAGTAGTAATGTTCGAAGTGGGAACATAAGTCGTTGTGTTCCAAGTAGGTACAGTGGTAGGGACATGGGTTGTAGTGTTCCAAGTAGGTACGGTAGTAGGAACATAACTAGTAGTGTTCCAGAATGGAACAGAAGTAGGGACATGCGTAGTAGTCGTGTTCCAGGTGGGAACAGTCGTAGGGACATGTGTGGTAGTCGTGTTCCAGGTAGGAACAGCGGTCGTAGGAACATACGTGGTTGTGTTCACAGGAGGAACATAAGTAGTAGGTGCATACGAAGTAGTGTTCACCGGGAAAACCCAAGTCGAAGGAGCATGAGAAGTAGTCGTGTTCGCAGGAGGGACTTGAGTAGTGGGCACATATGTCTCAGAGGAGGGTACGTGCGTAGTCGAGTTCACAGGGGGAACGTAAGTGGTAGGTACATACGTTTCCGAAGAGGGTACGTGCGTAGTTGAGTTCACAGGGGGAACGTAAGTGGTAGGTACATACGTTTCCGAAGAGGGGATGTGAGTCGACGTCGTGTTGGAGGGAGGGACCTCAGTTGGAATGTAAGAAGTCGTTGGAGCTTCCGTAGTAATGTTCGGCATAGGAACCGAAGTAGTAGGAATGATAGGAGTTGATGTAGGAGGAACTGGCTCCGATGTTGGAGGAACACTCGTAGCGTTCTGTATAGGTGCAGCATCAGTCATGCTGTTGTCGATTTTAACAGCAAGACCCTGACGGGCGACAGCTGCCACAGGGCCTAGTGCAAAGGCAGTTTGAACACTAGCGATAACGAAAGCTCCGGAAAAGAGAGTAGACTTCATGTTCCCTAATGTGTTTTGATTCAAGTGTTATTCGACACGCTTTAAAAAATGGCTTCTTGAAAACATATTTATAACCTAGAGAGGACGGAATGAGCGCAACCGTTTTGTCATTCATCCTTCATTTAACGTGCGTGAATAAACTGGCACCTAGTCATTGATGAGTCACCAACAAGTTGACGAATGCTGTACACACACAAGCTTATTAGTGTAGAGTCCCATTGCTCGTTTCGTTTATCATAAAATAACGCATACACGGACGGAAAACGTCACTTGAACGGAAGACTCAAATCACTTCGTGCGTATGTACACTGCAGAGACACATCAGAAGCATAAACTGTGAGATCGTGATCATTGCTATTTGCACCGAGACACACTGAAGCTCGTCTTCGACAAGATTGCTCGCTTAGCGAATTCAGTGACACAATCGTGGTTGGAGTAACACACTCAAAGTTTGATTTTCGTCTAAAGGCATGCATAAGCTGTTGATGCTGAACAATAGAGTGCCAGTTCGTTGGGTCCATACATCCTAGAGGAGCACCATTTTCCTCTTCTGTTCCTTGGTCTAATGATATTGGACTCTGTAAATTCAATCGTTCCACAGAATTAGTTAAAATACGGTTCAAGTGATTCTTAATAGATGACAGTATCTTTCTTGGAGTTCCCAATGTTTCATTTTTGTCATTCGTGGTTGTCTGTTTCATTAATTGCTTAGTTTGATCATGAGCCGTTTTTACTGAACATGTTTTAATGATTTTTTCAACAGATTCATCAATTGAAGTTTCACTGAGCAAACGGTACTCTGAGTCTGTGAGTTCATCAGAAGAGAGATCAAAGTAATTCTCTTTCTGAGAAGTTTTAGTAGTATCTTTAAAAAAACGCTTAAACATGATTAATAATTTTACAATTGAGTAAGTAAAACTAGCAACAGGTCATAACAGATCTCAGCAATTGTTTTATAAAAGCGTATACTTTTGAGGTTTCTTGGGGAAGGTAGAGTTTAAGGTTAGTCACACCAGTATATGCATACACAGAAGTTTAACAACAATTTTACAGACAGAGGTATTTCTAAGACATATAGTAGCAGCCAATTGCTTTTGAAAAGCAAAAATAGTACACGTAAAAATATCAGGTCTCTTTATTCGCATAACTATCCTGTTCTAAAACAAGTCTTGCTTTCATGCACTAACATCCATGTCATCGCTCGTCGTTTTTCTAAGAATCACAATGCCCTCCATGGTAGACAGAGGTGTATACGACTCAGTCGCTAACTCAGCTCGTTCATTGTGATGCAGAAGAACAGGCGTCGTATGCGTAACCCAACCCGTAATGACCTTGGGACGACCGGCCTGACCAACGACATCAACAGCTTGTCCCACACGAACGCTTACAGGCAGAGGTTGACCATCTTCACCCAAAGTGAGCAGCATGCGTGGCCGCATAGCTAGAGCCAAATAGTAGAATAGCCAGTGAGAAGAGTCAAGCATGAGAGTTTTAGCGTCAAGCAATCCTAACGCAACGGTTAACAGACCAGCGAATGCTGTCTGACCAAGAATTTGACGATCAGTATGATATGGATTCACTGTCACAGTGCCCTTGCCCATATGCAGAAGGCCTTGAGCAATACGAACCATAAACAGAGCATTCGACTCCTTGTGATAGTAGTTTGCCAGTTGACGTAAGAGTTGGGCTAAACGAGCATTGTTTGTACCGGCACCAACAAGACCCATAGAAAAAATGGCATTGTATGCAACATCAAGATCACTGTCATGACTGTAACGAGAAAGGGTATCAAAAATTTTCATTTCAGGATTAGAGGCAGAGAGCAAACCAAGAGCCAAGGGAACAGCCTTGCGAATAGATGCTTCACCATAGTGCATCATATGACCAAACTGCCGTGTGACCATTTCAGCACCAATATCCTCACCCATTGCAATGATTGCTACACCGAGAACTGCAAGCGATTGCACAGTGGTTTCACCTTCCTTCTCCGCCGGTACAGGCTCACTGCAAATGTGAAGCAAGTTTTGGATTTTAAGCACATTGCCGGTGCCAGCATATGAACAAATGTCGACAAGTATGCGAGCTTGCTCAGCAATAGGACCTTCGATGGCTCTCAACGTCTCAATAGTGGCGTCAGCAAGGTCTTGCTTTCCGTTAAACAAAAGTGCAAGACCCAAGGCCATGAATCTTCCCCAAGAGCTGTCCTGTGATTCGGGTTCACGCTCCATGAGAGTTTGAAGAATAATGCTAGCAACATCACCGTTACAGGAGCCAACGAAAATAAGACCCAACGATAATGCGGCAAGGCAAGGCAATTGGAGTCCGATAGACACATCTGTAACGAAGGGCGACAGCATATCTAACAAATCCTCACGGTTGGAACCGGCATAAGCCAAACCCAAACCAACAATGGCACTCATACGAAGCTTTGCCGAGCCCATCTCCAGATATTCTGAAAGCACGGCGATAGCGGGGTCAGCTTCGTTGTGTACACTAACATTGGCGAGACCAATACCCAGCAAAGCGCCGGCTTTGATGTTCTCTTCCGTACTGTAGAGATACTTGTCAAGCTCAGAAAGACCAATTTCAACATCCCACAAGTGCAGCATACCCAATGAGGCTGTAGCTGTAAGCATACCGGTATCCTTGTTCTTATAGATCCAAGAAGCTTCTTCCTCGTTTTGCATTATAAGCTTGTCAGCACCGAAGCCAGCATTAACGAAAGCATTTACAAAGGTAGAAGCGAGATTTTGTTTAGCAGAAAACATGCTGGAAGAACCAAGACCACTGCGAGGCATATCAAGATGAGTTTTGTAAATGTCTTCGGGAAGCTTGGGCTCCATAAGGTTCAGCTCCTTTCCAAGATAGTGGAAAAACTCTGAAAGGCGTGTGTTACGAATAGCCTCATCCAAAGACTCATCTTCACATTTCATTTGAATTTGCTGACAGGCCAACATGAAGGCCATTTGTTTTTTTACAAGGGGATCAGTGACAGCATTAAAGTCGTCTTTAATCATAGACATGCTGGCCAAACGAATAGATATGTTGAGTGCCTCGGTGAAGCGATCGAATTTTCGATGGATGGCATGGGCAGTTTTCAGCAGTGCGACATCCTCGGGAAAGGGTAATAAATTAACACAGCTTGTCAGATACAGGCATACACGAGAGGCATTGTCAGCTTCAACGAACTCTGGCAACCGATCGATGGCCTCAATTTCTTGCAGCAAGTCGATTGCGTCTGCCTCAGCATTGTGATTAAGGAAAAATGGAACAATCTCCATTGACAGGCTATACAGATCCTTAGTGTCTAGTTCCTTTTGCTGGCGATCGGAATACTCTTCGCCGATTTCAGCAGCCAAATGACGAACGTATTCATGACCCCAAGACACAGGGTCTGAAGTCACACCTTGGAGACGGTATTTTAATGACTCTCTTTTTCCTGGTTCACTGTATGTCATTCCCAACACTGACAGAATGTCTGCAAGCTGGGTTTTCTGCTTTCCATCTTCCCACTTTTCATAAACATTAACAAGCGTAGGATAATGAGGACGCAAGAACTTTAATGGCTTAGGAACAGCCGTCATAGAAGAAGTAGATGTTCTAATGGCATCTTTCAGCTGGACCAGCGCAGCCTCAATCAATTCCGGATTGGCTTCAACAATACGCTCTACCAGCATTTCCAAATCATTTTTGAGCTGCAAATCCTCTTCGGACTAATGATTTGTTAGTACACATACATAAAACCTTTACTACATACAAGCTCCTCTTTCTCATCTTGTTTCGAGTTGTCATTTTTCTTGTCCTTAGAGTCTTTGAGTTTTTGGGATCCTTCAGATTCTTGTTTTTTCTCCTTTAGATCCTCGTTTATGTTTTTATTTTCATTACTCATATTGCCTTTACTCGTCAATATATGAAGGAGAGTCTCCGAGTTAGTTATTCGGCGGTGGGTATGGGATTGCTGTCGTTCCTCAGGAGGAAGGGTCAGGCAAGGCGCGAAGCAGTAAGCTTAAGTGGGATAAATGTGGGCGGGTTTGTGGGGGTTAACAAAGGCAATAACAGAATCTAATTTAAAAAACGGAACGAAAGCAGGAAGACAGTTCAAAGAGAATGAAATGAGATGAAACGGTACACTACAAGAATTGCACTCTAAAATGCACAACATCCAGCTTGAGATGAAAATGTATCAGATACCGGCATTCACAAAAGTAGAAGGCCAAACTCGTGTAGTTTGAAATGAATAAGACATTCTTCATTATCCATAATAGATACAAGAATGCAAAGTCTATGTACAGTTAATATTTACCTAAATTTCACCTGCTAAGAGAAGTAACAGTGTTTCGTAGATGGTAAATGGATGGTTGCGATAAAAGTACATACAATAATGTCGTGAAAAATGGCGGAGAGAACGAGAAAAACGGAACAAACCTTGTAGAAGAGATTCTGATGAGGAAGAAAATTTGGATGCCTCCTGGCTACCTAAGACTTCCGCCGAGCTGAATGACCTGTACCTAATCTGGCATGTGGGAACCTGGGCCATAGGTCGTGTTTGGTTCCTATGTACATCATACCATCACCATCTGCTTCTTGAAACATCGTTTTCAAATGATATGCATTCTCACGACATGCAGCATCTTCGTTAACGTCAGGAGAATGGCGAGTTTCATTTTCTTGGATAGGTCTGTACCAGTCATTCGCATTTTTTGGACTGGAAGGGAAGCTTGAAGGATACGATGACGCTTCCTGATCTTCAGAAAACGAGTCAAAAAGATCCGTGTAGGCATAGGAGTCGTTTGGCGGTGGTGACTTGATTCTTGACATAAACGAAAACTTTCGTTGCCGGTGCTGAGGACTGCTGGGGACGGATGTGTTTGAAGAGGACTTGATGGAAGAGGAACGGGAAAAAACGCTTAAGCCGGCAGAACTGCTAACTTCGTCGTTTTTGTGCAGGCTTCGGGCGAGTATGGCGGCAACACGAGAATCATACATGTCTGCACCATCGTCAATTTCTGCGAGTTTTCCACCGTTAATTTCTTCCAAAGGAGGAGTAGGCAACTCAACAGCAGATTGCGGACAGTTGTCATCAGCGAAAAAGATATCCAGACTATGTAAGGTGGTTACCATTTCCCCTAAAGAGTCTTGCCCTAAAGTTTCCAAAGAATTTCGTTGACGGTGACCGGATTCCATAGGCTGATACATCACGTCTTCTGTATGAAATTGAACATCTGTAGCCCTGTTTGCTGCTTCTGATGTCTCGTAAGAATTATACACAGCACCAACATTTTCTTTGGTAATTGAAGCTTCAAAGGTGGAATTTGAAACAGACCACCCAGAATCTGTTGGAATACCAAAAATTGATATGTACTGATTTATATTGCGTTTGCTGTTTCTGTCACTCATTACCATGCGAAGGATTTTCAGGTCCTCGTTACTGGCAGCATGAGTAACGGAATCCGTCAACAATGCAAGTGCATCATTGGCAAATTCTGTCCGTAAAAGACGTAGTAGCGGAGAAATTCGGTCCAGGCCAAGTGCATCAAACACTGGCTTCTGAAAATCGATCAATGGGAACAATTCCTTTAAGAGCTCTAGAGTATACTTACGAATCCATCTAGTAGGATTCGACAGAAAACTCAGCAATGTGATAAGAAGGTCACCATCAAATGATTCAAAATAGTAATTATACAAGTAAGAGCAGGACTCTTTCATAAAATCCTTTACACTTCGATATTTGCAGTCCATGAAGGCATCGAGAATTTTTATCAATGCCTCGTCCTCATGACTTTGCGCAAGTAGCTTCAAGCCCTGGCAATTTTCAATCAAGTTAAAAGGTACTTTAGAAGCCTTTTCAAACTTGTAACCCATTGCCGGTAATAAGACAAGAAAACAAGCCAAAATCCGTGGAAACCCTTCACCAACAATGGTATTGTCTTGACTGGATAGTAACAAAGTAAAAAGGCGCATCGTAGATTCGTAAGACACACAAGAGCGAAAACCTCGGATGATAAACATTTGGAGACCATCAAACTTACTATTCCAAACAGGAGGGAAAGTAGATGTAAATATCGACAGCGTAACTGGATCATTGAGATCCACCTTAGTGAGGAATATATAGACCATATTAATAGCAGCCATAAATTCCTCTTCGTGAATAGTTGTAAGGCATGCAATTGCAACCCAAAAGAGACGTGGGTAAAGTAATATTTGTTGCTCATCCAGTTTGTTTAGATAGTCACTAATAGTGTGCAAGATTTCCATGGCATAGTCCCGAACTTCTGAGGAGGGATCAGAGATAGTACTGTGCAGACGAGCAATAACAGCAAGGAGCATATCGTCATCATAAGAAGGACAGATTGCCCTTAAAATTTTCACAGAGTTACAAGCAATGTGTTTAAAGGGACATGTTGTTGCCCAGACAAGAGCAACCTTGCCCCAAATTTGACGCAAATCAGGATATGATTCATTGAACGTGGACAGGGTACTTACTATCACTGCCGGAAGCAACTCCTCAGGATTTTTTTTACGTGTTGTGATTTTCTCAAGTTGTTCACTCAAACCAACAAAACACTCTGCTGTTTCAAGTGATGTGTCCAAATTTTCCAACCTTTTCACCATATACATGACAAGCTGCTTGCCGTAAACCTTCATCTCCTTAGAATAATGATCGAGCTGCGTAATTGATGCATGAAGAAGAGTAGCCAGCTCTAAAGTCGTTAAAACAAAAGATGTAGTCGGGAGAAGATCCATAATAAGAATGAGCGCTAACTGACCCGGTGAATAGAGAACTTGGGCAGCACGGTTTGGCAAAAGAGCACCAATATCAGCGACATAATACCCCTCATAAGTGTAGTGAGACTGCCCAAAAACCATTTGATTATGAGTAGAAATTGTCTCCGAGCCGATAAGGTTGTACAGTGTTTTAAAAGTTGCTTCGGCGAGTTCAGGTTTTGCAAGATATACAAACACCTGACGAGCATGTGAAACAAAAGTACTGCTTTTACAGATATAACACTGACGAAGTACGAATTTCAATGCAATAGACCAATTGTTTTCAAATGGGCTCACAATGATAGAAGTCCAAAGTGCTTCAACTTCGTTAGGCAACTTAACCGTAAATTTAATTGTAACCTCTAGTAGATCAAGTAGAATTACTTCTGTCTTTTCATCAAACACATCATTTTCATCATCATAAGCAAGTTCCAAATTCTGTAACCAAGGAAGAAGGACTGTAATAATTTCCCGTTGAAAGTGTACACCCAACTGAAAGTATCGAAAACACTCTGAGGCAAATCTAAAAGACTCAGGAGCCAGTTCATGTGCTAACTTTACTGAGAGTAGATATTGCGGTTTCAGATACAAAGCTGGATCTGTTGACTTCAAGAATACCTTTAAACTTTTGAAATGAATCAAGGATGACTCGTCCACAATTGTTTCAATATAATCAAGTGAAGTTATACGAATTTCCGAGTCAGTATTGGACATATTCACCAAAGCATAGGGGAGAACTTCATGACGAGAAATTTGAGATACACCAGATTCCATAAGCGATTTCATCAGTGCGGCAAAATAGTAGTTTCTCGTCGTTTGGTTTCGATTATCTTCGAAGCAGCGCCGAATAAACTTTCGGTAAAGCTCAGGAAACTCCTTATTACAATAAAGCAAATCAGACAGACCATTCTTCACCAAAGCTCTAATCTTTCTGGAAGGAGAATTAGACACAGAATCAAACCAATTAAGAATGACATTGATGTCAAATGCCAGAACAGAAACATCAGAAACTTGGTCTAAAGGATACGCAGTAAGAGTCATCATGGTTTCGACTGTAGAAAGTTCAAGACTTTGCTTACCAACTTCTAAGTTTGCCAAAAGGATTCCGCGCTCCCTAATGTCTTTAAAGTTCTCCTGAATATTCATTCGCATATGTTCTTCTCGAGTTTGAAGCAATTTCGCCGACATGCCAAAGCCGGTCCACTCATCAAGCAGTCGCCAACAAGACACCCGCCCAGAAAGAGGAACCAACTCAAATGATAACCGATCCCTTTGTGCAAGTATCACCTTTTCGAGCAATCGTGCAAAATAGCATCTCAACTTTATGTATTTCCAATCACTTTGAACCTCAGCACTACTGAGAACATTTTTAAGATCTTTAACGAATCCAACGATGATATCAAAAGTCATTCGGTCGTCCTTTAATGATTCATCCAGTAAATGATATGCAGTAAGAGATAAAATGTGCGCAACTTCGTTTCGTAATAACTCATCAGTTTTCGTTTTTTTCTTGTTCACCATGCCGCCCAAAGGCAGACCATGGTTCCCGATTTTTTGATTGTGCAAAATGTCTATATAAGGTTTTAACGAATAAACCAGATGTGGAAATGCATTAACATTTATGCAACCCATTGCAGAGACAACAGCTTCCCTAATCGGCGTAAACTCAGAAGTGATTAAAGGCAAAGCAAGATCAAAAATTGCCTCAACAGAGTAAATTTTCCCACCGTCAAAAGTTTTTCTAAAATACAAACTTGTTTGCATACCTGCTAACCCTCGCTTTGGAGCACACGAACTCCGTTGAGTTTCAGTATAAGTAACTGTGCAGCAAGCAACCATTAAATACAATTTCCACTGAACAAGCAAGGACTCTGGAAATGCTGTATTTCTAGAATCAGACTTTGATGTATCAAAACGATTAAAAACTTTGGAGGATTCCAAACGAGAAATCATATTCGAAGTAAGCGCAGGCAATTTCTCACAGACAGTGTCTCTAAGCAATGCCATGGTCATAGGAACTGTATCGTAACAAAGTTTAATAAATTTTGGAAAAAGATTGTACCATATAGAAATATCAACACCGCTGGTTGATGTTGTCAGCCTGAAAAGTACATCCTTCGTTCCATCGTTTATGAATTTTCGTAAGCGGGATCTCTCAGCAGCTGTGGGCAAGCTGCTTTCGACTGAAATGAGAGAAGAATCCCAGTTTTGTAAAATGTCAATCACCGTTACATCCTGATGTATTTTTGAGTTTCCACTCAAATCAGATAGTGTAAAGTACTCGGTGCTAAGCTCCTTTACGTCTTGTAAAAGTGCAACAGCAAGTCTCCTGATGGATACGAATGGAGAAGATAAGTGCAGTACGCCAACTGATTGAATCTCTTCAATAACAGTCCACGCGTGAACATCTTCGAGCTCTGATTTTTTTATGCTCGCCGACTTCGCAAGAGAACAGCCAACAGAGGTTCTAACACTAATTAACGATTTTCGGTGTTCAATAGTGTCGTTTTGCTGGGCAATCCAAATGCGAATTATGTCATGATAAAATCGTAAAACATATTCTGAGTCATGCGTGAGTTTCCGGGAGAGGATTGAAATCACGGTTTTCGCGACCTTAAGGGATTCGGAAAAATAACGTAGAACATCGGAGGCGGTGTTCTGTATGGGCTTGTAGGTTGAAAATAAACAGCGGGCGTAAAGGTCAACGATTTTGGAGTCTAGTCTTGAGAGCATACAGGCTAGTAAACGCATTATGGAAATATGAAGGACGAGGGAGAGTTTGCTTGTCAAAATTGCGGAGGCTGCGTTTGCATCAAGCGCCAACTGGGAAACGGTGTTTAATAGTTTTTGAGACAACTCTGCGACATAGAAATTCCAAACGTCAGAGTCTACAGCATCCCAAAGTTCTAACAGTTTGATGCCAGTACGCGTGATGCCGGGATACTGCGGCTCATCAGAATGCGATTTCTGATCGCACAGTATGAAGTAAGTGGTTCGAATGACGACAAGCAACCGTTCCAAAGAATATCTTGAAGATATAGTTTGAAGCATTGGAGAGAGTGCGTCACGTACAAGGGTGTCCAAAAATTTAGGAGCAAATACACGGTAGAACTGAACCACAGTATCGCATTCTTCGACATTGGGAAATAGAATTGTGCCGGCACGTTTTCCGTAAACAGAAATACGTTTAAAAATAGAATCAACCCGTTCACTCATGACAGAGTTGCTTTCGGGATGGCGATTGAAGTAGACCCAAAATAACCTAGCCATACACAAAAAACTAATGCTTCGAACATCCTTATCTTTTAAACGTGCAAGTGCTATTTCGACGCAACGAAACCAATGGTCCAAGAAGAACTGACGGGGCGAAAGACAAAGAACAACGGTTAAAAAGGGAAGAGTGATGTTTAGTAGTTTGGCTTTACCAACGTACGAAGCTGCGATATGGTAAAGACTCTCCATTGTTTTCGACCAGGTAGGCAAATTCACCTCCACGGTAGCCTTAGTCACGATAGGTTGCAGAATACTTTCAAAGAAAATGATGTACTCAAGCTTGACCGCCATGGAGGATTCCTTAGAAAAGAAGGAGGCCATCGAGCTGATAAAAGCGGCACACTCTTCCAATAACGGCATTGGGTACAATTGCAACCGAAGGTGATGCATTGCACGTAGGACGCTAATCATGTGGCTTTCCTGTTGCGCACGAGTCATGTCTGATTTTCCAAGGCTTTCGATTTCCATAATGAATCTGTCAGATACAGCAGCAAAGTTGAACCGGGAGATGCTCCCCACCAGCAGCGTGAATTGCGACCAATTCGTATTGTAAAACACGGAGGTGCCAGAGAACTGTTCACTGGAAGTAATCAACTGATGGAAAATGTTTTCAATGAGACCCGTAATCGTGTCTTCGTCTAAGGCTGTTAAAGGGATACTTTCAATAATCGCTGACAGGGTACGACACAAAATAAACACTGATACGGCATTCTTTCTCTCAAGCACAAATGGAGTTTCATTGTTATTCACATCCATCTCACATCGAATCTTGCGCCAGTACAAAAGCGATTCAATGACGGGAACCGCTTTTGTGCTGGCCAAGACTACAAGGTCATGAATAGACTTATCAAATTCTGTGTCCGCGTCTGGTTGAAGCAAACGGATCACTGTTTCGTCGGAGTAGGCAAACACGATAGCCTGACCTCCACTTTGGCTACGACTGTACCTCGAAAGCCATTGGATCTTTTGCTCCGAAACGCGCACAAACTGTGTAAACAGAACATGTAGGGCATAGTCTGCTGCAGTTTTCTCCTTCCCTTCGAGAACTAAGGATGGGGCGCCCACCTCTGGTGCGCCCTTTGACGATTCTAACAGCTCAGACATTCAGCAAAGCATGATAGTTAACCATAAAAAAGGAAGTATGTGCTATAACAAGGCAATCGGCGAAGGGATATACAGAGAGAGCCGTAAGGTCCTCCTTACTACTTAAGGAGGAGACGAGATGTGATTGACAACTCGAGAAATGGCAGGTACAGGTGCTTTTTCTTCAAGATGTGTACAAAAGCAAAAGAAATAATGTCGGAACAGCCGTTCCCAAGGAGCAATGACTAGTTGCTTGGTGGGAGATGTTAAGCCGAATGATGGTTGAGGTTGGCACTATTTAGTGGTGGTGGCAGGACTCGAACTCGGATTTTGTATGGCACTCGAAAATGAAAGTGGTAACGTGGGCCTAGTGGTGGTTTGTCAACAAAAAGCCTCACTCACAAGCGAAGGAAATAAGGTTAAATGAAAAACACTACGCGACGCGATGCGCCAACTCTTATTTCCATATTTTATTACAATTTCACGAAATGATATACTTATTAACTCTCCTTAAAGAAGGTTCGTCGGATGGTCTTGGAAAGTCTATAGATGGGTCAAACGACACGCCAATGAGCCTTCGCCGACTTTCTGGAGTTTGCTTGTAAAATTTGACATAGCCCGTAACGAGAGCGTAAAGGGTGTGATCACGTCCAAGACCAACATTTGCACCAGGATGATATTTTGTGCCACGCTGTCGCACGATAATCTGATTTGCTCTCACGAACTGGTCTATTTTTGTTAGTATGCATCCCTCGAGTTTGAATCGTGCTTGACAACGAATTTTGTGTTTGAATGTGCATCGGAAATAGTTTAAGTTCTCACGGAGCACATGTTTGTTAACCTACTATGTACGAGTTTCACACCGAGCCTTCTTCCGGCTGAGTTTCGGTTATTCTGTGTAGAACCACCTCCACGTTTTGCTGATTGCAGGACCGCCGTAGTAGCCAGTGTTCTCGAGAGAGTAACTGTGTTAAGGAGGTTTCCGCTGTTCCAGAAAAAACACCTGCCAGAGAGCGAGGTAACTTTGTACAGCATCACTCAATAAAACACGATGGTATGTGTGCTGTGAATAAGGCTAAGAAGACTTAAGAGACCAGTTAAAGTTATCTTATCTTTTCGCTTAGATATAAAAACAACACCTTAAAAGCTTACGATCGGCACCACGCACAACCACCAAATCAACAAATAGAGAGATAGAACAAACAAGAAAAGCGGAGTATTATTTACAAGGGGAGCTGCTACAAACGTGGCAAATTCTGTTAGTCCGTATGTTTTCTGAGAGTGCCGCCCTCGATTCCGCCACGTTTCAATATCATTCGCTACCAGCCTCCTCTATGCCCTTCAACTCAACATCCACACCAGGAACGCGATGTTGCCCTGCCGCCAATTTTGTTGACGCACATTGCAAAAGTGAATGTACAGTTTTAATCCATACATTTTTCCAAACTATAGTCATGTATAATGTCTTTCTGATTTTCGCGTAACCTAGTTTCATTTTGCCAATGTCAGCTTTTTCCTACACCTGTCATGCTGTAGAACGTGGCAGGAACCTATTCCTATGAAACCAGGGAAACCGAAACGGAAAACAAATACTGCAGATCTTTTACGTATAGATGCACTCAAGCTGAATTGCACTGATGAAGAATCACAGCAGATTCCGGAGAAACGGCCGTTTGGTCTCAAGCATGTTCCCTGTATCAAGCTTTCAGAAAAAGAATTGGCTGATCCCTTCAAGGTTATAACGAGTCATTGGGCAGACATATGCAAATATGGAGCTATCAAGGTAGTTCCTCCCTCAAATTGGCGAATTCCTGTCACTTTAGATGCTGACGAGTTTCGTTTCCGCGCGAAACGGGAATTCGTTCAGAGCGAAAACTTCAACCTGTCAGAGAATGCGCAATACTATCAATCTCTGAAAACGTTCCACGAAAATAACGGACTTTTCTTCTATCATCCGCCTGTAATTCATGAGACGCCCGTTGACTTTTTGCAATTAAGAAATGCAATTGGCCATTTTGCTACCAATGGTGCTAATATTAATATTACGGTGGTTACAAAGGTTCTACGTGAACTGTGTCTTGAAGATAATTCAGAAACCCGGCAACTTATTTCTCGTACATACGATCGCTACATAAAACCTTATGAGCGAAGCCTCACTGCAAGACACTCACGCAGCAGAGATTCGAAAGTTACACGGCTCGGTGGTTCCATGAGCAATTCCTCGAGCGAGAAGAGTGATGTTAAAATTGAGGACGAGACTGAAATGTCGCCTTTGTTTCAGCACGGCGAGCAGTGTGAGAATTGTCGGCTTGAGGAACGCCCGGAGGAAATGCTTTTGTGTGATGGTTGTGAGGCCGCATACCACATTTATTGTTTGGACCCCCCTCTCAGTTCAATACCAGAGGACGATTGGTATTGCCCCATTTGCAAATACCATCTTCAAAATTACGATCCCGTAAACGGTCACTTGTGGACTCTTCGTTCCATGTATGATGCTTCAGGCCCGATAAAAGAGAGTCTTCTAAATTATACTGGTCCTATTACGGATGATGCTCTTGAACTTAAGTTCTGGGAACTCCTTAGACAATCGGGTTCAGGACAAAGTTCTACTCACACAGAGGGACTTATCGATGTTGAATCCGTGTCTCTGCGAAGCTCCCTGCCTACTAAGGAGCTGTTTCCTCTTGAAGAAACTGTCTCCCATCCATGGAATCTTCATTCTATCCCTTTTCATCCTGATAGTCTCTTCTGCTACACCGGTTGTGACACGCGTTTCCTTGCAAACACTCGGATGCTGCTTGGTTTACCCTTGCATTTTCAAAACTGGTCTAAGAATTTATACAATACTTGTGATATTAAGCACCATCGTTTCGGTGATACCGTTATCTGGTACATTGTCTCGCCCAAAGACGAGCAAAAATTTGCCCAACTTGCATCCTCACACATTGAAGGACTGTCTAACGTTTCTATTGCTTTACATCTGGAGGAGCTATCAAAGCACGACATTACTGTACACGTACTTGAACTTCGGGCGAATGAATTTATGATCTCTGCACCTAATGCGTTTTATTTTGGTCTTCAATTAGGGTTTAGCCTTGTTGAGTCTGTTTATGTCGGCACTTTCCACTGGCTTCGTTTTGGTTATTTAAAAGAATGCTTACAGCAGATGAGGTTGGCAAAACTCGATGCCCAATTATCATATGAACAACTTTTGTTCAATCTGGTTGCGTTAAAAGTGTCCAATTTTTGTGAGAAGTGGGCTGCACCATTGCTCGAGGACGTAATGCAAAAAGAACAGTCTTTAGAAAACGAGTTTTATAAGCTCTACCCGGGCGCTCGGACATATGCAGCAACAAAGAATGCGATTTCGGGAACGCACTGTGTTTCTTGTGGCGTAATTCTCTTTCGTTGCCGTGTACGTTGTGCATGTTCTGATGAAGACTACTGTCTTGAGGATGCAATTAAGAAGACCTGTTCTTGTGGTTCCACCGATGTTGTTCTTTACAAATCTATTGAACTCACTCAACTTCAAAAATGTGTAAGTGATTTCCAGCTCCTCCCACGCATTCCAGAGAATTGGATCAATTCGTTAAAAGATATTCTCTCGAATTCAGCAAAGCCGGACCTTAATGCGTTGCAAAAGCTATTAGACGATGCGGAGAAGAATAGACTAAATTTGCCAGAGATTACAAATCTAAAACTTTTTGTGAAACAAGCAAACAGCTGGATCTCTTCAGCTTGTCACTGCTTGCACATAAGTTCGAGCAGGAAAAAGCGTACAAAGAAAAGTCCACTTACAATTAAATCCGATACAAGTGGAATGTCTTCGTCTAATGATTTGAATGAATTTTTCAAATTAATAGAAGGAAGTGAAACGCTTCGGTTTTCTTGTAACGTTATCAACGATTTGAAGAAGAAAGCTTTGTCCTTGGTTACTTTCCGAATGAAGCTTGTTGAAGCAATTAATTCACCCATAACAAAAGAAATCTGCCAAAAGTTAATTGAAGAGGGGGATAACTTAGGTTTCCAATTCCCGGAGATTGTCGTTATTCATCGTTATCTTAATCAGCTTGAATGGTTGGAAATGTTTTACTCACTGAAAACGGAATCCTCAACTCAATTTGATTTGGAAAAACTGATATCTATGGGTAATAATGCCGGAATTCCTGAGAATAGTGACTACATGGTATTTGTGAAAGCTATGAAGGGTAAGGCAGAAATCTGGGAAAATCAAGTACGAAAGGTTCTTTCACAAAGCAACGTTTCGTACGAAAAGCTCTCTGTAATGCACGATGAAGCGCTTACGCTTTGTGTGGACAAAAGCTTGTTAAGTGCTGTTCAAAAAATGCTTTGTGATGCCAATGATATAAAAAGAAGGATAAACTGTCTTTATGAACAAACGAAAAATGAAGAATTTAGTCACAGACCCACAGCGGACGAAGTTAAACGAACTTTACTTGAGGCTGAACGGTTACCCGTTGTTTCTGAGAATGTGACCGCCCTACAAAAGATGTACGATCAAGTCATTGAATGGATTCGCCGTGGAAAGCGTTTATTCGGAAAGGCTAATGCTCCGCTGGAGATTTTGGGACAGCATCTGGAATATGTCAGGAAACGTAATACTTCCTGCTTCTCGTTAATTGATCAGCCAGGTCTTCCCATCGAACCTTCATCGCCTGAAAATGCAGTTTCTGGTAGCGTCAATATTACTGCTGCGAAGAAACGTCATGGAGGATATTTCTGCTTCTGTCGTCTTCCCGAAAATGGAGTAATGATAGAATGCGAGGTCTGTCGTGAATGGTACCATGCAAAATGTCTAAAAATCTCCAAGAAAAAAATGCGTCCTGATGAAAAGTTTACATGCCCTATATGTGATTATCGTGTTGAGATACCACGCCTTTCAAATAGACCTCGTTTGGAAGAGCTTGAGTCTTTGTGCCGCGATGTTGAGCGTTTGCCTATTCAACCCCGGGAGACTGCAGTTTTACGGAGTGTTGTTGGTACCGCTGTACGATTTCGAAATGAACTATACGCCTTAGCGCATAACCCCTTCGGGCTAACAATGGCGGAGGTTCCTATTGCTCGCTTTTTTTTGCGAAAAATGGAAGGTGCTGAAATACTTCTAGCTGATGAAACCAATTTATTCCGACAGAAGCTTCACAACTGTGTGCCAATTGCCCCTAATCCTCCGCCCGTAATAGGAGAATCAAAATCTACTAGAAAACCAAGACCAACAAAACGGCAACGGGAAATTATGCGACAAATTGCGGAAGGATTACTGCCACCTAGCGCCATGTCATCTCGTAATTCTCATGCCAACAAGCGTGCAAAAACTGAACAGCATCCTCCATCGGCTAGTCCAAGTTCCGTAAATACTCCTGTCCCCGGTACCACAGTTAGTACTACAAAGACGGTGAAGGAGGATTGGACCTCTTCTCTGCCAGGAAAAGATTTGGAAGCATCAAAATCAGATTGCATATGCAATCAACCATTTGAAATTGGCGATTTGCTAGTTTCATGTGTCGGCTGCGAGCGTCATTATCATTGTGATTGTGTTGGTTTAAGTGCAAGCATAGTTGACAGTATGCGCAGTTTTGTTTGTCCTTCTTGTATGAAAGGAATGGGTGACGCCTATCCTTGGCAGTTGAGACCTCGAGTTGCTGTTAATACGGGTGAAGAGACGAAGAAAACTACTAAGCCGAGTGGTCCAAAAAAAACTGTTCAGTTGCTGCATCTTAAAGAGAAGTCCACAAAAATCCTATCACCAAGAATAATCGGTGCGCTGGACGCGCCGTCTGTTCATAAGTTGTCATGCGGTGAGCATGCCACTTTGGACATCGGAACTATGGTATGTGGCAGCCTTTCTTCACCAAAAACTAACTTCGTCTTTGAAGAACTTGCTGAGAAGAACGAAGTTTTGGCTGAGCAGTTCTTAAACGTGTAATTAATATGGATGATTACGTACTTATTTATCTTTTTGGGTTTTAAATCATTCTTTTTAGCTGAATAATATATCACACTTCGTATAAATATATAATAATAATCATGGGCTCGTAAGACTAACTAGTAAACACTTTGGATCAGTCTGCTAGTGATTGTTAAACGGAAGGGACATTATGCTTGTCAACGTGTCAACCGTCAATGCGTTTCCGAAAGATATAGACGATTGTTGTTGGCTTTTCACCTGTATCAGACACGGTTGAGTTCCATACCAGGGTGACAGTACACCGTCTTGGAAGGAACTAGTGCGAAGTATTTGCCCCCAGTAGGATGCAATAAACCAGAAATGTACAGATTGATTCCACAATTCAAAGTTCTCTGTCGTTTTCTGATTGCAAGCTTCCGCCGAGGAGTTAATGACCGAATTGATAGGGTTTGGCGAATCCGAATTCTCAATAAACGAAATCAACACCGTAAATTTGTCATTAAATAAACCACCATACTAGAAGGTGTTAGTCTAGCATCAATGATAGGTACGTACCCAATGGATTAAAGACGTCAGGTCAGCAGTGCTTTCAGTGTAAAACTGAGGAAGAAACTGACTAGCTTTCTTCTCCATCTCCTGTTTATCAAGAGACAATAAAGGAAGAAGATGGTTTTTTATTTTTGCGAACGCAAGGGCTAGTCCGTTATTTTCTAGATTAGTTAGTTTGGGTAGTCGACCGTTTAAACCGTACTTATTCCCTCATTTGATGCGTACAATTGAAGCGCACTCAACAAATGAATAAGCTTAATTGCATTGTTTTTAGATAAAAACAGTGACGATGGTTGAAGCATAGTCGAAAGGAGATCTAGCACGGCATCAAGTGTACTCAATGAAATTCCATTAGCATGCTGTAGAGTGGACATTAATATAGGAAACAAAGAGGAATACTCTTCAGCTTTCAGTTTTAGAAGAGTGGCCGTTGTCTATACTGTTAGCAAGACACAAGAAAAAAACAAAAGAACATGAACTTACAGAAATTACATAATCTCCAACATTGTTTTGAAAGCCCGGAATGTAAGAATCCATGGAAGGTACTTGAAGGTTTTGAGCCGGCTTGCACAAAGAAGATACCAATTGAGGAATCAAAAGCAACTTGCGAAGTATCAAGTAAACTACTTTGCAGACATGCTTGTCGCCCCCTTCACTAGAGCATTTAACAATCAAGTACAAAAGATTCAAAACAAGTTGGTGAAGATGTTTGGAGCTGGACAAGTGCCGAAGTAAACGCTAAATGTTAATGAGAAATGGAATGCGTGGTTTGCTTACCTTATGAAAGGTGCAGAGTATAAGAAAGAGATAAAGGTTATCTTGGGCACCTAGACAAAACTCTCTTTCGAGGGGACGAAACCAAGAGGTATGTTTGAGAGAAGATGTAGTGTGCTGTTCAATACCTCCGACAATAAATTCCAAGTCAGTAGACCTGTGTAGCTTTTCGTAATAAAAAACATAATAATTTTGCATCTCTAAAACTTGAACATTGTTGTCCTGCAACTTGGCAAGTAAAGATGGATCAATTCGTAGGGGGGTATATGAGAGCAGTAGAATTAGTATCCGCAAACTGAGAACGGAGAGTTCTCTTTGCTGACCCGAAAAATACTTCAAGGAGATGAATGAAGTTTTCTGAAATGCCTACAATAATCGTTAGGGAAGAAAAAAAATTCAGTACTTACAGTATTTGTTAAAGAACACAAAAAGTCAAGAATGAAAACCTTCTCATTTTTAGTGGAGAAGAAGAATAATAGAAGGGAAAAGCAGTGTTCTATTTCTTTGTTAGTTGTTGCCATGAAGAAACCTTGACAAACCTTTGGGCTGATACAGTACTTCTGAGAAAAGGACACAAAGTAGAGTTAAGTACTCTACTCGATTATTAACAAGCTCTTTAGAACTTGAATTTGACGTGGTTGAGAGTCCAATACCGGGGGCCCTGAATACGAGATTAGAATATTGAATAGATTAAAGAGGGGCTTACCATAATCGTTGATTCAATTGATTGTCTTCAGCGATAGTCACATGCGGCAGAAAGGCAATGGTTCGTAAAGCAGCAGCAAGTTGTTCTCCAAAAAACTGATACTTGGGAGCTGAATCTAAATTCGGAAGCCTTGCTCCGAGTTCAGTAAGACATTCCGATAACACAATTGAAGAAACAGGTGCATCTAAAAGTAGTTCGTTAAACCAGTGCAATGATGGCTTCGCGGTGAATAAGAAGGGAAGAATTCTGATCAGCAAACGAATAGAGTTCTGTAGTGCCTTTCTGGTTAAAGTATTTGAAAGATGTCCTGGGTCCTGAAGACTTATTGCCATTATTGTATGCAAACTCGATTTGACGAATATTTTCAATGCATAAAATGAATGAGAGTCACGTAAAGCTGCGATATCCTTATTTGGGATTAATGTAAAGAAGTCATTTAGTGAAGTAGGATTCGTAACCAGCTGAAAACAGATCGTTAGCTCGTACTTGGAATCAGATGTATTTTAGGAAAGTCATACTGAATGAAAGATTAAAACTAGGTCACAATTGTACTAATTCGGTTAGATTATACTCACAGGGGGATTTAGCTATTATAATCTTACAGGATTGTCTAGCAGCTTTTCAACCTGATCACGGACACTAAATCTTTAAAACTGTTAGTAGACATGCAAGGCGAAAGTGATAAAAGAGAACGAACTTTGATTCTGTGATACCCATTGAGTTTATGTTGCAACAATTGACAATAAAGAGATAATTCCTTCTATTTGCAGATAATACAGTAGCTTTAATGCCAGTTTGGGCTGCTCTAGGAGGCTAACTTCTTGTCTTTGGTTCTGTCAGCCTTCTATGTTATAGTTGCTGGCTTGGAATGAACCGCCAGGTGAGGATTTGAGGATTTACCATTTTTACCCTATTTAGAGACATTTACTCGGTTATACTGAAATAGGAATAAATTAAAGAAGCTATCTCGTCCCTAATCTCAGAAGATTTCCTTTTTAGTGATTTCGAAAAAAAGACAATACGAAGGAGTTGCGGATTTGTGAAAAAAATTAAGAGATTCAAGTTTTCACCTTCGTTATTATTAACTGTTCTGTGTTTTTGTATACTCTCTTGAGCAAAAAATAAAGAGTCATGTCTTCTCGAATGCTTCTCAAAATACTATTCAAAACCGAGCCTTGTTTTACTCGAAGGTGTTTCAGTAGCTTTCAAAATGCTTACAGAAAGCAAGCAAGCATGATTAGTATTGTGCCAAGATTGACTGACAGACACAAATGGCCTTCGGCTTCGTCCATCCTAGCTCACCGAACTATATCCACAGACACAGCAGTGGAAGCCGTCAATGCGGTTCATAAAATTGGAGATCTTAAGGCTATGGGATTGGGAACGCATACTTGGTGGCCGTACCCCTATTTACAGAGCATCTTAGAAGTCATCCACGTATATTCAGGCATGCCGTGGTGGGCGTCCATAGCTGCAACCGCAATTGGCATGCGTGTTTTGATGTTTCCATTAATGCTTGGCATGATCAGAACATCCTCTAGAATGGCTGCTATCGGTCCTCAGGTTGCCGGTCATATGGCAACTTTACATGGTGCCCGACTCGCTGGTGATTCGCTCGCCATGCAGAAAGCGACTCTGGAAGTTCAACGGCTGTACAAGGAAAATGGAATCAATCCGATGCGGCTACTTCGCGCCCCTTTCATTCAAGGAATTCTTTTTGTTAGCTTCTTCTACGCTCTAAAAACCATGGCTGACTTCCCGGTTCCAGGTTTGGAGCACGGCGGATTTGGCTGGGTAATGGACCTGACAAAACCAGATCCTATGCATGCCATTCCGATTGCTAATGGTCTCTTGATGTGGGCCAATATTGAGCTTGGCAGTGAAAATGGCACAAACAAATCGCCCGTTGCACCTTCAATGAAGCGTTTCTTCCGCTTAATGTGTCTTGCCAGTCCATTGTTCACAATGAATTTTCCCATGGCCATCTTCATGTACTGGCTACCTAGTAATCTCTTCAGTATTTTTCAGGGATTCTTCCTTCGTTCCAAAAGAATTCGCCGATACCTCGATATCCCGGAAATCGAGGTGACTCCTACCAAATTTCCCCAGCAAGAGTCTTTTGTTCGCTCTTTTTCAGATATCGTTTCTGGCGCCTACGAACAGAATATGGCCGCCAACAAAGCTCAAACTCAAGTACAGCAGAGCCCGTCATCCAATCCCACTGAAGAGCACAAGTAGACTACAGTCTCTTAATCAATTGACTGAAAATGTTTCGAATACTAAAACGGACTATTCTATCGTCATTCCTTACTATGTTTATTTTTGTTTATAAAGTTATTCCATTTATTCGACTTGAAGTAGTAATTTCCCTGCGATCTTTGGACGACCCTTACAGGAGCCCACAATGAAGTCTATTTACATTTATTTGTCGCAAATGCGATACACCCTGTGCGACAGGCATGTGTAAAATTTTATTGCGTTTAAAGTTGCGAAAAAGAAATTCTTTAAACAGATAAAGTTTCAGTTATAAATACAGGGATTGCATGCTCTTGATATATCAGTACGATAACACAATTCGCACTAATTTTCTTGTTTGCTACTTTTGCCTGTGTTTTCTCTTCATGGGAATAGTGGTGTATCCAGGCCTCTAAAGAACTTAACCTCTGCAAACCGCTCTTTCGTGTAACAGAAATCGAAACAGATCTGTGCATATTCTAGCATATTGCTACTGCTTATGTATCTGTTCTAGCGGGTCATTAGGAGTAGACCAGAGTTAAACTAGCTGCAGTCAGTGTTACGACGGTTCATATTGGGAAAACTCGTGGACAGTATCGAAAATACACTACAAAAATGGCACCTACTTTTATTGTAGATCAAGAGAAATCAATGGAGTACAACGATTCCTCATTTGAGGGTCCTGAGAAGTTGTTGGAGCTTTGGTTTTCAGCTCCGATGGATTCGTCAAAAATGGGTCTTCGAAGCATTCCTAGGGCAGATTTGGACGAGGTGTTGGATCTTGCTCACTGCAAAGTACTAAGTGTTCTTTCATCTAATCAGGTCGATGCATACTTGCTCTCCGAATCCTCTCTGTTTGTGTTTGCTCACAAACTTATTCTAAAGACATGCGGTACTACCACCCTGCTTGCTAGTTTACCTCGGCTGCTTGAGTTAGCGGCCAGCGTTGGCTTTGAAAAGCCGATACGTGTGTTCTATTCCCGTAAAAACTTTATGTTTCCCAGTCGTCAATTAGCTCCACATAAATCCTGGAGTGATGAGGTGAAATGTTTGGAAACCTTTTTCCCCAGCGGCTCTGCGTATGCTGTTGGTCCTACAAACAAAGCACATTGGTATTTGTTTTCGTTCTGCGACGAAGCATACAACAATTTAGACGACAATCTCGATCCCGAGGATGAGACATTGGAAGTCTTGATGACAGAAATGTCGCCTCAAAAATCCCTAAACTTCTACTCCCCAACTTTGGGCTCTGTACTTGCTGAAAAAGGCTACGACTCGGTCGAAGACGCAAGATTGCATGGTTCTTCTGTTTCTACCGGTCACTTACTTGGTGCTTATGCAGCCGAGAAGGCAGGTGTGCAGGAGCTCTGCTGGACAAAAGATGGCAAGGCATTGTTGGATGCATTTTCCTTTGAGCCAATGGGCTTTTCGTCCAACGCTTTATGCGATGATCGCTATGCTACCATTCATGTTACCCCTCAAGAGCATTGTTCTTACGCTTCGTTTGAGACAAATGTGTCCGAGCAACGATTTGGTCGGACTATGCATGATACAGTAGCGAAAACTATTGATGTATTTGGTGCTGGCCGCTTTTCGGTTAGTCTTTTTCAAGCAAAAGATCCTAACCGTCGCAAAAATACCTTGGTCAATAAGCTTGGACACTTTGATTCTTACATTCGCGAGGAGTGCATCGTCTACGATTTTCCAGGCTACGACCTACTGTTCTGCAGTTTCCGTCACAAATAGGCATTTTAAGGAAACTGTTGTAACACACTTCTCAAAGCAACTTTGCTTTTTTGGATATCTTACCCTCAACGGATACCACCTACTCGCTGATTTGGTCTGGCGACCATTCAGCTTTGTTAACCTTACAAATGTGTAGAACAAATACATGTTTTTCTTTTACAAGCACCAATCCAAAATGTTGTCTGGAAAACATGGTTTAATTTAAAGGATATGTCAATCTATGGCGGAATCAGATTGATTTGTAGATTGTATATTCCCAAAGGGCTAACGTGTAAGCATAATAGTAATAAGTGCTTTTGGTCAAAACGAGTGCGATCAGTTTAAAGCGTTTAGTAGTCTGTAACTGCAGCTCAGATAGCTTCAGTGGAAGGACGGGCATAATATGTCGTCCTTCAACTTCCCTAATTCGTATGCTAAAAGGAATTTAGCTCGAGCCACGTCTTTAGTCGAGTTTTAATGCAGTAAAAACTTACTGAAAGAGGAAAAACGCAGTGAAGAAATTTGATTGGTTTCGTGCATGAAACAAGCTTGCAGCGTAAAGCGGCTGGCGAAGATTCAACGAAGTAAAAGTAATGAAACCTACATAGATAAACGTTCTGCCAGTTTTTCAATGGATGGGTCGTCGCCGTCATCAGAAGAGAGAACTTTGTCCAGCTCTTCGTGAGGTGGAACGTCCATTGAGTGACGACTTCCTTGCGGAGGAAGCCTCTCGTTCTGTAAATCAGATTTACGTGCATCATCGAAAGAACTAATGGCGTTCTTAATGCCTTCAGCACCTAGCATCAGGGTACCGGCCGGCAAACGCTGTTGTCCCGTAAGCGTTTTCAACTCAGAGACACTCTCACGCTCCTCACGCAGAACGCTGAACACACGAGATATTCTTCCAATAGCCATGATCTTGTTTTTAATGATCTGTCTACGTGCTTCCACTTCAGGATCGACAGCTGTCTTGACAGGACGGGCAACTGTACATGAGCCATCGGAATCATACAATTCTTCCTTAGAACAGATATTAAGCATAGAGATTACCATTTCCGTAATCTTCTCACCGACGAATGGTAAACTCCAGGTAAAAACGTCCATGAAGTTGGGAAGCCAATATGGATGAGGAGAACAATTGAACTGACGGATATTCATAATGTTGTTCTCATACTTTAAAACAGCAGCCTTATTGTTGTATACATCAAGATAGTTGGGGGCAGAAAAAATTGTCATGAGGGAAGGAAATCCAGTGGTTTTGGTCTTGCGGTACATACGATAGCCAACATCCTGAGCTTCGTGGGCACGAATAACGGATAAGAGGTTATTCTGTTCAAGGAAACTGCATGCTGCCGCATATGTATAGTAGTAAGAACAGCCACGTACGTGGTTATGTGTGAAGTGTTTGGAATGTCCCTCGGAGCCAAAGTCTTCAACGGGATCTGACCACAATAAATCGCACATAAGCCCGTGTGTGGGCGGTTCGCGGAATCTGTTGATTTCGTTGACATCGTTGATCGTGTGCAGTTCGGGTGATAAGCCACCATGAACACAGAAGAATTGGTTGTTCATTACGGCAGCAAGGGGCAGAGCGCAAAAGGAGTCAATACAGGCTTCGTACACCTTCTCATTGTACTTATGATTGCACTCAAGTTTGAACGTAAAGTAATCGGTCAAATGCCGGCACTCATGGTTGCCTCTGAGAAGCCAAAAAGACGTAGGATACCAGATCTTTAAAGACCAAAGATATAAGACACATTCGATAGAGAAATAACCCCGATCAACGTAGTCTCCGAGGAAAAGATATTGTGTGGTAGATGGGTTTCCGCCGACCTCAAATAACTTCATTAAATCGTAATACTGACCATGTATATCACCGCAAACAGTAACCGGGGCATCAATTTCCAAAACATTGGGCTCTTTTCGAAGAATCTCGGTACCTTTCTGAATAATGTATAGCGTTTGTTCCTCGGAAAGACGTCCTTCACGGATGAAATGGTTCTTTAAAAAGGCTAAATTGGGTTTCTCCGGGTCGTTTTTGTCGAAAAACTCTTCGTCTGTGGGAATAGAGGTCGCAGGTGCTTGTACATCTATACGAGATAATTGGTTAGTGTTTAATTTTGAAATAAAAAAACAGGAACACCCAGTAACTGTTGATTGAAATAGATTCGAGTGCTGAACAATCTCGACTGCCTAAAGATCCCAAACAGTGATCCTAAACCTGCTGATTTAACATACTTTTAACAACACGATCCAAAGTACTAACCGTCGTACCGTCTTCCTTTACAACCACCGTGAAGTCGTGTTTTGGAGGACGGCTTTTCTGGCGAATTGCCCGAACGATTGGATCCTCTATACTTTGACCAATAGACATGGGAACAAAAAGCCTCTAAAGAGAACAATCTAACAAATTTTGAAGCTATTTGAATGTGGAATGATGGGAGTGGGATAGTTTGCTTCACCCGAAGTGTTGTTGACTTTAGGTGACCGTAGTGGCGTTGCAAATTTGTAAAAGCAAAGAAGTTAGAGCGGATCACCAAGCTTCATAAGCAAGTGGAAACCGTGTATGAACGAGTAATAGCCAGTAACGGCAGCTGAATTACCTCAAACAACAGAAATATTCGTGGACAATTCAAGAGCTGTTTTTGGTGGTGAGGGGAAAAAGAATGGTTCGCTATAATTTAAGGTAATCATGTGAAATAGGCGAAAAACTTAAAATCCTCACCACCAAAAAAACAGCATCTATTCAGCCAAGGTAGAAAATGCGTTTCTAAATAGTAGCTGTCAGTAAGGCAGCAACGAGGATTCTTTTGCAGGATTATTAGGGTTGGTTTGTCTTGGGTTTTATGGTGTTTGGTTCTTCGTTGTTGACTGCGCATTAATCGCTGCAATTAACTTAAAAAAATAGAAAATAGAAAACATTTGGTTCGAATCCATAAGTGATTCTTATCTAAACATTTCTTTGCGGTATTCACTTTTGACTGGATTTACTATCAACTTTCTCTTTTCGCTGTCGCCATGTGCATTCTTCAATCAGACCTTTTTTATGTCTCTCCTGTCGAGGGGAAGGGAATGGGGATGATAGCAGCCAAGAATATTCCTAAAGGTACACGGTTGTTTGTTGAGCAACCATTGTTTAAGGCACCAAATGATGCCACGATCATTGAAAATTCTGTTAAAGAAAAAACCCAGGAGGAACAAGCTGCATTCCATGACCTCTTCAATGCCCATGTCGAGTCCATGGGTCCGTACCTGGGCCCGTTTTATTCCAACGCACTCACGGTTAACGATAACCAAGGCGGTCTGTTTTTGTTGGGTTCGCGCATGAATCATGATTGCAGTCCTAATGTAAAGCATACATGGAATGATACACTCGATGGAGTAACTGTCCATGCGGTTCGCGATATACAGAAAGGCGAAGAAATTTTGACTACTTATATCGATCTGCAAAAACCAAAAGGAGAACGCCGTAAGCTACTTCAAGCACATTTTGGGTTTTTATGTCTGTGTTCTGCCTGCAGCATGACTGGCACACCTGCAAAGCACAGTGATCAACGCCGTAAAGAGCTTGCATACTATGACCGGCGAATCGCTAAAATGGCCGTGACAAACCCGCGAGGCGCTCTTCGAGCACTTCGACACCGTATACTACTTGCTCATCAAGAACGACTTTTTGGTCGGCTTGATATTGTTTCGTATTTGGATGCAGCTAGACTCTGCATTATTCACGGGGATTTTAACCGTGCTAAAGTTTTCCTCCAACGAGGCTTGGAAGTTCTCCGAGTATGTGAAGGTGAAGACTCGCCAAAGTTCAAAAAGCTCATTCCATTTGTCGACGACATTAAAAGTCATCCCCTTGCTGAGGGTGTTTACGAGATGCCACTTGTCATGGACGAAGAGTTTTCTGATGCTGAAGATCAACTGTGGGGCTGCGTTCTTGAGGAGGACGAGTATAGCGATTGATCCAAGTGCGGATCAAGTATCGGGTGTGCCCGTTATAAAATAGGAATTCTAATGGAACATGTTCCAAATGGCTGTCTGCATTCGCGTATATGCGCATAGAAAATTGTACTGTGTAGCAGCACTGTTCTTACCCTTAACAATAAGATGCTTCTTCATTTCTTTTATTTCATTTCATTTCATTTCAATTCATTACATTACATTAATTACTTCTTTCGATTTCTACAGTAAACCGTACGTACTCAGGTTCGAGACTTATTGCACACACAATTTTTAAATTTCGGCAAAACAGAAAAATCAACTATCCACATGCAATTCTAGCTACTCGTTTACTGTAGACTGCTTCGGTTTTCTTCGTTTATTTGTGCGAATCCATTTCCGGTGTTGGACCATGTGTGTGTGGACAAATTTGACCGCCACGCGTCCACCTTTTATTCCTGCCAGAACCAATACCTCTGTCAACAAAAACAACAAAAATGTCGACTACGAGCTGTAGAATGTATGAAAACCGCTTCCCGGAAGTGGACGAACTTGTTGTCGTCAATGGTATGCTTTTTTTGTAGGAAACGGCGTATATTAACGAATTTTAGTTCGCCAAATCCAGGAAATGGGTGCTTACGTGAAATTGTTGGAATACGACAACATTGAGGGTATGGTTCTTCTTTCCGAGTTGTCTAGACGCCGTATTCGTTCCGTTCAAAAGCATATTCGTGTCGGCCGTAACGAAGTTGTTGTTGTCCTTCGTGTTGACAAGGAGAAGGGTATGTAAAAACTGGTTTCCTGAATGTTTTTCGCTGGTTCATCATCTAACCGTGTTCCTTTTAGGTTACATTGACTTGTCGAAGCGTCGTGTCAGTCCCGAAGACGTCCTTAAGTGTGAGGAGCGTTTCAACAAGTCCAAGGCTGTTCACTCTATCATGAGACACATTGCTGAGAAGCACAATGTTCCCTTGGAGACCATGTACACTTCCATTGGCTGGCCTTTGTACCGTAAATATGGTCACGCCTATGATGCCTTCAAGCTGGCCATCACTTCCCCCGAAGTTGTATTTGAAGGCCTCGATGAACCCGCTCCTGGCGTCGTCAAGGATCTTTTGGCCCAGATTTCTCGTCGTTTGACTCCCCAACCCATCAAGATTCGTGCTGATGTTGAGGTTACTTGCTTTGGTTATGATGGTATTACTGCCATTAAGAACGCTCTGCGTGCTGCCGAGGCTGTTCACACTGAGGACATTCCTGTAAAGGTGAAGTTGGTTGCTCCTCCTTTGTATGTTATTCTTACCAACGCTTTGGACAAGACTCTTGGTGTCAAGAAGTTGGAAGAGGCTATTGCTGCTATTGAGAAATCTATCACTGAGGCCAACGGTTCTTGCGTCGTGAAGATGAAGCCTAAGGCTGTCAGCGAGACTGATGAGCTTGAGCTTGCTGATCTGATGAAGAAGTTTGAGAAGGAAAACGCTGAAATTTCTGGTGACGAAGAGGACGATGACCAAAGTGGTTCCGAGTAAGGAACATTTTCATTTGCATGAGCCAACTATAGTCTCCTGGTCTCTCTCTTGGCATCATTGTTACAAAAAAATGGCACGTCTCCTTGTGTGCGGCTTGCATAACGTCTGCACTGAATTCCCATAAAGTCAGTAGCGACTTTCATTCAGCATTTCTGTAGAGTTGGGTGAGTGGTTTTTTTTCATTTTGTAGGCTACAATAGGTAGGCAAGAGGTTCGTTTCAAAGTGAGAAACAAAAGTATGAGAGGGGGACTATGTATGTATGATGAGTTATGAGCGTTTCGAATCGTTAAAGTCATGAATGCGTATGGTGTGCTGCTTTGTGCAGGTAGAGCACATGTTTATGGCCAAAGTTCGAAGGTTTAAGGCCGGGAGATTACGACGTAGGCAGACCGGCTTTGGAACGGCGTTCTTTGCAGGTCTCACAATACCACGTTCCCTCTGGAGGTGCCTTGAGACCGACACATTCCATGTGAAACCATTCACGTTCACATCCTTCGTCATCGCAAGCAACCATCTGACCAAAAGAGCCCTGTTGACAAAAACAATACACTTCTGTGTCTTCTTCCTCTTCACCAGTCGACTCCACTGCAGCCGCTCCGGAAACACTGGGAGTCGCAGAAGCTTTTGTGTGTGTACTAGGGGATTCGGACCGTTCTTTTGATGCATAATCGTTGTTCCAAGAAGCAGTCGAGGAGACATTCTTTCCTCGAGTTCCTTTTCCTACAGAACGGCCAGCCTTTGAAGCAGTAGCACCGTGAGTTGTACTGGAGCGACGACGAGTAGACGAAGCCGATGATGAGCGTATGGGCCCTCCAGTGCCATTAGAGTAACGAGAAGAGAGACTACTGCCGTACGCGTTGTAAGGCAATTGTACATCGACTTGTCCCTTTTCACCAGGTACAACAACAAAGCCTACCTTTTTCATTTCGGCGTCTAATTTCTTAATATGCCGGGTAATGAGTGCACGGGCTCTTTCTGCGAGGTCAACTTTTTCCTTCTGAACTTGAATAGCCTTTTGATAGTTTTCCTCCATCTCCTGAAATGTATTTTCCTCACGAGGATATGGAGTTAATGCACCATTGCTTTTTACGAAATTTTGTATGAGTTTATCCTGGCTTTTAATCCGCTTAAAAAGTTCGTGGACCGCCATTTCCTTCACAGTAATTTCATCAAAGAAGTGCTTGGTTTCAAAAGGCAAGTTATCCAAGCTTTGAAGATATTCAAATAATACATATGCCACATCCTCGGCCATTTTAGAGGAAAGCAGGAAACCAATCCGGAAACGATTATGAGAATGTATAGAGACAATTAATGTTGGACTCAATAGTTATGTAACGTAATTATAAAGAAGTCACTTTAGGTACTTATATTCGTCGTGGCAATCAAATGCAAAAGTTCAGCTTCAAAAGGAGGGCAAAAAATTTTTCTTTGGACTCGACGAGATTCTCTAAATCCTTGTTTTAAGTATAAAGATGAACTTTGAATCGCTATGAAAGGTTCAATTAAAATGGATAAAATCCTTAAAATAAGTCTTTGGAAAACTTAACAGGGCGACTATAGCCGAGTAAACAAGAGAACAAGAAAAATAAGCAGTCTATCGTCTAATACTCAATCTGACATTGCTTCACCTTTTTGTGTCGTTTAACGTTGGTGGAGAAAATGATCAACACAACCACCAAAAACAAGCGTTTGAAACGCAGTACGGTTTCATTTTTGCCTTGCTCATCAAGATGCTTTAAGACTATTTTTTGCGCTATCAGACCTTCAATTTCTGTTCATTAAGCCCGTATTTCTGCAATATTCGTATATGGTATTTTCTTTGCTGGTCGACGCCCTTCATGTTGTGAACGAACTTCAACACCTTCCCTACTAGCAACGGTTTTAACAATTCCTTTGAGAAATATCTGCAGCTCAACTACGGCTCAGGAAAAGGCTATTGAATGTTCTCTCGTTCATCACATAATCAGGTTGCTTCATTTTCGTTCGCGGACTCTATTATCGCATAATTATCTAGTGAAAACAACACAGTGTTCCCATCGTTATTTCGTTATATCTCTTAGTTCTTTTTTATTCGTTTCTCAATTCTGGGCCCCATTTGATTTACCTCTTCGTTTGTTCTTACCTATTCTATTTAAATGAACAATCAGAGTTCTGAGTGGTTTTTGAAGCCTCAAAAAAAACGAGTGACCTACCATCATGACAGCGCTGTAGGCAATTATCATTATGGAGATAAACATCCTATGAAACCTCACCGGTTGACGATTACCAATCATCTTATTATGGGGTACGGTCTTCATCATGAGATGGATGTCTATTGTCCAAGAAAGGCTACGTTTAAAGAGATGGCGGAATTCCATTCAGAGGATTATCTCGAATTTCTACAGCGCGTCACACCCCAAAATGTTGATGAGTACTCAGACGTTCTCCAAAAATTCAATATTGGAGACGATTGTCCTGTGTTTAATGGCATATATGAGTTTTCTCAACGTTCCGCCGGTGCAAGTCTTGATGCTTCCCGAAGGCTGCTTCAGGGACAAACGGATATTGCGATTAATTGGAGTGGAGGTCTTCATCATGCTAAGCGCGGTGAAGCCAGTGGATTCTGCTATGTGAACGACATTGTGCTGGCAATCTTGTCTTTGCTAAGGTACTACCCGCGGGTACTATATATTGACATTGACATTCACCACGGTGACGGCGTTCAAGAGGCATTTTACGAATCAGACCGGGTTATGACTCTCTCGTTTCATAAGTACAACGGCACTTTTTTCCCCGCTACAGGAAAATTTGACGAGATTGGTAAAAACAAAGGCAAACATTTTGCTCTAAACATTCCTTTAGACGATGGTATTGATGATGTTTCGTACACCAGCTTATTTAAGTCGATCGTCGAACCGACCATCAATACATTTCAACCTTCTGCTATCGTTTTGCAATGTGGCGCCGACTCACTTGGGTATGATCGACTAGGAGTTTTCAATCTTAGTGTGAAGGCTCATGGAGAATGCGTTCGTTTTACCAAATCGTTCAACATCCCCATGCTTGTTATTGGCGGAGGCGGCTACACGGTAAAGAACGTCGCTTTAGCCTGGTGCTACGAGACGTCTATCTGCGTGGATGCTTCCATTCCGAATGAGCTTCCGGCATTCACTCCGTATTTCGAGTTTTTCGCACCGGACTACACTCTTCATCCAAAAGTGAGTAGCAAAATTGAGAACAAGAATTCTCCGCGTTCATTAAACGCTTTAAGGGTTCGTGCTCTGGAACAGCTCCGCTACTTGAACGGTGCACCTAGTGTTGCTATGCAAGAAATTCCTCCAGATATAACAGGTCATATGGATGAAGAGGATGATCGGCTGATGGACGAATATCGCGACCGTATGGTCGATGTTCGACTCGAATGTTAGCATAAAAAAACTTGGCAAAGTACTAGCTACTCCAGGCTGCCACTGCCTCTCCCTCTTCTTTCCTTTTGGCCGTGTAATATTCTTGCTTTCTTCTTCTTTCGTTTTTCCCCCCATCACTACTTCCGCATTTGGTAACGAATTCCCCCCAGAGATAACCACATATAGTTTTAATGTTCATATTTCTTTTTCTATGTAGACAGACTTGGAGTGTCAACGACATAAGTGGTAGTTCTAGTATGCTTAGTGGGTAAATCTTGTGTGTATACTAGTAGTGGTATGCAAACACTCAAAAAAACAACACACACACGGGTCTTGGGACTGTCGACAGGAATTACATTTAGACTTTTCCACGAACAATGTGTTTTACTTGTCGAGACGGACGATGGGGCTGGCCTCAATTAATTCCAGATCGACTCTAGGACCCATCAATTGACGGATATCGTTAATTTCGTACTTGATCATGGTAGGACGCTCAAGTGACAAACCAAAACCAATGCAACGAACATCTTCAGGGAGACCCATGGCCGAAAGCATCTCGGGACGGAACAGACCACTGTTACCAATCTCCACCCACTTGCCCAAGCCCTCGTGGTAAGAGTAAATTTCCAAAGAAGGCTCAGTGTATGGGTTGTACGTAGGCTTAAAACGCAGCTCACGAGCGTTCATTTTACCAAAGAAAACCTTCATGAAACCAATAAGGTCACCCAAAGTCAGGTTTTTATCACAAATAACACCTTCAACTTGGTGGAACTCAGCAAGATGAGTAGCGTCAACAGTCTCGTTACGGAAGACACGATCGATGGAGAAATACTTGCAGGGTTTGAAACCATCCTTGGCAAGCTTGTAAAGCATCTGGGAGGAAACGGCAGTGGTGTGTGTACGCAAAACCAACTTCTTCGACTCTTCCTCCGACCAGGGAGCACGGTAACCGATGCCACCAGAGACACCACCATTCTCGTGAGTATTCTTTACACTGGCAACATAGTCGGTTTCACGAAGCTTTTCAGCTGCAGCAGGCTTCTTCAAAAAGAATGTGTCCTGAGCATCACGGGCAGAGTGTTGTTGGGGGACGTAAAGAGCGTCAAAGTTCCAGAAACCAATTTCAACGAATTGATCAGTAGGCATTTCAGTAAAACCGAGTTCAAAGAAGAATCTGCGGAACTCCTCACGAACCTTCATAAGGGGATGCAAACAACCACCACGAGGAGGAACGCCATCAGCAGCAAAGTTGTAGTCTTTAAACTTCTTCTCCTTCCAAGAGCCATTGGTAAGCATTTCGGAAGTAAGATCGGCCTCAAGTTTCTCAACAGTAAGTGAGAACTTTGGTCCCTTCTTCACGGAGAAGTAGACGACCTTGCTCTTCTCAATCAACTTTCTTTTCTTGAGTTCATTCAAAGCCTTTGTGTCGTCCAGCTTGCCGACATCCTTGATTTTTTGAAGCTTGGATTGGGTATCGTCGACAATAGTGTCAGTGTTCTTGACGAGCTTCGCACCTTCCTTACGAATCCAACCCATCTTGAAGGCCTTTCCTTGACCAACACCAGCGCTGTTTCCGAGTTTGCTCTTCAACTCATCAATGGTCAAACCGTTCATGGATTGACAAATTTCTTGGAAAACGCGAGCTTCGTGAGATCCTTCCTTGCAAACCAGCTCACCTTCCTGAGTCAAAACAAAAACATCGAGCTCATGTCTCTCGAATTCAATCATGCTCTTAGCAGCGAGCGACAAAATAGCCGACTGAGCATCTTGCAGAGTCACTTTCTTTCCTTCAAAAACAAGGTCCGAGGTGTTCGAGATAATTTCATTGTCATTCAGTTCGTGCAACAACAACGATTGAAGTGCTTCAGTCCGCGACATGTTGACAGCCAAGGATGTTCTACTCTTTTGGCGGTGATGGTTCAAAGCAGATCTTTCGCTTGGAAATTTGGTGTTAGTGAATGAGTGGAGGGAGGCCCGGGAATGCAACACAAAAAATGAAGAGAAGAAAGTGTTGAATTATTAATGAATAGCGGACACGAGAAGCCTGATATCAGGTAGAGACTCAATTTGAAATTGTTTTTTTATTACCTTGTTAGGGCGGTCGAGTATTTCACATCGTATTTCTAACTTTTAAATAATAAGAATCATTCAATAATGAACTAAGTGAGCACGCCCCAAGAACAAAACAGTGAAACGTAAACACGTATATTACAATAATGTAAAAAGCTCTGACCTTGTCGTGCTCAAGAACTACAGACAGAGGCCGCAGCCACGAAGGAGTGACACGAGTAAGTATATACATTACATATACACTATGAGCTAGGTTTTCCAAACTGTGCTTGGAACTCAGCGTCATCAATCAGCCGCAATAATTGCTTGTACGCAGCAACAGTAGCAATAGCAATGTCTGGTAGTTGAGTATTGGATTGTTCTTTGTCGAAGTCTTGGGCATCCAGTAGGCGAAGTCTGTTGTCACGAAGTGCTTTAAGTGTGTCGTGGACGGTAGAAGCATCTACAAATGCAGATACTTGATTGACCAATGGAGTGATATCGAACAAAACATCACGAACGATGGCGGCTATATTTCGCACACCTTCATACACATCAGCCTGGGAGCGATGCTCATGCACAGAATCGACGAGCGCTTGAACACCAGCAACAAGGTTATCGGTTTCCTTGCTTACTATTTCTTTCACATGGGACAAGGTTTCCACTTGGTTCACCGCACGAGTACCATCTCCACGAGACGATCTTGTCATTTCGTCTGGATGCAGCTGGTGCTGCTTGACAATATTAATAAGAACGCTGCTCAAAGTGTAGGCAGTTGCATCAATATGGAGCAAGGGCGTCAATCCCTTGTTGATGGCAAAGTTGCGTACTTGCAACATGAGAGTATCTGCGTGGATGTAAACTTCATCCATATGCTTCATCAGCTCTGAAGAATCTGCGAATGACTTTTCCCGAGCCTGGGTAGCAAGGGTATCAAGCACTATGGCCAAGGACTTCATTTTAGTGAGTAGTTGGCTGGAGTTTTCCGAACGAGTTGCTGCAATAAACTCGTTCATCTCAAATAGATAACGCACGAAGTCCTTTCTGTTGAAAACACCATCATCGCTAGTGCACTTGTCCAACGTTTCTGGCGAAACCGGAGGGTTTTGGAAGAGGCAAGCCGTCGCATCAACCTTGGAAGCAGATTCATTTTGAAGCTTGACTTGATAGTATTTTTCTTTCCATTGGAACGACTCACGTTTAACCCGTTCCAATTGGGATTGCATCTCGTCAAGTTCATTCAAATGCTTACTTTCGGCTTGAATTAACATACGCATTTGTGAAAGATGCTCTTCCAGCTCCATGTTCCCGCGTTTGGTTTGTCTCTCTTCCGCAGCAGCGTTCACCTTCTCAACCTCCTTCGTGAGCTCTTCAATCTTTTTCTGCGCAGCTTCCAATTGTGAAGACAAGGTCGTCTTTTCGTGTACAGCCTCGTGCAGTTTGTCTTCCAGCTGAAACAACTCGTTCTTGTGTTTGGCTTGGTCAGCAGTGTGCTGTCTTGTCATTGCTTCCATCTCTGCCTTGTTGGCATCCAAAAGCGAGTTAGCTTTGGCCAAGTTGCTCTCCAACAGCTCAATTCTACTCAAAAACTTCGTTGGCGATTCACTGCGCACCGGAATAGCTTGTTGCTGACTGGGAGATGCTGTGGGCGAAGTCATGTAGGAGCTCTCAATAGAGACATCTTCACGACCGTGAGGAGCTTTGGGAAGACGATGAGGCATATTAGAGACGGAAGGTGACGAAGATGAAGGCGTAGGAAGTCTAGGAGGTTGATTTGTGTTAATTGCAGTTGTCGCAGGCATGTACTGCGGCGAAGATGCTTTCCCTAAAGAAGCTGTTGATGCATTGCTGGCAGTAGCATTGGTAGGAGTTCGCGGAGCGCCGCTGGAATTTGGCAAAGATGAGCTGCTAACATTGCTGGGCGACTCTGCAACTACGGCTGGATAACGAGTTTGAAGTTCGAAGAAGACATCGATACAAAGATCCCGAAGTCGAAGAGGAGCGAGTGTGGACATTTTTTGTCGAGCATGGTTCCGTTTAGGATGGAATGTGTCGACAGAAGGCAGATGAGGAATGTTAGGATCGTTGTTTATCCGTCTATGGAGCTCGTCAGAAACATCGGTAAGAAGCTCATTGAACTGAGAATGCGACAGTCGCTGGAGTTTTTCGCGAGAACGACTGTTTACCAAATTTGGATCTATCTCATGTTAGTAAAGGTCCGAATTGAGGACTGCATTAGAAGAGAGTATGCACGCAGGCAGTTCTCTTTTCCTCGTTTTCTTCTCTCCCATCCATACCTCTCGCAAATTCGGGCTCCAGGTACCGTGAAAGAAACCGGAACTGCCGGATAATGATACTACGCATGGCTGAAATATTGGTACTGCGAACGTTGCACGAAAACGTTAGCCTCCCTAACCAAGACTTAACCTTTAGCTAGTTTTCCTTAGGAAATACCACAATTTTTCGTCCAAAAGCAGAAGGGAAGAAAAGGAGAAGAGTAACGCTCGTTGACTTCTGCTAAAAACTAAAAAAACAGAAAAATCGGAAATCACACACTGTACGAAGAGAGTGCGGACAGTAAAAAGGAAACAAGATGGATTTTTAGAACACAAACAAGCCCAACAACCGGTAGAAAGCAACCAAGCAAACAAAAAGTATGGAACAAGCCAAGAAACCAGGAGGAATCAAGTCGTCGGAGGTCGACCGCGTTTTGAGGAACGACTTTCCTAAGCGATATTCTTGTGGTGGAGTAGAGCGAGGTGAGCGCAAGACAAGCTCGAGAATCGTTAATGAAAACGCGCCACACGCTAAAAATAGTGAATAGTAAACAATACAGGCAATTTCGGATATTTCGTTTGCCATTCAGTCATAATGTCCGTAAATTTTTCCTCCAAATCATCGCCGGCATCTGTAAGCTTTTCGACTAACGCAAGAATGGCTTTCCCGCCGACGGACGCTTCTTCATGATTGTCTTTGATGTCCACATTAATTAAAAAAACGGGATAGTTTTGTTTTTCGCCTCGACGAAAGAGATCTGTAGAGTGAGTTAGAATGTGCTCTTCGACAATCCGACAGCCATACCTTCACAAACTGCGTCAAAGCACCGCTCTTCGCATGTGATGACTATGTCAAAGGTATTCCGTTGGTCTTGCCATCTTTCAGGAGCAGTTTTAATGCGCCGATTCCGGTCCAACATTTTCAGGAGACCATTGGCCGTGTATAATCTTGCATCTTGTGCTTCTAGTTCGTTGTAAATGTTATCATAGGAATAGCCGAACTGGTAGATATTTGGTTTATCGATACTGGGGCCGGGAAGACGGACAGCAGAACCAGTACCGAAAGACTGGACTTCGTATCCGGCGTTTCTAACACGTGTGTGAGCGAGAATATTCACATATGGGATATTTCCAAATCAGAGAAATTGTTTTCAGGCATTAATGATACTTACTTGAGCACATTGTGGGCCTCCATACTTCTGTTTTGATTAGAAGCACATATTACGCTAATTTTCAGGTTCGTATTAGGTGCCATTTCGAGCAGAGAACCGTTTTACGGAACCGACGAGAATGGAATTGGTGAATTGAGGACAGATGCCGTAAATGGAACGCAATTCCTGTAGAAAATGCACAAATTGTTTACAAAAACGAGTTGGAATCGCCAAAAAAGAACGGAATTGGGATATTCTCGCTGGCAATGAGTGTTTTGTTCGCGTCAGGTTCGCGTTCGCGATTTTCGCGTGTTGCTCCCAAACTCCCAGCCGATGACATCATAGGGGAAACGTGTTCAGGAATGTGTGACTGTTTTTTTCGGTCCTCAATAGCTATAAATACCAGGACTCAGACACAACCATTCTTCAGCGAGTTGATGACTTTAGGCATTTGTCCAAAGGAAACTGTCTCAGTTATTGAGCCAGTTCCACTGTAGACAAACCCCTAGCTACCTTTTAACTTTGTCTGATCGCTATTTGGGTTTGTATGGTTGTTTTTTGTTCGTGTCGGCTGTTTTCATGTAGATGCTTCGTGTTTTTTTGTCTTCACCGTTGCTCCTTTGTTCATAGTTTTGTATCTTCTCAATTGAAATCATTGTTCTTTCTTACACCTTTTCTTTGTTCATTTCACCTCATACTATAAACGATTTCCGTTTTTTTGTCTCTATTTTATTCTTTCGTCGTTCTTAACTGTAATGAGGGGATCGACAAGTTAAAGTGACTAAAAAGCGTGTATTTGGCGCCTATTGAGACTGAGGCTATGCTTGACTAAGTTTTTCGTGTGCTAGCGCTCCTGCTGTCCAAAAACCATTTCTGTGTGCTTGTTCCCATATTTTGCATTTGTTAGTTGCAATTGACACCGACACTCTTTCTTTAATTTTATGCGTTAAACAGGTTTGAGATTCAAAATGGCAACAACGCCAGTAAAACAGTCTTTGAATGATATTACGCTGCTAGTTCAGTCGACTAAGGGACAAGTTCCTCCTCCAGTCATTGGAGAGACGTCTGTCATTATCGATAATCATGTCTATGTTTTCGGAGGTCGAGACGCTCAGTCGAAAAAATTGAGAAGCAATATGTATAAAATGGACATCAGTAATTTCTATTGGTCAGCCTTGAATTCAGAAGAATCACGTCTCCCGACGCCGCGTTACTTTCACTCGAGCACGGTTTGGAATAACAAGGTCATTCTGTTTGGCGGTATCGGTGTGGACGAAAATGATCAGCTTTATGTGTTAAACTCGTTGGAAGTGTTTGATATCATTACTGAAAGTTGGGAAGCGTTCGGTTCAGTGGATCAAGATCCAAACCTCATACCAACTCCACGTTACGGACATCTTGTCTCTGTTCTCGGCGACTACCTGTTCGTGTTCTGTGGACAGGACTTGGCTAATAACTACATTGAGGAAGTGGGCGTCCTTGATTTGATTCAACAAAAATGGGTGTACCTGGGTCCCTTCAGACATCACTGTGGTATTTATCGTGCCAATGTCCTTGAAAATGTCACAAAAGCTATGCAGACAAACTTGCGCGCAGCACCACCCATTGTGCCTAGTGACGAGACTTTTATTGGGACGATCGCAGTTTACTCTAATCATAACTTTGCGAATGTCAGACGAATGTTGTTCGTTATGGATGTGACCAGGACTCAAAATGGCGAGTTTACCATTCGTGAACAGGACTACTCGGAAATGCTAAAGGGAGCCTCGATGCCTCCTGGTCTTCGGTTCCCCGTCGTTTACAGTGCGGGATGCAATATAGTTATTGCTGGTGTTTTCCTCACGAGTTCTAAGCAGGCTTTTGTCTTTTGGGCTTTCAGCACTGAGACCAAACAGTGGAAGCATGTGGACATACAGGGCGTGCTGAACTTGGGTGCCTGGTTCCGTTCTGTGCACCTCCCAGACACTAACCAAATTCTTACTTTTGGTAATATGGAGGGCAACTTGGTTGAAGCCTATAATTCGCGAGAGTCCAGTTATGTTCATGCCGTCACAGTTGAGCTGGAAGCTTACGGCATTTACCCCAAACCACTGGATGCATTTTCAAAGCAAGGAAGGGAAATTGGCGAGCTGATGTTGAGCGGACCAAGCGATATGGAGATTTTGACACTTGAGCGTCTTCACGTTCCCTGTCTTTCGAAAGTCCTGACAAAGAGATGGGCCTGTTTTAAGGGCGTCCTTGAAACTTGTGCAAATAACAATCAGAATGAATTTCGCCTAAAGTTGACGAATTTTGGCTCACAAGTCACAGATCTCCCATTCTCAACAATTCAAAACACTGGCAGTCGTGTTTTATACATGCCATATACTTTTGATACGTGTTCGGCCTTTGTATATTACCTTTACTGCGGCTGCATCAAACCAGAGTATCGTACAGTCAGTATTCTATGTACGTTGCTACTACTTTGCGTCAGTTCCCATGGGTTGGAACACTTAAAGAAACACGTTACTCATCATTTGCATGAGTTGATGACCGCGAAGAACGTTGGACAAATATATGAAACTGCTGCACTGACTGGAGAAAAGGGGCTTCAGCTTCGTGCTCTTAGACTTATGATCAGCTTGAACCATAGACGTCGTACTAGTTTTAACGCCGCCCAGACTTCATAAATCTTAAGAGATCCATTAACGAGGTGTCAGCAGTTGCTTCCTCGGCTACGCGCTGCTGCTCCAAATCTTTTTGATCACTAAACTCCCCTTCATTTTCTTGCTTCCTTGTGACAGTTCCGACCCAATTATAATTCTCTCTTTCCGTAAGCAGAAATGTTCGGGCTTCTTCCCACAGTTGGCTCGACGCATTAACCTGTTGGTTTACTTCTTCATCAGTAATATCACCCTCAACACTTTGTAGTGTTGAATTTTCCCATTCCTCAACAGCAGGCAGAGCTTTTGTGCGCAGCAAAGTTGTTAAGAGGGGTTCTTGTTCACGAACGGGGAACAAATCTGATGGAAATATATTTATTGTCTTAAGTGTTTGCGACTGGCTGATGAGAGTGTTTGTCAAGGAATGAAGTTGCGAAAGGAGAATGCTAAAGTTTTTGTGAATTGCAGACCTAGATGTGATCCAGTTGTTAGATAGAGAAAACGAGAATATGGTTCAAAAATTAAGTCGTAGACCTTTGAAATAACTTACCACGGCACGAGAGTTCTGTGTTGGTGCAGTAATGCCAGAAAGTGAGAGAGAGAATGTGCAATCTAAAGGGTTTTTGTGAGATATTGACCAAGAAATGCGAAACAAATGGGAACGAACCTGAGCAAATTTTTGGCGCATAGATTCCAAAGATTCTACAGGTTTGGTAAAGTCTTCATGTTCATAATCCATTGCTTGAGGGGAGAGAAACCAAAAAAGAACAAGTCGTTATTGCTTTATTTACCACAACAAAAACGAATAAATAAGATAGTTTAGTTAGTGAATAGGCAGTGAAATGTTTCTTCGTGTGCGCAAATTATTCACAGGGGTCGTTATTGACAAATTTTACAGCCTCTAGTGTTTACTCTTTGAGAGTGACAGGAAAGCTAGGTTCGTTTTGAACTCAAGATGACACAGAAACAGAAGCGGTCATTTGACGATCTGGAGAATGCTGAAACAACTCAAGAAACTGACGAGAAAGAGGAGCGTCAACTTCACTATTGGTTAATGAAAGCAGAACCGGATACAAGATTTGTGAATGGAACGGACATTGCTTTTGACTACGAAATGCTAGAGGAATTGACAAAAAATGGCGAGTACAAAGCTTGGGGAGGAGTTCGAAATTATGAAGCAAGAAACATGATTAAAAGCGAGATGAAATTGGGAGATTTAGTTTTCTTCTACTATTCAAATTGTAAACCCCCAAGAATTGCGGGTGTAATGGAGGTAATCAAAAGAGTGTCTTATCCTAGCAATTAATTAACATGAAATTATTAGATTTGTCGTGAGGCATTTCCAGAAGGTAGGGTTTTCAGAGCGATCTTTACACTTCCTGGACAACCGTACTAACGCTATGAAGCAAATGCATTTAATAAAGAGAATCCGTACTACGATCCAAAGTCTGATCCGGAACGGCCACGGTGGTTTTCTATCGGTGTAAAGGCAAAGTTTAAACTGAAAAGAGAAATCCCTCTGCACGAGCTGCGAATGTATAGTAACAATCAGCTCGCAAACATGGAGTCTCTTAAGCGTTCGAGATTAAGCGTTAGTAGAGTGAGTCCCAGAGAATGGCAGTTCATTCTTGATTTGGCAGAGCAAGCATCTCCAGATGCCACAAGTTTTTATATAAAGAAGCGAAGAAAACTTGAGGAGCATTTAAAAGATGTGCATCCTTGATATGTGTCTTGAGGTCTAGTTATTCTTTCCGCAAAGGTTTCATTCCTAATAGTTCCACTTCTTGGATTTCAAAAAACTCTTCATAACAAATGTCGTCAAAATTTCTGCCCATACTGTAGACACCACGACTAGTGTGTCGGAAGAATCCAAAATCGAGCATATTATCCACATACAGTATGACTCCGTCTTTTCTGAGCAAACTAACGGTCTTCTTCTTTGAATTCTCGAGTCCGAAAGCGATCCCAAAATGTTTGTCAAAGAAACAGTATTCATTTGAGACTCTCGTAGCACGGAAAATCTGATGATACGGACGCAAATTAAACAAATAAGTAGATTGATCGCCAAAGCCCGAACTGGCAGATTCTTTCCATTGACCTGTTATATATGCGCCAAAAACAAGTTCTCTCGAAGAGTCTTTTATCACGTCTTGCATAAGCATACCGCTAAGTGATTTGTTTTTCGGAGGGATTTTTTGTAGAAACTGACGCGCCCGACGATCAGCGTGAGATGCATCCAATGGTAGTGCTCTAATTAGGAGCAATGTATTTCCAGAAAACGAGCTAGAGCATTTTTCCAAAGAACTCATTGAATAACCGTGTTGCTCGCTATTGAACAGATGCACAAACTTACAATCGGAAAACACCTCAGGTGGGATAAACATTTCCAACTGCGGCCGAAGGGAGTAACGGTCCATTAGTAAGCCCGAAGAACGCTGCTCAACCAGTCTGTGAGGATGTTGGTTTCTTTGGTACATGATTATTTCAAACAAATAGCCAAGTCTTCGTAATGCGTACGAGTTGGACTGAAGAAAAAGAAAGACGGATTTCAGACTCATTGACTTCGCCAATGGGTCAGGATAAACACCCCGCAGTAGTGACATTGCATAGCTCCGTTTTTCCTGTACGGAAGAGGAAATCAACATGCTTATATGATCTGCAAAGACATCTCCGCTCTGAAAATCACCTATACACAGAAGTAGTGTGAATAGACTAATTAGGACGGAACAGGGAATAGTGGGTTGTCGTGTTGCGTTTGTTTTTCCGAGCTTTACCAAATTGAAAGAACTGGCCAGAGAGCTTGTTAATGAGCTACCACTTGATCTAAGAGGTGCGTTTGGAATAGTCCAGCTATAAACAATTTTCCACAAGCATTCATCGTCCTTCCACACGTTTTTGTAACGACCTGTGTATGCAGCGATAAACCGAACCATTCCTATGTAATCAATTCCTCCATAATTCTGGCATCCTCCAATACGGCAAGCAGAATGAAAGAGGAACTCAGACAAACGAAACACATCCGGAATTCCAAAAAATGTACAGCTTCATGCGAGGAGTTGTTAACAATCATCAAGACGATTAATGTACTTAAAAACATCAAAACGCTTACAATGTATCTTCTGTCCAAACGACTTTTCCGTTCACATTTTTTCCTAAGGCAGTAAAGTTTTCTAAGCGTATTGGTCAAGCTGTGCTCTAGTTGAATATCGCTGACGTACCTTTGAGATAGAACTGTTCCAGCTTATTGAAATTCTTGTAGAACTTTTTTGTTTCATCAATCAATTTCGTTCGTTCGCCAAAAACCTGCACATTTTCATTTGCTGATTGCGTTTGGCCCATAATTTGTTTTTGGTTCACACTTGCACGAAAATCATCCTTGACGTCAAACGTAGATCAATATGCAGCCCATCATTACAACACGGTACGCGTTGTCAACAAACGAAAAATCATAGTATACATAGTTTAAAACATTTAAAGCATTTGTAAGGATGGTTAAATGAGCGTTTCTGATTAGGCATAATTAAAAGGAAAATAGAGAAAAACTTGGGAAATAAAATTGGTAATATACACAAATGTCTTCATCAATGACAATGAAAGGGTCACCGTGGAGAAGACTGTTAGGTTGAGAGGTTCGTTAGTTTTTAAAACATGTTTTTGGAAGCTTGGACTAGCTGAGAAAACTGAGAAGAAAAGTCAGCACCTTTGGCGAATAGCTCGGAAAAACGTGTCAAATTCGAAATGCAGTCATCACCTTCTTCAGTACCAAATGCTTTTGAGGAATCTGGCTGTGGAAGCTCCGCAGCGAATCTTTTCAATTGTTCAGCTTCTCTCACAAAGCTATCCAACTCGCTTAAGCCCTAAACAAATGTTAGTTTTTCATGTATATAACACAATACAAACCTTCTCTTTTGATATAAGATCTCGATACTCACGACGAAGGTCCAGTTTTCGTTGTGATATAGTAATTCTTTCGTCCCGAACGGCTGCTAATTCACGCTGTAGTGCTAGCTTTTGACGAGCTGCCTTTCGTGCATTTGCAAGAAGTAAAGACTGTGTATCGAGCAAATCTGTAAGCTCCGTAAACCGAAGCATGATTTGCTGTGCAAATGCGTTTTTAACTTTCAGTAAGAACGTAGTTGGCGGAACCTCTTCTTCAAGAGATTCCTTTATGTACTGATGGACAACTTCCATGTCGTGAAGTGCATTAGTGGCTCGTTTAAGCCCGTGTAATTTTTGAAGTTCAAACTGAACAACTTCCAAAGGCGTCCGTTCGTCGCCCGCGGCGTCAACTGTGCGCTGAAATGCTGTTGGAGGTTGCTCCTTTGTGACAACAGGTTGATCTGATGAAGCATTGCTCGCACTTTCTTGGACAGTAGACAGCGTGTTGTTTACTGATGGCAAGCTATTTTGGGACGTATCAGGTACATGGCCAGTAATTTCCTCAATAAGGGAAGCAGCGGTAGGTCCGATAAGCAACGGAGAGCTTGCAAGTTTTGGGCTTACGGCTGTGGGTGGCGATGGAATTCGTTCAGACGGAATGGGTGTAGACTGTAATCTCGAACGATCTTGTAACTCGAGATTTGGTGAGTGCGGTTTGCTTAACTTTGGCGATGACTCTACCTGCAGTGGAGTACTCGTTTGAACTGGCGGTTGTAAAGACGATTTATCAGCAGCAATTTGACTGCGAAACTGAAAACTAAACTCACCATCGTGAGATAGTTGGTCCGTAAGCTCTCCGGAACGTTCCAGTGTTCGTCGCCTCCGTTCAAGCACCTTTTTTTTTTGAACAGACGCTGGTCCCCCACGAGCTGTTTGCCGAGCAGAATACGGGGAACTCTTTTTGACATGTGATGGTATATCAAGTTGCTCTTCTGAAACTCGTTTTCGGTTGGAAGAGCTGGGAGTAGAAGCCTGTTCGCTCCGAGAAAGAGGAGCGGTATCAATGTTCATTGAGACATTATGTTTGTCTTTTTTCTGAGAATCTTCTTCATCCGCCTTTTCACTAGCGACAGGAGACGAAGAGTCGAGCTGCTTTAGCAGGTTCGGATCAAGAGCGAACTCGGTTTCTGAAACACGGTAACGTCTAAATTGTTCATTAGCTTCAAGAAATGTCTGGTTTTCAATGAGAGTCATTTACGAACCCAGCACCACGTAGCCGTGCGGCTCTTCGTTCTTCAATGTCACCTAAAAAACTAGTTAGTATCTCCTTGACCAAAAATCTGTCATAAAAGCGGCCGTACCCATCTTTTAGGTTCACTGATAAAAGAGGTATTAATAATATAGAGTTGTTTTTTGAAATTGTACAAATTGTACAGAGCATGGAACAGACCAATGGAAATAACAAAAACAGAGATACTATGAAAAAAAAAACTAGAAAGACATGACTGTTCAATAAGTTATAGGGAATTAACGACCAGAGTTCGTTAGATTGGGGGCAAAACAGCACAATAGGACGAAATTAATATTTTCGCGTCTTTTCGTAAGTTGTTCCTTTCTCAGAAAGAAAAAAAAACATAAAATCAAGCTTTTGAAGCAAGAACAGCAGCGGTCGTTACAAAGTGTATCTCTATACTGTTAATTTGTTTTCACGTTTTTGTAATCAGTAAGGTTTCAGTTTGCGCAAGTTTGACAGAAGGTGCAGACTTGCAAATATGAAAGTTTAGCTGAAGAAGGTTCCAGCCATCCATTAGCCATATAAACTTCATAATTATCGAATGCAGTAAAGAAGGTAGAGGAATGAATGCCTACGGCGAATTCGTGCTTTGTTTCATTAGTGGCACTGTACACTTTTTCGAACATGAAATGCAATTTCAATAGCTTTAAAAAAAATTAACGTGTAAAAGAAAGATACACTCTATATATTCGTACGTTCAATGTACTTTTGTCCCTGTCCCAATTCTCGTTAACAAAAGATGCTTAGGCTTCTTCGTTTGAAACAGAACCATAACCTGCCTCACTGTCAATAATTCAGTTACAAAAAGCTGTATAATATCAGCTTTTAGGACGATCTCTGAATGTATATTGTATCTAAGCACTAAAAAGAAGTTTTCTAAAGTCTTATTTTATTTTCTTGAGATATTTTGAACTTCTCATTTATAACGGGCGATTTCAACTCAGAAGGTTGAAATTACAGGACAAACACTACGCATTTTTAATTCATTATCAAACTGAATTAATCTACTGTCTAATTCAACCATGGAAATTGAAGCTCCACGAAAACCGGGTAAGTTAAAAGCTAACATCTGTGAAATAAATTGACAATTGGTTATAGACGAAAAATGTCCTCTCTGTCAAGCCGACAGATACTTGAATCCGAATATGAAGCTGCTCATTAATCCGGAATGCTATCATAAAATGTGTGAATCGTGTGTCGATGTAAGAATACTTGCGGCAAGTGATCACATACTAATATAATTTGTAGCGTATTTTCACAACGGGTCCTGCTCCCTGTCCTACTCCTGGCTGTGGAAGAATTCTCAGAAAAGCCAAGTTTCGTGAACAGACTTTTGAGGATGCGCAAATAGAAAGAGAAATCGACATCCGAAGAAGAATGGCCAAAATGTTTGTATTGTCACCACTGTCACATGTTTATCACTCTGACTTCTAACATCAATAGCTTCAACAAAACTCAACAGGATTTTGCATCTCTGCAAGCTTATAATGACTACCTGGAACAAGTCGAAAACTTGAGTGAGTGTTACAATACCTTTCTCATTACTAACAGACTACAGCTTTTAACCTCATTTACGACATTGATGTTGAGCAAACAGAAGCACAAGTGCAAGCATATGAAAAGCAAAATCAAGAATCCATTGCTACAAATTCTGCTCGGGCTTTAGCAGAAGCAAGAGCGTTGGCCCACAACGAAATGATGGCAAAAAAACAGAAGCAACAAGCAAGAGAAGCGATTCTACAAGAAGAGGAGTTGGAGCGCAAGCATAAAGCAGAAGTTGAACAGCAAATCATTCACGATTTGGCAACGTCTGGAAAAGATCCCAACAAAATTGTTGAACTATCATCCACACTTAAACGGCAACGAAATGAGTTACATCCAGCTATGAAAACATTCTCAACTACTGGCTTCTCTAACGCCCTCTTTGGTAATGCACCTGTAATACCAAATGTTCCCGCATTTGATCCGCTGGAGGGGACGCATGCTCCAAGCAAGTACTTCGACGAACGCGATCTTGTTTTCGACGACCCGTACTTGGAAAAGCTTGAACAAAATGTTCCACAGCTCGCCGGCTTCAGAAGCAGTTATGTTCATCAAAGGGCTTTATATGATGCATTTTGCGGATTGGATTTTGATTTAAACCTTTTAGAAACGAGTGCTTAGATGTACACCTAATACATATATACCACGAAAACCGAAAAATACAAAAACAAAATTTTGTCACTAGCTTGGTTGAGATGAGACCAAAGTCACCAAGATCTTAGAGAATTTAATAGGGCTTAAACCGACGACTTTCACGGATCTGCTGGATTCTTTGTTTGTCCTGCTCGAACTTTCGGACCAAATCATTAAGCTTCTTCTTTTTCTCTTCACGCACTTGCCAGCGATAAAAGTTGTGATGGATTCCAACCTCCTTTTTGCGAGCCAAAATGGCCTTTGCCTCTTCTTCATTGCCGACACGGTTGCGTCCACCACGGACGACTGTAATAAAACCATCTTCGTCGGGTTGGTTACGAGCAAGTAGAAGTTGTTTCTTTCTCTCAGCTTCCATTTTGGCAACCCGGTTCATATACGCATCAACACTTTCTTGCAAAACTTCATGTCTGGGAAATTGGCGATCGTATTGTCTTGTAAAACCTGCGTATGTTAGATGTAACTCTAAAAAATAAAACATTCTCCCCTATCTCATTGCTTAAGACGTACGTTCTAAACCGGAGGATTGAGTCATGGGCCATTGGATAACCAGCGATTTCTTGCTAGCTTGTTTCAGCACACGTTTGACTTCATTTTCTTCAAGCAATTGAATATGTAACTTTAGATTGCAGGAGCGATTTTTTGACAGCGGTGGATTTACAGTTACCACACGACCACCGAGTTCTGACATAATGTTTTTGATGCACTTTTCTGTAGCATCGCTAGGGACGTTTATAAGGAAAATACTGTTTTCTGCCTCTGCATCTTCTTTCAAAAAACAGTCGTGGTAAACACTGTCAGACAGCTTCAATCGAAACCTTGTAAATTCAGAGAGTGCTGCGGAGCTCATTTTGACGAAAATAGAAGCGTCAACAGGGTTTTCAGTTCAAGAGAGCTGTGACAGGTTTTGTTATATTGCTCTGTTAGTGGTATACTACGGTATACTATGCTATGGTGGTGGTGGTGTTGAATAGACAAGAATAGTATTTGCAGAGAATGAATGGATGTATTGTATATAAGACGTATGGTGATGGTTTGGTGTGAATAGTAGGCTGATTATTAACTGGTAGTTGTTATTTATTTATTTTTATATTTATTTTTTTTTTGGTTGAAGAAACATAAATGCAATCTTGTGATACAACTTGTCCTCGTAATGTATTCAATATGGAATAATACTATTCTATACCTCATTCTTTGTAAAGACAAACAAAATGAAATGCCCAGTCGTCACAATGAATTGAGTGTCGCTTTTTTACAATCACTTCGCGTTGGTAAAAGAAACCCTTAAAAAAAAAAAAAAAAAAAAAAAAAAAACCCACAACGTAACGCCTATTCAGACGGCATACTCACACATTCTAACCACATTCTTTGTTTAGTCTTCTCCCTGTTCCCATTCAGTATAGCGTTCACAGTGAAGGGCCAAGCTTCGCTTAGTGAAACCTTATTAACACTAAAAGCATTAGTGCTTCAAGAGGAAAATTGCTCTGAGGAAAACGAGTAGAAATCGGTTAAACCATTCAACAAAGCAGAAAAATTGTATGAACGAACTTGTGTCGTGAAGGCGATCACTGAGTCTTGTGCCCAAAGATCCCTTCATCGAGACTTAAAATTGAGTAAATTAGCACATAATCTTAGAGAATTAAAATGTTTAATTATAACGAGAAAATTATTACAAGGCGTCACTCTGTGTGTTTCTGAAGAAGCTTTACTCCGTTGCTTTCACGGGTTTCCTGGTCTTTACTAAGACAATCGCTTTCCCCTCTTCACTACGCTCCTCCTCAGCTTTAGCTAGTCGCATATTTATTTTTGCCGCTGTAACCAGTTCATTCGTCACCATATTCACCAACACACAAAATCAGTTTTTTCATTAGCCTAACATGTCCATTCGGGTGGAACTGTGGTATGTGAATAAAAACGTTCATTACAAAAGTTTACTAATTAAATGTGCCCAGTGGCGGATTAGATCTGCTTTTTAACAAGCAGAAAGAACTGACTGTTCAGTTAACGGATATCGGTCAAAATGCCACCGTTGGGGATTTAATTCAATACATGACAAACAAGATAGAGGACGAGTCCAAATGCGAGCTTTTTGTTATGGATGGATCTGTGTACGTGGACCCACGTAAAGAATGATAACGCATGCGTACTGACATGTGATGTAGTCGGCCTGGAATCATTATCCTCGTTAACGACCAAGACTGGGAGCTATTGGACAAGGAGGACTATGTCTTAGAGACAAAGGACAATGTTGTCTTCGTCTCCACTCTCCATGGTATGCGTTCAAACCGTTCATTGTCCACACAGTCTAGTCACGCTAACTTTTGTAGGAGGATAAACAGCCGACGGGCTGTGTGCAATCACACACACACTCAGATCATCTAGGAAATATATCGGTTCAACATTCACATCGTAGTGTACATCTGCAGTAGCGGAGGAATCAGAAACAATTTAGGTGCCAGTAAGGGGAAGGAAAGAGCGTGTACGAAAGAGGGGGAACTGTGTAAACGAAGAAAAGACGCACACGAAAGTGGATTAAAACGGATAGGACGAGCAGCAAAAACAAAGGGATCTTGATTGCATTTCTTTTTCTTTTCTTTTTTTCTATTCGTCCTCATCTGAATCGTCTTGAATGACGGTGCGAGAACGTCTAGTTGTTCTGCGATGCTGCAAGACGGGAGAAGGAGGATCGGTCAACAAAGCTTCCTGCATGCTGACGTCCGGCGCCTGTGCATTCAAGAGGACTTGATGAGAGAATGCCGCTTCATCATCATCATCATCATCATCGGCATCGTCGCCCACAACTTTGTCGCGCATACGGTCCATGCTAGTGCCAATCAAGTCATTCAACTCGTCGTGCAGTTCCTCGGCCTCCTTTGAGTCTCGCGCATGCGAATGCTCAGTCATGTTTCGATCATAAATCCACGTATCGTCCTCGTTGTCTTCATCTTCATCCTCGTCCTCATCGTCGAATCCATACTCGTGGTCGACAAAAGACTCGTCAGGCTGAGAGGCCCCAGGAAACTGACTGGAGGTGCCGTTGTCGATAAAGTCGTCGTCCATGTCATACTCGCCGGCTCCTGAGTATGGCAACTCTTCATCCTCGAGATCGTCACCATGCTCGTCGTCGTCGTCGTCGTCGCCATTTTCTTCACTGTCGAAACCCGTCCAGTCGTCCGGAACAGCTGTTATAGGCACACGGCCATGCGTTGTGATAGCTTGCTGCTGTTGATGCAAACGTCGACTGGAGTCACGAACCGCACGCAGCTCATCCGACCACACGGTTTCTGGGTCGCTGTCGCCATTGCTGTCTTCATCCTCACGAAGCTGATACCCGCAATGCAGACATTCGTTTGCGTTTTCCACTTCCCATTGGCAGCGACGGCAACGAAGAACGCCGTCTTCAGCGTCATGGAACACACGACCAAACTGTTCAAAGGGTTTTAGGAACACGCCGCCAAACAGAGGACCGCCCTCTGCGGCACTGTCTGCTCGTCGGTCGCTTTTTGCCGCCGACTGCAACTCGTTCATACATTTCGACAGTCTAGAAATCAAGTCATTGACAATGTATGCCGGCACCGGCTCCAAGTAGAGTTTCTGCCGACACGAGGGACAGGTCCGTGAAGTTTTAATCCAAGCATCAAGACACTGCAGTAAGGAACATTAGTTAGCAAACAGTCGTCGTCGAACAATCGTCTCAATGCAGCCACAACAGGCAGTAACAAACGTACTCGGTAACAGTAAGTGTGTCCACAATGCGTCGTGTATGGTTTGAAAAAAGTCTCTGTGCACACAGGACATGTGAGTGAGGAGCGTACAGCGCCTGCAACATCCTCAAAGGTCGGTTTTGTTGCAACCTCTGCAGTCTCTGCAGGGTCTGCCGCTTCAGAAAGTGTAGAGGAAAACGGCGGGCCCGAAGACGCCAAAGAAGCAGAATCACGACGTTGGTCCTGCTGGTTGGGCACCGAGTTTTCGTTCGCTGGGTCAATTTCAATTCCTACCGCTTCGCCCGAGACGGCAGGCTGGTCCGTCCGAGCCCGTTTCACCATGGTGGGTGGAGAGGTGTGCAGGTATGGAGAAAAAAGAGGCGGCAAGGAGGAGGCAAACGGTAGAAAAAGTGCGAGAGAACAAGAGAAAACGATAGCGAAAGCACCAGATCGTTAGAGCAGTATTGACGTGAGACTGTGTTTGCGGTGTCGCAGATGTGTGCAATTGTCGCTATCACTACTGCTGCTTCAGATGATGTGCGACGCTGCGATCGACTTTTTGTTCCGTCCCAATTCACTCCCGTTGCAGCAGTTGCTTGCTTGCTTGCGACAATCCTCCTCGTCCTCGTCCACGCACTCGCCCCGTCGTCCTGCCCTGTCCTCCCTCACCGTTCCTCCTCTCCTCCTGTTCTCTCTCACTCTCCGTCTCTCCCGATGGTCGCTACGACATCCCCGGCTCTGCATCAACCGGTTCTGCTTCCAAAAAAGAAACACTCTAGGCTCTACGAAATTGGAACATGAAAGACGGATCCGCTGCCCTTCCGGGCAGCTTGGCATGACAGGTAAGAGGAAGAAGCTTACCACTTGAACTCATAGCCATTGGGGCCCTTGGTAAAGACGGCCTTTTCGGTAACAACGGCGGAAATCAGGTCTGCAGGCGTCACATCAAACACGGGACAGTACGCCTTGACGTTAATGGGAGCAATGTGGACACTCTCACGAGCACCGAACTGGTGAGTGGTGAAGTCCCTCACGACAGGACCACGAACCATGACGAGCTCGCGGCTGGGACGCTCTTCAATCTTGGTTTGCTCGCCGTCGGGCAGGGTCATGTCGATGGAGAAGGAGGGACCAGCGACAATGAAAGGAACGTTGAAATGCTTGGCAAGGATGGCGAGACTCAGGGTACCGATCTTGTTGGCGGTGTCACCGTTACGGGCAACACGGTCGCAACCGACAATGACGGCGTCAATCTTTGGCATAATCGAGGCGGCTGTCGAGTCGGTAATGAGAGTAGAGGCAATGTTGTCGTACAAAAGTTCATAGGCCGTCAGACGCGAGCCCTGGTTGTTGGGACGCGTCTCGGTGCAGTATACACGCTCAATAGCACCCTTCTCGTTCAAGGAACGGATGATACCGAGGGCAGTTCCGTAGCCAGAGGTAGCCAGGGAACCCGTGTTGCAGTGAGTGAGAATGGTCAAGCGAGGCTTGTTCACCAGTTTCAGCACATACTCGCTACCCAGCTCGCCGATCGTGTGGTTGTCGCGCAAATCACGAGCAAGCAAATCCTCGGCCTCCTTTACGACGACGACGCGGATCTCCTCGCCCTCATAAGCTTCGGCAAGCTTGCGCATCTTGTAAGCGATTTGGAACAAATTGACAGCCGTGGGTCGCGACTGCTTGAGACGCTCAAAGCTCTCAATCACGTAGTTGCGCAAATCATCCGTCTTCACATTCACCAGGGATACTGCAACGGCCAGAGCGGCGACAATGGCAATTGCGGGTGCACCACGCACTTGCATGTTCTTAATGACTGAGTAAGCATCCTCAACGCTCTTAATAGGGATATACTTGTGCTCGTGAGGCAGCAGAAGCTGGTCCAGAACGGAAAGTTTGTTGTCTTCGTATACGATTGCTTGGAGGGACATGTTGGTGGAAGGATGGTGAGCTTGGGGTTGCCAGTGCTAGAAGTGCTCGTGAAAGCGGGGTAGGTCGCGGGCCGCGAATAGGATGGGGTAATGCGGAGTAGCGGGGTAGACGCGGCAAGCGGAAGCGCCGCGGGGATCTCGGGTAAGGAAAACGAAAAAACAGAATCCATGGGGTGTACAATAGAGAGGATGGAAAAGAAGGGCGGTAATCATGGAAACGACGATGACTGGATGAGTGGATGACGGGAATGGCGGCCGTTGGAGCGACTTTGTGCGCTTTTTGCGACAGACTCTTAGTTGGTAAACAGAAACTGCATGTCTTCGACGGTTAGCTGATTGAGTGCCTTTTCGTCTCGATCAATGGTTGCGTGGATCATTTGCGCCTTCTTTTCCTGGAGCTCGATAATCTTGCTCTCGATGGAGTTTTCAATACATAACGTCGTAATGCGAATTGGACGACGTTGTCCGATACGGTGGATACGGTCCATGGCTTGCCATTGCACAGCACCATTCCACCAGGGATCCAGCATAAACACTTGAGATGCTTCGGTCAAGTTGAGCGCAATGCCGCCTGCCTTGAGCGACACTAGGAAGACAGTGATGTTGATATCCGTACAAAATGCTTGGATAGTGGCATCGCGAGCCTTGGGCGTCATACCGCCTTCCAGCTTGACACAGTTGAATCCCGCTTTACGCAGGCGCCAGTGAACAAGGTCAAGCATGGATGTGAATTGCGAGAACACAATGGACTTGATGGTGCGATCTTTCTTTCGCAGCCGATACAATTCTTCCACAAGGGCCTCAATCTTGGTGGAAGAGCGCCAATTGTCCATATCGATACGGTTCAGAATGGACGTCTTCTGTTTGCTTGCCTCCTCCCCGCCAACTTCCTCCAACGCGGGCGCACTCAAGTCGATGCTTAGAGGAAGGAAACAGGACGGGCATTGGACGTCCTCTGTGGCAGACGAGTTGATGAGCTCCGACACACAAAACCGGCAGAAAGTATGGTTGCAGCGTGATCTGATAGCATCCTGGGCGACCTCGTCACAGATGCAACACACGAAGTTGTCTTGCGTTTTCACATCAACCGTTTTGGTTTTACTTGCTAGAGTAAGGTCTGGGTGGTCAGCCATCTGACGCATTCGCGTAATCAGTTGGAAAATGTTACTATACAAAGGTTAGTTATCGGTAAACACAAAGGCAGCGATATATCGTCTGCTGCTATTACATACGCATAGTTGTTCAGAACAACACCTTGTGAAACATAAGTGTTGAATCTACGTTTGGATTCCATGAAAAGCGAGTGATACAAATCCTCTTCTTCCTCATTAAACAAGTCCCGCCGTACTTCAACAACGCGCGGCGGAAGACCCAAATCGTCGGCACGTTCCAATTTCGTTCGCCGCAACATAATCCGGCGCAGCAACTTGTGCACCTTAGAGAACGCAATTTGGCCAGGCCCTTCGTTTCCAAACCTTTGAATGGGTTTCAGCATCTCTGCGTTGAAATGACACCTATGACTCACGGAACTGTGACCGCATTGGCCACAGTTATCGATACATTCCGAGCGAGCCCAGTCAAGAGACTTGCAATCGCATTTCATGCAAAGATAGTAAGCAAAAGGATCTGCTTTTAGGAAACGCAACAAAGAGAACAATTCACCAATGCGGTTTTGCAGTGGTGTTCCGGACAAACAAAGCCTTCGATTTGACTGTAACGCACATACAGCTTTGGCGGTATTACACGAACGCGACTTAATACTGTGCGCTTCATCCAAAATGATTCGATAGAAGTCAACTGAGTGAAGTAACGACTTTTCCTTTACAAGTCCAGCCTTACGGCGGAATCCTTTGTGTTGCTTTCGAAACACGGATTCCACCAAATTGTAGCTTGTTAGCACCACATCGTATTCCTTCAGTTCTTCAGCGGTAACGTTACGCGATGAACCATAAAACATGTACACGCGAAGTGAGTTGTCGGCATGCATTTCAATTTCTGACTTCCATTGCAACAGTGCGACAACGGGAGCCACGACGAGGTTTGGTTTGCCCCGCGGCTCGGAAAGCAGTAATGATATCGTTTGAATAGTCTTTCCCATACCCATTTCGTCAGCCAAAATACCTCCGTGAAAATGGGACTCCTCCTGGTGCTTCATCCAACTCAAACCTTCCCGTTGGAATGGCAACAGTTGAAGCTTAAGCTCCTTAGGCTGTTCAGCAAGCTTGACTTCATAAACGCTTTCGGATTCTAAACGCTCCCATAAACCAATAAGTTCAGGATGTTGTCTCTCCAAACGAATTCTTGTACGTTCATGCCCTGGGATACCCTTCCACTCAAAAGTCTCCTTTTTAGGCGCTCTTCCTGAACCTGTTGCGCGGCGCCCACGCTTTCGTTTTTTCAAAGTACTCAAGCTAGACAAAGGCACATCATCGTCCGAAATTAATGCTTGTGACTCCGCAGAAATGGTGACTGGTGTCAAATCTTTGTCTTCGTCCTCATCGGCAGCGATGATAGACGGTGTTTCTTCATCAGAAGAAACAATTACTAAATTCTCTGGAGTGTAATCACTGTCTACATCAGAACCAGCATCGTAAACACTTCCCTCTTCTTCTTCTTCGTCCACCTTCTCTGCAAGTTTGGTAGAGGCGGCTTGTTCAAAGACACTTGTTGTAATAGCAGAGTTTCGGTCCTTTGGTCTAGGAACAAAGGTTTCACTTTCGTTCTGTTTGTTCTGTTCAGTTCGTAGAGTCACAGACTGGGCGGTTTCACTTTCTTGTTTTGCTAGTTTGGGTATGTCCACTACAAGAGATAATGCATTTGAATTCTCGTCGATAGTCGGAACAAATGGAGATTCAGTTCCCTTCAATTGACCATACTCAGAAAGAGCTTCTGTTACTGTGCTTGAGCCGGATACGGTGCCTTCAGCGACAGTAGTCGCAACGCTACCGTCTCGTTCGAATTCGTCCTCAGAAGCAATTACATCTGCAATTGGGGAAGAGGAACCATCTTGGAATGAGCTTTCAATAAAATCTGTGTCTTTTCCTATATCGAGAACCGGGATTTCAATCGACTGTCGCACCCTTTGTCTAGAACGAAGATTATACCTTGAACTCACAAGACCTGGAGTCTTAATAGATTCTAAAGACCCCATTTAAACTGAGTTTTAGCTATAAACGGCAGCAACTCTTGTGCAAATATGTATTTGGCCAAGGACACGTTCACCACTATAGCGTGTTCGGTGTTTCATTTACCGCTGCCACTAAAATAGATTGCCACTGTACGCGTGGTGCCTGTTTGACCTTTATCATCCAGTGTATCAATAATAACACCAGTACCAGGTTGTAGAAGCTATTGTTTTGTCTTGATAATTGCTACAATGTCCAGAAGTCGAGTTCGTGGACCTAGTTCTGCTTTGAGAGAATTCTTACGCGTAAGCACTTGAACTGTGAGAACATGTACTAATAAACGACTCTCGTAGTCTCATGGTATTACTGTCGATGGGAATGGAAGACCAGGACTTTCTCGTTCACGAACAACGTCCACAGCCAGCAATGTTGAGAGTACAGCTGAAGATAACGACGAAGAGAGGTCTGAAGGAGTAGATTCCGAAAACGGTACAAGTAGCCTGCAGCAGGACAATTCTTTGGCGGAAAACGACGAGTCTTCCAATGCTCTTTCCACTCGAACCAGAAAGTTAACGAAGCGTCAACTGAAGAATAAGAAAAGACAAGAGGCAATGGCTTTTGAAGAGCAGGAGAATGATGATGAAGCGGTCCAGGGAAGAACTGGGCATAGTTATCGAAACAGACCAACTCCCGGCAACCTCGACTTCTGCCCCAAATGCAATTGCCGCTTCACGGTAACTCCTTACAGCAAGTATAGCGAGGAGTATAAAGGTTGGTTATGTTTTCCGTGTACACGCGACTTGAATACACCAGATTCAAAGCCTATTGCCCGGAAAAGAAGAGCTTTAAATCGGAAGAAAAAAGCTGCAGCAGTTATGGACGAGGAGCTGAATGTTCCACGGCTCCAGGAACTTTGTATCCGCGTTGTTGCAAAATACATTAACGACATTGAAGCGTTGGGTGATATCGGGCAAGTGAATATGGACAAAATCTGTCAGATTATCTCGAAAAACCGGTCGTTGACAGACACGACCTTGCCATTGTTTTTAACTGCACAACAAGTTGAACTTAAGCTCTACGATTGCTCAAAACTCTCTAATACTAGCTTGCTCAATATTGCCCAGTATTGTCCCCATCTTACGCGTTTGCATCTGGTGTATTGTGGTCAAATGCGAGAAGACACTCTTCGTTTCTACGCGGATCACTTCACAGAGCTGCAAGATGTGTACATTGGAGGAGCATTTCTCGTGGATGCTCAAAGCTGGTCCTACTTTTTTGAAAAGCGCGGCGCACAACTGAAGCGTCTGTACATCTCCGATACAGCGCGACTGACTGTAAATGCCGTAAATAGTTTGGTTGATCACTGCCAGAATCTGCAAGTCCTGTCATTGGAGAGAATCTTCTCAATGAACAATGAGCACGTTCGCTTGCTCGCCGGTCTGAAGCATTTGACCTCGTTGAGCATCACGAATCCTGGCTCATCGGTTGAAGACAGCAGTGTTCTAGATGTACTAAACCAAATCGGCAGTGGTTTAACAACACTGTGTCTAGCAAACTGTAGCTTGCTTACGGATAAAGTTCTGCTTGAAGGAATTGGACCCTGTTGTGGTCGCTTAAAACATCTCGATCTTACAGGTCTTGAATTGCTAACGGAAGACTCGACTGCAAATATGTTTGCCGGCTGGACTATACAAACTGGACTTGAAACGCTGCATCTTTGTCGTTGTATATACCTTGGAGACAAGACTGTTCATGCCGTATTAGCCAATTCTGGGAATACCCTGCGTGTGCTGGATCTAAACGGTTTAAGCTACGTTACACGGGCGGCATTAAAATACCTGTCTGGATTTAAATGTCCTAAGCTAGAGACTCTTGATGTTAGTTGGATTCGAGATATGAACGATGAAATTATCTGCGATTTTGAATCAACAACTCCCTCCTTAAAAAAGGTTCTGGTATGGGGAGACAATCATGTTCTCGTCAACAGTCAAAAGTTTCTTCTCATTGGCAGAGAAGTGCAGTGAAGACACATGCCATTTCATTTTTATACATTTAGACTAATACTCTTCCGCTCTTTATCAACAATCAATAAAACTGTAATTGAGACTTGAATAGAATGATCATCGACAAAGATGATACTTTTACGGCTAGTCAAACGGCGTTTGTAGGCTAAGATGAAGCGTTAATTTGGCGAGATTTACTGTTCAGAACTGTTTTTCCATTACAGCCATCCAACTGCATCTGTTACATACAGCATGTACTTGGACTTGCTGGCTCGTTAATACTCGCTCCTCTACTTTAATTATGTTTACCGGGTGTTACTGATGTTTACCGAGACTCACCACCAAAAAGTGCCCCTCACATGCGCTTTTGTGTAGCTGGACGAGCAAATTCGAATCATCAAAAACCGTATATTTGGGCCTTACAGTATGGCAGTACGTCATCTATAATTTCAATTTTTGACGACTAATCGTAATTTAGAAAACCACACAGCTCCCTCGCCAACGTATTGCGAACCAGAATTTCCACAAAAATGTTATTCGTAAAGTGAAAACCAACTCGAAGGCTTCTGAGAAGAAGGTTGAGAACACTGTTGCCAAAAAAATCGCCAGTAAGTAGAAGCGGTGTCTTTCATATTTTTTGTGTTTGTTGCTAACTTCTTCACAGTTTTTCTCTTAATTGTCCTGTGTGGAGGTGCTGCCTTACAGCTTTTGCGTATTTTCTTTTAGATGAAATAAAAGTCATTCGTTAGGACATGCCTGTTACAAAACAAACGATTTGTGAAACAAAAAAAAGAGCATTTACAGCTGGTAATGAATTAGTGAGGATAAGGGAAACACCTACAGTGATTGACTTTATTGTGAGGGGATGGGGAAGGAGCTCCAAGCAGATGAGCAGCTGGAATTTCCAAAGAAGTTTTCGCATAGCATCGGACCGGTTGTGGGAATCGCGGATGTGCTAAGTTGTTGTCAACACATTTTGTTATCGGCTTTTCTTTTGGTTTGTCTTATATTTTGTAAGCACAACAAGGAGTTTCACTATGTCAGTAACTCATATGAACTTATTACTAAACTACAAACTTGTCCTGTGAACATTGATGACTTTACTCACTCACTGCAGTACGTTTGTTCATATGGATTGAGGCTATCGTTTACCCATAATACTATTTCATGGATAGTAAGTGAACTCTCCAGATAACTTGTTGCGAACAAGCTTTCGCTTAATTAAAACCTTAAATGGGTATTAGCGATAATTACAAATTAAGTCAAGTCTAGAAGCAGAATGCAGTTACTTAGGTCACTTTCCTACTCCATAACGCTCCTTTTACGCAACGAACTTCCTCTTGAGTATCTTTGTTGTCTAACATTGCCGTAACTCTTCTAGTCCATCCTTTTATCGGCTTGTTAGCTCTTGCATATGAATTAACAATACTGTACACACTTTTTTATTACTATATCGCAACTGAAAATGCAGTTGTATTAGTGGGAAACATGAATTATAGACGTTTCCGCACAGTTGCTTTCACGTGAAAATGTTAATTGAAACTGGCAACCAGTTCAAGAATTGTATTTGACAGTACACAATGGTACACAGTAACCACAGATGTATCATTGGCTAATAAATACATGAACCGTTTTGCTCACGTACTATCCGCAGTGTACTCTGTGTGGAACATCAAATAGCTTTTCGAGATTGCGAGAATTATAACGCATTAGCATAGCAAGAGATTTGTCCTCGAGAACCTCTTTTGAAACTTCAGCCATGCTAGGCTTCACTATCGAAAAAATTTCAGACTCCAGCAAAGAAACGAGCTGTGTACCTTCCTTGCAGGACAGTAGTATACACAATCCTCATCATTAGTGCTCCAACGAACGAAATCCAAGAATGCGCGATTCCTATGTTATTATGAATCAATGGATGACCAAAGGGATACATCAAAAAACAGAAACGACCATGTATTTCACAATCGTTATAGCTTTAGAAACAAAGTATATTTATATCTAGTTGGTCCTTTTGCAAACACGCATTCAGAAAAGAAAAAAAAAACCACCCCTGTTTAACATGAGAGCCTGAACGTGTGTGTATGTGTATGTTTGCGTCTACTATATCTCAGTAAGCGTCTGCACGGACCTATGCAGTCGCAAAGGGAAATGCCCAAGTGAAACAGAGCATAAAAGATAATTGGTACATAAGGTGTTTGTCGTCAGCGCATTTCAAACATTGTGTCATTCCATTCGTGGGTATTAAGAGGACATAAGGTCATTAGTGAGGGTTGTTGAAGATGACGGAAAAGAAAAAAGAAGAAAGAAATAATAAAAAACCGAGTTTTGAACCGCAACGGCTGGTTCCAAAAACCATCACATGGGAAAATGCAATGAATAAGCCGTTACAGGGCCTTTTCGCCTCATATGCACTCTGTACACACTAGAAAGCCAGTTCGAGCTCTGCATTGCGATCTGGCAAAAACTCATCTTTATATGTATCCCATATATTGCGCAAACGGCGAATATACTCGGTATGCGCTGTATCGAGTTCTTCGTATGTTGGGTTGTCTTTCTTAGGTAATTTGAGTGGTTCCCCAACCACAATATTGATAGGTTTTCTCCACGGCATCAGTCCAAACGTGCGGTTAAAAAAGCCTTGACCATAAAATAGCGGTATCGTAAACCCTGCTACCCGCTTGATGATAGCTTGACACCGGTAAATGCGAGAGCGAGGGTTGTTGTCCACCTGGTCATAAATGTCTAAAAAAAGGTGTTAGCGGTGCATAGGGAGAAAGGGAATGTTTCAATATGTACCTGTTTCACCAAAACCAAAGCATGGTACGAGGCTTGATCCGGTAAAAGGAAGCCTAATTTGACAAAGCCCAAACGCTTTTTTGAGAACAAGCTTGTTGGTGCCAGGACGAGCAAGCAGACTTTTCTTGAGCACCCCCAATCACAATTAGAACACTGCTTCCATTGCCGCGTTTCAGAAGATTGACACATGAACTCCGTGATACGGACATGACGCCAAGAGCCAACAGATAGTCGCGATACAAAGGCACGTAAAAATTGGAATTAAGGGTAAGTACTGACATACTCAGCCCAGGAAAGAGTTCACTGAAATGAGCACCTATCAATTAACGTTAGCAAGTAATTGGGGGGGGGACGACGACGAGGTTCGTCGCAATTAATGTCACGAATGTCGCCGTTCATGTTTAGTTGGTTCAAATGAAAAAAATAAAAAAAAAACTGAAACGTCCTACCCATCAGCCCTTATGCACACATACCTTCTGTTCCAAAGGCACCAAAAGCTCCTAGCGACAGGATACCATGTGGATGATACCCGAAAATATACGACCCATTTGGATCAAGCTCAGCTGTCTTGTGAAGACGGATTGGGAAATAGTTACAGAACCAATTGTACGGAGCCAGCTTTCGTAACCACATTTGTGTACGAATTCGACCAGAGACGAATGCTTTGTCAATAATCATCCACACCAAATAAATAAGCAAGAGCGGCCATAGGGACAAAAACGTCCAGCAAATTGAGTACATAGAAGCTGTGAATGACAAACTAACGCTATGAGAGAAGACGGCAAGCGACTCAAGCCAGTAGTAGATGTCGCGCCTACTTCGTCGTTTGGACGGCGGAGTAGATGCCAGAATGCGTCCCTGCTGCTGCTTAGGGTCCAACGCGGTTTCGTTTGCCATAGTTAGAGCAAGGTAGAGGAGGGCTCGTGGAGAGCGGTCCGAACCAGGTCAAATTAAAGATGTGTATGCTGGTCAGAGTGGGGAGTGGGGGTCGTGGAGAAATATCAACACATATGCGGGGGTTTCCGTGTCACGTGGGGCACGTGGAAACCTTAGCGGCGCTAAAGCGAAAAGTTGGATGTGGGGAGAAGGAGACCCGAGTGGACCGGAATTGTTCGGAATGACAATGGAAGTAGAGAAGAATGAGGAGGAGTACGGCAGACTGTGTTCTTTGTTTGTCTGATAGATGAACGCGTGAGCTGTCCAGGGGTTAAAGTGGCAGTCGGTATTTTAAGTTCCCGACTTCGAAGTCACCAAACGGGTAGCTCGATGGCCGAGAGCGTACTCCAGACTAAGACGAGAAAAGAAAACAAACAAGATCGAGTCGGCTAAGAGCCCACTGTCGGTCTGCGCGTGCCAGTAAACCAATTGCCAAAGAAAAACAACGCCTTTGCACCCTTCCCATCACCCCTTGCTCTTTCACAATTCAACCATAAAAATACGAATAATATTTGTCTTTTACATACAAATGTCAGAGAGGACTACCAAGTGTCCAGACACGATAGGGGATCCTCTGTGACGCTTCAGCCTTCCATGGGCTCTGCGTGCAGACCACCACCTGGACCAGCTCGGACCGGTGTTGTCGCTATTGTTGCGAGCAAAAACAGGTGGCCCACACGATTAACGCACAAACAGCAAATCGCTAACACACTCCTTGATTGCCTGCAACCCATTCAGGAGAAGACAAGATTTCGTTAGCGAACAATCAACAACGCTTTAGATGTTGTTGCTGCTGTCTTGGCTTCTTCAAGTAGTTTAGACGCGACCAGCCTCAATGAAGCTGCTTCCAGGCTTCTCACGGGCAATGTCGCCGTCCATGCTGTTAGAGTCGGTAGTCTCGACGTGCTCAGCAGTCTCACCGGAAACACCCATGTTTCTGGACTTGCGCTCGATTTGAGCGTTCTCCTCAGCGAATGTACCAATGTTCTTGGGACGGGGCATCCAGGGCTTAGCGTCAGAGAGATAAAGGGTGTTAATCTCCTCAAGAGTAAGACCCTTGGTCTCGTGAGCAAACAAGAAAATAATCAAAGCACCAACCAAGTTACAGGAACCGAAGACGTAACCGTACTTGAAGCCCATAGCGTTGGTGATGAAGGGAGTGAAGAAGGAAATAAGGAAACCGAACAACCAGTTACCAGAGGTAGCAACGGCAGCACACTTAGAACGGTAACGAACGGGATAGGACTCACCAACGATAACGTAAGCGGCAGGAGCCCAAGTTTGAGCGAAAGAGAAAATGAAGAGACAAGAGAAGATGATACAGACTGTACCGGCTTTGTGGTTGGAAGTACCATCCTTGCGGTAAAGAGCACGGTCACCAACAGCTGCGTAGATAAAGAAAGTAATGGATTGCCAGACACCACCGATAATCAAAGGCCAACGACGACCGAACTTCTCAAGGACGACCAGACCACCAAAAGTACAAGCACAGTTAACAGCATCCAAAATCAAGGCAGCAAGGTAGGGGGAGTTGATACCGGTACCCTTGAAGACCTCAGTACCGTAGTAGAAGTAGTAGTTATCACCAGTCAATTGTTGGAAAACCATGACACCCAAACCCAAGAAGGTACGGTAGCGGATATCCTTGCCAAAAATTTCGGGCCAAGTGCAGGGACCGCCAGCCAACTCAGCGTCAACATCGGACTTGATGATATGGTATTCAGATTGGATGACTTCGTGCTCGGGGGGAAGGTCGTTGTTCTCACACATAATCTTAAGGGCTTCATCGTCTCTGCCAACAGAAATAAGGTAACGAGGGGACTCAGGAAGGTAAGAGATACCAATGAAGGTGATGATACCCCAGATCAAGTTGATACCAATGGGTACACGCCAGGAAGCAGAGCTGCCGTAGTGATGGGTACCCATGTTGATACAAGCAGCAATGAGAATACCCATGGTGACGAACAATTGGTAAGTGGCGACAATGGTACCACGGATGAGAGCAGGGGAAACCTCGGATTGGAAACCAGGAGCAATGACAGACAAGGCACCAATGGCGAAACCAGTCCAGATCTTAGCAATCATGAATTGAACCCAATGAGGAATAGTGGTCAATTGAACGATGATACCAATAAGATAGACGATAGTCCAACCCATAATACACTTCTTCTTACCAAAGCGATCAGCCAAAGGAGACGAGATAATACAACCAGTGAAAGAACCAACGTTGACCATACCAGTCAACAAACCTTGACGAGCGGGAGAATACGAGTAACTGTCGGTTACTGCATCGTACTTATCTGCATATCGTTTCTGGAAGTCGCGCATGTTGGTGATACCACCGATGGAACCGGTATCAGCACCAAACATCCATCCAGTCATGGAGATGAAAACGAGCATAATGATGGTCAATGTCTTTGCCATTTTGAATGCTCAAACGCAGTTGCGTGAAAAGAGTTATAAAGTGAGTAGAATGTATAAAACACTTAAAGATAAGGTATTAAGCACAAGATCAAAAGCAATTCCGATAAATAAAAGGGAATCAAATTAGGCGCTGGGTCTAGTAGCAGACTGTTGCAATGAGAATCGCAGGGACTAGTAGAGACACGCACAAAGAAGCACGGAAGTTAGAGATTAGAAAAGTTGATTGAATGGAACCGAGACAATTGCCAAGCTGTCCGAATTCCAAATGTCCCAAAAGAAGGAATCAATGAATGAATGAATGGAAGATGTGTGTTGGACTGGGGACTGTGGGGTTGGCTTTTATAGCGAAAAGTTCGTGTGGAGAAGTTGTGGGGTTGCTGACAACACACGTCACAGAGGGAAAAAGAGGAAAAACCGCTTAAAGCGGGGTAAGTCTAGACCGGTCCAGGCTCAAATCAGAGATCGCGCAGCAGGCAAGGTGTGCGTTTGCCGAACGAGCCCCCGGCGGCATTCGTTCGCAGGACCAATGCTGGAAAGGGAGGGTACGGTTGACGAAAAGCTTAATTATGGAAGGAAACTGAAGTTATGTATACTATACTTCTTTGTTTTATTTTTTCTAAACCTTTTTTTGGGCGAAAAACGATCCAAAAACGACTGCAATCGTCATTCCGTTCCAGTCCGAAGCGCCTTGGACTTCGTTCTTGCGAAAAGTTCGCTTATGCGCTCGTATCCCTGAGCCCTTAGCGATTGGGCGAGCTCCGCAGAAAAATGGAAAAGCAGCCGACAGCTGCATTCACCTAACTGACCAATGAAAAAATAAGGCGACAGCAGGCACCTGTGCATGGTTTGCAGTCTCCAGCGCTCGTTAATGCTTTCGCATTGTGTCAGGTGCAAATCTGCACACACTTGCTGTCGCAGGAGGAGCACGTGAAAGCAAGGGCAATTGAGACACCGTAGCTTGCACGTTTAATGAATTTTTTGACGCGTTCGGTGCCCCTGTGGTTCCGCCGAGTCACCACAAAACATGGTACTTTTTGTTTTTCTTCGTTTTCGTATGAATGACGTCGTACGTCACCTTTTGCTCCGGTGGAAAACGTGGATTGGCTGTTTCGCTGGAGTAGCACGGATCGTGGTTCTTCACGCTACTGGGGGAAACCCTCCTGTGCTTTCGCTTAGCTGGTCGCTTGTTCTGAGCGCCTGGGCTCGTTAAAGATGTGATTGAGTCGCTTATCTCACAGATCCACGACCCCTCGTCATAGGGACGATCAGTCTTCCATTTAGCAGTCGCCGCTTGCGGAGAAGGTCTGTGCGGACCAACCGGAGAGCGAGCATATCCCCCGGCTTTCTTTTCACAATTGTGGGGTAGGCACTACCTGCCCAGTTCTCCACTTAAAGCTCGTGCGGGGTGTGCGGGGTAGCGGCTGAGAACAGATTTCTGCCTTTCGCTAGGGACGCTCCCTCAAACGTGTCAGTCTGTTCCAGAGGGGCCGACAGCTAAGCTAGTTCGTGGCTATGGAAAATATGTTGCAATCGAATGCGGAGCAGTATGAAATCACATCCGCACGTGGGTTTGAATGTGCCTGTGTTTGTGGTGGTGCTGGATTAGCACGGCATTAGGTGAAACCGTATTCGGTGTGTGGATTGGAGGACACTTGTGTGGTTGGTATCTGGGCACATCTGCCGGGTTTGATCTGGTTCCTTTACCAGGGAACGGGAATGCTAGCAATTGGACCGGCCAAAAAACGAGAATATCAAACTGCTGCTGAACGTAATGCCGAAACATGTACGTAAATGTATTTGTGAAATTGTGGCTGTTCTTCGTCGTCGTTTTTAATTTGGTCGATCCCGTGGAGCAACGAACAACTCTGAAGTTGACTGAATTACATAACCAATTGCAACTTCCCCGACGTCTTAAATTACGAGGGGAAATGCGGAGAACTGATATTTTAAAGTTTTATTTCTATGTTAAGCAGATCATTGCTAGAGTTGAATAAGCATGTTAACGAGGAGACACACACATTTCAAGTGGGGTAAGCAGTAGCAGGATGCAGAAGCTGCAGAAACAGTACGTAGATGTATTCTATCAATAGTAGGTCTTGGATTGCCTCAGCAAAATGTGTGGCCGTGCCACGGCTAATCGCACTGGTATGACAAGACGGAGTTTAGAAAGGTTACCAGCGATGATGCTCTTTTAGGAGATAGAAAATCGACAAGAGATTATTGAATTTTTGACGTTTTCGTTTGTTAGTTACTTCAATGATACACTAAATATTGACCGCTACACCTTGAATTTTCTGGTTATAAAATTCGACTTGCCTTTACGGGCGTTATTAACTTTTGTGAGACGAAACCCATAGACCATGATCGTCTATAAAGCATCACACGCGTTGACAGCTGATGTCTCGTGAAAGCCATTTAACCCCTCTTACCAGTTAACGATGCTCTGATGACATGAGCAAACGAAATTAAACAAACTTAACGAGAGCACAACCAATGTATTCACGTCCAACACGTTGCCAAGCGAAATCCCCTAGAATAATTTTCATCCATGAGTAAATTAATTTGCATGAAACGTTATTCATAGGAGGATTGTGACTTCGAATTGGGAGTACTAGTTGAGAATGATGTTTTTTCTTATTGTTATAGCTAATGTAGCTTTCCTCGTTTAATGTTGAAAATCCTACACCCCTTAAATTCTTAAGCATGAGTAATCATAAAACGTTATGTCATCGAAAGCTGCAATTCGGCTAAAATAGTATCAGTTATTTTGTTCACACAATATATATACATATATGTGTGTTTATATGTATCTATTATTGACCCATAAGCAGTAATTAATAACATATATTTTGTCGGAAATACATTTCTAATTGATGATTGATTTTCGCAATACAATCGATCTGTTAGTTCTCTTATGGTTGAACAAAAAGTTTTTTTCTGTCAGTTTTTTCATTTACAAAATAGACATTTTTTCCTCTTAATGCTAACGAGCCAACCAATAATTGAGGTGCTGAACCTTTCTCGAAAGCGAGATTAATTTCGCCTATTGCTTTTCTCATCACACTTGCACTTAATGTAAAGTCGGTTACGAACAAAAATTAGAGTAAGTTTGATTCACCTCTAGCTTAGCAGAGTTGCAGTTTATGTTAATCGGCAAGGGAAATTTAATTGAACTTCGAAGTTAAATATTTTATTTTTTGTCTATAAGGTTATATCATCGTTCTCGTTTATTGAAGCAAGTAAATGAAATAATAATTAAGATTACAGATTTACATTCAATCTCATGAATTTTGCGTAAGCTTTGAAAAAAAGCAGCGAAAGCAAGGTCGTGATTTCATCATCCTTTCTTAGAAAACAATTTCACATTTCAGCTTTAACAATGCTTGGAACCATTCCATGCTAATTCAATCCATTCAATTGCATTATATCCCAAACACTTTCGATACTTTCATTTTTAGGTTTGAGTAAGCGAAGTATGTAACTCAAAAGCGTTTTACAATATAAAAAAAAAACTTTTGAAATGAATATCTTTGCGAAAAATAGCGGATATATATTGCCACAGTGGGCAGCTTCTCGTTTCAATTAAAGCTTGAGTCTGAAATAAATAGTTTTTCAAAATTAGTAAAATTTGACTATGGGTGCTGCAATCAAGTCAACAACTCTTTTGAACCAAAAAGACTTCCGAAACAGGATATCTCTGGCTTCATTTTCCGCAAGAGCATAGAAAACTAATTTAGATCACCTCGAAACCGAGAATTTCGCCTGACACAATCCACGAATACAGCTCCATGGGTTAACGGCACGCCCTCAATACGAATTTTGCACGAACGTTATCTCTTCAATGTGTATTCTTCAGTTTTTATCTGTTCAATGCTTAGTCAATTGCTCTCAAATAATATGAACACATAACGCATCTTCAAAAAACCCGAAATAAAAACGATCCAATTTTCGGCTAAAAATGGTTTGGTTGATGAATGCTAAAGGGGAAAAATCCATGGGTTTTGTTGTCCCTGAATTAGTGTTACGGAGTAACCGTTGCGTGTTTGCAAGCGAACACGCATTACAAGAAAGCTCGTGTTCGGCTGCGTCTTGGACGCAGCCGAACAAAGTGTACCGCTCTAAAGGAATATATTGGTTGACAGTTATTGCATTCGTTTAAGTCAATTGAAACAAAAGTAACATTCATGCATTAATCCGGTTACCGCACATTTAATATCAAGCCGCTTACGGTCAACATGTTTATGAACCATTGTTGCATATTGTCAGCCCCTGAATGTAAAATACGGGCATATTATAACAGTGTTTATAGGCTAAATTTGAAAAAGATACTACAGAAGAAGCTGTTAAAAGGAGAGTGTTCGCTCTTTTGAAACAATACAATAAAAATGTTAACCAATCTTACAAAGCGTTGTATAAGAAACATGACCATGATAGACGAAGGTACCATTACCTCTCCTTTTGGCATGCATTGTTTCACATTTCCGGACGATGGGGCTACTCCATCTGTAACTATGTATCCATACTATGACTATAACGCGTCATTTGCATATGTCGCGTTTGATATGGACAAAGATGTCAAGTTCACGAGCAATGTTACTGACGAATTTGGAAGTCCAGCAAACTATGGCGAATTCATCGTGCTTAATGGTTCTAATTACGTCCACTCTAAAGGTATTTACAATTCGCGTAATGCATCATGGTTCCACCCGATTAATGTTACCATACCCAATGCCGGAAAATACTGTTTAGCCATTCGATCTTTGAAGAATACGACAAGCGCTAAAGAATATAGCGTGCATTACGCAGTCGAGGCTGTATATGGGACCTTGTCGTACACGGTTTCTGCCGCTTTTCGTATTACCCCTCTTCTATTGCCTGCACTTTTATCTGTTCTCCTGACACTTCTATTCACAAACTGATGTCAAAAATTCTGACATTAGTAAGTGGCTAATGAATGTAGGTTGTACAGTCTCTTGTGGCTTAATTGAATCGTGTTTCACTATTTGGTATACTGTTTATTCATTTTAAGTAAAATTTCAACACGTAACACTTTGTATTAATTAACTCAAAATATAGTTGTTTTTTAATGCATAGTCTCAGCGGTATTGTGTTAAGACGTTAAGCTAGATTTAACTAAGAGACAAAAGCTACTCTCATGAATGCTTTCTCTGTGTCCAGCAAATTAATCAGTTTGAATGTAGATTACAAAAATGATGTAATTAAGGGAAGAATTTACGTAAATTTTAATGTTACACAGCTAAATATCTGTTAGGAGAATACCGTCTATGTATGAAGCAATTATAGTTACCTAAGAATGCATGGAATTAACTTCCGTATTGGCACTTGTGCGGGCTAACGAAGTAAGATCGCTATTTCCATATTTTTAATATGTAAGAGGAAAATACTGCAAGTTGGTTGTCTGCTCCTTGTTAAAAAAGACGCATTATATATTATGAATCTCAGTGAGAAGAGGTTCGATAAAACATCCGAAAATCATGTAGTTAGCACATTGAATTACCGACAGCTAAAACAATGAATAACCCACGTCTTTACAGTGATTGGCAGCTCGAGCGTGAAGCCATTGAAAGTGTCGGTTCTCGATTTTTAATTTAGACAAGATTGTCCACGATGCTTCGTACACTTGAATAAAAATTAATCGAGTCAGAAATCCGCTAACACTTATTAATAAATCAGTCATGATATTATAACGTTTGTTAACAGGCTACATATTTGCTAAATGAACGAGATATTCATGGATGAGATAAAGGTGAATTTACTACACCTTTTCAATCAGATATTGGAGCATGCTACCTACAACAATAAACGCAATCTCATTTAACGTAGGAATCATCGATATCTGTCAAATTGATAGGGATAAGTCTGCAGAGGTTCAAACTCGTTCAGTATTTACTGTAACGCATGAAGATAGAGTTTCCGAATTGCTATGGTATCTCTTAATGAATGATAATAACGTGTTTAATAGTTTTCATGAGGACAATTCTTCCGTTATTATACAATAGTCGCACCGCATTAGTACCAATCATAAAGTAAATTAGTCAATACGATCCAGTTGTCAAACTAAACACCGAGAAGGAAAATACAAATCTTTAAAAAGACTGTCAACAAGCCGGTACAAGAATGTCTAAAGATGTATTTGCTGCAGGAATGTTAAGAGTGTGCATTGCTGATAAGAATTTGCCGCAAAGGTTCAAAATAAAAATTATCCAGTACCAACATAACTTGGACTTAACGATTGTTAAAGATAGTTTGTCTTTACGATGCGCATTGTATCATTTGATTTTTGCTTTGTTTTGCTGAATAAAAACAATCCGTTGTTTAATAATTATCAATTGATATAAACAAAAACTACATATAAGCTAAATACTCTTTAAATTGCAGCAAGTCAACGTCTGAACATGGTTCCTTTTTCAAGCCCGTTTGAGGTGAACACATAACACAACGCAAAACAGGCAACTGAGTACTTTCCTTGCATGCAACGCGATGATGAAGCGGGACATTTGACAAAAGAGGATTTTATTATATGTTAGGACGTAAACAACTGTAATAAAATTGCGATAAGTCCATAAAATGTTAAAAACAAGACAATTTGCTACATGCTTATTTGTCTCTACGATAAAGTAGCGTCGCAAAGTTTTGTCGCAACTGATTTTGATTGTCTCGTTTGCGATTAAGCGAACAAAGCGCACCAGAAAGATCGTATCTCAGCGGGGCCTAAGCACTGTTGTACAGGCCGGTCTCTTGTTTGAGAAAGCTGATCTGTAAGTTAGAGCTTCACGTTCTTTTCGACTAAATGATTAAACTGTCGTAGCCTGGGATTTTCTTTATTCTGAATGTGTATGGCATATTCTATTCAACTACGGTGAGCATGTCTGCGAGCCGTTTTTGCCTTTCATAACCCGAGGACTGAAAATGCTTTAACGATGCCAGCGTTTTATGATCTGATTAAGGAGATTGGTTTAAGGATTTTATGTTAAATGGCGAAGAATGGCCCTCAGTTTTGAATTCAGAATCACAATGTCATTATCAACCTTTCTTACAAAACGCGATGGATTTTAACACAATTTCACTATATGCTCCGGTGTATATAATGCGCCTTGGGGTTCGAATTGTCAGAGATTTACTGACTCTGTATATTCGCCGTCAATCAAATTGTATCCAAAATGTCGCAAAGACGCTGCATTTGCATATATAGTATATGATTTCGACAAGATTCTCAACATCACGAGCAACGTTACGTACGGAAATGGAGCATAACGGTTCTGAATACGTTTATTCTAAGGGGATTTTTGGACCAATGCTAACGATTCGTCAATTAAAGAATTCTCAATTCCTTTACCAAAACCCGGAACTTACTGTTTGGTCGTTCAATCTCTGAAGAATATGACTAATTTTGAAGTTAAGTTTATCATGTAGGGTACGTATCTTCAAGGTTATGAAAATGCTGCTTTCCGTATCTCACCTCTTCTTCTACTGCCTGCTTTTTTTTCGGTAATTTTGACACTCTTATTCACGAATTAATTGAATTATTGTCGTGTGTAGACTAAATAATATATGAACTAATATCATATGCGTACTTATCACAGCTCGTTCGCAATTAAGGACAGTTAGTGCGCCCTTCAACTAACAGATTACTTTGTAGAATGAGTTAATGATATTATAATTCACAAGCGTTTAATACACTGTATACTACTATTGAGCCTACAAAACTGATACACAAAAGAGCGAAAAAAATGAACTTTCGCAGGCTGAAAAAAAAAGAATTACAATTATAAGTTTAAATTAAGAGTTTGTCTCAATTTGTACTAGAAAAACAATTAATTTAAATCGATCACAATATTACACAAATTTTTCTTAGCTGTAACGTTGATGCTTTAGTCATTGATCCTTTGCATGCTGTCAGTCTATTTACAATATCTGATACTTAAAGGGATTTGTATCAGAGTTTAATGATCAAAAAAGATAATAAAAGTTGAAGCAGATTAGTCTAAGTTTACACTGAGTATAAGAAAGGAATTATTTCTGTGCTTATTTACACTTCAAAGTTCGAGATTGTACAAAGTTAATAACTCAAGTCAATTGGCACTCCGCTACACAGTGTTATGTTATAGTATCGCCATGCTGGGGACTCCACGAATGAGATAATTTTTCAAGTGTAAAATATTGCGTCGTCCGATGAATACTATTTTTTACTTACGAGTATTAGAACTAGTAAACGGAACAATTATAAAGGCTGAGAACTTTACAATTAAGCTATATGCTTCTGAGATATAATGGAGCAAGGTAGATAAATTAAACTTTAGCACTGCTTACGCTAAATTGCGACAATCGGGCAATTAAGACAAGAGCTGAAACCATGTCAATCAACTCTTTCCGCGCTAACGAAATCCGGGGGGTTTATATGGAGAACACATCTCCCTATCATCTAATTCTCCGCAATTCATATTTTCGACAAATATATTTACTATCAATGATTAACACTTCACGTCTTTTTGAAGTCCCTTAAGACCCGTTAATCAACAACAGGGAAAGGACACAAGTATTATTATGAAATGTATGTTTCAAAAAAAGAAACCAATTAAGCGATCCATACTGGTTACCGCGTACATATAATGCACGCTCATATTCAGACCGCAAATGTTATCCGTGAGCCTTTGCACATAAAGATTAGTGATTCCTTTCCCGTGTTGTTCTTTAACATGTTTCGAGCACTTGTGAGATTTTCAATTGTGGACCCTATCGTCTACTTGATCATCTAAAGACCAACGGGATTAGTTTGTGCTGGGGGAAGATGTGAAGATGAATAAGTCTCACCAGAAGAAGAGTTGGGAGCATGTTCGAGGAAGTCTTGAACAGGTCCAATACGTTGCTTCTCAGATCCAGCGACATCCTCCTTGCGGGATCTTTGGTAAGCACCGCTTTGCCAGGGCTTAACATTCGACATGTAGAGTTGGTTAATCTCTTCAAGTGTCAATCCCTTAGTTTCCTTTGCGAACAGGAAGATAATGCCGGCGGCGGCGAGATTGCAAGAAGCAAAAACATAACCATACTTAAATCCGATACTGTTTGTGATGAAAGGCGTAAAGAATGAAATTAAAAAGTTCCAAAGCCAGTTAGAAGAGGTTGCAACACCTGCGCACTTCGAACGATAACGAATGGGATAGGATTCGCCAACGATAACGTAAGCGGCTGGTGCCCAAGTTTGAGCGAAAGAGAAAATGAAGAGACAGGAGAAGACAATCATAACGGCACCGGCACGGTGATTCGAGGTACCATCAGCTCGGTAAAGAGCACGATCACCGACAGCTGCGTAAATAAAGAAACAAATAGATTGCCAGATACCGCCGATAATCAAAGGCCAGCGGCGACCAAAATATTCAAGAACAATGATAGCACCGAAGGTACAGACAAAATTGACAGCATCCAGAATCAAAGCGGCAAGGAAAGGAGAATCAATACCAGTACCTCTGAACACTTGAGTACCGTAGTAGAAGTAGTAGTTGTTACCGGTCAATTGCTGGAATGACATGACAGCCATACCTAGGAAGGTACGATAGCGAATATTTCTGCCAAAAATTTCGGGCCATCTGCAAGGGCCACCGGCAAGCTCAGCCTGCACATCTTGCTGGATTTCATTGTACTCGCGAACAATTGTCGGATCATCTCTAGAGAGTCCAGAATTGTTGCACAAGATTTGAAGACATTCCTCATTTCGGCCTTTTGTCGCAAGGTAACGGGGAGACTCGGGCAGCCAAAGCATACCAATGAACATAATGATACCCCACAGCAAATTAATACCAATGGGTACACGCCATTGCGCGGAATCACTGTACTTGTGGGTACCCATGTTAATACATGCGGCAATGAAAATACCAGCAGTAATGAACAATTGATAAGTAGTAACGATAGCACCACGAATATGAGGGGGGGAAGACTCGGATTGGTAACCGGGAGCAATGACAGACAGGGCGCCGATTCCGAGACCGGTCCAAATCTTAGCAACCATAAACTGAATCCACGAAGGGATTGTTGTCAATTGAACAATAACACCAATAAGATAGACGATTGTCCAACCCATAATACACTTCTTCTTACCGAAGCGATCGGCCAAAGGAGAGGAAAGAATACAGCCAACGAAGGTACCGGTGTTCACCATACCAACAAGCAAACCTTGCCGGGCAGAAGAGTATGAATAAGTATCCGTGGCAGGATCATACCTGTCTGCATATCGTTGCTGAAAGTCGCGCATACTGGTAATACCACCAATGGAACCGGTATCAGCACCAAACATCCAACCGGCCATGGACACGAAAATCAGCATAACAAGCGTAAGAACTTTCGCCATCTTGTTCGACTTTTAATAAAATTGGTCAACAAAATTCAAGAAAATAATTGCTTGCAAACAAATTAAAAAGATCAGACTGAAGAGGGAAATTTTATGCGACCAAAGAAAGAGACACACAAACTTCCCGAAAAGTATTAAGAAAAATTAAAAAATTAAAGCGCGAGGTCTTAGCGTTCCTCGCTCAGCAAAGGATCGAAATACTTCAATGAGCTGAACTCTCAATGAATGCGAATTGTCCCGTTTTATGCTCGTTCGGACGGATAAAATTGAATCATCGTGTAAACATAAACATTCACCACGATGACGCGACGCGGCCGTTCAATGGCAGGGAAAAGTGATAGTTATTACATTATAAAAAATAGCCAATAAATAAAAAGTTATACTCTCGTTAACCGATTCTCCTTTCTTCAAATTGTGCTACATTTCATCTTATCCTTTTGCATCTTTCGCCTTCTGCCTTTCCGACACCGAGCGGCCGCCAACTGTAGGCGCTCGTGGTGGCAGTTGCGACGAATAATGACGAAAATACCTAATTCAACAGCTTCTCCGCAATTTCCCCGCACTTTACGTCACCTCGTTTGTCCAATCTTTTGCCGCTCAGGAAGACGAGTCAATCGGCTTTGGCGCGAGCGGTGATTTTGCGGGTCGGCAATTGACGTAGGACTAACGTTGCGACAGAAAGCACAGAAGAGCAATGATAATGTTTTAGAGCACAGAGAAAAAAGAAAAAAAAGTATTCCATTTAGTAGAGTTATCGAACAGCTGTACAATCACTGCAGTTTAAAAATAACTATATAATTACCCTACTTAGTATTCCCATCTCTATTTTGTTGAATATGGAACAAAAAACCGAGTAGTGCAGATTGAAAGAAAACAGTGCGCAGACTTGCAATCGAAACAACTTCTTTACAATTGCATTCACTACAAGAATACAACATTATGGAACGTTTCTGTTAGTTTAAATGACACGATTTGTGAAAAATGCATAGTTATTAATGGCTCATGTCAAGAAAGTTCTTCATTTATGACTAGGTGGAAAACGGTTATGTGAGCGTGCTTACAGTAATACCCGTAAAAGTATTCTTAGAACAAACGGGTTAATTAGAATAATTGCGTTTCACCCGCGACGGGTAAACGTGTCAAACTATTACGCGCAATTCACTGTAAAGCGGTACAAATAGAAGGGGTATGTTCTTTATACAGCCATACTCATTACTTGTTGTCTATTTACACACAAGAAGCAAGCATATTCATTACCTATTATTCACTCCATTGCAAAAAAACTCTCATTTGCAAACATAAAATTAATTACCTACTACACATTTAAGATGTCGAGCATTGCAGCAAACGAACAGTCTACCGTGTTTACTCATTTCCCAGACTTCGGGTTGAAATCCAGTCATTCGTTTTGTAAAAGTCTCGAATTCAAATTTCTTGTTGAACGCCTCAGTCGCGCTTTTGCATCTCTTCGCAGAGTGTTAAGAGGAGAAAAACCAAAACTGCCGAAAAGAACCGCATCTGAATTAACAAGCTACATGAACAACAATTTTACACTGGACTTCATGGTTCATGAGAATCGCATTCGAACAGAAAATACAGAAACACAAGCATATACACACTCAATTGACATTCTTGATGAGCAGAAAGCTCGCCTTCGTAAGGCTAAAAGTGTGAGTTCAACAAAACCATTCGAAGAAACGTCTGACAACGTCTATGACGTTAACTTCACTCAATCGCCTACTTCTTTGGAAAACGGCATTGCTGAATTTTCAAACTCGGCATTTTCTTCTCGCTGTGCATCGGAAGAGTCGAGCGAAACGTCTTCAATCGACTCGTTGTTTTTGCCGCAATTCCCACAAACCATCAGCTGGGCCGACATAGACGAGGAAGACGATGCCGAAGAGGAAAGCCTTTATGCATACACTACAGAAATTTCAGAGAGCTTGTTTGTTCTAGATAAAATTATGAGGTCGAACAGCAACAAACTCTTACCAAGATTAATGGAGTCTAGCAAGTTCAATCTTGTACTAACTTATTGGGAGAATATAAAGCGAAATGGAATTCGCTCTTCACAAGGCTCTCTCAATCTTTTGAAACTAGAATTCCTACTAAAGGACATTCTTTGCCTCTTGTCCCATTCCGATGGTTTTAGCATCAACAATGCCCACCAAGCACTTTTAACCTCTGTTAAGAACAGGATCGAAACCATGTCTTTGGAAAACTAATATTAAAAACACTAGGCTGGTTTTATGTAACACAAAAAACTTGCGAATCCCATAGCATAATGATTAATTCATCACAGAAACCAATTCGTTATTCTTCCCTTTGTTGGAATATAGGGGTATCACTTTATTTGCAAGAGTATATATATATGCCACTCAGCGCTCAATCTCGGTGACAAATTCGTAAACCTTCTCATAAGTCTCTTGAAGTCGTTCTATCATGATCATGTGTCCACACTCAAACTCGTGATACACGTGTTTCGTATGCACCAAGTGCGCCTTCACTGCTAATGCATTCTCTTTCGGGGTAGCACGGTCTTGAGTGCCAGCAACCAGAAGAACGGGACAAGTTACGACTTTCAGATAAGTGTGAGAGATATCGCCCATCCCCGCAAGCGACCATTTCCATGTATATGTATCGCTATGCTTATTCCACAGCCATTGTTGAAGACGAAGATGATGCGGACAACCGAGAGCAACTAAGTTTTCGACAGACGAACTACGTGAACCTCTCAATCGATAACCCAAGCGCATCAAGTTCAAAGCAAAATGAGGGAGCTTTAACACTTGTTGTATACGCTTCTTGTTCATAGCTGTCACGTGTGATTTCGGACCAAGCAAAACGACACCTTTGCATCGCTCTTTACACAGGGGATAGAGTCGTGAGACAACGACACAACCCATTGAGTGTCCTACAAGAATCACCGGAGCGTCTGCCGGTAATACTTTATCGATGACTGTAGCGCTCGCCTTCGCCAGGCCTTCTGAACTGTACATAGAAGGCGGATGCCGATTTTTGCTTGAATGTCCACAACCCAATTGGTCAAAAGCAAGCGTGGAGTAACCGTCATCTTCAAGAAGTTTTATGAGACCCGAAAACTGATGCTTCTGACCGCCCAAACCATGAACGAATACAAAAACCAACTTCTTGTCCGAATCCGAACGATGATAATGGTAGGCAAAGTAGTCTTTCTCGGATATCCACAGTTTGTCGTTCTTCAATTGTGGATAATATTTTGAAGATCCTACGGGAAACGTTAATAGAAGCTTCATTTTCATAACAATCTATTCAAGTGTAATATCTTACCTAACCATCGTAACTTGAATCGTATGAACAATTCCAGCAATAAATCGTAACCATACAATAATACATGAGTGCCAAAAGCGAGACCAAAGACACTACACGCGCTGTAAAAACCGAACCTCAACAATTCTTGCAACATGTAACTTTTTGTGGTGGGTATATTATCGGCTTTTTTTCTCCTTCGCCATAATATGTGCCACTAGGAATAATGGCAAAATCATTTTCCAGCGAGATAAGCCGAAATCCTGGCTAAATGGATCAATAACAAGTAAAATGGTTCCAGATCGGAACGAGACTAGAGGCGGCCGTTTAATTTATGTTTTTTTAGTAAGAAAAAATTCATCTAGGTGAACACAGTGAAGAGCGACTTGGGGCGTCTACAGTAATACGGGATCACGTCAAACAGGCGGCTAGGTGTAATTTTTTTGAGTCTGCACAAGAGCGGGGAGGTGAAAACAAGAGGTTGTCGTTGCGAAAGCAAGCAACAAGAAGCGGAAAAGCCTTACAAACTATATTGAAGTTCTTTAAGCTCTTTCAAGTGGCATTAGAGTGCAGTCATCGTCCATGTCATGAAAATAAAGAATTCGTTAAAAAGCTTTTACACACACTCACTCCTCGGCTTTCGTGCTGTCGGTCTCTGCGTTCTTTTCAGACTCATTTGAAGGCACAGTAGGAGAAGGAGCCTTTGGTGATGGAGCCTTCGGCGAGGGAGCTTTTGGTGGAGAATTCGTTTCCTTCTTGACGGGTTCACCCGTTTTTGCTGGACCCTTCATGCACTCCCGTTCGTAGCGTTCTTTGTCCTTTCGGGCCTTTTCTTCATAGGGCTAATCAAATAAGGTGTCAGAGAAATTCTGATTGCTTTTTAAACAGTCACTGGTAAAAGACTGAACAGAGTCTTCTGCACATACCTCTTTTTCAACTGCGGTCAAAGTTTTCCATTTCTTTCCCAAAAGGGAACCAATTTGACCTGAATAACGAATGTTAGTTGATTCTGATGCGCGAACGGAGACATAAAGGGCAGAATTCCATCTCTTATTTCCTCCCTCAACCCCACACTTCTGAAATCGCCTCGCGATTACACCCAAACCCTTGATACTTACCAAAAGTCGCTTCTGGGTTCTCTTCCTTGATTTTTTCACGATTGCTCATGGAAAAGAACATGAAAGCGGACATGTTTCGCTTCGGTGCGTTGGGGTCCTTTCTCCTTGTTTTCCGAGCTGCTTTGGGCATTTTTGGAACTGTTTACGCGTCGTTTATGACCGAGGCTTTAAGGACAGAGAAATTGTGGTTGGTTAAGGGTAGGAGAGAGCAGAGCTCCTCTCTTGCTTGACTCGCGTTTCTCGATGACGTAAGCTATGACAAAAGGAATGACGTAACGCGTCGCGCCTGTTCTAGAGACCGGGGAGCAGGGGTGATGAAAGAAACGGCCAGATGATCGGCCATTTTTAGCAGCTTCATAAGAAGCTCTGGGGGCGGTGTCTGTCGCGTGGTACAGTGTGACATATCGTTTTTGTTCTGGATTTAAGAAACGTAATCTTATTCGGAAAAACTGAAATTAAGTTATCTTATCTATGACGTGTGCCAAGTATGGTCGGTGGTTGGAGATGAGGATGCTAATAGCTAGAAGGAATTGGAGAATGAGGATGAGGACAGAAGGAGTTGTGAAGGTGGATGCAACGTGAATGCACGTAGTTTTACACAGTCGAATTTTTCCGCTGCGCAGCCAACAAATCTGCAGAAACAAGGCGCAATGTCTCCATGTCTTCATGTCCTCCTAGTTGAGCAAGGAGCTGAGTAAGATAGGAACAACAGGAGAGAAAATATGGACAGACAAACACTTCTTCCTGCGCTCTCTGTGTCCCCTTCTCCCCTTGCTGAGGCCAGCATTATACACATCTCGTAGTCTATACAAGCTAACCGCACTTATTACATAGTAAGATGCCACTAGCTGCGACTGAGTTTTTTTGAAACCGATCAACGATGAACGGGACACCCATCCGCGTTTTTGGCCCTCCTATGCCCTCATCCGCCCTTCTCAGCTCAATTCCCTTAATGCAATTCCCCCTCACTAATCATCTATTCATTCCTGCAGACAGTCCTCTTCAGACCACTGTTACTTATTCACTAGTCGAGACTAATATTCGCTTGTAGCAACACTCACTCGTAACACAAGATACAGCACCATTCTGACAATGACAGTAACATTCCCTCCATCCACTTCCGTTCCCCTACCCTTCTTCTTCCTTTCCCGTTCCTCCGATCCCTTACTTATTTCTCTCAATTCTTTTCCTCCTCTTCCCACTAAGCACAACAAATAAGAACAATCGCACGAACTGTCTTATGCTCTTGCTATTCCTCTTCCATCCCATACAGCATCTACTGACTGTCTCTATAACCGAACCCATGCGCTACCCTTCTTAGACACCAGCTCTTTGTGCTTACCCTCGGACCCCTGGGCAACAAATCGCTTTTGCCGGCCAATCTCGTTGGACTTGCTAAGCCATTTCGTTAACGAGACCAGACACAAAACCCCAGCTCGAAATTGTGGAGTAGGCCTCGGTTTCTTACACTGCAGTTCGCTTAGTTGGTTTCTACTTAGCCCACCACACCCCGTTCCCTTTGGTGATCACAGAAGACCCCCAGAGCATAACAGGTATTTACTCCTTTCCATCCATTAGGACTTACAAAAGTGGTGATGCAAGTGTCGCAAGTTGGACCATGGGAACTTGGCATTCATCTGAGTTCGGAAAGTGGAGGCATTGTCCGTCTTGCCAAGCACATTGAAACGGGAGAATTAGCAGTCGTGAAGGTATTTGAGAATTGGGGAGACTTAGCAGAGAATGACAGAGATCGCATAGAGCATGAGCTTTTGATTTTGGAGGTGATTGACCATCCGAACGTCCTTCGGGTGTTCGATGTGCTCTACGAACAAGACAAGCTGTACGTGGTAATCGAGTATCTCCCAGGTGGAGAGCTATTCGATTGTCTTTTGAAGCGTGGGAGTTTCAGCGAGAGCGAAACAGCTGCATTTCTGTGGCAGATTATATGTGGATTGGAATATTGTCACCAATTATGCATATGTCATCGAGACTTAAAACCAGAAAACATGCTACTGGATGCTCAGGGCAATATCAAAATAAGAGACTTTGGGATGGCAACGATCCAGCGACCCGGAACGCTTTTGACGACTTCGTGTGGTTCACCGCATTATGCTTCGCCAGAAATCGTCAACGGGCAGCAGTACGATGGAACGGCCAGTGACGTCTGGTCGTGCGGTGTTATTCTGTACGCACTCTTGACTGGTCGGCTACCCTTTGATGATGATAATGTGCGTACACTACTTCTAAAAGTCAGAAAGGGTGTCTTCGCTATGCCCTGTAACATCTCCACTCAAGCACAACATTTGCTTTACCGGATGCTAGATGTCGATCCAGCGACACGTATCACCATTGAAGGCATTCGTGAGCATCCTTTCCTAAGTCACCTCGTTCATCCTAACATACCCGTTCCCGTCGTCTCTGCACCCGTTAACGAAGTTGACTCGGTTGCTTTCCGTCAGTTGTCTGTGCTATTTCAATGCACCGAAGACCCATCGCAGTTGCTTAAGCATCTCCAAAGTGGAGGACCCATGATTGAGAAAACTCTATACACCTTGCTTGCCAAGCAGCTGCAGCAAGCTCAATCGTCCAATGCACGCAAAATGAGTATAGTTGAGGATGTCTATGAGGGCATGAGCAACCAACGCACACCAACCATTCTTCGTTCTTTCTCTCAGCAATCGGTTTTTGACAACCCTAATGCATTTACAACCTCTCATACTACTCAACGACCAGTAACGAACATGGGATTTGTGCCTCGTATGCATTCACGCAACACCTCGCCCTCTCAAAATCTCAGTCCCTCCGTTACAACTTCCGTCTACCAAGAAAAGCGTCCTTTCAATTCATCCTTTGTTACTGCCCAGGCCACAGGCAGCCATTTTGATAACAAAACTGAAGATCGCCACGCTATGTATGTTGATGCACAAAATACAATGAAGGAGGACCAACCATATGGCAACGTAAATTCGGGCTATATGAGTAATACGAATGGGGAGCAGTTGTATCCACACACCGCGGCTAAATTACCCTTTGTAACACACGATGGAAACATGACAAGCACTCGTAATTTTAACGAAGTCGACCCAAACACTTTAATGATGCCTCCTCCGTCTGAAATTCCGAGTACGCGAGTGACGCGTGCCGTAAGCGACTCTGGGGTTGCTGGTTCCCGATCCCAGTCTGAAATGCAATTCTTTGAAAATATGCCACAAGGTGCAAGTCCCATGAGTGGTCATACTGCTAATCACACGCGTCGAGTCTCTGGCTTCAACGGGATACAGCTTCCAAAACAACGTAATAGGCCTCTCTCTTGGTTCTCTTCTACCAAACGCCGCCTTCCTGGTTCACCATTTGAAACGAAAAAGTCATTCTTTCGCAGATTATTTAGCAGTGGCCCCTCTTGCAAATGTGTCTACACAAGCTTAAGCTCAGAGTCATTGGAACGTGAAATTCTGGAGGTTTTGCGTCGATGGCAGTTATTGGGCGTAGGTATTGTAGACATCACATACGATTCGGTTAGCACTTCTATCAGTGCCCGACTAAAGCATCAAAACACATTACAATTAAAGCCCTTGCGCTTCCGCGTCTCTGTTCTTGACGAAGTGTTTGGTTCTCAGGCAGCCTTCGTCTTGGAGAGCGGATCTTCGTCTACTTTTGATAAACTTGCTACTGAATTTCAGTTAATTTTCGAAGACAAGGGATTTTTGGATCCTTTAGATGCAGGTGTCAACAATTACTATAACACAAGATCAGGTTCGAGACTTAGTATTTCAAGCACACGGTCTCAACAAGTTACATCAAACCCAACCAACGGCCGTCTTAGCAGTTTTGCTTGAGGCAAATTTTGTTTTTTTTTTCTTTCTGTTCCTTAAACACAAAATTAACTCAGTGTCCCCTTTTTTGTGTGGGTGTTCATTGCTATATTTGCCAATTCAACAAATGGAAGTGTGATGAGCAAATATCTGTTTTGCCCAAATCATCTCTTTCTGAATAATGCCTTGAAACGCCTTCACGTTTCCTTTCTTTTTTTTGAGCATTCCTCCTTACCTTGTGGTTCCGTTTAAACGGCAGTTTTCTTTTTTTTCTCTTTTTCTTTTCCACTTAAACAACGTTTACTTTTCTTTTATTTCTTTCAACTTCTTTGCATTCATACCCAAAAAGAAACTTCTTCAAGAATTTCTTGGCTCAAGTTTTGCCATACGCATAATGAGAAAACTAACTACTTTGCTGTTCCCATTTAAAACATAATGAAATATCTATCTCAGAAAGTGACCTATGATTGCTTGACAATCGATTCTTTTGCAACATACCCCAACAGCATCTTACAAGCAGTAAGTCTGTAGTAATGAATGATTTTAATTTTATTCAACAATAACATGTACATGTCATTGAGCGTATTCTGTTTTTGACAAATTATATTAATGATTCTTATCCTTCATTTCCTATTTGCTAAACGGTGCGGTTGCACTCTATTCAAGTAAAGAAATTAAAAAACAACAATATCGACAGCTGCCTTCATAAAATTAAAATAAAATGTCGTATGTTGAACTTCAGACGACAATGGTGAGTCAATCATTATGGCTTGTTATTAATAATTATAGGGAAATATTCTAATTGAGCTATATACTGATCATGCTCCAAAAGTAAGAAATACAGTTTCAGTCGTGCCTTATGAAGCTAAATGATGAATTTTTTGTTTCAGACATGTAAAAACTTTTACGAATTAGCAAAATCTGGTTACTATGATGGAGTCATTGTAAGTTCAGAATGAAAGATGGTTCCGAAAATACGGATTGGTTTTTTCTGCCGCAATTTTTTCGGGCGCTCATTCAAAAGACGGACTTGTCTTCTAATGTATAGTTTCATCGAATCATTCCAGATTTTATGATCCAAGGAGGTGACCCTACAGGAACTGGTCGGGGAGGAAATTCTATCTACGGGTAAGAATCCATTACTGTGATATTGTTCGTTTATTCTAATCCATAGTGCCACCTTTGAAGATGAAATTCACCCCGAGTTGCATCACACAGGTGCAGGAATTTTGTCAATGGCAAATGCTGGTCCTAATACGAATGGTTCACAAGTATGTAAATATCAGTTATTACACTTGTACTAACAGACCAAACGTCTAGTTCTTCATTACTCTAGCACCGACTCCTTGGCTGGATGGAAAGCATGCCATCTTTGGTCGAGTCCAAAAAGGCATGCAAGTGTGCAGACGCATGGGTCTTGTTCAAACGGACAAAAATGACAAACCATTAGAAGATATTCGTATACTCCGTGCCGCTGCTCTTTAGTTTTGACTAACGTTATGACATATCTCACCTTTTCCAAATCGCATGTCCAAAATAAAACACTGATTACTTCATATTAACGGCAGTTTTTCTCAGAGACTAGTATCTGAAAGAGCATCCAAAACTTAATGAAACAACTTTAATCTTTGTTTTAAAGACGAATTACCAATGTTTGCGTTGCCGATCTCTTCCGCGGGACATCCACGGTTCTCGATGCTTGACCCGACACGAAACGCCTTCAACAGTTCAGTACACAGCAAAAGCTACAAAAACCAAATTGTCAATGTTTTCCACTCAAAAGAGCCGTCTCAAGAGATTTCTAACAAGAGCCACCAGCGTTAAACACTTTAAAACGTCTGAAACCGTTTCTCCAACTAAACGTTGTGTTTCTGAACCATCTTCAAAGTTTAATCAAAAAAACCCAGCAATCGAGTACGAAAGCATTGTTCAAGAAATTGTTTGTACCGAATATACCTATTTACTGGAATTACGGAGAATATTGAACGTAAGAAATCGCCGTATTCTTCAATATCTTACAAATGCAGGAAGTCATCGGGCCCTTGGAGAGCCAAACTACGTGTAAGCGATTAAAATCTGTATGTACGTGCTTACGGGCTCTTCACGAGCTTCATACTTTGCTTTACAAGGATATGGTTTGTCAGGCGTCTCCGATTAGTGCTCTCTCAAAATCATTACCCGTATTTAGCGACATTTACCACACGTACATCATAAACATGGTCATGGATCCACTATCAATGAAACAATACTTAAACACAAGCAATAGATTCAATGATCGTTTGCTCATTCCGTTACAGCATCTTCTTCGCTATCCCATGCTACTTGGTCGTCTGTACAAGTATTGCAAGCGGTACCCTCATCTCTGTTCGAACATTACACTGCTTAAGCAAACTCTTACTAGCTTCCAGAAATTGTGCACATACATGGACGAGGAAAAAGCCAGAGAAGAAAGCTACTTACTACTTTCATTCCTGTGCAGAAACCACCAGGTCGCGCTCGATATCCCAAGATGGGTTATATTTAAAGGTCCTGTTCCAACATTACCGAGTACAGAAAAGACGGCAGAGAAGAATTTACAAAAGGCTTGTGTGTTTTGCAACGATGGACTACTTGTGTGGACAAACGATGTAACCATGCAGGAGAATATGAAGGCTTTGTCCATTGAGCAATGTCTGCAAGTTGAGGCGGCCAACACGACTCTTCACTTGCAAAGTATCACCTTGCATGGTCAGTTGGTAAACCATTGCCTCGAACCAAATACGCTTGCCGCAGCAGCCTTTGTCCGATGGTACAAACAACGACAGCGAACTTGAGCGATAACATCGTCAAAACAGCGGCTGTATATCATCTATTGCGTCGAGTATTACCACATCAAACAATCTACTTCAAAATCATAAATTTTAAAATTAACCACGATCTACACAAAGTGAAACGATAAAGAATCAACAAGTGATATAGCTAGTCGATCTGGACCGAAAGTTATTTGCTAGGTGACGATGGTTCATTCATTCAGAATCGTTAATGATGCAATGTGTCTTACCAAGGTAATGTACTTTTAGGTGGAATTCGTATTGGCCTTGCGCTTCTTCCGCTTGTGTCGCTGAAATGTTTCCTGTTCACTGTCATCCTCATTGTACTCGGTGAAGCTAGTGACAGAATGTGTGCGGCCTTTGCACTTCTCCAAATGCGCTGCATATCGGGATGCAGCAATCTGTCGTCCGCACCCCTCACAGTTATAATATGGGACGGTGCTCGGCGTCTGAATGGAATTGGCGAATATATCGAAACCCGACCGTGAACAGAATTGCCGGCAGCGACTTTTGCAGGCAGGACACTCCTGCAAAGAAAGCTTAGCAGATCGGTGGAACTGCTGTGCTAGTTCATGCACCCAGTCACACAAAAGCTGTTCTAAAACGGAGCATGACTACATTATAAAACACACATGTCAGAAATTGGCACAATAATTATGCAAACACAATCATACAAGCTGAAAGCTTAGGCATTCGTAAAAAAGCAGAGGCGCCAGACAAGGGCGAAATTGCCTGCTTCAAGCAAATACTGTTGTGTATTTACTGCTGATCAGTCACTATTTCGGATTTTCCTTCCGGCGCCAACAACCCTTACGTGATGCCGTCACCAACTCAGCGGAACTATACTTAGACATATAGAGCTACATACAAGGCCTGCAAGGGACTGAGGGTGCATTTGTCATATAAAAAATCTACACGTTTGAGAAACGCATGCAATAGACCTCTTTATCCTCTATGTTGGAACAGTAGCCAACGGAAGAAAATCGCCTGAGAAGGAATTTAAAGCAGAATAAGGAATTCTTCTGTGAAAAATTGTTTTCCGTTATTGGACTATGCCTTCTTTGGTGGTGAGTTTTTGGTGGAAGTGTTCCACCACCTCATGCAAAATTGTCCACACAAACAAATATAGATAAATAAAATACGATTTTGCAGCGTCATTTACGACATGATGAATACGTCTATGATATACTTATTTTTATTCAATTGAAATCAGAGCTGTACCATTCTTATTATTGCTTATTTGTGCGGTTGTTTGGGCTCTCTGCTCTCACTGTATTTCACTAAATCAGTATTGAGTAGCGGAACGCATTCCAAGAAATCCACTTATATAAAGAAACTGTCTTATTCCACTTCTACCTCTAGTACGTTCTTTCTTTCGTATAATGAAAATCTGTAAAACCTGGGTTGTGCTCTTCGCCGTCTTCGCTGCGGTTATAGGATATATCCAAAAATACCATCTAAGATCGTTCTTCCGTCTTGACCCTGTCAAGTTGCAGGAACTTTCTCAGCAGTCTATTGCCTTATATCCAAATGACACTCGTAGTCTTTTCTATGATTTGAACCAGCGTCTTATTGCTGAGTATGGTGACCTTATTGAACCCTACAACGATGAGGATTGGGTCCATAACAATGCCGGAGGAGCCATGGGTACTATGTTTATCTTGCACGCTTCTATCACCGAGTACCTCATCTTCTTTGGAACTCCCGTCGGCACTGAAGGACATTCTGGAGTACATATGGCTGATGATTACTTCACCATCCTTGTAGGTCAACAAATGTGTGCGTCGGCTACCGATTTGGAGCCTCGTATCTACCGTCCCGGTGAACAGAACCATCTTGAGTGGGGAAAAACAGCACAATACGTGATGCCATCAGGTGAGGCTTGCTGGGCTTTGGAACTGGCTCAAGGTTGGATTCCCGCCATGCTTCCTTTTGGTTTCTGGGACACTCTCTTCTCTACTCTGGACTTCGGCACTCTTTTCAGAACCGTACAGTTGACTGCTAGCCGTATGGTGAAAAGCCTTCTTCACGGCAAATTTTAAGCACTGTTCATGGTATCTTGTACTTCTAGGAACGAAAACGTTCACAACTGTCCCAGCACTAACTTCTCTTTTCTTGTACAACATGTGCTGGATGCAGTTAACAACTTGTAAGATTTAGTTGACCTTTTTGGATACCCGACCAAAATGTACATTCTTATCACACACATGTAATCAACGTGTTTACAGACAGAACAGTTCTTCTGTTAGTTTATACAATATCATACTCATACTCTCCTCTCTCCTCGCACGAACTAGGGGTAATACAAGCGATAGCTCTTCGAATGTGAGCGTAAAAGCCAATGTAGTGTTATTTATTCGTAAAGACGGCACTTAGATGAAGGAAACAAAAGCCTGAAACTATGTACAAGACAAAATCTAAAAAGGAGAAATAGGTAGCGGAGTCGCATTAGGAGTTATCGGTCGCATGATTCATAAAATAGTTTTGAGCGAAAGAATGGATGGCCATTACTTATTTGGCCTCTTCGACGGGGGTAGGAGTCGCAATGGCATTCGCAGGTGTGCGGATATGTTCATAGAGACTATCAAATAGACCACGAATCTAATTCAAAAGTTAGTACAACGCATCTTTAATACTGCAGCACAAACCTCATCATTCCGTTTGATATACGGATGAGTCCAGAAGTTGTAGTCGTTGTTTTTTAAGAGCTCTGTGAAAGTAATCAACAGACCCCAAGGATGAGGACGGTTGCATATTATACGTTCCAGAAGAATACTGATAAGTTAGCAAATGCTGCTTAGAAACAACACGGAATAATACTTACGTCGTCATTTGTTCTTTAATCACAAGCTCGTTCGGCAGGTTTGATGAACTCTTAAACAGGTAAAGGAAACAGCAGCTTGCAAAATAGGTATGACTACTAGGATAGCGGAGCTGGTTAACCAAAGCCGAAAGAAGATAGTAGCGGTATTGTTGGTTGCTTTCACGAATTAAGGCAGTGAGTAAGGCACACTCAGTCGATTTAGGCTGAAACTGAGGGGGGTGATCCGCAGACTGATCACGCAAAGAATGCGTGATGAAAGACAGAACAAACAAGTTCGTCCACTCACAAATCTTTTTCACATTGGGCACTGCAGTGAGAGAACGGAGAAGCTTGCGAGCAGCATCCATAGGACGGGTAGCTGAGAATGCTTGAGTCAGCTCGTTTGCTTGGCTAAATGTCTGGATTTGGTCTACCAATCTGGCAGACATTGCTGGTGCACGAGATATATCAGGTAGTCTACCAACCTTAAGTCCTTGGGCAAAAGGATCTGGCAACTGGAGTTCACTTGGGAATGCACTAAGAATCATGTTTCGAAGTTGAGTGCACGCAGGAGGAACGAAACTAACTACCTCGAAACAGTACTTGGTTAAGAAGGCAGGGAAATCATGCAACAAAACAAGCATAATCCGCAAGAAACCATTGTAAAGAAGCTTGTTTTGAGGACGGATGGGTTTTTCCAATTGCTCACCAAGGAAACTCAAGAATGAAATCAGAATATCACTGTACAACTCCTCAAGCTTACGCTTCTGAGATAGTAACAATCTAGGCATGAAGCAGCGATGCGAAATCAGACCAAGCCAAGCGAATGAAAACGCGGGGAACGTGGTAGGTTGAATGGCCAGAACCACTTCAGAGAAGACACTGAGCAACTCATTGTTACATGCAGAAAAGTACTGCTTATTTTCATCCAATAAACAAAGAATACTAGAGAATAGGCGGAAAAATGTTTTTTGGTGAACAAATTCCGACATTGAGTTATGCATTTGCGCGAACACACCAATAACGATTGCCATCACCTTTTTGAAAAGAACCACCTTACTCGATGCCGATTCCTTTGAGTTGACACTTGCTTCCGTGTACTTCAGAACAGTGATTAAAAGAAGAGCATATGCGTCAACATTGCAGTAGTCAGGTACATTCACGGAAGCCGCCTCCAAAAAGGCGGCCAAAACAGCTTCCAAGTTGCAACGGAAGAACTGTAAGCTCAATTCGGGATCAGACAATATTCCCTGCTTGTGCAATTGATAAACGAAGGCAGCCTTTGTTGTCTCATCGGCACCAACGTTACGGATGAGGTGGACCCATGATACAAAAACAATGATGATCTGGTCATTAAGCTGCTTATCTCCAGCAATAGATTTTTTGACCTCAGCAGCAGTTGCAACACTGCTGTTCATAGAGCGCAAAAGATCCCCGTAGTCATTTTTAACTTCATCAACGAATGATCCTTGAGCATCATACAAAGCACGAATAGAACTCATAAAATTACCTGGCAATGCCATAGGATTTTCACCACCGACAACAGTCATTAAGAAACGAATAGCAAAATTCGTAAAAGGGCCATTACCTTGTTCACTTCTAATGCCACGTGCAAGATCATAGTCCACCTCGCCTGAGGTGAGGATGCCAAAACGAATAAGACTAAGAATCACTGGCAAGTTGAGCTTCTCCGAATCGGTAGAGAAATTCCAGTAAAGAGAAACATTAATACTCGCCTTCGTTGAGGCTTGACATAAGTATTCAAGGATGGCAGTGAAAACTTCTAACAAGAATGGCGATTCATTATGCGTCAACAAAACGCGGCAGCACTCTTGAGCACACAATAACAAAACATTATCAGCAATTGGTTGTTCAAGCGAAGCAACACCGGTAAGGAATTGATGGATAAGTTCGTGGAACTTGTGATCCGCCGGAACTTCTTGCATGGACGTAAAAGGATATTGAGTTGCCAATTGCCCAATTTGACCCATAATAACCAAAAGCTTACGTGCATAAGCCAGTGCTGCATTTGTAAGCTCTGCCTCAAGCGAGGAAGCATAGGCATTTCCAACACTGTCAGTGCTTTCACGACGAGACTCGGTAGTTGGAGTTGCGAAAGAGCCCGTATTACTCATTAACGTTGACATACTGAGACGATCAAATGACTCATAAAGGGCGTACTGTTGAGGCGTAAGGGGAGATGAAAGCTTTAAGATTCCGGGCAAATTAAGTTGGAGATTAAGCGCGCCAGCACGATCCAAGAAGGGCTCGTTAAGTCCGGCTTCGCGATAACGGATGCGCTCCATTATCATAGGTGCAACCTCTTGATCAATTTCGGCAAACGCGGTTTCAGCAGCAATGCTTTCAATGATGGATCCAACAAGGAAGAGATTCTGGTTGACTAGTTCTTCAATAGCCTGAGCAACGGCATTAGGGACGACTTCAGAGTTTTGTAACACGAGAGAACGAAGGTTGTTTACCATAAGTATTTGTACAGGCTCACGACAAGTTACCATCGCCAAGCTACCAGTCAAGACCTTGGCCATCTGACGAGCAGCTGACAAAACTCTTGGTGCACTGGGTTCAGTAGCAAAATCCTTCTGTACGAGAGACTTAGTGGCAATAGAGGCTATAGCAACAGATCGACGAACAACAGCTGTTATGATTTCAAGAACAGAGTGTTGAATTATAAGTTGCATAAGCTCGCGTAAAGCAGCCTTTGGTTTTCCGAGAATTTGAGCAGCGGCGTCACTAATGACAATATGCGAGGCTGCAGCAGTAATAAACTGTGCGATAACGTCTGCATCGGTCTTAAGCGCTGCTTGTTCATAGGATTCCGTGGGCGTTTCCTTTGTAGAATAATTCTTTTGCACGAGATGCTTGCGATACAAATCACTTGGTTCAATTGATTCCATAGGAATGTCCATGTTCTTAAGCAAAATTTCAATCTCAAATTTTAAATTGAGCTTAAACTCAGCAAAGTGGTAAAGCTCGACAAGCAACTGAATAATACCTAAAAGCCAAGGGTTCGGAGGTTTAAACACAGTAGATTCTTTAGCCTTCTCAAGCACCTTACAGACAAATGGAAGAACCCTATCAATTTTTCCATAATCAACACCTTCCAGTAGTAATTTTTTGAAAGAGATGTGAGTGAGACGAATTGGCTTATCTCTTGCTAACGTAATATTTCCAAGCCAGGAACCCAAGTTTTTAAGAGCTGTTTTTTCTGATGGCGAAAGTACCTTATTAACTTGGAGCAAGTCAAGAACCGTTTGCAGGGTGTGACAGAAGACAAACTGATTCAGTTCTTTATCCTGGAGTTCCTCAAGAAACTTACTGTAAAGAGATAAGTAATTAGCCTCACGACTAACACGTTGTGTTACAATATAATGTGAGAACCAACTTCTGAGTGGTGCTTTAAGATTGTTTTTCAAATCCCTAAGCTTCTCTTCAAAATTAAGTTGCGAAAGATTGTTGATAGCAAAAAGAATAGTGTCACGGACACTTTCCTGTACCTCAGCGCCATCCGGAGAAGGCGGCAGTTGAGGCGTTTTGATAGACTCAAATGTATGAGCGGGCATAGCAGGAGTTTGCTGAGCTGGAGGAGCTTTCGGCAATGGCGGAGCAGTGGGATTCGTTGCAGCAGTAACATTTGAAGCAGCTGGTTCAGTAGAGTTAGAACCAACCAACTTCTTGATAGAGTCGTAAATATCCGGACTAACCAACTGCAAAGAAGGGATTCCCAGAATAAGATTACAATAATTGATGTATTTCGGCAACTTTTCTTGAAACTGAATCAGTGCCTGCATACCGAACCGAAACATCTTAGATTCCGGAGGCATGAGAAGAGCCTGATAAACATAACGAAGAGCAACTCCTAGAGGAACGAAAGAAAGAAGCTCAAATTGTATGAGACTTCCAAACAGTACAGCTGTTAATGCCAGAGCTTCAAGGGGGTAGTCAGGGAAGAAGCGATACTCGTCAAAAAGACTATGCTGCAGACAGGCAAAAACATCGAAGTCCCTCGCCTTCTTCGACTTCTTTAAATTCTGCATAGTTAGGATAATCTCACCAATGGTAATTCGTTTTTCATAGAGACCTTGATAGTAAGATTCAACTTCCGCTTCAATGTCACTTGCGAAGGAGTTTGATTTGTTGGAAGCAATGACAATATCATCATGTTCATGGCCAAGACTAAATAGTCTGGGATACACTTGCAAACATGCAATTTGGACATCTTTTATATGTTCACTAACTTCCTCGGAGATGCTGACGTTGTCCATCAATGTAGTCAACAATAAGTTAATTGTTTCAATGGATATCGGAGGAAGTACCACTGGAGATTCCGACTGAGCCTTCTCCAAAGCAGTTCGCGTCATAAGCAGATCAAGAACGTCCACAAGGAAATGATTTAGTTCATCAGCAGTTTGAAATTCCGATAACTTTTTCTCCAACCATGCCTGAAAATCCAGCAGGCCTCTGGCGGCAGAAAGAGCAGCAACTTCCAAAGCTAGACGATTAGGCTGAAACGAGACAAGATGCGAAGTAAATCCGATCTCTTTAGAGATGTCTAAAATGTTTGAAATCGTAGATGAGTCTTTTATCCACATGCTTCGAAGAAATGCCGATAAGAATTGTGGGTTTAATTTCGAAAGACGATGGAATACGAATTTATGAGTGTCGTACTTGACAAAAAACTCAGAAGTCCACTGGAAAGCAAGCGATTCCATAATAGGGTTCCACGGGAGCGGTAGCTGTACTGTGCCAAGTAATAAGAGCTCCGCAGAAGACTTTTGGTTAACAAAGTTCAGGAACAACGAGGTCTCATAGGTAACCACTTCCGTGAGAAGTCTCATTAAAATTTGAACTAATTCCAAGCAATTCAAATTATTCTTTTCGTATACTTGAGCGTATTTACGGAGTTCTTCGCCAAGATCATCGGCATCATCGGGAAGAACAATTTTGGTTATTTTGAACTGGTTGATGTCAAATGCACTAGTGGAGGAAAGGATGATGTGGGATATAAGCGATAACTGCGAAAGAGGATTTTTCCAAAGCGTCCAAAGGAAATCCAGGGTTAATGGTTTTTGTCTAACCTTGAAGCCAGTTTGAAGAGCACTGAAGAAGAGTAACAAACTTGGGGTACCTGTAATCATGAATTTTGGGTTGTCGAACAATGGCAGTATTGTTTCCCAGTGAAGTTTCTCAAAACTCGATGCAATGGCCTTGCCAATCAAAGAGGTATCCCAATGCCCGTAGTCACTTATTGAAACCAACGAACACAGCAGATAGACTACGTCGGACTCTGTCATGGCAGTAGTTTGGTATTTCTTCGTTATAGCTTCCTTCATCGTCTTCAGGGTAGCCTTAGCTGGCTTCATTGTACCGAAAAGTGCAACCAAAGGCTTGGAGTTGATCATCCGCTTCTCTACCACCGCATCGAAATCGGCAATCCGTGCCACAGGTATACGTTCTTGACCTTCTGGGAACAGGCCTTCTTTTAGTGTTTCCAAATCCGCTTTCTCTAAAGAGCCACAGGCAGACGGATCAGCAAGTTGTTTCATCAAGGGATCAAAGTCATCCTTCAACAAGGCAAGTGCCTTCCGAGCAATTGTGATTTTTGGAGAAGTTGTGAGACCAATTAATAGATTAACGCGTTCAAGCAGAGTAAATTGAAAATGCCGGAGGAATGACTCAATGTCGAAATCTTCAAACACCTCTGAATCCGCACCCGAAATAGCATCACTGAACCTACTTGCAAGCTTCCACGACTTTGTCAAGGACTTCAATTCATCAAGGAGTAGTTTGTATGTTGCTAGACCACCCGTCGACTTACCAGAACCGAAAATTCGGTACGAATTGCTTTGTATAAGGCGACGAAGAAAGTGATGATACACCCCAGGTGCGTTGTGGTTAATCAGTTGCCGAATTTGCTCTAATTTCGCGTCATACTGGTCTTCACGCAGTGTAGACAGCAAAAAAAGAATCTGAGCTTTAACTATGCTTTCTATTTTAGAATCATTCGCATTACTTTTATTCTCCAATGTACCAGACTGTCCGGAGTCTACCGATGTAGTTGTATTCTTCTGTTTTATTTCCGAAGCTTGCTCTTGGTTTTTCATTATGCTGACAGTTGCATAACTTATAGTAAATGTTAATTAGGAGATATCCTGCTCTGCTTTAATATAGAAATCACAACTGCTGGTAAATGAAATGCCTTTATAGGTTTTAAATAAAACGGCTCTGGACGGCTGTGGTGTCTTTGGAGAGTTTAGCGGTTAGAGGCTTGCCAGGGAGAAGGACTTAGTGGAAGTTTTCCCGTGTTATACTGCGGTATTACTATGGCAACCGTTTGTTTACAAGGCATTTGTTTACACTTGGGCAATATTAATTCTGCCCACAGCCAACATTCCGGTGACGCTGAGCAAAACTTTTGCGCTAAAAGAATGGATAAATCAAAAGATGTGCAGAGTCTTTTCAGCACAGACATAGCTTTGAAGGCTAATGTGAAGTTCCAGAAGCACTTTTGGGTACGAGAACGCGGAACGTCGCGTCCTTGATGGACCGGTTTAGTGGGTCGACCATTTTGAATGCCGTCTAACGCTAATAGGGAAATGAAGATGAGATACTAGAAACATTTCTTGCTCAGTTTAAGCACTCTCTTGGCTTAATCAACGCGCTAGACAAGTTTTACGCTGAACGGTAAGAACGTCATTGAGGAAACACGCAGTGTTTGGAGTCTAACAAGGACGTAGAGCTGTTATTGAAAAAGAGTACTCGTCAAAACTTTCTCAACTCGTCCAGAGTAACCTGGAGTTGCCATTGGAAGGACCCGCTCACGATAATGTTGAAGCGATGAAGACTGAAACACAGAACATGGCCAACGGCCATTCTTCTCTGTCCGCACAAATTGATGCCGAACTGCGGCCGGCTTTGAAGGGTTTTCTCTCGGATTCACAAGACAAACACGAGTCGGTAAGTTTGCTGAGGGTTTTCTGTTCGTCGTACGCTAACTTTTAAGCTTGCCTTCGCAATTGAGGAGTTATATCAAGAGAAGACTACTCTGGAAATTGAATTGATTGAGGTACGTATCTATTGGAAGAGATTGACTGTTTTGAAGATGCATTCTAACGCGTTTTGTAGAAAAAAGATGCTTATGAATATAACTGCCAGAAGTTGTGCACATATAATGAACAAAGAGCAAAGCTTTCTGGTCGCGAATTAGACAGACACGCTATTAAGCTTCGCAAAGCTGCCATTTCCGTTCAGAAGAGTGAGGAAGAGTATAAAGAGACAGTGGAGAATCTTCAAATTGTTTATGACGAATGGACAAACAAATGGAAAAAGGCATGCGACATTTTCCAACAGCTGGAAGAGTACCGTATTGAGTTTATGAAAACAAGCATGTGGGGCTATGCCAATGTTATTTCCACTGCGTGCGTTACAGACGATGAATCATGTGAACGCATTCGTCTCACACTCGAAAAGTCAGATTTGAATTCAGAGTTGGAGGCTTTTGTGAAAAGTCACAGCGCAGGAAATTCACCTCCTGATCGCCCAGTTTTTCACGACTTCTTTGAAGACAATCACATCAACCTAAACTGGAAGCAGTTAACCTCGAACACGGCTTCTTCGTTATCAAAGCTGAACTCTTCACGCACAGCTTCCCCTACTCGTTCCTTTTTCTCGAACCTTAAGCACACACCTAGTGCTGGTTCCTCATCTTTAAGTCGTGAAGCTTCTCAAAAAACTATCGAGTCAGAGAAGCGGACTACCCCTCCTGTAAATGCACCCTCTATTTCAGTTTCCAATGCCCAATCCAATCTTGATGATTCACTCTCTCCAAAAATGGAATTCCGTCCTGTTCAAGCACAAACCGTTCCCTCAGTTGTTCTTCCTGGAAGCGAAGGTCATAACGATGTTGCACATTCCACACCTACTATGCAGACGCATGAAGCGGACATTTCCAGAAACATGCACGAAGACACGCAACCGAAGCAAGTTCCTCCTCCCGTCAATGTGACAAGCGATGCTGAAATGGATGTTGAACGAGAGCAACCAGCATTGGTGAATAACCGTCAACCTACAAATCAACAAAGACCAACATCGGTTAATCATTCCGTAAACCAACACGAGCGTGTCCCGATTACGAATCCGACTACTTCTGCGTCTTCTACAAATCTCTCATTTTCCCGGCATGGAAGCCCGCAAAAACGTACAACCTCTTTAAAAAAGAAGTCAATCATGGAGCGTATGGCTCGACCAACGTCCCCGTTTCGGGGTAATAGCTTCTCGCGTTTGTCTATGTATAACGATATGACCAAGGACCCCGCCGAAGCCGACAACAAGACAACAGAACCTGATGACATTGATCCTCGAGACAATGTTGTTCTGAATGTCGGTCCAAATATGTTATCAGTTGGTGAAGCGACAACGGCGTCTGTCCCTGCACAAAATAATGGAATTGATCCCATAGCAAATGCGATGGCCGAACTCAGTGTGTCACTGAAAAATCGACCTCGCCGTGGATCAGCTACTGTGAATGTTAACTCACAGATGGAGCCAACATCACCCTCGCGCAATCGTCGGGACTCTACCTTTGGCCATCGACACAGCCAAAGCATGATCACTGCTTCTAATAGAGGTTTCGCCTCTGTTACGAGTCTTTCAGATGTGGAAGGCTCTCCGCGCAGAACCACTTTGGGCGCACCTCCTGCCGCCCATACTTCAGCCCAAATGCAACGCATGTCCTCAAGCTTCATTAACCAAACCAAACAAGTATTCGGCGGTGATCCGTCGAATGCAGTTGGAAAGCGAGAATCACTTCGCTATTCTACGAGTGGTAGAAACCGAGCAACGTCACCCATGCTTACACATCGCAGTCCAAGTCCACTTACTGACGCACTGAACCGGACTACATCTCGGGGGGCTACGACACCTGAACCTAGAGGCGGAAGTTTGCACCAAAAGTATCAACGTTCTGCTTCACCAGCGTTGTCGTTTGATGAGAACAACCGCTCTCCGTCCCGTCTGTATACCCAGCGTGCAGCTTCACCTAATCCAATGGGAAGTCGTTCGCCGTCTCGTATGCGCCAGCGGGCTACATCACCCAATCCTTCTATTCGTAATATGTCGAGACCCGGCTCTGTAATAGACTTGAACGACAGCGAAGTGAAGCGTCCTAGCTCTCGAGCCGAGTACAATGGATCTCGCTATGGCAGACCTTCCTCTCGTCAACAGTTAGGACGCAGTGGAAGTGGGTTGCAAAAGAATTCTTCGACTCTACGGTCGAAGTCTCCTACTCCTTCAGCTATTAGCCGCCAATCTCGCACAGATTCGCGGCCTGCGTTTACTGCTGATGGAGAGCCCATCCTGGGCTATGTTATTGCTTTGTACGATTATCAAGCACAAATTCCGGAAGAGCTTAGCTTCCAGAAGGGAGACACCATGCTTGTTTTGCGGACACAGGCTGACGGTTGGTGGGAAGGTGAAATTGTTAATGCTCATCATCCCAAGCGTGGCCTTTTCCCCTCGAATTTTGTTCAAACAATTTAAGTTTGAATACTTGCGTTAAGTGTGTCACCCTGTTTGTTCTAAGAACTTCTCGTTTATTTTTAATTTCTGATATGTTATCATTTGGTCATGACAGTTTTTATGATCCTTCTACCTTTGGCACGTTCCCGAGTTTTGCGAATCGGTTTTGCTGTTTGCACCTATAGTCCTTTTTATATTTCGTTGGCCGTTTGTTATCCTTTGGCTATTATACTTTTGATTTGTTACTCTCTTATTACCCTGTTTCTATTCTAACCCTCTTTTACCGCTGTTCTTTCGTAAGCATAATTAATCTACAATGGTCGTTTGTTAGCACTTGAACTTGCTGTAACACATTATGTCTGAAGTGACAGTGTCGTTTAGAGAGGCGACACATTCTGCTTGTAAATCAAAGTTGCCTGTAATTGATATCTATTTCAGTATTATAAACTATTTATCCGATACATTATACAGCGTAGCAAAGAAGAAATAGCTACTACTTTTTTACTGGTCGGGACAATTAGTTATTTCCGTCGAATACCAAATTCAACGAAACGCTCTTTTATGTTTTTAAGCAGCCATAAAGAACATAACAGCTTCGACGTTAGAAACCAATTTTTATACACAGATGTTGTCCATCATCGGACGCCAGTTTAATTAAAACTTGTTGGAAAAAATGAGAAACAAATTACATTAAAGTGAAGTAAATGAACATAAATGTGATCCATAAAACGGACCTAATATGCATGTAAATAAAAGACCACATCCGTAGAAACAGTCCCATGATGATGGAGCGAATGAATTGATGATGAAAGATGAAACAGATTTATAGTAGTAGTACAATGCATCGTACAAAACGAATCTGCATCTCGTCCCATCGGTGTGACCGTTTAGTGTCTCCGACGCTTTCTGTTACGCTCATTAAGTTCCTTAACACAGAATCCACGCTCAAGAATCTTCGAAACTTCTTCAATGGGAAGACCAGCAAGCTCGGGGTATGCGAAATAGCACGTTATCCAGCCCAAGAAACAGAGACCGGCAAACAAGGCAAAGGTACCCGTAGGTGTGATAGCGCTCATCAAGGTAAGGAAGGTAGCACCGACAATCAAGTTACCGGCCCAGTTCACTGCAGTAGCAATGCCGACGCCAAGAGCACGAACCTCCATAGTGAAGAGTTCAGCTTGTTGCCAGGGAATGTTACCGATACCAGAAGCGTAGCTAGCAAGGAAGACGATGATAGACAGCAAGATGACTATAGGCCAAGAGCGAGAGACGCCCGGAAGAAGCGAGCCATTCGAGTCGGTCTTCAAATACTTATAGGAGATGGAACACATGACCAAACCCGCCATCATACCCCAGGAGGTATACAACAGCGTGCGACGGCGACCAACGTGATCAATGGACATGAATGCGAGACACGTAAACACAAAGTTGGTTGCACCAATCACAATACTGGTAGCAATGGCATTCTTGAAACCCATAGACTTGAAGATAGTTGCAGAGAAGTATTGAATGGCGTTAGTGCCAGAGAACTGCTGGAAAGCCTGGAGAACACAAGCAATGAACAGTGAACGTCTGTTGCTGGGAACGGTGAACAAGAGATGGAAAGAGTGTCTAAGACGCTGCCACTTCGTAGTGCTGTCGTCCGACGTATCGGCGGCCACACCTTCTTGAATCAAAGACACCTTGAAGGCAATCTCATTTGGCTTAGCGTATGGGTGAATACGCGACAAGATGGAGTACACCTTTTCGACCTCGTTGTGTTTCAGCAGGAAACGAGGCGATTCGGGTGTCCAGTACAGGAAAATCAACTGGCCGATGGCGGGCAAGGCACCAAAAGCCATCATGTAACGCCAACCATGATAAACATTTTCAAAAGCAGCGTTCAAGGAGTAGGCGAGCAATTGGCCTCCCGTAATAAACACGACATAAATAATGACCAGACGCCCACGAAGATGAGCAGGAGACAGCTCGGAAATGTACATGGGCACGATCAGCGACGCCAAACCAATAGCCCAACCGACGATGAAACGACCAGCGATCATCGTTCCGACATTCTTGGAACAAGCCATGACGGCAGCACCAATAACGAAGATAAAGTCGGCATAAACAAGCAGCCGTTTTCTGCCAATCACATCGGCAAGCCAACTTGAGAAGATACCGGCGAGCAAAGCAGCCAAGGCAGTCGCAGCAGTAATCAGTTCCTTTTCCAAATCAGAAAGCGTGTGGCCCAAATCGGTACCGAACAAGACAAGTGCACCCGAAATGACACCTGTGTCGTAACCGAAAAGAAGACCAGCAATTCCAGCCACGATCGACAGCAACCAAATCCAAGCACCGATTCTGGTGGATTCCAGTTGACTTACAGACGGAGCCCAAGTTGCGGTGCTCCCCGGACGGTCAGGTGGAGGCGATTGAATAATGAATTGTTGGCTGGAGTTTTTTAACACATCGTCGAATTCCGGCTGCATTTCTTCCGTACTAGTACCGTTAAATTCATTCGTAGCAGATTTTTTAGTCGTCGACAGAGCCAGCTGCGGGAACGACAGATTTGTCAGTTCAACTAAGCTCCTGTGGTTAGTCATGATGAGGGAGGAGGGAGTAGACAGCAGGAACGGCTGAAGGAGGACGTTTTAATAGCAAGTCGGAGAACGTATGAAGAGGGAAAACGTCGAGGAGGCGCTGTGCGATAGAGATGATGATTGGTATGTTCAACAAAGGAAGAGGAGACCTTCTTGAGAAAGGGGTCAAAGACAAAGTGAGGGCCTCTTTCGTTACGAATAGCAATCAATGACACAAAGAGCTTTCACACAGATCGTAACGAACACTGTGGCCGTACCGGATTCTTGTGTGATTTGTTTACTGGGTTTCTGTTGGTACTACAGAAACTGTTAGTAAGTGACGAGACGAAGCAGCTTGCCCTTAATAGTACCTTCGCAGCAGTCTTTAAAAAGACTACTCGTCCACGAACTATGTGATCTGCTCTAGCAGAATTTGCTCAGATGAGCAAAACGAGGCTAAGCTTGATTGCAAATCAACTGACGTATGGATCGCAGATCAAGTGAACCGCGAGGAAATAAGATAAGATCCTCGGACAGGTTCGTTACAGAAGAGTTTGTTAATAGAATTTGAAGTTACAGGCCGTTTTTCTCGTACTGACGTGGTGACTGGGAGACGAGAGGTGAGGGACGTGAGAAGTGGGAGCCCTTTTTATAGGGGAAGGGTGGGGCAGTATGGAGGAGGTGGTGAATGTGTGTGCACCGAAGGCGTTGACCGCGACAGAAGAATCTGTGAATCTGTCGTAGTCGATCATCCAGACGGGGACCGCGATCAGTCCTTTCGGTCCTGCCAGTCCTGTGATTCTCGTCGCTCGGTTCTGTTTCTGTTTTTTGGTTTTTCCTGACACACCAAGGACTGCAACACCAACTGTAGCAGACTACCACCCACCACCGAGTTTTACTGACCTAGGTACGACAGCAGCGAGAGACTTCCTGCTTTCCCCGTCCAACGTAGTAGAACCTCCGGTGCCTTGAAATAGTAGTGAACTGGTCGTTTCCGTAAATCATGAGTGAGGATACGGTAGGAACTGTGCCGAATGGTGAGTCAAAGGAACAAGTAGAGCCTTCCGTTAAGGGAAAAGGCGTTTCTCGGGAAGACGGTGCGCTGAAGGAGAAAAGTCCGAGTACAAAGCGTAAACGGTTGCCTAATGATAAAATTGGACGTCTTCGGGACCGAATTGATGAAGACCCGCACGATTTGGGTGCGTGGTATGAACTAATTGGAGAGTATGGATCAAAAGGAAAACACGAAGAACTTCGGGACACGTTTGAGCAGATGCTGCGGCCGTTTCCTTACGTCCCCAAAGTCTGGGTTGACTACATCAACGCGGAACTCGCTTTTAACGACTTCCAGGCGGTGGAGCTGCTCTTCAGCCGCTGCTTATTAAAAGTTCTGTCTGTGGACATTTGCTCGTTGTACCTTGGCTACATCCGCCGGATCAACCCCTCCAACGATGCACAGGCCCGGACAACCATCTCGCAGGCGTATGAGTTTGTCATCGACACGGTCGGTGTTGACATCGACAGCGGTCCCATTTGGGCGGACTACATCGACTTTTTGCGGTCTGCTCCCGCTAATTCCACCTGGGAGCAGCAACAAAAGCTCGACAGCATCCGTCGTGTGTACCAGCGCGCCATTGCAACACCGCTTCTGAACGTCGAAAAGCTTTGGAGAGACTATGACACTTTTGAAAACAGCATTAATCGCGCTACGGCCCGCAAGTTTCTGGCTGAAAAGTCACCTTTGTACATGAATGCGCGCACGGCAATGCGCGAGCTTTCACACATGTTGCAGGGTCTCCGTGTGTACGACCACACCTTCCGTCGTTCGTTTACTCCCCAAGAGTCTGAAGCGTATCGGCGCTGGTACCACTGGGCACAGTGGGAGATGAAGGACCCGCTTGATCTGCGTGCCGGAAAGCCTTTGCAGACACGAGTAACGTATGCATTCGAGCAAGCGATGCTCTACATCCCGCTCTCTCCTCGCATCTGGCTGGATGCTTTCTCCTACTTTATTGAGATCAATGAGGAACAGCGTGGCCTGCAAGCCCTGCGCCGTGGCATGCGCTACTGTCCCTCGAGTTTTCTGCTGCGTGTGCGCTTTGCCGAACATGAGGAAGCTAACAAACGAATGGGCGAGGTTCGTTCCACTTACGAGAGTCTCATACAGGCCCTTGGTCAGGAAATTCAAAAAATACCCGTGCCTGCTGAAAACGATCCTAACCGGGCCAAGGTCCCGCATGAGCTCCTGCGAAAGCGCGAGAGTCTGATCCACCAACACAGTATGGCTTGGGCTTGTCACATGAACGCCGCTCGTCGTATTGAAGGCATTAAGGCTGCTCGTGCTGTGTTCACCAAGGCTCGGAAAGCTGCTAATCAATCGTACGAAGTGTACATCGCTAGTGCGATGATGGAGCATTATTGTTCCAAAGACAGTGGAATTGCTAGCAAAATTTTTGAGCTGGGACTAAAGTACTTTGGCAATACTCCCGAGTATGTTTTGACCTACCTGGACTATCTAATTTTTATGAATGACGATACGAATGCACGTGCCTTGTTCGAAAAGGCAATTGCAAAGCTTGCTCCAAAGGATGCTCGACTCATCTACAAAAGATGGCTTGACTATGAAAGCAAGTACGGCGATTTAAATGCGGCCTTGCAACTTAGTCAACGAATGTCGGTCGTTTATCCCGACGAGACGCCTCGGGATATATTTCTCTCACGTTTTGGAATTGCTGATGATGATACTATTAACTTTGTTCCCTCGACGCCCTTGCATCCGGGTGAGGCACCTCAAGCGCTTGGTGAGGTGCCGGTAATCAATGTGAAACGGTCAACAAAGTCGCCAGAAGTCGCTAAAGAAAAGCCTCTCCTTCCGGAAGGTACGGCAGATGAATCGGACAACGAGTCGACTACGTCTGTGTCGTCGTCCTCTTCTTCTGAAATTGCCGAACTCGAAGATACCCGGCTTCTTCCCGCATCTCAAGAAAATGCTTCGTTCTACGCAACGAAGCCACCGTCTATCCCCACTTCTAAGGAACCTTCCTTCCCTCCAGTTATCCTTGATTTGCTAGCTCAGTTACCGCCGCCCCATTTGTTCCAAGGTATAGGAAAATTGTGTTTTGTTTTATTTTTTTTCCCGTGTTTGTTCATGTTTTACTAATATACAGCAGGTGCCCGTTTCGATTCGAGAAAGTTGATTCAGTTGATTGCCAATTCCACCATCCCTACTATGACTCCAGCAGACATTGCTTCTAAAATAAAACGCGCCCGTCACATATAATGTGTGTGTCCTTAGTTTTAGTTTTTTTTTTAATACCTATTGCGGCGGTGCCCGCTTCCTCCCCATTTTGGAATATCCATTGCCTTCAGTTTTTATGTGCTTCTTGTTACTTTCTCTCCCTGTTTGTCACTTTCTTTCCCGTGGTTTTCCAAACCGTCATCCAGTGTGATTCTTGTTCAAGCCTCGAGCCTTGTATATAACTATTAACTAAGCAAGATTTACATATCCAAAAGTGGCCCAACGTAGACGAGCACCCTTGTCCTAAGAAAGTACCCGCTAGTAGTTATATATTTATATATATATAAGTGATTGTGCGTAAGGAGTGTAGGAACGTGCTCGTGAAGGTGTGTCCGAAGTCAAGAGAGCATATAAATACGTGTGTGTCATGTGGTGTTATCACTTTTTGGAGCTCAATCGCTTTGGCTTATAAGGAGTCTTGCATTCATATGTGGGTGGAGATGACAAACGCGTGGTATGGGTATTACAAATTTTAAAGCAGTATAAGACAATAAAGTATCTTCCCTAGAAGCCGAACAGTGTGTGAAGAACGATGTCGGTAACCTTTCCAACAAAAGACTTTTCACCTGCAGTAGACGCAGCAGCAGCAGCAGCAGCAGAACCACTGCTTCCCTGAACATCCGTACCCGCAACGGGAGTCAATGTGCTATCTCTGGATTTTTCAAACTCAGCACCAGAAGCCGCGTTCCCCCACAACCAGTTCCTGTTGGTATTTGTTTTGTTTGTTTTGAAGATTTTGTCGGTGTCCTTTACGACGATCTTTCGACCGACCTCTGGGGCCTCGGACACAACAGGTTTTGAAGGAAACGCAGCATTGGCTTCGGCGTCCATCATCTCGATATCCAAAGCCACGTTATTCCGTGCTCCCGAAGGCACACCGGGTTTGTGTGTTGGAGCATACACACAGCCTACCATGTATGAATCGGCGATGATTGTGCCGTTTGCCTGGACAGCGCGAGCGGCAGCCTCAAGATTAGCATATGTGAGCTGCACCCAATTTCCCTGAGCGTTGATTTGCGAGTTGTAGGATGCACCCTCTCCGTTTTTGGCCATAGCAGTGTGATTGGTGATGGGGCCAAAGCGAGAAAACTCGTTCAGAACATGAGTTGTGAGTGCCGGAGGGAAGCCGAACACGATGACTGAAGTCGATTGGTTTTGAGATTGTTGGTTCGGGGGAGGAGCGCTAACCGTGGTGTTTGTTAGCAGAGTAGATTTGGATTGAACGGGCAGCGTCGAGACAGGAGCGCTATCGAGCCGAAGAGCGTGACTCTGACGAGAAGTGGGAAAGTCGTAAATGGATTGAGTAGGCGGAGCGTCTTCTACGGCAGCACCGGCACCTAAACGGTTGGGACGCAGGAAGGGTTTGGGAGTACCAAAGCTAGGGCCTCCAAATTTTGACGGAGGTGAGTTTGAGGTACGAATAGAGGAACTATAATGAGTTAGAGTTAAAGATGGACGAGATGGAGAGGGGATAGATGGCAGAGAGGGCAGGTGGAGAGAGGAGAGAGGACAAATGGCAGAGAGAGTAGAGAATGGAGGAATGACCTTGGGAACGAGTGTGATACGGGAAGAGAACACACATTAAGACCGCAATCGTCTCGTCACCGCCTTTGGCATTCCTCTGCAACCGTCCATAACCGTGTCGTCCCCTCTCTTGCTGACTTACGGAGAGTCATAAACGTCAACCAAAGGAGAACTGACGTCTGGAGCGTAACGACGCTGACTGGCAGCCAGGTGGGCCAAATGGCTTGGAACAAACCGTTTTTCTTGTCCAGGGGCTGCTGGACGCACGCCAGCAGCACGGTTGAAGCTTTTTTGAGGAGATGGAGAACGAAGGTCGTCAACCGACAACGGTTGCAGCGACCGATTCATAGGAGTCGTAGAAACGCTGTTCATAGAAGGTGTAAAGTTCATAAAGCTCACGAACGTGCGCGCAACAACTTTCTGTACCGTTTATTTCCCTTTTCTACACAAACTACGCTGCGTAGCTGCTGCTAGGAGGTGTGTGCAGTGTGTGGGTGTGGGTGGTTGGCGTGGCAACGGGCATTTATTTACATGCGCCAGAAAAACAAATAACATTGTCTGACGGCGTAAACCCGGGCCGTTTGTCGTAGAATGCAAACGGAAATGCGTCGTGTAGGGGAATTGGCTTGTTTTCATGGATTTCGGCGCGCGTTTCACGTCGCAATTAGGATTTAACCTTAATTAGGAGCCGACCACGAACGTTCGCGTAGCGCCCTAGACACACTCTTCCTCCACACCTACCTTCTTCTAGGAAAAGCTTGTTTTGACTATTTCCAGCTAGTTTTTTGTTTGTTTACATAGAAATTCACGACACGCGGAGCTGCTGGTTGAATGACTTAAATTGAGTCATGCTGTCGTGTCGTTTCGGTTTTTGTTTACGTGAAAAGTTTCAGCTAGTATAAACAAAACAGCGGCTGCTTTCCTGTGCTAACTAGAGCCAACGACTTCTTTTACAGTGAAACGGTGAACGAAAACGGTGTCGATTTAGACGAGTGCGTTGAAAAAGCACGAAAAAAGACATTGACACACACAAAAAGACAGAATTGTTTGTTTTGTTGTTCATCCTCTAAGCACTTTTTGAGCACCCTTGAACTTTTCCCCGGAGCAACCCTCTAAAAACCCTTCCAGAAACCCTTTCGAGAACCCTTTAAGCACCCTCTTTGGTGCCGTCTTCATCCTTCACTTTCTTTTGTTGCCTGTTGCTAGTACACGGTGACAGTACGACCATTGGATCTACGAGTTCAATTGGACGTACGCGGACAAAAAAACAAAACCAGCATCCTGCTTTCTCTTCTTTTGTTACGAATTTCATTATGACCAAGTACGAAATCTTGGAAAAAATTGGCCGAGGCAGTTTTGGCGAGATTCACAAGGTGGGTAGTGTTGCCAGTTATGGGCAGCAAGGCGGCTGCAGCGTGCAGTGTCTCAATTTCATTCTTCACGATAGCTGACAATTCACAGGTGCGTCGAGTGCACGACGGAACAATATTAGCACGGAAAGAAATCTATTTTGGAAACATCTCGCGCCAGGAAAAGCAGTACATTGCAGACGAAGTCAACATTCTGCGGAATCTTAGCCACCCCAACATTGTCGAATACTGCGGTGAAGAAATCAATCGCTCGGCCAAAATCATCCACATTTTTATGGAGTACTGCGGCAATGGCGACCTGGACAAGTTGATTGACACGTTGCGCTCCAAAGGTGAGCGGGCGCCGGAACACGATATATGGCGGTACATGACACAGCTGTTTTTGGCCCTGTATCGCTGCCATTACGGCCATGATGCGCCCGAGTCCTTGCACTTGCAGCGCGGCGAGCCCAGTCGTGGTGAACAGCCGTCCGTGCTGCATCGAGACATAAAGCCAGCAAACATATTCCTCGACGACAAAAACTCCATCAAGCTTGGTGACTTTGGGCTTTCAAAACTACTCGACAATAACCGGATGTTTACACACAGCTACGTTGGAACTCCATACTACATGGCTCCCGAAGTCATCCGCAACTGCCCGTACACAGCCAAGTGCGATGTATGGTCGGTGGGATGTGTGCTGTACGAGCTGTGCATGCTTCGACGCCCGTTCGAGGGCGTGACCCATCACGAACTGCAGGTCACCATTTGCAACGGAACCATCGAGCCTTGGGACGACTACTATAGCCCCGAGCTGCGGCAGCTGATTGATACATGCATGGAAGTGGACGCGGTGAAGCGGCCTACTGCCGCTGACATGCTGCGAAATCCGTACTTGGCAATGACGCGGCGAGACATGCAGACAAGCGAGCTTACTCTTCGCATGGAGGCAAAACAAACCGAGCTCAAAAACAAGGAAGTTGTTCTGCGGCAACGGGAAAACGAAATCTACACCCTGGAGCGCGAGATGTTGGCACAAAAGGCAGAGTTTGAAACGGTGTTGCAAAAACACATTGCTCAACGGGAATTGGCCATGCGTGTCGAGATGGAAAAACAAATGCGGGAACTCGATCTACGCTACCAACGCAACCTGCAGCAAATCCTCGCCAGTCTGCAGGCCAGTGTGCCGCGTTCCAACGAGCATGGAGCTGATGTATTCCCTGGCTTTGTCGATGTCCAGCGCGAGCTCGCGGCCATCAGCGAAAACGTGCAAAGCCAGTGTGATACGAGTGTGGCCGAAATGATGGTTGACTCGAGTTTTTATCCCAAGAGCCGTCCTGCATTGTCTATGAGCAGTGTTGCAACGCAGGAACTGTCTCGACCGACGCCGCTGCAAACAGGCCTGCAATCAGTGACAACGCCAGCGTCAGCACAGGCCGCACAAGTATTAGCGCCGGCGGCAAAGGCTGCAAAGGCCACGGCGGTCACTGCCCTTCCAGCAGGCCCAACGGTAGACCCGTTTGCAGTCTTCTCGGCCGTGACGCCTACGAATCCGTTTGCGGCAGCGCTAGCCAAAGTCAAGCAAGCATCGGGGGCCCGGGCCTCTGGGCCTCGTTCTTACGGAAGCCCATCGCTGGGAACACCTACGCTTGCAAGCAGCAGCACCCGGGGAGCAAACACACCGTTGTCATTAGACTCGTCCTCGCACACGCCGCTGACGAGTCCGGCGGACGAAGAAACAAACGGGCTGCGAGAGAGACACGAGGTGTACCAGCGGCTGCGGCAAAGCATGCAGCGTCTGCGCGACCAGCCAACGCATTGTCAGCACAAGTTCACCAGTCAACCCAAGACGCGGAAGAACCCGCGACTGCTGGCCCAGGCGGCACCAGCGGGAGCTGTGGGCGACAGGGAGAGCTACGCTGCACAGCCCACTGGCTCGAGCATTCTTCAGAAGGCTCGCGGCGGGCGGAAGAAGCAGCACGTTGAGGGCTATGCCCAGGAAGGCCGCCGGTCGCCGCGGCACGCCGTGTCGCCCATTGTGAGCAACAGCCAACTGCGTCGGCCTGCCGTAGACATTGACGACGGGACCACTCCGTATGTCAGCAGTGCGAGCAGCGCGAGCAGTGCTGACAGCTGCGGGTCCACCGCCGTCTCTGTGTCGACGGCGGCGGCGGAGCCCGTCACCCCGACGAAGCACGGCGTCTCTGGCCTCTACTGCTACGACGACGAGATCCCCAGTCCCTTCCTATGCAAGTCTTTCCGGCCTCAACGCAGCATTCCCAAAAGGCACTAAGTGGGATAGAGTGGGGCAGCAGTGGGATGAGTGGGCTTCTGGGGCATCCCACTCGTCCTCCACTCTATCCCACGTTCACCCACTCGCCCCCGTTTGCCCCCACGCGCACCTCCCCTGCTATCGCCGCCATCGCTGCTCTATCGGTCTCATCATCGCTGTTTCCTGCCTGCCCATCACCGCGGTCGCCTGCTGACCCTCGGGACCCGCCTCTCCCACAGACCACGCTACGCAGTCCCCGTGTTCCCATCGCCTCGCGCATCGCCCTCGCCATCGCTGCGCGTATCTCGCTCAGCTCGCTCAGCACTCAACCAGATCGCCGCCGGCCTTTGATTGCGCGCCCGATGTGAGCAGACTAGACGAGGCCGGGCCAGCTGAGAGCGCATCACGCACGGGCCCGAAGTGGTCGCTGTGGTTGTGCATCCCATCGCCCACTCATCCATCCATCATCATCATCCACCTTCCATCGCCAAGTGCTCGCCTCCAGTCTCTTTGCCGCAGAGCCGCTTCTATTTCTACAGAGCCGCTGTTTTTTCCTTTTCAACACCGCTCATTCACCGTTCCGACGAGACGAACGAAACGGCGTCAAACCTTCTGATCTTCTTTTTATCACCCTCGCTGCTGCTTCAAAATGAAGTGAAACGAAATTTGTTAACGAACGTAGCAAGTGAAGAAATAACGCTTAACGCGCCCTCTGAGAACGAATCGAAAAACGAAGCCGAAAAACGAGAACGAAATCGAAAAACATCGAAGGACGTGACCATCATCATTTTACGTTGAACGAGATTCAAGATCAGACGGATTTGTGCAAACTCGACGACATCAAGATTCCACGGATTCGACGACGAAACGAGAGACACGTCTTGTGAGAGGAAACGGAACGATAAAACGACTTGAGGCCAACGCTGAAGACGACTGAAGGCGTTTTGCAAACGTTTTTTCTCAGGACTACTACGACATTTTACGTGACCTGCGTGACGGAAGCTTGAGACTTGAGACGTCAAGTTGATTAACGTCAAGGTCCTACTATCTGCTGTGTGCGAACGTGAACCTTTTATTGCGATTATTTGCTCTGCTCTGCTGTCGACTATTTGTTGAGGACGACGACTCTCCTGAGGACTGCCCTTGACTGCTCTTTTGCTCACTACTATTCCATTCTGTTGGCGTTGTGCCGTTGCTGCTACTCCTCTTCTTCTTCTTCTTCTTCTTCTTCTTCTTCGCTGCAAGATGTCTCCAGAGCCTCCAGCCCTCCTAGAGGCTTTTAGCACGGTGATTCTTTCTGTCCTGCCGTCAGCGAAGCTTGCGGGACAGGCCCGACACAAGCATTCCCTCCCTCTGGCCCGCTTCCTTCATGAAACCATTCGTCGCAGTCGCACGGATTACACGACTCTATGCCTTGCTCTTTACTACTTCATTCGTTTTCGTGATTGTTCTGCCAGTGCCCCCAGCACCTACATCCCGCTGCTGTGCGGGAGGCGTCTCTTTCTAATATCTCTTATGGCTGCCAGCAAGTTCCTGCACGACCGCAGTTTCAGCAATCGTGCCTGGTCCCGCCTCTCCGGTCTCCCGCTTGACCGTCTTCTTATGCTCGAGCGTCTGTTCTATACGTGCATCGATTATCGTCTGCACGTGGCCAAGCAGACCTTTGCTCGCTGGTGTCTGCTGCTTGGTGAGTGCTGCACGCATGCTCTCGCCTGTACGCGTCCCTCTTCACCCAAGCCGTTTTCTTGGGTTGCCCCTGCATGGGTTTCCCTGTTTACTCACATTCGTTTTCCCCTCAACGATCCCTTCTCCGTTATGTGCCTAGTCCGGATTGCCCATCGCCGTATGGCTGCTTACAGTGCCGCCAAGGCTGCTGCACTTGCTGCGGCTGATGCCGTGAATGTGGGTGTCGCCCGGCCTGCTTCTCCCTCTACGACAGACTATGCGGCACAGTTCTCCATGCTCCGAAACAACTCGCCTGTTGCTGCAGTTGCTTCTGCTGCTCCCATCACGCCCGCCTCTGTTTCCTTAAACTCTTCTTCTTCTCCTGTTCGCGTGCATCCGGCCGCTGCCTACCCCCCAACACCTGATCCTTCGCCTTCTGCTGCTGCTGCTGCACGTCCTATGCATCCTGGTTCTGTGTGTGCGCCGCAACTGGCCTCGCAGCTCCAGTTTCCTGACCTCCGCTCTTCGTACGTTGCTCCCGTTGCACCAGCTCCTGCACCAATGTATCCCTGTTTGTCCCTCTATGTGCCTGCAGGACAAGCACCCGTCCCTGCACCCGTTCCCGCTCCTCCAGTCCCTGCCGCTCCTATTGTTCCTTGTCACCCGGGCTACGTTACGGGACCGGTGCCGGTGCTTGTATCGTATGGTCTGCCCGACTCGTTGTCGTCGTATCCTGCGCAGCCCTGGCAGTATGCACCTATGAAACGCAGTCTCGACCAACATGTCCTGCCCGTCTCTGTAAACTCCTCGTCGCCTCTCCTCTATCCTATGGCCAAACGAAGGCGCTGGGCGCCGTAATCGCTCTTGTAAACACATTGTACACGTAGTACGTATGCACATACACACACACACTCTCTCTCTCTCTCTCTCTCTCTCTCTTCTATTGTTTTATTTTTGCGTTTGCAATTCCCAACCGTTTATGGCTCTACTGCGTTTCTTCGTTCTTTTGTACATACCAACTATAACGCTTGTAAATGGGCGTATGCACGAAGATATGTTATGAGTAATCAATCTATTTTAACTAGTCTGGCGAGAAGAATGGTGTGAGGAGAGCTCTAAAGAGAGTAATAAGTTGTAGAAACTGTTACAAGCTGTTAGTAGTTAGTATTGTCGCGGATACCAATTCATCTTAATCGTCTGGAGGACATGGGACATAATATACCTTTCCATACAGATTACTTTCCATACAGACTACTCCCCCTTTGCTCCACCTCGCCTCCTCAACCGACTCTTCCTCGTAGTTCAGTAGTACAGACGTCGTACTCCTTGTCGTACTCCTTGTCGTCCACCACCATGCACCTAATACTCACTGGTTCGAATTTCGCAGCGGACAAATTTATCAATAATCACAGCTTCTCTTAACTAAAAACAGGTTTCTGGAAAAAAGTCGACAATTCCTATTCTCCTTCTAAGAAAACGGCTTCATGAGTGCAAAGGAATCCTCTACCATCTCTATCTCTGATTACTTCACGCTAGAACGGCGCATGATCGATTTTTTCAAGTCTCAGGAAACACGAGAAACATTCTCGGCGTCCAAGGAGCTGACGGCACTTCGAAATGAAATACATAGAATTATTGAAAAGATATCAACTCTTCCGCTTTCTGACATGACGATTGCCGAAAAAGAAATGGCCATTACGATTTTGGAGCGTAGAAATCATTCCAAACGCAATATCCTCTCATTCCTTCACCAAGATCAAGAAGCCAAGGACGAGAAGATGGAAGGTTAAGAATGAGAGAGGGTTGGATGAGGTGGATCGGATTAGATTGGACTGAGCTGCAATGGAACAAGACAAGCTGTTATGAAATGAAAGTTCAAGTTTACTTGTAAAAAACATGCACACGCACACACACACGCACACACACTCTCTCTCCCTCTGTCCCTCTGTCCCGACCCTACATGTTCTTGTCGTCCATACATAACAGTTTATTTTTCTTCATATGACAATGGGAATGAAAATGATTGCAGAGTTTCCGGTTTTCAGAAATGGTGTCCTTTGGGAGGAAAAAAAGTCTATGATCATATGCGGCACTTTGAGACCTATAGGGGGTATACATGTAACCATAACATTCCGTCTTTACTTCTTTCGCCGAGCATACCAAATGCCGACCGTCACTGCAAGTACAGTGGCCGCCGTGGCCAGTGCTGGGATTTGCCAGCGTACTGCCTGTGTCTCTAGTTTCTTCTCAACAGGTGCGTGTAGTGGATGAGTACTTTCCACAACGGATGGAGCACCGACGCTAGATGGAACGGCATTCACCTCCGATACCGCTTTCCTGTCGCTCAGATTGCTTACGACTGTGGCAGCAGCAGCTAAGCTGCCGCGAATTTCGACTCTGGTAAAACCGTGTCGCTTGGAAAGAATAATTGCTTCCCGGAAATCATCATCGCTGGTCAACTCTACATGGTCCCCTTCGTCGTCCAGGTACGTCAGTACGAGTTGGGCAGAATCAAGACCCTCTCGCTGTGCTGCAGCGGCGCAGAGTCCACGATAATTTCCAAGGTCGTCAAGTCGCATTCTGTGCACTCTGCCTGAGGTGGAACGGTACTTGACAGTCATGGGCATGTGCTGCCATGAAGGCATGTACTTCACTTGGGATGCTGAATCCGTTGGTTGGATTAAATCTTGTAGCGAGTCTCCGTGGAAGGATGAGTTGGCGGGTAGGGACGATTCAGCAGGAAGAGACATAACAACTGAAACAGCTGGCTCATTCAATTGAATTGCACTGAGTGCTGTAGGATTTTGTGAACCGTTTTCCCCGACGACGAGTTCCTGCGCGTTCATCAACCGGGGAGTTGCTGCAAGTTGTGGATCATTGTCATACATAGCATTTTCTGCTTCAACAGCTTTCAAATTTTCCGGTGTGAGTGCGTTCTCATCGTGATCCTTGTCACCGTTCGGTTCTTGATCGGCCACGATGGCCTGTGCAAGCTGGGTGATGTTGAGTAGCCCCACAATGCCGTCGTTCTCATCTATCACGGGAAGATTGTTGAAACCACCTTCCAACATCCGTTCCAGCGCCGTGCTGATGTGTAACGAAACCAACGCACAGTCTGGATGAGGAGTCATGATCCGAATGACGGAGCATTTGCTCGGGTCAAGTCCAGCTGCTACCACCCGAAGAACAATGTCATGTGAAGTAAAGATTCCCGACACAAGTCCTTGGTCCATGACAAGGACGGCGTTTGCTTCGGCTTGAGCCATAAGCTGCGACGCTTCAAGCACGCTGGTGCGGACACCGACTAGAACCGGCTCAAACAAAACGTCTTCCAACAAGGCTCCAACCTCACGACCAGCGGCTTTCTGTCGAAGAGACTCGACGTATTCAACAAATTCCGAGGCATGAGCCGAGCCTGAGAGAGACGAGCCGTCCAGTTCGTCGTGAGCTCCTGCGAGAGCCTCCATAAGTTTAGCAGCAGCATCCTCCTGTCGCTTTACACGACTCAGTGGTTCATGAAGACACGAACAAATATCCAAAATGCCCAAGACATCACCGTCTTCACAGCCTTCGTCGGTTCCGTCGCTCACAACCGGCAGGTAAATGCGATCATGTTCGAGCATGAGAGCCAGAGCATCGGCAAACTGTGTGTCGCTTGTAATACAAATTGGGCCTTCTGTCATGAAACTCTCAACCGTCGAGCCTCGAGGATCAAATCCTCCTCCCACACACTTCCTTGACACATCTAGCGACGTAATAATTCCTGTCAACTGTTGAGCTTCATCAACGACCAATAAGCATTCTTCACGCTTAGCTGCCATCAATTGGCATGCTTCTGAGACAAGCGTGTGCGTCTGAACTGTCAGAGCGGGAGCTAAAGACGCAGATGCTACAGTTGTAGGATCACTATGACTCCGAACATTTCGTTTTGGAGGGTCCAGATGGCTCATTTTTTTGTTCAGTTCTGTAGCAATTTTCTTTCTAAGAGCTTCGTCCTTTCGATTTTGTCTTTTACGCGTCTCTGATAGCGTGGACTGGGCATCTGACGGTTCATTCATTACTGAGGCGGAAAGCACAGAACCGCTATGGCTGATTGGGTAGTTCATGCAGAATACGCAACAGAGCTGAAAACAGACTCAAGACGAAACGTTGACAGCTTCGTTGAAAGTGTTCTAGTTCTGTCTCACAATATGTAGTTAACGCAGGTGGTAGAGTTTCTTACTATTTCGCTGTAACACAGTAAAGGGGGCGGAAGATGAGGAGTATGGAAGGAAAACACAATTCGTCGTCGCCCTTCACTTTATGATTGTGTACTGTATGTTGTAACAGCATGCTACGATAGGATATACAATAATACAATAGGAATTACAATAAGATGCACACACCTTTCCACTTGTAGTTGAGAGAAATTTATGTTTCATTACCTAAACCTGTGAAGCACAATTTGCAGTACTTCTGTGAACCATTACGCGGTACATACATAAGAGTTCCTGATGTGCAGAGCAATAGTCATAGAGAGACGATACGACCAGCTTTAGACATCACATCGCCTTGACCAAATCATTCACAGCAGAGAAGCCATACCATTATGTTTTCGTGAAACCGAATCCCGGTGCTGCGAAACGCCATAACATACCCGTAGGCGATATCAAAATTTGCAAGTAGCCACTAGCATAGTTTAGTTCTTACGGACATCAGCCATGTGGTTCAAAGCACTTCCAGCCTTGAACCATTCAATTTGATCCTGGTTAAAGGTGTGGTTCAAGGTAGTCGTCCATGCGGCAGAACCGTCGGCAGGGTGAACCTTAAGGGTCAAAGGCTTGCCGGGAGCAAAGTCAGTGAGACCCAAGATGTCAACCTTGTCGTTGTAGTTAATCTTGTCGTAAGCAGAAGGATCAGCAAAGGTGAGAGGCAAGAGACCTTGCTTCTTCAAGTTGGTCTCGTGGATACGGGCAAACGACTTGGTGATAATGGCAGTGCCACCCAAGTAACGGGGCTCCAAAGCAGCATGCTCACGAGAAGAACCCTCACCAAGGTTTTCCTCACCAATGGTAACCCAACGAATGCCGTGGTCGCGGTAGTAAAGAGCAACCTCGGGAACGGAAGCGTAATCACCGGTCTCCAAGTTCTTCAACTTGTTGGCCTCGCCGTTCTCAGAGTTGATGGCACCAATCATATAGTTGTTGGAGATGTTTTGCAGATGACCACGGTACTTCAACCAGGGACCAGCGGCAGAAATGTGATCGGTAGTACACTTGCCCTTGGCCTTGATGAGGATGCGCATGCCAGTGGCATCCTTGCCGTCCCATCTGCTAAAGGGCTTCAAGCGTTGGAGACGGTTCGACTGAGGGTCAATAACGACATCCTTAGCCGAAGCAGGATCAGGCTTAACGTATGTGTTGGCACCGGCATCGTAACCCTTGGAAGGAAGACCCTCACCAGAGGGAGGCTCAAACTTGAAGTCATTGCCATTGGCATCCTTCAAAGTATCGGTAAGAGGGTTGAAACGCATGTCACCAGCGAACACCATGGCAGTAACAATGTCAGGGGAAGTAACGAAAGCATGAGTAGCGGGATTGGCATCGTTACGGCCAGTGAAGTTACGGTTGTAAGAAGTAACAATGGAGTTCTTCTCACCCTTCTTCACATCGGTACGCTTCCATTGACCAATACAGGGACCACAGGCATTGGCAAGAACAATACCACCGGCCTTGCTCATGGTCTCCAATTGACCATCACGAGCCAAGGTAGCACGCACTTGTTCGGAACCAGGAGTGATAGTGAAGATAGACTTGGCCTTGATGCCCTTGTCCAAAGCTTGTTGGCAAATGGAAGCGGCACGAGTCATATCCTCGTAGGAAGAGTTTGTGCAGGAACCGATCAGACCGACCTTGAGCTCAGCGGGCCAATCGTTCTTCTTCACGGCATCCTTAAACTTGGAGACGGGAGTTGCCAAGTCAGGAGTGAAGGGACCGTTCAGGTGAGGCTCCAATTCGTCCAAGTTAATCTCGACAACCTCGTCATAGTGAGCATCGCCGTCAGCAGCAAAGACACTGCCATATTGCTCGGCAAGCGTGGCAATGGGGCCACGGTTCGTTGCCCGCAAGTATTGCGACATACGCTTGTTGAAGGGGAAGATGGAAGTTGTAGCACCAATTTCGGCACCCATGTTGCAAATAGTAGCCATACCTGTGCATGAAAGAGATTCAACACCAGGACCAAAGTATTCAACAATGGCACCAGTACCACCCTTCACGGTAAGAATACCGGCAACCTTAAGAATAACATCCTTAGGAGCAGTCCAGCCGTTAAGCTTGCCCGTCAACTTCACACCAATCGTCTTGGGGCATTTCAACTCCCAAGGCAAATCAGCCATGACATCGACAGCGTCAGCTCCACCGACACCGATGGCAACTTGGCCCAGACCACCGGCATTGGGCGTGTGGGAATCAGTACCGATAAGCAGACTGTAAGGGAAGGCGTAGTTCTCGAGAATAATTTGATGGATAATACCGGAACCAGGACGCCAGAAGCCAATGTTGTACTTGGCACAAGCGGACGACAAAAAGTCGTAAACCTCCTTGTTTGTGGTCTCAGCGCGAGCCAAGTCCTTTTTGCCGCCGGAAAAGGCCTCAATTAAATGATCGCAATGAACTGTCGTAGGGACAGCAACCTCAGGCATTCCGGCGGACATGAACTGAAGAATAGCCATCTGGGCCGTGGCATCTTGGCAAGCGACACGGTCAGGACGAAGACGAAGGTACGAGACACCACGTTCGATGTCTTGATTTTTAGGATCGTCCAAATGACTGTAAAGAATCTTTTCGGAGTATGTCAAAGGTCTGTTAAGACGCTTCTTGACAATGTCCAAGTTTTGTTTTAGCCGTTCATAGTTGATGAAACTGTTCTACAAAGTTGTTAACGACAACTCCTCAAAGTTTTTCATTTTCAGCAAAACCAAAGACGCAATCCACACGTACCTGTTCCAAATTATTCATACGAACGCGCTGAGTGTTGGCTTCTGAAGCAAAACAACGAAGCGACTTTCTCCCGGAAAGAGCCTAGAGTCAGCTGTTAGCCAATCTCCATCCAGCCATTACGACCATTAGTGACTCGAAGAGAAAACGGCGTCAAACGTTGATCCCAGCGAAAAAAGAGCCGAAAACGCATTCAACGGCACGAAGTCCATTTCCTTGACATAGTCCCGTGTCGTCAAAACAAAATTTACATACCAATTGAGCGTGGAAGCTCAGCTAAACATCGTTGTTAGTGAATATTCCAAGACAAACAAAGCTAAAAATAAACTAAGACAAACGTACTCTTCCGGGAATAGCAGGGATCCTCGTCAACAACATCTTATTGAGCACAAATTAAATTTGTCTTGTGCTGCCCAGTATTTGCCAGAGGAGAGGTTCTGGTGAAGCTGTGTTCAAAGTGTCTGTAGTTTATCGGTTTACGGTGGTGGTGACACGCTCGCTTTAATACGGTAAATTCGGACAAACCCGATTGGTTGAAGGGGTGCGCTCAAATTTATGACGTATCGCAATCTACGGCATGCCGACGGTGAGTAATCGCCCAGGAACACTAGGCGACAAGAGATGGACTAGCAAGGAGCAGGCCTGCAGCGGGCCTGACTGCGTGTATATTCCGTTAGACTAATACTACAAGAGGCTTTGGGGCTGAATTCCGTTACCAGGCAGTTACTAGCAGTTGCAGAATGTTCTTGCTGCCGAATTGGTCATTATTGAGAAAGGCAATAATACAGGAGGTTTCAAGCACCGGAACGTATGACAGAGATGTTGCGTTCGCAAAACCGAGATGTAGTCTGAGGTTATCCTGAACACGGGTTGGACGGCGACGCAGCTTGCAAAATGTTTGTTACAGTTTTAGATAACAGAACGCGTGTAGATAAAAGCCGCTTTTTCAACATCCTCGTCGCTGCTGCAAGATATTGCGATTACTGTCGCTATTGTCGCTTATTGGGAAGCACTGATCAGATGTAACGAACGCACATGCAGAAATGAAGATGAGAGTGAATAACCTTTTGTCGTACTCTGACGCACAACACTGCTAAACATGTTCGCAGCTTTCGTTAATACACACTGGTGCATTGGTCCTGAGTGGCTGCACAAATCACCAAGTGCGACATTAGAGGGAGACGGCTCCTCGGTAAACGTGTTGCTTAATCGCTGGTCGATATCTAACACAATCGCATGTGCGATAAACGAATTATCCCTAGCGCGAAGTTACGGGTTAGTTCAGCACCTCCCTAACATACCGCAGCAGCGCCAGGAGATCGACCTTGTGCTCAGATGATCTGTAACACTGGTTGATCGGCACTTCATCAATTCGTGATTAAAGGTAGTTGTCGCAATTTCAAGGGAATAATAGCCAATGCATTTTCACTCATTGCAAGAGCCGCGAGCTTCGCTTGGTTTTGCAGGGGGTGCTTCACTCAGTCGCAATTCTTGTTTTCCGCAACGGCTCAGTGGTCAGCTCTCACGTTGTCGTGTAAACACAACTCCATTTAGAATTATTTATTTTGCGGTCACGTTTACTAGACAGTCTTTCGCTTGCGTTCCGTCTAATGGTATAATAATATACAATGTTGTCTTGAGAGAGCTTTTAAAAGTAGCTTTTTTTAACACGATGTGCGTATATGTGTGTCCTAGTAGTAATAAAACAAAATAAGTGTGCCTATCTGTCAACAGTAGACATTTGAGAACCATTAATAGTCCAATTCACATCAGGTGGTTGGAATAGACGGAACCCACTGAGGAAGTCAAGGTCAAGGTTTTCTGTAAGTCGTTTGGCCATTACTGCAGGGACAATAAGTAGTGACAAGAAAACGAAGAGGATAATCATAAACAAAACAAAATAGCGCTGCACTATGCGTTTCCGAAGTCTGCTTTGTCTTAATGAATAAATGGGAGGGCGAATTTGTCGACTCGGACGGAGCCAAAATAGCATCATAGAGTGCCACCGATCGATGAATGGAATGCACAGAATTGGGAACATCATAAACATCAACACATGGCCTAGAAAGAAATCTGACGCAAACATGTTGAGCTCCACAATTTTGCAGACAAACTCACGTAGCGGTTGAGAAAGAGCGTGAAAGCCGAGACCTTGAGAGTACCATTTTCCAGTCCACCAACCTAAATTGGCTCCATCGTGCTTGAGCTCTCTTGTAAGAAAAACGCTTTGAAGAATTTTAAAGAAGAACCGCTGAATAGCTGTAATGGCAATGATACCTAGGGTAGTTTTTGCCAAGCACCATGATTCCATAAACCACAAGACTTCAAATGTGACAATAAAAATCATAATGGAAATAGCGTGAGCAATTGCTGCAAGAACGGATCCAAACTTTTTGCAACAGATTCCCAGCACTGGTCCCAAACAGCAAGCCGTCGCAGCAAATCCGGCGGAGACAGCACCCCCAATTACAATAGGGGCAAAAGCAAGAATAAGAATGCGTGCCAAAGAGTTTGTGGCTTCATCTGCATTTGGGTTGCCTGGCTGCGAATTGATAAATATATACGGCATCACGGTTATAATAATTAGGAGAAATGGAATGAATATCTCAAACAAGAACATGTTTGTGAAATGGGCCTTTGGGGTATCCATGGATATTTTGTCTGATGGCTGACCAATAAGTTTTCGTTTGTATCCTGTAATTCGAGTTCTCGAGAGTCTACAGTAGCCAATCCATGAATTAGCATGAGATTTGGAATTACCTCTAGACAGCCAGCGGATAAACTCACGGTAATCAACAAAAAAGTCCGTCCAAGAAAATTGATGTGGATTAAATACAAACGGGCTCACACACATTGCAATAGTTGAGATCCAAAAGTAAACCAAATGAGGTACCCACATTGTCATACTTCCAAACAGGAGCATTGTCAATGTCCGAAATCCCAGATAAATAGACGGGCCAGCGAAACGCGAGAAAAGCAAGTAGAAGGGTAGTCTTGCAGTAGCGAATCCTCTACCTGTGCCAATGTATCTGGCACCGCCGAAGGATAAATTGGCAATGACGGATTGTCCATAAATTTGGCAGGTGAAGACTTCGAAAATGGGTGAAAACGAAGCAAAATGCTTGGCAAGTCTGCTAACTGCTCGCCATGCACCACGCTCGGTTAACTCTTGAACGGTCAAAGGAACGAATGAAATGAAAAAAACGATAAAAATAGAAAGGATGCAACGCTTTACCCAGTCAAGAACTGGCTTCAGGTTGTAACAACCGGGAGGCATTAACGGAACGGTAAGTTTTTGGTTATGGTCATAGTCGCAAACAGTAACAACATGGTACATTGCTCCAAGATTTATAATAACAAGCATGAACAATTGTACAGAGAACATAATGAACATGTTGTTGATATGAAAGCCAGGATGTGCGTAGTAAAATGAGAGAAATCTATCCACGGGAAGTTGAGTTCCAAGATAATAGTATTCTCGGGACAGCATTTGCTCACCCATTCCAGTACCAATTTTAGTTGTAAAGTTTAGAATCGATCCAAAACCCAAATCTCTTCCCTTTCCACATTGATAGTATTCACAATGTTTAATCCGACCGCCCCTCTGCAAAGCGGTCATACCGGCATAAATATCTTCATTAACATGAAGACCTTTTTGTGCTTTTGAAACACCACCTCTGGTAGTCATAAAAACGGCATTAAGAAAATCAGGATGTCCATAATGAAGCTTTCCACCGATTTGGGCAAGAGTACGGGCGAACAAAGTTCCAAATGTCTGTTCTTTTCCAGCAGCCACATCACCAAGAATGCCGATGTTCTCAGAAAAGATGTACTCTCTGGCACCAAGAATTGCAACAGGATTGTAGTCGGATTTCGAAGGTAAAGCCAGAAAAGGACTAATCTCGTCAGTTTCCATTTCCTCGAACTCGGCAAGGATACTTCTGATCTTCAAGCATTCTTCAAGATAATTATCCTGGTTTGCGTCAACCAGTTGAATGTACTCTCCGCGAAAAAATGGAAGCGCCATATTTTGGTTGTCAGACTTTCCATCACCAAGGATGGGATTTCCCGAAAGTCGAATTCTGTATTTTGGTTTCCGTCTTCCATTTTCCATAATTTCGGAATAACCATCAATGAGGGCGGCATAAAGTCTTGGCTCACCTCCTTCTTCCAAAGGTGGATCTTCGTCCAGATAAGCAATAAGTAAATCGGGATAAGCGCGAAGAATAAACTCGGTGTTTTCATACTCTTCTTTGTTGAACTTAGCATATCTTTGCATCGAAACGCACATCTTAAACTTTCTTCGTGACATTCTTTGAAGTTCCGCGTCCAAATGTTCCATATCACCCTGAAACATTTGAACGACTTCGGGATTCTCAACACGATAAAGTAATTTAATCGCCCTGGAATAATTCATAAATCCGCTAATTGTACGATACAAAGTTTGACTGCGCAACGAAGCCCAAATTCTTGTTCGCAAAGTGTATTCAGGAGTAGCATTCTTGAAACCAATACAGTAATATGGTAAATCATCAATTTTGTCTTTCAGCGGGTCGCTTGTGGCATTCAATGGGCCGTCTTCATAAGCAGCGTTCTCCTCAGCGAGAATTTTTGTATCCTTAACAAAGTTATCCCATTCGTTAGCATGAAGTTGCTTCAAGTATTCTAACAAGGTAACTCTGGATAATTTGTCTTGCTCGCGGATGATCTCCTTCAAAGATAACAATATCTTTTCACCGTAATGGGGCACCAATACTGTAAACGTTGGCATTTCGTCCACGGGTACGGGCTCTGGTATAGGGGTTGCCAATGATTGAGCAAAAAAGGATAGACGCCTTTCTGCTTCTGAGTGAACTGGGAAATACTCCGTCTTGAAAGACTGGTCCTCCTGAGAGACAAAAAAGGTCGGCGCTTTCAATGATCTGGTTCCGTCACCGACTTCAGATGCAACTTGATGGTACAAAAGGCGCTGAACGTGCTCAATTGAGAGAAGATGTTCGCGGTATAAGGAAATCACGATCGCATTCCAAACTTGGGAAACAAGCATTTTTGGTTTATATTTCACCTCCATTTCCGAGGTTGCTAGAATTTTGCTATAGATACGCTTTGGCATCCGCGCAAAGATATTTCGCCATGGAGTCCAGATGGAGATTCCGAGAAAGAAAGAACGAGAAACGGAAAAGATGGTGTTAACCAAAATGTACCAAAGGTATGTGTCTAGGAAGAACAAGACCAAGTCTGTGACGTACATGATGGCCAAAATGAATTTAGGTTGATACATACATAATGAAGAACCAGTGATATAGTCATTACAGTAATAGGGTTTCATCGTACTCAAAACGAGAATTGGGTCTCGAAAAGACAGAGACAGAAAGAAGTAAGATTCAGCGAATTTAGCACCAAAGACGAGTAGCCAAAGTCCCCATGAGACAAACATGTCATTCGTTTGCAATGGCGCATAGTTAGCAGTAAAGTACCGATTTGCTAAAAAGCGTCGAGAGTTTTTCTTCACTTTAGGCGTAAACAAGGAGCCAAGAGGCACGGTAGAAAACCATACGAAGATAAAAAGGGAAAATAAGAAATGAAGAATTGAGATAGTCAATCTTAAGGGAGTCCTTTTTTGCTCTTCTGTTGAAAACCCAAAGATGAAGACTGCCGGAGCTAGGTTCAATAAAAGAATTATAGTAAGGCAGATGAATCGTTTTGTGAGTGGTTTTGCGCCGGGAAAGCTTCTCGGTACATGAAGCCATTCAAAAAGTGTTGCTAAAAGCATAAGAATTGTAGCAACAACACCTCCTAATGCCACTGAGGACCATTGTGCTGCAGGAGCAGGACGAGGCCCAAGAGCTTGATGATGCTCGGCCTCAACAAATGTGGGGGAATTGAATACGGTGTAGTACCAGTATGTTGTAAAATGAATGACCCATATTCTGTTGAAATCAGTGATTAGGTGGAACCAGGAACGGCTCTCGTAAAAGCTCTTACAGAAAACATCTTTCCAAACAACCTCGTGCAGGCGGTGGAAACGTTGCTCTCGTGGAAGGTCAATTAAGCGAGTACCATCACTTAAGGTTATTCGGGCGATACCTTGAGCATACCAAAAGAAGTGATTAATGTCGTCATAGCCGATAAGTTGCGCATGGTCCCTTTCGCGTCGCACGTATTTACCGCCAATAATTTCAAATTGTTGGTCGTGCATAAACAAATACAGTGGAGTAATTGCATTATCAAGATAATCACCTTCTTTGCGCTCATTTCCAGGAGTTTTGTATTCCTCTGATTCCATGTAGTCATTTGCCAGTTTGAAGATAAAACAAAGACATTCGGGGACAAAGCGCACATTATTCGCTTCACCCCAGCATAAAAGATACAGCGCAAGTTGCCGGACTTGTGTTTCTGGTCGCATTTGAAGCATGCGCGCGTTCCAATTAGCTTCGGCGTCATCCAAAGGAAAGCTGTGAATCCCTTCATCCAGTATACTTTCCTCCTGCATTTTCTTTTTCTTCGTTTTATCTTTTTTTTCACGTACCTTCTTTTTGGAAATCTTACAATTCTTCAGGCCGACGCTGTCCTCCACGTCCATATGCGCAGCGAAGTACCATTTTCTGTAGTTTGCACATGGACCGCTAATGTAATCGGCATGCAAGCGCGTAAGCGCCATAGAGGGCGACATTCTTGAAGCCCGTGAATCCAAAAGAACCATTAAAAAATCATAGATGTTTGAAACTGAATCATGCTGAAACCCGAATTTTTTTTCAAACTCTTCGAAGATTAACTTAATCTCCTCTTTTGTGATAGGGACTTCGTTTTCCTCAGTCCAGGCCGGATATGGCTCTCTTTCTATTAGACCAGCAGGTTGATCATACTCAGACTCGTAAGCTCTTCCGTCGTCTTGATTCGAGTATTCCGAGTAGTTGGTCTGATCTTCGTTCCATGCTTGAGGAATGGCGGACCCGTCAGCATTCATTCCCGAGCCCGACTCGTAGTTCGCATAGTCATGTGGGATTTGTTTCCTACCAATTCCTTCCGAGATGCTCTGTTGAGTGTAATCCGTATAATAGTCATCGACTGACTGTGCCACAGACGACTCACCGGTGTATCCAACAGGAACGGCGTCTGCGTAGTCCACTCCAAGCTGATTACCCCCATTTAAATCCATGTTTTCGTAATTAAAATACGCACCATCTATGTCGTCTCTCGGCGAGAATGCGTCACCATCAACGATGTGGTTGTCCAATTCATCTGCACCGAGGAAGTCGGGATAGTCCATTTCTAGACTTTCCTCTTCGTCCGGTCCTTCATTGTCCTGTCCCCTAAAGAAGGCCGGCATATTAAACCTGAAAGTGTTAGTAATCTCGAAATGAAAGACAAGCAGTGAAACTCGATTGGCTAAGGAAAGAAGTTTAAAGAGTTTAAGCCCTTCTGAATGATTGTTTCGTAATACGGTTCACTGTATTGACTAACGAACCTTTCGTCCGAATGATGATGAATATACTTTCCAAACAAAAAGCTTCAATTGGAATATATGTCCAAGAATAACAATTATTAAAGACAATTGAACTAAGAAATAGAATACGTAAAATAAAAAATCCTAATTGCAATTGGTAAGAGGTAATATGCGTTCGATCTTACTACTTTAGAAGCTGCTACTTATACTTAACCTTAAGTACATTATAAACATACAACATTATGCTAGTTGGTAATATATTAACATCAATTGATCCTATTTATTGTATCTAATTAGTCATTTCTTTCTGTCATGCATTGTTTCTTTCGCTTCTCATCCGTACGATTTGTTTACATTGCAAGTAACAAAAGGTGACACGCGTATAATGAACAAATGAAATTATATAGAAAAAAATGTAAATAGGCAAAGGTAAGTTCATTGAAAAATGCAGTTTGTCTGCCTTGTCTAGAGATAAACGCTGTTTGTGCGAAATAAAGTTTGCGACAAAAATATGATTTGCTGAGAAGAAGACAATTAGCATTCAAGTCCGGTACCCAGTAAGAACGGATTCGTTTAAAAGAATGACACAGATTGGAGAAAGAAAAGTAGCTTAGTTAATCAATTCATGCTACAGAATAGTTTATTCGGTTTCTGGTGATCATTAAATACGAATTGATTTTCCATTAAGCGTTAGTATTTCTTGTGAAACTAACAAAATAGAATAAAAAAAAAACAATAAATTAAAATAACCACAAAAATCAATTAATTCGTAATAAATACAAATATGTTCACTGAAATTGAAGAAATCACTCGACCAAAAAAATATATAAATATATATGAAATATGCAAGTGATAACATTAAACAAGAAAAGAAAAAATAAAAAAAATAAAAACAAAAATAAAAATAAAAAAACAGATTTGTATAGATTAAAAAGCAAAGAGAGTACAAACAGAAAAATAAAATAAATCAAAAAGCAGAACCGGAAACAAAAAAAAAACAATAATAATTATTTAATTAACTGGAAAACAACAATAACAACAAGAACAAACCGACATTACTAACTCTTACTACCACTTTGCACCGTATTCCGACCGCTGTACCCCACTACGTACTGGGTCATATGCATCACATAATATAATCCTTAGCATCTAATATGGTCATTTCTCTTTTGATTTTTACTCTACCTTATATCCATGGACTCTATACTCACTAGTATTGCCATCGAATCAGAACTATAATCACTTAATGTAGTGGAATTTCAAACACATTATAACATCATACATACGGAGATGAGGTTACCGAAATCCATGGCAAACCATATTCGGACTCAAAGCCTCTTTAGTGGCCCCTCCAGTATCTGCCCTATCTTTCGATACATCACGTAGGAAGTATTAAGTAAAGTCGCGGTACTGACCTTCCTCCGTTACAGCCTGGTCACTCTCTCCCTCCGTATCTAGCTATAACATCGTTTTATTAACAACAACTCTACAACAATGCCTAAGGAAACTTTAGATGCTGTTGTAGGCCAACCTGAACGGAAATTTCGAAAGCCTCGAATATATCGTTGGATATTCTCAGCTGTCGTTGGCGTTTTTTTGTTCATCACTAGTCACTATGATTTTTCAAATAATCAAACGGATGTGGCTTCTGTAGAGGATAATGGTCTTGACGGACATCACCGTAACCCTTTATTCGAGTTGGAAAAAGAAACTTCAGACTTTTTGGATGAATTAGATGTTCCTGAAGACAACGAGTACGTTGAAAGATCCCGTGGATACGACGATGTTTGTATGCAACCAATTGCTCGTAATCCTAAGAGAGAGGCTTTTATCGGTAATGTTTCCACGTTGGATATTATAGCCAGCGACTCTTTTCGTAATGATTCCCTTGAACGGTTTAAGCAGGTCTTAAATGTTCCCTCGGTTTCTTACGACGATATGGGCCCTGTGGATGAGGATCCTCGTTGGAAAATCTTTAGTGTCTTGGAAGAGAAGCTGCGTTCGCTTTTCCCTACTACATTTGGTCATATTAAATTCGAACGTGTTGCCGGACACGGCTTCCTTTTCACCTGGGAGGGCAGCGATTCGTCTCTCAAGCCTATTGTTTTCATGGCCCACCAGGACGTCGTGCCCGTAGCAGAAAGCTCACTGAATCTTTGGCTCTATCCTCCATTCAATGCTACTTACCACGACGGAAATGTCTATGCACGCGGTGCCGTGGACGACAAAAGTTCGCTGGTTGCCATCTTTGAAACTTTCGAGTTGTTGGCAAAGTCGAACTGGACGCCGAAGCGCACTGTCATTGCTTCTATCGGTTTTGACGAGGAGATTTCGGGCTTTTATAGTGCCAAGTATTTAGCTGATCGCTTGTATTCACGCTATGGCCCTAACGGAGTTGAGCTCATTCTCGATGAAGGCGGATTTATGCTTGATTTCTTTGGCAAACGCTATGTTGCCGTTTCCGTCTCCGAAAAGGGTTATGTCGATGTTGAGCTTTCGTTGAAGACTGCTGGCGGTCACTCCTCAGTCCCTCCTGCACGGACAAACATTGAGCTTATGAGTGAACTTATCCTTGAACAAGGCCAATTCCATCCCAACCTCATTAAAGAGAGTCCTTTCTTCGCTTCTCTTCAATGCTTTGCCAAGTACAGTCCCAAGATGCACCCGAAGCTGCGTCATTTGATCAAGAAGGGCGATGTGCATCGTCTCAGCCGGGTACTTTCTCGCTCAGCCATGTTCCGCTACTTCTTTACGACTTCGAAGGCTGTCGATGTCATAAAGGGTGGTGTCAAGGCAAACGCCTTGCCTGAGCAGACCGTTGCTCTGGTCAACCATCGCATTGCCCATGGCAACTCAATTGCTGATGTAAAGAAGTTCTATAAGAGAACGCTTGTCACTTTCGCCAAACACCATCACCTTATTCTTGATCTTTTTAACGAAACCTTGCACGAACCGAAGAAGCCTCTTGGCTACCTCTCGGCGTCTATGATCAAGCCTTTAGAGCCAGCACCTATTTCTCCTTACGGTCCCGATGCGAAGGCTTTCCACACTTTGGGAGCTGCCATTAAACACACCTTCGGCAATGAAAGTATCGTTGTTCCTACCTTGATGCCTGCAAACACCGACACCCGTCACTACTGGAATGTCAGTGAGAACATCTTCCGCTGGACACCTGTAAACCGTGATATGGGTCGTAAGCTCGGCAATGCTCACACCGTTAACGAATACATTCCTTATGACGGTCATATGGACTCAATTAACTTCTTCCACGAGTTGATTCGTATTTACGATGAAGCTTAATTTGCAATTTATTTCGCTGTTTAGTTTTACTTTTGTTTTGCTACCACTTTGATAGTCGGAGCGTTTTGTTGTTTTTTTTTTTATTATTTTTATTTTTTTGATATAATCCTTTTAAAATCATTCATTATCTTAATGGTTGTAATTATCCAATTTCTAACGAAGTACTAACTGTCATCGGTCTCCTCATCCTTCAGAAAAAAAAGGAGAAGTATGCTTTCAGCATGCTTACTTTCACCCCGAAACCACTTATTCATAGCTCGGTTTTCATCAAGAATAGCTGCCGCTACTAAATGGACTAATTCTGCTGAAAAAATAAAATTTGAAGATCATCGTTCAATTGCTGCAAGACAAAAATTATTCACAATAAACCATTTAAGTCCTGGATCCATTTATTTTCTTCCTCATGGTACTCGAATTATTAATAGTATCACTAACTTTTTGAGAACACAATATGAAGTTCTTGGTTTTAAAGAAGTTATAACACCGTTAATTTACAAGCCTGAACTTTGGAAACGGAGCGGTCATCTTTCAAAGTACAAAGAAAATATGTTTTTTGTTACAAGCGAACACAATTCTGAAGATCAGAAAGACTCTTCGTCATTTGGACTAAAGCCCATGAACTGTCCGGCTCACTGTCTACTCTTTGCAGAAGAGGAGCGTTCCTACAAAGAACTCCCACTCCGGTTTGCCGACTTCAGTACTCTTCATCGCTATGAAGCTTCAGGTGCACTGTCTGGCCTGACCCGATTGCGTTCTTTTCATCAAGACGATGGTCATATTTTTTGTCGTCGTGATCAAGTTTATGCGGAAATTCAAAAGGACTTGCTGTTCATTAAAAAGTTCTATGCACTTTTCCATATGAATGACTTAACATTTCACCTATCGACTAGACCTACCGACTATATTGGTGAAGCAGATCAATGGGATCATGCCGAACGCATCTTAGAAAAAGTTTTAACTGAAAGTGGCATGAACTGGAAGAGAAAGGTAGGTGATGGTGCTTTTTACGGGCCGAAAATTGATGTTCATGTGCGCGACACATACGGGCGAAGCCAACAAACAGCGACTATCCAGCTGGATTTTCAATTGCCAAAACGGTTTCAACTCCGGTTTCGGACAGAACATGGTGATAATCGTTTGCTGCAGCAATATGAATGTCCCGTTCTAATACACCGTGCTGTTTTGGGTTCTTTGGAACGATTTCTTGGAATTCTAATTGAACATCTTAATGGCAAATGGCCTTTCTGGATTAGCCCACGACATGCGATTATTCTCACTCTCAATCAAAATCAAGATGTCATGGCATATGCCAAAGAAGTTCAGAAGACATTAAGTTTGAACAACCGGAGTTTTCAGGCGGGTCTTCTTCCTTTGAACACTTTCGTGTTTCACGTTGATCTCGATTGCAATGCTGCACCTTTAGGCAGACGATTAAACGAAGCAAGAAAACTAGACTACAACTATGAAATTGTAATCGGAACAAAGGAGACAGAAAACCATACTCTTGCCGTTTCTGAGCGAGGATCTAATGCAAATCGGAGAATGATCATGACGCCAGAGCTTTTGAGAGAAATGTTTGAAAACAGAATGCAGTCTCTTTCATGAAACATGCGTTAAACTGTAGTCAAAGTCAACGAATGCCATTTACGAATTATGTTAATGAGATGCCTATTTTTTTAATGGCCTATTTTGAAAGTTCATTAGAGACGGAGTAAGATGTTTTTGATTAATCCATGCCTTCACAGGCTGCTTGACTGAGTAGCCCGACAATTAAATCTGAGCACCGTAGGGAATCGTCGTTAGCGGGAATAGGATATGTGACCAATCTTGGGTCAACGTTTGTGTCGACAATTCCGATTGTCGGCACACTAACACGTTGTGCTTCTTTGCACACGTTAATATTTTCGAGAGGATTCAGGATTACAATTAAGTCCGGATAAAGAAAAGATGGCGTTGGTGCTCTTACTTCTTTTCCGTCTTGATCGACCGTTTTTAAGCTTCCTCCTAAGGTTGGCTGTACAGTTTTGGCATTGGTAAGCAGACCAGGAACCCACCGATTGAATATAAAATAGCCATTGCATCGTTTTGCAGCCGCCATGACCGATAACTTCTGTCCCGGCTTCGTCCCTACAAACAGAATAATACCCTTTGTCCGGGCAACTTCTTGTATCACATTAATTGCACGGCGAAGAAAAACAAGTGTTTTATCGAGAGATATTATGTGTATGCCGTTCCTAATACCATAGATAAATGGTTGATTCATGGGATTCCATAACGAGGTGGCATGTCCTAAATGAGCCTGAGCAGCAAGTAGTGCAGCTATTGAGACATCTCTCGGTTTTGGAGGAGACCGTATCGCCAAAGATGGAGAATAGAATGGAGAGACCTTGGAACCAACCTTGTTAAAGACATCACGAAGTTTGAATCTTCTTTTCGTAAGTTGTTCCAACGACAGTTTTGGTGCACTCATTTTTTAATACAAATACAAAACATGTAGACATAAGATTTAATAGTTTATACGTTGAACACCTCTTTTTCGTCAAATCCCTTTTTATAAACGTTATTCCCTTTGTGCACGTTTGGGTATGAACGATATCGTTTGGAAGACAGAATTAAATACGTTGGTTTCCGAGTATTTACGAAACCACTGAGAACAATAGCACTCTTTAGGAGACCAAACCCTCCAAAAAATGCTCACAAGGACTTACAACTCCCGTAACCTTTTTCTTTTTCTTGTAGTCGTGGATGCCATAAGACACGCAGTACTCACCCACCTTTCCTTTGCCTTCTTCCAATTGAATTATGGCCGTCGGAAAACGCAAATCAAGAGCTCCCCAGCTCCCTAAAAGCCTTCTAGATGAGTTAAATGTTGATGGTAAGTGGTTACACGATGATTTTCAATGGTACAGCTTTTATTAACAAGCAAAGTCTCAAGCGCAAATTCGCGGTCAAAAAAGCAAAGAACCGGTTCTAAGGACCGCTTTCAAGGAAGAAAAAATAGAACGACTGGATACTTTAAACGCGAACATAGTCAAAATGTTGAAGACGAAGAAAGTGAAATGGTTTTAGAGAAGAAACCTTCAAAAAGCCATTCTAAAGGAAAATCGTCTAAAGAACAGAAAAAAGCACCTCTTCCACATTCAGTACTTGCTGCGTTAGAAGACGATGACAAGGAGATTGCTTTTTGGGAGAAAAAACTTGGCGTGTCTGGTACGGCAAAATCTTCCAAGGTTGATCCAGAGTTTGGTTGGATTCTTGAAGACCTCGGAGCCGATGCTAGCGATTCCTTAGACATGCTAGAAGAAGATATGGATGTTGGAGATGAAGAGGACGTTGTTTCTCCAGAATCAAGTGACGAAGGCTCTGAAGCTCTCACGTCCGATTCTGAATTTGAAGGATTTTCAAACAATGAATCTGAAGATGAAGTGGATGAGAGTCAGTCCAAGACAAAAGATGCAACCACGGGTGAAACCTCGCAGGTCACAAGCACTCGTATTGATCCGTTGAAGCCGGCTGTCCCTGCCGCACAAACGGCAAGCTATGTGCCTCCTTTCTTGCGAAAGAAGGCCGAACAGGCCTCAAGTGAGTCAGAAGAGCAAATTCGTTTACGAAGAAAATTACAGGGTTTTCTGAACAGACTTTCTTCTACAAATATGGGAAGCATCATTGGCGAGATTGAGGGTGTTTATCGAGAAAACCCTCGTCATCTCGTCACGGATACGTTAACAAAACTTCTGCTCCAGACCATCGCCTCTCGCGAGTCCATGCTGGACCAATTGGTTATCGTCTATGCCGCTCTTGGCACAGCTTTGTACCGCGTAATCGGCATCGAATTTGGTGCTCACCTTCTCCAGTCGCTTGTTGAACGTTTCTTGAACCTGTACCGTGAAAACGGACAACGCGGTACGACAAGCAATAAGGGTGCCTCTAATTTGAGTGTACTCATTGTGGAACTTTACAACTTTCAACTTATATCTTGCGTACTCATTTATGATCTTGTTCGCTTGTTCTTAAAGGAGTTGAACGACAACGACGTTGAACTTCTGCTCAAAATTTTGAGAAATTGTGGACATCAACTGCGCAGTGATGATCCGCACGCGTTGCAGGACATCATTAATGAAGTGCAAAATGTGGTTTCTAAGAAAGACCCTGCAACTGTTTCGGTGCGCACGAAATTCATGGTAGAAACCATCATCAACATTAAATCAAACAAAGCCAAGGTGTCTGCTGAAAATGCACGACTAAACAACGAGTCTGTCAATCAACTGAAAAAGTTCTTGTCGTCGCTTAACAACCGTAGCCTTCGTGCGACAGAACCTCTTCGAGTGAGTCTTGACGACATTGAAAACGTTGAAACCAAAGGAAAATGGTGGCTCGTTGGTGCATCATGGAAGACCATTGACAACACGAAGGAGACACAACTCGCTGTGGAAAGTTACCGGGAGAAGGTCCGCAAGGAGGAGGCGATTGCTCAGTCAAAGCTTCTCCAGAAAGCTCGTAAGCTTCGTCTGAACACAGACGTCCGCAGAAACATTTTTATTGCATTGATGGGAGCGGAGGTTTGTTAAAAAATTGTTTTTTTTTACGGGCTTTAAGCTAACAAGAAATAGGACTACATGGATGCGTGGGACCGCATTGAAAAGCTGAACCTAAAGAATGCCCAGCAACCAGAGATTGCTTACGTGCTTATGCACTGTGTTGGGAGTGAATCTTCTTATAACCCTTTCTACAGTTTAGTAGCCTTGCGTTTCTGTTTGCGCCGTCACAACTTAAAAAAGTCGTTCCAGTTTGCGTTGTGGGATTTCTTCAACGAATTACAGTCTGACGAAGAGAACGATACGCCGTCGTTAAAGCGGGTTGTCAATCTTGCCCGCTTTTTCGCCGCACTTACTCTCGAGCAAGGCCAACCATTGACAATTCTGAAAAAGGTCGACTTCATGGTTGCCGGCTCTGAAATGCGAACATTCCTCATTGTTTATCTCAACGACATCCTTGTTAACACCAAGTCTGATATTGATCTTATTAAGCTACTGGAGGTTCTTACTAACGAAAAGGCACTTGCAAGCAAGCTCGAATGGTTCTTGAAGAAGCATGTACGGCATAACCCTCTTGTAAGCTCAAAGGACAAGAAAAAATTGGAAGCAAATTTGGCCATGGCCAGAGCTGCGCTACAAAGCATGGCACAGGACAGCTAAGCAGTGCATGAACTTTCTTATGTACTAAAATTTTTGGGGTATTGGGTATGTACAGTATGTACGAGAAAATATAATCATAACCGTTATATATATTTATGCTACGAAGGAGACGAAAGGTGAGGAACAAAGGGGGAGAACGACTTGGTAAATTACATAGTTTTCGTACAAGCGCAGCTGAATCCCAAACGACATATTCACAAGCATCACACTGTGTTTGAGACGACTCATACTTCTGCTCTTTCCTCACTTGCTTTTTTGTTCACTGCAGTCGGCTTTCCGTCGCGTACCCACTCTTCGCGTGACGTCATGCCTGTCGCTCAGTGCTTTCTAGTGTCGCAAGAGTCGAATTATCTAACGTGTGATTGGAGGATGCGGTGCTCATTCGGGCTTACATCATCGGGGAAAAACTTAAACCGTAAACCAGCGAACGCAGAGTTTACCCTCTCCCAACACCCTCTTCAAGCACCGTAAACGTGAACATTGCTATATTTCACGGGTAACTTTGTACTTTTATCCAGGTTTTGATATTTTTTGAAGTTTGTTTTACACGGAGAAAGCCCTCGGGACATACATTTTGGCTGTTGAAACAATATTATTTTCCGCATCAAGTCATGACTTCCCACCAGACAGGACCCATTGAAGCTCATTGGAACGACCCTTCTTCCGTTATTTTCGTTAACGCGCCCGCTGGAAATGGGACAAAGAAAACAAAAAGGCCGAAACGTCCTGTAATGAACTGGAACGGAAGTGTCGCGCAACCTCCTGCAAACGGAACCGTGAATAACTGTACTCTAGACAAAACTATAGACACTGGAAGCGTGCCTGCCGCATCTCTTCCCCCGTTAACGACAATCCAAGCAAACACGGTTGACACAGCCGTAACATCAGCCCTGTCAACTACCAGTAGCCCGGACTCTGTCCAACAAAACGTCAAGCAGGTTCTTTCTGCTGCAACAAAACTTCCGGCCTCCATGCACTCAATGCTTGTGACGCGTGTGAACACGAGTTTGCTGGTACCCGAAACATTGTCCAAGCTAAACGTTCATGACTTTGCTCTTCTAGACAACGTCTGCTCCAACGCCCTTAGTGGAAACACGACTGAGGCCAAAAGCCAGCTCGTGCGCATTATGTGCGCAGGCGTCATGGAGAACTACGTTCGCTGGTGCCCTTCACTGCGTCAGCTTGTTGAAAACCTTGCTTAACTCGGAGACCGTACTCCATGCAGAGGAGGGTCTTTACAATTCTCTGTTAAAAAAAGCTATGTGCAAATCGATTTTCGTTGATTGGACCTAACGGCTCTGTTGCCTCACGTGGCTTCCTTCTCTGTTCTTCTACTTTCATTTTATCTATTTCCCCACAGTCGTGTGCTGCCTATGTCTTGCTCTTCTTGCTTCTATGTGTTCGTGATCACTATCTACAGCCTTTGTCGCCTTGGCACATGCTCCCCTTAGGACGTTTCCTGGCACATTCTTTTTTCCCAACACGTTTCTTTGTTCCTCAAGCTTGCTCTTGGAGCAATTTACATCCTTCCACCTTCCTGGTATTTGTCCTCCGCGTCGTTCCAGTTGTTTCTGTCTCTGTTTCCGTCGTTCGCCTCCTTTTTTCCGTTTCCCCTATCGGTTCCCCTCATATATACTCGTTCAGTCATCTCATCCGGAAAACTCAAAACGAAAAATACAAACATTTACGAGGAAATAACCCCTTCCAAGCCTCAAAATCAGCTTCCTTCACCTCGGAAACAACAACCTTCAAAGCCTCCCATCTACGGTCCTCGGCATTTCTTAAACACATGCAAAACCACATGCGTTTCCACAAATGAGCCTGCTTTCCCTACGGATTCCACTCAGTCTCAACTACCGCCCCTACGTATGGGTATTTTTTGAGCGTGGCTATGTAGCTCGTTAGGGCTTGCGAACACTACCGAGGGAAGCGCAGCAAAGCGAATAAGCGAGACGGATTTCCAACTTGCTTGGCTCCGTCGTCAGCTATGTGCGAACACGCCCGAGACCCTTGCCAACAACAGAAACGGTCTACTTTGCTTGATTTTCGGGGAAACGTTGGCAAACTGGATCAATTCAAACGTTTACGACACGATGAACGTTAATAGTTCAAAAGGAGTGAACATTCCTCTGATTCACTTTGTACGAGCAGTTCACGATGAGTGACGAGGAGCAAAGCTAACCAATTTTGCTGATAGGACGTGAACTATGATTTTTCAGAGCCAAGAGATCTTCCTCGGCTTCCGGGAAGCACGAAGCTGCATCGTACAAGCAATGTGCGACGGAAATCCGGTCATTCTCGAAACTGCTCTATGTCGTCAACATTATCATCATTCACGGCGGACGATGAGGTAAGGTCTGGGACAACGACGACATCGTCGTCGTCGACGAACTTGGAACCTCCTTCAGCATTTCCTCAAGAACGTCTTGGTAGAAGTTCAAATATGTTTGTTCAGCATCGGCGTTACACGTCCGACGGAGCTTTTGACTTGAGTGGTTCTCTGTATCGATCACCCGTTTCGGCAGCCATTCCAGCCGAACAGTTGCAGCAAAGTCCGAGTTATGAGACCGACGCAAAGGATCCTTCTTCAACGACTACCAATTCCTCGTACAATACGGCTGAACCCCTAACAAGCAGTACGCCTCCGCCAGACAAGCTAATGGCGACTAATACAACTCGCTCACCGCGAATCGCTGAACCCGTTCCCGCTCGCCCCACCAACATGAAGCTTTCCCGAGCTGCTAGCATGATGTCGGCCGTGGGTCGCTCTCCGTTTCAAACATCTCGATTCCGACAGCGTCCTCAGTCTGCATATTACCACACGCATACTCGCATCTCCTCCTGTGTTACACATCCACCTCCTTCTTTTCTCGCCGATGAAGTCGACAACTCGTTGATGACACCGAACGCGAGAGCAGGGCCTTTGCGTCCTTATTCCGACGAAATTGGAACCCATTCTAGTCAATCTTTTTCTGACGAAACGACCCGTTTTTTTAATGACAGAACAGATTCAGACGAAGTCCGGAAAAAACGTCAGCGCAGACGCGCAAACCTTATTAAGGAACTGATTACTACGGAGGCAGCCTACTTGAGTGACTTGAACGCTGTTGATGAGTGCTACAAAAGCCGTGTCCCGCTTTGTTCCGCGCTAAACAGCATCGAGACTAGTGTAGTTTTCCAAGACTTGGATTCCCTGATTGCATTCACAGTCGTGTTCTACAATAGCCTTCTCGTCCATGGACAAGGTGCATGGGCAGTCAGTGCTACTGGCGAGTTGGATCCTCAGCCGTGTGACATTGGCCTTGTGTTTTTAGAGTACATAACCGATATCAACCTCCTGTACTCGCGAATCTGTAGTCGTCAAGACGCCATGTTTCGTATCATAAAAAAATGGCGCGAGAGGCCAGAAATTTCGCAGTGGATTTCTGAAGGTGACAAAATTGCACAAAAAAAGACAAACGCTTGGGATTTGGGCAGCTTGTTAATTAAACCGCTGCAGCGTTTAATGAAGTATCCTTTATTGTTAAAAAAAATCATCGATGTCACGGCTGAAGACAGCCCTGAACGTCCTAATCTTCTTGCAGCTTTTCGCGCGCTCCAAGAAACTGTTTCACAAATTAATCAGCGCCAGCGCCCTTCCCACAAACGTGGTTCTTTAAGCACCTCCTCTGCATTTTCCAAACGTGACCTTTCCTGGCACAACCTTTACAAGCCTGCATCTGCGCGTTCTCGTACGAATCTGGCTAAACATGACCAAGAGCTAGATCCGCAAAAAGACATTTTGCGAGCTTTGCGCGTAAAGTTCCTCAGTATTCGTACATTGCAAGCCACCTTCGTAAACTGGGTTGCTGAACTGAAACAGCAAATCCTTACTTTAGCTGGAACCTTGAGCAACTTTGAGCAACTTAGCACTCTCAATGGAAGCGAAGAGGCACCCATTGCTTGGCGCCGGTTACGACTTCACGCAGATATAATGGCAAGTGGTGCAGTGCCACAACTGAAGAATACGCTGTGTACGACTGTTACAGAGCCATTGACAAAGCTCTTGCAGAATATCGGAAAGCTGTCTGCCTACATTTCGGTCTCTGCTACCCCTTTCCCACTCGAACCACTGCAAAAGACTGTCGAATTAATCGACAGAAGCTACGAGCGCATTGTTGGTGCGTTCATCTCGGCACTCCGAGACTTTTATGCAACCTGGTTTGAAGGGTTGTCTCTTCTCGTTACGGTTGCAACTCCAGATGCAGATGTAACTGTTGTGGAAAATGTAAACAATGTCCACGAAATTGCTCTTGCCTTTGAGCCTAAGCACTACGAGATGGATGTTCAGGTCCAGAAAATAGTTCATCTGCTGAAGGAGGCCTAACTTTATGATGATTTTTATGTTTCGATCAATCTTGTTTTCTAACTAAGCTCCAACAGCCCAAACTTTCGTCTCTCTTTCTCCTTTTATTTTTGGTTTAGGAATTCGCCGTGTACCTTTCTTACCTCTGTCTGATCTACACGCAACTCATCCACTCTTTCTCTCGTTTCATTTTCTTTTCTATTGTTACTACTACTTACCAAACCAAACCACCTTCAGTTTTCTCCTACTTTATATTTTTAAGACTTATTTGAGTGATGAAGCAATTTTTATACAAAACTCGCAGACTTGCGGTTATGAATGATGCTAATAATTAATTACTTTCGTCTGAACTCGGATGGGGTAGAGGAGTGCAGTTGATGTGCTACTGCCGGTTTTCGTAGACATCACGGGTAATAGAGTTTTAGCCGTAACAGTAACTTTCGTTTCGCGAATCCGAAGCCGACGGTTCCGGGTTCTGTGCTCAGAGTGTGTCTGAACAAAGTCATATAGATCATCGTCGTCCTCACAAACCAAACTCAATCCTTTCTACTCAGCGGCAGCCGCGGCAATCGCTCGGCGATTTCTCACTGCCTCTGCCAGGTCTTTCAAAACTGAAACCGTGTCGTCCCAGCCAATGCAAGCATCAGTGATACTGACACCATACTTTAAACCACTAGGTCCCTCAGGCGGCAAAGATTGCTTGCCTTCGTTTAGGTGAGACTCAATCATGACGCCTGTGATGCCCACATCGCCGGCACCAACTTGCTCGGCAATTGATGCCGCAACCTTCGGCTGATTTCTGTGGTCTTTGTTGGAATTTCCATGCGAGCAATCGATCATGATGCTGGGCCGAAGTGAGGCACCCTGCATGGCTTCTTTAGCCTTTTTTACCGACTCAGCATCATAGTTCGTGCCATTCTTTCCGCCTCGCAAAATAATGTGCAAGTCGGGATTGCCGGTCGTTGTAACAATAGCCACGACGCCTTGCTTGGTGACGGACAAAAAGTGGTGAGGACATTTGGATGCCCCGATGGCATCAATTGCAATCCCAACGTTGCCATCAGTAGCGTTTTTGAAGCCGACAGGGAACGACAGACCAGAGGCAAGTTCGCGATGCAGTTGAGACTCCGTGGTACGAGCACCAATAGCGCCCCAGCAGATCAGATCAGAAAAGTATTGAGGACTAATGGTATCAAGCATTTCACTAGCAATGCCAATGCCAGCACTCAAAAGTTCGAGGTACAGTGATCGAGCAACGCGAATACCCTTGTTGATCTTGTATGAGCCATCCAAGTCTGGATCATTCACCAAACCTTTCCAGCCGACTGTAGTACGAGGTTTTTCCAAGTAACCACGCATGATGATATGCAAATCTCGCTTATGTTTTTCCGCCTCAGCACGCAACAACGTAGCATACTCCTTGGCAGACTTCGCGTCGTGCAATGAACAAGGGCCAATAATGACTAGCAGTCTATCATCACGACCAGCAATAATGTCTGAAGCTTGCTGACGCTGACTAGCAACGAAATCCAGCAATTCTTCCGAGACCGGCAAGTCAGCTTGGATTAATGCTGGTGAAATGACAGGGTCGTAACCCTTGATACGAACATCTTCAGAATGCTTTCCAGGTGCTTCACTGTTTCCAGGGAACAAAGGCACGTGTTGGTCCATTTTGTTAAATATCAGTATTGCGCTGCAACAATAAAGGCAAGATATGTGTTGCACAAAAGCAATTGTTTCCACTGAATTTAGTGTGAAATTTTCTTTCAGTAATAAATGTCGCTGATAACGAAGATCAGGAGCAAGTGGTAATAATTGTTTCGATAATGTCACGCTGATGCAGCAATTATCTAATACAGCATTTAAGGGCGAAACATGAAACAAATACCAGCAGTGAACCCATGCGTGATTGTTCTAGGATTAGAAACATGATGGGAAGGAACAAAGCGTCGCTGTAACCAAAAAAAAAATGAGGCGGCGAAAAAACCGTACAAAGGGGGCGTCAAGTCGACCAAAAGAAAGATGCGTCGAAATTGTCCCTTCACAACGAATGGGGGCTTACTTGCATCTTTTTTCAATCAAGGTCGCCTTGTCGTTGATGTTTTCTTCATATTCTGCCTTGGAAACCCAGAGCTGGTGAAACGTTCCTAGACTAGCAAGAATAGAACCTCCCAACCATGAAGCACATGTGCGCTCCACCGAGTGGCCAGAGGCATGTATTTTTAAACGGCTGCCGGGGTAAAGTTTTGTGAGTTCGTTTTGTAGACGTAGTGTAAAACCTTGCATCAGACTCGTTCCTCCGCATACGACAATGTTGCTCAGCATCGTCGTCCGAAGATCCACATCGCAGGCCGAAATACTGTTCCGAACTAGCAGACCAAGTCCAACAGTCCTGCCAGAAATATCCTCGTCGGCAGCGTTGTTTTGTTGATCAGTTCCGCCCTTAGAGTCTTTTCCTGTATTTTTGTCTTTCGCAGAATCCCGTTCATCGTCCTCCTTATACTCATCATCATCATCGCCGTCTGCTGCCGGAGCTGTGTCAACTTCCATGGCGTCTTCTTCGTCACCCTTTCCGTCCGTTTTCTCTTCTTCGACGTTTGGCGAATTTGGGGTATCGACGGTAAATAACCGTTCAGGTATTTCGTAGCGTTCAGCACCAAATGAGATACTCTTGCCATCAGGGAACTGAAACACACGCTCCTCGACAGCAACGTCGCGTGTGAATGGCTGAGAGGTACACACCTGAGCACATTCCTCCTTCCAGGCCTCGTACACACGTTGAACTTGCAAAGCATGAAAAGAGTCTGTCGTCGTACGCTCTTGCAAATCAAATTTCGGGGGCTCGCCCACAGGTACAACCTGCTTATTTTTAACAAGGTATGTAGGCACGACTGTGTATGGAATACTGTTTAAATACTCCTCGAGAGCAATGTTCAAACTAGCACCAGCAAGGTCCTGAACCCGATAGCCTGCCTGTAACACGAATCCATCGAGGACAGGTGCTACTGTAGTCCGTTCAGCACCAACATCTATGACACACGCGGTACCTTTTCCGTTCGAGAACGCAGCACAGACCTCCTGTTTGGCCAAATAGGCAGCAGGAGCACCGAGAACATCAAAAATGAGTTCTAGCGTTTTCTGTCTTTTTTCTGGCGGATTGTTGAATGGTTCCGTCACGAGAATAGGATGCTCAGAAGGATCATCAACCTGCAAAACTTGCTCTAGTCCATATTCCCAGAGTTCGAGCATCGCGTCCCAATCCTCAATCCAACCATTCTTCATAGGATTCTTGATTTCTAACTGTTGTTGAGGACGAAAAATATGATTCTCTCCAAAATAACGCTTTCCCTCAGCGTTCACACCGTAAAATGTCGGCAAAACACATCTTGGGGTGTCTTCGCCGGCAAATCCAATTCGCGTCCATCTGCTTCCAGTGTCAATCACCAGAGCCGAAATCTCATCTCCACCGTAAATCGCACTCGACATTCTCAGAATCCGAACTGGTAGCTTCCACTGACCAGTTTCTCGTTTTCAATGACACAGAGGGGTGTTGGTAGAGGAATGGTGTCCGTCCACGGTTCCCTAAACTCTAATTCGCATTGAGCGCGACTCATGACGTCACGCGCTTTAAATGTAGTCGCGTCGCACAGAAAGACGAAAAGCTGGGCGAGACATGAAAAAGCAAAAATGAGTATGGTATGCTGTGGAACGGGAAATGGAAGGGAACATATGAGAATTACAGAATTCATTAGTCGTTTTGCAGCTCAACCGCCATACAGTTCTCTCTCCATTTACTTTCTTTCCACACAGCTTTATAATCCCCTCCCAGCGTCCTCCGATATTAATAACTGTATTATCTCTTCATTCAAAAAAACGAATAATTGAATCCCTTCAGAACGCTTATACAAAAGAACCTTTTCTTGGCGCTCTCAAAACCTAAAACCTAAAACTTTTTTTCAGAGTCATCTAGCCAACAAGCAAAAATCGAAGGCGTTCTATCATCTTCGACGACTACAGCCTGTTCGCAACTGTACGTGTTTGCGTGTGTATGTATGTGTGTGTGTTTATATCATGCGCAAGACACTTTACTTAACTTCAAGCATCATCTTAATGTTCATTGCTGCAAGCTCGGCAGTCAAGTAATTGAACACACTAGGCAAGGCAATAAGAGTTGTGTTAGCACCTCCAACAAAACGTTGCCCCAGGCCATCTTCCCAAGTTTCGCTCAGGTCTTCCAAACCAGTAGCAGGCTTTGCGCAGCTTCGACAACGGACTTCAGTGCTGTTTGCGGCTCCGGAAACATTGACGGTAGACAAGGGAGAAATGATAGAGCCACAGTCGCGACAGACCCAGCTTTGAGCATAGTCAGAGCAGTTCATCAAACGATCCTGCATCAAGAACGAAGCACCATGACCAATAACAGCATCACGTTCCATTTCACCGAAACGAATACCACCAGCACGCTTACGACCCTTCACAGGTTGACGAGTCAGGTTGTGAATAGGACCCGTGGTACGGACTTGGAATTTGTCACTGACCATGTGACGAAGACGTTGGTAATAAACGACACCAATGTAAATGTCTGCATGCAGCTCCTTACCCGTGATACCACTGTACATGGGCTCATTGCCATGATAGTTGTAACCGGCCTTCACCAACTGCTCGCCAAAGTAATCGGCGGCAGTTTGCGTCTCAGAGAAAACAAAAGGCGTACTGTCTTGAGCCATACCGTGGAGAGCTCCAGCCTTACCGGCCAAACTTTCGATAAACATACCGATAGTCATACGCGAAGGGAAAGCGTGAGGATTAATAATAATATCGGGTTGAATACCGCTCTCGGTGAAAGGCATATCGACAGTGGGCCACTTTTGGGAACAAATACCCTTTTGACCGTGACGCGAAGAGAACTTATCACCAATAATAGGACTACGAGTGTTACGGAACTTGATGTGAAGAACTTGACACTCGCTATCACCAACATCGTTACCGAGCACACGAACCTCATCGACGAAGCCCGGCTCCGTACCGTGATAGGTTTGAACAAAGTTGTGACCAGTAGACTCATCATAGTAAGCGGCGATAGGTTCACCGTCCTCCACCTTGGTTCCAATGTATGGCAAACCATCCATATCCAGCTTCTCGAGCCATTCACGGCGAGGAGTGGAGCCGGGAGCAAAACCGAAGTGATGAACGACGGGCTCACCCCGGCGACGCTTTTCAGAAAGATCAATCTTTTGACTCTTGTACACGGTACCATAACCGAAACCACGCTCGTGAGCAGATTTGTTGAGAATCATGGCATCCTCCATATCGTAACCAGTATACGAAATGACAGCGACAACAGCGTTCATACCGTTAGGATAGTGATCCAAACCGTACGAGTCGTGCAGGCGGGGACGAACGATGGGAGTTTGTCCGGTTTGCAGGCGGTACATCTTGTTATCGGTACGGTAGCGGATTGCAGTACCAGGGGTACCCATGGTTTGTTTACCCATTTGACATTGGTACATGTTACGGGGGGATTGGTTGAAGTCGGAGAAGGGAGTCATGTTGGCAACGATAGACAGCACGTTGGTAGGGGAATACTCAACATGAGTCGTAATTTTGGGGACAATTTCACGAGGGAAACAAGCAATGTCCATGTACACTTGCTCGAAAGGACCCACATTGTCGAGCTTGCCGGTGGCAAGATACTTCACGGGACGGACCATACGAGCCTGTTCACTGAAAAGGAACAGACCGGGGAATTGACCACCGTGAGAAGGAGGCACCAGACCAATTTCAAGGGAAAGAGGAACCAAAGGCGTCTTACCGTCACTGGCCAAGTCACCTCTGACCTTCATTTGACGCAGCACGGCAGCGACGTGCTTTGCAAGCTTGTGCGTACACCAACCCACAATCTTACCGTCAAGCTGCACACTCACCCAGTCTGGGTTAGCAACAACGGCCGTTGGGGGATCAACACCGAGAGAGAGTAACAGGGCAGGAATGTTGGAAACGTCAATGGGGCTCGTGACAATTTCACATTTGCTGGCAAGATGGTTCAGCAAACCGCAAGGAGAACCATCAGGAGTGTGAACGGGACACAAGAAACCCCAAGCCTCGGGAAGCAGCTTACGCACAGAGGTAGTCTTCAATTCGGCGAAGAAAGCACCACGATGCACCATTCGGAAATGCGACAAGAAACGGTAAAAGTTAAGCTTCTCAGCAACGACTGTGTAACCCGTGGCTTGTTGCAGATCAAGACCAGTGTTACTGACCAGATTACCCGTACTCAAGAAGTACTGCAGTCTAGTACCGATGTCACTGTTGACCTTAGAGAACACTCGAGAGAGGTATTTTTTGTCGGAGAAGTCGATACCGGCAGCACCGCGACGGACGTCCTGTTGGATTTGAGCACGGATAGAAGTGAGCCAGTCATCGATCTTTTCCTTAATAATTTGAGCAAACAAGAAACCGCCCAAAAGGATTTCTTGATGCTGGGGGGAATCAGGGTTATCGGCGCAGCATTCACCGGCCACGAGAGCGTACAGCTTGCGGATCATGAAGAGCAGCATGCGGAACTTGTCACGATTGTCGGGGAGGTTGACGAGAACGACACGTCTGAGCAAAGTGCGTCCGACCTCCACGTCGGTCAAGTCCTCAGCCAGTCCAAGCACGACACGGAACTTAGAACCAAGGTACTGCAGCGATTGAGTCTGTGTGCTGAGACCGTACGACTTGTATGCACGCAACATCAACTCGACACGGTCCGTGAGGAATGTGTTCTCGGTCTCTTGACCCACGATTCCCTCGAAAATTTCCTTGTCACTCGTCTCAATGAGAGCCTTGAGAATCATCATCGAAGGGATAAGATACTCGTTTTTACGCCAATGGAAACGGAACATGGCGACACCGTTGCTGAGGTAGTGCAACGTGTTCGTCAGACTCGACTGGTCTGGACGCACACAGCGGATGGAGATACCGTACTGTGTGTACATAGTACCACGGTTACCAAACGAGGGACGAATAAGAGCGACGGGGTGGTTGCGTTTGGGCAGAATAAGCATACGCACAATTTTTTCGATACCGTTTACGACAAAGTAACCACCCATTTCCTCACTTTCTTCCTTATGGGCAATAAGCTCAGCAGGGCTCAAACCTTCCAAATGGCATCGGTTTGAGCGTACCATGATAGGCAAGTTGCCCACCTCACGCATCTCACTCTGCCATGGGCCGTCGTTCACTCTCCACGAGAATTTGAGCACCATACGCGCCTTGTATGTGCACAAACGTTCACGACATTCAGACGGGAAAATTTTCCGATTAATCGATGTCCGTTCGCGGCTCGAAAGCATTGGTTTTGCAATCTGAACCTCGTCCACACGAAAAGTCATCCTGTTACCGAAGCTCATAGAACCATCTTCGTTCTGAGTAACCGAGTCAAACACGGTTTTTTCGCCAATGTCCTTGACAGCCAGGTTCAGGAGTCCGCCCTCTGTGAGAGCATTGAAAGACTCCACATGAGGCTTCGTTGCCGCCTGCAGCAGCGGGAAACTGGACTTGTCCTTGGGCGGATTCTTGAAAATCCGTTCGCGTTCAAGGGTGTGGAAAGACATGCAAAGGAAGAAATTTTTGGCGTGGGTTTTGGTGTAGTGTTTGGATAGTGAGCCAGAGCGTTCAATAGCGGATTACTGTGGGATGCAGTATGCAGTAATTACAAAACACAACGAGCACTGTATGCAAGTCAACGCACTCTAGCACAGCACAGTAATTATGCAGCGTAGTACACAGAGACGCACCGCACCGCATCGAGCTGCACCAAACCACTCTGCATCTTTACCGCACTGTAACACACCCCACTGCACCGCACCGCACCCCACCGCAGTCAACAAGGAAATCATCATTGCTGTCTAGAGAAACAAAAGGTACAGATGGTGTAAGTAGTAACAAGAGGGAGGAGGGTCAGAGCCGGAGCTGGGGCCGACGCGGGAAACGAAAAAAGGACTCGGACATGGAGACGACAGGGTCAGCGGATCAGTAGTCGGACGGGCGGGGCCGCTCATAAAGGTGCTTCATGAAATGGTAGGTGGATATCATAATTGCGCACGAAGGGGCTACCTTGGCACAGCGAGGGAGCGTGCCGGTCCAGAGGGCTCGGACGCCGCCTCTGTTCCAGAGAATACGCAGGGCTTGGCCGCGGGACAGGTGTTGGCCGTGCACCTGGCGGGCCGTCTTCGATACGTCGAAGGGCTGTGTAAGCAAACTCGCACCGATTCCGGCGATTCCGCCGCTCATGAAGTTGATGTCGGGATCACCCGCCGAGTAACCAGGCGGAAGCAGCCTTAGACGAGGATGCTGGAGGAAAAAGGCTCGACACTGTTCATACGCCCACCAGTAAAACGCACTGAAAGGAACGTCGCGCCAAAGCGTCAGACTGACGCCGCTCCAAAGACTAAGGAAACCAAACTCACGAACGTTGTCACGCATGCCCGAGAATACGAGTCGGACAAGAGCTGCTCGAGCTGCTGCGGGAGTGTGGGCGGCACCAGGATGCAGCTGGTGATAGTGACTGCCGGCTGCTTGAATTCGCGTCCGAAACAACTCGATGGGTGAGACAATGGTAGCCGAAAAACAACGAGCAAATGCTCCTGCCACTGCTGCTGACGCTGGAACATTCCAGTCGGTCAGTCGAGGGAGGACAGTCTCATACCCAAGGAATTGCACAGTGTTTGCAGGCAGCAACATTGCTAACGAAGGCAGCACACCGCGCCAGAGACTGCCAATGCCTTCGTAACGCGCAATTTGCACAATTCCCGGAACGAAACCACGCAAAGGACGCGACGTAACGGCTACAGGAAGACCAACAGTCGCATTGCCCTTGACGCTGCTAGCGCCGCCGCGTGCCAGCTCCTGGATAACACTTTCACTTTGGATACGCGTCTTTACCACGTCCATTGGCGTCAGCACAAGCGTCGTTAGGCAGCTGCCAACGCATGCCGACATCATTTTGGCGCGTACGGTGACATTCGGCTCTGCGGCCACCGACAGCACCGGTCGTCTTGCATCAGCAGACGAAGAATGTGCCATGGATATTTCGGAGCTTTTTTACTTGGAAATTCTCACCGTGCGGTCCCAAGTCACAGAATTCCTGCTGACAGTTTTTTCAGTGGACCACATCAGAAGTGGTGCACCACATGAATCCCACATTAGTAATAGACCTCCACAAACACCCCACATTCCATGTGTGGGTTACAAGGATCCAAGGGAGTGGGAGGGAGTAGGTGTAGAGGCAGCGGAAGGAGCAGATGCAGATGCAGAAGCAGCGGCAGCGGTAGGAACAGCAGAAGCGTCTGGCAAAGGGACGTTGGTGGCCGGTGTAGCAGCAACGTCTGCGGTAACATGTGCGTCCCCTGCCTCCTGCATTGGGACGTCGTCTGCTGGGGGAGCAGCAGTCGGCAGATCATCCGGTTGCTGCTGCTGCTTTTCTTCGTTCGTAGTCGGCTGCGTGGTGTCTGCTGCCATTTCTATCTCAGAGAGCGTAGCTACCGGCCGGGCGATACAACGCTCCTCCAAGACAACTTTTTTGTTCACAAACTCTTCGACCTTTGTTTGCAGTTCTCGAAGTGCTTGTTCATCACGCACCTCGCCAACTGCCTTCAAATACGCCGTAAGCTCGTCCGCATGCTCGAGCTCAGCAAACTTTTCCTTTTGTCGTTCACGGTACTCGCTCAACTGCTCGTCCATCCGGGAACACATCTGCTCTAATTCCTCTGGGGTTTTCAGTTCGGCCCATAGGGAAGGCGGCTCAATGTCAGACGCTGCCTGCAGCGTAACGAGCACCTGCTCCATCCATTCATGGTGTCGAACGTAACGCGACAAGCTGATTTGCCGGGGAGTCAACACGTCCATCAAGTCGCCTTGTTCGACCTCGGCTTCTTCCATCGCTGCGGCAGTGGCAGCAGCCGCAGAAGCTGCCGGCGTTGCAGACGCCCGACGCATATTCATAGCAGCTACTGCAGCAGCAGCGGCTTGCTGCTGCTGCTGTTGGGGAGGTGTAGGTGTCGGTTGATGAGACGGATGATGGGGGTGAGGATGCTGCTGGGCCAAAGACGACATGGCTGCCGCATTCCGATCCATTCCAACCTGATGCGCAGCCTGAGCGGCATGAGCCTGCACTTGTGCCTGAACTTGCGCTTGTGCTTGCGCCTGGGCTTGAGCATGTGCCTGTGCTTGAGCCAATGCGACTTGTTTTGGGTCCACGAGTAAGAACGGTGGAGAAGCAATCACTGGTAACGGATACCGACGCAATTGAGGAGGACGAGAGGCGGCCAGCGTCGCCTTTACCACGTCGCTGTCCTTTCCACGAACATAGTGGTTAAGCCACATATGATCCAATCCTGTTCCCAGTAGCCGGTAACGCCGCCGGGTATGTAATGTTTGACTTTCCGTCAATGGAAAGAAGCCGTGTCGTGTTTCATGAACTTCTAACGTCTATAGACATATAATTGAGTCAGCCAAAAAAAACTCCGTAAAAACTCGTAAACATCCACACACACAAATTCGTTTTACCTTTCCATTCGCCTGGAGCTGGTACACCTTTTCAGGACTTAAAAAATGCATTCCATCTGGTGGACACGGCATAGTGGCCGGGTGCCATAGTAAGAAAATCGAACCGTCCGGTGGTTGATCAATGAGTGACCATGAGAACGGAATCTATGACAGGGAAAATGTTAGTTTCTGCTTTGAGAAACGCGTTTTCTGGCTACTCGTATTCCGTAGCCCCCGCAACACAAGTGGGTCACCCCCACACTCCACATTAGGCTGTTGGCAGCGATAGTCGTACCTGATGAATTGCTTGAGCAACTTTTGTGAGAATCTCTACGATCGCCGCTGCTGGAAGCTGCAACGTCGGAGGGTACTGAACGTTGGCTTTGCACCAAACCTGAGACCGAAACTCTGCCGGAATCGCGTTCAATGCATGCGACGCTGTGACGGAGGTCATGGTAGTTGCCAGCACTGCTGGGCATGTCGCGCTCCACTACACGCTTCGTCTTTTCGGAGTTCGGTGTCTATCGGAGAGGTTCGGTGAAGTACAACTATATCGTTCTCCGACTGAGTCGCTAAAAAATGCGGGAAACTTATTTGGCTTTCGTGGTTGGACAACAAAATTAAGCTTCCTGCACGTTTTGCTTCCCCACATACTTCCCTCTCACCACCAAAACATTTCGTCATTCTTGTGGGACACGTGATCACGTTAATGCTACTTTATCGTCATTCATTTGCATATCATTAAAGAAGGCCCGAAAGCACAGGCGGGTTCAGGCGGTTTTTGGTCAATTGTTAGGTGAGATCACAGGCAGAACATTACTGGCTTACTGTTTCAGCTTGTACGCTCCACCAGTAAACTCCAATTTCTCCTCCTTGATCATAAGCGCAAGGAATTCGCGCAATTCTGCTTGCGAACGCGTGTAGCCGTTGGGCGGCGGGACGAACATGGTAAGCATGTTGTGAATCCGCTCCAATTCCAGCGCTCCAAGGTTTGTCAGCATGCCGACAACAAATGACCTGTAAATGTGTTAGCCGAAGTCAAGAAATCCAAGGGACTGCTTGGATAATCACCATACCAGTAGATGCGCATTTCGTCTGCTGCAGTTTCGGTAGAGGACTGCACTGCAGAGACTTGTTCGGCTTCGTAATTGTCTTCCGTAACCGTCTCTTCCGTGTCTTTTTCGCGAACACGAAAATGGTTGGCATCAACCTGGGCAATCACTCTGTGATGCACCCAAAATGCCATGTGTTTGCGAACACGATCCTCGTTTTGCTCTATCACCTGCGCAGCACTTTCCACATCCAGTGTCTGTGAGTCTTGGAACAAACATAGAACGGCTGCCTGCTCGGGTGTCACCGTCATAGAAATTGTACGGTCTTCGAGTTCTACATCAATGTCGACGACGCCAAGATTTGGCAAAAAAACAAGCTCTCGTTTATTTTTTACCAAAGCAAATTCCTCGGCAAACATGTCTAATTGATGCTGGATAGGCCTGGGCAGTCGGAGTGGATGCACACTAAGCTTGGGCCAAAAGAGACGTGAGAGAATTGTTGCGTGAAAGTTGCTGGATACGTGTGCGCGACGATGAATAAGGGCATCAATTTCGTGTGATTGCTGAATGTCCTTAATCATAACAGTGCACATTTGCAACGAAGCATCACCCAGTCGTTGACGAAGTAACTCTAAATTAACGGCCTAGTAAGAACACTTTGTTAGTACGAAACACAACATGTTTCAAAAAGTCGCACTGTACCTCTTTTTTGGGCGCATAATTAGTAATGCGCAAAAGCCTATCGGCCAATAACAACTGCAATTCCTGTACAAACACCTCTTTGCTGTTAAAGATGGAGAGGAGCCTAGAGACAATGTCATTGTCACCATTCTTTTTGTAATCCGGTGCAGCATCGATGGGATCTGGCGTCCAGTTTAAATCGTCATAACGATCGCCATCGAACTCCAAGGTTGTTGAGTCTGTCCGAGCAAGCTCGGCAGCCAGCTCGCTGTCCTGGTCGACAAACATAGAGGTCATTAAACACTTGATCGTATCGTCTCGTTCCTTTAGGTATGCGCGGATGGATTTGGACACCCGATTGAGGAGAACACCAGAAGGCTCCAAATGCGTGAAGCATCTGATAGTTAAAATGTACAGGGAGATTAGGGATTTTGTGCTAGTGCTGGGAAGCAAGACATGGCGGTTGCAATCCTTGATAAATGTATCGACGAGGAAGCTACGTTGCTCCGTCAGCCGGAGTGTCATTCGAAGATCTTCTACGGCTCCGTGAGATCTAGGATACTTAAGCACGATAGCCAGCATGTCCTCCGAACGTATGTTCGCCAAGATGTCCAATGTAAGCTGATCGAGTTGCTGTAGCACTTTTGAGTTCGTGGAGCCAAATATGTGTTCCACGAGAGAGCCGATTTCTGAACGAACCCACTGAGTAACTGTGTGTACGATGGATTCCGTCCAGGCGACACCGAATTTTGTAAACACGATCTCCTTGATATGTCGCTTTAAAACACTGGAAAATGCTTCTCTGAGTGGACCCTCTAGTCCAATACTCCGCAATTTCTTACACAAATCAAAAAACAGTGATATGCGAGTCGCATCATCTGTGGAGTTTCGAGCCCATATGGTAATTGTCCGCTGCAAGTACGACCTGAGAAGCTTCTCAAATTGTTCGAATTTTAGATATTGTTTACACATACTTTGGAAGTATACGGGCATTCTGGCATGAATGAGAGCAACCTCCTCGGTCGTCAAGGGTTTCCGAATAAACGGAGAGCTGTGAGTGGAAGACGAAACGGGATCTTTTGCTAGGATGTCAATTCGCTCAACGTAGGCATTCCAAACAACAAACAGCTCGTCTACGAACTTGTGAAGCTGATCGTCACTTTTCAAGCTTAACGAAGCCAACGAAACACAAACGCTATCATTGAAATGTCGTCGAATTTGAAGAAAAAAGTAGTCCACCGGTGTAGCAGGCACAAGATGCAAGCTTGAACGCAGCGATTCGCGAGACGGTTTGTGTGTTGATGGAGATGCCATAAAAAAAAGAACACCTTCGAAGGATACCTACGGGCTGTAGCGTAAAACCCAATGCAAACGTATCTTGTGAACGCAAATTTTGCGTATTGTTTTGTCGTTTTTGCCGTGAGCACGGGCAATTCTGGTTTGTTTATGTTTTGTGAAGGCCGAAGACCGTTGTGTGTGGATCCTGCCTCGACTACTTTAAGGTTTTGGATGATCTACATTAGCGGTCAAATGATCGCTTAATCTGAAGCTAGTTTAAGCTTAATTATAGACCCAGTGGGATACTGCGGGATAATTGCGGGGTAAACAAGACGCGTGAAGGCTCTTCAGTGTTTATGTGTCAACTACCATTTACCATAATTTATGTGCCGTTAAGGAAACATCGCACGTTCCTTTCATGCTGCGCTTAGACAAACGAATTGCTCTTCTTCCACCATTGCAGTTATACAGGCGTATCCTACGAAGTCATCGACATTATTTACCAACAGAATTACGAGTTCTTGGTGACACTTATGTCAAAGCAGAATTCCATAGGCACCAAAAAATAACGAATCCACTTCATATTGTTGGATTCCTTTCAACCTGGCAGTCCTACTGTCAAGAAATTGAAGGCGAACACTGGAAAGACCAGAAGTTTAATAAGGAATTGCTTGAATCGTTAAATGAACAACAAATATCGCAGGTAAGAAGGTGAAGAGGGGCATGGAAAAGACTGCGAAAGAGAGAATCGCCTGCCTTTTTTTACGAAGAAGAATCTCGTTTAAAATTAATCTCTGTTTTGGACTTTGACCATTTCCTTTTCTAACCTTGTTTAGCTTTATCAGCTTTTGAAGGCAATCCGTGAAGAGTAATGCCGTCGCCTTTTCCATTCTTCATATCTGATTCAATTCTGCTATGCGCCAATTCCATCAGGAACCTAAAAATTGTTAGCAAATGATCACGAAGGGGGATGAACGGGGTGTCAATGAATCCGACGCAATTGATCATCACAGTACGCCTGCTAAGACGTGTCCTTATACACTCTTCTCCATCCCGTTGCTCCATTTCCCCCCAAATTTCGCTTTTCCACTCACCAAATCAGACTGAACCACATGGCTAATGAGATGGCCAAAAGGACGAGACAGTGGTAACTCCGAGTGCCGATGTACAAACCGACAAAACACAGACATAACAGAGCACAAGCAACGTGAGCTGAATAGGCCAGCGTAGGGCTTACACCCGGTTCGAAAATGGATTTCCAAAGGTTCTTAAAGTAACTCATTTCCTTGCTCGATACCGCAGTGTCCCTTACTGACTCCTATGTAAGCTGGTGTATAGTCGTGGCAGTACCACAGTCTAGTAGGGCCCTCGGAGGCAAAACCTACGTACTCAGCTTCTCACCAGCTTCCGGAAGACGATTGCTCGGCACGGACTACTCACACACGAGTCAACGAATGGAAGTGCTGATCAATGATGTTCAATGGTTTTTCTGTTCATGCTAGCCCCATCGTTTTCGGGAATTATCGGTCAGGTTTCGGTGAACTTATTGCCGGGTTCGGTCAGGATTGAGCGAAAAGATCACCGAGAGCAGCGATGAGCATCTCATACTCCGTCGTCAACACCGCTGTTAATCACCGACAGCGGCGAACTTTCTCCGGTCTTAGAAATAGCTGTGTTTTGAAGCTACCTGACCGTGTCTACGAAACGCGGTGCATCTTCACGTCGGTACACGTCCAATCCCTTCCATGGTCATTCCTGACATTCCTCACATTACCCAAGGACTCTTTCCCCTCTCTGACATTGTTGATGCATTCTCTCGAAACACGCTGAAGCAGCTCGTCCAACTTGCTGACATTCTGCCTTCGTTGTCAAATGTCGATAAAAAGCGACAGATCCTTCAATGGCTCATTCAGTATCGAGGGTATGCAATCCGGATCCTTGTTTTGTCGCGTTGGGCAGGGGTAGCGCCCTTGGTGAATCGTTGTATTGATGTGGTCGCGTATTTGCAGGGTCAAAAATTCTGCTACCAAAATCTTATTTATGCACTTCAAGACATCCGGTATCAGTTGTCATTCGCTCGGGTCCGTAACTCTGACCTACTGACTGCTGTGGATGTCTTATCCAGTGGAACGTATCCTAGGTTGCTACAGACACCTACGTCAAATGCATACCTAGTGCCTGATGAAGAAATCAGTGCAAAGGAGGCATTGAAGGCGCTAGACGCTATTCATGCTACCCTACGTTTGCGATTACATCTTCACGAGACTATTCCTCGTCCGTTTCGTGACTATGAGATTCGAGACGGACGCTGTATATTCGTGGTGCCGAATGAATTCTCTGTGGCACTCTCTACAACCTCAGACAACATTCGTCCAGAAAATCTAGCCTTTCAATGGTTCCTTGTGGACTTTGATTTTCTTTTACCAAGCACATCACCCTCAACCATTACGCCAGAGCGGTATAAAAATCTAATTGAACAACATTTAAACGAGCAACTTGCCGTTGCACTTCTTAACAAACTTCCGGCTCTTCCTCTTGTATATGACATTCTGCATCGGTGTTGTCTTTACTTGCGTTTAAATCTTCTACATCAACAACTTGAGGCCTTATCCAGAGACAGCTGGGCTGGTCACTTAATCGGCACTTTAAATGAACAAACATCGACTTTGCGTATCAAGTACTGGCCAAAGCTTAAAATTTCAAAAGATGGAAAGGTGGTAACGCCAGACTTCGAAATCATCATCAGCGTGCTGACACAGGAACCGACGGCATACGAAAGATTGCTCAGTACTCGTACTTCCAGTGCTGAGTATGATCACTCTAAACTCAATATCGTTTGGCAGCACGATGGCACTTCGGAACCAATTTCCATCGAGGAACCGTTTGAGAGTCAAGACCTATTAATGCTGGTAACGAAGAAACACGCTGCCATCTTCTTCGAACGCATCCAAAGCAACATGAATAAAAGCATTCTTTCTGAACTCCGAGAGGATGGACTCGTGTTGCAAATGATGAAGCATCGGATTCTTTTAAAGGTGAATTCAATCACTGGTCGGCTCGTTCTTCTCGACGAGCAGCAACGTCTAGCACCTGCACGCTATTTGCGTGCTGCAGAAAACACGATTGCTGCCAAACCAGACTTGGCCGCACAAACACTTAATCGTCTGCGTCTTTTCTGCATTCAAGCTCAAATGATTGAATTGTCACAATGCGCTAGACTTCATGTTGTTCGAGGTTATTTACCGCCTGCCTATCTTACTTTTACGAGACTTAGTTGGCACAGACCCGACCATTCTGTTTGGATGCTCGCTTTTCACGTTGAGACGCTTCACTGGTTTATGTATTTGACATCCGCAACAGGTAAAGTCTTATTTTCCCAACGTGTCCATACCACTGGTGACGCATTATCTATTCAAAGCTTCTCTCGTCTGGCACATTTGGTTCATTTGCGGCAACAGTTATACGAAATTCAGCTTGTTTGTGAAAGCAAACATATGCGTTATTCGTATATGTTAACTCCACCAGGCGCATCATTCCAAGACACATTTAGTGAATTTGTCCAGACAAGTCTTCTTTGTATTGAAATGCCGGAAAAGTATGGTGTATTATATCCTATGGTATTTGTCCGTGCGAGCGAAAACAAACTTGTTTTTGATGGTCGGATACATTACAGAACTCCACAAGGAAAAAAAGAAACAAGCGGAGATTGTACGGTTGACTGGAGAGTTGGTCGTTTTACTGTCCAGTCACGGAATTTCGACGAGTTTGAAAAACAATGGGTTGGATTGAGCAAGCTTGCAATGTTAGCTGTGACAACTGCTTTCGAGGTGGTTGAAGTAACTTTGCATTACGTAAAGTTCCGGTATGGTGACACAGAGACTTTCCAGGTCTCCGTTCTCGAAAATGATTCTTTTAAGATCCAATTCTTCAATCCACAAAGCTGCTTCCATATGATTGCACACCTACTGCAGGGTGTCTTATCCGACAGCAGAAATGATGTCCGGACTTTAAGAAATATTTTGGATAGGACTCACGGCATCCTAATAGCTCAATCAATGGGCTTTATAGTTTTGGTACGGTCTTTGCGATCCTTTCGCATCCTGCTTGCTCCCAATCATGGCCTTCAAGTAACTCTTTCTCGGAGTGGTGCCGTGATTCAGGATTTATCTATAGCAAAGTGCGAACCATCAAAGAACCCTGCGGACGATGAAGCGCTTATAAAATGGGCACCCTGCGCATGGTTGAATTCCGTGTGGGAAGGTGACATGGACGACGATGAACTCAATGGTCAAGTGGAAGCCTCGCCTGAGTCCTGTTTGCTGCGTTTATCAAAGGATGCCGATCTTAGTGCCGTAATTAAACATATACTGATGCTTACGTGCAAACTAAAAGCTTCATAGACACAACGTCTATGAAAACTAAAAAAGGGCAACCGTTTTCTCCGTTCTTGGGGCCTCAAGTAGGGAAAATGAAAAACAAAAGAAAAATAGTTTTATGACAGAATAATGATTACAATGAACATTTTAGTTATCCTGTACTGAGTTATCTATCACCTCTCCTAGCATTTACTGCAACCGTTTTCGACAGGTTAAAAATTGTCCCGAAACCGATATCCTTCTTTTGTTTTATTGTCTATCGTACATGTATGCATACAACAAAGTCTAAAAGATAATGTCTTTTTTTTTGGCGATATTCTTCCGCACCGGTATAATCGGCTTTAATGCAGCAGTTATTTTTGTGTCGAGTTGTTCATTTTTTGTCTTTGATCACCGCTCGAAGTAGCCATTTTGGTAGCTTCACGAAGCACCATTGTTGCATAACTGGACGAAGGCAGCTGGAAGTTGAGGGCAAGAGCAGTAAGCGTCTTAGTTTTTGAGTCGGGGATAGTGTTTCCCTCCAAAATGTCACGGTCTGTAGGAAGAAGCTGTTGCTCAGCATCATCATATTTCAAAATTGACCATTCAAGCTTGTTAGCTTTGACCACAAGTCGACGATAATCACCGGGCAGCGAGAGCTCTCGATCTTTTCGAGCCATGTTTTCAGGGTCCAGTTCATGCTCTGCCATAATACGTTTGTAAGTGTCAAATGTTTCATTCTTCGGATAGATGACGGAACGACCAGGCAAAGGCAAGACCACATCGTAGATAGTGTATTTTTCCAAATCTTCTTTCGTAACAATTTTGGCAACCGGTTTATCCGATACAATAACGTCTTCCACCAAATCCTTAGCTTCAGGATCAACAAGCTTCGAGGAAGAGCCCACTTCACTTTGTGAGACAAGAACAAGATCTCCCTCTCGTACTTGTAAACCGTACTGTTGGATTCTCCAAGACACTACACGATTCCAAACATATGATTGGTATGCGTGAGCGTAAATGCTTCGCAAGTGTCGTGGAATACGTTGAAAGGCTCCCAAATAGTTTGTTGTATTGCCTTCACGCGAGAAGGTTTCCAGGATACTGCTTTCAGCAACAAACCGACGTGGAAGTTTCGCGAGTGCCGCGGCAGGGTCATGTTTTGAATGCCAAATTTCCATGGCTTCCTTCGCTGAGCCAGAGTGTTCAGGTCGTTGTGACAAAATTAGTTCAATGGCGGCCTTCCAATTCGATCGCAACAACTCAATACCAACCTCATGAGTTCCAACAGAGCTTGTTCCAAAACGTTGCAAGCCAAAGTAATTGATAAAACCATCCGCTTTCACCTTTGTCAACGACTCATTAATTTGATCTTCAGGTGTTTGAACATTCCGCAAAATAAGATGGAACTCATTTCCCTGCAAATCACCAAGAGCCAAACCTCGTTGTTTGTAGCTAAAGTTTCCAAGTCGAAAACCGTACGTAGGATTAGCAATAGCACCCTGGTTCAGTTGTACAAGACGTGTGGAACGAATGCGTCGGATTGCGACCCTTTGACAAGTAATACCACGTCTATCTTTTGTGCCTGCAATAAGCAGTTGTCGAGTGGGAATCTTCAAAAGCCGGGCAATCCGTCCGAGACAATCCATGGTATCACGATTCTCTTTGTACAGGTGGAAATGACAGTACTCGCCCCCAAGAGCCTTCCAGCTCATTCGGGGGTCTCGATTCTGACGGCTATTACGCTTTCTGAAGACAGGTTTCACTCGAAAAACTCCCTCTTTGTCGACAGTGGACTCAAGAGTACCAAAATGTTGTCGAATAAATTGATGAATCAGCGTACGCTGTTCCTTGTCTAAAGCTTTTCCTTCTGGCACCGGCAAAACAACCGCGTCCTTTGTCTCGCCAGTGGACAACGACTTCAGCTGTTTAAGAAATGTGACCGTTGGTTCTTCGCCAAGAATGGCCAAAACGACACCGGGGAAGGCCGAAAGGGGCACGTCTTGAACGGTATCTTTCACATTGGCATTTTTTTCTGTTTGTGACGACTCAGAGTGTGTTTCCTGAGTTTTCGTCGTTGGAACGCTAGATTTCTTATCCTCTTCTACCGCAGGATCGCAAGGAGCCATGTCAGTCAAATGAATAACCGTTCCATCTGGTGCAATTTCAAACACAGAAAAGTCCGTGAACCGAGCTTTGATAATTCCATCGATAGCTGGCGTCTCTGGATGTATGTATGCTTCAATTCCCACATCTTTTTCCGTCAAGAACGCGTTCTCATCCACAACACTCTTTGAGATTTCGGACGCGCTTGTGACTTCCGAAGCCGGAGATGTAACCGCACTTGAAGAACCACTCTCCTCATCGACGCGAAGGCGTTTTACACGGTCATTATTCCCGTCCACAACTGGAGAATCGTGTTCCATTGCAGGTTGATGGCAGCTGCTAAACCTCTCAGAACTTTGGTGTAGCAATTATTAAGGTTTATCAAGATAACTCTAAATGATCTCGCTGAATACTCATCTTAACCTTAGATAAGCTTAAATCAACGTTTAATGAACCTTAATTCGGCGTTCGTGTTCTTCCCTCTCCCGCGCTGTACACGTCGTAACGATACATAAATATGAACACGAACAAGGATTGGTTGCAAGAATTTATGTCAGAGAATTATGAGACGCCTATTCAGAAGCTGAACGAGCTGCTTGAGACGAAAGACAGCGCATTGAAGATGTTTGAGCAATCGCAGATTCTACTAGCACAACTAAACTCACAAATGGACGCGTCCCTAAGCTCTTTAAACCATACTGTCACACGAATGATCACACATACACCCAAGATGGCCACCTCCCTATCGTCTTTGCAAAATGAGATTGGTCAACTTGTTGAGTGCGTTCTCCAAGTCTCCAAAAGCGGTCCAAAACATGAAGAAGCAAGAGCAGCAATCAATAAGCTTCAAAAGCTTCATTTGATTCAAACAAATCTTGTCAAAACACTGGAATTACTGCAGAAGTCTGACGCATCGGCTGTAACCGAGAAGTAAATCACTCTGTGCACTCGAGTCACGCGTTTTACGTCGTACAAAAGAGTCTACTGCATATTTTGGTATTCAGGACCCCTTCCACAAACGATCGTCCTCTGAAATTCTGTATTCGTCTTGCATTTCAGTACTTTTTTTTCCAACTGTGTCGCTTAATTAACCGAACAAGCTTACACGCGACACGTTTACCGAGTGTCCTGCCTCTACGCTTCCATACTTACTACACCAGACAGCTTGGGTTTTCTGCTTACAGCGTACGTACCAGGAGCAGCACACTGAAGCAAAGATGCAGAATCCGGTATTTGTTATGAGTACGTACATGTAAATACAGTAGAAGTTGCTGCTAACACACGGAGATACAAAAAACAACCGTCAGGTTGGTTACAGGGCGCAAATGTCCAACATTCAGGCTGCCAAGGCCGTTGCAGACGTAAGTTGCAGAGTCACAGCAGAGATGTTATGAAGAAGTAGGAACTAACTTGGTGAACATAGGTAATCCGTACCTGTCTCGGTCCTCGAGCAATGCTGAAAATGTTGTTGGATCCCATTGGCAGTGTTTTGTTGACGAACGACGGACACGCAATTCTTCGTGAAATTGAGGTCGCCCATCCTGCAGCCAAGAGCATGATCGAGTTGGCACGTACACAAGACGAGGAGGTCGGTGACGGTACTACTTCTGTTATTATTTTGGCCGGTGAAATGCTGGCTACATCTATTCCCCTTCTGGAACGGAAGATCCATCCTGTTGTAATCATTCAAGCATTCAAGCAGGCACTCGAGGATGCTCTTGCTGTAATTGATGAAGTGAGTATGCCTGTTAATGTTGACGACGATGCCGAGATGTACCGTTTGATTCGCACTTCCATTGGAACGAAGTTGGTTTCTCGTTGGAGTGATCTTATGTGTCATCTTGCTCTCAGAGCTGTGCGTACTGTCGCCTCTAATGATAATGGAAAAATGGAGATTGATATCAAGCGCTACGCTCGTGTCGAAAAGGTCCCTGGCGGGGAAATCGAATCCAGTTGCGTTTTGGACGGCGTGATGCTGAACAAAGATGTCACACACCCCAAGATGCGTCGTCGTATCGAAAATCCCCGTATTGTTTTGCTTGATTGCCCCCTCGAGTACAAGAAGGGTGAATCGCAAACAAACATTGAGATTACGAAAGAGACTGACTGGAACCGTGTGCTCGAGATTGAGGAGGAGCAAGTCAAGCACATGTGCGATTGCATTACTGCCGTCAAGCCTGACCTCGTCATTACCGAGAAGGGCGTTTCTGACCTTGCTCAACACTACTTACTCAAAAACAACATCAGTGTCTTGCGTCGTGTGCGCAAGTCCGACAACAACCGTATCGCTCGTGCCTGTGGTGCCAACATTGTGAACCGTGTTGACGATCTTAAGGATAAGGATGTCGGTAGCGGTTGCGGTTTGTTCTACATCGACAAAATCGGTGACGAGTACTTTACATTCCTTACCGGCTGCAAGAACCCCAAGGCCTGTACTATTTTGCTTCGTGGTCCTAGCAAGGACATCATCAACGAGGTTGAGCGTAATCTTCAAGATGCCATGGGTGTTGCCCGTAACGTCTTCTTCCATCCCAAGTTGAGTCCCGGCGGTGGTGCAACGGAAATGGCTGTCAGCGTTCGTTTGGCCGCCAATGCTCGTGGTATTGAGGGTATTTCTCAATGGCCTTACCGTGCTGTGTCAGAGGCTGTTGAGGTTATTCCCCGTACACTTGTCCAAAACTGTGGTGCCAATCCCATCCGAGTGTTGACTGAGCTTCGAGCTCGTCACGCTGAGGGCAAGCATACTGTGGGTGTTGATGGTGAAACTGGCAAGGTCGTTGACATGCAAGAGTATGGTGTCTGGGAGCCTCAAGCGATCAAGATGCAATCCATCAAGACCGCCATTGAAAGTGCTTGCCTGCTACTTCGTGTGGACGATATTGTTTCTGGTGTGCGGAAGCAGTCAGAGTAAGCCTACGGTGAAACTGGATGAAGAAGACGAAAAACAAAAAAGAACCTTTGGTTTGTTAAATGACATTGGTTAGGATAACTGAAGTTTCGGCAGGCTTTCAGCGATATGATAGAACAGAAACAGCAGCACTAGCGAGAAGACTGGGGGCTGTTTCTGAGGCAGCGGACTGATGTAAATGAATGTTGTCGCTTTGTATTGGAATGGTCCATTAGAATTAATGTTGTAATTTACAAGGATGTTGCGGGGAGAGGTCAATGGGCAGTAATTGCTAAATGCAATTGTGTTTTCAGCTTTATTGTCATTACTGTTTCTGTTTGTCGCACTAGGCTAAGACGGGTCGGACGGGTCGGACGGGTCGGACAGACCTTCCTCTGCTTCCTCGCCTACCTTGTCTTTCCTTTTTGCTCCCTGTCCTGCACTGTCCCTCCCAATCCGCTATAGCACACTGCAAGCCGCCATGTGTCTAAACTCACCACCAAAAACTCAATTAGAGCTAGAATTTCGACGTGTCCAAAGCCAGCATGAAAATTAAGACGATCACCCGTGGTACGTCGCTGACGCGTCTCAATGACCAGGATCCGGTGAAGCGCAACTTGGATCCTTCTCTTCATCCGTTTGAGCGAGGTCGCGAGTATGTCCGCGCTCTGAATGCGACAAAAATGGACAGAATGTTCGCAGCACCATTTCTTGGTCAACTGGGACAGGGCCACCAGGACGGTGTTTACGCCTTGGCTCGTGACACTCGGGTTTTGAATCGTTGCGCTAGTGGAAGTGGTGATGGTGGTATGTTTGTGTGTGTGGACGATGAGGAATCTCTGAAGAAGATGCTCAAGAGACATTGCAGAGATACACTCTGGACGGGACACCCTTGTTTTCCTGAACGTTTTCGTTTGCTAACCTACGTCGTTTTCAGTTCTTAAACTTTGGAATATGGGAGAGAGGAGTGAATGCTGGTCGGTCAAGGCTCACGACGGTATCATTCGTGGACTTGCTTTCACTCTTACGGGAGACTTGTTGTCTTGTGCTTCAGATCGTACTGCTCACCTCTGGGATTTGCAAACCTCTGCTGCCAAGTCTTCGTATATGGCAGACTCTGCTCTGTTGGACATCGACACACACAAGAACAAGTCTATGTTTGCGACGAGTGGTGCAAATGTCTCGGTTTGGGATGTGAACCGTGATTCCCCTGTTACTCGATTCCAATGGGGAATGGACACCATTCCAGTCGTCAAGTTTAATCACACTGAAACCTCCGTTCTGGCTTCTGCTGGCATTGACCGTACCATCGTCATATACGACTTACGGACATCTTCTCCTCTTACAAAGCTCGTAACTAATCTGCGGACAAACTCTATTTCGTGGAACCCCATGGAGGCCTTTGACTTTGTCACCGCCAGTGAAGATCACAATGCATATTTGTACGACATGCGGAACTTGAAACGCGCCTTAAATGTGTACAAAGATCATGTGTCTGCAGTCACGAGTGTTGATTTCTCTCCCACTGGTCAAGAGTTTGTAACAGGCTCTTACGACAAATCCATCCGCATTTACAACGTGCGTGAGGGTCACAGCCGTGATGTTTATCACACAAAACGTATGCAACGTCTTACCTCAGTTCGCTTTTCGATGGACGCAGAGTACATCATTTCTGCCTCCGACGATAGCAACGTCCGGTTATGGCGTGCAAAGGCCTCTTCTCGTGCTGCTGTGCGGTCGACGCGTGAGGAGAATCGTCTCAAGTACCTCGATGCACTTCGCGAACGCTACAAGAATGTTCCCGAGGTTCGTCGCATCGCCCGTCACCGTCACTTGCCTACTACAGTCAAGAAGGCGGCCGAGACAAAACGCGAGGAGCTTGCTGCTCTCAAGCGTCGCGAGGAAAACCGCCGTCGTCACAGCAAAAAGGGATCTGTCCCTTACCAAAAAGAGAGAGAGAAGAACATTGTTGCCTTACAAAAGTAGGCGAATTGCTTCTTCTAGTCTTATGTTTCTATTTTCTTCCTTCACCTTTCTTCTACACACAATTTTTTTTTACTAAGGTGTATTTTTGGGTATATAAACATGTTTTTTAGCGGAGGACCGCTATATGGGAATTGAGTATAGGGAAGTGTAACACTTTGGGATTCTATAATAATACGTTTTGACGAACAGCTGGGGAGGAGCCAAGTTGTCAACTTGGGACAAGGACGTCGTTCGCGTAGTAGTAGTAATAGTCGCCTTTCTGCAGGCGAACCCACTCGACGAGTCGACGGTCGCCGAGTCAGTGACGACTCTTTTTGTAGAGAGCTCATTAATCCCAAGACCTGCTATATCCGTGACACGAGACCACCTTCACAACTCCAGCACTCATTGCGTCTTCCTCCACCGATCTATGCGTCCAATGAACAATTCAATTTTTATACCCAAATGACTATAGCATAGCAGACATTCAGCATTCTACGATCTGGGCTTCTCCTTCTTCTCGTGGAAGAGGGCGGACAAACCGACACCGGCGACCTTGACGACCTTGAAACGGACACCAGGGATATCACCCTTAGCCTTGCCCTTACGACCGAAACCAGAAAGGAGGACCTCGTCGTTCTCGTCGACAAAGTTCAAACAACCGTCATTGGGGACGAAAGCAGTACTGGCAGGGTTAGTGAGGAGAAATTACAGAGGAAATGAGAAAACGGACGACCGGTAACGAACACATCACCAGCCTTAGTCGTCCATCTCCGTCGCTTTTACTTACACCTTCTTGCCGTTCTTGATCAATTGAACACGGACACACTTACGAATGGCAGAGTTGGGTTGCTTGGCCTCGACACCAATCTTCTCAACGACAATACCCTTGGCGTGAGAGGAACCACCGAAGGGAGAAGACTTGTAAGCAGTACCGAGAAGGCGCTTCTTGTAGTGAGCATCAGCCCAGCGCTCCTCACGGCGGTGGTTGCGAAGCTTGCGAGCAGCGTTAAGACCAGCGGGTTTTCCCATTTTTGCTCTGGTTAAAATCACTAAAGTGTAGCATTTCGATATTCAACACCACCGTGACTGTTTTTTTGGCCGATCGCACCAGGGGTATACCACCAAATTACCCTCAACCCTCCGCCAACAACACGAAAAGAGAAAAAGAACAATTTTTATTAGTTGGTCTTTTTCGTTATAAATTTGCTTAACAAATATCTTCCTTTTTTTCGTAAATATAATGAAAAGCATTTTTTGCCATATATTTCCATGTCCTTTCCTAAACATAACGTATTTTCATGAGGAGAACGAATAACGAAAGTAATTAAAACTTATGTGCGTAATATGCTTCTTGAGATAGCTAAATATGAGAACAAGTCACGGCTTTTGTCTACTCATCATCTTCCTCGTAATCATCGTCGACAATAAAGCTGTCATCTTCCGGATCCTCCGAAATGATGCTTTGCTCGTTGATGCTGTCCAGTGATGGCTCCACGTAAACGGCGCGGCGTGCAGCACGACGGCGAGTAGTTCTCACTGGTGCAGGAGATCCGTCATCATCGTCCGAATCAACGCTGATTTCCTTGGTGGAAGAGGCTTCGGGAGTAGATGACTCAACAGGTGCCGGAGAGCTTGAAGAAGATGTTGCCAGTGGGCTGTGAACGGTCGGCGTACGCGAAGCGGCGGTACGCTTTGCTTTGGAACTAGGCTTCACAGATGCAATCGGCTGCGAAAGCAGCAAATCATCATCTTCCGAATCAGACGAGAAAACCGTACGCTTCACCGGACGTAACGGTGTCTTTTTGCTGGAACGACTAGAGGATGAACTTGTCGTTCGAGCAGACTTTCTTGGTGCAGTAGATGCAACTTCATCTAAGTCATCCGGTGAGGAAGAAGAGCTGCGTTTTTTCACAGAAGCCTCAACACTCGAACCAGGCGAATCTGCTTCTAGCACAAACGGCGCCGAATCATCGACGACTTCACTTTTTACCGGAGTCTCCTTCGGTGACGAATTATCTTTGGTTATACCAAAGTCAGTCAATTGCCCTTGCTTCGCCGTTGTTTTTCGCTGTCGCGTTGTCGCAGTTTTTCGTTTTGTTGTTTTTGTCGCTGCCTTGGCGGAAGCTAGATCCGATTTCGATGAAGCTTCCTTTTTCACAGCGGGTTCCTTCTTGACGGCAGGTTCGCGTTTGGTTGTAGTACGCTTTTTACGAATTGCGGGAGCATTGCTGCTGTTGGGACCGGATTGGAAACGAGTCTTCGCATCCTCGTCCAATTCTTTCTCCCATTCCTTTTCAAATCCTTCAAGGTCGGTCAACCAAATATCTTTAGGAGTAATCTTCATCAATTTGTCGAGCTCCTCTTCGCATTCACCTTTCTTCTTCAACAAGTTCATGTAACGCTCATAGGTAAGCGAATAAACAGGCATGTTCAGAAGATAGGTAAAGTCATCGGCTTCAGGACTCGCGTCTTCCTCTTCGGCATCGTCGTCAGCATCCCGATTAGCTGCAGTTTCTTGCGCAGCAATTTCAGCCAAACGTCCCTTCTTAGGTTTGGGAATAGCCTTAAAGCCCTTTTCTCTCAACTCTTGTACCAAGACACTACGCTTCTTTTTAGCAACCACAAGCGTGCCCTCAATAATCATGTGGATAAAGCGAGCTTGGTTTGAAATCTTTGTGTAAACGGTTTCAAGGTCATTAACAAGATGTTCTTTACGTCTTTGGTAATAACGCAAACGAACTTCATAGAACTCCTTGAGAATATCATAAGCACTATCGTACTTACGAATACGACCTTGAGGATCAAAAGCCACCATATTACTGGTGGCCAGGGTACGAGCGACCTTAAATTTGTTTTCCAAACCTTCGGCAAGCGCAGTTGCCATACCCTCTTTTGTGAGTTTAACACGAAAATGGACGTTCTCTTCCGTGTGATATTCTGTATAATCCTTAATAAAGGAGCCTTGTTTGTCCGCTGCCATTAAGCTCTCAAGATACTCTTTCATATCTTGAGTCCAAAGACGGACGGGAAGTTCGGTGATATCGACGGTGTCATCACTGACTTGTTCAATGATACCACTGACTTTGTAACGATCCGGAGTCATTTGCTGAATGGTACCCTTAAAACCACGGTACCAAGGATGCATTGGCTCAAGAGGCTCGTTTTTAATTAAATGGCGAATATTCTTAACAAGGTCAGAAGGGTTAAAGTTTGGGATAAAGGTTGACCAACCAGTACCAATACCTTCCGCACCATTCACTAACAGCATAGGAACAATAGGAACGTAGTAATCTGGTTCAACCCACAAGCCTTCATCGTTGAGATAATTCAAAATTGGATCGTCGCGCTTATCAAAAAGTAGACGGGCCATACGAGAAGGCATAGTAAAAATATAACGGGGTTGTGCAGCATCTTTACCACCCTCAATACGCGAACCGAATTGACCCTTCGGAAGCAGCAGGTTGATGTTGTTACTTCCAACGAAATTATGAGCCAAACCGATAATGGTTTGTTGTAAAGAAGTTTCACCATGGTGATAAGCGGTCTGCTCACTGATATAACCGGCAAGCTGTTCAACCTTTGCTTCGTTTTTCAAGTTCTTCTTAAACATACCGTAAATAACTTTACGCTGACCGGGCTTCAAACCGTCAACTACCGACGGGATAGACCGAATATTATCGGCCATAGAGAACAGAATAAGTTCTTGGTTGATGAAGTTCTTGATCTCGATGACGGGTTGTGAATGATCAATATAAAGACCAGGATGGTAAGTGCGCAACCATTCCTTACGAACGTCGGCCTTTTTCTTTGAGAAGGCCATATCAATTAAATCATTTTCACCATCTTGAATAGTATGAAATTGTTTGATATGGCGGTCAAGGGCAGAGAAGTACTCTTTCATATCTTTAGCATCAGATGTACCCAAACCCTTGTAGTATTTAATACTCCATCCGCGACCGTTGTTATTGTTTTCCTTCCAGTAATCAAACTCGGGAAGAGTGAAGAAAGAAATGATTTCCCTACCTTTTCTACAACGAACAATAGGGGTAATAAACTCAATCAAGAAACCCTCAAGGTGAAGCAAACTAGGGTACGTGGATTCTAAATAGTTGATAATCAAACCCTTAATATGTGAACCATCGTGATCCTGATCTGTCATGATCATCAAATGGCCGTAACGCAAACCATCAGTACTTGTGTACTTCTTGTTGTGTGCTAGACCAAGAATCTTTTTAATAGCCTGGATTTCTTTGTTGTTGATGATTTGATTATATGAGGCTTCGCGAACATTAAGCAATTTACCTCGCAGAGGGTATACGCCGTAATAGTCTCGACCAACGACACCGAGACCAGACACGACCAACGTTTTAGCAGAGTCACCCTCAGTGAGAATAAGTGTACATTTTTTGGACTCACGAGTACCGGCCTTGTTCGCATCACTGAGCTTTGGTAGTCCGGTGATACGTGAACGAGACTTGCCATCAGTCTTACTCATTTGTTGGTCAGCCTTAGCCTTGGCCAATTCCGAACAAACAGCTATAATTTCACTTTTGATAAGTTGCTTGAAGAAAGTGTCACTAAGGTCACATTTGGAACCAAACGCCGAGGGCTTCGTAGTGAGCGTCTCTTTTGTTTGTGAGTCGAATGATGGATTAACAATTTGACAATTGATAAAGAGCCAAAGATTATTCTTAATTTGGAAAGGCTTAAGTGCCGCATGTTTATTTTTTTTAGAGAATTCAGCTTGCACACGCTTCACAATTTCATCTGCAACATAGTTTACGTGGGTACCACCACGAGTTGTTGCGATACTATTGACGAAAGAGATATTTTTGAACTGGCCATCTGAAAGAGTGTAAGCAACCTCCCATCTCTCGTTTGGCCGATCGTAGAGGATGGTGGGGGGTTTGGTTGAGTCAGTGCGATTCCGCAAGGAACTAACAAACAGTTCCACATACTTTCTAAAATTTTTGATGTTGATGCGCTCGTTATTCAAGAACACCTTAATGTCGGGAATGGTACCCGCCATATCGTAGACACGACGCTTAACGACGGAGACCAAATCGTCATCAAGTTTCGTCATGCCGAATTTAGCAAGGTCTGGCTTGAATGTAATTTTTGTATATTCATCAGCACGTTTCATGTCGACAACCTTAGGCTCCGACTTTTTGGACATGTTTTCCGTCCATGTCTGTTTGTATTTTTTCATTCGCAATTTGTCGGCAGTTTCAACGGTAAACTCGTGCGAGAAAATGTTACAGAGCTTAGCACCGTAACCATTACGACCACCAGTGACCTTTTTCTGGTTATCGTCGTAGTTACTGGACGTGAGCAGATGTCCGAAAATAAGTTCGGGAATGTAGATTCCTTCCTTCTCGTGTATTTCCACGGGAATACCTTTACCGTTGTTATAAACACTGATCACATTGGCTTCGGGATCGATCTCAACCTTCAATGTGTTCATTGTGGGATCACGGACCTTGTTATCGGCCGCGTTTACGATGATTTCATCGAATATCTTGTAAAGACCAGGGACGATGTTCACTTCTTTATACACCATCTTGTTTTGCTCTGAGTCATAAACCCACATTGGCATCTCTGTTTTTTCAACACTACCAATGTATGTATCTGGACGACGAAGAACGTGCTCTCGAGGAGAGATTCTTTGGTACTGCTGAGAAGCACTGGGGACATTTTTGTTGACCTCAGCTAGAGGTTCAGGAGTTGGTTCATGAGAGGAACCCGAACCAGACCTGGACACGGATCTGGATGTTGACCGCGATCCAGTTCCAGCTGCCTTGCGACCACGAGAAGCGGGTCGTTTTGGTGCAGGAGCGACAAAAGAGTCATCTCCCGAGTCGTTGTAGTCGAAATCACTATCAACAGTCATTTTGGCTCTGGAGAACTCAAAGTCGCGATAAAAGCTTTATGTACAATGCAGAAAACGAACGAAGAGAAACAGTGTTAAAGTAGAAAACAAAGAAATTAGAGCTCCGTTGATGAAAAAGTCAAACAAGACCCGGTTTGTTTATTTTTTTTTTTCTTCTACTCACCTTGGAAGGAAGACTAGGGTATCAAAGAGGGAATGCCTTGTAAGAGTACAAAATACGCCTCCGACGACGTGTCGTACTCACTTTATACTAAAACGCTAGAATGACGTCTAATTCTGCTTAAAGAAACTTCAGCAACACGGTGAAGCTTCTCTGCATGAAATGAGAAGCACAGAGGAGATCACAAAGCTGTTTCCTAGCCAAAGTAGTGCTGGAGGTTGAGGCTATGGTGGTGAGAGCCTGGGCGAGTAGTAGGAACAATTAAATTTATAGTGACAAAGAGTCGGTAAGAGCGACGGTGCGGACGCCGTGGACTGGTATGATGAAGTAAATATGAACAATTGTATTCAGTCTGTGGACGGGGAGGCAAAGGAAAAAGAAAAAAAAACGAAAAGCTCAATTGTTTCTCCCGTAAGTCTCGTTGCAATATGTAGCGAGTACATGTTACCTGAACGAAAACTACTGTGTTGCCTTATACGGTGTGCTGTATCGTACTACGACCGGTTGCGTTACGTGTGTAACGCGCCTTGTAACCCCTCAGTAAACCAGCACTCTGAGGGGCATCATCCAAGCATCATCACACCTGGTGGTTACATGCTCACGTCTTCTACGTAAGGGCATCATCGATGACTACAACGCCATTCTTTGAGACTCTGCCCCTCGGCACTGTGTATGGGGCCGTACCGGTGTCGGGCCTATCGTACAGGAAAGTGTGTGCATACTAGAATCGATGATCCGGAGTCCACCGGCAGCGAAGGACCCAATCTTTCCACACAATGCCGTGATGGAGTCAGCATCTACCACGGGACCATACTCCGCGTAGAGTTCCCGGCTCTCGGAAAAACTTTCTATGAGTTTATTTGGTTTTAGCGCGATAAGATTTTTTCTGCGACTCGCTAATGATCCGGCGACCGCGAATCAGGGATGTTATTACGTAAAGCAGGAAATTAACCGGCAGCTCGTGTTTGTTTTTGCACCTACCCTTTTCACAACGTGTCCAACAGATCCCTTAGAAGAACAGGCGAATTACATGCTTTTCACCGAAAAAAATGAGCACTTGTCATTGTTGATCTTGGTAGAACGCATCTGAGTCGGGAAAACTTGAGGCTTTGTTAGACCTTTGAAAACCGCAGCAGTGTTGTTCTCGACAGCGCTTGCTTTTGTGATTGGCTTTAAGAAAAGCTTAAATTACTCAAATTCGTCTTCATGACGTAATTTTCGGTCGTGGAGGCGTCTAGACGCGTTTGCAGAGGATGGTAGAAGAGCGATTTTAAAGGCAAAAAAAAGGTTTTTTATGCTACTTTTTTAACTTTTATGCTTGAAATAATTGTGCGATTCACATAAAATACAGGCGCCAATTTTTCAGTCGTCTCTTGAATTTTCCGTGCTTTGTCAAAGCCCCGCAGCGGATCAAGAATTGTATCACAGGATTTGTGTATCGGTGGGGGTGTGGCCTATGGGCTGGCCCCGCCCTTGGCTGAGCTCGCGCCCCCACTCCTTCGTATATAAGCGACCGACTACCCCGAAAGCTAGTGGCCCTGTACTTCACATCCAGCTTTCCCCTACCGTCTGAAGAGTCGCTTCCTCTTCGCGACTTCACGTCGTCTGTTTTGTCTCTTTGGAGATATTTCAGCTTCTTGTTTTGTTTACAAGAAGTTTGGTTTGGATTACTTGTCCTTGAGAAAAAAGCGATAATCGCTGTAGATTTTTTTTTTTTTACTCTGTGATCGTTGCTCTTTTTCAGTTGATCATTGAGCTTTTCTTTCGTAGAAAAACAAATTCTCATTATTTCAGCAGAAATTTCACGTTTTTCCGGATTTCTCTGCTCCTTCTGTCAGGATTTACTCGCAGCTTCTTGCTCTGGTTCTTCTTGTACACTAGTTTTCGACATTCGAAGCGTTTCTGCGTTGACTCGCTCGATTGTTTGTCCCTAGGTCCTGTCCCGATCTGTCCTATTACTACCACTACTACTGCTATTACTGTCTTGTCTGCAGTCGTCCAATTCTCTCTTTGGTCGGCGATTTAGCGTGTTTTGACTTCCGCTTCTACCCGTCACAGTTCTCTCGTATTTCCGTCCGAACGTTTCCTCCCGCTTGAATTATAGCTGCCTCGTTTGTTTCTCCGTGTCCTTTTTTCTCGTTCTGTTCCCTCCTGTTTCTTTTTGCCTCTTATTCCTTCCGTTATTCGTATATCCGGTTTGGTTTTAACCTATAGAAAAATGACTTCTTGTTTCGTTAAACCCCACGACCAGTTGTTGGCTTCCACTGCTCGTTTGGGAGCGTTGGGTGTCGCCGTCCAGAACTCATACCCTTCCATTGCTCCCAACAGCACATCTTCTGCCTCTGCAGCCTCTGCTTCTCTCTCAGACGCGGGAAAGATCGAGCATGAGTACCGCAGCTTCCGACTTTCTACACCTCCCTCTGCAGACCAGTCGCTTCTGGTGCCTCCACCCCGCATGACGGACTCGGCGTCTCCTGCTAGTCCTTGGGCAATTGATTTCCATCACACAGATGCCTTGCCAGCGCCACCAGTCAAGTCGATCATAGCTGCTTCTGACCTGGTGCTCAACCGAGAGCAGTTGCGTACAGAGGCACCTGCAAACGTTGCCGAGCACAGCCCTCTCACCCCCATCCGTCGCCCTCAACTTTGTCAGTTTCCTCACCGTCTCCCATTGACCTCTTCGGTCACTTCGTTGCCGGCGTACGTTCCTCGTTACAGTGTTCATTCAACCATCTACAAACCAGCAACCCCAGCACCCTCCTACAGAGTGCCTGATCCGGCAGAGTCCGAGTATGCGCGGGCTCTCTGTGAGGACAGCGAAATCAATGACGATGGTTTGCTTTTGAAGGCTGACCAGCGTTTGTGCGACTATGCTCCCTCCGGTTCGTTCAACGGTGCGGGTCAGGAAGACGACGAGCTGTTCGATCCGTGTTATGGCGATGATGATGACCTGGATCCCCATGACGGTTTGTCTTCAGCAGCAACTCTGGATGAAGTTTCTCCCAAATATACAAAAATGCTTGCTGCCCAAGCAGCTGAGCTTCTCTCTTCGCTCGGAAGTGAGCAACAGGAGGATGAGAAGTTCAAGAACTCTAAATTCTTAGCCTTTCTCGCGGATGTGCGGGACGAAAAGGTTTCGTTTGAAAAGTAGCCATCGACAAGTTTGGCTCGACAAAGACTGCATGCTTCTTCTACTGCTTCCACTGTAGCCAATACAGGTTCGTGCGATTTTAATTCTTCGGTGGTTTTCATACTCTGCCTTTTATTGTTTAATAACGAAGTCTGTCTTGTCTTGCGTAGCTGTTAGTAGCATATGCACTGTCCCGCGTCTTGTTGCCCCGTGTATGCTTTCTACCATCATATCAAAAGAAAAAAAAACGCCGATGTCGGTTAGTCATTGCGTCGACACACTCTTTGAATTTGCTTACCAAGTCCTGATACTGCAATTCAACTGCTCCCCTCTTATCTTCTTCGTTTTTAATATTTATTAGCCTACGTCGTTCTGTTTTCCGTTTTAGCTATGATACTCTTCTTTCTTCTGTGTTGTTAGTGAATGAATTCCGTAGCCTGTAGAAAGCGTCTAAGACGTCGCAAGTGCAATTGGCCTGCCCGTGCTTTGCAAGGATCGCTGGAGCGACTCGACCCGGCTCTCTTTACTCTCTGCTGCTGTGCAATTCGCTTGTTGCCTGTTGTTCCATTTCTTTCGTCTCAACGCTTACTTAGCCTAAATGAAATATGCAACGCGTTCTACTCCCTCGAATGACCTCTCACCTACCACCGCCCTGACTGACCTGGAGCCTCCTACTTCAGCCGCTGTATCCATTGAATACTACAGAGCAATGTCGAGGAAGCCTCTGCCCGGTGTGACCCAAGGGTATGTATAATGCAAATATAGTCTGTCTGTAGGTTTCGCAAAGAGCTGAACTGTCGTACGAGCCAGCCCTTCGTTACCAGCTGCAAAAGACGACAGTTTGGAGCCGACACTGTGCTGTTGGACAGCGAAACAGAAGACTAAGAGACTGCTATTATTTTGTTGTTCGACATTCGGATAGTATTTCGGATTGTATGAAGCTCACACAAACTAGGTGGGAATCAGCAGATGTACGTAGACGATCTGTCCACGTTCCTCTTCCCAGTCCCCCAACAACAGCAGAGAAGAAGGGGAATTCATTGCCGCGTACAACTACGTACGCTAACTTGTCGAGACGGTTGAGTCCGTCTCCCACTCGTGGTTATTCTCCGCTGGGCGATACGGAAACCAAAGCCTTGGATGTTTTGAATTCGCTTTCGTTGACAGTTAACGCAATTGCTACTCAATTGACGAAAATCTATACGAGAAGTTACGATAATGCGGTGCAGTTGTCGGACATCCGAAACGCTGTTCTTAGTATCAACGAAGGGAGTCCCAATCCGCATGTTGAAACACTGCTGTCACAGTTGATGGAGCGGTTTCGTTTGCTTGCAACAGATGTTCAATCCACCTTGAGAAGCTCTGTTGTAGTTCAGGCAGAAGCAAGCGAACAGAAACGCGACAATGAGTCGATGCAGTATTTCCGTGTTCAAGAGGGAACAACCTCGTCTGCTCTCGCAGTCGAAAGTGCGTCTTTGGACGCTACACTGCAGGTACTGCAGGATCGCATCGGCCAACTCGCCTCACATCTTGAGAAGCAAAGTCCTGCCGCCACGACAGAAGCTGTCCGCAGCATCCAGGATCTGTTGTCGCGGTTCGAGGCTTCATCCGCCGATACCATGGAGAAACAGACGTTTATGCTGAAACAGCTTGAAGATCAGATGGCAAATATGAGCCTTGTTTCCGCTCCGGAGCAAGCCGACGGGGTTTCTTACACACATTACCCGGAACATGGCAAACAGCAATCACAACAGCAGCAACCGGTCATGTCGCATCAACATGTTGTTGACGAACAACGAGGACAGATTCAGAAGCTCCAGGATGAGAAACAGACACTTCTTGTTGAGCATACACGGTTAAGTACACAAGTGCAAACGTTACACGAAGATGTCTCACGCTTGGAAACACGCAAGTGCAACTTGGAGAAGGTTACTGTGGTTCTCGAAGCCCAACGCGACTCCTTGCGTACCGATGTCAATGATTTGAAAACGCAACAAGACGGCCTCGTGGCCCGTATTAACGAGCTGCGCGAACAATACGAACAAATGCTCCAGCGTAACGTTCGCATGAACGAGCAAATGGCGGTGAAAGGGAGTCTCATGAACGGCACAAGCAATCACCACATACGCGACGCCAGCGTTGTCAGTTTGCAAGAGCCTACCTCACAAGTGTATTTAGATCAAAGTTTGCCAGGCTCGACAAAGACGCTTACGGAGGACAGCAACAGCAACAGCAACCATTCTCCGGTATGTCCCAAGGGAATGGAAACAGACTCGCCTGCGAAACGCCTTCCCGCTTCCACACTTTCACATTCAAAGGAAGTACGGGGTAAGGGAAGTCGTGCCAAGGGCGGGCGTCCCATATCCTCCGTTTCCATAACCTCTTCCCAACCCGCGTCTGCTCACATGCATTCTCACAGTCGCAAAATGTCTTGGTCGAAACGTTTTGCTATGGCGATGGGCCTATTGCCGTCAAAGGAACGTATGCCTGATGACTTGGTCGGTATCAGTAACTCGAGCACGTCGTATTCTAAGCCGCGAAGCGCCAGTACGAAGCTTTGATTTTTTTTGAAAGCATGGACATCTGTGTTTATATGACCCCTTTAATAATAGCAAATGACATTGTCTATAGTTCTTCCCCTACTTTTTCAACAACTTGCCGAGTGGACCTTTCTTTAATTTTTCCAAAACATAGATGAACGATTTTGCGAACCCCGCGGTAAGGAGTCCTTTGATGGTTTGCATAAGGATGCTGAAGCCTGTCAGTTTGTGAACTGCACGCTTGCAACGATTTCTTCTTTGGGCGGTAGACTCTTGGGCGAGTATTTTGAGGACTACGGCGGTATCGCCTGACTTGCTGTATTGTCTCAGTACCTGTCGTTGGAACTGTTTGGGTAGTTTCATAATGGAAGAGAGACAAGCATTGGCGTTTTTGTCGTGTCTAAATTGAAGTTGCTTGCTAGTATCCGCGCATGCCAGGTCATTGAGTTGCTCAGCATTATCGGCACGAATATTACCAACTTGGTGAATGAGAGGTAGGTAAAGTTTACGAAAAAGCGGGAATTGTGCAGCGACAATGTTTTTTACCTTTTGTGGATTTTCAGCCATTGCTGACATGCGAACGTCTCCCAAGTAAGAGAGACTAGCTATGGTACTGTAGAGTTCGGCTTCCTGAAACTTTTCTGAGAGGAATGGCAGAGCTGCGTATAGGGCCGACTCCAAGTTCTTGTGATTGAATTCGAAGAACTCGTCAGGCGCCCGAATAATCTTTGTCTACGACTAAGCGTTAGTAAAACGACCAGATTGCTTTTTTTCTCCCAAGAGGTATTCATACCGGTTTGTGCAAACGCCCGGCAAGGTACAGCGTCGACCAATGAAGCAGATCATCATACAAATTGTGCAGACTCGTAACACCGTATTTGATTACCGAGCCACCCATGCGAACGAATGGATTGTAATAAACACCGGTACCGACCGACTCTTGCAGATAACTAATTGAGCGACTACCAAAGTATTTAAGGAATGAGTAATGCTTCGGGTTTTGTTTGACATTCACGGAATGCCATTGATAAGGGTCCTTTACACCGAATATAAAATCAAGCATTGGCTTTTTCTATCTCAAACGTCAGCATGTCGGCAAATGGGGCAGCGAGTCAATGATAGCGAACCTTTTTGTCGTATCCTTTTTGCGAAAACACTCCGCTTCCATACGCAATTGCTACATCGATGGGTGCATCGAATGAGTTTACTATCCTCTCAAATTCCTCATTCACTGAAGGGTGAATGCTAACAGTCTGGAGAGTTTTTGGGGTTTGAATCGTTTGTGGAGACAGCAAGGCTCCAATGGATATTGTTGTCAGCCTCCGTCGTGAGAAGGGACTGTAAAATCCCCGTAGCACTCGCGTCCGTGACATGATTGTCAATCCTGAACTGGGGTACTGTCCTTGGCAATTGAGTCAACGAACAACGATAGTGTAGTGGAAGTTCCGTAAAAATAGACCCACAACGAAACCGGATTTCAGTTAACCCGACTAAAACAGAGTATGAAACCACTGGAAACGCTGATCGTAAAAATGATCGTAAAAAATGGAATGTAGATGATGTACGATGAATTCCAACAATTGCCCAGACTTGAAAACTCAGGTAACCTCGTCCAAGAATACCTGAATACCTCCCCGTCACGTTCTAAACACACAATCTTGCCGCTTCCTCCGGCACACCGTTCACCTACAATCCTCACCAAGCGAGTGACGACGGGCTTGATATTTTTTGTGCGTGCGGATTTTTTGGTGGTGTGTTTTAACGAGTCAGAGTGAGTTTTAAAGAAACGTTAAGAAAATTTTTAAATTAATATTGTGTGAGGGAGTGAGTCACGGTAAACTGTTTAGCGACGTACAACACAGTTTAGCGTCCTTTCTCCTTCACTACCCCCACACCGTGACTGCTCTTCCCCACACGAAAACACTATAAAAGGGCACGGCTCGCTCCACGAAAAACCATCGACGATACTCCATAGGATCATTTCTATAGTATACGTCCGGCTTGGGTTTCCTAACCTAGCCACAGAACTCAACACGGATGATGATTGGAAGCACCGTTGCCCGAAGAGTGAGGCAATTCTTTCTTCGGGAGGGACAACAGGATCTCTTTTCAGGTTCTGTTCTCCCCCTTCAGCGATGATCTCTTACGCCTCGGGTTTCTCGTCCTCTGGACGGTCCCGTCGTGTAGGGCAGCTGGTGTATTCTGACGTGTAAAATTCCTCTTCTCATCGACTGTAGTGGTCCTGCTGCTTCAGACGATGTGACGGGGATGACTGGTGGTGTAGTGTGCTGTTTTGCTTAGTGCTGTTTGTTGTTAGGTATAGTGAATGTAAGCTCTCGTACTGTATGTATGTCGCTATGTGTAGCAATTGCTGTTTCCCCGCTTTGTTTTACCCCTCCTTCTGTTTTCCCTCACTGTCGCTTAAGTTTGTCCTCATCTTCCCTAGGGCCGCTCGGGTAGATCTCTTACCCCGCACCACGTGTATATATTGTGATGACGTAGGCTTCGAGATGATGTCGGCGATGTGAATAAAGCTTCTGAATCTCGCATCTGAACTTACCTTTAACTAAACACATTTGTCTCGAGAAACTCGTAGCGTGTGGTAAGCATAGGAACACTGAGAGTAAAAATGGCTGCTACTAAGAAGATTGTCGTCCTCCCTGGTGACCATATTGGTCCTGAAATTACGAACTCTGCCGTTGAGGTTTTGAAGGTTGTGGAGAAGAGACGCCCCGAGTTGAAGCTCGAGTTCGAGGAGCACAAGATTGGTGGTGCCTCTATTGATGCCTTCGGCACTCCTTTGACCGATGAGACTATTAAAGCCTGTTTGGAGGCTGACGGTGTGCTTTTGGGTTCCGTTGGTGGTCCTGAATGGACTGACCCTAACTGCCGTCCTGAGCAGGGTTTGCTTAAGTTGCGTAAGAGCATGAATGTTTGGGCCAACTTGCGTCCCTGTAACTTTGCTAGTGAGTCTTTGGTCAAGTGCAGTCCTCTCCGTGAGGAAGTCGCCAAGGGTGTGGACTTCTGTGTTGTTCGTGAATTGACTGGTGGCTGCTACTTCGGTGACCGTAAGGAGGACACTGGTGACGGTAAGGCCTGCGACACCTGGCCTTACAGCGTTGAGGAGGTTACTCGCATTGCTCGTCTTGCCGCCTGGTTGGCCAAGCGCAGCAACCCTCCTGCCCCTGTTACCATGTTGGACAAGGCTAATGTCCTTGCCTCTTCTCGTCTTTGGCGCAAGACTTGCACCAAGGTCTTCAAGGAGGAGTTCCCTGAGCTTACCTTGAACTTCCAACTCATCGACTCCGCCGCCATGCTTGTCGTCAAGAGCCCCCGTACCCTCAACGGTGTTGTCTTGACTGACAACCTGTTTGGTGACATTATCTCTGACGAGTGCTCTTGCATTCCTGGTAGTTTGGGTCTTTTGCCCTCTGCCTCTCTTTCCGGTGTTCCCCAAGAGACCTCTGAGAAGGTTCACTGCTTGGTCGAGCCCATTCACGGCAGTGCTCCTGACATTGCTGGTAAGGGTATTGTCAACCCTATCGGTACCATTTTGTCCGCTTCCCTCCTTCTCCGTTGGGCTTTGAACGCACCTGCTGAGGCTCAAGCTATTGACGATGCCGTTCGTAAGGTTTTGGACGACAAGTCTATTGGTGGCCGTGGCCTCTACACTCGCGACTTGGGTGGTGAGGCTATGACTGCCGATATCACCAAGGCTGTCTGTGAGGAGCTTGAGAAGCTTCTTTAAGCAATTAACTTTCCTGCAACTTTTCCGTAATTAAAGTCGAGGGATCCAAATGCTGCCACTTATACGCGTACCTAACACCTTCTCGCCTATTCATTCTTTTTGGATTTCGGATATGCCTGCATGCACTATTCGAACGTGAAACCACATTCGTTTGAAACAATACCATGCACCCATTCCCTTTCAGATACGTCGACCGGCTCCATTTGTATTAGTAGTACTGGTGTTCGATGTTCAAATATCATTTTCATATAGAGTACATGATTTTTGTGATGGGTGAGACATAGGGCATCAGAGGAGGTGGTTGACTTGTGATGGCTTTCATTCGCACAATGTTCAATTTCATGTTATTTAATATTGTATTTCGCCTCAAGTTCTACCGCAATTGACTTCGACTATGAAACTGGATGCTGGTGTATGGGATTTCGTCGACAGCGAGTGCTTGGGGTCTGCGTTGTTAGCAATACTTCGTATTCTGATTATCGGTAGTGCCTTCTTTACGTACGCTTCTGGGGCATATATTTTTATGAGGCGGATATGACTGTCTTTGCCATTTTGATGATTGGAAAGGATGCTCAATTGCAACATATAGGTTTCCAAAAGGCCATTACGACCGTAGTCACCAACGGGGATATGAAGCCAACCTTCTTGTTCTTCTAATTCGGTTGTAACAACGGGCTGGAGGTCATGCAGACCGGTTCCTGCAGCGATGCGAATTTTGCTAGGAGTGTACGACTCGTCCAGGCTGTACATTAAGTAGATACTTAGGTACTTTATTTCTACACGCTTGATAAATTTTGCGTATAACACATGAGGTTGTGAACCATCTGATCTAGCTACGTGTTAATGACAGTTTGTCCATAGAATCTTTGTACTAAAAGAATTCATATTTCACGGTGTCAAAAAGTTCACAATGACGCTGCAAGTTCACATACTGCCAATACGTATTTATATCATCGTCACGGACATTTGATATGGGAAATCCTGTTTTCTCCGTAGAAGCCGACCATTGTGCCAGGTTACCTACGTCAACAAGTCCGTGAATCTTCTTTTCGTGCTCTGTTATAGACATTGACTGGATATTTTGTCGTTTACAGGTCCTATTCTAGAGTTGTATTTAGAGTGAACACTGGTCTGGACAACGGCGGAATTACGATGTAAACAAAAATAGAGGTAAAGGAACGAAGGACGTCTGTGTATTTGACCAATGGCGAAAATCATGACATAGGGAAGGTCATTGATTGTAAGAAATTCCAAAAGTGCACGTTTGAAAGGCCGTCGCTACAAGGACGTTGAATTGTTTCTCATATTTATCTGCTTCTAGTTTCAGTTTAATCAAAAGACGAGGAGAAAACCATTCTTATTTGCAATGTGGAATTGAGAAAAACCGTTATATGTTTTTGTTGATAGAGGTGAAGGAATATCAATTTTTTGTTTTGTGTAATTAACAAACGTAATAAAAAAGGACGTATTGTATAGACTAATAATGGCATTCTGTAAGGACGCTGAGATCAATACTTGGGCGATAACTTAACAGTCAAGTTGGATCAGACTCTGAATTATTCATATAATTAAATATGATCAAATTTGTTAACAACTATAAAGGCTTGTGCTATGCAAATGGAAACAGTAATATTGGAATGTTCCTACAAACATAATTAATTATAGAGTAGAATTGTTTGAAAAGCCGGATTTTGTATGAATCGACTTACGGGATGCATATGCTATGTATGTTATGGAACTTGAAATTGTAAAATCAATAGCGAGTACGTAGGCATCTTGAAAATGTAAAATGTAATCGAATTCTTCCTAAATTTTATTTAACCTGGCCGCCGAACTCGTGTACGCTTATTTCACCCAAGTCCTAAATTGATCAATGGCTTTATTCGAAAAAAGAGAAATGATGTCAAAGTATGTAATAAATAAAAGTAACATGAGCTCTTATTAATCCAGCAATTACCAGTCAAATAAAAACTCAAGATACTAAGACAAGTCAGACACGACAACGAAATGTTAACACGTAAAGTATATAACTCTACAAAACTCATGAGTAAAATGTATCAAGAATATTTTCATTGCTGTTATCGCGGCTGTTTTGTTCCTAGAGATTGCCTTTACAGAATAAAAATTATGTACTCTCCTGATTAATTAAATTAATATGAGAAATTCTTTCATTCCATGTTGTCTCTTAAACAATGATTAATGCGACTCATTTTGTATTGTCTGCGAGTTGTTCTTCCATGCTTTTCTAGTAACATTTTTCACATTTTCTTTTAGGTTTCAACTCAATGTCGCATCCCGTTTGCGTTTAAGGCGCTATAAGGATCATACCCGACTACTAATGGATAGTATAATAGATATGTATCTGCTTCATTTTAGGATAAGAGTGGATTATAAAATTAAATTTTTTAAAGGTTACTAATTGATTTCTTTATATATTACATTTTAACCCAACTGAACAACCAAAGCAGCGATGCCCGAGTGGTCTAAGGGGGCAGATTTAAGTTGACCGGATGGTCGATGGAAACTCTGCTGTTGATAAACGCGCGAGTTCGAACCTCGCTCGCTGCATTATTCTTGTTTTTGTATCTGTGATACAAGAAGTACAAGACATCAAGGTGCTACTATTAGTTAGTACCCTTCGTCTCCTCTTTAACTAACTACCCAATATGGTCATAATAAATACAGTACTGTATATTATTGCTCTTATGTTACCTGTCTTTGAACTCCCATATGTTGCTCTCAGAAAAAGCAACAAAAGAAACCTTTACATCTCTTGTACAAAACCAAAAATGATCCTTAAAACACCCACAACGCTCTGATACAGCCAACTTTTATCTGATGGAATCTATTATACTTTTTGTGTTCTACCTTGTCGTTTCAACCTCCACGTACTACGGGTGTAAACTGGTCAAGGAAGCGAAGAAATTCAATTATTTAGAGGCGGAAACCATAAAATAAACGGAGAAAACTATGCTTCGTAAAACAATTTCTTCAAAATCTCTGAGGTTTTTTAATAGACGACTCTTTGGTACGAGTTTTCCAAGATGCAACAGTCAGGCCGTACCCGAAAACCAAAGCAACAAAGATACCACTGAAAACGAGAACACAGAAACGAAGAAGAAGCCTTCTCTGGCACAAGAGTCTCTCGATACCCTATTCCCTCCTGAAAGTTACGATGATGATGGAGGAAGAGATCATTCCAAGGGTCCCAAGTATACTAGCTCCACAGATATGCGTCGTGAACGTAACGCTAGATACTTCAGCTGGGGAGTATTAGGTCTCATGGCCGGCGGTGTCGCTTACTATGGACGCCGTTACAGTGAAAAGGAAGCAAAGCTGGCTGAGCGTTATCCTGCCCCGGGTTTGTCCATCTTAGACTGGTGGACAAGAGTCAAGGCACGGACAGTAAACTTTTTTGACTATTATCAGGAGCCTGCATTTGATAAGCTGCTTCCAGATCCTTTGCCGGAGCCTTACAATCGACCTTACACATTAGTTCTTGATTTAGAAGATCTCCTCGTCCACAGCGAATGGACTCGTAAAAACGGTTGGAGAACTGCAAAACGTCCTGGTTTGGACTACTTTTTGGGCTATCTTTCACAGTATTACGAAATCGTTATTTTCACAAAACAGTACACGAATACTGCTCGTCCAGTTATCGAGAACCTTGACCCTTACCACATCAGTGTGAGCGCTGCTTTGGGTCGTGAACATGCTAGATACGACCATGGAAAGATTGTTAAAGATCTTAGCTTCATGAACCGTGATTTATCGAAAATCATTCTGGTAGATACTGACCCTGCTGCCTGGTCTGCTCAACCGGACAACGCCATTGCGATGGCCCCCTGGACGGGTGATGCAAATGATCGTGAGCTTGTTGGTTTGATTCCATTGCTCGAATTTATTGCCATCATGGATATCAAGGACGTTCGTCCAGTATTGAAGAGTTACCAAGGAAAAAATATACCTCTTGAATACGCACGCCGTGAAAAGAGTCTTCGCGACCATCTTCGCCGTGACTGGGAGGCTAAGCGTTCACAGAAGACCTCATTCTTTGGAAAGCCTGTGTCTAACGAGCCTCCAAAGCTCTTGATTGACATTCAGCGTGAACGTCAACAGGCAGCTTATGCCGAATTCAAAAAGTACATTGACGAGAACGGTCCTAAGCTTTTGGCTGAAGAAAAGGCTCGTCAAGCAGAAGCCAAGACCACGCTTGCTGATGTTTTAACAGGAAAGGTAGAACAACCTCAAGAAGCAGCTCCTGCAACAGCAACTACTACAGTCGCAAATGACTCAAAGTAGGAGTCATGTCCACTGGCTGGCTGCTGCAAGTTATCATCTGTAAATAATGTATGGATCGATTGCTACAAAAAAAGTCAAACTCATTGTTGAGACTTACTTCTATGTAACCGATTCTGTTTCTGCAGGTACTTGAAGTTGCATATCGTTCCGACATTTCGTATAAAATATAAGTATATTTTGTAATTAGTGTTTGGTTACACATCCACATTGCTGGAAAGTAACGAATGGGAATTGAGATTAAAAAGTCATTGTAGATTTACTTTGATTCTTTTTAGATACTACGACGACATAGTTGCTGGATGCCGACATTAAACAAGCGTATTTCCATCCTTCTGTAATGGTGAAACAATTATTTAAACACAGCATCACCATAGTGTGTTTGAATTTCAGCGATGTAACTGGATAGACTTTGCACCATTACAGCTTTTTGACTGGAGATATTTATATCAGTTAGGACGCATTGTTGCAAAGCTGTTGTTTAATTACTCGGTTACACAGTCGCATAAGATTATTAACACTAATATGTTCGATCAGCAAACCAGATATTGTAAAGCACATTAACAATGAAAGATTTTACTTTCATCACTCTTAATTGGCGAAACATGTTGTAAATCATATAAACATAAAGTAATGTATCCCATGGAAAGAACAATCCTTAAACAAAGCATCTCCGTTTCGATGTCGTTGACTCAATGACGTGAAGAATATTAAAAAATGAAGAGGCGCCCACTATTTCATTAATTAAATGTATAAAAACGATTAACGAAACTGTTCAATACTAGAGAATCTTCATTTTGATGTCTTTCTATGCAAAGAGTTGTGGTACTGGATACCGACAGAAGACTCACTCAGTACTGGCGCTGGTAACCTGGCCCACTTGCGGAACATAAGAATAATTGACAGTCCATCTTCACGATTCGAGATTCTTTTAGAAGAGGTTTTTTGAACTTGTCATTAAGGACCCGTACTAATTCGTGTTTCCTTTGTCATATGTATGATGGGAATCTTACTATTAGCAATTTGCTTGATGAGTGTATTTTGGAGCGTTCCTTTGTTGTAAGTGATGGCATAGCAAACAAATAGCAAGTTGTTACTTTTAGTAACAGGTAAATGGCAGTTTATCACTTTTCTTATAGTTCTGCTACAATAAGCGTCCGTGTCAAAGAGATCTGAGATACAAAGCAATTAGTGTGATGTGCGAGCAAATCAAGACACTCATACTTTAGAATTCGACAGTCTATGACGGAATTAAATTAATTATTAAGTAAGCTGTGATATATTACAGGGCCCCCGAACACTGTTAACTCCAATTATAATTCCTCCTTTCAGCAGTATTTCGACTATTCTGCAAAGCCTAGCCCGGTTTGAATAATAAAAATCTTATGTTATAGTTCACTTGTTTCGATAAAGTCATTTGTAGATCCAGTACAGAGTCAGCTTAAGAAAGACGATAATCCTTTCAATTGCATTTTCATTGTATTGCCGTAATCGCTTTTGGAAATACATTATTCGAATATTTATCTTCTCGTTTAGACAACCTTATTAAGTATAAGGTTAAGTATAAGGTTTTAGAACTCTTGGTGGTGAGTTCGTTTCAATCCACTATGCACACTTACTTTAGATCTTACAATATCTTTGTCGCCAACACAGACATCATCAGGACACAACTCCTCGCACGCTAAATTAAAACGCGCAACACGTAAACAATGCCTGTCAAGTTTCTATTTTATAACATGACATGCTTAACTTCATGACGCTCGTTTATCCATCATTTGCTACAGAATCGTGAGTTCATAGCAGCGAAAGCATCATTACTTCCATGAAAACTTGTTATAACGCAGAAAATAGTCGAACTATCCAAATCCGTATTGTATCTCTTCAAGAATAATCCACGAAGCTCATTTACTGCGTCCATAAAAAAGCATTCATTTCTTGTCAATACGAAGCGTCTAACTACAAATGTATTTAAATTAGCTTAACAAGTCCTTTTAAGCTGCTTAAACTTTATTTTCAGTATCGGTTTTTCCACCGTTAATTGATTTGGGTTTTCTTAATAAAACATCATCATGACTCTAAAACATGAGTCGTTAGTGTAGCCTGCAGATACTTTGATCCTCTGCATGCATTTTTAACGATCGTGTTTTAAGTAAAATTATGCAAGTACTTAATAAATAGTTTTAGCACGACTTTTAGCAACTTGACAGTAACTTCATGGGTTTGACCTGTCTAACAATGTCTGACATTATTTCAATAAATATACAATTACAGTCGTATTGCAAGAATGGATGCTAATTACTCGATTATAGGGCACGCGAACAAAATACGAGAAGTCCAAGTTGTGCACCACAATTACCAAATGAAACCAACTAAGAATAATTAGTAAGTGCTAATTTTGTTGACTATCGGCATCGTTAAACCGCGAACCCCACTCTTCTGCAAGCAATGAAAGCATGATTCATACGTTAGAATGAAAATTGGATGAGGTATGTGAAGAAAGAGACAGTGTATCAATGGATTTGTGCCTGCTTTTTAAAAGGTATGACTTGCCGTTAGTGATCAGATCAAGCGTGATTAGCTTTGTAACGACCCAACTGACCATTTTTGCAAGTTGAATTGGACGGTAGAGTCAGTCGATGGGATGAAACCGCGCATGTACATGTGGAGGAGATCTGCCAAGTTTAAATAATACATCATATATGTGCAAGTTTTTACCTTAAAGCTTGAGACATGTCCACAGTTGTCGCTACATGAAACAACGGTCGAGATGCCAAATGACTCGATGATTACATGCGTTCACGGTGAATTAAGGCAATGAATGCAGATCAACATAAGACATATCAGAATGGAGCTCTTTAAACAACATGCTGTTAACAAGCACTGTCCGAGTTAAGAGCGAGCCCAACGATTGCTTGTAACATATTTTTCTTCTAAGATTATGAGGATACAGTTGTATTCCCTATTTCCTATCGAAGCTGCTTCTTATATTAATTTTAACAGCATAACAGTGAACACACACGAGTCTTTTCCCCAAGCACCAAAGCATGCTATTTCTTGACCTTTTTGTGCGAGCTCATTGTGTACAGAATCTTGATCTGTGTACCTATATCATTTCTTGAGGTAATTCCCCATCGACTGTTACATTGACGAACGCACTTCTCGACTCCTTCGTTATAGCCGATATCATTGCACCCGATAAGCTTGAAGCCAATTCTATACTGACGATGCGGTTTAGCTTCTGAGTATTTTTTTTCCAGTACATCCTCAACGGAGTAACGTTCTCGTGACAATTCGTCATTCCATCTAGCGTCTCAAGCCACAAAATGACTCGAGTAACTATTCAATTTAGACTGCACTTTTGAATGAGTCTGCACACTCGGAGTAATACGAGAGTCTGAGAGCACATTTTGTCGACAGAATCCAGAGTTAAGCACAAACTCACAATGCTTCTTCATTTCAAACAGTTTCTGGTCAAAAAAAAAGGAAAACGCATAGTAGCATTAAAGTAGCAAATTCATCACTTAACAATTAAATTCGCGAAGCCCTGAGAAAAACCGCGGACAAAACATAAAAACAGCAAACCAGCAGGGACTTTTAGAATCGAGTTTACGTTCTTCTTTCTCATGTTACTAAGCCATACGCCGCTTTAAAACCCTGCAACATCCCGCTGGTCAATGCAGCTTCAAGTCACTGCAGGAGAGTGCAGCTCCTAGACTGGCTTCTCCCCCATAAGCCCTCCACCAAAAGTACCATGTTACACTCTAACAAACTCAACCAAAACCAACCACCAACACGAACCAAGCAGGCGTGTGGTTTCTTTGTAAGAAACTTTTACTGTGTACATTACTTTCTTATCGTAACTTACGAAACATTATTACATAAAGGTTTCTTCGACGGTGTGTGCAAATGAGACTGAAAGATATCTCACGGAATGGAACCTTTGCATGGTCTCCTGCTGGCGTAAATAAAAACCAGAGTCTACTGGCAGTAGCTCCTTTCGCCGGCAGCGGTAGTTCGAAAGAAGACGAGGAAGCTAATCTTGAGCTTTGGGATACAAGCTCGGAAACTCGTGCTCCTCTTGGCAAGACCAGTGTGGAATCCAAATTCTTCGACATTTGCTGGGGAAAGAGTGAATCAAACCCTTACGGCGTTATTGCCGGTGTACAAGAATCGGGAGTTGTCAGCTTGTGGAACCCCGAAAATATTCTAAACAATGACTCTGGAAAATGCCAGATTGACAGTTTCTCTACTGGCGAAGGAGTCCTGCACAAGACTTTGGATGTTAACAGACTTCAAAATAATCTAATGACCACTGGTGATGACAAAGGCGATGTTTGGATCTGGGACATGAACGACTTTAAGAACCCTTTTACTCTTCCACGCCAGAATCGTGCTTCCGAGGTGCGGACGGTCGCTTGGAACAACAAAGTTGCCCATATTCTTGCCTCTGGCAGCGATTCCGAGTATACTACCGTTTGGGACATGAAGGCCCGACGCCAGGTGCTTACACTCTCATACATGGGAGCCTCCACTTTGTCGGCAGCAACTGGTGGTATCAACTGTGTGTGCTGGCACCCTGAGAACGCTACACGTTTAGTGACAGCTATCGATGACAACCGGAACCCCGTCATCCTCACTTGGGACTTGCGCCATCCCAGTGCTCCGGAGTCAATCCTTACAGGCCACCAGAAGTCTGTCTTGTCAATGTCGTGGTGTGCAAGCGACCCCAGATTCTTGCTCAGTTGTGGTAAGGATGGTTCTATGCTTGTTTGGGATACTACGACGAGTGAATGCTTGGGTAGTTTCCCTCGTTCTGGCAACTGGTTTACCAAGAGCTCCTGGTGCCCTAGCAATCCCAATCGTGTTGCTTCGACTTCTTTGGACGGTAAGGTTTCTATCTTTTCTATCCAAAGTTCCAATATCGATAAAACCCAAGAAGCTAATCTTCAACGTGCTGCCGCAATTGATGACAACGAGTTTTTCAACACATTGCCTACAATTGCTGGTTCGCAGGAGCCCAGTTTCTCGCTTAAAATCGCACCCAAGTGGTCAAAGGTTCCCGTTGGTGGTCGCTTCGGATTTCCCAATGCTTTCGTTCATTTCAACTCTACTTCCTCTGTTGTGAAGATCATTCCTATTGAACCTGATGCGAACGAGGTTGAGGCTGCTGTCGTCCAAGTGTCTGAGAATAAGGATCCCGCTTCTATCGAGAAGTTCTGCGGTGAGCAAGCCGAGAAGGCTGATTCTGATAGCTCTGCACTCAACTGGAAGTTGTTGGGCGAGATAAGCAAGAAGGCTCCTAGAACCCGCTTTTTGGAACTGTTGGGATTTGACCTTTCTTTTAAGAAGACTACCGGCTCCGAAAGCGTTGAAGGCGAGAAGGAGGCAGGCGCAAAAGATGAGAGTTCAATTACTCCTGAGAACAATGCAGAGAATCTCAGTGATGCTGACTTCTTTGGTAGTCTCGCAGCAGCAGAGCCTACCGCTGCTTCTCCTGCTGAAAGCACTTCCACGCAGGGCTCCAAATTTTTGCCTTTCTCCTTGCCATTCAATATCTATGATGAGGATACATCGTCCGAAGAAAATGTCATTACGAAGGCCTTCATCGTTGGTGATGTAATGTCAGCAGTCAAGAAGTGTTTGGAGTTAGAACGATTTGCCGATGCCTTTATGCTTGCGACTTTCGGTGACAATGCTTGCAGAAAGCTTGTTCAAGAAACGTTTTATGAAAAGAACAGTCGCACCTCTTCGTATCTTCGTCTCTCTACATCGGTTGCCGAGGGTGATCTTAAAAATACTGTGCGTAATGCTGCTATCACAGAGTGGAAGGATGTATTTGCTTGCATTTGCACTTATGCTTCAACTGAAGAGTTCCAGGAATTGTGCAGTGAATTAGGCAATCGTCTTGAACAAAGCGATATCAGTGATGCGGCAAACTGTGCAGCTTTCTGTTATATCGCCGGACAGTCACTTTCTAGCTTGGTGCGCCTTTGGCTTTCCGAGTTTAACTCGGCTACGGAAAAGAGCGATGAAGAAAAGGAAGATGTATCTATCTTCACGGTTTATGTTCAGCATATTTCAGCTCTTCTTTCCAAAATTTCGATGTATCGCTCACTGGTCTCTTTTAAAGACCCCGAACTTACTAAAGATAAGGACTGGAAATTGGCAGATCTTTACAGAGTTTATCTGACCTACATTCGTATTTTAATTTCTATGAACAAATTGGATGTTGCGAAGGAGTGCTTGGATTTACTTCCTCCAAAATTTGATGGCGTTGCTGAAGAGCGTGAACGTCTGTTTGGTAAGTTGAATGCGCCAGCTGCTGCTCCTACTGTCCCTGCTGCTGCTGTACCTATCAACAAATATGCCGCTCGTCCTGCGCCTACGTCCTGGGGCTCTATTAAACCAGCAGGTTCCATGATGCCTGCTGATTATAGCCGGCCCGTGCCTTCTGCAATGGGTCCTCCACCTGTTGTTAGTCCTCTGGGGGTACCCGCTAATGCTCCTCCCAAGGTTTCTCGTGGTTCAGTGGATGTGAGTGCTTCGACTACCATGGCTGGTTGGAATGATGCTCCCATCATCTCTAGACCGCAGGTCCGTGCTGCTCCTACGACAAGTGCAATCGTGAGCCCATTTCCGTCTTCTGGTGTAACTTCACCCTCGTACCTGTCACGCACAAACAGCGTGTCAAATTTACAACCTCCTCCCATGGGTCTTCACCATGGCTTCCACGAGCCCGCACCAGTGCCTGCACCACCTAAGATTGGTGAATCTTATCAACCTCCCAAAGCATCGGTTCCCAAAACGACAGCAGCAGCAGCGGCCACTCCATCTTCTCGGCCTAACCCCTATGCCCCACAAGTTTCAAGTCCTCAGATGAAGCCTGTCGGTGGAAAAGCTGCTGCACCTTCCTCCGTGCCCATTCCTCCTCCTAATCCTTATGCTCCACAAGCTACGATGTCTCCCGGCTTGTCTACTCCTTCTGCACAACGGCCGCCTCGTGCAAATGTTATTCCTCCTCCTCAAAACGTTCAACACGGTTACGCTCCTCAGCATGCACCTTCCTTTACGCCAGCCTTTGCTCCTCCCCCTATGGTCAATAGTCCTCCTCAAGCTCCCCCTGCTGCAGTTGCTTCGGCCACAAAGAAGCCTATTCCTGTTGAATTGAAATATCCCGCTGGAGACAGAAGCCACATTCCTCAAAATTTGATGCCTATTTTTGAGGTTCTTAACGGGGAGATTACTCGTATCTCAGAGAGAGCCCCTAAACGAATTGAAAGAGTCGTTATTGATACTAACAAGCGTTTGAACATGCTGTTTGACCGTTTGAACAACGACATGCTGCCCGAGAATGTTACAGCAGAACTTTTGAACTTCGTTTCGGCGTTCTCAAAGGGTGATCTTCAAGAGGCTTCAGCTATACATATGAACATGATCACCTCTATGAGCGATCATTGTGATCACTGGATCGTTGGCATAGGCCGTCTTATTACCCTCCGGAAATCCACTCCTTAAATTGTCACTGTTTGCGTTTTACTTTTCCCTCGGCATTAGAACCTATTCGTATGATGACAAACGAAATGGCTGGTAGTAATAAATTATGAAGCTTGTTGAGTTTTAATATTTAAAGAAAACAAATATTGCATTCTACCTATTAGGACATTTAGCTGTCTACGTATGTCATATTTATAATGTCTAAAGAATGCTTATGAAATTTGAAGGACCTTTGAAAGAATTGAAGAAGGTGCTCAGATGGAAGGAGCAATTGCATCCCTAAAGGAGGGGGATCTTGAAGCATTTGACTGTATCCTAGCGTTTCGGATGGGGGTTTCTTGATTTGAAGGAAAGCCGGGGGTGTAGTAAATGGACTTGGTAGCTGAGTTAGACACAGAATTTGCGAAGCTGCAATTAGACTTTCCTGAATATGACTTCCTCACTAATCTGGGTATCATGCTTTTAGGAGTCATCGCAACTGAATTGCCATTTGTTGAAACATCAGAGTTATCAAGCTTTAGTGTCGTTAAACCTTTCATGCTTTTAAAACTTTGAGGGGTAGATTGGAATTTCATGTCTCCACAGTTTAAAGGGGTTTTCTCGGTCGTTACTTTAACGCAATTCTCAGGTTTCAGTTTAACTGTGTTTGATTTGGGAAGAGAGTCATCTTGGTGCCAATATGTGTTTGACAAATCGGTTATGTCCTCTGATTTACGAGAATCAGCGAGACATTTCTGTGTGTCTTTTGTCTGCAGTTTCATTGGTTGTCGCTTAGGCTGAATAATACTCCCAGGTTTTGATTGATTGAATGATGTGTTAGTAGTGTTAGTAGTATTCGTCGAAATGGTTCCAGAATGCCCGAAGTTGTGTTTTAATGGGGTTGAGAGAGAGTGTGTCTTTGACGTATTATGAGAAGGCTTGTGCGAAAAGAAGTGATGTTTTTCAGCGTGCTTTCCTTCATGATACGAACGACCCTCATGAAGAGACTTTTTTAGTGCGTGTGTCAGGCCATGGAGGTTTCTACGGAACCAATTAGCTGTTTTTGAATGCTTTCTTGAGGATGACTTCTTTGAATCCAACGAATCCCGTAGTGTTCTTTCCGACAAAGAGGTGTACCGCGCGGGTGAGGATGGGGATATGGTGCTTTCAATGATTTCGTTACCGTTCGAGAAGTACCGTAGGATACAAAGCTTCGCAGAAGGACGCAAGTTCGGATTCCACGCTAGAAGCTCGGTAATCATTTTAGAGTGTGCACCATGCCACTCGTCTGGTAATAAGTTTTCAATTGGGTAAGGTAAATAATCCGGAAAAGCAAATCCCAATTTAGAAGCCAACATCCCCGCCATCTGCCACTCATGCACTTTGTTACAGTTTGGTCGAGTAGGATTACCGAGAATTTTACACATGCGATTGAGTTGATCCAATTCGTTGCGTCCTGGGAAAAGAGGTCGAAGCATGGCAAGTTCGTAGGCAATACAGCCAAACGCATACATATCCACTGCGCTATCGTATCGCCGCGTTCGTAGTAAAAGCTCTGGCGCTCGGTACCAACGCGTGGACACATACTCCGTGAACGGCGCAGAGGAATGAAGCGGCCTTGCTAAACCAAAATCGGCAATTTTTAGTGTGTACGGACAACTTGCTCCTTGATTTAATGCTTTGTTTTTGATGAGTATATTTTCAGGTTTAATGTCACGATGCATATAACCACATCGATGAATATGCTCTATTCCGGACAAAATTTGCCGCAACATTTCTCTCACAGTTGGAACAGAAAATTGTCGCCCAGCCCTTGACTTCATCAGTTGGTACAAGTTACAATCCATGTACTCCATCAAAATGTGTACATTCTTGTTGCGATCAATGAATGTCCGGAATACATTTATAATTCCTTCATGTTTAGAAATATGTTGAAGCGCCTGTGACGATTAATAGTCTGTATATGTAGATTTCGTACATTGGACTCTCGCATTCGTAAATCTTCCGCTCTCAATTGACATTGAACTTTGAGAGTTTTTATCGCTATCTTTTTTGCAAACGTTAGTAAATGCTCAATTGTCTGCTGGATCCTCATACAAGTTCATGTTTCATCTGCCCAGTTTTCGCTACAGCGAGATGTACTGTGCCGAAACTTCCATCTCCAAGCTTGCGACAGATTTCAAAATCCGTACTCAGAGAAGCAACTGCCGCATGCAATTGATCATTAGAAGACCCGTTATCCATAAACCTCCGTTATTAGAACAAAAATACTGCCAGACAAGTGTAATTGTGCACAATTGCAGTGCGTAAACAGATACGTTTTGAGTAGGTGAGTTCAAGAGAAGTGCATTTTAAGTCATCACACCAAGACCGAAACTTTAAATTTAAAGAGTGTAAAGTTATACATAATTAAAAATGTGAAATGATAAGATAATATGTCCGTATGCGAAATACAATATCGGTTCTTGATTTATGCATATTTTGTTTTTTTGCGAAAAACGAAAAGTATGCGTAAAACCTTCATAACATATATACATAACATTAAAAAAAACTATGCTATTCATAACAGCGGTGTATTATGTATAATCCATGTGTAATGCTCAGGGCATAACCAGTGATTTCAACCCATGAATTGAACTCAACCTCTTCACACCACAACCACCGAGGGAAAAAAGAAGAATGGTCGCTCAAAACTACAAGGTTGCAGATATTTCCCTTGCCGCTTTCGGCCGCAAGGAGATTGAGATTTCCGAGAATGAAATGCCCGGTTTGATGGCTATTCGTGAAAAATACGCTCCTTCTCAACCTCTTAAGGGTGCCCGTATCGCTGGTTGCCTTCATATGACCATTCAAACTGCTATTCTTATCGAAACCTTGGTTGCTCTCGGTGCTGAGGTTACTTGGTCCTCTTGCAACATTTACTCTACTCAGGACCACGCTGCTGCCGCCATTGCTGCCTCTGGTGTCCCCGTTTTCGCCTGGAAGGGCGAGACCGAGGAGGAGTACATCTGGTGTATTGAGCAACAATTGAAGTCTTTCCCCAGCGGTAAGCCTTTGAACATGATTTTGGATGACGGCGGTGATCTTACTGCTCTTGTTCATGAGCGTCACCCTGATCTTTTGAAGGACATCAAGGGTATCTCTGAGGAGACCACCACTGGTGTTCACAACTTGTACAAGATGTTCAGAGACAACCGTCTTAAGGTTCCTGCCATCAACGTCAACGACTCTGTCACCAAGTCTAAGTTCGACAACCTTTTCGGTTGCAAGGAGTCCTTGGTCGACGGTATCAAGCGTGCTACTGACGTTATGATCGCTGGTAAGGTCGCTGTCGTCGCCGGTTTCGGTGATGTTGGTAAGGGTTGCAGTACCGCTCTCCGTGGCCAAGGTGCCCGTGTCATTGTTACTGAGATTGACCCCATCAACGCTCTTCAAGCTTCCATGGATGGCTTCGAGGTTACTACCATGGAGGAGGCCGTCAAGGAGGGTCAAATCTTCGTTACCACCACTGGTTGTCGCGACATTATCCGTGCTGAGCACTTCGTGGAGATGCGTGAGGATGCCATTGTTTGTAACATCGGTCACTTCGATGTTGAGATTGACGTTGCCTGGTTGAAGGCTAACGCCAAGGACTGTGTTAACATCAAGCCCCAAGTCGACCGTTATGAGCTCAGCAACGGCCGTCACATCATTCTTTTGGCCGATGGTCGTTTGGTCAACCTTGGTTGTGCCACTGGTCACCCCTCTTTCGTTATGTCTTGCTCTTTCTCTAACCAAGTTCTTGCTCAAATTGCTCTTTGGACTGACAACAAGAGCTACCCTCTCGGTGTCCACATGCTTCCCAAGAAGTTGGACGAGGAGGTTGCTCGTCTTCACCTTGGAAAACTCGGTGTCAAGTTGACCACCCTTTCCCCTGCTCAATCCGAGTACCTTAGCGTCCCCGTTGAGGGTCCTTACAAGGCTGACTTCTACCGTTACTAAGCCTGTAACCTATACTGTGTGTGTTTCAACAACACACTCAACATGTTCAAATCATTTTCTCCGCTCCTGAAAACTTGTGCCAGTGTACTTTATGTAGGGTCTTTTAATGATTAGTCGTCTACACCATTTATGTAATATAAGATGCACATTTAGTGTAAGCTAGGAGGGTTTTCCGTTCATGTTTGTTGTTTGAGAGGGGGCTTGGAATGCAGCAAAATGGACAGTATACAACTGTTTTGAGTTTTGTGAAAAATGTATTAAACGAACAAAAAAAAATAAGGTCGTGAAAAGCACATGAGAAACCTCTTCCATTAAATTATGAATCAATAAGAATTTTCATCTTAGCCGATTGCTTTCGGTCACGCCAGTATTGTCTGAAAACATTGTGTTAGTAATAGAGCAAAATGGTCCGTCCCATCATCGACTTACTCGAAAGATTTTTTACACGTTTGATAGGAATCACAATCTGAAAGCAAAAGAACAAAGTCACCCTCGCGGTATTCAAGACCAGCAGGGGAACTCGTATAAGAATTCATGACACGGGTAGAGACAAATGCAAGCTTGGAAAGAATGGTTGGATGACGTTGTAAGAGATATTCCTAAAATGTCCGTTAGTAAACCAGTACGAGCAAGGACGGTCGCTTTTGTCAAGGGGACACCAAGTTGCGGATGCTGCACGGTAAATGCACCGTCAAATGCACACCCACAGTACACTCATTAACTTACCAATACCCCACGTTCACCATGTTCAAAAGGTGCCATTCTATAGAGTGGTTCATTCCACACGTCAAGCAAGAACTCGGCATAGTCGTTGTTCCGCAGCAAGAAGGAGCGAGTGTTTATGCCTTCGTAGTCTTGAGTAGTAATTAAATCAATCGCGTTGGGATCAATGATGCTCGATGTACGAACAGAAGGACCCACAGGATTGACGGGATGGTCTCTGAGAGAGTAGCGAGAAAGCTGTGAAGGTTCAAGAAGCTTATCTTTCAAAGACTCGAAAGGATTCATAATGATGGCATGAGGAGTTAAGTACCAAACCCATTCACATTCAGGATGCTCCTCTAAAACATCGCGAATAGCAGGAATGACTGCCCAGTTCTAGTACAAACACATGTTAAAATGCAGTCCTGTAACGAAAACAAGTGTCTCTTGCTTATGACTTACACTAGAATCATGCTCAAACAATCCGTAATCACCAGAACGTTTATGCTCAAATTTGTAACCTAAATTCGTGTCAGAGCAGGCTTCGTCTTCTTTCTCGCGTCTATTCAGCTACATACCGTGAAGAGCAGCGTAGCGTCGGCGATTCTCAATCAATTTCTCAACGTGATCTTGGTAATGAGGGTCATTTTCGTTTTCTGACGAATCCGTGACAAGTAACATTACAACGCTGTACGGATTACGGTTTTGAATCACTCTGTTACGAGCGAGAAACTGTTTTTTCGCAGCATTCGAGAAGTCCCCAATGGTCAAGTTCTTAAGGAAATAAAACAAACAGAGGATACTAACGCAGCAGACAACAACCAAACGAGTTCGCCGACTACGAAATGAAAGTTCCATCTTAGAGAAAAGCACAGAATTGGGTTCTAGGCCAAACTGGCTGCAGCTCGTACTTGGTACGAAAGACGTAGCAAATCCTTTCAAGCACCTCCTACTAATGCCAGCGCGTCCTGATATAGTGAAGTGCGCAGGAGTGTGTAGGGAAGCGTAGGAGATTGTTAATATCCTTAAAAAAGTGTGTAGGAAAGCGTTAAACTGGATAGTCAGAGTTAACGAGCTTCGTTACAGTTTATTAACGTGCTTTTGTCGTCTGCGCTGCCCCTCATTATTATGCTACACCAAAACTTTCAAATTAACAGAAGCAAAATAGAGCGCTGTGGTCCCGGGTATTGATCTTGGAGGAAGAATTTCTGTCTCGTACCTTACTAGTAACCGTCAGGTATCCATCAAAAACACAAAGGAGAAACAAGGCTTGACCGCCAACTCTGTTATAATCCATATTGATTCGTCTTTTGTTGCACGCTTTTCTTTTACAATCGTTCGTTTTGGTTTTTTGGTCACCGGTTATTCGTGATCATCCTCTGCCAATTTTATTTTTTTAGGTGCTGCTTTTTTGGATTTTTTTGTTTGAACATTTGTTCTCCTAGTTTTTTTACATGTCGAGTTTTGTTATTCCCACAATCAGAACCGTTTCTGATGAATTCACGGTTTCAGCCAAAGCACCTCCTTCAAAAAAGCAGAAGACAAAAGCTACTGGCTCAAAAAAATCCACGGTTTCCCTTGCAATTGACACAGGATGTGTCCTGCATGAAACAAATCTGCTCTTAAGAACGGCCCTCGTTTGGCGGGTAAGAATGAGTGAGACGAGCGACAGCAGACTAAGTTCCGTTGCTGCTCCTACCAAATGAACTCTTCCCTTAAACCAACAACTAACACCCTTTTTTAGATTGCTGGTCTTTTATTGACATTTAATGTCACGGAGGTGATTTTAGTTGAACCCAAGAAAGAAGCCGCTGGTGCATTAGAAGTAAAAAACTGCACCGAGTTCGTGGAAACACTGCTCTCCTACTTAGAAGCACCTCCGTACTTACGAAAGGCGTTATTTCCTCTTAACCCTGCGTTACGGTTCACAAGCTCGTTTCCACTGCTCGCATTTCCTCATCACAGTACGCTTACAACTTCGGCACAAAGCGTACGTTACCGTGAGGGCGTTGTCGAGGGAAGCGAGCCATATGTTCGTAATAAAACGCTTGTTTATGCAGGCTTGGACAAGCCAGTCCGTGTGCCGGGAAAGTATCCGAGAGGGACTCGTGTCACGGTCAGTCTGAAACAAGTACCCAAAAAGACAGCAAAGTCGTCCTTAAACAGCGATTGCTTTGAAGGCGATGTTGTTTCCAGCTCGGCACCAAGAGAAAAAGGCGGTTTGTATTGGGGATACACCATTCGGCGAGCTCAGTCTTGGAAAGATGCCGTTTCTTCATGCTCGTATAAAGGCGGTTATAGCCATGTAATCGGTATAGACCGTACAATTCCATCGTCGACGGGAAACGTCTTCGGTGAATTACAAAACCCCAAACACACCTTACTTCTGTGTTTTCTTTCCAAGCCCGGGAAGGAACAGTTAAGCGTTGTCACTCACTCCACAAATCCACTTCCCTTTGCCCTTGCCAGTCCTTCCTATGAGCAGTGCATAAGCAGTGCCCTGACTGAGCTATGTACACTAAGAAAAGAATAATAGTGAATACAGGAGCACATGTATGTAAGAGTTTCAAATGGTATTCTATCAAAGAGAGAGAGAGAGAGAGAGATAGAGCATAATTTGTATCGAAAGATGTTGAAGTGACGAACAAAGTATGGCTGAAATTCAGTACAACATATTCAACATTAGCAAGCGTTATGAGTATTGACAATGTAATGATTCGTTGAAGAACCGTTTATGCAAAAAACTAGAGGAACCGGTAAACGAAAGAGGGGATTTAAAATGAGTTAAGACAGGGGAATGAACCCAACAGTCGACCAGCAACGATACAAAAGGAAAAAAAAAACAGAAAAGCCATAAACATGAAAGGTTTCGAAAAGCTTAATGATCAGCCTGCGCCTTCGCTGCCGTCCGACGTCTCAAAATGTTTGTCAAGTAAAACTCACCGGCCTTATAACTGCTACGAACCAATGGTCCACTAGCAACGTAAAGGAAACCAAGTTCTTCAGCACGCTTGCGCCAGTGCTCAAATTTGTCAGGTGTTATATAAGCCTGCACCTTCATGTGACGTTTCGTAGGACGCATGTACTGGCCGAACGTGACAACGTCAACTTCATTTTTACGAAGCTCGCCCAACGTAGCTTCAATCTCTTCATCAGTCTCGCCCAAACCAAGCATGATACTGGTTTTGGTAATTAAGTGAGGCGACACAGACTTAGCGTGCTTGAGCACTCGAAGACTTTGTCTGAAGTTGGCCCGACGGTCACGCACAAATGGGGTCAATTCCTCAACAGTCTCGACATTGTGTGCAAACACATCTAAACCAGATTTGGCAACATGGGAAACCAAGTCCAGATTACCTGAAAAGTCTGGTGTCAATGCCTCCACAAGCACCTGCGGAGCCTTGCTTTTAATCAAACTGATTGTCTTTGCAATATGACTCGCGCCAGCATCTGCCAAATCGTCACGATCCACACTCGTGAGAACCACGTAGCCCAAACCCCATCGTTTGATGGCTTCAGCAGTCTTCTCCGGTTCGTTTGGATCCAAAGGCGGCGGCTTGCGACTGGTTTTGATAGAGCAGAATCGGCATCCACGAGTACACGTATCACCCATCAACATAATTGTGGCCGTAGCGCGTGTTTTATCTTTTCCACCCCAACATTCGCCCATGTTGGGACAGCGTGCCTCCTCGCAAACGGTGTGCAAGTTAAGACCACGCAGGTCATTTTTGATTTTGTTGAAATTGGTACCCAAAGGAACCTTTGTCTTCAACCAGGATGGCAAACGTTTGTGGACGGAGCCATTTGGGAGCACAACATTTTCTTCAAGCTCATAGGCTTCTTCTGGCTTCAATTGCTCTTCCTTGTCGCCTTTCAAGAAATCTGAAAATTTTGGTCCTGATGCCAATGCTTTAGACAAATCGCTCGCACATTTACGACCTTGTACACGGAAAGCCGAGATTCCTGCTCCAAAAATTCGACGATTCAAAATTCTCCCGCCCCGTCTGAACATATTGAGTTTGGTGAAGGACAGAAGTGGTTGACGCATTCATTATATATAAGCGTCTGATAAGCTTCATCTAAACAAAAATTTACACTGAAAATAAATGCATACACCTTTCAATTCATTGTTTTTATATTCAATTACAAGCTAAATGCTGTATAAATATGTATGCGAAATTTGCAGATTATCTGTCTTGCTGTTGGTCCAGGGGAGAGAATTCAAGACGTTTATCATTGGAGTAGTGGTAGTTCTGGCTTAGGAACACATCGCACCCCACACACCACAAAAATAACTAAGGAGCAACACATGACTAATTTTCATATTTTGCCTTTCACTTAATGAAATCAACTTCACATTGAACGTATTACATCTCGCTTGTCATGTGTTGAATTATTACCTTTTTCTGCGGCAATGTTCTATCAAAGGACACGTTACTGCAACCACTTACTCTCAAAACACTACCACCATTTCACAACTCAGAATTACCTGTATTGCTGCTCCTCCTACTGCTACTATAACTACCACCAACACACGTAGAAAGAGCTTGGATTGAGAGCACGAGTACTGTATAGTAGACCGAACTTCACGTAACCCAGTCTCGAATAAACTCTCTGCAGACGTTCACGTCTTTAAATGTCTTTTCAAGACCGTACAGCGGAATTCCAAGCTTGCGTGTCGGCTACAAAGTACAGATCGCGTACTGTTGGACGTATTGCAACGCCGAACGACAACAATGCTGCTGCTATAAAGCATCAAAAGAGCGATTTTACTCGTATTGCACAAAAAATTGCATCTGAAATTAATACAACGGGTCAAAAATTGCAGAGATTGTCTCGACGTAAGTATCAAACGACATCTAGAAACATGGTTTGTATTTCAAGTTCGTCTTACTAATGTCGACCTATAGTTGCTAAGCGGAAAACATTGTTCGATGACCGGCCTATTGAAATTCAAGAGCTCACGTATCTCATCAAACAGAGTCTGTCGTCTTTGAATGCTGATATCGCGTCGTTACAACAGATTGTTCGGCAAAACGCAAAAGATGGAAGAAATCAAGCGGCTCAAATTGACCAACACAATGAGAGTGTTGTAGTGTCACTTCAGAACTCTCTTGCGGACACTAGTATGAATTTCCGTGATATCTTAGAAGTACGCTCTCAAAACATGAAGGCCTCGCAGTCCCGGACTGAGAAGTTTGTGGCTTCAAGCTCAGTGACGGCAAATTCGGATGCTAACACTGGTAACTTCATGAATGCTTATAACGCTAACGGCGCGTCGGCCGCCATGAACAATGGCTCGCATGGAGACTATTTGTCTCTTAATATCGGCGACAGTGCGAACACTCGGTATGAACAAGTCGCACTTTTAGAAAACCAAGTCGATGCGTACTCTCAGCAGCGGTTGTCATCCATAGAGAGTATCGAAAGCACAATTACAGAGCTCGGTGGTATCTTCTCACAGCTTGCTCAAATGGTTTCCGAGCAGCGTGAGAGTGTTCAGCGTATTGACGCCAACACAGAAGACATTGTTGGCAATATTGGCGGGGCACAAAGGGAAATTATGAAATTTTATGCCCGAGTTACATCAAATCGGCGTCTAATGCTCAAAATTTTTGGCATTTGCATCTTATTTTTCCTTATTTGGGTGCTTGTCACTTGATGAAACTCTATTATGATTTTAGAACGCGCAATGTTGCTGTTCGCGATATCCCGTGAAGTCGGTGTTTTTTTTACAATTTAATTCACATTCCTTTTCTAATCGGATTGACCTTGACCTTCATGTTCGACTTCGACGGCACTTCGTTCAATCTCATCCAACTCCCATCCTGTTTCACTCTTTGTGATATGGCATTCTTTAACCTGTTGGGCTAATGCGAGTAGGACATTGTCACTGTGATTATGTTAGTCATTCGTTCTAGGTCAATCTGCTTCTTTCTCTTCTTACTTTGCGGTCTGACACCAGTAAGCATAGTCATCAATCAATAAGCGGTTGTATATATGATACACATCATGATGTTCAAACAAGTTCCGTATAGCGAGTAGCGTTCTCAGTATGTAACGGCGTCCCAGACGCAGAATCTCGAATGTGTCCTCCCAACACGTTTGAAACAAGGACCAGTTGCGGTACAGTGGGAACGTCAGGGAACGACGAGCACATGCAATAGCCACTTGCTTAACGTTGTTGAAATCGTTGTCGAGTGAGGAAATATTAACGGCCAACTTGCCAGTAGTCCACGCGGACTCTGTGGTAGGTTCGCCGTATGTTGTACGGTGATCATAAGCATAAGCAAAGATTAGTTCAATAAGGTTCAGGTATATTTTCTTTGGATTAGATATAAGATACTCCCGACGAGGAAGTTGCATTAGAACGCGTCGTTCTTCTTCTGTGAACTCGAATGGCACTGTTTCTCCTGCAGAAAACTGTTGATATGTTTTGCGATACTCTGGAACAAATTTGATCACTTCATCGATCTGTTCACTGTCAAAAAAGTCTGCCAAGTAATAGTCGGGATCAAACTTTTCGTCCTCAAGTTTTATCCGAAGCTCCTTTCTTTCCTCAACTGATGTACGCTCAGGATCCTCAAGGTCATTGACTTCATTTCCGACGAGAGCATTATACTTGAGGAAACCAGAGTACTGATCGTTGAAACCATAATGTGTTGTAGAGGTGTAATTCATCTATCAGTCAGTCAGGATTGCAATTAAACAATACTCGAGCAATGGAGTTTACCTTTTGATCTTCAATTCTCTGTAGTAATCCCCAGTCAAAATCTGGATCATCAAAGTGAACTTTTTGCCAATCAATCTGTGGTTCTGGAACAGGACCAGGAGGGCAAGAGGGGTCTGAAGGAGCATCCATTTCTTGAATGAGAGGCTTTTTCAATATGTTTGACTCTTTCTTTACCATCATAGTTGAGAGCATATCGAGATTGGGGAAGTCCTCTCCCGGTGTCTCTTTAGGAAATTGCACATGAACAACGCCTTCACTTACGTCGTAGGAAGCCTTCGCGTTTTCATCATCTATAACACGTCCAGGCAATTCAAGTCTACAGATGTGTTAACGGGCAATTACAGTAATTCCTGTCAAAACGTACTTTAAAAAGTAAGGATTTATACAGAAAGATACAAGATTTCCATCAGCGACAATTTCCACGTTTGCAGCCTGTATTTAGTATGCGTTTTGTAAAAATTAATAACGTACTTTGATAAAAGGAGCTTTAACATCTAAGAAGATGAAATTATTATCTTGTCGTATTGTAAATGTAGGTGTTATCATATTTGTTCCCGGAAGATGAGAAGTATTAAGTTTTCTGTCCTTTTTTACTAGATTCACTCGCTCTCTAAAGAATCTTCGTCGAAACAGTGCTAGTACAGAGTAACTGTGGAAAGTGAAAATTTAACATCTGTAACATTCATTGGGCTACAGATTCATATTATTTGAAAGTGAGATACACGTTTTCCATTGTTTACTGTGTTTTGAGAAGCTCTATTTCATTTCACAGGCAATTGTATGAATAGACAATGTTGAGACAAAATTTTCTGAATAGAATCCCAAAATTTGCTCAGCAGCTTGGTTTCCAGAAGTTTTCGTTCTCGTCGTCAGGCTTTTTGCTTTCAGGACATAACAGTAAGTAAATTTAGCTGGTAAAAAAGTATTTCTTTAAAAAAAATAAGCAATAAACAAAACAGCTACCTTAAATACTTACTTTGATACTATTGTTATTAAGAATTACAAGGATGTTCAACTTAGATTAAGAAATGCTAACAAGCAATAACAGAATGGTCAAAAATAAAACATAAGAAGGCAGAAAATGACAGAAGTAAGAGTTTGCGAATAGGAAAGTAAGTGATTCAACAGTGGGTACATAATTCCTTGGGAGATAAGTAAACGATTGCGATGTCTTTATTGTCAAATTGTTCGCGTAACTAATTTTATCCAGGCTATCCCAAGCCATTGCGCTTGCCGTTAGGGAAAACGGACCAAACCCATGTAACAATGTTCGCTTGGCAGCATACCTGGAAGAAGCAAAGAAGTGTACGAACGTCTGTAATAATTGGCTTTCACCTAATTAACATTCGATTAGTTTCTTTGACTAAAGCTGTCATAGAAAACGCGATTAAAAAGGGCTCTGGTATAGGAAACAAAGATGCACAAACATTAAACGAAGTGATTTATGAGTCCATGCACCCTTCCGGTGTTGGAATCATAGTTGAGACCATTACTGACAATCGTTCCAGAACGGCTGCATTCGTTAAAAACGTGTTACGAAAACATAACGCTTCCTTGTCAGATGTCCAATACCTCTTCGACAAAAAAGGGAAGCTTGAATTGAATGCGCCCAAGGAGTACACTGAAGATGTATTCGACAAAGTTGTTGAAGATGCGATTGAAGCAGGAGCGGATGATATTTATGAGCAAAAATTCGAAAGTGAAGACGAAAAAACGGAAGATGAAGGGGATTTTGTGGCTCTCACGAAAACCAATAATCTCAGTAAGGCTACAGAATATTTTCGAAAGAAGGGATACCACATCACTGATGCATCCATCTCTTACGTTCCACAACCGGGAAATGCTGTCGAACCTTCAGAAGATCATAACGAAGAGCTGCAAGATCTCATTGAGAAACTCTGCGATTTAGATGACGTTGTAGACGTTTATACAAACATAAAGCAGCGATACATGGATTGATAGAGTCACAAATTTCAACTTGGATGTATAAGCACATCTGAGCACAGATAAAGTGTTTTACCGGTAAAATCAGCAGCAGGATTAACGTCTTTGAACGCCACTGAGCGACGTGTCGTCCGTTGTCACACCGCTGATTGATGATTGAAATGGATTTGGGGAATGGTTCTCGTGTATAGCGGTTGTGCCATTTAAAGATGTGAATGAACGTGATAGTCGAGGAAGACTTAGAGTATCAATTGGAATGCGAGTATATGAAGTGTAGATAGTGGGAGTAAGTTGACGTTCAACGACTTGGCTGGATTGAACAGTACGATGCGATAGTTTTTTTTGTTTTTGAGCACCAGCAATTTCACGAATGAAAACTTCGAATATCCTTTGCATAACGGATGAATCAGGATCCAACGACTCAATAGCACTGCTGAAAGTCAACTGCTGCTGATGTTCAGCTAGATGCATGTTATAATTTTGAATTGCGTTTTCCATCAATTGCTTGGTTTTCTTTAATAAAATTACATCGTTGTTTTTTCTCAATTCGTCTTGTAATGGCCTCCCCATTTCCGTTAGCTTGTCAATCCTAAACGGACAATTGACTCTGGTCGAAATTTTCTGCTCGTTGTGGGCAAAGGAGCAAATGGTATAATGAGGCAAATTATCGGATTTTCTTAATTGATGATCCACCAGATATAAATATATTAGGACGAGGTATGTATTCAATGTATGGAAACACCTATGTGACAGATTGTTTAATGATGACAAATATTTGCAATTTACAGCTTCTCGGCCAAACCATTTCGAAATCGGTTGCAGCCAGGATGTAGATATGAGTAGGTAATAGTAACAATTGCATGTGGAAACTTTTTATGGTATTCAAATCGCGTCATTAAACCTGTTCATCAAGTCATTAAAATGGACTGAAGTGGATGTTGTAACCCGTATTCTAATGATGTATCGGTATTACACATTTCAGCCTTGTCCTTGCTCAATTAGAATTGTAATTACCAGCTAGAATTTGCCGTATTGAAGTCCCAAATTCAATTGACTGCTTTACTGACAAGAGTGATTCGAACAGAAAGATTAAGTGAACAGAATCGATGATGAAAAGAAGAGTTTGTTCTCATTTTTTGCAGCAATTCGTTATGCAACTTTCATAGGCTTATAATGAATCTAGTTTTCCCAGCTTTCGCCATGTCGGAAGCAACCGAAACCATTCATTCGTAAAATAAAGTAAATCAGTGAACAGGAAACTTCAAGTCAGAGAAGAGCTAATCGTAGGGAAGAAGTTTCCGAAGCGTCTTAGTCTGTGTTTTGTTTGAGTATGCAGGTTGAGCATGCCGAGAGCGAGTAGCACTTGGGGTATATCGATTCAAGTGCTGAGCGTATGCATGTTTTCGTTTAAACTGGCCATTAGGAAGTCGGCGCCATCTTTTCTTTGCACCAGAATGTGTTTTAACGCTGCGAACTGTTGGAAAATTGGTAAACAGAGGAGATTTATTAATGAAAGCGGAGAGAAAAGAACAGTTTCTTTGAAATGGTACCCAAAGACGAGTTAGAACACTCATTTGGAGTTAATTGACGTCGAAAGAGAGTAGAATTTGTAAAGTGAGAATGGGCTTATTATCAACAGGCCCAAAAAAAAAGAAAAGCAAGATTACTAAATATTTCAAAATTTAAATATTATAACTTGATCCAACTGAACGTTTGATGCCTTTCTTCAACGAAAAAAAAGCAGGAATAACCAATTTTTTAAAAAAGAGCTTGTTCAATCCACCAAACACAGCACCATAAAATGGACAAGGGATCTGCTTCGGATGAAGAATGGGATCAAGTCGGTATGGTTTTACATTTAGGCTTTTCATTAGCTTACTCAAATAGAGGAGATTTGGGAGGATGAATCGACTTTCCAATGTCTTTTTTGCAAAGACATGTTTTCAAGCTTACCTGAGCTCTGGGAGCACGCAAAGAAAGGTATGGCATTTATCTACGTTGTTACGTTTTGAAAAGGGAATAAAACTTTGGTTTTATTAACATAATAGTTCACAATTTCGACTTTGAGCAATTGAAGAAACAACATCAATTGGATTTGTACGGTTGCTTCAAGCTGGTCAACTATATCCGTAGCATGGTCAAATTGGGAGAAACTCCTGACTTCTCTGACGCTTCTGTCTTCGCTAATGAGAAATACATGATTCCTGTATTGGAGAACGATGCCGTTTTGTTTAGTCTCGATGAAGAGGAGAGTGACGCTGAACAGGAACAGCAATCTTCTCATGAGGCTTCTTCTCGTAACCTTTTACGCGAAAACGCTTCGTTGAAAGAACAGCTCAACGCAATGTCTAAGCAACTGAAAGCTCTTCAAACCCAAAAGCTTGAGGAGCTTACAAACGAGGTTAAAACCACATCTATAGCAACCGCAAGCGGACGAGACAATGACTCGTACTACTTTGAAGGCTACGCAAGCAACGACATACACTATCTAATGCTTAGTGATGCTGTGCGTACAGATGGCTATCGGGACTTTATTTATGGAAACAAGGATATTTTCAAGGACAAAATAGTTCTTGATGTTGGATGTGGTACAGGTATTTTGTCCATGTTTGCTGCCAAGGCTGGAGCCAAGCATGTTTATGCTGTGGATAACTCCAATATCATTCATCTGGCAATTGCTAATGCTGCTGAAAATGACTTGAGTAAAGATATTACTTTTATTCATGGAAAGGTTGAGGAAATTAAATTGCCTGTTGAACATGTCGACATAATTATTTCTGAATGGATGGGCTATGCTTTGACCTTTGAGAGCATGATCGATTCTGTTCTCATTGCCAGAGACCGTTACCTTGCCCCTGGCGGCTTGTTGGCTCCATCAGAAACACGACTTGTTTTGACGGCCACCACAAACACTGAAGTCTTAGAGGAGTATGTGGACTTTTGGAGCAATGTGTACGGATTCAAAATGAACGGAATGAAGGATGCAGCTTACGGCGAAGTGCATGTTCAAGTAGTTCCTGAAAGCTACGTTAATGCCAAACCGTTCGAGTTTCAAACTCTGAACATGCACAGCTGTGCAGTAGAAAATGTGAGTTTTACTGCTCCTTTTACCCTTCAAATTGAAAATGCTGGTCCTCTTTGCGCTTTTACTCTTTGGTTCGACACATACTTTTCTCGTAAAGCATCTGATGCTATTCCCTCTAAAATCTTGGAAGGCTATGGTTTCACTACTGGTCCTCATGGAAAGCCGACGCACTGGAAACAGTGTGTTTTGCTTCTTCGAGACCGTCCTTTTATGGAAGCAGGATCTCAAGTTACTGGAAATATTGAATTCTCTAAAAATAAGGACAATAATCGGGATCTTGACGTTACCGTTTGCTGGGACTTGCAAGACAAACACTACAAACAGACATTTACATTGAAGTAATATGCTAAGAGCATCGAAGAAAGATGTTCTGATTGGCGAAGGTGGCCAATCTGCACCAGCCAGTTCTTTTGGTTTATTTTGAGTTGACAATTTGAGGACGTGTGTTTGGTTTCACTCTCGATTACTACTGGGACTACGGTAAGAAAAATGTACGGGTTTTTGGATTATTTGCTATACTTAGTTTCATACTGTTTTAAGCAAGCTTTAAGAAAAATATCGATATTGTAACGTAGAATGCACAGAAACTTCATACTCTGCTCCATACATAAAGATTGCACATCCTGTAAACTTTCCTACTCCCTTTAAAACCACAAACTTTTGGTCGACATGTCTTGGAACTGTTCCTCCAGAACACCGTTCTCATCATGGAGTCCCATACACTTTATGTTAACAATTTGAACGAAAAGTTGAGAAAGGAGGATCTCAGGACCTCACTTTATCTGTTATTCTCGACATACGGTACTGTACTTGATGTTGTTGCCCTAAAAACTCCTAAAATGCGCGGTCAAGCACATATCGTTTTTCATGATCAAACTGCAGCTGCAATTGCTAAAAAAACACTTACAAACTTCATGTTTTTTGGAAAAGAAATGGTAAGAACTATTATATTATGCAATCAACTTCAACTAACGCGTATTTCAGCACATAGAATATGCAAAGTCTCGAAGCCACGCGTTGGAACGCGTATACGGGCACTCAAACATAAACAGAGGATTTAAAAGAGCTTTGGAGGGCCCTGAAGAAAACGAAGCACCAAAAAGACTCGCTGTTTAAGCAAAAATATGCTGTTTAAAGTACTGTATTACGAGTAATGCAGTAGCTATCGTTATTATTCTATTGCGATTTTCTGCGAGAATTTGCGCGCCTTTCCTCATAACCCTTTCCTATAGCTTGGCTAGCAACTTTCGAAGCGGCTTTCAGCGCGATTTATTTCGTGCAAATAAAAAAAAATGGTGAAGGACGTGACCCTGGATTTTGTTCCTTCCAATTACTGTAGCTGTAGCTGGTCTACTGATGGAAAAATTGCTCTTTGCAGTGGTGACAAAGTGCAAGTACTGGTAATTACAGTTAACGTTAGATGCTCAATGAAACACTATTAACCGTCTACTTCAGATTCCGGACGTGTCCGTATCGGGTGCTACTTTTGTAAAAGCTCATGCAGCATTAAATCAAGATGACTCACTTTCACTTGTTCATTTGTCACGTAAGTGAACCTGTAGTCTCTAAGCATAAAAGAAACAGACAACTGACAATCTATGCTTAGCTGTGGACCTTCGTGTTGGTGACCTCCTTGGTTCTGTCGTCTGTAAAGCATTGGCTTGGTCGCCGATGGGACTTTCGGACAACTATGGGTATGATTTGCAAAGGCATAGGTTCTGTAAATAGCTACCGTAAACATGGCAGCAATGGTCAGTAATGCCTTCTACTTTCTCCGTGTCTATTACTATTACGTTTTGTCACGTCTTCAATGTGCTCGAATACTAATTGAAGCACAGCTGTATACTCTCCGTATTGACTAATGATCACAAAGTAATATTTTATTCTTCCCAAAGTCGATCTGCACACGGAAAATGGAAGTGCATACTTAAAATTAATGACTTCATTACTAATGAGAATCTTGGTAGCCGTAGGCTTCACAGCTTAGCTTGGTCGCCGGCGGCTCACCTACCAGAATTCGATCCTTGGGGAGTGTCAATATTTGCTGTGGGTAACGAAAATGGTCAAGTACTGTTGGCCGAAATGTTTCATGGCACGGCACCTAGTTTCAAAACTATAAATCTAAGTTGTTCATGGATAAAGCGTTTAGCGTTCTCTTCATGGTATCCAAAAGGAAATTCCACATACTGCCTGTTGGTTTGTGCATCTGCGCTAGGCGGGTTATACATATTGCAAGTGGTAATTGATGGGATAACACACAAAATTTCTGTCACTGTACAAACAATTCTACAGCAAGAACGCTCGTATTCTACTTTGGCTCCTTCACTAACATGGACGCCTATTGTTGATGGTTGTCAGTATTTGGTAGTCATACAAAGTAACCGGTGCTTTTACGTTTGCCATAAACCGACTACAAACCAGCTCTTTCCCGTTGTTGAAAAATCACTTAAGTTCTGTTCGCGAATTGCGGGTGTCTCAGTTCATCTTTCTGCCGCGAATGAATTAATCATATTCGTGCTGAGTTCAGATGGTGAATGTGAAGTTATATCTTTAAATTCTGAAACCATTTCACAAAGTGTTCTTGAGGATCTTTCCGTCTTAATGAAGTTTTTTGCGTCAAAACTTCGATGCTATGGCGAACATGAAGAAGACAACCGTGATGTATTTATGGCATATGGATTCGCACCATCACCACATGCATCTTTCGCCGCTGTTCACTTCGGTATTGCTCTTCCACATGAACTGAGATACACGATTAATGCCTATGAGCGTAGTTATTTAACAGTGTCAACACCTTGTTCTAACAAAAAACAAATATTAAAACGAATCCTAAAGGACGCCTTAGATTCATTTATTATCTGGCCTTCCGAAGGAATATTATGGGAGCTTGCAACACTGCAGGCAACCACAAAACGACAGCCGGATGTTGTCAATCTTCTTCATGAATCTGTCAAACCACTAGTCCCAACAGATTTGTCAGCTACATTTACTCTCCCTCCTGGAAATGCCGGCGTACTTATCATAACAAATTCTTTCTCAAACTTATCGTGGAATGCAATGCGCTTACTTTATGGCTGGAGCGTTTACTTCGATGTATGATTCAATTTTTGTTTTCGCTAACTAACTATTATTTCTTTAGAAGGAACCTAGTGCGGAAATGCGAACAATGTTACGATTTACATTAATATTCACTGTTCTACAATATGTGATATATGAAGTGTCTAAATCACCGCTTTTTTTAACTAGCAACTGCAGAAAGATTCTGAAGTGCTATTTAGCTGATGGCTATAAGGAGTATGGGGATAAAGATGCAGCTGTCAAATTATTCAGCAAGGTTGAAAAGATACTTTCCTCTTCAGAAAATCACAACGAATACTGTCCTGCTTGCAACTCAATCATTGAATTCCAGGATCCAGTAAACGCAACTTGCTCAAAAGGACACGTCTGGCGTACGTAAAAAAACAACAACAACACTGTTAGAGCCTCACTAACACATTTAGGACGCTGTGCACTTACATTCTTACCCCTTTCCGGTATCGATACTCGGTACTGTGGAGTATGTCGCTCGGCGTACAGCGGAATGTCCATAATGCCAGAAGAACACTGTTTAACGGGTTTTCTTCTCACAAAATTTAGTCTTTGCTATTACTGTGGCGGTAGACTTTTAGGAGAGTAAGTATCTTTCCTTATCTTTAAAAGACAAACTTTTCAATAATATCAAAACTGCTTTAACAACATTCTATTTGTACCACTTGGTTTTTGCATGAGTATTTTGACTACCAAAATTAAAGTTTGAGAAGCTTAAGCATGAAAGTAGCGCCTTGAACCTCTTGCTCTTCATTAGCAATAACGCCGGAAGTCTCACCATCATCTGCTTCAAGATTTCTTCTCAAGACCTTCTCAAAAAGACCCTGGTTGGCCTTGATGGCATCAGCCAAACCGATGGAGTCATTGGTCATACTGTAAGTCATGCGGATATCATCGGTAACCTGCAACTGACTCTTCTTACGGAGACGTTGAACACGGTTAATGACCTCACGAGCCAAACCTTCACTTTCTAACTCAGGGTACATTCTCGTATCAAGGAGAACGACAACATGACGGTCGGTATTCGACTTTAAGAATTCATCGGTGCTTTGAACGGAACGATGGATTTGGAGGTCACCTTCAACGAGTTTGATACCATCAAGAACCATTTCTTTTTGAATTTGGAAAGCCTTAACTTGTTCAGAAGTGACTGAAGGAAGAGCCTTCTTGACCTTAGCCATGTCCTTACGGAGCTTCTTACCAAGAACAGGCCAATCAGCTTGCACACTGTAAACAACACCGTACTTCTCCTCATCAGCGGAGAAAATAACCTCACGGACATTAAGTTCCTCCAAAATGTATTTCTCAAGAGCCTTGACATCATCCATGAATTCATTGTCAGTGGCAACGACTACCATAGTCTTCAAAGGCACCTTAAGAGAGATGTTGTTTTGTTCACGGATGTAGCGACCCAACTCAATAACGTTTTGAAGACGAGAGACTCTGCGCAAAACAATGTTATCAACCAATTCTGGACGCACAGTAGGGAAGGAAAGGAAGTGAACAGAACGCTTGGAAACATCGTTCTCATCAATGTTAAGATAAGCCTTCAAGTGTTGGTAAATGTTCTCGGTGATGAAGGGGGTGAAAGGAGCCATGGTTCTAACCAATGTGTAAAGAACCTCGAACAGTGCAGTAAGAGCAGCGACAGTCTCGGCCTCGCCATCCTCACCCTTGAGACGACGACGGTTGAAACGAATGTACCAGTTGGTCATCTCTTCAATCAAACCAAGCAATTGAGGAACGACAGTGTACAAACGGTAAACAGACATCTCATGATCGACGAACTCAATCAAGCTCTGGCATCTAGCAATGATCCATCTATCCATAACATTGGCACTGGCGGGTGCGTTCTCGTCGAACTTAAAGTCCTTACCAGTGACCTTCTTGTAAAGGGAGGCTTGAGCTTCGAAGAACTTGTAGGAGTTCCACCAGGGAATCAACACACGGGCAACAACCTCCTTGACACCATCCTCCTTGAACTTAAGAACCTCAGCACGGACAACGGGCGAGTTAATCAAGTACAAACGCAGGGCATCAGAACCATATCTCTCAATAATAAGTCCAGGTTCAGGGTAGTTCTTGAGACGCTTAGACATCTTCTTACCATCTTCGGCCATGACCAAACCACTGACAATGACATTCTTGAAAGGAGCGGTGTTGAACAAGTGAGTACCGAGAACAGTAAGAGTATAGAACCAACCACGGGTTTGGTCGATACCCTCAGAAATGAAATCAGCAGGGAAACCTTGTTCGAATTCCTTCTGGTTTTCGAAGGGGTAGTGACGAGAAGCATAAGGCATGCTACCGGACTCAAACCAACAATCAAACACCTCGGAAACACGACGCAAAACACCCTTTCCTTGTTTAGAAGGAATAGTGATATCGTCAATAGAATCACGATGCAAATCAGTGATGTTCTTCACACCGGAGAGCTCCTCCAGCTCAGCAATAGAACCAATGCAGACAACTTCCTCATAGTCCTCGCTGACCCAGAGAGGAATAGGAGTACCCCAGTATCTGTTACGAGAAATGTTCCAGTCACGGGCATTCTTCAACCAATTGGCAAACCGTTTGTCACGGATGTTGCTAGGAACCCAATGAGTCTTCATGACATTGTCTACCATTTTGTCGGTGATTTCCTTCACCTTGACGAACCAACTGGGTACGGCACGGTAAAGCAAGGGGGTATCAGATCTCCAGCAGAAAGGATAACTATGGAAAATGGTAGATTGCTTGATGAGGTTGCCAGTGCCCTTCAAATGGCGGATAACATCCTTATCGGCATCCTTAACATACATACCAGCGAAGTCAGTAACCTCAGCAGTGAAATGGCCATTGTCGTCAACTGGGCAGGGGGCTTGATGATCAGCATCAATAATGCCTGCATTCCAAGCAGCTTCATAATCCTCTTCACCAAAGGCAGGAGCTTGATGAACAATACCAGTACCGCTACCAGCCTCAACATAACTGGCAGTGTAGATTTTAAAGGCACGTTCAGCAAATTGCTCCTTGAAATAAGGGAACAAAGGCTCATAGCGCTCACCGTTGAGCTTAGCACCAGGGAAACGCTCCAAAATCTCAATGGGGGCCTTCTTGGGGTTCTTGTACAAAGTACCCAAGCAGCTCTCCATAAGAATGTACTTGTTACCAGTTTCCTTGTCCAAAATTTTAACGTACTCCAGATCAGGATGAACGGCAAGGGCGATGTTAGAAGGCAATGTCCAGGGGGTAGTAGTCCAGGCAAGAGCCTTAACGGAAGGATCAGATTTAAGAGTGAAAGCAATCACAACGGCAGGATCCTGAACTTCCTTGTAGTTTTGTTGAGCCTCAAAGTTACTAAGAGGAGTCGTGCAAGCGGTAGAATAGGGCATGACACGGTAACCACGGTACACCTTGTTCTTCTTGAAGAGTTCCTTGAAAACCCACCAAACACTCTCCATGAATGTAGGGTACAGGGTCTTATAGTCGTTGTCGAAGTCAATCCAACGACCCAATCTTTCGATGGTTTGGCGCCATTCGCCAGCATAAGTCATAACAATCTTACGGCATTCGGCGTTATATTTGTCAATACCCAAAGCCATAACATCGTCACGACCGGTGATGCCGAGTTTTTTGTCAATTTCATGCTCGACGGGAAGACCATGAGTATCCCATCCAAAACGACGAGTGACAGAGTATCCCTTCAAACAAGCGAACCGAGTGACAATATCCTTAATGGTAGAAGCCAAAAGATGACCGTGATGGGGTAAACCGGTAGCAAACGGAGGTCCATCGTAGAAAGTAAAAGGTCTACGATCTTTAGACAGCTCAAGCTGGGTATTGAACGCGTCAATATCTCTCCAAAACTGGAGGATTTTCTCTTCTTCCTCTGGAACTCTGAAAGACATTGCAAGCTCCTGCTGAGTTTCTCTCGCTCGCTTCAAAGCAAAAGACGATTTTATGAAGTCGAACTTGGTGGACGAAGGAATTTTTCCAACACACTAAATTTGGTGTCGTTGTTAGTTTGCCCCACCAAAAACTCACCACCAAGCATCGACCAAGGATGCCTCAACACTGCAACAACGACAATCGACAAGTTGACTGCAGGAGTAGGTTGCGTTTGTCAAAAATCTAATTTAAAACGTGTGAATCAGCGCACGCATTGATGAATCAATAATGAATGCAAAACCTGCTGAATAAAAAATGAACCTGTACCGTACTCAGAGTACATCCAATGGCAATGATAGTGTTTCATACGAACTGCGTCGAGGTATCTGGTGGTAGCTAGCTGCCGTCCTGAAAGAATATGTTTTTAACCAATGAACAGACTTGGAAATTTTGAGACAGATATTGTTGCGTTGCTGCAAGTCAAAAGATGGCAACTCCTTTCTTGCGGTCTGGCAGTCTTACAATGAGGTGCTGCGCGAGTACGGTCTTCGTTCTAAAGAGGACAAGGTGTATATTCATTTATTACTTCGTCTTTTTAAAATGAAAGCTGATAGCTGGGAGGAAAAATGGAAAGTGCTGATGGAAAAGTTGCATCTTGAGCACATTGCCCCAAATATACGTGTTCCATTGCTGAATCCTCCCATTGATCCGTTCGTCGTAGATAGCAGCAACAAGCCGGACTTTGGTCATTTAAAGGGCAGACAATCCTTACCAGCAACGCCAATTGTCTCTCGACACTCAAGCTCCGATGCGACAAAAATTGAGCTACAAGCAGAAAGGATCAATGCCCTCCGGGAAAAGGAGTTTCTGCGACAAGTATTTCGCTACATGCAAGAGAGAGCTCGGTACTCTCAGCAGATGAGCGGTATTCTTATGACTCGTGCTGCTCAATTCTATGCCGGTGTATTAATGTATCGTTACCTGTCCGCATGGATGAACAAGCTAAACAATTTTCGAATAGTGCTTCATCAAGCACACCACGCCGGCGACATGGTTTTGGTCGACAAAAGCTTTTCTCGCTGGCGTAAACAGCTGCATCAACAAATTCTGTTGCGCGAAAAAGAAGCTCAACAATTTATTGTTTTCAAAACATTAGCAAACTGGCACTCGCTTACTACCCAGTGGAAGGAAAAAGTTCAGTCGCTGCTATTCAAACGAAGCTTTTCTAAGTGGAAAAAAAAGCTGCGAAATGTTCGAGAAAAAGAAGCGCAGGCACACGAGTTGTCTGTTCAGCAAACCTACGCAAATACGTTCGACCATTGGTTCTTTCACACTTGTATGCGCAGAGTGTTACGTGTATATCGGACAAAGTTATGTGTGCGAGTGTTTCAGCAATGGTCTCTGCGATATAGCGACATACTCAATCTATCAAAAGAGGCAAAAACACATTACAATTCTACCGTACTGAAGCGCTGCTGGCGGCGCTGGAAAAAAAAGTGTGCACAAATTACACCGGAGGTTGAGAATGCGCTCACATTCAATAAAACTCTCGTTTTACGAAACACATTTCAGGTTTGGCGAAGACAGACACGTCTTGCGGTTGCGGGCTACTCCGTGATCGAAAGAGTGGACACAAAATCATTAAAAAGCGTATTTTCTTTTTGGCGTTTACGAGCAAAACGGGCAGATCAAATTCTTATTCTAGCTGATAATATTTTGCTGTGTACTTTTATTAATCGATGGCGGCTTCGTCTTCAAGAACACATCTGCTGCGAAAATCATGAATATCGACTACTACAAAAGCTTTTTGGTCATTGGTTACTGGCGTCAAAGCGTCGCAGATGCACTCGGTTGTATGAAACACAGCTGTTGGAAACCGTTTGGGTTGAATGGCGACAGAGGACAAAGCGCAGCTTGCAATTACTTTCGACGGCACAAACGATTGACGAACGAAACCGGTGGCTCTGTGGAAAGAAAAGTCTTCTTCACTGGCGAATGGTTGTTCTCGAGCATGGTGAACAGCAGGTGATTGCCGAGGAGCGCGATCGCGAAAAGACATTGCGGCTGTTTTGGCAGCAGTGGAATAGCCGTCTTCAGAATCGTGCAGGCTTGTTGTGTCGTGCAGACGATTTTTATGACGCACGTCTGCAACGCTTTGTTTTTGAATGTTGGCGCCGTCGTTATGAAATTCGACATCAAAAAAGTTTGGATGAGCAAGCCAGTATCTATAACGATCACCGTCTAAAAAATAAAGCTCAACAATGTTTTTTTTTATGGTATGACCGACTTCAGAAAGTACACAAGCTGGACCGAGTACAAGATGTATTGGAGCAACGTCTAACAACAGATGCGTTTCTGCATTGGTTTCATCGTACGGAACGGATACGCGCGCTTTCATTGTTGGCTGAAAGTGCATACGCAGAGCGCTTGTTACGTTCTGCGTTATCTATGTGGCACTACCAGTACCAACGACTCGTTTTGCTACAAAATGTGAGTGAAACGAAGCACCAGGAACTTACTCTTCGAACGAAAAAGCGAATGTTTGATGCTTGGCAGCTTCGATTTTTTCGCACATCAAGTTTGTTTGCACAGGGAAGTCGGTTTCATGAACGCAAAAAATCTCGATTAGTCGGTCGGTGCATGCGTCGCTGGCAATCACGGTACCGGAAGCGACTAGACAAACGAGCACAAGAAACGAGCAACGGGGAAGAGGACACCGTGTCTTCCAGTTATTTGCACGCGTTTGATACCACCCTACCTTTACAAAACGAGTCTCATCTTCGGTCTTCTTCGCGTTTCCGCGACCGATTAGAGCAAGAGCTGCGTACCCCGACCACTCGCTTCTCCAAATTTTTGAGGAATCCGCTTCCTCCGAACACGAGATGATGATGGCTTAAGGGTCACCCACTTGATGTGATGTCTCTACGAACGCTATGAACCTCATGTTGTTATTCCGAATCCGAACTCAGTCTCTCTTCTCATTCCACTAAAAAAGAAAAGCAAGCTCATTCTTCAAAGATGTGCTAATGGAGCTTATTATTCGTTGAAGACTTCTTCCTAGTACGCATTCTTTCAACGCCGCTGTACCTGTATACCCATAACCAACCGCACCCAGAACCTTCTCCCTCCAATACCCTGCACCATTACTCTCCTTCTCTCTCAAGCTTACAGTCTCCACTCACATCCGCTCCACGCCTTTAAAACGTATTATAATCATTACTAATGTACACATAAGCAAACAAGGAATTGAGCGCCCAAAAATAAACGAACGACTGACGGACGTGATCAATAACAGGAAGGAAGCAACACGGCGCGTTGATTTGCGTCAACTCGCAATTTATACTTAAGAACGCTCACCACGGAGACGACGAGCCAGTTGCATGTCCTTGGGTTGGATTGTGACACGCTTGCCGTGAATGGCACACAAGTTGGTGTCTTCGAACAAGGAGACCAAGTAAGCCTCAACAGCCTCTTGAAGAGCACCAATTGCCGAGGATTGGAAACGAAGATCGGTCTTGAAGTCTTGAGCAATCTCACGGACAAGACGTTGGAAAGGAAGCTTCCGGATCAAAAGCTCAGTACTCTTTTGGTAACGACGAATCTCACGAAGTGCGACAGTACCAGGACGATAACGATGAGGCTTCTTAACACCACCAGTCGTGGGGGGAGCCGACTTGCGAGCGGCCTTGGACGCCAATTGCTTACGAGGTGCCTTACCACCAGTGGACTTGCGAGCGGTTTGCTTAGTACGAGCCATTATATCTTTAACAACTGAGACGCGTTTCGGTTGAATATGTCGCGATCTCGTGCAGGGTCTCTGTATATATATTTTGCGGCCATCAGAACCCTAACCCTTTAATACGTCATACTAGCCACGCGTCGCGAAGGTATATAAAGGGCAGACCTCCGCTGCATTTCATCAGAACACACGTCAAGAACAACTACAGCGCAACCCATCGCGTGTAACTGACTCCGGCCTTTGTTCGTCGTTTCTGTCTTCGTGACTTTTATCCTTCCGGCCGAGCTAAAAAAACAAAACAAGCATTTCGCAACTCTCCTTCCGTTACAATGTCTGGACGTGGTAAAGGTGGAAAAGGATTGGGAAAAGGTGGCGCCAAGCGTCATCGTAAAATCCTCCGTGATAACATCCAAGGTATTACCAAGCCTGCTATTCGTCGTCTTGCCCGTCGTGGTGGTGTCAAGCGTATTTCTGCCCTTGTTTATGACGAGACGCGTGCCGTGTTGAAGCTTTTCCTCGAGAATGTTATTCGTGATGCCGTTACCTACACTGAGCACGCCAAAAGAAAGACCGTTACTTCTCTTGATGTTGTCTACGCTCTGAAACGCCAAGGCCGTACCATCTATGGTTTCGGTGGATAAGCATCTCGATGACTTCCATTTTACTATACCTTTTCCATTTCATGAGAGTGTCCTCTTTCCTGGAAATGTGCAGGCCATGTTTCCCATTTCCCTATGTATCTTAATCGTTTAATGTTATTCTATGTGACGAAGTGGAGTTGGGTTGGTGGGGTCGTGATTGCTGAAGCGGGTGAATTGAGTGAAGTGTGTGTTATGCAGTTGATGTTGTGTCGGTGAGGACGATTCCGGCCTGGTTGGCTTGTAGGGAGGGGTTTAATTAAATTTACTCACACATTATCGAAGATAGTGCGTAATTTTCGTATTAACTTAGTTTGCACTTGCAAATTTAATTAACTTGCTGAGTGTTTAGTTGTGTCATTGTGAATAGGCCGGGTCGGACAGTTGTCTTAAGAACGACACATGCTTATACTAAATGTTTGCTTGAGCTGTCAGGAAGGCTTCGTTGAGGGAACTCGAGTGTTGTCCATTCTCAATCTCTTGATGCAGAATTCTCATAAAACTATTTCTCTCGCTATTATAAGGCTACTGCGGGAACATTGACAATGACAATTGGCTGAAGTTCGTGAATGACTCATTCCCTAACTTATGTTTCCACCAAGGCAGAACGGTTACTGTTTTAGAATAGTTCGTTACATGTGTAGTCTAACAATAGCACGCTCGCTTCCGTCTGACAAGGGCGAAAAACAAAGCTTCTACATCCAATACAGTAGTGGCAGATGCTTTTTGTTTAATTATAGAAATGTTTACAATCCAATTAAAGATGCTACTATTTGCGGGTCATTAACAGTATCATTATCGTAAGTGCACGTGTTAAAACCACGTTAATTCATTCTGGCGTGCTTGGTCTGAGGATTTAGCGAGCCGATCCATGATCGAAATGACTGGTGTTACGAACAAATGACACTTCATCCCATTTAGCGACGCAACAAGTATGAGAGCATCCAGATTCATCTAATGGCAGTATTACCGCTAGTATGAGATTCACTTAAAATGAACTACAGACATTACGTTATGAAGGAGCTCGGTCAAGTAAAATGTCGATCAAAACCATCCATTGGTAAATGCTAGAAGGCTCATCGAATGATGCACCAATTGGTCGGCGGATGTTTCGGATTAACTTACAATAACAGCAAAGAGTGAGACGTCCCCCCCCCCCGTTATGTCCTCTTTGTTACTCGCCTCCGTAGCGACATCGTCGCCAGAAAGCCGAAATTAAATCACCAATTGCCATGCCTCCGGGTGACTAAGAAGTATGACAGGAGACTGTCCTTTTTTTGTTATAAAAAGAACACGGAGAACTCGTTGTTCCCCACTAATTTCATGTGTCTAAAATAGGGAGCCCTTGTTCGCAGCCTACTCTCGTCCACAAGGACGGATCTTCGGCCGGTGAAACATCGTAACCCTGGATAGGGGCGCGCCTGTTGAGTCAGGTAGTAAGTTGCTCCTTGGTCGCCGTAATCTAGTCGGGACCTAAATCTCTGAACCTCGTAACCCTGGAGGGGCACGCCTAGCGGATAGGTCAGTAAGTTGCTCCTTGGTCGCCGTTAAAGACGGGACCTAAACCTTTGAACCTCGTAACCTTGGAGGGGCATGCCTAGTTGCTCCTTAGTCGCCGTAGAGACGGGACTTAAATCATCGCCATCGCCACACCGGGAGGACCGTTAATTGCATTTGTTATGTCAAGCATCTTGTTTGTTCGAGCGTCGGAAAGTGTTCACGGGTTCTCTGTTAGTCGCCTTCTTGATCAGTTGGAGACGGTTTTGATCGAATGTCATTTGGCCTCCTCTACTCAAATTCGAGTGGATGGGCTTTAAGACTTTTGTTTCTTAGTCATAGATAAATGGAATTAGTCACTTAACGTGAGGGGGGTTGAGTTTGTGGAAGTCGCATGGAAGTTGCGAAGGAATGTTACCCAAGTGGCATAGTAAAGGCGACTACGATTACGGTATTGGGTACTAGTATGTTTTCATACTTGATTAGGCCCGGGACCGTACTTGTTGAGCGTGCCAAAGTATGAAAATTGTGGGATTTATTTTAAACGGACCATCAGTAGTAATGTTATAGTTTTCCAAGACACTTCGTCCAGCTTTTCATCGCGCATTGTTTTATCAATTTTCACATATGCAACACAAGATTTTACACTAAGCGAAGTCTTGTTCCTAATAACAAAAGATGTCAGAACAAAATCATCATCAAACAGTTTAATGAAACTTAAAACTCTCAAGTATAGCAGCAGAAGGGAATTGAACAACCAAAGCAGCGATGCCCGAGTGGTCTAAGGGGGCAGATTTAAGTTGACCGGATGGTCGATGGAAACTCTGCTGTTGATAAACGCGCGAGTTCGAACCTCGCTCGCTGCATTATTCTTGTTTTTGTTTCTCGTTCATATGTGGGCATTTTCGAATGACAAATTGATAGTTGCAACGTACTTTTTCTACAGGTACTCATAATTATTAAAAGAAAAAATAAATAAATAAATATATACATCTTTCTAGATACACAAACTTACACACTCTAAAAAACATTCAAGCACAGTCATATTAGCATCAGCAAATAACTGTCCAACTAATAATTCCTGATATTTCTTGTTTAAATCTGTACTTCATTTTTTTGACTCTTCCCCTCTTTGTTCAGTCATTTCACTAACAGTGGGACGCAATACTCCAATTACTAGTTTTAAATTAAGTGAATTGAATAAAATACAGAACGTGCATTCATCCGATATGAGTTACAATCAGAGTCTCGGATCTGTATTTTAAAGTTCGTTTTTTTCCTGGTTTTGGTGGTTTAGGTCTTCTAAATGCATTTGCCGTTACCCGTCGGTTCTGTTTATTCGCTTTTCGTCTGATGCTGTCTATCTTCTTTCCTCTTAAATGTCTCTGTTTATTTTGTTACCATTCATTTGAAAGACATCGCACTGAATGATTGATTTGCTTAATGGATCTTACACGCGACAAAATTCATATTCTAGGAAGTTTTTGCGACACGTTTCGTGATATGCATACTCCGTGCTCTCTAATTAGCTATAGGGCTTATTTCATTACTACCGAGAACTTCTTTTGCGAGTCAGTATCAGCCCGGTTTGTTGGGAAAAAAATATTCCCTACCGATTCAAAATATCCTATGGAAGTCTCATTCAATACAATTGAATGGTCTTTGGCACACAATATAACATTAAAGGAAGGCGAGATATACTCGTACAACTTAATTGCAGAGTTACCACCAGACACTCCTCGCACTATATCTACCGACTATGGATCCATCTCTTATTGTATAACGGTTGAGATAGCTACCGACTTTCCATGCCGCATACCAAAAACACACAGCGTCGATGTGATAGTACCATTCACTCTCAATCCCGATCGATTAATAGGTTCACATGATATTCGGTTTGGTTATCCCTTGTGCGACAAAGCTTTCCAAGAAGTGACATGCTCACTAAAACACTTTCCTCTCTCTTTACAAGTTCGTTACCCCGAAAAATGTTACAAAGGTCCCCAGTGCATTTGTCCCGTATATGTTGCTCTGAAATCCGCTCAAAATAATTTCCAGAACCTTGAACCTGATGGTGCATCCCGTTACTGGGTTTCAATTTACTTAGTGCAAGAGATTACATTTCTTCTTTTTCAAAACACATTTCGTACTTCTCCAACAATTCTCTACGAAGAAGGTCGCTGGACACCTCCACCTGTTGCAGGTCACTCTGCCACGGTTGAGTTTATTGTCCCAATCGAAGATGAGATTCATGGAAGTTGCAACGAAAATCCACATGTCAATGTGAAACACTATATATACGTTGCTGTTAATGACCATGTAACTCCAAAAACCACAACCCTGGCCGCTTTCACGCCTGAAAGTTTGAAAAAAAGCCGGTCCTTCTTCTATCGCAGGAAAGATGAGGGTTGTCATTTCAAACAAAATTTATTACAGCGGTTGCAATTTCTGAACACGCTAGACTGTAAGATTCCCGTATCTTTATTTCACAGAAAATTGGAGTCTGAACTTTCACATTTACCTCCATACTCTCCCACAAAAAAGGATCCTTATTGTTACTACGAAGATGATGAGGATGGTCCAGAGGACGTTATGCAATCCACGCAACCAGACCCTCCTCTCTCTCACGATTTAACTCTGAAACAAGACGATACTTCTTAGTGGATCCACTGTACATTACGTTTTTTCCGTTTGTCTATTTACGTATCTTTTCGATATTTTGTTAATTAATGGTCTAGGCTTATAAAATGTTGCCGCTTTCTATAAAGGAATTATAAATAAGAAACCATATTCGAGATCAAATCTGTAAAGTAAATAATCTGGGTAGCCAGACACTAGACCAAAACCAAGACGAGTGAGTAGTTTAATTAAATTAGGCTTTGATGCCGAAGGTCGGTTTGTTTCATCTGTTCAATCTTTTCCTTTAGCTTGGCAGTAAGGTCCATCGCTCTGCTCCAGTCGGATGAAAGATTCATCGAAGGAGGTCGGGACATTACCCGTTTCGGGGATTCCGGTTGTTGAAAAGCAAATGATGAACTTCTATTAAACGTGAATTGAGAACGAGTGGCGGGGTCATTAGAGAGCATTAAGCGAGACCGGGCGAGTCCCTGATGGAAGGAATCCAAATTTCTGTTGTCGCGTTGGAAAGAAGAGAGTGAAGTCGGTACACTATAACCATCACGGCCAAGAGGGCGAGCAATTGTTTGTCTCGACTCTTGCTGCATATTCGCATTAGAGAGTTCTTCCTTAAGAGAGGCAACTTCACGTTTCAGTTCACTCACTTGACGTTGGAGAAGAGATTTCTCTTCCCGCTCTTTTTGTATTTGGGCAAGTAGCGTGGATCTTTCTGCAGCAAAATCGTTTAAAGCGTTCATTTTTTCAGACACATTAATCGTGCTTTGTTGAGGGGCAACTTTCGTCTGTTTTGCAGGTGTTGGTTCAGAATCTTCAAGATCCATTTTCTTTAAATGCAGAACAGTTTCATTAAGAAGTCCTTTTTGTGAAGAGCCACCACGAGCAAGAGACCGCATGGCAAGATGGTTCTTAGAAGAACGCAATGTAGGACGTGTTGTCGGACGCGGAAGAAGTGGTCCTTCTTCAAAAGCATTCTTCTTCTTCGCCGCAGCCGCTGGAGAGCTAGACGAGCGTTCAGCAGAAACCCGTCGCGCCGGAGAGGCGGGCGTGGGTGAAGAAACAGATTTGGATTTAAGAACGGTATTCTTAGCCAATGACGGTTTGTTCGCCGTCGCACTGGTAGACCGTTGTTCAGGCCTTCTGACTGTTGCAGGATTACGATTCGCAGAAGAAGCAACTGGACGTGGTCTTGAAGAGCGTGGTTTCACAGAAACGGTTGCGGTCTCAAAATACGACTTAACTTTAGCTTTTCTAATGTCATCCAATGAGTCAGTGTACTGTGCAATATGTCTCTCTCCAACGAGCTTCATTAATATTCCCAACGTCTCAGCGGCGGCATTTCGAACAGGTTCGAAAGTATCGTTCACACCTGGCACACATGCGCTAGCAATAACATCAACCGTAGACTTGCTTGGTAACACTGTCGTTTTCGAAAGACAACGACTTAAAAAATGGCAACATTCCGTCCTGACTTGTGGGTTTTTATGAGAAGCAAATTGTGCGATTTCATCTGCAAGTGCGTCAAGGTTGGATGCTGCAAAGGCAGAATCCATTGCGGCAGAAAGTGCCTCAATAACGGATGCCTTTCTTTCTTTTGAACGTTCCAACAGAGCATTAATGGTGATGGAAACGTAAGGATGAAAGAAAGAATGCAGGCCTTTGGCAAGGCTGTCGAGACATTTTGCCGCCGTTGTAACCACAATTACATTCGCATCTTTAACAATGCGATGAGCAAGCATTTGGACAAGGTCAGAAAAATTCGCATCTTTGATCTTTGGTTGAGAAACGACCGGTAAAAAATCTTCCAGAGCCTCCTTTCTCTCTTTCCACTTAACTGAGGAAAGAGCAGATTCCAGAGTGGGAGGAATTTTGCTGAACACGTCAACCTCCTCCACAAGATCATACTCATCTTCTTGCTCACTTTGATCTTCAACGGGAGAAGCAGACAGCCCTTGATTCTCAGGAACTGGTTGCGCTTCCACCGCTTTGCTTTCTGCCTGTTGACTACGCAACAACCGCTTTTGCGTTGGCTTTTCTTCTGGCAAGGCAGCGAATTGGGCCTCCAATTCTTTCATTTGAACCGGCTTCAGATCACTTGCAATTGCATTTTTTAACCTTACGCCAACCCATCTGTACAAATTGACGGTAAGACCAACGGTCTCTTTTCTCACGTTCTTGTCAGCGTGTCCAAAAAGTTTTGGTAAAACTGGAACAATGGTTTCAGGTCGGATAATCTTAGTACCAAAACTCTCTACAAGTGTGGAGAGCGCATGAACATTGGCAGCAACGAGTTTTGGCAGTCTGGCACCAAAAGAGGCAACCAATGTCTCGACTACTGGATCAACAATACCAACTTCAATGACTAACTGTAGGGCCTCGAGACTGTTGACTTTTGTTCCTGCTCGAGAGGACATCAGACATTTTTCAGAAATAGCTGGAATAGCAAAAGCGATGGATCTGCAGAGAAAAATGAAGTTAGCCTTGTCCTTTAAAACCAAAAATATTGCAAAAAATCGCACACTTTGAATCTTCAATTACTTACTTTGAAACATAATCGGGAGAAGCGTATTTAATAAACTCCATGTATGCTGCAACTGCTGCTTCTTGAGCAGCAACATTGCCATCCATTAGCATGTTTTTCCATAGATCTGGATTCGAAGTCCACAGTCCGAAGCAGGAATCTGTCGGTTCAAAGGCGCGTGAGAATTGTGTTTTGCATTCTTCGTAAGCTCCCAGCCGAACTTTCCAGATTTTATGTGTCAATCGCGTCGATAAAGGCAGTTTTGCATAGTCTTCCTCATCTACACCGCTCATGTTATTCAATCACGAGCGCGCAAAAAAGATCCGGAAACTGTAAGTTTTTAAAACCTAGATAGAGTTTTGTTCGTACGCGTTTCTAGACCTATAGATGTTAAAAACGGGTATAATGCAAAATGCTACTGCTCAGCAGACGTGGTAGTTGCCGAAACACGGAGCACCATATGTCCCCCAGGCACCACCATTAACGCCCCCACTTCTGCCCACATACCTTAATTTCCACATAGTACAGTTCCACTAGCGTGCGACGCAGCAAGTTGCCCTCCGCCAAACACCTACCTGAGGAAATTGAAAGCAGTTTTTCGTCATGGCGCCTCAAGAAGGACAGAATATCGTGTCCCATTTGGTTTTGGATACTGGTGGACTTATTAAATCCAGTGCTACCCTCCGGAAGGTTGCTCAAAAATTTTACACTGTTCCTCGAGTTCTTGCGGAATTGAAGGACGAGAACTCGAAGAAAAACTTGGAACTTTGGGGTGATTCAATTGAGGTTAAGGTTCCAGAACCCGAATTTATCAAAAAAGGTGTGTAAACGTTAATTGATATCAGCAAAGAGTGGTTGATTATGGATTTTTGCTAACGAGTTACTAGTCTCCGAGTTTGCAAAGCGTACAGGTGACTACGCGTTCCTTTCAGCGACAGATTTACAGGTGCTTGCTCTCACTTATGAGTTAGAGTATAAGAACAACGGTGGTGATTGGCGTTTGCGGTCGTTTCCTGGCCAAAAGAAAATTAATGGACCTCCCCCTGTGCAGGAGACAGCTTCAGTGTCCGAAACAGCGGCGGTTGAAGCCAAAGAGGTTGCTGCCACGACAGAAAAGTTGGAACAGCTTAATTTGTCAAATGAAAAGTCTGAGAGTGACAATTCAAATGCCGCTGTTGAACCCAAGGAACAGGAGCCTTCCGTGGATCAAGTGGAGGAAGAGGACGAAGGGGATGATGATGATGAAGAAGGTTGGATTACACCTTCTAATCTGAAGAAAGTCAGAGCTCGCGAGGCAGAGGCCGACAGTGTCGCGAAACCTGTGAACATGAAGGTTGCTTGTATTACTACAGATTTCGCTATGCAAAATGTTCTTCTCCAGATTGGGCTGAATCTGGTTTCTGCAGATGGTCTCAAAATTCAAAAGGTGAAGCAGTTTGTGCTTCGTTGTCATGGTTGCTTTGCTATTGAACGCAACATGGAGAAGAAGTTCTGCCGCTCTTGCGGTGGTAATACGCTTCTGAAGGCTGCATGCTCAGTAAACTCTAAAGGCGAATTCCGGGTCCACTTGAAGAAGAATTTTGAGTGGAAGGTGCGTGGTACAAAATATTCGCTTCCCAAGCCCGTTCATGGATCTGCCAACGGCAAGTCAAAGAAGAACCCTATCTTGCGTGAGGATCAACCAGAATACCAGCGCGCTGTCCGTTATGCCCAGCGTAAGAAGGAGCGTGACTTGATGGATCAAGACTTTTTGCCCTCCATCCTGACAAATGATCGTCGTGAAGACCTTCGTATTGTTATTGGTGCTGGAAAGCGTAACCCTAACGAGGTCCGGAAGTTCAAGAAGCGGCAATAGATGTGTAGAAGACGTGCCGTCGTCCTTCTGCACCACGGTCTTTTCATTTTGTTTTTGTTTCGTTTGCAGGCTACTATAGCCAGTTATCGAGTTTGGTTAGGTCATTTTTATTTTCGTTTTGGTATTCATAATTAGAGGTACAAGGGGTACGAAATGAATGGGATATATTTGGTCGAAACATAGGGATCATTTATGGGTGGTAAGGGTGTTGACTGTGAATTTAAGGAGCGTGGTGCCAATGCTCGTTCTGTATATCTTCCTCTTTCTGTTTACTAGACGCGCTTTTCTCCATACTAACTCAGTGTAATTGATCCGTCTAAAATATTCCTGTTTTTTCTTTCTTTTCAATGTGTCTTTTATTGTGTTCGGTTTCAGCTTTCTGACCGCTAGGGCTCGTGTTCCCGAACTGATTGTTTGCCTTCGTGTCCATGACCTGAAACCACCCTCTTCTCTTCAAATTCTAAATTCAACAGGAAAGTGTTGCAGCAAAGCGTTAAGTGCTCCTGTTACCTATTACGAATGTGTAACCCATAATTTTGGAAAGCTTTAACCTAAAAATGGACGAAGATTTGAGTTTTATGGGCATAACTTTGCACTTGGATGAAAAGGCGACAGAACGGAAGAAAAAACGTCGCGTGCCCTCAGATCAACGTCGCAGGGTCTTTAGAGCATGTAAACATTGTCGTTTAAAAAAGATTCGATGCGATGGACAACAACCATGTTCAGCGTGTCGTATGAGCGATTGCAGCTCACAATGTGTGTACGTTCAAAAATCACACAGAGAACTCCCTTCCAAAGAGTACTTGGAAGAGCTTTCTGAGCGACAATTGTGTTTGGAGTATATCATTACGTGTTTATGTCCTGGCTTTAACTTGGAAACAAAAAATCTTGTTGCATTGAGCAAACAATTGTCGCAGAAAAAAAAATACAGCAATTCCGTTGCCCCGGAACAGAACGATGGAAGTGGAGGAGAGATCGAAAAGCTAAAATTGGGCCTTCGGGACAGTCAAGATTTTGCTAAAACGTCTTCGAATATATCTTCACCTGGAACCCACGTTCTGGAAGCACAGGACCAAACTGTTGTTGGGAGACTAGAGGAGTCATTGTATTTGGGAAAAAGTACAATTGAATCCTACTTGGATTCCGTTCAAGCTCAGTTGGGTTTAGACACGTTTTCCTCTGCACTCAAGTATCCTCAGGAAACTGACTTGCTTGCTGTTCCGAATGAAACAGAACAGCAATTACTCATGCACGCACGGAGTCTTATCCCCTCCAAAGTTGTTGTGGACTTTCTTGTTGACTCATTTTTCACACATGTACAGACACACTTATTTTTGTATCATGCTTCTTATTTCAAAGTACGTCTCAAGGTTTTCATGTCTATGGAATCCAATAACGACAGCGGCTTTCTTTGCATTTTGTTGCTCGTTTTGGCCCTTGGTAATCAGTATGCCGCGGAACGACAGGGCGATGTCCCATCGAGCACTAATCAAATGATAAACATTGGTAACAAGCTCTTCCAAACTGCCTTGTGTATATTTCCGTTGGTACTGCAGCAAAGTAATGTAAGCACTGTGCAATCCGCTGTGCTCATTGGATTTTATTTGCAACCCACGTTGCATCAAAAGAGTTGCTATACTTATTTCGGTTTAGCAATTAAATGTGCGATTTCTATGGGATTGCACAAGAACTGTTCTGACCAGGGCTTAAGCACAAGTTCTCAAGAACTTCGTAATCGCTTATGGTGGTCAGTGTATTCCATAGACCGGTTCATTGCCGTTACAACTGGCCGACCTTGCTCGATCCCTGACAGTGAAATAAGTGTACCTTATCCCCAAATGTTGGCTGAGCTTGAGGTACCCGGGAAACCAACTATGATTCCAAAAATGCATGCAATGATAGATATCGCTAAACTGTGCAAGCAAATTCAAGAATGCATTTACAATCAAAACCATGCCTCCTTTTCGAATCAATTGGATGCTATTCGAAAATGTTTTACCAGTCTTGAATTGTGGAAGCGCAACCAAAAAGTTCTAACATCATTTGATGAAAGCTACTATGAGCAACCTAATTTTCGGGAAAGTGCACAATTGCAAATGGTTTACGAGAATGCTGTTTTGCTGACTGTTCGGCCGCTTACACTTTACAAAATAAAGGGGGTTGAATTGTCTCCCGAATGCATGCAGTATGTGGACTTATGCAAGAAAAGTGCGATGAACATCGTACGCCTCGCCCATATATTAATGGGCAAAGACTGCTTATCGAGTTACTCATTTCTTGATTATCACTTGCCTTTCGCAAGCGGTGTTGTTCTTTTGCTCTTTAGAAGCCTTGAACCTAACGATTCGATGAATGATGCTCTTAGTAGCCTTTGGGACGTACTTGAATTTTTGGCCAAAAGAAATGAGACGTCTCGTAGCAATCTGAAGGTTTTGAAGACTCTCGAGGAGCAACTTAAGTTGACCGTGACTTACCAAGAGAAAAACATGGCGGACGCCATTTTTAATGGATATCAGAATTGGCAATCTTGGCTTGGATCGTTGGACGATGCTAATCTCTATTCTCCGATCAGTATGCAACCTCAATGGCAAGGAGACTTGCTGCCAAATTCAGTCACCATGCCAGACACCATCGCACCAACTCTAGTTGATGAATCAACGGCAAGTTCTTACTTCAAACCAGAAATACCAAATGTTCAACAACCCCAACCGCCTATGCCGTTGGAGGTAGCACCATCATTGAGTTTACCTGTGACGGTAGAACCACAGTATCAAATGCCGCCATTTATGAGCTGGACCGAGTTGGTTCAAGGTATTCAGGAGAATTCACCAGCGAACTCCTCAAATTAATTATGATGTTTCTTTCTTTCTCTCGTCTTCGTTCAACAAGTTTTCTATTAGAGTAGTTACTCAAACTATTTCTATTTTTTGTACAGTTATTCAGTGTTTAATAGATTTTTCGAATCCACTGTTACTTTGTTAGTAAATGTTTTAAGAATTGTGATAATGATTGTTTCACACTTAGTTTCAATATTGAAACCAGTGTATTATTAGAACTTTCGAAACAGCTAAAACTGCTTCTTAAGGAGGGTATTTATACAAGGTGATATATACCCTCGTATTGTGTTTTTCGTAGAGCGTAAGATTATGACTAAATATATACTTTTTGTTACTAAAGGAATGCAAGTAACATAACTACTGTTTACATTAATGTATCGCACGCAAACAATACAGAGTGGTAAACTGATTTAAGAAATATGTCAACTGCAATAGGCTCTAATAATTATAATGACAGCTCAAAATGCTTACTTTAAGACAGTAATGCTATACAAGTGAAAGACTGTGTTACAATTCAAGGCAATACTACTGAAGAGTTTGTTTGTTTATTTATTTATTTATTTATTTAGTTATTTTCTATTAGCCTTTGTAGGACTAAGTAAATCGTTTTTTGTTCTGATTTACTGGAATTCTCTATAACTGCAAAAATTGCAGATCCCCTTAGTTCTAAATGTTTTACTATCACCAGGGCAATAGAGTTCAATACGTAATTGGCTTGAAATTAACATATAAACTACACGTTTTGTTTAGTCAACATCACTAACTCAATCCATCCACTACGTTATTGGGCAAAACTTTGATTTATTAATGTAATTAATCATACTGGTTATTTAATTTAATCCAATTTGAGCGACGTGTCTTTATTGTGACTGATTTTGTGTCTGCCTTGAAACAAATCATCGTCAGAATTATTGACGTAGATAACATTTCACATTTTGTCGGTAGGATTGATAATATCAAAATTGCACTTAGCTTATAATCTTAAAAGAGTTTAGTCACGATAATTTGGTAAATACGTAAGGTTAAAAGGTTCAATGTACGACTGAAGATGAGTATAAATAATATTCTCCGCTAATATCGATTTTTAGTAATTAATGAAACTTTATCAACAATTGTACAGAAATAATCTTCATATGTCGTGGTTTTACTGGACACTGTCTTGATGGCAAACATTTACTCAGCTTAGCATTTGCTGAGAAATCGAAGGACCGATCACTCCCAAAAAATATTCTTTATTTGCCTTGACTAATACAGATTTTGTATCAGATGTGTACTTTGTACACCGGTCTTCCTGAGATAATGTAAATAATTAACTTATCGTCGACCTTCAATTGTAAGAAAAGTATTAAACGGATTAGTTACTTGAATTGAGTAACTAAGTATTCACTAGCATTCACTGTTAGTACGAAGCAATTACAACTGTTACTTTTACATTTGCGCAGCTTGCTAAATTATTAAAATATGACTCTTAGAAATTAACAAACACTTCCAATATGAGTTATATAACAAAGATATTACCAATCAACAAGTTAATATTAGTAGAATGAGTTAATGGCTGTTATCCGTTGAACTTATTGGTTTCTTTACGCATCCAAAGTTTCAAAACTTATCACGCTTAACACATCTTTAAGGTTTAGAAACCGAAGCTTACTTGAAAACATTTGAAGAAAGAAGTAATCTATTGTTTGAAACCTAAGAACAAGAATCGTCAATTGAACCAAATATACTCCGCCTTAAAACATAACGTGTGTCGGGTCACTATGTCCGAGTGGTTAAGGAGTTAGACTTGAATTCGTTCAGGCATCTAATGGGCTATGCCCGCGCAGGTTCAAGTCCTGCTGGTGACGGCGCTCTTTTGTTGCAAAGCGTTTTCGTCTTTTTTGAAAGCGAAACATAGCATCGTTTATTTTGTTTAGTTTTAGTGAAATGATCTAAACCCTCGCTTGAGACACAATCGGGAAAGTTGGTGAATTGAGCAGCAGAAAGTAATACTGTATTAAAGTAACTGTTGCATTTACTCATGTAGCTAACCAGAGTTCAGTTAGTATTTTACTTTTCATTTTATGGATTTTTTAAGATTTGGGTTTTCGCGATTCCAATATAAGGTTTCGGCCATTTGATTAAGCGAGAAATAGAATCCAACTGTTTATAGTTATTACAGTCACCAATACTAACTATAAAGCCTAAGAATAATTACCAATATAATTTCAAGTTAGTACTGACCGTTCGCCAAAATTTTGTTCAGCAATTTGACCATTTTTTTTAGATTTCCGTAGAAAGTATTTTAAGGTTTGTATCTAGCGAACCCAATGTACGATATTTCTGTTATGATATAACATGAAAAATGGACCTCGAATGCCTTAGGTTTCAAACTAAACTACGCGGCCTAAACAAATTCCTTGTGTTTGTTTATTTTTCTCAATGACTTAATATTATAACATCAAAGTTTAGAGAACTTGTATTATAAGATAGTTCATAGCGCAATTGCTATAATAGACAGTCAATGCCACGGAACTCATCATCATTGCTTGCTATTGTTTGATAACACTGGCGTGTCTGTCTAAGAAAGACTAAAATGCTTTACTCGTAGTCATTTAGTTGCAAATCTAATTTAGCGAGACACGACAATTCCCTAAGCGGCGAAAGAAGATGAAAAAAAAAAACGAAAGCAGCAACAAAAACAAGAATAATGCAGCGAGCGAGGTTCGAACTCGCGCGTTTATCAACAGCAGAGTTTCCATCGACCATCCGGTCAACTTAAATCTGCCCCCTTAGACCACTCGGGCATCGCTGCTTAAGACGCTGTGTTAGCGGAAGTGTTGGCAGAAGTTTCCAATACTAGCTAGAATTGAAAGATTGCTTAGTAGTTAGACTGATCATTTACCAGGAAAAGGAAATTCTAGTTTTGAGAATGTTGTAGTTGAATGTTATATTAATCAGTTTATTATTCAACAGTTATTTGAAAGTTACTTTAGGGTATTCTGTATTGTTGTGACAGTAGCGAATAGATATTTAGACTGGAGTTCTAAACCAGGCATTTGAAGTATTGTCTTTGACATGCTGGTTCGTATGGAATATCCGATATAAGTTCAAAGGAAAAGATAAATCAGTGGTCGCTCAGACAAAATTTGCTGTAATGTTAAGAATTTGCTTAGAGAACATTAGGCAGTGTCGGTGACAATTGATTCTTAGACCAGAGTCCAAACTTGGAATTCGGAATTTTGCCAGCGAAGGTCTGACTATTACTCATGGTGCATTAAAGTCAATATAACTGTTCTTCTTTAGAAATGGAATTTCACGATGATAAATTATTTAAAAATGAGTAGAAGACCGGACGTTTCATCAAAAGCGATACAACTTCACTTTTATTTTGCTGATCTTGCTTCAACCAACTGATATTCAGAAAACAAGTTCGTAACAATAAGCATGAAAACTGTGGGTCGGACACAACAAAATACTATGTCTTATTATTACTAAGTTGTGAGTTCTTGAATAATTTTTACTAGTAAACATTTGATTTTATCATCTATTCTAATAAATAACAAATATCTCAATTCAATAGTAATACTCTTTGCACACTGCGAGTAGATTGAGCACATTTACTTTAATTTTATTAAGTTTTCGCAACCATCAATCAAGGTTATAACGGCTGAAACATTATCTGCCAACATTTCGAATGCATACGTTTAGCATTGTTGAAGACCATATGAGTAAAATACTAGGCAGCTAAAACATCACTTGGAGCTGTAGTAATGTCATTTTCTCTGAATCAATTTCTGGAATAATACTCATAATTAATTTCTCCAATTTGTGGTAGGAGAATAATTAAGTAAGTGGTATTTACATTAAAATCAGTTTTAATTAATATAAATACTTGCGATGTTTTAACGGAAATATCTGTTGAACAGTACCCGTTTCTTTCAATAGTAACCTTCAGAAATTATTACACGTTTTGAAGAAGGAGGTTATTCATTATTTGAAGCCAACGAACAGGAATCCTCAATTAAACTAAATATATATGACCTCAGCCATAACAAAGTAACAATAGCAGCGATGCCCGAGTGGTCTAAGGGGGCAGATTTAAGTTGACCGGATGGTCGATGGAAACTCTGCTGTTGATAAACGCGCGAGTTCGAACCTCGCTCGCTGCATTATTCTTGTTTTTGTTGCTGCTTTTCTGTTGGTAGCAAAGAATAGATGGAATAACCACAACATCGTGCGAGACTGCTCTGAACTTTTGTATTAATGACAATACCCATAGATGACTTTATTGATGATGACTTTGTCAAAAGTCAAGACCTAAGCGTCGTAATCCTTAAAAACATCAATAAAAATGAAGATATCAAAAAAAAATGCTTTAATTTGGTAAAAAAGAATATGTTCGCAATGTATAAACGAAGCTGTTTTGGATGGGAAGACAGTGAAAAGTTAAAAGAAATGTCTCTAACGCCCCTTGTTTATGTGTGCTTACTACATGAACAATCAAAAGAACTAGTTGCATTTACTAGTCTTGAAGATACAGAAGAAGATAATGTCCCATGTTTATACATGTATGAATTACAAGTTTGCTTGAAGTACCGTGCACACAAATTGGGCAGCTGGCTGACATATCAAGCTGCTGTGCTTGCTCATGAATATTTTCAGAAAGACTATATATTCCTAACAGTCTTCTCTGAAAACAAAAAAGCTATGTCATTCTACAAAAAGTTTGGTTTTAAAAGGCATACTAGTTCTCCAGCGGCAATTCGTAAGCTACGGTCCGGACGCATAATCGAACCAGATTATTATATTTTTTACAGCAGTGTTGCCACCATTACGAGACGATCCAAAGATATATTGACCAAAGATCTGGATTCGGCAACGGGTACAATTTCGGGCGCGTAATGTCATTGCCGTTATTATTGTTTGCCAACTATTTAAGGCACAAGAAATGCATTAACACTATCTGAAGTAACGAAAGGCAAACCATCCTGAATGAAATTATAAATTTGTACGCTAATAACTGAACAATGTATTCAGTCTTACTCATTACACCTATTGCTTTATTCTTATTCTTCGTTTTGTACAAATAACTTTATGTTATATTAATTATTTGAATTCTAAATAGACTATCGCTTATTTTTTCGTTTATAGCCACATGCCTTCGCTGACGTCAGTCCGTATTTGTCCCGAGTTCGAATCTCGCTGGAACCAAACAACATACACTGGGAGGCAGAGCTTAAAAACAGTTAGACTCCGCACATACCCTCCTTACAGGATCTATTCGCGTTGAGTCATTCTGTTACGAAAAATGGATAAGGAAGGTTATAAATCAAATCTCAATAGTACTACAATTAATCCCGTGGTTACGGAGCTCAGTATGAGTGACTTCTTTGAGGAGATCGACCACATTAGAGATGCCATACGCCAGATTGAGGACAATATCGGAAGAATCGAAACGTTACATCAACGTTCCTTGCAGGAAATCGTTGAATCCGAGACGGAGTCGATTACTAGACAATTGGAGGCCTACACTGCTGACACTCGTCGCATACAGACTACGGTACAGCTGGCAATTCGTTCTTTGGAGCAACAAAACATTCAATTACCTCCAGATAACGATGCTGCTACGCGTAAAACTCAGACTGAAGCGGTGAAGAAGAAATTTATGGATCAAATTCGCCATTTTCTGCAAGTTGAGAAAACTTACCGTGCGCAGTATGAGCAACGTATGAGACGCCAGTTGGAGATTGCCAACCCTAGAGCTACGGAGGAGGATTTCCAAAGTGCTATGAATGAAGAGAACGGAGGTCAGGTGTTTGCACAAGCTCTTCTTCGCTCGAATCGCTCAGGTGAAGCACGTTCAGCTCTTCGTGAAGTACAAGAACGCCATGCCGACATCAAAAAGATTGAAAAAACCATTACAGAGCTTGCTCAATTGTTTCAGGACATGGCTACCATGGTCCAGGAGCAAGACCCCGTTGTGGACAAGATCGTTACTGATGCCGTGAACGTCCGTACAAACATGGGTGAGGGTACTCAACACATGGACAAGGCTATTAAGAGTGCAAAGGCCGCTAGAAGAAAAAAGTGGATTTGTTTGGGAATCACCATCCTTATTATTGTAATTATAGTCGCCGTCCTGTGTGGTGTTCTCATCCCTCTCCGCAAGTAAGAGCATAAGTATGTCCCTAATTTCCCTCTTACCTCGCACGCGAAGTCCCTCTTTTCCTGATCTTAAGGTTTTTAAGCATTTACGAGTTTTATTTTTTTTCCTTTCCCCATAGGGTTTATTCTTTTGTCTCAATCACAATACGTTCGGCATGAATTATATATTTCTGTGTTCCTGAGGATCACAGTACCAGTAGCTCGCATGTTACAATGTTGCCAGTTCGCTCTTTCGAATTTGTCGCTTCAATTACTACTTTTGTGTATTATTTTTTCTGGCTAATTTCAATCTATAAAGGTGCGGCTTCACAGTTCATCATTTTCGGCAATGGTTTCGGGCGTAGGATGCTCATTTGCTTCTGTAATCAAAGACTTTCTGTACAGAGTAGTAGAACAGGCAGCTGGACTGAGCATTTGGATAAGATACTCACATTTTTGTGCTTCGAGTACACTTATAATTTCGTTACTCTTTCCACACTCGACTTTAACTTGGGCAGATCTCGGGGGGCCGTTCCAGCATTTTTGTCCATTAGCATATTTAAGTATGTTTCCTTCTTGTTCAACAAATTCACTATATAGACGCATTAGCGCCATTCGTTAGCAATGCGTTTGGTTTTCGTTGTCGTGTTCAACATAAAAAGTTCATGCTTTTAAATGCAAACAGCTCAGGTTTGTTACTTACCCTAATGAAATATCGTCTTGGAAAACGGTTTCGTAAAAACGTATTCTGTATTCGTAATCGCCTGACTTAGCTTTAGTTTCCATGCCCTTAAGCACGCGGTATATATCGTCCCAGCCATGAGGTTCGTTCATGTCCTCGAATAATCTTGCCTGTTCACTTTGTAAATCATCGTATTGATATTTCACTTCGTTCAATTGGTGCTCGAGTCGTTCAAGCGCCTTTGATGAAACTATTGTTTATTGTTAGTAAAGGTCATTAATGCAATGGAAAAGTACGCACCTTCAGAATCATGACCCTCTGTTTCCTTTTTTCCGCTAACAAGGTTATTAAGAAAAGGAACACTTTCGGCGGCAGAGAAGAGCAATTGCTTCGTTTGATCGATAAGACCATTCGAGGCTTCCTTTTGCTTCTTAACTTCTTTTGCCTTCAGTACAGGCACCATAGCCAAATGCTCTTCCACAGCATCAACGAGCTCAGCAGTGGGGCCTTCCTCAACAAGAAGGTCCAACTTGTCGTTCTCAACTTCCTTCCAACGGGAGGCAGCATCCTTTACGGCCATATCTTGATAATTGGGATTGTAGCCGCTGGCCATATCTTTCAAGATGTCTTCAAGAATCTTCATACGCTTAATGAACTCGCTGCGTTCAAGAAGCAAAAGGTCAACAGTCTCTTTCATTGAAGAAAGATCGTCATTCAGCAATTGAGTGATGTCAACGTTCTCGCGCATCATTCTGTCAAGTTGTGCTTGAAGCTCGTTCTTCCGCTTCATGGTCGCAAGCATTTTAGAGTTGTTCTCATCATAAATTTTCTTCAATTCCTCATTCTTAACCTCAGCTGCACGGACCCATTCATTTCTTATATCAATTCCTTTGCGGACTTGATTATTATGTTCGTTCAATTCATCAAGGTAAACAGCTGCCTTTTCATTGCATGTATTTTCACAGTGTACAATTTCCATGTATTCATCCGAACCATCGCAACAGTCGCAAAGTCCATCGTTTACACGATTTGATGGAATGTATGTGCTAATGTAGCCTTTATTTACGCAAAAGAAGCGACCATTTTGACATGCCGATGTGCCTAATGAATATGTTAGACAAAATGAACTAATTCTTCGCAAGAGACTTTACCAGGTTCGTCAGAGCCGTCAGGGCAATCACAATAATCATCTAGTGTCTGTTAGTGAATGCAAAAGTACGAAAAACAATCGTTAATACCATTCACTTGCGAAAATGAAATGACTTTGGAAGAATTGAGACATTTCCAGTTCCCATTCTCATCTGGCTGGTACAAGTTAAGTTCTAAAACTGTTAAAGTAATGCGTTTTTATAAAATTATGTTTTTACCTTTAGGTGAAACCCCAAGAACTTCAGTCTTTGCATCTGAAACAGCAACCTGAAGTAACCAGGGCAAGAAGAACAAAGTTCTCGTTGTGAAATGCATACGAAATTGATTAAGCCACTTTTAAACGATGGTAACTGTTTTCGTTCAAAACTACTTATGTGGTAGAGTCACTTCCACCCGCTTAAGAGGAAATTCATGACTTCAGATAGCAGTTCGCCGTACAGTTTTACCGAAGCTACAGGTGATACCATACAATAAAACGAAAGAAAAAGCAATGTATTTTTGTTCTAAAAGTCAAAATTATTTTATAATAAATTATAACGTGGCCAGTCTTCAATAATGTGACAAAGTATTTATAAGCCCTCCCACGAATTCAAATTTTTTCTCACTTTTTACGCTTCTCAGCTTCCTTTTGACGTTCAGCCTCACGTTCTTCAGCAATCTCTGCCTTCAACATGGCCTTATAGTCACGGATTTCACCCTCGAAGGCCTCGACCTTCTTGTTTTTTACAATCCAGATTTCCTCTGCGACTTGATCAATCAGACGGAAGTCGTGAGTGATGAACACGACGCCACCGTCAAAGTTATTCAAAGCATCAGCAAGAGCATCAATTGTATCGATATCCAGAGCGTTGGTAGGCTCATCTAGCAGTAGAATGTGAGGTTGTGTCATACCCAAGAAAGCAAACAAGACACGGCGTCTTTGACCATCAGAGAGTTGGCCCATGGGAATGACTTGACTCTTGCCTGTTAAACCATAACGACCAATAATGCGGCGCATTTCACCTTCGGGCTTATTGCCAAACTTAGTTCTTAACCAATCGACAGCGGACAGGCGCATGTCTAATTGATCACCCATGTGTTGGTTAAAGAGAGCAAGCCGAAGTCCATGGTGACGAGAAACGTTACCTGTTATAGGTTGAATCTTCTCCAAGATAAGGTTAATGAGTGTTGTCTTACCGGCACCGTTAGGTCCAACCAATGCAACACGAGATTTGAGATCCAAACCAAAGTTGAGATTTTCAAACAAGATTGGGCCATTGGGATAGCCAAATGAAACATCCTGAAACTTGATAGCAGGAGAAGGAATTCCACCACCGCAGTCTTCAAAACGAATAATCAGCTGCTTCTCAGCAATAATTTCTTCATCCAATACCTTTCCGCTTTGGATATCCTTATCAAGACGCTTGTTCATGGCCTTTACTTTAGCCTTAGCCTTCTTTTGTTGGTCACTACCAGTCATATTAAGTTTGGCTTGAAGCTTAGCCATTTCCTTCTCATGCTGACGGGCTTTCTTGGCAAGTTGGGCATCACGCTCAGCTCTAACCTTAAGGAAGGTATCGTAGTTACCGGAGTAGTAATCAAGACCTTGATGATAAAGATGAATAATATCAGTACAGACCTCATTCAAGGTGTCTTGTGTGTGACAGGTGATAAGCAAAGTATGACCTTCAAGCTCATGCGTCAAGTACTCTTCCAACCAAGCAACGGCTTCCAGGTCGAGATGATTTGTAGGCTCATCAAGCATCATGAGTGTAGGTTTAATGAACAAAATACGAGCCAATGCGATACGCATTCTCCAACCACCACTGAGTTCGCAAGTTTTCTTTGCGATCATCTCATCAGTAAATTGAAGACCCTTAAGAATCTTATAGATTTTGTTCTCGGCGTCGTCGACATCCAATTCAACCAAACGGTTTTGGATGTGGTCCAACTCCACTGCATTCTTGTCAGGGTCATCTAACAGATCCTCCATTTGCTCTTCCAAATGGAGGCGCTCCTGTTCGTTAATGTCCAAGACCGCTTGAACACAGGTAAGTTCGTTGGGGAAATACTCACGATCCAAAAGATAATAATCCAAAGAAGGAGGAGTAGGGACTAAACCACAGGCAATAGCATGCAGGAGTGTGGATTTACCACTACCATTTGGAGCAATAAGACCGTATCTACGACCGTTGATGAGATTAAGTTCAGAATCCTTGATAAGAAGTTTACCCCAAGCAGACACAGAGAGTTTCTCAACTTGCAAATCACGAGAATTAGGGGGACTAAGAAGGTTACCAGTAATTGTAATACCATCAGCGGGGCTCTTTCCATCGGGTGCCATCTTGGAACCGGAAGCGTAGGCAAAAATAAGACGGCCATTAGGCAGACCATTCGCAGTAGCCAAGGGTGTTTTGGTCTCCTCTTCCTTCTTCTCGCCCTCCATCATGGCAGCGAGCTTGCGAGCCTTCTCCTCCTTCTTTCTGGTCTTTCTGTCCTTCTTAGGCTCATCAGACGAGGCCTTCTTCGATTTCTTGCTCTTCTTCTTTTTCTTCTTATCATCCTCACTTCCTGCATCTGCTTCATCAAGCTCAAGCTTGTCGACATCATCGGCGAGCTCATCTAGGTCCTCAGAAGAAGATTTGGATTTCTTTTTATGCTTGTGCTTATCCTTCTTCTTTTTTTTCTTTTTGTCTTGTTCCTCTTCACTGTCGTTCTCCTCTTCTTCCTCATCCATTTCATCTGCAAAAACGGAGAAGGCATTGACAGGCTGTTTTTTTCTTAGGGGCAACAACCTCCTCCTCTTCAGGCTCAGACTCCTCAGGTTCAGCGGTTTCGTTGTCGCTCAAAGCACTGAACGAAGGAGCAGATTGGCCGCGTCTTGCTCTTCTTCCCTTAGCTTTCTTCGAGGTGCTAGAGGTAGCAGTAGACGCAGGGGATGCATCACGACTTGTGTCAATTTCCCCATCATCAAAATCAATGGGCTTTTTCGCACCCTTGTTCTTTCCTTTAGCCTTTCGAGAAACAGGTTTCACTGCGAATTCATCATCTGAGCCAGGAGTTCCGAGCTCTAATTCGGAATCTCTTTGAGAGCCACGTTTTCCTCTTGCCATTGTGGTTTTATGGTGTGCGCTCTTGGTAAGTTTGCCGTAGTAATAATCACACAAATACGATGGTAAGAAAGGAAATAATTCTTTGTATTTATGGTACTGGCCTAATTTGATTGTTTTGAACTCGTTAGCCAGTTTTCGCCTTTTTTTTTTTTTTTTTTTTTTTTTTTTTTTGTTTTATTATTGATTTTTCTGTATTTTTATTCATTGTTTTATCTTAGTTTTACTAATTATTGTTTCTTTACTTTGATTTTCTATTTCATTTATCCTCTAAGCTGGTGCATGATTATTATATAAGTATGTCAATAAATGTAAATTTAACTGAAGAAACTTATTCTGCATCTGTACTGAGATTCTTAAGACAAAATTCATTTCATTTTATAAGTTCATCAATGCCTTTGAAACATTCGTATCACAACAGGTAACAATTAATTATTTTAATACACATCTCCTTTTAATTGTTCTTATTTTATAATTCTGTTTTGTTGCCAACACCATTCCATTCATGGCTCCAAAATCCAAGTCAAAAAAACAAAACGAAAAAACGGCAAAAAACGTGAAGGAGGATGCTAAAAACAACGGGAAAAGTGATGTTGGAAGGAAGGGTGGAAAGAAATACTTAGAGCAGCAAAATACTCTTCCCAATCGTCCTACAGCTAAACAAGTTGTTGCAGGTTCATCTTGGACAGGAAAGATCCCAGCCGTATTATTGAATGAGTATTGTCAAAGGCAAAAATGGGACAAATCAGATATTTACGTAAAGCCAAACAAGGAAGGCAAGTTCATTGTAATTTCAATAACATTGTCCAGACGAGTATCTAAAAGCTCAATGGCTTCTGAAAAAGTTACCCTTTTACCGGAACGAAACTTGATTGCTTCTGAAACATTACCAGCCAAGGACACTCCCCTAGAGGCCAGAAATGTTGGCGCCGTTTATGCTCTTCATCGTATTCTTTCTCACAAATCAATGCAACATGTTTTTCCACCCGAACATCGAAAGATTTGGGCTGACTTACAGGATAAGAAGAAACTAGACTTGGAGAAAAATCGACAATGGCTTTATATGGAAGATCCATTCAAAGCACAAAAACTTCACATGGAAGAGGAACAAAAAAACAAAGAAAAGGTCGCAAAGGCCCGTGCAGCAGCTGAGGCTTTGAGAAAAGACAATTTTATTTCCAAAACTATTCTCCAAAACGTTGGTAGCGACAACAAGTTTGATTTTCGTCATCCTCTTTCTCTCAGTATGAATGCCAGTAATCGCTTGACATTGCAAAACCTTCTTCAAGGTTTTGATATATGGGATTATGAGAATCCTAAAAGTATGTCGGAGGAAGAGAAACAAAGTATTGTTTCGAGTCTGGTACAAGCCGGCTTCAGAAAAGCTCATGCGGAGGAGAGCTGCTCCTATACTTCGTCATTTGAAGACGCTCTCTGTTGGTTATTAATTCATGTTCCGGAAGATGATCTACCTTCAAGATTTCTGCCTGAAGTCGACAGCTCTGTTTCCTTCCAGTTACATGATTCAACAGAATTAGCCTTTCACTACTCTGCCAAACGAATGTCTGCAACTGGCTACAACTATGATTTGTGCCTTGCTACCCTGAAGGAGTGCAACGGTGATATATTCATAGCGTTTGAGGTTTTACAGCAACAATTGCTGGGGCTCGATATCAATCCAGCAGCATGTGAACGCAGTGGTGACACAATTGAATGGGACAATGAAATTGATGCATTAAAGTGTACTCTTGGCCCAAAGGAAATTCAGCTTACGAAGGAAAATGATTGCGAATTTACCATCATTCCGCCGAAGTCTGTACACCCAAATCCTGTCAAAATCACTTTAATAAAGCCAGCACGTTCCTATCCTCAACATATGTTCTCTATTGAGGTTTCGTCGTCCTCCAAACTTGCATCCTACATCAAGTTAAACATTATTAAGAAGACCGCTTCTTTTGCCAATATGTATTTAAATGAGCCAATGCTGTTTGCGACTTATGAATACTTGAAGGAAAACATTAAAGACTTGATTGAAAATGCCGGCAGCCTTTTAGAGGTTGCCAATGTTGTTGTCGGAACGAAAACCGAGGAAATGGAGGTCTTGCAAAAAGCTATAAAACGTCGTCCTAAAGCAATTAGAAAGCGTGCAAGGAATGAGAATCTTGCGGCTAGCGCGATTAAAAAAAGAAGAGATATACTCGCTGATTCATCTATGAAACCAATCATGGATTTGAGACAAACACTCCCGGCATGGAAGTTAAAGGACCGTGTTATACAACTCTTTTCCGAAAAAAACGTAGTGATTGTTAGTGGTGAAACTGGTAGTGGTAAGTCCACTCAAGTTGCACAATTCATTCTTGATCATGAACTAGAAATTGGAAATGGAGATATAGTCAAAATTGTTTGTACGCAACCCCGAAGAATTTCAGCTATAAGTTTGGCTGATCGGGTAGCGTATGAACGAGGCGTTAAAGTGGGCGGGGAAGTTGGATACAGTGTTCGAGGTGAAAGCAAGCAAGGAAAAGATACCATGCTTGAATTCTGTACGACAGGACTGCTTCTTCGCCGAGTTCAAATGATGGGTTATGCCTCGGTGAACAACTTAACATGCATTATTATTGATGAGGTGCACGAACGGTCAGTTGAAAATGATTTACTTTTGGCTTTACTGCGAGTCATTCTCTCAAAGAACCCAAAGCTGAAGGTCATTCTCATGAGTGCAACTGCCGACACAAATCTGTTCTTAAACTACTTCCCTGGTGCTGGTTTGCTTCACATTGAAGGTCGTACTTTCCCTGTCACTGACTACTACTTGGAAGATATATCTGCGAATGAAGCAGATTCAAGCGATACCAATGCCAGCTCCTTAGAGTCCACAAGCAAAAAACAGAAAGACAAACACCGTTTCACTATTAAATATGAACTTATTGCCTCTCTTGTCAGTGATATTGATAAGCAGCTGGGCGAGGATAACGGTAGCATCTTGATTTTTCTCCCAGGTGTTTACGAAATTAATCGTTGTATGCAACAAATCGAGAATTATTCACCAAATCATTTCACTGTGCTTCCACTGCACGCATCTCTTTCTAGTGCTGAGCAGCATAAAGCTTTCCAAACTTACAAAAAAAGAAAAATTGTGTGTAGCACTAATGTCGCCGAGACTTCGATTACTATAAACGATATTGTTGCTGTTGTTGACTCTGGCAGGGTAAAGCAAATAGACTACAATGCCGATAGTGACATGGTGATATTCAGGGAAACATGGGCTTCGCAGGCTGCCTGCAAACAACGCCGTGGACGTGCTGGCCGTGTTCGCAGCGGCTTATGCTACAAACTGTATACTCGAAATTTTGAGAATCAGCACATGGAAAAACAGGTTACTCCCGATATCCTTCGCATTCCTCTTGAGCAAGTTTGCTTGTCGGCATTATCGATTTTACAGGCATTCGGATCAAAGTCAAAAGTGAATAGCTTGGAAAATGTGAAAAAGTTCATGCGTTCACTTATTTCGTCTCCTTCTGAACGGAAAGTCAATTTGGCTATGGACCGGTTGAACGAAACTGGTGCAGTCTCTGATGAAGGCGAACTAACCGGTTTGGGTAATTACTTGGTAAGTATTAATTTACAGCTGTATAAGAAACTAATCACCTTTATTAGGCTGCTCTTCCCGTTGACATAAAATGCGGTAAACTGATGGTATATGCAGCAATGTTTGGTTTCCTTGATGTTGCTCTTGTTATTGCTGCCATACTCTCCGTAAAATCTCCTTTCCTTCATTTTGATGATCGAGCACGGGAGAAGCGCGCACAATACGGAAATGGTTGGGGTGATTTGATCTCTGACACATACGCTTATTGTCAATGGGAACAAAGTACTGCACAGTTATCTCGTAGAGAGACGTTCCAATGGGCAGATGAGGTTCGTACTGTAGCCTTAACAATAAAACTAACTTGCAATAGCGTGGTTTATCACTTACAACCTTGCAGACTATACAATCGACCTTGTCTGACTTGCGTGAATCAGCTAAGGAACTTCGTTTATACCAGTTCTCTGAAAGTAAGGGTTGCCGTTGGGATGCACATGATGATATGTCTTTATTATCAACGATCATTGCTGCTGCTTTAAGTCCAAACCTTGCTAAATGTGTTTACCCGAACAAGAAATTCATTGCTTCTACCTATGGTGCACTGGAGAAGGAACATGAAGCCAAAGAAATTAGATATTATGATCCCAATGATGCTCGGGTTTTCATTCACCCAGGTAGCACATTGTTCTCTGCCACTCCAAATCCCTCTAAATGTGCTTTTATCGCATACGAGAAAAAGATTGAGACATCGAAGGTTTTTCTTAGCAGTTGCACTCCTGTCAGTATGCTTGGCATGATATTGTTAGGCTCTAAGTCTGTTGATGTAGATCCTCTCGGCAGAGGAATGGTTTTGAACAAACGCATTCCTATTAAAGCATATCCCAAACTTGTCATTCTCTTAAAATTCCTCCGGACATATATCGACATCATGATACAAAGTATGATTGAGCACTCTTTTCGCCATCATTTTGCAGACAAAGTTCTTCATTGCATTCGAGTTTTGGTGTCTTCTTAAGAGGTATTATCAATATTTTCTTAGGCATATCATTAGAATTCATTATCTTTTACTTTTTGAATAGACTACTTACCATCAAAAACCCCAAAACGAACAATCAGTTCGAAAAATTTTCATTAACTGAAATACTTTCTAAACCCTAAAACAAACTTTTCGGTTTATATTTGCTACTTCATATATTAATTTCGTTGTTGTATATTTATTCATACACTGTTTGGATACCGCCCAAGTACGGAAACATAACCACCGGTTAAGTTGACAAAAACAATCAACGTATTCGTTCTATGTTAAAACGAGCTTTAAACATGTTGTCACGTCACGAACGAATTCAACAAGTTCTCGAAAGTGCTTTGAAGCCCAAAGTTCTTACAATTCGCAATGATAGTAACAAACATTCGCACCACAAAAATATGACAGAGGGACTGGCGCAGGATGGCTTTACACATTTCTGCCTAGACGTTGTCTCTGACGAGTTTACCGGAATGAATAGACCAGCAAGACATAGACTTATCTACAAATTACTGCAGCCGGAATTCGACACCGGCCTCCATGCTCTCCAAATCCGTACTGCTAAAACAGTTGCTGAAGCAGAACAGTAGTCGTTGCTAGCAGACAACTCCTCTACATAGAACTGGTTCACAAAAGCGCAAGTATTCGGACGAATAATTCATTTTTTATAAAAAGGATTTAATAGATGGGAGGAGAACGAAAAAGATGTATGGAGAGAAGGTTTGTACAAGCTAAAAGAGCAGACAGTTTGGAACTACTTTTAATAAGAAAAAAGGGAGATAAAGCCCTACTGATTATCGAGACGCCAAATGGCATCATTCCTTCTTCTAACACTATGCAGTGTTTTGAGACGTATTCACATCTTTCTACAGAGCAGGGTATCGACCTACTCCTTGGAAGCAGTAGCAGGCTTCTTGCCAATCATAAGGTACATAGGAGTGAAAAGATGTGTCTTACCGCCATTGATTAAACCCCTTTGAGCGACAGCCAAGGTCTCACCGACCTCGAAAGTGCCCTTCGCAGCCAAACCAACCTTCTCCATAACGCGGACAGCAGTTTGAGTACAGAATTTTCCAATGCGAGAGGTTCGGAAAACAGTGAAGACATCCCAGAATGTTTGACACTTACGAATGTCACCTTCGAGAGGATAGTACCAGGGCAAATCAGGGTTGTCGGTGTCGGTCAGATCCTCGGCAGTTTGCAAATCAAAGCCTGCGGCCTTCATAGCGTCACGAGCATCCTTCATCGTGCACATTTGAGGGATACCATCACCCTTCTCAATGTCATAAGCAATGCTACGGTGTTCGGGGTTTTTAGGATCGTAGTCATCAGACATAACCCATTCGTAGACACCAAACACACCGCCAGGCTTTAAGACACGGTAAATCTCGCTGTAAACTTGTTCTAAGCTGGGAGCATGAACGGTAGCCTCAATTGCATACACAAAATCAAATGTGTTGTCCTCAAAAGGCATGTGCATAAAGTCACCCTTAACAAACACCTGCTTGTTTTCAAGGTTGCGCTTCACAGCATAGTTGCGACAGCGAGAAATTTGATAGTCGTTATTGTTCAAACCAACCATGTTACAGCCAGTGAACTCGGTAATTTCGCGGGCAGGGCCACCGACACCGCATCCAACATCCAGGACACGAGACTTGGGCGTAATGCCCATACGGTAAGCAAGATAATGCTCATGGCGAGCAATACTCTGCGAAAAGGGCTCTCCCTTGTAGAATTTACTGAAGTGGAAACTTTGACACCAACCGTACTCATACAAGTCCGTAGCAAGGTCGTAATAACCGTTGACAAGCTTCTTGTAACCTTGGAGACGCTCCTTGCGATCGGAAGGAGTCTCATTCGTATCGTCCTTATCCCAGAACTCCAAGTATTGCTTCAAGACCTTGGATTGTTCCTCCAAATCTTTAGCAGCCATGGCCGCAAGACCACCTTTTTTGGCGCCATCATCACCATGAAGACGACGAGAAAGTTCCTGATCCTGGGATGAAATATCGTTCGAAGTAGAAGCACTCATTGTTTTTTAAAAAATAGGGTTGGAGAGTCAAAAAAAGATTACAGAAATAAGAATCCAAGAACGAATGTAGAGAGACTATTCGTTAAGGCGTATGTAATGTACAGAACACACAAGATTGAAGTTACAGAAATAAAAAGACACAAATAGTAAGTCTGTTAAAAACAAAAGACGCAATCACAGACTGTTAATACAGAACGTTTACTAGAAATACAAATACAGTTTTGTAGTGTCAACAAAGTCCACTGCAGTAGGAAATCGCTTGAGAGTGTTTGGTTAAAGGAGAGTTAAGTAGGACGAGAGACTCGCCGTTATTGCAGCAGACATACTCGTCACGCGTGTCTTCCACACGATGACGAAATGACACTTTTTCGAAGAAAAACAGGAAAATTACAGTGTTTAATATGTTCATAGATTCTGTTATATATTCATGTTTCTTTTTCCTTAAACAAAAATTCTCTGTTTTTAATAAAACGCGTGTATTTGAGAGCGCGTCGCATTTGTTTACATACGCGTTGTCTTTCGTCAGCAGAAGAATCGCATGTTTTTTGGTGTCGCGGTAAGTATGGTGTGGTTGTCGGATTACCTTCAACGCTAATTGGTTCGGCAATTACGTGTGTTTCCCGGGAATGTGGGTGCACGGACCGCAGGGTTCTCCACTCGCACTTTGAGTATCGCCTGAGAAGAAAGTCTATCGTTCGAGTCTCATTATCATCCTCATGACGTCAATAATGTGGGGGAGTTCAATATGCACAGACGTAAGCCTTGTTTACATACAGCACTTGACGAAACGACGAGTTAAATTGAGCTTTTATAGTAAGGTTTACTTCATAGGACATTACTGCAAGAAACACATTAAATCGCTTGTTACTCTTAGCAATGGAACTCGAATCTACTCGTTCCCAATCAGTAGTATCTTCAGGTCACCACTGTATGTATCCAACCTTTCGCACTATCTCACTCAAATGCAAACGCAATCGCCGAGCCATTAATTCTCCAAACGAAAGTATTATCAAGAGATTCTTTCGTTCTCTCTCGTATTTTTCTGTCCCTCCTTCTGGTATACTGTTTTTAGTTCTGACTATTACAGCCGGAAAACGTCTTGCTCATCAAGATTAAACTTTTATTAAACGAACGCACATGACTACCTTATAATAATTTAAAGCCACCCGCATATTAGTACTACGTCATTTTATATTGCTCTCCCGGATTTCATCTCATTTAGCGGTTCGCTTTCTCCCTTGAACCTCTTTTCATTGGCCATCTCTCCGCCTCCACTTTTTGTAAATGACGTCAGGTTTAAGTGCTTTAATTGGCGAGGCATGTGCTAGAAAAAACCATCTCTTTATCGAACCGCAGTCGCTTACGAGCCAATCGAAACTGAACATCTTCGCGTATTCGGCTAATCCATTTTGCTCGGCTACTCCTTTCTCACCTTCTCGCACCCTTTACCCTCTACCAACATCCACCGCTCAGGTTTCCTTAACATATCAAAAAATTTCAGAATCAATATGACATACTTTGAGTGACTACTAACCTCCGAGACTTCGTAAAGCCATAATCTGCTTGGAACACCTTTTCTATTTCTGCCTTCGTCGCTAGACGATCCGTCCATCTATTTTATTCACTTCATTTGTTTTCCTTCCCCATAATACACCGCCCTCTTACTTTGTACGACACACATTCCTCCCGCAAAGACGGTCAATCCTATCCAGTTATTTCATTACCCACTTCCTTCTCTACGAAACCTCGCCTGCCAGACACGTTATTCATCATGAAAGTTTTAGAAGAAAAGGGCTACAAGGTCGAGCGTATGCTCAATAAGGGCTCCTACGGCACCGTTGTGCTTGCTCGTAAGCTGCAGAGCACATGCGGCGAGAAGGTAGCCATTAAGTGCATAAAAAAACCTGCTCATACTATTTTGGAAGAAATTGCCATTTTACAAATTCTTGCTGAGCATCCACACCGAAACATTATCCGTTTTGAAGAATCGTTTGAGGATGATGAGTACCACTATATTGTGTTGGAATACTGTGCTTTGGGAGACTTGTACGAATGCATTTTGAACGAAGAAATTCCCAGCACCCGCTTTCAGCCTGACATTAAGCAGAACCTACTATTACAGGTTCTAGATGGCGTAATACACTTACACTCACTTGGCATTTTCCACCGTGACCTTAAACCCGAAAACTTTCTTTTGACCCTTTCCGATGATGGCCAGCTGGTCCTGAAAATTACCGACTTTGGACTGGCTACCCGCGACATTAACTCCTTTGAATTCGGCACCGGTAGCGACCGCTACATGGCGCCTGAACAGTATGAAGAAGTCGACAGCGTGGGCTACAGTCCCCGAGCCGCTGACATCTGGGCCATTGGCATCTGCGTGCTAAACCTGGTTTTTGCGCGAAACCCGTTCACTTATCCGCACGAGAAGGACCCGATTTTTGCCGATTACGTTCTTGATCCTATGACAATGTTTGACATATTTCCCACTCTTACACAGGACACTTTCAATGTTCTCAAAGTGTCTCTTTGCGTGTATCCGGAAAAGCGTTCTCTCGAAAAAGTTCGTGAGGCCATTGCACATGTGAAACACTGGACTACTGATGACGAAGACCTTGAGGAGGAAGGTACTCAATACTGTGAGACTGACGAGGATGAGCTACGCTCATCTGCATTTTTTGATCTTGCGGGCAATGTTCGCTGCACCAGATCGAGTCGGAAGCCGCTACGTACTCCTTCGATCTTGTCACCTGCACTGACACACGCTCGACCTGCTGCAGCACCATTCGCAGCACCTTTTGCAGAATTGTATCGGCTTGCTGCTGAAAATGAGGAGTGTGAGCCTTCGCAAAACAGCTCTCCAAGAACACCTCTCACGCCTGCGCAAGCTCACCCATCTGAGCGTTCATACGATTCTGGACTCGGTGAAAGCCTAAACAACATGCATATTGGCAAAACCATCGTCCCCGCCTTTGTTCCCGTCAACACTCCACGCACACCCTATTCTGCTAGCGCTCCTAGCATCGTGTTTCCCAACAGCATCAAGGGAAACAAAGACCATCTCAAGTTCGGACGCAGCTGGTGTGACCTTGACGAAGAGGATGAAGAGGATGAAGACGGCTTCGCCAGCAGCGAAGACTTTGATGATGACCTGCCTTCCAACTCCGGCTTTGTCGATGATTGGAATGTGCTTTCCCAATGGAACGACAATGCATAGTTTGTTTATCTGCTTTTCATTGTTGATGTTAATAATATATTTATGAATGAGAATGTTATAACGCCCGTTTTTCTATTTGAAGCCACCCGTGCCGTTGGACACTTGCCCTGGAGCGTGCTTAGCAGGCTATTACAAGGATAACGTGTGTACTACTACTATGGGTGCCGAGTTTAAGAAATAGAACGATTAACGGGGTGTCTTACAGACTCAATTGATAAATGTTTTATTCATCAATTTAGATCTCAAATGTTCACTCTTTTTTTGTATAGATATAGATAGACTTTTTTCTTTTTCTTATAGACACATCTGTTCACTAAAGTTTGGATCGCCGTAAGATAGAGGAAAACGTGGACAGGCTAAGTTTAAGTTATAGAGATGCTGTAGAAGTTATCGGTATGCATGTGTTATATTGCTTGTGAAGAATACATTTAGATAAATAATAAAGTCATCACGCGTGACCAGCGGAACACACAAGTTATGTTCAATCAAGTAACATACCACAAAAGCTATGCACCAAGGTACAACCGGTCGCTAGGTGAAATGTTCTTGATCTGTACGGTGACCTCCCATTTAGGCTGTAAACCAGCTCCGTAAAAGGTGCCTAGCGTCTGTTGAACGATACGAGTCACATCACTGCGAATTGTGGCTTGTCCTCGCTCACCCATGGATAAGGAAAGAGAGAAATTTGCGATGCAGGTGTTGTAATGAGGCTGCCATATAGAAACTGAATCAACGTTTGAAATACGAGCATCTTTCCGAATCAACTCAATGCATTCCGTAAGGCTCTCCGAGCTTGGGTAAGTCTGCAGGAGCATTATGCCCAGACGTTTTGCAATGGAGAAACCGACGACAACCGCAGTGACAGCAATGGAAAGAGCAAAGATGTGACTAGCAACAGAGCCCACTGGAATACCAAGGAGGAGGAGGACCATGAGGATCACAGCAGGCACGAAAGTGAGTCCATGGAAAAAGCGGTGGTTTAGCATGCGAACATGAGACCGAGGTTGTTTCCCCAGCATGGAGAGTCCCGAAACGATTACGGAAAGTATGAGAGAAAGAGTTAAATGAATGTGTGGTTTCTCATCAGCCCCGGGGTCCATGTTTCCCCATTCTTCAATAGCATGTTCTGCGGGTTCCTTAAGAAGATTAAGGCCCAAAAATAAAAGAATTACAGATAATGAAAAGTCGAGCAGAAGCTCAAGTTGTTGTAAGCCGAAAGGGTACCGGAGACAGGTTCCTCGCCATACAACGAATGAATCCATAGACTTTCGCACGGATTTTGTAAGCACAAGGACACCTTCAAACATCAAAGAAAATGATAAGGCCAATAACACAGTTGCTTCACCTGACATGAATACACCTAAGGCCAATGCAAAAAATAAAAGGGATGAACCTGCTTTGATTTGGTTTTGCACACCCATTGAAAGCCACAACTCTTTCCATGTTGGAATTGGATAGGCTGTAGGAAGCTCTAGAGGCTGTCTGTTCTTGGGAGGAAGGAAAAACTGATGTGAGAGAGAATGCTTATGATGATGGCCCCTCCGCTGACTTGTATGACTTTTAGCACTCAAAAAACTGTTCATCTGACTGGGTTCCGTAATAGATGATTTTAGACGTTGTGGTGTAGGCGCACGGACTGTTTCTGGTGATAATCGATTTCCATCCTCATCCTGTATAATGAATTCCATGGCTGCCTTGTGGATGGAGCGATTTGGCTCTGTAATAGGTAGGTCACAGTGTGGTCTTTGTGGAACAAGAAGCTCAATATGAAATCTGTATGATAAATGTAATTTCTGAACGCGGAAAAACGCTAGTAGCAATTACATTGTAAGTTTTTATATTTTTGTGCGTGTTTTTGTTGAATTATGGGGAATTGTTTCGTTATAAAAAAGGTGAAGTGCACTGACAAAGCACGAGTTAATGAGTGCGTTAGGTAGAACAGAGACAAAGAAGTACGAGTATGAAGTATAATTACTGTAGGGTTTGGTTATAATTTTCTTGAAGATGAAGTCGTTAACGTATTATCATTAAGTTTACGAACGAAGAAATCATCCTAACTTTTATCGTAAGCAATTCAGTAATTAAATAAAGGTCACACACGAATCGAAACGTCTCATACTCCTTTTCTTTTCGTTCCCTCTCATACACTTATAACCTCTTTTTCTTATTCACTGTTTTAAAATACTTTGGACGAACAAGAACAGTTTATCTAAACAAAATATTCGATTCAAACTTGCTGTAGCAAAGTTTTTGAGAATCTTCTACGAAATCTACCTGGTTTAATGTGTTTCTGCCTGTAAGTAGTTTTATTTACCCAGTCCACCGAACTCGGCTTGTACAACCTCTTCCACATATAATCAACAACAAAGTATTGCGAGTAAAATCTAGCCATGGACGCATCAAAGAAGGAGAATCCAACGGGAGAGTCGTCAGGAATTGCTGTCATGGTACGTGCTGTAAAAGCTCGAAATGCATTCCTACTTATTCTGTTTACTAACATATTAGACGGACGAATTGGTTAAGAATATGGTTTGTAAATAATCAGCAATATCACTTCAAAGTTTAAAGTATGACTTACACCCTACTCAGAAACGGGACTTTGAACAATTTCAAGTAGACTTCTCAAAAAAGCGTAAGTACTATTAAAGTCCTGGCAACAACATGAAACTAACATAGTTTCCTAGTTGATTCTCTGACAGGAAAGCTGGACAAGATAGAAGAGGCTTTAAACGATGAACTTCGAACGTCAAATTAGCGCCAAACCGTTACAATTCGCGGGGACATATTTATAGAGCAAACTTTGTCATCTCGAAATATTTAACACCACATCATTTTTGCCATTAATTTATATTCAACAGTTACTTGTGCTATTATATTATAAGCATATAGGGAACGAAAACAAAAAGGAACTATTATCATTACTCATGAGGTAAAAATGTGAGAAATATCCGCAACCGACATGAAGAAGAGAAAAGAAGATAACTGTTCATAATCATAAAGTCACCATAATCCCGAATGACTAATTGTTGGAAGTCGTCACACTTGATCTGTCGTCGCGAGGAAAGAAGTCAATCACATTTGAATTTTGTTGATCGCCGTCTGGTCACGGTCAGAATTAGTATGCTGAATTAATCCGGAATCGGCAAGATAGTACAGCACCGCGGACAACCGAGAAAGCCAAGGCTAGCTTGCACGAATTTACTTACCAGCGCGAAGAGTCTTGCTCTTCATTGGCGCAGAAACCTGACCAGACCCGCCAGTACTTCCGTGTCTAACCTCTGCAGTCACTGCAGGTTCGTCGTGACGAAGCGTAGTGCGGGCGTTTGCGGAGTAGTTTGGTGCGTCAGAATAGTAAGTCTTGGAACCGCCGCGACTAGAGCCGAGGCGAGATTGTTGAGAAGACAACGAGTTCAGCTCTTGCTTTGCCCGGTTCACCTCGGCCTTGGCATTATCGAGGGCACGCTTGGCAGCTTCCACGTCATCAGCATACTTGTCCTGGTCACGCATGGGCTGCTTCACCTCGTCGAGACGACGCTCCTCAATACGAAGGCGTTCTAAGCACTTGTCCAAACCAGCCTGGTCGACAGTCTTGTTCGAGGGGGCGCTGACAACTGAACGCTTAGACTCCATTTCGCGCATGAGAGACTCGCTCTTGTCGCGGAGCTCGCGGGCTTCACGCTCCTTTTCCAAGGCAATCTTTTCAATGCCCTCGTTACGCTTCTCAGCAGCTTTGACGGCGTCATAAGATTGGTTCACTTGCATGCGAATCTTTCGCTCGCGGTCATCAGCCATTGCTCTCTCTCTGTTCAAGTCATCTTGAGCAGTACGAAGCTTAGTTGTGTACATGTTGATGTTGTTGGCGACATCGTTCTCGAATTCGTCAGCGTCACGCTTGGCTTGAGCAAGCTTTGCTTTGGCGGCTTCTAATTCACGAGTGGCATCATCAATGTTGTTTCTGTAGTAGGCACGCTTCTTGTCCAGGTCACCTTGGTTGTTGTTCAGCATCAACTGTGCATCACGAACACCTTCTTCCAAGTCACCAAGATGTTTCTTGTTTTCGCCGACAACACGGTCAATGGCTTGGGAAGCTTCGAAACTTCTGTTCTTGGCATCACGGAGAGTGTCCTCCATGTGTACACGCAAGTTGCGAGCTTCGGCTTCACGAATGGAAGCAGTGCGGATGGTGGACTCGTAACGCTCTTCGTACTCAGAGAGCATGGCAGCGTTCTCGGCCTGAGCTTTCTTAAACTCGGCTTCACGAATGGCAGCTTCCTGCTTTGCCTTCTCATAATCATAACGAGCGCCGTCAACATTAACATTTTGACGAGCAACGTTAGTGTCCAATTGAGCCTTCCACGCGTCACGGCTTCTCAGAGCAATGTCGTAACGTGTTTCAGCACTCTCCAACTCAGCATTGGCAACAGCCAAATGATGGTTGGCTTGCGCTTGACGGAGAGCAAGTTCAGCTCTCTCAGCATCCTCGCGAGCACGAGCCTCACGACTAGCTGCGGCACGCTCAATGTTTTGTTGAACTTCACGGGCGCGTCTCTCGGCACGTTCAGCGTCCTCGAAAGCTTTCTTGGCCTTCATCTCCAAAGCACGGGCGTCTTCCAACGACCGATCATTCATACGACGAGCACGCGCAAGCTCGTTCTCAGCATCTCTGGCTTCTCTGAGAGCAGAATCCTTCTGCTGCATCAGCTCTTGCAAGGCACCCTCATCTGAGGGAATGCGAGCATTGGTAGTTGTTACAATTTTAATGGGGGCACCACTCAAAGCGTCAACATTGTTTTGAGTAGCAGTAATCTTAATGTTTGTGAAACCTCTGCTGCGGCTTGATGAACGAGACACTGGCGACTTGAGTGCGCCCTCGTTCATGTCGGCTCCCTTAGAAACGACGGGTGACATTTCATTGCGGAATTGACCAGATGCAGCAACATTACCAGAATCGTAAGTGGCACTTCTCTGTGGAGCACCCTCACGTCGAGTACCGGCGTGGGCGCCGCTAGTGTCGGGGGACATGGTACTGTCATATCCACGGTTTTGACCTTGTGTCTGGTAGGAACGCTCATCATCGCCTAACTCGGCGGAGCCACCGGCAAATGTGTCTCTGGCACCACGAGCATTAGATCTCGCTTGGGTGCCCGCATTCTCAAAGCGGTTTTCGTGGCCGGCAACATCGTCTTCCATGGCATTCGCCTTGTTCTTGGCGTTCTTAGCCTTAGACTTGCCACTGCCGAAATGTTTCGACCAACTGTTATTAATATTTTCAATGCCGTGTTCGATTTTATCCATGCTATGCAGATATGTTTCGATGTTATGAGAACTCGAGCCGGCACGGCTTGCGGCTTTAAGCTGAAATTCCGCTCTCTGACATCAATTGTCTGTCAGAGAACTCAGTCTCACAGAGCATTATAATTGACTGCATTCTGGTGATGTAGCTTTTTGAGCACCAGTTGCAAATAGGTTCGTATTTGTTTTCGTGCGCAACTTGCGCATCGTACATAAATTGATTGATGTCAGAGAACACCGTAATTCTGTTCTAGCTTTGGTTGGTTCGCTATTGTCGCATGAATTAACTTACTCAGGCTGAGGTCATAAAAACGAGGAAGTGATGTCGTTTTTGTCGCCTTCAACGCGCTTGTTAGGTTAACTTTGTGTGGTGGACGTTACTGAAAAGAATGCAATTGTAAGGCCAGACTCTTGTGAAAGTACTTGATATTACGATATGGAATCTATGAATACAATTTTTAAATGCTGAACGAGACGCCGAATTTTTTACAGTGTGTTTTTCATGCTAGTAATGCTTTAACCACACTCTTGTCTCGAGTAACATAAAACAATTAAGGTGAACAATACCACTTACAAATGAACGTAAGTGTGAGGTGTCCTTATTGAGTGCATGCGTATCTCTCTCTCAACGGCGTTTTGAAGCTGTTTGGCCCAATACCCTCAAAGCAATGGCTACGTACATTAATGACTTTCGTAACGACCATGTTTTTTGAGGGAGCGACTTTTTGAGTCTCATTGTTTGTGTTAAGAAAAAAATAGCTCCTGTTGCATTTCGAGTATCCTCAACCGGCTTCAAACACATTGGTAGTGTGATTAAGTTTTAGTTTTCTTTTAAACGCATGAAACGCATAATTTTCATTTGTAGAGCCTGTGGTTGGCACTTCTCTACAGTTCAGGAATTGTGCGATAACTCATACGAAGTTCGAGAAGGTCGTCATCAGTATATTCGCTCTGCGATTCATAACTCGCAAAGTTCGTTCGCCCAGGAGCATCGCCGCGCTGGAACCAAAGAAATACCGCTTGACTAATTCTTGAGCGTTGCTCTTGGCTATACTTGGCGTATGTTACGCGATGATGCTTCCAAGGCTGGCGCAAAGCATCGAAAAGCGTTTCGAGAAGAAAACGATGATCGTTTTTAACAGTAGTGACGTTTGCGTTCTCTACCTCGAATAGGAAATCGTCTGGCTGATCAGCGATTATGAGTGCAGCCCAGCAACATACAAACACAATTTGACTTGGTGTATATGGCAGAAAGCGAGAATCCATGTATGCCACTTCTGTAAGATACTCTAGCAGAAATTGCATGCCTTCTCCAATACCATTGAGACGATGTGCGACTTTGCGGATGTAGGGCATTGGGCCTGACCAACCGATTTCATAGCCCAGTAGGGCAAGCATCTGTAGTTCGGTCCTACATATATCGTGATGACTTACCTTTCCATCAAGCAATTGAAGAATTTCTTTCATCGCTGGTGTCTGCACTTCCTCATACTTGCCGGCAATAAAAAGCGCGGCAGCACCGACAATACAAACATTCTCAAACACCGATGCATCCACCGACATGCTGCGATCAACCAAGTTGAACGCCAGGAATAATGTTTCTTGCACGAACCCAAGACACCCGTGAGCGTATGTCATCCAATTGAACAGGAGCTTGCGCGTATTCAATGTGTACTCTGACAATTGGAACAAGTGTCGAAAATCGGGCAGTAGTCTGGACTGTAGCGATTGCGGAAACGTTAGTCAAACTATTGGTTGCCGGTTTTCACTCTCTTATACATCCACACTCATTCCGCTCTCCAAGCTTTCCCTCGTTGTCAAACTTACCTCGAGTCGACGCATTTGAGTTGCGATGTCGACGCCATAATCTTGAAAGACTATAATATCATCAATCAGGGCATCTTTCTCAATTTGCTGTTCGGTTTCTGCGAATGCATTCGTTGGTCTTCGGTGACGAATGGCTTCTGTTGAAGGGTATTTTGGGTAGCCGTCTACCTCATGTTCGAATGGTTCCCGATGAACTTCCACGTCAGTTTCCGGGATTGCCTCTTGTACAGTACTGCTGGTGAGGATGCTAATGCTGTTCAGGGATCGCTCCAGTGTTTCATATTCTTCACCGTCACTGAATGGGTCTGAGTATTCGTATGGAATGTTCTCTTGTTTAGGACTCGATTCCAATTGGTATATACTGAACGTTGGTTTGTTCAAATGATCACGGTCTCCATTTTTTGCCTGATTGTTTCTATTCCCCCGCTGGTAGGTGACATTGCTGATTTCTCTTAAAGCAATTCTGTTTCCAGCAGTTCTCATCTTGCTACAGACAAAGTCAGTTACGCTCCTTTTTTTTACATTTAAAGAAGGATATCATGTAATACTCACCAATATCCGTTTCTAAATCAATTGAGCAAGAATTGTTTGTGCCAGTTTTGCAATGAAGAGGAATACTTTCTCGTCCATTGCTAAGTAAACAAAACACATCCTCCATTAAAACCTAAATTGTAAGTACAAATGGATACAGCGAAAGAAGGTGTTTGTTTTTACTCGTAAGCTACACAATATCACACTGTATAAAAATCGCTCGCAATTTAAGTTTCGGCGAAGCTTCGCCCTCCCCGTCGGCCGCAAACTATGTTTCATTAAGCGTCATTACTGCGAGTAACATTATACGCTGCACTTCCTTAGAGCACCGTAAACGACAGTGCGCATCTTGCACGCGTTTCCGGGTGTGACTATTGTATTTACAGAAACAATTCCTTGTTTAATACAGTAGAATGAAATTGTAAGAAATTCTATTTCTGGGCGCTGTAATTCATTGACATATATGCGCATGTATGCTGCGACGCGTCTCTAACTATGCTATAAAAGGACGCCGTCCTTACACACTCAAAGGGCTTTTCCTCGATGGAATCAATGCATGCGTGACGTCGGTTATAGTAAGAGGAGGCAATTTATGTTGTGTAAGCAAGCGTCGCTGCGAGACGAGCCACGTAATGTAGTGAGCCCGACCGACTATTTTGTCAGGTCAATCCCCCACACCATTCAGTGGGGTGACGTCCCCCACATGGCGCCCCACCTTTGGTTGGCTAGTAAGATGATTAGCAGGCTTCTGTACACATTCTCGAGAGTGTGCAGGAGACCTAGAATCATTTTCATCGTCTTATTTCGCTCAGCATAACGCTATCACTACGAGGAGCATTGAACTTTGCTGATCCTCGTCAAAGTCAACTTCACCACCAACATATTGTTGTTGTGACACACGTTTACAGTGGACAGGGAGAAATAGTTGCGTTTTGTGTAACCCAACGCAATTCAGGGGCCATTGATGCATTCAATGCTGCTCACTAAAAGAACACGTTGGTTAACAAAGGCGGTGCTGAGACGAGGTTACAGTACTCGAGTTAACAACCCTAAACCGCGTAGCACCCGCTGGCCTGTGGGTGCAGGAGTGTTGGGACTCGGTTTCGCAACATGCTTTTGGCTGTTCCACGAACGCAGAGATGTTGAGACAAAAAAAGGTGTTAAAATTGAAGGTCCATGGCAAGTTTACGTTTTAAGTACACTCCCATTACGAACCTTGTCGCGCGTTTGGGGTGCTTTAAACTCGGTGCATTTACCTGCATGGATTCGTGTGCCATGGTTCCGTTTATATGCGACTATTTTTGGATGCAATTTGGATGAGGCTGCTTGCAAGGATCTACGCGAGTATCGAAACCTCTCTGAATTTTTTGGAAGAGCTTTGAAGCCTGGTGCGCGCCAGGTTGACGAAGATGCAATTATGGTGTCTCCCTCTGACGGGAAAGTTCTCAGCTTTGGAGTGCTGGAAGGGGATCGCATGGAGCAGGTGAAGGGACTCACGTATTCATTGAACGCACTTTTGGGCGATGATATGCATGCGAAAATGGCCGAGGAACACAGTGATCACATGTCTGCACTACGGCATGAAAAGTTTGCAGTTGTCAATGGGATTGACTACAGTTTGCAAGACATATTCGGTCACGACCATGGTGAACCAGAACGTGAAGTGAAGACGGTGCCGGATGCATCTGCAGACCATCGCGACTTGTTTGAGTCGTCTCGCGTAGCCGTCAAGGCTGCACCTCAATTCACATCACACAAAGACGATTGTCTGTATTACGCTGTTGTCTATTTATCGCCCGGGGACTACCATCGGTTTCATTCACCCACGGACTGGGTGGTGGAACGGAGACGACACTTCAGCGGCGAGCTGTTTAGTGTCTCGCCGTACATGGCCAAGCGTTTATGCAACCTGTTTGTACTGAACGAGCGCGTTGCACTTCTTGGTCGATACAAATATGGCTTCATGAGCATGGTTCCCGTTGGCGCGACCAACGTAGGCAGCATTGTCATTAACTTTGACAAACAACTTCGAACAAATCGATTCTCGAAGCTGGGACCTCCGGGCACGTTCGAAGAAGCTACGTACGAATCTTCATCACCAACACTTGACGGTATGCCGTTTACAAAAGGAGAAGAAATGGGACGTTTCGAATTGGGGAGCACAATAATCCTTGTTTTCGAGGCGCCTAAGAATTTCGAGTTCAACCTGAACGTTGGCCAGCGTGTCCTCATGGGCCAGTCCTTGGGGTCATTGAGACCACATAGTCCTTCGTAAAATCCTCCCCTCCCGTCATTCCGAATAGATGTACTACTATTACAACCACCCTACAATACCACGCGCGGGCATGACAGAGCCCCCAGCTTGCCTAAGCACACACAAGTCCTTCCTAAACCCTGATACGAACAGCTTTTCATTTTGATTCAGAAGACCTCTCTACAGTCATTGCTAACAAAACTCAAACTCAGCCAAGAATGTGCCAGTACTAAATTACAACTGCCCCACAAGAAGCAGCCGTACTCAAAGACTGATCACTCATTCTCGTCTTGGTTTCCTCCTCAGGCAGCCGCGAGCAGCTGCGGGAAAAGGCTTCGCCTCAATCGATGGAACAGGAAGAATCCACCGAGAGTCGAAGTGAAGACGCGTATGCTATGCTAAATCGACCCCACATAACACTCGTCGCCACAGCCGGCAAATCACTACAAACAGAGAAAAGAAACCGTGATCTTCTATTTCTGGTATGGAAGCTCAAACAGCCAGTGTTTGGCACTCGGCACGTCAAGACCGACCCGAGGTTTCTTTATATATCCATTATAAGGAAACCCAACGAGAGTTAACGCACTTCTTCGTGCAGCACTTGGGAGCCTTGAAGACTTCTTATTCCAGCAGCCAGCAATTGCAACGCTGTGAACACTCGCGTGGTAGGTGAGAGCAATTCGTTTGTTCTCTATATTCTGTTTTCCGTCTTGCCTGCTTTTGACTTCTTCCAATCCCTAGTTTGCCCCCACAGTTACCCCACTGCGCTTAAAAGTTCGCAGGGTGGGGTTGACGGACAAAGCATGCATGAGAGCGGGAAATTCCAGCTGCTTGCCCACGACACTGCCATGGACAAATACAAAATTCGTATTACCACCGTGGACCAACATGTCGAGCTCGTTGAAATAGAACGAGACAAGACTGTATTGGACCTGAAGACACAAATTGTTGACTCATTCGCCGCACCGGTCGACAGCCAAAAGTTGATTTTTTGCGGTCGCGTTTTGAGCGATACAACTTGCTTGCGCGACTTGTTGCATGACCAGAATGATCTTGTCACGTTTCATTTGGCATTTACTGTAGCACCCGATGCCCGTCGCAGCTCCACGAATGCTGCTGCGTCGTCATTGCGTTTACGTGGACACGAAGGGCTTGGACGCGAAAGTGAGTCGTCCAATATCGATGCCTCGTCTTCCAGCTCGACTGCCTTCACTTCGGGCCATGCATTGTTTCCCCCAGTCTCTGAGAACGGGGACCACGGCACGTTTGAGAGCGTTGTCCTATCCAGCAGAACGATGAGCGAAACGAACATTCTTGGAATGGGTTCGCCAACACAGTCTGTTAACGTTGTACCGAGCGGCATGAATACTGCAGACAATAACGAAAACCATGCGAATGAAGCATCTCCCATGCCTTTGCCTGAGGATAATAGTAATGTTGAGACTGAGCATACTCACGATAACTCCAGTAACACGAACAGTAGCAACACTGCCAGTGCTACTGCTACTGCTACTGCTACTGCTACTGCTACTGCTGCTGGAGTTGCTAATGCCACAACGAACGCTTCGTCACCAGCATCGATTCCACTTCCCATTTACTACCAAGTTGTCCTTCTCAATAACGTTCCCTACTTGCAGCGACTTACGTCTCCACCGACAAATGTTGTCGACGGACGGGTCGCAAGCGAACCTTCAAATGAGACAACTGAGACCGTTCATTTCCCCATGAGTCAAGTGCGTTCCATGGTGAATGCCGACACGGGAGAACGTGTCTTGCTTGTATCACCACAGGCGAGTGCGATGCTTTCTTCTCGTGGTTACGTTTTGCCTCCAGTACCGGAGCGACGTTTGCTTTCGCAAGTCGTGCTACGTTTTCTGAGACGACATGTGGCTCAAGTACGACTATTTTATAGAATTTTCTTCTTTTGGTGCTTTCTTTCTTTTAATCGCTCTATTACTCAAAAGGTCATTCTTGCCGTTGTGGGAATGGCCATATTTATCGTACAGTCTGGCATTTTTACCTACCTTACCTGGCACCGGCGGCCCGTCCAGACGTTCATGCGTCGCATCCGTCAAGTCCAAGAGGAATACCGCCGGCAGCCTCAACGTCGTCCTCCTCAAACAGTCGGTGAAGTTGTTCCGGCCACAGCTTTAGCAGCACAACCAAATAATGATGAACAACAACATCCACGGACGCCGTCCACGGCCGCTGATTCAGCATCCTCTGCTACAGAAGCTGCGGTCCCTGCTGCGGACGCATCTCCCGCCTTGGGAAATGGCAGCGACGCTCCTCACGCAGCAACAAATGATGGACAGCCTGGTCATCCCATTCCTGCTGCAGCCAACACATCGCCGGTGCAGCGTTTGGGCCAGCGCATCTGGCGTACTATGATTGCTTTCGCTTCAAGTTTTGTACCTAGAGGGTAAAAACGATGACATCGTTGCTATGAATGCATACACGCACACTCAATGAATTGTGTCCTCAACTGTGGTCTTGCCGATATAGACAAATTCACTCAGCTATCAAACCTTTCTACCGAAATATTTCTGACTCCCTCCTCTCCTACTTTCTCTTCTTCTTCTCAATGTTCATCATCAATTCATTTCGTGTCGTAAAGAGTGTTACAGGAACGAATTGCACCGCATAATAATTATGCTCTCGTTCCATACCCAGTCTAATTTAATTCAGTATTTCCAAAGGTGCCCGGTGTCGGTCTTTTGTTGCGCCAGCGCTTATTGGGATGCTACCACACCGCAGAAAATTGACTCAATCGGAAATTCAGATAGTTGTCCTTCTTGAAAACAGGACGAGATACTTTTGAATAATTCGGCGGATCTGTTTTGTGACTCGGACCACGTCCAGCTGTGTTGCCCGTTAACGGGCACAATCAACGGAGCATCCTCAGCCTTTTCAAGTTGAAGAGCAGGCAGTCGACGCATATTCCGGCGAAGATACTGCCATTCTGAAGCGACAACGTGTGCCGAAAGCTCATTCTCTCTGTTCTCTTCAAGACTGCCACTGCGATCTCTCCAGTTATTGTCAGTGTCATCATCAAGTAGAGCTGGTTGCAGGGATACGAATCCTAACAAACGTTCGAGTTCGAGAATAAACGGGCGTGCCTCGTTAAACACAGAACCCGCAGGGAATTGGGATGGCGTTACGGCTGGTACACCTAGTTGTTGCCCTTGTTCCTGTAGTCTGTCGATAAAGTCGGGCTGACTGAGACGCAGCATTACGTACTGTTGCAAACGATAAAAAGCATCCGGTGCAAACAGAGCGATCCGCGAATTAAATTCCTGTGTCAAGACGAACGGCATGTCGTTTATTGGCGTTGCCATTGTGGGAAGAATAGCGAGCACATTTGCCTTGTACGGACGAGAATGCTCGCGATAAAATGTGTGTAGCACAGCATACCGCAGCCAGGCCATCCACACAGGCGACAACATCTGCATCTCCTGTTCATCACCGCTACCAGCGTCGGTAGCGAGCAAGTCGATGACAATTGCGTACGTGTATGGGTCCGGTGGAATCCAGGCTTCTACGAGCATCGGTGTTGAGTTTTGTGTGTACCAGCGGACAGAAAGACGATCGCGGGGCCAGGCGTTGCCGGCGTACAGATTCGTCAGATGAGGCAGACGCTCGTCGCAGCGAATGAACATGAACAAACGCGGCAAATCATTAGAAGGCGAATGCAGCGTGCTCCTCAGCATCCGCAGCATTCGGTCGAGAAGCTTGTACGCACCCATCTCCACAAACAAAACAACCTCGAACCGTGGGATTCTGTACTCGGCAAGTGCATGCAGATCTAGCTCAGCAAGCCATAACGAGTCGTGGACATTGCGAGTGTCAATTGGGATGTGAGCAAAGTACTGCTTATCGAGGAAACGTTTTAGGGCTTCTACTGTCGCAGGGGACGCATACTGGGACGTAACAATGACACGCGGTACGGATTCCATGATCGCATTTTGCACCTCAGCCTCGAGAAGAATACGAGTCGTTCGCACCGCGACGTCGTCACGAAGATTACGAAGTCGCGCGCTAATTCCCCGTCCATCACCATACCAGGAAGGTTTCAAGACAAACTGGACAGGACACGCATCCACGGTCTCGCGGTTGGCCTCAAACAGAAACAAAGATGCGACATCGTGCTCGCCGATAATGGCAAAATTAACCAATATAGCTTGCGTGCTGGCCATGCGACACGCCAATTCGAACAGACTGTGGGTGTCGGCATCTATGCCGTAGCTCACGAACAATACGGTGTTTTGAACATCGTCGTGATGCAATTCGTTGAGGAACGCATCCGTTGACGCTTTGAGTCTTCGCACCGACCGTGGCAGCCCGACTACATCTTCTGATTCAGAGGGTGCTGCACCGGACCAAGCGGTAGGGGGCGGGAAGAGCTGTTTTGGTGAGGAAGCCTGCTGCACGCGGTTCGTCACCAGCCAAAAGGCCGTAAGCGCCAGGGTCAACTGGAGCAATCGTCGGACACTGCGTCGCCGAAACAACAACTTCATGAATTTTATCAAGTCGTCGAAGGATTGAGATTTCCGGATGTGTGCGTGAGCGAATAAAAAAATTCCAGTAGAAGGCTGGAAGGGATGCAGAGCCCAGGCGAAGGAGGGAATGTGCTTGGGCGGGGCAGGACGAGTAAGGCGGACTGAGGAATATGAATGTCCTCAAACTGGTCGCCGCGTTGAATTGCACCAAAAGAAAACGGTTTGTGTGGTGAACACTGAGCTGCGTGCGTTTGTGTGTGTGTGTGTGTGTGTGTCCGTTAGTTAGTAACCTATTAAGGCCGCGGGAGTGTGTGCCAGCTATGATGCTAAGAAGCCGTGCCGATCCATAACCAAGTCGTAGGTTTCGCACGTGGAGCTCGCTAAGTTGCACGTGCGTGTCGCGTGCGCTTTTTGACTCTCGCTAATAATTAAGCGTATTGCAATTGTCGCCAACTTGCTCATGTGACCGGTGAATCCGGCGTTACCGCACCCTGTGTGGCTCGGTTTAGGGACACGTGCGCGGGTACATCCCTGAGCGGCCGCGGAGCGCGACTTTCGGAGCGGCTGACGTTAAGGCGGCCGATCGCACTGTCTGCTCATACCAGCCAATGCTTGCCGAGACCAGCCCGTTCAGCCGTCCGTCACCTCCTCACCCAGCCCCTCTTCTTCGAACGATGATGTCATCCGACTCCGAAAAAGTATATAAGGGAGACGGCCTCCCCTTCCATCCACCATCAACGCGTCACATCGACTTCGTTTCGTTCCTTTTCTCCCTTAAGTCTCGTATACAAGTCGTGAACTTACTTTCTCACAGCTTGACGCTAACGGTCGATCTTCTTCATTAATTTACTGCATCTAATTGTCATATCGACATCTTCTATCATTTCATCAACTTCTTCATCCTTCAAAATGAGATTCTCTGTCTTCCTTTCCTTGATTGCTGGTGCCCTCGCCTACAACGATGTCACTGCCCCTGCCACTAACGCTGTTATCCAAGAGGGTGGTGGTGTCTACACCGTCTCCTGGAACAACCAATCTGGTTCCTCCGTCACTTTGACCTTGTACCGTGGCAGCAACGGTGCTTTGACTGCCGTCGACACCATTGCCTCCGGTGTCACCAACTCTGGTACCTACGCCTGGAACGTCCCCAACTACTACCCCACTGCTGACGACTACCTTATCCAAATCTCTGCTGACGGTGTTGAGTCCAGCTACTCCAAGTACTTCACTCTTCAACTCTGCTCCACTTGCAGTTCCAGCTCCACTGCTCTCTCTTACAGCGGTGATGCTGCCAGCACCGTCTCTGTTGCTGCTTCCGTCATTGGTACCCGTTCCGAGTCTTCCACCTCTAGCACCATCACTAGCTCTGTCTCTGCCAGCTCCTCCGAGTCTGCCAGCTCTGCCTCTGCCACGAGCAGCAGCGACTCCGAGTCCAGCTCTGCTGCCTCCTCTTCTGAGTCCGAGTCCTCTGACTCTGCTTCCAGCACCATTGCTGCTTCTGGCAACTCTACTTCTTCTTCTCGCAGCCACACCACTTCTGCTGCCGTTGCTGCTGCCTCTTCCAACATCACTGCCAACGCTACCAGCTCCTTCGTCACTGTTCGTCCCACTTCTAAGGTGAACAGCACCAGTGCCAACGGTAGCAACACCACCAACTCTACTACTAGCATCCCCAGTGCTGCCACCTCTTCCTTCAGCAGCCGTGGTGCTTTGGCTTTTGCCGTTGGTGCCGCTTCTCTTTTGGCTTTCCTCTTCTAAGAAGCTTGAAGTCTGATTGCTGAAACGGGTAATATGATGTTTTAACTGCTCCGTATGCATACGTACGTATATACGCTGTGTGCCGTTATGACGAGTAGGATGGTGTTTGCTGGTTGACTACTTGGATAGAGCGCCGGTGTGCTATTGCGCTCTCGTTATCTGAGACACTGTTTGATTTAATTCAGCCAGCACACTTTGATTCGTTTCATTTCTTTCCCTCTGTGCCTCCGCCTGGATATTACACCCTTTTTGTGTTTTTGTATTTCTTTTCATTTCGCTGCATCTTATACTGAAATCTATGCATTTGTTCATATGTGTTAAGCTTTGTGGGGTAGAGTTTTAAGGATTGCGCGGGGTTGTGCTGACGTGTGGTTTTGCTCTAGGGTTCGGCTTAGGGACTTGGAAGTTCCCGTGGGATCTACACGAGGACCCTTAGGATTGGCGGGTGATTGAGTCATTTATAACGAGATATCTGCGCCACCAACTACCGTAATCATCTTTATTTTAATCAGGGTTGTCAGGGATAGGTGGAACTGATCGCTAATATTTTTAGCGTCCTTGCTGATTGGCAGACTGTGATCGCTCGGAAGTTCGGCACAAGATAAGATATGTTGGAGCCACACAGTCCATCGCTCGATCGGCTAAGCGAGCTTGCTCTGTACGCATGGACAGGGGAACTGGCGCCGAAAGAGAGGCTTCCCCAGAGAGGAAGGCGAGTACTATGGAGCCGGTCGAGGATCATCGGGAAGCAATTTCGACTACAAGCGACGATCATCGTTTCCCGACAAAACCACTTGATGAAACGAAGAAGAAGGAACGGTGTAGATCCCCTCTCCCTGTTATTTCTCGCTTGGACCTTATTTCTCCCTGCCTTCGAATGCCGGTTGCGATGCATCTCAAACAGTAAACGTCATCCATCTCGCCTCTTCGGCAAAATATGTTCGCTTAGGAGGCTAAATCCAAAAGACTTCGTTTTCCTCTCGCAAACACGAACTTGTCGTCCGCAAACCACTTTCTTAACCAGACCATTCGCGCTCCATACGGATTGCTGCTCTAGGCAATCTAGTTTGGCACACGTATTTTACGTAGTGCTAGCACGTTTTTTTAACACTTGCTCTTCCTGCTCTTGCACCCATTTTTCCTAACGAACAGTGCCCCGTCCCAAGGCTTATTACGCGCGACATTCAAACGTACCCACGTGCGTGTTGAATTGAAACCTTGTCTCTTTTGGACTTGGACTTGGACGAACAAATCGGCCTGAGTCAGACCCGACCAGACGACTTGAGGATCTTTATCCTCGGTCTTCTTTTTTTATTCCAATTATTATCTTGTTGTTACTTCTCTGTGTTTATTTTTTATTCTTGTGTTCTTTTTCTCTGTTTGCAACATCCGCAAACCCTTTCCCTCTTTTCTATCGCTTTGTTGACCAAAAAAGCACTTATTTTACACACTCTTAAGTCTCTCTCCTACACACTATTCAGCTTTCCGTTTGTTTCACTCGTTATTTTCTCTTGAGCCCTTTGTCGAATTCTCTGTGTGCTTCTCTTACTACCACTACTACTATTCTGCTTTTTAATATCTGCGTGTAAATCCTCTTACCTCCTCACGTCGCCTTAATTCACGCTCTCGTAACCTTTTTCTTTTCTTTTGTGTCTCAGCTTCCGATCATTGTTGTTCTATGAATCAGCGGGATCCTTTGCCCATTTCGCCTTCTTCGTTTTCCGTTCCCCAAACTGACTCTGAAGCTTTAAGTGGGAACGCCGCTGATTACTCTGCCTTGACTTCCCACATGCTTGCTTTCGATCATCAAAACAACCTGCAGCAACTCCACAGTCTCGGTCCCCAGCTGAATGCCGTTCACATCAACGAGCCCAACAAACGACGCCCTTCTTATCATGCGAACTCTTCAACGCCCTCTCCAACTCAAATCTCTTCTCAACAGCAGCAGCAACAACAACAGCAACAACCGTCTCTGCCCAAACAAACAGTTCCCCCACAGCACCAAACTTCATACACTGACTACCATGCTGAGACTCTTCTCGAGGACTTGCATATGCAACGACGTCCTTCTCATGGACAACAATCGCAGCAACAGGCGCCGCGCCCGGTGCTCTCCCACCGTTCGTCTTACGAACAGCCCCCGTACATGTCGCCCTCAGTGGGCTTCACCCCGGATACGAAAGAGCAGCACCATCAACGCCCGCCGCTCCTTCATCCTTACAATCGGAATCATTCCTTCTCGCAGGAACGACCTCCCGACCTTTCCAAAAGTCATTTCCCCTACATGAGTGCCTCGGCCCCTCCCAGCGTGTTCAACTTGGCGACGCCGTTTTCCGGGAAACCCGAGGATTTCTTGGCTGCTCGAGACTCGTCGTTGATGATGTCGGTGGATCCTTGGGACGCAATTCGTTTCCCCGACTTTTTACCTGCGCAGCCGACAGGTTTGGAATCGCGAGCCAGCATTGACTTGTCTCCCAACGAATCAGATGAATTTTCTGCATCTATGTCGCATTCATACGAGTTCTCTCGACGCCGTCACGAGTCGCTCAGCGCAGCTGACATGCCCCAAGGTTTGCCCAGTGAATTTGACTTGTTGACCGCTCTTCCCACTCCAACACAGGCTGCATCCATGACGCTTCCTGCGTACTCTATGCCGGCTTCGTTTTCGAATCCTCGTCGCTCTATCGACGAAGGATTGGCGGCAACTGCCGCTGGCGCAACATCGGCTTCCTCGTCTTCAAAGCCCGCCTCGAACGGTGCGACTGATGAAGTGAAAGTGAAAAAAAAGCGTCACCAAACGAAACGAGCGTGTGCCAAGTGCCAGCGCGACAACAAGAAGTGTGATGAGTCCCGACCATGTATGCGTTGTCGTCGAAACAAGGCCGAATCGGAATGCATTGATCTTCCTCGTAAGAAACGTCCTTCGGGTCTTAAGCGTGGTCGGTACAAGAAAAGCGGTTCGAATGAGAATGCCAAGGCAAATGCAGTAAAGCAGTCCGTAGAAGCAAGTAAGGCTGCTGCCGCTTCTCTAGTTCAATCGACCACAGTGCCTGCTAGCACTACAGACACTGCTATGATGTCCTCATCGTCCTTTGCTCCTCCCGTAAAACAGCAGCAACCGTCGCACACGCACGACGTCCAAGGCTCCTCAGACGTGCCTATGGCATATGAAATGGAGCACCACCACCATCAACACCCATGGACGAATGCTGCTGCCGCTGCCGTTGCGGCCCCTTGGGAAGGCGCTAACGCTGTTTCGCACGGTGTCCGTTCCTTCTCATCCACTGCGGATGCCGGATTTGGTCATGGATTTGCACATGATCACCAATGTCTCGAACTTGATTGCGGGACCATGGGTTATACGGTGAATGTCGGCGGGTCTTCTGAACACGCAGACTGTTCGCACTCGCATTCGCAGTCGGACGCTCTTCAGGGAGGTTCTGGCGCTTCAACTGCGCAGAATTTGGAGTCGCCGTCAGCAGCGATTGTGGCACCAGGTCCGGTTTCTGCGAAAAAGTCCGCTCCTGCCCCGTTGGACCTGGCTGCCATGTCCGCCAGTATGGCATACCAAAACCCGACCAACAATGGCGGCAATAATAACAACAACACCAACAACAGTAACAGTTCTATGCTGTGGTCAGCATCAGCACCTCACTCTGCTGATCTTTCGTCGTTTCCCTCTACGTCTCACGTCCAGACAAACTCTCATGAATTGACTGCAAATACTCCTCTCTATCACCCACAGCTTCATGAACAACAGCAACGACAACGACGTCCTTCTCATGGACAGCAATCAAAGCCTCAACTGCAACAACATCACCATCCTTATTCCGCTATAGACATGGTAGATGGCTCGGGTCGTCGTCGCCATCATCATCACTATCACCCGCCGGATCCAGCGACTGCTTCCTCGTTCCTTCAACTGTTTAACGATGAGACGTCGCCCCAGTATGAGTACTCAACGGTTCCGGTAAAGAGCGAGCGCAGAAGCAGTATCTATGATGGTTATACGTCTGACCATAGTGCACATTCTGCACACATGACTCACCCAAAAACGACGCCGTTGATGCAACGTGACGCAAATATGCCACCGCCATTGCATCCAGCAGCGGAAGTCGCACAGTCTTTTGCGTCTACTTTGCAGCCCCCTTCAGCTAGCATCGACATTCCCGGACTGACTCCGTCCGATTTTGATACATTCCCGGTGGTGCCCGGGGCGCAACCTCTTTCGTCTGCCGCTGCTGCTTCGGACATTGAGGACCCATGCTCGTCTGCGTCCGTGTCCGCTGCACCCACCCCATACAATTCGGGCAATTCTTTTGAGAATCCGTGGATTGATCAATTGGTGCAGCAGGCTTTGAATTTGTGAGATTGATGCTGCAACTAGCTCACAAATTCGTACACATAACAAACACACATACACTTTCTACACACACACACACATGAAAAAAGAGCGCAAAAGAATTCTTGCCGGTGTAGACTTTTTATTCTTGCCGAAGTCATACAGGAGCGATGAGTGAGCGAGAACCGGTCAGGGAGATGTACCCATGCTTACAGAGAAACAGTTTTGTCCGATAGAGGAACATCTCTTTGGCTGCCTCTCTACCCACCTGTCTGCCGCCTTTAAACGTATGCGTTCCGTTGACGTGGTGCAGGCGACTGTGTCGCCTGCACCGTGTGTTCAACTCTATGTAAGTGATTGAAACGAAACATATACCAATCTCTATTCGTAACCAAAGGTCTTTTTTAAGAAAAACAAAGTATTTCTTGAAAAGCGGTCGGTCTGCTGTAGCACTGGTATGCTGTCTCTCATCGCTGGTCGTCGGAGAGGCAATTCATCGTTGTGTACGATGAGCCGTATGCTAACTAACTATTTTTTTTTTGTATATTTAACTGGTGAGTTGAAACCCTAAAAGAGACCGGTCCTAGGTTCGGGCTGTTGCTACTACTATTTTACTACTTACTACTTACTACTATTATTATTACTGTTAACGACTACAGTACGATGAGTGTGTCTTTTATTCGTTTTTATGCTATTACAGGCATGACGACTATCTTTACTATACTCTTACTACAGTTTTAATTCGTCCTCTATGTCTCGTGGCACATAACGGCCCGTGTGCACCTAGTCGGATGCGCTTCCGTACGTTTACTCTCCCTGAGTTTCGTCAGCCGGTCTGACTTTCCATGTCATGGTGGCCTTCTGATCTCTCCCTCCCTTCCTCCCACCTCCCTTGTCCTCAGCCGCAGCATTGTTGCTTGTTATAGCAATTGCGCGTTGTGACGCATTCTCGATCCATCACGTACGACGTCCCTGTTTCGTTTTTCTTTCCTTGTATATAGCACTGTATCCTTTTCCGTTTTTTTCCTTTTTGATTCATAGCCTCCCCATTCATCTTGACAGTTTTCTTTTCTTTTCTCTTTTTTTTTTGTTTGGAAATTTGTATACCATTCTTCGTTCTCAGAAATACCTCAGCGTCCATTGGTTGTACTGTGGGAGAGAGAGCTTGGCGAGAGCCGCTCTTGGCTGTTACATAGTATTTGCTGCTTGCAATTGCCGGTGCTTCTATACTTGCTAGCAATCTCGTCCGCCCTACACATAGTTCCTCGGAGCGCACTCAGACCGTCACAGCCTCGTCGTTCCTGAACTGCGAAAACTGCGATGCATGCTGCCGACTTTGAGCCGATCAGCAATTGCCGTGCAACGACGCAATACCTCGAGAAACTGACTAAGGTTTTACTCAATTTCCTCGCTGTTTCTCGAGTCGTGCCGGTTCGATTGGATCAACTTTCATTCATGAAATTGCTAAATGATCGACGGAGAAATTGATCTACGATTTGTTTCACCGAGGGCGATCAGCTGTTGGAAACACAATCGTTGATGGTTGGGTGCGGGGTTGAGCGGGGCAGCTGAGGTGACCTTAGACGAGAAGATATCTTAGGACTACGTCATATTGGAGAGTTACGGCGCCGTTCATTCGCTAAGATACGATTTACATGCTTGTCTTAGCGACTTTACAGTGTGTCGTTCAATGAACCCGCCGACACGCTCATCATTACATGACAATGTCGTAGCTTGTGAAGGGCAATTCCGTCGCTCCCAATCCAAAAAATAGAGCATCCGCCAAGAGGAGAGAGCCTTCAACTCCTCCCGCCTCTTACAATGTCAAACAAGTGGACAAAGGCGTTTCTCTACAGCGGACGTACGTGCGCCGCACCATTGCGTGTGTCTATGCAATTGCTACTAACAGTCAATTCTTACAAGTCATTATCGGTACCGGCTACGGATTGCTTAAGTATACCACTCCTACTCCGGAACAAGTCAAGGAAAGCTTGTCGCCAGAGCTGAGGAAAAAGTACGAAAAGGCCAAACGCAACAGTCAAAAGGTAATATAAGAGGCACCAAAAGAAAAACCAAAAATCCCATTAACAAACCTACCAAAAAGAAAAATAAAAGCAAAAGGGTGATGAAAAGAGGGAAATTCATCTTTGTTCCGTGATGTGGATGGGGGGGGGGGTGAACGAGAAGGAGATCGACGGAAATGTGTCAGCGGGTGTCACAAATCCTTCCGTTCACTTTGGGAAGAAACAATAAATGACAGTGCAATCTAACAGCATGCTTAGGAAGCTCAGAAGGTCCAAGAATGTATTGACGCTGCCAAGGAAAAATAGAAGACGAGTTTCAAAACGAGTAGAGCAGAGAGGCGCCAACGATGACAAGGTAATTAACAAGAATGGTAAGCGAAAGCCGAGAGAAATTATTGCAAGAAGAGGCTCAAAAACGCACCTCCAAATTCACAGAATTCGGCAAACATCCGCCTTGTCAACATGCGATGGTACTCATGTTCAAGATCAAGGAAGCAATTAATGGATCAGGCTAGTATTACAACGTATGAATGAATAAGCTTTTCATCCTTTCCCCGAATTGAAACTCAAATCCAAATAGTGATAATAATCGGCAAAGGTACATGTACTTTGGTTTCCTGTACCTGGTAGTATTAGGAGAGAAAGCACAGATAACTCACAGAAACAAAGTAAAAAAGCATTTCACACAACCGTCGAGGTTTGTCAATGTTTGTTTGTTATAGCTTTTCAATTTGTCGGCTTCTTTTCTTTTTTTCGAAAGAAGTTTTTTTCGATGCTGCGACTTCATTGCCTCCGTAGTTGCAGCAGTACTCAACATACAACAGGCAATGAAAGCACAGTTATTGAAAAATGGTATCGATATTACGTAGTCATCTTTGAGCTAGAACATGCGGAAACGGTACGCCGCATACCAACCGAAAACAGCAAGTGCAACAATAGCGCCTAAGATGCCAAAGAACCAGCCAAGGTTTGTAGTGCTGCCTCCGGGAACGGGAACGTTCATACCAAACAAACCAGTGATAACGTTCATAGGCAAAAGCAATGTACCCAACAGCGTGATTTTTCCCAATGCGCTGTTCATTCGCGAATTCTCATCAATAGAGTTAGAGGTCAGTTGCGCTAAGTAATTGCTGTGCGTGCGGGATAAAATCTTCTCAAATTGCGACAAGTTGGAAGTCATAGTGACCAAGTGATCTTGGATATCACCGAGATAGAGTCCAATTTCACCAGTTGGAGCAATATGCCACTGCTCGTTACAGCGCTTGGCAAGCATCTTAATAACATCGGCTTTTCCATACAACAGGCGAAACATTCCCATTGCCTTTTTTCTGCATTCACCAATACGCCGAAGCATTTCACGAGAATCCTCCAACCGTCCAATAAGTACGGCGTCTTCAATGGCCTCTGTCTCCGTTTCAATACCGTGAATCAAGGGAGCAAAACCATCAGTGATATCGTCAATAAGAGCATAACACAACCAGTCAGATGAAACATTCACGTAATCACGGAGCTGGCGGGCACGTCTTCGAACGGCTGCTGGGTGGTTCGTACTGTCAAAGTGGAAAGTCAACAAACCTTCACGGAAAACGATGATGTACATATTCAAAGGCTCAAGATAGTCCTCACTATCAGGATTTTGAACAAAAGAACGGAAACAAACAAAGTAATACGACTTAAAAAGCTCAACCTTTTCACGCGTCTCTTGCACACGAATATCCTCAGCAGTCAAGGGATGAAGCGAGAAGGCTTTGGACAACATTCTCATCTCTGCGTCTGTTGGGTTCAGGCAATCCAACCACCACGTTCCTTTTACTGGGCTTAAAAGGGAACGGAAGCTGGAAACATTGTCTTCAAGCAAATCTCCAATGGTGCCCGCATGGATAGTCTCATTCTCCTCGGAAGAAAACAAACTGAACCGGTGAACATCCTCATCGGTGTCGGAGAGAACAGATGAGCGTGAGGAAAAGTGCTTCAGCATTGGCTTTTCCGCATCTCCGGTATTCGTCGAAACCGTGGTAGAGTTCCGCTGCGGGCTCAAATCGCGCCAATGGGGCTCAAAAGGCTTGTTGACACTGTACTTGCGTGAACGCATAGCAGCAATACCGGCCGCCTGGTTCGAAAGCTCTTCGGCCGCAAATGCATCCAATTCGTCAAAGTCAATGCCATTTACAATAGCTGCCTCTTCCTGCATGGGGAAACACACATCTTCTTCCACGTTGTCATCTTCCGAGTCCGCATGTGATTCGGCATGCGATTCTGAACCCTCACTGTCGCTATTGTTTCCATCATCACCGGGCGCGGACGGAGCTTGGGTCGTGCTGACCGTGGCGTTCTTAGGACGAGGAGACTTCAATGGCTTCTCCGAAGCAGACGCATACGATCCGCGAACAATAGAATCTCTTCTTCCTTCCTGCGTGGCTTCCGGAACAGTGAGACAAGACTTCTCATCGTAGTCGTGCTCATTACCGTCTTGATAACGGTTAGAAACAAGCGATCCCTGTCGCATTCTGCTTTGTTCCACTCGAGAAAGCTGAAATTGCAGTTGATCCGATAACGAGCCGGAGGATGAGGAAGAGGACGAAGAAGAAGAAAGCGACATGGACGACGAGTCTTCCGGAGACATCGTGGAAATAGAAGAGATGGAGGAGGTGGAGGAACTGGACGACCGTCGACCAAGACCTGGGTGAGAACGAGGCGAAGAGGCTCCCTGGTAAGCAGGTAGTCGCAATTGCGATGAGGTATCAGCAGCATTTGTGGGAGACTGGCCTGGAATAGGTTGGCCCTTACTCGCATGAGAGCGTCGGGTGTGATGGTGACGAGAAGAATAGTAAGAGCGAGAACCCTTAGAACGTCTACCCGACTTCTCCGAGCTCTTGTCAAACTTTACGGAAGCAGTACTGTGTTGCGAAGAGCGATGTTGACGCGGATGGTGTCTGTGCAGGTGGGAATGATGAAAAGATCGAGCATCTTCAAACTTGCCTGGAGAAGACAAAACTGGGTTAGGAAGCGAGCTCGAAAGCGAATCGCTATTCAAAGCTGCAGACGCACCCAACGCATCTTGTGACACCAATGACTCTTTAGCCTCCATCGCATTCGCAGACTCTGTCGTTTCTGCAGTGATCGGAGCCATTGGAGGCAAGACAGGCTCTCCAAGCGATGCAGACCCTTCTACACTCTTATCACGAACAGAAGCCTCACTGTCTGTTATGATTGTTTCGAGGGGAAGTCCTTTTTTCCTATCCACCGTCGTTTTGTCGTTTTGCCCAACGCTGCCGTCCACCGTCTTCTCCTGAACAGAACCAGACGTCGGAGGAAGAGGAATCGAAGAAGAGCTCGCCCCGTGCTCACCGTGAAGCAACGTACCCTGTGCAATGGCTTCGGAATCCATTTTAAGGCGGTTTTTTCCTACTGCCCAAAAGTAAGGAATGCACCGTGTAGATAAATTTAGTTTGCGCCAATTTGTGCAAAGTTATCTGCGGCACCTTAATAAGACTCTAAAAAACAATTTCTGTTGGATCTGGCGCAGCAAGGAGAACTTGAATGTACTATTGGTGAAGTCTGTTGTTGGTAGACGGTAAGTTCGTTCTCATGGGATTTTCCAACCTTATGTTCGGCTCAGGGGCTTCTGTGGCCGCCATATGGCCCCCACATGGTGCGTAAGCGATCGCGGTCACGTCGGCATCAAACTTGCGTTTGAAAGAACGATTGAGGGATTCCGATTGAATAGAGATGGTTGATTGAATTGTGTTTTCATGTTGGTATTATTTTTTTCGTATCTCAAAACTGCGAAAACTGATCTTTTAAGTGCAGACGAAAGCCGCCGACAGTTTCGCAGTCTTGAAACGTTTTGATGGACGCGCACATCGTGGACGCCGAAAAACTAATGCTTCTCAAATAACTCGTGGATTCTGTGCTTAGTAGCTTTACGTGTAGCGTTTGCAGGAACAATGTTCACGCGCTCCCGTATTCACGTGCCCGGCCTTAAAGCATTTGGCCAAATGATCGGGGATTTGTTTCGCAACCATCTCTCTGATTGGCTATCGTAACACAAATCATGAACGTGGAACAGAAGGTCTCTCGACGTTTGTATGACGTAGCTAGGCTTGAGTGTGGCGATCATGTTGCAGATCTCAAGCCTCGAAGCTTCGCGGGTGATTAACCGAAACGAGCTTATATTAAGCGAGAGATCCCGCGATTTTTTATTCTTGTTAAAATATGCTACACCAAAACTGCTGTGACTGCAGCGACACAATGGCCGTTGGAGGAAGGGACCACCACCACCACCACAGCACGTTCACACGCCCCAGATAAAAGACAAAACTTGGTCACGCAGTACACACACGCAAACCTCCCTCTCGGTACACACACTCCCATAAAACGCTTACGTTGAGAACGTTGCACTTCATAACAATCTAGTTGCAGTTTTCGTCTCACGTAACTCCAGTATAAGTCTTTTTGTTACTTTGTTTGTTTGTTCATTCACTCAGGAACGTAGTTGTCACAACTCCTGACTGTATTATTTCGTGTTTTCTGTGAGAGGCAAAAAAAAAATTAGTAGATTGTGCAGAAAAGAAAAATGGATTTTTTCTCGTCTTGCAAATCAGCCGTCAGTGGCTTCTTTAACAAAATTGATGAGGTGAAGGCTCCCTTGAAGCTCACGAACCCCGGAACGGTGGAAAACTTGGCAAAGGAGGTGTCGAGAGATATCCTGCTGACGAACTATGCCTTCACTGGTGTCCGAGCTGATATCACCAAGGGATTTTGCACGAGCCCATGGTTTACAGTGTCACACGCATTCGCCTTGGGTAGCCAGGTGTTGCCTCCTTACTCGTTTAGCACGATGTTTGGAGGTGAGCCCCTGTTTCTGCGTGGCAGCGTTGACAATGACGGTTCTTTGCAGGCTCTTGCGAACTGCACCTGGAACTCGGACATCACTACAAAAGTTCAACTGCAATTGTCCAAGGGTACTGCACCCAGCATGTGTCAGATTGAGCACGATCACAGAGGCAAGGATTTCAGTCTGAGCCTTAAGGCTATGAATCCGTGGTTGGACGACGACAGATTGACGGGTATTTACATTCTTTCCTATCTGCAATCAGTCACGTCTAAGCTTGCTTTGGGTGTGGAAGCCCTTTGGCAGAAGCCTGCTCCCTCCGTGGGACCTGAGGATGTTGGACTCAATTACGTGGCCCGCTATAACGCTGGCGACTGGATCTGGACGGCTCATTTGAACGGCAGCCAAGGCGACTTCACCACAACTTACTGGCGCAAGTTGAGTCCCAAGGTGGAGGCAGGTGTTGAGTGTCAGTTGTCGCCCGTTGGTCTGAACCGTCAAATGGCTATGCTCGCGGGACCCAAGCCCGAGGGTTTGACATCTGTGGGTCTGAAGTACGAGTTTGCTCACAGCGTTTACCGCGGACAAATCGACAGTCAAGGAAAGGTTGGTGTGTACTTGGAGCGTCGACTTGCTCCTGCTATTACTCTTGCATTCAGCAGCGAACTTGACCATCCCAAGCGTGCAGCCAAGCTTGGTCTCGGTCTGAGTCTCGAGCTTCCCGGCAACGACGAAATGATCCAACAGGTTGAACAGCAACAACAACAACAATCACAAGTCGCTTAAAGGGTTAAGCCAACACGTCTACTTCATTCTTGATGATTTTGACGGAGGAACGGTGCGATATTCGTTAAACTCTTTCTCCGTTTTCTCTTTCCCATACCACTTTGCTGCTATCCTTATTACAGCTGCTGCTTGCAGAAGCTCCCTCCTTCCAGTCACACAACAAGAACCTAGTCCTGTAACAGCATTCATCGTAGCGAAGGAGTGACATGTAACGATGCTGGTTACTGTTCCTCTCGGCTCAGTTTCAGCTTCTCATATACCCACCCACCCACGCATTCACACCCTCTCCTGTCTGCTAGTATGGGCTGCAGCTGATCGTCGCCAACGCGATCTGCGTGCAGATCATCCTCCGTAAGCGTATCAGGCGGGCCTACGCTGGCGTAGGACTCTTACGTCCTTGTCCCCCGCTGCCCCACCTCTCCCACCTTCCCCACCCCGCTTCATGACCATCTCGCCTCGTCATTCTTTCGTTACGCGAGCTCGGCGCTTCGCCGCGGTACCCCGCGCATGAAACCTCCGCCTCCTCACTGTTTACGCTGACGCCAGATGTGACGTCATGTTCTCTTACATCCTCGCCAGCCTGGGCTTTATGAGCTCGTCCTAAGCCAAACAGAATTGCAATGAATGGTAAGGAAAACGCTTGGGAACCAAAGTAAACGCAGCTGACAGCGGCCCAGGTTTAGCAGATACATCAAAAGTTGAGACTCGCTGGGTGAAAAATGGGAGGACTGGCGAGACTGAGCAAGTCTCGTACGAAACATGTCGTGTCGTTGGTTCTGGTAGCTTTGGAGTAGTCGTTGCTGCTCGGGTACTTCGTGACAATCATCTTATTGCTATTAAACGTGTTCTCCAAGACCGTCGGTACAAGGTTCGTTATTGAGGGGAGACGAGACGCGTTGGGATGAGCGTTTTTTTGGCGAAACACGGGATTTACAAGGGTTTGAGTTAAGAAAACATGTGTTACGGCTGAAACAAATAGTACGAATGCTATTGGAAGAGCTGTCCGTGCGATGAAGGTGTTTTTCGTTGCTTTTTTTGCCTTTTTTGTGTCTTTAAAGTCTATACGCGTTTTTTTTGACTATTTTCGCCTCGTTGGATCGTTTCACACACAGAAACTCGTCTTCCCAACACGTCTCTCGCTTCTTTCGTCGCGAAAGGATGGAATTACTAATGGTTGCTGTTTAGAATCGAGAGCTCCAGATAATGAAGAGCATATCTCATCCAAACATTGTGAAGCTGGAGGCCTACTTTCACACTCACAACACCGTAAAAAATGAGACTCATTTGAGCTTAATGCTGGAGTACATTCCGGAGACTGCTTACCAAGCCCTGCGTTGGTACGTTCGGGCTAACAAAAAAATGCCAATTCTCGAGACCAAGTTGTATGCTTTTCAAATGCTTCGGGCACTTTCGTATTTGCATGCAGTTGGCGTCTGTCATCGCGATATCAAGCCTCAAAACTTGTTGGTGGATACGAAGACAGGTGTTCTCAAGCTGTGTGATTTTGGCAGCGCGAAGATTTTGTCCCCGGGTGAACCTAACGTTTCATACATTTGTTCTCGCTACTATCGTGCTCCTGAGCTTGTGTTTGGAGCGACTTTGTACACCACGAAAATTGATATTTGGTCGGCCGCTTGCGTTATTGGCGAGCTGCTGCTTGGACAACCGTTGTTCCCGGGAGAGAGCAGCGTAGATCAGTTGGTCGAGATTGTCAAGGTCTTGGGAACTCCTACACATGACCAGATTATGACAATGAATCCCAACTACGTGCATCAACGCCTCCCACGTGTGCGCCCTCAAACGCTTGAACGTACACTTCCGGAGGAAACCACCCGTGAGGGTGTTGATTTGTTGAAGCGTATGCTCGAGTACACTCCTGCTAACAGAATATCTGCAATTGATGCCTTATCGCACCCTTTCTTCGATGAACTTCGCCAGGCCGATGCCAAGTTCCTTGCCCGGAGCAATGGAGAGCATAAAGAGATGCCTCTTCCCAGTCTCTTTGACTTCAGTGAATTGGAGTTGTCTATTCGACCCAATTTGAACAAGCGTATAATTCCCGAACACTATCACGAGCAGCTCGGAGTTGACTTGGACACATTTAACCCCATCCTTATTAAACAGGCTGGCTCAAATGGACACCTTTAGACACTCACTTACACACACACACACACAATGACCCTGGTGATTGCATTTAAAACTCTTCCTCTTTTTACTCTTTTTCTCTCTCTCTCTCTTTCTCTCTCTCTCTCTCCCTCTCTCTTGCTCTCTCGTGTGCAACCAGTGTAACGAATTAGCGATTCGGACGCTCCAACCATCTTTTCGTTATCCTGCTGTGAGCAAGTAGTGGTCATTCTTTCTTGTTCTGTTAATACGCATACCTGTAAAGACTCATTCTCCGTTCTTATGCACTCTGGTATATTGCATTCGCCTTTGATCATAACGGAAGCAAAAACAAGGGCATTTTTTTTAACTGGTGTATTGAATATGATACTCTTTTGGTTTACCAAAACGTGTACATAGGGTAAAAGCGCTTGGACAGTGTGTTGACGGTACATGCAACGAACGCACATGGTTCAATACCAGCTCAATCACTCGATTCCTCATTCAATCATTTGTTTCATGAGAGTTTGTGTTACCATTACCACGCGAGATCCTCTCGCTTACATATGCCATAATAGTAGTCATTTTTTGAGGCAGAAGTACTGGATGGACGGGTCTATCCTTTTTCTTTTTGGTCTTTTTCTCCATCAATTTTCTCAACACTTTAATGATCAAGACAGAAACCGCGGCACGTCTTGCGTACCCCTTTGTACGGGTTTCCATAGCTCAACGATGAACAATGAAAATACGTTCAATGTTATCCATATGAATGAATTTTATGCATCAAGATCATTTATTAAAAGGTGTCTGTATATAGAAAAGTCGGACAAACTATTTGGTCCGTAGTCAAGGGGGAGTAAGAATCACGATGAGAGCTTTGACAAGAAGGGTAAGCATGTTTTCATGTTCCTGTTTTAGTAACTCTTTGATTGTTTGCATGTGTTCATTTCATTATGGTGTGTATACAGGTATGCTGGGCTCCTAGAGTTGCAGATTGTAATGATAGTCATCGTTCATGTTGCCCGTTACCCAGAGCAAACTTGCACTAATCATCAAAAGAATATTAGATATAATATTGGAGAGACCGAGCCAAAGAGTCATTCCTTGGTAGCCGTTCATCAGGTATTTCAGAATAAATACTGTGAAACTACCGGCGAGACCGCTTGCAAGCAAGGAGAAACCAATAAAAAGGATAAGCCGAGCCTTACTAGCAATGTTTTCATCTGTGTAAGCAAAGGAGTCACCGCTAAGGCGAGACTTGTCAACAGAATTTACACTAGAAGTAGTTAGTACGCGGAACGGCAAGACAGGATTGCGGAGAATGGCTTTCAAAATCTCGGAGGTTCTTGGTTCAACTCTATATAAGAGTTGTAGTTGTCAAAGCTAAGTCCCTTGCTTTAAACTTACATAATCATTCCCAGGAGGGAACACAAGAATGGAACCCAATCTTCGAATTCAACATGTACATCTCCGCCGTTCACTAGTTTACTCGTTAAACAAGCGTTGATAAAGACCCAAATTCCAGAAGCAAACTGAATAAGGTTGTTAGTATGAATTGATTGAATTCAGTATAGATTTTAAAGAACAAGCAGGAACGGTTAACGTACAAAAACACCAGAGGAATACACTCCCAAGTTTCTGTAGGAGAGATGTAAAGAGGAGAATCGAAACCGGAAGAGGCCGCCGCCGTTCTCAGGTGAGGAAGACATAATCAAGAATTATAAAGTATAATGGTCGTTTTAAAAGCCAACAAGATGTACTACACTACTTTCAGACAGTTATGAGAGCTCTGATCTGCCGCAGTTTATCAATGGGATTGATACTGTAATGTGTTGAAGTTTGCCGTTTTGGTCAGAGGGTGCCTGTAGTACTGGGTTACTAACCTGTCACAACGCATCTTATGTTCCAGCGGTGAAGACATAAGGTGACACAATTTTTACGTTACTAACCCGATACTTGTTCATTTAGAAGGTTAGAACAACCTTCTTGTCTTTTAAGTTTTAGTGCGAGAACTGGTTACGTTTTTCTGTGAATGAAACTTTTGAGCAAGTTTTGAAGTGACGCTATATGCGAACGACGACATAGTACAAGATAAAGAAGGCTATAGACCTTCCAGGAATTGTCCACAGCGATTTACCGTAGATTTGTACCAGTCTTTCCGTCTAAATGATATCTTGGAAAGCCTCGTTTAGGATTGTCTAAACACTTCATAAAAACACGCATCTTTTATTGTGAAATTGTCAACATACTATCGCCTCTATGAGTTTTCCAAGTGCTCTGATTGTCGATGCTGCCTTTAACGAGGTACTTGCATCATTTGGATTGTACGATAATGTCGAAGAACGCTTTGAAAAAGCTTGGTCAGCTCTTCGGCAACCTCTAGCGGTTCCAAAGGTCACGAGGGAGAAAAGTCGGCCTGTCCCAGAGGTTCCAGCCTTTGAAACTGTCTTCTACTATGCTAACAGAGAACCGATTCCCACCCGACCGGTTTCGAAGCCGCCACTAAGTCTACACTCTATTGCCTTAAAATCCATAGCATTGAATTCACGTGCGAGACCTCCACTACGTCCGGGACGTGTCTTTTTACGGCGTAATTGGATTGCAGTGAAAACTTGGATGACAGACAATTAAGTACCTTGCAGGTTATGAAGCACAAGCTGGAATGACGAGAAGAGAATCAACAAGCTTTAGCAATTTTGACCGCTACAATGTTCGGTGTAACTTCGTCAGATTACTTTTCATTAATAATTCTACAAGAAAATAGTGACTGACACGAAAGAGTCAAATCGGAAAGGAGAATACACAAGAGAGTCTGTGATTAGACTCTCTAACTCCATCATGAGTGGGGTTATCGCTCCCCTTAACAAAACCCCTTGGTGTTTCTTCTTAGACATACATTTCAAAAGCTTGATTGCAACTGACACGGACCAAATTGTTCATGTCGCCTGTCCACAATCATAGCTCGCCTCCGTTATGAGCATACACACGGTCATCTTTCCCTTCAACCTCCTTCTGTATACTGTCAGAAATGGAGATCTGTTTGCGAATCACGGTGCTGTTCGTGCGCAACTTCGCATCAAACATTTCAGCCTCCGGTTGGCGATGAGAGCTTCCTAAGCGGTCAAACAGTGTGAAGAACTGACCGTAATTGTAATTAAAATACATGTGGTGCACTGCATGGTGAGCAGAGCCGTTAACAATGGCGTTATTTGACAGATACTCTCCATCATGAATGAGTACAGTCCACAAATTGACAAAACCAAACAGGAAAAGGTAAAGGTACTTGTTTAAGGGAAACAAGAACGGGAAAATATGATACGGCAAAGACTGTGCGTATCCATCCAGAAAGTTGAATGCATGAGATGAGAAAGGAGTAGGAATCACCCATTTATGATGTAACTTATGCAAGGGAGCATACAGAAGACGGTGATGAAGCGCTCTATGGATCCAGTAAATGGCAAAATCCGAGAACAGCAGGAACATAACTACTGAACAAATCAAATACGTGTATCCGTATTCATCCAGCCTGTCGTAACACTGTGAATAACCATGGATTTCGGCCAAAAACCAGGGGAACGTTAGCAGAGCCATTCCGGGCAAGTTGAGGAGTGCCGTTTTAATCTCGAGCCATTCCTGATTTTTCAAAAACTTGGGATGTCGATGTGCTTCTTCGCGTTCAAAGTACGTGAAGTATGAAAAGGACGCTGTTCCTAAGTACATGATAGTGCCCATAATCCAAGTGATCAAAAACAGCTCTATGCCCTGACGAATTACATTGTTACTGTTGGTAAAGATAGAAGCAATCTGCTTCTGCAGACCGGGGCCGGCTACTGAAGTTAACCAGCTTAAACGGCCTCCATAAGTGTAATACAAGTCTGACAACCTGTCCGAAATATGACTGTCGACAAATTCCAGTACGCGGTCCATAATTAAAATAAACTAGAATGAACTAGTACACAGAATACGTTTTCGGTTTCCGATATTTCTGTAAGACAAAAAGAGCGGAAATATTCGAATTGACAGCGAACGCTAAGATATTTACGGTTGGGTATGGAACAAAATCAATCCGTCGCGTGGCATCTGCCACATTCAATCGTACCATTAGTGGATGTAATAGTTATGAAACTGTATGTTGTAAGAGGCAACTGTCCATTCGATTCTTTCCAACGATTCCGGTGGCGACGTAAGTAATACCGCACAGCAAATTACAGTTTATCAGATGCGAAATTGTAGCGATGATATCGCATCTGATACGACTGTTTGCTGTGTGGTAAATCCGAGTGGGCAAAACAGAAGTTTGAGCGACTTCGAGTTGAGATGCTGGGAATACTGAATGAGAGAGCAATACCATGAACGGAGTTAGATTGTTGTGAAGTGATTAGCCTGTAATTGCTCAACTTGGTGCGGCTTTTAGGAGTAAATAAACTCTCAAGGTATTGGAAGACTCGTCCTTTGAGCTCGCGTTTGTAGATGTGTGTAAATGTAAATGCAAGTGTAAGTGTAAATGCTCGTTTTCTTACAAACTATGGCAAAATCATAGCGGTAAAGTCTCTTGAATCCCCATGCGCCGTAGTTCATTTGTCAGGAAATCAGTGTCTTCATGAGCAATAGAAGTTGTGTATCGCCATAGGGAATCAGGAATCCGCCAAAGAGCCCATGCCCGGACCTCCGACTTTTTAAAACACTGCTCAAGTGACTGTTCTTCCAGGGCCTCATAATTAGCAATCCGACGCACCGTTTCTGGGTAATTGCGCTTGTGGAATGTCCGTACAAGTAGTCGTATAAGCTTTTCTTCAAATGCATGAATCGCAACCTCTGTTTGATCATCATCACAATACATCCACGACTCTAGCAGTTCGGGACTGCTGTGAAGGAACACTTGAGTTGTTGCCCGAATGTTGGCTTGCTTCCACTTGGAGTCCAAAAAGGGATAGATAGAACGAAGCATTTTAATTGCACGATGCTGAACAACGTCACATTTGATGTCCATGAAGTTCAGTAAAATGTTACTCAAAGAGGTTGTAGACAGCTGTCTTAACCGATAACTTTTGTTCTTCGTAAGCTTTGACAGTATTTGCAACATGTTTTCAGTTGTAAGCACACTTCTGCAAGAGTGCTGCTTGGGTTCCAATGCATCCGGACCTTTGTCGCCCATGTAAAAGTGTGAAGCAAAATAAAAAAAGCCTTTCCTGTCTTGTTTGTCAACCTGCTGCATATTGTACGGCGAATTCACGCACAAGAAATAATGTGTAATGACATCTGGGAAACGGTGGTCGTAGAGCAGTTTATTAAGGTATTCATACTGCAATATATGGGACTGTTTGAACAACTTCAACAATCGTAGTATAAAACTCGTCAAACTGAACAAAACTATCACCTGCTTCCTCAAACGCTCACGTCCGGGAAGAGACGATATGGGTTCAGAAAAATCAAAGGATGGGCTAGCAGTGGCATAGTCTTGAGGCACCCAGTTTTCCTCGCTGTTTGAATCGTCAATGGCTGAACTTTCAAAACTTTTGCGCTGAGCTTCAGCCGTTGTTTGTGAAAGGGCTTCCAGGAGAAAGTCGCTTTCCACGTTAGCCATTTGGTATATGATATTCGCACAGGTATGAATAAATAGTCCAAAGTATTCGAAGCATTGTGAGTATAAACTGTTAATTCGCATCAGAAAGGGGCATTCCGTAGAGGCATCAGGTTGCTTCCTTTTGGCGGTTTGCATTCCCAGATTCATTTGCATTGCTTCGTGTCGCATGTATTTGTACTCTGTAGCTAGTTGTCTGTATTGACGGGAAAGATGAACCGTTTCGGAATGAGTATTTCCAGCTTGGATGATGCTTGCCGGAACAGCTCCCGTATTCAACACAGGAGCAGACTGTATTTGACTTTCCTGATAATAATTCTTTTTTGAATTGCGAACATAAAGAAGGTTCTCCTCCGCTGGTTTTCCGGTTCCATGAGTTGAGAAGGAATTGTTGATTGTTAGGATAATTTGATACAAGGATATGTCCTGCGCAAAAAAGTCAACCGTTTCGTCTATATCAGAAATAAAAGGGCCATCGAGCATATAGTTCAATCGCGCCTTGGTCCAAAAATTGATAGCCTCAGACGGTTTGGAGCCAGCCTCAGACTTGTTGTTCAAATGCTCTTCAAGCTTCTGTTTCTCGGCAGCTGACAGGTCGTCTAATTCGTCAAACATACAGTCTAAAAGTTTTGCTAAAAGTTTTGATATCTAAGGAGAGTTGGCATGTTAGTGAGTTGGCTTACCTTCGCTTAAAACTTACTTGTAGCAAGGGGAATAAAGAACCGATCTCAGGGAGCTGGCAAAGAAGGAAATGCGAATTAAACTGTTGAATAAAAAAGGGAATAAGTGAAGGCTGCGTAGTATGCAAAGACATTTTCCAAGAGTTGAGTCCAGGCTTTGGAAGAAGCATCGTGTACATGATGATAAACGAAGAACGAAGTATTTTACAGTCCGTAAGCATTTTTGGATCAGCCTTGTTGACGATTCGATAGTTTTGCTTCAAGGCACTAAGTGCCGTAATACAAATGTGAAAAACTCTGTCAAAGACATTGAGCTTTCGAAGAAGATTTACGTTGTGCACTATTGATTTCCCATGATCAGAAAGTTCTTGTACTTCGTTAAAAGTGCCAAGGCAAACAATTAGTAAAGACTCTAATGCTGTCTGACGAAGAGAATCCACAAAGTCAAGCTCACAGATACACGTTCTTATAAACTCCTGTTGCGACTCGACCGGTAGAATAGGCCATGTATCGTTTGGATCAATGGCATGTAGCTTTTTGAATATTTGAAGTTTTGTCTCAAAAGTTTTAATAGCATGCGTAAAAATGTGTTTGTCTGTGTACACAATAAACTCCTCCAGTTCTATTCTTAGTGAACTTGTTTCGTCTTTGCAATGACATGACGCGAATGGGTCCAAAGGTGCGTCCTGCAGAAGGTTTACCATTCTACGGAATTTATTCAATTCCTTGACGCTTTTCCATGAATTGGGCATATGCGTGATGTAAATATGATCCGGTTTACTGCAACTGTCTTGAAATAACCTAATTGTTTATGACTTCGCGAGGACTGCGGCTCCTACCAAGTACCTTATGGTATACATGAATGTACGACGTTGGCAATTGACAAATGTATTAGCATAATCCTATGTAAAGAAGAATGAAACTGGATTTACAAGAACTATACAAGCAAAACGAGGTACTGTTCCCGTATTTGTGATCAAATTTTAACAATGTTGTCTTAGTACACCGTAACGGTGAATGATAATTTGCGAAATGAAACCTTTGAGTTATGGAGAAACAGTTTAGTGGCTGCAAGTCGCTATTTTGATATGATATTTGTTGCTTCCGGAGGTAAAATCAGTGGATTAACACTTGTTAAATGGATTTAATTTATTAACCCAGGTCAGAGATTGTTAAGGTATACTCACAAAACGCTCTATTATTTGGAGAAGAAGACATTGAAGAGTTGTTTACACTGAAAAGTGCATTCAGTACTACGAACCGTCGGCCTGGACGGACGCATACATTCATGGAGCATGTTATCAATCGATTATCAATAGTCTGCCAAGGCACAGTCGAGCTTCTAATCGTACTGGACGACTCGGGAAAGGTACAAATTTATCAAACAGACGACCTTAATCGCGCACCCCAGGTCTACGAAGTCTCGGATTCAGCATGGGGTCTAGCATTCTCCAGTCAGAGAATTCTTGCGGTGTCGGCTAATTCGCACAACATTGAAATGTAACACAATCTACTTTAAGTTATAAATTCTAACTTTCTGTAGGTTCCATTTAGGAACTGAGTATTCCTCGAAGTTTAATGACTATCGTTCGCGATGGTTTCATACGTCTAAACTTGTTCTAGTCGGACATAATCATAACAGTATGCATATGTGAAACATCATTTTTATGTTACTAATGATTTCTCTAGTTCCTAATATTTCGTTCGACTCTACTGGGCGGTATATTGCTAGTGTCTCTATTGATTGCAGCCTTCGAGTTTGGGATCTGTATGAGCTTCACAGCTGTGCCGTATTCTACAGTTACCTATGGTACGATGCATCCGCTCAAATACTTACTAATCTTATAGTGGGTGGGGTGTATGTTTCCTAGAAGATAATGATTTTCAAAAGCTCGACTTAAAATCAATGACAGAAGCTAAAATTCAAACTGCAAAAAATTATGGCTCATCTGCTCCATCTATCACTACTGAGCAGGATTATATTTCTTTTTATTCTCGGGAAAATGAGTTTGACGATACTATATTTGAGGGGGACCACAATGTCCTTCTAGATGAAAACTTGCATGTAAGTTAATTTATGTCATGCATTCAGCTTTCTAATCTTATGATAGAACGTGGAAGACTTTTTCCTAGCGTCTCTTACAGAGGAACCTGACGCCTTGCTTTTGTATGCTACTCATCGTACAGTTACTCTACTTGCATTCATTAATGGAAATCGTCTTATGCCTCTAGCGTCTAGTAAGAACATGTTTGAAAATCCGCTGGATAGTCGGACAGACGTTTTCCAACGAGTGAACATGATTGAAAAAATTCCTGGCCTACATTGTGTTGTTTGCGTCTCACAAAGCGGCCAAATTACAATTCTTCATTTGGTGTCTACAATAATAATGCGCAAGGAAAAACAATACAGATCATGGTCATTTGTTCCACAGCTGATACATTTGACGCACGTTGTTGACTCACCCATTATTGGACTTTCAGTGTCACCGGTATACCATGGACAGGAAGACATGTTCTTGAGGTTTTACATTATCGTAAGGAACATTAATGACCGACAATTACTAACTAACTAAAAGCTCGTCACTTACTCGGGAAAGGTTATAACAATAGAAATCAAACGAACTGCAAGTGCTGTGGACCCTCTACACCTGTCACATATTATTTTATAATCGAGACATGTTATTTGTATATAGAACCGCAATTCATACATTATGATACTGTTGTTACTCTCTACAGTTTGACTTAGTAAAAAAGAAGACCACTAAGTACTAGTGGTTTTAAAAATAGTCAGTTTAATTCAGAATCTCCCCCGCTAAACAAGTAACGAGATTAATGCTCGAGTATTTATGTGTTAAGGATTGATGCACACCGTTTTTTAGTCTCGGAATTTACACACCCGACCTCGTATTACAATTTTGATGGCAAAACGAAAAAAAACTACAGAAAAACGTAGTTTTTGGTCGCTCGAGTGTTTCGTGCTACTATTCAGTTTCGTATTTTCTCTCGTAGTTGTTAATGTTTTTGGTCTCTTGTCGTTTACAAACGGTTTCTTGTTACGTCGTAAAGTATTAAACGAAACATCTTCTTGCAACGATTTCCCCTATTCAACAGTAGTTGATGATCAGACTCAAGGATGCTGGGCACCCAAGAGCTTCTCCAAAACTGTCATTGTACTAATTGATGCCCTGCGTTATGACTTCACAACTCCTTCAAATGAAACACGCTCTTATTTAAATCACTTTCCAACACTGTATAGAACTGCTGAAGAGTTTCCAGAGAATGCAGTCTTGTATTCTTTCTTAGCAGATGCGCCAACTGCAACGCTTCAAAGAATTAAAGGTTTAACGACTGGTTCACTTCCAACCTTTATTGACATGGGTTCCAACTTCGGCACTTCTGCTGTTGAAGATGACAACCTGTTGCTACAGTGGAGTCACTTGAACAAATCAATTGTACTGGTTGGTGATGATACCTGGGACAACTTGTACCATGAATTTCTTAATCCCATACATTCAGTTCCAACCTTCTCTCTAAACGTTCCAGATCTGCATGGTGTTGACAACATCGTGAATTCGTACATCTACGACTATGTACAACAGGATCATTGGGATGTTCTTATTGCTCATTACCTTGGAGTTGACCATGTTGGCCATCGACTGGGGCCTGATCATCCTGCTATGGCGGATAAATTGGAGCAAATGGACAACACTATCAAGAAATTGATGCGCTTGATTGATGAGGATACCCTCCTTGTGGTGATGGGTGACCACGGAATGGACAAAAAGGGAGACCATGGAGGTGATTCTTTTGAAGAGTGCAATTCAGCTCTGTGGCTCTATTCCAAAAGGCCCGCTTTCAAGAGATTAAATGATGAACGCAATGATGTTAATACGGTGCTTCAGGTGGATCTTGCTCCTACTTTGAGTTTACTGTTGGGAAACCCAATTCCTTATGGAAGTTTAGGATCCATCATTCCGGAGCCTTTTTATTATCAAGGGGCAGATAAATTGGCGCATGCTGAGAATATCGTTGCGAAACAAATAGCTCGCTTCAATAGCCATTACAAGCACAAGCTTATGAGCTTACAACTTGAAGATATCCCAGAAAATGCAACCTATATGGAGCGCTATGCAATTGATCATCGCAATAGCAGAAGAATTCTGGACAGTTACAAGGGAATTTGGGCTGAATTCAATATGTCAAAGATACTTGTCGGTATTGTCGTGTTGCTTACTTATGCAATTTGTTTGGCAGTCGTCTTGTTTTCTAGACCTACATTACTCGTGGTGACAAAATCCTTAAAAAGATCCATTCCATGTTCATACGCGCTGGCCGCTGGAATCAATGTCTTGTGTTATTTATGCATTCCTTTAAAGACCATGAAAGAAAACATAGTGCTGTTTGTATGCTCTGTTTCCATCATTTTCTGTCTTTCATTTTCTACAATGATAGCATTTAAAATGGCCGATTCGTTCCATTTAGCTGTTTGGGATATTTTTGGGATTATCATTGTTATCCTTCATTGCTGTACCTTTGGTTCAAACTCTTTCACTGTTTGGGAGGATAAAATTGTTCACTTCTTTGTCATGTCCTTTGGCTGTGTTTTGTTTTGCCGAAGTTGCATTTTTAAAAGCCCGGAAAAGCGAATCGCAGGTGCTTTCTACAGCCTTGTATTTCTGGTCTTACAAAGACTCTCAACGTACATTACTGTGTGTCGTGAAGAGCAAGGAAATGAATGCAATGTTACATACTTCTCTAATTTCCAGATCGACATCCCCTCTATTCTCTCGTTATCCCTGGTTGTAAGTCTCGGTTTCGTTATTCCACTTATACTGCGTGAGTACTCGTCAAGATACTATGGCAGACCTCAGCCCGGATTTACAATGACACAGTGTCTCATTGGCTTTACTCAAACTTTAGTCTCAATTTTCTGGATTGGTCATTTCTTGTTGGTAAATATTCCTTCCTTAGAAAGCAAACTGTTGCCGTGGAGTCCGTTTCTTGCCAACTCGATCATATTACTTTTCGGTATCGCTTTTGTTTGGCAAGTTGTACAGCTTTTAACACGACGTGAGGAGAAAATATCTAAGAAAACCGGAGTCTCTCTCTATGCACCGGAATTCTTTAACTGCTTTGTTGTTTTGTTTTTGTTTCTGACTTTCCTCCAACGTCCATTGGGAGCTTTCTCTATGGTCGGCTTATTTATTCAAATTTTACTGCTAATCGAGCTCTCTATTTTACACGCGAATATTGGAGTGGTTTTCTTCCCCGTGCTTCTTGGTTTACTGTCTGTATCTCATTTCTTTACCACAGGCAACCAGGCAACGATTTCATCGTTAGAATGGAATTTTGCCTTTATCCAGTCTAACTCATTACAAAATCAGACTGTGAGCGCATTCTTTATGTTAATTCATACATTCGGAGCGCCTATCCTTGCCTGTCTATCTATTCCACTTTTTGCGTCCTGTTTGCGTTACACGTCCAAATACGATCTTGTCAAAAAACTATTCTCTTTTACGGTTTCCTTCATGCTATATAAAAGTGCTATTTCTGGCAGTAGTGTTGCGTTTGCAGCACTCTTCCGCCGTCATCTAATGGTTTGGAAAATATTTGCTCCCCGATACATGCTATCAGCCGTTTGCATGCTGACTGATGATATCTTCATCATCCTATTCTCATACCTTTTTGCCCTTCCTATATTCCTAATAGCCTAAATAGGAGTTCTGTATTTATCTTCTGTTTTAAATGTATTGAAAAACTTTTCCTTCATAACACAAAAGACAAGATTGCAAATTTACCAGTATGTTGTAGACAATCACAGAGTATGAAATGAGCAGCCTAAAGCATTTGTTATAGGGTGTGCTTATAAAATTAGTGGCCTGTAGAAGCATTCTCCTTTCTATTAAATTTCACGCGCTAAAGACACGTAGTGACAGCAGTGAAAATTCGTTTCTTAAGCAGTGATTCAAATGAGTGACTCCTACTGATCCGAGAGCTCTTTTAATGTTTTCCCTCAGGTTACGAACGAGGATATCATGCCAATTGCATGATCAACTATTAATGCTTTCGCGAAATCAAAAATGGATGAGTTTATACCAATTTCGATGTAACAGTAATGATTCAAAACCTAGAGAAACTATTGACAATAGACTCTCACTCGTTGTATCGCATAATTCATCGCCTTCCTTCTTATATAACCATCACATGGACACTTTCAACTTTGTTCAGCAATTAAAGGCTGCTGGTTTTTCAAACGAAAAGTCGGAAGCTATTATGGATGTAACGTCCTTATTTATTCTTGAGAACATAAAGAGAGGCAAAATGTCATTCCTTTCGATAGCCAATTTCGAAAATGTATACAGATCCTTGCGTTACAGCAATTACTAACTCATATCCCAGTATACATACCTTTTCAAAACCGCTTTAGCAGAGCTTCGCTCAGAAAAGATTTACTTAAGAAAAGACCAAATAAGTTCATTGCGAGCAGGGTTGTTTTCAAGTCAGCGTCAAGTTGAAGCTTTAGAGCAAACGATTACTGAACAGCTTAACAAACTTAGTGCAGACTGGAAAATGGACTTTGAAACTAGAAAAAACGAGGCACGTTCTGACAACCAGAACATTCATGCAAAAACACAAGAACTCAGCAACCGGTTAGCAATCTCGCTTGGAAATCTGCGCGCAGAGATTGAGAAACAGAAATGGGAACAAATGCGAAGAGCAAGTGGTAAGTTTGTTATAATGCGTCTTTTGGATTATTATTCTAATTTATTAAATGTAGGCGTTATACTTATCTTTATGGCATTCGTCCTAATGAGTCTATCTTTTGGGACTCGAAAAACTGAAACCAAAAACCCACCGACACCCAATACAAATGTTGCTTCTTCTCTTGATAGAAGCCACGTTTATGATTCTATTATTGAGAACGAGGGTCATATGTAACTCACGATAATCCACCATTTGAATGAATGATATATACATGACGGACACTTTAACTTGCCTTTAATGTTTAAATAAAAGTTATATAATATTCCATGATTTAGTGCTAATTAGATCGCTGTGCAGAATGTATAAGAAGACATTCATGATTTATTTCACAAGTCATTACGGTGGAGTAATAATCTAATCTACTTGTGTTCATGTAACTGTTTTATCTTACGAATATATATTTACGACAAATTTAAGCTAAGACAAAGCTTTAGTTGCATAAAATGCTTGTAGACAAAAATTGCGAAGGTGATTGTTCGGTAATTTTCTGTAGTTTCTACATAATTTCGGCCATCGGTTTTTAGTATCCTATTTCGTTACCACCCGTAAACGCACATTCCACTAGTAAGGTGGGATCCTTGGAGCAGCATGAATTTACTAAATTTGTCGCTAGAAAATGTAAACTCTGCTACAGAGGATCACAAACGGGAAGCCCTGTTCTATGAATTGCTCAAATTTGAAGATGATGTTTCACAAAAATCTAAATCCGAGAAAGAAGCAATACTTCGAGATGCCTTCCAGGAGTTATTTAACTGTATTAAAAATTATAGTGATTATTTTGGATATCCGACAAGAAAGCTGGTAGGAATGTGTTTGGAATCTCTTTACAAAGATGGTAAGTCTTAATACATAGTCTTATACTAACATAGATTAGTCGAAGGTTATAGACTGGCACAAGACATCAATACACTTTGTGATAGCACCTCCCAGGCAAAGGATCAGAAAGTTATACTGTACGTCAATTGAGGCTTACTCGTATTTCATACTAACAATTCAAGAAACTTTTTATCAATTATAACTTCCTTAATAAAAGAATATGGAACAAGAGTATGTGTAACGAATAGCTTATGATCCTCGTCTAACTGATTTAAAAGATATCACAACTGGAACCTATGTTAAGACTATTCTTGCGGTTTTCTAAGAATAACTGCTCTTACGGTCTAAGGGCAAAAGCACTAGAGGGCATTGCTTTTATATTGAAATCTTCTTCTGACTTTTTAATTGAACAAGCCTATAAGGACATACTGAAAAATTTACGCACTAACATTAAGAGTTCCTGTATCAATGTACAGTGTTCTGCACTTCAATGTGCTGCCGAACTCATGCGTAAATGTCAATTCTCTTTAAAAACTTCAGATTATGAATGGTTAAAATCTATAGTTTTGAAGAAGTTAGTCAGTCCCTCCGAATATTCTTTCTCCTACCTTGCAGATTGTACAGCCGCATTGGCTTTATGTACCTCTCGTGAACTTATTTATGCTGAAATTCAAAAGAAGAGCAATGCAAACGAGGCACCTCCGATTTCAAAAATTACCTTTGATCAACACGCTCTTCTTGATTTATCTATGCAATTTCTGGGCTCTCTTTATTCTCAGAAACAATTTCTGACTTCAGAATGTAAAACCATTGTCACTGCTTCCTACTTGAAGTTATTTTCACTGTTTGAGAAGGATCTTTTAAACGAACATATCGACACCGTTGTAAAGAATCTACTTCTCAGTACTCGTCTTGTTCAGCCAACGAAATCTGTTTTTATGCAACAACAAGCAGCACAACAAAAAGGCAATACTGATGAGCTACACAAATCACACATCTCCTTTGTTTTCTCAAGCTTTTTCGATTCTCAACAATTAGATCAAAGTTCTGAACTTCAGGCATTAAAGTCTCTTCTGGATATTACAAATGAATTCAACAAGGACACCGAATCATTGCAAAAAATTCAGGCTACTTGTGCGCTGGAAGCCATTGAACTGCTTATTGTTCGTCTCAAAAGCTCGGTGCTTACTGTGCAGGAGGAATTGTTATCTTGTTTGGTTTGCACACTAAAGAATAATGAGACAGCCATTTCATTTCGTGCAGCTAAATGCCTTCAATGTTTCCTTATTATTGCTCCCAGCAATATAATGACCGTTTATAATGAGTTTTCCACAGAACTAAAGTCCTGTTTTGAAGAGGTCGTGACACCTCATGAACGCATAGATGCAACATTCAATCGCCTAGACAATCTAACAATAGGACTAATTGCCGTCACTGTGGCTGCAAGAAAGCAGCCTCTCTATGTTTCATCCTCAATGTTTTCAGAATTATTTCAAACTGCATTGAGCCTTATTAAGGCATCCTCAAAGAATGACTTCTTAATTGCACAAACGGAAATTAAATCTGGTTGGCGTCTCTTATCTGTTTATGTTTCGCTGGGTCCCTCGTTTACTCGGATGCAGCTGTCTCAGTTACTGCTTTTATGGAAAAATTCGTTACCAAAGCCGCCCGACTCAATTCGTACACTAAATGTCATGGAAATAAATGTTGATTTATTCACACGACTTGAGTCACTACAGGCCCTTCGTTCATTCCTGAAACATAACCATGCTTTAATTACACCGGACGTCCGAAAAAGAGTAATTATTTACCTTAATAATTCCCTTGTTTTTTTGAAAGAAATACCGGAAATTCGAAGAATTGAACTTGGAATTCGTATACCTGGCTCGAGTATGCTTCATCCTGAATTAAAACTGATGGTCCGACTCTTGGTGTTTGAATGCTTCCTTAAGCTTTCAGCTGTTGATGGTGTGCAGCTTGATGATCAAGAATTGCTTTGGAGTACTGTTTCTCTTTTCTCAAGTACATCTGTTTTGGAGTCTCAACAATTTGTAAATGACTTCTTTCAGTCTGCACCTTTTGTATCGGATAAGTACGTGTTGGGATCATCCACCATAACAGAATCGGGTATCTCTGTGATCAACTGTGAGCAAGAAAGTATGTGGGTTACTTTGCAGAAAAAGTGGTTCCCCGAACCATCATTTTATGTTTTCAGTTTGATCGATCCCGATGAAGGACAGGAAGAAACGAATTATGCACCTTTTGTTTCAATTGTCGATGATGCTATTAAGCTCTTTTCCGTGATCTTTTGCAGTCAACCTTCTAAAGTCCTTGAGAGCTTGGTGGAATTGCTGAATTCAACGGTAGATGCAGCCATAAAAAACAAGGATGTTGATAGAGGGAAAATTGTTATATATAACTCTGTCATTGCTCTTAGTATGGCTCTCAATGAATGCGTGAAACGCAAAGTTTCCTTTGGAGTAACCTTGACTGCTTTGGTAAATGAATTTCTTGCGAACATCACTCCGATAGCAGACGAGGATGTTACGGTTCCCTTGGCTCATTCTTATGGCTCGCTTTCTGTTTTGATTGATCGAACAAACGCTCTGCAAATACTTGAGCCATTCTTGCAAAAGATTGCTCAAAATCGACAACCTACCTACCGGATGAATGCTATATTCACTGTCGGATATATATCTAGAAAGCTCGGCACTGCTATTCCAAAAGTCCTTGTTTCGAAAATTCATCAGACTATTCTTGCCTTATGTCAAGATGATCATCCTTTGATTCGGAAATGGTCATTGCTTACAATGATTCGTTCTCTTCGTACAGTGTCTACTTCAATTCCTTCGGCACCTTTATCTCAACTAAGCTTTTTGACAAAACTTATGGTATCTTCTCATAGTGATTCTGAAGCACTATTGTTAAAATCAAGCGAAGAACCCGCGTACCCGATTAATCTGTATGCAGAATTCTTGGATTGTGTAATAAACGAGCTCGGCCCAAGCTTGCAGGAAGACACAAGCTTAGGAAACTTGGCCTATAATCTAGTGCGACAGCTTCATTTTATGTGTGATACCAACAGTTTAAGCATGACCAGTGTTTTCCACTGTTACCAGCATTTGTACTTGTTCACGCCCATTACATCTCAATCAAATGCTTTTGTTACTATGCTATTTTATTATATCACTAATCTGAATGAGCCTCAGCTTCGAAGTGAAGCAATAGCTGTCTTATATCAGATATTATTACAGAATCACCAATTCTCGGAAGTTTGTTACAAAAAGCATCTTGATAAACTAATTTGGCGATCCTTAGACACCACACCTGATGAAAAATACTTGAAGTATATCCTTTACACTTGGTTGAAAGATAATGAATTTAACGACACTGCATATTGGCTTAATACACTTCTTAATGTCTTGTCCTCAAAGAAAGCGACTTCTGATCATCCGGAATCAGCAGAAAATAGATATGATAACGACATTGACGAGGATGTTGTCTCCTTAGCTCGCTCAACTAATTCAACAAAATCTACGAGACAACAGACTTTTCGTTGGCAGACTCAGCTATTTGCAGCAGATTGCTTTATTAACTTGCTAACTGATATAATGCAACATGATGAAGAGTCGAGCAAATTCTTGGCTTCTCGTGTATCAGAAATTGTCAGTGCCTCATTCGTGTTGTCAACATCAGATAATGAGAAGCTTAGCATCTCTGGACTTCGATTGCTAAACGCGATTATCACAGTAAGTTTTATTCCATTGCGTGTATACTAACTCGAAACAGCACTTTAGTACGTTCAAAGATCCAGACTTTCCAGATATATCTATTCTTAATCAGTTTGAGGCTCAAATCAGTTCTGCAATAACCTCCACGTTTTCAAAGGATGCATCTCCAGAGGTTATGTCGTTATCGCTGGCAGCAAACGCAAACTTTTTGAGTTCTGGTTTGGTCGACAAATTAACTGAGAGTAATCGTGCTTTCAAAACACTTTTGACAGCTCTTGATTTTAGCTTAAAGGGAGCGGTGGAAGACAGTTCTGATAACTTATTTAAGCATGATGCTAAGTTTGTTCTTCGTGTAGCTACTCTTTCAGCGTGGGCTCAGTTGTTGACGAATTCCTTACAGTATGAAAGTTTACGTGAATCGATAGATCCTTTGTTACCTATGTTGATACCACACTGGATTTCATCACTACGTTCATACTCGAGGCTTCAATTTGGTTCGTACCTCGTACGAGACTTTATTGCTGATACTACAAACACTCGTGTTCAGTGTATCAACCCACAGTTGCTCTTAAAAATACACCAGCAAACATGGCTTAATATTGCTGAAGCATTGTGTTTACTGCTTAAAGAGAATCGAGAACTTGTGCTAAGCACATTCGACGCAGATCAATTTTCAACCGCAGAGGGTGATATTTTTTTCCAGGATAGTGTGAATTACACTCAGAATCCGGATGCGTTCAACTTCTTCATTTTTGGGTTAGCTCTTCAATCGTTACTGAATCCAGAGGTACTTGCGCCCTTTGAGTTACCAGTTTTGCGTATAATGAAAGCGCTTACAGTTACTATTAGTAAACGTCTGTGTTCCGACGTGATATTTGAGCCTTCTGTTTTCCCTGAGGTGGTGGATATATTCACACGTCTTGTTTTGACAGAAAGCTGGGAAACAAAAACAGCAATTATCAAACTATCAACTCTAATTGCTACTAATCATCCTTGCATTGAAGAGATACGTGCATCTGATACTGCCTCATTTGTTGCAATGCAAGAATCTGTTTCCCATGGCGTCGAACAACTTTTCCAACTTATAAAGATTATCACCCTTGCTCTGACAATTCGTCTTCCAGGCTTAAGATCAACCTCAGCTAGCACGTCTCTTCATACTCAATCGGTCTACTTTGTTGTGCCTTGTTTGGATAGTTTCTTGCAAATTGCTGATCTTTTTCCCGTTCTTATACGTATCGATCTGTACGCAGCAGCTTTACATATCTATGAGGGTACGACACTATGCTGATGCAGCACTTGCTAACCTTTAGTGCTTTTGGATGATGCAGATTCGATGAAGCATCACATGGGTGAACTTCTGAATGTTTACAAAAAGCTTGTTTTAGCTTTAGTTAATCTTGATCGACACGAGTGTGATATGCTTTTGTATACATATATCGAAAGAACGAATTTGGTTATTCGGGCATCACTGTATGTTTAGCTTTTTTTGCTGCTGTTATCTAACAACTTTAGGACTGATGATGGAAACAAACAGAAAGGCATCATGGCAACATTAAGCATTCTTGTTTTAATGAACGTTGCATATAAAAAAATTGATGGAGAGCAACGAGTAGTACAAAACTTTTTGGAACTGCTTTTCGAGATGTTGCATTATGAAGAGGTATTGTTATTGCGTATTTTAATTGTTTTCTTCTACTAACTGTTTAGATGGTATCTATTGCAGCTCAAGGAATATGTTCAATGCTTCTTGTGCATAGTAAAGAAGAGAATACGAGTGCATCATGTCGCTTGTTAATTTCAAGGACTGTCACATCTCTTCAAGACAGTGTTATTTCACAGAAAGAAGAGTTTGTTGCTACGGTGTTGAACACACTTTTGCTCGTGTCTAAATCTTTCAGGAAAGATAAGCGTAAGTCTCCCATTCGGATGGTTCTGGTTCGCTAACAGTTTTACAGGTAGAGAGTTTTTATACATTTCTATTCCGATTGTTACGCACTTTTCTGTGATGGTTTCAAGCCACGATGATTTAAAGATGTTGGGAACCAGTCTTTACGAAATTGTTTCTGACCAATCGGAAAATCTGCAAGAGGTATTTACAGGATTATCAGAGAAGCAAAAGAAGAACTTCGAGCAGCTACTGAAAGCTTCTGTGGCGGATGCTTAATATGAATTTTTAACGAAATAATCACTTGTTTTTGGTATCTTTCTTTAAAAAATGGTATGTTTGTTCATAAACTAGTAATGTTATACATGTTTGTGGTACAACGCGTAGTAAGTGAAACGAATATCTAGTTGTGTCATCGAGTTAGCGTTATCTTAAGAACAATATTTTACCCTTTATACAAGTCTGCAATTATCTGAGGCAGCCGCAAGCTCATCAATGATTTTGAATCTGTAATTCGTAGGGTGTCCCTCACTTGAAGACGAGTGCGAAAGACCATTACTGGGTACATTAGAAGAGAAGAAAACACTTTTGAGAGTGCCGAAACCGACAGGTACTGTAGACTTGACTAGAGCGGCGAATGTTAGCGATGATTGAGAAGCGGTAAGAAACTTACCATGGGCTCATTATAGTGTTTCTTTAGCCGCTCGTAGGCCATAAATTGTAGACTGCCCTGACAGACACCAACAAACGAAGGAACAATACCCACGTAGCAGCCCTTAATTCCCTGATTTCGGAGAAGTTCGCGGATGCCTGTAAGAAAACTTGTGTATGGAACAGAACGTGACAGTATACGCGATTTAACAACCCAGATGGGATTTGTTAGAGCGGCAACAGCTAGACCAGATGCATAAGAGCATCCTAATATTTGAAAAGAGCTCAATTCTCGGACAGGAATGTTGCTGTAAGAGGCGACAGCGTTTTTACACTTTTCATAAATAAAAAAGTAAGAGCCCCAGCTAGCTGTAGAACCAATTAAGTTAACGGTTAAACCTCGGTACAGCGACCGAAAAAAATGCTGTCTATTAACATTTGCATTTACAACATTGCGTAACCCGGTATGTTGATACACGCGAGTTACTTGCAATTGTGTTTTTGCCAGGTCTAATGGATGCATTATAAGGGTAGAAATGGTCCCTGCAGCAAACCCCGCTACTGCTTGTTCCATTTTTGACTACCTAAACGAATACAAATTCGCTTTTTGTGTGATGTGTTACAGAAGATAAAAACCAGAAAAACAAGAACGAAGAAGGAACGACGAAGAATAATATACTCAAGAATTATAAATAGGACGTCTGCATCGTGACTAGTATGGCTGTTTTCGCAAATTTTTCTGTCGATCGGTGGCAGCAAAACTGTGATTTAGAGTCAGTATGCAGAATCAATGCTTGAGTATGTAGTGACAATAAACCAAGTCCAAAATGGTGCTGTACAGTGATGAAGGAGAACGGTGAAATTGTTGGTATCAATGAACAGAACACGAAGTAGATTCAGTATATATTCAAGTTCTGTTCCACTTAGATATCAGGGCAATGTATATTAGGACTATTACTCACTATTGAACTTTCCAACATTTGTACACACTATTTACTTTACCCAAGCAACCTCTCACACTGCACCGATTGTAAAGCCAATACTATCACTAACGTATTGTACTGCTACCAATGACTTTGCAAGGAGTTTCGTTTTATTAAGCGACCGTTTTCTCAACTACGCAAGAGGATTGATAATACTATAAACAGTTAATAATGCGCAAATTATGATTGAAAACAACATACCGAATCAATTGGGGTTTGGGCTTGCTTTGAGTGTAACCTGTCGCTGTTAGCAAGGTTCTATTATAACAAAGAAGAAAGAAAAAAATAGAAAAGAAAATAAATAAATAAAAAAAAATAAAAATAAGAAGAAAGAAAGACGAAGAATAATAATATAGACAGGTGTATAATCAATCTTTCAGTATCATAACTTATTTTCATTCTTCATCATATTCATAATTCATATTCATACCCAACCAGAGAATCAAAGGAATCCAACCATAGTGTGTGATGGTCTTTCCAACTTCAACGGCTTTGACAATACGCTCCTATGACAAATGTTAGAGAAGGAACACGTTCATTTGAGCGCCAGACGAACCTTGGTCTCCTCGGAAAGTTGCATTTTTGTTCTTGGCAGAAACTGCTGTTGCTGCTGCCTTGTTGATCATTTTTGGTGTTAGTATTTCGCCAGAGAAATTAAAGTTATTTACCGAAGCGCCCCGCGATGCGGGGAAGGGGTCGGAGGAGGGAGTAAATGGAGGGGAGGATGGCCGTAATGTGTGAGAAGTGGGGAAGACAAGAAGAGGAGAAGAAAAAAGAGGAGAAGAAAAAAGAGGAGAAGAGGGGAGATGGAGCGGAAGCCGGGTTGTGCTGGTGAGACGATTGAAAGTGCATTTCGTTGTCGATCGGCGTCCGATGTGGTGGCTGGACTTGGCATCATTGTGCTCAACTAATCGGCGAATCCTCGAAGTTTAGTGCTCAGAAACAAGGACTTCTCGCCTAACTGAAGGGTCATAACTACTGTATTGGGTGTGAAGGACATGAGTATAGCTGCATTGGCTTCTAAAATTAACCCTGCTCATGCTATCGACTATACCAATTTACACCCTTCAGGGTCCAGTTTCAACCAAACGAAAGTGTAAAGTCCCGCATCCAATTAGAGAATTCGTCTATGTTGTTGATTATGTAGTTCTACTTCCATCTATTATTATCCCTTTCCATTTATATTTATATTATGTAGCGTAGATATATTTATTCATATATATCGTTTCTATTTCTCCTAGCGTAACTTAGATACGCATTCGGTTAACCGCTCTAAGCATCTAGTTCTTAAACAACGTGATCAGAACAGCACAAGTCTCTAGCAAGCGAACTCCAACTTGATTAATACTTGATTTGTGTATCAAAAGTTAACGATCCCCCAACTGTTCTCCCAGTCGCCTTCTTTCTAGTCTAGTGCTACTATTCAATTTATCTCTGTGTATATCTTTTATCAAAGTTCTTTTCTGATGTCGGTAGTTGTACAGACATCTGGCTAAAATAACTAGCTCGAAGGAAATGTTACTCCAATAACGTCCTCTAACGCCGGCGCATTCTGCACATTCCATTCACCCCTGTCGTCTATTCTACATGACAAAGCCTTCGTGTCCATACCATCTGCCGACAGTGTTCTTATATATACCGATTAGTCATTTCAGTAATTCGCAATTCTGAGTCGTTATTTTTCGCTTAGTATTTATCGAATGACGATGTCGTCGTTTAGTAGACAAGTTAACTATTTATATCTCATTTAAACATACTTTATCGTGTCTTAATTTCAGCATTAGTAAAAAGTCTCGTTTTGTTTTTTCAATGTCTCAGTTTTACCTCTAAATACCTCTACATAAATTTCGCAATATTACCCCAAAAACGATGCCTATATAATGAAAAAAAATTCCCCTCGTTTTCTTCGTTCTCATAGCTCAGCGTGTTTCCCCTCTTCCATGTCATCAGCTTGGTGAAACTGCGTCTGCTGAACCATTGCGGCTTCTGTCTCTCGTGTAGCAAAGACTGGTCAAGCCTTGATACCAGCACAGCGTCTTCTACTCATCTATGACACCAGTCACCCAACAGCACGCACGTTACTGTTTCCTTCCTCGCCCTTTCCCTCCTCCAACCTGCTTGCGCACGCATACGTGTACACGCGCCTGTCGCACTTCCCCACTTTTTGCAATGACGTCATCGTAACAACAGTTGGTTAAGCGAAGAGCCCATCAACGAACAGGGGACGTAGAAGCTCGTGTGTAACTTACCCTCTGCCATTCGTGTGCTTGCTGTGTGTTCACTGACTTCGTTCAAATTCATCATACTGCACCAGAATCCGCACGTAGAACACAAATAGATTTCTGTCGAAGTTGCTTCTACTGCTGCGGGACTGTTTCCCATGCCATTTAAGGAAGTCGCTAAGAATGAGTCTTCCAAGGGCAATATCGGCCCGTACATTGTGAAAAAGGTCCTTGGAGAAGGCTCCTTCGGAAAAGTAAAACGTTAGTACGCGGCGAATGGGACAGACAGACGTGAATTGAGTGCTTATGCCGTGACTTGAGAGATACACGGCAGGTTTGCCGGCGTTGCGCTTGTGTGCAGCAATCATGGTCCCGACACTGCAAGTTTCGTGCTCTGATCTGTTCAGTTCAGTCCAGGCTTCCCTATTCATGCTCCCGTTCATTCATTCTAACGAACAGTTGCTACCCACTACAAAACACATCAAGATGTAGCTCTCAAGTTCATCTCCAAACAAACTCTGAAGATGAGTGATATGTACTCGCGTGTAGAACGTGAAATCTCATACCTGAAGCTTCTCCGGCATCCTCATATCATAAAACTGTACGAGGTCATCACAACACCGACGGACATTATAATGGTAATTGAATATGCTGGTGGAGAACTGTTTGATTATATTGTCCAAAAACGCAAGGTATGCGTCAGAAGTGGTTCAAGAATGGTTTGCTAATCTGTTAGTTGAGTGAGGACGAAGCACGCCGGTTTTTTCAACAAATTATCTGTGCCATCGAGTACTGTCATCGACACAAGATTGTACATCGTGATCTGAAGCCTGAAAACCTTCTTCTCGATGCAAATTTGAACGTCAAGATCGCCGATTTTGGACTTTCGAATTTAATGACTGATGGTAACTTCTTGAAGACATCATGCGGTTCGCCTAATTACGCTGCTCCGGAAGTTATCAATGGAAAGCTTTATGCAGGTCCAGAGGTCGATGTCTGGAGTTGCGGCGTTATTCTTTATGTCATGCTCGTCGGTCAATTGCCGTTTGACGACGAGCTTATTCCTAATCTTTTCAAGAAAATCAACAGTACGTTGACACTGAGGTGTACAAAATTAAACTAACGCAACAGGTGGTCTGTTTTATATGCCTGATTGGGTTTCTTCAGGCGCCAAATCTTTAATTCGCCGGATGATTGTCGTCGATTCTATGCAAAGAATAACGATTCAAGGCATTAGAGAAGATCCGTGGTTTAATGAGAATTTACCTGATTACTTGAAACCGATGCCAGAGTTGCAAGACTCTGCTGTTGATACTAAGATTTTGAAAAAACTTAGCGAAACAATGGGCTTCTCGGAAGAAGAAGTTCTAAACGCTCTGCATGACGTTAACGAAAACAACAAAATCAAAGAGGCATATAACATTCTGCATGAGAATCAAGTCATTAAAGAGAAGAGTCATCTTTCCTCTTACAAACGAATGGATTCGTTTCTGTCTGTTTCACCTCCAGCGTATGAAGAGTATTCCAGCGATATGGCTAGGAGAATAAAGTCTCGACCAATTTCTAAGGGGTCACTCTCCAGTGGTAGCAGCCCACGGGAAAAGGTTGGTTCACTTGAGCAGGCACCTATCCAAAGTACAATCTCGATTCTTCCTTCTTCTACTTCTGCGAGGCACCAGGAGTTTATGGCCGACAACTATAATCTCAGGGCCGCAGACGAAAATGCGGACACTGCTAGCATTGGCGGCACGAAGAAGAAAACCAGAAAAACACGTTGGCACTTCGGCATCCGTTGCGGAGGTGACACACTTGAAATCTTGTTTGCCATATACAGTGCGCTGAAGAAGGCAGGTGCTGAATTCACGAATCCACGTTTCAACGAGAACCAAATTAAGCAAGAAATCTACACGATTAAATGTAGGTATCCTGTTAAAAGAGACCCAACTGAAGGCAGAACCGTGTATGCTTTCGTTGAGTTACAGTTGTACGAAATTATGCCCGAATGCTATATGCTGGATGTTAAGTCCAATGGTTACAAGGTTGTCCCGCCGCTCCCAGCCGATCAAACGAAACGGGAATCGCCTGAGGAACGAGTTATTACCTCCATGCCTTTTCTGGACCTCTGCAGCGACCTCATCCTCAAACTCTTCTCCGGATAAGCATGTGTGCGTGAACTAGTTTAGTCAAGTTGGTCTTCCTCTACGCTATGCAGATATCATGATTGAGGGTGCTGCACTCATATGTACTTTTGGGATTGCTTTGTATTGTTTCGGTTTTAATGCTGTCACCGAGTCATTGCCAGGCAATTATTATACGGAATATATTTGACCTTTAATTGGCACTGGTGACAAGTTCCCTCGGACGTTCCATCTAATCTTTTCAACCCTTCGATTTGGTATGCTGATTAGTTGTTTGCTCTGTTATTTTGCTACTGCTAGTAGTAATTACTAATGCCCGTGCATTTAAAATGGCGTCCATCTCCACGGACTCTGTAGCAATTATGTGCTCATAACGATTAAAATTGTCCAGCTGTATTTACGCTTTCGGGTTGTTCTTTCTTATTTTCAACGAATAATGAAACCTAGCAGTAGCAAGATAATAGTAGTAGAAGAAAATATCAATCCTTTTTTGTTTATCTTTACATTTGTTTACTGAGCCTTGCCGTACCCGCCGTCCCCTCACTAATGTTTCATTTTACTGTTTCACTGTTGCACTGTTTCTACTGCTTCACTATAACTTCATTCAACTTATTCCTCCTGGCACGTGTAGAGGCGCGTTCGTTTCTTCATTTCGCCATCCTAATTCACCACCAAAACTCACCACCAAAAAAAGCCATTCTCGACCTCCAACAGCTCGATTCCTTTACCAACGACATAGACGGAAAAGGCTTTGTAACGTATATTGCCGGGGTACGTAAGCTCCGTGCAGTGCAAGCTTTTAGTAGCTACAATTATCGTAGACCTCCGGGATTACTATTTAAAATTATATTCTGAGGAATTACTTGATATAAGAGTAACTCCAGTCTAATTAGACAATTACTTACTCCATGAATGGAGCTCGTGACTTTTCCGGTCTAAACGATCGGAATAAACCCCTTCAAAATGATGGAAACGTGGACAATCGAAACGTATTTGCCGCAGATTATAATAATCATAGAATGCCAGAGATGACCCTTCCTCTTCCATCTAATTATGACTCGCGAATAATGGGGTTCTATCCAGGTACGTTTGCATTTAATAATGTCGTCAGAACGTGAATTACTCATGCGAGCAATAGCCTATAATCAAAACCAAGCTTACATGCAACCACACGCTGGATTTGCGAATCAGATGCACACTGAGTATGGTTATTTTCAACCTCATGTGAACAATCTGTTGTCCAACGATGCTTCGATGCATCATACGGGTCAGTACTTGCAGCCTTCCGTTATGGAGGTCGATTACAGACAGCAACCTCCTCGTCAATCGTATCCGTATCAGCCGCCGACAATATCCAACTTCCAACATGCTTCCCTTCCCTTCTACTCCTCCAATACAAATGCTGCTGAATACGCCAATGCTGCTCGTTCTTTAAATCCTATTCAGAACCCTGTCACTCTCCCTCCTCTCACACATAAGGAGTATCCTCCGTCTTATTATCAGCCTTATGTTCAGAATAATATGTCTGCTGAAGAGACGCAAAATGTCTTAAATCGGCAGCCTCCGCAGATGCATGCTGGCACGCCAATGCTCGTGGAGACTACTCCTTCCTACGCGTCTTCGCCGAATATGCAGCCTGCTGTGCTTAACCAAACTGTTGCCGATGTTCCTTCTGTAGCCCCTTCATCAAGTCAAAAACTCCCTCTTAAAACCCCTGTGAAGCCGAAGGCACCATTAAGTCCGGCCGAGCGTCTTCGCCATGAATTGAACGAGTGTCTGGACCCTTTTAACACCAGTCGTGCGCCTAGAGATTGTGCGGCTGTTTTGGTTAATTTTATGGGATCTATTGAAACTGATGAACAAAAACTAATTTTCTTGGAAATAACCAGAGATAAGGGCTTGGATACTATTTATAATGAACTTGTTGATGGTAGTCGACGTATTTTTTTGCCAAAATTGAGAAACTGGTTTGTTTCTGCTATTCGTTCTAAACATGATAAATTAACGCATGTCATTCTGCAAGTGCTTACCCGTTTGCCTCTCAACCCTGAAAAGCTTGCTGAGGTTAAGTTCGGCAAGGCTATTTTACTTGTAGGAAAGAAATCAACAAACTCTATCATAAGACAGTATGCTGAAAACTTATCTGGCATTGCTGAGAAGTCCTTGCTGCTGGAACAACGCAAGGACACGAAAGCTGCTCCCGTAAAACCCGAAACTACGAAAACGGCCGCTTCGGCAACGTCGAGGCCATCTCACAAATCGATCTCTCAAAAGCCACCTGTTACAACAACTAAAAAAGTTACAAGCGTCTCGAATACCTCTTTCTTCAAAAACTTGAGCTCTGCTGCTAAGCAGTCGGCGGCTTCTGGTTCTAAGGCGCCAATGGCATCGAGCGCTAGCGCAAAATCATCGACGCCAAACACGCCTCTGTCCGCTATCATGGCAGGCCTAAATCGCGGCAACCAGGACTCTCAGACAGCTTCATCGACTTCTTCAAGTACTAAGGTCGGAAGTGACCTGAAGTCATTGACGGAGCAAATTACCAAAGGTAAGGAAGAACTACCTAGTTTCCGAAAGCGATCAGCAAAGTCGGATTCAACTACTGGAAAACCGACCAAGGTTAGTAAAACAACCTCAGAAAGCACCGTTAAGCGGAAAAAGAAGTCTGTCTCTTGGCGTCCTGACAATGATCTTGTTCAAGTTAGGATCATCGAGTCTCTAGAGGATGACAAAGATTTGGCTAAGGGTGTCCATCATCACTACGGCAGCGCTCGTGATCTTGACAGACATGAAGCTAGGGTTGCGTTCGGCGCCAAGGTAGAGGATGATGTTGAAGAGGAGCAGACTTGGTATGAACCCGTGGTTATTACTTTTGTTATTAAAGACGAACTTCATACACGTGGGTTTAAGACCGGAGCAGAAAAGCTTAATCCGACACCCGAAAGTCAGTGGGAAACGGAGCGAGAATCCTCTACAAAGCCGTCTACCACGAGTGAGAAGGTTTTGTCAGAGTCTTTCATACGCGAAAGTAGCTCTCCTAGCACCCCAGCTGAAATTCCTTTGCCTGCTGCAAACGAAAAGGAAACACCTCAAAAAGATACTTCCCGCTCACCGTCTTCTCCTCCTCGTCCAGTGGAAACGAGGAAGGATGTAAATATTCCATCCCAACAACCTTACAGTGCAGTTTCGGCTCAGCACGTTTCTTCTATATTGGCTGCTTTAACCAATGCATCGGCTCAGGCCCCTTCTAATCGGGCTGACGACAAAAATAACGCATCTTTTCTTGCCCAATTAATGTCAACGGTTAATAGATAGATACCAATTGTGCCGTCATTTAAAAAAGTACTACGACCTCCTTTGACTTGCTCGAAGCCGAAACTCATGTTTGATTTGTTGAGGTTTTTCATACGGACTTCGAGTGTGCACACGCGTCCTTGTTTTTTTTGCACTAAGTCATCTATGCAATTTTAGTTATAAAGGAACCAATGTTATGATTATGCCTTTGTCTTTTTAAAACCCTTTAGCTTGTTAAATAAAATCTTATTATGGGACTCACGCCTTGTTTCATGTAGTATCGTAATTAACACCTTGCTTTCATTACTTAGTTATCTAGCTGTACGTACAGGACGATACAGATGATTTGGTTCAATGAATGGTTGCGAGCTCTTGTAAGAATTCTGCTGACGTTTCAACCTCCGTGCTACCGTAGACAATGCGCTTCTTTGGGTTCTGCTCTGATGCCCAATCAGTCAAACTGCCATACTCAAGATAATTGCCTCCTCCAATCATGAAAACTATCGCCTCATTAAAGCTTTGGCGTTTGTTTGCAGTATAGAGCGATTCGCTACTGCCGGACCGGGACTTGGGGTCAAAGTAAAGATACTGCTCTGTTTGCTTTATGGCGGAACCAGGCTCAGTTAAACTCTGAACAATTGAAGTTATAGTATTAGCTCTGCGAGCAGGTATAAGATTTTTCACGCCCGAAATGAGGTTCTCTAGACCGCCAATTCCGGCTTCCTTAAACCGATCCGTCAACTGTTGATGAGTTAGTTGCTTCCACTTGATTGTATCATCCATACCTTGTTGGAAAGTGAGGTAAATCCCTTAAACAGGTTATCACCCGTCTGTCCACTAGTGGGTTGGTTGGCAGCACTTGCCATCATATTCATACGTGTGATTTCACGAATTCTGGAATGGTCAGTTAAATGGAACAAAATGTAAAGGCATACTTTTTTACAAAATTAAGGGGTTCCAAGGAACATTCGGCTTCCTTTAAGGCCTCCTCAAACTGCTCCATGTCGGATGCAGGAACGTTATCAGCGTTCAAATACCAGATTAGAAGAAAACGAAGTTTATCTTCTGCAGTACCCTTCTGTTTATCCTTAAGACAAGCCAAAACAGTTGCCTTGTTAATGTTTTTTACATCGCTTTCCATCTCAAAGAATTCGTCGAGTTGGTGATCTTTAATTGTTTTCAGTAAAGCGGTTGCAATGTTCATGTGCATATCAAGCATTTGTTTTCGGGCAGTCAACTCTGGGAGAAGACTCACAGCAGCCTTTAAATAAGTAGAATTAACCAAGGTGTCGGCATTTACATCTTCAATTGAAGAAACGCCTGTCTTTTTCGTTACCTCATTGGCATCGTTCTTGTAACGCGTCAGTTCTTCATCAATGCTTTCAGCAACTCGGGGAAAGGGTAGGTTAGAATTTTGCTCCCAGAAACTATCATTGGGGGCAAGATCGTATACCATTTTAGACTCAACACCGTTATTCACAACATCCACCGAGATTCTGTTAAGTCGCATCTTTAAAACGTCATGTACCAGAGCTTGATATGTCCAAGAATGATTGAGCATTGGAACAAGATCAACCGTTCTATCTAGCAGAATTAGGACAGGTCTCTGCTTAGTGGAATCTGCAGCGTATACATTCTTCGTATTCATTGCATGATCGCGAAGCTTCTGATTCAACTTCTTAGCCAATAGTTCTGCTGCCGAGCCAGGAGGACAACGAATAATCGGAAGAACATCCAAGGTTACAAGTACCGAGAACAGTCCACTGGCGACTTGCTGGATGGTTTCCTCAATTTGACCATCCGTAGAAGATGGGCTATGAATAAGAGAGAAGACACCTGGTTGTTGAAGAGAAAAAAACTCACTATCAAGTGAAACAAAATTAAGGTATTCATCATAAACCTGGTTGATCATATGACCGGTATTCGAAGAAGCTGCCATTTCGGCGAAGTCTTCGAGTAATGCTCGGGGAATCGTAGTGGAGAAACAAACATAAGCAGACTCATAAAGTCCATTAGATAGGTCCTGAACGCATTATTAGTACATGTTATTTCGGAAATAGGAAAGCATACGCGAATAATAAGCTCAACGTTTTCACGAGTGGGTTGAACAAAATAAATAGCAGGGACATCAGAGATGGGTTGTCTGTTTGCTTTTATGTTCCTTAAGAAGAAGGTCAGTACGATTATCGGAAGGCAGAAGATATTGTTATGTTTTACATACATATGTACTGTAACACCGTGTTTTCTTAAATCACTCACATGCAATACAGTGGAAATAATTTCTGAGCATGGTTTATCGAATATCAATACTTTCCATAAGGGAAGTTCATTAGATGCTTTCTGGTCTTCTAGCTCCTCCAATTCATGGTTCAGATTCAGCAATCTCTCTAGACAACCTTATAATGTTAACATTCGAAAACTCGAAAACAAGGCATACGGATTTGACGATTTTGGAGTGTATCTACCGGTTTCACGTTCTCCGTATTCATCTTCTGCTTTATTCTGCCTATTTTAAGTAAAAATACCTATTAGGCTTGTGGTGAACGTTGAGGTGAAACGCAGTAAAAGAAATTACTTCGATAGATGGTACACTACAGCTTGGTAGACAAATTATCTAGATGGGAACATTTTCTATACTATGGAATAAGCTAAGCTAGTAATATTCCTGTTTGTTTCTGTAACAGTTAAATTGTTTACACGCATGAATACACCTAAACGCGACTTGTTGGTAAATAAGATGTGTGAAGCTGAAACTATGAAACATGTAATAGTAGGCACACTATCTCTTTCTTCTGTAGAAGCACAATTATGATAGTCCTTAGAAATGGTTGCTAAACGTAGTTTATTCATTCAATATTTCTTCATAGATCATTAATTAGTTAATTCATTAAGTGGGCACTGCATCATAGATTGAAGGCACGGTTCCATTATGAAGACTGGTTCCTGAAGGAGGTGATATATTCGACGGTGTCTTCATTTGCCCAAACTGATAGCTCGTTGTAGAAACAACCGAGTTAAAGTCTGTTGAATACTCGCGTTCCGTAATTCCTCCACATCTGTCAACTCCGTAGTGTATTCTGAACTTGCGAAAAGCCTTATTTTGACGGACACCACTTACTGCTTTTATAGCATTGGGAAGACTGGTAAAGCTTATGAAAACACATTTCTTCTTTGAAATGTAGTTAAAATGTTCCACTTCGCCGTACTTTGAAAACTCATTGAGAAGCTTCTCTAATTCGTCTTCTTTGCCAACATGACCAACGTAAACGGTTCGAGAAGCTCCATTAGAGACAGCAGTTTGAAGAACAGCAGGAAACGGTCTGCTTTCCTTTCCCCATCCAACCTTGACCAATCGACCGTGTATATACAGACGACCCTTGGTATACTCTTCGACAAAGGAACGAGCCACTTCTGGACTAATGAAGGTAATAAAACAGATATGCTTTTCAGGAATGTAATGTACATCATGTAGAGGACCATAATGAATCGCATTACAGATTTCATACGTTTCTGTACTCTCGTGCAAGTTACCCAAGAATGCAGTACGGTTTCCGGCAAACTTATCTTTACCTGTTTCTTGAGAACCAAAGCAGTCTAAACCAGCGTAATATCCATTGTACTTTTTTGCTAGAAGTTTAGAGTTGTTGTTTATAGGAACACTGCAATGATCCATGCCGTAGAACACGCGTCTTGAATGCCACTCTTTATCAGAAGACAGCTCGCGGACAACCCTTATAGCACTTTTAATGTTCAGAAAGTGTACAAAAGCAATATTGCGAGAGCTTAAAATCTTAACATTTTCAATAGCCCCGTACTTGGATAAACAATCTTCTAGTGTTTGCTCCGTAAACTCCCTCGGAATATTTCCAATGAAAACGTTTCTACTTGCGGCACTTTGCTGAAGAGCCTGATGTATGCTTTCCGGAAGAATTGTTGGTCTTGCAAAATGCACCCTAAGTAATTTGCTTTGGAAGACGGGCCTGTTAACGGTGCATTGCTCGTAGAACGCGAATGCATCTGCTGCATGAATAAACGATATAAGAACTCTATTTTTTGAAGCCTTCACGCAAGCTTTTTCTAATGGTCCAGTCCGAATAAGTGATAGAAGATCCGATATTTTGTATGAATTTGGAAGATTACTGATTGTTAAGGAGCGAAAGTCCCGCAACTTTTCTGTATCAAAAGTGCTATTATTAATGTTGCCTGGCACATAATACGGAAGGTAAGGTGACATTAACGGATAGTTTTGATTGTAATAATACTCCGTGCCTGGCTGATAAAGCGCCGGTGTCAATGTAGAAAGGTACGCATTTTTGCAAGGGAAACAGTACGCCGTTGGCACAGGAGTTTTCATATTCAAAGGCACAAACTCGTTTGCGTGAAGGACCGAGGCAAACGAGTTTGGTTGCTCTTGTACCTCTTCAATAGAAGTTTGCATTTGGGTTTCCATACTTTAGAAGAGAAGATAGAAGCGTTTCACGCGGGCATCTTTATATATTTTATTTGAGCCATTTACTCCAGCCCTAACATTTTGATAATTGTAAGAGACCACGGAAGCGGCTTCAAGCAATCCAGTCGTCACCAAAACAAAAGAAATCCAAGCAAATCAAGACCCTGCTTTTGTTAAGAAATGACGAATTGCAATATTGATTAAGTAAACATTGAATTGTTGTGTATGTCCATTATCATAGCTGCTTTTAATACAGCAAACATAACACAAGCACCGACACTTGTACTATAATCCAGCGTTCGTGACCATATTCAAAGAGACAATTCGTTGTTTTGAAGATTTGAAAAAATTGACATTTAGACAATGGGTGTAATTTGAGAGTATCAAAAGAAGCAAAATCATCTACAGACTATTTCATACTTGTAGACCATAGTAATCACTAACAATCTTGTATACTTCAGCTAATATTGTGTTAGTAACAAAATTTCCTCCATTGTTGCAGTAACTGCCGATACACTTGTGACGCATCCTCCAGTTTTTGTTAACGAATTGCATTCAGTTAAACTCTCGGTAACTTTTGAATACCCATGTTCGTATCTGTCGTCGTACTGACTATTCTTTAAACCGCATGGAATGCGATTACGTGAAACCATCGTAGAACTTATGTCATTTTCCTTCTGAAAAAGCTTTGCCGGTTTCCAGCAACCATTCTCAAAACGACATTCGTACGCATTTAATTTCGTAACATCTTACATTCCGTACCATTTGGGTTTAGACCGTTTCATTGGTCATCAAGATTCAGTTTCTATATTGTATCCAGCACGAGAACTGGTTTATGAAGTTCTCACAACGACAACAACAATCTTATACATTTAAGCGGCTTTAGCGTGTTAAATCACATTGTTTCTTGCTGTTGCGAGCGGATTTTACCGCGTAACCTTGTCTTTGCAATTAAAACAGTCTTTTGCTCGCTGTCCCATTCCTATTTTAGCCTAGGAAAGCTTTCTATTCCTCAATATGATGTTAAACATAAGGGGACCGAAGCTGATAGTTACAGAGGTTACTTTACTATTTGTCGGTTACTATGTTCTTCTCTTAACTCATTCCATTAAGGAGGCTCAAAGACGACAGAAACCGGTCCGATTTAGTCGTCGTCCTCGTTTTGGAAAGGAGCCAAGACGGTTGTCAATGAAATGGAGCATCGGTATATTGTGTACTTTGGTAAGATTACGAGCTCGCTAGAATGTCTGAAACTGACGCATTCTTTTAGTATCTGGACGTGTTCATTGCATTAGCGAACTACATATCTTCTGGGTCAACCGTCGCAAAGCCCGTAATAGTGTCTTATATATTATTGATCTTATTTTGGACCATTGTTATCGTGAACTTGAACGATTCCTCAAAACTATCCCGACAAGCATCTTCGTTTTTCAGTGCATATCGCGTTCATTTGCTTTATGCTTGGTTTGTTGGTTTAGTTTTTGAGTTCATATACTTAAGTCGATCCAGGAAATTCTACGACTATTATAACGGATTGCTATATGCAACTCGTTTTCTTCGTGTATTATTGTACCTCACTGGATTGATTGTCTATATTGCAAAACGGCGGCATGTCCACCAGGAAAGCATCATCACCGAGGAAGAAGATGTTGGTATTGAAGAGAATCTCGAATCACGAACAAGGCTTAAGCCTGACAAATCCTCTTCCTTATTTACGTACTTGCTCTCTTTCAGGATATTCTTACCTATGTTATGGCCAAGTAAAAACTTTCTGCTACAGGTTCACTTTGTTGCCTGTATCCTTTTACTACTTGCAGGAAGATGGTTCAATGTTCTTGCTCCTAGACAACTTGGTATAATCACAGACAAGCTTTCTGAAAACCTTGGAGCTATTCCCTGGGTTGAAATCATCTTGTACGTATTTTATCGTTTTTGCCAAGGAAATATGGGTTTACTTGGTTCTCTACGTTCCTACCTTTGGATTCCTGTCTCCCAGTACACATATAAAAGTTTGTCTACGAGAGCACTTGCACATGTGCTAAACTTATCACTGGATTTTCACCTAAATAAAAAGGGAGGTGAAGTACTTGCTGCACTTAGCAGGGGTGGATCTGTAAATACATTTACAGAGCAGGTCGTGTTCCAAATAACACCGGTTATGTTTGATATGGTTATTGCAATGGTATATTTTCTGCTACAATTCGACATTTATTTCTCCATAATCGTCCTCATCATGACGCTTCTATATTGCTACACAACCGTAAAAATCACTGCTTGGAGGACAAGAGCAAGGAGAGAAATGGTAAACAGCTGGCGTGAAAGTTATGCCGTGCAAAATGACTCAATTATGAATTATGAGACTGTTAAGCATTTCGACGCAGACGACTATGAGAACAATCGATATGAAAGTGCGGTTGATGACTATCTAAGGCACGAATGGCGGGTTTCTTCCAGTCTGTCCGTCATCAATATTGTTCAAGGTAGTATTCTTACACTAGGTCTCACGGCAACAAGTATCCTCAGCGCATACAGAATTATATATGGCACTGATAAAGTTGGTGATTTTGTTGTTCTTTTGACATATATGATTCAATTGCAAGGACCACTTAATTTTTTTGGTACTTACTATAGAGCTATTCAAAACAGTCTTATTGATGCAGAACGACTGTTGGAACTCTTTAATGAGAAACCTACTATTCAGGACAGTCCAGACTGTAAAGAGTTACAGGTTTCGAACGGAAAAGTTGAGTTCTCGAATGTTTCGTTTGCTTACGATGCGAGAAAACCTGTTTTAAAAAATGTGAGTTTCGTTGCGCAACCAGGAAAGGTTGTTGCGCTCGTCGGTGAATCAGGTGGAGGAAAGTCAACCTATAATGCGTTTAATTCTACGTTTCTATGATGTGCAGAGCGGTCAAATTTTGATTGATGACCAAGATATTCGCGATGTATCTTTGTCTAGTTTACGATCTTCAATCGGAGTGGTTCCTCAAGATACTACCCTTTTTAACGACACGATCATGTACAATATACGATATGCAAAGCCTGATGCCACAGATGACGAAGTACGAAAAGCAGCTGAGGCTGCACAGATTCACGACAACATTATAAAGTTTCCTGAAGGATATAAAACCCGAGTTGGAGAACGAGGACTAAAGCTGAGCGGCGGTGAGAAACAACGTATAGCTGTTGCTCGAACTTTGCTGAAGAATCCTCCCATAATTCTGCTCGACGAAGCTACGTCTGCCCTCGACACAGCTACTGAGCGACAAGTACAAGCATCGCTCTCTCACCTTGCTAAAGGTCGGACAGTCCTTGTAATTGCGCATCGACTTTCGACAATAACATCCGCTGATCAAATTCTGTGTATCGCCAACGGTTCTATTGTTGAGCAGGGAACACATGATGAACTTCTTAAAAAGGAGAACGGAATGTACAAGAATATGTGGTTTCAACAAGTGGCCTCCGAAAAAGCTGATAATAATTAAACTAAAGTCTTCTAGGAACGCAAAATCTCAACGTATACCTAGTCATACAAGAATCAATACAAGATCTAGTCCGACATATAATTGTAAAACGCTTTATTTCATAACTCGAAACCTAAATAAATCTAAACCATACAAACCCAGAAACCATAAGATGTAGAATAGTAGTCTAAAGTATTATACTCACGAATTTGCAGCTTTTTGGAACCATTGTCTCAAAGTGGAAGCTAGCAACTGTGGTAATTCCTCAATATTGCGGACAATTAAGAAACAGTCGAATGCGAACTCATCAATGTACGGCTGTATCTTCAATTCCATGGAGCCATCAGGCTTTGTAAGATAGCGGACCTTATTGATATCCAAAATTGAAGACTTTTTCTGAGACAAAATGTTATCCAAAATAACAAAAACAACCATGACATTGTCTTCTTGGCTTCTTCTTAACACTTTCCGTATACTATCATGATCCTCACAAACACCATCAGAAATGATAATTTCAAGTTGATGAAGAGTCCGTGATCCTCTTCGCTGAACTGCAGTCGACGCGAAATTAAACAGCTTCATTGAAGCCTCTGTAAGTTCCAAAACATTAGTCTTAGAGTCTTCAAAAGTAAAATGAGAGAGTAAGTCTGCTCCACTATCCGAGGTCAATTGCTTATCGAAAGGATGGAGTAGCTGAGGATGTTCCCCAAACTTCATTACGGCTATTTGTCCGACTTCCAAAAGTGAGAGTGCTTTTGAGACAAGAGCCAAGGTTTCCATTGCTAAGCCAGTGCTTTTAGATTCGGTCATAGATTTAGAGTCGTCAATTGCAAGCATTACTTGATAAGTACGTTTGCTAGGTTTTGTTCGACGCATCCAAATTTTGTCCTTCTTGAACTGTGAGGCAATATAAGGAATAATACGTTTCATGTTCAGTCGTTTTCCAGATCTAAAATCACCTTGCATTTTTGTAGCGAGAGTCGGCTCGAGAATCAATCGCAACTGTTCGCAGAGACCAATTGCCAACTCATGTGTTGATCGCTCATAATGAGACCAAAGAGTTCGAGCTTCGTCAGTATCCATTGAGCCTTGTTCAGTTACAGACAGAATTGGGACACCATCCATTTCCCAATCAACTTCATCATCGTCGTCGGATACATCATCAAAGTTCGAGGGCTCACGAGCCTGAAGAGCTTTCTCAACAATTGGTTTAGCTGTATCTGTATCGACTTCGTCGTCTTCACGGTCTGAAGATCCAACTTCCAAATCTTGCAAAGCATCGGTGGTTTCCTCAACTGCATCTTCCATATCCGCATGCTCAGTTTCGGCATCGGTTTTAGATTTTTCGTTTGAGAAGTCAATTGCTTTCGATTGCTCCGAATCAGCGTTACCCATCGCTTGCATGTTACTTTGACTTTCCTCGTTGACATGTTCAAATTCGGTTGCATCTTCTGGGTTTTTAGACTCTTCTTGGTCTTCTGTGGAAGAAAACTGTATCTCTTTGACGCGACTCCAGCGCTCAAGTTCAGAACCCAATGTCTTGTACTGTTCATCCAAAGCAGCAGACTCCGTAGATTGAGCCTCTGACTGTTCGTTCGATTCCGTTTGTTCACCTGTTTGGGCCTGAGGAGCTTGTCCAACCGAAGGTTCATTCAAGTCCTCGTCAGGGTTTTCCATATGCTCATCCGATTGCGGTTTGTCTTCGTTCAGACTGTCACCGACACCGTTCACGTTAGTATTGGAATCTTCACCTTCAGTCGTTTCGTTTGCAACCTCAGTTTCAGACTCATTCGTATCATCGTTTTCTACTTTGTCTTCCTCATCCTCTGCATCTTCATGTCCAGCCGTAGCTTCAGCTTCCGATGCCTCATCATTTTCACTGTTCTCAGTGGACTCGGGGCTTTCATCATCCTTATCCGGAATTGACTCGTCGATGTCGCCAATGTCATCTTCGGCGTTTTCTAATTCCTCATCTAACTTTTCAGGGGAACCAGTCTCTTCAGGAGCGATATCTTCCATAGAAACCTCTTCATTTTCCATAGGAGTATTCATTTCTTCTTCATTTTCTTCAATGGGCGCACCATCGTCCTCACCAGAATCTTCAGGGGCACTGCCTTCTTCGTCATCTCCAGCATCAAGTTGAAGGTCGTCGGGTAAATCCAAGATTTCACTCTCGTTAATCTCATTCACTTCCGACTCATCCGGTCGCGGTAACTCATCTTCAACGACATCCTCATTAACCGCCTCAGAATCAGAAGCTTCTTCGTCGACTTCGGAGTCACCCCCATCCTCGTTTGACACCAAGTTTTCAGTGTTATTTTGTTTGGATCTCTCTTTTGATTTACTTTCATTGTCACCCAGAGTTTCTTCATTGGGTTCATCCCAAAGCTTTTCGTCAAGAGACTGTTCATTGTCGTTAGAGGAGTTAACTTCTTCATCCAAATCTCCGTCGCTGAGTTCATCCTCATCGTTACTTTCCTCAGCGTCTTTTTGTTCTTCTTGTCCTCCATTGAGACCATCTTCCATTTCAACAGCATCGGACCTTTCTTCGAGCTCATTGTCATTTTCATTATCATCCTGCTCTTCAGCAAGCTCCGTCAGGTCTTCATCCTCCTCGATTTGGTTGGTAATATCCTCAGCACCTTCTCCAGAACCAAGTCCTGTACCACTTTCTAAAGATTCACCGGCTTCCTTGGAATCCGAAGAGAAATCTGGAGAGCAGAAACCCGAGGTAGAAATGACAAGGTATATTGATGCAAGCTTCAGAAAACAGGCGTTAAGGTGATGATGATATGTAACGAGATCGTGTGCCAACGCCTTTACAGAATTAAGGTACTGCCGACAGATTGATATATAGTTAGAGAATATAGCACCAATCAGCGAATAATCCAATTTGTTTATGCCCTTGCCCAACAACTTACGTACACGAGTAAGTTGATGAATCGTAGACTTCGGTGAAATGGCATTTAATAGCTGCCTCATTTGGGCAACCATAGCCGGGAACCGAAACGCGTCACCAGTAGTCAAATCCTTAGAACACTTTGCAAAATTCTCAATCGCAGCCAAGATCGTATCAGAAGAAGTAGAGACCTTCTTTTTAATTGTTTTAACCACCTCTGTGCTTTCCGTCGCTTTCAACAATTCACTTATGCTATGATCGAGCTCAAGTTTGAGAGGTACAAGACCATGAGCAAAGAATGGATACTCAGAAAGCATATCAGTTAATGTGCAATTGATTGATTGTAATTCCCCGAATGCAGAATGTTGCGACTCATGGGAAGCAGCCGAAACAAAATAGGAAGAACTCTGGATCAGGACGATAAGCACACGTTCCATCTCCTCGAGCATATTCAATACGGGGTGACTCTGTGATGAGGAAATAGTTTCCTGAGCAGTAAAGGTAGTTGAGGTCATGCGACAGAGGTTCAAAAGCGAGTGAAGTTCTTGTTGTTTAGACGCAAAGATATTAAAACAAAGGTTACTTTCTGTAGGAGATTCAGAACAATCAGTTTGATGAATCGTATCAATCAGCTTTTCAAGTACATCAACATCGTAAATAAAGTCAGTCAACTCGGAACGAAGAGGAACTTGCAATTCCATATAACTGTGATAGAGTCCAAGAGCACGCGACACTTCAGCGTCACTTAAATCATCATGATGTCCTGCAGGAAGAGCCTTCAACTTTGGAAGATAATCAACAAGTTTTGCAACACAACAATTATCAGTCGAATACAAGCCTTTATCATTCATCTGTACGAATGAAGACATAGATGCCAGAAGTGCATTCATTGTTCCTTGCTTGAGTTCAACATTTACTGGAACTCGGTATTTTAACCCGAACTCTTTAAGCTGCTTTACCGTGTCAATGTAAAGTTTGCGCTTTCTCGACTTCAAGTGCTTCACCTCGCTGAGATTATCATCCGTAAGTGTACCAGGCGTCAAAGAAGCCAGTTCTTTAGAGGTACTGACTACGCTCTTGGTAAAGCTTACGAACTCTTCAGAAAACCTCACTGGCGAAAACATATGCTGCATCATCCTTACAGTCTTCCCAACATTGACAAACCGTGGCGGGAATCCATGATCTTTTAGGGGAACAGTATTCGCTAAATCCGAACGAACAACTGCCGTAAATACGGGTGACTTAAAGACATCTAACTGTGTGTCAATAGAGGGAAGTGATGGTTGCTGTGCAAGTAACGGAAGGACAGGTTGACCAAGAACCTCCCTGTACTTTCGAATTATTTTGTACAGTTCATGATGACTTTTCTTTGCACTCTCTTTGAGAGCGTAAACGTTGGTGTCATTCCAGCTCATTAGCTTAATTTTATCCTTAATGCTTTTTTCCAAAGTCAATTTTTGCGAAGCTAAGGACTTTTCGATATTTTGAGAGAATTGATCAAAGTAGTAAAAAACATTAGCAATAATAGCAGCTGAGTACTTAAGCCCCTGAGCAAGGCAATGGAACACAAGCGACTTCAACTGTCCTAGACAGATTGCAAACTCGCCGATTTTCACAGTGGGAATGAAGCTCATAATGATTCCAACAGCTTCTTGCAATTCTTGAGCATTCCCACTTCTAGACAACTTCTTGGCTTTAAACACGAAGAAATCAATTATAGGATAAAACTTTGGAAGAATTTCGTCACTAGTATGAAGCTCTTCAACTCTTAGAAGAGGTGACCAGTTGCTCAATTCCAACTGTCGCCAATGAATAATAAGCCGTTTCACCTTTTCAAGCTGATCAGAAAGGGAAAACTCACGACTGGCAACCTTTTCCCATTCAGATAGATGATGAAAGACTTGTTCTAACTTGGATAAACATTTCGCAACAGGGCTACGGATCGAAAGATCCATGGCTTCGCGGACGGCAGAATCCAAAGCTTGCAATGTTGCATTCTCCGGCCAAACAGAGAGTACTTTGTCTACAGAGCATTGCATGCTCTTCAACAATGGAACCAGACTCAATGCTTCTTGCTCATTGCTGTCTCTGTAGAAATCATACATCGAAGTTGGACGGTCTTTTGAATTGTCGTTCAATGTCAATAAGCCCTTAGTGAAAATCGATGCAAAAGAATCTTCGATATGATACGGACTCACATCCTTCGTATTGGAGAGTAAGTTCGTTGCCAAAGTAACACCGTTGTCAAAAAGTACGTTACTTTTATAGGCGTCTCCTTTCCCTAACGTGATACTACGATAATTCTCCCAGAACTCATGTTGCAAACGTGCGAATTGATCAAACTGAAGTCCACTTGTTGAGCTATCAGTTTCAGGTTCGACATCATAATCAACAAAAATCTGAAGGTATTCGTTATCATGCAGATTAAGCTCTTTGGTGCGGTAAGTACGAGATTCCTCAAGCGCTTGTTCTGCCTTTGCTTCAGCAAGACGCTGATTGTAAGCCGAGAACTGAGAAATAATTACGTTCAAAGATTTCAATGTATCGCTATCGGTTGCCAACCTAGAAGGCAATTGTAACTGCTTCATAAAGTACAGCAAGAGTTGAAGCTTTAGAATAGGGCTGACATCAAGGGTATCACAAATTGAAATTACATTTTCAACTTTAAGATAACTAACACCTTTGCTGATAACTTCTGGAAGAAGTAACAAGGTGAATAGCTCGTTAACATCTTTTGAATTGGGATCCAATGTCTCATTGATCGAAGAACACAATACTTGCAGGCCAAAAATACCGAAGCTCAACATAGAAGTCATGAACGCAGTGAGGTCAGTATATTGAGGATACAGCTCAGTAATCCGCATAGCATAATGAATCCATTTAGAGTTAAAAGAGTACGTTTCTTCAATAACTTCCTTTGATGGCTTCGAAACGAGAGAGATTGCAAGCGAATGTGCCTTTTCTGTACGAACGATAGAGCTAGAAAGGAAATTAAGTTCATCAAAAAAGTGATTGCTTGACAGGTCAGATGAGCGGAATACATTGGACGAAACGTTATCACAAAACAAGTCTTTTTTCTGATGCTCAAGCTTAAAAATTAGCGGACTCGTATCAGAACCAGTATTGGCAGATTCCAATACTTTCTCAGTCAAAGTTTGAATTTCAAGTTGATGAGAAAGATATTTTTTAAGTTCACCCTGCACCAAAGGACGCAAGGCAGGATCATAGGGTTTATCAGGAACATATGCCCATAGCATAAATTGGGAAAACTTAACGAACGCTAATCCCTGATAATTAAGCTTGTGGTTGGGATCAGTTTCAGTTAAAGAAGACCGTAAACTCTCAAGTGTTTCCAAAAGGAAATGTGCGGGGCCCTGAAACTCTTTCACAGCCTCAGAGAGGGTGCTGTGCATAGTGTTGATAACTTCAAGCAACGTTTTGTCCGAAGTAGCAGAATTTTGTGATGCACAAAGTTGCACGAGATCTTGGAACGACTGAGGCTTTAAGAAATTCTTCACCACGGTAATAGCAAAGACATAGCGCTGCAGCAAAACCGTACTTAACTTTCTTGTGAAATCTGCAACAATGGACTTTGACCGTTTCGTTATGTGGTATAATAAGGTATCTTTAATGTCTCTGTATACTGTATAATTTGTAATAGAGGCATTGTCCGACAGGTAAGAAAACGCCTTAAAAAAAGATTGGAACATACTTCCAGATCGAATAACAGCAGTATCAATGGAGAATAAATTGCAATAAAGCGGGTTAGAATCTCTGTTAACAATAAATTGCAAAAGATCCATGGGGTCATCAAGATACATCGAAGCGCCAACAAGATATTCATGAGTTGACTCTACAAAGTTACTGATATTGTTTGAAAAAATATCAAACAAATCCAAAGAAATCAGTGTCTTGAAAGCCTTTTGAACGGGTTCAGGCAGTTGTGCTTTCTGAATGTCTTTGAGGGATATAACACCCTCATCCAACTTAGTGAAAAATGAATCAAAGTCAACTGAGCCATCATCATTAAGTATAGATTTTCCAACGGACAAAGCAGCTTGGACGACTTTGACAGCGTTCTTCTCAGAAGAAAGCGAAGGAAAATTCGCCGACATGTAGGAAATGAGTGTCATGTGAAGTCTTGTCCATAGTTTCCAAGATTCCAAACTTAAGGGAACCATAGGATGAAATTCATCCCATAGCGTTTGAACATAAACACCAGTTTCTAAATTGATTGACAAAGAAAACTGTTTGATGGCTTGTGAAGGGACATTGAAACGACTCGTAAGTCCCATGCTTTCAGCCTCGTTTAGCCATCCATTTAGCATAAATGAGTATACAAAAAGTCGACTGCGATCGATTGTCGCAACATCAGTCCAAATAAAAGTAAGATTCCAGAGATGTGTTAATTTAATCAAGTGTTGGATTTCAAAACTTTTACTCTCAAGCAACAAATCCCCAGTGAAGACGGAGCTGAGAAATTCTGCCAAAGCTGAAAGAAGTGTCCAAAGACTAGAAGGTGAATCCTTGTAAGACGGTAATCCATTCATGTATGCGAAAGCACTCCTCCGAAGGTAGGATTGTGATTCGGATGTTGCTGATTTAACATTAGTATAACGTACAAAAACTGAATAGGCGTAGAAGTACAGCATCCGTGCACCATTCAATGTCTGGAGTGAATGGCGCATTCTTTCAACCGATTCAGCGTCATTCCATCTTTGAATTTCGTTGGTGACACTAACGGGATCCGAATAGTATATAATGTCAGCTTCCGAGACCGTTGAAATAATACTATTAAAACGCGAAAACGTTGAAAGTTCGAATCGCTTATAGGAATCCAAGTCAGCAATCGATTTCATATGCTCAACAATTGGAGAATTTGTTAAGTCGCCATACTGCGCTAATACTAAAGTTAGCACAGAAAAATCTGAATGCGAAAGATGGCTAAAGAAAGTTGCCAATATCGGCGCACTGTCCTCAATCGATCCAAAATTTGAGATAAGTTGTTGGATTGTGTAAAGCATAAGTGACCGACTCGAGGCTTCAGCATCAACTGGAGAAACAACTGGGGATGGCGAAGTTAATTGAAGTTGAGTTTTGTCCCTCAACGTAAGCTCGGCATTATCAACATATATCTCGACACCTCGATTACGCATAGCACGAGAGAGCTCACCATTAGCAGGGTCGACAGTAATGAACAATCGAAAGTTAGGATGAGGTGGAATAATTAAAGGCTGACCGTCTTCGAGCGTGCGTTCATTCACAATTAGTACACCTTCATACTCTAGTAGCGAATTTAAACGATCGAGAACCGAAGGACTGCATAGATTAGCATTATCCAAAACCAGCCAATAACCCAATTCAACAGCCTTTAATAAGAAACCGTCAACCCATTCAAAATTGCTTGACGAGCTCGTTGAAGCTAAGCTTAGGAGCTGCGCGCCCTTCTTAGAAAGTGTACCGAAAACAGATGAGTATCTGGATAAAGTATCCAACAAGGGAATCACCAAAGAGAGTGTGTTTATAGCAACAGCCAAACTGCCAGCATTAGATGTTAATAATGAGTTTAGTTTTTGAATGACCGAATTATCAGAGGACTCGCCACTTTCGAATAAACAATTAAGTACGGCATCAAAAGCGACGTTGAAAAAGTCCGATATTTTTCGAATGTAATCAACTTGCTCAAATTCACCCAGAAGATCCATTGTGTCAGTCTCGCTATTAATAGCCATCTCTCTTAGTTCTGCTCCGGATATAGAAGCAAGTAAGCGTATTAATGAAGTTTTCCCCGAACCAGTGGGTCCAGTCAAAATGCAAGGCCATTTCTGGTTGACGCATGTAATTATAGACTCAATTACAGAATACTGATTCTGCAAAAGAGATGACTCGAGAGCATTCGTTCGCTGGCGAAATTGATCACGCTCTAAAACAGAATGTCCAACTTTCAAGTGAGAAGGAGTTAAGGTAACATAAATGGGACGCTTGGGAAGCTCCATGTCGAAAACTTTTGCAAATAAGCTTTTAGCATAATCTCTATCCGCTTGTGACCGGAAACAGTTTAATACTAAAACGTCCAAAAATTCGTATGGTGGATACAAATTACCCAAAGACGAATTCGACAATAGTTGGAAGCATCTCATAGCATCACGAAGATTAAACTCCCATGGCCGACCTGATGCTCCAAATGAGGAGGTTGGCGAGGAAACAGCAGCTTCAAGTTCAAATATATAACGAATAATCTTTTCACATAATTCCGGCTCAAGTTTTGGGTATCTTTGTCTTGCAATCATGAGCATGTCATCTTGCTTCAATGATTCCACATAAACAACAGTAAATCTATTTACAAAAGAACGCGGCAAACCTTTGCGTCCACCACCCTGCTGATGCGGATTTTGAGCAGCAAAAACGCGGAATTCAGGGTGGGACGAAAATGTTTGATTAAGTTCTGGAACAAAAACTTCTCCACGATGATCGAGACAAGAGTTCAGTCCCTCTAGTACAGTTTGTGAAGCAAGGTTAAGTTCATCCAACAAAACCCAGTAACCAGATTCCATAGCGGTTAGAAATGGTGCATTTCTCCATTTAAATTCACCGCTACTTCCACCTTCGACAGGAACGTCAGAACCGAACAAGTCCATCAGATCGGTTTGCTCGGACATGTTGATACGAATTAGCTTGTGACCGGAAATACGAGACAAAGCTGTGATGAGACTAGTCTTGCCAACACCTGGGCTGCCTTCAAGCAAAATAGGCTTTCGGATTTGGAGAGCGCGCATTACTTTATAGGCATTTACACAAGTTGTCGCAGTACCAAGACTAAATTCGGAATCCGGGTCAACAAAAGGACCCGTTGGCAATGAAAACTCGCTAATTTCCACAAGTTCTTTATTACTTTTAAGGACCGGTTTCCTTTCATAATACAAAAAGGCATCAAAATTGCCGAACTCGGATATCTTCTTAACACACATACGTCTTTGTTCATCCAAGTGAGAAGCAGTTGACGAAATAGTGTTTGTGCTGATAGCGCCGAGAGCATCAATAAAAACCATTGAGATACTGTGATACAGTAAGGCGTCCGAATCTGTTGATGGTGCATTGTTAATAAAATTAACAGCGGAAAGTACATCACGGATTGAGATAATTGATCCATCGTGATGAACACGGTATTCTTCACTATGCCATTGAGCATAACGCACTAAGGGAAGTGCCAATGGCTTATACTCGGACTTCAGTTTTTGTTCAACGATGAGTAATATATCTTCAAAGTTGGTCATTGGAGGAACCCAAATTTCAGTAAATCTGTTTCGCAAAGCCGGTGAAAGTTCCTTTTTGCCAAAATCACCACCGGGGTTCATGGTCGCAAAAAATGAAAATCTATCATCGGCTTTTAGTGTTTGCACTGAATCACCATACTCAATCAATGTAAGTGTGCGTCCAATCTCGAGAACACTATTCAGTCGTTCAAGTACTGAATCATCGGCCAAACTAATTTCATCCAACAAAAAGAAGTCACCATTTTTCATAGCAGTAATCAGCGCACCATCTTGCCATTCAAAAAGTGCTTTATGTTTCTTAATCTTCTGCTTGATTGAGCTGCACACGGCAGCATCACTGTGTTTTGGAAGCGATTCAAAATCCCGAATCAACGCATCCAACGAAGCAGTTTCATCAGCTTTAAGGTAAGTTTGAAGTTCACTAAGTAGCTCCTTGCTATTTGCAGAACGATTCCGCACTGGACGAAGTGCACCAATAATATCACCATTTTCTGTATCCTGATGTGCGTTAACAATTCGAAGTACGTTGCCGAGCGCCGCAGCAAGCACTTGGCAAACAGTCGTCTTTCCACAACCAGTATCACCAACGAGGAGAACCGGTTCCTTGTTCTTTACACAAGAATAAACAAGGAAAAACAGGCGTTGCATGGCTTTAGTCCATACGACAGATGACAAAGGACCATTATTCCAATCCAAACATTTTAGTTCCTCAAAATGAGATATATCATACAGATGGTCAAGATCCAAACGCACTTTCATAACACTTTCAATGACATCTTTTACAGCTATCTTGTCTTGTTCATCTCTTGCTCTTTCTGCAAGGAGCATAAAGCCATTCTCGGCTAACTGCTGATAACCAACGGCTTCTCTTGATGCCCACCGAAAGAGGTCTCGAAGGGTTGCAAAAGAATTCTTCTGTTCAAAGATACGAGTTGATTGACGACGTATTGAAAGTTGACGGAAAACTTCAACAATACGCTTTGCATACGAAGGTGCTATACGACATCTTTGACAAAGAATAGTTTCGAGTTCGTTTTCCGGAATATCGGCAAAGTGGATTTCAAGAAATCTGTTTCTAAAAGCTCTAGAAAGCACTTTTCTACCACCATAGAGTCCTGGTGGGTTTTGAGTAGCAAAAAGCATAAAGTCGGGATGAGGTTTAACCACTTCCTGCGTTTCAGCAATAAACAATTCACGATTGTCATCCAACAATCTGTTTAAGGCTTCGAGAACGTCGGTGGGAGCGAGATTAAGCTCATCCAAAACAACCCAATAACCGTTGCGGAGAGCCTCAACAAGTACACCCTCTTTAAAAACTAATGAACCCTTTTCATCAGTAACATAAGAGCCGATATACTCCTGAAGATCAGTATGTTCATGATTGTTGATGCGCACAAACTTATTACCGGTTTTACCAGCGACATATTCAATCATACTTGTTTTTCCGCTAGAAGTGGGACCCTCAATAAGGATGGGAAACTTTCTTGTGGCACAAGCACGAATTAAATTCAATAAGTTCTTCTTAATAAAAGGCGTGATAATATAGTGCGGTTGTTCAACAATGGAAGAACGACCCTTACGCAACCAGTAGTGATAAAACTGGACATAATTATCGCCCATAGGTCTTTTCGATACTTGGTTGATGAGAGCCGATGCGTTTGGAAGCTTCCCAATGGTATATTTTACAGCCAAGGTGTGCAAAAGATCTTCACTTTTTTCATCTAGCAAAGTCAAAAAAGACATGCAAAAGCCCTCGTAGAGAGAATAACGCAATCCAAAAATGGAAGCAATCTGTGAAGCGAACGTCAGAGTGCGAGTGAGTGTACGTACGGTGTAGTGAGGCTTCTGACCGGAACCGTCAACTAAGTTTCCTTCACCAGTTAGCCGCTTTGATGCCTGGTAAAACTCAGCGACATCTCGAAGTACATGCTCATCACCAGCACAAAGTGGGCCAATGTACTTCGCAATAATAGCAAGAAGGTCATTAAGTCGTGTATCGGGGGAACGAACGTATATCTCTGTAAACCGAGATCTTAACGAAGGTTCAAGTTCACGTTTACCAACATCGGTTGAAGGATTCATACAACCGATAATGCGAAAGTTTTTATGGGGTTTGATAGTAGTTAAATCACCTCTTTCAGTAAGAAGAATACCAGAATCATAACCACTTAAAAGCTGCGTAATAGACTCTAGGGTGTCGGCAGACGCCAGATTAATCTCATCAAGTAAGAGCCAGTGGCCTGAGCGCACTGCCTTCACCAGAGCACCTTCGATAAAGGAAAACATAAAACCCTTTCCAAAACTGTCAAACTTTGACATAAAAGAGATCACCTTTTGCTCAAACTTCGTCCACATTTCCGTAAGATCTAGCAAGGAAACATTCTTTCGCCTGCGCTTTGAAATCCGGTCAGAATTATCAGGGCTTAATATCTTACGAGAAAGCTGTATTGCTTCTTTCCAAAACTTTACACAGTTTTTCCACTTGAAGCGACGTGCGGCATCAGACGCGGCGGTAATAAATTTTGTGTTCTTCTTGGAACTGAATGTCGTTTCGAATAAACGTAGAAATTCTTCGTGCAATGGAATACCCAACGTGTTAAGATTGACAGGCTTAAAACCACCAAGCATGTCGGAGGCTTCCGTTTGTTGAGACATATTGATTACCGTAACCTTCTGTCCTAACAACGATGCAAGAAGTTGAACCGTCGTTGTTTTACCCGTACCTGTTTCACCAACAAGTAGCAAAGGTTCACAAGAACGAACGGCCGCGGAGAGCTGCTCCAAAAGTGATAGGGCCAAACTAGTGAAAGCAAATGTGGACTTGTTAGAAGAGGCACCCTTGGAAAATTTGGGCAAGAGCACGCGACCAATACGCAACTGTTCAGCAGACTCATTCAACTTCGGCGTGTGTGTTTCCATTTGTTGAACTTTTTCAGGCGATGCATTTAGTTCAAAACCAACCCTTTGATAAGCAGCGATACGGCCTTGCTCAGTTGGAATAAAAGCACCAAAGACATCCAGAGCTTCACAAAGGATAGCTTCTTCAAGATCAACGGGAATTTTATGATTAAGCGAGGTTATACCATATTGAGCATATAAAGCATCTGTACGCTTAACAAACTTGTAAAAATCCCGCAAACTAATACGTCGGAAAACCTTTGCTACTGACAAGAAACCACGTTGAGAAAAAAGGTCAACGACAGACTTGTAAACGGTGAAGAGATGTGGTGCTACCACTTGCAATCTGGGATAAACTTCAGATACAATGGAAACTGATTCGTCAACATCAAATTCGAAATTAAGATGAGACCATAAACGGAAGCCCAAGCCAGATTTCCTGGCGAGTGTAGACGTTGCCAGGATCTGGAAACTATTTTTCGCGTAGATAACTTCACCACGAGAAGGAATAAGGAGTTGGCGCTTTTCTAAAAGGGGAAGAAGAACACCCAATATTTCGTTTGGTGCGTGATCAATATTCGTAAATAAAACCCATTTTCCATTTTTTACAGCTTGAGTCAAAATACCCGGTTGCCAGTCGAACTTTCCTGGCTCTGGTGAAACATAAGTTCCTATGAGCATTTTGGCATCCGTAGACTCACTCAAGTGAATTCGAACCACACTTTGACCGAGCTTAGCGCCGACTTGAGTGAGGAAATAGGTTTTGCCCATTCCTTCTGGACCAGCCAGCATGATGGGCTTTTTGTGCAGGAGGAGAGGTGCAATTTGTCTCAAATTCTGTTGCGCACATTCTGTCAGCACAAGATTGGAGGGAAGAGGTTCAGAAGGACAAAAGAACAGTTCACCTCCTAAAGAATGAAGGTATTTGTCCAATTCCGACAGACCGGCACTTTTTATAAGCTCACGCAAATGAGATTCATTTTGCTCCGGGGTACGTTGACTGGCGATCTTATGAATTTTAGCAATTCGTACATCCTCGAGCAACAAAACTTCATTGTAAGTTTTAAGCTCTCCGCAATAGTCAATTTTTACAGATGAACGCGCCTTTTCAGCGCCATGAAGATACAGAAGATCATTATCGACTACTGACCATGGACGATGTAATCTTAGGCGTTGTAGGACGGAAACAGGGGTATAACCAACGTAGTCCAAAATATCATATATTTGTGGAAACACTGGAACCCACTCTATGAATTCCTCCATTTCAACCTTTTCACCGCGACTTGGTCGTGGATGAAGGAAAAAAAGCTAACTGATGGTGGTAGTAACCACTTTGCCGTAGGCACCACCATGCTCAGATTTGGTGTAGTGTTTTGGAGGAGAGGAAATAATTGAGTACAGTATGAAGCAACGCAATTTATGAAATAGCAGAGGTTTTTTTGGAATCGTAGGATACTTCCTCTCGAACGATCAATTTGTAGAGGTGTAATCATCAAGGTAATATAGCCGATTGATCAAGTCTAAAATAGTTAACGATATTTCAAGTCAAAAGAAAGAGAGCTATCAAATACCGAAAGTTTCTAAAAAGCAATTCTGGTTGACTTGGTCCCTATACTGCTACTCTATAAACTTAAATGTCTTCAATTGTAGAACAAGATGGTCAGAAGCAGCTTGACAACTATGTCAAACAACAGCTGCGGTTTATTGAAGATTCAGAAAAACAAGAACTTGAAGAAGTCGAACAACGAGTCAAGACGCTTTCTCCCGGGACATTACAAAACAATGGACTAGCTTTATTGAACATGAGAATTGCTTCGGGTCGTACTGGTCTTGGCGGAAAAATGTTTGATTGATAAAAACTTTAGGGCTTAAGCTAATAATTAACTGAATAGGATTTTGGAGCTCGAAAGAGATGCGGGTTTTTGCAGCATTCCAGCACTTCCAGCTCATTCTTTTGGTACGGGTGATGTAGTTCGGATTCAAGAATCTGGTGCATCTAAAAGTCTGAATTCCGCAGACTCTTCGATTTCTTGGGACGCAGTAGTCGTTCGAGTGCGTGAGAACACTATTAGTCTTGCCTTGGAAAATGACGATAAAATTCCTGACGGTCGAAAGCGACTATGGATTTTCAAGCTGGCGAACAGAGTCACCTTTGAGAAAATGAGATCCTGTATTCAGCAGCTTTCTAAGATATCCCTAGAATCGAGCACTCCTTTGGTTTCTGTTCTTTTAGGAATGCGTAAATCAACGCTTGCAAGCGAAGAACTCGCCTTAACGTATTATAACACAGACCTCAATGAGAGTCAGAAAAAAGCAGTTTCATTTGCAGTCTCTGCACCCGAACTCGCGCTAATCCATGGCCCTCCTGGAACGGGAAAGACGCATACACTTGTGGAGGTTGTTCGACAGTTTGCAAAGTTAGGACAGCGTGTCCTCGTTTGCGGTCCCTCAAACTTGTCAGTAGACAATCTCGTAGAGCGATTGGCTCCGTGTGGTATACCAATGGTGCGACTCGGTCACCCAGCTCGGTTGCTGCCGGGAGTCGTCAATTACTCTTTAGCCTACTTAAGCCGTACGGGAAACGCCGGTGAAGTTTTGCGTGCTATCAGTCAGGACGCTGATGCGTTGCATGCAAAGATATCAAAAACAAAAAGCGGAAGGGAGAAACGTGAGATTTACAAGTCCATTCGCGCGCTTAACAAGGACTATAAAAAATACGAAGACAAAGTCGTTCGTGACATTATCGCAAGAAGTCAAGTAGTGTTTGCAACGTTGCATGGAGCTGGCTCAAAACTTTTATCTCACAAACAGTTTGATGTAGTAATTATTGATGAAGCCTCGCAAGCTCTTGAAGCGCAGTGTTGGATTCCGTTGTTACAAACAAAAAAGGCTATTTTGGCGGGTGATCACCATCAGCTACCTCCAAATGTTCGCACAAAAGGAAGATATGTTTCGTTGTTTGAGAGTCTTCTTTCACGCTACGGTCCGCGAGTAAAGCGGTTTCTGAACGTGCAATATCGCATGCATGAAGTAATTAGTGCATTTTCGTCCAAGTCTTTTTATGAGGGACAACTGAAGCCCGATTCTTCAGTGAAAGATCGTTTGCTGAAAGACTTGTCCGGTGTCGAAGATACCGACTTGACAAATGATGCGCTCTATTTTTACGACACGATGCATGAATATTTTGAGGATGAGAATTCCGTGTCAGAAAAATCTGTTCTTCTGCAAATGAGCAAAAGCAATCAGTGGGAAGCAAAAATTGTTTGTAACCACGCAGCTTCCCTTGTTGACGCAGGCCTGAATCCTTCTGAAATTGCTATCATCACACCCTACAATGCCCAGGTACGAAAGTTAATTTTCTTCGGTACTAACTCATGCACTTAGGCTACACTTCTCCGTAATCTGTTGCATGAACGCAATTTGGCCATTGAAGTTGGTAGCATTGATTCGGTGCAAGGACGTGAGAAAGAGGCGATTATCTTTTCTCTGGTTCGCAGTAACGATGAAAGAGAAATTGGTTTTATGTCTGAAAAACGTAGATTGAATGGTATGTTTCAGAGCGACCGATATGCTTCGCTTCTCTTGATGAGTTGGCTGAAGGCTATGAAAGAGCTATACTGTCTGGTACTAACTGGTTTAGTTGCTATTACGAGAGCGAAACGGCATCTGTGTGTTGTCGGCGATGCTATGACTGTGAGGAACGGAAGTGACTTTCTCAAATCGTGGATTGACTATATGGAAGAAAATGCCATTGTACTGGCGCCGACTGAGGATGATCTGAAATAGACATGATGATACTCTGGGAATACTATTGTGATGATCTTACGAAAACAGTATAAATGTCATCAAAAAAAGGTAGATACATCAAATGCAACGAGTGCAGTAAGTTCGAAATATGTCACTTGTTACTAATAATACTACTGTTACTACTGTTACCACATCCATGTATTTCTACTATTACTACCATTACTACTACTACCATTACTATTACTACCATTACTATTACTACCATTACTACTACTACCATTACTACTACTACCATTACTACTACTACCGCTGCTGATACTACATCCACTAAACCATTCCTCCCACTCTCCACCGTTCCCCGCTTGTTTCCGCCATCCTTGTCGGCACTTCCTTCTCCCTCGCTACCCTTGTTACCGAGCATCATGGAACAACGCTATTCCCGATAGCGTCGTAGGGGTGTTACAGTCAGCATAGTTAGCTTAATAGCTATCAATCTTATCGCAGCTTCCAAGTTCGCGGAAGATGATGAAAGACGACGGTCAAGTAACGAACGATTGGCTCATCATTAGTCATCCTCGCTGCTGAGGTAGCAAATATCAAGAAGCTTAGATTGCTCATTGCTTCCTCTTAATTATCCTTCAAGACGCTTACGCGTTTCTACCAACTGCAATTCACCTCAGATAGCACTACAACATTCTAAATGGGCTGTTCGAAGCATGTCATTCTGTGTACTGGAGACGTTACGAAGGAGCTAAGAAGTGGAATTTGGAATGCTACTTATAAAAAATCCAATTTGGAGGTACGAAGCAAGAACGTGAACAATTGCGTCTCATTGGGGTGAAAAGCGACTTTGGTTGGAGGTTTTTTTTGAGTTTGCAGTTCTGACAGAATTAGTTGGTGAAATCGCTGGCCAGTGCAAGATTGACTGCCAGAAACGATGTTTTGGACGTTCCTGTTGAAGGATTGACAGTGTTTGCACCTGAAAACGAAGCGTTTACAACACCTAAGGATCTTTCAGACTCCTATGAAGTTTACGGTAAGAGAAGGGAGGAATGAATGAATGGAAACAGCAGCACAATGTTGTATCGTGGCCTTTATTCTACGCGTTTTTGGGACTGTTCTTCTAACAAAAGTTAGTGAAACTTTTCTTTCTGGATGACGGAAAGATTGACTTGAATGAACGCAAAAAAACAATTGATGAGGTCTTTGAAGCTCTTAAAGCAGTGTTAAAAATCGATCATGTGACGACTCTGATTGCTTCATTCCCTCACATTTCATTCACACATGACAGTGTCTGTGTCTCTCATGACAAAACATACGCGAGTTTCAAGGAAGTGTCTCCTGAGGAGCGTCAGTCTTGGGTTGATACTTGGAAGGTATGTGAAGTCCGACAAACTCTAAACAGCTATTTGCTTTTGTTGCGGTCTTTTGCTCACACATGACTTAGTTGTTGGAGGAAAAGGTGAAGGCGAAAAAGGTGGACGAGCTGAGTGTGAGTGAGTTTGGAGTGCAAGAATTGCAGTACCTCCTTCCTCGTGTCTCTATACGCCCTGCTTCCACGCAGGTGAATGTTGGCAGCATGGTGAAGTTGCCCCGCGAACTCGTGGAGTATGCAGAAGCTGAACACATTAAGCTATTCATCCATGCAGACTGCTCTTGTTTATTGAACAGTGATGAGATTACATCGTTCGTGCAGAGCGCATGTCCAACAGACGAAAAGAGGCCCGTTCACGCCAAGTGGGTTTGTCGTTACACCGTGTTGTCTAAGACAACCTCAGTTATAGATCAGAAGGGGTGAGTGTTTTGTCTGAGGAACTGTCTCTCATTATGCTAACTAATTGACAGATACTTTGTTTCCGGTGAAACTGAGTAAATATTTGAAAGAAATTCTTAATACGAGCAGTGAACGGTTGCTGGTGATTAAAAGCTCATATACGGGAGTGAAAATCTGTTTTGCATAACGCTCAATTCCATACACCCAAGACCACCTCGCCATCTCCCCTGTTCAGGCGGTATTATGTCTATTGTGCCCAAAACCTTGCTACCATCTACAAAAAAATATCGTACATTACTCGCCCTCACTTGGACGCTGTCGGACTCCACCGAATATGACGGCAGTACTGATCAGGAGGCACAAACTTCCACCGGCTGTTGGGAGCCCAGTTATAATTCGTGGGAGGTAGTACTAAGTCTAGTGAGGTTACCCGCTCAGTTCGTTCATTATCGTCTGGTGAGTTTGTAAAATAACATGGTTCGTTGCTCGAACCCAACGAATGACTCCAAACAATTGCGGTCTCGTTTCGCAACTGGAAGCCCTGCATAGCAGATTGCCGTACACGGAGATCACGACCAAAGTACTTTCGAACAGCAGGATGCAGTGCGAGTAGGGAAACCCATATTAGGAGAGGCAAGTACCGGTCTATTGTAATTCTCAAAGACGCAAGCAGGAACACTGAGCAAACACCAGCAAAGACGATTGATGAAATTATCTTTGGAGAAACATAATGACACCAGTTCTCTCGAAAAGCGACCATCTTGTCGTATATGTCGCAATACAGGGTCATGGAATTCTGCAAATCCCGGAGATTGCTGGTGAAGTCACGTTTCAGATTATTTGGCATCATAGTAATAACACATACGAACAAAATAAGACCAATAGTCAGCGGATATAATGAGAATAGTGTGAGTGTCAAGCCCAGACAAATCGACTTTCCTGGATCCGCCCACGTTGCTGCTTGAACAATTTCATCGCGGATGATAAAGACGAACGCAATACGCGTAGCAAATCGTATAGAACTCTGTGAAAGGATAAATGGTGAAAGTTCACTATTTGGTGTGGTATGAAGAAGAGAGGTAGCCTGTTTCTTCATATGTATAACTAGAAGACGATAACAACCAGCGTAGTTCTAATCGAAAGCGTCGAGCTCGTTGACTCATTTACACAAGTCGAAACGAACTTGGATTATTTGAACTAGGGAAATGACGTAATGGTGGTGGAGAATGGTTAGTGAGGTATGAAAGGTGGAAGGAGTGAGGAGGAGGGGCACTGTAGCTGCGACTCGTTTAGATAAGTTTAAAAAATTTATTCGTGAAGGAGAAGCAGCGAGATGAGGGCAATCTCTGTTTAAGACACACTTTTGTTATCCCGATTTACGGGTATGCAGCCTTGATATTTGACGTACACACTAGGTCGAGCTAGCTTTTTTGTTTGTTTATTTGTTTTTCTGTTGTTAAAGTGCACGGGAGTACTGACTTTAAACACTATGTTATATGTCGTATCTTAGATAACCTTAAGCTAAAATGCGAAAGGTTTGTGCTAAATGCATTCGCATTCATCACGATGAATGGTTAATAGAAGCTTTAAGCCGTTAATTCATACGAAACCGAATTATAACGGCCGACACAGGAGCCGTCCATATATTACACATGGAGTAAAATAATCTTCATAACTGGGATTCCCCATTGGCAGTTTGGCGAACACCCTGAGAGCTTGTCGCTTTGAAACAAACCTACCACAGTACGATAGAGAAATATTCCCTTAAAATTGGCTGTAGTACTGCTGGGACCTAATCGCTGGTCTTTTTTGTTGCGCGTCATAAATCATCTATTTCTATTGCATGCACTACTCCGTTTTGCGGTAAAGAGCCGTGGTACTGGCTTGACAGGAAGGAACAATTGATGCTTCTGCAAGAACAACGTTTTCTCTGCGGGTAATGCCGAAAACGATAAGTTCACCAACGTCTTGTCCTGTCAAAGGATCGCAACCTTCGTAAAGTTTATCAGCAAAGGCCTTGTCGCCATGTACACGAACTGTGTTGAACTCGGTCAAAACCATTCCAGGGTCAATTTCCAAGACACGAATGCGGGTATCAATGGTTTCCCGTCGTACAGCAGAGGTGAACATGCTTACAGCTGCCTTGGTACAGCAGTAGACAGAGCCACGGGGATAACACTCTTGGCTGCCAATGCTGCTAACGTTGACGATGTCTCCGCGACCACCGTTTTTGTAAAAGATGCGGATAACGGCCTTGGTCATTGCAATGAGACCGACAACATTTGTGTTAACCATCGTCATAGTCTCTTGCATGTCCAAATCACGAACGAAGTTTATACCCAAAGCAAGACCAGCATTGTTGATCAAGACATCAATGTTAGCAAACTCTTCAGGAAGAGAAGCAATTGTGGACTCTACTTCTTTAACATTCGACACATCGAGCTTCAGAGGAAGAACCTTGACGCCTTCATATTTTGACTCCAATTCAGCCTTCAGTTCCTCAAGCACAGCGACGCGACGAGCGGTTAAAATCAACTTTGCTTTGCCTGTCTTGGCAATTTCAATGGCAGTAGCCTTACCAATGCCGGCGGATGCACCGGTAATCAAAATAGTCTTTCCGTCCAATTTGCTCATCGTGACGAGTTTGTTGTAAGCTACCAAAAAGAATTATCAGCAATTAAAAAAAAAGAAAAAAAAGGTGACACTTGAGAAACAGTGATGAGATATTTACATAGTGTGTGTTTTAATATTGTTTATATAGTCTTATCCCGGCAGAATAATTGATGTTATTACCGAAGTCAGGGCAAATTTTACCTATTAGTAAGCCGGTTCAATGGCTAACCTGCTTATTCAGCAAATGCCGTGATGATTTAAATGCGTTTTTACTTTGTAAACCAACAATTAGATACAGCTAAAATGTCTAAGTAATCGCTAAACGAAAACCTATGTGATTTCAATACATAAATTTTTAAATTACATTTTTATAACAATTTATTCATAACGATGTATTCAACATGAAGCGAAAGTCCATAATTGAATATAAAGGCTCATGGAATTTGCTGTCCTGCGAAGCTTGTAAAGAACTGTTTTAACCAATAGTCAATTTAAATGAAATATACAGATGCCAAATTGTGATTGTTTTCAATTTTAATTACATAGTAATATGTTACGGGAGGGCAGGGTTTGAATTAGCACCATTCAGATTTGACGTAAATGATTAGGAGTATAGCAGTAGAACCTGTACTAACATTATAATGTGAATCTCGTATAGCTTTTCTAACAAAAATTCATAAACACCGTAAACGAAATTACGCACAACGATGCTCGTAAAAAAAAACAATTTTTTTCTGTCTGCTGTCATTTCCTTCGTTGCTGCAAAGAAGCAAAAACCGAATAAATTGTCTAATAAATGAGCCAGAAAAACCAATGTTAGTAACAAGATAAATAATGTATTAAAAAGTACCAGAGAGAAAGGGAAATCGTTTATTACTCTAGCAAGCAAATTTTAGCATATTATTCATCACTTAGTTCTCCTCTCAGCTCTTGTTTTGTTTTTCCCTATTCTAGTCCGACAGGCGCATTCCACCCCTCCACAGCTTTTTGACAGAATTCTTCCAATTTGAGTATTATTGAGAAAAGTTCTAGTGTATCCATGTAAAACCATTCATTATCTGTTCTGAATGAAGTCCTCAGGCATATTGTTTCGTTTTACAGATGTAATGAAGCGTACATCCCATACACGAGTTCAGTTACGATGCTTCTATTGTAATAAGAAGGCAAAAATCAATGCTGTTCTCCCCGTACGAGAATGGACATGTCCCCTTTGTGAAGCAACAAATCGTCTTGATGAAAATGGGGAAATTGTGGATTACGTTCCTCCTCTTACCTCTGAATTAAATGAAACGGATCCAGGAAATGACAACGAAACCAAGACAAATGAAATAAACTCTCCATTTTGTTGGAAATGCCAAAGAAATCAGCAACTGTATATCCAAGCTATGGCATCGTACCTCCCTGAATCTTCTCATCCAGACTACGCTGCGTATGAGGCTGCATTTCCTCAGTATAAGGAGTCGCTGCTTCGTCGATTCCCTATCGTCTGTAAAAAATGTGAAAAGCCTGTTGAAGAACAAATTGCGAAAAATAACTATCGAGCGAAATACCAAACTCTTGGTTATTGGCTTAAGACCTCAAAAAACTTGCTTCAAAAAGAGCCACTGAGAACTACCTCGATTGCTGCTAAGACATTGTGGATGGCTCGTGGTTGTGGTTTCGTCCTATTTCACATCTATCTTTTCTGTTGGTTTTATTCGCATTCGTTTTTCCCATTATACCTAGGCCTTTCACCTGCCTCTCGTTTCCCGAAACTCTTTTGTTCAGCTACAATCAGAAAAACTGTCTTGTTTAGCATTTTCCTTGTTTTTTGGAACCCATTCTGGCTCAAGTGCCAACGTGATCCCTCATTAAAACTGGTTGGCCAAGCTCAGTATATCTGTTGCCAGTTTTTTGTGTATGTCTTTCGGTTGGTATTGCTATATGGGTGTTTTTATGAAGATGGATCCCCTCGTTTCCCATTACCAGAAAACGCAATACCATCTTTATACACTCTAACCCTTGTTCTCAACTTCCTCTTCCTTTTACTATGTATGTCATGTTTAAAACTGCAATCACCTCCAACAATTCGTCTGTCAGAAAAGAGCAGCAGTGGCTCGTCTCTTAAAACGGCCAAAACGCAGACGGTACCGAAATCTTCATCGAAAACGTCTGAATCCGTGCTTCTTAGTGATGCACTTCCTTCTGTCGAAATGTCTCCCATGGAATCACTCGTACACCAAATGGCAACAGTTGTACCAGCGCCTGCCCAGGAAATGCTTGATACCGCGCCGGGGAAAACCCATGCTCACGAAACATCTCTTATCACGTCTGAGGCAAAATCACGGCCAGTGAATCCATTTCATCCGAATAAAGACATTGACATGCCTGACTACAAGAATAAGCAACGCCAACCAGATCTTCGGGAACTTAACGAGGTTGAGAAAATGTTTGCAGCATCTTTAGATTTCTCAAATGATCCTGTCGAGGTGAAGCAAGTGAAACGAGTGCTTCACTACAAACAACTTCAGCACTCCAAATGGACTTATCTTGTGTTGCTGACAAGCTTTGTCGTTCCATTAACCCTGCAATTCACATATTCCACCTGGTATCGTTCCTTGTATCTGAGATTGCTGTTCTTCTGTCCTTTACTTTTATTTGTCGTTCTTTCTCTCATGCAGCTGTTGCGTTTCTGTATTAGGAAAATGACTTGAACATATGCAAACAAAGCTTCTTTATCTATTTCTAACACATACTCATAATATGAATACTACAGTCTCTCGTTTCTACTTTATGTAACATTGTACATTTTTATTTTTTATTTTTTATTTTTTATTTTTTATTTTTTATTTTTTATTTTTTATTTTTTATTTTTTATTTTTATTTTTAATTCTGTTTGAACTTTGTATTATTTACTCAAGGTCTTTTGCTTTTATTTAAAACGCTGCTTGTCTGTTCACGTCGCATGGCGATTATGACGTTTGGGAGGAGCACAATTGCAATTGTATTTGTGACGCAATTAGCTGTAGCTCTACCAGTACAATGTCAGCAAAAATACACTCAGCGTTTATTCTACCAAACACAGAAGAATCGTGTTAAAGACGTTCTTTGGTTTTGTTTTGTTTACCGCAGCAATCAAATTCAGCCGTATAGTTAGTCAATTTATTTCCCAATGTTAAGGCCCTTCTCATTGGCAAATTGGATTCTCAAGCATCCAACACTTGCCCGGTTCTTGAATCCCATTGCTAAAATGTATGCAAACTTATCTGGCTACAAGAAGTTTGGACTTCGATATGACGATTTATTGATGGAAGAAAACGATGAAATGGAAAAAGCGCTGAAAAGATTGAACAAGAAAGAGGCCTATGACCGGATATATAGGCTCCGTAGAGCTGTTCAATGTGATATCACGAGCAGCATTCTACCAAAATCGGAATGGACCAAAGATTCGGAAGATGTACCATATGTTTCTCCACTATTGGATGAGGTTTTGCGAGAAAAGAAGGAACGCGAGGCCTTTGATGCTCTCTACGTGAGAAAACCTGGTGGAAATATAATGTAATTGGAACCTTATTTATATGTGTTTGATATACAATGATCATTCCCTTGCCCACTTTCTAAATTAGCGGTATGCATACTTGAGCTATTTTTTTTTCTACACGACGAGTGTCTATTTAAATTAACTCTCTAATGGACAGTTCGTTCATGTTCTAAGTTGTTCCTGCGACTTCTGATTTCAACGGACTTAATTTTACTATCATCATCATTATATGAACGAAAATCCAAGGGGTTTACGCAAGGTATCAGTACGATTGTTTTACGATGAAGATTGAAAAAAAAGTGATGCGTAAACATTCTATATTTTTAATGAGACAAGCATTCCTCTAGCAACACTTTCTTTCAGAAAGATTGTTCAACTCCCGCTTAAGAGTGACTCTTTGTAATTCAATTGAATCAAAGCTACCTTGACAGGCTTTGTCATTGTGTTAACTGATTTTCCGTACCTAGTGTAGGACCGAAGAATTGCATTACCAGTCTCATTGCTGAGATTATAGGGGGTTTATGTCAACATACTAACTCTACATGTTATTCGCTTTTCGTTAAATTGTGCTCTAAAAAGTATTAGTTGATATAGAGAACAACGTTTTTGAACCGAAAAACCTGGATTGAACTTTCAAATACAAAAGAATCCAACGACTATCAGCAGTTCTGCATCTTAGTACTGCAGCAACTGCTCTTCAGCACTAGATTTACCTAGCCGAAACTCTATTTCACCAAACACTGTAGTTACAAAAATTAATTATTTTTAACTACAAAACAAAACAATTAAACGAATGACTCCTATAAATTCATGCTACGAGGAGTGATGAAGAAGGTGCTTCAATCTATTGCTCTTTAACTACTTGGTCCTTTCCCTACATCTCTTCGTACGGTTTAGAATGTTAGACCCCCACATTCCGAACCCCCACAAACTCAACACCAAAAACTCACCACCAAGAAAGCCACACATACATAGTCTTTAGGACGAGACGGTACTAAGGAAGGACTCGGGGCTTTCAATATATAGGTCTTCGTAGTTAATACTGAAGCACACAACATTTCGGTCTGTTAATTTTCCGTTTCAGTGATGCACAAAATAAACCATAAAAGTCAAGAAGACAAGTCAAAGTACAGATCAGTGTTTTTTGACTATATCCGTATTGTCAAAGGTATTGTGTGGGACAAGGAAAATGAGCGCTCCCGTTACGACTTGTGGCGTCGTTTTGTTAAGCGCTGGAATGATAAGCGCATGGATGAAACTTGGTACAAGCATCCCTCCCTCAAACGCTCCCGAAATGTTGTTTTAGGACCAGCAAGACCCACACTGGATGATTTATACAAACAAGAAGAAGTTAAAAGTCGTCAACATGAAGAGCAAACGGTGGAACGGAAAACACAATTTGCTCGACGAAAGCGAGAAGAGACCGAGCTTCTAGACGAAATTGCTCCACGGGAACCGTCCGGCAGTAAACAAGCAAGCTTACAAAAGAAGAGACTGAAAAGTTATGCGAACAAAGTTTACCGCGATGAAGCGGAAGACGACCTAAATGTTGATGAAAAAAGTTTAATGGGGTCTGAAGAAACTATCCAAGAACGCATCGAACGACAAAGAATGCGACAACAGGGATTTGAGCAAAAACGTAAAATAGCCGATCTTGAAAAAATTGAGCAATTCCAAAAACGGTTACATGAAAAAGAGTTAAAGGAACAAGAAACTATAGAACATTTAAGGAAGCTTGCCCAGGAACGGTTTCAAAAACACACCACCTAATATCGTGATTACTCTTTCATATTAGCGTTACCATGTTATCTCATTGATTAGTTTATTAATCGTTCAGAACAAAAAAAAGGAACATTAAGAGATACAATCACTCACCAAAATTATCTTTACCATAAATCTCTTTGCTTGACAGGACACCAGCATTTTCATCAAGATATTTCGAAGGTGCCGTGGGAGTCTGAAGCTTGTGAATGAATGCGTGCTTAAGCGTAGAGTTTGACAGGAACGGTGTAGACTTCCCAAACATGATAGGTCTTCCTCTGTTCCTTTCAATCTGAAGGAACTCGTCAAACATTTTGATGTCTGGCTGTGAGGCTGTTTGTTGACATCTTGCGTTCATGAATTCATTCAACGCTTGCGTTTGTGCAAGACCGAATATCCAGTTACCATACTGCTTCCGTAATTTTTTTACGAATTTGTTCTGATTAAAGAAAATTCCACCTTGAATCAAAAGTTTAGGACCTTGCTTCTTCGTGGTTTTTGTCAAGAAACCTCTGTAATTCATGAGCACTCGAGTAAAAACACGCAAAAATGCAGCCTCCACCCGCTGCTGATCAAAACACGCTGGCAGACATGGAAGCACAACGTAATCCAAAAGCTCGGGTTTCACAGAAACACCGCACGATTTACAACGAAGGAAAACACCTTCCAAAATCTCTCCAGTAATTGAGCACGCAACAACATCCGGTACATTTGCACTGCCAGAATTTATTGGCAAAAATGCGTGACCTTCATGATACAGCTCTGCTGCCATTTCTGCGTCCTGCTTGGCTTGTTGCCCTGCTAATGCGTACGTGTTTAATGACATAAAGTCGGACTTGTCGGGATAAGAGCTTAGAGTAGATGCGTAGTAGGGATAAGCAGACATGGCAGAAACAGAGCGGCGGTAACGCATAGCTGATGAAGGACGAACCTCGAGAGACTGGTGAGGTGTCGCGCGTGACAAATCTTCCATGGATGGATACTCACGCACAGATGATAACGGTGTTCTTCTAATATTGAGGGAGAATCTCGGCTGTGACGGTGTAAGGTACTGTTTGTCTAAAGTTTTCGGGGGAGCAAAGGCGTTTAAAACAGGCCGGATAGGTTTGCTTTTGCATGACTTTAACGAAGAAGAATGCAGGCTTAATAGTTCAGGCACTAAGAATCGGGACGGTCTGCGTGAATGGGAAGAAGGATGCAGTGGTACAATGTGTGAAGGGTAAGACTTTTTGACATACTCCGGAACACCATACGGTACTCGAAAGTCATGATGCATAGGGACGGAAAATCGCAGGGAAGAAGCCAGTTTTGTTCTAATTAGCGGAGGAAGCCGTTCTAGGTGACCGTCAACACGCACGTTGTTAGAGTCTAAGTCACAAATCACAAGAGTGGTAGTTTCATCTGCACACAAAGCTTGTAAATGATTACAAGGTGCCTCTACTCCGATGATGTATGAACACGGTGCCTCGAGACACGAAAACAACCTTCGTGGCAACACCGGAATTAACAGCCCTTGCCATGTCAAAGGATATATAAGCTGACAAAGAGTACGAATAACGTAGCCCAGGGCAGCTGCAGTTTTTGAAACAAAAACAATTTTGCATTCCATCAGGGCAGCCTCAAACAAAGTGATAATGTTTTCAGCGCTGAGCGAACGGAATAGAGGATACATATCGATAGCATCCCAATTCTCAATCTCATTTGAAGGAGCCCGCGATGCAAACAGCTGAAGAGGTCCGCAAGTAACAGCGAACTTTTGGAGGCCTTGAGGAGGGACGGGTACTTGTTCACAAAGATTGCTGATGTGTGCTGGGATGGATAGAGCTTTAAGTCTCTCCATCAACATTGAAGACACAAACTCCAGATTGTCAAGCTGCATGCTACTGCATGTAACCTTCAGCCAATCCCGATAAAACGGTTCAAATTGAGGATACCGACTTAGGATTCCATAGGCCTGAGGGGCCCAAATACCCGTAGCATTTGTTAAGCCATGAACACTACTGGGGATGCCGTGACGAACAGGTTTTAGTAAGTCTGTGTATACAGAAATACGTTCTTCACACTGGCTAACTTCTTCAGATAAATATTGCTGATATCGCTGATCTTTGAGTGAACACTTGGACATGCGAATAAGGAGCTTGGACAATCTCGAACGTTCTGTTATGAGTTTTGTAGAAAAACTTTGTGCGAGCTCACGTTCCTCAACGGGTACATGCGTCTTGCGCCAAGTTTCACACTCTGCCTCAAACAACTTATACAATGAGTTGGATATGGGTATCCATGTGACAAGACACATACCAAAAAGACGAGTGCCATCTTGGTCTGTCAACATAAATGAATGATATGTGGACTCCGGACGAGTATCCGATTGTTGTATTTCGATATCGCTGGGGAAAGCAAACATGGGCAAAAAGTTTGGGAAGTTGCAGCGAATAGCAAAGTTAGTTTTCGCCTGACTCTTAGGGTATTTGAAAAGAAGGGATGGTGGGTATTTTCGTTTAAAAGGATGAACATGATCTGGGTATACGAGGGGTTCTGGATATGCAACATAAGCTTCATAGGCATCCAAGTTTGTATGCACGGTGCCAATGCTGACTCGTTTGTTTCGTTTATGTGACAACGAAGCGTCTCCAAGAGCAATTGAAGTGCCGCTGAAGCTTTTTCGGCTAAGAGTATGGGAGAGAAGGGTTTCGGAGTTGTTTAATTGATCCAAACTGCCGCCCGGGCTGAATGGTGGCCCATCGACAGATTGTCTACGAACACTTCTGGTTGTGTTTCGGCGTAACAGAAGTACATTCTTTCGTTCTTCCAGCACATCATCGTCGCCATCAGTGACATTCTCGTCTAACGATGCAGACGATGTCGTCGGGTTGGCACTACTCGGCTCTGTATCCTCCGATAGTTGCTCATTAACCGTCGAATGATTATCTGTAGCTGTTCGGCCTTCATCATTAACGACCTTCTCTTTGGAAAGAAGACGCTTTGATAATCCTGCGAGAAAAAAGTAATCTGTTATACCTTCCATTCCATTTATCAGTATTGTCTATTGACAATGGCTCTGTCAATAGCTGCTACTACCATAACTCCTTCAAGCAAAATTCCAGCTGCAGGAAAATACTGCACAGTGTCTTCGGCGTTCGTCCAGTAAATCCTATAGCGTTGTCTGTTTGGAGTTTTGCTTCACTGCAATGGTCAAAACACAGGTTCGGGCTGTTTGCGGGCTCAACCTTGTGACAGCAAATCCTGGTGTTGTGTTTCTACCCCACTCTTCATGTTAGTGGGATACTAATGGGGGCTTTAGTGGGATGTTATTCCACTAGGAAACGACTAAAAGTTACATTTGTAGCTCTTTCTGAGAATTCTTCGGTATCCAAACAAATGGATGTCATCCCAGTGCTAAGGAATGCGTTAGAGGTACGTCACGGTAGTTAGTTCACATGTATAGGGCCTGATTATATTATTATAAGATGTATTACCAGAAATTGAAAATACGGGCTCCAAACTATCGTCGACTAACCCTTGATTACAAAACAGGTTCGTATCGTTCCCGGAAAAGGTCGCGGCGTGTTTACACTTGCAAAAATACCATGTCAGCAATGTATCGAAATAAGTCCGGTTATCGTATTTAGCGAAGATGAATACGCAAAACACGGTCAATACACCGTTCTAAATGAATTTACGTACTTTTGGAAAGGAAAAAACCAAGCTCTCGCACTGGGATTGGGAAGCTTATTTAATCATTCACGCAATCCCAATGTTTGCTGGATAAAAGACGAGGATGCCCAGGTTATTCGATACTACACAATTCGCGACATTCAATCTGATGAGGAGCTATGTATTTCTTATGGTAATCACGTTTGGTTTGAAGAAGTCGACGAGCATGTCAATTCATCCGAACCTGAAGACGATGAGAACTTTCTGCTAGCAATCGAAAACTAAAAAGATGCAAAAAATAAAGGAAAGGCGAAAAATAGACAGTGTGATCTTTTACACAGTAATAATAAAAAGAACGAGCGAATGTGATGTGAGAGAATGTAAAGGCTATTACAAACGAGTATAACAACGAAATGGAAGATGTTTTCCATGGACACAGCAAATGCTTGAACTCCCACAGGTGACAAAATGATCAGTAAACTTAATGTTCGGATTCATTAATTGCTTTTTCTTTTTTTTTTAAAAAAATGACCCACAGGAATACCATCAAACACACTTAGTTTATCTTCGTCAAGAGAGCCAAGCATGTAAATAAGAGCCCTGGCATTCCGCGGTAAGCAAATGCACATTAATACGGCACATGACTTTAAAAATCCTTTCCAAGAACAAACTAGAGAGATAAATATCGTTAAAAGAGAGTGATGCTTGTGTTTTTCATTTTTAGGATTCTTTTATTCAAAAAGGGGAGTCAGCGGAGTCAGCAAGCCGGAAATACAGTCAAGAGGGAAGAAACAGGATTAGTAGTAACAACAGCGATACAATAATATCCAGAAAGGGAAGACATGGAATCTCATGTGTATGCCATTGTTGATGCGCGTGGAGATACCCAAGATAAAAGTCATAAAAAGAAGAGAAACAGAACGTGATTGTAAAAGAATGTGAAAGTTTTCGAAAACAAGATATCGACGAGTGAAGGAAAGATTAAAACATACAAGCGTCTTCGCAGAGAGACAAAACCCAGTGTATTCACAGAGGAACAAACTAGAGTGAGTGCAGCTTAGGAATAAGCAATCTCAAAGCAACAGGTCGTATGCGTGAGAAGAAAATGAAGGAAACACTGTATGCTGCGGAATCACACATGAGACGTTATGAAAAAGGGACGATGAAGTAACATCATTCTGGGAGAGTTTAGTACGTTGGAGCGTCAAGCGAAGAAGGCGACGGCACTTGGGAAGGTGAAGGGGTAACGGAGTTGGATGTCTGTTGCTCAACAACGGGCGCTTTAGTCTCGTTATGTTTAGGTGTAAAAACAAGCGCATCTGCCGAGTCAAGTCCATTTTGGTCAGATGTCTCGGAAGGATAAGCATAATTGTGTAGGACGGGCGACGATTGCATGCGAGACGTGTCAATCCATAAGACACTGTCATCATTAGCCGAATCTGTTTGATTGTTTTCATCGTACAAGGAAAAGTTGCACGAATCGCCTTCCTCGTCCCAGCTGCTATCGTCGTCGTCGTCATCATCATCACAGTAAAAGTCGTAACTGTATGAGCGCTGGTCAAAATGAGCGGTGGGCGGGGTGTTAGAAAAAGCGTTAGGCATTCGAGCCGCACCGCCCAAAGACATATCGCTAAAATGGGAAGTAAGTTCAGAGGTAACATCATGTGCATCGGATGCTTGGTTAGCCCGTGTCGGCTCTTTGGCGCTATGAGAACGGAACACAGCATCGCCGGCAGGGACGCGATTGTCGCTTTGATTTGGAGTAACGGTTTGCGTCAAACTCTTGCGAGTGAAATGAAACAACTTGCCGAGTTTACGACGAATGCGCTCCACGATGCTGATGGCGGAGGCAACATCTTTTGATGACACTTTTACGCGGTCCAGTGCCTTCGGATCCGTTGAATCCACCCATGTTTTGGGATCTTTAAGGCGGCGCAAAGTCCACGAATGCCTTTTTGCCTCTGCCAAGGTAATACGGTCCTTGGGATCTTTTGCGAGTAGACGACTCAACAAATCCCGGCCATCATCACCAATATCAGGCTCTGCTGGAATTTCGAGCTCCTGATTAACAATCCGGTCAAACAGCTCAAACTCCACGTCTGCCTCGAAGGGGCAGCGGCCAAACAGCAAGCAGTACAACGTAGCGCCCAATGCCCAGACATCAATCGCTTCGGTAATCTTGGGTCTCGGACGATCAATGTCTGTCCAGCACAGCTCTGGAGCAAAAAAGGCAGGAGTGCCAACGGTTTTCGCCAGTTCGACATCGCTATCCTCGCTCATGCCTTGACTAGCGATAAACGAGACACCAAAATCAGAAATCTTGACACAATGAACAGAGTTTAATAGAAGATTGGCGGGCTTAATGTCCCGATGAATAATGCCTTGGTAATGCAAGTACTCCAAACCGAGAACGACGTCCCGGAATGCCTTTCGCGCTTCATCAACAGAAAGTACAGGCTCACCAAAACTCGTCCACTGCAACTCACCGCCGCTCATGTACTCCAATACAAGGTACACCTTCGTCGACGCCGGATCATCAATCACCTCGCGTAAACGAACAACATTCGGATGCTTGCACTTTTTCAGAATAGCAATTTCACGGTGCACTTTATCCCGCTGGCTCGACGAGTGTAAATGACCTAATTTGGGCCGAGGCTCAATTTTTTCAATGATTTTGATGGCAACATGCTCGCCAGTTTCCACGTCGCGTCCGAGTTTCACTTTTCCGTGCATACCACGACCAATTTCACGAAGTATTTCGTAATGGTTAATAACTTTGCGACCAGATTGCTTGTCGAAACGCTTGCGAATCTTCTTCGTTTCCTTCACCTCGCCCCATTCCTGAAGACGTTTCCATTGAAGCTGCACTTCGTCAAAGTTGTCGTTGTAAGAATCCACGTCGTCGACACCAGGCTGGAATGTCCATGAGTGTGTCAAGGTGGAGAGACCACGATGAGAATGCAGTGCATTCGCGGACGCCGGCGTTCCGCCAAAGCTGTAGTTACGCTTTCTCGGAAAGTCAGCCGTCGAATGCAGAGCACTCGCATTATGAGGAAGAGAGCTCCGAGAGCGGTGTCCGAGAGAATCCTGAGACCGCCAAGCCGCAGCAGAAACAGGTGTCCTGATGTCTTTACCAATGACGTTAAGATAACCGTTACTTTTGTTGCTACTCACACCGCCGCTGCCGCTGCCGTCGCCGTAAATTCCGGTTCCGTGACGACCTTCCGTCACTGAAGACAAACACTGATGGTGTTCAGTGCACTGTAAAGGACAACCTTCTCGAATATCCTCAAACCCTCCGTCACGGACAAGACCCCCCCGAACACCACTGTCAATAGACCGGCCCGACACTCTTCTGGAATAAGGTGACGAAGTTCGTCTCTCGGAATCGTGGTCAATTTCGGCAGCTTCGTGTTGTGTCACAGAGTTCGTTAAACTTGATGCTGTTGGATGATTCAGTACCATTTGAGAAGCCATTTCCAGTTATAAGCACCCGAAAAAAGCTTTCAGGGTTCTCAGATACCCAAACCTTCGAAATAGCTTTTGGTGTTAAATGTTACAGTATTCACCAATCCGCCAACGCAGTTGTTTCCCAGTCGTTTGCTGAAACTAAGAGCAATTTAGTTGAAAAAACAGGAAGAAGAAGGGAAAAAGGAGCTGTCCCAGTCGGTAAAGGTCTCTGTTTAAAGTCCGGAACGATGCTCAAGAAAACCGTCCAAGTACGGTGGATGTGGTCGTTTTAGATGTTTGCAATTGGCAAAACTGTTTGCCAGGAAGGTGTGATGATGGGTGGAGTGATGTGGGGGAGACGGTGGGGGAATGTGAGAAAAGTGGGAGAGTGTGGAGGGAAAAGTGGAAGGAAAAGTGGGATGAAATGAATTGCAGCAATGGTAGGAAATGGTCCGTTCATGGGCACTCTCATAAATGCGTGAAGGCTCTTTCAGAGTCATTACAGACCCCAGCTCTACGACTCGTGACTCTGTGTTCTCTCCAACCGGTCCCTCTGTTCCTCTGTTTTCTTGTCAAAAAAATCTCTATTATGATTCAGTATTCGCGCTCTTCTAACTCCCTAACCTCCCTTACTGTGCAGTTGGCAAAAGACTGCGAGCAGTAGCACGGCTCTGTTGAATCATAGTGGCATCCATGATAACAAGAGCAGCCATAGCCTCGACAATGGGAATGGCACGAGGAACAACGCAAGGGTCATGACGACCCTTGGCAGCCAAAACACCGTCAGTGCCGTCATAACGACTGGTGGGCTGCTCCTTGCCGATGGTCGCGGGAGACTTGAAACCGACGGTGAAGTAAATGTTCTCACCGTTGGAAATACCACCCTGGACACCACCACTGTTGTTGGTCTTAGTACCGAGCTTTCCGTTCGGCTTGCGATAGAAGGAGTCGTTGTGCTTGGAACCAGGCACCTTGCATCCTTCAACACCGGAACCGATCTCGAAAGACTTGGTGGCAGGAATGCTCAACATAGCATGGGCCAGTTTAGCCTCAAGCTTGTCGAAACAAGGCTCACCGAGACCGATGGGCACGTTGCGAATGACACAAGTGACCGTGCCACCGATGGAGTCGTGATTGTCACGGGCACGAGCGATACGGTCGGCCATCTTCTGAGACACGGAAGGGTCTGGACAGCGAACTGTCGTAGCATCGACTTGCTCGCGGGTAACGTTTTGCAAGAACTCAAGCACCTCGGCGGTGATGGGGGACTCGGGGTCCTCCACATCGGCACAGGCATGCTTCAAGGGCATCGAAATGTTGCCCACGCTGGAAACAAAAGCCACGATTTCCACACCGTAAGCCTCCAGCAAATACTTTTCAGCAATGGCACCAGCGGCAACACGGCCAATGGTCTCACGAGCACTGGAACGGCCGCCACCAGAAGAGGCCTTCACACCGTACTTCTCCAAGTACGTGTAATCGGCGTGAGAAGGACGAGGAAAGTTGTCCATGTCCGAATAGTCATGGGGACGTTGGTCCAAGTTTTGGACGAGCATTCCAATAGGCGTACCGAGTGTAACACCAAATTCGGTGCCACTTTGGATTTGAACCTTGTCCTTTTCATTACGAGGGGTCGTCAAATTCGACTGACCGGGACGACGACGAGAAAGCTGCACTTGAACATCTGCTTCAGTAAGCTGCAAACCGGGAGGGCAGCCCTCGACGATACAGCCAACACTCTTACAATGCGACTCACCGTACGTAGAGACACGGAAGAGGGTACCAAACGACGACATTTTTTTTCGGTGGTGGGAGCTATGGGGAAAGCTTTAAAAGAAGGGTACTAGGGTGGTGGTAGTGGTAGCGGTAGCAAGTGGAGACACAAAACAAACGCACAGAACCTGATTGGCGAGAGAAGAAGTGAGAGTGAAGACTTAAAAACCGATATGCGGAGCACGGGTTTTTAGAGAACGCGTGTCGCAATTGTTCTGTTCTGTTGAAAAAAACTAATTGGATCTTAATATACTTTACTACATAGTTTTTGGTGGTGACTAAAATTAAGGTTTCGGTACAGAAAACGTTAATTACAAACAAAAGAAAAGAAACGAAACGAAACAAAAATCATTCGTCTCACATACGTGATGCAGTGAAGATTGTGCTCATCTTCTATTAATCCGTTTGGTCAATGCTTAACCAGTCAATTCTCTGTTTCGCATAAACCGTACTATTCCTCCCTCAACCTTCTGTTTTCCCCACCCCAAGGATTACAAAGGGCTCAGATCTCGCTTAGATGCGAGCCTCTGAACCCTTGGAGATAGGAGTTCTCGGTGGAATGAGAAAACTATTCTTATTTCTATAAGACTATATAAACTGTATAAAAAGAAAGCTGCCGGACCGCTGCTAAGTGAGCAGCAATGCGACATTTTCGCCAGAATAAGTAAATCTTAGGAACAAGCGAGCAAGAACATTGCTTGCATTTTTTATTGCAGTCAACGACATGGCCTTGGCTTTTCTTTTACCATTGCCAAACAGCTGCTAGCTCCTAACATCACACAACATTCGTGCCTTATCGAATTCGGGCGAGATCAAAAAAAAGTGTGCGGATAATGAAGGAGGGGAATTTGATGACCGGACTGATGAATTCAAAAAAGAGTATTAGTCGGGCAGGACGGTGTAACTTCTCCGGCGATCTGCGCCTAAAACAACTTAGACAATGCGGAGAAGTTACCAATGAGAAAAGGGAAACAAAGCGGACCGACACCAGTGGGTCTACTAACGAGGTCCGGTTTGGAAACGAAACGAACGTCATTGAACATAATGCCTATGCACAATTATAGTGCAGTCAAAGGCGTTTAGAAACGCAAACGCTCAAGAATAGCGGGTGCGACGGCAATAGCTTATCGCATACACGGCGTATGCGGTGTATTCTTGTCGCCTGACCCATACACGACGGTCCACCCGGCAAGGACCTTCGCGTGATGAGCGTGTATTAGCGAAGGCGCAGCTCATGACAAACCGTTTCATCTATCCATCCCGAAATTTCACAGGGTATGTGGATGGATTGGCCAGGTGAAACCACTGTGGAAAATGATGTTTTGTTGCGAAACGAGTATCGGTAACTCTGGAGATGTAGTTACGCTTAGCGCCGGCGGCTGACAAATGATATCAGCCAAATCTGCAAGATATGCATGCAGTCGCGGAGGTACGTGTGAAGTAGAAATAAGTCCACGAAGCAGTGTGGGCTCGTCGATTTCGACATCTGTCACCGAATACGTCTGACATGGATTTTCACCAATCCAGACTTGGGCGTCGGCGGTGAAGTTCACGCCATACACATGCAACATATTGCTCTCATCCATGCGAATGAACTTGATGATTGGTGCTGAGGGGATGGAGAGCATGCCATCATTGCCGGAACAGTCGTCAAAAAACATTGTTCGAACGGACTGAGTGGTAATGATAGACCACACTGCAGACCACGGAAGATTCACATATTCCCCATTTCCATCACCCTCTCCAGGAGCCGGGTCAGCCGATAGAAATCGGATCTCACCGTTGCTAAATTCGTCCAAATTCAAAAATAACTTTGTACGAGGACACTGGAACGCTAATCGAGACAAACAATTGATCGAGTCGCCCAACTGGTCATCCTCCACCACAAGTGCTTTACGGTTCTCGTACTTCCGAATAATGAGCGGAGGTGAACGCACACCCGTAATTTGACTTTGGATTATAATGCGCATATTGGAGCAAATAACTGTGTTACGCCGATCATAACTTGATTTGTTTTCAAGCTCTTCCACAGAATATATATTGAATGGCTCCCAAACGGTGTTTGTTGTAATTAATCGACATGTTGACGCTTCCATTAAGTCTAAGTCTGTGGCCGGCGTAAACTCCTCATGGAATTGTAAGTGTTCTGTTCGCTTTGTAACGACGTCATTAAGGACATTTGTGCACAAATACCGTGGGAGGTTGTTGTGAGAGCGAAACCGATTGAATAAACTCACACAATCGCCGTGACAGATATTCAAATCCGAAACTTTCATCATCATTTTTTTTTGGCTCGGCTTCGATATGATGCCAATACGAAGCTTATCCATAGTTATCCGCTTTTGTGGGGTCCGAACATGCACCTGCAGGGTAGTTGAGCGGCCATACGTATTGTGATCCCCCTTACCGGAGTAATAAAGCGTTTTCAACACCGTATTCGCCCATATGGGAGATGGTGATTGTTGTTGCTCCAATGGATCGTCGAGTTTCACCTGACCCAGCGAAAGAAGGTTTGTGGCGCTGTCGGAAGAGCTCGTGTAAAAGGTTGGCGTCTCTGACGTTTTAAGGTTGTCAGGGTCATCAGCCGCGTTCGCAATGATATTTATTTTGTCGAGTGGGCATCGAAACCAGCTGCTGCCGAGCAAGTAGACGACCGCAGGCGGGCATATATAGCGACGCTCCTTACCGTACGACTTCTGACCCAGGGAGGGCATGAATACTTTCATAGCGCACAACAGCTCTGGGTGTCGCAGAACATTTTTAACCCGTTGAAAAAGATTGTTTCTGTCGGGGGCGTTTAAGCCCATGGAGTCTGAGTGAGACGTAGAGGGCCTCAAAAGGGAAGCATGTGAAGATTCAGCGGGTGCTGGAAACTCTGGCCCGTCATAGAAAGATGTTTGACTCAACTCTGGGCCGGGGCTGGACCCACCAAACGGAACTCGAAAGCCATTATTAGCATTTGGGTTGTTGGTTCCAGCTGGGACGTGAAACTGGCCGTAGTCAGAAACATGGAACTGCTGTCTCGGTTGCTGGTGAAGTTGTTGCAGACGAGGAGCATCACCAGCACCGTAGAGATGGGTCGGTGAGTGTCCTGACAGCTCTAGCACTGCTGGTGAGTTCGAAGATGTTGGGTTTCCGCCGGGCACGACGTCACCGAACGATGAGCCGAAATTGCCTTGCTGATCAGTGAATGGGCCGGAATACGACGAGGTCGGGTCGGCCGGATAAACCTCAGGATAGGCACCTGCATTAGGGAGTCCGTGGTAAGGGTTAGTATCGTGTTGGGGATGTTGCAAGGGAACGAATTGACTCGAAAATGCGTCTGTTACGGCGGGAAAACGACCAGAGTCACCAGGCAGAAAGTGACCAGCTACGTCCCAACCCATATGGTTAAAGGCAGATTGGTTTGTTAGTGCCTGTAGCTGCTGTTGATGCGACTGTTGTTGTTGTTGTTGTTGTCGTAGCACGGAATTAGCATCATTGTTCATACCCATTTGAGGCAACTCTGAAGCCATCCCAAGCTTGGCTTCATTGCCAGGCGTTCGAATTCCAGTGTCGTCTGCATAAGGGGAGGGATCGGCACTATCCACGTAGTAACCCACGCGAGGGATTTGTGAGGGATAGAGTGAGGGGTCGGCACTGCTAGCGACAAAGCCTGAGGAGTAGCGTTGCTGCTCAGTAATATTGGAATCGTCGTATGTAGAACAAGGTGCCTGCGGGTTCATATATGTAGGAGGACACACAGTATTCAACCGCGCAATTAAGGGGCTTCTTGTTTCCAGTCGGTCATAAGCGACTTCCATGTTCCAGTTTGAATTTTCATCTTGCGGCCGGGCAACATTTTGCGTTTCTGAATTTACTGTATTTGGAGCAATTCCGTACGGAGAATGATTTTTTAAGCCCGACATTATGATTAGAAACTGTCGGCATTCCTGGGGCAAGCCTGGCGTAAAGCAAGTCAGAGGGTTTAGAGGTCGTGTGGTGGGAGTTCATTTCTTCCCATGCCAGGCCGTTTTATTTATTCCCTGTGACAGCAGTCTGGGAAGGCGTTGATTTGCCAAGTTGCGAATCGGCTAAGCGAGCCCCATCTTCACCACCAATATTAAGCCGAACCGAACCTCCCTGACATGCTGCTCCAGACTTGAGGAGTGACGACCTTTTATGTCGCACGAAAAAATGTTGAGCGCATATAGTACGCATATACCTCATAAATTTACATTCATAATAGTCGCACAATTTTCGCCTTTCAATTGTGTGTATAATACTATACTTTTCAATTGCAATTGTGCACGTGACGAAATGGCATATAAACCGATCAAATATTCAATATTCTGCCAACAGCACATATCTGTCCTTCGCTCTCTTTGCACAATTGCACAAACCAGTGTATATTTATTACCTTATTGCATTCATTGTTTGCATTGCTCATTATTTGCACATTCATTAAAAATATGCTTTCCGCTTCGAGCTTTTTATTGTTAGCCATCCTTCAATTGTTTACACTTGCACTTGGCAACCCTACTTGTGGTGCCAGTGAACACGTAATCACTTCTCAGAACGATCTGGATGTTTTGAGTGGATGCAAAATTCTCAATGGCTCCATTTTCATGAACAGTAGTTCTGCTACATCTTTGACCTTTAACAATATCGAACAAATCGGGGGTGATGTAGTGATTTCTAACAATTTCTATCTTGCTTCCCTTTCGATGCCCCATCTTAAGTCAATTAGCGGTATCTTCCGCCTAGAAAAACTAACACGCCTTTCGAGCTTGTATGCACCTCAGTTGACGAAGGTGCGCGATCTGAGAATGAAAGTACTTCCAAATCTTCAGGTCTCACATTTTGACAAGGGTATCTCTGATGCTCAAAATGTCCTGGTAGAAGACACACAGTTATCCACCTTGGATGGTATTTCCTTAAGTGCAGCCGACAACTTTGTCATTGTCAACAACAACTACCTTCGAGAGGTAAAGATGCCTGCACTCAAAAAGGTTTCTGGAAAACTTTATGTTTCCTATAATGCAAAAGACGTGCGCGTATATTTCCCTAAGTTGGAGGAGACAAGTGACTTTACCCTCCAACGTGTTTCTGTCGCTGACTTGAGTTCTTTGTCAAAGGTTCATGGATCCCTGGGTTTTTTGAACAGCACGATGACTGAAATCAATTGTCCCAACATTACCAAAATTGATCAATCGCTCTTTTTCGTTGGCAACACCGAACTCCAAACGGTTAGGCTTCCTAAACTCAAAGTACTTGGAGGAACATTTATGATCTACAACAACCAAAAACACCGTACAGTCGACGGCTTTGAATCTTTGGAAACTATCGGTGGTGCTATTGACTGTTCGGGTAACTTTTCTAGCATTTCACTGCCTGAATTGAGAGACGTGAAGGGCGGTCTTAATATCCAAACTACCGCCAGTAACTTTACGTGCCCTTTTAAATACCATGATGGAACAGTCAAGGGCAAGTCCTTTGTTTGCCGGGGTTCTATTTTGGATCCTAAGAGCAGCAAGGAGACCACCTTAACCAATGACATTTTGGAAGACGAAGGCCATTCCACTTCCGCGACTACTACGACGGGTACTTCCAGAAAGAAGGCGTCCAAGGAGGAGTCCGCTGCTTTCTCTATCAGATTTCCTGCTACGTTATTTTTGGCTAGCATGGGATGCATTCTTGCGGTCTCTTTGGACGTTACTGGATTCCTTTCATGAGTTGCTGCCTATACTGCCGACCCAGTGTACGGTTTAAGCGCTTATGATATCCCTATGGGCAGGAATATGTTGTGGTCATTTCTATTAGTATTAATTATGTAGTAATAAAATTCCTGCCCATTTCATATAACAAAGGTCATTGTTTACATTGTTTAAAGTATCCTCAATAGTTGTCGGCACTTTCGCATAGTGTCGCAAATGCGATTAAAGTTTTGTCGCAAGAGAAATATTTCATGGGAAAGTGACGTTTTGTGATCTTGATGGATAGAATGGTAGCGAGGCCGAAAAGCATGTGGTTGGCCGATCGTCAATAAATGTCGCACGGAAGAGCGGTAAACAAACGATTGGCTCGAAACGAACGGGTACAGATAAAAACGGTTAATGAATGACCGAGAGTCTTGCAAGAGAACTGGATTTCGCAGTATAATGTTCAAGAAATAAGACGAGTTTGTAGATTCTATAGGAGAAAGGCTGCATCTAACCGATGAGTTACCTCCACTACTTCCGATTTCTAAAATCGTTGGTTGTTGTTGGCTGTCCGTCTAGCATAGCAAGAAGTACACAAAAACAAAAGCATTAGTACAAACTACACCCGTCAGAGCAGTAACAACAGGTATGATAGACAAATGGAGATGGGACAAATAGGGAAGAAGAAAATTGAAACTTTTTTTAATAAGACCTTACAGAATATTTGTAAAGCATAGTGAATGGCGGATTAATAACAATAGTCCGAAAGACTGCTCGTCACCACGTGAAACGTCGACGCAAAGCGATATGGTAAGTGAAATTTAATGAGCAACATTTTACGGGTGCCAAAACATCGACTCTGACACGAACGCTTTGGCGATCGAATGGGAATAAGTATAAAGGAAAAATAAGGAAATCGGAGCGGTACGGTTTCGGAGAAGGAGAAACAAGATAGAGAGTGTGTGAAGTGAGAGAAAGCGAGAGAAGAAAAAATATGGATGTGCGTGCGTATGTGTGGATGTGCGTAAAAAAGAGAGGTAGAGATAAAAGGACAACGGGAGATTATGAGCATGGGTGCTCAAAGTGCGCATATAAAACCCTCCATGCAATTATACAATGTGTACGAAGTTGGCAGCCGAAAGTTATAGAGGGAGCAAGAGCGTGAGGAGAATAGCAAGGAACCGAAACAGCCTACCTGCGCGGGCATACTGCAAACAACATTCGTACACATGCACGAGTTCAGTGAAACGCACTTATCAGTGAGGATAATAGCTCTGGGTAATAGTCCGCGTCTCTTCATCAGAGGAGTCCTCGTATGTGTCACCACTACCATACTCATGATTGGCAAAATGGTCATACTCCAACTCTAGATTCCGAGCGTCTGCGATTGTGTTAGGCCCGCGAAGCTCGGCATAAGAAGGAGGAGCACATGGACCGTCATTTGCCGCGACACGTCTGGCAACGGTGTCGTACCACTGATCCACGGTCATACCGTTAAGAATACCAACGATGCAAACGGTCATGTTATCACAACCGATACCACAAGACTCGCTATTGCTAGCGATGCAACGGTCCATAAGGTTGCCAGCAATAGTAGCAAGTGGTTGATGAGAGGCAATGCCTCGACGGACAAACTCAACCACCTGCTGCGATGACTTGCAATCCCATATGCCGTCGCAAGCCAGAACGAGAAATTCATCGTCCTCGCTAATCAAGCGTGTAGTAACATCCGGGAACGCGGTGACAATTTGTTTTTCAGGAGGTAGATCGGCGTTTTTCTTGTACTCAAAGTCTCCAATAGCACGCGAAAGTGCTAGACTGCCATTGACCCGACCAAAATCAACAAAACCACCGGCAGCAGCAATGCGGGCCTTTTCTGCATCAGCATTGGGTTTGTGATCAAAAGACATGGGATGTGCGATACCCCTACTGCCGATGACGGTACGGGAATCGCCAGCATTAGCACAGTAAATTAGGTTGTCGACGATCATGGCTACAGTGGCCGTGCATCCAGAGGGGTCATCTTGCATGTCTCGGTCTCGAAGAATGGCCTCGTCGACAGCTAAGAAGCCTGACTTTAGGGCTTCTTCAAAACCACCCTTCCAAAACGATTTCTGTTGCTTTATGATATCTGCCATGTGCTGCCTGCAGTACTTGGCCACCCGGTCTCCACCGTGTCCATCGTAAACGCCAAAAAAGCTTATGTTGTGCTCATTGGACTCGGGCACCATATCGACAATGGCGCAATGAGAATCCTCCATGGATATTCTCCATCCCTGCATATTTGACAGGCCGTAAATGAGTCTGGCATCTCCTCCAGCATCGCTGTGCTTCTCGGTAACGGGTTCGGAGAGTGTCTGTCCCATATCAAAATTGGATATGATGTACGTGAAATAAATGAAAAGTACGGCGGGTGTGAGGAACCGGACGGACTACAGGGGACGTGTATGTGTGTGTGTGCGTTTGCGAAGACGGAGTTGGGCCAAAAAAGGAAGAGATTTCAACGAAAGAAGACGGGTAAAGCGCAGGGACGAAAATGCACGTGCACTTAAACAACGGTAGGCGTGGAAGTGTATGTACGTGCGCACGATTTAAGTGTAGCGAGTCCGTGTGGGGAAGATTGCGTGTTCAGTGAAGCTGCGTGTGTGGGTGTGTGTTTGAAGCGTTCGACCTAGTTAAAAAATGTGGTGGAGACACCCACTAGCTTAACGCCCGTTGGTGGGTGCAAGAAATAGTGGTGGTGCACTGCACCAGCTGCTTTCAAAGTTAAGCGAACCACGCCTAACTTAGCGACGTCACTCATGCGTATTTACGGGATGCCTGCAAGTGCCGAAAACCAATCAGAATCGAGTTCGGTAGTTATCCCATCTTAATAACCGCTCGAGACACCACCGTGCCGCGATGTCCCACCACGACCACCAGTAATCTCAACATACTTGTAGCGACAAACCCACAAAACGACACGAGCCTGGGACAATGGCACAAACAGCTAATCTGCGATTCGCAGACTGGCACTCTAGAACTTAATAAAAACACGCAAAAAGGGAACAGCAAAGCAGAAAAACAGCAATAATAGCAAAATCAAGAGAACTAAAATAGGGGTATACGGGTTACGCAAAAAACAACTGGTGCACCAGGAGGGATAAAAGCAATTGCTTTTCAAGAGAAAGAGCAAACAAACAAGAAAACAATGCAGCTACATGCAAACTAACTAGTGCTCGACACACATATGCACACGAGTACGATTGCGCGCACGCCCACACGGACACACAGATTCTCAATCGTAACCGTCCCAATAGAATTACGTTTCTCTGTGCCTGTTTATCAGGCATGCAGAAGCACTGTTTATATAATCTCAACAAGTAACATGTTACTCGTTTTTTCTTCCTTCATAAACTTCAAAGAAAGACGATTAAAAAAAAACACAGGAAGTTTTATTCTGCGAAAACGCGCAGTTGTATGAGCTATATGCGTTGCAGAAACGATTGCCACTGCTAGACACAGTAGATCTCCTACCCGCATGTGCACAGGGAGCACGGTGACCCCCACCAGTGCCCCCGTGCAGATGACATCACCACCACCATGCCGGCAGTGGTCGGTGGTAGTCTACATCCAGCGTTTTCTGAGCACAGCGTGTGTGTGAGCTGTGTGCCGGTGTTGTGTGTTGTATCTGTATCGTACTGCACTGTGTGACACGTCTCCTAATGTACTCTCTTCCTCATGGTTCATACGACGTTGTTCCTGGTCGTTCCTTTCGCGGCTCCAGAAAAGATGCTTTGGTGGCTATAAAGTGTAAGAAGACGCCTGGGAACACGGACATACCGGGAGGGATTGAAAGATGGCTGAGAGAACAGGAGAAGAGGAAAAGAAGGGGACGGTGTCAGCTAATCTCAATCGAATAAGAGCTGTTGTTGTTCTGCATGTGTTCTCTTACCGTCCGCCTTTGTTCCATTCTCCTTCTGGCCTACTTTCTTCCCTTTGCTTCCCTCCCAGCTGAACCTCCTCGCTCCCCCTCTAACCGACAGACAACTTCAAACCCGACAGCATTGACAACACCAAGCAAGGCCAACTCGACAAAAACAAGGACAACACGTTTACCCTGCAACTGCCGTCATCATCCGTAAGTCTCATTCCGTCTCCTTAACCGAGTCTAACGAGCTGTTGCGCGATCCAGGATCCCCAAGAATGCCATTCGTTCCAGGGCCAGGCACAGCAGGCCCGGAACGTGGACTGCGTGCTGACATTCGATCCAGAAACACAGACGTTCACGCTTGATCATCTCGACAGCGTGATTCGCTTCAATGCCCTCCGTAACCGCGCGAAATCGACGCGAGTAAAGAGCGGCACTTCCGGCGGTAATGGCTCTTCTGCCGACGAGAACGACAACACCACCCTGGCTCTGCCCACCCCGTCGTCCACAGGTGTCATATCTCCCACAAGCACAGGGGCCAGCACACCTAGCACCACGGGTCCTGCTGCTGCTGACGACACAGGGGCATCCGGCTCCTCCCCACTCAACTCGCAACCTCACTCGGCTACTCCCATCCAAGTGCCGGACACCTACCCCACCGCTGCCCCCACCGCCATATCACCTCCCCCCGCTTCTCGCAGACCCTCAAGCCATGACACCGGGGCTGCAGCTCCACTTCGATCGTCCGCCAGTACTCGTGGGGGTCGTGGGGGTCGTGCTTCGGCAGCAGCAGCAGCAGCAGCAGCTTCGCGTGTTGTTGAAGATACAAACACCATTGAGATCATCCCGAACGGCGATGAGGAAGAGGAAGAGTCTGAGCTCGACGATTTTGCTAAGGAGCTTGAGAGTGGTCTAGCGCAGGATTTCCATGAGATCCCCGCTCCTACCTCACAACCGCCTACCGGCAAACCCATCAGTCTACGGAATCTTTCCCGCGGCTCATCCGCCAGAAGCTACTTTTCCGACAACTCAAGTAGCTCTGAGGAAGACTAGAAAAACAAGCATCGACGACGGCGACAGTACGGCAGAGACGAGAACAGAAGCAGGAAACGTTGGCCATTACAAACAGGCAAAACGGCGTCTTCCCAGCAACAACGCTCACTTCCGTCCCATCGTCACCTTCATCCACCCTCACGCAAACCTAATTTCAGTTTTTTACTTTCTTATTCAACACATCAACTATTAACGAATAATATATTATATCACTATTCAATAAGCTGCATACAGTTAGTAAAAAATATTCGACCAAAAAGGACAAACGAAATCATCGAAAAGGCTGCTCAGCAAGAAATATTCAGCATTTCGGCTGTCTAGGCCGTCAGGCTCATTAAATCAGATAATTACCATCCTAGCAGCCTCAACTCAACAATGTCGTTGTAATGCTTACCCTTGATTTCCCTCTCCATGACGGAGTAGCCAACTCCCACAGACAGACACTCGGGAAGTTCGCTCCTCTCTTTATATAGTATTTGGGACTGCTTCTGACGTCATAGGCAACATAGCTTAATTTTGTTTCCTCCGCAACACCAAGAATGGGAAGCATATTAAGTGTACACGTGGTTTGCGCGCGAAAACTCTATAGTCTCCTTGCAGCAATTAACAGAGCTTTTTAGTTGGCGAAATGCCAATTCGAGTCGAGTGGATTCTGCTTTGTTTCGTCACAAAAGCGCACCACAATGTAATTGGAATTATAGGATTGAGAGTATGCTGTTTTCTGACAAAGTAGTAAATGTCTCTATTTTTTTAGTCTACAATTACCATTGCGTAAAACAACCATAGTTGACCACCCTCTCTTCAGCAGCACTCGCCCTATTTCCATTTCCCAAAAAGTTTTATTTTATCGCAGTTGAACGTATCAATTGTGTGCATGTTTTGCTTCGTACACTTCAGATTTGAGTGTTGAAAGCGCATCGTCGTACTTTTTGACGAGGACGGGGTCGACGTTCGGTAAAGTGAGACGCATCCTCTGTACAGGCAGCGTCCGCGTGAGCCGACGCACGATGGAGGAAAAGTGGAAACCCTCATGGTCCTGCACGAGGGTCCATGCGTGTCCTTCACGACCAGCGCGTGCACAACGTCCGATACGATGGACATATTGCCGTGTGCCCGATGGTGGGTCGTAATTGATGACATTCTCTGTGCTTGGTAAATCCACACCACGGGCCATCAAGTCTGAACACACAAGCAGCTGCAAGTTGCTCTCGGCAAACTGTGTGAGGATGCGACGTCGGTCAGCACGGGTTAAAATACCGGCAAACAAACCCACACGTAGCGGCTCGGAACTCCCCTTATCCAGCAGCTCGAGCAACCGATACAAACGAGCTGCACTTTCGTTTGACTTTGTGAAGCAGAGAGTGTTCTGCAGCTGTTGTGTCCGCAACAAATGATACAATAACAGGGGCTTTTCGGCTGTAACTCCAACATGGTGCTCTTGAAGGGCAGCAGGTAAGCTAAACAACACGGTGTCCTCCTCGTCACCATCTGGCTCCATGCTCACTGACGGGTCTTGCACAACGAGCAAGCGAGGACGAACAAGTCGGAGCGCCGATATTTTGGCTGGGTTACGTGTGAGTGTGGCCGAGAACACAAGTTTTTGTAGACAAGGTGCTGTTTTTTGAGGTAGCAGGGTTGGCATATTTGGCAGGTATGTGGACGCGATGTTGCAGCCTGAGTTACTATCGGCACCCGGCAGACGTTCTATGCCACTGAGACCATGCATATCGATCCCCTGCAAAACTTTAGGCCGCTCAAGCTCCTCCATCACAGCATTTACCCAACCTTGGAAACTTTGATCCAGTAGACGATCCGCCTCATCTACCACCAGGTAGCGCAGATGCTGTAGAGTGAAGTTTGGGGTTGAGCGTATGTGATCGACGAAACGACCGGGCGTCGTTACCATTATATCAGCTATATAGTCTTTTCCGTTCGGACTCAAAAACAGAGATTGTTCGAAAGCCAAGCTCCGTTGGCCCGTCAGAGCACACACTCGGAGTTTCGTGCCGCTGCAGTACTGCTCAAAGCTCTTGGCCACTTGAACAACTAGCTCTTTAGTGGGAACAACAACGGCACAACGAAGTCGTGTAACGATGCACGTTCTCAAACACTCGATAATGGGCAATACATACGCCAGTGTCTTTCCACTACCGGTGGCAGCACTGACGCACAAGTCACCTGGTGCATGAGCACGTTGAATCGACTTGTTACTTGATTGCAGCAATAGCGGAATAACACCAGCTTGCACGGCAAAGCCTTGTGTGATGTTGTTTTGTGCAAGCAATTCCACCAACCTTTTTGACAGACCCAATTCGGCAAACTGCACTGTCGTACTGGGAGCAACCACCGTAGGATTGGCGATCCAGTCGGGCAACGCCTGTAATGAACGCGTCCGTTTTTTATCTTCTTGTCCATGCAGCAATGTCTCCACATTCGGCTGTGGCAACGGCACTAGATCATGGTCCGCAACCGATTGTTCTTCCTCCAACAGATCCGTCGTTTCGTCTGTTTCTTGAGTCTTGCGTTTTCTCTGCAATTTTTCGGCCATTTTAGCAGACTTTTTCAGCCGTTCCATGGTCTTTTGTTTGGCGATTTCCTTTGCAGGAACGGGCTCGGAGCCCTCGGGCTGGCGCGCATTTTCCTCCTGTTCTTTCATCGGTACATCCATGCTTCAACCACAGGACGCGCTGCCGTGCTTGTGCTGTGTTGACGCGTTTTTTGGTGGAGCGTTTGGAAAGCTGAGACTGTGTTCTCGCAAAAGCACGTTAAAAAGTTTAGCAGATAATAACGGACTGCATTAACCTTATTCACGAAATGACGTAGCGGTGTGCGAGATTTGTTAGCGACGCTGATGCACGCGACTCACCAACTACCATGTCGTCGTCGCTTCAACTGCAGCTAAAATTGGCCATTTCTCGGCTTGACATTGTTAAAAACAAAGAGCTTTCGCTTTCAAAGTTGAACAGGAGAAAAGTCTCAGCATGTCTTCGTGAGGAGAGACCGGAATTGTCTCGTGTACGCGTCCGCTCCCTAATTTTGAGCGACATTTACGGTGAATTACTTGAACAATTACAATTAGACTGCGAGCTTTTGCTCATGTACGCAAAAGACATTGAAAGACGCGATCTTTCATCTCTCGAATCGTGGAAAACTCCTCTCTGTCACATCTTGGCTGCTTCTCCAAAGGTTTCATTCCCGGAACTCAAGAAGGTACGTTATTGACACATAAAATCGTGGATGAAGGATACCATTTATGTCTGCCTATTTCTCTTGGGGACCAACACATAGATGTGTCTCCTTTTGTCTTTTCTTGGGTTCGGTTTACTTACAAAGACGCTTTCTCTTTTTAGATTCATGACATAATAGTCGTTTTGTACAGAAAACAACTGCATGCTATCTATTCTCCTGCTGATGTGCAAGCGGATGAAAAGGTTTGTGTGTGTGTGTGTGCGAGTTTCATCACTTTCGCCCGTGAAATTCCTATGACTAACACGTCAAAGTTTACAAAGCTTTTATACCCCAGTATCCCTTCGGATGAGCTTGTGGAAGCGTACAGCAAAGAATTGAAGAATGCATTTCCCGCAGATATCCTGAAAGCAACCAAAAGCCCTACTCAAACATCATCCTCGTCATCACCGAATCCTCTTTCCTCCTCTCATAGTACACCTCTCGCGGATCCCCCTAACATTAGTGCACCTGATCCCTCCACGGCATCCAGTGTACCATCTGTCACAACGAAGCCGTCTGCTCGTTCAGGTCCCCCGACTTTTGAAGAATTGGCTTTGCGTCTTGAACGATTAAAACAGCCTTAAATTGGAAGCAATTGTTTGGGCCTTTTAACGCCTTCTTCATTTTACATTTATTTGTGTCATTATAGTGCTCGCTACGGAATTGGCATTACACCAAAACTCCAGGCAACTTATCATGAAACTTGTATGTCAAACAGTGTTTACTAATAAAGCTTAGTAATTTACACTGAAAATTCAGATGTTGTTGTTCATTCTCCACTTTCTCACTGACAATAACATTCGGTACCAATGAAGCCGAAGATGTGTTTAGTTCAGAAAATCCGAGGAACGAGGGTTTAGGAAAAAAAAGAGACCCCGTATTTTATGGCTTTGTGAATTGTATATAAAGGCTGCGTACTGGCACTCGTTTACAACCACTCCAGAGCAAACACTGTCTCTTGATTATTACTTCATTGCGCTATACTTCACAGAAACAATTTTTCTTAAATTGTTAACACTTTTTTACCGAAAAAATGAACCACGTCATCTCTTATTCCAAAACCGGATCTGTTGATGTGCTTGAGTACAAGGAGGCGCCTATTCCTTCAGCTGGCCCTCACCAAGTGCTCGTAAAGAATGCCTATGCAGGTGTGAACTACGTCGACACATACTTCCGTGAAGGTCTTTATGAAGCTGCTCTTCCCAGCGTCTTGGGTATTGAGGGTGCTGGTGTCGTCGAGTCGCTCGGCGAGGAGGTGACAGACTTTAAAGTTGGCGATCGTGTTGTGTATATGACTATGGGCGGCTCCTATGCTCAATATACTGCTGCATACACGCTCTTCATGGCAAAGATTCCCGATGAAGTTTCGTTTGAAACTGCATGTGCCAGTTTGGTACAAGGATTGACTGCCTATATGCTCATTACCCATTCTTACAACGTCCAGAAAGATGACTGGGTAGTCGTTTATGCTGCTGCTGGTGGTGTCGGCAGCTTCATGTGTCAAATGCTCAAGCACAGAGGAGCTCATGTTATTGCGGTTACATCAACCGAGGAAAAAGGACAGATGGCCGTAAACTACGGTGCAGAGTGCTCCTGTCGTTATGACAAACTTGCTGAAACTGTCCGTGAGAAGACGAATGGCAAGGGTGTACGTGCCGTATTCGATTCTATCGGAAAAGACACGCTAGATTTGAGTCTCGATATTCTTGCACTTGAAGGTCGCTTTGTCAGTTTTGGTAATGCAAGCGGTCCGATCGACAACTTTTCACTCAACAGATTGCAACGTCGTTGCCTCAAAGTTACGAGACCCGGACTGCTTCACTTTTTTGAGGACCATGAATCTTTTGCAAACGCAGCTCAAGCATTGTTTGATGAAATTACGAATAATGGCGTTAAGGTGTCTATTTTCAAGGAATACCCAATGTCCGAAGCTAAGCAAGCTCATTTGGACATTCAAAGCCGTAAGACCACTGGCAAGCTGTTGCTCAAGTGCTAAATGGAACTATTGAACACGAAGTTTGATGATGAGCAGAGTGTAGAAATGAGCTTTGCTTCTGCAGCTTAAGCACGGTATAGTCGCAAGTCTTCTTTTATTTACGAGTATCTGAACAATATTTCCAATGACAAGAAATTCACAAGACTTTACGGAACACTTAAACAGTGGAAACGGGGCGTGCGCCCAGAAACTTACTAAAACGAAACATGCTTAAACTTAACTTCTGATGTTTTGCTGAAAAGAACACGAATTGAAAATCGAAAAGTGAGGTCATCCACCTGCCCCCTCACTGCATGTCTTTTCCTTTTTCTGAAATTCACAGTTTCTTGCCTTGGAGTGTTGGTATTCCGGCATTTGCTATATGTTTGCGAACTTGTATCACACTTCCCATAGCAATTGCAAGCAAACGACGTCGAGAACGCTTGTTGCAGATTCATTCACTATTAACGTCAAAACGCAATCAGCTAGTAAGCAAAGATGCTATAAAACAGGAAAAGCGGCGTCTTTATAGCGAGTTTCGGTGTTCTCCATGGCCATTACTATTGCTTCCAATGGCTCAAATACCTTGCTTCGCATACGCAACGTTGAAGCTACGTAGACTCGTCCGAATGGCACCTTCTTCTATGACCACAGAAGGAGCCTTTTGGTTCCAAAATTTACTCGAACCTGACCCTACCGGTTTGTTAACGGTGTCATTGGGTTTGGCATACATGACCAATGCAGCGATTGTTCATCGCCGTCAACAATTCAGTGGATTGTCCAAGGGTACGTTCATTGCCAGTATCCTTTCGTCGTTTGCAATGATATACGTCGCCTCCCTGTCTCCATCAGCCATGACTCTGTACTGGTCCACATCTGCACTGTACTCAACAATCCAGAATGCACTTCTTTACCGCAACGATACCCCAAGTGAGCCAGCAAAAGATAAATAGCAAGCCCCTAATCCAACCAGACTCGTTGCCCCACACACTCTCTTCCTTTCTCTCTCTCTCTCTCTCTCTCTCTCCTCATCAATGTATGCAAACTTTTCTATTTCATTCGGATCCGGTTTTCATGAGACTGCAAATGGACTTCTAAAAGGATGATAATCAACAAAGGGAAAGGTGTTTTAGGGACAAGCAAATTGTTGCATGCAATTTAAAGATAGCCCTCATCGTTGAGGTAGGCAAGAGTGCGTCTCACAGTGTCCTCGACGTCGTCCTCGGGAAGCACCTCGGCGACGATGGTCTCGGCGGGTGTGGTCTTCAATTCACTGGCGGAAGCAACAGCAACGACGGCAGCACCGGCCTTTTGGAGCTCAGCAGCGAATGCAGCGTTGGGACCGGAGAGGTCGGCAAGTTGAGTCACATGGCGACGACCGTCCTCGTTAAGGGCAGACACGAACGCACTGGGCAACAACTTGTCGGCGTTGGAAGGGACGAGAAGCACGAAACCTTGCTTGGGACGAGGAGGGTAGGATTGACGAAGAATGGCCACAACCTCAGGGTAAGAGAACCACTCGGGAATGGCGGCGCCGGTACGAAGACGACGGCGAAGCTCGGTACCGCTGATGTTGAGAGTACGAGTTCCAGCCTCGACTTGGTCCAAAGGCTTGTACGTGTCCTCGTCGGGCAAGTAGGTCACCATTTGGAAGGGGACGATGGTAATACCAATCTCGCTGGCATACTTCTCCACCAAGTACTGGGCATCGTAAGGACCGTAGAAGTCCTCGCCCTTGCTGTTCTTACCGGGGCCGGCATGGTCACGGCCGACGATGAAGTGGGTGGCACCGTAGTTTCTACGGATGATGGCGTGCCAAAGAGCCTCACGAGGACCGGCCATACGCATAGCCAAAGGCAACAAAGACAGCTTGGCGGTGCCCTTGGGGTAACGTTGGATAATGGTCTCGTACACACGGACACGAGTGAAGTGGTCGATGTCACCGGGCTTGGTCATACCGACGACGGGGTGGATAAGCACACTGGCCTTGTGTTGCTTGGCGGCACGGACGGTCAACTCACGGTGGGCACGGTGCATGGGGTTACGAGTTTGGAATGCGACGACACGCTTCCAGTGGTTACGCTCGAACTCGGAGCGAAGTTGAGCGGGCGTGTAACGGTAGGCAACGAAGTCAAAGTGACGGATGGGAGCCAAAGCCTGGAGAGGACCACCGACGTAAACATCGCCGGCCTGCTCGAACAAGTATGCGACGGCAGGGTGGGCACGGTCGTTGGCACCAAAGACCTTCTCGGCCTCGACGGCCTTGTCGGGGACGTACTTGTCTTGGACGGTGATGATGGCGACAGCGGTCAGCTTATCGCGAGGGTCGAGCAAGGCAATGCGCTCGCCAACCTTGATGGAATCGGCGTAAGCCTTGGAGACGTCGAGGGTGACGGGGATGGGGAACACAGCACCGTTCGTGAGGCGGAGGTTGTTCACGACGCTCTCATACTCGGGCTGGGTCAAGAAACCGTCGAGGGGGGAGAAGCCGCCGTTGAGGATGAGCTCGATATCGCAGAATTGGCGCTCAGACAAGACGAGCTTGGGAAGAGCGGCAGCCTCGGCAGTGAGTTGCTCGCGGGCATCGGCGTCACGAGCGTAAATGTCTTGGAACTTGCTGACAGAACTGGTAGTCATATTGAGTTTTGGTGTTGTGGAATAAGCGAAGCAATAAGGTTAGTTAAAGTTCGTTTAAGTGTCGCTTAGATAACTTTAATCGCAGCGAGAATGCTAGAAAGAAAAGAAGTGGAGAGAGAAAGAAAGGGGGAAAAATGGCAATGGATCGAAACAAAAAGAAAAGAATGGAAAATCCAAAAAAGTCTGCTTGTCCTGGGTGGATGTTTGTGAGGAAGAGAACGATGCTGAAACAAGTGGCAGGGCCCTTGGTTTTAATATTCGCGGTCGCGCAACTCCCGCGAGCACATGTAAAAGTGTTGCGTGCTATGGTGAATAATGGCGCCATGAATGGGTCGCAATAAAGCGTTATCGTGAATTGCGTGGTGCGCAGGATTGCGTTATCTGGGTTAGTGCAGGGATGGAAGCTACGGAAGAAAGCTGCAGGGGGCTGCTGCTAGGGGGTGGTGGGTTCGAGACGGCGGAAGGAGGAGTGTAGGCGCGGAGTGGATTGTGTGTGAAGAGGTATACGGTATTGCGGTATAGTGCGCTATATACTGTGCCGCTACGAAAGAGTGAAATGGAATTGTAGTGCCGCTGTGTCGAAAACGGCACTTTTTGAGTGGCCACAATAACGGAACTGTGCTTTCGTATCTGTTTGTACGCAACGTGGTTACGAAAATGGCCGTTTCTGCCTAGTCGTCTAAAGTCGCCTCATACTAGTCTATCGCATTTAGCGCTCGGCTGCCGACTGTCTGGAAGTCTCGGTACCCCTTAAACAAATGCATTTCCTGCCGCAGTATTTTTGTTACGGGTTAACAAATAACGCGCACCATCCAAATCACGGAGAAACCTCTCATTCTACAGTGTATTCCTGTTCGACTGTCGCATATGCGAATTAACCTTTTCGGCTCTGCGATTTAGCGACCGGCTAATTATTGACAGTGTCAACTCTAAATAAAAGAAAAAAAGGCAAATAATATATTTCATTTACTGTTCACGGTGTTGTCGTTCACGAAGTGCAGAAATGCAGGAATACGCTGATTTACAGAGATCGGATGAGTAAATTGGATCGTTCTGTGCGCAGTCGATGCGTGAGCATTTTGGTATCCGAAATTGCCACCGAAACAGATCCTTTTTTCTCTAATTCCGAAAATACACGAAGACGTTTTGTTTCATGCACCTGATTCTGATTCAATGAATGATCCGAATGTGCGGTAAGTCTTGCAAGTCCGCTGGACACAAGAACTGAACAAGCTATGATCATAGTGTCCGGCAACAACCCCCCTCCCCCGGACGGCGGAAACAAGATTCCTACGTTGCGATTTGGTCGAGAACACTTGGTTTGATTGTTTTTGAGGGGAAAGGGAGAACCGTCCGGTCCGAAAGAAAACAGGGGTTTGAAAGGGTTCCTTGCAGTAATAGATTTCCTCCCCCCCTTCCCCCGAGCAATAAAGCGACAAAATAATCCGTAGCTTTATGACGCCGCATCGGGCGATGACAAGGAAACAGAAATGACAATTCATTCGGAACGGCTCTGTTCATTCGGAAAATTAAACAGAGGGAAAAAAGTATGTCATGAAAAGTAGAGACAAAAGTTGAGTTGAACTACTTGATTAGGGTTAAGACATGCTTGCTGGAGTGATCGGTTGCAGTAGACATATTGTATGGAATTGTTGCAGTAGAAGACTCTTAAAGGTAATGTAGTCACACCTAGCCATTACGATTGTCGCATTTAGGAATTGAAAGCTGAATCTGCGTAACCAATTTTCGGAGGAAGAACATAAAACAAAGAATGCAGAAGAGTTGATGAGATAAAAAAAAGTCGCGAGATGGGCTTTTATGTATGTATTTTAGTTGGTTCGATCATTCATCTTCCATTCATTTGTTCATCATCCTTTCATTCGTTCATTTTTTGTCTCTTTCCCTTTCTCTCTCCCCTTTGGTACACGTTTGATTACTCTTCCGACTCACTGAGAACATCAATAATGAATATGTAAATAAAACGGTGAAATCAATAATTCACCTAATACTCAGTCTTGTCCATCTGTGAATTCACGTAGTAAGACTTGTTCTTTCTCATCACAGTCTTTCACCCAACTACCTCCTACCAAAAGATCTACAAATACACACACTACGCAAATCCTCATCCCAAACACGACCCTTCCAATCGAAAACAACATACAATTGTACACATCGTATCACCGACAAAACTGACGAGAAATCCGAGGATTTTACGGAATCTTCCTGGCCGCAAAAAGAGAGAGAGAGCAGAGGAAGGAAAGGTTGAGTCCCGAGAATGCAAGCCCGTCCGCCCCGTAGTGTGAATTGGTTTCGTTACTACTTGATATTCGGGTTCTTGGCAGCGACGCATAAACAGAAACGTAAACAAACGCGTCGCGTCCGGCCGTTTAATGAAACGCGGACACGCGCTACGCATCAACATTTGGCGGCCGTGTTGCGAAAGCATCGTCGGACCCCTGATCGCATGCGTAGCCACGCAGTCGCTTAGATGAGTTCAGTACGCATGCCAAGAGAGAATATACGGTGTTGCAGCGTAGAGCGTTAATGAATGTTAGTGTGGGACGACGTGCAGCTCGTTATTGGGCGTAGGGTAAAGCAACGCATACTCGTTATGAAACGTAGTGTAAAGCAACGCAAACCTCATTATAAAAATAGTGCTCTTGTTAAGCTGCACAAAACACCACGTAGCACGCCGCAAGGAATCACGAGGAAATGCACAGCAACTCAGTAACACTCGTTAAAAATAATTACAAGCGCAACCGCACTTCACCGTACAATCTTAAACATCGCTAACCACCATTAACGAAGCATCACCACCAACTTCACTTCACTTCACTTCACTCCGCTCCGCTACGTTCCGCTGCGTTCTACCCCACTCCACTCCGCTGCGCTCCGTTCCTTTGCGCTCCGTCGCACTCCGCTTCCTTCTCCGACTACCCCACTTCCCCGACTCGCCACTCCGCATGACGTAATAACCTTCGTCACCCACTCCACACCTCCACACACCCGCCCTCGCTCTCTCCACCACTTCTCCTCCGCCAAACACACTTTCCTCCAGCACACCAGCCGTCGTTGCCCTGAAAACACCCAGCTAAGACTTGGCCGCTTTCTCTTCGTCTCTCTGTTTCTTTGCCGCGTTCCGTGATGCAAAAGAGCCGTTCAAAAGGATCCAGCACGGCGCAGAAGAACAGCGACGCGCCGCGTCCCTACAAGTGTCCGCTCTGCTCCAAGGCTTTCTACCGTCTCGAGCACCAGACCCGACACATTCGAACCCACACGGGCGAGAAACCCCACCAATGCACTTTCCCCGGCTGCACCAAGCGGTTTTCCCGCAGTGACGAGCTCACTCGACACGCCCGCATCCACAGCAACCCCAATTCTCGCAGAAACGCAGCAGCAGCGGCAGCCGCCGCTGCTGCAAATTCCTCCACCGCGGCCCCCACTCTCCCGGCCTCCACTGCGACGGTGGCTGCTTCTCCCGCATCAAACCCCGCCGGTTCCCACACGCCGATGACTGCTAGCCCCGCCCCCATGCGACCCTCCACCAACACCGTGACCGGCTTTACTCCCTCGGTCTTCCCCGTCGCTGCCGACTCCGCTTCGGCTGGCGTGCTGGCGGGGCAGGTGCCTCCCGGCACCACCGTCGCCATGGTCACCACCGGAGCGAGCGGGGGCGTCGCGCTTAACACCCTGTACAACACCGTCGCCCCCGGCGGGGTGCCTGCGTCTCAGCAACCGCAAGCGATGTATCACGTGGTCGCCCAGAACGGACAAACTACCCTGGTCCCCGGCGGGGTCGAGGGTGCCCCGCTCACGCAGCAGCAGCAGCAACAAACTCAACACCAAAAGCCGATCTACTTTGTCGCGAACCGCGGCTACTCTGTGGTCCCCGCGGTCCAGCAGACACAATCGATGGCTGCAGCCGGCACCGTCGTGTACGCGGCACAGGCCCGGCACCTACCCCGGCCCGCAGCAGCTGCAGAACGGCACCGCAGCCTTTGTCACGTCGGCCGCCCAGCAGATGCTCCCGTCGATGCAGCCGGCACAACAAACGCAGGCACAGTACGTTACGACCGCGACTGCTGCCACGGCGATGCAGCAGCAACAACAGCAGCAGCAGCCTCTGTCGCGTGTTGGCTCGTCGAACCGGTTAGACGAAATGCATTTGTTGGCTGCTGCCGCTTCGCAGCAGCAGCAGCAACAACAACAACAACAACAAATGTTCGCTGCCCAACCAATGATGGCTCAGTTTTCTGATGGACAGGATCGGTCTGTGAAGCCCACTCTCCCTCCTATCCACCAGGCGGTGGGTGCTTCCGTCGCAGGCATCCCAATCCCCAACTCGTCATCGTCAGCAACAGCGACAACAACAGCAACGTCGTCCAGCGTCCACGGAACATCGCCCATGGGACCCCCCAGCATGACTTCTTCGTCCAACAGTTCGTCCGTCTCGGCCAGTCCCATCGCCGTTCCTCCCCCATCGACATCGCTGCCGCACATGCCTATGACTTCCTCAGGCATGGCCTCAGTGGGAGGCATGAAATCGCCCCCCTCCTCGGCAGCAAGCGCCGCGTCAGTTTCCGTGTCCAGCAACTCTGCCTCCTCCACGACCGTGTCATCGTCGTCCTCCAGCGCGACTTCTTCTGCAATTAACGCAGGTCTGCCGAGGTTGAGCAGCACGGGCTCCTTGACTGCTTCGGTCTCACCCCCCAACGGCAACGGTGGTAGCATGCATCCTCCATCCAATCTTCCCCATACCGCATCCAACTCTTCACTTTCACTTGCTAGCAGCTCCACTTCGTCCGTTCCTATTCATTCTATGTTCTCTGCCTCCACAACGCCTGCACCTCCGTCTCTGCGGCACGCTCACTATGCCTACTCTCCGTACAGCAGGCCGGGCCATAACGGCGCTCCGGGTTCACACACCAACGTGAATGGCGGTGGTGATGAAGACGGCGGCAATGGCAGTGGTAGCAACTCGAACAACTACGAGTTTGCGCTTTCTCGCTTCCAGAGACGTTCGCGTCCTCCTTCCCCATGCAGCACAGCCCCCAGCAGTCCAACATTTTCGCTGCGAAGCTACAGCCCCACGCCGGACGTCACCCCACTCGTCACTCCTGCTCATTCACCGCGCTTGCGTCCTGTTGATTCTGAATCATCCTTGGTCAGCCTTCAGCTGCCTTCCATTCGGAATCTGTCCCTGCGAACGACGCCGCCCTCCATCCCGCCGCTGGAATGTGACCCTTCGACGGTCCATTCCAACAGCGTGACGCCTGCCATCCCAATTTCACGCGCTTCGTCTGTCGTCTCGTTGTCCAACATGTTGTCTCCGGCTACTCCAGGCTCGTTAGCGTCAAGCACCAACTCCAGCTACACTAATCTCACAGGCTCTCTCGGCAACGTTCGACTCAGATCGTATTCTTCTTCCATGCGCCAACGGTCTCGTAAAATGTCCGCTACACGGGTAAGCGTAAACGCACTGTTGTCTGACACGTCGCCCACCAACGGAAATGTGGCACCTTCGTCAGTGCCATCCACCACCTCTTCTGCCAGACCCTCGCCTCCCTCTTCAATGTCTCGTGAACCGTCTCTCTCGGCCGTCCCTACCACCCTAGCTCCGCCCACCGTCTCCTTTTCACTTTCGCCATTCCCAAGGTGACGGAACACACCTGCATCCTACACTACAAACTAATATGCCGGCTTGCTATCCGACGGCTGCAGCACTGTAAAGCTGGTTTTTGCCTGTTGCAACAAGTTCCCTGCCGTTTAGGGGAGGGTACCGCGAACACAGTCTGGCAAGAAATGCGTGCGGACTTTATAGAGAGGGTTGCTCACAGCATACTCGACTATACGTTAGACGTCTAGACGACAGTGCCACGCTTTTTTGCTGGTGAAGACGTGTGGAGGTCTTCTCCTTGCTCTGTGCGAACACGGATACGCACACACGCATTCTTTTTTTTTCTTCTTCTTCTTCTTAAGCAATTGTCTCCCCGCACGCCGTCCTCTTCTTCTTCATCTATTTCTCGCTTACCCGTTTTCTTTCTCGCCTTTCCCCATTTCCTCTCTCTCTCTCTCCTTTTTCTTCTATCTCTCTTTCGTTGCCTATTTTTTGCTTAAACGACGCTATTGCTGGACTGGCGTCCGTTTTTGCTTTTTTGTTCTTCTACTGTGTCGGTACTGTGTTTTACCTACACGTTTTGCTATAGTGTGTTGTTTGTTCACATTTTGCACGTCTTAGGTTTTTTTGGCTTCTTGTTACTTTGTTGCGTGCGTTAACTTTTGTGTTTTTTTTTTGCCTTGTTTTCTTTTTCTTGCTGGATTTGTATTCGAATATCGCTGTGTCGGCGCCTTTCCCATCAATTTGGCGAGCAATAGATGAGGGTTGTCGCTCGTTTTGCGCGAGAGGAACCTTGACATTCTACAGCCCTGCTGGATGGAACGAAACATTGATTTGGTTTTGGGTAAAGGAGTAACTGGAAAAAATAATCGGGTTCCATGCTGTTGTCAGCCGCTTATGCTTGTTGCACGCACTGTACATACTGCTTCATTAATGGAGTGTCGGATAATGATGCTGCCGCACGCAGGTTCCTGTCCGTCTGGCACGTAACCGATCATCGTCGTCGACTTTTTTTAAGAAAAAAAGCTCGATTCCATTTTTAATCGGGTCAGCTGTCATTACTATCTCCACTATTCCTATAATATCACTTACCATCATCATTACTGCCACTACTACTACTATTTTACTACTACCACTACCGCGGGCGTTTTTAAGCCATCTTTTCCCGTGCGTTTCTTTCAATTCGCAAAGTTCAAGTCCGCGAAGAATTGTGTGTGCCTGTGTGTACGGTTGCACCCATATCCTCGTAATTGGAGCTGGACAGACGAGTGTTTTATCACAATTTTCTTCTTGTTTCTTTCCGTCTCTGTCACTTCAATTTTCACTATTCACTTATGTACTGTAATCTTTAATGAACTAAACTCGTTTAATTAAGCGCGGGGAGGGAAGGGAGCGAGAGTCTAGGCGAGCGAGTAAGCGAGGGAAACACAGCACCTGCCAAATGCTCCACCGCGTCTGCAAGACGGCTACACCCTTAACCGGCCGGTACCTCCACGTTTTCCGCCCCCACTAACCCCACTCGTCGTATTCACATGTTCGTAAAGTCTACTAAAGCCGGGAATGGGAAAACGAGCCAAGAAAAAGAAAAAGAAAAACTACAAACGAATTAGCGGCTCGTCGTGTGCCACTAGACCGGACATATATTGGCGCTGCAAACCCTTCAGACGTAGATACAATTGAGCCCAGGAGAGAAGGTAAAGTGTAACTTGAAATGAATGCACAAAGTAAATAGAGAGACAAAAGACCCCCCGCTCTACCACTGGCATTCACGAGTAACAACACAAAACACACACACACAGTTGAAACGCCATGGATCGGGTGTGCGTAAAGGCCTGTCTAGTAAAATTCTCCTACTCGCCTGTTGTTCTCAGCGCCGTTCGCGAGTTCAGAAAGGTCAACCAACCGTTGGCTCGTTTCCATCAACCGTTCGTCGAGTAACCCGTCTCCGTCCTTTTTCGTCCATGTCCATGTCCTCGTCATTCAATTTCCTTTTCGGGAATCAAGATTTTTAATCACGGGGCTTGGAAAACTCGCACCGCAGAATCAAGTTGTGCCAACCGTAACCGTCCAAACGGTCTCTGGCCTTGACGGCACTCTCTCTATCGTAGTAACTGACAAAGGCAAAGCCCTTGGCACGGCCGGTCTCCTTGTCCTTGGCCAAGAACACACGTTGGATACCACCGAAGCGACGGAAAAGGTCACGAAGCTCGTCCTCACGAGTATCATCAGACAAGTTCGTAACACGAAGAGTGGCACTGTCGTCGCGCTCACGCTTGAACAACGAGTCACCTCCCTCACGGGAGGCACCAGCACGCAAGTGAGGAGCAATGTAACGGCTGCCAGTCGCAGCTCCGGCACCCGACCGACTGGAAACAGACGAGGGAGTCTCAGCCGGCTCATCCACAGGCCCAATAATGTCCTTGTAGGGACACAATGCTGTGAAATGACCACCCTTACAAGCACGGCAACGGACGACAGAGCCTGTCTTCGCCTTCTCCTTGACAGCGGACAAGGCGGCCTCCTCTTGCTCTTGCTCGGGGTTGTTGGTCCAGCCCAGTTGGAGTCTCAGTTGAACGTTCTCACCAACACTGGTGGTACGGACATCGACACCAGACTTTTTGCCAGCTTCGGCACCAAATTTGGCCCACTTCTTACGCTCAGCAACGGCTTGTTGAACACGTTCCTTCACGACTGTCAACTTAATGACACGAACAACTTTAACTTTTTTGCCGTCATCATTCACACGGTACTCCGTAACGGTTTTTGTGCCGTCAGGATTGTTCACAACCTGAGTAGGAGGAAGCGAGCTACCATCGTCCTCTTCGGCCCAGTCCAACGCTTTTCTACACAAAAGTTAGCATCTCCCCGCTCGTCTCAGTAACAACTATCAAACAACGCAGCTGTTCCACCGGTTCTGACTTACGAATTACTCATTCCGTGTGCTGGGGTGTGTGGTAAAGGAAAGGTGTCAGCGTTCTCCTCTGGGCAAATTTTAGGAGGTACTCAAATAGCGCACAGTAGTGAGTCGTAACGAGACTTTTAACAACCGTAAAAATGAGGCTAAAAGGATGGCAAAAAGTGGCAACTGTGAAGGAGATGAGGACATGAAACTCTGCTTTTCCATTGCACTGTTTTTAGCTGATAGTACAAATAATTCGCCAAATATTAAGCTTAATTATGCGACCCAATCACACTCGTTCACTTCCACATGGCTGACCCCGCCCCAACCTAAAAACCTACTACTCCAAACAGGGCCTATACACACAACTCGTACTACAGAACCTCGCAAAACAAACCCAACTCCCAGCCAGATAATGCATAAGTGTAGAATTAGTAGCATCGTAATTATTTTCGGAAGAATGGGCGTAGCTTCATGACCTTAGTGCGCATGGAGACTAAACTATGTTTTATCAATCATAAATACAGGACACAGGCAGTCGTTAAAATGCGTCTAGGGATGATGGAATGGTGATAGCGCGGGAGGCAGAGAATGAACGAAACGACTCCTGTGGAGAGAAAAAGAAGGCAAAAAAATTAGAGAATTAACTTCTTTACTCCATGTATGCATTTTCAATTTCGTGCTCAAAGCGTTTCAGAATGGAACGGCGTTGAAGCTTTTGGGCAGCTGTAACAAGACCATTCTCGGGAGTGAACTCGAAGGGAGAAATGACGATGTTCTGGAGCATCTCAATATTGGCAAAGTGGTGCTCAGTGCCAATACGGAGGAGATCCTTCAGCACGAATGAGCGGACAGCATCGCTCTCGCAGACACTCTCCCAGGGAGCATCCTCCTTCATGCCCAGCTTCTGCACAGAAATCTTGCGGAGAACAGGCTCGTTGGGAACGATAACGGCAACAGGCTTCACCTTCGATTGGTCGGCATAGACACAGATATTGGACACATAGGCGCTCATGCGGTACAATGACTCAAGCTTCTCCAGGGCAATGTACTCGCCATTTTGCGTCTTGACAAGGTTCTTTTTCCGGTCAATGATCTTCAGGAAACCCTGGGGCGTCAATTCACCGACATCACCAGTGAGGAACCAACCGTCCTCGGTAAACGATTCCTTATTCTCCTTGTCCCGGTTGAGGTAACCCTTCGTGATAGCGGGTCCACGCAGCCAAATCTCACCGCGAGGAGGGTTGCCTTGCGCCTTGTAGTTTCCTTCGGCACAGTCCACAAGCTTCAATTCTGCACAGGGCAAAATAACACCGTAGTTTTCGTCGACATTGTACACGGAGGGGGATTGCACCATTGCAGCAGCAGTACACTCGGTCAGACCATAGCCCAACAGCATGGGACACAGGGTCACACCGAGGAACTGCTTCGTGAAAGGTGCGAGCGGCGAACCGCCGGAGAAGATGAAGCGCAAGCGACCGCCAGTAGCAGCCTTGATTTTGTTGAAGACAAGGCTGTCGAGTAGCGAAGTACCGGGCAAGTGGTGACGGATCATGCCAAGCTTGGCATGGTAGGCGGTCCAGAAAAGCGAGCGACGGAATGCAGAGGCCGCATTGATCTTGGCCATAATACCCTTACGCACAAGCTCCCACACAGCAGGCACACCGATCATGATGGTAGGGCGGAATGTAGCAATGTCACCCTTGCAATTGCGCATGCTTGTGTCGGTCAAAGTGCGCACAGAGCCGTAACCGACAGTGCCACCCCAGCACAAGCAGACTGTTTCAAATGCAAATTCAAGAATGTGAGCCAAAGGAAGGTACGCCAAAAGAAAGTCGTTCTCGTTGGGCTCGGTAATGACGGCGACGATGCCAGAAACCAATGCTGCCAAGTTTGCATGGGTGATAACGACACCCTTGGGAAGACCCGTGCTGCCAGAAGTGTACATGATGCAGCACATATCCTCGGACTTGGGAGGGTTGGCCTCGGCCACAGGGGAGTCTCTCTCGAAATCATCAAAGTCGATAAGGCTGATGTCTGGCCGTGCTTGCTTGATGTTGTCGAGATCCTCCTGTTTGGGCTTACCGTTGTAGATAACGTGCTGGATGCTAGTGACCTCCTTCAAGGGAGCGACGATGGTGTGCAACAACCGTGCATCAGTGAACATCGCCTTCACATTCGTTTCACGCAGCGAATGCAGCAGACCCTCCTGGCCCAACGTGTCGTATGCAGTGACAATGGGTATGTTTTGCGACATAGCTGCCTGAGCAGTCAACAGCCAGCGGGCAGATGTTGCCGCATACATCTGGAGACGGTCTCCAGCCTGCAGACCCAACTTCAACAGACCGCCACCCAATTTGTGCACAGTTTCCAGCATCTGGTCGTAGGTAATGTACTGGTATTCGGACATTTCGAAATACGTCCAAGTCTTAGGAACCTGCTTCTGTTGGCCGTCAATTGTCTTCGTCACCATCTTCGTCTCAACATGCTCCTTCACAAGGGTTCTCCATCCTAACGCGTTCTTTTTTCCAAACTTCTTGCAAGAGGCTAGCAGGATTTCATAGCCGGTTTTCGCGCCATTCTCGGGAGTATCTAAAAGGTTCTTTGCCGCCAGGGAATTGCGGTAGACTGGTGTCTCACCGGGTCTGGCCTCCGTAGTTGCTAATAAGGTCAGTACTCCGTCCTGAACATGCCTTAAACCATGTTTCGACCCTGAATGCACCCTCCAGCGTCAAAGACAGCACGGATTCGGCCGTACAGGGTCAATTGGCTGCATACCTTGCGCGTAGACCTTCATTGTCAACAATTCTGTCTGGGAGAAAGACAATTTCTACGGGAACCGTCAGTGATGGTAAAATGTTGTTGGTTGAGGTTAAGTTAGGTGCGCTCGTCCCAGTTATAACCAATGCTTCTTGCTATTCGTATGCTGATTAAACGTGGGAGTGTGTTCCCAACAACACACGCATGACGCCATGTATGACGTAGTTAAATGCAAGCGCGTTTTGTTTACATGCGACGCGTCGCGAAGCGAGCGAGACGAGAGGGTTTAAAGACTAAAAAGCGCCGTTTTCGACAAAAAATAAATAAAAACAGTCGAAACGAAAAGGGGTTTATGATCAGCAGACGTCGAAAGACAGCGGTTCTTCGAGACTGACCTGTTGGGTTTTGCAAGTGATTTGTGACTGGTCGCACGTGGCCACACATCGAGAAGAGACACGCTTACTAAGTTGCTGGCGGAACGTGGTCAAACCGATGATTGGCATAGGCGCCAACCAATGTGCACGGCGCAGCAAGCTGCGGTAATTCCCATGGACAAAAGGTTCAGATCCGAATGGAGGAGCGGAAGACTGTCACTCCGAAATAAGGTATGAACGAGTTCAATGTCAGTAAAGCAACAAGCCGACAAGGGGCGGCGGCATGGATCGGCCTTTTAAGAGCCGAACCAAAAAACCGAGGGGTCTGTACACGTGCTACTCTTAATGATCGCTTAGGGATCATCCCTGAGCGGCAGTAACTCTAAATGTTGGGGATAAGGGTCCTACCACCAGTATGACAGGAAAGTCGCAGCAACACAGTTGTACTAGTAGTCGCCATGCCCGTGCTAGTAATAATGGTGGGTAAGTATATCACAATTGAAAGTAGTAATAAAAGTAGTAGAAGTTATAGTGAGTTATAGTGGGTAGTAAAATTCGTAAACGGAGAATTCTAGATAAGTAGCATCGATCATCGATCATCGATGAAATGAGAAGTCGTAATGGACAAATGGCTTCAAGACAACAGACGCTAGTCGAGTGTTTTTAAAAGTTCAAACCGGTACGTGCGGTTTTTTCCTTGGGTTGTCTTGATCGTCCCGAATATCGAATAAAAATCGATAGACAAACAGTGCATTCCTCCTCGCCCCTTCTTGCGTCTATTGTTTTGCATCTTCCGGACCCATTGGGAGAGACTTGTTGCGAGGAGTCAGGACGCGACGGCGGTACATGGCGGTCCAGTCTTGAAGATGTGCGCGTAGACGGGGAAAGTGGGAAGCAGTGCAGTATTGAGTGAATGACTCCATAAACTTCTGGCGCTCTGCGTCAGAAATAGTCGTAGGAGGAAGCAGAGACAAGACGTGGGCCATCGTCGCAGCACAAGCTTCGATACTTTTAGAGCATAGGAGCCGGATGAGAGGAAGGAGAGTGGCAGAGGCGTCTGGGATGTTGTCTTGGGGATACAAAAAGGCCATACCATTAAACAAAAGCACGAAAAGTTGTTGCGAATGCTGCATTAATTCATCGCACAGACGCGCAAGACATGTGTCGCTGAGAGGCTCGGACAGGCTGAACGGCGCATTGCCTGTAGCAAAGGCCACCATGTCTTGGAGAAAAGAAAGCACAGAACGCAACGGCTCGTACTGGGACAGTTGCAGTGAAACAAGGATTGCTTGAAGAATATGAGGGAACATATTGCTAGCAATCACCTTGTTCGGGTTTGCTAAGAATGCATCCATAAGCAGACGGAAGAAATCATCAATCACGTCCGGAATGTCTTTGGGATCCTTGCTGCTCAAGAACTCAAACATGTGCAAGCACTGAACTTCCACAAACTGCCAGATGGAATTCGTAGTGAAGGAGTCTACTTCTGGCCGGCCAAATTGGCGAACGCAGACGCCGCTGACCCACAGGAAACAGCCATAGTGTGTGTCGTTGAAGCCCTTCACAAGTTGTTCCGCAATGGCAGGAAGCGCTACAAGCGAATGATCCGGAAAAGTGTAGAGAAAGTTTTTGTAGAGTTTGCATAGCCGCTCGCACACAAGGATATCGTGCGTTGAGTCAAGGATGCGAGACAAAATGACCCAGATGTTTTGGAACAGCTTGACGGTTGGATGTTCAACAGTGGGCGAGCAAGGTTGGTTCACCTCGGTGAAGAAAATGGTGAGCATGTCTATGTTGTCGGCAAAACTTTCCAGTTCTGCCTTGCTGTGCGTGGTTTTCGTTTCCAGCGTAACAATAGTTTGCAAGATGGGTGCGATGCAGTTGTGCAATGCTTCAAAAATTTTGTCCAAAGGCTGGACGTTAATAATGTTTGCGATACCCTCGGTCACTTCCATTAACGCGTCGGTATCAAGCGCTGGCGAGATGTTCAAATAGAATGTGTGCAATTGGTCCAAGTAGTAAACCAAGTGTGTACGACAATCTTGGCAAAAGTGTTTTAAGGCTTGAGCGGCCGCGTTACGCACTTCTGTGCATTGCACAGAGAATCCAGAGGAAATGTAGTTCAGCTGGAACTCAAGGTACTCGCCATGCTGAGCCGTCCACTCGGTGTATCGTCCAAGGAATAAGGTACACGCATACCGAATCTTGTTGTTCTCGGGCAAAGAAGGAAGTAGCTTGATGATGTTGGGAAGCACAGTATTTTCGGTTGGCGGTACCATGCGTCCCATGGCCCGAAGAGCAAATAGAGAAGCCTCAATGTTCTGCCACACAAACGGCAGGCCCTTCTCTTTCTTTTGCAGGGAATCCAAAAGCTCAGCAGCGACTTTCGTCAAACATGGCTCAACACCTGCAACGATACAGCAGTCTTTCAAAACGTCACCCATTTCGTGACGGAACGAGCGAAAGCGGTCTTCAGCGTCCCGGTCGTCGAACAGCACCTCCTTGTTGCCCAGGGCATTGTTCTCCGTGAAATCATCCACGATAGGATAGTGCAAGTGCTGCAGGATGCTACCAAGCAGTTCTAGGTAGATTGGTGCAAACTGTTGTCGGGCATTTGCATACGCATCCAGTTCCAAAAGCTGTTTCAAATTCCACCAAAAAGAGAACGTAAACTTCACCGTTTCCAACTCTTCGTCCCAGGCGGAAATGTTGGCAATACACTGCACCAATCCAATGAAGTCGGCGGGTGAGCGTGCGACAAGCACGACCCAAGAGTCGCCAGCTTCGGCGAAAACACGACCCAAAGATCGAAACAGCAGGGGATCATCACGAGCCTCTTGCAAACGTGGTTGTAAAGCGACAACCTTGGGGTACAAAATGTTGATGGACTCGATGCACTCGTCCACCTCCTTGGTCTCGAACAACATACTGCACACCAGCTCTACCGCTGCATCGGTGAGAAAATCGTCGGTGATGGAATTGAAAGCAAGGTCACATAAAGGTGAAGTCAGTACGTCTGCCATTGGGATTTCACGCAACCAAGAGTTGAGGGCAGACAGCACAAGGGACAGCTCCGAATGAAGCGGTTTACCGGTTTGCATTTGCAGGTTGGTGACATACTGCAGTAAAAGCCGAAGAACGGCGTCGCCGTTGTTTCTCAAAAGCTCGTCAATTCGTTGACAAAGCTCCTCCCATGGCAGAGAAGTTTTTCGCGGGTCTCCGGCTTCCTCGGGGAGCACGGCAAGGAACTGAAGCATGCATTTTCCAGAAGTGTCTGACATGCATGCTTGGAACACATCATCCAGCACATTGTGCCAATCCAGCATATGAAGAGCCAATGCAGCGACACATACACTCAATGAAACGAGCAGAGGTCGTGGGCTATCTCTTGCAGAGACGTATATTGTGAGCAAGGTGGAACGCAGTTCCTCGTGAGCTTCTTTAGGTAATTGATGAAAGTCATAAATAATTTTCTGTCGTATCGTCTGAGCAGCAAAAAGTTTTGCTTCGATTGACGCGTCCGGTTGACGCAAGATGTTTACACTGACATCCCAGCCTGCCGTCTGTAGTATCGTTAGCGGTCAATGTTTCCTGTTTCCAGCACTACGTACACTTTTTTGAAATTCTTCCAAGTATGCATTTGCTTCAACTTTTTGCGCGCGATCAGAATTTGAGTAGAGAGTCTGTAGTGCGTTTACAAGAGTATCCATGTGAACTTTTAATACAAATGAGCAAGAAACCACATGCAAGCAGACAGGAGCAACTGGGAAGAATGATGGAAGGCAGCTGCTCTAGGCGACCTGGAATTACGCGGTCCACCGGTGTTCGGTAGCAGAACGCGCTAAATGAAACCTTAATTTCGCGACTGACTGGGCACCGTGTAACAAGAGAAGGATTGAGAGAATTGCAGACAAAGATGCGAAGAAGGAAATGACAGATGAAATGGCGACGATGTTTCTTTTGTTGCTTCGGACGTGACTCAGCGGATTGCGGGATTTCTCTGCTAAAGTAACCATCACAAAACGCCCGACGCGTTTCGAAGTCCTCGTCTTCAGCTCTTAATGCAGCTTTCATTTATTCACCACTAACAATTCAACCTCATTTCCCCTCCGCCCAGCTTCATTTGCTCTTCTGCGATGCGTCATTACTTGAATTTCGCAGCATCTGTCAACCTGCCTTCCACCACACACATTCCTTCCAAAGCAATTCTTACAGAAAAACAAAAGCCAAGATGTCAGGACGCGTTCAAAAGGTTATGCTGCCTCCTATTGTATGTTTTTTCCCAAAAAAATCCGTTTCTAACGCTTTTCTAGAACTTTATTTTCAAACTTTTGCAACAACACACACCCGTTCAAATTTGGCTTTACGAACAGCAAACACATCGCCTGGAGGGTCTCATCCGAGTATGTCTAGGCTTTTATGAAGAATTTCAGGGTCTTTTTGTTAACAAGTCTCAGGGTTTTGATGAGTTCATGAACATTGTTTTGGATGATGCTGTTCAAGTTGACGACAAAAACCGGAAACGCGCTTTGGGTATGAATAGAGGTTATGGGGAGGCTCTGTCGGTGCATAGCAACGTGTTCTCGCTTGACAAACGATCTTTGCGCATTCTATACACACCCTTTTCTACGCAAGGTCCCCTATGTCATTCCCCGTCTCTCTCTCTCTCTCTCTCTTTTCCTCTTTCTTCTTTTCACTAACGTACAGGCCGTATCCTTCTCAAGGGTGATAATATTACCTTAATCAGAGCTATTTAGTTTTTGGTTCCACTAGCACCACTAGTTCCTGTCTAGCTTGTTTCTTTCTAGTCCTTGCGTTTTTTACTCGATTTTTTCCCGTCCGACTTGCTGCTGCTGCTCTTTTTTTGCTTTTTCTTCTTTGGTTCCTCCTTAGACTTGGCAGCAGGGGCTGCTTCGTTTTCAGGAACGGCCATTTCTACATCCTGTTGCTCGGAAGAGGCAACGGGAGCATTTGCAGCAGCACCAGTCGTCTGGACATCACCAATGGGATGGAAGTGTTGGTACAAGTCTTTGGGTTGGGGGACTGTAGGCTGTTCTCTGTCCACCTTAACGTCGGGTGCAGGATCGACAAACTCGGGCGTCTCAACAACTGCAACGCTCTTAAGAACTGGCTTGCGGACGTAGACGCCGTCCTCTTGGGGGACGAACACCTTGAGTGTTGTGGCAGAGTTCTGAACGACAGCGCATGCCTTTTTTTGGTCCTTCAACTTGATCGTTGCCCGTTTTCCAAGTTGCATCTCCTCAATATCATCAGCAGTGACGGAGGGTGGCAGACGTACGAGAACCACGCGGTCCTCTTTCTCAAAATCACGCGCCAAATGTCCAAGCTGGCCCTCAATTTTTGAAAAACCTTCGGGCGTTTGGGGAATCAAATTCGCTACTGCTTTCGCAGAAGCCTTGGGAGCAGCCGACGTCGCTGACGGCTTCTTTGCTGCTGCAAGCTTTGATTGCAAAGGAGCATCCTCCTCCATGCTGGAGTCGCTGATATCCTCGTCCGAACTTTCGGTGACCCTCTCTTGACTCAGCTTGGACATTGCTCTTGGTTGAGGTGCAAACAGTTGCTGCAAATTGGTGGAGGTGTTGCGCTCTTAACGCGCTTCACGGAGGATTAACGAATACAGTGTCCCTCGTTAAGGCACGTAAAGAGAACAAGGTGAAATTGCAGCTTTGCAGAAAAAAGCTGAAGCTGGTTGAAGCTGGCTCGTTCGGTCGAATCTGGCTTATTTGATTGAACCGGTTCGTTCGATTTGCTCCCCGTCAACCCGCGGATTACAGTTGTCGTTTGGCCAGCGTTCGTACTCGCAGGTCGAAGGCTTGTGAGTGAATCGGCTGGTTGGGCTCATAGAACGGGTTCATTAACATTTTAATGTATAGTTCGTGCAATTCCTGGAAAAAGAGCTTGATCCCGTCGTCGTTCTTTGTTTTGTGGAGCAGAATGAACTTTATATTCGACGGTGTCAGGAACGCTGAAATCATGGTATCATGGAATTGGTCAATGGAACGCAAGTACAGTGAATTACTTGTCCACTGGCCTTGTTCGATCAAGTCCAGTGAAGCATGTGCGACAAATTGATGAAGATGAGACTTCAAAATCTGTTGAGATTAGCAAGCGACAAGGAAAAACGGTATTTGCAGCAACAGCTGCAGGAACGCCACACACATCTTCATTCATCTCCTTAATAGGAATGATTTCCAGCTCGTACACTGGGTTGTCTTTTGTGCCAATAATGGCCAGGTAGGAAGCCATTAAAGTGGATGTATTGTGCTAAGTGGGAATTTCTTGACCAGATGTTGCAGCCAGCAGCACGACGAAACGATGGAACTGTTGCAAAGAAACAATATCACGACGTAAACAGTGGAAAAAAATGAGATGAATGACCGTTCAGTGTGTTGGAAGAGGAACACGAAAGTGACACTCAACAGTGTGTGCGATAGTTACAAGTTGTATTAGAGTGGTATATCTAAACGAAAATTAAAGAATCTTAATTTGTCTAAGCGAACCTTGTCTCGTATAAGCTTATCTAAGATTGTTGCGCATTTTTTTAAACTTCCCGTAACCCCACATTTCTCAAGTCTCCCAAAACAAAAAGTATGAATGAAATTCCAGCTGGCCCTGGCTGGTCCCAGCTGTTCAACTAGAGTCTGTTCACATGCCCTCGGTTAACAAAATTAACATTTTAAGCCATGACCTTGTCGTCGCTGGCATCGCCATTGTCGATGTACTCAACAGTAGACGTTTTCTTCACGTAGTAGCCCAACAGCTTGACCTTGAACTCGGCAGCTGTGATACCAAACAGCTTAAGAAGGCGTGTTTGGCGACTATCGAGTGGTTCTCCCTCCTTGGCCAGAGTGAAGTCTGTCAGCAGGGTAACCACGCCGTTTTTCAATGTAGTTGGCATGCCCAACTGACGAACCTGAGGCTCGAGAGTGTGGGCCAACAGAATATCATCCTCGACGGGAATCTGGCCAGCGCGAGAGTATACAGGACCCTCGGGAATGATAACGCTGAAAGGAGCAATGGCTCCAGCACGAGCATAATCGTTTTGAACAAAAGATTCAAAGTAGCCCTTGACCTCCTCGGGCTTACTGTCGGTGAACAAAAGACCAACGCTGCCGTGGAGCAACTTGGTCAGCTTGCTGACATTTTCTGCATGCTCCTCCTCGGGCGTGTAGCCCAAAGCCTTGGCCATGACTTTTGTTTTTCCCATAAAGATCCGACTGCCCTTCCAGTCATCACGAACACGTTTTAAGTACGTGTTCCGCATATTTGCAACGTCAAACACCCAGGCCTGTGTGCGTGTGTTAGTAAAAATTAAGTAAACCCGGGAGTGAGAAGAGGAATACAAGAGCTTGTTCACTTGACCGAGTTTCATTCAAAGTTGCAGGAAGAGCTGCCAGGATGCTGCTCGTCGCCATTCATCACCATTTGCACTCCTCTCAAGCTCGTTCCCGTCCACGGTATTCGACTGCCCTGTATCGTCCTCTGTTCCCCAACTCATCACATACGTATTCGAATTCGTCTAAAGCAGCCTGGATGGACGAGTACAAAGCGACCTTTCCATCTCGTCCCTTCTTGTCGGTCTGAGCAAGCGTAACAAGACGTGATCTCCGTGATCTGGGCATATTTCCTGTCGGTCTGCGCGGTAGATGGAGAAGGTGAAAATTCCCTTCCCCAGCCAGGTCGGTAGGCAAGCACTGGGCCACGTTGGAGTGCAGTATTGTTGCATAGTGCAGTCTTGTGTGGGTTGGTGAAAGAGGCTAGTGTTGGCTAGCGCATTGTAATCCTCAAATACCGCGCAGTCTTGTGAGCCCCAAATCTCATATAACGAAGTGCAGTGAAAGTTAGTGTGTTGGTAAGGAGGAAAAACCCGTGCGGGCCTGCTGCTGCGGGTGAAAACGGCGCGGCTGAATCGTGCGCTTCAGTAACAGGAATGAACTCAGAAGAAAGAGATAAGTATTGGCGCATTTTCCAAGGACTTGAGCCGAAAAATGGCTATCTGGATCAAGGGAAAGCAGTCCAAGTGTTGAAGAGCAGCCGTCTGCCAGACTCGCAACTTGAGAAATTATGGGATCTGGGAGGTATGATGATGCGAGAAGGAAGACGAAACAGAGAGTCGGCGAATTCAATGTGAGCTGCAACTAACGACATCCATGGGAAAAGACATCGACGACGATGGAACACTGGATTTTGATGAATTTTGTGTCGTCATGAAAATCGCATTTAGGCTGATTAATCATGTACGTCCCTGTGTGCAGGACGAATTGAAAGACTGCTGATTGGCGTTTGCACACCACTTCGCTTCTGTCCTGGTTTGACTTTGTTGATACTTTTCTCTAACACTTTGATGTAGGAATTATCTGAAGTGCCAAAGCACATCCCAGAAGAGCTTGTCCCCGCGTCCAAACGACACTTGGTTGCAGCACGAAACGCACTCGCCGGTGAGGACAACATGAAAAGCCTCGTGCAGGAGGTCGTAGATGCAGACGCGGATCCAGACGACGATGAGCTGCGCGATGGATTCGAATGGTACATGAGCCCGAGTGAACGTGCACAGTACACGCAACGGTACACAGAGTGCTGTGATGTGCACGGCAGATGCACGTTTGATTCACTCGCTGATCGGTATCCCAACACAAGGGTGCCGGGTGTGTGTGTACGTCGGGCCTGGCGAATGGTAAATCCCAAAAACGGGCAGACCATCGACAAAGACCAATGCCTTGTCTTTCTTCACATACTCGAGAAGCGAGTTCTGGGCTACCGAATCCCCCACCAGATGCCCGCCAATTTAAAGGCTAGTTTACGGCATGATCACATTGACTACCGGGTAGAGCATGCAAACACAAAGTCAATTAACGACCAGGGTGCTGCTTCTCAGTCTCGGGATGCTGGAAAAGATCGTTCCTCCTACTCGACAACTCCCGAACACACGTCTGATCGTGATTGGGAACTTGTTGTTCTGAAACGGGAACTCGATACGTACACGAAACGGGTGGCCCAAGAAGAAGAAGCATTGTTTGAATCGGAAAAGCAGGTTCGGGAATTACAGCGCGAAAAGAGCCTGTTAGAAAAAGCACAGAAAATTGCTCCCCTGGATCAGCAGACTCGGCATCATCTGGAGGGAAGTCTTGCCTCACTGGAAAAGTGTGCTGAAATGTTGGAGCAGCTACTTCGTAGATGCTCTGCCAAGTAAATGAAAGGAAACAGAGTCGTGAGAATTAGAGGAAGCGTGTATTGTGCTTCGTATGCTGAATGTGTGCAACTATTACTTCTTGCTGCGGTTGAAAAACAATTTCTTGGTGACCCATCCAAAAAGTGCAGCACCCGAAAACACTGTACCAGCGACAATGGCCATTCCGATGTAGCCGTCTGTAAGCGAAAAACTGTTAGTAAGTGTTGCAAAGACACGCATACACACACTCTCTACTCCATCAAAGCCGCCCTCTCCTTCATACAAACCTTTTTTGACGTCGTGATGAATCATTTCTCGAAGCAACGCAGCTTCGTTGTTCTTCGGTTCCTTAGCAAGAAACATATCAATATACCGGCGTGCCTCGTCGTATTCAAAAAGCTTGTAGTAAGCCAGGGAAATGTAATACAGACACTCTAGTCTTCTCTCTGGAACTTCCTTATAGATACTTGAAAACAAGTTCAGTCCTTGGCGTTGTTGGTGCTCTGAGCTTGAACGAATCAGTACCCAAGCAAGATTGAACTGTGTCTGAACAGAGACAATGGGTTTCTCCTTGTCATAGGACTCCTTCACCTGTAAATACTCTTCAACAGGAACTTCACGGCGGACAGCCGTAGGCGGTGGTAAACGAATATGAATTTCTGAAGTGCTCATGATGAGTGAACTAAAGGACGTGTTAGCAGTACGGTTTATGTTGAATTTCCACGCGTATTGCACTCACAATTTCTTTGAGCAATTGGCTAAAGGCAGAAGAGATACTGTCGGTGCCCTGTGCTGTGAGGATAACGCACACGTCATGCCTCCAGGCAGAATAGTGAGGATTGAGAAAGCATGTTAAATACATTAGTGAATTGTAGTGTAGTTTGTTTATTTATATTAATTCATATAGTGTACTTCATTAAACCTCCTTATTTGATGTTTTCTGCTGATTCCGTTTCTGAGCTGCTTCAGTCGTTATAGAACGTCTCAACATTTTCTCTCAATCCTCAGCGGTCTCCTAGTCGCTTCTCTTATTTTTCCATTTTTTATTTTATTTTTTACAATTTTTATTTATTTTTTTTAATTTAGTCCTCCCATACCTAAAGAATATTATTATCTTCAACACCGTAACACCAAAAACCAGAGGATCTTTCGCACACGAGGCCTCTAACACCGTCTAAACAAAACAATATGGACAAGGTACGAGAAACGCAAACACGCCATGTGCTGTCCTCTAACAGTTTTAGCTGTTGAAAGAAATCCAAGACAAAGCACTGGACGCACAACAGCAGTACCGAAGCGTCTCTATGATGATCGCATCCAAGGAGCGTCAAAACAAAATGAATCAATTAACGCTTCGGGAGCTTTCTGATATTCAAAAAGACGCAGCCGTGTATAGTGGGGTTGGAAAAATGTAAGCAATACGAACGGAATCAGTTTTTTTTTTGCGGAACTAACTAACAAACTCAGGTTCATACGCAGCAACGTTGACACTGTCAAATCTTCCATTGACAAAGATGTCAAGTCCAACAATGAAGACGTGGAAGCGCTGAAGAAGAAACTGAACTACTACGAAACAACATTAAAGAATGCCACTGAACATATTGTTCGCGTTCAACAAGCTAATAACGCTGGTAATTAGACAGACGCGTCGTAAACAAACGCGACGCGTGTGCCTTTATTAGCATTTATTCGCTACATGCCAATTGTTTCGGGACTGCCGCTGTGACTGCTTTTCTTGTAAGATAAATACCGGATCCTGGTTCTCCATTCCACCATCAACCTTCAAGCTTGGTAAGTTCAATACAGCTTCTCCATTGGAATTGCAATGATGATACCATAAAAGCATAGTTCAGCTGAGTGACAAGCATGCTGATACTCCAATCCATCGATTTGCACGTCAGTCTGAGTCAATTCCGATGAGAAGCACTGTTTTTCTCTTCGAATCAATTTACTAACATCTGCAGGTTTATAAGTTAGACGGCCAATAAATATTCTGACATGATAGAGTGTCAATTTAAGTATGCATTGTTGTTTTAGTCATTTTTGGGAGGATGTGTTTGAGTGGTGTTTCATCAAGCATTTTGTGTCGCGATTTACAGAGTTGTTGACTGGTCTCCGGTCTCTGTTTATCATTGTCTAGCTTTCAGGTGCATTCAGGCAATTCTTGTTGCAGCGATGCAAGAGTATGCTCAGTTAAACAAGCGTAGTAAGGTAGATAATTTGGGGTTCTACTTTCGGTAAAACGAAAATACAATGATAATAGACTCCATTGTGAACTTTTTATGAGCATGCCAAAGTCTCTTTTCGGTTTCATTTTACTTCTATCATTTGTTGTATTAGGTTGCATTTACTAGAACTAGAAAGAAAACGAGTTTCATAGCAAGTAGTAGTAAATGCAACCTAATACAACTTGATAACTTTTCATACAATAAACAGTCTCCGTGTATGGTCTCCGCCTATGGTCTACACTGTCAATAAACGAGGCTTGTCTAGTATAAATTGACAAATACTCCTTTCTTGTGAACATCAATTCATGCTATAAAATTGTTCCGAGCACACGACGAACTAAATGTCAATCGATTTCCATTGAGCATCATGGATTTGCTATTAACGAATACAGTCACTACTCAAAAACCGACAAGGTTTGTTCAAAACATCGTCCCTTTTTTTTTTGCCCGCTTTAGAATTAGGTGTCATCATAGCTCATTTTATTTCGTAGCTAATAAAGCATACATGTCGGCGATTAACCATCCTTTGAATTTTCACAGTTCATTACTCAATAATTTCTGTAATTAGTCCAGTTCCGACTGTGTTACCGCCTTCGCGAATAGTAAAGCGTTGTCCTTTTTCAACAACAATGGGATGAATTAACGAACAGACAAGCTCAACATTATCTCCAGGCATTACGAGAGCATGAGGATCAGCGCCTTCAACGTGCTTCAACTCCACAGTAACATCTGAGGTTCGTGTGTACATCTGAGGACGATAATTGTCGACGAAACCAGTATGGCGACCACCCTCTTCTTTTGTAAGAATATAGAAGGATGCCTTGAATTTTTTATGCGCAGAAACAGAACCGGGAGCAGCTACAACCATACCCCGGCGTACTTGTTCACGCTTAATGGAACGCAAAAGAAGGCCACAGTTGTCGCCTGCAATTGCACTCTCAAGCTGCTTTCTAAACATTTCAATGCCCGTAACCGTAGTCTTGATCGTGTTTCCGTAACCCACAAGTTCAACTTCAGAACCCTTGTTCAAGGTTCCGCGTTCTGCACGACCAGTCACGACAGTACCGCGACCAGAAATAGAGAAAACATCCTCGATGGCCATAAGGAAAGGCTTATCCACATCACGTTGAGGGGTGCTAATGTATTCATCGACGGCATCCAAAAGCTTCAAGATACTGTCACGACCAATCTCAGGGTTACGACCCTCAAGAGCGCAAAGAGCACTGCCTGCAATAACGGGGGCATTGTCTCCATCGTAGCCGTATTGAGAAAGAGTTTCACGCATTTCCATTTCAACCAACTCAACCATATCCTCGTCGACCATATCAACTTTGTTGATGTACACAACAATGTCCTTCACACCCACTTGATGCGCTAACAACAGATGCTCTCGTGTTTGAAGCATTTGCCCATCAGTGGCAGAGACCACAATGATGGCACCGTCCATCGTCGCTGCACCTGTGATCATGTTTTTAATGTAATCTGCATGTCCTGGACAATCGACATGTGCGTAATGACGCTTTTTGGTCTCGTATTCTACGTGTGCAGTGGAAATGGTAATTCCACGCGCTTTTTCTTCTGGAGCTTTGTCAATCTGGTTGTAATCCATAAAACTGGCTTGACCAGTTTCTGCCAAAGTTTTCGTTATAGCCGCCGTAAGAGTAGTCTTTCCGTGATCAACATGACCAATGGTTCCTACGTTCACATGAGGTTTCGAACGCTTAAATACCTAAGACAAAAAGTGTTAGAAGAGAATACGTCGTAAAACTAAAATAAACAAGAACACGGATGGACGAAACCACAATAAAAAAACTCGTTACAATAGCATACTGATGTTCATCTCACGTACTTTGTCAGACATAAACCTTGCACCGGCATAACGAAAGGATTGAGTTTTTGAGAGAAGAACGTTTGGACCAGCCAAAGTGCTTCTAGTCAAAAGAGCACGGAGACCGTTCGTCCAAAAGCGGCCAGTTCTTGCTACAAGCATTGGAGAATTGAGGTGCTTTGAGAATCTAACAATATTCCGTTTTTCGTTCTATGAGCCGAGAGTTGGTTGTTCGTTCCTTGGCTGGAGGTCGAAGCAAACAAAAAACAAAAATCAAAAAGAGATTGAAACATTGAGAGACCCACTATAAACACCATTGTGTCATATAGATACATCTAGCTATACACTTCATACACTTCTTCCTACTTCAAAACATTTTCCATCTTGTTTCCTACATAGCAAATGATGCAGTGCCCACAGGCAAAACACATGGATAGTAATAAAAAATGAAAATAATACAATCTCAGCTTTTAGAGAGCCATAGCATATAAAGGCAATGTAGGCCTGGACAGGGATGCATTTATTTATCTTTCACCCTTCAACTTGTTGAACCGATATCATTTCATGACTCTAAAAATGACCCACAGTACAGCTTTGGGAACACACACATGGTAATAGTACAGAACGAAATTCATATGTACTAGAAGAAAAGGTATACCAGATGTTCATTAGTAATTCTCGTAGGGAAATAGAACATGCTATGAAATCAGGTTCAGAGGACTGCCTGAAATAAAGTGTTCCTATAAACTTTCATTTTCTCGTCTAGCCGTGTGTTGTTCGAAGAGACACGTTTTCACCCTCTTAATCCTTGAACCAAGACCTTTAGACGAGTTTCTTTTGTAACATTTTATGCTTCTGATTTAGGAGGCGAAATTAAAATGACAGAGTCGCCTAATGAGTTAGTACACGGTGTAAGTAGTCGAAAACGATTAAAAGGAACGCAGATTTATCGGCCGCTAAACCAACAGACTTCGTGCGATCTTTCCAAGCGTTTGTCATACCTCTAACAAAAAGCATTTCAGAGTGTTTACGGATAGTTTTGGGAATACCATCAACAGTGCCTGTCACCAAGTCCTCCACGCTAGTAATGACCTCTTCAGCATCACCGAGAACCATGTTCTGCGAACGGTGTTAGACAACGGTTCGATCGACAGAAAACGAAAACCACTCAGAACAATTCGACACGTACCAAATGCTCGTCAAATGCCTAAAATTACTGTTAGAACATCTTCAATAAAAGGAACTCTCTTCATACGTGTAGACGACCAAACAATTCGCGATCTCCTCTAAGCTTTACATGAACGCGTTCATCCAGACATAAACGAACCAAGTCCAAGGGCTCTGCAACCTAGAATGTGTCAATACAGATCCAACGACACGTTTATTAAGCATCGTACAGCTTGTGTGGATTCCATTTTCGGCAATAACTGCACAGAGTTTTGTTCGTCGTAGGAGGAGACAGTTACTTCCCTGCTTTAGCACGTTAGACAACGTTACGACATCGTAAATCCAGATAACGAGGAAGGACGGACACATGCTTGCATGAATCACAAAATCTTTTTAGTGAGATGCATTGTTGTCGTTAAATAGGTTAACGAAACCTAGTACACTTCAGCGAGAGGAAGTCCTCCCAAATGCCAAGCAGGACAGAGAACAGGAAGGCCCAATATGTTTTCGTTGACGAAAGCGTTTCTACCATGGAAAAACGCGATACAATTACTAAATAGATACTCAACGATGAAAGTTAGCACGCTTCCGCATCCACAAGTCCCGGTGCGTTGCTTTGGACTGCTTTCTCAACTGGTAAATAATGACTACAAGGCGAGAAAACGCGTTGGTCGTGGCCCAGGTTCGGGCCGTGGAAACACAAGTGGTCGCGGACGAAAAGGCTCTGGTCAACGACGCGGTCGGCGTATCCGTCCTGGCTTTGAAGGAGGCCAAACGCCGTTAATGAAGTTATTTCCTAAAGTCGGATTCAGTACTGCTCATTTGCCCAAGCTGGTTGCCTTGAACGTGGACCGGGTGCAACAATGGATAGATATGGGTCGCTTAGACGCAACGAAAAAGATAACTATGAAGGAGCTACTAGACACTCGTTGCTGTCGTGGAATTAAGGACGGTGTAAAGCTCCTTGCCCGAAACAGCAAGTCTCTGCATACACCTATACACATTGAAGTTACCAAGGCATCTGCAAGTGCGATTGAAGCTGTTGAATCCAGCGGGGGTACTATTCAAACAGTGTACCACAGTCGACTTGGCCTGCGGAGTCTTCTATACCCAGAGAAATTTCGCCTTCTCCCCAGACAAGCTTTACCGATTTCCCAAAAGAACATTTCCTATTACACGGATCCAGCGAGGAGAGGATACCTTTCCGGTAAAAACATTCTCCAACTCTACTACCCTCACCAATCCCTTCGGAAACGTCGCAATGCAAACGTTGGACGGGGTCGTTAGAATGAACAGTGATCGCTATGAGCATATCGGATATAATCATGTTAATGCAACTACCAATGACAAGGAGAGACAGTGAATAGCAGAGTGCGGCAAGGAACGGAATTGAGTTCCCCTATACAGTGAACCTCCACCTTTACATCTTTCTCTCTACCTCTATTGCCTACCGTCTACCGCCTACTACCTACCTCTCATCTCACTACACACTACGACGCACACCATACCCATGCTTCCCTTCCATCTGCCCGACTTCCACACACTACGTCTCAGTATATCTCGCTAAGCAGCTTTATATACTCTACTGCACCGCACTGCATCTCATTAAACCACCTCTCTGGCCAGCCGAAACTTCCTTCCTTGCACGGGCGAACGTTGTCAGGACAAGTCTGCAGAAAAACGAAAAACAACAGGATGTCGAGTCAGTCTCCATTCATCAAACGGTTAGCAGCAAATGGTAAGTTCCTACGACTTAATCTGCACAGTTTCCGACCTTTGGAACGGCATTCGGGCGTGTTCTTTGGGCCGAGTCCTTGTCGCACATATTAATTCATCGTTTTCGACGTGTTTTCTGTAAATGAGTGTCTTGCTAACATACTACGAAAACAGACAGAAAGACTCGTGACAGCGCTCTCGAGTCTCTGCAGCGTTTTCTGTCACAAAAAAAACCCTTTACCAAAATGGATTTTCTAAAATTGTGGAAGGGCCTGTTTTACTGTATGTAATGACTCAGAGATGTTGCTAGCTATCAACTTTACTCTCTCCTTTGAATATTCGTCATCATTTAGTGTCTAACAATTGACCAGGCATGTGGATGGCCGACAAGCCTCGTTACCAGCAGCAATTGGCACAGGAATTGGCAGACCTGACTCCATTCTTACGTCCAGAGAACCGTCTTTTGTTTTTGCAAACTTTTTGGGAAACAATGGGTCGTGAATGGGTTGGTTTGGATGCTTTGAGAATCGACAAATTCTATTCTTTAATGCGTCGTTTCGCAAACGCCGGATTCAAGAACGTCAAGGTGGAAGGCGAACAAAAGGGACTGGATGAAGCTCTCGCTGAATATAATCAAATGCTCATAGAGGGGCCATTCGAGTATGTCTTTGACTGCGTGTCGCCATCAAGTTACATCAACGGTTTACTAACGACGACTAATTTAGTTCCGAAAACTTGTCATATCCTGCTGGTGTTATCTACCATCTTTGCGATTTGTGGACGGATGAATTGAAAAAGGTCTATGAAGATGATGTTCCTAAGGCCGAATGGTACAAGCCTTTCGATCACATCCTTGAGACCTCAAAACGCACTCCATTTAAAAACACAATCATCAAACGGCTTGAGCGTCTCAGTTGGGATGAATAAAATTACGGGGTTATAGGGTATGCGACGAAGGAGATATGAGAGTGAAGGGCTATTCAAATGTGTTCGGGTAATCTTAAGGCATCTGCACCTCTCAAGTATTATTATTAGAAGCTCAATTTGCAGCACTGGTGCTTTTTTAAAGGAGTCTACTAAGAGGAAGGCTCGAATCAGCTGCCTTCACTCATCCATTTCGTTCGTTTCGTTTCAACAAGTAACTAAAAGGCTAAGCGAGTGTGATCTAAAAGGACCAACTCATGAAGCGAGAGGTGGTATCCATAATATATTTTTTGACAGGTTCATGTAATAACTATGGAATATAAAAATCATTCATGCCAATGCACTGACCAAGTTAATCATGTTTCCATGTGTCGCTTCTCACAAACGAATTTGGATAGCGAAATTACTGTAGGGAAGCCTCCTTTAATAGCATCTATGACAAAGGAACTCCCAATACAAGTCTCTTTCATCTCTTCGTTAATTTCTTTGTTTAGTTCTCACTATATATAACATGTACAACACAGCTCATTCCTTTCTCGATACTACTCCTTTACACGCGTTGTTGACGGGTTCAATTCCTCGTTCTTCCCCTTTTAATACCAATAATCAATTTCTTAAGAATGCAGCTTTTGTAGTAGTTACGGCATTCCCAAATTGTTCTTCTCTATCTAAGGATTCTCACATGCTCGTTTCTTTCTTTTGATCAGTAACTTAAGACCCGTTGAATAATGAGTTTGATATTCTTTTCATCGGGAATCCACCACACAGCTTTCTACGACTTAACCGTTAACATTGGTTACTTCTCATATTAACGGATCTCAGAGACAATGCCTACTAGTACAAATAAGGGAGATCAGAAGGGACATGTCATTGTTATCAAGCTTGGTATGTCGCTTTTTTTTAAAGGGGTTGTGCTGAAGCATCACGTCTGTAGTTTTTCAAACTTGAATATGCTTTTCTGTTACCCTTCAAGGAGCAGGAGGTTGTGAACACATTCTTGAGTTTTCATACTCTCCATCTGCTTTTTATTCCGTTGTTTGAACACAATGTTAACAAGCAACAGGTACTTCATCCATTTGCGATGAAAAGACACATGAACCCCTAATCTGCAATCTGTCAATGATTGTGGAGACGGTTGTCAAGCTTAGAAGACAAGGTCACAGCGTAGTCATTGTTTCTAGCGGTGGTATTGGTATGGGACTTCGTCGGATGGACCTGCCAAAGAGGCCAAAGAAGCTTTCAGCCGTGCAGGCTATTGCTGCAATTGGTCAGGGACGACTCATTTCCCTCTGGGATAATCTGTTTTCACAGTTGCGACAACCTATAGCTCAGGTTCTGCTGACTCGGAACGATATCATGGAGGTATGTCTTGAAAAGTGGAACATGGATTTTTAAATTCGAAAGCATTTCCATCAACTTTCCCCATTTTTATCATTACGACTAACTCGTTTTAGCGTAATCAATACCTTAACGCAGCTAATACGCTTCATGAGCTTATGCATATGGGGGTGGTTCCCATCGTGAATGAAAACGATACTCTTTCTGTTCAAGAAATTCGTTTTGGTGATAACGATACACTTTCCGCAATCACAGCAAATATGATTAATGCCGATTTCCTGTTCCTTATGACCGATGTTGAGTGTTTGTACACTGCAAACCCCCGCGTGGATCCTAACGCAAAACCTGTCACCTTGGTCCATGACATTTCAGCAGTTACTGCTGATGTTTCCTCGCCCGGAAGCGGTGTCGGAACGGGTGGTATGCGGACGAAGCTGATTGCTGCAGAACTCGGTACTTCTGCCGGCGTCGATGTTATTATCTGCAAGAGCACAAAACCATCTGTTGTCTTTGACATCATTAACGATATTGGAAATGCCGATAAACCTTCTCATAAGCAAAACCCTGGTCTGTTGTATACCCGGTTCGTGGCGAACAAGGGCAGTAGAATGCGTGACCGTCACTTCTGGCTTAAACATGGGCTTAAACCTTTTGGACGTTTGATCATTGACAAAGGTGCATATGCTGCGATCAGCCGCACGAATCGTGCGGGATTGTTGCCTGTAGGTGTCATTGGCGTTGAGGGCCATTTCTCCGATCATCAATCTGTTTCCCTCGTTTACGAGGGTGTTGAAATTGGGTGTGCTCTCGTAAATTACAGCAGCACGGAAATTGAACTTATCAGAGGAAAGAATAGTTCTGAGATCGGCTCAATTTTGGGTTACTACGAAACTGAGTATGTTGCCCATCGTGACAATTTGGTTATCAACAAGCCTTTCCAACCGTAACTCGTTGTTCGTGTAGTGTTATAGAAACCGTGTTTCTTTTCCTGAATAGATTCGTTTTGTTAGTGCTTAAGAGTGGTTGCTTTGACGATCTACTTCATAACTGCGTGTATACTGCACTGCTATTCCATCCTATTTTACGTAGTTCTCATCGTTAAAATTTTCTGTCATTTTCTGTTTCTTTAAGGTATGAAGAATGAATAAGTATTTCTGGATATCGTTTTCCCTAATCAGCGGAACTGCATACACAGCTTACCGTTACAATCTTCAGAAACAAAGGCTAAACAGGACGTACTACTCGGATTTCATTTTGGACGAATTGCAGATAGTGGATAATGACTTGGTGAAATGCTCTTTAAAACCAAAGGTTCCACTGCAGAGAGAAAGTCTATTAAATAATTGGAGCTATATTACCATTTGCAATCCATACGTCCAAGCTGAACGGGAGTTTTCTCCTCTGACTCGTGACTTAAACGATATAAAACTCTTCATTCGTACGTATAATAAAGGAACACTTGGTTCTTATATTAGACGCTGGAAACCTGGAGACACGATTCGAGTCCGTGGTCCCCATCCAGTAACGAATGTGGACATAAACCAGTACTCTCGCATCATTGCTGTCATCGCTGGAACGGGAATTGCACCTATACTTCAGCTGGCTCATTTCTACAAGAAGCCCTTGGAGGTAATCTACTTTGTGAGAAACAATGTCCCTCCTTTCTACAAAGATGAACTAGAACAATTATCTTCCAATGCAGATGTTCAAGTCATTCAAAATCGCCCACTAACGGCTTCCACCATCGCAAGCATACTTCACAGCAAGGAACGCGAGTCCCCAGATGATGTACTATTTCTCATTTGTGGAAATGACTCCTTCGTTCAAAAGTTAGTTGGCGACGTTCCATGGAGCTCACGCAGAAGGCTGCTTGGCGAACCAAAAGGTATTTTATCATCTAAACAGAAAAGGAATTTTATGGTATTATAAGGATTGTTGTCGATAAATACTTTTGCAAAGTGAAACCAACATCAATCCTAAAAGATATTTATGAGAGATGAATGATAAACGACCAAGTACGAAATAACTTATTCAAGGAACTTCATAATTGCGTCGGTGGTAATTTCGTCTTGTTCGTTAAATTCAATGACTTTCTGAACTTGAGCCTGGTTTTGGAACCAGACCTTTGCGGAAGCGTAAAGCATAGACATTTCACCAGAAACAGCTCCGGGGCGCCAATACAATAGGAACATAGGAGTGGAAAGGCGTCCATCTTTTGTCTTCATAGGATACGATACGAGCACGTATCTCAAATTCGTGTCTGGCAACTCATCAGCAAGCTCCTCAATAGATTCCAGCTGTTCAATGTCTCCGTCAGGAACAACCTCTTGAGTATTTTTGTTGATTTTTAAAAGCAAGACGTAGAGATTAGTCTTTTTAAGTCGAAGACGGAATCGATCAATTAAGCCAGTTGTTTCGGCAGAAATACTGAACATACGCGCCTCAGAGCCCATAATGAAATGTAATGAATGTTAAATGAAGGGGTAATATGTTTTTTCTCAACGAATACGAGGGACAAACAAACAAGAAAGAATGCGGGAATTCTTACGGTTGGTATATCAATAGGTACGATAAATCTTTAGTAACTATCCTCTCTAAAAACAGAATAAACCGACGCCTAGCGAAATACAAAACCAATATGGATTTTAAAGTATACAATGTAGTCGTTTTTGTGCAAGTTCGTTTTGTTTTATTAAATAAAATTACTGAATTTGACAGAGGAGAGAATGATTTACGGGTACGCCGTAAAAGCTCAGTGTAAATACCTGTGTAGCTAAGAATGATCTTTTAAACGATTTGCTGTATCTTCAATCATAGGAGCGATTATGATATGTTCATACAAAATAATGCAAAATACTAAAGCACATAACTAGTTATAGAGACAAGCACTTCAACATATACTTCGTTACAAAACAAGCCCTTTTTACGAGCTCATTAAGTTAGATTCTGCTACCATTGTTACTGAACTTACTATTCGTACTGCCCTTGTTCCTCATCACAAATATTACTACTCTTTCACAACCCTTTTACTCAATTAAAACAGTTGTTACAAGCATCACAATATACACACCCTCAACAACGCCGTCTTGCTTACAAAGAATTTGAAAATCGTCTAGTAATTGCCGATTTTTGGTCGTGCTTCTACTATTCCTCCATACGACACGACAGAGTATTCTGCAAGTCGCAGTGCTCCTTAATTCATAATAAATATGAGTTACGTTTCAAGCATCCATAAGTTTTCTTCTGTTAAGGATGCAGTTAGCTGTCGTTTGGATGGAAAGAATTGGAACGTGGTTGTTCTCAAAACAAATCGTATTGAAATATACGGCTTCGAAGGAGACAAACTCGTTCAACTAGGCTCGTCCACTGTATTTAGCAAAGTGAGGTCTATCAAGAGTTTCCGGCCTCCTCTCTCTACTAAGGACCATTTAATTGTTACAGTATCGCCATTCTCATATTTCACAGTAACCTGGGATCCTGACAAAAAACAATTTATTAACGAAGTCACCGCTCAGCCTCCCGCAAGCACCTTCTTTCTTAACAAGCAACGCAATCCGAAGTTGCTTATTGACCCAAGCAACCGAGTAATTTGTTCACATGCATTTCAGGGCTTATTAACTTTCATTCCTATTACCCAAAGAATAACGAAAAAACGACAAAAAGATGTTCCCTCACAATCCGTGCAGGATAACTTTACAGTACGTATAATGGAACTTGACGTACTCGATATAGTATTCCTCTACACATCGAAAACTCCTACTTTGGCAGTTCTTTACAAGGACAGCAGGTCTGTCATCCATCTGAAAGCATACACAGTAAACTTGGCGGAAAAAGAACTAAACGAGGATGAAAGTTTTGCTTGTCATGACATTGAGGAAGGACGGCTAATCGCTCACTACGATGGCGGCGTTTTTGTATTTGGAGAAGTCTATGTATACTATGTCTCACGAGAGAAAAAGAGTTCTAAAATGCTGGTTTCATATCCGGTCACCGCCTATTCTGCTGTCTTTCAAAGCTTTCAGAACGGCACTGAGGTTTGCATCAACGAACGAAAGTACATAGTCTCAGACGAGTCTGGTGCTGTTTACATGTTTAATATCGGAAACAATTTCAATGTAACTTTGGAAAAAATTGGAGAAGCACCGATAGCTTCTTGCATAGTGGCCTTACCAAACGATCAGATTTTTCTCGGAAGTCATTTTGGTGATTCAAAGCTTTATCGTTTTCAAAACAAACCAGGCGTTGCCGGAAGTGTGGAGCTTTTGGAAGTTCAGAGTTTTGACAATCTTGCTCCCATAAGTGACTTCTGCATCGACCATGGAAATGGAGGCTCATTCATGGTTGCTTGCTGCAATGCTTACAACGAAGGCTCTTTGCGTGAAATGAAGTCCGGAATTGATATATCGGATTACGGAGTCATTGAAATGCCTAATGTCTGTTCGCTTTATTCCGTACAACTTCAGTCATCAGTAACGAAGTACCTATTTGTCGGCTCCATATCGGAAACAAGTGTTTTTGAGATATCACAATCCGGTGAAATGGATTTGGTTGATAGCCTCTGTTTAGAAGAACCAACCATTTTTGTGGGCGCTACGAGCGACTCTTCTTGTCTTTATCATGTCGCACGTTCCAGTGTTTGTTTGTTTGATGGAAAACAGCTCTCGTACTGGTTTGCTGATGGAGGAGCCATCACATGCGCCGCTGTTTATGATAATGCTGTTTGTCTCTCAATGACAAACAATCAGATCGTCTTTCTTCACAAATTACAGGTGGTTAGTAAACTGCAAGTCGATTCAGATGTCACTGCACTGTCCTTTTTAAACGATGCGCGCACCATCTGTGTAGGATTATGGAATCAAAAGCTGCTTCTTCTGGATTCGGATAACACAACTTGTACCGTGCGAGAGACGCTTGAGGTAAACGAAAAAGCACAGTCATTGGTATGTGTGAAGCTTGCTGGAATTGCTTCAGTAGCTTTATATATGTCTACAGAGTCGGGAAAATTGATTACGTTTGACATTGATCCAGTAACAAAAGGCATAAAGCAGCGCCTCACCTATCCTTTAACGGCTGTTCCTTTAAATATGAACACGTTCCAGACCCCGAACGGCCCTGTACTCATTACGCTTGGCGAGCATCCCTACGCTGTCTATGGCGAAAACCAGCACCTGTCTTTTGCCTACATTGGCAATAGCGACATTGTATGTTTGTCTCACCTTCAGCATCCAGGAATTCCGGCAAATACAGTGTATGCGACACGCAATGCCCTGAAACTGAGCAACGTAAATATGCTACAAAAGCTGCACATACGCCGAATTCCCGTCGCTGGCATCCCGCGCCGTATTGCAGCCACAAAAGAGCATTATTTTGTGCTTTCAGTTGATCTGCAAGATAAGCTTGCATCGCAAGGAAGCAGCATTATGTCAAGCCTTCATGTCTTCAAGAAATTAACCTATGAGACCGTTCTCCAGCACGAGTTTGAAGACTACGAAATTGTGGAATGTGCCCTCACACTTCCCGACAACGAGCGCGTCGTTGTGGGCACGGGCTTTAATTATCCTGATCGCGATGAACCAGACGGAGGTCGTTTAATTGTATTCCGGTTGGACGAGCAGGAGAAGTTGGTTACAGAAGCTGTTTACAAGACACAGGGTGCTATCTTTTCCGTGGAGTACCAAGAAGGAAAGTTGCTCGTCGGCATGAACGCTGTCTTATGCACATTCCGCTACGAGAACAAGACACTGCGAGTCGTCGGCAGCACACGTACGCCGACTTACTGTTTAAACATTGCGGCTTCTTCAAAGGACATTGTTGTCGTCGGCGACATGATGAAGTCGTTAACATTGTACAATACTGAAAAGGACACGGCCGAAGAAGTGGCTCGGGACTTTGGAGCTTTATGGGTTACTTCCGTACAACCGCTCAGCGAGACACTCTTCTTCTGTACAACGGCTGACGGGGAAGCAGTTACGATGCTTTGGGACACGAAAGCCCCCCAAAGCGTTGAGCGCAAGAAACTCCGCTGGAAGTCCTGTTACAGATTGGGCGACATGGTGAACCGGACACGCCGTGGATGTTTCGTGCTGTCGTCTCCGTCTCGACTCGTCAAACCCGAGTTGATGTGTGTCACGGTGGAAGGGGGCATCCTGCTTATTGGCGATGCTAGTCAACACGCCGATCTCCTATTGCAAATTCAGCACAACTTTCTAGAAGCAGTTCCCCCTCTTGGGGGACTCGACTTTTACAAATGGCACGAGCGCTTGTTTCCGGCACGAGCCTCTGCCGCCAACAAGGATTTTATTGATGGAGACCTTCTTGAATCTATCGAAGACCTGCCTGAATCTACGCTACAAAAAATTGTGCAGGGGACAAACGGCGGCCAATCGTTGAATATCAGCGTGCCCGACCTGCTGGGTATCATCTCGGACCTGAAACGGCTGCACTAGCACCGGTGCTAGTGATGGACTTTTACATTTTTGTTTTCTTCCGGGACTAATTTATTCAACTTTACAGTTATCTACGAAACAGAATGTAGCGAAATGTGCGCAAACTCAAGCACGCACCCGTGCTCAAGGCAGCATATGATCATTCATCCATTAAGGACGGCGCTAAACCCTGAGACTGGCTTAGCTAAATGGAGCAGGTGTCTTAAAACGCTATCAAAACAGGCAGCGAAAAAGAGCCGTTTTAAACCTTGCACCGGTTGCCGCCAGCCCTTCTCGAATCCATCCATAAACCCTCGTGTCGCGCTAATTCCTCAGCATGCTGCACTAACATAAACCTCCGCACATCAGCACCAAACGATACCCAAGCAACCCAAATCGACCCGAAGATATGGCACAAAAGAATGCTACCTGTAGTTCATAAACATAACAACTGTAAGACACAAGACACAAGCCAACCTCCTTTTCCCTCCTTTTCCCTCCGTCATCTCCTCTGTCCATCTCCTCTGTCCATCTCCTCCCGTTCATCTCCTTCTCTCCATCTCCTCCTCTCCATCTTCTCTCCCTTCCTCCTCTCCATCTTCTCTCCCTTCCTCCTCTCCATCTTCTCGCCCCTACGGCACCTCGTATCCCACCGCCTGCTCGCCTTCATTGCCAATCGTTATCCCAGCGCCCCATGGCGCAACGCCCCCGTGGTGGAGAGTTCGACTTTTGAGGGGGCCGACCTTTAACTGGTAGTAAACCCAGGAACTCTATGACGAACCATTCCCCCAAACTTACCAACTCCCTCTACCGCCCAGCAGCAGATTGAGTTCCTAACTGGACTATAATAAGGATCGTAGAAATTATTATTTAAAAGACTCATACGTTCTCCATAAATTGAACGAGTTCTTGTTACTGCACTTGTGTTCTGTGACTTATTAAGAAACATTGAAGTGTCAAGAAACATGTCTAAAGTACGGACGAAAAGGGCTGCTGGACACAGTCCAGAGGGGCTGACAGATCACTAACAAACAGGCTACTTATCTTCGTGAGTACAAGCTGGTTGTTGTCGGCGATGGAGGCGTCGGTAAGAGTGCTCTTACTATCCAATTGATTCAATCGCATTTCGTAGACGAGTATGACCCTACTATTGAAGGTAAGGACATTCAGGAGACAGTTGTGAGCATCTTGTCTAACGCTGGTGCGCAGATTCCTACCGCAAGAAGTGTGATATCGATGGTGAAGGTGCCTTGTTGGATATCCTCGATACAGCTGGCCAGGAAGAATACTCGGCCATGCGTGAACAATACATGCGGACTGGTGAGGGTTTCCTGCTTGTGTTCAACATCACATCTCGCTCGTCGTTCGAGGAGATCAACAACTTCTACCAGCAAATTCTTCGGGTGAAGGACAAGGACAAGTATCCAGTGGTCCTTGTGGGCAACAAATGCGATCTCGAGGACAGCAGAGAGGTGTCGCGTGAAGAGGGTGAACAAATGGCCCACATGATGGGCTGCACGTATGTGGAGACGTCTGCAAAGTTCCGTCTGAATGTCGAGGAAGCCTTCTACGACCTTGTGCGCACCATCCGTCGCTTCAACAAGGTTGAGGAGGGCAGCAACCCTGCCCCTCAACCGAACACGAATGCTCGTGTCGGTGCAGCTTCTGCTGCCAAGCCTGATGTCCACGGAGCCGCCGACGACTCCGCAACCGCTAGCAAGTGCTGTGTCATTGCTTAAGTGAGCGGCTGCATCCTTTCCCCTCCTTGCGCACGCGCTCCTTTGTTGAAGGAAATTTTCGAGTTTCACTGTCTTTTGTGCGTCTTTCACCGTCTTTTGTACGTCCGGCTGGAGCGATTATTGCTCATCCGCAATTTTCTCAATATCTCGCCTACTCTTTTATGGCCTAATATGCGGTGCGCCAAGTAATTTGTTCTTTCCCCGTACCGCTCGTGTCTCTGTGGAACAGTTTTGTGTTGAATTGTTTACGTTGCTCGGAGAACTTATTTTATTATTCACATTATTTGTTTCTATCATTCATTCAAGTCGTAACCAGCGTTTACTTCTACTGTAAACGAAGAAGCTGATGCTGACCATGGGAATTACCTTCGCATAGCCTATGGTCAGGCCGACGTAAAATCCGCGAAGGCCTGACTGTCGAAAGATCGACATGATGGTTTTACGGAGCGTTAATAAGCCATTTTGCTGGTACGAACCTGCCACCTGCATTTTTCGACGAATCACTTCCAATGGATACGAAAGTGTCTGTCCACACATCCCGGCGACAGCACCCGCTCCAAGCTCTGCCCAAGCCTTTAGTCTCCGTTCGCCCGAGTCCACGGTTGTCGTGTTCAAGTACCTGGCCACGGAGGGCTTGGCGAGGAAGTCGATTGCTGTGTCGTATGCAAGGAAGGACATGCCAGCATAAGGAAACATCCCAAGTAACGTCACTCCAAATCCTTGGTAGAAGTTTAATACACCTAATAGATTTTGAAACTTTCCTGCCAGTATATTTCGCCGCGCATTTTCTTTATAGATCAACCGTATGGTGTCCGTGAATCGCGGCCGTCGGCCGCTCTCAGTAAAGAATGCCAGCCGGACCCGAATTAGCTCTAGAGGGTATGTGAATAGGACGGAGGCGACGCCTGTAATGGTTAGTTAATCAGTTTGCCGGCAACGACGCAAAGAGCGAGAGTCCATGACCAGAGCGACTAATGAAAACTCGGTCCTCTCCGATAACTTACCGGCCAGTGAGCCTGTTAGGAATCGCCGCACTGTTGTTTCCTGTGATGGGGTTGGAATAAGGAAGCGTCGCACTTGCTCATAAGCGACAAACTTGATTCCAGCGTAGGGGAATATCCGGTAAAGGGTTGCTGTATGGCCTTGAAACAGGCCCCATACACCGTGAGTCTTGTATATTCTGCAAAGAGATTTTACAACGCCGAACCGCGAGTTTGCATCAGCGATGTATCCGGAGTGATGCGTCTGGTAAAGGATTTTGACTCTATCCAAAGGTGCGACGCAGGTCTTTGCGACGCACCCAGCAATACCGCCGGCAATTCCAGACAAGAGCACGAATTCCTTGCTGTCGGGCGTGATTTTCTTGGGTCTATTTGTTTCGTTCATCGGTCGCAATAAAATTTAAGATATAAAAAAGTCGCAAACAACCAAAAAGGGTACCATAAAAGGGTTTCATAAGCGCAGGACGGGGTTTTCGGGCTAAAATGTCTATGACAATGCTTAAATGAGTGAGGCAAAGTCGTTCCTTTCCTGAGGGAAAAGTGTATTAAAAAGAACAAGCACAAATAGCGATTAAACAAGTATTAGATAGAAGAGTAGTCCACGTGTCCTTCTATTTCTAGTTGATAATCATTGGTTCATCCACGAACCACAAAAACGAAGGATGTTAGAGGTGAGAAATCTTTTAATGTTAAATACCACTCAATACCGTATAACATAGGCGTGCAGGTACAGTCAAACAGAGGCTTCAATGAGTTAAGTATCGTTCGCAAACCTGTAGAAGTACGTTGGGTAAAGTAAGGCCCTTAGTAGCAAACCATCAGAGATTCTTCACTAAAGAGGAGATAGCTTGGGGAAAACGAAAAAGGGTCCAAGACAGATTGACGAAAAATCGTAGCTAACAGAACACAAATCTTGGTTAGACAGTGGGTTCTCTATTGACACAGTTGTTTCTATGGAGCTGTTTTTGTTTTGTTTTGGTTGCCAATTATTCAACTGAGTTGTGTGTATTCGATGATAATAAAATGGAAGAATGTTAAGATTGTGGCTATGAAGAAAAGAACGGGGCGATAAAGGGGTTATCATTGGTCTCGACTTGTTGCATTAGTGCGTATACAGCAATTCAGGCACAAGCGTGCATATGAAATGCGAGTGTAAATGTGACTAGTGTTATAAATAATAATGAATACCCATAACATAACATAGCATACCGTGACCATTACTGCTTTTCAGGCATAACATCATTCCTTAGTATCCTCCAAAAGCATCTTTGTCTGCGTATTTCATGTATATAGTATATATTTTCGTACTGCCTTACCAACTATCATTATTAGCAAGGTAGTTATTAAGGTCCAAGGATAGAGAAAGCGCTATGGCCTCAGCGTATTCCTTTGGTATATTCACTTTAAACCGCGGTGCATCGAGTGTCCGGATACACCGATCTTTTGTCGGTACAATCATTTTTAATGTACACAGATTAGAGACTTGTGTAAAGACTTCGGCAAACAGGTTCATGTCCTGATACTCCGATATAGCATAATAGATTGCAATGAGACGTTCCAAGTCGAACGGTTTGGGTCCAAGCGCCAGCCTGGAAAGGGAAGCATTGCGAGCGGATGCGGACTTTTCTGATTTTCCAAAGCTACCATCACCATGAACTCTTGTTTTTCTGTGTCGAATTTTGCGTCCTGAACTACGTTTTGAAAAGAGTTGAGAATCCAAATGGCTAGGATTGTAGGAGGCAAGGAATGCCGAAATTAGTAAGAACTTTGCTACGCACGAAAGATTGAGGTCGATCTGAGACAACTGATTCTGATTTGAGTGTACGAGATGTAGCCTTCGAGTAATCGTTTCGTCCGACACTAGAGAGTCTTTTGCGAGTTTGTGAAGCTGGGCATAATCTGCAGGATGTACATCACCCTCAACAATTGGGCTAACAAATTTCGGCCAGTGATAGTCTAGAATTTCGCGGAACGCGACATAGTCATTTAGACATTGAGCACCGAATACATCCCATAGGAACGCACAGTATTGCATCCAAACACTAAGTTCTATTTCATCTTCAAACTCTTGTTCACCTGTTCGGTCAACGAAGTCGAGACTGGGTGCAGTGTGCTGACAAATGTCAAGAATCTCGTCTTTTGTGTATTGTGGGAAATGGACAACAGGGACGGAAGCAGTTCCCAATAGTCTGTTAGGATGCTTGTTCATTACGATGATTACCGAAACATTATTCTGTCCACTCTGTAACATAAAAGTTAGTCACTGCGAGCTCGAGGAATGTTTTGTTTGTCCTTTGTTTAACGTACAAATTCAGACAGTCCAACCAGCACCTTAAAAATGTGCTGATTTAACTCCGGAAGCTCATCGAGTCTGTCTAAAACCTACAATCGTTAGTATCATGGACACTTAATAAATCGGGTCTTTTCCAATTTAGAAGGCGTACAATATAAGTGTGCTCGTTCAAAGTGCTAAGATGTGCCGAAAGAACGTTACAAAAGGAGTTAATATGTGTGCCTTTTTTCTGAGCCAAGTTTTGTTCGACTCCCAATTGAATCAATGTGCGATATAGCAGTAATTCAAGAGTAAAGCATTCTTGAGTATCTATCCAAGCATGTTTGCAACGAGTATACGAGAAACAATGCCTTAACATTACAGTTTTTGCTGTACTTTTAGGTCCGTACAATATAACACATGGTGATTTGGCGACCTTCTGGAACAAGAGAGTTGACAATAATTTTGATTGTGTCTCTCGACAGTACACTCGTTGATTCAGATAATCGTTTAAATTCTCGGTGTTCATGAAGTCAATTGAACGCAAGATTAAAATGTTCAGATATTTAAATTGTCCAGAGTATTTTCGCGAAAAAAATTAGAGTTCAACTTCTTATTCCGGACAAACGATCCTGTACTCGAATAATAAAACACGTTTTATTTACCAGAAATTGCAGAAGGCAATATCCTTTACACGTTCTCTCAAGCGCGTCGAGGCAGTATATAATAAACTTATCTAAATCTCAGATAATAATTAAGGTTATCTTATCAGTTTTAAATGACCCGCTGTATGCTTTTGAAAACGCCGTTCATAAAGAGACAAGCATGAAAAACCGTCCTTTCCGCACTCTGTAAGTGTGTTACTGACGTCCTTTAACGCTCACATTACGAGTGCTGATATTTGACGGGATACTCTTATCCGCCACTTTCATTGACATAGCCGCCGCTGTGAACAAGCCGCATTCGCTAGCAATAACACAAATCTGTGTCATTGATATCTGGTATTTTTACTTACTTAAATGTCTGCTATAAAGAATCATTTAAATTGAAACATCGTTCTAACTCTGAGCAGAATTAAATAATCGCAATCCTTTTTGAATAACGACTAGCTGTCATGTCTATGCACATTGTCCGTGACGAGACGGTTACGCCGTCCGTACTGTTACCATATTCTTCGAGTTTATGGGTTCCTGTTCCTACTGAAAAACCCGGCAAGAAGACTCGAACACTAAAGGCTTGTATCGTGATGCCTGAAGCTGGCTACGATGTGACTGAAGTTGCCCAGCCTTGGCAGCGTTTCATTAAACACGGAATGTTCGTTTACTTTGTCGCTCCCCACGGTAGAGTTCCTCAAGCAGATCAGCAACAACTGTCAGGATGGCGTTCTTGGATTGTTGGCGTCGATGCCGAAACTCGTGAAATTTACGGTCGTATGTCTACGACTGATGAATTCCTTAAGCCTTTTGACTTGTTCGACCCGCATTTTACATTCACGGACTACGATCTCGTGTACATTCCCGGCGGTACTGACCCCTGCGTATATGAATTGATGGAAATGTCTCGTCTCACAGAACTTCTCGCCCAGTATATTCCACTGACGTCTCGTGTGTCTGGGTACCATGTATTAGCAGCCACTGCACAGGGCGCTCTGGCCGTTGTAAAAGCCGCCGGCAACTTAGACCTTAAAACGACTACGACGCCTTTGTATTTGGAGAGGACATCTTACCTGAGCGGATTAACAAAACCTGAGGCCTATTTGTCCGCGATGATTCCTAGTGAAAAATACGTAGCTGGCCCTATGGCGAAAGAATGGGTCTATGAGGACGAGAAGTATTTCTATATCAGCGCGCGCCATTCCGGTGATATTGGTCTCTTATGTAAAGAAATCTTCCGTGCCCAACATCGCATTCACGGTTAGCGTGAAATGCATTCACTTTGCAGTATACTCACGTTATTTCTTTACTCCTGCAGCCTACGATAAAACAGTTTTATTTACGACCTAATTGATGGAATTATTTCTCGTTTTAGCAAACCGAGAGCGCACTTATTACTTTCAATACAATTCTTATTTACCTACAAGAATAAAGAAACGAACGAAAAAACTCAACATTATATAAACACACTATTTCAGTAAAACTCAACTGCAAATAGGCGATTGACGACTGGAAAGTTAGTCTTTTTTTTGAGAGAGCGGCTTATTATTGCTCAATAACACTCGAGACACATATTCAATTGTCATCTGAGCCCGTGGACGTCAGAACGCCAATCCATTCCCAAGAACGGGCAGGACTGACACCGTCTGAGTCGTGAACATGCACGCTGAGCATATTTTCCACAGCAACCATTACTTCACGCCACACTTCAGCTTGAACATCAGCAGGCAATTGTTGAATTGCCTCCAATAGAGAAGCATCATAGCTTGAATGCTTTTGTTGAAGACATTCATCACGAAGCTGAGAAACCTCAACATAAGCAGGACCACCAGTGCGTAAGGCATTCATTTTAATAGTTTGTAACCGAGAAACACAGTACGAAGCACATGCCCGAACACTCTCCTCTCTCAGTCGACTTGCTTGATAGCGTCTCAGCAGAAGTAAAAACGCAGCGGATGCTACAACCGTCAAAACCAGCGTACTTGCAACGGCAAGAATCGCACGATGTCTTTGAATAAAAGTCAACGGAACTCCGTTAGGGATCGGTGGTAACGAAACAGCGGGCGCAGATTTTTTTAAACGAATTGTTGAGCTTTTGTAAACGTTAGTAAATGGGACAAAATGTGAAATAATTGCGTACTCTGTGGTCTCTATGTCTTCGGAATTTTTCAACAAGTTCAGTGTTCCAGCAAAGAGCTGTGAAAACTCGCTTTCAGGTACCGAGAGGACTTGACGTGACCATAAATTGTCGTACAACGCTTTTAAGGATACACTTTTCGTGCCGGTATAACCACTCCGTTGTTCAGAATCGGTTCTATAACCAGTCTGTTGATTTTTATTGCTTAACTCTTGAAGCGAATAGCGAGCAAGCAGTGAGGTTTTTATTTGCCAGTCTTCATCAACAACGCATGAAGGAGTCTTCCCCAAACCAAACTGATTCAGAAAACTGGTCTTCTTTTTGTAACCGTTTTCGCAGAGGAACTTGTAGCCAGCATAGCACTCAGCATGTTCGGGACACGGTGTACATGAAATAGGGAAAGGCGCCAAAAGCGGGGAATCCTCTGAATCGAGAGCTGAAAGGGTTAGTACTATGAAACATGAATGAATAACATACTTGAAACTTCACAGAAGCCAGCATGAAGAACACTTTGGCGCCAATAATAAACAAAAACTGAAAATACAAACATTGCAAAAGCAAGAATGGAATATTTCCATGAAGATTTGCTCCTTGAGCGGGTTTCAAATGCAGGGGGTATTTTTTGAACAACGCGCGAAGCAGCAAGCCGGGAATGTGCAGAAACAAGGGGACTCTCTAAAGGTAAAGTTTGAGCCACCGACTTGTTTGAGTTCAATGAGCTAGGAGTGGACACACGTGATGACTTGCTTGGGGTATTAGATTCAAGTTGGTAACTCAAGTCAAGCTTGTACTCTCCTGGGCTCGATGGTTGCGAGGAGACTGGCGCCTTATCGTAAAGAGATTGCAACTGGGCAACAAAAGCTGCAGTGTCCGAAGAACTCGAAAGTGAAACTTCAGATTGTCTTGTAATTGCTGCAGACCCTTCCGGTGCTGTTTCTCGTGTAGAGGAGTCTCCACTCGAACTGGGTAGCTGAAGTTCTGACGAAGAGCTCAATACAGTTGCCGGTAAGGGAGAAGAGGGCAAAGTAATTGTGGAAGGAATTTCTTGATTAGAAGAAGAGGATTGCTCATCTGTTACGGCCATCACATCATCTTCAACAACCACTGCTGAAGAAATTGAAGTATTGATTGGGTTGGATGAGAGCGGTGATGACGGAGCGGGCGAAGATGAATAATCAAATGCCTTCAGACGACTCAGATCCTGACTAGGAGTTTTGAAAACACTCGGATTTATTGGAGATGAGTATGTGTTAGCAACGGGGCTGAAGTTACCAGACTCCAAAGCCTGTGCAACGACCGAAGATTGAGTGAGAATACTGGTATCTGGTGTAAATTGCTTTAGAGCAGAAGGCGATTTTTTTGCAGATTGTGTAGCAAATTGCTTGGTGCCAAGAGTAGCAGGCGTAGTAGACGAAAAGGGTATACTTCGATGCGGTGTGATAATTACAGGTGCTTCATCAGACGGGGGCGACGAAACGGAACCCGGAGTCGACTTATTGTTGAGAGCAGCAACTGCTGAGAGAGAACTAAATGGGACGCTGCGTTGGGGAGTAATCATCACAGGAGCTTCGACACTGGGGGAAGACAAGCTCAACGGTGACCGAGCGGAGCGTGCGGCATTAACATACGAGAATGGCACACTTCTGTGTGGAGTAATGCAAACAGATGAATCAATCGACGAAACAGAAGGTGACAAACTTTGAGAACCTTGGAGTCCACTGATAGAGGAAAAAGGGGCACTTCTTTGAGGAGTAATTATCACGGGAGCTTCTGCTTCTGGGGTATCCAAAGGGTATTTCTCTTTTATAGGCATTCGCTGAACGCTCAAAGAAGAGAAAGGCACACTTCTTTGAGGAGTTATGATGACGGGAGCTTCTGTTGAAGGACTCGACGATGGAGAAGAACCAAGGCCTTTGCGAGCCTCGCGTAAAAGGCCAAGTGATGAGAAGGGCACACCTCGTTGTGGAGTAACCATGACAGGACCTTCAGCCGATGGTGTTATGCTTGCTTCCGCGTCCATTGTGAGACCCGCAGAAATTGACGAGAAGGGAGCACTCCGTTGGGGCGTAATCATGACAGGACCTTCAACTGAAGGCGTGAGATTAGAAAAGGAGTCTTCACTATTGTGGACTCCTCCGTTGACTGCAGAAAAAGGGACACTTCGTTGAGGCGTAATCATGACAAGGCCTTCATTGGAAGGTGTGAGATTGGAAAAAGAGTCATCATCGATCCGGGCTCCTCCGTTAACTGCAGAGAAAGGTATACTTCGTTGGGGGGTAACCATGACAGGACCTTCAACTGAAGGCGTAAGATTAGAATAATCGTCCTGTCTGTTCCGTATTCCCTCGTTTATAGAAGAAAACGGGGCACTCCGTTGAGGTGTAATGAATACGGGTGCTTCAAGCAAGGGTGAGGACAGGAGCTGTGAGTTTTTTTTATCCTTCTCTTCTTTTACGGAAATACCATTCTCCTCTAGTACTTCTTCTTTTATGTCAGACAGATGACGGAACTCGGGCATTTCGAGCAAAGTCTCTTTTGCAATTCCAGTCATCGAGAGCAAGGACTGATCCTTCTCTTCTTTTTTAGGGACTGCCAGTTCTGGAATTGATGTAAATTCAAAGTCCAGGGCCTCCGTTTTCTCTGCGGAAAATAGTTTTCTGGGTTTCACGTCGGCAAATCCTGTATACTCATCATCGCCAAAATTCGAAAACTTTTCAGCAGATGACTTTCCCTTTTTTGGTGACAGACGAGTAGATCTCCGTAATGGTTCTGCCCGTGTTTGCTTGCGAGGGCTTTTACGTGGAGATTCGGCGTGTTTTTTTCGTGGACTGCGAGGAGGAGGTGCATTCTCGCTTTTTAAAACATCCAACGATCTCAATCCATTTTTTGCTTCTCTTAATTTGTTGAATAGTTCTATCAATTGTGCTTTTTTTGCTGTAGAAGGATGGTACAAATTATGCTGACCCAAGATTCGCCGGAGGTCAACTACCCTCAACGAGGAAGCATCGAACTCGGGATCAAAGTAAGTGGACTCGTCCATTCAATTGATTCCGTTAGTAAACACGTCGACTCCTAGCGTCTCCTAAAGCTTGGTTTTTGTTTGAAGCAAGTGTTGTCTACTTTTACGGTGGAAGTAGGGGGACGGAATGTGGGATAAAGTGGGGTATACGGTGGATACGTGTAGTGCAAATAAAACAGAAACAGGAATATGAATATGAAAGTGAAGGTGATAGCGGGGCTTGCATCAGCAGCTTAGGTACGTCTTGTCTCAATTTCGTATTGAACTATTTAACAAGCGCACTGAGAGTTCTCACTTCATATCACCGTCTGTATAGTCTAAATTGTCTACGTAGTATCATTTACATTTGTGTAACATCATCAAGAAAACACTCCCATTTATTTTCGTTATACTTTAAACTGCATAGTGAAAATCCATATATTTTGTTTGACAAAAAGACAGGTCTAGTTGTTCGGAGGAACGGGCAATTGCTCTTCAGCTTCCTCAACAGCAAACTTCCGCTCACTAACCACCGGATTAGAAGTTGGAAAAGCAGGCGAAGAAGCGGAGGATGCACGCCAGGTCATATTTTTACTTTTGTAGGGGTGAAGGAAGCGGCAGGAGGGATTGAGACAAGGATTGTATCTGCAAGGCACTGGGATGCTTCCAAAACTCATAGGAAGTGACCGCGTGGTTTGCTGGAGAAGGATGACTGTCAACACACTAATATCGTTAATTTATGTGCTCTGGATAAAACGGATTAACGTACCTCTGGATTGTCGCATTCTCTGCCAGCTGAACACTGTTTGCTACTTAGAACCATTCCATCTTTGGAAGCGGGAGAAGGGTGAGCGAATATGCACTAACAAGTTAGTTATACAAACACGAAGAAAGTCAAAGAAGCAAATATCTTGTTCATACATCGGGACGTCCACACTTTTCCGCATACTTGCAGAGGGGAAGCTGGATATCGGATTGGAAAAACCGTTTTGTGGAAGGGGCCACTTGCGCATGGGTTTTGAAGGAGGAGGCAAGGGGATTAAAACGCTTTTGGGTGGTTGTCTTTAGTTTTTGTCCCACACGTTCTGTACGAACAACAGAAGGAAATGCAGATTTGAGTTCTGGTGTAGAATCTGACCCCGTAATTTCCTGTTCAGACTTTTTAGGAGAGGCTTCCTTTATTTTTGTTTCTTTTGTCTCATTCACATTTGGCCGGGTCTGAGCTGTTTGTGGTTTTTCGAGTTCGTCTATTTTTTCGAAAAGCCATTTTGAAAACGAAGCATCAAGCTCACTTCCAACAACTATCTGGTAAGTACTTATTCACATCGTTCTTTTAGCATTACGTACGATCAACAAGTTCTTCATGGATTTGTTGCTGATTTTTACCGTTGGTAACCATTACAATAATGAAATCGGCCAACGAAGCGGCCTCATCCGACCAATTGAGCTCTGTTAGTTTTTTCTCGATAGCATCCTATTACCAAATCGTTAGTTTTAACATTTCTAAGATGCAAAAACATCAGAACTTACGTGAAGTTTGGAACTCATTTCAGAGTTTCCTAAGAAGGATGACATTTTTTCAGCGCCAGACGTGTAGAAGCTTCGTAAACCTTTTCAATATGCCTTGTATTGTTGCTTTGAATTACAGAAACACCGTTTATAAGAATAAAGTGGCGATCAATTATAAAAAAGTGCAAAAGGCTTTTATTTCGACCGTTTTAATTGAACCCACCAAAAAATAGCATAAAACCCTGCTATACGCTCTTAATTGAAGGTAAAAGAAACGTCAGAATAGTGCTAAGGGAAAAAATCCTTAAATTGCCAGTTTGCGGATTTTGAGGTGAATAGTTAGTTGTAGGGCACGTTAGACGAAACGGGAGTACCGCTTACGTCATAGCAAGAATTAAGCTTTTTACCGACACGACATTCTTCAGTAGCACCCTTGCTATTCACGCTTCTCTCCTCAACACACACGCCTACAAATGATCAATTCTTGTTAGTTTCTCTGTTTCTGAGTGACTTCCGACAGCTATTGTACTGTATATTTACTAATGAATAGGGAAAACGTGTATTAGCCGCCATCATCGATTTTTACTGAAATTGTAACATTATTACTTTTTTCTCTCTATTTTCTATAAATTACCTTTTTTTTATTTTCTGGCTGTTCAATTCTGAAAATATTCGGACTCACATACCTTAATCTGTATCTTTTTATTTATTGAATTTTACTACTCCTAATTATTTTGTCGGCGTCCAATTCATTTCTTGTTCACTATGTCGGACTCGTCAATTAACGAGAGAACTCCTCTATTTTCCAATCAGGCTGTCAACAGGGCCTTTCGGTCGCGATCCAATTCACTCGTTAGCACGCCAAGTCAGAGTTTATTGAGACAACCGACTAGTGCTGGTTCACAGCCTCCTTCTCCATCGCAACGCGACTCGCCTTCTTCCGTTGCCAACTCCTCTAAAGACCGATACATCTCTCCTGTTTACGTACTCCCTCTTAACTTCATCAATGCGTTCGCCTGGGCGTTAATTGATATTCCGCTGTTGTATCTTCTTAGGCAACAGACATGTGCTCAAATTTTGCACACAAGCCCCAGGGACCTGTTGCCTGATGATGAGCGATGTCGATTGCCCAGTGTTTCTTCTCGCGTTTCGAAATTTCGAGCCCTGTTCAGTTCCCTCGCTGCGTCTTTGGGACTTCTCGCAACTGCTTACTATGGAACCGTAAGCGACAATCGTGGTCGTAGACATGTGCTTATCATTGCGAGTTTTTTCTTGCTCCTTGGTGATGTTTGCTTGCTGGTACAATCACTCGTTCCCATGTCGCCTACGGCGGTGTTGATATGCGCCCTTTTCAAAGGTGCAGGTGGATATGTTTCTACGGTTCTTGCTGCGCAAAACTCGTTTGTGGCAGACTGTTCACAGAATCGATACCGTGCTTGGTACCTTGGATTGAATTTCGCTACCTATCACTTGGGCACTGCCATTGGACCAATCGTCGGTGGAAGTCTAATTCAGTTCTTTGGCAAAATGTACAGTATATTCACTATTTCCATATGTCTGTGGTCTTTTTATTTGCTTTACACAATTTTCGTTCTTCCAGAGACCGTTGATGTTCGTAAAAATTCTGAGAATCACACTCCTTCGGACTCTAGCCTTTGGTCTACCATCTATGAAGCGTGTCTTGAACCGCTCAAAGTGGTACTGCCTAGAAAGGTTTGTATGGAAGAAACGTGCACTGTACAACAATACGATTTTTCTGGAGACACTGTCGAAGCAAAGAGGCATTGGAATGTTTTTCTTGCTGCCAATTTGATCGGTCTTAGTGTCTTCGCGTCTGGAGCAATGGCTCTTCTTCCATTATATGCAGACGCCTTGCTGCATTGGAGTGCCATACGCATTAGCCTTCTTATTTCGTCGGATGCACTTGCCAGCGCGCTAACTTTAGTTGCTGTTTTCCCTCTGCTTTCCAGACTAATAGGCTTTATATTACGAAAACTTCATGGCTCTTATGGTTATTATAATTACGTTCAAGAACGCTCAGAAGAACCTTCACCGGTTTCAGGGATAAAGTACCTGTTTGCGTACATGACTCGTCCTGGTTACAAGGATCTTGACACTGGAAAAAACGAAACCGTTGATAAGAGATACTCCATTGTAAAAAGAGATATTTGGAGCGCACAACTTGGTTTCATCTTAGCAAGTATATCTGTCCTTGGTCTTGGTATTTCAAAGTCCACCGCAGCCTTGTTCGGTTTTGTAGTGCTTCAAGCACTTTCGAATATGGTCATCCCCGCAGTTCAGTCTGTCGCTTTAAATGGTGTCCTCCATCAATACAACGGCCGAATTCTGGCTGCTTTCGCTATCTTTGAGACGCTTTCGTTCATCACCAGAGGCCCTGTGTATGCCTTTCTCTACACTTACACTGTAGAAACATCCGTGCCAGGCACCATTTTCTTTGTAAGTTGTGGCATTTATTTGGTTTGTTGCGTAATCGTTTTATTTATGCGGTTATACCGACCTTTGGAAGTCCCTCAATAAAGTCCCTACCGAGTTATACTTTACAGCGCCGGGCTTTTCTATTGATAATTTCCAACATTCCAGCAAACCAATGGATGAAAATGCCCTGCATTAAGTCTTCATCTTGAAGTGCAGTGAATACGATCTCCACGGCTTTTGAGCTTGACGTGCTGCCAACAATGGATTGAAGCATATCTGGGACAAGACATTCTTTTAGCAAGATTAATATCTCTTCCTTCTTGCCATATAACGGAACATAATTTGTATTGGGTGACTCCAATTGAAGATAAAGGTCATTCAATTTTTCCGCAAGGTATTCTCCAGTAAGAAATGTGTTACAAAACTGGTTAATTTTCAACTTGATTGTATCCATACGAGTGGTACTCCGTTGGAGTATGCTTCGAATTAGTTGAAGGATTGATCGTCTCAATGTCCAAGACTTGTACGTTAACGCAAAAAAGCCTTCAAGCAAAGAGAAAGCTTGCTCAATAATCCACCGCGTGTGTCGATCACTGATGTAATTCTCTGACTTTACTTCTTCTTGTTCTGAGGAGTAACCTGAGCCCTGAAATGAGCACTCTGTCAGCTTTTCGTCTTCCGTAATCGGATAAGCTGATGGTATTTCCTCTGTGGCAGACTCATAATCACTGATATTTTCATCATCACTACTTCCATTTCCGAATTCGGTGTGGTAAGGGTTCAGCTCACTGCTTCGCTTGCTGACTGGTCCTAAGTTTGTCACGTAATCAGCTTTCTTGTTCACTTTATTTGCTCTTATCCTCATGTTCTTGGAAAGAAACTGTCTCATAAATGAGCAATCTGCCAATGCTGCTGACATTACCAACACCTGCAGATAGTCTTGTGTTCGAGAACGGAATTCTTCAAATGTTGACCCTTTCCATTTAGGAAATGTAACGATGGGCTGTTTTTGTCAACAACTGTTTTCAACAGGTGGAGTCGTTCAAGGCTTTTATCTCAATGTACTTTCTTCTGACTGACCATTCCAAGCCATAGACGGTCTTGAGCGTTATGAACATATCGGGAGCTCATCTTTACTCCGAATAGGGAGCATTACCGGCTTTGCTTTGACAGTACGCGACGTTTATCTCACAACTGAGGAGTGATAGTTCCGGTATTTTCCTATGTTTGTGTCTCCTTAATGAATGGAACGGTGTTGACTTTTTGGGACCTATGTATTTCTTGCTTGCGTATGGAATTCTGTTCTTCAGGCTTTGTAAGAGAACATTAGGTGGGAGCGAGCCGGTTTTCGTGATACAGTTTTCGTCCATTGTTGCTGCTCGCGCTTCTTTAACAAGTTCCGTGAGAACCACTTCTTCTAATTCTGTCTCCTTTGTTAGTTTGGCCGCCTCTGGGCAAAGAAATGTGTAAATGCAGTTCATGAGAAAGACTGGGTTTGCAATCTCGTTAATTCCGGCGAGAAATACTTTGTTGGCCAAGAGGTCGGTCGCAATGATTCTGGCTGCATTACAATGAATGTCCTCTGCAGCAGCAAATGTTTCGAGAAAGACATCCGCACATCTCTTTAAACGTTGGCGTTTCCAAGTTGGATTCTTCAGTTGCGCCAGAAAAGCATCGGCGTTTTTCTCCATCCATTCTTGTGCTTGTTCATTCCCATTGAGATACGCGGAGCGCATGTCTGCCAGTATCTTCTTTAACATTTCTGTGGTCATCCAAATCATCTGCAGCGTCAGTTCTCGGTGACCAAACAATGACAGACTCAAGTAGATGCGGTTGATGATTCCTGTGAGAAGACTACGACACTCTATGGGAAAGCCTGGATCTTCAAAATAATGAAAGTACCATGTGTACAGATGGTTTCTGATGGAGTAATCTATCAGCTTGTTGCAAGGGGAATGCAGAATCTTTGGGATAATCAGAAAGTTCTTGTGGCTTTTTGGGTCATTGATGGTTTCTCGCATAAACCGATTTGTCTTCCAGTCTATTGTTTCAAGCAGGGATCTGTTTCTTCTTCACTTTTTGATCGTGTGAATGACAATGTCGCAATAACTCCTACAATCATCCAAGCCAGTTCGTTTTTACAGAGGATTCTTTGGAAGACTAGGTACGTTACAATTGATGCGATGAACAGTTTTCCAATCATGATTCTACTTTGGCGAATGCTTGTCCTCGGTGAATTTTATGAGCTCTAAATTCTTCCTCAATTTGTTTACATTTCACATATTACTTGCTCCATATAAACACAGACGATTCTTGTTTACCCACGTCATACTTGCAAACCTTATTTTCACGTGCGCTCCTAGAGTTGCGACAAATACGCGACGTGTTTCAAAGAAACTACTTCCAACTGTCTATTTACTCTAAAACGAAGAATTGAGTTAACAAAGCTACAAAAGACGCGTTTTATGGACGAGGACATGGACCATTTGCTACGATCTATGAATCAAAGAATTCTTAGGCTACAGGGTTCACTCCATGGTTATGAGGTTGAAAGGGTTCAAAAAGTTTGCGCCTCTGTGGACCAAATGCTTCAGAAATACAGTCTAGATAATCCATTTGAAACTGCAATGATGCAACTTTTTTCCTTGCCGCTTGAAGATATGGATCGAGAAGAACGTTTACAGACAACACTTGTTCTGAAACAGGAACTGGAGACTATCAACGACTTCGTGCACTCGTTACAGGGTCTAAGTGTATACAGGGCTTCGGACGAAGTTTGTTCCGGAGAAACTGCGGCTGTTTCTGCGTATGCTTCGTCGTGTTCCTACTATGACAAATTGCTTGCTGTACTCTCGGAAAAACACAAACACATACAATGTGCTAGTGTTTCTCTTACAGGGAATCTCATTATTTACAAAAGATTGATTCACAACCAGCAGCTACTCTCTGTTTCCGACCGTTTGCGACAGCTACAGCAAAACTTGACAATTTCAAAACAATAATTAACGAAACAGCTGTCCACAGGCTAAGACTGTGCTCCGGATTATTTTTAATATTCTAATCTGCGATGTTTGTGTCCTAAACTTCATGCTTGCATACGAGCTATCGAACTATGGTACCGAATTACCATACAGTGTTTACGGAAAGTGACACTATTCACGGCTTCTGATTCGCGTGTATACAATTTCGGTAACACTCCTTATCCCAATCTGCCGTGGGGTCCGTTTTCAGAGTTTCGTATCCGATTTTGAAAAACATGGTATACGATTTTACCAACCACCTTAACGATTTCGCTCAAACGAGTGTCAGTTCCGGCTTCCTTAATCCCCCGTTGGTCACCTTTACAGCCCACCAAACATTTTCGACTTTCATGAATTTGAATGCCAGCCCCCTTACTCGAAATTCAGGAATGGATACCCAAAAGAAGGGAATGCGAGTTTGGACCTCAAGGACTGCAGTAGAAGTACAAATATGGCACTGAAATTCGGGAATTATACGTCGGATTGCTTACCTTTGTTTCTTGGTACGAACTCAAAGCAAGAAATATTTAAACAAAGGACATCAAGTAGACAAAGAACTCACCAAGTCTTTTAAAGCTATTTCGGATTACTCTCTGGACTTTTTAGAATCTATTCATCATAATGCTTTGGCTATCATTACTTTCGCTGGTGATTCATTTACTTATTCAAGCAGTCAGCGCGGACAAAGAGGTCTTTGCCCATTTCATTGTGGGAAACACCTATCCTTACACTGTTTCGGATTGGCAAGCAGACATTCAGGAAGCTGTTGCAACTGGTATTGATGGCTTCGCCCTGAACATGGGATCTGATGCTTGGCAGGTCGAGCGCATAGACGATGCTTTCACGGCTGCTGCTTCCGTGTCAAGCAGTTTCAAACTCTTCATTTCTTTCGACATGTCCGTCATCAGCGCGGACGCTACTTTCATTGAGGGTGTTGTGCGTAGATTTGCCAACAAACCAAACCAATTCTGGTACAACGGAAAGATCTTTGTTTCTACTTTTGCTGGTGAGGTTGATACTTTTGGATATACGGATGAAAGTTCTGGTTGGCAAAATGCCATTAAGGAACCACTTGCTGAAGCGGGTTACCCGATATTTTTCGCCCCAAGCTGGACTTCTTTGGGCACTGGTGCTCTTAATCTTGCCGTCACTGACGGTTTCTTCTCGTGGAACTCTTGGCCCACTTCTTCAAACGACATGAACGATAATGACGATATTTCATACCAACAACTGGCTAATTCTCTCGGAAAGCTGTACATTGCTCCTGTCTCTCCTTGGTTTTTCACACATTTGAGTTACAAGAATTTTGTATACAAGAGTGATTGGTTAATCATGGATCGCTGGCAGGAAATGCTTGACATGCAGCCTGACATGATTGAGGTGATCAGTTGGAATGACTTTGGCGAATCGCATTACATGGGTTCCATTCGTGGTGCCTTGCCTGCTGGTTCTGATGTGTATGTTGATGGTTTCGATCACAAGGCTTGGCGCTATTTGATGTATCCCTACATTGATGCGTACAAAAATGGTCTTTCTGCACCTCAGGTCACATTTGAATCGCTTTTTTACTGGTATCGTCCTACTTCAAAATACGCCGTTGCTACTTCGGACTCGTATGGCTATCCTTCTGGAGGTGATTACATGGAGGACAACATTTATGTTGCTGTTTATTTGCTGGATGCTGCTGAGGTTACTATTACATCGGGTTCTAATTCACAGACTTTCTCTGGTGTCGCAGGAGTTAATCGGTTCTCTATTGCATTTGAGACCGACACGACTCCTTCATTTTCTGTTTCTCGTGGTGGTCTTGTTATGGCTTCTGGTACTGGACCGGAAATTACTTCTTCCACTGCTTCTTACAACTTTAATGCTTACACGGGCCACTTGTTTTTCTAGACGTTTAAGGTATTCTTTTGGAGAGTCGTGCTGGCATGGCTTTCTATTGGTTCTACATGACAACTTTCAAAATGGAAGAAGCTGGGCTTCCTTCCTATTCGGGTCTTAACGGAGTTAAGAATTGGCATTTTTTCACTGATTTTAGAATCTTTTTCCCTATGGATTTTGAAGTCTATATTGCGATGGCTGAGCTTTTTCATTGAGTCCATATGGTCCATGTGTTTTCATTTTATTTAATTTTTACTAATAATATTTGAATTTTGGGTAAATCTATGCATGCAAACTTAAGGGAAGAGGAACAAGTTAAGGGTAATCGGTGAAATCGACTCAACAGTATTCTCCTTGTCTTTAGATTCATCAAAAGGATATATACATCTATATGTATAGGGGGTTCGTTAAGGGCAACAGAACAAATGTCGTTGAAATAATTTATCAGAGAATAAGAAAAGCTAGCTCAATGGCGAGCTAAGTAGACCAGGTAGATGAAGAAGGAAAAAAGGCATAAGCGGAAGAGCAACCCCAAGATGACACACGCTCTTAAATATTTATAGTACGAACGCAAACTTTTATAGACCCAATTGCCCTGTGGATAATGTTTCTGATGCCGTTTGTACCAAATGAAGCTAGCAAGAAGCGACAATAGTCGATAGTCCGGCTGCTGGAATCTGGGCAATTGCCAAATGAGACAATCTTTGGCGCAGTCAGGAGAAAAAAACATGAACAGATCCACGAAGAGGGTGTGTGTAATACCCCAAAGTACTGGAGTATTGGAAGAAGGAGTATCCGGCTGAATTTTGTTATACAAGTCAATCTTAATACCCGGATGCTGTAGCTTGCCAACAGCCAGTTTAAAGAACGGTTGTAGGAATCGAGAAGTCTGTGCTGCTAAAGCTGATGAACAATCTGCGGAAATGAACGTTTGGTTTGCGGGATCCACTAAATGAGACAGTGGTACCCATTTCGCTGCCAGCACTTCACTTTCTTGTATGTGAATCGGAGGAGTTCGGGGTAAAATGAAAACTGCTTTGTTAGAAAAAATAAAATGAAATGCCATAAAGAAGGATCTTACCAAATGGACATAAAACCATAAGATTCTTAGAGCCCCAGTTAGTTGTGATAATTCGTTCGTCAAGAGCTCCAGCGTAGAATCCCTGTTCGAGTTCAATGTCGATACCAACTTCTTCATACGTTTCACGATACGCCGTCATTATGTCGCTTTCATCTTCTGGTTCTCGGCGGCCACCTGGAAGTGCAAGATGGCCTGACCATCGATCTCCTATCCGGACAGCTCGTTGAATGATTAGTACTCGAGGAACAGCACTGCTTTCCAATCGATAGGCCCAATTCTTTTGCATAGTGTCCTGTGGAACATCAAAAGCGATTAACAGTGCAATAGAAGCCCTACGCAAGTGTCTGGCCTCCGTAGCTGGAATAGTGTTGTGTGGAGTCTGTTGCAGAATTTGGATACCAGTCAAGATATCGATTCCAGTATCCATGATATATAATAAAATACAGAGTTAAAGACAGTGGTAACAAAACTAACTCGATAAGAAATGAGAAAAAGAGAGGTACTGTTTACAGAACGAGACCAAAAGAATCCAAGACGACAAAATGTTGTTCCGTAACGGTAAATGGTAGAACAAATATGACTTTTAGATGGTTAAACCACTTTACTAGACTGCAAATGGTATCAAAGTTTAACCGAGAGCTCAACGAAATCGCGTCCGACAGTGTTGTTCGTATTATAAGACGTGGTACCAAAGAACAGTGATCCAAAATGAAAATCGAACGCTAATACCACTGATCAAAAGGGAAGCTGCAGACACGTAACAGTGCTCATGTATGAGGGAATTAGGACAAATCTATGCACCGTCTTTAGCACATTCCTAAGAATGCGAGTTGTACACATTCACGGCATTTCCATGGTGTTGCCGTGGCTGATCCGATTACATATATTTTTTCTACTGTAGGCGCTAAACCTAACCAGAACCAAACACTCCCCCCAATCACTCCCCCAGTTGCATATTGAAATGCGTTTCAGTGAACGCTTGTCAGCGGGTACTTATGGTCCCTGGAAGGACAATTATGTCGAGTATGATGCTTTGAAGTTACTTTTGAAAACAAACGAGGACTATCCTACCTGGGAGGAAAGTGATGAGTCGAAATTTGTATCTGCTTTGGACAAGAACTTGGAGAAGGTGTATGATTTCTACAAGAAAACCACAGATGCCATTGACAAGCGCGTTGGCCGTATTGAGGAGGAATACGAGCAGTTGAACTCTGAGGACTCGGAGATTGACGAGCGTATGCTGGAAGAGTTCATTAAGCGTTTGGATGCTGTTGCTGCCGAGGTTGTTCGCATTGAGAAGTACACTCGTATCAATCTTACTGCCCTGTACAAGATTGTGAAGAAGCATGACAAGCTGTACACTGCATATTCCCTTCGTCCTCTTCTGCAGACTCGTCTTCACGCCTGTCCCATCGACAAGGCCAACTTCAACCCTATTTTGGCTCGCATCTTTACTCTCCATACTCAAGTCCGTGATGAGTTGAACTCTCGTAAGGGCGAGACACCCGCTGTCTCCACCCGGAGTGCACATGAGCGTACTTCGTCCAAGTCTCTGTCTACTGAAAGACACATCACTTATCGCTTTTGGGTCCATGCTGATAATCTGATGGAGGTTAAGACCTTCATTCTTCGCAGATTGCCTGTATTGTACTATTCGAAGAACCAACGTTTTGAAAAGGATCGCGATGCAGTTTCCGGTATTTTGGATCCTACCTCCACTTGTCTCTACTTGGACAATCCTGGTTTTGATCTCTACATGCAAAACATGGAGCGTTCCACGAAGGCTTACTCCCTCCGTCTCCATTGGTACGGCCAATTGACACCCAAGACAGATATCGTTGTCGAGCGTATGGTTCGTGAAGGCAGCAGCTTGTCGCACACAGAGGACCGCTTCGTGATTCGCGAGAAGAACGTTCACGATCTTCTCCAAGGTACCTATGATCCTGAGAAGAAGATTCGCAAGATGAGAGATGAGCCCATGCAAAGTGGTGAAGCCGTTGAGTCATATAAGAAGCTGACTTCTGATGTGCAAAAGCTTATTGTTGATAACCACTTGCAGCCCGTTCTTCGTTCTGTCTACACTCGCAGTGCCTTCCAAATTCCCGGCGACAACACCGTCCGTGTCAACCTTGATTCCGACCTGGTCTTGATTCGCGAAGATTGCATTGACCAGGACAGACCTTGTCGCAACCCCGACGAATGGCACCGTCATGATGTTGACGAAGCCAGCTTCCCCTACAAGAATCTGCGGAAGGGAGAGATTGTGCGTTTCCCTCACAGCATTCTCGAAATCCGTGAAAAATTGGAACCTGGTCAAGATGAGCCTGGCTGGGTCAAGGAGTTGCGTAACTCGTACCTTGTCACCGAGGTGGATGGTTTCTCCAAGTATGAGCATGGTGTCGGTGCTTTGTTCGAGAACTATGTCTCGTTGCTCCCTTTCTGGTTCTTCAACATGGAGACAGACATTCGCAAGGACCCCCAATCCATCTATGAAGCTTCCTACCCCCCTAAATCGATTGTCGGCTCTCCTAAACCTCGTATCAACGTAATTAAGAACAAATCCGAGAAGTCTAAGATTCCTACGATTGCCTTGAACGGACAAAACTTCCCTAAGAACACTACTGAGGAAGGGGAATCCAGCAAGGACCGGTCCAACCCACTGTTGAGTGATCGCTTCAACTTGAAGAGTATTCCCTACTTGCTGAAGCCATCGACGTATGGTTCCATTCAAGGCTACCGAACATACGAGACGCCCTCCCACATCAAGAAGCCTCTTGTTCCTCTTCGCGTAAGTGGACCTGTGCGTGTGGAAACCAAGGTCTGGCTCGCCAATGAGCGTACTTTCCTCAAATGGCTTCACGTTGTTGTGTTGATGGCATCCTTGGCCTTGGGTCTCTACAACTCTAACACGGCTTTGTTCGGTCGTGCATTGGGTTTCATGTACACGATGCTTGCAGTGTGTATTGGTTTCTATGCTTGGAGATTGCATGCCAGAAGATGCGACCTCATTAAGACAAGAAGTCCTGAACCCATGACCGAGTACTGGGGTCCTCTAATTGTCGGTGCCTCTCTCATGTTTGCCCTGTTGTTCAACATGTCCCTCGCCTACAAGGAGGCTGTCTTCTCTGGCTTTTTGGAGCGTGAGCATGTTCTTGTGAAGCTCTTCACCAATCTTTAAGCTGTTTCTAATCTGTTTTTTGGTCGTTTCAGTACGCACATATGGGCTCTAATTCATTACTACTACCACTACTACTTCAACTGAATGCTCTTTTTTATAATTTTTTTTGAAAACTGTGCCTTTAATGTTTCGACATTTCATAGTCTTGACATTAACTACAAAAGATGGTCTTTCTAGTCTTCGACACCCGACGACACTGTTGTTTGTCGATAGCTGGGCGAGCATCGTAATCGTTTTGTCCGCCTGTTTTTGATCTGCAGCTAGCAACTGTGTAATATCGCTGGTCTAACAGCTTGTCTCTTATTATTTCCGTACAGCACATTCAGCACATTCAGCACATACAACACCCACCTACAGCATGTTGGCTTGCTCGCTGCAAAGTGTCTTGCGTTTTTCATCTCGAGACTCTCGACATCAACCCCCCTCTTCTAAAACTCCGACCGGCTACTGAAAATATACACACTAATTGCGCTTCCCCAAAAATCGAAGCTCCGCTCGGCGTGCACTGCAGTCGCGGTTTGTACACTGCGTACTGTTCGGCATGTTGTTCGCTATTTCGTTATCCTTCCTGCCTTTGTTTCCAACCTCTTCGCTAATTGACTTTTCTTTATCATGTAATGTACCTTAGTCCTCAGACGATCTCTGTCTTAGTAATGCAGTATTTTAATATGTAAATAGCTTTGAAAGTGCTTTTCATTATGCGGTGATATATAGAGTATCGAAAAAGAAGTAGAAAAAGAAATTGTAAGAAGTAGAAGTAGAAGTAAATAAGAGCAAAGGGAAGTTGAGAATTGTGAATTAGAAGGAGTAGTATATGTAAGAGAAGAAGATCAAAAGCCAAGCTTAATGCAATGTTTAACTTAAAACAAAGTGTTCTGAGCAAAAGTGCTCTCGCCAACAAAAACTCAAACATACATATAACAAACAGAAGAAACGTCAGCGAGACCGAAAAGAATGGAGTCAAGCGAATCGTTCTTGTGCTTGAGTAGGGTAGAAATGATGTACACAAGCAGCAGACGGTGGAAATCCAGATGCGGCCAAAGTTTGTAATATACGAAGCAACAAAAAAGCAACCAAAAGTATGGCGAGAGGAGGAGAGGATAGAGGACGGAACTGGGAGAAAAAGCGAGAAAAGAACCAGCAGCTTTTTGACGACCTATTGATGATGTTTCAAACCCCTTTCCTCCCATGTGTTCACTCTCCCTGTTGCAAACGCAATCAAGAAGACAAGAGAAAAAAAGAAAAAAGAAAAGTAAGATGACAAAAAGCGGAATAAAGGGGATCCAATGGACGAATTGAGAATCTGTGTATCCAAATGCACCAAACGCAAAACGAAAGATCAGTAGATAGAACACTGATTCCCGCGCGGACACAAAATAAAAATCAAAACAAGAAGAAGTTTGCAAGTGTCATGGAAACCAACCGGACAGTCGCTTAGCAATGTGCGGAAAGATATAGGCAAATGCAATGAAAATGGAGAGGTTCAACTTTTGAAAAAGAGAAGGAGAAGGGATGAGGAACGGAAGAGGCACGGAAGAAAGTGGAGAAACGACGACCAGGGAAGAAAGCAAGCCAATGGTGCTTGCTTTCTTAGCCGACATAGCTGACAGTACAGAGCTGTCAGCTTGTCTGCGTAAACCATTCCTTCCTCGCACTTTGCTTAGTCGTCAAAGAATCCCTCATCGTGAAACGCCTTCCACAAACGACTGGCTTTGTTGACATCCACACGGCTTGCACGCTGTGCATCGGTCTTGCGGAATGTAAGACCTTGAGAATGACGGTTGTGCCATTCGGCAAAGATTCGGCGCTTGTTGTCCAAATACACCAAGCATGGAAGACGCAACGTGGAAGCAAGTTGGAGTTCGGCAGGATGCAGCAGATGGCTGTGCTCGTCGTTGGAAAGGTCCAGAGGTGGGCCCTTCCATTCGGTACGAAGAGGACGGGGATGTGTGCGCTTGTCCAAGACAGACATGTCTGGCGAATAGTCCGGAAGCAGTTCGTATGGCGTGTTGGCTACATCAAAGACGTGAGCATTCGTTGAAAACTCACGACTCGATTGTTTCAGACGATGTCCAACAGCACCTGCTGTCGGAATACCAGACCGAGAATAGCGACCACCACGGCCATTACCGCCTGCTGCACGGTCTTTCATCAATAGACCGTCAATTGCAGAAGCCGCCGTACGTCTGCGACAAAAACGATCGCGTCGAAAGCTTGAATGGTGCTGCAACCATTCTCTCTCCTGTGACAGCCAAGACAGGGGGTTTTTGCGATACTTTCGTATAACAAGGCTAGTCAATTGAGCCTCCAGCTCCTTTTTTTCGACTGACTCCTCACTTGTAACACTTTTTTCCGCAGGAACAACGGTACCGCACTCAATTGACACCTTAACATTCTTCCCCGTCAACGGAGAAGGAGGCGGCGAGATTAGAAATTGGTAAGACTTCATTGTCGAGCTGCACACATCTTTAGTTCCTTGTTTCGAAGATGCTGCTGGAATCTTTTCGGTAGCATCCATTTTCTCCCAACTTCGTTAAAGGCCAATTGCGATACAATTCCTCAAAAAGAACGCAGACTGTGTTCGTTAGCATAAGAAAAAGCATCAGGGATAGTCGTACAACGCGACAAACAACAACGACCAGAAAACCGCTACAAGTGTCCTGTTGTGTGAAGGTAAGCTTGGGTTTTCGGTGGTTTGGTGTTTAGTTGTCTATGGGACCGCATGCTCGCTTATCTCAGGCCCCGAAGCTTGTTTCGAAATGTGGGGAAGCTAAGATAGGCTAAACGAATAAGAGAGGGGGGAATGAGGAGGGAAACGAAACGAAGTGGAAAAGAGCGGTGCCGTTGAGGAGTTAGAGGGATAAGCTGCTTGGTATAGCGCAAAGTTTAATGCACGGCTGTATACTGTTTCAGACTGTAATTGATTTCAGCGCAATATCCATTTATTTCCCGTAAACTAAGAACTTCTTGTGATCTTCGTTTAATTTAAGCTTATTATTACGCGAATTATGACATAAACCTCCTATTGACCACCCTTTCGTTCGAAGTGACAAAAACAAAATAGCTGGTTACTAGAAGAAACGCCTTTTATTAAGACTTTATGTTGGAGAAATACGAAAAACTGTTAGTGCTAGATGGATCTGGTGAAGACCGTATTGCGGAAATAGAAAAGATACTGAGTGGACTATTGTTTATTCTTCCTTGTCGGTTTCGAAAGGAACGGGTTGTCTCAGAAGCAGGTGAGTGTCACAGAGACCTTTGCTCTTCTCCAAATCACTTAATTCCTCGACGTCATTCGTGTCTTCGCGAGCATTTTTGGCTGTGATTCCCTTCGACAATTCATACTAACTCATATTATCAGTATACGCCTTGTTATTGTTCTTGAAACATTACCATAACCAAGTCATTTATAAGTACATAAAAACATTGCCAAAACATGTCCAGAGAAAAATAACGACTCCTTACGCTCAAGTGATTAAACATTTTCAGGCTAAATATGCCAGCTACAAACCTGTTTCTGATATGCTGTTTGTTCTTCAAACATCCTCTTTCCCAGCGGAATTGTTTGTTGCTCGGACGTCGCCAGAGTCGCAGGAAGATTTCGTTCTTGTCGTCGAAGCAACTAAGTACGCGCAGCTTGCTCTCTTCGCTGTAAAACTAACGATCGTAGGGCATTGTTGCGTTTGTACATAATGTATCTGACATCAGGAAGACTCCCGTTACCTTCAAACGTGTTGGGACGAGACTTTAATCGAAAACTATTTGCCGAGTGCATGAAACAGTATACATTAGCAAGTTCGGTCACTACACTTCCTCGTACTGGCAAACAACTTCCACAGCTTTCTACCGTACAAAGTCCCTCTCAGCATGTCCGAACACACGTCACCGAGTACAAATGTCTCGTCCCAACATCCAAGCTGTTTCCTAAGCCTAATCGTTGGCAGCAATTGGCGAACACCATTAAGGTGTTGCGTCCGTTCGTCTATGTTGTGCTCGAACGATACTGGAGGCGTTTCCGCGGTAGCCATGGACGCAAGCATTCGTGGGTTCCTTGGCTTATTGCACTAACCCTGGAGCTCTCCGCGCGTGCTATTCATATCTCGCAAACCGGCAAAAACAAGGCGTACAGCTATGTGAAAACCTTACAGGATCAAGTATACGCGACCTCCTTTCGCCGTTTTCTCAACTGGGCAATGTTGCAGGGTCGTTACTTCGACCAATTCACAAGGTATGTGACCAGAACGCTTAAGGAATTTTTGCTCATGAATCTCTAGTAAAATTATAACCTTCTGTGCTCTTTGGCTCGGCCGTTTGCCCCTACTTGGTTCTCTTATTCGGTCAGCACTTGTCGATTTTGTTCAGACTTGTCAAGATTTTTATTTTTTCAGTATGTTGCATGTGTTTGTATGAATGGCTTACTAACTCCTAAAGTATCAAATTACTAGAGCGACTATTAGAAAAATTACTAGGCGGAAGCAAACGAGCGTACAGCAATTTTACTTCAAGACTAAAAAATCATTAATGGTTCTTCCCAATAAAATATACCCATCTTGTTGTTATATTTGTTTTCTTTTTCAAAATCACCCTCCTTTCGTCACTAGTTTTCATGATTTCTTCCTATATCTACTTCTATCTATTCACTTATACATAGCTATTAGAGAGTTCAAAAACTGTCAACTATGATTTCATTCATAAAACAACATTGGACATAATAATCCAGACAAACAATCGTAACAACAATGTGATGCTGTACAGGTTAGATCTAGTTTCATGTTTCCCTTGAACTCGATTCCTTCCATCCACTTACTCACTCATAGTTATAGTCGTCCCCTACAGGTTGAGGCAGCCAGGTCGATCTTCTTTTTTTTTTGGCTTTATAACTAATAACCCGGCTGTAACTACCAAAAATGAGTTCACATATGAACTCGTATGAGACCGAGCCTCGTACGAATGTAACCGCTCCCAAAACCATGTATGCATGACGATTTTCAGTAATTTTGTTTTCTAATTGACATAGACAAATAGCGAGGGCCAGCTATTTCTTTCAAAAGTATAAAGACTCTCTTAATAGGTTTGAGTTATTACAGTCAGAATATGAGCGTAACAAAGCTTTTTTTGACAAGAATCCTGGTATGGCAGTACCGATTCGTGAAAAACTGAGAAAAGCGGAAGAAAAGATGCGGGAAAACCAATCATACCTAGACGAAATATCGCGTACAACTGAACCACTTTTCTCAAGCAATGGATCACAATCGGTTCCTGCACCGTCAGCTTCAGTTAGTGCCTCGGACAATTTCGCTTCTAAAGCCTTAATAAGAGCAGAAATAAAACAGGTCAAGGAGCAGCTACAAAACGAAATGAATTCTCAGATATCCTCGATACATTCTAGGTATTCAGAGGACCTAAAAAAAATACGTCTAGAATATGAAAATTCTTTACAGCAATTTCGCAGTAAACTTGCTGGACAGTTGGACGAGGAACTCAAAAAGAAGGATATAGTCATTGCTGAACTCAAAGAGCTAATCAGTCGTATACCACATGAGGAAATGAAGTTACAGATACAACAGCTTCAGAAAAACTCAGATACAGCTGAGGAAAGATACCGCCAAGCTAGCCAGGCATTCTCGGCTCTAGATGATCGGCTACAAAAGGCAATTTCTGAGCATCAACAAATACAACAAGCGACACAAGCATCTTCAAGTAAGTTACTAAGTGGAAATTATGTGGATGACGTTAACATCATTTTAAGTAAATAACTCTGCTACTGCAAATTCTCATCAAGAGGCTGTTATGAAGCTTTCTGTTGCGCAAAATCAGCTTGTCGAAAAAGTCCATGGAATAGGCAATGCCATGGGAATTATCAACGGTAAAGTTGAAGAAATTGCAAAGGCAACAAGCTCTTATGTAAAAAAGGACTTCTACTCGTCACAAATGCAGTTTTTGAATCAGGAAAAAGATGAGATAAGACTTTTTGCCCAAAGCGTAAACTCAAAGATCACTAAATTAGATGAAAATACCACAAAGGCCTTTAACAAATTAGAACAAGAAGTGAAAACGATGAAGCAGAAGGTATGTGTATGCGTCATTTATTTTTTCTGAGCTAATTATCTTGTTTAGAAGGACGACTCCGGCAATCAATATAGTTGTCTCGAGAGCCGAATGCGTGCAACAGACACGTACTTCCATGAAAAGCTCCGTGTATATGACAACCGAATCCAGGCCGCGATAAAGTTGATGTTTCACATAATTAAAACAGTGCCTGTTAGCAAATCAAAAGGACTCGTTGCTATAAGCGATACCAAAACCGACATACCACCGGCCGTTACTGTTTTAATTAGTGAATTTGATCATATAAAGCCTCAGATTATCAGCATCACGAAATCTGTCGAGAATGTTAAAGAAGCTACAAAAGATCTTTTTCTGCGGAACACCGCTTTTCAAAACTCTCTTGCTGGTTTACAACAATCATTTACTAATTTCGTTAATCAGGAGAATGCAGGTCGTTCAAACTTAGTGCAAACGATAAATAGAATTAGTCGGGATTTTTATGCTTTCCGAAATCAGTTATATCTTCGGTCGCATAATAACACGTCTACTTTTTAAAGACTTATAACTGTTGTATATTGGTAATTACTATACCATCTTATATTTAATTAGATTTGTTACCTCATTTGTTGGGAGGCAGTACTGATATAAAGTTATTGTGTCAAATGTTTGGTGCCGTTAGATATGTCGTTTTCGTCGCTGTTTCATTTGAGTTTATATACAACATAGAACATGTTTTTCATATAATTTTTCGAGCCTGGATCTGTGTCGGGCAATCCAAGGATGGTTTTGAGTTTGAAGGACGTTTAAACGTTTAGAGGGTTCAGGCTCCAGAAGTTTAGTAATTAAGTCTCTGGCCTGTCGTGATACTTTTTTCCAAATGTTTCCCGTGAATTGAACTTGTGGTTGAAGCGTTTCCGGATTTGCTTGAAAAGTGGGCGAAGTACCGGACAAGAGAAGGTACAGAATTATTCCAAGACTCCATAAATCAACTTCAAGGCCGTACGAACATTCACCGCGCTGAAGCTTTCGACGCTTGATTGCCTTAATCTCAGGAGCTGTATACTCTGGCGTACCCACGTACGTTGACATGCGTTGTCCGTTTTCCGCTTGTCGAGCAACGCCGAAGTCGGTGAGAACAATGCGAAAGAATAACTCATTTGAGGAGACGAGCAAAATGTTTTCTAGTTTTATGTCGCGATGTGCAATATTCTGTTTATGAAGATAGTGCAGTGCTTTTAAAATTTGATATACGATAAGCAGACAATTAATTTCAGGAACAGTTCCCATTTTGTTTAAATAACTGAACAAGTCGCCGCCTGTAATTAGTTCCTCAAAGATGAAACTGCCGAAAGTTAGTGATGTTCACGACCGGAGGACAGGACGTACAACTGGTTTTTCGAATTATAGTCCATTTCTGTTCGCACGATATTGGGATGCTTTAATTCACGCAAGATTTTAATTTCATGATCTTCCAAAAAATGTTTGGATGAAAGCTTTGATTTATCAATTATCTTGCAAGCAACTTGTCTGCCCGTTTTCTTATTGCAAGCCATATAGATTTTTGAGAAGCCACCACACCCCAGGAGACGATTTGAGATTGTGTACTCGTCTCCAGTGTATTCATGTTCAACCTTCTCTGCAAATTTTAGTTTTTGCTGAAACAGAAAAGAAGCACAATGACGAATGTCAAGGACATCGCCATCCGATAAAAGCACAACACGTCCTTTTCCTATCAGGTTCCGATTATGAAATGTTCCATTAGAACTTAGGTCCTGACAATAAATTAACGGGTCCATATCATCGTCAATAACTACAACGTAGATTCGAAAATGTTTGTTGCTTGCAGTTGATTGACTCAATTGAAAAGAACAGCTTGGTGATCTTCCGACAATAATGTCCTTCTCGTTTGTCACATTTATAACTAAAAAAGACGCGTTAGCACTTCGTTTATGTACTAGTATATACAAATAACGAACCTGATTGTGGACCAGAAGGAGTAAACACAAACAATCGTCCCAGAACATCTCCATCAACAGTCTGTACCGCTGCAGCCGTACTCTCGTCAATTTGACTTTCTTCGCACAATATCTGCGTCGATTTTGAACGCTCTATAATTGATTCTGCCAACAATTCCATGCTAAGGAAAGAAATATCGCGTCGTGTTTTTTTATATATTGGATTTAGGGAAGGGTAGGGCACGTACGTGTAACGCGTTTAATGAAAGCTTATTTAATGTGGATATCGCAAAGTTTACAGTTAAATGCAATATTGAATACACTTTACAGCAGCGTATAAGATTAATAGTATTTCATAGTATAACATAAACAAAGCAAGGATTTGACGAAGAAAACCTTAATAAAACTTGATTCTTGATTCAATGTATCAGGGTCTCACTGATCATTGTAGAGTATCCATGACGCTAATGATATAGAATGGAAAAACCCCGTAGCTTGTTCCGTTATTCCATTTTCCTAGCTTTTTCGATGGTCTTGTATATGTAAAAACAAGTGCAAAATAATCAAAAGTTAAGTTTGAACTTGGAACATATTTTGCACATGGGATACTAGAACACAAACAAAAAGACGTAAGGAGGTGACAATTTTTCATCAACACTCTCTATACTTGAAATTGGACCCAGTTAAACAGTAACTCGTAGTTCAACGGCATTTGTTTAATGAACCAATTCTGCAAGAAGAACATCTGTATGACAATAATGCACCATTAATAGTGCTCAACAAGGTAACACAGAAACAGCTTCATTCATTTCAATTTTGACTTTGACTTCCGGAAGCTTCTTCTTGAGCATTTTCCAAGTCAGCTAAAATGGCCCATATGCTAGCCTTAAAAAGCGTGTAAACAAGACCTGCCTTTTTTTCAAGCTCTCGAAATGTGTCTAAAGATTCCGAACTCGAATTATTGACGAGCTGGCGCAAGACATTAGCGAGCTATTCCAATTGTTAGTTTACATAGAGAAAGTCAAAGCTTCAATAAATATCTCACTACAAATTACGTTTTCGGTATTTTTGGCGAGTTTACTATATTCCTGAAGTACTTGTTGTTCCAAATCTCGAGTTGAACTCGACATTACAAATTTTGGGTATGTGCCTTCGTATCCTATCCACAGCTAAATGTCTACGTATCCTTAATTAATGAGGACGACGCGTAATTCCCAGTCAAATAAGCGACAAAAACGCTCTAATCTTTATGAAGAGTACGTAAAAGTGGACTGGTGCTGAATTTTGTTAACCGTTTTCGCAGCTATGTTAATGGGAGTATCGTTCGAATTAAGTTGACCAACTTTGTATCCTATGACTCATGCGAGTTTTTTCCAGGGCCGTATCTAAATATGATAATTGGTCCTAATGGTACTGGTAAAAGCACAATCGTCTCTGCAATTTGCATTGGCTTGAATTGGCATACTAAGGTACTGCTTAAACGACACAACGAACAAATCTAACCTTTATGTAGTATCTTGGACGAGAAAAGGACATCTCAAAGTTCATTAAAAATGGAAAATCATCAGCAACAGTTGAGATTGAACTAAAAGATTCAAATAACACCGTGACCATAAAACGAGTTATCAACCAAGACAAGACCTCAAACTTTTCTGTAAACAAGGAAAGCTGTGGCGGAAAAAAAATCACCGAGCTAATGACTCGTTTTAATATCCAGATTGACAATCTATGTCAATTCCTTCCTCAAGATCGAGTCGCCGAATTTGCGCAGCTAGACCCTTACATGCGGCTAAGAGAAACAGAACGAGCTATTGGTGATGACGAACTCTACGATACACACGAAAGACTCATTAAGTTACAAAAACAATTAGTCACTGCAGCTCAATTCAAAGATCACAGTTCTACTAGCTTACACAAACTAGAGGAAAGACAAAAGGCCCTTGAACGCGACGTTCAGTTATTCAAAGAAAGGGAAAAATCGCTTGCTTATATTGAGCTGTTAAAACTTGCTAAGCTACTTGTGCTCTACCGCGAAAAGGCACATTTCTTCAACGATCTCCGGGACCGGCGCAAAAGGCTAAAGGAGGAATTAAAAACCCTTTACGAACAGTCTGCACCTGCAATTAACAAGTACAATGAGCTTGTCAGGATCGTCGAAAGTGATGAAGCAAACCTTGCCAAAAAACTCCAACATTTAGAGAAAGATAAAAAGTCCCTTGACTCGATGGACCGGTCTTGTTCTTCCTTCCTTAGCAATGACAAAATTTGCTATGAAACCATCAAGTCCACAGAAGCACAGTTGCGGAATGCAAAATCATCTGTCGCTGACGTACAGCGGACCATGGAATTACTTATCGCAAAACGTGGCCCAGAGCCTCCCACTCCAGATGTGGAATCAATTCATAGAGAACTGCAAGAAATCAGTACTCAGAAAGTGCAGTATGAGAATACTAAACTGGAAAAATCACATACTTTGAGTAACATCCGGGGCTCACGGAATCAACACATTCGTGACATGTCCGACATGGAACGGGAGATTAACCAATTATCTAATGTGCGCCAAAAGAAGTTGAATTTCATGAAGTCTTCTCCTGGATGGAGCGATGCATTTCACACCTTTGAGCTTATCGAACAGAATAAGACACTATTCGAAAAACAGGCTTATGGTCCAATCTTTATGTATCTTAACTGTAAAGATAGACGGTTTTCTGCAATGATCGAGGGTTTCTTTCGCGCTGATACATTCAAAACATTTATTATGAGCAGCTATAACGATTATCTCAAGCTAATGGAGGTAATTACATCAAAAACCGTGTATACGCCCACAGTTCGTGAGTTTTCTAGTGAACGCAAACAAAAACTGGAAGAATTCGAAGGTCCTTGTCCACGGGAAAAATTACGCGAGTTTGGTTTTGACGGTTACGTTTTGGACTATTTGGAGGGACCAGAGCCCGTTCTGGTTGCACTTTGTTATATGCTTCGAGTCCATCAAATTCCGATTGCGGCGAAAGATCTTACTCCGGAAGCTACCGATGCTCTTAACAGACTTAAACATCCAAATGGTGATCCAATGTTTAAAACCTATTTAGCTGGAAACTCCATCCATCTTATTTTTCGTTCTTCTTACGGCAACAAGGAAATTACCCAGCGTACAGACCCTCTACCAACCAATGTCATTCATTTCGGTGATTCAGTCGACGCTGAGGATCTTCATAACAGAAGGCAAAAAATGGAGGAAATGAGAAGACGAATTGCTGAAGAAGAAATTGAAGAACAACGGTTAAATGCTGATCTCTCAAACTCAGATGCAAAAATTCGGGAATTCACAACAAATATTTCTCAGCTAAAGCAAAAACGTGAAGAGCTCCTTGCTCCTGTCAGAGAATGGCAAGCATTAAATGACAAAATCGAGCATCAACGAATGCTTCTAGAGCAAAGACGACAAGCACCACCAAAATATACAGCAGAGATTGAAAAGCAGAAAACTTCTCGTAAGGACAATTGCACGGAGTTTACTCAAGTTTTGCTTAAAATGAAAGATGCTGCCCTTTCATCAGCGAATACTTTCGAGAATGCACTCTCTTCCCGATTGAAAGAATTGCAATCTCGACATGAACTAAAAGAACATGAAGAACAAACAGCTTTAACGAAGCGGCGATTGGAGGAACTTACGGCAGAGCTCTCAACGTTTTCTGAAAAGGTGACAGCAGCAAAAGAGGACGCTATGAGTTTATACAAAACCATCATGGAACAACTACAGAACGAAACTACTGAAGTTCAGGCTAAGGTCACTGAAATTAGTGAAGAAGTTGAATCTGTTGAGGAAGTGGAAAACAAAATATCAGTTGAAACTACAAAACTTGACTTTATTAATGTCAATAGTTCGGTTCTGGAAAAATACGAAAAGCGCAGAAAGGATATTGAGGAAATACGAGCTAAACTTGCTTCTCATTCTGCGACGGTTGAACGTTTAGACGAAGAAATAAAGCAAATACAGACTCCTTGGGAAAAGAAGCTTGATAAAATCGTTACAACGATCAGTGCGAAATTCGCCAAAAGCATGACAGAAATTAAATGTGCTGGAGAAGTTCGTCTAGCAAAGAACGACGCCTTCGATCAATGGCATATTGAAATTCTGGTAAAGTTTCGGAAGACTGAAAGCCTCCAAGCTCTCACTGGCCAGAGACAATCCGGCGGTGAACGTTCGGTTTCTACAATTATGTACCTATTAGCTTTACAAGGAATGACGATCGCTCCTTTCCAGGTTGTTGATGAGATTAATCAAGGAATGGACCCACGAAATGAACGGATGGTTCATCATCATTTTGTGCAGTCGATCTGTGAAGAACCTACCTCGCAGTACTTCTTGGTGACTCCCAAGTTGCTTCCTGAATTAACGTATCATCGCAACGTGAGAGTCTTGTGTATTTGCAACGGTGTATGGCTACCTAAAACATCGATTGTTGGAATGGAATCATATTTACAGAAGGCGAAGGCTTTACAGCTGCAGTCTAGTGATTCTGAATAAACGATGAAATGCCTTGTTATGCTTGTTGGCGTTATGATATCTACTTATATAGTAAAGACATTCGTTTTTTTTTTGTACCATGTAGGTAAGCCGCTAACTACGGTGATTATGAACATACAATGTATTCTTAGACAAATGCAAACAAATTTAGTTACAGTGTCTTTGTTTATGACATTTTATGTTTCAACTTTACGCGTCGTGTACTTGCCATCCGCCATTCACAAAAAGCTTAGAAATAGCGGAAACGCGTTGAAACTGATTTCTAGTTTATTATTGTACATTATTATATTCACAGGACACTCATTGACTTCCGTTTTAAGCCTTTCGACGTAGTATTTTAAACAACGCGTCGAATTTCTGTAATTGTGGGTTGAGACTGTTGATAAAAACAGTTAAGTGATTCCTTACCAATATATCTCTCCATAAAAATCTTGTTCAGTGAAAAATAAGCCAAAAATGACGGAATTATCTGACAGCGGCATTCTTGCTGGATACGAAATTATTGATGTTGACCAAGTTCATGAATACAATGTACAAGATTACACAGACACATCCCCATCCACTAGCTCTCCTTTGACACCAGCTAGTTTTGCTTACATGTCATCTTCGACCATCCTCAATCAAAATGCATCAGCAGAAAACGTTTCTCCTTCAGAATCCGAATCCGACAGTTCTGTTGCCATAGAAGTTCAGCAACCAAAGGATCTCACTAAAAATGACTCTGTATTCGTGTACGATGAGCAACCTGAGTACGTGACCCCACCCATACCTGATTTGCGTTTCCAGTCTACATACTATGCATCTTTGGAGAAGGCACATGGCAACATCTGGTTGATTACGATGATTACGTTACGAGACCATGCTATATACCCCTTCTTAAGTGGTAGTATGTGGGTTTTATTGCGCTATGCCTTTCGTAGTCTCGGTTTGCAAACACTTGGTCATCGTTTTGGCCTTATGCTTCGGAGAGTGTTTGCCAGTTTGGGTGCGACCGTATGGAAACGTCGTTAATTACTTATTCTGAATCATGAAGTAATGTTTAATTTGTGTTTTTTTCTTTTCCTTATATGTTGTTTTATGTTGCTGATTTAATTAAGGAGCCATCGCTACTGTTACCAGTAGCAGCAATAGGGAAGATGAACCCTTCCAAAGGCACAAGCATTAGCAAGAAAACAAATGTTCAAACAACCTCAAACGTGCTAGAAACCCCACGATCAGCTACAAACTTGTAACACTTTTGATGGCAAAGTTCACCTATATTTATCTATTGGGTAAGGTCATTAAAAACGAGACAAAAAAGGGAATAAAAATCTAGACAGTAATGTCAAGGCATTCTAAGCAGAGAAGACCTTGTCAATGGCAGCCAGCATGATGTCAGCATGGTGCTTCTGGAACACAAGCATGGGACGCAGACGAATTCCAATGGGACCGCAGCCACCGATGTTCACACCCTCATGCTTCATGTCCGCGCAGAATTTGTCGCGAGCCTCAGGGCTTTCACAGTCAAAGGCGATGAAAGTACCCTTGTTCTTACCACGGAGGTTGTTAATCTTTCCAGGGTACTTGGCTGCCAGCTTTTCAAGACCTTGGTACACGTAGTTACCGACTTCAATCGTGTTTTGCAACAAGTTGTGGTCGCGAATCTCTTGGCAGATGTACTTGGCTTGGACAACACGGATCGGGTCACCCATCCAGGTGTTGAAGTGACGGTAAGCCAATGCGGGACGAAGGAGAAGATCACTGTAGAAGAAACCGGCAACCTGGAACTTCTTGGAGAAGGTAACCATGTCGGGTGGATACGGAAGGTTCCAAGCTTCATGAGCCCACATGTTTCCAGTAGCGCACACACCGGTCTGAACCTCATCGACAATAAACAGAACACCGTGCTTCTTCAAAGTTGCCTGCAACTTGTGGAAGAATTCGGGGGAAGCATGGTTGTCACCACCCTCAGACTGGATGGGCTCAACGATACAAGCAGCAACAGGGCAATGGTGAGTAGACAAGATTTGGTCGACTTGATCAATACAACGTTGCTCCTCAGCGGCGTTCTCTTCAACGTGGTCCTCCAAAGGATACTTAAGAGCGGGGAAATCAGCTTGAGGCCAGGGGAACAGGGGGATATCGAGCTTGTGGATGGGCTTGGAACGAGTAGTCGACAAGGATCCAAACAAACGACCGTGGAATGCGCGACGGAATGAGAGAATCGCAACTTCAGGACTACCAGGAGCCTGGTTGTTCATAACAGAGACCAAATCTTCCTCGCTGAAACCAGCACCCTTACGCTTTTGAGCAGCCAAGTGAATGAAAGCAATCTTAAAAGCAGACTCGTTGGCATCACTACCGCTCATTTGAACGTAAGCGTACTTCTGGCCCTTGGGGGCATTGTCAATCAGACCCTCCTTCACAATTCTAGCCCACTCCTTGGGAGGGAAGTTTCCAAGGGCAGGACGGTTCATCATGAGCGTAGCAACTTCATCAGACTTGGCAGCCTTGATCAAAGTCGGGTTGTTGTAACCAACAGCAATGGAAGCAATCTGAGCATATACATCAAGATACACGTTTCCATCGGCATCGACAAGGTAGTTTCCAATGGACTTCTCATAGTCGACCACAAGCTTCGTGGCGCTAGTGTCGATGTACTTGGTCATTTCTGCGACGGCAGCTTTGCTTTGGGGACCGGGAATCTCCTCAGTCACAATCTTGGGGCCCTTAGGTTCATTGGGGAAGAAAGGTGCAGCAGTCATTTTCTCTGTTCTTGAATTCGTCTAGTGAAGTGTTTTGCTAATGCTTAGCTTGTTGATTTTTGGGGAAGTCGCTACTGCCCAAAAATGTCTATGGTTGAAAGGTTGGAAAGTTCTAAAAGACAAAGCAGTGTTCAATGCTTTTCTGATGATTAACTACTGGCTCTTCGATGCCTTTAAATGTTGTTGCTAGCACTGCCGTCATCTTTACCAATTGATCCAATATTACCAACGGAGTCCTGCTATCATCTCCTCCTCACTGAGTTACCTGGTCGCGACTTGTTTCTATCACGCTGCAACTTGTTATCTGGCGATACCCCATCGTTTATCGTGTCGATAGATAGACATTGAGTAACAATCGTCGGCTCCAATTCCCTTAGAAGCTATGTGATTTGTCGGCGATCCATAGTCGTTTATCTAAAGCGAGGCGGAGACCTTCTCAAGGGCTTTTTTGTGTGATGAAGGCGGCAGGCCAGACACAGAATTAGAAGCCGAATTGCATTATGAAAGCCTCACATGCATATGGATACGGTCAATGCGTCCGTCTAGATGCAGTTTCTACGATAGTACATGTAAAGCCGAAATTTCTGCTGCAAGAATCACATTGTGCCTACTTGCGATGGCCGCGATGACATACAAGGGCGACGGGGGTGTTGTGGGGGTTCTGTGGGATAATATGGGGTGCACATGGGGGAGATTGCATACGGGATTCGAACCTTGCAGGAAAACGAATGAAGAAAGAGGGAGGTCTCGACCGTTCGACCACGGAGATGAGAGAAAGGAGCATGACCGAGACTACAGCGTGGAGTAGTTAGCGGCGAACGCAAACGGAATGAGCCAAGCACCACAACTAGATCTGTTGAGGGTATACAAAATTGCTTCCTCCTATCTCTGTAAAATTATCCGACGCTACAAGTGAATATGGGACATCCCACAGACCGTGTTCAATTTATTGCATCCATCACATCCCAATTCACACCTCCCCGCCATCTGCCTCCGTCTCATTTGTCTCATTTCACACATAGCCAGATAGAAAGTGATTGTATTGAAGTAACGCTTAGAACCAGACAGACTTCAATAGTTCTAAAACACCAGTGAATGTAGACCGCGAATAAATACTTACCATTAGACCGCCTCAAAGTTAAACAACTGAAGCTGTAACTTAGAAACACATTCATTCGCAAACAATCGAGAAATCAAAAAACCAAGTACTGTGTATCACCCTCTCATCAAATCACTGACTTTAGGAGCTGTTTACACAGCTTGATCCATGACAGTTAACAACAGAACCTACTTGCGACCCTTGCTAATAGTTGTCCAACCCTCTTCTTCTTCTTCAACAGCGGGGGCAGGGGCAGCAGCTTCTTGAGCCTCCTCGGCAGGCTTGCTCTCTTCCTTGGGGTGAAGACGCAACTCTGCAAGCTTCTCGGCAGTCTTATCAACAGGAGCAGCCTTAGGCTTAGCAGGAGCGACCTCTTGGTGGAAAGCTTGATTGCGCTTGGCAATCTTCTCCTCGACCTTCAAAAGAAGCTCAGCATTGTCAACAGGCTTAGCGCCACCAAAGGGATCGAATTTGGACTTGGAAGCGGAGGAAGCAGCAGAAGCAGCGGCACCTTCGGAAGTGCGAGGCTTCAAGTTCAAACGAGGACGGCCGGCATTCTCACGAGAAGGAAGAGGGCCACGGCGAACCCAAGGTTGAGCGTCCTCTTCACGGTTCTGACGAGGAGCAGCGTTTCTGTAACCACCGAAGGAGCGTTGCTCACGCTCAACAGGGGGCAAGGGACCACGGCGAACCCAATCGCCAGCACTACGGTCATCTTGGAAGTTGGAGCGGCGGGGCTCGGCAACAGTAACACGGACGGGGCGACCGAGCAATTGCTCTCCCGAAAGGTCAAGAGCGGACTTCAAGGCGTCGACCGACTGGAACTCAACGTAGGCGAAGCCACGAGAGCGTTGAGAGACAGGGTCAACAACAAGGCGGACGTTGCTCACGCTTCCACCGAAGAAGTTGGTAATCTCACCCTCGGACAAATCGAAGCTGAGGTTGCCAACGTGAGCGGTGAAAGGAGGCTCCGTAGGCAAAGGCACGGGCTCGCGGTCGTAACCACTGGAGCGACGGCCCATACCGCCAGACTCGTAGCCACCAGCGTTGTCAGAGTATCCAGAATCACGGAAGCCGCCAGCAGAGCGCTCTTGGGCTACGACAACACAGTTAGGCACTGTTCCTCTATGATTCAAATGTTCACATACGCAATGCGGGCAAATCATCAACTTCATCAGCCCAATTCGTTGCACCGAACGCCTCGTCGCCCAGAAAGGCCGTCAAACTCATCTTGGTACTCTGAACCGTTCAGCACCGGATTTCAATCACTAAACAAACCTTTTTAGGACCTATTATTAACAATCCGTATAGCGATTACTTGCCCATTTTTTATATATAAAAGACTCTAACCACGTTATCGTAAATGGTCGTCGTAAAGGGTAGTTCGTCAAGCGACGGGGTATGCCTCAATCGAAATTTTCGGCTGTGACTGCTTCTTTCCATTAAAGTTTGGAGGTTGTCATGTGACTTTATTTTAGCGTCGCGAATAAAAACTTAAACGAGCTTTATTTGAGCTCTAAGAATTTTGATTGATTGTAAATAATAAGGTTAAAACACTGACGGCGAAAATGACGTTGAAACGATTTTTGGGAATTGTCATTACAGAATGAATTCGTACATTCTACGCAGAATTCTACGCCATCAAAAAGGCAGCAAATAACATCTTACAATGTTCTGCCGCCCAGAAAGAGAACTACGCACGAATTGGACAACTCGTAGGCATCTAACCAGTTCGCGAAATACATTCAGTCAATTCGAGAACACTTAGAATCGGGTTACGCCAATAAGGATTTCTACAAAATATAAATACACAACGTTCCTTCTTAATCAGACTGGTTTGAGAAGGCGCTGGAATGACGAACATAGGAATTGGATACATAATTTTAAGCAAAATTGCTTTCGAAATTGCTGCATAACTGATAGAGAATTATTTTAAATAATGTCGACACATCACCGCTTGTCGCTTTCAAAATTTCATAATTCAACACCAGATGAAGGAGCGAATACAGATTATATGGTCACAAAGCAAGAATGCAACCACATTGCATTGTCTGGTCCGGGAAATGACTGTTTTGCAGAAGGAAAGGAAGCAGAAAAACTGCTTCCGATACGTTACATTCCGACGGTAACGGGTCACATGGGGAAAAAGTGTGAGCCGCAATTGAGTCGTCTTTATGTTGCACAAATTTTGAGCCCTACTGACATCTGTGATAAGACCGTATGCAGTCGCAGGCGGGCAGACGGTGTAGAAGATGTGCATCCAGTGTGGGCATCTGAAATAAGCCATACAGGAAAATACTTGGCTACAGCAGGGAAAAAATCCGTAGTCCAAATTTGGAGGGTAGTCGATTTTAAATCACTGGCAAACCTTAATGTTACGAGCACAGAATACGCAGACGCGTCCGTGTTCACTCCAAAACCAATTCTTGAATGCAAAGGACACACCGCTGACATTTTATGCATTTCCTGGAGTAAAAATGACTTTCTTCTAACAAGCTCAAATGACGCTACTGTCCGGCTATGGCATCCGAAAGTACAAAATTGTTTAGCTGTCTTCAAACACACTGAGATAGTTATGTCTGTCGCATTCCATCCGATTGATGACAGATATTTTATTTCGGGAACTTTGGATTCAAGATTGCTTCTTTGGTCTATTCTTGACCGTAAGCCTATATGGCAAAGAGCTTGCACCGATCTCATATCGACTGTGGCCTTTTTCCCCGACGGAAGAACTATTGCTCTTGGCTTTTTCAACGGAAAGTGTACACTGTATACCACCGACAAGCTGAAACCCCTTCGAACATTTAGTATGCATAAATCAGCATCAAAGAATGCCAAGTGCAGAGTGACGGGGCTTCAATGTGTCAATTGTGTCCCGCAAAATACTCAATCGAATGTTCTTATACTCATATCGACGACTGATTCTCGGATACGGGTGTACAGTCTGCTCACATCAGATTATATTATGAATGTGAAAAATGTAAGTAATCCTCGTGGACAAATTCTCGCCCGTTTTAATGATAATAACAGGTTCATTATCACTGGCGGGATGCACAATGTGGTAGTGGTATATCATATACCACAATCGTTCTTAGTCATGGCATCCACAAAAGGAGCCCATGCGTTTATCCGGAAACTTCCATACGAAATGTTTCAACTGGGTGAACGACACATTACATCTTGTTTGATCGCGCCCCAAAATACGTCGCTTCTGCTGGCTCAATCGGGCGACATAATGTATCGTCTTTCTGGTCTCATTAAAAGTTCAGCAACATCCGATGAATCTTGGCATCTTCCTGTTGGAACCGATTTCGATATTATCATATGCACAGACGAGCTCGGTAGGATTTTAATTTGCCGGCAGGATATAAATGACCTTCACCGGAAACAAAGTCTACACACTTCTGAAAATTTAAAACTCGTTATTCCGTTTTATAATTTTTGCGCCAAAAGAACTGCAAATACTTTTGAATTTCGTTTGCGGAATTTCCTTTCGACCATAGGGGAATAAAAGCGATGCTAATTACTTTATTCATGAATTCATTTCGGTCATTGTTTTAGCTAACATCTGACGTCCAAAATGTGAGAGAATCATCGACGGCTGTTATGAACTCGGCATACCGAGGATTAAAACGAATGATTGATGGTACTTCCATGTCCATATCCAGTTGGCATATCGGACGTTGCAGACTTGAATGTCGGCTGTTGTCATGTAGATTGTAAACGGCAACGTGTTTGTTATCTTCACGACCAAACACGTATTTTGAATCAGGCGTCAAACAGGCACTTGAATATTTTAATGACTCCTCAGTAACTGATGCCGATTGGTCTTGATTTTGAAGCATAACTTTTCCTGTGTATGCATTGAGAACAAGGAAACCTCCTGAACTCAAACTTAATAAAATACACTCTCCATCTGTAGAGAACTCAATGTGACTTACTGTAACACCGTAAGGCGGTTTTGGAAAGGAGAACTGTTGAAAGGGCTTTAAGTCGAAGCTTTTAATGTTGTACAAACTGATCGTCAGTGTTGAGAGACTCGCTACAGCAAACAAGCTCGCAGTAGCATCAAATGCAGCTACTGCTGGAGAAGTAATATTTAGCAAACCCTTTATCTGTTAGTACAAGAGGAATATGTAAGAAACCTTGCTCATACCTGGCACGTTGACGAACGCATGTCCCATAATCGAAGTGTATTGTCCAAAGATGTGCTTAAGAACAATTCGTCTACAGGTGAAACATCAAGTGAAATAACTTTATCCTTGTGGCCGACAAAATAACGAATGTATCGATTCGAATTTAAATCAAGAAAACGAAGGGTATCTCCTTCTTTAGTTGAAGCATACACAGTAGATGTTGAATGATGTGAGAAACAAGCTAAATGTGCGCCATATTTTTTGCTGGCAAACGATCTTACGAATCTGTAGTTGTTAGATATTTCAATGCATTTTTGCTGTGAATTGGAGACTTACTTTCCAGTTGTACAATTGTATAAATGCAGCATATCATCAGTAGAGCAACACAAGCATAGCTCACCACTGTCGTCAAAATTAACAGAAGTTATTTTTTTTCCTTTCTCCACATCTCGTAAGACCTTGGTAGGGCGAAATTTGGAAACTAAATTGTCATCAATAGGCAAAGTAGCCATAGAAAATGATGTCTTTAGGTGTTGGTCTCTACGGTGGGTTCGGGACTACAGCTACATAAAGTTTTGCTAAAATACAGTTCATAGCAGGATGACTGAGTATTGGAAAAGCATTCCAAAGTATTTTTGCAAGTATTGTAACAAGGTTTTTACATCGACGTCTAAAAAGTTCTTATTTTTATTAACATTAAAAGTTTGTTACAGATACAAAACTAGGTCGACGCGAACATGAAGCTACATTCAAACATCAAAATGCAATTAAGAAGTTCATGGATGATATACACCGGCGAAATCAAAATGGGATTGTTAACAACGTAGCAAAAAAGGCTCCGAAATCAGACTCAACATTAGCTCCGTACGAACGAAAAGTTGTACGGAAAGAACCCATAAAGCAAACTGCTAAAAAGATTCATACACTCGATGATTGGCAATTGACAACACCTGTAAATGAAACTGACTCCATTCCAACACAGATCAGTGAAGCTGAACAAAAGTCCACAAACTCAGAATCATGCTCACAAAATTCTAAATCGTTTGAATTGTCACAGCCATCGTTGAAACGAAATCGAGAAATAGTTCGTGAAACCGATTTTAATGAACTGTCCAAATATAAAGTTCAAGAAAAGAAAGCACCGGAAATTGAACAACTCGGTAAAAATGAGTCAGCAAACGATTTAGGGAAGCCGGTTTTATTCAAAAAACGAAAGTCAGCTCGTGAAAATATCAAGCGAAAGACAGCCTAGAATGTTTAATCTTATTTGTCATATTTCTGTGACTTCAAATTCTTTTAATTGTTACGGAGCATAGATGTGTATTTTTTTTGTTATTTAAGAAACGTCAAAATTTATTATTATTTCCAGGTATTCGCTAATTTGCCGCATCAACTTTTTGATAAAACAGAATGTACGCAGTCGAGAAATTCTGGTAAATTCTTTTAAAATCCGTAACAGGTTGCACAATGGCATCATCACAGTAATACCAATCATAATTATGGAATACCGTAGCCGTATAGTGACCATTTTCCAAATCTCCATAATGGTTTACAAATGCAAACAGTTCATAATCAACGGGTTCATAGTATATAGATGATTGAAAAGAAGGTGGAACAATCATGCCGCTTGATATTCTCTTCTTGAACTCAAGGGAAGTCTCAATTTTACGATGAGTTGTGCCAATCATACGAAACCGTTTAAGTTGAAAGATCAATACGGACGGTAATCGTGAAACGCTCATTGTTTTCTTTGCATCTCTAGGAACGTCGCATTTTGGGCAATGCCATGCGTTGTTTCCTTGTAAGACTTCTTGCATTGAAAATGCACTGATACAAGTTTCGAGTGTGCAAGATGTTGTCGTGTCTTTTATAGGTAGTGCTAAAGATGAGAATGGTGCAAATGTTGTGGACGTTCGCTGGCATGTTAGACACTTGATTTGGCTAGCAAGCTGACCAAAGAATAAATCTGCGATCGGGCTAGAGTTCCTACGTTTGTAGATATTCCATTCAATGTTGGCCAAATGTGACATTGGGAGACGTTCTTTAGCAGCCTGTTGCTCTGTGGTTAATTCTGGCAATGGTGCTTTACCCGCTGATGAGTTTAAATCTTCATGTAAAGAATCCAAAAAGAAGTTCAAAAATTCCTGGGCATCGTGCTGGGAAGCTGTGTCGAATTCAGAGTATATGCTACAGACGTTGGCTAAAAAGTCTTTTGGGGAACAAACTCCTTGCCCTTGTAATGCTCGTACTTGATGAGACAAGCTTGTGAACGCAGTTGTCAGTTTTCCACCAGTGCCTAATGGGTTGTTTTGATTAAGACTTCGTAAGGCTTGACCATCAATAAACAGACTGACGAAAGGTGAACATGCGAAACAGCATTGCAAAATAGAATTCATGTAGCACGAATTTCCAAGGTTTGTCAAGCCAACTGGGCTTATTGAAATAGTATTCTTTCCAACTTTTGCGGGGGAATTTAGGTCTAAGAAACGAGGTGTAATTCCCATAGCAAGTAATGATAAATATATTTTAGATGCGATATTTGCATCGTCAAGCATATTGTCACATGAGTAACAGATAGCAGTTTTAATGTGAGCTTGGTGGGGAGTTTTGATGACTGTACGAATGGCATCTAATGAATTGTTTTGAATGAATGAGGCATCTAAAAAAACAGTACCCGACGAAAAACTGTATTCCTTCGAAGAGTTATGAGCATAAATATTTAAGAAAATCGTAGAGGGGTCATGATGGTTTGCTAGCTGTAAAACGTGAGATAGTTCGATGGGAGTAAATGCATGCATCACTGCAATCCTTTTTTGCAGTGTCGTAAGTCGCTCTGTGAGTTGTATTGTGTTCTGTACGTTAATACAAGAAAAATCGGCATCGGCAAGCCTATACCTTTTGAATTTGTAGAAGATCATTATAGTAGGAAGCGTTTTTAGATATACGAAATCGTTGAGGAATGATATACACAAGTTTGAACACTCTCAAATATAAAATATAAGAGCTCATCCATTGACTTGAAGAATACAGTTCGTTGGCCTTCGTTTGTTAATAATAAAGAATACATTTTCGATTTTACCTCTTTTAGCCAACAAGACGCGCGAAAGATACAGCTTTCAACATTCTCATCGTAGTGAATGTAAACAAAAGCCTTCTCAAATAGATCCTCAAAGTAATTTTTGCCCATGTGGGCTGTGTTTTTGAAGAAAAAGTAACAAAATTGTAGGATGCCGAATTACGGATTGTGTCTGTTGTAAGAGACCAATTCTTAGTATCACCATTCCACCATACTCTTTTTGGAATCCGTACAATTAAAAACTGTATACACGTATTTGGACACACTTAATATCGTTTTATTTATTTAAAGCCTAGGTAAAATGGATTGGCAAAAGCAAGTTAATGTTTTTCAAAGAAGAATGGGGGCAAATATCATGTATGAAATTTCTGTTGTAGTAACACTATATTAACAGGATAATGTAATAGAAATGCGAATTCGGAAGTATTTCTTGTTTGTGCATCTGATTTTGGAGACATTTGTATGATCGTTTCTAAAATTGATATACACAAAATTTCTTTCGTACTCAGTGATGAGCATAAAGACGTTGAAGAAGAGATCAATACTTTGTTACTAGATCATTCATTTTTAGAGCATCGAACACTCTTAAGCGTATATAATTATCTTATATATAATTGGGATAGACTTGCTAAGGATCATGAACAACGCGAACGGGAAAAAGGAGACACGATTACGAAAACTGAAGAGAATATAAATGTGGAAAAGAAAGACGATGCCAAAGATTATGAGTCTATTGCAAAACGATCATCATTGTCAGAAAAGTTAAAGAAACTGGACATTACTGATCAAGACTCTAGCTTTACCAAAGCCAAGGATACGCAATATTTAACGAAAAAAGTTAGTCTAGGAACGTTGAATGGGGAGTTGCAGAATGATTTACATGAGATTAAGGAACAGGACACAGACACGGATGGGGATGAAAATGACAATGAGGACGAGGATGACACTGCATTTGGCGATCAAAACACAACGAAAACGGAGGAGGAAGAAGACATGGTAATGATTTGCTCTGAATTAACCGGTTTAAACATGGTTAACATTGGCTTAATGAGATTCCCAACTCTCAAGCTAGTGGTAAAGTGTTCCAGATGCAGATACGGTACTGAATGCAGTGTACAAAAGAAGTTTACAGGAGTTTGCTCCCGATGCACGTTTAACTTTGTACTACAGTGGAAAATGGGCGATATCCATGCTCACTCTACGAGAGCAGGTACTCTCAGAGCACTTGGTTGTGTGCCACTTGATTTGTTACCCTTAAATGCTCAGTGCACATGTCTCGAGTGTGTCGATGAAGTTATTGTCTTAATCAATGGCCTTTCTAGTGCTCAAAAAATGACCAAGTTCTGCGTTCATTGCACAAAGAATTTGAGTGTTGAGTTTCAGACGGCCGACTTTCATTTGTTGAAGCTACGGACCGGATCACAAAAGGTCAACACAAAGAGTGCAAAGAAGTTTAGCAAGCAGAATCTCGGTATTGTGCGCGGAAAACCTTTACCAAACAATGGTGCATGTGCACATTACAGGAAGTCACATCGATGTATGTAGTAACGCTTTTTATGCGTTTCCCTTAAATGCATCTTGCTAACAGATTACAGGGTTCCGGTTTTCGTGTTGCAACCGTATATATCCTTGTTGCGAGTGTCACGATATGGATCAAGATCATCCACATGAGCAGGCAAACAGAATCATCTGCGGATTTTGCTCCATGGAATCGCTGTACACGCCTAGCAAGCCATGCCCACACTGTGGAAACTTCACGACGCGACAACAATTGAGTGCCTTTTGGGAAGGTGGAAAAGGAATGCGAGACCGAGTCCGGATGAGTCGAAAAGACCCACGAAAATACAAGCGATTGTAGGATATTCGCCGTTATTCAGATTCATCATCATAATTTACTAATTTTTGAGAATGACATGAGAAAGGATGCTGAGTGCTTTCCTGTTTTTTTCTATGAACAGGAGCATGAGTTCCGAAGGGATCTCGTTTTATAAAAGTGTTTCGAGCAATCCTTGCTAACGCTGTATTTTTGCTTATTTTACTCTTTGTTTTGAATACACTGTCATTTGTCCTTTTTTCATTCAAGCTGTAGTTTTTCTCTTTTCCTTTTGCTCTTTGGACAAGTGAAGCAGCCTCAACTTGATCATTGGGACTGGGAGTTACTAATGGTACACTAAAAGCTGCTTGTTCTGTAAACTTTTTGTCTCTTTCTCTTTGGTCAAGGAACTTTCTTTTGTTCGTCTAATTCTGTTAACGAAAACCGTCATTAATAAAGGTGGGAATGTCTACGTTAAAATTGCTCTCACATACCCTAAACTCTTTTCGTAATTTCTGGGAAGCTTCGTAATTATCAGCCCATTGCCTTTCATTCCGTTCAATCAATGCATTAATAATGGAGTTCGCCTGCTGAGCTTGAGTATTTCGTTCAATGGCTACTAGTGCCTCATCCTTTTCCAAAGGTTTCGTATCTATTAATCCAGGTTCTGCTCTTGGCTTTGCTCCCGACGTTAACCGGTATTCTGTATTCTATACGAGTGTGTTAAAAATGTTTGTTCGCAATGCTATTCACTTGCTTTGGGATCGGTTTCAATTGTTATTTCATTTGAGCAGAGATGACATCGAAACTGAAATGACCAAATGGTAGTTGTGTAATACTTTCCAATTGCAGTTTTTGAAGCATTGTATCGCGTTCCTTGAGTAAGAAGATTATCACAGTGCGAACACCATATTGAGTAAGGTAGTTCAAATCTAATGATGTTTTTCCCGCTTTTCTTTTTTTTCCTCTGTACGTCATCAGAGAATTCATTCGAATAGTACCGTCCCATTCCAAACCCCTGCATTGTCGTCAATTGCAGAATAACAAAAATAACAAAATTATCAAGGTGTTGGGTCGGAGGAGACCCACAGGTAACAGCAGGTAACAACCACAGCAAGAAACAGAATTAGTATGAATAAGTTTGTATCGGGACTCGGTAGTTTAGAAAGTGATGGAATGAAGAGAGTTTTTATTTGAGGATATCTGACACCCATTTAAGTTTAGCAGTTCCTTCGGGTGCAAACGACCAAAATTCATGTGCATATTTTCGGAATTGCGGCTTGTTACACTGACTAAGTGCAATTAAGAAAGTTTTTCCAGAGAGTTTTAATTTGTTGGTCACCATTTCTTCCAAGAGGCGCTTAATAAGACGAGGATCTTTTCTCGCAACAGCAATTCTTAGATACTCATGATAATTGTGTTCGTTTTTTGTAAAGCCAGGATAGGTGGTGAATAGTTGCCAGTATAAATCAGCTTCCTTGTAAAGTCCAGAGATGTTACATGCTTGAAGAAGCGTAGACAAAGAACGCCATGAAGGCTTTTGAATGCGACGACTTAAAGTAACTGTCTGGTCTACATCCAATTGTGCCGGATGTTTTATCCTCAGGTCTTTTGGCAGCTGCGCGTTAAGTAGGCTTATTGCTGCAAGACCGTCTTTCCGAAATGCAATTGTAAAAGCGGCAAATGCACACAAGTTCTTTTCGTTGATGGTGGGCTTTTCTTTGGTATTGGAGTTAAGCATGCACATCCAAAATGTCTTTGAAGCCTCCAGCACTTCTTCTCTTGCATATTTTGTGCCAGCAGTTATATTTTCACAAAGTTGATACAGTAACGTGAAGCAATCAGCATCCAACAATTCAATGTTCTCTTCACAAAGTTGTTTCGCAAATGCCAAGTTCCCTGTGTGCATACAGAATTGTAGCATTCCAGCTAAATGTATAGTGTTTAAATTCACCAGATTTTCCTGCGTTCCTTTTCTTAAGGAAGCATAAAGCTTTTCCAGTATTTCTTGATGTGAACCCTGCTGCTCAGCTACGCTAGTTTTGCTAAAGTTGTTCAGGGCACGAAACATTATACTGTAAGAGTAATCATTCGGAGAATGATTCCATTTTTTCATGTCATTAAATAGCTTCCATGCTTGTCGAACTTGCTTGTTATCGGCATAATGAGTTAACAAGTGATTAAAAGCCACAACCTTTGGTGCCCTTTTAATTATGTTAATTCGTTCTAGTGCCTTATCAACTTTTCCTTGTGCTATAAAGTGCTTTACGGTTTCCGCAAGTTTGTAACCATTTTCACGATAAGACAGCCATCCATCTTTTCCTTTCCGCGGCCGAGCAGACGGTGTTTGTCGACTAGCATTGTTTGAGATTCGACGACAACCGATCAACAAGGACCCTCGATAAAAGTTAATGTTGTTAATGCCGCTTGATAAAATTTGACATTGAACGATTTTCAAATTTAATAGTGTCATAATAACAAAAATTGTCAAATTTTACTAGAATGGAGAAAGCATGAAAGCGAAGACATGGGCACCCATATAATATACAAAACAGCAAAAAATATTATTGGGGAAACAGTTTATTAGCATGGCTTAATCGCAATACTACAGCTTTACACTTCGTCTAGTAGCACTTTCAAGCAGAGGCATTATCACATTCAGCGTTTCCTGAGGGAACAGGCTCAGACTAAACAATACACGCCATACTGCAAACAAACAGACCGAAATAACTAGACCCTGTGCAATGCAGGAGACAACAAGGCAACCAAACCCAACTACGCAACTTACGAGCACCAACCCAAGGCCGAACGACACTTTCCATAATTCACTCGTCGGGATAACCGCTCGGTATTATGACATCGTCCAGGTCTAACCCAGTTCTACACAACTACGAAAACAGACCAAAACTAGCACCGTCCTGTGCATGCGTCCATAGGTGTTTGCTGTCTAACGGGTAGCACTACGTCCTTTTTAAAGCATTTGCTTGATCAAGCTGTTAATGTGCTCGTCACGCTTGCCAGCATCACCACCCTCGATGAAGTGCTTGAACTTGCGCTCTCTCCAGCCACCACGGGGAGAGGAGAGCTTGAAGGGCCAAAGGAAGTTGTTGGCTTGCTTGAAGTTGGGACCAACGGTGGCAATCTCGTGGATCAAGTCCTCAATGGAGATGATGGAGTACTTGCCCAAAGCGTTCTCAATGATGGCGTTGTCAGAGAGAGCAGTGCGTTGCTTGTTGACCTTACCGTAACCACGCTTGTAGATGAGGTCACGGACAGCCTTCAAGTTGGGAACACCGTAGGTAACGTAGGGCTCAACAATTTGAAGCATCTCTTGGGTAGCCTTGGTCAATCTGACAAAGACACCGTTGTTGATTTGCAAAAGACGGAGCAATTGCAAAACCTTACGAGGCTTGGGAGCAATGTTGTTGATACCGCGGATACGGATAACGAAGGCCAACTTGGGCTCATCGGGAACGTAGTAGTTGCCCTCAGCACGAGCCTTGCGAGCAAGATCAATTTGCTCACGCTCAGCCTTGCGGTACTCGACGTCGTAAGCCTCAGTACGCTTGGCAATCAACTCGCGCTTCTTCTGAGCGGCCTAAACACGTTAGTATACAAATCCGGCCAATCCGTTCCAGGTGAGAACAGTGGTGGGTTGTTTTCGTCTCAACAGGTAAAGAAAGCTCCACAACAGACTCGGTAAATCAACATTAGCTCAGCCCCGAAAGATGGTATTTGTGGAACGCACATTCTTGTTCGCAATCCAAAAGAATAGGTCTTCATCATCACCGGTGTTGATTTACACGGATACAAGTCGCGTAGTACATCCTCGAACTCACACACATTCACCCAATTCTCCTCACCACTGACGAAAACAAGCACACTATTTCACCCAATAAGGTAAACACATACCGCCTTCTTCTCAGCCGCAGCAGCAACAAGCTGCTCGCGAGTCTTGTTTTGAGCCTTGTTCTTCTTGAGAAGAGACTCAGGAATCAAGACTTGCTCCTTCGAGGGGACCGTCGACGATGCTACAGCCATGATGGTTGGTGTATGGTGGAGGTTAAGAGTCTATGTAAGAGGACCTGCTGTTTCGGTTCATAGCAGTCACAAAAATTTTGTTGACGTCAAGCCGTGACTGCTACCACAACACCTCTGTTAAGTTGTTGCACAGTGCATACTCTGTAACCACCCTGATCACGAAACATGGCCACCAACGTTGGACCTCAAATTCGCTCTGGAGAGCTTGTCTTTGGCGTTGCTCACATCTTCGCCTCCTTCAACGATACCTTCGTCCACGTCACCGATTTGTCCGGTAAGGAAACCATCGTCCGTGTCACTGGTGGTATGAAGGTCAAGACCGACCGTGACGAGTCTTCTCCCTACGCCGCCATGTTGGCTGCTCAAGACGTCGCTGCCAAGTGCAAGGAGGTTGGTATCACTGCTCTTCACATTAAGATCCGTGCTACTGGTGGTACTGGCACCAAGACCCCCGGTCCCGGTGCTCAAGCTGCTCTCCGTGCTTTGGCCCGTGCTGGCATGCGTATTGGTCGCATTGAGGATGTTACTCCCATCCCCACCGACTCTACTCGCAGAAAGGGTGGTCGTCGTGGTCGCAGACTTTAAGCATTTTGCTTTGTTCCGATCTTGTTTCGGCAGAGTCTGTGCCCTTTTTTTCTTTGCATGAGCTTTCTTCAATAGACGTGACTGCAGGGCATATTTTCGCGCTTGTTGTGGGGTTGTAGTGTTGTGCCGCTATTGGTTTTTGTTGTATTAAGGTTTGCGGGGTTTTTGTTAGGTTGTCGCTATGCGATAATTAGTGTCGCATGTTTATTTAAAGTACTCATTAGCGATCCAATCAAAAGAGAAGAAAGATTTTTTTCGCAGTCACGCTCGTGCAAACGAAACAGAAACACCAAGCCGCACAAGAGGTAAGAGGGTCTTTAATTTCCTAGACAAAGTCTACTATTTACAGTTTGACAACCATTGACGTCCCCAACCTCCTAGCTACATCTTATACGCACAATACCAGATTCGTTTTTTTGAATTCCTCTTTAAACAGACCTCGCACTTTACTTCTTCTTGGCCTCGGCCTCCTCAGCACGCTTCTTGGCGAAAGCAGCACGGGCACCGGCGTAGCGAGCGTAAGCACGCTCGTTGCTCAAGGTAGCAAAGGCACCGAAAGACTTGGCCTCCTCAGAGATAGCCTTAGCCTCCTCGACGGGCTCAGCGGCAATGGGGACAACAGCGTCGACAGCAACTTGCTCGGCACCAGAAACGTCCTTGGCATCACCAGCCTTGGGCTTGCCGGCCTTGCGGGGGAAGACGATCAAGTGAGCCATGTAAGCCTTGAGACGCTCAACGTTACGTTGAAGAGACTCCTCAGAGCGGTTACGACGACGGTGGTCGACGGGAATACCGACGGTAGGGGCGTAACGGCGGGGAATACCGGCAGCCTTGAGCTCCTCCAAAGTGAAACCACGACCAGCACGGATCTTCATGTTGTAACGGACCGTGGGGGGCTTCACAGCGGGACGGAGAGCCTCCACAGGGCGGGGAGCAACACGAGCAGCCTTTTCTTGACGAGCACGGCGACGACGGAGCTTACGACCGGGTTGGTTGAACCAGGTCTTGACATAGCGCTGCCAGTGCTTGTGGAAATGCGCGTTAGGCAACTGTCCCTTCACGTGAATTGCCATTTTTTGGTGTGGTTAAAGGGTGGTGTTGTGTGGAGGGTAAGTTTGCTCCTACTTCAAGGAGAAGCTTTCATCGTCACCCAAATTTTGTGACTGCTTTTTTTGCCTCTGTCTTTTCACCAAAACCAATTTCATCACCTACCATCCACGAGCCATCATCATGCAGTCTGTTCAGTGCTTCGGTAAGAAATGCAACGCTACGGCTGTGGCCCACTGCAAGGCCGGTAAGGGCCTCATCAAGGTCAACGGAGCCCCCCTTTCCCTTGTCCAACCTGAGATTCTTCGTATGAAGGTCTACGAGCCCATCTTGGTTGCTGGTGCCGACAAGTTCGCCAACGTTGACGTTCGCGTCCGCGTCTCTGGTGGTGGTCACGTCTCCCAAATCTACGCCATTCGTCAGGCTATTGCCAAGGCCATCGTCGCCTACTACCAAAAGTTCGTCGACGAGCACTCCAAGGCTGAGATCAAGAAGGCTCTTGTTGCCTATGACCGTACTTTGTTGGTCGCTGATCCCCGTCGTATGGAGCCCAAGAAGTTCGGTGGTAAGGGTGCCCGTGCTCGCCAACAAAAGTCTTACCGTTGATTCTCGGTTTGTTGGTTGGATTTGTACTTTCTTGTTTTGGCGCTAGTTCTCTTTCGTCTGAAATGTACAGTTTGATAGCCAATAAAGTTATGTGCGCAGGTTCGGGTTGTAACTGGTCCGTGGCATGTGCAATGTTAGCGATGTATTTTTTGGGTTGGGAAGGTGTGCTTATGGCGGCTTGTGATGTGGGGACGTAAGTAATTCTCTTCTAGTTAGGCGGTCGTTGAGTGTGAGTGTATTCTTCATCACTCCGTCTGTTCCATTCTTTCCGGTGTTCCCCCTTCGCCTTGCTGGGAAACGTAGGAAAGAATCGCGGGTCTTTGGGCCGTGGTGCTTCGGTGAAGTATGGATGTTGTAGCGCTTCCTCGGCCGTGATACGGTGGGCAGGATTGAGTGTTAACAATCGCGATAGTAGGTCATGGCCGGCAGCTGTAAGAAAGGGAAACGCAGACCGCAATTGACTGTGCTGAGACTTCACAGACGGTTGTTTTACTTGAGATGCATGAGGAAGTAAGAAGAATTGAGGCCAACTTTCGTGTGTAGGATAGCCTAGGAAGTTAAATATCTGTAGGTGTGAGCAATTCATACGAGGTAGTAACACTGGCATAATGAACGTTTACAGGTTTTTCACATACCTTACTGAGCTGATCCAATTCTGATCGGCCATTGAAGAGAGGAGAACGAGTTAGAAGCTCTGCAAAAATGCAACCGACACTCCACATGTCTATTTCCTTTCCGTAGGAAGGTGCACCAAGCAATAGCTCAGGAGCACGATACCATAGTGTAACGACTAAACGTGTTAACTGAGGTTTTGGTTCACCCAAGGATCGCGCAAGTCCAAAGTCAGCAATTTTAATTTCCCCTGTATTATTCATGAGCAGATTGGAGGGTTTAAGGTCTCTGTGAACAAACCAATGGTGATGTAGAGTCGCGACTGCTGCCAATAATTGAAGCATGAGCGTTTTTACCTCGGACTGAAGGAAATCTTCTGGCATATCTTTCAGTAGAGTTGCCAAATCGTGTTCCATAAATTCCATGACCAAATATACATCTTTCCCCGAACGCCCAGTGACAACATCTAAGAGTTTGACAATGTTGTCATGCTGAACAAGTTTTAGTGATTGGATCTCACGAAGACTTGTTATGGGGAAACCTTCAACATAATCTTTTTCAAGTTTCACTTTTTTTAAAGCAATGATATTTTTGTTTCTTTTATCCCTGGCCCTGTAGACGATACCATAAGAGCCCTCCTCAATTTTGTTTAGAACTTCGTAGGAATCAATCGAATCACAAGAATGTAACTGACCGGACTGATTGAGTATGAACGATCTTACGTCAAACGATGAATAGCTTTCCTTGTGCAGAAGCTCAGCCTGTTTTTTCTGTTTTTCCAACTTTCTTCGTTTCCTCCATTCTTGCTCTCGTCTAACATCTTCCGCTGCAAAACCGTCATTGTCCTTTATTCTTTCCCATTTGGAAGTCATAATTACAGTTATAGTCAGAGGAATCTCGTAAACTAAAGAAACCTGTGACTACTTATGAATTTGGCATTTCGAAGTAGAGCTTTTGTGATGGATTCACTCACCACAAATGAAACGTTAGGATATGAATACGTGTGTACTTCAAAGAATTAACCGAAAACTGGTAGTACGAGGTTCCAATTGTAGTAGAAGAAGGACGTACTAACGGCGTATTTCTATATTCCAGGGATACTTTAATGATAATTTCATTTCTGGCTATTTTTTGAAAAATAAATACGTACCCATGGACGTTTATTATTGAAATTAAATAACTGAATGTTTAATAGGGAATTGTATTGGATTCGAAAGACTGTAGATCAGGTATGAGGCAAAAGTTTTAGACACATTTTTATGCGAATTTTAAGTTCGTACTGGCCTCTTGTTGGTGATTTATTTGATCTCTTTGAAAAGAAGCGTATTAATCGTTATTTTATGCAATTGAAATAAAAAGGTCATAAAAAAAAACTGAATTTAATAAACAAGAAATTAAATAGGCAGCATCAAATGTCTGCAACAGTACATAAATAGATATAGCAATGGAAGTAAACTTTAATCCGATTTTTTTTTTTTTTTTTTTCTGTTAGATGCTAAATTACGTTGATAATGTTCTTTATTAATATCACATAACCAAACACTGATATACTTGAGTTTATGACAACAAACTCATTTAATAACGGCATTTTCAATGTTTAATTTCTTGCTTAAGGAATGGCTTTTTCTGGGGATTAGACGTTTATGTATTATTTTGCAGCATTACTTTGTACTTGGCAACACACATGCAACATATTTAATGAAATTATACGCACTAAGGGAGTTGTTTAGGTGCTGTTCTCTTATTTGTGCTCAACTTTTTGCACATGATAAATTATAGAATATATTATTATTAAAAGAATATTGAAAATTAGACAAACACACATTGCAGAATAAAATACAAAGGAATTAAATGAACAAGAATTCCTTTGTAAAAGTCACCAAAATTTTGTTTGCATACTCAATTCGATTTTTATCAACAAATGTCTTTTCTATCAACTTACATTTAACGGTATTTCATCGGTAATTCTTAATATTATTATTTATAGGATTCACTAGGTCATAAATAGCAATCTTATGTTAGTTTACAATAGCTATCAGTAATTTTGAGAAAGGCAACTTTAAAAATAAAAGCCCACCATGAGCAGTTCGGAGAACAAAACTACCTAACGAAATAATCGAGTTTAGCGTCAGCAATTGTTATAGCCTCTTTAGTCGGTGGTCAGTCTGCGTCACGGAGCAAATGAAGTTATGTCATTGACTCGGTACTATTGAACTTTAGAAATGAAACAACCATTCAACTGATTGGTCTCTTAAATTGAAGGCTAAACATTCGCTAGCATTCATTTCTATTACGAAGCAATTCCGATTTATTGCTTTATATTCGCATATCTTGCAAAATTATTGGATTTTGTTTTCCCGAAATTTACAAACATTGAAAATCTGAATTAGTAACCAGAGATATTATCAATTGAAAAATTAATACAAATATTCAAGGGTTCAGTGGTTGTAATCTATTAAACACTACTTGTTTTCTTCAACAGTAACTTTCAGAACTTATTGCGCGTAACATAACATTTAGGTTTTATTAACCGAAGCCTTTTTGGAAAGGTATTTTAAAGAAAGAAGTTATTCATTGTTCGAAACATAAGAACAAGAATCCTCAATTGAGCTAAACATATCCGGCCTCGAGCCGTGACAAAATGTTCAACCTCGTTTCATTGAATTTTTTCTTTTTTAAGAATTGTTCGGCATGCCATTGAAGAAGAAGGCGACACCCGCAAACGCGGAAGAAGATAAAACAGATACTGATCTGACGTTTTCTGATGCGGAATTAGTCAAAGTTCTAATAGGCAGAGTTGCGGAACTCGAAAACACCCTCAAGTATCAACAGTCTATAACTCAGGACAAGTTCCCAATGATACGATTCAAGCGTGACAGTGATCCTAAGGATTTTATTGATGAACTGGACGTTTATTTCTCATATAACAATTTTACGTCGCAACAAAAACGATCGAAGGCACTCGCCTCCCTTCCCGAAGAAATCAGAGATCGCATTATAACAATTAAGGACGCCAAAGAACTGGAATGGCGCCAATTACTAACAGAAATCTTAGCTCCAGAGTTTCGCTTCTATCGCGAACAATTGTTCTCGGCGACAATCAAGGCACGCGAAAAAGGCCTCAGTACCTTCGCTGTTGCTTACGAGAAATTCGTACGAGCTCCGGGAGTTACTCAAGATGATATTGGATTGCTACTATTATATATGACTGCAGACAAAGACGCCAAGGAATTCTTAGACCGTCAGAATTATCTCGAATTAGACACAGAAATTGTCGTCAGACTACTCAGATTCTACGACTCAAGACGACAGACGAATAAATTTCAAGGAAAGGATCGCTTCCGAGGATCTTACAGAAGATTCAATTCGAATTACCAATCAACTTCCGACGAAATAACGAATACAGATAACGGGAAACCCTTCCAAAAGAAGAAGCCCGCCGTGGATACCTTTGATATTACGACAGACCCCAAGGACGAGGGCAAATTACATCAACACTTTTATTTATCAGACCAAACGACGTCAGTCAAAGCCTTAATCGACACTGGCGCTGACGAGTGTGCGATGTCAGACACATTCGCAAGACACTTGAACGTCAAAAGCTATTCAACTAAGACCCTTACGACGAGAAATCCAAATGGATCAATTTTAAATGCCATTGTAAAAACAGAAATGAGAATCGAAATCGACAAAAAAACATTCAAGCAACATTTTTGGATCATTAAAGACCTAAACATATCCGGTCTCGAACCGTGACAGTCTGGAAAACACCATTTTTGCCTTGGCTTTTACTTTTCATGGTGTAGATGTATATAGCCACTAATAATATACTAGGTTCGATTCCTACATGAACCACTTATTGACTTCTATTTTCTATCTCTCTTCCTGAAGAAGAGAAGCCTGTTACGGAAGACAAAATCAATATAACTTAACTTACCGTTCTTTTAGTCGTCTTAGAGCAGAAACCTGTTGTATTTAATATGGCTCACAAGAGAAAAAAGCGTTCGGAAAAACTAAAAGATCGTAAAAAGTTAGGGTAAGTAATTCTCGCAATTGTATTATAACGAATACTAATTTTTAAGTGAGGATAATGCTCCCGTCGTTAATGGAGACGAAGATGATTGTCCGAAAGCCTTCAAACATCTTCTCAAGCAGAGGGAAATTTATGAAGCCAAAAGACTGGAGAGGAAAATAGCGAAAACAGAGAAGAAAAAGCCAATTATAAAAAGACTTCCCGGCGAAAAAATGAGTGAGTTCAGTCAAAGAGTAAACAGGGCTATACCGGTTTCCTTCAAAAGTGGACCCGTGAAGGTCGACGAATTTACAGATAAGAAAACAGCCAAAAAAATAAAACGGAAACAAGAGAAGAGGGAAGCAGAACTTGACGAAAAGGAAATGGAGTTAGAGGACACAAACTGGGAGGCTGAAACTACAGGGTACGTTAATTTAACGCATCAGCACAAAGTAACTAACATCACAAAGCCAATATATCCCAATCGAAAGTCACAGAAAACGAAAGGGCTCACCCGACCCTTGGGAATCTTTAAACAAACAAAGACCTGCCTTTAATGAAAGGGTTGATGCACCTCCTGTTCTCCCATCTTTGAAAAAGACATCTATCATACATAGCATTCCAAAAAAAGACAAACAAGGGAATACAGAATCCCTTGCACGACGGAAGGCATTAGGTGAAGAACGTCAGGCTTTAATTGAGCGTTATCGTGCCATGATGCAGGCACGTCGATCATAGCAGGCGTTTGCGAACTCAAACAACGAACAGTGGCTGTTTGTAACTAAAGTTATACAGGTGACACCTCATTCACTTGTCGTGGATGGGACCATTTCGTTAAAAATGGCACCTATTTTTGGACCAAAGTAGCCTTTCATCTTGTGCAGTGTCTCCAGCTTAGCATAAATGCTGGAATGGTAGTTGCCTAGCATCAATACTTTTCCGAGCAAATCACAACATATTTGCTCAATTAAGGATTTTGCCAGCGTTGATTTAAGCGTTATTATTCTCCTCCGAGAATGACGTCCACTTATTATTTTCACAGCAGGAGTACCGAATGAACGAGAGAATGTGTAAAACCAGTTGTCTAACAAGCAAAGAATGGCATCCTCAATTTCTTCTGGCAAATTGAATTTTGGTAACACAGCTTCATCATTGGCAACACCGGACATATTGTCATAAATAAGGGCTGTTTCAAGGTATGTTTGTGATGCCTGTTTTAGTTGTTAATAACAATATACACTTTTCTGTACTTACTTGTAATTGAAGCACCCCCGATTCTTCTTGCTGTATCAGTGAAAGTGAGACATCTGTAAGCAATTGCCATGCTTCAGTGAGGATGCTTCGGTTGGACGTGTCGTCCTCAGATTCACTGATATCATTGACGCACCAGAAAATAAGGTTCTGTAAGATGTGTAATAGGCAAACATTTGGGTTACAGAATGTTTTGTTTTCTGGAAGCGTAATTAAATCCTTAAGTATATTCAACGTCACCTTGAGTCGTTCATCCCTTATCATATTCTTCAAAGATGTAATACTTTCGAGCTTTTTCAGCAAACTCTCAGCCGTTCGGTAGGTGGTGTCTTCATAAACAGTCGTTAAATCGTGATTGGAGAAGAATGCATTGAATTCTATTAAGAGCTTTTCACCAAGTTCATAAATTGAAATTGATAATGAGTTCTCGATAAGACTGACGCCCTGCAATCTCACAAAAACGTAGGCACAACTATGGATTACCTCGTAGTCATTTGTTTGTGAAAAAATCTTCTGGAGTACCTTTAGTAAGTCCTCTAATACTGGTCGCATCTGAGACGTTGAAAGAACTTGCGGTTGTAAGTTGAGTAACAAACGTAATGAAAACTGAAGGCATTGTGATAATGACGAGAACTTTTCTAATAGTCCAATGATAAGAGGAAGACATTCATAACTTAGTTGTTCAGTATCAACATGTTCGTTAGCGCTAGCAATTTCCTTCTCCTTCGGTTGTTGACCTTTGCGCGAAAGTGAGTAAAATGCTGGATCGAAAGCCGCTTTTAAGGATGCAAATAGTATCTGCAACACGGTAACGATAAGCTCTTCCGTCAGATTACACTCTTCAAAAATCTCATGAAGAATGCCAGTTTGTGAAGAATAGTCTTCATCATACAAGAGGTAATCCATTAAAAGAGTCCAACTTGCATAATCATGGTCTATTTTGAGCATAGGGGCAATAGCCAATTCTAAAGGCGTTTCTTTATCACAACCCTCCATTTTGTACGGTAACAGAGCAGATATTTCTTGTGATTTCTGGGTAACTGAGTTGACGATTTTTGATAGCAATTTCGTTAAGATAGAATACTTCAGCCATGTTATGCTAAAAGTAGTATTGAGATTTTTTTGGAGCTCCAAAGAAATAGCAGTTCTTCCTCCCCATAATTCAAGTTTCTCTGCAAAGAGTTCATCCACGTATGATACGAGGAATGAAGCAATCTCCTTTTGTACCTTAACGTTAAAGTCAAACAGCAAATCTAAGATTTTATCTATGTCTTCTTCCTCAAAGAAACCACAGGCCCGTATTGAATTACACAAACGTATTGCCGAAATTCGAACATTTAGATCAACGTCGTAACAACATATGTCCACAATTCTTTCCTTGAATCTCATTGAAAAGTGACGAAGCGCACTTAAAAATGACTCATCTGAGTAGACTTTTGTCAATGCACGAATGGCCGTTAACCGAATGCTTGCATTCGCGTCTGAAAGCATCCAACCTAAGTATCGTAAATAAGCACCACCTAAAAACACGCTAGGCAGAGTCGTGATCCAATAACCCAGTTCATGCAAGGATTCGCATCTAATTCTGGGCTCTACATCACGGTATCTGTGAACAAAAACGCTACATGTGTTAGAGAATAAACCGTATACCGTAACATACCTGTCGAAATAATCATTCAAATACTCATGAATAGTAGTTTCATGTAAACTGAGTTCATCAATAGAATCCCGAATCGAATCAATCCTATCGAAATTGATGCGGGATCTGTTTTCTTCGGTAGCCAATTGTTTCGACAGAGTATTCTTTTCTTTCAACATCCTGCCGCACAGATCACAAAGCCTTGAAGTTATATTCATACAAAAGAAGGTAGCAGTGTGCCGGATAGGTCTTAATGTAGAAGAGGACATGGCGACAAGCCAACTCGTGATCTCCAAAAATAAATTCTTGTTATTGGAAAGAAAAAGATACTGTTGCCGGTAAAGTTGATTGATAAATTCCTTAACGAGTGCCACTAATCGGCTTTTGAAAGCTTTATATTTGAGAGATTTCGATACTAGCGGATAATCCCCGCTAATTTGCTAATTATGTTAGCTTCGTGTTACCAACATTACTTATACCTTTTCAACTGAAACCTGGATTTGGGAAAGCGTCGTAGACGCCGTTTCCGAATCCTGAACGTCAAAATCGTTAACTGGTTTATTACAACCACAACATTTTAAGAGAAAGTTAACAATTTCGACCAGTGCTTGACTTTGATTTTCTCTGTAAAGTTGAATCCAAGCTGAAACGATAGATTCGACTTCAGTATTTTCACCGATCAGTTTGTCAAAAGATGCATTACTCATTTCCTCAATTGGTATCGGCGGTTCTTCCACTTCCGCTCTGCTTTTTTTTGAATTCATTCCTCTTGATGAATTTCTACGCGTCCGTTTGGAGCCAATAGATGTATCTTCGTAGTCACTATCATCATTATTGTCTGAAGAAGAAGATCCCGATTCACTTAAATATGGCTCATCTTTGTCCGACGACATTTTTGTTATTCGTAATTTCGTGCTTGATCTTATTTGAACAGTAAAGTTCGAAAAAGTGACGATATTTACGATGTTTTGTTAGTTTGACAAAACAGGATAAGAAATGACAAGAAAACAAACGGTCCAGGCTATTTTCAAAATAATACAAGGTCCGTTATAGCTTGAGAACGAAAAATAAGTTGAATCAGTAGATATGGGTTTATACTAGGTCGTTGCAATCAGATTGCTGTAGGAGACATATGTCGTCCAACAAAACTGAGTATTATTACGAGCAAAGCTTAAAAAAAACAGTAATCACATTAATTCCGCTACGTAGGATGGAACTATAAACAGGAGTCAAGGAAATAAACAAATGTTCATTCACAAAAATTTTTATTAATATAGAAATCAAAAACGCGACGCGTCAAAGTGATAATCAATTTTAAGGTCTAATAGTAAAAAATGTGTAATCTTCATTTTACAACAAAGCGATGCGCGCAAACCGCTGTGTATAGTCGTAAATTAAGACGATATTGTACTAGTTTTAATACCACTTAGTAAAGCTAAACATAAACAGGTATCTATGGCTACACATGCGGTTTTTTGGTTACCAATAACGCGTCGCGACGCGTCGCGAAGAAACACCATGTTTACAAAACGCGCTACGCGTACGCGACTCGACGCGTCGCGTATCGCGTAGCGTGACACGATTTAAAGACAGGCCGCCTCCCTAATGGAATGCGTATTCTACCAAGCACAAATCACAAAACCACAAGCATGAGGTTGTCTTCTCCCGTGCAGGATACTGTCCTCGGAGTGCTGTCCGATATTACAGAAACCTCAAATAATGCTGTTCTTCGAACTCCAGAATCTTCACCCGCGGCACCTTCAAAGAAACATAAACTTTGGGACTTTCCTGAACTCGACGGTAATGGATCTAAAGCTCGTAAAAAGCTCTTTCAAAGAACTCCAATTCTTCATAAACCACCGAAAAAACCTGTCCGTCATGCTTCTATCGCTACAGAGTTGTTGCAGCGAGGTCTGGGCATTTCCCGCGGAATCAATATTCGTGATACAAGTACGTTCAATTATTTGTGTCATCCTGAAGTTGCTTTGATACTAACCTTGGGATTAGATATTACTGGTAGCCGATTTTGTCTCCAAAACTATTATTCACGGCCCTCTGACTGTCTTACTATGCTTGATCAATTGCCTTTCAGCGTTGCCTTTGCCAACCATGAGTCTCTTCTTGCAGTCTGCACTGAAACCGGTGCACTAGAGCTTATTGACACGAAACCGAGATGTAATTCGGTGTACGGTATGGACGACGATCGTTCCATTCAGAGAATTCACGGCTGGTTGGCTCATAATAACGCCGTTTTCGGTGTTACTTTCTCTGAAGATGACAGTTTGCTCGCTACCGCATCTGGTGACCAGACTTCAAACATCTTTGATCTCGCAACTCAACAATGTATTACGCGACTTGGTCGTCGCGGAGTAGAGGGTTATCATTCTCACTCTGTTAAGGAGGTTTCCTTCTGCCAGAATTCACCTTATAATTTAATGACTTGTTCAAGAGATGGCTCTATTATATTTTGGGATATGCGTACTCATGGTATCACTATTGACGGTGACCATTACCAAAAACCTGTTCTCCGTATCAACCAAGCACATGAAGCTAATGGTCGCACGTGTTCTATTACTGCCGCTGAATGGATTCCTACTTCGACTACGCAAGCCGTCTCTGCATGTTCAGCTAATAGCATTGTAAAGCTTTGGGACCTTCGAAACATTCATTCACTGCATCCATCCGCCATTGCCTCTACTCCTGAACCCCAAAACAATGCCCGTCGTGCTTTTGGCATCACAAGTCTTAGTGTCTCACCTATGGGAGACCGAGTTTATGCTTGTTCGAGAGACAATTCAGTTTATGCATATGCACCCTCCCACTTGGAGGCCGGTGTATGCGCAACTTATAAGGATCCTCGTCTACGTGTTTCATCATTTTATGTGAAAACTGCATGCAGTAAGGACGGACGCACGCTTGCCTGTGGCGGCGGTTCACAAGGTGCTAGCAATGGCGTTGTCCTTTTTGACGTGTCGGATGAGGATCGTTGTTCTGCTTCGTTGCTGGAGGGCGGTCATGGTAAAGATGTCACAGCTGTTGCATGGTCAAACGAAGACCAGCTTGCCAGCATTTCAGATGACGGCACCGTCCGTGTATGGAATCCAGCGGAACGGGGTGAAGCGCTCGAGTTACAAAATATGGATTCTACTGATAGGTTTTCCTGGGGTTTTGGAAAACTTTTATGATCTGTTACGTCTTGTCTCCCTTTTAATTTTCTGTTTCCGATTTCATGTCTTCCCAACCATATTACTCCTTACATTTTCATCCGTGATATGAAGTTTTCTTCATGTCAATTAAATTATTCACTCTTTTTACTTAATGCATTAGAAGCCCGTCAATTTAATTTAATCTCTGAATATATTTTGTTCATCCGTGAAAAGGGTTCGTAGTGTCTTGACGTCGTCTGGAACAGGAGTACTTGCTTTCTTCACTGAATTTAATACCACTAAGTACTGCTCGTTTACGGGAGTTGGATTGCTCATTAATCTGATATTTTACCTGAGACAGGTTATGATGTCTGTTTATACACCATGAATTCATTTACAAGGGCTCTATTTGACGAGTATTTGAGAAAAACCGGTTGGAACCGCGGAAATTTGTATACCAATTTAACGCAGTCCGCCGATGGTAAGTTTAAACACAAAAATACAAACTTTCTGTAAATGTAAATATACTAATACCATGTGAAGAAGTACTCAATCTAGAAATCCCAAGCGGAATCAATTGCGATTTATCGTCCATTCCGAGTCCAAATTTTGCATCCAATTGGGAAATTCAAATGCTTCCTATTTTAAATGGAAGCGTATCATACTTATACAGCAATGTCGATTTACGACTCCCTCAAAATGTCTTTGGTCATTTTGCTCAGCATCAACAGAAATTTCAGCATTTGCTTCCTCCTTATCGGCATCTAAAAACGGAACTTACGGACATGGGTTTCGAAAGAAAGCCTTACTTAATGTTTGGTAAACTTCATCTTCCTACAGCAAAGCTTGAAGCCATATTCGCAAAACGCATCTCCGCAACCACACAATTTGATACTTGAGTGTGTCAACCAAACGGGGTATTCATACCTCAACTTCTGTAAGTTGTTATATATTTACCAAGCATCAGCTAACAAGAATAGACTTTGCTGCATTGGCAGCGTGATACCGGTCGCTCATGCACGGAAATACTCTACAGTACCGACGAAGCAATGATTGGATTCCGAAAACTGTGGAACAGTGGGAGGTTACAGCCCTCCTTGTTCGAATCAGCAAACCTTACAAAATTTGATCCTTTCTGGAGTGTCGGAGCAGAGGTCTACTATGGAGCGCTCACAAAATGTGTTGGTGCAAGCATTGGAGCTCGCTTGTACAGCTGTGCTAACGGAGTCCACAATCCGTACTCAGTTACATGCACCCTAAACCCGATCGTTGGACATCTTGTTTCCACTTTCGCTACCTCGCATAACGATACAAGGGTTCTCTGCTCTCAGTTTGAGTTTAATTTGTATTCATACGAAAGCCGTCTAAGGTTGGGGATGGAACTATTCCAACGCAAACGACTGCTCACGAACGAGGACAATCATTCAGACGACATCCGGCAACAAGGAAACGATGGTGTCCTGCGTCTTAGTGTTTCCACCGATGGAGACTTAGTCGTCGCGTGGAACGGACAACTCCGCGACTTTTTGATACAGTAGGTACCAAAGTCCATATGCTCAGTATCAACCCAGTCTTTTTTGGAATTCATTTTCAGTACTCCCACTGAAAACGAAGAATTTTATGATGAATAAATTTGTTCAATGTACATAAATCCCGCTCGTAGCTATCACGTACGGGTTGCTACCTTTAACAAAAAGCAGAGGTGCTTTTTTTGTTCCTCTAAAATTAGAGTTTCCAGACATCACAAGAAATCAATAGCTTTTAAAACAAATGACATTTTAAGAATAGACTATTCCGCAGGTGGTATATTATTCCCCAACAGTCAACCGGAATGTCACGTCTATTGAAGAGAGATAATTTATTGAGGCAGAGCACCACTAACACCGCCTGGAGCAATTACCTTATTGTAGTTAGTATCAGAGTTGCTGAAGAAAAAAGACACAGCGGGACTTAACGCTGCTAGACAATCGTTATCATACCTCGTTGGCGCCGCGTTGGTCTCTAATTTGTTTCTCGTATTCGGACAATTGTGCCTCGTCCTCAACAGACATCATAAAGGGAACACCCAGAAGCAAAGCCGTAGTAGACAGAACCCACATTGATTTGCCGGCGAATTTCATCACGGTGGAGGCCTTTTCGGCTGTGTAGCTTAGACCATCAGCAAGTTTGAGTCTCCAGGTAACGGGAACAATTTCTTTCAACGCAACGATACGATCCAAAATCGTTTCGTCCTCCAAACCTTCCAAATCAGACTCATCGTCGGAATCCGTTTCTTCTTCGTAGATTACATTCTCCTTTTCAACTGCAGTGGCAGCATTCATTTCTGCCTCATCAACAATCTCTTCGAGTCTGACCATTCTGGAGGCTTTAGTAGTGTAATCTCTATTTTTTTCTGCAGATTTATGCACTGGTCAACCTGGCGACTAATCGAATTTAGTATATTATTTTGGTGGTGACTGATAGCGAGAAGGATTTGCGTTGATCTTTGCACTCCTCCGCGCAGATCAGTTGGCAATACGTCATTGGTAGCCCTTTGCTGATGTGTGGGTGCTGGCGCACCGATTCTCACTTGTCCTTTCCCTATTAGTGAACGCGGGAGGTCTTAAAAGTAAAGCGCTCGTCAACCATGAGATTACTGTCTTTATTATGTTGTCTGGCTACATTGTTCACGTATGCGCTTGCTGGACATGTAGTTGAGTTCGAAAGCTTGGATGAACTTGAGAAAACCGTAGCAAATGCAAAGAAAGGAACTTTAGTTAAGTTTTACGCGTCATGGTGCGGCCATTGCAAAAATCTTGCTCCTATTTATGAGGAACTTGGTGATCACTTCGCAGACGATGAGGACATCATTATTGCTCGCGTTGACGCAGATCGTCATTCTAAGGTTGGCAGCAAATTCGATATCCGTGGCTACCCTACTTTGAAGTGGTTCCCTTCTGGAGCTGAGGAACCTGAACAATACACTTCTGGCCGTGATTTGGAAAGTTTGGTGGACTTTGTTTCGGCTAAAACTGGTGTAAAAAAACCAGTTCAAGTTGTAGAAACCCCGAGCGTTGTTGTTGAATTGGATAGCACTACATTTGACTCTGTTGTTCTTGATGAGGAAAAGGATGTTTTAGTCGAGTTTTACGCTGACTGGTGCTCTTACTGCAAGCGTTTGAGACCCATCTACGAGCAGGTTGCTGTTGCCTTGGCCAACGAACCTGGCGTAGTGGTCGCGAAAATCAATGCCGACATTCATCGTGATATTGGCATGCTTCAAGGCATTTCCGGCTTTCCTACAATTAAGTGTAAGTATTAGTCCGTCGACCGCCTATATCAACGTACTAACATTCGACAGTGTTCAAGCGTGGTGCCAAAAGAGAGCCTCTCAGTTTCGAGGGTTCTCGTACCACAGAAGGAATTGTAAATTTCGTTAACGAAGAATGCGACACTCGTCGTGGTCCCAATGGTCGTTTGTTGCCTTCTGCTGGTACAATTCCCTCACTCGATAAGTTGGCTGCTGAGTTTACGGCAGCTCCTCAAGATTCGCGTCCAGTGATTGCCGAAAAGGTGAAGCAATTAGTCATGGAAGGCACGAACAAGTGGTACAAATATTATGGCAGTGTTTTTGAGAAAACGCTGAAGGATCCTTCTTGGCCTGTTCGTGAGTTTGCTCGTCTTGGACGCATTCTGAAAAAGGGTTCGTTGTCCGATAGCAAGCATGATGACATAACCATTCGTCGTAATATTTTGCGCGCCTTTGAACACGAAACTACTGAGAATGAAGAGCTTTAATGAATTACTGATGATTAATCATCTCATACTTTCCTTCTACGTCAAACTTCTCTTCCCATATTTTCCCATGTATACATATTCTCCTATGTAGTCTGCGTACGACTCAACCTTGCAACAATAACTGTAGCACAGCTCTTTTGTTTATTCGTTTTCGAAACTGCTTTAAGCGGTCACATGACCACTTTAAGTTGAATAAAGGCATTCGTAGGTTTGCATACGCGAGTTCGTATCGAGGCTCAGAAATTCACCACCAACACCAGTCTGAGAGATGAAAGTTAGTTGCACTTCAACACAACGCACGACTTGGCTAAAAAGCAAAGCTCTCGTGTGTTAAATAACTCCTGTCAAGCGTCCGTCGGCTCAATCTAATCGACAAGTGTATAAATGGCGGATAAGCAAAAACTTAGCAAAAAGTCCTCTAAAGTGCAGGCAAAATCACAAGAGAGAGATGCTAAAAAAAAAAGTGCCAAACCGTCTGAAAATGAGGAAAAGTCTTTAAAACAAGATATTGAAAACTTAAAGAACTCTTCGGAGGCCACCAAATCAGAGGATGCCGCTCAAAAATCAACAGAAGAGGAGATAGAAGAGCAAATTAGCTCCGACGATGAGGATGAAATTGAGCTTTCCGACTTGGAAGGCTTGGAGCTGGAAGAAGATGCAGACATTATTCGTAAGCGTAAGCTTGCGATTAACAACACGGCGGCTCTTGAAGCGGCCGTGAAGAGAGTCGAATATCCTTCCAACACAACATTCGTTGAGCGTATGTCAGTCACGTCTGCTGAACCAGTTGTGGTCGAAGATGTCGAAGATGATTTGAAGCGTGAGCTTGCATTCTATAAGCAAGGTCTGGATGCAGTGAAAATTGCATTCGAAAAGCTTCGCAAAGCAAATGTACCGATTACTAGACCATCAGACTATTTTGCCGAGATGCTCAAGACTGATGAGCACATGGAAAAGATTCGTCAGGAACTGATTAAAGAGGCCACTGCAAAGAAACTCTCTCAGGAAGCGAAGAAGCAACGCGAGCTTAAGAAGTTTGGCAAGCAAGTCCAATTCGCTAAACAGGAGGAGCGTGCCAAACAGAAGCGTGAAACCATGGAAAAGATCAATGCATTAAAGCGTAAGCACACAGGAAACGAGCTTACTACAGAAGATGACTTTGACGTGGCTCTTGAGGAGGCTTCCGTACCGAAGAAGGAAAACAAAACTGGCGCTAGAGGAAAACACACACCTAACTTAAAGCGTCAACGAAAGAACGAGAAATTTGGTCATGGTGGAAGAAAACACCGGACCAAGAGCAATACCCTCGACAGTTTGGCCGCTACCGAATTTGGTCGGAAGGGAAAAGGCGGAGTAAAGGGTAAGCCTAATCGACCGGGAAAGGCTCGTAGGGCAAAGGCTAGAAGATAGGTTTAAATATGGAATTTTTGTTTTGGTCTGAATTGTTAAAAATTAAGCAAAGTATTTTGCAGAAATTAGAGTGATGACAAAAGCTGTATTAAAAAAAAAAATCAAAACTATTGCACATGTTAAATAAACAGCCTATCTCTTTTTTTGCTTGGTAAAACTTTCAAAGAAATTGCTGTTGCATTGTAATAGCCTAGAGTACTCTGTCCATTGCTAAAGTGGTGTTAGTGTTAGTTTCATTTACGCAAGATACTTACACTTTCAATGAACTTCTCGTCTATGCAGGTGTCAAAAACATAGGCAACAACATCATCGAGGTTATCATAGTCATTTGTGGAAAGCTTCTTTCTAGCTTGTGACACCTCCGCTTCGACATGCTGGTATGCCCTGTATTCCCAGTGGAAAGCATTGTGTGCCATTCGGGCTCTTCGAAAACAAAATACACCGATTGGCAGGTCCTTTGCTTCGGGAACATCCTTGCGCTTTTTCGAAATTGACTATTACATAGTCAGATAGTTTTTCCTTTAAAGTTTTTTTACGTACCTGATATGTGTTCTTATCGTATAAGGAACCAGTAAATCGAACACAATGTGTAGACACTCGTGTTTGTATATGACAAGCGGAACAACCCATTACAGGCTCACACTTTTTACTTCTCATCATGGGACGAGTTTTAAGTTGTTCAAGAAAATCCGATCTCCAAGCACTAGAGGTGATAGTTGAGTCAACCACCGATGCCATTCGCCGTCGCACGGTATGCAATGAGAATGCTAGATGCTCATTGCTGTCGAGTGAATAGCTCTGATCCATACTGCGGTAAACCATTATCTTGATGCAATTCCGAAAATGAAACTTCAAGCCCTGATAACTTGAACTTGAAAATTCAACTGGTAAGGAAGCTTGGACTTCAGTTAAATCTTCTGCATCATCCACAACAAATGAATCACTATCTGAATGTTGAGATTCACTTAACTCGGAGGTACTCTCTTTATTGTCGGTCTCTTCATCTGTATCAGAATCATTGAGAACTGGACTATGTTTACGCCCTTTATAATTAGTTAGTTAAGAGTCACGCTTACAAGAATAAAACATACCCCGCAATTGCTTCAGTTTTTGTAAAAGCAGCTGCTTTTTCGGATTCCTTATCCGAGCACCAGTTACCTCAAGATCAACATCATCAAGTTCTTCTGCTTCGCGACGAACCTCCTCATCAAAATCAATGTTGATATCCTCATCGCGTACCAGTTTGCGATGCTTTTTCAGGCGAGCTCTGGGAGTGAATACTGGTTCAGAATCTTCTGATTCTAGGTCATCATCGTTTTCAGGAGATGGGTGAGTTGAAGATACCTTGGTTTCTTGACTTGATTTAATAGGAATATCCGTTTTTACTTCATGAGCAGCGATATTAGGACTTGTTCGTGGTGATTGTTTTTTAACGTCTTCGAATTTCGAACTAGTTTTGAATGGTTGGCTTTCAACTGTAACATTATCTCCTTCTAATGAAATATCCTCGGTGTATTCTGTTTCCTTGTTTTTATCCTTTGGTGATTTTTTAAAAATAGATAACTCAAGCTTTTGCTGCCTGCGGCGTTGATCCCGTAATTTTTTTAAGTTCCCAGGTATTTTAGTTAATGGAAGGTGTTTGCTTTTGTCAGCACGTAAATTCGTCTTTTCGCGTTTCGTCCGATGTATGAGTACATTCGGTGTAAGTTTTCGCTGTCTTAGTTTGTTAAGCTTCTTTTTTTGGGTTTGTCTATGCTTTAACTGCTCCTTTTTTAGTTCCGGATTATGTTCTTGGATGCCAAATGATGACTTAGTTAATGCTAACAGCTCAACAATGCTTTTTTGTCCATCGCTCTTTTTTGATTCTCCATGTGGCTTTAATCTTTTGGCCATTTTTAACAAAATTCTTTAACAAAGGGACTCACTCTGGTGGCATTAGATGGTTAAGACTTTTGTCCAAATTTGGTTGTGTAGTCAGTCTTCCTTCAGTACGAGAACCAAACCAAGAAAAAAAAACGACCCGAAAGAACAACTAATAATATGGTTGTCTTTAGAACTCTTAATGAGTTTTTAGAAGAAACAAAGCTCTTATTAGATGCGTATCCCTCAACAGTAAGTTGATATATAAAAAAATTGGGTGCTTGTACTAAGAGCAGACGAAACTTGTAATCAGATATCGTATACATGAAGCAGATGCTTACATTTTCGTAAAAGCCTATGAAATTGCCAATGGCATTTGTCTGAAATATCGTACAGATAAGTTGGCTGAAATGACACACTTAATACAGATGCAAGGAAAGTTTGCCTTTGTAATGAATGGAAAAGACATTCCCGTGGAAGAGGGTTAGTAATCACTTGCTCGAGTATGTGTTACAAATGCTAACATTTCTATTAGAGGCAAAACCACAGGAAGTTCAAGCACAGGTTACGGAAAAGCCTGCTGTCCAGAAGGCTCAATCCAGCACAAAGTCTCAAAAAAAGAAAAAACGAGGAAAGAGAAAATGATTCTCTGTATATTTAAGCTATCTGCTCAGTCAATCGTTAATTTTTTCTTTTATAAAAATACATCTCTGAAAATGCGCTTGAATTAATACTTTCATTACTGATTATAGAGTAACCTGAAGCAAACACACACCTCCTCGCAAGTTTTGCTGAAAGGCGTTCGGGTATTTTTGTTTCGGGTCCAAGCAATATTCTCCTAATCTGGTAGAGTTATTGGAATTTATGAAAAGCAGGTGCAAACAAACACCATTCAATGCACTTGTTCTTATTAAGCGATGAGTATATCAATGGAATGGATGTAGTACTTAAAATGGGCTGTTTGGGTAATTGAAAATTGGAAACAAAGGGCTTTAGGCATAGTATCCTTGCAAGTAACTATGTGTAATGTAAATACATATTGACAACATCGTGAAATAGTATTAAACTAATTAATTTAGAATATATATATATATATATATATCATATAATAATTGTTTAAAATTTATTACCTTTTATTATGTCCAGCGTTGCTAAAGAAAATGACTATTAAGTCGCCGAAAAAAAGTATACAAAATACTTAATCAAAAGAAGAGATAAGGAAGCCGGCGTTAGTTGCTTTCATGATACTCGAAAGCATTAACGTAAAAAAAGATAGCATCATTTGCTGCGGTCCGCAAGATCGTGAATTTACAGAACGGTTACATCAAGACACATTTGGTGCTTACCTAAGCAACACACTAATTGATCATGTGCAAATCTAGCTCCGAAACCATGGGCTTTTACGAGAGCGAGCTACACAAACACATAAGCTACTGTAGTCATAATACTAACTATTACTATTGGACGTATGAGCAACAATAGATTTACGTTATTTACATATACTTTGCTGAGTCAGTGATGAACTTTAGTACACGTATTCCATTGTTTAAAACTAGTAAAGAAAGACGCAGCTAAGCTTTTTTACGACCATCATCATTTCAATTATTAAACTTAATATATATTTAATCTCAATTCGTAATATAAACTCTAGTTAATTACTACAAATATTGATACATGTTTAATAGAAACACAAATTGAAAACGGCTGCGAGTACATTTACAAAATAGTGAACATGAGTAGAAAATTCTGCACGGAATTATTTACTGTTCTCTGCGATATGAGGAATAAAAAAAACCGATGGCAAGGCCTCGAGCGATGTCCCCTGAGAGCCAGGAACACGGCACCAGAAGTGCAAAAAGAATAAAGCAAAAAAGAACATACTTGCATCAGCCGGGAGTCGAACCCGGAGCTAATGCTTGGAAGGCATTAATGTTACCGCTCCACCACTGATGCTCGTTGAAAAGACACTCCCTGTAGTCATCATAGTTGCAATTGTACTCATTTCATTTTGTCTTACGCTCACTTTCCGTAAGGTACGGCATCTTGTGGGAAGGGTGGGGCTGCTAGCGTTCGAGAGATTTGCAATATCTGCGTTATTTGTGAGAAAAGCGGAGCGGTAACAGCTCTAGAGAGACATTACATCGCTCTGTTTTGGTCCTGTCGTCGGAAAGCGCGAACAGCAGCACACAGTCCAATAGCAGACGGGATCAGTGAAGAAGAACAGGAAATCTATTCTTCCTTGCAAGAGACACTAACAGACACTACTTAACTGTAAATAGAGAACAAATTACTTTACAAAACATAACAAACAAAATAAAACAGCGGAGGGCATATGATGCAGTGGTAGCATGCTCGCTTTGCATGCGAGTCGTCCTGGGTTCAATCCCCAGTGTGTCCAGCTCCTTTTCTTTTTACTGCCGGTCTGCTCTGCGTGCAGCCAATGACGTGTGCACGCCAAAAAATGAAAAAGGTTGCGAGGCCAGGTTTCGATCCTGGGACCTACGGGTTATGAGCCCGTCGGAGTTCCACTCTCCTACCTCGCACTCCACTGAACGTTGCACTTTGTTATAGTTTATATAGTGGTCATCAGAAAATTACTATTAATACTTATTATCACTTACTATTACTACATACACACACACACACACACACACACGATTTCCCTCTTTTAGCATGCGTACCCGCTTGCAGCACTCGCTTTGCTGTCCACTGTTTAACATCGGTGACAGCAGCAAAAAGACGTGGAGACCCCCTTCCCTGCTGCGACGGCTCGAGTGAATCCTGTCGCTGTCGCACTGCCTCTGACCCGGGGTTGACGTGCGTTGTTGCCAACCTCTGCCGGTGGCCCCGTGTTTAATCCCCTCGGCTGCTGGCAGCTGCCCGCCAGAGTCCGTAGGGGAATCAGAGGATCAACAGCGAGACTCGAACCCGTACATACCACCCCACCAGGTGACGAAGGGACTGTCTCTCCATCTGAGCCATTACAGCTTGAAAGTCGCCTTTCTAAGCCTATTATATAGCATTGCTCCTTCACTTCTTGTTCAGCTTGTTGATTCTTGTTCATATTCAGTTGTACTAAATGATTACTACTCCAAACATGGTTACTAACATAGTTGCTAACATAGTTAGTGGTAAATAAATAACGTATACGAGGCAACATAACATTCTTTGAACAGCACACACATCATAGATACTAGCTAGACTTGGTGCTGGCTTGTTTTGTTTTGCTTTGCTTTGTTTTATTTCATCCCAATCGCCAGCAGAAGAGGCCAAAATCATGCACCATCATATGTCGATGCACCACAGCCGTTTCACGCAAACAAAACAAAAAGCTATGCTCCCAGCGAAGATCGAACTCGCGATTTTCACGTAGCATACCTGGCAGGAGGTGTACCATATAAGCATGAAGCCTTAACCAACTTGGCCACGGGAACTTTCTTGCTGTGCAGTAGGGCTCAGTTTTAGTTTAAACGAATGTCGCTTACTAGATGGACTAATCGTTTAACAGGAGAGAAAGTTTCTAGTTTAGAGAACGTTATAGTTGAATATTATATTAATCAGTTTATTGCTCGGCGGCTATCTGAATGTTACTTGGGGTCTTTTACACTGTTGTGACAGTGGAGAACGGATATCTAGACCGGAGTTCTAAACTAGGCATCTGGAGTATTGTGTTTAACAACATTGTCCGGCCAAATTGTTTACTATATACAGTGTTTTTACTGCTTGTAGTTTTTCTTCCGTTCTATCATAAGAGCCTTGAACGGAGCCCTACTCTCTCCGCCTGTAAAAGATATGTGAACTGAGAGTTCTCAATAGCGCACTGTGTATCACCAATGAGTTTCTGTCTCTACTGCTCGTCTTCCCATCCCAAACGTTTTGCTTAAACAGGTTCAGGTTTGTGTTTGCTGTACAATAACTACAGCGAAGAGCAGAAAACCTTAGAAGGCTGACTGTCTTAGAAAAAAGTATCTGTTTTGATGTAATACTTTTACGTTCAAAGTTTACTGTATCTCTCACGATAATAAAATAGTTAGTTCATTATTGAATTGTGCATAATACAGCGGTAGCGTCGTTATAACATTTTTTCTCGAATTTACGCATCAAGGGGTCTTGGTTTTCGTTGTCTCTATGATAAGCATTATACTAACTTACAGTCAATAACATTTAGTCTGTTGATGGAGGCGATCATAAATTTTTAAATACTACATAGAAGTTATTAAAGATGGAGTCATCTGTTTCTTCGTTAAATAGAGTTTCATATCATTGTTTGTTACATTAATCTATGGACTTAGCCACTTTTATTAGGTGAGGAGTAAGCTGTATGGTAAAGGTTTAATTAGTTGTTATAGAATTTGCGCCGATATACTTAGATTTGCTTTAACGTAAAATCGTCTAACAGATACATCTTGTTAATTGCATGAATTTCCGTCAGATGCTTTATTTTAACAAAAAATCATTACATCTCGTATACTAGGGTAAATTTAAAAACTTACACACTTCAGTTAAAACAAACGCGATTACTAAGTCTACTATTATGCGCCCGACAGATTCCACCACGTTATAATAAGTAAGAAGTGTAAAAATAGCAAGCAACGCATCGCCCGACACCTCATTTAGAGAACGTACACACCATTTTACAATCGTTACACTGCTATATGCAATACGCTATACACGTTCTTACAACTTTGTTCCCTAAACCAATTTATTTACCTCTTTAGATAAGAAGTTTCTCAATGGCCAACTTGATAGTTTGAATTTGAGGAGCCAAATCACTAGCCTCGTTGGTAGTGATACTAGCAGAAATAACTGGACGACTGACACCACAAGCACGACCAAGGGCGGCCTTGCTAGGGACGAAGACGTAAGGAACGTTCTTGTCTTCACACAGCAAAGGCAAGTGCAACAGAATCTCAATGGGCTCAGTATCGGCAGCCATAACAATGAACTCGCTAATACCACGGTTCAAGGTCTTGGTAGCCTCGTTAGCACCTTTACGAAGTTGCTTGTAATGAGAGGCTTGTTGCACCAGGTCAAGAATTTGCTGGGTCAACGTAGAGTCGGCCAAAGGGAATGCCTGTGCACAGTTAGTATTAGATATATGCAGTTACACGCTCAATGTACTTACTTTAGGGTTAACAGACATTTTTCCGGGTTCCTTGCTATAACAAAAAATTTTTTTGCCAAAAGTGGTTGCTCGCCCTGGGATGGAGGGAACAAAATGAATCTGGGTATAGAATGTTGGTGTACGAAAATTGAAGTACTACACCAAAAAAGTCACCACCAAAAAAACCCTAGTGCTTAAAGGGTGAGAGCGAAAGCCATGTTTCAATAATGAGTACAGGATTGAATTTAGACCTCCGATCTCGTATTATCGGGTCGGTTTTTTTTTTTTTTTTTTTTTTTTTTTTTTTAAATAATGTGACATACGAAAAGGGTGTGTCTTAACTGTTACTACTGTACAGGTATACATCAATTGTGGAATGAATATTTTTTATATTAGTATATTTTCTACGCATACAATAAATAACCTATTGATTTTAGTACGTGGCGCACTTAATTTTAAAGAAATTGGTGAGAAAAAAATTATAAACTTTTTTTTTGCAATTCTTGGTGTATATAGCTTTAGGGGTAAGACGACGCGTTGACTTTATGAAATACAATGTCCCAATGGCAGAGAACACAATTAACCTGTTTCCTCACCAAGTAGCAGGACATGGTAATTTACAGAGTTGGGATGAGAAAACAGTGTTAAAACCATGTACCAAAACTGAGTATGACTTCTATCGTGTTGTCTTCGAACGAAAGCATGAGCTTAAAAACTGGATTCCCCACTTGCACCAGCTGATAGAAAAGAATGAAGGAAACGACCGAGTGAATAACTTTTCCCTGGGAAAATACAAACATGCTGTCATTATTGAAAATCTGTGTTACGGCATGACACGTCCGTGCATTTTGGACATAAAAATTGGTCGCCAACTGTGGGCAGAGGATGCCTCAGACGATAAAAAGAGACGACTTGATCTTGTGTCTAGTTCTACCACGAGTGGTTCACATGGATTTCGAATCACCGGAATGACTTGTTGGGATCAAACTACTTCGTCTATGGCGCATTATTCGACATTGTGGGGTAAAACGCTTACTCCAGATTTAATTGTTCCTAGTCTCTCGTTATTTACAAAAGCTCTTCCTGCGAATCAAGCTTCAATTGTTATGGATTTGATCACTTCGTCGCTAATGAAGTTATATGAAGAACTAAAGGATGCGCATATAACGTTTCGATCCAGTAGCATTTTAATTACCTATGATGCATGTGACTCTTTCTTAGACGGTTTTGAAAAATGTAATTACAACCTGAGGCTCATCGACTTTGCACACTCAGCTTTCTCGACAGAAGTTGATTACAATTACTTGTTTGGTCTAGAAAATTTAATTAAATGTTTCCACGAATTAGGGGAAACAGTATCTAAATAGAATATGAAATGACAATAATAGAGAGAAGAAAACTTTTGTTTCGTGGAAGATGCAATTGCCACTGAAAAACAAAGAAAACAAACCAAAGGCTATCAGGTAAAAGACGGAAACACAAGTTTAAATACGGCTCATTACTTTTATTGCACTAACCCTTTAATTGATACAAACTGCCAAGACCATTGGACAGACGCTATTATGTGGTGGTGTTAATAACCCTTTTGCCAACACTAAATCCCGTAACCTCAAAAAAACAATCCTCATATCCAGACCTCCTTTAAGCGTTACTGTGCCAATTTGACGCTGTATTTCAATTGGTTATATCACATTATAAATAATGGACACAGTTATGGTAACAGACATGTCTGGGTTTTTACAGGAACAGGCAGCTCAAGCCCCTGATGACATTAAGGAATTTTATTATGCCATTGAAGACTTACACGAAAGAAGGTTTGTTAATATATGCTTACTATAATTAACTTAACGCAGATTATGGAAGCAGCTTACGGACGTTTTAATCAAGTTTTTTGATGACCCGAAGTCTTTGTCTTCAAGATATGCACTATTTTTTCAATTTGTTGACTCATTTCATGCAAATATCAATCAACTAAAATATGCTTACATGGGTTTGAAGTCCATTGAAAGCTGTAGCAATGAGGAAGCATTAAAAAGTCTTGAAGCTATAAAACAGCGTATCGACAAAGAAAAAAGCATCGATGCATTTGTTTATACTCAATGTGCAATTGCTCGTGTTAAGCTTGTTTTAGGCGATTCCGAGGCTGCTTTAGATATCTTGACTTCAATTTCCAAAATTATTGACAAATTTGATTACGTTGAAGGAATCATTAATGCAGCCTACTACAGCGTGAGTGCTGACTACTATAAGTCCAAAGGTGATTTTGCTCAATTTTATCGTCATTGTCTCCTTTACATTTCCTGTATTGATTTAGGGGTCCAAACTGGGCAAGAACTTTTAGAAAAGGCAATTGATCTTAGTGTCGCCGCTGTTCTAGGTGAGATTTATAACTTCGGTGATCTAATCCTTCATCCGGTTTTCGAAAAGATGGTCAACACGGAATTTCAGTGGTTACATGATCTTGTCATTGCCATGAATGCCGGTAATCTGAAGGAGTTTGAGGCACTTGTAGGTCATGTTCATAAGTTGCCTTTGCTGAAGGATGCTATTCCATTTCTTGGTCAGAAAATTCGCCTCCTTGCACTCTTGGAGCTTGTTTTTCAACTATCCCCCAGTCAACGCTTACTCTCATTTAAGACGATTGCAGAAACCACTCGAATTCCTACATATGAAGTGGAATTGCTTGTTATGAGAGCATTAAGTTTGGGCTTAATTGATGGCGAAATTGATCAAGTTGCCGAGATTGTTAGAATTTCTTCTGTACAATCCCGCATTCTTAACAAGGAACAAATCGCAAATATGGAAACAAGACTTCGTGAGTGGAGCCAGGGCGTTAAAAATCTTTCTCGTGTGGTTGAAACTTCCAGTAAAGGTGTCATTGTTTGATTCCCGTAGACCTGCTTAATGAAAGAATGTTTATTACTATAACGAAGATTGCAACACGAGCTTTATAATATATTGCATTAAACTAAATTGTCGTGTATCTACTGGTAGTAAAAACCAATGCTGTCACAAAAAGGCTGCAACTAAAGTTAGTAAAGAACTAAGTCTAAATCTTGTTCACTTACGCCTGCGCTTCCAAAGAAACCACTGAATACAGAGTTGATGGGAAGCAAAAAATTTCTTGAACCGCCGCCTTGTTCATTACCGTAAAATGGACTTTCGTTACCATTCTCAAAAATGAAGCCAATGCCGTCGACCCAAGCACCGCTTCTAATTTTAAAACCGACTATCCGGGAGCCAGAAAAGGGAACATCCTTCGGGCTGCCTCCCCTGTTTCCAAACATCAGACTTTGTCCATTTGAAAGTGTCAATTCTATGCCATCAAGAGCCATGCCTGAGTATACGCGAATGTGGGTAATGTGAGTCTCGGGAGGAATCAATAAACTGGGCAATTCTTGACCACCTGTTCCCTTGAGCCCAAAAGTTTGTGACTTATGCATTGAGCCATATGGTGTTTCAGCAATTGCATCACTCAGTGTCTTTGAAATATCATTAAGTTCTTCGCATTTGTTGTTACATGATAGAATGCGGACTTTGTACGCTCTATCACCAGCGTTTGACATTTCTCGTAATTCCCTATCCGAAAACGCGATCATTGTTTGGGGTGGATTGAATTCCTTCCAGCCCCTGGTTAAATTGTCGTATTCGACCTCCAGCAGATATATTCCACTTGCACATGAAACTTGAATTCGTTCTTTGAGAGGGGTTATCGTCAAGTCTCCATTTGTATCAAAAACTGGGTCATTTGGTAATCTGAAAGAAGGGTGATAGAGAAATCGCAGCATATCTAAGCGATGCCATGAGCATTCGTCTTTTTCAAGTACTGGCTTTAATCCTGTGGAACCAGTACGAACGCATTTAAACTCTTGCGTAGTGAATGTTCTGTTGAACACTGTGTATGAACGCAGCATGATACCATCGGGTTGATGTGGACAACCTAACGAATGTCCGACTTCATGAAGCATTGCGCCAATGCCGATATTTGCGCATTCCCAGACAGTGGAACTCTCATTTGCATCGTTCGCAAGATATTTTGGAACTAGACGGTCGTCACTAAAAGTGGGAACAACGTACTCTATTGCACTAGGAAAAGAATGAAGAGAATGAGAACCAAAAACTCCTAAATGACTATCACCAGCTCCGCCGCCTAAAGCGACGTGACCTCTTATTTTCCCCGACGAAGAGTCATATCGCGTGTCCAAAAACATGCATGCAAACCAAAAGGGTTGGGGAACATTGTTCTTATGAAGAGTATCCATAGCAATACCAAAAAGATCGTCATCAGGTACACTGCGAATTTCCTCTGCTGTCTTATCCGCTCTAAAGACATTTACAGTTGCTGTTAAACGCTGAGTTCCCCATGGTGACATGCAAGACAATGTATCTGGCTGAACAGTTTCTGCCAGCTGAAAGGTTCTTCTGCCAAAACCGTTCCTATACATACAATCCGCTGTAAATGCTTGCCAAAGATAAGCTGCACATCGGAGTTTTCGCATGGCTTCATCCAAATCATTTTTCATGCTTTGTGGACAATCAAATGTAGCTGGAGAGTCTCTTCCAAGCATAAAAGCAAGCTGTACCACTGGATTGTTCGTGAGGCGCTGATAATGCAACTTGAGTGATTGTTTTGTTGTTACATTTCCATTGCTTTCATTGAAACAAAACTCAATGTCATTTTCACCCGGTTCAACATGAACTAACGCCTTATAGAAACCCCCGTTAACCGGCCATGACTGACTTGGGAAAGATCCTTGGTTATGAGTGACTGTTATGCATCCATCGCGTTCAACCGAGACTCTTCCACGGACAAGTACAAATCTCTAAGACGAAAAAAATTTAGTATGAAATATCAGTGTGTTTTCTCGTACATGGTAAACTGTTTCACCTGTTTTAATATTATCAAATAGAATTTGCTGCATACCAAGATTAAGTGGTGGATTCGAGTATGAGCTATGAAACTAGTTGGTGGGTAAGACGAACTTAAAATAATAATACTATATACAAAATTCATCGTGATTTAAGTAGGGTTTGCAATTAATTGCATTACAGATAGATTGAGACTCTTCTTTAATAAGCTCTAAAGGTACATACTCTTATTTAGAATATTTACCAGGAATGGAGGGAGTAGATGTAAATTATTAATTAACAATGTACTAATATCTGCAAGCTTGATCTTGACTTTGTATTATGATCCGGTAGCATAGGTTAAGGTTCGTCAGTGAACAAATTCCAAAAAAGAAGTGAGAAGATGCTCAAATGGCCCACGACAACTGACAAAATTTGATGTATTATTGTAATTAGAAACAGACATTGTCGACCTTGGTCTGCAGAATGAGACCAATAATTAGACCGTACAAGCCGAGTACTTCGGCGAAAATGAGAATCAAAACCATGCTTACAAAGATTTTTTCTTGTAGCAGGAAACTTCGAACACCTTTATCGCCAACAATACCGATAGCGTAGCCTGCAGCAACACCAGTAAGACCTACAGCGACACCGGCAGATAAATGAACGAAACCGCTTTCAGTCGTTAACTCATAAGCACAACGAATCATTAATGAAATTACCTGAAGAGCGAGTAATTACTGTCGGGAGACATGTCACCAGCAATTAAAACAGACATAACGAGACCATATACCTTCACAGAATCTGATTAGAATCATCACAATGGATGTTATACTGTATAAAGACATACACCGATAATACCACTCATAACCACGGGAATTAGAGACTATTATTGGTTAGTGACTGCGGTCATGAAGGGCATTGAGCAATTGTTCCGTTTCTTAAGGAGTAATTAGCTCTTTTGTAAGTAAACTTACTTTCATGATAATTTCTGGCTTAAACGATCCCGCAGCAGCGATACCACAACCTGAAATGGCAGTTCCGTATCCAGCACCAAGACATGCAAATACCATTGAGGCCGAAACACCTTCAATTTAGCAAATGGTAAAACAAGCAATATTCTTACCAGCGAACCCAAAAAAGGGTGCATAAGATGGACTACTTGATTAGAAAGTGCTCCATAACAAAGAACTTACCATAAATCTTTCGACATTTTATATTTTTGCAACGAAAGTGAGTCTGGATATAGTAGGTGTTTGATGGCAAGGGTAAGGACTAATCCAACACGAAATTTGAAGGTTAGACCCTCAATAAAAACCGTTCTCAGTTGTGGACGTAATCAATAATTGTATTTATTCTTCTTGGCAATTGAAAACTTTCTAAACTTAAGTTTTGTTCAATATTTACTGGATTTTCTTTTTTTTGATTTAAAATAGTTGAGACTTCAACAAGCGATATTATGCGAATTAAGGCTCTAATCAAAAATATCCATAAAATATGGCGAGTGAGGTTTAACTGCTTATATTGATACTGCTAATGAAGATAAATATAATTAGGTTAATAAGTCTTGGTAGCTTCAGTATGGCGATGGCATATTCAGAAACAGTATTCTATAGTGCATGTTCAGGTCACATATTCTCTTACTTTTAGTAATTCATAATACTTGATACGATGTTTAAAAGATAATATCCGAGTCTACAGAAACCTGTTTTTTTTCTGTTGGTTAAGATTGCCTTTTGCAAGTACACAAACTACCTTGAATTCATTAGTATACTTAGTAACATTCTTTATTCTCATTCTACTATTTTATTTATTTCAATTTCAATTTCAATTTCAATTTCAAAATCTTAATATTTATATTTAAAGATAACATGCTGTTGTGATCTTTTTTATGTGCAAAACAGACGCACCCAGCGCTGTGTAAATTCGCATTCACCTAAGTACATAAAGACAGTACATGTCCGGCTTCTGACAATGCTAACATCTAACATCTATCATTTTGAAAACATTAAACTTTGTTACACCAGCTTCATTTTCTCTTGTTTACCTCGCGAGTTTTATCTTAGAGTAAGCTTAATGTCTTAATCTTTACATTAAGATACTAAGTGTTTTATGCATTTAGCTTGCGATTTTGTCAACATTAAAATAGTCTATTCCAAGACATAAGAAATGTCGCAAGTTCTTAAAATAGGTTAGAGTTAGTAAACGTAAAAGATTACGAGATAGAGAAATACTGTTTCTAGGTATACAACAGATTATATTTTTACAAGACCACAAATAGTGGTAGCATATCTATTTCATTGAATGAATATTTTTCTCCAACTTTACCAATTCTGATAAAGAAAAGCGGTTTAGAAATTAATTAAAGGTTAGTAATTCAAAGTGCATCTAAAAATGAAAGAGGGACAAACTCGCTTAAATTTACAAATGTGCTTTTCCCATTCGTTGAGTCAAATTCTGGAAATAATACATCCACATATTAATTGCATGATTTATTTAATTCTAGGTCACCAACGTACATTTATATAATCGTTACGTGAATTCAAATAAAGGACAATCCGGAACAATTTGTTTTTCCTTTTGACAGTATTTATATTTAATGCATACGAATTTCCCAAAAGGGACGTAGCCCAGCAAGCAAGTTATCATTATTAACCAAACATTCATTAAATACGATAACCAATTTTTCCATTTATCAGTACAATAAGCCATAATAAATATTCGGTGTATCGAGGGGCAAACTAGATTACAAAATCTACGTAACTAAAACTACCACACTTTAGTTAATAAACAATTTGACCGAACGTGTTGTCACGGTTTGAGGCCGGATATGTTTAGCTCGATTAAGAATTCTTGTTCTTAGGTTTCGAACAATGAATAACTTCTTTCTTTAAAATACCTTTCCAAATAAGTTTCGGTTAATGAACCTAAATGTTATGTTACGAGCGTAAGCTCTGAAAGTTACTGTTAAAGAAAACATGTAGTGTCCAGCAGATTACAATCATTTAACCCTTGAATTTTTGTTTTAATTATTTAATTGATAATATCTTTGGTTACTAATTCAGATTTGTAATATTTGTAAATTTTGGGGAAAAAAATTCTAATAATTTTGCAAAATGTGCGAATATAAAGCAATAACTTGGAATTGCTTCGTAATAGAAATGAATGCTAGCGAATAGCCTTCAATTTAAGAGACCAATCAGTTGAACTATTATACAAAAGTACATGGAATCAGTGACATGAATACATTTACTCCACAAAAATAACAAGAAAGTTCCCGTGGCCAAGTTGGTTAAGGCTTCATGCTTATATGGTACACCTCCTGCCAGGTATGCTACGTGAAAATCGCGAGTTCGATCCTCGCTGGGAGCATAGCTTTTTGTTTTGTTTGCGTGAAACGGCTGTGGTGCATCGACATATGATGGTGCATGATTTTGGCCTCTTCTGCTGGCGATTGGGATGAAATAAAACAAAGCAAAGCAAAACAAAACAAGCCAGCACCAAGTCTAGCTAGTATCTATGATGTGTGTGCTGTTCAAAGAATGTTATGTTGCCTCGTATACGTTATTTATTTACCACTAACTATGTTAGCAACTATGTTAGTAACCATGTTTGGAGTAGTAATCATTTAGTACAACTGAATATGAACAAGAATCAACAAGCTGAACAAGAAGTGAAGGAGCAATGCTATATAATAGGCTTAGAAAGGCGACTTTCAAGCTGTAATGGCTCAGATGGAGAGACAGTCCCTTCGTCACCTGGTGGGGTGGTATGTACGGGTTCGAGTCTCGCTGTTGATCCTCTGATTCCCCTACGGACTCTGGCGGGCAGCTGCCAGCAGCCGAGGGGATTAAACACGGGGCCACCGGCAGAGGTTGGCAACAACGCACGTCAACCCCGGGTCAGAGGCAGTGCGACAGCGACAGGATTCACTCGAGCCGTCGCAGCAGGGAAGGGGGTCTCCACGTCTTTTTGCTGCTGTCACCGATGTTAAACAGTGGACAGCAAAGCGAGTGCTGCAAGCGGGTACGCATGCTAAAAGAGGGAAATCGTGTGTGTGTGTGTGTGTATGTAGTAATAGTAAGTGCACACGTCATTGGCTGCACGCAGAGCAGACCGGCAGTAAAAAGAAAAGGAGCTGGACACACTGGGGATTGAACCCAGGACGACTCGCATGCAAAGCGAGCATGCTACCACTGCATCATATGCCCTCCGCTGTTTTATTTTGTTTGTTATGTTTTGTAAAGTAATTTGTTCTCTATTTACAGTTAAGTAGTGTCTGTTAGTGTCTCTTGCAAGGAAGAATAGATTTCCTGTTCTTCTTCACTGATCCCGTCTGCTATTGGACTGTGTGCTGCTGTTCGCGCTTTCCGACGACAGGACCAAAACAGAGCGATGTAATGTCTCTCTAGAGCTGTTACCGCTCCGCTTTTCTCACAAATAACGCAGATATTGCAAATCTCTCGAACGCTAGCAGCCCCACCCTTCCCACAAGATGCCGTACCTTACGGAAAGTGAGCGTAAGACAAAATGAAATGAGTACAATTGCAACTATGATGACTACAGGGAGTGTCTTTTCAACGAGCATCAGTGGTGGAGCGGTAACATTAATGCCTTCCAAGCATTAGCTCCGGGTTCGACTCCCGGCTGATGCAAGTATGTTCTTTTTTGCTTTATACTCCTTAATAAGGATATACGATTTGTGTTAAAGACATGTAGACACTTGCGAGGAATATATAATTGTTGGAAGGGACATAGTTTCCGCGTTTAGCCGTTTAACATAAGGCAGTAAGCGGCAATTTGGTTGACTTCGTTTCAGTAATAGAATCGCAACAAACCGCCCCGTATTCATGTCTTTCAAATTGACACTTAAAACAAGTTACTAACCGAAGAGCAATACCTCATCGCTGCGCGAAGCATTATTACCATACTAACGAACAAAGTAATTAATGTACGATTTCATACGCGCCGCCATCCTACATTTTAGGTAAAGCATTACATGTTATTAAACCAAAAAAATAACCACATGGGTTGAAGTGTAGCTAAGCAGTAAGCAAGCGCAATGTTTAGAACAGAAGTCGCAAAAAGATGGCACTTGGAGATAGTTATGCCGCACACGTAACCAAGTCTTAAGCGTACAGAGACCCTTCAGTATCATAAACAAAAAGAGAACAGAGAATGTTTGTAAAAATGGCAAAAGTTAGAAAAACAGAAGAGAAAAAAACGCAGGAAAACGAGACATCTAACTTAAAGATGAAGAGAAGGGCCTAAAAGAGCGGTGATAGATGGCCCATTTCTAGACAGAAAATTCAGAAAGAGTTACAACAAAAAGAGAATGAAATATGAAAACGACCACAAGCAGAGACAAAGCTAAAATAAAAATCCAGAAACATGGAAGCTCTAGAATGTGCTCCAGATCCAGTCTTCAGGAACGGTTCCGAGAATTAAACTCTCGGAGGGCATTTCGTAATTAGTGGCAGGATTTGCACGCTTCGGAATCACAACGGAGGGCGAAAAACCTTGCTGCGTGGGATAAATAGCAGGATCTTGGTTACCAAAACCTGTTTGAGAAACTCCATAAGGCTGTGAAACTGGGGAAACGTCCATGGTTTGTTTCCATTTCAGATAGTCGCTGTAGCAATTATTACATGCACGAGCACTTTGGCCGCCAACCAAAGCAAACTTGACATTTGTGGTCAAATAAATGTTTTTCCCGCAATGATTTGAACAGAATACATCACCACAGCGGCGGCAATGATGCCTCCTATCGAAAAGGCCAAACTGAACTTGACAATTAGAGAACGCACAAACATTAGCCTCGGAGTCAGGCTTCCAATGGCTTCTAGAAATGCTATCCTTGGACGAATGTTTGCTGCTATTAGGAGGGGAAACGGACATGGTTGAAGAGGATGACGAAACAGAGTCGGAATGCATTCTCGTCGCATTCATGGCCATAGTACTGGAACGGACAGTATATACTGGTCGAGCAGAAAGCGGAAGGGAATCAAATCGTTTTAATGGGCTTTGTGCAGACGGCTTATTGGGTTCACCTTCACGAGCCAAGTTTGTTGCTTGACGGGTGGGCGCTTCAACCAAGTCGTAAGAAGGACGTGCACGCTGATTATGAATAGCCGAGGCATTCGTTATAGGAAGGCGACGTAAGTTTGGAGAATTCATGAGATTAGAGAAGTCATTTGCAGATCTTAAAAAGAGCGAAGGATTTGTTGACTGGGGGTCCATAAGAGCCATAAGAAAGACGTATAAAATCACAAAGGTAAACGAGACGATATAAGAAATGAAGGGAAACCAGAAGGGTAATTATGATAAGCAGTATGGTGGAAATGCAATGGGAAACCAGCAAGAAAGAGATCAAAGCACAAACGAAATAAGACCAAGTCGGAAGGAAAGGTGGCAAATTATAAATAACTATCGGATATGTGAAGTGAAAACAACAACGCACCTAGAAAGTTAGCATATGCACGTAAGCCAGATGCGTGAACGACTTTAAAATAAGAGAGACTATTCTCTCCGAATGATGAGTTGCAAAAGATGAAACACGACGCGGGAACAATGAATTGTCGAGACAAAATCGTTGAATGCACATTCACATAGTACGAGAGAGCCTCAGAACTTCGAAACAGGATGCAGGCGAAGGTACGTTAAAGTATAGAGCAAATCTTAGAAACATCAATGATACTCAAATACCACAAATAAGGTTCGCCCGTATACTCCCAGAAAGTCGAGCAATCGCTGGCGCACTTACCGATGGGAAAGAAGAAATAAAGAAGACGACGTAATGCTCAGCAGTCGTCTATCGAATCAAAGTGGCTGCAAAGAGAGCAGAAAGGGATCTCACTCGTAGAGTACGATCCACAATAAATAACACGATAACCCACAACAAGAACTCTGGAATTCAAATATGATTCTCCAGAGTGATAATTATATTTTAAAATAAAAATATTATGATCCAAATTTAATAAAAATCGAACAGTTCAGCTTTTTAAGATTTAAGTATTATGTTGTTGGTGGTTGGTTAAAGGTTGGTAACGTTAGAATGATCGGAGGGTAATTATACACCACTTTATTCGCGGTTAGGTTTTGCAGATCAGGTAACAATCAGGTAACAAACTAACCACCAAGGAGCACCAGCAACAGGAGGAAATTTAGATCAATCTTCCACCATCACCAGCAGTTTGTTGGGATTTTTTGGGGCTATACTACGAGAATAGCCGTACCCGACATTTCTCCTCGGAAGGGGTTTATGTCAAGCGGAGTAATTTCATTGTTTTGGTAATTATCAATAAGCGCTTTAAAGTCTTTTGGCTATTTTTCGTTAGAAAAGGACCTCAACTTCATCGTTTGACGGTACGTCTATTCTTCGTGTTTCTCGGAAAGGGTGACCTTTTGTCCGAGAGTTACCGTTTCATTATCAGCCGAATTGGTGCAACTTCCTTGTTCTGTGCAAAAATTGCACAAGCTCAGGCAAGGATTCACATTCAGACTAGCTTTGGTCGTGCGTTTGTGACAGTGAATGGTTTTATATAGCACAAGCTGTCTTTGTAATTCTATGAGAAGATCTTATAGCCTGAACACTGCTCCATCTCACTTGTTGTCTGTGCATCCAAATTCACCATGCCTCTGAAACTCACCAAGTCAAAGTCACACAGTTCGCGTGACTCGATTCATTGCACACTCGGTATACAAATGGAGTCGCCGCCGCTCGTTTTACTTGGCCCACCTGAGGTCTCGAGTGGCGCGTTGGCCTCCGGTATACTCACACTGCTTGTATCGAATAAAACATCTGTTCCTGTAGAATCATTTCGACTAGAACTGATTCGCGAAACCAAAAATCATCATCCGCCTGCATCTCATTGTGCCGACTGTGCAGGTGAGCAGGAGGTTATGCAAAACTGGAATATGGCTGCCAACTCTACATTCGCTCCGGGTGCCCATAACTGGCCATTTAGCTATTTATTTCCGGGTCATCTAAGTGCATCGATAAACACCCGCTATGTTACACAAAAATATTACCTAAAAGCAACACTCACTTATGCACTTGGATCTGGCCTGCCACTCCCATCGCGACCCGAGGTTTATATTTATCCTCTTGAACTGAAGCGTGCTTTGCTCCCTGGTGCTGATATCGTGCATAAGCGAATCTTCCCACCAACAAAACTTGTTGCAACACTTACAATGCCTGCAACGCTTAGTCCCCGTGGTGTAGCTTCCATCGAGATTGCATTAACTGGTTTTGAACAAGGGGACGGTACTGTTTGGGGCTTAAGCAAACTCTCATGGCGTTTTGAAGAACACATTAATTACACTGTTCATCCTTGTCCAGCTCACAATACTCCTGAGCGAAGCCGGACATTCCAGGAAAAGAAAATCATAAACGCAAAAGATATGTATCAAGGTTGGAAGTCAATTGACGACCAAATTTTAATTCCCATAACATTAAATGCTGCTGGATACAAAGAGCCAACCAGTGATGTTGATCTCTATCCTCCCTTCCAATTGCAGATTAAGCACTTCCTTGTCGTCGAAGCTATTGTCAACAAAAGAAAGAATGCATCTCCCAATGGCATGGGAAATGCTAGAATTCTGCGTGTCAAAATTCAGCAGCCATTGACGGAACCCGCTGGATTGGGTATCAGTTGGGATGAAGAGTGCCCTCCTGTATTTGAGAGCGTTGGTCCAGCACCTCCTGCTTACTCTTAGCGCTATACTTTCAACACATAAGTTGACTTCGCATGAAGTTTGCTGTTCATAATATTAGCTCGTTTGAGCCTTCCCCCCTGCTTTACACTTATAACCTCATCCTTCTTTCTCCCAGCTCCATCCATTTTGTAGAACAATCAAGGTATCTCATTCAGCCTTGAACTGTTAGTTGTTGAATGATTTATGTATAAAAACATCTCATCGTATCGCCATTTCACACAGCCTACATGGAAAATCATTAATGTTCGGTTACATAAGTAAATAAAAGGGTGTATAGTAGTTGTATACACAGTGAGGACTTGCTAAAGTAGAGAGAATACCTGACCCGAACTTACGAATTGTAAAAGTTTGTGACAGTTTGCCAAAGTTAAATTCGGCATATCATCCGGTAACCCATAAGCGTGTAGGAGAGTAGAGATGTCGCGATTAAGCAGAATTACGCCATGCTGAAACATTTCAGGCGTTTCTTTATATGGAAAAAGAGGAAGAAAACGTTCCTTCGAGTCCTCAGCGAACGGGTCGGAAATGTACGAAGTAGAACACATAGGGTACAGGGGATAAGGCAAGGCGAATCCAAGGTGTCCGGCGAGGAAAGCTATGATATGAGCGGCGTATCCCAGTGCAACTGCTAAATCTTCAAGCTGAGTCATGTTTGGGGAACGACATAAGCTGATATTACGAATGGCAAACTCAGGAGGATTGGATTGGTCAACATAGGTTATTGGATAAACCTCCTCAAGCAATCGGACATGCCTTTGTACATATTTTGTCTGAAGAAGAGAAATCTGAGAATTTGTTTCTTCGATAGAATCCAAAGATTTTACAACATTATCACCAACAGACTGTTGCTGATTATAACAGTAATTTTGTTTTGTTAGTCGCTGTTTTAAAGACTCGATTAATCTCTGCTTTGAGTTCAAGAGCGAACGAAGCTGGCGGATCTGATTAACATAGGCATAACGGGTTGTTTGAAGTTGTTGCAAATCGTGTTGTTTTTTAGAAACCACGCGACTGAGTTGTTGCAAGTGTTTTGCATTCATGTGCTGCTGTATTTCTTGTTTAAGCCGTAATTGTACTCTCATTAAATCCTGCACGCAATAAGCCAACGCGACAAGTCGAGAAGTTGCCTCATAACCACATAAGGGTTTCCTCCGTTCAAGAGAATTATGAGGGCCGGTACTCGTTCGCATGCTATCTGAAACTGTTGACGTTGCGGTCACTGCATAAACTCCATCCGAAAATTCGCAAAGCAAAGCATTACGGGCGTTACAGATCACACTGACAGGCTATTTTAATTAGCAATTTACTCAAAAAAGAAACTTCGGTTGTGGTGCATACATCTTTACCCAGATACGATAGGAAACGTTTGTTTTTTTGGACAATCCATACGCGCTTAAAAGAAAAGTGTGCATCATTTATGCTCGTTGAAGCCCACAAACAGACATAGAAGTATTTTTCCAGTCTTTTTTGAGTTATGAAATCCCTTTGAATAGAAGCAGTTTCAAAAACATAATCCTATAATCAACAGTGTTAGCAGATATGCGGTTCAGTAAATAAAAACCAAATGAATTGTTGTTTTAGGACAAATGGAGACATACGTATGCGGTAACTATTTCAGACACATAAACTGGGTTTTCTTGAGATGGAACATGTATGGATAGGAAAAAACTCGGCTGTCCTTGACAAACAATCGCCTTTAGCTGCTTCTGACGTTTAAAAGCATCTTGTGTTTCATCAATTGCTGTTAAATCCACATGGTTATCGTCCGCATAATTTCGGATCTGTAAAGACTTAAGCCGTGAAAAAGGAGGGTTTATAGCATAGCCAGGCAGCATAATCCTACCGGCGTGCGTATTTAATATGACAATACACCTTCTGGTCTACGCCTGGCTTTCTATCCACCTTTTGGTGTACGTGTTGACCGTCAGAACAGTTACTTGACTCTTCACAGTAAAGGGTGGGTTCATTTGCTCTAGTAAAAAAAAAACATAGACTACGAATCCGGATATTAAATAATATTATTGAACTACTAGCTTTGTACGAGAAACACGAAGAAAGAGTTTGACGCCATTTATCTGTACATGAAGATATTGACAAAGCAAAACTGCAATATGCGGCATCCAAAAATAACGCCAATCGTCAACATCGTATCAATATTTCAGAACATTGTTACTAAACAAGTACTTTACTCAAGAGGCATAACTATGGTACCGCGGAACATACTTCTTCAACTTCAATTCGCTTCGCAAACTCAAGTTCCAAAAGGAACGCTTCCTGCTAATATTCGTAGAGATTATTGGATGCCTGTATTTGTTAGTTGTTTTCCTACCGTCTCAGATGCTGACCATGTGTACGAGAACTTGCTTCGGTACCGCAGATTGCGAGCACAATTATCTTCTAGGAATGCCTTGTTAAGAAAACGGAGAACTGAAGAACAATCGGATTCACAGCTCTCCGCAAGTATTGCAGATTTTCATGACATTTTGGTGAAGAGGCGATTCCCTCCTAACTCAATTCCCCTACTTTGGCCTAACAATCTGCTTCAAGAACGTATAACGGATTGGCCTGAGTGTGTTTTACACAAAATACTGAATGTTCCTTCAAGTATACCATTATCAATAGACAAAGAGAAACTCCAACAAATTCTCCTCCGAAATGGGTCGCTACCTCAAAATGATGATTAATTAAAAATGACATTTGTGCTAATAAATTATACTCTAGATATTAAGGCGGCACTGAAAGGTTAAAGGAATGATTAGAGGGCTGTAGTCACAGTAAGACGTTTGGACTGTACCATTGCACATGGAGGCAAGCCCTCAAGGAGGGTTAAAAGCTCATCAACATAATTATCGGACAATTGAGGACTTTTATGTGTACCTGCAATAGGGGTCGGCAAACTGGTGAACAGAACAGCAGTTTGGCGAGTGTGTCTCAAAAGAAGCTCATTTAAGATGATGTACTGAGCACGAGCGGATAGATCGCTAAACACCAGGTGCTCATTAACGTCAAACAAACTTTGCTCATCTAACTCTTCTTTGGGTGACTCAACTTGTTGTTCCCCAAAGGAAAAACCTTCTTGAATGTTACTGTGACCGAAAGCGGTTGTGGCTGAACGTTCATGAGTTCTTCGAGGTGTTTCAGCGGTCGAGTTATAAAATGGCTGAGAGAAACTATGCGCACTCATAAATGGATAAGCTGTGCCTAAACGAATGAAGAGACTTGCTCTCAAAGGCGAAGTCAGGTGTTGCAAATCAAGACTCTCATGAGTAGGAGAACTTACTTGAGTAGAAGTTGGACGAGATATGTGCGGTACACGTTTAGAGGAGCGTTGTCTGTTTAACTTAATCCACCAAGGATCATTTTTTAAACGATTCTCTATCGATTTCTTATCGCTGGCAGAGACTGGCTTATTCTCAACAATGTATTTGTAAGATACAAGATCACAGGATTTCAAACATAAAACCACAATTTCCGCCTTGATACGAAGCGAGAGTAAAATGTTTGAGATTTTCTCAAACTCGGATTTTATATCATACTCGTTTTCAACAAGCACAAAAGTCCGTAAACAGCAATTCTCTTTCCAATCGCGCGCGGTATGTAGAATCCATCCAAGTTGACAGACCATAACATATGTTTCGACATTCGTAAGCAGAACATTCTGTCTTCCACTACTGGAAAGAGTGGGATTCGATACCATATGAATAGGAAACATGTCGATGTACTTTTTTTCGCTGTTTACGACAGGCCAATGCAGCTGGGAAAATCCATAGGTTACCATTACGTCTAATGTTCCAACAAGCATATCTTCCAAAATCTGGACCCATTGAGTAGGCGAAATAGCATGGTCAGCGAGGTCATCCGTGCCCGCAAGAGAGGGCACTCCTTCTGGAGATGGGGGTACACCTTCATTAACTTCTGAAACCTTCGGAAGAGAATCGGTCGCTGTGTGATTTTTATAGTCCGTATTTATGAACGTTAGAACAGCTATGTTGGGACGAATACCCCCTAGACCAGCCGAGGATATCAGTGTCCGAATGCCCCAAACTTCATCTGGGGCAACACAAAGCTCGACAAATGCCTTTATTTTCTCACTCAAAATAAATTCGTGCCATACGCGTTGTTGCTTCTCTAATTCGTGCATGCTGGATTGAAAATCCTTGGAAACGATGACATGTCCAAGCATATAAAGAGAACCTAATAGTTAGAAAAATAAGAAGTAGAAAAATAAATGCTTACCCTTCTTTAATGAGTTGAAGAACCGTATTATGTTGTAAGAACGGGTCGGGTTATTAACAAGAAGTAAAACCTGTGGGCGCCAAAATTTTACATTTTCAAAAGTGTTATTTGTTTGAAGTAAGTACTTTCGCAACTGATGGTAAATGATGCCTTCAGAAACATCACCCCAATTTTTCGGAGGAGAAGTAATGTTAATGATGACAAACAGAAAAGCGGCAACCAGAAAGGAGATGAACGCGTTTTTACCATCAACATAAAACATAATTCCGAAGGATAAGATACAGCCCAGAAGCGTCGTATAACGATTAAAGAAACGAAATGTTGGACGAAAATTCGGAGTGCTTCCGATACGCAAAAGAAAACAAGCCAAGTTAATGATACCAAAAGTTAAAAGAAAAGTCATAGTAATCATAGAAGAAAGTTTATCAATGTCCCAAAAAAGTGTAACTTGCGTAAAGATATATGTTAAAAGAATAGCAGGCAAAGGAATGTCCTGCATCGCTGTTCCGCCAGCAAAAAATTTTAAACAAGGAAGTATGTTATCTCTTGCGATGGCCTGCAAAAGCTTTGCTGTTCCAAAAATACCTACGAGTGAACTGTAAAGAGAGCTACTCAGAATGGCGATAATGACAAATGCAGGATGAATATTTACATCTTGCAGAATCTGCAAATCGAAAAGTAAGCTGTAACGTGAAAGTGAACTCGCCAAGACAACTATTACAAGAAAGTAAATCACCACAGTAGTCACTAATGACGCGAGAGTTCCCACAGGAATAGAGCGAGAGGGGTTTCGCAGGTCGCCAGACATTCCAGCTCCAGCTAATAAACCAGCTGTTGCTGGAAAGAAAACGCCAAAAACGGATCGAAATGATTCAAGACTTTTACCGGAAGAATCAAAAGTGTACGAGGACTTCCAATTGTCTAAAAGAGTTGACCAACGGATACCGGTAAAAGAGAGATGTGATTCTGGAATAGAGAAAGGCCTCTTGATTATGGCGGACAGAGGAATAGTTAAGGTTGTTAAAAGGATTAGCACCAAAAATGAATTAGAAGCCCGTGCAAAAGGTGATGAGCCAAAACAGCAAAAAACCGTACATAACAAGAGAACTAAAGACGAGAACAAAAGTACCCACACAGGTGAATCGGGCAGAAGATGCAAACTGTCTCCGGTAGATTTACCAAAAATACGTATGACAGTCTCCATGAAACCCGACACATTCATACCTGTATTCAAAACCTGTCCGAGAAAAAATATCAAGCCCACCGAACCACCCATTTCTGGTCCAATAGATCGTGAGACTGCATAGTAAGGACCACCTCCACGCACCATGCCATTCGTACAAATCGCAGAAATGGATAGAGTGGTAAGAAGGCCAATGGAATAACTGAGAACAAGCATCAGCAAAGTATTCCGCAGTCCGGTTTCACCCACAATCCAGGGGAATCTAATATAAAGCAGCACAGACATTACATTTAGTGTTGTAGGGACGAAGCAGCCCTCAAAAGTGCCTAGTTTCTCTCCCGATACTTCATGCTCATTTTCGGCAATAGTAACAGTTCGTGAAAGAGGAGGCAATTGGTTTGTTAATGAACATTCTGGCAGTGAATTCCCTACACCAGGACTTAGAAATGGCCTTGATGCCTCCAAATCGCTACCGCCTTCCCAAAACCGTTTTGAGCTTCTATTCGACAAACGGGAGGAAAAATAGTCGTACAGCTCTCCAGTTTTCGTAATGAGTCTGCTCATTCTACCAAAAAGAAAAAGTCTTATTCGTGAGCTCCGAAAATGACGGCCCTACAAATATAACTTGGAAATCGTCTATTACGGCGTGTAAAGAGACAATTGTCTCAGTAAGAAAAGCTCGAAAACGAGCCGTTTCACTAGTATGGAGGAGTTTACGTCGTTACAAAAGTTAAACTCGTAGTGTCAGTAATTGGTTCAAAGCTCACTTAGTCGTCGTGAACTTAAAATACGAAATGCTTCGACCCCCACAGACTTCGTATCTGTCATATTGGTGGTGGTGATTCAGTATATCCTCGTAGCGAATCTTATCTTATCAACCTAAGCTGCTTAAATTATTTTAGGTATATTTTGCCGATAGCTAGACGCTGATTTGCTGGAAGATGCTTCTCTTCGCGCATGAATGACACTATCCCTTAAATAGATTTATCGTATCGCAATGAGGCGCAACGAGTTTCCGGTCAACTCCATGTCACACTAAACGTAAATTCTTTACCAACTGCATAATTTGCTTTCTTATTGAAAAAATAACTTCTATCACTGTGTTGGAATTGTAAAAGAATTACTTTGTTGAAAAAATCGCTGCGTTCTGAGCTGGTTTAATGAGCGGCGTTTCAAACATTAATATTAAGAGGAAACAAGGCCAATGGGATACTGATGAGCCTAAAAACAACTCTTTTTCTAGTCGTCAGCACCAGATTTACCGGTTGTCGCAATCACCGCTTGTGAACGGTGATTACTTTCTGAGACACAATGATTCCAGCGGAGCTCTTGGGTCATCTGTGAAAAGCACAACGTACTATGGTTCAATGGGTCAGGGAAAGCAGTTAACGATGAAACCTTCGTTCGTAAGCATGGCTAATACTGGAAGGCTTTCAACAGATGAGACTTTTGAGTCGGCCGAGAACCCAGACATTGTTCGCCGTCATTTGGGCACTGCCGATGGCAATTGGGACGAGTTTTCCTCATTAAATCTTCAAGGCGGTGATATTCATCGTCAGGTGTATCGTTGGCAAGAGGAAATGGACCAAAAAGCCCAAATTCGTCGAGGTCGATCACATTCATTCTCTGCCCAAGATGTAACAGAACCTTTGCAAGTGAACGTCAATATTGGTGACCTAAAAAAAGCTGGCGGCATGAGAAGAAATTTTATTCAAGCTAAGGCTAGCACAAACTCGTTTCAAAATCCTCAAGCAACCCCGTATCAACCTACATTTCTTAACAGAAATTTCATTGAGTTTCTCTCTGTGTATGGTCACTTCGCTGGTGAGGAGCTTAGTGAAGAAGATGAGGATGACGAAGAGCAAGAGGAAGAAGCTGAGACGCTGGCACCTCATTGGCATGCAGCAGGAACTCAGGAATCACAACCCTTGTTGCATCCCAGACGTCATGCCCCTCCTGTCAAGGGTCAAGCATCTGCGGGAAAGGCTGTGCTGCTTTTGCTGAAATCGTTTGTCGGAACAGGTGTCTTGTTTTTGCCCAAAGCGTATGTGAATTAGCGACTGTTACAAATGTTACGTGCATTCCAGTCGTTTGCTTTCTATGAAACGTTAAGTTACTAACCGGATTTAGATTCCAACTTGGAGGTCTGGCATTCTCAACGATTACCATGCTTGTCGTGGCCGTCATGTCACTTATTTGTTTCAACCTCTTAATCTCTACCAGAAACAAGATACCAGGCAGTTTTGGTGATATCGGTGGTGTTTTGTTTGGCAGACATATGCGCTTTGCCATTCTTGCTTCTATTGTTGTCTCGCAAATTGGTTTTGCGAGTGCGTACATATCATTCGTGGCAAGTACTCTTCAGGCATGCTTCAAAGCTATCTCTGCTACTGGAAAGGAGTATGATATAGTATTGTTTATTGTTTTCCAGTTTTTTGTGTTTGCCCCTCTTTCTATGGTGCGTAAATTGACAAAGCTTTCTGCGACTGCTTTGATTGCCGATTTTTTCATTCTTCTTGGAATTCTTTACCTTTATTTTTGGGACGTGCTCACGCTGGCTACGCAAGGCATTGCTGACGTTGTCTTGTTTAACAAAACAGAGTTTTCCTTGTTTATTGGTATGAATATAAGGAGTGTATAAGTTTCTGAAGTGATTTGCTGCTAACGGTTTTATTGTTTAGGTGTTGCTATCTTTACTTATGAAGGAATTTGTCTCATTCTCCCCATTCAGGAACAAATGGCAAACCCTCAAAAATTGCCCAAAGTTTTGTCTGGCGTAATGTTGGCTATTACCATCCTTTTCATTTCCATTGGTGTTTTATCATATGCTGCCTTTGGCTCCGAAGTGCAAACTGTTGTTATTCTGAACATGCCCCAGAGTGGATTCACGGTTCTTATCCAATTTTTGTATGCGATTGCTATTCTTCTCAGTACACCGCTGCAGTTATTCCCTGCTATTGCAATCATTGAACAAAGCATCTTTACACGCAGCGGTAAACGCAACAAAAAGGTCAAATGGCGCAAAAACTACCTCCGCGTTACCCTTGTATTTATCGCCATTCTAATCGCATGGGGCGGTTCCGCACACTTGGACGAGTTTGTAAGTATGGTTGGAAGTGTGTGTTGCATTCCTCTCATTTACATCTATCCTCCTATGCTTCACTATAAAGCCTGTGCGCGTGGCTTTTGGTCAAAAGCATTGGATGTTTTAATTGGATTAATCGGTACCGTTTCCATAATTTTCACGGCATACATGACCTTGGTTTGAGACATTTAATTTCTTCAAAGAGTTGCCTCGCGCAACGTTGTTCGCCATATTTTTGTTCATTTCCTTCTCCAAACGTAATTCAGCTCCCACGCTCTCTATTAGAAATCATTACTAATATCAATTATTGTTCTATAATTCACGATAACAAAAAACCCACGATTTGCTTAACAATTTTCTGTGCAAGCTTCCAGTCCGTTTATGACGCCGTGCCTGTGCGAATGTAATAGCAGAACATGTTTTATTCAAAGTTAATTTCTCAGCTTTATAGTAAAGGTGTACATTATTAAATTTAATATCAAACACAAAAGAAACTTCACATTGTATGGTTTTACTGGTGCATATATTTTGAGCAGCGATAATCCACACGAAAATTGCAAAAGTCGTTTAACTTTGTTATCTATCTTCCAAGTGGCTTCTGTGAATGTTAGTTACCATGAGCGCTTCACTAGACTGAATTGGAATTTTGGAAGAAAAGTTTCATGAATAGATTCGCTTTTCGTCGTACTTTTAGTATTGTTCCACTTGTTCAGCGGAGGTCATTCGTTTCGACTTTCATTCGAAACCAAGGACTTTCGTTTGTGAATCCTTCGGATGCAACCAAAGACGCCAATAATGACGGTGATCTGCTTCAAGTTGCTACCAAACGCCTAGAGAGTGCCGGATTTTCGCATCAGAAGGCAGCGACATTAGCATTTTTACTGCAAAATGCTGCTTCTCAAACGTGAGTTATTCCAGAATGTGTCGCAACTAATACTCCTATAACAGATTAACGGAAATCGGTGAACAAGTCGGTTCCCGGGAAAAGCAAGAAGAAATTACGTTTCAACAAAAGAAATTGTTTATTCAACTACGAAAGTACTTGGAAGGACTGGAGAACGAACAGTTCAGCACTATCCGTGAAAAAACAGAACAACTGAAAACAGATACCAACAATGTACAAAGCATGGCACGCGAACGAGCCAAGAAAGCTTTAGCAGAGATTCGGCTTGATTTGAATTTGGAAAAGGGCCGTATGAAAGACAGCGTCACCTCACGTACGAACTCTGTTCAAGAAATCACGGACCAGATGGATTTTGAAATTCAACAACTTAATGCAGAACTCGCCTCACTAAAAAAACAAACAACTGAATGGCTCAGAAAGGCACTTAAGTGGTTTCTACCACAGCCGAAATCCAAAAATGCGAAAAGCAAGTAATCGCAATGTTAAGCATCCCCACCGTTACTGATATGCATGCTTTTCCATTTGTGTCTCGTGTGTGCGTATGCAAAAAATGTTACCATGACTAACTATGTTGGCGCCGCAGCGAAAATGCGCAGGACCTTAAAAACGAATGGCGGTTGTTAACTAAAACGAACAGGGCTTAAACGAGTTGGAGACCAAAGGAGGTACGAATGACGGAGCGAGCGACGCTGATGGTGCTTTCGCAGCCTTCCTTGTCGCTCAAAAGAGGGTTCACCTCGACGACGTCGAGAGCGACCAGTGTCCGGGTCTCGGCAACAGCCTCACAAATGTACATAATTTCACGGAAAGTGAGACCACCCTTGACACGGGTACCCGTGGCAGGGACGATGGAAGGGTCAACGGAATCAACGTCAACGGAAAGATGGGTGGGACGAAGGTTATCGGGGTTGATGGCCGCCATAGCCATCTCAACAACACGACCGATGCCGTACTTGTCCACGTGATGCATGGTGAAGAAGGGAATGTTGTGTTGACGAAGAAGCATACGCTCACCAGGGTCGACGTCACGAAGACCGATGTAAGCGACACGGCCGCTGTCAATGCAAGTCTTGACCCATTCGAATTCTGGAGGAACAGGCTTGGCGTAGCCAAGAACAAGAGAAACAGGGCAGCCATGGAGGTTGCCAGAAGGGGAGCTGTCGGGAGTGTTGATGTCAGCATGAGCATCAATCCAAAGCAAACAGGAAGTGGGATGGACTTCCTGGACGGCAGACACAGTAGCGATACCAAGGGAATGGTCACCGCCGATGTTCACAACAGCAGAACCCTTGCTGAGCTCGCCGGCAATCACGTTCTTGGCACGTTGGCAGGCAGTCGAGACGTAAAGAGGGCGGTACAACTGCTTGCTGCTGGGACCCTCCTCAGCGGGGGCCTTCTTGAGCTCAGGAACGTCTACAACTTCTACGTTGTAGCCGAGTTTTTTCAAGTCCTTGTCGACGCCAGAGTTCATGATGTACTCGGGAGCCTCTTCGACACCGGCCTTCTTCTGACCAGCACCGAAGGGCAACTTAATGAGAGAGACGTTGCGACCGCCAAGGAAGCGATGGTCTAAGTAGTTAAGCAAAGTCATAACGATAAATGTTTAGAAATGAGGGTCTAATGAAAGAGTCCAAATGTGTCGGAATATCTTTATATGTGAAAACTTGGTGGCAACAGAGATACTGTTACGAGAACACACAACAGAAAAGAAAGCGAGAAAAATAAAAATAAAAAAAAAGACTGGGAACCAAACGAAGTCACTTCGCCTATGAAAACCTTAAAGAACCGTAATTTAGCTTAAAACACCTTTATGTTGATGTAAGTGTGTTAATTGCTTTTATTTTGTTGTTACTGCAAAACGTAGTCGATACGCAGTAGTAGTGGAGAGAAATGATTAGAGATAAACCCAAATGGCAATGACTGAGAAGCCTGTTTTGCTGTCGAAAGCAGCTCGATAAGGGGGCCTTATAACCGTTTGCTGTGAAGTTTAAAATTAGAACTCGGCTTTTTTCCTCAATCTACCGGATGGCAAGCATCACAACATTCATTACTGTAACCAGATTCGCCGAGGACCTCGCCGCAGCAGCTGCTATTTTGGACCTCTCTTTAGATCATGTGCTTGATCTCATCTGAAATCTGACGGTGCTGGTCCCATATACGAATCAGAGCAGCAGCCGTTACAACAGGCGGATATAGCCAAACAGCATTGCTCCGCCTTGTACTGCCGAGTCCACTTACTATGGTTCATTCGCATACCGACTCCTCTTGTCTGATAAGATATGTTCTAAATTCAGCGTGCAACAGACTAACGGTTTTCATTCGCCACTCAATCCGATAGTGCGCCGAAGATATCTAAAATGTCGGTATATCTGGCGCATGCTTATGTCTAACGATCTAAAGACCACTAGGAGTTAGCTGCGATCAGAAAAAAGATCTTAGCGGTGATCAGATTAGGAGCAAGCCAGTGGGGTAGAGAAGTGGGTCTGTTACTATAGGATGTTTGTTGAATGGGATTGGAAAGGAAGAAGCGGAGAGATATGGGACGTACTATTTGTTCTATCGTGTTCCCCTGGATCCTTTTGTCTTAAGTCTACGGGCTTAACAATTGGTACACAGCGCAAGGTTTCTTTTATTTATTTATTTTTATTTTTTTAATTTTCTAAATACAGTGTAGTTTGAACATAATGATATTGACTCGTATAATGCTGTGCTAGAGTGGCACTCTGTCCATGGGGAGCCGATGAGAATGCAGCGAGGGGTAACGGGTTTGAATGAGTAGGCAGCGATTCAATTGTCACAACTAAGCTTACTGCTGTGCTGTATACGCTGTTGGATGTCAGTTTATCTAAAGTTGGCATAGATGATTAAGTAAGAATGTGGAGTAACGAGGAACGTGTTTATCTGCAAGAGCAAGGATTTATGGGCGCTTCACCGCTCATGGTTTTATGTACATTGTATCTATATTAAAAATCCTTACTGGGTATATTGGAATGCGGTTTTTACAAATGCTTTGAGCTATTGTCAAAAGAATCGGTTCTGAACTTTCTAACTGGCCATTCATTTTGATTTGGGTACGCAATTGAACGAAGTAGACCAGCTTAAACACGGTATGTGTGGAACCGAACCAAGTCGAGTCTTTCAACAGATAAATTTAAACGTATAAAAGATACATTTAAACTTTATTCAGTTTTAACTTTGTTATGATATCTCTTGATCTGCAAGTATGGTTTCAAATATTGGTTTATGTTCATAGTAATAAATCTTTATAGGTTTTCTGTTAATTCCAAGAACAGATTACAAAACGAATATGTATCCTACCACTCCTAGGTTTGCTATATGAAGAAGTTATATGCTTGTTTCTGAGTTATTTGACTCCAAAAGTTTCATTTACTACAATATGTTTTAAGAGCCGTACGAATGACAGGAAAGGTCTACCCGAATACGCTATAAGGAAATTGAGGAATTCTACGGGGCAAACTCAAGAAAGATAAACGTATTTTGGTACGGGTTCTCTTTGTACTCAAAACGATCTCCAATGCAAGGTGATTGAGATAAGGCACTAAGATCGTTTTAGTGATGATTTAAGCTTATCGTTATTTCAGCGAAGGATGTTTCGAGACATGGAAGTAGTAGCAGCAATTATTTAGTTAATAAGGATGCTGTGTTCAGTTGAACCTTTGCTCTTCTGACAAAACCTAAGAGCACAAAGGTGATCATTAATGTAATGAAAATAGATTCTTATTCGCGATGCTGGCTTATTCTTCTAACCTAATCCGAGTGCATCTTTCGTCATAGAGAATCTGGATTTTTAAAGAAAGCAATTATTGAAATACACATTTCTAATGTATCCACACCGTAATGTCTGTAGTTTATCTTGGTAGCCCATGTTACCAAATGCTATTTAGCATATTGTAGTGAGGAAAGTTTTATTCTCTTCAAGACTCGGTTTTCTAGATTCCATAAAGCACTTAACTATCGAATCATTAATTGTAAACTAGAAAATTAGAAGTTATAGATGACTATAGACAGTTTCACTGTTATTTGCTCTTACGGAAACACAGAAAGAGTTATTGTCAAATGCCTACGAACGCACTTTTCAAGAAGTTAAATAACAGATTAGTTGCAGACAAAATTAAATTAAATGATAAAACCATGCGTAACATTAGCAGATGACTAAGTCCATTACTGAAACATAGATCTACGAACCATCAGCATAAGCATTGACTTGATGTAAATTATTCACTACTAAAACGAGTTCTAACATGACAGCGCCGAACCTGCAAATGCAATCCCCCCTATTAAAAACAAAACGTAGTTGCTATGCTACGTTTAGAGGTACCAAAAGGTACCGAATCAGTGGCTTCGAATATCATATGACGACAACGCAATTTATCACCAGGACTAATAAAATAGTGCAATTGACACTTATGTTACTAAACAAAAACAGCAAATTGACTATGAAAAGGTCATACAAACAGGCTAAAAACGGGAGTCAAATATCACGCATCAGACACTTCTGGTGTCATTTACATTGACAAAAATGGCATAACGTTCTCTGTCCATGTTTGCAATTCATTTAGCGATTACCGGTATTACCAGTGCGGCTTACCCAGAAGATAGAGTCATATTCTTAATGACACATTATCTCTCAGCTCTTTTCTTAGTATATATGCAATTTCACCGCTAATGCCAACCGTAAAATTTTATTCGAGCACTTCAAAACCATTTGGCATTGTCATCGCTACTGCCAGACAAATCGCTTCGTAAATACTTGCACGGGTTTTCGAGGTGATTGTTCATGTAGGTGCCATGGTAAAACTCAATCAATTTGTATTACCAAAGTTCTTAGAATTGGCGCAATTAAACCCAAAATATATACACATATAAGTTTTTAGGCTTAGATACGATCCAAAGAACTGCATGACAGCAAGATTCAATATAGCTTCGATGAGACAAATAATTGTATGTTTGACATAACTCTGCCACAAAATGGTCAATGAGATATACGGCGAATAAGATGACCGGCAACAGCATATGACAAACCATTGGAGAATAGTTGTTTAATTATTCTGTTGCCGCCAACATGCAGACATAATAATGGTTTATTGTCATCAGTAATGCAAGAAGAAAGAAGGGAGAGAAAGACATGGCAAAGGCAACACGAGCAGTGACAAAAAGAAGGACGAAAGAGAGAGGAACGTGTACGCGAGTATAATTTTCATTTATTACATCTGTCACGTGCCATTTCCCCTCGTAAACCAACTTTTGCAGACATATTAAAGAATGAAATGGTCTGCGTTGACAGGAGCACATGCCAACTAAAGACTTTATTTTAGCTTATGCGTTTTATATTCACATCGCAATATTTTGGTTGTAGTTGTAAACGTACGCGACTACTGAGTCTTGTCAGTTGTTTGCGCTCCATAGCCAATGGCCTCCAAACGCTCAAGCAAAGGAGGGTGGTTGTGATGGTAAGCTGAAAACCAACGGTCAAAGTCGAGAGGAGACATGTTATCTTCGTGCAGACGAATGAGGCCCTCAGCCAAGGCATCGCCGTAGCCAAGTCTCTTGGCAAATGCATCTGCTTGATATTCGCAAGAGCGGGACAAAAGGTTGTTTCCAAAACTGATTAATGCCGACAAAGGTTCAAAGAGGGATGTGAACAAAAGATATCCAATCAAAATGGGATGCTCACCAGAAAATCCAAAGGCTGAGTACATGCTGTTGTTGCGGATAAAGCCGGCAAACAAGGCGAGGTGAAAGAAAGAAACAGCATAATTAACAAGTTGTTGAATCAAAATGTGCCACATGTACCAATGACCAAGTTCATGGCCAAGAACAGCGAGCAATTCTGTCGTGGTTTGGTTCTTAACAAGTGTATCATAAAGCACAATACCCTTGCTCCAGGGCATGCCATAGAAAAAGGCATTTGAGTGACCGGAACGACGGCTAGCATCCATAATGTACAGATTCTTCAATGGGAATTTGACAGAGGCAGCCAACTCCTCGATCTTTGACTTGAGCTCGGGGTCGGTAACGGGTGTGAACTTGTTGAAAAGAGGCAAAATCACGTAGGGTGCGATGGTTTGAAGGACCATACCCAAAACAATGAACGAAACCCATACGTACACGACAAAATTGTCACCGAAAGCAATGATAACTTTCAAGAAAATGGCGATAATGATACTAAGCAATACACCGCCAAGGGCCAAGCCTTTAACGATGTCGGCCCAGAACGTACGCATGGTCGTCTTGTTAAATCCAAACTTCTCCTCAATAACAAATGTGGAGTAAAGACTGAATGGGGTGTCAATGATAGTACTGAACACAGAGCCAGCAAAGGCGAACATGCAAGAGTGAGTAATAGCCTTTGAGACAGACCACCAGTGGTTGCTGGTAGCAAGTCGATCCATCCAGCTATAGTCCGTAGCATTCCAGAGTCTGGCAAAACCGTTATAACGAATGATGAGAATGCTTATGATAAACGAGAACGACGACGAAAGGACTCCGAAATGAGCCTTTGTACGCGCATACTGCATAGCTCTTTTGTATTTCTTTTCATCTACGACACTGGCCAGAACGGCCGGTGGTTTTTCATTCAAATAATGCTTGTACTGGCGCTTACTAAGATACCGTTCCCAAAGAAAACGGGAAATAGTAAAGGCTAACACCACAGACTTCCAAGGAAATGCAGGAATATCAAACGCATGAGATAGGAACTGTACTGTTAATAACATGTATACACACGAACTATTACTTACATCAAAAATGCCCATGTTGGGTGTGGTTGTGGTAGAATGGTGTATCCAGTAGGGTATATTTAAGACAATGAAGAACGAGAAATTACCCTCGAAATGTAATTTAAATGCATTTGACTTGTTTTTTTAATTGTTTTTAATGAAATAGAGAGTTTCACAAGACGCTCAAGTTATAATTATTCGTTCAATCATATTAATTGATGTTGTCATGATGATAGACAAATAGGGACCCACTACAAAATAAAAAATAATAAAAAAATAAATTTAAAAAAAAGAAAAAAAAGAAAAAAAAGAATAAATGGTACCAAGACTTTACACTCGAAACTAATGGTTTCATACATCTCTCTTCGATTCCCCCATTTCTATCGTTAACGTGTCGCTACACAACAAAGCTTATTTAACTTTAATTACAATGACGTAAACAGAACACGCTTTACGAGGCACACCTATCAATAGCACATGGAAAGAACCAAAACAGATAATTGCTTGTTCTTGTATTTTAGTACGTCACCACAACTTATCTACTCATAATTTGAAGAAACCACTTCAATTTTATTACTTTCTATATCTAACTGAGCCGGAATCCTTCCATTCTCGACTTTATCACAAACTACGAAAAAACATTCATGCCTGGACATGGAGCCGTACAAATAGCTCGCCATACTTTATTCCGTTCTCTGCGGACAAACATTATCCCACTCTCCGTTAGAGCTCAATCAATAACACGGACACGAATAAACTCGGTTCGTTTCGTGCATTCTTCCAACTATAGAATAAAGCAAAATTCTCCACGGGCTCTCGAAAAAAGAAAATCCGTTTTACCGCGGAATCAATGGTTTAAAAGGCATCAATGGCAAAATGTTCGTCAACTGTCGTTTTTTTCTACGCATTGGAAACGTCCATTTGGTAATACTTTTCACAAACTCAAAAACTTACTGTTTCGGCAAAGCAAACCTCTAACTGTTGACAATGTCTCGGCCTTCTTCAGCTGGTGGCTTGTTAGCCATATCATTTGGATCGTTGTTGGTACAACAACCTTTTTCTCATTGCTTATATATTTATTAAATACCGTTTTTGCTCAGGAGCTGCTTGCAAAATGGATCAGTCAGTTGGTCACGCGCAATACTGGATTCCACGTTAGTTTTGACAGTGCAATTGTTCCTAATTGGCGAAAAGGTTTAATTACGGTAAACAAAATGGTTCTGCATCGTAGGCCAGAACACGAAGAACCTTCCTTAAAGAAGATTTCTCCCCAGCCTGTTCACTCTGTAAACCAAAAAACACAAGAGCCTCGTTCAGCTAATCAACCAATCGTCTTGGCACCGAAGAACATGATACAGAAAAACGAAGATTACACACAATTCGACTTGACCATTGAAAAGGCCGATGTCTCGTTTAGTTTTGTTCGTTGGCTTAACGGAAAGGGTATCATAAGAGAACTGTACTTGCGCGGCGTGCATGGAGTGGTTGATCGTCGTTTCTTAAAACAGGATTTGACTTTGGATCCTCGTGATTACAGACGTAAGCACAATTGGGGTGACTTCGAGTTTGAACGTTTTAAACTAGAAGACCTCCGCGTGACGGTTCTACAGCCAGACGGACCAACCAGATTTCCCGTGAATGTTTTCTTCTGTGAATTGCCACGTTTACGAAAGCAATGGCTTTTATATGACTTTTTGAATGCAAACACGTTGACGGGAAGTTTTGATAACAGCATGTTTACTATTCACCGTCTGCAATTGCAGCCTCCGTCGGCGCGTAGAAACACAAGCTTTGGTCCGCCTGGTTCCCATTACAGCAGACTACGTATAGACGGTGTCGGTGTTCGGCATTTAAACAGAGATGTTACTGGCACTTTTAGCTGGATCACTCATGGAAACGCTGATTTCATTATTGACCTAGCGTTCCCCCCAGAACCAAAAAAACCAACTTTGCGACAACTCTCTCGCGAAGTTTGGAACCAAATTATAAAGAAACAGCCGTCAAACGGTGCAGAGTCATCAAAACTTAGAATTAAGGAAGCTAGTCCTAATGTTTGGTTTGACGTACGCTTGCGACTTAATAATCTCCGTGCAGCTGTTCCGATCTTCACTTCAGATGTGAGTTATGTGAACAACGCGCTTATTCGGCCCATAGTTGCATACATTAACTCCAGTCGCACTTATATTCCCGTATCGTGTCGGTTTATAAAGCCGTTATCCGATTTTGATGGTAGTTGGACACTGTCAGATAGCGGGATTTTGCAAGAGCTTTCATCAAGGGTAAGCCTTACGCTTGAGAACGTTGTGACAAATGGAAAGAAACCATTTTATAACTAAGCGTGTAAATGCAGTTCTTCTACAGTCGCAAAGAAAAATTTAAGACATTATCGCTAACAACATAGGTGCACGAGTCCTTCGCGCGTGACGTGGTTGATCAAGATATTCGTCGACGGCGTATACAGACTGTTGGCATCTGGAGTTTCCAAAGGATCGTAGAATTGTTACGCACATCCATGCAGGAATTGTCACCCATTTCACCGGACACCAGATAAGAATAACAATTCAGCATCCTGGATTAATGACTGAAACATTCTGTCTTGCGGCTCATTCAGTGTGATGTGCAAGTTACTACATTTCACTTTTGAAAGCAATTGCGTTTCGTTTTTTACGACGTTCGACATCATTATCCTCTTGAGCCTTGTACATTGTTCGAGCATATGCTGCTTTAGGTAACAATTTTCGATCCCATATCTCTGCGGGGAGCATTGACCCACTTGGATCTTCAACATGAATATGCTTTTCCAAAGAATCAAGCAAATTTGGGTTTTGAAAGTCGCTATTTTCTAACAATCTCATGTGAAAATGAACACCATTGTCCTTTAACCGCAAAAATTCATGAAACTTCTCATTTAACACTGGAGCAGCTAACTGGTTGGGTGGTGATGCCGGAAATTTGCCTTTGAACTGTTCATCACACGGTTTTTCGGACAAATCTTCTTTTTCGGCTTCCTCTTCATCTTCCGAGGCATAGGCTACTAATGGTGCTTGATGATTCATTCCCGTTTACTAATATAAATAACTGATCGCTTGTTCAAAAACAGTGAGCATTACCTTTCTGTGTTGCTTCTCCCCAGTCGAGACCTAAGTCTGTCAGACCTCGACCGCTTCCCAAACAATACTTCCCCACTACCCTTCAAAAATAAAAGCTACAGCAAAAACTTTCATCTGCTTCTACGGACCCGTGTTAGGCGTTATTTATTGAATATATATTTTTTTGTTTCCAACGCTGTGAAGCCCGAATTTCTGAGAAGAAAATATTAAACTGAATTATAGAAGTCTCCCTTCCTCCATTTGTTTTGTTTTCTTACGTTGCCCCTTCAAAACAAAAGTTAACTTACTGTTCTTTTGTTTCCTCGTTAAATCGTTCATTGTGTGTTGTAAACCGGTTTCAGTTTTTCGTTTCTTTTCGAACCTTCTCAGACCAAAAATGCCCTTTGAAACCGTTGTCTCGTCCAACATTGGGAAGTTTCCAGTGTACAAATGGATTCATAAAGAATCCGGGTTCTCTATGTGCCTTGTCAAAACTCATGTAACTGAAATATCCTGCAATATCGTCGTGGCTACGGAAACACATAATCAGCTTGGTTGCCCTCATACTCTGGAGCATCTTTGTTTTATGGGCAGCAAGCGCTATCCCTTTAACAGCACTCTTACGCAAATGGCAGAGCGTGTCAGCGCAGAAATTAATGCTTACACAGCCGAAGATATAACCGCATATGAAATGACTGTTCCAAGTGAAAAGGGTTTTCTTCGACTACTGCCTGTGTTTGCTGACCATGTGCTCCAACCTGTTCTAAGCGATGCTGCTTTTCGCACTGAAGTCTTTCACGTCAACGAACAAGGCGAGGAGTCCGGAGTCGTGTTTTCCGAGATGCAAAATGTACAGAATTACGAACTTGATTGGGATACAATGCGCGAAATCATGTATCCTGCCAGCAGCGGATACCGGTACAACACCGGAGGTCTCACACAATTTCTACGCAAGTTGACAGTTGAAGACATTCGAAAATACCATAAACAATATTACACCCCAAGTAATGTTTGTGTCGTTGTTCTTGGTCCTGTTGATGAAAATGCTTTGCTGAAAGTTGGTGAGCAAATCGTCTCAAACTTTATGGAGGATGGTTTTCAATCATCCGCAGACTGGAAGCGTCCCTGGGTAGATACCTACACCCCTTGTTCTCTTCCCGAGAGCGTTGTTCGTACCGTTGAAAAGCCTGCGGACGAAGATGACGAAAATGCAGAAGTGAAGGTCTGGTGGTACGGACCTTTGTGTAACGATGTAACAACTGTCTTCGCACTTGACCTTTTGTTCACTTATCTCAGCACCTCCGCGGTATCCCCCATCAGTCAAACATTCATTGAGATTGAGGACCCGTGGTGCAACAATGCGTCTATGTACGTAGATGAGGGACTTCCCAGCGCCATTAACCTTTCCCTGAGCGGTGTGCCACTCGAACGTATGGATGAGTTGGCTATACGTATCCACGAATTGCTCCGGTCCATCAATTCTATTGATATGCAACGTATGGAGGAAACACTTACAAAAAGTCGAAATGAGCTTTTAACTTACTTGGAAACGGATCCGAGCCTGGTATTTATGGATACAATTTCTCATTGCCATGCATTTGGTCCACGTGACGGATCAAACTTGGTCGAGTCTCTTGACTATTTGCGCCAGTACGATATTGTACAGTCATGGACAGAAAAGCAATGGCTGGATCTTTTACGTAAATGGATTGTGGATGCGAAATCAGTTACAATTAAATCCCGTCCATCTTTTGAATTCGCCCAAAAGCTGAAACAGGAACAAGAAGAACGCGTGCAACAAGCCGTTGAGAAGTACGGACCGGAGGGTTTGTCCGAGCTTGGACGTCAGCTTGAGCTCGCAAAGCAAGCAAATGAAACCCGACCCCCCGTTGACCTTATCCGCAACTTTGCTCATTTCGATCACCGCGATATCAAATTTTACGAATCAAAGACTGCTGTGACTAAATCAACACATCGCAATGAATATGCCAATGATGTCCAGGCGTTGGTTTCCAACGATGAAACGCTCGTCCAAAAGAATCCATGGTACATCCAGTTTGATCACATCGAAAGCGCATTCGTTACCACTACCGCACACATATCAACTTGTCAAATCTCACCCCATCTGAAGGACTACCTGGGAGTGTTTGCTCGATATGTTCAAGTAGCTCCTGCTTGTTTGCCAAATGGTGAACAACTCGACCATGAGCAGCTGGTTCGCCGACTCGAACGCGAAACGGTAAGCCATGATGTTAATCTTGATGTTACAGAATCAACATGCCGATACACACAGCAGGATTCTACGCGCGAAACACTTGTGGCCATGGTGCGCGTTTTGTCATCGGACTACGAACGTGCAGTTTTCTGGTTGGGTGTACTTTTGGCACACACAACTTGGGACGTTTCACGTCTTCAGTCCGTTGTTGGTCAGTTGCTTTCGGAAGTCAAGTCCCAGTTCCGTAATCCGGAGCATGTCGCGCCTGCTTTTGCCAATACGGTACTGTACAACGACCACTCGCTCCGTTATCGTCTGAGTCTTATTCAACAACGTCGCGTGCTCGAGCAGTTGCGTGCGCAACTGCACACGGAACCCGAAACTCTTATAAGGGATTTAGAACTGCTGAGAAAAGAACTGCTTCGACCGGAAAATATCCGGCTCCATGTGTACGGTGACGTTTTGCAGATGAAAGAGCCCGTAAAGCAATGGCAAGGTTGGCTTACCTCAAAATCGACCGGCGAGACTACGGATGCTGGCGAAAACGGTGATTTTCTCTCGAGCTCTGTTTTCGAGACCTTTTCCACCGGCACCCTTCATGTTATCCCCATGCCTGCAACCGAAAGCAGTGATATAATCCATGCGGTCCGGGGACCCAAGGATTGGACGGATCCCCAGCTTCCTGTCATCATGCTTCTGTCAAGTTGGGTATCCATTTTCGATGGTGCAGTAGGCACCGCCATTCGCGGAGCTGGTCTCGCCTATGGATACCACTTGTCGATCGATGTGGAGGGAGGCATCATCTACTTTGTTGTAAATAGTAGTCCGGATGTTGTGCAAGCATGGTCCTCGTTGAAAGAGCTGTTTGGCAAGATCTCGGCAAACTCAGATAGCATAAGCAACACAGAGCTGGATACGGCTCGCTGCATCGCTTACTCTCAGCTAACTTACTTGGGAAGCAACCCGAGATATGCCGCTCGGACCTCGTTTGATCAGCAAGCCCTGAAGGGTTTGGGTGCCGACGCTCACCGTAAGCTCCTTGATCAACTGTCTCAAGTCGGCTTGGACGCTGTTAGAGACGCATTGCGTAATGTGTTTACCCGTATATTCGACCCGGCCCAATCCACGACGGTAGTGACGAGTTCGTTAGCCAAGTTGGATACCACTGTCAGTACATTCTCCCAAGCAGGTTACGCAGTGGAGATCCAGAAGCTTGGTGAATGCGAAGATGGCGACGAGAGTGAAGTTGAAGACCAGGGCGCTCAGTAACGACCGTCCACGGCCACCCGTCCCTTTGTAACATTTCTAGCGTGCACCGTTCCAACACATGTCTGTGGCCCATGGACCTGCTAGACGCACTCCTTCTTACTAATTGACATTCCCCGTGTACAATTTGGGCAGCAATTCCCGAATAGGCCCCCATGGCCTTCCTGCCATATTTTGCGATTTTGTGTTTTTGTATTCTGTCTCCCCCACACCATAGCCCCCACACACATGCACGAAATCCCACTAGCTGCATTCATTCCACCAACAACGCGAGCTTGATTCGACGGCCTCATGTCCCTATTGCTGCAGCACGATTCTCTCAGCAAAGTAAGTGCAATGCTCCCTGTTGAGGACGCCCGACGTGGTGTGTGTGGAGAACGTGAAACGCTAATTCGGTTCTGTAGGGATTCTATGCCATAAAACCCAAAGGAACGCGTCCGTCGACGCGGCAATCGCCGACCAGCCCGTCAATTGCTACACACAATGCAGAATCCGACTTGTTGATGCCGGTCCTGCTTCCGGAAGACGCGGACAAACGCGCCGAGCGCGTTCGGTTGTGCCGGGAGGTCCTTGCTGAGCTAGACCAGATCACGGAAACGACACTGACGGCCAACAACCAGCGGGTTGCAGCAGAACTGGCAGCCTTCTTAACAGCGCCGTACAACACACACGGGAAGCTCCGCGGAGCTGTACTGTGCAGTGGTGGGCGGAACACACTGCACTCGCGATTCTACGAGCAAGTTGTCGGCGCAACAAACACTGTGTCGCGTGCGGACGCACGGCGCGTCGTCATGCTCGACTTGCGTACACATCGAGACTTGAAGAACTGCTTCAAGCAGATCGCCAACACGGGTGTCGCCGCTGGTGTGTGCGCGTACGACATGGACGCGCTCCGGGAAAACCTTATTATTGTATTCAAAAACGTGGAGGACTGCATGCCCGGGCTGCTCCAGCAGCTCGTTGCAGCGCTCCGCGTGCTCATGAACAAGCCGGGCAACACGCACACCGTCCATGTGGTGCTTGATGTCCGCGTCCCGCTGGAAATGTTCGACGCGTCCCTCTCTGGCCGATTCTTCGAGGCGGTAGAGCCGCGTGTGTTTCGCATGCAGGCCATTACCGCAGGACTCGAGCAGCTGCTGGAGCGCGTGGACGCGCTAGACGACTTTATGCTCGGCGCACGTGTTAAGCGATTTCTGCGGGGCATGTTTTACGAGCACAGCTGGAGTGTGGAGAAGGTGCTCTCGGCTCTGCGCTACGCGGTGCTATGTCATTTCTACGGAAACGCGTTCAGTGCTGTGTCTGTGAATGTGCTGCGGGCCCCCGAGGATGCAGAGGCACTGTCGACAGCGTCGTTTTCTCCCATCCTTGCGCAGGCTCTCCGCACATCGCCTTCCTTCCAGCGCTCCGTGGGGTTCTGGGCCCGTGGGCTCTCCCCACACTCCCCCGCAAATCGCGCGCCCGCAGACTCCACAAGCGCTGCAGGCTGTGCAAGCCCAAGCGACCCCACACTTGTGAGCCGAAAAGATCTGCGCCCGCTGCTCGACGACGACACGGTGTTCTTGCACTTCTTTCGGGCGTGCGTCACCGCCATACGTCACCGCCGCCGGCGGCTGCGACAGCGAGCGCAGGCCTGGCTGCAGGTGCAGCTGCTGTGCGAGACAGACGCGACACACACGCTGAGTCAGTGGATGGACGTGCTTGCCGAGGGAGGAGCAATGCTTCGGGACGCCTGTGCGCAGGCGGCCCAGCTGGTGCGGCGGCTCGACTCGTCCGCCACCAAGCGTCTTCTTGCCTTCTGCACCTCGACCCTGGCCCACGAGCCCGCTACGCTGGACACGTGCCGCACTTTGAGCGACAGGCTCGACGGCATTGTGCAGCGTTTCCTCGAGCACCCTGCCGCCGCCGCCGCCGCTCTTCTCGTCCATTCCGGCGGCGCCGGCAGCGGCAGCAATGATGTGTTGGTGAGTGCCCAGGTGGTATTAGAGGGCTTCCACGGCACCGCACACTCGCGACGAGTCGCCGAGCAGGGCCTGCGGCCGGAAATCCACGAGTACACGGCGCTGCTGCGGGAGCTCGAAGCGCTGCTGCAGCAGCTCGGTGCAGACGACGACTCCCTGCTCCGCACGCTCGTCGTCGAGTCCCCGTTCCCCTGGTCGACGGCGACGACACAGAACCTGCACGTGCGGGGCGGTGTCGAGAATTGCCCCTTCTACGAATGCGTCTGCTACGACTATGTCCGGCCGCTGGAGCAGGCGTTTGCCGGCGGCCACCAGCGCCGCGTCATCCACAGTGCCTGCATGGCGCCTGCGTTCTACGGTGTCGTCGATGTCGCGGACGCGTCGGACGCGACCGCACAAAGCAATGGGTGCGCAGACAGGAAGGAGGACCGCGACAGCGTCCTCGGGAGCAATCCCGCTCCGTCCGCCGCTCCTGCAGCTCCCTCAGCTCCCTCAGCTCCTCCCTCAGCTCCTCCAACTGCTGCTGCCTCTCCTGCCGCGACCGCTTCCCACGGCACTCCCGGGATCAGCGTCCAAACTCCGCGGACAAAGTGGGAGCCAGACTTGGCGGTTATGTACCGATTGTATTGCGAGTCTGGCGGACTCATCAACCTGTACGATTGGTTCGTGGCGTTTGCAGAGGCTCTCGCCCACGACGCAGACGACGAGCAGGCTCTTGCCCACGACGTGTCTGCTGGAGCCGGCGCGGGCGACGACTCCTCCACGTCTCTTCTCACTCAGGCGCGCTTCTTCTTCGCTGTGGAGGAGCTGCGTTTCCTGGGCCTGATTCGTCCAACCTCGCGAAAGACCGACCACGTCCAGCGCGTCATTTTCCAGCATTGACGGGTCCACGCGTCGCGTCGCGTCGTCTATATGCACCGCCGCCCCCGGCCTGCCTGCTGGTGACGCGCTCGCTGCATGACGTCATCGCGGTGGTGCGTCCCAAGGGTAACATAGCCAAGCGAGAACCTTCCTCCCTCCTCCCCCTCATTTCCTCCATCATCCCCTACGGTTCCCTGCGTCCTGTTTGTCCAGGCTCAGGCCATCGGCAACCTGCTTCCTGCTGTCGTGCACAACATCACCTGTCTGGTTCCCACGGGATCCCTTGTTCTACCAGGTGACTTCACGACTCAGGTTATGTGCATGTTGGGGTGGTTTGTTAGGTTACGACTAGGTTATCCAAATCTTGCCAGAAAGGGGGCCGTGGTGGTGGCGATGATCCGCGCGACACGATCGTCATCGCTGCAGAGCAAACGGACAGGGCCGTGTGGGCCAACAGAAGTGTAATCTGGGACAACAGCGGACACAGGGGTAAGGCACCACAACGGCGACCGCGACAGCGACAGCCAGAGCAGCAGCAGCAGCGGTGGGCATGGATGTTCGACTGCGCATCTTCCGTATGTCCGGCCAATGGCAGTTTGAGCGCGGCGATGAGGCTCACTCGTTGCTTTGTGGACGATTGCTCGTCAGCGAGCCGTCTGCGAGCGTCCATGCGACGCAGCAGCGTCGTGTGGGCAGCACAGAGGAAGCGCACGGCGGTGACTCTGGCAGCACACAGGCAGCACACAGGCCAGCGACCCCGGCCAGAGTCACTGCCGTGCCTAATGCTCGCTCGTCCACGTCGTCACCGCTGCCAACCCTCGCCCGCTCGCAGCTAAGAGCTGGCTCGCAACCGCCAGACGCTGCTGGCCTGCTGTGGTTGGATGGAGCATCCGGGCGTGGATCGCTGATCAAGGGGCACTCCGGTGTCTCCGGTCTCCAGCGAGCAAATAACAGCTCGCGAGCCAAATAGACCCCGTTGAATGACGTAATCCGGAACGACGGCTGGCGATTTAAGTTTGGCGTTACGCTTCGGTTGCACGAAGGTTCGAAACGAGCCCAGGGGCCAGTGCCAGGAGGACGCTGGCAGCCAATGCACAGGACCTTGGGTGGGGCGGGGAAGGAGGGAAGAAGCAGCAACGCGCCGCCGCAGCGCCAGGCAGGCAGCTGGGATGGATGGGGAGACCCTCCTCGACAGGCCCGTTGCTGCTATTCGTCATCTGGGCGTGCATCTTGTGTTTTCTGCATGCTGAACCACCTCTGGCGTCACGCTCGCTTGCGGATTCGCTGTTTCGCAACATCCCTTTTTCCCTCGTGGTGGCTGGCCCCTGCTGGAGTGTTGTGAGCGGAGTTCCTCCCGAAATGCAAAATTAACTCTTCAGCTAGCCGACGTCCCTGACGCGAGCCGATGCCTGTTGCGTGTCGCTCACCAATGGCAGGCGCCCGAATTAAAGTTTGCTCGCTGATTCAACGAGCACTCAGGGGTGGAAAGAATCTGGATTTCGTCTGCGACGGCGTAACGAGAACACCACCGATGCTCGATTCGATAAAAAATCAGCTGCAGGTCCATTCGTGTCTTCGCCGTAAATCAATTTCGCTCCGCGTTTTCCCCGGCCCACTTGCTCGTCCTTCTACGGTTTCTGCTGCCAGCGCCGCGCTGCCCACCTCTGCGGCCTCTGCTGCCTTCCCTGGCCCTGGCGTCGCTTCCGCCAGCCCGGGCGCTCGCTAGCGCAGGCGTCTGCTTCTCCACTATTCTGTCGCCTTTTGCGACCGACTCCCTTTCCTGCATTGGCATGCCGCTCGCTTAATCCATCGCGTGGCCCGTACGCGTGCTATGACGCCATTTCGAGATAGTCGTTGGGAGTAGTTCGCGCGCGCAAAATACTCCGATTGCATGTTCCTGCACCCGCGATAAAGACTGTCCACGCTACGTCATACAAAATTCCTGACGTAGGGCCTGTCCGCATATAAAGCGAGCCGCTCGCCGCTCTGCGGTATTGGCAGCATACGATTCCAGGCGAGCGACAAGGTTGCGCTTGTACGGAACATTTTTTTTACCTCTAACGACCCTCACATCACACTCTCCTCCTGTCTCCTGCGCGTTCGCCTTTTCCCGCTCGAATTGCACGGGCCTTTCGTTTCTGCGCATTCCTATATTTATTTTTGCAAGTCCCTAGGATTCCACGAAGACTCCTGTGAGCTCTTCCCAGTTTTCTTTGTTCTTTTTGGGGGTTCCATTCCTTTTTGTGAACTCATTCGCGGCCGCCGTGCTCCTTCTCTTCACTCTGGTCCGCTTGCTTCCTCGGCTGTACCTCGGCTCTTCCTGCTGTCCCTTGTTACCCCTGTTGGACAGTCACCACCACAAACACCACTCCCTCCCCTGTAACGTTTCCATTCTACACCCCCACTTTTGACATGCAGCCCGCCTCGAGGCCTCCTACGCGGATCCCCTCAGGGAAAGGCCCGTTCATGGGACCGCCACCGCCTCCCCCGATGCTGCTGCCCACGCTGCAGCCCGACAACTCGTCGGTGCAGAACCACGGCATGCAGATGCAGCTGCCGCCGAGCTCGACGCTCTCGGGCCAGCTGCCCTCGCACCAGCTGTTCGGCCCTGCGTCTGCGTCGTCGACGGTCGGCAACGGCCTTCCCTCGCTGTCGTTCGACAACTCGGCCTCCTGCCTGTCGTTGGCGAACTCGCAGGTCGCGCCCGGCGTCTACTCGATGCCCATGTCGTCGAACGGTCTTTCGTCGCACAACTCGTGTGCGTCCCTCCCGTCGCTTTCCGGCTTCCCAAGCCAGCAGCAGCAACAACAACAACAGCAGCAGCAGCAGCAGCAAACTCGAAAGCTGGTGCCGTCTAGCCCGAACAATGGCTCCCTGTTCGATGCCGGACTTTCTGCATCCAAATACCAGCAGCCCAACGGCAATGCTTCCAGCACAACTTCTCTTTCCTGTCTCGGCAACGGCCTCTTGCCCATGCCCATGTCTTCTCAGCAGCAGCAGCAGCAACAGTCCTGCCCTCCAAAGGCGTCTTCCGGCTACGCAGCGTCTGCTGCCGCTGCCTTTTACCCTTCGATGATTTCCCCGCACACGCCGGAGTCTGCAGAAGATTCTGCAGCCACTGAAAATGCGGTGCAGGCGACCAACTCGTCGGCGCCCGTCATGCCTCCGTCCAGCATGAACGACGCGTCGAACGGGGTCTCGTCCATGCTGCCGCCCACACCGCAGTCGCTGTCCAACACGCCGTCTTCGTACGCGCAGCCCTCGTCCAACGTGTCGGTCTCTGCCGGCCTGCCCGAGTGGTATGCGCCGTCGTTTGTGACGCAGGCGGGTGTGTTGCCTTCGTTGCCGGCAAATGTCTCCTTCTACAAACCATCTCAGCATTTTGTCAGCTCCAATCTTGCTCAAAACGGAATGGCCTCCGCTGCTCCATCGCCCTCCAATGCGGATCCCTCCGGTGTTGCGAGCCACACGCTGCAGCCCTCTGCGTTCCCCAACTCGGTGGAGACGGGCGGCGACAACACGGTTCCTTCCTCGGCGAACATGTCGCCCTACATGTACATGCCCAACAACCAGGGCGGCAGCAATGGCTCAGATGTGGACGGGTACGCCAGCAAGCAGACGCCACAGACGCCCAAGCGGCGGCGGACGTCGACCGCTTACGCCAAAACGAAGCATCTCCGTTCGCCCGGCGGTACCACGTTTGTGTGTCGTCAATGCGAGAAAAAGTTCAAGCGGTCTGAGCATCTCAACCGACACATCCGCTCCTTGCACTCGGACGAGCGTCCGTACGCGTGCTTCTGCGGTAAGCGTTTCTCTCGTCGAGACAACTTGCACCAGCACGAGCGGGTCCACATGGTGCCCGCTCGTCGGCCCCTCAAGTTCGGTCTTGCTTCGCGGATGATGAAGAACGAGGCGGTCGCGGCAGCAGCTGCTGTTGCCGCTGCCAACCAACAGTGTCTTTCGCTGCCTCCTCCGCAGCAACAGATGCAGTCGCCCCAGGCTCCCAACCTTGGGATGCCCCCGACGCTTCCAAACGGCTTACCACGACACTGTACGCACACGTCGGAAGGCCATTGATGCCCATGTATGCATTGGCGCCGCCGCTTCCCCAGGCGGACAACTCGGGCGCTGCTATTCCTCTTTCAATCCTATGCTCAATACCCTTCCGAACGCTAATACTTCCTACCTTCCTATGATGAACCACCACCCTGGACCGTGATTGGAACGCATGCACACTCGCTCACGTTTTCACCCATTCATTACACAACATGCTCATCCTCTTCCTTCCTGCACTTGCTCTCGCTGCAAATGTCTCCCATTCAGCCGTCCTGTCAGCCTCCCTCGCGGGGGCTCTCGTCCCGACTCGTACCTTGGTTAGTCATGATTGTGTCTTTTTGATTCCTCTCCCTCGTGTCCGAACACCTTTTACGGCGGTGCGGTGGTCCCCGTCCTCTAGACGGTAATGTGTATTGTTTTCTTCACCGTCCTCGTACCCATTTCCACTTTTGTCCCTTTGTTTTCTCCCCTTTCATTAGCTCTCGTCTTCTCGTTGTTTCCTGCCCGGGTGTGCTTGTTTTTTCCTTTTCACTTTTACGCAATGATTATTCACCCACTTTTTCCTTCCCGGGCTACCTTCGCTTTCTTTTGCTTGGATTCCCTGCTCTTCTTTGTGCATCCAGTAAATACCCCTCTCACTGCTGTTTATACGCTAACAGGATGTTTGTTTTGCATTTGTTGTTCTACGTATGTGTTTTCATCTTAATTGTTAGTGCGACGCTCAATGATGCTTTTTAATTCTTCGTTTCTTTCTCCTCTATCTTGGCTGTGTGTTTACATGAAGGGACGTCTGTATCGAGATGTATGTAAATTTAATGTGTGATGAATTATGTTTTCTGAAATTGGCTACGGCGCGGCGACAAATCTGGGGGGGAGGGCTTCAGGAGGGAAGCAGGGTTGATGGGGGGATTTTGGGGGATTGCCTTGGGGTCTTTTCTCTCTATATGGGGTCTGTCTTAGGTAGGGGTTCTCTCCTGAAGGAGCCCTTTTTTGCTGACCATTGTACTAGGGCATGAACGTGTAGTGTCTCACATGTACGCCATGCTTAACGAGAGAGTACATACGTTTGTTGCATGTCAACAAACCGCTTCTCGGTTATGTAGAGGTTCGTTCGGGGTTTCTTCGAAACTCACTTACTTTGGTAAGGGTCCGTTTTGGCATGAAAAAAGTAAATAATGGTCTTCCAATTGTGCCACTACAACGGACCGTTATTTTTTGTAGCATTATGAAACTCGTTTAGAGATAGAGAAACAGAAATGAATTCATTAACCAAAAACACAAACATAAAATATCATGTCTATAATAATCGTAAACAACCTGTATGAAGAAGCGAACGGAAACGTTTCAAGAGCCTAACGAAGAAAGGGCGGTTTTTGCAGCTGATATAGTTGTAGAAAAACAGAAATGGCATATATCTCCAGGCCACCAAAACGGACTCACGGTTTCGTGACATAGCGAACAGCTGTGTGATGGCACAGTCTTATCTTCAACTTGTACGTTTTGTTTTGAGCATGCGGCACTATCGAACATAATACGATAAGGCATCCGTTGAGTGCAGGAAGATATGAACTCTTGCCAAACGACACGTTTCGTAAGCGTGAAAATATCACCTCGTCGAAACAACGAACGAGGTGGTTCGTCTAGTGGGCAGTAGACAACTGGACGGAATACAAAAGGTTTCGTAGCCGCACTCTCAGTTCCATAGTCAACAAGGCCATTAAATGATTTCAATTGAGCCTCTGCCGCGGTAATATGCCGCTTCATCCGCCGTTCCGCCTCGAAGACGAGGTGCCAGTTATTCTTCAAGGCACATGAAGAATGCACGCGTGCACCACATGTGCAGCACGGGATAGTAACCCCAGCAGTGGAATAGCAAATGCTACAACGGCCTTCGTACAGTTCCGGCGGGAGACTCCCGATACCCCAGATGGGTTCATTCAAATAGGTAGACAGGGCCACGCCGGGAGTCCACGTTGCACATACAACATGGACCCAATTCATTTCGAACGTGTCTTTTAGCATGAGATCTGCAAAAGGACGATGACAGAGAATGCATTGACGCTGATGTTTGGTAATGGTAAGAGTTGATGTAAACGAACACGATGCACATAACCAGTTCTCATGCACCCCCTTCTCCACATCGTTTTGTTTTTGGTGCCTTGCTTTTTGTAAGATGCTTTGACTTCTAGTGCTCCGGTTCCGGACTCCATTGGCCTCTGGTTGGGCTGTCGAACTGGCGATGCCGTCTTTCTTGAAATAGCATTCCTCGTGGACAAATAAGCCGCATTTCGAGCATCTAAGCATTCCTTCTAAAGAAGACAGACCGCAAAAATTGCAACATGCTACTAGAGAAGCATTGGTGACAGCACGGTTAGCTTGAGTCGGAGCGACAACCTTTGGGTGTGCTAATTGATGCTTCGGTTCAAGAACGACATCATTCTGGTTGGGTTTTAAAGAGTGTACTGGAGAATGCGAGTCATGATGTGTTTTTGCTAGACTTTCGTCGTTTTGAACAGACCACGACAGCCTTCGGGTAACATCAACCTCAAAAATGCTCTTATGCTGAACGAGAGCCTGCTGATCTGGATGAGAACTTGTCGCATATACTCGCCATATGCTGCCACAAACGTTGCAAAGGGTAGAAGGCACGGTCTTGGCGTCCAGCTTTGCATTTGATTTAGACGGTTCGACGAACCATTGATCGCTTCTTTTGGTACCGCACCAGCGGCACGTAATTGGCTTTCCTATTTTCTGAAGTTTAGCACAATCAAGTCGACCCGGATCACCGACTTCAGAAAAACCTATTACTTCTGGAAGATCCGCACATGGTAATTTTCGAAGAGCATTAGCGCCACTGGTACTGGCTTTCCACTTCAAGAAACACAATATCACATCTTTAATGCCTATGTGTTTTTCTAACTGTTCTGCCGCCTTGGCTAAGGAAAATCCAGTAGTTGCGAATAGAGAGAACAATTTCTCCTGCGACTCGGCATCGCAGCTGTCAGAAGGTTTACCGTTTTCAAGCCAATCCTTTAATAATTTCAGCGCTGGTTCATTTTCGAAATTGCTGCAAAAGAAGGCCTCCATTGCAATATTAACAGTAAATGTAAGAGGAATGTACAATTTTTTCTCTTCGAATGTAGCAAACACCTCAACTAGATACTCCTCAAAGTGCTGCTCATCAACAGAAGTTGGTAAATACACCATACACGCAGGGCAGGAATCGTTGTTTAGTAGAAGAATTAACCCTTTGAAAACAGCATTTTCCAAACTCGGCCATTGTTGAAGAAGCCAAGAAAAATGGCGTTCTTGTATTTTATTTGAACGTTCCTGTTGTGACGTTTCCTCGTCAGTAGTAGTTAAGGCTTTAATTGATGTTCCGGGAATGTGCGTAAGCTTAGGCTTTGCAAGTGCAGGAAACCGATCTTCCGACGGAGATTCAGAGGATGCTTTCCTAATATTAACGAAACGGATATTCCAGGGTAATCGAGCCCATTTTGATGGTTCGCCAATTGTAAGTTTAACATCCACTTCTTTCTCCTCTAGCTTCATTGGCACATCAGTAGGAGTGGGAGATGGGGAGGCAGTTCCGCTTGTCTTGATGGAGAGAGTAATTTTTCCATTCTTGTTTCGAATAATTTTGGCCGTAGGCTTTGCTGTCCTTCGTTGAGTGCCGTAGGAGCAAGCGGCACATGCCCAGGCAAAACCGTGAGGCGGTTGTTTTGTTAATGGAGGCACTAAACAGTGCATGTGAAAAGTACTCTTACAAATGGAACAGCATACAGAAGTGTCGGGAGCGCACCATTGCGCGCAAGTTTTACAGTATGTTGGAGCCTGGAATAAGAACCGAGATTTACCATATTCACAGACTAGGTAATCATATTTTGACATGAAAAGACTGAGCGCATTATAAGGAAGGTTTTTTGCTTGACTGGTAGGAACCAGGTCAAATATTCGACTGATGTTTTGGTCAAACAAACGTTCGTAATAAAAGTGTAGCGGCAGTTTCCGGTATTCATCTAAATTTTCAATACAGCTTCGATGAGTTACGATGCACTTCCCTTTGATGTAAGCCACATTGTAAAGGTCGCTGTGCATACTAGCAAAAAGCAACCGGTTGTCGCTACTATTCCGTTGTATATCTCGAGGACGAAAATACCAATTGAGCCTTACCATGTCGAATATTGCGCTTTCAGTAAATATATCAGACTTCTCGAATGAGATAACTCTTGCTATTTGAAGGGGCTCGCCAAGAATGTAAGGAGAGATGAAAACAAAATCATTAGGTTGAATTATTTCGCCATTAGGCAAGATACAATAGGCAATGTTGTTTCTAGGTAATTCTTTTACGTCCACGATGCCATACTCTGTCATTAGCCCTGGTTCATCGCTTCGAGGGACGAAAAATTTTGAATTCCTGATAATGTGGCCATTGTGCTTTTCTGAGTCTGGTAAAGCAGAAGCTGTGTCTATTGACTTTCTTTTCTTGCTATCTTCAATCATAAACAGAGGTGTTTCAGTCTGTCTTACGTCTGAAAGGTTCTCGTCCTCATTGCTGACCATAGTGGTTTCAGCTAAGTGCTTCATATTGGGACGCAGACCTTAGTGTTCACAGTGCCACCGATTCATTTAGCAGTATCTGCCAGTTAAAGGCACATTCTTTTGATGCATTCTTTCTTTAAATCTGTAGCAAGCAGAGTTGATTCGTTACTAACAGGATTGTCCACTAAGTCAACGGTTTCGTTACAACATGAACAATACACTGTACAACAGGTGCTGGGTGAAGGGTTCGTTCCGGAAAAACACAATATAGATATCTATTGCTTCTTAAGTATCTAACGATCAGTGGTTTCTCTTATGTCTATTTAGTTAAACATGCAAAAGATGGAAAACTGTTTGCTCTTAAAAAAGTCAAGTGCTCCTTCGGAAAGGAGAGTCTTAAGAAAGCTATGAGGGAAGTTGAAGCTTACAGTCGCTTCTCTAACAAAAACCTCATGCAGCTTATTACTTATGAATTGAATGAAAATGAGGGCCACAAAGCAGTTTTTATGTTGCTGCCCCATTACGCAAGGGGTAGTTTACAGGAAATGATTGACACTTGCAGAACTAGAAACTCTCAGATTCCTGAATCGCGAATTGTTCTGTGGTGCCGCGGAATTTTGAATGGTCTTCAGGCCCTTCACAATGGCTATTCCGGAAAGCGGTTTATGCATATGGATTTGAAACCAGGTAAGCATTGTTTCTTAAAAGAATGTACGGCTTATAATTCAAAGGTAACATGCTGTTATGTGACAACATGCACGACGTTGTTTTAGGTGATTTTGGCAGTTTATCCGAATCTCCTCGTTTATTGCAAACACACCCTCAAGTTTTGGCTTTTCAAGACGAGGTTGAAGAGAATTGCACTATGGCTTTTCGAGCGCCAGAACTGTTCAACATTCATCGAGATATGACCATAACTGAGAAAATAGATATATGGGTATGCTGGAAGACGATCAGCTTCGATTCGAGAATCACTTTCTAATTACTTAGAGCTTTGGGTGTGTACTGTACTCGCTTATGTACTTAATCGGACCCTTTGAAAGATACCAAATGGAGCAAGGTGGTTCGCTTGCTTTAGCTATTAGTAAAGGGTCCTACAATATTCCTGAAACACCCGAGTATGACCAGAAACTGCACAATGTGCTCAATGTTTGTCTCACGAAAAATGTTGAAAGTCGCCCCTCCGTTCCCGAACTACTCCCTTTTTTTGATTAAATGCGTTTGTGTCGATAATATTCTCTTGTCTAATACCCTGAGCGAAAACAACCATGGCCATCAGAAAATAAAATTGGAAGCATCTCATCATTCGAGCGTGTTATACACCTCGTAAGAACAAGGATGATCCAAGTTTTCATCATTGGCTTGACATGTATTGCTCTTCACCTCTTCTCTTCTGTGCCTATTTTCGAATTCGCGCTGCTCTTAATGTACTCGCCGTTCGTTTCATTTATATACTGACTTTAATAACTGAGTTGAATGGATTCCATTAGGGACGTAAGGCAGCGTCGTTTCCTTGTTAAACATTTAAGTGTGATTGAGTTCCTTATTTATCACTTCAACAAAAGCTGCGAATATGGTTCAGATTTATCGTTTGCGATAACCGTTCCCGTTGCTGCTTCAATGAAACCGCTTAATCAGTATATCTATAATGTTTTAATACTCCAGATAAAAACAATAATGTAGGAACGAGTGGAATGAACGTAGTAACCATTTGTCACTTGTGTCTCCAAAGCATATACTATAATATGACTGCTAGAAGAAAGCTACGAGTCAACCCCACTTAAACAGGTGTAAACCATTGCCATACCGGGTTACTAGTAAGGAGAAAAATGATTATTCTCTTTACGCAAGTATTATCTGCCGTTTGGTTAAGTTATGGGGAAGGTTTGTGTAAATGTCAGGATAACCACCATGGACCGAGTTGCTCACTGCTGGCATTTTATGTCAAGAAGTATACGTTTCCCCTATAAGTCAATTCTTATTCGTTCATAATTGTTATTCATCTGTGATATTCTGTTCAATTTAGCCGTAATCTATTACATAGTGTCGTTCCTTATAAGCGATCATACACTTCAATTTTCATATACACAAAAGAATCCTTGCACGAGACAAATGTGCAGTTCGTTTTATTTTTGCTTTACAAAAACAAGTGGACTATTATAAGGGACTAAGACCCCGGGAATCTCCTTGATATCACGTATAACAGTTTAGTTTTTAGCTGGAACAAAATCTCGTATTACTTCCCTCAATACAGTTCAGAAAACAAACACAAGGCGCGGCCGTTATTTATAAAATAGAGAGAACGCTGTTTTGCTGTTCTTTCACTTCATGGAGATTTATCCTCAAAATCTTTCACAAAATTATAATTACCAAATAGGATGGAGTGCTTCTCATTCTTACGGAATGGATCTGTATTTCGCGGTAAACAAATGTCTGAACGGGCCGAGTATAACGTTCATGTTACAATTCTTCATGTAAATCTACGAGAGTCAATGCTATGTGGTTATTTTCATATCGATGATGACGACGAACACAATCTTCCCCTTCTGACGACCTACTTTGAGGCTGAAATAATTGGAGAGAAGTTTTCATTTCTTACTAAATGGCCTGAATGGGGGGCAAATGAGTCTATTGATTTCCGTCATTGGAAAAAATTGGGCGGTTTAGATGACTCAATAAAAAATGAATCTCAAATGAAGAACTATGTCAGACGTGAGCCGTACAAGCACGATTTAATATTTATGCGGTGGAAGGAATTGGCGTTATTTGATCGTCCGGCTCCGGGATCTAGACTTTCGCACGCTCCAAAAGCTGTCAGTTATGAAGGTTTTTATTACATAGCTTTCAGGCAGAGCACTGGAGAGATTACCGGCTACTACTACCACAACAAGTCTAATCGTTACGAGTACCTAGAGTTTAAGCCAGTGATTAACAAAACATTCCCTCTTTATGAATTCAATTAGTCCAATTTCACCCTCCGCTTAAACGTCATTACATCGGTTACAAAACAAAAATAAGATACTTTTGCTCATATAATTATGGACACCAGCCTAATAGACTTGATTACATTTGTTACATTTTACTACTAAGTTACCTACTTGAGTTTACGATTTTGCTTGCAACGCACTGGTGTAAACTAACATAATTTTAACTCTTAATAAGACGCGTCTGACATGACTATAGGTATAATGAACACCTACCAATGGTTTGTCACCGTTAGAATGGAAAAACATAACGATCCGGTATAAAAATATTCCACGCAACAAAAGTTGAACAAATGGAATAAAACTTTTCAGAGAAATGCTGGGTACCCGCACCTTCATCCTCCCTTTCATTTGGCGCAGCCAGGTGGGTCACATTAACAACCTTTAGACATCGTTCATCCACCACCACCACCTGCCTTCGCCAAAAGCAGCTTTTGTTATATTGAGGTGGACAGAGTCAAATAACTCACAATAGCTAGCACAAACGACGGAACTCGTTATAAGAAAAAAGCTCTTTGATTGATTGGCGCCTAGAACTACGCGCTCTTAATTCTCAATTGCTTTTCAAAACCAATTCTTATTTCATAAGAGGAATATGCTGAGTAGCTATGATGGTCTTCACAGCAGAGATAATGAACAACAATTGAGATATTTGACTGAGAGTCGTGAGCACAGCTCCTCATCCTCACAGAGTTTAGTGGACGAACGTAAAATGAAGTCTTCGACTGATTTGGAATCTCTTAATCAAGTGGCTTCCCAACGTCCAGCACAACGTCCCATAAGTCTTACAAGGAATCACAGTGGTGCTTATGCTCCTGTTCGTCATCCTCACAATCATGGTTTACCATCGAATCCTGCTTGCTACAAAACAATTCCGTCTTCTGCAACTCCAACGCCATCGAACTCTCTTCCGACAAATTCATCTTCACGTTCTAGAAGTAATTCTATTCGGAAGCCTTGGTACAATCGTGACCCTGCACTGATTTATCAGATGCAGGAAAAACATTATGTCGATCGTTTACATAAAGACGCTGAAAACAGCTACTACGACACGAACGTCGTCCCATATTCAGAAGAAGACAGTGACGCCGACTCTGAAACAATAAGTTTAACACAACCGCGCTTTAATTTTGATCAATTCATTGACGTTCCGAGTTTGCCCTTTGATGAGCAATCCCTCGCAAATCCGACTTACAGAGAGCGACTAGAATGGCATTGTATGCTCAGTTCTGTTCTTAAGGGTGAAGTTATGCAGTCGGAGAAGAAACGAATCAGTGGAATTTCTAATTCTGCGGAACGGGAGAACCCAACGGCTGATCTCTGGCTCGGTTTACAAGCGTGGTTGCATGGCCGGTTGACAGCTGACCAAGCTATCATAATTCAGGAAGCCCGGTGTGAAGTTGATGCCGTGCTAAAGGACGTTATTAATTTTGAAGTTAAGCAAGGCGAAGGACATCCGACTGCTTACAATCAAGTAAAGTCATTGCTAGATCGCCTTGATAAGTGTGAAGGTCTTTATACCTCGTCTGAAACAATGGTGCAGGACAAGCCTATGTACGGCTCTCCCACATTCACGTATCACGCCGAAGCACTCCTCTCTTGGTACAATATGGTTAATAGTGTGGCTGTCGAAACTGAGATTCTTAAAAAATGGATTGGAAATGACTCGTTTGATATTACATTGCGGACTGTACAAGACAACGTCGCAGGTATTCAAACAAGCTCTTCCTTTATTGAACGCATATTAAAGGAAAGCAGTTTACAAAAGACGTTTGAACAACGTTCACTTGTGTCGCTTAACCGGACGATTCATCGTTCTAAGAATACTATAGCCACTAATGCAGATGCGTTTGCTAAAATGCACTTGCCTTCCTTTGAAGACAAAGTATTGGTTCTTATTAATTTTCCTACAAGACTAATTGAAGAAGTTCTTCGTATGCGACTTGCATACACGAAACGTTTAAAAGACCCAACGATGCTTATTGTCGATTCAATGCTGGATGACTTTAAAATAGCTATTGCTGTTGCGGTCCGTGTTAAACGAGAATATCAGGCAATTGCAAGTCCTTTACCTGGATGGTCCTTACCCCCTATGGTCGGCGAGACTTACGACGCTACTCTACTTGATTCACTGAAGTTCTACTTTAAGTTGTTAAACTGGAAACTTGGAAGTGGAAACAAAGCTATTTGCTTTAAAGAAACCGAGATTTTAGAAACGGAATGGGCGTTTCTGGAACAGCATGCTCGTTATATTGAAAACGGTAACATTCAAATGGCCGAGCAATTTAGTCTCTTGGCTAATAGGCTGCTACTTAATATTCAACGCTATGTCAAAATTCAATGCAGAGGCCCGGAAAAGAAGACGGAATCGACTCTTAACAGATGGTATTCACTGTTGCTGGACAACACACGCCTTCGATTTAGACGAATCTTGCGATTTTCTCGTATTATTAACTCGAAATTTGAAAATGCCGCCGAGTATTACATCGACGAAGGCAATGTACACTATTTTGTCAACAATTTGGTCACTAGAGGTTATTTTTTAGCATACACTGCTAACTTGGAGCATGACGGCATCTATATCATCGGTGATCCATCCTTGTATGATAATCCCGAAGGTGTGAAAACACTCTTGCTAGAGTTTGCATCTCAGGAGATTGAACATCTTGCAGTCAATAACTCTTTTGTTCTTATATTTTCCCCTAAAAACTCTATGGTTTGGAACGGAAGAGTTGCTGATGTTGACATTCCTGATTTTGAAATTGATATTCAACCAGGCCACGTTCGGCTAGTATCTACAAACCAGCCAGGACATCTTGAAAATGCTAAAAGTACCTTTGAATCACTAAATAACGGTATCGTGAAGACCACTATTGAATACCGCTCTAGCTTGCCTCGAGTATACAAGGAGTTTTTAAGACTCAGTAAACTGTGCATGAAGTTATCAATGACAATTATGGACAGTGTTGCTACTATACGCAAGGCCTGTGAGGGTTACGATTGCCATCATTTGATTTATTATGCCTTTACAGCGGCTGCTGAATTCGGGCAAAGGGTTCTTCGGTTTTTGTGTATTGACCCGGCAAGGAAAGTAGAATTTCAACAAATGCTGGTCAAACTATCCGTTGACTGGATATCGTTCATTTGCGACGAGTGTGATCCAACAGATCGGAAAACGTTTAAATGGGCTGTTACTTCTCTGGAATTTGCCATGATTATGACTCATGGTACGAATGTCTTAGCAGTTGACGATGATATATTTGCAAAGTTGCGAGAAAAGGTAGGCAAGGCCATGGCATTATTGCTTTCACATTTTGATGTGTTAGGTCTTCGTACAAAGATTGCTGCAGAAGCAGAACAAGAACGCACAGAAGCAGCTTCTCGTATGATCAAGCGGCCGCTTGTGGATTTGAAGAATCTGTTACAAGAGGATGAAACGACAAAGCTTTTGCACGAGGAGATGCTTAGCCATCTACAGGAGCTTGAAGAATGCCGTTTAGCGAAGCAAACTCAACGACAGTTCATTGGAAGAGTTCTGGATGACTCTGTCACAGCCAGTAAGGAGTTCCTTCAATTGGCTTCTTCCCTTTCCAACATTACGATGCGTTGGCAGCAAGGCCGTTTTGTTCGAAATGGTACGTTTGGCAGTGTTTATGCTGGTGTCAATCTCGACACTGGCGACTTAATGGCTGTAAAGGAAATAAGACTGCAAGATCCTCACTCTGCATCAACGTTGGTCAAACAAATTCAAAGTGAAATGAGTGTTCTGGAAATTCTTGATCACCCGAATATTGTTACTTACTATGGTATCGAAGTTCATCGTGACAAGGTTTATATTTTTATGGAACTTTGCCAAGGTGGTTCCCTTGCGGATTTGCTTTCGCATGGTCGTATAGAGGACGAAACAGTGCTACGTGTTTATGTCTTACAACTTTTGGAAGGCTTGGCATATCTGCATGGCCGGAGGATTGTTCACAGAGACATTAAGCCAGACAATATTTTGTTGGATCACAATGGTATTATCAAATACAGTGACTTTGGTACCGCGAAAGTCGTTGGTCAAGGCGAAAGCGCTAGTCGTGACACAAGTCAGGATGATCGCACAACCCTTAACAGTCTAGTCGGTACTCCCATGTACATGTCCCCAGAAATAATTCTTGGCACTGAGAGTGGCAGACTTGGTGCAATGGATATTTGGGGATTAGGTTGCGTCGTTCTAGAGATGGTAACCGGCATGCGACCTTGGGTAAACATGGATAACGAATGGGCAATTATGTACCATGTTGCTGCTATGCATAAACCCACGATGCCCTCACCCGAATTACTCTCCGATGCTGGCCGTAACTTCCTTGAGCGGTGTTTTGAGCGAGATGCTTTTAAACGTGCAACTGCTGCTGAGCTCCTTCTTGACCCATGGAATTCTGTCTATCAGACAGAAGCTGGTATCGATCCTACGACACCAACGAGTGAGTCGTTCATGGAACTTAACGGCAGCAGTTAAATCACAGTTCAGAGCTGGCATTCTTTCCCTCTGCTATCGCTGCTCTCCCTTTAAACCCCTTCCTCTTCATAATTCTAATCTTCCTTTCGACCGATGCTCTAAAGTCAACACTACCTAATTTAGTATATTCAACATTAACATGTCAATTTCTATTTTTCTGCAAACGACACGAACCTCATCCGTAGCAAAAGAGTACAACACACTTAATCAAAGCTGCTGCCAAACAGTCAACCACACTACACGACACACACTTAGGATTTTGTCCAAGAGAACTCATTTATTAAAGCCCTTCCAGTACACCAAAAGCAACTCTACGAAATGACACAACCCTTGAAATGCTTTGCTCACGAATTGTACACTTTTTAAGCATCCAAGATGTCAGAGTCACCAGCATCAGTGATGGCAAGGACACCAACACGGAAAAGCTTACCGCAAGCGGTACCAAGATCAATGCTATTTTCGTTAGTAATGATATTTCTTTACGACAAGTGCCTCCAGTCGCTCCATATCGATGCAGAACTTCAGAATACTTACTTCGAGCCAGCGTAGTGGTGAACGTTAGTCTTAGAGAGCATAGCATAGTACTCAAGCTCGGACTTGCGAAGAGGGGGGCAGTTGCCAGCAATAATGATAAGCTTGGCCTTGCCGGAACGAAGAGTCTTCAAGGTAGACTTGTAACCAAGTTGGTACTTGCCACTCTTCATGGTGAGGGCAAGCTTGGAGTTGAGGGTTTCACCACTCTTCTTAGACTTCTTCGAGACCACAGATGCCATTTTCCCTTTTCGTGTGCTGGTACAGGAAGGAACGAAGACAGATGTATAATTCGTTAAGATGTTATGTGACTGCTCTGTCGATTTTACCCTAACCTACAATACAAGTCACAACCACCACCAAATGACGTGTACTAAATGAAAACACGAACGCGTGAACTTGACATTGAAAGTTTGTGCTTGTAATTGCATTTTTTTTAAGGCTCAAATATTTTATCGTGTATGTTATGTGCTTATTAGTAACCTGTTAGGTATACAATTTTCTGTTTGTGTGTTGAGAAATAAGTCTTATGGCTTTTTGTGAATACTAATTTGGGAAAGAGCAGTTACCTAGAAGATAATTGTACAAAAATTCATTCTGTTGACACCACAAGTATGGATCTCTATATTTAGAATTACAATTAAATAAATATGACTCTAATGTGAATGGTTACTTTAGACAGTCTGAAGCATGTTGGATCCTGGAATGTTTCGTTATCTTAAACAGCATCGATTTCATGTTGGACGACCTTATAAATTGTCTCTGGGGATTAAATACAGAGGTCAAAGTTTTCGAGTTTCTCAAATCCGTTTACAGTCAACGGCACCTACCAATTTAGTGCATAGCAACTTGGCTGCAGATATTATTGCCTCAAATAGTACTGGCATATCACATTCTTACTGGCCATATGCTTTCATTCAGAATGCCGTAAATGGCATCCACTGTATCTCGGGAGCTCCTTGGTGGGCTTCAATCATTCTTACTACAATTGGTATTCGCTCTTTAATGCTTCCACTTACACTACGGTCTATGAAGAATGCTAGAGCATTATCACATATTCAGCCCCGAGTGAAAAAGTATGTGGATGCAATGAAAGCAGCAAAACTGGAGAACGACACGTACGCTGTCACTCAGAATGCTTATGCGATTCAAAAAATATACCGATCTAACAATATAAATCCCTTAACGGTAGCAATTTCTCCAATAATACAGGCAACAGTGTTTATTAGCTTTTTTTACGGACTTCGAAAAATGTCACAGGCCTCTATTGCAGGATTCAATAGTGGCGGTCTATTATGGTTCAGAGACTTGACAACCTATGATCCATACTATATTCTGCCCACGCTTAATGGCTTGCTTGTATTTCTTTCCTTTCGTGAAAACGCAAGATTCGGTACTTCATCAGCTGCGTCTTCTGTACACATGCAAACGTTTATGCAACTATTCTGTTTACTAACGCCATTTATAACGTGTCATGTTCCATCCGTACGTTGTGCTAAATCATATCCGTTTTCTATTTACTAACTCAGGAATCCTATATGGGATTCTTCAAAGTCTGTCTTTTTGTATTGGATACCTAGCACTATGTTTACCGCAATCCAAGCACTTGTTACTCGCAGACTCGATCGAGCAAAGCTTTCAAATACCAAAGATCCTGTCATTCGACAAGGTAGTTTTCCTCAGCAAGTCAAGGAAATGCTGAAAGCTATCAAGGACAATTTCCACCAAAGCTATTCAAAGTACCAGCAATTGAGTTATACACGCTCCTTGAGGGACAAAAGTGCCGTTAATTTATTGAGAAACACCGCAAATCAGCACAAAAATAAAAGGAAAAAGCATTCATAACTTAAGCATTATTGAATTTACGAATATTAACTTTGATTGTCACACAACACTTGCAAATGCAATTTATTATCTACACTTAGATACCTCAAAATCATCTTTGCTGACATTTTTTATTTTTTTATTTTTTATTATTTGGAAGGCCGAACATTATACAGAACTATGAAAGAATGAAAAGGTCTGTAAAGGCATCACTCATTATGATTATTAGTAAACCATTTCTCATTTTTGAGGCACATTTCTTTCGTAGGTGAAGTCTTACTAACTACCTCATACCCACATTGAACAGCTCCTCGAATCAAAGGTTATACAATCACACATTAGCTTTGCCATTTTCAACAAACATATCATGTCTTATTCACACGTTACTACCTGGGCACCCGCTCCACGAACTGTCCGTGGAGGAACGAGCCGCATCACTTATCATCCTAAAGAGAACAAAATTGCATATGCAGTAAGTAATAGAATTGCATCTAATTGAGGCTATATATTAACAGAGTGGATAAGAACAACAGATCTATTATTCTTAGAGACGTAGCACATCCTGACCAATGCTTTCAGTATGTAGGTCACACTGCTGCCACAACAGTAGCAAGATTCAGCCCTTCTGGCTTTTACGTTGCTTCAGGAGGTAACCCAAGAATGTGCCAATAATGTCCATGCTTACTAATGTTTAATGCGTAGATGCTCACGGAAATGTTCGAATTTGGGATTGCGTTGGAGAAGAACATATTCTTAAAAGCTCATTTGAAGTGTTAAGCGGTCCTATTCATGATGTAGATTGGGGTATGACTAGCTTATTTTTTTCTGAGGCATATGCTTACATTCAGATGGTGAAAGTCAAAGACTCATTGCTGTTGGCGAGGGAAAAGAAAGGTTTGTTCTATTAGTTGATGAGGGAACATGACAAACTTACACAAAAAAGGTTCGGCCATGCCTTCTCGGCAGATACGGGAAACACTATTGGTGAGGTATGTCAGCAAAATAAAACATTCACACGGAATTACTGTTATAACACTTATAGATTTTTGGCCATTCAAGTGTGATCAATGCAGTTACTATGAAACAAAATCGCCCACTTAGAGCTGTAACTGCCTCCGATGATCAGTCAGTAAATTTCTTCTTTGGTGTTCCGTACAAGTTTAACAGAAGTCTTCGTACTCATACAAAGTTTGTTTTTGACGTCCGCTATTCTCCTAACGATGATTACTTTGCATCCGTGGGTGCTGATGGAAAGCTTTTCTTGTACGACGGCAAAACTGGTGATGTCAGTAAAGAAATTAATGCCCATAAGGGCAGTATTTTTGCAGTTTCTTGGAGCCCAGATTCAACGCAGATTGTTACCGCTTCTGCTGATCATACCGTAAAACTCTGGGACTTCGCTTCTGGTGAATTAGTCCGTGAGTGGATCTTTTCAGAAACGGCATCTTTGGACAAGCAACAAGTTGGAATTGTTTGGGCAAACGACACCATTATTTCTGTGTCAATGGATGGAACTTTGACTTACTTGAAGCCAGACAGTAATGATCCCATTCGATCCATCATTGGACATCAACGCTCGATTACTGCATCTGCATTTTCAGCTGACAAGAGCCAACTTTTTACGGCATCTTACGATGGTAAAATTCTGTCCTGGGATATTGAAAAACAACTTGCTCAGGAGCTTGATGGCTCATCACATACTAATCAAGTGATGCAAATGATTAACGTAGGAAACAACGTTGTTTCCATTGGTATGGATGACACTCTACGTGCTATTGACGCCAACACTCGCACTTTTATTGGCGATGTCTACGCTACTGGTTTTCAACCGGTTGGTCTCTGCGAAGTAAACAAGGCTATTGTGCTTGTAACGGTTGCGGATATTCAAATATTGCGTAATTTCAAGAGATTGGCAACCGCTAAAACAGTTTACCAACCTAGCGCCATTGCTGCACACCCCACTAAACACGAGTTTAGTATTGGGGGTAGCGTATGTTTCACATTAATAAGGTCTGTGTACTTTACTAACTGATTTGTTAGGATTCTGTTGTTTACGTTCATTCTTTAGAAAACGACGAAATTTGTGAGACCACTAAATGTAAAGAATCTCAACATCCCATTACTTGCTTGTCGTACTCGCCTGATGGAAAGTACCTTGCCTGTGGTGACTCTTCTGGAAAGGTTGTTCTGTACGACGCAAACACTTATGAACTAATTACTTCTCGTTGGGCATTCCATACAGGTAGAATTGCAAGTATGGCCTGGCATCCCGACTGTAAACACTTAGCTACTGCTTCTTTAGATACGAATGTCCACATTTACTCTGTGGAACGCCCTATGAAATATATCGGCCTGAAGAACATTCATGCACTTGGTGCCAGTCAAGTGCAGTGGCTTTCAAAAACAGAGTTATTTACCATGGGAAGTGATGCTACCGTCCAGAAATGGGATATCACATTCTAGTTTATATTCTTTCTAATTTTAACATGCAAAAAATATATTTAGGCATCGTAACTCTAAGTATCTTGAACAGAATTAATGGGAACGATCTTGCTTATGTAAGCACTGAGCAAAGAGTTTTTAGTGGGTGAGGGTGCATTAATAAAACGTTAATTAAATTGCTTTCCACGTTGCAAAAACGATCCAGCGTCCAATTTTTTCACCCAAAACAAGTGCTCTGTACTCGCCAGTTTCGGATATTCTAAGAGTAAAGTATAACTGCTTGTTTTGCTCATAACCATTCTCCGAATGGAGACGAACAATCCTGCCGGTTGGTGTTTGCACTGCTAAACGAACCTCGGCGGGAACTTGAGCATTATTTGCAGCATGGGTCTTTATGCGGAATGTGTATTCAGCGCCGACATAGAGCCAACCACTTTGTGGAGTTACTATGTAGAGATCGACGGGAGGTGCATGAAGAACCGGATGTCGCGTAACAAATTCAAAAGGCGAGTTCTCACCGGTATGGAAGAAAGGAATTGACACTGCCATGGGATAGGCATTTGCCTTAGTGGTGTTTGTTGCACCTTTCCTGCCGGCATAAATGCGTAACACCGCATTTTTGCAATTGGAGGGCATAACAGCCTTTATTCGAACCATCCGAGTTGACGAATTTAAATAGTACGACTGAGTTAAAGCGTACTTACTGCCTGCGTCAGCTTCCTTGGTTCTTGAGAAATTGATGGACGAATCAACGTCCGCAACACACTCAACATCGGGAGGTATCTGCATGTCTAATTGAAGACACCGTAAACCATATAGATGCAATAAGCTCGTGTCATATCTAGAAAGTTGTAGGCCAAGAGTAAAGTAGACGGATGAAACGTAAGGGAGTGACATAGCGATTGGAGCTAAAATATCAGGCTCCAGAAACTGCTGATCAGGGTTTTCTGGTACATGCAAGTGAATACTTTCATGTGGTTTCATCAAGAAATAAAAGTCATCGGCATTCTGCGTAGATAAAACGCTATGCGGATGCATAGGGTTTGCCAAACAAGCGTCAATCAAACGAACTTCTTCGTCGACTGTCACCACATTCCAGGTGTGATTTATTGAGGTGACTTTAGCATAATATGGATTATCCGGAGACTTCAGGAAACCGTGAACGGTTTCACACCAGATATCAACGCAATTGCACATGTCTTTTACTAATAGTGCAATTTCAGAAGGTGAACCACGACACTCTTCAAGTACTTGTTTGCTGGATCGAACAGGAAGAAAAGAATTATTTGGCTCTTCCATTTCAATACGTTCAGCAACGAAGATAAAAATAGCACGCATTTTAAAAATAGGGTTGTCCAATCCATTACAAAGATAAGTCCTCGTTAAGTTCTTGATACTAACAAAAGAATCAGAAATCTGTACAGATCGTGCCTGCTTGTCAACAAGACTAAAATTCATGTTTCGTGTATCTAATCCATGACTAAAAGCGATAGCCTCGCCGTCTACCAGCACATTACCTGCACAGTTATTCAGTACTCGGAATGGTTGATAAGAAGGCATGCGCAATGTTTCTACAACGAATTGGCGTTTTTTGGATAGTTCATCCGATTGATAAGTAGCCACACGTTGTAAATCTCTTCGAGCAGCCTCAAGGGTATGAGAGGGTATTGGAGTAGTAGACTGATTTGCTTTTTCAACGATCGCTGCTCTCGAACTTCCTAAAGCTGGATCCGAATTGGAAGACGAAAATGTCGCTATACGCTTGGATGAGTGTCGTCCCAAAAGTTTTCTAAAAGCCTGTTTAAAAAACCCAGTGCTTCGTTTGCGAAAAGATTGTGAACTAGACGGACGTTGGTTCGATCCGTGTGCGGGTGGTGACAGGCTAGATATGTTTGTTTCAACCCTGCTTAATGGTACAAAAGTTGAGACCGGTTTTGGAATAGGTGCGGGTGCACTCTGAAAACGTCTGTGATGCGGAACAAACTCAGCAGAAGAACGTGCCATGGATTTCTGACTTGTGCGGGTATTCATGCGAGCAACAGATATTGGCTGTACAGGAGAGGGAACAGCTGCCGCGGTAGCAGCTGCGAGAGCCGCAACAGTCGTAGCCGCCTTCGTGGGCAAAGGTGGAGGCTTGTTTGACGTTTGACGAACTGAGGTTGTACTGGCGTTTTTCTGCCAAGAAACTGTTGCATTTGGAATAGACGGGGAAACAGGTCGAGGGGAAGGGGTTCGGCTCATGATGCTAGCAACATCGGCAGTTATGACAGACCGTGCATCAGCACCTAAAATGGAAGAGGCAGCTGACTTCCGACGGACATGCATTTTGTTAAGAGAGGACATGACATCTTCCATAGCACTTTGCATCGGACTGGGAGACAATTTGGCCCTGTCAACTGAGGAGTTGACGAATGCCGGTGATGGAGCTCGACTGGAATGTCGTGAACGGGATTTATTCATGATGGAAGCATTTGAATTTGTTGGTAACAAATGTCTTGAGTCGGAAAAGCTGTTCCTGCTACTTTGTTGTAAACCAGATTGAAAAGATCCCTGGGAGAGCTTCATTGGTGACGAAATAGGGCCTGTAGCAGAGGAAGTGAGAGGGCTTGTCGATAAGCTATATGTGGAATCTGCTCTGCTGGAAGGCCGAGCACTGCTGTTCCTTCGAGACCGACCGTAGCTAGGACTTGATCCGGAAATTGGACTTTTTCTTGGTATTTCATTTGGTATCATTTGAGGTGAGCTTCCTTTTGTATCCACAAAGTCAACAAAATTACTTGGAAACAATCCTTGGCTGTTTCCATCCAAACTTCTACCGATCCACCATTTTCCGTCTCCATAGCTTAGACATTCAACTAGATCACCTTCATTGAGACTCAGGTCTCCTGTTGAAAAGCATGTTAGCTACATACTCCGGAAGTAACAAAAAAGACATACCTGAGCGTTCTCCACGCCATTCATAAAGAGCACGAACAATGCAAGGCAACGGCCTAAGATTCTGCATCTGCCAACAGAGTTCGTGTATGTGTGTACTGTAAATAGCAGCAGAGAAGGCGTGTCCCTGTGCAGGTAAACAAATACTCTCGTACCGTCCTCTAACGGAATATGATAATATCAGTTAACACCTTGGTACGCAATTTAACGCATTAGTATCTCAGCGTGTGAGATTGTCCGTGTTGAAGTCTCAGCAAGAATACGTAAATAGCGCTGTTACGTTAAAGTATGACCATTACTTTTTCTGTAAATTATAATTAAAGTTTGGAGTACCTTGTTGAAAACTCCAATAACGTCTTTCTTAAAGTCGTAGCAGTGTGCAATATCCCGTACAACAAAAATTCTATTTGTTAAGAAATTTTGTAATTTTTTTACAGACACATTGGACAAACTCATCGTTCGTGAAGTTTCAACGTTGTATTAATTTTCTCGATTTCCTACCAAACGTCTTTTTTTCTTTCTTCGTCTGTTTGCAATAAGATTACATGGTCTATATGACCCGAAGAATGGCTATATATGGATGACTTTAAATCATTACTAGAAGCACTCGATTGCAGTGAGAAAGAGGCAACTGATGGTTGGGGAATTGACTTTGTGAACACTCCTGCCTGGACAAAAACACTAATAAGCTCTGATTTGACTCCAGAATTGACATCAGAATCGGCAGCTTGGAAGAATGAGATACAACGTCAAGACCCTATTGATGAGTGCTCAATAAACAATTCGTTAACAAGAATCTTTGGGCCATACAAAATGCCAAGTCAACTAATTCGAGGAATTGGTAACTATAATGAGCTCACAGACTCAACAATGAATGTTTTTTGTCGGTTGTTTGCTCCTTTTAACCAGAATAAGACTATACAACAACTCAGAACGGGAGCTTTAACAAAGTTATTTCGGGAACATATGCTTTCTTGGGGTCAGGAACATTTTTTTGAGAAATCACAAAATACAGCGGTGTTTTGCTGGTCAAGCTCGTATAAAAGTGAGCTGAAACGCGCAAGACGAAGTCTCCGACGGCAAAGAAGTAAAAACAGTATTCAACCTACTTCTCCTGACAAAGCACATGCCATTACACCGACAACAGCATTCTCTCCGGAAGATGAGAATTTTACTTCCATAAGGAGAAATAAAAGCATACTTAATCAGATAACTCAAAACGAAAAACTTGATACTGCCAATTATCAAGAGAGTGAACATAATAAGCAATTACAAACGGATTTTGACACACAACGATCACCTGTGTCTCATCCTGAAGAAGACGATCAGAGTGCTAAGGCGAAAACGAATAGTAAAAAACCGTCATCAAGTGACTCTATTCTCAAACATACTGTTGATGCAGTGAACGACTTTCTAAGCAACACTATATCACTTGCCGATTCCGCAACTAACGATGATGAACATAATCTGCATATGCAAAAACAAAGTGAGACTTTCCCAACTAATGCGCGTCCAGAGACATTGGATCAGGATTTGCATTTACCCGTTCAGAGGCCCGAAGAAAATGTCAATGCAGAATGTAACGTTTCCGTGAATTCTGACGATGATTGGGGTGACTGGAAACAAGCACAGGATGATTCAAATGGAAGTCCGGAACCACAATCCGTTGACACTCCTAAACAGAATGAAAATAATGGTTTGGGTCGATCACTTGATTTTTCCAATTTTGATTTAAGTGTCCTTGAAAAGGGCACTTCTTCTCGCAGCGTGTCTGCCGAGCGAACAATTCCCAACAATAATGAAAGTGAAGCGGTTGATTCCGTTCTCAAACAACTCCCAGATTTATCTTATTTATTATGAGACTTAAAATTTTACGATACAGCTTAGTCTGTTAATGAGATTGCATTTTCCGGTACGCCAGAACGAGAGTAAAGGAATTGGCTGAGCCATTCTATTACCTTATACCATTCTTCCGGAGTGCAAGGCATTTCTGTCCGGTCCTTTCTATTCCAGCACACGAATTTTGTAGAAGAGAATGTTTGTTGAAGCCGTTTTTTTTCATACATAGTACAGACCTGCGCTGTTTGTTTCTCGGCGACAAGTATGGGAATATCTATCTGCCGTTTAGGTAACGATATTGCTAAGGGTAACGAAGAACCAAAACTCATAACCCCGCCTAGTAACTTGTGCCGTTCTTCAGCATACTTTTCAGCAAACTTTAAAGCTACCATTCCTCCTTGCCCAAAACCAAGTAGAAATATCCGTCTACTGGGAATTTCGCAGGAAGATTCTATTTTGCTCACTATAAGTTCCAACAATTCAAGACTTTTTGAAAAATCGGCTTCCATATCGACATCACCATTTTGGTCAAAATGGACGTCTTCTCCCCACATCCAGTTTCCTCCAGGATTATCTGTTCCCAATGGAAGCACGTATGGTGCACGTAGTGAAATATAACTTGTCCAAGGAATATGGAGCCTGTGTGCCATATTTGTGAAACTGAGATTAGAATCGCCGAAACCATGAAGCAATAGAATCACATTGTAAGATGCCCTACTCTTTCCAAATATTACATCTGCTGTGACATTGGGCGGTATGCATTTCTTAAGCAAATCCGCGCTCTCCATTTTTTTATTATAGTGAAAGAAACGAATTATAACAATGAGCTTTAATTTTCACTCGCACCCGAAACAGTTTCTTCTTTGATTTGTGCTTGTTCTGCGTGCTGAATATCCTGTATGATTCTCGCAACGGCTTCTGGATGGACGTTGTTTTCGCATAAACTGATACACAACGAAAGTGTGCTTTTATCAATATTTACGCCAAGCAGGTTGCTAATTTCATAGAGAATATCTATAGTATCACTTGCGTTTGCTGGCGATGTGCTCATTAAATACAATAGTTTCTCTTTTCTTTTTTAATTTAAGTATATTTAGTTAAAGCTAGCGTCAAGGCTGGATAGGAAACGTTCACTTTCGAAAAAAATACAATTAGAACAAAACAACTCAACTGAAACCTGAAGAGTATTGATATTTTTAATTAACTCTTGGAGTGCGCTCTTAATGTTTTGTTGGTTCTTTTAGCGCTAAAAAGAAACGAAATATTATCATAATTTATTACTTGGATATATATACATATAATTTCTTTCTAAAATTCGAAAGCTCATAGAGCAATACAGACGATTTAGAAAAACATAATGGTTTTTGATACAAACCATCCATATTCTCTATCTGCTTCTGAATATGAGTTAGAAGAAAAATTGGGTACTGGTTCTTTCGGAACAGTATGGAAAGCTAAAGAGCTGTGTACTGGCAGAATTGTTGCAATAAAGCAGGTATGTCTTTAATATGAACGATAAATCTTACAAGAGTCTCATAGATTGATTTAGAAGCCAGCACGGATGACATATCAGAAGTTCAGCAAGAAGTTGCAGTCTTGTCTGCTTGTGAAAATCCCTATATTATTAGATACTATGGTTGTTTCGTAAACGGTTATCACCTTTGGATCCTCATGGAGCATATGGAGGGCGGTTCCGTTGCAGGCTTCTTAAAAATTGAGCCGCTTTCCGAAGCTCAAATTGCCATTATTACTAGACAGATTCTTCATGGACTTTGCTATCTACATTCCCAGAATAAGATACATCGAGATATTAAAGCTGCGAATCTCTTGATGTCCGAAGATTGCCATGTGAAACTTGCCGATTTCGGCGTAGCTGCTCAACTTTCTAATGCTGCATCAAGAAGACATACCTTTGTTGGAACACCGTACTGGATGGCTCCAGAGGTAATTCAACAGGCAGATTATGACCAAAGTGCCGACATCTGGTCTCTAGGAATTACAGTAATTGAGATGGCCATTGGTGCTCCTCCGCTTTCAAACATGCATCCAATGAAAGCGATCTTCAAAATCCCCATTCTTGAACCACCAACTCTCAAAGGCACTCAATTCAGTGATTTGTTACGGGATTTTTTAAGTTGTTGTTTGCAGCACATTCCATCATCACGGTGGTCGGCAGCAAAGCTATTAACTCATCCGTTTGTGCAAAACGCGGGAAGCATACATGAGTTACATATACTGTTAGATAAAAGACAGGATTACCTTGAGCATACCAACACAAATACCTTTTCTGAAACCGATACTTATTCACCACAAAGCACAATCAGATCTCGGGCTACCGAAACTATTGACAAATTTGAAGACTGGGACTTTGGCACTGTTCGTCCTCCTCAGGAAAATACTCAAGTTTTTGATAAAACTGTTAAGGCAACCTCATCTACAACCAAAAATAATACACTTCGCTCCACGGCGAGTCCTCAGTCATATTCTACTAAGGAAAAATCAGAAGACACTGTGACTAGAGTTCCAGTTTTGAAGAAACTTGGAACAAACGGGGCAGTCAAGAAAGCTTCCCATGACACTCTTCATGGAATTCTTGCAAACCTTCTTTCAGATGAGACTTTACCAGCAGAGCAGCATATCTATTTAAAGCAATTGGATCAAGCATGGTGCATGCTCGATACCTTTCTACAAAAACGAATCATGCGCCTACTAACTCAAGACAAACACCTCAAAGTACGACCTGGGAGAATCGGAAGCTTACTTCTATCAAGATGGTTAGAAGAAACAGCTAGACGTCAAGGAGAGATTTAATATTCATAAACAAAAGGAAGGATAAAAAAAATAAAAAAAAGAACGGACATAAATGTATTTCATGATATTTCTTGACTTGCTAAAATTTTCATTATTATAAACCGCTTGGACTACCATTAATTCGCATCATATACAACGCCATCTGAAATATAAAACGTAATTAAGGTGTCTGAAGAGACTTAAGAACTTCAACCACATCCCAATCTGTTTTGTTAAGCATTTCAATAGCAGTATCATAACCAACGTTAGCCAACGATGCTACATATGCAGTCCTGTAATTGTTAGTAAGCGTATCACAGTTATAAGCGCGTACTTGGTATCTTTTCTGATAGAGTCTGAATATACAATCCATTCATCCTTGACTTCTTCCCACACGATACTCTGCTCTTTAGGGTTGACTAATTTTACCTGAGCATGTAACAAAGCAGAAATGGGTCTATGATCCGATGTTTTAATTTCATAGCGTCGGTAATTGCTCGCTGAAATCCAGTATTCATTTCCCCGGTAACATACACGATCGCACCAAGCTGGAACTCTTTTTTTCTCACTAGTATCGTATGTATCAGAACGCAGATCATACTTGTATGTGGGCGGAAACGTTAATTTGGGCTCCACAAACGTCCGTAGTCTGAAATTTGCATTGCGCTTAAATTCCAAATGTAACTGGTCACTTTCAAGTAAAGCATCAAGATTTCCTTTCTTAATATAGTCCAAAACTTTAGGCCTTATAAGATTAATTCGGTAGTTGAGGTCACCATGTAGCACACATATTTCATGGTCAAAATTTTGGAGCCATCGCCACCCTCCAACAAACAAATTTAAATTGGTTTGTTTCATTCGGTTCCGAATTCAGTGTTGCGTTGTCCAATATGCTTGCAAGATCGTTGTTTCTCGCATTCTTGTTCGCTTGGCCGGCTGCGAGATGACAATTTACAATACAGAAGGAAGTGTCATCCATCACAAAGCTGAGTACAATGGCGCCCTTATTTCCGTGCAACCCACCGAGACCAGTCTTCACAGTAGTTGCCTGCAACGATCTTATACGTTGTTCATCATGAGACTTAACAAAAACACAAGTAAATAATCCAACAAGACTTTCGCAGGTCAGTAATCGATAGTCATTATTACCGCCTGCTCTTCGCATTCCCGTTTCTAACTTTTCTCTCCAAAGTCGATATTGATTAGAGAGATTGTTTTGAGAGCTGGCCGTATTGCTGGATGAAAGTATACTCTTAGCTGTAAGCTTTTTGTTCTCAAGGTCTACAAGCTCCTGAAAACCAAAAACAACAATCTCAGGAAAGTTGTTCTCCTCTAATAATGTTTCACTGAAGTTGGCTCCTTCAACAGTTTCATCAAGCTCCGAAGGCTTACAGGCACCCGCATTCCATGAGCAAATAAGAATAGAAACTGGACTAAATTCGCAATAATCCGAAAACCTTCTTCGCATTTCGTTTGACAGCCAATCAGTCATCATAAGACCATCCCAAACTTTCAGAACAGGAGATGACATACTGAACACCTGAAGACGCTTTGCCTTCCAAAGACTATGCGGATCATATCCAAGTATAGTAGAAGCACCACTATGACCAGTTTTATGGCCTTGCCAACTCTTAAGAAGCCGCCAAGGTTTCGACGTTACGTCAAAAACATAAATCATACCAGTGGTATATGAAGCCCACAATGTATTACCAACGCCAACTAATGAGCTGATGCGGTAAAACGAGCTGCTTGTAATCAGCTCCAAAAAACAGTGTTCAGTTTTTGAGAATATAGATATTTTACCATCCACATGGCCATAATATACACAATCATCAATTGCGGGAACACATGCACCACAAGTAATATCACCGATCAAACCTGGAGGAGACATGGGAGCCGGTAAAACAGAGAAGTCCTCGGAGTTTCTTGCATATACGTCAAAAATATGAATGCTTTTTCCGACAACAATCCATATATACTTTCCATCAATGGCCATCGCATGTCGAGCGTGTGGAACAACGCGAAGCGATTTAGGAGCACCTTGAACAGTGAGACCCACAAGTTCGTCTGATTGCCAAATAAAAAGGTGTCCATCATCATCCAGACTCCAGATACTATCCTCAACAGCTAATAAGAAGGTGATGTTCGCCTGTACAGACGACCGTTTGGACACAATTTGAAAGTTCTGCACATCCACTTCCCACAAAGAACCATCTTTGGTTCCTACCCAAACAAAGCGTCCGTCATCCTCCGGATTCTGATACGATGGCTTAAAAACGATAGAAGAAACCTTTGCCGTGTTTAAAGGTAAATGCCATTTACACTCCCCGGTAAGTGTATTAAAAACTCGAAGAGCACCAATTCCAGCAACGACCAAACAAGTACCATTGACGGCAAAAACGCGAGCATCAAAATCTGCAGACATAGAATGACAACCTCTTAAAAACATTGGAGCCTTGCGGCTCATCAAAGAAGCATCAGGGAACTCTCCCTTTAACAACTTATCACCAGATGAAGTAGATGCATTTATAGACGGAGCCGAAATCGTACTGGCGGAGGTCTCAACAGCCTTCTCTTTCGCTTTTTCTTTCGCCTTCTCTTTCAGCCTCTCTTTGGGTATTGCGGGGGGGATGATGCAGGGAATTGTTTTTTTGCGGATAGGGGGCCGAGGAAAAGAAACGTTTGAAACTGAATGGCTCTGCGGCTCTGGATGTGTAGGAATGGACGGAGAATGAGGAGGGACGGGTGGAGCGGCAGCAGGTGCGGCATTTCGCGGAGGCAATTTCGGGGCAGCAAGAGGCGCACTCAATGGTTCAGAATGTGGATAAGGCAAGGTATTTGGAATGGGAGACGAAACCAAACGTGGACGGTTTAAGCGAACGGGAGGGTTCGGCGGTAATCGAGGTAAAGTACGGGGTTTTTCCGTTGTTATGACTTGTCGAACGGGTGTATTAGGGATTTCGGAAACTTGTTGGTGCTGTGCAGGAGGGACAACAGGTTGTTCTTGTTCCGCCTGTCCCTGTGATTTCATAAACGATTGGACTGGAGCGGACGTAGACACATGACTGATGGGGTGAACTGTGTTGGAATTCTCGACACTCTCTACGAGGCGTTCGCGAATGGATGGATCTGTAGATGTTCGTGGGGGAACAGCTGGAGTTATGCCGGTATGAGCGGCTGATGGTTCGGGAGGTAAAGACAGTGTTGAAGAAGCTGGCGCCACCGGCAACGAAGTAAGAGCAGTCGGCGTGTTTGGTGCTAACGGTAATGAAGGCGCTATTGTAGGCTTTGTTGCATAGTTAGGCTTCGGTTTTGGCTTTGGACGAGGTGGTGGAGGAGCCGGTGGCCTTATGCGGTGAACTGGAACAGAAGGGGCCGCGAGATGAATACTGGGGCTTGAACTATGTCCACTTCTAACAGTAGTATCATCTGCATCCTCTGATGACGCAGAAGCCGGAGACGCATAACGCGCACTGTGGGGACTTCCCATTTCAAAGTAACTGCGTCGTTTTTCCGCGTCCGGGATGCTTTTACGCACAGGCGATATAGTTACACTTGGATCAGGTCCATTCACCCGACCATCCATTCTTTTAGGTGCCAAAGACTTTGAACGGAGCAACCGGGGGTCCTTGGACAGATCTCGACTGCTTGCTGCTTCAGAAACAGGCCCAGAAGTAGTATGAAGGTGCTCACCATTCTGTCCCTCACTCAACAGAGCTTCAAATCGCGAACGGAGGGACGAAACCGATGGTGAAGGTTCTAATTCCCCATTCTCTTCTTCGAGACTACGTGTGCGTATCGATTCCATAATCCATGTATTTTAATGTAGTTGGTCCTATTTCTCGTCAACTTTTAAGTTTTAATGGTCTACCTGGCTACTAGAGTTTGCCGAAGAACGAAACAACTCAAAGCAGAAGTAATGAATATCCAGGCTCAATGGTTTGGTGGAAGAAGGCGCAGATGCTGATCCGTTTGACGTGTTGTTGTTGTGGTTATCCACATCTGAGACCGTACGAGTGTTGTTGTTGGGTTTATACAGAAAAAACACTAGCAACGAAGGAACGGGTGTGAGGGATGCACACGGGTAGGTGGGGGACATCCGCCACATTGAAAGTAAAAAATGAGTAGGCCTATAGTAATAGTTTTAAGAGATAGACATGGCTGTATGTAAATGTTCGACAATGAAGATGCTTGAATTGGCTAATGAACTTTGAGGCGTTGTAGGTGTGAAGTATCATTTTTTAAGTACATAACGGAGTAGTATAGTGCAGATTGAACGAGAATACGTTTTCTGGCTGAAGTTAGTGAGCTAGTCTGTTGAGAGTTTTAATAGAAAATGTAGATACTCTTAGTAACTGTTTTACTGTCATTACAGTAATTTTCATATGCGCTAATTCTGTCGCGAAATTAAAGCATATGTGAAACATATTGTGCTCAGCTACGGATTTCACTAAGAGTTTTCATTTAGTTGAGGTCATAAAAGGATATCAATTAAAACATAAATGCTCGCTCTCCGATCACGAACTTGAAGCCGGTGGAAGAGCAGGGTTATTTGGCAAAGATAACAGAGAAAGAAATATAAACAACGCTAACGCTTGCGAAGAGAAGATGCGGTTTGAATCCGCTCAATTTCATGTTCCAGCTGTTTTATGAAGAAATGCTGTGCTTCAAGATCTTTGTTTAAGCGGTCTCGTTCAGCAATAAGACGTTGTTCCCATTGACGGAAACGAGCCTCTTCTGCTCTAACTTGTTCGGTAAACTTACGACGAAGTTGTTCCTCCTCTTCTTTAAACTTTGCGTTGTCAATTTTACGAAATTTAGGCTCTCCGTACTGACGAGTCTCCATTTGTTCTCGACGATAAGCTTCGTAAAAGTGATCCTCAGTTGTTTGAATAAGGTCAAGCATGCAGTTACGAAGTAATAATTACGAAGTTGGTTTGAAATCGCAATGTCTTCGTTTTCCAGGTCTACAACTCCCCAGGGATACTTTCGTCCACGCACGATACGGCCATCAGGCATCTCAATGTTCCCTTGACTTCCCACAACAGCAAATGGCATGGCACTAATGATGGCTTGAGCTTGGCGAGAAATGACCGGATCATCATCATCGAGAATGGGCTTAAATATTGTAATGTCGTTAGCGTCGAGGACTTGTTTTATCCGAGATTTGTACAGAGCGAGATCACTTCGTGAGTAAACATCTGCTTTCGCAATAACAGGAATCAAGTTTACTCGTTTAGATAGTTGCTTGATTGCCTCCAAATCCAAAGGTTTAATCCCTTTGCAATATGGACGAAGAAAATAGAGACAGGCGTGAATACGCGCATCGACAATGTTACGTCGATCAGGTTGTTGATCTCTACGCATGTAAGATTCGTACTGATCCTCAATAAACTCTAAAACAGATTCCCAGCATCCTGAGTTGTTGATGTAGTCACCGTATCCCGGAGTATCAATAACAGTTAATCGCATATGAAAGTTTTTTTCTTCCAATTCTGCTCTAGAAACCTCAATCTCCACATTCTTATGAAGCTGCTTCTCAAAACGTTTAGAAGCATCGCGAGGCAATTTAAGTGTAGTTGAGAATAACGTGTTACAGAATGTTGTTTTTCCAAGTCCCGATTCACCGCATAATAAAATTGTGAAGGAAGTACCGTTTCTTGACACGATACGATGGCGTTGGTTGGGAAGGTCAGCTATACCGACTTGAGTAAAGTCTTCTGTATCCATGGCTTATCCTGTGATGGTGAAGAAAAAATGCAAAGAAATCACAGAAAAGGTCGTTACAGATGTGAATATTAAGGAAAGTCAGAGCAAACTCGGATACGCCGTTTGTAAACCCAGATCTGGTGTAAACCTATTTTCGAGAATGTGAGATATGGTGGTTGGCTAGGCGGGCACCCGGCGGCTGAGTCCAAACGTGGTAATATCGGACAAAGCAATAATTCGAAGTGAGCAACATTTTATTGACACAACAATTACTGTTATTTTGTTTGTTGGGGATTTTTTGATGAACAATTATAACTAATATCATAAACCAATTTCACAGAATTACTAAGACTTGAAAATAAGGAAACGATAACAATAAATACAAGGCTACAAAGATACAGTAAATTACTTAATATATTAGGTTTCCTCCACTTATTAGATAGTATAACAATGAATAATATAAAGCGCCAAAAAGAGAGGAAAAAAGGAAAATAAATGATACATTAACAACGTAGTACTGTTTCCAGCACGCACGGACAAAATGTGATTCATTGATAATTATAACACGGCACCAGAAGTGCAAAAAGAATAAAGCAAAAAAGAACACGGATGCATCAGCCGGGAGTCGAACCCGGAGCTAATGCTTGGAAGGCATTAATGTTACCGCTACACCACTGATGCTCATTGAAAAGAAACTCCCTGTAGTCATCATAGTTGCAATTGCACTCATTTCATTTTGTCTTATGCTCACTTTCCGTAAGGTACGGCATCTTGTGGGAAGGGTGGGGCTGCTAGCGTTCGAGAGATTTGCAATGTCTGCGTTAATTTGTGAGAAAAGCGGAGCGGTAACAGCTCTAGAGAGACATTACATCGCTCTGTTTTGGTCCTGTCGTCGGAAAGCGCGAACAGCAGCACACAGTCCAATAGCAGACGGGATCAGTGAAGAAGAACAGGAAATCCATTCTTCCTTGCAAGAGACACTAACAGACACTACTTAACTGTAGAGAACAAATCACTTTACAGAACACAACAAACAGAATAAAACAGCGGAGGGCATATGATGCAGTGGTAGCATGCTCGCTTTGCATGCGAGTCGTCCTGGGTTCAATCCCCAGTGTGTCCAGCTCCTTTTCTTTTTACTGCCGGTCTGCTCTGCGTGCAGCCAATGATGTGTGCACGCCAAAAAATGAAAAAAGGGAAAAAGGTTGCGAGGCCAGGTTTCGATCCTGGGACCTACGGGTTATGAGCCCGTCGGAGTTCCACTCTCCTACCTCGCACTCCACTGAACATTGCACTTTGTTATAGTTTATATAGTGGTCATCAGAAAATTACTATTACTTATTATCACTTATTACCACTTACTATTACTACATACACAAACATACACACACACGATTTCCCTCTTTTAGCATGCGTACCCGCTTGCAGCACTCGCTTTGCTGTCCACTGTTTAACATCGGTGACAGCAGCAAAAAGACGTGGAGACCCCCTTCCCTGCTGCGACGGCTCGAGTGAATCCTATCGCTGTCGCACTGCCTCTGACCCGGGGTTGACGTGCGTTGTTGCCAACCTCTGCCGGTGGCCCCGTGTTTAATCCCCTCGGCTGCTGGCAGCTGCCCGCCAGAGTCCGTAGGGGAATCAGAGGATCAACAGCGAGACTCGAACCCGTGCACACCACCCCACCAGGTGACGAAGGGACTGTCTCTCCATCTGAGCCATTACAGCTTGAAAGTCGCCTTTCTAAGCCTATTATATAGCATTGCTCCTTGCTCCCCCACTTCTTGTTCCACTTGTTGATTCTTGTTCATATTCAGTTGTACTAAATGATTACTCCTAACATGGTTGCTAACATAGTTAGTGGTAATTAAATAACGTATACGAGGCAACATAACATTCTTTGAACAGCACACACATCATAGATACTAGCTAGACTTGGTGCTGGCTTGTTTTGTTTCATCCCAATCGCCAGCAGAAGAGGCCAAAATCATGCACCATCATATGCCGATGCACCACAGCCGTTTCACGCAAACAAAACAAAAAGCTATGCTCCCAGCGAGGATCGAGCTCGCGATTTTCACGTAGCATACCTGGCAGGAGGTGTACCATATAAGCATGAAGCCTTAACCAACTTGGCCACGGGAACTTTCTTGCTCTATAACGGAGCTCAGTGTTAGTTTAAACGAATGTCGCTTACTAGATGGACTAATCGTTTGACAGGAGAGAAAGTTTCTAGTTTAGAGAACGTTTTAGTTGAATATTATATTAATCAGTTTATTGCTCGGCGGCTATCTGAATGTTACTTGGGGTCTTTTACACTGTTGTGACAGTGGAGGACGGATATCTAGACCGGAGTTCTAAACTAGGCATCTGGAGTATTGTGTTTAACAACTTTCGGCCAAACTGCATATCACGTATGGATTTAAATGTGTGATCCGAACCTGGGACATTTTATGGTTTAGAACTTTGGTGCAGTAAGTATCTTCACCCAAAGATGAGTGAAAATTGTTGACTGGCATTGAATGGGTTCTTTCGAGATAGCTATTTGGTTACAAGTATAGAGACTTGCAAATCGATTCCTCCCCGATATGCAATGGGAAACGATGATATAATTCATATGATGAAGTTAGAAGCAGTTTTGATTAACATGCATACTTGCGATAAGTCTACAGAAATATCCGTTAAACACTAATAGTAAGCATAAATAGTTACAAAATACTTAACTGGATATCGTTTATAGCGGTCTTTTACGGTCATGAATTGATTAAAGCAACATCTAGGCTCGAAAAACGGCCACTCTGGCAGAAGTCATAACAAAATGAAACTGTACATCATGTCCGACTAATGGACAAACCAAAGAGTAAGCATTTTCCCTAAACAAAAATAGCCGTAGTGCATTTGATGAACGTTTAAGACGAAATGATAGGAAAAGTCTAAGCACTGACTAAGTAGCTGCTTCCAGAAACTTTCTAACTCGTCATTATAAATAGATCAAATGTAGTAATCATTTTATTAATTATAATCGTTTGAATGTAGTATAAGACAAATATTTCTGTTTATACAGATGCTTAAGAAATAAGGCTTAGTTGGTTACTAAGGCTACAAGGAACGCTTAAGTTAAAACATTAATTAATCTATAAACAGTCCACTTATTGCTCAATGGTACTTAATCTGACTACCTATGCATTTTATTGAGGAGGACGAAGTATTAGAGTACACTTTTTTGGCTTGCTTGATGTTCAACCACTATCTCAAGTAAGCTTTCCAAATAACTCTTTCAATTGGAAACACCAAGTTCACACACAACTTAGTATATCGCTTTCGACTGAAATGCTTCTTAATCTCATATGCAGCTCGTGTAGCTAGGATGATTATTAGTTAGCTCGTCCGCACTAATATTTTTATCCCTTTTATTCCCACGAGCTTTCACGTTTACTGATTTAACCGATGTCAATCATTTTGAATGACAGGAAATTGTGGTTACATTCTTTGTCCAATTTGGTTTTGTATTAGTTCTTATAAATTAGTTAAGAAAATCAATATAAATGATAGCACAGCTAATCAAATTTAGCGCAGAAGATACGACCTTTTTGAGGAAGAAAAATACTATCCATAATGTAAACAGTTATTTGTCTTATCAATACTTAAAGATAACATGCATATGCATCATTGTAGCGGTGACTTACTGAAGCCGGCGAAACATCCATGGGACCAGTGTCACGCTAGCCTATCAAATGGATTCATATGTGTAGTATATATGTCTCAATTCATAAAGCTTATAGAAGAAAAAGTGCAATACGATCCATTCGCATTAAAACAAAAAAGAACTATCGACCAGTTATATTTTTGGCGAAGACTAAAAAAGGTTTGCGAGCGTTCATCTAGCTAATTACCCTGGTCAAAATCATGAAGACCATTACAGTAAATTTGAATACTGTGGCCCAGATCACAGGGTAACCGCTCACAAAGTCACAGTGCGTGAGCACTACGAACCTACAATTTAAAATTAAAGACAATTCAGACAAACGACTTGAAGGAAAGATATTTATTCAATAAGAATGGTCGCCACCTATCAACAATCAACACACCCACCCTGAAAAGTTTCTATAACACATCCTCTATTGATCTAATTTACAATCATTCCTGCAGCTTACAAGGTGTTGGTGGCATAGAAGTCCTCCAAAGCCTTCTTGATACGCTTAGTCATGGTCTTCTCACCCTCGAAGACCCAGACACGGGGGTCGAAGAACTTCTTGTTGGGCTTGTCGGCACCATCGGGGTTACCAACGGGAGCCATGAGGTAGTCCTTCTTGTTCAAGATGTAGTCACGGATACCCTCGAGGTAAGCGTATTGGGTGTCAGTGTCCAAGTTGACCTTGACAACACCGTTCTTGATACCAGTACGGAACTCCTCGACGGAGGAACCAGAGCCACCGTGGAAGACGAAGAAGACGGGCTTGACGTTGTTGGTCTTCAATTGAGCCTTAACGTACTCTTGGTGCTTGCCCAAAAGAGCGGGTTGAAGCTTGACGTTACCGGGCTTGTAGACACCGTGGACGTTACCGAAGGCAGCGGCAATGGAGAAGTAGGGGGTGACCTCAGAGAGCTCACGGTAAACATCCCAGATGTCCTCGGGGGTAGTGTAAAGTTGGGTGTGATCGACACCAGAGTTGTCGACACCATCCTCCTCACCACCGGTGATACCGATCTCCATCTCGATCCAGATCTTCATGGGAGCAGCACGCTTGCAGTAAGCCTTAACTTGAGCAATGTTCTCGGGCTTGGGCTCCTCGGACAAGTCAAGCATGTGGGAGGAGAAAAGGGGCTCACCGTGAACCTTGAAGTAGGCCTCGTCAGCCTCGAACATACCGTTCATCCAGGGAAGGAGCTTCTTGGCACAGTGGTCAGAGTGAAGGACAACGGGAACATTGTAGAAGGGAGCAATGCTACGGATGAAGTGAGCAGCAGCAATGGAACCAGCAATGGAAGCCTTTTGGCCCTCGTTGGAGGAGGCCTTACCGGCGAAGTAAGCAGAACCACCGTTGGAGCATTGAAGGACAATGGGGGAACGAGCCTCACGAGCAGCCTCCAAAGCAGCAATAGCAGTGGAAGTGGAGGTGACGTTGATAGCAGGGAGAGCGAAACCGTGCTCACGAGCGTAAGTGAACAACTTCAAGACGTTGTCGCCAGTGATGACACCAGTAGGAACGATATCGAGAACACCCATGTTTATTTGTTGAATCTGATGGAATATGCAGATGTGACGTTGGAATGGTGCGGACATCAAGCCTTTTATACCCTTGGGCGGGCTGGTTCGGAGAAATATGTCAGCTGATAGCCACCGCCGAGCCGAACTGAGCCGTCCCGGCCAGCCTATGGCCAAGTGGTAGTGGCGTGGGATAAGCGATTACGCGGACTTTATTGCACATAGAGTGCGCTGATGAAGAATTGGCAATTTTCCGAATTTGAATAATGCATAGTACATACCCGAGTTTTTGGCAAGATGAGTCACTATGTCCGAGTGGTTAAGGAGTTAGACTTGAATACGTTCTGGCATCTAATGGGCTATGCCCGCGCAGGTTCAAGTCCTGCTGGTGACGAAGTTCATGAGATTTTGTTTCTCCTAGCTTTTTGTCCCTTGAGGAATGCAACCTGTCCTGTCTTATTCCAATGAAATTTCATACGCTTTTGCTTGAAGCGTACGTGCATCAGAATTGGGGAACTAAGAGACTGTGGAAGCAGAAATTTGATTAGAGAGCTTCTGTACTTATTAATGAAGGCTTTAAACAGTAGTTATCGTGGTTAGTCTTCTTTCTGTAAGATCCAAAGTTTAGTCTTTCGCGCTTCCAAATAAGGTTTTGGTTCTGTTGAACAGCGAGTGATTGAGACTGACTGTTTGTTATATATTGCGACTAGGTAAACTTTTTTACATTGATCATAGAAACTAAAAAAATGCTTTGTTGAACGTATCTTGCAATTGTAGGCTTAAACAGTAATTACTCTGTTTTTATTACATTCAATTTCGCAAACATGGATTAAGGTTTATGATCAGCGAGCCATAAGCAATTCTAAGTAAATCCAACATATTAGATACATTCTGTGAATTGTAACCAACAAGGTCTAACGAAGACCGTTTGCTGTTTTTGCAGAACATAGCAGGATAACTAAGTCGTGGTTAGTCATTCATTAAATTAATACTACCTTTACCTAATATAATTCAGATGTTATTTGTTGAATTCATCTGGAAGTGAGACGGGCGAACTATCATTAGTACCTTAAGTATTTTATCTTCAGCTATTCTCTTCTTTCAGCCCTTATGTCAATTTATTTTTACTCTATTTGGCTGCTGCCCTCTTAGAAATTTGTTATGTTTCTGCAAGACACTCATAATGTTGGACACTTGCGTCTTAAATTTACTATCGGGAAGGCAGAACAATAGTAAATTGCTCAAAAACTTGATTAACAGACGGGAGCGTGCTTGTCAAAAGTCCTATACTGAGATTGAAATCACTCAATTTAACACATTACAGCATGATATGCCAACCGTTTATGCGAATAAATCAAAGCAAAAACAAGAATACTGCAGCGAGCGAGGTTCGAACTCGCGCGTTCATCAACAGCAGAGTTTCCATTGACCATCCAGCCAACTTAAATCTGCCCCCTTAGACCACTCGGGCATCGCTGCTTGAGACACTGCGTCAAGGTTCGAGTTCGAATATATTTAGGCTTCAAATAATGAATGACTTCCTTCTTTAAAACGCGCAATAATTTCTGAAGGTTGCTATTGAAAGAAACAGGTACTGTTCAATGGATATTTCCGTTGAAACATCGCAAGTATTTATATTGAATCAAACTGATTTTGATGTTAATGCTACTTACTATATTATTCTCCTACCTCAAATTAAAGAAATTAATTATGAGTATTATTCCAGAAACTTGTTCAAAGAAAATGACATTATTATAGCTGCCTAGTATTTTTACTCAAATAGTCTTCAACAACGCTAAACGTATGCACTCGAAGTGTTGGCAGATAAGGTTTCAGCCGTTATAACCTTAATTGATGGTTGCGAAAACTTAATACAAACTAAAGTCAAAGTGCTCAATTTACTCGCAGTGTGCAAAGAGTATTACTATTGAATTGAGATATTTGTTATTAATTAAAATAAATGAAAAAATCAAATGTTAACTAGTAAAAATTATTCAAAAACTCATAACTTTGTTATAATAAGACATAGTATTTTTGTTGTGTCCGACCCATAGTTCTCATGCTTATACGAACTTGTTTTTGAAAATCAGTTGGTTAAAGCAAGATCAGCAAAATAAAACAAAAATTGTATCGCTATTGATAAAACGTCCGGTCTTTGTATTCATTTTTGATATAACTTATCATCGTAAAATTTTTTTAGAATAGTTATATTGATTATAATGCACCATGAGTAATAGTCAAACCTTCGCTGGCAAAATTCCAGATTCCAAGTTTGGAACTCTGGTCTAAGAATTAGTTGTCACCGACACTACCTAATATTCTCTACAACATTCTCAACCTAAAACTTTTTCCCGGTAAACGATCAGTCCAACTACTGAGCAACACTCGACTCCAACTAATATTGAAAACCTCCGTTGACGTATTGTGTCAGAGCCTATATACAACTTGCATTATTTTATCTTTCCAGAATACCTAATCACAACAGTCACACCAACACAAAAGGTTTTTTTGAAACACAATTCATAAGTTGTCGAATACTAAACTGGTCAATAAGACCCCTTCTCTCCATAGCTCCTTGTTCGTAATACTCATTTACGAAGTCTTAGTGACCAGTACGTTCATTATACCTTTATATATTGAACTACGCTGCTAACACATCACTAAAGCATCAGTGGTGTAGCGGTAACATCAATGCCTTCCAAGCATTAGCTCCGGGTTCGACTCCCGGCTGATGCATCCGTGTTCTTTTAGCCTTTTTGTTGCGGTTTTAGTGCCGTGTTTTGACTCCAAATGGTTAAAACACAGGCGTTGGTGTGCTGTAGAAATGGGATTAATAAATCTTTACATTTCATCAGAAAATTTCCTAGCAAACTGCTATTGATAGGGTACCACTGAATGAATTTGTCCGTAAACTAATTGAACGAAATTTACGCAAAGTTCATTCAATGGCTAAGCTATCGAGCATATATAAAACAAGTCATCCATTATTCATATCTAGTTACTTGCTCACTACTAGATAGAGATAGCGTATTGGAAATGACCACGTGAGGACAACGATTAAGGTAATTAGTAAATATATAAACTGTTTAACACGAAATACTTGGAGTAGAACAATAAACATGATATTGTTTGCAACATTGAACTCGAGCTCAATAAAAAAATAATAATGTGAATTATTCATACCAACGGTATTTTATGTTATGAACAAGATTCCAGTTTAAGTAAGATTGAGTTCTGAGAAAACTATTCTTTATTTGTGTTTCTAATTATACCAAATCTCCGTTAACATTATCATTGTGCTTAAAGTTAATACTCTCTTAATAAGGCTGATTGATGTTCTTTAAATTTACTTAAAGCCAATAGGAAAAAACTACTTCTCTACGGCTCTTTTCTTACTAATTTCTTTTGAATTAAGTGATTGAGCATGTACACTGTGTGAATTAAATCTACAATTATTGGGGATACGCTTATATGTTCGCACCTTACGTACTAAACCACTGGAGTTTTTACCAACAGCGACTTGGAACATTAAAGAGAATATTATATGCATTAATGTAAACATAATTAAATGTTTCTTCAATAAATTTGAGGACAAGCGTTTCTCAACTAAAAAACAAAATTAAAGACCATACCTCCAAAAGCCATGATTATCAAGTGATTTCCAAGAGTTGAAGTAACCGAAATACATCAAGTTACCATAATCAATCCTAAACACTCATTCCATTTCTTATTCGACAAATTTGTTAAAATGGCTTATTTCATTCTCAAATTATTAAGAGAAAAATAATAGCTGTAATGGTCCTCACTCAGTTTACATACAAACTCCTAGTGAGCATAAAATACCTGTAACATTGATAATAAATAATAGTCCAACTCTGTTCCAACACGGTATGCGAAGCTCAGTCAACGTAACACAGTATAGAAACAGAGGCCAGTTCCAGGGCATTACTCGTATTAAATAAAATGCTTCATTTCCGCGGTGAAACGTTATTTCTTTATTACAATTGGAATATTTTTTGGACTGCCTTCTGGAAACATTGCACGTTGTACTCAACAAGACCAGACTTCTCAAAATTCTCTGCCCGAATAATACAAACGAGAGCAAGAAACTGGTTAACCTCACGCAGAAAGAGGACCAAACCAGTCGACAGGCGGATGACCGAAGATGCTTCATCAATTGGGTAGCGTTGAGCAATAGCTTCACTGTCATCTGTGGGTTTTGAAGAATTAGAAGTACCGTAGATAGACCCAAAGTCCAATATCACATCAATAACATCCGAACATATTTCATAACTTTGGACATCCACGGGACTACTATCTGTAGCAACATAAATTTTGGAGTATACATCAAATAGAAATGCTTTTTCCACAAGAGAATTTGAACAAAAAATATTAAGAAGGTTCTCAAGTGCCGGAAGCTGAGGAATCAGTTTTTGAATAACACGACTGAAAGCTTCAAAGATAGAATGATCAAAAATGGACGTGAGATGAAAAGAAAGCGAGACATTCTCTAGGCCAGCATCCGAAAGCTCATCCTGCGTACGTTGTTGTATATCGCGCTGTGTATCGATCTTAAAGTCATCGCTAAGACCATCAACCTTGTGAATAAAAACCTCTATAAATATTTGTGGGTTGATAGCAACCGCTCTGGAAATTGTTATATACAACCGCGAGAGTGCTTCTAAATAATCGTCCTGGGCATCAATGACAAACACCAAGGCACCGACTTGATTGAAAATGCTTTCAAAATCAAACGCTGTATCGAAAACATCAACCTGGCCAGGAAAGTCCCACACAGAAAAATCAATAAAAGACCTTACACACGTTAGTAAAGAATATTCTTGTGGTTCAGTTTGTTAACTGAAATTAATGCATCACTCACGAAATATGGTCTTTTGTTAGTTTGCTTGTCGACTCTAAGAATAGCGTCTCATTCGGAGGCAATTTATGGAAAACAACTTTCTGGATGGATGACTTGCCGCTTCGGCGAAGTCCCATAAGCAGGATCTTTCGGGGCTTCATAAATTGAATGCTGTACTTGGTCGGGTTCCTACGGTGGTGTACTGTTTCCTCACTCACTATCTACGGGGGATGAGTTCGGCTGCGCTTCTCTAACGGTACGTACGGAGGCAAATGGAGATAGTGTGGGGGCATTGACACGTGCACTGTGTTTGTCCAACTAGATGTACTGAAGATCATTCCAGATGGCGATCTTTGGGATCCGACGATCCACGATGATCGCAGTACCAAAACTGTGTGAAAAGATTACGTGATCGACAACGGTCACAGATCCCTGATTTGCAAGGTATAAATACGCCGATCGCCGCACAGGATGATCATCAAGACGATCACACAGTCCAATTCAAAAGGAATAATAACAAATAGCTACCAAGGGACAACAAGAGATACCAGCTCTGTCCCTGCTACTAGGCTCAAGATGTTGTTTTCAAACTCATTGATCTAAATTTCATTCACCGACTGCTTCTATCATAAATGTTTTTACTTGCTCAAGTCCAAAACGATACGGCCAGCGATCTTGTTCTCGTGCATGGCGTGGTAGACGTCAGGGAGAGTGGAGAAGGGCCAGACCTTGTAGACGGGCTTAACTTGGCCACGAGCAACGTACTCAACAGCCTCGCAGGAGTCAAGACGGTTACCGACGTGGGAACCGCAAACCTTAAGCATCTTGACGGTCAACCAGAAGATGTCAGCGCCCAACTTGGCACCGGCAGGCATGGAGACAGTGACCATGGTGGAACCGGGACGGGCCCAACCGGCGGCTTGCTCGTAAGACTTGGGGGAGGTGGAAAGAACCAAAGTACCGTGGGCACCACCGTTGGTGGCCTCCTTAACGGCCTCAACCATGTCGGGGACCTTCTTGAAGTCAAGGAAGACCTCGGCACCCAAGCTCTTAAGAAGCTCCTCCTTCTCGACACCAGTGTCAATAGCAACGACACGCATAGACATGGCACGAGCGTATTGGACAGCCAAGTGACCCAATCCACCACCGGCACCGGGAATGCAGACCCACTCACCGGGGTGAACACCGGCCTCCTTCAAGGCACGGTAAACAGTGATACCAGCACACATGATGGGGGCAGCGACCTCCAAGGAAACGGACTCGGGGATCTTGGTGGCATGAGCGGCGTTGGCAACACAGTAGTGTTGGAAAGAACCGTCAACGAGGTAACCAGAGAACTTGGCGTTGGGGCAGATAGACTCTTGAGAGGCCATGCAGTACTCGCAGTTGCCACAGGAGGAGTTCAACCACTTAACACCGACACGGTCGCCGAGCTTGAGTTGAGTGACACCAGGGCCCAACTTGACGACGATACCGGCACCCTCGTGACCACCGACCAAGGGAAGCTTGGCGGGAAGAGGCCAGTCACCTTGAAGGGCGTGAAGGTCAGTGTGGCAGACACCAGTGTACTTGATGTTGACCAAGACCTCACCTTGACCAGGCTCGGGAACAGCGATCTCCTCGAACTTAACGTTCTCGGGACCACCATGCTCGTGGAAGACAGCGGCAGTTTGAGTAGCAGGGATAGACATTGAATTGATTGAGTGTGTGAAACTCGTGGTGAACTGGGGATTTGTGAGTGCCTATTTATACAAAAAATGACGGCAGCAAAACACCGATATAGATCTGGATGTTTCCACTGGTTGCCCTTTCTGCACCCCGTGCATGCGATAAGCGGAGCCCGTATAGTATTGACCAATCACTAATCGTCGCAGATTTTTTGCCGGGCGCTCAAGTACGCTCATAGTTTTCTCAGACTGCCGTCTAACGATTACTTAATCAAGCGAAAAAAATAGCAATTGATGTAAAGACTACGTTTTTAGTTATTTCTAAAACAAAACAGCCGTAATATCCAACTTATTTTTGAGAATTCATTCATTAACTTTTCACGAAATTCGCTTAATCCCAAGGTCTCCAGCTCGCCTCCGCTGTTTCGGAAAAACTTGTTAACTTCCGCAGTTTTTATTCGTTCTTAGCGTATGTATGACATCATTGCAAGGGATAAGCGCCGCTGATATTCAAGTTTTGGGCCTTCGAGTTAAAAAAACGAAAAAACGATTATGTTAACGATGGGTAATTCATTTCTTCAAAAAACAGTTGTACTCTAAAAAATGAGGCGGAGCTTTTACTATTAAATTGGTTGGACAACAATGTTTGTCGCCCTGAATTGTACGTCTCCGTTCACCCGTATATCACATGAACAATCTCATGCTTCGACATAATATCAAGCCGAAAAAAGAAACGCCACCTTGTAGTAATTTTTTTTAGCCAATCAGATATGTTATCGGATAATTTTTCTGAGCTTAATGCTTCGGAATGAAGTGGAGAAAGAGTCACAAAGCCGCTGGCTCGTGTTAACCTGGGGCAGTAGATTCCCTGTTTTTGTGAACAGAAGCAATGCAACATTTGGTTTCCTAACGCGTTGTTGGATTATGAATTGCTATTTTCCCCGTCGCTCACTAGATGATATTACACTTTCGCTCTAAAAAACTGGGGATCGACTTTTGTAGATCTCAATGAAAATCTATTGGTGATTTACAAGCGATCTTTGATCGGCATTGTGGGGATTTTCTCAACCGACGATCGCAAATGTGGAGAGTTTGCGACAGATCATTCATCGTTGATCAGGGTCCATTTTTCTGGATTGGGTTGCACGTGACAGACGCCAGCTTGTTGAGTGAGACACGGTTTTCTGGGTTTGTGTTGTGAGCCTGTTAGCGAGGATGGATAGTAATTGTGTTCTCTGTTTTTTTTCGGTTTCGCAGGAGTAAATTACTCGCGATCAAGAGGGCGATTGAAACCACCCTCTCTGTTCATATATTGTCTATATTTCGTTTTTTTCTGTTTGAAGACGGCGCCAATGTCACCGTGTTTCTTGCCAGCTGTAGTTCCAAAAGATGTGAAACCCATGATGGCGCTGACATCTTCTAATTCGTCGGAAGGTGTAAGTGACGTCTCTTCATTTTTGTTGTCTGATGGCTGATTATTAATCGGTTGCGCTGCTGTTTCAATTTCCGGAGGTTTGTCGTTGCGCTTGGGTTCTTGATGTACGTCGGGAATTACGTTCTTTTTGTTTAGTCTTGGCGGCTCTGTGTCATGATTTGATCGGCGATGCCGTCTGGGTGAAGAGCTGTGGTTGCGATCATGTTCGCGTTCACCTTCCCGACTCCAATCTCGCTCTCGACGACGACCACTACTACGTTCATATGATCGCCGAGGTGGTGAATTCCTGTGGTATCTGTGTTCATCGTTAAAACGGTTTTTTTCGTCTGTATCATTTTTCGTCCGATTGTCATGCCAATCGCGTTTTCTCATGTATCCACTTTCTCTGTGCCAATTCCGATCCGGGTTTTGTTGGGAACGATAGCCATTTCTAGCAGTTTCGCGTTCAGGAACACGAGATTCCCTTGGACGTCCACTTTCCATCTGTTCTGACATATTTTACTAATGGTGTAGTGTAATTGGTGTTGCGTCAAAAGTAATATAATAGAACTCACACCAACTCTTTATACAAAAGATAATATAATTCGCCCATTAATAAATCCTTTTAACAGGTACTGCTTTTATACAATAACGAAGTTATAAGCTGTAAAGATAAATAATGGAGGTTAATAGTGTGGCGATTGTTTAATTAATGTAACAGCTTATTCAATTTCATCATTCTCAAAGTCAACAACAAGTTCAAATTCATTAAACTAGTTTAAGAAGTATTAGAGACTTTTTGTACTTGCTTTCATATACACCACCCCAAACACTGTTACTTTCAGCCGACCATCACAACTAGACGTAAAAATTACTTGATTAGGTTTAAGTCTCAGACTACCTTGTATGTGTTTAGCGATTCAGTACTTAAAGCGCGGGGAGAATGGAATTCCCCCTTTATGCTAAAACATCCTTTTGCGCGCATACATTTTTACAAGGAAATGAAGTAAAATAATATAAATAACACCCAGTTGGGTGTAAGCATCTACCGGGCCCAAATGGTTACAGAATATTCAGCGGTGTTCCTCAACTGTGCCAGAGAAATGTCGGACAAAGAGCTACAAGTGAGGGCTCGTAGTTCATTTTGGAAAAAGGAAAATAATATCAAAGGATGGATTCGTCACATAGAGCCATATTATCGTCGCATTCCTTAAAACCGTTCTGACTTTAAACATCAACGACAGTATCATCCCACTCGTTGTCACGAAGGCTACGAGGTGCCTTCTCGCGCATGTTTGGCGAGAAATGGCAAACAGAAAAGAAACCGCCGACTGCAAGAATGATGATGCCAAGGAATTTGCGAAATCCGCCCATTGTAGACATGAGAACACCCAGGAACACATAGAAACCTCCACGGCCGAGCAAAGAAAGAAGGAACGGTGCACTTTGAGAGACTTCATTGGGCACAGTTCGTTCCATGTAGATACTTAAGAAACCAAACAAGGCGAGAAAAAGACCCAGCAAAACTGTGAACAGCTGGAACGAGAATACTTCAATCAAACCTCCGAGGATCAACAAGGACCCAACGGAAACATTTGCCACACTAAAGGGGTTTCTAATATCTGTGAAGCCGTCCATTTTGAAGTTATAATTTTGAGAGTGAGATGCAACTTCTATTAAATTTGCTTTTGCGTTAAATCTGAGACAGTAATGTAAGAATATAGAGGTGAACGTAGAGTCCCGTTAATCTTTATATTTGTAAATGACGGCGTGCCTAAAACAAGTTCGCCGTGAACTCAGTTAAGAAAAGGTGAGAAGAGGAAAGAATGGTCTGTGAGGCGTTTTTTTGCGTAGCGAATGAAGGTGGTTCGGTGTTCGCTACGACTTACCTCATATTAATGTTTAGAATAAAACAACTCAAACGAGTAAAAGGAGAAATAATTGTATTTTCTCATATTCTGATAACTTTTTTACAGGGTTACATTAGTTTACCATTCTTGATAGTCAATTTACGGTGATATATTATACATTATTCATTTGCAAGCCCACCATAAATACAAGTCACTATATTTGTTACAAGAATGGTTATTTTGAATGTGACATAGGGCATTTCATGTAATATTCATCTTCCTCACGAGTCTACAATCTATAGAAAACATTAACTGTTCTGTATTTTTAGCATTAGCGAGGTTTGCCGAGATGTTTTATAGCAAAGTGATTCAAAGCACAATGACTAGTATTAAACTGAAGGAAATGAAGAAAAGCCTTCCAATGCTTCGGTTAAAAATATAGAAAGCAAAAATGTAACGGGCCTATCCAGGATTCGAACCAGGGATCACCTCTATTCCCGAAGGGGGTAGAACCCGAAAGAGGTATGTTAACCACTACACTAATAGGCCTCGCTGCCCAGTTGGGTTTCATAAAGATATAAGTAGCCTAAATAAAAGGAATATTCATATCAATTGTTAATACATATTTATTAAGAAAACAGTTGAAGTGATAATTTACGATAACCCTTCTATTTCGACAGCCTTCTCCGAATTATTAGTAGTTGAAGTTTCTTGTCATTGATGTGTGATGTCTGGATATAAGGTAAGGTAAATATGGTAATAACATCGGCGAGATCACTCTCAAATCTGAACAGTGACATACTTACCTTGTTCGATGAATACATGATTGATTTAATATACCTAAACTATTCTTGAAACTCCGAACTACTTTCTTATTTATAAAAAACCAGGAACGAGAACGTCAAGTTATTCAAAATAAAGAAGGTCAATTCTAGGCAATCAATACCATTGGTTATATACTCTTGAATGCATTTTAACGCAGATACCGAGTCAACCAGGGACCAGATATCTAAAAAGAAATAGTTTATAGATTTAACATGTAATAAAAAAAATTAAGTCTGGTAGGTATATCAATAGTACAGCATGTTTTGTTATATAGTATGTACTAATTAATAATAACTGAAACATTTATCGGAGAGGTTTTAGTGTATAGTACGATAATCGTTGAGTGGAAGAAGGTCGTTCTGATAATTCCGCTTCGGAAAGAAACGAACAACCTTCTCGATTATGTCCGTTGCAACGGTCCTGTGGGCCGTGTAACCATTCTTTTTACAATAAAACTATCTTAAAATTGAACTCTAGAAAATATTAATTTGTAAAGCAAACTTCATCACGTGTAATTTAGGCGTGTGTACTTTTTAGGTGGAAGCGCTTCCAAAACCATGTGTTTCAACTCAACACTTCAAAAAATGTCCGACCCGTATCATAATATATCAGTTTCACAAAATTGAATGATACGCATCTTATAAGAAACTCAAGATCTGTTGTAGCAAACCTATATTAAATACAGATATGTTATGATATAGTACGTTTACGATATTGACTATTATCCAGCTTCCGGATACAAAATATACGCATTAAAATTATTCTTGCGTACATTCGAATCCAAAAGTTTTCATTTGTATCAAGCAAAGTTCTAGAGTGTCTGCTACATCACTCTGTACTCAATGTGTTATAAGTTTTACTCATAAAATAAAATAGTAATGTAGACATTAGGAAGTTTTGTCAACCCCATATCATTCAAAGACGTTAAGCAAAGAATGGCGCAGGCTCGGCGATGAGTGATAATACTAGATATATATTCCTCGTATCCAAATTTGAAGCATATATTTACCCGTAGCCCTATTCGTTTTATATATGAATTACTTGACAACAATAAAACCTCCCTTGAAAATTACGGTAACACGCATGGCGAACCAATGTTTCACAATCCAGTTAATAATGTAGTCCTATACACCCAAGCCTCAGAAACAAACTTCCCAACGGCTTAATCTACCCCAATCCACCAATTCCAAACGAAAAAGAACCCGAGACAAATCCACACGAAAAATGCAAACAAAATCATAAACATTCATTATTGATATTGACAATGCCACCGAACACGGACACATAACTAGAATAGAAAAGGATACGATAACAAATAATGTCGCCGAGACTTACGAACCAACGTCTTCATTAGAAAACTTCAGGCTGGCAGATACGCTGGCATTATCTATCAACGATTCGCATGTCTACCAACACACGCCGGCCGATGCTAAGCACCAGCTCACAGCAGTTGGCCAACTTGCCAATTGTTGAACTTGTATGGTTTCTGACACGTTTAGTTGCAGGTATTAATACGCCTCAAAAATAGTCACATCGGTCAAAATTAGGGTAGGGCATACATAGAACGCGCCGTAAACAAACAAATTGCTGTTAGAAAGTCAACAAAAGTCGTGGCTTTATGAAAGCCGGAATATCCAATAAATGAATAGTCTATGTATCTAGATACTAATGTCCACGTTCTTTAGTAGATATCACTTTAATTGCACGCGAAAGAAAGCCTTCTGCACCGTGATTTTTTTGAATGGTACTGAGAATTTGATCTAAAGCGTCTTCTCTCTCATGCAAATCACACTTTCTGCCAATAAGTGCATAGTTTCGAGTGCTAGGAATTCTTAAGGGTTCAATTTCTACTTCCCATCCAGTTTGTTCCGCCAGTTGCCGGGTCCATTCCACATAGCTAGCATAACGACCAGCATGATCCGGGTTACGTGGCTTCGGTAAATCCCATGAGACTTTCGCACCAGCTAAGTCATATATACAACAAGGAATAGAAATGTAACCAGAATTTGGAGTTAAAGCAGCCAGTAAAGGTATGTACGGTGTCAATTCATCTGAATGGTTACCGATGAGGAAGGTATTCGGAGCGAACTTTCCATTATGAACTTTCACGAAAGCGTTTTCCTCATTTTCTTTTCTTAATGTTTCTAATGCATCCGCTTGAGGCAAAAAATGTGGAACCAAAATGTTTTCACGCAGACACTCCCTTACATTGTCAGGGAATATAGCCCAAGATTTTCGTTCACGGGCATCAAATCCATATCCCTTATAGCCTTCGCTAATCAAAATATGAACGAGTAATCCATTTCCACAGCCAATATCAACAAAAGAGAAATTTTTCTTATCACTAGTTTCTGGCCTTTGTTTCCAAAGCTCAATCAGAAAAGCGGCAATAGCAAGATCCTCAAATACATGCTTTTTGGGATCAGTGCGCTCAACCCAATCCGCAACAAGCTTTCTTGCATAACGAGTTTTCAAGTCCACATATGTGTCTTGGAAAGCATTGCGTTCTACAACTGTATCATGATGCATACGTTTTTTGTAACCTTCAACAAAACCCTTACAGTGACGATGAAGAATAAGAAGCAGAGCGTTAGCAGTGCGGCCCAATCGATAGACAAGTGGATCCTCCGGATTTGTGGGAATTGAGGTTGGAATGTTATATGCGAGCTTAATCTTCGGTCCCTCAAAAATCCAGGCCACAGCAGCTACCGGTGGATGGTAGTACGGCAAGTTTTGGTACAATCCTTCTGCCTGTTCATCTAAATCAGGAACAAAGAGTACAATGCGTTTTGGTTGTGCTGTTTTCTCCGTTCCGGCGATATCCTCATGGAACACAAAGACGCTCTGTGTCATTTTTCTATCGATAAATGGATTTCTGGGGACGAGACGGCGATGCAATTTCCGACGAAGAACGAAACCATCAATAGAAACTTCCGAATTCTCCAAACCCTTCTCGAGGCTGTCCAATTGTTCGTCCGACAAAATATCAGTGCGCATTAACACTGAACTTGTCCGTTCGGGATGGTGTACGATCTCAAGCAGCTTCTCCTCGAACACATTTCCATCATAACAGGTTTCATGTTCTAAAATGACTTTCCAAAAACAGTCAACGACAACTGAAGCAACGTTAGGACAGGGGTGAAGACTCGTATCACAAGGGACAGAGGGCTTCCAATACGCTGGAATTTTCATTCTTAGTAGTGTACAATTTAAGGGTACAACAATTTTTAATTGAATACACACGAAATTTGTTTAGATAGTAGTTTCGATGATATTTCTTGGCACTGCTTAACTGTCACACGAGTAATCCTCACGTACAGAGTTTATAAGCAATATGTCAAGAGCAATTCTCAATGATATTACGAACCACTTTTTTTTCTGCCCTTGCTTTTTTACAAGTGCAAGTCCACGATCAACACCTTTGCAGTGAGACGTGAAGTTAATTCCGAATTTAAAAAAAAATATACCCTAAAACACCATAATTTACACGTTACAACAAATCAGGCAACCTCTTTCACGGTTTCTCTATATCAATTAATTCCTTATAAAGAATGTCTATTGTCAACATTCTTTCTGTTAATGTGTTGAACAATCCTGCAAAATTTTTGGATCCTTACCAATTTGAAATTACATTCGAGTGTTTGGAACCATTAAAAAGCGATTTGGAATGGAAACTGACATACGTTGGCAGTGCTACGTCTCAAAGTTATGACCAAATTTTGGATACTTTACTCGTCGGACCCATTCCTATTGGAGTCAACAAGTTTGTGTTTGAAGCAGACCCTCCAAACATTGACCTTCTTCCCCAGCTAACAGATCTCCTTGGCGTTACGGTCATTTTATTGTCATGTGCTTATGAGGAAAATGAATTTGTACGTGTCGGCTACTACGTCAACAACGAAATGGAGGGTGTTGACCTGCAAGAAATGGAGGAATCAGAAGTGAAAAAAATCAAGGTCGATGTCGACAAAGTTTGGCGAAACATCTTGGCTGAAAAGCCTCGGGTAACCCGTTTCAACATTCAATGGGACAACCCAGACTTTGACGATGCACCCCCTGCCCAAGGGGACGCGGAACCCGAAGAAGAAGACGAAGAAATGGAGGAGGAGGAAGAAGAAGTTGAAGGAGAAATTGAGGAAGAAGAAGAAGAAGAGGAAGAGGAGGAGGTCGAAGAAGAAGACGATGTGATGGAAGAAGAAGACGTGGACGACGCAGACGGTCAAACGACCGAACAAGAACACGAGACTGAACCGGAACAGGATCAGTCAAAGACTGCACCTCCCGCAAACAATACCCAATAACGCACTCACGAACGCAACTAAAAAAACATGAGCATAGTGACAAAAAAATGCACGACACTCTACACAATGTTTAGTACAGTGTTGAATTTATACCACAGGAGTCTTCCCTTTTCTTAACTTTGCTACATATGGACACACTTTCTCGCTTTCCTTTTCTTGTACCATCTATACCTCTTCGAAAAAGAACAAAATTTCGCCATGTAATTTAACGCTTTCGACTACAAATAGAAGCCTCTCTGGTGGAAGCCGTTGCAAATGCCAATTTCATGCTGCTATTCTCGTTAACCTTTTGTTTCTGTTAAGTACACTCCCGCGGATGTCCCGCTCGTTTTCCGAGGCTAATACGTTTCCCCGCGCACCTATGACATGTGCCGCGGTAAGGCTCCAAAGTCTATTGCCTCCCAAGAGAGCATCGCTCCTTGACTTCCCCACTTTCAAAAAACTCCCAATTAAGGATGAGTACGGACTCTCTGCCTCGTGAAACGCTCGAACAGTACGGTTTACGGTAAATACATTCAGCTGACGATTCAGGAAATCGCTCGAAATGCAAAAACAGCTGGAAGGTATGCAGCATTACACGTTTTTTTCGTGTCTTCTAACCCTGTAGCACTTTTGGATGAAATTGATCGCAACAAGCACGAGTCCGAAAGCATCAGCCGTGAGAGCGAGTATCTTTGTCAGTACATTGGAAGTATGATGGCCTTCCAAAATCGCTCTATTGCCACCCAGAAAAAAAAGTAGCGCCTTACTGACGACGATCCTCGACCAATTTCTCTTCCTGCGTTTCACCTCCTTAGCCGTTCATAATCACCACCACCATGTCGATCCGTGCTTCGCTCGTTTTGCAGATCACTGATCCTCTTATACTTTGATCTGCGTAAGCGAGTCAAAACACGGATCGGCAAAAACACATTTTTGATTTGCTCACACGACTTTAGCCGAAACGTAAACCGTGTAAAGCCCGTAGTCAGGATGCAAACAGAAATGGGAAGAGTTGGGGAGGCAGAGAGCATCCCGTAAAATCTCGCCGAAATAGCAAATAAAATATAGCTCTAACATTTTTTATCGCATACAAACACCCAGCTCGCGAGCCGAAGCATCAATCCCAAAATTTACACTTACTACTTATCACACTCACACACCCCTAAAACCTCAAAGTCTATTTTCACAAAATGCAATTCATTACAACCCGAAGAGTCCAGGAAGGCAGTAATGCATCCGTGGAGACAGGAGTCCCAAGAACCGAACTGACTTGTCTGTCAGCAACGTATAACAATGGCGGAAATCCAACATACCCATCTTAGATGTTGAGCTTGGTACGTCTCCAGTGTCTTCTCTTCATGTTGTAGTTAATAGTGTTTCCGGTGCGAAGACGAATCCATTGGGGAATGGGGCGGTTCTGACGTTGAGCCTTGGCAAGCTTTTGCTTGGTACGGAAACTCTTGTGAGAAGGCATTTTGTGGTTGTTGGATAGTTTCGCGGAGGTGAAAAGTTGTTGTGACTGCATTTATGTTGATGTGACTGCTAAATTTTACGAGTCCCAGCGCTTACTAGTGACAGTCACTGCGCTACAAGGCATTACGAAACGGCTTTTACCAGTGTCTTAGACTTTGCTGCAGCACAGTAACGCCCAACACCTGGCGGACACGTAAATACAGAGGGTAGTAAGCGGAATTACGATTTCAGCTTTTTGTTATTAACTGAACAAGATTCTTGACACTCTTAACCACACAGCGTAAACAACCACAGTTTTTAATGTATTAATAGTTATTTCTTAATAGAGCAATGGCGATGCGTTTGTCGAACTTCCAGTGTATAGTCTATTTACCGTCTATCACACGTAATAAACGAACCTACAACCGTGCTTATTCTCAGAAGGAGTATTGACCATTAATTAACAAACAAAACTACAGGTGCTACGACTTGTTTCAAAAGTTTTCAACCTTCAAGTACAATCTCCAGTTTCCGTTATAGCACATAGTATTGTCAATTTATCTAGTTGTAGGAATTATCAGAGTATTAGTTTAAAAAACGCCAACAACCGTCTTGAGAAGAGTAGGCATAAACAGTCATTATATATCATCAACAGTACCAAATAGTTAATTAACTCCCAGACCTTGTTCCGAAGCAAGCTGAAAGTACTTTCCTTTCAGCCGCATTAATTCTTGGTGTGTACCCGCTTCAACAATCTTACCGCCTTCGAAGTAGAAGATCCGGTCACATTGTTGAATTGAAGAAAGACGGTGAGCAATAGCGACGGTTGTACGTCCCTTAGAGGCTTTATTTAAAGCCTCTTGCACGACAGTTTCACTCTTGCTATCCAAGGCACTAGTGGCCTCGTCCAACAAAAGAATTCTTGGTTGGCGAATAAGGGCACGCGCAATTGCAATACGTTGCTTTTGGCCACCAGAGAATGCTGATCCGTTTTGTCCACATAAAGTTTCATAACCATTCGGTAAAGTCATAATAAATTCGTGAATGTTTGCGTCCTCGCAAACCCTAAAGAGCTCTTCGTCACTGACTTCCCGTTCCATTCCAAGCAAAATGTTCTCACGTACAGTACCTTGGTACAACGTAGGTTCCTGGGAAACAAGCGCAATGTGACTACGGAAGTTGTTGATGTTGTACTCGCGGACATTAACATCGTCAACAAGCACACATCCAGCATCACAGTCATAGAAACGCTCAATCAAACCGATCGTAGTCGATTTACCGCAACCAGAAGCGCCGACAAAGGCAACGTACTGGCCAGGTAAGATCTTCAAGTTCAAACCTTGCAAAACAGGAACGTGACGACGAGTAGGGTAACGGAAGTGAACCTCTTGGAACTCAATTGAGCCCTTAATAGTCTCGACCTTGAGGCCCTCATCGCTCCAAATATCAATCTTTGGATAATGAGTAAACAGCTTCTTAATCGCGTTACTACTGGCCGTTGCTTTCGTAATATCTGCAGCAAAGCCAAAGAACTGACCAGCCTGCTGAATACCAACAACAACGGCGATAAAGATTGTGTAAAATTGAGTAACAGTATACTCGTGGGTTTTCAACAGAGTGGCACCGTACCAAAAGGTGAGAGCATTAATCAAAAATTGCGAGGCTTGACTGGCTCCAAAAAACAAACCAGAATAGGCAGAGGCAACATAGGACGAATGTGCCGGCTCAGACACAGTTTCCCTGTAATGTTGAAGTACCTCCCCCTCCCTTGTGAGACTAGCCACAGTGCGGATCGCCGAGATTGCTTCACATGCAAAAGAGGCAGACGTGTTATAAGCCTCATCCAAAATCTTTTGCACTTTATCAAGAGAGTGAATACGGTAATAACCAGAGAGAATCATAACGGGAGAAGTGGCCAAGGTAACGAGTGCGAGCTTCCAGCCAGTTGCCAATCCAAGAATAGACACGGAAATGACGTTAGTCGCAATCTGGAAGAATGTTCCCAAGTTTTGACCGATAAGACCAATAAGATCGCTAACTTGTGTCGAAAGAGAAGCTGTGAGCATTCCGGTGTTGTTTTCATCCCGATCAAAGAACTCAATGTCTTGTCTCAGAATGGTATGGAACAGCCGAACCCGAATTCGGTACATAATGATTTCTGCAACAGAACCCATCATTGCTCCACTGAAGAAATACGCGACGAACTGAACCACCGCAAGAATGATATAGTAAACGGCATACATATTTGCACGGTGCGTGAAAGGTTTGGTAAGATCCGTAAAGAGATTGAGATAATGACTGAAAATCACAGCTGTAACGGGATAAGCACCACCGCAAACAATACTTGCACAGATTCCAATGAAGATGCATACATACTCATTACCTTGAGAAAATGACAAAAGGTAAGTAATACACGCAATAAAACCCATTTTGGAAACATTCAACGTCTCGGTGCTGATGTTTCCGGCTGGGACATTCGTCAAAGAAGTAGAGCCCACATTCTGAAGCGTCACTGCACTAGCATGAGTCCAATCCTTCTTCTGAGACTTGACAGAATCATCGCTGTCAGAATCAAAACCTTGCTCGTCTTCACGTTCACTCTCAATTTCCTGAGCCTTCACAAGTCGATAGTAAATACCATTCTTTGCAATTAACTCGGCGTGATTGCCTTGTTCCTTAATTTCACCACTTTCCATGACAACAATGTTGTCGGCATTGCGAATCGTAGACAAACGATGGGCAATCACAATAGTAGTTCTGGAAACAGAAGCCTTATCCAAAGCCTTTTGTACGATAACTTCACTCTTTGAATCAAGGGCACTAGTAGCTTCATCAAGGAGAAGAATCTTAGGATCACTAATGACGGCACGAGCAATAGCAATACGTTGCTTTTGACCACCAGAAAGGAGGAAACCTTTCTGGCCAACATTGGTCTCAAACTTCTCAGGAAGATCCATAATGAAATCATAAGCATTGGCAAGTTTCGCAGCGTCATAGACAAGTTCCTTAATTTGCTCTTCGTTGAGAGTTTCAAGTCTCATCGGGGGAATACCATACACAATGTTTTCAAAAATAGTAGTAGAGAAAAGGGTCGGCTCTTGTTGCACGAAAGCAATGTGGTTTCGCAAAGACTTGGGATTAATGGTACTCAAATCTTGACCATCAATAAACACTTGACCAGCAAGCGGCTTATAAAAGCGCTCAACAAGACCGATAATTGTAGACTTTCCACTACCACTTGCACCAACAAGGGCGGTAATTTTACCAGCTGGGCAGTTGAGCGAGAAGTTATCCAACACAACAACTTCCGGACGAGCAGGATATACAAACTTGATGTTATGGAGTGAAATCTCTCCGCGCTCAATTGTCAATTCAGCACCGTCATCAACCAACGGGTTGATTGGACTCGCACGATCAATCGTGCTGAAAATCTGTTTTGACGCAGCAGCACAAGAAGAAAAGGCTTCGAGTTTAGGGTTGATACCAGCAATACTGTACGAAGCCATGATAACCGAGAAGAAACAACACATCAATTGACTGAGAGTCAGCTCACCATGGACCAGCAGACGAGTTCCCTCCCAAAAAGCGAGAGCGTAAGCCATGTAAGCCACGAAGAAAAACCAGGCAAACAAAAAGCCAAAAACAATAGATTTTCTCAAACCCATCTTTCTCGATGCTTCAAGCGTTTGTCGGTACATTCCACTCAGCACATTTTGGGTACCAAAGGCAAAGGCATTGCGGACATTTGAGAAAACCTCCTGTGCAAATGAACTAGCTTCGCCGTTAACAGCCATTTGAGCGGTTGTGAATCTTGAAAGAAAGGGAACAGCGGCAGCCATTCCCATCATGAGGGCAGGGAAGATGCAGCTGAGAATCAAAGAGAACTTCCAAGCGCGAATGTATGCAATTACAAAGCCAGACACAAACGTGCCGACGGCAAAAATGACACTGCCAACCTTCTCACCAATACCGTCTTGGATTTTGTTGGTATCCGAAGTGATGCGAGATGTCATTTCACCGGGGCCAAACTTGTCAAAGTAGCCAATATTTTGTGACAACACGGCTTCCAAATAAACACTGCGAATTCTCCGCGAAACGCGCTCAGCGGCAATAGTGAACGTCATAACATAGAAAAAAGAGCAGACACCAACCGCAATGGCAATATAAATAAAGTACAAACAGAAATGGTTGACAGAATGCTGAAAGGCCTTTGCATCATTCTCAACAAAAAAATGAGTAAAGGATTCGGCCAATGAACCTGAAACGACAGTCATTAATGGCACACCGAGACTTGTGACAATACTGGTAATGACACCGACAACGTACAGAAAGCGATCCCATTTGTCGGCATACTGCAAAATACGCTTGTAGCCAAACGTGCTATCGGCAGGGTCGTCAACCTGTTCCTTCAGAATAGTTTGCTCTTCCGGAGCGTACCGTTCTAGAATGTCATTCTTCACGTCAACAACGAGTTGACTAGACTTCTCGTCAACAGCGTCGGCTTGATTCGCAGAAATCGCACCATTGGATGGTTCTTTCTCCTGCACATCTTTAGAATGGTTTGCCATTTCAGCGTCCAGTAAATTGAGATGAGTGGGAATAAATGAGAAACGAATGCAAGGGCAGATATTCTAAAATAACAGCTGCAATTCCGCACTAAGGGGTACGGATAGAGAGAAGTAACACGAAGAAAAAAGACAACTAAACAATACAAAGTAAGACGTTCAGAAGCACTTGAGGAGGAAAACACAAATTGCTTCTGCAATGAATAATGAAAGAAAGTAGGATGGACGGACTCGTCACACTCAATCGCTCACAGCGCAACACCGTTCAAATCGGTGTCCGTTGTCTAAAAAGAAAGATAACGCAGGCCTAAGTCAAATTGGATGCTCATTGCCATGCGGGTGTTTTACAGCTTATATATCAAAGAATCGTGGCGGCAACTTCTTGACGCTGTATTCTCCCAACTTACTCTGGACTTATGTCCGCGGACATGTAAGTATCTTGTGATTGGACAGTTTGTTTCGGCTGAACTGTACAATTTGCGATAAGCGTTAAAGATGATTGGTCAAAACAAAAAATAAGCGACAGAAGCGGTGTGCCGAAGGTTTGTGGGGAGCCCTTACGTCAACAAATCAAATACATCTGCCTTGCCATACACAATCGCCGAGGTGACTGGCCTTAATCAAAAAATGGCGCAACAATTAAGAGGAATAGAGCTTAAATATGATGTATAACACAGTATGACGTATGGAAAAGAACGTTAAAAGATGCTAGCAGAACGATTGATCCGTAATTAATGGCACGTGCAAGGATAAGCACTGTGTTCAGTGAACAGCACCAACTGACTTACGTCATAGCCGACGGAGCTGCTGGGTAACGCTTATAATGATAGAACCCGTCTCACATTTTGAGTGCACCCGTGTTTGGCAGAGGGGAGACGGGTACGTGGGTGACCCCAACAAATCCGAGACAGTCACACAAAGCAGTCACACAATTGAAATAAAAGGGCACAACACGCACCTACCGAAAACCACAATTCAAGACGTTCTGTCGTCTGCAGGAATAAACTGTGGGGTGGATCAAGGACGAAAAAAATGACATGTCAAGCTCAACAATATGACATTCTGTGATTAGTATCTTTTTCTTCACTTTCTGAGACCATCGTTCAGTTTATACCTGTAGAGGAAGATTGTTGAGTCCGGGGGATTGCTAGTTAGTTTGTTTAGCGGTTAATGGAGATTCAGCTTTGGCTGCTCTAGTTTTGTTTCGTCTTAGTGTTTTGGGTTATCTGTTTCTTGGTCTGACTTAATTATCGTTCGTTTTGACTTTATAAAGTTGGTCAGATAAATAATGATATTGGTTATAATAAAAAAGTGCGTATGCGAAGGAATACAATATAATGAAAAAGGACCAAAAAACGTGAAGGTTTGAGGGGGATGACGGGAGGGTGAAGAGACGATGTCGGGAAAGAAACTGGGTTTCGACGATTTAAACCGCCCCGTGCTTTTCATCAACCGTTGGAGCAGAAGCGGGCGGGCTTTGCACTCCAATTTCCATGGTCCAGAGCATCGCATGGTCGACGGAAACGGTAACCTTCGGGGCATCAATAACGTTGCACGTACTGACAAGTCCACCGAATTGACTGGTGCGATGTTCCATGTTCCACCGCAAACCATCGGTGCGTAAAATCTGAGAGGGTTCGCCAAGAGGCAACAGACCGCAGTGAGCACCGACGTTGTCTGTGCAGTCAATGACTGTCTCGCCAGGCCGCAGGAGACAGGTAAGGTTGTTGTTGGAAATCAGGAATGTTTCGCACCCACGATACCGCGAGTACGCCCAGAAAAGGTGGTTCAAGTTGCCGAGAGCATGGTCGACGCGACCACCCATTCCACAAACGGCGTATATCAAATGCATGCCACGCTCCACGGCAATGGTTGTGCTCTTCATGAAGTCCGTTGTATCTTGGTCGGTAAAGTGAAGGACTTCGGCACCACGGTCAGCAAAGTACGAGCGCACTTCCGGCCGAAGAGAGTCCAAGTCACCCGCGATAATGTCTGGCTGCAACGAGCGATCATAGTCGTACAGCTGGTTTGTTCCACCATCTGCACAGATGTGCAGGGAAGCGTTGTTCCACAGCTCGATAAAAAGGTTGTGAGCCATGTCGATAGGCTGGTTGAGAATGATGAGAGCGTACGGAGGAGCGGTACCCTTCCAGGCACAGGTCGGTGTAAGGATGGATGACGATTGGGTATGAATGACTGCTGTATGGGTATCCACAGCTGTTTCTGTGGTAGAGTTGACTTCAGCTCCGTTGCTGGATTCGTTGTCCCCTGCACTACGACTACTCAAAGTTACGCCGAGCGGGTGCGGGATCGTGCGGTGAATCCGCTGAAGCAGTGATAAATAATCTGGGTGCTCAGCACCAATGACGCCATGTCGAACAAAAAAGTCAAGAAGAACTAATGCACAGTTGGGCTTGAAATGGCCTTTGGCCATTTCCTCCAGTACTTGCGGAATGGGCCACAGATGAAAGGTTTCCACCTCGCCGTCGTTCGGCTGGGCGTCCCAGTTATCTGGCAGCTCCAAGTCGAACACGTACTGCACTTCCGGCTGGTACCATTGGTGCTGGTGAAGGTAAATGTACGACACTGTGCCAGCAGCCTGGAGCATCTCCGGCTGGACGCGAAGACAAGCTTCCTCCTCACATTCACGAACCATCGACGAAACTGGGTCGTCTCCGTATGCGATTCCGCCGGCCACACTGTTGTCGAGCATGTTGGGCCAGGTCTGCTTCTTTGGCGAGCGACGAGGCACCAGTACCAGGATATCTTCGATTCCCACTGCTTCCCCTCCCAACCGAATTGTCGAATGGATAGGTCCTAGTGCAGATTCCTGGATGGAGTCGACGGTGACGGTGTCGAGATCATCACCCTCTGTGCTGTCGAGTGCACTGATCCGACTCGGAGCCGCAGCTCGTGTGCATGAAGACACATCGCACTGCTGATCGTTCTCGCGTCCTTTTCCCTCCGAGCCGTAACCGTCATGTTTGAGACGCGAACGCCGACTGCGTCTCCACATCGTACAGTGGACACCGTAGCTTACAAAGCCAAACAGCCAATATCCACCACGTTCAACAGCCAACAAGGGCTTTCCTGACGCGCCATACACGCCGTACAGCTCATTTCTCCACGCGTCTCTCACTCCAAACGTGTTGTTTGAGCGCCAGCACTCAAGAATTTGCGCGAGAACAGCCGATCTCTCCTCGAACGTCGCTGCGTTTAACGATATGCTTTCATCGGGACGAAGTGTCCACTGCAAATGGAAGTCCTGAAACCGCTGCAACTCGTTCACAACCTCCGGCGTTACATAGCCCACGACGCGTCCTCCGCACACAAACTTAATTGTGCCGCGAACAAACGCGCCAGTAAAGTTGTCACATCTGTCTAGGATGGCCTGGATCATGGGGAAGGGTAGGAAGTGAGAGGACAATGCATGGAGGTCAAGGTCCAAGGGGGAGGGTCGACGTGTGCGGGAGGCTGCAGCCGTGTGTGCAGGACCGGGGACGCCCCGCGGAGCACGCGAGGGACCGCCGTGGAACGTGCGAGGGAGGGCCGCGCTTGGGATCGCTAAGTCCTCGCTTCCAGCTCGCCCATTTTCGCTTGCATTCGCGTTTAAAGCAGACTCGCTTCGCCCCCATGCTCAGTATCTTCTGCCCTCTCCATGGATCCCATCGAAACTAGCGAATCTGAGCGTCCCAGCATCCAGCTGGGAGAGAAAAAGACTGTGAATGAGTACCTGAACATGGATGCGGAGGACGAGTCTCTTCGCAAGTGGAAGGAATCTCTTGGCATCAAAAGTGACGGAGGCTACTCTCCTCCCAACGACCCTCGAACCGTGGTTGTTGAGCGCCTCACGCTGTTAGTTGACGGCGAGGATCCTGTGGAGGTCGATATGCAGGATGCAGAGAGTCTTGAACGAATCCGTAAGCATGGATTCGCTATTCGTGAGCGTTGTGTGTACCGCACTGTTGTTCGTTTTCGCGTTCAGCATGAGGTCATCTCGGGTCTGCAGTACGTACGCGTTGTCTCGCGTCACGGCATCCCTGTGGACAAGTCTGCAGTCATGATTGGTTCCTACAGTCCATCGAAGGAAGCCTACGAATACACGACAGAGCCCGAGGAGGCACCTTCGGGCATGCTCGCCCGTGGACACTACGAGGCCTCCTGCCGGTTCGTGGACGACGACAAGGTGACCCACAAGCAGTTCAAGTGGGCCTTTAATTTGGTGAAGAAGTAATTCTTGGACGCTCATGCTCGCATTATACACTTTGCATTAATTCATTCATTCTTTTAAACGCGACATGACGCGAAAACTATGACGCAGCTAGGACGGGATGGGACGTCGTGGGGTAGCATGGGGTGTGGGATAATCGGGAGTGTGGGGCTGTGTGGGGTGTCCATGTGGGTGTGTGTCTTCCGCGTGATTACCTTAAAAACCCAAACATCAGCTGATTGTAAGCTTTTAATTGAGTTTGGGGGCTTTTCTGGGATCCTCGTTTAGATCGGTTAAAGTTGCGATTTATCTAGACGAACTCTGTTTTTCTCCGTGGGGCTGCTTGTCACGTCACACTGATGGTTTGGCTCTGCGGCTTATTCGCTTGCTGCGCTCTGGAATCCCAGGCACGTGAACTCGGTTCGTTCACACTTATTTCGCAAGTTCTTTAATCTGTAAACAAAAACCATACGTTCGGAAGTATTTACTTCCGAATTGGGTGGATTGTGGGGAAGCTCGTGTTTATTGGGGAGACAAAATCGTAAAACAAAACGCAGCAAACGATTCGTTGGATCGTTCGACAATTGCGCTACAAATAGTCAAATGAAGAGACAGTTGACTTTAGTCTGTAAACAATCAATTGCTTAGGAGTATACGCAATCGTACGACAGAAAGAGAACGAACGATGAGGTAAGCAATGAGTGGAGTGAACTGGCAGCTGGTACAGCATAAAAGGACTGAGGGTAGAGGCAGGGGTAGAGGATGGGTATGGGTATGGAGGTGGTATACAATAGGCAGTAAGAGTAAGAAGAGTTGAGTGGTAGCAAGCAACAAGGAAGGTAGAGGCAAAGTAGTAGTGTAGTAGAGGAAGTCAAAGGAAGTCAAAGATCCTAGGGTTTAGTCTTAAATTAACATTGGTTATTCAAAAACAGACGTTGTGAGCAAGAGGGCAACAGAGAGAGAGAGAGAGAGAGAGAGAGAGGAGAGCGTGTGTGTGTGTGTGTGTGTGTGTGTATGTATGTATGTGTGAGAGAGAGCAGAGCAAGGTTATACTAAGCAGGAGCTTGCACAAAAGCACAATGAATCACCACAGTGAATCACAAGCCAAAACTGCTGCAGTATGAAGCTCTTCCTATTCACTCTTCACTTCGCCCTCCTTGCCCTCCTCAGTCACCACTTCTGTCCTCCTCGTTTTTGTTTTCGCACATAACGGATATTATAGATATATATAAAGTAGCTATTAAAAGTTGCCTCAGGCAAAGCCGAATTTGGAATCCAGATGCCTTGAAACCCACTGTGCGCAAACCAAATTATTTCAACTGTTTAATAGCCATAAGTGCAACACGCGCAACAATTAATACACAGCCAACCCAAATTACCAGTCATGTACGGTTGGGTGCCACAGAAATATAATAGTAGTACTTCATTGTGGAAATAAGATGCTTAGAACCAAACGAGACATTAAATGGGGGGTGCTTAGAAAGCAAAGGAAACGTTGTTGGTGCCAGACTTCTCCATGTGACGGTAGCGAGCCAGAGCCAGCAGAGGGAAGAATTGCTTGTAACCAAGGTAGTGAAGGTAGAACATTCTGGGGAATCCAACAGCGTTGAAGGGTTCTTCAGCCCATTCACCGTTGTCTTGTTGGTGTTGGATCAACCAGACGATACCACGCTTAACAGCGGGATCGGTACGGCGACCAGATGCCATCAGACCCAAAACAGCCCAGGCGGTTTGAGAAGGCAAGCTCTCGGTGTAGACGCCGTGAGCGGAGCCCTCGTAGGTTTCACAGCTCTCACCCCAGCCGCCGTCTTCACGTTGAACAGACTTCAGGAAGTTGACACACTTCAAAACGGAAGGATCGTCGTGGGGAACACCGGAGGCGTTGAAAGCGCAGAGAACGGACCAGGCACCGTAAATGTAGTTGGTGCCCCAGCGGCCGAACCAAGAACCGTCCTCCTCTTGCTCCTTGCGCAGGTACTTGATACCGCGCTCAATGACAGGGCGATCCTCGGGGTGGCCCAGCTCGGCAAGCAAAGAAATGCAACGAGCAGACACATCAGCGGTGGGAGGGTCGAGAAGAGCACCGTGGTCGGCGAAAGGAATGTCGTTGAGGATTTGCTTGTCGTTGTCAATGTCGAAAGCACCCCAACCGCCGTTGGAACTTTGCATACCGATGATCCACTTGCGGGCACGGTCCAAAGCCTCTTCGTTCTCAGGCAGGTTCTGGCGGTGCAACAACATAGCGGCAACGGCAGTGTCATCAACATCAGGGTAGTAGTCGTTACCGTATTGGAAGGCCCAACCACCGGGTTGGAGATTGGGGTTGTTGATGGCCCAGTCACCCACGACATTCAGAACTTGGTGGGCACGAAGCCAGTGAGCGGCTCTGTCAATAAGCTTCTCGGTGCGGTCGGCGTTGATGCCGTCAGGACCGAAAGAGGCTTCCATAAGAGCATGGCCGGAAAGGGCCGTGTCCCACACGGGAGAGACACAGGCTTGGCAGTAGGCCTCTCTCTCCTTGATGACGAGGAGACCCTTCAAGGCCTCCCAGTTGGTAGCAGCGCGAGGATCGTCGTCAGGAATACCGAGGGCACGGTACATGACGGCACTGTAAGACATGGGGGGGTAAATAGCACCGAGACCGTCTACACCGTTGAGACGGGGCTCAATGAAGTCGAGAGCAGCCTTGTAGGCCTTCTTGTGCAGGAAGCTGGGCACAAAGCGGGTGAAGGGGCGGATAGCCGTGTCAATGAACTTGAAGACGTGGCCCCATTTGGAGCGGAACGGGCCGTGGATCCACGTCTTGACCTTGTCGGGAGGCGTCGGGAAAAGCTCTGGGATATGGACGTTGCGAGGGTTGATGGCCTTGGGCTTCAGATCGGCCACAATAAGGAGAGGAGCCACAGTTGTACGGGACCAGTACGACATGTTCCAAATAGAAAAGTACATCCATCGGGGCAGCAGCATGATCTCGACGGGCATGAAGGGAGTAGCCAGCCAAGAGGCTTCGCCGAAAAGAGACAACTGGATACGCGTGAACACGTTTGCGTATTCAGGACCACCGTGAGCAAGGATAGCCTCGCGGGCACGGACCATGTGAGGGGCATTAATATCTTCTCCAGTCATTTTCAAGGCAAAGTAGGCCTGTACGGATGCAGAAATGTTGAACTCACCGCCGTAGTACACTGGCCAGCCCCAGTGCTCTCTGCTCTGGCAACGACGAAGGTAATTAGCAATCTTTTGTTCCAGTTCTTCGTCGATCTTGTCCAGAGTGTGTTCCAGCAGAATGAATTGAGCGGGAATAGTGACATCTGCCTCAAGCTCGTAGATCCAGTGTCCATCGTCCTGTTGGTCTTTAGCCAAAGCTTCGTACGCGCTCTTGACGGTACGTTCAAGCTCCTCCATGGAGATGGTAGTATCGAGGGTTGTGTTGCCGTCAGTCTTCATTTTGTATCGTTGTGGGTGATTGCAGACGTAGAGTTCAGTGAGTCAAGTGTGGTGAATAAATCGGTGGATGAGACCGGCTTTTAAAATTGGGTCGAACCTATGGTTCGAACCACCTACGGATTCGTGTGCGCCGACTTTGAGTCCAATAAGGCCATAAATGAAACGAGCAATGGGTCGAGTTGCTGTGCCTGCGCCACACAACATCTGAGAATCTCGGTATTCCTCGCAAAAAATCGTAAGGGAGGATTCAGGGAGATATGGGGAGAGACGGGCACCAGAATCTCGCGAGAACGAAGCGAACGCGGGGAAGGGGTGTGTGCGGGCACGCGCGGCCAGGGTCCTGGCCAAGGGTCCGTGGGGAGGCGGGGAAGAGAGACAAAGGGTCCAGTGGGTAGGAGAACGACAGAAGTGCGGTATTGCGATTAGTGGAGAGTAGCGAGGGCTAGCACGATTAGCACGGCGATGGACAGCGACGGACAGCAGGAGGAGGAACAGAAGCCGCCCAAGCGAACTCGTGCTGTGCACGTCCAGCGGGTATTGGTGCTATCGGATGCGATTCTAGGTCTACGAAAGCATATTCAACGTGTCTGTCGTGCTCAGTGCGCTCAGTGTGCTCAGTTTGCTCAATAAGCTCAACGTGCTCAATGTGGTTTCAATGCCACCTCTCGGCGACATCGGTCACTCTCTCGCGGTGCGCGAATATATTGTATTTATACAAATCTAAAACGTCGATATCATCGCCACTCTCTCTGGCCCAGACTCTTGGATTGCCACAGTAACTGAGCAATTGCTGTGTCTGTGACTTCAGTCGAGGGCTCGCGATTTGTTTACGCGTTTCTCTGCGGCGTAGCGCCCACTCGTAAAACACGCGTCACATATCTGCCCGCTGATTGGTTCCTTCTCAGTGAAGTGCGCTCCGCGAAAACCCGACGTCAACTTTGACGAAATCCTCGTCGCTGGTTGGCCAAACGGAGTTACTAGCTGCTTTGTCGGTATGCTCGGTCTCCAACTCCGAGGAGTTGGCCGGCACTTCCAGAGGAGCAAAGGACAGTGTGGTATCTGTTAGAGAAGGCAGTTCGGGAACTCAAGCCCCGACCAAGTTGACCGTTCGGAATGCAGTACAAACTGGTGTCCGACTGAACCCAGGAACTCGCAATAGTTCTCGCCGTCAACACATTTTTCTCTCCTGCTGGCCCATGCAAAATGTTTGTGGAGGAAAGGAGTGAAAGGGCAACGCTGGAAATCGGTTTCCCTAAAATCGTACCATTTCTTGTCCCCCTAATGGCACGTTTTTAGCTTTTAAACGTTCTTCACGTGCAAATTAAACGAGTGTGACGTATTTGCGGGGACATAAAGTCGAAAGGTGGGTCCTGAATACTGGATGCTAATGATTGGTTCGGTATAATGCAAGCATAATGAAAGCGGATGACGTCATGCGTAAACGTAAGATAAGCGAAACCCTAACGATAATTTCGGTCCCTCGGGATTTCTTGGGTAGCGCGCGTTGTGGTGCGGAAACCAGTGGAATATGTGTGGAATGTGGAGAATAAGATCATAATGGAATAAAATGTTCAGATATGTGGGACCATCTGGGTGTATCTAGGTGAACGTAAATGTGTTTACTATTATTGTGTGATTGTTAAATCAGAGCATTATTTGTATCGTTAGCTTTTTCACTGTTCTTGGAAGACCCGGGAATTGGCTGTTTTTTGGGGGACGAGGGACACGAAAAAAAATCTCCGGTTCCTCTGCATCGCTCAATTGGTTGGATCTCATGGACAAAAGTCACTGAATTTGTTTATTTATTATTTGTTTTTTTTTGTTTTTTTTTTGTTTTTTTATTTTATTTTTTTTTTTTTTTCTATTTATTTATTTTTATTTATTGACCGGAATCATTCATTATTTGGTATTTAATTTTTTTTCAGTACTCTTCTCAAAGCACTCTCTGTCCTCTTTCCTCTCACCCATCCAGTTCTTACTCAATCTTTGGTCACATCAGTCAATTGAACCCATCTACTCATTAACATTTACGGCGCAGCAATCAGGATTTCGACGAGAGACTTGAAACCTCAGAACAAAACCTAGGTCCAAAATGAGCATACGCTACATTGCATATTCTTACACTGCGCTGCACTAAACACGTTTACGGAAACTGTTTGCACTTCGCAAAAAATATAAGACTGCAACGCTAAGGCTCACAATCCATCCATCCTCTTCTAACATCCCTCTTCGCTTCTCTCTGATCGCATATCTAAACTCATTTAAGCTTTTCAAAACCTCGCCTATTTATACACGTGTCGAATTCTCTTCACAACAACCACCTACGCGCGTCCACTGCCCCTTCTCTGCAACAAACATGAAGCGTTCTGTCATTTTCGGCTCCGTTGTGGCCGCTCTTGCTGTCGGTACGCGCTCCATCCAGATCGTTTTCGTTCTCTAACATTTTTAGGCTACGCGTTTTACTTCGATTACAAGCGCAGAAATGATCCCCAGTTCCGTAAGAAGCTGAGTACGTAACAATTTCGCTGACAGGCTGTCTCTGCTTCGAAACTAACATGGATGCTTGTAGAACGCAGATACAAGAAGGTCCAAGAGGTTGCCGAATCGCAAAAACTCGCTGAACAAAAGTTGTTTGAGGAGAAGGTCGAAAAGGCCCTTGAACTCGTCAAAATCACACCTCTTCCTAGCTCTGCTGAAGAAAAAGAACTGTTTTTCATGCAACAAGTGGCTCGTGGTGAGCAACTGTTTCAAAAGCAGCCTGACGGCGACAACATCGAGTCTGCTGTCTGCTTCTACTCCGCTCTTAAGGTCTATCCCCAGCCCAACGAGCTGTTCTCCATCTATGAAAGAACTATTCCTGAACCCATCATGAATCTCTTGCGTGCCATGCAAACAAAGGAGACAACTCCCACTGTTGAGTAAATTGGGCAAAGCTTATGGTTGCCCGAAACGGAATTGGGTCAAAAAAACAGTTAGATCGGCACTTTTCAATGAATCGTCTATACTCTCACATACACTGTTTAGAAAAATTACGGTTGCGAAGATGATTCTTTTCTTTTTGTAATACCTTAATAACTGTATATGCGACATAAAGTTCTACAGAGACGTAGATGTAAAATATGGTTCGTGAAACCGTGAAACATGACTTGCGAAAAGTAGGATTTGCATCCGCCGGGACTGGCAATCATTGAAGCCGGCGTAGGATGGGGTCCACATCTATATCAAACTCCTTTAAAGGTTTAGCTTGCTCGATGATATACTGCACTGCACGAACGTAGGATGCATCTTTGACAAGCCCGGCGTACTGTTTCTTAACAACGTCCACAAACATCTCGACTTGCCCAATCACCCATTCCACATACTCTGTATTTACTGCAGTGAGCTCAAAGGTATACAGGAACGACTCTGTAATTTGGTAGAGCATGCGGAAGGCAATAAACGCCGAAGTTTCGACGAAATCGGAAGTGTCCTTTTCTAGTTGGACGTTGTAACATTTGTTTCGCAGTTGCCAAGTTCTAGCTTGCAAAAACGCCTCCATGGCTTCAGATTGTTTCGTGAGTGAGTGTAATAAGCGCGCAATGTCTCGAAGATCATTACGACTAATAGCTGAATACTGAATTTGGTGACACAGAATTCTCGTCACACGGCGCACCCGCTCTTCCAGTTTATCGAGGAAAAACTCAATAAACAAACGGTCTAAATTAATCTTACCCAGGTAAGTCTTTATTTGTTTGATAGCCTTGATTGCCTCATTAAACATTTGCAAAGCTATAGCATCGTCAAGGTCATCGATCATATCACCGAGATCATGCAGTGTCTTACTAAATTTTGAAAAGAGTGACAGCACACGTTCTGAGTCGAGTTCGCGATAGAGCAGTTGAAACGAGTTATACGTAGACAGTAGGTTCTTGTCACTGCGAACGAGATACAATAATTGCTGATGCATTTCAAGCTCAAGTTCACGTTGTTTTTGTGCCTTCTCAGAAACAAGTCTCTTGCATTCAAGAGCTTGACGTAGGAAATAATCACGCTCTTCATTGCCATGCGAGGAGAATGCATAGGTTTTCCGGTCGTTTTTAACAATTACCAAGTTCTGATGTTTGCCAAAAAGTGTATCCTCATCGCTTTGACTTTCCTCTGCATCTATTTCCTGTTCATTTTCTAAGTCTTCAGTGGGCTGTGTTGCAGCAAGTATTTCAACATCAGCCAAATTCCATACATACTGAGCTTCGTATTTCCGTGGTCCACGCTCTTGCGAAACCGAACTCGTAGTAACTAGGAGCACGTCATCAAAAAGTACCAAGTTAACAAACCGTCGAAGTTTTTGTGTAAGCACATTAAACTGTTTCCATTCGAACTGTTCATAAACCACACGACGAGAAGGCACCTGCCAAAAATCATCATTCAAACCATCCACAGAGGACTGTAGCCGTTTCAATTGGCGATGCATCAGCTCGGTATTTGATGCATCGGTCAAATCGTGCTCAAAGGTAACAAGGTTTAGAGCCTCGATTTTCTTTCCAAGAGTAGTCAGTAAGGAACGAACCTTAGATACATCTTTGTTCAAGTTTTGCATCTCTTCTGAGATAAGAACAAACTCTCTAAAGTTTTTGTAAAAATTCTTCTCAAGGTCCTTCTTTAAATCTGTATGCATTTTAAGCAACTGGGTATACAGTGCAAGCATTTGCTCTTCGCTGGCATTCTTGAGAGTTTCTTGTAAATCTGTTTCACTCCATTAGTAATCGTGACACATATAAAGAAACACGTATGTGCAACATACAGCGTTCAACATCAAAGTTTTCCACATCAAACATTGTTTCGAATCCGTTTAGATCATCCTGCGATGAGCTTTCTAATAGCCTCCGCGCTTGATGAACGCTACCGTAGCGATTCATTATGTATAACAGCTTGTTGAATGAACGAGCAAACTGTAAAGACGGCAAGGGAATTGACTCGGTAATACTTTGAGAATTGAAAGAAGTAACAGGAGGGTTTTGCAAGAGGGAACAACTGTATTCAGTTGTGTGCGTCAGAGTAGTGTTTTCCAGCACAATGGTCAATTTGTGATGCACGTCGTGTAATAGACTCAAAACCCGGTAGGGTATACGCTATGCTTAGTATATGGACGGTATTTGTCTTCTTTTATGATCGTTGAAACTTCAATTGCAATGCTTGAAAAAGTCTCACGAAACAGCCGAGTCCAAGATTCAATGAGTTTGATTTTATACAACACAGCGATCCTTCCTTCTCAAAGCCAATTTACAGATAATACACAATGTGTTTCCTGTCAATTCATACGTTGTTAGGACTTTGTTCGTAAATTTGGTTGATTATAGGTTTCACATACGACCTCTACCTTACAGTTGTTACAAGACAGGATTCGCGTAAAGACCGGAGTTCGGCCCATTTTTCTCTTAAACCTCTCTTTTGATTACGGGTTGGTCTAAAAATTCCCCGTCAAAACAAGCACTCCAAGTCCATATTTGTTGCAATTGTATATGGGTTTTGCACTCGGCGATATTCTTGATATCCCACTAAACACGTACTATAGGGACTCCCCATGGGAACGTCTTAAGGTTCCGTGTAAGGAAGAACGTACATATCAATCTAAATATGCTTATGTATTGACTTCTCGGAATGGATCAAATGATCGCTCAACTATTCCAAGGTCGAACATCTGGAAATCGTGGGACCGCCTCTCGTTAATACTTGAAAATATTCCTTCAGAATGGTGTAAAGTTGAAAATAAAAGGTTGTTTTGCATTTGGAAGCTGCTACATAAGTACGGTAATATTACTTACATGAAATTACAAGTCCCGGACAAGAATGCAAAACACACTACGGCAATCGTGGAATTCTCACCTCCTCCAGATACAGCTTTTTGGGAACCTGGAGACAAAATTGTCGAGGGCAACATATCTCTTACTGTTCGTCTTAACTTGAAGGCTAACAGATTATTTAATCACAAACCCGCTTTCTCTGAAAAGGGTTATCGCTATGGGTCTATGGTACACTTTCCATTATCCTCTTTGGACCTAGGTCAACGCTACGATCAAGAAATGGTTTCCTTGTTCGGGACAAATTCTAGCAATGACTTAAAAAATGTACAGCTCTCTGTAAATTTCAGTAAAAAACGACTGAGCTTTACTTTCAACTATCTTAAGGATAAAGATGATGAGATATTTCGTTTGGATTTTGATTTTCAAATGATAGTTGGTAATATTGGTACCCGCTATTACGATGACCATATGCTCTTCGATTTTGAATTTCGCTGTGCTCCAAGCATTTTTCGAAAAGCCAAAGTCCCTCGGGACGCAAGCACTAAATTTGAGTGGACTCAAGCTGACTCTTGGCGAAGGCAATGTGACCTGATCTCACAAGAGGCTCCATCGATACCAAATGGCCCACTCACGTTGCTGAATGACAGTAATGTACCTATCGGTCGATGTAACCATTTGCTGTTTACGTCTTATTACGGACAGGACAACACAATGAATTCGTTAGCCTTCCTGCTCCGTGACCTAGAGAAACTAAGTGTGCGCAGCACACTTTCCGAAATAATCCTAGTGCCTTCACCGGATTACCGAGAAATATGCTCATGGCTACAGAAGACAAAACTTTCAAATCAAACGCTCTATTGGCTAGAAGCCTGCGTTTCACAATTTCTAATATCTGAATTTGACTTACCAACATTGATACCAATTTTGGAGTCTGTTACGGAAGAACAGGCACGCTCATTTTTGGAATCTACCTTTGCACGAAAGGTATTTGTATCCAAACCCTCATTGGAACTAGTCCAAAACCAGTCGTCAGCTTCGGGAAAGAAATTTACTTCTGGCCTTAATTCTGTAAAAAAAGTATGTATAACGCCAACTACCGTTAAAGTTATGGACAATTCTTTAGAAGCTGGTAACCGCGTTATCCGTCACTTTAGTCAGTACAACGATCGTTTTTTGCGAATCCAGATTACTGAAGAAAATACCAAACGCAAAATTCGGAGTAATCCTGATGCTTTGAAGCAAGAATCAGTATATGCTCGGGTTTATCAGTTAATGTCACATGGAATTATTATCGGAAAAACTCACTTTGAATTTTTGGCCTTTGGAAATTCACAATTGCGAGAACATGGTGCTTACTTTTTTGCCTCCGGAGAGGATGAAAGTGCAGACTCCATTCGTAATTGGATGGGTGACTTTAGCAATAACGAATCCGTTGCGAAGTATGCTGCTCGAATGGGACAATGCTTTTCTACTACAAAAGATTTAAAACGGTTCCAGGTCAAAGTTGAAAAACGTAATGACATTATAAGAAACGATTCGTGCTTTACCGACGGTGTTGGTATGGCTTCGTTGTCTGTAATGAAACGAACTGCTTCGGAAATGGACAATGAGGAAATGTTTCCTTCAGCTGTACAGTTTAGAATGGGTGGTTATAAAGGAGTCCTTTCACTAGCTCCTCCAACTCTGCTTGAATACCATAAGGGAAATCTGGTTTTTACTAGAGATAGCCAAGAAAAGTTCAAGTCTAATTTTACAGTTTTAGAGGTCATTAAGGTGTCTCGCTTTTCTCATGCGCATCTTAACATGCAACTTATTACGTTGTTGGAAGGTCTAGGTGTTCCGACTTCACTTTTTGTTGACTTAGCAAAAAACGAGTTGAAAGAACTTACTATTTCTTTAAAGGATCCTCGAAGAGCGGTTACACTTTTAAGAAATCACGTCGATGAATATCGTTCAACACTTATTTTGGCAGATTTAATTGCATGTGGATTTATGCAAAGGAATGACAGCTTTACAAAAAACTTGATTAATCTCTACTTTGAATGGGTTGTTCGCACAATCAAGGAAAAACAGCGTTTACGTGTTAAAGAAGGTGCATTTTTAATGGGCGTTGCTGACGAAACTGGGACGCTTAAAGGCCACTATAATGACTCTGTTCTTCCAATTCCCGAAGTATTTATTCAAATTACAGACCCGTCAAAAAACGCTGATGCAACCGTGACGGGAAAAATCAAAACGACAATCATTATGGGCCTTTGCGTCGTTGTTCGTAATCCTGCTCTTCATCCTGGTGATGTTAGAGTATGTCGGGCAGTCCGATGCAATGAGCTTCTTCATTTAAAAAACGTTATCGTGTTTCCAACTACAGGGGATCTCAGTGTCACAGAAATGTGTGCAGGAGGAGACTTGGATGGTGATGAATATACTGTTATTTGGGATCCCAATTTTCTACCGAAGATCGTCAATTATCCTCCTTACATTGACAATGCCGCTAAACGAATACTCACCTTTAAAGAGGGCGTTCCGCCAATTGAATCAATTAAGGCTTTCTTTGTACGTTATATAAAGTATGAGTCTCTGGGCCTCATTTCAAATTCTTGGAAGGCATGGGCACATGACAGAGTTAACAACCCAGATGGGATTTTTGGTTCAATTTGTTTAAAATTAAGCGCTCTTCATTCTACGGCTGTGGATTATCCAAAATCTGGTGTCGCTGCGATTATGCCTCAAGAATATCGCCCAAAAGCTTATCCTGACTTTATGGAAAAAGAGTTCAGATCATTTCCTGCTATGACTGCCGTTGGCGAAATTTACAGATACGCTTCGGCGTTCCAAAGCCAATATTTTAAGAAAGCATATTCCAGCAAACTTAACAACGATTACGATGAAACGATGAAACTGCCTCCTTACAAGCAACAATACATCGAAATTGCCAAGAAGTCCAAAGAACAATATGATAATGATTTACGATCTGTAATGACACATTTTGACATTAAGACTGAATACGAGATTTTCACTTCCTTCCTGCTACTCAATAAGGATAAGGAAACAATAATTAATGAATATGCACTGAGGGAGGAAATAGCATTTCAGTTTTCTGCCTTAAAAAAGCACCACACGGAAAACTATTTCGCGCTTTGCGGTCTCGCGCCTTCTTCTGTGAAAGATATGTCAAAGCAAGAATATGAACAGCGTATCGACAGTGCTGTTGCAGCTGCGTACGATGTCATGCACGAAGAAAAGATAGCCGCAATTGCTGAAGGTACTGACGACTTGGTCCTTACATCGTTTCCGTATATTTTCCACAAGGTCCTATGCCGGATTGCTCGGCGACATACGCTTGAATCCTTAAGCAGTTAATGGCACCATATTGCACTAGGTTGTTTTCACTATTTAGCACTATATTGATGTTTAATGAATTTACGGCTCCATACCAATTCAGTTGTAGCTAATAACTTTTGTAAGGAGTGTATTAAGTAGTGGATTCTATGAATTAAGCAGAAAAGGTACGAACAGTTTGGAAAAGGCGAATCCAAGGACCGTATACACCCCATTCCTTGGCTTGGTTTTTGGGGAAATAGCTGTTAGACTCACGCAGAATGACACGCTCAGGATGGGGCATCATTGCAAGGAAACGGCCACAAGGCGAACGAACACCAGCAATGGAAGCAGGACTGCCATTAGGGTTGAAAGGATAGCGCATGGTGCGTTGTCCATTGTTATCAACGTAGTAAAGAACATCCAATTTCTTGCTTTGAAGATCGCGAAGTTGTTCTGCACTGTCAAACTCAGCCCGACCTTCACCATGAGCAACGACAATGGGCATGCGGCTACCGTTCATTCCCTTCAAGAAGACAGAGGGATTAGCCTCGTCATCGTCAACCTTAATGGTGACAAAACGTCCCTCATATTGAGCGGATTCGTTAGTGACAAAGCGAGGCCAGCTGCTAACACCGGGAATAAGTTCCTTAATACGAGTAAGGAATTGACAACCATTACAAACGCCAAGAGCAAAGGTATCTTTTCTTTCGCTGAAGAAGTTATAGAACTGCTTGCGAGTGCTTTCATGCAACAAAACAGAAGTGGCCCAACCGTTTCCAGCACCAAGAACATCACCGTAGGAGAAACCACCGCAAGCAGCAATACCAACGAAGCTGTCAAGGCCAATCTTTCCAGAAATAATATCGCTCATGTGAACATCAATAGCTTCGAAACCGGAAGCATGGAAAGCATAAGCCATTTCCATGTGTCCATTGACACCTTGTTCACGGAGAATGGCAACGCGAGGTTTAGAGGAAAGAAGTTTCTCAGTGAGGGGAGACTGACCAACATTGAAAGAGAGGTCAAAAACAATACCGGGATCAGCGTCATCCTTAATGTTTTCAAATTCTTGACGAGCACATTCAGGATTGTCACGGAGGGATTGCAACTGATAAGAAGTCTCGGCCCAAGCTGATTGAAGCTCGGCTCTGGTAGACTCGAAGACGGGCTTACCGTCACGGGCGAAAACAATAGTCTGATTCGAAGAAACATCACCAATGGGATAGATGCAGCCAGAAACACCGTGCTTAGACATAAAGTCAACGAAAGCATCATACTTATCAGCAGACACTTGGAAAACGGCACCCAACTCCTCGTTAAATAATGTGGAAATGTTGTCAGCAGGAAGGGCATCCAAGACGCAGTTGAAACCGGCACGGCCAGCAAAGGCCATCTCCGACAATGTAACAAAGAGACCACCATCAGATCTGTCGTGGTAAGCCAGAACAAGGTCTTCGTCATGAAGATCAATCAAGGCATTGCAGAAATTCTTAAACAACTCAGCATTCTCCAGATCGGGAGCATCATTACCAAGTTGCTTATATGCTTGAGCGAGAATGGAACCACCCAAGCGTTGTTTGCCATTAGCCAAATCGACAAGCACAAGCTTACTGGGACCAACATCAGACACTCTGCGAAGTTGAGGAGTCCATGTTTTGCTCACATCAGAGACAGGGGCAAAGCCGGTGATAATGAGGGAGAGAGGTGCCGTTACTGTACGGGATTCACCATTCTCCTTCCACGTCATTCTCATAGACATTGAATCCTTACCAACAGGAATGCTAATTCCCAACTTAGGGCAAAGGTCTAAGCCAATTGCCTGAACAGCCTCATACAACTTGGAAGATTCACCAACATAATTAGGATCGGCCATCCAGTTAGCACTCAACTTCACATTTTCTAAAGCCTTGATGTGGGCAGCGGACATGTTCATAAGCGACTCAGCAACAGCCATACGAGCAGATGCGGCCGCAGAAATAAGAGCAGTAATAGGCTTTTCACCAACAGCCATTGCTTCACCAGTCTTCAAACCCTCACCAAACGAAGTAACGGTGACGGCAACATCAGAAACAGGAACTTGCCAAGGTCCAACCATTTGGTCACGGGCAATCAAGCCAGTAACGGAACGATCACCAATGGTAATCAGGAAAGACTTCGAAGCAACAGCGGGAACATGCAACACCCGTTCTACGGCATTGTTCACACGCACAGATTCAGATGCATTAGGCAGGTAAGAGGCAAGGGTAGCATCAAAGGGAACGAAAGGGACCTTGACAGTCTCAGCAACACGAGACATCTTAGGTGGTTTGCCAAACAGAACATCCATAGGAAGATCGATAGGTGAGGTGTTGAAGTGACGATCAGTCAAAAGCAAACGCTGCTCCTCAGTAGCGTAACCCACGACGCCAAATGGGCATCTTTCACGGTTGGCAATCTCGGCAAATTGCTCAACATGTTCAGGCTTGATGGCAAGAACATAGCGCTCCTGTGCCTCACAGCACCAAATTTGCATGGGGGACATGCTGGGCTCAATACAAGGGATATCACGAAGCTCAAAGTGAGCACCAAGACCAGCATCATGGACGAGTTCAGGCAAAGCATTCGACAATCCACCGGCACCAACATCGTGAATCGATTGAATAATCGTGTCATCCATGGCTGTGCAAGCATCGATAACCATTTGAGCACGACGCTGCATCTCAGGGTTTCCACGTTGAACAGAAGCAAAGTCAAGCTCCACAGAACCCTCACCAGAGGCCATACTGGAAGCAGCACCACCACCGAGACCGACGAGCAATGCAGGACCACCAAGAACGATAAGAGCACTACCGGGGGCAATGCTGCGCTTAAAAGCATATTGCTTACGAATGGTACCGACACCACCGGCGGCCATAATGGGTTTGTGGTAACCACGAATTTCGGATTTTCCGTTGGCCGAAGGAATTTCTAAAGTCAAAGTACGGAAGTAACCATTGATACATGGACGTCCGAACTCATTGTTGAAAGAGCTACTACCGATAGGAGCCTGAAGCATGATATCAAGGGAAGATGCAATGTGATTAGGCTTTCCAACGTTCATTTCCCAGGGTTGTTGATAACCTGGAATCAACAAGTCAGACACACTGTAACCGGCCATACCGGCTTTAGGCTTAGAGCCTTGACCAACTGCACCCTCATCACGAATCTCACCACCTGAACCGGTGGCAGCTCCTGGGAATGGTGAAACAGCAGTAGGATGGTTGTGAGTTTCGACCTTGCCCAAGAAATCAACGATTTCCTTTTTAGTAGTCCAAACACCATTTTCGGGGACGAAGAGAGATCCCTCGCTACCCTCGAACACAGCAGCGTTATCCGAATATGCCGAAATGGTATGTTCGGGATGCTGCTTGTGGGTGTTACGAATCATTCCAAACAATGAATTCTCCATCTTCTTGCCATCGATGGTCCAATCAGCATTGAAAATTTTGTGACGGCAATGCTCTGAGTTAACCTGGCCGAACATGAAAAGCTCCACGTCGGTGGGCTCGCGTCCCTTCAAAGCAGGTTCGTTCAAGAAGCTGTCGGCGAGATAATTAATTTCGTCAGTAGCAAGAGCCAAGCCAAACTTCACGTTTGCCTCATTCAGCACCTTGACAGCTGTCTCACGACTGGCGGAGGCAGAACCACCACGAAGGTCAACCGTAACCAAAGGAGAAGGCTCGTGCTCATCGAAAACTTCAGTTTCCTCAGGCAAAGTGGCACGAAGAGAGTGAGTCATACGGTCATACAGATGAGCATAGACATCCCTGTCAATGGCAGCAGCGTCCAGACCAGCCTTAATTTTCAATTTGTAGACAACACCGCGTTCAATACGCAAAACGTCCTTGAAACCACAGACATTGGCAATGTTTGTGGCCTTAGAAGACCAAGGAGAAATGGTTCCAGGACGAGGGAAGACGAACACGGTCTCACTTGTGACAAATCCCTCAGGAATTACGCGAAGACCAGGTAAGAAAGTTTTCAAAGCGTCAAACGAGACATTGTTACTGTCCTTGACGTGCAACATGTAAAAGTGAGTTGCTTCCAAGTCAAGAATGCTACCTTGCGACGCCGCGAGCAGCTTGCTCTTAGCATGCTCAGTAATAGCCGAATCGCCAAGATAAATGAGCATCTTAAAACAGCTGACCAGAAGAGAGCAAGAGAGAGGAGATACTATAAAGTTGGAACGATAAAAGTTGCAGTTTTACACTGAAACTTCCAAAAATGGACCTAATAAATTTTGAATTGAGGAGGGTGTTGTGGAAGGAAGTTAAAGTTCACCGACAAAAATAAAATTGGTTAGAGATGAGAAAGGTGGGGTTAAGTGGGGGTTAGATGGGGTCTTGCAGTATTATAAGGCGATTTGTCGATTGATACGAGAATTTGCTGTTCGTTGAGCGTGCGGATGGAGTGTCTTATGCATTGGTCGTTATTTCTTATTTTCTCGGTTTTTCCGATTTTTTTTTTTTTTTTTTTTTTTTTTTTTTTATCTTGGTTTAATTTTCTATTTTTTATTTAATTGAGTGTTATTACGATTGATAGTCAGATGTGATACTCGTCAGTCATAAAATGACAATTGTATTGTAACGGTCATAGCAATCTTACCACAAGTGAGATATATGACTACTTGTGTTCTCAATCTCACTTGAACTATTTTAGTAATCATACTTTATTTATTTTTTACATTTAATTAGTCTCCAAAGACATCCTCAAATTCATCATAATCTTCAATGTCCTCAAAGCTTTCGTGCTCTTCACTCTGCTTCATCAAGTTTCTCATGAGTTCATTCACCCTGGCGTCCGTTTGTACATTGGCAAATCCAGAAGATGCATTGAAAGATGAAGTTGAATTTCCTTCTTCCTCCGACGGTGAATTATGTTCAGACTCGTCTCTTTCTGGAGCAGCAAGAACGACAGAAAGCGCTTCCTCAGATAAGCAGCGGCCATCAGTAAGTGCTCTCAGCTTTTCACGCATAACGTCGCGAACCTTATTGAGTCGACCGCTCTTGTACCAACCTTCCGTTGGATGACAAGTGGAATGTAACGGAGCGTCTTGAAGCAAGCTTTTAACGAGGGGATCTGTAATGTCACAGATCTGATAAATTCGTGTTTTTGGATAAAGAGTTGTACCATCGAATATATATGAACCCGAACCAGTGTGTTCTTCATTGACCTTAAACTTAAAGAACAGAGTCTGGTACTTGGCACTAACAGAATCCTTTCGCGGATCGTAACCAAAACGAGTGAAAGCATCACGAAACGGACCAGATGCCCAAAGGTAGGAGACGTACGGGAGAGCGTATTTTAGATTTGAATGAGATGCAGCGCTAATATTCTCGAGAATTCCACGTCGTGTCCACATTGGTCTTTTTTCAAATAAAGGTGCCAGCTCTTTCAGAACATCTTGAACAATTGCATTTGGTTCCTTTTTTACCTCTGCGTGCCGTTCTGTGGGGACCCGTTCTGCATCCATGCCGATCATAATGGTCCATATACGTGCAGCACCTCTAAGGTTGACAAGTCTGCTTTTTCCATCAGGCAAGCTGATTCTGCCTACGTGAGGATTTTGTAGATAGCTGAAATACAAAATGTCAGTACAGAGAAAGGCTATCCGTGACTTACTTGTAATGATGCGGAATCACCGTCTGTGAAAACACCGGAGGAGGAGGAACATCAAGTGATTCACGCATAGCGGGTTGCAGGGAAATGTAAAATTTCGGAACTGTTTCATCTGAGAACGTTAGTATTAGCAGCATACAGTTAATTCCGGCATACAGTCTAGTGTTCTTAGAGTGGAGTCGACTCGTGACAAAAACTCAGACTTGCTTGTATTATACTGAAAATCAGCGATATCTATCCTTGTCAGCAGAAAGAAATCCATCAAATTACGTACTTCGAAAATTGAAGCCCCATTTTATGCGACCTAGACATTGTGCCTTGCCGTTCTGTTTGTGAACTCTGACGAGTATATTGTTTTTTGGTCGTAAACGAGCTTGAACTGGATGCTCATAGTTATCATTTGGACGCATTCGAAGTTCAAGAACTGCATTTTTTGGGTTTTTTGCTGCACGTTCAGTAGCCTAAAGACGTCAGCACATCAAATACCTCCTGCAGGAAGCAGATATTTCAATAGAGCTAGCCTGCCCATGAAATACCTGTACATGGACAAACCTGTTGAATAGTACTGAGACCTCCTAATGTCGCACATCCGTTTTCGACACTTTTGAGAATTCCAGGGTGTTCTATAGACACAAATGTGTTGTCTTTTATTCTTAATCGCGACATGAAAGCTGAGAACGACCAGGACAGATTTGCAAAATTGAATTTCTAATAAAACGACAAAGAAACGAAAAAATAATCCACAAAATTCGTTATAAACACTTTAAACACGTTTGTTTCCCCTATACGCGACAGATGTTACGATCCAATGCCCGTCTGCAGCCTCTATCCTGTTTTTGGTATAAAATGTCCCACCCTTACCGCCATAGCCTGCTGGCCATAAGGAGTAGCATAGTAACGGAACCACGCTCCGATCACCCAGACACTACCAACTCGTGCACAATCTGTAAAGTTGCGCTAAAAAGCGTATTTTCTTAATCTTTCCGGTTAGCCTTCCCTTAATATTCACGAGGTTTTTGGGGTTTGTGTTGCAATTGCCATTCTTCCGGTAGGTACTAGGGAATTGAACATATTTGGCATATGAAGGGTTTTAAAAACAAAGTAGTGAGAGCCCTATCATTCAAGGATGATTCGTCTTCGGAAAACAAATCTGGCAACTCAAGTCGAAAGATGAAAGGCCATGACGGGAGCAGCAAGTCGAAGAAAGAGAAGGATAGTTCTAGCTCAAAAAGTGAGAAGGCTGAGAAGTCCTCTCGAAAACATAAGTTCTCTAGTTCCGACAAAAGTTCCTCGTCAAAGGATATCCGAAAGCAGAACTCGTATGACAAAATTGGCATCGAGAGGTCGGATTCCCCCAGCTCTAGTACAAATGCAGCATCGAAGAAATCAGGAACTTCGACGCCTACACAGACAACTACGGTATGTTGAAGGAATAGGAATCTGCAACGGGTAACGTCTTTGACGTTCTTGCCAACCTTGTTATTCTTTTGCCCATACTAATAGTAACTAGAACGTACCTTCTCGTGCCCCTACGCCCATTCAAAAGGAGCCGGATTTGTTGAAGCTTCCGATAGCGACACCCATTGCCTCAGCTCCTTCCTCGCCTATTGATAAACTTCTTACCAGTGGTGCGGACGTGGATCTCCCTGAGAGTTTGCCCACTGGCCCTCGCCGACAGCCTTCATCACAGTTTCAGGTGTCCGAGCAGCGTGTGCTCCAACGGTTACCTGCTTTCCATGGTGTGTTTTTAATGCTTAGAAGTCTTCTTTATGCTAACTTACTTCAGAGGTCTCTAGTTCTCGCAGGCAAGAATTGTTTATAAAAAAGCTGGAGCAGTGTAATGTCATTTTTGACTTTACAGACCCATCTTCTGACCTTGCAAGCAAGGAAATTAAGCGAGAGGCTTTACAGCAGCTGTTGGAATACATTACCAACAATCGTAATGTCCTCACGCCAGCATTGTATCCTCACATTGTGCATACCGTATGTAAAAGAATTACTTGTGATGCCTTTATCTTACTAATCTTTACAAAGTTCGCCGTGAATCTTTTCCGAACGATTCCACCGCCTGTTAATGAGGACATCGAAAGTTTTGACCCAGAAGAAGATGATTACTACCTAGAGCCGGCCTGGCCTCATTTGCAAGGCGTTTACTTGCTCTTCATTAAATTCTTAGAATCGCCAGATTTCAGTACGAGCAAGGCTAAACCTTATATTGATCACAAGTTCTTCACTAGACTCCTTAGTCTTTTCGACACTGAAGATCCCAGAGAGCGTGATCTTTTGAAGACAACACTGCATCGCATCTACGGAAAGTTCCTGAACTTGCGATGCTACATTCGAAAGTCGATGAATTTCGTCTTCTTTCAGTACATTTACGAGCAAGAGCGTTTTAATGGAATTGCAGAGCTTTTGGAGATTCTCGGAAGGTAAGTTGAAAACGGTTTCCTTACTGGCACTAACAGTCAATGCAGCATTGTCAATGGTTTCGCAATTCCTCTGAAGGAAGAGCACAAGACGTTCCTTACTCGTGTTTTGATACCCCTTCATAAAGCAAAAACTCTTTACCTTTACCATCCTCAATTGGCTTATTGCATTGTACAATTTCTTGATAAGGACTCTACACTGACGAAAGATGTTGTCTTGGGTTTGTTGAAGTACTGGCCACGCGTGAACAGTGCCAAGGAGATTATGTTTTTGAACGAGATTGAGGATATTTTCGAGGTGCTTGAGCCGTCGGAATTTCCAAACATACAAGTACCTCTGTTCCAACAACTTTCTAAGAGCATTGCCAGTTCTCATTTCCAAGTAGCAGAACGGGCACTTTGTTTATGGAACAACGAGTACTTCACGAGTCTTGTTAGTGACAACTTGCCAACCATTCTTCCTATCATCTATCCAACCCTGTACGAAAACTCAAAAAACCATTGGAACCGGACCATACAATCTATGACATATGGCGTTTTGCGGATGTTTATCGACTTGAATCCTGCCTTGTTCGATAAAGTTGTTACAGAGCATCAACGGAAACTTAATGAACAAAAGCGTATGCAGAGCGAACGTACCAAGGCTTGGGAAAACATCGAGGATGCCGCCGAGAAAAACTTGGACAAACTTAAGTCGCGGGATGACGTTGAGTATCTAGACGTCTCTTCCGACCTCGAAATGGGAAATCTTAGTCTGAATGAATAATGCGAGCACACTAAGACTTTTATTTCTAGACGGGTACCTTATCGCATATAATGACACTTGATGAGTATGTTCAAACAAAATCTTTGGAAAGTACAGCGATCCCAACTTACGTATATGAAAGACTATAATACAAGCATACATCGTTAAACACTCACCATCTATAGAAAACCCTAACAGTAACTGTTTTATATTCTTGTTATACCATCACAAAGAGACATTATTATCGCCTAAGTTTTTGTTGGCATTATCGTAACGAAGACATTGCGTTGGGCAGTTTACTTGGAACGCTTGTAGATTTTGTTAAGGAATGTGGTAAATGCTTCCTTCTTCAAACCGGCAGACTCGTCAAGGACAGAGATACGCTGCTTGATGGTCGACACCTCGCTCTCCTCATACTCCTCGTATGCCTTCTTCAAATTAAGCTCTTCAAACACGGCCTTGACACGCTTCTCGCAATCGGCGTCCTTGCGGCCATAGTTCTCGTCAAGGACCTTGCGTTGCTCGGGAGAGGCCTTTGCCAAGGCAACGTTAATCAACCAAGAGCACTTGTTATCGAGAATGTCGGTGCCGACCTTGCCAGTAACGGAGGGATCGCCATAGCAATCCAAGTAGTCATCTTGGATTTGGAAGTACTTGCCAAGGGGAATAAGCACATCACTAGCACGTTGCAGGTTATCGGGGGTTGCAACATTAGCCATGCACATAGCAAGTGCAACGGGAAGATAGAAGGAATAGTAAGCAGTCTTGAAGATGACAATAAAGGCATGCTTATCTTGACTGAACTTGGAAAGATCAACATGGTTTTCAGGGGCAGTCAAGAGATCCAATTCTTGACCCAAAGTAGTCTGGAAAGTCACTTCGTGGAACAAATCCAGCAAATCCACGTAATAAGTTTCATGACGGAAGTGCTTTTTCAACAAAAAGTAAATAGCGGATTCAAGCATAAACGAATCATTAATGGCAATGCTTCCAACGTTGGGCTGAGTTCCGTTAGCCACAGATGCTCGTATATACCATGATGTTCCTCAAAAGGAACCTCTAGTTTTCTTAACATACCATTAAGTACCAGCAGGGCTGGCCACGACGTGTCTTGGACTCGTCCATCATATCATCAGCGACCAAAAAGAATGCTTGCAACTGTAACAGGCGTCAGCTCGCTTCTTCCGAAGGCGTTATCATCATTCATACCAATTCGATACACCAACCCAAAAGAGCAGCACGGAAGTAAGAGTTATCATCAAGGGCCTTTCCGGACAAAATCTCATAGGTGTCGATTACGGACAAACCACGATTATACTTTCCGCCCAAAGTGTTGTGGTACAAACTCTGTTTGTGAGAAAACGACACGATTAACGCGTCGTTTTCACTTTGTTAATAAGATAATTCAACAAAGATCCATGACTCCCGTGTATTGTACCTTTTTGAACCAATCTTTAGCGTCCTGAGGAACATTTACGGAGGTCAGATAGTCGACAATTTCGTCTACAAGAATGGGGAAAACCGCCTCAAATTTGGCGCGTTTGTCTTCCTTAGAAAGCTAATCCAATGGTTAGAAACGGCATAAATAAATACAAATTTTCGTACAGAGTTGGTAGCTGCAACCATTTTGTTGAATTTCCGTGTCTGGTTTTGTTTACGTTACTGGCAATGGTAGCGTGTCTCCCACAGGATTCCCTAACCTTAATAAGGCACAGTTGTCATAGCAACTCTACGGCCCTGCTGCAGACATCCAGCTTCGCGTACCAAAACCCGGTGTTGTTTACTCACCGCCTCGAACTTCCTTAAAAGTAAATAAACCGATTTGCAGGAATTCTGTTATTTTGGTGTGTTTTGCGCATTGATTTCGTTTAGAGCATAACCGGTTTGCCCGTTGACTTTTTTTCCCAATCAAATTGAGTACCTTTTACGAAAACTGAAAGTATTGCTAAAATGACAACTGAACCCGTGTTCCCAGAGGAACCGGTTCTTTATGAATTCCAACATGGACTTAAACAGATCATTAAGGAGTGCATGGAGCGGGGGTTGTGTTATGCTTCGCGATGGTAATTAAATAATTGTGCTTAAAACAGCAATTGCCTCGAATTTGCTTGACTAATGAGTTATTTAGGGCTGCGGAAATGTTAAATGGAATGAAACCTTTGGATCTAGATGGTGCTCCTTTCTCTTCTACTCCTGCTCGCGACTGTGCGGAATTGAGTGCGTCCGACGTTACTGATGCTCTTTTGGAACGCCAGGAAGAAAGCAAGTACTTTTTAGGAAAATCTTATTTTGACTGCAAAGAGTTTGAGAGAGCTGCGTACGCGCTCAAGGATTGTAAATCCTCAAAATGTGTTTTTGTCGCCCTCTACAGCAAATACCTTGTTGGCGAGAAACGACGCGATGAAGAAAATGATGAGCAACTTGGTGTCAACGACAGTGCAGTGATTGTAAATCGAGAACTGTCAGCCATCGCAGAAACTTTAAACGCACTTCTGAATAACGGGAATAACGATCCTTACTTACTGTATCTCCAAGGTGTGATACTACGCCAGCGAAAACAGTTAGAACATGCGATTACATACTTTTTAAAATGTGTGAGCCTTCGTCCTTTCTTCTGGTCAGCATGGCAAGAGTTGTCGGCTTGCTTGGATAGTGTTGAAACTCTCACAGCAACGATGAAGCTTCTTCCTAGTGATCATATAATGACCAGGATCTTTTTTGTGTTTGCATCCCACGAATTGCATCAGGTGAACAGTGTTGTTTATGAACAGCTGGAAGAAGCAGAACGAGTATTCCCTAGCAGTGTTTATTTAACAACACAGCGAGCGTTGCTTGCTTACGACGCCAGAGGTAAGAAAATTTGTGTTACTATTGTTATAGCGTTTTCTGTACTAACTGCTTTTAAGATTTTGATGAAGCAGAGGAGATGTTTGAGGACATTCTGAAAAATGATCCCTACCGACTCGATGATATGGATACCTATTCAAATATTCTATTTGTTATGGAGCGAAAATCAAAATTAGGCTTCCTAGCACAGGTATCCAGCGCAGTTGACCGTTTCCGACCGGAAACGTGCTCCATCATCGGCAACTATTACAGTTTATTATCCGAACACGAGAATGCTGTGACTTACTTCAGACGGGCCCTGCAGCTTAACCGGAATTATCTGGCTGCGTGGACCCTAATGGGTCATGAATATGTGGAGTTGAAAAACACACATGCTGCTATTGAAGCCTATCGACACGCAGTCGATGTTAATCGGAAGGATTATCGAGCATGGTATGGCTTAGGTCAAACTTATGAAGTGCTTGACATGCATTTTTACGCTTTGTATTATTTCCAAAGAGCGACTGCTCTCAGACCATATGACCAGCGAATGTGGCAAGCCTTAGGAAACTGCTATGAGAAAATACAACGACCGCAGGAGGCTATTAAGTCTTATAAACGAGCACTCTTAGGTTCTCCTATAAATGTTTCTATACTTCTTCGACTTGGCCATTTGTACGAAGAACAAAAAGACCTATATTCGGCATGCTTGATGTTCAAACAATGCATTAAAGCAGAAGAAGAAGGCGGTGAGACGTCGCCAGAGTCTATAAAAGCACGTATGTGGTTGGCAAAATGGGAACTGGACCAAGGAAATTACAAACAGGCGGAGGTTTACCTCAGTGACGTTTTAAATGGTGATTTGGAACTTGAAGAAGCGAAAGCATTAATGCGGGAATTACGGAGTCACATTGAACACAAAAAGGATTCTCGTTAAGGAAACCGTAAAATCCACTTGAAACACCTTGACTGTTCAGACACTGTAATTCATCTTCCTTTAAGAAGCTACGTTCTTCTCATTCCATTGACAGAAGCTAACATTTTATTTGTTAGTCTTTTCATGACTAGAGTAATGATATTGTTTAATGATGCATTTATAGAAAACTGTTTCTTCATTTATTGACATGAAATAATCTCGTATTCAACAACTGTTGACTTAACATTACATTCTGCGCATAAAACTGCGAGCATCAGATCTTGGTTCAGATTGGTTAGAAGAGTAAAATTTGTTAAAATTCGTGGATTGCTTACGATTTAAAAATTGCATTATCAAAGACTTCCACATTCAGTTCAGATCGCGAGTCTAAATAACTTTGCGTAGAGTTCACCAAGGAGTCACCCATTGAACTAAGATTTTGATCCATACTCATTTCGACATTGCTCCCAAAATCATTTGAGGAACTTTGCATGCTCTCGCTCCCCGAGTCTTCAAATACAATATTAACATCTGACACATTTGACGCAGATGCGTTTTCTTCCAGAGCTCGCTTCAACAAATCTGAACTGACAGTCTCGGCAGGACTAATGGCAAGACTCTAAACTTATTAGCCGATGATCTTACAACAATACATACCTCATGCAAATGCTTGATAGCTTCCGCAGGGTTCTTTTTCAGCAAATAAATAAGTGAAATTGCTGTATGAATGTTCGCATCTCGAGATGATAGGTATAAACCTTGCTGAAAGGCTTCAAGTGCAGGGTCATACATTCTAGAAATTAGTTAGTTTAATGATTATAATAAATAAAGTTGCCTCTTACTTCAATTTTCTGTAGGCGTGTCCAAGATTAGCCCATGTCGCAGCCCACACAGTTTCATTGCCTTGTGTTTTCTTCACGAGTTTAAGTGCAGATCTAAACCATTTGATCGCCTGTTGCATGTCACCTTTGTTAAAAGCAAGAACACCCATCTCATTTAGTAACAGGGGATCATGCTGACATAATTCATATGAACTTTTCAGATACTCATCGGCAAGCAACATGTTTCCAAGTTGCATATGTTGCATACCTAGAAAGAGGTATGGCAAATGTGCACCCTGGAATAGCCGTGACGCTGTTGTATAAGCTGAAATAGCTTGATCGTGTTCGCCTTCTACAGCGAATGAGTGAGCAAAGCCTATCCAGGCGGGGCCAAAGTGAGGATCCATTGTGGAGGCCTTGGAAAAAAAACGCCGTGCTTCAGTTATTTTTTTAACACATAAATAGTAAATGCCAACAGCAAGCCAAGTGACAGCTTTTGTTGGCTGCTTATCCGTAAGGTCGTGAGCAATAAGAAACAATTTATTCTTTTCACCTAATTCATGTAAGCAAGCAAGGTGAACAGGATAAGCTTCAAGTTTGTAAGGATCATTCTCCAATATTTGAGACGTGAGTTTAAGTGCGTCTCTGAAACAGGACTTCACGAAAAGGACTTCTGCACGACACAAGAGTAGGTCTGCACTGCCTTTTAAACCAGATACAGAAGAAAGGTAAGCGGAAGCACGACTAAGTTCGTCTTCATGGGCGAGCTTATTAATTTTTAATGTGTACATTGCTCTAAGGAAATCTGCGTCCTCCTTTGAATATGCCGTGAAGTCAAGACTATTCACCAATTCCCATTCTTCTTTCACGGTAAGCAAATGGTTTGACACCAATTGGTTAAAGGCTTCAAAACACTTTGTATCAAGCAAAACAGCTTCTTTATAGCAGTCTTTTGCTTTATCAAAGTTGTTTAAGTTTGTGTAAACCACACCCCGGAGATAACACATGGAAGCTTCAAGCTTAATTCCTCCATCCTGCATTTTTAATTTTGGCAATTTACCAGTTCCTGAACGAAAAGGGTTTTCCTCGCCTAAGAGAGACAACGCACCTTGCCAATCAAACAGTTTTACACAGCATAATGCAGCTAAGTATCTGCATGCAGAGCTTTGATTCAGAAGATCCTGTTTTAGAAGAAGACTCTTTGCTCGCGCATAGTTGTGAGTTGAACAGTAAACTTTTGCCAGCCAGAATGCATCATTAGGATCGTTGGTTATAGAGAGTACTGTCTCTCCAACAAACATGGCTGTATCGTACTGTTCCTGCATAAGTGCATCATGTCTCCACATACGAAGAAGGTCTTCTCGGTTAACTTTTTGAACATTAAACGCATTCAACTGATTTCTATCGGGTTTAGGGGTCTGTTTGTCATAAGGAGAGTTTGCATAGAACGGCACTGGACTAATTGTGAGTGTAGATATTTGGGAATTTGATTGATTTGGGTTAACAGGATTGAACGATGGAGGAGTCATATAACAATTATTTGAACGTGCATCGGCATGAGAATACGACGTAGGCGTTGCTAAATTGCTCCTTACTGGGAGATTCCTTTTATTTGCCATACTTTATTAGTGCTGTGGTTAGAAGGAGGCAGCACTCGGTTTTCGAACAGTGCCAAAACAATTGTATTAGTAAACAAATGTCGCTGTAATAAAATGTGTTAAGAAGAAATACGAATTGTTTGGACGAGTAATATAATATGGCAAATCCGATACAGTAAGTATAGCAACTACGCCTTACGAATGTCTAATCGTAGTCGAACGAAACAAAGCAGTTATTTACAAAAAGTAATCCAGCAACCACCACTTTTTAAGAATTAACAGAGAATTTTATAATTACTAACTTGTTCTCTGAATTTATACCTATCCAAAAAGTTTTCATCCAAGAATTTTCAAGTATTCTTCCAAAACAAACTGAACAAAATAGTGAAAATTAAAACAAAAATATGCTTACAAATACAAAGATGCGCTGAAAACAATGTCACGGTGAATACAAGCAATTGAATCCTCCATTTTCTTCTGCAATGCTGTGTTTCCAATAACCTTAGCAGCATCCCCCATTTGTCGAAGCAATTCCTCCAATCGACGGAACATACGAATTAAAGATCCTTCATAGACATCCGTCATTTTGCAGATATGTGCGAATGTAGCACCGTGAGCCCAGGCAAAGACAACGGGCATTAAAGACGGTTTGAAACTCTCGACATACTCGTCCTCAATAACATTGAGTTTACTTTCCTGAGAGACTTTGGCAATACGCCGAGCCATCTCCTGCAAAATTTTGTGAGGGCCAGAAAGCTCTTCTTTCAAGTGCAAGTTTTCATCATTGGATTTCTCCTGGAAAACCAAACAACTTAACAAAGCGGCACATTGTTGAGGAGTCAGATCGTTGAATATACCATTAAAAATAAGTTCTGTAATAAGTAATTCATCTCCAGAACTAATTTCACAAGCAACACGACCTTTTACCTCAATAACATCGTCGGTGGTTGTGAAGCCCAAACGTCTCAACACACGTTTTCTGCAATTAAGCTCATTTAACTGCAAAACTGCACGACCCTGGGATATTTTTTCTTAATGTCTTTCATCTTCACCTGCAGCGACTTCTTCTCTTCCAATTGTGCCAACTTTTCTCCAACACCATCAAAGTTGTGCAAAGGATTAGCCAACAAACGGGCCTCTAGCACCTCTGCCTTTTTAAGAAGTTTTTGGAATGTTTCATCCTTAATATGCATGTTCTCCACCGGATCGAGCAACTGAATACCGTCAGGGAACCGTCTTTTCACCTCCTTCAACGATTTACCGACGATAGCACGTTGCTGAGGAGACTTCAAGTCTTTAGGGAGGAATACACGGATATGAGCAATACCGTCAATGGCAGAGAGGTAGACAGGAACCTGCTCCATGCGTCCCTCATCACCCTCAACTGGTGGTTGAACATCTGGAAGTTGTCCCTGCTTAATTTTAATGGGTCCAGTTTCACTAGACACACGTAAAAGAACATAAAGGATATAAGACTCCAAAGGTGGGAAATCTTTTGACTGTCCCCTTGGCGCAGAGCGCTTCTGGACTTCTGTAACTATTCCCCAATCAAAGTCCTTCTTACCATCATGAATACGCACTAACCGTCCTGGTTGAAGGAATGACAAGGAAAAGTTGGGTTGATTAACCACTTTGCGGATATCCTCATGATATACTTTTAATTGAGTGCGAATGGTATCATACTCCTCAACTGCGTGTTCATCCTCAATAACAAAATTGTTAAACTTTTCTTCCGTCTCAGCAAGTTCTTGCTCGAGGCGGGGGATTTCAACACTGTTTTGGAATTGGAAGAAACAACGCTCAAGCATAAACTCAGGCGAAATACCTTCCACACGCAAAAGGTTAAGAATCATATTATAGCTCAAGTGGAAGGCAGAATCCAAACGATCAGCCTCGCCTTTCAGCATACTTTTAGCAACAGGTGGATCCATTTTCTCATCAACCATCAAAATAACAATACCACGATCATCAAGACCACGACGACCAGCACGACCACTCATTTGAATATACTCACCACCGGAAATCCAACGGAAATCCTTTCCGTCAAACTTGCGAACATTGGTGAAAACAACAGTTTTGGCGGGCATGTTCAAACCAATGGAGAACGTCTCCGTTGCAAACAGAACTTTAAGAAGACCTTCTTGAAAAAGAATCTCAATTACCTCCTTAAGAATGGGAAGAAGTCCAGAGTGGTGAATACCAATACCACGACGAAGCAAAGGGAGGATGTGTTCAATCTGAGGCAATTGACGATCCTGCTCAGAGAGCTGATTAATAGCGTTATTGAAAATCGTGCTAACCAGATCACGTTCCGTTTTATCATTCATGTCAAGTTTTGACATCTGAAGGGCCAGCGCCTCACAGTCGCGCTTACTGAAACTAAAGACGATAACAGGATTGTAGTTCTTCATCATAATCATCTTCACAATTTTGTAGATATCAGAAGGTCCCTTGTTTCCACCTTTACCAATCTTTCCCTTCTTGCCGACCTTCTTGTTGGGAACAGCAGCAGGATCGTCGCCAGTCTTTTCCATCAGAGCACCCATAGCACGTTGAAAGTTTTCCTCTCGGAAAGTACTCTTTTCGTCAACAACCAAGTGAATTCCATCACCGCCGCTTGGGAAAAGATAATGCTGTAAAGGAGTAGGACGGAAATCAGTATAGACGACATGACAGGGTTGACGATGAATGCGAGTAATCCATTCAGCGAACTGCATTGCGTTGGGAATTGTAGCAGACAAGAAAACATAGTGCACCTTGTCGGGAAGCAGAATAATAGTTTCTTCCCAAACCACACCACGCTCTTTGTCACGCATGTAATGAATTTCATCGAAAATAACCCAAGCAACTTCACGCATAACCTCCGAACCACGATACAACATAGAACGCAGAATTTCCGTAGTCATTACGAGACAACTTGCATCGGGATTAATGGTAACATCACCAGTCATTAGACCAACATCACCAAACTCGGCCAGAAGTTCACGATATTTTTGGTTACTCAAGGCCTTGATGGGACTTGTGTAAATAACACGCTGCTTATCACGAAGAGACTGTGCAACAGCATATTCGGCCACCACGGTCTTACCAGCAGACGTATGAGCACTAACCAAAACACTTTCATTGCGTTCAATAGAAGCGATGGAAACTGCTTGGAAAGGATCAAGGGTGAAGGGGTACGTGCGAGCAGGTGGATTAGGACTTTTATGTTGAGACATGGGAATATAATTGTAATTCGGTGGAAGAGAGACCTGGTGACGGACCTGATGTCTCAAGGTTACCTTTTCAGCAGATGTATCTGGACCACTAGGGACACCAACAGCACCAGTGACTTGAAGAGAACCCTCCTCCTCAAATGAATCGGCAACAACAGGCTCCACAATTGTCCCACCCGTCATAAACTTCTTCCTCGTCTCATCCTCGGCACCCTCCTCTGTCGAATTTTCGGTTTTTGAGCTTGCATCCTGAACAGCAGATTCCGTTCTCACCTGCGAGACCTCAGAAACGCGTTCTTCGTGCTCTTTATCAGCAACAACCGCTCTTTTTTGACGTTTTACGTCTTTTTCTTTTACGCTTCCATCCTTACGAGTAACACGATCGTCATCGCTGACTTCTGAAGACGTACGCTTCTCGTTTTTCACTTTTTTTTCGGCCTTGCCTTTCAATTGTTTTAACGAAACGTCAGCATTTTCGTCAAAAACGCCGAATGCCGCGTCAAGATCGACTCCAAACATGGCAATCACACAGATTTCGCGCACACAATTCTTCTAACGGTGCGTGTAGCGAAATATGCAGAAGACAGGAGCAAAACTGCGTGTTCCCGGTGTTTCGCCAAGTGGAGGGTGGGGGCAACCCAATGCAGACATTTGGTGGTGAGGATGAACAACCATTAAGGTTTTGCGGAGAAGCAAATTAGCGAAACCTTACACATACACCTTGACGACACGTGCTATTTGCACCACCAAAAAATGAGTCTCCGTCCGTCGCTTAAGGAATGGTTGAAATGATCGATTCGGCATATGTTACGTAGATGTGATGGAACAATGGTTCATTAATAGCAATGCAGTCTTCGCTGTGAATTCCTCATTTACAGTTAAGTCTAAAACTTCACTAGATTTAGCCTCAATACCACAAGACAAAAACGACTTTATTCGTTACACAGACCGCACAGAGTAGCTCTCGTCTCACAATAGTTATGAACGACTTTCGTGCTGCAAGATCGTTGTCTCAACGCATCCCGACAACACTAGGTTGTGTTCGATTCGCCGGTGATTATCGTGCCTATCCTGGATCGTACGTGCCAAAACTTTCCGCAAGTTAAGACATATATTGACCTTCTGTGATCACCAGTACGCTTCCGTTCCGTATTCCAAAGCGTAAACCCTTGGCTTTTATCGCAATTTTTGGAACATTAGGTAAGGACAAGCATGAAATGCGGATGTAATACCTGACGCACTACGATTGTTGGCGTTTCGATATCTGCTATTTATTCGTTTGATCTTCCTCTTGCTAAAGAGTTTTTAGGAGGAGTTTTTGGTATTCCCTTTTATGTCGTCCATTATGTATGTGCTATTAGCAGAAAGTATAAGTGAATTATTGCTAACACCAGCAGCATAACCGTGGTCTCCGTGCAGCAGCAAAGGCAGAAGCAGAGGCAAAAGAAAATTCTTCCTAGTTCGTATGGATGTTGAGCCTTAGAAACATTTAATACTTATCCCAAGGGCCATTTCCTCTCCCCCTAGCGTTGTTGAATCCTCATAGCAGTAAGAACAATGCACTATATTAACATAAATTCATCTACAAAGGGAGTAGTCGTCCCTTCAGCCGTTTCCACGACACTTGAGTGGGAATCATCGTTCAGTAGTTGTGCATCGGTGTGTATGGCAAAACTTACAATTTGGGGTTTCCTTGGGTATCCACAAGAGACTCGGTATCAGGAAGGACTTGAGGGCCATCACCAACACGAGTCAAAATAACACGGCTGACACCAGATGAAATTGTGTCAATGACAGTTGGCTCAAGATTCAAGAATTCAGAAGACTCTACAGGCTTGAAGTCTGCCTTCTCCCAACCCTCGGCGTTTTGAGTCACGGAACGGAGAGTAGTAAGTACAAGATCCGAGTCCTTCTCAAGGAAGTAGATAACAGCGTTCGGGCCAGCATCAAAAGTGTAAGCTGCAGCATAGCCGTTAACGGACGAGTTAATACTCTCAACAGCACGAATGATGGCACGGGAGGTGTCGTTGAGATAGAAAATAGGAGGGGTGGTATCGAGGCAAACGGCGTGGAATTGGTTAGAATCCTTCATCGTGAGTTGGGCAAACGAAGCAAAATCGCGAGCACGAATGGCATTCTTCATTTCAACCATACGTTGAGGAACGACGTTACGTGCTCGTTCGGCGAAGAGAGATGACGTTGCGACGGTAGCCTGCATGCCGGCAGTAGAGGAGACACCCTTCTTCGCAGCAGAGACGACAAGAATGGCGACACGCATTTCGGGCCAGTGCTCGACAGGAGCCACTTGGACAGCAACACTGTCGGCTCCAGTAGGCTGCTCGCCCATTTCCCAAGACACGTAACCGCCGAACAAACTACGGCAAGCACTGCCCGAACCCTGACGAGCAACTCGAGAAAGCTCGGTAGGGGTCCAAGGCAATTCGTACAACGCGCAAATGGCTTGAGCAAATGCTGCAAAACCGGCAGCCGAAGAAGCCAAACCGGCAGCTGTGGGGAAATTGTTCTCAGACACCACACGAAGTTTGTAGTTGGCAATCTTTTCCAACGACTCGTTTTTAGCCTCTAATTCCAAACGGCTTTTACGAAGCTCACGGACACACACCGACAAACGAGGGCTTTCACACATGGATTCCATTGCTCCATTTAACCACAGAGAATCCTCTTCAAATGCAGCACTGCAGCTGGCCGTAGTCAATGTACGGAGGTCATTTTGAGACAACGTAACTGAAAGAGATGAGTTAGAAGGAAGGTTCAATCCGACATCACGTTTTCCCCAGTATTTAATGACAGCGATATTTACAGGAGCAGAGACCGTTTTCTGATACACGGGAGCGGACATTTTTCTTCAGGTATGCAGAGAAGAGAAAGATTATAAAGCACACGAAATAGAAATTAAAAACCAAAAGTGACTGGGGTAAATTACAGTAAGAGAAACCACCCAAAACGCCCACTGGATTTCGTCGCGTTCTTGAGCTTTAAACGTTTTAGTGGTGTATTTATCCGCGGAAGATCCTAGGTCATAACGCGGCACAAAATGAAAACTCACCACCAAGTGCTTGGGTGAGACGAGCGGGAGGACATAGTCAGACCAAGGTGAGGGAAACAGTACGAGCTGAAAAGAGAAGCTCAAGAAGGTCATTTAGACCCAGCCAATTGTCCGAACGTGACGCATAAATATAAGAAGACTTCAGTTTTGCTTGACGTGAACCACGTAGCTCAGAAATGTCGGAAGTTCTCCTTAGTATCGATTCTGTACAACAGATGATTAAGGACAGAAAACGTCTCAAAACGTCGGCCAGTCCTGATCTTGATGCAGAAATCAAAAGTAAATTAAATGAGATTCAGCTTAAGTTGAAAGAATTGGAAAAGAAGCAGAATGACATGGAGAATGATCCCCAAATACCGGAATTTCAATTGAAACAAAAGGAACAACAGTTAGTCCGTTATCAGCAGCGGTTCTCTCGAGTAGAAGAAATGTATCGTGAAATCATTCAACGAAAGAACATTGACATTATCGCCGGAGGAAGCAATGTTCAATCCATCTCAAGTCAAGATGAGGACAGAAGCATGAACCAAAGTGGTAACACTTCCGCTGTCACTAGCATAAGCAACACTTACGGAGCAACCATGCCCGACAATGATTCAGCCATTGAATTAGGGACATTCACTCCTAATCACGCCGGTACCGCCGATAGTAACGCTGCTCAGGATATTGATGTGGAAGCTTTACACAACATTCACACACAGATGCTTTTGGAGCAAGAGGAATCGCTCGTTGGGTTGGAGCAGTCGGTGCAAAATCAGCGCACACTTGGTTTGCAGATGAATTCAGAACTTGATGAACACAACACATTGCTCAATTCGCTTTCAGGTTCAGTGGATGATACAGGAAACAGATTGCGACGTGCCCGTGGACGTTTGCAACGTGTAACAAAGAAAGCCGAACAGTACCCACACTGTTTCATCATTTTCCTCCTTCTACTGGTGCTGTTTTTGGTGATAAGTGTTTGAGGCATGTTCTTGTTTTGTCTCGTTTCTTTGCGTGCACTCTAATCCCAGCATACTCTTTCGGCGATAGGACAAGTTGCGAGTGTACACATGCAAGTTTAACATACATAACGCACAATAGTCCTTGTGCGTGTCGTAAGATGGTTTGGACAGTTTGTCTTTTATGACATTTAATGATTGAGTTTCATAATGATTTAATAAAACACCTGAATTAAATTCGCAAATGGGAACATTTGAGCTGTTGAAGTGAGGATTGTCTTGTTGATTTAAGTAAGAAGGGGAAAACATTAACGTAGGTATGCAGCTGTCATTATTGAATTCCTTGAGACGAGAACATTCTGTGTGCATTCGACAGTGGGCAAGATATACAAAGACAGATAACGAGGAAGAGTTCAACAGAAGAGAAAAAAGGCAAAATCGGCAGAACAACTGGAAGAGTAAATAACAAGGAGACCAAGAAACATTACCCGGGAAGTACAGGAACGGCTCGCGACTGAAGAGGATAAACAAACACACGATGATAGAAGATGACAGTTGCCATCAGCTAGAACAATTACCGGCAGGAGGAAAACATAGCAAATGAAATTAACAGTATAAAGAGACACAACCAACGAACAAACGTTTAGCGAAATGGCCAATTGTAACCAGGGTCCAGCGTCTCATCGTCTTCAAAATCAAGTGACTGCGTTGGATTAGTGAGATTAGTCGAAGCTAACCAGTCAACATATTTCGGCGACTGCAATTGTTTCGGAGACAACATCTTTGGGGAATTAATCACATCGTTCACCTGGCTAGGGAACATCAAGTTCAGAGGTACAGCAGTAGTTGGTGACAAATCCGAACCTTCCGAATGAATACTTTGCATCGTCCAGTTGGAAACGGGTTCCGCCGACGCGGACTCGCGTATTTTTTCGAGAGGTGAAACGACGTTGTCGGCCTGTTGATCTCTGTTGTTAAGGAAGGGCTCATGCAGCCATTGTGAGAATTCTTGATCCGTCAGCTGCTGGGCCTGACTTGTTGACAAATTGGAGGCAATACGAGCAGAATCGTTTGCCATTTGTAGCTGCTCTTGCGACTGCATAGGCGACATCGTAGGCAAAGGTTGATCAAAAGGGCCAGTACTTCTATTCGATTGGGCTATTTGATCCAGTTGGACGCTGGAAGATTGCGAAGAAGGATAACCGCTACCAAGACGGAAACATAATTCCTTACTCCTCCGTCGCATAAGGCTAGAGGAAGGAGACACCGAGCGTTGAAGAGCCTCATCCCTCAGGGAAGCAACAGATGACGACATGGGTTGTCGTTGGTTGTGTTGTAACGATTGTTGTTGTTGTTGCTGCTGCTGCTGTTGCTGTAGTGAGAGCTCTTTCGCTGACGGTGATTCTTGTTGCTGTTCCTTCGGGGCAGTCGACGGCGGCGGCTGCTGGTTAGGGGCAATTGAATGCGGAGAAAGTTGGTTCCAAAACGAGTCCGTTGCTGCTAAACCGGGAGAGTCAACGGCGTGTCCCTCAGGAATACCCGGCGGATAATAACCGTCGAGTGACATGTCCCAAGCAAACGGAAATTGCGGTGAAAGCGGTGGTTCCACGCCAAAGTTGTCCGTGGGCAACACGGGACAACTACGCACCATAGACAGCGGTTGCATGTCATTGGCGATAGAAGCACGCCGGAAAGGCATATATGCCGATGGATGTACACGCTTTGCGTACGAGGTCATATAATCCCCATTAAATGAAGGCGAAGGCACGTCTCTCAAAGAATCGCCTAGTTGATTGGCAAAACGCTGCTGCTGAAATTGTTGAAGATGAGGGGGGATAGAAGAAGCTTCGTTAGGTGGTAGGGAAAAATAGGAGAAGTCGTCAAAAGAGGCCGTTGGGTTCTGTGGGTTCTGTTGTGATACGGACTGTGGCCGGTACTGCTGAAACTGATCCGTTGCCTGTGGCTCGGAGTTCTGCTGCGGTTGCCGATTAAATCCATTGGCACCGTTGGACGGGAGGAAACCCAGTTGCGACTCTTCCAGCACCGGAAAGCATGGCGAAGCACGACGCTCGTATGCAGCAGCACCAGGCTGCGAAGGCGGAGCAAGCATATTGGCGGGGACATTCGACATGGAAGCAGACGCGGCAGCGGCGCCAGGCAACAAGTCACCCACGTTCGTTGGTCTCGATCGAGCAAAATACGAGGCGGATTTCATTGCCTGTAAGGGCGTAGGTGCCACGCATACTGGAGGCACTTCTGGATCCAAATCGGCACTGGGACGAGTGGGAATAGCAGTTGTGGACATTCGACGACGCCGAGGTCGAGGATTTCGATGAATTTTTTGTTGATGACGCTGTAAAAGGTCGCGGCGCGAGAAACGCCGACCGCATCCAACGGGCTGGCCGTCTACGGTTTCACACACATACGGCTTTTCGTTCGTGTGTGAGCGTGTGTGCCGTTTTCAGATGCTCCAATCGGGCAAAAGCACGAGTACAGATTGTGCATACATACGGTCTGACCTTTGCTGAGGGATTCGCAGCGACAGCGGCTGCTGCATTCGGAGCAGACGACGGAACAGTCGCGACAGCAGAAGCAAGAGTCACATTCGAATTCCCGGCCGGTTTCGACTGTGCATTGTGTGTGCCAGAGCCGGAATTGGCGCTACTGACTTGATTGTTTCGTCCCTTGGTAGCGGCAGCACCAGCAGCGCCCGACATGGATATGGAGGATACGGAGGTGCGGGCGTCATTTGAAATATTGCACAGAGTTCCCCCACTCAGGCCTGAGCCTGTGTCTGAGCAGTCTTGAGTAGCCTGAAGAAGCGACAAATCGCCCAGATCGCCAAGGTCACCGGCACCAGACGATTGCTGCGCCTGAATTCGCTGCAGCTGCTGCTTCTGACGAGACTCCTGAAACATCCCAGCTGAAGAGTTCGGGTCATCGTACACGCGGTCGGACGACGGTAAGGGCTGTCGCACTGGCGTTCGGCCAGGTTCAAGTTCATTGGCGTTCCCTAATCCGCAGGCGCTGAGTGACGTCGAGAAATTCGAAATATCAGAAAGCAGTGCCGTCGTTGTAGCGGACGTGGCGGGCAATTGCGCTGTCAGCAAACCTTTCGGTTCTTGACTCATCGCAAAACACTGGGAAGCTTTTCTCTCAAAAAACTATGTAACAGATTATAAGGAGGCGCTCGTTAACTCTGATTACGAGGCGCAATGGAACGAACAAAAGATGCGTTAAAAAGAATAACAGAGTACAACGCAGATTAAAAAACAAAATAAGAAGCTGCCTTTGAGCGCGTTAAACAGAAACCTCGGGTTCAAGCGAGAAGGAGTGAAACAACAGAGAACGGGTGATTTCGAGAAAAAGGTGTACCAGAACCGTTACCAGGTAAACAAAGCATCCTTTCTCACCACGTATGGAAAATGAATGCTAAGGTGAGTTGAAATAACGGAGAGGGGAGGGAACCGCGTCGACAGAAGCAATGCCTGCACAAGGGTGGTTAGAGGGTTTAGGCTATGAGAAAGAGCGGGAACGGGGGCAGAGGATGGTGATGGGTGGTTTGTGTGGCGGATTGTGGAGAAGCGGGGGATGTTGCGAACGTGGGGTAAACTGCACCGGCGGAACGCGTTCTCTTATAAGCGCAATGATGTAATGCCATTGGCTTGGAATATGATGGCGTGAACTGATAAATGGAGTTTTCGCCAAACACATTGGGATCGAGACACGTGTGAGCCAATAAGATCACGTCAATCCATATCTCTGGACCACTCCAAGGGTCATCCCCACAAAGAGGCTCGCATCCCTTTGTTCCCGGTTACGCCAACCAACCATAAACGAGCAGAACAAGTGCCGACCGTGACATCACAGCAACCTCTATATCTTCCCTCCAGCACCCCCGCAAAAATCGGCCAACCAGCGCACGCCAGGGCATCGCTTAACGGCGCCCGGAGCAGGGGAAAACGCGTCGCTCTTCACACACAGAGGCGTCCAGGGAAACGCGACACGTGCCGGATTCGGTAGAAGAACAGCGACGCGCGAACTCCGTGGCTCTTCTGACCAGCGAAAAAACGTGCGCTAGCGAACGCTATTTGGAAAAAACTCAATGAACACGAGACGAAATTCGCGCGCAGATACGCAGTGCGAAATGCATTTCAGTTGGGGCATCAGTCATTTACGAAAGTCACTAATCCTTCATTGCGGTTTGCTCAAGCTTGCTTAGGCGTAAAGATCATCGGCATCATCACCACCAAAAGCGGGTGCTTCAGCACTGCCGCCGGCATTGTCAAACTGGAAACCGGTCAGGCCTCGTGACGTCAGGAGCTGCTGGGCAAACGCCTCGTAGCGGCGGACTTCGGCATCGCTGACGGACCTGCGAGCGTGCTTCATTGCCTCTTCGACATGACGACGCTGGACCTGGGAAACTGATCCCTCGTCGTCGTCCATGACAACGTCATCGGCGTTCTCGCCTTCCTCAGCTTCACGTTTGATGTCATCTTCGATACTTTCCTTGATAGCGTTTTTGACGGCTCTTTGCACAATGTATTCCAGGTCGGCACCGGAGAACCCATGGGTAGCGGCAGCGACGGCGCGCAAGTCAACGTCCTCGGCAACAGGAGTGTTGCGCAGTTGAGCTGACAGGATGCCCAGACGGGCTTCCTCGTCGGGAAGAGGAACGTAGATGAGTTGATCGAGACGGCCAGGACGCATCAGGGCAGGGTCAATTTGATCGGGACGGTTGGTAGCGCCAATGACGAAAACGTTCTTCTTGCTATTGACACCATCCATCTCCGTAAGCAATTGGTTGACAACACGGTCCCCACCGCCAGAGTCGCCGACAGTAGCACCTCTCGACTTGGCAATAGAGTCGAGCTCGTCAAGGAACACCACACAGGGAGCTGCGGCACGAGCCTTGTCAAAGATGTCACGGACATTCGACTCGGACTCACCAAACCACATACTCAGAAGCTCAGGACCCTTAACGGAAATAAAGTTGGCGGAGCACTCGTTAGCGATTGCCTTGGCCAGCATGGTCTTACCGGTACCCGGAGGACCAAAGAACAACACACCCTTGCTTGGCGAAATACCGAAGCGAAGGAACTTCTCGGCATGCATGACGGGCATTTGGACGGTCTCGCGGAGCTCGCGCTTGACGTTCTCCAAACCACCAATGTCCTCCCAACGAATGTCGGGAACCTCCACAACAGTCTCGCGAAGAGCAGAGGGGTTGCTTTGACCAAGCGCGAAACGGAAGTTTTCCATCGTAACACCGAGCGAATCGAGAACCTCGGCATCAATTTCATCTTCGTCCAGATCAATAAGATCCATCTTCTCGCGAATTTGCTGCATAGCTGCCTCAGAGCACAAAGAAGCCAAATCTGAACCCACGTAGCCATGGGTCTCAGCGGCAATCTGCTCCAAGTCAACATCGTCAGCCAGTTTCATGTTTTTAGTGTGAATACGCAAGATTTCCAAACGTCCAGTAGGGTCGGGAATTCCCACATCAACCTCACGGTCAAAACGACCGAAACGACGCAAAGCGGGATCGATGGAGTTAGGGCGGTTGGTAGCGGCCATAACGACAATGTTGCTACGTGCCTTCATACCGTCCATTAACGTCAACAGCTGTGAGACAACACGACGCTCAACCTCACCATTCGTCTTGTCACGTTTGGGGGCAATAGAATCGATTTCGTCAATGAATATAATAGCCGGAGAATTCTTTTCTGCTTCTTCAAAGGCTTTTCTGAGGTTTGACTCGGACTCACCGGCCATTTTAGACATAATTTCAGGTCCATTAATAAGGAAAAAGAATGCACCGGTTTCATTAGCGACGGCACGAGCCATCAGAGTTTTACCGGTACCGGGAGGACCATACATAAGAATACCACGAGGGGGCTTAATACCAATACTCTTGAAAAGTTGGGGGTGACGAAGGGGAAGCTCAACGAGTTCTCTGATTTGTGCCATTTGACGACGGCAGCCTCCAATGTCATCGTAACCGACTTCGTTCATGCTGCTCTCTTCGTCTTCGCGATTGATAGGCTCGCCCTCCCAGTGAATAATAGTGTCTTGACTAACAATACCAAACTCGTCGGGAGCGACGTCCACAACCTTGAACTCAACTTGTCTCATGCTACCACGGACGGTAAACAAATCGCCTTTGCGAACGGGTCTATAGGCCTCAACAAAGTAGGGCTTCAAGTAGACGTCGAACAGAGATCCCGTCAGACCCTCAACCGTGTCGGCGAGAGGCAAGACGGAAATACGTTCGGCATATTTGATATCAGGACAGGGATTGACGTTAACAATGTCGCCCAAACGAACCCGCAGGTTGTTACGAACAACACGGTTAATACGTGCAACACCGTCTTCCATTTCCTCGTCCGTGAGAACGATAAGAACAGTGTCTTTGCGTCTTTTACCCTTAACGACAACTGTGTCTCCACGGAAAAGTTGGAGGGTTTCCATAGTGTTTGGAGATAATGTAATTACAGAATTGTCATCATTCGTAGCGTCATCAACAACCAAGGAATTGGGTTTTCTTTTCTTTTTTAAGATTGCAGTTGCAACATCTTCTGCTTTTTTTTCACTAAATATTGTTAATTATGGTTCCATCTATCAAAAAGAGGGTTCAAAAAATGCGTACTCTGCTGCATGAGATGAACCATGTAGCGGTTCAGCCTCAGGTTTACTGGTCATGGTAGATGGTACGTTCCAAGCCGGGGAGGAAAGCCAGGTCTATATATATGCCTCAAAAAAATAAGAGTAATACATGATATGCATGCATTAGTATTTTCATAAACCAAGTATGAGTTGAATATTGTATAAAACCGAAATGCTTTGCGCATAACATAAGCACAAATTTCTTTAACCTTCTTTGCCGACAGAATGCGGGAGAAGATCCTGTTCTAAGCGCCGCTAAAATAAAGTTTAATGACATCAAGTCTCACAAATTAAAACGCGGTACGCGAATTTTTGAAACAAGTAAGTACATTTGGGTTTTTCACTAAACCGGTACGAAACTGAAGTAAATCTTTGCTTGCTATTGGAAGGAAAAGTATGCGGGATACGTTTGCGAGCACGTCTTCTTTGTTATTGCTCTATTCGGTTGCGGCGGAGCTGCGCCTTGAGCTTCAATCTGCATACACCGTTGGAAGCAGGAGAAGAGTTCAAAACTCGTGCGGAAACCGTTAACCATTTCAAATCCTTCGTTGCTTCATTTAGGCTCTAATTAAAAGAAGTGTTAGAGTTACTGAACCCCTTTTGCTATTGTATTACGAGCATAAATCCGTTTCATTTCTTTGCCCTTCCTGTTACCAAATTCTATCTTCAATTTTAATATAATATGAGAAGAAATGTCCAGTTCTCAGAAGATCTCCTGGACAAGCTTGTTCATAGTACGCAGCATGTTTTTACTGGCTTGTTTTGCTAACTTTAACTTTATTAGATCCCGACAAGGATTTGCGGTACATGGCATTGAATGATTTATCCGTCGTCTTAGAACAAGGTCTAGTTAATCTTCATAATGAGCAGCTATCTGAAAAGATTATACGGGCTCTGCTGTCGGGTTTACATGATCATTCACCCGAAGTTCAGCATGTCACGTTGAAGACAATAAAAGCCTTCACTTCGCACGCGACAAATATAGCGCTCTTCCAACTGTTGAACTCATTGCTTTCAAAAGAAAGCGAACATGACTTCGATAAAAAATTAACGGCTGCTAGAGCTATCCTAAAAGAAGAACACCTTGATTGCAAACTAACGTCAAATGAAGTGTCTGTGTTACTAAAGAAAGCACTGACTATTCTTCATTCGACGAAAAACGACTTTGGAACGCTCCCGATTTTACTTGATTTACTCAGCGATATACTGAAAAATAATGGCTTGATTTTTCAAAAAAGCGACTACTCCAATTTACAAGAAGAATGTTTTCAGTCACTGCTTCCTCTTTCCAACCAAGCAAAACCATCTATTGCCAAGAAATGTAATACCGCAATTAGCTATTTGTGCTTGCTGGGTGACGAGAAATACACATCCGCTATTCTGACCAAAATAAAGGAAGTACTTCTGTCTACAGACAGATCCAGTATTGTCAATTACCTAAACTTATTGATTACAATTTGTCATGTTGAAAACTTGGTTGACGAAAGAACGAAGGCAGCCATGCTATTCAACCAAAGACTTTACACAATCGTGCCACTTATTTTAGGAAATGAGAAAGAACTTGGCGATGATGTTGACGTTCTTGAGCTTCGATTTGAAGCTCTGTCTCTACTGCTTTTGCAAAAATTAAATCCCGACATCAACGATCGTCTTCCTGCTATAATACAATTTGTGAAAATGGGTATCTCCTATGACCCATGTTTCTTAGGAGATGAGGAGTTAGATGAAGAGCAGGAAGGCACTTTCTCTGACGATGAATTCGATGATATGTTTTATGATGAGGATGACACTTCGTGGAAGGTTCGTAATAGTGCCTTCCACTGCACACGCTCTTTATTGTGCACGTTTCCAGAACACTGCTTCCTATGCATTGAACTTCTTGCGCCGACACAATCAAAACTACTTGACCGTGTTGAAAAGGTTCGGGCGGAGGCACTGCAAACTTTGGGCACCTTTATTCGCGTTATCGATAATAGAACAAAGACGACGGTGAAGACAAATGGAAAGAGGCCACATAGCGCAAGTGAATTAGACTTGTTGAATTCTTGTCTTAATGCCTTTACTGAGCTAATGCCACAGTTGTCGCATTCGTTGACAAAATTAATCTCTTTATTTGTCAGCGAAACCAAACTGCTTTCAGTCCAGATTTCAACGGAGCTTATTTCATGTTTCCCACAGACCATACAAAAGTTTACTGATGCGTTCGCAGAAAGCGCATGCAAACAACTTGAACGCAAAACTTCCGACGTTACTCTCGTCTCTGCTCTTTTAAAAATGTTAACTCTCCTAGTTCCCGACCTCAAGGTATCAAACCCAAGAATGTTTTCTGAGCTCATTTCTCTGATACAAGACAAATTAAGCAGCCAGAGTCAAGTAATTTTAACCGATACCTTGGACTTGCTTAATGTATACATACAAGCAATGGACAATAGTGAAACAAGCGCCAATGTGCTTTATCCAATATTCCAACAATTAAACGATCTGTTGAATTCAAAGCTCAGTCACACAATTAAGTCAGAAGTACTGAAGTTACTGACATTTTCTGTGATTAAATACTGCAATTATCTTTCGGATGAATTGTTTAACCAATGCTTTGTTACAATGTGTCAAGCGCTGCAGTTTGAGCCGCTACAAAGTTGTATATTGTTATCTTTCACAAAACTTTTCGGGGATGAAAGCTATAAACAACGGATTTCACCCGCTCAAATAAGCAATTTATTCTCACTTACACGTCCTATTTTTATGAAAAAGGACAATGCACTTGTATTATTGAGTTTGCAATTGCTTATCACCATGTCGCCTTTGTGCAATGTACTGCAACCCGAGGAAGAACAGGTCGTGGCGTCCGTCGTTGTAGACGCAGTATCTCGAAGTAACGAGGTTGCCGCGGCTTGCTTTCAGTTCTTTCGTTTGGCTTCTGTAACTGTTTTCCATGCCTGTTCAGCTGCATTGACTCAGCAAGTCGAAAAGCTGTTGACCTTGAATGACATGTCTTTAAGCGACGACTGTCTCTCCAATCTTAAGCAGGTCTTAATTGAAAAGTCGGCGGATTCCTTTCGGAAAAATCTACTCTCTTTATTGTTGCCGATGAAGAAAGAATGCCTCATTGAGAACAGTATTGCCGCACTGGTAGCTATCATCGTCAACTGTGATCATTTACATGAGGTGGTAAAAAGTTACATTCAACAAGTACAATCACCAAAGACGTCAGAACAAGATCGCATCTCCTGTATCGCTGTTTTGGGACACATCAGCATTGCAGATTTTGACGTTTCTTTTAACGAGGTCTTTCACCTTATCCTATCGCAATGCAATTCCCCGAGCGCTGTGGTTGTGGAAAACGCCGCGACAGTTGTTGGCTTACTTGCTTCACAAAACAACTCTTATGTGATCCAGTTGTGTCAAATGTTGGGTCAACAGCAATATGAAGACAAGTGCTTAATACACAGTTTGAGAGAAGCTGTTAACCAAAAGACAATGAGTGACGAATGCTGTCGTGAACTTTGGTCACAACTCTTTCCAAAATTAGACTCACTGCTGAAAACAGTAGACAAAACTGTGCTCTCCGAATTCTTTTCTGTGTTTAGTGCAAAATACCCAATGCTTGCGTTCCAACAAGTTTCGCCGCTGCTTCATGAAAACCATACGAGTTCAAAGATCGTAGCAGCATTCATTCTACGAGGAACGTTTTCCAATCTTGAAGCAAAATTCTTGCCTGCCTGGAAGGGGGCATTTGATCAAATGCTGCCATTATTGAAACTGAACCCACCACTTGATTTACATTACGAAATCGTGTATTTAGTGCAGAATATTCTTCGAGTTCGACCCGAACTTCTTCGTCCTCATTTGGAAGTTCTCATGGAACAATTAATCGAGGACACCCAAATCAATTCTAAGCTCGTTCGCAACGTCCAAATGGGTCCCTTCCAGCACAAGGTAGACGACGGTCTGCCTCTGCGTCATCTAACCTTTGAAATTCTTTTTGCCATGCTCGATTTCAGCGAAACGCGTTGCTGGTCCACGAAAGTGTTTGATGCGGTAATTGTAGGATTAAAAGACGAGCAATACATTAAGCTGCTCTCCATAAGCATTCTGAAACGCTTGCTTACCTTGTATCCAGCTGAGCTTGATTCCCAAATGGAACAGCTCCTGGAGCCTATGAATACTGTTCTACAAACAAAGCTCAAGGACACGGCATATAAGCAGGAAATTGAGAGACATGAAGAACTTATCCAAAGCATTCTTCGCCTCGCGTGTTTCCTTCAAACGCATACCTCCAACGATAAAATCCAAGTGTTTTGCCAACAGCTTGAGCAGGGCCAGTACAAACTTCAGTATCAGCAAGTACAGCAGACTAGCAAGTAATAATATTGTGAGTTTGCGAGTAGTCGTAACTATGATTGCTGCTTGTTTCGTCTTAATTTGTATGACTGAGAATACAGAATTGTAACAAGTTTGAATGACAGTTCGTGTCTAATCCGCTTGATATGCATATCTATAAACTCATAGTAAGAAAACAATTACAGTGAAAGGCATCATTTCTTCATCCAAGTTGCTTTCTCCTAAACAACTTTTCTTCTCCTGCCGTCTGCTTAGCTTCCTGAGTCTTCTTCGAGAGCCTCTCCCGGTACAACACCACCACCACAGCGGTGATGCTGGTGGTCTGGTGAGTCACCGACCGACGTTACCTGGCGTTTGTTTACACCATGGCAGAGCAGACGAAGAACAGTGTGACCATTAAATTGGGCATGGTCGGAGACAGTTCAATTGGAAAAACGTCTCTTATGGTGAAATATGTAGAAGGATCATTTGACGAGGATTATATTCAGACGCTTGGTATGTACGAACAACAAGGACTGTACCGGTAACATGGGAAAACTCGGCGAAAAACAAGACCAGTAACAAGAAGAACTCATTCTAACTCATATTGTTGTTAGGCGTGAACTTTATGGAAAAAACGATTAGCATCCGAAACACGGAAATTACGTTTTCTATTTGGGATTTAGGCGGTCAACGTGAGTTCGTCAACATGCTTCCATTAGTTTGTAACGATGCTGTCGCAATTTTGTTCATGTTTGACTTGTCTCGAAAGTCCACACTCAATTCCATTAAAGAATGGTATCGGCAAGCCCGGGGATTCAATAAAACTGCAGTTCCCATCCTGATAGGAACCAAGTACGATTACTTTGTGGGTCTTTCTCGCGAAGACCAGGAAGAGATCACGAAACAGGTATGTTGGAAAAGAAGCTGCCACTGCTGTCACGGCTTTTGAAACGATGTGTTTGTTGAGTAGCCCTTTCTGTGCTCCCTTGCAGCACGTTCTCTCTGTTTCTTCTCTAACAGTCTCATTAGGCACGTCGGTACGCTAAGGTCATGAAAGCAAGTCTGGTTTTTTGTTCTACGTCGCATTCCATCAACGTTCAAAAGGTACGTCAATCGAAAAGAAGCGCTGTTTTCGATTCCTCACACCTCTCGGAACACTTTCAGCTAATGTGCCACTTGGTCAGATTTTTAAAATCGTTCTCGCAAAGGTGTTCGATCTCAAATGCACGATTCCGGAGATTACAGCTGTGGGCGAACCCATTCTCGAGTACCAAAGTGTCTAATGGTTGCCGGCAGCCTTGAGCACACAGTCCTCGTCATCAAACTCTCACATCGTCTTTTTTTCTTTCTCCTTCCGTTACAGCGTACCTTTTTATTTCCACCTTACAAACATACACACATTTACTCACTCACACATACCCGTTCCTCATTGCCTTCAAATTTATCTTCGTCTATTTAGAGTGTGTCAATGTTGACAGGATACACGCATACCTATTTTTTCTCAATATACCAACATATACCAAAATATACACAAACAAACATACACACCTACGTAACGTGATCACGACTCACAAATGAAAGCCAGAAAACACACAAGATCGTAGCTGCGTAACCCTTGATTTAAATCTCCAGTCTCTCTACAGTGTACTTCCCAATTGTCATATCCAGGTTCTTGGCCCGTGAGCGTTGATTCTTTCCCTTCGCTTTTTCCATGAATGCGTCCTTTTTCAGCAAAGTAGCAAGGTCACTAACCTCTTCCACAACAGCTTTAGGCTGAGGATTGCTGTAGACAACTCCAGCCTTAGCGCCGGCAGACATGCTCCGCTTGTGCTTAATAAGCTCCGTAACAGCAGGTAAGAGCAAAAGTAGCGAGTTCATAGCCTTCAATGATTCTTCTACCGAGGAGTGCAAGTCCTTGACGAGGGCAAGGTTTTGTTCGCCCAAGGCAAGGCGACCAGGGCCCAAACAGTCCATGATTAATGCAGCACAACGGGCCAGTGCACCATCGCTCAACTTCGCAGAGGAAGTTGCACGAGAAGGCGTTAAGAGAAATTGGGCAACCACGGAGAAGAGGGAATCCAATTCTTCAGGAATGAGTTGCTCCTTAAGAATGGCAATGGCACTCGGGGCGTGAAGAGTGTCGAGACGAGCAAACAGCACAATGAAGTGCTTCTTTTTGTTGCGTTGAAGTGCGACCTTGAGTGCACGAGCAATGTCGACTGCCGAAACGTCAGAAATGCGTTCCATCAACAGCATTCCGAGTTCGGGATGGAAATCGTGTAGGCATTGGAAGACCGATTGTCCGCCGGGAACATTGAGCGCAGAGCACGAAAACAGGCGGTTGCGCAACAAGTACTTCAGTGTCTCACGAGCCGGGAGTTTGAGTTTTAATGCGCCATCAACTTCGGCAAACAGCAATTCTTGCACAGCATGTACGAATGAAACTGGAAGCAGCTGGATGTTCTGCAAAGCAGCGTCCTTTGCACGTCTGCGTGTACCAAACTCGTTCTGATACGCTTCAGCAAACTCGGTGAATCGTTGATCGAATTCGTCGCATTTGCCCTCGGCGGCTAGCTTCTGCAAGTCGACAAGCGTTGCACGACCCGATTCGTCTTGGATACGCATATTTTTCAGCACCTGTTCACATAAAGAGGTGGTATTTTTAGACTTGGTAAGGATACCATCGGCAAGGGCGCCATGAACGGTCATATTCTGACCCAATTTGTGTCTACGCTTGCCCACAGCATCCGCCAAACGAAGATGCTTGGGAGCGTAGAAAGGTAACTGGTGCAAGCTCTTGCGCGAAGTGAAAACGATGTCGCCAGCAACGGCCTTGTCTGTATCGGAACGTTTTAAGATAGCGAGGAAGCCGAGGGAATTGCTGCTGCCCATACTAAACTCGGCCTGCACCGTTCCATACTGCAGGTCAAGGAGAAAAGCCGTATTTTCAGCAAACAGTGTGCAGAAATTGCGAGAAATAGGTACAATGCGAACAACGGTGGAAAGTACACCGGAGAAGTCGAATGTGTGCGCCAACCGAAGGGAGTCTGCAGTAACAGCTTCGTACACAGACAATCTCTCATTGCCAAAAGCACATACAGCCTCACCATCATTCAAAAGTGCAAGCTGGGGCGAGTAGTTAGTGCCAAATTTATCGTGTACGAGTCGTTTGGCAACTACCTCTCTACGAGCGAGAGAATATGATGCTACTACATATTGAGTATTGCCAGCAGACTTGGTTGCGTACAGCATATGAAGGCTGGAGGGAGAGTTACGGATGGCATCTTCCTTGGTGCTATCGACATCGACAGCATCTGTCATCTCCACATCGCCCGAACGTGCATCTTCCTGAGCCTTTGCATTTTCCGGCACTTTTTTGTTGCTACACACAACCTGCAACACTTGGTCCCCACTAGCTAAAGGGGACCACACAGGTTCCGACAACGAACCATCGGTTTCTTGACTGGGAAGTATGTAGACGCTACCATCTTCAAAAACAACCATAAGCTGCTGCGTGTCGGGTTCCAACAGCAGACTGAACGCCTTTCGACCAGACAAGTCTGTGTATGTAATGGATGTTTGTTCGTCTGTCTCATCGTAGCGCCACTGAAGCAACGCCCACGCGTTGTTTGTCTTCGTAGAGCAGGTGCAGGCCCAGACACGGTGTACGGAGTCTTGTTTCACGTACACGGGATCACACGAAAACTGTGTTTTGTCAGGGAGCGGACACGACGCGATAAGACGCTGCTGTTTTAAACTGTACAAGTCGATTCCCTGACCCTCAACCTCAACTGCGAGTTGCTGAGCACATTCAAGTCCATTTTTTGTGGCCACTACTCCGAACAATTTTGACTTTCCTTTTCTCCCGGATTTCGAGCCGCTCGACAGTGAACCAAGCAAAGAAACCTCTCCAAACGAAGCCATCGTGTTTTTTTTAAACAGAATGGGGGAGTTTTAGTGGGAAATACCACGTTTTTTTAGCTTTAGCTGGGTTTTGTTGTGGACCTGGGAGTTGGTAGCTGCTGGAGACAGGGTGTCAGCAGGCAGTAGAGTTTGAGGTAGAGCTGAAAGTTGGGTAACATTAAAAGGGTAACAAGCAAAATATTAATATCATTATACTAAACGGTTCATTTGAATACAGACGGTATGTTACACGACCCCCTCAGCATCGCATTTCACTAAAGTATTAAGAGTTCTGTTTTTCAATGAAATCTCAGAGGGAAGTCGGTAGCGAGCGATAGTGTTTCGGCGACGGAGTGCGTTTCAAGAAGCACGAAACTACACAAAACTACACACAAATCCGCGGTAAATTCAAACGGTCCAGAACATGAGATATCAGTATTCAAATCGTATATACGTAAACTAAGAAACTGTTTCTTCCCATATCGTACGCGTTGCGAAAGAACGTTTTCGCTAGCGGCACCATGTGCAACTTTTAGTTCACGTGGTACTAACGAGTGCCCGTGATTGGTTCGGTTGTTGGTCCGGTCGCACTACCCCGCGCTCAACTACACACTTTAGTTCGCCATAGACACTCCCTTGGTACAGTAGCTAGGCTACGCCGATAAATGAGACGTGAAGCACAGGTGAGCTGCTACCTTCTTCTTATTTCACTAAGACGACGGAAAAGGCCATCCTTTAACGATTCATCCAGGAACAACGGATCTGCAGCTCTTTTAGACGGTTTTTAGTCTTTGAAGCTACTTTACAGCTGATTTTTGGTTCGATTTTGATTTGCAAATTGCGTCTGAATGGTGCGAGAACGGTCTCTGAACGTGTTGGAATGGAGTGTAGACGACGTTGCCGAATGGGTTGAGACATTAGGGCTGACACAAAAAGATGTATTTCGAGGTAAGAAACAATTTGGACGTAAGCGGGACGCAATTTTGGACATTTCTCGTTGTCATGCACCTAAGTTACAGCCGTTTTACCGTAGTTCCTTGGATTGCTCTCTAGAATGCTTTTGCTAACGTATGAGCAGAACATCGCTTAGATGGCAAAGACTTGGTGCAGCTGGAGATGGAGGACTTGCACGACATGGGGATTGAGAGTCTTGGCGATCGGCTGGACTTGGTGAGTGCCATCACCAAGCTCAAACAGGGTCTCCATGTCGAAGATGCAGTCGACGAATCTACTGCGACGAGCTCAACGTTGGTCCCTAAACGGTCAATGTCTAGTTCACTCGAAAAACGACTTGTCAAGCTCGAACGCGAGCTTGAGTTGCTTTCTAAAAGTTTGAGCACGCTTAAAGTTGAGTTGTTGCCAGCCTTAAGCAAGATTTCTGTCATGCTGAAGCAGTCGAAGCGAGAAAACAGTATATCTTCGCAGATGGCTGCACAGTCTCCGACACAGATGCAATTCCCTGCTCCGTCATCGGTGCAACCGACTTCTCAACCCCAATCACTGTCAAAAAGTTTGCCGTCACCTTCTTTGTCACAAACTCAATCCCAATCTACAGCTACGACAGCGGCGGCATCTACGAAAGATTCTTCGTGTTCAGCTTCACCGGACGGACTCAGTCTGACGGAAACCGTATTCCCTTTTGATCCAGCCGAAGTTCCTCGTCCCTCATCTGAGGAGTCGGTGAAGGGCCGCATGAACGTCAACTCTAGTTACCAAGAAGTGCTACAGTCGACCTTACGTCGGTATCACATTAACGTGCTGGATTGGCAAGGCTATGAATTATTATTGGCTTACGACGGCGTCGAACACGAAATTCCGCACAAGGACAAACCCCTACAGCTGTTTCGTAGCCTCCAGAAGGCAGGCAAGCAACCTTCGTTCATTCTGTCGCGAAGAAATGTTCATTAAAATTGCTGGCTCATGAAGTACGGACACTCATCTTTAATTTTACTTTCGGTCTGTCTCTCTTTCTCTTATAATTCCAATAATCTTGTTACTTCTTCTTCTTGGGCAATTGGCCTTTACTTGCATTATTATACCCCCCTATCTTCTCTATATGTCTCCCTATCTTTCTTCTTTCTCTCTCTCTGTGTGTCTCTATTTCTGCGTCTCTTTTCTCTCTCTCTCTCTCCCTGTTATCTTTCTTTCTATTGCTCCCTTTTTAATCGCCCTCGCTCTTGTGTTCTTTTTCTTCCACACATATATATTAAATAATTTAAAGAGTGATGGGCAAATAACTTGCTAAATTAAACGTTTCCAAACTGCTTTTGGCGCAAGCAGTCTCGTTTTCATGATGAATCATTAAGTCGGCTGAACCAGCTCAGCTCGATTTTATTTTACAGGCCATTTTAACAAATGACACAACCAAAGTTTGTGCTATACGGCATCAACATGCTCTCTTCACTTCGCCGACGAGAAACGGTGGGAATGTGTAGACTAGCCATGGAATTTACGAACAGTTGCGTGCGTGGACGCAGCCATGCTGATTTCGGTCTAATGTTCCAGCCGTGTTTGCCGTGTGAAGGGGACTCAAGCGCCCGCGCTTGAATCGAAGTCGCTTTTCGTGATGAGGATGCCGAACGCTCTGAATAGGGTGTCCGGCTGCCTTGTGTGTAGGAACAGTGAATGTCTGACCAAGTGTTTTTGCTGCTGATACAGGTTGACGATGATAGCGGACTTGAATCGACGGTCTGTGGTAGTCTTAAGCTTGAGCTGCCACTTGCACTCGTTGTGCTTTCTTCAATGTCATCCTCCAAGTCTTCCGTCGGTAAGGAAGTGGTAGTCGACGACCACGAAAACCGGCTGCGAAGTGGCTCTCCAGTCTCATGATTGAATTTGACACTGTCGCATCCAGCCGGAAAAAAACAAGGTAGTAACTGTGTCGTTGGCGCGTTTGGAACGGCTGTAATTACTGCTGCTCCTGCATTTCCAGTTTCTTGAAACGCGCACGCATAGATGTCTTGTTGTCGCATAGTGTCGCAAATTCGCACGTGTTAGCGCTAATAAATCTAATTGGTTGATGGATTGCGGCTTTAAAAACCTTAAAATTGGAGGCGAGTAGGGAAAAGAAAACTAAAAATGGCTTTAAAAGTTTAAATTTGGGTACGGTAGTAGTGAAATGATCTTTCCAATTTGAATAATTCTCTCTCTTTCTCTCCGAGTCTGTGCCTGGAGTTTTAGAGCTCGCTCTCTGTGAAGGAAGAGTGACACGGAACGGTCTATTTGTACCTGACATACAACTCCTGTTTCAGCCAGCTTTCCTTGCTCTCGTATCAAAGCAACCAAAACAGCTTTCAATGCTGTGACGAAAGTGAAAGATACTGAAAGAAGTTGCCTCAGATGCGCGGCACTTTGGTCCAACCAAAACATTAACTGCTGTATTGGGCGCCGAATGCTCAGATTGGTAGCCACGTGTGGGGATTAGGGTGCACGTGAGGAACACGTGGCTCGCCCACCCCGTGAACTTTATTCTGTCGTGGAAAAAGATCTAGCAACAAAGGCATGCGTGATGAAAGGTTGCAGGTTCTTAACTTTTCAAAACTAGCTGGTGCCGTATATGAAAATACTGCTCTTACTGTCCTCTACAAAAGGAAACTACTCCGCGCTTTTAAACGCTATGTTGTAATATGCTGAGCACGACATAAGGGACTTGCTCACACACCACCACAACCATTCACTCTGTCGCTGTTTCGCCAGGACATTTTAGTGAGCAGTCAGCTAAAAATCGTCTGGGACTGTGTTTGTGCTGTCTGCACCACGGTCTGTGCATACGAACATGCAAGAAGTTATTAACAATTTAATATACACGGGAGGGTATGACCAGGAAGGTATGTCGTTAGGGGACTGAAGGAAGAAATGAAGGAAATAAGGCAGGACTTGGGAAGCAATTGATTGGATTCTATCGACGAAAAGACTTGTGCTGGAAATTCACGGTTAGGTGATGTTTCTATTGTTGGTTGAGATTTGTTCTCAGTGAGCTTGACTCGGATTTTGATTGGCTTGCTTATACTCTATTGTGCTTCCATTCATTTTTTCTACTCCTCGTGTTGTTTACAATCTTCTCTAACACAACAGATGATCCCGTTCTCGTGGTTACGGCAGAGCTGGTAAATTCACTGAGAGCAGACGCCGACAGCATTGTAGATGCTGTGTACACTCGTCTCAACGACTTGGTGCAGGGAGGCCCGTTCAGCGTTGTGCTGTCGGCACAGAGAACAACTATATTTACTCATTCCTCACTGCTTGCCAAGGGCTACCGGCGGCTGGACTACACCTTGAAAAAACAGATTAAAGCTGTCTTTATACTTTTCCCCGATTGGCTGTCCCGAGCAACCTTGATGCTGTTGCTTCCTATGGTGAGCCCCAAGTTTTTTGCCAAAGTATTTTACGTAGACAGCATCTCCAAGCTGCCTGAACCGATCGCTGGACGAGCCATCGCATTCCCAGTTACGGTTTATGAACGTGAATGGGAGGTACAAATGCGTGCACGCGGTTCTCGAGCAGAAATTCAAGCGCATGTGAACGCATTTCCTCCAACAGCACACGCTCTCAGCCTTCGTGGTGTCCATCGGCTATTGTACGAATGCGCCGTTTTGATACAGCAGCGTGTGCACACTGAGGGCCTTTTCCGACGATCGCCATCAAAATCTCACACTGACATTCTATGGTATTTGTACGAAAACGATTTTGAGGTACCGCTTGCTTCATTTGGTCCTGTTGCAGCGGCTAGTCTTGTAAAACGATATTATCGCAGCATGGATAAACCACTTTTCAGTGCTGCTTTTGTAAAGGAATTGGAAGAAAAAAGCTCGGAGGCGAGCAGGGACGCAGAAAATACACTTGCAAACGCCCAAAGCGGAGAGCCTCTGGCCCCAGAAAATCAGACTGTGCCGCCTCCCCCGGCGGTTGCTATTTCGTGCATTAACACTCATTTAGACACCGAAGCCCAAAATGCAGCACTCTACTTTTTCTCCCTATTGCACAGTGTTTCCACTGCGTCTCAGGAAAACCTTATGGATCCCTGGAATCTCGCAGTGTGTGTTGGACCAACGTTGGTCCCGTCTGATGATGTGTCTACTGTTCTTAGTCTCCGTTCTCAAAGCACAAGTCCTTTTGGAGTATTCCTTCAATCGGCTATTGAGCACTACAGAGACTGTTTTCCTAAAGCCGATCCACGTTGGGAAGTCCGCCGCTTGATTACAGAAGGTGCGTCAAACGATTTCGAGCCGTAAAAGTCACTATCGAAAATACGCCTCATTGGATTAAAAAACCAATTCTTTTCATGACATTCATGCACTACAAAGCGGAAACGAAAACACGTGAACATTCATCGACGACTGAGGATCCGACCAAAGATTCTAATGGGAGTTTGGCTCCCTCTGTTGTTCTTCATTAACGGCTAATTTTGCATTTTGATTATCCTGGCTCTCTGGACTCTCTTGCGGACTCTCTTGTCCTTCTCGTAACGGCTTGTTCTGTGCACGAAGCTGCTGTTCCTGTTGGGAAACGAGAATCTGCCATTGGTTTTCGCCGGGGTAGCGTTCGCCATTGGGTACTATGTAGCGCACCTTCTTCGTATGATCTGATGGGTCTGTCATATAGACAACCTTTTCAGAAGGCTTTTTTGATTTCGCGACGGCAGACAAATAGACACTGACGAGTAGCAAACCAACTGTGATGCCTTGGGCATACATACGTGCCTGGACGACCTTTTGAGCTGGTGTGCTGTAAGGGTCACGGTTTACGAGATAGAAGCTGAGACCCAGGCTGCCAGCCCATGAGCTTAGGATTAAGGGCCACTTTTTCTCGTCATACTTCTGCAGCAGCCAGTCGGATAGCTTGATGTGTTTTGGGCGTTCTTCAGTAACAGTCAGCGACTCGTACTGACGGCTTTCGTACCGCATGCCGGATTTCTCTCCATCGATCACACTGGCACACAACGAACTGCCAATAACAAACCATGACTTGAGCGAGACAGGTAGTTTACGAAACCCATGTGAGTACCTATTGCCGAGGTAGCACAGACCAAGTCCTGCGGTAACTCCGAGACAGGCACCTCGTGCCAAACCCGTGTATGTTGCCCGATTGAAACCCTGTAACCGTTCTTCCACTGTTGATGATCCCTGTGACGGTTGTGAATGTTGATTCTGCGCACTGTTCATCGCAGGAACAGCAGGACTTGTGACTTCTGTTTGAGCATTTTGTTTCGAAACAACGTCCTTCTCTCGTATACCGTTGTTGTGCTTCTTGTTAACGTCTCTCGTTGTCGGTGGCACCTCTGGGCTCGGTTTCTTCTCGTATTTCAGCGCAGCTGGCTGCTCCTCCCCAATTGCACCTTGTCCGCTATGCGCGCCTAGAGTCTTTCCCGCGTCTACATTGCTGTTCATTGATTTCATGTTTGCTGGACGCACTGCTTAGGGCCCTTGGCTGACCAGCTCGATATGTGGGGTTATGTGGGGAAGTGGGCAACCGTAGTGGTGGGTCGTCTTTTTTGTGGGGTAATTCCCTCTCCCCCGCAACTTCCCACATAACCCCACTACACCCCCACTACACCCCTCGCCACGTCACCTCCTGCCTCTCATCCCTCTCCAGACGCTCTTCGACCTCCATTCAGTTGCAATGCCTGTGTCAAGCGACAGCCGCGGCAATTCCGTCTTTCATGGCGATGTTAATAGTCCAGGCCGTTCATTGACGAGTTCGCCAGGCTCGGCGAGTCGCCTTGGTCGCGCTGCCTCCTGGCATGAGCGGCCCAATTTGGACTCTCGGTTTCCCAGTTTTCATGCGCTCAGTGAAACGCCGGTTTCTACGGTGCCGTCGTCCCCTCGGATCAAGCCCAGGCTGCAGAAGAAGCGTTCGGTGACGATGAGCATTCCAGGTCAGACGTTTACCAAGCTTAACCAAAGTTCCTCGGCCAGTTCTGTAGAATACGCCGACGACAAACTCGTGGTAGTTATGGTTGGGCTCCCCGCGCGGGGAAAATCCTATATTGTGAATAAGTATGTGCAGCACACTGAACAATCGTTCTCGATGAAGGTCAGAAGCTCTGGTATAGACAGTTGTATTTCGTGGACCAATTTCTTAAAACCAAAATACAACGTCTAGTCTTCTACACGATGAAAGCAGAACCGGGACTCGAGAAACGGCCTTTTATGCCCGCTTTACCCTCTTTCTTTCGTCCATACTAACTCGTTTAGACTCGTCCGCTACTACAATTGGCTTCAATACAGTTGCAAGGCATTTAACGCCGGTAATTTGCGCCGAAAACAGCAGGCTCACGACTCTAGTGCGGCATTTTTTGATCCCACTGTGCCGGCGAATGCACGGCTACTCGACGAGTATGCCAGTCAGACTTTGGAGGCTTTGATTCACTGGCTCCAGCACGAAAACGGCATTGTGGGTATTTTTGATGCGACAAACTCGACCCTAGAACGCAGAAAATCTATTGTCGAACGGCTGCAGGACTTGCCGTACGTAACCGTTCTTTTCATCGAGTCTGTATGTTCAGATGAGCAGCTTCTCGCATCCAACATGATGCTCAAGTTGCGTGGACCAGACTACAAGGGGAAGGATCCGCAACAGTCGTTGCTGGATTTCCAGAACCGGGTTCGTATGTACGAGAAGAAATACGAACCTCTGGGCGAAAAGGAAGAAAATTTAAATTACCGCTACATTAAAGTTATCAACGTTGGTAAAAAGGTTGTTGCCTACAACATTCAGGGCTTCCTAACGGGTCAGGCCGTCTTTTTCCTACTTAACTTCAATCTGTCACCTCGACAAATTTGGCTCACACGACATGGTGAGTCGGAGGACAACGTGAAGGGTCGCATCGGCGGTGATGCTCCATTAACTCCTCTTGGTCTCCAGTTCCGTGAAGACCTGGCCAAGTTTATTGCGGAACAGCGGATCTTGTTCCAAGAACGTTTACACATCGCCCAACTTCAAAAGTCAGACATGTTGCAAGGTGCTGCGATAGCAGCCGGAGAATCGTCTGAGACGGCAGCAACTGCTGCCACGTCTGTCGTGGCTGCTGCTGCTGTTCCCTCTGACGACTTCACGTCTGACCCTGATCATGATCACGATCAGTCGAACTCATGTTATGATGATGGGTTTCTCAAGCCCTTCAGTGTCTGGTCGTCGATGATGAAACGCAGTCTGCAAACGGCTGCTGCTTTTGACGAAGATGCGTACGATGTGAAGGCGATGAAGATGCTTGATGAAATCTGTTCGGGCATGTGTGAGGGTATGACTTACAAGGAAATACGCACTCAGTATCCCGCCGAGTATGAAGCTCGCAAACACGACAAACTACAGTACCGTTACCCAGGATCTGGCGGCGAGAGCTATCTTGATGTGATTTATCGTCTCCAGAGTGTCATTGTGGAAATCGAACGTCTACAGCACCATGTCCTCATCATCGGACACAGAGTCATTATGCGGATCATCCTTGCCTATTTTCTTGGCTGTGGCCGAGAGGACATTGCGTATCTCAACGTGCCGTTACACACCGTTTATTGTATAGAGCCTCGACCTTACGGAACTGACACTTACCAGTACAACTATGATCCCGTCAATCGTCGTTTCGTCCAGGTTCCGTTCTCCGTCGTGAACAAAGCCCACGATGCTTTTGAGGAGCTGTAAGGACAAGTGGAGTGGACGGTCAGAAAGTGTGTTATCAATTTGACCGTTGAAAACTGTACTTGATCTTCTTTACCAAAGTTCCAGCTAACCACTTCAAAGGCACCCTCTCCTCCCTCCGGTTTCCCTGCTTCCCATTTGTAAATGTAATGATCATGTTTTATGAATATACGAAAGCCTCCTTAGCTAGAATAAGATAACAATTACTCGAACGGAGACCGGTAAACACGCGAGGGCATCATGTAAGACACTCACTCACAGCAATTCAGTACGCGGACGAGACACTAGACCCAACGAAGAAAACACAAATTCCAGAATTCAACAAATCAAGCAGAAAGAGACTAACTCACAAGACCGACATCATACACCACCCTACTTTACTCAATCTCGCACCAACAACCGTCATCACCTTTAGAAGAGCATATACGTTGCATACACTACGTCTATACCTTGAAAGCACGGGACTTTCTGCGACCACGAGCTCTCTCAAACTTACGTCCCTTAGAGCGGACGAAAGGAGCCATGTGCTTGTGGGGACCGAAACCAAAGTGACGGTAAGCCTCACGAGCGTGCTTCTTACCACGAAGAAGCAAGGTGTTGGTACCAGTAGGGGCACGGAGAGCCAACTGGTCCAAGGTCAAGCACTCACCACCGGCCTTCAAAATGCGAGCACGAGCAGACTTGGTGAAGCGAAGAGCAGCAACAGAGAGCTTGGGAGCGGTCAAAAGACGCTCGTCATCGGTAACAGTGCCGACGACGACAACAGTCTTACCCTGGTGCTTGGAGCTGGCACGGTTGACATTGGCAGCAATCTTAGACACAGAGATGGGAGGACGGTTGGTCTTGGACTGGAAGAGACGCTTCAGAACAGCCTTGTTGAAGCGGGAGTCAGTACGACGAGCCAAGAAACGATAAAGCTTGACGAGAAGCTTCAGGTACACGTTCTCGGACGCAGGCTTCGTGCGTTGAGACTTCTTAACGTGGTGTCTCTTAATGTCAATTCCCTGTACGTTGTCAGCTTGCCGGATCCTCAACAATCATGTTCTGGTCATCTTAAAGGATGCCATTTTCAAACTTACCATCTTGGCTGGTAGCAGGTTGTTGTTTGATCGTAAATTTGTGTACAGAAAATGTGACTGTGCTTTATTTCAATAGGGTAGGGTTTCTGCTGTTACCCTTGTGACACGTGGAAGTAACAACGCGGGGCAGCGCCCTCCATTTATCGGTGTGGGGGTATGTGGGGCACCACAACGACGCTCGTGTAAGTAAGAAGCGAAAAGGCTGCGCCAGGGCTGCAGATCCGGTGTTGAAGGGAGCACCGGTAGAGCACACTGACACAGGCGCAGACACAAAATCGAACAGCAAAAGGCACGAAGTGCGCCCAGAGAGACTCCAGAAATGCAGCAGCGGCGACGCCTCCTGCACGCTCAACAAGCAGACGGAGATAACAACAGAAACACCAGCAGCTTCGGCGTTCGTTCGTTTCTTGTCCCAGTGATCTCAGGAGGATGTGCGGCCACTGTGAGTAGAACAGTAGTGAATCCGCTGGAACGGTTGAAAATCATTTACCAAGTACAACGCCAGCGAGAGTTTAAAGGTATAATAAGCTCATTTGCAAAGATATGGCGGCAGGAGGGAGTCGCGGGGTTTTTTCGAGGAAATGGAGCCAATGCCCTGAGGGCGTTTCCATATGGAGCCGTTCAATTCGCAACATTCCATACTTTGAAGCAACATAGGCTTTCCCAGAAACGAGCTTTGGCACACGACAATCTAGATCAATACACCGTAGCTCCTATTGGTCTTTCCAACACTGAACGTCTCGTTTTCGGAGCGGTGTCGGGGGCCACAAGTGTTAGCTGCACATATCCTTTAGATATTGCGAGAACAAGACTCTCTATCCAAACGGCAAACCTGAGTCCAGTCGGAGCTCCCGCGACGACGACGATAGCTGCTGCGAAACAACGCTTGCCGGGTCTCGCAGGAACTGTTCGGTCCATCTATACAAACGAGGGTGGCTTCCGTGGTTTGTACCGTGGATTGAGTGCGACGCTGCTGAATATCGTTCCATACACAGCACTAAACTTTTGTGCCTATGAATGGGCTCGGTCTAGATGGTGTCCTCGCCATGCTGAACCTTCGAGTACACAGAAATTGCTTTTTGGAGGCTTGAGTGGCTTTTTCGCGCAGACTATTGTTTTTCCTTTAGAAGTGCTTCGGCGAAGATTTCAAGTCAACTGGATGCAAGGCATTGGACATCATTACCCGAGCATCCGTGCTGCCATTACAACCATATACCGGGAAGAAGGCATCCTTGCATTTTTCAAAGGTTACGCCAGCAACATGTGTAAAATCATACCGCTCATGAGTGTTACTTGGTTTGTGTACGACACCATCAGCAACCTTGGAATCTCCACTGAAAGCAAATGAGAATGGAGAGCGGCGCCAACGCCGTGCAGCACATGCCTCTTTTTAATCGTTTTAGTCTCTTCGTGTTTATTTTTTGGGGCAACGAAAGCCGAACATGCATTACATAGACCTGCCACGAATACCCTTAATTTCTTCATCATCGTAGTAATCATCCTACGGTCTTGACATTGTATCATAGAACTATCAGACATCATCAAAGAAGGAGTTTGAAGGGGTAGTAACCGTTCTTCTCGCGGAAAATGTAAGCCAGGTAGCTGTACAAGAATACTTGGATGGTAAGCCAAGCAATGACGAAAATAGTTTGGCTCTTGGCTCCACGAATACAAGGAGCCGAATAGGCAAGAGAGATTACACTCAGGGACAGAACAAAATACAACAGGGAAACCACTTGCGTCTCTGCACCGAATTGGTTCATTTGACCGCCAGCCATCCAACTGACGCTACCGTCTTGGTTGTGCTGGACATACTGTGTTCCACGGATGCGGTTGAACATATGGCCCGAACTGAAGGTGATAACAGAAACGATGCTGATGGCAGCCCAAAGCTTTCTAGAGTGCACCAAACGGAGCAGCGCCTTGCGATAATAGGTAACGAAAGCAACAACTATCAACAGAGAAACGAGAGACATAACGTCCTTGCTGTAATCGTGAGGACGGTAAATGGGAATCAACTTGCCCACCAAACTGGCAATGCTTTCCGAAAGGTACTCAGCCGAGAGACTGTACAAACTTGTCAGTAAAACGAACACGAGCCGACAAACAAATGGACTTACTCTCCCATCAACTTGAGCTCATGAGGAGCATTGGTGTGAGGCTCGAACACCCAGAAGTTAGGAATCGATCTGATGTTGTACTAGTGATTATTAAGTTAGTAAAGGCGTCGCAGAAAGTACATCTTTCCAAAAAATGATGTGCGAAATTCTTTCGTGTACATACTCCACGGAACGTGTTCTTGTTATCTTGGAAATCTGCATGAACGAAAACGAGCTCCTTGTCATTGGGAAACGCTTTACGATGAGACTTGGCCAAAACGCGAAATTCAGGATCCACTTTTCTAAACATTCGAGCGCGTTAGACACGTCAAAATTGAACATTAGGCTTGTACGTACGTGCAGGTTTCGCAATCAATTCCCTGAGTAGCCGTAAGAAGAGCAACGACTACATAGTCCTGAGAACCCGTGATTACTTTCGAAAAGGTTGAGTCGGTGACCTCGATAAGGCCAGCGTTGTTGACCATCGAGAACACATCCGGCTTGGCAGCACAAAATGTGATAAAGAACGCAAGCCAAGTTAGCAATTTCGACAAAATCATTTTCGTAATGGCTGAGGGAGGAGTGAAGAGCCGGCACTACTCAGCTACTAGCTTTCCCCAAATAAGGTTACCGAAAAGTGTCCGAGCGAGCGGAGACAATTCGGTGAATGGGAGAGGTATTCGGTTTTTTTCGGTATTATTCGGTGAACTGAAGACCGCAAGTACCGTGTTGACTCCGAACAACTTCACCGTAACCCGAGGCCTTGGATGGCAGCAGCATGAGACAAGTTCGATGGCCAACTTCTGTGTCCATTGTGCGGGTCTTTCTTCGTAGGTTTGCACACAAAACAGGGTCGAAGGGAGAGGCTTCGCTGAAGAAATTGACAACAAAGTCTGAGAGAGAGTATTCAGCACTTATTCGACAGGTGAGCTAGCAGGCTAAGGGACGCGTGCGAATGTAATATATGGCCTTTAAATGGTTGCGAGGAATAAGCTTTATATAGACGCGTTAGGGGACGCGTCGTGACGCGGTGTCATTTAACTTTATTTTTGAGACAGTGAACTTACGCGTTTTCAATACAGATTCAACGTAAATACAATATCTTTAAGCCGAATCAACTTGTTTTAGACTTGGTAAGAAGTCCTTATGGATTAGAAGACACACTCAATGACTTTTATTACTAACACTTTAATTGTTACTAGGGTTGTGCTCCAGGATATTGGAATCGATATGCAGCCTCACATGTAAAACCATTCGGAAGGGTTATAGGATTAGACGTTGTTCCATGTCATGTAGATAGGAATAGTTCGTTTCTTCAGGGTAGTTTCTTGAGTTCAGGTGTTCAACACGAATTAATTCGCATGGCTGTTAGGGCACAACAACTTCGGGATGTGAAACAGGTTGGCAGTAGCAAGGACTATGCCACCATCTTAACAGAGTTGCAACATTCAGAAGATATGTACACCAAGTTATCTTACAGCGATGTCCAAGTTGATGTCGTTCTGAGTGATTTGATGGCACCTCTTCCTCGAAACGCGCCGTTTGAGCCTCGTTTTGTGCGAAATGCATACAAAACGATGCTGTTAAGCAAGCAACTAGCTGTAGACAGCTGTAAAGATTCGATACTTTTGGCGCATGCTGCTCTTGTGTTGTGTTTTCGAAGCTTAAAACAGTCAGGCATTTTCGTGTGCAAAGTGCTTAGAGGAGATGAAACATTCGCCTTCAGGGATAATCTGTTGTTAACCTTCGAGACAGTTCACCAGGTATCTTGTTTTCGTGACCCGCAAGCTCGATCACAAACCGTATTTATTTGTTTTGGAAAGCGAGAGGAATTGCCCATTGGACTCATTAATACTTAATCGGCGAACCGTCAAGTTTCCCTTGGCAAGAGAGCTTTAAGGTCGGTAGTTGTTTGTCATCATCTTCTGATGCAAACAACTGTTCCCAGCCTTCATGGGAAAGTGCTCGTTCTGTAATTCGCGAAATGTACTGCTGGAGGTCCTTCACATTTTGTCGTAACTGTTCAATCTCCTGGCGTAGCCTCGCTCTTGACTTACCTATGACCGAGAACGATTGCCCATCATATGCTTGGCGGCTACTTAGTGGTGCGAATTCATGAGTATGGCTTTCCACAGAAGAGGAACGAAAGATTCTTGTCGGACTGTCCCCGGGATTTTGTGTGACTCCACTCGCAATTTCCATAATCTCAATTTGTTGGCGCTCAAGTGCCTTTCGAAGTTCACGAATCTTGCTTCTGTCACGGCTGTTTTGCTCCCTTAACGAATGAATTTCCATCAACTGCTTTTTACATCGGCCACATGTTGAGGCGGGAGATGTTGCTGTTGTGAGGGATCCCGTTTCTCTTGCCGACAAAGCACGGACATTTTCCACATCTGAAAATGATTGTTCCGCATACGCATCAGTGTCCTTTTCGTCGGTTCGTGTCTCCGCCTTCTGCCTCGCGCGCAATTTAAGTTTCAGTTTTAGTCTGTCTGCCTCGGAATGCCTCAATTTTGCCTCAAGGCTGTGCAATTTTGCAGTTAACTTGTGCACTTTCTTCAGTGAGAGATGCTGAGGAAGAAGCTCGTTTGGTTTTAGTTCCTTTAATGATTCCATAGTGTTTTAATTATGTTTGAATTCATCAGGCGTCCTTTTCTGTGCTTAAAGTCGTAAATGTAAACATGTAAACAAAACAAACTCTGATTAAATATTTACAGGATCCAAAGACAATACAGAGTATTAAAATAATAATAATAATAGGATAAGAATAATGGTAGCAAAAAAAGAAAAAACATTCAGGAAGAAAGAGATCATGGATGTCGTGGAACAATAAAAAAAGGTAGGGAATAGATATGCCGAACAACTGGTGTTCAATTCGGCACTAATCTAGGTGCCATAACAGTACAAGCATCGTGAAAAAGCTGGCAATGCCAACGGGCACTACCGCGAAAACGGCAAGCTCAAGGAGATCGATGTTGTGTCGATGTCTGTGTCGAGTCCGTTTGTTGCAGGGTTGAGAACATTCTGAAGAGGCCGATTGTTTGTCAGGTTTGTCATTCGTAGCATCGTAAAGCACTGTTCTCGTAATCGGAGAAGTGATCCAGTCCTGAACGATGTACGCGAACGTTTGAAAACATGAAATGGCAATCCAAGCATGAAGAAGATAATTGTAATCACCTTTGGTGATATATCTCACACTAAGAGAAACAAATGAAACGGTAATCATGTTTAAGGAAATTAAACGAATGATAGTGGGTGCCAAGGAGTAATGAATTAACCTATAACGTATCAGCTGCATGTAAAGAAGTAAACGTTACTTTTCTCATGAACACGTACCACTTAAGCATAAAATTATTTGTCAGGACAAACGAGAGATGGGCTGAAACCTTTTTCATGTCAGCATAAAACCTCCAAACAAACACAATTCCTCTCACTTACAGCGGTCCATAGTGAAGTAGTAGACAGACGCCAAAGATCGCTTGGATTCAGGTAAGCCATGTAATAACATTTACAAAACCAGTAAATTGCAGGAACAACTGAAAGCACCCTGCTGGAGATGAAACAAAAAACAGCAACAGGGTGATGTATGCCCAACGCCTGAGCAGGTCGTGGGTTCGATATTAATGTACAGATGTAACGTTTCATCAATGCATTTACGTGTAATGCTGATGATTTTTTATACCGGCCGCTTAGCTAAATTTGTTAATAGGAAATTCAAACAGTCAAAAATAATCGCCGCGAATGCGCAAAAAAAGAAGTATTACCCAAAAAAAAAGTCGCTTTTACTTAATAAAAAGCCTTTTAATGAAAATAAACTGAAAAATGCCAAGTTGAATGTTCAAGTTCTGGTTGGGATGGTGGCTAATAAACGTTACTCTTGGAGTACTCAAAAAAAACAAGTCAGCTTAAGTGGTAGGTGAATAGCACTGCTACGAGCCATAATCACTGGAAGAACAGAATACATCGTTGCTCGGCGTTGCATTCGTGCGTTAGGAGTATTCTTGTGTTGCGTTTGACAGTTTTTAGGGGCTTTTTTCTTTAAGTCATCCAGCGTAAGAATTTCTTTCATTCGCGGTAAGGAGGCATATCGAATCGATTGTGATGCAGAGAAACAACGAGATATATAAGAGGCCGTTGCCAGTTCCGTTGGCGCAGCCATTGCCGCCATTTTTACCGAGTAACCCTTTAACATGGGTCCCATATGTTTACTCATGGTTGTTCACGAAGGCTGCAAAAAGATCGACGTGGAAAGCAGTGCTGAATGCTGACGGCCTTTGTTCTATTGTTAAAGACGAGGACGCTATTCGGAATCTGTGGTGCAATGGATTTTTGGAAAAGGAAATCTGTCCCGAAGCGAACCAACTTGGCAGATCCGTACAGAAAGAGCGCTCGGTTTCTTAGGTGAAAACGAAAACCTTGGCTGCCGAGGAGATTACTGCACGTCGTCGGTTGAGCGTAAACAATTCAAGGCCCAAAGAGCATGGAAAGAGAAACAAGAAGAGACAGGCGTCAGCTTCTCATTGAAAAAGGAGAGCCAATCCCGCCAGAACTGCAGGAAGATGCACCTATGCCTCCGGAACTTACAGTTGAGGATGGGGATGCAGAAGAGGAGGTCGAGAAGAATCCTCTCGGTCTAAAAGAAGTTCCAAAGATCGAACATCTGCAACTAACATTACCGGAAACATGTTTTTTGGCTTCTTTGGGTGTCTTGAAGGTGGTCCTTCCTCAAACGCAAACGAAGAAGAACTTGGTACAGGTTTGTGCACTTATTTCTTTAAAGGCATCCAACCCCGTTCTTTCACATGATCGGCTCGATTTTGAAGGAATTGTGGAACCAGACAACCAGTTCCTTGTGGAATTTGCTGCATACCAGTATTTTCGTCAACTTGGTTGGGTTGTCAAAATGGGTACCAAATTCACAGTTGACTTTTGTAAGTACAGTGGTATTTTGAGGGTCACGGACTAACTGAATATTTAGTGTTATATAGGCGTGGTCCTGTGTTCACACATGCGGAGCTCGCTGTAGTTTTGGTTCCTTGTATTGGAGATAAGCAAACACGAAACTTTGAATGGCATGAATTGCATTGTTTGAATCGTGTTATTTCTCAGGTACGGAAAACCCTACTTGTTTGTTATGTCCAATGCCCAGAACAAGCTGCGTTTGAAAAGGTTTGGGCAAAACGGAATTCAATGCCTCAATGGGAATGGACAAAGGCCATCTTACAAAGTTATTCTGTCCGTTGTGTGAGTCTTCGTAGATGGGTTCCCCAACGGAATAGGGATTAGACTGGCTGACGAAAGCTAATCCCTCTAATTGATTCATACATATTTTTGATCTAGAACTTATAGACGTTGATGAAAGGCATGCAGTTTCAGGGACTTACTCGTCATTTGGATTAACTGATAACTTTTTGTAAATTTGGATGACCGACTTGTACCTACACATTTTTATGGTTAGTACAATAATTTGATAAAAAAAATACCATTGTTCAACATCTTTCCGGGCAGAGTTTTTGGTGGTCTCCGATGCTAATTCCGATCGTATACTAGACGCCTTTTCTTCCAGATTCTCATTCGTGGTCTGCAACACGCTGAATTCTTTTTCCAAAAGTTTCAGTCTATTTTCTTCTGTCGTTTTTTGTGATGAGGTGGAGTTGCAGCGTTTTTCCAACTCTTTTAACTCTGTTGAAGCCTGTTCGATTTTTAATTCCAGATCAGAAAGCACCGGCCGCTATTTAAGTGTATAAGTTAGAAAATTAACCAAAAATAATGCATATGGCTATTCATCAAACCTTTGCCTGTTCATCCTGTTGAAGCTCGTGCAATGATTTTTCAAGTTCCGCTATTTCTGTAAGAAGTTTATTGGTACTGTTGCATGAATCCGTAAGTGTTAAGTATTCTAAAATGTGAGCACGAGCCCAAAACCTCATTTCTTAAAAGAGTAGTTGTACCATTAGATAAATTTGTACATCCAGTTTCAATGTGATCGATCAATTGCTCCACGGCGCGCTTCTTCTCTTTGAGTTTTGATTTTTGCTGAGCATTCAAACGGTCTGATAATTAGTGAATATATTCACACATATGAACAAGTACCCAATTGAGCATTCTCGTCCGGTTCAACGAGAATGGGAGGATTGTCTAGTAGACACCGCAGATAACGTCTTTTTCGCTATTAGATTGACGGATAAAGTGATTCCTGACTAATTGCATACTCTTTCGTTTCTTGTTCAATGTATGAAACTTTTAACTTGGAGAATAATTCCTTCATTGTCGTTAAGCAATACTTATCATTTCAATTGTAACAAAAAACAAACCTTGTAGTAACGAAGTTCTGGTTCATAGTAACAATCGTTTTTTTCTATCTCCTCTACATTGATGTATCCCCCAAGTGAATCGCTTGGATTATGAATGAATTGATTAACTGAAGGTGTATTGGTAGAATCGTTCATGGGAGACGCCAAACGCTGGGACGCGAAATAAGCTTTATTAAAACCTACCCAAAACGCGACTCGATAAATGAAAAAACAGACGCGTGGTAAACACAAAACGTCTCATACACGTGGAACAAACAGAATAACCAAAGTACGCTTACATCCACGATCAAATACAAGCTTGTTACAAACTACCACACACTCTCAATTCTACAAACAAAACGCGATTCGATGACGTTTAAGTACAGATTCATTTGGTAATTTAAGCAGAAGCAGCAGGCTTGCCAGCACCTGGATACGTGTTAGAATAATCGCCAGAACGTAAATTGGGAGTCTATTAGTATACTTACGGAATCCGTTCTTGAAACGCATGTGAACCTCCTTCAAGTGACGCATACGACCGGTACCAGTGGTCTTTCTTCTCTTGGCCTTAGGGTTCCAGTTGTACTTGCGCGTCTTAGCAGCAGGGTAGCCGCAAGCAGCACAGGTGCTCTTTTGGATATGGAAAGAACGCTTTCCACAACGACGGCAAATGGTATGAGACTTGTTGTGTCTCATACCGAACGATTGAGTACCCTTAGTCATCTTTTGCTGCTACTGTTGGAAGGCGCTAGGTTTGCAGAAGGTTGGTTGATACGTGGAGTGCTGTAGTCCTGTTCACTCCACCGAAAAACAGTCACATGTTTCGGTTTGTAATAACCTAGGTTATTTTGACGAGGAGACCTGGTATTAAAAAAGTAATATTCAAACGAATTACGGTCAAATGGTTTGCAGTGTGATGTTTAAAGTTTTAGAAAAGTGATTATTTTAATTTCTAATTTTTTTTTTTTTTTTTTTTTTTTTTTTATGAATATCTATTTCTTTTTTCCTTGAATAAAAATTTTGTTCAGACATTATTAATCACAGTAAAAGAATATCAATACGCGATAGAACAATGTCTTTATTAAGAAATAAATGTTACCGTCTTTTGCTAATTTGCAAGAGGAATTAGAATATTATTAAAATTTAAAAATAAAAATTAAAAAAATTTGTTTACTTATGAATCTTTGCTTTTTTACATTTTTTCCTTCTGCCTTTAAATCCATTATTCATAAGTAGCTGCACTTGTAAATCTATAATAGCATTGTTTTAAAAGCGGTCTAAGTCATGAACAACTCACGGTTTATATGGTACTGTTCGTTAATGTAACAGCTATAGTCATTGAATTCTCATTGCATGATTCTTTATTTCCTATCACTTCAATTATTTTAAGTATTGCTGCTAATAGATACGCTGCGAAAAAGACCCTACCAACTACCAAGGGTGTTGTTCTTCGAGGATTTACAAACGCAGAACTCGCCCGTATTAGTTCATCTACGTCTTCGAATCATTTCTGCTTGTTATGTTAATTCTTGAGCACAATGTCTGATGATGATTTCATGTTTGAGTAAGGAACTCAAGTTTCTTGAATATTAAATTATTAACTGAAATTACCCAGAGGAGATGAGGATTACGAATTCGAATTCGAAGATGACGGGAATGAGGAAGAAGATTTAAATGTCGATGCTGAGAATAATTACTACAATGCGAAAGGTTTGTTGCGACGTTTTCAGGAAATGCAATTAACATCATTTTAGCTATGAGAGAGGAAAACCCTAAAAGGGCAAAAGATATGTTTCTTGAAATTGTTAACGAGTCGTCTGGTGATTTGGATGAATGGTATACAGAGTTTCAAGAGACTTGTAATTACTGACATTTTCTTCAGGGCTTTTAGAGCATTAAAGCAAGCAATTAAACTATGCTTTGCTGCGGACAAACAAGAAGAGGTAACTCTTTCGGGGTGTTATTAGCAGGATTATTTTTCTAATAAAGTAGATGCTACGGCTCTATCAACAACTTTTAGGAAGTATAAACTCGACTCATTTAACACGCAATTACACGGAAAAGTGTATTAACAATATTCTTGAGTATGCCTCGAACAGCAAAAATGCCAAGTTCTTAGATGAATTTTACAAAGCAACTCTAAAGACACTCGAAAAGCAACAAAATAACCGTTTATGGCTCAAAACGAATATGAAATACGCTGAATTTTTTCTGAAACAAAAAAACTTCCACAAGTTTAAGGCAATAGTGAAGCAACTGCACAAACTTCTCGACAACGAGGAAGGAGTTGATCAAAATCGCGGAGCACATATTCTTGAGCTGTATTCGCTTGAAATTCAATTCTACACAGAAGTTCAAGATACTAAACATTTGAAGGAAATTTATGACAAATCATTACGAGTTCGGAGTGCAATCCCTCATCCTCGTATTCTCGGTATTGTCAGAGAATGCGGCGGTAAAATGCACATGCTTGAGAGAAAATGGAAGGAGGCCCAAACAGAGTTTTTTGAAGCTTTCAAATGCTATGACGAAGCTGGATCTCTCGCGCGTATACAAGTATTAAAATATCTTGTACTTGCCAGCATGCTTTCAGAATCAAAAATTAACCCTTTCGACTCACCTGAAACACTTTCATATAAGAATAACCCTGAGATTATCTCCATGACTGAGCTTGTAGATGCATATGAGCGTTACGATGTAAAGGCTGTTGAAAGGGTACTTGAAAAACATCACGACGATATCATGAACGATACATTCATTTCACAGTATGTTGGAAAAATTATCAGCACAATCAGAAGCCATGTACTGTTCGAAACTATCCAGCCCCTAACGCAAGTCAAGCTCGACTTCTTGGCTGAGTACCTGGATGTCTCGGTTCCCGTTGTTGAGCAAGCACTTGTGGATCTAATTGTAACCGGAAAAATCAACGGAAGAATTGATGCTATTAATAATGTGTTCACTAGCGCAAAAGTGGAAGACACAGACGACCTCGAAAACCGATTAATCGAAAGCACCCAAAAAGTTTGGGAGAAATTAACGAGAATGGAGAAACAGGAGGCTTAAATTTTTAAAGCATCAATCTCCAAAACGACGTTTCCGGATTCAATAAAGGAACACGTGTTACAGGACAACACTGGTTCTCAGAAACCCAGCCTTGGATACAGGGATAACAAAAAACGAAGCCAGTAGTCAAGACTGCCGGGTTTTGAATAATTGAACCGCAAATCCGACAACTAGTTCCCGTATGATAGTCACTTGCCATAGTAGTCCGGGGTGGTCCAAGATTTGTGAACCATGTTTTGGAAACAGAAAAGTATTTCTGGTAATCATTTTCATTCCACCAGTTTAAGAGTCGTAACGCTAGAATGAAAGCTGTGAATCCATTCTCTAAAATGAAGTCACGAAGCTTCGTGGACGCTGATATGGGTGCATCGTTTCTGGTATTTGAGCTATCAGTTCTTTGAGCATAGATAACTTTTTGATGAAGGATTAGATCTATGACATTGGTGTACTGTGTCTTTCCGCACATATACAAGATTCTGATGACCCAAGTCAATATGTTCCAACAGCTCTTTAGTTTCCTGTAAAGTTTTATTATGCACCCATAAAGTCTTGCTTTAGGGAATGACAGTCCAGGAGTTGTAAGTCTTTTGCTTAAGGATGCAATACAGTCATCCAGTTTTCGAATTAGATAAGGAAAGAGCGTCTTTGCAACAGTTAAAAATTAAGGACTTTCTTCATTTAAATCATGTAACATACCAATGTTAGCAACTTTTGTTTTTTATCTGTGTTGTTTAAATTGCAAGTAATATAAGTCTTATTACGATTGATTCCTGCGCTTTGTAATTTCCATCCAACGTACTTCCGCTCCCAGTTTAACAAATGCTCAACCATTGTAGCGTTCCATTTCTTTAGAAAGAATTGTTCAACAAGGTACGAAAGAGCAAAGTATATTTCATCATAATACTTGTGAACCTTTAAAAGATATCGTGGATATTTCTGGGCATAGTGCTAAAACCATACGAAGGTGTTAGGAGACGCAGGTTTCTATCATTAAATGGACGTACAGCTAGAATATGTAGTAAAGAAGGTGAAATCAAGCTTTGCAGCTGCTCTTTTTCAAGATGTTCTAATAAAGAAGGTAATTGAGGGTTCATGATGAAGAGTTGGGATCAGATGCAAGTTGAAAAGGTATTTGGAATAGCATATTCAGAAATTCAAATGTCAAATAGATGATGTGAGGGTAGAAACGGAAATGATATACATCTTTTATCGGTAGCTTGTTAGTTTTTTACGAAAGTGTTTTTAATACTAGTTTACATTATAATAATATTCAATAATATTCCACAATATAAACAAACAAACAAACAAACAGGATGAAAAACTCTTATCGTTAACTGAGCTAACAAAATACTATCCAGTCATTAACTACTTGTTTAGCAATAGAACTACTTAGGCACAAGCTGACTACCCAAATCGACCTGCTGATAACAAAAAACAAGAACCGTTTGTAGCATCGACGACATGTATCGAACTAGCGAATGGCTAGTGTGAGTTGTTTGTAATGCCCGAAAAAGTGATCGGAGAATTGATGTTTCTTCCCCAGTAATCAAGTCAGGCAATTTGCATAGACATGCAAAGAACCACTGTGCCTGTCTTCGTTAGTAAGTATGTCCAGTCTTTTGCATCAATTCGTGCAATACCTGCAATTCAAGCTTCTCAACTTGAAGCCAATTCGGAAACGAGTCGAGTATTTGAAAACAAGTTGGCATATTCATATTTGCGAGTAAGGACCAACTAAGTGGTGTTTCCAGCAACTTGAGTTTCCATTCTGCTATCGATTTGGGGCAGTTTTCAGAATCGGAATGCTCGGTCAATTGGTAACTTTGAAGCTTATCACGCACTACAGTGATCTGTTCAAGAAACCTTTTTTGCCATTCTGTCTTTTCAGGTAACCTCTCTTGTTCCTTTGTCTCGGATACTGTGTACTTTAGTTCTGTATTGGTTTGTTCCCGTGTAATACATTTGATTGGAGAAAGCTGTTTTGATTCATTCCTGACCTGTTAGAATGAAATAATTTTTAATCGCGTAGTGTCCATACCTTACGGAAAGCAGATATTCAATGCCATCCAAAGGGACATTTCGATTAGTATTTTGTTGGTTCACAACGACGTCCGGAAAAGCACCGCGCTGATTTGTTTGTTCATCAAGAGGCCCGCTTGTATGGACAGCATTAACAGCATTTCTTTTTCTCTTAGGTGCCATTGGATAATCACAAGCTGCTTTTTTTTTTTTGGACTAAATGAATTTTCAAACACACCGAAGTGCTTAATGCATATTAAAAGGGGAGACAACTAGGAAAAATAATCGGATCAAATACGAAAAGGAGTTCTGCACGTCCAAGTCAAAGCAAAAACAGTTGCATATTGGTTTTTCGCTTCTCCATACTACAAACCACCGAGCACAGTACCAGAAATGGCATACGTGTTTTAGAGTACTATTTAAAGAAACAGTGCTTCTTCGTAACAAGAGAGGGAAGTCATAAACATCTTTTTACCATCTCCAAAGCCAGGGTGATTTTGTACAAATCGTTCTATTGTTATTTTCATAGTCGACTATTCGAGCTGCACTCAACATTAAGCTTCATGAATGTTTGAGAATATCATCTGTAAAACGTTTTTCCGACGAAACATTGGTCATTTTAAAACATCCTTCTTTCTGAACTGGGTTAAAAAAAAAGAACATCAAGTTAACTGTCACATTCTCAAGCGTAAAGCATCAACAACTTCGGCAAGTGAATGGGTAAACAAAGATATCTATGATTTACAAACTCAATCACTATCAACGGACATTAATAATGAACCCATTTCGTCAACTCAGTCTTCTCTCTGGAGACAACAGCGACAAAGTGGAGAACTACATGTTCACACAACATTAAACGTCGTCGTTGACCAGCATTTAGCAAAGCAAAACAGGTCACTATTGGGAAGAGAGATTAACAACCTGAAATCCTTCCAATCTGAGCTTTGGAAGTCGAAAGATACATTGATTACTCAAAAACCTCCAAGACAATTGACCGAATTAGAGGTAATGGCCTATTTATCCGCGTCGCTTCCTCCCCAATATGCAGCTCTTCACAATGTTTTTGGTGAAATTGCACTTCGTATACCAGAATTTCTACGACGTTCTGGACTCAGACTATTTGATTACGGATTCGGTCCGGCGTTGGGTGCTATCGCTTGTTCACAATACATGAAAGAGCCGCTTCACGCCTTGGTTCACGAAGGAAATCCTTTCATGCATAATATTGCCGACGACTTGGCCCATCAGTATCAGAGTCAAACAGACATATTCGCACAGTTTCATATCACAAAACTTCTTCCTTTCTCCACGGAGGGAACGTTCGATATTTTTGTCTTGTCAAACCGTTTAAACGAAATGAAGACAGACGGCGAGTTTTACAGCTTTTTACGTCGTATTTGGTCGCTTGTTTCCGACCAGGATGGACTTCTTATCCTCGTAGAAGACGGGTCTCCTCGCTCATTCCAAACATTGAGTCGAGCACGTTCCTTCCTACTAAAAAAATCACCAAACACTGATGAATCCAACACTTCCTCAAAAGTTCACGTAGTGTCACCTTGTCCACACGATATGGAATGCCCCATGCAAAAAGCCCCATCTCATTTTAAGAGCTGTGCGTTCACCCAGCATTTTTACCGGCCAGTTTGGATGCGTGAATACTCAAAATACAAATACGCCAATCGTAGCACAGCATATTCTAACTTTAGCTACTGTGTTTTAAGGAAAGGAAAACCGAGACCACCTGTTCATGATTACTTAAGCACAGATGGTTTAGAGTTGGCTTCCGATGACTTACCTCAGTCTTTCCATCAATGGCCTCGTATTGTGCAACCGGTAATGAAACGACGAGGACATGTCGCAATGGATGTCTGTACTAGTAAAGGCTGTCTCGCACGTTATGTATACACAAAATCTCAAGGAACCGAAACTTATCGCATGGCTCGAAAATCAAAGCTTGGTGATGCTTTTCCCATCTCCCCTAAAACAATAATCCGTTACTACCATTCACATACACCGTCCAGTCATAACCTGTTTCATTCAATTTCTCCGTGTTGCTCGCCGCGAGCTTCGTATCAAAGACCGGGCAATGACTCGTTTAGACGCAGAACCACTACGAATTACATGATAGCCTTAAGCATTTTTGCTTTGGGCGTAACGTATTCTTCCGTTCCTCTGTATCGATTGTTTTGTTCAAAAACGGGTTATGGAGGTACGGTGAATACGGATAATACACGCATGTCAGCAGAACGCATGGTGCCCAGGAACGAAGCACGTCGTATTCGTATCAAGTTCAACGGAGACGTCGGTGGAAGCCTGGATTGGAGACTGTGGCCGCAGCAAAGAGAACTATGGGTTCTACCCGGTGAAACAGCACTTGCGTTTTACTCTGCAGAAAATAAAAGTGATCACGATATCATTGGGGTAGCTACATACAACATTGTCCCCGAACAGGCCGCACTCTACTTTAATAAAGTAGCTTGTTTTTGCTTTGAGGAACAGCGTCTCGATGCTCACGAGAAAGTCGACTTGCCGGTATTCTTTTTCATTGATCCAGAATTCGATGACGACCCGAACATGAAAAACGTCGACGAAATTCTTCTTAGCTACACATTCTTCCAAGCTCGTTTTGATAAACAAGGCAACCTTCAGACAGTATCGTAACCTCGTTGCGAATACAAACAAATATTGCATTATCCATAATGTTGAAATGATTAATCATTCGTATTTCATAATCTCTACAAGCATGCGTAAATTTACTTTGCGACTTCCTGTTGAATAGAGTACATCATCTCCTCCTTCAAAATCAGTTGTCGCGTTTTTTCGACTCTGTTCAGCAAAAAGGTAATGCTTGCTGACCACTCATTAAGTTGTTCGTGTACATTCTTTGCCTTTTTGAACGAAACCGTACCGGCAGGTCTGTCAATACGGGCATAAAAGTGTCCCTTTGTAATAAGCTCTGACAAAAACTGTTCTGTTTCCTCAGCGGACAGATCCAACAGAATACTCAAGCGATCACAACGGATACGGGTATAGTATTTAGCAATGACACGCAAGTTATGCTCGATAACACGCTTACGCAGCTCAGACCAGCGCTTTTCGCCCTTCTCATCACCAGCTGCGAAAACCGCAGTGCTTCGTAAAACTTCACCGTAAATTTCTGCAATGCGGGGCCAGCGCATCAGCTCATTGATGGTGAAACATTTAACAAGCTGTTGCAACAGAGGCAAAGAAGACAATTTGCGATCGGCGTTCACGCGCTGCAGTAAATCAGCCTGCTCGTTATCATAAGGCGCCAACAATACGAAGCACACAACATTCTCAAGAATTTCGCGCCATTTCTCGGGGTCTGCTTGGATACTGGCTGTGTCATAAACGACGCGATAGTATTTACACACGTCAAGATATGCATCCTCATGCAACCCGATGCGAATTTTTTGCTCATAATACTTGAGTTTCAGATCTTGGACCTCCTCCTTTTCAAAGAATTTGACGGATATCTTCTTGGCAAAGGTAGAAGCCATGTAGTAATCAGAACACAGCAAGTGTAACCGGACCTGCTCTAAAATAAGATCGACCTTCTCCTTCTGGTCGAGAGACGCGTACGTTTCAACAGGTTCATTACACAAGATATCTTTAGCCTCCTCAATCTTTCCCTCTTCTTCACGGATGTTGGACAAAAGTCGCGTAAGACGGGCACGTTCAATTTCAACGTAGATTTTGCCGTCTGTGATGCCTCGCAACGTTTCAATAAGATCAATCTTAATCTTCTTGTCTTTGATATCATCGAGGTAGCCCATCACATGTTGCACCAGGCTCGTCATAGCTTGTTTCAGCTGTCCATGTTTTTTGGATAAACTAACGAGTTGCTCGTTCAAGAGCTTGTAATCCTTAGCTTGATACAAAAGATCAGCAATGTAAATAAGTATCTTAGTGTTCGTGGCATTATCTGAAGCCTGACGCACTTGTTTTTCAAAAATCAACAATTTCTCCAAGGAGGCATCCTAATTCAACGAGTTAGCGCCGAAAACTCCGCGTTTTTTTTACACATACAATTTTGACACGATCCAATGAATCAATGAGGGCTTGATACTCCTCCGTAAAATCTTTTTCTGGCTTCAGCTCTGCCATTTTTTGAATTGAGGTAGTGGGAGACGGTGGGTGTTTAGACCATCGACAACAATGGTGGTAAGGCTGCATAACAACACGCCGTTTAAATGAAAAACGCTACGCGTGAATTCGACAACGAAATAAGATCGAAATGGATGAGAAATGTTCAAAACTCGCTATTCTTAGTGACTTTTCACGTCAATTAAGGCATACCTAACAGGTTAAACGTTCCAAGCCAGTTCACAAATTACGATGTGGTGCATTGCGGTAAACTCGCTTAACGAGAAAAAAATCCGTGCTACACCTCGCTGCAACGCGTTCCCTTCCTCGCGAACACGATCCTCCAACAACCTTCTCCAAGTCGAAGACTCCCTGAACAAACTTGTTAGTTGTTAGGACATTTTTGCGCGTTTTTACGTCCAAATTTTAACAAGAACCTTAGGTGTTAGCTTTGCTTCGAGTAGGTCTTTTTACAGGAAATTTCTCGACCGTGAACGATACACAGTTAGCGATTCTCGGCATTCAGGACGATTATTTAAGAGTTCTTCCTTGTATACACAAATACTAGCATCATGAATCAAATGCCAGGCATGGAAAACGCCGTAATGGTACGGGACGACCAGGGAAACCCGTTTATCCTCGTTCGTGACCAAGACAAGAAAAAACGTCTTCATGGAATTGATGCTGTTAAGAGTCACATTCTGGCTACGAAGACTGTTGCTAACATTGTCCGCTCGTCACTTGGTCCCCGTGGTCTCGACAAAATCCTAATCTCGCCCGACGGAGATATTACAATCACAAATGACGGTGCTACGATTCTTGATCAAATGGAAGTCGAACATCAAATTGCCAAGCTTCTTGTCCAACTGTCAAAATCACAGGACGACGAAATTGGAGATGGCACTACTGGTGTCGTCGTTTTGGCCGGTGCTCTGCTTCAGCAGGCTGAAGCTCTTATTGACAAGGGTATTCATCCTATCCGTATCGCCGACGGCTATGAAAAAGCATGCCAATTGGCTGTTCAACACCTTGACAAAATCGCCGATGAGGTTACGTTCTCCGAAGGAAACACGGAGAACTTGCTTCGTGCTGCGAAAACGAGTTTGGGCAGCAAAGTGTAAGTCACTGTGCAGGATGGCATGCGTGCTATACGCGTGTTCTCTTGGACTGCAAACTTAAGTCTGTTTTTGTACACTTTTAACTAACCTCTGTCCAGCGTCTCCAAGGCCCATGACCATTTTGCCCAAATTGCCGTTGATGCTGTCCTTTCTGTGGCAGATTTCAAGCGTAAAGATGTTGACTTTGAGCTGATCAAGGTTGATGGAAAGGTTGGTGGCTCTGTTGATGATACTGTGCTCGTGAAGGGTGTCATTATCGACAAAGACATGTCTCATCCCCAGATGCCTCGTGAAGTGAAGGATGCGAAGATTGCTATTTTGACATGTCCCTTCGAGCCCCCAAAGCCTAAGACGAAACACAAGCTTGATATCAAGAGTGTTAAGGAGTTTGAGCGCCTTCAAGCTTATGAAAAGGAAAAGTTTGAGGAGATGATAAAATACGTGAAAGATGCCGGGGCTAATCTTGTGCTCTGCCAATGGGGTTTTGACGACGAAGCCAACCATCTGTTACTTCAGAACGAGCTTCCCGCTGTTCGTTGGGTCGGTGGTCCAGAGATTGAACTGGTGGCCATTGCTACGAACGGTAGAATTGTTCCTCGTTTTGAGGACCTTGCTCCTGAGAAGCTCGGTAAGGCCGGCATCGTTCGGGAGCTGTCATTTGGTACAACCCGTGATCGCATGTTGGTCATTGAAGATTGCGCAAACTCGCATGCCGTTACTGTCTTCGTTCGCGGTAGCAACAAAATGATTATTGATGAAGCTAAGCGCGCCCTACACGACGCTCTGTGTGTTGTGCGCAACCTTATTCGCGACAGCCGTGTTGTTTACGGTGGTGGTGCCGCTGAAATTGCATGCTCTCTGGCCGTCTCTGATGCTGCTGAAAAGGTTCCCGGTATTGACCAATACGCCATGAAAGCCTTTGCTGATGCCCTTGACACAATTCCTCTTACTCTCGCAGAAAACAGTGGTTTGGAGGCCATTGAGACTTTGACTGCCGTCAAGGCCAAACAGGTGAAGCTCCAAAACTCGCACCTTGGTATCGACTGTGTTCAAAGTGGTCAAGACGATATGAAGGAACAGTTTGTCATTGACCCTCTCATTGGAAAGAAGCAACAGCTGTTGCTTGCTACTCAGTTGTGCCGTATGGTGCTCAAGGTTAACGATATTATCGTTGCTGGTGCTAAAGATGATGAGTACAACTAGAAAAATGCTGTTATACTTATAGAAAATTGTCGTGACCGAGCAAATGAGTAAAATAATGTGATTGACATGCAGTCCTTCTACAGCTTCTGTGAATCCTATCCTCTTATCCCTCTATCCTACCATCCTACGCTACCATTTATCGTCTTACTAATTCTCTTATTCACCGTATAACAGTTATTTCCTATCTAGTGAAATAAGCCTTTCGCTAAGATATTAAGCTTTCGGTAGTCACGCTCACACACGAGAGGGGCGCACACCCCGCAAACTTTTACTCTCCACCACTCTCCCAGTGTATATAACAGCCCAGTAGCAATTTGCGCTGTTTACCAATATACGCGTCAATTATCAATTCTTTTATTTTTCTACGTGTAGATACTCGTAGAGTCCATATCCATTTTTGTCAGATCTTCTTAATCACTCTCCTCTCCCTTCTCTTCCCTGTGCCTCAGCTTGCAAACTAATTACACAGAATTTGTCATTCTTAAAACTTCACAACTTTACTTTGGAAATATTACTTGGTCTGAAAGTGTTTCCAGATGCTCTTCTAAATACATAAATCCGGTTTTCTTGCGTTCTTCTGAGTTGCACTTACTGTTGTTTCGTGCACCTGAAGTCTATTGAACATAAATAATTGGAGATACTGAGAAAGAAATATAATAATTGAGATGAAGGGTCGTGTGAAAACACCGTATCCTATTTTGTCGCTGGAAACTGATTCTATAGCGAAGTTGGGTACTCTTGATGTGGATAATCTATTTTACATGTGGAATGGTAATTATCTCTGCTGCTTTGACAGCTTGTTGTTATCAGTTTAAAGCTTAACCATTATTTAGTGTTTACAAAATGCGGTGAGAACCTTCAAAATGGACGCCGTCTTGAGAACTTGTCTTGGAGACTTTGGTACCGCAGTACATGCGTGACTGATGAATGCGAGTCTGCGGTCGCGCCAGTTAGCGGTACGGGAGTACTCCCTATGAGCACCAGTGCCTCCCTTCCCTCTACGTGCAAACCTGTCCCTTCGAACGTCACGGAATCATCACAAGCTACTACGGTTTGTAAGCTTACTACGGGCTCACTGAGTTCTTCAATCACAACGACGACCACGGCTGTCAGTGAAGTCAACAAACAGCAGGAAAATGTGGTCGTTAACAATCGGAAACGACCTGCAGCAGTACTTGGTCGCACCCATTCGCGTCGTGGTACTTTTCGCAGTCTGTCTACCGATGCCTTTAACCAACTTATTACCGCGTTTTCGCCAATCGGTATGCCTCGAAGCAGCCGTTCAAGCGAGCAGCTGTCAAAAAAGCCAAAGAATGACGGGGTCCTTGCGCAGCACCGCACCGAGACCATAATTGAAGAAAAAGCCTCACGGAGTTCCTCAACTTTCAGTGACGATAAAAACAAGCAAAATATGAAATGTGACATGATCAACACTGGAAAAAAATGCCATACGAAGGAACGCACACAACTCTCAAACGCTGTCACGAAACTGATTGCTGCGAAGCAGACTCTCTCGGAGAAGAAGAGTAAGTCAAAATTTTCTGAAATTACAGTGGGTCCTGAAAGCACTCAAAGTGTGGTGCACGGATTTGTGCCCGGTGAGCTTGAGGTATCTGTGGAATCATTGCACAAAGACGGGGAACCGTCGCTGGGACGTAAATTGAACAAGTCGTGTTTCTATCTGGCCACGAACGAGGAAGGGAGCGAGTCATCTGACGAGAGTCAGGTTGGCGATTCACTTCAGCAAACCACATCTTCCCGCAGTCGTTCAAGCGTGAATGCAGATGATGAGGATGATGAGGATGCTTGGGTTTCTGTTAGCGATTCAGACTCTCCCCCCTTCCAAAAAGTTGCCACTCCCATTCTTAAGCGTCCACCGTTGAAACAACGGACAAGTATGCTTTCTTGCCTTTTGTTAAACAAGGAGCAGTCTGACGATGATACAAGAAGCACACGCAGTGCAGGTGCGGCTTCTCGTTATCTGCGCAATTCATCGGTTAAGACGGAACCGATTCATTCAACGGTAAATATTGCATCAAACACAGTTCTCTCCACAGTGAACACTTGCTGTGATAGTCCAGTGAGTAGGCGTTTGCCCCTTGAACGTTGCTCCTCAAACAAGCGCATTTTGGTTACTGAAATATCGGAAAGTCTTCGTCGTAACCTATTATGGGAGCGTCAACAAAAGTCAACTTTACCGATCGCTGCATTCCGTCAGCGTACGCATTCTGGTTATTTTACCGCTGTACAGTCTCCCTCCAATGCTGTTCAGGTAACGAAGGATTTTATGAATGACTGTACCGTATGGTAATTTTGTTGAATACCCCTATTCCTTTTTTTTGCAAGTTTTTTTTTTGTTTTATGCCCATAATCATTCCCCTTCTTTTTCTGGGCTGCTTGCTGCAAGAGGAAACACTGTTCTTGCAACTCTCAAAGCAATGTCTTTAAGGCACATAAATTGTTATGTGATTTTCGTTGTATTCGTTTTTCGGGTGGTCCGAAGGAGCCTGGTGGAAGCTATTTGAGCTTTACGTTTCACCGCCTTCTGCCGTTGTTTTTTCCTTGCGTTTGTGTGCTAAGCAGTAACAAACAATCTACTGTTTTTATTTTGTTCCTTAATGTTATCATTTCCTCTTTCAACATACATCAAACATGGTGAAATAGGCTAAGGCATTACCTGATTATTAAACTGACTAAACATTTAAAGGTTGATGAATGTGCCTCATAAAACACATGTTGGAAGAACACGGGTTTGTCCTACGAGCATGCTGAAACGCAATCCTGTATATTATTACTAAAACGACTAGTCAGGTAGCGATGCGTTGTCTTTGGAGACAGATTAACATAACGGGCATTGCAGAAAGTTTTGTACAAGTCGAAGTCAAACAAACTCGGCTTGTGTCAGAAGGCCAAAAAGGGACACTGAGTGGAAAGTATTGGGTCATCGCAGTTTCTCATTTTGAGACTGCCGGGTGGTCCTTTGGTTCCCATATCATGGCAGGACTATTTCGGACTACGTCGCCCGTTCTTTCGTCAATGAGTACAGCAGTAGACACGTGTTTGTAGCCCATATGAACATACATGTCGAAACCAGCTTGACTTGCCATGAGAAAGCTAGGCACGTTGTGCTTCCGAGCACAGTCGTGAGCAATATCCATAAGTATGCCAGCGATGCCCTTATGCTGTTCGTCAACATGAACTGCTAATAAGTCAACATGCACATAGCCATTGGGCTTTTCAAGCAAACCAGTTTCCACGAGTGCTTTACGGTACTCAACTCCATTGTACTCGAAACGTCGACGAACTTGCTGAGCGCCAAGAATCCAGAACATTAAAGCACCAAGGAGCATCGTTGCCCAAACAATCAGCTGCCTCCACCAGGGCTTAGGCGTCTGTTTGGGTGTGACATATTTGTATGCAAGCATGCCTGCATACTTGTTTGTGGTTGTGGAAGCTACAAACATGTCCTTTAAAGGATCTACGTACGAGTCCAGTGTCAGGTATACGGTCAATATTCGAGAAACACGATCTGAACATCCGCCGAAACGCCAGTGCCATGTTTTGCTATTTTTGAATGCATCATAAACAGTATTAGAGACTCCTACGAGGTCCATGAAACGCATCCTACGGATACGCAGCTTTTCGCCCTTCTTCGTTTGTACTAGCATTTCCTTTGTCATGTTGGAACGAGAAGTTATTGCAAGATGAGTATTATGTTTTTCTGTATGATCAATTGATCAGCCGAAAGGAACTTTGAAAAAAGCGGAGCAAATGACGCCGGCAAGCGGGGAAAATATAAATGAACTTATGGATTCGTTTCAATGAGTATCTCTGAAGACAAGCGATGTTTGTCACTTAATATCGTTTATCCCCCTTCGTGTATTTACGTTCAACAAAAACAGGATAACCAGTCAAATGTAATTGGAGTCTATGGACAAATCTTGCTCAATGTTCTAATTAAGCCGACGGAACAGCTGCTTCTTACACTTTTTCCCTTGTGGTGACAAATTTAAAGTGAGGAAGGCGTTTTCTATTAAACAAAACGTTTACAATGTCATCTGGTGACTGCCGCATGCATTTATTTATGAGCAGATGGAAACGCGGCAGCTAGTACTGTGACCGTTGCTTTCGCAACAGTGACTTTCTCATCACCTAACAGAAAGCCGATCTCTATTTGACAGCTGGCCAAGCAAGCGAGTTCAGTCTCGGGTACATGTCGTGTGTTTCCCACTGACCTAATGAGTGCAGGCCTGCAGCCGTCGTCGTTATCCAACCAGCAAGAATGTCCAGAGAGTGTCGACAATTGTGACTTACCATTACCGTATTCGACTTCATTTTCCTTCTACGCATCTCCCATATAACTGGCGCTCTTCTCCCGGCAATTTCGGCACCTTTCGCAACCCCTCGGCTTCTACACTTTCCGGCGACTTACGTCATGATCTGCAATGACACAATCTGTCAATCAGAGGTCAATGACGTAGTTTTCATCACGTAAGGACAATTTTCTTCGCTTGATAGAACCTTATTTGCACGTGGCCGCTTGCAACATTGGTTGCTGATGTTAGTAAGCGATGGCGATTAATCGTCTGGTTGAGCTTATCATTTGACGAATACGTTTACGCCTGATTTGATTTGACGATGTTACGAAAAAAAACGAAAATTGCGCAATGTCGCGTTCGCCTTGCGAAATTCTCAAAGGGCCTGTTACTTTTTATGCAGCGGTATTCCCGTCCACTGCAACACGCACATCACTACAAGCAATAGCACTCGCCGCACTTGCTTCTTGTCCTTGGACGCAGCCGTCTCGTCTCGTCTCTTTTCTTTTTTTTTACACACCGCGTCTCTGGCTTTGCTATCTACTAGCGGTCAATTCTTTGGCTTTCTTTTTCTCCGCATCCTAACTTTCGCTTAAACACAAGCACCCCTTGCTTATCCCGCCGGGGTTTTATTGCTTACGTCACTGACACCAGAACTCAAAGCCTGTTTCAGCTTAACCTTCATTTGCTTACTGCTTTGTTGATACTCTTAGTAAGCATCTCTGGCTATATATTGCAATCCTTTGAGCTCGTTGCTGCCGTGTAATATCTGTGCTTCCATTTGGCGCTTTTTATTTCGAGATTGACGAACTGATCCGCCCGGAATTTATCGTTCTATCACCGTATCGCATTCAAGTCGGCGAAGCACGAATTAGTCAATTGCTCCCTGGTTGTTTTATCTTGCACGTGAGACTATATTAAAACACTTGTCTGTACCGTGTTCAATCAAAAAACGGGTAATTAAGGACTCTTGGACTCTACAAAACAGTGATTCCTTAGACGGTACTCTTCTTCGTTCTCTCTGCCAAAATTTGCTTGTTCATTGCAGATTTGTAAAAAAGTGGATTTTTCATCTTGATTCGCTAAAAATCGGCGGGTTTCATTTTCGTTTTGTTTTTGTTTTTGAAGATTCGTTTTCCGGTATCCTATAGAAACGCATTTATACATCCACACGCATTTTGTTCATTATGGCTCCTACTGAACAAACTCCCCTCCTCACCACTGCTGGCGAGGAGGAAAATTTGACCTGGAAGGGTCGCCTTCATCGCTGGGTCTCCGCCCGCAGATACTCGAGACGGACTCTGTTCATCAGAATTGGTGCCGTTCTCCTTGCTTCCAGCATTCTGTATCTCCTTTTGAAACATCACCCTGAACCTGTGTTGCCTCCTTCATTGCTTGTTTCGGGTCGAAGGGGTGCAATTGCCGCGGAAGTCGATGTTTGCTCGTCCATCGGCACACGCATTCTTGAGCAAGGCGGTAACGCCGTCGATGCCGCTATTGGTGCGGCTTTGTGTGTCGGTACCATCAACTTTTTCTCGAGTGGAATCGGCGGAGGCGGATTCATGCTTGTCCATGCGCCAACGGGTGAAGCCACATCGTTTAATTTCCGCGAAACGGCTCCCGCTAATGCCTCTAAAGATATGTTTACCGAGAACCCTATTCTTGCGCAATTGGGCGCTCTTTCTGTCGGTGTCCCTGGCGAATTGGCGGGCATGTACGAAGCTTGGTCTCGTTATGGTGAACTTGACTGGCAATGCATCGTTGAGCCTAGTGCTCGATTAGCCGCTAAGGGCTTTCGGGTGTCCAAAGTGCTTGCTGAACGTTTGCGTGTTCCTTACCTCTTGGGGCTGAAAGAAGATCCCGTGTGGGCTTCGGTCATTGCTCCCGAGGGCCATTTGCTTATGGAGGGTGAAACTATGCAACGCCCAGCATACGCAGAGACGCTTTTGCAAATCGCTCGGGAAGGCGTCCAGTCGTTTTACAATGGCAGTTTGGCTCATGTCATGGTTCGCTATCTTCAAAGCAAAGGCGGAATTATTACCAAGGAAGACTTCGCAAACTATAGGGTCGAAGTTGAGCCAGCATTGGAGACACAGTACCGCAACCGCACGGTTTACACAACCCAATTGCCCAGCGGTGGACCTGCGTTGATTGAAGGATTGAACATCCTGGATGGCTTTGATTTTGACACCTTGACGTCTCACGAACGCTTGCAAGTGATCATCGAGACGATGAAATGGATGTTTGCTGGACGCTCTCAGCTTGGAGATCCAAAGTATATTCAAGAAAACCTTGAAAAGGTTAAAGAGCTTCTTGATCCAGAGCATGCCAAGGCCATTCGCGCCAACATTTCACTGGACCGCACATTCCCATACGAATACTACCAACCTGCGTTCGACGTCGCCGAGAACCATGGTACAACTCATGTCACCGCGATTGATAGCAAGGGCTTCACGGCTTCGATTACCTCTACAGTCAACTTGGAGTTTGGCTCTCATCTCATGGACCCCACAACGGGTGTTGTCTTCAACGATGAGATGGACGACTTTTCCATTCCTGGTGCTCGCAACGCATTCAACGTCTCCGCTTCTCCTTGGAACTACGTTGCCCCTGGCAAGCGCCCTCTTTCCTCGTCTGCGCCCACCGTCGTTCTTGACGCTGCCGGAGAGCGTGTTGACTTGGCACTCGGTGGCAGCGGCGGCAGCCGTATCTTGACGGCTGTTTTGAATACCATTATCAATTACGTCGACCTGCATTACGATTTGGAACAGTCCATCACTTTGCCTCGTGCTCACCATCAGCTTTTGCCCGAGTTGGTTCTTCTCGAACCAGGATTTACCAAAAAGACAATCGATTTCTTGACGGGTGTTGGACACGATGTCTTCCAGCTTGGTCCCAAACCTTTGAGCGAGATTCAGGCTGTAAACCAATTGGGTTCGCTGTACTTTGGTTTCAGCGACCCTCGTAAGGCAGGCGTTGCCGCAGCACTTTAATTCCTCATGGTTCACGTTTTTGTTTGCACCCTTTTCCCATCACATTCCTTCGTCCACCACCTTTCACTCATTCACGTCTCTTCCCGCTAATGCCTCAACAACCGTCTCGACCGTCTTCCTCTCCCCATCAATGTTTTTGTATTAATAATGAATGAGCGGTTCCCCGTTAACTTTTAACTATGAGTGAATTTAGGACAATTGCGAAATGTTGCTTTTGTACATTTTGTTAGCCTTTGTAATTAGAGTTATCTTGGCGAGCACGTGCTTTTTGTTTAGATCTAGCGTTGGAATTTTTGAGCTCTCTTACGAAGCTTTTGCTGGCGTTTCGAAAGCTGAGGTTCGCCTGCAGGCTCTGTGGTGTCTGCGCCGGAGGATTGCTGGGCAGCGAATCCCTTGAGTTGACCCAAAACGGTTTTCAACAGAGGAAAGCCTTTGTATACAATGAAGCCAGGAATCTGCATGATTAGTAACTAGAAGGAAAAAGGTGTTTACGTCATCCTGACGAATGGTTCTGGCGGGGAAAACTCTAAAATACTTACAGCGAGAAACAGAAGAAAAGCTTTTGTGGTGGTTAGTGCCACAGCCAACACAATGAACCAACAGAACGCAATGTAGGCCAGCAAGTATGAAGTCAAACCAGGTGCAGTCAAGTCTTGGCCCACCTTAACGAGCGCACCGTGCTCGTTGTAAACCGGGGTAGAAAGCTTTGATAACTGGGCGTGGAGGAGAGCAGCACTTCCGGACACCAACAAAAACAATGCCGTGGACTTTTTAGAAAGCTTACTTCTAACGAAAAAACGCAACACAATAAACAAACCGTTGACTACTATAGAGCAGTAACGCATAAAACGTAACATACGCACATTTTGAGCGGCAATTTTCTTCTGAGACGCGTTGGCCATTTTGGTAGAAGTTGCTCTGAGAACGCTGACGAAGAAAATGACTCGGTGCAGCGCGGTGTAATGCAGTAGATAAAATAAAGTTATCTAAGCGAAACGAGGTGGAGGACTTGGGAGAATACAATGGAGGATTCACAAAAGTGAAAGTGAGATGAAGAAGAGAAGTGCGAAAAGAGTAGTTACCAAACTTGCATATTTTTTAAATTCGCCTTCTTTTTACCTTTTTGAGAGTCAGAACTTGGTTCCCCTTCTCCTTGTTGTCGCAAAAAAACACTACCACCATAGCTTAATTGAATTAAGGTTTTATTACGCGCTTTTATTAAACAGACGCGCAGACACTCATCAAACGCAGCATTTGGAGACAACAGGATTCAGTATACCCCGTTCGAATTTCGCCTCTCTTCCATTCTCTTCGTCGGCGTTCTACGTTGCCGTTCACGTCGCTTCTCACGGACCTTCCTTACTCGCGCAATCCTCTTTCAATTACTTTCATCCTCCAGCCAATTCCACAGTCCTCGTCGTAATCAAGCAGATTTCACCACGATGTTTTGCTCACCCAACCCAACGTTTCCATCTACTCGCGGATCCTGTAACGCACCTCCGCTCCTATTACATGCCTTCTGATCCTCTCCTTGGCCAATACCAACACCTGCTGGAATAGCCAAAAGCACATTGCACAACACAAACGTCATTTAATGCACTGCAGTGAACAACGAACATCAGCCCTCGTTGGCGTACGTCATTGCGACCGCTCTCGGCCATCCCCTAGTCTCTCAGGCGCCTAGTGGGACAAACGGCACGCGGGCCCTCGCTTGATCAAGATAAGCGCCGTCAATTGTGGGGTAATGGTTGGATCTCGGCTAAGCCATGGCCCAATCGGATTTCTCAGAAACAACGTGTTTGTCTTATTTTTCATTGTCCACCACCGCGTGGGAAGAGTAGTCAGCGCTCACCGTACAACACGCATTGCTACCTTACCTGTCCTTCAGACTCTCAGTACAAACCATTTTCCTTCCACGACTCTTTTCCCGTAGGTTGAGAAGTATGGCTCCTCGCGTCGCCTCCCATTTTTTGGGTAAGTAAAAGGAACTCGTTTGAACGGGCTTGAACTGTGAGATTTGTGTGTTTTGGATTATCGTTTGGTGATCAGTTGATTTTTTTTTTTCAAGTGCTTTTTCCCACTCTGAACGGGATTATTACGGATGAACGCGTGTTGAACGGCAAGAAGTAGACTTGGTGACACTGACAGGGTCGTTGGAACGAGCGTTAGAGCATGTTTGGAGCGGTTTCAGATCGATTTTCGTGTTTCTAGAACCTTTTCTCCTGGAAGAGGTCGAAAAAACAGGTTATGAAATAAACCCACGGCCTCTACAGTGTTTTCACCGCATCGCTGACGCGTTTCATGATGAAATTTAGGGCACAGATGCTCTGTGGGAAGGCTTAGACTTTTTGAAGCCTTTCTTTCATGTATCACTCGTGTTTTTTGACCGAACGTTCTGCCAGTAACGTCTCAACGCTCTTCCAATCGTCCTCTACCTTCTCTACGTGTCATTCGCCCCCTTTCCCACCATTTCACATCTTCTCTCTAACGTCTCTCCTGTCTCAACGACACGTTCGTTCCTCGTTACCACTGATACTAACCATTGCAGGAGGCAATTCCCTCAGCGTTGCCCCAGAAGGAAAGCTGAAAGACTATGTTAAGTCTCGTAATGGACACACTGTAATTTCTTCCATTCTGATCGCAAACAACGGTATTGCAGCCGTCAAGGAAATTCGAAGCATTCGGAAATGGGCTTATGAAACATTTAACGATGAAAGAGCTATTCAGTTTACGGTAATGGCCACACCTGAAGATTTGAAAGTAAACGCAGACTATATTAGAATGGCCGATCAATATATTGAGGTCCCCGGTGGCTCTAACAACAACAATTACGCAAACGTCGAACTCATTGTGGACATTGCTGAACGCATGGGAGTTCATGCCGTTTGGGCCGGTTGGGGTCACGCCTCAGAGAATCCTCGTCTGCCCGAAATGCTCGCTGCCAGTAAACAGAAAATTGTTTTTATTGGTCCTCCTGGCAATGCCATGCGTAGTTTGGGTGACAAGATTAGTTCTACAATTGTTGCTCAAAGTGCTCGCGTGCCTTGCATGCCCTGGTCCGGTAACGGCATTGACACGGTTCATGTCGACGATGACACGGGCATTGTCACAGTCGACGAAGACACATACTCAAAGGCTTGTGTGACCTCGCCCGAACAGGGTCTGCAGGTGGCCAAGGAGGTTGGCTTTCCCATTATGATTAAAGCCTCTGAAGGCGGTGGTGGTAAGGGTATCCGTAAGGTGGAGGAACCTGAAAAGTTTGCTCAGTGTTATGAACAGGTCATGGCTGAGGTTCCGGGTTCTCCTGTTTTTATCATGAAGCTTGCAGGTCATGCCCGTCATCTGGAAGTCCAGCTGCTTGCTGACCAGTACGGCAACAACATATCCTTGTTTGGTCGTGATTGTTCCGTTCAACGTCGGCACCAGAAGATCATTGAGGAGGCTCCTGTCAGCATCGCACCCGCTGAAACCTTCCATCAAATGGAGCGCTGCGCTGTCCGTCTTGGTGAACTTGTTGGTTATGTTTCAGCCGGTACGGTCGAGTACCTTTACGAACCCGAGGAGAACAAGTTCTACTTCCTCGAACTGAATCCTCGTTTACAAGTTGAGCACCCTACCACTGAGATGGTCTCGGGTGTGAACCTTCCCGCCGCCCAATTGCAGGTCGCTATGGGTATTCCATTGAAATGCATTCCAGATATTCGCACAATGTACGGTCTTGATCCCAATGGTGACAGTGACATCGACTGGTTCTTCAAGAACCCCGAGTCTCTGCAAACTCAAAAGCGTCCTACTCCTCGTGGTCACTGTATCGCTTGCAGAATTACGTCCGAGGATCCTGGTGAAGGTTTTAAGCCTTCCAGTGGTATGATTAAAGAACTTAATTTCCGGTCTTCTAGTGATGTTTGGGGATACTTTTCTGTCGGTACCGCTGGCGGTATTCATGAGTACGCCGACTCTCAGTTTGGTCATATTTTTGCCTTTGCTAAGACTCGCGAGTCGAGTCGGAAATCTTTGGTTGTTGCATTGAAGGAGGTCTCTATTCGTGGTGACTTCCGCACTACAGTTGAGTATCTCATCCGGTTGTTGGAGACGTCTGCTTTCACGGAGAATCGTTTCACAACTGGATGGCTTGACACACTTATTTCACAGAAGCTTACGTCGGAAAAGCCTGATAAGATTCTTGCTGTCGTTTGCGGCGCTCTTGTTCGTGCCCATGCCACCTCAGAGGAGCAGCATCGTGCCTTCCGTTCATATTTGGAACGCGGTCAAGTTCCGTCTCGAGACTTCCTGAAAAACATTTATGACATTGAATTCATTTATGAGAATCAACGTTACCGTTTCACTGCCACCCGTTCCTCTCCCGGTTCTTATCATCTTTTCCTTAATGGCTCTCGTTGTACTGCCGGCGTCCGCACATTGACCGATGGTGGTCTTTTGATTCTCCTTAATGGTCATTCCTTTACCGTGTATTACAGAGATGAAGTGAATGGTACAAGAATTACCATTGACAACAAATCATGCATTCTTGAACAAGAGAATGACCCCACCCAACTTAGAACTCCCTCCCCCGGTAAGCTCGTTCGTTTCTTGGTTGAAACTGGTGAGCACATTAAGGCTGGCGAAGCCTTTGCTGAAGTTGAAGTGATGAAGATGATTATGCCTTTGGTCGCAGCCGAGGACGGTATCATTCAACTCATTAAACAACCTGGAGCTTCCCTGGAGGCCGGTGACATTTTGGGCATTCTTACTCTTGACGACCCCAGTCGCGTAAAGCATGCACTGCCGTTCAATGGCCAGCTTCCTGTTTGGGGAGAGCCTCAAATTGCAGGCAGCAAGCCCGCTCAACGTTACAGCGCCCTTTTGGGTATCTTAAAGGATATCCTGAGAGGTTATGATAATCAAATTATTATGAAGAGCACTTATAAAGAGCTCGTCGAAGTTTTGCGTGATCCCGAGTTGCCTTATGGAGAGTGGAATGCTCACTACTCCGCTCTTGTTAGCCGTATTCCTCACAATCTCGACAAGGTGTTCACTTCTATTGTTGAGAAAGCTCATCATCGCAAGTCGGAATTTCCGGCGAAGCAGTTAATTATGGCTCTTAATGCATACTTTGAGCCTCAAAAACTGGCTGCTATTCAAACTCTGAAGATGCAACTTGCCCCTCTCATTGAGATAATGGAGAAGTACAAGGAAGGCTTGAAGGCTCATGAGTTTTCCGTTTTTATTGAACTTCTTGAAGATTACTATAATGTCGAGAGACTTTTCTCCGGTCCTCACAAGAGAGAGGAGGATGTTATTCTTCGCCTTCGCGATGAGAACAAGGATGATGCCGATAAAGTTATCGACCTGGCACTTTCGCACTCTCGCATTGGCTCAAAGAATAACTTGATCCTTACTATTTTGGACCTTATCAAGTCTGAACCTTCAACGTTCGTCTCCACCTATTTTAATGATATCTTCCGGAAGTTAACTGAGCTGGATTCTCGTGCTACTGCAAAGGTGGCACTCAAGGCACGTGAGATTCTCATTACCTGTGCAATGCCTTCTTTGTCTGAACGTTTCTCTCAGATGGAGCATATTCTCAGATCCTCCGTTGTCGAAAGTCATTACGGTGATGCTACATTCTCTCACCGTGCCCCTTACCTCGAGGTCTTGAAAGAGCTCATTGATTCGAAATATACTGTTTTCGATGTGCTCCCTGCCTTCTTCTGCCACGATGATCCTTGGGTTTCGTTGGCTGCCCTTGAAGTTTATGTCCGCCGTGCTTACCGTGCCTATGCCGTCTTGGAGTTGAGTTATCATACCGAGTCCAAGCCTTTTGTCTTGTCTTGGCAATTCCAATTGCGTGCCTCTGGTACTCCTGGTCTCGGCGCTACAAACAACAATTCCGCTAGTCAGACAACGACGTCCCAAGAAACCGTTAACAAACGTCTTCAATCCGTGAGTGACCTGTCGTGGTACGTGAACAAGTCGGACTCTGAGCCTCTTCGTTTCGGTGTCATTGTTCCTTGCAGAGACTTCAGCGAGCTTGAGGATAACTTGACCATGGCTATTGACCGCTTGCCTTTGGCTAGAGGTTACTATGGTGCTGGTCTCACCCTTGAGAACACCGTTAAGGAGAACTCTCAAGAGTTGACCAATGTAGTTAATGTTGCCTTGACCTCAACTGCCAATCTTGATGACGCTTCTATTGTTGAGCGTTTGAGTGAGTGCGTAGTTGAGCTTCGTGAGGACCTGCTGGAGCACAATGTTCGTCGTATTACCTTCATTGGTGGTCGTTTGAACAAGTCTGCTTACCCCTCCTACTTCACATTCCGTGCATCTTCTCACGAACAAAACCGTGATGGTAAGTTTATTCGCTATATTGAAGATGAACGTATTCGTCACATTGAGCCTGCTCTTGCTTTCCAGCTTGAACTCGGTCGTCTTTCCAACTTTGACATCGAACCTGTTTTCACAGACAACCACAACATCCATGTCTACCGTGCTACGGCTAAGAACATGAGCACAGATAAACGTTTCTTTACCCGTGCTCTTGTTCGTCCTGGTAGACTTCGGGATGAGATTCCCACTGCTGAGTACCTTATTTCGGAGACTCACAGTCTGATTAGTGACATTCTTGATGCACTTGAGGTCATTGGTCCTGATGCAACCGATTTGAATCATATTTTCATCAACTTCACTCCGGCTTTTGGACTGGCTCCTAAGCAAGTTGAAGCTGCCCTTGGCGGATTTTTGGAACGTTTTGGAAGAAGATTGTGGAGATTGCGTGTTACAGCTGCAGAAATCCGTATTATTTGCACGGATCCTGAGACGAACTCTTTGTTCCCTCTTCGTGTCATTATTTCTAATGTTTCTGGTTTTGTTGTTAATATTGAGATGTATGCTGAAGTCAAGACTGATAATGGCTCTTGGATTTTCAAGAGTATCGGACAGCCGGGTTCCATGCATCTTCGTCCTATCAATACGCCTTATCCCAACAAGGAATGGCTGCAGCCACGTCGCTACAAGGCTCAATTGATGGGAACTACGTTCGTGTATGATTTCCCCGAGCTTTTCCACCGTGCATTCACAAATTCTTGGAAGAATAATGTTGAATCCGCAGACAAGATTCCCGCCGACATTTTTGAGTATAAGGAATTTGTTCTTGATGAAAAGCTGGAATTACAAGAGGTCTCTCGTGAGCCAGGCACCAATTCATGCGGTATGGTTGCTTGGATTATGACTGCAAAGACTCCTGAGTATCCCAACGGAAGACAGTTTATTGTCATTGCTAACGATATCACGTACAAGATTGGTTCTTTCGGACCTGAGGAGGACAGATTCTTCTTCAAGGTTACTGAGCATGCTCGCGCTCTTGGTCTTCCTCGTATTTACTTGGCTGCCAACTCTGGTGCACGCATTGGTGTTGCAGATGAACTTGTTCCTCTGTTTAACGTTGCTTGGGTTGATCCAGAGAACCCTGAAAAGGGTTTCGACTACCTCTACCTGACTCCTGAAACCGAGGCACGTTTGTGCAAGGCCGATGAGAAGACGTTGATTACCGAGAAAATTGAGGAGAATGGAGAGGAACGTTACAAGATCACTGCCATCGTTGGTGCAGAAGAGGGCCTTGGTGTCGAATGTCTTCGCGGCTCTGGTCTCATCGCGGGTGTTACTTCTCGTGCTTATAACGACATTTGGACGTGTACTCTTGTCACTTGTCGTGCTGTTGGTATTGGTGCCTACCTTGTTCGTCTTGGTCAGCGTGCAGTTCAAGTGGAGGGTCAACCTATTATTCTTACAGGTGCTCCTGCTTTGAACAAGGTTCTTGGTCGCGAAGTGTACACTTCAAACTTACAACTTGGTGGTACTCAAGTTATGCATCGTAATGGTGTTTCGCATCTCACCGCTCAAGATGATTTCGATGGTATCTCTAAGATTATTGAGTGGATGTCTTATGTCCCTGAGAAGCGTAATAGTCCTGTTCCTATCGCTCCTTGTACCGACACTTGGGATCGTGATGTTGAATTTTACCCCAACATGAATGGCTACGATCCTCGCTGGTTGATTGCCGGTAAGGAAGAAGATGAGGGTTTCTTGTACGGTTTGTTTGACCGCAATTCCTTCCAAGAGACTTTGAACGGTTGGGCAAGAACCGTCGTTGTTGGACGTGCTCGGCTTGGTGGCATACCTTTGGGTGTCATTGCTGTTGAGACGAGATGCATCGAAAATACCGTTCCTGCTGATCCTGCAAACCCTGATTCCACTGAACAAGTGTTGATGGAGGCAGGCCAAGTCTGGTACCCCAACTCTGCTTTCAAGACTGCTCAGGCTATTAACGACTTTAACCATGGTGAACAACTTCCTCTGTTCGTTCTTGCCAATTGGCGTGGTTTCTCTGGTGGTCAACGGGATATGTACAACGAAGTTTTGAAGTATGGTTCCTATATCGTTGACGCCTTGTCCAACTATCAACAACCCGTGTTCATCTATATTCCTCCTCACAGCGAGCTTCGTGGTGGTTCTTGGGTCGTCGTTGATCCTACCATCAATGAGGACATGATGGAAATGTATGCCGACTATGAGTCCCGTGCTGGTGTTTTAGAGCCGGAAGGTATGGTTAGCATTAAATTCCGTCGTGAGAAGTTGCTCTCCTTGATGAGACGCATTGATCCCGTGTATTCTACTTTGAGCCGTGAGCTCGAGAAAAGCGGTTTATCCACAGACGAGCAATCAGACATCAGAGTGAAACTGATGGATCGTGAGCAAAAGCTGATGCCCATCTATCAACAAATCAGTATTCACTTCGCTGATTTGCATGACCGTGCTGAGCGGATGCTTTCCAAGAAGGTTATTCGTAAGCCCCTTCACTGGACTCAAGCACGTCGTTTCTTCTACTGGCGTCTTCGTAGACGGTTGGATGAGCATTACTCATGCAAGCAACTTGTTCAAAGTATTCCTTCTATGACGCTCGCCAATGCCAAAAAGCAACTTCGTTCCTGGTTTGAGGCTGCCAATACTGAGAAGGATTGGGAAGCTGATGACAGAGCTGTTGTCGCTTGGATTGAGGAACATCCCGAAGAGCTTGTTTCAAAGGCCGTTGAATTGAAGAATGAACGCCATCTCCGTGATGTTATTGAGCTTCTTACCGTCGACAAGACTGAGCTGCTCACTGGTATTGTTCAAGTCATTGGTAAACTCTCTGAGGATGAGAAGGCCAAGCTTTCGGAAGCACTTGTTAAACCGTAATTAAATACTGTGCGCAGTATTTGAACGCCGAGGGTCCACTCAACTTTCACATTAACCTTACGCCCTTTTTTACTCTTATCCATGACCTATATTTCTAGTCAAGCAAGATTCATGAGAGCAATGAAATAAAAGCATTTCGTTTCATTCAACTATAAAAGTGTTTCCGTCTGACGTGTTTACCCTTTTCTTTTGCGTGATCAGGTTGCAGGACTTTTATCTGCTCTCGTTCAGACTTGGCAGCTGCCGCCTTCGAAGGGAAGAACTGTCAAATACAAAAGTTTAGTTACTGTACAAACAGTAAAGAACCCTTTTTTAACAAATAGAATAAGTTACATTTGTGGAACACCTCGATATGTTTGTGTTATGTTGTGTAAGGAACTGTAATATTCGTATAATAAGACGAACTATGAACGCGCTATGAATGAGAGCTTCGCAAAAAAGGTAGGTAGACAGATATACAACCGGTATTCTGTAATATAAAGGGACAACAGAAAACGAACACGTGAACATGCTACAAACTACAAGTTTCAGATGTTGGTAACAGAGGTTGATTAAAAGGTTCGTAATCAAAACAGACATGGAAGTAAACTCAAAACGAAAAACAAACAGCTTACTGTTTGCATGAGATTGGGAGACATAAAACTTACTTGAAGTTCTTGTTGAGAACAGCAGCGAAGCGCTCAATGGCAACGTTGAAATCCTCAAAGTTGGCAGCCGCAAATGTTACACGGAAGAACACGCGGTCATTCTTTGATGAATCAACAATGAACCAGTGACCACAGGCCAAGTTGACACCAGCATCAACAGCTTGCTCGTGAATGTCGGTTTCGATTTCCGGAACGGTCTTGAACTTATCGCTGTGGAGGTAACGAGAGCGGTCGACCTCAAACCAGATGAACATACCGGCCTCAGGGGCGATGTAAGAACACAGACCCTCGGGCAAGTACTTGTTCATGGCAAGCAACAAGGCGTTACGACGACGAGTGTATTGGAAACGAATTTGCTTCAACCACTCCAGGTAGCCCTCCTGGCCCCAAGTGTGGAGAATTCCGTGAAGCAAGACTTGAGACAAACCAGAAGCACTCTGGATGTTGACCTCATTTTGGCGAAGAGCACGCTCCATGAACAAGGGATGGCCGGTAAGCCAACCGAGACGAGTACCAGGGGCAACAACCTTGGACATGGAATCCAAACGGATAACACGACCCTCGGTATCGATGCTCAAAAAGGAGGTAATCAGTTGAGAAAGGAAAGTCTCGTTAGAAACAGTGGGTTGCTCCTCGGGGATCTTTCCATCAAAGTTGTCCATTTGAAGGAAGTAGTAGGGCTCATCCTCGAGAATGATAATGTCATGAGCTTGGCAAATTTCGTAGATACGAGCGCGTCTCTCGTTGGACAACGTACTTCCAGTAGGGTTTTGACCAGAAGGGATCACATACATAACGTGAGGCTTGGGGCATCCGCGAGCCTTCGTGTTCCACGAAGACAAAAGCTCCTCCAACTTTTCAGGCAAAATACCGTTCAAATCCATGGGCATGGGGATACAGTTGATGCCCATGGGCTCAATGGTCTGCAAAGCAGAGGGGAAAGTGTACTCCTCGACGAGAAGACTCTCGCCGCGGTTCAAAAGCATACGCAGACAGGTATCCAAGGCATTCGTGTTACCGGCGGTCAGCATAACGTCCCAACCCTCGTACTTTGGTTGGTGGACAATGCGGGTATGCTCCTTAACGAATGCTGCGAGCTGCAGGGCGCCAAATCCCTGGCCGTACTGCAATCCCTGGGACAGACCGAAATCGTTGTCCTCGGTGGGTTCCATGCCAAGGGAGAGTTCTTGGAGGGGGATCTTGGAGACGTTGTTGTTCTCAGGCTTGCCATCAGGACGGTAAACAGCGGTAGACAGGGTTCGGATGGGGAAGTAATCCGAGTGAGGAAGACCACCGGCAAGGGACACAATGTTAATGCCAGTCTTGCTCTTGGAAAGAGCAGCAGCCTTCAAAGGAGAAGGTCTACGAGCAGAAGACTCGAGGGAAAGATGATGAGAGAGGTCTTTGGGCTGGTAGGCGACCATTTTAATTCTAACAAAAAGAAACGATGGAGGAGGAAAATGAGAGCAGTTAAAAAAGGAGGAAAAAATCAACAAAAACGAGACAAGTTTTTCCTGATTACCACAAACAGACCTGTATAGCTAAAAAACAGTACAGAAAAAAGGAAATCTAATGGAATCCAACGAACGGACGAATTTGTGCTGGTGGTTGGTTCTGGTTAAGTTCCCGCTGATGATTGTTTGGTGGAGTCGATGCAGCACCTGAGACGCGTCAGGATGCTTAAATAATAACACGCCCTGCGATTAGTTTATGTGATAATCTTGCGCTCTTTCGAGCTGTTTGCAGGGTGATATTCTATCATACCTAAGCACCATTTCGTCGGCCTTAGGGACAAGGTTTATAACCTATCGCGTTTTATCAAAGGCTGATATTTATTTTTTATTTTTAGCTAACAGATGTAATGCGACGCGTCTGATTGAACGGATGCTTTTATGTCCGTATCGCGTGCAGCGCGCGTCGCTCGTTGCAATATAATAAGGTTTCGTGAATACAAACCTTATATTATATTACAACACGCGACGCGTGAAACTAGTAAAAACGATTTAGATATAAATGTCAAAAAATATTAGGTGTTGTAAGTTTTGAATTGCGTAGATTAGCAGCACATGTGTTCATTCTTTCTTTTGTCTTGTTCCCAGACACTGCGTTTTTTCATTGGAGAACTGATCTGCTGACCAAGTTCCTCATGGTTTGCCTCTTCCTCTATCATTACACACGCACACACACACATACACACTTGCTGGACGAACTCGGTACTTTACGATCAATTCAACGGTAGATCATCCATATTATCTGTTGTAACGTTTTTAATAGTGTCTGTTTTGCGTATCTTTGTAACTTTCCTTCACTTTTTTGTGTTTCTTTCTTCATGTTCATGTCTGTACTTGTCACTGTCGGATCAACAAGCTTTAACGAGCTTATTGAAGCTGTAGGACACAAATCCTTCTATGAAACTCTCGTTCGACACGGCTATTCGCGTTTGTACGTTCAATATGGTGGAGGAAAAACAGTGTTTGAAAACCGTGATCCCGACGTGCCTGGATTAGAGGTGACTGGATTCGACTACGTGGCAGATTTGACACCGTATATGGAGGAAGCACAGTTAGTAGTGTCTCACGCTGGCGCAGGAAGCATTTTACAGGCTTTACGCCGTGGAAAACGACTTGTCATCGTACCGAACGAAACACTCATGGACAATCACCAAATTGAACTTGCCGAGAAAATGGACTCTTGTGGTTATGCCATGCGCGCAGCAACATCTACGTTAGCTAAAGTCGTAGACCAGGCTTGCACAAATTCTCCAACACCATTTCCCGAGGCAGACTATTCAAAGTTTCGTCAAGTGATGGAAGACGTTGCCCTCTAAGTGTTTTGGTGAGCATAACCGACTAAGAACTATGACAAATGCAAGGGAGAAAAACAGACACTGCGTGTTAGCATACATCCTGCTAACAATGCATGCCTATCTCAATCTCCTCTTGTTACGCCTTCTTGGTGTTTCCTTCCCCTTTTTGTTTACAACGCGTTGCATTTAGGACGCGTCCTGCATAATGACGTAGTCCACTTGGATGAGTCGTTGTATTGGGCCTTTTACCTCAACACAACAGCAACATGACAGCGTCGAGCTCGCGATTTCGTGGATTCTTCTATGAATCAGCACGTCTTCTGCGGCGTAGAATGTTTCTGGCTACGGCAGCTACAACACTTGTAGCTGCTGGTGCTCTTTCTGCTAGATTTACGCGACGACCCGTCCTGTTAGACCAACCTGTCCGAAAGCAAGAAGCAATTCACTATCCATCCAAGGCACGAACACCACCAAAAACGCCGGATGAAGTTTCAGCTCGCTTACGTGAATTACAACGCACAGTTTTGTTGCGGAAGGATGGTATCTACCGGTACGACTGGAACCAGGTCGCCAGTAACGATCCTTGTGAGGATGACCACGACGAACGCACTGTTTCTGATGTTGACGAAGGGAATTGGTACTTTTGGGGCGTGTACGATGGACATTCCGGTTGGAATACGTCTCTCTTCCTACGCGATCACCTTGTGACAGCCGTTGTAGACGAGCTTAAGTTCGCTTGTCGGCATGCAGCAAAACAGAACGCGTGTCCGACTCCTGCTGCTCTCGGAGATTGCATGAAAAAAGCGTTTGTACAAGTTGATGACACAATTGTTCGGGACCATGTCACTCGCGTGTTCAAAGGACCCGTTTCTCTCCAACAAGCGGCTTCTCTGCTGCTGCCTGCCTTGTCAGGCTCCTGTGCCCTGTTAGCTGCGTATTCAGCCAAGTCTCAAAATCTGCAAGTTGCCTGTACAGGCGATTCACGAGCCGTTCTCGGTGTCCGCAGCAAGGACAACCGCGGCTGGGAGACGGTGCCCATGAGTGCTGACCAGACGGGTGCAAACCCTTCCGAAGCAGAAAGACTCCAAGCAGAACACCCTGGAGAGACTGTCCTCACTAACAATCGCATTCTAGGCCGATTGATGCCTTCCCGGGCCTTTGGAGATGCCAAGTACAAATGGACATCTGAGGTGGCCGCACGCTTGTATAGAGAGTATTTTGCATTGCGTCCCCTGCCGACAAAGACGCCTCCATATGTTACAGCGGAGCCGGTTGTGCAAGTTCAACGCATTGAACCTAGTCGGCAGTCATTCCTCATTCTCGCAACCGATGGTTTGTGGGACACCATGTCAAGTGAACGTGCTGTGCAATTAGTTGGTGAATGGATTGAATCGGGTCAATTGGACGGGAAGGGTGCACGCTCTACGGCTCGTCAATTATTCTCCTCCTCATCTGCAACTCCAGTCAAAGATAGCAACGCAGCGACCCATCTCATCCGACATGCCTTAGGTGGTGAGGACAAACGCGTTTCTTCTTTGCTGACATTAACATATCCCGTGTCACGCAGGTACCGCGACGATATCACGGTTACTGTTGTTTTCTTTGATTATGGAAACTAGGTGTGATTAAGGATTAAGGAACATTTCGAAAGGATAGCACACACACACGACAGGTGTTACCAGAAAGTTCATTCCTCGCAGGCCAAAAACAAAACCCAATTCCCAAAAAAGTCCTCTTCATACCCGCTCCACCCCCCGCTTGTTCGCTTTGGGTCTAACAAACCCTCCCCGTGTTATGTTCTATAAGAAAATCTACCGTTACATTGATAACGAATACGTAAAACAGTCTCCTGGCTAACATGTCGAAAGAGGAAGAAGAAGAAAAAGAAAAAGGAAGAAAGAAACTGTGCCGTCATTCAGAAGTTTCGTTAGAGCATGGTCAGCTACAGGCGCTAGCATTATCATCGAACACGACCAAACGCCGATCGTCGTTACAGCAGCAAAAGAAGCTGCAAGGCATCGCAAAAGACGACAAGAGGCCTTTCCTAGTTACCGTTCTTGCGTTGAGTGGGTGTCTGTTCGCCGGAAGACACTGTTGATGATGGAGTGGGCGATGGAGCAAAAGCTAAAGAGCCCGCGGCTGCTTCTTTAGCTGATGCATCCGAGCGTCTTTTACGATGTGCAGATGCAGCAGCGGCGTCTTTCTTTGGTGACGCCGACGGAGCTAGGTGAGGAATGGTTTCAGGAGAAGGGATTCCCTTTCCGACATTAGTGATTCCCGTGTCGGAGGCCTTGCCGGCCTTGCTTAATGCATAGTCTCCTGAGTCAAAATACTTTCTTCCTTGCTAAATAAACGATCGTTAGTAACTATCGAAACGATAAAAGAACAAAGGAAAAAACACCGACTGTGACAGAAGAATGAGAACGACTAGCCGATCAACAAAGGAACGGCTCGTAAAATCGCAGGGATCGCAAGTGGACGAGAAGAAGCAACAACAGCCACTGATACCGTTTGCAATTCAGTCATAAATAGCGGCGGATTGTCTCTTTCTTGAACGAGGTCCATCCTTTTCGTATGCACGCATAAACGCCCCTCGTGCCGCACGTTCTTCCGCATGTCACAGGGATGCTCGTTCCAACATACCTTGAGTTTTTGAACCAGAAAGTCCTTCCGTTGAGGCAGTCTGCCGTATAGACGGTACAATTTCTGCTCCTCCGAAGTGAGACTCTGTATCAACGACAAGTTAGTTACTGGCCACCAAAAATTGCAGCACGATGAACTGTGCATTCGGCTCTCCCTAAGACGCCGTATTCCGACTGTACATACGTTGATATCAACGTTCTTTTGCGTTTGATCTGAAGACATGCTCAGGTACACCCGGTTGGCACTGTCACAGCTTCCGTTTTGGTTGCGTAGAGGGGAAGGGTCGGGCGGTTTGCGCAGCTGCTGGAATCGCCATCCAGGCGGTGAGCGAACTGATGATATCAGTTCCGCTGCTGGCCCGCGCTTGCGACGAGCGACAGGCACGTGCTCTGACCCTGGATCCAGTTTTTGATGACATCATCATGCTGTCAGAGCACGATGAAGCAGTGGGACATCTTGTGGGGCCGACGATTCGCGGAGCTTACGTAATGTAAAAACTAGCGAGGCGTTTACGCGGCCAATCAAAAGGTAGCTTTATCGCATAGTATTTGAGTGTCGGAGGAGTAAGTGTACACGTGACGGGCTTCGTAAACTCTGAATCGCAGATTTTCAATTAGAACGAGAACAGATAAGAAAGGCCTTCTCGTGACCCGTGATGTCATCGGCAAGGAGCATGCGTTGTTGGTGTGTTTTGCGGAGAGCAGTCTAGAAATTAGCGCTTTGTCTTTGTCGGTGAGTAATTTGCCGGATTTGCAATAGAAATCGGCAGAATGTTGGTTGGCTGCATGACGAAAAAAGCACCCCTGCTTGAGTGGCTATTTTCCGGATGGCGTGCCTTGACGTTATGTGCATAGGTTCAGCTGGACCTAGGTTATACGGGTCAGGTTTTGGCCATGCGCCTCTGCGGGGCGGAGGCGGGGTAAGGAGGGACGCGTGGGATGACAGGGATGCCGAAGAAAAATATCTAAGCGAATGTGGGATAGGCGGGGGAGGATATTGAAAAAAAGAAAGGAAACAAAGGAACAAACACAGGTTGGTTGTTTTGCTATTTTTGCGCGTTTGTTTATTGTTCTACCGTGTTTTGGGGTTCTAATACTGTTTTTTATTTTTTCTTGCATTTGCTGCTCTCTTTTTCTTTGTCCCTTTCCTTGTCCCTCACCCCCCCCTTCCTTCCCTCATCCCACTTAAACTTATCTAAGGTTCTTCTGGATGGTTAGTTCACGATTTTATTACTGTAAATAGAAATCGAATTGTTAGTGTGTATAGACAAAGCTGAGGGGGGTCTTTTTACCGGCAAATGATAGTACGACGAGTATCGCTGTAGGTTGAGCGAATTATTAATTATTGGTTGTGAGGAAGGAATCGCGACGAAGTGTATAAAAAGGTGCAGGAAAACTGGTTGTCTTTCGGAAAAGCAGAGTTCCGTTCGGCTATACGGGGGAGGGGCTTCGTACACTAAGTTGGGTTTGACAAATGGTTGAGTTTGGATTGCGATGGTGTGTGGGGGGGGGGGCGAGGGAGAGGAAGAAGAAGGGAGACAGGGTGTGTGTGTGTGTACGATGAGATGAATTTCCATTTGAGCTGTTCAGGTGGACAGGGTGGTGATACGGAAGATGATCTTGAGGATAATTCCTGATTCGACTTTTGCATTCATCCGGCAAGGGGGAGGATGTGGGAGGATGTGGGAGGATGTGGGAGTGCGAATTATACTTTCATAAGGTTTGAGTCTTTTTTGGGGAAGCGAAACGTAACAAGCTAAAATTCGTTAAAGTAAATAATGCAGCTTTGTAGAGAGCTGTAACTTTGTTTAATGTAGTGTAAGGTTATGCAATGCAGTATAGTGCACTCCTGTGTAATTACCGATAACGCGAATTTGCGTATACCAGCGATAAGCTCAGTTGCTTTTAGACTGAAGTCTGCGCCATTCGGTTGGCTTAATTCAAGTGTTTGGCAGCTCTGAGTGTAAGCCCGGGCTCCACTATAAATGAAGCGTAAGCAAATTTGCCGTACAAGAGCTGGTCGGCAAGGCAATAGAAGTGTTATCATTGGCTAAACGGTGCCAAAAGGATGGGCAAAGCAGCACAGATTTCTCGAACTTAGAAGAGAACACACACACACACACCTGAACACACTCGCAATCAAATCAAGGTAATTGAACTTTATTAACTAATCTTGAACATGTCCGCGTACCCCACACATACCGTCCCATCACGAAACACTTCGTGACACCATGACTCAGATCGTATACTCATCACAAACGCTGAACGTTTAAGTGCTTGACTCTTAGATATTGGAGATCATCATGTCAATCATGGCAACACAATGTGTTTCGTAACAGGAACAAGGCCCGGTCTGGCTCGAACAGACCACCAGGACGAACTGCACCGCAGCTGCCCATGCACCCTTGCAAGCCTTCTGAAGTAGAGAGGAGAAACGAGACACCCTGAACAAAAGACTAAGCCCCATTGGGTTACACCAGACACAGGTCTGGTGCAGCAAAATAACTATCGACTGCGAACGAATAAAGGACAGGAGCATTGGTATCGGCCTCCCCGTGTCCCAGACTGTACATGGCCGAAAACTGAGTGAAGAGGACAATTCGTAGACTCCGTATCCTTATCCACCTCTTTCGAGCGAGGAATGCCCCTCCAAACAGCACCAGACAAAACAATCCAAGGACCCGAGTACAGGAGAACGAGCAACACCGCCTGCACCAGTTTACGAGACGGTCGTGTTTCCACGGACAAAGCACACAAGGCGCCAAAGTTCCGGGGACTTTCCCTAAAGCAGGAGAATGCCACCACCACCGAGGCAGTGGTGGCTGTTTGAATGCTTCAAGCTTTGCTGTTCTTGTTCAGGGATGCTGTTTAGTGGACACGGACTTCCCCTTTTATAGCAAATGTCAGCATAATTGACAGTCACAAACCCTGCCCTAAAATGGCATGTTCCACTGCATTGGAGCACGGTAACCAATATAGCGAACATGAACGAAAGTTTGCGCAATTACGCTGTGTTTGCTTAAAATGTGTAACACTTCGCTGTGGTTTGTTGGAACTCGCTCGAGTGCGTTCCACCCCCGCTATCGCAGCTTGTTCCCCTGTGGGGCACGCTACTTCGCATAGATAGGAGGATAACGCCAGCGAGTGCCGGGCAGTACTTAAGTAGCCCTCTGCCATTTACCTGTTACTCTGTGTGCGCAAGGATGTCTAACTTTGGATTTGACGAAATTACTGCTGTGGCGCCTGATGCCATTTTCAAGCTGAACGGCTTGTACAACCAGGACGCAAGTCCCTACAAGGTAAACATGAGTATTGGCGCGTATCGCGACGACTCTGGCAAACCATGGATTCTTCCTGCCGTTCAACGCGCTTCGAAGTTTGTTGAGGAGAGTCCTTCCTTCAATCACGAATACCTCCCCATTGCCGGTCTTCTCAAGTTCACTCGGGGCGCTGCGAACATTGTTTTTGGTGCCAAGTCGGATGTGATTACCCAAAACCACGTGTGCTCGGTACAAACAGTCTCGGGAACCGGTGCAAACGCTTTGGCTGCCGCTTTTATTAGCAAATTCTACGTGTCGAAGAAGAAGGCTAGCGTTTACATCTCTAATCCCACTTGGCCCGTTCACCGTACACTGTGGGAGAACGTTGGTGTGAATGTCGAGACATATCCCTACTGGAACGCTGAGAAGCGTTCCTTTGACTTTGAGGGCATGGTGAGCACGCTGAAGAACGCTCCCGAGGGAAGTATTGTCATTCTCCATGCGTGTGCTCACAACCCTACCGGTATGGACCCTACTCGTGAACAGTGGCAAGCTATTTTTGAGACTTTGATCGCCCGTAAGCATCTCCCTGTGTTCGACATTGCCTACCAAGGCTTTGCCAGCGGTGATTTGGAGCGTGACGCTTGGGCTTTGAATGCTTTCGCTAAGTATGGCATTGACTTTTTCGTATGCCAATCCTTTGCTAAAAATATGGGTCTGTACGGTGAGCGTACAGGTTGTATGCACTACGTATCTAAGGACGAGGCCACGAAGGATGCCGTCTTCTCTCGTCTCAGCTTCTTGCAACGTAACACCATTTCCAACCCTCCTGCTTATGGTGCTCGTATTGCTGCTGAGATTATGAACGATGATGCCCTGTACGAAGAGTGGCAGCGCGACCTTAAGACTATGTCTTCACGTATCATCGAAATGCGCAAGCGTCTTCGTGACGCTCTTGAGAAGCTTGGCACTCCCGGTACTTGGTCTCATATTACTGAACAAATCGGTATGTTCTCTTTCACCGGTCTTACTCCTGCTCAGGTCCAATTTTGCCAAGAAAAGTATCATCTGTACTTCAGCGCCAATGGAAGAATCTCCATGGCCGGACTCAACACTTCTAACGTTGAGTACGTCGCTAAGGCTTTTGATCACGCTGTTCGCGAAGTTCAGTAAAAAGTGTGATTAAAGGCGATTGACAAAGAAGGCCAGCAAATGCGGCCAACTAAAGTTTTGTTTTTTTGTGTAGGATCACACACACCTTGCGAAAGCGAGTTTGAATATGATTGATAATGATGTTTTCACGATATGATGGACGTGTGGGGATTTGAAGTACATCGAATTTTAGTATTGGGTTGGTTGTTTTTTAGTATTACGGTACGGGTCGGCCATGAGGATTTGAAGGAGGAAATGTTTGTCTATTCAAAAGAGCATCTATCAGTAAAACGAGTTGTATTAGTGGTGTATTGCAATTGGTATTGAACTAGTATATTCTTAGGGTTTTTCTCACTCAATTTTCATTAATGTCGCGACTTGAGAGAGTTGAATGCATTCAAGTCTAAAAAGTACAGGATAGTTTTAGTCATTAAACTCTGTAACAACACAGTAAACACGGAATGGAACAATAATAATTGATTCACAAATTGACTCACATACTCTACAACATTGATCTCTTCCATTAAACCACCCTGATAGGTATTCGTTAATGATATTTTGAACGTGAAGAAGGGTTATCACTCTAACTCTAAAACCTGCACCGGAATTTGGTAAAGAGGTATAAACTGTGAAAGGAAAGTAATATACGGCGCTTAGTACCTTCCCTTGAACCCAGCATAAGTTGTTTCATGATAAAGTATGCCACTTTTTAAGAGAATTGAGTTCATTCAGCTTGTTTTTGAAAGCACACCAAAACACAAGTTTCGATAATCGCCATAGAAATGAACGGGTTGATTTAATTTTGAGGAAACACGGGTCGAATATAGCGAATTGAACAATTCAATGAACGATTTCCGACCAGCAGAAAGCCATGGTCGAATTGTCAATTAGAGCCTTTTCCCGTAGTTCTGTCGCAAAGTCGTACCGCGAAACATTAACTTTTCGTGATGAGGCTGATTTATGAACTAAGTCACCCGTACAGATACAACAGCTAATCAATGGATTTTTTCACACCGCGGGATCCGCCAAGTTCCGAGGAGATTCTTTAATTGAACCCATTTAAATTGTCTCCAGAACCGACGTGGTAAGAAGAGGGCGATTAGGCATTGAAAGAAACCGTAAAAGTACTGTTGTTCTTGAAAGCTTGTCCCATAACCGTATGTGATTTCTTTGAAAATCGAGTCTCTTGAGAGGGTATATCCGTTCACAGTGTCGCGCATGTATTACTGCAGATTAAGAAGAGCTGCGAATTTGTTTGAATAAAGAAGCATGCGCTTCATCGGAAAATAAAAAGACACAGGGGCCTCGGTTTGGTTACAATCCCCTACAACTTCTGCAGATAGTTCTCAAGAACTTGCGGAATTTAAAGTTGTCATGACATAAAAAGGAGTTATTTGTTTCTTTTTTGGTGATCTCCTTGCATTGCACTACGACTGATGAGTCGATTTGCGTGGATTCTTTCGTAACCGCTTGGATGCTTGGAGAGCCCGGTGGATGTCATTCATATTAAGGGCGTTGTCAGACTGCACATCAGCAGAATCTTCCGAATTACCGTCTTGCGAACTGCGTGATGATTGAGTCGGTGATGTTTGCCTGGAACTTGAAGGACTTCGTCCATGATTTACCGGCGTCAGCGCTGGAGAGCAACGATTACTAGAGCCGGCTTCGATAACGGCCGAGTGATTGACAGAAGCTGCTGTCTTCTGCAGACCCGTGTTTTCGAGTTCGGGTAGTTCGGGCGTTGGTACCTCACGTGCAGAGACGTCGGATGCTTGAACATCTGTGGCACTAGATACGGCATTGGTTCCGTATGCGTAAGCCAATTTGTGGTTCATCATTTCGGGATACACGGTCGGACCAAGCGTGTAACATAAATCGGTAATACGCTTTGACAGGATTTCACGTTCTTTGCGTAAGTTTTGGAACACAGACGACTTGGTTGGATGCAAAGAGAGCTTCAGAGGACGCAGCGTTTTATAAATGTCCATACCAACTTCACCAAATCGAAGAGCAGCAACCGTCATCACAGTAAACAGGTAAATGTATACTGGGATAAGGAGGAAAAACTGCAGCGAGGTCGTTCCCCACCAACCCATTTCGCGCGTAAACGTGGCAGCTGCAACTCCATAAATAATGTACAAGAATGGCGTGAATCCCAGACCAACGATAAGTTTCCAGCTGGCCAACACATCTTTACCCTCGATTTTTACAGTCGAGTTCCGCAAAGCAGTGGCCTGCTTCCGTTTGCTGATGTATGATGTTGCTATAAACACTGGAGCAAATAGAATTGACCCGGGAAGGGCACACATCGCATAACTCGAAAGAAGGCAAATACGAAATACGAGCAGTGAAATGATATGAAGCTTAGCATTCGCAATTGGCTCAACAACCTGGTGATCACGGACTCCTAATGTGTACAATTTTTCATTGTATCGCAGAACCTGTTTTCGTACAGCCTCAACATGCGGGTTATCCTTATAACGTAAATACCCTGCGACGAAACGACGGTTCAGTTCAACCACCTCTGGTAAAGGCAGCTGCATCTCCGATGGTTTGAACAAACGACGTGCAGCTTGCACGACTTCCAATGTAGTGTAATCTGGGGTCAGGATGGTCACAGTGACGAGGGCGTCATACACCATGTCAAGCACCTGTTTTATGGCCGAACTACGGGATCCATTCTTGTATAACTCTACAAGTTCACGCGGAACTGTGAATGGGTCGCCAAATTCAAGAACAGCGCGAGAACGGAAACGATGTGGATGAAAATAATTCATGCCACAAGGGACAATCTTCAAGTCAAGGTCCGGATTTTCAGCTAAAGCGCCTAGAGCCATAATGGCCACTCCGGCTTTTAAAGGTAATAACTCGGGACGGTCGTGAGAACCGCCTTCGGGAAAGATGGCAATGCAGTTGCCCTCGTTTAGCCGATCGTGGACAGCTCGGTACATCTTTGATTGATCGACTTTGGGAGCTGTGCGAAAAGGGGTTCCTTCCGGCTTCGTCAGGACATCCATTGCCTTAGAATTACGAAAAGCTTTGGCGAGGACACAATGTGTGTCATCAATAACATGCTTTACCTCTGCCATACCGCCGCCGCTCGGTAAGGAAATAAGCGTGTGAGGCTCGAACTGCGTAAACTTCGTGTCCGTGCCTGTAATATACAAAGGCTTCTCCGGGTCCTCTAAACGTAAATGGCCGACGGCGCTTCTAGCACTGTCTTCTGCTCTCGCTACAGGAATGCACTGGAACGCGCGTGCAATCGGTCCCACAATGGGCACTTTCATAGACTTTGCGGCAATCAAAGTGCTGACGCGACGGTCACAAGCGAATCGAATTTGTTTCATGAGAATTAATGCGTCTACAAATTGATTCGCATGAGGAGCCGCGACAAATATAACAGCGGATTTTCGAGGCACACGAAACGATCCCCGACTTTTAACTTCACGAAAGAAAAGATCAACAAGAACAGAAACCAACCATAGTGCCAAGTCGTACACAAATTGCCCAAGGGCTTTGCAGATGGATTCAAACGCCATTGACGCAGCTAAACAAGAAAAAACGAGCTCTTTGATTCCAACAATTTCAACTGAGGAACCTTAGTCTTGGATACGATGTGGGAAACGTTCTTGTTGTGGAGAAGCGGAAATTTGGACTAATTGAAGCAGGCCCCAACACCCGTGTGTAAGTTTCCAACCATTTAGTGAAAGCGTGGTGTAGCCGACAGAGTCTAGGGAATTCAGCGTCAAGATGTATATGACTGGGTGCGCACGTTTACCGAGCTTAGAAGAGAGCCGCAAGGAAAGCTATTGGGCGTAATTGTTCCACTCGGTAAACTGAAGGAGAAAGTATAACGGAAAGTTTTCCGTTGTGAATCAGCTTGCGTCAGTAATGTGTCAGCACAACTTGCGCATTAATTATCACATTCGACTTGTCAGTTGACTAGTATGTGCTGAAAGATTGTGTAGGTTGTTTTGAAGATTATATTGTTGAAGGAGCAGCGGCGAGCAGGAGAATTTCAAACATCATAAGTTTTGCTGGAAATACCAGGTGTAGGGATCAGAAGGAGTAAAGAGCGTGGAAGGGGAGTAGACGGTTGGTTATGTTATGACTTTGACGGAAGAACCGCCATTTCAGGAGGAATTGGTTATAGCGTGCAATTTTCTTTCACGCTTTTTCCGGGAACGGATTCGCCGACCGTAATCGGCGATGCGAACAAAGAGGACACACAAAAAAAAGAAAACTTGATGCCTTGATAGGTAATCATTTCATCGCGTTTGATTTCCGTAGTCGTTCATTGCGGTAGACAGTTTTCTTCACGACTACTGTAGCCGCGTCGCCGGTTTTCTTTTTTAGTCGTTTCGATGAGCGAGGAAGCTGTAGCGGCGGCAGGATTGCATTCCCGCAATCATCTAATTCCACTTTCTTTAGCTGTTAGATAGAGTGCATGTAGACGAGACACCGAGTCAATTCAATTCGATTACAAATACCAATTGCAGCCGAGTGACACATAGTGTTCCTTCGTTTAGCCTTTTCGACGTACCTTTTTTGAAGCTATGCATCCCTTCATAGGCCGATCGGCGACAGTGCTAGGTGAGCTGCGTTTCAGGGACTGAGCATCACACTCAATTTCGGGAGCCCATTTCACAGAACGTGTGTTAACCGCTGGTGAGTTCGGGTTCCAACACTCCTCGTCGCCAGCAGCAAAAGAGTAACCCTTGTCCTTGGCCCATTGGTCCCGCCGACTTCGTTCCTGTCGCGCTTGGACTGACATCAGCCGAGCGTTTGGTGACGGTGGTCGCGATTTCGTTTCCGTGACGATAACCTTTTCGAAATTGCAGCGATATTTTTTGTTACGTTTCGTGTTTTCCTTTGTAATTCGAGTCACGGTACTTTTTGGCAAAATTGGAATTGAAGGGGAAGAAGGAGGTAGCTGCGTTATTTCAGGGCTCGTTTCCTTGCTATTTTTTTTGGCATATGAAACATGGGCAACGGCATTTAAATCTGCATCGCGCAAATCATGAAGCTCTTGTGTGAGCTTGGGGTGCACAAAGACCTTCAGCTCTTCGTCCAATGGTTTCGTCAGAAGATCCCGTGTTTCAGCAGCGTCCAGGTTATATCTGTTGCCCGCAAGGATGGGTGTTGGAGAGGAAGGGGAGGAGCAAGGTTCCAAATTGCTGTCACTGAGCGCGTATTTTGGAGAAGTCGATCTGGCTGACGGTGACACAGTAGCGGCACGAGAAGGTGAGTGCATACGTGTGGGTTCTGCTAAGGAAAGGGCAGAGCGTTTAACGACTCGACTTGGTGTACCGAGGGGAATCCGTGAAGCTGACGCTGGCATACGCAATGCAGAGGAAGTCGAAGCGCCGTGGGCAGTTGGTTGTATGGAAAAAAATGCGTCCTTGTTGAGGTAGGGGCGTGTGGGAGTTCTAGTCACTTGTGTAGCAAACGGCGTAATTCGTTTTGGGACAACGATACAAGGTTTTGTTCCAGCGGGAGCGGCATCCGTATCTGCATGCTCCCTTTGCAGTCTCTGTTTGGAAGGAGTGGGATTCTGTGATACCAGTCCAAATTTTAGGGAGGAGGAACCTGTCGATGTTGATAGGCTTGCAAGTTTCGCACTGCGCTGAGCTGAGCTAAGTCGCCAAGAGTTACTTGGAGATCGGATGGGTGTGGCGTTGAGTGAACGCAATGTTGATACCGTTCTGTTTGAAAGCGAGGGTGTGGCTCCCATCGATTTTATTGGTGATGGCTCACGCAGCACAGGACCTAAAGCAGATGGTAATGGTTTCGAATGCTCATCGCCATCTTGAGCAGGTACTGCACGGTTGTCTAGAAAGGTATAGACTTCAGAGACTGTCAGCCGGACCATTAAAAGAGTTATAAGTGAAAGTGGTTGATTTTCGAAGACAGGAAATCCTTCAGAAAACGATAGCAGGCAACAAAATGCAGAAAACCAAAGAATACATGCAATTCCAAAGGCAACAAAATAAAATTGAACCGAATTAAACGTCTTGTTAAACAATTGCGATCAGACGGTCCGACTAAAAACTAGTCGCAAAGCAATGACCCGTGTAACTTTCGTTTGAGAGTGTCCAAAACGCAAACAATTCCTCCAACAGACCAGTCTAAAATAGGATAACCAAGAGATCACCAGTTACTCTCAAGAATAGTGAACTTATGTCCTCCAACGGCACAGCATGAAAAAGGGAAGTAGCGAGTTGGAGTAAGAGAATAGAAATTAAGGTATCGCGACGCGACTGCATTACGTCAGCGAAAGCTTAAAACGAGGTTTAGCAAAAAACAGCATACATAGAAACTGGCCAAAAAAGAGCACGTTCTTGGTGTTCTACCAATCGCAAATGTGCATCATTGAACATGGCAGGAGAATTAACGCATGACAACCTCATTTACGACGAGGGCCCTTGCAGAGTTCCGTGGATCACCCCCACACCCCGCTCGAGTCTATCCCACAAATCCTACATCACCCCCACTATCCCTGCGAAGTGTTAATCGCATTTGTGTTAGTGAAGAAAAGACGCTGTGTTACTGCTAGTGTTAGTATGTTATTTGTGTCGCTTTAGCTGCAGATGTCATCGCTACATCGCTCTTTATCATGTGCAGACTTAGCCGCCCCTCACTGTCCCTCTCCTTGCTGCAAACTAATCAGTCTCCACTTGTGGACTTTTATTTTCCACAACACGCTCGATCAGTTTCGTCCGAGAGGAGCTTGGAGAATGCTCGCGACAGATGTGTACGATAAACCAATCCAAACACGGCTATATCACGAACCAGCCATTGCGATCACCAGTACCAGCCCGAATGTGACAAGCAACTGTATGTCTCCTCCACTAGCCCGCTGTGGTTAGCGGCAGGAGTCGCCCGACTTCCATTTGTCAGCAAGCGTCTAGGAATTGATTCATCCACCCCGACTTACGAGCCATCGAACAGCCGTTAGCGGAACGAATTCGGTTCGCTGCTATTCGTACTTGTGCCTAGACTCGCGACCCAGACATTGGTCCAGCGTACGCAACTCGACTTGCTTATACGTCATTTTGTCGCATCCTGATACGCGCGGATCCTATGACGCAAACGCCCACCAATTAGCAAAACAAGAATGTTCATGAACGAAAAAGACGACTCACGGGAGACGCGTTGCATAGCAATTAGCATTTAGTTCTGCAACTTACAGAAACAATCCAATAAATGTATTCAGCCCAATCAACCGGATCAATCGCGTGTTTGGCTCATATGACAGTTTCTCTTCGACAAGAATGACAGTATAAATAGTCGGCCGTGTTCCACGCAAGCATCTCTCCAAAAACAAACCCCTTGTAATATTACTTCACGCTTCCGTGATAAGTCCTCTTCCTCCATATAGAACCTACGTCTATATCTGTATTTCTCTATCCACTATATGTTCAGATCGTTGACCACAATGGGAATTAACGCTGCTCGTTTTGCTGTTTCTGCTACAAAGATTCACACCAAGGCTACTCTCCCTGCTCTTGATTACGCCTACGAAGTATGATTTGTCTGTCCGAGCGAATTTGAATGTCTTTGTTTTCGTTCGTTCTCTACTGTTGCGCATTCTAACAACATTTACTAACAGTTTTTTAGGCTTTGGAGCCCATTCTTTCCTCTCATTTGCTCCATTTGCACCATGACAAGCACCATCAAACCTATGTCAACAATTTGAACGCTGCCGAGGAGAAGCTGAAGGATCCTAGTTTGGATTTGCACACCCAAATTGCCCTCCAATCGGCCATCAAGTTCAATGGCGGTGGTCACGTCAACCACAGCATTTATTGGAAGAACCTTGCTCCCAAATCTGCTGGCGGTGGTGCCTTCAATGCTCAAGCGCCTTTGGGTCAGGCTATCGTCAAAAAGTGGGGATCCTTTGAGGCCTTCAAGAAGAACTTCAACACCCAACTTGCCGCTATTCAGGGCAGTGGTTGGGGCTGGTTGATCAAGGATGCTGACGGTTCTCTTCGCATCACAACTACTATGAACCAAGACACCATCCTTGACGCTACACCTGTCATCACTATTGATGCTTGGGAGCACGCCTACTATCCTCAGTACGAAAACCGTAAGGCCGAGTACTACGAGAACATCTGGCAGATTATCAACTGGAAGGAGGCCGAGGCCCGTTACGAAGCTTAAGTACATGAATGAACGCTAATGAACCTTTAACACCGACAACACTCAAAGATCTTCAATCACCGAATTAACGTTGTGTTAACTGGGGATGGAATAATTTAACACTGTGATGCGAGCCAGGAATCATTAAAACGAAAGCAAATTGTTTACATTTAAAACACCCCGAAACTCGGTTGGATGCTTTCCATTGAAACTATAAAAAAGCGATGTTTTATGTACGCCGTTAAAAGCGCCGATTAATGAAACGGAAGCGATGATCAGGGGAACAGAATGAATGACCGTAAACCGGTCTCGGATGTTGTCATTGGAACATTAAATCGTAAAACGAGCGTCGTATGGGCGCAGACCTAACAGCTTAAACTTACAGCGTATGTCCCGATATTCATGCGTTCCGTTCATTCAGCAAATCGAGAACAGCTCCATGGAGATCGCCTGCTCGCTGCAGAGCTCTCGTGGCTTCTTCGCGAGATACTTGCATGATCTGTTGTAAGGCTTCTACAGACTGATCAAAAGATGCAGCTCCAGGAGCTGCAGTTGCATTACCGGAGAAGAATGAACCCGGGCCTCTAGCGGGTTCGTTAGCACTGGGTGTGCGATTGGCAAAAGCAACGCCAGTAGCTGATGGATTAGGAGCCGGGGCCGCCTGCGACTCTATTGTGTTTATGGGACGAACGTATGCATGTGGCTTGGCAACAAATTTATCTGTAATCCATGCTGACAATCTCCATTGATGGCCAAGCACCAATCCTTGCGACCAGAGCATACCAAAGCTCCATCCGAGAAAGGCGTTCAACAGTGTTGAAGAGGGATACGCAAGCGCTAATCCAATTGCCGAAGGGTACAAGGCCAGCTTGTCGGAAATGTTTAAACCCAGCATATGAACAACAACTGTCGATGGTACTATGCGGAAATATTGGTATAGTACAGCAAACACCATGAATGTTGGACCGGGACGAATTTGTTCGAGTACTCCTAAAGGCACAAGGGTCAAAGATGCTACTACAGGAGTCATAATAGCACCAGTGACGCACGCGAGAATGCAGTAAGATGCAAACTTGGCAGACCCAAATATCTTCTCGACGTCTCGCGATTGGTACAGAATAAACATGGCATTGAACACTTCAGAGGAATTCCAGTACGCAGCCTGCCATAACAAAAGTCGCCAATATTGGTGATACTTAATGAAATGTAAACGGAAGTTTATGTGAAGATAACTTTTCAGCTCAAATATTCCGACAAGAACAGAAGTCGAAATAATACCGAGGATAAGACGTTTTACTACGGGAAAATTAGGAAGACCATTGTCACCAAGCATAGTGATTCCAAGTAGCCTTTAATTTTGGCAATTATTTTGTGTTTCTGTGAAGGGTACAATGAATTTTTTTGGGTCGATTCACTTACGGTGAGAAAGGAAATGACAGGCCTTTTCGTTTGCTCAGTGAAATGAAGTGGATATACTCCACACGCTCCCTGTGGGTCACCTTGAAAGACACACGCGCAATTTTTGGTGGAGTAAGTCTTGCGACAAAGTTAGTATCACTAACTGATCTGTAAACCTCGCTAAATGGGGTCAATTAAACACGCATGGCAGGTCAAGCAGCCGCAAGACGCGATACTATTAATTGCATTATGGTGGAAGATGGTCCTCTCAAACAAAACGAACGAAGAATGAAACCAATGGTTCCTAAAGAAATGGGGTACTGATGAGAAATTTGGTCATTCATTTGGAAAAGTATTGGAGGAGATCCTTTAAACTAGTTGGTTCAAATTCCGTATCAATAGACTTTCCAAACTGAGCCCACAAAATATCGTCATGAACATAAGCAATACATCCACCAGTGCCATTACTGTTGGCTGTAATTCGATAAAGCATGTAACCTTTTTGTGGATGGGCGCGACGCAGTGGTATGAACAGCAAACCATTTTCTGCACAGAAGTCTTCAACCAATTGTCTGTAAGAAATGACTTGCTCAGTATGTGCAGCATGCTCTGATAACAATTCTGCAGCGAGTTTTTTCTTTTGCGATTCGGCAGACGTTGACGCTGCTTCTTCCTTCCGCAAGGAAGGTTTTTCAATAGGTTTGTCTTCAATGCACTCAAACATCATTTTCAAACCCTGAGAAAACCCGTTTTGAATGTACGAATTGCTTGCCAGTGGTTCAGGGAACATGGTCTTCCACCACTCGTACCAAGAGCTGACCTCGCTATAGTCAGCCGTACTTGTTAACCACTGGTACAAAGTGTCGAGCCACTTGGGAAAGAACTCTGCTTCAAACAGCTCTCCCAGCTTAGAAGGTGCTAGCAAGTCTTTCCAGTCGGTAACTGCCACGAATGGTTCAATAACTTGATCGGAAGGGTCGATGACAAGATTGTCACGCAAACACTTGACCAACTTGGGAAAAATGTGTTTGTCTACAAGCTTATCAAACTCACCGTGCATAAATACTGACCGCCAAGTTTGAAGGACATGTGATGGTTTTCTTCCCGGTTTCCATCTATTGAACACCGTGGCTAGTTGTTTGAGAACACTATCCAATAGCGGGTCACCAAGATGCTTCAGGTACGACAACCATGGATACAGAACATGATGAAGCGGCGTATTGCTTTCTTCAAATGGATCCCAAGAGTGGATGAAGGAGCGAAGTTTAGGGAGCACGCAATCCTCAAGGAAAGCAAGTTTAACATTTTCAGGAAGCACAGGGTCCCAAACTTCTAAGAGTTGCAAAGCAGCGTTTGCTTCTTTTGTATCCCATTGGTGTGCGAAAGCTTGTTCGACACGGTCTTTCCAAAGAATGGTCATTAAAGATTCGTATGGTGACGTTTTTTTGCCATGCAAAACTGATTCTTGAGCGAAGTCATCTTCATCTTCAGACATTTCATCGGCGTCTGTGTCCTCATATTTTACAGCTGGTGCGTTATTTCGCTCATGTTTGAATACAGTTCGCCAAGTGAGAAAATGATCCAGTAAGAACAAAGGTTTTGTCACTGGATCCCAACGTTGTATAAGTGGATACAATGCGCTCATGCATACCGAAGCCGCAATAGAATCTAACTCATAATAAGGATTTTTCTCAGGAAACCGGACAGGTAACGACTCGAGAAACGTTGAGACAACATTTAATTCATCAGTCTCTAGAGGTCTATTTGTGATGACAAGAGACGCCGTCAATTTCTCAATATGCTCAAGTAAGCTTTGAAGAGTATTTAGCTCTTCCGCTTTTTTGTCCAAATGCTCATTAATACGCGTCTTATTTAGCTCGTTATATTTTTTCCGCTCTTGAAGAAGTTTCCATTCAGTGATATATGTTTCACATTCTTTTCGAGCAGCGTCAGAAGCCTCAACAATTTTAGTCTGTACTTCTGGTTTTTGTCCTTCTTCAGCATTCCAAGCTGGAAGTTCAATTTTTGTAACATCTGAACTGCTTACGTCTATAAGATGTGCAAGGTTTAACGGGAGCGAGAACCCCAGATCAGAGGCCAGCTCTCGGGCGGACTTTTTATGAACAGCTTTTTTTGGAGCAGTAGGTGCAGTTTTTTTGTTTGTCGGCTCTAACGCTTCTTGAGGCAGATGTCCACGTTTGACTGCCTCATGTCGTTGGGCCTCTGTCATTTCACGAACGGCACCCACGCCAACACGTTCTGGTCGAACTTTTGACTCAATTGGTGCTGTAATTCCCTCAGCATTTGAGCCCAAACCCTGACCGGGTTTGTAACCCATTTTGGCAAGCATTCGTGCACCAAAACCGCTCGTGTTGAATTTTGCTTTAGGAATTGCCCCGGTCGTTCTGTCATTTTTCTCTGACTCAGATATTGATGCAGCTTTTGTATTCATAAGATCATTATCCGTTAAAGGTTGTGATGATTTAACAGCATGGTTTCCACTTACGAAGGAGACATTTTGTCTTCGCAAGTTTCCCAAACCGAAAGTAGCTCTCGCTTCTTCCTCTTCATCTTCCTCGGCAAATACTCCTAGTGCTGCACGTTCTCGTAATTGTTCTTTGCTTAGATGTTTGGCATATTTTCGCTTCAAAGTGTTTGCATCTTTAGGCCCAAAACCTTCGTCTGAATCACTGTCATTAGAAGACGAGTTATTAACATAGTCCCCATACATTTTTGGATGAATTTACATCAAATTATTATTCATTTCTCAGTCCCCGTATTATCGGGGTGTTGTGGATGAATTTACTGGTGGTCTCAACTGCCTGGCCACACAAGGACATTGGTGAAACATACAAAAGCAGAATTCATAGTTAGGTGTAATTAAAGCAATATTATGTGCAGTTCCAGAGTTTTTTATGCTATCAATACATGTTCGCATTAAGCTAAGTAGTACTTCAAAAAATCATAAATTCATCTATTCAAAATAAATCTCGGTGATTAGTCCTTAGACTTTTTCGCCTTTTGTTCATTGGCTTTGCTGTCTTTTGGAAGTCCACGCTTCTTCTGTTTAGGTTTGCTTTCTGAGGAGTGCTCAGAAGCTGAAGAAGACTGCGCAACAACAGTTTGAGCTTTATTTTCTCCAGTTGGAGAGGATGTGGATTTGGCCTGTTCAAGTTGTTGCGTCAGACGCTGCAATTTCTTTTCAAGCATGTTTACCTTTAATTTGTTGCGCATCTCAAACTCTTTCTTCATGCTTGTCACTTGCTGTTCATGAGCTTCTTTTAACGAAGTCTGAGTTTCTTCAGCAAGTTTTGTTTTATATTTAGAGAATTCGGTTTCCAAAAAGTTAGCAAAAGTGTCCTTGTCGCCTCTAATTTCGGCGGGCACAGTTGTACCAAGTTCTTTTTGTAATATATCGCAGATCGTGTTCACGATCATCTCGTCCAACTTGGTTTCCACGTTGCTAATTTCTGTTACAGAATCATTGGCAGACAATTGCTCTGCCGAAGTTTTCAGTGCCTCCAATTGACCTTGCAATTGACTGCATTGGCCTTCCAGAAATTCTTTCGTTTCTGTTTCTTTAGATAATTGGTCACGAAGCTCACCAATTTGTTGTCTAATCTTCTCCAGTTCATCTTCATTCGACGAGGAAGAATCATTGGACTTTGATGCAGTAAGCTCTGCAAGTTTAACATTCGCTTTCTCCAATTCCTCTTTTTTACTTTCCAACTCCTTATTGGAAGCTTCCAGTTGTTCGCTCAACAAGGAGCATGTGTTTTCCAGTTCTTGCAGCTTTTCTTTATTCGCAGAAACCGACTCTTCAGGAACAGATTCTCCAGAAGCTGACTTCAAACGTTCCAATTCTTTGTGAAGTGCTTGACATTCTGAAACCCTGGACTCGAGTTCAGAATTTTTGAGAGACAGCTGTTGTCTTATTTGGCCAACCTTCTCCAAACTTTTAGCAACGATTTGATCGTATTTGGATTTCCATGCTGAGGCCAAATTCGTATTGCGCGCAGTCAACTGCTCGATAGAGGATTGTGCTTCCTCATTTTGCTTTTTGAGATTAGAGACTTCATTGATACTGTTTTGTAAATCCTCGTTCAACGACGTAATCTTATTTTGGAGTTCTTTTAATGCAATCTCCTTTTCTGCAATACTTTGAGACAGCTGCTCCGACTGAGATGATGGGAGAGAGTTCACCTTTTTCAGAATTTCCAAGTTTCGATTTTGTAGAGCAGTGATTTCCGTATTCAATTGCTCAATCGCTTTGCACTTTTCGTCAAGATCAGTTCTACATTGTTGTTCGCTTTGCTTCATTTGATGCAATTGCTGTGTCAAATCCATAATTTGATTGCGCAAATCAGATATGGTTTCGGTTTTTTTCCTGTCTTGTTCCCGCAGTGCTGAATTGCTTTCTTGAAGAAGTGTATATTCGCGAACTTGGTTGACGCTAGTTGATGAAGATAAACCTTCACTATTACTTTCCAATATCTTATGTTGACGAGTTTGCAAGTGATGTAACTCGTTGGTGAGTTGAGTATTTTTGTTCAGCAAAAGCTTCTTCTGAACCAAAAGAATGTTAACTTCCCGTGCAGCACGTTTCAATTGAGCATGCAGCTCCTCAATTGAAAGAGACTCGAGAGCTGAAATGTCAAATCTTGTAACCGTTTCCTCAGTGTTGGATACGGAGCTATTAAGAGTTTGGGTTTCTTTTGTTCCAAGAGTAGATTCGGATTCAGATGTTGCATCCGCAAGTTTAGTCCGCAAAGCGTTATTCTCGTTATTCAACTCAACAAGCTTGTTGTTCAAACGATTGTAATCGGTTCGCATAATTTGCAACGAGGATGTAACACTGGCATGTCGAAGAAGTTCTTTTTCATAAGCTTCTCTGGCTGACTCTGCTTGTTCTGTTTGCCGCGTAATTTCCTTTTCAAGCTCAGTGCATTTAACAGCTAACTCTTGCCGGGTTGCTTTCAACGTGTCAAGTTCGCCAGACAGATCTGTGTTTTCCTTAATATAGATTGAAAGTTTAGTCTCAAATTCTTTACTCTTTCCGAGATAGTCGTTAATATTGTTAGAGAGTTCTTCCTGGAGCAAGGTACATCTTTCTTGTAGGGCTGCCTTCTCCTTTCGAAGAGTTTCTTTTTCTTCGGCAGAGTTTGTTTCAAGTGCCTTAAGCTCGTCTGTGGTCTTTTTCAGCGCCCTTTCAGCAGCTTCGCTGATTTTTCGATATTCAATACAGCTCTTCTCAGCCAGTGTGTGTTTTCGTTCAAGTTCTGCAACAGAAGACTTCAGCTGTTCGATTTCTGCTTCCAAATGTTTCTCCCTTTCGGTAGAATTGGTAGCCTTGTGTTTCTGTAGACGCGACTGTATAGCCGCATAACGTCCTTTCTCTATGTCAATCAACTGATTAAACTTCGTGTTTAGGGCTTTCAATTCATTAACTTCACTTGTTAGTGAGGTCTTCTCTTGTCGCATTTTCTCCAGTTCTTCCGAAGTAGTTTCTAAATCTTTGCGAAGAGTTGCAATGCTAGCTTGAGATTCCGCTTTATACTCCACATACTCCTTGTTTACGGTCACAAGTTCCGTCTTTGTAGCTTCAGTAATACTCTGAAGGTTTTTAATTTGAGCATTATCCAAACGTTTGTATTCATTTGATGAGCGTTGCTGTTCGGAAAGCAGCGATTGGAGATTTGAAACAAGCTTTGTCAATCTTTCTCTATCTTCCAGAAGTCGAGTTGTGTCAGACGATAGTCGCTCCTTTGCCTTAAGCCAGATTGATTTTTCGGCCTTTAAACTCTCAACTTCTTGGGTCATACGCTTCGCAAGAGAGTTCACATTAACAATCTGCTCCTCTAGTAAATAGTGCTGCTTATCCTGACCTGCAATTACATTTTGCTGACTGACATTGACTTTTTGAAGTTGTTCTAGTGTTGAATGCAGATCCGCAAAACGTTTATTAAGAAGATTAAAACGTTCAATTGTTGTTCGGTTGCGTAATTTGAGTTTTGTCAGATCGCGTACTAAATTCATTTTGTCCTGAACAAGATTCTTGTTTTGCTCCGTTAAAGAGGCGTTATTAGATTCCATTTCCTTCTGATAAATCTCCAAATTGTCCTTCAGGTTCTTTATTGACTCTTTAAGATTTTCATTCTCATCCAAGTTAGACGAATCACAGGAAACTGAAATTTTTTGAATTGCTTCAGAAAACATTTCTTTGTACATTTCACGTTCTTTAATTAAAGATTCATTGTGCAGCTTTAACCAATTCAAATCACTTTCCATTTGACGTTTATCTTTTTCCCAATTAATGGACGCAACCTCAACAGCTTGTTCCAACTTTGTACGTTCTTCAGCCAATTTAATGGACAAACGTGTTTCAGAATCGGAGACCTCTTTTTGTAATTGGACAACCTTTGAAGACAAAGCGTCCGCTGATTGTAATTCCGGGAATTGAACGAGCAAGGATTGTAAGGAGGAATCAGAACCTTTTGACATGAAAGCCTCGAGCTTTGGAACATTATCGTCGGAGAAAACCGTTTCCCAAACCTTTTCAGTTTGACCGTTGAGTAATAGCAGACACTTTACTTGGCGTGCAAATAATGTACATTGTTCATTGGCCGACTGCAAAATAATAGAAGACTCGGAAAGCTGGCCTTGCAATTGCTTAATTTCTGCCTTGCAGCGTGACTCAGTCTCTTTACTTTTTCGAAGCTGTTCACTCAGTTTGTTCATATATAACTGATTTTGTAGGAGTACCTCATTGTTTTGCTTGAGTGTTGGAAGTCTCAATCTCAACTGTTGTTGAAAACCACTAAACCGGTCACTGACACGTTTTAATCGACGCTGAAGAGTTTCTACGCGTTCCTTCAGCTGCACATTTTCGGAGAAGACTTTTGTCAGGGATATATTGTTATCCTCCTCCAATTGTTTAAGTACAGGCGATATATTAAGACGTTCTGATGCGTCGTTATTAGGAGCCTTAAGTGTTGCGTTAGCCTCATCAAGTTTCGCTTGCACTTCTTTACAAGATAATTCGATTGCGTGAACTTCACGTAAACGCTTTTGATTGAGCTCTTCTTTTTCAGCCTTGATATTTAAAACGGCTTCGGTTAATTGCTTGTTCTCATTGAGAAGAGAATTTAACTGTGTTTCCAAATCATTGGCTTTGTTTTCCCAAAGCGTTGCTAATTCTTTTTGCATAGCAATTTCTTCGCGGAGCGAAGCGACTTGATCAGAATCAACTGCCATAGCACTGTCCTCCGAAAATTGTTGCTCATTAGAAACCCCATCTTTGTTGGCAGAGACCTTTTCGCGTAACTTCGTCAACTCATTTTCCATTTGCCTCCGCTCATTAGTCAGAGTAGTCAATTGATTTTGATACGTATTTTTCAGATGCTCGAGTTGCTCTTGCCTTTCATCCAGTTGCTTTTGAAGCAAGTTTTTCTCTTCTATAAGTGTTTCATTTTGAACACTTAATTGGCCTCGCTCAAAAACACTTTGCTGGTTTTGTTCACGAACCTCCTGGAGAAGGGTTTGCAATTCTTCCTCATGAAGATGACTAGCCTGCAGTTCTTTTTCGAGTGAAGATTTTTGTTGACATAGTTCTTTTTCGCGTAATTCCAAAACTTGCAGCGATTGAACCTTTTGATTGATTACGTTTTGAGATAATTTTACTTCATCTGTAAGTTTCGATGTTGTTTCCCGTTCCACGTCTAGTTGTTCCTTGAACGTGTCGCGTTCGTTTGTCAGTTCCTGGTTACGTTGACGTTGTTCTTCGGTCGAAGATTCCAAGAGCTGGACATTAGACGTCAAGTTCGCGATTGTCTGATTCAGATTAACATATTTATGTTCCTCATTAACTTCATGTAAAAGCAATTCATTCTTTAATTTCACAAATTCTTCGGCTTTATTAGTAAGAGCCTGAATTAAAGTAGACGACGTTTTCAATTGATTTAGTTCCCCAATTTCAGCTTCGCCAAGACCCAAGAAATCACCAATAGCTTGAAACGAATTCCCCGATTCCACAGAAGTCATTGGAATTCGTTTGAAAAATAGCAGAATTAATAATATCTGGAGCTGGTTCTGGAGAGGATGTGCAGCCAACCTCCTTGACGCGTAGGGGAGCCGCGGTCCTGAGTTTAATTTAGTATTTCTTATAAAGTGTAAATATACATAATTTTAAAGGTGAAATGATGCATATTAATTAGCTGTGCTTATTTTACAGTTAATATATTAGTTTACTGTATATTTTACATCGATGGAAAATAAAGTTTGTAAGTTGGCGGCCACTTATTTTACCACTGGCAACGCTAACTACCCTGTTGTCCACCAACATCATATAGCCATTTCATGTTCGGGCAGAATAATACGTCTGGCTTCGGAGGAACCGGCGCGTTCAGACAGAATACCCAGCAACAGTCTGGAGGTTTGTTTGGTTCCAATACGAGCGGCGGCGGTGGCTTGTTTGGAAACCAAAACACAAATACAGGAGGTTTTGGTCAAAACACAACCAATAGCTCTTTGTTTGGTTCCGGAACAGGTCTCTTCGGAAACAATAACACTCAAAATCAGCAATCTGCTACTCCAGCGTTCGGTAATACGTCTGGAGGCCTTTTCGGGCAACAAAATAACTCTATGTCTGCAACACCTGCCTTCGGATCAAATAACAACAATACTGGAGGCCTTTTTGGTGGCGTAGGGTCTAATAATGCTTTCGGAAACACTTCGAATACAAATACAGCATTTGGCTCACAAAATAACAACACTGGAGGAACGAGTTTCTTCGGTAACCGTCCCTCGACCGGGTTCGGTTCTAACACCGGTGGTGGTTTATTTGGAAATAGTTCGGCGACGACTCCTGCTTTTGGAAATACAGGAGGTTTCAATTCAACGAATGCTGCTGGTGCTGTGACAACGGGTACCATGAACCCCTCGTACTCAGTTACTTCTGAAAAAGATCCTCAAAGCAATGGTATGAACCACTTCCAATGTATCAGTTGTATGCCTGCTTATAGAAATTATTCGCTGGAAGAATTACGGTTGCAAGATTATAACCAGGGTCGTCGTAATAACTCTACCGCTCCAGCTACAACCGGCTTCGGCCAACCTTCGACAACAACAACTACTACTGGCTTTGGTGGTTCCAACCTTTTTGGAAACACCAATTCCACAAATACTACTACTCCTTTTGGCGCAAACACGACTGCTTCAAATACCGGTACTGGAAATCTGTTTGGTGGCGGCACTACCGGTGCTTTCGGACAGAAAGCCACGCCCGCTTTTGGCGGCTCTAATGCACCGGGTACTGGTACTACCGGTACTGGTTTGTTTGGACAAACTAATACTACTGGCGGTGGCCTGTTTGGTGGTAACACTAACACTGCCTTTGGTCAAAAGCCTGCTACTTCGGCCTTTGGTTCTGGCGGTGGTTTTGGCACAAACACTGGAACAACCGGTGGCTTGTTCGGTGCGAATAATACTGCTAATCAAGCGAACACCGGAACTACCGGCGCTTTCGGTAGTGGAGGTTTCGGTTCAAATACAACCAACACGTTTGGTAATGCGAACGCTGCAAACAACACTGCTGGTACTACCACAGGAGGAACTGGTTTGTTCGGATTCGGCGCGAATGCAAACACTAATAACGCTGCTACCACGAACACTCAGCCTTCTACTGGCTTTGGTACGGGAAATACGGGGTTCTCTTTCGGACAAAATGCCGCTGCTAATACCTCTAAACCTGGTGGATTTTCCTTTGGAGCTGCAAATACCACTACTCCTGCGGCTACGACTGGTTTTTCATTTGGTCAGAACAATGCTGCCGCGAATAAGCCTGCCACCACTGGTTTGTTCGGCAATACAGCCAAGCCTGCTGGCACCGGGCTGTTTGGTGGTGCCACTACTGGAGGTACTACTGGAACAGGATTATTTGGTAACACGGCCGCCAATACTAATACAACGGCAGGTACTGGAGGTGGTTTGTTTGGTAACGCAGGTGCTACAACAACACCTAGCCTCTTCGGCAATAATGCTGGAGCTGGCAATGTTGCGGCAACCGGTTTACAGAATAAACCTGCCACAACTACTCCTTCGTTATTTGGTAATACCGCCAACACTGCTAATACAACGGCGCCTAATGTTGGTTTGTTCGGAAATACATCCACAGTAACCCAGCCCACGACGTTCGGCTCCGGTGGTTTGTTTGGTAATAATGCACAACCGGCACAGAACCAACAACCGTTGGTTGCTAGCATTGATCAAAATCCATATGGAAACAACCCTCTGTTCTCCACTGCTTCCGGTCAAGCACCTGCTGCTATGCAGGAGCCTATTGCTTCACCTTTGTCTACAAAATCTGTTCCCAAAAAGTCTGCATCTCTTCCCCAGTTCTGGCTTTCCCCTCGTTCTTCATCCAACGCCAAACTGGCCTCCATTGCAACTTTTACGGGAGCTAATGTTTTAAAGTCAACTGTCCTTCCTCCCAAACAAAAATCTTTGCATCTTTTTGAATCCCTTAACGACGATCTCTTTTTGAAGCCCGATGCATTTGCTCCTCGTCAAAATGTGAAGAAGCTGGTAATCGATAGGAAGCATTCTGACAAAAGCTTATTGCAGGGAGTATCTAATGCTCCTGAGCCTTCTCTTAAGCTTCTTCCTGCGTCGCATACCTCTGAATCTTCGTCCTCTGAGAGCAAAACTCAAAAAGCAGCAGAATTACACGATGATTATTGGATGAGTCCATCGCTTCAGGACTTGTTGTCTTATTCCGAAGAGCAACTTCGTGCTGTTCATCAATTTGCCGTTGGTCGTAAGGGCTACGGCAAGGTACAATTTTTAAAGCCTGTTGATTTGTCCGCTTTTGCTTCTCTCGAAAGAATCCCGGGTGAAGTTGTAGTGTTTGAGAAGAAGATTTGCTCCGTTTATCCGGATGGTCAAAGTCCTCCTCTGAATGAAGGTCTTAATGTACCAGCTATCATCACATTAGAAAATGCGTGGCCACTGTCTCGCGAAACTCGTGAGCCTATTAAAGATACCCAAAATCCTCGTTATGTTCAGCATATCAATCGTTTGAAAAAGATGAGAGACACTGAATTTATTGAATTTAAGGACGGAAACTGGATCTTCAAAGTGCAACATTTTTCCAAATATGGACTTTTAGATGATGAAGACGAAGACGAAGATGAAGAAAACACTGAGGAACGTGTTGGTCAAAATGAACCCAAAAAGTACGGACAAAATTTACACCAAGTGAATGAAACTGATGATGTATATCTAACTCACCTTACTCCAGGGGCTTTTCCAGTACAAACTAGTCAAGCTGGAACTCAAACACATTATCAGGAACCTTCGTTTATTAGAGATTCTTTCGGCCCGGAGGACACGTTCACATTCAAAAAGCCAAAACTGCACAACGAGGTAATCAAGCCTCTTGTTTCAGACAACTATGAACCTAACATCACATTTGGTTATTCTTCGGAGATGCTCGATGCGACAGATGAGAAGAAAAGTACATCGGATGCAAGTGATGCAGAGGTTGAGTCGGAAATGAATGTTTCCGAGTCCTCTTCCTCGGCTTCTGAACATTACGAGAGTGAACACAGTTTTGCGTCGAGTTTGACAGGATCGTCCTTGTATTCACCTTCTGAAAACGACGTGCCTGTCAGCGATGCCGGCGTCGCAGTTGTTGACGAGGACTATCAAAGTGAGTCTCCCTTGGAGCGTGGTTTAATTCGCTGTGATACATGGGTTCAACAGCTTGAACATAATTTCCAGCGTGCTACGTTATTGTTAAGCAAAAATATATCGTCTTCTGTACCGAGAGATGATCCCGTGCGTGGATATGACAGTAGTGCGCTTGAAAAGGACATATTTAACGATGATGACGAGGGGAGTGTCATGCGTCCATGGCTCGCTTTTGACGAAAAACCTTTAATTGTAAACCCTACTGTTCGTTGGCTACCCGGAAATAAGGCAATTCTTGTTAACAAGCGCTCCATCAATTTCGTGCAAAATATGACTAAATCGACCGTTTCGTCTCCAAGCCTTTTACCCATGCTTACGGTCCAATACCATCAGACTGAAATTATGGAAGACATTCTTGGCGTTCCTATTGCTTCAACGCGTCCGTCATTGTATGCAAACGAGCTTTCTAAAAGGTCAACCGGTGAAGAAAGCACCGCATGGAAGCTGTGTTCTATTCTGTTTGATCCTAAACGATACGACTTCCCCGACGATCTTGACGAGGAATCCAGTTTTCGGTTACAAAAACGAATTGATCGGGAAACCCTCTCCGAGTGGCTTACTAGCGAAGTTAAAGAATACATTATGGACGCTTATGAAAAGTGTAATGATCCCGAACAGCGCATCTTTATCTTGCTCACAGGAAATCAGATCGAGCGTGCCTGCGAAGAAGCTATCGCAACAAACAATAAACGCTTGGCCACCGTAATCCCTATGGCGAATAGTGACTTGGAAACACAAGCGGAATTGAGACAACAGATTGATGAGTGGAAGTCTCGAGGTGATTTGCCTTATGTGACTAAGTACACTCGATTGATCTTTGAGCTGCTATCCGGTAACACTGGATTCGCGGAGGGTGTGGAAGACGGCGTTGAAAATGTTTATATTTCTGAGGGCCTTCCATGGAAAGTAGCATTTGGCTTAAAACTGTGGTACAATGTCGATATTAGTATCCAGGAAGCAATGGCACTTTACATATCTGACCTTGAAACATACGGGGATCGACTGAAGTCACCGATAGAAACAAGTCCCGATGGTATTCAGTATTCTGACATGTTTTTCGAGCTGCTTCAACTTTACTCTTTTGGTGGAAACTTGGAAGATGTTGTGACCGCAAGATTGTCTTCTGGTGAAAGGTGTGACGAGCGCTTGATTTGGCAACTTCTTATGTACCTTGGACGCTCACATTCAATTTGTGATTTCTCTGATCGCCTTTCCGCAGCGTCGCTGGATGAGAGTGGTTTACTAGAGATGGATGTTGAAAACGACGTCGAATGCAAACCCATTAGTGTATTAGCTGACCAGATCACCAAGTCTTTTGCTTCTGCGCTAGAGAATTGTGATGAATGGGGATGGTCTGTCTTCGTGCTTTTGCATGAGGAGAATGCACAATCGCGAAAGGCAGATATCCTTGATTGCTTAGCTCGCAATGTTCCAAACTTTTCGGAAGAAAGCAAGCAGCGGCTTGAAGCCATGCATATTCCTACTGAGTGGGTGAATGAGGCTCTTGCACTGTATGCTCGCTATGAAAGAGACTATGTAAATGAAGTGCGTTTCTTGCAAACTGCTGGTCTGTTTGAGGAGGCTCAAAAACGGTTGTTGTTGACCATTGCTCCTCAAGCAGTTATTTCAAGTGAGTTTGCAGACTTGGAGGTCCTGTTAGACAACTTCAGTGAAGTTGCTGATGGCCTTGCAGGATGGTGCTTTGGTGGACAAGTGTATAAAGACTATGTGTACCTAGTACGCAATTACAACACTCTTCGTGCAGACGAATTCCAGACTGTCTTGCGTCGTCTGCTTATGGCCTTACCGGAAGTGCCTACAGTCACTTTGGTGCAACGGGCCGCTGTTGAAAAGATGGCTTACTTCACCAGTGAAGCCAATGCTTTGTCTGGAAACGGACCATGCATGAATTTGCCTTTGCCTTCTGAAGGGCGTGCTCTTAGTCTTCGCTGCTCAGTGTCGAGTGCCTTTGATTAAATAATGAAATGATGTCTGGTTTCAACGATTAAATAAAGCGTGTAAAATATAGCAAATAACTATTACTCAATACTCGAAATACATTCTATAGTACCTGTGGAGTTGTAGTAGAGCGGCTTCGCAGCTTTTATCTTTTACGTCCTGTATCTCACCTCATTAATGAACGTCCTTCATGTGTATCGGTATTTCCTGCGGCAGGTAATATACATAGCCAAAACGAGTATTTTATTAACGAAAACATGTCAGTTTGCATATAAAAACCCTATAAATGGGCAGCGTCAGATTCCATTCGAAACATTAACATTTCTACGGAAAGTGTTTCGCTCAAATATGAAATTTCGGGACGAAAGATTTACAGTTATAAGAAACTATTTGCAGCAAGATGAACACAAAGCTCGATTGCTTCGTGAAACTCAAAGAGAAACAGTCGTTTCTGGTGATCGATTGAAAAAGGTTGCTAGTATAGTTGGTTTAACAATACCTGAATAAGTTCTACGACGAAAATACAATAACCCAACGGTGTCAATTTAGTCTGCACACGTTTGATATTCATGAAAGCGTAATTGGGGAATGCTTTAAAACTAAATCGTATACAGAAAAATCAAAACAAAAAAAGAAAAAAGAGAAAAAAATGACCAAACGTGATCTCAAACCGAGTTAACATAACTAAAATTGAGTTGTTATCCGTATGTCTATTTTATTGTTATTTTTTTTTGTCATTCTTAATGGATGAGTGTCGTAAGAACTAACACTGAAGTATGACCTCCAGCGTCTGTCCTCCGCCAACACCCAACCTGCGTTTACGCGTCAAGAAATTTGATATTTTTAATACTCGTGCATTTTACGAGGTATTTCCCCTTAGAAACTAATTTATTGTGACAGTGGGACGGTGTTTAGACAAGAAAAACGAAATAATTTGAGGTCGTTTTGACGTACTTTTTGGATTTCTGAATAAGCCTTTAGATTTCAGCAACAATGGCAGTCTTAAAATCAATCCTTGATACGGATTTGTACAAATTCACTATGCTTCAAGCGGTTATGGAGCATTATCCGAACACTCCTGTGTCTTACCAATTTAAAAACCGGTCGCCAGCGATGGCATTAAATGAAGAGGCTATTGACTGGTTGAAAAAGGAAATTGATAGCTTGAAGACGCTTTCCCTGCAGGATGACGAAGAGAAATGGATGCGTGAAACTTGTCCTTACCTCAGTGATGAGTTTTTTACCTTTTTACGCGGTTATCGGTTCTGTCCCAGCGAACAAGTGGTTCTCACGTATGATGAGACAAATAAGGATTTAGGAATTGCAATTAACGGAATGTGGCACGAAACAATATTGTATGAAATTCCTATTCTGGCTCTTGTGTCGGAAGCGTACTTCAAGTTCGTGGACAAAGATTGGGACTACGAAGGTCAATTGGATAAGGCTTTCGACAAGGGTAAACGCTTGATAGAAAACGGTTGTGTTTTCAGCGAATTTGGTACTCGTCGCCGCCGTGATGTGCATACTCAGGATCTGGTGATGCAGGGTTTGGTCAAGGCACGCCAGGAAGTAAATGGCGCCGGAGCGTTTTCCGGCACATCGAACGTGTACTTTGCGCGTAAATACAACGTTAAACCCATTGGAACTGTTGCTCACGAATGGTATATGGGTACCGCAGCCATCACGAACAACTACACCGCAGCCAACTACGTTGCGTCGGTGAAATGGAGACAGACGTTTGGCAAGAATCTCGGCATTGCTCTCACCGACACCTTTTCCACTGATGCTTTCCTCCGAAGCTTTACCGCGAACTCGCCCGACGATTTGGCCAACGTGTATGACGGCGTACGCCAAGACAGTGGTTCACCTGAAGAGTTTATAAAGAAGGTGGTACGCCATTACAAGGCCATTGGCGTGAACCCCGGTACGAAACAAATTGTTCACAGTGACTCCTTGAACGTTGACCGTTGCATTCACTTACAAAAGTTGTGCAACGAGGCCGGAATAGGCTGTTCGTTTGGTATTGGCACAAACTTCACAAGCGACTTTACTCGCAAGTCTGATCGGACGCAAAAAAGTAAACCCATGAATATCGTGGTGAAGCTGTACAGTGCTGGTGGCCGCAAAGCTGTGAAGATTAGCGACGACATCATGAAAAACACTGGCGACAAGCTTGCTGTTGAGCAGGCCAAGCGTGAATTAAAGCTCCCTATCGCTGCTAATTAGGCACACTCGTTTATTATCGGGAAAAAATGTTGGCGGAGCCATTTGACTTATACGCTTTTGTTTGTTTTGTCTTTTTTTGTCGTTTTTCTCAGAGCATGGACATTTTTCGCATACTGTATGGTGCTGCATATTGTCGGACATTATTGACACTAACGTACTCGTACACACATATTTCCTCCTTCCTAAAACCGTAACCATAGATGGCCATGTAGCAGTGTGAGGGCCCATCACCGGACAACGAGTTCCTTTTTCTTTTTTTTTTTTACTGTTTTGTTTTCTCTCATTTCTTCCTAAGTGAGTTGCTTCTTGTTTTTGATGTCTATAGTATTGGCTTTCACAACTGCTTGCTATGCCCGCTACCATAACATCCAATGTCTCCCTTCTCACTGGTGCAAACTGTCACTGACTTCTAGCGTTGTATTCACTCTTTCCAACAAACTCAGTTTAATACGTTACTTTTATGCCCATGCTTCGAGCGCTTCCAATAACGCTCTTGCAAATGGACTGTAGAGGAATCCCCTGCAACGAAGGGTCTTTACTCTTAATGTTTGCGACTTCATACACATGCTTTAAACTTATGCTGCCGATGATTTCGTTTTTTGGTGCATGGGCTCCCTTGTCCTTTCCCACGAGCTTCAGCAGTAGCCAGCTCGTTGGCGGAGGATGGATAGTAAACGTAAATGTTCGTTTTGGTGTGATAGTAATCTTGCATGGAATTGGTACTCCGGGAACGAAGGACGCCGTTGAAGCATTGAACTCCTTGCAAAAGTCGATGCTCTTGACTCCTCGTGCGCCCAGAGCCGGGCCTATGGGCGGTGTAGGTGTCGCCTTGCCGGCAGGCACGACCAGTTTTACCAATGCATTCTTCAGGCCACTACTACTCATCAGGTCACAACAGTCAGTGCTAGAGAGGCAGGATTGGTGGTGCAAACGTGGTGGTGAGGAAGCGGTGGGGCGGCGTAACGTGTTACGTAAAACGTGATTTATGGAGTCGTACGGCACCGAAAGATACTGCAGCGCACTAGTGTGCACCGTAAGATACTTCGTTACAGACTCGATACCGCAGAGTATCGAACTCCACACCACCACACCACATCCCTCACTACCCCTCGTTACCCCTGCTAACGTGACACTCGACCCCCGTATACCGAATTACGCGAGTTACGGGAGCGGATCGGTCCAGTTCGTCGCCAACCCTGGCGCTCCCGTCCCTCCCACCACATGGCTATCCACTGGTACCGACACCATGCGCGAAATCATCCATTTGCTCTCTTTGGATTGCCATTCCTGCTCAGCGTTGTAGCAGCATCCTTCTTCCTGACACCAATTGTCGATGCAAAGTACGAACGCAATGACAAGCGCACCCAATCACTGGAGAGCGAGTCTGAGCTCCAGCGCAGCAAGCACCGACGCCGCGTAAACGTAAACGACGAGTACTACGTAAGTAAAAAGCGGAGAAATGGGGGGATGTTGGGTCCAGCCCATTGCCCCCACAGTCGCTTAAGTGGGGTGTTTTCTAACCCATAGCGCATGATGAACATGGGGCAGGAAGACTACGACATTGTTCGTGTGGAACGGCTGCCCGGCGAACCCGTATGGGACAAAGACGAGCAGCAGTAGCAGGGACGCGGGAAGGGATCCTTAGCCCTCACTAAACGACACTAGCTGCACCCGCGGCAACCCACCTGCCCACCCTGCCCCCACTGATCTATCGCATCCTGCTCCTTGACCCCGCCTTGCAATTACAATTATGATTATATGACGTCACATCTCGTTGATAAATCTGCTGCTTACATGGGCATTGGCATGGCAACGGGTTTCCCATCCCGGACTCCAGCGGGAGCACGTTCTCCACTACAGCGCCCTTCTCCTTGGGAGCAGCCCTATGGGACTCTAGGCATACCCGCTGGTGCCCCTTAAGCATAATAATGATGTCATTACGACGCGAGCATCGGATTGGGCAATTCAAAACAGACCATTTCGATCGGCAAACTTACAAGCGAACAAGCTCACTCCGAGCCTTCCATTCGCTGCTAGGCGAAACTCGCTCGTTAGAGCTAAGCCTTCCTGCTCCTCGTCGATTGGCCAGAGCCGCACTACTATCAATTTTTAATCTTTTTTATATTTTCTTTATTTTTTTAGCGAATTACACAATAAACGCGGAAAAACGAACAAAAAATCGAAAAAACAAAGAAAAAAAAATCAATTCGTCATTGCCAACAGTGTGCCACAGTGAGGCGCCGACAGAGGCGTACAGAAGAGTTCGATTTCTGCGTACTACGTATGCAAAAACCGAATGCTGAAAGCAAATTTGGTGAGGTGTGGACACGTTGATTTCTCGCTTCAAAGCCGACCATACGACAACTTTAATTGTCTTCAGTTCTCCATCCCCGATGTCGTGCCGGGTGAACGGCTGTGGGAATATGACGTATGCGTGACTGCTTTCAAGTTGCTATGAGAACGGAGATGCGGTGGAGCATAAAACCTGCCGGCCCCCTCCCTAAGCTGATCCCCTAGCATTAACGGACTTCGTACTTCCACCCAAAGCATCGCTGCACCGTAGTCACTCTCTTGTCTCTCATTTCATCGTGGAATTATAGGTTTCCTTAACATTCCCAGGCTCATAGAACTATTAACTTGCGCCTCACGCTCGTTTGCTCCGGCTCCTGCCTCAATATAAAGTCGTCCATTGATTGAACGACTACCTTCCACTCTTTTCTCTAATATACCTTCATTGGATCGAATATATCCGTGACTTATCTTTCGTTTCTCACGTAAGAACTGCACAACCTTTTTCTCTGATCAACCAATTTTTGATTCTTTGTGAGCCGTAAAGATGCGTTTCTCTACTTCTGCTCTCATTGCTCTCCTGGCCACTGGTGCCCTTGCCGTTCCCTACCGTCACCCTCATCACTTCCACAAGCGTGAGGTCGTGACCTCTGCCGTGGTTGTCTACACCACTGTCACTGTCGAGGACGACGGTGCTGCCTCCGCTACCAGCGGTGCCAGCGAGTCTGCTGCCGCTACCACTGTGGCCGTTGCTGCCACCTCTACCTTTGTTGGCGACGCTTCTTCCGTTTCGTCTGCCATTGCCTCTGTGCAATCTGCCAACTCTGACATTGCTCAGAGCTCTTTCAGCACCATTGTTACCAGCTCTTCGTCTGCACCCGCTCCTTACTCGACTGTGTACAACACGTCGTCGTCCGTGGCTTCTTCCTCCGCCACTTTCGTGACCAGCACCACTTCCTCCAGCAGCAGTGCTTCTGCCCGCTCCAGTGCTTCTGCCACGTCTTCTGCTGCCTCTTCTTCCTCTACCGGCAGCACCTCTACTTTCCAAGACGGTGTCTACAGCTGCACTGACTTCCCTTCTGACCAGAACGGTGTCGTTGCTCTTGACTACCTTGGATACGGTGGTTACACCGGTATCCAAATCGGTGATGCCGCTGGTTCCTCCTGTACTGAGGGTGCCTACTGCTCCTATGCTTGCAAGCCCGGCATGTTGAAGAGTCAATGGCCCACTGAGCAACCTTCTGACGGTGAGAGCCGTGGTGGTCTTCTCTGCAAGAACGGTAAGCTGTACCGTACCAACACCGCCTACGATTCCCTTTGCATTGACGGTGTTGGATCTGCCTATGTTGAGAACCGTTTGAGCCAAGGTGTTGCCATCTGCCAAACTGACTACCCCGGTTCTGAGAACATGGTCATCCCCACTTACGTCGAGGGCGGTGCCTACTCTCCTCTGTCCGTTGTCGACAGTGACACCTACTACAAGTGGCAAGGCAAGTCCACTTCCTCCCAATTCTACGTGAACAAGGCCGGTTACTCTCAACAGAAGGGTTGCCAATGGGCCACTTCTGATGATGACTATGGAAACTGGTCTCCCGTTAACTTTGGTGCCGGCCAATCCAACGGTGTCACCTACTTGTCCATCATCCAGAACCCCTTGACCACTGCCGTTCTTAACTACAAGGTTAAGATTGTTGCCACTGAGGGCTCCACTGTGAGCGGTGAGTGTGTCTACGACAGCGGCTCCTTCACTGGTGGTTCCAGCAGCGGCTGTACCGTTGGTGTTACCTCCGGTTCTGCCAAGTTCGTCTTGTACAATTAGGCCGTCAGCGCATCCGTTGCTGACAACAACTGAGATGGTCAAGTTGTTGTCTCGTGTGCCGTCAGTAACGTTGCTGCTCACTTTCCATCTAATTGTACCTATCTTGAGCATTGTCAGACTGGTTCTGTGACCATTGTCGGGGCGTCCCTCCTTACAGGCTTTCGGTCCCGTATTATGTCTGCTTGCCAAACGGCTAGCATACCCTTTTTCTCCTAATTGTGTGTCGTATAGCGTTCGCACACAAACACACCTAGATCATCGGCAGTTGTTTTTGATGTTTGTATCTGTCGTCAAGTTTATAAAACTACAAACGCCTATTTTGTTGGGTTTGAATTCCCTATTATGGATATACCTGCGCTGCTGCATAGCGCGTCACTCGAGGTGAGTGTCTGCCTCAGCAATCCCTTCGTTTCTTTCCCATCGTTCTTTATGCTTTAGCTGTATCGTTAATATGAATAATCTGTCATCTGAGAACATAGCCTTTCGTCGTGTGTGGTTGTAAATGTAGTTAGGTGCGTGTGTGTTTGTTCGCGTTCCCTTTGTTTTTCACGCGACGCGTTTTTCATTTGGTTGTGGATGTCACTCGTACCCATGGCGACGAAATAAGCTTTTTGAAAGGGGAGCATTCGAACAAACTTGTCGACTTCCAACCGCACACAGTTGGAAGAAACTTGGGAAATCGGCTCAATTGGATATGTATTGCGCTCCCGAGTCTGTAAGTTGTCGTCGTAAGCAATAATTCTTCTTTCACTCATTACAGGCTCTTCAATTGTGCTATCTTCGCACTATCCGTCCCGCAGTCGCCCCAATCAGTCATTTTTAGTCTCGTCCCTCGCAGAGACGAACACGAGCTGTTGTCTCGTTAACATTCGATAACCTGCGTTATACCTCCGATAGCGTTGCATCGCAAACACTCGCTAAACCGGCGCACTATGCTTTACCCTTACTACCCGCTATATCGTGCCTTCCATCGGTCCATCGCTATCTGTGCTGGAGCTGTTCACCACCAACCGTAGACTCATTCACATAGGATGCGCCTTCAGGCCGGCGTTGTTATCACTGCGGGGAAACGAACTGTGTTGGCGCGCATGCAGATATGAGATAGTTGCCCTCTGGACCTCGTCTCATATGTGCAGTGACAGACAGATGCACTCGGGATTACGTCAAAATGTCCCCTGTCGTTCAGTCTAGAAGCCCCGATGTATTCGCAGTACACTGATATCTCTGGTATTCTAATTCTGCAATGCTGGTCAATCAGGGATTCAAAAGTATAAATGTGCAATTGCGTGCACCTACTAGAACTCAACACCAATTCCTGCCTTTACAGTTTCAAAACTTGTACCGGTTTTCCACCGACAACCTTCGTTTCCAACTGTTCGGATCTGTCTCATCAAGCAGATCTATTTGTTCCCTATTTCATTCGCCTCCAACGCGCTTAAAAGCTTATTCTTCTAACATTCCCCACACTTTTCATTTCGACAATATGCCTAGCGAACACTCTATCAAGAACCTCGACCTTTTTGACTTGGCCGACAGAGACTATGCACGCTCGTTTGTGAACGGAAAGTGGATTTCTTCGAAAACAGGAAACACATTCGAAGTCACAAACCCCGGAACATGCGGTACCGTTGGCTCGTTGACGGACATGTCGGTTGATGAGACTAAGGAGGCCATTTCTCTCGCTCATGAGGCTTTCCTTTCGTTCAGAAAATCCAGCCCCAAGGACCGCGGTGCCATGCTGAGACGCTGGTACGACTTGATGATTGAGAATGCTGAAGACCTCGCTCAAATGCTCACACTCGAGAATGGAAAGGCTCTGTGTGATGCCCGGGGTGAGATAACTTACGCAGCCAGCTTTCTCGACTGGTTCTCCGGTGAGGCCGTCCGTATCTACGGTGACAGTGCTGTCGCCTCTAACCCTTCCAACCGTGTGTTTACCGTAAAGCAGCCTGTCGGCGTTGTGGGCATCATCACACCATGGAACTTCCCTGCCGCTATGATTACTCGTAAAATTGGCGCTGCTGTTGCAGCTGGCTGCACAGTCGTCATCAAACCCGCTAGTGAGACGCCCTTTACATGTGTCGCTCTGGCGAAGCTGGCTGAAAAGGCCGGTGTGCCCGCTGGTGTCATTAACGTGATCACTGCACGCACTTCTCGTACACACGGACTGGAGCTAACCACGAACCCGTTGGTGCGCAAGGTTTCGTTCACCGGTTCCACCGGTGTAGGCAAGGCTTTGATGCAGCAAAGCTCGTCAACACTCAAGAAGCTCTCTCTTGAACTCGGAGGTAATGCTCCTTTCATCGTGTTTGACGACGCAGACTTGGAGAAGGCCGCCGACGCTTTGGTTGCCTGCAAGTTCCGCGGTAGCGGACAAACCTGTGTGTGTGCGAACCGTGTCTACGTGCAAGCTGCTGTGTACGATGCGTTCGCTACACTGCTTACTGAACGTGTTTCCAAGTTTAAGTTGGGCTATGGTCTCGATGCTGGCGTTACCCATGGTCCTTTGGTGAACGGAAAGTCTGTTGCCAAAGTGAAGGAACACGTCGAGAATGCTGTTTCCAATGGAGCTCGTGTGCTTATTGGTGGCCGTGTGGCCGAGGAGCTTGGTCCTAACTACTTTGAACCCACTGTGCTTGCTGGTGTTACGCAAGATATGCAAATTGCCCATGATGAAACATTTGGACCCGTTGCAGGTCTCATTCAGTTTGACACGCAGGAGCAAGTGATGGAGTGGGCAAACAATGCCGATGTTGGTCTCGCTGGTTACGTCTTCTCGAGCAACGTTTCTCGTATTTTCCAAGTCGCTGAGACGCTTGAAGTTGGAATGATCGGTTGCAACACTGGTATGATTTCCGACGTTGTCTCTCCATTTGGCGGTGTTAAGGAAAGCGGTTTTGGACGTGAAGGCAGCAAATACGGTGTGGAAGAGTACATGAACATCAAGTCCATTACTTTGTCTCTTGCCTAAATGCAAGTTGTCTTTTAGAAATACTTACTAGACGGATGAAATGATTACGATTTTTTTATTAGAGAAAAAGTAACGGTGACTTATGGAGTAGAGGTTTTAGCACATGCTGTTCAACGAAAGGATGACGGAAAAAGGCTAGAAGGTAGGATAAAGGAAGCGTTCTATAAAACAGAAGTGAACGTGATGCTAGTTGTTTTTCTTTGCCGGACTAGCGCTAACGGTTGTTCGAGATAAACGTTGAATAGTAGCCATTATAGATGGCAGTAAAAGCAGGAAGAAGGCGTAGGTGAGGTAGTTTGAGGAACAAGTGTCAAACTCAATGGCGAGTTTCCGGAAGAAGGAGTCGGCTTCTGTGTTTGCAGGGACAATAGCGTACAGAAACACCGCAGGGAGAGCAAACGGTATCACCCAAAGAAGGGCGGCAACACGGCTTTTGTGGAAACGTGCACAGATTACTTGCAAGGGAAAGACCCATAGTCCAAGCAGGAAGGAGAGAGAAAAGTTGAGTGTGCTGATGACCGCAAGAGAAAGTCCCGTAAACAACATTGTGAAAGACATAATGTCATGTGCATGAGCTGATTTTAGTTTGCGTGTGTGAATGAAAAAACAGCCAGCAAGACTACCCAAAGCAAACCACAACTGTGTGCCCTTAAGTGAGTGTGCAGCCATAAAGGTAAGAGTTGCTATCACATAATTGACGAGCCAGTGTCCAAAGGATATCCAAACGCTCTGGGTTGCGTCACGAGTAAGCCGAAATTGGATGCCGCTGATCGTGTAACTAGCAGCAATCAACAGAGCAGCTGGAAGGTAATTTCCAATACTCACGAATCTCGTGGGCTCGAGTAACAAAAACAAAAAGAAGGATTGATGAAGGTGTTCCAGTAAATTGTTTAGACTGCGTAAAGTACTCTCAAGTAAGCGACCCAAAACTCGAATGTCAAGTGTGTAATGATCATTTTGAAACGCGCGCACTGTAATCGCGTCGATGCGATAAGGAAGAGTAACGGCGTGTGCACCCCGAATGGATGCAAGCATCTGACTCTGCATGCTTCGGATTAATGTGTCGAGCCGAGGAAGATAGCTGTCAGTTTGGCCAATGTAAAAGTACTTGTTTTGAATCTTTACAGGTATACTGAACTGATAATTGGCTATACGGACAACCGTATTAATGAGGTCTAAGTTCGGGAGTTGGCCGTTTATACCATCATACAATAATTCGATACCGCTGAAAGAAGTAGAGTTGCTGGGATATTCTAAAGCCAAAGCAGCTTGAATGGTTCCAGAAAGGAATTGAAGTGAATCAAACTCAATCGTTTTGGAAGGGATATTGTGGTATGCATGCATGAATGCAGAGACAGCCGTAACTGGATCTTCACTAACGACAAAAACAATATCTTTCGACAGTAGTGACCAACCCTCTAAATACTTCATAAAGGCAATCAACAGCGCTACACCTCCATGGTTGATCCGACCTTCAGCATCCTTCCACGGAGCGCAAAGCAGAACTGCTTCTGTAGAGTCACCGCGTGGAGCATGAAGACTAGTGTAGAAATTATAGCCATGAAGTGTTTGCCCCTGTGACACGGCCGTATACGATTGAATTTGTGTGGGAAAGCCCATAGTCGAAAATATATCTGAGAGCTGTTCATACTTTTGATACGAGTCGTTGTGCGTACTTTCATACTCAATCCAATTTCCCACAAGATCGCGAGCTGCGTTAATGGTATTATGTTGGTTGTCACCAAAAAAGGTGTTCGTTTGACCAGGCAATAAGGCGTTTTCGGATATACGATTGGCGGTACTGTATTCGTTTAGTGGTAAAACAAATATCCATAAGAAACCTAGAAGGAAAAGCACATTTCTAGCAAATAGTTGTTAGTATCAGATGGGCATGTCATCGGAGAGATAGGTTTCGTACTGTATAAGGAAAAGTCGCCTAAGGAATAACGAGAAAATCCGCTCCTTTACACGCTGTAAAGACTTCATCGGAGTGTATTGTGAATATTATAAGAGTACGACGACAGTTTTTTTATATAATATTGCCTTTTTGAGCGTAATCGAGAAAGAAACTTCGTGAGGGAAGCAAGTGAATTAACAACAGAATCTATTAAACAAACGCACACATAAATCTGTAGAAATCCTTATGCGACATGGAATTGCGACTCCAACTTCTGCAATCTTTCAATTTATTGATAAATTATGTATTTTTTACAGTGGTTTTGTTCCCTCGGTAGGACTGACGAGGAGTACTTACGGGAAGTTTATGGCAAAAGTTCCGTCTGTTCACACCCATTGCCTTAAAAAAAGCATTTAGAAGCAATCAGGAATGACTAGCTCTAAAGTAGACGTCTCGTACGTTTTTTCTTCGGATAGAATTGGATTAAATGAATGCAAATACCAAGTCTTCTTTCTTTCGTCAGATCAAACTGCCTCTCCAAAATGGCAACAAAAGGAAAGAGATAAGGCAAAAGCTTGGTTAGAAGAGACTGTCAATGGATCCCTGAAGCAACATTTGTGGCAGAATGAAGAATTTGCATTGGAAGATTTTGATATTCAGGGTAAAAGTAATCTTAACGAATATATTATTCTAACAGACTACAGGAAATCCATGTTTAGTGGGTTCTACAGACTTCGGTGATTGTATTGAGGATGAGTGGGTCATTGTTTGGCTTTTAATGTCTTTGACTCGCCGTGTGGATAGTGCATATGCCAGGTAAGGTGCATTCCTTTCCATCAAAACTTACTAATATTTGTTGCATAGAGTCATTGATGCGGACGGTGAAATACTGCTTATTGAATCAGCTCTTCGGTTACCCAGTTGGATTGACGAGGACAATTCAGATTATCGGGTCTGGCTTCACAAAGGCGCTGTTCATTTAATTGAGCCCCCTGCAGAAGAACAGAAGTATAGATGCTCATCATTAGCTTGCCGGGAGGCATTAAAACTACTAAGTCAGCAACAAAGCACCCGTTCCTATCCTAAGTTGACCAGGTGTATTCAACATCGCTTAAAAAAATACCCAGAGGCAATACAGAACTCCCATCGCGCCGTATGTACACTTCCTCGTTCAGTTTTTTCTCTTTTATGTACTCATCCCGGTTGGATAGCCAAGGCTGTAACAGCATACTATCATCGAGACCCCGTGTCCATGAAAACAGCACGCCAATTTCCTACCTTTCCACCAATGCAAGACTCTGTAACGGCAACCGTTCGGTTTACACAGACTTTATTCGCTCAGCTCTATGAGCAACCTCTGGACATGTCTACTTCCACGAACACAAGAAAGACACCAGACACGCTGGATTGGAGAAGAAGGGAACTCGGTCTAAAGGTTACTTTGGGTTTTGAGTTACTTTGTGAGGTCCCCGAATACGCACACCTGAAGCAGGAAATCCAAGACGAGCTTTCAAACATAAAACTCATTACGGACGAGCAGCTGAAGTCTATGGATCTCGTTGACGACGATACTCAATTCATGAATGTAAATCCGGACGACTTGGAAGACTTGTTGAGGCGGCGGATGCAGGGGATACCTTCTGATTCGGAGGAGGATTCTGAAACATTAGACACTAATGGTAATCCAGAAGGGGTTTTTGGCCTGGATGAGAAAAGTCTGAAGGAAATGATTTCCAAGATTGAAGAGTTTGTCGAAGATGATGAGAATTACGACGAGGACGACGAGGACGATGAGGATGACGAGGACGAGCTACAGGATTTCGATGAAAGAGACATCGAGTTTGATGAAGAGCGTTTTCTCGACATTCTTCGAGGGAAGTTACCTGACTTAGCAGATGTCCACGAAGAGTATGAGGAGGATGCGGATGACACCGCATCTGACGCATCTGATGGTCTTACTGTTGAAGATTACATGGCAGCTATGGACAAGGAATTACAAGGCTCTTCCGTTCGAGACTTATCACCTGGGAAAGCTCATACAAAAAAGTCTAACGACGACATAAAAGAAACTAAAAACAAATGCGCAAATTTGCAAGAGACATCTTCAGAAACAGCCTCTGACATCTCTGTGGACATAAATCTCGCTCAAAATCTTCTCGCAGCTATGGATGCTGATCCTGCAATAGTAAATCCTCTGTCAGCATTTTTCAGCAACTTGAGTTTACAGAACCGTAAAAATACTTGAGCGCGATAAAATTACTCCTCCTGAATCCTTACATTCCCCGTTCTCGTGTCTCGTTAAAATCCCTATCTGTCCCTGTTTTTGCGTGATGCCATCGTGCTAACCAAACTCACCAACCTCCACTTCTCGTAAATTAGTGATTATCCAGCCAAGAGCTTTCTTACTGAACGAAACTTCATTTCTATATACAAGAAAGTTCTTAAAAGATGTTTGTACAAGCTGCCTTCAGACGCAGCGCCGTTTTTGGTGCAAAACTTGTCTTCAAGCAAAGTCAAGCTCCTGTCCCCAGATTTGTGTCCATAAGCGGTCGGTTCTACACAACGACACCTGCAAAGACCGACTATGATCTCTGTGTTATCGGTGGAGGTCCAGGAGGTTATGTTGCTGCTATTCGTGGCGCTCAACTTGGTTTGAAGACTGTCTGTGTTGAAAAACGCGGATCCTTGGGCGGTACTTGCTTGAACGTTGGTTGTATTCCTTCTAAAGCTCTTCTGAACAACTCTCACATCTACCATACCATCAAGCACGACACGAAGAAGCGTGGTATTGAGGTCGGTGATGTGTCGATCAACTTGGCTCAATTGATGAAAGCCAAAGACGACTCGGTGAAGTCGTTGACTGGCGGTATTGAGTATTTGTTCAAGAAGAACAAGGTCACATATGCCAAGGGAACAGGCTCTTTCGTTGATGAACACACGATTGCAGTTGATGGTTTGGATGGCAAGAAGCAACAATTTTCGGCCAAGAACATTATCATCGCTACGGGTAGTGATGTGAGAAAATATCCCGGTATTGAAATTGATGAAGAGCGCATCGTTTCTTCTACCGGAGCCTTGAGTCTCTCCAAGGTGCCCAAACGCATGGTTGTTATCGGCGGTGGCATTATTGGTCTTGAGATGGGCAGTGTCTGGTCTCGTCTGGGTGCCGAAGTGATTGTCCTTGAGCGCAAGGATGCTATTGGTGCCGGTATGGACAAGGATATTGCAAAGACTTTCTCTCGTGTCATCCAAAAGCAAGGCATTAAGATCAAGTCCCTCACTAAGGTCTTGGGCGCTCGTCGCGAAGGTGAGAGTGTGAAGATTGATGTTGAAGGCATCAAGTCTGGCAAGAAGGAAACTATTGACGCTGACGTCCTCCTTATCTCTATTGGTCGTGTGCCATACACTGAAGGTTTGGGCTTGGAGAACATCGGCGTCTCCATGGATGAGGGCAACCGTGTCATCATGGACAGTGAGTATCGTACCAACATTCCCCACATTCGTGTTATTGGTGATGTTACTTTTGGCCCCATGTTGGCCCACAAGGCCGAAGACGAGGGTATCGCTGCTGTCGAGCTTATCGTTAAGGGACAAGGTCATGTAAACTACAATGCCATTCCTAGTGTTATGTACACTCATCCTGAAGTTGCCTGGGTTGGTATTACCGAACAAAAGGCCCAAGAACTTGGCTTGAACTACAAGGTTGGTTCCTTCCCCTTCTCCGCCAACTCTCGTGCCAAGACTAACCAAGACTCTGATGGTTTGGTTAAAGTGATTGCCGACAAGGAGACTGACCGCATTTTGGGTGTCCACATTATGGGTCCTTATGCTGGTGAACTTATCGCCGAAGCTACTCTTGCTATGGAGTACGGTGCTAGTGCTGAGGATGTTGCCCGTGTGTGCCATGCTCATCCTACTTTGAGCGAGGCCGTTAAGGAGGGTATGATGGCCGCTTGGTGCGGTAAGAGTATCCACTTTTAGACGACTTGACGTTTATGTCTACGCGGTTTGCTTCCTTTTCGCGAAATTTCTGAAGGGCTTTTTGTCATCAAACCCGAGTATTTTGATATCTACATAATAACTATTTTTCAAACGCGCGAGTAAGTAAATGGGGAGTAGTTTATAGCGGATTTGAGTAACATTCCTAAGGGTCTTATTTTTGCAGACACAGACTTCAGAAAAGGCCGTATGCGAATTTACAGGCGAAGTACTATTCTCAAGCATATGGCCTCATCTCTGTAACTCTTCAGTAAGTCTGTTTTCAATTCTATGTAGCGCTTTTTTCTGTAATACACTCAGTACTTCAAATTACTGTAAAAGCTATGAAACAAGAGAAATGACTTTCAAGCGACTTCCATCGCTAACAAAAACGGTTTTGGAACAGCTGAAACCCTTAAAATTGCATCGAAAAGACTCACAAACGCAAGTTTCCCACTTTAAGCATGTGAGTTCTTACTTAATTAAAGATGAACTCTTATCATCTGTCTTAGAGGCTTCCGGACTAAAGAATGCTTACGATAACGAGGATATGACCATTCTTGAAATGTCTCCCGGTTCAGGAGCCAACTCGATTGCTCTTTACAATTACTTCCAGCCTAAACGACATGTCTTGCTTGAGCCTAGAAAGGCCTTCTTTAGTCACATTTCTAGCTTGACGAAAAATACAGATGGAAGAATGGTTTTACATGAACGGGATGGTTATTCATGGGCTACGTACTCGGAATTATACCAAAAACATCCAGAGTATTTCTACCAGCAAACCAGTAAAGAAGTACGGCTAGGTCCAAACAGACGTTTCCTATTCACGGGACATTTACCTGCGGGAACTCCCGGTATTCTTCTTGGAACGCAATTTGTTATGCATCTCATCCAAAGGGACTGGCTTGGTATTCTTGGACGAGTTCGATTGTTGCTTTGGATGTCGCCGGAGTTGGCATACATCCTTTTGGCTTGTAATGGGTACAAAAGCAGGTCTTCCCTTTCTGTTCTCCGAGAGCTCATGTGCCAAATTCGTGTTCTAGCAGCGCCTGTTGAATTTATGGATACTTTAAAAAAAGGATATCTACATTCATCAGCCGTTACTTATCCTGTTATGAAAACTATATCCACAACAGATGAAGCATTCGCTCCTTCAGCGAATCCCCTTGTTCTAATTGACATCAGTTGCACGAGTTACCAATCTGATGTACCGCTCGACATACTTGAATATGTCATTCAATCGCTTCTTGTACAAAAGTCACAGCCGTTAAAAGAAACAGTATCTCGTTTGTGCCCTGGCGCGGAAAATCTTGTACCCTTACTCAAAAAGCGAGGTGTAGACATTCAAGAATCCAGTGTCACTGCTTCTGCCAAGTCGTTGGAAAATATTGCAAGAATTTATCACAAATGGCCCTTTCGGCCTAAGGTTATGACTAGTACCCTTTTGGAAAAACCGTGAGCCGAAAGAACGGATCGTGTATCAACATTATAGACTGCGATAAAGTACCGTTAAGAATGAATTTTTGTTCCGATCATTGGTCAGCAACGCTACTATTTTTCGAGCTGAAACTTTGAGTCAGATTACAAGACATATTTAGTTTGAATGGAGCTTGTTTGTGCTGGAACGGTTAGCGCACTTGCTAGTCAATACATTTGTTGCCAAGTACTATAGACAAAAATATCATTGACTGTTTCATTACAGCTACTATTTAGAAGAAAACAACGGTTGAAATTATAATTACTTATTTGTAACCGTAAGTCTCCATTTATCTTCCTGCCATTGCTTCAATTGCGACACTCTGTTTCATCTGTTCTACCTCAGTTATTTTTCCTCGTCATTCTGTCTATTGCCCTCTAACCCAGTATTCTGTTGACAAACACATTCGCTACCAGACTTAACCGAGGAAGCTTAATAATACCGACTGTCAACGTACCGACAAGTAATGCACTATCTCCATAATAGCCAGGTGTGTAAGCGGTTCTATTAATTTCATTGGTGAATAAGCTAGCTTATGTGTTCTTTCATAGCTGTTGCTTAAATTGGATAATACCGAGATTCAATGATATCTTAGATAGATACAAGATGTATTGACATTATTGTTCGCTAGTTCTTTTTTATGTTTGTTAAAAGCTAAATACCGGTTGAGTTGCAAGGGATCTAATTAGATGATCAGAAATAGAAGTAGTTTTTCGAGCCTATTCTTTACAAAGAAGCGCGACACTCGTAGATAACAAATCATGTGGTAATCTTCTTTCACAGCATCACAGATGATTGTAAGTGTTACTAGTTGCGCCGTTTTAAAGTTGGCCTATAAATTCATCAATTCATTCTCTCTTTGTAATTATTGCTTTATTCAAAATTAAAATACGATGACTAACAAAACTACCGCTGTTGTGCGCAGACTTAAACGCGAAGATTGCCCAGTGGTACTCCAATTCATTAAAGAATTAGCAGGTAAGATATAATGAATTTGTATCGGAAGTTTTGTTAGGGCAGGTTGTGAATTGATAGTATTTAAGAATTTACAGAGTTATTCTACAATTCTTCTGTCCTTTAGTGCCTTTCTTTGTCTTTTTTTTGTCGTATCTTATTAACAAACTTATTTAGAGTATCAGAAAGAACCTCAACAAGTTGAAGCTACTGTCGAGAAACTCGAAAAGGCATTCGGGTTCGTAGAAGGAACTCCTGCTGTTCCTCGGGGCGTACTTGTCGAGGAAAATGGAGAGGTTTGTTTATTCTTTCCTATCAGAGAATTGTGAACAGAGTTTCTAATAATTCGACTTTAGCCGGTTGGAATGGCAATCTACTTCCCCAACTTCAGGTATGCATGACTCTGTGAGCTTTTGTTAATCGTACATGTTCTAACGTATCAAATTCAGTACTTGGACTGGATGTCTTGGGGTTTACTTGGTTCGTTTTGTTATATGTCTTGGCTGTGCCACTTTTATTCCTTAAATGCTAACATTTGTAAGGAGGACCTCTATGTTAGACCGTCTGTCCGGGGAAAGGGATACGGTAAACTGTTGCTTTCTTTCTTAGCTCGTGAAACAGTTCTTCTGGGCGGAAAACGGCTAGACTGGTCTGTAAGTCATTCTACGCTACTATTTCGTCTTATTCATTAACACATTAGGTGCTGAACTGGAACAAAAACGCCATTGAGGTTTACAAGCGTGTTGGCGCTAAAGCTCTGCATGATTGGATTCACATGAGACTGTCAGATGATGAACTAGAATCGATGGCAAAGGCTTTCCCAGAGGGTGTTCTAATTGACTGATTAAATTGCAGTTTATCTTACTCTTTAAGATCTTCAACGACTCTTGTTGCTACAAAAAAGTTCATGAACGAAGAAAGAAATGGCATGTGTATACAGGAAGAAAAACAACTTCATTTCGCCTAGACTCGATATTAATAAGAATTTTATCTTTGATTTGTATATTTCTCGCAAGCAGACACCAATTCAGAGCCTCTGTCACGTAAAACGGGACGCGTAATTTTATTGTCTATATCATCCCTCAACCAGTTCAGAAATGTTTCGAGGAAAAACAGCATACTTTGATGAATCTGTTCCACCACACATTATTGCTTTATGGCGTAAGTTGTTTTATTTATAAACCGTTTCTTTTTAACGCGTTTCTTCATTAGAACTATACGAGGGAGAAGTTACCTTCTACCCGGTGATAACGAGTAAAGTTGATTACTATTTCTCTTCAAAAAAACAAACATATCGTCCTCCCTCTTCAATTCACCGTGTTAACTGTACATCACCATGGTGGATTGTTGAGTTTGTTGCTGATCAAGGGTAAGCTGCAAAAGACCATGAAATTCTCAGCCCGAATTTCAAGATTGAAATGCTTGCTCTCAATCAATGCTGTGAAAAGTCCTTATTAACAATGTTACCACAGAAAATTGAAAGAAAACGAGTCTGTTCTTCATATGGAAGTTACTGAACCCTTCTTCACAGATGTTTCACGGAAAACGGTCTATCTTAAACCACCTTTTTCCATGTTCTCTTTTGATTAAAGCTACTATTAATATCTTCTATTTATAAAACAGTAACATTAACAGCTGGTCGATAATCTTATATTATTCGAAAAAAAATAGAGGTCTTTTTTAATCCAGCACTTGCATGGAAACTACACTCATCCATTGAATCATACTGTGTCATACAAAACCAGTATTTCTTTGAGCATACTATCAGCAATTATTTGGTGATTGAATCGTTAATCATTAGTTCCTTGTAATTTTAGAAATTGTCCATAACATCACGACTAATTGACCTTTTGCAAAGCTCATTAACACAACACAAGCAAATGGTGATTACGAGAAAAAGACTTCGTTCGTCCTTAGGGAAGCCTGTTACTCCAAGGCAACGGGAAAGCCAGCTTGGTATTCCAATGGCGCCAACGTTTTATCCTTCAACGGAGGAATTTACCGATGCTCTTTCGTACATTCACAAGATAGCAGAGAAAGGAGAAAAGTATGGAATTGTAAAAGTCGTTCCTCCGTCTAATTGGCATCCAAAGTTTTACTTAAGCATGGAACAGTTCCATTTTCCGACTCGGAGGCAAGAACTAAAAATGATGAATATCCATTTTCGTACAAAGGCCGATTATGATGAAAGAATGTATCGGTTTTTTAAAAACAAGAATGCTGATCTCCCAGTACAGCTTAAGATCCAGAAAAAGCCTGTTGACATATATATGTTTCGATGCGCTATACAGTCGACCGCAGGCACTGTATTCGGATCTTTGTCGGACAAGCAATGGTCCTCCGTTCTGGAACGTATTGACTTGCGGCCAAACCCCTCTTCCATTAGAGACGCAAAGAGCCTTCACCGTCGGTTTATCCTACCCTTTGAAACCTTTGTTGCCCAAATTCGAACAGGAAAACCAGATAGCGACAAAGTAAAGTTAAATGGGAAAGACGATTTGGGTAGCGCTGTTGCCGAACGAGAATCATCGGACATTGCCAGCCAATCTAAACTCCAGTGTAATAATTGTCATTCCTCTATTCCATCTCAAGACCAATCTCCTCGCAAAGAATTCTACTGCGATCATTGCATAGCATTTCATGATTCTTTTGGCTTTGAACCAGGTGGTTCTTATACGCTTTCACAATTTAAAAAGAAAGACAGCTCATTTAAAAAACGCTACTTTGGTTCGACAATCCAGAGCGATCACGAAAATGAAGTGGAAAGTGAATATTGGAGGCTTATGGAGTCTTCAGACGAGTCAATGGTTGTTGAGTATGGAGCTGATTTATCTACTACAGAATTCAGAAGCGCATTTCCGACACTACGAACTGACGCAGATGATCCCTACGCAAGTGATGAATGGAACTTGAATAGAATGCCGACAACTGAAAAATCACTTTTACAACACATTCACTCTCAGATATCAGGAATTACAGTCCCGTGGCTATATGTTGGTATGTGCTTCTCCACGTTTTGCTGGCACATGGAAGACAATTACACATACTCCATTAATTACCAACACATGGGAGCCACCAAAACTTGGTATGGCATTCCGGGCACCCAAGCAGATTCACTTTTGGAGCTTGCGTCTTCATTAGCTCCTGAGGTTATTTTAAAGGAACCGGATCTGATGCATCAATTGAATACGATTATCAATCCTAAGACCCTTTTAAAGAACAATGTTGACGTATATTTCCTCGATCAGCATCCCAATGAGTTCATAATTACATTTCCCAAGGCTTTCCATTCTGGTTTCAATCACGGTTTCAATGTTAATGAGGCTGTAAACTTTGCGCCAGCCGACTGGTTATTGAACGGCCATTCTTTAAACAGCATTATTGACTATGCGAAGATCGGGAAACAACCTGCGTTTTCACACGACGAACTTTTAACTTCAATGTGTGAATCCACGGAAACTATTGACTTAACGTTTCAACCGTGGGTGGAAGAAATGATTAATCGGGAAATGTTTGGAAGAGCCAATGTTCGCAAACATTTATCTCTAAATGAGTACGTGAATCCTGAGGAATCGAATGATAGACAGCATTTTTGTGTGACATGTTCTTCCATTTGCTTTCTTTCTCGGATATCTTGTCAATGCCAGAGATTTGTATATTGTCTAAATCATTTCCGGGAAGCCGCAAGCTCATGCAAGTGTGAAAGGAAATACTCTCTTATTTGTTACATGTCTGACGGAAGTCTTACTTTGTTACGGAAGAAGTTCTTAAAAACATGAGTTTTGCATGTCCGTCCCTTGCTATTTGCTATATCATTCGCCCTATTCCGTTAGATACCGGATTGGTATGCACTTTTATGGTGTTAACTTTTTGGTGTTTAGTCTTGATTTTTGGCCACGCATTTTTTTCTGTTATAGGAACATGGTTGTGTTCCTTGTAGCGTGTGGTACAGTCAAGTACGTTTGTGGAACAAAATGGATCCTCGAAGTACATTGAAAAGAAATTACTCGGGTTCTGTTTTGCAAAGATCCTCTAGTATCGAAAGACAAGGAACTCCAAACTTGAAATTGAATCGAGCAAATACACTGTCTCCTGCACCAACAGGAACGACGCCAAACGGCGGTAGACAAGGTGAAGAATGGCAAAGAAATGAAGCAGAAGAGGAAGAAGAAGATCACGACGATTTTGGTACTGCAGCAATTCCGAATTTGGCTGGAAAAGTGGAAGGTGAAGACAATGAAGCGAATGAAAAGATTAAGACCCGTTATCTTCTCGAAAGCTTTGACGAGACGCAAATGCAGCGTTACGAAGTGTTTCGTCGTGCAAACTTAAATAAAGCCAACGTGAAGAAATTAGCAAATCAAATATTGAACCAAAGCGTGACACCGAATGTCGCCATTGTCATTTCCGGTTTCTCAAAAGTATTTATTGGTGAGATTGTCGAACTAGCCCGTAAAGTTCAAGATGATTGGGGTGATTCGGGACCTTTGGCTCCAGACCATCTTCGTGAAGCATATCGACGTTATAAACACAATCGTAAACTCATTCCACAAAGTCGCCGTACGGCTCGTCTCTTACGGTAATCCATGTATGAGTTTGCATATCCATTTCAGTGATTGCTCCGGTACTATTTTCCTCATCATAAAAGTCGGTTCCTGGTAATGAATGAATGATTTTATGACCCTCCCCTTCCAAATGGATTGAGGGTCTTCGTATCTAAGAAAGCAAGTAGATAGGCTCTAGATATTATTTCTCTGAATTTCATGTGTTTCATTAGAACGTCAAACACGTCCCAGTTTTATGCCGATAGTATGTGTACCGTGCAGGTAGACATGCTTGATTCTTGGTTTTCGTTTTTGCTCCATTTTAGATATACACTTTCGTATGCCAGCAAGGATAGCTTTTAAGTTCGCTGCGAGCTTTTCATCTGAATAACTCTGTGGACCGATCACTTGACTGATCATGCCCTTTCGTTCACGAAAAGGTGTTGTTCCCTTGAAAGTCTTTACGAGAGAAATAATGTCGTTAGACGCAGTTCCATGTTTAACTGAAGGCATCAAGTTCCGTGGACCAAGGATACGGGCGACATCTTTTAGTAAGTTAAGACTATCCGTGTGAGCAAGACAGATGTTATAATCAAACACTCTCTTCTTCATTAAATCTATAATGTCTTTTCCGCCGACAACATCTGCTCCAGATTGTCGAGCCTGCTGTGCAGCTTGTCCTTCGGCAATAACACAAATTCGAGATTGTTTTTTTTCGGGAAATGGTAAACGGACGTATCCTCGTACAGGAACAGATCCTTTAACGGTATCCAGGTTCACGGTAATTGAGAAATTGGCGTATTCTCTTCCGAGAGTCAAAGCTCGAAGATATTTGATCGCTTCTTCAAATCTGAAGGTAATGTCACGTTTATTACTCTTTGTACTGTAACAGCATTGTGAAAGAAGAGGGACGGTCTTAAGGAATGTCGGTATTTTTCGATATAGAGTCAAATAACTCATTTTAAACCTACGACACGTACACGAAGCAATTTCTGGCTCAGTGAACACACCCCAGAGATACAATACTACAAATAAATAGAAGTTACCATATAAAACAAAGATAGTGTTTCAGAAAGCAATGTATAATGGCTTTTCTCGATTAACTAATCTTTACTGCAATGATGAATGCCTACTTCTTTTATTGTGAGTATTTAGGTATAGCCATTAATGTAGTTTAAGGAAGAAAGGGAGAGCGGCTGTTACATAATAAATAATACGGAATCCAAATGCTTTTGAGAAACAAGCCGCTCACAGTTGTGCTCTATAGAGTAGACAGCGAGGCACTTTTGAGACTTAGTTGTAGCCGCTTACTTGTTCAGTTGCGGACTCGGAGTAGACCTTACAGGAGTTTCCAATTCGGTCACATTTGTTTTCGTCAGACGGTTCTCTTTGTCAGCCTCCGTGTTTTTTAGAGGTGCCCTAGAATGAACATAGACATTGGCTGTAGTTTCCTTCATGAACACTGGAGAGGCAATGGATTGTTCTTCACCAACGGACTCACCATCCCGATAGTGCACGGGTTCAACTGTAACATGTGTAAATGTTGTGCACGTTGTAGTTTGCGCACGAGGAAGAAAGTAGGATGTCCGCACAAGCCGGTTCTGCAAAACGTCACGAATCTTTTTCAAATTCGCGGAGGCACTGTTTAATTTCGACTGAGAGTTAGTAGATTGCGTGTCACGTTCTTTAGGTTTCACTGATTCAAGCGGTTTTGGTGTTTCAGTAGATAAAGCTTTATTTGTAGAGTTAATAGAAGCGACATCAGTCGTTATTTCAGTTAAAGCACTCGCTTCTGCTTGTAGCTTGCCTTTTGAACACCCAACAAAGGCATCGTCCACAGCAGTAATGGTGCCAGCTTTAGAAGTTTTAGTTTGGTTCTCTAAATTTTTCGTAGACGTAATGCTGTTGCCCTGCTTTTTAAGTTCACTTTCAGTCTCCGTTTTGGGAGGTTTAATAGTAACGATGACCTTTTTGGTAGGTTTAACAAAAAGACTGGGTGTCTTGGCTTCTCCTGTTTGTAAGGATAACGCTTTGCCCTGCACATCGCCATACATAGCTTGAAGTCTCCTCACACGCTCTTCTTTCCGTTCGGCAAAACAGACAAAAATGCGTTTCTTGCCGATCATAGCACCATTGAGAGACTCACGTGCTGCGTATGCCTCTTCTGGGCGTCTAAAGGCCACAAAACCGTAACCCTTTGATATACCCGTGTTGGCATAAACCGCTAACATGGACGAAATGATAGTTCCATAAGGCGAGAATAAAGCCTCAAGTTGTCCTTTTGATGATATGATTGCATCGTCCAGATTTTTCACGTACAGATTGCACGGGTCCATAGGCACTGAATCTCCGGGAACGGCCGGTTTAGGTAATAATTGACTGAGGCTTCCACTAAGACTGAGATTCGAAGCATAAGCATCTGTTTCACCCTACCAGGCCATTGCGAGGCATCTTTCGTAGGAGAACCCATTGCCCATGACATTGAGTTCATGCTCGAGCTTTGATACGCGGGGTGGTATGTACCATAATCAAGACTGTTGCAATATGGAAAATTCCAAGCGCTTTCGTCCATATGTGGATAGAATGCAGGGGAACAAGCCCCATTAAAGGGTGTTTTCATGCCGACTTCTAAGATAGAACCCCGAAAAGCGCAACCATTGAAACGTCGAATAGCCTAAATGTTAGTGATGCCGCACTTACAAACATAATCCATACCTCGTTACAGTCCTCAACGCTTTCCATAATAACCTCTCCACAGCGGTATCCTCTGTAGTCACGAAATTGGCTAATCGCAGTTCCCTTCACAGTCCCCGCTTCCTTGAAGTACTGATATAACTCGATAGGGGTAGTGTCGGTCGGCAAGTTTAGGACATTTAATGTGAGAGAAGAAGTAAAAGCTGGTGGAATTGCACGAATATTGAAGTCATTAAGACTTGTAGGCGTCGTTGCCGTTCCTTGTGCTTGCTCAGAGGCGGAAGGCTGAGGAAGTGGGGAAACGACAGCAGAGGTTGTCTTAGACGCAACATTACCAAGCGCCTCTGCATTTGAAGTAACTACCGTTGGTCCGTTAACACCAATCAGTGGTTTTTGGTTCAAAGGCTCTCCATTGTTTTCGACAAGCTTCATTGACGGAGATATCCGACTGTTTTCCGCTTTACCTTCCACCTTGGCCGGATTAAGAACACGGGCTTTGACTGTACTGTACAAAAATTTATGTTAGCTTGAATAAATACCAACCAATCGCAGAAATCTTACATTTTGCGGCGACCAAGAATCATTCCCTTTGCGTCTTTCATGACTTTTTGTACACTGTCTGATGTTTCAAAACGAATAAAAGCGTATTGTACACCATTTCTTGGCGGTTTAAAAGTTTTTGTACGAACTTTTGGATAAAAGCTATCAAGAAGCCTCCGAAATATAGAGATAACGTTTCCTTGAACAGTTAGTTAAGTCAATTGAATAATTAGTTACCGTATTGAGAGAAAAACTCAACAATCTTTTCATCTGGAATGCGAGAGTCAATATTTCCTACATATATAACGCAGGACTCATCTTCGTATTGGCCTGGCACAGATATCCGAGAATTAGGAACCATTGTACTGATAAGGCGAATTATTAAATGCTTGAAAAGTCAGAAATAAGTTGCAATTGAGCAAAAAATGCAATGTGTACACTTTGTACCAAGTTGGTTCCGGTTAGGTTAGCGGGAGCGGGCGCTTGGTAATCAATCAACCGTTCACGTGACCGGTTGGTATCGAAAACGTTTAATGCGAATCGTAGTTTATTTGTTGACATAACAAAATAAACTTTTCACTTGGATCATTAAATTGTATGTACGAATTGTACTTTTATTTTTTTGATGAAGTATTCACGCTGTTATTTGTAAATAAATTGTGCTCGACTTTCATAAATCCCTGTCATCAACCAAACTAATTCAGCTCCTCTCAATAAACGTATACGAATTCCTCTTAACTTCAACAATACAGAATTTTAATATTGCTCTATTTAATCAATTCATATAATAAAAGTGTCTTCTTATTGGCGAAAGAAACTCGTCTATGATTGTGTTGGAAATCTTTTCTAAAGCAATTGTCTAACAATACTGGCATTCAATGATTGGAGAATGTGTTGAAGTATCTTACGGATATATTAAGGGAGCATTCGTGTTTAGTTATCGGGTCACTAGCTTTCTTACGTCTTAAGATGCTGTTTCTAAGGAGACCGGCCTTCTTACGATTCCCTATCGCTATCCTAAGTCTTCAGAATAGCTGCTATGCTCATCGATTTTCTTCAAGTTATGTAAATGTCACACAGCTGAAGCAGGTTGAACGTTTGTTATCTTTTTTACCGAAATCGGTAATTCGTTTGAAGTGTCTTCAAGAAGCTTTCTTAAATCCCTCAACTGTTCGAAAGCGTATATGTGTTCAAGCTTGTACTGACAGTGTGGACGACAAGCAAATGTGTCGGAGAGTTGTTGATGCATTACTGTGCACTCCTTTCAGTACAGAAAGCAACATACTAACAGCACTTCGTTCAAGATACAAACGAAACGGTGTTTTGATTCGTTTTGGAGAACGAGTTTTTCAAGAAGTGGATGAAACCTCGAATAGTATGGTGATGGAATTGCCTCTGCAAGTTCTCAAAGACCATAACTTAGAAATTTATGAGCTCCCATCTGTGCAAAAAGCATTCGGTAACACATTAGCTTCTTGCCATACACGTTATCTATGTACAACTTCGTTATTATTAGCGGTACATAAAATGGAAAAACTGGCGCCAGCAGATAAAATATTATTGGAAGCCGACCCGAGTCTTTATCCAACACTTTCTTTGGACAAAGTTTACCCACTCAATTCCGAGTTGGCAAATCAAGCCGTTGCCGCAATCGAAAAGACTCCTTCTGAGGTAATTGCATTTGAGCATTTGTGGGAACAATCACATTTTTCGGCTTTTCGGAAGGAATGTTTGGAATCTAAGACACTTACGGTTTGCTCAAGACTGTTATCAACTGAAATAGATGAGCTTGAGTCTTCACTCCAATCTCAATCACAACTCCATTTGCTAAAACGAGTTCGTGACTTTTTAAACGCATTAGATGTTTGGACTGAGGATACAAAAATGGGTATCATTCGTTTTAATCAGTTCTCCCTGAAACGAATCTGGAAAAGATTTCGCGTTCTCAGTCTTTTCAGTCAATTACCTAACCTGGAGAACGCCATCATGCAAGCTGCAGAAGTCAATGTGCTTCATGACGCTGACGTTCAGTTGGCAGTCTTGTATGGACGGTTTTTTGAAGATGGAGACGACGGAGCTGAACTCACAAGTGCCAGCAGAAAAAATAAAGAAGATATGTTGAAAATTATACAGTCAGCACTCCATGACGAATTGTGGTATGTTCGCAATTCTCTGCGAAATGTTTATTTTCTTCAAACTTCAACTGCTGGTTTGGCTGTTTGTATGCTTTTTGGATTGTCAACTTCGTTGTATGCAACTACGAGCGTTTTTTTATTGGGATTCACATATGGATATATGATTCTTCACAGGCGTTACCTGGATTTTCAGAAACAAGTGAAAGATAACATAAAACAACATGCGTTTTCTTATGTTAACACTCATCGTCAAAATGTCTATGACATATCGGCATTACAAAAGAAAGCTAGTAAGCTTGTAAGGGAACGAGCCCAAAAACGAGAGGCTATAACTATCTTAAAAGACATCAGTCAAGGGCTTCCAACAAAGAATTAAAACATGTCTCTTTGACGGCTATCCTGCTATGCCATGGCCCAATGTCATTGTGCATAAAATAATGATGCTGAGATTTTCCTTTAATGACCTATATCTCCAAATATCCTGTATTTATATTATTTGCTTTTCATGACTTCGACTCTATTTCCTCTCTTTTTTATGTGTCTCAATCAGATTTTAGTCTACAAGGGTTACCACGATATGCAGGGTAATAAGCATGCTTTATTTAATTAATGACTCAATCACATATTGTAAAGTCCGGATTGCATTTGATGTTTGTTGTACGAGTATTGAAAATATCTCAGCCCAACCAATATGTATTACAGTTTTTCAATTGAATATGTTACGGAAATAAACGTTTGAAATATGAAGATTGTGCGAGGCAAGCTGTTTGTTTTAAACAGTTGCATCCTCAATTTTTGTATTTCCTCTTTCTCTGTTTTTTATTCTTGTTTTGTCGCGTATAGTGAGCATACCTAGGTTTCTTTTATGATTTTATAACAACATATTTAGATATCGTATCCGATTGATTGCCTTAAAATGTAATTAACGTGCCCTTGGGTCAGCTCCACATCCAAACTCGGTTATATGGTAAATATTCTAGTATTTAGCAAAGGTCAGCAAAAGTAATTGTTTGATATGACTAATTCTCATAAACCTCTTTCTTATTCGTAAGACTGAACGTCTTCTTTGGTGGTTTTTAGACCTACATTGCTATTACTGCTACTGTCACACCAGCTCAGGTCATCGACTCGAAAAGTTGCTTTTTTATCTTGTAAACAGTGTCAGAAAGCCATATCGGTAGTAAACGAATTTCAAATTACTCTTCTCTTTAGGGTTTTTGTGGGCCTGGCTCTGATTCCTTGCTGTACTCGGTTTTTATTACTCCTTCCAAATTGTTCATCTTTGTCTTCAGAAGAACAATAAACAAAAATTTAGAGGTTAAACAAATTCACCATGTCCAATTCTTCTACTGCACCGTTTGCTCATTCTGCATTCGCTAGGTCTTTGTATGAGAATTCGACAGTATCTCAAAATGTCAGTAACTCAAGCACTTTGCTGAGTCAAAATGAAAGCTTTTCTGCTCCCTTTCGGACGCGAACTGCTGCCACTTCAAATATCGATGTTAATGCACCTCCGCTGACTTCTTTAAAGGCAACGAGTCCCTTTAAAGCTCTTTCAAATCGGCCAGGACAGACGGAATCGAAAGGTGAAAATAGATTCGATTCCAGCGTTTCAAAGAAGGCTGTAAGAAATCCCTTAACTGAAAAGAATAATATCTCTTCATTTAATCGGTTCGCAAAACCTGAACTCCTTGAGAAGCCCGGAGGCTATTGGAGACATCCAGCTTTGGATACTGTTGAAAAAACTTTACATGATAAAACACCCTCTGACAGAACTTGGCACCGTTTGGTAACAAATCTGTCCGCTTTCATATTGTTTCATATCTTTAAACAGTGGTTCAGTGCGACAAAGATCGTTATGGTCCGTTACATATTGCTTGCTTTGCAGGTAATGTTCCTTTATAACTTTGTTGAAGCACTTTGGCGGTTTATTCGTCCTCGTGAAACATTCAGAGACGTGAATCTGACCCCGGGTCAGAGACAGTTATTGGGCTTACCTGTTAGTCCTGGGGCAAGCACTGCCTTTCAGTATTCATCGCTTTCGGATGACCAGAAAGAAACACCTGCTACACGACGTCGTACATGAATGGCTGCAACGATGTACTAATAATATTTGTAGAGGTAGACTATTATCGTTGGAAAATGAACTGAAAGTGTCACAAATCTTAGTTTTGAGTATTATTTACGCTTTGTTGCTCGTAGCGACAAAGTATATTTTCATGAATTTTGTTACAATGATATATAGTAACTTATGAACCAATTAGTTCCTCTAAATAATGAAGACTACGTTACTATCATTAACACCGCTGCCCATGCTCTAACTCATTGACACATTGGTGGTCGTGAATTCATTATGGACAGGCTGCTTAAACAAAATGAAACATAGGTTTGACAATGCCACCATCCTCAACGGGAAGCTGTGCACTATGTGCGACAAAACCCTCTGTGTCATAAAGTTGAACAGTAAGCAGATGAGGTTGTGCACCAAGTATAACGATACGTTCAATTTTCAAGAACTTAACCATGGTCATGAAATTGTTGCCCGTACCCATATGCTCGGTAATTATACGTAAAACACCGTCAACATACTCAAACTTGAAGAGAGCATAATCGCCATTAACATAAGCAAAACTTACTCCATCGTCCACATACAGAGAGCCTACCGCCTTCTCAGAAGAATTAGCAGGAACAGCAATGGTTAATGTGTAAGGGTCATAACGAGTAAGTTCTGCCGAACGACGGATACGCTCGCGTGTTGCAATTATGTGTCCTCCACGAAGAAATATGGGAACGTGTCCCAACGGTGCTGCCAAGTTGTGCTTTCCCTTTCCTTGAATGATGGAATGGGGTTCATGATAGTCATAATAGCGCTCCTCATCAGCGAGGTAAACACTGGTTTCCTCGATGCCAGGACGAGTAACTGGACGGATAAGAAGACCAGAATCAGACAAGTAAAATTGGTCCTCGATGGAAAATCCATACGAATCATCCGGATGAGCTAAGAATTGAGGAGTAAGGATGGGCAACCCACTTTCGTGGTTGCGGAAGAAAGCCGTATACCATACGGGAAGCAAGCGGTAGCGAATTCGAAGAAGTTCACGAAGCATAGAAGTGTAAGGTTCTCCATACGACCATGGTTCCCGCCGTTTTGTGTCAAGATGGGCATGAGTACGGAAGAAGGGGTAGAAGATACCCATTTCATACCAACGGACGAACAACTCAGCATCCGGGTTACCAAAAAAGCTACCAACATCGGCACCACAAAAAGCCATTCCTGCGATTCCATTCGTTAAAACAGTGGAGAGAGAAGCACGAAGATGCTCCCATGTTCCCATCGTATCACCAATCCAAGTAGCAGCAAGCGAATTTGTGCCAGCATAGAACGAACGAGATAGAATAAAAGGACGTTGGGTGTTCTTGTCGCGAACACGAAGACCATCGTATGTACCCTTTACGACCAAATGACCATAGATGTTATGTATATCGCGGTGCTCAAAGCCCCCAGCATGAATTGTGTCACGTATCATGCTGGTTTCGGGGCCGGTGAAAATAGAGGGTTCGTTCATATCATTCCAAATATGAATGTTTTTTGCAGCATAAGGGAAATGATCGGCATCGTACATTCGGCCCCACCATTCCACAACTGATGCATTCATGAAATCTGGCCAAACTGATTTTCCAGGCCAGCAGTCCGCAACATAGTTGTTTCCATTTGCATCTTTAACACAAAAGTCATTTTCAGTAATATCCTTGTATACAAAATAATTATTATCTTGCTTCAAGTGAGGATCAATCAGCACCACAAGTTTACGACTTGTTTCATTCAGCTTTTCCGCCATTGAATCGGGATGAGGGAAAAAGTTCTCATTCCAGGTGAAGAAACGGCGACCATCCGTGTACTCTATATCAAGCCAAATAACGTCGTAAGGCATATCAACCTCGTCGAATTTCGAATCAACAGATTCCAAGTCCTCTTGAGACATGTAATTCCAACGGCATTGATGATAACCGATAGAAAACAGTGGTGGAAGCTGAGAGCGACTAGTAAGTTTTGTAAACTTATCGTAAATACTCGTTGCTGTTGGTCCCATAAAGATAAAAACGTCCAACTTTCCGGATTCCGAGTACCAATGAGTACGTGTAGAAAGAGTTTCGTTATTTTCATTTCGTTCCTTTTCCACATCAATCCAAGTTTCAGCGGCATTTAACCAAAAGACACCCACATCAGAGCCAATTTTATGGGCCTGCATGAATGGAATGGCACCATACTGACTCATGGGTGAATCATATTCATATTCAAAGATATCAACATTGTAAAGACGGTACGGTTCAGTATACGCACCATCACCACCCTTTGTTTCACGCAAGGAAAGAGTAGACGCATGTTCAGGAACACCGTACACATGCTCATATCCAACAAACTGAATATCGAGGCCCAAACTTTCAGGACCCTTGGGTTTAGAATCGCGGAACCCATTGAAAGTCTCCTCCCATTGACCCTTAAGATCATCTGTGGAATCTGGATGAGTACGCCATTGCTCCATGTTTAACAGCCCACGTTCATTCAGAACAATCTGCAATTCATCATCACGGCTAAATTCAAAGCGAAGTGGAGAAAAGTAAACTGTTAATTTGTTCTTCAGATTTTCACCAAAAGCAATAACCCAAGAATTCTTAAACTTATGCAAGACCTCGAGGTTTTTCGTATCAACTTGAAGTGACTCATTGGAAAGAATGTGCTTTTCGGGACTGAAACGTTGCGTTGAAAGCGCTTCATTAGAATAGTAAGCCTCTCCATTCAGTCGCTTCTGCTCATCCATGGTAATACGGACGGTATTATCTTGCAGAATCGTAATTTGCAAGGGAAACACCGGACGCTCTTCAAGCTCTTGTACAATGGTACCGTCAGTATCTTTTGTCTTCACCAAATCCATTCGAAAGACACCATTATCGTAGGAGAGACTGTGCTGCAGAGGCTCGAACAATCCGTTCCAAGAGTCGGATTGTTCACTTTGAATATCAGCCAATCCGCGGTTTCTTTTAGCAAAAGACGCCTGAGACGAAGTTTTGAAATCATTGTGTCGGACACAAGATCCTATACTAAGTACGAATGACCATAATACGAGTTGAAGAAGCTTTCCGGCCAAAGATGAATGTTTCATTTTTTGACCAAGAAAGCTGCAAAAAAATGGATACGGTTAACAAAATTAAGGCTTTGCACCTATTTTTAAAGAGAATAGTAACACTTTTGCACTTCTCTGTAATTAAGATTTGTTCTATTCTTGGTAGAGGTCTACCAGTAGGGAAGTTAGTGTGCGGCACTAATTACGCTATTAATGCCAGCAAGGTAAAGGAATGGAGAATATAACGGTAAGAGGATAGTCCATACGGATTCATATATGATTTATATAGTACTAATTAATTTGCTTTGTATTTTTTTTTATTTAATGTGTTCATCCACCGATTCGTTTTTGTTTAATATCTTCATCAATGAAACTGTATTGTGACACTTGCTGGTTTTTGTTATACGGTTAATGATTGGAGCGTTGGTTGTTTGAAAAGTATCTGTTACAAGCGGTAATTGTATGAACCGGTGTCTGATCATGTAATGAGAATATGCTCCAACTAAGAGATGTCAGGGACTTTAAATAAGTGTTAACAAATCTGTCTAAAAAAAACTAGTATATATTTTGAACGGTAAGAGGACTGTCATCGTTACTTTAAGAAGTTTATATACATTTACTGTTCAGTCCGCTGCCATTTTGACAGTTGCTCGTCGGCGTCAACTTCATCCGCACTTAAGAAATTGTCGGCAGTGATCCAGTTTCCGTTATCAAGTAAAGAATTACCTCGTTCATTATCATCACCATCTTCAGTTTCGCTCGAGGAATCTGGATGCATGGATTGACAGGTGCATAGGGCATCGTAACAAGCTTCAACATTATTCAAGTAAAGCGTAAGTTCAAGTACATTATCTTCTTCATCTTCTTCGTTTGTGTTTTCGAAGAGCGGTTCTATGCTATCGCCCTCCAGCTGCATGTATATGTATGGTTTCGGTTGACTTTGTTTCGCATGAAGAGTAACAAGATTATATGGAATTCTCCAGCCTTGGGAGAAGGATTCGTCAAAAAGTAATAGGTTTTTTGAGGTTATAATGATAATGATGCCGGTAAACTTTGAAAATACAGTATTGGCAGGCTGCACTACCAAAGTACCTGAATCCTCATGAAACAGAATTTCCGCTTCATCAGGACATGTGGATCCCGTAGGCACCGTGCGCACCAGTTCCTTGGGAACTTCTGTTAAATGTACAATAACCATTTTCGGATGTAAATAATTATAATGTAACTCTTAATACTTTTTGAGAAGACTGAAGTACCCCGTCTTGAGGAAGGATCTGGCAAAACCAAAAAAAATTCAAAATAAAGGGAAATAAATAAATATATATGTGTGAATTTGTCTAGAGATATTACTGAAAAGATTATGTGGTGTTAAAATTTAAAATCTTTTAATTTAAGGCGTTTTCTAAGAAAAAAAAGTTTAGGACTAAACGGTTTGTAAGCAACGAACAGATTCTAGGGCTCTATGAACAGTGGTACAACAAAGAACTTTGCTTTTAAACCCTAATTCATGTTTTTGCACCATCGTTTATGCGTTTAAGATACAAGACGTAGGAGATAACCGAAATAAGAGTTTATTCATGTCCAACTTCTACAAAATTAAAACACTGAACTCAGTAATTCCATTCACTAATTAGTAAAAGCGACAAGATTCGCTTACTGAAACCTTATCAAGTAGCTTTGCACTTGTATAATCAAAGAGTTGAGTGAGTGAAGACAAACTATTTTAGGTCGGCTTTCATTGCAAGAAGCACGCCTCTCTTCTTAATGTTTATTGTGAATATAATAGCATCACTTTTATTACTACTTAATAGACAGTTTTCAGGAGTTTTCAAGAAAGTCACTATGTCCGAGCGGTTAAGGAGTTAGACTTGAACTCGTTCAGGTATCTAATGGGCTATGCCCGCGCAGGTTCAAGTCCTGCTGGTGACGAGATGCTTGAGGGCTTCTGCTCTTTTTCGCTCTTGTATAGAGCAAGTTGTTAAGACTTGAGCGTACATGTGTTTTTACCGATGCCAAAAACCTTTAGTTCGTTTCACACGTATACCCAATCGTTTGCCAGAAAGAGAAGCTAAAATTTGATTAAATAACCTTTAACGAAATATAATACACTGGCTTCGGTAGCCGAGAAGGACAAGGATGCTGCCAATCGCATTCACCTATCGTATTTTCGCATATAATAAAATCGCATTTAAGGTTGCGCAAGCGAAAAACCTTATACACAATCAAGCCAAGAAATGACAAAAGCTCATACATGGGATCAAAATTAATAACAATACATTTCTTTCTGTATCATGATAATTACGTTTTCTTTAAAAACAAAAATAAAGTCATTTTCTACTTTTTATTTCGGCTGTCGGCGCCTTAATTACATTTGACAAATTCAACTCGCACCAATCGCACAGTAATAACAATGTGTGTTTTTCGTACAAAATAATTGAAGTCAAAATTCAAACAAATACAGAGTATAACTAATTGAAGACTTCGTAATAACAGTAGTGTTTTCCTTAAAAGGAGAAAAGCGTCTCTTGTTGTGTTAAAACAAGAGAATGTTTTTTAGTTTTGGAACAAAATATTAGGCGGATTTTCTTTTGGTTTATTCCGGTCTAAAGATACCATTCGTCGGAAGACGAATGTGAAACTGATCGAGTTTTGCAAGAACGGATTTTGTCGCATCTTCCAGACGTTCCCGATTTCCCTTTTGACTTAGAAATCCATTAGCAGATACTGCAATTTCCTTGGGTATTTGACTGTCTCTCCACAATGAAGGAGATCCCAACCCAGCACGATCATCCGATAAGAAGATGTATAACCCAACAAGTCCTTGAAACCAATGGGTTAAGTGTTCATTCCATTTGAAATAATTCGGATCCGGTACGTGGGGATGTTCGCCAAGGGAATCCGATTGTGCCAAAAATTGGATGATATCATCCACTTCATGGTTACCGTCTTGTAAAAGATCAAACACAATCTTTGAGAATTGATGTATTATACTCAAGATTGTATCCAGCTGCAAATTCGGAAACCAGTCATTCAACCAAGTCTGAGAAGGTTTAAATGTTCCATTCACAAGTACTTGCGCATCATTCTCGTATGGATTCTTGCTCGCTCGATCACTAGCCTCAGCTGCCGAAAGCAATTCAGGCGTTTTTCTATACGCCCTTAAAGAAACGACACGCGGATTAATTAAAAAGGCATCTTTTTGAGAGTAAATGGAAGGGAAATTCGCTGAGGAAGAGGGGGAGGAAGTCAGCGGAGATGGGGCAAGGTCTGCGTCCGCAACATCGGAGCCATCACTATCATTGTGAAAGCTTGGTGAAACATCAACTGTCACAGAGTCGGGTTTTGATTTTTCAATTGAAGGAAAGTAAGTATCCTCGGGTGAGTCTAAAACATTGACGCCCTTTTCGAGGTTATTGTTCTGAAAATGTGTGTTCTCGAGGTTTTTAATTGCAAAAAACCTGTCCTGGAGTCGCAAAATAGAGTAAAGCAAATGCGGGTTTGTTTTTGGGTGATTCTCCACTATAGAAGAAATGGCATTTAATAGGTACTCAAGAAAAAGATGGTTTGAAGGATGTCGAAGTAAGAATTTAGGGGAAGAGAACGTGGAAACTAAATGCATGATTTTAACGCAAGTGTTAAAGTTAAGATTTTCCACATAGGGAGCGATGTTGCAAAATGTTAACAAAAGAAGGGGAACAATGTTATGGAACGGAGATCCCTTGATTGCAATGAGATGATAAATAGACTGACAGTTAGAGAATGAAACGATTTTAAAGCCGAACCAAAAACTTACGAGAATTAAAAACTCAGCGTGAGTTATAGACTGAGATACATTCAAGCGCAGAGATGAAAGGAGCATTTGTCCATTCGGGAAAGGTGTATTTAACTTTACGCACAACCTTTTTTCACAAGACATGTTGTGTACAATGAATGCACAAACACGAACTAGTCCAGCGTTGCTTGGGTCATTACGGAATCTCAGTGCGTAATACTGAACAAAAGTAAAAATATCCAAAGAATAAGGCGATGCCATCAAATACGCACAAAGCCGCTATACAACATTAGCATGCCATCCTTTGACACTGATTGTAAAACAAACCTTGTTAATGTTTACCGCCTGCCAAAAAAAGAAAATAGTCTCCGGAAAACAGGATGCGAATTTGTTGATTGGCAACAACAGAGAGGGAGCGAAACGCGAGGGGAAGGTGAAGAGACGTCTTAGCTCAGTCAAGATGAAATTAAAGTCACTTTTTCTGTGAAGCTTTGAAAAGTAGAGCTGGTACTGGTTCACATACAGCTTTGTAGTTGTATCTGGTCTTTCCGAAAAGAAAGATATATCCTCAGGGGACGGCTGGAAGTCGAGCAAAATTAAAAGAAGCTGTTTCGACAATGTAGAGAGAACCACATTGGGATCACTGGGAATCAAAATCCCATTATACGAAGCCTTCCAACCAGTTGGGGTATAACGAAGACCCTGCCGGAGTTAGCAAGCTGAAACACAGTACTGTCCATATGGACAAGGACATTACCACAGTAATTAATGAACACAAAAACACCAAAATCAACTGTTTACTAACAACAGCGACAGTATAAGTAAGAGCATACGCTCTTTGATTCCCAGCTTGGGCTTCATAAGCCAGAATTACCATTAGCAGGCGCAAAACTTCGATTCGGTTATTTAAGAATTCCTTAGGAACCCTTTCCGTAACTTCTGTGACACCAACACCTTCCTCCCTAAAGCAAAGATTAGCTGCTGTCTAGGACTCGAACATCATATACGATCCACTTACCAAACGCGATAGGTAAACTTTTCAGCGCACGATGATGGAAGAGTGAAACCAGCACAAAAAAGCAACTGAAATAGTGAAGAAAGCAACTCCTCCATGAGTGGCTTCTCCACAGAATACGATGACTTTTGGCTCGAATTATCAGAGGGCATGGTTGAGGACATCCCAACATCTCCTTCTCCAGTAGCTGATTGCAAATTCTGCTGCAGAGACAACTGCTCCGTACTCATAACCGAAAGATCCACTTCTCCAGGTTCGGTGTCTACCGAATACTTTTTCCGCATTGTCCACCAAAACCGAAGGTACCATTGTTCCATTTCCGGAACCTCATACACGAATGGAAGGATACGGTTTAAAATTCGTATACAGTTTAAGAGTTCAGATGCAGGTGCATGCTCGTTATCTGGGAAACGAGGATCATTGCGGATTGCAAACAATCTAGATGTGACTACAAGAAGGAGCTTCTCCAAATTTTCCAGAGACTGGTCTCTTAATTTTCGTATTAATTCAGGAGTAAGGATCCTAAAGACTTCCTCAGCACTGTCGGGTACGCTCCATAACTGTCAAACTTTATTAGCATTCAATTCGATGAATACTGAACGAAAAAAAAAGCAAGTAAGATCACTGTCATCGCAAATAAATATAGAACGAAAGTTATGGTTCCGTAGGATGACAACAAATCGTCTCGAACAAGCAATGTTTTATCAAGTAACAGTAACTTACATTAAACCAGATATCGTCCTCTAAAGGAATATCCTTTCACAATGTTAGTAAAGTAGGAACAGAAAAGACCATAACATTGAACTCAGACAGAAAGCTCAGAAAACAGGCACCAAAGCCATATTCCTGAAAAACTGCCATATCACACTACTGCAGTACCTGGAGGGCCCCTAAACGTTCAATTCCTCGCTGTAATGCTAATCTGACCGAGTTAGAGCCAAATCTCTCATAATTTTTGCTATGGAATAAATGGTTGACAACGTACTTGGACTCTTGAGCTCCCATGGATACTGCTATTTACAATTAAACACAGCTAGAAGCGTCTTTTTAAGCTCAATCTGTCAGAATAAATTTAATACCGTAAAAAACTATTAAATCCAGCTTAAAATCAAGAGGTTATATCGTAAAAACGCGTCGGATGAAAAGTAAGAATTGTGTTGTAAGATGGGTGGAGCGTCAGCATGTCGTGGATTAGACGGCACTCCGTTAACGGTTGGTGTGACGTAGCGAAAATGATATGAGGCGGCTGCACATGCAAACCTTAATTACAATTGAACTAGTTAGCAAATGTTAGTTTGAACCCATTTATTTATTTCGTTTTCTATTTGTTGTTTGTAGCTGCTTACGCTAGAGGGTTTCCCGAACATTGTTAACGATCACGTGATCACTTTAAAATACAATTCACAATTAAAGGAAACTCAAAGCAGCCTGACGCCAACGAAGAAGAAAGGCGTGTTTAAATTAGCGTCTTCTGCTTAATAAAGCTGTATCTCCCTCATTGAATCGCTATTTTTGCGCTGATAACGACCCCCCGCATCTGCCCACCCCTTCAGCAAACTCACCACCACGTTTTACGATAACCCTAATCAACTGCTCCTTGTATCCTACCCTCTCCCAAATAGAAGCGGATTGTCAAAATGTTGGTATCCGTGGCCTTAAAGGCGAAACCCGCTGCTTATGTTGCAATTGCTTGTGCGGAAAAGCTGAAAAACAACGATCCCAAGGCTGTGAATGTTGCTTACGAGGATGTTCCCCTTTTGGACAAGTCTAACAAGGAATCTTCGGTCTCTTTCTCTGCTGCTGGCAGCGAGAAGCCTGTTTTTGGAGTGAAAGAACTTGTTCAGCACTTCATGTCTACTTACCCTGAACTCTTTTTGGGAAAGCTTTCTGTCGCTGATGCCGAAGAGTGGTTGAACTTGGCTGCCGAGTTGACAGGCACCCATGATTTCGCTACCGTCTCGAAGTTGCTTGCCAAATTGGACGACCATTTGATTATGCGTACCGTACTCTTGGGCTATTTTGTCAGCATTGCCGACTTTGCCGTTTGGGGTGCTCTCAAGAGCAACAACATGGCTGCTGGCGCCGTTCGTACGGGTTCCTATAACAACGTTGCTCGTTGGTACAAGTTCATGGACGCCCAAAAGCCCACAAAGGGTGGTTTGGCCGACTTTACCAAGGCTGTTAACGCCAGCAAGAAGCAAAAATCCTCTGGACCCAACTATGAGATTGGCCTTCCTGATGCCGTTGACGGTAAGGTCGTCACTCGTTTCCCTCCTGAGCCTAGTGGATACTTGCACATTGGTCACGCTAAGGCCGCTCTTTTGAACCAATACTTCGCTAAGAAGTATCATGGCAAGCTGATCATGCGTTTTGACGACACCAACCCCAGTAAGGAGAAGTCTGAGTATCAAGAGTCTATTGTCGAGGATGTCGCTCTTCTTGGTATCAAGCCTGATGTTCTTACTTACACTTCCGACTACCTCGATACTATTTACCAATACTGTATTGATGTCATTAAGGCTGGTCACGCCTACGCTGACGATACTCCTGTCGACCAAATGCGTCAAGAGCGTACTGATGGTGTTCCCAGCAAGCACAGAGATCGTCCTGTTGAAGAGTCTTTGGCTATCTTTGAAGAGATGAACAAGGGTACTGAGACTGGTTTGAAGAACTGTATCCGTGCTAAAATTAGCGTTGACAGCCCTAACAAGGCCTTACGTGACCCTGTTATTTACCGCTGTAACTTGCTTCCTCACCACCGCACTGGTGACAAGTATAAGGCATACCCCACTTACGATTTTGCTTGCCCCATTGTCGACTCTCTTGAGGGTGTTACGCATGCTTTGCGTACGACCGAATACCGCGATAGAAACGCCCTTTACCAATGGATGTTAAAGACTATGAACCTGCGTAAGGTTCACGTGTGGGAGTTCTCTCGTATGAACTTCGTTCGCACTTTGCTCAGTAAGCGTAAGCTTACTGAGTTGGTCAACGCTGGTGTTGTTTGGGGTTGGGACGATCCTCGTTTCCCTACTGTCCGTGGTGTTCGTAGACGTGGTATGACCATCGAGGCCCTTCAACAATACATTGTTTCCCAAGGTCCCAGTAAGAACATTCTCACTCTGGATTGGACTTCCTTCTGGGCCACCAACAAGAAGGTTATTGACCCCGTTGCTCCTCGTTACGTTGCTGTTGCTTCCGACAAAGTGGTTAAGGCTACCATCGTCAATGGTCCCGCTGCTCCTTACGTCGAAAAGCATCCTAAGCATAAGAAGAATGCAGCCTTGGGCGACAAGGAGATCACTTACTCTAACACAATCTTGTTTGACCAGGCTGATGCTCAGTCTTTCAAGAAGGATGAGGAGATTACTCTTATGGACTGGGGAAACGCTTACGTCCGTGACATTGTCTACGATGCTGACAATAAGACTGTTGTTTCCTTGAAACTCGAACTTCACCTTGAAGGTGATTTCAAAAAGACGGAGAAGAAGGTTACTTGGTTGGCTGATGTTCCTTCTCTTCCCACTGTGGATCTTGTTGACTTCGACTACCTTATTACCAAGGACAAGCTTGATGAAAACGATAACTACAAGGATTTCTTGACTCCTCAAACCGAGTTCCACACTATTACCAAGGGTGCTGCCGACATGAAGGATCTCAAGAAGGGCGACATCGTTCAGATCGAAAGAAAGGGTTACTTCATCGTCGACTCTGCTTTTGATGGCGAGAAGGCTGTCCTTTTCAACATTCCCGACGGAAAGACCGTCAACAGATATGGCGTTAAGCAGTAAGCGTGTCTGCCGATACCAACTTTTTGAAGTCTATGTACTTATATCCGTAGAATAATTACTTAAGAATATAACCAGTTCTTACTGTGATTTGTTAATTACGACTACGACTCGGAGAATTTCACATAATAGCGGCGTTCAGCGTAAATTAACTTCTGAAATGAGAGTAAAGCCATAAGAGCGAAAACTTTTAATCCTACCCAAAACATGCCAACAATGATTTAGAGGAAAACATCCTTAAACTTTTTGAGGAGCATGACTTTTGGATACATTCCGATGGACATTTCGAGGATTTCCGCGCCTCGGACCACGTCCGCGTCCTCTCGTGTTGCTGTTGGTGCTATGTTGATTCGTTCCGTCACTCGGAGTCGACACTTGGCCATCTGGGATTGCAGGACCTTTATTTAAAGCCTTTCCCGGTGACATGGGACCCCTAGTGTTTCTTGACTTTTGGGGCGATTTCTTCCACGTGTTAAGAGACGGAGGAGGAGGAACATGGTTGTACTGTGCTTTAGTAACAAGTTTTGAAGGTGTTGTCGAATGAATATTACTCTCCAACTTCTTCTTTCTCGCCTGACCAGCGCGCGTAGTAATCAGAAGTTGAGGTTGTGTAATATTGAGTACTGTTGATGGATCAAGTTGCATGCCTCTGTAAGGCGAACACTTTCCATCCAAAGTCGTTCCGCTCATAAACGGCAAATCAAAAACGACTTCCAGTTGGTGAGTAGAGATACCCACCACTGTACCGTAAGCAGCAATGGGTACTTTTCCGGAGTCTTGGACATAGACGATACGATCCCCCAAAGCAAATGTCTGCGAATGCAATACGTGTGCCGCCTGAGAAGGCTTTAAGACAGCATAACGAGGGACTCCAAACACCTTCTTCGGTACCTGGAACGTAGCGTCAATGGAATCAGCCTTTGCTTCAATTTGTTGGATAGCTTCTTTTGTGAGGCTGTAGTCACTCAAAGAAACACGAGTGAACTCTGAAACTTTATTTTGTTTCAGCCATTGTTTCATGGCAGCCACTTTACCCTTGTCATCATGAGGGAAATAGTCTTTCGCGGTCAGGGAATCTTTGGAGGGAAGACGATTCAGTGCCTGGAAGAAATCCGGGAAAGCATGCATGTACTCTGCTAAGAGTTTTATTGCAGCTTCACTAAATTCCCAACCGCTTTGAGTCTTTCGCGTATATCCTATAACTTTCAGTTGTCTCGCGTCAAACTTCAGGCTAAGTCCCACATTCTCTTGTCGTTTGTCGACGTTTATAACAAAACGAGAGGTGATTTTGCTTAGAGCGAGTGGATGCAGTCCTAACTTTCTCGCAACGATGTATGAAGGATAATACACTTCTGAATGTTGAAATGCACGAACAATCGCAGTACCCCACGTAGCATCTAATCCAGGGGCAGTTGAGAGCCAAATTGACAACTTATTGTCTTTACATTGAGTGACCTGAGCAGGGCGACCATAATTGTACTCACCCAAATTAAACACTTTTGTCCCAACAGGAAACTCTAGTTCCACAGGAGGGGCTTCACGCTCAGTATATCTTGCGTCCTCAATAGCAATTTTATCGACAAGAATTTGGATAGGAATAACCTCCATACTGTCAGAATCAAACGATTTGATCAAAGCACCATCACGTGTAAACTGCATTCCTTTAAGAGGATGTACAACGAGTACGACATCAACTGGACCCAAAATGACACCATACCGCTTAAAGTACGTACGATTTAGGGTCTCAATTTTTCTGCGCCGAAGACTAATTTCGTCTGAAGTCAGCTCACGAACATTAAGATTTCCATCCTCCATAGTGTAAAGCTGAACAGACGTGGTCAGAGCAACAGACTTCGATTCTCGCAGGTAAGGCCAGTCCATAAAGACCTTCTGATTCAAGTATTTCTTAGCCAGTTCTTCAACTGGCGTAGAATTATAAATATTCTGAACGTGTACAATGACACTAGGATTCCTGCTGTCATTGCCGAAAACGTTAACTCCTTTGGACGCGATTTCTGCAGTGTGCTTCACGGTATGGAATGAAGGGAAACCAGCCAAACCGAAGGTTCCGAGAAAAACGCCAGGGCACAGACCAACACGGTACTCAAGGCCCTGCATTGATGGCAAGGAGTAATTCACCTCAATGCAATGAGACAGCAGGTCGGGGAATATGTTAGGCAATGAAGAAGGAAACACGCGTGTAATGCTGTCGTCTTTAATGAACAAAACAGGAGGATGGAATTCATTGCGGTGAAGCTCGGCGGCTGTTAGCAAATGCTCTCTGCTCTTCAAAGCATCTTGCAGACGCGTCTCTTCGATAAACGGAATTTTGACAACAGCTTCCCAGCTAGCCTTCTTTTCGTTTTGGTCTAGCTCAAAATTTTCAGGGTAAAAATCAATAATAGGAGAGTTGGGGTCCGTCATCAAATCACGATAACAAGGAGGCACTAAAGACTTGCTTCGAGCTGGCAAAACAGCCATCAATTGCTCAAAGGGACGGAACGGCTTACCCATGTCAAAGGTGATGCCAAAGCGAAGACCCCTTCGAACATCCGATATCTTTGGTGAATAATGGTAATCATAGAACCAACCCCACGATTGGCAACCACGATAGTAGTAGAACAATACCCATTGCAAGCCTTCAACATAACGTTTGGCCATTTGCTCGAGTTCCTTTTCATCGTAATAACTGAAACCAACTTTGCTGCGGTAGTAATTATCCTTCCACATCTCGAATCCTTTTTCGAATTTCTCTTCTGAGTCTTTAGTAGTGTTATCGATGATGTTCAGCTTATCAAATTTTTCCAAAACTTCTCCAATCTCGTCTTGCTCTTCATCGTCTTCTTCGGAATCACTGAAATTCAAATTTTTGAATGCTACACGCAGACAGCTTGAACCGTCCGCAAATACAACAGTCGATGCCATGAGACCCAACTTAGAGGCCAGCCTCCGTAGGAATCTAGTATCTTCACTCGACAGTTTGTCAGTGATGTCTAAATATTGTTCTCGTGAATACAGGAACTTTTTCAGTAAACAGTACAGTTCTTTCTGCTTTACAGTTAAGTAGGACGGATCCTTGTTATTGTTCCTCAAGAATTGATTAAAATCAAAAGCAGGTGCTTCTCCATCAGCATTCGAGGAGTAGCATTCCTCTTTAAACACAGCCTTCTCGAACTTTTCCAGTTCGAGTAACACAAGATCCAAGCGGTCCATATTGATTACACCGGCTTCATTAATATAGCCTTCCATAAGCGGGAGTACCGATTTGTACACATTAAACATTAAAGCCAACGCACCTTCATTAATGTGCAGACCAGGGAGATTAGGCAGAAAGTCATTTCCAACAAAGAATGCCAACAAAATAAAATCATCAATGATTCGTTCAAGATCATAAGCGAAGGGAAGGTTGTCGCGGCACTCTTCAAATTCTGCTTCGAGGTATTCACGAAGCAAACTCAAGTGTAAAAGATAGAATTTTTGGTTGGCGAGCTCCTTGGATGCGCTTTTGCGAGCAGGGCCAAAGGTAACTTCCTCGCGGAGCAAACAAAAATGAGGATCATGAGAGAGTAATCCAAGCATAATCAAATCAGCGTCAAGGCCATACAAGCAGTGACGGGTATTCGGGTTGTAATTCGGTTGAGCTTTTTGCGTACGTATGTACTCCATAATCTTGTGTTCACCTTCACCGGGACAGTCATGACCAGACAGAATAATCTGCACACCGCTCCAATCAGAGTCTTCCGACACTTTTTTCTGAATAAAGTAATGCAGCTGTTCTGAGATTCTCTGCATAAAAACAGTACCCGGAGTGATACAGTTGCTATCGAAGGGATCCTCGGCAATTACTTCACCATTTCGCTCAGCCTTTCGACGAGCATCATAGGCGTCCTTAGCGGTACGGAAACGTCGACTCCGTTGTTGATTCATCTTGGCTCTGGGGGCACATCCGTCAACAGCCATATAAAGCAGTTTTTTCGGCTTAATCTTTTGGAACAGATGCTCAATGTAATTGAAGATTGCAATATACATCTGATCTTCAGGAAGTGCGGCTGATGAATGGTCGTCATTTTTGTGTGTGCAATTGTGAAGAATTCCGTTCATGTCCAAGTACAAGTTATCAAATCTTAAAAAATTCAGATGTCAGTGATTCCAATTTACAAGACTTGTGAGCTAAATGAAACGTACTCGGGAATTCGATCATCTTGGACGAGTTGCGAACAAAGAGGGTAACGTTCACTCATCCATCGAAAAAACTATTGTTAGATAAAAGTCACTGGCGAAATTCAATTTACCTTTGGAATTCCCATCGTGTAGATGCTGAACGCCTGCGATTACAGTTTCCTCTTACGGAAATTCAGAATTTTGGGGTTCGTTAAGGTTCGGCGGTTAGGCGGTGAGCGTTCATATCAGTCTAGTCGATAGGGGTGTGGGGGTGTGGGGGGAGGGATAGAGCGAATTTGAAGAATCAAGATGGTGGTGAGAAGGGGACAAACGCAGCCAGGAACGCCGGGCAATGGCTGACTCGTAGAAACAGAGAGTAGCATCTTTTGATCTGTGTTAGTGTTTTGAAACGAATGCGATCTCAAGCAAAATCAGTCCCAGGCAAACGCGACAATTTTAGACGTCGACAAATCGTAGATTTGCGGCAGCATATCTTAACGAGCGAAGATAAGAATCTTAAATTGCAAAGCCATTTGCATTGGCTCAAAACGGAGCGAGCACACTCCAGGATTTTAAGGTTTTTCCGCTCGTAGCCAATGATTTCGGGCCTCAGAAAGCTTAATTTTAAAACCTCCGAGATAATATATAACCTTGAAATAATAAATTTACCAAAAGAAAAGTAAACAAAAGGTTATTAAATACCACAAATTAAAAAAGTTTAACACCGGGAAAACGAGAGATTTTCTTAAAAGGAGTTGATCCGTTGAAGGAACGAAATGGCGAGCGGTGAGGAAGACGTTCGCTACAGGGACAATATGCAAGCGAGCGATTTTCTCCAAAAGTAGCTTAATGATGACGGATAAGACGAAAGAATTCCTCACGCGTCTTATGGCTCTGTTGAAAGATGCCAGTCAAGCTACTGGTGACAGTGCTGCTTCCGGGTTTTTCGACACCACGCATGACCATGCACATGTGCGTAGCCTCCATAACTACAGCAACACCTTGGGGATTAAGGACCTTTTGAATAGATTGGGCAACTTGCTTCGTTAAACGCTCCTGCACTTGGAGACGACGAGCAAACATGTTTGCAATCCGAGCCAACTTGGAGAGACCCAGAACCCTTTTACGAGGAATGTAGCCAATGTGAATTTTGCCAATGAATGGAACAAGATGATGCTCACAAAGGCTGAAAACCTCGATGTCACGTACAATGACCATTTCATCGTGGTTCTCCTCAAAGACGGCGTTGTTGATCACTTCACGCAGGTTCTCTTCATAGCCCTTGGTGAAGTAAAGCATGGCCTTGGCATAACGTTCAGGAGTTCCCAAAAGGCCTTGACGTGTTGGGTCTTCACCCAAACATTTTAAGATGGTAGAGACGGCATTTGAAATCGTCTTCACTTTTTCCTCTTCACTCGTCTCCATGCGCTCTTGCGTTCCAGGGCAAGGCCATGAAAGACCCTCCAAGTCAATGCCAGGAGAAGAGGATCCTGAAGGTGACACGGCTTGCATGTTCAGAGGCGAGTCAATGTAGTCGCGGCGTTCCATGTTTAACAAAAACTAACACGAATTGTTTTTTAGAAAAATTTTTTTTTTCTTCACCAAATGGACAACGCTGTTGCGACACAAGAATTCGAACAATGTTCGAGACGACACCTGTCAATTCACGCTGAAGCCAAAGTAAAACGACGACGGATTAGCCGAAACTACTTAAAGACGTGCACAGATGTGGCTGCAATATGGTGGAGGTTGGATATCCTTGAACGGATGTACGTAGGACTGCGATGCGCTGCTGAAAATACGTGATAACAGATGGTGAACAGTGAGTAGGAGGAGAACAAGAGGGAATTTTGAGGATAAGCCTAAGTGTCGCCGCGTTTAACGAAATTGACGATATTTTGTGTTTTATGCCGGGATTAATAGTTGATTTGAAAGAAAAACAGGAGGCATTTGAATAGAGTTCAGTATTTGACAGTGACCATTTTTAATAGCGTTTTTAAGTTCAAAATGGGTGTCACAAAATCCATTACTTGTAGCATAAAAAAAGTATTTTGAACATCTAAATCGTTGTATGAGTCGTTAAATTTGGTTAGTTTGACGAAAAGTATCCCAGGCACGATTAAGGATACTAAACACCGATTCCGCAAGGAACTGGTTGCGAGGAGATGTGTCTTTTGCGAGCTATGTACATTAGTAACGGAGTGAGAGCGTAGAGACTTCATGTTGTCAAGCCAACTTACCTTGTCGGGATGGACTTTGCTAATTGCTTTCATGTAAGCAATCTTCACCTTCTTCGGAAGCACCAACTCCGACAACTGAACTGTTTTCCAAGAGCATTCTGGCCATAGAATTGTGTGGAGAGATGCCAAGAGTGCGCGTATGTTGTCCTCTTTTCCTGCTTTCCATTGATCAACTGTAGACAAAACCTCGTCTCTGATTTTGTCACGTTCCTGATCCTGTCTCTCCGCAGCCGCAAAGTGTTCCTGCGTGTGTTTAAAGGCCTCTGATTCTGTAACCGGAACGGTTGTTGCTGAAGGAGGTCGTGTCCGTGCTGGGGTAGACGCTGTTGAAACAGAAGAGCGTGTCGGTGCAGTAGCGTTTGCTCGAGGATTGAGAGCACGTTCACATCGGGTCTTGCCTTCGAGCACAACTTTAGAAGTCTTTCCACGAGAAAATAGGTGTTTCCACGTCGCAAGTGCTTCCGTATATTGTTCTAGCATCTCGTAAGCCTGTGCCTTTCGGATGGAGTTTTTGACAAATAGATCACTTGCATCCTTGTTCTGTAACAGCTGACCTTCTCCTTCACCCGCTCCGATAATGGATGTGGCTTCTTGGGAGTCCTGTAGGCAGCGGCGAGCATCACCTATTTTCAGGTAACCAAGAGCACGATTTCCGAGAAGTAAAACACGCTGCGCATGCTGAGGAGGAAGTAATTGAAGAGCATTTGTAAAGAGCACAATGGCTTGGTCAAAATTTCCCTGCCGGAATAGCTCGTTTCCTTCTTGTTGCATTTGAGTTACTGTTTCGGGAACTGCCTCCGTACGAGCGACCTTTTCGGGCACGGTTTCGACTGGAGTTTTTGGAGTTTTTACACTAGATAGCAATGACGGAGAAGAGGATGTTTGTTGTGTGAATGAATCAAACAATGATGGGGTTGCAGCTTCAACAACTTTTGCAGACGGTGTCTTTGTTCGTCGCGGAGAGACAGGCCGAGTAGGTGTGGACGGCCTGTAACGTTCGGCTTGTTCCATCCAACGCGGTTGAGATGACGATTGCCTGTGCGAGTTTTCAACTGCTTCACGAAACTTTTGTCGACCAATGTTCCAAAGATCGGTAGCCTTTGCAAGGAGATTACGACCTAACTCGGAGGCGCTGCTTTGAAAGTCATTTTTAGGGAAGGTAAACGATTGAGTTGAGGTTTGTTTTTGAGGAGGTGTGTGCGTGTTTGCTGCGCGCTCACTAAGAATGTAATCAATTGCTTCTTCGACGGAGTCAGCATGTTTACAAGCACGCTCCGCTTGTGCTTTCTCAAAACCCATGTGCTGCAAGTGTCGTACAATGGAAGGAGAGACAGGCGCCGAAGCCGGAGGGGCATGAGTTGCAGCAGGAGTAGAACTGGGCGTCTGTTCAGCTGGAGGAGGAACGGAATGGGAAATGGAGTCGTCCAAAGGAGAAGCGCTATGCAGCATTTGTTGTCCAATACTATTAGCCATCATCACGTGGGACAAATCGGTTTGTTTGAACGGAACGGGAACTTGGATGGACGCAGCAGCATTGTCCTGCGGTTCAATTATTTGAGAAGACTGGGCCTTGCTGGCGGAATCATTGCTGGTGTGAACAGACAATTGTTCCAAGGCTGACAAGTCCAAAAGTAAATCCTGGGGCTGAGAAGCGGGTTTTGGAGAGGCAGAAGCAGCATTCATCTGCTGTTCAAGAGCGGCAAGAGGCTGCTTCTTGACCCGCTTCTCGAACAACGTTGCGAACGGATCTGCAGAAGCTTGTGGTGTCCGTGTCGTGCTGGATGGAATTGCAGAAGACGACCGAGACGTAACAACTGACGGTTGCGTCAATGCAGGCTGCAAAGGCGTTGAAGGTTTTTTAGACGCATCAAAATCGAGATCCAGCAAGTCATCCATGGCTCAGTGTGAAATTTGAGAGGTTTGTGTGCTCTGGGTGCAATCCACTTTCAGAGTCTGCGTCATGCGCTGGTATGGACGAGTGCTGACAACGAAGGAATGCAACTTTATCCAAAAACACAGTTCGGAGCACGGAAAGAGCTGTGTAGAGGTACTGTGCGGAAGATGAGGCAGTCAGGGGAAAAGCATGTTACCGTTTACGACGGGATTTCTGTACTAAACGGTAATTGCGATATTTTCTTCGAAAGCCAAGTCTTGACGTTTGGAATGCCCTGTATCTCTGCTTTTCGAGCTAAGAATAACATTTTTTGAAGTTCTCGCACAACAATCGGTTCTTGGAGAGGACGTATGGTTCGTAGCAGATTGCTCGCAATGCGAAAGTCTCTTGTAGTGATGGGAAGCATGAATTGCTCATCTAATTGCTTAAAGTCTTCGTAAAACGGTCCGATCGGTTGTAAAGTTTTAGTGGTGCACATGTTTTCATTACGAGTTACGCTTGATCCGTATTTGTAGCACATGTAGATGGAAACACCATATGGATCCCAGTCGAAGAGCCCGTACGCCCGCCGTACACCCGTTTCTTGTACAAAGAGTGAAATGAACTGGCGCGTACTCAAGTCCGGAAAACCTTTGGCTGTAACGAAAACCACATTAGGAAGCGGAAAGGCGTCGATAAGTGTGTGGAAAGTGGCTTCTTTCTCCACGATTACCAGTGTGTCCGCTGATGTTCGGATAGACTGGATATCGAGGGAGTATTGAATGATCCATGGCTATGAATGAGCAAGGGTTTTCAAAAGAGAGAGAGAGAAAGAGAGAGAGAGAAATTGTCCAATGCCATGTTTTTATGTTGGCCATAACATACGTACCTTGCTCATGCATGAAATAGTGTCTAGTTTAGTATGAATTGTTACTGGACCGTACACGAGCCCTTTTCCAGCTGCTGTGACATGCAATTCGCTCCGCGAGCAGCAGAATGTCCTTGTTAGCTCCCGGACGAGCGCGTCTACCGTGCTTTGTCGCTCGAACAAGCCGACATCGTGGTAATAAATATCTCTACACAAAGCGTGTTAGCTGCAAAGAAATCCAGGACAAAGGAGAAGAGCTGGCATGCCTCAATTGCAGCACAGTGTTGTTGTTGATCGCTTGGTGCAGCAAATCCACGAGGCGAAACATTTGAGCGCATCTTTTCGCGTGTTTCGGGAACGAAAGGCGATTTACACTACTCATCCGCTCATTCTCACTCACTGCACGAAGAAATTCAATGCAGAATTCCTCCAATCGAGCCTGCATCCAATTCTGTACCTGTTTCGGTGTTGGGAGAGGACAGGAACGGAGCGGTCTTTGCAGCAATTTATGCTTTTTCGACGCGTCCTCCGCACTGACGTCACGCGTTTTAATTAAGGTTGGCATGTGTCGGAGAATGCGAAATATGGGCCAATCAGTGTGGATTATTATTGAACGTGCAAAACTTTGTTTAAGAGCCGAAAAAGTAAACAACTAGACTGGCAGACGGCTAGGCTGCTGTAGGCTGCTGGAGGGTTCTACTGAACCTTTCCGATGCCACGGCAGATGGGACAGGTGTCTGTAAAGAGAAAATAGTCGACATACCCGCGTCCCTTGCAGTTTCCACAGACTTTTCCGGGAATTCGCGGGTCACCAGGCTGGACAACCAGTGCGCCCGGAGGCGGGCGACCGTTGACGACGGGCAATGACCGGGCAAACATGCGCGCGCACATTCCACACGGATGGCCGTTCGATTTCACGCCCGTGTTGTGGCATTTGTAGCACACATAGCCCGGTGGATACGCAAACGGTGCTCCCCGGGTTCCCGCGGACTGGCCCGGAATTGCCGAGGGGTACACCCCGACGTAGCTCGGCTGTCCCGCGTTATACCCGGCGGGGTAGGTGGGGGTGTATACTCCGTACGCCGCGGACTGTGCACCGTAGCCGGGGTATGCGGCTCCTCCGGCCTGGTAGGGCTGAGGAGGAGTGTACGGCGACGCCGGAGAGTAACCAGGTGCCGCTGTAGGACGATGAGGGAGACGTGGAGGGACGTCTGAGGTGGGTGAGCTGGCGGCTGTCGCTCCACCTCCTGATGGTTGCGCCGGCCGCTGGTTTTTACGGTTGTTCAGCTCAGCGAGCTCGGCTGCCACCACCTCGTCGTAACTTGGTGGTGCCTCCTCCGTCGGTGGACTTTTTACCATAGCAATGAAGTCGATTTTAAAGCACTCGCGTTCTCTGGAGCCAGATGAAGCAGAAGACGACGCAGGTGGTGTGAAAGGTTCGGGAGTAGCAGGCGCGGGAGGCGAAACAAAACGTCAAGCTCAACGAAGCCTAAAGTGGGATGAGGAAAATTTGAAGCTCACGGAAGCCCAAAAATGCGCCAAAATGAAGATCACAGAGCCCAAGACGCCGTTCCAACGCACCCTGCTCCCTGACGATGACGTCCCCGAATTCAGCCTGGACGACTCGGACAACGGAATGTCCGTGGACGAGCCGGAGGCTCCCGCGGAAACGGCCGACGAACCGAGCAGGTTGTCGGCCGCGGAGCCGGACAGCGTCGATCATGACGCAAGTGCCGCTCGCGTGCGCATGGCCCCTGAAAATGCCGATTCCCCCGCAAAGGATGATGCGGATGCTGCGAAAAAGCAGCGTTTTGAGCAGATGCGTAAAATGCACTACATGGGCATGGCCAAGGCCCCGCCCAGCAGTGACGAGGAGGAGAGCGAAGATGACGACGAATAGTATAAATCAGCAGCTACGACTAATGAACAAAGCTACGAAGGAGGGAGGGGAAGAGGTGGGTGGGTGGAGTGGGTGGACGAAGGGAGGGAGAAGGGGGAGAAGGGTAAGAGGTGTGATGATAATTTGCAGTGTGGTTTGTTACTTCGTGTGTGTGCTGACGAGCCTGACAATTGCAATTCGGTGCGAGCGAGAGTCGGACGGTTGGATTTGGGTGTATGCAATTCGGCCGAAATAAGTGTGATCTGTTTTGGGCGTCTCATCAGCGAAGGAAGGACGTGCTATCACAGAACTACGATTGATACCAAGGGGAATAGTAAGGATCCTTTTTATTAAATTGGTCACTGAACTTGGATGAGTATTTTACGATTCATTTACTTTCGTAATTGGTCACTGTCAGGCACGGCAGCAGCAAAGGGTGTGTAATGGAACGAACGTGAGGGTACTAACTTTCACAACACCAAATCCTCTCCATGGAAGGAGTGTTCATCTCCTGTTTATGGTGCTATACACTCAATTGCAGCCTCGTCTGAGCATGTTCCTTCCGATCACAGAGTATCTTGGTTGTCCAGCAATATTAACGCTGCTTCAGACAACACTGCCAACTAGCCCCAGCGTTAGTCGTAGTGTACGGGCGACATGAAAAAGCTCCTGATACATAGTCCTAGGGTTTATTCCGCGACTAAGAACGCACAAACAGCACTAAAGGAGAAACTCTTGATAGGGCCTTCTATGGTAGTCGCTGTTTGGCGAGCTGAAATGAGATGAAACTGCTAAAAGAACAGAGTGCCTTTAGAACAGGAGTCGAGACAGGGTCCTTGATCGGCTGAGTCTTGGCAGTTGCATCGGCTCGACAATTCATGTAGACAGTTGCAACCGTCCGACGCAGAAACTACTATTGGAGTGCACTAGAACATATCCGAACCGACCATATTCAAGTCGTGACAGAGAGACCCTCGGACGAAGACGAAGATGAAGACGAAGATGAAGACGAGTTCTCAGACGAACACTATTGACTGCTACACGATCACATACCAAACATTGTATTTATTAGCACAAAAAGGTCTACTGAATAGCCAATTCTGATACTCACATCTTTCTTTCCTTCCTCCCATATCATCGCAACCGTTCGCTTAGATAAACTCAATTCGTTTTGCGACGGAAAAAAAGAGAGCAAAAAACAGAAAACAGAAAACAGAAAGTAGGAAAGCAGAATACTGCTCCCAAATGAACAAACCCGTACAATTCACTCAACCAATTCCACTCCCTCCTTCTCCCCTCCTCTCCCCCCCTCTCCCCCCCTCTCTCCCTCTCGTTTTATACATTTTATTTTCATGACAGCCGCTCATGCAAGATAAGTATATATCCATCGGTCATACACATGCTGCCGATACATGCCATAGTTGCGCCGGCTCATTATACACTTTGTTTTCCTCTGCGCTTAAAGAATGTCTTGACAATAAACACCTGCAATGCCGAAATACCAATGACCATCAGAGACTCTCCCAAAGCAAAGTACAGGATTCGAGACTCGGTAGACTTGACGGTGGAGAAGTTGCGGTTCTCACGAGTGCGGAAATACGTTTGGTAGCGACTAATCTCCATCAAGTCCGACGACAGCTCCATAACAAGAGCCTCTCTGCTGCCACTCTCGTGCTGGTGCTTCTCTTCCTGGCCGTGGGGCTTGATGGAAAGCTCGTTCTCCAGCGTAATCTCAAGAGTGATGATCTTGTCCGTAAAGGCCGAGATATGGTTGTCGAAGCAGAACTGGTACTCACCACGTTCCTCCAGCGTAAAATAGACATCGGCCTGTTGCTTGCGTTTTCCCTGGACGATCGTCTTTCCAGCAGGCGACTGGATCTCGTAATTCACGTCGAAAGCACCGCCAGACTGCACGGCATATGTGAAGTGGCATTTCTCGCCCAGATGGATTGCATCGACGCTGAAACACTGAGTGTCTTGGTTTTCAAGCTTGAACGTGAGCTCCGAAGCCCGGACGAGCGCAAAGAGAGCACTCAACAGCGTAAAAAGGACTAACATGGCACAAGTCGTCGAGGTTGGCTAAGGGAGACTTCACCCAGCTCAGACCCAGTTGCGGAGGTGCAGCGCAGCTCACAGCGTAGCTCGTGGACCCTGTGTAAACCTAATCTAATCTGATCAACCGGCCGGTAACAGTGCCTTCTCACCACATAGCTTAGATTTGAGATAACTCATAAAACACTACACCAGAGAATAACCTAATGTAACCTAATATAACCTAAACAGGAATCCGTCGAGCCAGCGTTCGTCACAAAATTCGGCGCAAAAACGCACAGCAATTGCACAGCTGCCGGTGCGATAGCCAATGGACCTCTCCCACACGCATCTCGCACCCAGCGCTCGAGTTCTCCTCGCTCCCCCACTCATGCGCAGTCTCTCGCCCCCACTCGACTATCCCACTTTTCTCCCCCACACTTCTATTCCTCCGCCAAATTGAGCCCAGTCATCCTTCCAGGCACCACCGAACTCCTTCCTCTACGACCCAATTCCAGCTTCTCTAACACCGAGCAATTGGCCTCTTGAAGTTTGTGCGAAGCTCGCGTCTTCGTCTTTTTCCTATCTATTGTGGAATTTTCTCAATAAATCACACAAACAAGTAGCGGTCGTAGCAAACTCAGCTCGATGAATGTCCCAGACGAGACAGCCCATTTGGACGGACCCAAGGGATCGTCTTCATCAACGTCGTCGTCGTCATTGTCGACGTCTCAAAAAACGACAGTTTTGGATTGGAAGCAAAAATCAGACACTTCGCTCTTTGTTGGAAAAAAACGTAATGACTTGATGAATGGAGGTAGCGGTGAAGCTCCACGAAACGGAAATGGAAACGGAAACACAAACACAGCAAGCAGCGGCATGGATGGGACAGTGAATGGAGATGGAAGCGCACGAAACAGACACACGGCAGCTTCTGGCGGAAGCAACAGCAGCAACGGCAGCTCATACAGATACAACGGCATGAACGACGCTGCTCTCGGTGTTGTCGAGGTTGTTCCGGGAGCGAGAGCCATGTATCACGTACAGATGAACTCTTTTGCGCCTCGAAATACTAATGCGGGTCTTCTGCCCAACCACGTCGGTGTTCAAGCAGCTGCTGGTCTGCTTCCTCCCGGTTCTGGCTACGGTGGGCCTGTGTTTGTGTCGGACGGCACGAATCTCGGTGCTCCAGGACCCATGGGCCCAAACTATGGCCCGACAAATGTTGGCAGAGGCCACCGTGGACGCCCCCGACACGCCTCGCCCTCTCCGTCTCCCTCCGGCATGAACCGGGGTCGCCCGAAACGTGGAGGCCGGATCATCGATGTCCATGTCAAACTGGCCGGCTCTTCTTCGTCACGAACGGTCCCCTTCCAACCGTCCCGGCAAACCCCTATTTTCCAGTACAGCTCACACTTTCTTTCTAACAAACCGGTGCGTGTTCGGCTACCCGGTTCCAAACCCGTTTTTGTTTCTCCTCGCGGCGTCACCAGCAATCATGGTTTCAACATGTCCTCGCCCGCACCTTCGTCCGACAACCATGGTGGGCCCGGTGCAGCGGTCGTAAACACTGCCCCGCCAGCCGAGTTTTTCGTAAACATGAATTCGTTGGCGTCTTCACATGCAGCAGCTGTCGCTGCTTCGGAACCTAACAAGAACAAAATGTATCCCTCCGTGGATTCGTCCGTATCCACCGTCATGAGTTCGGGATCGGCATCGACAGAAGAAGCAATGGGTGGCGACGCTGCAGCAATCCCCACCATGATGCCTGCAGCCGCCGTTTCTGCTGGTCCTTATGTTTCCAACCCGGCGGGTGCTGCAACAACATCGGTTGCAGCGGCTGCGGCTGGAGCAACGTCCTCTCCTTATTATCCTGCCTCTTTCCAGACATATCCGCAGTACTCCTACGTACCACCTCCTCCCCAGTACTGGCAGTTCGCAGCTGCTTCGCCATACCATCCATACGTCTACATGTCTCCGTACAACTACGCTCCACCCATGGCGTATAGAGATGCATCAGCAGCAGCGGCTGCTGCCACTCCGTATGCTTCTGAAAACTCATCAGCCCCCATGCCCCCTGCGATGGTAGGTGCACCGGGAATGCTTTATTACTACGACTCGTCTCAGTACTATTATCCCTACATGCCAGCGGCCGGCGATGCCGAGCCTCAACATTAGTGATGACAGTACGACGCTTTTTATAGACTAAAATGTATGTTTCACGTTGGTGTAGATTTGTTTGTATGCGTAACACAAAAGAATTGTCCATCTATGGATAAGCGGATAGGGGGTATATGTGTAGATGCTATTTAGCTGGGCGAGAACAGTGCGAACTGTCTCTAGGCTCGGGGCACACTAATCCATCTTGTGAGCGTTTTGAGGAGTGGCAGGCTTGGATTCTTGCTTGTTCTCAGTTGCTTGAGTGGTCGAGTTGTTTCCCCAGAGAGAGCGAATACGACTGAACGTGGTCTTAGTGGAGGTTTCCAGTTTGTTGGTAAACGTGTGAATGGCATTCACGGTCTCATCTCTAAACTCGGGACTTTGTACCTAATAGAAAGTTAGCAAGGGGAAAAGGAAATTGTTCTTCGTTTGTGAAAACTCACCTTTTGCAAACCGGGCTGAATGTAGTTGTCTTTGACAGACTTTGCCTGTGTTGCGACGGAGGAGGAGAATACAGACCAACCCTTGTTAAGAGCAGCCAATGGGTCCGACTTCCAGGTGTCCAAAAATCCTTGACCTTCGTTGGAAGCAGCGGGTGCCGTGTTGCCGAAGCCAGTGAACTTTCCGCCTTGAGAAGGAGGAAGATGATCGGGTCGGTTGGCATTGATGGATCCCAAATGAGCAAAGTATCGTTCGGTTTCCTCCTTAGAAAGAAAGGTTGTTTCATTAGAATCCGAGGAGGAAGTTGCCGAGGTATTCATGCTTGATTGCTTCGCAGCGCGGGCACGACGACTTTCTTCCTTGGACCATTCCTTACCATCTACAAGTGCAGCCAGCTTCTCGCGGTAGTCTTCTGCAGCCTCCGTGTTGTACTATCGTTCAGGTTAGCAGGACAAATCGTGCAACTCAAAAAGAGTAATGAGTGGTAACAAAGACATGTTGTCGTAATGTCTACCTCTCTGTTTTCCCTCAGCAAACCTTTTCCTTAATCGACTTGGCGTTTACAAACTCGGGATAGTCGTTCAAAAACTTACGAGCAGCATCATTTCCTCCCAGCTAGAAAAACAGTTAGCTAAGGTCGTGGAGGAAATCCCGTTGGATTCATTGAATCCAACGGAAACCGATTATTAAATATTCAAAAATCCTGCTGAAAGATCTCCCTTCAAAATTGGTCCTTCAATAAATGACGATACTTACCTCGACGCATTTGATCTGACGCTCCGTCCAATTATCCATGGTAACGCTACGAACAAAACTCTTTTCAACACCCAAACCACGGTGTTGACCACTGCAATCAAGGCAAATAAAGATACCCAAATTTGCTGAAGCCCATTGCGGATTAGGAGTACCACAATCGAAACATTTCTTATTTCCAGACTGTTGAATAATACTGTCAAGAGCTTTCGAAGAAGACATATCGTCAATTAGGACAAAAACCAGGGCTGTAAAGCACGATTTAGTACCGTAAACTGGTGGTAGTGGGTCGGCGAAATATGGTTCTGTAGTACCACAAAAACAGAAAATTTGGTACGGAAGCGTCGTCTAAAGGCTAAACGGGGTACGGATGGGAATTGTAACTGAGTTATCAAACACAATTGCAATCAAGATCAATGTAAGTATTGTTTTATTTTATTAAAATGGCAAAGGTCGTTATTGTGAAAAACAGTTACTTGATGAAATAACAAGTATAAGAAGAATTTGGTTTCTAATTGATTCTTCCAGTCGCTGAGCAGAAATTATTATTCAACGGTTTATTTAATTTATCTTGATAAATTATGTACGTTATGATAACAGTCAGTTTAATTCTAACTGACACACTAGAAGGCAATTGTGGAAACACGCATCACAATAGAGAATTGAACATAGAATGGAGAGCATCACAAACATTCATATATGCTAGTGGTAATGGTGATGATAACAATATTAGTATTAATTTAAAAAATAAAAAAGAAAAAAATAAAAAGAAAAATAAAAAAAAGAAAAAAAAAAGATAAAATACTATTACTATTACTAATACTAATAAGATAAAACAAGTTTAAAACGGCTCAACTTTCTTAACCCACATTCCATTCTTACATTCTCCATTCTTTCATTCTCCACTCTTACTCAATTTAATGCGTTGATGTGTTTTATGACTCACCACCAAAACCTCACCGCCAAAAACTCTCCTCCAGCTCCTCATTCATGTAACAGGAAGGTTGTCGTTACGTTTTGGTTCATCTTGGGTATTGTGGAATTTATAAGGTAACGGAATTGCTTCTGGTGCTGTTTTTGTCTTTGTAGCGTTATTATTGCTGCAAAATGTCGACATCTCAAACCATTTTTTCCATCATTCGTGACAGTTTTCGTCAATTGAGTGCAGCGTCACTGCCCCTACTGTCGGAAACGGCACGGCCGGCTCCAGCAGCGATGAACGCTGCTGTTGAGCATGCTTTACGCGATTTGGAAAAGGCCCTTGGAGAAGATACGAACACACAGGTGAGTCCTGGTTTGTGTGATTACATGTTCTTTCCTATTACTCCTATTCTCAAATCATGGAACCGCGTCCCTAGTCGCGCGTTGGCAAACTCACTTGAGTGTGTTCAGATTATCTACGATCATGGCTGGAAATTTCATGGAAAGCCAGAACTCTACCAACAGTTATCCATGTTGCTCGTCAACATCTGTGATGGCTGTGTGTCACCAAAAGAAAAAATTCCACAGGACTCCACTGTTCGAATTGTTGCGTTGCGGTTGCTGCATTCGTTATTGCGATTTGAAGTGAACTTGTCGGAGAAACGGGACCATTTGATGTTTGCGCGTTGTTTGTCCTTTTTGCTTGATCTGTTGACCAACGATTCTTTGGATAACGATACCACGGGCGCTGTATTAAAGTGCCTTCAACAGCTTCTCTTTCACTGCCTGCACAAAACGACCGACATTTCATACTTTTTACCAGGCATTATTTCATCCCTCACCCGTGCGCTCTCCACAAAAGGATCCTGCGTCGCTTTCCATCACAACCTTATTTCCGCCATACATTTGTTTACCGACGTTGTCATCTCCTGCTTAAGTGATGATATTCAATATCAGGACGAGCCAGAAGACGATGCGCAATCGAAACCAGAGGTTTCTTCCAGTATACGGTTACAGCCGCGGACGAAAGAATGGCGGAAACTCAGCGCTGACCAAGTGTCTTCGGCAATACAACTTGTTTTGTGCCATCGTACATCCCGCAATCTTTCTGTTCAAGAAACGGTGTTTGAGACCTGCTATCAGCTTTTTTCTCGTTGCTCCGCGTCGTTGCCAGTGTGCAGAACGGACTTGCTGGAAACATTGCTTATCCTCCAAAGTACCTCTACTTGCACGCGCATTCAAATGAATGGTTTTGATCAACTGTTGAATCTAAAGGATGTAGTCGATGCAAGCGCTCTCGAAAGTACGCTTATGGATTGCATTGATAAATGGTCGCTCTCATGGACAAATGTAAAACTACTCACAGATCCAGACGTAAAGGTGGATCATGTTGCGCGCTTACTTTCGCTGGCGAAACTTGCTGTTCATTTCTACGGTTCTGCGCAATCCATTGGCGATGTTTTAGAAGGCGTACTGTCTGAACTCATTCCAAGAAAACGAACAATTGCAGCTAGAGATGTTTCCTTCCTTACAAGCGATGCAAACGACCATCAAGTTTCCTTTGCGTCCACCACCCATTTTGAAAATAGTCGGTTGGAAAGTTTACTGCGACAGATTGTAAACGTGTATACTGATCATACAGACGGTCAACTTCTTTTGAAAAATGCCAGTTTTGTTCAGGCACCACTATCGCTTGACATTCGCTCTTTACAATCTTTTTGGCTATGCGTTTCCGTAATGGAACGCACGAACGAGCAACATTTACGTGGTCGCTATGCTGACTCTTTTTTCGATACTGCGTCATGCACACTCAGAATGGTGAGGAGCACGGAGGGAGAAACCGAGGAACGAAGTGTTCTTACGGTACTTGGTCTCACACTTTCTTTGGAGTATGTCAGTTGGTATGCTTTACAAAAGCGGACGGATTTCCGCCCTCAACTAATGCAACTTTTGTACCCCCTCCTCTCCCTGCTAGCCAATGGAAACAACGACATTAAGGCATCGGCAGAGGCTTGCGTTCAGACAGTAGCGATTGCCTGCGACTACAGCTCACCAGGTGAAATGCTTCAAGAGAATATTGATTACGTGGTAAATTCTGTCGCCATGAAACTCAACATGCTTGACATTCCGCCAGAGCTACCGTTTGTTCTCCGCTACATTATCCAAGAAGATAATGGCCAGTGCATCCCCTTCCTGGGCGACATCATTGACTCCATTTTCGATATCCTTGACTCCTACCATGGTTATACACAGTTGACGGCCGTACTTCTCGGTGTCCTCTTTTCCGTCATCCAACAAGCCAGCAGGCCATTCCAAAGCAATCAAAACGAAGATCGTCTGTTGGCATACGCAGCGGACTCCAAACGCGCTCATACAGGCACACAGCCGTGTTCAGAGCTGTCGGATCTGGTCGAGCTTTTACATAAAAACCCTTCCTACCCCATCCCAAAACTTGACGATGCTGTTTCAGAGGAGGACATCCGTTCGGCCTCTGAGACGCTTCACGAACAGGAGCCGTCCATTCCGTCTGAAGAACCTTCCGACACATCGTCGACTGCTCCTGCGCCTGCTGATGAAGTCGACAAAGGTGAAAACAAAAACGGAACAGTTGCTATGGTACAACGAATCGTGGAAAAAGCACAACTGTTTTTGTCACATCAGTTCGCGCCGATTCGTCTGGAGATGCTCAAACTCGTCTGCTCAAGTATTCCGATACTGGAGCAGGAAAAAAACACATACTATCCCACCATCAACACCTTTTGGCCCTTGTTATTGCTACGTTTAGATGATGAAGACCCTGTAGTGGTGCTGCACGCCTTGTACGCTATCCAAACGGTATGCTTTAGTGCATCCGACTTTATGACTTCTCGCATAGAAAAAGACCTCCTACCGAAACTGTGCAACCTCACACGCCAACACTCCCTTCTCCGTCCACAAGCTGCATTCGGCGTCCCGCACAAGCTGCAGCTGGCTATCACTTCCCTGGCTGCATCGTGTGTGGCAAACCGTCTCTCATTGATTGCATACATGCAAATCTTTAATCTCGCTGCACCGATGCTGCGACAACTCCTTCCAGCCGATAGGCAGCACGCGGAGCACGTCTGGACGTGTCTTGCTCGGCGGAACCCAGACGCTGTGTTCTGGGCGCAGACGTTTGCAACAGATGCCAGCTTTATCGACCGTTTCACGGCCTCATCTCCTCCTACTCAGTATCGCCGTGTGCAGGCGCCGACTACAAAGCAACACAGCGCAGATTTACTGCATCTCGAGCACCCTAAGCCCGAAACTTTTGCTGCAACTGATCGATCGGCGACAAACGATGGCGCTTCGGACACTGAGTTTCACATTCAACTACCGTTCCAGGCGCCCCGAGACCGTCGGCCGTCCAAAAAAGCCAATCTCATTCAGATTCTGTAAATTATTCACCGTCTATGAGCCTCGATAACTTGCTGCCACTCGCGTCTCGGCCTGCTTATCTTCCCATTAACCTTCCCTGCCTGCCCTCCATCCACACCTTCCCCATAGTGTACAGTTCATCCCATTTAAGGTTGCACCTGATTTAGTCTCGCTTAGCACTAGCACTCCACAGTTTCAGCCCATATCTCAGCACTCGGTGCAGATCTTCCGGCTTATCAAATCTGATAGCGAGTTAAGAGCTATTTATATTGATATCAGCTAAATCTGAGCTTTATCTTATCGGCTATGCTAACACCTGGAAGCTACCGCTACAACATGATGTCATATTTCCGTCTCCACGAGGTCTAGTGCACCTGAAGGCTGCAAAGGTGATTTCATCTCTTTGGCTGCTTCCTAGCGAATCTGTGACTGTTTCCAGAGTATATAAGGCAGAAATCACAACCCCATTCGGCACATCCCACCTCTACTACAACCCTGGTAGCGTCAAGCATACAGCAGCGCTCCTCCCCACCAGCAATTGCATACGTAATCTCTCGCTTAGAAGAAACTTTATTTTAAACTCTCGGTTGATACTTTCCTACACGAAGGTATCTCATCACTATTATTCAAAATACTTTCCTCAAGACTGTCCTCCAGACTTCTCGGAAACGCTCGGTACTTTCACTACATTAAGACAAAAATGTCCGCTCCCGTGAAAACCCTTGAGCCCGAGTTCCACCAGGCCTACAACGAGCTGGTTTCGTCCCTTGGCACATCCAAGGTGTTCACGAAGCATCCCGAGCTGAAGCGTGTCCTCCCTGTCATTTCTATCCCCGAGCGTACTCTGCAATTCAGAGTTACGTGGGAGGACGACGAGGGAAACTGCCGCATCAACACCGGTTACCGTATCCAATTCAACTCTGCCCTCGGTCCTTACAAGGGTGGCCTTCGTTTCCACCCCAGTGTCAACTTGAGTGTGTTGAAGTTCTTGGGCTTCGAGCAGATCTTCAAGAATGCTTTGACTGGCCTGCCCATGGGCGGTGGTAAGGGTGGCTCCGACTTCGACCCTAAGGGCAAGTCTGACGCTGAGATTCGTCGCTTCTCTCAAGCTTTCATGCGCCAGTTGTTCCGCTACGTCGGTGCCCGTACCGATGTTCCTGCTGGTGACATCGGTGTGAACGGAACCATCGTCAACTACCTCTTCGGCGAGTACAAGCGTCTCCGCAACGAGTACACTGGTGTGCTCACCGGCAAGCACATGCTCACCGGTGGCAGCAACGTCCGTCCCGAGGCCACTGGCTACGGTGTCGTTTACTTCGTCTCCCACATGATCGAGCACGCTACCAAGGGTGCCGAGAGTTTGGCCGGCAAGCGTGTTGCCATCTCTGGCAGCGGCAACGTCGCCCAATACGCCGCCCTCAAGTGTATCGACTTGGGTGCCACCGTTTTGAGCATGAGTGACTCCAAGGGTGCTCTTGTTACCAAGGACGGAAAGGGCTTCACCGCCGAGGACGTTCAGGCCATCATGGCTTTGAAGGCCCAACGCAAGTCCTTGAGCTCCAGCGAGGCTCTTTGCTCCAAGTACTCTTACCTCGAGGGTGAGCGTCCTTGGATCCGTGTTGGCAAGGTCGACGTTGCCATTCCCTGTGCTACTCAAAACGAAATCAGCGGTGATGAGGCCCGCCACTTGGTTGCCAGCGGCTGCCGTTTCGTCGCCGAGGGCTCTAACATGAGTTCTTCCGCTGAGGCCGTCGATGTCTTTGAGACCTCCCGTTCCAAGGGCGAGGGTCTCTGGGCTGCTCCTGGCAAGGCTTCCAACGCCGGTGGTGTCGCCGTTTCCGGTTTGGAGATGGCCCAGAACGCTTCCTTCAGCAGCTGGTCGCCTGAGGAGGTCGACAGCCGCTTGAGAGGAATCATGAAGTCTATCTTCGAGCAATCTCTCAACGCTGCCTCCGAGTACTGTGACGCTGGCGTCAACAACACTCCCAGTTTGATTGACGGTGCCAACATTGCTGGTTTCCTCCGTGTCGCTCGCGCCATGGAGTCCTTGGCCGACTGGTGGTAAACCGTTTGTCAATGATAGCTCTTCTTGCGTGAACCGATAGTTTTGTTTCCTTTTTTGATGCACCCCAATTTTTTCATACAGGGGAAATAATAAATTTATAGATTATGTCCACTACTTCCTGACTTCATTCGTAGCCTGTTGGTTTTAATCGTGGTAAGTTGAATAGCGGTTTCGGGGCGGGATGAAGTTTTGTTCTTCCATGGCTCGTTGCAGCAATGCTCTGCCTTCGGCCATTGCAGAGGACGAGTATTCGTTCAAGAAGTCGTCTTCCTCGTCCTCAGTCTCCTGCGTATTCAGGCTTGAGCCGTCCGAACGGTCGCGGGACAAGTAAAGCGAATACGCTGCACGATAGAATAGACGATGCAACGAAAAGATAGACGAGAAGACCGGCAGCAGAACAATCATGGGGTAGCGTTTGCTGATGTAGTATCCGAGCGGCAACAAATCAATGCTGTTGCCAAACAGCAGGTGGAACCTCGTTTGCGAAAATTGAAGTGACACGAAATTGTACGACAGGGGGATAACGAGTCTGCAGGACTGTACAAGAAAAGCGAGAAGTGCAAGAGGGTGCGTTGCCTGTTTCGGTAATAAGGCGGTAAGGTAATTGAAGGAGGATCGAGACCGCAGTAAAGACGAGCAAGTACACATGCACATGTACCAAAAGACAACAGCCGTAGCAAGCAGGTGAAACATTGGCGAAATGGTCGCGGCCTTTTCGAGGACAATACCGGTCACGGAGTACTTGCTGCCAAGAAACAATTCAGAAACAACAACAAGCACACTCAAAGCTCCGAATATAACTGCAAGTATTAAGCGTAAGAGCGGATACACATAACTGTACAGCACATAGTCCAGTAGCGGGTGTGTCCGAAACGAACCCGGCGGAAGTCGAAGCCAGTAGCTGTGCTTCTCACGACACGTCTGCAAAGCCTTAAGCTTGGCATACTCGCGTACAGTCTCGTTCCACTGTATCTTCAGAGGATGCAAACGAAGCGAAGCATCTGCAACTTCCGCCGTCACCGCTTCGCTGTCACTTAGATGCGTATGAGAGAAATCGCTTTGATGAAAAGTACTCCGGTCAAAACCAGTTCCTGGAGTGGCGTTCGACAAGTCAGAAAGCTCATCCATTCTGTCCTGGATTTTGTCGTACACCTTCACAGCATAACACTCTAATTGCGCCATTCGTTTCGACAAAAAGGCACGACGCCAGCAATCGCGCGGCACTGTGACAAGCCCGTGTCCAAGCAAGAAAATGGCAAAAATAAGTCCGTAAAAGTAGGTCAACGAAATAATCAAGTTCGTGAAGCCTTTGAAGGTCATAGACCGAAGTACGAAACGCAAGTAAACAAGCATAACAAGCGTGATAACCGAGAGCAAGGCAGAGTATTTGAGATTGCTGTGAATAGAGTCCCGAATCTTCATGCGTGGAGTCTTGAACGGACTTGCAACATATTCCTGAATAAACGGAACGAAGAACCAGGTGAGTACGAACGACGTCCAGTATGTGATTCTCCACACCAAAGAGGGAACGGTCTATACGTGTAATGTTAGCAGAGCGTCAGCAGCGTACACAATTGGTAAAAAATCCTTTTCTCGAACTTCTGAATTTGCAACACTCTACGCGTTGACCCAGTACGTACCCACACGACATCAATCGGAAGCACAAAAAACATAAAAAACGGCACATAAAAGCCAACAAAGACAACCGTGCCAACAACCGGGGCCAAATCGCGTATTCTTGTTAGCCTAAGTAGCCAAAAAAACACAAACAAGGCCGGAGCTCCGACCGCTAAAAGTTGATAAAGCATAGAAACTAACGAAATTCACTCAAATACCAGTAAATAACCATTCGTAAAGGCAATTGGAAGAATTTTGCTGAAGGACGGACGCGCGTCTCGGCTGCATCAGTGTGAACAATGAACGTCAGCCAGGTAACAGTCTGTTACCTGCACCATTTGTTGGTGGTGAGTTCTGAGCTTAATATCAACGCTTTTTTTAGCAAAAAACTGCCAGACTAAACAAACGCGGAATACCGAGTACTGTGTGCGGTGCTTCCTTTTTATTTCATGAGAATTGTATGAGATAAATGAGAAAATTTATATGGTTGACGTGATTGCATTTATATACACAAACATCATCTACTATTTTCCTTCCGCGGATATTCTTCGACCTACCTCATACACACGGCAGTCCATTTACACGTTTCACAACGCGTCTCCTCGTCTGCGAGGTGAATTCTTGGCTTAGCAGTACCGCAAAGTTGAATCTCTGGTGGTACGAAGCAGAGATCAACTCTTTTTCAAGAGGTTTTGCATGTCCCGTTTGAGTTTTTCTCCGAAAAAGCAGTTGGACGCAGATCCGTTTTTGGACTATGAAGCTTCTACGGGTTTGTCGGAACGGTCGCACAGGACGGTAGGATCTTTTCTTCACGACAGTGTTTCGGAAAATGTGAATGAGGAACCAAGAACACCGTTTTTTGGCCCAAACAGCTCAAGCTTTCAGGCCCAAAGTATTTTTTCACCCAACTCGACTTTTCAGGGAAAAAGCCAGCAAAACCTGCGTCCCAGCTCTCAACGTAGAGGAAAATTTCTATTTCAGCATGCTCGTTCAGAGACTACGAATGTCTACGGACGCTTCGCTTCGTCCAGTCCAACTCGGCCAAGGCAGCTGGATCTGGCCCTGACAATGAACGACAATAACAGCGATACAGCCCTTGAACGTGCGACCCAACAGTTATCACTCACAAGCCCACAGCCACAGGTCCGGAGCCGGGAACTCGAACACACAGTCCCAAACCCCGCTACTAACGAGTTTATATTTCGGGAGTTAAGGAGTTTGCGTGAACGGCTCGGGCAAGTGGAAGCTGAACTAGCCAGAACCAGGATGGAAGCGACGACGACTCTTACCCGGGCGTCTCTCTCCTCGCCCGTTCCTGCTCAAAAACTACAACTTGCTCTCCAACGACTTGCTTCACACCATCCGCCAGATGATGTTCTGAAACCATTAGAACGAGCTGCGCGGAATGCTCTATTACTCACACAAACCTCACCGGGTCCAACGGTCGATGCGCTGTGTCGGAGCCTTACCGAAACGTGTCTTGGTCTTGTCCAGGAATGCTTGAACGCACGCATGCTTGCCGACGAATCACAAACACCACGGTTGCCTGGTCCAAATGGCGAAGAAGAGATGAGTGGATATGCCACCATTACCGCTGCAAGCACAGGCGAAAGTGGGCGAAACAGTTACAGTTTTCCTGTCCCCACGACAGCATTCACAGCACCGACACTGACGAACACCAACAACAACAACAACAGCAACAATGAAGGCCTCGGTCGCTTCAGCAATGCGCACACGATTATGACTACTCCCCGCTCTCAACGCATCATTCCGCCCACTTCGTCTCCTCTCAGCGACCGTGTCAAGACACCAGTGCTTCGAGACCGAGACGGCGACCAGATGCCTGCATCCTCTCGCTTCCAATCTAAAATTAGTCTTTCTCCCAACCGTGAGTTGCGTGCTTCTCCCGTCTCCCCGCGGTCCCCTCCGTTTCATCGCAAACGCTTTTCAAAGACAGCTTCTAGCAACGTATTGGTCACTCCTGCTAATGCGTACGCACAGCCTCCAACTCATTCTGCGCAAAGCTCACCCACTCGTTTTTCTCTCATAGACAAGGTGTTGTCCGGTCATCGAGATTCCCTGTCGTGAAGGGGGAGAATCAATGTGAGGTGCTGCTACACGTCTATCTATATATACGCGGTGAGGAGCATTGCAGGGAGCTATCGTGGTGGTGCTACGGCACTGTTGCTTTATCGCTGAGATATTACTACGAGTTAGTACTTACTTTGGTGCCTTCTCCAGTTACTTACTACTACTTACCCGGGCACCATTTTGTGCAGCACGACTCGATTCGACTCGTCCCTCCCTTCTGCATCCCGCTCTCACCCTCTCGTCCTACTTTCTGAAAAATGTACCGACCGGCTTGAAAGGACACAAATGCCACTGGAGATGTCTTGAGGAAGGCAAAAACTTTAAACTTACTTACTCACGCAGACACACACTCACACACTCATACGCAGACACAGACACATGCACGTTCATCCAACGTCCACTCTCGCTTTCTCATGAACCTCACTCACAACGAACAGAAACGTCTCTAATCGTCATGACAGCCGGGCGCTCGCTTCCACCAAAGGCTACGCTACGATAACGAGCTAGTATCTTATTGTCTACGATATCTGCATCTACGACTACGACTACAACTACGCCCACTTCTAGCCCACATAGCCCAGCTGCTAACGCCTTTTCTCCACTTTCTACGAACCAGCCGCAGACCCCCACACCCCACTTCCACCTCGCCCTTCCCCTGTCTCGAGCGCCCTAACCTCCCAGTCTGTCTCCTGTCGTCTCCCAACGCCGTTTCTGCTCGTTTTTTGCTGTTTCCTCCTCGTTCTCCGTCCGTGTTCCTTTTCTCTCCTTTCTCCAGCATCTTCTTGCTTGATTCACGGTTTTTTCGTTTTTTTCGCGGGTTTTTGACGTTGTTTACGCCTTTGTTTGTTTGTGTTTGTGATTACGTTCTTTTCAATTTCCTTTCCCTTGAACTCACTGTTACCACGAGTCGTTTGACGTCAGCATGCATGCGTGTGGGTCTCCTACGTCTCCTAGGTTTGCCAGCAGGATGAATTTACCAAGACTGGCAGAATTGGAGAGACACGAGTTTGTATCGAGCGACGACCAGATGGAAACGTCTCAGGACGAAAAAGTTTCGTCTCCAACGACAACAACGAAAGAAAACACACCGACGTCGCCTATGCCGTGGACGTTCAGCGGACCTTTGTCACCGACCGGGAAGCGGTCCGTTGCGTCTTCACTGTTGCTCTCACAGAACCGGCGATCGTTGGCTGCACGAAAGCTACCCAAAGTCCGTATCCAACTGTGTACGGCCATCACGAACCCCGGCTGCAACAGCATCATCAGCTCTCCCACGCGTTCCTCCTTGAGCCCTATTGAAAGTAACTCGACCGCAGGACGGTCGGCTTTTCTTTCTAATGGCCTGAACGGTGTCCCTGTGAGCCCCGCCGCAGAGACGCCGTTCATTCGCTCGCTTTCCGGCGCGAACCGGCCCTACCCAAATGGGCCTGTATGCATATACTCGTCCAACGTATACCTTTACGCAGAGCCGACGCTTGCGATTGTGCAGACGTTCGATGTGGTTTTGAACGTAGCCAAGGAGGTGCTGAGCCCTTTTCCCACAGACGGACAGGTTGTTCGTGATGAGCGGACGCACTTGGACGTTCGCCAGTTTGGAAACGTCAAATATGTGCATGTGCCTTGGGAACACCACTCTACCTTCCCCCAAAACTTTGATCGTCTTATAGACTTTCTCGTACATCATGCCGTGTTTCTCAACCGGCGTGTCCTTATCCATTGCCAGCTCGGTGTGTCGAGGAGTGCATGTTTGGTGATCGCGTTTGTTATGCGGACCCTTGGTCTCCCGTTGTCGGAAGCTTACGACTATGTGAAGCAGCGGTCGCCCTGGATAGGGCCCAATCTGTCTCTCATATTCCAACTGTCCGAATACCAGCACAACACACTCGGGGGCCGTCCACGGTATACGAATCGGTGCATCACATCGGGTGTCTCTTCGCACTGCCGCTCCTCCTCCTTCCATCCGCCGGCAGTCGCGGCAACAGCAGCAACGGCGGCAGCAATTGTTGCTACTGTTCCCAATTCTACTTCTCCCTCACCTTCCCCGCCGTCATCCAAGTCGGTCGCCGTTGTGCACGACGCTCTCCCTCCCATTCATCCCCAGTCGGCTACCTTTCCGCTCTCCTCTAATCCACCTCTGCCCGAACTGCTCCTCCGGCCAAAGACCACGCCGTGTATTCGCTACAACTATCCTTAGCTGACGCTGGCGACCGTGACGCTGTCTGCTGCTTGCGAGCATTCGTGTGTGCGTGCACCGGTCGCCCGTTCGTCCTCTTTCTTTCATGTGTATGTGTGTGACTCTACTTTGCTACGTGTTACTTTCCCCCTTTGTTGTTAAAAGCTTCGAACACCGGACGGTCAAGGAGGCCGTTAAAGCCGTTCGGGTTCGCATGTTTAATGATTCTCGTTCTATGTTCGATGACTTGCAGTTGGTGTGTTTTGTAAGCTGGAGCATCAATTACGATGTTCAGGGCACGGTACTACAGTCGAGGAAGCGTGTTGCATGCTGGATTCTCAAACAAATGGAACAAGCTGAAACCGAGTTGTCGTGCCAAGCAAAGAGTCAACCAAAAACCCTACGCAAACTGAAACAAGCATTCAAACGAAACATACGAAAAACCAGCGCCCATACTACACACACACCCAACTACACCTGTTCCGTCTCACAATATAGGCTACTACCAATGTATTGTTGCATCGCTCAGTCTATCTAAGCAGAGAAGCTGGACAACAAGGTTTGGAGAGCAGCGGAATCCTCACCGTAGTCGGTGACGGCGACGCAGGAGCAGCCGACAACCTTACGGGCGTTACCGTCACGGTCAAGGACACAGAGACCAGCCCACTCACCCAAAGTCTTGGGGTCAGAGACCTTGATCAAGGGAGTTTGGGACTCAGCGCAAAGAGCCTCGACGAGCTTAACGTAAGCCTCTTGGTCGCAAGACTCGCACAAGACGCAGAGATGGGCTTGGCGGCGGTCGAGGGCCTTGGAAGCCTCACGGATACCGCGGGCAAGACCGTCGTGAACGAGAGCACGCTTCAAAACTTCCTTCAAAGCGTCCTCAACGGAAATCTCGTTGGTGGTGGCAACGGTTTCCTCCTCGACAGCGACGACCTCGTCGACTTGGGGCACATTATCTCCTTCTGTAGACATTTTGATATTCTTGTTTTGGGGTAGAGACGTCCTCGATGATATGCTCCTGGCAGGTTTGGTAGCGTCCGTTTCCGTTGATATAGTGAAAAGCAGTCACGTTCGTGTTGACCTAACCTAGACGGAGGGGAGAGTCGAAGGCATCGGAAGGTAACGGAAGGCACCGGAAGGCAATGGAAGGAGATTTAACGAGCTATAGCACGGCATAACAGAGTGTGGTATATTATATAGCGCAAAGTAGCGTGTTCATTCACAACTGTAGGAGTCTTTGTGAGTCGCACTACCGAGCATTAGACACCCCATGCACCTGAAACTCACCACCAAAAATCCCACCGGGCCCCCACATTTCCTCCTGCCTGCTCTTCCGTGCTGCCCAGCCTTACAACACAAAATCAGTTTCTGTGTGTGTTGCTTCACTGATGAATCCTCGTCTGCTTAGTCGTCAGGTGGGTTCAGGCTGGAACGGTGGAGAGACGTGATTCTCGTACCTTTCTAATGGTCCGCGTCGTCTGCCATGTCTTCTCTATTTTGCATGTATTCTCCCTGCTAACTGTGTGTAGGGAATTGCCCAGCTTCTCAACTTTCTGCTGGTGCTGTCGAGTGCGTTTATGGGCTACAAGACGCTCGGCATGTTCACCAACTCGGACTGTCCTGTTGTCGTTGTGCTGTCAGAGTCTATGGAACCGTCGTTTAAGCGTGGTGACATTTTGTTGCTGGACAATCGAATGCCCAAACTGGAGCCCACGGACCAACCACAGTCATTGTGGTCAAAAATAATATACGGTTCGCCTGTCGGCATCGGCGATATTGTTGTGTATAACCTGCCTCATCGTGCTATTCCTATTGTTCATCGTGTCACCAAGTTGTATGATGATGGGTATGCTAAGCGGGCAGACAGTCTGTGAGACGAGTTTTTAGCAGTGGAACGCTGTAGCATCTTAGTGCTGCAGCTTCGTCGCTTCTCTTGCCTTCTGCGCTTCTGCCCTGATTTTATTCTTTTTCCAACGTTTCTTCTAACAACAACCAGCAACCAAACAAAGCTCATTACCAAGGGCGATAACAACCAGGTGGACGACGTCAACTTGTTTCCTCGGAGCATGACTTACTTGGACAGAGAGAACGACGTCTCTGGAATCGTCCGTGGTTACGTTCCCTACTTGGGAATGATTACCATCCTATTGACCGACTATCCCAAGTTCAAGTATCTGCTCCTCGGCACTCTTGGTCTTTTTACGCTTGTGCAGGGTGAGGACTAGACGAGATTCGCAGAGCCGCATGGTCGATTTGGTTTATTGCTGAGCACAGCTGCATCTGTCTCTGCTGCCTCTATCGCCGACCCTACTACGACCCTACGACCCTCCTTTCTTCTACCCACCCAGACCAGCGGGGGCAGTATGGCTGTGACCTCCACCACGCTTCAGCGTGCTACAGTTCGCTATCTTGTCTTCTTCCTCTCTGGGCTGCACTATTCCATGTAACGTGTTATGTCTGCATCGTAGTAATTCGATAAAAATATAGTGTTAATCACGGCAACACACTAAACCATTTAGCGCATTGTATCGCGAGCTTTCGACGTACCTCTAGCCCAGCAGGCGTCTCGAGAACGTGTCCTCTCCCAACCTCGCCAACGTCCTGCAATTTTGGTTTTCGATAAAATGAGCGGTTACACGGTGATTTTCGTTGGCGTTGTCTCTGCGGTCCTCAGTGTCGCCAGCTATTACTTGGCTCCTAAGGGCGACAACCATTCCACATGGCAAATGTCCTTAATTCTGACGATTGCCTGCTTCTATTTGCTGTGGGCAATCACGTATCTGTGCCAATTGCATCCTTTGGAGGCACCTGCAAAGGCATTGGCTTGAGCTGACGCGTTTTTTCGTGTTTGTTTGAGTGAGTATTGAAAGAACATGTGTTTTCTTTGAGACACGCTTATTTTGGAGAGCTGTTGACGTGTCGACCTCTTGTCTACATCCTTGAGAGTTGAGTGGTCGCGTTTCTTGTCTTGGACACGCTGTTTCGTCGTTTTTGTCACATTCGTACTCGTATGCATATATAATTTCACTCACTGTCTCTCACTCACACTCTTCGCACGAACACACTTACTTACACACTCATCACTTCCTCCTAGTCACGGAGGCCTACCTCCACCCTGTCTAATCTTACCGTATCCATTCCCTTTTCCCTTCATTTTCTTTCCTGTACGCAACTGTTTCCTGTTGTGACCCTGTTTTCCTCGTCGAGCTTTGTCTGCTCATTTATAACGACTCGTCCCTCCTATTACCTCTCAATTTAATACTTTGCCAAAGCTTTCTTTTTAGAATTTTACGTTTTGACGGATCTGCTTCATTAAACTCGGTTTTCGTGCTTAATCGCTTTAAACCACTCCCTAAACTCGTTTACTCTCGTAAGTTGTCAAACAGAGATTATAAGTACTTAAACGGTGATCTAACGGATTTAAAATTAAGACCCGACCGTTTTGACGATCTGAAAGCGTTAAACGTCTGTGTTTTCGTCCGAATCGTGTGTTTTGTTAAAGACTTTTCAGAAAAAGACGTTTGAGGGTCAATAGTACGACTCATTGGAAGAAACATTGGTGCTCTTTCAATCATGGAACGCAGTAGTGTTTTCAACAAGCTACAAAATGGTCATCGACCTCGACTGAATGCTTCGGTTCCGTCTCTGCTCGGCAGCTCGTACGCGCTGCGTAGTCCTTCACGCCGTTTAGAACACAGCATGAGCGCAATGGTTCCTGGTAGTATGGCGAATGTGGATGATGAGGCTCAATACCAAATGAGTTTGCTTCACGACCGGGAGTCAGGTTGCGTGGATGCTATTCAGGCACTTCTAAATCGGCACGCTGATCTGCTGCTCTCCAACGTCGACGACGCAGACGTTGGATCGGTGCGTTCACAGTTGAACAGTCAATTGGAGCAGTGGTGCGAAGTTTGTGATGCTTTGGCTCAGGTGTACCGAAATCGTGCTGCTCGGTTGGAGGGTGTTATTGCTCGCCGCTCAGAAACCGATGCTCAGTTACTGCAAATGGAGCGTGAACTGCAGCAAGAACGTGAACACGGAAACAAGGCGGCTTTGTTAGACGACATTGCTGACTTGGACCAGCAAATCGCTGAGCTTCGCTCTCGAATTGACTTTCTTGAACAGTGTCGTCGTAAGAAAATGGAAGAATTAGAGATCGCTAATAAAGGACACGAGTCGCATATCTCTCAGCTCAAACAAGCAATGTTCGGTCTTCATGAAAAAATTGCCTCAGCGCCTTCCGTGCCTCTCCTGTCTCAGCAATTAGAAGAAGCCCGTGCGCAGGCTGTAACTCTCGCTAACCAAAGTACTAAGGCTCGCCCAGGCATTGCCTTCTTCCACGATCTGTGCTCTCGTTTGCAGAAGTACGAGTCGAGCTTTGCTACCCTTCTTGCCGAGAAACGTGATACGAACAAATCGTTCACCTCACCACTCCAAGATCGCGACATTCGGGCGTTGCTAAAGCGCATGGTCGACATGCTGAATGATGGTCTTGAAATCGCAAACACTAACAATTGGAAACCGTATTCTGTTGCTATTCAACATGAAATTCTAGCACTCGAAACTCTTATAACGCAGTACCCCGAGGAGTCAAAGAAAGCATAAATGTAGTATGCAGTCGAAACCGCGTACTTTGACGATTGCTCAAGACTATAATGACTACGACGAACTGGAACGGTCCCAATGGTTTGGATTCCCTTTCTTTTCATCCCTTCAAAATTTTATTTCACAAGCCGCTCCTGCTTCAAACACCGTACACGGTCACCAACTCGCATGAACTACAGATAAGTCGTATGCCGTCTTGCCATCGCAAACCTGATCAATCCGACCTTGATGTTCGTCGCACCATGTTGCCCGACTCACGATACGTCTTTCTGTTTCAACGTCGCACAATTGGTCTTCTTCTCCTGCGAACCCATCGCTTCAACTATACCACATGCTAGGGGGATGGGACTTACCGCGAGCTACCGAACATCAACGCAACCCAGTGAAACACAAACATAATTGCATTTAGCGTGTTGTATATCTTAATCATCCGTGGGTGCGAATACTCAGCCGTCATCGGCGCACGGTGTCATGTCTACATCATTTCGACAGTCATCGATGAATTCCTAAATGTCGCCGCCCACGATGCCATTACGCTGTGCTTGTTGACGAATTTTTGCCAGTGGCTTCTCTGCTTTCTCCAAAACGTTATTCATACGGTTGACGGGTTTATAACGGTGACAAAACCCTGTCTGCGAGCTTTTTTCGATACATTTACCAAGCGAACTATTTTCATCCGCTACACGAAATTTGTGTGTTTATCTTCTCCTCGCGAAAAGGGCTATCTGATTAATCTTTGCGACTTTCCTCAAACAGTTGTCGTTTTGTCTGTCTGTGTGTCTGTGTCTGCGTGAATTTTGTTTGTTTTTCCCCGATTGCCCTTTCAATGGATTCTTATGAACCAGTTCGGCCAGAAAGGCCGAGGCACATTGATATGCCGCCTTTCTTGCCTGACAGAATCACCTCGCAATGTAATACGCCAACTACTCCCAGCGTTGGAGCGGGCCTTGTGGATGGTCAAACAGTGGTGAGAGAGAGCGATCGTTATACCGTTCGTGAAATTGATCCTCTCAAGCAAATTGGTGTCCGAGCTCAGCCGTCTTGGGATTTCACCATTAAACGTGTTGTTCGCAGCATTGTCTCTATTCGTGGCTCTGTCTTGCGTTCCTTCGACACCGAGAACGCAGGCAGTTTTTGTGCCACGGGCTTTGTCGTTGACAAAAACCTAGGCATTATCCTCTCCAACCGACATGTCGTATCTCCAGCACCGATTACTGCTAGAGCATCCTTTATTAATTACGAAGAGATTGACATATATCCTCTGTACCGCGACCCGGTTCACGATTTTGGTTTCTTCCGTTACAACCCATCCGCACTTCGCTTTCACGAAGTAGATGAGATTCCGCTGGCACCGGAGCTTGCTCGTGTGGGTGCAGACATTCGAGTGATTGGTAATGACGCAGGCGAGAAGCTGTCTATTTTAAGCTCGACGCTTGCACGTCTGGACCGTGCTGCGCCTAATTACGGCGTTGATAGCTATAACGACTTCAACACGTTTTACTATCAAGCCGCTAGCGGCACCAGCGGTGGTAGCTCTGGTAGTCCAGTTCTCGACATATCCGGTTCAGCTGTAGCTTTGAACGCAGGTGGTTCAAACAAGAGTGCCTCGTCGTTTTATCTTCCACTTGACCGAGTGGTTCGTGCACTGCATTGCATCCAAAATAACAAGTCAATTACTAGAGGAACCTTCTTGACTGAGTTCCAGCATTATTCCTATGATGAGCTTTCCAAGATTGGGTTGCCGACCGATTTTGAAATTGAAGCGCGTGCCAGAAACCCACAGAGCACAGGACTGCTCGTTGCTGCACGCATTTTACGAAACAGTCAGGCTTCCGAGGTCTTGGAGCCGGGTGATGTGTTAATTGGTTTGCAGCATTCGAAGTACCACATTCAGTACATTATTGATTTTGTGTCCTTATTTGAGATTGCAGATGAACGTGTCGGACACATGTTAGAACTTATTATTTTTCGTCCTCGTGAAGGTTACAAGCAGGTACGCCTGCTCGTACAGGATCTTCACAGTGTTACGCCGTCTCGTTTTCTAGAAGTCGGCGGTACGATTTTCCACGACTTGTCGTACCAACTTGCACGGTCATACCAATGTGCCTTCAATTCCGGTACATTTGTTGCCGCCTCAGGCATGCTAAATTGGTCCGGTGGAACGAGAGACTTTTTAGTCACGAAACTTGCCAATATACCGACACCGAATTTAGAGGCCCTGACGAAAGTTATTCTCGGTTTGCGAGATAATGCTCGTGTTCCCATGCATTTCCGAGTGCTGGGAAAATATGAAGAAGAGTTCACTATCGTGACAATTGATCGTCACTTTTTCTTGTCTGGCACATACTCGCGAAATGACAAAAAGGGCTCGTGGGACTATATGCCTCTGGCACCTGCTGAACCAGCTATCACTAGACGCCCTAGTGCAATCCCTCGTCCAGCCGAGGGTTCAAACAGTTTGGAAGCCATTCAAAACTCGATGGTTCTTATACACTGCCGTATGCCTTTCAGCATCAACGGCTTTAGTGCCTCAAAAATGTATAGTGGGACGGGTGTTGTTGTTTCTGTTCAACCGCCTTTAATTGTTGCAGACCGCTCTATAATCCCTGTTGAGGTTTGTGATGTCCGGCTCACTTTCCAATCCCTGAGTGCCATGGGTTTCATCTGCTACATGGATAAGCGTATAGCGGTCCTCTCTTGTGAATACTTACCCGACAACACTGTGCAGCTGAATTTTGTTCCCGACTTCATGCGCACTGGCGAAGAATGCACCCTGGCAGCTTTGGACACCGACCTTCAACTGTTGACAAAATCAACTACTGTCCGTAGCATTTCTGCTATTGAGACTGAAAGAACTTCGCCGCCACGGTTCCGTTATGTGAATTTTGAAGTCATTTCCTTAATGGATTCGCTTTCGTCTTCTGGTGGTCTGGTATACCGTAATGTCGATGGTGACATAAACGTTACTGCCTTGTGGATGTCCGTTGTACATCAGGATGCTTCTGGAAAGGAGTATGTTGACAAGTACGGTCTTTCAATGGCGTACATTATGCCGTTAGTGAAACGTTTGTTGCAACCGCCTGCGTCTCGTTCTGAAAATGTGACTATGACGATGGGCGTGGAATGGGCTCACATGTCTCTTGCTGGAGCTACAACCTTGGGATTGTCTCAACAGGAATCGTCAGAGTTTTATGTCAAATCTCGGGCTAATGGAACAATTCCTCGACCAATGTACGTGGTATCCCATTTGCGGCCGTTGCCCAAGGAGGGTTCTCTGAGAGTTGGCGACGTGCTACTGGAGGTGAATGGCAAAATGGTTACTCGGCCCTCCGACTTGTTAGAATATGAGCAGAGTGCATCGGTGCAGGCTAAAATTCTGCGCGACGGACAATCGGAATCCCTCGAAGTGCTGCTTTATCCAGAGCATCCTAGTTCGAGCTCTCGTATTATTGGCTGGTCTGGAGCAGTAATCCACGAAACGCAAGACAGTGTTTACGAACAAGTTGAGCCTGATGCGACACTGCCTGACAGAAGTGGTGTCTACGTTGGTAGCATACTGTATGGTTCACCGGCACTTAACCATTTGCGTGCGGCACACTGGATCGTCGCTATTGATGGTGAAAGCGTTGAGACGTTTGATAAGTTCTTGGAAGTGTTGAAAACGAAACAATTTGATACTTACGTTCAAGTCAAGCAAATGAATCGACGCGGTGTCACAAACATTGCGAGTGTACGTCCAGATTTATTGTTCTGGCCTACTTGGATTATACAGAAGAACGATTTTGGAAACTGGTACACGGAGCCTCTGCGTATGGCATCTTGAAGTGATTGAAGAATTCTCTACTTAACGACATTATGTATGAAATCTGCCTCCCTTCTCGCTATATGCAAGCTTTTCAGCTTCGGTTATCCAGTACGACGAGTGATTAAGGTGTTTTGAATTGTAAATAGAATAGCTAACCTCTGTTTCATTAAACTAAATGATAATGAATCCCCACTTCCTTGTTCACAAAATAGGCAACACATTGACAGGTACTTGTGGATGTAAGCAAGTTAAACATGATAAAAGAGAGCAGAATCATCCACTTCGTTTACTGTTTAGTTTATGAAGCAGTTGGGAATCCGTTAATTTGATGCATCGAGGATTTGTTTACATTTAACAAAAGTTGAGTATTTAATAGAACTCTGTCCGCACAATTAAGACGAACAACCCCCATCGCACAGAAGAAACGAAAGCATACAAAAACTGCGTTAACGGCTGTATCACCAATCAATAAATTTTATGTGAGCCATGCAGGTTGGATATCCAGAACAATACATCTGTCCTTTTGAAACTTACCTTCCATTACGTCCAAGCAGATTTCAGTGCTCTACAGACATCTCAAATATAGCTGCATCGATAACAGAAATTGCAGACACTGTCAAAGAAGAAGTCTTGCCCCAAGATGAACAGGACTTTGACATCGAATTACAGAAGTTTGCCGCATCAGTAGAAGCGACAGAGGGTCATAAGCAGCGCCGTATTGCCCTCTTATCGAAGCTGAGCCGTGTCCTCCAAACGAATTTTCCTGAAGAAGACATTGAACTCACTACATTCGGTTCCACAGAAAGTAACCTTGCGCTGAGACGATCGGATGTTGACATCTGCATTCAAACCCACAGTAGAACATCGAAGTTGCAAACAACATGTCAATTGGCTCGACTGTTGCATGAAGGTATGCGTTCAAGAAGAAAAGAAACAGAACTAACATCTCACAGAGGGGTTGGTAAACATTGTCTGTATTCCACGCGCCCGGGTTCCCATTGTCAAAGCATGGGATCCTTCATTGGGCATTGCCTGCGACATTAATCTAAATAATAGTCTTGCAAAGACGAATACCGCAATGATAAAAGCTTGTGTTGAGTACGACGCCCGTATACGACCAATGGCATTGCTCATTAAGCACTGGGCAAAGTGTCGAAAGTTTAACGGCACAAAAGGCAAGGGTGTTCTCAGCTCATATACCATAACGTGTATGCTCTTGAATTATTTACAACTGACGGATCCTCCTATACTTCCCTCCATGGTCGCCTTACAGCAAAACGATTACTGTAAACCCAAAGTTCAACTAAATGAGAAATCTATTGGGTCATTGTTCATCGGGTTCTTCGAGTATTACGGTTACCGGTTTGAATATGAAAGCTATGTCATCTCTGTCAAGCAGGGATACCTTCTCAGTAAGAAAACGAAAGTGTGGGACAGTGACCAGAACAATATTCTATGTGTTGAAGAGCCTTTTAACAATATGAGAAACCTTGCTAATACGGCCAACGAAATGGAAGTTATGGGCTTGAGACTTGAATTCCAAAGAGCCTATCAAATTCTCAAGAGGAGCAGGGATCATGCCGGACTTGTGGAAACTTTCAGAGAGTTCCTTACATCGTCGATGGATCCCGACTACCTTCCGACCGGAGAGTGTCCGTCTGAGCAATCCTGGGTAGTACCGAAAAGCATTGGAATGCACCCGGCGTATACTGGCATCATACCTGAAGTGTATACAATGCCCATACCTAAGACCATATTTACCGGAATGGATTTCACATACTACATTCCGGAAGTACGACAAAGAAATGGCAGACTACAATATGCAGCACTCAATTCAAGGGCAAGGGTTCTTCCATGGAATATGCAGTCAGGCCAAGGCTGGACAGTTTGGTACCCTGGTTCAAAGTAGTGTGCAGAAATGAGATTTTGGTAGGCAGCATTTCTTTCTTTGCTTTGATAATTATAAATATAAAACAACCGATTCGCATCACCTCGCAAAAGGCTAGTCTAGTGAAACCGAATATTAAGCGGATGAGAAGATTCTTCCCAGTAGTCCTCTAATTATGTTACAGAGAATCAAAGCAGTCTCGCAATGTTGATGGAAAGGCAAAGAATCATGACCGTAATACCATAAATAGTGAGAGCAAGAGCGGACTTTCTGGCAATAGAAACAGCCTTTCTGCTGATACCCTCTGGCACAGAAGCCTTGATGCTAATGGCGTAATAAAGGAAACCAGGAAGAATGAAAGATATGGCCGTGCTGCCCGTACTTCCAACGAACGCGAGAACCAAATCAAGCGAAGTCAAGTAGTAAGCAGCAATGTATGAAAGAATGATAATAACGGCCGTGATACTGTTGTGATAGACGGGGGGAATGTACTGAGAGGAAAAGGACTTTGTGATGGCCTGGTACGCAGACGCACGGCATGGGTGGCACTGGAGAGGATAGCTGAAAAGCACTAAGAATACAATGGACACCTTTCCAAAGAGAGTCCACACACTGTTTCCGTCGTACATGGCAATAACATTGCCAGATACGAGGTCACCAAAAGAAAGGTAGCCTGCAACAGCGATGATTAAGTACACAATTAAACTGACAAAGACAGCCAAGAACATTCCGAGAGCAAGATGTCCGTGGGCTTTGTTTTTGGACTCATTCACAATGCTAAACGCATTCATGTGGCAGGTGAAGCCGAAGACAAACACAGGTATGACAGAGAGGAAGCCCGATGCCGAAGCAGGAGTGAAGTAACTAACTTCACCACGAACCGTGTCAGCTGCAAAGTAATGGAACATGACCATAACCACGAGGTATGAAAGAGCAATAAGACTGATCAACGATGTGTGACGAAGCGAATCGAGCTTGCGCAAAAACGAAAACGGGATCAGCACAATGATGCTCACTGTGATCCAAAAGTGTCTGCTGGAAAGTGCAGCCGATGTAAAGCCCATAGAATTGGCGATTTGAGGCATCAAATCACCTACGATAATAAGATAACTCACAGACACGCCAAAACATTTGACAGCGATGGCTATATCAAAGAATACAGCCAAAGAAGGGAATGTCCGTTTGGCAACGGCGGCGAAGGACGCCTTTCCAGGAGGAAGACGAGCTGCACAGCGTGAAATAAAGTACAGACCGAGGTATGAAGTGAATCCACTGAAAATCAGCATTACAACGCCCCAAAACAGACTCGTCTGCGACAATGCATGAGGAAGAGCAAGAACACCTGCACCAATGATGGTGTTTGCCATGTTGATGACCGAGGACATCAAACTTGCCGTTCCTACATGGGGTGAATACAGCAATGGACTATTGTCCGTAGGAGAGGCTGCACGAGACATATTGTTTTACGTATATTTAGTGGAAATCAGCTGCTAAACAACCAGAGAAACAGCAAAATCGAAGCCGAAAGAAGTGAAATGTGAATTAGAAACGGTAAAAGCGGCCAAATTTCACCGGAAAAAGACCAATCCTACACAGAATCACTCAACGAGTACAATCCTGTAATTAAAATCAATAAAAAGCAGCGTTATCAACCAGAAACACAAACTACGTCCCCCAGCGGTGGTATGTATTGAGTACGTAGGGAGGTTAAGTTTCCTTCGAGCTGTGTGGTAGGTCTTTAAATAAGGTTATGCGATAAGCGATTTGCCGATTACAAATCGTTCTTTCCTGGCTACGTGAGATAGCGGAATACGAATAAGCAATTGCACCACACAATATCCCACGGGGTTGATACTGCGTTTATCGCGTTTATCGTGTTCGTGATAGCTTCGATGAGTCATTGAGGTGAAAAGTGGTCTAAGGATGAGCATCGAAAGATCGTTAAATAATTTACTGATCAATAACGTGTTTCGTTAATTTATTTACTGTTGCACGCTAGTGTATCCTGTATCGCTTTAATGTGTTCGTTACAGCTCGGTAATTGGGACTACGTAATTCGGTACAGCTCCCTACGTAATTGCATTGGGAGCGACAGTCTCGCGAATATGGCAAAAACCATGGACGAACCTGGAATGGAAGAGGCCACAGAAACACGGAAAAAAGAGGACTCAGTGGGAGAATCAGAGATGATCAAACGGGAGGTGGAAGACGAGGACGCAATGCGGCCTAATCGGAGCGCGAATGATGCTGTTCACGAAGAACAAAATACAAAATCTGAAATTACACGCTGTGTCTGTGGTTTTCAAGACATCGACGACGATGCTGATGGAAGTGGACTATTTATTCAGTGTGAACAATGTGAAGTTTGGCAACACGGACACTGTGTTGGTTTTGAGGGAGAATCCGACATACCTGAAGTATACTACTGTGAACTCTGTCGTCCCGACCTTCATCAGATCACGCAGCGTGGACGTGGACCGAAACAGTCGCGATACAAGGGAGATAATAAAGGAGAAGCTATTCCCGACCCCTGGTCTAAAACTTCCAAGACTCCCACAAAACAACGGCTCACTATGAACTCTCGAGATGCCGAATTGGACTATGAACAGTACGGTAGTCTCTTAATGCAGCAACCTCGCCGCCAGAAACGTGCTTCATCTGCTACTTCATCCAATTCGGCATCTGCAACCGAACAAAAGTCAAGCGTACCCACCAAAAGAGAGGACTCTGAGTCCACTTCTCCAACACTAGCGAAATCCAGTGCCTATGGCGCTAGCATGGATGTGGACAACATAGAAGGCGAAACGTATGCGCCAGCTCCAGACTCGAAACAATCCTCCGCAGAACCGCCAGCGAGGTCGGCTGCTAATTCGGCAACAGCTACGACTGCAACAACTGCGTCAACAACCACAGCTTCTACTCGAAGACGAGGACGTCGGTCCAAACGTGATGCCTCAGCGTCTACACAAAATGGTGCTGACAATGGTTCAATGTCAGCCCAAGAAAACCAAATCGGTACGGCACCTACCACGACCACTTCTAATACAGCAGCCAATGTCCTGAACACAACAACAACGACGACGACGGCAGCAACGTCTACTGCTCCTCGGACATCCAAAGGTCGGCGGTCAGTTGTTCGAAAAGGCGCTCGTCATTCGCCGTACACGTCCGGCGCCACAAAAAACAGTTCCCTAGATGGTGCAGGGGAGCTTTCGCGGACTCGAATGCCTCACTCACGGACGACAATGACTGAAATGCGACGTCGGGTTGCGTCAATACTGGAGTACATTGGCCATATACAAGTGGAAATGGCCAGTCACTCTACCACCAGCAAAGCACTTCCTAATGTGTCCATCGAGGAGCATTCGGACGACGAGAAAGAGACCCTGCGAATGATTGACAACCTTACACGAAATCTGCTTCACTGGGAACAGCGTTTCGGCCGTGGATAAGTTTTGCGGGGTAGCCGAAACGTTGTTTTAATGATATTTAAGCGAGTATGAATGTATTTTATTTTTTGGTCCACCACTATTGTAGATCATTGCCGATCACCGTCGATCATCGCTCTGCCGTCCTTTCTCGTTAACTTTCGTTGGGTCGCTTTAATTGTGGTTGGCAGTAAACCCTACCCTAACGAAAAACAGTCACACTACGGATATGTTCAAGACACAGCACCAGCGAACGTCTTCTCCACAAGAAAATGGCTCACGAAAACGTTTGGTACTCACACCCTCGCAAGTACGGTAAGGGCAGCAGACAATGGTAAGTAAAGCAGATTCGTCCGTCCTGAGTGGTTTCTGACAATTTTTCCAATAGTGCGCACACTGGTCGCCGTCTCGGTTTGATCCGCAAGTATGACCTTAACATTTCTCGTCAAAGCTTCCGTGAGTACGCTGCCGACATCGGCTTCGTTAAGGTATGTCTTAAGTCTTTTCTGCAGGGTGCACTGATTGCTAATTACGTAGTACCGTTAAATAAACGAGTAGCCTTTTCTGGTCTATATCATGGGTTTCGGTAGGATTGGGAGTGTGGAGAAAGTGGTGTGCTGTAGGGTGTTGAGAGTGAATTGGTTTATGTGGTCGATGGAGGGAGTTGCTGTATTGCAGGTTGCCTTTAAACGCCTTTTCTGGTGTTTGGTTTTTTTTTTTTTTTCATGAACTCTTTCTGTCCTTTATATAAGACTATAAATATGAATTTTCAAGAAAGTCACTATGTCCGAGCGGTTAAGGAGTTAGACTTGAATTCGTTCAGGCATCTAATGGGCTATGCCCGCGCAGGTTCAAGTCCTGCTGGTGACGGTCTGTGCGAGGTAGGAGAGTGGAACTCCGACGGGCTCATAACCCGTAGGTCCCAGGATCGAAACCTGGCCTCGCAACTTTTTGCTGCAGCGGGGAGGATTGACAATATGAGGGAGTTGTGTGTCTATTTTTGTTGTTTTTAGAAATTGGTTATCATTAAGCAGATACTATGTATTTTTCATTATAGTAGGTAGTTTTTTTTTTTTTTTTTTTTTTTTTTAATTAATTTCATCAGGACAAATGTTTCTGTTTCAATAGTAACTTGACATTGGGATTTATTTATTTTAAATCTTTAAATTTTCGAGAAGTATCTTCGACTCTATTTTTGTTTAATAACTGTTTGCAATTGAACAATTTACTACTTGTAATTTATGATTTGATAATTCTTTATAATGGAGCTAAAAGAAAAACAAAAAAAAAAGAAAATACTATAATAATAATAATAATAGTAAATAAAAAAAAACCAGCAACAATTAAACAATTAACAACTCACTAAATATCACTGAAACAAATAAAAATACACAAACTGACAGCCTCTTCTAAAGCTTTACGACGTCTTATTGAACTGCTCCGCGCCCCCACTTCACCCCCATCTTAAATGCACTCGCGTCTAGCGCGTCGTGTTAAATAGAATAAAACCACGCGTAGGATTCATTAGAACGTAACTAGTGCCATTCTCTTCTTACAGAGTACGAGTGATGTTGCGCTCCTTGTAGGTGGCAGACTTTCCAGTGTGGTCGTTCTTGATCTCGTAACGGACATCATTAGTGGATCCTTGCTCTTGAACGATCTTCTGGATGACACCGGTAGAGGTGCTAGTACCAGAGGCACCACCAATCTAACTTGTTAGAACTTGCTTACGAAGAGGATTTTGTCTTGGGAACTTACGGGGTGGTACTCGACTTTCATTCCTTCGTGAAACTTGGGCATGTTGATAATTGTGAAACTTTAAAACTCAATAGACAGACGAGGTTGTGTGTTTCGATGGTTTGAATGATCAACGGAGTCAAGATTTATACACAAGAAACTGCCCTTGATGTAATCATCTGTCATTCGGAACATGACAAGGTCATTATGTCAAAAAAGGTACAGGGCCTATCCCAGACACCAGGAACTGTGAAACAATAACTCGCAAAGATTGCTGTAGGAGCACTTTATTTAGTGTACCGAGACGGAAATTGCGACAGAACGTGTCTCAACACGCTTAGACTGGTTGCTGAAGGCACGGCCCTCTCGTTGCATCATTCAGACCGAAGAAGTTGGCCGTTGAGAAGCGTTCCGGCACTCCAAACACACACTACATTCGTTTCGACGTCCTCATGTGGCAATAACTTCACCGCTGAAACTCGTAAACTCTCCTTCAGTGTTTCGTTTTTCTGTTTGGGAGCATTTCTCCACTGGACTCGCAGTGTTCCTGCCTTCTCCCAAGTCCACCACAAAAAAGGAAAAAAAGTTACAGAATGTTGCGCCGAGCAGCTCGTGAGCGGAGACAGTACATTTATAAAAGAAATAAAGAGCTTCAAGAGGCTAAACTAAATGAAAAACGACGTGCTTTAAGAGTGGCCTTGGAATCCAACAAGGAACTACCAAAAGAAGTCCAAGACGACACCCAACTGCAAAAAGACTACAAATACGATGAAAGCAAAACCGCAGCGACAGACGATGTTCCAGAGATTGACGACGAATATGGCACGATCGGTGAGCGGGAGCCTAAGGTCTTGGTGACGACCAGTCGTGAACCGTCCTCTAGACTGGCTCAGTTTGCAAAGGAAATGCGTCTTCTCATACCCAACGCATACCGTTTGAATCGTGGTAACATTGTCGTCGGAAGCCTGGTCGAAGCTGCTCGTGCGAATGACGTTACAGACATAGTCGTCTTGCACGAACATCGCGGTAATCCTGACGGACTTGTTATTTCACACTTGCCGTACGGACCAACTGTTTCTTTCACCTTGCACAACGTCGTGCTCCGTCATGACATTCCAAATACCGGCACGATGTCCGAAGCGTATCCTCACTTGATTTTCCACAACCTTACCACGAAGCTTGGTAAGCGTACTCAAAAAGTTCTGTCAGCCTTATTCCCTCCAGAACCCAAGGACACGACACCTCGTGTTGTGACCTTTGCAAACAACTCTGACTACATCAGTTTCCGGCATCATGTCTACGTGAAAAGCGGACCCAAAGATGTCGTTCTGTCAGAGGTGGGTCCTCGTTTTGAGATGCGTCTTTACGAGATTCGTTTGGGAACTCTGGATATGGAGGACGCTGACGTGGAATGGAAACTGAAGCCTTACCAGCGTCACAAGCGTGACGTCTTGGCCGAGTAAGGAAAACGCGGAAAAATTGGGTACATGTTTAATTACTTTCTTTTCTTTTTTTTTGGTTTGTACGTTAGACGATAGATGGAATCGTTTGCCTGTATGAAATAGCATTTACAATGGGAACCATGCGAGATGAGATGACAGTGTGTGTGTGTGAGAGAGACGGTATAGAGTGAATGGTTTTGGAGCGGTTTTTTTTTGCAGTTCTAAGAAAAGAGTGAAGCGAGCTAGACGCTTTTTACTTCTTCGCTCCTGTCTTGGCCTTGTTCTTTTTGTAGATGGCCTCTGCTTCAGCAATTTGTTTGTCGGCAGCCTTTTCCAGCTTCTCGGCAAAGCTTTCGAGGAGCATTTCTTTGCGACTAGCAACAACCGGAGAACATTCACGAAGAAGAATGGGCTCCTTCATCATGCCGTACTGTGGACTGCAAATAGCGTTCAATACTGACTGGGCTCCCGCATTTGTGCCCTTCAGAAAAAGCCACCAGATAGGCCATGTAAGTAAGTAAAGAATAAGGCCCCAAACGGTACCCAGGGAAAGGAAGAGACGCAGTCCGGGAGTACGCACAAGACCAGGATCAACCATAATGGTGTGAACATTAGAAGGAAGTTTGTCTGGTCGTTCTTGACGAACCATTTGCACTTGGTAGTGTGTAAGGAATGACATGAGTGCTAATTTGGCTGCACCAAAGGCTCTCCAGGGACGACGACTAGGGAATGGACGATGCACATAATTTAGGTCTTGTATGTCTAGGTCACCGATCACATACGCCGAGCAAGTCATGGAAATAATGCGAACCTCTCGATGCGCAGGTTGGGCCACAATGGCAGGACGCAGGATTCGCAACAACTGGTATGGACCCAAAAAGTTAACAGCCCATTGCCATTCAATGCCCTCTTTTGTCGTTTGCCGTGTGGAAAACGGTGGTTGCATATAGCCACTGCACAAAATCACCATGTCAAGACGACGGACGGGAACCGCATCGATCCATTTTGTCGCAAACTTGCGCACAGATAACATGGACGAAAGGTCGCAAACTTCAGTGTAGATGAGTTGGTTGTTTGTTCGTTTCCGCAAACTCATTACTTGCTCAATGGTAATTTCATCAGGTTCAGTATGCAACAAAATTACGACCTGAGCTCCCTCTTTTGCGAGGAACTCGACTACAGTCTTACCGATGCCTGACGTTCCTCCAGTGACCATGACTACCATTCCATTCAGTTTTCGTTCCCATGTGTTTTTGGCACCCGAAGTCCAGAGCTTGAAAAGACCTAAGCAGGCCAAAGTAGTTAGCACTTTTGCATAGGTTTTCCAGTTGTTAATGAAATGCTCGGACTTTGTCTTGGTAATGTAGGCGATAAACGGGATAGGCATTTCGTCGAGTTTGTGTTATGTGATTTTAGCGAATTTTACTTAATAAAACTTGGAAAAAAATGAGACAGATCGTCCTTTTGAATGATTTTACGTTACACGTAATACAGAGAAGCTTCCACGACGCTCTTCAGGCTATATCTTATGGTTCTGGAAGAACGAGGCAAAGGAGGTTATTGAGTCTGTGTAGCGTGTCTTACTCCTACCAACTGCCACGAACATTCAGCCTCTGTATATTGCAATTGAACCGGAATCTCTCGCTTAAACACATACAATTAGGTCCTTAAGCAAGCACACAAGCAGCTGAAACCGAAATCTTCTGTTTTTCTATTATTTTTTTAGGGTATTTGTATCGAGTAAACATTCATAAGGTTTCAACGTCATTTTACTCGTAGGACGCCTTTTTTTTGCCACGTTTAACGTCAAGATATTACTACGACAATTGTTCTTTTGTTCTTTTATTATTGTATTTAACAGATCATGTCTGGCTGGTGGTCTTCAAAGTCGCCATTTGCATCATTAGTCGAACGTGCAACTTCAGAAACATTGCCTACCGGCTCGGAAGACTTCGAGCTCAACTTATCCGTTTCAGATGAAATTCGCAGCAAACGAGTCCCTGCGAAAACTGCTGCTCAAACTTTGAAGACCCGGATTAATCATCGAAACCCAAATGTACAATTACTAGCTTTAAAGCTTACGGATACGTGTGTGAAGAATGGAGGAACGCACTTCCTGCAGGAAATTGCTAGTCGGGAGTTTATGGATAATTTAGTGTCCATTCTTCATGCACCCACTGGTGTGAATCATCTCGTTGAAAATCAAATTCTCTCTTTCATTCAAGCACTCGCTGTAGCTACCAAAGATCGCCCGGAGCCTGGTCTCAGCTACATTAACCAGGTGTTTGAAAGATTAAAAAACGAGGGAAGAGAGTTTCCAGCTCTTGATACGAGCATTACGAGCTCGTTTTTGGACTCGAGTGCTCCTCCCGACTGGGCCGACAGCGATGTCTGTATGCGTTGTCGAACTGCTTTTACCTTCACAAACAGAAAACACCACTGTCGTAATTGCGGAAATGCGTTCTGTGGTTTGTGCTCATCAAAGATGAAGACCCTTCCACATCTAGGCATTACTGAACCCGTTCGCGTGTGCGATGGGTGTTTCTCCAGACCACAGAATGCACGTACCACGAACGCACGGCCTGCTTCTCTCCCTCGCAGACCCGTTCCATCCGCTCAGCAGCAACCCAGTGGCCGTAGTTCAAAACAGCAGGAAGAAGAGGACTTGAGACGAGCCATCGAACTGTCACTGCAAGAACCTCGTTCGGGACGAGCAAGCACATTCCAACCAGCTCGGGCAAACGCGCCCACTACTGCGGTTACTGATGATGAAGATGAGGAGTTAAAACGAGCCATCTCACTTAGTTTGGAGGAAGCACAGAGAGAAGAAGAAAAACGCAAGTCGGCTACTACGTCTGCCCCAGCAACAACTCAGAGACCCTCATCTAATGATGCTTTTTCCTATCCATCCGTGCCCGAACATACAGCTTCCGTATCTTCTACAACTTCGTCCCCCTTTATGCCGCCTCGTCCCTCCATTCCTACTGCATCGCCGACTCCTCCGTCCCACTCTTCCAATAAGTTAAGCGATATCTCGAGCGCTGATGCCGACCAGATTGCACTGTACGTTGCTCTTGTGGAAAAGCTGAAGCGATCGCCTCCAGGTACCATCTTTACCGAGTATAAACTGCAGGAGCTTCACGATGCAATGCGAGATATGCGATCACGACTCATGCGAGCTCTTGGTGTTGCGATGAGCAAGCACAATCAGCTTTTGGAAGCCACTGATAAAATTCAGAGCTGTGTAAAATTGAATGATTCCCTTATTAAACAACGAATGGATATGACTGTTGGTAGAAATCGACCTGCATACGAGCAAACTGATGATCATAACTACGGCATTGCAAGACCCGCATCTCCGTTACATCGTCCAACTGAACCTGAACGACCTGCTGTCCCAACCAGTGCTCCAGTTTCAACCCCGGTTCCAGCTTCGGCCCCAGCTCCGGCTGCATCTGCATCTGCCTCGACTTTAACTGTCGATACTCGTCCACCCTCACCTAAATCTGCACGCCCTGCGGGACCCCGAACTCCAATTGTTATTGTACAAACGCCAGAGGAAACGGAAGCTGAAGCAGCTTTGTTCTCGGCGCCTCCTGCCTATTCTAAGGATGACAAACATTCGTCAGCTACGGCTCCCGAAAAACAGAATAATAATACACAGGAAGAGGATACTGATCTGTCTACTATTGCTCCATACTACACAGACATTTCCCCATCATCTCATCAACAGTCGCAAACATCAGCTGGTGCCACTTCTGTTCAACCGTCGAGTTCTAACGCTAACAGTTCTTCGGTTTCTAGAACAGATGAGGCCGGCGCCATTGAAAACCTATACTATTCCCAATCCCTGCGAACAAGAAGAGAGGTTCCCATGCGACAAAGCTCACCTCGACAACATCGACAACAGCAACCACCTGCGGAGGAGAAACCTTCAGTAGTCGAAGCTAGCCTTATTGAATTATAAAACCACGACTTCTTCAATCTGCATCACCGACTGTACAACGTACACCGTCCCGCTACAAGTTATTGATCAATTTTATGAATACTACCACCACTGTTATTACAAACCTTGAAATCGTAAAGTCGTTTATAGAGAAAAATCCGGGGTGTAACCCTTGATACAAGTATATTAGTACAGAACAAGTAGAAAAGTACAGGTAGGCGCTTATAGCAGCATAACACGGAAGCGTAGAGAAAACGTGTCAAGAAGAAAGAAAATAGTACAGTCTTAGTTTTACAGGTCATGTGTGCGATTCCGAAATCAGCAACACACAGACAAACAGACTTCATTGCACGGAAGAATAACACCCAAAAGTGTGCAACAAAGAACGCCCTAAAAAACGTACTTAGGGAGAGGAGACAAGAACAAAGTTCAACCCATGAGAACACTCGTGAACGCAGGGAGAATACTCACCACACATAGCACAGATCCCATGGGTACCGTAGATACAGCAAAAAATAATACATGACATGGAATCCGAGATAGAACGCTCAAAGAGACACAGAAGCATTTACAAGGGTTGTTTAGGCTTCGGTAACAGTCTGGGTCAAACCTTCAGCTAAGCTTTCAGTGGTGCTGGAAGCGACAGTGTTGATAGACTGCTCCCTTTGTAAATCGTGTCCTTCGTGCTTCTCGGGCTTCTCATGTTTCTTGTGGCGGAGCTCATTCCACAACTTGGTAGAATCAAATGGGGAAAACTTAAGATAACACATGTCCTGAGGGAAAGTCGTAGCGAAAATCATCTGGGTGTCAGAGTCCTCAGTGCGCTTATGTTTCCAATCCAATTCAATACTGGCCTTGCCGATGCAAGCAATTAAGTGCATAACAGCATAGCGTTGACCCAAACAAACATGCGGACCCGTTCCAAATACAAGCCAACTCTTAGGGCTCTTTTCAGCGGTGCCTTCGGGACCCCAGCGCTCAGGAATGAAGTTATCAGGCTCGGGGAAAACTTCGGGATCATGAAGAGCACACCACAGAGTAGGCACGACCATAGAATCCTTGGGAATCGTGTAATCAGAGCGGATGGGGAAACCCTTCTTCACACGGTAAGGAACCATGAGAACAGGAGGACGAAGGCGAAGACACTCCTTGACAACCCAGCGAGTGTATTCCATTTTGTCCACCAAATCAATAGTAATAGGGGCCTTCGGGTCACCATTACGGATAGAAATTTGCTCCTCACGGACCTTTCTCAGGACCTCGGGGTTGTCGGCGAGCATTTGGAACAGCCAGGTCATAGCACTGGAAGTAGCATCCTGAGAGGCGAACAAGAAGGAGAGGAAAGTCAATGAGATCTCTTCGTCACTGAAATCACGAATGAGGATTGAAGGCTTCTCGGCACCCTCGGCAGCACCCTTTTCCTTGTACTCACGAGCCTCAATCATCTCATGAATCCATTCATCCATCATACACGTAATAGGCTTGCCAGCTTCCATATTCTTACGAGACTGGGCAGCGGCATTCATGAAAAACTTCATAACAACATCACGGGCCTTGATACCATACCAGATTTTCGTGAACGGAAGAACGATTGGGAAGTTTACAAGTTCCATTGCGGCAGTAATACGCCAGTAATGGTCGGCAATCTCAGTAATGGCATCGTCGGAAATGTAAGAACCACAGAAAGTACGGCAAGAAACAGCAACATTGATATCACGGAAAGGAATCATGTACTGCTTATAGTCGTCCTTTGAATAATCAAGGAATTCCTTGAAATACTTATTGTACACAGCTTCCTGGGCAGGAAGGTAGTTGGCCAAGGCACGACGAGTGAACAATCCGTTCAAACCCTTACGGTACTCAACATGAGCCTTGCCGTCCAAGAAGACCCAGTTATTGGGCTTCAGAATCTTTTTTCCAGCGTCAACAACACAAGGTTGAACATAATTAGGAGAGTTGAGAATTTTACGACTCATTTCACGCTCAGAAGCGATAACGACGAACTTGTGAAATACAGATACACAGGACAGAGGACCACTCATCCATTTTGTGTGATACTTTTCAAAGGTGGGTTTCATACTGTCCAAAAAGGAACCCATAAAGGGGATTTTAACGATGGGACCGGGAATTGTTCCCTTTTGAATTTGATAAGAAACTGCATTGAGTTAGTTAAACGAAGCTGAGAAGAAGGGTAGCCACATCGACTCCAAAGAAGCAAGAATAAGAGTTGTGTAAGCGAGCAAGGGGCGTGTCAAACGCGGTCAATCGAACGTGAAAACCCTTCAAGGCACCTAAAAGCTCAATTGAGGCGTTCGGACCCTTTCTTATCCCTGAAACAGCAAAATTCTACGGCTTTCAAAGGAGAAAGTGGCGACAACAAAACTTACTTTGGTCATAAGCGATTAAAATTGCGAGAATAGTAAAACAAATCGTCCAGCCAGAAAAGTGAAGCTCATGGCCGAAAAGATGAAGAGTATGCTTTACAGCAGACTCTGTGACATTAGTTGTACCCATTAGAAGTCTAATTGAGAACTGTTTCGTGAAATGGTGGTTTATATGGTAATGGCTCTGGTTATGTGCGGAATTCGGGTGGACCGAATTAAGGCACTAACGGTTGGAGGGGAATTGAGAAATCTCGTGGTTTCAGAAATATATTGCAATTGTTTGGGTTATTATAGATTGAAATCTATCTAACGGAACGCATGTATGGAATTGAGGCGCATATGCGATTCTCGCTTGCCGTTTGTCGCATCCGCCGCGGAGAACCTGAGGGAGTAAGTCGAAGCGGGAGGGTCCCGTTGGACCCGCGAAGGAGTGTGTGTGGGTATAGGGAAATTCTGACAATAAGTGCAGTTCTACGGGAATGTTGTCTGTAGTCGTAGGAGATTGTTCATACATTAAATAAGTCATACTAGTTCACAATTTAATAGCATTTGTTGTTATATGGACATATAAATTTGTACCTTGAGAGAGCGGTCAGGCCCATTAGAAAGGGAATGCTTTGTAAGTTGGAACAGTAATTACATGGAGAATCATTAGGGTACTCTGAAAGTTACAAAAGGTATTACAGGACTCCTGGTTGGCAAACCGACGAGCGGAAGAAAGGAACGGATGACCATCTGCAAAGAGGAAGAAAAACAAACTAGCAGCACCTCAAAAAAAAAGTTCATGAAACTGGAGAAGGCTGTTGAGCATCCGTATTCATGTTTTCGTCCGTTTGTCCAAATGCAGAAGCCCACCATTTGACTTGCAATGGATCAATCATGAGTACGTCGTCAAACATTTCGTACTCTGGATTTTTGAATTCGTCCTCTCGTACGAGAAAGTAATCCCAGACGCAACGAGAACGATGCTTCACGTCGTTCGTGTTGCGTTCGTACTCCGAATTATAGAGGAAGCTTCCGTACTGGCAAGAGCTGACATGATACAAAAGGCGTCGAAGGAAGCGTTCGTTGAATTCAAAGTACTTGGGAAATTGCTGTGTCAACTGCCACACACTGTCGAGAAACTGGTGGAAAATAGGAGAGGCATATTTGTCAAAGTTCTCGCGCGCAAAGTTCGTAAGCGTCGAGTGCACAGACATGAGTGTTGACTGAAACGTGGCGGCTGCAGAATCATCAACAGTTGGATATGCGGTAAACCGTTTTTTGTGGAGAAGCGGTACACAACGCTCTTGGAATCTGTGACCAAACGCAAGCCAGTCCTTCTCCACAAGCGTCATAAAACCACGAAGCGTGCGGTAATGGGGATCCAAGCACAACTGCGGGAGGGCACACAACTGCGAGGTGCGATCCCATCCATCAGAACAGTGCACGAGAACGTGCGATCCATCCTCGTGGATGGTACGGGTAATAAGCAGACCACCCTGCAAGATACTCGAAATGTGTTTTAGCCAATGGGAACGCAATAGCAGATCTTGCTGCGGAGGGTTTGCTGAAACATCCGAATTCTTGAGCGCCGTAATCAGTTTGTAAAGCGACTCACGCATAACGTGAATATTGTCGATGCCTAAATAAGCCTTTTTTGCCAATCTGTAGTGATCCATGTTTTCGCTGCCAGCACCCCAACTGCAATGTTGGCCATGGGCATTGGTGGATGGACGAGCGTCGACAATTAGGTTACTGGAACCGGGGATGATGGATGTGGAAAAGATGGCCTCAACAAGCTTTTCGTCCTGCGCAGAGCGATTCTGTCGCAACCCGACCAGCGTTGCGACGCTCTTGTTATAGAAAACTACACATGTCGTTAGTCGGTGGCGGGGGCAGCAGTACACAGTTAAGACTTACAGAGTTTTTGTGCAAGTACGTCAAGGCGGGAAACCTGCATTTGGAGCGGTATTTGCATCCATAGTAGATAACGCTGTCAGAAACACTGGCCGGCACAGCCAAAATGCTAGGATATGTTTTACACTGCGAGTAGTCTTTGTTGATTGTTGTAAACCGCCAATTCCTTCCACAAATGACTGGTTCTTGGGCTACACCCATTCGTTTGTATTCAGCAACCAAGGAAAACGTGTCCCATGAATTAAGTTTCTGCTCCTCAACAGACGGTACGTAATAAAAAGCGTACAGCTTGGATATGTCATCCACACAAACAAGATTCTGTAAAGAGTCAAACACATCGTTAATCACCGAGTCATCGTCGAATAGTAAGCAGAAAAACATAAAATCACGACATTGGACGCGTATACATGGTTTCCCGTCGTACAGACAAAGTCTTGCACTAAAAAACTGAGCATAAGCAACCCATATCTCCAATTGAGTTTTAAAATTAGCAAAAATTAAATGGTGGGCCGTTAAATGCAATGTTCCTGTAAGTTCCTTTCCCTTTGCCAGTAGCCGAACATTATCTACCTTGTATTTTTGTTAGAACGAAGCCCACAGCAAGCTGTTTTCACGCCAGAATTAGATTCTTAACTATCATACACGGGCTATTTTAATATTATCCATTCAAATCCGCGCCAAAAACAGCAATTACAGGAATAAAAACTCCAAAATAAACAGAAATGACAAGGAAGAAGAGCACCGCTTAGAAGAAATGGATTATGAAAAGCTGTTATTATATCGAAGACTTGAGGTGAAGGATGGCAGACGCGCGAGGTAAATAACCTTAACGCCAGTTCTTGGTGTTGCACACGGGCAGGCAGGGCCGAGAGCCGCCAATGAGAATGGAAGAATACGCGACGCGCTAAATGCAAAAGAGTGGGATGTGGGGAACATACAGTGGGGGAGCATGGAGACGTGGGATAATGTGGGGTGACGTGGGTTCTCTAGGAGTGTGAAGAGTGTATATGATGAAAAGTATGAGACATGACAAGACGAATCTGTTACTAGTAGATATGCCGTATAACACAAGCCATTGGAGTAGTAAACACAGTTTACGTACAGAATAGCGCTAGTTGCCTGTAAATAAATTCTCTCAGTTCCCTCAATCCCCGTTCCATCTCATTTAACCCATTCAATTTTATTTAAAAGTTACACAAAAAATGACGAGTTGTCATTGAATTATTCCTTTCAGTCTGTTTACAGATTTATGGGTCGTTGGAAAGAAACAGAAATTCAGTTTTACCGAAAGGAGGTCTCCTGATGTTTTGATTTATTATACAGAAGTCAAGATGAGGTATCATGTGCACGAGTCCGTGCGGTTGAATGATGAGAAGATTTCTTGAATCCTAGAGTTTCTGCCGAAAAGTATTGTTTTTTCTGACCATTCTTGGAAACAAGCTGCACAATACTGCACAATATCAGGAGTCGCGAGCCCTGAATCAATTGTATCTTGACATGAATTAAGTTCATCCACCAAGAAGTCCTCCAATGCAGACTCATATAATACATACTCTTTGTAGTTAAGCATAATCAGCTTGTAAAGCAGATCGCGTCTTACCCTAGCGATTTCCCGACGTTGAATCGTATATTGCTCCTTGGGAATGCTAGAAACAGAACAAAACATTTTTTGACTGGTAGAAGTGTTAGTAGGGAGCATCATGCTAGAAATGAAATTACATACGGTTGGGATGATACGAATGCGCTCTGGTTGTGCGCCGACGGCAGAATCAAATCGTCTATATCCTTCAAGTAAACGTAGTCAACGGATCGAATGTCCTTGTTATAAAAGTTCTTCAGCATCGTCTTCGTACGAAGCTCTCTTTTATGCTCCCAGTACTGCGAACCAAGTCTTAAGAAGAACAGCTGATTTATTAGTAGAGACAACGAGAGTATTGTCAGCACAAATGCATGCGAGAAAACATAATTAAGTAACCGTTTAAAACCCGTTACTGGAAGCTGCATCAAGTCCATCATAAAACCGTCCAAAAACATTACAAAATTTGACATGATGAGTTCGGCCGAACCATGAACACATACACTAAAAGGGTTCTCCTCATTTCGCTGGACTGTTTGCGAATCTCGATATTCGCCTACCCGCCCGAATGTGCGCACAATCATTGTTAAAGGCATTTGCTTCGCCTTTTCCACTTCTTCATTCACAAGCTCAAGAGCAGCCGAGGTATAGCCTAGCGATATATCGCGCGCCGCCGATTCTATAACCTTCCAAAGAGCAAACGGTCGGTGCTTCCACTCCACGTCAGCGGAAATAATTAGTTTGCAACTATTCTTGCGATAGTGATTAATTGAAGTTTTTATACGCATTAGGAATTGATCGTGGAATGGTAGCGTCCATGACCTATGGTGCCAGACCACCAAGTACAATTGCTGCTCACGTCGCTCTTCAATGTTTTGGAAGTCTTCAAAATGCTCTGTGTGACATCCCCCATGGGCATCGAAATGAAAGAGTTTAAACGTGATCTTTCTTTCCATTCCTTTCGTTTTTGGGTCAACCACCCAGGGCATGAATTCCATGTCGTGGACATTGAATGTTCCATACAGTTTCTGCATTAACGAACTTTGATCACCAAACATTATATGAAACAAAGCCTTTGCGCTAACATCGTATGTGTTTTCAAGTACGATTTCAGAAAGATGGCTACTTCGTGAAACGTCGACAGTACCTTGTGGAACAGGAGACTTGTAAAAGTCCGAAATCGTACACAGAGTATCACTTCTTTGCAGGTGGTGAGGTACAAGAGGACTATTGGGGGAGGGTTGTTGAGTATGAAGTGATATCTGTTTCGGTGCAACAGGTAGTGTTGGACGTTGTATCAAACTCAGCGTTTTTAGTTTGCGTAAAAGCCCTTGGATATTCGTTGGATTGTCAGAAATATAATTCTGCAGTAGAAGGTTCACACGTTCCGTCAGCAACTGTGCTGAGTCTATGTAGGTGCTGAATCGAAGTGTTCCAACATCGTGAACCTTTAAGTAGAAATAATCACAACTCTGTCCGGGAAAAGTCTTCACACTCACAATGTCCTGAACAGGAAAAAACTCTGTTGTGACCAGGCCTGCATAGTAATAATATACATATATACCTTGCATGGTACAGTACATTCTTCCGGGAAGCCTGGTTTTGTCATCCCGCTTGCTGCAAATACGACAAACAAATAACACGATTGGAGCATTCACATCACAGTATAGCGCTCGAAATTCTGCATTCCGTAACTTTAGTTCAGGAGTGAGCAAGCTATCGACTTCTTTCATTGCCTTTCCATCAAGCACAGTAAGTCTTTGAACTACAGGAGGAACAGTTTGTGGCACATGAACAAAGCCATATTTCGTAGAACCCCAAATATTAGCAAGCACAGCTGACGGTATTCGAGACTCAATTGCTACACCTGGCTCTAGGAGATAAGTAAGGACCTTTGAGGTAAGCTTAGTCACCAATGGCGTCGTTCCAAAGGTGTCGGGCGCCAAAAGATCAGAGCGTCGAATGTGCGAAAATGACAATGAACGCTGAGGACCACGAGTTTCCAGGCTGCCGGACAGAAATGAATTTCGTCCAACAGAATTGCTGCGTAGACGCACAATGTTTGATAACTCATAGTTGGCTGGTCCACACAGTATCCTTCCGGGGACGTTGGGGAACACGCGTGAATCCCTCCGACTACTGGTACCAGTATTGGCAAACTTGGATCCGAGACTTTGCGAATAAAGCAGCTGAGATTTGATCATGAAACGAGTAGAGCCATTATGTATGGATTCGTCCAGTAATTTCCGATGGCGTAAATAGTAGTCATAGGAATTGCGAAACACACATATCCATTCCAGCATTTCCGTCTGGGTTTCAGCCTGCAATAGAAAGGTTGCGCCACGAGATTTCACTGTGAAGCAAAACCGTCTGCCTGAATTGACAGGTGCCACTTTACAATAGAGCACACCATAGCGTTCGCTCTCGTAGACACCGCCATTGGCATCATTAATCAAGTAACCAAACATCCCTTCCGACACATAGAACCAGAAGCGCACCCAGTTCGACTTTGCGCCGGAACGGCTGGCACTAGTATTCCACAGCAGCCAACCTTGTTTATGGGAAGCAGTAATGTTTTTGAGGTACTCATGGTTGACAAAGGTCGGGTCATATCGCGAAGACGTGCGTAACCGTTCCATGATTTCTTCTTCAAAGTGAAGCTGCATCTTCAGCATAACTTCGCGAAAGTTAGGGTAAGCATCGCGAAGGCGCTGGTTGTAGGAGAGCATTTTTTTGACCAATGGTATTTTGCTATCATTAGAAGAGTGCAACACTTCTGCTGATTTATACGTTTCGCTACAGAACTTGCACATACTGTCAATGATTACAGTATCGAGTAGTGTGCGAAAGTCTGTCAATGCATCGCTACATTGGGCGGCAACATTAAAATAATTGCTGCGTGCTTCCCTCAATTGCTGGCTTTCGGTCGAATTGCGTTCGTTGCTCTTTTTCTTCGTTTGTGCGGCATACCGGAAAATGGCCGAGTCGTAGGTCTCCTGCATTTCGCGGAATTTATTAATCAATTGAATTAAAGGAACCAGCTTATCATCGCGAAAAAGTTCAAGAGGCGAAATAATGTACAATTCCAAGTGTTTTGCCTAAAAGTTGTGTAAGAGAACACAAAAGAACCCTTTATGTTTCGTTAAAAAGCCGACAGACACCCGAGAGCCGCAATTTGGGTCTTTTCGTCAAAAACATTGAACATACCTGCTCTAAATCCACCAAGTAAGTTGAACGGAGCATCTCCTGTGTCGTAAAAATGGCCAGAGACGTGTAGTCTGAGTCTTTGACGCGCAAACGTGTCAGTAATTGTGTTCTCGACAATGTCCTCTTAAGCTACAGCTCGTTCTCTCATACATACCGAACAACGAGAAAGACGGGACCTCCGAAACATGATGCGAGGATATGGTAGAAACTATTTTTTCCAAACCTAGTGAGCAGGTTAGAACAGGAACGTCAAAAGGGGGCATCCACAGCGGAACACGTGCCTCGAACCGTATCAACACAGGTTGTGAGAAGCGACAGATACTCGTCTAGCCAGCTCTGGAGATTAATTGCCTGTGAACTGAGGAATTGAACGGATGCCCGGAAGGACGGCGAGTCGATGCTGCATTCGTTCAGAAGTATGGGAATTTCTTGCCACTTGTGGTCTTTCATTGTCAGCGTCTTGTCCACAATAAAAACCGTCCAAATCCCATTAAATTCAACAAATAGCAGTGCAATTATGGGACATGAGAGTGGTTGGAAAAAAGCAGGTGTCGCTACCTGCTGCCGGCACTACTATAATACCGAAATAAGCTTAATTGGAATAAGCTTTTCTGCTGACATCACCGCCATCACTCCATTGCTCACCATGACGTAAGGATGTAATTCGCGAAGAGTGTCGCAGAAAGCAGTGGGGTCGGCCGGTAGTAGGCCGAAGAGACGAAAGGACTCGCAACAGCAGCAGCTACAGTACTTCCGACGTCATCAGCGAGTATCCGTCTTGGGAAATGTTCTTGTTATAAAAAACAGCACATCTGGCATATCCGAGGTCTGGAACAGATTTATCTCATCCATCCTACATGTCCCGAAACGTCTCGTCATTTTCTGAGTAATGCGGTTCCTCCGACAGTTCCCCTATGACAATTGGCGCTCATAGAGCCACGTGGAAAACTTGCATTTTAGCAGACGTCATTACCATTACCGGACTCCGCATGCCGTTGAGAGATCTGCACCGAATTTTGAGTTTGTTAGCCCTGTTAATTACTCATAATAACCATATAAATAACAAGTTTACGATATACAAGCTCACTATATTCTACGAAAACGGTATGTGTAATAGATTGTTCTTCCCCTTTGCTTTTTTTGCACTCGTTTTTGCTGCTTATTCGCGTACTCGGCAGCTTATGAGTGGATAAGACCACTTTGCCTATCACGCTAGTAAGGGTAATCCACAAACAAGCTTTGCGGTGGTCGTAATACTCCACAGTGCACCAGAGCTTCCTGGTCAGAGCCGAACCGTTGTTAAGCTCATTTCGTTGTTATTTTCTGGAAATTTGGTACTGTTTTGACAATAGGTTTACTAATTCCTAAGGTACATAAGATATTTTTAAAAGTTTGGTCGTTTGCTCTTTTTTCCGGCTTAAAATAAGCTATTTTACGTGATATCTCACGTCTCAGTCATTTTTTCTCGCTTCAAGCTATGTTACAGTAAACTATTTACAACTATTTCGAACCTACATTCGTTGAAAATACTGATTTCGTGTACTTCGTCCCGTGCTTTTGTTTCTAGTAAATTGCCAAAACCAATTTCAACTGCTCTTCTCTTTAAAAGCTCGAACTTCTTATCCTTTGGACGGGAGTACGAGGCTTACTGCTCCTTTGACTTCCATAACACTCTCTGTCGCATTCGTTTGGCATTCAAACGTCTTTTGCCCTCTTCACAACGCTCAACTAGCCCTTTGAAGCATTCTTTCTGTGTTTGAACAGTCTCATCCTTACTAAAGAACAAATTATTTCCCGGCTATATTCATCCTTTTGCCCAGGTCTTGTACTTGTCCCTTCTTTTCCCAGCCAATTGCCTTAGAATATGTCTATTTTGTCCATGGAAAACTCGACTCTTGATGTAAACACAGCTGATGTCAAACCGTATTCTTCCCGTCCTTCTCCCAGTCGAACAATGACTATTCTGCGCAAGGGTTTTGCTCGCTCATTCAGCCGGAGCTCTACATCTTCTGAAAGGCCAGCGAAACCCGAGAAGCCCGAGAAACAAGAGAAACCTAAAAAGGAGAAGACCTCCTTTGCTCATCGTCACTTTCGCCGCAGCAAGCGGAAAGAACATCGCCTTGAATCGAATTCTCCTTTGACTGCTCCTGCCTTAACAATTGATGAAGTTGACGAAAAATCGACGAATGTTGACCCCAAAGACGACTTTGTGCCCACTTGCGCTACCGCCCAGAATGCTAAGCTTCACCTTGCTCAGGCACGCTCTTGCAGCCCGCAGAAAATGCACAATAGTGAGGCTTGCTGTAGATTGTCTGGTTCCCTAAATTCTCGAGACGCAAAACCCGTCCCTCCTGCTGCATCGCCTACCATACCTTCATCACTGTCTTTTCAATCCATACGCAATCTGAAGCGACTAACCCTACGGAGCCGCAAGCCCTCTTATAACAGCTTGCGGAGTGTTGAGACAACAAGTGAAAGCAATTCCATGCTGTCTGTTGCGACCTACACCCAAGGTGTGGATGATGTGTCTCCTTCTTCCGAACATAAACACTGTTGTTGTGACGAATCGCAGGATACACTTATTGTCCAGTCGCCAGCGTCGACAATGTCTTATGCACCATTCTCTTCGAGAAACTCCCGCTTATCTGACTCGGATTCTCTTCACAAGCGTAGCGCAGACTACCCACGATCCAGCTCCCACATGTCATTCACAAAACCCGCCAGCAATCATTCTTCCTCCGCATCTCCAGAACCTTCCCAAAATACACCCACGTCCGCCACACAGTCAAAACCTTGGAAAAAAAGAAGAAACCGCGCGCGAAGCTCTACAATTCCATCACAACGCAGTTTGGAAAAGCTCCGCGACAATCGGATAAGTATTTTTAGCTTCCGAAGCTTACGAAAAGAGGGTGAAGAATGTCTAAATCATGCTTTGGAAGAGTCGGGCCTGCTTTATGATATTAACTCTTATCCCACACGCGGTTCAGAAGGCAGTATTGATGCGCCGAAACCTCTTGACGATGAGACAGCAGAATCGTACCTCGAGCGTGTTCGCAAGTCCGTTCCTCCTTGTCACATTTCTAGTGCATTGGCACAAAAAGATTATGCTTTGTATCGTCAGGCGTTGGATTTACAGATGAAGGAATTTAACTTCACCGATATGCCTATCGACATTTGTCTTAGACAGTTTTTATTAAAAGCCCACTTACCAAAAGAAACACAACAAATTGATCGAGTGATTACAGCTATCTCAGAACGCTTCTTTGAGTGCAACCCCGACATGTTTTCCTCTCCTGACAAATGCTATATCCTTGTCTTTTCGTTAATTATGCTGCACACCGATGCATTTAACGTTAACAACAAACACAAAATGACAAAACCAGAGTTTGTACAGCTCTGCAAGATGGACGGTCTAATGAATGAAGTAATGGAATACTTTTATGACAACATCACATACACACCCTTTGTGAACTTGGAAGACGAGCTATTATCAGAACGTGAAAAGTCTGAATCTCGTCAGAGCCCCCTTCAAGCCTCGTTAAAAAAGAGTCGATTTGCTCTTTATCCATACATGTTTATTCTCGAGGTATGGTTTAACATGTGCCGCAGGTTTGGTCTGTATACTAATGCTTTATTTTAGAACAAAATGGATTTGCTGCGTTCGGGTCTTTCGCTGTATCCGTTTAAGCACACATACTACTGTTACAAGAGTGATCCACAATTGGAGCTGGAGTTTATTCGTAACAAAATTGCTAATCCAGCAATTCTTCAAATTGTGTCTGAACGCTCTCATCCAATGGCGTTTTCCGGCCATTTTCGAGGATTGCCTGACAACGCAGACCCAGGCATGGTAGACATCCATGTTGCCTCTCTCGATACTCTTCTCTATTCCGACAGAAAACGCAAATCATTCTCTACATCTTTTCTCAAAGAGGGTCTTGTGATACTAACGACCTCACAGCTATATCTGTTTCGTAACATGCGCTGGGCTCGAAAGTTACAAGCTCAGGTGAAAAAGTATGAAAGCAACAAAAGCAAGACGAAACCGCCGAACAAGCAGCGATTCTATCGCTTTATAACGAATCACAGCGACTCCACACTGTCGATCAACAGCACGCATGCACCGTTGAAGACCGACGAAGTCGCTCCTCTTGTGTTCAAGCCGCCCGTCAGTAACTTCAACCCGGATAGTGCGATTTCATTGATCAATGCTTTTGCTTACACTCGTTCAGACAATTCAGAACTTCCACGCAACTCGTTCATCGTTCTCCTACGCGATGGCTCCGAGGAGGTGTTTGTCGCGCGCTCAAAGGAAGAAATGTTTGATTGGATTAATCGGATCAATTACATTGCTACATTGCGCACCGCTGGTATTCGTGTTCCTGTAAAAGGTGATCGCTCTTGGGGCACGAACCGATACGAATATCTTACAAATCCGCAGGATGCTGCGGAGCTTGTAGCGATGGAGCAGCAAATGTATCGTGATGTAGAGTTCGCTCATATTCGCTCCATCAAAGAACGCATTGGGCAAATAAAGTCATCACTACAAGACAGAAAAACCAGTCTTCTGTCCCACAAGCGGAATGCTATTCATCTTTCCTTCTGTACGCCTTTGCAATCAAAAACTCGGGCTCTTGTTCAGGAAGCCGGTAAAAAGCTTCAGGAGTCGGTGCGAGCAGACCATTTTGAAATTCTGAAACTGCAATGTCAGTTGAACATCTTGCGATGTGAATTACAACATGCTGCTGACCGCTTAGATGACCTGTCGTTGCCCAGCGATTGTAGCATTCATGATGCGGAAGACGAAGCAAACTTTACTACATTTTTTGAGGACCAGCCTTATCCTAGAAACTCTTCTTCGAGTGCCACTTCTTCGGCACGAAATTCACGGTCGGAAGAACGACGTGGCAAACTACAGTCTGTAAACACTCTGTCCGAGGCTGACTTGATGAAACAAGAGGAACAGGCAAACGGTGATAGTGCTATGCCCTCCACGTCTACTCTTGCTCCCGTCTCTTCTGAATGTTCAGTCAATACCGTTGTACAAACGCGTCCGAAGAAGCTTCATCTGGAGATTAGAAGTCGTTCCTCCATCTCCAGCAGCAGTGGATGCAGTCTAAATGACAACTCTAATCTTGTTGCTACGCACGTCGAGTGTTGGCATCCTGATTATGATGCGAGTCGCACAATGCCGTATCGTCGGTCCCGTACAGCAGAGCTGCGTTCCAAGAGAGACTCTTTATTTGTCAGAGACCGAAAGGGTACGGAAGAATGGGTTCAACCTCCGTCGGATGTTGAGTCTCAATGGCACTCAGCAGCCGAAGAAAGTGAACTAGAGGAAGCGAACGGCGGTCGTTCTTGATGGCATGTGGTGTCGGTTTTTGCTCGTCAACATTTTAACTACCTATGGGAAAAAGATCCTCATTATTTCTTAAGCAGAGATAAAAAAGTTTTCCTCGCGCTATTCTTCATTGCCCTTCTGTCACTCTTTCTGTACTCCCATCTCTCCTACCTTCTTCACCTTCCTATATCTATTACTTGTCCCTCTCCTTAGCAACCCGTCATCATTGTCATTCGTGCCTTCTCTCTTAAACCTTCTTCTACCACCCTTCCTCTCTCTCTCTCTCTCTCTCCCTTTCTTCGTCTTCCCTTACTACCCCTCTCTATCCCTTACCTTTTACACTACTTACATTAAATACGAGCTCCCTTCCCTTCCTTCTCACCCAGTGTTTCGCCATCCACTACTATACAAACCATACAGCCCAGGCCAAACAGAATAAAAACTCATAATTACATAAAAGTAGACTGTGCATGCATGCGTGCGAAAATGAAGAATGAAGGAATGTGCTGTGCCGAGCGTAATGCTAGTACATTGGCCCTGGCATATCCTTTCCTGCATTTTTATATCTAAGTTGAAGTTAGTACGTGTAAGAGTTAAGGACACCATGTATCGCCAGTTGCATCGAATGGTCTATCGACATACCGTTTCTTTTCATAAAACCAATCCGTCCTACTTGTACCAAGATTCACGACTCGGGGACATCCGTCACGGTCATATTCGAGCCGTGTACACTCGTCACAATAGTAGCAATCCGAAACACCCGGAGCACCACAAATGATACAACGGTCTTGCGAGCTTCCAAACGCACACTCGTCACAAATCCGAACAAGCGTTTTGGGACGGACGTAGGAATCACAAATCGGACACTTGCCGTCACAGCGTTCACACACTGTAAAAAGATGTTAGTATAAGCTAGAATACACACACAAAAAAAAGAAAAACCGCAAACGAAGTTACGGATCATCAGAAAAGTAGATTTGCTAAACGCGTCCTCACTCTCTGAACAACTTACGTCTTCCTATAGAGATACCAGTCTGTCGACGACAAAGTACCAAATCGGGATGATCTGCAGAACAGTCAGAAAGAGGTCAAGTACATTGCAAACAGCATACGTTTTGACATTTTTTAGCTTGCTCACGGCGTGCACCTGTTCCTAGGTACTTTCAACAAGTGCTCTATGTAGGGAATCCAGTCTCCCTTATATGGTGGTGGTGAATACTTTGGTGGAGTGCCACCGTGGCAGATCCCCCACACTGATCGACATGCAGATCATCGGGAACCGTCCCAGCACACCACGTTCGTCAATCGTCAGTCTATTTGTGTCCGGACTAGCCCGAACAGTCATTTAAAGTTGAAAAAGGTTTTCGTTTGCCGAATGTATGACATCATCATCCTCAAATAATCTACGCGTGCTCGAACGCGTCTCACCGAACAACTTTTTAACTTTAAATGTCCTTTTTGGGCTCAGTAGCCTTCTGCATTTTTGCGTACTTCTCTGAGAGAAGCTCATAATCATTCGTAACAGCATCCAGCTTTTCACGAAGAGTTTTCTCTTGTTCGGAAGGCTTGGAGGCAGTAGCTTCACTCTGCTCCAAACGCTTGGTCAAAGCGTCAACGCGATCCTGAGTCGTGAACAGCTTGCTGAGAGCAACGTAGTGTCTGTTGAGAATGAGAGAAAGGAACAGCGTGAATCCACAGAGGTACATGTTACGCTGGGCGTAGAACTTGCGAGCCTGAACTTCAGAACGCATGGATTCAGGGTGAGCAGACACTCTAGCGTAATTGTACTCTTCAGTGACCTTCATAACGCGAGAAACAGAGTCAATAAACAAGACAATAATAAAGATGAATGTGATTTTCATGCTGTATTGCACTTTTCCAATGAAAGGAGAGCTGGCGCAAAAGTTGAACACGCTCTTTCTCAATCTACGAGGAAGAGGAATAATCAGCACCAAAAACACGATGATCTCCATCATCAGGAGCAGAAATACGAGTGAATAGTACAGCGTCATGTTGTTGTTTGTCTCGAAAGAAAACAGCTCGAGGCGTTGGTAGAAGACAGGAACACGTACACGGTACTTCCCACCTTTGTACCTTGCAACAGGCGATGACGTCATCAACGCTAAACGAGTGAGCCTGTTACGAAATGTCAGAATGATGAAATAAGAGCGACGCGCTTAATGCAGTCGCGTCGCACGCGCTATGTAAACAAACAGGCTACTGGAAAGGCATTGGAAGAGGGGGACAGTAGAGAAGGACAGGACAGCACAGCACAGCACAGCACAGCACAGAACGGCACAGAATTCAGCTTTCAGTTGCAACACTGTCTCCCGCGCTTCGTCAAGAACCGACTCCTGAGCCTCCTCGAACCATGAATATGTACAAACTGTAAGGACCAATTGTATATTGCTGCATTTGGAATGCTGCGGCTTGTGTTTAAATACTGAATATCTATCGTGTTACGGGTATTACGGTTTCGGCGCAAGGAAAGTTAAACAAGCACGTCGGAGGGGGGGAAGAACAAAAAGACGAGATTGGGAACAAACAGGAGTGCGTGTTTACCAGTCGTTCTTGCCAGCAGGTTTCTTGGTTTTCACGGGCTTGAAACGAGGGCTGCTACGCTTGATATTCATCCAAGGATAGTTGGCCTCACGCTCAGCCTCGAACTTGTCAATTTTGTCGGCCTTTTGCATAGTCAATCCAATGTCGTCAAGACCGTTAACCAAGCAGTGCTTGCGGAAGGGCTCAACGTCGAAGGGAATGCTCTTCTCACCAACCTTGATGACTTGGTTGACGAGATCAACGGTGAAGGGAATTTTCTCCTCGGCAGCCTTCATCAACTCGTTCACAGTGCTCTCGGGCATGGGGATGGGGAGCATACCGTTCTTGAAGCAGTTGTTGAAGAAAATATCGGCAAAGGAAGGAGCGATGATGACACGAATGCCAAAGTCGTTCAAGGCCCAGGGGGCGTGCTCACGAGAACTACCACAACCAAAGTTGTCGTGAGCAACAAGGATAGAGGCATGACGGTAAGGCTCCTTGTTCAAGACAAAGTCAGGCAACTCCTTGTCGTTAGAGTCATAACGGATTTCATAGAAAGCAAACTTGCCCAGACCAGTACGCTTGATAGTCTTCAAGAATTGCTTGGGAATAATTTTGTCCGTATCAACGTTGGCAATAGGCAAGGGAGCAGCAACACCAGAGACAACAGTGAACTTGGGAATGCCACCAGCAGCGACACCTTGTGCCTCGGGCAAGCTCGTGGTGACGTCGTTCGAGTCGGTGACGGCGTCGGTGGCCTCGTCAACAGACATAACAATTTCGCCGTCGGCCTCGGGAGCGGGCTCGTACTTCTTGTTCCACACACGGACTTCGCCGGAGCCTTGGACACCCAAGTACTCACGGACATCACACATGTAACCCTTAATAGCAGCAGCAGCAGCCATGGCAGGGCTGACCAAGTGAGTACGACCCTTGGCACCTTGACGGCCCTCGAAGTTACGGTTCGAGGTCGAAGCACAACGGTCATAGGGCTCGAGCTGGTCGGGGTTCATACCCAAACACATGGAGCAACCGGCCTCACGCCAGTCGAAGCCAGCCTCGATGAAGATTTGGTCGAGTCCCTCACGCTCAGCCTTGGCCTTCACCAAACCCGAACCAGGGACAACCATGGCATCCTTGATGTTGCTGGCAACCTTGCGGCCCTTGACCACGGCAGCGGCAATACGCAAATCCTCGATACGAGAGTTCGTGCAGGAACCGATGAAGACCTTGTCGATCTTGTATGAGGTGATGGGAGTGTTGGGCTCCAAACCCATATACTCCAAAGAACGCTTGACGGAAGCAATACGGACGGGGTCGGTCAGGTTGGCGGGGTCGGGGACGAGACCGTTGATGGGAATAACGTCTTGAGGAGAAGTACCCCAGGTGACGGTGGGGATAATGTCGGCAGCGTCGATCTCAACCTCGATGTCGTACTTGGCGTCAGCGTCAGACTTGAGGGTGCTCCAGTAGGCAACAGCGGCCTCCCAGTCCTCGCCCTTGGGCGCCAAGGGACGACCCTTGACGTAGTCGAAGGTGACCTGGTCGGGAGCAATCATACCGGCACGGGCACCGGCCTCGATGGACATGTTACACATGGACATACGGGCCTCCATACTGAGAGCCTCGATGGCCTCACCGGCAAACTCGATGACACAACCAGTACCACCAGCAGTACCGATCACACCGATAATGTGGAGCATAAGATCCTTGGAGGAGAGGCCAGGAGCGAGCTTGCCGTTCACACGGACACGCATGTTTTTGCTCTTACGCTGGAGAATGGTTTGGGTGGCCATGACGTGCTCGACCTCACTGGTACCGATACCGAAAGCCAAGGCACCAAAGGCACCGTGTGTGGATGTGTGAGAGTCACCACAAACAAGGGTGACGCCGGGAAGGGTGAAACCCTGCTCGGGACCGATAACGTGGACAATACCTTGACGTCTGTCGCTCATGCCGAAGTACGTCAAGTTGAACTCTCTCACGTTAGCCTCCAGAGCCATCACCTGGGTGCGGGAGTCGGGTTGGTGAATGAAAGAAGCAACATCCTTCAGACCCTTACGCGAGTCGGTGGGAATGTTGTGGTCAACGGTGGCCAGAGTAAGCTCGGGACGGCGGATTTTACGGCCAGCAGTGCGCAAACCCTCAAAAGCTTGGGGAGAAGTAACCTCGTGACACAAGTGACGGTCAATATACAGCAAATAAGTGCCGTCTTGCTGCTTGTCGACAATGTGGCTGTCGAAAACCTTGTCGTACAGAGTCTTGGGAGCCGACATGTTTTCAGGTACAAAAAAAGTTTTTCTGACGAAAAGATCCAAACGAGTTGTGAATTACGTACAAAAAAACGCCGAAATCCAGAGAAAAAAACGACGTGCGGGATAACCAACGGTCTATGTTCTTAATGAGAGACAAAAGAGGACCGAATCTGGGTGAATTAGTGCTGTTTTGCTGGCCTTTTTTCCACTTGGGCAGGCGACTTCGGGATTGGGGTGTTGGTTAAGGTTAGGTTGTTTTCGCAGGTCGGGAATGCATGTTCCCATTTATATGCGCTGTCATTGGCTGGAGTTGCCCGATTAGCGATGGGAATTACCGAAAGATGCGATCAGTAGTGCAGCACGCAGATGGAGCACGCACAGGCACGCAGAAGCACCGTGCGGCGTGGTATTCCGCAGTAAATGGAACAGCGCAGCTTTGCGAGGGTGGCGCGTCCACGCAGCGCTGTGATAGAGCACGGTATGCACTGTACCGCACTGCACCGCACTGTACCGCACCACTGCGCACTACTACGCATTGCTTCGCACCTTAGCGAGTCTTCGTGCCGGCCCCTCCGCGGGAACGCCCAGATCTACGAACGCGTCGCGGTTTGCAAATCCCGCTCGAGACGATCACCCACTTTCTATCAGACCCGCAGCCCACTCGTCAAATGAAAACGCGTACGCGTGCGCGAACACGCATCCCGGAGCACCGACTCCTGTCCTCGGTGCGCATCATTCCCCCCTGCAAGCGCTAGTACACGAATCGCTTGAAAACAAGAAAAACCCCGTTCGCGTTTCAGACGCGTAGGAAGCAGAAACGGTGTTTTCCAGCGATTTTTGCCTATCCTCGGCAAAGGTTCGCGTTCGGCAAGACGCGCTCAGGAGAGAAGCTAGTTTGGTGGCGACAGCCGCCGCACTTACGTCACATCTCGCTTCTCCCCAGGCGTGTTGCCTTCACCACCAAAACAACCCGACACTCCAATACACTTAAACGGGCTAGCGTGCGTGCCACACCACTTAACCTCTACCAACCACTCAACCACCTCCAGCATCCGCCGCAACGCGGGCGAATTCAAGCAGTCGTCGATATTTCGTCAGTTTTGTGCTATTGCCATCGTGTAGGATTGCATTAGTTAAGTCGGTACCCCTTTTTCCGCTGTCGAAAACAACGCTGTGGTGAGTTAGCATCATATTTCCGCTACCGCTTATCCGTTTGACCCTGTGCGGTATTTTTAAACAAGTAGACCTGCACAGTCAGCGTTCTTAACATTAATCGCAGCCCTTGGTTTGTGTGGAATCTGCTAGTCGCGTTTCAATTGTCGAATAACCTTATTCGAGCGCGCGTATTTCGGCTCTCAGCTACTGTCGTTTCACTCGAACGTGTTGCTGTTTGGATAAACAGGAACGCCACAACCCTTTGCCGACGCGTTTTCTTGTGGCTGGTTTAGTACTTGGTCCCGTTCGTCTCGTCGCCAGTCGTTTATTTGTCTCGTCTGTGTGTCCGGTTCGCTTGGTTTCCTCCAGTTCACGCTTCTTCTCTCCCCTTTTTACACCGACAATTGTCTCTTGCCGCTGCCTAACGCTCACGTAGTCTGCTCGGTTACCGACTGTGTTCACTAAAACTGAAACTTCTGGGTCTCCTGGTTCATTGTCACGATGCCTTCGATAGCATTGCCCATATCAAAACCTTCTCACCACTCGGTGAGCTTTCTAAACGCTTCCTCCGGTTCGTCTAATACTGGTGCTGGCGCTGGTGCGTCGGGAACGGGGAACGGAGCGAGTTTAGGCCTGGCCGGCTCTCTGAACAGCAATCTGGCTGCTTCTTTTGGTCTGAGTCCTCAGTCATGGGGCAACAGTTTTTCTGGCCAAGCATGGCTGAAGGATGCGCTGCCTAGCATCTCGGCTATCGACCGTTCGTTCGAGGAAGACTCCTCGTCGTACCTTAACCGACTCGAAGAGGCTTTCTGCCGCGATTTCAACTGCTGCGGAAAAAACCTCGGTGACCTGCACGAACTTATCCATCACTATGAGGAACAGCATGCTGTCCTTTCCTCCGAACCCTCTTCTTCCTCAGACGCATCCTCCCCATCTGTAGAAAACTCTAGCATTGCTTTGAATTCCAGTCACGATGATGTGCCTGCACTGAGGAAACTTGACAGGATTTGCATGCACAATTTAGAAGGTAACATGAGCATGGATACCTCTGAAAACTCGGCTGTCATGCCCTTTGTGTTTCCCACCAATGATGCCTCTAACAATGCATACCGTGTGTCGGTCGTCGTGCCGGCTTCTGCGGCTGCAGCAGTGAATGCGTCGTCCGCCGAGATGAATGACCTTGGCATGCCTGGCATCGATCCGTCGAATCTCTCCGATGGTTTAACGATCGACACTGCTCCCCCGATGGGAGACATGAATCTTGCCGTGGACATGAGTGGCCCGAATTCCCCGTTCCATGGCAAGCGCGACATGTCTACTTTTCTGCCTCCTTTCCCCGCCGACCAAGACATCTTCAGTTTCCCTAGTCCCGCTCCCGACATGCGCACTCAGTCTGCATCAACACGCGAGTCTTCGATGGAGAGGTCTCCGTCTGTTGCATCCCAAACTTCCATTCCTCCCGCATATCACAACGAACCCGCCGTGCGTCCGTTGGAGGTCAAGGATCGGGCGTATACGAAGAAGCTTCGTCATTCATCGCATGTTCCGATGACTATTGATTCGCCTGGCTCCAATCTTGTCGTCGTCGACAAGCCCTACAAATGTCCTGTTGAGGGCTGTGACAAGGCGTACAAGAATCAAAACGGTCTGAAATACCATAAGCTTCACGGCCATTGCTCTCCCATCACCACTCCCACTCCTACTCCCGTTCCCATGCAAGGTTTTGTCGTCGAAAACAAGCCGTATCGGTGCGAGCTTTGCAACAAGCGGTACAAAAACTTGAACGGTCTTAAATACCATCGTTCACACAGTCATCTCCAAGTGTCCGTTGCACAAACTCAACGGGATGTTCAGATGAACTATATGCGTCAAGACAGGGGACAGGATCGTCTTTCATAATAATGCTTTCTAGGACTTTGGATGTTTCTTTTTTCTTCTTTCCGTTTTTCTTTTTTGAATGGTTTCTGTTGTTGTTATATCCCTCATAATACTGGTTTGCTTTTTTCAACTATTTACTGGCTCTGTTTTTACATGTTGAACATGTGATGTTCATGCAAACTTTCGTTTTGTTTTTCTTCTTCCTTGCTGCGTTGTGTCGACTTTATAGCGGCAACAAGACATGAGGCGCTCGCTCAGATTCCCCGTCCGGTATACACACACACACACACACACACAAAAGATAACACCATTGGCGGTTTTCCAGCTCATATAGTTGGTGTCGACCGGAAGCGCTTGTGCGACTCGGTCGTCTTTTAGTGCTTACACACTGCTGCTGTCTTTCATATTTATGTTGCCGGAATTTTATCAAGTTGAGTCAACCTCTACTAGCAGTTTGGTGTCTTCTTATCGTGGCTTTTCCTATAGCCGATAATAAATCAATTAATTGTACACTAGCTAAAGATGTGCTCTTACATCTTTCTGGTCTATTGCTCTCTGTAGCGAAGTTGATTGCCTGCTGCCTTGGTGATGGGTTCTCTGGTTGCTGCGTGCAACCTGATCTTTTTGCTTCGAGCTGTGTTGATCTGCTGGATGAGGAAGCCCTTTCTCAGTCTCTTTTTCTCTTAAAAGGTTCTGCCCATATCTTGTTGTTTTGTTAATACTGGTAGTTTCGGTTGGATAATGTATACCGAAGCTGCCTTCAACGCTGCAGTCGATTCTATTCCCGCAACCATTCTTTGGGAGGCTACATCCTTACCTTGTTTTTTCTCTTGGATTTTTGTTTTTATTTCCTTTTCTTTTCTTTTTCCTTTTGGTTTGGTCTAAATTCGTTTTTTGGGTATCGCAAATACATTCTTGATTTTAACAAATAGCTGACGGAAGGCATGTTCGTTGTGTATGTTTTGTAGGCGAGATTTGTTAGTAGTATTCGTTAATACTTGTCATGTAAGTAAATGACCTGTCCCCGTTGTAGCATCTCCCAAGTTTTCTTGTCGCTTGGGTATGCAATAAATGAATGAAGAATGTGAAAATGAATATCGAAAAACTTTTGTACTGATAAAATAACACATACATACATCACTCTCTCTTTCACTTAATTTGTTATCGTATTCACAAAACTAATTAACGTCCTTTCCTTCCCCCCAAAAAAAAACAACCGGCTTTACAAAAATCACGAGTGCATCTATCCTTCCGCCTCATCCATACTGTTGCTCTTGTGCTTCGGTGTAAACGTAAATCGAGGGGGAGTTGGTCCAAGAAAACGTTCACTCAACGAAATCCAGTCGGCAACGTTCGGGCTAGCTAACATGGCCTCCATGTCATCTCTGGCCTTATATGCAGGAGCACGCTCGTTCAATTTAGGATTGACACCCTCCTCGTACATGGCAACAGGGGTATAACGATGGAAGAAACTCATAAACTCGAGGAAGAATCGACGAGTTGTATTCAAACCACGTTCATCGGCACCCCAATAAGATAAACCATGATTGCAGAACTCTTGCAACATTTCCAATCTCTGTGTAGATGACTTATCGATTGATTGACGAGCTTCAATTTCTTCGAATATCCATGGTTTTACGAGTGCACCTCTAGCGATCATAACAGTGTCGACACCGGTTTCCATTCCATCATACCAATCCTTGTATGTAAAACAGTCGCCATTTCCGATGACAGCCATGCGTTGGTTTCGCATGGGAAATGCGTCCGGTTTCTCTTCCAGTGCCTCATTCAACGTACGAATTTCAGTGGCACATTGGCGGACATAATCCCAGTCGGCCAACTTTGAGTAACGCTGTTGGCGTGAACGACCGTGCAGGGTTACGGCAGAAACATTGGTCTCGTGGAAGATACGTGTCATCAACCGTTTAGCGATGGGATGGTCATCCCGACATCCCATACGAAGCTTCACCGTGGTAGGCAAAGAACCGGAAATGGTATCAATGCCCTGTAACGAGCGGATTAGTCTTGTGTGGTTATCAAGCAGAGCGGAACCAGCACCTTGGCGGTACACGAGGTCAATGGGGCATCCACAATTCAAATCCAAAAAGTCAAGACCATCACAGTACTCGGACAAAACTTGAGCGGTTTTCACACCTTGCCACAGCTTTCCACAAGCCAGTTGAATGCCAAAAATGCCACGTCTGCCCGTTTTCATGGTTTGACGTTCACTTTCGACACCGCGAACGAGTGCCCATTCTGGCTGGTGACCCTGCATAAGAGGATAGCAAAGCGCCATTTCCGAATAAAATGTATCAGCACCAAAACTAGCACAAAGTTGACGGAAAGCTGGGTTACCAACCGTAGTGAGAGGTGCAAGCACCATACGATTGCGCCAGTCAATTACTTTTTTTTCTTGTGGGCGAAGAGTAGGCAATTCCAAAAATGCTCTACCTTCAAAAGAAGTGTCGGTAGCAGGTTGCGCAGTGGGAGGTTCGGTAGCAGTGGGAGCAGCTTGCTCTGTGCTACTAGCAGCCTTCTGTTCTCCCGATGTGACAGCTTCACTCACAGAGGTAACGGCCTCTTCGCCTGATGCCGCTACACCTTTCTCTTCGATTTCTTTCTTTTTCTCCTTCTTTGCTGCTTGTCGTTCACTATTACGGTCGGATTGTTTCGAGTCATCCTTGTTCATAGGACCGAGAACGAGAGCAATGACTTCCTCGCTTTTCGAGAGGTCAAGCTGTTTGGTACGTAGTTTTTTTTGAACCTCTTTGTTCATGGAATTTGTGACCTTCGTTGGTGCCTTGGCATCTGGTCGAGTTACAAGGACATGGTTGCCGTCTTCGTCTTCGCGGACATGTCCTGAAAGCCATCTGCACTTGAAACCCGCAGGGCACCGTCCGTATTTATCAAACAGCGTACAGACCTTGCCGATGTCAGGCTTCTTCTGAGCCAAATAAGCTTCGACATCATGAGGAAACCGGCATTCCGCGCCGTACGGACATTCTTCTCCTAAAGAAATACGAGGACACAGTGCATTGTCTTCTCGAACAATGACTTTGTTTCTCCGTTTATTCTGGCCACGTTCTTTCCGTTTTCTTTTTTCACCTGTAGCACCTTGGGCAGGTTCTGCAAGAAATCTTCCATGATGAGTAATTTGTTCCAAAATCTAGCACGTACATACTCTTTTTTAATAGCGGCAACGCCGTTTTCAGCCATCCCTGCAGCTTATGAAAGAATCCGGTGAAACAAGGTGTTTGGTAAAGGACAGGTCCGTTAGACTCCAGAAAGCGACAAGGTGCAAACCATCAATTCATTGAATTTCACCTTTTATCAATAAGAATTAAGAATCAGTAATTCTCGGTGCGGTATCGGGATTAACAAGAACACAAATTCGTTGAAAACGGGCAGAATATGGAGAATTTAAGTTTGAGGAATCATCATCAAGAGAGTCACACTTTTTGAAAATTTAACAGTGTTATAAAGATATACAGCGTATTTTTAATCGTATTCTACGTGCATCCATCCTATTTCCTTGTCGAATTTCTCATTTTCTGTGATTTTTGCTACCACCTGTTTAAGCAGTTTGCCCAGTGCACCGTACGAACTGTTCACTTAACCCACACACATCAGACGCAGGTTCAAATTTTGGTGAAATGCGGGTTTTTAGTACCTTTGTGCTCCTTGCGAAGACTGTTCAAACAGTTTTTGGCAAAGGTTTGTTGCTAGAACGATTTTGAAGTCTTGCTAATGAATTCTTAGGGACTGCCTCGCAAAATGAAGCTGTCGTGTTTATGAGTCCTTTTGAGGAGCAAGAAGAAGTTAATGTTCCGGTTTTGGACACCGCTGAGGCCCGTGCTGTCTTTTCACATGCTCTTAAAGTTACTAAGTTTCAACAACTGCCTAGGGAATCAAGTGCCAGACATGTAATCAATTCAGTGCTCAACCATCCCTCTCAACTTAATTCTTTGTTTTATGGCCATGATAGAAACGTTTTCTTGACGGTTTCCGGCGTTCCTGACGCCAAGTCTATGTATATTGATGAAGCACCTGCGTTCACAATCGCCTCGAGTCCTTCTTCTGGCGCCTACGGTGAATTACTGTTACGCTACATGAACCAGATGGATTCCGTAACCGGAGAGGCTACGGAATCAGCATATTCGAACGAATTCGGTGGCTCCGTTTACGTTCACCCCGCCAGTGAAGCCGAGAATTTCCAAATCAAGCCTAAGTCGGTCCTCAAGAAGTTTAAGAAGCTGTTTGACGAGGAGACTGTGTCCTTTTTTGATGTCGAGAAACGTCAGGATCGTGCATTCCTTTCGGAAGCCGTTGCACTCGCTCAAGCCGCTAAACATTTGCGTTCCATGAACGAGATGTCCAAAAATACCTCTGTGGTGATCATCGGCCAACTGAACTCATTGGATGTATGGAATTGTGTTGCCGTATAAGGGCTTCGTTGTTTGTTTCGTGTTCTAACTTTTTTATAGGTCTTGTACAGCTACTACGGTGCCAAGTCAACACAATTTTTGGTCGCCCGTCACTGCATTTCCACATTGCTTAACAGTTTGAAGCAGTACACTACCCAATCTACTGTTGTGCTTTTGCCTGCTTCCACCCAATCTGTTTGGGAGCGCAAGCGTCGTGACGATGTTTCGGCCTTTGAAGTGAATGAACTTACCAACACAAGTATCGGCCTTGCAGCTGCTGAGGAAGAAGCCTCGCGGAAGGAAAGTGCTCGGTTCGCTTCTTCTTGCTACAGCACTCGTGCTTCCTGCGAGAAGGCAACCAACATGTGTTCTGGCCATGGTACTTGTCAACTGTATTTGGGTCATGAGGGATGCTACGCTTGCCAGTGTGAAGCCACAGTGAACATCACTGCCTCTGGTGGAAGACGTACGCAAAACTGGGGTGGTGCTGACTGCTCGAAAAAGGATGTCTCTGTTGCTGCCCAATTTTTCGTGTGGTTTACTGTTATCGGCCTTGCCCTTTTGGTTTACTGCATGAAATTACTTTTTGATCTTGGCCAAGAAGACTTGGCAAGCGTTTTGACGACGACGACTGCCATCACCAAGAAGAATAACTAATAACTCTTAAATTTTCTTCATATATTCTTTACTACAAATCCTTCATTGTCCATACCTCTTCTGCTACTAATTAATCAATAGTTTTTATTGTCTGTCGAGAACTCACATTGGAAGAATGTTACACACTTATATAAAATGGCTTACATTTCACCGCACTCAATAATCCGAACGGGCGTTTTAGGTCGCGAGTCAGAGTTTACCGGTGTCGATTCTATTTTCTTGACGACATCGAAGCCTTCAATTACCTCGCCGAATACAACATGCTTTCCATCAAGGAAGCTGCATGGAACGGTGGTAATGAAGAACTGACATCCATTGGTATTTGGACCAGCATTGGCCATGCTCAGCAGACCAGGGCGGTCATGCTTCAGGTCAAAGTTCTCATCGTCAAACGTTCTGGATCCGTAGATACATTTGCTGCCTGTTCCATCACCCTGTTGTTGTTCGGCGTTAGTAATGAATGGCTTTATAAAACTCTTGCGCATACACTGACAAAGTCCCCTCCTTGTATCATGAAGTCTTGGATTACTCGATGAATGGTGCAGTTCTTGTAGCCTGAAACATAATATCGCGATTAGTTAAATTGCACGCGAAAGACGACTAGTTACTCGTACCAATAGGTTTCTTGTCTGGCCCTTTTGCTTCACCTGTACAGAATTGTCTAATGTATTAGAATGGATCTCCATACTTACAGAAATATAAAATGGGTAAATTCCGCTCCATTATCTTCTTTCTCTGTGATTAAACACGTACCGAAAGTTCTCTGCCGTTCTGGGTATAGTGTTAGCAAGGGACTTCATTTTTATTTTTCTATGTTTTTTTTTTTTAAAATAGAAAAAAAAAATGCTTACTTTGGTACCACGTCCGCAAAAAGCTTCATTAAGATACGGCCAATTGGTTGATTGCCAATAGCAATCTAAATCATTTTTGTTAAAAGAATGTTACGAAATATAAGACGGTTTTGTAATGACAACAAAACACATATATCCATTCCGTAGAAGCTTACGTCAAAAAATACTACTGGGAGTTCCGATGACATGTTCAAACTGCTCAAGTATTTACTAGTACAACTGTTACCTTATGCCATGAATAATGCTGCTCAGTACAGCTTGGTGGTGACTTTTTGGTGTAGCTGAACTGTTCGGTTATGTTTAAGCTTAATATCCACGATACCGATAACAAAAGAAAACCGCATTAAATTGGAATAACAAACACGTGGCTTATTATTACGGCGACGGATTACTAGTTAGCGTGATTTTTTAAGACAAACGAGTTTTGGCGAGTTTCCGAAAGCATGTTTAGCCATTTTCTCGCTATAGAGACCAATTGTTATTCTCCTACTACTATATTTTCTATTTTAACGTTTCGTGCTCGTTTAAATCACATGAACACTTTATTTCGAATTTGCTTTGTGGCAAAATGCGCTACAACAGCCTCCCGTGTCTTCTGCTTGAAACTTTGCAGAAAGGAGCGATGCATGAATGTTAAATGTATACAGTAATTAAATGTGCGCACACTTTGTTGATTTATACGGTAAACATAACGTAATTTAATTTGTATTTTTATTGTTTAAAATTTTTTATATAAAATTTCCGGACCCTCAATGCAACTTTCCCACAACCTACTTCTCTCAAATTTTCAAGGGGTCAGGACAGCCTTGTTATAGACTGAAAATGAGTGAAGTTTACGAAGGAGCTATTGGTATCGACTTGGGTACCACGTACTCTTGTGTGGCCGTCTGGGAGACTGCCAACGTTGAGATTATTCCCAACGACCAAGGTGCTCGTACTACCCCCTCTTTTGTCGCTTTCACCGACTCTGAGCGTCTCGTCGGTGATGCCGCAAAGAACCAAGCCGCAATGAACCCTCGTAACACCGTTTTCGATGCCAAGCGTCTTATCGGTCGCCGTTTCGACGACGCCGAGACCCAAAAGGATATCAAGCACTGGCCCTTCAAGGTCCTCGACAACAATGGTGTCCCCACCATTGAGGTCGAGTACTTGGGTGAGAAGAAGCAATTCACTCCCCAAGAGATCTCCGCTATGGTTTTGACCAAGATGAAGGAGATTGCTGAGGCCAAGTTGAACAAGAAGGTCGAGAAGGCTGTTATCACCGTCCCTGCCTACTTCTCTGACTCTCAACGTGCTGCTACCAAGGATGCTGGTGCCATTTCTGGTCTTAACGTCCTCCGTATCATCAACGAGCCCACCGCTGCCGCCATTGCCTACGGTTTGGACGCCAAGACCGAGGAGGCCAAGAACGTTTTGATTTTCGATCTTGGTGGTGGTACCTTCGATGTCTCCTTGTTGAAGATTCAAGGTGGTGTCTTCGAGGTTTTGGCTACCGCTGGTGACACTCACTTGGGTGGTGAAGATTTCGATGCTGCTCTTGTTGAGCACTTCATCCAAGAGTTCAAGCGCAAGAACAAGCTCGACATCTCTGAGGACCCCCGTGCCCTCCGTCGTCTCCGCTCCGCTTGCGAGCGTGCCAAGCGTGCCTTGTCCTCTGTCACTCAAACCACCATTGAGGTTGACTCTTTGTTCAACGGTGTTGACTTCTCTTCCAGCATCACCCGTGCCCGTTTCGAGGACATCAACGCTGCCACCTTCAAGAAGACCATTGACCCCGTCGCCAAGGTCTTGAAGGATGCTAAGGTCACCAAGGCCAACGTCCACGACATTGTCTTGGTCGGTGGTTCCACTCGTATTCCCAAGGTTCAAAAGCTCGTTTCCGACTTCTTTGACGGCCGTGCTCTTAACAAGTCCATCAACCCTGATGAGGCTGTTGCCTACGGTGCCGCTGTTCAAGCTGCCGTTTTGACCAACAAGGCTGACTCTGACAAGACTGCCGACCTTTTGTTGTTGGATGTCGTTCCCTTGTCTTTGGGTGTCGCCATGGAGGGCAACGTCTTCGGTGTTGTCTGCCCCCGTAACACTCCTATTCCCACCATCAAGAAGCGTACCTTCACCACTGTTGCCGACAACCAAACCACTGTCACCTTCCCCGTCTACCAAGGTGAGCGTGTCAACTGTGCTGAGAACGAGCCTCTTGGTGAGTTCCAACTCACTGGCATTCCCCCTATGCCCCGTGGCCAAGCCGAGCTTGAGGCCACCTTCGAGATCGATGTTAACGGTATCTTGAAGGTTACCGCTATGGAGAAGACCACTGGTCGCTCTGCTCACATTGAGATCACCAACTCTGTCGGTCACTTGTCTTCTACCAAGATCCAAGAGATGATTGAGAACGCTGAGAAGAACAAGCAACAAGACAAGGAGTTCGCCAAGAAGTTGGAGGCCAAGTCCCAATTGGAGGCCTACATCTCCAACATTGAGCAAACCATCTCCGAGCCCAACGTTATGATGAAGCTTAAGCGTGGTGACAAGGCCAAGATTGAGTCTCAACTCGCTGAGTGCATGTCTCAACTTGAGCTTGACGACGCCAACACTGATGCTTTGCGTAAGGCTGAGCTCCGTCTTAAGCGCTCTGTCCAAAAGGCTTTCGCTTCTCTCCGTTAGAGAGAAACGATTGTACCCCCCTGTGTTTTTTGAAGACTTTCTTTGATTGGAGCAATCCAACTGTTAATTTTTGTAGGTTTCAATAGGCATGATAACCATAACATGAGGTAACTTAGTTGGCGTGTTGTTTAAGTGTATCGAGTGTGTGCATGTGATTGTAAGGTCAGTGACGAATATGCGTTTTTCTCGAGCGACTGAGTGTGGGGTCTCTTTTGGTGGTGAGGTTTCACATAGGCGAAACCTCACCACCAAAAAGCAGCACATTCGATTTTGTGGTTGGACGAGACGAAGTTTCCTTTAGTTTCTTGCATGGCAATTTTCCCTGCCAATTCCTGCTCCAATGGGTTTTCTGAACTATTGCAATAAAGTATGTCTCGCTCCTATGGTCCGGATAGGAGAGCTTCCTACGAGGTTGTTGGCCTTGCGTTATGGAGCGGATTTAGTTTGGGGTCCTGAAATCGTTGACAAGGCTCTGGTGTCTGGTGAAAAGGCTCAAAGAGTAGTAAATGGTATGTAGTAAGTTCATAACTAAAAGTTGAATGAGATGACGTTTTTTTTGTTCTCTTAATTCATCCGTGTCAATTGAACGTTTCCTTGTTCATTAATGGATACTAACATATCAATGTTTTTACAGATCATTGCCAGACCATCGACTTTGTAAAACCTCCCTCGAACAAGGTCATTTTTCGGTTACATCCATTGGAAAAGGGGCGATTAATTTTTCAGCTAGGTAGCTGCAATCCGGAACTTGCTGTGGAAGCAGCAAAACTTGTGGTCAATGATGTTTCGGCAATTGACCTGAACTGTGGTTGCCCAAAACATTTCTCTGTGCACGCTGGAATGGGTGCTGGTTTGTTGAAGAACCTTGACCGTTTGGAGTCGATTCTCCGAGCTCTTGTTGAGCAGGTTGGCCAGCCAAATAACATTGGCATTAGCTGTAAAATTCGTCTACTTGATACACATGAAGCAACGCTCGACATGGTCCGGAGACTGTGTAAAACCGGAATTCGTGCGATAACTGTTCACTGCCGGACAACTCCTATGCGGAACACAGAGCCCGCTATTCGCACCTCTTTACGTGACATTGCAGAGATATGTCATAGCTACCATGTCTCTATCCTTGTTAATGGAGACGTCGACAATCGCAAAATGGCGAAGGAGTTGTGTGAGGAGTATGGCGTAGATGGCGCCGTCATTGCAAGAGCGGCTGAAAAGAACGTTTCTTGTTTCCGCGAGGAAGGGCTTCTCCCCATACAGCAAGTCGTGAAGGACTATGTAAAGATGTGTCTGGAAGTGGACAACAACTTTGGGAACACGAAATACTGCTTAATACAATGGATGCAAGGGAATTTTCCAAAGGACATTCGTCAGCGGGCTCAAGTCGCTAAAAGCTATGGGCAACTTCTCGAGTGCTTTGATCTTTCTTGGGACCGGTCGTCCGAGTCTCAGACAGTCCAATCTCAAAAGTCAAAGAACTATGCGCTTTTTCTTAGTCTCTATAAGAACGACAACTTTCTTTCGACTCTTTGTGATGAAAATCTTCTCAATCTGCTGTCGAAGAATGACTGCACAAAAGTAATTATTCATTTGAACGCTGACACACTTTCCGACACACAAGAGAAAGCAGTACAGCGGCTGAGAAAGCGTGGAATTCGGATAGAGCTTGTGGATGCCCTTCATCCGCTCGATGCTATCATCTCCAAGGCCAATGTGGTCGTGTGTTCTTCTGCCTGTGAAAGCATACTCGCTGAAGCTGATCGCAAAAAGAAGCCCGTGGTGAAAGTGTTCACGAGAACTACAAATTCTGAGGAAGAAAAGGAAAACAGCAATGCCTTAATCGCAGACGAAACTCCTGTCATTGACCAACTTCGGTCTTGTTTTGAAAAAAACCTTTAGGTGTGATTGAGTGATAGAAGAATGCCAGCTTCACTACATTATATCTGGGCTCCTTGGACGACGACGGGAAACAGCATCAGACAGCCATGGCTACTTATTACATATGTAAATTCTGCTATATTTACAAACTGCTGCGTTCCACTCTGTTACACTGCTTTAAAGATTTGGCATAGCGCGCTAATTTTCGTTATAGACAGAAGACTGAGCGATTTCATTTTCATATGTTCAACTTCGTTAACGATCGCTCGTCCTCGTCCATCCTCGTTCGCTTCATCCGGCCCCCTTCCATCTCAGTTGTTGCTGCCAAACGAAATCGGCTCTTAACACACTTCCGCCTTTCACGTCTACATTCATGAGTTTTAAGAAATACGCACTGATTACTGGATCCAACAGGTTTGTCTTTCTGTTACGAATCTGCTTGCTAACTTATCAGTGGTCTTGGATTTGGAATTGCAACGCGTTTACTTGAGAATGCGACTCCCGAAATCGAAGATGCTCCCGAGACATTGACAATTGTACTGACATGTCGTTCAAAACAAAAAGCTGAAGATGCGATCTCTCGCTTAAGAGCGTTGTTTCCGAAAAGAAAACTGCAATTGGAGTACGTTTTGCTCGATTTGAGCGACATGCACAATGTGGAAATGGCTGTACGTGCAATTTCTACTCGATACAAGAAGCTTGATTATGTTTACTTGAACGCTGGAGCTTGGGATCTTGCAGGAATTGACTGGGTAAAAGCCATTTTTAGCACATTGTTGAATCCTATTCAAGCATTGACACACCCTACATTCTACCGTGAGACGTCCGGTCGTACAACCAAAGATGGTATGGGCTTTATTTTCCAAAGCAACGTTTTCGGACATTATTACTTGGTATGTTCAAAGAAATGAGTAATCTTTGAGAAGTAGACTTTCTTTTCTGTACTTCAAATTACTGGTGACAAAAAAAAAACCATTTCTGCTAACCAAACACTGTAGAAAAAACGCTTGGAGGAACTTGGCGTGCTGCAGAAAGCGACGAAACTAGTGCTTACAAGTAGTCTGGTTGCGGAACCCGACTCGCTCAATTTGAAAGACATTGAATGTGTTTCTGGTGATAAGCCATACCAGTCGTCGAAACGTATTTTGGACATTCTTCACTTTAACGAAGTTGAGAAGGGTTGCTGCAAATACATGCAGTTCCTTTCCCACCCGGGATTGTGTACTACTGGAATGTATGAGACATTTATTGGTCCAATTATGGTCTTCTTTGCGAAGCTCGGCTTTTGGTTCTGTCGTTTGCTTGGCAGTCCTTGGCACACGATTTCACCTTATATTGCCGCCTTCTCATTTATTTGGTTGGCTTTATATGGCACGAAGGAGGATGAGAGTGTGAAATGGGGTTCTGGAACAACTCGTCTTGGTAAAGAATGTCTTCGCCGTACGCCCGTTGACGAGATTCTCCCTTCTGAAAAGGAAAAGGTATCCGAATACGTGAATGGATTGTATAAGCAATGGCACGAAAAACTTTCTCAGTAATCGCCGTGTATCTATTGAACGAAGGATGGACAAAACGCAAATATCGCTTGACGACTTTGTTAAAAGTGAAGTCTTTCCTTTTCGTATAACTCTTTACCAGCAACGGAGCTAGAAGTGAATTCTGGTCACAGCATCTCTTACGAGAGTTTTTGTACTTGTAATATAAATCGTCTATCACATTGAAGAGGTCGATACCTTTTTCTGTATATATATTGAGGCAGCATTTGTAGGGTATCATGAGGCCAGCAAATAGGTGAATTCTAATTATCCGTGTGTTCTCAAATGAAATTCGTCTTCAATTCTACTTTTTCGCTTTTCCATCCACACTCTTCCTATTCGATGCTTAAAAGCGAAAAATCTTATTTCTACGGTAAAATGTTCGTCCCTAAGTGTTTATTACTTTGTATTGACAACTTTTAGCTTGTCCTCCAATCCAGAGCTCAATGTCACTTCTATTGACGATGTAACTTTGCGACATTGGATTACTATTGCTCTGGATCAAGAATTTGGTGTCTTTGGCTCTGCAGCTGCTGTTGAGATCCTTCATAGAGACAAAGAGACTTTTATTTTGTCGTGTCATAAAAAGTATGTTTGTTCTCTTTGCATAAATTTGCTATTACAAAAACTGCTAAGTTTTACTTCTCGACAATTGACTAATCAAGGATGACAGTGATCAAGCAAAACTCTGGTCATGCTTAGGATCTTTCATTAATCAAAAAGAGGGTGTTCGTCTACAAATTATACAAGTGTCGAACTTCTTGTCGTCGTTCGCTTTTGCCTAGTTGCCAAACCGAAAAAAAGGCTAAAATACCACTTCATCATGTCCTTTCTTCTTTTCTTATCAACTCTATAGATGTATGTTCTTTATTTACTGTTTTCACATGTTTCTTTTTGAATGTGCCTTTTGCGTTCGTCCTTCTTGTTTTCGCGACGCGTTTTTCATTTAACCTTAATTTTTCGCGTCCAACCTTCGACGCTAGTAAAGTGCGCTGTCCTCCACACCACGGCCCTTAGGAACTTCTTTCCTTTACCAGCAACGTTGGCTGCTCTTGTCGATGAATTGAGCCTATGTCGACGATTTTTCAAAACCTAACAGATGCTACAGCGGTTAAACATGTTGTCCGAGGTCAATTTACGTCGGCAACGACAAATAATTTGATTGTCGCGAAAGATGACTTCCTCCAGGTTTTCGACATCGTTCGCGTTCAACGCGATTCCGACGATGTTGAAGACGCGTTTGGCTCTTCTATGAACTTGAGAATGGAGGAAAACGATGCTTTTATGGAAACAAACATGCAGCTGATTCGTACTCATGAACACACTGTTTACACTCTTAGACTCGTTTATCAGACGCGTGTTTTTGGCACTATAAAAGACCTCGCCGTTGTTAAACCAAAATTAGGAGGATTCACAACAGACCTGCTGGTCTTGTTGACTAACTATGCGAAAGTCTCCATTCTTGTGTGGGATTCGTTAACACAACAACTGTCGACAGTTAGTATGCATTACTATGAGTCTGTTGTTCCTCCAAAACCTATTGCTGAAGAAACGCCAGCACAGTTAATTGTGGATCCAGAATCGACGTGTTGTGTACTTCGCTTCTACGGTGACATGATGGCTATTATTCCTTTCAGAAAACCAGAAGATTTAGAAATGGAGGACGCTAATGCCCAATCAGAGAAGCCAGTTGATGTACAGTGTGTCTATCTCCCATCATTTGTGCTGACAGCCTCCCAATTGGATTATTCCATTGCCCGCGTGCTTGATTCCAAATTTTTGGAAGGCTACCGGGAAGCGACTCTCGCTTTGCTTTACTGCCCCGAACAAACAAGCACTGTCTTTCTTCCAGTTCGTAAGGACACTGTTAGTCTTGCTGTTATTACACTCGACATTGAACAGCGTGCAAGCGCTGTTATTACAAGCATTCACAACCTTCCCTATGATATTTACTGTATACTTCCTGTTCCGGCCCCCCTTGGTGGCTCTTTGCTTCTTGGTGGTAATGAAATCATTTATGTTGATTCTGCCGGATCGACTGTAGGCATAGCTGTGAACCCATTTTATCGTAATGCGACGAACTTCCAACTGGAAGATCGTTCCTCTTTTCAACTTGAGCTTGAAGGAACCATTGGCGTGCCACTTTCGAGTCCCCGGACGGAATCAGTGTCAGTGTTGTTAATTCATCCTACAGGTCAACTGTTTTACCTGGATTTCCTCATGGATGGAAAAAACGTTAAAAATTTGGACTTGCATCCCGCTTCAGATGAGCTTAACAATGCACTGCTACAAAGCGGTGTTACTTGTGCTCTCCCTGTCGCGGATCATGAGCTCTTCCTGGGTAGCCAGACTGGTGACAGTTATCTTGTCCAATGGTCCCGGCGCTCTATAAACAATCAAACACAAGAAGAAGGTACTCTAACGTACAAGGATGAAGAAAACGATGCCGACGAAGAAGTGGACGAGTTAGATGATATTTACGACACGGGTTCTAAAGAAAAAGCAAAACGAAACAAGTTTGTTGAACTTGGACCTTTACGTCTAGAGGTTCATGACGTGCTGTCTAATGTCGGCCCCATCATTGAATTTTGTACCGGAAAAGCTGGCTCTCTTGCATACTTTCCTCAAGACAATCATGGTCCATTGGAAGTGACTTGCGTTACAGGCACTGGAAAAAGTGGCTCTCTCGTCGTTTTCCGTCGAAGTATCTCGCCTGTTGTCGAAGGAAAGTTTAACTTTGAAGGTTGTCAATCGCTGTGGACCATCCACGTTACAGGCCGTTTAAAAAATCCACGTTCTCATGGATCAGAACGATATTTGGATGACGAGTATGACACTTATCTTGTTGTCTCAAAAGAAAAAGAAAGTTTCGTGTTTACTGCAGGGGAAACTTTTGACGAAGTTGAAGACTCCGACTTCAACACAAAAGGAAGCACAATTAATGTTGGCGGATTGCTTGGAGGAATGCGAATTGTGCAAATATGTACCACCAGTTTGCGTGTTTATGACCCTAATATCCATCTTGTTCAACGCATTAACTTAGGCAAAAAGCAGAACGTTGTAGCAGCAAGCGTTTGTGATCCATATGTTGTGCTGGTGCTGTTGGGCGGTCGTATTCTGCTTTACAGCATGGATGCTGAAACTCAACGCCTTATAAAAATGGACTTACATAAACAATTAAAGAACGTTAAAGCTGCGTCCTTGTATTCAACAAATGACCCTGTTATGCAAGAGCTCTTTTCCGAGCTGGATCTTGGTCGTAACAACAGCTCTCCAGGGAAATCTGATATTCAAATGGATGGTGTGGACACGCAACCTGACCGACCAAGCATGCCAGCAGGAAACCAAGTTACTGAAACAAACGTTAGTACACTTGATGAACAATCGTTTGCCGCTCACTTCGTTCTGTTTGTCCTTCATGATGACGGACGTTTAAAGGTGCTTCATCTTCCCACATATTCCTGTGTACTTGAATGTGATGTATTTGACTTACCCACAGTTTTGTACGATGGATTGAGTTCCGAACGGGTAACTGAAATGCATGAGTCAAGTCAGGAGCTTGTTGAAGTTTTGGCTACGGATTTGGGTGACGAAGCAAAAGAAGCGCACTTGCTCATTCGTTCTCGAATGAATGAGATTACGGTGTATAAGCCATTTGTTTGTAGCAATCCCGTTACTCATAAAACCGAATTACGATTCTCAAAGATTCCACAGGAGGGAATGACAAGAGAATCAACTGAGTGTTCTCTTCAAGATCTCGTCGCTGAGACTGAACAAGAGAATGCCCCAAAAGATGCTAGCGAGCAGAAACCCCAAAAATCGAGTTCTACGGTTGACAAACCCCGTATGGTTGCACTTCAACGCATTGGCAACCACTCGGCGGTTTTCATCACTGGCGCGAAACCATTCTTTTTACTCAAAACTGCGCACTCTGTTGCAAAGTTTCATCCTTTGCTTTCAGAGTGCCGCATTCTATCACTTGCTTCATTTCATACGGAGCATGCACCAAAAGGTTACATCTTTGTTGATGAAAACTACGACATCAACATTTGTCGGTTTCAAGATGATATAAATTATGATCATCGCTGGGGCTATAAAAAGGTTAATGTTGGGCGGTCTGTTCATGGCATTGCTTACCATCCTACGAAAATGGTTTACGCCATTGCTACTTCCACATTAACACCGTACGAGGTTACTGACGAAGAAGGCAATGTCGTATACCCTCTTAAAAATGAAGGTGAGTACTTGCCTCGTACCAACTCCGGCATGCTGGAATTGGTATCGCCGTTAACATGGACTGTCATCGACCGGTACAAGTTCTTGGATTATGAGATACCCTTGTGCGTTCGGTTGGTCAACCTCGAAATTTCAGACGTCACAAAATTACGGAAACCCTTTATCGCGGTTGGTACATCTATCACCAAGGGTGAGGATATTGCTGTAAGAGGCTCAACGTATCTGTTTGAAATCATTGATGTTGTCCCACAACCCGGACATCCTGAAACAAGGCATAAATTAAAATTGGTCACGCGTGAAGAAATTAAAGGTACAGTTGCTGTTGTCTCTGAGATTAATGGTTACTTGCTTAGTGGCCAAGGTCAAAAGGTTATCGTTCGTGCACTGGAAGATGAAGATCATTTAGTTGGCGTCGCATTCATTGATCTCGGCAGTTACACTGTCGTTGCAAAAAGCCTCAGAAACCTTCTCATTTTCGGTGATATTCGACAAAGCATATCATTTGTTGGTTTTGCAGAAGAACCTTATCGGATGACTTTATTCGCTAAGGGACAAGATCCACTTTCAGTCTCGTCTGCTGATTTTCTGGTCCAAGGTCAGAGTTTATATTTTGCCGTTGCTGATATGCGAGGAAACCTTCGAATCCTTGCTTATGACCCGGAAAATCCAGAGTCGCATTCTGGTGAGCGACTGGTCACTCGTGGTGATATTCACGTTGGACATATAATTACCGCTATCCATTTGGTACCCAAAATGAAAAAAGATCGGCCGGGTGAAGTTGATTACGATGAAGGCGATGAGTTTGCCTGCATTACCACAAATTCAGATGGCAGCCTTCAAGCACTATGCCCCATTTCTGAACGTGTCTATCGGAGGCTTAACATTATTCAAAATTATCTGGCTAATCGGATTGAAACTGTTGGCGGTCTGAACCCCCGATCCTACCGTCTCATCAACACTGTTTCCTCACTAAATAATGCTACGCATCGGATTCTTGATGGTGGTTTGATTGAGCACTTTTCATATATGTCAGTTGCTCACCGACAAGAAATGGCGTACAAGTGTGGTGTGCCTATATCTACGATTATGAACGACCTTGTTGAACTGGATGAAGCCTTAAATTATATGTAAGGCAATTGAAGTCGCCATTTTTGGTGCTACAAATTTTGATATCCGCTACACATTCTTTTTCAATGAAGACTGTATGTATCTTTTACAACTACTACGCATGCGAGACGCTGTTTTACAATTTTATTATGATATATATCATAGAGGAAGATGGCAACGGTGGTGTCAAGATAGGACACGCGTGGTTCGTACCATTCTCACCGTGTTCGAATGAGAAAAAAAGACGCAACGGAACTATAATTCCAAGTCAAGCAGCGTTTAGTAATCGATCATTCTTAATGAGTACACCAACGTAATATAGTGAGGTCTAAGGAGATATAGTCAAAGGTTAGGTAAACAATTTTACCTACGGGGTTGCATAATTGACGTAAATGTAACCAACTCCAAGCTTTTTCTTTTACAATGTTTCAGCCAGTCAGTTGCTGCAAACTCGTAATGCTGAAGCTGCTCAATCCTGGAAAGAATGCTGAGAACGGTTTTCGCTACTTCAGTAGAACAGCAATAAGTTACAAATCAAAATCAAAACAAAGTAAGATTCGAGACATCAATCGAGACGTCAACGTCAATGTCTCCACACCTGAAGACTTTATATATGATCTCAAACAGAAACTTCAGGGTATCCCGGAAAAACTGACATCAACGTTGAAAGTCATGGCAACGGATAGTCAGCAGGGAAATGTAAATCAACTTGAACACGTCATGGTCAGTAAACCAAAACAGGAAGAACATTTGTTAAAGGACATAGCAGCAATTAGCCGGGTCTCTGGGAAGGTCCTGAACATAAAACCGTACTCTCCACAAGATGTTAAGTACATAATGAAGGCAATCACATCTTCCAATCTTCGTATGCAACCGGTTCTGAAAGACAGTGTAACAATTCAAGTTCGTTTACAAGAAACCACTCTTGAAACATTAAAAGCTCTTGCGAAGCAAATAAAAGAACAGGAAGATAGGACAAAAGTAGCCATACGACTTGTGAGAACCAGCTTCCAAAAGAAGTTGGCCAGAAGAAAGCTGTCAAAAGTTTGGTCCGAAGATGAATGCCGCAAAGTTGAAAAAGATATGCAAGATACCATCCAAGCGCAAAATGGCCAGCTGACAACAATTATAGAACGATACCTGAAGCAATTGAAGGAGCAATCTCGTAACAAGCCATTCTAAGGAAGATAGTGTGAAAGCCACAAACGATTTGGTTTTCAGACCATATTATAGTGGTATAGAAATGATATGCGAACAATCATAATGATAAAGAAGAAAGATACGTAACAGAAGATTTTAACCAAAGTAAATGGGATGAATAGATAACAAAGGTAACCAAAAAAGAAACCAAGAAGAACAAGAAGTTTGAGGCCGTAAAATTAAGTGGTTCAGTTTAGTCCTCCAGTGTTGTTCCAGAATGTACTGTCTTTCCGGTTTTTTTAATTGTGTTCAAAACAGTGTCATACGCTTTGTCGGTAACCACAAGTACAGATTGGTTTGGCAAAGATATTTCCAGTTTGTCTACACCCAGACGGGTAAGAACGCGACCGATAGCTTTAGAGCAGCCCTCGCATGTCATTTGAACCTTAAATAGATACTTCATCTCGGAAAGTCTAAGTGTCTCTGAGGTAGCGAGGTCGTTTCGCTGTGTGGGATGGACGAAAAGAGACGATGGTCTCACTAAAACTCCATTTAAATCGATCTTATCAGATGGAGAACAGATAATGTGCCACATCACAGAACTCATCATTCACTGGAGGAAAGATCACTTGGTAGCCGAAAACACTAAAAACCGGAAAAAGGCGATAGAAAAGAAACTCGGAAATCTTCGCGTAGCAGTGAAACAATAAATACAAGAGCAAAGGCCTGTTTTACCCAGACCGTTTCTTTTCACAGTCGCGACAGTACCAAATTCCTTTGGGAGGCTCAACCAAGCCGACACAAGGCAAATGGAACCACTCGCGTTTGCAGTTTTCGCCATCACATCCGATCATTTCTCCATATGAAACCTGTTCACAATAGCAATATAGAGGTTCGTCCTTAGTGTTGTGTTCATCAATTACTTCTTGCATAGGCTTCACTCCTGTAGAAGCTGTGGACGATCTATACACAAGTTAGTAATTTTGTAGAATTAAATAAAAGTAGTAAACATGACTTACTTGAAAGACTTTGGTTCCCCACGACGACCCCGTTTACGCTCGGAAGGTGCGGCACTGCCTGCCCGGGAAACGGGAGGTGTTGCAGAACGTGAGACACTTGCAGCAACACCCCTCCGACGTTTGCTGGGCGTATTAACAGGTAAGGTGGAACCAGATGGTCCATTGTGGGTCGAGCTGTCTTGATTCGTGCCACCGCCAGTGGATATATTATCAGAAGAAGATTGCTGTCCACGTTTGTTTTCTCGTTTGCCCTCCCTTTTTCCTTCCTGACGCGCGTTTGTCGATACAGATGAGCCATTAGGTTGTGCAGTAGAACCAAACCGAAGATGGGGAGGAAACTCGAGTTCAACATAATCAAAATCGGCGTCCATCCGCTCAATACACGAACTTAATTGTTCTAGTGTATCGCTAACAAGTTCAACCTTTGTCGTTAATTTAGGGAGGGCTCGCTGTAATTTATCCTTTAAGTCATCCGTCCAATTGTTCGTTCCTTCTTTCTTTTGAGACTCATTTTCTAACAATTCTTTAATAAAATCTGTTGCTTCCTGTTCCGTATCTATTTCTGTTAGTCTTCGTAATATATAATGTCTGATTTCATTACCTCTGGCTTCCGATTCAACTTCTTTTAATGAGGTAAAGTAAGATCCGACAATGTCAGGAATTGAAACAATTGCTTGGTTGGTTAGTTCTCCTGCAAAGAATTAGACATACTTTTCGAAAAAACGTTTAAGGCAGTGAATGCCTCTGCCTGATTCACTACCATGGTGGTAGGCTAAAGTTAGGTGAAACATTCGCTCTCCCAGTCATTTGTAAATAAACTTCACTGGCAAAAAGCAAAACACCCATGAAAAGTATAAACCAACTATACACAGTTTGTACACATACATTTGTAATAGTCGATTACCACTATATATGCTGTATAATAATTGTTGTTTTACTGATAGACCCTACGTCTGGGGTATTGCTCGCTTGCGTTTCATGCGACCCTAGTTGAAGGGGTGTTACTCAGGGTGTAGGCGTACCGTTCACAATAAGCTCCATGTCCAGTTGCTGAAACTCGTCTTGAGCAATTTCTTGATACCCCGCTTAACATACGCACTACGTATTCCTTTTTTGTGTTTCCTAACAACCTATCCTGTATACACTCGTTTTATTGTTTTTGATTCACGTCTAGGACGTGATGGTATTCTTGGTCTCTCGTTTTCTTACCAGTAATCGTGTTCAACACCGTTTTTATCTCTAAAAAAAAGACATTCAGAAACTGGCGCTTTCTTTGGTCTCTTTTATTTACTTTTCCGACTTCAAACGTTACTATCAGCGCATTTCTAATTTAAAGCTCTTTTGAGAAGCAAAATTAAACATGCGGACAAAAGCAATGGACACTTATCGATCTGTTAAACGGTATTTTAGTTCCCGAAGCGGAAACAGCCTTACACGCTCTTCACAAAATGCATCAATCGGTGAACTTGATGACGCTATGGCTACTAGAAAAAGTTCTGCTACATTGTCCGACGAAACGTCTTCACAGTACTTTGATGAACTGATTAAGTCACAGGTTCTCTCTTCCGAAGCAGAAAAGAATCTTCAGTCATTGAATGAAGATATCAAGGTGAAAATACTCGAAAGTATGCAACATGAAAAGCAGCGTAAGCAGCTTCGATTAAAACCCTGGAAGCGGAAAAAAGAGAATTACAAACACCCTGGCGAATTTATTACGTACATTGTTACATGTCCAATGGAGCAAATTGATGAGACTATTATTCACAAGCTCTCACTGCTGTTGCGGAATGAACAAGTATCGTAAGTGCTTAAAGACTTTCAAACGTTTTGAAGAATTGCTAACATCCGACTCTTTTAGTTGGGTCGAGGAATTCATTGAAGGTGGAGGATTTGCTGCTGCCTACTGTATCATCGATAAAATTGGCCGGCTCCAGTGGAGAGAAGATAAACATGATGCAATTTTGGAGCAGTTCTTGTTGTGCATCAAGGCTATGTGCACAGTACAAGTACGAATGATGACGGTTTCCCTTTTTTCCTTATTTACTAACAAAGAGTAGCTAGGTGTGGACAGCTTGTTGCGTTCGTGTAACAACGTTTCTAATCTCGTTCACTTCCTTTTATCAGAAAAACAGCCTTCCGATTTTTCTGTACGGGATACTATAATGCATGTGATATCCTCTTTTTTCAAGGCTCATCAAGACCCTCGGCGAGGAGCTTTGGCCGTTTTTGAACTGTTACGTAATCATGAAAAGCCATCTGAAGAACATGATTTCATGCGTGCAGCAAAGGTTGATCGTCCATATCGGCGTTGGGTAGTCGAACTGGAAGAAGTTAGCAGAGATGTGTTTTGGGTTTGGAACCATCAAGAGAACACCATTGATGCTCTTGAACCCAACAGTGAAGCTGCTGAAGCACCAATAGGTTTTATTGGCGGAATTGAGACGGAAGCCACGGGTTATTTGAGTTCTCACTTGCGTCTCATCAACTCTATGCTTGCAGCTCTACCGGATGACGAACGATATCAAAAGCGAGTTGATTTACAGATGAGCGGTTTAGAACGTATTATGGCACTTCGCTGGCGCAAGTGCAGGTAAGAAAATCCTAGTTATTGACATTTTTTACAAGTTTACTAACTTTGCGATAGTTTCAAGTTTCACACAAAATTACACTCAGCATTACGTGAATGGGTTCGTGCTGCTGAGAAAGACAATTGGAACACTAATTTCGTACGAACAGGGCAGATGTAGTTCATCGAGTGAACTACAGTTATTATAATTGTGAGTTTTCTTGCCCTGTAACGTTTTGTTCCCTCCTTTTCATGTTCATTCAATTTTACCCATTCGTTCATTTTTTTTTCTTGCTTCTTGCATATATACTATTATACAAGTATTTACTTGTCAAAAAAACAACAAACTAAGACAAAGGTATGGTGGCCTCTAAATAAACAACTATTGTATTAAGGAAGCACAAAGGTAAAATTAGAGACATCAATGGCCTCATACGTAAGTAAGTACATAGCCCAGGAGAAACTCTCAAGCGTGAACATGCTTATATCTTTCATGATGTCTTTAAATGCGTTGGCAAAGTTGGAATGGAAGTAATCATAGAATTCTTTGCCATCCTCAGTTATAGCAGTACCTGTTTGTATAAACTTAGTAATATCAAAAGGAACATCCTCTCTTTTATAAAAACAATACGCGCAAACAATCAAGAAAATCATATCTTCATCGTCACCCATATCAATGATCGCTTGTGGATCGCTTTCTCCGAACACATTCTCAATAGCTTCCTTCAACTTTGAAAAGTTGGGATGCTGAAGCAAGAAGACTGAAATTGCATGCGACGCCAAATAACGCAATAAAGTGCCGTCATTTCCATCCAAAACGCAAGATTCCATTTTTGACTTTGCAACTTGAAGCGCCGTGGAGACAATGTCGAGCTGCCCTTTCTTGTAAGTCTCAATACATACAGCACGATATGAATCACCATCGACCGGCAACGAACTTTGAATTTGTGCCATACACTGGTAGAAATATTCAATGAGAATTTGGAATGCTCTTAAACGCCCACTTATACTGGGTTTATAGGAATCGAATGAATGTGTTGCCAAATGCTCTTCTAAAGTTTTTAGTTCAAAAGGGGACGCCGTGATGACGACCAAAGCATCCAAAATGTTTTGTAAGTGGCTGAAGTCCACCTGTTTTGGTATCCAGAAATTCAGTTTAGAGAGTCCATGAGATGCAAGAATGCTGCGCTTCTTTTCGCTATTGTATACAGCCTTATCGAGAGACAAACGAAGGGCGAAGGTTTCAAACTCGTTGTTTGGAAGACAAAATCCGTAGCCCATTAATAGTTCTTCATTTCCCTTGGGACCATAATTGTTATACACTTGCCCACCCGAAGAAATAGGTTTAACCGAGACAAGTTGAACAGCATGAGACTCCTTAGTAACTTTATTCCATATAATTGGACATCTAGGCTTGTGATTCAGAGAATCTACTAGTGGAATAAGGATTGGAGCAGCATCATCAGTATCTTCCTCCCCGAGCAAGGCTGAAGAAAAACAGCGTGATGAGAAGACGGTTGCAGCCCATAAGTACATATTCCAAGAAAAGTTGTCAGGGTTATCTAACAGTTTGGCAGCTGTCGCGTGCTCCTCTTTCCAAATTCGTTTTCTGTCATTGCAGCCATAAAATATGTTTGTATGTTCTAACGATTTAAGTTCGTCATCTGTGAAATATAAGGGCGTATCAAACGTTTTGGGAAGATACTCAATATACTTTGCCCATTGGCTCTTTTCGCCTTTTAAACGTTCAAGAGCAAAGAAGGTGCATACAATGGTATGCATTTTTTCATCTGCAAACTTCGGAGATAGACGACACAATTCATTTTTAGCTTTTTGTAGGGTTATTATGTAAGACTCGGGACACGAAATGAGGACTTGATCTCCGTCTATGTCTTTGGAAGCAATAGCAATAAAAGTACCTTCAACATTATCTGATCTTTGAAATTGAATACCAGGATGTAAGTAACATCCATTATTGAAGGCTTCCTGTAAAAACGAATCCATAATAAGACAGAATGTTGAGTTTTACAGCGTAATTAATAAAACCACAGTTTACTCCAATACAAACCGTTTCTGAAGGTAAAATTATTTCCAAGAGCAACAGATTCCTCTTTCGTATTCTATAGTACAGACCAGAATTCTTGTCTAAGACCGTTAGTTGTTGCTAAGTTAATGGACGACGATTTGGTCACTGCCAACTAACAAAAAAGTCATTGCAAATTTGTGCTTGTTTGCTAAACGATTTACTTTATTACAATAAACCATAAAAATGAGTTTTCATAACATTGCTGCGAAGTTCATGGAAATAATGCAGCATAAACGGCCTCATCAACAGTCGGTACAATTGCATCCTTTCTATCGACAAATTCAACAGTTGTCCAACGAACCGTTGACATATGAAGATGCTCAATTACAAGATTACGCTCTCAGCCTTATTCCTTTAGAAAGGATCTACGCCGAGGCAGGTGAACAAGAAGCGAAATCCGATGAATGGGGATATCAGGATTACATTATTAAAGCGTTACTAAAATGGTTCAAACATGAATTTTTTGAATGGGTCAACGCTCCTAAATGTGAACAATGTCAGGTATGACTTAAGGTTTTAAAGTGCTCTTTCTTTGAGGCTCACTAAACACCTCGTTCGTGACGCAGCTAACTAATCCATTTGTAGAATGAAACTAGATTTGTGGGTCCAGCTGCGCCGACGACTGAAGAGTCCCAAGAGGGTTGTGGCAATGTGGAACTGTACCAATGTAACAGCTGCGGACACACACAGAGATTCCCTCGTTATAACAACGTGAGACCCTTGCTCAAGCATCATAGGGGACGCTGCGGAGAATGGGCATGCGTAAGTTAACATTTGAAGTTGAAGTACCAGCTACTAACCGGTTTATCCAATAGTGCTTCACCTTTCTGTGCAGGGCAATTGGGTCTCGTGCTCGCTGGGTTTGGAATGCTGAAGACCACGTATGGACAGAGGTGTACAGCTACAAGCAAAAACGTTGGGTTCACGTTGACAGCTGTGAAGAGGCCTTTGATCAACCTCTTATTTACGAACAAGGTATGCTTAAGTTATCCCAGCTTTCGGTATCATGTTTTAACCAACACTAATTCTTAGGCTGGGGCAAGAAAATGTCCTACTGTTTCGGTTTTGGAGCTGATAGTGCTTGCGACGTGAGTCGACGTTACATTCGTCATCCGGAAAATGGAAATCCTCGCAACAAAGCACCCGAAGTAGTGGTGAAGCAAGCATTCGTGGATTTGAACAATCGACTCCGAGCTTCCCTAAGTCCTAAAGAAGTCGAGGCATTAGAAGAGGAGTCTCGCAAGGAAGAGCAAGAATTAGCTTCCTACTTCGTGACATCAACTACAACTACAGACCATCTTCCAGCAAGACAGAGTGGTGCCCCGGAATGGAAAGAAGCCAGAGGTGAGAGCGGGACGCAGTAGATTGAACAGAACGCTTTAAACCATAGCAAGCGTATCATAAATCGTCTTTCTAATTTCAAAAAAGCGATTGCTTATACCACCCTCAATAACGATCCGGCCGTTATCAAGCTTACGGATAGCAACAATACCACCGCAAAGGAGAACACCTTCGCCTTTTAGTTCAACAGATATTCCTTGATCCATGAGCGTCTTCCTCAGTGCGGCTAGCCGAACGTTACCCACGAATATAGGTGCTGCTCTTGGAGCAAGGGCAAAATCTTGCTGTGTTTTTAATGAATCCAAAATGGGAAGATTGTCCTTGGGGTCAACGGGTTCTTTGGATTCTTCGGCTTCTTCGTCCACATTTTCGGGCATACGAATTTTTGCCATAAGATGAGCGACTTCGTAATTTCCAAGCTGCAAGCTGTTAGTAAACAATCAGTTAATATAATAATAAAGTATACCTTTTTCCAAATGAGACTTTTTACAAGTTCATCTGAAAGTTTCATATTAAACGAGTTAACATCAATACTGACGTTTACGACCTCCTTGTAGTCAGGACAGTAAACATCTTTTGTAAACGCTGTTAAAGCAGCGCATGTTTTCTTCATGTCTGCACGTTCTTCATCTGTAGCGTGAATAAGAACCAACCGTCTTGGATTAACTTGAGGAATGATAGTTTTTAAAGACCGTCCATCATGAAGACCTTCCATATCAATAAATGCCACTTGACACGAAATCTTTAGGTACCGTGTAGTAGTAACAATTTTGGACGGAACATCGGGCATATCTTCATTTAATTGATTTTCAGAAATTTGACCATTGTTAACTTCTGCCCATTTCCGCTTGCCAGTGGACTCGTGGGCGGGCGCGTAGTCTTCGTTTTCTTCTCCCTCAACAATTCCAGCGGTGCGCTCTTCCATAGCGAAGTCTTCTTGACGAAGAATTTCACCATAGTCGTCAAATCGCCTACGTTTTTCAACATACGGAAACATTTTAAACTTACTTTGGAGGCTTGCAATGTTAGGATCTCTGAGATTTAGATCAAACGTTTTGCCTGACATAAAGGCAGCAGAGCCTAAATTCGTATTTGAGAGCTCCGGTACCTGAGTTAGTTCATCTTCATCAGAAGAAGACTCTTCACTTTCATCCTCGTCTAAAATGGTACGGTTACGTAATTCAAGGGCAATATCTTCTGCGTCTCGTGTCCGTTTGCTCTGTTCTTTCTCTTGAAACTCGCGTAACTCTTCACCCTGCAATGGTTCAGAGTGTTTAACCTGGATACTTTGCTCAAAATACATGCCAACAGATGAAAAGTTTTCCGGTGATTTTCTGCTTGCCCGCTCCCAATAGCGATAGAACTGCTTCGCCAGTGAGTTCTCCGAGTACCGAGATTTTTGAGTAAGAAGAATGAGGTTATTGGAGTTATCAGGCATGATGTCTAGCAAAACGTTTTGAGAGAAACCTGATTCCAAAGTTAGGGATGTTGCAATAATAACTTTGGGGCCAGGACTTATTTGAGAAAGCTGAGAAGGGTGGGTAATGGTTTGTATGTGACGGAATTCCAAAAGGCTTTCGTTCATTCCAAAATCGCGAACGATATTGTCGCCCATCCATTCAATCATACTTTTTGCATAACCAATGGTTTTCGCGGAGGAGTAAGACAAGAAGTATATAGGAAATGAAAGGGGAGGTTGACTGGATGCCCAGTGTGTATCGAGAAAGTAGCACAACTCAATGACACGCGATGCTGCATCCATAGGTAACAACACTGAACCACCTTTTAACAATGTAGACATGACGGCCTCTATCAATGCTTCATCACGCTTCTTTCTCGCGGGAATTGATATTAAAGCATTGTTGGCATCAGTAACGAGGGTATTTGGCCGAGTCAGAATTTCAAGAATTTGGCCGTTCGAATACAAAGCAGTACCATTCAAATGCTTGTCTTTCGAGTGATTCCAATCAACAGCATATACCAGACTTTCCGACTCTTTTGTGATGCTCCAAAGTGTTCCTCCCAGTGTATGACCTGCATTGAAAGCCGTGATATTTATACCATTGCATTTGCCCATGAGTGATGCTGGTTGCGAATATCGCAGAGTTGTAATACTATCAAAAACCAAGTCCACATCTGCAATGGTAATGTCGGTAACCAAGTTGGATTTTATAGCATCGTACATGGTCATCCGTCCCATATTAATGACAGGCAATGTCGCGTATATGAACGCGGTTTTCCAGTTGTAATGTCTGCATGCATACACGAGACCTCCTAAATGTGCCAAATCTGAATGAGAAAGTAAAATTAAATCGGGGACCACGTCAATCGATGGATGCGTCAAGCTGTTATCGCTTCCAGGGTCAATGAGAATATGGACGCCATCTAGCTCTAACAATGATGTCCCACAGCTCGATTTTGACTGGATACACCAGTAAAAGAGCATTTTCTTTTTGTGTGGTGAACGACAGGGAGCTCAAACACGTCCTCAAATTAACACTTCAACCTCGTTCGAGGTGTTGCACTGAGACTAAATGGAAGTGTACCACGTAGCTAAGAACTAAGCTGGGCTTTTGTAGCAACAAAATGTTGTAGTTTCATTTTTCATTGGAGTATTTTGGGTGGTTAATTATGACAAAAAGTTCATAGATATTATTATTTACTTGATACATTGCAAATTGCCCGTAATAAGATAGATACAAGGCATTGAAGAAGTTTATACACTCCTTCTAGTAAAGTACATAGGATACAGTAATAGTACACAAGCACGAAAACGCGTTAGAGAATAGTAGATGACTTCGTTGCACTTGTTCTACGCATTCAAACCAAAAAGTGCGGTGACAGCCCCATATAGGTCACATAGAACCTGTGTTCGACCTCGTGCGCCTGCAGGGATAAAGAGTGGTACAAAATGTTCTTCGCGTGGGTGTGCGGCTCGGAAGAAAGGATGCATCATCATAGCATGCAGCTGTCTGTTTCGACGATCTGTCTATTGCAACTGTTAGTAGCCATTTTCCAGGTGTCTTTAACTTACGTCTTGAATTGAGATTGCATCCAGCAAATCCGAATGGAACTGTTTGAATCCATCTGCTGCAAATTCCCGGTTGAACGCAGTGGGGTCTTCGAACGTGTGTATAGAAAGTCCACCACTAACGATGAGATAATCTTTTCGTAGGTCATCCAAGGCAGCGCCAATGGCGATCAGTTTAAAAGGGTCAAGAGAAGGCATGCTAATCTCCACTACGGGTATTGACAGCCCAGTCGGAAACATTATACTAAATGGGACAAAAACACCATGGTCCAATCCTCTGTCCCCAGAAACAGCAGCGGCCGAAATGTTGTTCTGCAAAAGTTAGTAAAAGCAAAACATAAGCAAGAAGAAATAGTAGACAAGCATTGTCCAATGTTCATACACTTTCTAAGCAATTTAACACTTGCTGTGCAACCTTAGATGAACCTTTTGACGGAAAAGAAAGATCAAACATCCATTTCGGAAATCCATAGTAGTCATAAAACAACTTATTCGGTGCATCACGAGAAAAAACGTGCACTAGGTTTCTCGTTTCATAATGTGCCGAAAAGACGATTATTGCTTTTGGTCGAAATCGTTCTAATAGAAAAGGACCAAGTTTCTGCAGAAACATATAGTGTTCCCCATCTTTCTGGAATTCCCTCCCGACCATGTCAATTCCGTCATCTTTTAAGAGAAGAAAAGGTGCTGCTATCATTAGCGCTGCACGAACTACTAAAAATAACGAGAAGCCTTGTTGAAAAAGCCTTCCTCTCCGAGATTGCACATTTCCTAACCACGCGTTTCGGATTTACATAGTACAACCAATGTATCCGTAAATGTCCCTTCCATCCAATTCAGAACATTGCAATGTGAACCCCCCAATTTATGCTTTTCAAATGCCCAGAATCACATTCCTCGCATGTCAAAGCATAACCAACGCATGAATCAAAGCGACCAATCAAACTCGCAGGTTTGTAGAATAAGCTTCGTGACGTCATGCGGATAAGACGAATTGGCCGAACTGGCATATGCGGAGAAGAACAATTGCCGAGCAAGCTGTTTAGTCAAGACGCAAAAGTGGACGTTTTGACGTCACTTATGTAACGTCAGATTTCGCTGGCAAGTTATAAATAATGAGCTCCGTCGCTTATTAATGAGACGCAGTGCGTTATGGAAAGCTGGAAATATGCGTGGTGGTAGTGTTTTGTGTGAGCAAGGCCAAGTTCACATAGAGTAGCTCCGTATGCATAGTTAAGGCTTTCGTTCAATGGCACGAGAATTGTTGGAATTAGAAGCGGATGAGCCTGTGTATGGACAATTGCAACGATCGCGTGGTTAGGAGTGCTGTTACTTACGTACATCCATGTGCTAGGTAGAGCATCGGTATCTTGTCCTGTGGTGGCACTTGTTGCATTGCTGCCACCCATGGTTGTACGGAATCGTTGTAGTGGTTACGCCGCTCTTGCATGACTGTATTGGTCACAACGACGTTCGGCGTGTCGTCCTTTATAGTCGAAGTGATAGGTGTTGGTTTTAGAGTAGTGTGGGTGATGGCGTCACGTTTCTTCGTGGTGTCCCGTTTGAGCAGAAACATGCACAGAACCAAACTGAGGATTACTAGTTTGTGGTTCCAAACTCTGCGAAGGAACATGTCTACTTCGGTTAGGACTTACGACGTATGTGGGATTCACTAAATGAGCTGCTGAAGAGGTGATGTTTGAGAGCGTTATCGCTCACAATTTGCAGGAGGCGATTAATCGGCTTAATTCGTTACAATCGAATGCGAGCACGTTGAACGCTATTCGAAACCAGGGTATTAAGCCAAATGACGCTGCCTTGGAGGAGATGCGTGCCTATTTTAAACGTTTAGGTTACAAGGTTGGTTAACTGCGTGGCTTGCTATGAAAGAATCCCTTCGTCACAGTTCCGGCTTGGTTCGGCTGTTACTAAGAGGGTTGAAGCCCGCATTATTGCTTTGTTGTTCTCTGTTACTAATGTCCTTGCTAGTTGGATGACTTGAACCGTCTAAAGATTTTCCATGTTACGGGTACTAAGGGAAAGGGCTCTACCTGTGCCTTTGCGAATTCAATTCTTCATGAGCTACAAGCCTGCTCTGAACCCGGTGCCCCTAAGCGCATTGGTGTATTCACCTCGCCTCATTTGAAATCAATTTGCGAGCGTATATCGATCCAAGGTTCGCCCATTTCGCAACAAAAGTTTGCAAGGTATTTTTTTGAAGTATGGGATCGTCTTGAAGCCACGGAAGCTGAAGTGGGCTCAACCGCCAAGCCCATGTATTTTCGTTACTTGACATTAATGGCGTTTCATGTTTTCCTTAGTGAAAATGTTGATACCGCTATTTTTGAAGTTGGCATTGGAGGCGAATATGATTCGACAAATATCATTCCTGCACCCGTGGTTACGGGTGTGACGAGTCTTGGTATTGAGCATACCAATATTCTGGGCAGTACACTTTCGCAAATTGCATGGCAAAAAGGTGGCATTTTCAAGAGCAGCGCCCCAGCTTTTGTTGTGCCGCAGCCCGTGGAAGCATTGACAGTACTCCAAGAACGTGCGAATGAGCGTCATACAACACTGCATGTTGTCGAAGCGCCTCGTGGACTGACTGTCGATATGCTCGGTTTAGCAGGACAACATCAACTGCAGAACGCAGCGCTTGCGCTTGCTCTAGTCCAACACTACTTCCAATTGTCTGGAAACAAAAATATCAATCTGTCGCATCCTGCCGTCCTCAAGGGTCTGAAAGACGTCCGTTGGCCTGGACGCTGCCAGTACGAGTGTGTTGATGATATCCATTGGTTCTTGGATGGTGCTCATACCATAGACAGTCTTTTGGCTACTGGCCGGTGGCTCTCTGACAAGCAAGCATTTGCTAACGGCACTGCTCGTGTACTTGTGTTCAACCAACAAAATCGAGATGATCCCGTTGCCTTGCTGAAAGCCTTTTTAACGGGCTACGAGTCTCGTAGCACAGCTCCGCCGTTTACCCATATCATTTTCACAACAAATGTTACATGGAAGGAGCAAGGTTACACGCCTGAACTGCTCAGCATGAATGCTGTTACCTCTACAGAGCAACCATTGAGTGTGCAAAAGAAGCTTGCCGCTTGGTGGACTGAAAACCGACCTACAGCACCTAGCATTGGCAATGGTGCCGCGGTGAAAGTGGCAGCTTCCATTCAAGAGGCGTTGGAACAGATACGTCAAATCCATATTCAGAATTCAACTGTGTCGGTTTGTGTCACCGGCAGTTTGCATCTTGTCGGTGGTTTGCTTGTTGTTCGCGACTTCTAGACATACTACGATACTGTCTTTTCCAAATATATTTCTTCCCCGTTTTTGGTCACCACCTCTCTATCTTTCTCGACTTCAAAAAGACTGAAGCCATGACGGCTTCTGCAAGGTTTGTCTCATGATTCCATATGTTTCACTAAGAATTCTAAAAAATATTTCATTTGTTTCTTATATCTTACCGGTCTCTTTGTGCCCGCTCTGTTTATTGTACTTCATAAACGGATCTTTGTTTGCTGGTAAACCGGTTTTGTCTCTTTGTTCTCTTGGTTTTTTTGTCTGTATTTGAATGGTGGTGTTTGCATGTATCTAGACCAGCACGCTTCACCTTGACCACCACACGTTGTATTTGCGCTGGACAATCAACCGCGTCGCTCTTAAACGGCAACTAATATCCTCTGTTATTTGAATTCGTTCAAAAAAAAGGTTGAGAAAAAAAAGGAAACCCTTGACGTTGTTTTTGTCATAGGGACGCACGGATTTACGTTTGGGATTTTTAATGACTTCAACGACTACAAACACAATGGGCAGCGACGATGCCACCGACACTTCGAAAAGTCTTCAGGAAACTGTAACATCGTCTTCATCTACCTTACTTCCTTTATCACCTTCTGTGGACCAACTTTCGCGTCCACTTTCACTTGATGAAACCCACAAACTGAATGATGAATGGACTCTTTGGTTCTTGAAGCCACCAGCACAAGGTCTTGAATGGAGCGATCTATTAAAGGAAGTGATTTCCTTTCAGACGGTTGAGGAGTTCTGGGGAATCTTTAACAATATTTCAAAGGCTTCCATGCTTCCAGCAAAGTCAGATTATTCCTACTTCATTAAAGGTATTCGACCCGAATGGGAGGATCCTCAAAACATGAACGGCGGAAAATGGGCCTACCAAAATAGACACCGTGGATCCAATGTTGATGAACTTTGGCTTTGCACGGTGCTGTGTGCCATAGGCGGAACACTCGATCCTACGGGACGTGAAGTTACGGGTGTAGTATGCAATATGCGTAAAGGATTCTACCGTATCGCTGTTTGGACGCGTTCCTGTACCGATAAGGAGGCTCTTACACGCATTGGTTTGAGATTTAAAGAAATTCTCCATCTCACAGATAAAGAAACAATCGAGTTTAGTGCTCATGAAGACTCCTCGAAATCTGGCAGCATGCGGGCAAAATCTCGGTTGAGTTTGTAAAAAAAGTGTTTCATCCGTTTTACTTGTTTTACATCGTCGGCTAGGCAGTACTTTCGGAAGAAAAAGTACACATTATGTACACGGAGAAAGGGATTGGAATTAGAAAAGCTCATGCTTGGAAGTGATTGAAAAGCATTGCTTCTTGTCCAGGTCTGAAAAGAGATGGATAAAAATCTAAATGAGATACAGTTCGTTGTTGGGTATTTTAGTTCTATTTTGTTTTCTCTTTTTCCTTGTTTTCTTTCTCGGGCTGCTTCTTTTGCTCTCGCAGTTTCTTTTCAAATTTCTCGAACTCTTCAATAGCGACTTCTTCTTCTGGGTCAATTTGCTGTTCAACATTTTTCACCTCGGGAATGTAGTGCATCAGCATTTGCTGAATTCCCGATTTGAGTGTGATTTCCGAGGATGCGCATGTACGGCATGAGCCTCTAAGCTTTAAGTATACTGTGCCCGTCTGCTCGTCAAATCCGCGGTATTCCAAGTCGCCACCATCTTCTTGAATGGATGGGCGAATGCTAGAGTCAATGAGCTCCTTAATCATTGCGACCGTCTCGCTGTCCGAGTCGAGAATCTGTGTGTCGGCCGAAGGATTGAAGGGTGTGCCATCAATTACCGGTTCACCATGGAAAGGTGCTCCATGATGACGCTGAATATTTCCGGTTTTAAACGACCCCAAGACATGTCGGCATCCTTGTTGACCGTGATAAAGTTTTTTCCGAACAGCAGGCTGCCTACGCCGTTGATATCGAAAAGCTTACGAGCAAGTTCAGAGTTCTTGGCGTCTTTGGGACTCATGAATTCCAATGTACTCACCTCAGGAGGCAAAATGTTTACATCTGGAACAAACATTAAAGCATTATCATTCGGAGTTGTTTCAGAACGGATCCAAATGTTCCTGCACCAAGGGAATGGATATGTAATAGGCAATGCATTCCGAACTTGGAATCTAGACAGCAAACTTTGCCGTGAGGATTTACTCAGTTTGTTTAACGCACGGAATCCGTATTTCTGTAGATGAAACATATTCAACTCAACTTGTGGTTTTGTTTGTGAAAGAGTGTAAACAAAAGTACAGTGTATACGGGCTGTTTGGTTGGAGGAGACGCTTGCTTGCGACAAATCGTCTGCGCAAGTTTGTTACGAATCCAATTTGCCTGTGGTGGTGCCGGGAGGTAGCAGTGTTTGGTGGAGTAAATAGCCGCGGTCTATCCTCGTCTTTTCCGATAGCATGACGTAAGCAGACGCGTGCACGTATGAGGAGGGAATCACTTGTCGCGTCAATTCTACCTAGAACCAACAATTACAACAACCGTACCGTAGACAATTGTACTGAGAAAACGTCAAGGTGCTGCGGATTTATTGCATGAAAAAGATGGAGAAAGTATGCTAATGATTGAGATGAAAGATGGGTATTAACGACGCGTCAAGTCCAAATTAGAAGCTCGTGTGAAGTCCTTAGAAGAGCAGAAAGTTCAATTGGAAAAGCAGCTTGTTGAAGCAAAAGCAAAATTAAGGTACAGAAAGTGGGATTTGGAATTTGCAAGTTCTTGACTTTGCTAAACACTTCAATTACAAATATAGAGACCCTGACGCGCATAAAACAGTAAGAAGACATATTGAACTGCTTCATACATACAACGAAATTCGGGACGTTGCTCTAGGAATGATTGGAAAGGTTGCAGAGCAAGAAAAATGTACAAGTATGGAGTTGCTAGACCGTTTCGGAGTGAAAGGATGTGAATGAAAGAGCTCCCCATGTGTCTTTGAAGCAACAAAGGTTACTATCAATCCAAAGTGGCAAGTGTTTTTTCGAGAGATTGGACTTCATTCACGGAAGCATCAAACGGCAATCGCTGTAATTCGCGCTCCCAGAACCCAATTTGTCGCTCAGTCGGGCTAAGAACAGTTTGTAACCGCTTGTCAAAGTACGAAAGCCGATCATCCAACACACTGGAGTCAAGCTTTATGGACTCTGTGGGTTGAGACTCAATTGCTTTTTGTAAGATGGGGAGTTGGTCCATCAGAAAATCAGTGGAGTCCGGTAACGTTACCTTCTGTGATCGGAATGTTGCATCTAATTCTGTTAGGCGCTGTATGCGTTCACGGATTTCTGTTTTTCGTTGGCGAATCGCTTGAAGTTGAGCTTGCAAACGATTGCGTTTTCGTAAACGGTCTGTCAGAGTATTCTTCACTTGTACAATTTTCTGGTCAAGTTGAGTGTTCTGTACTTGTGTAACGGTATAGTCGACATCTTGGCCTTGCATTCGAAAATGTCCCGTCAGTTCTTGTGGGATCATAAAAATATTTCTTAATGCAAACAGCTCAAAACGATCATAGTATCTGTCTACGATATTCTCAAACAGAATTTCAAATTTGTGGAGTCCTTCCTCGATTTCAGTAGCACTTGTTGTTCCCGATGGTAAACTTGAGAAAAAACGGTCTACAGCATTCACTGCCTTGTACAGCAACTGATTTGTGATGTTAATGACGTCGTCTATGAACGACAATGGTGTGAATTCAAGTAACTGAACCAACATACTTGGTATCGTCTTTTGCAGCGCTTGCTACTTCGTGAGCGGTACCAAAGACAAATTTGAACGAATTCGCACCAATGGAAAAAGAAAGGATCCGGGTGGTTTGATTTGCTAGAATGAATTTATTTACTCACCAAAGATAGATAAAGGATGTGATTAATTTCGTTACATTAAAATAAACCGTATAACTCATGTCTTGGTGTCGTGATGATATAGCAAACCAAAAGTTAAATATACATAAAAAGGACGTTAAATGGGTTCAACGAGCTGTAGATTCACGCTCGTTAAGGTGCTCATTTAGCTAAAGTAACTAATAGATGTAAGTGTTAACAAGAGGATCAAAAAAAATACGATGTAGCTTCTACTTGACTGATGTCAAAAGACGGAAAAAAAATGGATCTAAGGTATTTGTTTTTCGCTAATGTGAAAGTTTCCTGTGAATGTTTTATTTTCCTGTCAGCTTTTGATATCATATTGAAGATGTCCTCTAATTATTGAATAGAAGAGTTAAGGAGTAGAACTGTTTTGATGTACAGTATGGGACTTTCCTTCGTTTTTATTTCGTTTGCTTTACCTATGAAAACGCACACTCATTCGTTGATTAAATTGTTTTTATTTTGAACAAAATGCGAAAGTATCTGAAATCATTGAAAGAAATAAACCAATTAATAGATTAGAAAATAAAGAAAAAAAAGAAAGAATAAGATGCATGAGCATTTCTATTCTTTCACTCTCTAAATAATTTATCTAATTATACTAGTGAACACACTTCGGCAACTTGTGGTCACTCATCAAGTAAACACTATTGACACTACGTGTCTCATCTACCAATATCAATTGCTACAATTACTGTCTTTAAATAAACTGTAAGGGTTTCAGAATGTCTAAAGTAAAGCTTCTTTCGTCGGATAATGAAGAATTCACTGTTGGTATGTTTTTGTTTAAGCAATTTGTGGCCACCCTACTAATTGTTTATTTTTATAGACAGAATTGTTGCTGAAAAGAGTATTCTTATCAAAAACATGCTTGAAGGTATGTTCAAATCGTTTGTTTTATCTTTTTCTGTTTCACTGGCCTTAATTAACAAATAAACTAGATATGGGTGAAATGAATGTTCCAATTCCTTTACCAAACGTGTCTTCCAATGTACTGCGCAAGATTATTGAATGGTGTGAACACCACAAGAATGATTTGTATACAGGAAATGAAGATGAAACTGAAATTCGTCTGAAAAAATCCACAGACATTGATGAATGGGATCAAAAGTTTATATCCGTGGACCAAGAAATGCTCTTTGAAATTATTCTTGCTAGTAATTACCTTGATATCAAGCCACTACTTGACACTGGATGCAAAACAATTGCAAATATGATTCGTGGTAAAAGCCCGGAGGATATTCGCAAAACCTTTAATATCCCCAATGACTTTACTCCTGAGGAGGAAGAACAGATCAGAAAGGAAAACGTAAGTTAAGACAGGCAGTGTTGTAGGCGAAAGCCGATTAAAATCGTGTTTTTTCTCAACATTGCTTTATGTGTTTCCTTCACTGGATGTCTACTAACCTTGACTAGGAATGGGCTGAAGATCGTTAATATATCTTCGGTATATCCAAATCTATGGGAGTCACACACGATTTGTATTATAAATAAACTCAAACCACTCATAAATGCAAGCATTATGCAGTTGATTGAATGGAAATAAGTATAAAGCTTCTGAGCTAATACGAAATGAAGAGTATATAGATACTCTTATCGGCAAGCTCAAACAATCTCCCAAGCCTTAGCTTTGACCGTTTCCCAGTATATGTTTACAGAAATTATCACTTGAAATAAAACTACACAAAACCGATATAATAAGGCGTAGAAACTGTATTTGCGTGAGGAACGATGTTATGAGATTGCTAAGATTGGTAAGGCTATACTCGTTTGATTCGTCTATAATTTCATCCCAATTCTTCAAACAGTTTGACCTGTATGACCTGCGTGATACGTGTACGTTACGGACAAGACCCTTAAAACTCGGAATCAAAAGTTACGAAAGCTAGTTCTTGACAATTTAATGTAGTTGAGATGATAAACACTTGAATTTGAATTACCAGAATTTTTCCATAGAGTATATACAAAACGCAATTGAAAGGACCATCGTCCTCTCAATGCTGACTTAGCATCTGTAAACAAGGGTGCTATGACAAAATACATTCACTATACAAACCGGATTAGTATTTACAGAACAGGGGCCGAGGTTTTATTTTAAAGCAATAGGCCATTACTGGAAGACTTGATTTATAGTTACTGTATTCGAGGACGAAACTCGTAATGTAGTTCGGTTAAAAATTAACGAATTTATTTTATTGAATTTGTCGAATTAAGTAAACCCTACCAGTCGCTTTACATAAGATTTTATGCTATACCTTTTTTGTCAAAATTGCTCACTCAAAAGCTTCGATAAGATGCGAAGTTCATAAACAATTACACTCATGAAGTTACTGTTTCATTGAACACACTGCGATCTGCAATCCTAACTTAGCATAACGAATTAGAATAACAACAATGAAAATAGTCTTACGTTTTATCAACCATACACGTTACAATTAGTTGAATGAAAGAAACAAATAACGAAAATACATCTAGTTTTCTTTTGCTTTCTACAGTCGCTTGAGTTAGCGCGTTTTCGACTTGTTATTAATTAATGAGTCGAGGTTTTATTTATTCAATAAGCAATTAACTTTCAGCGTTTTTCTCGCGAAAGCATGCATTCAGCATACGAACCATTGGTGATAAAATGATAAATTTATAAAGTGTGGATTTTTATGGAAATTGTTGCTATCTGCGTTGAAACGCTCTACCAAAAGTACCTTTACTATGCAGTGTCGGATATTTTTTTTATAGTAAATTCTAGACTTCACAAATGCATTCGTGTAAGTAGTGAGATTCAATATATCAAACTTAACACGATCGCCTTGATAATTACGTAAATAGCCTTTATGCTTAATTGAATAAATGTTAATGTTACATCTTAGCTTTAGCAAGTAAGCAATTCTTTGTGAATTTCGAATAAAAAGACAAGATAAATTATAACGTTAAATGTAAAGGATTTTCTATTGTTACGATTAAGGAATATAATTGTGAGCGTCCTTTGTTCCAATCATTTTGTTTAATACTACAATGTTTACTTTGATGCGAGGATAGTCCAAATAAGTATGATCTGAATCAACACAATTACAAACATAATATTCCCCAATAATAACAATATGTTCCACGTTCGTTTGTTGTACCGCAAATGAAAAAGGCGTACAGCGAAGCATGTAACGTTAAAATGCTTATAATTCCACTATGGTGAAGTGAAGATCAATACTGTTAAAAGTTGAAGAACGATCGTCTTGGTTTTCCTGTACATCGCACTTCTTGCCATGCAACTCGAGTTCCAATGAACTAATTTGGGGCATGATCAGTGAAGGGAAGTCTAATGAAAGTGACGAAATTCCACTTATTCTTGACTGGCTGATCATAATCATGATTTGGGCCCTATAATAATTACTCAAAACTGCTTCTAGCAAACGGATGCGCGAGGAAACTCTTGATACGAACAAGCTTGTTACAGCAAAATAGCTTCCTGTTTTTAACAAAAGGTTTTATCAAAACCAACGCTCACGTTAATGGATACATTAACGATATCGCCTAATCGTGGTGTTCGCATCCACTGAGATAGAAAAGCATTACTTCTTGCAATGCTGAGACAATTTAAGCTTTTATCGATTGTTTTATCATTTCTCACTTTGTCTAGCTTTTTTTGGTCACTATTATATGAATACTACCCAAATTCTTGGTTGCTGTTATTTATTTCAAGTGCATGTTTATTGGGTTGCTGGTCTATTCAAATTCATTTCATGACATATATAAATATTCATACTGAGAAGAAGAAGAACTTGAACAACCACCACCTTATGAGTGTACATCTACTATGATCAATCAGATGAGTACTTATTGATGGGATTTCGTTACAACTTATCGTGACATTTTGAAAGAGCTTCATTTAACGGAATGTGTGGTAACTTTCTTTTTGCATACAACATGTTCTAGAGGTCTAGCTGCTATACGGTAATCATCGAGCCATGGCTGTACAGCTTGTGGGAACCAGTGTTTTGTAATTGAATTATTACAGGTTCTATGAAATTACGGGGCGTCCATAAAACGAGATCCTTTAACGCACACCACGTTTATAAATGAAACTTCATTGTGAACATTGTAGAAATACTATTAGTTTCACTAATTGACTGGTATTTATGAACCTGCTGCTTCGTAAACGATTGAGTGATCAACACGACTGAATAAGTTTCTCTATTTTTTACATATTTTGAAGTCTCCCTTTCGTTATGAAATTTGATTCGGAATAAGAGCACGTTGAAACAGCTGTATTATTCCAGGCAATATACATTCGTCGCTCCTTATAATCAATTTTTGCCTGCTGGTTCAAGGGTATTAGAATTTCTCGTTAAGAATTAAATGATGACTATTGAAAAATAATTTTGCATTAGAGAAGAATTCAAAAATATTCATGAATTCAATGGTAAAAGCCGTTGACCACTCCAGGCTCAACCAACACATGAATTCGTAATTTATTTATTTTTACACTGTAAAGTACGCGGTCTATGTCGAATAAGACCTTAAGCTAAGAATAAAATGCGCCAACAAAACAAATAGTTTAACAAAATTTGTTAATCCTTAAACTGTAACAAATCCCTAAATAACAGTTCAATATTTAAAGCGGCTACTTCTTCAAATAAAATAAAGTACGCCATTATAGATTACTTCAATTCATGTTTAAGCAATGCGTGCTCACATGTAACAGATGTACTTGAATCAAGCATCGTACACTAGTCGTTATTAACGTGACTTTCTAGCTGCAATCACCAAGTAGTGTAATTCATACACGAGGATTTAAACGTCCTAATTATGTCTTATTGTTTGTACTTTGCCTAATTTACCGTATTAAACCTTCAACTGTTTTCCGCATTCGTAAAACAAATAGAAGGAAATATATATAGAACTACTATGGTTTATTAGTTACTCAAAATGGTGTAAACTGCTATTGTTATGAATGAAAAAAATTGTTTCTTAAATATGAAGATACCTCATCGGACCTGTTAGATTTAAATATCACAGGAATAATATTTCTAAATCTACAAAACGGATTCAATAGACAAGTTATTCACCCACAGTTTTTTTTTCTAAGCATTTCACAATTGATTAGCAGCTTTCCTGGACACACACTAAGCAGCACCAACTAACTATATCATAAATTACCGAAAAAGATAAATAATATAATATATATACAAAAAATACTATCGTTAAGAAAAGTCATAAATAAGAAACCTACCATCATCTAGTGCAAGAACGGCAAATGATTGAATTAGACCGAGGTCAACAACTGCAGTTGAATGTGAAACAGAGGGTAAAGGTGATGTTCGTATGTGAACGGGCTGCAAGGATGAAAGCTCAGACGAGCATAAATCCCACAAGCACACATCAGCACAGGAGTAGGAAGCAGAGACAATTCTTTCTGAATCTAGTATTTTTGCAAACTTGACGTTGCAATATTGACCCATTAAACGGGTTTCGTTTTTCATGTAAAGGTGAGCACTTCGTTCAACATAACCAATGTCAAGTAATACCATGGAATTGTCTGCGAATGATGCAAGAATATATGGAATACTAATGGATATGCTTGTAGGAGGTGTTTTTGTGTACACACGGTCGTTTAAATCACGAGGAACAAAGGTTGACGGATTAAAACGCATAGGGGTCAACAAAAAGTGTTGAACTCCGAGACACCATCCGCAGCTGTAAACGTATTCGCTATGTACAACGATAGCAAAGACATGAGTGCCAATGTGTCTAACGGAAAGCCGTATGGCAACCGGCTCAGCATAAGATATGAATAATTGGCCTAAAAACCGAAGTACCTGGGAGTCCGACATTTCCTCCTTTTTTTTAGTAGGACGAACATACCAAAACATTAGTTCCTTTTTGTTTGTATAGCCCACGATGTAATCCTCAGCAAACGAAACTTGCTTAAGAATGGACCCATTTGGAAGTTTTTGAATATGACACACGCTCAGTCTTTCGTTGGATCTCAAACGAAACAGTACAAAAGATGAGTCCTCAAAAGCCATTAATATTAAGTTTCGGCATTTCGCCATACAAGAAGGAAGACACGGACTAGGTAATCTATAACCCAAAAAAAGACTAGACCAATTGTATCCCGTTTTCAGCCTAAGCTGACCGTCAACAAGCGCAAACGTTTTAAAACCAGACACTGTCGCATGATAGACAAAGTCACCCCAAATTCTAGTGACAAAGTATGGTTTTTCGTTGTGATCCCCGTATAGAGACTGAACTCGTTCAATACATCGTCCACGGCTCCAATTGCTATGTTCCTTAAATAAATTGCGCCAAGAACACTTTTTCCTTCGACTAAGTTCATATGTTCGTTTCAGTCGAGGGAGGCTAAATGCCTTTGCATATTGCATTCGCCAAACATAACCACTCCGTGATACCCTCTGCCATTTGCGTGAGACACGTTCTAACGATGTGAGATCACAAGCAGACAAATGTTTGAAAATATGTAATAATGTTTCCTGACTAAAAATGGAGGATGGATCTCGACCAGCTCCAACAAGTGACATTGTCCTTTGTTTCAGTGCTGCAAAAAAAAACAAAGTCGGTCGAGTTTTTTTAATTCCCTAGGATTTTAATAATCCTTTAGAGAAGTGTTCTCAGTCAAAATTAAGTGACTTCTTTCGTTATAATTTTCAACACACGGAAATCCTACTGGTCATTTTCGTGAACTCCTCTACTGTCTTGTTAAATAAGTAAATGGTGTAGTGTTTCGTTGAGAGTTACCACCAAAAGTAGTGGCAACACGACGGCAAAAGGTATGCCTCTCAGCTGAGGAAAAGCAGTTATATCGAGATAACGAATGGCTCCAAAATTAATTTTGGGTTATATTAATAAAATTGTCGTGAACAATTTCAACCCATTTCTGAAACAGACACACTCCGCAAAACTCCTTCTGTCGTTAGTTAACAAAAACATCTGCAAGTCTACGTACGGAATGAACGTAGTAGTTAACCAGGTTGGAAGAAGTTGTAAAGAAAAACCCACGATTGAAGTTACCTACAGTAAGAAACGACAATCTTTAGCAAAGAAAAATGAACATACTAACGATAATTCAGAGGATGGAAAGAAATCCGTATTCCTTACCGACGAGTACGCCATTGATGCTCTTGTGGACAGAATAGATTCACACAGTCGACATCTAAAAACTCAAGACATGATATCATAAACGGTAACTGCCTAAAGAGTAGACTTAGTTTGTGAATTTAAAATGGGACCCTGCACGCTGCTAATTTTAACCATTCATTTTCTTTTCAGTCCGAGCAGAAAGCCGTTGGTAATCAGCAAGTGTGTCTGAAGCGTGAGTGTAATACAGCCTTGCCGTGGTTCTTCCAACATTCTTAAGACTATAATAATTTCCTATATGACATTAATAAAGGACTCTTGCGGCACCTTATGTGTATGCTTACCTCTCGGAACAATGAAGATTCCTCCTTTTCCTAAACGGAATGTAGTATCGTTGAGCATTACTTCAATATGTCCATTAAGAATACAAAACGACATGATGTTATGTTTAGAAGGCTTCACAGGTTTGACACCTCCAGCGGGCAATTCAATAACACCAGCGGCGAATGACGGTTGCTCGCTAAAAACGCAGCATACTTCATCGGTTGATTAGGAATTTCGTTGAGTGAAATAGAAGACATGGGATAACCGACAACTCTTTCTTCTGTCTCTTCTGGATCTTCGGAATTCCATTTAAAAACAGGACAGGTTACTTCTGTTTCGCTGCCCCAGTTCTCCTCTTCCATGCCCTTATCGGCTGCTTCATATTCAGGCGTCTGTGATGCAGATCGAGAACGTTTTTTTCCGGGTGCTTTTGTACTTTTTCGAATAGTTTTCTTTCGAGATTTCTTGCTTTGTGATAGTGAGGGTCTAGGTTCTTCGTCTACGCGTATAATTTGTTTCACCTCGGGCAGAGCAAGCTTTTGATCTTGGCTTTTATGTAATTCATAAACAACACGCTCGTTTCGCCAAAAGGCTAACGGTGCCATGCGTGTCCGCCTCGAACGGCGAAGCCCATTTGGCGGACTTTCTATTGTTTTCGGAGGGGGTGTACTTTCCTTTTCTGCTGCTACTGAGACCGTCTTCTTAGAATGAGTGGCTCTCTTTCGCCGTTTGCCTGGAGGTTTAGGGATTGGTGAAGCTTCTGTCTGTAAGTCTAAGGCAGTAACACTGCTGTCGCCGACATTCGTTTCTGTCACAGCTGGCGGCGGGCTTGATTTTTTTCTCGATTTTGTTCGTCTTGCAGTTTGTTGCTTTTTAGCGCGAGTATGTCTCAGCAATTCTTTAAGTGGTCTTGTCGATTCGGGTTCTGGTGAGGATTCTTGTACGGAAGGTGAAGTTGAAAGACGGTTATTTATAGGCGCAAGTTTTTCAGACAGTAACGAGCGCTTTATAGCCTGCGGAACCTGTTCTGGACTTGCTCTTCTAGGCTTAACCGGGGTAGGCTTTTTCAGTGGAACATAATTTATCGGAGGAGAATTGTCAAGCTCAAGGCTGCTTGATGATTTTGGAGCTGCTGGTAAATTAGCTAGCGACGGAGAAACTATTTGCCTAGGCACATTATTTTTTGGGAGTGGTTCCAGTTGAGGAGTGTTTGTTCGTCGAAATTGAGTTTTACGCTGGGAAAGCTCCTGGATTAAAGGGGAAAGAATGGATGGATTTGGAGGAGGCGATGTTTGTGGGGCAGCAGTTTCAGTCGCGTCAACTATGTTTCTTTCATCGGACGAATAATGAAGTTCCAAAGAACGATTCTTTGCGACAGAAGCATGTTGTTTCGGAACGGCTGACACAGTTGCTTTCGTGACTGAGTTTTGAATGTGTGAGAAGTCAATTTTTCTGTTGATTCTTTTGGAAGAATTTGCAAAAGATCTTTCTGCTGTATCAAATCCATCGTCATTCTCGGCTGATCAATGGTTAGTTAACTTCTCCATGAATTAATACAATAGATGTGTAAACAAAGCAGCTGACATACGAAGCAATGAATTTGTCGAGCCTCTACTAGCCCGGTAAGCTTGACGATTCATCAACAAGGGAGATGACGGTGGATCTTGAACCATCTCTTGCGCAGTCTCCGGGTGGGAAGAATTTGTCATAACAATCTTTTGGGATGCTTGAACATTCTCATCTTGTGCATCTAGTTCCATGGATCCATCGGATAGAAAGTATGCATTCATATCCTCGAAACCATGTTCTCCTCTTTGAATATTCTCAGGAACCGTGAATCCCGTTTTTCTATTGTAAAAGGTAAGCTCATAAACCAGAAATGCAATACGAACCTTCCCACAACTCCAATGTCAAAGAATTGGTTTTCACGATTTTTTGAAGGCTGAACATCACCTTCACTCATGATTTCTTATAATAGTACAGCATTAATTACAGCCTCAGAGTAGAAATACGTCGGCTGTTTGACAGTTAATGTTATAGTTTGTAAATTTGTAAAGCTTGAGAAACGAATTACTGATTACGTATACTTTTCCAGTAAAATCAGAGCTTTCTTTCGCTAGTATTAAAGATTAACAGTATCAAAGTTAGAAAAGAGAAACTTTAAAAAATAAAAAGGCACAATGGTTGTTCCTATATTGATAAATCGTTAATCGCGTTCAATTCGCGTTTCTTATGGTTATAGCGCTTTTCAAGTAGTGGTAACAAAATTAAGCTTATCTGATAAGAATTAAGCTTATTGCTACCGCGAAAGCAAATTAGAGTAAAAGAAAAACAAATAAAGAAACACGGTACTTGTTATTTAAGTTCTTACGATACCTGGCATCATTAAGTAAAGAACTCCTAAAGAAATATGGGTTCAGTGTTCCAAGCTCGAGACGCAAACATTTTTAAACAGAATTTGTACAAGCTTGTTATGTCTTCAACTTCTATGAATATATTTAGAATTATGTAAGTGTTTCATACTTGCAATGTTGCTCTTTAAGTTGAGTAGTCGTCTGTTTTTATTCGTTTTTGTTATTTCAAACTTAATAAGTATAATATTTTTATTCATTCTAATTAATGTGCTAAGCGAAATTCGTTAAGTGATAAATGTGATCTTCTTGCATAGCAATGAGTTATTTACTTATTGATGATTCTTGTGATATTTAAAATGTCTCATCTTGAATGTGAAAGATAAGTAACTTACTAATGATTTTTCTTTTGGCTCTCGTACAAAGCATCAGACAAAGTCAAGATACTGTTTCCATATTGCAACGTACATAACATGAACGTGTTCACATAATGAATAACAGACATTTGGTGCTGTATTCTCTTTGAGTGCCATCAAGAAGCCCGCCTTTCTCCATCTCACCCATTTAGAACGTTACTTCCTGAATACTTTGTTTTAAGTCTCTCTTCTCCTAATTTGGTAAAATATCTAAACATTTTTCACGTGTATCTGCTATTTGAGTTACTATTTCCACTCAATGAACTGTATATCGTGAAAATCGATTTTTTAAAGAGCAATTACTCTTTCTGACAAATTTTGTTAAATAGCACATCTATTTGCCGGCTGAAATTGGTTTACTTTCATATGATTAAACCTACCTTTACCTCCTGCTGAATAGTATACTTTTTTGGGCTCCTTCTTTACTATTGTATCATATCTTCATATTAGTGAAATTTCATTTTTGCTTTCGCATATCTTTCTTAAATTATACTTATGGACTTCTACAGCTTACTACCTCCTCGACAAGGACTTACAGCAGATAACCTAACGGAACGATATTGCCATTTTTGTTTATGCTGCAATCCATGGTACACGGGTACTGACACACAGGAATTAGCTAACGCTTTCAATTCCATACCAAAGGCTGATGGAAATGTATTTGACCCATGGCTTTTATTCCTACTTGTTAGGCAGTTTCATCACGGTATCATAAACTCATGGGCTTCTCTCGTCGCATTGATGGGTGTTGAACGTAAAGAGGAGCAATCTGCACAAAAGATTCAGCAGTACGCTGTCCGTTTGAAACGTTGGATGCGAACAATGCATGTTGATGCTTATTTTGATTACCTGTTAAATAAGCCCAACGACTATTATATGTCGATCCCATCCCATGAGCCGGAGGTTCGAGACGGTGTTAGCGTCAAAGATGATCATGTTATTAAATCGCTCCGGTCAGGGCTCGTCCGTGGTCGTCAGCTTAATGTTGACACCACTTCAGAACATTGCACTAACGTCAGTGAGGAAGATTGGGTACAAGGCGATTCGACTAACGTTTCATCTGACAAGACGAATGATATATTGGGCTCCTCCAGTTCCAATCTTCATTTATCACGGCACCTTAGTCAAGCAAATGATCTTCATATATCACAGAGACTTTCGGATGTGAGTAGCACTCCAACCATACAAACAACCTCGTCTCCTCCTCACCAATTACAAGGAGCCCAGTCACTAAAGTCTGTCTCAGACAATAACCATTTTACAGCTGCAGCAATAGCATCGCTTAGTCAGGCCTCGCAAAACGTGAGCCCTAAGGATAGCTTTATGCATGCTGCGAAGACTGGATTATCCGATCATTGGAACCAGTGGAAAGAAGGCAGTGAGTCACCAAAACGCACAGATCCTTCCCAAAACTGGCCTTCTTCGTCTCCTTCGTTAGCCGTCGACACAAATGAGTCAACAGTTGTACGACGTCGTCGTGGCCGGCCACCTGGTGCACGAAATAAGATTCGTCGCATTCTGACAGAGCCTCTTTCATCACCAAATACCAATCCATCACGCCCTGAGAAGTTTGAAAAACTAGTGCACGCACAAAATACCATGCTACGAGCGGCATTCTCACATGCCACACGGTTACCGATGGAGACCGTTGATGATTTGTTTAGCACTTTTTCAACTACCCTTTCTTCTTATCTTCCATCAGACGACCCTTCCACAAAACAAAGACCATGTTAAACTCATGTCTAAGACACTTTTAAGTTTGGTATCATCACAGATGGAGGTATTAGAGGCCGACCGAGACCATCTCGTTTGGTCCGTAAGACAGGGACCACTCTCAGCAGTCATATGCCATTCCTTCGACTCTTCCAAAAGCCGACCTTTATCATCTTTAGTTGTATCAACACCTCAACCGGATGTCACTTCAAGCCAACCAACTAGACGTCCATCTGGTATGGATTCTCTTGTATCTGTGGATGCGTTGCAAATGAAAATTGCCGAACTCGATACCGCACTTCACAAGAAAACCGTAGAATTAGAAACACTGAAGCGAAGAATTATGGATGCCGTTTTTGAATAAATAGGTCATGTTCTTTTCAGTTTCATTTTTTTGTCTTGTTTCAATAGTTTATATCACAAGTGCATACAGCTATTTGCAATTACATGATAGTATATTTGGATATTCTTAAATTACTTGATTAGTAAAGTGAAATTTCCTTTTCTCATTAAGTAAATAAAAACTTTCCGTCAAGCAAGATTGTTGTTTATCTACCAATTCTCCACATATATTTCTACATATGCGTTGACCATTTGCACTATATAGTATGAAACACTCCAATTAATCGCTGCCAAAACTACACACAAAAACCAACGTTATAACTTAATATTCTTGTATAACAAGTTTCACTGCTGCTCTAAAAGCCAACAAAAATACCTTTGGAGAAGATACGGTTAAACATTCAAAAGTTTTGTTTTCAAGAACATGGAAAATTATCAGACTGGACCTTCTGATATCGTCAACAAGCTATCATCGCAGTATATCGATTGCACTGAAGAGTATAAGAATGCTGTTTCTACACTTTACAAGGAAGAACTTGTCCAGTATTCTGAATTCACATTACTGGATTCCATTAGTGCTTTTGAAATAATGGACGAAAAGATGGACAGCGGGTTGAACTACATGTCAAAGGATTTGGATTTGTCGAAGGACCTTTCTGCCCTTGAGGTTATTGCGACCATGGATGGCATTCTACGAGATGAATGTGATTGGCATAAGGGTACACCAATGTCAGAATCCTTATTTACAAACTTGTTACTGTTGAAAGTATGTCGTGCTCCCTTAAAATCCTTGCGCGAACATTCTTGTTTTTCAGACTGCCCTGATACAGCATTGCTAAATTCTGTTATCTTTCCTTACATTGTTGCAACTATAAAATGCTGTGATCTCGTAAGGCGCGAGTACCTTAGTGGGAAATTATATGATGAAGAGGACACAAGCGCATCCTCTTATCAAATCTCATTGCTCGAAACTTTCCCAGCCGAAGAAGCCGACAAATTATTAGTTAACAGCATTGCTTGTCTTGATGGAAGTTTGCAGAAATACACCGAAGAAACAAGGACCTATGCCGACCACATCCGTTTGCGACTTAATATTCGGCTTTTACTTTTGCGAGTTTACCAACGGCTTGAATTTGACATAATGGAGCACGGGTTTTCGGATATTTATCCCTTATTAAAAGAGTTATTGCAATCACATGAAGAGTATGCGGCTAGTATTATGGATACAGTTTATGAAAAATATTGGGACTTTAGTATACAAGCCCAATTACCGGCCACGGCTCCCCCTCGCAGAATACCCCGTCTTTCATTTTCCGAGGTAGTTTTGTTTCTGGAAGAATTTTGTTCTGATGGAATGTTATTGAGCAAGGTGCGCTTCATCGATACTCCCATTTCGTTATTTCACTATTTTTTGGAATTCTCAAAGTTGGACCGCCTGCCGGAGGCCTACATTCGTTCATCACTACAGTCTATTGTTATGAATGGTGATCTTGTGTGCGAGCGAGACACACCACAATCGTTCTTTATTAAACTACTCTTCAATTTTTACGGAAATTCTCTGAACCTGAATTTTTTATCATCTTCTGCCTTCTATTCTTCAATAACACTTCCGCTGGCACAATCTTTACAAGACACTGTCCTTCGTTTGGCAAATTCTGTCATCGACATATTGCGTCTTTGCTCACATAATCCGTGTCGGCAAAGAAGAAACGCAATTAATATCCTTACTGATTTTGATTTCCGTCATTATGATTCGCTCCTTGTCGAAAAGCAACTCTCCATTGAGGCACCTGATGTTGCCTCAAGGGTTGGATCGTTTTTGTCTTCATTCGCCTTGCATCTCCAATTAAGCCTTATGGAATTTATACTAGTCAGTGGTTTTGAGCAAGAGCTATTTTTGTTATCTCAGGCTGATATATACTTCTCATATCTTCGAGACCTGTATGTGTCTCACTATCGTCTGGTGAAAACTTTACGTTCTACATTCAACCTTTATGATAGTGCATCCTCATATTTATCTTTTCTTGAACATGAATACTCAACGTTAATTTCATTTGCAGAGGGTTATTTAAAGGTAAGCATAATCATCATGCTTTTACTAACCACGCAGATGACTTGTTTGTTAATTACGATTAATGCAATTCCTAAAAAAACACTTAGAAACGAAGATGAGTTCCAAAAATCACAATTCCTAACCCACTTTAGACCTTTCCTTCAATTACGGAGCCTGCCGCCTCTCTCACTTTCAGTTTTAAAAGAGAATTCTAAACCTTGTGTCGAGGATGTACTAATCAAAGAAGCTAAGGAGCACTTTAATGCTGCTAAAAAGAATTTTCTTCTTGTAGCGAAACAGTTTTCTTCAGTGTTAAAAGATGAATCTGTTGTAGACTTATACAACAATCGTCTTAAAAAACACATCAGCTGCTGTATAGCAAATGTTTTAACATTAGATCTATACAGCCAGAACAGAGATTTAAAAATTATAATCGAACACAAATATGATCCTGGAATGTATAATATCTCTATAAAGAAGTGATTTAGTTTGAGCAAGATTTTCAAACCGCTATAATTAATATCTATGGCTTAATTATTCAAGAACATTCTTCTGAAATCGTCGTTGCTTTTTGGTGCATCTGTATCCATGTCGTCATTCGTTGATTCTTGTACAGCTGCTTTAAAATTACCAAGACGATGCCCTCTTCTTAGAGTACGGATATTCGGGACAAATTCCAGAGCTGAGGATTTCGTGGAAGGATTTTCACTTGTGTCTGTTAATTTGGCATGCATCATTTCATCAACGCTGCCTATATGAAGCCGCCTTCCAGCGAGTTCGTAACCTTCTACTGACATCGCCGCCTTGCCTGCTTTTGCAGGATCCTTATACTCTACTATTGCACCGTTGTGTTCCGGGTGCAGAACAACGCGGAAGAGTTCACCATATGGTTCAAACATTTGTCTTAATCGTGCCTCATTAACCGTCTCATCAACATTCATGACGCCTAAGCTCTTGTTATGCACTTGTTCCAAAGTTACCCGGGGAAGTTCCGTTCCCGAAGGTTTCGTAGAAACGGGTGGTTTTGAAGAATTAATCACTTTTTTGGGCGGCTTCGCAACAGATATCACGACATTTAATACGCGCGACCCAAGTCTTTCTCCAGTAGCGCTTAATGCACGTTCGGCCTCATCTTTATTTGACATTACGACGTAGCCAAATCCAGCATGTCTATACGGATTCCTTGAAGGAAGGCGAACATTTTCAACGGAACCATATCTTGAAAAGAACTTTTCGACATCAGTTTTTGTACAAGCAAAATCAATGTTAGTAACGTAAAGTTCGCGTTTCTCATAAATTGGACCCTCGCGTGATTGCTTGTTGTCTGGGTCAGAAAGATGAACTTTCAGTTCAAAGTTTCCTTCAAGGAGCTTTCCGTTTAGCTGCAAGGTATTATGCGCCTCTTCAGGAGTACGCATTTGAACATAACAAAATCTTCTTCGGGCATTGAACTTTAGGCTGGGGAAACGCACCTGAACAACAGCACCGAAGGGTTCAAAGAGAGCGGTTATTGCTTGCTCGTCAAACGATGGTGGAAAGTTTGTGACAAACAATGTCGTATCAGCATGGTCTCGGACATTTATTTCATGTCCGTGAATTTTTTTCAAATGTTTTGTTTTCGCAGCCAGTACTTCGCCTGGTTCTGCAAACTCAACCTGTGCTACCTTGGTTTGACCGTCATCATCTGGTAAAACGACAAGCTCGTTGATGGTTCCACAATCAGAGAACAATGATCGAATATCATCCGGACTAGCACTGGTAGGAATGTTGGTTACTAAGATAGTGAGCTCTTCGCGGTTTCTCTGTTTAGCAGCAAAACGAATTTTCTTAGGCATAGCACTTTCTTCATCTACAATATTCCTCTTTAACTTAGGTCGCAATTGCGTTGTCTCCGGAGTCGCAATCTGGACTGTAGATTCCAGCGAATGCTCTTTGGTTCCACTTACTGCCTCTCGAAGCAAACGTTGTTGGAAAAGACGCTTCGCGTGAAATAAATCGTATTCTTGTTCCAAAGCTGAAAACAAGTCGTAATTTTTAACCAGAACAAGATCGTAGTATTCCATAAGTTCCTTCGGGTTGTCTAGTTTTTTACTTAACCCTCTTGTCAGTGTATCGAGGGCCAGTTTTTTGTCTCGTGGGTACAGCCATTCAAATCTTTGAATCCAAAACTGTGATTTGTGTGGATATACCTTCTCCATATGTGACCACAGTTTTAATGCGGCATCCACATTTGAAACGGCCGTGTGTAATGCAATAATGGATAAATCAAGCTTGAAAAAGTCATGTTTTCCTTTTGAAAGAGTAGTAGCTATGAACTTTTTCGCGTAATTTATTTGAGAGCGAATATAGTCTTCGCTGTTCTCTTTTTCGGCACAAATGTACACGGAAATCTGAAGCCAACCACATAACAATTCAACGATTTCACCATGATCCGTTATAAGCCCCGTTGAAAAAGCAAGCTCCTTGCTCTTCTCTATTTCCGAAACGTCCGTGGAATACAGGAGCATTGCATACCAAAGAAATATCCAGAACTTGGCAGTCCAAGGGCAATTCCGAATAGCCCGCTCACAAACATTTAGTAGATTTATATTAGCACTTTCGTCCTCTCTAGTTTCTTTTATAATCCAAGAGACGTACAAGCACCAACCATCCGTGCTTAATGGATATATGGAGAGTAAACGCTCCAAAAGTGTTACAACGTAACCAGCAATTTGTTTTGGTTTCCTCATTTCTGAGTTTACAAATGACTCAAATTCCTCCAAAGGATAACCGGATGATCTAAGAAGCAATTCTTGGCGAGAAATTGCATTTGATTTTTTGAGAGTGTTTGAGAAAACCCTATTTGCATTGATCATAATGGATTCGTAGTCATTAGGAAAGGATTGTGTAACAAAAGTTGAGAACGTAGCAAATGTGGATTCTATTTTTTCGTGAGGAATCTCTAGTCGTTTTAGATAACATTGTAAACTTAATTCATCAATAGAAACTGAAGGGTAGAGAGCACTAAAACCTCGCTCGCGCATAAACGTAATGTAAATATCCCAAATGACATGGCTCTGTGTATGTTAGCAAGAAAGTCTGTTGTTGTTTCTCTGTTACCTCTGTAAAATGAAAGCGAGTCGTCTGTTCTGCTAACTTGACAACATCGCAAACTTGTTTTGTAGAAAATACTTGTAACAGATCCGTATTGTTCTCTTCAAGAGCAAGTGCGTTTGTTTCAATCTTAAATTGCATGTAGCTGCTCCAAATTGTAGTAGATAAATAATCCTTTACTGCAAGACTGAAAAGCTTATCGGTATCAATATAATCCTCAACACCGTTACATGATTGAAGCTTGTCATTTAACCAGTCCATCCATATGTATTCTGACAACGGAAAATGTTGTTGGAAGTTCCGACGAGCTGCTTCTAGTTCATTTTGCTTGTCATGATGACCTCTCAATAATTGTACATAATCAAGATGACTTTGGTAATTGTACGGATTCTGGCTTATGGAATCTTTTAAAGATGTTAGTTTTTCTTCCGTACTTGCTTCTTGAAGCGCATCATTCAAATTTGGTGCGTCAATTTCCATGATGATAAGTATAGAAGTTTTTAGCTTGCAGGTCTCACTCCAAGTTCCAAAATATCAACAGGAAAATGCGAATAAATTATAAAACAAACCGAATTTGATGTTAGTAATGATATTCAAAGGCAATTATGTTCTTGTTTTTGCTGTATCTCAAACAGCAGGTTGTTTGAAAGAATTATGGATTTATAAAATAAAACTTTAGCATTCTGAATGCCTATGCCTGCGAATAAATATCGAATTTTTTCTCAACTGGCTCTACAAAATGACTATATAATTCTTATTCACCCCATCTTGTTAATTAAATGATTTATGCTTTAAGTTATAATGATAGTTGTAATCATTGTACTTTTCACTTAGAACACATTTCAATTAACAAGTCATGTAGCTCTTTCTCTATCTTTGACAATATACCCTTCGTCTTTCGCGTCATAACAAAGCCTTTATCTTGTCGTAGACTTCAGAATGCTCATCCTTACAATCAAATGAAACAACAAACGGATCTAGAACATAGTGCAGGCCATCATAAGTGTGCTATTCATTTTATTATTAAATACTCTATTCGTATCAACCAATGTTCGTACTTATGCATCCATTAAGTAATATCACTTATCATGTTAAGCAGAGTTCCGTATGGTAATTAAGTACTTGACGGTTTGCTTCTTCAAGTCGATATTTACGGTAAACAAGCTACACTGCAGTCAGAGTATCTATCAGCCGTTAGACTGATACTTTACACCGATCTTTGTCTTATGTACTAAGAAATTAAAAATCAACAGATAAGGATAAAATGAACAGTGACTGAGCGGTACATCTTATAGTTTTGTTTGATAGAACTAGATATCATCTTTAAATGTCTATCTCAAAATTTCTAACTTGGTTTTATGTATCCATATGTGATCCCGTCAAGACCGAACCATCCCATCTGCCCTACGAATAAAAGTTTAGGAATATTACATTGAAATTGCTACATTTCTATAACCCATAAATGCTTTCTTTGCAAAGGCCATTAGCGAAATGGCTTTTGTCGCCGAAAACATTCTTTAAAAACCGGCAATATCGCTATAATTCTAATTTATCGATTTCAAAAGAAGTGTCTTCAGCTTTGAAAAATGGCTTACCAGTAGTTGCATTAGAGTCCACAATCATCACTCATGGCATGCCGTATAGAAAGAATTTCGAAATGGCCCTACATGTTGAAAATGTTGTCCGTGAAGCAGGTGCAGTACCAGCTACAATCGCAATCCTTAATGGGAAATGTCATGTCGGTATGTATACAAATTGATAATGAATTGAGCCTATACATTGAATGAAGAGTTTCCTCTAACGATGTGTTAGGACTGGACGAAGCAGAGCTGGAAACATTGGCTCAAAATGGTCACAGTTGTTCCAAGGTTTCCAGAAGGGATCTCGCTTACTCCATGTCTCAGAAGTTGAACGGAGGAACTACTGTAGCCTCAACCATGATTTTGGCTGAGCGTGCAGGTATTGATGTATTCGCAACAGGCGGTATTGGAGGCGTTCATCGGGGTGCAGAATCATCAATGGACGTATCTGCAGATTTAATTGAACTTGGTAAAACACGTGTGGCAGTTGTTTGCGCCGGTGCCAAGAGTATATTGGATATTGGCAGAACATTAGAAGTCTTAGAGACTCAAGGTGTCCCTGTCATAACCCTCGGCAAGAAGAACACGCCTTTCCCAGCTTTTTATGCCAACAATTCTCCCTACAAAAGCCCGATGACATTACCAAGTGAAAATGATATAGCTGATTTGCTATTCAAAGGCATGAGCTTAGGCTTACGGAACGGCACTCTTATTGCAGTGCCTACGCCTTCCCACCTCGCTCAGGACTATAATGAGATTGAGAAAGTAATACAACTTGCCATCAATGAATGCGAAGCATTGGGAATTAGCGGTAAAGATGTTACTCCCTGGATGTTGCAAAAAGTTCTTGATCTGACGAAGGGGAAAAGTCTCGAAACAAACATTGGACTTGTTTATAACAACGCTAGAGTTGCTGCAAACATTGCAGTATCATTAGCAAACCTTAAACAGGAAGCTCATTCTTTCCCTGCTGCTATGCGAATCCCAATCGTCAAGTTGAGTGAGAAAGGCACTAAGAAGCAACAAAAGTCACCTGAACCACAAAATTCAAATGAGATTGTTTGTTTAGGAAGCGTGTCTCTTGACACTAATGCAACGTTACTTAGTGTTTCAAAAGACGATTTAGTTTTGGGTACTTCTCATCCAAGTTCAACAACGGAAGCAATAGGAGGTGTGGCTCACAACATTGCCAGAGCTGCTTCGCTAGTAGATGCAAATGTTAAACTTGTCTCTTGCATCGGAGATGATGTTCAGGGACATCAGATCGCTAACCTGCTCAATTCCGAGAATTTGCAATTCAAACTCGTACAAAAACAGAACAGCAAGTCTTGTTGCTACACAGCTATTAATGATCGCGAAGGCAGTCTTATACTCGCAGCAGCAGACATGCGAATTATTGAAGATATGACATATTCAGATATTCATGATGACATTCAAGCTGCAAAAATAATCTGCATGGACGGAAATATTTCTGAGAGTTTGATTTCTGACGTCGTTAAGAATAAGAAGGAAAATCAACTGTTATGTTATGAGCCTACAAGTGTGCCAAAGTCACTTAAGATCTTACCATCTCTTCAAAGCGGAAACATAGATATAATTACACCTAACCTTCTTGAACTTGATGCCATCTACTCAGCTGTAGAGAAAACGAGCTTGTTTGACACGGACTCCTGGTGGAGTCGTTTGAACATGTTTGGTATTACTAGTGACTTTTCCGAAAAGCTTAGCAACTATGTCACGAAATTGGGTCTTCCTAATCTTACAAATCATGGCACTATCCAAAAGTGTATTAAACTTCTTCCTTTCTTGCCGACCATTTTATTAAAGTTGGGGTCATCCGGTATTCTTCTTTTTTCTAGAAGTGCATTTATGGATTTGTACCGGTCTCCTAACTCTCTTGTTACCCCCGGAAATGTTGTGATTAAGTATTATCCTACACCCAAGCTTATTACCGATGCGGTGAATAGCAGTGGTACAGGTGATACATTTGTTGGAGTTTGCCTATCTTTACTAATGAAGAATGTCCGTGTGGATAAAGCAATTCAAACAGCTCAGGAAGCTGCTGGACTTTCACTTATGAGTCATTCCTGCGTCAATCCAGAGATCGCAAGTCTTACTTATGAATAGGCAAATATTCTAGTCCAAGACACGAGAAGTTTGTCTTTCGGTATAAATATTACACGAAACTTTTGTTACAGTAATCCGACCCCTTACGCTAGTCTTTTAAACTTTTTGAGATCTTTACGGCCTGTGGGTGTCCTGCAGTCTCGTTCAGCTCCGACGAGTTCTCGAAAGAGTGAAAAGGAAGACGTCTTGGTTTAAGAATATCGCTTAAAACACAGATTGGTTTTGAAACAATCATATGTGGTTTGAAATCATTTTCTACAGTTTGCATCTCGTCTTTCTTCCTTGTTTCACATTCTAATGCCTCCTCGATCATGGTGTCATAAATGTAGTTTACGACCAATTCGACATTTCCTTGAAAAAGAATGTTGTCTTGTGGCTTTAGGTAAAGTAAACTTTGAGGCAGGGTTATGCCGCTGTATTCGTTTAGTGATTGAAAATATGCGTGGATGGGGAATGCAGCAGCCTGATTACCTGTGCTCGCAAGGAAGCAAAGCCAACCGATTTCGCATGCCTCATTTGCCATGTCTGCAAGTTCTTCGAAAGCGATAAGTTCGGTTTCGCTTCGTTCACTAAACGAATTGTGGTCGACGAATATACTGCAATGGAATCGTTTGTTACAAATGGCGATCCATTCGTTTGTATCATCAACGCAAAAACAGTCTTGTGGCTTTACAAGAAGCAAACGTGGGTGACCGAAGTGACGCTCAGCAGCAGCCCAGTGAATTTTTGAGTAGCCATAACAGCTTATGTTGCGATGAATATAATTGCTTACCGCTTTCCAGACGATGTTTTTTAATTTCTCTGGATAAATGTCAAAAAGCATTACATGGTGCAACAAAATATGATGTGGTATGTTGTCTTCCTCCAAGTATAGCGCTAGCTGTTCAAAGCCTTCTGGAAATGCACGATCAGCTTGTTTCATCATATACTTTGCTAGCGAATCTTGAAGCTCGCAAGCCTCTGGACAAGAAGATGCATGCATGATTGCATCACAAAACTGCACATGAAGATATGGTACGCGTTCACTTCCGTAAATGATGCAGAAAAATCCGGACAAGAAAGGATTCATATATGTGCGTTTTTCTTGCAAAGTTAATATATTGGATAGTGACCGGCCTGTAATTTCGCGAATGCCTGAAAAAGTGCTAATGTGACGAATCTTGTTAGGATTTGGTACCGTAAGAATCTTGTACGGGTTGTTCGGTGTATTCGGTTTTGGAGGATATTCCTCATCATTAACGATTACAACACTTATACAAGACGGAAGGCTAGGAGTAGAAGGCATGTGGATCTCTTGATTGCTTGGTATAGACCATGGTCGAGCCAGAAGGCTAACATTGTCATCTTGAAGATAGCTTTTCCTGAAACAAGAATTAAGCAAACGACGAACCCACCGCAATGGAGAGTATCTGTGCTCTTTCTTGCTGCTCTCTGAAGATAATACTGTTGTAGTGGAATCCATTGAAGTCCATAAAGCTAAGGGTTTTTTTTTCAAATGCATAAATGAAATGTTGACATATAAACAAATATATAATTAAAGTAAACAAGTAATAAAGGCAAACCGATAGAGACACAAACAAGTAAACAAACAACTACGTACTATTCTTCTGTCTAAGCTGTACTCATTGATGATCGAGTGAAGGGGAAACTGGTATTAGAACGAGAATTATTTAAATGATATGATAGACAAAGTGGTAACATCTAGTTCTTACAAATTTAAAACAAGAGGTTAACTGAATCTTACGCGGAACTACTCGACTCTGCAAGTCTTTGAAGCTCAAACATTTCTTTCATTATCGATTACGGGTTACACTCTAACAGGAGTACTATTCATCTTACTCTCTGATGATGACTTCTTTTTTTAATTCGCAGAATATAATACAGATTTAAACACGCTTTCATTTTTGCAAGTGTATCGCAAATCTCACCCATCACCTTAATTCTTCTATATTCATACCGTTTAAAAGAGACAACACTCCTTTTTATTTCTGGGCATAATAAACGAATTAGAATGTCTACTGAGTTCGTAAAACTCGTTTCATGTGATGGTTTTGAGTACATTTTGAAGAAAGAAATAGCCTGTGTTTCTGGGACCATAAAAACCATGTTGGAAGACGGTACACAGTTCATAATAATGAAGACGTACAATAATAAGTATTAATCCCTTAATAGCAAAATTTGCAGAAGCACAAAATAACGAATGTCACTTTCCCGAAATTAGGTATGAAACCGAAAACAACGATACAACTAAGCCAACTAACGCTATTAGATCCGACCTGTTAGAAAAAGTTTGCGACTATATGCACTACAACTTTACTTATAAGAACCAAACAGATGTTCCAGATTTCGACATCCCTCCCGAAATGGTATTGGAATTACTAGTGGCCTCTGCTTACCTTGATGGTATGTACAATTGTTCAAAAAGAAGGGTCATAAAGTTTATTACTAACAGTGAAGTATGAGAGTACAAAGAGTCGAGCGGTACCCGTATACTGAGTGTGAGTAAGCTGACCGGCAACTCTCTCATTTTCAGGTGATCGCATGGACAAGCACCCTTTTTAGTGAAGTTATCACTGTCACGGAAACAACAACAGTGTTCCTCTGTTTTCACCATTATTTTGGAATGTTGCCTTCCAGTAACATTGCCTCTAGTTTGTTTATTTCAGCAATAGAAGTGGCATTTTTAATGGTTTGTTTAATTTTTTCCCTTTCTTCCTCTGTCAGCATGTAACCCGTTACAACTTCTCCAGTAGCAGGACCTTGAGCTTGTTGCAAAATGGTACCCAGATCAAACATGCGACTCTTCACACCCATGATGGAGGTAGCCACCTCAGTAGGATGTTCAAGTGTCCCGAAGAGTTCTTCAGCTCTTAAGCGCTCGTTTCGACGAACACGTTCATAATCGATAATGCGAAGTGAAGGAATTCTCCAAACCAAGTACAAGCGATAGTACTGTTTTTGAGTAACTGGATTATCCAAGCAGCACAGCTGTTCCAGCCGTGTGCATTTTGCTAAGGGATCCAAATTGGCAAGCTCCTGTATGTGATTCTGAGCAAGTACCAAGTTTTTTAAATTGGGCAGAACGTCACCAAGCTCAGAGGCAATAGATGAAATGCGGTTCCGAGCACAAAGCAATGTCTCTAAACGGAGCATGCGAGGAAAGTTTCCAAGGTAACGAATGTCGTTATCTGTGAAGTCAATGGCGTCGTTAACATCCTTAAGAACACCCAAGTTTTCAATTAAAGGAATTTGATAGCCTGTGCAATGTAGTTAGTAACATAAATTCAAGACAGAGTGAACAAAGCACTTTAGTGAGAAGGACCGCGTGTGCTCAGACGGTTGCTTTCAATGTGACTCTCGTCATTTTGAATAACTCTTTCCGGTCGACCAAGAAGAAAACACGTCGTAGGCCACACACGAAACCAATTCATGTCATAATAAGCACATATCTTAGATCTAACTCGCGTTCCTTAAGCGGATTAATAAAAGAAGGCACTTGCGCTAGAAATTCTGGATTTAACCGCATCGTGAAAGACAAACGTGGTCACCAGCGCAGCAGACAAACGATTAGCGAGTCTGAGTTTTACAAAGGATCCCGTTTCCTTGTAATGTAAAAGCGAATGAAGACGGTAATTCCTTAATCCAAAGGATATCCCAGAGCTGTATTGTTTTTCAAAACTCAGTATGGAGCTGGAAAAAATAAAGTGCACTTACAAGATTCGAACGAGAGCGCCAACAGAGGGTGTACGGGTCGGACGGCGTTAATACTGAACGAATCCAGTGTTGTATGTGGTGAGTCTTTGTTACACCCAATTTCTCCTTCTGCCACACTATACCACAATAACAAAGCACTAAATGTCGTTATTGCTTTTAGCACAACTTATGGAGGCGTAACGCGCTTCTTGAGAGAATCACGGATGTCTCGGTAACCCCATTACCCCCATTTACTCACACCACTTGCCCCCACTTCGTCATACGTTCAGCTCAAAACGAGTGCTCCGCACTCGTCCTACTCAGTTGACCCGTTCCGGCTTGGTACTCGTCTTCCGCAATTTCCACTGCAGCGTCCTCATACTGACCTACCGCAAACTACGGATTCTGCTGAACGAATCCGGCTGATTAAACTGACTCAGTGGGGGCATAGTCGAGGACAATTGTTACTGACGCTTGATTGACCACGTAGCGACGTAGCTGTACGATTCTCTCAGAAAACCTCCTAGGCCTTTCGTAAGGTTTATTAATAGAATAATTAGAAGATTTACTTTGACGACAACACTCTACTAAGCATATTTTGGTTCGTTGCGCCTTTTTTCTTGGATTTGCATTTTAAACTTGAACCATTCTCTGAATAGTTCTTTTTGGTAGAAGACGGACGGTATCCCAATTGTTATCACCGTCATATTCAGCGTTTTTACAAATCTTTTCCTTGTTTTCTCTACTCCAACAATTCTTCTCTTTACATTGTTCTCCGTATTTCGTTTCTATCTCTGTTTGTAGTACTGTTTACTGAAATGTTCAATCACGACCACGACCGATCCAGCGATAAAGACTCATCGTCGAAAGAAAGCTCTTCCAGAGGACACTCACATGAAGCTCTCAGTGAGTCTACATCTGGATCACATTTCTCCAGCCGTTTAAAAAGCTTCTTCCGGTTTGGAAGACATCGGTCTGCCACCGTAAGCACAAACTCTCCATTAATGAGTGAGCAGAGTCGGGGCAAACATCACGGTCGCAGTGGAAAGCACGAAGATTCACACCATCGAAATTCCAATAGTAGCTCCAGTTCAGACCATGGCTTGCAGTTACGTCGGGTCTCTTCAGCTCCCAACAACCCGGGTGTCGTATCTGGTGTGTCTGCTGCCAAAGAGCATAAGGGAGGTGCAGGCAATGGCGCTCCTCTTGCTCTGTTCTCTTCCTCGTCCCGAAAACCGTTCTTCAAAATTGCAAAAAACAACAATCAGACTTATATCTTTGGACAAAACGAATACACACAGCGCACGTATTCCGGAAACTCAACAAAAATTGGCGATGTCGAGGTCACCCCTAATAGTTTCGAAAAGATTAGACTACTTGGAAGCGGTGACGTTGGCAAAGTTTACCTTGTAAAACAAAAAAGCAACAATCGTTTGTTCGCAATGAAAGGTACGGACAGTCAAAGTCGGGAAAAGCATGCTCAGTTGATTGCTATAGCTTTCTCGCACCTGTGTGCAGTTCGCTTATCTGTACTGAGAACAACGCCCATACTTTTTATTTTGTTCCTCCTTATTAACATAATCCAGTTCTTAACAAACAAGAAATGATCAAGCGACACAAAGTCAATCGTGTTCTTGCCGAACAGGAAATTCTTGCCAAAAGTAACCACCCATTCATTGTTCCCTTGTATCACTCATTTCAATCGGAAGATTACCTGTATCTGTGTATGGAATACTGCATGGGCGGCGAGTTTTTTCGTGCGTTACAATCGCTTCCCTCTCGAACACTCCCTGAGCAAAGCGCTTGCTTTTATGCGGCAGAAGTTACTGCTGCCCTGGAATATTTGCACTTGATGGGATTTATATATCGAGATTTGAAACCCGAAAACATTCTTCTTCATCAGTCGGGACACATTATGCTTTCCGATTTTGACCTCTCAAAACCTATTCCTACTACGAGTTCGCCTACCGTCGTTGTTTCCAAGAACCACACCTCTTCTGCTAACAATTTGGCCATTGACACGCACACATACTTGGCAAAATACCGGACCAACTCGTTTGTCGGCACAGAAGAGTACATTGCACCAGAAGTAATTCGTAGCTGTGGCCATACTGTCGCCGTAGACTGGTGGACGTTGGGTATCTTTTTATACGAAATCTTGTATGGAGTTACGCCCTTTAAGGGCAAAAATCGGCACGCAACATTTTCGAATATCTTGTACGCTGATGTTACTTTTCCCGAATACCACGGGGCACCTAACGTATCGAACACATGCAAGAATCTCATTCGAAAGCTTCTCATAAAAGACGAGACAAAACGTTTTGGCTCGATAGCCGGTGCTTCTGATATAAAGTCGCATCCATTTTTCCGCAACATCCAGTGGGCCCTGTTGCGCAGTATAAAACCGCCTATCATTCCTAAAGTCAAAGATGGTATGGAGGCTGTCAGCGCTAGCGAGCACGCCGAAAAAAGCGAAAGTGTCGACTTTTTGTCTTCACAGATACTTGTTGGTCCTAGCCTGCCAGCAGTTGGCATGAATCTAGCTACACCTCCACAGGAAAAGTCGGATCCTTTCGATAACTTCAACTCGGTAACCCTTCATCACGCAGGTGACGAGTAGTGTGTCTGTGACAATATTAAACGATCACGAAACCACTTGTTACCACGAGATATGGCCTACTCTATACATTAAACATGGTAGTCTTTCTCTTTTAATGACTGGTGGTACCGAGTTTTATTCGTGTCCTGCATGCATATGTACTCACTTCTCTGGAAAACCTGATATATTGGACCGTTCTACAAAGCTGCAAATTCCCTTTTTCCGCTTGCCCCACAGATGGTTTACCTCCCCTCCGCGCCGTTTATGATTTTTCCAAATACTACTTCGTACTACTTCTGCCCTATGAATTGTTAACGACCAAGATACGACTCTGTGAAAAAACGAATAAATCTTACCAACCACAGCTCCAGAATCCTTAGAACATTCAGTAAGCGAAGAATACATTACCTAATGACATCCATTCAAGTTATAGATTACAATAATTATCATGTTCTGTTTTTTACCCCCACAAAATGTCCACTTATCCCACACTGCGATTACCCCACATTGCTTGTCTTGACCTTCTTCTTCAAAGCTTGCCGTCTGCTTGGCACAATGGACGAGTCCAAAACGAAGTCCAGTAAGCGGCGTCTGTCCATTTCAGAGACGGCAGGCGGTGCAGGTCAGGGAAATGAGGACGGCCGAGAGGCCAAACGAGTTTCAGCTCAATCCGGCCCAGCTGCCCGGAGGCCCCCCAATCCACTAGACGCCAAGTCAAATGCTGCTGCACTACAGAAAACACCAACAGCTTCGTCTTCTGTGGACAAAGGACTCGTTCTACCCTTTACTGTCGGTGGATATGGCGGATTTTATGACAAGCGTGGTGGTTGTCTTTTGTTTACAAAACAAATGGTAACGGTAAGGTACCGCGACTGTCAGACAGAAATTACAATTCCTGTGAATTTATTAAAACATTGCTATTGGATTCAAGGCTGGGAGGAAACGGGTTTTTGTTCGAGGGTTCATGCTCTGCAGTTGACGCTTAAGACACGCGATATGACTCGTGTTTCGCGTGGTGATTCTTCAACTTTACTCTTTTTGTATGAACCAAAGGACTTTCCTATAGCTCAAAGTGCTGTGAATTTGTTGGGAGATACACCAATAAAGGCGCCGGGCTCCCTGGAGGAGTTTCGCCGTTTATTAGTATTGAAATGCCCTGACAAGCCTCGTACATCAGATGCTGCAAACAATGACCAAACAATAAATAGACAACAGGCTTTGAAATCAACACTTAGTGCCCAGTTAAACACACCTGAGCGACAGCATCCATTTTCGCAGCAACAGAAACCAAAAGAGACACTACCTGAAAGTGCTCCTGTGCGTATTCTTCCCCCGAGTCTTCGCCAGGAAACAAAACCTATAGACACACCTCCACTGCACACACCTTCATCAAACAAAACATCGTCCCTCTTGCCATCTTCATCGACCACAACGAGTTCGTCCTCTAGTTCCATGCCTTCATCTACACACACCGCAAAGTCCACATTCAGTTCTTCCGACGTTTCCTATCCTTCGCCATTTCCCGTTTTTACACCTACTTCAGACTCCCTTGCACACATAACCCTCTCTCCTACAAAGCAAGCTCCCGTAACCACTAATGCGGATTCGCGTCTAGAGTCACAAACGTTGCTTGTTTTCCCTCCCCATGGTCCAAACGCTGTGTCCATAACTCCTTCCGACGTTCTAAGACTAAAGGACGGTGAATTTTTAAATGATACTATTGTTGATTTTTATTTACGGTATGTGTCTTTGTGTGTCTCTCTTTACTAATGCTCGTTGCTAGTTATTTGTACTCTCAACTTGAAATCGAACATCCCGAACTCGCCCAGGCGACGCACATTTTCAATACCTATTTCTTTAATCGGCTTGTGTCCAAAGACAAGCATGGGTACGTCCTCTTAAACCATCTTTATATGCCCAATTGTGTTCTAACATTTGCAGGAAACAGCTTGGTCATTCCGGTGTTCGCAAATGGACAGCGAAAATTGATCTGTTTACAAAAAAGTACATCGTCGTCCCGGTGAATGAAGATTTCCATTGGTATCTTGCAATCATTTGTAATGTCGATAAACTTATTGGTTCAAACTCGACAGCTACGGAGCCTTCTGAGACTCGTGTACGGAGTTCAAACCGGTCGCCTCTCAGTAGTACAAGGTATGTATGATATGCTTTGTTGCCTTACTCTCCCATACTAATTTTTCATTCCCTAGCCCTGTCATACTCCTTTTCGACTCATTATCCAACATGCATAAAAGCACCTTGCGTTACTTAAGAGAGTATATCATTGACGAAGCTCGAGAACGGAAGCATGTTGAACTGTCTCCGTACTCACTTCGAGGCTTTCATGCTAAAGTTCCGCAACAAAGTAACTTTTCCGATTGTGGAGTGTACACTTTACATTATGTTGAACTTTTCTTGTCCTCACCCAGCCAAATTCTTAGTGACATTCTTGATCGGCCTACCTTAGCTTCAAATAGACGGCATCAGAAGAGCTTTAATGACTTTTGGAATGTCAAGCGTATATCCTCCAGGCGAGACGAGATGAAAAATCTTATTAAAACCTTGTCTAAGGAATGGCTTGCAAGTAAGGAACAAACACGCCGGACGTCTACTGGGGACGAGCCGCCGTCAGCTACTAACGGTAATTCGAGTAGCAGAAGTTCTGAACCAACAAGTAATGACCATGACACAAGTAAAGAAGATGACGATGACGACGACTTAACCGTGTTGTAGATACAAGTCATCTAAAACAATGTTTGTTTATTATATTCGTGTAGCTTAAAACATTATCTATTTTTCTTCTTTTCTTTTTTCATTGTATTCATTTTCATAACAAGGTTTAACGACGTTTAGTATACATATGTTTCCGGAAAAGGGCATGATGCTCCTTCGATTCCCTCTTCAGCTGTTTGTTGGCACTCTTATTATACTCAACGTAAGCCATGTTATCGGCACCGGCCAGCGTACTGAGAGAACCATTCGCCCGTTTCGCTCTCGCAGCCGCACGAGCACGACCGAAGCCTGAGTATTCCTCGCCCTCGTCAAGGTCAGCAGCATCTTCGTTCTGGAGCAAGACTTCTTGCAACAGTTCAAGGCGTTCTGCTTTTGTGGCATAAGCAAGATTTGGTAAATTCTCCATACCCTTTAAGTTTGTGACGACCTTAAATGCATAACCCTGATCAATCAAGAAAGCTTGGCGCTTACTTGAATAGTACATTTCTTGCGTATCTTTCGATACTAAGCTGTAGAAAAAGGCATTGAAACCCTCATCATTTCTTCTTTTGGCACGAAGAATACGACCCAAACGTTGTGCCTCTTGACGACGACTACCGTAATGAGAGGAGATTTGAATAAGACACGTTGCTTCAGGCAAATCAATGGATGTATCACCAACCTTTGATAAGAAGATTGTGTTCACAAGCTCGTTATACTGAAAGTTTTCCAAAATACGCATACGTTCTTGCTGGGGAGTTCCACCATAAATAAAATACTTTCCCAGTTTCAGTGCATACGCCCTCAATGCGTACACATTATCTGAGAACACAATGATTTTGTCTCCACGTTTTTCATGATAGTCAATAAGAAACTGGCACGCTTGAAACTTTTTGGGATTCATAATGTATAACAGCATACGTTTCCGCGAGTCTTCACGTAAATACTCATTATAAAACTCGGCCGTCATCGGACACCAAACTTCAGCACATTGAACATTGGCAATATGACCTTTCTGTGCCAGATCCATCCAGTTGGCCTCATACATTTTAGGTCCAATCAAGAAGTTCAAATCGTCAATCTTGTCATCTTCACGCACAAGGGTAGCTGTTAGACCAAGTTTCGTATGTGCAGCAATAGTTGTAACCACTCGACGGAACATAGCGGCAGGGACAACGTGCACCTCATCAAGTAAAATAAAACCCCACTCTCTACCAGTCAAAAAGTCCATCATCTTTTGGGAATCGTACGAACGGTTTCGTGTGTTGGCAACCATAGAGTAAGTGGACACGACAATACCGGCTTCACTACGGAAAGCCTCTTTGTGGTCAGCAGTAAATACAGCTACATGGTCGCTTTTGATGTTACTCCATTGTAAAAACTGTTGTCTCCATTGCATGACAGACACAGAACTAGTGCACAGGACGATAACGGACTTTTTAATAGTACAGGCAGCGGTAATTCCGACCAAAGTTTTACCAGCACCACAAGGCAACACAATAATACCACTTCTGGCACGGCCGTTACCAAACATCTTACTTAAACTTTTCTCTTGGTATGGACGAATCTGGGTACTCGGTTTAAGGTCAATATCCAGGTCGGGATTAATATTATCATTTCGAAAATCATATTCTTCCAATAACGGATAGTCGATTTCAGCACACCGCTTTTTAATGGTTTCCACCGATGAATGCGAAATCTCAAAAGAATGAACAGCGTCTTCATCATCTTCTTCGTCTTGCAGATCCACAACAGCAGTAAACAAGTCTTCGCTCTTGTTCGTAGTTTCTGACTTCACAGCAGCTTTCGCTGCCTTTTCTTCCGAGGTGTTAGGCTGAGGTTGCTTATCATCCTTTTTGTTTTGAGCCGAAGATTCAATACGCAAAGGGCCAATGATAGAATCCCGAAGCAATAGTCTAAGCACATTCGCATCTCCACTCTCAACGAAGTAACGATTTTTTTTCAAAACAAGCTTGACCTTACCATATGAAACGGTACAAGCGCGAATAAACTCCACAATTTGTTGTGGAATAGGGGTTTTAGACAGACGGTCAAGCACGTTAATAATGTCCTCTGTTTTTAAACCAACACTAACTGCAGCATACAGCGAGTATGCGGTGATACGGTACTCATGAATAAATGCCGGACGAGAAATAGGTTCGGCGATTGTGACAAGAAAATCAATAGCTTGCTCAGCTAGGGGGCTAAATGCTTCAAGAATAACACGTCCATCGACTGGATTAATCCATAAAGGTCGGGCAGCGTGGTCAGCCTTTAAACCCAACAGCCCCGAAAAATCACTCTGTCCAAACATAGATGAAATGCCTGTATGTGACGAATCAAATTGTGGATCCGTAGTTGCAACTGCAGCAGATGCAGCGTTTGCATTGCCGCGGCCAGTTCGCGCCCGGAGTCGTCCATCACGAAGAACGGGAGTGTCCGAGTACTCTCCATCAGAGTAGTCACTGTACTCTTCCAAATATTCGTCGGGAGTCGTCTCACGAGAAGTTTGCTTTCTTTTAGGAGGCATTTTTAAATACAGAGAGAAACTTTGTCGACAATCCCTTTAAATAATACGTAAAACGCACACTCTGATCGTAAGTGAATTCAATATGTGTACAAAAAATGAATCACCTCGCTTAAATATGACTCAGGTCGTCAAAACTTGGTTTCACGCAGGTTGCACGCTTACTACAAAACCCTCTGCGTTAGCTCACCTTCCAATAGAAGGGTGTATCGTAACAAAGGCTGACACGCAATGACTGTGTGTAGAGGGAAGGTCCTGGATGCGGTCTACTGCTTTCTTAGAGCACTCGCCTTCTTGGTGGCCGTGAATTTGGTGGTGAATAAGCACAACGCAGACTAGTGGATTCTGAAAAATAATAGCGAGTTGTAACGAACTTCAACTCTATTAAAGCAAGGTAACAGAAGGAAAATCGAGAATTCAAGTATTACAGAAGAGGGGTTGATTCGCTGTAGCCTGGAGCAATCCGTTGAAGTTCATTTGTCCGTTTTTCCTTTTCCTTTTTCTTCCACTCGTTCCAATGGTGTGTTTCTTCCTCTATAGAGGGATACTTCCTTGGTTGAACGTGAATAAGATTGCAATTTATGCGTTTCTGAGTGTATGGATGTTAGCATTCCATTTCAAATCGTAGTCAACACGCGTTTCAAAGAGAAACGCGCACTGAACGAGTACATACGATGTTCTGCTCTAAATTTGCAGGTGGGAGGTATAATGAGGATGGTAATTGCGGAATTGATGGAAATAATGAATGTTGCATGTTCCTCTCGTTCATATGCGAACACTTGTGGTTTCTTGTTGTTTATGGGAGAGGCTACGTTTCCTGTGCAATGCGAGTAGATTTCTTACGTAAAACGCATTCGCGTTTTATACAGCATATAAGTTGCACGTGATTTTCTTGTGCGATGAATAACGATTTTGTTTAATAAAGTGAGTTGTTTCTTTTAGAAAAAGCACAAACGTGTCCATTCGCGTTTTCCTTTTTCCAAAGGGGCTCGTTTCGTCTTTCGGCAATCCGCCCGCCCCCACTGTTTTCCCCCACGTGTTAGCTTTGGGCTTCTCCACTTTCGGCAAATCTACCTTAATAGGTCGCGGTTCGGTTGCGTCTCGGCAATGAGAATAAGCAATTATCCAGCTCATCTCAGGGGCTTCGCGTCCTAACTGCCGATCCTTTAAAGCCAATGAAAGCGACGAAATTCTTTTTCGAACGCAGATCGCACAAAAAGTCCAACTGCACGTTGTTTTACTAGACACAGCTTACAAACCTCGGTATTATCTTTGCTAAGCATTTAGTACGTTATCAGTTTCATTACTGGGCGTTCGTGGGCGTTTCAGCCTAGAATCGGCATGGACAATATGACATCATCCGGCAATTCCCTTACTACGTCATGCTCGCGGATGCTCTTGTCGGCCTGTTGATTGAAGGAGGAGAAAGGACGATGCCAGTAAAAAATTAATGATTCGTCAAGACATAAAAGAAGAAGGACGCAGAACGCGTCTGACTCCTCCTCCCTTGCTGTGTGAAAAAATGTGACCTGTTCTAGCAACAACTTGAAACCTTGTCATGATCGAATCCCTCGGCTTTCAGCCGTTTGCCGTTGAAACAAAGAAAAAATAATCCATATCAATTGATTGATAAAATACATAGAAAATATCGTATTTGTTTCTAATTATTTATTTCTAGTAGCTATGTAAGCTGTATGCGTTTCACTTTTTGTCGCCAATCTTTCGTAAGTATAAATTTCTTGCTTCCCCGTGGCCAAATTGTCAATTACCAAGGCAGGGAATATGGTGTAGTCAAAAACATAAGACCATAATACATGGTACAAAAAGTTATGGTCAGATACTAAGTACTAAATGATTAAACTCACAATGGATTGACAAAAGCTGCTACGACACGAGTTCCCCGCCTTCTTGTTTGTCCGTAAAACAGAGGGAATTTACTTGATGATTTCGTTGATTGCGAAGCATATAATCGCAAGAAATTCGAGAGGCACAATTGCTTGTCTTGGCGTCTCGGCGTCCCTTCTAGCTAAGAAACTGTTGCCGAAATCCAGAGGTCCCGTCTCAACAATGCTCGTGACACATCCGCCGCTGATTGGCTTAGCGAGCTGAATTTCGGCAAGCTAGTTTTACTCTCGTCCGTTAATTGGGTCCACCTCCTCAGCTTCTCGGAATGATGTCAGTTTTCGGCAACGATGCTTAAGCTTCTCTTGATATGTCTTGGCAAAACGTGGAAGTGCCGAAAACGTTCAACCGCTACTACCGGAATTGTTACCCACGTTTCGTGATGTTACTCGTTGAACGGTGAAAATGCCGAAATCCTCTGGGGTGAGGTAGCATTTGCCGAAGCAGAGCTATTGGTATATATAGGCGCGCAGTGCTGGTGCTGGGCGGCTTTGTTCAGCACTGTGGTCAAGACGCGTGGTTTACAGCTGTTATAGCTCCTTTTCGTGTTTCTTGCATTCTTCGGTCGTTCCGTGGATACAACAAAACTAATAACCTGTGCAATTTATTAACCTGCAAAAACAAGGTTGCAATTGCCTGACCTACTAATTCTTTGTGTTTCTTTGTTTCTCTTTGTTCTTCGTCCTCTACTCTTTTGAATTCGACGACGGCTACTGAGCATTACACTCGAGCTTAATTTTACTTAACGTCGTACATAAATAACAGGCCGACAATGCGCAGCTTGACTTGTACTCAATTATTATATGCGATTGCCCTGTTTTTCGGGCTCTCGCAGGCAGTTCCCGCTTCTGAAGACGAATCCATCTCGGAAGCTGTCGCTCTTTCCAGACGTGCTTGGAAGCGTCCTCCTGACCCGCCTTCCACTGATGCGTCGTACGCACCAAAAATTGGACAGTGCGGTAATGGCACTGATCTTTTGACCACTATTCCCAGTAACTCCTTGCCTGAATTGGAGGCCGATTATATCACGAAGCGCAAAACTAGTGCCGATACTGCCTTGCTCAAATTCTTGGGACAATACAATGTCACCAACCACACATTGAGCAACCTTGTTGGTGAGAATGGCCCTCGTGTCGGTATTGCTGTCTCCGGCGGTGGTTTCCGTTCGTTGTTTTTTGCTGGCGGTGCTTTGGAGGCTATGGATGCCCGTACCCCCAATAGCTCTCTCGGTGGTCTTTTGCAATCATCTACCTACCTTACTGGTTTGGACGGCGGTGCATGGCTTGTCGGTTCATTGGCCGTCAACAATTTCCGCACCGTTCAAAACTTGAGCGAGAGTGCTTGGTACTCGCGTCTTGGTATTTTCTACATTGTTGACACTCATGTGGGTGACAATGAAAACTACTATACAAATGTCTGTAATGAGGTTGACCAGAAGTCTGCTGCTGGTTTCAATATCAGTATGACTGACTACTGGGGACGTGCCCTTGCTCGCCGTGTCACTGGTATGCTTCGTGGTGGCCCTAACACGACATTCTCTTCTGTCCAAAATGCTGCTTGGTTCAAAAACGCTAGCTTCCCATACCCTGTCATGGTTGCTGAAGGTCTCTCATCGAACTTGCCCAAGTTTCACAACGGTACCCAATACAACTCCAGTGTGTATGAAATCTCGCCCTATTACTTCGGTACCTTTGACAACGGTGTGCGTGCCGTCATGCCCACTTACTATTTGGGCACTAACTTGACCAATGGTTCTGCAACGAACGGTCAATGTGTTACGTTGTATGACAACCTCGGTTTCTTGATGGGAACAACTTCCACTCGTTTTAACGAAGCTTTACTCGGTGTGAGTATGATGGAGTCTAGAATGAGTCGTCGTCTTGGTCATGCCTTGCGTCGTATGCGTGTGAACGGTACTCACCTTTCTTACTACCCGAACTTTGTGAAGGATTCTAGTGCAGCTGAGGACACCACTGGTGCTTCTACGAACCTTTCGTCCGCAACTTACTTGAACTTGTACGATGGTGGCAGTGATGGCCAAAACATTCCTGTTTGGCCTTTATTGCAACCTGAGCGTGGTGTCGATGTCGTCTTTGCACTTGACTCCAGCAGTGATACTTTGACTTACTGGCCTAACGGTACTGCACTTGTGAAGACTTATGAGCGTATTACCAAGCGTTCCAATGTTTCTGCTGCAGGTGACTACAGCGTTAAGCATTTCCCCTACATCCCTTCTGTGAATACCTTCATCAACCTTGGTCTTAACAATAAGCCAACTTTCTTTGGTTGTGATGGTCGTAACACTACTCGTGGTAATGTTTCTGTTGATGCAAACACTCCTCCCGTTATTGTATACATGCCCAACGCACCTTGGACCATGATGTCCAACACTGCTGATGACCGTTACCGTTATGGTCAAGGTAGTATTCGTGAGCTGGTTGAGAACGGTCGTGGTGCTGCTTCTTTGGGTGGATCTTCTGAGTTTGCTCAATGTGTTGCCTGTGCCGTTATTCAACGTTCTTTGGAGAGACGCAACATGTCTGCTTCCGCTAAGTGTCAGCAATGCTTCCAAGAGTACTGCTGGAATGGTACTCTTGATGATCGTCTCTTGGCCAACACCAAGGCTAGAGTTGATTACCAACCATTTGTCCGTTCGGGTGCTTCTGCCACTACGAAAATTACCCTCTCAACCCTCCTGCTTTCCCTTATTTCCTATTATTTCGTTTTTTAAGCATCCTCTGGTGATTCAAGCATAATTCCGCCGCCTCCTTGATAGGCGTGTTTTGTTTTCCCCTTCATGGTTTTTGTCTTATAGAAATACGGGGCCTAATGCTGCCGTGCACACCACACTGACTAGTGCTTATTGTGTTGGAGGCGAGCTTTCAATAATGTCATGATGGACCCTTCGAGTCCTTGAAACCTTCCTTTACAGATTCCGACAACGACGACAATGAAGATGGAGTAATATATATCCTGTACTTTTGTTTCATGCTAAGATATCCACGTCGTGTACTTGAGTCAATTGGTGTGCAATGGAAGCAGCAGTTCTCTGACATATACCTGAGAGTTGAGTGGCTTTACCGCAGTAGTGATATTAAATGCGATGATATAAAAAAGATTCAATAAATCAAATAAGCAAAGAGCAATAAATAAATGGAAGAACTACAAAAGAAGATGCAGACAGGCGAACTGAGTTGGAAATAAACAGGAAGCAAGCCCCGTAAACAACATCAGTTGCTTTTGGTTCAGATAACTAAAAAAAAACAGTTTGAAGCACTGTCATACTTGGAGACAAAGAATACAATGACAAATTGAACAATTGTCCTTGAAGGACGCAGTAGAAGATATCATAAAGTACTCCTAAACATGTCCCGAAATACTTGAACATTTCGTTCACATAGTAATGGGTTGACCTTCCAAAGCGAGCTTCACAACGTTTTGGCCAGTAGGAAGAAGAGGGTATGCGAGGATGATATCAAAAATAAGAGGAAGAAGGAAACGAATTACCGTCAACACTGACTCATCAGGGAAGAAGCCGTAATGAATAATGCAGCAAATGAGGGCGGGTGCGAACGAATTGACAAGCACGATAGCAAGTACCGTGCGATACACTCGAGTTTTGTATACGTCCTTGTCAGTGGAAACTTGCACGAGTCTCTTGTACAAGAAAATGCCTGCGAGACCATACACAATACCATCACTGTTCTCTCTGAGGAACCCAGAGATGCCAAAGGCGAGATTATGTCCAAGCATATACACATTATTGCCAACAATTTCGAGAACCAAGAACAAAAACACGGCAGCGCTGACACGGCAAAGAGTCTTGCTAGTGGACGGGCCAGTGATTCCGAATCCTCCGCCGAGACAAAAGAGTGTGAATGGGTAAGCAATCGTCCGGATATCTCTTGTTATAACGTTCACCGTGGAAGGCCAGTCAGAGTTAAGGGGATCTCCAAAGCTAGTGTTGTCCAGCAAGGTGGTAAACAGAAGCAATACATCCAAAGAAAGGACTGTGAACATAGACCAGTGAACGGGGAGTATAGAACGTCTTCTTTTCACACACAAGAACAGCCAGATTCCAGTAAAGAGTGAGAAGAGAGCAGTAACAAAAGCGTAGACAACAGCAGCAGGTGTGAAAGTCCGTAATTGATGGGTGAGGGCACGGATACTGAACTCACCAGAGGAATGTTCGTCCATTGAGCGCGCCAGAAGGCAGTACTTGGTTCCAGACAAACCCTCAAAGCCAGTGAATGGAGAAAGAATGCCTAATTTCATGTTTTCCTTTACCATAAAGTCTCCTCTACGGAGATTTTCGAAATCACTGCTGTCCAGTCTTGCGAACTTCTCGGCGATTTGCCGAGACCCGTCATAAAAATAATCAGCATCAACAAGTCCAATTGCAATGGTTTGATTTTGCGTGTGCAAAGGCTGAAGACTGACTCTCACGAGATCCGATGTTGAAAAACAGAAAGGAAAATTATCTTGATTCAAAACAAAATCCCCGTAATACGAGGAAGCGCGAGCAAGCGTGAGTGTGCATAGAGAAGCACCCACTAATGAGGAGAAAATACGCATGGGAATTAAAATGATATGGTAGTTGGTAAGTGAAATTGAGGGATTGTAAGTATATATATGTTTACCCCTGTTGCTACGTCATGGCTTCTATAAATACGTCACAGGCGATTAAACAGTCGCAACTTTGTCGGCTAAGCAATATATGCGAAATAATGCGACATAAGCGAAGTGGGGAAGCTTAGACTACCGACAATTAGTTTTAATTAAGTTTTGAACGTTTTCAGCAAAATAACGAATCTATTTGAATTCCACATGTGTTTGGCTATTCATTCACCAACTCATGTGTCTTTTCTGCACTATTTCAATAGAAGAAAGTAAACACACGTTAATTCATAACAACAATTCAAAAGCAAGGGCAGTAAACCATTCAAAGAAAATGACAGACAATTGTTGTGCGTGTATAGCCACAAACGTCAATATCGGCACTCCTTGTACATTAGCTAACATAGAGCTTAAACACTTCCTTCTGGTTGCCAGAGGTCTTCCTTAACATCGGTAATCGCGTCACCTTCGCTAGAAAGCAGAGGAGTGTCCTGAATGTCACGCATGCTGTAGAGAGTATGCAGACTGAAAATGTCATACAAAGACGCAGTCAAAGCGTTTAACGGTCTCAGGTTAGATGAAAGGAGGGCTGCGAAACCGCCAAGGAAGCAGGATGTGAGCTTCTGCAAAATGCACAGAACAAAGAGTCGGTAATAGGCTTTGGAATAGAGAGGCCGCGATTGGCGTTTTTCAAGCCTATAATGCCGATACAAGCTTATCACAATGAGAATGGATTGAAGAACTTCGGCAGCAACAAAAGCCAGTACTGAGGAAACCAGCACAACCAAAGCTACCAATTCGCCAGCGTAAATTGTGACGAGTAGAAGCAGCACGATAAAGAGGAATGGGAACAGAACTTGGAAGGCAGCTAGAGAACGAATAGCCACCCTGGTCTTACGTCCAGTACCCTCAGTAGTAGCCATTGTTACGAAAAAAATTAGACGTAAAAAGTTGGCCACACCTTCAAGCGGACAATTAATGTCAGATGGGCTATGAGGAAAAACAACGTTGCGGATATATGACACTGTAAGAGTCAATAAATAAAGAGATGCAATGCAAGACAGAGGCACCGCAGACCATTTCGCCCATTTAGGGATGTTTCTTTCTCTACTTTTACGTATCGCAAAGATTGAACAGACAGTAACAAGCAGCAACTCAAAGACAGAGTTTAGCTTGAAAAGGGGAGCTGAGAATACTATCTTCACTAGTGGAGCGGATTTTCTCTTGACATCGGGATAAATGAATTCAATGGCAAAGCCCTCTGTTTCATCCTTATTGGCGGACATAACAGAGACAGTGTAAAAACCGGGTTTTTGAATATTAATCTTAATGTCCTGACCTGGATGTAGAAGTTCAACATTGAGAATTTCTTCAATGTTGCCATTCAAAAGCGATTCATCGTCGTCCAACCGTTGTTCAAGACGACTGCGCACCAATCCTTCTGTATCCATTCCAGAAACCGCAACCAACAGATCGTAAGAATTGTCATAAGGTACCGCAACTTTAAGGAACGTTTCGTCCGGTATAAAAACTGCCGGTTTCACGCTAAAGGTTTCTTGAAAAAGCTCACCGTTTGGACGGGAAACCTTTAATGCAAACGAGAGCATGCACATGCATGCTCCTAAAATGAATCGAAACAGTAACATAAATTGCGAAATGAAACCTCAACGAACCAGGGAAACGGACGCCATTTATAGTCGAGCCTTGGGAAACTACGTCACTTTCGCTTATGCAGAAACTTTAAATTGGTGCGCCTCAAATTATCGGGGAGCCGATAAGCACAAAGAGAAAGGCCAGAAAAGTACATAAAGCGAATTCTTTCAGACAAAGACGTTCGGTGATGCTGCATAAAAGCTTGAGTTCTACATCGTATTGTAAGCATTGGAGATGAGTACAAAGGATGATACTGATAGGTTATAAAGAAAGGGATTTCGTCGGAAGGTATTGAAAATTTTGATTCATTGTTTCGAAGTGTATTATTAAAAGTTTTATTTTATGCATTTTTTTGTTTACTTTTTTTATTTTTATTTTTTCTTTGTTTATATTATATTATATTCTCCTTTTCATTTCATATGCAATACATAAAATCAGACAAATGAATACTCAAGTGACCCCGTCGTACAAGCCAGCTGTAAGTTTCACTTTACTAACCTTTTCTTTCTTCTCCTCATTTTCATTGAATTATAATCATTATTTATACCTTAATCCATTAACTAGTTTATACTCATCTCTTGACTCGTCAACGCCGTTTTGTTAGTTTATACAAAATATAGCGGCATAGTAAGACGCCGTATGGAGAAATGTTATCCACTCAAACGTTGCAAACGCTATACCTTGTCCTTCATATCCAAGAAACGTGTCTCTGTAGGTAGATCATCATCAATTCCATCCCGTAAACGCTGGAAGAAACCACGTTGCATTTTGAAGAATGTCACTAGGTTTAGTGTATCGGTGGGTAATTGGACCAAGTAGCCCCACTGGTCTCTATCATAGTCGAAAATAGGTGAAAAGAAATTAAAAATACCCTGTAAGGCGTTTGAGAGCACGAAGAGGAGGAAAATCCGAAAGTATGCTTTCGCCTTGACTGAATTTAAGCGATCCTTATGTACGATGTAGTGCTCGTATAGAAACAATGCAGTGAAAATGGAGAGGGCTTTCATGCAAAGATCCTTCACTGTAAATAAGATATCCTTAGTCAACGGTGTTAGGGTATTTACCGAATAAATGCTTTTAGGTATCAAAAGAGAAGCTCCAGATGTCACGCAAAAGAAAGTGCTGGCCAGTAGCGCAGTTGACCACAGCGTAATTTGGTTCTTTTTACTAATTCCACTTTGAGATGCAAAGGAAATCAAAAATGTCCACCGGAAAAAACTGGCAAGCAGTTTAGCAACTAGAAATTTAAAGTTGGCACCAGAAGCCTCGTCGTGTATCATTTCTCCCATATGATATATAAATGTGTGGAACACAACGGCAAAGTAATCACTGCAACAGCAAGCCAACGATAAAAAGTGGGCAGGCTGAAGAATTGCTTTTTCCTTCTCAGACACCAGAATGAGAGCTATGTAGAAGACAGCTATCAGGATGCATTTTGAATTGCTTCCAAAGCTGGCCGATTTTTTCTTGGGAATGATTTTTTCCGAGTTGCTAGGTTCGACTTTAATGACAAAATCTCTGGTGTCGTGTTTATTGGCACGTAAAGCATGCACAGCATACAACCCAACCTCACTCAAGCTGTAGTTTATGATTTCTCCAGGTTTAAGCAGCTGGACGTCTTCCAATTCGTCTACCAAATTTTCAAAAAGTAGATCATCGGAATGAGACTGCAATTCGTAAAACTCCCGTAAAAGCTTTTCTGAAATCAGATTACCTCGTTCTAAACTGACAAGCAAATCACTGGAATTTGTATTGGGTCCTTTCATTGTGACAAGCACCGTTTGATTTTTAACGTTGCGTTCAAGCAGCCTAAAAGTTCCGGAGACAATTTCCCCATTTCTGGAATGCATCTCAAAGGCAAACGAGGCCATGCAAAGGCATGCGCCTAGGATTACACGAAACAGCACCATAGCTGTAGTAAAAAGCTTCTTCACGGAGCTGACATGTCCTTTTTGTCGCACCCTGAGGGATTCACGTCATCTCAAATTAAAGTTTTAATTAAGCGAGCGCCGTCGGCCGACGCTAGAACGTGAGAACATGATCAGTAAAGAATACTAAAACGCTAAACCAGACAAATAACCGATTAATGTGCGGTAGAGAAGGTTAGTAAGGTTAGTTTGTGCTTTTTTTTTTTCTAAATTAACCTTACAGCCTTGCTCTCTTTCTCTCTCTCTCTCTCTCTCTCCTTTTTTTTTTTAATTTCCTCCTCTTTTATCGTCTATCCTCATTAGTAATAGAATGAGTAGATAACTAGTCAGCAATTCTTCTCGTTACACATCTATGTCGTTTAAAATATCTACCATAGGCAGTCATTCTTTCAGCTGATGACCACTCAATGTGCTCGAACATTCTAACAACACAACACAACACAGCAACATATTCAGTTTCTGTTGAACAAGAATGCTTTTCAGGAATTAAACGTGATATATTAACTAATCTCATTTATTTTAAACTACTCACTCCTTCTCTCCTGTTCCTTCCCCAAATAAAAGCGTGGAGGAAAATAAGGTTCCCCTAACGCTACTCACCACCAAAAAAATCACATTTAGGAAGACAGGTAGTACGTTTCAAACCCTTCCTCACCACACGAAATGGTCGCATTGAAGACTTCGTTTCCTAATGGAGCGAAAGGCGAAGTAGTTCATTATCATAGCTTGCTGGAGCCGATCCTTCAGCAGAGATTTCTCCGATCTTCCTGGTGTCTTCTGGGTCTCTGTTTGAGCGTGTCGTACTGGCTCACATCCTCCCCAAGTACGTTATAGTCAGCCAATTGTCGATGACTTATGCTAATGTTCATAGTCTTTTCGCTCAAGACGATTACATCCACCGTCTTTTGCGGTGTTCTTGTCTTTTTGTTCACTTTTCCTTTCTATGTTTTCTTAAAAGGCCGTATGACCACCACCGTACCTGCATATGATACCCTAGCACAATCCATATTGCACCGTGCTTCTCCTTCTTCCTTTCTTCCCGCAGTACTTACTTTTTTCTCGTCATCGTTTGCGGTGACACTCACCTACTTGTGTGGTCATAGCCAAACTTCGCGTTTCCAATGGCTTACGAGTGACAAACCCTACGAGCTTCCTCGGTTGAACGAGCGTTCTCTCTATATTCTCGTGGTCGCAACCATTCTCTCCATTCTTGCCGCTGTTTTTCACATTTTTTCCAACCAGGATGTCATCCCTCCACCTGTCGTCCGTATTCCCATCGCTCTTTACTTGAAACAGCGCTTTGAGCACTCCATACGTATTGCCTCATCCATGGCTCTTGGCTGCAGTATCCTTTCTCTGCCAGTCTATGCCCTTGTGCGTTCACCCTTATGGCAAACAGCCCTGTTCTTCACTCGCTGCTTCCACCGGATAGCCGCGTCAAAGGCACTGCCCCATTGGCCTGTGGGTCTTGGTTTGTTTCTTCACTCCTTTTGGGTTTCCTACTTAATCTCGTTCTTGTGGTGTTATGGTATCTCTTTCTTCCGTGTTTTCCTCTTTGCCGGTCCTTCTGTTCGTGGCCGCTTAATCAGCATGCGCTCTGCCGATCCTAACGCTACACTCATTACCGGCTTGCGCAGCGATCGTCGTCCCTTTACGCAAATGATGGCTTACGAGGAGCTAGCGTTTATTGCTTCTCGTGACCCTGCTCGTATACGACTTATCTTACAGGACACGGATCGGAAGGATCCTATATGGTCGGAGATTTTGAAAGCACTTTTGTCACACTGCGAGCGCCTTTCGGCGACTGTGGCCCCTTACATTCGTTCCAATGCTGCAGCCAAGTCTGGTGCTGGTGTAGATGTTTCCACCGCAACTTCTAAAATGTCTCCCTCTGGCTTACGTTCTGGCATGCCAGAAGTGCCGCTGAAGGATGCAAACATTTATCGCACTACCAACCGACACTCAGCTTCAAGCACAATACAGATTCTTGAAAAACTGAAAGAACGCGGGACAAAGAGGGCCGAGCCAATTTCTTCTCTTAACGGATCTGCCCTTGACTCGTCCAAGTTACCCTCTGTTGTTCACAACAAGGCTTCTATGTACCTTACACATCTCTCCCACTCACCCTTCTTGCGTCCCTTTCAACACACATTGGAACGTCAAAACAACAACATTTTCCCCGTTCCGTGGCTCTTCGTTTCTGCTGTTAGTTCATTGACAAAGTTTGTCTTACAGTCTTTGAAGTACGACACGTACGGTGTTGTTGCTCGTGACGTTTCACGCATCCTCTGCATTCTGTGTGATACTTACGATCAAATTCTCTCGTACAAGGAAAACGTCAGGGCTCCGGAAGCCGGTGTTTCTTCGGATGAATCCAGTGAAAAAGCATTTACCAACTTCAATATCGCCCTAGAGACTCTTCGGTTTAGTATCATAGACATCACCGAAAGTTTCTCACCCTTCTTCTCCCAACTCGACATCCCCTCCCGTATTGAAACGCGCTGTAAGTCTATCCGCCAAGGCGCTTGAATGCCATTAACTACCAGAAGGCATTCTAAAAAAAAGTGAATCATGATTCATAAAAAAAGTAAGAAAAACATTAAGTGTCATGAAAGAAAACATAGCAGCACAGAGAGGAGTTTAAAGATTGCAATGCAAAGACTGAAGGATACGATCTTTGTGCGTATGCACCGAAAGCACGTTGACCGTGTCACTTTTTGTGTGTCGTCGTTATGTTGATCCACCAGTGGTACAACCGCATCTTTATTCCTTCGAGCGTTAACTTTGGGCGAACGTCAAGGTATAAGCTGCTTCCATCACCAGAAGGGCCCGGATAGCCTTTGTAAAAGTCGATCACATATACGATTTTCTTGCCGCAGCGGTCGACAGTCCAGTCATGTCGGTCAAAAGGTTTGGTAAAGCCTAGCAACGATAAAAAGCGTGCTTTTGGCGAAATCTTCTCCGAGTTTCCCTCGAACTTGTCTAACGTCAAACCCCCGCATCTACAATTGAGTTGGTTAGTTAAATGCCGGTTAAGACATCGCGCCATTGACAGATGCAAATACACATCTGGGTGTAAGAAGCATTTACGCTCCGGATGCCAAATGCTCACCGAAAACACTTACTTCTCTGCACCCCAGCCCTTTTCCCAATGAAGGATGCATTTCCACACTTGTTCGTTGACAGCGTTATGGACAGGAACGATGGTTTGCATGTCTTTTGCGTTAGGATGAAAGTTTTTCCGTTTCATCGCATCATAAAACATTTTCGGCGATGGATATACCCACCGTTCTGCGGATGATTCGTCTGAATGCTCTGCCGTTTTTGGTATACTGGATACCATTCTGTCTGTTGACAAGGTTCCCTCCTCGTCTCTGGCTGACTGGGCCAGATTCGACGATTCTTGCTGGTTTTGTTTTAACCAAGCATCGCGAACGTCTTTAGGAACGGGACATTTTAGTTCTTCAGTTTCAGTTTCACTCATTCTCACAACGACACAGATAGCAACGTGGGATGGTCTACTATGTTCTGTGTCTGCGTGTACTTCGTACTGTATCGAATGATAGGAGTCCGATGTGGTTCTGTTTCTCTCGTAATTGCGTTTCGCCTTCCGTGTTTTGAGCCGTTTAAGAAATAATAAAGTTCAGATTTCGTCAATTCGAATTTTCTCCGATTGATCTGTGTCCGCACGAGTGTTTTAAATTGAAGTGTTGTTCCTGTTACTACCGTTGCTACAGATGCAGCAAGCACCTCCTATTAGCAGTAGACTTTTCTTGTAGCTCTGCAACAGCTGCCCCCACATTCCATAGACCCTCTGCACCCTGATTGCCCACATGTTACCTCGCCCCAACATTCGCTAAAACAGCGAACAGCTTCGCTTCACACCCATGTTTAAGCGATTGTAGTATCTTACCAGATTAAAGTCCGCTGCAGGGATGCAGAACACCGCAGGATAGGAACGTGATTTCACACTTCGTGTAGCTGATACATGACGCAAGCATGATGCCATGTAGAGTGACGAAGAATCAAAAGAGTGTGATTGGCCGGGGTCTAGCTCAAGACTGGCCAGGGCAATGAGCCACACAGAGCGACGATAATTACGTTACGTCCAGGGGTCCTAAAAATCGCTTAGATCGTGCTTATTGCTTTGCCGACAGGAAGGGATCAGTCAAGGGGACAGAAGGGGATCTCCAAAGGATAATGCCGAATAAATGCGAATTTCCTGTCGCGCCTAGGGTAGTTGTACAATGAGGAGATGCGTTCGCAGCAATTGCCCCAAGGAAAATGTATAAATAGGCGCCAAATGACTCGCCTCCTCTCCATCCACAGACGAATCAATTCATCTTTACAACAACTAAATTCAATATGAACTCTGCTCCCGTTTCCAACACTGCTGACGTTGTTCCTACCAAGGGCGCTATTTACCATCCCCCCCACTGGCGTAACCCCAACAACTGGTAAGCATATCTTAGCGAAGTTTAAATATACCGACTCTCGGTTAAGTGGGCTTTCATTGAGCTTACTAACTTTGTGTGAAGCATTCTTAACACCTACCCCACCTACTTATGCGTTATCGCTTAGATAATCCTAATCTAATTCTTGCTAACATATGAACAGCATCATTGCTTAAATTAGTAATTTTTGCGTTCGGTGACAATGAGCTCGACGGTATTCATGTGAACATGCTACTTCCCTGCATAACGCATCCATACTGCGCTGTTCCTGTGATGGAGTTTCTGTGACTGCATTCCGGCGGTGCTCTTCTCGGTTCACGTCAATTTTTGCACTACCAAGTAGTAATTTATTCATTGGCGGGTAGTCTCGCCCCTAATATGGCATCTTGAAACAACACCATTGTAGTGAGTGTGCGTATGTGGGTGTGTATGTATGTACGGAGACCTATCTAGTGTAAACCGTGGTAGAAGGAAGTGTCGGTACGACTTTGAAACACTTTTCGTCTTTCCACCATGAAACGTATACTTATTACAGGAGCAAGCAGTGGTCTCGGGAAACGTATGGCCGAGTGCTGGAGTGCCTCTGGCCATGAAATACACATGGTTGCGAGAAATGAGAAGAGACTCAAACAGGTGTTCTCTCAACTGGATAGGTCTCAAAACCAACAACACTCGTACACCATTCTCGATGTGGCTACCAGTCCAGATGGTATCCAAGAGCTTGTCAGACAGAATTTACCCACCCTAGATGCTGCTGTCCATGCAGCTGGTGTCACCCAAGAGTCACTATGTATCCGTACGTCGCGAGCAGAAATGCAATGCATTCTACGCACCAACCTCGAGGCCGCCATTGAGCTGTCTCAGGCCGTCTGTAAACAATGGCTAAGACGGTCAACACCATCGACGAACACCACTGCTACTCGAAGTCTGTTGTTCATTTCAAGTCTGCTATCTACGACCCCTAGTATGGGAACAAGCATCTATGCAGCAAGCAAAGCCGCCCTTGAAGGATTTACACGCACTCTCGCGTTAGAGATGAAGTCCAAGAACATTCGTGTGAATGCTATAGCACCCACCTACGTCGACACTCCCATGCTAAGTGAGCGAGTGCGGGCTCAAATCAAAACTGAACGCATTGCCAGCGTCGACGAGGTTGTTCGAGCAGCCACATTTCTCCTGTTCGACTCTATGTGTTCGGGAAACATTGTTCCCCTTCATTGATGTGTTTTTTTCGCATTTGTTTACTTTCGTGTCGCAAATTGCATTTACCCTACACGCGTAGACGCCCCCACTTCCAATCACGATTACCCCCATATATACCCCCACCACAAAAGCAGTCACATACAACACAAAATTTCGGGGCCCACCTACCCATAGCCAACTATCACGAAGATGTCTGGTGGACGTGCTGCTGCCTCAGGAACGAAGTTCAGAATGACCTTGGGTCTTCCTGTCCAAGCCATTATGAACTGTGCCGATAACTCTGGTGCCAAGAACCTCTACATCGTTTCCGTTTTTGGCACTGGCGCTCGTCTCAACCGTCTTCCCGCTGCTGCTTGTGGTGGTATGTAAAAACGCGCTGCTATTCTTTTTGTTTTGTTTTAGCAGTGTTTCGTCCTCTTCTTTTGCTAACAAGGATGTGTAGACATGGTTCTGGCCACCGTCAAGAAGGGTAAGCCTGACTTGCGTAAGAAGATCATGCCCGCCATTATCGTCCGCCAACGCAAGGCCTGGCGCCGTAAGGACGGCGTGTACCTCTACTTCGAGGACAACGCTGGTGTCATCGTCAACCCTAAGGGTGAGATGAAGGGTTCCGCCATCACTGGTCCCGTCGCCAAGGAGTGCGCTGACCTCTGGCCTCGTATTGCTTCTAACGCCGGTACTGTCGTTTAAACCTGTTGCAACAGTAAAAAAGAGGTTATGAGAGAATTGTGGGGTAGCGCGACGAAAAGGTCGGCGTCCTGTGTCATTGGTGCGGGTAGAGCGTGATAGTCGATGCGGTACGGCGGCTAGGACGGTGATTGGAAGGAAGCGCAAATTTTTACCCAATCACAAAAGGGGTAAAAATTACCCGCACCAATAGAAAAAGGTGCCGCCCTACGGCCTCATACCTCGAGACACTTCCCCTGCCGCCGCCCTAAAGGTAATAAAAACTTTAAATTGTATACAAAAACAGCTGGTGCACCTGTGTGGAAGGAGCCTGTAAGAGGCGTCGTAGAGACATTAAAAAGTAGCAAAAATCATCTGCAAGGGGGCAGAGGAGGAAAGAGCGTGCGCGTACAATGAAACTGACTACAAGCTAAGATCGAGGACGATACGACCGGCGATGTTGCCGGCCTCCATAGCCGAGTAGACCTGAGGAAGGGTAGAGAAGGGCTGCACCTTGTACACGGGCTTGACGGCACCGCTGGAGACGTATTGGAGGGCCTCAATGGAGTCAAGACGGTTGCCGACGTGAGAGCCGCAAATCTTAAGCATCTTGACCGTCAACCAGAAAATGTCGGCGTTCAGCTGGGCATCGGGAGGCATAGACACGGTAACGAGAGTGGATCCGGGACGAGAAAACTCGGTGGCTTGTTGATAGGACTTGGAAGACGTGGAAAGAACCAATGTTCCGTGGGCACCACCTCCGGTAACCTCCTTCACCTTGGCGACAACATCGGCTTCCTTGCGGAAATCGATAAAGACATCGGCACCACAATCGCGGCACAGTTTCTCCTTGTCGGCACCGGAATCAATGGCGACAACACGCATAGACATGGCACGAGCATACTGGATAGCCAAATGGCCCAATCCACCGCCGGCACCGGGCAAAACGACCCACTGGTTGGGCTGCACGGCGGCCTCCTTCAGGGCACGGTAAACAGTGATACCGGCACACATAATGGGGGCAGCGACCTCAAGCGAAACGTTATCGGGAATAGGAGTCACATGATCAGCCTTACCGATGGCGTAGTGCTGGAAAGTGCCGTCGACGGAATAGCCCGAGAGCAGGATGTGGGGACACAAGCTTTCACGTGCGGATAAGCAGTACTCGCACTTGCCGCACGAGCCGTTCATCCACTTGATGCCGACACGGTCGCCGAGCTTGACGTCAGTGACGCCGTCGCCAACCTTAACCACATAGCCGGCACCCTCGTGGCCACCAACAAGCGGCATTTTTGCGGGAAGCGGCCAATCACCGTGAAGGGCGTGCAGATCAGTGTGACAAACACCGGTGAACTTGATGTTGACCAGAACCTCGCCAGGGCCGGGCTCGGGCACGGGAATCTGCTTGAACTCGACTTCCTCGGGCGAGCCGTGCTTGGTAATCACTGCTCCCATCTGCATACGGGGAATGCCCGCAGCGGCGCCGGCAGCAGCAGCAGCAGCCGAAATCTCACTAGCGACGGTCCCTGCAGCCGTAGAACCCCGCTTCGTCGTTAAGCGAGACGCACTGCCGGAACAACCACATCCAGCATGGTGGTGGTGATGACGTGCGAGAGCCCGGCTTCCGCAGAACAACGAGTTGCGGTAAACAGCTGCTTGCGAGACCGAACGTGCTGCAGCGCGGGACACGTTTGCTGAGAGGAAGGACGAGGAGGAGGAGGGAGCACGGAGCAGCTGCCTTCCAAATGAACGAAGAAACATGGTGTAGCTTCTAAGACGTGCGAACAAAGACAAAGAAAGTTTGGTGGTGGTCGGGAAGTGAAGAAGGAGGAGCAGACCACGATTGAGAGAGGGGATGAGTTGGTGGAAACGCACTGGAAATTGCTTGTCTTAAGCTTTGTCCTTATCTGGGGTTAGAGGATCGGCAGGCAAGAAAACAGCTGCTGTTATAGGTGGCGGCCCATCGATTTCTAGCGATAGGCGACAGACGCGCATTGAAAATTCTCCTATTGGTAGCAGGGATGCATCGCACAATTAGAGTGGGGATGGCGTGCGCCGTACAACGCCGTGGGGGGTGGTAGAGTTCGGTAGGGCGTGGTGAAGGGCGGTAGGGCGTGTTAAAGCGTGCAGCGAGGCAAAAGGGATATTAGTGCAGTGCTGGACGGTGCGGCGCGGTGCAACACAGTGCAGTAATATTCGCTTAACGAATCTGTGCGTGCTACGGTAACTGTTGGTTAGCGCAAGTTTGCGCGCTGTTGTGCAGCCTAAATGCAGTCGCGTCGCGTTGCTCGCGCCGCCCACCCTTCATGTACCGTTCTCGCTCAATTGCAGCTCCATTGGAAAGAAACAACAGCGTAAGAACTTTCTACGAATCCAGCTCTCTTCCGTCTCCTCTGTCTCCTCCATTTCCCGCACTAACGCTCGCCAGGTTTCGCCAGAAAATCTCGAAACGATCGTCGCTCACAACTTCGCGTCAGAATGCGCAGACGCACCGTGGAAACTCGATGAATTCAAGCAATTGGCTCGTCAATTGGCAAACGAAACTGAGAATCGAAAACTGAGACGAAAAGACGCGCTCTCGTTGCTCCATGCGTTTGCTGACGAAATGCGTGATTCGTCGTTGAGAACGAACAGAAGAAGCAGCAGCAGCAATCTGCACCGACGGTCACGGTCGTGTCCTAGCGGATCGGCGTTTGCTCCACCAGAAACGGTCTCGTTGCGTCGTCGTCTACCGGCTGTGATCAAGTCGTACGAAACAAAAGTTCACTCCACCACATCGGACACCCGTTGTTCCTTTCCTGCCGCTGCCACCGAAGAAGACTTTTCCTCCAGCAGTGCTCCTCCTGTTCCCCGTGGCACCAAGTCCTCAACTAGCAAAATCCACCACCACGCCGAAGGCTCTGTCAAGACGTAAGGACGTGTGTGTAAGGACCGAGGAGAGGGGGCAGAGAGGAGGGAGAGAGGAGGTTACTGGTGACGACGAGGGGAATGAGGCGAATGAAGGACCTACTGGCTCGTGTCAGATTGTGGCATTCGTATCACTCGTGCAAGGCTCGTTTGCACTTTCGTCACCGTTCCCCATACTCGTCTCCGCCTTGATCACACGCTTTCTCTTCGTTCTCCCTCCCCTTCTTTTCCTCTCTCTCTCTCTCTCTCTCCTTTCCCTTCTGGTCCAATCGGTTCCTTCTAATTCCTGTCGTACTAACGTGCTGTAGAAAAGCATTAGGTTCTCTCTCTCGTTCGTTCCTACATCCATCTATGCCTCTTTCTTCCGCTTCATCCACCTCCTTGGGTCCTTCTCTAGCCTGTGTCTTTGGTGACCAGTTTCGGGAAATTCATGGTCGGTTTCAGAAGCATGAGCTTCGTGCTTCTCGCTCCTTTGAAAAGGTTGTCCAAGATATAGATCAGTTGAAAGTGAAGGTACTGTTTTCGAAAAAGTCACGTCTGCTTCTATATACTAACTTTCTGTGTAACAACAGTCTTCTTCGAAACCCTTTCTAAAACGACAAAAGGAAAAGTTTGAGTCGCTTCACAAACAGCCTCAGTCGACTGAACCTGCCTGTGTCGAAGAACAACAACAACAACAAGAACAGCAACAACAGTCGAAAAGCGCTACTACTCAAACTGCTGCAATAAACCATTTAATGCCAGCAACAACGTCTGCCTCTGCCTCCCTCACTCGTGTCAGTGCTGTCGGTGCTTTTTTACGCACAACGATTGCCGATCAAATCCCCGCAGCTTGGAGACAAACCATCCGTCGACATGCATACTCTCTGACCGCCATCCTTCTCGTTCCCGTAGCAGTAATCGCCTCCGTCATAAAGTTCTGCTTTAGTTCTTCCGGCGAGACTCGCTAGAATGGGAGGACGAGCAACCCACAACCCGTCTATACACAGTTCGACTTTCCTTAAAGACTTTGGATAGACACACCTTTCTTTATTCTTTTATAGAACAAAAATTAATTATTTTTTTAGCATTGGTAAAATGCACTGAATGGTATATAGTTCATGAATGAGAGATAAACATAAAGAATGGGTGTGGAACGACTTTCTATGCTATATCCAACCTTTTATTCGTACGGTCAAAAAAGAAAAGCGGTGTCTTTTTCACAAGACCCTCTCTGTCTCTCTCTCTTTTACTCGTTTGTATCATTTACATCAAGTTCAAGAAGGAGCTTTTGAACGTCAATGGCATCTGAAAAAGTTTGTTCGTTAGTAATGCTGAAACACAGACCCAATGGCCAAAGGTAGCCTGAGCATTGTTGAATAATTTCACTCTGACTTACCCTTCACATGAATAGGCTCTTCTTTTCCAAGTGGCATTAGCGGAATGGTATCTCCAATGAAAGGTGTATCTTCATTGTCCAACTTGCTAATAGCATGCCACATTGTATTGCTTGCATCAGCTGCTGTATAAGCATTGCCAACAATGTATAGTCCACCTGCGAGCGTTAGAAGTTTTCACGGACACACAGTCAGGTTACATACATCTTGCACGAGACAAAGACACACAAACACGATGATCAGAGTTCAAGAAACCAGTCTTGCCTTCTTTGTTGAAACGAACAAGGGAAAGAAGAATGACATCGTTCTCTTCACCCTGGTATCCATCCACGGTGGTTATTTTTATGGACGTGATATCTGAATCGCTTTTCGCATTTCTGTGCAGTAGCTGTTCCATCAACGTCCGTTGGGCTGCATAGAAGGTCAGAATCGTAATCCGTTCGGGCCTGGTTCCATTTTTGACTAAGTACATTGCTAACGAAACTAGAAATTCGGCTTCGTAATTGTTGCATTTGGAAGTATCTTGAGCCACATCTTCTACGTGCTCATGATTCAAAAAGTACACTCGATAGTCGCCCATACCGGGAACGGCTGACCGATGAGTGACAGTTTTGTGGTTTCGCAATGCCGGGTATACATCTTCTAGCAGCCTGCTGATGGAAGGATGCATACGACGCTGCACGCTCAACACACTTAGGGGGAAATCGTTTTCCACAAGACGCTCGAACATTGAAATTGTCAGGTTGTAAGGTGCCTTCGAAAGCGCAAAGGTGGAGCAAATAGGTCGCAATTGCTTGTGATCACCAATAAGCACTAGTTGCTCAAGCGTTGGGAACACTGCTGGGATAACGGGTCCCTCTAAAACATTGGCTGCTTCTTCCACGAAGCAGATTTTAGGATGAAGAGCCTCAAGAATATTCCTATACTTGTTTAAACCTGTAGTAGTCATGCCAACCACGTTGGCACTGTGAAGCAAATGTGCTTTTTTCTCGGCAACGAGTGAACGGTCTCGACGATCAAGACGAGCGTACGCTGCATTCAATTCATAGAGTTCTTCCTCAGCATCGGCAAATGCTGCTTGAAGCCAGTGATTGTACACAACACCCCGAATGTGTTCGGGAATGTCCCAAACGTTGTCCAAAGACAGGTAGTTCTCCAACTCCCTATCAGTGACACTAATGTCTAAATGAAGAACAAATTCCTTTGAAAGGTCAATATACTCTCCTTGCAGTTCTTCGTCATAATCCAATTCATCAGCCACTTCCTTTTGTATTTCCTCTAACATTTCTTCTTCAATTACATGCTCCTGCTCCACTCCATCCAATAGTTCCGTGGCATTGACCACATGCATTTTGCTTTCGCCGAGCCAAATTTTGAGTAACTCTGCCTCAGATTGTTCATCTGTATCCATGTCGGTTGTTAACCAATCCGTGTTTTTCACTAAAGAACGGTACTGAGTTTCAGAAATAATTTTGCGTTGACGCATATAGTTTAGCTCAACAAACTCCGTATCCTTAAAGGGCTGACATAAGTTTCTCATCCGCTTTTTCAATGCCACCCGCTTGTTGTTAATTTCTTTGAATGGTTTCCAGTTTGCCTTTTTAGAAGCACGGTTCAAATTGCTAAGCATAACTTCCCTGATTCTAGGTTCTTTTGTACGTGCGCCTAGCCGAATAACATTCGCACCATTGTCCATTAAGTTCATGAGAAGCTGATCTACAGCATGATTGGTTTGACAGGCGATGATAATGGGATACAGCATTCTGTCAGCAGAGTCAAGCAATGTCTGGATAGCCTTTAATGCGACAAATGTTTTACCGGTTCCTGGAGGGCCTTGCACCAACGTTAGTTTGTTCGTCAAAATACTTTGGTATGCTTTAAGCTGGGACTCATCTAGCATGTACTCCTCTTCTTCGGGCAAACGATCAAGGATATTTACGGCAACTGATTCATTGTTTTGAAGAATAGAGCGCACGTTAATCATTGGATTAGCCTGAACACGACGGACAACTTCTTTTTCCTTGCTGCAATGAACAAGGTAGTCTTTGAATGGGAATCTCCTTTCATGCAGTCGTTGGAGTGAAGTGAGTACGTGCTTGTAAGCTTCCCAATAACCCGTCAACGATTCGATCATCACATATTCTTTGCGACTGTCAAGCGGTAACAGCAGGTCATCAAATTTAACATCAACTTCGTACGGATACTTTTCCAGTCCCGAAAGAGGTCTTGCAGCAACAGTACCAACACGGAATGTTTTAAAGTCATTATCACTCAGCAATACTAAAGAACCTGCAAGAAGTCGACGGGAATTTTTCCATTTCACGCGCTTTGAGGAACAAACTGTGAATTTCAGTTTAGTGGCAACAAATCCTCGAGAAAGTGTGTATCCACAAATGTGAACGTGGTCATAAACAGCCAAGTTCGTACCCGCAAGAAACTCTGGGTCCGACCGGCATTGGCTGGGATTCTCTTTATATCGAAGCACACAGTTACGCAGAGGAGATAATGCATCATCACGCAACAGGAGGTAGTGAGTTGTCAAATAGTGCTCAAATGACAGGTAAGGTGAATAAACATCATTTTCCAGTAGCTCCGGACTATCAGTAGTCAGCTCTTTCTCGGTAGGAACTGGAGGTAAAAACCGCCAAGGCGAGTTTTGCTCGTTCTCGGCGAGTGCCACAGGTTGTTGTTCATTTGAGATGTCAATTTTTTCTCTGAAAGAAGATCTCGAAGAATTTGTAGTCGTTGAAGAGGATAACGGCGAGCCATAAGAGGTCTTGCGCATTTGAGTCCGGGGTTTTGCCGTAATTGTAACTGTAGGAACAGAGGCAGTTTTCAGTGTTGATTTTTGTTGATCCTGTGCTTTAAGAGAATCTTTACGAAAAGCACCGCGCAGCTTATTGACAGTGTCTTCGTCTGGCACGTCATCAAAAACTTCTTGAAATTGGGCAACTTCAGGCATCGTGTTTTTCTCGGACCTTTTCCAAAGTTTTAAAACATCACTCTCCTTATCGTCTTTTCCGTTTTCCTCTGCATTCAACTCGTCCTCCGTAATCTCATCCGGAATAGGTATATCAACGTCAACGTCGACTGTTTCAGGAGTTGCCTTTAGGGGTCGCTTTTCCGCTTTCCTTTTTAAAGGCTTATATTGTTTCGTCTGTACAGTCTTTTTTACGTTATCATACACGACTTCTTCCATGTGAAAGCTTGATGTGCCAAAACTGTCATTTTCATCTTCGTCTTCACCCCAAAGATTGTCAACATCGTCGCCCCATGTATTTTCTTCTGCCATGCTGATTGTAAAAAGAAGCTAGGGAATATAAGTCTCAAAAACTAGAAGCAAAAGAAAGACGAATAAAGACCGTATGGCGATTACTTTTACTTTTAAGATTGTAGGCAGTATACGAGTAGACGTATTTAGAGACAATAAATTGTCGTCTAATTAAATGAACGGTTGTTCAAAGAAATACTCAATTGTCGTCAGGAAACTATCAAGATTCGTTCCGGTAATAGAGATTTCAAAAATTTTCCCCAAAATGGAACTGTTAATAAATTAACGTGTTATAAAATGAGCCACGTATAATGCCGAACAATTCTGCCTGTGAGTGTCAAATATCAAACCCTAACACGACAAGAGCTGATGCTTCCACAAATTCCTCTCAGCCGTCTTTCAGTAACAACTTTGAAGACCTGCTATAAAGGGAGTCGAAGGAGCTACTAAGGACGTGACCACAGTAACCGCAGCAGTAATCGAGCCCGTAACAATGCTTAAAGTTCAAAGATTTGGTGGTGTTGACTATGGTTATAGAAGAGGACGTACAGCAGCAACACCAAAAAAAAAAAAAACGAAAAGGAGAGAATGAATAATGATATTCGTGTTAAATAATACTATTACTTCAACAATCTGATTGTATGTTATAAATGTCTAATACAAGTGAATTTGTATCCGTATGTTGACTGCGCTACTGTTCGCTCACCACCATAATTCCACCACCACAAAACTGCATCCTCGTGGTCAGGAGGTGGTGCCTTAGCGTGAAGACTGATATGGTTTTGGTGTAATTAAGGTGGACTACAGAAAATCCAAGTCGAGCCTTGTAGTAAGATACTGTAGTGGTGAGATATTGAAGAGGGCACGGCGTTCTTCGTCACTTAAAAAGAGCCCGACAGCATCAAACGTATCGATATTCGTCAATTCAATCGGGTACACTGGAAAATACGTTCAACTTTGCTGGCATTGTTTATAACGAAAAAAGATTTAACAATGTCTCTGCTGGACTTCAGACGGGCTGTTACAATCCTGTCACCAGTGGGTTTTTTTAAAAGTTCCTTGTATAATTGCTATCATACAACAGTTACATGTCGAAACAATAACTCCGTTCCAGAAATTGTGAGAGGAGGACCGGCATTGTTGCAGCATGCTGCAAGTCTTCGCGATCAGTACAGCCCACCAAAGGCGTTACAGGAAAATGAGACAGAGAAAGAACGGAAAAAGCAACCGAGAAAACGTATACCCATAAAAAAGCTGCTCTCAATGGATCCGTTTCATGTTCACAAATCCATGATGATGCACTCCTCCTACAAAAAGGTTGCTCCCTTGTGCCGACAAATCGCTCGTCAACCTTTCTATGATGCACTTCTTCAAATGCAAATGTCCAGCAAACGTGTGTCAAAACGAATTGCTCACGCGCTTGTAGAAGCCAAGGAGAACGCAATAAAAGAGTCGGATCTTGATCCGAGCACACTTTATGTCAGTGAAGCTTGGGTAGGCAGGGGACCCTATTCAAAAAAGATATGGCCGTTGTCGCGAGGACGCACAGCCATTCGTCGCTCACCGCGTGTACATGTCACAGTTGTCCTCAAGGATAAGCGTGCTTTAATGCGATTTGTACAATACCGATTGCAGCGAAAGGATAACAAACCCGTTTGGCAACCGTTGCAAGACAAACCATTCTACAATAAAAGAAACCAGTTCACCTGCTAATAATGTTACAATGATAGACAAGCGTTCACCACAAAGCTAGAACACGATGCCTTCGCTTTCCCCTTTCAACTTCCCTTTTTATTCCGTTCCCCCCTTTAACGATTGCTTTATGAGTTATTTGAAACAAGAAGATCTTATAAGAAAAGAAAAGATAATTAGCACGAGCCATTAAGACTCTAAGTTTTTAGGTGTGTGTTGATTACGTGTAAGTGTGAAATTAGAGCAAGCACACGCTGATACAGCATGTTATCTTCGTCATTGCTGCGCTGCTGCTCTTTAAAGAACCATTTAATAAGAAGAAATATCAGTTTTGGTCGCATAAAAACGTTCAATGAAGTACAGTTACCAAAAAAATAACAAACGTTAAAAAGGCATAAACGTCATGGAGATAGCAAAAACAGGATTGATGACAAGTGTTGCAAAGCATGAAAAATAAAATAGCATCAAAGGAAATAAGAACAAAAATCTGTTATCATATGATTGTCCACACATACGCACACACAGAACACTTTTTTTGAAAGCCCCGCTTTAGGAAACAGCATTTTTAATCATCCATTTGAAAGGGTGTCTCTTCCTCAAACACAGGAGGTCCCTTCCATGAGGTCGCAGACATTGGCATCCGCGAGCTGTTTTCAAGAGGCAGAGGACTTGTAGTCACGGTGATTCCGCCCTTGTCAAGGAATGGTGACAGAGTACGGTGCGTAGGCGTTTTCGTCGGAATGTTGCTCAATAATGGCTCACTTGCCAAACGAGAAATCAGCGCCGGTCGAACAGCTTCCATACTACACATTTCAGAAAAGTAATCCGTATGGTTTACCATGAATGAACCAGAAAAGCTTGAAGACGGTGTCGTCGGTAAAGACAATTTCTTTTCGTTTGCCTTGGCACGTTCAAACAGCGCCCCAAATCTGCTGCTTCCTGGACTCAGGGTGCTAGCATGCGAACTAGCAGGCATAAACGGCGTAGCATTGTTGCTACGCTGACGTTGATAAGCGCCATTAGCCAAAAGAGGCGACGACAAGCCATTGTTCTCAAGGCTACTCGCAATCTTGCCTCCATTACCGTAGTTCTCTTCATCCGAAGATCCATCATTGTATGTGAGTGCACGAGTTACAGAACGAGTTGGCAGACTCGCACTCACAGTCGAATGGCTCTGCAAGTCTATTGAGTTTGAGCGCGCAACCACACTATCACGCGCTAACACCGTACCAAATGACAGACTCATTGAACCGGAGTTTCCCTTTTGTTGTTGTGCTGCCGCTGCGTTTCGCATGAATACTGCAGAGAGTTTTTGGTCGAGCGAACTCGATAGTGTTCCGCGTGAAATCGAAACAAATGAAGGTGAACCGCTGCTTGAGATGCCAAGCAGCGAAGGACGACGACTCGCACTTCCAACAATAGGCGGTTGATCATCACTCATAAAGTTTTGCATTTGCTGAAATAAAAGACCCCTGTGCTCAGTATTCGCAACTGCCGCAGCTGCCGCAGCTGCGACAGTGGGTGAAGTGGTTCCTTGAGACGGTGAAATGGAAAGGCTGTCGAAAGACGTGAGGAAGCCCGAGTTGGGGGGCATACGAGAAAATTCGGCAGAAGGTGCCGTATACGTTACAGAAGAACGAGCACGGCCATTGCTGCTAGGCATCGTATTTTGCATCTTTGAGCTAGCAGCACGCAAGTAGCTGTTGTTTGAAGGACTCATTCTGCCCATTCGGCGCGCACCATTTGTCTGTGGAGAAGTCTCGTTTTTCAACGAGCCGTTTTGTTCAGAAAACTGTGCTTGAAGTGCAGTGGGAGAGTGTGATAACGCACATTTGGAGCCAAATTTGCAGTTTCCCTTTAAAAAGTACTTGCAAGGGGAGCGTTCATTGTCCAAAGAATGGCTAAATGGACAATTGTTTCCAGCGGTACATGCACCCTGTCTAAAGAACTTGCAGGGAACATGATGCAAGTTCTTCATACCCGAGCCTCCAGAAACACTCGATTCGGCCGCATCACGCGTTGCCAATTTCCCATGCTTTCGAGAGTCCATTGTCGTTTTGTTGTCGGCTGCAAGTTTGTGGTGAAGCATGTTCGGATTCAATGCAGAATGAATCTCAATCATAAGACTTTGTTTCAACTAATGTGACGATAAATAAAATAGTATGCAGATAGAAATGAACAGTGTCGCAAAAAATAAAAGCTTGAACCGAATGTACGTGTAAGCTGGAATAAAAACAATGAAAGAGAACAAGAGAGAATAATTAGAGTAAGCAGAGAAAGACGATTGTAAACGTAGAATTACAATCAGACACAAGCCAGAGGCATATGTTTGTCTGAACAAAAGACAGACACTGTTACGTGGAGGGGAAAAAAAGACGCGTGAGACCTTTCAAACCGGAATCGGAAAAAGGGCAATTGAAGCTAAGACAAAACTGGTTAACACAATAATAACCGACCGATCGCTTGAGTATGCGGAGCAATCCCAGAAACCCAACTGAAGCGGATGACTAGTGGGGAATGATTCAGGAGTATCGTTAGTCAAATGGCAGATGATTGTTTTTGAGAGGAATTAGCCAGGAAACAAGCAGAAATTCAAGAATTAAACACAAGAAGCGTCCAAAGGTCCAAAATAAAAATATCAAGTACAGCTGGCGAACAAAAAACCCGAGATGTTACGCAAATGGACTCAGTAAAAAGTCCTTCGAGTTTTCTGCTCTAAAGACGGGAAAATATCCCAAAAAGACCCGGAAATACGCAGTTTACGGATGAATTGCAGCAATTTCCTACAGCAGGTGAGTATACGATGTGGTTGGCAGTAGGTCGGAATGCGATCGGTAGTGTACCCCCAGTAAGGTGTTGTTACTTGAGCGATGTTACTTAAGGGGAGATATACGAGGGTAGATTGTGACACAGTGGGAACGAGAAAGCTTTCAAACAGCACAGGTTTTAGTGCAGCAGGGAGATTAATGAGTAATTCTGTTAATAGAAGCACGTAAATAGCAGCAAGAGCCGAGACAACCGTCTTCTTTCTTTCGCGTAAGTATCGCCTTATTCCCTAAGAGGTGTTGACGACAGATAATGTGCACGTGAAACCGTGAATCACGAACGCAAGTCTCGTCGCAGTTGCTTTGTAGCGGCGCCACGCTATCAGCGACATCTGGACCTTTGCAAAGAGAAACAGACGGCGGGTTTCGCAAACAAAACCGGCGTTTACAGATAAAAGAACTGCGTCTATAACGGCTTTTACCCGAGACACTTGTTGGTCTTGAGGACGCGTTCGCGTTTCGCTTTTCTGCTCTCAGGAATTGCCGACGAGATACGCCAAACATCGCCAATCTATAGCCAATCAAAGCAATAGCCGATGGATAAGGAGCGACAGATGCCGATAGATATTCGGCTCTAACATGAGCCATAATGAAGAGGGCGCGAGTGCGACTACGCAACGACACCACTCGGCATTATACTTCTTTTGCTAATGCTTCTTCCGTTACTGTTTCCCATACACTTTTTTTATTGAGAAGACGGTATAAAGTTTCACGTGACGGGCAACAAGAAGGCACGTGCCTTTAAGAATGCGCGGGGCACCCCTACTGAAACTCAACACCAAAAAAGCAAGACACCCTTGCATTTGCTGCAGCTGAGGCCGGAAGGCACTCAATCCTACCTCTTCATACGGCAGCGTCCGTACTTATTGAATTTCTCATTTGTAGACTGCATTGAGTCGTTTTTGACGAGTTCTTTAGGGTTTTTACGGTATTTACGAGTTTTGTGGTTTCTTGTGATCTATTCCTATAATTATTTTCTCATTATCCATCTTTCGTTTCATATTATTTCTTCTCGTTCCAATATGTCAAACAGCATTCTAGAAGAACATCAAAAAATTTCTTGTCTCTTGTCAAAATTTCTGTGTGTTACGCAGGAGGAATGGCCAAACATCCGATCGTTTGCAATTGAGTGTTTACAGAGTCTGCTTCGGGAAGTTTGGGATGAACGCTGGCGTCTTCGAAAGTCAGAGACGTTCACAGTACCGGACGATTTAGCCGAAAATTGTGTACAGTTGATGGCTCGGTGCTTTCAACAACACGTTGACCTTTTAAGTCCTGAGCTTTTTATGCAATTTGTTGCTTGTATGTTACCCTCAAAAGCCGAACAGACGTGGGCTGTCTGTCAACTGGTTCCGGTTGATCAGGCGTTTGAATCGTCTCTACAACAGTGCTTTCACGAACCCAGCTGGTTAGAGTCCCCTTCTTCCTGTTGCTTATTATGCAATTGGTCCATTATTCATGCTTTCTCCAAGGAATCCCTTTATCCCTCCGTATTCGATCTCCTTACCACCATCTCGTCACTCTCTTCCAAACAAACCCAGGGCGATGCTTCTAGTGCCCTTGCAGAGTGCAAATATTGGTTAGCACAAATTGTTGAGAACAGTTTACTAACGGCTGAGGAGGACTCATTTGTTTTTTACGTGGAGATGATTCTCGAGTCAGTCGAGTTTCACGACTGTGTTTCCATGCTACTAGAAAATGAGCAATTGCTGCAACGCATCCGTCGAATTAGCAATCCAGAAGTAAAGCTGAACATTGATTTCTTCATCAAAAAGTTTCGACAACAACAATCAGCAAAGGCACCGACACAATCCACAAAATCAGTTTCCCTGGAAGAACCGTCGAACGCGTATCAAGTGGACGACGGACTTGTTCAGGAATTGCTGGAACTATTCCCCCAATTATCCTTGGCAGATGCTCGTCATCATCTCCTAGCAGCAAACAATCGCTTGGATCTAGCAACAGAGTACGTTTTGTCTGGTGCACCGGGGCCAGCGGAGGCAAGCTCATCGGCTGCCACAAGTACCGTCCCTGCAAAACCAGTCAAATTAGGAAAGCATGTCACGTCTACCATCGCTTCAAAACCCACAACTGTATCGGGTTCAGGGCCACGGACTATTTTTGATAATGACGAGATTGACCGGCTGGAGATTTCGCCTGATCGAGTATACATGAACAAAAAACCAGAAGAACCTGATGTTTGGAAGCGGCCGATGCGCCATCTTGACAAGGAAAAGGTACTGAAACTTGTTGAACTCTCTTACGAAGATGAATATGATGACACGTATGATGCTGTTGAAGCAATGACTCCTCATGATCCGGGCGTTGGCGATGATGATGCAGAGGCCGCTGCACAAGAAGTTCGGGAACAGCTTCAGTACACCAACTCTATTCTATACAACGCTTACGAGCAGAATCCATCGCTTTTCGACCCGAAAGCGAGAAAGACGCAAGAGCGTGCGGATCTGCTAGCTCAACTTGGAAAGGGATTCACACACGAACAAGTGGAGGGCTGGCGACGCATGTACACACGAGACCCAAAGTTCGCTGCAGAGGTTCGGCAGACTGTTGTGTTTGGTTCGGGCAACGCGAATACAAGCTCAAATGTTAAAAGAACACACTTTCGCCAAAGTGAACACACAGATAACGACGATGAGGAAAAAAGCAACGGACATGGTCAACATAGGCCCAGTCGTCCGCGCAAGAATCCGGCTCTTGCCAAGAAAAAATACCAACGTTCAAAACCAAACTCGAAACCCAGCTCAAAACCAAAAGGCAAGCCAGGAGCAAAAGCCTCCGGCAAGAACGACAAATAGCTTGTCGCCAATGTACTCACGAATACCAACACAGGAAGAGTTTCGCTCTTCCCGTCATCACTATCCGACTGCTGTTTATCCATAATCCATAGAAATTACTTTCGAACGCGAAACACTCTTTTGTCACTAATTATTGAATAGAAACAACAGCATCCCCCAACTCAACGTAACATATCCAACCTGGTAACACATTTGCCCACAACTCCAAAACACTCCAAATTCATGCAAAGTCTGGTTTGGACGATATGAATTAACAGTCGGAATTCGACTGGTTTGATCAAACTTTATTAAAAAGAAATCGCCCACACACGCATACTCATTCTCACGTTTCGCCATTGAACACACCGAACCGCCAATTATTAAGAGAATAAGTTTAACCGAAAGAAGACAAACAGCATCCAGATGCAAGACCAATGTCATTCTAATAACACTGAAACCGACAGCATAGAAACGCTCGCTTCCCCAACAGGCAAACCATTCCGTCCACATGTGAAAATGGACATGCAATTCGTTACCGCTCTTCAGAACAGTTATGACAGCAGTTCCCTCCAAACGCAGACGCATACACTGCATCCATAACCAAGCCCAGTGTAAAAGAATGCGACTTGACCATGAAATTTGCTACGAGAATAAACTAACGGGGAGAGAAACCATAACCAAACAGTCAGCCTCCGCAAACGGTAACAAAGTCATAACAAACGCGTTCTTGCGTGCCGCAGAATCTTTAAACCCAGGCTTGCCAGTCAACGGTGGGAGGCATGCGGAAGGTCGCAACAATTCATGCACACAGACGCATGCAGCAAACGGAAGAGACAAGGTGGAGAGAACTGCAAGGTGCCAATACTGGATGTAATATCCGTAAGGGAAAGATGGGAACCCAAAGAAGAGAATTGATGGCAAGTAGAGAGTACAGCACATACATACACACATATATACACAACTTCCAGTGCGATTTTGAACGAGCAAGTGGCTGTATCCAAGAAAGAAAACTAGAAAGAGGAATCCTATTCAAGAAATAAAAAGGATAAAAGGAAAGCCATAACTAGTTTGAGAAAGGACTAAAGTTCACAGGAAAACGTGCAAAAATGAAACCATTCTCAATAGGTAGCGGGGAAGAAGCGAAAAGGTAAGAGAGAATGAGAAAGAGAATGTAAAAAATAGTATGAAAGAAAGAGAAAGACAGAAAAAGAGAGCAAGAGCAAAAATGTGCACGTGCAGTAGAATTGTCGTTCACTGCTTACATAACAATGGTGCCAGGAACCTCAATGTTGGCACTGATGCTCTTGTGAGGAAGAATGCTTCCGCCGTTGACGTAAATCTCGTCGTTCACAGCGACATCGTCACCCAAAACGGAAACGTTTTCGAGACGACTCCAAGAACCAAGAGTAGAGTTCCAGCCAACAATGCTGCTCTTCACCCAGGCATGGTCACGGACACGGGAGGACTTGAGGAGAGCACAGCGTTGAAGACGGACACCGTTACCGACAACGACGTTGGGGCCAATGACAACGTTGGGGCCAATCTTGCAGTCTTTGCCGATCTTGGCAGTAGGGTCGATGAGGACGTTGCCAATAATGTTTTCGCTAGAGCCGGCAAGGAGCTCGGGCTTGCGCTTACGCAAGGAAGACAAGTACAAGCAGGTACCGGTAAGGTAATCCTTAGGCTGGCCGACGTCCATCCAGTAGCCCTCGAGGTCGAAGGAATGCAACTGCTTGTCGTTAACCATGGCAGGGAAGATTTCCTTCTCAATGGAGGTGGGACGAAGCTCGATGCGGTCAAGAGCAGAAGGGTTGAGGATGTAAATACCGGCGTTAATACGGTTCGACACAAACTCAACAGGCTTCTCAACGAAGCGCTCAATCAAGGAAGGAGAGTCGGGGTAGTGAACGACGACACCGTACTTGGAGGGCTCATCCACCTTCGTCACAACAATCGTACCCTCACGACCATGGGACTTGTGGAACTTGGCGAGATCGGCGAAAGGGTAATCGCAAATAACGTCGCTGTTCAAGACAAAGAAGGGCGAGTCGTCCTTGCCCAAAACGTCACGGGCAAGGGCCAAGGGACCAGCGGTGCCCAGAGGCTCGTTCTCAACTGAGAAGGTGATTTTCACGTTGTACTCAGCCTCATACTTCTTCAAAGCTTGGACCATAATCTCGGGACGATAGTTAACGGCCAAAACGATGTCGGTAACACCAGCAGCAGCCAAAGCCTCGACTTGGTGCAGAATCATGGGCTTGTTGCCAAATTCAACAAGAGGCTTAGGCAAAGTCAACGTCAAGGGACGAAGACGAGTACCAAAACCACCGACGAGAATCAGAGCCTTCATAATGTGTTATTAAAAACGTAAACACGTACTAGACTTGTAGGAAAAAGAGAGAGAGAGATTTAGATGAAAAGTCCTAGGTAATCCTGCAAAAGCTGCGGGTTTCCTGTTCTACTGTTTGGGAGGAGGTGTGGGTGAGAGATATTGGCAGAGGGCAACTTGGTTCAGAGGGCAGCTAAAGCTTCTTTGTGGACGTCACGTGCCTTTGATGGCTGGGTGGAATGAGGTCAAAGTTGCAGTTCAGGGTATCGTCATCCACTCGTCAGAGTGCGCACGCGGGGGCGATTCAGGGATGGCAGGGAAAGCGGAGCGTGTAAAAGGGGTTTTTGCGGAAACGGAGCCGAAAGCGGGCGGAGAGCCGAAAATCGCGTACACACTATCGCATACGGAACGAATGACGCGACGCGAGCGACGCGTTCGTGAGGCTATGCGAAGCCAAATTCAAACGTTTCACTCGAGCGAGGAGATGGATGGCCAGTAAACGATATTTTCATAAGACATTAAAACCACGTAGCTCGGGGCTTAGTAAAAAAAAGCTGCAGCGATTTACAGTTTCAGCGCTTGCGGCTGTGCCGTTTCGGACAAACATAGTTTTCTTTGTGAAAACATTTGCGACAAAGACGATCGTCACTAAACCCACGCGAATTCAGCAAAACTGAAAACGGGAATGCATTCTATAGATTGAATTGAGTCATCTGTGTGTAAACTTATGGACTATATGCGGTTCGCGACGCTCAACATGGTATAAATACGACTGCAATTTCTCGCTTTCTTCCGACCGGTGACGCGCGCTAGACGCGACGACGGTCGCTTAAACGACTCGGTTGATGCGTTTCATTATCGCCGTCTTCACCACCACAAGTAGGACAAAGAAACTGCAAGTCTGTGATGTGTGAAGCACCAATCGGCCGGTCGTTTAGCAGGTCTGCGTTAATATTGCTTCATTATTCTGTGGGTCCCCGGAGAGTTCGAGTGTTGGTGGGAATTTGATGCAGAGTGCGACACATGCATAACATACGTCGCATACCGAACGGCCCATCGCCGGATTCCCCGGCTTCAATTCGTGTGACTCGTTCATTCGGTTGCCCGTCAAGTCTCGTTGACCTCGTCCACTCACATTAGTCGACGTGGCATACTCCGGAAAAGCCTCTGCGCAGTCCTGTTTATGTTGTCTACTGTTAGCGACATAGTCCTAGGCGACATTGTTCCGGTCAAGTCGTAACGGTAGCGGCGTGGGGAACACATCTAAAACAAAGCTTTGGTGTTTCTAAATTTCCTGATTTACGGAGGGGCATTCCCGTGGGGTTGGGAGTTTGTTTCATCGCTTAGCTCCCCACTTTTGCTTGACGCCATCCACGAAAGTGGTGGGTTAGTCGCATGCCCCCCTGATTAAAAACTGGACCCTGCGCCAGTGCGGAACAGATGAGCCGGTGCGAGCATGGAGCCGTCGAGGTAGTCCAAGTAAAACACCGATTGTCCTCGAGAGAGAACGTCGGGTCTGTGGGGGGAATCCTCACGGCGGTACATTACAACGTGCCATGCTACTGGTGTAGTGTCTGCTTCAATGTTCCTCCTGCCTTTGCACTAGCACCCAATTCTCTACCACCGTGCAGCCCAGCAACACGATGTAGGTGAACCTTGTTTGAGCTCACCAACACAGCAGCACACCCACACAAAAAAGTTTAAGGGTTCGACTATTCCTCGTTAACTGCGCTCCATGCAGGCAGCAGACCGGTTACGTCCAACGTTGGACGAAATTTTCTTACAAATTGGAGACATGTTGCGTTCCTTTTCGGCGAAGTAAGTTCGTCTCGCATGTGTGAGCGTTTGTGGATTGATGAAGCAGCTGGCTAACGTTTTTGAGCATTCCAAATACGACGTATCACAACCATTTACAAAACACATACAAACGCTTTCAGGAGCTTTGTGATAGCGTGGAGTTACAGCTCGTGCAGACGAAGCAAGTACTAGAATCAGATCTGCGAGAGCAGACTAGAACAACAACTGGTACTGCTAGAACTGCTGCTGCTGCTCCTCTGCCGTCGGACGAAAGCTTTTCCACTAAAACTGTACAATATCCCACAGCCGTTGTTGCATCCCAGAACGGGACCGTCCCTACATCAACAACATCGACTCAACCCATTTCAACATCCTCTTCTTCCAATCGGGAGTATCTCGCTGCCGCTGTTGCTGCCCAAGCAGCACATTCTGATGCTACATCGACATCCTTAAACGCCCTTCCCGACCAGCAACAGCAGCAACAGCAGACTGCATCTGTGTACGCCGCCAGCCGGCCACCTGTTTCCAATCAGCCCCCCTATGTCCCCGTTACGCACCCTCCGAGTGATAATTCTACGACGAAAGTTGTAAACGGTTCTGCCGAATTTGGTATGGAGATTCCTCCACGGCAGCAACCACAGCAGTTGCCATCGCAAATACAGGCGCAATTGCAGCAGCAGCAGCAACAGCAGCAACAACAACAACAACAGGCCCAGGCTCCGCAACTCTCAATGACAGGCGGATTAAGTGAAACGTTTGGTGCTGAGATTCAAATGCAACTTGGTCAACAGATTCAGACACCTAGTGGAAACACGTCCGAGCCCCCAGCGTCCGTAAACGATGGCATCGATGAGCTTTTCGGTGACAACTTTGACTTTACGATGGCTAGGTAGACATATGCACGCAAGTGGCCAGGTGCGGCCATTAGTGTTGACCAGTCTCCGCTGCTGCAATAAAACATTGAAAATAGTCCGACTAATTTTATTATTGCTAGGATATTACTAAGGGTGCGGTGCGGCGGACAAGCATAAGCATTGGTTTGGACAATCGACCGGGCAATAATGGCGAACGTGGAACATGGCTATGCTAAGCCGTAGAAGCGTAAAGGCCGGTTTTAATTATGAGAGCATCGCGTTTTTATGTCGCGCCCAAAGTTTAAAGAAATTTTTACATTTCCGCTTTTTCATTGAAGACAGCATGGCTGGGAATGCAAGACAGCGAGCAAGGCATGTGTGAGAGTGCGTGTACTAGTAGTATATGTATGTGAGTGTGGTGTGTGTGCATGTGAATGCATACACGGATGGGATGAAACAAGAAGGCGAGGTCGGCATTCAGGAAGGCTTTGTGTAACAGAATTGCGGTCATAAAACACAGAAAAGAATCAGGGTCCGTACAGAGAAATTACTTAAAGGGCGGCATAACAAAAGAAGAAGATTAGTAATAGTCATTCTGGTAAGACTCGTCGCTCGAAAGGTGGGCTTCGTCAAAATCGTCGGTGTCTGTGGTACGGTCAAGGTGAACGACAATACAAGTAATATTGTCCGTACTCAAACGCTTCAGAGCATATTGCACAAGACGAGCAGCAGCCTCCCGAGGACTCGTAAATCGTCTCACAAAGTCGACAGCCTCTTGGTCACTAATCACGTCCCATAAACCGTCACAAGCAATAATAAGAAACTCGTCGTGACCCTTCCACAAGTGCGTTTCTGTGGTGAAGGGATGTGCACTCACAAGTTCTTTCAGGTACGTATCACCCAAGGCTCTTGTTACTGCAAGAACGCCGTTGATACGGTTTTGAACAACCAGACCTCCCATTTGGGAAACACGCTTCTGCTCGTTACGGTCGGAGCCCTTGTGGTCGTAGGACAACCGAATCGCTTTTGCATCTCTACACAACACGATACGGGCGTCACCAACGTTGGCTGTGTACAGCATTTGCCGGGAGTGATTGTCCTCCCAGCGCAACAGGGCCACAGCAGCAGTGCAGCCCGAGATTTCGTTGTTCGTGTCCGTGGCAATTCGCTTGTTCACCTCAACGAACGTTTCGTCCAGCAAATCCGTAACCAAACGGGTGGGACTTTGCCGGAGCTTGCGCAGCAGCACTAAATGGAGATTTTTCATGCAGTACTCGGACGCCTGAGTGCCTGCATGGCCGTCAAACACTGCAATGTAGCCGTTATCGGCCGCGTTTCCAAAATCGTAAAGGAAGATGTGTGTATCCTCCATAGAGCGTCTCCAACGCGAGTTTTTGTCTTCCATATGGCCAACGCTCCATGTTGTATTCTCCGTGGGTCGGGAACTGCCCACAAGCACTGAATTTCCGTCTCCGTCCTTCATTTGCATCAACCGTGGTTGTTTTTCATGGTCACCACCGTTTGTGTTGTTCGAGCTCCATTTCCGGTCCGGTCCCTCGGAAAACGGATTCAGTGACTGTAACGATGAAGTCAATGATCTGTTTCTAAAGTGCCCTTTCATGCTGAAACTGAGCGACTGTGTTGAGGTTAAGCGTTCAGTGAGGATTTACGCAGTCCGATTCCTAAAGCGACTTGCGTAAGACTCGGCGGTTTGTGTGTTGTGTTTGAGTCTGTGTGAAATGTTTGACCCGCAGTGTCGATTCGGGAAGGGTAGGGCTGTTGTTTGGTGGGAGTAAGCAACGTCAGAATTCCCGCATGCGGCGGGATTCTCAGGGGGGAACCAACCGAATGCGGGGCCGTTGCGGGGAACCGTCAACAACCGAAATTGAACCCTGAGCTTGGGAAGAGAAGATTTCGAGACCCTTGAATAAGATTGGTAGAGTTTAATAAAAGCTGGTGTGCCGCTGTAAAACTCAATTGCGCTGAATGAACGGATCAAGAATCGCGGAGTATGCTGGCCGTGGGAGACCGGCAATTTTAGACGAGAAAAAGCGTAGCCGAGTTCGTCTATGTTGGTCGGGCTGGCATTAGTCAAGTGAAGAAGAGATAAAAGGAGATGTTGGGATTCACAGAAAAGCAGAGGGGTGCAATGGGATGCGCTGCGGCGGAACAATACATCACAGGTTGCTCGTAAGACAGGACAATTTCAAGTGCGGGAAACCGTTCTCGAACTACGGGGCAGTAGTTCATTTAGTAGTACATCACATGGAAAGACTCGCGCTGCTTCTTAATATGTGTCGCTATCTTGTAATAATAGTAGTAAAAAAGGCAAGTAGGCGAGTGACGTGTCAATAGGTTTAAGGCGGCAGAGAGTTGAGTTTAAGAAAGTAATTGAGAGCCCATGAATGAAAAAAGCGATAGATGATAGGACGACGAGAGGTCGCTGGGGGATTTTAAAGAAACGATCCAAAAGAGTTTGAGACCTGTCATAAAATGTGGATAAATGACAAGGGGGATTATAAATATAATTGTTGTGCGTATGTGCGTGTAAGAATAAAAATGGTTGAGACATGAAAAGCAAAGAGGAGGGGTATTACAAAGACGGGCGTAGCAACTGAGAAGTTTGACCTAGTTTACTAGAAACCGCTCAAACGGCAAAGCGGTGGGTGGACTACTAGGCAAAACAAGTTCGGTTGTAAGTGCATTCGCATTCCAATCGTCCTCCTGTTCAAGCTGAGAGGACAAGACCAAGTCGGGAGTCGTCTCTGGCTTTTCCGGGAGATGAGGTGAGTTAGCTTTTCGCGTATCAATCTGTTCTGGGGGCGAGAACACGAGCGACAGATCGACTTTAGCTTTCTCCTTCAAAGGTGTCAAACACAAATTATCCGTTTCAGAATTAAACAGTTCCGAACGCCAAGGCGAGGGACTTTGAGGAAGCTTTTTCGTGCTTTTTCTAGGAGGTGTTCGAAAAAAGGATTCAAGTTGTTCATCCTCGTTTAGGAAACTCGAATCCTTTAAGGGCAAGACTGGCTCATTATTATTTGCACTATTCATGCTGTTAGGGTCGAGAATAGGTAGGTCAAATTTTCGGAGGTTGTTTTCCTTGTCACTTGCAGACAATGTATCTTTTGCGGTCAATTGCGGAACAAGAAAGTCTGTGTTGGGTGCATTAGGAAGAACCAGCCATGGATCAGGAAGCGCCAACTCTGATAGAGGCTCTCGCGGAAGGAACTCTGTGTTGGGAAGGCATGGCGGCGAGGACTGGATGCGACGCAGACTGTCTTTTGTAAGAGTCTTGTTGCTGGTGGGCTGTGAGTTTTGACGTGTCGGATTGACAGACTTTGCACGCGACTCCGGTCCCGTCTCCAAATTTGATGAGGCTTGTTTTTCCTTGGATGTTGAAAGCTTTTTAAAAACGGGATGATCGTTTTTGCGTTGCTGGCACAGTCGATACACTGCTGCTTCTAGCTGTGCAAACTCATCATCTTTTGGAACATCACCGCTAGAAAACAGCTTAAATGTGTTCCAGAGAGCCTGGGGACGAAGCGCTTTGTGGTTATACCAATAAATGCCACAAGCATTGCATAAATTGACGATTCCTCCAAGAAGCTGTGCGTTTCGCCAATTGGCGGTCTTGATGGTTCCACAATTTTCACAGTAAGTAGGTATTTTGCCAGCCTGAACAGACATGGTGAGCTGTTCCTGTACCCGCTTTTCTCCACGAGCGACCTTAGGGAGCCTTCTATCTAACCGAGCGCGAGCAAGTTTAACTTGCTGTTTAATGAAGTCCTGCACATGTTCACGTTCCAACGGATTCTGTAATTGCGAAGCAATATACGCAGACTCGAGCGACAAAGGGCCGTCTCGTCGACGCTTTCGTGCAGCATTGTTGCACGCTAGTATAGAAGGCGGTTGCGCGAAAGTGTTGTTTGTTTGAGGCGGCCCAGGAACGAGCACGGATTTTGAGTCGTTCTCAGTTTGCGAAGCTGACTTTGCGTCCACCTTTGCAGGTTTTACCAGGAGTGCAGGTGTAGCAAAGCCTTTGTTCGAATTATTCTCAATGGACGAAGAGATGGCGTTCGAAACGCCTGGTGTATTTCTGTGAATAGGAGCCAAAATATTGCTTGCAGTGTTTTCGGCTTTCGTAAGAAGATTAGAACAAGAAGAAACAGAAGAAACGTCTTTCAACGATGATGATGGTGCGTCTTCCTCATGAACTTGTGTGTCGGAAAACGTGGTTTTAGAGACGGTGGGTTTTTGAAACTCATGGAATCGCATGTGTAGCTGGAGATTTTCCCTCGAGCACCTCGTCATAATCTTTCCAGTCACATAAGTAGCATCTGTAGGTTCTTTTATTGTTGACGAAGCAGTACATGCCTCTAGTAATTCTGACCATACGCCAAGACCAACGAACAGTTCTTCCACCTCGAGAACGTCCATAAAATAGACGCTAAAATCGGTTTGTAGGCCCAATCGAAGCTCTGGGCTAGAATTACATATCGTCTGGACGACGTGTCGAAGCTCAACCTGGCATACTCGTTGTTGACCATCATTGATCGCTACAAATTTTACAGGAACGGGTGTTTTCGAGCGTGCTAAACAACGGATGGATGAATTGCTTCCAATATTGTATATAACTCGCACTTTACACGTCAGAACTACAAGCCAATGGGTCGGTACTTACGTGGGAGACACTGCTCTTCTGTCATCCTCGTCCGCAAAAACAGGTTTATAGAAGTTTTGAGAAGAGTGTACCTAGTATTTACGAAGGAAGCAGAATTTCCTGTTCATTACAGACAGGTTTTGGCAGAATTTAGGAGACTCCAGTGAACCGGTGCTTGGAGGACGGCAGGTATGGACCCTATTACCAACTCCAGTTAATTGAGACGCGTCGCGTCTCAAACTCTTGTATCTGTAAAATACATTATTTATTCATGCTTTTAGTGATTATAAATCTATGATAATATTTGAACAATAAAGTTCACGAAAAACGCGTTTTCTTAAAAAAAAAGCTTATTTACGAGGACGCGTTGGTTGAGTCCGTAGAGAAGCTAAAACGAAGATGAAGTAGTATAATGACGGGATATAGCTAATTGTACACCCTCCTTTAACATTACTTTCCCTTGATTCAAGGTCAACAATCCTTAGCAAAGCCCTTCTGTTCCATTTTTAACAACTTGTTTATTTTCGTGTAGGGTTTTTCATTTTCGTCTGTGACGCGTCACGTTCTCGTACTTACCTCCACCACTCTGCCTGGCATCAGCAACACAATTCTGTCTTTTCTGCAAAAAACAGTTCGCTTGTTGCTGAACCGGGAAATTTCTGCTGGTCAAGTTCATGAACAAGGCGCAATCTGTTTACTGAAATGGAGAAATGGAAGTATGACCACTATGAAACTCTCATTTATTTGTTGAGATGCATCGAAGCAAACCCGTCCGGTTCCGGAATCTCACCTCGTGCTTTAAGTCAGGCATTGGAATACTACATTAAAGACTTTCAAGCCTTGCTTTCATTCAACCCAAAAAACGACCAGTCTAGGAAAAAGGTGCAATCAGGTGAAGTAGAACTGGACGATGTCCCTTATAAACTTAATCAGCAGTTTATTGATCAAGCATTGACGTTGAGTGACCAGCTTTCGGTTGACGAGCTTGAGGCTGCTTACTTACTGCAACTCGGTATTCAACTGTCTACTCGTTTGGACAGAAAGCCTATCCCCGCAGGTGTATATGTTTGTTACAAATCGAGACATGATTTGTTAGATGTTGTCGAGACACTGACTCGACTGCTTCTGGTGAAAGAGCTCGATGTTGATCTTAAAAATGCAATCTCTGATTTTTTCAGAGGTGTTAGGCGCGGACAGCTTAATTTTGCCGCTATTTGTCTAGAAAACTTTTTGCAATTGCAAAATCAGGTTGCTGACATTCGCAAAAGAGGGGTTCAGGGCCAACTCATTGGCTCGACCAACAATGCAGAGATATTTGAATTTGTCAAATTCTCTCTCGAAACATTCACTGCTGAGCAGGAAACTCTTTCAATTATATTGCATCAACTTGCATCTTCGTTCCTCTTAAGTCAAGAGAACTACGAGTCCATTCTCAACAACTTAAAAGGTCGCTCTATCGTTGACAATGAGGCCGTTCTTTTGTTGCCTGTTTTGTTTTCGTACCTCAAAAATACACTTCACGTCGAGATTCCCGAAGACGGACCTATCTATTTCACAAAATGCTCCGACAATGTGCTGGAACAATTTTACAAGGGCATTGTTGAGGACAACGGCGGTAGCTGGTGCTGTCCGTCACTAAAACAAATTGTTGGTATTTGGTGGGTTACAGTTTTCAGTGAAGCCTGCAAGCTGGTTAGTCAGGTTCCCAATTTTGTTGATTATGATAGACACATTGTTTCTGTCGCAAAAAGTTTTATTCATCAGGGCGCATTCTCTCATTTCGTTACTTTTCTCATCAGTCCGTTTTACGAAGCAACAGACACCGAGATTAACTGGAATCTTATCCAACCGAGATCAACGGTTACTGTTGAGTGGTTGAATATTCGACCAAAGTTCAAGGATATCTTGTTCTCTCACTTGCGAGCTTTTCTTTTGGCTTTTGTTAGTTTTATGCCCGACACCCTAAAATCGTTACGTTTGGACGAAGAGGACACACTTTTAACTCAACAGTCTTCTTTCAATGACACCTCGGTGAATGCTAATACTCCACCAGTTCCTCCTCTTGAAGAGTTCTACATCTTACTTTCGTCCGTTTATGCATACAACAAAGATTGGTGCGCAGATTTTTGGAATGATGAAGAGGGGGATATGTACGGTTTCCTTACATGGTCAATGAATTGTCAAATTCCTGGCGTCATCAGTGCTTTTATTTACCTTCTTGTTTCTCTTTGTCAAGATGCAAGTAGTGCGCTCAAATTACACGAGCTTTTATCTCAGGGTTCAGAAGAACAAATTGGCGAGGATGTAATGGCAAACCACAGCTGGACCTATATATTTAATGTGTTGCAGTATTACATATCCCAACTGAAACCTGTGCAAACGGTAATAACCTCGTCCGGTATGGCTAGAGTTTATACCGATCCAGGTGAGCTTGATGAAGTTTCGGCACAAATTGTTCAAAGCTATATTGTTCTTCTTGCAACCGTCATTCGACATGAAGGAAGTATAGCAAAGATCCTTACATCCAGGTCAGAGTTGAATGTTCTTCCAACATTGTTTGACCTTTTGGAATGTAACTTGCAGCCAGAAATAAAGAAAAATGTTCTTAAAGCTTTAACTGCGTTGGCTTATCAATCAACGTATGCTGAAAGTTCTACCATGTGGACATTGCTTGACAATTGGTTGGTCACATCTATCCTCTTCGAATTGGACTCGGATGCTGTAACAACATCCAGCCTCAACCTTATACGAAGCAACATAGTTGGTGCTTCTGATGGATCTGGTCCCCTATTCAACAATCTTTTACGATTCACCCAAAATCCGTCCATAAGGGCTGCTTTTATTGAGCTTCTTACCTCGCTATGTTGCCCTCTTAATGTTGCACCAGAAACGCTTTCTTTCCCCGAAGGCCTTGGTCAGGCATATCGCGGTCCTGGCATTAAGCCGTATGTTGATTTTGTTATCCTTTCGATGGTCGAGTCTGCTACTACGTGGAAGAATACGCACGAATTGGACGTTCTGCATATTTACCGGTCTTCTTTGGAATTTATGCTGTCTATCTTGAAAGGTCTAAACTTTGATCTTTTATTGTTCTCTCGACCGCTCGGTCAAAAAATCAATGCATATACGAAATGCAGCTCTCTGCAACTTTACCTTGCACGTCTTCCTGCCTTAATTTTACTGGAGGCCTTTTACACCGAAAGTGTGTATATGGGTTTGTTCGAGTTAACTGAAATTGATTTCGACCAAATTGAGGATGTGCTGGTTCCTAAAATTGTGACCACTTGTGTTCACAAATCTTTACAAGTGATTGAGAAGGTTCTCTCACTTCAAAATGATCTTTTTAAGAATGTTATTCCACTCGTTCCTGAAATGGGCATCAACAAAGATGTCCTTGACCTTAGTATATCAAGAAGAGCATTTGGCGATGTTTTTATGACTCGGACTTCAACAATAGTTCAAATTGTATTGCTTGTTGGTTCAAGGCACGAAGAGATTGCCTCTTCTAGTTTACGTGTCTTAAGCTACCTTCTGGATACGGATGGACTTATGAACAGATGCAATACTGAGGGAAGTCATCGTCTCTTCTCTATCATTCGTACAGCTGCGGAATCCAGACGGATAATGTTTGGTTTTATCCGTGCCTTTGAAGAAAGTGCCAATACGCTCCTTAATATTCCAAACAAGTCTTCCTTCCTCCTTGAGATGCTTCTTGAAAATCTTAAACGGTCAGGAAATGAATTTTCGCTTTCTTTGATGTTGCTTGGTTTTGATGTTTCGTTTACTAATCAACTAACGTCTTCTAAGGAACCCGGTTTTGTCGGTTCTAATGTGTCGCTCTTTCACTCTATGGTTGAATTGGTTAGCGTCAGAACGGTCGAGAATGTCAATGTTATGACGCCAAAGGTTGTTCTACAGGCTATGGAAATTCTTTCGCATCTTTGTGTCTGGCCTTATACATCGGAACTTACGTTGACCCTGTTAAGAGAAAAGGATGGCCTTCTTCCGAAGTTAATTAACGTTGAGCCAATCCTGCAGCAGGATGATATTCAAAGGTTGCCAAATATGGCAGCCGAAGAGATTGACTCCTTCACCCAATTGATTCTTGCAAGAGCTCAAATTATGAACATCATTGTTACCGAAATTCATCAAACACATACGCTGAATCTTCAGAAGCACTTAGAAACCTACGTTAAATCCCTCATTTGCAACAGTCAAAGTGTTCTCGTCCCAACTTTGTTGACCAGAAAGAGCTCAAGCTTTAGAGTGATGGACTTTATGGATATCATGCGTATTGACAGAAAGCGTATGACTTCTGATATCCCGAGTTCTCTCAATTCACTTTTCAAGGTATTCATCTCCAACAAGTTAAAAAGTTCCAATAATGGTGAAATAGACACGAAAAGGGTTGCGGATGCTTATACGCTTCTTTTGAATTCGGAACTTGAAGTATTTACCGGTTCGGTTGAGGAGAAGCAAAATTGGCAAAAATCACAAACCGACAAGGTCGAGAAGCTACTTGTTCAATTGGACGAATACAATTCTAAGATCTTGTTTATTGAGGCCATTGACAATTGTCTTGAAGTTTGGGCAAGACTTGTTGGAATCTTGGTTCAGCATTGTTCAGACTTTGTTTCTGATGTTCAGTTTGATGAGCTGATTTGGGATTTGCTACGATTCCTCTTGCCGCAGATTTCGGATTATACGATCGAAAGACAAAACGTTGTTTTTGTTATTAGTTCGTTAATTGAAACAATTGTTCCGTTCTCCTTAAAACGGATTCGCGAGATTAATAATCAGACTGAAAATACAAATTTCGTTTTGGACAACGTTAGCGGTGTTATTCAAGGACTTGTTGCTGCTATCCAATGTCCTGCTTCCTCGCAAGTTATTCGCGAAAATTTGTATGGCTCTATTCTTTATGTTTTAACATCGGTGAAAGAGACGTTACAAGGAGATTTAAGTGACGAGAAAGCCTCAACAAAGGCAGTGAGTGGTAAAAGTGCGCCTTCGTTGGCTTCTTCAAAAATTTACACCGATGGCTTTCTTGATGTTATTATTGGTGACGCTCTGTATACATATGGTTTTTGCTGGGAATTGTCTGTTTTGGTTTTAAATGCTTTGCACAAATTTAGTCCGTCTTTGTCCTCACGTTTACATGCATTCTACTTGCGTCGGAATTTCATTGGATCATTTGTAGACGTGTTTAATCGTTTCCTCTCGGACCTCTTAAGCTCTAATCAGTCATTGCTTGACTTTATAAGTGAGATTGAGTCAGGAATGTGTTTGCTGATACAGCTTTCTCAAAATAAGGCGGCAGAACCACTGGTTTTAAATTTAAGTCTTATGCAAGTTGTGCTCAAATACCTGTACTACTTTTGTGAGCAAAGTTCTAGTTACAAGTCAAAAGCACCTGCTCTTCGCGTGATGATTCATTTCTTACAGATGTTTGTTGCCTCTCTCATGATCAATCCCCTCAAAAGAATTTCTTCGGAAGATAAGGCGTTTTCGTATTCGATACTCACATTGTCCCGCAAGCTGCAAGACTTTGCAAAGCAGCTTCCTGAAGCGGGTACGCTCACCGAAGCCCACTTCGTTAAAAAGTATGTCGAGATGATCGGTCAAATCGTTGACCTGCATCACAGCTAAAGCGCTTCTCTTTCGTTGTAATGAATAAAAACGCGAACCGCGAATGATTATAGATATCCGTTTACTTAAAAGCTTTTCTTATTACCCTACTTAAACGATGGAAATTGTTTTTCTTTTTTTGTAGTACCCTAAACCACTTTTGATCGCAATATTAAATATGAAAACTAACCGCGGATCCTTGTATCCTCCTAGATTTTACATGAGCCACTTGTCGAAATATTCACAAGTCATCGGGCTAACGGGACCATCGACGGCACAGACATCATTGAGCGGGCACTTTCCGCAAGGAGACTCTGTGTAGCCGTCAATCGTGCCTTCAACTTGGCGAACGGCACGAAAGGTCGTACCGTCAGGTCGTTTTTCAACTTTTCCGTCGTAAACTAAAACATCGACAAGAGACATGACGTTCGCTAGTGAAAGATCAACTTCTGTGATATTCGTTGATCGCAGCCAGTCATGAATTTGGATGGCAGAAGGGTAACCGTTATAGTCAACTGACCACAGAAGGTCAGAGCCTTTGTGATTTTTCTTTGACGGGTAACTTTTTGAGTGAATGTACTTGTACACTACTTTCTTGAGATTGTTGATGAACTCAATATCGAGTTCTTGGTCAGTAAACCAAGGGCCGCCAGTAATTTCGCTACTGGGAGCAAGGTCATAAAGCATGTAAATTTTGCGAGTAGGATGCTTTACACTTTTTATAGATTTGACCAAGTTCTTGGACTCCAGACTTTTGAGACAGCGGTTGACGACTGTCATATGGAGATTGGTTTTCATTTTTAGTGTCTTCGTCCAGATACCTTCATTGCCTGAACCCTTAATAAAGTTGTAGACGATTTGCTCGTCGCCCTCCATAGTGGATACCCTAGCATTGTTAGTAGGCTGCAGACATTCCAGTGACCATTGAAACTAGTATTTCTAGGCAAGTTCTTCCTTCTGGTCCTCCATGTTACATACCATTTTGCTTCATCTAATTGTACAGCCCGATAAACCAAAGACTTTCCCTGATGCAACGGATCTAGCAACCGCTTTCCAAGCAACAGGTTGAGAGAGTTACTCATGTCAGTAACATTAACTTTGCGACCAAGGGCCTTGCTGAGATCATCCTGCGTTACACAGTTAGGAAGGGCGGCCAAGCAATGCTCGTAAATGAGCTTTGCTGCCTTGGGCAAAGACGAGAGTTCTCCAGACATTCTTAACAGGAAAGAGAACTATGTTGTTTGGGTGATGATCTTTTTTACCAACTCAGTCTCAGAACAAAAAAATTCTAAAAACAAAATTTGAAACTGCTGGTCCACAGAAAACAGTTAAACAGGTTGATCCGTCAGGTCTCGCACAGTAATTAAGGGTTTCTGAGCCTGAGAGTTCCAGGGTACTGGGAATTCTCTGCTGGGTGAGTTGTGGTGGTGAGTTTTGTTTGCAGCAGAGGAAGGTGGTATGGTAACAATGTATAGCTGGAGAGGATGAAGAATAGAGGAGGTAAATGTAAGATACAAGTGAATCGGTACGCGGAAGGAGATGTGCTGCAGACGTAGAGGTAGGGCAAAGAGGACTTGTGTTCTCGATGCTTTCTTCGCAGACGGGCAGAAACCCGTCTGCTGTAGCCTGCGAATGAATTTAGAAGAGCAAGTCGGTATTACGGTTTGTAGAACAGAAAGTTGTAGTTAGCTGTTTATAAGAGAAGGATAGGGTGATATGGCTGAAGTGGTTGAAAGGGTTAACAAAGGGAAGGCCGTGTTCTATATACATTTTCTGCGTCTTTCTGACCAAAATGAACAGGAACAAGGTGTAAATGACACAAGATAAGACACACAAGTAACAACAATACACGGATCTATAACAGTAGACGTTATCTCTCTCTCATTGAGGTCGTCCTGATTGTGCTCCTTGAATAAAGCCCACTTTTAGTTGCTCACAATAAATCATACACACGGCATATAAATTGCAACAGCAACAACGTAGTCATCTTCATGACTCAAAGAAACGGGAACAGACAATGGGTTTTCACCCTTTCGATCAATGAAAAGAACCGGTTGTCCTAGTCGGTCAGTAAAAGATGAACAAACAATAGTCCCAAAAGGGGTAATCTCACCGTTAGAAGAATGTTTTAACATCATTTCGTTCATATACACCTTGTGTTCTGGTTGAACAGCTTTAAAAGCAGCTTCCTTTGTAGACCATCTTATTTGTGTTAGTCATTTTTAATCACGAAATCGTATACCTCGTAGCAAACCATTTAGCCGTTGCAGTTGAATTGTAATTTTCCTTCTGTTCATTGAGAATTAGGCTCCATTCTAAAAGCTCGGTTTTATGAAGGATTCGTTTAGCAAATCGTTCTTGCCAAGAAACACCTTTAGCGAATAGTTTAGAAAATCTTGATATTTTGCAAATATCAATTCCTATTCCCATACTGAGAGTCAAACCGTTGAAAGGAAAAAGCCGTCAGAGGGCCGTAAATACCGTCCGAAAGCGTTTGTACAGCTTTGCGCTCCCTACCTTACCTTGGGAGAGAAGAAAAAAAGAAAAACAACTCCTTAAACAGTCTGACGACTTGCTTTTCTATCTTTATAGATTTGTTTTTGAAAATGGTAAGGTGTTTGATGTTTGTATTTGCTCTAATTTATCGTTTTTCAGTCACATTACGAAGTTATATCCGCAGAAGGTCTTCGTCAAGGTATGTGGATTTTTAGGGAGATGCATTGCTAAGTATCAGATGGCCGAAGATGGAATGAGATGAGAGAGTTTGACTGCAGAATTGGCGTTGAAAAAACTGCTCATGGTTCTTCATTCATTCAGCATGGAAATACCCGAGTTTTGTGCAATGTAAATGGACCGTCAGAGCCTTATATCAAAGGCAAATCTAAGCAGGAAAAGGCCTTTATTAATGTGGAACTAAATTTTGCGCCTTTTAGTCTCATTGATCGTAAAAAAAGACATCGATCCGATAAACGAATTCAAGAGCAATGTGTTGCTATCCAAAGAACGTTTGAGCAAGCCATTCAAGTTGAACTCTACCCGAAAAGTCAAATATCCATTTCCCTAAACGTTTTAGAGGACGACGGTGGTAAGTTGTTTGTTATAGCTTTTCTTTTCTCGCATGGTAATTTCATTCTAACTTACGGGAAGGTGCTATTGCTACATGCATCAATGCTGCAACACTTGCTCTTATTGATGCAGGTATTGCAATGGTTGATTACGTTTGTTGCGCTACTGCCGGTATCTATGAGACGCAGGTTCTATTGGGTATGTACCAAAACTACGATTTTTACAAACGCGTTTACTAACATGCATCAATAAGACCTGAATACCAACGAAGAGAGTGATATTTCATGGATGACTGTTGGTGTTCTAGGAACAAAAGGAAAAGTGACATATCTGAAACAAGAAACAAAACTCAGTTTGGATTTATTTGAGCCTGCTTTGACGACTGCCATTGCTGGTTGTGATCACATTGCCCTTCAAATGCAAAAGGTTGTAAGACAATCTGCCAAAACGCTTCTTTCTAAAATGGCTTAAGAAGAGAAAGTGAATGATAAAAAAGGAAAGAATAGCAATCGTTTATAGAGGGAATACGCGAGCAGGGATGTAAGGAGAAGTCTGTGTCTTTAGAGGAAATTCTTCAGAGATATCTTGTTGATGATGTTTTGAATAAGCTGTTATTTCGGTAACGAGAATGAGATTTGCTGGCTTCAGAGGGTTTCCATTTCTCTTGATGATCAACGAAATTCGAGTGTCATTATCAGCAATGAAGAGGCGCGTTTGTCTGCGAGTCGTGTCTATTCAAAGCACAAGCCTGTTGCTTACGTTATTGTGTAATCTTCAAGAAAATGGACCGCATTCGAATTCTCTTAGACTTTTTCTATAATGATTCGTAAACGCAGTGAATGAATCCTGCACTGAGACCTGCTACCTTAGGCTTGCACAAATGCAACTGTTCTTTCTTACGCATTCGTACAAGACAGCAACAACATACCTGCTCACCAAACGGCCATGACAAGCATAACCAAACACTGTCAACTTAACTGCACTAACTAACATACACATATGCCCTACCCGGGCTCACACACACACACACTCACAGCCCTCCATTATATCAAAACAATTTATAAATAAATGAATGAATAAAGATGCAAAAAAAGGAAAGAGGAAAGCGGTCAAATACAGACGGTCTTCTTCAGAGCACCCTCACAAGTGCTTAACACCACTGAAGTTACCCTTCGGACCACCGCCAGGTGGAACAATGTCAAAGCCATCTAGAGGGACAAGGCAACAATCAAAACAGCAGCAAAGACGGGGAGAACAGAGTTAACGTTTACAGAGGACATGGCAGAACTGGGGATGGTGCCGTTACCGTTAGAAACAACGGAGAAGTTGCTGCCGCTGGGTCCAGTGGGACGAGCAGAGTAGGTGGACCAAGTGTCGTTGCCATTAGCGGTAGAGTTAACATAGTATGGGCCCTTCGACACAGTGGGAGAAGAAACAGCGGAGCTGATTGTGGTGTTTGCGTAGTAAGGAGTAGTAGCGTGAGTCGTGAAAGTCGACAGAATAGTGTAGGTTGTGTTGTGAGCGGCAGGGACGGTGACAGACTCGTTCTGCGAATAAGGAGCAGAGGCAATAGGGACAACAGCAGAAGAGACTGTAGATTCAGCGGAGCTGGCACTCACAACGGGGACGACGGCACTGCTGACGGGCTCCACAGAAGAGGAGGCAACGGCAGAGGAGACAGCCGAGACGTACTCAACAGCGGAAGAGGAAGCAGCAGCAGCAGAAGAGACAACTGCAGAGGAGACAGCGCTGCCAGAGGGGATGATGGAGGAGACAGCGCTGGAAGAGTAAGCACTACTGGAAGTGTAAGCACTGCTGGAAGCATAGCTCGTGCTAGAAGCAGAGTAGCCGCTGCTAGAGCTGCTCACGGCATTGACGAGAGCATGACCGTTGGCGGTACACACTTCAGACGCGTACTGGACGGCCGCAGACACGTCCGAACACTTCTCGTTAAGACAAGAAGAGAGAGTAGAGGTACACAGACTGGAAAAGTCAGTCAAAGCAGTGCTTCCCTCCAAACAAGCCAAAACACAGGCGGGAGGAGTAGCCAGAGCGACACCGGCGAGAGAGAAAAGGGCAATAGATTGAGCAAGCTTCATGTTAAAAGAGTGACTAAAGGTTATAAAGAAGGAAACCAACGAGGTGATGGCAGAAATTAGAGAAAAAACGAGCGTATTCTTCCAACAAGTGAGAACTCGCAACAATCGGTACGATCACTGAGGATGAGTGTTTGGTTCTGGGCAGGTTCCGGAGGGCGGATCCAGCCTGGTTATAGCCACAATCTGGCCTATGACGTGGGAGGCCTACTCAAGCGGGTCACAACACTGATGCCAGCGAGCCAATTTAGAGTGGCGAATTGCGAATTTAATAGGTGCAAAAGCAGACGGAGAGGAAAATGAAATGGTGATTGTTGCCGCTGAGGAGGCGGAGGTGACGAACGAAACGAAGTGTAATTGATTTTTTTTATTGTTTAATTTTTTATTTTTTTTTTATTTTTTTTTATCAATTTTATTAGGAAATGCGGGGCGAAACTGTGAAGCTATGAATTAATAAAATAAAATAATAATATGGGATAATGTGGGAATACACAGGAGATCGTGATTCTAATTTTTAATTATTTTTCGTGAATTTTTAAATACGATTCCAAGGAAGTAAAAAGGATAAAACGGAATTAAAGATAATTATTAAAAAATAAAATAAATTACTAAAACCTAAAAAAAAAAAAAAAAACTTACATTGTCCATAAAAAACATGAAAATAAATATGTAAAGCGACTCACTGAAACTCTATTTCGAGTCATTTTTATTCACACTTACATTCGCCTCTTGTCGCATCCATTTCTCTCTTTCTCTCATGTATCTTCTAAGCCGACGCATTTTGTCGCCAAGTGCGATGAGCAACCAATTCAATTTGTTTACTCTTGAATCGCATATTATTCTCATTCGCACGGGTGAAGGTAACGGCATCCGCATCAGGCAGCCGGCTTCGCTCATGATGTAGCCACGGGACATATGATGCTTCCTGCTGTTGGAATCGTAACGATAACCACTTTCGTATCATTTCGGCTTGTTTTCGGCTTACGTAAAGCGGGAAGTTGGGCGGAACTTGTTCCTAAGAACCATGAGGGGAAGTGCTTTTGGTAGTTTAGATGGAAATACTTTATTAGTTCATTGTAATGTAATCCCGCCCTGAGTTAAGATTTGCGGCAGGGAGATTAGGAGTCGACATATTGGGCAAGTTTGCAACTGATGAATTTGTTCAATAGCAGTGGAATATCACGAAGCCTTTCAACAAAAATGTATAGGAGGGACCCATGGGGAATAAAATCATCCTAGTCGGTCTTCGTCATTTGTGCCTCTCTCTCCTTTGTCGGCAACTTTTTCTTCATACATCATTAGATAGTTCTTAAATACATTCTCATGATACGGGTTTTCTGGTCCATCAAATAGTTTCAAACGCTCTAATCGTTTGTCCCGTAAACGGTTTTTGGGCAGCATGCCTGAGACTGCACGTAGCAAAAGTTCTTTCTTTCCCCTCTTCTCCGCCATCTCTTTCATCGTCCATGATTTTAGATGTCCTGGTTTGCCAGAATGTGAATAGTACATGCTTCGTTCCATTTTTCTGCCCGTAGTCGCAATTTGGTCACAATCCGTGACAACAACATAGTCACCACAGTCTGAAGCGGGATGATACATGGGTTTATGTTTTCCCATAAGGACAATTGCAATTTGTGAAGCTGTTCTTCCTAATGGAAGCCCTTTTGCTGAAATGTGTTGCCATACTCGTGCATACGCAAGAGCAGTCTAAAACAAAACCGTTAGCTCTTGTCTGAGAGTTTGCAAGTTACCTTTCCGTTTAATGTTGACATTTCTCGTAGAAAACTACGGGAAACTTAAACAGTTTTTGCAAAGCATACAATGGGGGAGGAGAGATGAGAAACAAAACGGTAGGAAATAAATGAGCGAATACATGTGGAATTAAAATGACGGCTTTTGGAATTCATTACATGTCAACCTATTTCATTAAGCGTTACAAATTTGTCTATATGAAATATAAAGATATAACTATACAAAATGTGTTGGTCAAACACTATGAAGGAAAAAAGAAACAACCAAGGACGGAAACAGTAAATGAATGTTTGTTTGCACATTAGAGTTATCCGTCCCTCCTTCTTTTTTGCTAACCTTGTCCGTCGTCCTGTCCGCTGTTCTGCTCATCGGATTGTTCAGTTCCCCATTCATCAAAGTAAGATGGAGAGGCTTCCAGCCGGTGCTGTATGTCTTCTAACGTAAGGCCACTCTCACCATACACAACATAATCGCATGCATCGTACCGGTGAATTGTTGTGATGGAAGTTTTTAAGAATGTGTGAAGTTCATGGAGCAGAGTTTTTGCATCCTGTTCACCTAAGAACTCGGATACTTGGAGTAATGTATGGGGTTCATCAATCCCATGCTGTCGAAGAAGCTCCATCATAAAATGTTTTAGAAATGATAATTGAGATTGGTCCATGTAATCGAACAGAACCAACTCCCGCCCTAAAAAGGCCTCCGTTTTTCTCTGTAACATTGAAGACGAGCGAAACGCCGCCAAACAGACGCCATTTTCGAACCGGGATCTCCGTGGAAGCCGGGTAATTCTCGACAACATTTGGTACTCGTAGATGACCTTCCTGCTAGCCAATAAGGGATACTCTGCAAAGAGAGAAGATCTGGTGTCGTGCACAGTGTCACCTTCCACAGAGTCGTTGCGAGTGTTGCCAACCTCTGTAGAACGAGGTTGAATGTACCGCCTTTTAAACTTGTTTCGTATATCATAATCATAATATATACAGTCAACTGGCCGCTTACACAACGGACACTTGTAAGACCTCTGTAACCACGTTGTTATACAGTCCAGGTCGAAGCAGGAATGACCACATGGGTGCAACTTGGCCTTTCGAGAAAGAGTATCCAAACATATCGCACAAAATTCCTCATCTACCGACTCGCTTCTAGCTCTTTTGTTTCCAATTGAATGCTTATTTAACTCAGAAGTGGGCATAAGCTGGAAAGAGAACAATGTTGACGATCTGTATTTGGAAGCGAAACAAGAGAGAGAAAGAACATAAACGACTGGGTAGCATACGTTCAAGCCAATTTTAATTTTTAATGAGACATTGACTTCTAAAACGCGGTTCGTAAAGGGAAACGAAGCGGTTCTACTGCAGGGAAAAGGAATACTTTTGGTTCAGCCGCCACGTACACGTTTCACATAATAAAACGAACAAATCAACGAGGAAAAAGCGCCATACTTTTCCTTAAATAACAAGCATTGTAGGCAAAAAACAAACTTTTATTAAAAAAATTTGCCCTTATTTCCCTTGAATTACCTCTTATTTTCCTGATTCCCCTCAGTTTTCTATTTCTGTTCCTGTCTCTCTATTTCCTTCTTAGTCTCTACAATTATGAACCGTATCTTAGTGATTGGAAGCTTAAACGCCGATTTGGTGATGAGAACAAAGGCTTGTCCCAAAGCTGGCGAAACTGTGCATTCGTTGGATAATGGTTTCTCTCAAGGTCTTGGAGGAAAAGGTGCGAACCAAGCTGTTGCTGCTGCTAGAATGACACCAGACGACAATACAAAGGTGATGATGGCAGGATGTGTTGGAGAAGATGCTTTTGGACGCACATTATTGGAAGGGCTTCATACAGACAAAATTGATACCTCCCATGTTCAATCCGTGAAAGGCATTTCTACCGGTGTCGCTATGATTATCGTCGAGCAAACAGGAGAGAACAGAATCTTGTTGTCTGCTGGAGCGAATGGCCTCGTGGACGAGACTTACGTTGATAAGTTGGAAAGTGTCATTGCCGAAAGCGACATGATCATCCTTCAACTCGAGATTCCAATCGCCTCTGTAGCGAAGGCTCTTGAAATTGCCAACAAACACAACACTCCCGTCTTACTGAACCCTGCACCCGCGTTCTTCCTGTCTGATGACATGCTCAGTAAGTGCGACTACCTTGTGCCCAACGAACATGAAGCTGCCATCGTGCTCAATGAAACAAATGTAGACATCACGGTTGACAATGCCGAAAAGTATGCCCTTCGTTTACTGGAAAAGGGTGTTCGGAAGGCTGTGATCATTACATTAGGTAGTCATGGCAGCTACTTTGTTTCTCGTTCTGGTGCTAAAGGCTTCCTTCCAGCTGCTAAAGTCAAAGCCGTTGACACTACTGGTGCTGGCGATACATTCATTGGCGCTTTTGCCAACCAGATTGTTTCGGGAATTGACTTGAAAGCGGCTCTGGAATTCGCAACCAAATGCAGTGCAATTACCGTACAACGAGCTGGTGCCCAAAGTTCAATTCCCACGTATTCCGAAGTTGTTTCTATGAATTAAATGAAGTGAGCATGAAATACGCCTTTTTTTGAACAGTTTGTCCTACTTTCCTTTTTTTGTGTTTTATTTTTATTTTTTTTTATTTTTATTTTTTGTTTTTTTTTTTACTGTTTCTGTATATCCTTATAATATATATTCCAATAGTACCTTTTTAACTATTTTATTGACTATACTGATTAATGTAGAATCATGAAGGATCGTGACCGACTGGAGCTGACTTCGGCCGACAGAATTCGCCTTTCCTTGTTGAGCCATTGAAACCCTCCTTGTTCTTCTCGTGCCTCCTCGCTGACGATACACAGTGCTCATTGTTCCTTGTTTTTTTTTTACCACGTTATACACACCGGTAAACCAGGTCTCATTCGTGAAACGACTTTTAATCCCTCTTGACATAAGACTTACTCGAATGTCGTCTGCTCCGCCAGCACCAATTCAATTACCGTCTCTCACTAATAACAACATCCAATACTCCAATTAAACGGACTCTGTCTCAGGAATTATGCTCCTTGGTCTCTCCTCAAGGTGGTTCCTCTTTCGGTACAGTCCTGTCTCGTGTAAACGGTTTTTTGCGACAAGTTCTGTCGCTGTACCGGAGAAACCCCAATTCTTTAAGAAAAACACACCGAAGCAGAATGCTCTTCCTTACCGTGTGCCTCCTCTCGAGGTATGGAATGTACTTAGAGAACGAGAACAAAACGCACCTGCTGTCCCGAAGCTGAGTACACTCATTGAACTAGGCAAGCCACGACTCACAGCACTCGTCGTCCTTACAGCCATGTCGGCATACGCACTAGCTCCCTTTCCCGGATTGTCTCTGAGTCATTTGCTGCTGCTTGCCGGAGGAACAACGCTTTGCAGTCTCAGTGCTAATAGCTATAATCAGTGCATGGAACCATTGCTGGATTACCAAATGGCTCGAACACACAACCGTCCTATCCCCCGTGGCGCCGTACGTCCCGAACACGGTTGGCTTTTCGCTACTGGTGCAGGAATGTTGGGCACCATTATGAACTACTCGGTAAACAGCACAGTTGCCTGGCTTGGCGTGCTCAATATAGCCATTTACATGGGTCTCTACACTCCATTAAAGCGAGTTTCCATCCTTAACACATGGGTCGGGTCCATTGTTGGTGCAGTACCGCCGTTAATGGGTTGGGCTGCTTGCTCTAATGGCGACTTGTTCACGCATCCCAGCGGAATCCTCACTGCGGCCATCATGTACGCCTGGCAATTCCCCCACTTCAACTCTCTCTCCGCAATGGTTCGTGAAGACTACAAAACGTGCGGTTACCGCATGATGTCTTGGACCAACCCTCCTCTCAATGCACGTGTAGCTCTGCGATACACGGTGCTGTGCTTACCGCTCAGTCTTGCGTACATCAGCTGCGGCATCGTTGACCCATGGTACGCCATAGCAGCTATTTGGGTCAACATCGTCTTTACCCGAAAGGCTTGGACCTTTTACCGGAACCCCAGCAACCCGAACGCCAGAAAGCTATTCTTTGGCAGCCTAATGTACCTCCCTACCATCTTTATCGTTACCCTTGTTGCCCATATTATGAAAGAAATGAATGACTACAAAAGAGAGCCCCAGGCTACGAAGAACCTTGACAATGTCTCTCCCCCTTTAATGACCTTGCATGACACGAAAGAACAAATTGAAACGACGACTCCACGCGACTGAGGACAAGAGCGACGACGCAGGTTTGCGGCAAGCCGGAGGAACACACACGCAGACCGGTGCTCTTCCGTCTATATCGATACAGAATTTTGGTATTCATTCGCAAAGAGATATCTAATTCATACACAACATGAAACAATCCATTCGTCCGAAGCGAGACCTGTTTTAAACCATGGTACGTGCTTTGTCCCAATTCACGATGCCCTTGGGATCAATCAAACCGAGACGCTGGTACAGGTTCAATGGGCGAACGGCGATTTCCTTGCGCCAGAGCAACTTGCACTGTTTCTTGAGTGCGTTTCGCTCCGCCTCTATTTTGGCTTCGGTCGGCTTTCCTTCGGCGTAAATCCATTCGCGAGTAAGCGCGATAAACTTCTTCGAAGCGTCAATGAATTCTCCGTCCAATTCCGCTATCGTTTTGGCGGAAGGTGTACGGGAGACTTCTTCGTGCCTCAATGGGTTACGCTGGTCGAGTTCATACAGCTTGGCCTCGTCAAAGTGGCCGCCCAGGGAAATCGGTATAAACTCTGTGTCCACATACTCTGTCAACTGATTCGGGCGACAGAAAGACACTTTTTTACGCACTTCTGGATCCATAAAGTATTTTCCAAATCTCCAGACGCCTACACGAGGTTAGTAATCGGACCCAACGTGCCAGTAGGGAGAGGCGGACAGGGTTTTCTGTTTTCTTTTCTCTGTTTTCTGTCCCCTGTTCCCTGTTCCCCGTTCTCCGTCCTGCCCTCCTGTCCATTCTCACATACCTTCAAACAGGGCCATACGCAGGCCGCTGCCCACAACAAGAGCCTTGCCCAAGATCTCCGGGAAGTAGTTTTGGAAAATCTCAATGAAGATGCGCGAAAACTCGAGGTCAATGTTCTTGCGAGCAAACGAACTCAAGTCGGCCAGACCAAGCACTCCATGAGATGTGTTTTGTTCGGAATCCAGGAACAGTCTTGCGTTCTCCATGGCGTACAACACAACTGCTCTGAGCTCAACCGTTTCCTTCTCTGATCTGGGAGGAATGAAATTGTGCATGTTCAAGAACACAATTGGCCGTCCGGCCTTGTCCTGACCCCAGATAAAGTACATTGATGCCTTAATCATCATCTCGTTTAGCCCGGCCTCGCCTTGCAGCATGATGTCTCGTAGTCCGATGGACGCTCGCCAGCTGATCGCATTCATGAGCATGTCCGTAGACTGCTCGAGATGGAATTTTCGAGCCCGCAGGAAGCGCTGCAGCGTCAAGTCGAAGTCGTCGAACGCGCACAGCAGAAAAAAATTGACATACATACTTTCCTCAGACGGGAACTCGCTGATATACTTCGGGTCTTCCAATCGAGCAAACACCCGGGACCAGCATTGTCGAAGAGCAGACTTGGGATCCTGAGAAGCTCCTGTCATGTTGATTTTGGTAAACGCTAAGTGGTACGAGCAGGTTGTTCTTGTTTACATGTTCCGACGGCATACAGCTAAGCGATTTTGGCTACATCTGATAAATAGCGAAAGTCGTGATGCGGCGAATGACGACGGAGGAGCGTGGGTAAAGTTGGGTGGGGTCAGAATCGGGTTCGGGTTAGGGTTAATAAGGTTTAGCGAAGCGAGCAGCGAGACGGAGAGCGGTGCAGAGCGTCGTGTTATAAGGGTTAACACAACACGGTGTAATGTGCAGTACACTTTAACGTTAGAGAAGGAAGTGCACTATTCTGTTATTATGAAATGCACCGTGCCAGGACACAACACACTCTATTCCGTTACATCTCGCTACGTTCGTTTAACGATGGACTTGCAACTACCCTCCGCCTCAGTATTCTCCGCCCAGGGGCCTTGAAGCGGCAGCTAGACGGTCCCTGCACTGACTCGCCCTGCACCGACCGCCCCGTCATACACGCTGCTCTATCATACGTAGACCCCGTGTCTCAGTCTCGCCGGTGTCACCCGCTTCGCCCTCCTACGCCGCACACCCCACCGGCGCTCGTGTCCCCCGTCCCCCCCGCAATTGAATTGGATAAGTAGTATTAGGCAAGTAGCTTAGTCTTAGTCGGCCGCATCAAAATACGCAAAGAGTGTAGAGACCGCGACGTGAATTTCATAAACAAGCACGGTTAGAATCCTTCAGGACATGTGTCATTTAAGAGAGCGAGTGTAGCACATCCTGGAGCAGTGCGGTGCAACAGTTACCGTGCAGTTGACGGGAAAGAATTCGTCTTTTCCCTTTTCGTGTGCAACCGCTGAGAAAACGTCTGAAGCGCCAAAAAGTACAGGCTTCCGGCTTCGAATGGTGTGTAGGAAGGGAGCTTAGAGGGTGCTGTTCTCGCACGCTTTTCCCGCTTGCAACGATACGACAAGCGTGTTCAATTAAGAAGCTGACTAGAAAAATAGATAACCAATCATGAACGAAATAAAGCAAAGAATAGCAACCATTTTGGGCTCTATGCCACCAGCAACGGTGTTCTCGGAGTTGCCGGCAGCCAATTGTGCAGTCGTTTGTCTTTCTTGAGTATCGCGAGGGGCGGAAGCAGCAGCTTGTGCTTGAGTTTGGGTAACAGCAGGGACAGGTGTTTCTTTGGCGGGTTCCGAGGCCACTCTTCTTGCAGTCAGAGCTGCGTCTTGGGCGGACTCGCGAGCGGTAGAACCGAGGGTGGAAGCATTAGGAATAGTAGTAGCAGTAGTCTCCTCCGCGGTCTGAGGCTCGGGAACGTTGACGCTGGCGGCAACACCTGTGCTTTCGGCCAACTCCTCGACGGGTTGTGCAACGGCAGTCGTGCTAGCTTCACCCAACTCAGTTACCTTTTGGGCGGTTCCGTGAACGGCAGAGCGAACGGCATTCGCAGCCGAAGTCATTTTGTCCTCAATCGTCTCCAAGGTTCCCTTGGCGACATCAGCTTGGGAAGCAACGTCGCTCTCCTTGATCGTCTTCTCCTCTTCGGGAGCGAAAGAAGGAGTAGTGGGCAGCTCGCGCTTGTCCTCGGGCTCGGGCTCGGGCTCGGCTTCCACAGGAGCAGCCTTGGGGACGACAGTCTCCTCTTCCTGAGCCTGAGGCTCATCCATGTCCACAACCGTTTGCACGAGGTCGGGAACGGTGGAGGCAATGGCTGAAGGAGCAATGGCATCGGTGGAGGCGAAGGTGGGACCGCTGCTGGGAGCAGCAGACGTGGTAGCGGCGGCGTTGGGTTGTGTAGAAGCAGCAGAAGGAACGTCGAGCTCCTTGGTCACTTGGGAGACGTGAGAAGAGCTAAGAGTGGTCTTGGGAGCAATGGCATCGGCAGCTGCAGGTGCCACGGGCACTTGCTCTTTCTTGACAACGGGCTCCTCCTTTTTCGATGGAACCTCAATAGGCTCGGAGGGAATGCTGGTGGGCACTGCTGGGGACGAAGAGTTGGCCGCAGCGACTGGAGCAGGAACTGGGGCAGGAGCAGGAGCTGGAGCGGGAACCGGAGCTGGAGCCGTAGCAGCAGGAGTAGCAGTGGCAGCGGTCGTGGAAGTAGTAGCGTCAGAAACAGCTTGAGGAGCGTTTTCTCCCGCAGCGGTCGAAGGGGTTGTGGAGAACACACAACGGATTCTACGGTCGTGAATCTTGACGCCAGGACGCTTCTCCATAGCGGCCCACTAGAACACAGGTGGTTAGCTAGGGCGACACGACGGACGAGAGACATACAAACTCGTGGTAATTTTCGACTCCTTGGGTGTCTTCGTTTCCCAGAAGCATGCTTTGAATGAGGAACTTGTCACGGCACTTGAAACCAACAGGAGGCTCCTCCTTGAAGGCTTGAAGAAGTACTACACGGTGTTAGAAGACTGATGAGCGCAACGAGGACACGGAAGAGTCACGGCAAGCCAGCAGAAACGCTGAAATAACGCGAAAAAGCCAACAAACACTCAGCATGGCTCACAACGACGCGTCAACCCGCATCCGACACCACCGTTCGGCATCAATGGTCTCGTACCTTGTATTTTTAAGGAAGAATTAGCCTCAATTCGACCAGAATTGGGACGGACACAGTACTGCTTGGGAGCGGTCGTCTTCACTTTGAAAATGACGGGTTCGGCATTGGGATTATGAACCGTCATCGTCTCCTTCGACATAGTCGTGAAAGGAGGATAGAAGTAGAGTTCTCCGTTGCACTCAACACTCATTTTCGTTAAGTCTAGGCCAGTGAATCAAAAAAAAATCACCCAAATCTACAGAAGTGGTCAGAATTTAACCGGAAAAAAGGCAGGAAAGACCTCTACACCTCGTCTATCCTTTGGTAATCTGTCTTACACTGTTAGGCTGCTGCTTGATGTCGAACAAAACCGAAAACTGGTTCACCTGGCGAGGTTTGGGTAATTGTGAAGGTGAAGTCGGCCTGGCTGGAATAAGCGGTGTTATCATTCCTGGCATGACGCAATGTCCACACCCGCAGGGGAACTAGGTAACGCGGTAACAAGGCGGTTCTTGATGCCCTTAGCGAACGGTAGGCGCACGCCTACCAACCGAAAACCCTCTTTACGTGTCCTGGGAGTAATTTGGGGTCTTTGAAGTGTTAACACGCGAAATTCACTCTATAGCTGTAAGGATACGCGTACTTTGTCGACTGCATACGACGGAATCACTGCCTTTTTCTCGTTGTTTCTTGTGTACGTTTTTGACGCGTTTTAGGTACGTGTAATTTCCCAATTCCTTGGAAAACGACGTTTGCATGAGAAACCAATCTTATGGTATATACTTGCCTTAAAACGGGAACATCATAAAGGACGATTTCTTTCGTTTTGTCTCGCGTTTTTCAAGCTTGTCCGTTTGTCGACAATACTCTGTTTATGCTCGTTCGGTCTGTACACGATTGTGGCCTGTATAGAGACGTATCTCCTTTAACTTTGGCTCTTTTTCTCAATTTGATCTGTATTTTGTTTGGTTAATTCCTCTGTTTTTTTTATTCCTTTTATTACTAGATGAACCTGTTTGGATATCTATTCGCTCTTTCTTAGGTTTTGTCGTTTGTACACTAGTTCATTACCGTTTCCCATTGCTGTTCCGCCTTACTTGTCACACACAATCGCCCGTTTCATGCGCAGAAACGTTTTTCTACTGTGTGTTATTGCGCTTCTTGCTTCCTGTGTGCATGCCCATCAGTTTCCTACCTACACGCCGACGCCAACCACATGGACAGCATCAATTCCCACACCCGTGTCGCATCCACAAGCGCTGCAATCCAATATTCTTCACTTGGATGTGGAATCCTCGTCTTCTGCTGTCGTGTCGCCGGTCGTTGACCAGCAGTCCATCAGCAGCAGCAGTGGCTCGAGCTCGGAAGCATCCCGGTCGACGACAGTGTCACCAATTACTACGTCTTCGGCTGCAAGTGTATCTTCAGAAGCAACCATTTCCACAGGGACCGTCACATCACAGTCTGCCAAAAGTACAACCAATACGACAGATGAACGGGAAAAGGAAACGGTAACGGTGTATGTCACCATACAGCCCACCAACATCATTACAACTATTTTCCAGTTCACGTCTGTTGCTTCGACCATTCCGGCTCAAAGTGGTATTGCAACGATTGTGCCTGTCGTACACACTTTCACATACGGTAACGTCGGCACACTTGTGGGCGTCCTGGTGGGCACGGTAGTTGGGATGGCAGTGCTTTTAGCATCTGTTCTCGTGATAGCGCGAATTTGGGGACCCAAACTACTACTAAAAAACACATACGAAGATGACCAATCTGCAATTGAAATGGATAATTTCGACAATAATCGACCGCAAAGTAATATGCCAGAAATTACGCTTGCTTCCAATTTCTAAAAAGACGTCTGATAATCCCCCTTTTTTCCCTCTTTCTCTTCTCTCTTTCTATGCCAAAAGCCCATTTCCTTGGTTCCATACCAGGTTCTTCTGGGACAATACTCGTTACCCATTTATTACGTCTACCAACTTGTCGTTTATCTGTACTTTCCGCGTTTGCTTTCTTTGCTCCTTACCCCATTTCCTCTTCCTGCCTTTTCCCCCGTTTTTTTTTCAAACCTTTACTCCATCAATATTAGTTTGCTTAGCACTGTCCATGTTCGGCTTTTCTGTTTTCACGGTAGCTGATTTCGGCCGAGACTGTCCAATGTTGAGAGCCTCTTTCACCACAGAACTCACATCCATTATGTTTTGAGGGATCACAAATGTCTGAGCGTTTTTTCCCATCTCGCTCAAAGCACTGATGTACTCCTTTGCCAATTGCAAGCCAATGGCATCTGCGCCATGGCGATGAATATTGAGTGTCTTGGCGATGGAGGCGATGCCTTCTGCCAAAGCGTTCATCCTTCGCGGAAAGTTAGTATACCATGCACAGACGGTTCGCGTTGTCACTTACTGGTAACGCAGTGCTTCTGCATCTGCAGCAGCCTTGTTTAACCGTTCCGTCTTCTGGGCTTCCAGGGACAGTAACTGGGCGTGCTTTCGGCCTTCGGCTTCCTTTGCCATGGCCATCATCCTTCCCTCGGCAGCAATCATCTGCGTGTCCTTCTTTCGAGAGGCGGTCTCACGTTCGTGCAGCGTCTTCTCAATAACATCGGGGAGTTTGATGTCGAGAATCTCCGTCCGCAGACAAGTAATACCCCATTTTTTAGTGAGAGCATTTAGCTTTGCATTCAACACCTCGTTGAGTGACAGTCTGTGTTTGAGAACATGGTTCAAGGGATGCTGACTGATTTCGTGCCGCATACTTGAACATAGATGCTGTTCAATGGCCCATTCAGCATTCTCAACCTCATAACTCGCTTTGTATGCGTCAAAAACTTGGGTGTGCAAAAAACCGTTGATCGACAACGCAATATTGTCGAGCGTAATCACCGACTGGGAGGGAATAATAATCGTGCGCTCCTTCAACGAGTGAACGTACGCAATTTTATCAAGCAAAGGAGCCAAGACAGCGAGACCCGGTTCCAGGACCCTACGCACTATGTTAGTTTCAGACCCAATTCAATTACGTTTTCCTCGAAAGAAGAACAAAGAGACAACTAGCACACATGGTGGGAATCATACACGGCGCGCAACAGCGTTCAATTATCCCCTTCCCACACCTACCTATGGAACCTGCCCATCCGTTCAACCACATAGGCCGATTGTTGTGGAACAAAAATGAAGACTCTGTTAGGGATTGCTGCTTTTTTAGCCGGCGAAAAAATATGGAGGCTGGAAACATTTCTTGAAAATGTTTTTAATGCAAAGACATTTCGAATGAACGGATTCGACAGTCGCAGCATTCCTTCCTTTTACCGGGCTACGTCTCGTTGCTGGAGCTGAATTCTCTTGACCCAGACAACGTTTTTGGTGGTGACCTTTCCGAGGGCGTGGGGAAGTGGGGGCCGTGCCCTAACCACCACTGCCGACACCACCGCAGAGTTTCTGAACAAAACTCGCTAACAAAACAGCAAGTGCTCGAACTGTTAACGGACAAAACGATATAAGGAAGAGGTGAGATCGGCTGAGTATTCTTTCTCTTTACGTGTTTCCTCAATTTCCTTGAGGGAGGCGTCATCCAGCACAATGTTTTTTCTAACAAGTTCAGTTTCCTCGCTTGTGAGTTTTTTTTTCCAGTAACATTCGTTATTCCCTCTTTTCTTTTCTTTTTTTTTCTGCCGTCAAAAGCAACGTTTTGATCAATTTTAGAGGTTTCCTGTTTTTTCCTGTCCTAGAATCGGTTTGCATCCTTCACTATGAGTGTGATTAATCCTGAAATTAAAAAGGCTATGAAGTCAATTGACAGCTGTGGCATTGAGACGCCTGTAGACGTTTTGGTGAATGCCCTCCGCTGTGTTTTGGAAGGTAAAACAACCGAAGCAGAATCTGCTGCATTTCTTGTTGCCTTGCGACTGAGCCGGTTGGAAGACCGGCCCCAGGTGCTGATGGAATTCATCAAGTTGGTCAAGTCGTATGCCTTGAGTATCGAAGGTATGGACCAGTCTTCTTACAAATACGTTGACATTGTTGGTACCGGTGGAGACGGTCAAAACACATTCAACGTCAGCACAACTGCGGCCATCGTTGCAGCCGGTGCCGGTCTCCATGTATGTAAGCATGGAAACAAGGCGTCGACGTCGTCAAGTGGCTCTGCGGATCTTCTTATGTCATTTGGATGTGCTTTACAAAACGTTACCCCAAAAACCTTGTGCAAAATCAGCGACTCAACTCGCTTTATGTTCCTTTTTGCTCCTTACTGTCATCCCAGCATGAAGTATGTTGCCAACGTGCGTCGTCTCATTGGTGTACCGACCGTTTTTAACTTGATGGGTCCGTTGTTGAACCCTGTGCCAACTTTTGCTCGCATCATTGGCGTCAGCAGACCATCGTTGGGTATGGTGTTTGCAGAGGCTTTGCAACTGTTGGGTGCCGACAACTCCATGGTTGTGTGTGGTGCAGAAGGACTGGATGAGATTTCTCCTGCCGGTCTTTCGTACGCATGGATTGTCAAGGACGGTGTCATCCGTCAAGAAAAACTGACCCCGGAGCAATTCGGTTTGCCCGTGCACCCCTTGTCGAGTGTTGCTAGTGGTACGCCTGATGAGAATGCTGCCCTTCTTAAGCAACTTCTCACCAATCAACTTCCCGAGTCTCATCCTGTGCTTGACTATGTGTTGCTCAATGCCTCCGCTCTTTTGACGTTGGCCGGTGTAGCTACTGACTATGTTCATGGCGTCGAAGTTGCCCGTGAAAGTATCCGTTCTGGCAAGGCTTTACAAGAGCTGACAGCTTTTGCCGAGACCAGTCAGAAGTTTGGTCAGTGAGGAACTAAGTGGGGTCTTTGGTAACAGTGCTGCTTATGTCGATGGTATACTCAACAGTCGTTTCCGTATCTACTCCGTTTTCCATTTTCTTCATTGCGTTCGCGTCTTGTTCCATTTCATCCGATCCCATCCTAGCCATTTCTTTTTCGTCTTCATTTTTGTCTCAGTCTCAGTCTCCTTTTCCCGTATCTTGTTTTTCGACTTTTCTCTTTCGTCCCCCCTCGACTCTTTCCATATCTATTCTATTGAAAGCTTCACTCCACCGGTTCATCATCACACACACTGCACCCGACAAATGGATAAAACACTAGGTTCGCCCATTTCGTTCCCCAATCTCCTTCCAGTAAACATCCGCTAGCGTCGTCCAGCTTCAGTGTTTCCAGCACTAATATTTCGTGCTTTTTTCGCACGTTTGTTGCGCATCTTCCTACGCCCATGAGCACGTCCAATCTGTTGGTTTCCACTCTGCTTGGACTGAGCGCCTAGCGGGACCGGGCCCGCTACTGGTCCCCATTGCTGCCGCCCCGACGCCGCATCGTACGCTTGTCCCGGTGTTGATTTGTACTCGGGCTCACCAGCATCTCGCCGGATTGCGAATTTGCTTCTCCTTCTTCCAAACAGCTGGCACCTGCTTGTCCCTTCCCGCTTTGATTTGCTTTCGCTTATACCCGGTTTGCGATATCCAATGACGTCCGCACCCTTCTCCGCAAAATCTTAAATGCGCAGAAGATGCTGATGTCATTGCTATGACGTCAGTGAAAGATATATAAGGCATCCGGCGCGCTGCTAGAAATCATCAAATTCAAACAGCAACAGCAGCTGCAAACTAGAAACATTACTTCTTGCATTCTTCTCTGCTCGATTACGTGAAAACACACTCCAAAAATGATTGCTCTCGGTGCCACTTTGCCTTCTGTCGAACTTTGGGAGAACAAGCCCAACAACAAGGTTGAATTCCCCGACGGAAAGATTATTATCGTCGGTGTCCCCGGTGCGTTTACTCCCCCTTGCTCTTCTCAAGTCCCTGGCTATGTTGTTGCTGCCGAGGACTTTGCTGCAAAGGGCGTTGTAGGAATTTACATTGTCGCTGTGAACGACGTTTTCGTCACGAACGCCTGGAAGAAGAATTTGGGCTTTGAGAACTACGAGAACGTTCACTTTGTCTCCGACTGGAACGGTGAATTCACCAAGGCTTTGGGTGCCGAGTTTGACGCCTCTGGTCTTTTGGGCCCTGTCCGTTCCAAGCGTTATGCTCTTGTCGCCGAAAACAAAAAGGTCCAAAAGATTTACGTTGAGGGTGTCGTGACCGACGTCGATGTCAGCTCTGCCCAGAACGTCCTCGAAGAGCTTTAGATGTATTTTGTATTGATGAGTTAATGAATCCGTGAAGACAACGGCGGCTCGTTGGCGGCGTTTGTAACCTTAAAGTGTTTAGAGTTGGTCGCTTTGCGAAAGGCGCGTGAATCTTAATTGTATTAAACTTTGCAAACCATGTGGACCCTTTCTTCACATCCCTGAACCCCACTAACTCTTTTGCCACGCTCGCTCCGTCCGCACTATGACGTAGCACACCTGATCAGTCCCTTCCCTTCCCTTCCTCTCGTCTCTCCCATCCAGCCTACATACACCATGCCTAGAACCATCGCGTCTAGGGTGAACAAGATTACACAAGTGCTAACCATTGCTTTCGCGACGGCTATCTTGGCCGCCACGATTCCGTTCTTCCGCTCTCCGCAGCTCGGAACGCATCAAGATGAAGTAGTGCGAGAACAGACGGCGGCATCTTTGTCGTCCACGTCTTCGTCTTCTTCAACTTTGTCCTCGCCTTCTGACGCATGAATTACGGATAATAGTCACATTGGTCAGATTGGTCCTACTCACTGTACCCTGACAGAAACGCGTAACGCGCCCAGCGCGTGCGTAGTCGTGGGTTAATGAGAGACGACTCCCTGCTTCAGCACCAGCTGTATTTCCGTGTTACACGCTGGCTTAAACTCAGGGAACATTTGTGCGCTGCAGCACAGTGCATTTCACTAAATGCTATAACGTATTATGAAGGAGTACAGTAATGAAAATAATGAGACTTTTTTCTTGTGTTGTTGTTCGTTAAACACGATAAGGTGGTAGTGCGCGCACCACTGTAGGCGTTAAAGCTTCGTTAATTCAGTTAAGAAACCCTGTCGCGCTCTACTGTTGTTCTTCGTGCTCTCTTAAAGTAACATGTGCTTTCGTGTGTCGCGGCCGGGGTAGACCCGCCGACGGTCATCTCCCCTCCACGCAACACACCTGGGAAGTTGAAAATGTCGGACATCGCCTTGAAAACGTACACGGAGCGCGCCAATGTGCATCCTAATGCAGTCGCCAAGAAGTTGCTGCGTTTGATGGACGAGAAGAAGTCAAACCTCTCGGTCGCTGTGGACTTGACGAAGAAGAACCAAGTCCTGGAACTCGTTGACAAGATTGGTCCCTCGATCTGCTTGTTGAAGACTCACATTGACATTGTGGAGGACTTTGACGCAGACATGGTCCAACAGCTGGTTGCTCTGGCTGAGAAGCACAAGTTTTTGATTTTTGAGGATCGCAAGTTTGCCGACATTGGCAACACTGTCAAGCTTCAGTACTCTGCTGGTGTGTACAAGATTGCTTCTTGGGCTGACATCACCAACTGCCACACTGTTCCCGGTGAGGGTATTATTAGCGGTTTGAAGGAAGTTGGTCTTCCCTTGGGTCGTGGTTTGTTGCTTTTGGCTGAGATGTCTTCGAAGGGAACCCTGGCCACTGGAAGCTACACACAAGCCACATTGGAATTGGCTGAGAAGCACAACGACTTCTGTATGGGTTTTATCGCCAGACGCCGCTTCCCCGGTCTCAAGAGCGACTTTATTCACATGACACCCGGTGTCGGTTTGGACGTTAAGGGCGATGGCCTTGGTCAACAATACCGTACACCAGAGGAAGTGATCTGTGAGAGCCAGAGCGATATCATTATCGTCGGTCGCGGTGTCTACGGCAGCGGCCGTGATGCTGCTCAAGAAGCTGAGCGCTACAGAAAGGCCGGCTGGGAGGCCTACCAGCGTCGCATTTCCAAGCAGTAAATAGTCTACTTAGTCGAGGAAAAAGTACGGGTCGGACAAATGTAGGTTGGTGACGTTAATAGGGATGCGATGAGTTTAAATGGTTACGGCAGGGTCCTCGGCATGACACTGTCATTGCATGGAGGATTTCCCGATTCAGTTGTTGGAGTGTTTTGTGAGTCTTTGTGAATTTGTGCGTGGTTCGTTGCGCAGTGCGGTATCGTATAATTAGTGTGGTGTAAAACAGTACCAAAAAGGTGTATAGTGGAGTCAGTAAACTTCACTATTTGCTGAATAGTAGTCTTCAGAGTTTAAAGTCTAGTTATAGGCGATGAAGGTACAGAAAGGATTTGTTAATGGATTAAGCAGCTCATTAAGTTTGCTCGAAAGTTCATTTTCCTCTGTCATATTAAGGTGTGCACGTGACAGCGAAATATAGGAAGTCTAAATTGGTCCAAAAAAAACAATTATTGCTTTTGGGTTTTATTCAAAAGGAGCAAATTAGGCGTTACAGTAGGCGCAGTCCTTTTCTCGTTTTCCAGAACTCGCTTTCATATGACGTTTGCTCACTACAAGTTGTTTTAGGTATTAAAGAGTATCACATATGCGAATAAGCATCGGTTACTCTAATGTGATCTGCTCTTGTGTGTCATAGAGAACGATGCGATTTTCATTTACGACTTTTAAAGCATTAACAGGCCAACTGTCATGATTGATTAGTGCATCCTTCAACCCTTCATAACATACTTTTGTAAGAGTAAAAAGTCCTTACAATGCTGAACCAATGCTACTATTTCTCCATTCCTTCAGAACGGAACAGCCTTTACAGGAGTTCATTAAAGACCGTCAACTAAAAACTACCCGAATCTTAGGCCTGTAGAATTTCAGGAACTGCTCACTCAGTCAATTTTTAGCTGCTCCTTGTCGAAGCTTATCTATTAGTTTGGCGATAGGAAAGTCGGTGGAAATATTTGGCCTGAGCGATATATTACTTTAGTGAGTATGGGTTTAGTGATATTATCCATTGACACTTGCTTCAAGTCTGCTAGTATTTGTGTCACATTGAGTGTTCACTAAACTTATTTGCAGTCTTTTCTTATGAAACGACATATTATTGAACTACACTTCCAACCATAGCTAACCGAAGCATCACTAAACTGTAGAACCAACATCCAACATTAGTTCATTATAAAAACACATTCTTACTATCGACTGCCGCACTACTGAGTGCGTTCATTTTGCTGATAACACATACTGTAACGTTCCTCACCTTTTTTCTCATACGTACTATCAATACAACATTCGTCCCTACCTACTCTTTTATACCGGCATTTTTCGTCGCTAATTGAAAACGTTAAACCGCGGACACAACAATGTGTGCAATACTGTCACAAATAATCTCGTCAAGCCCTTAATTTAGTTGGTCGATCATGACATTGTATCATGCATTGCAGTTCCAAATCGCTTAATGACCACTTTGTGGAAATCCCGCAAGGTGCAAGAAACGTTCTGATGCGTTTATTGGGGGCGCTGTCTTAAAATTTTGAGAAGATCCTTGCAAGTACCACTTTGATTTTCAATCCCTTTTAAAGACCACCTTCGCTTATTATCGAAAACAACCCCAGCGTAATTTTATGGGTGCTGCAAGACTTGCAACCTTGTCATCCACCCTTTCAACTCAGTACACTCAACGGACAACAGTCCGCCGCTCTCTTCGAATTGGCTATATTCCTATCTCATAACACAACAAAGCTAACGCCCCTGAGGATAAGAACACTTGTATGTTCAAAACTCGGAGCAGCTGTTATCTTCCATGCGACGAAACATTCCACAAGAGTTTCCAAAGCTCCGAAGGTTTCAATCAAGTCATAGAAAACGTAACAGGGCTGTTTTCTTCAAATAATGGCCGATACAACTAACGGTACCACTGTAGTAGTAGTAGAAGCACTTACGAGATACTTTACTATTACAACAGAAAAAAAAAAAAAAAAACAAAAACCCCCCAAGAATATCAAAACAATCCAAATAATGTACACTCATCTATAGTCGTTCTCACCGATTGAATCTTTTTTCTACCGTTTCTTATTCGTTTTTTCTTCACGTATTCCATAATTCGGCATTTTCGCCTTCGTCGGGCGTCAGGAGCGCTTAATTTTTTTATTGGACGATGTAAAACTATATTCTGTGCTGCGATAAGTCAGCCAATGAAAACAGACCCTTTGTCCTATCCAAGAGCCAATAAGAAAAAGGTAGTGCGCAGCAGAAGGATGAAAACGTCTTCAAAAGAAAAGAAAAAATTTACAGGTTTCACATATACTCGGTTAATTTGTGAGCGCTCATGGACTAGACTCCTGTTCCAGTCCAGACCTTGCTATCCCTTGGGATAATAACTCGCTTCTCTGAACTCCATACCCGAGTTCTGGCGTCATATGCTACACCAAAAAAATGCATCACGCTTCTGCATTTCCTTCTTAATCAACTGTCTTGGACACAGTTTGCAGGAAACATAGAAGGTTCTTGCTACGTTTCCTTTAATCGTTTTATCTTTTTGGTCTCAAGTTTTATTGTCTACGACGCGTCATGTACTCGAAATTTATTGCTCGTCTTCCGAGCCAGCTTGTTCATAAGGCTGTCGCAAAACCCGGCATGCTACGTGGCCGATCCTCTGCCGGTGTGTTGCTGTTCAAGCGTTTAGGTATGTGCTATTCCCTTCTTTGGATGTTTCTATTCCTCTTATCGTTGCTGGATTGGGTCAATTGGATGTGGAAACATGTTTTATGAGCAAATTGAGTTTTTTGACTTTAATGGCACTTTCGGAAAGTCTACGTGGGTCTATTGTCAATTTGTGCACGTCTAGGGTGCATCAAATAAAAAGATCATACTGGCTTTGTTTTGTTTCATTTTATATCTCTTCGATCCTCTACTATTTGCTTTTCTTCGTAAATTCGTCGCAGCCATTTTGACTACACAATCCTTCTGATATGCTGTCTCGAATGGAACAACCCAATGCTCTTGACCCGTCCTTGTTCTCGGATTCATGCTAACCTTGCTTACAGCTTCTATCAAGGTGAAGACACCTCAGTTCCCCGAGTCCATCAGTGAAGGCACTTTGGCTCAATGGATTAAAAGTATGTTGCAAAAGCGTGAAACGTTCTGTTTAGCAAGTTTGTGTTTGTTGCACAGTAACAGAATCCCGTTCTCACTAGTCTCTTCCGTGTTCGAAATCTAACCGTGCGCAGAACCTGGCGAGCACGTCGAAAAGGATGAGGAAATTGCCAGTGTCGAGACCGATAAAATTGACGCCCCTGTCATTGCTCCTAGCGCAGGATTGCTCAAAGAATGTCTCGTCGAAGAAGGTGACACAATTGGCATCGACCAAGATATTGCCATTATCGACGATAGCGCCGCTGGTTCTGCTTCCGCACAACCAGAGGCTGCTCCAAAGGCTGAAGAGCCTGCTGCTCCCGTCAAGGAAGAGGTTAAACCAGAGCCCGCTGCACCTAAACAACAAGAGGCACCCGCTGCTCCTACTCCTGCTCCTACTCCTGCACCCGCTGCCCCTAGACAGGAGCCTGCGGCTCCTGCGGCTCCTGCTGCTCCAAAATCTCAACCGAAGGTTGAAGCCTCTCCCGCCGCTTCCGCCCCTTCTGTTGCGTTCTCTCGTAAGGAGGAACGCGTAAAAATGAACCGTATGCGTCTTCGTATCGCTGAGCGTCTCAAAGAGTCACAGAACCGTGCTGCTTCTTTGACTACATTCAATGAATGTGATATGAGTGCTGTCATTGCTTTACGTAAAAAGTACAAGGACGAGATTTTAAAGGAAACTGGTGTCAAGCTGGGTTTCATGAGTTTTTTCACAAAAGCTTGCACGCAAGCTGCAAAGACTATTCCTGCCGTTAACGGTTCTATTGAGGGTCCCAACGGTGGTGATACAATCGTTTACCGGGATTACTGTGACCTTAGTGTCGCTGTTGCTACTCCTAAGGGTTTGGTAACTCCCGTTGTGAGAAATGCTGAAAGCTTGAGTTTGGTCGAAATCGAACGCTCCATTGCCGAGCTGTCCTCTAGAGCTAGAAATGGCAAATTGACCATCGAGGACATGGCCGGCGGCACTTTCACTATTTCCAACGGCGGCGTATTCGGTTCTTTGTATGGTACACCTATTATTAACCTTCCTCAAACCGCAGTGTTGGGATTGCATGCCATCAAGGAACGTGCCGTTGTTGTAAATGGACAAGTCGTTCCTCGTCCCATGATGTACTTGGCTTTGACTTATGACCATCGTTTGGTTGATGGCCGGGAGGCTGTCACCTTCTTAAAGCTTGTCAAGGAGTTCATTGAGGATCCTGCCAAGATGCTTCTTGCATAAAACTTCTCGTGAAGTGTTTAATATAATTTTCTTTTCTTTTTGCAAATTATTAAGGATATTATTCTCTCAGCGTTGTTCTCTCTTGAAAACTCTAGACCGTTATTTTATCCAATATCTCACTGCTTATGTTAGCTACTTCACAAAAGACGTAACAGTATCTCCTTACTCAATGTCAGAAACAATATGGTTTTCAATTTCATGACCCTTTCCTGCAGCGATTTTGAGAATGTATTCCTAAACCCTTTGTTAGTTATGATTGCAAACACGATTAATGATTGACAACAACATACGTTTAGTTCAGTGTTTCCTAGGATGTCAACATGTTCGGATGAAGACGGGCCGCCTCTCAAGTCAAAAGAGTCTGGTTTATGAAGAAGTTCATGGGTAGTAATGCTGATGTTGGCAGGATTGTAGCGAGGAAGTTTCCAACCTTTTCTACACATAAATCCAAGACTAAGAAGCGGAAGCGTTCCGTCTCCTTCTCCTAAAACGACGCCCTATTGGAATGTTAGTAACAATTCGCTGTCTTTGTCGGTGAGTCAAACATTTTCAATCTCGGTTCCATCATCAACACTAGAGTCAATAACATATTCGCCTTCTTCATTCTTGAAGTAGTAATAACCACGCTCCGTGGGCTTTCCAACACCATAGATGCAATAAATCTTCATACTGGGTGCGTAAGGTAGACTTGTCTGTTTCAAGTTAGTTATTGTTGACATGCAACTGGCATAAAATACCTCTAAAGGATTGACCCATTTCCGATGATCCGCATTATTCTTCTTTACTTCTTCTTCAGTCCATGCAATACCATTCGAATAATTTGTATGCATCATCTTTCTGAAATACTCGTCGGAAATGTCCTCCAAAAAATCAATAGCTTGCTCCGTAGTATGATTCACGAATTCATGCGTAATATTGTCACGCGTGTGGAGCATAGGGCCTCTTGTATTTTCATTGCCATTATCATCAAATGCCAGTAGTAAGGTTAGTAATCGAAGACATAAGTTACTTACCCAAAATTCATTTCCCCAAATGGCGCTTCCACCTTTGGGAAGCATGGAGCCAACACCCCCCATACTACGGGCCATCTTGGCTCTCTATTAAATAAGTCAGTACTAAAAATCGAGAGCAAAGTTACCTCAGCACGAGAAAAGAATTTCTCAAGACTACGCATTGTTAGTAAAGTATCGGTTAAAGAGAAAGCAATACCCATAGACGGAGAACATATTCAATTGTGCTGTCTGTTAGCGTTCATCAGAAAAAGCATGAGCGTACCCGTGTCTTTCATTTCGCCTGACAACAATGTGGAAAGAGTCTTTGGTGCGCCAAGCAATGATCCCGAAACCTAAAGTATTAATAAGTTTACCATAAACAGTACTTAAGCTTACATTAATTAAGGCTTCAATGTGCTCTTCCACCCAATTGGGACCTCCATTTCCATATCCTTCTGTTTCAACCCATTTCAGAAAATAGTATGTTACTTGAGCGCCCATCGAATGGGAAATCAAAACAATTTTCTTTCCATGGGAGCGTTTACTTTGTTCAATGAACATCTACCAATGTTAGAAACGTCTCAAGGAGGGATAGCAATTAAACCTTCAGCTTCGAAAAGTAGTTATCCCGAACTTCAAGATTGTAATATGAAAGACGCCAATCATAAGAAGCAGTCAACATGTTGTTCGGTTCGTAACCAATTGCTGCCAAATTTTCGATAATCTAAATGTCAGTCTTCATTCAATGTAATATTAGTTATTTCATACTTTGCTCCAAATCCAATAACCGGTGATGAAAAAGTCGGCTAATTAAAAATTAGCTGAGAAGAAATAACAGTCAGTAATACCTGCTTCAAATCCCTAATATGGTTAGTCTAGCATTATGTTGAATGTACTTACCTGGGCTGCTCTAAGCTTAATACCAGGGGGATCCAAACCAGTTTCCTTATCGAGCATTAAGTGTTCCTTATAAATGTTAACGTATAGAAATGATGAGGGTTATTACCAGCCAGCAATGCTTATCAAGTAGCATTGCCTTGATCATTGTAAAACTCCCCTAAAAAAGTTAGAAAAAGTGTCAACTGTGATAGAAATACCCATAAGCGTTTTCTAAAGTATGGAAGACTAAAGAAAAAAGTCAGCGAAAGATTCGAAATAGGCTACGTACGAGCAATTTCGTAATGACCAACTTTCAAGGCCTGAACTAATAACACCCGGAATCTATAAATAGTTAGAGAGAAAACAATATATCATCCAAGCATATATGACGAACCATGACTACCGGGAAATTTGATTCATATCCTTCACTGTCGAGAGTTTGACCAACATGGAGATCGTTTCCACCTAGGCGCTGCTGTATTTCAGATAAGGGAGGAAGGTCTTGAAACAATCCATTGGACAAATAAGTCTTAATGTCGTCGTATATAGCGGATGAGCCTAGAAACTCGCCCACAGTGTCCCATGTCAAGTTATCCAAAAGCTTAGAATCACTGTTCGAAAATATAAAGAATGCTGAAGTGACACCAACTACGGTACCAAGAAGAAAGACAAGACGTTTAATGTATCGTTTAGACCGGGTTGTAGGAGTTGTCGGAGGAGCTTGATCGTCTACATTCGATGACTTTAATGGATGGGCATCTTGTTTGTCAACATTGTCCTCCGTATGACCGCTTTTTGATCTTCTTTTAGTTCTTCTACGAAGCTTTTTTGTCATAAGAAGCAGCCTTAATGTAAATTTCGCTCTGAGTTACTGTAAGCAGTTGGTCCTTTAACTGTTTTAGTAGTTTACTCAACCTTTGAATATCAGGCTACCTTGGTAAAGTTTTGAAAAAAAGAACGTTGTCAGTCAATATCCTTGGCAATTAGGAGGCGTATGTGTAAATTGAAACCTGAAAAGTCCTCTTCTTATTAGTTTTCTGTCGGTATACGACTGGGCGCAAGATATGCTATAGCACACCTATTGAAACAACCAAGGGGATACGAAACGAGGGAAACTTGCGAAGAGGCAGAACCCCGCTTGGTTGTAAATTAAAGAAAAGTTGTTAAGGAGTTATGTTTAGATGCAAACATAAACAACATTGTTATGCTTTGAAAGCTGCATCATTACAACATGAAATAAAGATTCATAACTATTTAGAGTACATAAGGTATCAAATTAGAAACAAACAGAAGTATAAACGTATAGCAGATGAAGGGAATGATTAATAACGGTAACCGTCGGCTATTTGTTTCTGTATATTTTCAAGCTTATGCGGTAGTAACGATAGAGCGTAAACAACTTGGTCCCATTGCCTTTTCGACGAACACTTGTTTAGTCTCGATGCTAAACGTTCTGCGAGTTGTCGAGTAAATTTTTCTTTCTCAATAAACGACATGAGGAATTTAATGATGCGCTTGAACATAGAATCGTCAGCGTCGAGTTCTTCAGCAGACTTCGACAAAACACTGAAGATATCAATAAAATTGTTATACACAGCATTATCCTTCGCTGAAAGTTCTGAGAAGAACATATGTGCGAGGCTTGAGACTCGAGGATCTTTGTCTTCCAAACAACGAGCCATAATACCGAGTTGTCCTTTAATTTTAATCTGTCCGGCAAGAATAAGAAATGCTAGTGTCATAAAGCATGTTTTTTTAACTGAAGGCTCATCATCGGACAAACGACGATAAAGATACTCCGAGTTTTGGTCGATGTATTGATTAAAACACATCGTTAAATCAGCCAATCCAATAACAAGATTATTGCGGACTAGGGAATTGTCTGACTTTTCGAGAATTGTGATTAAGAGGGGAAGGTGTTTCGCACAAAAAGATTGTGAAATACACATAAATTTTGTTAACGTGAGAGAAGCAGCAGCAAGAACATGCTTATTAGAGTAAGTCGTGTTCTTTGAACATAACTCCACGACTAGCGGAGAAAATCTGGCCAGCAGGGAGTTTTCGCCATATAAAAGTTCGCGTTCCCGAATGTAAGTCATAGCATCGGTGAAGTCATCTTCACTCGTTCCCGCAATCATGTCAAACTCGCTGGGCTCAGATTTGTCAACATTCATTTGGTCATCATCAGAAGGCCCTTTATCCAGCTCTGCTTTGCGTAACTTAAACTCGGCCTCAAAACTTTCTATGTATACGAGTTGTTTGATACCAATGTGACCAACAAGGAACAGTAAGTGGGCAAGTTGTCTGGTCGGAGAAAATGCCGGTATCTCCTCTACCTCATCTTTATCTTCATCCATGTCATTGGATTTAGGATTAGAAAACCGGGAAAATACCATTCCGGTAAACTTGTTAATAATCTCAGTACTCAACTCATCTGGGTGCTGAGACACAGCATAAATTGCATCAACAGCTTGTTCTGCAAGAGCATACCAGTCGTCTGTATCGATAGGTCGGCAAAGCAGTTGAGCTAACTTTTGACAAATGAGATGAGAGTTAGGAAGCGAAGCACGTTTGTTATTTTTCTTTCCCCCAATCCTTTTAATAGCCGTACATGTGTACCGTGCTAATATCAAGTCTTTGAAACCGGGTTCGCTTAATCCCACTTGAACTAAAAGATCAAGTCCCTGAAGGACAACTTCACTATTGCCGAGTGCAAGCATACTGAGAACAATGATGGCACCGCGACGCTGTGTGCGTGAAATTTCCTTTCTTAGATATCCATAAACTTGCCAAAGCTTGTTGATAACCAGTTTCACGAAGAAATTGCGCTGCATGAGAATGCAAAGCATTTGCTCCAAAGAAGTAAGTTCGGCAAGACTTGAATTATAGGTCAGCGTAATAAGATTTCTAGCGGTATAATTGGCTGCATCATTAGAAGACACCTGCGGAGGAGGATTGAAAAAGAGAACACTATAGCATTCAATCAAGTGATTTTGGATACTATTTCCTTCCTCCGATGTACCCTTCACCCAAATAAGGTGAATCATTTTCTTGATATACGCACTCGCATTGGAGATTCCAAAAGATTCAGCAAAGACGAAAAAGTCCATCACGTCGATAACTTCGGATTTGTTCTTTGCTCCCATTAACTGCCCAATAAGGGTGGATGACTTTTCAACGGTGGTAATGAATTTAAGAGCATCGAGATAAAACTGTTTCGTAAGTTGCAGCTTAAGTAAGTCATCTTTTGCTAGATCAGCTTCCTCAATTCTAGTTGCACTTGCCGAAGCTGCATTACTAGTCTTAGGAGAATTTGCCGTGCCCTCTTCCTGAATTATGGTAGCATCTTCAAGCAGAGACTCATCAACCTCTTGTTCTGAATTTAAAATTGAGGTATCTGGCTTCAGGACATCAAGTTGCTTGTTTATTGCTTCCAACCCTTGTTCCCATTGTTCACGCTTCAATAATCCATTATACATTGCCGAGAACGGATGGGTCGCCAAAAGCTTTGAGATAAGCTTGATGGAATTGCGACGAACGTTACTAGATCGGTCTTGCAAGCATATGCAAGAAATTTCGGCCACTTCCTGTCGCCGTTGTGGATATTTAATGGGTAATTCAAAAACACGAAGATATGTTTGCAGAATTTTCGAGCGACAGTATGGATTAATATCCAGCATGCGCTCTTTTAACAGATCAAGCAAACTGTTTATATTAGCAGAAACCAGCTCTGCCTCTGAACCTTCCACTTTGAGCAAGTCAAGCAAAATGTTACCGACGACTTCCATAACAGCACAACGCAAAGTGTAAGATTCTGTGCCCAAAAACTTTACCAGTTGCGTAAGTTGTTTCAAACATGGACGTGGATTCAATGCTGATAATCGAATGAGAAAAGCGGATATGTGTTTTGGACCTTTAGTATCATTGTTATTGAATTGAAGGGAGCAAAGCTCGCACAGAACACTCTGAATGAGATCCTCTTCAGCATATTGATCGGTGGTGATGTGAAGAAGTTCCGCAAGGTGCTCAGGAAGATGTTCAAAATACTGCAGTTGTTGAATGATCGTTGTTTGAGCGGCAGATCCATGGTCATGCGATTTGACAGCCAGAGCAATAACCTTAAAGATTCGTGTTCTAAGAGGAACCAGCTTCATATTAACTTCGCTTTCCATGAAAAGATACGTTGGTCTAAGAAACATGGAAAGGAACATCTCTTTTTCCGAATTCGTAATCCAAGCACGAGAAAGCCTCTTCTGCAGAAGTGAGTAAATAGCATCGAGGCAAGAGCACACGTGAGCAGAACCAGCCCATCCTTTCCCGTTATTTCCAACGTCCTTCTTCCTGTCTTTTGCCGAGGACAAGTTGCCAACAATGTTCAGTTGGTTATTTTTTGAGAGGGCATTAACAATAAGTGTAAAAGCAATGCCAAATGCTTCCAGGTTTTCTTGAGGGACAGAGAAGTCTGTCCGGTTTTGGGAGATTAGTTCTTCGAGTAGAGAAGATTCAGATAAAATGATACTGGAAACCAAATCAACAATTTTGTTTTTAGAGGCCGAAGGAAGCTCATGAAAGTTTCTTATGTTTGTTAATAGAGTAATTACAGAGGAGGCGAGGTATTACGTACGCACATAGCGAGTAGAGCTGTTCTAGCTGTGACAATTCAAAATGAGTTTCTATATTGGAAGAGAAGTAGTCGATTAGTCCTAAAAACGAGTCAGTAAGTGTGTTCTACCTTGGGGAATGCGACACACTCATACGTACCATTAAGGACAGCTACCTGACCGACATCATAAATTTCGCGATACTTTTCGGCTAAAATCGAGTCATTGCCTTCGTGAACATATTTCTTGACGTTCTCTAGTAAATTGAAAGCCATTAAGACAACAGAAGAGCGCGTTTAGGATCGTTTAGACCCAATCTGTACTGAGTTTTCGGGAAGCTCGGTTTACCGGGGTACCTTCGTCTAGCTATAGGATAACTTTTCAGTAGGCGGTTTTCCTCTACACCATTAGAACCATATAAACAGCATTAATTGTGCTAATGGTACTATGGGAGGAGATCAAGAGAAAAACTCTGTTGCACTAGAGACGGCTGGTGCTCCCAAGAGTGTCGAAGAAGAGGCGATTGCTACGGATGTTGATGAAGTCAAACCTATTGAGGAGGAATTCACTATTAAACGACAGGTATCGGCGGCTACTTTAGAGGAAATTGCACAGATAGAACAGTCGTTCACGGGTCTTTGTGAACATTACCGTTTAATTGACAAAATTGGGGAAGGTACAGCAATAGTACTATAGGAAATCCCGGTCTGCTTCCCTGCTAACTCTTAATTAGGTACATTTTCAAGCGTCTACAAGGCTGAGGATTTAAAATATGATGATTATGTAAATGATTGGGACATGCAAGCAAATTTAGGTCAAGATAAAAAACGACAGCGTCTTGTCGGCTTACCACAAAAAAGAAGTAAATATGTTGCTATTAAGCGGATTTACGCAACCAGTAGTCCTCAACGTATTTACAATGAGCTTGAGATTCTCTACCTTCTTCGAGGCTCTCCAGTAATCGCCCCTATTGTCACAGCTTTACGACACGAAGACCAAGTACTGGCTGTGCTTCCTTACTTTGAACATACGGATTTCCGCAAATTCTACAGCACCTTCTCGTACGCAGACATGAGCTGTTACTTTCGATCCCTTTTCCAGGCTCTCCAACAGACGCATGAGCTTGGCATAATACATCGTGATATAAAACCTAGCAACTTTCTTTTCAACGTCGAACAAAAACAAGGCATCCTGGTTGATTTTGGATTGGCTGAACGAATGGAAGATCGCAGTCGTTCGCATCCATGCAAGTGTGCCGCTCAAACCGACAACTCGACAATCGCTGACTATATACCTCCATTTGCCTCATCTTTAGGTTATGTTAAAAATGATATTCGACCGAGCAAACGTGCTAATCGTGCTGGTACTCGAGGGTTTCGAGCACCAGAAGTACTTTTCAAATGTTCGTCTCAAACAACAAGTAAGTTTTGATAACTCAGCTCTGTAACGCAAGTTTTTCTAACTAAATTCTAGAAATTGATATATGGGCTGCTGGTGTTGTACTAATGTCTTTCTTAACTAAACGGTTTCCCATGTTCAATTCACAGGACGACACCGATGCCCTGATGGAAATCGCTTGCATCTTTGGCAAGCAGGAAATCAGACAGTGTGCTGCACTTCACAGTAAGTCTTAAGCTTCTGCGTTTCGCTTATTCTCGTTATCCCAACCATATGTTGCTAACCTACCCTAGACTGTGTTTTTGAAACGAATGTCAATACGCTTACAGAAAAACGTGTCAGCTTTCGTAAACTGATTCTATGGGCAAGCTGTGGATCAGCGAGCACATATAAAGATAAGTTGAGTCAGAAGCCCTCTAAAGAAGAATTATTGAGCATAGACTTCTTGGAGAAATGTCTTGAACTCAACTGTAACAAGCGAATTACGGCACAGGAGGCCCTTCAACACAAATTTCTTTGGTTGGATCAGCTTGAACGTGAGGATGAATCGCTTGAGGATTTGGATGCTACGGAAGAAGACACTGAAAATGATGCCGACGATGATGTTCCACACATATCTCGGATCTTTGAAACCACTGATCCTGTCATGCCCAAAACTCCTAGAACACCCAACACGCCCTGTACCCTAAAAAGAAAAACGATTACTTAGTATGTTGCATAAATGAATGAATGGTCCGGTATGAACTTTTAACAGAAATTGATCTTAAAGTTGCAAATAAGCCGACATAAGCGAGAAGAAAACCTCTCAGTGGAAGACGCAGCAAAGTTAACTTCGAATTCTCGCACTCAAGAAAACGCGACGGAGGAACATACACACTACTTGCCTGTCTCAGTGTCCATACCCACTTCACAAGCACCACTGTACAGCTGTTCACAATGTAAATACGAAAACCAACCCAACTACAACCCCACCTTCGACATTAGCAACAAAAGTGTTGAGATCCACTATGAGACATTCCATCTTATTAAGCGACGAGCTCAACAACACCACCGGCAGCCTTGATTTTCTCCTCAGCCTTGCGGGAGACGTAACGAGTTTGGACGATGACGGGGGTCTCGGGAAGACGACCCTTACCCAAAACCTTACCGTAGCCAGCGTTGAGGACGTTGATCACAGGAGCGACCTCAGTGTTCTTACCCAAGTACTTCTCGCGAGTCTCGTTGGGAACCAAGGTCCAAAGGCGGTCCAAGTTGACGGTAGGACGCCATCTGGGGTTGTTGTCACGGTTGAAGTGACGCATACCCACCTTACCAAAGTAACCAGGGTGGAACTTATCCATGTGGGTACGTTGGTGATGCAAGCCACCAGCAAGACCACGACCACCAGGATGCTTTCTGTGCTTGCCAATACGACCGTGACCAGCAGAGACGTGGCCACGAAGCTTGCGAGTCTTAGTTGCGTGAGTAGGCATCTTATTAGTCCTTTGGCTTTGGTGTTGTTGGCAGAGGTTTGTTGTATCGTTTGGGTCACATAATCCAAACGAAAAAAGCAGTCACGCCTAGTGGTGATATAATAAAGAAACTTCGGTAGCTTATTTCAACGTGCCAATTACCAACCACTATATCGTGCCAGAACAGGCGATAGTTTAACGAGTCTTGTCGCTCATGAAGGGTCGTATTCCTTAATTCTGTAATATTTATACATTGGTTGATGACATTTACTTCATAAACCTTAAGCTTCTTAAACTTGACTTTGTGCTTTGTCCGCGAGTTTTTCGCGTATTTAAACCGGTTATCCCTCAAAACAGGGTCCTGGGTCTTGTGGCCCCCATTAACACTTGAAGTTTGAACAGTTTAACGAGGGTTGTTCCCGTTCATGGTTTGAAGTGAACAGAGAACTAACGTCCTTTTCCTTTTTACCGTCTCCTATACAGAAAGCAGCGCGACGCGTTTCGCATTTGCGCAGGTAACGTGTTACTTCCGTTCAGAGAGCGTGTGCTTACCTTGACACCTGGACGGTAGAGGCAGTCCGTTCGCGTTCCTGTGAACAAACCAGATTGTACGAGGATGGAGAACGCAGGTACCGCACTGCTGAACGGTAGTGCCACTCGTGGTTCTGGTTACTCTTTTCGGAGGGCAGTAACACAGCGTTTGTTGCAGCTTTCTACAATTCACTTGAAAGATGAGGACTTTGTCAAGTCTGTCCGACAGCTTGATTCACGCAATTTTGCTGTGGACCATGAAAACATTCGACAGCTTCAAATTGATATTAGAACGGATGCGTTGTGGACCAACGGGACGGTAATTCGTGAGTTTTCTGAATTTGCAAGTGTAAGTGGAGCCTGCCCCCATGTCGGCAATTGTTGTAATTGAGTTACTAATGGAGAGAACAGCATCTTGAGACTATCCAGACGCTTCTTAATAGACTAAACTCGTTGTATTCACAGAGGGAAACGAGTGTGCTTGAGAAGTTATCTGGAGTGCAGCAGCTGTCCGAGAAGTATAAAACACTGGAGGATCAAAAAGCCGAAGCTTTACGGAAACTTGAATATCTGCAATTCTGCCGGGAAAACTTCTTTCTTTCGGAAGAAGATGTGTATCATCTTGTCTCGTCGGACATTGTGGACCAGCGGTTTTACAGCATCCTTGAAAAGGCTCAGACCATATCCAACAATTGCACCTCTTTGTTTGCTATAAACGCAGAAGAAACAAATGAAGCAGCAACTAAAGTAATGAAAGCGATGTCCCAATACATCGACGAGGCTTTTGAAAAACTCTTTCGATATGTGAAAACAGAGTTAAATGATATGGAAACAAGTCGAAACCTAGAATTTCATCCAGACCTGAAGTCTGCATTTGCTGCATTGTTTGCGAAGCCCGAGATGTTAAATAAGACGCTTGATTTAATTGTTCAAGCTCGGCAGCGAGTTCTGTACGTTGCCTTTGTCATGGCACTGGAGACTGGTGACCCAAACACATTCTCACGTCCCATTGAACTTTCTGCTCCGGACCCGAAGCGTTTTGTAAACGACATTATAGCTTGGCTGCATCAAACTATCGCGGGAGAAAAAGAATTGATTGAGACTCTCTTTCAGGCTCGGCGAAAGAAAATTAATGAATCAGAGAACTCCTGGTGGGATAGCTTGGAGAGTCTTGAAATGAATTCTAAGATGCTTATGGATGAAAACTTGTATGGTGTTTGCAAGGCTATTGTTTCCAGAGTGCAGACTAGTATACTTGAGACAGAAGATCTCATCACTATTTATGGCCTCATTGAAATTTTTGGCTTCTATCGCGAACTTTTATCTTCTACTATACATGAACACTCAACGGTGTTAACATCCTTGAAAACGTACGTTTAACAAACATTCAGTGTGTTGGTGCTAACTATTTTTGTCTAGTCTGGAAGATTTTGCATTTAAACGTTTGCAATCCTTAATTGACGACGAGCTGTATCATGTCAAGGCATCTGCTCTTAATATTCCAGCGGATTTGTTACCCCCTCAATTTGTCATTCGTTTTATGAAATCGCTGGCGTCTATCCTAAACGTCCGAAAGAACTCCTATTCTTCTCAGTTTGTTGATGTCAACGAGCTCGTTGCTACTCTTGAAAGTACTGTCTCTTCCCTTTTCGAGATAAGTGATAGGTGTTCCAAGCGTTTATTGCCCCATAAGCGGTATATCTTTCTTTTAAACGTGGTCGATTGTTGCTATTCGTATATAGAGCCCTATAGTGGCACGGAGTCATTGCAGAAACTTCTTAATGACAAGCAAGCAAAGCTTGCTGATGAACTTACTCTACAACTGCACACAGAATTTTGTTCCCAGTCTTCCTTGATCGACTTAAGTTTCTGTTTCCAATCAGGAGATGAATCTTTCATTGAAGAGGCACTTGAAAAAGTTAACTGGTCTAAGATACGGAACGAGTTTGGGTCTTTTCTTGTTACAACATTTGCAGACGCTACAACTGATCTTTTGTTGCTGACCTCACCTACTGTTCAAACAAATGTTCAAGCAAACTCAGTACAGCTGTTTTTTAACGACGTGACAAAAGTGAAGAACTGTCTAGAGAAGTTCTCCAAGTCCTCAGAGTTTCCATTCTCTTTGAACGAGCTTCAAATCGCACTTGGCATAGAGAATACGGCTTAGTTTACGAAACGTAATGAATTTACTGTGTTAAGAAAGTAACTAATCAACAAAGTAATTACGTCGCTTGCAAGGCAAACGTGTGAATATGTATTTCCTGTAACCATAAGAAATATTGCTTAAAGGTTGTGCTAAAGGAAATAAGCTGCACTTGCAGAAAAAGCATAGAACTTCGCGTTTCAAAATGAAAAGCTCCGCTCTAAATAAAAAAAATTTATCGGTTTAATGGTTTAGTGCTGAGTGATTGCAACGTTACCATCAGGGTAAGTAGGCTTTCTTTGTTGTTGCTTTCCACCAGAGTTACCAGAACGCTGCTGACCATTACCACGGTAGTAGTTACGACCACGACGAGTTCGAGAATTATTTCCATAGTTGCGGGGTTGAGATTCAATAGGTTGGTTGGGATTGAGGTTGGTGTTCGGGAATTGAGAAACGGACAAAGGACGAGGAACTTGGTACTCTCCATCAGGGAAGACATAGAGAGAAGGATCAATCGTTGCGGGAATGGGCTGGATTTCGGTTCCCAGCTCAGTCTCAATCTTGTAAAGGTTAAAACGGTCTTCCCAAGAAATAAAGCTGATAGCCAAACCACGGTGACCGAAACGACCAGAACGGCCAATACGGTGAAGATAAGTTTCAGCATTCTTGGGGAAGTCAAAGTTAATGACAACATTGACGGCTTGAATATCGATACCACGAGTCAAAAGATCAGAGCAAACAAGGTTACGGCAGACGCCATTGCGAAAGTTATGGAATACACGATTGCGATGAGATTGAAGCATTTTCGCGTGGGAATAAAAGCATGAGTATCCAAGCTCGGTAATTTTCTTGGCTAAGAGCTCGACACGATTAGTGGAGTTACAAAAAATAATCGACTGGTTAATTTGCAGTTTTGAGAAAAGAGTGTTCAAGCAGTGCACCTTCTGGCGTTCATCAACAAAAGCGTAATATTGAGTAACACCGCGTAGCGTCAATTCGTCCATAAGGTTAATTTCATAAGGCTTGTTGAGATGTTTATCCATAAAACTTTTGACCAAAAGAGGGAACGTTGCACTGTACAAGGAGATTTGGCGATTTTTGGGAAAGTGGGTAAGAAGTTGCTCGATGATTGGGGTAAACTCTGGGCTAAGCAGTTTGTCGGCTTCATCCATAACAAAATTAGAGCACTCACTGAAGTCAGCGACGCCCTTACCAGCAAGATCCAAGACACGGCCAGGGGTGCCAACAACAATATGAACAGGTTCATTCAAACGAATAATATCGTCACGGAGAGTGGTACCGCCGGTGGTTACCATAACATTAACATTCATATGCTTGCCGAGTGTTTTGCAGACTTGGGAAGTTTGCAAGGCAAGCTCACGAGTAGGAACAAGAATGAGTGTTTGAATCTTACTCTTTTTTGTGTCGACCTTCTCCAACGAAGGAATAACGAAGGCTGCTGTTTTTCCGGTTCCATTTTTAGCACGAGCAAGAATATCACGGCCAGCTAAAGCAATGGGAATTGATTCTTCTTGAATAGGAGACGGACGCTCGAAGCCTGCTTCGAAAATGCCCATAAGAAGCTCACTACAACATGTCAGAAGGTGAATTCATGGCTAACAAGAAGATGGAATACACAAGTTCTTCCACTTAAGGGAACCTACCGCTTCAAATAATAATCTTCAAATTCCGTTCCTCGAGTATTAGTCACATCCTGCATCGATTAGCGTCAAAATCACTTGAGCAAAAGACGTATTCGTAGCACTGAACTACCTACCTCAGTTTTTGGCCGGAGATCAACTCCAGGGGTTTGCAATTGCGACTTCCAAGACTCCGCGGAGTCGTTAAGGGTAGTGCCTGCTAATTGTTGTACAAGATTCTGAGTCATAATATCGTTTAATCCGAGGAAAATCAGTAACTAATAGGCAAGAGTATGTTATGAGTTGGGAAAAAGCCTTAAGCTCGAGTTGTGAAAAAAGAAAAAAAAATTGTAAACTCGGTCCAAACGACAGGGAGGGTGGAGGAAACTGTTACTTCTCAAAAACCAGAAGAGGTTTAAAACAGTGTATTATCGTTATTTCCTTGGATTAAGGTGATTTCCTTGCTGGCTATAAGTTGTTGGTTCTAGGGTGCAAGAAAAGTACGGCAAGAGAGCATATGGCGAAGGAAAAAAGAAACATCAATATACAGCGTTTATCTCATGAACGAGTTACTTTAAAACAAAAAAAACAACTGTAGACCACACGTCAACTGTTCTGTGTATTTTTGTGTTGCACTTTCTTTTTCGTTTCTTAACCTTATTCTCGCTTGGGCATCATTTTCTCTGAGCAGTTCCAACCACTTCACAATGGGTGTAAAAGACCAGACTGGACAGCTTTCTGGCTCAAAACACGCTCGTAATGTAGGGGATTTTTATATGTTTTTTCAATATGCTAACAGAATCGTTAGGCCGATGAAGAAATGCAGGATGCATCATTCTCGGAGGACGTTACAGAGGTTCACAGTGACTTGCGAACCAAACGGCCGAAGTCGGGACACAAAGCTGAGGTTCTTGAGGATTTGACTTTGTCAAAGCTCAGTGCGTTTGATCTGAAAGTCAATGAACTACTAAAAGAGGTCGTTGTTTCTGGAAAACGCGTCGCGAAAGCACTTAGTTTCGTAAACTCTCTGAAAAAGACGATTCGAAAGATTTCTGAAGTGCGGGAAGCTCCCTTTTGGGATGCTAAAAAGAAATTGGAACATGACTACAAACTCATTATTCCATTTCCTCAACCTCTTCCTCCTACTGATACAAACATAAAGTTGTCCTACAAACCGCCTGTGTCTGTGGAAGTATCTGGCCTTTTTGGACAAGATCAGGCCTGTGTTTCACCCGATGGATGGTCAATTGACCTGTTGATTGAAATTCCAGGAGACTTGTTCACAGATAAGGATTATTTGAACCTTCGTTATTTCCATAAGCGAGCTTATTACTTGGCAAAAATTGCCGGAAAGGTCACGAAGTCACTTAAGGACTCGTGTGAAATCTCGTTCACATTTTTGAACGACGACACGAGAAAACCTATTCTCGAAATTGTTCCTAAGGATCAAACGGGTTCTGCAAAAAAGCATTATCGCGTTCGTTTACTTCCGTATGTGAACGAACGTTTTCGCATTCAGAAGCTTCTTCCTCACAAAAACGGTATTCGTACGGTTGAAAGCACGGAAGACCACTCACTTCTCCCCACGCCTAAATACAATTACTCAATTCTCGAGGACACAAGTCTGGGCTATTATGCTAAGTGCGTGAAAGAAGTTGCATCTTCCCCCTATTTTGTTAACGCCTGTGCGTTGGGTAATGTTTGGCTTAATCAACACGACTTTTCTTCTAGTGTTCATGAATGCGGTTTTGGGTTCCATGAATGGTGCTCTCTTTTAGCCATTTTGATGAGTTCCAAGGACATATCGGCTGGCTTCTCTTTGTCTTCTTATTTGCCTGCTGTGCAGCTGTTTAAAGGAACGCTTATGTTCCTTGCCTCTAAGGAATTAGAAAATTCAATCCTTCAAACAAATGGATCCATCGATACTTCCCATTTTTCATCAAAACCAACATTTTTCGATGGTCGTACGGGGCTTAATTTATTTCACAAGGTCAATCCTGTTTTCTTCCAAAAATTGCAATCGGCTGCTCGTCACACGTTGCGTTTGACGGGTGCTGCAGATGCGGACGCTTTTGACAGCGTGTTTTTGACAAAGGTTAACTCGCCTATTATGCTTTATGATGTATATGGCTACATTCCTGTACAACTTAGTGTTGAAGAAGGCGATGTGACCAAGGATTCAGATTCTGCGTTTACGAATTATCTGGATGACATCTATCAGTTGTTGAAGAGAGGACTTGGTGACCGTATCGACTTTTTGACAGTGTTCTCCGCTACGCAAATGAAGTGGGGGCTTAAGGATTTGTGGTATACGGCCCTCCCCAAAGAAATCAGTATCGGTATTCTACTCAACCCAGATGTCTCAATCCGTGTTATCGATATTGGACCATCGGCTGAAAATGAAGCTGAGGCAGCGGCTTTCCGTGAGTTTTGGGGTGAGCTTTCTGAGCTTCGTAAGTTTAAGGATGGAACTATTGCCGAGTGTGTATATTGGGATTGTCCTACGCCCGAGGATCGTCGTCGAATACCTCAGCGAATTATTCAAAAGGTGCTTTCAAGACATATAGCTTCAACCGTTGGCGATTGTGTGAGATTTGTTCATGACGGTTTCAGTGATGTTCTTGGACGCACTGCACTCGTAAACTCTACTGACACATTCCATGAGTTTGTTCCTGTTCTTAATGCTTATCATGAAGCAGTGAAAACTGTTATGACTCTTGAGGATATGCCTTTAGCAATTGCCGATGTAGTGCCTGCTGACGAAGCACTGCGTTACAGTTCAAGCCGTATCCCGGGAGCAGAAACTTATGCTACGTCGCCGGTTAATGTTGTTTTTAACTTTGAGTCGTCCGCACGTTGGCCCGATGACTTGGAAAGCATTCAGAAGACGAAGATCGCATTTTTGTTAAAGATGGCTGAAGTGTTAAATGCCGAAGAAAACGTTGAGAGAGCTATGGTTGGTCTGGAAAATAATGACAAACCAAAGTTCAACAACTGTTTCCTTCAGGTCATGTTCACCAATGGATTCACTTTTAACTTCCGTCTTAGACATGATCGTGAACTTACTTTGTGGGACTTGAGACTAAAGCGTCGTGAAAACGTACAAGAGGCGAAAACTGGAAAGTTTGCCTACGAACATGATTTCCAATTTATTCCAAGGCATACGCTTGCTATTCAAGCAGTATGTCAAAAATATCGGAGTTGTTCAAAGGCAATTCGTTTGGCAAAGCACTGGTTCTACTCACATCTTCTCACAGATCATGTTAGTGATGAAATTATTGAACTTCTCGCTGCAAGTGTTTATGTGAATTTAAATTCCTGGCAGGTTCCTTCTAGTGGTGAAACAGCATTTTGTCGAATGCTCTATTTCTTGTCGACATGGGATTGGCGTTTTGAACCCTTAATTGTTGATGTGAATGAAAATATGACGGCTGACCAAAGAAATGAAATTCGACATGCAATGGACCAACACCGGAAAAATGATGTTTCGCTCTCACATGCTGCATTTTTCGTTGCTGTGGAATATGATTTGGAAAGCAAGTATTTGGGTTGGCTTACTCCCTCAAAGGTAATTGCTAATCGTATTACTATGCTTGCAAAAGCATCGTTCCAACTGTTGACGAGTACTACGCCGGATTTGAAGTTACTTTTCCAACCTTCTTTAACTTCTTATCATTGCATTATCCGACTCCGGACAAGCAAGCTTCCTATATTCAGAGAGAAAGCCAAGCTTGAGTATAAAAACTTACAGATGCTCGTTTCCAATCGACCTGGTTTCGACCCTGTAAAAAGCTTTGTAGAGGAATTAATGCGTATTTATTCGGACGTTGCGTACTTCTTCTACAACAAGAATGGTCCTCGGCTTATCGCTTGTGTCTTCGATCCTAGAGTTCTGGAACCACGTCCGTTCAAAATCAGTCTTGATTACCCATTTGTTGTACAAAAATCTGGAAATGTAACTTTGGACATTGACCTCGTTATGGAAGAGATACGGCGTCTTGGCGGCGACATGATAAAAAGTGTTGAGCGCGTTTAAAATTTTAGGCAGATGTTGGGTACATTTGCATTTTGTCAAAGACATTGTTATATTAGACATATAAGAAATGAAAATTTTGGTTTTGGATGAGGGTAATAACTAAACATATAAGACTCCTTTAACGATACATAGGTGGGTATTGTCGTTAAACCTTACTACATTGCGAGTATAGAATATTTCATTGCTAAGGCATTAATTGTTGCACGCTAGTTGCTTACGAACTTTTGAATGTTTTGTAACCAATGGACGTATTCTTTTGTTTCTTTGGGTTGCTTCATTTGCATAACGAAGTCAATCAAGTTGTAGTCAATGCCACGTTCCTCCAGATAGTTTTCAAATAAACTTTGAACTTCTTCATCGAGTTCTTTAAAGGAGGGACCAAGGTAAGCAGTTTTGCGTTTTGTTTTAGCATCTTCAGAAGAAGAAAGCAAAAGTTCTGGATCTTTAGAGAAATAAATGTTGTCAATATCGAGCTCTCCTTCCACGATGTTTGCGTCAAAGTATAGACAGCCAGAATTTGGCTATGGGGTATTGTTAGTAATCGCATCCTGTGTCGGTAATATGTAATGCATACCTTCGTTATAGAAATGGTACATGGTTGCGTATGAAAGATATCTTCACTGGTCTCATCCTCGTAATCTTCAATAATTTCATCTTGGTTTTCATCCAAATTGTTAGATTCATTCTCGTACTCCAGGTCTTCCTCTTCTTCATCAGGATACATATCACCTTCTTCGTCGTAAAAGTTCTGTACATTAAATTTCACTTCAATTCTGAAATGTTAGATAAGATGAATGTAAAGATTACTGTGCATACTTTTCTGGTCCATAAGAACGTTCTAAGACAACTTCTGCTTGACCTGGCACGTCCTTGACTGTAAATCCCGTAGTTTTTGTAAACTTAGCAGTATCCACTGAACCTTCCATCTTCTTTAAAAACTTCTTTTCAAATAGAATTTCATTCTTTAAAGCATGAGGAAGGCTAGGAGTTGCCTCGCTTGAAGCGAAACGTTTTGGTATAACATGTATGTTTTTTCTAACAATCCCATGAGACAAAAGAGGTACATTTACAGTCAAAAGACGACTTCTGAGGCACACACGACCAAGTTGAGTACCTAGCTGACGACGAATAGAAAACATGGCTAGGCTTTTGATATAAAATCTTGTAAAAATGTGAAGGAGTTGTTTAGTTAGGAAAGCAGGTCAGGTTTGTTACTTTTAATATATAAGACCAGAAACTCAAAGATGAGCAAAGAATTACATCAAATTCGAATGGACATGAAATACTTCCTTACTGTTCAGAGGAAGTAAGTACATATGCCAAAGGAAATGGAATTGAAAAAAAGTAACACTACAATTGAAACGTTTACGAGAGAATTGAACATTGCATTTTCGCTAACGAAACTTCAAATTCAATCGGGATTGAAGTTCATTGAGACCAGAATTCTGCTGTTTATATAGTGAAATACTCATGAATAAAAAAAACAAATTTTGTTGTAACCTTCTTTCCTCTAAGTTAGAGACAATAATTCGTAATACGACTACTTAGCGTAAGTAGCTACAGAAGTGACACTATTGCTAATCACAATTATTTATTTAATTCATGAAACTCGTTAAGTGTTAATAAGTACTTTTTAATTAACCTTAACAATGGGTACAAACACAAAACAAGAGTCGGTGAATCAATTCTATTAAAAGCTTATAAATTATTGTCTTTTTTATTCATTTTTATTAGATAGCATTTAGATATGAAATGAACGGATATAGAGACGTAAATTGGAAAAATACCAGACTTTCGTTATTCGTTATTTGTGGACAATTCCGGCGAGGAAGCAGTAGCAGTAGGCTTTTCATCTTCTAAAAGCTCTTGCCGAAGAGCTTCCAATTCCTTCTGAAACTTGCGTCCAAAAACATCAACTGCATGTAAAAGTCGTTAGAGAGTTTCATAGGTAATAATAAAGGACATACCGTAATACGATGCGCCATTCCAGACGGAAGACGAGAAAATGAACGTAATAAACAACGTTGAATAAAGCCGACTTCGGAACCAAATAGCACACGGTGCAATGGTAATAACCGAATACAAGTATTGAATCAACATAAAGGCAAACGGATGAAAACTTTCAGGGAGATATGAGACGGCAATTCCAATTCCGGTATTAGCATAACTAGAGAGCTTAGTAAGTATTTCCGTGATTACAATATGTCATAAACATACGCCTTCTTCAGCCATGTAAAAGATGTGGGCTTTCCCGCAGCAATTTCATCTCGCTTGCCGACTTGAATAAAAAAGTAATACCAAATTTGCCAAATGGCATAAGAAATTGTTGCTAGTTTGAAAGAACTCTTTATACTGATATGATCCAAATTCACGATACTGGGAAATCTTTGCTTCAAGAATTCTTTTGAGCTGAGATGAACCAAACAATGCAATAAGAGAGGCGGGAAAAAATGTATAAACAAGCTAGTAATCTTGTCTCTAAAATCACAGAGATTAGAAAAAGATTCGACTATCTCGTAGCCAAGATATTTTTACTTACAGTGAATGAAATACCAGTGAGTTTTTCCAAGCAACAACTGACCACGCCAGAGTTCCATAGCTAATGGCGTAGCAAAGAATAAACATTCTTTCGCTATTTGGGAACATCCAAATATAAAAGGCCAGCTTGCGAATAAGTTAGCAGAGGTCCCATTTTACTTTTACATACGAAAAAGTTTCCCCAGTAACAAAAGTCAGCTACAAAGTACTGATAACCCTTTTTTCGATAGGAAAATAATCTGTGCGAAAGCTCTGTTAGAAAATACTTTGCTTGTTCTCCAATTAGAGACAAACCTTAAGGGCAAGAAAATGAACAGTAGCAAAGTATACAGAATATACAGTCGTTCGGGGCTCATTCCAACAAGAAGCGCTGTAAGTACAATTGTTCCAACTCCCAATGCAAAAGAAACCTTGTCTCTGAATCGAACAACCCGACCAGATTTCCATTTATCCTGAAGTTTATCAATGGAATCATTATACTTTCTCTTAAAACGGTCTGTCTCTCTATTAAAATGGTTTTTTAATGGTTCTAAGCGCTGTTTTTGGCGTATGACATTACGTTTAATCTGCAACGTTAGATGATGAACTAATGAATCCGGTCCTAACCTCGAAAGCCTTTTCTTTGTACTTTTTCTGCAGCACTGCAACACGTCCTGCAAGGTAAGAGATGTCCAGAAAATCTGTCACGAAGGGATATTCTTCGTCAACTTGACTCGACTCTTCAAAAATGGAAGCATTATCAGACAGCAACGCATCGTTTCCGGATGATTCGCTGACAGACTCAGGCATTAGTTTCTTTGATTTTATGATCTATTAAGAACTTAATTGTTGCTACGGTGAAAGCGCGTATTCCTGCCGATTAAGTATACCTTCGGCTAGTCCACGGAATTCACGGGTATACCGCGGAAAGATATTTCATCAATTCAATATAGCAGAAACAACAATTTACAGTCCTTAAGCGTTCAATTTGACTATTCATTTCCCCTATAACACTTTGTTGGAACAAAGAAGAATTTTAATTAAACAGGATACTAAGAGAACATACACGAGGTAAAGACGTGCTAAGGAAGATGGATATTTTCCAGCAGAATACAGGTCGTTATAACTCTCTTTACAAGAGAAGACGGATCATGAAGAGACAGACACCTTGCGCAAATGCTCCATAAACTTTTGTAAGTTGACGTCTTCGGTAAGAACAGCTTCAGAGGGGCCACTGTTATAACCAAACGAATCATTATGAGAGACAGAGGGATTAATACGAGACAAAAGGAAACGCGCCTGACTGCCTCCTTGATCACAAACAATGAAACGGGGAATAGGGAAACGATCGTGAAGCAGCTCCGTAACCTCCAAACGCGGTGCTTCAAGCAGTTCTTTGAAGTTGGCATATTCGGGCTGGTCTTGGTAACCAGCGTTTCTCCATTGGGCAATCGTGCTTCCATGGAAAATAAGAATGTGGAAGAAGGTATCAAGTAGCAGAATGCCATCAGGACGAATAGACATAGAGTCCAAAAGGACAGGAACACCCTCGGGATTTTCAAAGGTGTAAGACTGTAACGTAGGTTGGATCATAATGAGTGAGTTGTTCACATCTTCGACTTGCAAAATGTGTCGATAGAAAGAAGTTTCGTCAGGCGAATTGTTAAAGACTTGGAAGAAGGGACTCCGGCGTAAATGAAACATGAACTGAGGGAACAACGTGTAATTGGGCTGAAGTCTGAACGTTTCAGGTTCATTTTTTCGATACTCCGCAAAGTTTTGACAGAGTCGAATCAATGTGTGATCAAGGAATCGGAGGTTAGAAATACCATCCGTGGACAAGGCACGATACAAAGCCATTCGTGCAATGAGAACAGCAGCAGCCTCTTGGTCGAAGGAGGCTGCAATGTTGTTGAGCTTCATATTGGAGAAGGGACGGGCAATCGTTGTTACACGAAGTCGCTGGGTGCCCGACGAATGCTGGTAGTAAGTCAAATATTGTACATAACCTTGCTTCGCTTGGACGATGGCGTCAGAGGACTGATTGGCAATGGTGAAATAGATAGCAAAGCAAGAAGAAGGAGACAACGAACACATTTTCCACGTGCTTGTTCCGCTTAAACCAATGGACACATCACTAACGTTGGATGCTTTTTTGTTAACGGACGTAGCATGACCAACAAGACCAGCAACCTTTAAGTCCGCAGATGATTTGATGGTCATAGATGCGTTGAAGCCCATGCGTAAAAATCCAGCAGCATCAAGGGAAAAGATGCGCTGGAAACTTTGTTTAAAGATGGAAGTATTGAAGGAATCAGAAAGAACAACGTTTCCATTCGTGCGATTCACGAGACATTCCATCTCCATCAAACCAATTTGATCAAGACAACCGATGAGAATGTCCACCGTGTGGCCCGACTCGACAAAGCGTTGAGTCAAACCGGTGTAGAACTTTGAGGCCTTTTTGAAATGCTGAGCTTTGTTCATGATGATATCGCTGTGAGAACGCATAGGCTCTTTCAACTCAAGAGAAACGACCTGTCCCGCTCCAACCGTACAAGGACCACCGGCGAACAGCATTACTCTCGCACCGGTGTTTCGACTGGTAAGCTCTAAAAGACCAGCCGCTATGTTAAGAGCAGCGCCCGTGCAACGTTTGGGACGTTGGCCGGTAGGAACATTGGACACCTCGGGCTGGAGCTGTTCGAGGATGTTAGAGATTTGGAATTCGCATTGCTGGACAGGCATCAAGAAACGTCCAGCCGCGCCCAAGTTCAGACGCACTCCAGTTTCTTGGATGGCTGCTGAGCGAGTATGTGCCGTGTACTGTGCACCGGTGAGAGCCAAAAGTTGCTGAAGTTGTTTGGGCGTGTAGGGAACATTTGGGCCAAACGCGTACGACTTGGCCATAAGCTCAGAAGAGATTTCGTGTACCTGCACGAACGAACCAAAGGTGATGAGACCGACAATGGCGTCGGGTGGAAGCAGACTCAACGTGACGATGATGGAACTTTTGAGAGCCTGCAACTCAACTTGATCAAGCATTGTGTCCATTACGAACAAGAACACCGGAGGCGACTTCACCGGACGAGAAAGGGTGTACTCAATGGTCGTGCTTTGACCCATAAGCTCAATCGGCAAATTGGAACTGGAAATGTCCTTGTACTGATGTGGTAATGGGTTTCGTTGGAGACAGAAAGGACCTGGTTCTGTTAGCCATGAACAGGAAAGGTAAGAGATGAAGGAAGTATGGAGAATCAGGGACTGCAACTGAGTAGATCGCCAATAAAGCAACAACGAACAGGAAAATGATTCTGATAGTGTTTAAACCCGTTTCTTCTGCATTTCTACTTACAAATCCAAAATTTTGCGCGGGTATCCACTTGACTAACGCGACATTAGTCTACAGAGCATTTAGCAATTGCAATAAAACGCACCAGTAAGGATTCAAAGCTGCATGACAAGGAGCTTTACAAACAACGGGTTCATAAAACACCGTAGGAACATCGGAACGATCGTTTAAAGGACGATAAAGAGACGCAATTGGAATCACGAGCCGGGAGTTCTCAGCTTTTCCTGAGGGGAAAACGTTCCACGAGAAACGAACGCCTAATTGAGGGTTAATTGATGTCAATTACACGAATGAACTTACCGTCACGTTCCTCAATAGTCTCAAAGTCCATCAGTACGGTGAAGTGGAAAGAGGAGGAGCAGTTGGTCGTAGGAAAGGCGCGAGAGGAGGGCTGCTGGTGTTTAGTGAGGAGCAGTGTGGAATAGTGGGGAACACCGAGCTGTAAAGAACCTCAAGATTAAAAGGGGTTAGTGAGATATTACAAACTGCTGAGCAGCACAGTGTATTGCTATATAAAATAAAGTGTTTCCGTAAAATGCATTAACTAGGTTTAGTGAGTTCCTGCGCATTACAACGCAACAAGACAAAACAAATTCCTCTAATATACATTGCTCTAGTTATCTTGATAATTACTTCTCTCTCACTTGCAGAAACAAAACAGTCATTCATTGATCGTACCTTGACAGATCGGCTTCCGGTCGACATTTTTTCGTGACACGCCAAAGGGAAAGTCAGTCTATACTAGAAGGAACATGGTAGAAGGAAGAGATTCATCAATGCCTCACTAGCGAGACACGCCGACGCGGCGGTCAAAGACTCAAAACACAGACTTAGTTTTTGGAGGGAGCATCGGCGGCACGAACTTGAGAGAGGATCTTGATCATGTCACCAAGGACACCAGCAGCAGTAACAGCAGCACCGGCACCAGCACCAATCACGACAAGAGGGGTGGTGCTGTAACGCTTGGTCGTGAAAGAGATAATGTTATCAGCGTGTTGCAAGTTGGCGAAAGGATGGGTAGTTTCGTAGGACTTGAGAGAAACACTGGTCTTCTTGCTCACAAGGTCAGACTCACCGACGAAACGAACAACCTTTCCTTCCTTCTCAGCAGCCTCACGGACAGCGGCGATGCTGGCATCAAAGGCGGGAAGACCGGCCATGAAGTCATCAGCGGAGGCAGCAGTGACCAAAGGCTCGGGAATGAGAGAGTGAACGGGGAAAGCCTCGGGGGACTCGATATCGAGACCGGCGATACGAGAAAGAATCGTGACCTTACGGGCGACATCCATACCATTCAAGTCATCACGAGGGTCAGGCTCGGTAAAACCGTTGTCCTTGGCGACCTTGACGACCTCGGAGAAGGCAGCGGTACCCTTCTTGCCGTTGGGAGACCAGTTGTTGAAAATGTAGGACATAGTGCCAGAGAAAATACCCTCAACCTTGAGGATTTCATCACCAGTAAGAATGAGCTCCTTGAGGGTGGAGATAATGGGCAAACCAGCGCCGACAGAGGATTCGTGCATCAAAAGAGCACCACTCTTACGAGAGGCATCAATAATTTCCTTGTACTTGGCCAAGGGGGCAGAGAAAGCCTTCTTGTTGGGTGTAGCAATGTTGATACCCTTGCTCAAGAACAAGGGGTAAGAGTAGGCAACAGCCTCAGAGGCAGTGTTGTCGACGACAATAGCAGGAAGGGTGCTCTTGCCCAAAAAGTCAGCAAGGACCTCGAAGGAGGCAGGGCCGTTGCCAGTTTGGCTGACAGCCTTCCAGTTGCCCAAGTCAATGGGAGAATAGTCCTTGGAGATGAAGTGGCCCTCAATGGAGGAAATAGCCACGACATTGAATTGAGGAGTATTGGCAGCCTTGGCAGAGATGTTGAAGCCTTGGATTTGGTTCAAGAGCTCGCCTCCGATGTTACCAGTACCTGTGAAGAGTTAGTACAAGGTCTATGTCACCGAAGACAGAGAGTCTGTTGTTGTAACGCTTGCAGTCGTTTGCACGTAGTAATACAGTTTTTGAATAAAATTCACTCCAGCTTCAAGACCGGCTTTTGCGACAAACAAGGCACTCTTTGTGTCTATTTCTTACCGATAACAGCAACATTAACACTCGTTTTTTGGGCAGACATGGTGGTGCGTTTCTGGGTGTAGGGAGAGGTTAAGTTCGTGGAGAGAAAACTACGGTATGGAACTCTCAGGGTAGATGACAGTCCTCGAATAGGACTGGAACGATAAGACCTGGAGAAGTATCGGACAAACCGGCCTGTGTAAGGAGAAACGGTGGTCTTTGTAAACGACTGTGAGAGTCGCTGGCCGAGAGAGGACAGTACAGGTCTTATACCCGTAGGATACATGTCTAGTTGTAATGGTAGAGAGTATGTGAGGACGAGAGCAACAACTGAGCTACAGGACTGAAATTGCCCGGATTTCAGTCTGTTAGTACGTATCACATGGAAACAGACATTTTTAGTGACTATGTGTTGGAAATTATGAAGTGACTACCACAGAGTATTCGACAGAGTCTATTAGTTAGAGGGACAACACAGTTGAAAGACTGGGGAAAACTATGTAGTTAGGTGTAGTTATGAACAAAGGTTTATATAGAAGTGTGCTGCTTACAACGAACAAGCAGCAGTCTATGTTCTTTGAGGAAAAGGAAAACAATAATACCAATTGTACAACAAACAAAGAGAGCAAGGAAAGCACCCAGGGGATGTGGGTGCTTCTAATAGAGGATGAGATGATACGAGATGGAACGGACTGAATGGCTACGTTGCTGGCGGTTCTTGAGTGAGTCAAAACAATTGTTTGTTACAATGTCTACAATGTCTACAGTAAATGTTTGTAATTAAGAAAGTGGACAGCTGAAAGGAGCTGTAAGGAGGGGTTCAATTGCTGCTGTATTGACTACAGCGCGTAGGTTAGGTATATGAAAATTCCAGTGCTTCCGCTACGATAAGCAATATCGAATACCTAGTATACGACACAAAATCTATGCAACTCATTATTAGGAAGAGCTTATACATTATTCTCTTAAACAGTTACGGAATAGCATGTAGTACCCTGCACATCAAAACTTTTAACGAGGAAGGTGACGCAGCATTATTCTCTGAAATTTACGTTATTGGCGCTTTTAGTCTCACGATACACACACAGTCACCTTCACCTCCCTTTTTACTCATTCTCCTCTCAGGGTCTCTTTTCTTTCTCCCGTTGGTAGCAAGCAAGGAGAAACAAAGAACAAAGAACAAAGAGACACAGCGTGTGGGGTGTGAAACATGATGGTGACCGGCGCAGCCTTCGCATTGAGTGTTTGTGATACAATAGAAGATACAATAGGACTATTAGTGAAAGAGAAATGTGAACAAACTCTGTCTTTGTAGAACACGACTTAGGAAATTGGAGCATGAAGTTACATAAATAGCTGGCCATAAACCTCCAGTTTCAGCATCCAAAGAGGCATCAATCCATCTTTACAACAACATCTACTACTTCATCAATTCTCAATATGAACTCCACTCCCGTCACCGTCTCCAACGCTGCCATTGACGTTCTCCCTACCAAGGGCGCTAAGTACCACCCTACCCACTGGCGTTACCCCAACATGTGGTAAGTGGAAGTGAGGAAATGCGACTCGCTAAGATGAGCTTAAAAGCCTCAGTCGGCTACTTGTCTTCGCTTTAGATAACCTTATTTTGCTAACAGAATTTCCAGCATCATTGCTTAAACAAATTGTTCAACATCCTCGAGTGCTATGACTCGCATCTTCCTTCTTTTTGCACTTTTTGAGTTTTATCATATCATGCTGAAGATGAGCACTCGAGGAATTTGCTTGAATTTCTATTCTGCTGCAGCTACTATCTACAATACTCAACAAAGAACTGAGTACTCAATTATAATGTCTTAATGAATTCATTTGCTAGCAACGAGGTGAAGAGCGTGAGACGGAAAAAAAGGTAGTTAAAGTGTCACTGCCGATTGAATTAAATGAAGTAATGGTTGCTAAATATTTTTATTTGTTAATGTTAGAACAGCCAGACTAAAATTCACTAGTTATATCGAGTGCGTTTGTAGCTTTTTCGAAAGTTTTATGATGCAAATAGTAAACGAAATGCTATCTTCGGTTAACTATAACGAGTAAAAGTCCTACTTAGTGAAACCGACTCTTGTTGAAAGCATTCTTAATTACGTTTACCTGTATATTATAGCTCTTAGGGTCATTGGCATTACAGTAACTACACAGTTTAGCTATTGATAGACACTTGAATAGTATCGACTTGGGCCCTGTTATTCGCACGTAAGGGCCCACGAGTATACAAGTAAGATACAGCCTCTTTGCTATGCATCTACGATAGCTTGTTAACTAGTTAAAACATAACATGATTCAATGTAGCCATACTATCTACACACTAGTCAAATCACCACAACTATAATAATCTTAATCAAATGTGTTTCAGTGAATAAAGTTTTGGGTTTCCTCATAAAACATTCTATTATTGTGCAATCTAGTTTAATCCCAATTTAAACTGACACAATTAAAACCATATAGCACCTTTGAATAAAAAAAAACTCGGCTCATCTTTGTTTTTATTCTGCTAAACAATGTTGTCTACCAATAACTGAGTTTTAAAGTTACTCTTTTATTTTCGAGGATATTAGTTTTAGTCAAAGCAAAATTTAATAAAACCGCTTTAATAGATTAGTCTAAAAAAATTTCAAGCTTTAATAGTTATCTTAACCTAATAGTAGTGTGTTTCAAATTCATAAGCGAGAAAACAATTTCTCCGAGCATCGTTTGTTGGCGGTAGAATCCATCTACACGGAGACATAAACCATATTACTGGTTCTGCAGCATCGCCACGGCCTTAATGACCGTTATGCAAGAACTTATTGATTTACTTCTGTCTAAGGAAGCCACTAACGAATCGTTCTTTAAGACTTTTGGGGTCAACTAAAACAAGCCTTAAATGTTTACGACCTTCTTCAGATGTAAACATCTTTACCTATGTTCAACCAAATTTAGACAAATGAGTGTAGTTAAAGTTCAACGTTTATTTTTCAGGTGCTAAATATTAAAATTCACATAATACATTGCATTACCAACAGCCTGTCCAACTACTGTTTATTCATCAGATAAAAATTAAGTTTATCAATCTTCGACAAGCAAGCGAGGCATAAGATGAGTAATGCTCTAGCCGCTACAATTAATCTTTTAACAGAAGGAAAAGCTTCCTTATAGGCGTTTTACTCAAGTTTACAAATAACAGAATAAACATGTTTTGTGCATTCGTTACACCTACTCTACACCTACTCTTAAACCCACCACATTCTCGCTTAAAATACACGTGACTACCTTAAAATCCTTAGTAAACTCTCTCCTTTTACCTTTCTCAGACTCTCCAGCTACGCTTTACCAACGCAGTAAAAATGACCAGCTTGATGAAAGATCCGTTCCAAATTGACTTTGCCGCCCTTAAAAAGGGGTAAGGATTGTCCCAATATATTTTGTTTTAGCAGTTACTAACAAGGACTAGTGAAATTAGCATGGGTACCACAATCACGGCCCTTCGTTTTCAAGAAGGCGTTATACTTGCTGCCGATTCTCGGACCACGATGGGTACGGTTGCTTGAAGGGTGTTTGGATTCGTTTCGGTAAGCTGACGATTCATTTAGGTGCTTACATTGCAAACCGTGTTACCGACAAGTTGACTCAGTTGAGTGAAAAAATTTGGTGCTGTCGGAGTGGTTCTGCAGCTGATACTCAAGCCGTTGCTGATATCCTCAAGTATTATTTGTCCCAATATCGGTACGAAGGAGTGTTACACTCATACCATTGATGTTATGAAGAGGTGCTGACAAAATTTCTTTAGTATGCAGTATGGAGTCGAACCTACTGTTCAAACAGCAGCCTCCCTTGCTTCAGAAATGTGCTACCAAAACAAAGACTACCTGACTGCCGGCTTAATCATCGCCGGTTACGACGAAGAAACGGGAGGCGAGGTGTACAGCATTCCGTTGGGTGGAAGTGTTCACAGACAGCCTTTGGCTATTGGAGGAAGTGGTTCAGCTGTACGTGATTCCGTTGTAGCAGATAGTTTCTCAAATTGTTTTTCTCTTCTTGCTAACGGCGATACAGTTCATCTACGGTTTCTGTGATGCCAACTTCAAAGAAAACATGGACAAGGAAACGGCAATTCAATTCCTTAAAAATGCTGTCGGATTGGCCATGGAGCGCGATCGCAGCAGCGGTGGTACTATCCGCATGGTGATACTCACCAAGAGTGGAATCGAACGCAAGTTTTTCGCTCTAAACACGGCGAATCCCCTTCCAACGTTCCCCATACAACAAAAGTAGAATGAGTGCAAAGTCGTGCTAACCGTGCGGCGTATGAATCAATGACCTGTGAAAACTATGTTCAATGAATGATTTCAAACAAATTAAAAAGATAAAAAGATTTATGTAAGAGAAAGTAATAGGGAGTGCGTGTGTAACGAATGAAAAGGAAACAATGAAAGAACACACTGCCAGCAACAACAGTTGATGTAAGAAATTAAAAAAAATTAAAAATGAAAGACTGTTTTCTGTAAAGGTGACATGGTCGGATTGCCAATGAAAGCAATGACCCGAACATCCTTAAGCTGCATCTTTAAGCTCGTGATACACAATCATCTCACCGTACGCTTGCCACCAGTCGGCAACGTACATTGGATGAAATTCGTCTAAAGACGTATCCCAGAACTTTCCATGCGCTGCACGAAGGTAAGGATGGTCATTGGGTTGACACCAAACACCGTTGTACGACCAGTCAATGCGAGTCCATGGGAACCAACCATCCTCATCGTAGGCTAGATTGAGCAAACTCTGTTCCATCATGCGTGCGTCTTCATACATGTATGGGTACCGAGCAATTGTAAGCAGACGCTGCATGTGAAGCTTACTTGGTTTCAACAACATAAGACCAGCGTTGAACATACTGGCAGGTCTTACTGGAATAGGGTGATCATTCGAACGGTCATCAGTAGCGGCCAGCAAGTATGGGTACATGTCTTCATGTTTAACGCTGTATGCGCTAAAATCGTCAACAAAAATATATCTCTCGTTGTCGTTTGGATTGACAAAATTGTGTGCTTTTGCAATGTCTGGCTGTGGAGGTTGAGTAGCATACGGAGTATCAAATATATCGTCCATGTTTCTCAAAATTAACAAATCGCTGTCGACAATACAGACCTTGTCGAACTGCTCCAGCTCAAACACACGAAGCTTTGTAAACATATGCTGCCAACGGGGACTGCCTGTCAGCACTTGAGCGCCCTCCTCCACGAAGTCTTGCGGCAAAAGAGGGTCAACAAGAATAACTTTTGCTCCGTCCTTTTTAAGACGCTGAATCTTCCATTCCTCAACGCCTTTCATAACCATTACATGGACCTCATACTTTGTTTTCACCGGCTCTCTGTGAAGCAGTCTGTAGGCCCAGAGTCTTGTAGCATTAAAGTAGAAATCTTCCTCAGTTGTCGGCGGCGTAAGGAAAGTCAGATACGTGTATCTACCCTCCTTAGGTTTTGCTTTACGTCCGAGAGCATGATCTGTCGATTCATTGCTGCCGAAGCCGTTTCGAGAGAGCAAATTGTCCAAAGCCTGCGAATCAGCATGGCTATAGACGTATAGAACCGAAATTAGTACATTGAAAGCGACAAAAACGAGAAGTAGTAGCTTTCTCCAGTTTAAGAATGGCGGACAGCCGCGTAGAACATCAACCATAGTTAGTATTGCCTAGAGGAACGGCGTAGGGGGTGCAGTTCAAAGTATAAAGCCGCAATAAAAAGCGGTGAACTATAGTTGGATGAATTCTGTCCTCCTAAGACTGCAAACAGTCAAATTTCTTGCAACTAATTGCAAATAACAGCAGAGAAGGGAGTTGGTGTTACGCAGGTGCCGCAGCAGCAGGTTTCGGTAAAAAATGAATGCGGCTGACATCAGGATTGAGCCGCAAAGCTAAAGCACGTTAAGGTAATTTAAAGATTTGATTAAGCGAAACAAGCAGCGACTGAAGCGAAAAACAAAAACTAGCGCTTATTCGGTCTCCTAAAGGCAAATGAGAGAAAAAAGCGATTGGTAAGGCTTGTCCGTATGCAATTGCTTCATGAAATAATTGGGAAAAAAAAAATCGTTAACATGGTTCTATAAAAGTCTTGAAAAGTAACTCATCGTGTTCGATGAGAGAAAAGCAATACACAGTGGTGAGCGTATGCAAAAAGAAAATAATAAAAGACTGTCACTGCGTAAGAGGTATCTGTAAGTCCTACCCTCCAAAGGGAGGGGAGTAGATAATTTTGTGGTATGCAATCATTTCCCCGTATGCCTGCCACCAAACAGCAGAAGTATCGTAGTCAAAGCCCATCTTGTCAGCACCTTGCCACAGCTTTCCATGAATAACTTTAAGAAACGGGAGGTCGGTCTTACGGGCCCACACACCATTGTACGTCCAGTCTAAATGTTCCCATGGAAAGGCGCCTTTCGAATGAAAAGCAAAGTTCAGCAAACTCTGTTCCATCATACGCGCATTGTCGTAGAAGTAAGGCTTTCGGGCAAGATAGCGTAAACGTTTCCAGTGTGCTTTAGAAGGGCGGAAAACAAATAAACCAGCATTGAAGAAGTCTTTGAATGGAGGAGGTGTCGTATGCCACTCACCAGGGTCAGAAACAGCTGCAAACACGTACGGATAAAGTTCTTCTTTGTCAACTCCGTATGCATTCCAGTCCTCTTCAAACTCGGCATTCTTCATGCTGCCTTTTGGTCTATAAGTGAGGGCCGGAGGTTTGTACGAGGACGAAGTCTTTCTTTCCATGATCTCGTGTACATTAAAGACACCGTCCATGTTACGAATCGGCAGCATGTCGCTGTCAATGAAACAAAGTCGGTCGTACTGGAACATTTCAAAGACTCTTAGCTTCGTAAACATGTACAGCCATCGGGGATCGGCAACCTCCATGTCATCAATATTGTCAACGACGTCTCGTGCGTGTAGGGGCTCTACGACTTGCACAATGGCGCCGTCTTCTCGCAACTGCTGTAGCTTCCATTCGTCTACTCCTCGCATGGCCATCACGACGACAGGGTACTTGCTTTTTGTCTCCGGGTACCGGACAAGCCTGTGAACGAGGAGTCTTGTTGAATTGTAGTACCAGTCCGGTCTTTCTTCGTCTTCTGCATCAACATAACGCGGAGGAACGGTCAGCATTGTTACATAAGCCATTCGAGGCGACGGAGGAAGATTTACAAGCCGGTACCACCATGATTCATCAACAATTGTATTCTTGATTGATGGAATGAGTCCAAGAACACCGAAAAAAAGCAACCCAACAGCAGCAACCAGAAACGTACAAAACTTGCGTTTCGAAAGAACAAAAAACGAACCTTTATAAAGGTTGCAGACACGTTCCCACATTACAAAAGGCAGATTTCGCCTATGCTGCGATTGGGTATGTCTCCTGGCTTGTTTACGTGATCGTGCAGGTTGTTGTTTACTGTACAGATTACGCCCTCGGACACGGGTAAGAGTGTTGGTCTATGCAATGATGACGTATTGCATTGTGGAATGGTGGTGAGAATTGTTAATGGGATTATTGGACGATAAATAGCGGGGATTAAGGAAATGTTTAAGCTTATTTTTAGGCGAGCATGTTGCGACAATGCGCAAAAATGGAATGGAAAGAGAAAATAGGTGATATATGAAGCCGTATGTAATGCATTGTGCTGTAGTTATTTTATGTGAAATCTCTAAACATTGATAAAAAGTTTGACTTTAGTGACGAGGTTATTTTAGAAATAATTTATCAATTTTAATGAGATAGGAAGTCTGAAGACTTTCTCGTCCATTTATTCAATCGTATTGGGGTTTTATTTCGCAAAATACCTTAAATTTCTGTCATTTGTCTTCGTAGTTGACTTGAAAAAAAGCATTCATTCTTAGAATTTTAACAGCCAGAATTCTAGTCAATGTTCGGTAGAACCAATTTAGATCATATGGTATTATTGAAACACTCTTTTAAGATGTATTGTAATATTTTGCAAAGTTTTTCCTCCGCTATAGTTAGTATGGTTTAGGACTATGAATATGCAGACAAGACCTAGTGTGCATATATAATTAACTTGTTGTCTTCCAAAAATGCATGTAGTAAAATGAGCACGGATCTAGTTGACACATGTACAGTACGAGAAATACAGTTTATTACAATATACACGAACAGCTGGATCACTAAACTCTTAAAGCTTACCAGTGAATGAATGGATCCACTTTGGATGTCTTTCTAAGCAACCTCCCAGTTGTACCAGTATACACACTCATGGTCTTCAGCAATAGTCTTCATTGTAACGGTGCAATAAATTCAATAGCTATCCTCTACTGGTTAAATATGACATAAGTATCATAGCACTCGGGGTCATCGGCCTTCTGAAAGACAACATTCGTGTCAATGTTAGAATCATATTGAATTGAACCACCATGCTTGTTCAAGAATGCTTGAAAAGCACAACTTTTTTGTTCGCATGAAAGGTCAGAACACGCATTCGATTTCTGAAACCAGAAACCATCCGTGATTTTTGTGTGGCCTTCACCACAAGTTTCTTTCAATGACAAGTCTCGGTAACAGTTCTGTCGGTCATAGCCAGCAAGGTCGTCCATAGTCAGCCAGTGATCGCCCTTGCTCCATTGAACACAAACTTTAATACCGTCACAGCTACTAATTTCCCAGTAATCATACATATCTTGCAAAGCGGTATTGCGGAGTCTGCACCAGTAATAGTCGGAACGCTTTTCAGCAATCGGAGCAGCCAAAGTGCAAGCAGCTAAACCAGAAAGCAGTATCTGAGCAAATGAAAGCATGAGAGACGGGACAAACTTGAAAACGAAAACACAACTCGTGCTCCGTGGCGTTTAATTGAAAGTGTACTTAAGATTCTGAAGATTGAAAACGCCAGAAACGGTATGCTGAATGTATACCAGAACCATGATTTTATAATTTTTCTATATACAACTTTCCCATAAACTTCATGTACTTGATTTTGCTATCCACTCATATTGCAATTACATCAAACACTTCGGATGCACTAACAATACGGACTTGGAATCCACCCCTGGACTAAGTGGATGTTGATTACCATGTCTGAATACAGGTCGTAATTAATTGAATAAGTAGAAGCTATCCTAAATGAACTTGAGAAAAAGAATTTGTCGACTAAGAGTACTTTGTCAAAAATTTAAATGCTGTGCAAGCGAGTACAATCACGGGTTTCCAGTAAAAGCATTATTTGTATCTTCGAAAACAACTCCCTATTGCATGGATGATATTGGTGAAAATGTTCCCAGCCTAATTAATTTTAGGTGACCAAGCCACTTTTACACATTAATTTCATGTTGGAAGGAGTGTAGTCTCATCTACGTAATAGTGAAATGGTACCGACATAATCTTGTTTTCAGTAATTAAATTCCGAATGCATCAGTCACTTTTTAACATTTCAAAGAACAAAAGACAAACGGCAATTTCTCAAGTTCATGAATCACTTCATGTGCGTCGTTTACCCTGTTTATTCCTTACATCCCACCGATACATCTTCTGCTACTAATATATGTGGATCCATTGTGAATAGCAATAAAACACAAAACAAACATTAAAGAAGACAAGTACTTGTAGAATTTTTATTTATAGACATGGAATAAGTATTTATTATCTATTCTGTTTTCAGTTTACTGATTTTACTTTGGTAGCTAGTTCCAAGTTGTCACTTAAAAATAACCTCAAAATTAAGATGTCGCAGCCGACTATTACACCAATCGCTGTTATGTATATATCGCTTGCTGCGAAAATATATAACTTTATTTAACACTGGACTACTCTGCAGACAGATTCTCCAATTCTCGTTTAAGAATGTACTGCAAATTACTGTAAAGAAGGTACGAGGTTGGAGCCAATATAATGCTTTCGGCGTGAATGTTTGGCGTGAATGAATAAGTGAAGCCCCAGGCCTTAAGTTTACAGCATTAAGAACGCTACCTGGCCAGTCAGCAAAGACAAATTGAAATGACAGACACATGCAAATGAAACTCAATCCCCTCGCTCAGCTCCCCAAAATCCTCTCTATCTTGTAAAGACGTAGCTTGCCGAAAACCACCAGCAAAGCCAAGCACAACCGGGGGTATTCGTTGCTAACGGGCAAGCCACTCCTTAAGGGATAAAAAATTGAGTTCCTTAATCATCATCCTTGTCGCATACGACTAATACTTCTCTTCCTTATAGCCGAAGCTCGCGTTTCAACTCTCCTCCTGCTGTATTTCCAAACGCTCTCCTCCATGTTATCCGGTCTACCCAAGTATCTTTTCACTTACTAAATAAGCATGCTCAAACGAGAAGAAATATCCATCTGGGTGCGCAGTGTGTTTGCCAAATAGACAACCACAAGGACATCTTGCAAATGAGAAGAAAACATCTTCTCAAAATCTGCAGCCGTGATGCTGGGGACAAGGCTGAGACACTTCATCAAATAACGGCCAATGGCAACATTGGCGGGTGCAGTGTTGTCAATGACATTTTGGACGTAATCAGACACACGGTCAATCATTCCCAAGACGTCGAGAACAGACTTGCGGAGCTGATCAACATCAGTCAACAAGCCGGCCACACGAGTGGGATCGTTCTTGGGGGCGGAGATGGCCTTGAGACCAGCACGAACACTCTCGTCATCACGAATGGTGCAGGGGACAGGGAGGAAGACACAACTGTCGGCCATACGCTCAGTGAGACCAGCGGTCGAGGAGATGTAGGTCTTCACAGACAGCTTGCGTGTGACATCGGTGTCGACAGTCATGTGGACACAGGGATGAGGGAATGTGCCCAAAGGAGCACTTCCAGCCTCAGGAGGAGAAGCATACAGGTTCTGAATCAATGCACTGAAGGGGTCCAACTCAGCGGACGTGGCGTACCAACCCACAATGACCTCGTGGGGATTGGCTTTTAAGTGCAAATGGTACATAGCTCTGTGGTAATCCATCTCAACTTCCACCTGCTCGCTGCTCTCATTATGAGGAACGGCAAAGCAGCTCTTCACCTCAATTTCACGTCCATCTTCCGAACGAGTTCCGAGAAGTGTACCAATCACCTGCTTGTTATTCAAGCTCTTACGCGTCGAATGATCAAGAATAGAGAAAAGAACAACAGGATCAATCGTAACGTTCACAGGGAACGGCTTTGAAAGAGGTCTGGTAAGATGAAGTACGTGTTTCGACTCCAGAACCATCTTGGAAATTTTTTGCTGTGGTTGACAGTCGCCGAGTCAGGAAGAAGCCTGCCAGGAAGCCAGAATTGGTGGAGCAAAAGTGTCACACCCAGGCGCGTGTAATTACTACCACCACAAGCACTACACCAAAAAATCGTGTGTCAAGTGCCGAGGAAAGTTCTTAGCAAGAAAAGAGGGAAATAAAGATAAAAACCGAGGAAGCAGCAATAGCTCGAAAAATAAAACGCGAAAAAAATAGTAGGACCCGCAAATTATGTTGGAATGGCACACAAAGGTGCTTCAATGTTTAAAACTTTTCGCCAAACGGATACAAAAAAAGAACAGCTGTACCAAAAAAATGCTGTTATACAAAAAGGATAAAGTCGCATATTGTATTGTGCTCAAATATTCACGCGACAAAGATAGGAAAAGAAAGGATGAGGAGTGAAAGAGGGAACGGTTTCATGCCCGCACCACATAAAGTAGAAGAAACGTAATATAAGGAAACGTAGAGTGACAAAACAAACGTGACAAGAGACGAAGGAAAGAAGTGACGAACGACAAGAGAGCAGTTGGAGCGAAGTAAAAGAAAGAACATCCATTATTAGACGTGCATTAGTCACACACTCATCGCCATTTCCCATCAAAGGGAGAAGAATTGTCGGGCAACCGTCGTATACAAAGTTGGTACCACTTGAGCATCATAAGCACCTTCCAGCGAATTAACGGTTGACGAGCGCATAACATTTTCGGGTGTCGAGAACACTTGCACAAGGCTTTCGATAACATTCGCATGCTTCAATTGCATGCGATACTCAATTGTAGGCACACGTGTGACGCCATTTGGCTCGATTTCAAAGCGAGCGACAACCTTCAAGCCAGTATCAGGGACAGTTACATCGTTGAAATTAACGCGAAGCTTGCTAGTCTTGCGACTAAACTCACCAGCTGGTGAGCTACGACAACTCTTAACAATCACATTTTCTCCCAACGAAACAAGAAGCGAGAGCTTGTCCACTGCATAGTTTTCTGCAGAGTTGTTGTAAAGCGGATTTCGAAGCACAAAAGCGACCATGCTACTAACCGTCTCCTCATGCTTCCATTTTTGCATCACAAGCAATGGAAGAGTGTTTTGCAAAACACTTCCTTCCAACGGAACCTGAAACTTGGCCACTTGTGTGGGCGTCATAATCAACGAAGTTGGCATATCCAACGAGTTTGGTTCGTTGCCCAATTGAACACCAGTATGAGTGGGAACGAGGGAGGAGAGTGTTTGCGGAGAAAACAGACGAACGGAGCACTTCTTGTCAGAGCCGACAGACTCAGGATTGCGCCAGACTAAATACACGCTGCCATCACACTCGGCACGTTGCAACTGGTTGCCCTTCCACAAACCGTTCACTTGTGCTACGATCGCGCTTGAGAGCTTCGGGACATTGGGAAGCTCAGGAATTCGAGGTTGAAAGTTCTCAACTGACGAGTTGGAGTGAATGGACAACGTCGAGCGGCTCCGAGGCGGGATATGCATGCCCATGGGCATCTCGGTTGACGGAGAACTGAGGGGGGACGTCAAACGCGACGTTGAGTCTGATGAGCGAGTGCGTCGAGAAACACTCGGGACTTGGCGTAATGCATGGCTCACACGTTCCAGTGCGGCATCACGCTCCTCAGGTGACTCTTGAACCACGGGAGTAGGATTGATGTTAACACTCATAGGCGATGAGGAGGCATTTATCGAAGATTCTGAAATTGAAGGAGCTGCGAGCGAAGCGCGCTCAGCTTGAGTTTTGACAGCTACTTGAGATGCATCGGAACGTGCGTTCGGTTGAGGTACATCAACGTATTGTGGAAGAGTGGTGACAGCAGAAGATGAAGGAACAGAAGAGTGTTCAGTGTGAGTTGGTTGTTCACGATGTTCTTGTTGCTGAGTAGATTGCTGCTGTTGTTCATTTTCAATGTGATTCGCTGCGGGGTTGATATTAACAGAACGAGTGCCGTTTGTCATTAATGAACTTGCCTCCGGAACAGAATGTGCGTCGTCATCGCTATTTGAATGAAGGCTTGAGGACGGGGCAATCCGGCCAGCAGCAGCTTTACGACTGGACAGTGGTGCTTGAGACTCAGAAGAGTGTTTCTTCTTTCCAATCATCACAGTCTTACGACGGAAGAGCTTGTTCATACGAGACTTGAATTTGCTTGGGGCACGTGCTGGACGCTCTTCGGGCGACTCTTCCTTGCGCGAAGAAGAGCTGTGTTGTGTGCGAGCAACAGGACTTGCATCTTGCTGAACCGCCCCGTTTTTGACAGTCTCACTTGCAAATCGAATTGTTTCCTCCTCGGCAGAAATGGTGGAGAAAATTGCCATGCAGGTTTCAGAAGACTCATTTAATTGACGACCAACTTGATTCTCCAAGCTAGATACTGTTAAATACACCTGTTTCAACATTATCAGACGTTCCTCGTCCACGGTCTGCAACTTTTCAAAAGCGAACGGAGCCTCGGAATCCCAAGCAGTTCGAGAGATGAGCTCGTTGTTGTCAAGCATCAGTTGACCATCCTGACTTTGTCCACGCTTGTGCTTGTTGGACCGAAGAACCTTGGAAATTGACGAGGGATCCATGCTCCGTGCAACCGACGACAATCTACTTTCTAATTCACGCAAGGACGCCATTTGGGGGGAAGACGTATAGAACTCACTAATTGGCTTGTATACCTGACCACCTAACTGTTTTGCCATGGAATTATGCAACTTGGAGCGTAGTTGCATGTCCCGTTCCAATTCCAACCACGCGTCTGAGAGAGACAGCTCCTGAACATTTCCTTCATTCATTGAGTTTGCCAGCTTTTGAAGACGCACCGCGTAATCTCGTTCAATTTCCGTCCGTTCACGGAGCCAATGGGCCAGTCTGTCATTGTCAGAGCGAATTCGCTCTAACCGCCGACGGAAAACCGTCATACTATCTTTAGGAGCAAAATTGGGCTACGTTAGAACCATTGAACACAAAGTTTCGTACCAAAAACGCCTCTACATATTCCGTTTTAGCCAAGGCATCCATGTTGCTTTTGGTAAGGAGGAGGGACACGTCAATCCCGAGAGATAGCCAAAATGAGGCGCTCGAAAATACACAAACAGATAGCATAAAGCATACTATACGATTTATTTCATTATTAACAGACGCTTAACAGAGTGTATGCTGTATATATGGAAAAAATGTGATTGAGAGCAACCGCGGCGGACCCTTACCCCCAAGCACGTCTCCGGCTAACTCTCCATCTACCACTGCCTTCCTAGCCTCCTAGGTCCAGTGCTTTTTTCCCTTTCTTTCGTCGTATAATCCTCTCCTCGTCTACATAATGGAAGAAGAAATCGTTGCTCTCGTTATTGACAATGGTTCCGGTATGTGCAAGGCCGGTTTTGCTGGCGACGACGCTCCTCGTGCCGTTTTCCCTTCTATTGTCGGTCGTCCCCGTCACCAAGGTATCATGGTCGGTATGGGCCAAAAGGATTCCTACGTCGGTGACGAGGCTCAAAGCAAGCGTGGTATTCTTACGCTGAGATACCCCATTGAGCACGGTATTGTCACGAACTGGGACGATATGGAGAAGATCTGGCATCACACCTTCTACAACGAGCTTCGTGTTGCTCCTGAGGAGCACCCCTGCTTGCTCACTGAGGCTCCCTTGAACCCTAAGTCGAACCGTGAAAAGATGACCCAAATCATTTTCGAGACCTTCAACGCTCCCGCCTTCTACGTCTCCATCCAGGCCGTTCTTTCCCTGTACGCTTCTGGTCGTACCACCGGTATCGTCCTCGACTCTGGTGATGGTGTTACTCACACTGTCCCCATTTACGAGGGTTACGCTCTTCCCCATGCTATTATGCGTCTTGATCTTGCTGGTCGTGACTTGACCGATTACTTGATGAAGATTCTTATGGAGCGTGGTTACACCTTCTCCACCACTGCCGAGCGTGAAATCGTCCGTGACATCAAGGAGAAGCTTTGCTACGTCGCTCTCGACTTTGAGCAGGAGCTCCAGACCGCAGCTCAATCCTCTTCCCTCGAAAAGTCCTACGAGCTTCCTGACGGCCAAGTCATCACCATCGGCAACGAGCGTTTCCGTGCTCCCGAGGCTCTGTTCAACCCCTCCGTCCTCGGTCTTGAGAACCCCGGCATCCACGAGGCCACTTACAACTCCATCATGAAGTGTGATGTCGATATCCGTAAGGACCTGTACGGCAACATCGTCATGTCTGGTGGTACTACTATGTACCCTGGTATTGCCGACCGTATGCAAAAGGAGATCCAAGCCTTGGCCCCCAGCTCCATGAAGGTCAAGATTGTTGCTCCTCCCGAGCGTAAGTACTCTGTGTGGATTGGTGGTTCTATTCTCGCTTCCCTCTCCACCTTCCAACAAATGTGGATCTCTAAGCAAGAGTACGACGAGAGCGGACCTAGCATTGTCTACCGCAAGTGCTTCTAAGTCATATAGCATAACGATACGAAGAATGTCCACCACGTACAACGGGCGTAGCGACGGAAGTCAGCAAAGAGGCGGCACTTAGTCAGCAGAGCTAGTTGCTAGATAGGGAGGGCACAGAGGCACAGGTCCACAATCCAAATCGTCGTTCGTAGCTGCACTCGCTAGCCCGGGTAAGCAATACTCGTGATGTGGCGTACATCGTTGCACCCAATAGTGAGATTCTACGAGACTTATCATAGATGCACTACACCCCATTAATTCTCCGTATACTCCGTTAGCAATCATTTCACTTCGCTCCACCTCACTCCACTCCGTTTTGTCTCATTCATCTCCTTCCACCACACTCAAAAATTTCACCTCAGAACCAAACAGGTCTGCAGGGGATTGCATGTGTACAGCGGTGTTTGTACTTAATTAAACATGAATATTGCACAACCGGTCTCCTCAGAGATTAAAAGTGTAAAGTTTGGGATTTTCGATGTGGAAGACATCGAAAAGATCTCTGTAAAGCAGATCGTTAACCCAGTCCTTTTGGACAACCTGAACCACCCCACCAGCGGTGGTCTGTACGATCTTGCTTTGGGTCCGTATTTGAAGAACACCGTGTGTGCAACATGTCACATGGACGAACGGTATTGTCCGGGACATTTTGGACACATCACTCTTCCCGTTCCGGCGTACCATCCTCTGTTCTTTCCTCAAATGTACAGCTTGCTGAGAGCAACATGTCTGTACTGTCATCACTTCAAGTTGTCTAAGGTCACCGTTCATCTGTTTGCTTGCCGGTTCAAGCTCCTGGATCACGGTCTGTTGATTGAATCCCAGCGTGTAGAGTCTATTACATTGGGCAACAGCGTCAGTTCCAAGTCTTCCGGTGGAAAGGACGGCGAGGGAAGCGAAAGCGAAGACAGCGGTATTGGAAACGACGACATGGCGAAGGACGCCGCAGCCTTGATGCGTTTGCGTGATGAGTTTGTCGACAAATGCATCGCTGACGCCAAAAAAATCGTACTGAGGTCGGTCACTTGACGACACTCGTGTCCCATGAGCGCAGAAACTTGTCCGTGCCTTTTTCCATGCTATCAACTCTCGCAAGCAGTGTGACAACTGCCAGTCTTTCTCTCCTACTTTCCGTAAGGAGGGTTTTGCCAAGATTTTTGAGGTCCCCTTGACCGGAAAAAACTTGCAGTACATGGAGCAGACTGGCCGCATTCGCTCCAACGTGCTTCGTGACTCTGCCAAGTCTTCCAAGGATGATGAGGGTTTCAGCGAGGATTCCAACAGCGAGGGTGAAGGCGACGATATAGACCTTATGGAGGAGGATCCCAACCCTTTCGACAAAAAACTGAAGAAGCGGTCGACTGAGGCCAAGTACATGACCTCAACCGAGGTTCGTAATCACCTTCGTCGTCTTTTCACCAAAGAGGGACGAGTGATGTCGCTTCTTTTCGCTCACAAGAAGGGCAAGCCCGCTTCTGCTGATATGTTCTTCTTGCACAACATTGCCGTGCCCCCTACTCGTTTCCGTCCTGCCTCGAAAATGGGCGATGAGGTGCACGAGAACATTCAAAACGAGCTTCTCACAAAAATTCTCCAATCGTCTATTCGTATTGCCGATTTGAGTGCTGCCACACACGCTACCGGTGACAAGGAGGCTATGGAGCGCGGCTCTCGGGCTTTCGAGCAGCTCGTTGCTGCTTTCGTCCAGCTGCAACACGATGTGAACAGTTTGATCGACAGTGGTCGCAATCCTACTGTTATGGCACAAGGTCGTGTGCCTCCTCCTGGTATCAAGCAGATTTTGGAAAAGAAGGAGGGTCTTTTCCGTAAGCATATGATGGGTAAGCGTGTTAACTATGCCGCACGTTCTGTCATTTCGCCTGATCCTAATATTGAGACTAACGAAATTGGTGTTCCTCCCGTGTTTGCTGTCAAGCTGACGTTCCCCGAACCCGTTACCCCCTACAATTACAACGAGCTTCGCAAGGCCGTCATTAACGGCCCTAGCAAGTGGCCTGGTGCTACACATATTCAGAACGAGGATGGCACGCTTGTTTCGCTGATGCCTCTTACTGTTGAGCAACGTACGGCTCTGGCAAACCAATTGATGACTCCTCAATCCAATATCATCTCTTCGCCGTACTCGTACTCTCGCATCGTTAATACGAACAAGAAGGTGTTCCGTCATGTGCGCAACGGTGATATGCTTATTCTCAATCGTCAACCCACTCTTCACAAGCCTTCTATGATGTGTCACAAGGCTCGCATCTTGCCAGGTGAAAAGACTATTCGCATGCATTACGCCAACTGTAACTCTTACAATGCTGATTTCGATGGTGATGAAATGAACATGCATTTCCCTCAAAGCATGAACGCTCGTGCGGAGGCTCAATTCATCGCTAATACCGATTCTCAGTACCTTGTGCCCACTTCTGGTGACCCTATTCGTGGTCTTATTCAAGATCATGTGGTCATGGGTGTTTGGCTTACGAACAAGGATTCCTTTTTCACCCGCGACGAGTATCAGCAACTCCTTTTCCAGGCTTTGAAGCCTGATGAAAGTGGCATGTATGGTCGCATAAAGACTGTCCCCCCCGCTCTCATTCGCCCTAAGCCAATGTATACTGGTAAGCAGATTATCACCACTATTTTGCTTAACTTGAAGCCAGCCGATCGCCCCGGATTGAACTTGAAGAGCAAGGCTAAGGTTGCTTCGAAATACTGGTCTCCTACTTCCGAGGAAGGTGCTGTCTTATTTGATGATGGTGTTCTTATTCATGGTATTTTGGATAAGTCTTCGTTTGGTGCATCCACTTTCGGTATGGTTCACTCTATCCATGAGCTTTATGGCGCCGATATTGCTGGTCGTTTGTTGTCAGTTTTGAGTCGTCTCTTTACTGCATTTGCTCAAATGCGTGGTTTTACTTGCCGTATGGACGATTTGCGCTTAGACGAACGTGGTGATGCTTGGAGACGTGAGCTTTTGGAAAACGGTAAAGACTTCGGTCTTCTTGCTCACTGCGATTACGTTCAGCTTCCCATTGACACTTCTCGTGATTTGTTGAACGCCAACTTAGAGGAGGTCATTCGTGACGACGAAAAGTTGCAAGGTTTGGATGCTGCTATGAAGGGTAAAATGAATGGTCTTACTTCTTCTATCATCAATAAATGTATTCCTGAGGGTTTGTTGACTAAATTCCCCAAGAATCATATGCAAGCCATGACGGTTTCTGGTGCTAAGGGTAGCAACGTTAACGTGTCACAAATCTCTTGTCTTTTGGGTCAACAAGAGTTGGAGGGTCGTCGTGTGCCTTTGATGGTCAGCGGAAAGTCTCTTCCTTCTTTCCTCCCCTTTGATACTTCTGCCAAGGCTGGTGGTTTCATTGCAAGTCGTTTCTTGACTGGCATGTGTCCACAAGAATATTACTTCCATTGTATGGCCGGTCGTGAAGGTCTTATTGATACTGCAGTTAAGACTAGTCGTTCCGGTTATCTGCAACGTTGTTTGATGAAGCACTTGGAGGGATTGTCTGTTCAGTACGATCACACCGTCCGTGATGCTGATGGTTCTGTTGTTCAATTCCGTTATGGTGAAGATGCACTTGATGTCACAAAGCAGAAGCATTTGTACCAATTCGAGTTTTCTGCCAGAAACTACAAGTCCTTGATCCAGAAATACAAGGTCAAGTCCGTGCTTTCCGCTGTTGATTCAGACACAGCTTCTTCTTATGCGAAGAAGGCCTTGAAGAAACCTCACAAGTACGATCCTGTTCTTGATAAGTATCCTCCCAGTCGCTACCTCGGTAGTGTTTCCGAAAAATTCCAAAAGGCTGTGGATGAGTATACCAAAAAGAACCCCGATAATCTGATTGCTAGTAAGAAGGAGAGCAAGCAAGATGGCACTCTTTTGAATGAGTCCAAATTCAAGGCCCTCATGCAACTCCGTTATCAACAATCTCTCGTCGAGCCTGGCGAGGGTGTTGGTGTTATGGCTAGTCAATCTGTTGGTGAGCCTTCTACTCAAATGACATTGAATACTTTCCACTTTGCCGGTTTCGGTGCTAAGAATGTCACCTTGGGTATTCCTCGTCTTCGTGAAATTATCATGACTGCTAGTGCTAGTATCAAAACACCTACAATGACTCTTCGTTTGAACGAGGGTGTTTCTGAGGAACGTTCCAAGCAATTCTGTAAGGAGGTTAGCAAGCTTGTTCTTGCTGAAGTCGTCAAGCAGGTCGTTGTTACTGAGCGTATTTCCGGTCAAGGTTCGGATACCCAATCCAAGTCTTATTCCATCAAGCTTGAGCTCTACCCCAAGTCTGAGTATGAGGAAGAGTATGGAGTTACTCAAGAGGAAATTGAGGCTTCCTTTACCACATCCTTCCTTAAGGTTTTGGGTCGTATTATCAAGGCGGACATTGCCAAGACTAAGCAACGCAAATCGAACGATAGCGTTCCTAAAATTGGAGAGGCCCTTGCTCCTCTCGAGTCCTTTGGAGAGGCTAATGCCGATGCTGCTGAACAAGAGGCCATGGAGGATGATGACAACGACGCTACCAATGCTCGTATGACCACGCGCTCTAAGCAACATGCTTCTTATGACGGTCCAGACGATGACGACCGTCTTGCCATGCAAGCCGAGCGTGCTGCCGCAAAGGATGGTGATGATATGGAAGAGGATGATGGCTACAACTCTGATGAAAGCGTTTCTGAGTACATGGCCCGCAAGAAGGGCAAAAACTCCGTTTCTTTGAAGGAAAAGAAGAAGTTGCGTCTTACTAACGCTCGTGAGATTCTCAACAACTGTCGTCGCATTGATTTCGACGACAAGTCGGGTGAGTGGGCCCTTGTTGAACTCGAATTCCCTATTACTACTGAAAAGCTTCTTATGGTGTCGCTAGTTGAACAGGCTTGCCATAAGAGTGTTGTCCATGAGATTCCCGGCATTTCACGCTGCTACCCCAAGCCTCCAGACTCCGCTATGGACAAAATTCCCATGGTGATCACTGAGGGTGTGAACCTGAGAGCTGTTTGGGAGTTCTACGAGGAAATTCATATGAATGACCTTTACACTAATGACATCGCTGCTGTTCTTCGCATCTATGGTGTTGAAGCTGCTCGCAATGCCATTGTTCGGGAAATTTCCTCCGTGTTCGGCGTTTACGGTATCGATGTCGACCATCGTCATTTGTCGTTAATTGCCGACTACATGACCTTCGAGGGTGGATACAAGGCCTTTAACCGTATGGGCATTGAGTACAGCACATCTCCCTTTGCGAAGATGTCGTTTGAAACTACCTGTCATTTCCTTACGGATGCCGCTTTGTCTGGCTCGAAGGATGAGGTTATGAACCCCTCGGCTCGTCTCGTCGTTGGACGTGTCGGCAACTTCGGTACTGGCAGTTTCGATTTGCTGACGCCAGTCGTTGCAGAAAACTGAACAAAAAAAAATTGGATGTTACAATCCCTGAGGAATGATGATGTTTGTAAATCTCCTCAATTCCTGACAAAAGGTTTATATAGTTCTGCTACTCATTGACTGGATTTTTGGATATATTGGATGAATTAAGAAAGGTAATATGGCGCGAAATAAATTGTGTTTCTTGTTGAAAAAAGAAGAGCTACAGTTTCTCCTCGTAATAGAATATCCTGAATTGAAAATAGTAATGGCTATAACCCATACGATTGCACAGGCATCCCAATTGCCGCTCAGTATTTCGTAATATCAAAAAAGGGGGAGGTGTGTTGCTAGAACAACCGACAAGCGAATCGCACAGATTCGTGCCGAATTCGAAACCAAATGTGCGTTTAGCTGTTTAAAATGTTTAAAGATAGTGTTAAGGGTTTGTCCGCCGGGAAAAGACTAAATTCCTAAGCTCCAAAGTCATTAATAAGGACGTTGAGGACCATAGAAAAACTGTTACACATCCAATCCTGTTCGCAAGAATGAATTGAACGAACAGGTTCTGTAAATAACAAAAGTTAATTGTACCGAGTGATGCAGCAGGCTTCTTAGGGAAGGTGGAGCGAGAATTTTGAAACGGGTTGTTTTCGCTTCGTCGGGGAAGGAAGGTATATATCGTCTAGGGATTTCATTTGGGAAATTTGGACATGAGTTCGTTGCCATAGGTTTCGCTGAGTGGGAGAATCAATGTTTACACCAAATATGTCAGGTCCAGGCATATCTATTCTGTCATTTACGGCCAGCGAGGCTTGAGATACGGAGTGAGAACGTTGATACGGTGCTGGACTCTGAGGGCTGTCGAGAAGGTCTGGGCTGGCGCTGCCAGAAAAGACGCTAGCTTCTGTATCATTCGGCGGGCTCTCAGAGTTAGTCTGTGCACCATTCTTGTTTTCGCTGAAAGAAGAGTCGATATTTCGAGGACGGCCGATATCGTTCTCATCATCACTCCCACTCTCGGCATTGAACTTTGCCATATCTCGCCAAAGCCTTCTTGATTGCAGTGTTTCGGATAGCACAGACGTAGACTTCAATGGAGATATGCCAGGGCGTAGGGGCGACAAAGCCCATAAGCTGTTTTCATTTACAGAAGCATTCTTCTCGAACTTCCGAGCATCCGGGGAAGCCAACATACGGTACACGCGAGCACGATGTTCCTTTAAGTTGGTGTTTGGGCTATTTTCCGTGCCAGGGTCATAATTCATCGGGGAAAAGAATGAGGGACTCAGAGGGTCATCATTTAACGGGACACTTTTCAGCAAGAGAGATTTAGGACACATGGATTTCGGAGTAGCCGATGCCTCAAGTAGCGATCTGTTTGTGGATATAAACGCCTTACTTGGAGAAGAAACAGCAGCATTTTTTGAAGGAGCCTCAAATGAAAAACTGTTTGTGGAATTTAAGGAAGCTGAGGATTCGGGTATTGGATTAGAATTTGAAGAATTTGGCGATGCGTGTTGATTATCGCTAGTCTGTTGTTCTAACGGAAAGGTTCGGTAGGAAGAAGAAGACGAGCTATTTGGTTGTTCTATCGAAACAGTCAGTTGTGGTTGCTCATTGGCTTCGGTAGAAGGATAATGCTGAAAACCGGATGCTGATTGCGGGAGAGGAGCGGAAATTGTGGGTGGAGGCATGAATTGTGCTTGTTGAGGCACTGAGTAGCTGGGTCGGTGACAATTATAGTATGTGATTGCCGGATCTCCAGAAGGTTTCATGGATGTGTCCAAGTCCAACGAGACAGATCGTTGAAGCTTTCTTCTAGGCACATGGGAAAATGCAGCCGTTACACGAGATATAGAAGCTGGAAAGTTAAAAGGAGTAGCAGAGCGACTTGCATTTCTGCTTGCCATTGCGGAATGAGTTTCATAGGCAGCGTGTGAGGAGAGTTGTTGACCGTCAGGGTAGTAAGCATTCAAACCTTGTGCAGTATGCTGATAGCTTCCAGAACTTATAGAAGAGTCCTGTGATTGAATGCTGCTGCTCCGCTCCAAAGGAGCTGATTGGATGGACGTTGGTATCGTTTCCTTTTTAACAAGAAAATCGCATATCAGATTCTTGCGCAAAAAGTATTCTTCGTGACCAGTTCTAATAGCCCAGAAGTGACCCTTTCCTGGCATACAACGAGGTCGCTCAATCTTAACAAATGCCTTATTTAGACTGAGATTATGACGAACAGAGTTCTGCCATCCATTGTTGCAATTACTGTAAAAAGAAAAAGTTCTGCTGATCCAATCGTAAATTGCACTCAAAGTCAAGCGATGTTCTGGTGAGCACAAGATGGCAAGTGCAATAAGCGTGGCATAGGAGCAGTTCGGTTTCTTGCCGTCATCGACGGGAAGGTTTAAAACGTAAGAATCATTAACGGCATTAAAAGAAGATGATGAAGAAGGCTCAGAGGTATGTACAGAGGTTGTGCTGTTTTCTGCAGTCTTGGGTAAATAGCCGCCATAGGCGGCAACGGTATTCGATAAAGATGAATAATTTGGCTGGTACGAAATCGTTGGAGGAGGACGACCAATGGCTCTAGAAGGTTGTGAAGAGACGTACAGAGCATAATCTGTTTCGGCTGGAGAAGGTATCGGCAGAGGTGGAGCAGAGTAAGCCAGCCGAGTGTACGAAGGAATCCGTTTGGTTTTTTTGCTCATAGCAGTTAAGTGTGAGACTGTTCCGTTTCCGTCCTTGAGTAGAGATATGGTTTATGAAGTAAGTAGTGGCTAGCACAGCGAGTGCGTCAATCAATCTCCGTAATTGCTGTCCAATTTCTTTTTTTGACTCTTGTAGGAGAGGCCGATAGGAAAGGAAAAGTGTATCACAGATCAAGACACCTAGCGTAAAGTCTGCAAAGGAAACGGAAGCACAGGGTCTCCACACGAGAGATTGCGAAACCAAAGACTAAGGTCGTAGGCAAACCTACACCGGAAAATACAGTTAAGAGCACTACAGCAGTGGCCAAGGTATTACGTGAGATAAAGGGAGAGAATGAGGGGTAAACGGGAGTGGTCGAGAACAAAAGAATGCCAAAACAGCAGAGGTTTAATCTTGAGAGTAGAGGAAGCGAATTGCTTATAGTGCCGAAGCCCCAGTCTTGATTGGTGTGTGCAGAAGCAGGACGGAAATGTTCTTTAGCCGGATATTAGAATGCGGTCTTATGGTATTGGTGGCCTAGGCAAACGGACAACGCCGACACGTGCAACCTAGGTTTCGAGGAAGCGAGGGGCGAGGTTAGGACCATAAAATGGTGGTCAGTGAGTAGGCGAGTACAACGTGTTGGTGTCACAAAAGGCCGAACTTTAACCAAACGATACAGTCACCACGTCTCGTGAAGCGATCTAGAAAGAACGTCAAAGTCACGGATCTCAAACCACTTGCCGGAAGTAATGACCAACACCAAACTCAGAGTCTTGTGCCCACATTGCTCAAGTGTCGTATTCAACAATGCGACACCACAAATTGTAGAACGACCAACAATTCGCAGTATACTGCGGAGCAAACACACGACTATAGAGCAAGAGGGCACTCAACAACAGACTGGCGAATTGGACACTAACGACACTGATGAAACCCTTTCTATCCCCGTTGCTACGGAACAGTACTACAGCATTAGAGACCCCTTTGACTTTGACAACGTCAGCGTTTCAAAGGCTCTTCCCAGCAATATTAAGCTTCTGGCTTGTGCCGACTGCGACAAAGGTCCCCTAGGCTACTTCGATATCAGTGCGAAGGAGTACCTAATGTTGCGTACTATCCCAACACCCCCGTCGTCAAAACAGCACTAACAAGTCGTACACGACAAAATAAAAAGTCCAAAAAAATAAGACCAAAAAAGTATTAAACTACATTAGCAGCTGCATACACCGCAATTAGGAGTACGTCAACCACACAACCAAAAAGAGAAAGGCAAACAAACTACGAACATGGTGTGAGATAACAAAAAGATAGGTTTAAGAAAAAGGTGAAAATACACAACGTCTGACTGTAAGCATTACAAGTAGCAGACGGAGTGATGAGAACACAGCAACCACGACGCACAACCTCATATAGTTCCTACCCGCTCACACGAACGCTTGTGTAAGGTGCGGGATGCAACGTTAAAGGAAGTGCATTGACGTTTCAAAAGAACACTACTACCTCTCAGGCACGTAGAGCTCAAATCTAGTACGCCAATTGCGTGTTTGGTTGCGGTTAAGTTGTTTGAGCACGTTCGCTGTTTATATAAGTACCTTTCTGTCAGTGATGTAATAATTATGTCATTAAGGGATGCAAAAGTCGACATCTTTGACGCTAATTGCGAAGCCGCCGATTGCCGACGGCTCTATTAGTGATAAGGTTAATTAACAAGTCAACAAGCCAAAGCTGATAGGAAACAGCATTGGTGTGCGTGGAGTAGAAATAATAATGCTAGTAATAGTATCAACACGAGAGAGCAACAACAAGCTGTGGAGGAACTCCTTAGTCAATAGTTTAATAAAATACTTCTTTGACACCTCTTATAAACGAAGAAACAAAATAGGTGCATGAAAGATAGCTTGTCTATTACAAATACTATGTGCGGTATATGCGCACGAGCATTTGACGAAAAGAACGGGTTAAGGAAACCTAGACTTATGAAGAATAGGTCACGGAAGCACCTCCAAAAGCTGGAGAAAGAACAAGGTATCTGCAATTGATACCATTCTTCTTAAAAATGCCAACCATAGTCTCGGCAATTTTCTCGAAATTGGCGGTAGCCAAAGCAAGAACAGTTGGACCGGCGCCGGACAGGCAGGAACCGCAAACACCAGGGAGATTTTCGGGTTTTAAAGTGTTGATGATCTCAGTGAGGCCGGGGACGAGTGAAGCGCGGTAAGGTTGATGAAGCTTGTCTTGCATAGCTTCACAAACGACATCAGCTTGAACGGGCGACTGACCGATAGCGGCGGTTAGCATAACCAAACGCTGGAGGTTAAAGATGGCATCGGCACGACTGTAGGTTTGAGGAAGCACACTACGAGCCTTGGAGGTAGCCAAGTGGAACTCGGGAATAACGACGATGGCCTTCATGTCAGGGTTCCAAGGGAAACGGAAGTAAGATGCAAGTTTTTTAGGGGGGATAGTTAATGCACGATGCTTGAGCAAATCGTCATCAGAGGGCTCAAAAGCTTTACGCTCTTCCTCGCTCAGCTCACGGAGGAAGGAAGCAACAAGACCGCCCATCATGGCGGCCATAACGTTGTCTGGATGACGCTCCAACATCAGAACGTAATCCATCATCTCGTCCTTGCTCAAACCAAGCTTGGCCACCTCGTTTGCCAGCATCACACCAGCAATCGCAGCCGAAGCACTAGAACCCATACCGCGTCCGAGAGGAATAGGATTCTTGACGTGAGCACGCACACCGACAGGGAAGTCTTCCATGCCGTTACAGCGCAGCACATACAATGCCACCTGCGTGACCATGTTCTCCGAGGGCTTCGTAGACACGCTATCAGCACTGTCACCTTCGTAAGTGAGAACAAAATCACCAGGACCAGAAGACGTTTCCACGTCAACAGTCATTGAATAGTCAAGCGACAGACCAAGCACATCAAAGCCAGGACCAATGTTTGCCGAGGAAGCAGGAACACTAATTTGGAATTTAGCCATTGAATTGAAGAAACTTGAGCGTTCAAAAACAGATATATGTTTAAAGTAATGATTTTTCCAAAAAAAAAAAAAAAGAATTAAAGAAAAGAAAAGAAAATGAATACTCCTCTTTAGATAACAAGAATCAGGAATGCTAATGTGACGCAAAGGCCCTGAAGGTGAAAGGTTTTATGTCTAAAAGAGAACAAACAAAAAGGAAGGATTGAATAAAAACGAAATAATTAATTTCGATAAATTTTAACCAAAAAGAGGACGCTGGAAAACAGGAAACGCACCGATATATAGAATAAAACACACAAAGATCACCGTTTTTTTATACCGAGAAAAAGGCAGGAAAGAAGCAACTGACGAGGTATTTAATTTTTTTACGATGAAAAACCCGTCGATATTCAACAAGAAAACTGTCAAATTGCTTCAAATACGCAAAGAATGGAGACCGGTTTCTGTGGTTGGTGCAGTCCGTACGGGCACTCTACTACAGCTTTTTCACCTATGTGTGATGGGTAGAGGATTAAGTTTAACTTAAGCGAGGTTCTAAACCTAGGTTATCAAAATAAAGTTTTCATAACCTAAACTAAAAATGTAACCTAGTGACTCGGTTTTTCTGAGAATAAGGTTTCACGAACAACAACTCAACCTTCATAATCCCCTTCTCCCCTACAAAAACGACAACTCTGCCAGAGTTGCTCAATTTCGTTAGTTATAGTTTCATTCAGTACATCAGCAGGTACGAGAGACGATCTAGTACTATCGTGTGCTTTTTTTCCGGTGTTTTTTCGACGATTTTCTGACGAGTTACGTAGCAGGTTTCTCAGAGTCAATGAAAATGTCCTTGGCAATCCTTCTCATTGGTAATGGTGGACGTGAGCATGCTCTCGCTTGGAAGCTTGCTCAATCACCTTTGGTGACTAAAGTTTATGTTGCACCCGGAAACGGTGGTACTCAAGCAGCTGGCAAGGACTCCAAGATTGAGAACGTCGACATCGGCGTCTGTGACTTTGACAAGCTCGTTGCATTTGCTGTTGAAAAGTCTGTCGGTTTGGTTGTTCCTGGACCCGAAGTTCCTTTGGTTGAGGGCATTGAATCGCATTTCCGTCGTGTAGGTATCCCTTGCTTCGGTCCTTCTAAGGAAGCTGCCCGTATGGAGGGAAGCAAGGCCTTCTCTAAGGATTTCATGCAGCGTAACAACATCCCTACCACCGCTCACAAGTCTTTCACTGACTTCGAGACCGCCAAGAAATGTGTCCAAGAATGGGGTCTTAAGACTGAGCTTGTCATTAAGGCCGATGGTCTTGCTGCCGGCAAGGGTGTTATCTTGCCCAAGACAATGGATGAAGCCATTGCTGCTCTTGAGAGCATCATGTTGGACAAGGAGTTCGGTGCTGCCGGCAAAACTGTCGTTGTCGAGGAGTTGGCTGAGGGAGAGGAGATTTCTATTCTTACCTTCTGTGACGGCTACACCTGCAAGTCGCTTCCCGCTGCTCAAGACCACAAGCGTGCCTTGGATGGCGATAAGGGTTTGAACACTGGTGGTATGGGTGCTTATTGCCCTGCCCCCATTGCTACTCCTAAGTTGATGGCTGAAATCCAAAAAACAATTGTTCAACCCACCATTGATGGCATGCGCCGTGAGGGTTACCCTTTCGTCGGTATCTTGTTCACCGGTTTGATGGTCACAAAGCAGGGACCCGTCGTTCTTGAGTACAACGTTCGCTTTGGTGACCCTGAGACTCAAGCTGTTTTGCCCTTGTTGGACACTGACTTGGCTGAGCTTATGCTCGCTTGTGTTGATCGCCGTCTTGATGCTATTGACTTGAAGGTTAAGGATAAGTTCAGTTGTGTCGTCGTTTGCGCTGCTGGCGGTTACCCTAGTTCTTACCGCAAGGGCGACGTTATTGAGGTCGATCCAATCTCTGAGCCAAATGTCAATGTATTCCATGCCGGTACTGCTGTAAAGGACGGCAACGTTGTTACGAACGGTGGCCGTGTCATTTGCGTCTCTGCTGTCAACGACACTGTCCGCTCCGCTGTTGACAGTGCTTACAAGGGTGTTGCCAACATTCATTTCAAGGACATGTTTTATCGTAAGGATATTGCCCACCGTGCCCTTAAGCCTCAGAACAAGGCTGAGGACGGTTTAACCTACGAGAGCGCTGGTGTCTCTGTTGATGCTGGTAATGCATTCGTTCAACAAATCAAGGATCTTGTTAAGTCTACCCGCCGTTCCGGTGCTGACGCCAGCATCGGTGGTTTCGGTGGTGTTTTTGACTTGAAGGCTGCTGGTTATGAAGATCCTTTGCTTGTCAGTGCTACTGATGGTGTCGGCTCTAAGCTTATGATTGCTTTGGAGATGCAAAAGCACGACACTGTTGGTATTGACTTGGTCGCTATGAATGTTAACGATTTGGTCGTTCAAGGTGCTGAACCCTTGTTCTTCTTGGACTACTATGCTACTGGCAAGCTTATTCTTTCCGATGCTAGAGATTTCGTTAAGGGTGTTGTTGACGGTTGTTTGCAATCTGGTTGTGCTCTTGTTGGCGGTGAGACGTCTGAGATGCCCGGTGTGTATCCCCATGGACATTATGATACCAACGGTACTGCTGTTGGTGCTGTCAACCGCGACGCACTTTTGCCCAACTTCGACAGCTTCAAGGCCGGTGATGTTCTTTTAGGTCTTGCTTCCGATGGTGTTCATTCAAACGGTTATTCTTTGGTCCGTAAGATTGTCGAGGTCAGTGATTTGGAGTACAAGTCCACCTGTCCATGGGACGAAAAGACAACTTTGGGCGCTGCCCTGCTTACTCCCACGAGAATCTATGTCAAGCCCTTGTTGCACGTGATTAAGAAGGGACTTGTAAAGGGTATGGCTCACATTACCGGTGGTGGTTTGATTGAGAATGTTCCTCGTATGTTGCCCAAGACTTTGAAGGCTGTTATCGACGTTCAACAATTCCCTGTTCCCCCAGTCTTTAGCTGGTTGAAGCACGCTGGTAACGTTCCCACCTCCAACATGGCTCGTACTTTCAACATGGGTATCGGCATGGTTGTGGCCGTCGCAGCTGAGCATGCCGAAGAAGCCGCTCGTCTCTTCCGTGAAGACGGAGAAACTGTTTACACCATCGGTAACCTTGAAACTGCTGATGATGCTGAACACAGATGTGATCTTTTGAACATTGGTAACTGGGACCGTTTGTAGAAAAATCATCCTTTTGACATGGCCTGCCCCGGATCTGCCTGGCCATATTGTTTGCTTAACGCAAACTTAAATATGCACAGTAAATAGTGCGACCTACAATATCCTTTTTGTTTAAATTCTGTTAATAAAAATTAAGTTTTGGAAAATGGTTACTAAGGTTTGTATTCCTATTGCCTTAATAAGACGTCCCGAAGTCCCGTATAAAGCCGGTGTGCAGAGTTGTTTGAAAGTCTTTTTCATTACTTCTTAAGGCTACCTTGCATCAGTGCTCGAAGAGATGTTTCATATGAACGTAGAAAAGGCAAAAAGAATGTACGGGTTATATAAAAAACGAGCCAGAAAACGAGAAGGGTATATACGAGAAATGCAATGTGTTTGAGTTCGAGGGTAATGACTAGGAGGATGATCTGGAGCCCGAGACACCAAGTCCAATAAATAGAAAAATAAGAGCTACGCCAAGAAACGAGAATACACGGTTAATCATCCTCCATTGCACATGTCGGATTGTGATCTTGAAGGAATGTTCCTCTGGAATGGGAAGCAATGCTGCGAGCAACCAGAAGGGGGGAATTATAATGCCAAGAGTGAAGAGTAGAAAGAAACGGGATTTGTGAAAAAAACTTGTATAGACTTTCGTGGCAGAACTACTCCGTCGATGATGTTGCGACGAATGAGTAGCGGAGACTGATCGGATACCAGAACGTACCTCTGCTCGATCACGGAAGACTGACCGTGCCAGTCCGGACGAGGAAGAGGAACCCGAAGGTAAATGAGGTGTTGCAAAGACATTATCCAAGGAATTGGGTCTTGGACTTGTGGGTGACGTAGTAAATATAGTCGGTGATATTTGCTGTATTCCGTCGAGGATACCGCCCGAAGACGATGACGACGCTGGACTGTGATGAGGTAAATCCCCAATATCACGACCCAAAGTGCCGTATGTACTTGCTGTTTCGGAACGAACATGGGTAGGAGAGAGCGGAGAGGAGACTAGAAGTTTATCATGACCACCTGCTTCAGGTGCATCAGCAAAGATACCTTCAAGTCGTGTTGAAGTCACCGAGTGTTGATCACTACAACAACTGCTACTGTAATCAGAACCAGCGATAGAACGAGAGCGTCCCTGAAGCTGAGCAACCAGAGAAGCATGAGAACCAGGGGGAAGGCTAGCGGAATGAGCAAGTAAATTCGGGGGCATAAGATTTGCAGAGAGAGATGATCCACTTGCAAACACATTAATGTAAGGGGAGAGCAAATCAATGTCCCCATTTGTTTCACTTGCCGTTGCTTCTCCGTCCGTTTCTCCAGCAGCCTTGGGCTCGGTTGGTGAAATGGGAGAGATAGAATGTGCTGAAGACACAGACTCATCATCGTTCAGAATTTCACTAGATTGCTCCGCAACCGCCCTCTTCGCACGTATTAACTGCGGTCTATCACTTCGTACAGACGAATGCCGGATGATCGAGTTATCCTGCACAAAGACAGGTGCAATGTTCCGTCGGATTACCGGTGGTTTCGTATTCTTGCCGAAGGCTTTCTTCGGACGAGAAGACGAAGCATGATCTGTTGTGACATGGAGATTGGTAGGCGCGGAGGAAGCACGGTGATGTGGCCCGTTGTGCTCCTTCTGGACCATTTATTACCAAAAAGAGGAGAAACGAAATATTGCAAGACAATGAAACAAAAAAAGCGAGAACGCTGTACGAAATTAAAGAACAACTTTTAAAAAGGATATATTTACAGAAACCCAGTGTCAGAAACCTCAAATCCAATGCCAAAATGTGCAGTATCACCGTTAACGGAAGTAGTCTATAGCAATGTGTCAAAAATACCAAAGAACAGAAAAAAAAGCTATCAAACGAAAGCTAAGAACACGCTGAATCGCGTTCTACAGTTTATATGGTCCCAAAATCTCGTACAAAGTGACCTCCCTGGGTCATTAGCTGTGGTGAAAGGCTCTGGTCTGGAAGGGTACTAGCACACGGTCAGGTTAGTGATGCGCAGCAACTAAATTAACGTTACCCCGCCAACGTTAAAACGACTGCTCTCACGCTTTCTCAAGTTTCTGGGGTATTTGAAAACTTTATTTATACATGACGTAGTAGGAATATACAAAGAATATGGCAATATACAAGAGACAAAACATGTCAAACAAAACGAGCGTAATAAGGAACAGGGTTTTCACAATCAATAAACATTGAAAAGAAGGTAACCGAACTATTAAGATTGAACGAACGAAAGAATATAGGAAAACTGAATAAGCGAGCAAATTTTTGCCAGAGACAAAATGCATGGAACATGCTGCTTGTATAGGAACCAGAATATAAGAACACAACATGATACAGTTGAAGCAACTTGTGAAAAAGTGCGTCTGGTGATGTTTTGGAGACCCCATGTTAGTTTATGTATGGGAGGTAGGAAATAAAAAGGAAAACCTGTTGAGAGGAAGAGGCGATGTGAAGTTTGGTTTCGTTGACGCTGCTGAATGCATGTCCACTACATGATGAGAGAGTGCTCCTGTATGTTTCTAACGATTTATGGATCGACTTTTGAATTGACGATGATAAATCCCACAAAAACTAAGAAGGAGCCGATGAAAAGAGAGACGCTTGTATAGTGATCCTTAAAGAGAATATCACAGATCAAAGCGAGAGGAATACTTAAACTCATTCCGAGAGTAACGACCAACGGACTTGTCATTAACATAGCAATGACCCAAAGGTAGTCGGATACGAACGTTATAGATGCATTAATCGATAAACCAACAGTCGTTGCCAGATCAGAAGGAAGCTCAAAAACTTCAACTCCCGCGTTGTGCAAGAAAATCATGATGGGCCATAAAAACAGCAGGTCAAACAGTCCAACAAGACCAAAAAACAAATGCATGGAAATGTGTTCCTCGTCATGAACATGGAACTTTATCAGTACAGAGTAGCAACCGTATAAAAATGCAGCCATGAGTGCATACGTATCACCGAGAATAGGTTTCGTCGGGAGTTCCACCCCTTGGTCTGCCTGTTTTCCATCCTGTACTGAAACAAGAATTACGCCAGCAACACTGGCGAGTAAGGCGCAGAATTTCGCGACGCTGAACCGTTCCACATTAGCAATGGCACCAAGGCCAAGTGTGAAAAAACCACTGAGAGAAGAAATAATGGTGAAAGAAGCCACATTGGTATAGCCGAGAGAAGCATTGCTGAAGTAATTGGCCGAGAACCAAAGCACACAGAATCCTGCACTCAAGTAAGCTGTATGTTTCACGTCGAGTTTTTCGGTAAGTGGAGGAGGATTGGCTTGAAACGGGTCATTTTCAGAACGGACTGATTCATATAAATGCACGTCCGAAGTCAACCGTCTTTTTTCCGCTTTGCGTCGTTTAAAATACCAGGGAATGAGATAGAAAACAAAGGTTCCCGTGTTAAGATACGTGATGAAGAACGGTTTTGAGTAGTCTGAATCGTTGAGCAAATCACTCGTAAGAAAAGAACTTGCAAGCCACAAGAAGACCACGAGGAGCAACAGAATGATGCCCACTAGCCTCCGTTGCATGGTGAGAAGTGATAGAAGAGAGGGGAGATAAAGAAAGACGCTTTTAACACACGAGCAAAAAGAAGAAAAAGACTCGGAAATAGAATACAGAAAGAGGATTCTCTCAGTTCAAAACGAAAAACGCAGAGCCCCCAAAATTTACTTGATATCTAGTTCTTTTCCGCCAACTGGACAGCTCAAGAGGCCTAGCAAATCGTTGTATGGTTCCTTTTTAGCTCTTCTATGTTTCCAGTGTATCCGAACACTAGCTCCACCTCGAGTATGTAGACTAGCCGGTGTTTAAACAAATTGGGTTGTTTTCACTAGCTTCTAGCGATGCATGAATGGGTTTTGAGCGTAACTTGGCCTGATATTCAAACCGGGCAGATCTGCTTCAGTAAATGATACAGGAACAAAACAAAAGAACAACAACTATTTCATATAGATAGAAATAACCTTTATCTAGTGGAAATATACGAGTGTTATGCGAATGAGATGGATTTATGACGGAACCGGCTCAGGAAAGAGTTTCGATTGCGTTAGTGGACGCTACCGGTTAGTATAAGCAAATGGCAAAATTCACGAGCAATAAGCTTCGTTAAAACATAAATGCACCATGATAACGTATCGGATCTCTGAACTCTAATTGTTATGTTATATTACGGTGGTTTACGATTTCGATTCAACTAGTTGTCTATGGGGTGGAAGTGTGTGTGTGTGTGTGTGTGTAACCAGAATTATAGCAGTCTTTATATTGAATGACACCCTTTGTAAGGTATTAAAAAGTGATGAGACAGACACTGCCAAGGGAGACGACGTTTGTATCAGCAACCGGAATGCGTAGCAGAGAGAAAACGATAGTTCCTTCTCTCACGAAACTTAAAAAACGCAACAAAAATGCCCACAGCACAAGCATAAGTTAAACAGCAGCCTCTGACATAAACCTGCTGTTCATTATCAAACGGTGAGGAGACCAGAGGTAGAGAACTGCAAGGGGAAAATAGGGTACGTAATATATGAGTGCTTGCAAAAAAAAAAGAGTAAGAAAAGAGGACGGAAATATGTGTGGTTTCTAGCATGAGCAGCTAGCCTTCTGCGTCTCCAACTCCAAGTGTACCGGATCCGTAAAGTCGTTTGTCACATCGTCTTCGTCAGCATTTGCCAGGGCAAGACGGGCAACAGCTTCGAAAGCCTCTTGAACATTAATGGCATCCTTGGCACTAGTTTCGTAGTACGGAATATCACCCTTTGCCTGACAAAAAGCCAACGCCTTGGCTTTCGAAACCTAAACAACCGCGTATTAGTGTTTATTCTCGTGAATCGAGTAAAATAAGCCGCGTACCATGCGTTTCTGTTCCTCTACATCCACCTTGTTGCCAATGAGTATGAAAGGAAACGTCTCTGGGTTGTTGGGAGAGGCCTGAATTAAGAACTCGTCTCTCCAACTGTCTAAGGACTCGTAAGACTTGCTGTTGTTCACGTCGTACACGAGGACACAGCAATCAGCACCACGATAGAATGCAACACCCAAACTCTGGAAACGTTCTTGGCCAGCGGTGTCCCAAATTTGCAGAGTTACAATCTTGTCGTCCACGACAACCTCTTTCGTGAGGAAATCAGCACCAATCGTCGCCTTGTAATCCTTGCTGAATTTACGATTTACAAACTTGACCGAGATTAGACAAAATCCTGTACAAACTCCGCCAGGTTTTCACACGAACTTACTTGATTCATTAAGGATGTTTTACCGACACCACTTTCACCAAGGATAATAACCTTGAGCAGAAGTTTCTTTCTAATCGCCATGTTTGTCTTCTTTCAAAGGTGATCTGTGTATTGTATGAGGTGATGATTCTTTTCAGAATACGAGAACCGCTTCCGTTGTCAATTAAAAGATAAATTAGAGTTAAATACGCTCAATATATCGAACTCAATGGTTCGTCTGGTATGTGTTAGAGGAACGTTGTTCGTTTGTAAGGCCAGGGTAGACCACCCACGCTCGTTACCCACTAAGGTGACAAGTGACATCAAGATGACCCGCGGTAATTAAGGTTATAACACGCGACGCGACTACGCGCCCTTACCAACTCCCAAACTCTCATGAACACACTGACTGTGTTCTTTCATTGTAACTTGAGGTTTTAGACGCTTACAGATCATTTGTTTGTGTTGTTTTTGCTTTTGTTTTTGTAATTGTAATTGTTGGGACATTCTGTCTTGATGGAGTTGGAAAAGAAGCTTCGTTCTCGCGACATCGTCGAAAAGTCGTACTACGAAATTGTAGAACAGTACCACGCTCTTCTTTACTATGTGTTTCACGAGACGACAAATACATCTGGAATTGAGACGGCGAAAATGAAAGAAGACCCGAATATAATCACATCGTCTGGCGTCTCATCTAGCCAAACTGACCAAGTCGGCAATTCTTCAGTCAGTACAGACGCAAAGAGGCTCGAAAAGTTGCAACGAGACTTTGATATGGCTGTTCACCAACTCAAAGAAGTCCAAGAGACCCAGAAGCGCCAACAAAACTTGGCAACGAAACAGATCACAGTGCTCAAGTCGCAATTGGGTGTGCAGGAGGAATTGAATGAGGAAAAAAACAAACGAATTCAGTTTTTGCAAGATGAATTGCTTGCTCTTCAATTGGAAGTCTCAAGCTTGGATCGACAACTGGAAGGTTACAAGCGGTGACAGGTAAAAGCATGTTACAACTACAACTTTCATTTTTTTTTTTCTTTTGACGTTCCTTTTCTCTTTGGCATCTTATTGCTAGCCCTATATGATAACGATTATCCTTCGACTTGATCCTTCGCCGACCTTTAAGTTAAAAGGTTAAAAATTTGACGGTTCCAATTGTCCACGTAACCTTTCTGCATAATTCAACAAACAACAGTTGATTTTTTCGACCACTTAAGCACTCATCTCTATTTCCTCGTTTTTTTCTTGTCGACACCACCTTCTTTGCTAATTTGAGAAAAAAGGGAAAAAAAAATTACGCAATATTAATTAAAGAGTTGAGACATATCATCACTTGAATTTGAATCGGTGTTGATTCTTTCTCCATGGCTGTTGATACGACTCTGTATGAATTGCTTGAAGTCGAAGTGAATGCTTCTTCTGATGACATACGTAAGGCGTACAAGCGGCATGCTTTAGCAAATCATCCTGATAAGGTACCAGAGACGGAACGTGCGACAGCTTCTGTTCGCTTTCAAAAAATCCAACAAGCCTACGATATTCTTCGTGACCCTCAGTCACGGAGTCAATATGACCAATATGGTCTCGATGAAAAAGGACAGCCTGCAATGGAAGAGGCTGGGTTTATGGAAATGGATGACTTGCTCTCACAGATGTTTGGCATGCCAATGGGTGGTGGCCCTGGAAAGTTTGCTGCTCGTGAACGCAAAAGACGAGGTTCGGATGTGATACACGAATATCCTATTTCTTTGGAAGACATGTACACCGGTAGGGAAATTAAACTGGCTGCCACGCGTGATGTTACTTGTTCAGGTTGTCAAGGCACCGGTGGAAAACGATTTGCCAAAGAACGCACATGCGTTGCTTGTCAGGGCCGGGGTTATCAGCATCACATTCGCCAGGTGCAGGGTCACTACTTGACGAATCAACAAGTTATCTGTCCCAAATGTTCTGGAAAAGGTGTTGCATTCAGAGAGAAGGACAGGTGTAAACGGTGCAAAGGTAAAGGAGTCACTGACCAACGAAGGATCCTTGTTTTTAACGTCCCCCCTGGATCGCATGATGGAGACAAAATTGTCCAACCTGGTATGGCTGATGAGGCCTTGGGTATGGTTCCTGGTGATGTGATCCTTGTTTTGCGCGAAAAAGACCACAATGTGTTTGAGCGTTTAGGAGATGATTTGATGGCTACCGTTGAAATTTCTTTGGCCGAAGCACTTTGTGGTTTCTCTCGTGTTTTAATTACCACATTGGATGGACGAGCTTTGAGATATACTCAGCCAGCTGGAAAGATACTTCGCCCTGGAGATTGCATAGTTGTGTCCAATGAGGGTATGCCGAAAGGCCGGTATATTGATGTTCGCGGTGACCTGTATCTCAAGGTTGATATTCTGTTTCCGCCTGATTATTTTTACCAGCAACCAGACGTTGCAAGGAAACTTGCACAACTTCTTCCACGCGCACCGCATGTTTCTGTCAGTGCAAATACTCTAATTGACGATGTCGAGGGTCGAATTGGAGATAAAACGCAATTCGGTGGTGAAGCCCGTTTTGCTTCACATACTGAGGAAGAGGAATACTATTCGGGAAATTCTCAGAGTGTGCCTGAATGTACGGCTCAATAGGCTTGGCATTCTACTACAATTTATGTGCATGGATAACCTGTTATTCTTTTTTTTTGTTTTTTACTTTATTATAGATGCATGATTAACTTCAAAGCGATTCAACGCTCACATGACGATAACTTCTAGTCGATATTTCAACTCTTTGAAGATGTTTGTAATGGGTCTCCAGTTCCTAAACTCATCCAATAAACAGAGCGCATGTGCTTTTAATTTTTTCGTCCGTTGCGTTTCCTCTAAAAATCCTCTCATCTTCCAAGGAAGGTGAAACGGATTGATGGATCTGGAGATGTCCGAGTGTTCAATGGTAACTTTTCTTCTCGGTGACTTGGTAGTTTCCAGGGCATGTCTAATGGCAAAATCATAGATTGCCGGTTCTTTGCTTCGGCGTCATGATTGTTAGCGAGAAGGATAGAAAAAAGAGTTACTTACCAAAGGTATGTGTGACCGTCGCCGATGTACATGTTTCCCGCCAAAAACAGGCTTATTTCCTGTATAATTCCATGGTCACTCAAACCTACATTTCTCATTAGTAGTGCAGTTGACATCAGATGTGATACAAAGTCGTTGGTTTGAGTCTCGCCGTTCACAAATTCGAGCCGACAGATGGCCGGGTGTGTGATAAGAGAAAATGTTGCTGAATTCATCGTTACCAACTGGTCATCCAACGAACCACAGAGCGTGAACTTTGTGTGCGGATGAGTAAGACACTTTTCGACATTTCTCCTGAGTACCTGCGAAGCATAACTGCTCGCATCACACAAATCTATGTACGCGATTAGCATAGAAGTTTGGTATCAAGAGAGTGATTTTTCGTACCCTGGATTTCCCTTAGCATGGTTCTTTCCTGCCGCGTTGTCGTTTCCCTTCTGGGATATTTCATTACAAAGTTTGGAATAAGGCCAGTGGATATGGCAGCCATGGAGCACACGCTAACTCGAGTATCTGGTTTAAGCCAAGACTCTTCAGTAATGTTTGCTAAAAGATGGACCGCAATTGCGAAGCTCTGGCCATGCACGATAAAAAAGATAAAGTCTGCTTTTGAGATGTGCTCATAGTATTGCCTTAAGATTTTCCATAGCTTGCGTTGCTGGTGGGCAATTGTGTCTGTGCCGTAAAGTACAATCTTGGTGACTTCGGCCTTTTTTTGATGATCAAACAACCACCTCCGGACAGCTCTCTCGCCCATGTCGACAGGTTCGTCTGTGCAATCGGCTTCTTCGTGGCATCGATCCCCTAGCTTGTTGATGGGCGAGAACCCATCAACGCTGATAATAACGACTCTATCCAAAGCTACTGGGGGTTGAGTGACACGAATAACCGAGACACTGGTATGATTCAATATTTCACGTAGATGTTGTTCAAGAGAATCATTCGAAAAGCAATCTTCAAAGGATGGTAAAAGTTGGTTTGGGCGCTTTTTCTGAGGCCATTTCTGCCAAGAACTGTACTTCACGAAGGATTCTGCGGACTCCGTGGAGCGAGAAAACTCGGCTTTCCGACAGCAGCCAAAATATGCTGACGCCTGACATAAGGAAGGTTTTGAAAGCAGTCGTGAGCATAGCTGTTCTGTGATCTTGCGAGTGTTTCTTTTTGCTAAGAAGTATCCGGTTTGAGTGCAAATGGTGTTTCTGTGAGCGGATGAATATGGACTCTGTTTTTTAATCCAACTAATTAGTACTGAAAAGACTTTGCACATGGAATGTCGGACCGTGTACTTGCTCCACAAATGCTTCACACAATAGGATTGTGTTTCGTTTTGTGGTAATCAAGGTTGCGAACAAACGGGTGAGTACGTCTCTGAAATCGGGACATTTATTGCCTACATCTGTTTATTCATGTAATATGTGTAAACAAAAACCACAAGAACTCTTTACTGTGTGTAAAAAATTTATGAGAATCTTATAGATTATGGGACTAATGCTATTGTGCAAATGTGTGCAAAACATATAGGCAATAACTATTTAATTTTTTTTTTTTCCCTTGATGCTGATATCGTTTTCGTAGACAAGCAATAAAAAGCCACCATCATCAGTAAACGACCTGTAACAATAACGATCACACACAACTAAAACTACAGAGTAGAAGAATGGCTACCGTTTCTCGAAACGTTTTTTAGAATTCTTATTTATTTATTGTTTCAACAAAATGTTGTTTCGTTCTAACAGTAAAATAACCTAAACCCTAATCTGAAACCTAAAGCCGGTACCCCTTTTTAGGGTAGGGTTAAAAAAACAGTCCCGATGAGAGAAAGCCGACACCCAACCACTTACACAAACCAAACTTCGACATGGCACCTGGATTGATTGTTGGTTTGAACAAGGGCAAGTCTTTGACCAAGCGTCAGCTTCCTGAGCGCCCTTCCCGTCGTAAGGGTCGTCAAGCTAAGCGCACCACTTTCGTCCGCTCTATCGTTCGTGAGGTCGCTGGTTTCGCTCCCTACGAGCGTCGTTTGATGGAGTTGATCCGTAACTCCCAAGACAAGCGTGCTCGTAAGCTCGCCAAGAAGAGAGTATGTGATGTGAACGCCTTCAGCAAGTCCGTTTTGTGTTTCGGGTCTCGTTGCTGTTGTGGGCTTCATTTGTCATTGTTTACGGTTACTAACAGTTGTTTAGCTCGGTACTTTGGGTCGTGCCAAGGCCAAGATCGAGGAGCTTTCCTCCGTCATCCAAAGCTCTCGTTTGGCTCACTAGATCCTCCAATGTATGCCGTTCGAGTGAAATTCTATGTTGTGGGGGTGTTATGTGGGATTCGTAATTTTGTGTGAGATATGTGTCATTGTGTTGTGGGGGTTATGATGCAGCGCTTATGTAATTGTTGCGATTGGAGATTCGTGCCGGCTAACCGCCCCTGTCGCCCTTCTTAGCCGGCTATCTTATTGGGTGTGATGTAATTTATGCGACTTTTAGTTGCGCTCATTTTTCGCAAATAAATCGCTGAGGCGAACGTGACGTCGCTCTATCGGTGTTTGCAGCAAGAAGGTTTTGTTTTTTATGAACAGGAAAATTAGCAATTGCAAGTTTGTTTATTAACAAAATTCAGATTAAATTACTCCATGCTCCTCCCCGTTATCGGCTTTTACTTCGTTGCAATTTATGGAATTTTTACTCAATATTAAGTCGCTCACATTTATCTATTAGTGCTGCTTGTTTATTCTTTCATATTGAGAAATTGGTAAACTTAAATTGAAATAAATGCAACGGAATCGTAATGACCAGAATACATTTATAATTACATTTTACAGATAGTTACGCCACGTATTTGCTTGTGTTATGGCGTCAGAGTGTTAGCGTAGACGAGAGATATCCAACTGACAGTGAATATTTAATAGGACTTCACCAAATACGAAGTGTCTTGCGTCACCAACGGCAAATTTCTACTTCGAGGTGCATCGTTTCATCACATTTATTCTTACCATTTATATCAAAGGCTTATTCTGCTAAACTTTTTTGCTTTCCTTGTTGTAAACATGAATTCTCGATGGGCGCATTCCGACAATAATGCGTTTCAATCAAACGAGAAATCGCAAGAGCAAGATCTTGTTTCACTCTTTGGTATGTAATCAACAGCGAAAATTGGAAGTCAGGTTGAGTTGGTTGTGAAAATGCGCAATTTAAGCAAATGATTTTTTAGTATTATATACCTTAAATCATTCTTAGTGAAGCGGTCGACTCACGGGTTACATTTCCTGTAGTGTGTTCCTTTCTTTTCATGATTTACTAACTTTTTATTTCAAGATCCAGAGGCTCTTGCGAACCATATCAAGTACCTTCAGAATTTGCAAATGCAAATGTCACTTGCTCAATCTCAAGAATACTCGTTTGCTCCCAAACAGACATCTTTAAATACGTATCCATCACTTTCTAGAGTATCGGAAGACCAGAGATCAGAGCGGTTGCAGTCTTCACTTCATCCATTTCCTGCATCCGGTCCTAGTTCTCTCCCTACGCATCATCATGCAGCAACCTCAGCATCCAATGCTCCGCCTTCGCTGACGAACTACCAAATTCCTGCCCGGCGCTACTCGCTTCATCGGCCTAGAGGAAGTGTCAGTTCAGATATCGAAGTACCTGCTTCTTCTTCGTCTGCATCGCATTACCGACACAATCGACACAGCTCAGTATCGTCTCGGGCCTCCGTAGACACGCAGGAATCTCCGACATACAAGCATGCCGGAATGGGGTTTGAAGACCGTAGAAAATCATCGGCCGCTTCTGCACTTCTAAGTTCTACTTCATATGCTACCACCCGCACTGCAAATGAGGACGCTTGGATTCGTGGTGATCATGTTGACCCACTCACAATTCTTGCGAATGAACCCCCAGAGGAGGAGGAATTACCTTCTCAACATAATGCAGTTGCGACTTCATCGCAACACAGTTACTGGAATCATTCCAGTGATGGCGCATCCTTGCCTCAATCCTCGTTTCTCAATACGAGTAACACGGGACGCCGGGTATCAGTTTCTGCTGCAGCGCAGCAGCACAAGAACTTATTCTTACCCTACCTTCCGCAAGCCTCCATTCCTGCATTCTTGAGCAATGGACAATTGCTCATTGGTGTGCAACACATCAACAGAAAAAATCGATCGGATGCTTTTGTTCATACCAATAGCTTAGATGAAGAAATCTTCATCTGCGGTTCTAAAGACAGGAACCGTGCGTTGGAGGGTGATTTAGTAGCTGTGGAATTGTTGAATGTCGACGAAATTCTGCGTGCTAAGCGCGAGAAGGAAGAGAAAAAGATTCGACGAAACTTGAGTCTTTCGGGAGCTTCGAAATCCGCAGCTATGGATAAAGCAAAGTCTTACACAATTGGAATGTCAGTTGCTCTTGGTATGAACCAAGACGAGGTATTGGAAACTCGACCTATTGAAAAACGAAAGAACGATTATGAAGTTACAGGACAATGTATGTTTTTTGTCGACGACGACTTGAGTCTGGATGAAAACTTTAAACCTAAGTATGCGGGTCATGTCGTCGCTGTACTTGATCGACCAAGTGGACAATCGTACTCTGGTACCCTTTCGATGTATCGTCCTAACAGTCTGGCCTCAAAAAATCAAGGTCATCGACGCAGTGTATCGATGAGTGATGAAGCTACAAAGTATCCTAGAATTGTATGGTTTAAGCCATCCGATAAGCGTGTTCCACTCATTGCAATTTCTTCGGACCAAGTCCCTGCAGACTTTTTGGCGGATCCAGCAGCTTTTAGTGATCAAGTTTATGTTGCTAGCATTAAAAGATGGCCCACAACATCTTTACACCCTTTTGGAACACTGCATGAGAAACTTGGAAAAATGGGGAATGCTCACGTTGAGTATCAAGCACTGCTACGCGACTTTAATTGTCGAATTTACACACCAGCGGAATCATTATCTTCTGGTCTGACTAAACGCATCACGAGTTTTGATGCTCCTACATTAACAGGCCGTAAAGACTTGCGCGATAAAGACGCTTTTACTTTGGCAAATGACGATATGGCAATTACAATTGAGCGAAACTTGGAAACAGGGCTTCTAACTCTAGGTGTGCATGTCACCGATGTCGCCCATTACGTAAAATCAGATACGCCATTGGACGATGAACTGTTCAATCGCGTAGGCGTCGTTCACTTGTTGCAAGGGTCTGTCCCCTTGTTTCCTAAAAAGGTTTATGAAACGTTGCGCTTTCAGGAAAACAGTGATTCATTAGCTGTTAGCGTTATGATTGAAATTGATCCGAGTGGCCGAGTAATTAAGAATACTTGGATTGGAAAGTCAATTATTCGTCCACGCGTGGCTTTCTCTCTTTTCAATGCTCAGAAAAAATTAAAGGAAGACCCACGTTTGTTGTTGCTTGAAGAAATTGCTATCCTAATCTCGATGATTCGTTTGGACACGGATCAATATGTGCCTTTCGAAGTTCTTTATTGCCTTAACCGTTGTGACGGTCAAGACAAATATGTAGGCGAGTCAAATCAGCTTGGTTTTGAAGCCCCACGAGTTTTATGTTGCCTTCAGCAAGTTGAGCATATTGCTAATGAAACGGTGGCTTCTTTCCTAATTCACACTTACCCCAATGCCGCTCTTCTTCGCTCAAACGCACGACCAAAACATCTAGAAGATATTGTCAAACTTGGAAAGTCTTACGGGTTAAACTTCGATGTATCATCTAACGCTACATTTATGACATCCATCGCAAATATCAGCGACCGAAATTTGCAGCGCCTTATGGTATTGAAACTGCATCGTATGTTATCCACTGCCGAATATACTGTTGGTGTTTCCAATAATAAGGATATTTCTCACTTTGCTTACTATGCGCCTTACTATACGCACTTTTGCCATCCTTTAAGGCATTACATCGATGTAAGTGTACAACGCCAATTGTACAGTTCTTTCAACAAGAAACCTGAATCCCAGAAAGACTTCAAGAGTCTGCTTGTTCTTACCCAATCTTGCAATACTCTTGACTATTTTTACCAGAATGCTCAGGAGAGGAGCATGCATGCGCATCTTTGCCGAATCATTCATTCAATTAATGTTGATTCAGGATTGATGCAACATTCTGGTTTTGTTACTGGTGTTAGTTCGTCTTACATTGATGTTGTCGTGTATGATCTTTGTATCGAAAAACGTATTTACTTGGATCTTCTTCCTCTACAAGAGTTTGAATACCTTCCCAGGGAAAACGCTATCTGTTTATGCTGGCGCTCTAAAACGCCCTCTTTCCCCTATGTTGTCAAAATGCTTGAAATCAACACACCCGAATACAAAAAGTTTAAGGATTCGCATTTCGACAAGGCCAAGAATGATTTCGCCAAGAAGGATTACTCCGGTTGCAATATCCAAACTCTGGCGCGCTCCTCTCTTACAAACGGACATGTGAATGTTGAAAAAGATGCCAAAAAGGAACCTGTCTCTTCCGCGGAAGCTTCCATGGTGCATTTATTGAAGAGCCTTCATTTAACTGAAAAGAAAAACTTACAAGTAGTCCGACTTGGATCAATCCTTCCCGTTCTCGTATTCGCCGACACATCTTACACTTACTCACTTTCACTTATGACTATCATGAATCCCTTTGCTTAAATGTTACTTGAACTGTATTATGGAATAAGCAGTCATTAGGCATTTATGCTCAATGCTGTTGCTTCTTATAAACTTTAAGGTGACAAATCTATCACTTTCTTGTGAAAAGTTTTAATGAAAAACGGTAATATGGATTTGTTAACGAATAAACCTTAAATCTTTATGATTACCGTTCTGATGCTTCTCTTTGTTGTTTTTTCTTGCCTTAAAATGTTAAGTTTTTCCGTAAATGAAGTGATTTGTTCGTTACGATCACTTCTCTATTTTTTTTGGATACGCACGTTTATGCACGTTTGTACATATATATATAAATTATAATTTTTTTAGGGCGTCTTCTTAAATTATTTTCTGCGTTTATAATAGCTGAATTTTGAAGAATTGTCCTGTTTGTAGTCTTCTCTTCTCGTCGCGGTTTACGAAAATAATCAGTAAACAAAATACGTACTCTCGTCCACGTATTTGCCAATAGTATTACACTCCTACTGCGCAGAAATGGTTAGTTTACCAGTTCTTATTCGAAGAAAAGTGGCTCAAAGAAGACACGCATTTCATCTGAAAGATCATGGGGTTGAATTAGATCTGGCGTATATTGAAGAAAACTTAATTGCCATGTCAACTATGGCCAATGGTGTTCATAAAATCTATAGAAATGATATAGATGCTGTTTTACGCTTTCTGGAGATCCGACACCCCGATCGCTGGCATGTTTTGAATTTATGTGCTGAGCAGCTTGTGTATGACGACTCGAACTTGAATGGAAATGTAACTCGATTAGGGTTTCAGGATCATAGTCCACCTCCGTTTCTGATGCTGATTTACATTGTCCAGTGGATGCAACAGTTTTATCAACAGCATCCTGACTATGCACTTCTTGTCCATTGCAAAGCCGGTAAAGGTCGTACGGGAACTGTCATTTGCAGTTATCTAATAGCTACAAAAAATCTGAGTAGTATAGAGAGTCAATCCGTGTTTACTGCTGCACGGATGACTGTTGGTGATGGATTGACTATTCCATCTCAAATTCGTTATGTCCAGTACATGGAGTTATATCAACAACAGAAAGGTAAACTTTTAGAATTATTAGGAACAAAGCTTAAGATTAGTTCTCTTGATCTTCAAGGCATTGGGTCAGGAAACTCACTAAAAATTTCCCTTCACAATTTTAATGATAAGCATTGCAAAGGACCATCCATATGGAAAACCAATTACTGTCAAAAAAGCAAGCACTCTTCTAGATATGATTCTCAAACCATCCTAAATCACAAGGACATTGCTGTTGACACGGATACAGACATCGGAATTTTTATTTCTCGAAAAACCGGTTTTGGCAGACAACAATTGGTTCGGTGCTGGATTAACGCAGTAATGGAACACGTTGGAAAACAAGAGGATACGGAAAACCCTAATATGTTTGTTATTTTGATATCTTGGGACTCTTTTGATCAAGCTTATAAGTATCCAGTGCCATGGTTTGAAACTGTCACTTTAAATATCAACATTTAATACCGCAAGATACATTTAATTAATACGAATTCGTAACTGTGAATATCATTATCTTGTTCTTAGACTTCGTAACATAAAATGTACATTCTGTATTAATAACCCAACTGACGCCTCCAGTGCAATACCCTTGCAGAAACCCATGCTCTAGAATTAAACCTCGTCAAACGTTCAGAATGTCTGAATTGACATTACTACGACGGCAATTACATTCTCGAGAGTACTTACAAGAGAAATGTAAGCCAAGTTGATCGTTTAATTAAGCTAATTTTGAATTATTAAGTCAAAGCTCAATTGTACGGCAATCGTTCATGGATAGCAGATCTTGATCTTAAAAATAAGTTGTCTAAGCACACTGAATGCGTTAATGCTTTATGGTTTGTTTTCTCCCTTCTTCTGAGGTTTATTTGACTAACATTTAATAGTTGGTCCGAATCCGGGGATTTACTCGTATCTGGCGGAGACGACACAAAACTTGTTATCTGGGATGTATATGACAATTATAATGTGAAATCAATTATCAACACTGGTCACACTCATAATATCTTTGGTACAAAGTTTCTTCCTTACTCAAACAATTCCAAGATTTTGTCCTGTAGCGGCGACGGTCTCGTAAAACTATTCTCGCTTGATCGTACAAGTAACGAGGAGAATAGTTATGGGATTGATTCGTGTACTTCCGTTTGGGATTGTCATAGAGATTCAGTGAAACAAATTGTACCAACCGATGATGGCCATTGCTTCCTCACCTGCAGCACAGATGGAACCGTTCGCGGTTTTGACACTCGTGAACATCATCATTGCGATTCTAATAGTTCTTGTTCATGTATCTTGGTAAACTACGCGCCATTCGGCATCGAGCTTAACACACTAAGCATGTCGAAGGGCCATTCCTATAATTTTGTAATCGGCGGAACTCATCCATTCGCGTTTCTGCATGACCGAAGAATGTATGGTCGTCATTCTCAAAGTCACTTTACACGTACTTCTCGTTGTGTCAGGAAGTTCTGTCCTGGCGGCGGTGAGAGCTCTAATTACCCTTACAACAGGGAGATTACAGGTTGTAGGCTCAGCAATTATAACCCACATGAGGTTTGTATCCAAACCGCTCGATTCTTTCGCACCTTGCTAATAAATTCTAGCTTCTTGTCAGTTGGTCTTCCGATTATATTTATCTTTTTGATATAAATGGATATGAAAACACACCTGCTACGTTTAAGGAAGAACGGGAGCATTTAAAACGTTGCAATTCAAACGCTAAGAACATTCGAAAAAAGAGGTTACGGACTTCCGATCAGTCACGGATGCTTCCTAGTATGACTTCCACGAATTACATTCGACTTGTTCCTAATTTGTATATTACATTCCATTCAAGAACAGAGTCCTACTATCAAATCAACATGAATATATCAGCATTTTTTGAGAATGGCGACGATGGACAATATCAAGATGTTTTTATTCGCAAACGACTACATAATTGTGTTATTTACATTAAAGATTCTATTGCCCATTTGAGCAATGATCTCTCTGTAAGTGACCGAAGCGAACCAACATATCATAATCGGGTAGCGTTACTACGATATTGGAAAGCTTGTGTTTCGGTTATTGCTTTGCTAAATGATCGCGTTATTTTGGAAACAAATACTATAATTATGGCGGGATGGGACTGGCTCTATGATTTCATGAATTGGGTCATTCGGTGGATGCTGGGACTAACAAATCATTGGGCTTTGCAAATGGCACCCGTACCAAGAAACTCAGAAGAAGATCTTGTTGTCTATGACCCCGATGATATAAATGTAATCATTTTCCATGATTCTGCTGAAATGATCCGAGCTTTTGCACGGCTTGATTTCCCAGCATCTGAAGTACCGTCCAGCATTAAGCATTTCTGGATCCATAAAGTGCTGCGCAGCTGCTTAAAACACATATCGTCAAGCTTTATGCATCAGAGTTTTTATAGCTGGGATGAATCTACGGTCTCACTTCAAGATTCGCGTAAGTCACTTAACTCATCTTCAATGAGTATTATATTAACACCTCTAGTTCAAACAGATACTCGTGGAACTTCGGACTCGTCCTTTCATGATGAAGACGAGCCAGATGATGATGATGATGATATTGATGAAGACGACGACTTAAACTATCGTGTCGAAGATGATGATGACTCAGAAGAGTTTACTTATGAAAACAACATTTTGGAAATTAGAATGCGAGCGCGCCATCGAGTCGCACCAGGGGCTCAAGTCATATCGCATGAACGAACATATTCTGGACATTCAAACGTTGACACCGTGAGGGATGTCAGCTTTTTCGGCAAGCAAGACGAATACGTACTAAGTGGTTCTGCTGATGGCAATCTGTTTATATGGAGTAAAGATACGTCTTCCATAGTTGCAATTTTGGAAGGAGATTCCGAGAATGTGAATGTTATGGAGGGACACCCGGAATTACCGCTCATTGCCAGTTGTGGAATTGACTCAACTGTCAAGGTTTTTGGTCCGGGTCGAAACCCCAATGCTCGAAGGTCAAAAAACAAAACTGATAACTGTTATCGAATTATTGCTAGCAACGAAATGAGCCGCCAATTTGGTTCCCGTGACTTTTATGTCACAAGGTTTGTATTACTATTTTAGATTATAATCATTAACCTCTACAGTCGGATGTTGTCAAGATTGGCTCACCATTCAAACTGGGATAATGCTACTGGGGAAGGTTCCCTTGACACTGCTTCATGCAATATAATGTAAAACACAACAAATGCGGAAATGAGTGAAGTATTTATTAATTTATATGCTTCGTTCTATCCGTCTTCCATTAACGCTTCGTCCAAAACACTCACTCTTGAAGCTAGCCAAAGAGGAACGTTTTTTCTTTCCCACTTCTGTCTTGTTTTTCCTTCTTCAATGAAAGTAATTTCATTTTTGCTCATGTTTAACCTTGTTCCGTCAATAAACAAAAAGTCATAAGAATTTCCTGTTTTCACAAACCAACCGTATTGGGGATAAAACTTGCACTGAGGGAAAATGACATCCTCTGAAAGTAGCGATTTGCATTTTAGATACCATGTTTCTACATCGAGTTTGAATTGCGGATTTCTTGCACTAACATGCGTGTAGACTTTGTTGTTATTATTGTCGATGACATAGATTCTCCTCCGTTTCGGCGCATATAATATGGTATAGTGCCCTTTTGTCAGCTGTAAGTTGCCGTTATTATAAAGGTTACAATCGATCGCATCACTCTTGACGGCAAGGACGCAACGATCTTTCTTCAGTTTTCCCACAATTTTACTGGAAAATCTGTATGCGGGCAAATGCTGAATAGGAAGGTCATCGATAAAGTAGTCCTTCTCGTCTTCAGGTGATATTACTTTGATGTATTCGCCATTAGAACTGATTTCATACAGCAATCCGCTTTTTTTTAAGAAGAGACGAAGGACAGACTCTGTCACTTCAATAGACATGGTATTGGTCTCCTTTTCATAGGGCCTGCAACCGTGTAAATCAAAATGATACTTTTTTGCAAAATCACTTAGTTTGTCTTTCACCATAGTAGGCATCTCAACAGTTTGTGAAGGGGTATTCGTAAGGATCTTCGTTTCGTTTAACTCATTAAGGTCATCATGTTGTGTTAGTTTTTCCAAATCGGCCTCAGCGCTAACTTTGGCAAACGGCACTCTTGATCGAGCTTTGAAACGGTGAAGCTTTGCAGTTGCAAATTTGGAAGAGAAATCTTCGGAAGGTTGAAGTGCCTCCTTTAAACTAATTTTTTCTAAGTCTTCAACTGCGTGTTCTTTCACTGATGATGAAAGTTGTTGGTTGTCTTTCACTGAATCGTAGACATTGAAAGAGGGGATCTCCTTCGTTGAAGCTTTAATCGTATTTTGTTTTGCCTTTCCCATCGTGGGATCTAAGAAAAAAGACGTAGTCGCAGCTCTCGATAGCGGCAGTCTTTTTCTTGGATTAAGATGTAGTAGGCATTTTAAGAAAACTTGGAAAGGGGAAAGCTTCGAATCACTTAAAGAACGTAACTTTTTTGTTTCTACTTCCAAGTTTGAAAGCTTTTTGTTAGGTTAGCCAATGTTGATAGAAGCGTGCATGGACTTACGAGTAGGCTATTTGCACCAAGATAAGAGCATAGTAATATACAGCCGAAATTCCAGGAATCGGTGTTTGGTGACGGTCCTTCATATGCCGAAAGCTCGCTGCATAGTGCGGTTAGAAAAAGAAGAAAAAAAAAAGAATACGAAGACGTACGGAATAGGCAGTATAGGAGCGCAATGAAAACGTAGGAGTCCAAATATGTCAATCCGAACCTTAAAATCCGGTGAAAGAAAAATATCCTCTACGGAGATAGAGGTGCAATGTATACCGTACTGGGCAAGTTTTAGCATAACGCTGAGTAGCGATTTGCCTAACGCATTAATTTTTGCCAACGGGACGCCTTTAGGATAAATATTGGAAACGTAATTGTACAAGCTAGAGTCCGATAAGTTTTGAAGAGCAATGAAGAAGTGATCTTGATTTTCAAAGTGTGAAAAGTAACACGAAATCTCTCTATATTCCGCTATACTCCGAAGAAACGAGAGTCTTTTTAAAATAAATACATAGTCGAATATGGATGATTGTTTAGAGATCTGTAGGGTGTTAATTGAGGATCAACGGAAAGGAAAACAAAAGGCATACCTTGCACAAATAAATAGATTGAGATTTCTTTCCCACTTCTATACTTACTGATCCCTCATACACTTGATATCCCTGTTTCTGAATAACTAGTCTCTTGAATTTGAAATCCTTGGTAGGGTTAGTACTCAAATCAGTGAGAAATACGTGAATACAAACCGTCAATTGATAACCTGGCTTCCCAGCAATAGAATTTTCCTGAGAAACATCTTCAAAGTGAACAAGACCATTGCTTTGTGTCGAAGATTTTGGAAAACCCTGCTGAAAAGTCTGAGGTCCCATAAATCCTGTAATTTAGAGATTGCCTCACGTTTGACTAACAGAAAGACCGCAATTATGTACAAGCAACGTTCTATAACTAAAATAATCTGTTGTTTTGCATTAGAGCAGCTGAAAACACGGGAGAAAGGTTGCGTCTTAAAATCGGAGGTAACAGTTGTAGCAGCCGATGAAATGACACACTAGCAGAAAATATACTCTAAAAGGGAAGTTTAATGAGAAGATATTGGGCTTCAAAATGATTGTATTAAAGAGTAAACAAGTTCAGGACTTGGTATGAGATTGTTTTAATGGTGATTGCTGTTCTAGCTGGCCTGGCCAACAACTTGGTACTTGTTTTTATATGGAAGAAAAGGTTGGTTTTGGATAGAGAAATAGACTAGTTCGTTTGATTTCATAGTGACTTTGAGTTAAACTTTTAAATTAATTTTAAACTTATTTTTGCTTCAACTTTTTCTGACGCAAAGAGTTTTTTCATTTCATTAAGTGAGCATTCCTTAAACTTCGTTTAGTTTACTGAGTTAGCCAAAGTCGGATCTTTTCTTTAACCCTTTTGTAAACCGTCAATGATCTCCTTGCTACATATTAACTATTTAAGCTTAATCTAAATTAGAGCTTAATATATACCAATTATCACAATAATAAAAGAATTACAACCACAAAGGTCTTACTCATATTAAGTACTACATAACAATAACAATCTCAGTGCTTTCTTTCGTGCATTCCTGTAATTTCAGTTTTAACACGCGTACGCGTAATTAAAGTTTCATTTAACCACCAACGCGTCGAGTTTCACCTTCCTCCTCCTGACCTCTCTCACCGTCCTGTCCTTTCCAAATACCTCTAAACGGCGACAATGTCGAACAAAAGTGTACAGTATGATAAAATATTCCTAAATCAAAGCAGAAATCCAGGAAAACTTCGAATTGCTGCAAGCGGTTTGGGTTGGAAATCGCCGGACATAAAAGAACCATTCACAGTGCCTCAGAGTGAAATTCGTCGGTTCTGTTGGAGTAAATTTGCTCGTGGTTACGAGCTGAAGTTAATATTAAAGAATGGAATTCCTGTCAGTTTGGACGGTTTTGAGTTGGAGGTATGTAAAATGATAGAAAAAAACACATTGATGAGAATGAAGCGTGAAGTTAAACGTAACGTATACTCTCGTCGGGAGGTTTTTGAACTCATTACCCCACATCTCTATTTATGTGCTAACATAGTATTCAGGATTTTGAAGATTTACAAAATGTTATTAAACAAAACTTTGATATGACAATTGAACAAAAAGATTTTTCTCTCAAAGGATGGAATTGGGGAAAAACAAATTTTCTGGGATCGGATCTTGTTTTTGAAGTGAACTCGAGACCTGCATTTGAAATTCCTGTCGCCAGTGTTGTAAATACCAACTTGTCTGGCAAAAACGAGGTTGCCCTCGAGTTTTCTACACAAAACGACGGTCCAGTCCCTTCAGCACAGTCTGATCAGTTGGTCGAAATGCGTTTGTATATTCCAGGAACGACAACTCGGGAGGAAGCTGCTGAAGGTGAAGAAGCCACTGAACAAAACCTGGCAAGTGTTTTCTACGAAACACTTAAGGAACGTGCCGACATTGGCCAAGTTACTGGTGACGCTATCGTATCATTTAGTGATATTCTTCTTCTTACCCCTCGCGGTCGTTATGACATTGACATGTATGAGGATTGCATGCGGTTGCGCGGAAAAACATACGACTATAAGGTTGATTATACCTCAATTATTCGTCTATTTCTCTTGCCAAAGCCAGATGATCAACATGTTGTTTTCGTAATTGGCCTTGACCCTCCATTGCGCCAAGGTCAAACAAGATACCCTTTCTTGGTGACACAATTTATTCGTGATGAAGACATGGAGGTTGATTTGAATATTGACGAAGGACTTCTTCGTGAAAAATATGCCGATAGACTTAAAAGTTCCTATGACCAGCCTGCATATGAAGTCGTTAGTCAAATTTTTCGCGGTTTGACTGGCCGTAGGGTGACTACGCCTTCCAACTTCTCTAGTCATCACGGACACACCGCTGTCAAGTGTTCCTACAAGGCCAATGAAGGACAATTGTACGTGTTGGAGAAGTCTTTTCTCTTCATTCCGAAACCGCCTATCTACATTGGAATGGGTGACATTGCGCGCGTTACTCTTTCTCGTGTTGGTGCATCGGTTTCGGCCGCCCGTACTTTCGATCTTACCTTTACAATGCGCTCCGGTACCTCGTACCAGTTCTCCAATATTAATCGCGAAGAACAAAATGTACTTGTTGAATACATTGAGTCGAAGCACATTAAAATACACAATGATTTGGCGGATGAAGCGGCACAAAACACTCTTCTGTCCGCTGCACTGGATGATGAAGACGACGGCACGGCTGACATGGACGAGGACGATAATGAGGATGAAGAGTTTGAAGCGGAAAGCGAAAGCGACGTTCCTGAAGAATATGACGAGAACCACATTTCATCTTCCGATGTGGAGGAGGAATGAGTTTGCTGCCGCTTGAGGTTCACTGGACCATCTATGCTCGAAAAAACCTTTTACGATCGGTGTGTACGACGTGAGAATACACAACTTTCTATGCGTGATAGTTTAACTTTCTATGAAAATAAACGGACGATCTCTATGATTGTCCAAATGATTGTCCATGAAGAATGAACTAGACAATTCATCTTTTATTGTTTATCGCTTTTTTATTAGGGACGGAAATTGGTTTGCGCGTTAGGGTGTCTTATGCGTTTTAGGAATAGTTAACGCACTCAAATACATTGCTTGGCAACTCTTTAAATATTATTTACGAGTACTAACGATACTCACACACCGTTCCATTTACTTCCATGTGCTCGCCTCGTTGCGCATCGTAGCACCCTTTTAGAGCTCTCTTCGCTACGTTTCGCTTCTGAACGACTCGTAATCATGTACACGAAACACAACATGTGACTGCTTTTTTGGAAACTGTTTTTAACCTGGCACACACAGCTACGATCCTCCTCCCAGGAACCAAGATGGCCAAGTCTAAGAACCACACCAATGTAAGTCAAACGGCTTAAGGGACAAGTTCGGGCATCAGTAACTAACTGCAATAGCACAACCAAAACAAGAAGGCTCACCGTAACGGCATCAAGCGCCCTCAAAAGCACCGTTACGACTCTTTGAAGTTCCGTGATGCCAAGTTCCGTCGCAACCAAAAGTTTGCCAACCGTGGTACTGTGAAGGCTCTTTATGAGGCCAAGACTGCTGCTGCTAGCGCTTAAACAGTGAATATATGTTGGTTCCTGCAGAGCCTGGTGTGATAGGCGTCTGGTTCAACGATGTTTCCACTCTTGCCTTGTCGTTCTATGGCTGAATTCGAGTGGGTGTAGCTTTGGGGTTGTTAAATCGAGAGTGTTCTAAGGTGAAATTTAGTTAAACTATCGCACTGTGCCCCCGGCTTTTCGAATGTTCATGAAAAAAGCCCTTATGCACTTGTGCCAGATTAAGTCGGCCTTATACATATTGGCACTCTAACTTTGTAAATGTGTTCCTGTGTTAAGAATCGGTCGACACATGTCCCTTTCAGATAGTAAGTGTGAATCGTTTCATTTCTTTGTGCATATCGGAGGGTAAATGGATGCAGCTTCAGTACTGTCGTGCTCGTCTACCACTGATCGGTTTTCTCTGTCTTTACAGGGTGGGCTGGATGTTTATAAAGCTCGCAACGACCTCTGGGTGGATGCACTGTATTTAGAGTTGTCGTATCTCACATAAAGGGAGCAAATTGGACGGGCCATGTGGTGCAATAGCAGCAGCCACGGGTTCTATTATCGCTGGTATTTGTTCATCATACACACGTTGCCTTTGTTTAGGGTTACACAGTTCGATGAACCGATATCAAAAGAATTTGAGTCAGTATGAAGAGAATCAGTCAGCGATCTGTATACTGGGCGACTACAGAAACAAGCATTAGTATATCCCATCAAAGTTATTAGAGAAAAAAATACACTCCGTTCCTTAAGATGGAATAGATACACGAGATATTATGTAGCACCACAGTTTGATACAGCCGCGTATACACAAATAGCTCCCGCAAGAAGAGCATCTCCAGTCACTCAAAGGGTCCGAGGCTACACGCACACTAGCGAGAATAAAGAGGAGAAAGTTCACGGATGGGCGGAAGACCGTTGTCGCGATGGAATAACGTAGGTTAGAAACAATGTATCGTCAGGAGTTTTGGAGGGGGAATATGGAATAAATCTTGATGGAAAAAGTGTATATGGCGATAATCTCAACATAGATTCCGTCTAGTAGTAGCGAACCAGTTCAGTTCTTCGACAATTGACCTGTTTGCAGCAGTATGTAAAAAAACATTGGTGGTAAAGGACTTTTGATACAACATACGTTCTCAGTATGTGCGGTAGCATTACCAGTAGTTAGAACGTCAAAAAGGTTAGGCTTTACAGCATATAAGCCTGTTTCGCTCAACACTCGGTTTGAAGCAAGGCATGCACGGATGTCATGCACTTGACACTTGGGTGTACGGACTTAATGGCCATACCTTTGCTTCTTTTCTGCGGGCTTTAAAATCTGGAAACTGCAAAGAAGGCTTTCATCGACACTCATCATGGCTCCTGCATTGTCGAACTCACCACAGTAGTTGGGTGCACTAAACAACGTTACAAGCTGGCGCTTGGAAAAAAATTCATAGCCGTCCTCGACAACTTGATGAGCTCGACACACCAAGTCCATGTCGTGTTTATGCAAAAATCTAGACACTACGTCTGGTCCAAAGGTGAAGGAGACACCACGATCGTTTTCACCCCAACCCGTCAAATCTTTGTCAGGATCCGACCACAACAGATCACATAACAAACCGGTATCCGGCACATCGGTGGGCCGCATAATGCGTTGGATCTGGTCCATAGAGTTCAGGTCTGGCGACAAGCCACCGTGCATCGTGAAGATTTTTTCATCAATAATAGCTGCAATGGGCAAGCAGTTGAAACAGTCTGTGAAGGTTTTCCAGAGCTTAATGTTGTAACGGCGCTTGCATTCATCGTAGAAACCGTAAATACGATTGATACTAGCGCACTCGTGATTTCCACGCAGGATAAAGAAGTTTTCCGGGTATTTGATTTTGTAAGCCAGCAACAGACAGATCGTTTCCAAGCTTTGCTTGCCGCGATCAACATAATCTCCCAAAAACAGGTAGTTTGCCTCTGGAGGGAAGCCTCCGTACTCAAACAGTCTCAACAAATCATAGTACTGGCCATGAATATCACCACAAATCTTCAATGGGGCCTCCAATTCCAACAATATAGGCTGGCTGATAAAGATTTCCCGGGCCTTGTTACAAAGAAAGCGAATTTCGTGCTCTGCTAGTTGAACCTGCTTTCCTGGTCTGCTTCCACGCACTGTAATTCAGGTGTGTTAATATTTATCTTTAATACCACCGTTTTAGCTTTCATTTTCAAAGCAAACGCACCTTCGAGCAAGCGATCTATAACAGAATCTAAATCGACATCTTGTTTCGACATTTTATGCGGTTTTTATATTATACTGATTTGTTAATGAATGCATCAACCTCGCGACATACGAAAACCACTAGCTATCCGGGCTGAAACACCGAAAGTAACCCAATAAGACTATGAAACGGGTACTAGAAGCACTGAAATCTGAATATGCCGTTCGGGGTAAAACTTCGGTGGGTTTTTGTTGTGAGTAGGTTTGGGAAGGTGTTAGCTGAATTAGGGAGGTACACTGGCGCGGCTAGGTGTTGGCAGTGGGGTGTGCGATAGAGGTGGGAACACCTTAAAAACAGTAAAAGAGCTTAAATGCGGAGCGAGAGAGCGCGAAAACTAATACACAGAACTGCTTCACAATCTGCGGGGATAGCGCGTTGATTTGTGTAAACACAAACAGGCACATAAGTGTATATGCAAACGATGTATATGCAAATTCCGAGATCTGTATAAATTGAGAGTGCCTGAAGAAAGGACGCTTGCCATTAACCAACAATTTCCCAATGATATCCTTACAAATTGAAACAGATCGCTTTAATGACCTGCTGTAATTGTTCATTCCTTACAAAAGAACATTCGTAGTACGAATTGTGTTTGGACCTTCACTGCTCGGCCTCTTTTCCGTCTAAGCGTAAGCTTCCTCGTGCGCGTCGCTTGACGAATCGCTAATCCGATTGATTTGCATGTTTTCTAACTAATTACAGGACGAACGCAGGAGCCACATTGATTGCTTTGTGGCCTATCAAAAGGAATGGCTCTTTATATTTACTCGGCCTTAAATACTGCTCTCACCATTACTGGTTACGGAAGATGCCGATCTTTCAGGCAACTCGCCTGCGTGCGTTATTTGTGCTATGGCTGCAGATTTTATTAAAGTTTTCCGAAATGCACCGCATTTCGCTAAATCCGAGTACCACTTGGCAGGTGTTTTCAGCTCACTGGGGTGTGAGGATGCCTTTTTTCTCTTACCAAGCAGCCTGTGCCCTGTTTCAGTCATCACTCAAGTTTTAGGATTGAGAGATCCGCAAGACGTCACGTTCGGGGTTTACAAACTGCTCTTAGGATGGAAGAAGACTCGGGTTGTCGAATTCCGGGACTTTCACTCATCTATGGTAGCGATATCACTGTATCCAAGGAACAATCGCCGAAACCGACGGAGGTAAAAGGAGAGGTCGCGGAAGTTCCAGTGAAAAGGGATGTTGCTTTTCCAGCAGAAGAAGCGCAAATTGCGTCAAAAGCTGAATCATTGGAAGCGTCAACAGTGCTCGAAGTGAATGAGTCCATGGAAACAGATGCGTCAGCCAATCCTTCGGCTTTGGCTACAAGCATTCCCTCAGCTGTTGACGAGGGCACAATCGCTGAGGAGCCTACTGAAAACGTGGTTCCTTTAGAGGACTCAAAGGTCGAAACCGAAGTGTCGACCACTTCTGATGAATCGAGTGGTAAAATACAGTTAGCTGTGAAGCCAAATGAATCCAAAGTAGAAAATTTCACTGATCTTTTGGATGAGGCTCTTGCGAATGCTACAAATGATCCAGTACAGCCATTGGATATTCTGGAACCCCCGAAAGAAAAGACCGAAGATGTAGAACTGGTGGCGGGAAAGGCTTCTTCGAATTCCTCCTCAGATTCTGATAGCAGTTCTGACAGCGATTCTGATGATTCTGAAGACGAGGAAAGTACTGCGGTAGTCGCTGCGGGAGATGCAAACCCTGCTGAGGTGAAGGATGAGGAGGAAGACGGACGCATGTCCCCCCCTCGAACTGCACATGAGCTTCCAGAAGAAGTAATTGAGCGACCTGATTTCACGCTTGATGCTACTACGGAGATTAGGCCCTTAGGAAGGATTTTGAATGTTTTCGAAAAGCATATTCTCATTCAAAGCACAATGCACACTGATAGCATTGTCTTTGACGAGAAAACTGTGGTCTGCCTCGAAAACAAAGACATTATTGGCTACATTCATGAAACTTTTGGTCCTGTTACAGACCCGTTCTATGTTGTTCGATTCAATACATCAGAGGAATGTGCGTCTGTTGGTGCCTGTGCGGGACAGGCGGTGTACTTCGTGCCTTCAATGGCGAACTCTGTGGATACTGAGCCATTGAAGTACCTGAAAGGCAGTGATGCAAGTAATGTCTTTGACGAAGAAGTGAATCCGTCCGAACAAGAGTTTTCTGATGACGAAGCAGAAGCCGCTGCTAAGCAAGCGGCAAAACGCCGTAAGAAAAATAAAAACAAAAGACGTGATCCCACAATGGAGGAAGGCCAAGTGCGTCCCGGCAGAGATTATTACGATGCCAACGATCGTAACTCTTTGTATCCAGCCCAAAATCGGAATTATGCTCCTGCCCCTCGCAACTACCATAATCCAAGGGATCGTCAAAACGCTGCCCCGTCTCCGTACCCGGCCAAACCACAGTCAATGAATGCAGGCCTACCTCCGGGAATGTATCCCATGATGCAACCGTATGCAAACGGTATGTTTCCGATGGGATTCCCTGGATGGCCTGGCGGTTGGAATCAACCGTTACCTAATGCGCCATCTATGCCTGGTTCGCAAAGCCCGGGTCCCTCTGCCCCAAATTCTGGCAACATTCACTTGAACCCCAGATTCTTCCCTCCCAACGCAGCTGCTCCCTCCGCCGACAATTCCCAATCCACTGATTCGGACTCCTCCCAAATGATCCAGCAGCAGCTTAACACACTGCGATCGTTGTGGCGACAACAGTAGTGTGACATAAAATCTGTTTTATCTTGGACAAAGTTATTGGAATTGCTATTTACTTCTTTTTTGTTTGTGTATATGGAATTATTGGTTTCTAATAGATTATCGTTGTTGTTTGGACCTTCTATTTGCTCCTTACCGCTGTTTAATTGTTGTCGCACTTAACTTTTGTGCAAGTTTGGTGTATGGTGCACGTTCTAGGGACAACTACCTGTGAACACTAAATTTCGCAACTGCCAACGCTACCATCGCAGACCACATAGTTTGCAATATACCCTTTTATTGCCATTGGTCGGCAAGAGTTTAAACGCTCACCTCTTTTTCATTCACACCCTGTGAGATAAAAACAACTTAAGGGTAAATTTTTTTGGGCAACGATGGAGTATCCTACCATTGGTTTTCTTGGACCTGAAGGCACATTCAGTGAAAAGGTTTGTTGTTTTCTCTCTAATTAACTTATACGTCCGAGTTAAGTTAACATTTTCTCCGAGTTTTAGGCTGCACGGCTTGTTACAAAAGATGCAATTCGTATACCAGAAAAGTCATTCGAGGGTATGATTGCGGATGCGTGAACTTATTCACTGTGTCTTTTCGGACCAAAATCCTTTTCTCCGCTGTGTTGTGAGGAATGATCAACTAACATTTTTTTGCAGCGGCGTTGAAAGAACTCGACAAGGGCAGTATTGACTACTTTGTGCTACCCATTGAGAACTCCACTAACGGAGCTGTGGTACCTGCATATGACTTGTTGCGCAACAACGAAGACATCTGGATCCAACGTGAAGTGCTTGTCCCTGCCCATCAATGCGTTTTGGGACGTGATTTGCAACACATAACTGCTGTTCTGAGTCATCCACAAGTGTTTGGTCAGTGTGCTTCATGGCTGCGTACGTTTGCTCCTCATGCTGAGCTTGTATCTTGCAGTTCGACTAGTAAAGCTGCTCATATTGTTTCGAGTGACACAGCAGGCACTAGCATTGCTATCGCTGGCGAATTGTGTGCTGAAAAGTACAACATCAAGTTGCTTGCTAGGAATGTTGAAGACGATGTCGAGAACAAGACTCGTTTTCTCGTGCTAAGCAAGCGTAACAACAAGTCTAAAACACTAATTCCTCCGAACGGACACCCTCAACAGGTCAAAGTCATGCTTCGGCTTACGCCTAACGATCCCTCCGAAATGAACTCCGTTCTCACCTTCTTTACTCAACAATCTGTCCCCATCTTGAACATTACGCAGCGCCCATCCTTGGTAAAACGGTGGAATTACACTTATTTCATCGAGTGCATGAATTTCACCGAAAGCCAAGCTTTAGAGCTTTCGCGTTTATGCAGCAACACAACAGTTTTAGGTGTGTATCGTAATGAGGTTCCGTTCTGAGCGGGCCCAAATCCGTTTTCCATGAGCACGCCCCTACGGTTATCTACGGTCGCAAAGCTCTCTCCACATTTTTGTTACATAAAAAATGCACTATCAATTCATAGAGTCTTTAATGTTTTCAGTATGCACATTCGTGCAGTGCAAAATCAACGGCACTACATTCTTTAAGAACATCAGGTAGGATAATATCATAAACACGGGGTAAACACGGTACAAAGGACAGGGAAGGCAACCAATTCTTTGGCGCCTTACTCTTAGCAGGTTCGTCGTCTAAGTACTTCAATATATCAGCGACGAGTGAGTCGCTGAAATGAGATGCTATTTGAAAAACCGCACACGGACCATCCCGGCCGCCGTTCCGGTTACCTTTCTATGCAGTTTCAGTGGTGGTTTCTGTAGTGGCAGCAGCGGCCTTTTGAGCAGTCTCCGTAGGAGCAATGTTCTCAACCTCATCAGCTTTTTCGTCAGTAGCAGACTTCTCAGTCTGCTTCGCAGATTCTTCCGAGACAACAGCAGGCGCGGAAACATCTTCCTTCTTTTCAACCTCGGTAGGCTCAGCGTCAGCAAGGCTCACACTCTCAACCGCTGCACTAAGATCTGCTTCTTCAGTCTTTTCCTCCTTGTTGTTCGTGGATGCAGCTTCGTCACCATCAGTTTTAACTTCCTCATCAGCGGAAACAGGAGACGACGTGCTGGCAGTGGTTTCCGCAGTAGTAGCAGAAACAGGAGCAGGAATAGAGGTAACGGGAGAGGCAGGTTCAGGTGCAGAGATGGTGACAGTGGGAGTAATAGGGGCAGCGGTGGCAGCGGTGACAGTAGAAGAAGCGGGAGCAGGAGCAACAGGCGATTCAGCGGCGACAGGCTCCTCAACCTTCTCCTCAGCTTGCTTCTCAACAGGAGAAGTTTGTTCAGCCTCAGCTTCTGCGGGCTTAGACTCTGCCTTGGGGGAAGCAGACTCGGGTGCTGCAGCAGTCTTTTTACTCAAAGGCACCTCAACGTATGCAGGATCACGAACCTCCTTCTCTTTAGGAGAGGAAGTGGCTGCGATAGTAGGGCTTGACGCCGTTTTCGGCTCTGCGGATCCCGAAGCAGCATTGTGTTGCTTCGATGCATGGTTCTTCTTAGATGCTGCACGAAGCTTGGCGAGGCGGCGTTCTTGCTTGCGCACCCGGTACTTGAGGATGTCCATGTACGACCATTGCTCACGGGGAGGACCGTACAACAAACGAAGCTCGTTCGTGTCCTCATCCACCAACCACTTTCCGTTTTCCATGTCGTAAGCTACAATGGCAAGGAAATCGGCCCAGGATCGAGCCACCACGTACTTAGTATCATGGTCACGTCCAAACAGAATCACTTGTCCCCAATGACCAGCAGGACCAGGGGCCAAATCAACAGCAATGTTGTTGCCAACGAAGTCCTTGGCCAAAGGCACCCAACCAGGATGCGCATACACGCATTGAACGGCGTTAGGAGGGAAAGACGATTGATGAGAAGCCACAGCTTGATCGACTTTTCCGGACAAGGTAGCCTCAGCATAAGACTGGGCCACACGGCGCCACAACTCATACTCCTCTTCGACTTCCTCAATGTCCATAAGTGTAATACCAAACAGAATACCCGTGGGCTGACCTCCACGGTCTTGACCATCGTGGATGTAGAAGCTTTCACGGACATCACGAGGTAAAGTACACTCAAGCTCGTACTCCAGACTGTCAACGTCTGCAGCCGTAGCCCCATAACTCAACTGACAGTACAGCTCATAATAATTCTCCTCCGTCCAACGGTCAATACGTCTCCATGAGTCCGAGACCGGGGGAGGGGGAGCGATGCCGTCGGGACTCATGTCCTGCATCTGAATGTCCATGCCGGTGTTGGCAGCGGTCATCGTAGCGGTTCTGCTTCCTGGAACATAACCGGAAGTAGCACTGTTACCGATTGTATTTAAAGCTACATGAGACGCCGAAGCCGCGTTCGAAAGGTCGTAAGCAGAGCCATTTCCACTCAACAAGTTATAGTTTGGTCCCGTAGTGACGGAATTTAACGGAGTAGGCAACGGTGTAGGCTTTTCACGCCGAGCAGATCTAGCATTCGCATCTGCATGTCTATTAGGCGTCGTCAGCGAGCTAAAAAACGACGAAACAGATTCTGCAAAGGAAGCAATCGCACTTTTCCCCATGGTTTATAACAAAACAAAAGAGGTTTCCTCGTCAATCGTGTGGACGTTCAAAAACGGTAAAAATAGTAGAAAAAAAGAAAAAAAAAACCAAATTAGAACTGACAGAAAAAACAACCAAATTACCGCAAAATATGTTCTATTGTTGTTTAAGAATCAATTGATTCTTTCAGCGGAATAGGGTATTAAAGAAGCAAATGAACGCTGGGATTGAGTGCTCAATGTAGTTGGTTCTCGGCAAGTTTAGGTAGACACCATCCAGCACTTGATCATGTATCTGACGTAGTTGGGGCTGAATTAAGGTTAGTCCCGAAGGAACAGCTAAAATACGGGATTGAACAATTGGACAGTATATTCCAGCTAGGGATGCCCGAAGAGAGATAAGCGAGTGATGCAGATCAGCGGGGTCCAGCAAGCGATCTACAGAAATGCGGAGAAAAACTTTAATGAACTCTAAATTTCGTTACGAAAACCCTACAGCTCTTGCTAAGAACACGCACAGAACAAACAGAAAAGCGAAAGCAATCCTCGCCTCCACAACAAAAGACAGATTAAAACCCCAGAAATTACTATTACAGACAAAACAAACGAGAGAATTACATTTAGTAGAGACGGAAAGGCTTACCCATGGTAGACCTGAATGGTTAGCAAAGATCCTGAAAGACACAAGACTTAAGACCACAGTTTAACTAGACGCAAACTGCAGCTCAAGCCAAAAAAACACATACTTAAGAACCAAGGAGCCAATGTTTTGCCATCCCTTCTTGAGAAGAGAGATCAAGAAGTTGATGGCAAGCATAATGTTGGCAATGAGTTGATCCTCAGTCATCTCAACGTGACCAACGGCAACACCGAGGCAAAGAACCTTCTTCAATTGGAACTTGATGGTGGACTTCACCTCAGTGACCTTGCCGTACAAGTCATCGTTGTGAGAGACGGGAGAAGGGAATTTTCCAGCTATAGCCATCGAGTTAGCAAATTGAACTCTTCCTTTGCAATGCGAGACTGAAAGGTGCGGCCATGTATTGTTTATAGACGCCGTGCAAGTCCGCTGGAACGAGATTGCACCACGTCTATCCAACCCCATAAAAGCGACATTGACGCACGCTTCATTTATTGAAGCATGCGTCAATGTCCCAAGTGAACGACTTGACACGCTGAGACATCCGCGAAGACGCGGCGACGATAGAAAAACACGGCAGCGCTCACGACCGGTTTCATCACATAAAAAACCATACCAACCCATTAACCCTGTGACGGACGTGATCCATAACGTCGCGTGTCAGTCTCGCGCACACGGACTAACGCTTCCGTCCAGCGAGCAAGCAGATCACAGAATGAAAACAAGGACAACACACCGCAGAAACCCGCGTGGTTTCACTCCACGCAAGCTTCCGCAGAAGCACAAAACCTAAACCTCACAAAAACAAACACTGTACTTACCCTTAGACAAACCGGGACCCAGCAGACGGGGGATTTGCTTAATGAGAACCTCGGAAGCGATGAAGGCATCGTACTTCTTGGCCAACTTTTTAACAAGCTTCTTGTTCTTGTTCAACTTCTTCAAATCCTCAACGGACATGGCGTCAACACCACTGTGCTTGGCACGATCAAGATCGTGAGCATCACCGAGAATGCAGATAGACAAGTTGGGACGGGGGACGTTGGGCAACTTGATGGTGCCGGAGAAACGCTTGTCACGTTGAGGATCGTAGTTCTTCAAACCAATTTGCAGCTCAACAGTCTCAACGAAGTTGCGCTTCTTCTCCTCGGCACCCTTGAGGATGCTGTCAACATTAGCACGGACAGTAGCAACGGAAACCTTAGACATGTTGGCTTGCGGGTTCGATGTTGGTGAAAGACAGGTTAGTTTTTCCAGTTGGTCGCCCCATATATCGGTGTGACTGCTAAATACAGGGATACAGCAGTCTCAGTCCTCCTACCCTTTGCCAATTTGTGGGGGTGAAATGTGGGGTAGATGGAAGAGGGCTTGTTATGTCCATAGTAGGTATACAATATAGAAAAACATGAATAGTCGATAAGAGAAAAGTGTAGAAATGACGATGTTTAAGAGAGGAATAAGATAAGAGCTGAAGGGGTTTCGGGTCCATAAGCGGTAATGATTGTTGGTGATCGACAATTTGGTTGCGCTACTGAAATATTGTACTAAATGTCGCAAGATGAAAGACTCTTGAAGTTACAATAAAGCTGTTTCAGACTTACCAGGAAACTGAACGACGGAATACAGAGTTCACGGCTGGCGGTGGAGGAGGTCGGAGGCTGCGTTTGTAGGCAGAGTAGCCGTACTTGGCATACAACCAACCAAAAATGCCACCTCCCAAGTGTGCAGCATGATCAATGAACGTGAAGCGGGACCGGTTAATGAGACCCCAGGCATCAAAGGCCATAAGTCCAAGTAATGCTACACCAATTCGGATGGGAATGAAAGGTAAGAAGATTATGGACACGCTCGCATTAGGGAAGAAGTACGAGGTTGCTGCTGCAATGGCATACACAGCACCGCTCGCACCCAGGGACCCTGGAGTCATAGCGGACCCGAAGCGTAAACGATGGTGGAATATGCTGACAAGATTGGATGCCAGCACCGATGTGGTGAAAAAGGCTAAGAATTGGTTGGGCCCCATAACATCAACGACGCTTGGTGCAAACGAGTAAAACGCAATCATGTTCACCGCAAAATGCCAATTGGATTGATGACTGAAAGCAGATAGAAGCATGGATGGAAGCGTAGTACGGACAGGATTCATAATGGTATACCGGTCGAGAAACCGGACCACCTTTCCATAAGGACGCAACTTCCACAATAAGAGAACAGCTGCATTAACGCCAACAATGCTCAGTACTATTTTTTTAGAAGACGGTTGATGAATACGCCGTCCACGAAACGAGGTTATTTTCTTTGCTTGTTGCTTTCGAGCGTCAAGAGCATGAGCGACAGAAAAGCTAGCGAAACCCATGCCCAAAGCAAACGTAACCGGTTTCCATAATGGTGTTGCTTGAATGTTTTTCACACGGATCCAAGGTCTGTAGTAAAACCGTCTCTGGAACTGTGATCGCCAAGAAGAGCCCGACTTGCTAAAAAACCGGTAAAACATGACACAGGATATCAATATTTAACCAGTTTTGTTGGGAATAGGCCCAGTCTATATTAGAAATTGACTGAGAATGAGGTCTTTTTCGAGGTGGTTTATAAGCTCTTAGTAGCGAGTAAGTGAGAAATTCGGACCGAACAGGTGTGTACGAAAACACGGAATAGATGGTTCAACGGAAGCGATACGGTTACGACGAAGACAATTAGCGCAATTGCAGGGTTTATAAGCCCAAGAACGGAAGTAAATGCTTGTTTGGAAAAAAGGAGTAAGGAGTTGAAATGAATAAGTAATTGTTCAAAAGATAGGCTACGAGTTTGTGAGACTGAGAATTGATTGAGATAGAGAAGAAATGGATTGTATTCGAATATGTTGCAGTGATAAAGCCAACGTTGATGAAGAGTAGAACCGTGATAAATAATAATCGGACTGAGGTAAGAAGTCCACTGTTGTTAAAACCGTACTAGCCAGCTATACGTTTCCTTCGATCGTGTTCCTGTGATCGTCTCCCTGGTTTTTAATGACTTATACTCCAGTCTACCACGGGATCGCCCTGTTTGCCATGCTTCGCTTACGCACCATATAGAGAGAATCGAACTTCTGAAAACGGTCTTGTTCAAACAGATACAATGATTTCCCTAGAAACAAGCTACACCGATCCGTTTGACACAACAGGTATGTCACTCGTCCCCATATAAAGATATTCACACTACTCCATCCATGCTGTCTATAAACGTTTTAAATTGCTCTTCTGTAGTAGCTATTTCTTCAAAAAACTCGCCAAACACCCAATCGAACCCGCTCTTTTTCCTATAAACACCATTCCACACAATTGACTGTAGAAAAACCAAGTAATACTTCTAAAACCACTCGTTTACGCCTCGAATGTCGCTCAAGTGTGGCCTCGTTTCTGTTCCAACTATGTCTCTTACCACATAAGTCAACGGGAAATGCTGCAGGCTACACCATAAACTCACCACCAAAGACACTACCACCATTTATGCTGGTGGGATGTGTTGCAGTACCACACCAAAACGAGAAAACTGCTCTCGTCGACGTACGTCCTGTTTTCTTCACGAGCTGCGTTATCTGCGCATAAATTTAGACAATGCAGTGCTCAACTTGCGGTTCGTCCAGCTTAGAGTCGGATCAGTCGTCTGGTAACACTTATTGGTACGCAATTTTGTGTTTTGTCTCTTCAATTGAAAAGACCGGGAATAGAACCATGAAGCTTCTCACTTTGGAGTCGAGCTTGGTTTCGTGTTGTTTGTTACGAAAAATTCTAACAACTATGTAGTGTAAAATGTGGTACTGTCTGTGAACAAAACGTCATTGTGTCAGAGGTTACTTTTGGTGAAGCTTCTACGGGTGCAGCAATCGTCCAAGGATCTCTCATTAGTCAGGACCAAACACACGCTCGGACGTTTGGTCCCTACCGGAAACACAACCAACTCGAGTCGAGAGAAATGACAATTTCGAACGGCCGGAAACGGATAGCTGCTCTTGCACGGACGTTGCGGCTGACGGACCGGCATGTGGAAGCAGCCGTTCGTTACTTCACGCTGGCCATAAACCACAATTTCATCAAGGGCAGACGTTCGCAGTATGTTGTCGCTTCTTGTTTGTACGTGGAGTGTCGTATGGCGAAAACATCGCACATGCTGATTGATTTCTCGGACGTGCTTCAAATCAACGTGTTCAAATTGGGTTCTACGTTCTTAAAGCTGTGTCGAGTTCTACGCATTACATTGCCCTTACTCGATCCTTCCATATACATTGGTCGTTTTGCAGCTATGCTTGAATTTGGATCCGAGACCCAGCGTGTTGCCAGCGATGCGACACGACTTGTGTCTCGTATGAACCGTGACTGGATGCAAATTGGCCGTCGGCCCGCGGGAATTTGTGGTGCATGTTTACTGATTGCGGCTCGAATGAATAATTTCCGACGGAGTGTTCGCGAAGTGGTGCACGTAGTCAAGGTCGCCGATGCTACTATTCAAAAACGTCTTGAGGAATTCCGTGACACAGAAAGTGGAGAGCTGTCGGTTGCAGACTTTCGCAACATATGGCTTGAAGGCCAGCGTGATCCTCCTAGTTTTCTTCGTAACCAAAAACTGCGTCAAGACTCCGTGCCAACGACGCCTTCCAGTGCCTACTCTGAATTCTCTACACCAGTAAAAACCTCCTCTTCTCAGCAGCAGCAACAGCAACAAGGACGGAGAGCGTCCATTTCAAGTCTGAAACAAGCGGACGAGGGCACAACTGAAATTGCAAAAATGAAGACTGAGTCACAGTCACAACAGTCAATGGATCTGAAAGCCAAGGCAGCGGGTTTGCAGGCGGAACAGGATCTTATTGAAGACATGTCTTCTGTTTTAAAAAGTGGTGAAGTTAAGGAAGCCACAAAAGCAATGGCCAGAGAGCATCAGCAAGATGACGCAGAGGCCTTTGATTTCAATGACGAGGAAATTGACAAGTTTCTGCTGAGTTCAAACGAGGTTGAAGCAAAAACTCGTGTTTGGATGGAACTCAATAAAGACTACTTGGCTGACCAGGAACGGAAACGGCTGAAAGCTGAGGAAGACTTAAAACGTGGTATTGTAAGACAGCCTCGAAAAAGACGCAAATACAAACCTAGAGACAGCTCGACGGAAGGCGTTGCTAGTACGGCCATAGAAAGTGCCAAGGAAATGATGCAGCAACGGACGTTTTCGAAAAAAATTAACTATGAGGCATTAGACCATTTGTTCAACGATTAGAGAAACTGTACTCGTCCAACAAACGTGCACATTCGTTTGGTATTGTTTTCAACAATGCACTAACTCGTTCGCGTACAGTTTTGTCTCGCAACATTCCTATACTTCTGATCCTTTTTGTTATGCACACTTGGGTGATTGTGCACACACACACACAGCATTGTTTTCTTCGCTACATAGCCCCTTCTTACTTCCCTGTTCCACGCTTCCGTGGCAATCCGTGTATCTCACCTAATTCTCTGTACCATCTCACGCTATGTATTGATTCAATGTTAATTCAATTTATCGTTTCATTTTTTTTTCTTTTCGAAATTAGTTACTGCGACATTCAACAAGTAGAGTAAATGAAGTCATAAAAGGGTAAGAAGACACGATGTTTGCCTGCCTCACTCGATGCCCAGTGGGCGAAATGAGAATGATGTCGCCGAGAGCAAGATCATCACTAGGCAAACCAGTGTAAGTGAAGCACTTGTCTATTGGTTTAATCAACAAAAACAGAAAGAAACCACAAAGGGAAACGGTTGAACGCAGAGGTAACGCGCACTCACGCATCATAGTTAGACAGTCTTAGTGGCACTGTTGAACCCGATCCTCCACGGTACACCTTGGGAACTCCTCTGTAAGGACGAGCAGGAGGTAAGTACTCCTCCGGCTTGAATGAGAAGCGTCCGTCTTCCTTCACAGCTTGAGCTCGTTTTTGCAGTGTGTAAGCGGCCGAGTTTGCCGGCAAGCTAGTGCGAGAAGAGGGTACAGGAGGCGGTGGGGGAGGAGACGAGAGAGGCGGAGACGAAGTTAGGACTCGTGCAGTCTGCAAGTCGAATGAACCTGAAGAATTCACTCTCGTTGAACTAGTGCTCGGCAAGGGAGGACTCGGCACCGATGGAGGCAAAGGAGGTGCAGAAACAGGCGGGGGAGCTGGATGAGCTGGATGCGCCGGAGCAGTCGGAGGAGCTGGGGGGACAGAAGAACTAGGCATTGGAGGAGGAGGAGGAGGGGGAGCAGACGGAGCTGACATTGAAGAAGAGGAGAACTCTCGCGAAGGCACCCGAGGTGCAGAGTAAGAAGGAATCGGGGGTGCTGGGGCAGATGGAGATGGAACAGAAGGCCGGAAGTGCGGCAACCTCGGTGGCATTGGAGAAGCCTTTGCAGGTGCAGGTGCATGTGCATGTGTTTCCGAGGCTTTCGCCGGTTTCGGTGCAGCAGAATTGCCGCCAACGTGTCGTAACTTGGGCATGCCCCCAGCAAACAAACCCCCGAGACCAGGTGGTCCGCCGGCTGTAGGAACAGGAGGTGCACTGGCACCATTGCTAGGAATACTTGGGACCTTTGGTGCTGAAGCAAGTCGTGGTGCAGCACCCCCAGAGCTGCTTGTGGAACCGCCGCCTACGGTAGGGGCTGACCGGTCATTCGTGACAGCCTTTTTTAACTTTGTACCTTGACGAATTGAACTAAGCAGAGCCGAACGGTCATTGTTTATAGGCGGTGGAGGTGCTGCTGCTGCAGGAGCCGGCGCCGGAGGAGGTGGAGGAGGTGGAGCACCCATTTTTTATGATACCAAAAATATTGATTAGACACTTGTCGTTAAAGAGAAACAAGCGAAAAACCAACCGCAGTGAAAGCCTCTCAAGAAACTAAACAGAGTAAAATACCAGCTGGTACGAAAAACCGATATATAAAGCGGATCCTTTCTTAATTTTCGCAAATCCTGGAGTAGTTAGAAATTCAGTTACTCAGGCGAAATCCAACAAATCCTTTAAAAGGCCGCAAATTCTCGCGAAAAAAAGGAGACTACCAAAACAGACGTCGAGCTTTCTAATAAAACCACAGAAAATGCTCGTCAAGGTCAATTTAGTACCAAAATGTGAGAGGTTTTGGTATCGACTGGTCCGTAGTGGAACAGTTCAACCGGCTGCAGATTCAAGCGCCCACCCAGACTATGATGTCATCGATAAGATAGATAGCAGAATTAAGTTAAGCGATCGCAAATACGCGAGTTCACGTGCCTGGAGTCAATCGAGCTTAAATGACTCACCACCAAAAAACACTGTGCTGACGGTTGAAGCGGTTCTTTCACGCATATGGCAGAGCAGGAAGAAACAGTGTCTGAGGAAAAGCTCGATGACCTTTTTGGAGACGAAAGCGATGGACATGTGAGTGAAAACGAGTCCAAGCCGCAAGAGGGCACCGGCGACGCTTCTTCGAATGTGTCGAAAAAACAACAAAACAGTACCGATAACGGTGGTAAAAACGAAGACGCTGTAGATGACGAAGATGAAAAATGGTTGTTCTCAGATGAAGAGGTGGCCGAAGGCCACCAAGAACAGAGTGAGGGTGAAGAACAAGAGTAAGTGACATAGACACTAGGCGTGCCGTGTATGAAAAAACAATGTTGGCTAACGCGACGCGTTCGGAAGACCAGAAGCACAGGTCAAAGTGTTTGAGGCCAAAGTCCCCAACTACCATCCTCCGGGAAAGCAAGAAGATGAGACAATTCACGCTCACATGCCCAATTTCCTGTCGATGGAGCAACGTCCTTTTGACCATGAGGTATACCGTACAGAGGCAGAAGCAGATGCCGAGATGATCGAACACAACATGGAATGGGGCCAAATGATCAAGCACAAAGTCGACAACACCATTCGTTGGCGCTTTGATGAAAACGGAAAAAAGGTATCTAATGCACAACTGGTGCAGTGGTCAGACGGCACCTACTCGTTGCGAATTGGAAACGACATCTTTGATGCTCAGTCAAAACCTGTATCGCAACCTACATTCCTTACTGTTTCCCATGAAGCCCAGCACTTGCTGCGCGTTCAGGCGTCCTTCAAACAAAGTCTCACCTTCCTGCCTTCGGCCATCAACACAGCAAAAACTGCAAGAGCTCCTGCTATGCGGTACTTCAATACACCGCCTCGGACGCGCGGTGTTCAAGAAATCATTACTGAGAAGGATCCAGAGCTTCTCAAGCGTGAAACAGAAAAGTATGAGGAAGAACGAAACCGTGCTCGGAGGCGGTTGGAAAAACGCAAAATTCAAAACGGTGCCCGGTTTGGGCTGGAGGAGGACGAGGGATTTCCCTCGTACATGCCTCGTCATGAGGATTTGATGAGAGAAGACAACGAACGAGTGGACCGTTTGCAGCGTATCAAGCAGGCCGGCGCTGGTTACTATGAAAACATGGACGAAGATGAAGAAGATGACTTCATCGCAGACGAGGAGGAGGAAGAAGCACACGCCCAAAGTGACGAGGAAGAAGAGGCAAGAGAAACTGCTTCTGAGGCGTCAGATCACGGCCGTGCTCGTCGTTTATCTGAAATTCGCTCCAACAGATCCGCGTCTGAATCTGTGTCTACTCCAGTTTCAGCATCTGCAACATCCGTGTCTTCTCAACACACCGAAACTCAGAGACGCCCCAAACGTCGCATTATTGAGAGTGACAGCGAGTAAGTTTCGTACTATTAGATAAAATTTCGAGCGTGTTATGGTAGTGTGAAATGAATGAATGAATGGAACATTTTATCCCCTCCTAAAAGAATGCGGACTTTGCAAATGCATTTACCAGAGCGTGTCCTCCTGAGAAGTAGAACGTACAGTTTGCCATTGCGATTCGGGCGGCGGAGGTGCTTTCTTATGGGCTGCCTCTCGCATTTGATCAAGCCGGTAGCTACGCAACCGTTCACGCTGAATCCGGTCGGCTTCCTCCTTCATGGCCTTTTCCCTTTGCTTCTTCTGGATGTTTTGACGTTGTTTCTTGGTAAGCTTTTGGGAAGAGACCGGTTTTGTACCAGCGGGTGGCACTACGTGGAATCCATTATTTTCTTGAGTCTTTTTTGAGACCAAACGAAACACAGTAGGCTTTACGGTTTTCTTAGGCACATTATCTGATACAGTGGAGGAAAGAGTTTCCAAATTCGACGAAGTTGTTGACGAAGAAGTGTCGCTGTTGATGCTTTCTGTCTTCTGACTGTTGGTATCCGGACTCGTGTTTACACGTTCTTTCTTTGAAGGAAGTTCTTTCTTCTCGAGCGTTTTTCTCTCCTTTTGTTCTAACGGCTTTTTCTTATCAACCAATGCTGACTTCTTGACAAGAGTCTTTGGTGCATTTGTTGCTGGTTTCTCCGTCTTAGGTTTCGTATCCGGCAAAACACTCTGCTGTTGTGTGTTCTGTTCCAATTTCGAGCGCTTCTTTTGTTTAGAACGCACTCTACGACGCTTCTTTGCAGACGCACTTTTCGTCGATTCTGTCTTTGGTTTCGAGACGAGAAGGTATATAGCACCCGCAAAAACGAGGAACTGTACGGCATTTGCAAGATAACCCATTTTCATAAAAAATCGAAACTGTAAACCGTAAACAATACAAAAAATGCAAGTTGTCAAGTTTGTTTAAGGGTATATGGTCGACTTGGTACTTGCGTCAGTGATCGGCGGATGATTTACACTAGAGGTGTGATCGACATGCGACAATTAGTATGGGGCCGATCAGAGGCAAGTCAAAAATGCGTTCCACAGAAAAAAAAGGAATTGCGAACGATTGAACGTCTATAAGCTTGTTTAGAAATGCTAACTTCATTTTCAGTCTGTTGGCTCCACTTTGCAATTTGTCGGCTCCGTTAGATGGCGCAAACTTAGGACATTGGAAGGTGTTATTATCCGGATGGGTGAGGCATCAAGCTTCGGTTTTGGGGTATTAAGAATGGCATCATGTAATTTTGTATTCGTTACTTCAGCTGTACTGAGTTGCGTAAGAGTGTGTCTTAGCTGTTCGTTTTCCGTCTTTAATTTGGTTATGTCAGACAGCTGTAGCCGAAGCTCTTCCTGCAGAGGCGTAACTTCGTCGATGGAAACATACTTTTCTTCCGTAAGCAGCTCACGTACCAAAGCTATTCGCTTATGAAGTTTTGCATCAAGCACAGCTGCATTCTTTGTCTGTTGCTGAACACAAAGTTGCAGCCGGCGAGCAAGTATTGCAGGCTGTAGCAGTCGATCAAGCTCGGCAACTGCCTCTTCGATGCATTGGTAAAGATGTGTGTTTTGTCGTGTCAGAGACTCGGCAACTGAAGACAAGGCCGAAATGCTTTCTTGCTGTAGTTGAAGAGACTCAGGAGTTGTGTTGTCATTATCGTCTTCGTCTTCATTCATGGCATGTGGCAGGACTGGGGGGTACGGATAAGGCTTGTCCTGACTTTTTACGCTCATCATGCTCACCATTTTCTTCTCCTTCCGCCGCTGAACCGAGCTGTAGTTTCCCTTTAGACTTTCCATTTGCTGCTCTCGTCGACGCAGGGCCACTGACAACTGATTCTTTGCAGCTTGTAGCGTCGTATTGCTTTTCTCGAGTAACGTGGTAAGCGACTTGTTTTTTTCTCGTAATCTTAAGTTTTCTCTAGTTTGTTGAGAACACTTTTCACGACTGACATTGAGTTCCTCTTGTGCCGTTTTTAATCTCAGTTCAAGTTTTGCAATTGTGTTTGACTGTGCCGATATTTGGAGTTCCTTTTGCTTCAGCACACTTAACAGCGTCTCCTTTTCTTCAAATTCAGAGGAAGCCTGCCGTAAAAGCGTGTACATGATGTTTATACTTAAACATACATCATCCGTGTTTCCAGAAAAACGAAGCGTTTCTTTCCCAAGCAAATCTTTTGCTCTTAACGCCTGGTTCATGTATGAAATGCTTTCTGGTATATTTCGAGCATCACAATACTTTTTGAGCAAACCCATGTATGAGACGCGAGGTTGAGGTGAAAGAGCAAGAATGGAAAGAATATTTCGAGTACGTAAAGTGAGTCATTGAGTAGGATCGTTCAAAACTCAGTTGTCATTAACGTTGTAGCGCTTCCTTTGTGATGTCAGAGAGTACATATTTTCAAATGCGTGGAAAAGATCGAAAGTTTTGGGATATCTTGATAAAGTAGAGCAACAAATGCGTTGTGTAGCATAGCAATTCTCAAGAAATTCTCTAAAGTTTTTTAATAACGTTTTGGAGCGTCCAAATGCACGACAAAAAGAAGATCGCACCAGCGAACCAAAGTGCATTGAATTGATTTTCTCCGAGAAATTCAAGTTTATACGCATAAAACAGCCACAAAACTTGGCCAAGTACCCATGGAAGAATAAAGAATACACCTTTCTTTATAACTGAAATGTTGTACGGCAACATCATCGGAATAAAAATGAGATACCATATGAAGTACTAAAAGAGGTTAGAATGAGGAAAACGTAGAGTTAAAACCGCATAAATATAACATACCTGGCTTGTACAAACTTTGTTGAAGGTTACAAAGGCAAATGTTTGTGCAAACATCGTGCCGACAATGTTATGTTTAGCGTGCACAAGTGGAATCAGTACACATAGCACCATTTGAGGAACGAATGCAATAAGGGGACTCAGTGAGTTGTGTGAAGCGGAAGCAAGGTAAAGCATCAAATGGTATACAGAAAAATTGTGCCGGTGATCAATGCGACCCAAATGATACAGATATGTATGATGAAGAAAAGGCCACCCGTACTTCACGTACATGAGAATGTTGCATCCAATAAAACAGAAGAGAGAGCTAAACAGTACTTTGAATTGATCACGGCTGAAGAAATTCCACAACGAAAGTTTTCCCGTTACAGCATCCCGTATAGGATGGCCCAGATAAAACATCATAGCAATGCCGTAAATAAATGGATATATTTTGAAATGCACACCAAAGCCCAAAACGAGACCGGCAAGATAGAGTTTTCCCTCATCTAGATACGTGAGCATAGCCATAGTAACAAGTCCAAGGATGCCTTCACAACTTCCGCGGGCGCTAATGGCAATGACCATTGGATTTAGCAGCCATACCGAAGACAAAATAGCAGCTTGTTTTGAGGAAAAACCTCTACGTCTCAGCAACCGAGTTATAAGATAACCTGCGACGATATCGGAAACAGAGAACACAACTTTACCCCAGCTAGGAAAGCCGTATTGTGTGGGAAGCAATGCAATAGCGAGTAGCGGAGTATAACGATACGTCTCACGGTTGTACGGAGACTGACCGAGGGCAATATATTTTGATGCATCTGTGAATACGCTATAGTCAATGTCTGTGAACTTGACTGCAAAATTCGCATCCACCCAGCAACCATATGCGATAAAACCAATGTGAAGAAGTGTGCTGAGGACAAGAACAGCCTGCACGGCTGTAGGAAAATACATCCAGCGGATGAATTTGAAGAAACGCTTGACGCGAGATTGTGAGCCAATTTGAAATAAGGCTTCGCAACGAAAGACGTATTGAATAAACGCTTCGCGAATGTCAGCACTAAGTATTTGAGAAAGGACCGGGAGATCACTCTCAATATTTATAAGTTCCTTGTTGGATAGGCACGTACGCGCGTGAGCAAGTTTGTCTGTGACTTTGTACAGGATTTCGAGTTCTCTGTCTGTGTACGACTTGCTACTCCAATAGCAAACACATTCTACATAATGACGAACGAGTTTTTGGTAATACTCTGTAACGGGAAACTTTTCGCGCTCAGACTGTAAAGCAATGATGGGACGCACACGATCGGCAGGAAGACAGAGATCCTCAAACAACGAGTGTGAGTCCAATCTACGAAGTTTGTGCATAGTACTGTCTCGTAAGTTGTCAGACTGCTGAACGCGACGCATAAAGTATACGAGTTCAAACAAACGAGCTCGTAAGCTTGTCTCAAGCAGCATCGACGACTCGAATTCCAAGGTGGCCGCATGCCCAAATACAGCTTGTGGATTGGTAATCACGCGCAATTTGCTTAAACATTTTTGCTGTAAGCGTTTGTGGAAGCTGGAATGGACTGTAATAGTCAATTGAAGTATGAGTTGTAGAATGAGGCCCTGCAACAAGAAGGCGATAGCCAACTCAATGTAAATGGAGTAGTAGGAGAGAGAAAGGCCTGGGTTCAGCAGCAGTAAACCGTGTCGAATCTTGTGCTTCAATGTCAAACAGCTGTACAGCATATGGAAAACAATACAGAGCAGGCCACTGGGAGAGAAGAAAGGAGTAACGAAAGTAAACAGAAAACCAATGACAGCACACTGGAGCATGAGTACAGAACCCAGTAGCGTAAAGTTGGGATCCGCAGAAGCAATTACAGAGCCTATGAAACACAGCGTAAACATTGCAATAGCCAAAGGTTTACTACGCTTCCGTCGAAAAGAAATAGAGTCAAAGCATGTAGCGTTAAAGAGCATAAAGAGCGACAACATTGATTGTACAAACAGGCCCATGATCTCCTCTATGGGAACTGATTGAACGGTGTACATTGACTTCTCAGAGACAAATCCAAGCACATGAATCCGGGACAGAAACCATTGGCAGAAGAATCCGAACACTGTATACACAGCTACCATGGGCCAGCTCTTCCAAGTGAGCGACAGTGTCCAAGAATGCCATTGAATGAGCGAAAAAAGGAGTAAGGGAAAGACATTTCGATATATCAATACAGAAAAATAGGTCCCAGACATTGCAGAGTATTAAAACAAGCCAATTGCTAATCCATGCAGTTTACAGCAGGTTGGGGGAGGGAGCATTGTCTCAGTCTACCAGCGCAGGTGTTCAGGGAGAAGGAGTTTGACGCGTCAGCCAATCAGAAAATTAAGCGCTAATGCAAACGCGCACGCGAAAAACGCGAAACGGTACGGGAAAAACAGGATATGGCAGAAAACAAGACTGAATGCATTATTAAGGCGGTTGAGAGAATACAATTAGCATTATTAAAGAATTTTATTTCATAAACGGAACGAGAGGGCTCATGAGCTGTTGCGTAGAACGTATTGACAATCGGGAGAAAAGGAACAGAATGAGCAAAACGATAACAAGACGAATAAGAGAAAGAGAAAGAAAGAAGGCCAGTAAGCTTGTCAAGCCCCAAGGCTAGTCATTAGTCTACCGGACCACGGACTGTCTAACCACGGAGTGCTTGAAGAATTGCTTCGAGTACAGAAATTCGAACGTCGACAGCGGGTTTTTCGGTCTCAGAAGCCGTTGCTTGTTGAGTCTTCGCTTGGTCCAGCAGGGATGTAACCTCAGACACACTAGCAAAGTCGTCTAAACGAAACGCCTCAGGAGACGTGATGCACAGATGGTTGTTGGGCTGTTGCACAGCAAACCCACCGGCCGAGAACAACTTGTCGGTCGCACCATTGACGTCGGTGATTTTAATTACACCAGGACGAAGACACTCGATGATGGGAACATGATTTTTTAAGATACCCATATCTCCGTGTTCCGTTGGTATATCCACTTGAGTCACTGGGGTTCGTTCGTACAGCGTAGAAGAAGGAAGAGCAAACGAAAGCAGCAATCCGTCCGCCGCAGGAGCTTCAGAGGTTGCTTTAGCCGCGTTTTTGGCGTACTTCCTTGTTACATACAGTGTCCGAGGCAATTTATTAAGGACGGGCCTCCATGAGAATCCAGGGTTCAGCACAGCTCGAAGAGACAACATAGAGATAACGTTACAATGAGACACTGATACAGCAACACAGTAAACAGGATCCTACCAGTCAATCGTAGTAGATCCACAAATACGAACCCTTGGCTGCTGACGTGGGGTCTAGTGTGTGTGGGTCTTGTGATGGTGGTGAGAAACCCAGTTGGGGTCTTAACGGATACAACTAGAGAAAAACATGATCAAGTATAAAAGCATGTGAAACGCGGTACATGGACCACTGTTTGACTCCGTTTTCTCGTCCCAGTCCATCCGTGCCTCTATTAAATTTATTACGTTGAGGCTTGTAACTGATTCTCTTATTCCAGAAATCGCCGCTTGGTGGAAGCGGATGTTCGTATCGAGAACCCGCTCGAGCGCTTAAAACCTCATTGTTTTTCTCGACTGCTAATTGAACGAAATTTCGTTTAAGCTTCGCCTCTCGCTCGCCAACGATTTACCCGAGACTGCATAACCGAACTCGGCTATCAACCTAAGGCCCAACTCTTGCTGCAGGTGCACTTGACCAGAACCAGCCACTCTGGCGTTGGCATTTTAATTGTTGAGGGGTTCCTTTTATCATCAGTAGCGGGGAGATTGAACCCACCTCAACCTGACTTCATAGAAATTGAAGAACTACTGTTTTTTTGGGAATTGAATTGCCGAATTGCTTTAAAGACTTTTTGGTTGAGTTCGTGAGCCAGTTCCTCACGGAGTACAAACTTGCTTAGTAAAAAACGGCATGGATGCTCCTGGAGGTACAGCTCTCCCATCTCGACCGTCCAATTTTGAGTCTTCGAATGCGGAGCTGAGACCAACAGACGGTTTGTTAGATACTCCGAGCCACGGATTTTCTGGCCGGAGTCCCAGCCGGAATGGAAATTCGCCGAGAAAAAGCTTGGATGATGGATCGTTAGGTAGGTATTGGTTCATGTCGAGGCGTTTATGCGCGTGTTTTTGTACTTTATGTATGGAAGATCGCGTTTCAACGGTCTTCGAGGACGAGAAGCACATGAACCTGTTGTCTAACAATGAGAGTAGGACTGGAAAACAAGTTTTCGGAGCTGGATGTTGCCTTTATGGACCCAGAATTTGCATCAGAAATGACTCAGGTGGAGAAATGGTTCCAGGTGCTTACGATACCAGAACGGACAGCGGCACTGTATACGCTACTTCAACGAATTTCACCATCAGAGGCCAAAATGCTGTCCTTTGCCTTTTTCCGACGTTCGTCCTTTGATTCTTCGCATGCTGGCAGCGTGGTCGCCAACATGGTGGCCGCTTCATCTTCGTCGCTCCCGTCCGGGAACACTGGCCCTACGTCTGCGCTTTCTCCGTCGTCCGCTGTACCTTTATCAGCTAAAATTAAGAATGAGAAAACAACACCCGGTCTTGGAGCTCGAGGCTCTACCGAACACAGTAACACAGCTCCCCCCACTCCTTCATACTTCGCGCAGGATCGCGATACTCCCATGCACACACGCTTCACGCGTGTGTTAGCCCAATCTTCGCTTGAGTCGCCCATCGGTGCTGCCCAAACCACGCCCAGCCGTCGCTCAGTCCAAGACATATCCGAGCCCGGCAGTGGACACAGCGTCGGCGGTAGCTCGCGTTTGTTTCCTTCGTCGCACCTTTCAGGGAATGGAAACGCGTCTTTACAGACACCTCGTTCTCGCATCCGAGACGCCTACGATCGTGGCGATCCTATGTCTGCGCCAGCAGGCTATGTGCGCAACGAGGGCTCTTTGAGTCATCGTTGGCCCAACGAGCTATGCTCTCCTCCTCCCCCACCCCCCGAGCTTATGCTCCCCTCCTTCCTGCCCCATCGCCGGGCCCACTCTGATGCTCATCGGTCGCTTCAATGGGGTCGTCCCATGGGAGGTCGTCACTGGCTTGATCGCCCACCGCCTCCGCATCCTGCAAGTGAGGAGCCACATCGTACATATCATTACCGACCTACTAGTCCGTGTTTCCCCCCCGAGTATGGACGAATGTCTGGGCCACCCGTCACTCCCCTCTCCCAGCGAACTGGATTGCTGGCCGAGGGTGCAAGCGGTGGTTCTCACAGTCCTGCTCCCTTTCAGAGCCATTCAGCTTCACAACTCAAGTTTGACGGTGACCGACACTTCTCCCGTCACCCGTCTGGTTTGTGGGCAAACAATTGGCCTCCGTCGCTTTCCTCTCAATCGCACGAGTATCCGTACTCACAGTCTCCCGCAACTTACCGTGTGAATTCACTTCCTAGTGATGCCAAGAACAATCTTGGCCAAGGTCGTTATGACCGCTCACCTCGTTTCTTGTCGGCGTACGATACTGAATACTCTACAAGTGAGGATGCTACAACGCCGCTCTCTTCTCATAACCGTGATTTGCCGTATCTGAATGATACGCCTCGGTCAATGAGAACATCGTTTTCGAAGGTCCGTCGAGCCTCAGCTCATGCAAAATACGATTCCAACACGTCCATGGAGCTCCCGCAGGACATTCCAAGCTGGCTTCGGAGCCTGCGCTTGCACAAATACACGGACAACTTGAAAGATGTTAGCTGGCAAGAGTTGATTGAGTTGACGGACGAGGATCTTCAACGCAAGGGCATTTCTGCACTTGGTGCGCGGAGGAAGCTCCTCAAAAGCTTCCAGCACATTGCTACCATTCTGGAAAATATGAACTCTGAGAAACAAAAGTCCGGAGAGATGAAAGCTTCGTCCGATAGTATGGAACCAGTTAAGATGGCTGAGCTTGAATCTTCGCAGAAGACGTCGCCGCCATTCACCACTCTTTTGGACTCCAAATCTACTGACTCGCAGTCGTCTGCGGGACCAGAGGAGCATCCCTTAAAGCATACAGTTGAAGAGCCTATTGCGACTTCTAAGGCTTTGGATTCCGAGACTTCGGATTCGGTTTCACCTTCTTCTTGAATGTGAATGAAAGCTGTGCTTTCTTGTTGTTGCTCTTGGCAAACACGAAAAAAAGCATTTCATCTTCTCAATTTATGTGTAAAACCTGTCGTTCGATGTGCGCATGTCGAATGGCATAGATGTGCGTAAGGCATTGTGGGCGATGCCGCATGCTATCTGACTAATGAATGGACAATACCTGGTCTTTACGTTTTGGATAAGTCTCTTTTGGAAAATTTTCAACTCTACGATAAAAGACAAAAATATATTTATTGTCTCCGCCGCTGTTTAGGCCGACGAATAAAAAGACCTTACTGGCACGAGCCGCAACAAGTTTAACGACGTTTCAATTTTTGTGCATTGTTCTTGAGGATGGCTGCCCGACGTTCTCAAGCACATATGCACTCATACACACACACACTCATGAATCTATATCCTCCTCAATGTTATCTCAACTCTGCACGCGGTTACAGCACTTTGTTCTGTTGTTATGTTATCCATTCTCACTTGCATACGGCCGTCTGCAGTTCTTCCCTTTATGCCTGCAAATTCAAAACAAAAGAAAGCGATCAAGCAAACCGAGCTAAACGTCTTGCTTTGCTGTCGTGGTATCCAAAACCATTTGATATGCACTTTTAACTGCCAATCGTACGTAACAGTTTTCAATGCGTTTAACGGTGCGAAAGCCTCGATGCTGATACCATGCGATGGCATCCTCATTGCATGTCTGGACATGCAGTGTAATCTTTCCAACACCCATTTGTTTGGCGACTTGTTTTACGTGTTCGAGAAGTTGCTGCCCAATACCTAGCCTGCGATACGGCGCAAGGACGCCGAGCACAGCTATATACAAAGACTCTTCCTCCGGTAAGTGAGTGCAGCGGATTGCTCCTACGAGCAGGTCACCAACATATGCTGTTTTTGCTAGAGACGGGCTTGCCAGACATTCCTTGTAAAACCGCTTGCCATAGTTCATACCTAAGAGGACCTGTATCAGCCGTTTGAAGTCAGAGATGTTTGACTCGGTTAAGTTAGCCATGTAGTATGGAGAATCGTTTCTATTAGGTGTAACTGAGGACGGGGTCGTGACATTCGTAGAAGTGGAAGGGGGTGCTGTTTCTTGTTTCGTTCGCTCAAGAGGTTCCTCGCCGTTGTCTTCTCGCGCTTGCTCCCCTTTTTGTTGTTTGGCCTCCTCCCTTTTTTTTATGAGAATATTAAACTGTTTGTCAACGGAAAACAGTCCTTTTGTATCGCTCCCGCATTGAGCACATGTGGGAGTTTTACGAAAACGTTTTATAGCACAAAGCTCGCAGAAGTGGTGTTTGCAAGATGTGACGATGGGATTTTTATAGTCCTGCTTGCAGATGAGACATACGAACGGAATAGTCTCCTCCTTCTTCGTCTTGTCACCATCGGGTTCTGAACCCGCGGACTCTTGTTGGCCAGGACGTCGCTTCCGCTGCTGAACAAGCTCCCATTCTCGGTCGATCTGCCATCCGGCTTTGTAGTCTTCACGATCGTGCAAGAACTTGCAGCTGTCACCATAGCCACAGTATCCCGTTTGTTTGTAGTCCTTACAAACGTCAGGCTGATAGTCCACAATGGTAACTGTTCGTAACGCTGCTGATGAAGCAGACGGTGTTACGGGACCAGCATGTGCCTTCTTATTATAAGACTCCCTTTTTGGCAGAAAGTCAGTGTACGCAGTACCGCGAGCACTGCTCAAAGACACGTCGTTGGTCGAACGACCCAGGATCCGATCCTCCTGTTCGGATTTTGGAATGGAAACAGTGGATGTGTTTAGGCTGTCGCCAGTGACACTCAAATCTGCTGCATACTGGACGTCAATGTCTGCTGTAGAAGCATCCTTATTTACACTGTCTTTTCCATTCGTTTTGTTCGTCTCAGCTTCTTCATCCTTCCTACGTAACCGTCCAGACGCTCCTGGTCGCTTTCGCTGGAGGATGGAACGCGTTTCTTCTAATGTCTCTGTGGTCTCATCCTCGTCGTCTGACGAAGAGTCTGTGCTTGTTTTCGCGGCAACTTTTCCCTCTGAGGTGTCTTCCGACTGTATTCCTTTACGAAGAATGTTCCGACGATTGGCACCTCCACGTCGTTTCCTAATTAAAGGAACTGTTGTAGAAGTCGTAGCAGCTGTTGCTGGCTTATTATCTTCTTTTTCCATAATCAAAGGGCGCGTTTTTGCTGCAAACGACCGAATCAATGCGTCTCGCTCTCAAATTCGCTTGATGTTTACGGATTTCCGCCGTTCCTTTCGCAATTGTGTGCAGAACTGTCTCAGGCGCTATAACAGCACGGGTTTTTCAGCTAAAATCGGGGCTTTAGAGTTAAACGGTAACTTTGATGACCGAGGAGGTTCAAGGATGTGACAGTACTGATTTGGTGGGCACTTAGCGAGTGTGGCGGTCGTGGTGGTGAAAAAATCAGTCGAGTTAAGTGGCCCTTAGTAAGGGTTAGCCATACTCAACGCTAGGTGTAGTAGGAGATTGGATGAAGGGCCGACAAGTAGTGAAGGCGGCTTGGTCAACTTCAGCAGTAGAAAACGCAATTACGTTAACAATTCCCCCTCTCCTTGGCAAACGGTGTTAGGATCTACATCCAGCTCGTGAAGACGTTCCATCTGACATCACGGATGCGGGAAAGACGGCGGTTATTTTTAGGCGTGCCGTTTCTTAAATTTCGGCTCCCTCGGTTCTTTTAGAAAGCCGGCTTTCTGACGACTAGAAGAGACCATCGAAACGATGGGAGGGCACTGAAGCGGTTATCGAGTGCGGAGAATGGGTGGAACGAGGATTGCGTTTGGGTGAGCGTATATATAGAATGACATACCCATAGCCTAACTCCAGTCACTCGGAGGGGAGCCATACGTAGTGCTTGGATAATGAAGTGCAACTGTAATTGCTCTATATTGTTTTAGCACTTTATTCATCCATCCATACCATTGGCGGACATCAGGCTGTCAATAGTCGGCAACCTTGTAGTGACAGGTGAGTTTAGGCGGGATGCAATTGTCTAAATGGCAAAAGGTGCACTCATAAGTGTGTCGTCCGTTTCGAGGATATTACTAACATCCTCAGTCTTCGGAATTGCATAAACCTTTTGCATTCATCATCACTCGTTGGCCATCAATTATCAAATACCATAGTCAGAGACGAACTAGAAAGCATCAGACCGCTCCGAAGGATACGGACGCACAGCTCAAGCAGGCAATTTGAGTTGACAATTTGTCTGCGTGCATCTATTGTCCCTAAACCATTTTCAATTTCAGGAATCTGTGCGCGAACACACATACACACGCAACGACCTGGCTAACAAGACGACAAGAACGGGTGGATAAAAGCTGTGTCTTTCTTCAAGAACACCTTCCTCCATCATTGACATGAAATAATAGTTTGGATCATTAAACCAACCGAACTGAAGTGTACCATCATCATCATCATCATATCAAACGTAAACATTTTTTCACGAGTAAACAAATCCCTTTCTAATGATCATCCGGATTGCACCTCCAGCCTACTATTCTAGCGGCTGCTCCCCTCAGACGAAGTCTCAGGAAAAGACCTCATCTTTTTCGTACGACAAGTGGAGAGGAGCCTCGCTCACCGATACTAATTCAGAGGTTGAATCCGTCGAGGGAAGCAAGAACTTCGCAACCCTCTCACCGTTCGAGGTAAGCTGCTTGTACACCGCCTTGGTGATTGAGGAACCATCGCTCATACGGAATCAGTGGACACAAAAGTCTGTTTCATTTTCTGACGACCCTCCGAAAGTATACGTGGCGCCCGAGTACGATCGATCCTGCAGCACGCCAGCTGAATTGACGGAAGAGGTCGTATCGGAATTAATGGAACTGAGACGTTGTTGGGCGGCGCAGAGCTAATTTCTCTGCATGCGCATGGCTGCCCACTGTAGTTGTAATAGCATACAAGAGACTTTATTTTTTTTTTGTTATAACCACTCATTTTTCGTAGCGACCGCGTTTGTTTGCTCGACTTGGTGATTCATTCGGTGAATGAATCCATGGAGCCTTTGGTGACGCTGGAGGTGATGGTCGCCGTGTGCTGCCGCGTTCATCAAAACCACGTTGCCTGGTGCTCTTGGAGCGCTTCATTGCTGGTTCAGGAGAACGAGAATGCTCCGACGAAAGAGAGTGCTCGCGCTGGTACCGTTCGCGTCTGTCGTACCGACGGTTGTAGGGTGAACGAGTGCGTTGCTCGCTCTTTTTCGCTCTTGCTGGACGATACGAGTCCATCATTCGTCCGTGTTGGGCACGGGGTTCATTTTTTGTAGGCAATTGTTGTCGGCCCTCGGTCAGTAGCAGTCGACGGCTATATGGAGACAATGATGACTCTCTAGTGGTCTGAGGAGGAATCGGCGACCGCGAGAGAGGAGTCCGACTCCGAGAACGTGAACGAGAGCGAGAGTTGGAAGGTGACCGGTACGGAGAACGCCCGCGTCTCGTACTGTATGGGGATGGCGAACGCGAATAACTTCGGCTACGGCTAGGTGAGCGAGAATGGTAAGAAGGGGAACGTGAGTAGGACGCGCGACGGCGAGAGCGGGAGGGTGATATGGATGGGGAGCGAGAATAGGACTGAGATCGGGACCGGGAACGAGACCGTGAACGAGAACGAGAACTAGAAATCGATCGAGAGTAGCTGCGAGAACGAGAAATTGAGCGTGAATAGCTTTCGTGAACGAGAACGTCCGCGACATGTTGTACAGGAAGAAGCATGAGAATAAGTGGAAGCAGAAGAGTAACTTTCAGAATCCGACTCCTCCTCTCTTAACCCGTTTCTTTTTTCAACGATATCGAGTAAGTAATCACGCATGCGTTCTGTGACTGCACCAAGACCGATAGAAGTGAAATAGTTGATGGAGAAACGAACATTGGCAGACGTGTCTTTGGGGAAAATACCGGAGAAGGATTCCTGCAGTTCTGGGTCATTCAACACCTCAATGAGTTTTGGCAGCCCAATAGCTTCCATAATTTCTTGAAACATAACCTTGAGGAAGATACGAGACGATGCCGTCGTGTCTTCCTCCGTTAACCGAACACATTCCAAAACTTGCCATGATATAGAGTTTGTAGACAATAGGTGAGCAAAAAAGAGTGCTATGTTCCTCAACCGGTTCGTTTCATAACGATGGATTGTACTGTAGTAGGTAGTGAAGGCTTTCTCAAACGTTGTTTGCCATTGTAAACCGATTTTGCAAAATCGCTCGCCAATCATTCCATAAAACTTTGCGTATGTGCGTTCTTGACTGTTACATTCAATGATCATGTTTACCATTTCAATTTCTTGATTCTCGGGCAACTGGACTTTAAGCAGCTTGTGACAACATTCGTCGAAGTCAACGGAAGACATAATTGTCAAGTAGATGGATTTTCGCAAGTTTACTAAATTCGCGCCAGTCTCATCTTTTACTGACAATTTTCCAGTCGCCTCTTCATCCTCTTCATCCGACTCTTCCTCTTCGCTGGAATCTTCGGATCCAGAGACTTCAGAACCCGATTCCTCCTCGCTGCCCTCGCCCAATATTTCGTTTTTAATAGCAGTATACCGATCTTCGTTTTTACGAAAGTCAGGATCAAACCGGAAAATGCCAAGTTCTTCTTGAACATCAAGTTCGTCATCCAAACTTATGTAGTGCGTAATTTGATCCTCTTCTTCAACAAGGTCTAACTCTTCTGGAATGGTGGGATTATCCTTGTACTTGTCTTTCCGCACTTGAAAAAGTACTTCGATCATGTATTGTACACGCTTATCGATATCGCCGTCATGTAGAATTGTACGCAAGCGTTCAAAAATTCCGTTGTTTGCACGCGGAGAAACATCAGCCAAAAAAGCACCTACTTCACGTAAGAAACCGACAGCTATTTCGACTGAATCCGAAGTAGGTCGTTCCAACAAGACCGCAAGTATTTGTAGACCCACGATTTCGTGTGCAACCTTATTATTAATCAAATGGGCAAGAAAAGCACTAGACGATAAACACATTGACTTGTCATTTCGGCGGAAGGATTTTCTAAATTGAACAATAAGTCGTGTAAGTAAGAGCTCGCCAATTTGAGGAAGCTTAGTATTAATAATTGCAGTCATAGCTGCGTAGATGGGTGTAAATGGTAGCGAAGCTGCCTGTGCTTTCATAATACTTCGACAATACAAGGCTCTTCCTCTAATGATATTTTCCCGGAATAGCTCAGGGACGATTTCTTTTAAGTTGCTTGCACTGACCTTGTTAATTAATCCATTAATGGATTTCTTAAGAGCTTCCCAGTACATTCGTTGGTACTCTGGGGTATTTTCGTCAGTAAACTGAGCCTGCAAAGCTCGAAACTTAGCAGGAGGGATATATGTGCCACCAGATCGTGTTTCCATAAGGCGTCGAAATTGTTCTTTAGGGTCCAATTGTGCTTCTTCGCGTTTCTTTTGCGACTTTTTCAGTTCGTCTTCGCGTTCCTTTGCGCGACGTTCATCCATCTTCGGAACGTAATGTCTATCTTCATAGCTAAGCGCGTCTTTTTCATTTTTGACACGAGGTTCACTCGGTTCCTCGTGTTTAGTTCGTCTATGCGACACATTGTCATTGGTAACTAATGCCGTATGAGCATCCCTTTGCGGAGAGCCCGTATCCGCTGTTAACATTGGGTATAAGAGTGTTATAGGCCAAATGTACGCTGTTGACAGAAAATGTGGCCGTTCGCCTTAACGATATGTACGCGTCTTTGGTCGAGCGCATTTTTGGTGGAGTTTTTTAAGTGGGGGGACGACCAAACTGCCCACGCAAAAATGAGAAAAATAAAGAAAAACAGGAATGAGTAGATACAAATGTCAACAGTGTATTCAATAGATGTCTTTAATGATTTAAGCGGCATGATGTCAAACCCCATTTTGAACACCTAAAAAATGTTCTTGCCGATATTACAAATTTCTACTCCCAACTCTGAAAATGGGGAAAGGCACACAGGCCGGAAAAGCCATTGTGCAAGCATCCTATGTACTACGCTGCTATGAACAAGGGCCCAGAAACAAGCGTAACAAGTCTACGGCTCTCTTACTCCACGGGTTCCGCAGGGAGAACGCCAGAGACTACATCACACTCGGTTCCTTTCTCGTCAGACGGGAAACGATCGGCTTCGCTGGCAGTATTGGCTGCCCCAAGAAGATTAGGAAGAGAACGACGAAGCTTTTTCAGCTCGTATTCGGAAACACCAAGATGCTCCTCAAGTATGATAAGCAGGTTACGGCGAGTAGCAGGGCACAGACAAAGAAACAGCGTATCCTGTATGGTTGCAATTAACTTGGTAAGTGTTTTGTCCATAAACTCGTAACGGTCAAGCTTGTTGTAGCATTCCTTGAGTTGAAACTCCTGCTGACGGCACTTCGTTTGTAACACACGAACTTGCTCGGCAAGAATGGAACGATCACGCTCGAGACGTTTTCGCTCTATTTGAGCAACACCAGTGGCCGTACTACGGCTGGAAGAGCTGTGGATGACACCAGTTTGGTAACTGTAGCGGTAATAAGGTGAAGTGAAACTGTCGCTCTCTTCATCCGTATCAGACGCTTTAGTGGACAAAGGCTCATAGACAGGAAGATGGCGAACGTAGCTCATTTTCGTAGTGAAGAAAGACTAGACAAGTCCAGTACCAAAAAGTATGGTTTATAACGGCTGTTGGAAAGAAAACAAGCGGCCTTTTTAAACCAATTAGAAATCTATATGTAAACAAATAAACAAACTGTTTTCACAAAGAATGAGGGGTAAAGTGCGAGAGAATGATGCACATGTAAACAAAACGTGACCATTCTGCAACGAACAAAGCTCAATGGCTTACGCACTATTATAGCGCAAACAGTTGCCTGTTTGCTGTGAGGATGGGGAAGTTATTGCTTACAAGGAAGCAGCCTGGGCCAAATGGCCAAGGGACTCGATGTAGTAATCGGGCACAATAGCATCTTCCTTGCCTTGGAAGTGTTCGAGCTGGTTTACACCGGTGAGTACGAGCAAAGAACCACCAAGACCAGAGTTCTTGGCGAATTGAATGTCGGTGTTCAAACGATCACCGACAAAGCAAGCACGCTTGCGGTCAAAGTTGACACCGGCTTCAATGGCATCCATCATCTCGCCATAAGGCTTGCCGAGAATCTTGGGAGTGCGACCAGAGGAAAAGATAAGAGGATAAGAAACAGCACCGGAACCAGGGAAGAATGTGCCGTTGGTAGGGAAGGTAGAGTCCTGGTTCGTCAGGAGGAAGGCACAGTTGGGATCCTGGATGTATTGGAAAGCCATACAGTACTTCAAGTAGTTCAACTTGGTATCCATACCACACAAAACAGCACCAACACTGGGGTCAGGACGAATGGTATCCATGTCAGCGGAGGTAATATTACGGTTCAAAGAAGGATCGGTACCGCCAATGTGGGCCACACCCACCTCATCAAGTTCCTCTTCGATACCCTTTTCGCCGAAAACGAAAACCTTCTTATCACTAGGAAGCTTCAACACCTTCTTAATGTATACGGCGGAAGAGTAAGCGCTAGGATAAATCTCATTCAAGTTGGCCTCAATACCAAGGTCAGTGATCTTCTTCAAGTAAGTCTGACGAGACTTTGTAGAGTTGTTGGACACGAAGAAGAGTCTCTTGCCCATAGAACGCATCAAATCAAGCGTCTCCTTAACTTGAGGAATTGGGTTCTTTCCGTGCCAGATAACACCTGCGAGAAATGCGTTAGCTAATTTCCTTCGGCCACATTAAAACCAAAGATATAAGCAAAAAAGTCCACGAACCATCCAAACGAATAAGGAACCTTCGGATTTATGTTGACGAAACAGCCGCTTCCTGTAGATTACATACCATCGCAGTCGAAAAGAAAGACGTCGAACTTGTCGAGGAATTCTTTGTATTCCTGAACGTTTGAGAGATGTTGAGCCATATTTCCGAATTCTATAAAAGAGGTGTTTGTAGAAGATAAATCTGCCGACAAGAGAACAAGATAATGTATCAACACGCGTCCGGATTAAGGCCTGATAAAGTTCGCTAAAAAATTCGCCTGCTGATGGCGGTGTTGCTAACTACTGCTCTTTGCCATTGGACCAAGACACTTGCTGATTAAGGAATCAGAAAAAAAAAAAAAAAAAAAAAAAAAAGAAAAAAATCGAGTAAAGCCTTGGTAATGTTAGGCTTTTTTAAGAACCCGAAGGTAAACCTCTTTCCTTCTTTTATTTATTTTTTTTTATTGCAAGTTAGAGAGAAAATTAATCACAACAGCGCACCATTAGATTGTTCAAAATAGGAAACTTTTTAGGGTAGTAGTGAAATTTAGAAAACGGACAAAGGAAGTGAATAGGTTGTGAAGCTAGATAATGGGCAGTCTTCATACATTTGAACATTAAGCCAATGGACCCCAAAATTAAAATAATCCAGTTCCTTAATTGGGACAATTACGATGTACTTAAGGAAAGACAGAAGTTTCGGTTTGTAAATTGGAGTTCATGGATCACAGTGTTCTTCGTCCGATACGTGTACAAGGGTTCCTCGATGGTTTCAGACGTCTGAATATCCCAGAATTTGACTACCGTATCAATGCCTCCCGAGGCCAAAAGTTTTCCCTCTTTAGACACATCAAGGGAATAGATTGGCTCGTTATGTGCTTGGAAAGAATGCCGTTTCTGTCCTTTTCGAAGATCCCATACGAATACGTGACCAGAGTCATCAGCTGAAATGACATCAAGACCATCGTCCGAAATAGCCAGTGCTGAAATGGGTTGCTTATGACCAATGAGTACCCTAACCGCATCGCTCGTTCGCACGTCCCACAAACGACATGTAGTGTCGCTTGAACCGGTTAGCACGTATGCTGAATTTTTGTGAATTTTTACGCACTAGACAGTTAGTAAGTTTCTTCCTAATTGCTTATTCGATTGCATGTACTTACATCAACATCGTTTTCGTGTCCCACAAATAAACGTAGGGGTGATGGATGCTCTACACTCCATAAACGGGCAGTGTGATCGTCGGCAGCAGTTGCGAAGTAGAATCCGTTAGGGTCAAATTCCACATCCCAAATGGGAGCATTATGTCCACCAAAGATACTCAATGTTGAACCCGTTTCCGGCGACCAAAGACGCACGAAACCATCGCCTGAGCCAGAGAGAAGAAAGCGGTTATCTCGAGAAATGCTTACGCCATAAATAGATGCCTTATGACCAATGAACTTTTGCTGTTTCAGCTGTTCCTTCTTGGCAGAGATCAGTGACTGCCGTTGCGAATTTGTGCTTGTGTAAAGTTGTAAATAGTTTTCCGAGGTGCCAACCAAGAACATAGAAGCGTCTTGTGAAAACGTTGCACAATTGAGTGTGGAATACGAGTTGTGCAGTGAAAACATGTAAACACTAGGTCCCTTTGCATCTTTGTCGAATTGAATGCAGTTACGTTCGTCATCGAGATTACATGCTATAGCATCTAAATCCGCAACCTCTAGAGGAGGCAGAGGGAGAGACTCGGGTGCCTTTCCATAAGCGCTTTCCCTTTTTTTTCTATCTTCATATACCTCACGAAGAGGTCGACAAGGAGCTTTAATACTGGTTTCTTCTTGTGTATCGTGTGCTTTCTGAGTGATTACTGTGTCCATTGCGACATCCTCAGACTCATCACCCTTTTGTGAATCATAATTGTCTAATACTTTTAGCAGTGCCTCTTCATCCTCAGTTGATAGAGGTATCCGTCCCAGATATATTTCTTGACTATTGAATTCGTTAAGTTGTTCCGAATGTTGGGGGATTCCTTCGTCGTACTGTTCAGTACTTTTTGTAGCGCCTTGATGTTTTGTAGAAGACTTTATGTTAATGTCTATGTACTGATTGAGTAGTCGGATAATAATTCCGCTGCCATTAGATTCGTTTTCGAAAAGAAAATGTAACAGTAACCCAAACGTTGTCTGCGAAAAGTTCAAACGATATTTGTGTTTCCTATAGAGAGCAGCAACACTGTTCTGTTCCAAGTCTGCTGGACTTGTAATGTCTTCAAGTTTGTGAACGTCATGACCATGAAGAATAAGGTGTTCTTGTGAAAATGATTCAAAGAATACTTTAGCGGTGGAAATTGCACTTTTGGTTATAAGATCTAGAAAGGAATGAACGAAGATGGGAAATAGGGTTTTTTGAAGCTCTGGTTTGAACATATCTAAGGTGCTATCAATCCAGTCCCTGAGAGCAGCATATACTTGAACATATGTTTCTGGAAGCCCCAGATGCCAATCCTGTTGATCTTCAGGAACAGCTCCGACGCTAGAAGCCTCCAGCCGAAGAATTGCCTCTGTTCTTGAATATCCTTTCTTAGAAAGATAATCCAGCACAATCTTATTTAGATCTGGGGTTGATGTCGGCGGAACATGCGGTGATGAATGTGCCATTGTGCTGAAATCATCTACTAGATCGTGTCTGGCTGTCTGACTTGCTGTTTCTAGTTATGGAAAAGTGCCGTTTGGTGTTGGGTAAATAGAGTTACACGTGAAACATATAAAGCCTCGCTTAGTTGAATAAAAAAACTCACCACCAAAAAATACATTCTTGGTGGTGAGTCTGACGAGAACATGCACTTTGTAGGCCGCACACAAAATGCACAATGACCAAATGCAATGTGAGGTTTAGGCAAATTTTTCAGGAATTTATTGATTAGACAAGTGGTCACGTCTCATGAAGTGTTAATATGTCGTTAAAATTTCCAAATCTTCTCTTTTTAGCGCTTCCTATTCGCGTGAACGAGAATCAACAAAAACCCTTTCGCAAATTTTTACATTCGTTGCCTGAAGGACCTCTAAAAGAGGCCTTTCAAGGTCCTCGTGTCTGTCATTTGACAATTGGAATGATTCCGGTGAAATGCGAAGATGATCTGAATAAAGTGCTGCAGTTTATGGAAGACAAACGGGACGTCATCCTGAAACAGTATCCTCAATCTCCTATAACAATATCATTACGGGGGACAGATTATTTCGGATCGGAAGAACAACATAGTCGTGTACTATTCGCCGTTCCCGTCGAGTCAGAGATTTCGACGGGCAATTTGAAGCCCTTTTGCGAGTTTGTACGACAGCTTTTTGTTGACGGGGGCATTATTCGTGATACATCTCACGAATTGAATTTGCATTGCACATTGTTGAATGTTCGACACATGCGAAAGTTCGGATACAAAGAAAAGTCGTTTGATGCGACACAGCTTCTGCGTCGGTTTTCTTTGGATTCGTGGACGTGGACGAGCAATACGACGCTAGATGAACTTTCTATCATGAAGACAGGGGCGATTGGTCCAAAGCATGATATGTTTTATATGGAAATAGCGACAGTTTTGCTTCACCCAAAAGACTAAAAACCTGTTGGTACTGCAAGGTGATGCAAATAGATTCCAGCGGGCTTTTTATTGTTATGGTGTCGTATCTTTTATGTGCCAACAAAGTTTAATTTACTTCTTGGGATTTGTTTATGTGTAAGATGTAAACAAATAATAAATCAGAGTATAAATTCACGTCTGCACTCAAACCTTTTCCAACACGAACTCTCGTTTTCGCATTGCAAAAAAATTAGGTCGTCTTTTGATTTTGCTGTTTTGTCTTCCTTTTTGCTATTCCTTGTTAATTGTTGAATCCCTTTTTTTTTGAACAACCGGTATGACTGTTCCGGATTTGCAGTGTGAAACTAATGGTATACAAAGCTGATTACAGCAATTCCAATTGACTAATACCTGTACAGAGATCCCTTCATATATGAATGTCATGCAACAAAAGCATAAACGTAAGTTCGATACGAAGCAGACAAACCGTCCATGATTTTTTAAGCAATTCCCAATCTTACACATTGGTAGTCGCCTTAGAGGCACATCAGCGATTTAGCGTTTCAAAGCTGTATCCAGGCAAGCGTTCACCGGTGAAAATGAACCCTAGCGCGAAGAGCTGGGTTCCAACTGTTCCGGCTGTAGGCGCAACAGTTACTCAACCACCTCCCAAGGTAAAACCAACTGCAGTTCCTCATGTTTCCCATCGAGACAAAACCATTCGTGCCTCCATGCCGTATGTCCCTTCATCCTATGCACCTTATCAGCAGTCCAAAGCCAATCAGCCATACGGTCATCACTCTGGGAAGTATGCTAGAAACAACAATACGTATTCTGCAGCGCCGCAAACACATTTCCAGAATCGAAAACCCGCTTTTTATGCACCTTACTACAGAGCGTAAGTGCAAGTGAAACTAAGGACGACATCGTTCTTGTAATGTCATCTTCACAGTACCTCATCTTCACTCCATTCGCACAATTCTCGCTCTTTTTCACACCTTTAGCTTTCCTGTTTCATTTTCTATATATGTATTGAAAGCATACATTTTTACTGACAAAAAGTATCACGCTTCGTTTCTTATTTCATAGCACCTGTATAAAGTATTTCAAACGCTCTTGAATTTCATTCTCTAGAGAACGAGACGTTCACATTTCGAAGTTTATTGTTTTTCTGTAATTTAGGTGTATATTTGTTTACGCGTCGTATCGCATTACGTAGTACAAGCGCGGCAGTAGGAAGTACGCGAACGCGTAGATTGAATCTGTCGTCCGCCAAACAGTACTTTCTCATTCATCAATGGATTCAAAATGAATTATTTCAGACCTTTCTGTAAAAGAATCCCGTTTGTAAGACGTTACTCGTTTTTTACAATGAGAATTCGTAGTGGAAAGACGCTTTCAAGCAATGTCTTAACAGAAACTCTCGCGTTGAAACTCACGTCTGAAATTGAAATAATGGACCAGTTGATACAAGACTATAAACCAAATTCAGTAAATGAAAACCTGTTACAGAAATACACGATTGCGGACAATCTTGTGAAGAATTGCACCATTGCCCAACGCGAGTGGAATAATGAAAAGTACGAGTTATAATGGAACAAGTTCATCGGTATTAATAACGTTAAAGTATAAAGATCACTGTTCCAGTATACAGCGCCAGAAACGCTTACACTCACCAAAAGGCGAACAATGAGACCGGCGTTGATACAACAGATGAAATTCGGTTCTTCCTTCACTCATTAAGTTTTTTCGTTCAAATAACGAAGGTAAGTTTGTCAATTAAAAGGTCAATGGATGCTTTAGATGCTTCAAGCCGCTCTCGTATGCAAAATTAAAGCTTACATTTTTTTTTTTTTAATAAAGGATGAAGGAATTATGTTCTTTAAACTGTCAATCTCAAAGTTAAATGATCTTCGACTGGACGCATTTCGATTTGTCAATGTGTCTTCTCGGTGTTTGCCGTTGAATAAGACGCCGTTAGATATGGATTGGTTCAAGAAAAGTCAAATATACTCTGGACGGAATGTTCGCTACCTCAGAGATTCATTTCGGATGTCTCTGCTTTCGTATCTCAAAGAACGAGATATAACGTTCGAAGTACTACAAGCCATTGTCACTCGCAGCTGGCGAAAAGAGAACGCACTCTTCAAGTCTTGGTTAGCAAACACAGTAAAGTTTCTGATGTCCCGATCAAAGGAGGAGCCAGTGTCCGCTTGATACAACAGACTTTCTCTAGTAGCCACAGAATCACTTTTTTGGAATCCTCGAACCGCCATACGCTCCCGCGTTTGATTTTTGACGAATAAACCAACAAAAAGGGAGAAATAAGCCATCAGACGTCAATTATTCTTCCGACTATTCCGTTTTAATTACCATAGTTGAGCAAAATGGCTGTTTGCAAGTACTTTCTTCAAAGTACGTTTTTTCGACGAAAACAATTGCTTCTTCAAAAAGCAAGAACTAACATCTTTCAAAGATCGCTGTAAATTTGGTAACAGCTGTAAAAATGAACACGTCCGACCGGGTTTTCAAAGCCCTAGTCACATACCAAATATCTTTACCCCCAAAAATGCAAAAACATGTAAGTATCGTTTATTTATTGGCAAGCAGATCAATTAAGAATTGCTAACTTTCTTACAGTTCCCTGGTTAATGGGGAAAACCATGAGGAAATCAGAATTGGACAGCATTTTTCCTAAACGAAAAGCCGATTCTGTGCGGCAAGACATGAAAGAGTTCCCTATATACGTATTGAGTGGTTACTCTATTGGTTCTAGCACGCCAAATGTCTATGCTGGTGATATATCGCCGGAAGAGTTGCGTTGGAAAGCTTACCAGGCTCAGATGTCGGGCAATCTTCAGGAGTATATGCAATTCCAACAGAATGCGTTTCAAGAAATAGAGAGGAAAAAGCAAATTGTTCAGAGGAACCCGGAAAAAACCGTTGAGGAAATCCGCAATGTGCTTGCCGGCAGGAAGAATTTCAAATCCATCTTTTCCGAACAGAACACAGGATTTGGTGCAACTTCATCTCCCGCAGCATCTGCATTCGGTTCTTCCACTCAACAAAACAATGCTTTTGGCGCTGCCGCACCTCAAACCTCTGCTTTTGGATCTGCTTTTGGAGCCGCTTCCACTGCTTCACCGTTTCGACAACAATCAACAAGTGCATTTGGCGCACCAAGCGCCTTTGCATCTCCAAATCCAACGGCATTCGGGAACACAACATCATCATTTGCAAACAATCCAGCCAGTGTGTTTGGATCCCAAACAACGAATCCTCCCCCGGCCTTTGGCGCTACAAGCTTTGGTGCCGCAGCAAACCAACAATCTTCTATAGGAAACACTGGCAACGGGTTCTCTTTCAATGCATTCCAGTCTCCACAAACGAACTCGGCCTTCAATACGAAACCCGGAACCTCAGCTTTTGGGGCTAGTCCGGCCGCCAACCCGCCTACAACTTTTGGCAAAACAAGCACAACGAGCAATCAACCAGCTGCTGTCTTCGGTCAAAGCTCCTTCCCCTCCGCTTCTGCGTTTGGCTCGAGCGCTTTTGGTCAAACATCAGCTTTTGGTTCGGTACCAAATACGAACAATACCGGCAATACAAACCCCGCACAGAAGTCGGCCTTCTCCAATACCCCGTCTGGTGCGTTCTCCTTTGGGGGAGCAGCATCTTCTTTCGGACAGTCGTCCTCTAAACCAAGTGCCTTTAATGAAGCCGCGTCTGTTTTCGGAAATTCAGCAAATACCAATGCACCTAACACTTCTGCGTTCGCTACGTTTGGAAATACTCAAAACGCACAACAACAACAGGCAGCTTCTGTATTCGGTTCAACAAACAACACTCAACAGGCAGCTCCCACGAGTGCGTTTGGTGCTAGTCAACAGCAGCAGAACCCCCCAACCGCTGGCACAGCGAGTGGTTTTTCTTTTGCACTTCCGACTGCAGCCAGTACAAACATCAGTGTGGCTTCTTCTGCTCCTGCCGCTACCCCTGCTTTTGCAAGCTCAAACCCTTCTGTTACAGACTCATCCATTCCTCCCGAATTCTTGGAGCAATTTCAAAAACCACAATTCACAATCGGTCACATTCCAACGGTTCCCCCTCCTCCCCAATTTTGTCAATAAAACTCCTCATTCCTGTGTTTCTTACTATTAAACATGGTGTTTCTCCCCTACTTGCATCTCAGTTTGTATACCTTATTTGAGCGTCAAAAAAAAGGCCGTCTGTTATTGAACTTTCTATTCACAATACGCAACATCATTACTGTTATTTAAGGGTACTCATCACCTAAATCCGTTCTCTTTGGTTTTTAGCAACTATTAAACTCCGCGGTCGTTCCGCGGTATCATTTGGTGGTTTTTTCTACTCAGTTGCCGAGGATTAATCTCTTACCGTAACACGCTCTAACTTGGACGAAACGCGAAAAAGCTTAGTTGTTTCTATATTCCACGCACTAAAACATGTCGGACAGCACCTCTTACCTGCTGCATCCACCGTCTGAACCCGGTGGAACAATTCCTCCTGACACCGACCACTCTGTTTCAGTTTCTTTACCTTTATGGAAGCATAATGTGTGGTATGAAATGGGAATTCCAGAGTTTTTGGCTACCTTCCAGACTGGTTATCCTCGGTTTTTGTTAAACAAATACGTAAAACAACTCATTGAGTATGTTGCAACCGTTGAACATTTAAATCACTCCGAAGACGGTGAAACAGCTCTTCTTTTTCCTACTATGAGCGTTGTCAACCAATGTATCGAGTTTGTTACCACATACGGAAAACTGCCTGCTGAAACACTCCGGGTGGTTGACCTGAAGGACGTCGTTGCACACGACTTTGGTGATCTCTTGGACACGAAGGCTTTGAACTTCAGTATTTATGCTCTGATCTTCCGAAAGGCGGATTTCCCCGTGGTGAAACAGTTTTGGCAACACAGTGGCGACGGCATTTCCAGTCGTCGTGCAGAGGATGCATTGAGAATTCTCTCGGACATCCGCGACAGAGTCAATAAGCGGCTTGTAGAACGTTCGATCTCTCATTTCAAGGGCAAGAGTCGTTACTCTTCCAAGTCAGACCTGCAGGCTTTGAACAACTGTTTCCAGACGGATCTGAAGGCCGACGAAAAGAAAAACCTCGAGAGCGATGCGGCTTTGTACCTCGAAGAACGGTATGCTCGCAACATGGAGGCCAGTCTTGCACCTGCAGCGAAGAGGGTTCTTCGTCGACGCATCCTTGGCACTCTGAAGGACGAGGTTGATTTGACAAAAGATATTCCCGAAACTGCCGTCGGCGAAACACTTCGTGATGTTGAGGGTTTGACGGAAAACGACGTGTATCTTTTTCCCGCCGGCATGAGCGCAATTTACAATGCTCATCGCACAATCCGTCTTACTTTTGGAAACATTCTGAAGTCCGTTTGCTTTGGCTGGACGTATGTGGATACTATGAAGGTGCTTGAAAAGTTCGGGCCCGGTAGTTACTTTTATGGTTTCAATGATGAAAAGCGTTTGGATGAGTTGGAGGCTTTGTTGGAGTCGGGTGAGCGCGTTCTTTGCCTCTTCTGTGAATTCCCTTCAAATCCACTGTTGAACGCTCCCAACTTGGATCGTATCCGCAAGTTGTCTGAAAAGTACGACTTCCCTGTCGTAGTTGATGAGACTGTTGGAAACTTCGTCAATGTTGAAGTACTTCCAATGGTTGACATTGTGGTCAGCAGTTTGACAAAGGTATTCAGTGGTGACAGCAATGTTCTTAGTGGAAGCATGGTCCTGAATCCCCATAGTCGTTATTACTCGAAGTTCAAGAAAACGTTGGACGAGAATTACGAGGACAATCTTTTTGATTTAGATGCTCTTACCTTGGAGCGCAACAGTCGTGATTTTGAGTACCGTGCCAAAGTCATCAATCGTAATGCTGAAATGATCGCTGACCTTCTGCATGAGCATCCCAAGGTGAAGCGCGTTCACTATCCCAAGTACAATCCTTCTGGTCCCAATTTTGAAGCCCGCAGAACGGCGAATGGAGGTTATGGTGGTCTTTTATCCGTCGTTTTCAAGAACCCGGATGATGCCATCAAGTTTTACGATACCTTAAAGGTTGCAAAGGGCCCGAGTTTGGGAACAAACTTTACTCTCGCATCTCCATACGCAGTTCTTGCTCACTTCAACGAGTTGGATTGGGCTGAACAGGCTGGCGGCATTGATCCTCATTTGGTTCGTATTAGTGTCGGAATGGAACCCGAAGATCATCTCCTTAAGGTCTTTGAAGAAGCTTTGAGTTAAAAACACAAAACGCGAACACTCGTTTCATCACTTTCGTTTTTGTCTTTGAGCGATAAAACATGCTCGAGCGCTTTTGTTTGCCGTTGCGTTGCTCATTCTGAGATTACTTCGGAAATGGTTACAGATAAAGTAATCATTTGTACCGCCATTTAAATGTCTTTCTCCGAGAGCTTCCTTTCAAGTACTACACATAAATTTGTTTGGTGCTTTTTCGATGTTCAACACATACTCCTTTTCCTATAGATGCCTATCCTGCAAAGCGTTTGCGTCGAGTTACGCTTTTGCAGTGTAAGGCTATATTCCCTATTTTCCGATGTCTACAATGCCCATCGTGCGGGCGTGATGTTAATTATTACGGTAATTTTAAACTTTTTTTTTGTTTTAAATATTTGGATTTCTTAAATGAGGATGTTAAAGCTTTTATTTCTATTCAAAAACAGCAATTGAGCTCTAGCTTCGGAGATGCAATGAACAACGAAAAGAGGGAAACAATTGTACACATAAGAAATGTAAATTGGTAGTACTTGAAGCGCGTACTGAATTTCATTTTCGGTGTATGGTTTTTTGAACCCTTTCAAACCCTTGGCATCTATCCTTATTTTTCCCCCCCTGCTAACAGAAAAATCAAGTTGCTGCTCTCCTAACATTTCTGTATTTGTTAAAGTCGTACATTAGAACAAAAAGCTAATAAAATGACTTCCTCTCATCCGTCGACGCCTCCGTCGACGTTGAAAAGACACCGGCCGGAAATGCTGGCTGAGTACCCATCCATGCATTTTGAAAGCAATGTGCTGACTTCTCCTGGAAGTCCTACGGCAGCTTATTCCAGCACCGTTACGTCTTTTGACCAAAATACTTGCCTAACGGATGCTACTGATGTTGAAATAGCTGGACTTGTGGACGACGAAGACAGCACAGTTCATTTCAGCGACAGTGAACGCCGTAGTTATTCATCAATCTCTCAAGCAAATCCAGCCAGTACGCTACGAAACACAGGCGAATCATTTCTCAATATTGTTTGTCAGATGCAAGCTCACCTCGAGGAACTCACCAAAAGCCACGAAACTGCTCTTCATAGAATTGACGCCCTGGAAAAAGAGGTTTTACGTTTAAAACAAAGGTGAACTGTGTGTACTGCATCCGTACGCCTTTTTACTGGTGTTTAGCGTCCGAATTTTCATGTTTTCGTCAAGTTTCAAGAACAGCCAGGTCAATTCTCAGACTTATGACTTGGAAGCACAAACCGCCACCCAATCGTTAGAAAACGACGATACTTCTAAACGGGTTGATGAAGCCGTTCCCCTGTCCTCGTTTGCGAGTACTCCATCTCGTTCTCGTTCAAAAATTCCCAAAACTGCCTCTTCTGCGGTTTCCGACTCAACAATTTCAAGCCGGGCGTCGGTCTCTGCGAATTCTGATGATTTACTTGTCGAGGGACCTCCTCCATCGCTTTTGCTAGAAGAAGGTCTTCGTGCTGGCTCAATCCGACAAACAACATCTCGTAGTCAGCATCGACTTCAAAATTCTGCTGCATCACGACTTCGTCTACCTCGAAACCGATTTTCAAGACGCTTTCTCCGTGGTAGCAGAAGCGGCAGGATCGATCCAGAGGAACGAGCTTTGTGGTACTGGGCAAACGTGGAAAACATGGATGTCTTCCTTAACGAAATTTACGCGTACTACCAAGGAAAGGGCTTTTGGTGCATCATTCTTCATCGGTTTCTTCAGGTTAGCACCATTGCATTCGTCGTGGGCTTCTCAACATATCTGACCAGCTGTGTTAATTGGCAATCCATCAAGCCGAACTCTTCCCTGGCCTCTGTCATCTACCCTCGATGCATGGCTCGTATGTCCTCGACATCCGTACTCATCCTATGGGTTTTGCTGTGCACATTGTTCGCCTTGACATTACACTATACGGTAGACACATTTCGGTTGTGGAGAATGCGTGACTTTTTCGTGTACGCCCTTCATATTCCTGAGCAGGACATGCAAACTGTGTCGTGGCCGTTAGTCGTGCAACGTTTAATGATGTTGAAGGATTTGAATGCGCTAACGGCACCCCAATATGTTCTTGCTGAAAACGAAAAGCGTCGGATGGATGCACATGCAATCGTCAATAGAATCATGCGCAAGGAAAACTATATGATTGCGCTCATGAACAACGGTATTTTGGAGGCGAATGTGCCCTACATAAACTCTCCCATCTTTACAAAAACAATGGAATGGAACCTGAGTTGGTGTATTTTGTCGCATGTTTTTGGCAAACAGGGACAGGTAAAGCAGGAGATTTTGAGTTTTGGAGCACGAACTCGTTTGGCGGAGGAACTGCGTCGCCGATTTATCGTAGCTGCTGTACTGAATGGCATATTTGCGCCATTTATCGCCATATACCTGGTTTTGCTCTACTTTTTCCGCTACTTCAACGAGTATCATAAGAATCCCAGCTCTCTAGGTGCTCGCCGCTACACGCCCCTGGCTCAATGGCGGTTTCGTGAGTTTAATGAACTGCAACATGTATTTGAAAAGCGTATGAATGCCAGTTACGAGGCTGCTTCTCACTACATCTCTCAGTTCCCGAATATAAACCTCATTCGGTTAGCTAAGTTTGTGACACTGGTACTTGGTAGCTTTACCGCAATCCTTGTTCTTTTAACGATCATTGAACCTGACTTGGCGTTAACGTTTGAGCTGACGGACGACCGGCCTATTCTCTTTTATCTCGGTATTTTTGGTACTCTTATTGCTGTTGTTCGCAGTGCCATTCCGGAGGACACGCTCGTGTTTGATCCAGAAGCGTCATTAAAAGAAGTTGTTGAGTACACACACTACTTGCCAGCTTCATGGAAAGACAAAATGCATAGCAAGGAGGTGCAAGCCGAATTCTGTGCGTTTTATGCTTTTCGAGTTACAACCTTACTTTGGGAAATTATCGGTGTTCTGTATACGCCGTTCTTCCTTTGGAAAATTGCTCCGGAACGCAGTGCAGCTGTGATTGATTTCTTTAGAGAACATACTGTGAATGTAAGCGGTGTAGGTAATGTCTGCAGCTTTGCCGTATTCCATTCGAGTACCCGAGGTCCCGCAACCTCAAAAGCTCGGGAAACGTTTACTCGCACATCGTATCCTTCTCCGATGTCACACAAAGTTGCTGCGGTTTACGGTGCTTCAGCCGGTCCCCAAGCTCGCGATGCCTTTTTACGAGACAAGATGCAGTTATCGATCTTGAATTTTGCTGCAACAAACCCTGAATGGATTCCTCAAAACGAGCAAGATGTGGACTAATCACTTTTGTTCGTGTGTAATTTTACTCTTCCATCAGACAACCTCTCACACATACGCATCTACACTCTGCATTTTAATACTGTTAAGTCTGCGTTTGTTCGTGAACTTTTACGTTTCTTCCTAATGACCGAGTTGTCTTTTCTTTTTCTTTATGATGAACTTTTAAGAAATTTTTTACGCAGTGAAAGGTTATGAAGAACACTGACCATTTGAGAATACCTATTCACAGCTCTTTTCTTGTTGTATTTGCTTGTTTTCTATTAATTGTAATTTGTCATTTCTCTAGCAAATGACGTTCGCTAAGATAACCTAATTTAACTTTATTAATTGATATCATAACCATTGATGTCGTAGAGGTAAACAGGCTGGCTTCTTACGACAAACCAGGAGTGTACCCAGTGTTAATAAACAGTAACATTCTTCGTTGAACACGAGATGGAACGCGCAGCAGCCAGGGCTTGTTACCGAAAGTTGTTCCGCTCGACCACAGCAGTATTCCAAAGTTCGTAAGATGGTCATCTTTATTGGCGCCAAAATTAACAGCTGTTTATATAGGAGACAAGGCGATGCTTGAGGCAGCACGTCAAAGAATCCGTCAGGAGTTTATACAAAACAGAAACCTCCCTCCGGAGGAGTTGCAAGTGAAGGTTGACTGGGGTAACCAAATTGCAGAGTTTCTTTCCAAAAATCTCGTTCAAGCGGAGAAACAGGTAGACGGATCATATAAACTGAATATTCGTCCCTCGACCGATCTTTCAAGCGATTTTCCTCCGTCAATTGCAGTCTGTACGCGAAACAAGAAATGAACTTCATGATGTCACCAAAATATAAGGTGAAGTCGCAAATTTTTATGATTCGTCAAAAATCCATGCACGTGTGGAGCTTACTTTGATGAGCCGAAAGAAACAGGAAAAGACGAAGATCCAAGAACATGCAACAGATGACCAATTGTGAGCTGGTCTGTTACGAAAACAACTGGAAAAACAAGCTGATTGAAGATTTTCAGGACCGCTAGACCATCTGCCTATTCGCGGCTTTTTCTGGCAAGAACACGTCGTATCGCCCGAACTATGGTATAGCGCGTCGTCACTCCGACTTTGTTCAGCCATCCGAAACTTCCTTTCCTACGCTTAGAACTTGACGTTCGATTTTCCTGTCCCCAGAAACATGTCTGATCAAAAAGTTGTTTTGCTTACCGGTGCCTCGAGAGGTATTGGCCTGTGTGCTGCTGCCGCTTTGGTAAAGCAGGCTCGCGTTGTCACTGTGAGCAGAACCATGACTCACGAGCTTGAAGACCTTTTAAAGGCAAATAGCGACAAAATGGAGCATGTCCAAGGCGACGTCTGTACCTGTGCAAAGGAAGCCGTTCAACGTGCACTGGATCGCTTTGGCCGTCTTGATTCTGTGATCCTGAATGCTGGTGTCGTCGAACCCATTGCGAATATTGCCGAAGCTGACATGCAAGAATGGCGTAAATTGTTTGACGTTAACTTTTTTAGCGTTGTGGAAATGGTGAAGGAAGCACTTCCTTATGTTCGTAAGCAAAAGGGAAGTATAGTCATTGTCTCTTCCGGAGCCGCTGTTCACATTCTCCCTGCTTGGGCTGCTTACTGCTGTTCAAAGGCTGCCATCAATATGTTGGTTCAAAACCTTGGCAGTGAGGAACCGGATGTGATGAGTGTGGCTCTTCGACCTGGTGCCGTAGATACTAGCATGCAAGATTTAATTCGTGAGGAGCGGAACAAGAATGCTATGGGCGACATGCACGACTTTTTCAAAAATCTCAAGGCCACCGGTAAGCTCGTGAACCCCGAAGACATTGGCAAAGCTCTTACCATTCTTTCTCTGCAGCCCACCACCAAACTCTCCGGTCAATTTGTTGACTGGAAGACGATTGTTCATCCAAGCAACGAGTAATCATAACGAGCGAGCACGATACGCCCGAAGAATAGTAAATGAAAGAGTATGATAAAAAGAAAGGTGTAGGGTCTGGAGGGAGGAAAAGGAGCAATTGGGCTTGGGGCAAAAATCTTTTAGACGTGTTCGAATCCGAATTAAGTAAGGGCATCAAAACTGAACATCTTTCCCTGTTCCTATCCCATCAATTCGTCATCCGGGTCACGTACAACGAAGTTTTCATCATCCGCCGTTTGTACGTACTCAGATTGTTTGGATCCAGTAGCATCCTTTGATTTGTGTTGCGCTTCATCTTCCAATAAATCAGCAAAGAGGTCTTCGTCTCTGTGAGGATTCGAGTACTCTTCGATCCAGTGCCGACGATGAATCTTCATCATACGCCGTTTACCAAGAGACTGCAGGCCGATGATTGTGTCGTCAAACTTTGCTTTTGGAAACATCTCGTGTGCCCACAATTGGTAGAAAGCCAACAACCGTTTCATGTCCTGTGCTTCATGATTCTTTCCCTTGAAACGTAGTGAAGGAGCAGTTTTACGTAGCCGCGGTATACCGTTTTCGGACAGCAGACTAAAAAAAGGAATAGGTTAGTAAGTGAATTGAGTCAAAATCTCAACAACGCATAAATATAACGTGTCGTCGTGTCGTCGTGCCGTACTAGTCTTCATCGAGCTTAATTCTCGGTTTTCGTTCCTTCTTAATGACGACTTCTTCATCTAAACCTAAGTCAAACTTTTCCTCTTCGGGTTTTTTTCCATCTGTTGAAGGAACGTCGGGAATGTTCGTCAATTCACTAAGAGCAGATCCTCCATAAGGTTCTTTTGCCTGTTTTTCGGACATAGAACCGTATTTTCAGCTACAAAGAGTTTGGGAAAGGGCAAGTTGTGTTGTGTTGGCGAAACATAGTTAAGGTTTGTTTGCGACGCGACGCGTCTTAAAGCAAGTTTTGACAGCTAACAACAAAAATGCAGCAAATGACTAGAAACAGCAGGAATTAAGACAACGATAGACGATTTACTTGTTTGATGCATGGAAAATGTCTATCACACGCGTTTTAAGACGTTCACAGACTTTCAATGTCAAAAATGGTCAGCAAGACGAGATGAAAACCCGACGAACTGACGAAACTACATTTCCATGAACAAAATTCGCGTTTCCGACTATTGTATTACGCGTTTTTAGCTCTCCTTTTTCGAATGCTCAAGTCCGTTTTCGTCTATCGTACAGGCAAAACGTGTTCAATCATATTTTTTTTTTTTTTCCAACAATTTGCTTCTTCATCCGTCTCTTGCAACACTTCAGAACGTTCGTGTTCAATCCTCCTTATCTCCATCATTGCTATCTACTCCTTCTCCCTCATCCACGTTTACCGCGTTTATTTTTCTCAGGCAGTACGGGTGTTTTCAGTTTAACGGGCAAAACAATTCAACCCTCTACCACATACAAAACATGGCTACCCGGTATCGCGTTGAATACGCATTAAAGGTTCACCGCAAGGACAATTTCATTGAGTGGATCAAGGGTCTTTTGGCAGTTCCCTTCACGCTTCAGACAGGACATTTCGCCGATAAATATGAAGCTACAAAACACGCAAATGAGACCTTAAAGCGTTACGCTACTGTCCTCCGCGATGTCGAATATTTGATTAACAGCCACAGTAAGTTTTCAATGGAGTTCTAAGGAAGTTCTTTAAGGAAGTTTTTGAACGAACGAAGGAATGATATGAAAAACAGTGTGTTGACATGTTTAACCACTCAAAACATCCAAGGCTTCCATGTATACACGGCCCTCAATGTCGCCCCTCCTATCAAACTCACTAACATGCTATTTCAGTTGAACATATCCGCCAATTTGGCGAGAGAGGTTCTAGTCGACTTAAAATGTTAGTTCCTAGCATTACTAATTTTTGGACGCCCTTGCCGCTGGAACGGGCTATGTACATTTTGGAGCCACGTCTGTGTTTGGCAAAGCGTCGATTTGTTGCTCCAAGTTTTAATGATGTTCGTTACCTTCTGGGTGCTGCCCAGCTGCTTTACTTGGCAGAAAACGGTCTTGACATGGTTACGTTCGATGGTGATGTAACGTTGTATGAAGATGGTCAGCCTCTCATTTCGAACAACCCGGTCATTTCTCGTCTGCTGCATCTTTTGAGAGAGGACAAATTTGTCACTATTCTTACAGCTGCCGGCTATCCCAGCGTAACGGGACGTGAGTACTCTGATCGCTTCTCGGGCCTTTTGAGTGCCGTAGAAGACAGCGATTTGACCGATGTACAGAAAAAACGCCTGCATGTGCTGGGAGGCGAGAGCAATTACTTGTTCCGTTACGAGCCTTCCTCCGGTTTGACATGGATTGAGCCGGAAGAATGGAGCTTGCCACAAATGTTGACGTGGTCTCGCGAGGACTGTCAACGAATCCTAGATGTTGCCGAGCTCTGTTTCAAAAAGTGTATTGAGGCACTCAATATGGATGCAGTGCTTGTCCGCAAAGAGCGTTCCGTTGGTCTTGTTCCCAAGCCCGGTCACACCTTCCGTCGTGAACAGCTGGAGGAGGCTGTTCTGGACACGCAAAGCAACCTTCTTATGGAAAACTTCAGCATTCCGTTTACCGCCTTCAACGGCGGTAATGACATTTGGTGCGACATCGGCGACAAAAAGCTGGGCGTGCAGTGCTTGCAAGCGTACTTTGGCGTGCCTGAGTCTTCTCGTTGTCTGCACGTTGGTGATCAGTTTTTGTCTGTTGGTCATAACGATTACAAGGCGGTATGTTAGAGAATTTCTCGAACTGGTTTTCGAGTTGCAGCTGTTGCCGTTTACTAACAATTACAGCGTGCCGCAGCTACTACTGTGTGGGTATCGAGCCCAACAGAGACGATTGAGATGCTCGACTACTACTTTTGCTTTCTCGACAAGAAGCGTTCAGGCGATTCTTTGTTGAAAAAGCATGATTAAAGTTCGTAAGAACAAGGACAAGGACAAGCAGTCGTCTCGTTGGGGAGACAGAAACGAACCCGAATCATACACCGTGCACTCTTTTACCGTGAATCCTTACGTTTTTCAGTTTCGCTTCAGCGTTTCTTCCAAATCATATACCCACCATTCGTATTAACCAGGAAATATAATGTACGAGACGAGCCCTGGACTCGAGCCAGGTGAACAGAATTACAGGGTGTGCAAGCGACACTATGCGATGCAGTGTGCAAGTCAGACCGTCGTTCTAACTACGCAGTTTGACCAGAAGCCGAAGCATTCTTGTTTTGATTTTGGAAGCGCTCTCTAGCCTTGCTGAGTAGCTCTTCTTGTTGACGCAGCAGTTCGTCTCGGGACACGCCTGATTGTTCAAACTTGCTTGTTTTCTTTTCACGATTCTGTAACATTGTTAGCAGGGTAAATTTACTAGGGATTGTTTTCTGTGACGCGTTGTCCGTCCAGCGTATTGTCATTTCGCCATGAATGTATTCTGGAGAACTGTACCACTGGATGACTGTTCTCCTCCGTCTCCGTCTCCGTCTCCATCTTTCCCTCACCTTTTGTTGTTCCTTATGGTCGGCAGCGACACCCACAATTTCGTCAATGTACTCCTTGAACTCGAGGTTTTGAAGAGCTTTGATGATGTGTTCTGCTGCAATCGTTTTCTTGGCCTCTTTTTCACAAATTTCGTTTGCTTCACTGGAAACAAGATGAATGAATTCCACACAACATTCAATTAATAAATCTCTTGTTTCTTTCGTAAACATCAAGTCCGAAGGCAACATTTCGGAAACCAATTTTTGAACCGTCGCTGCGTCAAACCGTTAGCATCGTCGCTCAAGAGAAGTCGTTACGCACCTTTGGGAAGCGAAAGCTCGTCGTCCGTAAAGCCTTCACTCATTTTTGGATTCGTCGTTTTCACGGTGTGCTGGTCACTTTTATGTTGCGAGCGGGAGGGAGCAGGAGGGAGCGGGAACGCGCAGCAGGGCAGGGTGCGGTAAATGTTTTAAAGGGGGCAAACGTGACGCGTAAATGAAATAAAACACTGCAGAGTACTGCGGTATACTTGTTACTGATGCATACGATGTCGGTATAGGCGATTAGTGATGAGTAACGAGGCGCAAGGTGTTCAACAGGCTCGAATCAATGATGCTAGGTCGACAGCTCGAGAACAGATCAAAGATGAACGGAACGGCCAGCGGAAACCCAGATGCTGCTTGCCCTCTCTGGTAGACACAGCTCGCTCTAATCGACTAACAAAAAACAAACCAAAGCCGCACCCGCTTCCCCCGCCTTCCTCTTGTTCGGCTCATCCATTCAATTTCAAAACCTACCTAGACCAAAAAGAACCAAACAAAAAGAAAAGAATAAAACGAGCCTTAGACGGACCGCCGTCGACATTGCACTGACACTGTCAGTGCACTTGATATCCTGGCCTTGGCTTCCCAGACAAGACTTGGGGTAAACATCTCAAGCGCTGCTAACTCGCAGCTTACTTGCTAAAGAACATAACATCGTTCTCCTTGATGCTGCCACGTTCAATAAACTTGCGAGCAAAACCATCAAAGACAGAGCGCACGGCATCGGCACCCTTGCCCTTCTCCTTGTTGATTTCACCGGCCAATTGTCCAAGCTCACCGTCACCCAAGTTGGCCATCAAGACCTCAACGTCGCGAAGAACCATGTCAATGTGCTCGGGTGTAGGCTCCTCAGCACCGGAGAAGTAGGTGAAGTCCTTCAAGGCTCCCTTGACGGTCTTCTTGTCCTTCTTCTGAGCCTTCTTCTTGTCCTCCTTGGCCTTCTTCTTTTGGGCAGCGTTGGCAGCACGTTCAGCCTCTTCCTTGGCCTTGCGAGCAGCCTCCTCTTCGGCGGCCTTCTTCTTGGCAGCAGCAGCCTCACGAGCGCCAGCCTCACGCTGCCACTTGCGTGCTTCCTTAGCAGCCTTATCTTGCTGCTTAAAGAGCTTGATACGGGGGTCGATGGCCATGGCACGGTCAATCAAGTGACGAAGACGGGCGTTGTCTCTAGCCTTGTTCTTTTGACGCTCAGCCTTGTTCTTCTTCTCTTGGAAACGCTTGTTATCACGAGACTCGCCATCATCGGGGATATCCTTGTCCAAGTACTCAAATGTCTTCCAGGAGTCAAAGTTGTACCAAGAGTTGTAGAAGTTGTCCACCTCAGCACGGCTGCTTTCCATGGTACCCAAAAGGGGAACGGGCTGCTTCTTGGAGAAACGGGCCTCGCTGGCAAACACGGGTCCCCATTGCTCGAAGAAATCACCCTCTCCGTCTTCGTCCTCCTCAGGAGGCTCGACGTCGGCCTTGTCATCAACAGAATCGTATTGACGACGCTTCGTCTCGTCCGACAAAATCTCATAAGCCTTTTGGATACACTTGAAGAAAGAGTCATCGTTGTAGTTGCCAGAAGAGGCCTTCTTATCAGGGTGATGCTTCAGAACCTTCTTCAAGTGAGCCTTCTTAATCTGCTCAAAGGTAGCTTTGTAACGGTACTTGGACAGACCCAAAACGGCATAGTGGTCTTGCTTCTTCCATTCCTTGGGGTCAGCACGCAACATCTCGGGGTCTTCAGGCTCATCCTCAGACTCCTCGCCGCTGTTGTCGACGACTTCGGCCTTCTTAGTCAAACGCTCATCCTCACTGAACGTGCGACCATACTTCAAGCGTCTGGCATGAGCAAGGAAATAAGGGCCAATGGGTTCAACGGAACGCACAACAGGCTTGGAAACCTTGGCATGAGGAACAAAGGAAGCCTCAATGGCAGTCTTAGAGGGGAACAAAGGAATGGATTTGCCGGCACTCATTCTTTTTTTTTGTGGTGGTTGGGAGAGGACAAGCCGAGGCGGCGGCCAGATTCTTTTTGATTCTTTGCTCTTGGTCAGTTATGCGATGTTACTTTAAAACATTACGAAGTAGTGCATAACATTTCGTTAAAGTAACACAGCTGCTACACCAAAAAGTGCACAAAAAGAATAACGATCTCGTCAAAACGCACAATACGCATTTTTAGAACTCCTGTGAGCTGTAGCGCAGATCATAAAGTGTTTGGGACGTGTCAGGCGCGTTTGTTCCTTTACCAACTGTCCATGGCATCGTTGGCACCCGTGTCAGGCGAAACCTATGAAGCACTAAATCATGACTTATCTGAACTTCAATTGAGCAACTCCCGCCGCACATCTTCATATTCTCTGCGTTTGCAAGAGAATTCGCATCGGAAACCTTATTCCGCCAAAAGTTTGCTCGGTTCACCGACTGACAGACGGTATTTTAGCACGCCGTCGTCTTTGAAAAAAGTCAATGTTCTTCAGACGTGGAAACCGCTTCGTTTCAGACGCGTTTGTCGGATTCTGGGATGGGCCATGAATCAGTAGACTCACGGTCGTTTTCACAATTGTCTGGTCGACTCGACAATTTTCTGTTCCAGCGTGGATTTGAGCAAGGTTACTGCTCAGATATCACGGTTCTGGCTTTCGGAAACGCGTATGCTCTCCATAAAATAATCCTTGATCAGTCCCCATTCTTTTCTGCGATGTTTGAGGGCGACTGGTTGGAAAGCAAATGTTCTGCCATTGATTTGCACTTTGATGAAGACGAAATGATCACTTTGGAGGGTTTTCTATGTTGTTTAAAGTACCTGTATAGCCGGATTGACCTTCCAACGACTTTCTCGGAGCTCTATACAGTAATTGCTACGGCGTGTTACTTGGGTTTGGATGACCTTGTTTTACAATGCGTACAGGAACTGCTACGACTCACACATTCATTATCAGACATGGCCTCTCATTTAGACTTTGCGGTGAACGCTGGAAAAGATTACGGTCCTACTACACAATTACTCATTGAGGTGTCTAAAGTAATGCTGTGTCGGGAAGGCAGTGATGCGCCCTTGGAGGTTTGGGTTCGATTTCCCATTCTTATAACAGCAAGTGTACTTAGTGCAGACGCTTTTTTCGTGACCGATGAGTGGACTCGATACTGCATCACCAGAGAACTTTTCGCTTTTTACGAACACACCGAGGGTGCGGGCTGTTTACGGTCTGTTTTGGCTTATGGAGTTCATTATATGCATTTAACGTTTGCTCAGCGTCTCAAAGTAATGCAAGACCGTGATTCCGACGGACACCCACTTGTGCCAGCACATGTTTTATACCGCTCACACTGGCTCTCAGATGAGCTGCAGCATATAATTACACACAACGACGAGCATTCGCCATCTCTCAATCTCTGCATAAATGCAGCAGTAGACAATGAAGAGCAGACGGAAGTTTCCCAAAAATCCCCTCTCCCACAACCCAGCATGTCCGACATATACTATGATGTTCCGCAACACGATGATACCGCTATCTCTGAACTATCCTTCCCTAATTACAATATCCCTTTTCACATCGGTGAGCACGCAGTCTACGACGATGCCAGACAGGGGGACATTTTCCGGCCATCCAAACATTGTTCTAAATTTCCTCCTTTCCGCTTCTCCGTAGAATTCCACGACATCGATCTGCTGCGGATGAATAAACGTGTCTACTCACAAACGGTCTATTACGCGGGTTCGTATTGGAACGTTTACATCGAAAAAGTTCGTTCAAAGAAAAACAGTAAGCTTCGTCAATTGGGAGTTTATCTACACCGTGCTTCTGAGCATGCAACGATGCGAATGCTTAATGGTTCAGATTCCCGCTACGCTGATACACAAAGCACGCGTGTATCTTCGTACAGTTCGCAGACACAGGACTCGCTCGATTCATTCACCCAAAATTCGCAGGACGAGACAGAACGGAGTGTTATGAATTCGAGCCCCGCTGAAATAGATTCACCTACGGTATACCTTGACAACCGGCACATTGTCATGAGTTACTTCAGCGTTTACTCTCCAGCGAGCGAAGGAAACATTGGCATGTCGTACTTTGTTGCTTCAGCGGATACGTTCGAGAATGGACAAAGTTGGGGCTGGAAGAGCTCGACCTTGTATAATCAAAATGAGCTAAGTCGTTCTATCAAATTTGTCATTGTGCTTGGTCTTGTGTAACGGAAAGAGAATAACGAGAAGCATGCGTTCGTTGACGAGCAGCAACATGTGTCTTTTACGATTACGAAATTATTTTATGACGGCGAAGTTCATTTCAACTCAATCGGACTTCTTTATCAGGCTCTCTTTATTTCATTCATCTATGACTTCTATTTATTCCATCTTTTACGTTCACATCGTTAACACTGTTACCGGTGGAAAAAAAGCAAAAACAAAAAAACTTTCCGACCTGTCTCTTTAACGCTAGAGAAAACAAAGTCGTCGTTATGAAGGAAGACGGACATCAAGAACCTTCTAATTTATTAAAACATGCATACACGCCAGCCGACGTTTCATTTCAAATAACAGCATCGGTCATTTTTCTGTATAAAAGAACGTGATTGTTTCAGGGTTTGACGGGTTGTCATAGTCAGTAATTCCCTCGATCCATGGTGCCTTACTGTTCAAACACAGTACGTTAACGACCACACCAAAATTTTATTCTCAAGAAGAACCTGTCACATTTTGGTAACTGAGGGGTTCTGGACTATCTTTGCGTGTATTATACATGAGTTCTACAAACCTGTTTGTACATGAGGATGGCCGGCCCTTACTTGCGGTGATATCAGAGAATATCGACAATGCGTCTCAGTACGCCCATAAATTTACAGTACGTAAGGATTTTGAGGTTGGAGGGATTTTAACCTAAAATTTGCAGAATTATGGCGGAAACAGCATTCTCGCGAAAACTTTTGAGTCGTATCACTCTGAAGACATCAGAATTGGACGGGTTCGTAAGTCAGATCTTCAAAAACGAGATTCGTTGCCGCTCTCCCAGACACGCCCAATTGTGAGTGAACTTTGGATTGATCAATGTATCGAACAAGGGAAACTTCTTAGTATCTCCTCGTTCGTTAATACACCTTTTCCACAAGCTCCCAATTCACCTGGTTCTAAACATTCCACTCAAAAACGGGTTCCATTTTCGTTTGAAGATCAACGAATTCTTGTCCATTTCATTCACCGAAAAGGCGTTCAGAGTAACGGAAATAAAGTGTATCAAGAACTCGAGGAAAAGGTACGTTTAACGATGTTTTGTGTGTCATCGGTCAGCCGAAAAACGTCTTCAAATGTGGACTGTAAAGCTAATCCAGTTTGCGATAGTACCCACAGCACACCTACCACTCTTGGCGTCAGCACTATCTAAAACAACTAAAACCATATCTACCTGAACCCGTATTACCTCCCATCCCCATCACGAATGAAGCGCCTGCAGCCGGTGGACCCTCCGAGCAAGTGAGCAATGAGCAGCAACAGAATCCTAGACCTTTCTTACGATCCGAAATCGAGTCTCTGGTTCCAGCCAACAGGGCTATCTCTAGCCAGTTTTCGGAAACGATCAATGAAGTGGATGAGCTCGCTCCTCTTATTGTGCAATTCGGTACAACAAAAAACCTTAATGATCTCTGTACCCTTATCACTTTACGGTATCCACGCTACTCGGCAGAAGAATGGAAGCAGAAACTGTTGTCAGCATTCCCATCACTTAACCAGGATCAGGATATGCCGGCCTTTGGTTCCCCTTCGTCGCCCATGGTTTCACAAACCAGTCAGGCGAACGATGAAATGATTGATCTTGATGATGCAGTCATTGAAACTGTTGTTTTTCAAGAAAATTTGCGTAAGCCGGGGATTAACTATTTGACGAACACAACATATTCTCCAAAGAACGTAGAGAAACATGCTAGTCCGGCTGTCGCTACAAATCAAAATGGAAATGTCCCGGATTCAACGTCCACGCGGCAACGACCGGAGGCAGAAAACGTGACTAATGAAACGACCACCCCTCAAAAGAGAGCGGCTCCACTTGAAGAAACGAGTTTACAGGCTCCAACAAGTGAACGTAAGCTCTCGCCTGAACACAAACAGACGACGCCAGGACAATCACAAAGTGCACCATTGCCCGAGTTGCCGCTCATACCAGGGTCCTCATCGGAAGAAAGTTCAGCATCGTCGCTGCCATCCTTGACACGACCTTCTCCTCTTCGAAAAGCAACTACGGCGGCACAAAAGGCGGTAGCTCTCGCTGCCGAACATGTCAAAGAGGGGTTTTTGCAACCGGATGAGGAGTTGGATATACCACCGCTCGAAAGTGATGATGAGTTTGCCGCTGCTGTGCGTCCACCAAGTAAATCAACCGAAGAATCAGACTTACCGCATATCTCCCAAAGTTCTGAAGTTGCTTCAGAGCGTCTGCCTAATGTACCGAACACCGAAACACCTTCGGTTGAGACTGCACCGGAAGCATCTGTATCTTCACAAGGTGCATCCGTTTCGGAAGAGAATAGCTCTTTATCTGAAACACGTATTGAAAAGACCCCCGAACCTCGTCGGCTATCGAAAGAGCCTACCATTCGAAACATTTTGGCTTCCGTTTCCATCACTCCCAGAAAACAGGTCGTGGAGACATCATCGTCGCAAACATCATCATCCGTTGCGGAGCCCAATACTATTGCTTTGTATGAGGCAGTCTCGGATATTCCGGTGAGTGTCGCAGCAGCATCGACGCAGCCGGCGCCATTAGAACCAGTTCCTGCACTCTCTGAAGGCTCCAATACTGCTTCATCAGCTCCTCTTGTTCATCCAGACTCGTTACCATCACTGTGTGGCAGTGTGTCAGATTCGTCGAATGTTGTCACAGAGTTTATGCCTGATTCTACAGACGCAGTGCTTGATGATCTTCTTGAGTATGTTGGTGCTACAGAGGAGGACTTACTTCGTGCGTTAGAAGAAACTGGACGGAGTGTACGAAAAGCTGTCACCGTACTGCTGTGGAAAAAGGCGAAGCGGGAAAGGTCCAATGAATTAATGACGGGAAACAAGTAGCAATGTTTAGTGCGCTTTAATTTTCTATTTTTCTTCTTATGAGTTATCATATATTTTTATTTTATTCCAATCATCAAACATGAACAAGTTGTACAAAGTAATACCAAGTCATTCTTTTTCTGTGTGAAGACATATGAGGGTATTTGAGTTTGAAATGATTAAAGTAAGTGAGTAAGCATATGGGAAGTCTATGATATGAACTTTTGGCTAATTCGACCTTTCGAAGGTCTAAGTCGTTAGTGGTATTTAACAGGCTTCAATGAGTTCGTGGAATGATCAAACATGTGTGTGTGTGTTTGTATGAACAAAGATTTATCCCAAGAGAGTTACCGAGAATTATGTATCATTGTTCACCAAGAAAACCTTTCGTGGAAAGAACCCCCTTTAGCCGAGTAGAAGTCAATTATCAAATTCTATAAAGAGTATATTTTTGTGGAATGTAGTAGCACTCATAAAAAATGGAATGAATATCGCCGGTTGATTTTTATTATCCATGAATGTGCAAGGAAATGAATACCTTTTGCATGAGAATTGAAGACGAACAATTATCAAAAGGATGACCAAAAGAACGAAGGGAGAAAAACGAGCTTTAGAATTTCACGATCAACACCCTTGTCTGTTTTATATTTTAATCGTAGATCCAGATATATCCCATTGGTCGTAAGCAAAGGCGCGTATAAGTCGATAAGCAATAGAAGTGGGAGGAGGGAGTTTGAAAAGAGCATCTCCTTTTGAAGCGTCCCAATTAATTACCTCACGGACTTGTTCCCGTGTAAAGAAATCTGCTGCGTCTAATTCCAAATCCTTATCACGAGAAATTACGGAGCCTTCTTTTGCAATGCCAAAGCATCCAATCATCAAACTTTGAGGAAACGGCCATGGCTGACTGGAATGATACATCACTTTCTCAACAGTAATTCCAGCTTCCTCGTACGATTCCCGACGAACAGCTTCTTCGATACTCTCGCCGGGTTCAATGAAGCCAGCAAGACATGTTAACATTCCAGGAGGAAGACGCATTCCGTGTCCAAGCAGGATTCGCTGCTTGTCATGGGTCAATACAGCCATGATGACACACGGATCCGTGCGAGGGTATTGGTAGTTGTTCACACCGTGTTTGGAAGGACAATCTGCTCGACCGAGGGCGGATTGAACGCAAATGCGTTTCGTTCCCGCAAGACTAGCCACTTGAGGTCCGCCGCATCCAGGACAATACATAAATCTATTATTCCAATCGAGAAGTGAACGAGCAAAGGAACATATTCCAAAGGACTCAATGGAAATCGTGCCCGTAACCAGTAAGGAGCGAAAGTTTTGAAACACGACACCCGATTCACCGAGTCGCTTGTGCAGATCATCTAACGAAGAGATATCGATTGCGAAAATGTTACCGGCTTCCCATTCTTTTTCCGAGTCTCCTAAGCTGCTTGTTCCGAGATAGATGGTAACGGGCGCCAGCTTTTTGTTTTCTAATGCCGCTTCCAAGTAGTCTTTTTCGGGTTTTTCAATTGGATGTTCTGCGAGATATGGGCGAACATCTGCCAGCGAGATGTAGTGAAGCTCTCCAGTGTTCTTACAGACAGCTGGATCAAGTTTGTAAAAAGGAAGAAACTTGGTAGTAGGATGTGTGAATGCCTTTCGTAAAAACTCCTTATCTTCACGCTTAAAACTCAAACGATTCAGAGGATTCTGAGCCAAATAATGAGCAGGAGGAGTAGAAATGCTGTAATTGAATTGTCAGTAAAGAATTAGAAGGATAAACAAGGTGAGAATGGCCAAAAACCACATTAGAACTGCACGTTCAAAGAAACGGTCAGTATATCTTACCTCAGCAAACTTGTAACCGACGATGAGAATGACATTGTGAAAAGATTTTGATGAATGTGTGGTAAAAGACAGTTCCGTTTGTGTTGAAACTGACTGACGGAACGACAAAAAAGCGCGGAAAACGGGCGAACAGGAGATGTATGTGGTGAATTAGATAATAAACAGCCAGGAGAAAACAAAAGAGCACGTCCACCGGTCCGTTTAATAAGGTTTTCAAGAGGAAAAAGTGTACCAGTACGGGAAGTTGGTGCTAGTCGGAACATTTAAAATGTCGCTAAACAAAAGCTAAACGCGTCGCGTCCACTTAAAAATAAGGTTAATATAAGACTCCAAATGCACGGAGCACGACACGTCTAAAACGCGAAACTCTAACTCCACATCCCCATCAAGCTTTTATCGCGTGTGGGGAATTTCGTGCGGGGTTGCGACGCGACCGCGCTAACACGCGTGACGCACATTTATGACCTCACGCGTAGTTTCGTTTATACTTCGTTTTGTTTACATTGGGACATGGTCTGGGTATAAAAGGGTAAGCCATTCCTGCCATTGGTAACATAAAATCAATTGTGAGTAATCGCGCAGTAGCCAGGAATCCGATTTGCATTCGTTCCTCACGAATTCCATCAGTCTCACGTTATTTCACTAATTGATTTTACAGTCGTAATCATCGAAGAACAAGAGGCTTTTAAAAACATCTTTAGAGTTAAAACATCATGGAACCCAATCGTCTGCCTCTTCGTGTGCAAACAAACTCCAACAGCATTGCTGGAGATGCAGGAATAGTCGGTCAGCGAAAAACTTCTGTTACCAATTTCGAACGGATTGTCGAACAAAACCAAGTCGAGTCAGTAAGCTCCAAAAGCAGCGAAAAGGAGATCAAACAGGAGAAAGAAACATATGCAGCAGCGGCAGCAGCAGCTGCCGCCGCTGCCGCTGCAACATATAAAAACCAAGATACCGCCGAAGACTTCTCAAAAAAAAGGGAGCCCGAAACAAGAGCCAGTATCAAGATCTCCAAGCTTCATCTTTGGCAACAAGATTACTGGATGGCTTTTCCCTCCTTCGTGTTCTTCTTCGACAACATCGAAGAAGAAATTAAAATGAAGCTGAGTGCCAAGATTCAGGAAATGGGGGCGGTAAGTAGTATTCATGCAAGCTCTTCATTCTTACATATCACATACTAATTCGTTTTGATGTAGACCGTCGAAACGAAGTTTGGTTCCAACATATCTCACTTCATTACGGCACGCAGGACCAACTCGTTAAAATGCTCGAAAAACGATATCCTTGCCAAGGCTCGTGCAATGGGAACGAAGATTTGGTCACTCGACAGTAAGTCACTCAGTATGCAACGAAAGAATTGCACTAACGAATCGTACAGAATTGTTGAACCGGCTCATTTTTACACGTCTGAACCCAAACAAACTGACACAAACACCAGCCGTCGCATTGCAGGCACTGCTTGATGGCGAAAAAGTGTATTTGATGCCGGAAGACGAGTTGTACATTCCCTCTCGAAACATTTCGTATTTTGAGGATTACTTCTTGTGCATTCGGGATCTTGTTCAGCATTACAAGCCAGTGGCACTCAGAGAATGGCCGAAGGGCAGTCCCATGACGGGCCCAAGTTGGCCTACACTTAATGCAAGCAGCCAAGGCCGCTGTCCATTCATGTCCGGACGGAAAAAGGAGTTGCATGTTGGTACTTGCTTCCATCGAGCTCGTGACATTCGTCAACGCATATTCCTGCGTAAGAATAACGAGTTCAACAGGCTTATAGCCAATCGTGCTGCTTGCCAGGAAGTAGTAAACAGCATTATGGGCGACTGCATCATATCGCCTGTGAGCCCAAACCAAGCCAGTCTGGCAGTTCCAAGCGGTACCTCTGGCCCATCAAGCAGCGTGTCACCTTTGGACAAAGAATTCCGTCTCGAACAGGCCATGTTTGCACGCAACAATCAGCGTAAGCCTGCACCAACCTATTCAGCAGATCCGCTTGCCAACAAAAAGGTCAAAATTGAGAACAAGTCTGGTTACTGCGAGAACTGTTGTGAGCGTTTTAAAGACTTTGAAATGGTAAGAAGGACCGTCCTCGGTCAGCAGTACACTCAAACGGTCGGAAGCTAACAATAACAGCATTCAATGGGTCGCCGGCATAAACTTTTTGCTGAGACGAACAGCAACTTTAAAAATGTCGATGAGCTTCTTGTCAAGCTTCAACGACCAAAGAAAATCGCCGCTGCATGAAAATGAAGCTCTCCTTGTTAAACATGAATACTGCATACCCTCTTGGATAACATTATTACCGATAGCATACATAGAGCCTGGTTGAGGGTTTTAAATATGAATTTTGTGTACTTTAGTTTCTTGTGCGCCTTAAAAATTGGATTTATTCTCGAACAGAGGCATCACTTTCAGTCGTGTTATGTTCTATGTCCGACAATTCCGCCGACAAGAACTCCTTCAGACGTTCTGACTTAAGCTGCATCATTCCCTCCATGGCTTCTTTCGTACCCACAATTCCGAGTAACAAGGAAGAGTTGGAAGAAGTCAGACTACCAACATTTGTCTCTGCAATCTCAGAAATGAGCAGTTTACCGTTCTCAAATTCCATAATCGTTTCGAAGAGGATATCTTGCTGATGAGCAATTACATCGTCCGTCGACTCTGCCACCAGAGGACTAGGATTCACGCCAGAATAAAGGGAATAAATGTTGCCGGCCAATGCAGCAATAGAACGTGCTCTTTTAGCATCTTCGAGACGCTTTCTAGGTTCGTTTTGACAATTATAAGTAGCGTAAGACACTAAAGCTCCAGAAGTGGTAAACAGCCTGCACAATTGCTTAGTAAATACTCAAGTCGCGAAAACTTACATGGCGGTTGGCAGTGTAGGCTCAGTTATTTGCTCTATGAGCTTGGACATTCGTTTAGCCTTAATCATTATGTTTATTGACGAGTAATTGACGCGTCTTCTCGTAGTACAGACGAAGGAAGGATGTTGCGAAGGACACGAGCATTCCTCGCGTATCGTTAAGATTATGCCCAAGTGGGGATGTGGGGGTAGTCATGAATGCACTATGTTTCGTTGTATTCCGGTAAACATGTTTAACAAATCGGGAAGAAGCTCTATGTAGCACACTGTTACTCCTTAAATCTTAACACCAGAAACTCACCACCACGTGAACAGCGCTCACACATCCAAGCCCCTGTGAAGCTAGAGTGCGCACAAAAGTCGCAAAGCCGCAGACATATTCATGACAGTCATATAGAACTGGCTTATTCGTCTAGGTTTACAAAAGTAATGCAATTTGTAGAATGTAACAAAACGACCGCGAGGAAGAGAGATAAAATTCATATGAAAAACATACAATAGCCAAACCACAATTGCCAACCGGGTTAACAATAGTTCAATGTTCGACAACTGTAAGGCAGTAAGAAAAGTAGCTGCGGCATGTCGAGATGAGATGACGAGGTTTTGAGGAGGTGATATTGACATCGACGGCGGTTCACGCAGGGAATGTAACGGCGGCTTATTTATACAGCCATAAGACTTCCAATAAAGTGAAGAATGAGTCGGGGACGAACAGCAACAATATCTTCGGGAAGAATAAAGATAACGGCACCGAGCTTGCGGGCAATGGAAATAGCGAGACGAGCTAGGTAAATAGGTTAGTAAACGCGGTTTAATCAATGCTAATAGTAATAATGTGTTTGACATACCATTTTGAATAGCTTCTTCCTCAGTGTTTCCAGGAAGAACAAGGTCGTAATCAACGTATTCGCTCTTAATACCGTTCAAAACGTCCAGGACGTACACACCCGTAGACAAGATAGGGTCACGGAACGAGCGGATTTGTGCCGTACGACCGCCCTTGCGAACCATGTCGTTGGCCCATCTAACCATATCGGCATCCGAAAGCTCCTTGCCGCCACGACTCAGACTCTGGAGTGTCTTGGTGATGTTCATGCGCATCATCTGCCACACAAGTGCAAGAGTCAAGGTACGCGAGCCATCGTTGATATCAGCACCTTGGATACCGACGAGCGAAAAGCCCTGCTTTTTGCCAAGGTCCACGGCGTAATTACAGTTTTCAACAGCCTTGAAACGCATCATTTCATTGCCATTGGTAGGGGGCTTGTTAACGATTCTCCAATTGACCGTGTTAGGTGTAATCTTGTCGTAAGCCTGCAACAAAATAAAACCATCACGAAGGTTGTTGAAGAAGTCATGAATACTGGGAGTGACATCGAGAGAGTTAAGCCAAAGAGTAAACACACGGGCCTCACGCTCACCCTCAGCATCGAAGGGTTCAATTTCGGGCTTCTCTTCTTCATTCAAAGGCTCCAAACCAGGATGGGTGTTGAAAAGATGGGCCACAAAAGCCAAATTCAACTTGGGATTACCCGCAACCATGGCAGTGGCAGTCAAATACTTACGGCAGTTCAGTTTCTCCGCGTTTTCTAGGACTTGCTCGGCGCGTTGCAATAAGTCTCGGGTCTCCAAAGGAGCACGAGAGCACAAGTCAGGCTTGAGTTGGTTCAGCAGAATGGTGTAATTCTCGCCGTCGGCAACATCCTTAGAGAAGTTGCTGACGCGGCGAGGCCAGTTGGCGGCAGCCAAATGGAAGTTGAACCAACGAAGCAGAATCTTTTCGGGAGGCAGACGAAGGAACTGGTCCAGCGTCTCATCCTCTTCCAGCAAACGATACAGCTCAGGATGCAGAGTAATATCAATTTTACTCAGCAAACCCCGGCGGATAATCTGCCATACGAGACCCAGAATAAGATGCTCACGGCCCTCCAGGATATCCGTTGCACCAATGTTGGTAACCGTGACACCGCCCATGGCTTTGGCGGAGTTGATTACAACATTGTTGTTTTCAATTTGCTTGAAACGGTCAAGAGGCTTGTTTTTGGGTTTGTTGAGCACACGCTCATCGATGGTGTCGGGGACACTGTCGTTAATGAGCTTAGACAGTACCAGGCCGTCTGTTTTCGTATTAGTGATCAAGCTATAACATAATAAGGAGACTCTCAAGGTAATATACGCAAACAATACCAAGATACAACGTAACCACGTACCCTTGCACTGATCAAAGAACTCAAAGGTCTCCGTATTGATAGGGATCCGATCCTGCAGATCCGGGTCGCCAGCAAGCACAGAATTAACATGCTTAATGAACTCACGGCGTTCTTCTTCATTAATCGTATGTGAAACGCTAGCTGACGATCCTTTGATAGTAATACGTCCTTTGTGAACTTCAGCAGCCTCCACACCCTTCTTGAGGGTAGCATAAACCTGTTCGTCGGTACAAGATTAGCTCTCATTCCCAAAAACGTACACAATTCCTTACAGCAACAAAATCTTCCGTCTCAACACGGCCGGAAGCATCAATATTCACCTCCTTTAAAGCTTCCCGAACGCTGTCGTAAGAAGCATTCTGCATTTTCTCGAAAGCCTTAATCGTAGAAGGTTGGTCGATGTATCCCTTGCCATCAACATCCAACCGGCCAAATTGCTCGGTTAAAGTGAAGATTTCCTCATTTGAAAGCTCCGGATACTTTCTTTGCAGCTTTAAAGCCAGCATTCTTTACGAAAACAGTTGTTTCTTCAAAAAATAGAGAACTTGTGCCTCTGCAGTGTGTTTGGTAGTGGTTACGTTGTTCGTCACCGGGAGTAGGAGATAGCTGGTTATATGGTCCCGTCGTCGTTACTTAGGTGACGTCACATGTTTTGGCCGGCGCAACAACCATAGCAATCGTGTAACGAGCTGCGAAAACGGATGAAATTGAGCGGAGATTTCTAATGTACCGACATTGTTGCTGTTATTCAGTCTATTTATTTCGTTTATTTCATCTTTATTTTAATCCCCTTACGTTTTCGCAACGACCCGCTATGGGATTTCCAGTTTTCGGCCATTTTCTCGCTTAGTTTCACTTTAATTCATCTGATAACTCTATTTGCGAAAAGCTTAAATCTCAAAAGTACCGTCGTGCGAACTCTCCCAAAGCACTACCATTTGGAAGAGAAGAAAACTGGTAAAAACGCGACGTCTCTAGCCAATTGCACGTGGATTTTTTGTACTTTTACGGCGTAACGCTGAATACATTGTTTTTTTGATTGTTTTCTTCTATTTTCTTGTGTTTTTTCTAAAAAAAGCTAGAGTCGTAACTCAAGTTACTTACAATGGAGCCCGACGAAGAAGAATTGGCGCTGTTGCGTTCTGTAATGAGCAGTTTCTTCGTGTATCGACAGTTTCAGCACACTGTTGTTCAACAAAAACGTAAAAATATGTCAATGCTTCCAGAACATCAATTGGAGCTGCTGTTAGAGGGAGCATTGGAAACAAAGTTCCTAGAGCATTTATCTGATGTCGACAGCTGTATCGACAAAAATGCATGTTTTTGGAAACCGTTATACGTTCCAACGCGTCTGTGTTTATGCCGGATTTCGATGAAACAAAGTTGGAGCGCGTCGATATGGATCAAATGCAACTGCTTTGTAGTTCCATAAAACAGCTTGTTCGTGACTGGAGTGCGGAAGGTCAGCGCGAACGTGATCTATCGTACAAACCCATTGTCGACGAGTTGGAACGTTTGTTCCCCTTAGAAGAATTTGACAGAAGCAAAGTCTCTGTGCTCGTTCCTGGCTGTGGCCTTGGACGACTTCCGTTTGAGATTGCTGTGAAGGGTTAGTGGACGCTCTACTTGGGTTACGGCTGCTACAGTGTATTCCTCTAAACCCGTTTGTTTCATGCTTACTAACTTGCTTAGGGTTTGCTTGTCAAGGCAATGAATTATCTTACTACATGCTGCTAACCTCCCAGTTCATGCTGAATCATACGGCAGAAGTGGATCAATTTGAAATTCATCCTTTCATTCACACGTTTTCCAATCACAAGTCTCGAGAAGATCACGTTCGAGGAATCACCATTCCGGACATCGTTCCCGAAAAGTCCTTAAACAACAATCCCAACTTCACCATGTCAGCTGGCGACTTTGTCGATGTGTACGGAAGCAAAGATTGTGCCAATGAGTGTGATGTTTTGGCTACGTGTTTTTTCATTGACACGGCGAAAAACGTAATCGATTATCTGGAAGCTATTGCAAACTGTTTGAAAGAGGGAGGCTATTGGATCAACTTGGGCCCCTTACTGTATCATTTCGAAACAAGTAACGTCCCCTCCAACAGCCCGGAAGAACCTGGACCAAAAGCCGTGCCAACTCTTGAGCTTACACTCGACCAACTGTTCTGTGTGATGAAGAAAATGGGGTTTGAAATTCTCCAGCACCGTGAACTCTCAACAGGCTACATGGGTGACGAAAGAAGTATGATTGAGTGGATCTATCATCCACACTTTTGGGTCGCTCAACTGGTCAGAAAAAGCTAGACGCACACGAAAACCCGCGAATGGTGCGGAAACGAGGCACAATGACAGCGAAAGCGATGCAGGAACCGAAAAGGACTAACTTTTGTTTCAAAATGAATCTGTGCATATACATATACATCTACATACATATACATACCCACACGTACACCACACTGGCTCAACCTCCCCTTCTCTCCTTGGTTATGTATGATTCATTACAGGCATCTATGGCTTAAAGGACCTTGTTCATAAAGCGTCTCTTGCTGAAGCAAATCCACCACTTGCTGGGCTTTTGCATGTCATCAGCGTAAACGCGTGCCAAAAGACGTTGTGAAAGCTCTTGTCTGAATTGCGTCAAGTATCCACGCATTAATTCTGCATCCGTTAATAATCCGCTCATGAGGCAGCTCCAATCACGTACCAGAGTCTTGAGCATCCTTAGGAGGAGCGTACAATCCGGTCAATGGGAAACCAGGTGATCCAGGCAGAGAGAAGTTCTCCAAGGCAAAACTGTTAAGCTGACGCTCGGCATCCCGTAAAGAAAGGCCATTCAGTTTACTCAAAGCTGCACTAATGTACAAAATTCCGTAAATCAAGGTTCTGTCAGCCGGACCTTTGATCTCAAAGTTTCGGAAGAAGCAATTGGCACGAAACAGGGTAAGACATTCGTCGACGATATCCATTTCACCGTCATTGGCTACAAGAAACAGCCGGTCAGCAGCAAAATTCAACAAAAGATGTCAGCATGTCTTTAGACATACCAGGATAAGCAGGACCGCGAAATTTGGTCTTCAATGGGAGAACGGCCATGTTGCCGGTGACGCGAACATTCTCAGCGCCGAGAAACGAACTGTGATATGCCTACAATCTGTCAGTGAACATCATTCAACATGCACGGAACACTTACGGGCATGAATTTGGAGCTACGACCTGTACGTCTGTGTATGGAAGAAAGTGTGTTCTTAGCCGTCGGGCTAACCGAGACCCCGTCGATTGGGTCCCCCACTCCGCCAGTGGGAGTACGAGGAAACCCACATCACCCCACACCCCCACAAACCCACCAATCCTGATGTGGGCAACGAATGGGGGTGTTGTTACACAATAACGGCTGGAACGTATTTGTTACGCGTTTCCCAAAAAACGGTACGCTCCGGTAACTGTTTGTCCCGTACCATTACCGAGGTTAAAAGTTTCAATCCGAGTTTCTGGACTACAGTTCGAATTAGTAAACAGCGCTTATTTACCGAAAACGCGTCTTCTGTTGCATTTACAATATAAACTTTCATGCTTACGCGACGCGTTAATTTTTGATGGATTCTGCTTCAAGCTTTCAGACGACAAACGAAACACAGAGGATCTATTCCTTGTATAATAACAGCGATTTACGGCCGCATCTGTCGCCAGAAAGCGATGAAACAGATGAATACTTGTTGTCGGGTCATGTGGACCGGTACGGAAACGTGGAAACAGACAGTCTGCCCCTTAAACAACTTCAACTAAAACCAGGCAAAAAGAAGTTCTTACGGCTTGATAAGGCTGCAAAACATCTGACACAACGAGTCTTCTATGCACAGGATATTGCCAGATTTAACGACTGTGACATATTCACTCCTCACCTTTCGTCCATCAACATTGCCAAAGCTGAGGATAAGGAAAACAATCGAGCAAAAAAATGGATCGACATGTGCCAAGTCCGGATGGAATCCGGTAACCAAGTGTTTGAATTCTGTTTAAATAAAAAACTTATTCGTCGTACATTCAAAGGTGTACCCGATTGCTGGCGCTCCACCGCTTGGTCATCATTCCTCGGCATTAACACAGAAAAGAAAGCTCTCACCGAGCAGTACCACGTATGTAATTGCCGTTTGTGTGTTCGCACTTCGGCGAGAAGAAGTGTTGCACCGGTGTGTTTATGACCAAAACTAACAGTAATAAAGAGACTTTGCGAAATGGAGTGTGCTTACGACATTCAGATTGATTTGGATGTTCCTCGGACAGCGGCGTCGCATATATTATTCAGAAGACGTTATTTCGGTGGACAACGGTCATTGTTTCGTGTCCTGCATGCATTTGCGCTTTTCATGCCAAGTATTGGGTATGTACAGGGTATGGCATCGATCACTGTTGTTCTTTTGAGTTATTTGCCAGAGGACTCTGCGTTTTTGGCCCTTGTAGCCATTATGGAGAAACATGGCATGCAGAAACTGTACACACTCGGATTCACCAACCTGTTGACGGCATTCGACACCTTAAAAAATGAGCTGGAATACTTGCCAACAGGCAGCAAATTGTCTGATTTAGGCATAGAACCTTCGGCCTTTGTAACGAGATGGTACCTAACCATCTTCCATCAATGTGTACCTTTCCATACACAACTTCGTATATGGGACGTACTTTTGTTAATGGGAAGTGATGCTGATAAAACAATCCGGCTACTGCAAGCAGTGGCTTTGGCACTTCTCCGTGGTTTGGAAGAAGTGATAATGGATACTGATTTTGAAGGAGCCATGCAGGCTCTGTCAGGAACAATTCCTGTTCAAAATGACAATGCTCTCATGGCTCATGTTAAACAGTATTGGCATGAGATGCCGTCTGAAGCGTTTGAACGGCGTACTAGAGAAGCGTGTGGCATGGTTCATTGAATGAATAGGGGTGTCTCGTTCTTTTGTCCTTTTCTTCATTTTACCATTCCTTTCCAAACTCTTGTATCCATCTATTTCAAACAAAAAAAAACAACAACAACATCTTGGCAACATTCTCGGTTGCTGTATATGCATTCACTCAATACCCTGATACAGTCGTTCTTTTATCACCTTGTACGTCCCATTATCTACACATTTTTGGTTCAATAATCGACATGTCCACAATTTAGGCGACATGTTGTACTGCTGGTTTAATGATATTCTCCGTAATATTCATATACAAACTACAATTACACTCATTTCTTGTCATTTCGGATTCCATTGAAGTGGCTACTATATACAACCTCGTTTTTTCAAAAGCAAGTAGGGGCATGATTAATGAAAACAACAACGGAAAAAAAGGGGATCAACGGTTCCTGGCCATTGAATCATACAAAACTTCGTAACTCATTAATAACTCCAAAAGTAGAAAAGTGCAATACACTGGAGTGGAGGGCACTAAGACAAAGTACCTTAAGCAGCGTTTGCCTGGTATTCCTTGGATAAAGAGACCGCATTTTTCATGCATTGGACCCACTCCTCAGCATGTCCTGTAGGATCTTCCACAATTCTCGTGCATGAATCGTCTTCAACCATAAAGCGCTTAAGGCTGCCTTCGTCTGCATGAAAAGTGACTCCATCAGAACTCAAGTCAATTTCAGTTTCTATGCAATTCTTCCCGTGCTTGTCCTTCCCAATAAAAAGACAACGACCAAGACTAGTTATTAAGAGGATACGTTGCTTTTTCCGAGAAAAGAAGAGCATAGGTAGTTTCGAAGGGGTTTTGCTGCCCGACGATTTGTTCAATAGTGAAACATAAATGAGTCCATTTTCGAGTACTTGTTCATTTGGAAGTAGAAGCTTGTACCATAAACGGTCGATGGGTTGACGCTGCACATGAGAGGATGTGTGAGAATGTGAGTAATGGCCACTCGAAGAGATGTGTCTAGGCGGAATTGTTGACGGCAGGCCTTGGCTCACAGCTCGTTCGTGCTGTTTCAAGGATACATTAGCATGAGCAACCGCGGCGTTTGCGGCCGCTGCAGCCGTTACCGTAGATTTGAAGTTGTTAGGTGCCAGGTTCGTTGCCGAGCTGTTCAACTTGAGTGCTGGCTGATATGGTCTCATGACGGGAGCATGCTGTTTCCACAGAACGGACGCATCCCAAACAACATCATTGAAGAAAACGCTACTTTTGACTTGGTCGGTTGTTGCTCGAAGCGATGGCTGAGGCTGGAAGAGTTCTGCAAACAACTCAGAGAGTCCTAAGGGTAACAAAGTGGGCAATGTGTATGAAGCATTGCAGATCTTGGCGAAGATTTGATTCGTATTCGTTCCACGGAAAGGTGGTGCACCCGTAATCATTTGATAAACGACACAGGCAAAAGCCCAAAGGTCGGATCTGGTTTCGTTTCGTTAGTATGCTATGAAAGACGAATTCAGAGGGAAAAAAAAAAGGAAACATACCCTTTGCATATATGCTGGCGCTGGATGAGCTCGGGAGATACGTATTCGGCGGTGCCAACAAATGCACTGGAGAAGACAAGATGTTCATCGCATTGGGCGTATTTCGTCGGCAGCAGCTTCGCTGTGCCAAAATCGGTAATCTTGACATGCATTCCTCTATCTAGTAGAATGCTATAATGAAAATAAAAATTAGCACACGAGTGACACCCCGAAAGTCACATACTTTCTGCGATATCACGATGGATGATTCCATGCGAATGCATAAATCTAGACTCATTAAAATTTCAGCTGCGTAAAAACGGACGCAGTCTTCACTCAACGTAGAGTACTATATAAGCTTATTAGTACAAACACGTACATTGTCGTTATCCTCGTCCGTACCTTCTTGATATATGTGAGCAATTCACCGTTTTCGGCGTAGTCCAAGACATAATACAAATGTAGGTCGTCCTGGAAGGTATGAAACAGGCGTATAATACCGGGAAACCCATTCAGACGCATCATAGCGTCCCGCTCTATTGTGACATATTTCACTTTTTTCTGCTTGACGATGTGACGCTTACTAAGTATTTTTATAGCGTATTCTTTCCATGTTTTTTTGTCTGTAGCAATATGGACCTAATCTCAGCAACGATGTTTGTTAGTAATACTGTCTATGACGCTTTTTTCGAGCAATTCTCGTCGTTTGTGCTGAAAAGCTGACGGTGGGAATTCGTGTTTACCTTTGAGAAAGAACCATCTCCTACAATTTTGCCAATTAAATAGTCATCACGATTTTTTAAAGCACCAATATGAGACTGAACAGGTCCTGTGTTTCCTCGGACGCCGTGTACAGGGCGCGGAACATTGTTGTCATAAACTGGGTCCGCAAAATCCGGCAGAACGCGCGATTTTGCCGGGACTTTCGGTAGGTCCCTTTCTCTCGGCAATCCATTGTCAAGTCTTCGGCTTCTGAAGCTCGTATGGTCTCCTGGGACCGAAGTTTGCAAATTCATGAATTCTGTGGCATGCAAAAGGGGAAGTCAACAAACTTAATTATCCCGAATATACAACCGATTATGACGTGAAGAGAACCTTACGACGTAATCAATCAGCAGAAGTAGACACTAAGATAAGTTTATTTCGAATAGGCGAGGGTGGTAAGAAGGATCGAGATGCGAAAGCAAGAATGAGGTTGGCTAGTTGAGGGATGAAAAGGGGGTCTGGGGCGTATTTCGTTTGTATAACCGATGTCTAATAAAAACTGCTGTCATGTTTTCGGTTTTGCCTCTTCTCACACTCTTTCTTTCCATTTATGGCTGGACTCCATGACATAAAGTAATCGTATCTTAGCCAATGAAATCGCGGTAATTAACTTTAAAAAATACTGCGCTCCAATCATATGGAAGATTACGCATTAGCTACATGAAGAGGCGAAAGTGTAAAAAACGACAAATTGACAAGTAAATGAAGAAAACAAATGTTCTCGTGACGTTCTGTTCTGCATGGAAGGACACGCAGATTACACGAGCAAGGTTCATTCTGCCATACCAAACGAAATGCTCATTTCGTGCTTGAACACATGTATTTATAGAACTGCACGTTGAAAACGAAGTAAAGATCGAGTAGTAATAGAGGCGGCACCGCTAAATCCGCGGCGAAAGATGCTCATGGGCATATAAAGGCAATCTGAAGCTCATGCCATGTCTTCCATCCGATTGAAACTCATACACAGTACTCTTTAGCAACTATTTATGAAGCGTTGATAAAATAGTGTACAGCTTGAAGGAGCTGCGAACACAAACCTCGCGAAAAAAGAGGACGACGGAAGCGAAGGCCGTTCCGCTGCAGCGGAAGCACAAAACATACGTCAATTTGAGTGTCTGCAACGCTCGCAACAATCCAGAGCCTCAGTTCCTTCCTCTTCTTGTCCGGCCTTCGGCAGCCTAGAACACCGAACTTGATCGGACTCGGAGTTTTTTCGGCCAAATTGACGGGGACCTCTTTTGTCAATAGTCACCGAACCTCGGTCACTTCTCATCTACCCAGTTGACCGAGATGCTTAGCGTTGTTTCCTTAGCAGTCGCCCGCGCATCACAGAAGAAACAAGAAAGTGTACCCGTGCCTGGCGCGTGGGTCTTTGTAAAACATAATGGATAGACCGGTATCTCGCCTGCTACGTACAAAATTCTTGCTTCTCTGGTTCACAATTGTTGCGTTGTTGTTCCTAGGACACACGTACTGGAAAAACACACACTGGTATTACCTGAAAAAGCTAAGACCCGTAACGGAAAATCACGATGCTCCATTCTATAAGGGATGTAAAAATGTTCATGAAGAAGCCACTCTCCATCCTCGAATGAATGCGACGTTTATGGTCCTGACAAGAAATTCCGAACTGGACGGCGTAATTTCCAGTATGAAGAATATTGAACAACGTTTCAATCGTCATTTCAATTACCCATACACTTTCTTAAACGACGAACCCTTCACCGAGCATTTTAAACAGACTGTGTCCAAGTACACAAACAGCAAAGTTGAATTCGGAGTTATTGCACCTGAGCTTTGGGATTATCCTCCCACTGTCGACCGTGAATGGGTCAAGGAGGTCATGGAAGAACAAACGAGCGTGGTTTATGCTAGCATGCCAAGCTATCATAAAATGTGTCATTTCTTTTCTGGCACCTTTTTCCAGCATCCGCTCATTCAGAAGTATGAATGGTACTGGCGTCTCGAACCCGATGTAACGTTCTCTTGTGACATTAGTTACGACCCGTTTTACTACATGCAGAAGCACAACAAAGTGTATGGGTTCGTTATTGCGATTCGAGAATTGGCAGAGACAGTTCCAAACCTGTTCCGGTACACATTGGCCCACAAGAAGAAGTACAATCTCAACACGACAGACATGTGGGAGTTCTTCCTCGACATGTCTTACTCAGACACTGTCGAAAAATTGAAAGAAGAGCAAAAAGGAAAATCGGTATATGTGTTACCTGAGCCTCCGCTAGAGGAGCTCGATGGACAGCAGTACAATATGTGCCATTTCTGGAGCAACTTTGAAATTGCTCGCGTTGACTTTTTCCAAAGCCAAGCTTATATGGATTACATTAACACACTTGAAGAGGCCGGTGGCTTCTGGGCGGAACGGGTATGTTTTTTGCAGTCAACTATACACCCAGGTTTACAAGACCAGTTCCATATTCGAGTTTTTACTAACAGACTTTAGTGGGGAGATGCACCCGTTCATTCGTTGGCAGCAGGTCTGCTTTTATCCAAGTCTCAAGTGCATTATTTCCGTGACCTTGGCTATCAGCACTCTACTATTCAGCATTGTGGACAGGAGTATGGATGCAATTGTGATTGTCCGTACGATGTGCCGGAAATCGAGACGAAGGATGGATCCTGCACAAAAGAATGGGCACGTATCATGGGTGGTTTTCTCGATTGAGTGAGATAACGCTTTTCCCTATCCGTGTCTGTGTGCCACTGCTTTGTTAGAAGAGAAAGAAAAGGAAAATAATGGTAGGGAAGCACACTCTCGTTTATGGAAACAGCACACGCGGTCTTAATGGTAGGGAGTCGCAACAATATTTTCGTGGGCTAGCTACGAACCGGGAATGACATGTTTCACTTGCAACAGGTGCTTATTCAGTAAGTAAAAAAAATTGCATGAGATCGTCAGTGTTTGAATATAAATAGAGATATGAATAGGACATCAAGAGAAGGGACAAAAAAAAAAGAATGTAGCACTTTTGGGGCTTTCTTCCTTCCAGTAATAAAAAGTATTGATTCTAAGCATCGTTTGGCATCGAAAAAACACGAAGAACGGAGGAACAAAAAAAAATTTACAGCAAGCGATTGATTGTCGGATTGCCATTACATGTGCCAAAGACGTATAGACTCATCCAATGAAGATGATGCCAGCGTCGTACCATCCGGATGCATCGCAACACACGACAGAGGTTTTTCGTGACCTTGAAGATTTGCGACAGAAGTTTGTGTGACTGTATCCCAAACGTTGCAACTGGAACTGCCGTTACCGGCAAACAGAAGTCGCCCAGAAGCGGAGTATGTGATGCAGCTCAGCATTGTCCCCTGCGGATTTTCATACTCGAATGTTTGTCCTAAGGCTCGGATGTCGAAAGCGCTAGCGATTCCGTTTTCACCGGCACTAGCAAAACAGTGGATAAAGGGAGACATTGTCACCGCATTATACTCTGTAATTTTTGTGGAAACAAGCGTAGCCGCACACTTGGCTGTCCGTACATCCCAAACGCGACATGAGCCGTCAAGGCTGCCCGACACGAATGTCTGCGGTTGAGCGTCGTGAACAGCGATCTGCATTACATCGCGCTCATGACCTTCAAAAGTGGAAACGGCTTGCTGTGTTTGCAAGTCCCAAAGTTTACACGTGTTATCGCCGGACGAAGTGAGAAGCCTATTTTCGTTGATGTAACGGCAAGAGGAGATGAATCCACTGTGTCCGAGAAGATCAAAGGAGCTAATCTCCTCGCTATCTAGACGCGTTATGCGACAGACATTGTTCAATCCTCCGGCTGCAGCAGTGCTTGTGTCGGGGGAGAACGCACAGGACATGACCCAGATGTTGGGCACGGGAATGAGAGCAACACGGTTGTAAGTTTTTGGGTCCCACACAAGCAGGAAGTCATCAGTACAAGCTGAAAGCAAGTACTCTCCGTTTTTCGACCAATCGATACTGGGGACTTTGCCCAATTGACCTCGCAACACCTTTGCCGTCTTCAGTGAAGGGGCAGTTACTCGTTTTTGAGAAGAAAGAACCATGTTTGTTGTATGAAAGAAACGTAAAACTCATAAACTAGCAAAAATACTGTCGATTGGAAACGAATGTTATGAGGCTGAACCAAGAAAACACTGCAAATAATACAAAATTGAGAAAAGTGTATCCGTAGACGATGATTAGATGGCGTAAAAGCAACGTATGAAGTCAAAATTTAGTCGTTAAAGCAGCAATTCGTTAAAAAGGAAGAACAAGTCAGAGACGATTCTCAATTGCACAAAATCAATGCTGCGGTTTTCTGAGGATTTTTGACCAAGCTCTACAACAAAAATTACAAAGGCTCGACTTAAACACGAGTCACATTCAATTGTGTTATGGCACTGGTTAGGTTGCATTCACAGCCCTACGGCGTCTTGTATCACAGACAATACGATTCTATGACGTATATGATGTAAAAAGTTTAATACAAATAACGTTTGATGGGGCTTGCCCGGGTAACGCGGGAAAGGGGGTGGATGTGTTGGGAGTATCTGATAAGATGGAAAGTTGGTGGAGGATCTGCAGCCGGCAAAAAAGTGCATGCAGATCACACACAAAGTACCGAAGAAAAATCACCGAGAATTGATCTACGGGCGCAGATCCTTTTCCAGCACAAAAATGAGAACGAGAATTTAAACTACGGAAAAAACACTGTCGAACAAGGACGAAGAAGAATAGTAAGGAAGAACCGAAACCCAAAAGTGCGAAAGCCAAGGTGCAGGCAATGCATCCGCCTGAACCCGTATAACCAGTCCGAACCCATCCATGAATACAAATGACGCGTCACAAAGCGTTGTCGTAGGACAACGAAGTAGTAACAGTAATAAGAACCACTAGAGGTCGCCTTGTGACACGCGTAAAACCCGCACACGCGGCATTTACTTTTTCAAAAACTTGGCAAATTTGCTCTTTTTCTGACGACCACCCTTTTTCAAGTGTTTTTTAGCCCAAATGTCACGGTTGCTGTTACGAGGGCCAGAGGTGGAAACGCTGGCCTTTGATTTCGCCTCGTCAGTCATCATTTGGTCGGCCGACGCGTCGACAACTTCTTTTTGGGCAGCCTCGGCAACGTTATTATCCTTCTTGTCAGTCAAATCGTTGACTTGGTCACGCAGACGGTCGGCAAGACGGTTCGTCCGGTCGTCAATCACAGGCTGAAAGACATTTGTTCTCAACTGCAGCAATGGTTAGTAAAAGATGAATAGCAATACACACAAGAAAAACATACCAGACGCTTGTTTCTTCTCACACTTTTCGAACGAAGGGACTTTGCCATGGTATTTGTGATATAGAAACGGTCAAACCAAGCCAAACAGCGTTTTGTAGTTTTTGGTTCTGGAGAAGTGGCAGGAGGCGGAGAACGAGGAGAGGGAGAATAGGGTTTAGTGTGGTGGAGTGAGGGTTAGCAGAGACTAGTGTGGATTAGTGAGAAATAGTGCTGTGCAATGTAGTGTCGGAATTTAGTATTAGAGGATGTTGGCATATTAGAAAGTGTGTATACTGGGTTCGTTGTTCCATTGCGCAGTAATTTATTACAGCGCGGATTAAGAGTTTTGTCACAGCGTAGTTTAGACTTGTGGCGTGTAAGATCAGGAATGTTCTACCTGAGGAGTACTTTTTAAACTAGTTCTGTTTTATTTAGGCAGCCTTTTTCTCGAAGTAGTTCATTTATTAAAGTTGTCAATAAAAGCGGTTTACGTTTTTTAAATACATGAATATTACTGTACCGTGTTGTTTATTCATCTCGTTAAACAATTACTGGATTGTGGAGACGTCTGTTTTGTGTACGCATTTTCGCAGACTTTCGCGTATTTTCGGCTTCAATTATTAAGCGAAACTTTATTTCGGTCGAGTTGAGATGACTGTTTGGGCTAAACCTATAGTAAATGGACCTTTATTCAATAGTGAAATTGTGAGAAACAAAAGGGGAATAGGGTATTCTTTTTTTTTTTTTTTTTTTTAAAAAAAATAACGATGGGTAATGATGATGGCTGTGGTGACAGAAGCATCGGTATGTCCACAAATAACTCAATGAGAGCGTGTTTGGGCTTGTTACCCATTTACTGATATAGCACGTTTTTTCGGCTGTGGAAAAATGTTGCGTTGAGCGATGACTATTTGTCTAGCTTTCTTGCCTTTTGCTAAAGTCCATTATGTAAACTGGAACAGTAAGAGAATCATTATTTTGACTCTAAAACATAAATTGTGCTGCATTATAATGCCTTTGTTCTCTTGAATTGGCAAGGCATTTTTTTTCTAAATAAATTAAATAATCTTCTAACCGTGACGACAATTAATAATGCATAGTGATATTGTTTATGAGATACATGGTGAACCCCTTGGTATTATATTGCGTTGCAGAGCATTCTATGAACACAGTCACTGTATAATTTAGTGAGAATTGCAACCATAACGATAGTGTCTCGAACGTCCAATTGAAATAATATCATCCCAAATTTGCCCACTCAGAAGAAAAGACATATCAATTTTAGTCGGATTCCCTTGGGACTTGAGTTATGGACACTTTGGTTTAAATGCCTCGGTTAATGAAGCTTACATGATAAACGAAGAGTAGTGAATTAAACATGCGAACGACTGTTCGTTTCTTTTACAGTGTCGCTTGACTTTACGGGGTGAAGTGTTGAATAAGCAAGCAGAATTCCAAGTATGACATGAGATTGTGGCAGTGTACGACTCGGAAACAGACAGGATTTGTCATTGAATCAGGACCACATTTACAAAACTGAGACATGTAAGGGAGCCGCATGTAAAGTCGCTAAGATTGCTTTCGTTGCTAAGCTGATATCGCAAGATCCATTGGAGAAAACACTAAGAGTGCGAAGATAGTGCGAAATTCAAGGCGCATCTTGGGGGAGTTGTGACAACGAAGAATGGTAGATTGAGAAGTAATTGTCTTGGGAAATAGTATAAATAGGTGTCCATAATCCTCCGCTTTCACCATCCAAAGACGAATCAATTCATCTTTACAACAACTACTACTACTTCTTCAATTCTCAATATGAACTCTGCTCCCGTTTTCAACGTTCCCGCTAAGACTGATGCCACCAACCACCATGTCGCCATTCCTTACCACAACTGGTAAGTAAACTTGCCGAAAAGGAAGCGAAAAGCGACTCGCTTGGATGAGCTTAAAGGTTCATTCGAGCATTCGCTTCCTTCCTTGAGTACACTTTTTCCGTAACTAACATGCGTGCAGCATCATTGCTTAAGTTTCTTCCTTAGCAATCGCCAATTGAGCTTCTACCCATTGGGATATTCATAATTCCAATAATATTATTTTTCTCAATAAACTGTGCTTCAATTTAGAATGTGTTTGAAACCAACAAAACCAAGAAAGTAATCTTCAGGTCGGAGAGTTGATCGGTGTAGCACCTTGGGCGAAGTAGGGGCTGCTAATCAAATTCCAAGTTATACAGTTGTTCAAAAAAAGAGTTGCGACATGTCAGCTGTTGCTTAACGGTTCCCTCATTTAAATTTGGTATACAAACAGAATTTGCTAGTTTGCCGTTTGAGACAATGTGCTTTGTAGCCAGATCCCTTATATCAAACATCACTGGAATGAAATGATGAAATCGGTTCGTGTCTCAAATTGAGCAATGGATTATAATAATGTCAATTTATAAAAGACCCGGCTTAAATGCCTCCAATATTAAGATTCGTCATGTTATTAATAATTTGTAGGGAAATTTCCGTTCACTACTGTTCGTTTTTGTGAGAATAATAAAATCAATGACCAGTTTCCACTAAGACGATATTCCTATTGTTAACTATAATCGCAATATTTTTCTTGTTTCCATTTCTCTCCTTCTGTTTATATTATTATTTTAATTTCCTTTCTAATTAACTTTTTTTATTCAATGCTATTTAATAAATTCACATAGTTTTAGTTACCCTTACTAGTTTCACTCTTAAGGATCCAGAATCGTCTTGAAACGCAACATTCTAAAGCTGCCGTGCAGTTTGTTCGTATTTGTCGCATTAAGACAGATTTTGCGCTTGAATCCAGAGCCATCTTGCGAAAATGGAGCGCACACACTATATACTCATCACTATGAAATCCCTCTTTCTGTCAACAATGCGGTTTCATCGTCGCATAGTTCAATTAACGTTTTCGGCTTTGTTGACTTGGCGAATTGCTGATAAGTGAGAAAATCAGTATAAAGCAGTAGCAACTGTTTTTACTAATGAAAATGTAATTGTTCAAAAAACAAAAAGAAAAGCAGAAATAAACCATCCGACAGAGGATCCATTGCTTGTAAGAATTTACTTTGTAAAACGCTATTTTATGTGATCGAGTAATTGCAAAGAAAACTAGTGCTGCTACATGATTCTTTAATTGATTCGTGCAACTCTCGCCATAGTTATAAATACATGAAATTCTATGAAGATACTCTCAGAGTATCTATAAAATGTCATGTCATGTCTTAATTTATAAATAACATTCATAAATAATTCAATCACAGCAACACAAAAATCAACTAAGGTTGCCAATCCTGTCACTAGTCCCGTATTAATTCTTTTTCGTTCCTATGCGCCGGAGTCGTTCACCAAAAAAATACAAAAAGGGAAGCGTTCCAGACAAACCAATAGTACAGAATCCAAGAAGTGAGAAACCCCAACCATAATTGAGTTTGTCAAAAAGTTTCCCTGCAAACAATGGAAACGTAGCTCCGCAAATATTCTTTGGGATATTGGTACCAGCGATTGCACTAGCTGCGTATCTGCCATAAATATCAACAATGTACATATTGAGTGTAGTGAAGACTAAAATCATTCCAGCGCCAAGGAAAGACGAAAACAGAACGGGCACGAACCAAAAGACTTTGTATTGTACGGTCCAGCCGAATACAAACATGGATGTTGAGCAAAGAAGGCACCCTAAAATGCCCATGGGAATTCGAAGCTCCGGGACTGCCTGACCGCCGCGTTTTTTGACCAAGAAGATATAAAGCTTTTGGTTGAAAGGCAATATAACAAGCAATGAAAAGAGCATTCCTACCATCAGACCTAAATAAGTAAGACCCACCATTTGGACAGAAAAATGATATTCACCCTCCCAAATCTCGGGAATTCCAGTGAAAAAGATATACAAGACACCTGAAAGCATTGACTGGATTAATGCCATGCAAATTGCAATGGGTCTTGTTATGAGAATTAAAAGTGGACGAGCAAGTGCATCTACTAGAATGCGAAATATGGTTTCTCTTTCAGCCTCCCCTTCTTTCGGGACCTTTGCATTGACTGGATTTTCAATTGCCGATGGCGCATTTTTGTTCTTTTGATCCAAAACAGGTTTATAAGTCTCTTTGAGAAACAGAAATGAAAATACCGTCACAACTGCTGAAAGAATGAGCAAGAGCCAAAAATCCCATCTCCATTTTCCAGTTGAAGATATAAATCCAGAGATGACAGGTGCAAGGGTTGGTCCACATGTAACACCCAACAAGTAGTAGCCAATATACTTTCCTCTTTCAACTTTGGTAAACATATCGTTTATGCTACCGCCTCCCATGCCCTGAGAAAAAGAACCAAATGTACCTGAGAAAAATCTAAAGACTAAGAACATGGGCAAGTTAACTGCCAGTGCAGTTGGAATTTGCAAGAGGGTGAAGACTGTGTATCCGATCAAATACAGTGGCCTTCTTCCATATTGTTCACTTAACGGAGACGCCACCATAGGCCCAATGATCATACCAATGACATACATTGTCACGCCAAGCTTAAGTGAGGAAACCGAGGAACCAAATGTTACGGCAATGTCATTCATGCTTGTAACAAATATGCTAGATCCAAAGGGATTCAGGAATGCCATTGCAGAGAAGAGAGCAAGATTGATTAACCTTTGGCGCAGGGGCCATGAATGTGCATCATGCGAATCATACTCAACCTCGTCCACTTGTGTTTGGGCGAGCTCATTCTTCGAGGAAATTTCTTCAGAATCACCAATTGACTTCATTGCTTCTAATGATTTACTAGGACATCTCACGCAGCAACTTCTATAAGTAGGCAATTCAAATTTCTCGTCCGCGGAGATAACAGCGTTGGGAACATGAAGTCATAGAATATCCAATACACGAAAATGAAATCTTTTCGACAATCATAGGTCGCTAAATATTACGCCTGTCCTTTTGCGAAAGACAAATAGTCTCCAGCTGGCTTAGTTGTTACAAAAAAAAACAGTTCTTATCGTCACCACCCAATCCGACTCGACCAAAGAGCGCAGCTACAGAGCACAATAAGAAAAATACACGCCGGATTTGGATTCTAGAATGATAACTATTTATTATATACTGGCATACATTGCAAGCAACACATGAACTACCAACTGACCTAGCATTCTAATCTATGCCTTAGAAAGCAAGATTTGGTGGTGACTTGTGTCGCGAGAGTACAGCAGCGATCATGTGATTACTATATAAAAGCTTAAAGGTTTTGCGACAAAATTAAGCCAACCCACTTTACCCCCACACAACCTTAATTCTCAACGCGTGCTGTGTAATTTCCATACACCAGTATCCAAGACGTTCTGCTTGTGGATACTGTTATTACGTGCGTATAAAAGCACAATTTACGCGTCGGAGCACACGTTCTATGTCTGTTTAGTTTTTGTTCGTTGTTCGTGAAGATCTCTTGAGACTTCTTCTCGGTACTAGAAGTTTCCAGACAACAAACACAACTACGTCGCTTGTGTGAACGGAAGACGTAGAACGAATCGTCTACACATTGACATTTAATACTTAAACGTCTGCATCTCAGTTTTATCCGGATCTGTTTTTTATTCTTAATTTCACTGACGCAACTACTTTGTCAAAGCTTGGTCATCTCTCACTCCTTAGTCGTGAAAACCCGTAAAGGTACAACATTGCACATTGGTTGCTATTGTGACCCTGCTAAGAGTCGACCTGATAGCTATATCTTTTCATTTCAAGACGTCAAGTAGTTTTCTCATTTCAAGTTTGGTTAATTTGTAACTTCATTTTGTTCCGTTTCTTTTTCCTTTTGGCATCCTCTTTTGGATTATTTTTTCAGTTATTCTTATTCTTGTTATAATTGTTGTTATCATGAAACGGAACGCAGAATCTGCAGAGACTTTGTTCCAAAACACTTCTCCTCCTCCGTCCAACAATGCATTTGTGCCCGGTAGAAAGCGTACACGTTTTGATGCGCACACTGCTCCTAGAACACAATGGAGCAGTGGCTGTTTCCCTCTACAAAACGGTTCTTTTACAAACATGAACGCTCCTTCTTTTCGTGCACGGAAGCGTTCTCGTCCCCCATCACCGGATACTTTCCCTGAAACAGCGCTGGTCGCTGATTCGCAGCAGCAATTACAGAATGGCTCTGTGGTTTCACAAAATTCAGAGGAAGAAGAAGCTTTTCCTCACAAACGTGGTCGGCTGAGCACTCCCCAACAAGATGAAGCTTGTCAAATTATCGACATGAACACTGGCGAGGTGTTGGAGTCTTTCCCTTCTTCTACAGTACAAAACTCTACTGATTCAAAAGCCCTTGTGCATCACCCTCACCGCAATAATCGCGTCCATATTCTTCCCTTCCCAACCAACAATCGAAGCAACAATTTGGCCCATCCATCTTTCTCAGCTGCAAGTTCATTGACGTTGCATCCACAATTGTATTCCCCGGGTTCTCAATGCCGTCATTTGATTTGCTATCCATCCAACAGTGACAAAGTTGGCGCACCCTACGTTATCGAACCCGACTCGTCTAAACGATGGGGAACTGTGCATCAAGAACCGGCCTCGTCTGTTCTAATTGAGGAACTTGATGACGAGGAGCTTGACACTGAACGCAATGCAAACGCTACTCCTCCCTCTGTTGTTTATGAGGAACAACAACCCACTGACATGACCATAATGCCAACAGAAGCACACACATCCCCTCTATTTACGCACCCACTGCCCAATGCCGCTTTAGTTGCAGCAGACGCTGATGATTCTGAAATGGAACTCGACGCTTAACATATCTTTTTGTCTTGCTGTCCTTGTACACTAATTCTTTTACCATCTCGTTGCATTTCCACATTTTCCTTTCTACACGAAGTTATTGATGATTAATGAATTCTATTGTTTCAAACAAAACCAAAAAAACCTACTGTACACAAAACCCAATGAAATATAACCAGCTTTAATCGGTAGTAATAGCGTTGGCACGCCTATTGCAGGAGCCATGAACTTATTAGACGATAGTAAGACAGTCATCAGTATTAACGTCAACCGCAATGTCAATTAACGACAAAAACGTTACAAAGTGTGTCCCTCCCCTTTGAACACTTCATTAACAATTTACCCAGCGACCATCTTGTCGCTTTTGAGTAATCTTTTCTGCAGGCAGCTCCCAGGAAGCATTTCCCGAACCGGTGTTGGAACCGATGAGTGGAAGAACCCAACATTCTCGAGTTGTCGCATTTAACATACGAATGGGAGGATAGGACAATGGCTTTGAATAAGAAAGCAAACTCGTCTTCGGAGCAAGGCGACTTATATGTTGTGCCGCGATAGGCACTAATGGCTGTATATATGTGCGGCCACTAGCGCTCTGATGCAATGCCGAGTATACAACATACTCTGGTTCCGTTTTAAGATTAGACTCCGGATGAAATGTAACAGACTCGGCACCACACGGAAATAATGTAACATACGCCTTCTTTAGACGTTCGTATCTCGCCAATTGGTCAATGTAAGCAGCTGCCACAATCTGTTCCAAAGCCTTAACTTGCAGTTTACTGGGTGGCTTCAGTTGCAGCCTCGTATAATCACTGCTTGAAGTCGACACATAGCGTTTCAGAATATTGATGATATGCTTACGCAGGTTCGTAACTTCTTCCAAAGCTTTTTGACGTAAGAAGTTTTCGCGGCAAAACGACCATTTATCCTTGGCGAAGTCGAAAGCGCATACAGCACTCAACAAACGCATAACCGGAGCATTAGGTTCGAGCGTAGAAAACTTGTCAATAACTTGATAATACCGGCGCAGTGCATCCTTGTGTTTCGATTTTTCATCATTTGATTCATCGCCATCATCCTCAGTTTCGTTGGCCCCAGCGTCAGCTGAATTGTACTGCAAAGCATGTCGAGAAACAAATATTTGGCCAATGGTGAGCGCAGAGACAAGTGCAATTACAAAGGGAAGACAAGCGTGTTGTTGACCGATGACCAGCATTTTAGAAGAACGGGGTGGCAAGGGGAACAACGACATGTTCTCACCCAGCTTTGTAAGCTTGCCTGATGCATCCAATGCTCCCAAGTTTTGCAATAAATGAGTAGCCTTTTGAAGACTCACACGGTCGGGAGCCGTCGGAAAAGGGAAGTTCACCACATTATCGATGTTCATACTTTTCATCTGTAAAACAATTCCCTCAATGGGAGCACGAAGAATTTCTGGCAAATTATGCAGAGGGAAACTACGATCATAAACCGCGGAAGAAAAGAGACGGTAACAGTGACCGGGCCCAGTACGACCAGCACGACCAGTTCTTTGCTCAGCGTTTGCTTTGCTAATCCATTGCACTTCATAACGTTGGACACCAGTAATCCTGTCCGTAACACGTTCCTTGGCCTTGCCGCAGTCAACGACATAGCGTACGTTAGGAATAGTCAACGACGTCTCGGCCACGTTGGTTGCTACTACACACATGCGAGAACCTTCGGGCGGTTTCTGAAAAACACGCAGCTGCTCCTCAGTAGTCAAAAGAGAATACAAGGGCAAAATATGCAACGGCTCAGCACTGGCGTCAAACTTTATAGAATCCTCATCTTCCGTTTTTATGTATTCTTCGTCTTCTCCATCGGATTGAATATCCTCATTCTCTAAAGACACTTCATTACGAGCCGCGCGAATGGGTATCTTCCGCTCCTTATCCTTCGCGTTTTTTACGAAACGTTTGCGAAGCAACTTGCATAAGTGCTCGACCTCTTGCTGACCAGTCAAAAAAACCAGTATCGCCCCACTAGGCATGGTTTTATGAATTTTACAAACACGATTAAACGCATCCTCTAGATAGTTCTCTTGCGTTACGCGATTAAAATGTATAGAAACGGGATATTGACGAGAGCCGATCTCAATGATGGGCGGGGGAATTTTAAAGAGCTGAGTATTTTCAGCAAAATCAGATACACGCAGAGTAGCAGACATGATGATGAGCTTGAGAGGCTTGACATTTTCATCAGATAAGTGCATCTCGCGACGCAACTTAACAATACGACTGAGCAAACCTAAAAGAATATCGGTATTGATGCTTCTTTCATGAGCTTCGTCCACGACAATTGCTGAATATTTAGTCAGCAGAAAGTCGGACGCAAGTTCTCTCAACAAAACACCATCAGTCATAAACTTGACGGCAGTCTCCGGACTGACTGTTGAATCAAAACGAATTTGATGGGCAACCTTGGAAGCCATATTGCCCATCTCCTCGGCAACACGCTTTGCAAGACTGACAGCTGCAACACGACGCGGTTGCGTGACACCAATCATGCCAGGTGTATCACTGTCTGCTAAACCAAAGCCTGCTTCAAAAAGAAATTGAGGGACTTGAGTGGTCTTACCACTACCAGTCGAACCACAAATAATTACAACGTCGTTTAAGAAAACGGTTTCCATAATGTGCTGTTCCTCATTCATAATCGGCAATGACAACCTGCTTTGTTGAACCTCTTCAGAACGATCGACTATTACGAATCGCGTTGTACGACTGGCAGCAACAACGTCAACCTCAGCATCAATCTCTCTTCTTTGCTCAACTTTTTTAAGGTAGGCCTTTTTAGAAGCTTCAAAAGTAGCCTCTTTCTTCGGATCAATAGTAACTTCGGTACTTTCGGTTTCACCAACCATCTGTTTTGTGGCCCATTGCTTAAACTTTTCAGCTCTCTGCTTTGTATCCTCTTCGGTAGTGTCAGCTGTCTCCTCATTTTCTGAAGAATCCTCCTCGGCTTCTGATTCTTCTGAAGTCTCACTGACAGCATCATCTTGTTTTGTTTGCTCTTCCTCCTCATCAACAGCATCTGAACCCTCGTTTTCGCTTTCTGATTCCTCTTCATCGGTACTCATATAGTCCTCTTCATCAGAATCATACTCTGCATTTCGCAAGTTTTTCAGACGTTGTACCATTACCTTCTTTTTCTTAGGACGAACAACCAAACCATTACCGGATTCAGTGGATGCATCGGCCGTAAACCCAAAACCAAAAAGTTTTTTGTTTTCGTTGGCCTTTGAAGGCTGAATAGCATTTTGTTGAGATGAGCCAGCAGCAGCAGCATCAGAAAGGAAGGGATTAGACGTAGGACGTTCGACATAACGGACGAGCTTGCTGTCAGGATCGGAAATAGGCAACCCATTTTTTTCCTCAAGAAATGAACGCTGGAGGCGCTCTTTGGCCGTCTGCTTCTTACCAAAGTTCTTAGAACTCAACAAAAGGGCAGTATCGACCTTTTCTTCAGCAACAATCTTAATAAGTTCGTTGGTACGCTCCTTCTTAAGTTTGTTTTCAATATACTTTTCCAGACGTTTCCGCTTTTTTGAAGACATGGTATCTTGATTTTCCTGTAGTAATTGCTCTCGCAATTGCTTCCTGCGTTCATTCCTTTGTTGTTCGCTTTCGGGAACAATAATTTCTGCGTTTGGGTCCTTAGTCTGTGAAGTCTCAGAACTCACATTTGAAGCGACGACATCTTTTGTTTCTTCATTTTGTTGTATACGGATAGAGCGAGGCAACCGGGCGCGCTTCAAGTTTAGCATCTTTTGGATACCGCTTTGACGGCCCTTCTCATTGAACCGTTGACGCAGCCTGCCCATTTTGAAGAATAAACGTTCACACTTACACGCTGCCGCTAGAAGAGAACGACAGGTTCGTTCTGCACTGTCTCGCCTCCGGCGACCAGGATTTGGTGTTAGTGTTCGAACGCAGTTTAACGCACCCGTGCGAGAAGTCCACGCAATAAATGAATTTAAATAACATGTAAACGAGAAAAACATCGACAACAGTTGCTCAAATTAATAAATATCAATTTCAATATGTTCATCGAAAGTTCCGTTTCATAATAATGATAACAATGTGAATAGCACTTCAAAGCCCCAACATGGGGAAATTTCCTAATCTTAACGAAGCCATTAGAGCGTAAATCTGTAGGGGAAAATGACTGGAGCAATACAAGTCCATACTAATTAAGATGGTTAGTAAAAAAAGCCCTTCTTCGGGTGATAATCTGCGTACCATATATAGTATGACAAGTCCAAGAACTGATCATCTTTACCCATACAGCAGCGTACGAGTAACCGATGCGTATAAATGTCTCATCCTTTGAGGATTCGTACATTCTCAATGTGTTCCAGTTTGTGAGCACGGAAGCGGTATAACATGCAGCCAAGAAAAATAAAATGTGAAAAAAGGAGTACCCGTAACCACCGGCATTTGAAGAGTTCAAATCGGAAGGAAGTAAATTTCTAAGCAGGTTAGCATATATTTCATGATTGGGCGGATGTCAACATGTGCGGATAGACGCATAACATACCCTTCCTCAACCGCTCTTTGCAGAATCTCTTGACGAGAAGGAAGTCCTTCGTTTTCTTCCCCGTCGTTGGAGAGATCATGCGAATCACTGTACAGGTGACGGTAATCATGCGAGTCGCTAGATGCACCAGGAGAGGCGGCACTCATAGTACTATAAAGAATAGCTACAAATGTGAAAATAGCACCGAGCACCTTGTTCACCTCACGCGTATCAAGAGAGTCTTCACTCCAAGGATTGCACTTGGTCTCAGATGGCTCATTCACGACAGCAGACATGATGAGATAGCATGTGTAGCAGGCCACCGTAGAAGCTTGCGCCAGACCGGATCGCGGATTGTGCTCCTGTACAAGCGGGTGCACAGCAACACAGGTGGAAATGATGCACAGAAAGACATTGATTGTATTCATCACTTGATTGAACACACACGACGACGAGCAAAACCATGCATACACAAATAGTGACATAGCGATCGCCGAGCCAAACAAACAAACAGTTGATCCAACAAGAATTACTTTAGAAGAGGAAGAATCCTCCTCCGCAATTCGATCGAGGCACTTTTCCGCCCACGAGTGCGCAAAGTCAACAAGCAACAGAAGGCCGTAAAGGATAAAAAAGGCTGAGGCAAAAATAGAGATGTAGTTTCCCCAAAACGTCAGAAACTGGTTCGGAAGAAAGAAGCTAACCACGACAAGAAAGAGCCAAGAAGCATACTTCAATGGCCACAGACCGTTTTGAATCTTGGTCAGCATCGACAACCGTGAGGCGGACATAGCCGTAAATACAGCAAGAAGCAAGTGAAAGCAAGACAAAGCAAATCCAAAGCGGTGAACGGCAAGGACACTGTAGCATTTGCCTTCGCTTTCACAATCAAAATTCAGGTACCCAAATGTCAATTTCGACAGCAATTTGTTGACTGAAGAGGACAGCATAAGCCATGATAGCAGAGAATTGAAGAGAAACAAGGCTGCATAACTCAATTTCGCCGCAAACGCGCTCTGAACCGAGTTTACAAGGCCAAAAAAGGTAGAAAGAGACAAACCGGCAAAAATACTGCCAACGCTCGCGATTCCAGAAGCAACCAAGCTCGGGAGCGAAAGTACTACACCCATGTTCAAAAAAAAAGTGCGTACGGCCGTCTAAATTTTAATGTTTTATAGAGCAATGAAACTTATACACCCAATCACGCCGAACGTCGAGTTATAGGGACCGTGAGAATCAACCGAGTTTATAGAAAATCAAATTCAGCGCAGAAACCAGCTCTGCACGTATAAATGGTCCGTCAATTCAGAAATAGTAAATGGTAACTGTTCAGGTTTACCCAGGCACAGTGTATCTCCTATCGACCTGTCGGTTCTCTATGACGTAGGCAAACCTTAATACCTAAATGCCGATACAGTGAGCACGTGCACGCGAGATCCTCATGTTCGCAAAAACAGAAATCCCATTCGGGGAATTAGGGACTGGCAGGGATGCAGTGAAAAAGTTGCGGGGCGTGACGTTACGATGAACAGCGGGGAGAAGGGATGAGCCCCTTCATTCTGGGGAGTTATGTCAGCTCGTAGTCGCGTACAGGAAAGCATACAGGGGAAGTATCAATGTCATATGCTGCATGATGTTCCCCTAGTCTGCAGACAACCTCGACCGAGGCCTGAAAGGAGGCATTGAAGAAGCGGACGGGGCGTACTCGTCAAAACGGCAATTATCTGATTGCGGAGCCGCGGCTGTGGGAACCTCTACGCAGCCTTCTCGTTCCCTTCCTTCACTTCCACCACCATTGGCTGCTTTCTTACTCATTCAACGAACCACGTGGAAGGAATTACGTACCCTCTTCGTCACACTACTCGCTCAGGGCAGTGGCTCGGAAATTTACCGATGCATTGCCCGCTTAGCAGTCCTGTGCCATAATTAGCGAGCGAGCTAGCCGCGGAACGCAGCACTGATTTCCGTAGCAGTAGTGGTGGAAGCGTCCGTGGTGCGACAAAAATGGCAAGTGATAGGACACTTTCCAAAAAAAACAGCATACAGTTCTTCATGTAGCGCAACCAAATGAACGTGTCGTAGATTAGCAGCTCATGCTGTATGTTCCTTTGTGGTTTTGCGATTCTTCCTTTTGCTGACATAATACATAATTCCTGTTTTAGCGCCTACGTCATCCCTCGTTACGATTACCCGAATACCCCACAAACAGGCTTTATTAGCTTCGACGTCAACCTTCTTTTCTCCTAACCAGAGCACATACCCAAACAAAGGCAAAGCTCTTACCAATTGCACTTTTATTAACGAATTCTTCAAGAACAGACGCGATCCACTGAACGAAGCTATGAAAAGTTGTTGTTAAGAAGTTTTACGCCCTGTCTGGAACGTTCTCTCGCGTTTTCTTCGTCTACTCAGCTCGACATTTTCTCGTTACACTTCCTTCCTTCGTATCTGATATCTTACACTGTTAATTAGGTTCGTTGCCGACACTTGCAATCTAACTTCTACGAATAAACACCGGTTCAACTCATACGTCAATCGAGTTCGTTTGTTTTCAGGTCTACAACATTGACCAAGTCATTGTCGACAGTTTTCTTGCGTAAGCCAAAGTCTTATCCTACCCACTGGTCCGTTTTCGCCTCCTTCGGTGTCCTCGTACGTCTATTTAACTGTTATCTTACTGGCAACCGTCACCTGTTACCTCTACTGCTACTGTTGTTGCTACTTATCCGTTGCTACTGACCGTGTCTCGACTGTCCTTTCTTACACCGTCAGTTCCCCTTTGTGTTTCCCGCAATAGGTTGTACAACGTGATCTCGTTTCGAAGCACGAGTTGCAACTAGTCCATCAGTAGTTCCACTACTCTAACCGACCGAGGTCCGTTCTGCTCGCTATAGTCACGAGCCGTGGTAACTCCGGCTGGCTGTTTTCCTTAAACACCCACCCCGCTCCCCACTACGAGTTTCTCCACGATCAGCTTTACCATCGGTACTGTCCAGCCCTACCCTGGATATTGCTCACTTCCAAATTAGATCTGCCACAGCTGCCGAGCCTTGGAATATTCTGGGACACGCCCCACCAACTGCCTCGTCGGTCCAGTGTCTGCCGGTTGGTATCTGATCAGCCGCTCATCGTGTCGATAATTCTTGATGTGTATCAGAGTATAATTGTTCTCTTCTGTCTGGCCAAGATACTCTTACCGTTCACGTATTTGTGACGAACCCACTTAACACACAAGGGTCCTGTTTTCTGCAATCAACACTTATCTATTTATGCTGCACTGACCCCGCAATTGTGGTTAGCGCTTTTTTGTGTCCTGCGTTTTTATTTCGTATTCGGTTTTTGACCTTGGACGTTCCCTGGTTGCACCCCCGACGCTCTTGTCAAGAGTTACTTTTGCAACAATTACATCAAAAAGCTGCTCAAGCTGCTCTCTTTTTTCACCCCTGCCTTTTCGTGCTGTGTGCCCTTTGCTTTTACACAAATTACTCCTGTCTCCATCCTATAAGAGACTTGCTGTTTTATTTTTTCCTATTTCTTCTTTAGAATTGCTCTTCACTCATCCATTATGACTGTTGTAGCAAGCACGTTTTCTCCCCCAAATTGCTACTCTGTCCACGATCGCCAATCGCTGTTGGCGCCGTACGTGGACAGCGTGTTCACAAACCATGTGTCTGCACTTCGGAAAAAGCTGCCTACCCCCTCCGTTGCCAGCACAGACACTAGTGTTGCGCCGTCGTGCATGTTGTACACATTGGACAGCGAGTACGAGGGACGGAGGAGTCTGAAAACTCACAGCTCCATGTCCTCTCTTTCCTGCGCCAGCAGCACTCGTCGTCCAAACGCTTCCCCTGCTGTGCTTCAGCTACTTCGAAGCACACAAATTCCCCTGCCCCGATTCTGTAAATCCCGCAAAAAGGGTCGTATAAGTAGGGAAACTAACCGCGAACGGCTGAAGTCTCGCTTGGATCGTGTATTGGAATCACAAAGCAATGCTCATACCAGCGCTACGAGCAACAATAACAACGACAACAATGCTGATCCTTACGGATTTCTGTTTGAGCCACCTCAGCCGCAGGGTATTCTTGACGCACAAGGACAAATCCCTTGCCCCGCACCGGAATTGAAGTGTCCTGGACTCGCTGCTGGCTCACCTGCCTCGAGCGCCGGATCGTCTCCTTCTTTCTCTGATGAGTCAGACGTCGAGAGTCCTTTCCTCTTTCGTTGCAAAGGCGAGGCTTCGGTAGTGGATGATTTGTCTGAGTCGGTGTTTTTTCCCGTTGGCAGTGCTCCGGTAGCCGGTACAGCTGCTGCAATGCTTCGCGAGTGTTTGTCTTCTCCAAGCCTGTCTACTTCCAGCTTGCCTCCCTTTGACCGTGTTCAGTTCCCGTTGCAGCGTCGCCGTCTGCGTGTTTTCACTAAGAAGCTTGTCGAAGAACATCCTCTTGCGAACGCAGAAGACGCTGCCTCTTCATATTCTGATTTAGAAAAGTCGTTCTCTTCCAGTAGCAGTAGCGGTAGTCGTTCGTTGGCAGATGATTCTGTGTCACTCCCTGTAAACGTCGTCAAGCCAGCCTCTGTGAATGCCGTTGAAGATGCCGCAGCTTCAGCTGGTGAAAAGAACCAGGCCTCCAAAACGAAACGATCGCCTATGGACCGCAATGCCTCTTTGCAAGCCAAGCTTAGCAGTTTTTCCAGCAAAATCGTTCGCCGTGTCTTTGGCCATTCTGGAAAACACTCGGATTCGGCGAATGCCACTTCAAAGGCCAAGTCTTCTGATGCCAACGTGAACGGCAATGAGGACCTTGTCAGTGCCATTCTGTGTTTCCAGGATGGATGGGTTGTTGAGGACTGTGCACCCGTATCTGGTCATTTGTTTTATCCTATGGAAGAGTGGAAGGAGAACACTGAGGTCCAACTTAGGCATCCAAGGTTGAATTCGTCTTTCATCAGGGTGATGGTTCTTGAGACCCAAATGCGTCGTGTTGGTAAACTTTCTTCTCAAGTGCAGGGTCGTGCAAAACTTATTCTCATGCCGAAACCGCCTTTCCAACCTCGATGTAGTCCCCTTAGGCACAACTGGTCTTCTCCATCTTCCTCTTCTTCTGGGGCGTTGAATTAAATCTGGTGTTTCTGCCAGCGTCCTATTTATTCTGCAGGCCTCTGAGAATGTGCTGTTACTGTTCACGTTTCTGATTTTATCTCTGTTCTTTTGCCTTTTCCGTTTACCTCTCTTTCTTCTATTTCCCTCCTTTAACTGTGTCAATACTCTTGGGTTGCTAGCTTTTGACAAGGTTGCAACGTTTCCCCTCCCCGACTCCCTTTTCTACTCCGATTATTACGTTCTTCACACTCCTGTTCTCACACACACACACACTTCATTCCTTTCCACTTTACTCCGTCGTTTTGCATATCAGGCATGTGTATACCCTTCGTGTTTTCAAGTGCTGCGGACGAAAGAGGGTTAGATAAACTTTGCAAAGGATGGCCGAACCGGCTTATCCATTTTGTCTACCATTCTTTTCTTCCGTTTGTGAGTGACACGCCTTCATGCTTCTCTGTGTTTTTATACTGCACAAACTCTTCGCTCTCTCCCTTCTCTTTACGTCCTCCCTCCATTTTACTCCTGATATGAGACGGCCTCTAATTCTCTGAGCCTGTTCACACAAATTTTGTTTCCTTTCCGTTCTTCCCTTGCATTACATTTTGTACATTTGGAACTGGTTGAAGCATTCGGCCAAGTGATATGTTTTCCATTATGAACAGGTCTCCACATACACCTAGAGGAATACAGAACTGTAAGTAAAACAGTTGCGTATTGCCTTGCTGTGTCACGGGTTTTAGTGTATCCAGTGCCAATTTGTCATAGTGCTGTGCTCTGCATTAACTCGTATGTATTTATCTTTGGACTTGCTGTTTTTATTACTAGACTAAAAATAAACATTTAAAAACACGTTTTCTATATTCCATCTTGTACATTCGTTCAACGGTTTGTAGTGAGGATGTTTCAAATACAACATTAACAGATAGTTGCGCTTTTAGAGTGAAGCCACCAGTGAATGAGACGTATGTATTGTTGAACTGATTTCGTTTGTCCATGTACTCCAATCTATTCTACTTTATCTGTACAAGCCTTTTGTTTACACTTCGACTAGGACCCCGTCGCTACCTGTACCAAATTCACCAGAACAAGAATCGCCCACAATTCAGTTGGAATTGGCTTCTCGCTGTTTAGAACAGTCTGTAAGACGGTTAATAAAACATTATTATGAATGATGAATCAGATAAAACCTCGGAAACTTCTGTATCGGAGACGTCCTCTAATACAACATGGGTTTTGTTCAGACAGAAAGTTGAAGAGCATTTTGCAAAGGTAGAACGTCTTCATGCTGTTCTGGGAACAGAAGGAGACAATTCTTCACTGTTCGAGTTGTTTTCGACGGCTATGAAGGCTCAGTTACACGAAATGGAGCAATATAAACAAACGTTGGAAGACGAGTGTCGGCAACATGTCGAGTCCATTGAATTTTTGGTAAATTCATTAAAGACACACAAATTAGAGGACAATTTAGAAATTACACCTCCTTTGTTGCAATGTGCAGGACGTTTGACCCAAATTGAAAATCAATACTTGGCCATGTACCAAGACAAGCTCACAGACATTAAGGGTATGTACAAGAAGCAAGTGAAGAACATTATTGTCTAACGCTTTAGAAATTTATGACAAACTGGAAGTTATTTGTACGCGACTCGGTTCAGAATTTGTTAAGCCAGACCTGGACAATTCTTTCCTTTCCGATGTATCCGACACGTTTACGGACTCCTTGCGTGTCCGACTTGAAGAAGCTGAAAAGGAAGTTATCTCACGTACCGAGTTTGTGCGTGTCCTTGAGTCTGAAGTTTTGCAACTGTGGACAGAATTTGGTACGGAGCTTGTTCCTGGCAGTGAATATGAAAAACTGTTTAAAAGACACCAAGATCCGCCTGAAGAAATCCCTGTAACCGAGAAGGTTATTGAAGAGCTCGTGATGTTAAAAGAAGAAGTGTCGAAAGAGCGGCAAACCCGACTTGAGAACATTCAAAGCATGAAACTAGAAGCTCAAAAGTTATGGACACGACTTGAGATTGATTTTTCTGAGTTTCAGGAACGTTTAAGTGATGAAAATAGATGTGATGATGAGACTGTTACGTTCTGGAAAGAACAGCTTGAAAAACTGTACGAGCTCAAATTGCGACATATTCCTGTCTTCATTGAGGATGCTCGGCATCGTATTGAGGATTTATGGGACACGTTGTGCTACAGTGAGGAGCAAAGACATCAGTTTTTGCCGGCATTTGAACCTGCGTTTACCGAGGAGTCCTTGGTATTGCACGAGCAATACCTCAAAGTTTTGGAAAACGAGGTTGCGGCAAACAAGCAGCTTCTCAACTTGGTACACCGATTTTTGACGTTGCAAGCTGAAAAACAAGAATTGGAAATCAGCGCCAATGATTCGTCCCGTCTCACACAACGCGGTCGTCGTGACCCTGGTCGTCTTTTACGCGAAGAGAAGATGCGGAAACGTATTCAACGTGATCTTCCAAAGACACAAAGTGCTTTAGTCACCGAATTACGCAAATGGGAACGCGATAACGGACGACAGTTTTTGGTGAATGGAGAGTCGTTGCTGGAAACGTTGCAAGATGCTATGCAACCCTCTGTTTACCGGGCAGCTGCCATCTCTGGACGTCCAAAACCATCTGTTCATACTACCAATTCAAGCCGGAGCAGCAACGAATCTGCCGGAACTCCACCTCAACAAAATAAGCAGTCTTCTTCTGTCTATTCCAATAGACGCAATAGTGGAACTTCAAAGCACACATTGAACACTCCCCGAACCCCAACTTCACCGTCCAAGACGTCGCACTCAACGAATCGTCGCTCCTTGAGTGCAGGCAAGCTACCAACCCCCAAGACCGGAGTTGGACGACGGACACCGTCGGCATCACAAGTGGATTTAAACAGCTCTGCATTACCCACTACCACTCGTTCTCGCAGTGCTACTCATGGATCTGCAACGTTGAGCCATGCCAATACATATACTCCTACACCGATGTCCATGAGCTCTTTCCGTACAAACCTTGCTGCGAAAACACGGCCGTTTGCGGTTCCTGCTTTGACAAAATCCACGACAACATCAAAGGACTCCGCTATACCCAGACCACACATGTCTCCCCAATCTAAACACGCGTCTCTATTAAAAAGTCCTCAACAATTACCCAACGACACGACAGTTCAGAGTGTGTCTGAACAATTCCGTCGTGCCGGCATTAAAGATTCACAGCTACCTAGTTATGTTCAAGATTCTTCTCCTATGAAACTTGACATCATGGTACCAAGCCCTAAAACCATGGCACCTCCAATTATGATGTCTGGAGTTTCTCCCTTGCGTAAGGAAAACTATTCTTTGCTGTCACCGAGTGAAAGGAACGAGCATGTTTCCAGCCAGCTTTTGGGCTTTGGAGAAATTCAAATGGAAGATGAATGGGGAGAGGAGGGTTATTAATGTTCAAGGTATCCGAGCATGTCTTATGTAACACTTCAGGTGACTTTCAACTCGTTGTCCAAAAGGATATGGAATAGTCTCACCCGTGTTGTCTGTGCTTGTGGTAAGGGCTCTCCTCTTCCTCCTCTTCGATATGCATTAAGAAAACGATTGAAATTAGAATGTGGTGGAATTAAACTCTTCGTCAAAGCTTGTACATTAATCTTTCTTGGTAGGACGAATGCTCATTAACAGGCACAGGAGCCAGATTCGTTCGTGTTGTTTAGCAGGCTAATAGAGCCTGTCAAATCACTTGCATAGTCCTCGTGACTACTATTTTCAAGAGCAGAACGAGCAATGGATTCAAAGGCTATTGAAACATTCGTACCGTCTTTGGCACTTGTTTCAAAGTGGGTCAAGTTGCCTCCTTGGTTCTTGCAATAACTCAGAGCATGATTAAGCGGAACTGTCCGCTTCGACGGGTCTTTATCGATTTGATTGCCAAGTATCACGAACGGAAACGCGTTGTTATTCAATGACGATGTTTGTTCAAGGAATTCTGAACGCCAGTTTTCGACAGACTCAAAACTTTTCGCGTTGTTAACGTCGTAAACGACAATACAGCAATCCGCTCCTCTATAGAAGGCCACTCCGAGACTCTGAAATCGTTCTTGTCCTGCAGTATCCCATAGCTGTTGAAGAGTTAAGTGTTAGCCACGTCAAAATCTCACTAAATAGCACAGAACTGCGTACCTGGAGTGTGATTGCTTCTCCGTCCACCTCTAACTCTTTTGTCAGAAAGTCTGCTCCTATGGTTGCCTTGTATTCTCTGCTAAATCTATGATTGACAAACTGCTCTGTTAGACAACACCGTTTCCCAGTACATGGACAATTACAAACCTGGTTCATTAAGGAAGTCTTACCGACTCCACTGTCGCCTAAAATGACTACTTTAAGCAAAGTTCTACGAGGCGATGTCATCGGTTTGGTCGAGGTAAACACTCAACTGTGTCTGAGTCAAGTAACTACAGGATACTGAGTTCCAACGAGCTACAACGTAAAGTTGTAAAAGTTCAAAACAAAAAACAGTATCAGCAAACTATTAAACGTTCAGCATCGCCTGCTGGGTGTCCAATCGGGTTACATATGCCGAGATGTTATTTATCACTGTGCTGTGGGCAATGTGAGTCATAATTATGTCTGAAAGGCATGTAACTACAAGGCAACATACGGGAAGCAGCTCGAGAAATATAGGTTTTGTCTTTGTTTATCTATCTCTAAGACACCATTGTTCAACGTCTCAACTTATCTAGCAAGGTTTCCATGCGTTCCATCGTCTCTGCCTTTCCCAGCAAATGGATTGTGTTTATTATTCCAGCTCCAGGTGTGTTTCCACAAACTGCAAAGCGTATAATAGCATACATGAATTTTGCAGGTATGTCTTCATGCGCTTTGCTGACGCGTTCTACGATGTGATGGATATTGTCTTCGTGCCACGTTGGTTCCCTATCCATACCCTCGATCATGTCACATAAAATATCAACTACAGATGCATGTGTTAGTTTCCAAATCGAGTTTGGTAAGAGCTTACCCGAAGTAAAGGGCTCCAAATTTCGTTTCCATTCTTCCAATTCTGAAGTACTCCACTGTGGTTTTTCAAAGACATAGCTCATTAGTCCGGGTAAGTTTTCGAGTTTACGTATGCGCTTCCGAAGCAGAAAAACCCATTTTGCAATGATCTCCAGATCACTATCCTTAACAGTATATTGTTTCTGAAGCAATGGAAGCGCTTCCTTGGCGAGCTCAAAACAACCAGCTTGTGTTTCTGCTTTGTGAGCTAGATGATGTTTGTTTAAAAATTCCAATTTCCCTAGGTCAACGGTGACGGAGCCTTTGGTGATTTCTTTTAACGAAAACAATCGGATCATGTCGTCCATTTGCAGGAAATCGCTTACTTTGCCCTTGCCCGACCAACCCATCAAAGCAACATGATTAAGCACGGCTTCTGGCATGAATCCGTCCGATAGCAAGTGTTGGACATGGGCATGGTTTTGACGTTTACTAAGTTTGGATCCATCTTTGTTGAACAAAAGTGGTAAATGTGCGAATTGGGGTGGCTTCCAGTCAAATGCTCGATACAGTTCCATATGTTTGTATGTGGAGGGGATCCATTCCGCTCCACGTATAACATGTGTGATGTGCATTTCGTGGTCGTCAACAACGTTGGCGAAGTGGTATGTCGGAAATCCATCCGACTTCATAATGACAAAGTCGTCATGAAAAGCAGTTGGCGTTGCTGTTGATCGTTTGGAAGACCCTGGTGACAAGCACCCGTAAACGCTATCATTAAAACTCGTCATTTTGTCTGGCATCTTAGCACGGATAACGTACGGTACGTTTTGGCCCCGAAGCTCTAGCACTTGTTCACTCGTCAACGACATGCAATGTCGATCATAAGAACCTGATGAACCAATTTTTCTAGCAATCGATTGCATTTTTTGGAGGCGTTCTGTTGAGCAGAAACAGCGATATGCGCGCCCTTGGTTTATAAGCTGCTCTGCGTATTTTTGATAAAGGGATAGTCGTTGAGATTGAATGTATGGACCGTATGGTCCATCTCTGTTGTTCCAAGATGTCTCATGGGAAGGTCCCTCGTCCCAATCGATGTGGAACCGTCGTAAAACCTGGTAGATTTCCTGTTCGCTGCCGGGAATCCTTCTTTTCTGATCTGTGTCTTCAATACGCAAGACAAAAAGACCACCATTCGACCGGGCAAACAAATAGTTGTATAGTGCAGTCCTCAAGGAGCCTAAATGCAACGACCCTGTTGGTGAAGGTGCAAATCTAGTCCGCACATTTGACGAGACATACCGGACAAAAGTTTGAAATTTAAGTGAGGAACATAAAGGATTGATCATGTATAATATAAAAGAGTTAAGTGAGGACGGGAATGATGTATTGTAAGTTTACAAGCGAGTGAGACTATAGCGTTTCAATATGTACAGCTTTAGAAAACGTCTGTACTTTTTCAGCAGAAACTCGTTCACATTCCTTGAGGTTTTCTTTAGCAATAAGCCAAGCCAGAGCTCCACGTCTTTTTCCTTTGCGTTTACAATACTACCTCCATGGTGTAGTTCCATCTATTGTTTTTGGTGGTGAGTTTCGAAGTAACACTAAAGGTAACATAACATTACCACCAAAAAACGTCCACGCATTTATTGTTTTTTTATGGCTTGGACATGAAAAGCCCATACACGTACGAAGAAGAAACGCAAGCTGGCTGTGCTTTTTTCCGCTAACAGAAATGGTTTGTCTCATTTTAATTGAGTGTAAATATGGTTCATGATGCTAATTTAATAGTTGCCTTTGACTTTGTTAAACGCTGCCCAAGGACGTCCAATCCTTGTAGAATTGAAGAACGGCGAGACTTTTAATGGACATCTTGAGAAATGTGATAATTATATGAATTTGACTCTTCAGGAAGTCATTCAAACCATGCCTGAAGGTGACAAATTCTTTCGGATGCCCGAGTGTTATATTCGTGGAAACAATGTAAGCAAAAACGCCGTTCTTAAGCAAAATATGTTCTTATATATCTTTATTGAAACTAACAATTCAACTTTAGATCAAATATCTTCGCGTTCAAGACGAATTGGTGGAGCAAGTGGCCAAGCAACAGAGTCAACATCGTGAAAACCGTTCCAATCGCTTCCGTGGTCGCGGTCGCGGCCGTGGAGGTTATGGAAACAACGGCGGCAGAAGAGGCGGTCATCGCCCTATGCAACACTAGACATTGTCGAGGTTTACCCGCTAGGCTGTGTTTACGAAAAATGAGGATTCACTGGAGTATTATGTGACAGTTTTAAGGAGATCGAGAGAACGTAATTTGGTTTCGTAGACATGTATTGGAGTGGGGAAGCATGTATTATCAGTTTTCAGTTTTGTTCCTCTACTTTTTCGTAATCAGATTTCGCATAAAATCAAAACTATTGCCATCTGGCTGGAGAATGACTTTTACACCTATGGGTCTTCCGTCCTCAGTAATGGGTTGAGCAATTAGTAGACCACAATCGGTTGTGATACCTTCGATGCGTGCGGGAACACCATTTTCCAGGTAAACTTTTTGGTTTGTGTGAAGCCAGTTTTTGTAGTACACGGGAAGAATAGTACTGAAGCCTTGATGGATTAACTGGTTGTAGTAGAGCTCGAAGTAATGGAAAAATAATGCCAAAAGCTTCTCTCGTCTCACCTTTTCCAGAGCTACGTGTCCTGCTTGTTTGGCAGTTTTGTTCCACTGGGACACGACAGCATTGAGAGAGGTTGTTGGGCCCGTATTGTCCACGTTGACACCACAACCAACGACGAGAAACAGTTCGTTATTTGAGTAGTTAGTTGTTACGATAACGCCTGAAAGCTTTTTGTACTGCTCGGATTTTGGGAGCTTCTCGTTGTCGGAAACTTGAACATAAACATCATTAGGCCATTTAATGAAGACAGGCAGTTTGTCGAAACCAGGTGCATAGCCATGTATACTCTCAACTACGGCCAACGAAACGAGGTATTGGATTAGGGCGACAGGTACGGTCGAAAACTGAGTGGACGAAATTCGAACAACGTAGGAAAAAGCAAGAATACCCGGAGGAGAAACAAACATGTTTTGCCCACGACCGCGGCCATTCAACTGGTGATCAGCACAAGCTGTAAAACCAGTAGGAAGAGTGCTTAAAAAGCCGGTATTTTGGTCAAGCAAGGATTGAGTGGACGTTGTCACAGGTGCATAAAGAAATGGTCTTCCGAAATCACAATCTCCCAAACATCTGTCATAGAGTTGATAGTCAAAGTGTTGTGAGAATAACTCTGTTGCTTTTGACGGGGTACAAGAGTGAATGGAAAGCATTGTTCGATCCTCCTCCTCATCGTTATTCAGCGTGCTAGCTTCGCCTGTAGTGATTTCAGCAGAGGCAGCTGCGTTAAAATGAAAGGTATAACGCTTATCCCTTAAAACATTACGGGACTCTTGTTCAAAAAGAACAGCCAAGTCTGGCAATGAGGAATGAAAGTCAGACGTGATAAGGTAATGGAGAGAAGGTTTCCATTGCTCAGAGTTGTAGTCTTCGTTAATTTTTATGTTTAGATCTTGTAGTAAGCAGCGAAGAAACTCAAGACGTAATGTCTCATCGCGTTTTTCGTGTCCTTCACATCCGTCTGTTTCGAACTCAGGATGAACGCCTGTCAGAATGACTCGTCCTCGACCAACATTCATTGAGATGACGCTTGCCTGTTCATTATTTTGTGACTCCGGGAGGTCATTGTAACGCGCCAAAATACGGACATTCTCATATTTATGTGCGTCGACAAACGAGCCGCCTCCGTTCCAATAAATCTTGACAATTCCATCAGTCGCTCCGGGAACAGAAAGATCTGGTGAAAGGGCGAGTGGAGCTGCCCTGGCGCCGCTTTCACTGTCATATACAAAACCAGGGTAAGTTGGACCCTTACAAGTTCCAGGGAAGAATGCGAGCTTTCTAGGGCCAACAACATTAAGTTTAGAGTCCTCCATGCGAAAGTCAACTTTTCCAGAAGCAAAATATCCCCCGGCACAGATTCCTAAGTAAGAGCCACCCCTTCGTACGAACTCCTTTACCTTTTGATATGTTTTTTCGGTAAAGTCTTTACAGTAACCCAAATCTCTTCCACCAGGAATGACAAGAAGAGCAGTACTGCTCGTCCAAGGTTCATTGTCAAGTGTTCTTACATCCACATAACGTAAAGCGTAATGCGGAACGACCATTCTAAGAAGACTTTGGTATGTCCTTGTCAAGGCAATTTTAGAAGTGCCAGTACCAGAGTAAATAAGGACATTCATTATGATAGTTGTAACAGTTTAACGATAGTATTGTGTTTAGAATAGGAAAACAGTGCCTTCTATGAGGAACTATTAACTCTTTTTTGAAATCAAAAATAGCGAAGCAAAAATCACTATTACCCGGTTAATTCACCCAAAACAGCAATTTTTTGAATTCAAAGATGAATCTGTGCCCAATAGTATTGTAAAAGGATGCACAACGGAACAATTGGGTATATAGGTTCTTGAAGAAAAGAAAGTCTAAGATTGGGGAACTAAAAGTCTGAGTGTTGAAATTTTGTATGCCTTAGAAATTAACGTATGGCGAATTGTATGACAAATAGATGATGCTTGTTAGTATGAAAAGACAGAAGATTGATAGTGCTGCAACTGATTATTTATTGAACTAGTGAGAGTGTTTAACATTGTTATATGATTACTAAGAGACACTGAGAGTTAAATTGCAATACAATAACCAACACTATGGTTCAATACATTTTGAACCCTAATAGCTGTATTGTATTTTGATATCGTACTAAACCTAACTAAATGTTACAATTTCCGATACTCACACAGCATGGCTATAGAAATGACAAGGGTGACCAGAAATAGGACATACTGACTAGCAAGATGAACATCGTTCTAAAGCCTGACTTGACATTTATCCGAGAATAATGATTATATAAACTTAGACGAACCAGTTAGTAAGTCACTTTACGTTGCAAGACGACCATCTTTAACCTTTGCCAAAAAAGAATTCGACTTCAACAACGTTCATCTACTCACGGCTATTTTGAAATTGACATATACATATACAGTCATCTAAAGACAGTAAAAGCGCTTTCAGGTGTGTCACGTCGACTGCAACTCTTCATTTGATAGACTGGTAGTTTTGTATAAGTCAATTTGTCTCAGGAAAATTAAGTCTTCCATACCATTTTCAGAACTTTTCATTTTTTCCTTCTCCATCGGCAACTGGGGAAAGCTTCTCAGAAATTTGTACGAAATGGCAATTCTTTCAAACCTGTTTGCCACAGCAAAATGTTCATTGCTAAATGCATCAAGAAGAGCTGTTTTCTCCGGTCTTAAGACGCCAAGTTATCATTTTTTGACAAACCCTGTATTTAAAGATTTTGCCAGACATTCATGGTTCAGCACAAGTACAATTAAGTGCAACGAAAACCAGGAAGCTATTCAGAATGAGAAGGAGTTGAAGGAATACCTTGTTGGTGAGGAAAATGGTGAAGAATTACCAGGTGTGCCTGAAGAGGGAACGAATTGGCAAACTTCCTTCGCTGGACTCTCAGAGAAACCATTCAGCAAAGAGATTAGTGATGTTTTGTTAACCCCTCTTTCCCTCCAGGACATTGAAATTAAACCAGATGGTATCCTTTACCTTCCAGAGATTAAATACAGACGCATATTAAACAGAGCTTTTGGACCTGGAGGATGGGGTCTGGCTCCCCGAGGTAAGACAACTGTTACCCCTAAATCTGTTTCTCGAGAATATGCTCTTGTTTGTCACGGCCGTTTAGTGTCCGTTGCTCGTGGTGAGCAGGTTTATTTCGATCCATCCAACATTCCTACCGCTACAGAAGGTTGTAAATCAAATGCTTTAATGAGATGCTGCAAGGATCTTGGTATTGCAAGTGAACTGTGGGATCCTCGTTTCATCCAAGCGTTTAAGAAACAGCATTGTAGCGAGGTTATGGTAGAGAACATTGCCACTCGTAAGAGACGCAAGCTTTGGCGTCGTAAAGAAGACCGTTTCTCATATCCTTATAAAGAGATGTAAGGCTGAAGGATCGGACAGCAACAGCAAATCGAGGCCTTGATAACATATTATAAGAACATAAAAAAAAAATATTATAGAAGCATGATCGTGTACATTCCTCATACAATGCAGTTAGATATTTAAATTGTTCGGGCGTGAAAAATATGGATTCGTGAAGACAATTCGGGAGGTTCGTAGCTTAAAAATAAAACATTCTCCACAAGTCGACTTAGTCCTTTTTTGAGTCTGAAGACTTGTCTGTAACTTCCTCTGCCGCTGGTAGTTTGCTAAGGAACGCGCGGATAATGTTCCAACCTTTAGTAATGAGTGAATCATCGCTTAACTTGCTTCCAACAGCACCAAGAAACTTATGAATCGGTGTTTTGTATTGAGTTAGGAAGGGTTTCAGATACTCTTCGTATATATATTCAGCACCCAGTGTTTTTGGATGCAGCAACCAAATCCATAACACTATTTTAATAGGTGTAAGAAACGGGATCCACCTTAAAACTGAACTAAATGAACGTTCAATAGCAGTGATACAACCATAAACACTCCAATATATAAGTAACTGTCTCTTCTCTTTCTCTAAACTTGGGTTAGTAAATAAAACCGAAATTGTGAAAGATTCTCCATATAAACAAGTCTGTATGTTAATATGGGATAGTCCTTATACCATATTTCTCCTGTTCAAGATCTTTTGATTGGAATGGGACCGGTATAAACCGTTTTGTCTTAGTCGGTAATTCAAGAAGCAGGAATGTCTTATAAACCGGAAACCCGACTCCAACAGCTGCACTGAAGGAAGAATTAGAACGAATTATGTAAAAAATATCTTAATTGTACCTTAGTAACTCTAAACCAGCGTTCAAAATCATCCCAATTCGCAATAATGTTAAGTGCTCTGTCAAGACCGGGCGGCGGCTATTTTACATGCATCTAAGACACTCAATAAATAGTAAGGCGAGATATTTTTACCGAACATAAACAGAGGCGATCCGTCTGTTTGTTCGAACTTTAACAATAAATCAATTAGAGAAATAAAAATTCTGATCACAAATCACAAGCGGCCATTTACTCGCACAAAAATTATAATTCTAGTCTATAATATTACAGTATTGAATAGTTACAGGACATTCAAATAGAATAGATAATCTTCATCAAAGAATAAAATAATGCGTAATCAATCTTGAACAACCTTAGCAGCCAGCACTGGCAATTCTCAAAAGTCTAAATGCGAAAAAATCATTAAACGAACATTACCAAAAACTACACCATCCAACGTAGCATTGACAGAGGTTTTCGTGATCCGTAGCCTGCTGAATAAGCTTGGCCACTTGATCTTTTACTGTAAGTTTTTGATGCAAATCAAAATCTCGACCAGTAAGCTTGTTAGAAACACGTTTCAGAACTTGGAGAGAACGTTGATTAAGGCCTTCGTTGTCGACATCTTGTTCAGCATCTTCTGCAGATGTAAACATCGACGAGCGTAATCTTCGTCCCCATGAACGCCCCTTTTCTTCTATTGAACTGGTCTGAACACGAGTCGAAGATGTTTCTGTAGCATCGTTAGGTCTTTTTGTCATAAGACGCCAGTTAATAAGAGGGTCGTATATGAACGCTTCGAGCACGGCCATCAACGATTCAGCGTTCGAACGAAGAACGTGCATAACATGTTCACAAGTGATTCGAAAACTTCCTTCAATTCCACTGACTTCCATGGCATTAATGAGCATTCTTGTTAACCGAAACGGGATTTTTTCGGGATACTTGTCTCGGAACATAGCAACCTCAAAACAATCTCCAAAATCAATGTGGACGATTTTGCCTGTAATTCGATCCATTAGCAGGTTGGACGGGTGCCTATCACCCAAACCAAGAATATAACCAACCATAGACATAACAGCAAGACTTCTTGTGTAATTCGTTCTACGATCAAGCCATACTTCTGAATTGCGTGAATTGAGCCACAAAACATGATACAAGTCTCGACCATCGGTGTTCTGTAGAGCATACTCAAAAACTTCTAGCTTTTGAAGAACAGTAAGACTGTCCAAATCCGGTGCCATTTGAAGCATGAGTCGATGTTCTTGATTTAGCAAAACGTTCTTACTTTCCCGATAATCTTTAATTAATTGATGAAGTGTATCGCTGTGAGGCACCCCAGCCTATTAAGCCAGAATTTGGTGATAATGGGATTACAGGATATCGATCGATTGAGAGTCTTCTTTTAAAAGTTTCGTTATCCATCGTCAGAAGAGTGTTACACAATCCAAATAATTGGATTACCCGCTCATCCTGACGAAGATCTTCATGTCCCTTGAGGGCGTATTGATATTCTCGACCATCACTTCCATGGATAGTAAGCCTCCGGGGACGTTGCTTTGAGGAGATAACTTTGAAGGTTGGACAAAACCGAGATATCCGAATTATGGGTTTATTGTGTTTGTAAGTTCCAGGCATCGCCAACTCAAGATCACGAGCCTCCAAAAGTTTAGGAGAAACATATTGTAATTCTATTTCGGTAATACGAGGAAGCTGTTTCTGGATTTTTTTAAAGACCTGATAGTATAAATCCCAGGCCTGGTTTAATTCCATCATATCGTTATTCTCCAAATAACGGAGCCAAAACTGTTTAGCTCGTTGCAAGTCATAACCAAACATAGAGGCAAATGAAATTTCTGAAAGTGTTTCAGGTCCTTTTTCGAGTACTTCGTGAATTGGTTTTAGCGTCTCTATCATCAACATTGGATCCCTTTCAGAGAAGAAAGCACGGGATGCATCCTCAAGTCCCTCATACCAGATTTCGTGCCACAGAATGGCTACGCGTATGAGCTCTCCGCTCACCAGCAAAGCTTGTCGGTATAATTCTCCACTATGAGCAAGCATACTCTCCATAATTGTTTGCGCCGAGTTTTTCCGGTGAACGTTTGTAGATTTAGCAGAAACGGTCAACGAGTAAACCAACGCCTGTGGATGGGCGCGCCCAATATCAGTAAGCAATTGATGAACAGACTTACGAACACGTGTACTGGGTGTATGTATACGTGCGATTAATTGAGGAATAACCTCAAGCCACATATCCATAGGTACAACCGAGAATCCTTCATTAATCGCAGTATCAACCTCCACTTTGTCGCCAAACCGAAACCAAAGATTAAGTAGGCGAAGAATGTCCTGTAACGAATTCTTTGGACTAAGTACTGAAGAGTTAAAGAAACCCTTTATTGCAGATATAATATTACTTTCGCATCCTGATGGAAAAAGAGCGGGCTTTGCTTGTTCATAGTATCCAACTACTTCAAAATTTGCCAAGGCCCAAGAATGCCATGCCTTATACCAAGACTTATCACATATAGTTGCATGATAATAGCAGTTGAGAATGTCATCGGCATTATTCACGCTTAAATCTTGATCAAGTAACTTTTTCCACTTGCCTTGCTTATTATAACAATGGGCAAGAAAGCTCAAATCGTCATTAGAGGTGTCTCTGATATTTAATAGTCCCAGGTCGTGTCTTTGTCCCATCGTCTCCTCGTCATATCCATATGTTTTAGCCAGATACGATGTGAAGTTGGATAGGTGATTCAAGGCTTCTTCTCTTTTTCCGTTTGCCCAAACACATTTTAGATATGCGTAAGCAATATGGGAATTATACATCTTTAGCTTTTCGAAATCAATGTTGTCCAAAGATGATTCACCGACCAGATGACTGAGACACTGAGAGGCCAAAGTCAATCGATCTGAACGTCGACACAAATTTACCAACTTGATCCACATCTCAGGCGATTCCTTTGGTCGTATAATGAGCGCTCTGATATTCAACACATGATGCCAAATATCCACATCATGCTGGCAACCATCCAATCGTTTCATCCATGTCCGCTTTAGAGAATTGAAAGAGACCTCATCGAATTCGGATTGTTTAACTTCAATTATCTCTTCCAATTCGGAAAGCATTTGTGATTTAACAATAATGGGATATGCACGGTTGTAACTTTCACCAATAATGGAAGCTAAATCTGTTACTAGAATATCCCGTAAACGTTCCATGTGCATAAAGGCCTTCTCGGTGTGGTTCGTATATACCGCATCAATAATCGAAAAAAACTCCTTGTCTTGTGGTTCTCGATCCATCGCACCAACATATTTATTGATAAGTCCCCATTGACCAAGTCCCCAGGCAGCGGCGGCCGCCAAGGGAGCCAATGATTCGCGCTGTTCTTGTTTAGCATCTTTCCAGGATGTTTGAGCCAAGTCTGAAAGTTGGTCCCATTCACCAAGGGCTTGATAACAACGAAGTTTACCCAACGTTGTTTCAAAATTTGAGTTTTCTTCAGACTCGCGTTTGGTGTATGCTGCCAATGCATCATCCCAACGATGTAGTTTTTCATACCAAGTCTCACGAAGTTCAAGCTTATTGTTTTGTTTCGCATATCGTAACATACCGATAGCCGCATCTGGCTGTTGTAGGCAGTTATTAATTGTAATTAGCGTTTCAATAGTGTTGATACTCACTTCTGAAGATAGCTCCTCAATGAATTGCAGCTCTTTGTAATGTAAAGCCTTTGCATAAAAGTTACAACGGGAAGCATGTCCGCTAAGAACAGATGGTGATATAGGTAACGCGTGGCATTCACGTTCCATATATTCTGCAAGGTTTAGCAACGTCTGAAGAATTTCTGTAGGCAAATTTGGAGCGTTCATCGCAGTTTCCATTGATTTCACCAGACTTCTGCGATTAGATTCGCTGAGCTCATTCCAGCACGAAAGAAATGCGACATTAAACAAGTCTCTCGATAATGGATGATAAACACCGGCCAAACTAGAACATGCTCTTAAGGCATGCGAGGGAGATTCCTTCAGAAGCTCAACACTAAGTCGACGGATCCACTCTTGCCAATCATCTCGAGTTAATTTTTGGGATGTTTCCCAAGCAGCCCGTAAACAACCTTGATCAACCGGAAGCTTAGCAATATTTTCATCCAAGGTACGACTCTGCTGTGCCGCGATTTCGTCCGCAGTACGTTGTACCATTAAATCTTTTGGTAACGGTTCACCTTTGAGCAATCGAGAGACGAGTAAATCATATGCTGCATGCTGAACTTTTTGATGTGAGAGAGCTTTGTTAACCGTAGGAATGAAAATAGCGTAGTCATAACCCAATTGGGTGACAAATGCGCATAGCGTATCCATTGTAGCCATTTTCATTTCCTGGTTCCCCTTTGAAAGTATCCTGACCAAAGGATGAATAACACGGGAGGCATGATCTGAAAAATTTACTGTCTGGAGCAAATCAGCTATGCACTTAATTGCACTTTTTCTTAACGCAAGAGGAACTGTTTCCCTTTCAAAGGTTCGAACAACTACAGGAAGTACCAGATGCATATACTCCTCAATACTCGTCTGAAAAACAACAAATGCATGGAGAACTTTGTGTGCACAAACCCGAGTGGGTGTAGTATCGGTGTCAAAGACCGTAAGCATATAAGAGAGAATTTGAGGTAAATAGAATTTAAACTCATCGGCCAGAGCCTCAGCAATAGCTTCGATGAGATTGAGAATAACGACTAAAAGAGAGGAGCCACCATCCCAAAACACTTTTGCAACGTTAAACATATTAGAAACATAATCACGAATTTTTGGTCCAACTATCGTTGTAAGAGTAGCTAACTGCTGGAAATACAGTTCACTAGATGAAGGAGATAAAGATTGCATTACATGCAGATAGGTAGGAATGACTTGGGGCAGAAAAACGAACGACTTGGAGCCAACATGGGAACATATATGCATAACGGCTTGAACGACTGATGAATGATGCATAGATAAGGATGGATCTTTTAGAATAACCATGAGAACTGAGACGGAAACAGAGGCATAAAATTCCAGCGTGCCTGACTGGGTAAACGGGTTTAGCAGCGTAGACTCTGAAGTACTCCCACGAGAACTGAAAACTTCCTCCTCTTCCTGACTCCACATAGACAAGTATTTGTAAGGATCAAGGGCTCCCAAGACACCGATGGTCCTGAGAACCTCTCGTCTTATAGGTGCGGGTTGTTCGGATCGCAAAATGTCAATAAGTAAACTTAAAAGGGAAGGATAGTCAAGATAAGGTTGTATCACATAGCCCGAACCACCACAAAACTGTCGTAAAGCCTTCAGCGCGGAAAGCCTTTTCACTACTGAGTTCTGGTCTTGCAGTGTTTGAAGAATCAAGCTCATGTACGACTTGCGAACAGAGTTTGAAATATCCTCACCTGCAACGTAGGCCAGTTCACCCAATGCAGAAATTACGGCTGATGACACACTGGGACTCTGATCCCTTGCCTTAGGTAATAGAGCTTGTGTTATCGAGTGTATGTAGGGTTTAATCAACTTTTTAGCAGTGGACACTAAAAGCCGTAGGAGTCGTGCACTCTCTTCTTTGTGCCTACTATTTCCCGAATACTCGAGATCAGAAAGTAATTGAATAATGGTTTTCCGGAGCGAGGGCATAACGTGAGCAGGATTATAATGAGCTAAACGACCAATGATGACGATAGCAATCTCCCGGATATTAAATAGTTCATCGTTTAAGGCGATAAATAGGCAACGGATATTCTCTGGTTGAGCCAGATGTCTGTCAAATCTTTCATCAAGAAGTGATAAAACCGTTTGTCTAATTCTCGGGTTGGCATCTGCAATCGCCAATGTCAACAACTTTTCCAGTACCTCTGCAACGGATTCAATGGCAAGTGGTGTTGTCTTCAGACAAATAGGATCCTCACCAAAAACTTGGCAACAGGTCCGAGCAGCTGCCACGCGAACATCGGCATTGTCGTTCTCAAGGTACGGCAAAACAGACTCTTGTACAAAACTAACCAAGGAGTAACCTTCAAAATTGAAAGACCCCAGAATCTCTAATGCAATAATAATTTGACGTGAACCTTGAGTTGTGTCAACGGGCTGATGGAGAGATATATAATCAGCAGCGCAGGGAGTGTATGCATCATCTGGCCGAATTTCAAATTCTTTTCCTGTTAGTATTTGACTAACCATATTCAGCAACCGTTCTTGAATAGGTGCTAGAAGGGGAGGAATATTGGCAGCCATTTTTTCAAGTGCATCACGCAAATGCTCACTTATTTCACAAGAGAAGATTAATCCCAGCAAGCTACGCGAGTCTTCAAAAAGCTCGAGCTTGACAGCCGCGGCCAATTGACCAATGCACTCAAAAATCACTTTTTCATAAGAGGTCTTCCCCCGAACTTTGGCTGTAAGAGTCTTTTTAATGAGCTGAAGGGTTGTTTGTAGGTAGGGCACGATAGCCTCACCTACAGCAAGGGCAATTCGACCGATAGCACTAAACGCTTGCTCTTTGTCCCGGTCCTTTTTAATTTGCTGCAGCAAGAAAACCATGAATTGGTCCAAGTAGCGAATACGGAATTGTGTTGGGTTGTATTCTGCTAAAGTTGGTATAAGCAGTAGAAGGGTACGATTGATGGTACCATCGCGATGTTCCCTCAACTTGAGCACAAGCTCACAGAAGTTTTGGTAGTGTCCGCTGATGAATGAGCCCGACTTTTCAAATAGTTCTTTGTACGCCAGTAAACTTCCATGCAGCTGTTCGACAGAGGCCTGCTTCAGTCCATATTCAGCTTGCATGAGAACCTTACTGAAACATTGTAGCTGGACCTTTGCTTCACGTTGACAGACAACATCCAGTGTCGCACCCAAAGCATCGGCAGCTGTTTCGCGAATTACTGGTTTTGGGTCCCGAAGAGCAGCCCAAAGATTCGGAAAGATGTCGGAGACGTAAACGTAGACCAGTGTAGGTGAATGAATCGCCAGTTCACGAAGAACGAGTACAGCAGCCATTCGTTTAGGCTCGTTGCGATCTCCTTGAAGCCATTCAAAGGCACGTTGGACTTCAAACTCCACAAAGTCGGCCGCAATTGTGCCTCCAGTCGCTGCTAAATTACCGAGAACCTGTGCACAAACTTCCATCGAATGGAAGTTTGTGTTTGGTAGTGTCATCCGCAGATAGTTTGCATATCTAGTCAGGTTTGTGACATCTCCTTCACTCTCTACTTCTATAAGCTTTCCAATTGCAATAATTCCACCCAGCCGTTCATGAGAGTCATGACTGTGAATCAGTTCAAAGATTCGTCGGTTAATGTCATTGCTGAAACGCGATAATGATTCTCCAGAGAGCTCTTTCGTCGAGCTAGTTACATATTCCTTCAGTTTTTCAGCCGCTAACAGTTGAATCTCTTCATTTTTACTTTTTAAATCAATAAAAAAAGCCATGAACTGTTCTTAGAGACGAGTTTTAGAACTCCTCCTCACAGTTCATTCATTAGAGGCGTACAAGCAAAAGCCGCAAAAACATAAAGTTCCTTAACGAATAAGGGAGCTTCTTGTCGGTACAGCTCTTCTAAAACAAGTTCAAAGAGCTGGAATGGTGGAAATGGTAAAGCCTCGGGGAGTTGGTTAGTAGTATTCAGTAGAACGCGATTAAACTTTCGGTTAATCCGTAACGATTTCTAAGCGAGAATCGTAACGAGATCCTGGAATGACCAGCGCAAACATACTTATACAGACTTGGCTACCGCAACGACAGTGCTAAACAGTCTCGTTTCATATAATTTGAAACAGAAGCTACTCCGGCAAATTGACACGCATCCACTAAATTTAGTGCTTGCGAAATTTCCCAGTGAACGTAGCGAAGCGCGGTTCAATTCGTCTGTTTACTCATAGACGGAGCGAAATGTGTTAGACATGAAACGACTGACATCAAGCATAGTTCTGTTTTTATTCGGATTTCTTACTGCAAAATACCACATTGTCGATACTTGTTACAGCACAATACGGGATATCGTCTTACGACACGCACTGTTGTCGAAGTTTTCTGTTTACACAGCCTTTTTTACGGGAATCTGTCTGTTCTTGTACATTCCTTTGAACACAATCGCCGAGCAGGAGGCAGCAAAAAACCACGGGAGCCATTGTGAACGTGTCCGTGCTCGTGAACAGCTGCTACGACGCGGTAGTTTCTAACAAGAATCTTGGTGATTTAACACACTTTCAGTTACACGTTGACGAGAGTGCCTGGCAATGCCTTTCTCCGAGAAAACACTTCACCTGAACATCGAGCAGGGTATTCCCTGTACGGATTTAATGATGATGCCCGATGAGTGTACGACGAATACAGAACCTGTTTCCTGCGGGTCGTATTATGTATTAGATGACGAGCATTGCTATAACACAAAAGTCAAGAAAGCGAACGAACCAACCGCTACAACAAAGACTACTCAGACTTCCATAGTTCGTGTGTTTTGGCCGCGGAAATGGATAACGTATCGTCATTCTGGTTTGCTCATCGGAAAGGTGTTCTCAAAGACTGATTTAGTTGTCGTTGCTTGCAAACCCATAGACGAAACTGATGTCTCTGTTAACTCTACGCACTTTTTCAGTGCTGCTGGCAGCCTGAATTCCGACAACCCACATGGCGGCGGTATGAATGGTTCTTCAGCTGGTTTGGAAGTCCTTGGCTCCTTAAACTGTGACGAAGACACAGATGTGCGCACTTCTTCCGGTTTTTGGCTCACCGTTCACTATCGTATGCCCTACCTTCACCCTGAATTCGCTAAAAACTCGACCTTTTTCAAATTACAGTCCATCCACCTTGTTTACTTCGATCCTCCGAATCCCAAGGAAATGCAGTATTTGTCGCTGCAACCTTTGCCTTTAATGCTTCGAAGAGAAGATGAAGAGAATCCTGATGATCCGGACCACAAAGAGTATGTGCACCAACAATCCCTCGTCGAAAAGTTGCAGGAGCATTTCCCAAAGACAAAAATGAATACCTGGAACTGTAGCCTGAACGCAGAAATGCTGCAAGTACTCAATGGCTTTTATGATGCCCGTGAACAGCTGCAATCTTCCGACACGACTAACACACCCATGTTGTTTCAAAAGTTCGTGTCCTTCTTTGCTTCGGCCACAAAACAAGCACTTTTTAAGCTGTTTCTTTGTTTATTTTTTATTGCACGCATTGTGAACGAAGTGCTTCTACGAATCATCCACTATCGAGTGCACCGGAAATTGCCGAATCTAGTCGAGCTTATGGTATCGGCACAGCAAGTAGATCTTCGTCTCCAACAGTCGTGTTTTTGGCCCGTGCAGTATATAAAGCTTTGGCGTAGTAAACGACGAAAGTCATATCGGCTTTCTGACTACGCAGAGTATATTCGTCTGTACAACAATTTATGGCTTATTACGAACGATATTATATTTGGTATCACACTTGCGACTTATGTTACGGATAATGTCAACGTATTGACTATGCTCCTTGAGCGGTTCATCTTCACGATTACTGTGGACAAAGTTCGGTCAATGGTACTTTGGCTGGTTGACACGCCTGCTGGCCTCAAGCTTAACAACGATATCTGCAAATTCCTTGTGAAGTTATCTGTGTGGATTATTGATGTTTGGAGCAACGTGCTTGATTACTGTCGTCCTGGCTTGCCATACTTAGTCTTTATTGTAGGATGTTCGGGGTTCTTTGGTGCTAGTCTTACCATTGCGCTGGTTTCGGATGTTGCAAATCTGCTCACTATTCATATTCGGATGTTGTACATTGCTTCTGCCCGTATTTACAACTGGCAACTGCGTATCCTCTACTCGCTTATGCAGCTGTTCCGCGGGAAGAAGAGAAATGTGCTACGTGATAGAATTGATTCCTATGAGTATGATCTGGATCAACTGTTACTTGGAACAATTCTGTTTACTGTGCTAATCTTTTTCCTTCCCACTATTTTTGTTTTCTATGCCAGTTTTGCTACTGCTCAAGTGACAATAATGGTGTTCAAGGCATTATCGGAGGCAATGCTGGCATTCTTAAACCATTTCCCGCTATTTGCAACCATGTTGCGTATAAAAGATCCAAAACGTGTGCCGGGCGGATTGAGTTTGGAGATCATCCACTCTATGCCGGAAAACGACGAATATTTATCAACGCTGTATGTGTATTGCAAGTCAAAATCTATATCGTTAGGGTCAATGTTTCAGCAGTACCGCAAACTAGCCCGTCGTCTCTGCGCATACTACCTATCATTTCAGGTTGTTTGGGGGTTAGCTGTTGGTCTGCCGATCCCGCCTATTCCCGCAAGCCGGCTATATAGCATTCAGTACTCCATGCTGCCTCTTCGGCGGGTTTCCATCCGGCAGCTTTGGCATCTGTTTCTCACGGCAAACGACAGTGATCCTTAGGGTCGAGCAAAGAATGATGTGTGTGACACAGTGTGTACACGTTGGCCAACAGTGCTTATTCGACTTGCCCACTGAAGGCAGCCAAAATTACGACTATCATGACTAATACTGTGACCACTCTACTACTACTACAACTACTACTGCACTACATATTTTTTCCGTCTGTTATTCTTCATTAACCTGTCATTCCTGTCATTCCTATCATTTCTCCAATCCTTATGGACATATAAAATAATGCCGAGGATCGCATTGGCTATTCGTGCATGCAGCAAAGACCTTGGTCTTGGTTACTTTTTCTCCTTGACTGTCAGAGCCTGTTAGCGTTGTATTTGGCAGTTGTTCTTCAGTTTGCTGCCGAAACAGCCTCAACATTCGTCTGCATACCTTTCTTGGGGATACTTCCACAGCGTCCGCGATTGCTAAGAGCTCTTGTTAGCATCAGAGTTCTGCCGTATGGTAACGTACACATTGAGAGAATCTTGTGTTAATTTCTCTTGCCCTAAAATTCGTCTAGTGATCCAGAGCATTCTCCCGGTACTAGGGTGCTTTGGCAGCTCATTGCCGTAGTAATTCGCGACAACGGGACCACGAAGTTTTTTTCTGAGAAACCGACTAATACCAGCTTTGGATCCTGTTCCTTGTGCCGTTCCAAAGACCTCTGATGAAACCTGTGCGACTTCTAAAAGCAATTTCTTGTCTAGCGCCATTCTTCTTTGGAGGGATTTACAACTCCCACCGTGTTCAAAGGACCCCACTGTAGTATCAGGTTTAGTAGTGGTGGTGACATCGCTTTGGAGGGTCAGCACAAGTATCGGTGTGAGGATGGCATGCAGGCAGTAAGGAAAAAGCAACGATGTAAGCACAAGCAAAACGCGGAGCCTGAGAGAAACTAAATGCAGCGACCGGGAAACGGAACGCTTTTTACGGCACGGGGTACACGTCTACAGGGAGCCCTAAACATCGGTTGTCTCGTCAATAACTGAGCTTTTTCCGATACTAAAGTTACGCTCCTCGTCCAGTCCAACTGGTCTTCGTCTGTCGCCGCTTTACACAATTAACCATTTTGCCTTGTGATGCATCCTCCCCCCTCCTGTCCCTCTCCACCCGTCACTAACTCTTTGTTATCGGAATAAAGTCATTGATTAAACCATCTTTGCTGCAACAGACTTTGTTTTGAACGAGTCTGGGAGCACATTCCAGCACGAAAACAGCAAACAAAAAAATTTAGGAGTTAAGAATTTGGGCTCATGTGCAGCCAGCGGGCGACGGAAGAAATTGCCCTGTCTAGTTTATGTACAAAGCCTTCTTAGCGGCAGCCACAACAACATCAGCATTGGGCAAAGACATGTTCTCCAAGCTCTGGTTGTAAGGCATGGGCACGTCGGCCATTGTGACACGCTCAACAGGAGCGTCCAAGTAGTCGAAGGCGCTTGACTCAACGATTTGGGCACAGATCTCGCTACCGATGCCGAAGCTGCTGTAAGCTTGGTCGACGGTGACGAGACGGTTCGTCTTCTTCACACTAGCAGCGATGGTGTCGATGTCAAGAGGACGGATGGAACGCAAGTTGATCACCTCAGCCTCTACACCGTACTTGGACTTGAGGATGTCGGCGGCTTGAAGGGAAGTACCAACAGAAATAGACTCACCAACAAGAGTGATGTCCTTACCGGGGCGCTCGATCTTGGCAACGCCAAAGGGAATCACAAAGTCTTCGCTTTGGGCCTCTTCAGACACAGGGAACGTTTGACCGTACAAAATTTCGTTTTCGAGGATAACGACAGGGTTGGGGTCACGGACAGCAGCCTTGATCATACCACGAGCGTCTTCGGCGGAGTACGGGCTGAGCACCTTGAGACCAGGGACGGAACCGTACCAAGGACCGAAATGGTGCGAATGCTGAGCAGCGACAGCGGCAGCAGGACCATTGGGACCACGGAAAACGATGGGGCAGTTTTGGATACCACCGGACATGTACAGGGTACGAGCGGCCGAGTTGATGATGTGGTCGATGGCTTGCATGGAGAAGTTGAATGTCATGAATTCACAAATAGGACGGAGACCAGCAAAAGCAGCACCCGTGCACAGACCAGCGAAACCCATCTCGGTAATAGGACTGTCAATAACACGCTTGGGTCCAAACTTGTCCAACAAGCCACGAGAAACCTTGTAGGCACCGTTGTACTGAGCGACTTCCTCACCCAAGAGGAAAACCTTCTCGTCACGCTTCATTTCCTCCTCCATTGCGCCATTCAACGCGTCTCTGACGGTCAACTATACCAAAATACGCGTCAGCAACCATTTACCGCATGTCGAACTCCAACCTGTCGTGTTTCTGCTTCACCACATAATTGACGCACATACCTCTTTCACGCCAGTAGACGCAAATCTCTTCGTCACTGAGCGCGCACCGAACGTAGGTCTTGCTCCTCCTCTAAAGAATGTTCCGAATCTTACTGTTCTCAACATGTTGGAATCCCAGCTGGGTTTTGGTAAAGGGCAGGTACTGCCCTGGCGTATGAGGACACTTGTGATGGATACGCCTGATAGAGCCGGGCTTCACGCAATCTTTCGCTGCACCTCGCTAAACTGGATAACGAGAGATGTCGTGCAGATGAGGAGCATGTGAGGAGAGAGGGGAGGGGGGAGGCGTTTAGGGATATGTCAGAATGTGCAGGAGCGCGACACCGCGTGTTTTTGGGTAATAAGTGCGAAATAAGGTTAGGCACGCGTCGCGTCGCGTCGGGTCGCGACGCGAAGCGAATATGAACCGACGCGTCGAGCGAAAGCGAGATGGTTTGTGGAAGCGAAGGCGCCAAACAAGTTGTGCAAGGTGTGTGCGATGGATTTACGGAGGATTGTCGTATTCCAGGTTTCTCATTTCGGCAGCCGTTTCTGGCGTACGTGTGCGTGTCTGTCTCCCCATCCACGACTCTTGACGCGTAACCGAAAACCAGACGCGTCCTCCTTCGCTTTACATCATTTCTGCGTCACCGTACTCCCTCCTTATATAAGCAACGCACCCGTTTCTCCTCCTGCCAACTGCATATATCCTCTTTTGGGACGATTCAGTGAGTGTGTGTATTGTGCAATTGAAGTTTTGTAGCTGTAACTGGTTTGTAACTATTGACAAGAAACATGGCCAGCTGTTGTCCGACGAATTTGGGCGCCCAACCCCCAAACGAAGACCATGTGCCTCAGGGCAAGATTGTACCTGACATTGGTGGGTTGACGACGTACGTATCAGGACCAGCGACGGGGAAACGCGTCGTTTTGATGTTTGAAGACATTTTCGGATTGTCGTCTCAGTTGAAGGAGGGAGCCGATTTGCTGGGAAGCCACGGATTCACTGCGTATGCTCCTGACTTTCTGCGTGGACATGCACTGCCTCTGGACAGCTATCCTCCAGTGACGCCCGAGCACAAGAAACTCGTTGACGAGTTCATGACGAAAAGAATTTCTCCCAGTTTGTATTGGGTGCTAGTGGAACAGTTCCTTGGGACAATTCGCTCTATTCACGGAGACGATGTGAAGATTGGCATCGTTGGGTATTGCTGGGGAGCCAAAGTGCTCACAACGCATCCGTTCAAGGGAGTTTCGGGCGTGGCAATGGCACATCCTTCGTTCCTTGACCCGCTGGATGCGAGAAACGTGCTTGCTCCCGTGTACATGATTGCAACAAGCGACGAGGACAAGAATGCTGTTGAGGGATTTAAGCGCGAATTCGCTTCTTCGCCTTTCCACTCACAATCCCACTTCGAGGTGTTTGATGACATGCATCATGGATTTATGGCCGCTCGTGCTGATCTGACGAATCCCGCCAACCGTTCTCGTTTTGACGAAGGATACAGAAAGTTTATAGGCTTTTTTGAGACCGTGCTTGCTTGAATTGACGTGCACGGCTAATGTGAGGCTCGGAAAAGCAGGATTTCTGGCTACAGCATTTTTTTGAACAAACTTACGAATTGGTAACGAATTGGACTTGAAGGACTGCAATGGCAGTTGGTATATTTTTGATTACGACTTGAAGAGGAAGACTGGGACAGTCTCTTGCACCTTGGTATTGAGTTCCGTCCTGGCTTTGCGGCATTGCTTGCATATACTCATTATGCTGCCCCGGTCTTTCTCAATTGATAACGACTATTATTACTGGACATCCGTTTTGCTATGACAACCGCTCCGAAGAGTACGATGGGTTTGATCAAAGGTTTTGTTATCGTCGTGCTACTATCGGAATCTTTGCAAATGCTTATCACCCGTCGACGCGGCATGGATCGGAGAGCTTGGATGCGACGGGATCAAACTCGGATACATCGCACGAATGAATCGCAGAGACGTTCCTGCCCTTGAGAAGTTGATTTGTGAAGAATGAGGTGAGACGAACGGGATGAATTGAAACGCATGAAAACGGGCTGAGATGGGTTGAAACACACCGAGGTTCCTGACACCCCCAACTGGGCAAGACTACGCACTTAAGAAACACGCAAAACCCTCGATCCCTCCTTGACCCAGGGAGATTTTAAACACACACACACACACGGGTTACATCGACTATCCTCATACATTGACTCGCTGTGCTATCTACTAGTTATGTACAGTCATACAATCCGCCTTGAAACCTTCCAAGCCGGCAATGCCCTTGACCGCTGGTGAAATTTTACTCCCAACATTTCTCTCTCCTGCCTAACCAGCAAAACACTAGACCAACAATGCCAAGTTTTGCAACTAGTTCCCGTTGGTTGCAGCCATTGTCATAGGGCACCATGAACGTTTCTGGCCACAACCGTCTGAGAAAGTGGACAGGAAAAGTCTGAAGCACAGTTCATCGGATTTCCTCCTTTTATACCAGTTTTCGTCTCCATGGAAACCGCTCCACCAATTCGGCGGTAAACAAACACGAGACAGTGTGAAACGGCAAAATGGACTTTACGGCCTTGTACGCAAGTACGGCTCCGTCGTATGCGCAGGTTTCACCAGGAGGAGAATGGATCGCGTCTTTCTCGCGTGCTGGTCACATTTTGATACGTTCGACGCGATCGTTGGAATTGGCTTTTGTGTTCCAGGTCGACGAAGCCTTCGCCAAAGCATGTCAGTGGATTCAGTGGAAACCTTTAAACAAAGACGATGACGAGGAACAAGAGGAGACGTCATTTCTATTTGTTGCATCAAGCGAGAAAATTATCGTCATTAATTTACTCGAGCCGGAATTTTACGCGATCATTCAGTGTGCTCATGACCATGTGTCGCGTGTGCAATGGACGCGAACAAAACAGATTTTATTGTTTTCGGATTTGCATGTTCGTAACCGTTTTTTGTTCGTGTGTACTGACTTGATAGTGTCGACTTACTGTCTGGTCCGTTGTACAGAAGAAAGGTCTTCTATTACAACAAGTGAAATCGCAAGTAAGAAAAGGTAAGCAGATCAAGCTGGCTTTTAGATTTTGAACATTTTCAACTAACGACTTGCTTGCCAGGATTTGCCTTTCATCCAACTCTTCCGTTTGCTGTCGTCTTGCACCGGAAAAATGGGTTTGACTTTGCTCATCTGTATCAAATGAGCACCGAAAACTGGAAACTCTCCGCAAGGTGGAAAATCCCTACCATTGATGCTCAGTCTATTCACTGGTCGCCAGACGGCTCGCGCATCGCTGTCGTCGAGGCTGCGTTTGAGAACAGCGTATACGTCTACACAAGCCTTGGCAACTATATCACAAAAATATGTCCCCCTTCTAATCAGCAAGAACTTGGACTCTGTAACTTACAGTGGGCTCCAGACGGCAGCTATGTTCTTGCTCACAGTCTTCACAACTCTTCCCTACGCTGTCTAGAGCCTCTTGCATTTTCAAACGCCCTTGAATTCGTTCATTCTTACTACCCCGACTTGGACGCTCCGACTCACGTTTGGCAAGAGGATATAAACTATCAAGATCAGTCCAAGTACAAGCGCCTTGACAAACCGCCATTTATCCAAAAATCGTACAATGCAACTATACGATGCAAAATGAATGTGGACGGAACACTGCTTGCCTCTTGTTGTAACTCTGTGCCAAACATACTCTGGATATGGAGTGTTTCGTCGCGAAGTCTCCATACTATGCTCGTGCAGTCTGCACCTATTATTCAATGGGATTGGCATCTTTATCGTAGCGACTTGCTTGTTATACGATGTGCAGTTCATCCAAGCCGTTCTTTGGATCAGGCTTCTCTGCTCTTCTTTTGGTCGGCCGCCTGGGCTGAGCCGAGGATCATCAGAGTCCCGAAAATGGGTTTCATTATTCGACACCACCAATGGATGAAGGCTGCACCGTCGAACGGTGGAAGGGAGGCGATCGTTGTGTGTGGTAACTCAAGTTATACTATTGGCTATGTTGTTGAAAGTGAAGATGACTCAGAAACCACAATGATGCCGACAATGACATTTTCTGACTTTGCTCTCAGTGATGAGCCTTTGGCATCCGAGTTGGACGCAACGAAAACGATTACCATTCAAATGTAATGTAAGAGATTGTCGGGCAAAGCCGGGGGGACATCTATGTATTTTTATAAGATTTAGTATGAATTTATGCGTTATTTTACACAGTGATTACAAACAGGAGAAAAATGAAGGCGTATTTGAAAAAAATAAAAATAAAAAGAAACCGACTATACACTGCGTACTTACTAAGCTTAAAGCCGAGAAGCAAGCCCAACTCACATAATTAAAAACTCTACACTATATCACTAGCACTGATATTGAGTTTCCTATTTTAATAAAATTCATTGAGACAGTTTACTCTTCAAAGTTCGTCTCCCATACTGTTCATCATGGTCCACATATCAGCTCGTCGCACAAACCACTGATATCCTTACTTGTCTTTCTCCACGCACATACACACAAACTCCGTCCTCTCCCGCTTTATGGTGGTGAGTTTTTGGTGGTGAACGGCGTTTTCTGCCCACGCATTTTATTGGAAATTCAACTCCCCACAGCAACTTCTAACAATCGAAACTATCTCTTTGAAAGACAGTTTTTTCGCGCTGCACGTCTTCCTTCACAAGATAAAGTACAGTTTAAAAGTTTCCATGAGACGGTAAATTTTCATGTTTTTTTAAATGACCGACGATAAAGAAATGTCAAACGAAAATTCCAAAGACGCGACTACCTCGACGACTTTACAGTTTACAGGATGCAGTCCGTTATCGGATTACGAGATCCTTGATAAACTTGGAGAAGGAACATTTGGGTATGTTAAAAAAAAAAAAAAGAAAGAAAAAAAAATTATACGCAGAGTTTTCTGAATTCTTTATTAATACATTTCGTCTAGTGAAGTCTATAAAGCCCGGAGACATAAAGATGCTCAGCTTTATGCGCTGAAAAAAATTCTCATGCATAATGAACGTGAAGGTGTAAGTAACTGAATCCTATGGGTGTATAATGCTGTTATCTTCTTTTTTTTTTATCTTTTATTTTTCTTATTTTCCGGCCAAATTTCATTTTTATGATTTTTTCCCGCCTTCTCTCTAGCCCATTCTAACCAATTCGCAGTTTCCAATTACTGCTTTGCGTGAAATTAAAATTATTAAAAATTTAAATCACCGTAATGTGATTAATATTTCTGATATGGCCATCGTACCGGGCAATCGCAAGCATAGAAAACGAGGCTCTATTTATATGGTAACACCGTACATGGATCATGATCTTTCTGGCCTCTTAGAAAATCCTTCCGTGCAGTTTTCGGAAGCTCAAATCAAATGTTATACAAAACAATTGCTTGAAGGTACTAAATACCTTCACGACTCTCACATCCTCCATCGAGATCTGAAGGCCGCAAACTTGTTGATTGACAACAAGGGAGTCTTGAAGATTGCAGATTTTGGTCTTGCAAGAGTTTTCACCGAGGATAGCTACACGGGCAGCCCGAATGCAAATCCGGCAAAACGAAGAGAGTACACAAACTGTGTGGTGACTCGATGGTACAGAGCTCCTGAACTTCTTTTGGGTGAAAGACGTTACACGACATCGATCGATGTTTGGAGTATTGGCTGTATTTTGGCTGAGATGTACAAGGGAAAGCCAATTTTGCCGGGAACCAGTGACCTTGACCAGCTCGACCGCATCTTCCGCCTGTGTGGAACAGCCACACAGGCCACTATGCCCAACTGGGAGAAGCTTCCTGGCTGCGAGGGTGTCCGCAGTTTCTATATGCACCCTCGAACTTTAGAAAGTGCTTTTCATTCCTACGGACCACAAATGGTTTCGTTGACAAGCCAATTGCTCAAACTCGACCAAGAAGCTCGTATCTCTGCGGCAGAAGCGTTAAAACACCCGTACTTCTACACAGAGCCTTACCCGGCCCGTCCAGATGAGTTAGTCGCTTATGCGTCTTCGCACGAATATGACCGTCGTAAGAATCGAACAGCCGCGCAGGACGCTGCTAATCGTCCACAAAAACCGTTCCGCTTTGCGACTCGTGGGCCTAAGGACCCGTACATTGTTCGTGATCGCTCGCACGACCATCATAGAAGATCCTTTGATGGAGAACGCAAACGCAAATTTGGATACGACTCTGACAGACGAGGTGGTCCTCGTAATTACTATAATTCATCACGAGACTACAATGATAGTAACCGTCCCAATGCTCAAGACAACCAGCACATGGATGTCGATGGCGACGGAAAACTCGAAACAGCAGGACCCGACAGAGGACCCGCCTCTTATTCCTCATCCCAAAACAACGGCCCTCATGGTCGTGAATCACGTTTCCGAGACCGTGAGTATATGAATCCAAGACCACGGCGTTATGGTGATTATGGATCGCGCGAAAACGCTTACAATCCTACACATTCTACCTCAGAGATCGAGTATGTTGATTCATACATTCCATCCTATTCACGCGCTTCTCGTTCCAACGTTTCGCAGGCACCAAATGCCTCAGCTCATCCGTGATGATGCCGTGCAAAAAAAGAAAGAAAAATTTGTAATTCACTAAACAAAAGTTTATGTCTACGACTAGCTGGAATACTGCGCACTGGAACGAGGACTTTTGTCTCACAAATACGATCGTTTACTAAGACCATAACCGATTTCCACTCCTACACATTTCCTGTTTCTACTGCCTCATTTCCTACTCACCAATCTCCTCGCCCTCGGTACCCTGCCCTACTCGCCTCGGTCGCCATCCGGAAGCCCCGCCTGCTCGTTCCACGCCAGAACACGAAAAAACGCGACACGGTTGATGCGCAACAAAACGCGCATAAACGCGTTTATTTTTACATGAAAGATCCTTTTTCAACTATCTAAGCATGATGCGCGTGCGTTCTCTGTATTGTTTTTCGGTTACGTGTATTGATTACGTTTGCGTGTACGCGACTGACTTTAATAGCATTTAAGTCTCGCACACTCCACACTACCCCGGATTTGCGTTCGCTCGAGCGGCTTTGACAAAAACTGCAATTGCCGCTTCAAATCCTCTTCTTTATGAACAAAACTGTATACAATGGAACCTACGTTAAGTGATATTGAACTGCTTTCACCTTTGTGCGATTTCAACAACGGAATTCTGAGAAATCCTGACGAAACTTCTCATGACCGTCATGACCAGGTTTCCATTTCATCGACGCTCGATGTAAGCAAGACCGTAAGTATACAGGCCACGCAATTGCTCAATTGCTCTCCCTTGGCTTGCCAAGATACTTCTATCGTTCTTCCCGAGCTCGAGGATGACGGGACTCGACCGAGCTTTTCATTTTCTGCTCTTATTGCCATGGCCCTTGTCTCTTCTCCTGAACGAAAGCTCAGTCTTCGTGATATCTGTGCATGGATCCGTGACAAGTTCACGTACTACAGAGACAACGAGAGCAACTGGTCAAACAGCATTCGACACAACTTGTCTCTCAACAAGGCTTTCATCAAGATTGCCAAACCGAAGGAAAAGACGGGGAAAGGCCATTACTGGACAGTTGATCCAGCCTATGTAAACAGTCTTTTCTCGGCTACAACCGGTTCCGTCACACGAGGACGGACAAACCGTAAACCTCGAAAGCCAGCATCTTCAGTCTCAAACTCTGGACATCATCTCCCCCATAAACCCTCTTCTGAACAACGAAACCATGCATCGAAACAAGTGAAACACTCAATTTCCACAACCCCTGATTCCAAAGTCAAACCCTCCTGTATCAATAAATCGCATAGTAAAAAACGCAAGCATTCCGATACCGAGAATACCGCTGTTCCTGAAGTTGAAAACGAATCTCCCAAACGCAGGAAATCCGCTCTTCTTCAGCCCGCAAACAGCACTTCTGGCATGGATACTCCCCGTGAACACGGTCATAACCTTTCCCCTCACGATTCCATCGACGAATCCCGTCGGGAGCCGCCCGTTCTAAGCGATATCACAAATTACCTTCATTCCCTTGGCGTTCCTGAATCAAACCCGTTCTCCTGCTTGGCCTCTCATACCTCTTCTACTTCATGTGATGTTTACGATCAACCCAACTATGCTACTACTTCTCTTGACTCATGTATTCCCATTCTTCCATCCCTCAATGTTTTTGAAGCTTTGCCCCATTGTACTTCAACAGTGACAAGCACTTCTACTACTTCTTCTTCCTCAATCCCTTCAAGCTACCACAGTGACCATGTCCCAACGCCAGCAGAAATCTTGGAGCAAGCTGCAAGCTCTGCTTCTACTGAATCGCCCGGGCCCACCATTCAGTCACTACCATCCAGCCCTTATTCGCGTACAGTTCTACCTACTGATTACCCCGGCGAACAGGGTTCGATGCGTGAAAACTCCTGGAATGCTTCGTCTACTCCCCCTGTCCTTGATGAAACTGTATGCCTGGAAGATGGTGTCCCGCAAACGTTAAACACCGTCCGTTCGCCCGACGGTCTTTCCCGAGATTATCATCGTAATCTTTCATTGTCATCGTCTGAGTATCTTCCAGTTTCCAGCGAAAGCCCAAACACGGCACTTCGCATTCATCGCGAGAAGGTCCGGGCAACCCTCTGTCCAAGCGACTTGTATCGCAGTCCCCAAACTCCCGACCCATGGATTCCCCAAGTTTCCCAAACACATTTAGCAGCTGTCACCGAATCCAGCAGTGTGAAGCCGCAGTCTTTGTTCCAAGCAATTGTGAACGCTACCTGCTTTGGTAGCCCAGATATGCTTGAAGCCAGACGTGTCGCTGAACGACGCAGTTTAATCTGTGGCCTTTATGCTCACGAACTTCGTGAAGACGACAACAGCCTCTTGGGAAAAGTCGATGCCTTTGCCGTAGACTTAGTTGGTATTGTGACTCGCGAAACTTATCGTGCCCGGTTACTGCAATCCTCTCCCAAGAGTGCAAAGCCTGACCTGAATGTTTACTTTTAGGTTTTCTTTTCTTTCCGGTCCGTTAAGGGCCCCGGGCTTTTTCTTTTTCTTTACTCATCTCGTCTACTTTCACTATTTTTGTTTGGTTTGACTTGACTTTTGGGTCCCACTCCCCTTTCTTTCACTGCGTTTCTTTTTCTCTTCATGTCTTTTTCACCATGCATGTAGCCTCTTTGGTTTTTATTTTCTTCGTTACTTCTATCCATGGATACTATAAATAATCCCTTTACCCCCTTCCCTCTTTGGGCATGCATGATCGTTTTCGTTTCTCCTTCTTCTTTTCTTTCTTTTGTCCCTTTTCCTTTGTTTTTGTGAGCATTCCCTTTTCAATTCCTTTTCTGCATTGGCTTTCACTTTTATACACTCTCTTTTTGTTTACGGCTTTTCAAAAGCTGTCTTTTGTCATTGGAGATTTCTGCAAATAAGCAGTTTGCTGTGCTGCCTGTTTGCCTTTAGACTGGTATGTCTGTATCGAAAGGCTCAGTGATTTATTCTATATCGTGAGGTTCGTCTTCGTTGCAGTTTCTATATGCCTTTCCGTACTCGCTAAACGATTCATGACACCTTTTCGGAGACAGCCAGTCTTCCTTGTACAACTAAGCAATTACATACTATAGACTAATAGAGTTTCCTCCAATATACATTTTCCATTCAAAACATCACGGAAAGAGCTCTACTTTAAGTGTGGACGGGCAGGACGGAACGGGACGGGACGTTGATTATATTTACTCGTACATGCAATTAGAGAGTTCTATTCTACCCTAGACACTGCAGCTCCATCCATATTTTGTAACATACACCAAGTCTACACATGCAAAAGTCGTCTGTAGCCTGTCGTCTGTAGCCTCACTTTAGTCTATGAATCAAGAAAGTCATCGGCGTAAATGTAACGAAGCAGATTGCACGGCAACCCTTGGTTTTTACGACAAAATTAGGTCAATCAATTCGTGAAACTCGGCTCTACAACTTTTCCCATATAACTTGGTCCTCATCTCTACGATTACAGACTTTGAATTCCGTTAAACTCGGCAATCACTTCTACACATACACACACACATTGCACCCTAGGACCCTTCATTACGGCCCGGGTCGGACCCTTTAGCCCTCTCACCCACTACGGACCCCTACAATCCCCCTCGCTACTCAGAATACCATCAAAGAACGTTACTTAATATTGTGTAGACTTCGTGTCAGTCATCACCTCTCGAAAGAAGTCTCGGTAGTATTTGACATTACAAAAAACAGCTTAGAAGCACTTGCGGTAGACAATGCTAGGTCCGCTCTCGTCGTACTCTTGCTTAGAGATCCACATTTGTTGGAAGGTGGAGAGGGGAAGCGAGAATAGAACCACCAATCCACACAGAGTACTTACGCTCAGGAGGAGCAACAATCTTGACCTTCATGGAGCTGGGGGCCAAGGCTTGGATCTCCTTTTGCATACGGTCGGCAATACCAGGGTACATAGTAGTACCACCAGACATGACGATGTTGCCGTACAGGTCCTTACGGATATCGACATCACACTTCATGATGGAGTTGTAAGTGGCCTCGTGGATGCCGGGGTTCTCGAGACCGAGGACGGAGGGGTTGAACAGAGCCTCGGGAGCACGGAAACGCTCGTTGCCGATGGTGATGACTTGGCCGTCAGGAAGCTCGTAGGACTTTTCGAGGGAAGAGGATTGAGCTGCGGTCTGGAGCTCCTGCTCAAAGTCGAGAGCGACGTAGCAAAGCTTCTCCTTGATGTCACGGACGATTTCACGCTCGGCAGTGGTGGAGAAGGTGTAACCACGCTCCATAAGAATCTTCATCAAGTAATCGGTCAAGTCACGACCAGCAAGATCAAGACGCATAATAGCATGGGGAAGAGCGTAACCCTCGTAAATGGGGACAGTGTGAGTAACACCATCACCAGAGTCGAGGACGATACCGGTGGTACGACCAGAAGCGTACAGGGAAAGAACGGCCTGGATGGAGACGTAGAAGGCGGGAGCGTTGAAGGTCTCGAAAATGATTTGGGTCATCTTTTCACGGTTCGACTTAGGGTTCAAGGGAGCCTCAGTAAGCAAGCAGGGGTGCTCCTCAGGAGCAACACGAAGCTCGTTGTAGAAGGTGTGATGCCAGATCTTCTCCATATCGTCCCAGTTCGTGACAATACCGTGCTCAATGGGGTATCTCAGCGTAAGAATACCACGCTTGCTTTGAGCCTCGTCACCGACGTAGGAATCCTTTTGGCCCATACCGACCATGATACCTTGGTGACGGGGACGACCGACGATAGAAGGGAAAACGGCACGAGGAGCGTCGTCGCCAGCAAAACCGGCCTTGCACATACCGGAACCATTGTCAATAACGAGAGCAACGATTTCTTCTTCCATTATGTGAACGGATTTTGTTTTTGTGTTCTAAGAGGGTGTTGGTGAACGGTAAGTCTGGTCCCAGCTGCACAGCTGGCTTTCTATTAAGAGTTAAGTTTACGGAAAACAAAATATACATATATTCATACATGAGCGATAGAATTACATTAAAGAGACGTTAGTAGGTGTATTTCTATGTATTTAACTTGTATTTTTGACGTTTTATGGAACAGCCTATTGACGGGAAGTCGGGAAATGGTCCTTCGGTACATAAGAATAAACTTCTCGGCATTAGTAGGCTCTACTCGGGGCATACAGGCGATGACGCAGCTAATTGCATGCACGGATTTTAGCCCTAGTATTGGTTTGTAGCCTATTTCCTAACCCATTGAGCGAACATCCTTTCGGCATCATGATGTCATCACGCATGCTGTCATAGCCTCACCATCCGACAACTATCTTAAAGGTCATGACCTCGTGTCGCGTTGCACCATCATCATGCGCGCTAAACGTTTACCGCGGATTATCGAGAAATGTCCGAGGTTTGGTGTACTGGGATTGCAAGGATTAGCGCGGAATTCGGTAATTACGGGAAGTGAAGAGGAAGTCAACAATCGTCAAAGACGGACGAATTGGCAGGCAACCGTCGGTGCGTCAGCCGAGTCTGCAGGACATAGTCGCTCAGGAAATTGTCCTGTTTGTCTTGGCTACTGAGGCAGAACGGGTTTCCTTCAATTAGTTCAATTCCATTCCATTTCCTTCCGTTTCCTTCCCTTCGCCTCATCAGGTCTATTGTATAATATTATTATCGTTAGTTCGTTAGTTCGTTAATTCATTTCAATTCATCACAGTGAGACCGGTTTCATCACAGTCTTCATCTGCTTCACCAACAGCATCGCTTTCCTATACTGCGAGCTGGCATTTTCGATAGTAATACAAAAGTCCAAACACACCAATTAGTTGACAAATGAGAGCAAGGTAGAAACAGGGACTTCGGAGGGGTCCGCTGCCATCAGCCGGGTTCCACGAACTGAACAGCGGGAACACACGATCAGTGACGGGAAGAATTGGCTTAGAAACCATGATGGTCAAACTACTGAAGAACTGTGCCAACATCAGAGTGAAAGCGACGTGATCTCGGGCCAGTGTTTGAAGCAGCATCATACCAAGACCAATTCCCTGTAGATTATCGTACAGGTTGAGCGTAAGCCAAACACACTTTGTAAATATTGGAGAAGCCTTCCCTGCCCAAGGCAAATTCAGCCCAAGTCCAGAAGACGACCAGAACTCCAGACACCATCTTGGACACAAGAAGCCGAGTCCAAAGATCACGGGGAACCAACTGTTGTCTTTGGCAACAAACCGAAGAATGACAAACACAATGACCCAGATGACAAGAAGATAGATCATCAACAAAATGATAATACTACCAAACGAGGTGTACGTTGTATTCCAGAAGAAACGCCATGCTTGGCCGTACGGAATAGCCAGCCAAAAGTTGTTCAGTATCTGTGCAATAAAGAACCAGATGACAATTGGCCGTTTCGCCAAGGAATGATAGAACGCCGGGATGATGGAGGGAGATTGACGATAATAGTTTGGTAGTCCAACATACGACAAACCAGCAAAAGCGAAGCAAACCAAGAATGCAACAATACCGCCAATGAAGACTCCAGTGCTGACAGTCTTTGCAGTGTCTTCCTTCATCAACAGGTCACCCCATCCCCACAGAATAGCAGACCAAATCTGTTGTAAGCCATGAACAATACAGGCACGCGTTAGCCAGTGATGTGGTGCGACGCCGCCTTCAGCACCAAAGTTCCAAGCAAAGAAGAGCGATCCTGTTGAACTCGAAATGGCATACACATAGGCTGCAATATTCTGAACAACGGCACATGCCTTGCTGAATTGGAACAAATGTGTCAGTGCAACAAGCAAGAAGGAAATACCAAAGAAGATAAACGGCACAGAAAGGATGTAACGGGCTTGGAAAATACGAGATAAGAACCACCAGGTCATCGAACAGAATGAAAAGATGGACAGCAAAATATATGTCGACTTTGAGGACTGAGCAGAGCCTCCGGAAAGCAAAGTCAACTGATAGGAAGAAGCGCCAAGGATTTGTCCTAAAGCAAGCAGAATCGTATACAGAGGCCAAGTTCCAATACTGTGAAGCATAATACGCTGTAAGGCATTGTGTGATTCCTGTGAATTTCCTTCTGTCACTTCAACCTTTTCTTCATACTTCTCGGACATTGTGTCGTTCAAATGAAGCTTAACTCCAATTTTTTGATCACGAAGTTCCTTAAAATACTTTCTCTCATGCTTCCGAATAAATCTATCGATGCAGAGAGAATGTAAAGAATTCACAGGATTAAGTTTATCCATCCGTGCCAAAAACTCCTTTCGTGTAACACCGTCTTCATCGGTAAAGTTGTCAGATGAAGAAAACATCTTTTTGTGAGATTTAACAAAAACTTCATAATCCGCTGACTTCTTCTTGTCCGAAGATGAATCCGAAGAGGACTCGCCTGCCATATGTGGAGGAGAGCAGGAAGACTCCGGAGACAACGACTGCGGGATAGGAACTTCGCGAATCTCAGGCGATGGACTTAGGGCACCAGCATCTCCCATTTGAAGATTTCTGGCAAGTTGATCAAACGAATCATTAGGATTGGAGGAGTATGCGAATGGTGCAGGAACGGGAGCAACATTCTCGTTCTGCACCTCGGATGCAGTAACAATGTTTTCGTTATCAGGTTTCTCTTTTTCAGCCTCCTTTGAGATGTCCAAAGCTTCGCTGTGGAAGGAACCATCCTCACTGTTAGCAGCATTCAAGTCGTCGCACGAGTCTTGCTCCTTGTGATTACAAGTCAAGGCTCTGCCGAGCTTTGAGAAAATAGATGTCCAGTTGTTTTGAGTCTGTCTCTCAACATCATCATGAACCTTAATACAAGAAGTTAAGAGATTCTCAATCTTCTCTTGCCAAATGCATACTGGGAAACGTTGATTCAAGGCTTGGACCCTCATGGTAGCTCTTGTTTCCTCAGCAGTATTCAAAGCTTTCAGAATAGCATTTCCAAACTGTGTTAGTAAATGTCCCGAGTTGAAAGAAGCCATTTTAAACCACCATCCTGGCATATGACCAAGGCCGCCTGTTTTTGAACCAATACAAAGAACACCTTTACGGCCAAACTCGACTGCAACAAGACCAAAAGGTTCATCTCGCGAAGGGATCAATGCAAAATCTGCACCCGCGAACAAAAACGGAGGAACAACAGTGAAAACAGGACGACAGAATAGACGCTTCGGATATTTTTCACTCAAATATTTCAGTTTTTCGGCAGCAAAGCGTCCATGCAAATCAATCACTGGACCAATTACAATGAGCTGAACGTTGTAGTGAGTAAGCAATGTAGGAGCTAAATCAGCAATCAGATCAATTCCCTTTTGGAAAGACCATCTTCCAACGAAAATTAAAAGTTGCGCGGAAGGATCAACATCCAAATTCGCCCAAATTTGACTTTGACGTTTCAAATGCTTTCTTTTGGCTTCCAAAACAAAATCAACCTTTTCAGGAATGGAAGACTGTGTGTTTGATTCTAGAAGATCACTTGGGTCAGGATTCGCAAGCTCGTCAATATTAACAAGACTCCAGAAAATTGGATATCTTGAAAGTGATTGCTTGCTATATTTCTTAGAGACACCAACGACACCGTATCCGCGTTGATGGATACGGACGTATGATATGATGGCGTGTAAAAGATTGAATATGTGTCCGAATTGTACGTATCTTGCACAGAGTGATTCACTAAGATTGAAGACACGGCAAACTTCCCGTTTCTCATATGCAGTGCGAAGAGGCCAGAGACCCTGGAATTCAGCATTATGCAATGAAACTGCGCATGGAATGATGTTTGGCAACAAATACAAGGGTGCCAAGGCACCATGGTAGTCATTGACATGGTAAATGTCTAAAGGAAACCGTCTCCAAACTTCGGCGATGCATTGATTCCAAGTTGAATAAAAGACGGCAGACTCCAAATCATCCATCTTCACGGGGTACGGCGCGGAACTTGTTTGCTTCTCAAAGACCTTGGATTTTAAGAGCACATAAGTGACGTTGTCACTAACAAAGGTAAATGCCTCAACTGCAAAGAATGCATCACTGATTGTAATGTAAATTGGATCAATTCTTGTTAATCTTTCCAAAGGATAATTGATACCGCGAACCATTGGAATGACCCAGACAAAGTTTAAGAATTTCAATTGTCGAGACATTAACTGAGCCATGACTCCCAAACCACCAATCTTCACTCGGACTTTAAGTTCAGGAATGTCATACTCGAGAGTTGCCAGAAGGACGTTGAGCTTCTTATTTCCATCCTGCGTTGTAAGAGAGTTTTCTATCACAGGACCCGACTTTCCAAAAAGACGCAAAGGCAAGGTAATTATTTTCAAACCGATAACCTTTAGCCGAAAAACAAACGTCAACCAGCCTTCACTGTCAAAACCGTCAAACTTAATGACACGAGAGAAGGCACCATTGTAGAACATGGTTGAGAAAATGGCTGCGATAAGTGGACAAACCAGAATCAAAACCAGTACAGCAATTTGCACAGACCAAGAGCCCTTTGGTTCATAAGTCCATCTTCGGGTTTGATCGTCAAGAATAAGCTTGTAAGACAAATAGGGTTTTGGAGGAGAGCTCATCAACCGGATAAAGTTACTAATTCGACTGGTGCCTGGAGGCACACGATCAATAATTGTATCATTATCGAGATCACCGTAAACCCAGCCTTGGTCCGCGTTTCCATCGGGATTCATGCCCCAGATATTAAATATCAGTTCAGCAGGCCAAGTAGATATCAAGTTGTAAGTCCATTTTCCATTGTCTTTATCAAAGTGCATCCTCGAGGGGACCGAATTATCGTAACCATATCGATTGAACTTTCCTTGAACGAAGACATGTGGAAAATGGCGTTGGTAACCAACAGTGTCACCGTGTTGAACGTGAGCATTAGAGAGGCCCACGGTTGACCAATATTGTACAATAAGGTGTTCGCCTTCCCAGTGTTGAGACTGAGTTCCATTCCAATGAAGCTTCTTCAAAGGTTGAACCTTACTGGTTACAGGTAACCACTTGGAGTAGTTTGAACCAAAGTCCAGCGAATAACGGAATTTGTCAGCACCTATACCCGTGTGATTAACATAAAGACTGCCATTTGTGGTTTGAATCAGAAGGTTTTTGCTAAAGGTAGCATTCAACGTATTGACCATAGGGTTTTCTTCCGAACCAACACGGAAGATAAGAGTATTGGTAGCAGAACGCAAGCTTTGGCCAGAAAAACTAGTAACGTTTTTAACAATAACCTCATGTATACCTTGTGGGACACCGGTCAAAGTAGCATTAAAATACCAGCGAGTAACGGGAGTATTAGTCAATTCTGCCTTGGGTTCAAATGGAAGACGACCGCAATGAACAGAACCATCTTTAAAAAATGGTCGTTTACTTTCAGTCAATGAGTGAGATCTCACAACAACGTTCTTGGATACAGTTTCGCAATCAAGTTCATCTGAAAATCCAATACTGATGTCCACATCCACAGAACTATTCTCAGTAATAAGTCTGAAATCGTGGCCAGGTAAAAACTTTGTCATGTACAGATTAGGTAGAACCCAACGATCTTTTGGAACGAATAGTTTTGAGCCATACGGATCGAAGTGTAATTTTGGAATACAGCCCTTATCTTTAATGTCCGAAGGAACAAGATCATATTCTTCATAAGGATAGAGCAAATTCTTCACCGTTTGATTAGCGGCATATGGACCGATCATAGCAGGATAAGGTGGCTCTTTCTGGTCAACTTTGGTTCCGCAATCACGTTCAAAGGTTATTGAATGGTTCTCGTTTGAGAATACAACCCAGACTTTAAAGTTATTGTCTCCAAAGTCCTGATAAGGTGCTTTGGGACCACGAATAAGGGACCAGACACCCCATTGGGTAGGATTCTTTTCACCATAAAGTTCATTCCCGGGCAGCACACCTTCTGTAGTCCATTTTCCTAAACCTTCAAGCAAGTAGCCATCGCGAATTTGTGGATAATTAGCACGAATTTCGTTCATACGAGCGATATAGTGTTTCGTAGATGAAGTAACATCCAAATGATCATGCCCAGTCCAATCATCTAAGCAAGACTTACTTGCCGGTGTGAAATCAATATCAAGATATTGAGTACTTCCGATATTGTAGCAACCATGCTTTTGCCATCCAATTGAAGAAACAATAGGCTGTCTTCCAAAAATATAGTTGGCAGCTTGGTTGTCTAGCAGTTTTAAGTTTTGTTCCTCACCATAGTACACAAGAGGTATTCCCGGCATGACTAAATGAGTAACAAAGAAACCGAGCATTTGCTTATACACACCATCCTTGATAGATGGCCAACGGAAAATATCTTGATTTGTTATACCATAAAGATGTCGAGGATCGAATTTCTTTGTATTGGCATTAATGAGATCATCTTGTTTCAACATTTGTTCCCACATAGTTGGAAAGTCGTAACGATTCAGATCAAAAGCAGCAAAAAGCTCGCCCTGAAGTCCAAGCAAAAGAGTGAGTGTTCTGTAAACCGAATAATGGAATGAAACAGAATCCAGAGCGGAGTCGTTCACTTTTCTCAAAAAGTAGGTTGAGTTATCATATGTTAGACTCATACCAATATCCACTGTTTTTGGACGCTGGTCAGATTGTCGACCTCTGCCCAAGAAAATAGAACCGTAATCAGCTCCACTTGTAACTTCACCGGGGATAAAAAAGTTGTGTTTACCTACCGCTCTTGCACATTCTCGAACGGCTGCAGCCCAAGAACCTAAGAAATCTGATGTAATTTGTGTAGCCTTATCGACACGAATTCCGTCAACATCTAGGACACGAACAGCAAGACATGTTAAGTGCATAAGCTTCTTGGCCACAAGTGGATCCCAGTCACGAAGACGATCTTGAACGGAAGCGAAGTTAGACAGTTGACGCCACCATGGAGGATGGTTACCAAATGCTTCAACATCACCGTATTGGTCAAAGTCACCCTCATAACATGTAATTTCATCAATGTGGTCAAGAGCTTCGGTCGAATTTAGTGGTAGACCAGTTGCGTCCCAAAATAGAGGAGTGTAACACTCGTACTTAGAACCATTAGAAATCTGAAAATCCGAGTAAATCAGGTCATCGTTTTTGTAATCCATCGTATAACCTTTTGTACTGAAGGGTGCAGACGCATTAGCAAACGAATGAGACGTGTTCTTGAAATAAGTTAATTCTGAAAGAGTGGAAACCGTAAGATCGATTATTAGATAGAATCCGCGCTCATGTAATTTTGTAATGGCATCCTGCCAATCTTGGATCGTGCCTGTGTGTTTATCAAGAAGCGTAAAGTCCAAGGGCGAATAACCATCTGGGGCCCATGGCAAGTTTTGAAACGGAGTACCTGCAATATAGATAGCCTTTACACCCAAACTTTCTAAATAGTCCAAGGAACGAGGCTCTACAAGACCCTTTATATCGCCACCTGCACGGAAAGTAACTTCGTAGGGGTCAGATTCATATACGGTGTCTTCTGCAATGTCGTTTTCGGGCAATGCATTCGCCCACTTGTCCAAAATAATGGTATAAAAGGGAATTGTACGCCAGTTGGAAGGAGAAGGAAAATACTCATGGCCTTTCCATTCTCCATAATAATCAAGAATACTAGTAGCAGTATGGTTGCCGTTCAAATTCCATGGACTGTTCTCAGGAGTCCAGACAGCTGCTTTACTCGAGTGTAAAGAAACAAGCCATCCGAACAGATACAGCAGTACCAAAGGAAGCAACTGCATCACGATCTTAATTAATCGATTGTGAAAGTTAAGTGAAAATCAGCGAGAGAAACGCATTTATATAAATCCTTGAGCCATTTATGAATACTTTCGTAACCATGAATAATCATCGTACCGCTCCAACCGAAAAACTTTTGAATAATGGCTCAAGAATGTCACAGTAAACAAATCGAAACCGAAAGGAAATCCATCGAAAGGGAAGAACAACGATCAGAAATAAGGGGGATCCTCATATTACCATTGCTTTAGGATACTCTGGAACCCGATAAGCCAGTTAAGTGCAGCACATTGACCGACAGTTGGCTTCACAGAAAATCGTCAATTGTTGAAGATTCAAAACTTCTCCGCTCGGTATTTAAGACAATTCTTTCCAAAAATGTTTTATTCAGTTAAACAGCGTTTAATCGAGTTTAGCGACAAAAAAATTAAAGCTTTATATTCAACATTCCAAAAAACAAAAACAAAAAACAAAACTGGTTTAAAAACGAGTCAAAATCATTAAAATAAGAACAAAAGGTCACGGATTCTCCAAAATATAGCCAGCTATAGCTGTAGAATGCTGTTTTCTCGGAATTTTAACAGTCTGGCAGCACAGTGGTAGTGGTTGGTTAAGATTTAGTTGTTTCGCGATGCCCGAAACCTTAATGCTACCCCCACCGTGATCTAACGGGATGACGACCACATCGCCCATAATAGCAGCTGAGCGGTACAGCCGTCTTTCGACGAAATACTACCACCACGGTTGTGTGCCTGCCCACACCTAGTAGCACGAATGCCTTCGCTTGTAAATCGAACGAAAGCTGATTCCCTGGCGCCAAATGGCGTTAAACGAATTGCTTTTATTCATCCAGACCTTGGAATTGGTACGGTTTTCTTTTTTTTTTTTTTTTCGCAAGATGATTCCTAACGCCTTCATAGGAGGTGCCGAAAGATTGGTCGTTGATTCAGCTCTGGGATTAAAGGCTCTGGGAAACGATGTAGTAATTTACTCTTCACACTGTGATATGAATCATTGTTTTGAGGAGATTCGTGACGGTACGAAGTGAATTATTTCGTTTATGGAGCCGTATCTAATAGCAATTTGGTTAAATAGGTACAATTGCAGTTCGCGTATATGGAGACTGGCTTCCTGTGTCTATATTCGGTCGGATGAGCATTCTCTGCTCGACTCTTCGTCAATTGTATCTCACGTTTGTTCTTCTGTGTACAGAAAAGTTCGACGCGATCGTTGTCGATCAATTGTCCACATGCATTCCTTTTCTGTTGCTCATTTGCAAGACTCTGCTTTTCTACTGCCACTTTCCTGACAAATATCTTGCCAAACCTGGTGGATTGTTGAAAAAGCTGTACCGCATTCCTTTTGATTGGATCGAAGAAGAGTCTATTCGTGTCGCCGACAGAATTGTTGTTAACAGTAACTTCACTGCTTCTGTTTTTAAGAAGGCGTTTCCACGTATTAAGAAACCCGTCCGTATCATCCACCCCTGTGTGGACACAACCGGAAAGTGCAAGAACACATTCCCTCTTCCCCAAGCCATTCTGTAAGTTGTAACCACGTACATACACTTTGTGGGTTTGTTTACTAACATTTTGCCAGGGAGCGGAACATACTCATTTCCGTGAATCGTTTCGAGAAAAAGAAAGACATCAATCTGGCTGTTGAGTCTTTCGCTGCCCTGCGTGATTTCTCAACGGAACGCTTTGAAAAAGCTTTGCTGGTTGTCGTCGGTGGTTACGACGTGCGTGTTGCTGAGAATAGAAACTACTTAAAGGAGTTACAGACCTTGTGCGGTAAGAACTCACTTAAGTACCAGACCATTGAAACGGACTGGCTGAACATACGCTTCGAGAATGATACAAATGTTTTGTTTTTGCTCTCTGTTCCTTCGGATCTTCGTGACACACTTATTGCCCACGCGAAAGTGTTACTCTACACTCCGGAAAACGAACATTTCGGAATTGTGCCTTTAGAAGCCATGCTCCGTCGTGTTCCAGTCCTTGCCCAAACAAATGGAGGTCCATTGGAAACCGTACGGGATGGAAAGACTGGATGGTTGCGTCCACGCGACCCAACAATCTGGTCAAACGTTATTAACGAAGCTCTTCTTGGCTCCACTTACGACTTGGAAGCCATGGGCCAAACTGGAAAAGAATGGGTGGAGAGGGAGTTCTCGGTAGACGTTATGTCGAAAAAGTTTGAGTCCGAGATTTTGTCCGGTATTCGCGCAATGAACGACAAACGCTATATCAAACGTATTGTGGATGGATCTACTGCCATTATAGTTATGCTATTCGTTCTTTGGGCCGCATATGTCTCCGTTACGGAAGCCGGTCTGTATGTGAGCTCATACTTCTTTGGCTCCATCTTCACTCCCATTCTCGGTGTCAAACTTGGATCGGCTTTCTTGTTTATTGCTCTTACGATTATGGCACGGTGTATCATTTCTTTTAAAAATTAAGTCAACAGAGTACTTCTCGGTCATTTAAACACTACTCAGACTCTCATTTCAAATTCATGCTTCCCCGTAATGGATGTGTATGATGATGACTTCGTGCCTTTATATTTGTTGAACAGCTTTTTGTTCGTGGGTAGATACCTCTAGACCAAATAATCCTTTTTTTTACGACTTGTTTTCAGAAATGCATTTACGGATGGATAAGAACAATTATAATCGTTAATAAATACTTCATAATATTGGGTAATTGGAAATGTGAAACACAAGACCACTCATCCAATGATTGAGTTTATTAGAATCGTTATTTGACACCTTGCACACGCATAACTCTCCAAAGAAACGAATTCTTATATTTAGTTGGACGAGCATAACACTTTTAAATTTCAGATGTCTATGGAAATCTTGGAGAGAGATGTGTGTTTTGAAAATCAAAAAACTATGAATGACAAGTTGCTTAAGCAGAGGTAATTCCCTTCTTGGTGAAATAATCATTCAAAACAAATGCAATCCGATCAAGAAGAACAGTGTTTTCCTCCTCAGTGCCAACGGTTATACGAAGTCCGCCTTCACAGAGAGGTTCACTACCACGGTAACGAACAACGACCTTGTGTTCCGTAGCCATTTGCATGTACACGTAATGAGCAGATTCGTTGGAGGGTTTTCCATCCTTGGCAGGCTTATCAAGAATGGTGACAAGAAGGAAGTTGGCATCAAGACCACCAATAATGCTGCCAACACCGGGAATCTTGGGGAGCTCCTGGACGAGACGGTCACGTTGCTTGTTCAGTGCGTCTCTGTTTCTGTCCTTACGAGCCGCAGACTCGGGCGACAAAGCTTCATAAGCAAGCTTGGACGTAGGATTACTGATGTTGTAAGGAGCCTTCAAATTGTTCATAATCTGGGCAATTTTAGGGTCTGTAATGCAGAAACCAACACGAATACCAGCAAGACCGAACGCCTTTGAAAGTGTCTGACAGACAGCCAAGTTAGGGTACTCATTGACAATAGTAACAGCAGAAGCCTCTGCTGGCGAAAAGTCAATGTACGCTTCGTCGGAGACAACCAAACCATTATATGAAGGCTCATCCAAAATTCTTTTGATGTCGTCCAAAGCAATGTTTTTGGCCGTAGGATTGCCGGGCGAGCAGACGAAGACGACCTTAATAGTAGGGTCTTCACGAATAGCCTTCAACACGGCTTCCGTGTCTAAAGTAAAGTCGGGCTTGAGGAGAACCTTCTTAACCTTTACATCGTTCACCTTTGCACACACAGGATACATTCCGTACGAAGGGGGACACATAAGAATCGTGTCCTTACCGGGAATACAGGTGATTCTAATCAATGAATCGATGATTTCATCAGAACCAACACCCATGACGATGTTTTCGTGAGTAATGGGTTTTTTAGGATGACATTCACCGTTTCTAATGGCACAGAAGCGTTCCTTCACCGCAATTTGACGGGGATCAGGGTAACGGTTATAATGTGTGCCGTCTGCGATATAAGCAGAGCCATAGGCACATTCGTTCGCGTCCAGAAGAATTCCTCTAAGGTTTCTGTTACCAATTCTGTTCTTACGAAACACAAGCTACGCGGATAAAGCGTTTACACTACTTACTCGGAAAAGTCACTAACGCGTTAGAAAAACCATTCAAGGCACAGTTATAGCATCTAGGCAGTTTTCTTCCACTTACTCTCTAGCACAGCGATACGGCTGCAGTTCCAAGATATTCTTCCTAATGCAGGTATTCAGATCAAACATGTTTACGGTAGAGGGTGAGTTGGCCGTGTTCGTTTTTACGGCCAAGACATCTATTCTAAATCGCATCTTGGGCTGCCAGCGATAAGGCGAGAGCTTAACCGATATTAGCCGACATAAGCGAGATTGCCGTTAATAAGCAAGACTATACTCTATTTGTACGGATTTCTTTCTGGTTTCCATACGTTATTGAACAGAGAAACTACAATGCAATTTCGCTTATTCACCGTTTTGTGTGTCTAGTTTTCTTGCGTTCTACTGACGACGATACTCTCCACCAAAAAAGCTTGAGCAGGTGAATTAACGACTCGCTGTATCCAGAGCGCTTACGTTGGCAATTTTGTACCAATTCTAGGCGCTTTCTGTTTGTTTAATTATTTTTGACCGAGAACTAATAGTGTACTGTCAGTGCTGTGCTTCTTCCTAAATTGGGCATAAGACAGCTGAGTATTTTACCATGTCTTCACAAAACTCCATCGAGCAATTACTTATAAAAACTCCATTAGACGAATTAAAAAAGGTCCAAAGCTATTTACAGAAAACATGCACACTTTCAGAGGAAGAACTAGCTCTTGAAGAAGCGGAATTGTTGAAGCATATCGAAAGCATCGAAGATGCCCAAAACCTCTTGTTGCAGGATAGTGCAGGCACTTTAACAAACGTTTCTACCGTTTATGAAAACACGGAGCAAGTTAAGAAATCGGTGTTCGAGTATACTGATCTGCTTCGCAAATGTGGTGAACAAACAAACGAACAGCTAGTATATCTTCGATCGTTCGTAAAGGATGTGTTAGAGCATCGTGACTTGGCAAACATTATGCTTGAAAAACAAGTCGACCTTCAAGCTGTGCTTGAAATTCCTTCTTCAATGGCTTTCGCGATTAATAACAATCTTTTTTCCGAGGCTATGGAGTTTCGAGCTTTGGCTGAACGAATTATAGATGCTTTTCCGGAGTCAAGCACCATTCGTGGGTTAGGAAAACAGGTTACTGCTCTGAACCAGACGCTAGTGGAAACAATAATTCGCCAGCTTCAACAACCGCAAAAGCTCTTCCATCTTATAAAGCTTGTAAGCCATTTAAAAACAGCAGCTCAGTTCTCGGAACAGGAAATAATGACTTTGTATATGCTGAATGCCCGTCTGCAACTCCAGTCTGCGCTTCAGAACATTTCATCTCTATTAAATTATAACAGCCCCGAGGTTTACGTCCGTCGGTACCTTCAAATTATCCGAGAGCGAGCTTTCGTACTTTTCTCTAATTATCAATGTCTGTTTCAATCTGCCGATAACGACGACGAGGACATGACTGCTTCTGGTAACAAAACAGTTCCCTCTCAAAATAAACAAACTCAAGACGATCTCTCGTTAGCACAGGACCAGGAAGGTGTTCGCTCTCTCGGCAACAATATTGTTTCTGTTTTCTGCATGTACGTCATAGACGAGTTGATGTACATTTTAAAGACGTTTATGCCTCGTATTACGGACTCGGCAACGCGGTCATCTCTCCTTTTACAGCTGTTTTACTGCAATCAGAGTCTTACAAAGGTCGGTTGCGACATTACTAGCCAGCTGAAATCTCTCTTCGGTAAAGAGTGGGCTGAAATTGTTGCATATCAAAGCAGTTCAGAACTGTAAGACAATTAAGTTGAACGGATATCCCACCTCTCTCTTACACAACTAAGAAGTTCCACATCATCTCCGCTACTTTTCTCCCATCCATCTCCATCCCATCTGCCTCCGTGAACAACGTAACGTAAACTTAAATTAATGGACATAAAATTTTACACATTTATTTCACAAGTAACAGCTGCATCGGTTAGACCCAAACGTGAAATGCAATCGTCGTAGCGTTGGCGGTCTTTGCGCCGCAAATACTTCAATATTCGCCGCCTCCTGTGGACAAGATAACTAAGGTACCGCTTGCAGGCATAATCTTTTCTATGGTGGTCGCAGTGATCCTTAATTGCAAAGATCTTGGCGGAATAAACAGCTGCTTGCACTTCTGGACTCCCAGTGTCTCGTTCTGAATGTCCAAAATCTCGAAGTGCTTTTTGTATATTCAGTAGACGAATTGATTTGAAGTTTGAATTTTGTATATCAAACAAACGTCTTATGTACTCATCCTTCGTTTCTTGAAGCAAATTGTCATGCTCCGCTGGCATCTCTTCAGCAAAATTAGACGCAGATTGTTTTCTCAACTTTCTCAAGTGTTTATGAATACTCTCCAGTATAGAGTTCAGTTCTTGTTTTTGCGTAAAATGATTGCATTCTTGCATAGTGTTATTAGCACGCATGCTTCCGCTCAAGTAAGGTACAGGATTGTACAACGATTGCGTCCACTCGGTCGGCTGACCTGTTATAACGTTTCCAAGATTCGGTTTACGCTGTTCACGAAGCTCGGCTTGTCTTGCCTTGTTCTTTTTCTTCTTTATATTGGCAAGCTGAATACGTTTCGACGCGTTCCGAGCAGCCAAAGTCATTGCAGAATTGTGAAACCCGGAAACCCAAATGTTTTTGCTTTTATTAATGCACTGCACCGGAAAACTTGATTGTCGACGAAAGAAAAAACGAAAACATGATTCCATTTTAATTACCCAAACTGAATGAAAGAACCCAGTCCCACTCAGTTCTGTTATGCCAAACCAGGTTTAAACGCGCGTAGGTCTGGCGACAGCACTCGCTTTCCGAGGCAACGTTTTGGTGGAGTGTTTTAGGGAGGACAGGCCACGAAAGAAAGAAAAAGTCGTTGGAAAGATGGGAGAAGTAGTAGATAAAACGAGAAAAGAAAAACAGGAGAACGAATGTAGTAAACAATAGTAACAAATCATGAACAGTGTTTCAAGGAGGCATAAGCTTAGGTTCATTAATTTTGCTTTTGGTCTGCACACGAATGAGATCTTGTAATGCTTCAAAGTGAACACACTCATAAGCAGAAAACACTTGTATCAACCGAGAACCTTTTGTCCATGCTTCTATGAATTGTGCGTGTCCAGACACATCTGACACGTCTAACGAGAAGCACTTATTTTTATAAGTTTGCCAAGCAATCATGTAAGCCGTACATGTTTCTGCATATCGGTTCCAAGCCGCCTGGTACCGCCGGAATTCATTCAAGTAAGCTGCTACTTGTACAGAATCCGAAAGATTGGACGGGCACACAGGCGGAATGGGTGCGGTAGCTATCGGCACCGCAGGAGGCTCAAGCTCGGAGGCCATAGCTGACACGTCTTGCTTAGAGTCTTCGAATGAAAGTTCGACATCATGTAAACCCGTTGGCAAATGCATTGCTGCCTTCATGCTTGGTGAAGAAGCCAGGTCTGGCGATAAATGGTCAGATTGGTCTAAAGAATAGGGATGTGTTTTCGTTAATGGTGTCGTGTTGCGTGAAGTAGGTGCTGATCTTGATTCATAACTTTTCGCTTTTTGATATACAGTATTCGCATGTATTTTCTCTGTTTTTGATACTTCTGGCGTCCGCTGAGAAGTTCTTTTCTTCCGTAACGTCTCCAAATAGGCCTTCGCTTCCATGCTCGAAAACAATAACGAGTCCGTCTTTGACGAAAATGCATTTTTGATATAATCCTCTGTGTGTTCACCATTTTCACTAGGCTGTTCCTCAAAGAACTCGGTAGGGTTTCGACGGAAAAACGAGTGTAAGTTGGAGAAATACCGTGAGTCTTGTTTAGCCGAAGAGCGATGGGGTGGTACAGTGTTGCTTTTGCTTTTTTCATCTGAAGTATCTTTCGAACGAAAGAGCTGTCGCCTCACTTCAGGACTTAATTTTGATGTAGGAACGACCTCAGGATGAAGATTATTCCTGTGTTTGCGTAACGGCGTCGAACTCGAACATGGTGAATCCCGAGCTGAGTAACTCGTCTGTGATGAAGGTCCTACCCCAAATATGTGTAACAATCGTTCACGATCAAAAGCCGCTCTTGAACGTGAATCTTTGAGCACGTCATGTGCGCGTTGGATTTTTTGAAATTTTTCCAGCACCAATTCTTCATGCCCAGCATTACGATCGGGATGATATTGAAGGACCAGCCTTAGATATTTTTGTCGTATTTCAGAGTATGTGGAATGGCTGTCCACATCGAGTACCGCGTAATGGTCCACAAATGGTTCCTTTACGCTAGGCACACCCATGCAGCGTTTTCGTCGTTAATAAAACAAAACGAAGATAAACGAGTGCTCGACAGATACGTGCGATCCGAATTCCACCGGAAACGAAGGAACCGAGCGAATGGAAGTGAAAGAGAAAGCAAGGCTTGTTTACGGACGTAAACGAACCCGTGGGAACACAAGTCCAAAGCAAAGTCGTAAACAATGCAAAAATACAAACAAACCCGCCTGTATCGTTCTCCCTCACAGGTTTTCCACTGCACTGCAGCACCACACCAACGGATGAGTTACTCAAGTATACCGAGCGATGTTCTGGTGGTAGTAAATGCAGTAGGGAAAACCACCACACAACTCGGTGAAGTGCGACGAAAAGAAATAATTGGAAGAGGAAATTGGCACAATTAGCGCTTAATCACAACAATAAGGTGTGTGGAAGTTCACGGTTGAAATAGTTTTTCCATCCTCCAGCTCAAGCGAATCTTTTCTCTTCCACATTTGCCAACCTAATTTTTTGATTTAAGAACAAAACGTTATCGTTCATGTTCTGGATGGAAGAAGACAAACGATTTCCAGCGTCTCTTTCGTCACGTCGTCTACTTATATGAAATCCGTTGATCCAAAAGAAAACAACATTCGCAGTGCAAGCAATGTGTCTGCCACAGAAACAGTGAGAAATAGCAACAATCACAGCCGTATCGAGAACACGTTCTGCATTCGACAAGTGATTGATACTCTCTTTTGCCAACTGTCAAAACACATACAAGTGGCTGAAAACGAGTCACTAGCAGAACTTGTAATTAAAGTTCCCGAAGTATCACAAATTTGGCTTGCCCTTAGCGTTTTGCTTGAACAGCACTGGAAGGCAGCGACGCGACTGATAGATGCAAGGAAGATAGTCCTCGTGGATTACGAGAAAGGCCAATGGAAATGCACCATTGACACTGGGTCGTTCGACATCAACGCCAAGATTTGGCATTGTTCATGCACCCAATTCGTGTTCTCTGCCTTTGGGAAACCATTGGAGCTCATCAACGACTCAACAGTACAGTTTGGGTTTTGGGGTGGAAGATGTCTAGCTTTACATCCTCCAGTGTGTCAACATTTAGTAGCAGCATGCATTTATTCTGTATGCTACCCTAAACTGAAGGAGCAACACAATGCAAACCGGAATGAGGAGCATGAAAGGTCGACGGAGCCTCCTCCCTGACTAGTGAAGAAAATAGAAAAAAAATAAAACATAGGGAAGCACTCATTGCAGTCGTGTGTAAATAATAAAAACGAACACCAAACGCATTGAAAACGAAAAGGAACTAATCAGTTTTGTCTTGCTTCCAAGACAAATATGCAGGATCTCCGACACGTCTGGGCCAAAGCATGCTCGCAACACCAACAGCAATGCCGGAAAGGAAGAAGAGACAACCAATGACGATGTACAGAATACCCAAGAAGTAGTTCTTTCCTCCGATAGCCGTTGTAGTCGTCATCTCGAAACTCTTCGAACCACCATATGGAATGGTGGGGAAGTTGTATGTGATATTCACCTCATACAATCCTGTTCTCAAGGCAGCTGTGGTGTTACGAACGATTAACTTACTGAAAGTGGGAAGAGCTGCCGTTCGCATCCAGACCTGGAACTCTTCCCAGTTACCCAAGTCTGGCATGTTGTCTGAGGTATAGCCGTTTGGATACCGTTTTGCCCAGTTGGGAGGCGGGACAACGTCGGAGGGTGAGTACTGGGTTGTGCCATATCTTGCCTTGTCGGCCGGCCAAGCAGTGCCATTGGTAGTCAATACATACTCACCTATTTTTTGCCCATATGTTGAAGTCTCGTCACTCAAATGGTTCAACGAGGAAAAGGTATCGTTGAACATGGAATTGGCCACGAGGCCACAAGGATAGTATGGCTTACCTTCCTCGTTTAACTGCAGGGGAGTACAATCACTCTTACTGATTTCCTTTGCAGTTCTGGCATCACCGAGCAATTGATCAACGTCGTAACTCTTTGCGTACCGGCGATGGTTTTGGTAGAAGCGTGTGAGATGGTAGTATACAAAAACCGGCTGTTTCATCGTCTCCGGCACGTAAAAACGAAGAGAGCACGTCTCGTTGTCGGCATTCCAGCGCCACTGAGCGCTGAAGTTGTTGTGCGTCAAAAAATTAATATGTATATCGTGAGACGACATGTCAGTATATTCTGACCCAGCGTTCATGCAGTTTGTGTACTCCAGCCGAAGACCCTTTGCCTGTTTATATGTTAGAAAGGAAACGTGAATGAGAGCGTTTGAAAGAAGGAGAAGGAGGTGACAATTATGAAAAACCATGGGAAAAGGACACTGAATTGGAAGTTCCTTCCAAATAAAGTAAGATTTTCTTCTAGTTAGTCCTTCGTCTCATTTCAGACACACACTAAAGCCCGACTTGTTTTCTTTTCTTCATGTAGCCTCCTCCTGCTCCTTCCAATGGCTCTCTCTTTCTTACTTTTGAGCTAGCGACAAAAAGAGCACCTCCAATAGGACCAAAAATGAGACCCAAGATCGTCAAAATAGGAATCACAGTCCACGGAGTAAAAATTAGTTTCCATGATGGAAGGGTTTGTTGAAAGAATCGAGAATTATCACTATTCCAGAAATTCGTTAACACATCGCGACCAAAAACAACAGCTACGACACATACGGCCTCGAAAACTTCTTCTTCTTTTTCTGTTCAGGAGAAGACATTGTTATAACGTGCAGAGTTGCCTACAATGGCAACAGTATACAAATTCTGTCCGTTTTTTGGTGTCTGACACTGGTCAAGCGTCTGAGCGTGTATCACGGTTATTTGCTCATACCGAGCTCGCTGCGAAAACCTAATAATTTATACTGCATATGCGTTGTCATACGAAAGTTACAATTCTATATAGTACATGTATGTAAAGAAACCAGCGTATTTTCACACATCGAGCGAATATCCTTTCTTCGGATTTCACTGGTTTTGTGAGGGTTTGCGAGGGTTTACGCGGAGCCGTGGAAATTAAATACGCGGTAGCAGTTCGCGTTTAATATGCGACGTTACGTGCAGTCTTCCTCTTGGTGCAGGAACCCGTAACGTCCTCCCTGTCCTAGTGAAAGGGAAAATTCGTAATTCACTATTTTATCTTCCAATGGCTTTGTTGTTTGCCATCTTCGCACATCCATTTAGACCAAGACATCTCACTTGGCTGACGCGCGGCAGCCATAGAGAGCACTAACCCTTCTCTAAGCCCCGGAAACTCGTCCTCGGTTTTGCGACTCGGCTCTTTGCTATGACGTACTTCCTTTGTCATCGAATATTTCCATTAAAGTTGTGTATGACGTCACCCTTCACTATATAAGACGGAAATTCCGCCTCTGGAGCGTCCCAAGCCATTCATTTCTGTGGACGGCATTATAACAGCACTCAAGGATATCTGTCCTTTTTCTTCATTTCATCGTATCGTGCACATTTGCTTTTGTGCATTGATTTTACCGGTGTTCGTTCGAGTATAATCAGCGACGCCTGACTGGATAACATATCCGTTTTCATTTACATAGAATTACAGCATGGTTTACCAAACTAGACAAGGTCTTCCTCAAGGCTGGTTGGCCCAGTGGGACTCAAACTACAACCGTTACTTTTTCGTGAACGAGATGGGTCCCAATCCCCAACCCACTTGGGAGCCCCCTGTCGAGGGATTGGCCCTTCCTCCTCCTCCTGGCGAGAAGTTGCCTCAAGAGGTTCAACAACAATTGCAAGAGAAGGGTGTCAGTGACCAATATTACCAACAACAACAGCAGCAACAGCAACAAACCCAATTCTACAACACTCAGCAGGGTTATACCGCTCCCTCCACCCAATCTAAGGGTTTCATGACTAACCCCTTCGTCACTGGTCTTGGCGGTATGTTGCTCGGCAGCTGGATGACTCACAAGTTCGACAAGTGGACTCACCCCGGCGGAAACGGTGGCTTTGGCGGTGCTCCTCCTCCCCCTCAACCTCAAGGTGGTTTCTTTGGTGGTGGATTCCGCGGTGGTGACGACCGTGCTCCTCCTCAAGGTGGTCTTGGTGGCCCTGGCGGTCCCGGCGGCTTTGGTGGTCCCGGTGGTCCTCATGATGGACCCGGAGGTCCTGGCTTCGGTGGCCCTAACGGCCCCGGTGGTCCTGGAGGCCCTGGTTTCGGTGGTCCTGGTGGACCAGGCGGTCCCGGTGGTTTTGGTGGTCCCGGCGGCCCTGGTGGTCGCTGGTAGAGCAATTTAGCTTAGTCTACGATAACGCCTATGAAATGATGCATGATCCAAACCGTTGGGTATCGACGTCGCGGGTGGGATTGGGTATTGAGAGTCGGTGGCTAGTGTTTGGCTGGTGCTGGTTGTTTTGTGCTTTTCGTAGGCTGACTGGGCACGGCTACAATCCTGCGCTGTTTCTCGCTCCGCCGGTCAATGAAAAATACCGCACTACGTAACGTCGCGTACATTCGCACAATATCTTTTGTTGTTCTCTAGATTGCCGTAACTTCTAATACTGCATTGCACAGCGCTGCCCACTTTCGCGCACTGCCACCTTACCTCTCCCTTCGTTTCCCTGGCCCTCCCAAATATATATTACCGCGCCGCAACACATCACTATTCAAACTACACCTTTCTTCGGCTCAAACAACCTGTCTTTTCCACCTTGTTTGATTTCTTTCCTTCTTTACAATTGTTCTATTTGTAAGAAGCATTCCTTTCAGATCTTAAAGAATGGAGAATTATCAAAAAATCGAAAAAATCGGTGAAGGTACGTTGGAAAAAGACGGAGAAAATATGCTGGTGAAGGTCTGCGTCTAACAGTGTTTTTATTTGTACAGGAACATATGGTGTCGTTTACAAAGCAAAACATAAAGCTACAGGCCGAATTGTAGCTATGAAAAAGATACGATTAGAAGACGAGTCGGAAGGTGTTCCTAGTACCGCTATCCGTGAAATTTCGCTGTTGAAAGAAGTGAACGATGAAAACAACAAATCTAACTGTGTTCGGTATGTCCATGGAAAATGAAACACTACGGTCGAGGAAGGTGCGATGAGATAGACGATGACGGAAGTGGACGATGGATGCAGAACAGACGTGGTACGACCTGAACAAGCCACATATCCGGCGTTTTGACTTCACTGATGTTGGTAACTCTTCCCGTTTCTATAGTCTCCGTGTTTACTCTTTCGATTTCGTTCCTTCCCTGACGGCTTTGTGTCTTCGGCACCCTCGCCTTTATGATTCGTTGTTCTCTTCTAACACGTTCAGGCTGTTGGACATTCTTCATGCAGAATCAAAACTCTATCTTGTGTTCGAGTTCCTCGACATGGACTTAAAAAAATACATGGATAAAATTCCAGAGACCGGTGCTACGCAACTTGATCCCCGGCTTGTGCGCAAATTCACATACCAACTCGTCAACGGTGTCAACTTTTGTCACTCCCGTCGTATTATCCATCGTGATTTGAAACCTCAAAACTTGCTGATCGACAAAGAAGGCAATCTGAAACTCGCCGATTTTGGTTTGGCTAGATCGTTTGGCGTGCCTCTCAGGAACTACACTCACGAGGTATGTAGGAACAGCGGAACCGACACAAAATGGCCCTTGCAGTGCCGCTAGTGTATGGATCCGTTTCCTTTTTTTTTTTGCGTTATTATTTTTAACACTCGATTTAGATTGTCACATTATGGTATCGTGCACCAGAAGTGCTTCTTGGTTCACGTCATTACTCGACGGGCGTGGACATTTGGAGCGTCGGTTGTATATTTGCTGAAATGATCCGTCGTAGTCCGTTGTTTCCTGGTGATTCAGAAATTGATGAAATCTTTAAAATCTTCCAAGTTCTTGGAACTCCTAACGAAGAGGTGTGGCCCGGTGTTACGTTGTTACAAGACTACAAGTCTACCTTCCCCCGTTGGAAACGCATGGATTTGCACAAAGTTGTTACTAATGCCGAAGAAGATGCCGTAGAGCTGCTAACTGTAAGTAACGGCGGTGGGAATATGCAGAGAAGTCTCTGAACGAATGGCTCAGTTTCGCTCATGTTTTTCTCCGATGCCAGCTCCTCCTCTTTCACATGTTTTTTACTAACTCCTCCTCGCCTAGGCTATGTTGGTTTACGATCCTGCACACAGAATCAGTGCCAAGCGTGCTCTTCAGCACAAGTACTTGCGTGACTTTCATTAGTTAAAAAGTGGCCCAAGCCTTCAATGGCGTCTATGACTTTGCATGTTCTATATTGTTTGTTAAAATACGCACACTGCCAACCGCTCTCGTCTAAACACACTCGTTTCTTCGTGATGTTTGATTTAAAAACTAAGCATTCTCATTTGTGTACCCCCAACATCAAGCTTTTTTATGATACCCAGGTGCTGTCTTGTTCGTTCATTCCCTTCTCCGCTAGTCGGCCTGTTTCTTTTCGTTTCGTTTCCGGTATGTGGCACTCGTCTGACAGTGCACACTGACATTTGATACAAAGTTGGAATTAGGGATTGCGCACGGCACGCACATACACACGATACGATTTTACCTACTTGCACGGATTTTCAATCAGACACGGGGACGTGTCCCACTCCTGTCACACTTGCACCCTCTTTCCTTGTTCCTTCTCTCGCCTCCGTCCACTGTGTCTACGATGGTCGTTGTTAATGTCCTCATTACTATTCGTCATAAATGTCTTCAGGATATGGCTCAGCTCCTTTCGGTCTCATGAAGAGTTGTTTGTTGATGTGTGGTAGGACACCACCACCGGCAATTGTGGCCCGGATCAGCGTGTCCAATTCCTCGTCTCCGCGAATAGCTAACTGGAGATGACGGGGTGTGATACGTTTTACTTTCAAGTCTTTTGCTGCGTTTCCTGCTAGTTCCAAAACTTCTGCCGTAAGGTACTCTAGAACAGCTGCACTGTAAACTGCACTCTTTGCACCGACGCGCATGCTATTCTGAGTTTTGGCTTTAAGAAACCGACGAACACGACCAACTGGGAATTGCAGGCCAGCACGAGCAGAGTGGGACATTTGTCCACGCTCTCCTCGCTTGGAACCCATTTTCCCTCCAATATATTTTCCTTTACCACCTCCAGACATCTTTGCAGTGCCAAAAAAATCACTTATTCCTGATTGATAAACAAGGACGAGAATTTGGTTTTCTGTGCGTACTGTTTATGGGTGGTGGTGCAGAAAATGTTTGGTGGTGAGTTTGCCTCACCACCAAAAAGACGCCCACGCATTTTTTGTGATTATTTGAGTCAGCAGATGGAAATTGAAGCAGAAGTACAATCGGTATATGGGAGACTGGCCCTACGTAGGACTTTTGAGAGTGGTATTTTATTTTGTACCCTTTGTATTGAATAAGCTACTGTGAATATTTTCCTGTCCATGTTTTTTGAAATTGTGGTCGAGGATGTGGAGGGATCCGCGAACTGTCCATAAACACAGTTTTATTGCAATTCTAGTTCGTTAGAGAATTGTTACTTAAAATAGTATGGGTTGGTTGTAAACAGAGCAATTCGTTAATGCAAGTAGTTTCTGTGATCAAGAGATTCCAATATGCTCCTGTTCCGTTCGGGAATTAAATTCAGAAATGTTTTTCAAAGATCAGTAACCACATTAAAGAAGCAACGAACGGGCTCCTCGCCTATCGGAAAGTTCCTGGGTATGTAACGGATACAGCGAGCTTCTCTTTTGCTAGACGAGATCAAGGATTTGCTAGAGGGGTTGTAGTAGGAATTACTTTGTTAACAACTCAGTCGTCGTACCTTTTCTCTGCCTTGGGTTGGGAACTTGGCAAGTGAAACGTTTGAAATGGAAGCGTGGCTTAATTCGTTCCATGAACGAGAGCTTGGACAATGATGCTGTTCCGCTCCCTTCACATATAACGTATGAATAACTGCCCTGCATGCTGTGCAACTATTAAAAACGCTGTCTGCTAACCAAGCACCTTTTAGTCAACAGGCATTAAAGGGACTTGAGTGGAAACGTGTTTGGATAGAAGGTCAGTTGCAGCATCATCAAGAAATGCTTGTTGGTCCCCGAACTGTTGACGGGTTCACGGGTTACCACGTTGTGACACCTTTAATTATGGGTGATGGTCGACGAATTCTTGTTAAACGTGGTTGGATTCCACGGGAACTGAAGGATCAAAAAAGCCGGGATCCGGCTTCTATGCCACAGGGAAAGGTCCGAGTGGAAGGTCTATTGCGTACGCACTCGGATCGTCCTTGGTACATGCAGAAAGACCGCTTGTCGAAAGATGAATTCTTTTTCGTGGATGTGAACGAAATGTCGACTTTAACGGGTAGTGAACCACTGTTGCTTGTCCAACTTGCAGAGCCAAATGAAACGACTGCCGCTGCTCAAAATGCCGCTAAAGATGGGTTTCCCATCGCTGAGCCTCGTGAAGTCAAAATCTTTAATAGTCATATGGAGTACATTATTACATGGTACGCGAGTAATTACGGGGCTTTCTCCTCTAACATTGTAGGTATTCGTTGGCCGCCGTATCAGCCGTCATGCTATACTATTTCCGCAAGAACGGCCGAAAAACTTTCCAGCAGGATGCCTTAAACGAGCGCATCGAGGCCATGAAACGTCTTTAGGCCAACACTAAACGAACTTGCTATTATGACCGTTTATGAGAAATGATAATGAAGATTTTATTAATTCAAATTGGATACATTAAAAATGAACCACCTTTTGAACCTTCGCGACAGCATCACCAACGAGGTGAGATGAGTTAAGAGCGTTGTCAACAATTTGTCTTCCATAGTCCCTGTTGTAAGGAAGCTGCAATGTTAGCTTAAAAATGTCTTGTCGTTCTCCACGTAAAAATACACGTACCTTTTCCTGTGCAATTGAAGAAGACAAAAATGAATGAGAAAGGATGTCAAGCAAGTGCTTGCGGGTTTGCTTTTTCTTTTGTTTGATGAGTCCGCTCACTGAGGAAATCTTTGCCAAGATATGATCGCGCAAAGCACGCACGCTGGCGTTATAAGCCTTCTTTCCAGAGCTTGGGGAATGATATGTGAAACTGTTAAGACAAGTAATGAGGTCATTCATTGTCTTTACTGGGTTAGTATATACACTTTTTAGAAGAAACGGCAACTTACCTCGAGCTCTTTCGAAAAGATTACATAGGGGGTATTAGGGGTGTAGGTTTCCGTCTTCAGTTGTTCAAGGATAGCGTTAAAACTATCGCTAAGATTCTCACCGGCCTTAACTGAGGGAGCCATCATGCCCAGTTGGATCAACACCTTAACATGTCTCAGCTCTTCAGGTGTAAGTTGAGCTTTAGCATCGGCAGTGTCCAACAACGTTTGCATAGCTTCTGCTGCTGACTTAGCCTTGTTGTAATCACCTTGGACGATGTGATCTTGAACCAACGTATGTCCATCAACGAAAAGATGAATCCAAGGAGTTCCGGGTTGAGGGGCATTACGCAGAAGTTCGTCTATCGTAGGTTTGTTTTCGTCGGTAAAAGATACCATAACACGAATGTCTCGGTTATCTTTAGGATTTGAGCATCTTGGCAAATACTCTTTAGGTGCCTTGTTTGAGGACAAGTAATGAATGCGAGCACGCTCAAGAAGGGTTAAGCTCTTCCAGGTACTATGATCCAAGCGAGAACGGAAGGCAACGAAATCCTCAATCTGAGAGTAGGCGCCCCGTTGATAAGCATCGAAAATCATCTCTGGGGTTTCGAGCTCATTTGCAGAATACAACTTCATGCAGTCATTGAGCTTGCTTTGAATATTATAACTTGGGTAAAGAGAAGTTGCGCGTGTCAGCAAATGATGAGCAAGGGTATCGTTCTGGACCTGCTTGATTGACATCGTATCATAAACGAACATGGCTGCTGGGAAACCACCGTCGAACATAAGATAAAGTCGAACAAGCAGAAGCTTGAAGTGATAATTGTGATAAGATTTTTCCAAAACTTTTTCCAAAAGCACAATAGCATCAAAAAGGACGGATTGGCAGTAAGCATTTCCAGCGGCCTTTTGCTCTGTGTACTCATCAACCAAGGTATGAACAGCCAGAAGAATGGACTCATAGCCGTACGAAAAGTCTGTGGGAAGCAGATCTTTACTCAAGTCCGAACCTATTTGGTACACATCTAAGCAATCCGAAATAAACTGCTTGCGTGCTTCCGTAGAGGAAATTTCGCCCAAAAAGTAGCGGAATTTTAAAAGAAGAACCGTTTTGTAAACGTATGAAAGTGTGTTTTCCTAAACATGAATGTTAGTTAAGAAAGAAGTAATTAATGAACAAGCTTACCTTGTCAGCAGCCAATTCAAGAATGTTACTAAGTGTAGAAACGAATCCAAGACGCTGTTCGCTCGTAAGCTCCTTCAACGTTCCCTTCACATCATCAAAAACAATCGGTTTAACGTATTGCTTTTTGATGTAAGTGAAAATGCTGTCCAATAACTCATCCTTAGCGAAAAGTTTGGTGAACTCAATGTGCAGAAGATAGATATTGCGTTCCACTTTAGAAGCAGAAAGCTTCTCCTTAATCAGAGATAAAACTGTAGAACGGCTAAATAAGGTAAGTAGACAAACAAAGCAAATGAAAAGAAAAGCACACGTACACGTTTTCGTCGTTTTTGGCACAGTCTAAGAGAGCCGAGCAAACCTTCCAGTCCAAATTTCCAGATTCAAACAGAGATTTGGCAGTCGTGAACAGACTGTCCCATTGGGCAAACTCACGCATTAAATTCAATTTCTTTAACAGGAGATCTGCGTCCGATTTCACACACTCGGATGCACGGTCAGAAGAGAGCAGCTTTAAAGCAACATCACCCTTTCCAGCAACTTTAAGCACATCAACGTATAAATGAAGCTCTTCATTCTCGAAAACAGTATCTTCTCCCTCACCAAACACTTTATCGGCAGAACGAAGCATGAGTTGCTTGAGAAGAGACACCTCCGTTGGGTTTTCCGATTTCATGCAAATAAGATACATGGTAAAGATCAGCCAAAGACTGTGTTGTCTTGAAGGAAAGTGTTTTTGCAGTTCAAGGGCAGCCTATACGCGTTAGTTCAGCTCGTACAAAAGCCAAATAACAGCTTGTCAGCAATCGTACCTTTCTCTGGTGTGCCAAGTTTTTCGTACGAATACAAGCCTGAAAGTACAGACTCAACCCTTTTTCATTGCGACCATTATGTTTCAAGTATGAGTCCCAAAAAACAAAAGATTCATCAGCTTGTTAGGTTAGCAGGTTTTGAAAAGAAAGATGAAAATTAAAATGACGATTCTGTTGAAACACAGAGCATTCGAGCAAGTTTCCGAAAGAAATTGACGATAGGATAAACTAAATTCCCATGGTATTTATCATCCATAAAGGAATAAATAAATTGCAATATTTACCTCTTCCCTGATCAGCGTAAATTGCTTGAATGATATTAATGGTCTCAGGATCACTAATAGGACGCGTTTTCAACGTCTCAAGCAATTTAATGGCTTCCGCACCGCGTCCTCCCTTGGCCAAAGTGAGTGCCGAGTACACCTTGTCATTAGCAGACTGTTATTACTGCATATACACGTACAACTGTCGATTCCTTCTGCAAAGAACGGTGCATCCTGCCTTTCCTTATAATACGGTTCTCGCGAAAGCATACTTTGCGAACCAATCCTATTTTGGTGGTAGTGCAAATTAAGCTTTTCACATGCTGTGCGCGTGCAGCGCTTATGTCAAGTAAAGTGATCACATGAATCCTATTCCTCGTCAAGGGTTCTAATTCGTGCGTCACAAATGTTTAACGCATATATTTTATGTTGAGGGATGACTGTATAAAACAACAAATTAGCATGTACATACAGTTGTGTTTAAGCATAGTATTTGCCAAGGATCTGCAAGTTACCCCGCGCCCCGCTCTTATCTGATGTCATGCAGGAGTAGCCGCATAAAGTCTCGTGCCAGCAGAAACGGGTAGGATCGGCAACGCGTTGAGTACGAAACCTTAACCAACATGTATGCACTGCAGTTAACTCCAGAAGAGGAGCAGTGTTTCTCCTCGTACTTCACTCAATTAACGGATACTGAAAACAACGAGGTTTCTGGACAGACGGCGGGAAATTTTTTGGTGAACTTTGGCGTTGATCATCAGCAATTGGCAGTTGTACGATTGAAAACGCGGAGAATTTTCTTTTTAAAACTTTCTAACCATAGATTTGGGATATCTGTGATGAAAGACACAATGGATATTTGTCTCGTAATGAGTTCGCAGCTTGCATGCGTTTAGTCTCACAAGCTCAGAATGGAATTCCTCAGAAATCATGGGATGTTTATAAAGGTTCGTTACATGTTGCTCGTACATATGTGTATCTTCATGGAACAACTGTTTACACGAGTTACAATTGTTTCCGGAACAGTTTTGCTTACCTTTTAGCTGGACCGGTTCCTCATAAACAAAACGTGTCCAAGCATACGCATTCTCACAGTTCAAACTCTTCACAAAGACACTCTTCTCATGGAACGAGACGTCATTCGGTGGTCGATATGTCCATATTTACGAAACTTGTGACGGAGGAAGAACGGATTCAGTATGGTACAGAGTTCGATGAGATTCTGAAACAGCATCCTGAGATTGTTTCCATTCCAGGACAAGATACCCTTCTTCCAGGCACTATTGCTCGTGACGTATTCACACAGACGGGCCTTCATGTTAGTGTATTGGCTCAAATTTGGAATTTGGCTGACTTTACACATCGTGGAAGTTTAAACAAGGCAGAATTTGTGCTTGCAAAGCACCTTGGAGCATTGTGCAAGGAGAATAATGTTAAACATCTTCCAAAAACCATTATTCCTCAAGTGTACGCTTCAGCTGCTGGTGCTCCTGAGACAGCTCATGTCTCTGTTTCTCCTCCCGTTTCATCGTCTGCACCCGTGGAGGGACCTGCTCTGGGAAGCAGTTCCTCAAAGATAGACAAATACATGTCTGCTCCGAAGGCTGTTGAGGTTCCTGATGTTCCGGCTGCAGGTTCTTCTGTTCAAGCATCAGAAGTAACGATTACCCCAGCGGTTATTCCAGAAGCTGCAACAACAGCCATTCCAACATCTGATTTGGCTACTGCCCCAGTGGTTGCTTCGGCTTCAACTTTTGAGCCTATTATCGCTCCACCTGTTGAACAAACCGTGCACTATGATCCCGAGACGCTTCCAGCAGAAACGCCTGCTCCTTATTCATCTTCTTCCGAAGAACAAGACCCCGTTGCAGAATTGGCGAGAAGAATTCTTGCCAACGATCGCAACAATTATAACTCTCTGTTTGACAGAATTGACAAACAAAGAAAGGGGTACATTACTGGTGAGGACTCGGTTCCCTTCTTTGTGGCCTCTCGTTTGGACGCTGACGAGCTCGCAAAGATTTGGGACTTGGTAGACGTGAAAGACTCGGGTATTTTGGATAAGAACGGATTTGCCGTTGCGATGGAACTCATTCGGTTGCGTCTCACGGGAAAAACAATCCCAGACACGTTGGAGGAAGTTGAATCTCAACTCATTACGCTTCAGGTAGCAGAGCCGAACCAAGCTCCACAGCCAACAGAACCCTCGATTGCTCCAGAGCCCGTGAAGCCATCAATTCCTATTCAACCGACTCACTCCTATTTGGACGATTTGAAAGCATTAGAGCCTGGTAGTAGCAGTGCACCTCCAGATGTGCAAGGCACGCCGACAATGGATATAAACGGTCTCGCACAACCGGCTATTGCTGATGACGAGAAGCCATTGTCAGAGCCGGCATTTGCTGATGACAATGAGGCGACTGAGGCTGTTGAAGAGCAAGACCATCTTTCAACCGATATCCAGAGATTAAACTTGGGAGCAATGGACACGTCTGCAACGGAAGAACCGTCTTCAATGACAGAGTATGTCACTGCCGCTGCTATGCCAGAGCCAACAGCAACTGAGCCCGAGAATGTTCCGCCAACATCTTCTGCGGACGTTGTTGTTAAAGAAGTCGATGAAAGTCATGAAGAACCGGCAGCTGTTGCCGCAGAAGAAGAAGATTCTGACGTTTCTTCTTCTGCATTTGAGTCAATCCGTGAGGAAATTCAGACTACTCGAGATGCAATGGAGGCTTCTGCTCATAATCATCAAGTGCTTGAAAAACGTGTTCACCATCGTCGTGAGCAGTATCGCAAGTTGCAAGAGGAGCTTACAAGTTTGGCTGCCGAACGAGACCGTCTGCATCAGCAAGTGAGAAGATTTTTGATGGAAGAGCAGCAATTGAACTCATCTATCCACGCGACGAATGTGGAACGTGAGAGCTTAAAGAAAGAAGTGAACGAGCTTCGCCAGAAGGCCGATGCTACAATTGGCACCGCCGCCGCTTCTGCATCTGCCCCCGTACCTGCTGCTGTGAACACTTTGCGAACCTCTTCTTCGACATCCGCAAACACGATTCCCCAGACTCAAGCCTTCTCCTCTTCCCCTGCCTATCGGTCGTCGCCTTTAGCTAACGGACCAAGTTTGCCTTCCAGAAGCACTAAATCTCCGGCTACTAACAACGACGAGAACCTCTCCCAACTCCTTGACATGGGTTTCGACAAAACGAGATGCGAAAATGCTCTCCAAGCAACGAAGGGAAACGTTGAACAGGTATGTTTTGCTAAGCAAATGATCAACTACTACTGCTCAAGTCTTGTTGATCCTTGTCTGCGCTCGCTAATCTCCCTTCCTCCCAACTTCTCACCAATTACTAACCATGATTTTTTCAAGGCCATTAACATATTACTGAACTGTAAGTAACTTTCATTGTACACAGCACAAATAAATGCCGCGTCAACTAGACCAGCAGCTTAGACCTCAACCATTTCACGCAATCTACGAATGGTAGAACGAGCGCTAGTGGCAGCAGCAGTAGAAACAGTCCAGGCACCGCCAGCAATGATCTTGCCACAGTTCTTGCCGGTGCACTTCCAGATACCTAAAAAAAGAACCATGTTAACACACACAACCTCGATTTCGCCTATCCAACTCTCCAAAACACTATTTCCATTAACTTACCAGCGGCTTGACGCTTCACGGTAGAACGACCGCAAAAAGGGCACTGGTAACGGGCATGTTGCTGAACCTCGATCTTACGAATGTCACGACGGAGGGAAGCACCGTAACGGACACCGTACTTTCCAGTAACACCGACTTTTTTCGTACGCTTGGTCATTCTGGCTGGTTGGCGGATGGAACCATTCACAGGTTCGTTTGTTTCGGAGGACCCTCCTGTGACCGTTATTATTCTAGGGTAGGGTTACCGTTCCTACGACGAATGAAGGTTGACCAGAGCAAAACACTATGGTAGTGATGAATGGATGCAGTAGTTGTAACGAAGCAATACCGCGGTTACCATACAGATTAAACGTTTTTAAACAATTGTACACAATAACAGGAGGAAGTAGAACACAAGTGGTATTTTGTCGTAAGGTAGTTTTGTAATTTTTTGTGTGAATTTGAGTTACCCGGTCTGTTAACATTGAACAGTTTACAAGAACAAGGACCCGTATTTCTAGAATGAATGAACAAATATGAAAACAACGCTTTGTAGCTGTTGCAAAAATGAATAGCGGAAATTGTTTTGTTGTGAGTCGGTAAAGTTCATGCTATTAGGTGTGAGGACAGCTTTGGTAGTTGAGAAACGTAGTTGTAACGAAGGACTTGAATCAACCCAGGTTACCCGTTTCAAAGGCGTTGGCCTGCGTGCAGATAGCAGCGGCTTCGTTAAGACTGAAGTTTTTGCTGGTAACAAGCTTATATACTGCGGCACCAACAGCTTTTGTGAACGGTCCGTGCTTTTCCAACTCAGCAAGGAACTCGAGCTGCGAGGTGACGGGTTGGTTGTCCGCAGTTGGGAACTCAACAGCAGCCGCAAACACAAGTTGTGTTAACTGACTCAAATCAATAAGGTGTTGTTGATAGTGAGGCAGAGCAGAGTTGTACACACGCAAACACGCCGGTTGATTTTGAATGAAGGTGAGGTTTTGGAGCCATTCAACCTCAGAAAACCCGGGATTCCGTACTGGCGGAGCGCCCATCTGAGGAGGAGGAAGCGGTTGAGGAGCGGATGATGATTTCATTGAGGAAGATGGAGGAGGTCCCTTAGGAATGGCGTTCGTCCGTGTGACAGGAGGTTGCCCTCCATCTGCGGAAGCGTTGCCCGAGCGCGAAGAACGGGCTATAGGTCGAGGAGGTTCAGGAGCACCCCAACCTCCAGACATGTCTTCTTCCATGTCCCATTCTGATGATTGCGTATTCCATGTGGTTGGTTCCATGGGAACATGATTTTGTTGTCCAATCTTGAGACCGTAATGGTCTGCCCATTCGTTGTTGTAAGTTGCGACAGAATCGGTTTCTCCCCAACTTGCCGATTGATTGCCCCAACCTTCTTCAACATCCTCTTCGTCCCCGGCCCATTGCATGCTGCTGTCTGTCGCAGTCGGTATTTGTGTGTCTCCATCAAACCAACTAAGCTTAGAAGCCGCCGAGGATTGGTTCGAGGGGGAAGCAGGTTGGTTTTGTGTTTGCCAAGGAACACTGCTTTCTGTGCCAGTGTTTCCCCAACCGCCGTTGTCTGTGCTTCCCCAACCGCCGGTGTCTGTGCTTCCCCAACCATTGTCGCTCATCGCCATATCAGATTGCATAGAATCATGTGCGCCAAACCGCGATGTTTTGAAGGAGGCCTTGAGGAAGACATCGGCTGGGAGAAACGATTGCGGGCGCTGTCATCGAGCGGTTGACCAAAATTGTCCTCAGTCCGACCAGTGAATTTCCGTTTCATGATTGGCACAGGTGGCTTCGGCGGCTTTGTGGATGATGGTGACTTTTTGACGGATGGTTTTGTTTTTGGTACTGGTTTAGGAGACAGATTCTTCTTCGACGACCGCTTTTCCGGTTCAGCAATTTCGGGTGTCGATTTGGTACTGCTTACAGTGGGTTTGTCGGGTTTTCGTACAGTTTCTTCCAGAGCCGTTAGCAATTTTCTCTGAGAAAGCATTTCTGTTCTACAGAAAACTGCTTCGTCTACCAAAGCACTCAGCTCTTCGTCTGGCCGCTCTTCCAGCTTTGCATTCCAGTATGAACTAAACAATTCGTGAAGCCTTTCAAGAGACAAAATCGTTGAACGTTTCAGAGCAGCTTGGTTCTCTGGAAACTCTGAAATGCATGCCAGAAATGGCAGCGAGCTGAGATGCTTTTTCATTTCTTCGTTCATTTTAGGCTGTTGAATAATACACATAGAAAAAGTTCACAAAACAGTACAAAAAAGACGCCTAGAGAAAGCGGGAAAAAGTGGCAGACTTAGAAAGAATAATTCCTTACGTTTTTATAAAAAGATTTGCAGTAAACTGCACCAATTGCAAAAATTTACAATAATATAGAATAGGCGTCGCGCCAGGTTGGGCGTTCGCTGGGCGAGGTCGTGTCCGTAGTAGTATTATATGGCAAAAACCAGCTGTTCATATGAAACCCTCTGTAGTAGTTAATATAGCGGTAAATGAAGACTTGCAGTTGCAGCGTACAGTTTAATCTTTTTGTCGAATGAAGTTCAAATGAATTTACTGATCCAACAAGCAAGTCTTTACTGAAGCATATAGTAGACACATATACACACACACACACACAATTGTACACGCTACAAGCATTGAAACGTCCAGTTTACATAGTCTCCATTAATACTCATGTAGGAAGAAGAGCTTTCATTAAATGGTTCATAAAAAAATAAAGAACAAAAACAACGCAGAACCGAACGTTTTGACAATAGAAGATTGGAAAGCGCTCATCTGCTTTTAATCGAGAGTAGGAAACAGTGAGAAATTAGTCGCATTCGTATCGTCTTCTTCAAATGAATAGGCATCCAACGACGAGAAATACTCTCGATTTGCCTCTTCGTCGTCAGCAACCGCAGACGAAAGCTGTACGTCTTCCATGTGCAAAGACGAATTCGAAGACTGAGTGCCGGCGGGTCTGCTAGTGGGTACGCGAAGGGATATAGTGTAATCCGTGGACCCTAGCACATTGTCAGCGAATGCAGGGTCAAGAAGCTCACTATCCACTACGAGTTCCTCTTCGTCACCCATGTTCTCGTCTAGCGTCATGGCCGTCATGTCAGTATCGGTGGTAGCTAAAGTGTGATGTTTTTGGTCAGCTGCTTCTCCTAAAGGAAGCTTGGGTGTTGCTGGAAGCGAATGTCCATCTTCTCTTCCCTCCGTTTCTGGTGATATATTTGTATGTACAAGAGATGATTGATCCCGAACGGAAGCGTTGGCCTCTGTGTCTGCAGCTGTTGCTTGCGGCTTAGGGGACGGCGCTGTGGAAGGTACCGCACGGACACGTATGGGTTGCCCTGGTAGAAGCTCCGGCAAGATAAAGCGATCCAAGTCTGGAAGCTTGTCAAAGTCGTGCCAGTTGACCGGCACTCCGTCTACGAAACGAATGTTCGGGACTTTAATTTTTGGATTAAAGTACGAGGAGTCGTGCTGTTCGGCGGGTCCAGAAAGAGCCAAGACATGGTCATAGGAAACCTCGAGCATTTCTGCATTTTCGCACTCTAGCAGCAACATGTGCTCGTCCGGCCGGTCTTCCAACACCCGGCCCCAGAATACAGGCCCTCGAGCAAAACGGACTGGGATGGGCAGGCCACGGATGGGAGGCGGATGGAGAGGGTGCTGCTGGACAGCGGGCACTAGAGGGGTATATGTGAATGGCGGTTGTTGTGCTTGAGGGCTATTCGGTTTCGCAACATTCGTGTCCGAGGAAGGCACCGTCGCCGTGACAGACAGGGAGGGGAGAGGTTTCGGATTGGGATTCCACAGCTCAGAGAGCGGAATCGGAGTCGGGTGAGGTAGTAAAGGAGGTGAAGGTGGTAGGGATTTTGGCGTTTGTGAAAGTACTGGATGTTTAGATGCACTCAGAGAATGGTTCGGGGAGTCAGAAGACACGGTTGCAGGTGCGGCTGCAGAGGTAGTAGTAGTAGTAGTAGTAGAATAAGGTATAGGAAAGAGTGACGATGTTGGTGAAGAGTCGAGAAACTCAACATTACCTGGCATAACCGCAGATGCGTTGGGATAGGGCGCATAAGGAAGAGAAGGTCGAGATGGAGAATGAACTGGGGAAACGTCTACAATGTGCAAAAGATCGGGATTAGACGGAGGCTGGAACTGGAAAGGGTCTGGACAAGCAAGTTTTGGGTGGTGGATATGAGGCCACGTCTGTTGTGAGCTGAACTGCATGTTTCTGACATAGTCGAAACGATTTTGACATTTCGAAGTGAACGCAAGACGGTGGAGCATCGCATTGCCAAGGAAGAAGGCACTGTGGAAGGTATCGGGGAACGTGAGCACAAATTCATTTGCATGTTGAAGAAAGGAGTGTACCGTTATACCATTTTTAGATAGAGAAGAGGGAGGAAACAGCGTTGTTTGGTGCAGTAGAAAGTCTTCGCATTCCCAGGCCTCTTCCCGAGCAAGACGTCGTGCCAAAGCCTGGAACTTTTCGTTTTGGGAAGGAGGAATCACATACCACTGAAGCGCAGAGCCCCCGCAATGCATATGAGCGGCGCACAATTGCGGTGCTTCGCACCGACAAGGCAATGTGGTTTTCCAACGGCCGACATACGTCGTTCCCGACGCACGAGCTGCTTCCTCCTCCTCTGCGCCGTTCGTTGAGGCGGCGTGCCTCTGTGCAAACTGTGCCCGTACCAGTTGCTGCAGCCATGATGCCCACCAATGCTGTCGTTTGCCATTTTGAGGGTCGAAGGCCCACTGTGGGAGGGTGCAGAGCCCGCAGACAGATTTTTCGTGTGTCAATGTGCGCCAGTAGAGCAAAATGGCCCGAGCGATGCCTTGTTCCGGCGTCGTTGACCGTTCGTCCTGCTGGACGCCGGCGCTCGTCGGCGTCGAAGCCGTGGAGACAGACTCACTCGCCGTTTGGTCAGACGTTGTGACCTCGAAGTACTCGCCACGCCGTTTTATTTGTTGTTCGAACCAGTGGATGCCTAGGGAAGCATCCGGCCTCGAGTCAGTCGTCCCCGGACGCGTCGAAACATGGTTCAGATGGGCCTGTACGCGTTTTTTGTAAGTAGAATTCAGGTCGGCAAAGCCGCTGGGCGTTGCAATCTTGATTGCGCCGTATACGATCCCGTGGATGTGAACCTTTTCCAAAAACGCCTCAAAATTCTCGATTTGAGCAATCGTCTGTATGCACAACGGCGTTAGAATACACGCTTCTGGTTGCAAATCAACTTACCGGCTCGAAAACGGGGACTCCGTCACCGTCACCATCAATGAAATGCGACACGTCACAGTCGCAGCCCTCGAGAGCGCATTGCCGTCGACTTTCGCTACTCACAGTATCATGTACACTTACTGGTGACATCGTGAGGAAGAAAAAGCGAGAAAGACGGACAATATTAGTACCATCTGTTCCGTAAAGGAAGGTTGGGTGTGGTGAGGTGTGTCTTCCGGTGGATACAACAGGAAGAGCTGATCCTACGGACAGCGGATTACAGGATGTGCCGTGGACGTGTCGATGAGTATCGGCGCACGAATGTCAACGACTTTGTCCTAAACGTGTATATGCCTGGGACTATGTCAAGAGTTTTTGGTGGAAAGGGTCCATTTCACGCGAGCAGATTTTTGGCGGCAACTGAAATTGTGACTTTCGCTTACTTAAGCTTAATTTACGCTTAAATTAACCGAGGCATCCCTGGCCGAGTCGCTGACATCATTTGCGTAAATTAAGCTTTTTCACGCGACGCGTCTTTTCATTTATACATCGTTCGTTATTCGTTTTTTTTTATCAACACGTGAAAACAAAAACCTCGGCTTTAACAAATCCCGTTTTGTATATAATGAACAGCAATCTGCTGCTTTCACGCCACAGTTTGCTGTACTCCTCACAGCTGTTTGTATTTTTCAATTCTGGTTTTGCCGGATTTCGCTCGTCTTACAATCCATTGATTGCTCGAAACTTGTTCACGATGACTATAAAAAAATGGCCCGTAGTCGGTAAGGCACACAGACTCGCTGTTCGTGCCATCCACATTCCTTTCCACGTCATCCATATGCCTGGACGTGCTGCTCATGCAGTAATTACACCGGCTCAGCACAAGGAATACCAGCAGCCTAACATGCCGGCTGATTACACGGAGCAGACGCAGCAATTGCAGCCCGGTCAGGTTCAGGACCAAGCTCAGGTTCAGACTCAGACTCAGACTCGACCAGAGCAGCAATTGCGGGTCCAGCCAGAAGGACAGCCAGAAGTGCACTTGGACAGTAGACCAGAGTTGAAGCAAGAGTTGAAGTCAGAGGGACAACTAGATGGTCAACTTGATGGTCAATTAGAGGGTCAAGCATATGCTCAATCGCAAGTCCAGTCACAATCACAATTAGAACAGCAGCAGCGTGAGTACCATGTTCAGCCGGCTGTTAAGAGACGCTGTGCTCATTGCTACGTCGTGAGACGTGACGGTGTTCTGTACATCCAGTGTACGAAGAATCCTAGTCACAAGGCCCGTCAAGGATAAATATATATTTCTTACTTGGAGCATCGGTCATTGTTTTTTTTGCGCTAACAGGAGCAATTGGACTCTTTTCAACATTTTTGCACATCTGTTTTGACCGTATACTGTTATAACAGTGGTTTCAAGAGCTTTTATAGTCTCGGATGGACGAAGAACTGTATGTTAAGTATCAAAGTGGAAACCTTGCGAACGGGACTTTTAGAAGCTGGACGTGACTTACTCGAATCCTTCATGTGCTCATGCTCAATTACTAAAGTTTTATTTCTTACGGATGCAACTGGTTGCATCACCTGTGTTTTACTAATGCCATTGTTGTCTTCATGGTTTTTATCACCCGTTCTCTCTTTTTCTTCGAAACCTTCCTTCAGCTCTTCCACGGCTTTTTAATTCACTGGGGTTGTTTTCTTCGCATTTAATAAATGATATACGGTTATGTTATTGCTGTGTTCAGAAGTTGTTCTGTACGAGAGAAATCAAACGACTTGAAAGAATGGACGGTTTGGCGCCTCGACACACCTGATGAAACCAAACCAGCATGAAACGACTCCACACAGAACGTAGGTTTACAGATGCATCATTTTTAACAGGAGGTGATAGTCGAAAACTGGGCCTTTTTCGATATTAAACTCGGAGCTTTCTAAGCCGTACTCGAAACATTGTCCATTTTCGGGCACCTTCATTTTTTACCCTTCAAACTGCTAAAACACTTTAAGGAAGCTCTGTATTTCTATTCGGAGGACTGCTGCACACTGTTGGCGAACGAAAATATTCTGTAATCCTGTTGTTAAACGATTTGTAGGAAATGCAGGTCAATGCACATGCTGACCAGGACCTGGATCGGGATGTCCACGAAATCGATCTAACGGGCACAAAAGGGAAAGAACTTCTTCAAACTCAAATTGAACTGCGTTCCCTTTCACGGGTCGGTAATTCAGACTCTCATTTGGAATACGCATCTTCACAAAAATCCCAAAACAGATCCTTTATCGAGGCAAACCACACACCCCCGAAGATATCCATTGCGCTTATTCTGTTGAACAGCTTTTTGCTCGATGTGTCACTTACCATTGTTGTTCCCACCTCTGCAGCGTATACTGAACATCTCGGTGGTAAGGCTTCCTTCTCTGGTTTGACAATTGGTATTCCAAATCTCATTGCTCTTTTGTTTATGTGGCCCGTGATTCGATTTGCATCTCCTAAAAGTGCCCATGGCTACACGCTTTACTTTCGGCCGCTCGTCATTTCTGGTGTCTCGAGTATTGTCGGTAACCTCTTCTACGTTTTCGCCGGTAAGAGCAATGTGTTGTACTTCATTTTAATCGGACGTATCCTAAACGGTGCTGCGTTTACAATGTTTTTGTTTCACAAACGCTATCTGACAGACAAATTGCTGGTCGGTGTTAATAAGCGAACGTTTCTAGGAGGGCTTAACATTCTTGCTCAAACATTCGGTATGATGGCCGGTCCCTTTATTGGTGGTCTTATGGCAAAGGCAACGATCCATTCCAAAAACGCTATCTGGAATCAATATACCTCTGGTACCTGGGTTTGGACGGGTGTTTGGGTTGTGTATTTGATCGCTTCAGCATTCCTTTTCAAAGAGGTCACTGGTAATGGAATCGCTCAAGAAACAACGCAGCCGGAGAACGATACTCCATCCGAATCGCAAGTCAAGCTTTCAAAAACAAACAAGTTTATGCTTTTTACTCTTAGTCTTGCAGCGTTTGTATCTTATTTCACTATTGATGGCTATCAAACCAGTATTCCCATTTACACAGAAAAACAGTTTGGCTTCTCAAACTTCGCCTCTGGTAATTTCCTTGCTCTCGGAGCTTTGGTGATTGCACCCTTCGTTCTGTGCAGCTCGTACATGTCTCGCTGGTTGGGTGATAGGGAAATTGTCCTGTACAGTCTTCTTCTTGGCCTTTTTGGAGTCCTGTTGCACATAATTCTTATTTCGGCACATGCAGTAACAACTGTAAGCTACTTTTTTTCCTACGTAATCATGTTTTTGGGACTCAGTATCACTGTGGGACCGCTTCTTTCACTGCTTTCCAAACAGTTGCATCCACGATACCATGAATTGGCTGGCTTTTCCATTCAGTTTGCCGTATGCACGAGCAACACAATCGGCTCTGTCTGTGGTAGTTCCATCTATTCCATTACGCCCATTGGATTTGCTATACTATGTCTTGCACAAGTCGTACTTTGTCTTACCTGCTTCCCCTTTCTGTGGTCGAAACTCAAGACGAAGCTCAAGTAAATTACGGACTACATCATTGTTTCTTGTTATTGTTTTTCTTTCGAGTTGTTTGTTTGTGCTCAATGTCATTCTTTTATTCTGTCAAGCTTCTTACATATCTGTTATTTACTACGAAATACGCAAGTTAGCTACGATCAATGTAACAAGATCGTAGATTCAAAATACGACTACTAATAGATACATTATTTTTTATTGTCAAAAATCAAAAAGTTGAGTATTTATTTTGAGTTTTAATGCAGAGATTCAATTTCCATACTTCAATATCACGGCGTATTTTATGAAGTCGAATAATAGCAACTGTGTCTGTTCCCGTGGTGCCTTGTATATGATTTTGCGTTAACGGTATAAATCATTTTAGGAATTTATTCGTTGCATTTTATTTATATACTAGATGTCCAATAAAATATTGTATATACTCGAAAATTACAAGTTTATAGTTGACATTTATGCTACCGACTAGAAGCTATCTATTGAGTTATTTAGTGCAAACTTCATAATGAATGGAAGTGTTAGGTTTAATATCGACAGAATAGAACTATTACCAGTTTACTATGATTGCTTTTAAGTTTTTTGCAGTACACTGATGGGGTTTTGAAATACAATTTCTTATTGATTAGTATTATAACGATTAACTATCTTCAACTTGATTCTATATTTATCAATACATGTTAAAATAAATCCATTGATACTATTAAATCCTCTATCCACTCAACATGAACATATAATAATTGCTTTTAATTACTGTTTAACCAAAGTTCTTATTTATATCATATAATAGTGATTATTAAATTTCTTTAACATTTTTATTAATTACATAGCATTCAAAATTCGTCCGTTTAAAAAAAGTGAACAGTACATTTACTGCTATACTGCATTAGGATCTGAATCACCGCTACAATGTAAATCCAATGCGTTCCTCTTATACAGTTATCTTGTCTCATAGTTTACTATTCACACATATGATACAACAATTGAAAACATTCATTGACTAACAGAATATTTCTTTGACATAATCAAACAGGTCATTTCTAACTCATAACTTATCATCAGCTAAACGCGCAACTTCCGCGACAAGTTTTTTCTCTAGCATCTCAATATTAGTTTGACACTTGAGAATTTTCTGATTAAGGTACTGCGCACGGGTTTTAATTCCTTCTCCAACGTAAACATCTGCCAAGGATTTTAATTCATCTTCCGAATTTTGCAGCGTTTTGGTCCAGTGCTTTATCAGAGCTGTTAAACGAAGACTTTCCATGGTTGTTTTAGTAACGGGATCCGAAAGCAATTGATGGAAAGCAGATACGTAAACCGGCTTTCCCGGAAGAACCGTTTCAGGCCTTGCATTTTTCGTGGTAATTATTATAAGATCGGATTCCTCAAGAGATCGTAGAATTTCCTCATTATTTGCAAAAATAGGATCCGTCATCAACTTATGATACGAAATGCGTCCGTTGTTAGCCAATGTTTGAATGACGGTCCAAGCTTGCTCAGGTGAGTATGCAGAAGTTCCATTGCCTAATGAAGAAGACGGTGGGCGCAAGAATGTTTGAAGAATATCGGATGCATTTTGGTTAACAATGCTATTAACAGCATCATCTACATCGGCTTTGCTTAAAATCAGTCTTCTAACCAAAAGATCCAAGTCACGCAGACGTCCACCCACTCTGGGAAGGAGCTGTTCTAAACGTTTCTCCACCTCTTTGGTCCGTAGTCTCTCTGGAAGGGAATAAAGCACGTATGACTTAGCAAGAGCTGGATCCGAATCACCGAAAAGCAGTGACTTATTTTCACGTCCATCGACAAACTGTTCCAGTGACTTGGCACCTCCAATGTCTGGTGTAAGCATAACCACACGGGCAACTCTGTCGCGCACTAACGAGCCCGCCCATGAGGCAACAAGACGTTGCAGAGGATCTGTTAGTTTACGTAATTGGAAATTATCAAACACCACAATAGGTAGTTTCTCCGTGTGAACATCCAAGTATTCCGTCTCATCCAAGTCTGCGTCACGATCTTTGCTCCGTTTGGAAAGTGCAATTGAGCGTAACACGTTTTGAACGGTACCCAGTATTCTGGTAGCTTGAGCTTCAACACTAGAAGAGAAGCCAATCTTTTGCCCAATTAGACCTTGGGCCGCAACATCAACAAATGAAGAAAGTGAGTTGAGCTTGTTAAATAGCGGGAAATAGCCAACCTGACTGGCAAGCACGTTGACAAATACTGCTCTGTTGGAAGGAGCAAACAGCTTATCACAGTCTAATATAAGTACATTATCTCTTGTCTCAAGAACTTTGTCAATCAATTCACGTTTACCACTGCCCCTTGGTCCTTGAATAACAATGAACGAATGGAAAGTCTCGTTAAGCCATTCTTCAAGCTGATTACGGTCACGCTCTCGTGTTCTCCACAACGGCGACGTGCCTGCTGCAGGCTTGTTACTTTGAAATGGATGAATTACAAAATCCAATGAATTCTTTTTAAGCCAAGAAAGCGGATTTAACTCTCGTAGCCTCCGAGCATGTCGTATATTGGCTTCCACAAAAAACTGACGAATAGGATCAAATAAAGAAGCAGTTATAGCAGCCAGAAGAGCAGCTCCTAAAGGAATTGAAAGACGAGGATGAGAGAAAATCCACGAGAAAAAAGAACTGAAACGCTTTTTGCTCACAAATCGAATACTGAATCGAGTTCCCGTATGCTTGTATTTGTAGCCATGCAGACAATTGAGCGCAGAAGTTGCACCACGTAATGAGTTATACTTAAGCGAAGCTGTATTAGCACCGTCAATCTTTACAAACGCGAGTTTACCGTAGGCGCGGAATACAGAATAGAGTTCTTCTTCAGAAAGAGTGGGTCCGTCAAAAGTCACACGAAGTGTTCGAGAAGGCAAAACATACAAGTCTTGAAGCCAAGGCTGGCCGTGAACAGCATGCAGTTTCGGGGTGGAAAACGGGTGGAGTATAGATTTTACAGGTTCCTTGTCGTATTGTTTCTTTAACAACTCAGAAACGCTTTCCAAATCTGTTGGCTTGTCAGGCAAATCGACAATTAGAAATGCGCCCCCGTCTTGCCAGCGAAACAGTACATCGCTCAATTTAAGATCGGTGTTTTTGGGAAACGATTCATAAATCTGTTTTCGCAGATTTCCCTGAAAAAGCATGGAAACATACTTTTGAATTTGGAAAATGGACGGAGAGTGTACCAAATTATCCAAAAAGAAAAGCTCTTGATTGGACTTTGTGTGCAAGTGACCCAAATCATGTTTGACAAGAGCATGTACATAACGTTTAGCGAAAGCTGGTTTCCATAGCAAATTACCAAATAATCGGGACCGGCATGTAGTAAGCGGAAGCATCTTTTAAAGAGAGATGAATCCTACAAAAAATTGACTAGAAACGTCAAATTTTGCGTATGCCGGACGTTTCAATGCGAAGGTGGGAATGAGTGCACCGGATACGAGGCAAAAGAAGAAGATTAGGAATACAAATAGCGGTAATAAAAGGAATGAAGCATAACAACACAATGCTTGAAAAAGAAAATAACTAAAACGTTATAATTCAGAATTTTTGGTTTTTAATACTCATCAATTGAATCGTAAAAATCAGACATCTCTTCATTCGTAACATCAGCATCCAAGTTCACCTCGTTCGTGTCAACTATTCCATCTTCACCAGAAGGCGTCTGAACCGAATCCAGCAAACTGTCCATTTGCTCATATGCGTCTTCATCATCTTCGTCATTGTCCAAATCAACTTCTGCATCAATATCCTCTTCTCCTCCAGCTTCCTCGGCTACTTGTCGAGCCTGTTCTTCCAGTTCAGCTTGTTCTTGGAGCGTTTTGTTAATCCCAACTGGACGAATCCAAGTATAACCATAAGTTGCACATCTTTGTTTCTGTCCAAGTTTTGTTAGTAAGAAAGCCAAAAGATCACAAAGGCTATTTAATGAAACATTCTGTCTTACAGCTTCTTCTAGTTTAATTTCCTCACAATTTAGCTCAGTCATTGATGGTTTCGTATCTGTGTACCACAGCTTGTAGGCTGTAGAAGACATTAAATTCAAGAGAGACATAATGACTACGCCTAAATCCAGTAGTTTTACGTCGTGTAGATTGTTAGTACGAGTTCAATGCCAGAAATGGTAGTTGGTAAAAGTCAAGTTCGTTCAGCAAATAAAGTTTATTTAGACGCGACGCGAACTACAGGTGTCACATATTCCCCGAGGTTAACGGATGGAAGGCAGACGTTAAATAGCACAGACTTTACCTTCTATTCATCTCTCTCCTGTCATATAGACATTACATTGTTTCCTAATATGCAATAATCTTGTTATTGCATTTAACGCGTTGCGCGTCGCGACACGTCACAAAGCTTAACCTTAATTTTGAGTGTACTCATCGTCGTACTGCCCGTCAGGGTGCCAACCTAACCACTACCACTACCTTGCTTAAAACTTTGGATTCTCTCGAAATGTCAATTTCGGTTACTCCGCAGAAGCAGATTTCTCAATTGGAGCGCGGTAAGTTCTGTTTTAGTGAAAGATTTCAGAAAAAATTGGATGAAAGTGTGGAATTTGTCAGAATACTATGTTATTGCAATTGAGACTACATATCTGAAAACAAATGACATCCGTAGATTAAATACGAACTCACGTCGTATTTACCACGTGTAGTCGTTTGTCTTTTCGCGTTTACTTCTCTTTGTGAATAATTCTCCTTTTAGAAATCTTTTAAATGTGTTCTTTCTATGAGCGAAATTTCTGTGAATCTTTACTAACATTTCTAGTTGGCGCTCATTCTCATATCAAGGGTATCGGCTTGGATGAGAATTTGGAAGCAAAACAGAGCAATGAGGGCATGGTCGGCCAACTCAAAGCTAGAAGAGCCATCGGTGTAATTTTACGAATGATCCAAGCAGGAAAGATTGCCGGACGTGCTATCCTTATGTCGGGTCCTCCTTCTACTGGTAAAACTGCTATTGCTATGGGATTGGCTCAGAGCCTGGGCAATGATACTCCATTCGTTTCCATTTCCGCTAGTGAGGTGTTCTCGTTGGAGGTATCAAAAACAGAAGCACTTTTGCAAGCGCTTCGCAAGAGTATTGGTGTTCGTATAAAAGAGGACACTGAAATCATTGAAGGTGAGGTTGTGGAAATTCAAATAGACCGCTCCATTACCGGCGGAAACAAGCAAGGCAAACTTACTATCCGTACTACTGATATGGAGACTGTTTATGACTTGGGAAACAAAATGATCGACTCTTTGACGAAAGAAAAGGTCTTGGCTGGCGACGTCATTAGCATCGACAAGTCTACTGGACGTATCACTAAACTTGGCCGTTCATTTACGCGTGCTCGCGACTACGACGCCATGGGAGCAGACACTCGCTTCGTGCAATGTCCACAAGGCGAGCTTCAAAAGCGAAAGGAAGTCGTGCACACCGTCTCTTTGCACGATATTGATGTAATTAATTCTCGTACTCAAGGTTTCCTTGCTCTTTTCGCTGGTGATACCGGTGAAATTAAGCAAGAGGTTCGTGAGCAAATCAACACAAAAGTGGCCGAATGGCGTGAAGAGGGAAAAGCTGAAATTTGTCCTGGCGTCTTGTTCATTGACGAGGTACACATGCTCGATATTGAGTCATTTTCATTCTTAAATCGTGCGTTGGAGGATGAGCTTGCTCCCATTGTCATTATGGCTTCCAACCGTGGAGTTACACGCATTCGTGGCACCAACTACAAGGCTCCTCATGGTATTCCGCTCGATCTTTTGGATCGTATGCTTATTGTCTCTACACAACCATACACAAACGAGGAAGTTCAAGAAATTTTGCGCATTCGTTGCCAAGAAGAAGACATTGACATGGAAGACACTGCATTAAAGCGGCTTTCCGACATCGCTCAGGAAACCAGTCTCCGTTACGCCCTGCTACTTATATCTACCTCTAACGAAGTTGCTCTGAAACGCAAGAGCGCTGTTGTTCAAGTACAGGACATAGAGCGTGTGTACAACCTCTTCCTTGACCAAAAACGGAGCGTCCAATTCTTGGAGGAATTCGAAAAAGACTACATTGACGAGTCTGGCTGGACCGACAAAAACACGGATGTTGACATGGGCGGCAATTAAAAAAATAACGAGCTTTTTATTCAATTTTTGTACAGATTTATAAGAGACATTTAAAGAACAAGACAGCACTCACGGACGTTTACAGAGGGCGACTTGAATGTAACTGAAAACGAAAATTCTCTTACAGCCTTACGATGAAGGACAAAGGCATCACTGCCCTTGAACTAAAACACAAACGTTAAACGACCTCAACAAACCGCTCATGAAAAACAAAAAAGAAAAACACACCGCCTCACACCATCCTCTCAACGTTAAGGGATAAAACAATTCACTACATATTTTACAGTATGTACATAGCTTCTCTTACAGCAGATTCCATCGAGTCCTTTTCAGGGGAACAGGCTGTCTTTTAGCCACCATATCCTTCTCCTGCCGCTCCGTTACGACGTGCAAGTGGATAGCTCGCTCGACGATAAGAGACACAAGTCCCACAGCAGTGCAACGTGAAGGTTTGGTGAGCGCAGGCTGCGTATTTATACCAAAACTAGAACCCGAACTACGGCTGTTTGTGTGACGGCTGACCACCTAAGAAGGACGTAAACAACACGAAAATTTTTTGCCGGCTGTGATTTTGGCAGAATTGTGTCGTTGGAGCAGCATACACTACTACTGGATCAAATTTAAGCCATAAGAAGCCTAAGTTCGAGTGTCTTTGTACTGGTTACTCAACAACGTCCATCCTTTTACGGGTTCGATAAAAAATGAAGGTCCTCGAAGCAAGATGTGCCTACCTCACCAATGCAGAGGTGTTTCAATACATTCGGCAGATGGAAGAAGAACAAAATGAGCGTGCTACTAAAAGGGGTTCTGCTACAGCACTTGTATGCGAAAACTTGCGTACTGTGCAATTCGAATTGCTCAAGTATCTCAGAACTTTGACGAATAGCGAGAAGGTCGATGAAAAAACGCTGTTGGAGTGCATTGAAAAACTGGCTCCATTCAATCTTACAAAGGCAGAACGGCTAATGATTATAAACAACAAGCCTTCTAGTCAACCGGAAATCTATGGCTGTGTTGAAGACATTGAAAATCGTCTGACTGACGAACAAGTCAATAAATTAGTAGAAGCTGTCGCAAGCTTCCCTTAAGCAGCTACTGTGTGTCTGTTCCGAAGTATCAAATCATGGAATCTGTTGACAGTAAAAACATTCGTGTACGCGGTGGCCAACAAAGGTGGAAGCTGCACCGCCTCTGTCTCATCTTTGGACTCCATGGACTCGATTGGTTTGTTTGCTTTAGAAGGAGCAAAACGCTCGAGTATACGTTCAGTTTTTAACGATGGATATGTGGGTTCTCGGCGGAGAAAGGAAGACCACGATTGCATATGCACTGATCGTATAAGCAGCTCGGGATTATCGGTTAAAACAAGGTAGTCTGCCACGCCTGATCCGTCTTCTACAGGATCGCTGGAAAGTGATTTAGTGTCAATGGGAGCTTGTCGCTCCCCTTCCTCTTCTTTCGAACTCATGTCAAGTTCGTTCTTCAATTTAGCATCAATGCTCTGAGTTTTTCGTCCGGATTCCGCAACCAGCACGGCGTCTCGGATGTGTGTGTGTAAGCTGAGCTTCTTGAATATTGCTCTCTGAGTGACAGAACAAGGGACGTTTTGAAGCAATAGGAAATGGAGATTTTGAGGAACATGTCCTTTCCGCAAAAGCGTTCGCAATTGTCTGTACAGCTCGAAGACCTGCACCTCGTTTGCCTGTTCAACATGAAGTTTCGAATCGATCGCCCGAAGCAACTCGATGGCGCGACTCAAAGATTCCTGTGTATCCACTGCAATAAACCACTCTTTTCGGCGTGTCCTTGGATTGTAAAAGGGAAGATGATTGCTTAAAAGCTTTCGTTTACCCCATTGGACGAAGAATGGTTGGAGATAATCAGGGAACTTTTGAACAACACGTATCCAAACGCTCTCTTTCGTGAACGAGATTGATGGAACAAAATGATTCGCTGAAGAATAAGGTCGTGCCTGTGTCAGGCGAGCCATTCCGGAGGCACTCTTTGTGAAGTTAACCAGCAATTTCTTCCACATGCCTTAGTTATATCAACTATCAGCTCGCACGACGATACGAGCGCTAATAAAAATAGGAAAATATATATTAAATATATTGCTGTATATCGTAGGTACCTCTTCGTACAAAACTGCTTTATTTGTTACAGCAGAGACAGCATCCTTTCAGCGGTTGTTTTGGTAATAGTTGAGACTTGACAGCCACGCGACGCGACGCGTTTTTCATTTAGACCGGCGGATGGTGGTGTTCACTAGGGTAGGGCTGGTGACTGTGTTTCCTTTTTCGTTGGTGTCCAGTTGAGAGTATTCGTCTCAACCGCCGAATACCAACCACCACGATGAAGCTGAACATTTCTTATCCAGCAAATGGCACTCAAAAGCTGATCGAGATCGACGATGAGCGTCGTCTCCGCGTGTTCATGGAGAAGAGAATGGGCCAAGAAGTCCCTGGTGACTCTGTTGGACCCGAGTTTGCTGGATACGTCTTCAAGATCACCGGTGGTAACGACAAGCAAGGTTTCCCTATGATGCAGGGTGTCTTGTTGCCCCACCGTGTTCGTCTCTTGCTTCGTGCCGGTCACCCTTGCTACCGTCCTCGCCGTACTGGTGAGCGCAAGCGCAAGTCTGTCCGTGGTTGCATTGTTGGTCAAGACTTGGCTGTTCTTGCTCTTTCCGTTGTTAAGCAAGGTGAGCAAGACATCCCCGGTTTGACCGACGTCACTGCCCCCAAGCGTCTTGGTCCCAAGCGTGCCAGCAAGATTCGTCGCTTCTTCAACTTGACCAAGGAAGATGATGTTCGCAAGTTCGTCATTCGCCGTGAGGTTCAACCTAAGGGTGAGGGCAAGAAGCCTTACACCAAGGCCCCCAAGATCCAACGTCTTGTCACTCCCCGTACCCTTCAACACAAGCGTCACCGCTTTGCTCTCAAGCGCAGACAAGCTGAGAAGAACCGTGAGGCTGCTGCTGAGTTTGCTCAACTTTTGGCCCAACGTGTTGCTGAGCAAAAGCAAAAGAAGGAGATCATCAAGGCTCGTCGTGCCTCTTCCATGAGAAAATAAACTGCCTTTAAGCTGGTGCCCATGAATTTGCGCGTGTAATAAAGGGTATTTTACCATTCAACTTTGCTTTTTTCATATACGTAGAGGTGGGTGACGCGTATTTAAGGTTAGAGTTGTCGGCGGGTAATTGTCGGTCGTGTTTGTGAATGGGTAGTTAAGCGAAACTTTATTTTTTGGTTCGAGTTCGAGAGGTTATCAGGAAGAGAAACAGACGTAGAGAAAACGAGAGCTGGAGTGGTAATGTTTCATTCATCAAGAAGCCAATTGATAGACAAAAGAAACTGCTCCGCAATTCTCGTCTTTTCGCGCTTGACTAGCGGCGCACTGCGCTAGGTAACAATGCATGAATGGATATACGTAAGGAGTAACAATCAGGTATAAAAGGAAGGCGCGGCACTCCAATTCTTATCTTCCCCTTCCTTTTCGCACACATTCATACCTTACACTTGACAGTACGCGTCTGTGTACCTGGGTTCATTGACTCGACTTCTTTTTGATTGTCACTTCAGTTTTCCGGTTGGTGACCATAAAAAGTCACCGAAACACCGAAAGGTCACCGCAATTTGCCACAAGTTCGCCGATTTTGCCTTGCCCTCTTCCCCGTGCATAGAAAAACAGCGAACAATTCTGAAGACTGAACTACCATAACGATGTCGAGTATTACACCTCAAAGACGCCATGGAGAAAGAATTCTGCCTCGTATGAGTAACGGTTTTTACTGGAAATGCTAACGGCTCAGTTCGAAGCACGCGAAAGCGTAAAGTGCAGCCAAACATGATGTATTTGGATGAGCAGACAGACACCTATGTTCTCCCAGAACAATTGACGGCACAGCCTCCTGCTCTGACGAATTACTCATCGCTTTTACAGAAGCCGCAGGATAAAAAACGACAAGAACGCGTAGAACAGCTTCTTGAGTCAAAACTATTTTATCTTCGCAAGCAACAACGTGAACAGCGCTACGCTACTCATCAGTGGGACCAAGGTATGGAATGTGCTGGTTGTGTGTTAATGGAATTTTCTTGTCAACTAACCCTTTGAATTTAGACTATTTACGTTGGAGTCAAACTGAAAACGAAGAAAAATGGGATTCGGATTCTGAAGCTATCGGACCTGCAGAACAGGCTTTGTCTACTGCTAAGGCGTTGCGGTTTGCTGAACAGTTTATGGATCTGGAAGACCGGTCAATGTAATAAAAAAAAAACAAAAAGAAAAGACATGTTCGAAACAGACGAATCATCTAAAGAAAGCACAATGTTGTGCACTGTCTTGGTTATGATATTATATGGAATCCGACATCAAAAGAGACGCTCTTAAAACTCGTGTTTTCTTTAAAGCAATCAACGAATGTGAAACCTTTGAATTAAAGTTTCATTGAACTAACTGTACAAATGATTAAGGGACGGAAACAAGCATACCAAAAGAAATGTGGTTGCTGATTGTCGCTGTCAAAGGTTTACTTCTTGACGATGGTGAATCAAAAAAAAAAGAACAAACTGAAAGAGCCAAATTGCATCTTTGCAATTTTTCTCGCTTCCGTAACTGCACTCGGCCACTTGATTGTCCTACAGAGTCCAGTCCGGGTATAAATATGAATCCTTTATGAAATTCGGGAAGGGGTGAGCTTCAGTGTTAAAAGTGTATTCCGTCAGTGGAAGCACACTTTCGTCGTCCTCGAAAAGCAAATAAAGATACTTGAGAGTTTCAGCCCACCAAAAGGACTCGGTATTGTCGCGCTGTTGAACCGGATCCGTGAACTTAACGCTCTCCAATGAAGTGAATCCACGGCCATCAGGTGTACGAGAGTATTTATCAAAAGCTTTAAAGATCTCCCATCCCCATTCTCGATATTTGTGGTTCTTAGTGAGTCTCCACAGAATAAACAAACTTTCGACAGTCTCAGGACGCAGCAAGTTATGTGCATCTAATGGCTTAATTCGGAAATCCATCATCATATCGTCTTCTGAAAAGTCACCGCGATTGAAGACGACAATTTCAGGTGCAATTCCTGTCTTGGTTTGACGATACATTTCATAGCATGTACGAGTAAGCTCTTGTGCTAATTCAAACTGTTCAGCTCTGCGTTTGCTCCACTTCCATGACTTGGATGCGGTTTGGTACGGCACGCCGAACGTGGCACCAAGAGCCAGATTGCCGCCCATGAAGCAAACAAGGTGATCCATTTTTGGAGAAAAGGCACCATCGAGACCGTTGGGTAATTCGCCAATGTAAGTCAGTTGGCCTGGGACAGTTTTGTTGACGAGACGTTGGAGTACTGCATCCATGGACTTTTTGTACATGTTGTAGTATACATTTTCCGCACGCTTTGTCTGAAGGAATTGCTTCAGTAAATACTCGTAATACGAATCGCCTCGCGAGCCCAATCGGATGGTTTTTCCGCTATAACTGCCAGTGTTTGGGTTGATATAGATGGGGACGAGTCCAACTTGGTTCCAACGGTGATCGCTCTCGAGAGCTCTCGCAGCCCTTTCAGCTGCACGCCAGTACTCTGGTTTCCGAGTAATGTGAGACAAATAGCGCATTTCCAGCTGGACTGTGCCGGCCTCTGCGGTTGAAATCATTCCATTATCGCCAAAGCTTTTCACACCCAGGCGTTGCTTCAAGTTAACCTGCGACAAAGGAAGACCGTATGGGGTATCGTACGCAGCAAGCAGACGGTCGCCCAAGTCGGTAGCCTTCTCGAGATACAACGGATCATTTCCAGACAATGTGTACGCAGAAAGAAGACCACCGAGCATACGGATAGTCATCTCAAACACGTTTACGGGTTGTTCGCCCTGGTCCCAAGTCAGATTGGTCTGGATCCACGAACGCGCCCGTTGTACTTTGTCGTCTAAACCCATTATCATCATGGTGTCCAAAGAATCTATAATGATCCAGCCAAGGCCCTTAGGCAAAGCAAACTTTCCAGTTTTGCTCACAGGGTGGTATTCGTCCCAGCCCCATCCGTGTTCCTCATAGTCTTCCCAGCTGTCAAGAAACGCTTGCTTCACTTGTCGTTTACGTTCTTCAATAGAGGGAGAGTATGTGTGTTCATACGCTTGTCCAGATGTGGCAGAGGAAGCAGCAGTAGCGGTAGTTGTACCCTCTCTGGCCCAAGATGGAACCGAGAAATAGTTGCCGCTCTTTAATAAACTGAAGAAAGCCAGGCAGAGTGTACTGAGCACAAACAGAGGCAAGAAGAACCTCCAGAGGCGTCTTATACTGAAGGCAAACATCATAAATACGAGAAGTTGGAAAACAAATCAAGGATAAAAATCGTCCGATAGGTGAAAATCAGTTTCCTTCTAAATTATCAGCAGAGAGGAAATCCTGTAGTTTGAATAGCAATACAAAAGAAGTGGATAGAACGTATCAAACGCTTACACACGGTTTGTTAACTAACACTTAAGACAAACACGTCCCGTGCAACGTGTAGTCAGGAAAAAAAGGAAACCTAAGACTGTACACTGTTAGACAAATGTGTTATGGTGCTATTCCGTACAATACAGACGAGAAAACTACGCGTTAACGGCAGCAGGAGTCGCAATTCCACTTTTGGACCGCATACACGGTATATGCGAAGGAAGAAGCCGAAATCAGTGTTCCTAAATATAAGGTTACCTATGACATAATATTCCCCGGCCGGGGTTTAACGTAACTGAACGCAATGAATTAGGGTCCATAAGCCGAGGAGAAAGAAGAGGAAATGCAAGAATTGAGAAAAAAAGCCGTTAAGGGCGGGGTTCTGTATAACAGAGTGCACTTCACTACAGCCTCTAACAGTGTCCCCGGTTGCTTATACGAAGTGTCAACCTTTGAAACGAACCCACTCGAGTTTTACACTCACTCTCGCACAAAAATCTACTAGTTAGAATGAATAGTCATAGGAATAAGTATAAGGTAAAACGATAGGGAAAAAAAAAACAAGACTCGATGAGTAGTAAAGCAATACAAGAGCCGTGACAGTTGCTTCGTACACAGTGGAAAACTCACAGAGTGTTGATGGATCAGTCGGGTTGGACACAATGAGAGATGTACGTGTGCTGAGACAGGCTCAGGGCGGAAAGAAGCAATGGCAACTGCGCACAGGCATTTCAACTTCACTTTTCTTTACAGCAGGCCAGAGGGATTGTTTGTCGCAGTAAACACAGCATGAAGGCCGGTATAAAAGCCAATGTACAGGAAGGAACGCATGAACTTCCAGAAAGGAAGAAGCCATATCATGAATGCAAAGGTAATGACTGTGACGACGAACATGACATGATGCGTTTGGATGAAGAATTGAGGCTGTAAGATCAATGGCCCAATTAGGGCAACAACTGTATTGACAAGGACGCCTACGTAAAGGGCCAGGAGGGCGAAGGGATACCAGAAAAACGTATACGTCCAAACAAGACAGCTAATCAAAACGTAGAGGGCGGTAAATCTGTGAAAGTTCAGGGCGATTCTAGGAGCGACATACTTCAAACGTGGCATAGACAGCACACCAAGCCGACAATGTTCTTCCATAGGTGGGACATGCACAAGCTTCCTTCTTGTTGTTACTGTTTCTCCGCTCAAACGTCCTACAACTTCACGAATTCTTGTGCGTGCATCCATTCTTCCAGACCAGTTGCTCATTATTCCTTCGTATCCTTTCACCCTTATGTAGAGATTGGAAGAGAAGGCTTGAGACATATAAAAACCCTCAGACCCAAAAGTAAACAATCATTTCAAAGCATGCGATATTTTGTTTATACGTAAACAATAGCGAATTTCACAAGACCCTCAATGTTATTTAGTAGGATGAGGGTAAGAGGGGGAATTAATGCACACAAGCAGATTCAATTGCTATTAGAGAGAAATGAAAAGATTTGACCTTCAGAGAACAAACTAATAGATATCCTCCATTTGGAAAATCCTAACATTGCTGCCTTCAGTCACTCATGAAATTCAAGTCATACGGCAATTGCACTAAACATTAGCAGATACAATGGCTCATTACTTAATTCCAATATTCGAAAGAAATTCAACATGCTTCCATACAAAGCTATCAGAACACTCCTTCAAAACTTCCTAAATTTTCTTAATCCTGTATGACTTCTTTACAAATGTTTGTTTATTGGCCTTAAAGGCTCAGTGTGTTCCTGACACTTTCCAAACCCGTCTCGACACTAAATCATCGTTTTTTGCAAAAATTACGAGTTTAGGAACGGATTTCTTGAACTTGAGGACTTCGGTAGTCAATTAAAAGTATATCGTGCCTTTTTAACGGGACCTTTATATCAAAGAATTGTCTGTTTCTTGGAAATTAAAGAAATGAGAGTTTTAACAGTTTGCTTTCTCCTTTTCTCACTTGCGTATGCTTGGTCAGCTGTCGATCATGAAATCTTTGAGGTGGTAGACAATTTGCGTTCCTTGCTGAAGAACAAGAAGTCGTTTTACGAAGTTTTGGAAGTGTCGCCTTCAGCAACTGCAAAGCAAATCAATCGTGCTTTCCGTGCGAAAAGCAGAGTCTATCATCCTGACAAGAACAAGAAAACCCGTGATATTTATACGCAATTGAATCTTGCTGTCAATATCCTCCGTAAACCTGAGGCCAGAAAACGTTACGACCACTTTCTGAAGAACGGTTTTCCCAAATGGAAAGGAACTGCTTACCTGTATTCTCGTTACCGTCCTGGTTTGGGCAGTGCTCTGTTTGTCATTTTCCTTGGTATTAGTGTTGCTCATTTTGTTTTCATTAAGCTCAGCGCTCATCAACAACGCAAGTCCATTCAAAGACATATCGACGATGCGAAAAACAACCAGCGTAATGCTGTCGCTGGTACATTTAACAAAAAAATCGTCCAAGTTCCCGAAACTGGTCGGTTGTACACCGTTGACACAATCACTGGCCAGGTCTGTGTCTTTGATCCTCAAAGAAACGAAGAGTATCTTCTTTCCGTTGACGCTATTCCTAAAGTGACCTTCAGCGACAGCTTGCTTGTGAAGCTTCCTCGTGCAATCTTCCACCTAATCACTTTCAATGCATTCCGCAGAAAGCCCGTGGAAAAATCTGAAAGCGCTGAACTCGAGTTGACTTCTGAAAGTGACGAAGTTAGCAGTGAAAATGAGATTGAGAATGAAGGTGCAAAATCGAGTTCGGCTTCCGTTCATGCAGTTAAAATCGGAAATCGACGTGTCCAACGCCGCATGCGTCGAGCTCAAGCAAAAGAAAATGCGAAAAAGTAAATAAAATTGATGCTATTATAATTGGAAAATGGTCTAAATTAACGGTTTTATTTTGCTTCTTCTGGACAGAAACGAGCTGTCAAGCATAATGCAGGGCAAACATCAGAAAGCTTTGAGTCATCATGTAACGCAAGAGAAAACAAGCCAAGAGCACTATGCAAAACATCAGGATATTCGCCATGCACTTTACTGAATCCTCCAATGAGGTGCTGTGTTTGTTCAAGCAAAAAGTTTCTTGAAGCATTCGCTTCGACTAAATGGATTTCACCCAAGATACTTAATGTTGCTTGTACCCAAAATGAATAGCATGTATCGGTTAACTTTTGAGTGCGTCCGTTGAAACCTCCATCTGATTGTTGACGGAAAACCAACCATCGTAACAGTCGATCATAGTGAGGAATGCACTTTTTTAGCGACTTCCCCCGGAACTCAGGAATCATCTTATTCAACAACTTCCAGGAGGCAATTGCACAAAAGGTAGCGCCTGCGTGCGCTTCCGCGCCCGGAGTTTGGCCGAATCCGCCTTCATACCGCTGACAGGACTTAATATAATCTAGCGACTGCTCCACATTCTTTAACTTTAGCTCAAGCAAGGTTGCGGTTGAAACTGCCATATACAATTGTCGGATGTCTTCATCTGCCCCTGGCAGCAAGTTACTTCTGTACCTGCCGTCTTCACATAGGCAGAGTTGTAGGAAGCGTTCGATTCCTTTCATGTCCTCGGTATTGCTTCTCGGGTTATCGCCAAGAAAGAGCAAATTGCATGCTGCGAACAGTGTTCCCGCTAACATTGGCTCGTCCCATTGCTCATTTCCCGGTGTCATAGTACACGGTCCTCCTCGATATCCAACATAATAAGCATCCCCCTTAACATCCTTGTCAATGCTGTCGCATCTCTTCGCGACCCTGCACGAACGGACCCAAGCAATCCAATCAATCTTGTCTTGCTCCCGGATTTCCTCCAACGCTTTTAGAAGATCCAGTCCAAGTAAACAGAAGTAGCCTAGCACCATCCGTTCACTATCCATTTCCTGGTATGGTTGCGGAAACATCATTAAATTTCGTTTGAAGTAAGCAATGTGCTTTTTGACTTGCAATTCTGGCATCTTGTGTGTCTTCCTTCGATACCCTCAAATCCGTCTGGCGTGTGTAGCAATTCTACCCCAAGTAAAAGATTCGTTCAGAACGAAAAGCTGTATATGATTCTTCTGTTAAATCGTCAAAAAACCAACTAATATATCGTCAATGTAATAAACGAAGAACTATATTAGCCGGAATTGCTTTGGTTAAGAGATTATAATTTGCTATGTTTTCGGTGACTTTCGGAATAGATTCGGTGTTTTGCGGCTTGATTCCGGAGTATGTCTCGGCGATGTTGCTTCAACGTTTACCGAAAGAATACCGAGTTTCGGGAACTTGAAGACAATCACGGTCAGCTTTCGGTGAATTCCGGCCACTTTCGGTGACAGCGGTGACTTCGAGCATTAAGCTACGGGCATACCCTGTCATTAGCACCATCGTGTCTGCGGCATAAAAACCGAAAAACTCTCGTTTATTTACGAGAAACAGAATGTCGGATCCCTTTTTTAATCGTCCAGCGCTTAGAAAGCGAAAAAAAACGGAGAAAAAAGCTGCTCAGGCCGCCGCTCCAAGCAAGTCGCGAAAAAATGAGACAGAACGCGGCGATGCTTCCGACATTTCATCAGACTCAGACGATTTAGATGCTGTAATGGATGATGCGGATGAGGAGGAAGAAGATCTGATGGAAACAGCTGCTGAAAAGCGTCTTCGTCTCGCGAAACAATATCTAAGTCAAGTCCGTGATGAAATGGCAGACGAGGGGGGTTTTGACGCCAAAGATGTCGATAGAGAGATTCTTGCACATCGTTTGAAAGAGGATGTGATGGAACAACAGGGAAAAATGTACCTGAAAATAGCTGACCGGATTGCTACGGAGACCAAACCTCGTTTTACCCGCATGGTCGGCCGTCATAATCGCCCACTTGTTGGAATTTGTGCCAAAGACCATGAGGTTTATACCGTTGATAAGTCTGGTCTCGTTCAAAAGTGGGCACTAATGAATTTTGATGGCGAAGAAAATGACACCTCAGATTCTACCGAAAAAATTAAAGTGAGACCTGTACGGTTTGCACGATCTTCACCTGAGACAGATCACAAGGGACTCATAACTTGCGCAGCCCTCAGCGGTGATGGAAAATGGCTTGTCACAGGTGGTGCTGACCATCACATTGTTGTTCGCGACACCGAGACTCTCGAAGCACGGCATTGCTGGAAGCATCACCGTGATACTGTGCTGGCTCTTTCCTTCCGGAAGGATTCAAATGAGATGTTCAGTGCATCGGCCGACCGTTCCATTAAAGTCTGGTCCTTAGACCAGATGTCATACGTGGAGACACTTTTTGGTCATCAGGACGGTATTGTTGACATTTCGAGTCTTGCACAAGAGCGTTGTGTTACTGCCGGTTCTCGTGACCGTACCGCTCGTCTTTGGAAGATCGTCGAGGAGTCTCAGCTTGTTTTCCGAGGCGGCAGCACTTCTATGAAAGCAACGGGTGGCTTTATGGAGGGTAGTTTGGACTGCGTACGCATGGTGGACGAGGAACACTTTGTTTCAGGAAGTGACAATGGTGCTTTGGCATTGTGGTCACTTCAGCGGAAAAAACCTGTCCACACATTGCCCATCGCGCATGGTATGCAACCCCAACTTCCCCCCTCTAAACACTCGGCCGAGACACAGCCTGAGGACTCAAATGTTCCTGCCCTTCCTTATCCCATTACAGCTATCGCTACGATTCCTTACGCAAACGTTTTTGTTACCGGTTCTTATAATGGTGATCTGAAGCTGTGGAAGATTTCGGACACCGTGCGTTCTTTTGAGCCTGTGCAATTATCAAGCACACTTAAAGTTCCCGGGTTTGTAAATCATATTCAGGCGTCCCTTTATGGAAAACGTGGTCACGAACACATTCAGATTCTAGTTGCCTGTGGTCGGGAACCGCGGTATGGAAGATGGAAGACTATGGGCGGTGTTCAAAATGCCGCTTACATATTCGATATCAGTCTTGTATCGGCTTCTGCTGAATCACTTGGGGAAGAATAAGGCTAACGGCCGACGCACTTGGGATTTGCAAGCTTAGCGGTTCTGGGCGACTGCTTATGCAATGACGATGTACAAAAAGAAAACTATGTAATTATTTTGATAGGAATGGATATAGTCTGGGTTAAATAAGGAAATGTTAGGGAAGAGGAAGTTTGAGTGCGCTCACTATACTCAGGTTTTTATCGTTCGCTTCCCAAACAAACTCGACTGTTAAACATTAGACTGCTCAACATTAATTCGAGTCGGTGGAAGCCTGTCTGATTTTTCTTTTTATTTTTTGGGTTCGTTTGATATGTAGAATATTTCAATTACTTTTAAAAGTTTCATAGCACATTCTGGAGCTGTGTGAAGAGAAGGGGCGATGGATGAGCTTGGCCGTTGGAATGTTTGTTTTAGGGTTTGTTCAATGGACGTGAATGCGATTAGCTGTAACGATTCTTAGAAAATCTTCTTGGTAAGATCGATGGGCACTGTCGTTTTGTAACGGTGACTAATTTCTGTAAGAAAATGTTACGAACATTGACTGAATAATCTGAACTCGAGCAATATCATTTTCATTTTACTTTACTCAAGAATATAATACGAAGAGTCAAGGTGATCTATTTGAACTACAATGGTTGTTAGAGATTTGCTTTAGAAGGAGTTTTGCAATTCCCTGTAAGGAAGTGCTCAATGGTGTCTTATGTTCATAATTTTATATATGGTAACATTAATGATTTCACAAATCGGGTGAAAGTACGAAATACTTTACAATATCTCAGCAGTGTTACAGTTACGACTTGGTCTGACTTATACTTTAAGTTCGTTTTCATGAAGCCTTTCTCATTCTGAGCTTGTTGCACTTGAATGCATGCAGAAATACGTTTGTAAAGAGTCCAATGATCGTAGTGTATTGAACAGTTACAATTTATTTTAAGATAGATCTATTCCTTTTTTGTTAATGAATAAGAAAATGAATTATCTTTACCAAGCTAATATCATAAAATAATGTTTATTGCAAACACAAGTCCGCTGAGTATATAAGCCCTATGTAAGCCCTCGCAGATTCAATGCAAAATATACAATGTGCTCCATATTCTTATCGCCAATTCTTACCAAAGATGGTTCTATATTCAATCTATGAGTTATTTACAAATATGGTAACCGTTATAGATAGATGCCTAGTAAAACTGCAATGCAAACGACGGAAAGGTAAAAAATAGACAAAGAGGACGGACAAGGGGAAGCGACAGTAAAAGGAGAGATGCTTTTATGACTGATAGCGAGTTGAAAGAATGAGAGGCTAACTGCAAGAAATGAAAACATCAGCTGAAAAATGTTGTAAGTATACTGCAGGAAATCTGCCCTTTTTTTTTTGGAAGCATTTATAACTTTGTTCTATAAACGAACAATCATTGCAAACACCCAATTTAACTCAACTCAAAATCATCACAGGAGAGGTTATTGTAAAATATAATTCAGTCAAGAAACGTACTCATATAGTACGTCAACACTGCTGTGTGTTCATCTTCAGGGTCAGTAATGTAGACATACAAGACAAGTGCATGGCCTTCACATAAACCTAAACATAATTAGTTTCAAATTTTTTTTTGGCAACGGGACGAGTGCTGTTTAATCAAGACGTACAAGCTATAACTTTTCGAGAAACATTAGAAACCAAAAGAATGTTTGAAAACTCGCGCGAGTCCAAACGCATCTCAACAAACTCATGCGGCTCACGCATTTGTGAAGGATGTTGCGAGACATCTTGTACCTGGCTAGGATCCAGCTCAGGGTTCTGTAAATTGCTCCAGCGAGTTTTGATCTTTGCAGCCGGCGTACAAATAGCCAACTCAAGTTCTCCGGCCATGTTTGCGGAAAATATTATGCGATCCGACATGGATCGATAACGGTCAACCACAGCTTTCATCACATTCAGAGGCGGCAAAAAAATATGACAGTTAGGCTCAGGAACAGTCGGTTCCTTAACTAGCGAAACGTAGTTATGTGACAAGACCTTGACTGCAATGTTATGTGTGACAATATTTGAGCCAAAAGCCCGACCACTCCAAGTCGTGGAAAGGGAAAGGATGGCTTGGTTGTTCTGTTTCGTCAGTCGAAGTGTAGCGTGTGCAGCATTTGTCGCAGAACGGAGAGCCTTGTACAAATTGGCTGTGGGAACCTCAAGATTGATAACGTTTTCTGCATTACTTTGTACAATATAGTCCTCAAACACCGTTTCCTATATATGCATATGGTTAATAGGGAGGACGGTGAGACGAATAGACGTACAATCTCCACTACACTGATAATGTTAAAATGAGTTTAAAAGGAAGCTTTCTGGTGAACAGCGAAACACACGAATAGAAGATGAGTGAAATGCTATGTGGTAATCCCAAGACACTACCCCAGACACATCTTTTGTCGAGTCCAAATAGTGTAGCGTTTTAAATAGACGCATACAGTATCCACACGGCATTCCGCTTTTGATACAGTTACATTATCAGCGCCTTTTGCCATTTGTGTTCCGCTCCTATTCACGCTGAACACCAAAACTTCTTTCGCCAATACTTACGCCCAAACTTGTGTTGTTTTGAATTCCGGAATGACAACAAAATTCACAGTTTCCGGCATCAATCGGATCCAACAGAACTTGCCAATTCTGTCCAATGACTGAGCTAACCCTAAAAATCTGTTAGTTCTCGTTCAAAATAGACTTCGTAGTTGGTGTGACATACGCGAAAGGGTTGGCAGGTTGCTGATCCTTGTTTTAAACCGCATGGGACCCGAGAAGAAACAAGCCAAAGACTGTAGAAACCCTGCACAACTCATTCACGGTACTCATTTTGGTGGTGAGTTTTCATGCGAAGAATAACCGAACTCTATTTGCATTAAGGTATTGCACGTGTTTATACCGAGCGACCAGCGACAGGTCATTAACGGAGGACCAACGTCAACATTGTATCCAGTCCTGCATATGACCAAGGCCCCACTGGAACGCTACGTCTACTCACTCACCTCTCTCTCTCTCTCGTCATAATTAAGGTTTGTCGCAGCCGTCCCCACAGGCCAATCACATTCCCTTCAACCGCGCCCCGCAAACTTTAACCCACATCTTCAACGCGCCGTTGCCGACAAATCTGCAAAACTTGCTTCATGCATTTCATGTCTTCAGAAGCGAATGATACGCCAATACAACACCAGAATGAACCATATCAAAACGTTAAACGCGTAAGTCCACGGAGCATACTCCAGATCAAGACTGGCAACTCATATCACAGCTTACTTACGAGTAACCTTCTCGAGAACGGATTCGTAGGAGACCTCGGAGAAGTCAGTGGCTTGAATGTCGCTGCCGACACCAGTGAGAGCGCGACGGATGGTATCCTTGGAGGAGGCGTAAACCATCTTAGACTTAATGGGGGCAACATCAGGAGCCCAAGTGATGAAGCAAATCTTGTTTCTCACACCCTCACCAAGGTTGTATTCAAAGTCATAAATGGCATAACGGCAGTCCTTCTCGGGGAGCTCACCCAAGAAAGTATCGTAGTCCTTGTCAGTGTTCTTTTTCTCGACAACAATTTCGGCTACACACCCAGTGGTTAGTAAACGTGTTCACGGAAAAATTAACGCATAGAACCGTTCACCAAGACGGAACGGTAGCTGCTGCACTCGTCGAACACTTACTCTTCGTGTCATTCATCTTGAAAACAACATAACGAACGCTCTTGCCCAACTTGAGCTCTTGGAAAGCCTCCAAACATTCGGGAGCGACTTTGACGCCAGACAGAGACTACACACGATTTGTTAGTACGTGTAAGCTTTCATTTCATCTTCAAACGCACCATTTTATATAGAAAACTTTTGGATAATGAGCCGAGGTGTAGTTGGCACTGGTTACGTGCACAGCCAGCCCGCCGACTGCTTTATCCTCTAAGTAAGGGTAGTGCAGCCTAAAAGGTGTCAGGGTAAGGGTACCAATAGAGCCGAGCGGCAATGACGTCGTCCGCGGAGAAAAGCGGGAGAAACTGCGGGGGCGTTGAGGAGCATGTGGGGGTGGGCAAGAGAGTGGGGGTTTACTAAGGAACAGAACAAGATATTCATTGAAGACATAAATGCCATTACGGAAACGGTAGACGCGCACCGCGAGAACTTAGAATACAATTTTAATAGTAGTAGGAGAGCAGAGACAAACAGCATTGCCTACTAGCGAATGACATGCATCATCGCCAGTGGCAGAAGCAGTAGCTGTGCACATTTAGAAAATATACTGTGAGAGTTAGTAAGATGCGGGAGCTGGAGCGAGAAAAACAACCGTTTTTGTGATACGGTTGCTCCATAAAAACGTACAGGAATAAACAAGTAGGGACAAATACGGCAATATTCATCAAAGTCGGCACCATATTTAACTTTACATTTCTTCACATCACGAGTTACACGGTGGACAAGAACGACGAAGAAAAAACAGGGGTAAAAATAGGGCAAGGGTGAGCCGAAGCCGGTGATTAGAGCCCAAGACAGAGACTGGAAGAAGTCGGCCGTGTAGTGAATTTTGCGAGCATAACGATACCAACCAGAAGTAAGGAGAGTACCACCGTTGGCACAACGAATAAAGGTCGGGTTTTTAATGAGCTGCCAGGGAAGCTGAGGGAATGTTTTACGCGGCTTGTATTGACCATAAATCTGCTGGCGGAAACGATTCTTTTGACTGTTGCAAGTATCGAAAACGTAGTAACTGCAGAGCAGAAGGGTGTAAAGAAAAACGTTGTATTCCGTGGACCACTTGTAGACAGCAGGGTTGCGGGCAGCAAGGTACAGAGTACAGTGACAGTAAGTGTAGGGTACGCCTAAATGGAGTCGTTAGTTTAAAGGTCCCTGAAAGAGCGATGACTCTTGTTTGTATAACATACCGGCCATATTCCAGAAAATCAGCATAAAACCGAATTTCTCATACGCCATGTCCCAAGTAGGGACAATAAGCTCTTCACCCTTAGCACAAGCATTGGCATACAAATAGTGAGCCAAACAGACAAAGGCAACCTGGGGAGAAACGTAACCATATCTCTCGTACTGACGAACAGCAGCGGAGATGGACAAGAAGAACAAAGTGAACCAGGGGATACGGACTTCAAAGAACATCTTCAAGTCCAGCATACGACCGATGCGAGGATTGAGACCGGCACCCATGAACATGTCGTAAATGACATTGCCCGACAGGCGATGAGGAGTGTCAAACAGCTTTCCGCGGAAAACAATTATTCCAGCGTAGATGACGAAGGTGGTAACGAACGCGGTACAAATGGCGACTGTCATCAACGAACCGAATATGTCGAGAAGTGTCGTAATTCGGAAGATGTTGGAAACATGAAGAACAGTCATAATTGCAATAGACGTGTAAAAGGACCACACTGCATTACAGAGATAGGGGAGACTCTGGTTGTTACGGTGTTTTAATGGGAGACCCCTGGTACGGAGACCTGGAAGTGTGACATAGAACAGCATTTGGACGAAGAAGAACGTGAGGAAGATGGTCCAAGCCTGACGAGTAGGATAAGCACCTTCGTAGATGCATTGACCGCAGAACCTGAAAAAATCCGACAGTCCGGACGCATTAAGAGATTTCGGCAGCAGGATTTGTCCATCGTTATAAGCCTGACAGATCCACAAATAGTACATGACAGCTGGACTACCCAGCATCAGCGCAATGGCGCCCTTGGCGCCTCCAAATTCACGCTTTCCAGAGGCAACGACGCGTTTTGCATTTGACTTTAATTCACTCGTCCCCACTTTTTCTGCTGCTGATTGCTTTTCAGCAATCGAACTACCTTCACCTGTCATTTCGTTATAAATCTACAAATACAGAACCACGAATCGTGGAACAAAGTACCCTTTTTTGTATAGTTTTGGTACCCGGTAAGAGCTGCCAGTGGTTTGTTCCAACGGAACGGATGTGGGATGCGTGGGGGTGTGTGAGAAGAAGAACTCGTAGCGAGCGAATAAAGAACCAGAGTCTTAGGACAAGAAAACGAGAGTACAGGAACGTCATAGGGCGGTGTGTATTGACAAATTCACAAACAAATGCCCAGCATTGTTGATATTTCTTGTCTTTGAGCGACATGCGATTATGTCGCAAACTATAAAATAAAGTTTCGCTTAGATAAGATAGAGCAAAAAAGCTTTCGAACTTGATCGGGATCCAAAAAGGCAAACGTATAAAACGAAATTAAAAACGAAAAAAATCGTGGCACAAATCGTACTTGCTTTTTCTCCGTCCAGGCGCGCCTTCTTTGTCCTCTCTTATCCCGACTCCGTAACCGCTCCGATTCGCTCCACCTAAACCTTAACCAAAATACACTAGCACGTGATACCGGCCACTTTCGGCTTCAGGCCATTCCAACCACCTCCCTCTAACCAAACGTACTGCGTACGTTGATACCCGGTAGAACTCGTCCAAGTCAACGGTTTTATTGACTCTTTGTATTGACGTTTACTTACGGAAAATGAGCGGAAAAGATCTTTTTAATTTACTGAATTCAGGCTTGAATGAACGATTAACGTCTCAGGCCAGCAGCCAGGAATTTAATCCGGCTGCTACTCGTAAAGCTTTGTTGTCGGCATTGAACGACGGAGCAAGTAATCATAGTGGTAGTCAAAAGAGTGAGACGCGTGGAGTGAACTCTGATGTGTCGTCTGAGGGTGCTGCTTCCACTTCTGCTCTTCATGCAAACCCATCAGCGTTTCTCTTGCAACAGCTGAAGGGCGATTTCAGTACGTCTTCCCTGAAACTGGGTTCGGAGCCGAATTCGAAAGGATATCTTCGGCTAGACCAGGTGGAGAAGGGAATCGCCTCTCTCGATATCTCTCAAAAGGCGGAATCAGTCACTTCACTTTCTGCTTCTTCTGAGCCACTGTCCTCGTCAACGGTCAGTAAATACTCACACTTGGAAGAAGGTGCTCCTGTAGCCAGCAATAGTGTTGTCTATGAATTCCCTAACGAACCTGCCAAGAGAACGACGATTACCGATTCTAACGTCGCCGGATCAGCTTTCAGTGCTGAACAGCGCTTTGGTATCGCACGTATCTCTCGGAAATATGATGCCCAAGACTCTCAATTGATTCACGCCAACAGCAAGTACATTGCTTACGCTTTGGCTAATGACCCTGAAATCCGTGTGCTGGAAAAGGCCACGGCAAAAACTATTCTTCTCCGACACAGCACACGCTGCAAGTTCATTTTTGTCGCGTGGGGTGAGGATCCCGCTGTCACAAACACGCTTCTGGCTGTAGACACTGAAGGCCGTGTAGTTGTGTGGAGAATAAACTTCGAGAAGAAGACCTATGATGTCGTGTTCCAGCTCGGTGCCGCCGTGTCTCCTCTGAATGCAATTAAATCGCGTTGCCATTGGTTGCCTGGTTCTTCGAACCGTTTCGCGGTCGCTCTGGCGAAGAACATTTACTTCTTTGATCTTCAATTGCTTTTGCCCTCACAAATCTACTTGGAGCGCTCAAACCTGGGCTCCGACGGTCTTCCATGCTATGTCATTGACACGGGAATTAGCGCGAAAGAATACGCCTTTTCTCACGATGGAACCGTTTTCGCAACTGTCGACAAAGACTCGCTCGTTAAGCTTTATGCCGTTCCTCAGTCTCTGCCTTCCTCTCCAGCTGAACGTCCCAGCCCAAACGAGGTTCAGCCTATTGCTGTTATTTCAACTGAGTGTTCCGAAAAGCCCAAATGCATCCAGTTCATCAGTGCACCTGGTCAGACTTTTGACCATTACATTATCGTGGGTTACGATATGAACCGACGTGTCCAGTTGCTTAACATTGCACAGGGCGCCGTCGTGCAGGAATTCGTTTTCCCTTACCAAAAGGCCGAGGAGCCTATCTCATTTTCATCACAGTTGGCTGTATATGCTAACACGAATTTTTTGGTGATTGGTAACGGTACACTTAACTCAATGTTTCTACTGCAATTAGAAGAACCCGTCGTCACTGAGTCGGAAGACGAAGCAACTTCGACGGAGGAATTGGTTCGCAAACTGGTAGCTGGTCAGAAGAAGCCCACAAAGACTGCTCTCTTTACACGCTTCTTGCAAAAAACGTTTGAACCAAAGTACCGTTTTATTAATATGGTTCCCGCTGAGGTTATTCCGGACGCCAGCAAAATCTGCTTGCTTTTGGCTCACATACGTGGTTATGACTATTATACAGTTGACAAAAGTGATCTCATAAATGCTACCGCTGTTGCTATCAAACCAGAGTTTGTCTCCCCAATTGCCGTTCCAGGCTCACTAATTACCGACTTCACAAGCAAGTCAAGCAAGGATACACTTTCTTCTGGTACGGCTACTCCCAAGTCAGAGCCCTCGGAGAAGCGCAAAGAGAAGCGTGCTCGTAGCGCAGAAAAGAAGAAGAAGGACCAAGAGGTAGCACAAAATGTAGCCAAGCAGACTACAGCTGCTTCTATGGAAGCTTTCAGACAACGTTTGGATGAACTTGACAAGATTAAGGCATCCGTGGACGCTGTTTCCAGAAAGATGGAAACCAGTTTGAACACACAGTACAACGACTTAAGCAAGCAGCTTCTTGAGTATAAGATGCTGAATGAAAAGAACACGGAGGCCATCATTGAGGCTGTTTCCGAGACGTTAACGAAGAACACTGGCAAGATTTTGGAGGATGTGGTGAATGATGCCCTTAAGTCTGTCGTGTTTGCTGACATCCAAAAATCGGTTTCCGAAGCTATGAAAAAACCCTTGAAAGAGTTACAAGAAACGTTTACAGCTCGTTTTGAAGCTTTGGAAGTGGGCTTTTCCGAAGAGCGTATGAAACAAAACACTCGCATCGAACAGCTTACCAAAGCACTTGAAGTGATTACCAAGGACTACGAGAATGAAAAGAAGCAACATCAAGAAACGTCTTCTGAGTTGCAATCCTTAACCACAAAGGTGGACAGCTTGAATGACCAATACGAATTAATAAAGCAACAGATTTCTCAAGTTGCAGAAAAGCAAGCTGCCGTCGAAACCAATGAACAACAACAACAACAACAACAACAGCAGGACACAAGTTCTGTAAATGTTGATGATGCTGCTGATGCTTCCATCTCAGCTGCACCCCTTGGCCAGGCAAGTAATGATGAGACTTCTGTTCTGAAGGATATGTTGGCCAAGGGTGCGTTTGAGAACTGTGTCGCGCAATGGTGCCAAAATCCCACAGAGTCTGGTTTTGCACTTATGTGCACATGTCCTACGGACGAGTTAGTGAACAATTGCTCAAACATCGCTTTGCTTACTTTCCTTTACCACCTTTCAACTCTCGAGCTCAACGATGCTGAACATGTGCGAAAGTCGCTTGAGTTTATGGTGAGAGCCGTTGTGCAACTTGATGTAGCTGATCCGCAATTGAGCAACGTTATCGTTCCCGTGCTCACACACACGAAGGCTGTGTTGGAAAAGCGCTCTTCCTCTCTCGATCCCGTGTCTAAGAGACGTTTGGATATTTTGTTGAAAACGCTTGAAAGCAAAATGGCTAGTTTAGGACTTGGTCGCCTTTGAACAAACCGGCATCCGTGATGCACGTTTCTTCTCCGTAAGGGAGTGGAATGGGTCTTCTTGCTACTTCAACAATGTATTTTACCCGCCCGCCTCGGGCATCCCTTTGACGACTTTTTATCGTTGTTGAAGTACAATATACATATAGATTATTTCTTAACGTTATTCTCGTTACAGAATAATTGCCGTAGAATAAAAGTCTAAATCTAGGAAGACGCTTGTCGACAATGATGTTGCAGCGATGATTTATGTTTCAACTGTGCTCGAAGTTTAGTTTCTTTAAATAATAATTACAACTTTGTTATCCTTAACGTTTTACGAGGCCGACAATAACTGTTTCTTATCTTTTCAAGGCTTTAGATATGTGTTGTTTGTTCACCCAGTGCTTATCTTCGACGCACTCCAGTAACGACTAAATCCTTTTTTCTGTATACACACTGTTCCTTTCAATGATTCTTCGTGGACAAATTAAGCCTAACGCAAAGGCCTGTGCAAACTCCTTCCTGCAATTCGTAAATGCTAGTCCAACGCCGTACCATGTTGTTGATAATCTCATAAAACATTACTCTAAGCACGGCTTCCAAGCTTTGAACGAACTGGATGATTGGAAGACTGTGGTAAAGCCCGGAAACTCATATTTTGTCACAAGAAACCGTTCCAGTATTATTGCTTTTTCCGTTGGAAAACATTTCCAGCCTGGTAAGTGAATATTATAAAATCACGATCAGGTTTGCATAGAGGAAGGTCATGTCTTCTTAGTAACTTGCGTGATTTATTTGTTTTAGCGCTTTCTAACATACATAGGAAACGGTTTTGCCATCGTTGGAACACATACAGATTCTCCTACATTGAGACTCAAACCAAAGTCGAAGAAATCAGCAGCAGGATTCCTTCAGGTTGGTGTGGAGAAGTATGGAGGCGGTATCTGGCATACTTGGTTCGATAGAGACTTGTCTTTGGCTGGACGTGTGCTAGTAGAGGAAGAGGATGGTACCGTTAAGCAGCATTTGGTTCACATTGACAGACCTCTGCTCCGTATTCCCACTCTTGCCATTCATTTGGATCCCAGCGCAAACAGTTCGTTTTCTTTCAACATGGAAACTGAATTTGTGCCTATCCTTGGTCTTGAGAATCAATTAAACGAAGCTGTTTCAGCAGAGGAAGAGGACATGCATCACCCTGCCTTGCTCGCTCTGCTTGTCCAAGAACTTGGTCTCGGTGACAACCAGGTCAATCGTATCTTGGACTTCGAGCTCATTTTGGGCGATGCCGAGAAGGCCAAACTTGGCGGCCTTCATGAGGAGTTTGTCTTCTCTCCGCGTCTCGACAATCTCGGCATGACTTTCTGTGCCTCTCAGGCATTGACTCACTCGATGTCAGAGAATACTGAGGATGAAACCAGTATTCGCATGGTTGCATCCTTCGACCACGAGGAAATTGGCTCTGTGTCTGCTCAAGGTGCCGAAAGTAATTTCATCCAGAGCGTGCTTGAACGTTTAAGCGCACTTGAGATGTACAACCCTCAAACGTTCGCACAAGCTATGGCTCGAAGTTTTCTGGTTTCGGCTGATATGGCACACGCTATTCATCCTAACTACATGGGACGTTACGAATCCCAAAACACGCCTAAGTTGAACGAAGGTACGGTTCTTAAGATCAATGCAAACCAGCGTTACACCACTAACTCTGCTGGCATCGTACTTCTGAAAAAGGTTGCTGAGCTTGCGAAGGTGCCAGTGCAATCGTTCTGTGTTCGAAATGATTCTCCTTGTGGCAGTACCATCGGACCCAAACTCGCTGCAATGACTGGAATTCGCACGCTTGATCTCGGAAACCCCATGCTTTCAATGCATTCGTGCAGAGAAATGTGTGGTACAACGGACTTTGAGTACGCTGTTCTTTTGTTCTCTAAATTCCTTTCTTCTTACTCTACTCTTAGTCCCAAGATTATCATTGATTAAAATAAACGTCTGGTAATGATATGAATTATTCTGTATAGTAAACGGAATGACTGGTTGATTGTTGTGAACTGTATCTTGCAAATGTTTCTGAAAGTTCTGTCAATCCTGTTTTGTTTCATTAATGTAAATAAAGTTATCGCTTAGATATGAGATTTCACGAAAAAGACTCGGCATATCCAGAATTTCTAAAATCTGCCGAACCCATTATTTAAAAAGAAACAAAATTTACACGTAAACATAGTCGTTTAAAAACGTACTGATTTACATTTACGGAAACTGCCAGGTCCAACAGTTTTTCTTTTTTCGCTTTACTATCTTATATCTAAACTATTATTTAAACTTTCACATCTTTCGCATATTTATTCAAAATCACACGTTCATATCTTATCTAGGCCGAGCTTATTCTAGTGACATCCGGCTTTCGAGCAAGTCCTAGCCACTACCAGCAACAAATTGAACGTTAATTTTGAACGTTTTACCAATAAATTCTGTGTTTTTTGATGTTTTAAACGACCATACGATACAATGAATGAAATCCATGAACTCAGATCGCTGAGTGTTCCCGAAATGACTGAGGTTGACGGAGACACGATAGACGTAAATATACCAACTTCTAGCGGAATGCTACTGTTTACGAAGAGCAAAGTGTACGTTCATCCTTCCTCTACGACATCGAAAAAGAATATTCCTGGCTACCTTTCACTTTCCCAAATTTCTGTTGGTGATTACAGCGGACGAGCTGGAAATCATTTTCTGCTTTCTTGGATTCCGGAGGACTTTTTTAGACTTCATCCCGAGGCTCTCAACGCTTACAGAGATGCAGAGTCTGGTGTAAACACGATGGCGGCTGTAAGCCTGCCTTCCCGTTTGGATTATGCCTTTAGTGTCCGATTGAGCGATGTCTATTCGATTTTATTCTGTCCTCCAAAGTACAATTGGAGCTATGGACGAATTATTATCAATTTACGAAATGAGCAGGACCTTGTGCCTCCATTGTATTTCCATGATGACGAATGTCGTAGTACAATTGAACAGGAGAAGGCGCAACGAAAAAGCCAATTTGATCCTTTTGATGAAAGTGGAGACGTTTTTTGGGGAGGTGCTCATTTTCTCATGTTCCTAAAGCGTTATGCTCATGTGGTTCGTGCAAATGGCTCATCCCAACTTTTCCTTATCAATCCAACCAGTGAAGATATAATTTCCTCAAGAGCTCTTATGTCTTCTGTCCCCGACACCTCTTCCTTTGCCGCTCCTTACATTCCTCCCACGCCTTCTGTCAACATTCCTCCTACACCTTCTGTCAGCATTTCTCCTGAAACAAGAGAAGCCCTCGTCCAGCCAATGCAAAATTTGTTTGCCAAGTTTGGTTGGAATGTCTTCTCCAAGTTTAGCAAGGTTACGCTTTATGGCAGGGAAAAGCTTGATCAAGCATTGGATCATCCCATTGCCAAGTCGATTGTTCCCCACTTGCCAAAGGAAACACAGCTGATGCTTTCTTCCAACCGGGTAAAGCGTCTTGCAGAAGAATATGACCCAGCTCGTTTATTCCTGGCTCACTGGGCAGAACAAGTCGCCGAACAGGCAGAAAGCATGAACTCTAAGAGGGATAGCAACGGGCAAATAATCACGGAAACAACGAATGAAGAGCCCTCTGCTGTTGGTTCTTTTGAACTCATTACACTTGACACACTTGCACCTCACGCAAAGCGTGGCAAACCACTCACGAAAGCTCAGTGGTCCGAAATGTTTGACGCTGAGGGTAGATTTGTGCGTACGCAAAAGGAATGCCTTTCCATCATTTTCCACGGCAGTATTGAGCCAGACATCCGTGGGGAGGTCTGGCCCTTTTTGCTTGAAATATACCCATGGACTTCGACCGCTGAAGAACGAGTACAGATTGACCGACAATTGCGTAGTGAATACCGCCGTTTGAAGGAGGCATGGTATAACGATCTCGATCGACAAATGAACGATGCCTTCTTCTTGGAGCAAAAGCATCGTATTGAAAAGGACGTCCACCGGACAGACCGTCAACACGAATACTTTGCTGAGGAGAATCTTCCCCATCCGGATCCCCAATCTACGTTTACAGGAACAAACTTGCATATGGAAATGTTGAAAGATATTCTTTTGACATACAACGAGTACGACAAGGATATGGGATACGTCCAGGGCATGTCTGACCCTGTTGGCCCCCATTTACGTTATTTTAAACAGTGATTCTATGGCGTTCTGGGGAATGGTTGGTCTTATGAAGCGAATGTGCTACAACTTCCGTCGTGATCAAAAGGGTATGCGTAGACAATTGGAGACGCTTCGCCAATTGATAAAATTCATGGATCCTATTCTCTATAATCATTTAGAGAAGACAGATTCGGCCAACCTGTTCTGCTTCTTCCGTATGCTTTTGATTTATTTCAAGCGCGAATTCGATTGGACTCAGCTTTTGCAGCTTTGGGACGTGCTTTTTACGAACTTCCTTTCTTACCAATTCCATATTTTCGTTGCAATGGCAATTATGGAAAGACACCGGGAAGTGATTCTCAGTCAAACGCACGCGTTTGATGAGGTGCTCAAGTACTTTAACGATCTTGGAATGCATATTTCCCTTGATCCAACCCTCGAGTGTGCAGAGCAACTTTTCTACCGTTTCCGAAGCAAGGTTGAAATGATTGATCGCCGCAATTCGGAAAAGGAACAAGAAGACAAGGCATCGTCCACTTCTAAAGCAGAGGACAAACCAGAGCCACAGGAGGTGACGAAGTACTTGAGAAGCTTGTTGGGTACTGAACCCGTGGACTACAGTGAAGAATAATGTCCATTACCTTTTTTTATCTTATGACATGTCGCAAATCACTATGACCGTTGTTATGACATTTTCGTTTACGCTCTTCCCGCCCTAGAAAACCTGGGCTTTCCTCTTCCTCGTCTCGATTGAGGAAAGCGCTTCCTTTGAAGCGCTTGACGTTCCTTTTGCTCACGAATAATCTTCATACGAATTCTTCGTTTCTTGCTTGGTCTCCAGCGTTTTTTCTTTTTCTCCTCCAGTTTGATATGAATAACCTTGTGTGGTTTTTGACACGCAGGCTATAATGGATCTGTTAGATGATACACTGTGTACTTTTGTAGACAAATACCATACCCATGGTTCGTTGCTAAACTCCATTATTTGTTCATACGTCAGTAATGATTGCTTTAGCCGTTCTCTTCTCTCTTCATTGTCTCTTCAACGCAGTTAGTAATTTATAGCTAATGACTCTTTTCTTTAACGAAGTACTGCAAACATACTCGACCATATAATAGGAAAGGGGTCGCTCCTGTTTTATAACCTCTTCTTTCTCTTCCAGAGAAACTTGGTGGACATCGGAGAACAAGCTAAACGCTAAATTGCTTTCTTCAGTAACGACTTGCTCTTCGGTTTCTGCCCCTTCCTTCTCTTCAGTAACCAGTGGCACTGTTTGCAGTCCGTCTAGGGAAATTCTGCCAGCAATGGACTGGGAAAGAAGAGCCAATGCGTCGTCCGGAACTTCATCTACTGTTTCCTCTTCATCTGCAAGACTCTTTCTCGAAACACTTAATTCATTAGAAATTGACGGAAAACGACGACAAGAGGCTTCAATGTTTAAATAACCACATACACTTGACCATACTCCATGGTCCTTGCCAATGACCAAGCGTTTTTCTTCTAGTTTTTTTGCGATTTGGTGGTGAACGGTTGGCACTCAGTTAAAAAGCTTGGAAATAGAAAGGAAGTTGAGCAGTAAAGAATGCAGTAATAGGAATACTGCGCATGCAAATTTGCTGTGTTAAGATAGATTTGATAAATCAGTAGTTTTGTTTAAAGAAAGTGAACCCGACTTTGAGTATTTCCGTTGGGTCTATCTCATGAGAGGAACTTCTAGTTCTTCGTGTTTGGCACGGGGTAGGTAACGGAAACGCTTAATGACACGAGAAGCCTCGCTATAGATCACGTCTTGGGAAAAGGAAGTGATGGCATTGAATTCTGTGGTGTCAGAAAGATATTCACGGAGGCGACATCCAACTGCTTTGTCGTAATGCTGAACAAAAGCCATAACAGTTTCCTCGGTGAGGACGCCTCCAGAGAGACAGTAGTAATGCATGCGTTCAAGAGGCAAGCAGGCGTCAGCCGTGCATACAATCATTGCCTTCACGGCTAATGGAGCCTCCCAAATACCCTTAATAAGATGCAAGGGCATAAATACAGAGGTTAAAAGCGCCGATCCTAACATGTGGATAATTTCAGAGGGATTCTTATTCCACGAAGATATGTGTTTGGAACATACATTGAATGCATCATCAAGGTTCCATATACGTATAATATCATTTACAATTAAACGCGCAGCAATTGTGTTGGACAAGAAGCTTGAGAGTGGGATGGGAAACGGGTGGGAGCTACCAATGGTAGCAATGTTTGTCCGTGAAAGTCCCGCTAGAATACTGGCGAAGAATTTTGCCTCGGCGTTTTCGCGCTGCGCGCTGACGAACAAGAGGTATTCTGCATCATCCAGCAGATGACACGTAGTAAATACCAATTCTGTCCTATGAGCTGGACTAGATATTTTCGAGAGCGCGTGAATGTGCGCACATGCTTGAACGGAAGAGGACAGCTCTGTCTTTGAATCGCTAACAACGGTGGCGTCACTTGAGTTGTCATTTACGCTTTTCGAGCAATCGGCAATCAAATCCTCCAGATTGTATAAGATAGAAATAATTGGGATATCGTAGACTGTCAATTCCTGAAGCATCCTCAATTCCTCGGGTGAGGTGTTTCGCGCATCAACTTGGTACCAAATGCAATGAATGACAGGGCGTGAAACCGAAGGCTCTTTTTTCAGAAACTCGTGGATAGATTCAAGTGATTGTTTGTTTAGGGAAGAACAGAAGGCTAGGAATAGCTTGTTTTGAGGAGAGCAGAGAAAATTCGACAACGAAGTGTCAGAGCTTCCAGATTTCTTTCGAAGATACTTGACGCCAAACACACGCTTCACAAGGCTTTTCTTCGCCTTTAAGTTTCCCAAAACCAAGACATTGAACGTTTCAATCTTTGGGGCACTTGAATTTGTTCTTGAATGTCGAGTTTCTGAAATTGCCGACGACACAGGACTCGACTGTTCAGTCATAGAAATGGTGGATGAATCGTTTGCAGACGAATTGCTCATAATGGTGTAAAATTCAAATGTGAACGAGAGAGAGAGAGAGAGAGAGAAAAGAAAAAAAGAGAAGAAGAGAAAAAGAGTTTCTGTATAGGTGATTCGGTTGAGAGAGATAAGGACCTTGGAATTTGGTGATAATTGTGGTGTGTATAATGAAGAACAAATACTTGAACAGAGTTTAAAGCCGGTAGAAGCTGTAATTTAGTTCAGAATCATATTAAGAAAGCAAAAAAGAAGGTCAAAATCGCAAATTGGAAATTGAAAAAAAAGGAAGAGCAAATTAGAAGCAATTTGGAGGGAAAAAGCAATTCAAATTCTGCTTACTGTTAGGAATAGACAAAAAATGCAAAGAGCAGAGTGAATGGATCTGGGGAGGATTGCGGCTGCTGGAGAACAAGATTAAGGTATCCGGACCCCGAGGTATGACGTAGGGGGCAGAGTCGTCGTAAGAGCGAGACATTAAACAGCGTGGCAGGGATGCTCAGCAGTCAAACCAGGATACTGAAGTACAAGGACCCTACCCAGGGTCCTTAGCAATGAAATACCACTGGCCATTTACTGTTAGACCGGAATTAATTGGCGACAGCGACAAACAAGACCGCGCAAATGCGACAATATACCACTCCGACCGACCGCCACCTTACTCGCCGCCCGATTATTTACAACTAGATAATGAACTTTCATATATTTACGTCAAGTAAAATACAAGCAGGAGAAAAGAGATACAATGACCAGCATTGGTGACCATAAGGTAGCCAAATGACAGCCCAAAAACAAAGTGTTTCCATCAACTCACAGCTGACGAACAAATCTGGTACAAAACAGTATAGAAGTACAGGTGTGTGTATGTGTGTGTGTGTTTGTATAGGGGGTAAAACAGCCAGGCCGCGAGCCAGTGAACGGTTAAACGTCAGGCCCGAAGCGGAACAGATAAAATAAAAAGAGTGTTTCTGCTCAGGCTCTCGCCAAAGCAGAAGACCAGGTGCATACAAAACCAGCCATCATTATCCAAGAGCGTTTAGGGACGATAGGCCCGAGACACATCTCGCTTCAATGGCCGGCCTCGACATGCGTTTAAGAGTAATTCTCACCCGCTTACTTAGTCTTCTTTTGTTGAGCCTCAAGCTTCTTTGCGGTTTGACGGTCCTTCCAGGCGTGGTAGTTCTGGTCAGTACGAAGAGTTCTATCCCACCAGCGGAAGGAACTGGCAAAGTTGTCCTTGAAAGCCATGTGGTGATAGTCGTGGTGATCAGCACCAGCCCAGAAGGGAAGGAACTTGTTCAAGGACCAGGGGAAGTCATAACCAGAGTGAGAGTCAACGGCTTGGAGAAGACGGCAGGTGATCCAAATATACATGGTAACAAGGTGCAAGTCGTGAGTGAAATAGCACCAGACGAGAGGGACAAAAACAGTGCCGGCACCCAAAAGGACGATTTCGGCGGGATGGGCGTATTCAGCGGAAAGACCAAAGGGAGCACTGTATTTGTGATGGACCTTGTGGATCCAGCGGTAGAAGATGCCGTAATGGAAGAGACGATGAGCCCAGTAATGCCAAGTGTCCTCCAAAACGAAGAACATGGCGACCTGCCAGCAAATCTTCTGCCACGAGGGGAAGGGAACAGCGGTAGAAAGACCAAACATAGCACACATGGGGTCGAACAACCAAATCTGAGGAAGCTCTACGGTAAAGTGGGAAAGAAGTACAAGACGGGTGCATTGCCATTGTTCAAGCATGCTGGGAACTTTTTTGGGCTGGATTTTCCAGCGACGGAAGTAGGGAATAGCATCAATGATCATCCAGGGGATACAACGACCAAAGTAGATGATCTCGTGCATAAGGAAAGACATTAAACCCGTGGCAACGACATCGTTACCAAACCACTTGTAGTAAGCAAGCCAAAGCTTTTCAAAAGCATTGAGCTCGGGGTGCAGATCGCCGATCAGCGAACGGACGGCTGAAAAGCTCATACCAGTATACAACTCTGTAGTAGTGTTCATAATGGAAGAAAATTAAGAGGAAAAATGTTGTGATACAAAACAGAGAGTCAGAAGACGCAGCAACACAAACGTTTGTTCGTTAATGCAGAAAATAGTACAAGATATCAGATTGTGAACTGAACCACGATGTCAGATAGACAGATACGACAATTTTAAAGCCAATGGTTCAAAATTGACCGTTCAAAGGCGAAATAGAGTGAAGTCGACACAGTATAACACAATTGTGTCGTCAAAAACTCCTAATTATAAACACAGATGTGCCGGGAGGCGAAAAAGTTACACAGGTGGTTATGTGGAGAGGGACGGGGTTAGGCGACAGGGCTATGCGTTTTATAAGGAATTAGGTGGAGCGGTTTGGCGAAAAAAATGGTCTGAGGTTCCAACTCACGCCATTTTTGCATATACACGGATGAAACGGTATCATTTCAAACACATTCAAAATAGGTTTTAGATGTGAATTATGCTGCGTTTTTGTGTATTTTTCGTGATTTAGTTTATAAAATGGTCTGAGTGCGGGAGATAGTGCGAGAGGGGAGAAAGCGGCGGCAGTCATTTGGTGTGGGGATTCCGCAGCAGACATTATGCGAAGGCCAAACCCAATCAGCTCCTTTGTTTTTTCACGTGGCTCATAAATCCCTCGGCAAACACCTGTTCGGGAACCAATCTTTGAGTGATATTTCCGAACTTTAATTGACGTAAGCGTGTCGTCACGGATGATGGCAAACCGCTGACCGCTGTACACCGCACGCTGTATACCGCAAATTTACATAAGGTTCTGATGTCATTGGCTGATTGTTTGCCTTCAATTCTAGTTGAGGAGATGAGGAAGAGGACCTCAGTTTGTTTCCAATTACCACGTTATCATCGGACCTCCAAACAGCATCCGGCACATGGTGATGGTTTCCTGCCGACGGGGAATGCCACGTGGAGCGGGAGAGAGGGGGGGACGGGCGTTGATTTGCGGGATGAAGAATTGGTGGAACGCGATAGAGCGAGCTGAAAGGAGACGAAAGGACATAATCTCCGCTGACGGTATTCATCGTTAAGTGTGCTTTAACGTAGTGTGGTAGTGTGCGGCAACCTTTTCCTTTCCGCGTGCTCGCTTAGAAACCTTATTTGTCGCTCCATGTTTGACAATTCATTCATTCAAGAGATATACGTTTCCCTAGTTTATTTTTATTTCTTTTCTTTATAGAATAGCCACTGGGTGTCTGTTTTCGTCAAGAATGATTTCGAGTCCGTTGGTGGCAGTGTGCACCTGATCGCTAAGTTGGTCAAGGTACATATCGTACATAGGCATATAGTTGTCGATAAACTGTTTCACCTGCTCATCTGTCATTCCATGGTGTGTCTTTTGTATGAGTTCATGTTCTTGTTGTAGCCGCCAAGAGTAGACGTAGTTAATGTCCTGGGCCTTTAGTTGTACAATGGCATCCACGCATTTGAAAATGGGGACGTAGAGACCGAGTTGCTCGTTCAACCACTCGATGCTTCTTTCTAGATGGCGCCAGCGTGTTGTTTGAATGCGGGCTGACAAAAGCCAAGGAGCTACTTGCTCAAACCCAACCATCCAGCCTTCAAACAGGACGACGTCGACCTTGTCTGGGTACACGTACTGCCATTTGTCTTCTTCGTACCGGTCTCCATAGCCACCGAACCGCGATTTATCATAAGTGGGGATGCCGATTTGAGCTGTTGTTCGGTTGCTTAATTGAGAAAGAATACTGTGCATCAATGCAATATCATGTGTTCCTGGAAGACCACGATGCTGGATGAGGGGATTATCGCGATGTTTTGCAGCAAGGGCTTCTTGCCGTTCATGAGTTAGGTAGAAATCATCAATGGACATTCCGACTACACACAGATGAAGTTCTGTTTCGAGAGCCCGTTTCAGGTTCCGCGTAAGTGTACTCTTTCCGGATCCCTGTGGTCCTGTAATTCCCAGGAAGAATGGTTTGTGTTTATTGCGTCTTTGGGCCTCAACAAATTCAACAACCCGAGAAGTAATGACTTTTTGCGAATCAGGCCCACTCTCATTCATTTTAGATGCTAGATGCAAGGAAGATGTAGGTTTAAATAAGAAATAGTTATTCGTCTGTGTTTCCGGGAATGTCTCGGTACAAATAGGTAACAATTATAAAAAAACGTGAATTCGGGCAATTGCCTCGTTCGTCAGCCTCCGAATAGACGTTTATGTTTACAACAGAAATACAGCTTTTTGTGTCCTCTCGTGAGTTGACGGCCTCAAGAATTTCAGTATACGTTTTTTGTTAATGGATAATGATGTTCTGGAAGAAGAAACTACGACGGAAGAGCGACACAATACGGCACTTGATACATCTTTTATAAATGAGCTGAAAAACTTTGAAGCAAGTAACGAAGTCAGCTTTCTTTTTTGCCCTAGGATCGCAAATTCAAAAGTTTTTTTGGTTTGTTTATTTGTTTTTTATTTCAAAAGACAAGGAACTAAAAAGTGCCGATTGACAAAAAAAAAATTAATAAAAAAATAAAAATCAAGGACAGCAAACGCGAGTAGGGAAAACTCGACTTTTTTCAGTATCATCAATTTATTCTATTGATTTTTTATTATTATTTTTTTATTTTTTTATTTTTTTGGTATTTTCAGAGAACTAACACACATTTCGTTTTCATTAACAAATTACCTTCCTACTTGAGTCACTCTTCTACATTAACGGTAACACAATTCTATTTTTTCCTCATGAGGCCTGTACCTGTTAGACTCCGGACAGAACGTCAAGAAAAACCTGGTGCTCTGAAAAAGTTGAAGGGGAACAAACTTATCCGGCATTATCATGTTCTGCTTAAACGGAAAGAACAGTTAAAACAACGAAAAGCAAATCCAAAGGAAATCCAAAAAGTCCAATCCGAACTTGATATGCTGGGCATTGATGCCTATCAAAAAGCCAGTCAGAACGGACAAAACAAAAGACGCGGAGGTGACTCAAGTGTCATTCTCGTCGAATATGTCAAATCACAAAAATATCCAAAAACCGTATATCCCATCGACTTGCTGGAAATAGGATGTGTTTCTATCGACAATAAGTGTTCAACATCAAAACTATTTCGTGTTGACCGAATTGATCTTCACTCCACACATCCTCTTATCAAGCAACAAGACATACTCGAACGCACTCCGTCAGAAGGAATGTACGGGTGTATCAGCTGTTCACTTGTTTTAAACTTCGCGCCGCCCGAGACTCGAGGTGACATATTGCTCCATTGTACTAGGCTTTTAAAACCCCCAACAGAGCAAATGAAGTCGTTGTTTTTTCTTGTTCTGCCCGCTCCTTGTGTGCTAAATTCTCGCTACATGAGTTTGGAAACAATCTCTAAAATGATGGAAGACCTGGGTCTCTTTACTGTGTACACAAAAACTACTGCCAAAATTGTCTATCTCATCTACGAATACCGGAAAGAGCCAAAGTCTGTTATCGTATGGAAAAAGAAGGAACTCTTTAAAGGTGCAACTCGGAATAATTTCTTTATTCCATTGAACACGACTGAAGCAACACGGAGGCCTGTAAATAAGGACGAACAATAATTCTCGTTTGTGTTTCTGTTAAAGTAAACAGAATCCAGGGCAAAGTTTAGGATGACTCAAATTACAATAAACAGAAACAAAAAAAAAAAACAAGTGTGGTTTATAAGTGGATGTCAAATATTTACTATCAGATAAAATTCTCCTTCGATGTACCCAATTTAGGACCGTTTATATTTATTAATTTATTATGTGGAAACTCGTTAAATTAAAGTATTTACTATACACGTAATCATAACTATTACCAAAAGAATATATCTACCCATATATAGGTTAACAAAAGTCAACATTCAGTTCTTCGACGTCTAGTCGAGTGGTTTCCACGAGGACGTACCGTTACTGGTTCGAGCCTGGGGAGACGCGTTTACTATGATGAACACGAGCCAGAAGGCTCTACTATATAAACCCAGCTCTTTGAGCCCTCATGGGCATGAAACGAGAAATCCGTTCTGATAACGCAGCTCTATTTTTGCGAAAAGAGGAAACGACAAGAGATAGCGATACTGTATATATTCGATAGAACAAACTGTCACTGCTGTACTTGCAATTAACTTAACCAGAGAACCCTAAAACTCACTAATCGCTCTCTCACACAATAACTCCACTACTCAACCTTAACACGATTCGTTAAACAACAGTTCTTTATATTTCTTCACTAACTAACAAAATGTACTCTCCAACCGACCCACTACAATTCACTGAAAAGGACTGCAGTATTGGGTACTAAGACGAAGAACGACACAAATGTGCACGCCTCTATGCACAGCATTGGCACTTGCGTAAGACGGGACGCTAAAGCAAGCAATTTGACTTGTGTGCAAACGGTGAAGAAGTGAGTTTGGTCGGTTTGAGTTTTGTTTCGTTTCTCCACACGACAGTCACAACCCTACCCTAATTTGACGCCCTGCAATGGTGGAGTAGAGCTACCGCCGGACGACCCCGGTGGGGAACAAGCAGGCGAGTGTGGAGTAATTTAGTTGTACCGTGTTCACCACTTAATACTAGCCAGAACCATTCACGACCAGCGGTTCCGTCGACACCAGAAATTTGTGTTTTAAACCCGGGAATCGTTTCTTTGGAATGCACTGAAGGGAATTGTTTGCAATTGAGCTCGTCAACGTTATTTCGATTTTCTTTTTTCTTCCAGGTCGTTTCAGTACCAAAAAACCTATCTCCTTCTTTTTCGAGTTAAACCATTAAACCAAGTATTGGTCAAAAAAATGAACAAGATTTTGCATTTTAACTTCCCGCGGCTTTTGGAGCGGTTTTTCATTCAAAAGGTTTGTTTATAGAGCATGAAAGCATATTGTTTGAAGTACAACAACATGTGGAGGTGCTAATATGAGATTGAACTTTGATGTATAAGCAAGACGGAATTCTAACATGCGTTCTAGAAATTCTTCGGCATCTGTGGCTTGCAAACTGGCTGCGAATTCATCGTCTGGTTTTCCATAGTGAACAAGCTCTGTGGAATCTATGGCGTCCTGGCCTTATTTCAAAGTATGTGCGAGGAGATTCGGGAACTCGGAGTGTTCCACAACGCACGAGAGTTAACACTAACCTTCTTTTAGGTGCCGATGTTTCGTTTGCAGAGGTTACGATGTACGTTTGTTCATTCATCTTCCTATTCATCTTCGGTTGGTTGTCCATTTACATTCCCAAGGTACGATTAACATTTGTCCTCCTTAGAATGGGTTTGCTAATGCCTTTGTTAAGCGCACCGTCTTTCATGCACTCGTTTTCAGCTATACTTATTTGATTGACTCGCTCATCAACTTCCTCTTTCTCATCTTCTTCTCGATTTCTTGGTTTATGCATCTGGTGGAGAATGCTGCTATCCCGGATGCCGGTGTCTCTACCCTCACTGAACGTGCCGATGCTGGCTCAGCCGTCGATAATACGACTACAGGTTCCACCAATCCTTTCCTGCAAGCCGAATCTGCACCCTCTATTATTATGCTGGTTCTTGTGGCCGGTTTCCGCATTTACTTCATCCTCGTCACCATCTCATACTCGTCCGAACTCGTTCTCGAATCCGAGACTCGCCCCCAACAGTTCCAAACGAATTTGAGTGGCCGGATCATGCGTCTCCTCTTAAAGCCTTACAGTATGGCTGCTAACCGTGTCTACCTTCGAAAGCCATTGCCTCGTGATGAGAACAATAGCATTGAGTTGCAAAGACGTCTCGTTGAGGAGTTCGTATAAGCGCATTACTGGACATTCTTTTCCATACACTTCTGTTCTACTCAGTCTTTCTTCTTTTGTCCCCAGAATCTCACCATTGACTTCTCTTCCCCGCATCTACTTACTCACCTATTCATCCTGAATGACATTCCTGTTCCCAGTTGTACACATTAGCCAGGTAGAGGTGTTTTCTCCTATCGTTTTTTTATATATAAACATACGTGACATTCATTGACTAAACAGATGGAATAAAAGTTTGGCGGAAGTGTTGATATAGAAGACGGTGGCAAAGGTTGTTTGTGTATGTAAAAGGTTCTTCTTGCTTAATCTTAAGAGAAGAAGTATTGGCTGTGAAGGACGCTTCTAATGTCAAAAGTTCCTCGTTCAGGCACTTCTGGGAATGTCAACGGTGCCCACCCTTTCACAACCGAGCGCTTAGCAGTGGCGCCTTGTTGTAGAAGATATTGTCCTGCTGGTGAATCAACAGGATAATGGTTATGGACATAGTGATTTTTGTAACGGTCTTCAAACTCCCGCTTTAAATCTCCCAGAATGTCCCGAGAGTGAAGCTCTACAAACGCTTCGCGAAGGAGGCCATTCAATTCTGCAACTGAGGCGGCATGTGTCCAATAGGAATCGTGAACTGAAACAAAGGTAATGTTTCTCTTTTTACATTTCAAACAAGTCATAAACATATGCGTAGCATCCAAAGAATGAATAAAGTTAGGGGGGACAGCAGTTGTTTGTTTTCGGGGATCGACAGGAGCATTCGAGTCCGGATCCTCAAGATACACTGACTGTAAATTCGTCGTAATTTGTTTGGAAGGAAACTTGCGATATGGCTGTACGACAGGGAGATTCAAAGGGGTTGTCCAAACCACAGCAGTCATCTTATCCAACTCTTTTTGTTTGAGAGCTTCTTCCGGCACTGAGTGTGCGATAAGTGCCGCACAGTCCGCTAGCCAATCTTGAATTTCATGAGCACGCTTGAACAAGGCGCGTAAAGACTGAAACACGCGTTTAGCCAAAAATGCAGAAGCATCACGAAGCAAATCCTTGGGTATGTCTTCCTGCAATTTTAGCTGCTTTTCTATTTGAGCCCGGGCTCCAACATAGGTAACACCATAAACATTTGTCATAACTGGCTGTTTTATCACAGTCCTTGTTACCCTGTCTTTCAAAAGCTCAGCCATTGGATCACCAGCTGCAGCTTCCTTTTTCAGTATACTGATGACGCGTGCTGCAACAGCAGCATACACATCGTTCGGCCGATTAGATGGTTCTAAATTCACCTCTCTTGCACCTTCAGGATCACCTCCTAATGCTGCATAGTGTTGTAAACCATTGCATGTTCCATCTTGCTGGACTGGAACATGAGATATAAAGGATGAAGGATCGCCAGAGCGTATGGCATCTGCAATTTCGAAACATACCGCAAGGGCCTGGAAGGGATCATCAGCCTTTGTCCAAAATTGTTCACCATCAAGAGGTTTATCCACACTGTTGAAGATATCTTGTAAGTGATTATCAACAAAATCAATTCGTTCCTGAATTGTAGATTTGTTTTTACCAAACAAATTTGCCAATTGAACTTTTAACCATTGGAAACCTTCTTCTCCTAAGGGTTTTCCCTCAGCAAATATAAGCAACGAACGACAAAAATCACTATTGACATGATGGAGATGGGAAGGAATGGGATAGGCCCTTCCACGGAAGTCCACATTATGAGGGAAATAAAATGTTTCATGTAGGAATGCTTTTGCGATTTCCAAGGTGTAATTGAATTCACACCTCTGCGAATGCTGGGAAGCAAAATCTAGTGATCTTTCCTTTAGCATTCGCAACCATTCTGCTCTCGCAGAAGGATCAATAGACTTTTCCGGCATTTCTTGAATATCCAGAGTTGTATTGGCGGATGGGATAGACAGAAAACTCTCTCCGGTGTTCCAAATCTTGACGAGCATATCATAAACCTTTCGATTGACTTTCCAGCCAACATTTCCCAGTGCAGTCAGTCCTTCTAGAAGATCCTTTAATTGACCACTGTCAGAAGCGGCTTTCAAGTAAAGCAATTGCTCATGTGACTCTTTGAAACGGAGTACGGACTCACTGCTGTAATAGTAGCCACCGCTGTTCCACATAAGCCAAGGCCTTGGCTTCACTAGCATGGGAAGTCGATATGGAGGAAGATGTGCACCCGACAATTCTGAAGCAAGGATATCATAAAGAACTGGATGAGCTACAATAACACCGACTTTCCGACCAGCTAAATACCTGTATCCATGCTGAAAAGCAGAAGAATCTTGAAATACAGTGCTCTTCGTTTCAGGGTCTAATGCAGAGTCCCTAATTTTGGCTGAATTGATCAACAAACTCACGGTAACCGACGCTACCTTAACTAAGATATTTGGTGACCATGGTTGGTAAAGACTAGATTGGACAATTCCATTGTCTTCGTTGTCGCGTATCTTCTTCACGAAAGAGTTGAATAGCCGTGGACTACTGAACAGTTTTTTCGAATCAACGCTTTTGGGCAAGTTTCCTTCAGCTTCAATCTTTTGAAGCTGCTCAGAAAAATACTCTTTTTCAAACGCTCGGCCGACAGACATGAGAGCAAATGTTGAACGTACACCAGTACAGTACCGTTTATTGGTAACAAATGTAAGCATTTCTAATACCGTAATCGCCGCCAATTTTGAAGGCGACAACAATTTAAGGTATTGTGCATACTCCGCACGAGTGCGACTTTTATATGGCGAGGCCTTGTTGTTTTCCGAGTCCTCGATTTGACGGAATTCCTCCTGGATCAATGCCTCCAGTTTCTCATACCAAACATATAACAAAGCATTAAGAGATCGACTGTGAGGTGGGTTCTCGCCCCTTCTTAAAATTTCGTTATATGAATGTCTCCATTCAGCGATAGAGCTTTCTAAGGCCTTTTTTTCCATAAGCCTTTGCCTAGCTGCATTATATGGATCGGCTTCCTCGCCAATATCGAGTGCCGCACGGTCAATTTCAAGTTGATCTTTCGAGTTTGCCTGAATGGCGCTAAGTGTGTTTTTGAGCATATCTAAACCAATATTTCTTGTTTTCACAGAAAGAAGCTGATCTTGGCTTACGAAATCAGGTTGTGCGTTAGCGAAGTTTTTGGATATGCTGTCATATAAGTCTGCAAGTTGCATTTTGTCCCTCTCTTCGCCGGAATAAACATGCAGAGGAAGTCGAAAAAGCTCGGCCAAAACGCTAGCCTCCTTTTTAGAAAATACTAACGACCCAACCATAAGAATTTCACTCAAGGAATGGTTCATTCTTCGCCAGTTTCGAACCAATTTCCGCAGTATCGGGAAACTGGAATTGCTAGCTTTCTCTTGGACCATAGCAGCTTGGCACAAAATCGCATATGAAATTGCATCTGCCCGAAACCTTCGAGTTTTAAGTAGCTGCTCGTAGTAGGATATCACTTCTTCAACAGGTACACATGAAACGCTGTGTTTTAGGAATACATGCACCAAATGAACAGCCTCATCTGTGGTTGAATGCCCTATTGTTTTCTGTAATATTTGCAACGCACGAGATATGTCACCAGCATTTAGACACGCTTGAATAACGGGCACCTTTTCTTCGTTTCCGTTAAAACCTTTGAAAGAAAGCCATTGTGGAGGAGCGTTCCTCTCCACTGACTGCTCAACTGTATATTTGGTAGTAGATGTTGACGCGTAAAGTCGTCTGAAAGGAGATTGCTGTCTTAGTATAGTCACCACAAAGGGCCTTGCACTATTGAGACGTGCAAATCTTTGAAATCTACTGGATGCATTTCGAAAACGCGTCGTACTTCGCATCTACTTAGCCAAGTCAAAACGTTTGCCAGTTCGGTGGACACAACAGTGGGCGAGCGCGTACCGTGGAGAATAATTCACATCAGGATTTAACGCATCACAAGGAAGTCGGCGCAAAGTAAGTAATAACGCATTTTAGTGATTTCGCTTAAGGATACCTGGGTAACGAAAACAAGTTCAAGGGTGAAAAGGAAGGTTTAGTGCGCCAGAAGCGTTGAGACCTCCCTGAGCATGAAGCGCAACGTGCATGCTTCTTTGTCGGCAACACTGATAACCACCTGTCTTTGAATTGATTTCTTGCCGAGTTTACGTACTCATTTGCTGCACATGCACGACGTAGATAGATAGTGAACAGCTGGCTAGCTCAGCACAAATCCGAAATCTAGCTGATGCAGGAAGAATCATGTACGATTGGGAGCGAAGATAGCACCAAAAACAACGGGGCGATGAGCTTCATGAGTGGTAGTTAGCAATAACTTGAGTATATATAAGTCTCGTAACAAACCGATGATGGTATTTTCGCTTTCTTAATTTTGACGTGGTAGTGGAAAAGGGAAACACGAAAATTAATATGTATGAAACTCGGGATTTGACCGGACGCGCTGGAGAATATAAATACGCAAACCCATGGCCAAACGATGCGAAGATTGCCGTCTCTTTCGTAGTCAACTACGAAGAAGGAGGCGAACGTTCCATTCTATACGGAGACGAAGGATTTGAAACATTCCTGACAGAAGCTGGCCTCATGCCCTTTCCTAATCGTCCTGTTCGAGAACGTTCTATTGAGTCGTGTTTTGAGTATGGTTCAAGATGCGGGTTTTGGAGAATTCTCCATCTCTTTAAGAAATACAAGTATCCCTTTACGTGCTGGGCAATTGGACAAGCTGTTGAAAAGAACCCCATTGTAGTAGCCGCTATGGAGGAAAACGGTTGCGAAGTGGGTTCTCACTCGTATCGCTGGATTAATTACGAGAACATGGATCCGAAAGAAGAGTACGACCATGTTGTCAAATCCCTTCGTGCCATTCAATCGGCATCGCCAACAGGAAAAACTCCACGAAGCTGGTACACTGGACGCGCCAGTGTAGAAACTCGCAAGGTTGTTTGTCAAGCGTATAAGGACTTGGGACTTCCGCAGCCGTACGACTCAGACGAATATAACGATGATTTGCCCTACTGGTTATCGAATCCACTGGCTTCAAAACCTAATGCTGAAGACGATGAAGGACTACTCATTGTGCCATACACGCTGGACGTGAATGATATGAAATTTGCAGTTGCTCCTGGTTTTAGCACTGCTGAAGACTTTTTCACATATGCAAGAGATGCATTTGACGTGATTTATGAGGAGGGAACCGCTGGAACTCCCAAAATGATTACAATTGGTCTGCATTGCCGCATGATTGGTCGTCCAGGCCGTTTTCGAGGGCTCCAAAAGCTTATGGCTCACATTGCATCAAAGGAAGGTGTTTGGGTTGCTACAAGAGAACAAATCGCCGAATGTTGGAAGAGCAAGTTTCCTTATAGAAAGTGATCAATGTTGCTGTCACATAATCACATGAGCCATTGACATTCCTTCTTACTCCATATGTCTTAGTTGTCCTAGAATAACGAAATAATTTACGAAATCATACTTATAACGACTCAATTGATCTGTAATGTTGAAAAAGAAAATGGTAAAGGGTAAATTTCTGTTTGTCCACTTTTGAACTTTATTTTCGCAGTGTCAAAAAATAAGGTTATGGCCGACGGAAGCGCATGAGATCTGAAACCAACTCGGTATATCATTGGCTGTAAAAGAACAAAGGATGACGTACACATAACCTTAATTTGGTATATAAGAACAATGCAGGAAACGAAAAAGCAAGCATTGGGCCCAATGCATCTGCGTTCATTGCATTGACTTCCGTAAGGAAGCCTTGAATTTTGAACAGTCATGTTCTATGTTAAGATAGTTGTTGTTTGAAGATGGAATTCCTCTAGAGGAGGTTGAGGCGATGGAGCGCACGACGACGCGAACAGGAAACTCGTTAGGAGGGGGTAGCGGCGACAGCACCGTTTCCATATGGGCTCCTGCGACGCAGTACGTCGGCCGACCCGTCGGCTGTAGTGGGGAAGCTGAGGGTAGGAGATAGAGGAAGCAGTGGGAGGAAAAGGTATCAATGATGACGGTCGGTCCGTGTAAGTGGCACGGGGTAAGCTCAAACAGCTGCGGCATAAATTTGCAATAGAGAGAACTGGCTGATCACCAGTAACTCTTTTGCCAAATTCCAGCTATTCGACTATTACGGAGACTACAAAGTCTACGTCTTAAAATTTACATAAACAACAGCAAGAGACAACTGTTTACACAGATTAGCTGTTTTCGCAGTCTCTTTCTCTTCCCTCTCGACAATACTCCGCTATGAAGCCCGTCCTCGCACTTCCTCTTACTCAAGAACTGTTCCAGTCATACGGAACAGTGTTGGATGTCTCAAGAGATGATGTTACTGTTATAACTGCCAACAAAGGAAGTGCTCGAAAATACCTCGGCGTGTCTGAAGCTCTCAACGACTACAGCCAGGCGTCTGTTCCTCACTGTACTGGTCGTTGGAACTTGTTCCAAAGTAAACCAACGGTACCAATTGTTCCAGCTGGTCAGATCATGATTCGTGTTGATACATTGGAACGGCATCCATACACGACCCAAACATTTACTCCTATGGGTAGAAGCGCGGACGAGCCCGCCTACCTGGTCGTCGTGGCCCCAAACGCCGACGATGATGGTCCTGATTGGACGAATTTGAAAGTATTCATTGCCTTCGGGACACAGGCAATTACTTACGATGCCAACGTATGGCACTCGCCCATGCTGACAATCGGGAAGCCAACTGTGCTAACAGCTTTTAACTACGAAAATGGCATTATGCAGGACGACTGCCAGGTAAAGACTACAAGCACTCCTGTCCCCGTCGTTACTAGTAACGAGTTGGAGGCTGCAATCGAGTCTGCTAGCAAGTAACTGGCTCATTCATCTAGCCCAGACTAGACTCGCTTTTTCTCGCTAAAATGTCGGTTGTGAGTTAACAACCGAGACAGTAGCGACTCGTCTCCTTTAGACGTGGTGGTGAGGAAAAGTTCAAGGGACTACCGACGACTGCGATTTTCCTCTGAGAAGCAAACTCATTTCCAAACCGTTCGAGTCGTCCTGCACACTACCAATATGGCACTTCGTGCGCAGTTTGAGAACTCAAACGAGTAAGTGCATAGCGGGAGCTGCTGCTCTGTTGAGTATTTACTGACTGTATCGTTTAGGATCGGAGTCTTTTCGACTTTGACCAACTCTTATGCACTTTGTGCTTTGGGTGGTTCGGAAAACTTTTATAGGTAAGAGAAAGAACGGGGTTTTAGAGTTTGATTACAGAGAATACTTCTAGCTGTGGAGGATTCTTTAAACGAGACATTTTTTGTTCGTTCTGTGTATCTTTTTAACCTCTCATTTCGTTTCATTTTCACATACTAACTTTAACAGTGTCTTCGAAGCTGAGTTGGGTGATGTGATTCCCATTGTTCACAGCACCATTGGCGGCACCCGTATTGTTGGTCGTCTTACCTGTGGTAACCGTAAGGGTCTCTTGGTTCCTTCGGCCACTACCGACAATGAACTTCAGCACCTGAGAAATTCGTTACCTGATGCTGTGAAAATTCAACGTGTCGACGAGCGTCTCTCCGCTTTGGGTAACATTGTTGCTTGCAATGACTACGTCGCCCTTGTTCATCCTGATATCGAGCGTGAGACTGAAGAAATTATTGCCGATGTCCTTGACGTAGAGGTTTTCCGTCAAACAGTTGCCGGTAATGTTCTTACTGGATCCTACTGTGCTTTGAGCAACCAAGGTGCCCTTGTTCACCCTCGCACTACTGTCCAGGAGCAAGACGAACTTTCTTCACTTCTTCAAGTTCCCTTGGTCGCCGGTACGGTGAACCGTGGTTCAGACGTTATCGGCGCTGGTCTCGTTGTTAACGATTGGTGCGCCTTTGCCGGTCTTGATACTACCGCTACGGAATTGGCCGTTTGCGAGTCCATCTTCAAGCTCCAAGACGCACAGCCCTCTGCCATCATCAGTAACAGAGACACGCTTGTTGAGTCTTACTCGTAAAAAATTCGTTAACTGCTCGGTTTTGAGTGGTAATCTTGTCGTTTAACGTATAGAACGTAACACTGGCTGGACATACGTACTGCTTCTGTTGTCTTATTTGACTGCGTTTGTTGGGGTATAGGCCTTCTAACGGGCCAAGGTCTGTTGGCTTTACCGTATATAAACATCAGTTAAGTGCGGTCACGTACGCGGCAATTCCTGCATGTTTACCGTTTATCTTCTTCAGTGTTATTTACAGGTTATGTTGTCTACGTCTACAGAGCGATACCATAGTTAATAGGTAGTATGGCTACTTGACGTGTTTTCTTCACGTATTGCTTATCAATGGTTTGGTGGGAAATGGGTTATGGGTCTTAAATCTATATTATTGTAACCTGCGTGCGTATTATTGTTTGCATTGCGACGACAAGAGAGGGTTTTAACGATGCCGGGAGTGTGTCGCACTAACAAAATGCATTAGGTCGAGTGACGGACGTGGGTATTAGAGTTGTGTGAGTCGACAGGACTTTGAGGTTGGTCAATTGGTTAAATGTGTGAGTTCATGTTTTATGTTTCGGGAAAGAAGTCGTAGGGAGGTCTTGTGAAATAGATTCACATCGGTGTTGGGGTGTCGCATCACAGATGAACTTTAAGTCGAACCGGGAAGAACGGTCCCTTTCATGATGGCTTCTATTTGGGCTTCAAGTCTTTTTGATTGCGATTCAGCAGGTCGTACATTCTCCGGCTCTAATCTACTGACCTGTCCCGTATGGTTTTTAACGGGTTCTTCCTTTTCCTTTTGGCCGTCTTCAATTTCGAGCGGAATATCACTGATCTTCTCATCAGCTTCGTTTGCTAACCGGATGCTTATCATTGCCTGTTGGAAGCTTTCCTCAACATTCACAAGATCGGCGAAACGTTTCAGCGTAAACAACTCAGAGCCCTCGGGCAAAGTGATTTGGCCGAAAGCAGGAGGTTGAGGTAAGGTTGAAGGACTCTCAAATGGAATTAAGGTGTACTTAATCACAAACGAGTTCTTTGAATCATCCTCTTGTACGGCTCTCTTGGATAAATTGGACAAGTAAGTAGAGGTACACATTCCCTCATACTCGGAATAGTGATAGTGTGTTAGAATCCAGTGAATCTGGTACAGCGACAATGCCCAGCACAGGTTTACTTGTTCATTCATAAAGTCTTCCTTATCCTTTCTCGTTTGCAGCAGCTTGGAGACCTCAAACATTTCCTCAAGTTGGACAACTGCCTCAGCGGCTCCATGTTGCAAACACCATTCCTTCAGAATAGAATAGTTGTACGACATGTTGGCTCCGATCTTCCATGAACCCTTCACGTCAAGGTACAAACTGTTGAATGCAACAATGTTCAAGCAGCGGTACACGTTTTTCACGATGCCCACATACAGCTCGTTTGAGACGCTGAACATCTGGCATTGACGGTACACCTCATCAAGGACGCGGATGACATCCTTCATATACTTGGCAGTTTGACGTTGAGTTGTGGTTTTAGTGAACAAGCGTCTCAAACCATTTGCCGGAGTAATCTTAGGCAACACAGTTCCACGAGCAGGTAAGTCGGTGCCATTCTCAAGGACAGCGGAGACAACCATGGGCTTAATAGTAGCATTGATAGAGTCAATCCAAGCTGCGTAAACATTAGACAGACATTTTGTGTACTCCTGGGCTGCCTTTCTCATCTGTTCCCCACTCTCCTCGGGAAATTCATCAGAGCCATGCTCTGTAATCAATTGAATTCTTGAATTGATGAGTGCAACAAGGTTGTACAAGTTGGTAACCCAAAAAGCATACAGAGGCTCACCATTCGGCCCATGATGAATTGCGATACTAGATGGAATATGTTCCAACGTACGTTCAACAACCTTAAGTGAGTCCATGGGCACATCAGCCTTCCACATTTGAAGTAAGACAAGGAAGGTCATATGAGAAAGGAAAAGCGTGTTTTGAGCAAGAGATTCCACATTCTTATTGAGCGTGTTATACTTGGCAAGCGGAAGTTGATATAGGCGATCCAAATCAATCTGTAAACGATCACCAAACAGCAAGTTATTAAGCTCTCTCCGTGTTCTGGCGTCCATCATAAGAGATTCACGACTAGATCCAATCGAGTCTCGAGAATGACTGGCTTCAATGCTGGACATCGTATTCAGCACACGTGTAGCTTGACTCAAGCTCGTAATAATCTCTTGCTTTTGTTGAAGTTTCAGAGATTGTTTCTTCAGAACATTATCATTCTGTTGCTTTTGCAATTTCAGCGATTCGTTCATTCTCACCAGATCATCATTTGCTTCCTTCAATGATTGGACGCTATTGTATACTCTGGCCAACTCCTGCTCTTTTTCCTCGAGCATCTTAAGATAAGAGTCCTTTTCGGAATGGTCCTCCAGCATCAATTGCGTTTCTCTCAATTCGCGGTCTTGAGTAAGCTTAGTTTCAGCATAAGAGGCAAGTACTGCTTCCAACTCTGAAACTCTGTCAACAAGAACCTTATTTTCTTGCCGTTCAGATTCAAGTGCTTGGGTAAGCTCGAACACCTTGTTTTCGAGTTTGTATGATACTTCCTTATAGTGGTTAGCTTGCTTAGACTCAATTCTCAATTGCACCAATTGTCGTTTGGCAAGCTTCGTTCTCCACAACGACTGAATCCGAATCGTATAGTATCTAAGACTTTGATAATGTCTCTTCTCAAGGATAGTCTTCCACCAAGATTGCAAAACAACAGCGGCATCCGAAAGCTTCTTGTGTTGGAGGGAACGACGAATAATACTGCGTCGAACGAGACTTTGAACAAGGATAATACTGCTTCTACTTCTCCGAAATGACTGTTTTGCGACATATGTCTTCCATGCACTTTGGATAACGGTAGCACACTTATTAAGACGTTCTTGTTCCACTCTTTGTCTAGCAAGATAGCCACGAACAACAGATTGAAGTCCTTTGATTCCCCTTATGATTTTAATGAAACTTATGCGGTAATAGTTTGTAGCGAACACACTATACAGTGTGTATGCACACGCTCTCATTTTTTCGTTTCTTAAACGATCGAGATACGGAACAACACCAGAGCGAAAGAAGATTTTACTTGTTCCAATCTGATATTTCTCAGGCTCTACTGTTTCATCAAGCAACAATTGGCAGAGTTTGTTTGTTTCCTTCGTCCAATTAGTAGATTTCACAAGCATGTAATATCGCTCAGTAAAGTCTTTGAATGTCCAACGAGAAGGAAATCCTGCACACGAAATTCGAATCGTCTCAAGAACACCGCATGCTCGAAGTTGTGACAAAACCATATTGCTGTCAAATTCCCATGCAGCCTTAGCTTCATTGGGCTTAACGCAACGGATATAATGAGCGTTTGTTTCATTTATAGTGTCCATTAAGCCAATAAGAGATGCCTTAAACATAGCACCAAGAGTCGGATTCCGTGGCCGAGCATTTCTAGCTTTTGAAACTACACTCGTTGCTTGGTTCGCACGGAAAGAAAGCAGATCAGTCAAGAATGAGTTCTTAGAAGAATTCAACAAATCAATCAGTTCTTCCGAAATGGTATCCTTGTTTTTGTCGATAAAACCTTCGGCATTGTAAGTAACATCAAGAGCATAATGCTTGATCGTAAATTCAGTTTCACTAAACCGCGATTGTTTGTAGGAATTCTTGTAAGGGTCCTTAGTAAAATGAGAATTTAGCTTGCTGACCCAATTCTTTTCGCTATTGGTAGGCATTCTGCATTCCTCATCTAGCAGCGAAAGAATTCCAAGTTTGTTCTCAATCATATCAATGCACGGTTGGTTATCCTGGTAATCAATGTATGACCATTGAAGTCCCTCACTTGCGTATTCTTCCTGCTCCAACTTAAAAACATGCTTGTAAAATTCCTGTTGAAGTTTTTCATTTGCATAGTTGATACAGAACTGCTCAAATGAGTTCTTTTTGAAATGTTCAAATCCATAAATATCAAGCACTCCGATAAAACTCTTCTCTACTTCATTCAATCTTTTCGAAGATGAAGTTAACGACTCGTTAATCGTAGCTACCAACCAATCAAAAAGGCAAGCGTACAAATACTTTGAAACGGAATCCCTGGCAATGATAGCATTTGCCTTTGTAAGCGGTTTGACAATGCTGTCATTACGCATTTTTAGGTTGCGATGCGTAATCCATTTTGCAAATTTAGAAGCATCAATTTCAAGAAGTTTTGAAGCCATTTTCAGGCTATCTTCTTTCGCATTAACATAAGCATCATTTCGTGAAGCAGTAACCTCGATATTACCAATGTGAAGCAAAGCAGCCAATACAGAATAGATGCTACTACAGGTCTCGTCGGAAACACCAACGGTCTTCAAAGCCGTTACAGTCGTCTCAAACTCCTCTTTATCGTTAACACCGTCAATGTTTGAAGCCCCTCCCTGATTCATGTAGTGATACATCGAGGGATCTGATGCAAGATTGAGCGATCCAAGCAGCTCATTAGAAGCACCGGACAGTAACTGATAGAAGATATGGTAGTTGCGTTCTGTTGCAGGCTGAAAGGTAAGTCTCGATCTTTCCAATAAATATGTTTGTATCCGGGCGCCAATAATACGACTGTTTCCGTTGAAAAGAATTTGAATGTACTTTCCAAAACGAGACGAATTATCATTACGAGAGGTTTTTGCGTTACCAAACGCTTCCATGATAGGGTTCGTAGCAAGAATTTCGTTCTCTATAGCCGTAAACTCTTCTGCTGAGCCAGCATCAGAAGCATTGTGGATACTGGCAAAGTAGCGCATAATGAAACGTGCCGATACCGTTTTTCCTGCGCCGGACTCTCCTGAGATAATAATAGTTTGATTTTTTTCGTCCCTATTCATGCAGCGATAACTCTCAGCAGCTATAGCATACAAGTGGGGATCTAATTCATCTCTTGATTTTTCATAATACGCACGGACCATTTCATGAGCGTACAAACTTGACATATGCTGAAATGGATTAACAGCAATCAGCACAATTCCAGAGTACGTATAAATTTTCATTTGACCATAACGGTTTAACAGTGTTTCCAACACTGACGGTTCGTTTAAAATAGGAAGGCTTGTTAAATCATCGGCATCCAAGGGCGTCTTGGTATTCCGCAAAAGGGGAAGATTACCACTTCCTTCTTTCATCAAGTCGTCTTCCTTGACGTCGTAAGTCGTAATCTACAGCCGTTAATAAAAGGATTCTAAAGATCCGCTTGGTTAAAAAGCTTATAGAGAGAACATACAATTCCTTCCTCATCCTCAACTGTAACGACTGCCTTGCCATCTGAGCATTCACAGGAGGTAACTGTCCCCGCAACCCAGCCCTTTTGAGGGTTCGGAATCCAACAAGGACTAGGAGTTGTTAATATTTGAACAAAAACGGTATACAACCAAAGGAACGGAGTCAATTACTTACAGTTCTGGATAATACAAATGCTTTTTCATTTGAAACGCTTACTTAGACCGTTCCTCAAAACCTGTAGCCTAGTTCATTCACAATTTTTGCAATAAATAAGTTCAAAGTAGTAATTCAGCCGAGAATCATGAAACCCACTTCAATAACCAGTAATTACACCTTTTTAAGCTTTACGAAATAGTTTGTTCTGCTTTCTAGTGTTAAGTTTTCCTTAGGAAGCCGGTATTTGAAGAGGGGACGCGACCTAAGGGTAGCGTTAGGACGTTTTAAGCACAAAGCGCAGGAGCCAACAAATGACAAAAAAAATGGTAAAAATAGTTCAAAGTCTCATTTACTATACTTTATTTACTATTACAGGAATTTAATATAGTTGTTTTTATTGAGAGTTTCAATATTCAAAGAAACTCTTGTTCCGAGGGCCTACAGAGGTAAAATACGATACATTAGTAACAGTTCATTGCGCTAGAAAAGAAACAAAGACAATAATAGTAATTCAAACGAACATACATAGAGAACAAACAGACCGGCTCTTCTTGCGTAAGCCGTTTTGTAAACAAATGGCTCAAACTCATATGTCATACATGAAAGTGTAAACAAACTTTCAATATAAATACCCTTAACAAAGTCTTCTTTCAGCTCCATAGTTAATACCTTTCTCCGGGCAACAAAGCTGAAGCAGAACTCGTTTTAAGATGGTTTCGAAATTCTTTACAAGGACGTATGTGAGAAACACAGAAAGAACCAGTTAAAAACATGAAACTAATGACAGGAAGTACTGATAAGGTACCAAGGATGCTAACGTAGAATGTTCACTGACACCGAAGATTGGAAAAGAGCAAACACAGCTTCCAGAAGAGTTCCTCAAACTTGAAGAAGAGATCTACCTGCGGCATGAGGGTATAACCAAACCTATTTAGATCAAATGAAAACAGTAACTAACATTCGCAGGACTTAGTCGGCTTTACCAAGCAGGAAATTGCTGGGCAGAAGCACTGAGTAAGATATAGGCATACGAGTTTTTTCAGACCAATTGCTAAACAAGAGAAGACCGAAAAGTAGATGGAGACAACAAGAACAAATGCCTTCCCATTGAAAATTTGGGACAAGTGATGACCAATCACGGTGGTGAACTTCCTCAGGATTCCGAATATGGTAAGATAGCCAACAAGACTGAGATTTCAGCTTGCTAACAGTGACATGCACAGCTGCTGCACTTTTCCAGTTCGGACAAGCCTTGCAGAAAATTGGCCAACATCAGAACTTCTTTGCAAATAGGTTGTCAACTTGCTACCTAGATGTTATTGAAAGATATCTGGTCCAAATGAAGGACTTTCACACTGCACGCAAAAAGCTAGAAAATCGCAGAACCACTTATGATTCATTGTTACACAAATCCATGAAAGCCAAGAAAGAAGACCCGAGATTGGAAGAGGACTTGCGATTTGCTTCTTACAAATTCCAAGAGTCCTCCGAAGATGTGCACAAGAGAATGAAAGCACTCAAATCTGCCGATGTACGTTCAGAATCAATAAGCACCATGCTAATGAAAACAGTCTTCACAATACGATGACTTATTGCTTCTTCTCCAACACCAAATTGACTACTTTCAGGAAAGCCTTAAAGTCCTCCAGCAGTTGCACCAGCTCGTCACGCAATCGTAAGTACAATGTCCTGTTAGAGAGTAACATTAACAAGATACAGGAACAAGGAAGAAGATATTACTATCGAGGAGGTACAAGACGATAAACTCTACTCCGATCCCATTCGAATGGGCACCGTACTGAAAGATGTGAAGCCAGCAGAGGCACTTGTCGCATTGGTAGTACAGAATGAAGAGGCGTAAGTTCTCCAAAACAGTAAATATCACTAACTGTCAGCCCAAAACAAACTATAGTACGTGCAAAGTACACCTTTTTGAGGAGAACCGATGAAGAATTACAGCTTGAAACTGGTGAACTAGCACGAGTTACCAAAGAAATTAACAAGGACTGGTTGTACGGAGAGAAAATCAACAACCTTTTACTTCCTACCGGTCAAGTCGGAATGTTCCCCGCTAACTACTGCGAAGTTGTTTCAGCGGGATTCAGCAATTTCGTCAACACTCCTTGTAGACAGAAGACCGTTAGAAGAATCATGAGTGACACACAGCAAACATTCGATCGCCAGAATGCACATATCAGCCCAATTGCTTCTCCCTATTCGGCTTCTTCAGTTGCGACTTTCACTTCTCCGAAATCATCATCTTCTGGAAGACCAAATGCGTTGAAGGTTAAGAAGCCTCTCCCCCAGCTACCAAAGAGAGTTTCCGACCTCGCTAATTAGCGCCTTTGCAAAGGCGTTTTCAACAACAGCAGAGGAACAGTCTCATGCTTTTATAATTATTTCATGTGTCTAGCACTTGCTTAATAGCCATTAATCATTCATATTACATAACGTGTGTTTTCGACATTTTAAGAAGACCCGTGCTATTCTTAGTAAGCACGGACCAAGCCGGAATGTAGTTCAGTAAACTCGTATACGAAGGTATCTTGTCATGGTCAAATTCGTCCCACATGCAAGTTACAGTGACGTTCGTAGGAGAATCCTCGTCCTTCGCAACAGTTTTAACAACAAATGGAGTACCGAAGTTTCGCACTCCAAGGCGTAGTGACTGGTGCTCCTCTTGAACTTCAAAACCATTGATTGAATCAACATAAACAGGTACGCTAAAGTCAAAGTAGCACCACTTGGTTTCAAACGCGTCAACACGCAATTCTGCAAGACTGGAGTTTAAGGACTTATGAAGAGTGATGTTAATGGCATTTTGCAATGGCCCATCAAAACCAAGGGTAGGCTCCTCAGCTTCATAGAAACAATCACGATCAACGCACTGATACGAAGTGTCAGAGATAATTTTGGGATAGTCATTGAGAACCTTCTGGGTGTATGGTTCAATGTTTTGAACATGAAATAGATTCTCCGAAGTATCCAAATTAAGATGCTGGAAGACCCGAAATTTAATCGGAGCCTTTTCGTTGAACGGTTCAGCGCGAAGGATATTAAACAACAGTGAAACCCAGAGCATGAGCAGGATTGCAGATGACTTTTTGGACAGTGCACGGAACACAAACGGAGAACTATTAATAATAGCCATAAAAACCAAGATTACGGCGAATTTGTAACAAGTATTACTGTAGGGTCCATCGATTAACGACTGATGAACCGCCGGAATGAAAACCTCTGACAGCAGGTTGTAACATGTGAACAAGGGAAGTGGCACTAAACAAGAGAAGAATAAAACACTCCAAAGATTGTCGTTCAGTTTGACCGAAGCGCTCTTACTAACTACGGCCTTTAAACGGTGTTGAGGATAGCGAGAGGTTCCATACGCGTTACCAGAAGTCGACTGGACAAGGGGCATTTGTTCGGGATTAGCAGGACGATTTATCGTTACCATCCGATCCACAAAATAACGCACCCGAATCAATGTTAAAATACAGCAAAAGAAAGAACAGAAAAATCCAAAATTTACAAAATACAATGATCCAAGACCGCGAACAATAGAGGTGAGTGTAGCGATCAAGAGTGATATATACCAAAACATACTCACATACCAAATGAGCACGATTTCAATGCAACTCAATTCCTCATTCGACATACGGCTATGCGTTGCTACATACCGAAAAGAATAAACGAGTCCAAGCAAATTTGTAAGGAAGAAGAAAGCCAAGACCGCGTCAGGCGATGAGTGAATCACGTACGGATTCAACTTCGTCAAAGACTGTACAACAACATAATCAAAAATCAAAACAAACAGACTGGAAAGAGTGAAACAAATGAGATAGCAAGGCTTCTTTAACTGAGCATACAGTGAAGGAAAGCGGAACAGGCACATGAAAAGAATTGCTGGACAGGCGATCAAGAACACGACGTTGAGGAAAAGATGTAGATTTAAATTAATTTGCCAATAGCTTCCAAACACTGGGAAGTATAAGGGTGAAGATCCTTTGAAGTGTTGGCTCTTTTCGTCAAGCAGGTTTCGCAGAGAGATAAAAGCGTTTACGAGCATATGATTCAACGAAAAAATAGACGTATGTTGAATATCATCGCGTTCCGTATGATAAATGCCGCGATTTCTGAAGAACGCAAGATCCAAGCCAGCAGTTCCGTTGTTCATTTTTTCATAAACCACATAATCCGTTTCACTTTTGATAACACCACGCTTAAAAGCATCGATACCGAGGACGGATGCAAAAGCAAAACGGTTAGATTTAAAGTATGAGCGAGCGACGTGGTTGTTTGTAGAGCGGAAAAGTAATGCTTTCCCACCGGCACCAGCACCTTCAAGATTGAGGAAAGCCGTTACGTTTTTCGACCATTCGTGTTCAGTAAAGGCTCGCGCTCCATATAAGTAGTCCTCTTCAGCATTATTAAAGTTGATGATTAGATCACGTTCAGGTTTGTGTTCAGCATAATAGCGGGCAAGCTCAAGCGCAGACGCTACGCCCATTCCGTTGTCTGTAGCACCGAAACCCGTCGAAACGGAGTCAAAATGGCTTGACAACAGTATGGGTCGTAGCCGTTCGTTGTCGCCTCTGAAACGAACCAAGATATTAGAGCCTTCAAAGTAGGAACGAATATTTGTGTCAGGCATTATGAACGTTGTTGTGCTGGACAAATCATCGATGACCTCAACGTTGCCTTCATCTTGTTTTTTTACTGTAGAACGTTAGACAGGAGCACAAAAAAGCAGACAAATACAGACGAACATAGTGTGAGCACAAGAAAATAGAAATGTGAAACTCGTCAGACACAGCGACCTGAATATCGCTTCTATTCGACTCTCGTGCGCATTTCCATCCTCACTCTGCTCAACCATTTGATCCACACTTACACTTATACAATTCCTCCAAAATATAGTTTCTCACAACATCCGAGGCATGAGAATTGTAAGGATGTGGACTCTTCGTAATTTCCTGCAAGTCATCCCAAGCTCGTAGTACATTAAGACCTGGAATTTCATCCAAACGAGGATACACATTCATTCGTTTCCAGTCCAAAACGAAGAAAATCATCAACAATGTGAACGCAAAGATTGAACAAGTCAGACTCGACTTAAACGTCCTTGTGTAAACATGTTTTAGCAAGGATTTGCCAAACTGCATCTGTGAGATACCGAAGCGCTATTTAGTAAAAATCAACAATAACAAGACCGAAAAAATTCCTCCAGGCGCAAATTGGCAGCTAATTGACAGCAAATCCACAGAGTTTCGTCAAATAAAAATTATGTAGTGAGGTACGGTGTAAGTAGGTGGTCAATTCTTATGACGTTGGCACCAGCCTGATCAGCTGCTTCGTGAGTAGACCATCCAAGATGGTGTAGTAATATAGGACTACAGGAGCTGATATTGCTGCTGTAGTGTCTTGATAGGTAAGACTGGTAATAAAGTAGCTGATAGAGATTAAGTAAAAGGTTTGGGTGGCCGCGGTAGTAGTACAATTTGTCAATAAAAGAATTGCTAGTTGAGAGAAAAGCGCGGTGTCGAGAGCAAAGAAGGAACCGAACAGGTGAAGCAAGTGAAGCGACGTCGGCTGTTGGTTGTCATTGACTTACCGTAAGAAACATTTCATGTTGATCACAGACCAAGTGAAGTCCCCAAGGATCGACAACCACGCTGAGGCGAGATTTACGAGTTTGCGAAAAATGCGAGAGCCGTACACTGCACCGACTGAATCGACTAACTAACTCGAGTTCAAGTTGACCAGAGAAATTCTTAAAAGTTCTCATAGTCCTCATCTGTACCTGTTCCTCCGCCATCATCTGTGATCGTAGGACGACGACTGGAAAACTGATTGTACGGCTTCACGCTGCTGCCCTTTGGAACGAAACAGTAGTGTCGAGAGTCCCGAAGCTCTCCTTTCCACGGAGAGAGCTCACTAATTCCATCAATCCAACCAACAGTACGACGATGCTCATATTCGGGGTAGTAAGACGAGTCAAACTTTTCCGACATTAGACTCATTAAACCACAGCTTTTGGCCAACTGACGTAAATTCCATAAAGTATAAGGCTTGGTTTCAGCTAATGTTACAACGACAACACCTTGATTGCTAAGCAACTTTTCAGCGCTCTGCAAGAATTCGAGCATGAGATCTGCGATAGGTTAATAACCGTTACGAAGACGAAGTCAAAAAAAATGTACTTTGATGCTCACGAATATTACGATCTTGGTCCTTGATTCCTCTTCCGGTATGAGGAAAGTTCCAGAGAATCGTGTCAAAGCGTTTAGAACGCAGTTGCTTGTTCTTGTGCAACTGTCTTGCATCGACCCCATGATAAACGAACCCTCCTCGTTCCTCAATGGCCTGTATGTGTCCAGCAGCATCCGGATACTTCTCCTGGACTTGTTCCTTTGAGTCGAAGCTCGTTGCAATGAGAGAACCTTTCTCGTCTACATGATGAAGCATCATCGACTTTGCGAACGAAAAGTTTCCTTCTCCTACTAATAAAAATACATGATCTCGTCGAAACGGGGGACAATACCTTCGCGTTTGATCTTTTTTGTTCAATTTGCGTTCAAGCGTCTTTTTTCGCTGTTGAAGTTCAAGGGCTTTCATATCAGGCTTTCGTACCTGTTTCAACTTGTTTTTAAGCTGCTTCATGGAATGTTTACGGGCCATTGAGGTTGAGAATGGGTAAGTTCAGAGGTTTCCAGACGCGTCAGAGCTGAAAAGCTATAAGAAAGGTGCAGTTCCGGCCAATGGAAAAAAGGCTTAATGGGGCAAGGATCTGCTAATGATCGACAATGATCGACGGTGGATCGACGAACCCGAATATTTATCCAATGATGTCTCGTAAGAATACAGAATACAGAATACAGCTTACTGTTGCCGGCAGTAATTTACAGAATACTACATTTCGTCTCTCTTGCTTCCTTCTCTCGCTTAATATTTTCAGTATGCTATTATTACATAAAGGGTCAATGCCCAGACAAAAATAAAACAACCAAATGGAAAGAGAATGTACAAAATAAGGGAAAAAGTGGATGGGTTGGTGTCATAAAAAACGACCATTTTTGCAGAACAAGCTGATTTCATGAGTCATGAGCGAGAGTAGGTGAAAGCGAAAAAAGGTAAACCTTTTCATAGAAAATGAAGCAAAACAGCTGACCATACCCGATTGCTTTTTAAGGAATAAGAAGTATCACTTGCCTGTTTTGTTCACGCTTCAATTGTACCAACAACTTCGACATTTTCGTCGTTCGATACCGCTGGTTTTTTGTCCACATGAGAGTTTACATAAGTCTTTGCAACCTTTGTGTCATGCTCAAGAATCGCTTGATTCTGCTTTGCCATTTCCTGAGCACGTTGGCGTTCCATCTTGAATTCTTGACGAAGGCTAGCCAGTTCACTCTCCACATCCTCAACGGGTCTGAATACTCTACCGGAAACAGCAGTGTACTCCTCCATGTCAACTGGAGTAGGGTTATTCAAAACGAAGTTAACGCGTTTTGGATTTCTCCGTTCCTCAATGTTGAACTTTAATTTTATCTGTCGACGTGTACGACCAGGAAACAAATTCGCAATAAGTGAAAAATCTGTTCCCCATTGTGACAGGGCCTGTTGTTATATGTGTTAATACGAGGACAAGACATACGATGACAATAAACACTTACTTTGTAAAACTGCTCTGTCGATGCTGCATCCCATTTCTCGGACTTTTGTTTCCTGCCCCAAGTAGCACTAGTGACCCGGCGAGTAAGTGCGCTTTCCTCAACCACTTCCAAGCTTCCGGTAGAAAGTGCTTCATTCGCATGACGATCTACCTCAAGAGACGTCTCGTCCAGAACAATTTTTCCGTCAACTACTCTTGTGCGAACAGCAGTCGCAGCGCCAGCGCCAGACGACCTCTCCGAATCCATTTTTACGACCATTTGATCCAAGATGCTAAGTCTCACGGGCTTCTTTTCCTCCTGCGATTGAAGGTCTGGTTGTTGATCTTCATCGATTCCATCAATGGTACCAACAACTTCCTCTTCGGGCTCCTGCGCAAATGCAACGGATGGTTCAGGAGCCTTGGTTGCCAGTGGTGACAGAACCGGCGTTTCAGATCCTTCGCGTTTAGCAACAGCCGCACGACGCTTACGAATGCGTTCTTCTTGCTCAAGTTTTTCCAGCTCACGGAATCGTTGACTCCGTCGGCCAATGCCAATGTCTTCACAGAGTTGGGCCATTTTGAAGACGGTTGGGTCGATTTGTTGTGTCTCGCGCTCTTCCGGTGTCATGCCAGCGATACGTTCATCGTAAAAACGTTTGCGCTTACGACGACGTGGAATGGTTACGGCTTTTAATTTTGGAAACCCTTGGTCCTGTGATTCCGAGATCTTTAACGAAGCAAGATCTTCTTTTTGCTGAGAAGAAAACCCGGCGGCTTCAAAAGCAGCAGCCATATTTGACTCAAGCTGTGAGGCCGATTCCTTTACGATTTGAGACAAGGGTTCCATTTCGAGACGGTCTTCCAATGAAAGTTTGTCGCTATTTTTCGCCTTGCGCGATTTAAGTTTTACTTCTTTTGTAGCATCATGTTGAGAAGAGGAAACAATTTGAGACAACGGTTGATCGGATAAGGACCCATCAGATGCACTTCCATCTTTGTCCATCGCTAACTTTACGGTAGCGTTCCTTTTTCTAGCCTTCATAGAGGCAACTCGATCACCAATCTCAACCGTAACCTCACTCCGTGGATGCCGGGCGGCTTGATTCCTTTTCTTGTGGTTTCCACTTATGTCAGCAGACTCTGTTTCCACAGTGGACTCATTGTCGAGATCAGTTTGCGACCTTTGGCTGTCCGGAACAACGCCTTCCAAATCTGCGGTAGTATTATTTTCTGCAGCCGTTTGAGGATTTGTTTCGTTTGAGCCGTCAGCTTCCGCAGAAAGGGCTGTATCGTCTCTCAGATTACTCAAAGTAGTGGATATGGCGGATTGCTTAACCATTTCCGCAAAAGCAAGATCATCAGACTCCTCATCCAGCTCGTCTATGACATCAGCAGAATACTGTAAGGCTTGTTCTTCCAAAGGAGGTTCGTCCAATCCTTCAGAGCTCAGGTTGCCGTTGGCAGCTTCTTCCTCTGCTTCGGCGACCGCATACGAAGATAAAACTTCTTGAACGTGCGAAAGCTGTTCACTTGGCGTGGAATAGATGAGCCCTTGGTCATCATCATCGCTGAGGTCGTCCTCAAGAATTCGCGAAAATGACCGGCGGCGAGTAAACGGCACTACTGGCATAGAGGCAGCTGATGCAACTGAGGTGACTGACATAGTGTCGTCCAGTTCTGAGTTTCTTTCCAATTCGGCACTCACAGCGTCATCTTTCGTTGAAGCTTTAGCAAACGAACGCGAACGAGTGTTACTTGTTTTAACATTGGAAGAAACCTCTTCATCTGCCAGAAGGAATGAGATGGACGGCGCTGTGAAAAGCTTTTTCTTCTTCTTCTTCTTTGACGGTCTTTTTGAAGATGATGGAGCACTAACACTCTCGGTAATGCGAGGAGGTGATTGATTTAAGTTGTTGGCCAACTCGTCTGCCATTCGAGTAAGTTTGTCAGTACTGGAGAACAGAGAATCCTTAACGGAAACCTGCGAAGATGAACTAAAGGAACGTCTACGCTGTTTTCTAGCCTCCTGTTGATGGATTCGTGCCATGATCTGCTGGTTGGCAACTTCGCTCAGTAGCTGATTTCCACGTGAGATTCTGTCAAAACGAGCGTCGTCATTCGCTTCGTTTTGCGTTTCTGAGGCAGAACCAATTAGTTTAAGAACAAAAAACAGCAACTTCGTTACGTACCGTCTGTAACCGGTGAGACAATCGGCGAACTTGGCTTAATTTGCAATTTCCGCCGCGTACGTTTCGTATTAGACGATCCCTTATCTTTTTCTGACACAGGTTAAGCATAGAACGTATCAATTGACTTACTGTTTGACGATTTTACCGTTTTGGCGCACATTAAGCACAAAACTGATCTGGGGGAGGTCGACGTTTTTGGAAAATAACACCTGCCACATTTTCCTCACACCAAATACCCTCGAGTTCGAGACTCGATTTACACCACACATTTAGGACACCGCGACCTGTCCAAAGCCTACAGGAGATTGAGGTCGTGTTTTTATTTTGAATTATAATTGTTCGCTTGTTCGTGAGCATTTCCATGCTTAAACGAATTTACATCAAAGAATAACCGGACACACGTGAACGGAGCGCTCAATTCTAAGAGTTTATTCAATAATGGTAGATGTTCGCTCTCTTCATTTCGATACTGAAGATGACTTGGAGGTAAGTGCTGAACAACGCTCAATTTAGGCGTTTTCCATTGAAAATTCAGTAAAGACGCGTAAATCTGTCTTGGTTTTTCTTTTCTTTAGAGAAAAACGCGCGCGTTTCAAAAGTTTGACGATAAATTTCATTAACACATCTAGTTGTTTCAAAAAGAGGCCTCTTGGCGTCGTGAACGAGAGTATGAATTGCTGACAGAAGGATTGAAACATCGGTTTACGTTTCTTCAGCAAAAAATGGAAGAGCTAAATCATCTCACTACGCATTTAAATCAATTTTACGCTTCCATCGCGGAAAAGCTTGTCCCGTTACGTGTTGAACAACAAGTGTTGGATAATGTCTCAAACTGGACCACATTTACAGGACTGAGTGAAGAGATGCTGGAGAATAATTTTATGGAAGAGTTTATGGCCAACTACTCTCAGCTATTTCGCAACCTAGCCGCTGGAAATCTTTCGGGAGTTGCAGACATTGAGGCATTACGCCCAATGTATGACAAGTTAAGTATGCTTATTTACCTAGAAGGTTCACAAAAGGCATGTGAATACGTACTCGGATTTATGGAAAAAAACATTGACTTGCTCGCCACCCACTTTCGTCAACTCCAAACTGACGTTCAAGACCAACAGCATAGTCGGACTCTTCAAGATGTTGATTTGGTTATTCAAAATCGCACGGATGTTGAAGAAGGCGAACTGGACGAACAGTTGGCAACGCAAGCAATTGAACCTGATGGCCCCGCTCCAGCAGCTCCTCGTTCCTCCTTAACATCTGAAACTGTTGGCAAAATATCCAACGACTTAAAAAGTTTGAGCACTACTAGCAAAACAAAACTTCAGCAATTGCTCGAACAATACCGGGAGATGGCTCTCAAGTCTTGTGGACTTCATGTTCAGTCTCTGAACATTGCTGACAATAGCCTTGACTCTTACATGACATATGCTCAAATGAAGATGCAGCGTTCACAACTGGATGCAGAGCAACAAAATTTGGAAACCAGCATAAAGGACTTGCTAAAAAATATCAATGACTCTATAGAGGATTTCTATAGAATTGAGCTTGACGACCGCGACAAAGACGTTTCCAACATTCGCGAACTTCAACAAAAAATGAATCTAATGGAGCAACAACTCAGTGACATTCGGAATAAGCGCGACGAGTTGGTTATTCAACAGCAAATGCGTAATCCTGATCATACTTTAATGGAGGATATAGAACGCACTTTGGATGCCATTATCTCATCTCGTTCATCGTTCATTGACGCCTTGCAGACTCGAATGGACTTTCTCGAGCATGCTCCTCAATACGAATCTGAGCCGGCTGCCTCAATGACAGAAGACTCATCAGAAGTTGAAAAGCTGAAACTCAATAATTCTAGCCTTTGCCAAGAACTGCCAGGAATGCATGCTGCTTATGACAAAGTTCAAGCACAACTCGCGGAACAACTTTCCTCACTTCAATCGGCGGAAACGGAGATTGCTCAATCTCATTTAGAACGCGCCCGAGCCACACAAAAGTACTTTGCCGCCATGAAGGCTCGCGATGTTCTTATTACTGAACATAAAATGCTAAAAGTTGTTGAGGCCCGCAGCCAAGACTTAATGGCCAAGCTACGGGAACGGGAGACGGCCCTAATAGCTCGTGCTTCTACTGCTCGCAAGGCACTTAGCGTGTTCGAAGAGATCCAACAACTTTACCAAAAAGCTAATCAACAAACCTTGGAGACCGAGAAAAACACAACGCACACGAAACGCGCGTTCATCCAAAAAATAAATCAGGTATATATAATCATGCAAGCCTAAAACTGTATCCGACTAACCAGCATACGTTTAGACTTCTCAGCAGATCACCGAAGCACAACAGGAGATACTCGACTATTTCGAAAAAAATATTGAAATGGAGGAGCAACTGGCACTTCAAAAAGTTCAACTAGAATATGTTGAGCGTGAAAAACCACAACTCGAAAAGGCATACGAGACTGAAGAAGCTCAAGTGTACAAAGTAAGTGTCATTGTTGTCCCTTCGAGGGACAAAGATTTGCCTGCGAGATAAATACCGTGCTAACGTTTGTTCTAGACAATGCTCAAATGTTCGTCGTGCAATTTTGCCAACTGGAAGAATCGACTCATTTCCATCTGTGGTCATGCCTTCTGTGAGGAATGTATTGAGGATATGTGTTCACAAAAACATCGCAAATGTCCGACCTGTGAAAGGCCATTCAATCGAACAGATGTCGTACCAATTCACCTATGATGCCCCCTTTCCGTTCGTTCCTTACTGCAGCAGCCCTTTCGCTCTTGCGAGTTATCTATACTTTTACCTATGGTCCTATTAATTTTGGCTTCTTCAAAAAAACGACTCACTCCCTTCTCATTCCTCATTCTTCTCTAATCTTACCTTTCTCTTGGTTTTGTTTTCTTCGTTTCTGTTTGCTTTCATGATAAAGTTTAGACTGTGTTTCGTTTTAATGACATTGTCAACTTGTTAAAATATGTTGTATAAAATAAAATCACTCATTGATGTTGCTTCCAGCTGCTCTATTAAGTTAGCACTTGGTTGATTTGCAAAGGCAATGTTTAGAAAAGCTAATTGCCTAAGGAATATCGGATTACGTAAAAGTGTAAAACCCTCATGGCACTAAAACAAGCCAAAACCTCCTAGCTCTACTATTCTACTACTTTCATATAGCGTTCTACCCAACGACATTTCCTGTGTTGTTGTGTCTTTGCTATAGCAGCTAAGGCCACCTCCAACACAATGCAAGACCAGCAAACATCCAAGTCTGTGCTCAGTTACTGCCATAAATTCTGTGTCTAGTGACTGCACTTATGACCAATGTTTGTATCGGAAGATTGGAATGGCAGTCTTGGTAGTGCTGACTTAGCTTCAGCTAACGATGTGGGAACGGAAGTTTCAAGTTTCCAAGACAGCAACATATTTTGCCTGGAACGTGTTCAGCTTCAATTCCCCGTAGCCTTACGGCATATGGATGTTGAAAAGAACATACTGGTTATGGCATTAACATGTGACAAACTGTTGTTAATTGACTTGGACCGGCCAGAGGAGATTACGGGTTAGTTTAACAGTGTACAAAGAGCCATTGAGTGCCTCAATACTAACAATGACACAGATATCGACATTCCTAAGAAGATACTGGCATTTGGAACCACGCACAAAGTGTTTACAAGTAATACAACTCACATTATGTTCGTGTCTACTACTTTTGGAGACAATTGCCTTGTTTTTCCAAATCATCAAGTGCGTATTCTAGCCAAATTGAAAGGAATGACTTTTGAGTCGGCATTGTTCCTGGAGTCTTCAGCCTCTACATTCGAATTGTTACTTTTAGCGACTAACGGACAAATTTCGTTGCTCCAAGTGAACGTTTCTGACGCCCAATTAAAGCACATCGAGCGATCCTTTACTATTTTGCAGCAGCTTGATGGTTCTGAGAAGCCATTACTGCTTCAGCTGTATAAGCAAACTTTATTCATATTCACTAGTCGACACATTTATCGACTTAATTCGGAGAATTCAGATTCCTTGGCTTCATTTTTCTCCACGGATGTAAATGATAGGAAGCGTATGTTTTTGCTGTTGTTGTAAGTTTCGTCGCACTAACAGTATGCTTAGCATTTTTTACCGTCCAACGCGGAGAAGAATTCAGAGAGATACGCTTCTCACCGTTTCCCGAAGCAGCTTACGAGAAGCTGTATGTTTGTATATTGACTAATAAACGCATAATGAAAGCTTCAATAGACGATCTCTTAACGGAAACTTTCTCGTTCTCTGCCGTACTAGAACTGCCTACCGATAGTGAGAAACCAGTTCAGCGTTCCGTCCTTATATCTTCCTTTCACATCATTTATTTAGAAGGCGATGTACTTTTTGCATTCAATATTCTGAACAATCAACTGGTTTTCAAGCAAACTGTTCCATTACTGCAAAGAGAACGCATCCTAGGTTTGACGGAAGACCGTGAACAACGCACGTTTTGGATTTATACGACGGAAGGTATTCACGAAATTACTATTACAAACGAGGCCCGAGACGTTGCCCGGATCCTTTTTGAGCAAAAGGACTACGAACGTGCACTGACTGCTGCTGCTGAATCTTCGCCCATGAGAAACCTAATTCTCATTGAATATGGCGAAGAAATGATGAAGCGTGGAGAGTGTGAAAGAGCAGCAATGCTGTACGCTGATAGTTCAAAGTCGGTTGAACAAGTTGCAGTTGAGCTTTTGGATCACGAACAATATGACGCTCTTCGAAAGTATCTCTGGAAGAAACTGCGCATGACGAAAAAAGCAATGTCCGTAAAGCGGACCTTGCTCGTCAATTGGATTTTAGAGCTAATCCTTAGCCGGTTTAACAAGCTTGACGATGAAAAACAGCTAACCGATGACGTTTCTGTCTTCCGAGAAAAAGAAAAACAACTAGATGTCGAGTTTGCAAAGTTACTCCGCGAATACAAAGACGATTTGGATAAGGGTGCAGCATACTCGATTACCGTGAATTACGGTCGCGAAGAACAGCTTCTTCAACTGGCCACAGTAATGGACGATCGATCATACATCATGTCGTACTGGATCCAGCGAGAGAATTATGAGAAGGCTCTACAAACACTACAAGACGGCGTGGATGAAGAAACGCTTGTTCATCATGCCAACGCCTTGCTCACCAATCGTCCATCCGAAACCGTGGGCATTTGGAAACAACAACCGAACCTCAACGTTCACGCCCTCATTCCAGCTCTTTTGAGTTACAACCAGAAAGCCGGTGTGCCTGTGGAAGCGAATGCTGCTATTCATTATCTTCACTATGTCATTGATGTACTGGGCTGCAGCGATCCCACTGTTCACAATACTCTCTTCTGCATGTATGCATACCAATCGCGAGGTAACGAAGAGTACTTGCTCAAGTATATCGAGAAACAAGGAAACAACCCACTCTACGATATGGATTTAGGATTACGGTTGTGCTTGCAGTACGAGTGCAAGAAAAGCGCTATAAAGATTCTTGTTCTCCTACAGCTTTACAGCCAGGCCGTGGATATGGCTCTCGAAGAGCAAGATTCGGACACCGCTATGAACATTGCTAGTATTCCAAGCGACGACAAGTTTCTTCAGAAGCGGTTGTGGAGAAAGATCGCGCAGCAGCTACTAGCCGGGCACGCGGACGTCAAAACTGCCGTACGCACGCTCAGTCAATCGAATGTGCTTTCGCTTTCCGAGATTTTGAACATGCTTCCGACAGATGTTGACATGGATGACATTCGTGAACATGTTTGTGCAGAGCTCAACAACTATCGCTCAGCGATGGAAGCATCCACACGGGACATGGAGGAGTCTGACCGTATTACGAAGGCTCTTTCACGCTCGTTTGACGAACGGAAGAAGGAGGTTGTTCAGCTGGATGCAACCCAGGGTTGTTTGCATTGTAATGAACTGCTCATCTTGAAACCCTTCGTCGTATTCCCCTGCAAACATGCATTCCATCACGCATGCATGATCGCTCACGCACCCAGTACCCATGTTACCGACGAGTCTGTTCTTGATGAATGTCAAGTGTGTGGACCTAACGCTACATATAAACTCATCGACGAGCCTTTTCACGACGACTTTTAATTTCACCTCAACTACGGCGACACGAAAATTTATGAAGTTCCTGCGGTAATAGATAGCCGTTAATACTAGACAAACTCTTCAAGACTTCTGTAATTCTGTTTTCACGATTTCAGCACAAATAGGCCCCCACAATAGCCCCACATATGCGGGTCTCTCATCGATGGCCCCCGTTGCCCGTCCCCGTGACCCCGCGCACCCCACATCCCCACTTATCAGTCATCCCTTCTCTACGACCCGTTTCATGGCATCCAGCCCCTTACTCCGCAAGCTGTAGCATCCCACCTATTCGGAAGCGTCCTCTACCACCAACCCATCCGCCACTTAAGCCACCCCCATTGTTTATAACAGCGCCCCGCTTTTTTCTCACCCCGCACGGTTCATAGATTTCGCGTGTTTTCTTAAGATAACTTTAATGCTCTGACTACTACCACCACAAATCCTCTTTTGAGCCCTGTCGCAAGGAAACAAACAGCTTGGTTTCCCTCTTTTCCTTCTCCCTAACCGGACTCCTGTTTGTCTGACGACGTTGTTTTTGTTTATAACTGCCTTCTTACGGTCTTTATCTATTTATTTATGTATTTATTTGCGTGTTTCTTGCCCTGCTCTTAAGTTTTTGTCTCTCGTTTTTGTCGTTGTCTACGGGTTTTGTTGTGTGTATCTTCTCGTTTCGAATTGGGTTGAGGGCCTTTATTATACAATCGTCTACCTCCTCGCGTTCGGGACCCAACAAAGGTTAACGACACTAAATTTCTCCGTGAAAGCCAGTCTTTCAGCGATTTGTAGTTGAGTGAGGTGTCTGTGAAACCAAGGAATAACCGAGGTGTGCACCCTTCAAGAATGCAACAAGTGCTGTCCCAAGCCCGCAAGTTCCTTGCGGAATCGCCTGCATGGTGCAGACTGGTTGTATGTGCTTCTGTGTCTCTGCATCTCATAAGACCATACATCCCAATTCTCGGGCAGCTGTCACTGTCCTGGGATGGACTCTTCCAACACGCTCACGGTACGAACTCGGAAGGAAACAGCTCTTTCAATCTGGAAGCTAGCTGTTTGTGGGGGACCTCACAGCAGCATCTATTGTGTGTGTGTGTGTGTTTATGTTCGACAGGGTTCTCCCGCGATGGCTAGCTCCAGGCACTGATCTTGTGTCTGTGAAAGTGTCTGTCTTTGACTGAATGATTCTTCTAACACTGGCTAGTTTACGAACTCTTCACATACCCGTTTGTCCATGTTTCGCTGCTTCATCTGCTTCTAAACTGTATCGCACTTGTCTCACTCATGCCAACGTTTGAACGAACGCATGGTACTGCTGTGACGTTTCTCTTGTGTATGATTCCATACACATTAGTTCCGGGAACGGCACATCTCATAACGACACGGTTCTTCTCCAAAAGTCCGGGAATCAGCGTTGCTGGTTTGAGTGGATGGGTGTTTGCTTTTCTATCTGCTCAATGCTGTCAGGCAGCACCAAATGCAAGGTATGTATGGGATGAAGAGGGTGTAAAGAAGGGGGCAATCGTTACGGAGAATTTCCTGCGACGCTACTGAAAGTGTTGCGAAACGATGAGGTCGGTAACATTAAAGTCGAGAGACTTTTTAGCGTTTACGATAAGGCTTTTTGAGTTCCGTAACTCTTAACGTCTTGTTCCTACTTTCTATTCCGTTGCCTTCTGTTCTGTCCACCTCTCCCTTTTTCCCTCCCTCGTCCCTCCGCTTTTCCCGTCTAATACTCTTCTAGAACCCGAGAAGTCTTTGGATGGAGTCCTTCCAAAAAGTGGCTCCCTCTGTTTTACCTGCTTTTAACGACATTGATGATTCCAAATTCAAGTTTTATCGGTCACACGTTTGGTATGCTTACCGGCTATGCGACTCCTTGGATGATGTCGCATGTGCCTTTTGCAACAATTGCTGCTCGTTGCGATCAACGCCTAGTTACGATTCCCAGTTATTATGAATTAAACCCAGCACAACTCAACCCTACTGCTATGATATTGCCCGTCACTATTGATGATGCTGCTGCTGTTACTACAAACACACCTACAACCTTCCCTGGGAGAGGCACTCGTCTTGGGACATAAGAGCAGTAGGTTCAAACGTTTAAATGTTTACGATTCACCTTTTCGGTATGGACAGCTGTTCGCACGTCTTCTCCCCTCTCAAGAAACTGCTCCCCTACAACTACTGCCATTTTATTTTTCTTATTAAACGATACTTTAAGTCCTATTTTTCCTTCTTTTTACTTTCTTTCTACCACACATACACACATACACACCCTTTAAGCTCTCCCGTCTGTTAATAAAAGAACACGTCTCTCTTTCAGATTATTCATTCGTTTCACTATTCCAGTCATTGGTTATCCAAAGAGGGAAGGCCGAACGAGAGTCAACGAGTCCGCAAAGGCATCGATACACTGGCCCGCTCTTTCGAAGCGTTGCGCATCGTCCGCAGTCAGAGATGCCACTGCCAAGGGCTCCTTGTCGGTGTAATCGTTTCTCAAGGGCACGTTTAACGATGCGACCATGTCCACCTGGTACTTAGGACACCGAATAACGTATAAAATGACAGCAATGTTTTGCAGCAGCGTCCTTATTGTGTGGTGACGATCCCGAGGAAGCTGTTGGAATCCTGTCAGCCGGCACACACTGGCATTGTCGCCTAGGGATGCTATATGTGATAGTTTGCTTGTTTCTATATCTTCTTCCGACCAAATGGTTGATGCAACTGCATCGTTGTCGTCAACAAGACTCTCAAAGTGAAACTGAGCTGCCGTTTTTCCCGGCGCATCTCCGTGTTCCAGCAACTCAAAAATAAAAGACAACATGTCGTCCGAATTTTCCATAAAAACCTCTTGATTGTCGGGCACTTCACGCAGCTTACTAACATCGCAGAATGAGGACGGAAGCTCCGCAGTAAGTGCTCCTCCGAATAGTTGAACCATCATATATGCCTTAACTTTGACTTGCAGCTCTACGTTACTCAAGTGCTGCTGTTCTATTGTTTTCGCTGCCTAGAAGGTCGCTAACACACAACTACTCAAAAATGCTTCGGCTATTGTATATAAAGGTGACAAATGAACTTACACCAAAAAACGATTTTGTGACGTTGGATGAAGGCTCTCTCAAACGAAGTGCACGGCTAGCAAGCTTACGAATTGAAGAGCTTGATCGAACTCCAAACGACCAAAGAACAATTTCCCGCCCCTCCCCATTAGAATAGAATGCAAAACAATGTTTTTTACTATACTATAAACCAGAAGCCAACCACGAGGGTAAACTTTAAACTTTTATCAAATGAGGCTACCCAAGAAGAAAAGGTTGTATAAAGAGAAAGGGTATATACGAATGGTACCTTCCTTAAACGATGAGAAATAGTCATGGAATTATGTCTGTGTTCTTCGTTTCATGAATGGAGAGAATATTTGAAACCGAAAACACACTGAAACGTCTCAACCGCCGAAAAACGAGATTGAGAAAAATGCAATCGCCAACTAACAGACCAAAAACTTGCTATGGAGCCAGCTAGCAAAACTAGAACAAACAAACATAGGCAGGGATAGTGTACACACACAAACAAAACTCTTGGAAGCCATGACGAAGAGAATGGACGCTGGCACACAATTGCATGACAGTAAGCAAAAGAGCGGAAATCCCATAGACTTCATGACCTAGTATGTTGTGTTGAACTTAATACCGTTGTAGATTGTAGAGTAGTTGGCAGTGTAGTTCACATCACTGGGTTGAATTAAAGATTTGAGGGTACCAGTAGGGTTCTTCATGACAAGTGATTTCTTTCCAACAGCAAGAGGGATAACAAAGAGAAACAGTAAAATGATAAGGATAATGAAGTACAAAGCAGAATAGCGACGGACAATACGCTTTCTCAAACGGCTTTGCTTGGTAGAGAAAATTGGAGGACGAATTTGCCGACTTGGACGAAGCCAGAACAAAATCACTGAATGCCAACGATCAACGTATGGAATCCAAAGGATTGGGAGCATCAAATACAACAGTAAATGACCCAAGAAGAAATCAGTAGCAAAAAGGTTCATTTCAATGGCCTTACACACCAGTTCACGCCAGGGGAAGCGTGAACATATGATATCCGAGACTCTTACCGTACAACGGCCTGTCCACCATGACAGATTAGAGATATCCGATTTCGTTTCACGGGAAAGGAAGAGCAATGTCATGACCTTGATGATAAGTCTGTCCACTGAGACAACAGCACAGAACGCCAAAACAGTCTTGGGTAAGGACCAGCCTTCTAAGAACCAGCAAACTTCAAAGATGACAATGTAAATGATAATTTGTATAGCATGGGCAATGGCGGCAAGAACGGCACCGAAACGCTTGCAACACAAATTAAGCACAGGACCCAAGATACAGGCCATACCACCGAACATTCCAGCGATACCGAAACTGAACGCAATAGGGACAATGATGATAACGATGATACGTGCAATACAATCTGTTCCGGTCTTCTTGCTACGAACAATGGGATCCGACGGGTCATCAGAGTTCATATAGTCAGGATTACCAGGCATAGAGTTCATAAACAGGTATGGAAGAACGCAAGAAACAGCAAGGCACAAAGGTCCAAGAATTTCACTGAAGAAAACGTCCGAGAAACGAGCACGAGGCGTATCCATAGACACCTTGTCACTGGGTTGACCGATAACACGACGCTTGTAACCAGTGATACGAGTTCTTGTCAGACGACAGTAACCAATCCAAGAATTTCCATGGGCTCTCGAGTTACCACGAGACAACCAACGAATAAATTCACGGTAGTCGACAAAGAAGTCATTCCAGTCGAATTGATGAGGATTAAACATAAACGGACTAATAACAAGAGCCATAATAGAAAGCCACCAGTAAAGTAAATGCACAACCCAGACGGTCATCGATCCGAACAGCAGCATCATCAAGAAACGAGCACCAAGGTAAATGGAAGGGCCAGCGAAACGAGAGTACAAGATGGAAAATGGAAGACGCACGGTAGCAAAACCACGACCGGTACCAATATAACGAGCACCACCAAATGACATATCAGTCAAAATGGATTGAGAGTAGATTTGACAGGTGAACACCTCGAACAAAGGAGACAAGGAGCCAATTTGTTTCAAGAAACGTTTCGTTGCTCTCCACAAACCACGCTCGATCAACTCGTGGACGACCAAGGGAATGAACGCAATCCAGAACACAATGAAAATGGAAATGACACAACGTTTAATCCATGCCAATACGGGTCCCAATTGGTAACATCCTGGGGGCCAAATAGACACGGGGTACTCCAGCTTTTGATTCTTATTGTAATAACAAACAGTGACAACATGATACATTGCACCCAAGTTAAGAAGAACGACCATAAGCAATTGAACGGACAACATAATAAACATGTTGTTCAAATGGAAACCAGGATGTGCAAAATAGAAGGAAAGGAATCTATCAAGAGGCAATTGCGTTCCAAGATAATAATACTCACGAGAAAGCATTTGCTCACCCATACCAGTACCAATCTTGGTTGAGAAGTTCAGAATAGAACCAAAACCCAAATCACGACCCTTACCACATTGGAAGAACTCACAATGCTTGATTCGTCCACCACGAAGCATAGCTGTCATACCGGCATAAATATCCTCGTTGACATGAAGACCCTTCTGTGCTTTAGAGACACCACCACGAGTAGTCATGAATGTAGCATTCAAGAAATCTGGATGACCATAATGAAGCTTACCACCGATCTGAGCAAGGGTACGAGCGAAAAGGGTACCGAAGGTCTGTTCCTTACCAGCAGCAACGTCACCAAGAATACCAATGTTCTCTGAGAAAATATACTCACGGGCACCAAGAATTGCAACGGGATGAGGCTCAGGGCGCTTTTTACGAGATTCGGCATAAGGGTTTGTGTTGCCCATATTCATTTCCTCAAATTCAGAAAGGACACTTCTAATCTTAAGACACTCCTCAAGGTAATTGTCTTGGTTAGCATCAATCAACTGCAAGTATTCACCACGATAGAAGGGAAGTGCCATGTTTTGATTGTCAGATTTACCATCACCAAGAATAGGGTTACCAGAAAGACGAATTCTGTACTTGGGGCGACGTCTTCCGTCTTCCATAATTTCAGAATGGCCATCAATAAGAGCCGCAAACAATTGAGGTTCTCCACCTTCTTCCAAAGGAGGCTCCTCATCTAAATATGCAACTTGGAGATCAGGATAAGCACGGAGCATAAACTCAGCATTCTCATACTCCTCCTTAGTGAACTTGGCATAACGTTGCATGGAAACAACCATTTTGAACTTACGGCGAGCCATACGATCCAATTCACGTTCCAAACTGTCAGTGTTTCCACCGAACATTTTCACGACTTCAGGATTCTCAACACGGTAGAGCAATTTGATGGCACGAGCATAATTCATGAAACCACTGACAGTACGATAAAGCGTTTGACTGCGAAGAGAGGCCCAAATACGCGTACGGAGAGTGTATTCAGGAACAGCAGATTTGAAACCGATACAATAGAATGGGAGATCATCAATCTTGCTCTTCATGGAGTCGTCCTTCTCTGACATTGTATCGTTATCGTAAGCAGCATGCTCTTCAGCCAAAATCTTAGTGTCTCTAACGAAGCAATCCCATTCCACAGGATGCAATTGCTTGAGGTACTCCAACAATGTGACACGAGAGAGTTGATCCTCTTCACGAATAATCTCACGGAGGGAAAGCAAAACCTTCTCACCGTAATGAGGAATAAACACAGTAAACGTGGGCATGTTGTCCACTGGGACAGGCTCAGGGATAGGAGTTGCTAACGATTGGGCAAAGAAAGAAATACGACGTTCAGCCTCAGAGTTCGGGGGGAAGAAGTCTGTGTGTACAGTGTGGTCATCCTGCGAAACGAAAAAGGTAGGAGCACGAAGTGTACGCTTACCCTCCTCGGCAGGAACTTGATGGTACAGCAAGCGCTGAACGTGATCAATCGAAAGCAGGTGCTCACGATACATTGAGATTACAACAGCATTCCAAACTTGAGAAATAAGAATCTTCGGTTTGTACTTAATCTCCATGTCATTGGTAGCCAAAACCTTGCTGTAAATACGTTGAGGCATGCGACTGTAAATATTTCTCCATGGCGTAAGAATAGAGATACCCAGCACGAACGATCTCATAACGGAGAAGACCGTGTTGAAGATAATATACCACAAATACGTATCCAAGAAGAAAAGAATCAAGTCAGTGGCATACATAATAACCAAAGTAATTCTGGGCTGATAGAAACAAATCATACCTCCAAGATACTTGTTGGCGCAAAGGTATGGTCTCATTGTACTAAGGACACGAATAGCATCCTTAATTGACAATGTCAAGTAACTGTAAGACTCAGCGAACTTAGCACCGAAAATAAACAACCACATGATAACGGAAAGGGATTGATTATCGAAGGAAAGAGTTGCAAAGTTAGAGGTGAAGTATTTGTTCGCAAGGTAATTCCGAGAATCCTTCACAGCCCATTTGCCAAACAGTTGACTCGGTGGCACAAATGTGAAGTACAGCAGTGTAGCAAGACACATGAGGAAAGCAATCACACCGATAGTAATAGCCCTACCGCCATGCTGTTGTTCAGTCGTACAGTAACCGAAGATATACACAATGGGAATTAAATTCAAAATGAAGATAATGATGATGAACATAATGCGTTTCCAGATAGGTCGAGAACCGGGGAATCTTCGAGGAACATATAAGTACTCACAAAAAGAAGCACATAGTTTGAATAAGACAGATCAGAAGGGAAGCACAACTGACGGCAGCCCATTGAGCGGCACCAGTGGGCTTCGGTCCTTCAGCCTGGTGGAAAGGTTTCGTATAGAGAGTAGGGGAACTGTATGCGGTAAACATCCAAAAGACAGCAAAGTGAAGAATCCAGATACGGTTGAAGTTGGTCATTAAGTGAAGCCAAGAACGAGTTTCATAGTAAGTCTTGTAGAACGCTCTGTTCCACTGAACATCACAAAGCTTGTGGAATCTTTCACTAGCAGGAATGTCAATCAACCGCGTTCCATCATCAAAGATAAGACGGGCGATACCTTCGGCATGCCAGAACAATTGATTAATATCATCATAACCAATTACTTGATCGTGGGAACGTTCACGACGAACGTATTTACCATCGACAATCTCAAACTGTTGGTCATGCATGTATTGATACAAAGGCGTAATAACATTGTCCAAGTAGTAGCCTTCAGGAGCCATCTCAGTTTGGTTTTGAGATTCGGGAGAAACAAGGTAGTCGTGAGCACACTTGAACAAAAATGCAAGCAGCTCGGGGATAAAACGACAGTTGTTAGCTTCACCCCACAGCAACATCCACAAGGCGACCTGCTGAGCACGCTCAAAATGAGAGAGGGCACGCATTTGTGTCTCCCAACGCCATTCAGAAGCTTCAAGAGAATCATCAGTATCGATGTTGATATACTCGTCATCGTCTTCTGGTTCATCCTTTTTCTTTTTGCGTTTGAATTTAGACTTTTTGGGAGGCTTTACGACCTTTGGACTTTTCTTTTTCCGAGAAAAGAGCTTTCCTTTTTCCTTAATGGCAGTAACCTTACCACCGTAAATGCCGATGTTAGCCAAACCAACAGCATCCTCTCGATCCATTTGCGCAGCGAAATACCACTTCTTATAGTTGGCAGTATCGCCGCCAATGTAGTCGGCATGCAAGGTTAACAGTGCTTGCTCCGGCGACATACGGGAGGCACGTGAATCAAGGACAGTCATGAAGGAATCGTACATGTTACGCATGGAGTCTCTTTGGAATCCAAACTTATTTGTGAGGTCAATGAAGATATCTTCGATTTCCTCTTTCGTCAATGGCACACCGTTTTCAACCGTCCAGGCAGGATAGGGCTCACGGGCATTCGACCCGCCCGTGCCGTACACCGACGCACCCTCCGGGTCCATGGGAGTGGTAGCAGAAGAACGGTTGATGAAGGAGGTTTGACTGATGGAGTACGGACCGTTGTCATACGGTCCGCTGTTATATGGACTACCGATGGAGTCTGTGCTGGGTCCATAACTATCATATTGATTTTCCTGAGGAGGATAGTAGTAGCTGGTATCGTTGGCATTTCCATCGTATTCGGAGTACTCGGATTCGTACTCCTCGGGGTGATAGTTATTGGAACCTTGGTACTGATTGTGACCAGGGGCTCCGCGGTTTATGTTACTGTAGTCATCTTCGTACTGCTCTGTAACACCGGTGGGATATTCGTACGAGCCAGAAATGGAGTCGTCGTAGTTGGACGTGTACTCGGCACCGTACATATCATTGTTAGTGGTAGAGGAGGGGTTCTCGTAACCATCATCATAGTATGTGTATTGCGAGTCTCCGGGAACGTTGTTGGAGGCTCCCGAAGACGGAGGCTCATCGTGGAAACGATGAGACTGAGACATAGGGACCGGGGATCAAATGTGAAGAGTCAAAGGGTTCAAGTTTCCGGCGGTTATAATGTATGCCCCAAAAGAAGGTGTTTTGGATATATTAACGCCGAAAGGATCGGAAGAAAAGAAAAAGCGGAATGCTAGAAAGACGCAAAATTATGGACAAGGAGAGCAAACCGTTTGCGTGAAGAATCTCAGCAAAAAATGGATTCAAACCAGCGGCAAACTGTAAGAAATCTAAAACGTTTACGTGGTGTTTTCGGTCGTTACCCGAGAAAAGACACAGTCACCGAAAAAACGAAACGATGCAAAGAATTTATGCAGGGAAGCAAGAAAAAAAGTTGGCAACAATGTAAATTGCTGTCACAGTTCAAGAAAACACTTTCAGCAACCAACCGTGCACACAGTGCAGTGAAAGAAAGGCTAGAAAACAAGCAAAAACCAAACAAATCTCACAACGGAGAACCCAACCTGCTTTTTATATACCAAAGCCGGTGTACCGTATCGTACTTGCTGTAAAACACTCAAAACACGTGCAAAAAGGCAAAAAAGCAAGAGAACACTGCTGCAACTCTTACGATACGAGGTTTACAGGAATTTGGCGGGTGAGGTACTCAAACTCGTAGGAGAGTGTGTATGAAGACGCGTGTGGATCCTTGTAGATCGTCACAGACGCGTTTAATGCAAGAAGTTTGTGTCGTTAAGCACAAATCCACACTCAAAGACACCCGTAGACTCGACGGAGAACCGTCTTGACACCGAGGAACTTGCGAAAAAAGAAATCAAACAAGCTCAGTCAAAACAAGAACAGAACCTAAAAAAGTCCACGAAACGTGGTAAACGTTGGCCTCTGAAACAAATACCACCGTCTACAGATTCTGATACCTTCAAAAACCAGAACCTTACCGAGTTGAGTTGAGGTAGGGGAAAGGAGGGAGTTGTCAAAGGGTGAGATAGATGACACTGGACAAGGCTGCGCCCGCCTTGTGGACGGGATGATGATACTAGACTTAACACTCGGGGAATATTTTATTACGGAAAATATTATTTAGTTAATAAGCTCTGCGCGACCTCATTCGCCAATCGAATGTTGGGCTCCGGGATTGTCGACGGTTACTGCCGAGGAAGGCGGGAAACGTTAAGCGCACGTGGAGCTGTGCAGCCATTGATTGGCTGAGTCGCGATCGCAACCAGCAGCCACAAATTATAGTGTCGGGCGCGTGCTCGTTTAAGATAAGCTCTTATTTGACGCCTCACTGCTGATTGGTGTATTCGTCGCAGTTGCAAGACGCGGAAGGCGATCCGCACGTGGAGAAAAAGACTGTACTGGACCCGGCTAGCTGGGTAGCGGGAGAAAATGGATTTGCTTTAAAAAAACTGCGGAACAATTCGTTTGCTTGTTACTAAGAAGAAACATGTATTACATTGGTTATGAGAAAGTCAATTCACGTGACCACCCCGCAGTCAACTACGTGTTGATGCAGGGGCGGGGTAGCAGGGTCCACCGGATGTGCGGCCGGAATGCGGAGAAGCAGGAAGGACGACGAGAGTATCTGGGTGTGGATGGTGAGAAGCTAAGCATGGCCTGCAATTACGAGGAGTAGAATGACTCATAACGGGTCTGTGTGACAAGTCACCGTTACAGAAGCCACAATACACTTATAGTCGTTTAGCTTAGTAACTGCAAGAGTGGACGCTCGCCGGTCTAGGCGCGGTTCGATAGTCACTGCAGTCCATGATTGGCACTAAACCACCCATTGAGAGGAAACGATCAACTACTAGAGGTGGAGAGGTGGTGAGACATTGTGAATCTCAGCGTGTTACATTAAACCACATAGCGTGTTCGTACGCGCCACAATGAAGCGCGTATCATTCTGGCATGACTCGTTCCATCGCGTTAAATCGAGTACCGCACTATGTTGCAGTTCAGTATATAATGTAACGTACCACTGCGTGCTACAGCGTGCTGTTCTTGCGCCACGTTTTCCTACTTCAAACTGCACTTTACCACCGTATTGTGAATTGTGCACTGCGCAGGAATGCCTTAGACTTTCTTACAGCTCGTAAATTCAGATAATCCCCAACACACCTTGCCTACCTACCCTTTGCCATTCCCGAACAACATGGACGGGGTTTTACCTTCGGACGTTTCAGCCTCTTTGGAGCATCTGATTCAAGGTCTTGTTTCATCAAATAATGAAATCCGTAACGAGGCGGAAAAGGCTCTTAATTCACAATGGTTGGCTCAACAGCCAGATTTTCTGCTAGTTGGACTCGCCGACCAGGCTTCTCGTAACGCGGATCCTTCGGTATGTTAAGCATGAAGATTTTTATGAAGCAAATAAAGGCGTGGGTGCGTTTGGAAGCTGGATTTTTCGCGGTTGGAGTAAAATGAGATACCATTTAGACTTCTCAACTTCTAGGAGCACTTACGAATCGAAAGGCTGCGTTGTAAGGTGCTTTCGGACTCACACTTGTCAACAGTTCATTCGTCTCCGCGTCTCTTCTCTGTCCAGTTCATCTCATCCAGTTCATCTTTACCACCCAACCTGTTTGCTCCTGATACATAACTGAACGCTAACCAATAGGTCCGTGCTTTTTGTCTCGTCTTGTTGCGTAGACTTGCATTCCGTACTGTCCCTGGCAGCGAGGTTGAAGTGTTCTCTGCACTTCGTGATGATTCAAAGCAGCAGATCAAGGTTTTGCTGTTGCAGATTCTCGGTGCTGAGTCTGTGCCCACCGTTCGTAACAAGGCGTGTGACACCACTGCAGAGATTGCACGTTCCATTACCGAGTGCAACGGCCAATGGCCTGAATTGCTGACTGTGTTGTTCGAGTCTGCAAAGTCGACCGAACAGTCCGTGCGTGAGTCTGTTTTCCGTGTCCTCCTTACTCTTCCCACACTTCTTGCCGGTCAGGATGCCGTTCTCGTAGAGCTCTTGGCCGCTGGTATGAGTGACGCTAGCATTCCTGTTCGTGTTGCTGCTGTTCGTGCTTATGCCGCTACATTTTTGGAAAGCAAGCAGATCACTCGTGACCAACTGAATGGTCTCTTGCCTGGAGTCTTGAACGTTTTGCCTCCTTTGCAACAGGCTCGTGATTCTTACAGTCTGGCCGAGTGCTTGAACTCACTTACGGAAATTGTGGAAGTATTCCCCAAGATTTTCAAGCAAATCTTTGATGACCTCCTTACGTTCTCTCTCGGTATTATTGCTGACAAGGAATTGGAGGACTCTGCCCGCCAAGCTGCTTTGGAGTTGCTTGTTTGTTTCTCTGAGTCTTCTGCTTCTATGTGTCGTTCCAACCCCAAGTATGCTCAAGAACTCGTTACTCAATGTCTTATGCTTGCTACTGATGTTGGAGGTGAGGACGAAAACGATCCCGATGAACTCCAAGAGTGGCTCGACACAGAGGATTTGGACTCTGATGAGAACGATGCAAACCACATTGTTGCCGAGCAAGCTTTGGACCGTCTGTCCCGTAAGTTGGGTGGAAAGACAATTCTTCCTCAAGCCTTTTCTTGGTTGCCTGGTTTGATTGGTTCGCAAAAGTGGTCTGAACGCCATGCTGCTTTGATGGCTATCTCTTCCATTGCCGAGGGTGCTGAGAAGTTGATGAAGCGCGAGTTGGGCAAGATTCTTGACATGGTTTTGCCCTTGCTTCAAGATCCTCACCCTCGTGTCCGTTGGGCCGCTTGTAATGCTGTTGGTCAAATGTCTACGGACTTTGCTCCTGACATGCAAACGAAGTACTCAACTCGTATTTTGGAGTCTTTGATTCCCGTACTCGGTGCTCCTGAGGTTCGTGTGCAAGCTCACGCTGCTGCTGCGATGGTGAATTTCTGTGAGGAGGCCGATAACAAGGTGCTTGAGCCCTATTTGGATCAAATTTTGCAGAGCCTTCTTGCTCTTTTGCAAAGTCCTAAGCGTTATGTCCAAGAGCAAGCCGTTACCACGATTGCTACTGTCGCTGACGCTGCTGCTCAGAAGTTTGACAAGTACTACGACGTCATTATGCCTTTGTTGATCAATGTTTTGCAACAGGGCGAGGGCAAGGAGAACCGTGCTCTTCGCGGTAAGGCCATGGAGTGTGCTACTCTGATTGCTTTGGCCGTTGGTAAGGAACGTTTCTTGCCTCTGTCTGGCAGTCTTATGCAGGCATTGGCTGCTATTCAACAAGGTATCACCGAAAGTGATGACCCTCAAGCTGGCTACTTGATTGCCGCCTGGGGTCGTATTTGCCGTGTGCTTGGAAACGACTTCCTCCCCTTCGTTGACTCTGTCATGCCTCCTCTTTTGGCTATGGCCAAGTCCAAGCCTGACTTCGTCATCCTCGAAGACGAAGAAGACCAAAACAAGTACGCCGAGGATGAAGGCTGGGAGTTCATTCCTGTCCAAGGTCAGCAGGTCGGTATTCGTACTTCTATTTTGGAAGACAAGTACACTGCTTGTGAGATGCTCATCTGCTACGCTGCTGAGTTAAAGGGTGCTTTCGATCCTTATGTTAACGAAGTGTTGATGACTGTCGTCTTGCCTGGCCTCAAGTTCTACTTCCACGATGGTGTTCGCACCGCTAGCTGCAAGTGTATTCCTCACTTGCTCAAGGCTCGTATCTGTGCTAGCAACGGTGATCAAGCTCGCATTACCGAGGTCTGGCAACCTGTTCTCGAGAAGCTTCTCAGTCTTATTTCCGATGAACCTAGTGTTGAGATGCTTGGCGAGTACTTCCAATGCCTGTACGAGAGTTTGGAAGTTGTTAACATGCCTCTCGCCCCTGCCTACAGCGAGCGTATCATTGCTGTTGTTGAGCAACAACTGAAGGACTTTGTTGAGCGTGTTCAACAACGTGAAGAAGACAAGCGCAATGGTGAGGCTGATGTTGAAGAGGATGAAGATGTCTTGTTGGCTATTGACAACGATCAAAACTTGCTGAACGAGATTAATAGAACCTTCAACATTATCCTTAAAATCCAGAAGACCGATTTCTTGCCCTACTGGGAACGTCTTTTGCCATACATTGATGCTTTCATCTCCGGTACGGAGGTTATTGCTAAGCAATGGGCTTTGTGTATGGTTGACGATCTTATTGAGTTTGTTGGACCTGAGTCTTGGAAGTACAAGGATCATTTCTTGACTGCTATTGCTGAGGGCATCCAAAGCCCTGAGCCTGAAGTTCGTCAAGCTGCTGCATACGGCATTGGTGTTTGCGCGCAACATGGAGGTGAGGTGTATGCTGATATTGTTGCTAACGCCATGCCTACTCTCTTCGCTGTGATTCAACAACCTGACGCACGCGAAGACGAGCAAATCTATGCTACGGAGAATATCTGTGTTGCCATTTGCAAAATTTTACGATTCAATCCTGGCCGTGTTCAGGATCTTGACAAGACTATCGCATTCTGGGTATGTACTTTGCCCGTCACTCACGATGAAGAAGATGCACCTTATGCTTATATGTTTTTGTCTGAGCTTATGGACCAAAACCATGCCGCTGTCGTTTCCCAAGTTCCTGTGGTGATCAATGTCATTGCCGAGACCCTGGGCGCTGCTGTTCTTCAAGGTCGCACATTGGATCACTTTTTGGATTCGTCGCGGAAGTTCCTTGGTCGCATTGACAGAGAGCAGGTCAACGCGTTCATTTCATCTCTCTCTTCGGAAAACCAGAGTGTTTTGGCTACATATATGTAATTTGGCATTTGAAAATTATCGCGATAAGTTAGGAGGGTTTGTATCATGCATGCATATTTAAGTACGGGGATAGAGAGTAATATCCAATTTTATATAGAGAAGTAGAATATGATTACTGTTGAAGTGCTTGCGTCTTGGATTATGTAGCTCGTGTTCTTATGGCTTTCACTGTATGAATTGAATAGGCAAGAAGCTTTTTCTCTCGGCTTAACGGGTTACTACGGTATGTCGTTTTCGGTATAGAAATCTCTTCAATAAGAACAAATGGAGCATCTCCTGTATGTCAGGGGGAACCTTGAACGTAGATTTGAGGAACAAACAAATGCATATGCTTCTTTTGCTTGGATTTGTGAAGAATTGAAGGTTGAGTACTCTGACAAGGTTTATATCTGTTTTTCTACTGATAACGACTCCAAAAAAAGGATATATCGTTTACTTTGGGACGATACAGTTCGTCCTAGAACGTTTCAGTTGTCAGATTCCGTGTTTTCGACCGCAAACTCCGTCATTGCACACATTGTATCACCCATTCCAATAAAATACATATGGTTGAATGTATCAGGAAACAACATCCGGAAAGCTCAATCGTACTTGCAGTACTTGTGTCGAGAGGGTACTGTTTTACACACAAAAGATCTTCTCCCATATGATATCCAAATTGCTGCTTGTGAACCCATTGACCAAGGCATCTTGACTGAACAAACAGAAGTTTTTATCGTTACCAAAGCAGCATTTGATGATGTTCTTTCTGTACAGAGAGATTTTCTCCAGCTGGGCTCTGAATTGGCATTGACGATGGCTGTTCAGTATCAAACTCCTTCCCTTTCAGGCACTAGCAATGCGCTTGAGGTTCACAGTGCAAAACTCTCTTACTCAACGGCGATGAAGTATTCTATAAGGCGTGGTTCATGGCTTAGAATTGGGTCCAATGAAGAAGAGTTTGTCTACATTCGTGCATGGCCGACGGAGCATGTGGTAGACAATACACTACAGTTATCATTTTGCCCTTCTGCAGCTATTCTGCATAAAAATTGTTACAAAATTGAGGTCGCATCTCCCATCATTCACCCATGTCGAAAAGTGATATGCAGTTGGGTAGCTTCGCAGCATACTCAATCCATAAAAAACACTACTGAGGTGCAAGCCTTTGTCAAGCAATTTGTTTATGACCTCCGTTACATTACTGTTAACTCTGTATTATCAATATGCGGCACGCGTTTACCCAATCTGACATCTCATGAAAATAAACTGTTTGATCCTTTTTGTCTCATTCACTTGTTTATAAAATTCTGCGAAAGTGATTCAACAGAAACAAAGGAAGCAGCTGATGTTTTCTGTATAACAGAAGCCACAGAAATTGAGTTTGTGGGAATACATCCTTATCAACTCCCCGTAACACTTTCACCTTTTCTCGAAATGTTTGATCAAAATGAGGCTATAGGGGATATTCACAGGATAGCAACTAGTTTAACAGCAGGACAACATAGCTCAGTCTTGGTTGCAAATCATGGGCTGAATGGCATGCTGCGGTTGGGCAAGTCATTAGCTGACTCTCTTGGCTTACACACATATATTCTTTCGGCATACAGCTTGTTAAATCTCTCGTACGAACGGTTTCATTCTGTTTTTGAGAAACACATTGAGAATGTGCTTCAAATCAAGTTTTGTGTGCTCGAGTTGCGCGATTTTCAAGTGCTCTTTCAACAGCAAGGCACAAACTATGAGTTGATACTAAAAGTCGTGTTAAAAAAAATGCTCCGTGTCTTTGACTTAAGTGGGAACACCGTCCTTTTCGTCTTGGCTACGTGTAAGGAGCTAGAAGACATCCCGTCTTCCATTCGGACTCTCTTTCTTCATGAATACAATCTCAAGCCGCTCTCGCTTAATGAACGCAGGCAGTGTCTTGATTTCTTTTCCAAGTCGTATTCTGTTTCACCGAGGCTTTCCCTGTCACAACTTGCTGACAAGTGTAACGGCCTTTCCATTGACGACCTTCAGTATGTGTGGACTCTTGCTTTAGGCAACGTAAAGAAGCAAATTATAAATACTGGTCATGCTTCGGAGGATCTGGTGACGGCTGGACCCGTTATTACTCCTGAAGCTGTGTATTCACAAGTCGAACGGTTGCAGAAAACGGCACTCTCTTCCCTGAACTTGCCTCGAATTCCGCAAGTGAATTGGGAAGATGTGGGTGGTTTGGAGCAGGTGAAACAATCGCTTTTAGACACTTTGCAACTTCCACTCGAACATCCAGAGCTGTTCACTGTTGGAATGAAAAAGCGGTCAGGAATATTGCTTTATGGACCACCGGGTACGGGTAAAACTTTACTGGCAAAAGCTGTCGCTTCTGAACTGTCACTCAATTTCCTCAGCATAAAAGGACCTGAATTGCTGAGCATGTATATTGGTGAATCGGAACGGAACATCCGTCGTGTTTTTCAACGAGCCCGTGATGCTTCCCCGTGTGTTATCTTCTTTGATGAACTCGATTCCATCGCTCCGAAGCGTGGACATGCGAATGACAGCGGCGGTGTGATGGACCGTATCGTCAGTCAGCTTCTCACAGAACTGGATGGTGTTTGTGAACCTGGAGCGGAAAATGTGTTTGTTATGGGTGCTACCAATCGACCAGACTTGTTGGACTCTGCATTGACCCGACCTGGTCGTTTTGACCAGTTGCTGTATTTGGGTATTTGTACTGATGCTCAAGCACGGCTCAAGATTCTTCAAGCACAGCTTCGCAAGGTACGCCTAAGCGATAATGTGAATTTGATGACTATAGCTAAGCAATGTCCTCCCAACCTGACGGGAGCTGACTTGTTTGCCTTATGTTCAGACGCAGTGTTCCTTGCACTGGAGCGGCAGATTCAGCAATTGGAAGACGAATGGACTCAAGAAAAGCACGTCTCCGGCGTACAAAACGAAGATCCTGAAACTGCGTTCGCCGAATGGATCGCGACGAAGGAACAGGTAGTCATCCTGGACATGAATGACTTGCTCACTTCGCTTCACCACACCGTCCCAAGCGTCTCAATAGCCGAGTTACAGCACTACGAAACTCTTCAAAAACAGTTTCAGCAGCAAACTTAAACCGCGCGCATCCCGCGGGATGTACGCGGGATTTCCTGTGCGCCGTAATCTTCGTTAAACGGTGCTATATCAAATAGTGTGGTGGTTATGCACGTCCATACGTTACTCCGCGCTTTTCACTATTTGCTCCAGCACGCTGACGTGCGCTGGAGCTCACTACCCGTCCTAAACTCCCTCGTAACCAGAGTGCAGCTTGCCCAGTGCATGTTTCGCCATGTGGAACCCGAAACAGAGATCCAAGACTTTAGCAACGTTAAAGTCGTTTCCGTACCCAAAACCAAGCTTGAACTCGAAGGATTCCGACGGACAGAAGCGCCGTAAATGGTTGCCCTTGGTTCCTAAGAGCAACGTGAAGAGAGCACTCGCAGCCATTGCGCTCGTGTTCTTACTGTTTTTGTGCGGGAAAACGCTGTATGGGTCGAGTAATAGCAAAATTGTAATTGTGGTCGCCAGTAACGAAGGCGGCGGTGTTCGTGAAGTGAAAAACCGAAAGCAATGGGCTTTGGAACGGACGTCACTGAGCAACAAGGTCGCGTACGCGAAGAAGCACGGCTACTACATCAGCATCAAGGATGTTGGGCTGAAACGCCGGTACACACACGAATGGAGAGAGTCCTGGGAGAAGGCAGACCTTTTACTGGAAGCCATGAAGGATTTCCCGAGGGCAGAGTGGTTCTGGTGGCTTGACTTGACGACTTACATTATGGAACCGAGCAAGTCTATTGAGAAGCATGTTATCGATCGTCTCGACAAGATTGGCACCCGCAATCTGACGGAGCCGGGTGCCCACAACCCACTCAATTACGAGCCTATTCCTCATGAGGATTTTACCGGTGACGTGAACATGGTCCTCACGCAGGACTGTAATGGTTTCAGCTTGGGTTCGTTCTTCATTCGTAGAAGCGAATGGACGACCCGGCTGCTCGACGTGCTTTGGGACCCAGTGGTGTATGGAAAAATGCATCAGAACTGGGCTCATCAGGAACAGGATGCCTTGCAACACATGTACGAAACGCATGCTTGGGTCCGTAACGGAGTGATCTTTGTTCCTCAACGTACTATTAATGCATTTCCCCGTGGTGCTTGCGAGGGTTCTACCGATGCTCGATTCTTCTACGATCAAAAAGACCGGGACTTTGTTGTCAATATGGCCGGTTGTATGTTTGGAAGAGATTGTACAGAAGAGTTGGCCTTTTATAAGCAATTGAGCGAGAAGCTCAATTCCTGGCGTTTTTGGTAAACAGTCATTGAATTATACAGGCTGCATATGATGACCAAAGAGAGAATATCTGATTCAGCAGCGGGCGAGTTAACGAATTGCGCGAGGGGGGGACTCCCCTCTGCAATTCAACCGTTTGGTCGGGTGAATGTAACCCTTCCATACGGCGTTAGTCATCGCGTTTATATCGGAGCGTTCTTGCACTTGCAACGAACATCCAGCTGCTGCTAATGATCTTAAAGGCAAAGTCTGATGCAGAACCAATTCAGATGTTTCCATCAGTGCACCAAAAAAAAAGACTATCGACACTTAAACTCAACGTCTCAATTTTTTAATGAACAAGTTTTGCTTCAATGAATAAATTGAAGGGAGAGGAAGGAGGCGGATAGAAACTGAGTCGTGTATTGAATTTATTGGAAGAAAGGGCTGTATGAAATTGCGGACACTCTATGCAATGGGAGCTTGGTGAATCAGTCGGACTAGGCAAGCTTCTTCAGTTGCTCTATCAACTTTTATATACATTATTGATTCCACAACGCCTTCATGTTCCCCTTTGCAGCACAATTTCTTGTATTCAGTAATTGTTCTTTCACTTCAACTTCAGTCTCGCTTATTCAAACTTTACAGTCACGTGCTTTTCTGCATCCCTTCTCTACACTCTTAACCAGCATAAGCTTTCAGGTCTCGCTAATCGCCTTCCCCTTTCTATTGGCCAACGCATTTCACGTGCTGCTGAACGCGTACACAGACTTCTCACCACCATTCTTCACCTCTCCTCTCCCACATGGCTTCTGGATTTGCATTGCCTGAACTTCCCCCGGTTAAGTCCGCTTGGGGACCCCCGGAGAACATTTCTGTTGCCAGAGATGATGTTCCTTACGCTCCCTTTAGCAAGGGAGACCGTCTTGGCAAAATTGCTGACTGGTCTGTTGACCAGACAAAGGACGGACGTGAACAACGTGGCCGTCAAGGCCCCTTCGGTGGCCGTTTCCGTGACCAGTACCAAACTTATGGTTACGGATCCTCGTCCATCTTTGGATACCAACATACTGAGGATGAATCCTCTTTCTCGGTCATTGATCGTGCCAACGTGAACCGTTCGCGTACTGGTGGACGTGGAGGTGGCACTCTGCTCAAGGTGCGTGGCCGTGGACAAAACAACCAACGTGGAGGTGCTCGTGGCGGCCGCTGGGGTGGTCGCGGTGGTGCTGAAACGACGATTTCTCGTTCTAATGGCCCTGGTGCCAACAGAGGCCGTCGTTACGGCTGGAAGGACTATGACAAGCACCAACGTAACCGTAACGCTAGTGTTACTGTTGAGCCTTCGTGGGAGATGTTGGACGAGGTTGAATTCAGTCATCTTTCCAAACTCAACTTGAACGTTACCAAGTGCGAGACTGTCCAGACTTGTGGTTACATCTATCCCTACGACAAGGCTCTCGATAAAATTTCCGTCAAGACCGAGCGTCCTCTGCAAGTTTTGGACCGTGTCCACTACAACCCTACCACGACGGAGGATCCTGTCATTCAGCAATTGGCCGTCAAGAACGCCGCTCAAATTTTCATCACAAGCTCCATTTTGTCGCTTCTTATGTGCTCTACTCGTTCCATTTACCCATGGGACATTGTCATTACGCATCAAGGAGACAAACTCTTCATTGACAAGCGCGAGGGTGGTCCGTTTGATTACTTGAGTGTTAATGAAAACGCTTACGATGCTCCTTTGGAAACTGATGAGAAGGACAACAACAATAGTGCTAGTGCTCTTTCGCTCGAGGCCACCTACATTAACCAGAACTTCTCTGTTCAAGCTCTGCGTGAGTCTGACAAGGATAAGCATTCTCTCGGTGCCCCCAACCCCTTCTACAACCCCTCTGAAGAGACGGAACCTCTTGCCTCCCATGGATACCTTTACCGCAAGTTTGACCTCTCTCTCGAGAGCGACAACACTCCTGTCAACTTGGTTGTTCGTACAGAGGTGGATGGTTACACTAAGACTCCTGCTAACGACATCCAATACGTCTCCATCAAAGCACTTAACGAATTCGACCCTAAGGTGTTGAACAACACCAGCACAGCTGACTGGCGTACCAAGTTGGAGAGTCAACGTGGTGCTGTCTTTGCCACTGAGATGAAAAACAACAGCTGCAAGCTGGCTCGTTGGACTGTTGAGGCTATTCTTGCCGGTGTCGAGAGCATGAAGGTCGGTTTCGTTAGCCGTGCCAATCCTCGCGACGCTCAGCATCACGGAATTTTGGGTGTCGTTGCTTACAAGCCTCGTGATCTTGCTTCCCAAATGAACTTGAGTCTCTCTAATGGTTGGGGTATTGTCCGTACCATTGCTGACATTTGTCTCAAGATGCCCGACGGTAAGTACGTCTTGGTGAAGGACCCTAACCGTTCCATCTTGCGTCTCTACTCTGTTCCTCTCAACACATTTGAGGATTCTGAGAGCGGAGCCGCCGAGTCTTCCTCTGCTTAGGTTTTTCTGCAGGGACGACATAAAAAAGAACTAGCTAATTAAACGCTGCATCTGGAAGTTTGAAGGTATGGATGGGTGGGTCTCGTTGCGTGTGTATGGGAAGAGATGTTGTGAATTGGTGCGAGGTTGGAAAGACGGTGCTTAGTCATTGTAGCGTAGGATCAAGAAAAGGGTTAAAGCATGTTTATGCGACTCATAAGCTTCCTTTATCGGTGTGTAAACAGCCAGCGGAGTCGGCTGCGCTGTCCCTGTAACGTCTGTTTCTCTCTGCTTCCTTTCTCTACTTTCTTCTCTCTTCATTAAACTTTCGCTTAAATAAATAGAGTTGTCGCATAATTTTGTTATGACATCATAGGCTGCCACCCTATTTTATTACTAATACCTGGCACGGATTCTGCCAACTACCATTACCCAATCCAAATGCAGGTTGAAGAATCTGTCCCAATTGACGCGAATGCGCACTGTCCTGGTCCTTCTAGTGCTGATGCAGGTAAGTCTGATGCCTGTGAGGGCTGTCCGAACAAGGAAATATGCGCTTCGGCACCTCGTGGAGAAGACCCGGATTTGCCTCTTGTTACAGAACGGTTGAACAAGATCAAGCACAAGATTCTCGTCCTTTCCGGTAAAGGAGGTGTCGGAAAATCAACTTTTAGTGCTCAATTGGCATGGGCTTTGTCGCTCGACGAAAATAAACAAGTTGGATTGCTGGACGTGGACATTTGCGGTCCCTCAATTCCTACAATTATGGGTGTTCAAAACGAAGAGATTCATCAATCGAATGAGGGTCTGTCCCCAGTCTATGTTTGTGAGAATTTAGGCGTTATGTCAATTGGTTTTCTCTTACCTTCGGAGGATTCCTCTGTCATTTGGCGCGGTCCGAAGAAGAACGGTATCATTAAACAGTTTATCAAAGATGTATACTGGGCAGATTTGGATTATCTCGTTGTGGACACGCCTCCGGGCACGAGTGACGAACATTTATCGCTTGTTCAGTTTTTTAAACAGTCTGGTGTGGACGGTGCCATCATCATCAGCACACCTCAAGAAGTCTCTCTTCAGGATGTGCGAAAAGAGATTAACTTTTGTCAGAAAGCGAAGATTCCCATCCTGGGGCTTGTGGAAAACATGAGTGGGTTCGTGTGTCCATCTTGTCATAACAAATCAAATATCTTTATCGCCAACACTGGTGGAGGAGAAGCCTTGGCGGCCGAGTTCTCGATTCCCTTCCTGGGTCGTGTTCCACTTGATCCACGTATTACTCAGGCTTGTGATTACGGTAAAAGTTTTGTTGACGAATGCCCCGAGTCTCCAGCTTCGGAGGCTATCATTAAAATCATTGATGGTATGTGCCTATGAACTCCGTAACGAGCTCCAGATGCTTTTTCAAAAGTCGTCTTCGAGAAGCATTTGGTTACAACTGTCGTCAACCCGTTGTTACTAACAAATTCACATTCAGCCGTCCTTGATTCTCCTGCTCTACGGACACCAAGCACTACCCTTAGTACCTCCCACACCAATACTACCAACACCAACACTACCACCAAAACCGTCCCCGCCGCGGCAGCATCCTAGATCATGTCGGCCCTTCCGCGGATATCCACCAGGGACCCTCGCTGAAAACCTGTGGTTTGCCAAGTTTAAGGAAAATGGCCAGGCTTGTTAACGAAACTGGTAACGGGTCTGCGGAGGCTAAGCATCCCGTAGATGCTGTACAAACCGCCGACGGAAGCAATTCCGTCAGTAAAAAGCGAAAGTTGGAAAACAATTCCGCAGAACAAAGTACGAGCAATTCCACCTCGGCGGCTGTTTCCGTTGAGTCTGTAACGGAGAAAAATAATTTAGAACCGAAGAAAAAAAAGAAGAAAAAATCAAAGAAGAACAAAACGGTGAATGGAGAGCCTGTGGTGCCGCATTTAGTGACGACGGAAAACTGTCTTCAAAAACCTCTTAAAATTGCGGATTTGCAGGAATTGCTGTTCTGGTGTATCGCTGATGGACCATCTCCTTCGTGGATTCTCGTACGAAACAAACATCTCGTCGAGCGTGTTGTCACCGTCTTAATTCCTGGTCTTGAACCTTCTTTATTTGGTTTTGCTCCGAAACGTTCGGACAAGTCTTCGTTTTTGTTGCCCAAAATGCTCAATGGTTGCTGTCCTTCTGAATTATCGGATTTTGTTAGCATCTTTGAACGTGTATGGCCAACTCGTTCGCCCGGTGACCGTTTCCGTGTTCATTCGCCTATCAACGCATTTCTCCAGTCGCCCCTTCCTAAACATGAGAAGGAACGGCGGGACAAGGCTGCCCGCAGTGCTGCTGTATCCCATTCTCCGTTGAACTACTTGATGCCTTTGGAAGCCATGTTGGCCGACGACTATCCCCTGCACCCTACTTGTCCTGGGTCAACAGCGTTGCCTGAAGGATGGGTTGCGTCTCATGTCGGTTTTGATACTGAGCTGCCCACAAAGCCTCAAATACTTGGTCTGGATTGCGAAATGGTCAAAACAGAGGTCGGTTCTGAGCTTGCTCGTGTAACGCTGGTTGACATGCAGCACAGGGTTGTTTACGATGAATTGGTAATGCCCGAGGCACCCATCATTGATTACGTTACCCAGTTTTCGGGTATCACAGAGGAAAAATTACGCAACGTTACAACGCGTCTGGCCGATGTTCAACAAAAACTGTTGCGCATGGTTGATGCAAATACCATTCTTCTTGGACATAGTCTAAATTCCGATCTTAACAGTCTTCACTTTGTGCATCCATACATCATTGACACATCGCACATTTACCAACACACACGAGGTCCTCCGTCCAAGCCGTCCTTGAAGTGGTTGACCCAAAAATGGCTGAAGCGTGAAATTCAAAAGACGGGAGTTGTGGGACACGACTCTGCTGAAGATGCACTCGCGTGTATTGACTTGCTAAAACTCAAGATGCAACGTGGACCCGCATTTGGTTTATACAACCAAGACGTGGAGTCTGTTTTTACTCGTCTACAACGTCAGTCTCCAGTGTCGAGGTTGAGTGCTGTCGCTGACTATGGTACTCCTGACTATTGGCATGGCAAGTATACGAATGCTACAGTCGCATGCAATACGGATGATGAAGTGATAAATGCTACGATCACGCTAGCCGATAATCATCATTTTGTTTGGTCTCGACTCCGTGAACTTGAGTTTGCAGCTGAATGGTCTACCCCTGCCGGCAATAAAACAACAAACGGAGCGCCAGCAGATTCTGAGTCGAACTCTTCCGAGACGCTGTCTCCCGCTGAAAGTCATATACCCAATTCTACGAATCAAGCCATGCAAGATCTGAACCGTAGAATGCGTTTACTCTATGATTCTTTACCGAAAAACACTGTTCTTATAGCCTACTCGGGCACAGGCAATCCGGTTGAGATGTCGCGGTTGAACTCTATGCGTATGCAATTTCGGAAAGAGTTTCAAACGAAGAAATGGGACGAGTGTTCTGTGCAATGGACAGACAAAGAGGAAAGTCAATTGCAAGCTGCCGTTGAGAGTGCACGGAATGGTGTTTCATTCATTGCCTTAAAGTAGGAGTTCTAGGGTTTAGTTCGGTCTCATTTTACCCGCTGTGTATTACCTTCATCACATTTACACATTTCTGTTTTTATGTATTTTTGGGATTAAGTCTTTAAAAAAAAAAAGAGGACCGAGAATGGTTCTTGTTCATGCTATCATTCGTAACTGTTTATCATTGTCGTGGAATATTACGGCTTAGACTAGAACATGGCAGTTTGGTATTTTTAGGAGCTGTGGCAAGTCGTAAACACAATACAAGCACTCTCTTTACTCTTTCATCTTTTCGTCAGCGTTGCTGCTACTGGGCTTTTCTTGTGTGGTAGTAGTAGTAGTAGTAGCAGCAGTGCTGGGATTGGCGCCAGTATCACGGTTCTGATTGTCTTGACGAGCACGTTCTTCTGCCATGGAAAGTTCCAAGGCCAAGGCAAGTTCAGGATCAAGAGTAGGATCCACTCCAAACTCGAATTGACTGTTGGAGGCAGCAACTCCTTGTCCTATGGGAGACTCGTTCACCATATCTGATAACAGTCGGTCTGACTGGGGAATTGTAACCAAATGGCTAGTAAAAAAAAGTTAGTTTACAAGAACACATAAGTAAAAGAGTATGTCAAAAACAAAGGCTTGTCACATACCTGTTGTCATTCGAGTTTACAGTCTCGATAAATTGTGAGAGTTTGTCTGTGTTTTCTTGGCTAAGTTCGCCAAAGTGAACAATGTCCACAGCGACATTGTTCTTTTTCAGCTTCTTTGCTAAACGCTTCATGTTTTTCTCGTCACTGTCAACAGGAGAGCCCAAAAATACGACTATGCGCTGGCGTTGGGTTTTGTTTTCACGGTGCTTTAAAGCCAATTGAGCAATTTGAATACCAGTCATCAGTTTTGCTTCACCACGAACTGGAAGATCGTGAATGGCTGAAAGAAGTTTTCCATAATCGCGAGTAAGTGTACACAAGACTTGCGGACTATGCACTGCATTAGTAGGATATCCCGACCGGATTGCGACGAATTGTTTACTATCGTGCACACAAAACACGCACCTATTGTCGCCAATTGTCATTAAACCACACATGTTCTCTGGATTATCGTTGATCTTTTGGTTAAAAATGAGGTGCATCGCGTCCTTTTGAGCCTCAAAACGCGTAGGGATGTAATCTCCATTAATCATCCATTCTGAATTGTCAATACTAATCGTTTGTTAGCGTTCAAAAGCTCATTCGAGACAGATTTCACCGTACACTATCATTGTAGCTTCCAGCACCATGTTGAACGGTTCTTTTTTAAAGAAAAAGGCGAGTTCTTGATGTTTCGTGGAAGAAGGGAAGAAGACAGAATCCGCTGGGTGTGAAGGTGGATTAAGGTGTGCCTTAAACTGTCGTGTAGTGCGTTATACAATATAGTGATGATTAAGGTGGTTTAACGAAATTGGAGCAGCAGTGAATGATGAATTCGTTATGCAGGCCCGTTGTAAGTGTGCGGTAGCTATTTTTGAGGGTCTGAATGTTTTCCTTCTCTCTCTCTTTTTTTTTTTTTTTTTTTTTTTTTTGTGTATTTTTTGAATATTAAATTCTTTGTTTAAGGCAAATTGTAATAACAGATAATTACTGAACTCTGTAATAGCTCATTTTAAAATTCGTAATTTATTGTCCAACGACTTTACTTATGCTCCCCTTTTTTAAACCGTATTCTGTTTTATTAACCCAAGACTTCTCTTCTCTCTTTCTCTTCCCATGTCGTCGTTGATGCTACTTGTAATTCCTCTTAGTAATAATTAGCATACAGCTAAATAATACACATAATGCTGTTTGCATCCTTACGGAGAAGCCTTCACCTTCACGGTTCTGTGACAGGTCACTGCTTTCGAACGAAAAACTACTATGTACACAGCTTCTTTCGGTCGTTCGCCCATTCACGAGGACGCAAACCAAGTACTACGTCTCGTCGCTCTCGTGAAGCCGCTCAAAACCAACTTTGGTCGCTTGCTACAAAAAGATTCTTAGAGAAGAAACACAGTATACTGAAAGAAACAAAATTTCCAAAAAATGTTCCTCGAAACACACAGCTGGCACTGTTCGACGAATTCTACTCTGGATGTGTTCATGTTCCGAAGCAATACGATCCATACTTCACCGATTTACAATCTAAGATATTGCAAAGTACTCAACGAATACACTGGAAACCATCAGTAGAGAATGTCACGAAAGACACTCGTTTACACAGTTCGTTCGCAGAGCGCTTAAAACTTGAGTTTCAGAACTTTGTTAGTCACACGCTTATGTTTGAGCCGCTTGAAAAAGATTTGAGAAAGCTATTAGATGTTGAGTGGCCACACGATTTGTATCCTCCTGCACGTTCCATGAGGCGGAAGTTCATTATGCATGTCGGTCCTACGAACAGCGGCAAAACACACAATGCGATCAATAAGTTGAAAACTTGTAAAAAGGGCATATTCGCTGGTCCGCTACGTCTTCTTGCTTCTGAAATTTATATACGAATGAATGCAGAAGGAATCAAGTGTAACCTTGTAACGGGTGAAGAAGTTAAAGCTGATTATGAGAATCCTCAATTATTAGCATGCACCGTTGAAATGGCAGACCTTCACCAACAATATGATGTCGCAGTCATTGATGAGATACAGCTTATCTCTGACGAAAATAGAGGGTGGGCATGGACCCAGTGTGTTCTAGGCTTACGAGCGAAAGAGATTCACCTTTGCGGAGAAGAAAGTGCAGTTGAACTAATTAAAAAACTTGCTGAAAAAACGCTCGATGAAGTGGAAGTTCATCGATATGAACGGTTAAACGCACTCAGAGTCAGCAAAACGAGTTTGAACGGCGACTTGGGCAACGTCAAAGACGGTGATTGCGTTGTCGCCTTCTCACGTCGTGCGATCTTTGAAGCCAAGAACACTTTGGAAGAGTTCCACAACAAGAAGTGCTGTGTTGTTTATGGCTCTCTTCCTTTGGAAATTCGTAAACAGCAAGCTACGGATTTCAATGATCCCAAGATACCAGCCAACGTCTTACTTGCCTCGGATGCCGTTGGCATGGGTCTTAACTTGAGTATCCAGCGTGTCGTTTTCACGTCGCTCGCAAAGTTTACGGGGTCAAGTTTTGAAGATATACCTGTTCCTTTAATTAAACAGATTGCGGGCAGAGCAGGCCGTTACAAGGCCTCAAATAACCAGGATGAAAAACAGTCCGCTGGCGAAGTTACTTGCCTGTATGACTATCAAATGCCTATACTCAAACGAGCTCTTAGCCAGCCTATCAGAATGTTGAAGCAAGCTGGATTTATGTTTCCCGATGACATTTGGTGCGAATATTTTTTAACGTGTCCACAAGATATACCCTATTCATTCCTTTTTCGAAAAATGATTTTGCTGAGTAATATTCCACCATGCTTCTTTCATTGTCTTATTAAATCACAACTTCCCATTCTTGAGATTTTAAAGCCCATTGAAACTTTAACGATTAGAGAACGACTTTTGCTAACAAATATTCCGATTCCTTTACGATGGCCTACCATGAAAGAGTTTGTCTATGAAATTGGAGAAAAACTATCTCTCTGTACTCCCGTCCAACTTAACGATTTTGAGCATTTTAATTTGGATGTCCTGAATCACAAGTATAAGAACCAATCCGACTTTCTCCAACAAATAGAACTTTTGTACAAAAAATTAGACGCTTACTTTTGGATAAGTTTGCGGTTTCCATGCATGTTTCAAACAGAAGCAGCCATTGACATTAAGAAGATTCTTCTTAAAAAGCTCAATAGTTTTTCTCATTAATTTTCTAATAAAATAAATAAAAACTTTTTAAGTAATCCTTGTAACAGACCTGCTATATGAAATGCTTCATAATGGTAATATTAAATTTTAATTAGGAGGAATGGAGGGAAGAACAAAGGATGAAGAAAAAGAAAGTAAAAATGAATCTGATCCTTTCTTTTATTTTTTTGTTGACACAAAACCTACCAACCAAAACGTAATTGAGATGGATGGAAAACGGGTGGCTGCCAATCTGCAAGCAGTTCAGGCTTGATGTGCTTTCTTTTTTTGGTCCGATAACGTTCGTACTGAAGTTCAATACCTTCAGATATACAAATAATGAATTGCCCCTTGTAGTACTTTAACATATCTAGCGCTTGCAATGTGTGTAGTACATCATTTGTGGTCATGGCAGTTTTGTTTGCCAACTCATCAATTGTCGTTTCCGATGCCTTCATTGTCATTACCAGAGTGACAATTTGTTCTGACCAATACGCTCGATAACTAATTAAGCCCAGATCAGACAACGGTTTCTCTGGCGAACCATGCTTGTGTTCACGTTTTGTGAGTTCATAAGAAAACTGAATAAGCAATTTGCCATAACCATGACGCTGATATTGTGGAAGTGTTAAGATACACGCAACATTGTAATTTTCCGCAGATTCCTTCTCTTTGGAAAAATAACCGACCATGTGGAAACCGTATTCGTCACGCTCGCACATGCAATAAAACAGGAACGGATCCACATCGTAATAAAGCATTTTATGGTCCAAAAAAAGCTTGGATAAAAGACACACATTGCGGCACCATGTCCGCTGCTTGCGACCATCAATTTCAAAAAAAGAGACGTTTTCGTCTCGGTAAATTTCGTTCCCCGGAGGGTGCCGAAGGGTGCATTTCTTGCGATGCCTTGTAAACTGATGCTCGGAACCAAAGTAGCTATAACAAAATTCACAAATGTATATAAGATCACATTCGGTGAATTCTTTAGGATAGGGAGAAAAATACCAGGGCTCAATTTCAAAATCACCCAGTTGAATTTTGTTTATGTTTCTAACACGCGCAACCTCGTGTGGGTTTTGCACCATAGACCCGCTGAATCGCAGGCGTTCAAACTCTTCTTCCTTTGAGGGTGTCGGCTCGTGCGACTCGGCTAGTAACGGCAGAGATTCAGTGCCTGGAGTCGATGTCCTGTCACTTTCACCGGGAGTCGCCGTCTCAGATGGCGTGTGTGTGGTCGAAACAACGCTTACCGAAGTTGAAGTGGACAATCGCCGTTTCTTGTTTGCCTTAGGCGCCTTCGAAGAGCCAGCTTTTCCAGAAACTTTTTTGGGTTTTTCTGGCGGTGGATATTCGATGCCACGAGACAAATCAATAGCTTCTAAGGATATCCATTCATCCAAACGTTTATTATAATCATTGTAATGAACGTAATAATACAGCTGATTATGTTTTTTTTGTATCATCAACACTTCTGCCTTTCGATATTCCCCATCCTTGAACGCAAAAACTTTAGACTTGAAAGTGATCTGACCAGAGTGAGGAGTGCCGGACGTATGGGTTCCTCCGGCGTCAGCTTTCGAACCCGCTTTAGCCATGCAATTCACGTCTTTTGAGTACGGTGTTCCACGTCTTCCTCCTTTTATTTTTTTGGAGGAGTATTTTTGGTGGTGCAAATATTAAAGTTAATAGAATGATCACCTGGATTTAGACATTTTTTAACATGTCGCAAAATTTTAAGTTTCGCTTAGATAAACAAAGTCGTGAACAACTTGCAAGAAAGGATTAAACATCTAATTGCTCTTCATATTCTTCGAACCGTCATTTCCTATAGAGATAAATATTTAAAAGATAAAAAACAACTGACCTCACTTAAACAATTTGTGGCAGTTGCTAACTTACGAAGCCCAGGCATTGCCCTCACTCGAGTACATGGGGCGGTCGGGGACAGGAGGAGCGGAAGGGGCAGCGGCTGCACTTGGAATGGTGCCTTGTCGATTCAAAGAAGCTTGTCGGTTGACAGAAGCTTGACGAGAATGCGTGGCGGCAGTGGGAGAGAAAGAGTAGGCATCATCATCGTCGTCGTCGTCGTCACTCGCCGAAGGAACATCTGGAGGCAACCGCTGGAGGATATCGGGGTTGTTTGCGTTAAGAGCCTCCCACCACTTCATGATATCAGCGTGATTAGCTGCGCTGAAAGTGTATTCATAACGAGTAGAGAAAAGTCTCTTGGTTGCATCTTTTCCCGTAATTTTAAACTTGGCCTTCTTGTCAGAAGGTCTGCCGATTAAACAGTCGGGAATGTAAAGAGCAAACTCGGGCTCCGGATCTGTAAGGGGATCGGCACTCTTAAACTCATACAAGTAGCCTGAATGAGTGAATGCATAGAAACCGGCTTGCTTCTTTTTGAGAATCTTCGTCTTGCGAACTAATTGGCCCTTAATGATAGGCACAGTAGGCTGGTCGTTTTTACCAGGGTACACGATAGAGTCAGCGTTACGGGGCACAATGTCGCCCTTGATGAAATCGGGCTCGTTGTTCATGTACTGCTCCCATTCCATGGTGGACGGCAAGGCATCGGAAATCTGGCGGATGTCTTGGATATGAAGTATAGTCTTGTTCAAATGTGCAGCCATAAGCTGTTCGAACTGCACAATGCATTCTTTGATCTTGTTCACCATGTTGATCTCAAATCTGTACGACAGCTCTTGCAATCCAACCAATACATGAGCATGGTTGTTTTCCTCCGCGACCTGACGGTGCAAGCTGTTGCAAACAAGCCGATCAACGATAAAAGGATCGTTGTTGCGGCCAACAACTGGAGGTTGCTCTCCACGCCATGGCAAAAGGGTACGATCAAGCTGTGTAAGCAAACGCTGAGTCTCGGTGCGATGCTTTTCTACGGTTTTCACACCGCGTCCGCCGTCCGTAGTGATTTTTTTGCAGTGTTCCTTCAAGTCATCACGCAGCAACTCCAATACTTTTGTGATGCTACCGGGAATTTGAACAGCCAGTTGGTCATTATCTGCTGCAATAGTGGCTGTTTGGTCACGAAGCGACGTAAACACGTCCTGGACGCCATGTTCATCGAAAACGTTCGCGTCACGGAAGGGAATCACAATTGTACGGCTAAGTTTGTTGTAATCACGAGAACTGTTCTTCACAATGACCTCCAGCTGCTTAAAAAAAGCAATCAAATCTTCCACCAGTCGTCTCCAGCTGTCGAAACGTCTGCCGAGAGAGTTACACAAGCTTGAGTAGGCATCTGTTTCAGGAACAGGAGCCTGCGCTTCAGCTGACGGAACCAATTTTTTGTCCATAAGCAAAAAAAAGCTTTAGAATTTACGTTACAGCAAGAATATCCGGAAAAGTGCCTCAATAATACTGGATATTTTTGTTTTAGGGTTGTTTCGTGTGCGTTTGTGTGGATTGGAGAGGACACGAACGTTTTGGCGTTCCGAGTCAGTTTAAATTGTGCGTGACGTAGGACGCGACAGGAAATGATTCCCAGGCTACACCAGTTCTTTATGAAAAAAAAACAGGATAACGCAAATTTTTATCGTTCTATCGTCTTTCATTTCATTCATTCATCATCACGTTCTGCGGCTCTATGGAACGAAAAAGTACCGGCGCAAATCATCGGCCCATGAACGCCAGTGGAGCGGAAAATCCGAGTCCATGATCGACGTCGACCCCAAACTTAAATAACCGCAGATCACTATGTGATCGACAGTCAGTAAGCTCAGTTAGCCAGTTTAAAAAATTACGCAGGGCCGGTGAGTTGCGGGGGCTGTTTCCAGTACTTCTCCCCCACGTGCTGCCGCGTGTTTTTACACGTGGAACAGAGTCAGCAGAATGATGGCCTATGAGAGTGCTTGGACAGCGGTTTTGGCTGTCGCAATGGCGCTGGCAGGATTCACACCCGTAACAACGCGACAGTCGCTTTGGACAAATTCGCCCATAGGATCGGGAGGGTCGATAAAGTTTGCGCCGGCGCTGTTGAAGACCTCGTTCAGCGTGCGGAAGTGGTGCTGCTTCATCTGGTTCATAACACCCATGGCCTGTTCTCCCTGCTTACTGAAGGCGGTGACGTGTTTGCCTTTGACGATTGAGACTTCGCCCTTGCTCTTCAAGTCCTGTACGAATGGAAGCATCACTGGTCCGTGACACACCGCAGCAATGACACCACCATTCTTGTAAATTTGAGCGGCAACAGCATGCAGGTCGACAGCGGTTGGCAGATCAAACATGGCTGCATGACCACCGGCCACAAACATCAAGCAGTAGTCCGCAGGATCAACATTCGCCGCAGGAATCATGCGTTTCAAGTCCTTCCAAAACTCGTCCTGCTTATCGTGAAGAATTTTCTTTTCATTCTCAGGGAGCGACGACTCGTCCACTGAGGATTCATCGAACTGACAACTGCCATTGGGCGATGTAAAGTCAACGGCGAATCCATTTTCCCGGAACACCTTGTATGGCTCCAGCAGTTCCGAGAAATGGACGCCAGTCTTCTTCCCATCAGGGTAGAAGGGGACGTAGACGCTACTGGCGACAAGCAAAACCTTTTTTCCGTGCATAGTCTTAGGGATGGAAGGGGCAGAGGGAGGCTATAGTACACTAACACTGTAAGTTGTAGATTGCAACCAATTGCAGGCTTAAATACCATTTTGCTGCTCATTTACATCACAAAACGATTATCCTGTATTTTGTTTCACAATAAAAACGTACCCAACGTAGTAGCTGACTATTACAATCCTTCCTGCAACTGCTGAATGCCACCTTTACATCACTTCAAAGTACGCGACGCTGCGACTTCGTTGGCCAATGAAAATGGTTCGCATTAAAAGTCTAATTTGCTTACGTGTCTATGATTCGTGGATATATACGTAGATCTTACGTTGCCAGCCAGCTAAGTCGCAGCCTTTTTCATTGGATATATTACATCATGCAGAGCTTCCATTGGCGACGTTGGACCCGCGCAACCAGACAGAAGAACCCCATGGAGAAGAAATCCAGCGATTGCCTGCCAGAAAAAGCACACAAAACAGCCACGTTTGCAGCGACTTTCCACTCAACTCGCGGAAAAGACCCAATGCAGGTCAGCTCTCACCACCACTCCACACTGCCTCATTCTCGCTTCATCACGCGCAATTCCCTCAGTTCCCCACGCCCACATGAGAACAAAAGGCCTCGGTAAGCTTTTCACCCCCTGAGCTCGGACATGACGCACTTGGCCATCCCCTGCTCTTCGCCAATACCTAGCGTGCATTAGGACGATGGGCCGCCCGAAAAGGAGCCTTATGCATTTACCGCAGCCAATGAAAACAAGTGGAACTTTCAATTAAACTCTATCAGGAGCAAAAGTGACTAATTCTAAGTTAAAGTCGTTCGGTGCTCCCCTGCCACGGAGACCAACGGTGGATCTGGAATTACGGTCATATTCCTTTGTTGCTTTAGTTAAGGGGCGGTGCAGCAGGTATAAGAAGAGCATTCTCGCTCCCGATTCCAGTTGCCTCAACGCTGCTCCAAACGTGCCCTACCCACTTCAGCCATGGAAACGATAAAATGAGAAGATGAGCGAGCCTTTTGTGTGGTTTACAGATGTGATGTCACAATTATACCCATGCTGTCCTGAACCGGCCCTTGAGTGGCCCTGGATGTGTCTCTAAAGCGTCACGAGAAGGAACGTGACGAACCCTATTTACTGAGCTGTAGTGAGGTTCAGGGAGACTTCGCCTCATGCCTGTTTGTGTGCCTCCTCACATGCTCATCCCGCACACGGTAATTCCGCGGGATTGCATACGGGAGACGGCAGCAGCTGCCGGTCGCAGTCGACGCTAGAGGCAGTGCCCCGACGGGATTTTGACTGCCAAGCCTCAATGACGACCTCATGCAGGGCCGGAAGAGTCTAGACTTTGTCCCGTTCAAGCTGCGACAAAGAAGACACTGCAAACTGTCTTGTTCTGCACACTGCAACCATAACATCATTCGGCTACGTCATTGGTCATGACAGCTAGGGACTATGTTTCAACAGCCAGTAGAGTGGACTGTAACCGCGCACGTGCTGACGCGTACGCGACTAGAGATGCGTCTGGGAAAACGCGTTTAGATACACGACGCGTCAAACAACAAACAACGCGGAGCAATTACGGCTCGAGGACGCGTGCAATTGAACTGTGCTGAGCCGTGAATGTCCACTTGTTATGTATGTTTGTGTGAGTTCGTTTTGGACGGGATCATCTCTATGGAAACTGCCACTTGTTTTTTTGGTCCAAAGCCGAGGCTGAGCAGAATTGTCGCAGGCGCCGTCGCTGGTATGCATGATTCGGTGACGGCTCAGAAACGAAGTGACCAGTTTCCCCTACATCATGTGTAAACAACAGGCTGTATCACTTAATTTCGATTTTAGTTTCGTACATTCTCACGCATGCCGGACTCCCGAACGAAATTGCTTAAATCCAGCCGTTCGGCCGGTTTCCTTGTCCTGTGAATTGATTTGGCAGCGGAATAGTATCGGCAAGAGTTCATTTTCTTGACCACTGTTTCCCAATACCCAGCACTTTCGGCTCCTTTTCAGACTTTTGTCCCTTTTGCCTCGCACTCCTCCCCAGTCACAGCTTCCTATCGATTCGAAGGGTGTAGGTTTTCCTTCTCCTACTTAATACTCGATTGATCCTGCAGTTACCCATCATCGCATTATATCCTGTCCGCCTGGACGAATTCCCCAAAAACAAGTGTCTTGGTAAATCGTAAGCCTACGAAAACCTACCGCTAAATGCTTTTCTCCGCTGGAAAGCTTCTTTTTCTTTTGGGAGCTTCTGCAGCTCCCGCCTTCGCATTCCCTCATGCTCAGTTGGACAAGCGTGCTGATGCCCCAAGCTGCACGGTGACCGAGACTTACCATGCTGCTCAAACTGTCACTCTGACGGAGACGGTCTACGACCAGTGCGAAGCTCCTGGTGCTAGTTTCACTTCTACCGCTACTGCTCAAACCCAACCCACTTCCGCTGCCTCTAACGATCATGCATTCACGACGGTTACCAAGACTGTGACCAACGTTGTCGGTGGCAAGACGAGCTACAGCGCCGTCACTTTCACTCTTCCTGCTACTACGTTCGTCTCGTCCGTCCCTGCAGAGACTGTTACTGAGTCGGTCTCCGAGTCCGTGACCACTGTCACTATTCCTGCCTCCTCCACTACTGTCACCGAGGTTTGCCCTACATGCTCGGTCTTCACCGTCACCGAGACTGTTACTGAGGGCGACAGCACGAGCGTCATCACTGAGACGCTCACTCGTCCTTTGACCACCTACACAACGACTTACCCCGTCGAGACCGTTACTCTCACCATCTCCGGTACAGTCACCGTTGTCACAAAGGCTCCTTCTGTCAGCACAGTGACCACTCCAGTCTGCCCTACTTGCACGGAGGGCATCTCTACCGTCACTGTTGTTGAGGGCGGCAGCACCGAGGTTGTTACCTTGACCGAAACAATTCCTTACACTACCTACACGACTACTCTCGCTCCCTCTACCGTTGTCGAGACTGTCTCTGGCTCCGTTATCACCGTTACCAAGACTGGTATCGTGACCGTCGTTGTCACAACCGGCAAGCCTTCTACCGAGACAATTACCATTCCCGTTAGTAGTAGCACTCAAACCGGTACCACCGTTACCTCTGGATTCTTCTTCCCCAACAGCACTGTCACTAGCTCTGCTGGCTCCGTGCCTGTGAACGGTAATTCTACCGTCACCAGCACTGTTGCCCGCTCTGCTAGCACTGTCCCCGTGAACGGTAACTCTACTGCCATTGCTTCCACTGTCGTTAGCAGTGTCCCCGTGAATGGCACTACCGTCACTAGCTCTGTTCGTGCTACCGGCGTTTCTGTGAGCAGCATCCCTGCCTCGAGCGCCGCTGTCAACAGCACTGCTCCCGCCACTTCTGTCTCGGGCTCTGTCGCTTCCAGCGCCTATGCCAACAGCACTCTCCCCGTGACTTCCGCCAAGGCTACCAGTGTCCCTGCTTCCAGTGCTCCTGCCAACAGCTCTGTCGCTGTTACTAGCGCTGCCACTAGTGCCCCCGTCTCCAGCGTTCTCGCCAACAGCACCGCCCCTGTGAGCTCCGCTACCAGTGCCCCTGTTTCCACTGCTTACGTGAACGGCACTGTCCCAGTTACCTCTGCTTCCGCTAGTGCTCCCGTCAGCAGCGTTGCTTCCAACAGCTCTGTCGCCGTTACGAGTGCTCTCGTTTCCAGCGCCCACGCTAACAGCTCCGCTTCTTTGAGTTCTATCCCTGTAAGCACCGCTGTCTCTAGCGTGTACGTCAACAGAACTGTTCCCGTCACCTCCGCCACGAGCGCACCCGCTAGCAGCATTGCCGCCAACAGCTCTGTCATCGCGTCCAGTGTCCCTGTCTCTAGTGCCGCTGCTAACAGCTCTGTTTCTGTGAGCTCCTCTGTGAGTGCTCCTGCTAGCTCCGTCTCCAGTGTCTATGTCAACAGAACTGTTCCAGTGACCTCAGTCGCTCCTAGCGCTTCTGTTAGCAGTGCTTCCGTTTCAAGCGTTGCTGCCAACAGCTCTGTCCCCGTTAGCTCCTCTGTGAGTGCTCCTACTAGCTCTGCCTCCAGTGTCTACGTCAACAGAACTGTTCCAGTGACCTCTGTCAGCGTTCCTGTCTCCAGCGCTGCTGCCAACAGCTCCGTTCCCGTCAGTTCCGTCGCTTCTGCTAGCGTCTCCGTGAGCAGTGTTGCAGCCAACAGCTCTGTCTCTGTCAGTTCTGTCATTCCCACTAGCGCACCCCTCTCCAGCGCCGTTGCCAACAGCTCCGTTCCTGTGAGCTCCGCTGTTAGCTCTGCCGTCTCCACTAGTGCCCCTGTTTCCAGCGTTGCTGCTAACAGCTCCGTTCCAGTGAGCTCCGCCATCTCCACTGGTGCTCCTTCCTCTGCATCTGTGAGCTCTGTCGTCCCCACCAGCGTTCCTGTCTCCAGCGCCGCCGCTAACAGCTCTGTTTCTGTGAGCTCTGCCTCTAGTGCTCCCGTCAGCTCCGCTGTTTCTAGCTCCTCCGTTAGCTCTGTCGTCTTCACTAGTGCTCCTGTCTCCAGCTCCTCCGCCAACAGCTCTGTTCCTGTTAGCTCCGCTTCTGTTGCACCCGTGAGTTCTGTCTCCTCTAGCGTTTCCCTGAGCAGCGCTCCCGTCTCTAGCGCCTCTGTTAGCTCCGTCTCTGAGAGCTCTGCCGCTATTACTAGTGCTCCCGCCTCTTCGGTCTCGTCTTCCTCGGTTGTTATCCCCACTAGCTACACGAATGGAACATCCTCTGCGGCTGGTGAAGGTGAGAATGTAAGCGGCAAATTGTCAGCTCCTGCTCACAAGCGTGCTGCTCCTTCTCCCAGAAACATTGTTCTTTAATTCTGTTACTGAGTCCCAGAAGCTGTACAATTGGTGATAGCTTTTTGTTAATTTCAGTTTTGGCCTCGTTTTAATGTTAATGACTGAGATATTTTTGAAATGAACGTTTTAACGGAGGGATATTTGGATACGAAACATTACAAGTTTCACAGTTGCTTGTCGTTCAAGATAATGTCTGAGACGTTTCCGATATCGCTATCGGATGGCGGCTGCTTCGTGTTCCTGTTTTTGGATGACTTTGGACACGATAGCTTTTCTTGGAATTGTCTTACATATTTTTCTAATACAAATTGATGATGTCTTCTTGTTTCTCACGAAGCTTGTGCCTAGGTGTCAAATTACTTAATGAGGGTTCAACATTAAACTTATGGATTTTACCTTTTTCAACTCAAACTTGTCAAAGAACAAACTAACGCAGACTTTAACACCAAATCTAAACCTAAAGAAACCGAATTTGCGAAAGGGACACAATTTCTTAAATATAAGGTCTACCACATGAGATGCTTTACCGAGCGTCAAAACGGGTAAATGTAAACCTTGTCTTAGTCTTCACGGGACCGTATCGATAACGACAAACCCGTAATTCACTCTATTTTCGGCATGAATCAGAGACCCGCTGATTGATTGTTGTTTGCTATGCCGCTCTCGTGGTTTCATCGAATCGTCAGACATGATCTCCTGTCAAGGTTAGCGTTTTGCATCTGCTTGAATTACGTCTTGTCTTTTTATCTTCAATGAACTGGATTGTATTCGATAATTACTAAAGTTGGGTTTACAATTGCAATTCTACGATGATTACAGCGACTGAACTGGACTAATCCAACAAATCCCTTCCTGATTACTATCAAACTCGAAGTGCAATTAAAGACGTTGCTATTTCTCTCTCAACTGCGCGGCAGCAATGTTTGGCTGCTTCAAGCGAGGCCTAAACGTTTAAGCGATCCTGGCTTATTTTCAACCTATAGCACTATTCCCTCTACATGGAAAAACCATTTCAATTCAGGAATAACGCCTCGAATTCGTCAAGTAAAACCTCGTTCAATGCGGATGTTCCCAGCCATCGTTGGGAACATGCCTGATGTGTTTGAAAACCCAAATGCAATTTCGCACAGATGGAAACTAATAAAACATAAAGATGTTTTCTGATAATATCTTTGGTTGTATCCCACATTAACAAACTATATTACGCGCAGGGACTCCCGACCTAGGGAGAGAGTTTGATCGAAGAGAATTGTTGTTTGCGAGATTGTGATACGCACACTTACGCAGACCCAAACACATTTTTGCCCACTTATTCCCTCTCCCGTTCTAACAGACCCTATCAACTAACCTTAAATCCGTTTGGTCCTCTCAGCGTGTTTGTGTTAATCAAGACCACATTAACGTTTCGTTTCATTAAGTCGCGTTTCTGCTAAAAAAAGTTGACAAGCATTCATGCCCCACGCAGCTACGGACGTGTCGCGTCCTTGTTCGTCTTCTTCCTCTTCAAAAGGTAATAAAGAGGAAGTCATTATTGATGAAGATGTTAAATTACTGAAGGAATTGAACTATGAACCCATTTTACACAGACAGTTCGATTGGTTTGACAATTTCTGTGCACAGTTTGCTGCGCTCGACAACATCAATACTGTACGTATGACCTTTACGATGGGCGTACACTTTGCGGGTCCTGCTGCTTACTGGATCGCATTTCTCGTATCGTCTGTGTTTGCCAGCATGACTGCTGCAACCCTGGCAGAAGTGTGTTCCGCTTTGCCGGCTGCTGGATCTGTGTACTTTTGGGCAGCGAAAGCTGCTGGCCCAAAGTTTGGTATGTTGGCTGCTTTCCTCGTTGCCTGGTGGTCGGCGACAGGTTGGACTACATTCGCAGCATCAAACTCCCAAGCTATTACGGGTTATATTTTTGCCGAAGTGAATGTGTTCGGAGGTTCCTACAAAACCGACGTTAACGACGTTCATTTTCGAGCGGTGCAGTGGATAGTGGCCGAAGCGCTTTTACTCATCTGCATTATTCTCAACCAATTATCGCCGAAAAATTATCGCTGGGTGTTCCGCATAGCATTTTTTTTCATTATTGTTGATGTTTTGCTGAACTTTATATGGCTTCCTATTAGCGTGTCGAGGTCCTATGGCTTTAGGGATGCAAAATTTGTTTTTACGGCTATCCGTTATCCTGCCGAGTATCTGGATGCTGCAAAACAACATATTGTTCCGCATGCATGGAAGTGGTGTCTTGCGTATTTTGCAAGCACCGGTGTCCTCTGTGGCATTGACGCATCAGGTCATGTCGCCGAAGAAACCCGACACGCTTCCAAGTCAGCAGCTCATGGTTTGTTTTGGTCCACCGTCAGCACTGCAGTGCTTGCGTTCGGTTGTGTCATCATGTTTCTCTTTTGCATCCCCCCTGATGATATGTTGGAACAGACTTTGTACAACGAGTCTAGCACGCAACCGTTCGTCAACATGTATGCTTTAGCACTGGGAAGAAAGGCTCATGTGTTTATGAACGTGTGGATTATCATTGAAATGATCTTCAACACATCAATCGGCATTGTCGCTTCTAGTAGACTGGTGTTTGCTATTGCTCGTGATGGAGTCTTGCCCTTCTCAGGTTGGATTAGCAAGGTTAGCAAGGACGGTCTGCCTCGCAATGCTATTACAGCCATCTATATCATTGCATCACTTATTCTTTGCTCCATTCTTCCAAGCAACATGGCATTTTCTTCTCTTATTTCCGGTGGTGTAACGCCCGGTTTCGCTATTTACGCTCTCATTAATATTTGCCGTTTGCTTAACCTTAACCCAGAAATGCCTGCTGCTCGCTGGTCGGTCGGCATTTTCTCAAAACCCTTTCAATTTTGTGCTATCATTTATAACATTTTCGCTTTCGCCATCAATGTCTCTCCCTATGCGTACCCGGTAACGGGAAAAAACTTCAACTACTCCTGTGTGATTTTTGGTTCTGTTACCATTTTCGCTTTTCTCTGCTGGATATTTGTTCCAAGGGACAAATGGTTGACCGCCGTTTTTGAGCGAATGCGCACCGTTTAAGTACGCCAAAATACGTTCTTTTTTTTTCTGCTATTAGAAATTGGTTGCTTATGTTTTGTTCGTTTATGTTATTGGAAACCGGGTAGTTTTTGTTTAAGGATTACTTAAAGGATTACAATAGATGTTCAATATGGAAAAATTTATGTCTCGTAAACATGAATGGCTTTTTAAGAGCTAAACATGCGGTTGGTTGATACCTACCACTTTTGAATTCTCATCGTCCCGTCAGTCTCCAAGTGTTCGTGCATCTTAAAGATTTTGTCAAGCATGTGAGGCTCGTGAGCACATCCTCGTTTGAGACACTTCTGTTCAGCTTGTTGGAAGTAGTCGAACAAGATTGGTTGGTAGGCAGGATGTGCGCACTTGCGTATTATCTCAATTGAACGTTCTTTTGGTGACAATCCACGCAAGTCAGCTAAACCTTGTTCGGTAACAAATATGTCCATGTCATGTTCCGTGTGATCGACATGTGTCACACGAGGTACAATGCACGAAATGCCCAAAGGATCAGATTTTGTTGGTCTTGTGGACATAGTATGCATAATTGACAGCTTTGCATTTCTCAAAAAGTCGCCTGAACCACCCAATCCATTCAGCATTCTACTGCCATTGACACATGTGCTGTTTGCATGACCATAAATATCCAGCTCCAAAGGCGTGTTAAGAGAAATACAACCCAGACGGCGTATAATCTCAGGACTATTAGTAATGGATTGTTGCCGAAGAATGATCCGAGACTTGTAAAAGTCCCAGTTGTTGAAAAAGTGTTCAAAACCCTCAGTTGACAATCTGATGGACGTGGAAGAGGCAACACTAATTTTGTTCGAGTCAAACAAAGGTAAAAACCCATCCTGTAGCACCTCGGTCCACACAGAAACGTTCTTAAAGTTGGACTGGTCGAGTCCTTCAATAACGGAGTTGGCTATTTTACCAATTCCTGACTGGAGGGGAAGAAGCGCTTCCGGTAAGCGCCCCATTTGGACTTCATGTTCAAGAAACTCGACAATCCATCCGGCGATGGCTTTGGTTGCCGCATCGCCTTTAGCATTCGCACTAATAAATAAACCGCTGGAGCCTTCAATGATACCGGCAACCTTGGAGAGGGGACAAGGAATCGAAGTTTGCCCAATGCGATCAGAAGGACTTGAAACGCGTAAAGGCGTTCTGTGCGGCGGGAGTGGCAGCGTAACTACATCGTGGAAGCCTTCGAAGCTGGGAATCTGCGTATTGACTTCAATGATTACTTTGTCGGCCAGCTGAACAAGCTCTGGTGTTACGCAAATGGACGCTCCAGGAACAATGCTACCATCTTCCTTAATAGCCGAGGCTTCGACAACAACGGTATCAATGCGACCATTATTCATTCGTCGATAATGATTGTACTGCATCTCCTGTGGAAACATACCCAGGTGTGTGTCTGTGAATGCAATTTCTCCCGAATTAATTTTCTTGCTCACAGACTTGCTAACTTGATAAGGCACACGGCTTGAAATCAGTCCTAATTCTGCCATTTTAGATTCGGTAATCGTTCCACCGGAAGCACAAACAAACAGGTCATATTTGTGGTCTACTTGTGGCAATCGGTTTTGTTCAGCATAATCCAGCAACGGCTGCAAGGCACGAATGGGATATGTTACTCCGGTGAAGCCAGACCATCCGATACTCTTACTTTTCAGCAAGGTTGGCAGGAGTTGTTCAGGTTGTGCGACAACCTTCGGAAGCAAAGATTTACAAGCAATGCGAGACAAGAGTTGAGTTGTCATTTCCAACCAAGCTGTTGTTACGTGTGGCTATAATAGACATGCAATAAGACACAGCGGAATAAATAAAACTCGCAAAAAAAAAATAGAAATACGCACTAAGCTTCAAAAATACCTTCAAAAGTCCTCTCAAAAAAGGTTCCAAATAATCCTGAAACGTTAATTTTCCTTCTGGAGCGTGTGTTGCGGGTGGGAAGAATGCGTAGCAGGGCGCGTTTTCCTTCAGTAAGTTGCGATCTAAGCGAACAAATCAAAAATAAGCCGACAAAAAATATCGCATCGCGGGAAAACCTTAATCGCAAAATTTATTAATTCGCTGTTTAAGCGACTGTTTCAAATACACAGTCTCCGTTCGCGAGTTTCTTCAAGTCAAAAGCCTTAAGTTCACAGTTTTGAAAATGGTTTCGCGGTGTGGCAACCGGGGCCTCAGATGAGTTGAGATCACTTAGAAGGAAACGAAGCAAGGTTGCATGTGTAACGACGAGAATACGGTCATACGGCAATGAATCCAAAAATCGCTTCGCAATTTGACACCGTCTTTTCAACATGTCCGGAGTGGAAGCATACAGATCTTGTTTTTCTGGAAAGATCCCGTCGTTGCATTGTTCAAAGTTGAAGGCGGGAAACTGCCGTTCGAGTTCGTAGACGAGGCTCCCATGGTCGCATGGGAGGTCTCCGAACTCTTCAAAGAGTGGAGAGACTACTACGTGAGGCAGGCGGTTGTCGCCTTGAAGATACTCGGTTAACGCTAGCTCTACCGTTTGCAGGGCCCGACGGAAGGGCGACGAGACGATTATGTCAAACGGCAACTTCGCGTCGGCAAGCTTTTTTCTCAGACCCTCGCACTGCTGAATACCGGTCTTAGTCAGGATGGGGTCATGCATATCGGCATTGTCGAGCGGGTCCCCCAAATTATGGTAGGCCTCTCCATGCCGGACCAGGTAAACTCGCTTCATGTGGGGAACAGTGGGGTAGTAGTGGGGCAATGATAAGTGGGGGTGCGAAGTGACAGCAGTTGTGTGCCACAGAAAGAAAGCTTTAGGGATTTCCGAAAAAAAGTTTTGATGGAAACTGTACGACGTACTCTTGTATTTATGTCAAAACGTCAAGTTGTGCTACAGTTGGCGTCATTCATTCGCCAGGGAAGTGCGTAATGGGCTGGGTTGACATTAAGTGATGATGATGCTGTACTCCACATTCGGCAGTTCGTCTCCGCATTTTCGGCAACAGTTGCCGAATCTGAATTAAGGTTTGTGGACGACGTAGGGAATCTCGGCATTGAGGGACATTTTGACTTCGGTAAAGCTTCGATGAATTGCCGAAGACGGAAACGGAAAGCGAGTGTTATTGTCTACGTCACCAGAAAGATTCATACCCTTTTTGCTATATAAACCCTGCTAATCTTGTCAATTCCTCAATAACATAAAACATACACACGACATCATTAGAAGCCTCATCCATCATGACTAGTCAAGACAATACTCACGACGACCACAAGACATTTGGCCAGAAACTCAAGCATGTCGGCAGTGTCCTTTATGATTGGTTGGAAAAGGTTCGAATAGGTTTTAAGGTTCCACGTGCGCTTACTAACTAACTTCCTCAGACTGGTTACCATGAACACCCCAACTTGCCGCCAGCAGCCCCCGAGGCTCAAACCCAAGAAGCCCAGACCGGCACTCAGGCCCATTAGAAAGAGTTCTGTTTGGTTTTCGGTACACGGGAAAAAGGTTTTAAACGGCAGTTCCGGCTCGTAACCCCAATCAGTTTTCTTCATTCGTGCAGATCATCTCTACCATTAAATATCCCGTTTTTTTTTATGAACTTAATGACAATTAGAGTTTTCGTTGATCCAAGTTGATCCGTTTTCATTCGTAAACCATCACCCTTATCCCTGATCACCACCCCTTCCGCCCCTCTCCTCTGCCCGCTCACACCCCTTTTGCTCCGGCCATTCGCAGCTCGCCTATCTTATCCTAGTTCGTGTCCAATTCGTATCGTTTCACTCTCCTTCCATTATGCCCAATCATCGACTCTGTAATTCACGTGCTCTACTACACACACTCCACGGATAATGACGTATGCCAAGGCGGGATTTGCACGAAGAGGATTCGCGCCAGTCGTCGTTCTTCTAACTTCTACACGCAACTTACAGACAGAACTGACATGGTTTCTCCTCAATTTGTGTTTATCGTTACTCTCGCTGCGTACATCTTCTTTACGAGATGGCGGAGAATGAAGCAGAAACCACTCGAACCGGCTCCCGAGCTTGAACAGCCTAAATGGAGCTTGTACACGGCCTCAGAGCTAAAAAGGTTCAACGGAAAGTCGAGTCCTTTTATTTTTCTCGCTATTAAGGGTGACGTGTACAACGTCACGGAAGGAGGGAAATTCTACGGACCTGGTGGTCCTTATTACACATTTGCTGGTCATGATGCTAGTCGTGGTTTGGCGAAGAGCAGCTTTGAAGAAGACGTTGTTCCCGAGGGAGACGAAATGGATGACCTTTCTGATTTGAACGAAGAAGAAAAGTCAACGCTGAACGATTGGAAGACATTCTTCGACCAAAAGTATCCTGTTGTCGGTCGTCTTGTAACTCCTACAGAGAAGGAGCAACACCTGGCTGCAGAGAAGGCTGCCCCTGTGGAAAATATTTCCGAGGGAATCCCAGCCGCTGATTCTCGCAGCTCGACTCCTTCTGAGAAGAATTAAAAGCACAGCCCATGCGGCAGCGTGGGATGGGACAAGGTGCTGAACGACTCTTCACTGTAACATTTTCTCTCTCCCTTTTTCGTGTACTCTATTCTCTGACAGCTCCATCCCTCCCAGCACCCTTTTTTTGACCCCTGTATTTTGTTCTCCTCTTCTTCTTCTTCTTCTTCTTCTTCTCTCTGTACGACTAGTGATGTCAATTCTATTGAAGCATTCAAAACGAGTATTCTTATAGCTCGGGATCGTGTAGTTGAGGTCGTGTAACTTGGTTTTCTTAGTGTTCTTACTTCTGCATGCGCGCGACGCGTTTATTTACTTGCGAAAAGCTTATTTCCACTAGCGTCGCATTTCGGCGCTTTCGAGTCGCATCTGTGGCCCCCTAGCGCACACGTGCTTCTCCCGTTACGTCAGTGACTTTCTCGGGTAGCAGCGACCCTCGGCTAGTAGCCGAGAAGGGACTAGCTAACCCGGCGTATTTTCTTCTACATTTCGCACATACATACACATCCATGGACGTTCTATCTCGTGCCCTGGAAAGCCACCTGACGGACACGTTTCCGGAATCATTTCATTTACTTAATGCGAAGCAGTATGAAGACTTCAAAAAGGCATTGGAGGCGGAACTCGTCGCGTTGCAAAAAGGGACTAGCAGCACGTATCTCCAGTTCAGAGCCGAGTTAGAGCAAAAACGGGATGAGGAACTTCGAATTGCACAACATTGGAAGAATTATCTCGCTAAAAGTGCCCAAAAAGAGTACGAAACCGAGGTTCGGGCTGCTGAGGATGAGTACGAGTCGCATAAGACGTGTCTTAAAAATAAGGTTTTGGAACATCTGCACGAAAAAAAGCGTGCTATCCAAGAAGAAAACGAGCTGTTTGACATTGGAAACGAGTCGTCGTTGCTCACACACGACACTCCGGCTGCTCATTACATTGATCGTCGAAAATTACGGCATCGACGAGCTCCAGCAAATGCTCAGCCGTTGACACCTACACTTAATTTCTTCGACGATTACCTTCTTTTTCCCACCGACCAGACTGCAGAGATTCCCGTAGCCGTTACCGAGAGCATCCAACGAGCGCTCGACAGCGGTAAGATGAGCTCTCTCGACAATGCTCTTTTCTCTCCACTGTTGTCGACAGCGAATCATTACATAACCACACCTCGAGAGCGTGATCCACGTGCCTCTGAGCGTGCTGAACGTGACCGGGAAAAGGCTGTTGAACGCGGTTTGACTGCTGCTTCTGAGGCTGATGTGCAGGCCGACTTGCAGACCATCGAGACTGAAATCCAGCGAAAACGAATGAAGGTGTGATGAAGCCAATGTAACTCACTCTCGCTGCCACAATTACCAGCAGCTCATTGAGCCGCTGATTTGACAGTGCACGCCTCCTTCACCACACCCCATTCCTCCCTCCCTTCCTGTTTCTTCCTCTTAGGTTGCTGCCGCCTGCCTCTTCTTCTATTGCTACTGCTGCTTGGATCTGCAGGATGATCGTCGACTGATCTGCATGGTGTTGTTCGATGATCTGCGTGACAATCGATGACGCCTCCTGATCTCCCTATGATCGTCCATTCTCTCGTGTTCGCCAATAGTTGAGGTAATTCTCACGTGACACGTCTATTCTTTCCCCAAGGGAGGCGTTGTCTCGGTCTTTCGGCCAACGCGCTTCTGTCCTCTCCCATACTCGGTGCATGCACAGCTTGTAGCTACTGAGTCTTTGTTTGTGTGAATTTGCTTCGCTGTATTTGGTTTTATCGTCGTTTTCCGTTCGTCTGTGCTTGCTGTGCTTCGTCGCTGATTTTCCCGTGTCGGCCGGTCATTGTGTTCGTTCTTCTTTCGCATTTGCCTGTCTTTACTCCTTACGTGTGCTGTTCCTGCCGCCGGACACGCTTGTGAACATTCGTTTTCATTAATCTATACATTTCTTATTAAACACGTCTTTTGAGTGCTGCTGAAATGCGTCAAAAACGCGACTTTCATCGGTTTCATCGCCCCCACTGGCGCAAACTGAATTTGCATTCGCTCGTCGTCGTGAAGGTCGGCGTTGTTACGAACTTGAAGCTGCTGCATAATCGTATTCATCGCATTCGTCAAAATCGAGGACGTTTTCCCCATTGGAAACGACTCTCTATCAATGTGAAGCCACAGGGTTCTTGGCAGGCTTACTTGCTGAGTTCGCTGCCGTTGCGAAGTCTTTCGCGTATCTGGGGTCATTTTAATAACAAGGAATGGCCTACTTTTCTCAGAAAGCCCGGTTTTACATTGTACGCGTGGTTGTTTGGTTGTAATTTGACAGAGCTGAAAGACCCAGACTTAACTCATTACCGTAACTTCCAGGACTTTTTCTATCGTGAACTTCGTCCCGAAGCAAGACCAGTTGACGAAGACTCGTTCATTGTTTCGCCGGTGGATGGTCGGATTGTTTGTCAGGGCCGCATTAACAACAATCGCATTCAGCATGTGAAGGGTCTTTCCTACTCTTTGGAAGCCCTACTTGGGGGTCTGTCGTCTTGTAGTCCCCAAGTCGTTGATTTCGACGATTCGTGCATGTATCCCGAAAAGGTTGCCGAGCATATGAAATTTGCTACCAAGCATGAGATTCCAAATTACCGTCAAACACCTCGCCGTGTAACGGTTCCTTCGCGGAGAGATGGTATTGAGCGGAATCGTAGTGCACCCGCTCTCATGTGTGCATTGACTAGTTCGCGTCTTCGTCTGTGTCCTGACTGTAACCGTGCGAGTATGGAGGAGCAGGAGGAGAGTGATTTGGCTGCTGGCGTCAAGTGCAGTCATATTTCACCCGCTAAAAATGATGCCGGTGATGATGATGCTTGCTCAGACAGCAGTAGCTTTTACTCTTTGCCTGCTTCGGACAATGTTCCAATTCCTGCAAGTGTTGATGAAAAGAAGACTTCGTGGATTGACACTGCAGAGATTGCCTCGCTCGACTCTCTTCCTTGGCGCAATATCCGTCCGGGTCATCAACTTTTTTATTCTGTGATTTACCTCGCTCCTGGTGACTACCACAGATTTCACTCACCGGCTGATTGGGTCGTCGAATCACGTAGACACTTTTCCGGTGAGTTGTTCAGTGTTTCTCCATACTTAGCTCGGCGTTTGCACAACTTATTTGTTTTGAACGAGCGTGTTGCTTTGATTGGTCGTTACAAACATGGCTTCATGAGTATGATTCCTGTCGGCGCGACGAATGTCGGCAGTATCGTCATCAACTGTGATCCTACCCTGTCTACGAATAGAATGGTGCTCAGAAAAAAATCATTGGGTTCATTCGAGGAGGCTGTATACAGCAAGGCTTCTCCCGTTCTGCATGGTCAACCATTCGAACGAGGAGAGCAAGTTGGCGGCTTCAAATTGGGTAGTACGGTTGTCCTCGTCTTTGAGGCGCCTGAAGACTATGAGTTTACGACATACCAAGGCCAATATGTGCGGGTTGGAGAAAGCTTGTAATTGCGATATTGTCGAATTTTTGTCATAATGGCAAAAAGTATGTTCTTTATTACATGCAAGTATTAAATTGCTATGTATTTAACTATGTTTTCTGCACACACACACGCATTCACACACTCACACGCACACTCTCACTCGTTTAAAGAGTATTAATGTCCCATCTCTTAACGTTATTCTTCACAGCTACATTGATGCATGTTTACAACCGCTGTGTAGACCTCTCTCTCTCCTCGCTTTTTTGCGCGGTTCTGTTCTTTCTTTCAATCTGTAAGCAATAGTACCACTGGATGTTACTATATGGGAGGGCGGCATATTCATGTTTGCTTATTCATCCATTCAACCGGCTCAATTTCCCGTTCATTTACGTCTTCTGTTCTCTGCTGCTGCTTTTACTGACGCAGATCTCTTGTTTATGTAGTCGTGCTATGCTAGTAATGGTTTCTCATGTTTATTAACAATAGGGGAAAGGAGGAGATAGAAAGTTAGCGGTCGTTTACGAGGACGGCAATCAAGCAGAAAGAGACAGGAATGATTACTTCATCGTGTGCACGTCCTCGTTTCATTCTGTTGTTTCATAATATAAATTAATAGTCATGTCGTAAACACTTGCACTTTGTTGCGGTCGTTTAGCTTCTTTTTTACTCAACTTAAATATCCACTTCCTGGACGTTGTACTGAGTAGCACGGAAGCCATACACCTGAGCATTTACGTGAGTAATATCGTGGAGATTAGCATCGTTCACAGACCAAGCTTGACTAGCGAAAACGTTGGTTCCTAGAGTCAATGTTGGTTCGATACTAGGTCCCAAGTGCTTTTTTAGTGTCTTTACGTCGTTCTCCATTTCTAGAACGGATGAACTTGTTAGGAAGATGGGGCATCTCGTTTCCACAAGAGCATGTAATGTAGGAATCCAGTCATTTCGATAAACCGGCTGCGAAAACGCAGGAGTTGGTAGGTAAAATATGTCGTAATACGCATCAAATGGTTCGAAAGTGCCTACGTTATGCAATTCATGGTAACGTTGAGGATAGTAGAAAGCTTCTATACTCGAAGGAAGCCATTCCTTTTTAACTGGTTCCATGACTTCTGGTCCGATGAAGTGAAGCTGAAACAAGCGATTAGGAAACAAGCAATTGAGTCCTTGGTACCATATACTTAGCGGAAGAGCGCTTTCTCCGCGAGCGCCAATGATAAAGATTCGCGTTGGGCGTGGATCAGTGCTCTGTGCTCTGGGATACCGATGAAGAATGCTTCGAATAGCGCTAAGAGATTGTAGACCCTGAGGTGTTAAACGATCACGAAGGGTGTATGGAGATAACTCGTGCAGAATAGCAGCCAGTGTAATGGGATAAGTAAGCAATCGGGACAGATGTCGTCGTTGTTGAGCATCGTCCACTGACTGAAAGGATCGTGTATACAGAAATGAGTCCCAAGAATAAAAGGAAACAGATTGTTCAGGATCATTCTCACCTGGCAAGTCAAAGAGCTGTCTTGTCCTTGGGTTTAGCGCAAGGTCGTGTTCGTCTTCATTAATTTCTCGAAGCTTAGGAATGAATTTCTCCTTCGATGTATCCTTTTTCCATTCTATTTGAGAATGATGTGTTGGAAATCCGCATTCCGGGCATTCATATTCAACTGGAAGTTTGGAAACCGGACATTTGTATAATTTACGAATTCGTTCACCTCGTTCTCGCAATACCTTTACTGGTGATTTAGACAATGGATAGAAATATGGTCTTTTTGCGTTGGAAGAAGCCAGTGACCTCCCAAAAGAAAATAACTTCTGCGCCATATGTTTTTTGTTTGAGTATCAATTCGGCTCCTGGTGGATCCTTGTGCACGGAAACTATGTCGTTTTGTGTTTTCAGGTTCGTTGCGTCAGTTGCTGGTAAGCAAAGAAAAACAAAACATTTGTTGCGAGCACATGAAACAGTCCATAACTTGACTAATGGGATTTCTAATTAATTGAATAGAAAAATGCGACAAAGAGTGAGGTTACTGTTCAGTAAATATTCAAATGAGACATATTTGTACTCGTTGTAGTCGAATTGTAAATTAAAGGATTACTCTTTTCTATGTGCATCCAAAAGGATTCTATTATAGAAAAATAAAACGAAACTTTTTTTTTAATTGGTTTGTTTAATGGACTTTGTTGTCTTTTTTTGAAGTTGTCTCAATAATAGCAAGGAAACCTCAATATCAAGTGAATATGATCATTCTATTTCAAATCCGGTCTCTTTAGTAACAATTAACTGCTGTAAATGACATTGGACTTTATTCTTCAGGCCAATTTCTGTTTTCACATTTTCCTTCTTACTGACTGTGCCAGTTCGCTTTTCGCTTATCCAAATCTTCTTACTACAGTCTCATAGAAGAAGGGAAACATAACAGAGATCAGGACACCAGTCTGTTGTTTATAAAAGAAAGACTGAAAAATTCGCGAAAGAATTCCTTCAGTTGGAGAACTGTATTTTTTTTTTTTTTTTTTTTTTTTTTTTAAAAAATCAGTTTACGTATATAAACAATTAGGTTTCATTCCTGTAATTCACAATTTTCGCTAAAATAAAACCGCTTATTATGGATGCCGCACGGTATTACGGCTGGTCAAAAGAACGGCTCATATCCCGAATTCTCGAACTTGAGAAAATAGCTGAAACATCTGGCCAAAATGTTAATCAAATAGATACGGAAATGCGGGAAGCTGCAAGTGTTTCTGTTGCTGACGCAATGCTAGAAGCTCCTTCTTTGAAAAAGCGGAAAGCAGTTCGTCCTTTCATGCTGGATAAAACAAAATTCATTGCACTTCGATTTGCGTATCTTGGTTGGAATTACAATGGTCTAGCTTTTCAAACGGAACCCACGCCACTTCCAACTGTTGAGGGAAAACTGTTTGAAGCGCTGATGCGAGCTCACTTGATTAAAGACCCCAGTACTTGTTCCTTTAGTCGATGTGGCCGAACAGACAAAGGTGTTTCTGCCATGGGTCAAGTCGTGTCGTTGAATGTTCGGTACTCGGAGGAACGTCCGATTGCTTATTGTGATGTGTTAAACCGTTTACTTCCAGAAGATATTCGCGTAATAGCATACTCACCAAATCCCCCGGAAGGCTTCGACGCCCGGTTCTCGTGCGTGCGCAGACACTACAAATACCTATTCCTAAAACAATATCCAGGAGGTGAGCTAGACATTGAACGAATGTCTCAAGCTGCAGCTCTATACTTGGGTGAACATGATTTTCGCAACTTCTGCAAAATTGATGCTTCAAAACAAATTACCAATTACAACAGAGGTATTCTACATTCAAAGATTATTTGTGTGGATCCTCAGAAACAATTATACGCTTTTGATTTACAAGGTACTGCCTTTCTTTGGCATCAAGTTCGATGCATGATGGCAATCCTTTTTCTTGTGGGTCAGCATCTTGAGCCCGTAGACATTGTGAGTGAGCTTCTAAACGTTGAAAAAAATCCTTGCAAGCCCGTATACGATATGGCAAGCGATTTGCCTTTAGTACTTTATGATTGCGTATTTGACAACATTCAGTGGGAGTATCCCCAGGTTCCAGAGAACGTTGGTCCCAAGTTTGCCAAGAAGTTGTACGAGCAGACATACGCGAATTGGCATAAGCTTGTTCTTCGCGAACAGCTTGCCGTGTTCTTGAAAGAGAAGGCGGAAACCGCGCTTCAGGTTTGCGGCACTCAGAAAGACAACGGTACAGCCATGAACACGGGTGATGGTGAATTAAGACATGCAAGAAAGTATGTTCCGATTCTGCAACGCAAGCGTCAAGAACCCGTAGAAGTTGTAAATGCGCGATACCGCAACAAAAAAAATTTGGGAGATCAGGTTTCGGCTTAAGGAAATAAAAAAAGAACGATTCATTCACTATAAGAGTACACTAAATTCACATCTGTATTGAAGAGGTACTTCATTACTCATTTATACGCAGAAAAATCCAAGTACTTTTTATTCATAAAAGGTTGTAATACATTGGGGATTTTTACGCGTCCGTCGCTCTGAAGATTATTTTCCAGAATAGCAATAGACAGTCGTGGTATAGCGACTGCGGTTCCATTAAGTGTGTGCACATAACCAGTATCCATACCATTATCATAACGTGTCCACAGTCTCCGAGCTTGATAATCAAGACAGTTGGATGCAGAGGTAATTTCACCAAAATCATTACGGCTTGGCATCCAAGCTTCAATGTCATATTTTTCCGACGCAGAAGCACCCAGTTCTTCAGAGGGCATGTAAAGTATGCGGGCAGGTATTTCCAACATTTGAATAATTGTTGCTTGCAACTTGATAATCTCCTTCAACATTGCAGAACTATAGTCTGGATGTGTCCAAGCAAAAAACTCTGCTTTCGTAAACTCATGCAAACGATACATTCCGCGAGTGAATTTTCCATGCGCTCCTGCCTCCCGTCGGTATGCACGAGACACTCCAATAACACATTTCTTTTTGAGATCGGTAAATGTCTTGTTCAATGCGCTTGCTGCTAAACTGACTTCGGCAGTACCGACAAGCACCTGCGGCGGGACGTTTGAGGACACGTCACTTTCCAATTCATACATTTGTTGCCCTTCAGCATCCCTAGGCTGGAAACCGCAAGCACGGGCAACGTCTGTGCGCACAATTGTCGGCACCAAACAAAATTCCCATCCCTGTTGAATTGCATAATCAACCGTAAAATTTAGTAAGGCAAACTCTAATAAAGCAGCATCTCCCCATTGGTATACAAAGGAATGGCCAGAACCTAACGCTGCAGAGTCAAAGTCAAATGCTCTTTTCGCAATGTCTAAATGATCTGCCACATATGTTCGTTGCTGTACCTGAGCCAATTTATCTTCACAGATGTAACCGACACACCGTGCATCAGATTCTGGACCAATGGGTACATACTCTCCAAGTTGATTCGGCAACTGTAAGCACAATTGCTGCAGTTGCTGCTCGAGAAGTACCAACTTCTTTTCTGATGGTGACATAATCTCCTTCATTTTACGAGACTCTATCAGAAGAGCATGTCGGCGTGTAGGCGGAAGGTTTTTGTCCGCGAGTTGCTTTGTAACTGTATTCTTCTGTGCACGAAATGGTTTAAGCTCATCCAAGCATTGAATTCGTTCATGATATAGACGAACAATATTTGGAACAGAATCAGCCAGTGACTTCATGTTCCTCATGAGACAATTCTTCTTTAAATTCTCGGCATTTTCTACAATCTTTTTATAGTCTAGTTGTACTCGTTTTGTTAAGAATCCGTTTGCTTTTGATGAAACATAGCGTAAAGAGACAAAGTTTGTACGTCTGAGACAAGGAGAAAATACAAGTCTCATCCAGAAAATGCTTTTTGAGTGAAAAAGCGTGTTGAAACAAGAAGGGGATTAATCTATTCCAAATATTCGGAAAGAGAACAGTTTGAAGCGCGAAAAGGACCGTTTTTTCGGTTAAAAAAAAACCTATATTCCTTTACCAAATGAAACGTTCTGTACACCGTGAAAGCTGTTCCTGTTCGACGTTTGTGCGTCTGCAAGTCTGGTTGGAAAAAGGAAAATTAAGGATTTGATAAGTAGATTGTACTAGTAATATTGAAGAAACCAAAGAACAACATAAATAGACTTAGAATTCATATTCATTGCTTTTCGCACCGCCTTTCAGTGTTTCATTTTCGTTGAACTGGGTTCGGCCAACTCGGTCATTACGGTTAGTTAAGCAGGTACCTTTCCGGTCGCATTTCGGTCACCGTTCGGCCAACTTTCGGTAACCTTAATTAAGGACTGCGTCATCAAGCTGAATAGACGCGAACTCGCGTCTGTCTTTAACCATATGCAACAGCATCGGAAACAACAACTGAAAGAAGCTAAAATGCTTCATGCTACAGTGAATGCTGTTGACTTATACCTGTCAGAGCTTTTGGAGGACATTCGCGCGTCTTCTGACGCAATCAAAAAGCTGGATAGTAAGAGTATACAGTGATTTATCAGTTATTAACACATATTACAAGCATCAGAGAACAAATTCGAGAACACGTTGTCTCAAGCAATAAAAAAAACTGGAAAAAATGCATGATTAAGCTCACTTCCCCATCATTTTGGAGTTATTTGTTCCATTCTCTTTTCCTGTTTCATTTTGCGTTCCATAAAAACTCCTCCGACAATTGCCAAAACAGTTGCCGCTTGCGCAAGAACTCTGTAACGGAAAAAGCGATTGGCTCTCATGCTGTCTCCCCGTCTAATTGCTCGAGTCGCGAACAGAAAAGCGCCGACTGTAGCAGCACAACCGATGGGAATTAATGGTTGGTCTCGAAAAAGGTGTTTTAATCTACCAGATGTTTCCGTCGTGTCATTACCCGACTCTGTGGGTTCTGAGAGCTTAATAGGAGGAACTACAGGGCTCGTTTTTGCCATTCTTAACAGGAATGCGTTGATGTTTCGTGGTTGAAGAAGTCGGCTACCAGCCAAGTTAATAAGCTATAGAGCTCCAGGACTGTATGACCGAGCCAAGCCCGCTCATCCCCATTGTACTGCATCATAATGTTATGATCATAACCGGAGACTTTTCGGCGACTGTGTTGCAGTTGGCCGGAAAACTCCGTCGGTATCCCGCTTTCTGCTCCGAATTTCGGTATACTCTTCGGTCAACCGCCCTGTGGCATGTTGCTCCATAGGTGACCTCCGCGGTTTGTAGTTGGCATTCCGGAACGAGACAGCACGTTCTTTTATTGTCCAGCAGCAGCATGGATCCTTGGCGTGATGAAGAAGTTTCTTCGTCGCGATTGAATCGCTCCAAGAGCGTTGGGACTGATCCTAGGAAGCGTTTTTCATTACCATTGGCTCCGGCGACAGTTCTTTATTCTTCGAAGAATGTATGGAATTCAGACAATGTGGATATGCCGGAGGACCCTTTAAACATGACGACTTTCCCTCCTGCTCCGTTAGAGGTCGATTTAGCCAATTTGTCTTTGGAACAAAAGCAAACTTCAAAACAACCACAGGATTACTATGCTAAGAATGGACTACGCGTCAACGATAATGATTACGATTGGATGTTTTTTGTATTTGACGAGCGGGAATTGGGCACGATGTTCAATGTTTTCGTGACAGCATTCAGGGCTGAACGCGCCGAGTTTCGTTTGGCCCCGTCAAAACTGTTTTATTTGGCTGCTCGTTATGCTTATTTATACACACCAAAGGAAAAAAGACTTCTCAACCGACTTATAGAGGGCTTTCTCGCTACTGTTTGGTCGACTGTAGAGGCAGACCCGACAAACATGGTGCTTGGAACAATGTGGATATCAAACTGTGTTTTATTATACTACTACTTGCACAGAGACTCAAAGCTTGTAGAAGCAACACGGGAATTACAAGAGGAAATCACACGTGTTGTTCCGAGAATATACTCTTTAGTGTACAAAGATGCCATTCGCCGCATGGATGAAGCGATTGTTGCTGGAATGTTAAATTATGCAGGTTTAGAAGGGCTGGATCCTTCAGCTTCGAGGTCGTGGAACTTGCTTCGACGTCACAGCTCAGTCCGTCGTCCTGGTTCACCGCGAAGCGCGCCTGTTGCTTCACCAAGAAACCTGACAAAGGTTTTTGCCTCTACACTTCATCTCATGGAGCTGTTCTACATTCATCCGCTCATTCGAATACAATGCATCGAACAGCTATTTACGTGGTTTGGTGCACGTTTGTTCAATCTTTTACTTGTCAACAAAAAATACCACTCTCGGGCGTACGCAATGGAAATCCGATTTAATGTTGCAAGCGTTGAAGAATGGATCCAGAAACACAATATTGATTTAACTCATCCAACGGATTATTCCGAAGTTGGATTGCCAATGAAAGATCTCTCTTCCTATTTGCAACCCGTTGTGCAGTTACTACAATGGTTGCAATGTTTGTCTCGGCTAAGCGCAGATCGAGATCCAGACGCATTACGGGAAACAGTACGCTCATTTTCTGCTTTATCTCCTCATCAAGTGATTAGCGTTGCAAAGTCGTACAAGCTCGATTCCTCAGAGGCTAGATTGACTGGCAGTTTCTACAAGGTCTTGAATGAATATGAGCAAGAGTGGGAGCGTGAGCGTATAACTTCCATGCCAAATTCATCAAACAAAACAAAGCTTGAGCCCATGCGTTTAGACGAAAACCGAATCTTGCCGTTTGTATTCCCTACATTCCAAGAACTTGTCCAAGCATACTCACCTTCTGCGTCACCAAATGTATTTGCAAAGGAGCGAGAGTACTTGTACAAGCCCTACGTGTCGAACTATATGATCGACTTGTTGGAAACGTCTGGCATTACCATGGAGCGTGCTGAACTTCCTGTCAGTATCTTTGAAAATGAGGCATGGAAGAAGGAATGGCGCCCCGAAGTTGAAGAGGAAGAATTGTTCCAATAGCGGGAGTTTTCCCGTCTTTTACGAAATCCTCCTTTGATATCTTACCCAGCTTCCTTGCGTTTCTTTCCGGGAAGCTGTTGTTTTCATCTCGATTTCGGCCAACTTTCGGTAAACTTACGGGGTTTTGTCTCGGTTTCTTGACTCACCGGTGTTTTTTTCTCCGAATGCAATTAGCATTTTACAGCTATACCCGTTTCAGGTTTTCTTACTAACGATGTCCGTCGTATATCGTACCGATGCTGCTGCTTATGAATCCGGTCGTCCGGAGTATCCGTTTGGTTTAACTGACTGGCTGATTGATGAGTTTTACGTCGACGAAACGAGTGTCGTACTTGATCTCGGTGCTGGCACCGGTAAATTGATTCCTCGTATTCGTGCGACTGGTGCATCCATAATTGCTGTTGAACCTCATGAGGATTTGCTGGATATTCTGAAAAAGCGGTTCCCTAATGTGGATGCTCGGCAAGGAACCGCAGAGTCCATCCCCGTGGAAGATGGGACAATCGACCTTGTATTGTGTGGACAGTCGTTTCACTGGTTTTCCACCAAGGACGTTGTTAAAGAAATTCATCGAGTTTTGAAGCCCAAAGGCGCTCTCGGTCTCGTTTGGAACACTCGGGATTCAAACGAAGCCTGGGTGCGAAAGCTGAACCTTTTGCTTGATAAGTATCGTGGTGATACTCCAACATTTTCTTCTTTGGAATGGGGAAATATGTTTCCCGGTAATGGATTCGGAAAGATTCGTTCATGTGCTTTTCCTTTTGCTCATTGTGCCAGACCGGAAAAGTCTGTTCATGACATGTTGAGAAGTGTACATTACATACACATGCTACCCGAGAGTGAACGTAAAACCTTTTTTGATGAAGTCAATCAGATTGTGGAGACAATCCCCCGAGTGCCGAATACGGAGCAAATTAAATTTCCCTACCAGACGCTTGCCTTTAGTATTGAAAAGCAGTAGGGAGAAAGGGCACCCCTACGTTAGGTTATCCCTTGATATCAAAATATGAAAATTGCATTCGAATCATGTCTGCACGAGACTTATTATTAATTATACTGCTTATTCAGTTTATCTTTCAGTGATTTAACAAAAGTGACTCTCCTGAATTGAGTCGCTTATTCATGCGACAACAAATATATTATAAAACAAAGTGAGACGATTGCTATAGGCTTGGAAGGAGGTGAGAATTGGAAGCCTTGTAGAGGAGTGAAATGATGATTGTAATTGTGCATCAAGGTTTGAGGCTTCATTGCGAGGTACGGATTCCATTAGATACCCGATCTCAAACATCACGTTCCCAAGAATATTGACCGCAGGAACTAATTTAACAGTATTCACACAGATCATTATCAAGGATGACTACGCACTCGTTTAAACGCCCTTGTTGAATTCTTTCCCCTCTCGATACCCTGTCCTGCCCTGCCAGTTCCCCTTAATGCCTTTGCTATTCTTACAGCACTCACGTACGCGTCGGCATAAAAAATAAAGTTGTCTTTCGGTATGTGTGCTACGTGTTAAATGCAAAACGCGTCGCGTGTCAAAGTATAAATGCCCGAAAAATCAGTCCGCACCTCTACCGTTTCCTCACAACATGTATCCACAGAACAACAGTTAATGCAAGAGAACTTCGTAAAGAATGTTACTATTGGAAAACAATTGTCGTATTAGAACAATTCATACCACGACTCGGTGTCGCTTCGGCCCGCCGACTGGATCCGGCGCAAGTAGGAGCAAGAAAGTTCTTCCTTAGGAGACTTATCGGAACCATCACGTATTACGACGAATCCTCAATAAATCGCGTATATGCTGTGACAATAAACCCTCAATTTGTTAATCGCCTCCGAAATTGTTATTCTTGATGTGAATTTTGATCTAACCAATCGCAGATGCCCACTTCGCGTATGAATTGCGCATTCTTGACTACTATTGCGAACTGATACCGGCAATGGCAAAACATTTAAAACCAGCCGTGGAAGCACTTGTTGTTCCGTACAAACTCTCACCGCGTGAATATCTCGCAACAATCACCTTCAGCCGACGGGTTTCTCTATTTTCAGTTATATTTTCCCGTTCCGTCATTGAACAGTAAACAACTGTTTCCTACGCCTTCACCTTAAATTTCCCTGCTCACAGCTTCTCCCTTAAACTCACATCGAAAATGGTAGAGTCGAAGCATTTTGAGACTCTTCAATTGCACGCTGGTCAAGAGGTTGATCCTACTACTCGTTCCAGAGCAGTTCCCATTTATGCAACTACCTCTTATGTTTTCCGCGACAGCGACCACGGTGGTCGTTTGTTCGGTCTTCAAGAAGGCGGTTACATTTACTCTCGTATGAATAACCCTACAAGCGACGTCTTTGAGAAGAGAATGGCCGCTCTCGAGAACGGTGCCGCTGCAGTCGCCACCAGTTCTGGTCAATCCGCCATCTTCATGGCCCTCACAACTTTGGCTGCTGCCGGAGACAACATTGTGTCCACTTCTTTCCTCTACGGTGGTACTTACAATTTGTTCAACACTACTCTTCCCCGCTTGGGTATCACTACCAAGTTCGTTGAGGGCGACAACGCTGACGATCTTGCCGCTGCTATCGATGATAACACCAAGGCTGTGTACGTCGAGTCTATTGGCAACCCCAAGTACAATGTCCCCGACTTGGAGAAGATTGCCAAGATCGCCCACGCTGCTGGTGTGCCCTTGGTTGTTGACAACACTTTTGGTGGCGGTGGATACCTGATTCGTCCCATCGACCACGGTGCTGATATCGTTTGTCACTCCGCTACCAAGTGGATTGGTGGCCACGGTACCACCGTTGGCGGTGTCATGGTCGACAGTGGAAAGTTCGACTGGGTCAAGAACGCCAAGCGTTTCCCTCAGTTCGTTGAGCCTAGCCCTGGTTACCACGGTATGGTGTTCAGTGAAGCCTTTGGCAATGTTGCCTTTGCTGCTGCTTTCCGTACCTTGAGTCTTCGTGATTTGGGTGGTAACGCCAATCCCTTTGGTACTTTCCTGTTGATCCAAGGTTTGGAGACTCTCTCCCTCCGTATGGAGCGTCATGTTAGCAATGCCCTTGCCTTGGCCAAGTACTTGGAGAAGCATCCCCAAGTTGCTTGGGTCTCCTACCCTGGTCTTGCCTCTCACCCTTCCCATGAGATTGCCAAGAAGTACCTGAAAAACGGTTTTGGAGCTATGTTGAGTTTCGGTGTCAAGGGCGGTGCCGATGCTAGCAAGAAGACTGTCAACCGTCTCAAGTTGGCTAGTCAATTGGCCAATGTTGGTGATGCCAAGACTTTGGTTATCGCTCCTGCCTACACTACTCATTTGCAGCTTACCGACGAGGAGCAATTGAGTGCCGGTGTCACGAAGGATTTGATCCGTGTCGCTGTTGGTATTGAGCACATTGATGACATTGTTGCCGATTTTGAGCAAGCTCTTCAGTTCGAGTAAGATGACCAATGTACATGTATGAACTGTTGCTTCAAACATCTTCGGGTGCTGTTGAACGCAAAGAAAAAGTACACAGGTAATCCTGGGTTTTTTGTCCACGGTACAGAAATTGTAAGACAATCTGTACCGGAATAAGTTACGAATTTAAAAGGTCTTTCATTTTTTTACATCTAATAGATTACACGTTCAGTTTATTTTTCTAGTTTTATTAAAAGCGAAGCGGTTCGAGGAATTGTTGAGTGTGAATCCAAAGATTGGATGCGAGAGCGGTGAGTATTGTGAACCTTTTTTGGGTCAGTGAGTATTATACTCGATTAATATTTAGACCGTATTGATTAAGCAAAAATAAAACTAAACGATTATTGAACCTTTGGGTTTGCTTGGTACTATATTTGTTGGATACACGCTTTGTTTAAACATTTCAGTATTCAACATGCTAGTTCCTGTTCGCACAAATCGTCAAAAAGAACATCAGCAATAAAAAGTCTCATAAAACAATTAAAAACTATTATAATCAGTTCTCCGTTAGGAAGGTTTTATTGGACACCAAGTGTCGTGGTTAATACATTTGTCGTCCTAGAATGGAATTTCAGTTCATCCGCGTATAGCCGCTATCTTTGATAAACTGTTATTATTCAGGAAGGTTAAAGATATTTATGAATATGAGCATGAAACTGTTATCAACAAAAGCGGAATTCCCAAAAAAATAGATTTGAAAGAGCTAATGCCATGAAGAATGTGGATTCTGTTTTAGTTCTACAACTAAAACTGCATCGCTTATGTTTTTTCAAATCAGCTATAAATTGAATCCTAAAACCAGCCATTGTAATTTCGTTCTGACTAATGAGGATGATGCGTTTTTAAGCTGCAGTAGGCGGTTTTAACAATGAACTGAATAAGTCTCAAAAAAGGCTTTCGTCATTGTTCATATGAAAATACGCAGACCCATCGCAATAGGACAGGTAGAATCCAGCGCACGCCAGCACTTGAGAAACATGCAAGACACTCACTTTGGCGGTTTGCATAGTGCCGGCAAATCGATTTGCGAAATGATTTTGATGACGAAAACGGTTTCAAGCTTCACGTAAAGATGCAGGAAATCCTCGATAGCTCCAGAGCTTGCGGTGAAGAACGCATACCTGTGCGTTGGTTCAAATGACTGGAATTGAAAAGTGTTTAAAGGTATAAGGAACTGCCAAATGAATCCAAGTGCACATACATACACCATTATACCAGGTATCATAAAGCATAAAGTAAAATTCATTACTCGAAATGCACCCAACTTTTCCACAACAACTGGAGCACTTTGTAGAATAAGACAGATTCCAATCATGTAGCCATGTAAGCAAATAATCAAGTAACCAAAGCTAAACCAAAGTGGGTATCGTCGACTGATATGACACTTTATATAATCTTCATGTATTTTCTTATAGTCACCATTTAAGACGCTGTTTCATCAAAGTACTGTAAGCATACAAGTTGTACTTGTCGAAACAAAACCAATCAAATTCTGCCCTTTTATCAAGTGCAACCCTAAACCCTGGAGCTTCTGTATTGAAGGAACAGCAATAGTACATCAAATTAAAGATGTTTTCAAGTTTATCAAAAACAGGTATCTTAAAGCCCATTTTGGCACACAGCACCTCATAAGAGGCGATATCATTTATGTATGTGAAATTATGACAAATTCGATATCCGTCGACAGCTTGAGACTGTATTTAAAACACGGAGCGATTTCACAAATAAATACGTTTCCTTATTCAACGAATCTCGCCAACGTAGCCTGTTCTTGGGTCGAGGTCGTCAGGAATTTCAATGTCATTTGCGAGGGCTTCGAGGGCCCTCCGAAGTACTGAACTCGATCTTCCACGGCTTCGAGACTTGTCCTCTTTTTCAAAGTGACTAGTCATCCGTGGAGACCGACCACGAGAAGGTATTTCTTCAGGAGACGGTAAGAATTCTGTTTCTTGAGTCACAGAATAATCCAATAGCGGAAGGTCGGATCGATCAGACTCACTTCCTAAATCATCATCTAGAGTTGTATTCCTCTGCGTATCCGCGTAATCTATCACCGCTTCTTCCGGAGCCTGATGTACGTGGGACTCTTCTCGTACATTCTTTATAGCCTCGAGTTGACGAAACGTGCTCGATTTCCGATTAGTTTCAGAAGAAGTCGAGGTTGACGACGAAGACACAGATGGAGACAAGTCCGTCGACATGTTTAACGTTAGGAGTTGTTTACAAACAATCAAATATCTTTAAACGAAAATCACATTTTCGTCCACGACCGAATTGCAAAACAGAAAATTGCAATCATCGACTTGTGATGAATAGTGTTATGGAGAATGCCAAACGGTGATCCCGTTATAACTACTGCGAATTATTCGGGTGGCGGAATATACATCATCCATAACCAAAGAATGAATCAAGTGAATAGAAGCAGCAAGTACGAAACGACGAGTTCTTGGCGTTTAGGTGCCCATGTCTCAGTGAACTAGCACTCCGTCTTTCAGCGAAATCGTCGTGAGCAAATAATATTTCTCTTCACTAACTACGCATTGGAGCATATGTTTTTCTAGAAAAATTATTCCGTAAAATTAGATCCGATATTCCTATTCATCGATTTCTCCAAAGACTAAGTAAAGTTTTTGGAGTCGTCACTAAAACGACTTTAAGCGTGACTGGGCTGACGAAAAGCGCTGATGATCGGCTAAGCTAGATGAGCATGTGTTTTACGCAAAAGTGCTAAGCAGCAGGGGTGGAACAAGTTTTAGTGGAAGTACTGATGAATTAACTAAAATAAAAAACTATGAATTAAGTTACAAGGAATGGTAGTAGCGGGTAGATAGCGATGAATTGAGTTGTAACAAGGCGTGAATAGGGACGGAAGAATGAAGCGAAAATCTGGAAGTAAAACAAACATACAAACAAGCAATACAGTACTACTAAATGAAATAAAACTTGCCAACTTTTTACAGAATACATTCCAATCGAGCGCACCCATCCATCGGCATCCAACCTTACTCGCTTTAAGCATTGATGATAAGATTAGATATCAGTCCTTCTTCTGTTTAACCTCTCTGTAACCTTCGCTTATGCTCCTTCCGGCTTCGCACTCCCTCTCAGTTCATCCCACAACGCCCCCACAAGCCATCGAAAGATCTTATCTGATGCGCACACCAAACCTAGTTGTACAGGTGTCCGCAGTTACCCGTGCGTTATTTTTGCTTTAAAGAAAAATTGCTCATGGATCAGGCCATTCCCAGAAGATCCCCGCCCAGTGTTACGGGAGCAACGGCGGGATGCGACAAAGCCTGCTTGTTAACAAATTCAATCGACGCGTTTTGGTTCCGCTGAAGGACGCGTTCGCATGAAACGCGCTCATATTCCTGTTTGGCTGCTTGTTTTTTTGCCTTTTCGCTTGATCTACGGATTTCTAGTATACCAACCACTCAGATTGCGAATTCCATTATGTCACACAGCTACGTCACGGCGTACGTCGTTCGCGGAAGAACGGGCGGGGAATGTCGCAAACAGGGGATGGAACAACGCCGTCCAGCTGAGACGCACGTCATGATCGACGGAGAAAATGGCACACCCTAGGAGGACCCAAACACGCTCTGCCATGCTCAAGCATATTTTTTGATCAGTTCTAAAAAAACGTGTGTCTCTGCACGATATTCTCGTTTCGTCCTGCTGTTTGCTGCGACTCTTGCTGCGTAAGCGCGCGCGATGGCGCTTTCATTGGACGCCGATTTTCGGCTATTTTGCGGTCCAATCAACGCCCTGTGTCACATGCCAAACTGGTCATTTTGTGACGTGTTAGTTATCTGATAAGATGTCATTGTTATTAACCTCGTCTTATCAGATCAGCAGAGCTTCTTGACGCATCCAGTCATATAAAAAGCTGGATTTATGCCCTTCAAAGCGAACCGTCCACAGCTCTGTGTCGTCTAACGAACACCAACCACAATTACCCAGCTCAGCATTCTTCGCAGTGTCCACTGTTCAAAGAAGGTTTCGTTTATTTACAAAGATCGGCAGTGACGTTCGGCGTCTCGCATACATACACACACACAAGCGTGTTGAATTAGTACAAGTCCAAAGGACGGGTTTGTCAATTCCTTGCTCATTGAGCCGTTAAGTGTCGTCTCCGTGACCCACACGTTACCTCATTAGGGCCTTTATAAGTTTATTTTTGTTTCTTTCACTTCGGTCCTTTCCTTAGCACAACACATTTTCTTTGTGTCGGTGTCGGTTCATATTTAACGGATCGTCTTATCTAGCGTTTTCGCTTGGGAATCTATTTTTTTATTAATTACGACGAGAATTCAGCTGAATTCTTCGCTCGAAAGTATTTAGACCAAGTCAGTAATACGACTCAATTGTGTCGTCCTTTCCTTTCCGACGCTTTCCTAGTCTTTATTAGGACAATTCCGTTCTTCTGTTTTTCAATTATTCCTTTCTGTCTTCTGTTTAACCCCGTTTCTGCTTTTATTTCCCTCCCAACGTTACCATGGATCACTTTCGCAATCTCACAAGCAAAGAGCACCAAATTCAGGAGCGTAGCATCGATGTCGATGAATACCGTGCCAGTTTGGCCGACAAAGGTTTCTTCCAGCGACTTCGTCTGCGTATTATGAACAAGGGTCGCCAGTTCGACGTAAATGTCGCTGCTCCTACACAACACGTGTTCGGTGCAAACGAGGAAGATGAGTCCGTCTACATTCAAACGAATTCTACCCTTTCTGAAGACGGTGGTGTCAAGAAGGATCAGAGCGTGGAAATTAAAACGGTTGCTGCTGCGAAGCCAACGAAGCCAGCTACCGAGAAAAAGGTCTCCTTTACATATGCCAAGTATCGCCGCCGCACGCTTGCCGGTCGTCTTTTCGACCTGGTGACTGAGTATATGGGTTCTGCCATTGTCTTCTTAATCACTCTTGCTATTCTCATTGCTTGGGCCGTTTGGGGTATCGTCGCGCGGGCCCCGAATCAGTGGCAGATTGTGATGCAGGACGGCAGTTCCATTCAGTGTTACATTTCTGATACCCTTCTTATGCGTCAACAACAAAACAACTACACCCAATTACTTATCAATGTGGCCGAGCTCCGTTCCCGTCTTGTCAGCCTTAAGCGCATGTTCCTTAAACTTCAACACGATGAAGGCGAGGCTATACCTGTTGATGAAAACTACACACCACTCGTCGACCGTGCCGACCTCCAGGACACGGTGGGTGATGCTGTGAAGTTGCCCGTGGAAAACGTTTTCGACGTCGTCTGTAACTGGATCAGCAGAGCCACCGGTAGTATCTATTCTTCCATTTTGTACTGGATTTGTATTATCATTTGGGCTGCTAGCGGTACTCTCATCGGTTTCAACGACAACTGGCAATTGTACATCAACACTGCCGTTGCCGTCGAACTTACATTCACATCTGTGTTCTTGCAGAATACCCGACACCGTCACATGCGCTACCTTGAGCACTGTCTGTCGGCTATCATCCACATTGACTCTGTCCTTGAACTCGAGTTGAGACGCCAAAGCGGCGACCGTCAAGAAAACCCCATCTGTGCAATCAAGTCTATGAAGGTGTCTCGTAGTTGCCGTGCCATTGACTACTATTCTGATGTTATTGGTTCGGGTATTGGTGCCATCATCTGTTTTGCTGTGCTTCTTGTCTGGCTTATTATGGGTAAGCCCATGAACTACAGTGATGATTGGTGGTTGATTATTGGTACTTACACTGGTCTTGTTGGTTTCTTGGATGGTTTCGTGCTTAGAAATGTCTACTACCGTCAAGATACTTACTCTGATAATCAGATTGAGACTCTTATCGAGGAAGATGAGGCCATGTTCCAAACACTCGGCTTCCCTTTGCCATACGAGAAGACCAAGATCCCCCATGCTTTCGGTTATAAGGTCAGTGAGTTTGTGGGTAACGTTTGTTCGTCCCCCTGGGCTGTTGCCGCCTCTGTCCTTATTATCGCTGCTTTGCTGATCATCGCCTGCATTTTGCACTGGAGTACTACTGGTCAATTGCTTTGCAACACCCCTACTATGATTATCGAAGGCGCCCTGTTAATTATCCTCCTTGAGGCCCATAATACCGCCAACACCAAGCTCCGTGTCGAGTTCCGTGAGCTTTATCTTCGCCGCCTGTCTCTTCTCCGTCGTGTCGCAGGCGTCGCCCAGTGAAGTGTACATGCGTGATTTATTTCCTTTTTATTCGTTTCGTTAGTTCATATGTATAGTTTTTTTTATTATGGATTCGTTTAGACATGTGATGAAGGAGTGGATGGAAAGAGATGGATGGGGGTTCGCTGAGTCTGCAGCAGCAGCAGAAGTGATTAGTACAGTCTTGTGGTTTTGTCTTGGGGTTGTTACATGCTCAAGCCATGCTTCAGGGAGTATTAAGTGCCTCTAAGCAGTACAAGCTGTATGGATGGATTCATTTAAAGGGTTTTCGGAATGAATGAGCTTGAACATTCGGGGGAACTTGGACGGGCTGGGACATTCGGATGTCGGCCAATTGTCAGTCGAGGGTTGCATGAAGCTTTGGACTATTTTTGTTCCCCGTTTTTGTTCATGTGCGTTTCTTCTGCTTCTACAAAACAATTGTCTACGGGAAAATGAACATGCAAGAATGGAAACGCGTTCGGTCGAGTCGGCCGAAATAGGCGACAGCAATATTGCCGCGGGATATATATTCACCTCGGGACAGGATGTGCAGTATCGCGAGCGATAAGACACTTGAACGGTATTGTTCAGCGACTGCCGGACACGCAATTCCGCGAGAGAAGACCCACAAACCCCAGTGGAAACACCATGAGGACACAGTCACATGGATAGATTTGTGTCATATGGGTTCGAGAATGGACTGTGCGGACGACATTGCGGGCGGTTTCGGATGTGCGATTAACTAACTGCATCGCAGTGAATTCCATCTCCAGTCGGCAAACAATCACAACGCGCGGCTTTTTTACTCAACACTGGCTTAGTAGCGGCACGCGTTTACCGAGATATTAAACTAATCCTACCACGTTGTACGATGATCCAGAAGACAAGGAATGTGAGGGAATTAATGACTAGTACGGAAAGGTGATTGGATTATGCTAAACGGGCTGCCGGTACCGTCGAAAGGTGTAAGCGAAGGTTTACCGCTAGTTCTACTGAGGCCGAACTGTGGTTCAGAGAGCCCGCCTCGATTACGAATGTGATTGGTGGTTCCAGCCTTTGGGTTTTCGTTTAGATAAGTCTCGACTTGAGGTGAAACAGTCGTCGGCCGAAGAAGAATCCATGCGAAGAGAAAAAGTCGTGGAGAGCGCTGAGTAATTTTCCGCTGCGAACGGTTGACGAACAATAATTCCTCCGAACTTTTATACAATCCTTAACAATTCTCCGTACGCACACACACACACACACACACACACACATGCTCTCTCCTCTCTCGGCGATACTGCCTTCTGCGACCCCCGCATTATATCCCACATAAACTTCACCACCACAATTGCACTCAAGCACTAAAACAATAAACTTCAGTAAGCGAGTTGGAAAGAGTGAATATGACGTGGCAGATGCTGCTGACGGTTGGCTACGGTTGCTGTTCTCGGTGAGGTATGTGAATGGACGGACAGAATTGATCTACGGGACGCTGGAAAGTTCTGCTGTAAGCGAATTACGAGAGCAGTAATAGGTGAGGGAAGCGGGGAAGAAAGACGAGGATGCGAGAAGATGAGAACGAGAATAGAAATTCGGCAGTTAAATGACTCGTAGTGTAGTCGAGGGTGTGACTAGGTTAAAGTTTTAGAGATGGTTCTATTATTTCTTTTGTTTCGAATACTAGTAAATTTATTTTATTTAATTTTTCTTAAATTATAAAAAATAAAAAAATTCACAGAAAATCAAAAAAAATACGTAAAAATCAAAAAAAAAAATAAAAAATAATCCTGACTCGAGAACAATCCTCGATTGAGCAAAATACCTTCCAAACAGCCACAGAATACCACTCGTCCTGCAGTCTTCGCAGGCTCTCCCTCGTCCTCATCATCCCCCACTTAGTCATGCGCCCCCACTCAGCCGACGTCCTCACACCACAACGGCAACTCGGCACACCCCGCACAGCAGAACTCGAACCTGCTAGCTACGGACAAACACAAAACAGCCCCTGGAACAATTGCCTGCGACAGCACATTTACGCGCCGAATTACACCGAACTAGACAAAGTTACGCCGAATTACCAGTAGTGTTAATTGACCCTGCACTTCCTGTTTACTGTTTTTACAACCTCCGACTCGGTTCTCACCACTTGGTCACTTAAAACTGCGGAGGAAGCGACTAACCCCACGTCATGCTTCCGTCCCGCTTCGTTTAGAGTGTCGGCTACAGCAAGCGAGTGTGGCGAACACTATCATGCTGGCGAGAACGTCCAGGGATTTCCTGGATGGGAAAAAAGTCTCGCTGCGACAGCCTTCCGATCTATGACGTGGCGGCAGTTTATGACATGTGCCAACTTTGCAGAATTTGACTCAGCACGAGCGAATGCAGCCGACATTTCAGCGAATGATAAGCCGCGAACGTTTCCATTTTTAGCAACATTTCTAACTCCGCTTTCCCGTTCGCTTTATCATCAGGGAAAGCTCGCTCGCTTAACAAACCCATCTCCATCGCCGCGATCCATATAAATCAGCACCGCCCACAATCGCTCAATCGCCGTGCCATGCAGGTTTATAGTGCCCCGTGACCGCACCAACGAGCGGCTCCTACGAGGAGAATGTGGGGCGGCCCAGGGGTTTTCGAGTGGGTTAGGTGGGGACAAGGCGGGGTAAACACGTGGGGGTTGCGCTGTAGTTGAATGTATGTCATGGCTGTCAGGGAACAAGGAGGTGGCCGAGGCCGGCTGAAGAGGGGGGATACTAAGGACGGAGGCGATGCTCATGATGCAGGATCCGTAGCGGTGCCTGCGACAGACATTGACGTCGTGTCTGCTGCCGCTGACTATAAAGGCGAAGCTGTCTGCAATTGCGAGGACGCATCTCACGCACAGGAGCGGTCCGCCCGCCGGCACCGCCTCCGTCCAAGTCCTTCCTCCACCTTCCTGCCCGAATTCTTGGGGAATGTGCGTTTATTAGGTATCTATTAGCAAGGCGCTAGGCCTTGGAAAGCGAGCACAGATAGTCCACAAGCCTTTGTAAGTAATGTTTCAGAATAAAATAATAGACACCAGCGAAAGCCGGCGTCAGCACAAGGCGTAATTGGTGCAGCGTACACAGTAGAACCAGTAGCGACGTAGAGGCCGTACTGTAGAACAGGGAGAGGGGAACCGCAGTGCACGTTTAAATAAGTGTGTGTTAAGCAACAGTCGTCGGCATGCTTGCATATCATATTTAAGAGGGACGGGGTATGCGTGTATGCTTACATGCAGAGGATGAAACAAGTCGACATGACAATAATAAAAAAAGTGAATAAAATAAAGAGCGAGCGACAGGGAATAGGGGGCATTGTGTGTGTGTATGTATGTTTGATATGAGTGTGCGTGTATAATGGAAAGGAAAAAGACAGAAGACAAAAAAGGAGGGACAAAAAAAATGTTAAGGGAGTGACAAAAAAAAGCGAATGTGTGTATGCTGTGCACGTATGCGTGTGTACAAGAAAGAGAGAGAGATAGATAGAGAGAGAGAGAGAGAGAGAGAGACAGAGACAGAGACAGAGACAGACAGACAGACAGAGACAGACAAGAGAGAAAGAGAGAGAGGAAGAGAGTGAGAGAGAGAAAGTGAGAGTGAGTGTGCGCGTGCGAGAGAAAGATAGATAGGCAAGACAAGGGGAGAGAGAACATGTGTGTGTGTGTGTGTGTGCATGTGAGCAAGCAAAGCGAGAGAGTGGGAGAAAACAAAAAAGTTCAAGAGAAGAGAGCAGACACCGATTAAGCAATACCGCTCGCATGTCTGTGTGCGTCAAAAGTCCAAAAAATAAAAAAGCAAGCGCAACTCACAAATAATTATGGAGATTATAGTTTGGTGGATTAAAATCAGAAAGGAAAGAATCCATACGCACACACATCACCGTTCCAGCAGCTAGCGTGAGACGTCCCACGAGGATCCATACATGTCCAAAGGCGACGGCGGGTCCACCGCCGTCATGCCGTTTGACGATGCATGAGCGGCGGCGGCAGCAGCAGCGTCAGATTTCCCTTGAGATTGCAGTTGCGAGTAGCTCGAAAGCAGATCCATCGACACACCAGAGTTGTTCGACGCCGGAGGAGGAGCAGAAGAAGGTGTGGATGGAGCCACCAACTCATCCATCATCGTGCCATTGCCAACACATATAGGGGTCGGTGTGCTGGGTTGCACGGCCGACGGGGCAGCAGCCGCAGCAGCAGCTGCATAGTATGGCAGCCACGGCGACACGGGTGCCGGTGTATAGCACAGACGATAGTCTTGAGGCCGGTACGGGCTCGTGAGCATCGTGGGCATCATGTTGGGCACCGAACGATAGGCAGCGGCCTGCTGCATCGCAGCAGCATACTGCATGGGATACGCCTGGGAACCCGACATGCGGTGTTGTTGCGCATCAACGGGCAGAGCAGCCGTCATAGGAACGCCGGCGGCGGCAGCAGCAGCAGCTGCTGCTGCAGGATTCCCTCCAGGCAAATAGCAAGTCGAAGCCATTGACGCCGGACCCATCGCGGCCGGATGCATGCCCAGCGTGGCGGCTCGCTGAGGAGACGCCTGGAAGGCAGCAGCGGCAGCAATGGACGAGTGCGCATACGGGGAAGCGTACAAGTACGGTGTTGGCGGCTGCACAAGTGAAGAGTAGTACGGCGCATACGTCGGCGGTGCCGACGGCATTGCGTACGAAGCATAAACGGCACGCGTCTTGTAGTACTCGTCGAGCGTGCATCGTTGACCATGGCCGGTCTTTTTGATGTGCGTGTTCAGATGGCTAAGCATGCTGTATGCCTTCGTGCATCCTCTGTATCCACAGTAGAAGTTGCGCTGCACCTCATGGAACTTGCGGCGCTGACGCTTCTTGCGAGCGCCCGGAGGAGCCGTGGTCGCGGCGCTGGATGCGTTGTTCGTGCTCGACGCACCGTCAGGTGCGTCGGATGCATTGCTGCCAGCAGCAGCAGCGGAATTGGCACCGCCAGTTGTGTTTGTCGTCGTCGTCGTTGCTGCTGCAGACGCAGCGGCAGCGGCGCTCGCATTCGGCTCAGGCTCGCCGCAGTCAGTACGCTCTGCACCTTCCGGCCTGCTGCGCTCAGCGGCCGGCTCGTTTGTGTCTTGGACTGTCTCAACAGTGACCGGTTTCGTAGACATAGATTCAGCAGGTTCGACACGTTCAGAAGCGGCCACTGGACCGCCATGCGTCGCCGCCTCTGCCGTCACAGAAGCCCTGTACTGCTCTCCCAACGGCACAGTCATCTGTTCGCCCATCTGTTCTCCCATTTGCACGCCCAACTGCACTCCTAAAGGCAGTTCGCGCCTCCTCTTAGCCACGCCACCATCGCTGTCCTCGCAGCGTCTCTTACGAGCCACCTCGCTCTCCCAGTGGGCCCAACCCATAGGGGAACAGGTGCTAGCGGGCGAGTCTGAGGCAGGAGTGTCGCCAAGCTGAGACGAAACGAGCTCGGGAACGTACTCCAGGGCGGCAGAGATGCTGTCGTCAAGCGGCTGAAGCCTCCATTCCAAGCCTGCACTGGTCTGGCGGCGTCTGTGCAGCAGATCCGGCACGTCCGATGGTGGAGGCACCATCGGTCGGAATGAGCCCAAGTGTAGCGGAACTGGAGGAGCCCGAGAAGTTGTTGTTGTTGTTGTCGTCGTAGTAGCAGCACCAGCACCAGCAGAAACACCAGTAGCAGCACCAGAATTCGAGCCTCCGTTTCGACCGCCGTTGGGTGTGCGTGCAGCACCAAAGGAAGCAGCCGAGCTCTCTCCGTCGAGCCCGTCGAGTCTCTCGAGCCCGCTGGCACGCTCGTCGTCCTCCTCTCCCGGAGGCCAGCCAAGAGGCCGGATGTTTTTTGCCCGGAGCTGCAGCTGCGACGGCATCGAGTCCATCGAATTCATCGTCTGCGTCTGCGTCTCCAGTCGTCTGCGTCTCTCGTCGTCTGCAGCGGCTGCTGCTCTCTCCTCGACGCCGTACAGGCCGTACCGTGCGTGTCCGTCAATCGTGTCTGCAGCCATGACAGCTGCCGCCTCGGTCTGCTTCTTTTCGTCTGGGAAGCATGTTTCTACATGCCAAAACGAGTCCGAGTCCGTGTCTAAATGCATAAGCTCCTTATGGAAGAGGGCCATGCAGCGTTGGTAGTAATTAAAGTTACAGCGAGTAGTGCGCTGGGTTCGCTGGCAGGGTCTGAGGAAAAGGCAGGCTGTGTGAGCGAGGGCAGGTGTTGCGGGGAAGCGAGCGAGCAGGCGAGGAAGGCGAGTTAAGGCGAGGTGGTGGAGCCGCGAGGGGCCGGCCGGGGTGGGAGGATGACGAGGCTCACAGCGTCGGTGCCGAGGTGCAGATTGGGCCGCGGGGAAGTGAGGGGCTCTTCCAGACGCTTAGCGAATGCAAATTGCCGAGACGAGAATGACGTGCGGATTTCGTCGCAATGACGCAGATACGGAGGCGCTGCGCGGTGGAGCGCGACGGGCCAGCGGGAGGTGGTGCAGCGTGCAGAGGAGTGCAGGATAGGCAAGGAGCGGGCACGCGCACATGTGGTGGTGGGGGGCGCTGGCCCGCGGCAGCAGCCTGTTCGCGTGACAAGCGCAGGGGACCACGTGAACGAGGAGGGCAGTGTACGGGGGGAGGACGGCCCAGGGAGCTGCCCAGATGTTTTAAGAGTCGGCGCCCGGCAGCTGCGAGCGTGGGAGAAGGCAATTGCAACGCAGAGTTGATTGAGAGGAAATGCCGGCAGGGGTGAAGGGGGAGTGAGGGGTGAGCGGCACTGAGCAGCACCGAGCGAGAGCGAGGGGCTGCGAAGGGTGTAGCGTCGCACTAACGTTCACTGCGCAGCGCTGCACCTCGCTCAAGCTCGGTGCCTCTCGGCGCTGCTCAGTGCCCGCTCCCCCGTTACTGCTGCGGTCTTAGCGACGCGCTGGACTTCGTTGAATAAATGGTGTAGCATGCGGGCATCTGGAGAGAGAGAAGTGACGTCATGTAGCGAATTGTGTAGAAGGTTCTCCAGACGGCCAGCCCGGAGATGCGGGATGTCTCCGCACTCGCTAACGCCGTCGCTAGCGCCGCCGCTGGCTCTGCTGCTGCTGTGCCTCGCCGTCACCGTGCCGTCACCTCTCCCCACCCGGCGGCATACTTCTTTCCGCCTTCTCCCCGTCTGCCCCTAGCCCACCCTTCCGCACCCCCATCCAGCCCTAAGACACCCCCACCCCTGGCCCCCCGGCCCTAACGGGCAGCTACCAGCACCAGCGGGCGCCAACGGCCGGCTTCCTCCACACCCACAGCGTGCACCGCCCTAACGGTCGCGTATCGCCCTCGGGTCGCGCGCGCTACTGGCGAACTAATTTTTATCTAAACAAGACCAAACCCGGAGACTAACACGATCCTGATTTAGACTAGCACATGGCTAATGTTTAATCTGCTCTAGTCGAGCGTTCTTAGCCCGGCTATCTCCACCCGTAGCCCAGCTGTAGGCCTGCTAAACTCACGCTCGCTTTAAGGTTCTTCTAAATCTCTTTCCGGTAACTTCAGTTAGACGCTAATGCTAGTTTCTTTATGTTGAGAATCAGACCGGAATCGATGGGGAGAAATGGAAATCCGAGGACGTAGGGCCCAGGAATTGGTTTATAAGGTATGGCCCGCGATGGAGAAAGGCCGTCAGACTTGCCAAGTATTTTCTAGCTTTCTCACTCCCCTTCCACTCTTTTAACGACTTCTTCTCTGAGTTTTTGCGCTCTCGCAGACGCTCTGTTGGTTGCTGCATCTTCTCGCTGCTCCAACGAATCCCCCATTCTCCCTCCGCTGTGATTCAATTCCCTCTTTCTTGCTAAACTTTTTCATTCGTTAGTTCTCGGACCACCACCAAAGAAATGTTGGCTGCCTCATCGCTAGCTTTGGCAGCGGCCTCGTGGCTGTTTGGATCAGCCGCAGCCGCTCCACTCTTTGACAGTGCTCCCCACTGCAACTTCACGGTCACCCAGGGTGCTGCTACCACAGTGACCAAGACGGAAACCGTGTACGGCTTGTGCTCTTTACCGCACTCGGCTTCTGGCTGGACGACTGCCAGCGTCCCCGGCGACGCTGTGAGCACGACGACCTTCTACACCACGGTGTTCCAGGACGCGTGCTCGTGCTACGAGACGCAGACGTTTGTCTACGTCCCCCCCGTCGACAATGTGCAGACGGTGTCGGCCACCACCAACTGGGGTCTCGTTCCCCCGGCCTCGCTCACCGAGCAATGGACGGCCTGGACGACCGTGACCACCATGGTCCCCGTCACTGAAACTTATACCTCTGCCGGCTCCGTCGTCACCACCATTTCGCCTAGCCCTGTCACCGTTACTCAGCCTGCCTACGCTCCTGCTTCCAGCAACGCCATCAAGTATGTTCCCGTCACCGAGACGATCACCTACCAAGGCACCACCTACACCAAGGTGGTCACCCAGACGATCACCAAGTCCGTCCCCGGTTCCGCCGTGACCAATTATGTGCCCTACACCAGCACGGTCAGCGCGCCCGACACCACGTACGAGACTGTGTACACGCAAACCGTCGTCTCTGGAACTGCTCCTGGCTCCGCCGTCACCCAGACGGTTCCCGTCACTGAGACCGTAGTCTCCCAAGGCACCACCGTCACGTCTGTCTACACTCAGACCATCACCGAGTCTGTCCCTGGCGCTGACGTGACCACCTATGTGCCCTTGACCTCTACCGTCTCCGTCCCCGGCACCACCTTCGAAACGGTCTACACGGAAACCATTGTTACCGAGTCTGTCCCCGGTACGACCGTTACCGAATACGTGCCCAGCACCCAGACCGTCACCGTTCCCGGCTCCACGTACGAGACTGTGTACACGCAAACCATCGTCACCGAGAGTGTCCCTGGCACCGTGTACACCACCATCGTCACCGAGTCGTTCCCCGGTACCCCTGTTACCCAGACAGTCCCTGTGACTGAGACTTTTACCTCTCAGGGCACGACCTACACCACGGTCTACACTGAGACCACGGTCACCAACCCTGCCCCGGCTACTTACACCACCGTTGTTACTGAGACCATTCCCGGTGCACCGGTCACCGAGACGATCACCGTCCCCGGCACCGTCTACACTTCTGTTGCTACCGAGACTGTTCTCACCGAGTCCGCCCCCGGCACCACTGTGACCAACTATGTCCCTGTCACCAAGACTGTCACCATCCCCGGTACCACCTACACTACTGTGTACACTGAGACCATTCCCGGTGCCCCCGTCACCGAGACCGTCCCCGGCTCTCCTGTCACTGAGACCGTCACCGTCCCCGGAACTGTCTACACCTCTGTCGCTACCGAGACTGTGCTCACCGAGTCTGCCCCCGGCACCACGGTGACCAACTATGTCCCTGTGACCAAGACTGTTACTGTTCCCGGCACCACCTACACCACCGTGTACACTGTTACTGCTCCCGGCTCTCCTGTCACTGAGACGGTTACCATTCCCGGCACCGTCTACACCACCGTCTCCTCTGAGACTGTGCTCACTGAGACTGCCCCTGGCACCACAGTGACGAACACTGTCCCAGTCACCAAGACCATTACTGTTCCCGGTACTACTTACACTACCGTGTACACCGAGACCATTCCTGGTGCCCCTGTCACCGAGACCGTCCCTGGCTCTCCCGTTACTGAGACCGTCACCGTCCCTGGCACCGTGTACACCACTGTCTCCTCCGAGACTGTTCTCACTGAGTCTGCTCCCGGCACCACTGTGACCAACACTGTTCCTGTCACTCGTACCATCACTGTTCCCGGCACCACCTACACTACCGTGTACACTGTTACTGCTCCCGGCACTCCTGTCACCGAGACTGTTACAATCCCCGGTACCGTCTACACCACCGTCTCCTCTCAGACTGTTCTTACCGAGACTGCACCTGGCACGACTATCACGAACACTGTCCCCGTCACCGAGACTGTTACTGTTCCTGGCACTACCTTCACGACTGTTTACACTGAGACGATCCCTAATGTTCCCATCAATGTTATTACTTCCGTGATTTCTGAGTCAGTCCCCGGCACCATCGTCACTGAGACGATCCCTGTTACTGAGACTCTCACCTCTCAAGGTACTACCTACACTACTGTCTACACTCAGACTACTGTTACCGAGTCTTTCCCTAACAAGGTCTACACCACCGTGTACACCGAGACCATTCCTGGCTCTCCCGTTACCGAGACCGTTACTGTTCCCGGCACCGTCTACACCACTGTCTCCTCCGAGACCGTGCTCACTGAGACTGCCCCTGGCACGACTATCACGAACACTGTCCCTGTTACCAAGACTGTTACTGTTCCCGGCACTACTTACACTACTGTGTACACTGAGACCGTTCCTGGTGTCCCTGTCACCGAGACCGTCCCCGGCTCTCCCGTTACTGAGACGGTTACCATTCCTGGAACCGTCTACACCACCGTCTCTTCTGAGACCGTGCTCACTGAGACCGCCCCTGGTACCACCGTTACTGACTACGTCCCAGTTACCAAGACCATCACTGTTCCCGGCACCACCTACACTACCGTGTACACTGTTACCGTCCCAGGAAGTCCTGTAACCGAGACTGTCACTATCCCCGGAACCGTCTACACCACTGTCTCTTCTCAGACCGTCCTTACTGAGACTGCTCCTGGTACCACTGTTACTAACACTGTCCCCGTCACTGAAACTGTTACCATTCCTGGTACCACTTTCACGACTGTTCGCACTGAGACTGTCCCCGGCACTGTTGTCACCAGTGTGGTCACCGAGTCTATTCCCGGTACCACTGTTACCAACACTGTACCTGTCACTGAGACGTTCACTTCTCAAGGTTTGACTTACACTACGGTGTACACCAACACCACTGTTACCGAGTCTTTCCCTGGTACTGCTATTGTTTCTACGGTCACCAAGTCGATTCCCGGAAACAACTACACTGTTGTCACCACTGTCCCCTACGTAACCACGACTCAATGGGTTCCTGTTACAAGCTCCGTTGTTCGCAACGGTAGCACTGAGGCTACTACTCTCTACACGAAGACCACCCTTACTAGCACCACTGTGCCTGTTCCTTCGTCTACCCCCTCTTTCCCTGTTAACAGCAGCACTGCCTCGGTTCCCAACGGTTTCGTTAGTACCAGCAGCTTGTACACTCCCTCCAGTTCGTTCTATCCCTCGAACAGTACTAGCTCTGTCCCTGCTGCCCCCAGCAGCTTCAGCTCTGTTCCTGCTTTGAACACTACTAGCTCTGTCCCTGCTGCCCCCAGCAGCTTCAGCTCCGTTCCTGCTTTGAACACTACTAGCTCTGTCCCTGCTGCTCCCAGCAGCTTCAGCTTCTTCTTCCCTAGCAGTGTCCCTATTCACCAGGTGACATTTAACACGAGCACCGCTCCTGTTACCAGCAGCGCTCCTGCTTCGGTCTACAGCTCCGTCCCCGTTGCCCCTGTCAACTCGACCTCTGTTCCCGTTGTCTTCTCTAGCACTGCCAGCTTGAGCACTGTCCCTGTTACTACTTCTGTCTCCTCTATTCCTACTATCACTAGCACTAGCGTTGCTTCGTCTAGCTGTGGTTGCTCTTACATTACTAAGACTCTTACCCACGCCGCTTCTTCCTGTACCTCGGGTGCATATGCCTCTGCCACTCCTTTGTGCCACAACAACTATGCCCAGGGTACTCCTGCTGGTAGAGTGAACTTCATTTCTGCCCGCAAGGTTGATGGTGGTGCCTACGAAGTCGCTTGGAACATGAAGCTTGACACTGCTAACGGTGTTCCTGCAATTAGTGATATCAAGGATGTCGGTACCTCTCCTGCTACCATCTATGACGGTAGCAAGGGTTCTGCTTCTGACTACTACAACTTCAACTACGTCGACACTCTTACTCCCTGGATTGACCAAGAGTGTGATTGCAAGCAAAACTGTGTTGATATTAAGTTCCAATACGACTGGGCTGACGGCAGTGCCACCAAGTACAAGAGTGGTTGCTCTGGTAAGGCCGCTGGTGACACTTACTGCTGGACTTCCTGCTACAACACCGAGGTAGTCGTGGTTGAGTCTTGCGGCTGTGACAAGTCTACTACATTCTTGTCTACCGTTTCCACTATCCCCTCCACTTCTGAGGTCTTCTCCAGTGTCTACTCCTCTGCTTTGATTTCCTCGAGCTCAGCTCCTGTGGTTTCTTCTTCTACCTTTGCTTCGGTTCCCAGTGCCAACAGCACTGTTCCTTCCATCTCTTCTGAGGTCTCCACTCCCGTCGTCCCCACTTCTGGTGAGTGGGTAAGCTCTTCTGCTAACAACACCGAGTGGTCCTCTGCTTGGTCTTCCGCCTGGTCCAGCGCTTGGTCCTCTGAGTACTCCGTCCCCGTTGTTCCCACATCTGGTGAATGGGTCAGCTCCACCGCTGACAGCTCTGCTTGGTCCTCTGCCTGGTCCAGCGCTTGGTCTTCTGCATGGTCCTCTGTTTCTACTGTTCCCGTCGTCCCCACTTCTGGTGAATGGGTAAGCTCTTCTGCCAACCACACCGAGTGGTCCTCTGCTTGGTCTTCTGCCTGGTCCAGTGCTTGGTCCTCTGAGTACTCCGTCCCCGTTGTTCCCACATCTGGTGAATGGGTCAGCTCCACCGCTGACAGCTCTGCTTGGTCTTCTGCCTGGTCCAGCGCTTGGTCCTCTGCTTGGTCTTCTGAGTCATCTGTTCCTTCCCTTACTTCTTCTGAGGTCTCCAGCTCTTTCTCGGTGCCTGTTCCCACCATCACCAGTGCCAGCGCACCCGCATCTTCCAGCTGCTCCTGCTCCTTTGTAACAAACACTGTTACTCGCACTGCTTCTACTTGTGATGTTGGTGCTACTGCCATTGCTTCTCCCTTGTGTGATGTCGCCGGTGCTCAAGGTACCCCTGCTGGCGCAGTCCAATTCCTTGGCGCTCAGAAGATTAACGACAATGACTACCGTGTTTCGTGGCATGTCAAGGTCAACGCCGATGGTAACACTGGTCTGAACGCTGTTAAGGACGTTGGTAACACCCCTGCTACTATCTACGACGGCAGCCAAGGTTCTGCTTCCAACTATTACGACTTGTACTACGTTGATACTATTACCCCTTGGATTGATGACGAGTGCTCCTGCAAGCAAAACTGTGTGGACATTAAGTTTGAGTACGACTGGGCTGATGGAAGTGCTTCTAAGTACAAGACTGGTTGCAACTCGAAATCCTCTGGTAACACCTACTGCTGGTCTGAGTGCATTAGCACTGAGGTAATTGTTCAAGAGACCTGTGACTGCGGCAGCAATGGAATGTTCTCTTCTGAATGGTCCACTGCTTGGTCTAGTGACTGGTCCACCGCGTGGTCTTCTGCTTGGTCTTCTCAGTGGTCTTCCGTCCCTACTCCTACCGCTGCTGTCTCCTCTGACTTTGCTTCTAGCGCCTGGTCCACCGCATGGTCTTCTGCTTGGTCGAGTGCTTGGTCTTCTGAGTGGTCTTCCGAGTGGTCTAGTGCCTGGTCTTCTGTTCCTACTCCCACTTCTGGTGTTTATGAGGGTTCGACTGCCTGGTCCTCCGCTTGGTCTACTGCTTGGTCTTCTGAAGCTACTCCCGTCGTCGAGTCTTCTGCCTGGTCCTCCGCTTGGTCTAGTGCCTGGTCCTCTGAGGCTACTCCCGTTGTTGAGTCCTCTGCCTGGTCCTCCGCCTGGTCTAGTGCCTGGTCCTCTGAGGCTACTCCCGTCGTTGAGTCTTCCGCTTGGTCCTCTGCCTGGTCTAGTGCCTGGTCCTCTGAGGCTACTCCCGTTGTTGAGTCCTCTGCCTGGTCCTCTGCCTGGTCTAGTGCCTGGTCCTCTGAGGCTACTCCCGTTGTTGAGTCCTCTGCCTGGTCCTCTGCCTGGTCTAGTGCCTGGTCTTCTGAGGCTACCCCTGTCTCTGAAACATCCAGCTTCCTCATTCCTGACATTCCCGGTAACTTTGTTCCTTCTGTTACCCCTTCTGTCACAACCTATATCACTGAGGCCCCTACTCCTTCTACCCCCGCTTCGTCTTCTACTGAGGCTGTCTCTACGCCTAGTGCCTCTACTTGCGACACCAGCGGTAATGTTGTTGCCACTGCTCAGTGCAGCGCTCAAAAGCAAGGTAATCCCTCTGGTATCGTTGAATTCGTATCTGCCAAGAAGTCCTCTTCTGGTTCTACATACGATGTGACTTGGCACATGAAGGTTGACTCCGGTAACCGTGACATCTCTACCAGTCTTTGGGAGTTGAAGGATATTGGTAGCTCTCAAAAGGTTCTTTACAGCAACAACATCAGCCCCCCTGGTAAGGATCTCTCTCAAAACTGGTTCGACTTTTACTATGTCGACACCATCGTCCCTACTTCTAACTCCTTGGGACAGCTTTGCGCTGACATCCAATTCCAATATGATTACCAGGATGGCACCAACAGTTACGATTACCGTACCGGTTGTGACTCCGCCGCAGCTGGTGCCACCTACTGTTGGTATCCTTGCGCTTAAAAACGTCATTAACATTTAAGTGATGACTTGCTATTGCATAAACCGGAAAGTATGTTTTGTTAAGATGGTTTACTTTTTGTAAGCATGCTGCAGTGTTACACTCCGTTCAGGTGTATGCTGTTTTTTCGGTTCCAATTTTGCACATAAATAGTTTGCTTCTCAGTTATGGACGATTTCTCAATTTTTCAATTGCTCTTTTTCGACTATCGTTCTCTGTCTCTTGTTTGAACTTCGATTTGGAGTTCTTTGCACATTTTTGGAACGGCTGTTATACATTTGTACATAGAACATTATGTTCAATGACTTCTGCAAAGCGCCATGCCATAATTAATTGCATTGGTCCATTGCGCGGCCGTTTTTACAGTCCTCGGATCTAATCAGTTTTTCAACAAATAATAAAATAATTAATCCTACGTAGGAATATTTTCACCATTATATTTTTGATCTGAGTGGGCAGAGTGTGTAATGCATTTTTACATTTTTACTTAGATTGTCGTTTTTTGGCTCGTGGTTTTCTTATGTGCGGGAATTGTGTCTCATTGCATGAAGCTGGGATAGTGAAGGTACGACGTGCTTGATAGAAGTGTTCTTGTAGACTAAAAAGCTCTCAGTCAACAAACTCAATTTAATGACAAAAAGAATCAAGTGTTGCTTGCGATTAAACCAGATGCAATACAAACTGATAGATTAAACAATCCTTATAAGTAAAATTATGGTAAACTGGCAAGTACCAGTAAGCGATTGAAAACTTCCTCGTATTCAGTCAAAGAATGTCCTCAACTTCTTACGGCAACAACACAATGCAAACGCTTTTATGTTATCTGTAGTTTGTCCGTGTTTGGATGCATGAAAGAGGGATGGATATACGTTTAGCTTCATGAGCCCAAGCCCGAGTAAATTAAGCTAGGGCAATGGAACCCGGTCCCGGTAATTAAAGTACTACTTTTTTGTAGAACTTCAGTATAATAAATACTCACATGTAAATTCCTCACACGTAATACCACGATAAGCTGCTTCGGTAGTGACTGGATCAGTTGGGTCTTTTTTTAATATGCTCTTACTCTTCACAAGCTCAAGTTCAAATGCATGCCTCCTCAAATACTTCTCATTGCGAGTGGGATTATTTTAAATTGACCACGAGAGTACGCGGACAGTCCAAGCCAGATTTGAAAGTAACGAATGCACTAAATCCAATCATTCTCTGCAAGACAATAATTTACAAATTCGGCCCCTTTTCATTTGTGAGTACGAGCCCAAACAGTGTTAAACGCGATTGTAAGGATGACACTCTTATCCGTTGGTTGAGTTTCACCAATAGGCAATCAGATGAATTCGTCAACAACATCAACAATTCAGCTGTTCTCAAAACGCAACCATAAGTTTAAGTCAAGAATCGAAAAGGTGTACGTCTCACTATCCGAATCATTCCGAGGAGAGTTACCAAAAGCGAGTTGTCTAGTTAAAATTGAGCCTTCTTTAACCTCCTTCGAAGACTCCAATGAATATGATTCTCCCTTATTCTTTCGAAAGCCCGACCATTCGGAAACAAGAACCTGAAAGGTGGTGACTACGGAATCATGTTTTTGAATTGATCATTATTCCTTGTATACGACTAGTGCCGTGGTGCACTAGTCATTCATGTTTTGTATTCTTCAATAATAATCAAGCCACTGTAAGTCGTAAAACAAAATAAACCCAAGGGCAGTAAAGTCTGTCCTGTAATCTCGAAGCAAATGAATATGTTTACACCGACGTGTTGTTTTCATTTTACGAAGTCACTCGAACAAGACCAAGGCAAAATCCTATTGAATAATTTTGAACAAGAAGTTGAAAAAACATGATGTTCAAGGGCATGTTTCGGTCTAAATCAAGGCATTTTTTAGAGAATCCCCATCGGTTAAGCTCGTATCCCCATTTATCTTGTCATTGCGTGGACAGTCAACATGGTGGGCAGAAAGTCCCCTAGTGAAGTACTACACCAAGAAAAAAAAAACTCTGCTACATCACGGTATATCGTCATTGACTTTTGGTGAGCCGCCTATCAATGACGTGGGGAAGCGGTTAATGTCGCATAAATCAGTCTTAGGAAAAACAAACAAATGGTTTGCGTTTATTTGTATTCTGGTTTATCATGATTTCGCGAAGTGCTCGTACGGCCGGTGCTGTTTGTCTTGGGGTGGAAGGTCTGGTAACGCAAGCTTTAACGTCATAGACGGGAGTCGGTAAATACAGTCCTTTTTTTCCATCCAATAATATGAACCCTGAGCCACGTGCGTGCGCACGAGCAAAAGCAAAACCGATGCACAAACGGTTGAACAGCAGGAGAAAGCAAATTCATTGAACAGGTATAGCGCACAAAATTCAAGGAAGTGGGAGGATTTGTAAGGGTGGCGAGTCACTTTGGCTGTTAACAAGTAAGCTGACAATTTTTCAAGAAAGAAGATTTAAAAGGCCAAAAAAACCCCGCTGGAAAACATAGCAACTATCCAGAATACGTATTTACTGGAATCCTCAAAACAAGCAGCCACGGTTTCTTAAATTAACACTAAAACAACATGACAATCACCGGCACTGTCTCGGAACCTTCCTATACCTTTGAAGGTTACATTGGCTATGACGAGAAGTCGATAGGAAATTTAAAGTTTGGTACTTTCGAACCCAAAACATGGACTGAGGACGACGTCGACATTAAAATTGCTTACTGTGGCATTTGCGGCAGCGATCTCCATACTTTGCGTTCTGGCTGGGCTCCGACGTCATATCCTGTTGTCGTAGGACACGAAATCACTGGTACAGTTGTTCGTGTCGGTAAAAACATTAAGCATCTTCGGGTGGGTGACCGTGTTGGTGTTGGTGCTCAATCTGGCTCCTGTCTTAAATGTGAACAGTGCAAAGAAGGCCACGAACAGTACTGTGATAAGCAGTTCATAGGAACGTATGGATCGCCGTACGATGATGGATCGATTTCCACTGGCGGATATGCAAACTATACCCGTGTTCCTGCTCATTTTGTAATTCCTATTCCTAGCGGCATTGATCTCGCTGACGCTGCCCCGTTCATGTGTGCAGGTGTCACTACCTACACTCCTTTGCGTCAAAACAATATTGGTCCTGGCAGTCGCGTAGGTGTAATCGGCATTGGAGGTCTTGGTCATTTCGCCATTATGTTTGCCAAAGCTTTGGGAGCAGAAGTAACGGCAATATCCCGGAGCCGTAAAAAAGAGACTGATGCTCGTCAACTGGGAGCAACGAAGTATATTGCTTCAGCCGAAGATGGATGGAAGGAGCGCTTTAAACGTTACTTTGACGTGATTATCTGTACTGTTGATAGCTCTGGGTTTTCTATAAACGATTACCTTTTCATGTTGAAGGCAAGAATTGGTAAATTTGTGTACCTTGGCGCTCCTGACTCGGACATCTCAGTCAGTCTTCATCCCTTTATCGGCAACAACATCTCCCTGACTTCTAACCTCATCGGTTCACCCAGTGAAATTCAAGAAATGTTTGAGTTGGTGAGGGAGAAACAGCTGAAGCCTATCATTGAAGTTCGCAAACTAAGTGAAGTCAACCAAGCCTTGAAGGATATGGAAGCTGGAAAGGCTCACTTCCGTTATGTTCTTGATGTTTCCAAGTAGTTTTGTTCCTTCGTTTTATTCAATTATATGCTTGTAACGAACGTGTTAGTGGCGCAGAGGATTAACCAGAATGTTCCGTAAAATGATACTGCATAAAGGAATTGGGTGTAGTTTTTCGGTGGAGTGAAACCTTAACCATGGGACTTCGTTTGTTTGTGCCTGTAGCTCGGATAACTGCTGCTTTGTCTTGTTGTTTTTACGATGAGAATTCTGCTACTTGTGTCCGTGGGCAGCGTTTATAGGCAGCATGAACCCGCCAAATGTAGTCGCATTAAATTCAATGCGCACCAATCAAATAATTTAGCGCTTATTTACCAGCATCTGCGAAACCCAAAAACTTAAGCGAATCAATCAAAGCTCTCTGATTACATTGGTGTTCACTATTACCGAGAAACATCGGTAAACGAATTTCCCATTCTCTTTTGGCTTTTTTACGCCTTGTTGTAGCCGGTAATTGAAATTGAGAATGATGCATTCGACGGACATAGATTTCCCTTGATGGATTTAAACCTTTGGGAAAGATAAGTTGGTTATATAAGAGATACTCTCGCACACAAAAATAGAACCCCTTGAATAAATTTGCACCCCTGGAAGTCTAATTGTGTAAATAGCCGACAGTAACTGAGCTACGAGATTACAATTGAGGAAAAAACTAATAGAATTGCCAGTCTAATTGTTGAAAATGAGCTTAAGTTCAAAAGAAAACGAAAAGAGGGAAAATGAAATCACGGTGCAAGAAATTGACGAATTGTTTGGACCTAATCACCCCGCCCATCCTCAACACTGGTCGGCTTTGAAACGCTGGAGCATTTTGTTTGTATATTGTTTATTACAAGTATATGTACTCTGGAGCAGTTCCGCTTATGGCAGCACGGTCTCTCAGGTAATGGAGTATTTCCATATATCTTCTCAAGTTGCATATCTGAACATGAGTATGAATATCCTGGGTAATGGTTTAGGGCCTATTTTCCTGGGTCCGCTATCAGACATTGGTGGGCGGAAGCCGGTCTATATTTGTGCTTTGCTCGTCTATATTCTTTTTAATTTAGCATGTGCTTTACCAAGGAATATCACACAGATGGTGATATGCTCTTTCATTTGTGGTCTTGCTGGCAGCACTGCCTTAACGAACGTGGCCAGCAGCGTAACAGACATGTGGGGCGATAAAGATTCCGGAGTACCGATGGGTCTATTCGTTTGGACCTGCTCATGGTTAAGTATTGGCGGACCCATTGGTGCCGCTTTAGTTGAGAATCCTAAACTTGGATGGAGATGGCTATATTGGCTTAACATGATCGTTGGAGGCGCTTTTGTTTTTGTTTTGCTTTGCGTTCCTGAAACATTGCCTATTAAGGTCATTTATCAATACGAGAAAAAGCAAGAACATAAACTGCGTTTAGTGCCGTTGGTATCGTTTAAACAAGCACTCCGAAACGTGAATTTTGTTGCAACTATGGGCTTACGTATGATGATTCGAGAACCAATTATCATGGTATTGGGTTGTTACAACGGTTTTGCTTATGGCACGAATTACTTTTTTCTGAATGCTATCTGGCCTGTATTTTATGATCATTACAAAATGACATTTATGGGTGCAAATTGCACCTACCTTACCAACATTGTTTCCCATGGGTTGGTGTTTTTCTACCAGCCTGTTCAAGATTGGCTCTATCGCAGGGACCGCAAGCGCAATGGTGACAAAAGTCGACCCGAAGCACATTTTATTAGCGCGCTGTTCACTTCTACTTTGTTCCCGGCCGGAATGTTTCTATTCGCATTTACTTGCATGACACATCATCACTGGATTGTCCCAATTATTGGTTGGTGTATGCTTGGTTTTGCGAATAGCCATAATTGGTGCAACATGTTAGTTTATCTCTCGGATGCATACCCAGCACTTTCGGCTTCCGCAATTGCTGCATTTACGTTTCCATCATTTGCTGGAGCAACAGCATTTACTCACATTAGTCTTGTCATGTTTAGTCATATGCCTGTGAAGTGGGCAGTGGCTACACTCGCTTTTATATCCCTTGCTATTCCCCCGATTGTTTGGATTATATACTTTTTTGGCAGCAAGATTCAAGCACATAGCTCACTTTCTGGAGAGCGCGGCTACAAGTATTTACCCGTTCGTCACAAAAACTAAGCATGCTTTTGCTCCTTGCTTTGTAAGTCGAGTATTTGCTAATGTAAATCACTTCGATAACTAAAAATTATGTTTGCTGTTTTATTCGCGGTTTTGTTTTATTTTTTTCAGTATGTTATATTCAAAATTTTAGGTTCACAGCTTTAAAGCTTTTATCTAGTTCGTTATTATATTTGGTTACTAATTGACTTTAATAACTAATGCAATTAGAGCGGTTTATGTAAAGAACGATATTTGAGTTCGTCCTCAATGCTATTAAGGAAGTCTTTCTTTCCGTGAGCTGGAATCCAGCCTAGTTTTCGTCCGAGTTCCGCTTTACAACGTGATGTGGTTCCCCATAACATGGGAGCAAAGGGATCATTAAGAAGATTAGCCGCTTCTTGTGGTTCAATACTCGTAACATCTGCGTTTGGAAGTAAGTTGTGTTTGTGCAATACTTCAGCAATTCGTTGTGCTACTTCCTTCCACGCGAAGAAACCATTTTCAGCAAAGTAGTAACCTTTCTTTCCTGTAGGTATGTCTTCACCGGCAAGCAATTTCAACAAAAGAATATGGTATAGTTTGGCCAAATCATCAATATGAACTAGGTTCCATGTATTATCTCCGGAAAACACAGTAAATGCTTGCTTCTTTTTTAACGTGGCACGGATAAGACTGGGAACTTGGATTGAATCCCGATGAATGTAGCCCTTGCTAATTCCAAAAATAGTTGGAGGGCATACTACAACTGTGCGCACGTTTTTAACCTGCGCTTGTATCTCTTGAATAATTTCGTCAACAGGTCTGTGCGGCTGCTGAGATGGTAAGCGGTTTAACTCAAAGTTGTTTTCCAAATCGGAATAAACTTTGTTTACAGGCCCTGGGTTAGTTGCTGTAGACATGACGCCAATGACACTAGTTCCGGACGTGTGGATGAGAATTGTTGGTTTGCTCGCTGTTTTTGACTTTGCCTTCAATGCTTTTGATAATGCAATGGCGTTTTCAACATTGTCAACATCAGCTGTATCAATAATAACATCATGGTTGTTGACCATTTTATTGGTGAGTTCTTGGTCACCAAGATTACCGATGACTGTATGAAAGTTTGGACGAAGCACAGCTTTCTCTAAAGCAACAGCCTTGTGCTCATTTCTAGCCAAGGCGGTAAATTCAAACTTGTAACCGGGCTCAATGGAATCAATCAATTCGTGAAGAATAGCGCCGCCGATGTAACCGCTTGCACCAGTAAAGTAAATCTTAATGAGTTTGTCAGACATTGTTATAAAATTATTGTAGTTGAGTTTTAGTTTTCAGTCAAGCCAGTTTGTTTGCTATCCTACTTTATAAGAGTTTAGTCAAGAAAAGTACTTGCAATGATGATTTAATACTTACTGTGACAACTTCAGTTCTCTGTATCAACTCGTAATAAACTACTAATCATTTGTCACCCGGTCATACGTATCACAACCAAAAAAGTAATTATGATGTGAGATTTTTACACATTTATTTATCACTAATAAGACACGTTTTTCAATAAAAATGGACCTTTTTAATTATCATTTAAATTTGTTGCATTAAACTGCGAGACTCATAGTAAACTCAAACACAAATAGCAACAAGTTTCAAACTTGTTAAACAGCAAGTCTTATTGCATTTTTGTAAAATACCACTTTAAGAAAAATACCGCTTTCAAGAAAAAACCGAAAACGATTAGGAATACTTTTTGTCAATGCGAAAATATATGATTAAATATTTCACCGTGTCTTGTAGTAGTAAAAATTTACATAAACGGGGTAAAGTCTCGTCTTTACCTAATTATGCTGTAATGCGTTGCAATCATCGTCGCAAAAACTCTTGTGCATATAACGAATATAGTAGCGTTCTTAATATATTTTCAACTGTATGGAATTATTGTTGATCAAATGATTTTAACAGATTCATTTTGCGTATGGAGAAATAAAGAAAAGAGGTATTTAATCATTAAGTCTGTTTGTAAAGAGCTAAGCTTCTATACAATATAAAATTTTGCTATTACCAAAGATTAGCTATCTCCCATAAAGATTCTGCTGCATCAACAAATGTTTCCTCTTTCGGTCTGTAGGTAATACCGAGTTCTTTTTTAGATAATGATGCATCCAAGTCAAATGTTCGAGAAACTACATCACCACTTGGTTTAGAGATGAGATTTTTCTTCTCTGGAGTCTTTCTCAGTAATATCTCTGTAATCTCATCGTTTGAAAGTGAACCAGCAGAAATAATAAAACGATCGTGAGAAACATTAGCTGTTAATGCCTTAACTTCTGCTTGAGCCACATCCCGAACGTCGACATAGTTATAAATCGTAGTTTTTGGCGCAATATTGTTTTCACCATTTATAAGATTCCACATGTACCAACCAGAAAAATTGAGCGACTTCAGATCCGTTAAATGGATCACCGGTCCGAGAATAAGTGGCGGACACAGACATACAATGTCAAAAGAGGGCTTGGCTATCTCAACAAGTTCATGAACCGCCTTCTCAGCAAACTTCTTTGACACAGCGTAATTAAGGACTTCATCGGTGGAATTATGTGCATCCTGCAGCGTAAGCGGACTCCAGTCTTTTTCCGTAAACACATGACCCTCACCGCAATAATTCTTGTCACCTTTTACAGCCGCATCAGAGGAAATGAAGATAACACGCTTCACTGACTTATTCTGAACGGCAGCGAACATAACATTTAGAGTACCATAAACGGCCTTTTCCAGAAGCGTTTGAGGTCTGGGTCTGGGAGGACCGCCGCCTCTATGGACAGGTGAAGCAATATGACAAACATAGTCGACACCCTTCATCGCAACATCGTAAGACCCCGGAGTAGCACCATCAGCAACGTAGGCTAGCTCAACTCTTGTTTTCCAGCTTGGCTGCCGCTCAAAAAGCTGGTTTAATTTATCCTTCTTTCTGTACGTTCCTCTAACACGATATCCACGATCAAGTAAAGCATCAACAGTGTGTGAAGCAACAAATCCTGTTATACCGGTTACTAAAACTAAGGGTTCCATTTGAACTTTAATATTATAAGGGCGGTAATTATTTTAGCTGTACTAATTTTTAGCACGAGGCTATTTATTCCAAATGTTGCTAAATTACTTGATTTAAGATACGTTAACTTTATGCAATTCTCACACGTTTTAAACATCTCTCTATGACATTTTTTTAGGTAAAATTCATCAGCTATACGTCATTCAACAACTTCCTATGTAGTAGTCATATAAGGCATATTCAAAGAGCATCTCCACAATTAATATGAGTTTTTTCATACATCCTTAATGATACAATATATACTATTAAAATGAAAAAAGAAACTCAACTACATCTGGCACTTCATCCAATATATAATTAGTGTATTATTCAGCAGCCTTTTATAGATTATACAAACGCGTGTTTGGCGTAAATGTCAAAAATTATTGTAATGAGTACAGGAGAATAACAATCTACAAAACTATATAATGATGTCATGACCGTTAGATCTATTCCTTTATTCTTATTCTTATTCAATTCTCTTTAGCAGTTAAAAGCTTCATAATGTCTTATGCTATAAACAGACCATGATCATTCTATCTCATTTGAACAATTACTGAAAAAAAATGCTACCTAATAATTACACAGTTTACGATTAGGCAACGTGCAGACGCTCTTGAGGCTTTCTATATTAGAATCAATATTAAGCATACCTCCTACCCTCAGATGTGGTTATAATGTCGCTACATTTTTGCAGATTGCTCATTGAATACAAGTTTCTATTCACCAGTACATATTCAAAAAATAAATAAATAAATAAAATGAAAGGCTGCTAGTGAAAAAATGACATTTATTTATATTGTTATACGGTGGAGGACTGATAACTGCAACAAGACGGTAACAGTAGTGACATAAAAAAAGAAAGGCTAGAAAGTTACAGTAGCTAATAACTAATATCTAACCTTTCTGAATATAAGCATATGGTATGATTCATATACAGTTTCATCAGATTAATTTTTGTCACGGGCCAACTGCCATGTGGCCATCGTGCTCTTGCTACGGACTTCGTGTACTTTGTTAATTTAGCGACAAAACAGCCAAACTAACAGCCAGCTTCTGTGTGAGCAAACAATAGAAAATGTTGTTTACAGTATAATCTACAAAGTCTTAGACTTTCAAATTATTGGAAGTTTTGTGCTTTCCGAACAGTAGTTTGTATTTACTAAATTTAAGCCCTTATGACTTAATGAAAAAAAAACTTGTACTCCACAAAGCCTGACAGATATTAGCCAGCTGGTTACAAAATAAACTTGGCCAATAAAATGAACGAATAAAGGTTTGTTTCAGCTTGGCATTATTAAATATGAAGTTTACAGTAAAATTAATAATATCCAGTTACTATTCGACAAATTACCGAAAATCTTAAGAGCTAATATAAAAGGAGTTTCATACTTCTCTAAGTCTTGTGAGGTAGAAACTATTTGCAATAACTGTTGTTTTTAAACAACTCAGTTTGCTGTTTTTAATCGAAGGCTATTTATTGGCTCGGTTCTGGAAGTCGCAAACATCTTTAACTGAGATTCATCGGATAAGCATAGCAGAGACATATATAACCCCGCGACACTGACAATTGTTTAAAACATACTAAACTAACCTCCAATTTTTCTTCATCGACTTTACTCTGCGTTGTAGGAGATTAATTAAGTAAGAACCCGATATATTACTATGAACTATCGGTCACCACGGTTAGCACACCGCGGGTACTGTAATATCCATGACTAATTACTGCAATGTTTTGGCCAGTGCTTCTCCGCATAAAGAGGAAGAATATCAGTCAGAGAATCGCGATGGTCTTCACGAACGAAGTATTGCAACCAATCTCCTGTCTTGTATAGTTGTTTTCCTGCGGCCTCGTTAATAGCTGCGGTGAGCTTCTTTTGAAGATAGTTCAAAGCTATGACATCAACAGTTTCAGGTTCGTCATTAGTGTCGATATTAACTTCCTGAAACATAAGATTGGGAGCAGTGTAGTAAGGAACGTTAGAATGGAGAGTATCATCACCATTTCCCCCTAAATCATCATATGTAGTATAACCAGGAACTTTGTGGTACTTCGCTTCATCATCTCTCAGTTTATTACCTCCGTTCAGTTTTTCATAAGCATACCTGACATAACTGTAAGGGACATCAGGAAGATAATTGAAGTAGTCTGTGTTATATGGTGAAACTTGAAACATTGTATCCTTGTTAAACTCACCCTTGTAGAAATTGGCACGAAACGCACCACCAGAAGAGAATATAACGCGTGGTAAATCACCGCGTTCATTTTTGACAATGTCGGGAAAGACCTCTTCGTTAAAAAAGCGGAACAAACTGTATTTCGAATCGTGGGGAACTTCGGTCATGTAGTAGTTTTGTGGGTTACAACCAAAAGGTTCAGACATGTCAAGTTGTTGACGATACGACATTATCTGCTGACTGAGGTTTGAGCCATCAGATGTGTCAAAGGTGGCATCCGTGGTACCAGTATGGAAAACAAAGGCCCCGCGGTTAAAATCCATATAGCGACGGGAATAAGAAAGAGCGACATTAGGATGGGGCAAATTTGCATACGCCTGTACGCTCTGTACACCAGAAACTTTAGAGCCAGTATGTTGAACAGGAGCAGAAGACGCCACAAGGCCGTCAATTGAAAGCCAGCCTACCGTTTCACAATAACGACCTGATTCAAGGGCAGTAGCACTATCATCAAAAACTGTAAAATCACGATCATGGGAATGACCACCAAACATTTGGATTGGCGTGTTGGGTTGAGCGGCACGAATTGCTGCGTGCAGTTTTCTCCACTCATCCCAATTACGAACAGGGATATGACCCAAAACCAAAAACAGGTCAACATCATTACGATGAATGTCGTTCTGGAACCAATCAGTCTTAATTGCATCCTCAACAGGCGTAACGACAGTAGCACTGCTGTGACCTCTAAAGTTAAAAAGAAAACCGAATGCCATTATGCGAACACCATGGCTAGTAGTAAAATAATACGAACGTTTGCCAAAAGGAACTTGCTTGCCCGTATTTGGATCAAAGATATCAACATTTGAGGTCAAATAACGACCATTCCAATGCGGAACGAACGACGAGTAAGTATATTTTGAAACATCGGAGTTGTATAGCTCGTGGTTTCCAATGGTTAAAACATCAAAGGGTAAATTTTTGAAAATCTCGTCCGTGTAGATACCGTCTGGTGTCGTGAGGTCAGAAAAACCAGTGCCGTCGTGCAAATCGCCCGTGTCAATGACAATTAAATCCACATTCTTTCGTGCAGCAATGTCTTTCATGCGCTGCACAAATGACTTGAATTCCCCGAAGTTCGCCTTATACCGATCGTCAGTCGCATGTCCTTCAAGCCAACCATGTGTGTCGGTAGTGTGTATAAAATTCAATTGTCCCCATTCTAAAGGTGTAATGAGTTCGGATTGTTTGTATGCTTCTTCCGATTGATAATTGAGCCAGTCAATATCAGTATCACGTTTTTCGAGTTCTCTTGACGTCGTTGTTGAAACAAGTCCGGCAAAAGCCAAAAGTTTGCTAACAACAGATTTAACTGAAATAGGCATGTTTCAATCCTCTCTAAAAAGAAATTGAAGGATGGCGTTTAGCTTGTCTGGCTATATGTGAGTTATGCTTGCAAACGAAAATGGGGATATTCTATCAACCAATTCCTATGCAGGATAAAGAAAGTAAGAGCCAAAAATAACCAAAGAAAAAGCAAGCAAGTCAATTTTTGGATTGAGCTTCAAAGGTGCTCGTCTTAAAGGAAAACAAGAAAAAAGATGGTGATAAAACGAAGGAATTGTCTTACACAATTACTTGGGAGTCAATTACTGTTTTTAATGAATAGTATGGAAAAGAATTCTCTTAAATAGAATTGCTAAAACCTACGGAAACACTGGAATTCTATAATATTTGTCTTGAATTTTCCCTTTCCATTACAAACAAACAGGAATTTCGATTAAGCGATAAAGACCGAATGTCCTATCAACCAATCATCAAGATTGCCGAAAATTGCTGACAAATTATAATATCGGCCGAAAAACAACCGAAACAAGGTGTGGAGTAGTGTCATTAACTAATATGATACAGATAATGTTACAAGGAATTATGAATTTTAGCGATACAATGAATACTGTATAATCTTGTTACGGAATAACCTACTGTAATTTTCTAAGTAGAGACAGGGCTGTTTCTCAACTATTGAGTTTTTCCTTTTCGGCGTTTTTAAATCCCCCGGGATAGACGACCGAGGGCGGGGTGTGTTACAGTTGACCCCTGTCTCTAGGGTTCGAAACGAATATGGAAGTAAATTCAGACTCTTCCGAGTTTTTTTGCTGTTTCCCTAACCGATCCTTTAAGTTAAAGTGTAACTTTTGCATTATATACTCAACACTATGGATTAATCGCTCATAGTTTATTCCTCTTTATATCCAGACCCCTGTTACGATAGAAAATGAGCATTTTTGTATTTAAGTTAATTGTTACATTAGCAGGCTTGTTTGGTACTCTTGTCTTTTAGTAGGTCATTAGAACTTTACCTCGCAAATTTTTATATAAAATAAATCGCTTTACGTTTAGAGTCTAACCTCAATAGAACTGTATAATTATCGTTGCTATTAAGCTAAGTCAGTTTCCCAGATAAGGCTGGGGCGCAAAACCATGCCTAATTGTAATTATCAAGATCTTCTCTTTTTAAACAAGCTAGGAAAACATGTCAGAGTCTTAGGGATTTTGTGTTTCATTCGCATGTTTGAAAATAAACTCTTACCAGAATGAAATGACACTATATTCTTGATTTCATAAAGATCGAACTAAGCTATTTAATTGCTAGACCCACACCCACACTTTTTACCCAATGCCTAGGCTTAAGGATGCCAGCAACAGCTTAAAAGCATCTTCGTGTTGCAAAGAGGGCCATGAAGCTCGGACGATCAGTTGTGCTTTCAACAAATAATACAAGCTCTGCTTTTCGCATGTTTAATTAATCCGCAAACATATGACTTATCTAAGATTGTAGATACGCATTTTGATATTTTGAATATTTGAATAGGAGTTTTTTTTAACAAGTATTTCCAAGCGACTATCTGTAGCGAGCATGTGACTCGCTTAGATGCGAACCAAAACTTCACACTTCTTTTAGATACTCGTTAAAGAAAAGTCGGTTTCACGATCTCCGAGTTTTCCACTTTTGTCACAGTCAAATAAAAAAATATGCGATATATTAAAAATAAATCGTGCAAGATGAATTTATAAATTGATAAAAATTGGGATTGTGAGGCTTGCTTCATAGCGAGCGATTAGCCAATAAAAGTTTAGCCTACCTGTTTAAACGACAAGATTCTTAAAAACACAGAAGGGTTTATGTAATGGGTTAGCTATACAAGGCTAATTAATATTATTTCGAGCCCTTAAGATTACTTCTTCGTTTTATACCCTTTCCCCATATAGTTGATATAACAGTTTTGTCGTTACAAGTCTTTATGTAAGATAAAATGAATTGAGTATAGCACCAAATTTAAGAACAGCTGTGCATCAAGTCAATTACTGCAAGGAAAGCTTAATGCAAGTTTTAAAAATACACATCAAGCTTTGTAGATACAAATATTAATGTTTTCTATAAAACTAATTATACTCCACACTACATTTAGGTCGAATCCGTTACTACTTACTGTCAATAAAACAGCAATTTAAGAATATAGAACTTGAATCTGTCAAAGATCGATGCTTATACTACGTCATATATATGTCACACAGTAACCCACTTGCAGCAATAACATAATGCGGCTTTGCGACATTTTCTCCACAAGAAGGGCAGTTTTTGATTCGTCAACTCCGCATTTTTCGCTGTGAGCGAAAAGCATGTTCGGCAAAAGAGAAAAGAAACCAGCAACTTGTCTTACTACTTAACGTCAGAAGTGAAAAAATACAGTGGTAAACGGATGATCAGTGGTAATGGTTACCGCTATCTCAGAGATGTTGTTTTCCCTAAGCTGCACTCGCTAAAGCTTCCCGTTCCCGGCAGCCTCCCTTAAAGCCTATTTCTAAAAAAATCAGATATGACACAGTCTACCGGTGGAAACTGGTTTAATTGGGCTTTATTGTCTATTACTGAGTATTACAGTTATTTTCACTTCTGTAAGTGAACATGTTTTGCGCAATCGCTTGTTTATGAGAAAATACTTGCGTTAGCTCACATTTGGATTTAATTTCACTAAAGAAATAACCTTTCTGTTGGTGGATCTTGTGTTTCTGGTTCGTATTGTGGAGAAGCATGAAGGATAGCGCTATTAATGCTTAGCTGATGACGTAAACATTCGATAGAGATTATAATTCTTTTGAATAGCACGCAACGCATTGTGTTTTGTGATGTAACACAATCAACGTCGTTTGACTCTCTCTCTCTCTCTCTTTCATTTTCATTTATTTAGGTGAAATAATAGCGGAAGCCGTTAATATTTTGTGAATTGTTACCACTGGCTAACAATTTCCAGCATGACCCCATCGCAATTTCCAGTCTGTTGATACTGACTTTGTTGTAATAATGACAACAACGATGAGCATGTGCTTTCATTACTTCGGTTATTCGGTTTATTAAATTGAAACACGTTTACTCCACATTTTCGGCAGTTTATTTCCACCTGTTAAAAGTAGTTCTGAAAATGACGTATAAATCAAGTATTTTGTTGAGGAGACTTCTCCGCTACCCCGCATCATGCTTGCATGCTGCGATAAATTGTGTATGACCAAGCGACAGTATAAAATAGCGAATTGTATTCCCATATTCAATAATTTCAGTAATTTATTATTATAAATCAGTTATACGCATTTAACTGAAGTATCGTACAACTTTCTGTATCGATATTAATTTGACTGCCTACAAGTTGTAACACGACTGACAGTTTCAATTTTGGGACGAAAACCTCAATTAGGATCCGTTTCATTTTTTTACTTTTTATTTATCTTATTCTTCTGCATTGTGAGCTAGCCGACGTTATTATCCACCTTTTACACTCTTTTTGAAAAATACGCGAATTTCTCTTGTCATATTCTTTCATTTCAATTCACCAAAATGGCAAAAGCATTAACCCTTATTATGCTAATCTTCGTGTCTATGGCTGGTTGGATGTATGGTGCAGATACAGGATCTATTGGCGGTATCACCAACATGCGAGACTTCCAGAGCAGATACGCAGACAAATACGACGCTGCAACTGATACTTATTCGTATACATCTGCTAGGCAAGGCCTCATTACGGGTATTATTAGTTCTGGTTCTTTTTTCGGAGCACTTTTCTCTTCACCACTGGCAGACAAGGTTGGCAAACGTATTTCAATCATTGTTTGGGCTGTCGTCTACTTGATAGGTATTATTGTGCAGGTTACTACGGGACCGTCATGGGTACAGCTAATGGTTGCCAAAATTTGGACGGGTATAAGTCTCGGTGGTCTCTCAGTGGTTGCTCCCGGATATCAATCAGAAGTTGCTCCTGCATCTCTTCGTGGAGCTATTGTTACGACGTATCAACTATTTATTACATTAGGCATCTTCGTTGCTTCGTGCATTAATATGGGCACACACAATGCACATAAATCCGCGCAATGGCGTATCCCCATAGGTATTAACCTTCTTTGGGGTATAATTATGATTTTTGGTATTCTCTATCTGCCAGAGTCTCCCCGGTACTTAATCTCAATTGGCAAGGACGACGAGGCCCTTCGTATCATGTCCAGGAACAACGATCTCCCTGTTGAAGACGAACTGATACAAGCTGAATATCATATTATCAGATCCGATTGTGAAGCAGAATTGGCTGGGGGTCCAGCAAAATGGAGTGAGATATTTGGAGCCGATATTCGTTATCGAACATTTCTTGGACTTGCTATTATGTCACTACAACCTCTCACTGGTGCCAATTATTACTTTTTGTACGGAACGCAGGTATTTAAGGGAACAGGTATAGATTCACCTTACTTGGCAGCCTTAATCTTGGATGCAGTGAACTTTGTCTGTACCATTCCTGCTCCTTGGGTGCTTGAATATCTTGGACGACGTTGGCCTTTAATCATTGGTGGAGTGTGGCAAGCATGCTGTTTCTTCATCTATGCTTCCGTCGGTGATCGTGCACTTTACCGTAAGGATGGATCATCAAATCATCGCGCCGGAGCCGTAATGATTGTATTTTCATGCATATACATCGTTGCGTATGCACAGACGTGGGCACCCGCTGCGTATGTTATTGTAGGCGAATCATATCCAGTGCGATTCCGGTCAAAATGTTCTGCCTTTGCTACTTCTGGTCTTTGGGTTTGGTGTTTCTGCGTCAATTTCTTCACTCCTTTTATTTCAAATGCCATTAACTTCAAATATGGTTATGTTTTTGGTGGCACTAACATTTTGGCTGCTATAGTAGTCTTCTTTTGCACACGAAACGGCTGGTCTTACTTTGGAGGAGATCAATACACTGTATACCTCAGGTCGCAAACCTTGGATGCCCCGTACAAAGCATATTGAAAAAGACTTTGTCGACGACCAAGTGAGGGATTTTAAAGGAGGTGAGATACAGCATATGGAACGGGTTGCATCAAACGGGGACAGTCAAAACTCATCCGCTTTTGACTCTAATGAGAACCAACCAAAACACAAGAGCAGTCATATTGAGGTTTAGTTACACACCAACTTTGTTTTAAGAAACAAAAACCTCACTCTTTTGTATTTTTTACTTTTGATTTTTTTAAGGAAACCGAGTCTTGGGACAAATTCTATTAACGAGGACTATTTGAAGTCACTAACGAGCATCTTGTGTTTGTAGCTTCTTAGCAGCTATTGAAAGCATTGTTTAATTGCATTTTTATCATTATTGTGGGACGGTGAATGACCCTGAGAGTGTACCAATTCCGCAATATTTCAATCAAACCTGTGATAAACATGTAAAAGGTGATTAATCTCTATACTAAGTTGTCGCAAATCATATAGAGTTTATTTATATAAAACGACCCTTTGAAGGATGTGTTAGGGGACTGATCGAAATTCTTGGTGCGTGGCTTGCTAAGGGTTGAGGGACTCGTATATCAATGAGCATTGCGCCATGATCTACACCAAACAAATCAGATTCCTTTACGGCTAAAAAAAGCGACGGCAAACCCATGTTTTTGTCTCGCTTACCTTCAGAAAGGAAACGGGATTAGATGAATCTTGATGGCTTAGAGCCGGCACCGTTGGGTTAGCACGTATCACAGATTTTAGCGACCAAGGTTTTTCCTTACGTAACGTGCGCTCCCAACAGCTTTTCGGTAACGGTTTTATTGGGTATATTGCATGACGTATGCGTATAATAAGCTGTAGCTCCCTGGGACGCGAGACGCCCCGCGAAAATAATGTTTGCGTGTAAAGTTAACACTCAATGGTTCCTCGGACTTGGTCATGAGTCCGCGGGCTCAGACCCTTCTGTGTGTAGGCTGAAGCCGAGGAATGCTAGACATGGAAGGGAATGTGCGAACGGAAGGAATGAATAAATAGAGCAATATGCAGCGCTTAGAAAGGCAAGAACGTTTACGGACAACAAAAAGCACTGGTTTGCTCTTTGTCCCATCATTTCTTACCAACTTCAAAACATTCAAGATTTTTATTTATTTATTTATTAAAGGGTCTCCAGTGACTCATCAATTAGCAAGTAATTTGCTATTATTTATTTTCAATTGAGCGCCTTTAACCGCAGGACATTAACAGCACGGGGGAACAATTGTTACAGTCTTCTTAAGTTTTCATTTCAAATTATTGCATCAGCTATATTTGAGAAATTATTGTCTTCCTTTTACTAAGGACAGGATTATCGCTGGTCGTATTTGTCATTGTTTCAAAACTCATCTTTTCATTCTGTTGAATCTGTTTTCATTTACTCAGAAAGCTATATTCTTATCACTCTTTTAAGATGCAGCTGTTAGACGTTTACGGATACACTCCAACAAAATGGCTGAACATTGTAGCAACTATTTGTTTTGCTGCTTGTTCGCAAGTCAATATTTTCCAGGTTTTTAAGTACCGAAGCGGAATTCCTCTACTTTCATTCGTTGCATCGCTTGGTGAAGCTATCGGCTGGGTCGCCCGACAATACTCTGCTAAGCATATAACAAGCACGGCCATCACTTCATACAGTATCCAGTATGTTACTATTATGGCATTCCCCGTTTTCTACACCGCTCAAATGTACATTACCTTAAAACACTTGATTATACAATATGGACCTGAATATGCTTTTCTTCGTCCAAGACTCTATGGACTTGTTTTCATTATCTGTGACATCATTTCCATGTTTATTCAATTTGCCGGTGGTGGAATGGCCGGTGGTGCCAATGGTGATGCTCATAAGGAAAGTGTTGGTTCGAACATTATGCTTTTCGGTATTTGCTACCAGCTCGTGATGGTGCTTGCTTTCACTGCCAGTGGTGTCGACTTTTGGTACCGGTATAGCCATAACAAACCTTACAGAAGTGCCGGTGGTCGTGATATGGAGAACCTGAAGATGGGTCTTTCGGAATCCAAGAGACGTGCTCTTTCTGCACATTGTCTGTGGATTGCGACAGTTCTTGTTATTATTCGTTCTATTTACCGGGTCATTGAGCTCGCTCAAGGTTGGAGTGGAAAGTTAATTAAAACCGAAGCCTACCTCGGTATCTTTGATTTTGTTCCAATGTTCCTTACTTCAGTCATGTTGATTCCTTCCGTTTGGACAATTGTCCGCGGTGATGAGGCCGTTTATAGGGTTAATGACCCCGGAAACGCAAAATTGACTGACGTCTCTACCGAAAAACTCACCAACTACTCATAAGAAAGAGGATACTCTTTCAGTAAGCCACATTCATCTTTAAAAAACTGAGTAGACTCTTTGTAGTGAGTACAAATTAATAATTGATGGATGTATAAGGAAAACGGATAAATCGACGAGCTTTCGTCTCTCCATCAAAGTCTTCTTCAACATAGCTCTGTAAATACAAAGAAGCAAGGTGTTGCACAATGGTGCACGCTTATTTAAGTTAAAGATTAGGGAAACTCTGAGCCGATACCTTAATGATCACAGTGACGAAATATTATTTGAGTCGGTAACAGTTTTACGCTTATAAGGCAGTGGATCCTTGTATAACTGAATAAGTAATCAATTAAGATTGCTACACGTTCCTTTTCATATAATTATAATTCTTATTACTGCCATTGGCGGCTAATGTGTATAAGTAATAGCAACTGTAAAAGTAATTATACTACGAAACAAAAAAAATGACAGAAACTGCGCCTAAAGTGACCTTCCCAATACGAAATCGAGAGACCAAAGCTATACGCTTTTACATTAAAATTGATGCGCTCAACAAGCGAGCATGGTATTTTTAGGATTAGTTTACTAAAGCAGCTTTTAGTTCATGAGGAATATGCGACATTTATAATTTAAACATGCCATTCGTGATTAATAATTCATCAAGCTTGAGAATTACGTTATTTAAAATACTATTACTGTAAGCAATTGTTAACAGCTATAGTGATCAGTAAAAAACTACGTCGTCGCAGAGAATTCAAACATCAATGGACCTTCGGGATCGATAAATTATTAGTTGAATATTACATTTCTGACATAGGCTCCTCCAATATAGCGTAATTGCACGTTCACTATGTGTAGATCATTTCAGTTAACCAATAGTGACTTTTATTAAAAGTACATGGACTTTGAAGTAGTTAATTCCTTGTATAATGAATTAGAAAACGAAAGGTATTATGTCATTCGCGTTAATTTGAGCGTTGTCGATTAATGACTAGCCGAAAACTAAAAATCGACTTGATTTTAATGATAGCGCTACGAAACGAATTGGTTTCCAAGTTTTTGTCATCACGTTACGTATTTGAGCATGACTGTTTCAACTTTTTTATATAACTTTACTAGGTAAATCACTGTCTGGCAAATGCAACACTTCGTGAAATTGTAGTTACCAGGAAATGCAGTTACTCGAAGAGATCACAGACATTTTATTCATGTCATGGAGCTGTTGACATTCATCCTTCTTGCATTGAGAACATGCTTATATTATATTAGTCAACATAATTTAGCTTAATATAGGACAACATATTACACAATAGTAACTAACGATTTTCAAAAAAATAGGCCATCAAAAAAGTTAAAGATAGATGCCGAGGATGGTGTTGTTGTGTTTAGCTCACATGTCTGGTCCTCGGTTATAGAATTATCTTCCTTTACATTCAAAGCATTTGAAATATACTTAAAATAATTTTTAGTGATTTTCGTCAGTTGCGCATCTTTAGGATGAGCATGGCGATCAAGATATGCCATAAATTTTGTTAGGCATTTGAGAGGTTCTGAGGTAATTTGGTACCCATGTATTTTGCAGAATGGTGTGTATCCTATAGCACTCATGGCATGTGCAAAGAGTACTATGTGCCATCCATATGCAATTGAATCCTCTTGTAAAAGTGCTATGTAATCTGCCTCTTTCAAACATAGACTTCCAAGAGTTTGGATGTAGTTATTAAAACGTCCTTCTTTGACTCCATCCGCGAAAGGGTAGTATTTGTAAAGTCTGGTCTTCAATATTAGCAGTAATAGCTTAAAAATTCCATAACGAAAGGATTCTGCGCAACTTGCCGTCATTCCTAGGCGGTTCTCCACCTGCAAACTTAACCGAGACAAAGTAACGTTATAGTCTTCAAGCTTCTCACTAAACTCACTTATTTCAAGCAGATGCTGATCCTGAATAAGTTGAAACGCTGTTTGAAGAATTTGAGCCAGAAGTTGTTGGTAAAGATACACCTCTTCGTAAGCACATTCCTCTTTATTAAGACAAAACTGACCGTTTAAGTGGTGCTGAATCCACAATGGCGTGTCAAGAAACACGGATGAGACAATGTCAAGTTGGCAAAGTGCCACCCATTGTCGAGTAAATCGTTTTTGTGCATACTTGTTACCTTCAAGTATATTATGCGCATAAAACGTATTAGCATAAAATACTGCATTGCAAATATCCATATTCAGGCTACGCGGTGACCTTAGCAGAAAGGATAAATGTGCTTGCACTATGAAGGCTTCAAGATAATATGCATCGGGACAGTGCCCTAAGTTTTTAGTATAGTTGTTTAAATCTTCGATTCTGTCTTTCAATTGACGAGCATAAGCTTGTGAAGACTCATACGAGGAACTTAAATAATTCTGTACCACAGTAGGCAAGTCCCCTGTCTGGACAGTGGCACATATAACACATAGAACTAAGTCCATTAGTCCCGGATTAAATGATTCCTCAGTCAAAAATTGTAAAGCATTTCTCACGGAGTCTTTATCAACAATTCGAAAAATAACTTCAAACCTTTCAAGATACAGATCCACCATTTTGTGGAAGATGTGCAATGGGGGAAGAAGTGCAAAGCAACTGTCTGTATTCTGAAATTCTGGTAAGAGGTACATAGGAAAAACTGGGTTGTAAACACCTGGTTCGTTTTCGGTTTTCTCCTTCAACAACCGTACTAAAACACCTTGACGATGTAGTCTGAAGTGTTCATTTGACTTTTTTTCTTCTGGTATAAAGCTTTGGTTAGAATTCCCTTGTGGAACGGTATTTGGAAAATCATCTTTTGCAGATGTTTTAGGAGAAGACTCAAAGAAGCACAAATGGCCCATATCCCTTTCAGTACAACGAGAACATGGTTGTTTTTTGTCGCACTTCAACTTACGGCGACGGCAAGTAAAGCAAGCTTGCTTTCTTCGCTGCCGACGTGTGTTTTTTACTGCAGGCGACATTTTTTCTGTACAAAGATTGTTCAAAAGAAGCGTCTACAATGCAATAAGATACATGAGATGGCTGCTATATCTCAATAACAGCGCTGTTGATGGCGAATGCAGTCCTCCTTTCTAAACTACAATTGTTGCCTTCTAGAGAAAAAATTGGAAGCCCAAAACACTCACTTGCATTCACAGAGATATCTCTCCAAGAATACATATGTTATGAACACAATGGTTGTAGACGCTTTCAATTAAGTGCTAAGTTTTTTAGTTTTGCTGTTTTCCCTAATCGCTTCTTTAGCGAGATTTTGCGCAGTGCAAAGCCATCTCGTAATCTGAATTTTATGTAAGCTACCATCCATCGTGTTACTGTGGCTTATTAAAACGTAGTACCGAGACTTTGCGATTGCATCCATTATTGGTAGTTTGTAATTCATAAATGCCGAATCCCATGCTCGCATTTGAGGCAACTGCTGCGAGAAGCAATGAATCCCAAACATAGGGTGGCTTGAAATGTTAACAAGAATGTTATAGAAATTGCTTAAATAATGCTACTATAATGTTATATTGTAGATGTGGTACTTAAAAATTTGCATAACGCTCTTGCTTAGTCATCTTGGGAAATTTCGCGTATTTTTTTTAATGGTCATAAGAAGCTTATGATTAGTGATATAATCGTGTGAATTTTTGGTAACCTGTTGGAGACGGTTTCAGTAGCATGCAACTTGTGCCGCGTCAAATCACTTAGAATAATAAAATAGCTATTCCAAATTCAAATTCCTGAAGCCATGTGGTTAATAATTTCCATTAGTAGTAGGCGACTTTAGTACGCCTTTATTGGCTCTCATTTTGTTACAGTTATCTACCATATTTGTATCACCATGAGTTTAATCAAATATTTACTATACGGGTCTTTGGGTGTATAAGAATAACAAAAACAGCGCGAATCTAACTTTAAATCTTAAAAAGAGCGGAATTTAACGGTGCATTTGCCGAAAAGTGCGATTTCGCGCTGATACAAATTAAATATTAACTACTACTTTTCATAAATGAATGAATGTGCAATAAGTATATCTATAAAAATTTGCCAAATGCTTTGTCAAACCAATTGAGTTTCGGGGGGTTCTCTGCCCAATACTCATCCTCCTCGGCAAATTGATCCAAACCGGTAGTTAGGTCCATTGTTTCAGCTTTGACGAATTTAGTCTTGCGGACGAATTTGTGGACCACAAATAAAATAATAAAGAACGGAATCATAAAATAAGAGAATACAAAATTCTGAAAGTTCCAATTTCCCCTAAGAAATACAGTATAACCGCTGACCCACAACATCAATGTCAACCAAAAGAGTGAGTGCCACGTTAAATAGGGAAGAAACTTCGAACTGTAAGGAAGAGACTTTATATCAAGTCCTTGAGTTTTGCATCCTTGCTCAAAACGCAAGTAACAAACACAAATAAAGATATAAACAATAGCCATAGCACCAGTCTCTACATTGAGAAACCAAGTTAATACATTGTTTGTGCTGTTTGAGCAAGCCAAATAAGCAAGACAACAAATTATTAGTACAGCGAGGCAGCAGTAAATCGGAACTCCGCGTCTCGTAATGCGCTTGAATATGGCCGGGGCATGTCCTTCAAGCGCAAGTCGATGAAGGACGCGAGATGCAGAGTATAGAGAAGAATTGCCGGCGGAGATAATTGAGCTCAAAATTAAGACATTAACAATGTGGGGAAGAACACGAATGCCAAGGGTCGTCATTGCAGAAACATAGGGTGAGGCACCTGCTCCGGTAGCGCCCTCATTTAAGGCTTTAATCAAGTTACTGTCATTGTAGGGAATTAAAACGCCGACACAAATGGCACCTCCAATATAGAACACAATAAGTCTCCCGAATACTTTTTTAAAAGCTCGTGGAATAACTTTTCTTGGGTTCATTGCTTCACTAGCTGCATTACCAAGATAATCGACACCCCAGAAGACATAAAGAGCGAACACCAAGCAGGCCATAAAGCCATGGAATTTTCCGATGGATCCGGTGCCAAGATATTCGGCAAACGCACCCGGGTTTTTCCAATATTTGAATCCCAAAACTTCGTGATGGGGGTTCCCTCCGCACATAACTATTATAGTGAATAGAATCAAACCAAGTGCCAAAATAACTTTTCCTAAAGACAAATAGAATTCACCTTCACCGAAGAAGAAAACAGAGTACAGATTTAATGCAGCAAATACTACAATCAAGATTGAGATAATTGCTGCTTTTGGAATTTGGTCAGTCCAGTATTCAATAACCAAACAAACGGCAGTAATTTCAAAGCAAACATTGGCGGCTTGACAAACAAAGTAGGTCCAACCAACTGAAAAAGAAATAGATTCATCAACGAAGCGCTCGGTAAAGTGCACAAATGAACCTGTTACTGGCAAGTATGTAACCATAACACACATAGATTGTGACAGACCAATGAAAACAACAGACCAAAGACAAAACGCAATTAGCAGTGATGCTGGACCCCCTTGTATAATTTTCGACCCAATTGAAACAAACAAGGCAGTTCCAATGGCACCACCGATACCAATCATAGACACTTGGCGAGGTAGCAGTTTCCTTCGACCAATCCTTTCTACAAGCGACAGGCTTGATGTATACTTGGTGCCGCTCGGAATGTCAATTACCACTCCCTTCTCGTATTCACTGACGTCAATTTGTGTCTTGCCATTCTTTTTCTCATTCTGATCTCCTTTCCAAGACATGACAAAGACGTCTTAACGACAATGATAAACGTGCAAAATTAGTAAATAGCTCAAAACTGACGGATACTTGAGAAAAATCTGATTCTCAGGGTCTTCTATGAGATTAGTGTGCTTTGTTATTAGAAGTATTTGCTTTTTAAGCTGATTTAAAATTCCTGTACAAGACAACATCTCATGTTGATAATTGCAATCCAAGCAGATAAGTTGAGAGGCTGATTGTAAAGGAAGACTGAATGTGACTTGGTGAATCGATAAAGTCAAAATATAGCATTAGCGTAGAATTCTCCACTGCTTCAAATAAGAAACTTTACTGATGTCGCAATACTTCGAACCGTTTTGTAAACAAGATAGATACTGTGTAATCTGAAACACCACATTAAAGCTTCTAAGAAAAGAATATACATATACATTCACTACAAAAACGACCATATTTTCTTCAATTTACTTTAAATAAAATACAAGTTTCTGTTAATGCTTTCCATAATGTGTTCCTGCGTAACGGGGAAGTTTCTAAATACTAATTTCCGAAGACAATGAATTTTTTTGAAAACCTGAAACCTGAAATTTCTAAAATAGAAACACGGGAATTGATAGCAAGGATACTAGTAATTGTAAGCAGTACATGCCAAAGTTAATTGCCGAATTGTTAGTAATGCAATCGGCTTCATGTGTCACTGTCGCTGCTGTGTTTTAAGTGCCGGGTAAGCGAGTTTGAACCGGGGTAATATCCTGAAATAGAAATCTCACTTTCGTAAAAGTCAAAGGATTGTTTAACAAGAAAGCGGCAAATAGTACAGATAAGGATTAAGCGAATTTATAAATAGACTCGTAATTTTGAAAACCCATTTCTATCCTTTTTTAGCGGGTACTATGTGATTGAACACATGCATCTCACAACTGTGATTGTTCGTGCACTTTTCTTAATCATCATTAGCAATGGCAATGATAAGAAACTTTGAGGGCTAGTTGTAGTACACTGAGAAAGATGTCGCCTAATTAAATACACAAGCTAGCTGAAAGCTTCACAGCGCGGTTTGCTTTATATTCGCTATTCATCCTTGGCATACGCTCACGTAGCGAATAAATCTTGTCGGAAACTCTACACCAAAAATTCTACTCTAAGCAGTAATTACAGTGCTTCAGGACGAACCTGTAAAGACTCAAAACAGAACTGCGCATTGTAATTCATAATAGCTTTTGTGCAAATAGCTAATAAAAATATAATAATTACATACATTCTTTATCTTGCCGAACGCAGCTTGATTTAGGATTGCGTCTGCTATGAAGATAATATCTTCTTCATATTTACTTGTTAACTAAAAATCCGGGTGAAAAATTTTAAGACTTTCATGTCGACATGATTAGCAAAAGTGTTCATTTGAACAATTAATCCGCCATAAATAAGTCATTCTCACATACTGAATCGCTAGCAAAAATCTGTAAGCCAGAGCTTACCACCTTAATAATTCTAAGCATTTAACTTTAATGAACGTATTCGTGTACTTGGAGATACAACAATAAAATATCAATAATAGTCGTAAATTCATAATCTTACAAAACAATCATCAAGCCGGAGTTCCACAACTTTACAAGTTATCTACTAGGTTAAGTCCAGCCTAAGCAGACTCGGAATAATGATGCTCACCATCAAGGGCTTGCAGTCGGGCAGCTGCTTGTTCGCTCGTCAAGTCGCGTTGTGGCTCTCCAAGCAACTCGAAACCAACACAGAATTTCTTAATGTAGGCAGAACGGAGAAGAGGAGGATAAAAATGCATGTGAAACCATGAATTCGCACGTTCTTCCGTTGTCCCATAAAGAGGTGCCTGATGGATACCCATAGAGTATGGAAAGCTGCAGTTAAACAGGTTGTCATACTTAATGGTAAGCTTTTTTAGGATAGACGCGAGGTCGGCTTTGTGTTTTTCGTTGAAATCCTCAAGTGAGTGCAAGTGTTCTTTGGATATCAACAATACCTCAAACGGCCAAAGAGCCCAATAAGGGACAACTACAGTGAATGAATCATTGTCCAAAACAACCCGTTCCTTTTCATTCAATTCTAGTTTAACGTAATCGTCGAGTAAGTGGCTGCCATATTTTCTCCGATAATTTGTCATGTTTGTTAGCTCGCGCTCAACAAGCGATGGTAATGTATCGAGGCACCATGCTTGACAATGCGGGTGAGGATTTGAGCATCCCATTGCCGCACCTTTGTTTTCAAAAAGTTGCAAATATCTGTATTTCACAGTTCCATTCTTTCCATTCCCTTGCAACTTCAGATACAAGTCCTTCCATGTTTGAACGACAGTTTCAAGCTCGGTCAAATTCATGAGGGGAAGCGTTACATTGTGCTTTGGACTGAAACAGATGACAAAGCAATTGCCACGAACACCTCTAGCTTTAAATAATCGTTTTTTCAAAAGTCCAATTTCTGTTCCCTCAATCGTTTCTTCTTCGCTTCTGTAGTCAGGTTGGTCTATTTTAACAGCGGCGTAGTCATTTTGAAATACAAATGTCTGTGTGTAATTTAAATTTCGGGATCCAGCCGCGCGCAAATTTCCAGGACATAGGTAGCAATTAGGATCATAGCTGACAGAGTCACCTTTTTTTTCGCTTTCCTGAGCGCCTTGCCACGGACGCTTAGCTCTGTGCGGTGAGCATAAAATCCAAGAGTCTGTCAGTGGATTGTAGCGACGATGAGAGTGATCAGAAAAATTAAATCTTTGTGTCATCCGAAGCTTGTTATTTCAATAACTAGAGACGAATCAATGTAGTCAATACAGACTATCACTAGAGTGTTGCTCGTCTGGTGTAGCTTTCTTGGTGGTGAGTCCTAGGAACTTCAATTAATTCTAATTAGAAAAGCCTCACCCTGTTGAAGGAAAGTGTGAATCTGCTCTAATAGCTTAAGTACAAACGTTACTTTGACAACACCAAGCCGCATGTTCCCATGCTGTATGATGCAGTTTTCACGTGAGGCATATAATTCGTTGTTCGTTACACAGTCTCCGATGCGGAGGTTGCTAGAGGGGCGCAAAAAGTGGGGATGCTAGTAAATTCCGAGCAATCTCACCGCTATGATGGTACTCGGTTTTACTACATAGCATCTTTTGTTTGCATATACGTCATTGATATACAGCAGGGGAGTATGTTCCATGGTCCGTAGCGTCCTAAATAATCAACTTGGGAATTTGGAATATCTAACAATCCGTTTTTTTTACTATTATGGTAGCAAACACATTTGCTGTCTTTCATCAATAAATTACTGAAATCGGCAACTTTGTTGGCAGTAGCTGGGTTGTGAATGAAACCTTAAGCAAAGTAATCGAGTCCGTTAATGTTTTCAGCAACTGAGTTTCGGGTGCTCCATTATTTTCATTTTAATAGCTGTCATCATCCTTAGTTTAAAGTCTCCTTCAGAGTACAATAAGATATAAACCGAACGAAACCGTTTTAGTTATTGCATAATGGCGAGTTTCTTAGCTTGTACTGTTTTAAACCTTTTTCTTCAGTTAAAGGGATTCAGTCAAAGGACCAGCACGGAGGCAAGTACGATCAGATTACTGGTGCTATTGTAGCGCAACTAAGCAAGTAGGTGTTGACATGACTTCATAGGGGACGAGAACGAGCTTACTCTTCTAATTTCTTATTACTGCATACAGATTTCAGATGCCTTTTGCCTGTAAAGAGCATTTAAAAGGCGCAAAAGCCTCATTGGCACGACGTAGCAAAAAGAAGCGGCTACTGATGCAAGACCATTGCGAATCACAATGTCAATGGGGTCACTACTTGGATTGCCAGATTCGCAAATTTTTGAAGGAAGTCCATAACGGCGAGGCGTATTAATTAGACAAAATTATCAGTAGCATGAAACCAGACTTTACATGTAAACAGCCAAGCATCGTTCGGGCTTGGAGCAATATGTTATATGACTGCAACTACACTTGCAGAGTTTGAGGAGATGATTGGTGATCATGTCAAAGATGTTCGACAAATGTTACTACTACGAAGACACTGCTGCAGGATAGCGAGTTGATTTTTGTGCACACGACTGGTGAAACGACTAGAGACATGCTGTTTGGTGAATCCTTGTTGCAGGCTGACGATACACAACTTTAGACAATTCCCTTTACCACAAAACCATCAACTTACCCGAGCTTGTTCGTTGTTACACAGAGTTGACTACGCTGAAAACGAATACAATTGACAAAAATGCACTCGCTCCCTTTAGCAACAGCATGAGCAACTAAAGATGGGCAAAGCAAGAAAAGGAAATAAGAATAATTGACTACTCATGTCTTTGACCTAATTAAAAAGCCTAAGGTTCCGAAGTTATTGCCTATTTGAAACAGCATAGTCGGAATGTTTATAAAATATACGATCCGCTCTCTCGTACATGCGTACTAGTACGTTGTTACGTTACATCGCTGCAAATGATAAAAACGATGTGTTATGCATCTATAGAAACAGAGGAAGCTTACCGCACCATCAAAAATGACAAATGGCAAGGCTCCTTACGAAATCTGCGGCAGGAAAATCCGTGAAGAGTTTAGTATCATCAGCTTGTCGAAAGTGTGTTATATTAGGCAAGAGCAAAGGTTGGTTTAGTGATTATGCGAGAGCGGTTTTATGTAGAACATTTTCGTCAGCGTGATCAATAGCTTGAGCAAGACCGAAAGAAAAAACCTTCGACGCGAACAAGTACTCAAAAAGATGGAGAAGAACGAGAAAAAGTCTTACGAACAATCATTTGTTTGGAGACGATCACTGGGATTTGCACAAACGTTCCAAGCACAAAATCTTCAGTCCCTACCGCCCAAAAAGTGAATACATGTAGACGTGAAAAACGGGCTTAAACAGTATCGCAAAGATTAAGTCTTAGTGAGAACAAATACAACTGTTTTCTGCCATCCATCACTATCACTTTTTTCGTCGCGTAACTTTGAGATAGTTGACTTACACCTTCAGTTATGCACCAAAAAATGACGATTCCTTATTAAAACAAGACTACCCAAAGTAAAAGCAATATTTAACGATTTATTTCTTAACAGGCTTCTTCGCCCTCTTTCTTTGTTTCTTTGCTCCAGAAGTTGCTGCTGCTGTTTTCTCTGGCTTTTCAACTTTTCCCTCAGCGAGAACAATCCCAAGCTCTTCCAGCTTACGTTTTTTAAGCTCAAGTCTTTTAGCCCTTTTAGTAATAAGACGGTTAATTTGTTTCTCGCTCTTAGGCTTTTCACACCGAAACTTTGCGATAGAAGCCCAGGGAATGTACTTGAAGGGGGCAGCTTCATCAGAAATCATATCGGCGTTAGAAGTAGAGACTCTGCACTGCAACAGTTTACCATCCAACAAGTAGTTGTGCGTAGCTTCAGCCGCAATACGAGCAACCTCTGCATTTTCAAATTTAATGAACGCGTAATGTCTGGAGTGACCAGTCTAGTTTTGTTAATATAAACGAAATCAAAGGTTAAGTACAGAGAGAGCGGACACTTTCACCAACGATATTCTCTGACTTACCTTTTTGTTGACCGCCAGACGGACGCGAAGAACTCTGCCAAATTGACTGAAGTATCCTCTAATTTGTTTCTCTCCGAGACTGTCAGGAATACGCCCTAGGTACACATAACACATATCATGATGCTTATTATGCGAGCTAGTATCGTGTTCAGACGGCTTCTCACTGACGTCCTCCTTTTCTTGACCGATAGATAATATGGGTTTCTTTGCCACAGAGCCTGTCTTTCCTTCTGTTTCGTCTTCCTCGGTGGACTCAAAACCTTTTAAGAACTCCTCTTCATTTAGAGAAGCATTATTCTCCCCAGGGTTTAAGACGGCGTCGTTGTGTTTCTTCTTCTCTGCATTTGCTTTTATTTTGAGAGCAGCTCCGGAGCTCAAAAGAGAACCAGATTTTCTGGTTTTACCTGATGAAAAATTAGAAACGATGAACGGTACTGTGTTTTTGTTACGAACCAGTAGAAGCCTTCGTCACAGTTTTCTTGGTGCCCGACATTGTTTGGTGCTGGCTAAGGGCCAACTCCACATTCGAACACTAGGGCTCGTTATATTCCGCTTTGCACAGTAATGTATTATACCATGCGTTATAGCTTTGCTTTATGACACGAACAGTAGTGTTATGTGAGTTTGACGATAGTTAATTTTACGATTATTTTTCATCCTCAATCGAAAAAATATGGTAATGGTTTATTGAATTTGAAGAGGAGTGTACTACAATAAATCATCTAGGGTGCGCTTTATGTATACTCTACATTTGGAAAAAAGACGTGAAATACAAACGCTTAACATAAGTTTTACCGGATCATCGAGGACTGAAATAACAATTGCGTTTTTACTGTAAGGCCGGGTACCGTATTATAAATAAGTTTAGTCATTTAACTGGTTAACAATGACGCATGTAAGTAGACAAACATTTCGTGTTAAAATGTCTTAGTCAACATCGCACACGCGTAGAACAAGCGCAGGATAAATTAGCATTTGAGGGTTAAATAGTACGGGTCAGACAATCAACCACTAGCTCCACCTTCCATTTGTATTTAAAAAAATATGAACATCTATCTAACCACGGCACGAGTGCCTTGAAAAACGTTTCGGTCTTAATTGATGATTACCTAATAGCAACGAAACTTTGATTACCTCTGTTTCTGCTATATATAAACTCTACATGGCAATAGAGTTACAAGAAATAGTGACAGATCGGGTCATAATTTAAATGCATTGCTTGTTCTTTTCACATATTAGAACCCATTTTCACGTTAACTAAATCAATGTACATGAAACTAATTCCGCGATTTTGTCGTTATGACACTCAGGGTATGTGTTGCCAAACATCTTTTTAAGGTCATATAACTAAAGAATGAAAGTCATTAATTTTGTTGAGAAGAAAAGGTGTAAATGGTATCTGAACCATAAACCTCGCCCTTGCGCAAGATAACTTGCTTATTCCAGTGCTCATTGTTGATAGCTTCCAGGTATCTTTGCGCTTCAACACAAAAACCGGCGCGAGCCTTGTATGGACCAATATTCACAAAGTCACCAGTGTAAATTTGGAAAGCAGGATCAGTTGTTGCAGCTGTAATCTTGAAGCCCGTAGAGGGATGATGTGCCTCGACAATGGTCTGCATCTCATCGCCACGAGTATCAAGTTTAAATCCGTCCGCCTTTGCAACAAAACAATTGTCAATAGGATTGGAGGGCTGAAGCTCCACGGACTCTGAAAGCTTCTGCTTGTACTGAATGACACGACCAGTAGGCAAAAGGTAGTCCGGATCGGACTCCAAAATTGTATCAGTACACGTCTTGATAATCGTGCCGTCAATAGTCTTGCCAGAAGACAGATTGAAGTAGACATGATTAGTCATATTGACGGCCGTGACATCTTTTGGTGACGACTCGGGAATGTAGGCTTCGATCTCAAGTCGGAGCGATTTCTCGTCGACAGTGAATTTTGCTGTAGCAATTACATCTGCGGGAAAACCATTGCTGCCATCCCTGTCATAAATCAAGAACTCCAAGGTGCCATGCGTTTCATAACACTTGGCGACAGGACCCAACCAGAACTGGCGACCAAAGCCATGAGAACCGCCGTGAATAGTGTGACCGCGCCAGTTCTTGTCAGTATGATAAGTCACACCGTCAATGCTAAAAGTGCCGTTGCGGATGCGATTGGCGTAACGGCCCACCGTAGCACCAAAGGCCGGATTGTCGTCCGACTGATACAAGCTAAGCTTATCCATGCTGGTGACAATTGTGCGACCCTTGAACGCAATATTTTGAATGGTTGCACCATAGTTGGCAATAGTCACACTAAGATCACCAAAAGTAAATGTGTTCAGACGACTAGCAAAATTAAACTCAGCGCCGGGATCGCTGAAGAGGCTCCACTTGAAGTTATTCACTTGGAAACCGTAAGGATTTTCTGAGGCCCACTTCCAAAGATCACGGCAAGCATCCTCAACGGTTTCAGTTTGGCCTTCCAGCCCAATTCCGGCGTTCGCACGAGCTGGGTCTGCGGTTAAGTTAAGAACATCACCAGCACGCTACCAACGATGTTGTAGGGGAGCCTACGACCAACAGCCGCAGAAAATGCGGCGTAGATTTCAAAAACTGTGCTTCCCTTTCCCGTGCCTAAGTTCCACACACGGTATAGTCCTTGACCTTGCTCAAGTTGCTTTAAATATTCGAGAGCGGCAACATGACCTTGTGCTAGATCTACCACGTGAATGTAGTCACGAATGGGTGTTCCGTCGCGACTGTCGTAGTCATTACCAAATACACTTAGCTTGTCGCGCCTTCCAACGGCGACTTGAGCCAAATAGGGCAGCAAGTTATTGGGGATTCCAAGAGGATCCTCACCCAGCAAGCCCGACGGGTGCGCACCGATGGGGTTAAAGTAACGGAGAATGGCCCCTCGCCATGAGTTGTCGCTGACGTGCAAATCCTCAATGACGTTCTCAATAGTGTATTTGGTCTTGCCGTACGGATTCGTTGGATCCCTCGGACATTCTTCCGGAATGGGAATATAGTTACGGTCTTTGAACCGTGTTACATCACCATACACTGTTGCTGATGAGCTATAAACAATTGTCTTGACGTTATGAGCACTCATAACTTCAAGCAATGTTGTAGTGCCATTGATGTTGTTGTCGTAATAATCAAGGGGTTTTTGGGTCGACTCGCCTACAGCCTTTAATGCAGCAAAGTGAATCACACTTTCTATTGGGAAGGACTCAAAAACTTTGTTAAGCCCGGTTTTGTCACGAAGATCAATCTTAAAGAAAGGAATGTGATTATGGACGATGTATTCCACCCGCGCAACAGCATCATAAGAAGAGTTACTGAGGTTATCAACAATAACAACCTTGTAACCACGCTGAACAAGTTCGACTACCGTGTGAGTGCCAATATACCCGGCGCCGCCAGTGATGAGAATAAACTTATTACTTGCCATGAGCCAGTTGAACAAGAAAAGATTGAAGTCTTACGAAGATCTCGTAAAAGTGGATGTTTTAGGATGTCTTGAACAGTCTCAAAACTTTCCTGCAATACACAATTCCAAATGTATTTGCTGAAACCTACTTTTGTCGGCTCTTTATCGCTAAAAAAACCTTAAATATAAGGTTTCGCAAGTATATCGAGACTTAAACTTCAGGACACGGAGTTAAATCGAAATAGGAACTGCTGAACCTAGAAAAGGAGTATATAACTTTGTAAAGTGATGATAAAGTTCCAATAAAGGAACGAGCTGAAAACTGTATTGAGAAAATTAATGGCCACGTGAATGTTCGATACTGCCCCCAAAAAAAAAAGAAAACTCGAGACTGACGAACAAATAAATTGCTGAAACAGATAGTAGGTAACACTTGCTTAAATGTTTGTTCTTTCCCTCTTATGAAAGCAGATCCAGCGGTACTTTACCAAATGCATATGTCATATCAATCAATTTGCGACTCACTGCTCATTATCCCTTAATTTTTCTGAAACTGGACCCTGCTTCTTCTGCAATTATTGGTATGTGTGCGATGGAGTTGACGAATGGATCGTCACCAGCCAGCGATAGTGCGGAGAAGGGCTGTCGAATGAACAAAGGCTGATGTCATGTGTGGAGAAGTGCGGTTGATTCACATTAACTCCACTTTTAGCCAGCGCTGTTCGACAGACGAGTCGTGACCGACTCGATATTATTTATGCGATCTTCCTGTGCCGTGTTCCTATGACGAATACACGACTAACTAGCGCTATTTTAAAAAGTAATCTAAGCCATTTGGTCTTGGGAAATAGATACTTTTTGTGTTATATAATAACTTTCTTCCCGTCCCGAACAATAAGTTATATCCTTAATCGACACAACAGACATCTAATTTCAATTGTTCCCAATCGCTAGTTGAGCTTTTCCTAATTTTTAATTCTTGTTTCTAGCATTTTTGGATTTATGCCCTTCATAAACTACTATTAATCTCTGTCGCCTTCTCAATTTTTAAGTTTGTATTTAAAATCATGGCAATCATGGTTCCTGTCGTTCCCACCTTTCAAGATCTATCTTTTTACTCTGATCCAACGGGAAATCAACCACGTTATGAAAGTGCGCTAAGACTGTTTGAGAAGTCATTTCATGAAAAACCAGCCTTCTTCAGCCGATCACCTGGTCGTGTCAACATTGTTGGTGAACACATAGACTATAACTACTTCTCGGTTCTTCCTATGGCTTTAGAGGTCGACGTCATTATTGCTGCGGCGACCGCGACAGATAATAAGGTTATTCTCACTAACACTGACCCCAAATTCCAGCAGGAAGAATTCGAATTGCCTATTGATGGTTCGGTAATCACAATCAACAAAGAACATCACAGTTGGGGTAATTACTTCCGCTGCGCGTTGATTGTGGCTCACCATTTCATAAAAGAAAAGTATGGAAACTTGATTGACAATGGGAAGAAACCATTGAAAGGTTTACGTCTGACCTTTGACGGTAATGTCCCCACAGGTGGTGGACTGTCATCGTCTGCAGCCTTCTGTGTTGCATCCATTGTGACCATCCTTAAGGCCAACGGTATCAAATCCATTAGCAAGGATGACTTGACCCATATTAGCGTTGTGTCTGAGCATTATGTTGGCGTGAACACGGGAGGTATGGACCAATGTGCATCCATTTATGGTGAGCCCAATAAATTACTGCTTATCCAATTTCGGCCTAAGTTAATAGGTATTCCTTTTCAAATTCCAAGCACAAATCCTAAAATGGTGTTTCTCGTCACCAATACTCTCTTCCAGGCTAACAAGCATGAAACGGCCCCAAAGAACTACAATCTGCGTGTTGTTGAAATGGCCATCGCCTCAGAGCTGTTCGCCAAAAAATACAGCCTCAACACACCCAAGGATTCTAACCTCAAAGGTGCTGGTACCCTTCGTGGAGTAATGGACGCTTATTTTGAACAGATTCTCAGACAGCCTGCTTGGGATGGTAACGATCTAAAGATTGGTATTGGGCGTATGAAAGAAATGCTCAACCTGGCGGAAGAGCTGTTCACGTCAGAAGAAAAAAAAGGGTTTACTACTGTTCAAGTTGCGAAAAGGTTTGGTATGAGTGTCGGGGCGTTCACCAAGACTTTTTTGACACAAATACCTGTTCGCTTCGAAGTGCTTAAACTATATCAACGCACTGTGCACGTATACTCAGACGCTATGCGTGTGCTTGAAGTCCTTCAACTTTTCCGAGAACACCAACCGACTGATCCCTCTATCGCCTTTTTAACTGAGTTCGGAAAAATACTCAACGAGTCACAAGTTTCTAACGAATTGTATAACAACTCATCGAGTCCAGAGTTGAAAGAGGTGTGTGCGATATCAACAGCCTATGGTGCATATGGTGCCCGCACTACAGGTGCTGGGTGGGGCGGTTCTGCTGTTCATCTTTGTACGGTGGATAAACTGCCTGAAATTGTTGCTGCTCTCACTGAACAGTACTATAAGAAACATTTTCCTCGCATCACCCAGAAAGAACTTGATTCTGCCATCGTCGTCTCAAAACCCGGCATTGGAACATGCGTGGTAGAGTACAATGAGAATATTATAAGCGGGCGAAAAATGTGAACTACTTGGTAAAAACTTATGATAATGACTACCTATTCTAGATGAATAGAACGGATGAATAATATTGAGAATGTTAATACTATGAGAATAATGTTCTGCCACTGATACCACGTATGGTAAATATCGATTCGCTTTGTCTTTCTCATGCTTCTACACAGTAATTCACTGTCGTAAACAATGTTCATTAGTTTAATGATAAAATCATCCTTCTTCGTACCTATTAGAGCACGTAAACGCCTAATTAAAGTGTTAGTATTTGATTAAAGCAATCAACCCGATGTCTCATCACTATGCTTCTTTTACCTGTAAACATGGATTGCGTCAAATTTTGCATATTGCATTGCTTATAAAACATACAGTGCTAATCGCAAACTGACAGTGAAAATTTACATATTTACGTTGATGCGACTCTGTTTCAAAGTCTGGTTATAGATCTCGGTGCTTCTTTGAGATTGACATGAAACAAAAATTGAATTGTTAAAGTTCGCTTTCATCGTCCTCCAAGGTGGCAATGAAAGACCTAAGGAATGAATTTTTGATACGGAGCTTTTCTAGTGTCCTATATGTGGGTAAATACTAATCGCTGCTTTAGCTGTACTAAAACTGGTCGGTCTCTTTAGCATGGTACATTATATGTTAAGGGTATATCTCAAGATTTTCAATGGGTTGCAATATCAATTCAAATTATGTAGAGATATAAGTTGTTACTGTTTTTTCCTGTATATTTATGGTATTTTGATTATAATCAGATTAATGTGTGTACGTCTCAATTAATTCTGTAAGCATAGTTTGATCTCTTGAATGGTCCCTCACATTCGACAAGGTTACTTACAGCTACTTAATTATTATTGGATTTTTATTCCCGGCTACATCAGAATTCAACAAATATCCTGTTATTTAGACCTCCGCCTCCTTTTTTTTTTGCCAACAATCACTTTTATAAAAGTTTCATTATTTACGCAAACAATATTGCTAAACCTGGGGCGGTTTCTTGCGAAAAATCATTTTCTGTTTGAATAACTTTTACCAAGAATCATTACACAATGATTAATGTAGTAAACATTGCTGTATGAAGTCGAATATCACGGTTTGGTGTTGATGAAGGGTTCATTGGTATTATTACAGGTGACTTTGGTAAATGTATGCTTATCGAAATGGTGTTAAGGTACACTTATTTGAATCTTACCGTCAATGATCGTTTGACTAATATGGTTTCTCTCCTGTGATTGCATCCAATCTTTACCCTTTGTTACTGTATACCACTGCGTTGAGCTATGCTCACCAAAATAGACGAGTTGTAATACAGTGCAACTGAACTATTGTCAATACCGAGTTAACATTTTCCGTGCTTCTTTATGCTTAAACGTTGTTTTAATTACGTAAGTGCATTTATTAGTGCGACAGATTTACATGGCGTTTCCTATTTATCAGCAGTATCTAAACTAAAACGATTGAACTTGACTAATAAAAAGGTGTAGTTCTTTGACACACGTTCGGGTGTTTTCTCAGGATAGGTTTACAGATTTGAATGACAGATGAAAAGACTACTATAGTAACTTTTAGTTTTCGCTTAAATCAACAATGATCTATTCTTCTTATTTTAAAACAAGCACAAAAATATGGTTCCCACATCTATTAGAAGAGCACGGATACCAAGAACTTTATACATTCAAGAACTCAAAACGCGTAATATATTTAATTGTTGTTGTCAAGAAGAAAAACAATGAATGGAGAGACGAGAAGATATATTGTTCCATTTGTATAATTACCTTTCCTTTGACACAGAAATAAAAAATGAATTTACGAAGTGATGATTTAAAAAACTATGTATGGAAATTTCTATCAAATAAGCTTGCTCGAATTGGTAATTGTAAGGAACAAACAGCGATAGCAAATTCTTCGCGGCGTTAACGTATGATTATACTTGCACAACAAAGAATATACCCATTAATCTACTAAGAAAACAAATGTGAAGGAGGCAGTATGTGAAGTATCCCTTAGAATAGAATAAACGGAGCCGCTATTTTTGAGTCAGGATTACATCATCATCGGGAAATTGCGGAGAAAGCGACATAAGTCATGGAAAATCCCGTTGAATGGGCGTCTGTCCGCGGGGGTACATGGAGGGGTTTAATTTGCGACCATTGTTCAGCGGGCTGGAATCAAGACAAATCGCCTATAAAAACAGGCAGACGGACGAGCACTTGGCATTGATTCAACGAGTTACGAAGTTGTGAGAAATTTACTTGATGATATATAATTTTTTGTTTTTGGTTGCGACTATTCCCGTTGCGTTAGCGCACGATAACGGCCTTGGTTTAACACCGCAGATGGGTTGGAACTCATGGAACAAGTACGGATGTAATATCAGTGCCAACGACATCATTAGTGCTGCTACGTCAATTAAGGAAAAGGGCCTGCTTGACCTTGGCTATGAGTACATCGTCATGGATGATTGCTGGGCCTTAAAGACGAGAGATCCGGTAACGAAGCAGATCGTACCTGACCCGTCAAAATTTCCCAATGGAATAAAGAATTTATCGGATTCTATTCACGATATGGGCTTTAAATGGGGAATGTACTCTAGTGCTGGCAAGTACACCTGTGCTGGCTATCCCGGCTCCTTAGACTATGAGGAAATTGACGCGACTACATTTGCCAGCTGGGGTGTTGATTATCTTAAATACGACAATTGCTACAACCAGGGGCGTAGTGGAACTCCTTCGGAAAGCTTTAAGCGGTACGAGGTTATGTCAAAGGCTTTGAATTCGACTGGTCGTCCTATCTTTTATTCACTTTGTCAATGGGGTGAAGATGGACCCTGGAATTGGGCAAGTACTATCGCAAACTCTTGGAGAATAAGCGGTGATATATATGACAACTTTAATCGATACGACGACAGATGTCCCTGTGAGAGTTTTCAGTGTATTGGTTTACAGGGCTTTGATTGCTCCGTCATGAACATCATTCGCAAAGCGCTTCCTCTTAGCCAAAAGGCCAGAGATAGAGACGGCTGGAATGACTTGGACTCGTTAGAAGTTGGAAATGGTGGAATGACTTATGATGAGTATGTAACTCATTTTACCGTGTGGGCTATCCTTAAATCTCCGCTCATGCTGGGCAATGACGTTAGTGCTATGTCCGATCAGGACTTGTCTATTGTCAGCAACCGCGATTTAATTACCATCAACCAAGACCGTGGTACCCAGCCTGCCTATAGTAAATGGACGAAAAACTACGGTGATTCTATTATCATCTTGCTGTCTGGTGAACTATCTAATGGCGATTGGGTTGTTGCTCTTGTTAATGGCGCTAGCCAACAATTGACTTACAATATCTCCATGACCGACGTATTTATTGATAACAGAATTTATGCAGAAAAGCGTTGGGTCGCTAGGGATTTATGGACCAATGAGACGAGTTCAGTCAACAATTTTATCATATCTAACGTTAAACCTCATGGAACTCAAGTTTGGAGGTTTTCTAAAAGTTCTTAGGGCAAAAATTGAGACATCTTGACGATAAATTTTTTCGTTTCTGGCCTATACTTGTTACTCATGTGTGCCTCATTTATAAAGTGTACTGACATTAACGACTCATGCTTTCTACGATTTATGATGATGACCTGAAATTTTGCTTAATGAAAGGGTACAGTTTCTTATTTCCTTTTTGTTGCAGCATTCCTAAAAAATGATACTCTATGCAAATTCGAAAATTTACATATTACTGTTAACAAATTGATGCATGTAATCCCGACATTCACTAAACTGCAATTACTGGCGTCAAACTAGTTTATTCCCCTCTAATTTAACGACAGCTTTTTAAATTATACTCGGGAGTATAAAAGCTTGAAAAAGACGGGCATCGGCTACGTTGGTGAACGAAAGTGGGTAGGTAGATTGTTGACGAAGTTCGCACGTATCTTTTTAACATTATCGGGCATTGCTTGCTTTGGTTAGAGTAGTGGGAGAAACTATATAAAGTGGGAAGTATACAGTCAGCGGACATATTAAATAACACATTGGAGATGGAATTCATAAACTTTCCTTAAATAACCATACTATCATTATTACCATATTACACAATAACTTCTTATTAACGATAAGGAAATTAGGATGACTTTTGACTTTGCGAACTGCGGACACGTAATCTATTATTTAAAGAGCTAAAAGAGCTAAAATAACAAACCAAATAATAAGTCGGCACATGGGACGTCTGCGGCTCTTGAATGGAAAATAGGTTAAAGTTGGCGGAAAGTGATTTAACAAATCTTTGCAGATTATTCAGTTGTTGTTCATTATTGCTAGAAATTTTATGGCTAACGTGGTTGGTAATTACGATATGAATGTTAGTAACTTTTTCAGGACATGAATCAAGAGAATAGTGAATAAAACTTATCATGTTTCCCTGTACATGCTGGTTGAGTTGTTTCATAACGTGTTATGTAATTTCTGTGTTTAATTTTTTGGGGTACGAGACAAAAACTTATTGGAAGATATGGAGCATCTCGTTATTTGTTATGTTAACGAATTTGCAAATCCACTTTCGATAGTCCGTTATTCTTTCTATTATATCAGTATGAGAGTGCCAACGGAATGAGTCTACGCTAAGTAAAGTATATCCGCTTGTTTGGCAACCGGGTTTCACAAAATAGATAATTAGTACAACTATTATATTGACTAAAGGGCTGAGTCATGTTCAGATCATGGCATAGTTTAATAAACAACTATTTACGCCATAATGTGTATTTGTTACCACAGTGCTGATACTTATCTTTCATATATTTAAGTCGCCTTTATATACCTTCAAAGCTGACGAATAAGTCGTGACTTCGATGTATAATATTTTAGCAGCTAATATTGTGATTCAGTTGATTACACTTAGTAGATGTCGTTTTAGGTAAACTTCAACAATTGAGCAAGAGCTTGACAACAATTTTCATTCTAGAAAGTTATAATGAAAAGAACTGTGAACCTTGAAAGAAATATTTGAAAAGCCTTAGTTTTATTTTCGGAATTTGGATGTATCTGATTATTTGTTTCTAGAAGGAGTTTTTATGACATTGTAACCCATGTCGTGCATGAAGCTATCATAGCAAGGTTGTGTTTAACTTATTAGATATGATAAATTTATATCGAAATATACAAGCATCCTCCATGAACGTACTTGTGAAAAATACAAGCAACAGATTTAGAGAATTATTTGTAATGTCTTTCTGTTTTCACCACTACAAGACTAATCAGAACTGATTAATAGTACCTATGTGCTAATGACTTGAACTATTAGTGGTAAATCAGTGTATTGAAATAAAGAGCTTTTGGCATATACGACTTCTGTAGTTATTTGACCATGCATAATACTTGGTTATGTTTATTTCTTTAATGATACTCAATGTGACATCCTTAAGCGAAGAAAAATATGCAAACCATTGTTGCAATCGCGTGCACTATCTTATTTTTTGTTTTGTAACACGCAACCTATTCGAAGATGTCTTACCGTTTACTTAAATTCAACAAAGCGGACGAAAACAAGCACGTTAATACAGGTTCTCTTGCAAATTTCTATCAGAAAAATCCCCAATTTTTAAATTGCATTTTTCTTCACCTTTGTGACCCTTAAGTAATCTAACTAGTGAATGAATTGATGATGTACAATTTTCAGATCTCATGCACATCCCTTCGCTCCCCTTGAGAATCTGCAAGCCTCAATAGTATGATAAATATTTCAACTAAAGATATGCAATGGTGAACTTGTAAATGCTGAATATGTACAAGTTCAATGCTCCATTGAGAACATCACTAAAACGAATAATCTAAACGTAACCCTTGGAGGATCCATATTACTGTTATGACTATTTAGAGGAATGGGCAATAGCTCTCTTATTGTGCTCACATGACGATACACAATATTAAAATTTACTTCATATTGTAAACTTTTATTGATTGAACAGTTATTTCTTATTTAATATTGTTCATTATTTGTGGTAATATTAAGGCTGAGATTCAAAGCTCTTCATTACAGACATTAATTTGGGCGTGTTTAAATATAAATGAATGTAGCCTTTGATGGGGAATTGAAATGTAAGACCTTTGTATATACAAAAATTTCGTCAATGTATTAATCGTGAAATATACGATGAAAGACTTAAAAAGATAAAGAAGAAGAAATATAACAGAGATAGGTTTGTCTTAAACTCACAAAGTAGGTATAACATTCTATGTTTAATGACATAAGATAATAAAAACTTCATCCAAACAAACAAGTGAATAAGTGACGCAACACATTTTCTTTGTGCTCTGGTAACAGAATTTGAACTCTGATTTGTAATTCATATAATTTGATTGTCAATTCACAAATAAACTGCTGTACCTATTCCTTTCACACCTTAATTATTTATAACAATAAAATCAGAATCCTCAACTCCCTACTAAAAGAAGATGCTTGCATATTGGATTTAATTTCAAAGGAAAAGTATCAAGCATACGGCAATAGTGCTCGTCTTGCTTCGCTCATTTTAGACTACAGGTTATACGATTTAAAAAATTATGTCTAATTAACATTATGGGATGAATGTTTAATTTTTTTGTTAATAACAACAGATGAGAGGATGCATTCAATAATGATTGAGTTTGGATTTGCCACGCAAAATTCATTTCTCAAGAAGTCAGCTTTCATCATTAATTGAACGCAATTTTGACACCATAAACAATAGCATTTAAAATCCAGCTAAACTAAAACATCCAAGTACTTTTCAAAGAAAAGACAGTGTTCAAAATTGTTAGTTCACTATTCACGGGCGGAAGAGTTTGTTTACACGATTACTAAGCACTGTTGATGTTACCTCGGTTAGATATAAGATCGCGAGGTTGACATGTAAGATTAGCGAGCTCCTCCCTAGCCGATGAAAGTCGTTTAAGATCAATGATAGCCGTAATCTATCAGATGGAAGAGCTCGACCAATCATATCTAGGGCTTCGCGACGCGTCGGAAATCGCATTTCATCTAAATGAAAAACGCGTCACGTTGCACCTGATTTTACATAATTAGTTTCGCGACGCGGTCGCGTAATCACACGGATTTGTAGAGCCCGCCTCTTTTTTCACATAATTATTTCTTTCGCGAAAGTGATATAAAGTAGGGCATAGTCTTTGTTTAGTGTCAACATCATAAAAAGATTCGAGCGAAATGACAATTACACTTCAAACGATTAAGTCTTCGAACGTTGACTTAATAGAAGAGTACCTTGATGGCTCAACATGGAAAAGTGCAGAAAACTCCAATTCCACATATTCGCATCAAGGCTTGATGCAATATCTTTCGGGACACATTATCTCTGAATACTGGTTGAATCGGGTCTACACCGAAGAAATTCGCCGGTTTAGTCAAGAAAACAGAATTCACATTCACGACCTTGGATTTCTCAGTGCTTATTGCGCTGGTTGGAGCATTGAGGACTTGCTGGTTCAAGGATTCGGTGGAGTAGAGAATAAGATCCAATGCAGACCTCCAAAACATCTTAATACTGCTTTAAATCAAGCGGTCAACTTCCTCTTCACACTTCAAGGTGAGCTTGCTGGAGCTCAAGCTCTTTCGAATTTCGATACCTATTTGGCACCTTTCATTCGTCATGACAAATTATCATATATTGACGTTTTTAAATATATCCAAAGCTTTGTTTATTCTATGAACGTACCGACACGGAGTGGATTTCAAGCACCATTCACAAATGTTTCAATGGACCTTATATGCCCTAAAAGCCTTGAAGGTGTGCCTGTAATTATCGGAGGAGAAAGGCATCCCGAATGGACTTACAGCGATTTCCAAGAAGAAATGGATATATTCAATCGTGCATTCACAGAAGTTATGGTCCAAGGAGATGGAAACGGCAACATTTTCACATTTCCGATCCCGACATATAATCTAAATCAAGATTTCGATTTTAATGCTCCAAGACACGAATGCATTTGGAAAATGACTGCGAAGTATGGCGTTCCCTACTTTGCCAACTTTATCAACAGTAATTTGAACCCTGAGGACTTCCGGTCAATGTGTTGCAGATTACGTCTCGATCTTAGCAAGCTTCACAGTCGTGAAGGCGGTTTATTCGGTAGCGTTCCCTTAACGGGTTCTATCGGTGTTGTTACAATCAACTTGCCCAATCTCGCAATGCGTTCGAATGAGTCCGTGAAGAAGTTTTACAAGTTGCTATCAGACGCTTTGAGGGTAGCTAAGGACTCTCTTGAAATCAAAAGACGAGTTGTAGAAAGTCATTCCGCGTTGTACCCTTATGCCGCGCACTATTTGTCTGTTATTAAGAAACGCACCGGATCTTACTGGGCAAATCACTTCAGTACGATTGGAGTGAACGGGATGAACGAGGCCTTGGTTGCACTGATTGGCAAAGGTATCTCTGAAAATAAGGACTTTGCCCTTGAGGTGCTTGAATTCATTAAGGAGAAACTTCAAGATTTTCAAAAGGAAACAGGTAACATCTATAATCTTGAAGCTACACCCGCCGAAAGTACATGCTACAAGCTGGCCAAAGGAGATAGAGAAATATTTCCTGACCGCAAAATTCCGAACTATTACACCAATTCTACTGCTCTCCCTGTCGATGCTACAGAGGATGTGTTTGAAGCCTTGAGCCACCAGGAACAGCTTCAGTGTGCTTATACTGGCGGCACTGTATTTCATGCATTTTTAGGAGAAAAACTGCCTAGCTGGGAACTTGCAAGAGATCTCGTACGGTCGATTGCTACAAATTACCGTGTACCATACATCACGCTGACACCAACATTCAGTATATGTAAAGCACATGGATATATTACAGGCGAGAAGTTTTATTGTCCAAAATGTGGTGAGGAATGCCTCGTTTATTCTCGGATTGTCGGTTATTATAGACCTGTTAAAGACTGGAATAAGGGCAAGAAGTCAGAGTTTGTGCAACGAAAAACTTATAAAGGGAAGTAATTATACATTTGCCCTAACAACGAAAAGTTTCTATTTACATTGTTGATGAATGAATGAATGAAGGTATACTTATTTGTATATTTTAGCTTAACGGTATTTTTAATCAATTGAAGTTTTATTAAAGATATATCGTAACTTGCCAAATTGGTGCATGTCAACTTTCATTTCTTTAATAGACTGTTTGGTTGACTTGTATTTGTTAGGTGGGTAGTGGTCACTCAGTTTCAGGGCGGCAATTTTAAAGCGTATGGGTTTAGTAATAAATATCTAGCGTGATAGGACTACCGTTTGTATAGACTTGGTACAATTAACAGTAGTATTTGAAAGTCAAGCGTTTATCATTGTAGTTGAATCATCTAACTTAATGAAAATTACGATGTAGTGTCTAAAATTAATGAACTTTAGTATTGTATTGTATTATGTAAATCATAAGGAAATTAACCAAAATGTGTGAAAACTTCTGTCGCAACGAACGTATGCAGAGCCCCTCATCCTTTGCTTACCCTTTTATGAATTTTGTAAGATAATTATGTAAATAAACAAAAAAAAGATTAATTAATCTATCAGTAGTCTAAACAGGTTGCTTTTGTGCTCAATAAAATAATATCGTACATTGGGAATGGTTTTCTTCTATTGTTATTAAAGTACATTACGTTATCGTAAACTGTGTGGTAATAAATTGAATATCGGGATTGCACTCTTAAGGTCTCACTGAAAATAAATAAGAGTAGCAGCGCTGTTTCTCAAGCACGAGCAGGGTTTGATACCATGTTACCACAAAAAAAAATAAGTTGCGCGTCTTAACTTTTAAGTGTCTTGCTCAACCAGAACTTTGGCAGAACACTTTTTATTAGTTGTTGAATAACACTATGAACTTCTAAACTCTGATGTAGTGGATTTTTACACTAACGATCACTTAAAAAGCCGAACATGATTGGAATTATCTTATATAGCGTCAAAATGATCAAGCACTTGTATGTGGCATTCCCTCTTTCTCATTTCGTAGTAAATTATGATGAATTGCTTAGCCCAATTTTAAACGTCAATTAACACCCATTTGTAATTATTTCACCGGTTCACTACCTATAACAGAGTTTTAGCAAGGTTATACTGTGTCAATTGAACTTAAATTTCATTAATATACAGAAAATATTACATACAGCGAGTGGTATGAGAAAATTATGTAAGACATGAAAAGAAATATCGAGTCGAAGCACCACAAAAGCAAATTCAGATTTAGCAAAAGAGGTTGAACAGTCTTTTGAAAATGCTTTTCTTTGAACTAACATCTACCTTCTCCAGCTGATCATTTTGTGATTGCATGTTACCATCTGTGTAACCGTTAAACGCTTCTTCTAGATCAAGTTCTTCGGATTTTTTCCATGGTGTTTTTCTGATAAACTTATGACCTACGAAGAGAACTGTCATGACAGGCGCGGATAAGTACTCCTGAAAGAAGTACCCCAATGCTTGGATTGCCGCCAAAAGGAAATATAGCAACATAAAATTGTGCAATCATCATCACAATACACCAAAAGAGACCGTAAACTGATCCACTAATTCCAAATGGGGACCAATACGCTAGTCGCTTGACATTAAAAAGTTGTTTTTTCATAGCAATTCTTAAACGAATGTGAGTTAAATTAATAGAACCCCAATTAAAAAGCGTGTTCAAACCAGACACTGACATTAGCCAGTCGAAGATAGTGCTTTTTTGTTTTGACTCATTCAGATAAGCAAGACAAGAGAAGCAAAACAGAATTGCATAAGCAGCAAGGGGTCGACCAGCACAATCGACGTACGTAAACCATTTTGGACCATGACCATGTGCGCCAACAGAATGAATAGCACGACTTCCAACATAAAACATGGCGTTTGCTGCTGAAAGAACAGAAATGAGGATGATAGCATTTAAGATTGATGGTAGTGCTCGAATATTCGCATCTTTAATGGCTAAAACAAAAGGACTAGCCATTGTTCCAGACAATGCTCGCAAACGTTTATCATTACCGCTTATTAGTAAAGCCACGATAAATAAAGCCAGCACGTAGAATATGAATATACGATAAACAGTTTGTTTTACGGCTTTTGGAAATGACTTCTTAGGATCTTCCGTTTCTGCAGCAGCAAGTCCTACATACTCTGTCCCTGCATATGAGTATGACGCACTAAGAAAAACGGCACAAAAACCGTGAAAACCATGAAGGAACGCGGTTTCTTCGAATATTTTAGTACCAATGTAACCACGGTGATCCGTGGGAATTCCGCCACAGTCAATAACGATACCTAGTATAATGAAACTCACTACAGCGATTACCTTTATTGTAGACATAAAAAACTCGATTTCGCCGTAACCCTTGACACCGAAAACATTGATGAATAGAAAAAAAAGGATAAATAAAGTAACCCATATGCCACTGTTAATAGACGTCCAATAATTTAGACACATACAAGCAGTTGTAAGTTCTAAAGGAATATTAACAATGGCGCCGATAACGTAAAGCCAGTTTAAAGCAAATCCCCATGACTCATCAATGAAACGTGATGCCAAGGTAAAGTAACCGCCAGGTACAGGGTAATTGACACAAAGTTCACCTAAAGAGTATACAGTAGTAAGGACTGCGCTGCCAACTAGTGCATAATTGAGAATGACTGAACCACCTCCTCCTTTATAGAGTGATTTGCCGCTTCCGACCCAAAGGCCGGTACCGATTGTACCCCCAATGGCAATCATTTGAATGTGTCTGCTTTTTAAGCGACGTTTTAATGAAAAGTTTTCCGTGTCATTTGCCCTTTTGAAAGAATAAAGGAATTGACAAAACGCATTTTTCTTTTCTTCAATAGGTTCAATTTCGCCGTAAGCAAGAGTCGTAACCTCATTAACTTCATTCGGCTGGATCTTCTTATCATCAGATGAAGACTTAGAGCTACCTTCTTTAGATATTTGATACATGAATTACGCAGAAACTGTTAGCTTCCAGCGACGCCTAAACTTTGCGAGGTTTATCAATTGTCAGTTTTGATGGAAAGTATTTGATTATCCTTATGCAGGATAAATCCCGCCATATATGTATACCACAATCTGACCGCTTAAGTGCCTGTATTCAATAAACCCTCAGGGGTATTACATTGATATGCATTTCTTATCTCTTAACAATGTCAAGCATCCAACACTCTGAACCTGAAAACGCTTATACGGAGATAGCTATATTCTTATATGTACAGCCACAGAGCAAAAAGCAGAAGCTGGATTCATAATTGAGCAGCTGGATTCAACCCATAATTATAAATGTAAAAAATACTGCTTTTTTGAGTAATAAAAAGATGCTCCAATACAATACATTTGGATTGGCACCAAGCTTAAAATAAGCACGGCTTCACTAAGCGCTCAAAATCCCCTATTTAAAAAACACGCCGATTCCGTCAGGCAGGCATATCAAATATTGGGGAAAATAGCAACATAAGAGGTTATAGTAGGTAACATTTCGTTCACATTATAGTAATGATGTTAAAACTTACTACAAAATCAGTGATTAAATGCACAGTTTCGAGATTTCTTGAACCAGCGTTACTGTCGAATTTAGCTCTGCAATTCACAGGACAACCGAGTCTAGAAGGTTGTTAATTGGCTTAGTTTTTGATAAAGAGGAGAGCTATCAAAGTGCATTTGTTACAGTGCGCAGTTTTAGCTTCGCTTCATTTTACGGATATAAATTAAACTCGGTAGCTCGACGTCTTACAAATTTAGGCTTTGCGTGATTTATTATCTCAATACCTAACCGACATTTATCATCAAATCAATAGAATTGTTGTTCTAACTTAACTTCGTCCTTTTTACCGTCAACAAAAGTGCACCACACTCATTTCTAACAAGGAGTAAATTATTTTCCTTACTATTAAGGTTTTGTGAACACAAATCTCTTTCGGCTTTTGTTTTTATCACATGAAACCGCATTTTAGGCTCGATTTAAGCTTTTAGTAAACGAAGAAAATGCACGCCGAAGGACGACGATCGATACCAAGATAGATTTCATGGAACGTTGTCACGTTCTTCTGGTGATGGGTTTCATAGTCCACACTCTCCTTTCATTGTTAAATGTGTACAAAATTCTACTAATATAATTAATAAACGAAAATTATATCCAGAAACACAATGAATGGCAGCTCAAGGCGCAAAAATAGCCTCGAATTATAAAGAAGAAAAGAAAAAAAAAAAGCGCTTAACTTACAAAGTAATAGTTTTTCTCGGGACACGGTAGTTTGTTATTCTTCAACTCAACTTAAGAATTAGATGGCCTCCTTTTTGTATTTTTTTTTTGAAAACAGAATCGTGTGTGCTTAATCAGAGTCGCAAGTTGTTCAGTGACAATACTTTTAAATCAGTATTCTTAGAAAATAAAGTAAAAGTAATCTATCTCTTCCCTAAAGAAAGACATGTTTCTTATTAATTGTTTACCGTGTTGTGATGGTACTATATGTTACGAAGAGGTCTGATAATTTCAGTATGGAAATTGGGCGCGTTAATAAATCTTTTCTATAATTTAACCTTATAGTCATCGCAATCCACTCTTAAGGTATAATGGCAGTCGGTGAACATTTCGATTGTAATTCCTAGATCAACCATTGTATGACGCATTGTACACGATCTATTATGTGAAACTTAATTAAAACTACTTCTGAATTTTAAGAGATTCAATCAGCATATATGGAGTTATTGCGTAACAGATAATAAACTTACCATTTGATCTCATACGGTAGTCGTGTTTTTAGCAAAGACCGCGGAAAAAAATTCAAGTGATTTCCCCACAGAATTTGTAGAGAACCCCTGATGATCCGAACTTAATTAGTGCAATTGTTCGGACTCCGAAAAAATCCCGCATGCCGATCAACAAACTGAAACCAATGACGCAAAATATGACATATCCAACTGAATGATAATTACTATGTGTACATTAATAAAATTTAGAGTTTTGGCAATCGTTTCACATTGAAGAAGATACTTTTCATTTCAAAATTCAAGGTCGACTATATCAAAAAAAAAAAAAAAAAAAAAAAATACAATTAAAGGCATTCTTTGTTTGTCGCTGATTCTTTGATATGTTCCATGTCTTATTCATCCTATAGGTCCACCTTACGCCTTATTAAGTTCGGTTTACCAATTCTCCACGGGATACCGATACTAGCGACGATAGTTTGAGATATATTATTTTTTGTCCAATAATGTATTGCAGCTCGGCTAATTAGACTCAACATTATCGGAAGAGTATTCGCATTGCGACGAATCCTTAAAATGCAGATGTACCATTCTTAGTTTACAGCTAAGACGGCTCAATTGAAAGTCTTTAGACAAGTCGGATACTTCGTTTTCCGAGACTAATTCTTAAAGGATCTAAGTGCTTTACGTTAAAATCAGCTTTGCCTTTACTGTCCAAATATAACATTGCGCAGGCCGACATTGTAACGAGGGGAAGTAACCCAAGGGGAGAAACAACTTTCAGAATAGCACACGTTTCAGTCTGAATTAATACTCGTTGTCGTTTCTGCAGTTCTGAGCTAAATCTGTTGGTCTTTGAAACACGGCACAATAGATCAAACTTTGTTGCTGTGCTTGGACATGTCAGTAAAGGATATATTCAAGGGACTAAGACAACTTAAAGGTGGAAACATATATTTACTTTTTTCTCTTGTCTTTAGATCTTCTCGGTTATCTTGCTTTGGTAAACCATGTACTCTTACGGAAATAACCAAAGAGAAGATGATCTTTCTATAATAATTGCGTCCAATGTTTCTTTGGAGGAGAAAACAACGATTGAGAAGTTGTCCTTTTTCGAGAACGATGGTCCTCTCGATACCGTCAACTTGGTTAAAACAGTAGAAGACAAAGTAGGGAATCCTATTAAAAGGTTTTTCAAAAGTTTTCGCCGCGCAAGACTATGCGACGCATTTGCCTTACAGCGAAAACTCAAGAGCCGTCATATCCGCATGATAGCGATTGGAAGCACTATTGGGTTTGGCTTTTGGGTCGGATGTGGAAATTCCCTTTCAAAAGGCGGTGCTGCTGCCGTTCTCATAAATTACGTTATACTCGGTAGTGTGGTTCTAACAACAATGTTCTCACTTGGGGAATTAGCAGCGAACTATCCCGTCCCCGGATCATATTTAACTTTAGCTGGTCAGTTCATAGACCAATCGTGGAGTTTTGCTATACATTGGAATTTTATTTTTGGCAGCTTGGTTAGTACACCAGTCGAAATTATCACTGCTTGTATGTGCATGACTTATTGGACAAGCTTAAATAGCGGTGTTTGGGTCACCGTGTTTATTGTTCTTTTTATCTTCATTAATATTTTCGGCGTAAGGGGTTATGGCGAAATTGAGTTCATTCTTTGTGGTATTAAAGTGATCTCAATCATTGTCTTCATTATCATTGGAATCGTTATCGATTGCGGTGGGGTTACAACAGACAACCGTGGATATATTGGTATGCGAATTTTTCAAAGTAATGCCTTTACTCATGGGTTTCGTGGATTTTGTGCAGTATTCTTGCATGCAGCATACTCTTATTCTGGATCGGAATCAATTGGATTCACAGCAGCTGAAACTGAGAATCCTGCAAAGCGGTTCCCAAAAGCAGTTAAACACACGGTTTACCGTATTGTTCTGTTTTATGTTATTGGCATGTTTGTGTTAAGCCTTTTGGTGAGCGGAAAGGACCCAAGACTTTTTGATCATTCCAAGAACATGATTAGTCCTTTCATTTTGGCCCTCAAAGATGCCGGATTTAAGGCGCTACCTTCCATATTTAATGCCGCAATACTTATATCTATATTATCTGCCGCAAATTCCAATATATACACAGGAAGTCGAGCCATCCATTCCGCCGCTGTTAATGGATTTGCACCAAAATGGTTTGCTTATGTTGATCGCGCAGGTCGACCCTTAGTGGCACTCTCTATGTTGATATTGTTTTGCGGACTAGCATATTTATGTGAGACTGAGACAAACTATTCTATTTTTTCATGGCTAATGGCTGTGTATGGCCTCGGGACATTGTTCAGCTGGGGAACAATCAGTCTTGTGCACGTACGATTAAGACTTGCGATGAAAACTCAAAGTGTATCAATAAAACGGCTCAGCTATGCCTCCCCATTCGGTATATACGGTTCTTACTACAGTTTACTTTGGACCCTTTTAATGGTAACTGCTCAACTATACGTTGCTATCGTTCCGACTTTTGATAAACCAAACATTACACATTTTTTCAGGCATTATTTGTCTATGCCTGTTATAATTCTTTTAATCTTGATACACAAACTATGCACAAGGTCTCCATGGCTAAAACTTAAAGACATTGATTTGTTATTAGGTTTTAATGATACTTTCAAACCTAATATTTACGATGAGTTTGAAAAAAACAGTCCAGGAACAAAGGAATACCAAAAAAGTGGCTAAATCTCAAAACTACCTATGCTCAGCCAATAACACATGTGGCTCTTAGAAAATGTATTAGTAATCACCGTTTGCATTGAAGCTTTTGAGTGACGCGATCTTTCATTAAAAAACATTGTTTCTGGGTTAATTTAAAAAGCTTGTTATACAGTTATACTTTAATATAATAGTATTAATAATAAATTACTTCAAATAAAGAGTTTGTTTCACTGCAACATTGTTAATCACTTGGTGACTTATCCCGAATTTTGCATTTTATAACGAATTTATGTCTTACGGGGTACTGGATAAGAGATTGGTGTGCTTTCATGTGATGCATTAAACTCCCGTACATTGGATTTCACCAGCTTAACAGAACTTGGAAGGCCAGCTAACTCACTACCTTGCCAACTAATTAATGTGTCCCGTTATTTTGCGAATAACTACTAATCAAACGTAAGTCAAGGTTCCTTTTGTGTTAGTATGCCTAAAATTCGCACAGACTATGCCATTTAAGAATCGTGTAATAAAATAACAATACAGTAACAAATAAGTATATAAGATTGTAAAAATATTTATCACTAAAAACGATTGAACAAATGATCGCCTTCCATTGCAGAAAAACTAGGGATTATGTGCCATATGCACTATATCTGCTAGATTAAGTGCTTTATCTTGTAGACTTAACACATTTAACACATGCATGAATAATAATTAACGTACCTAAGCTCAGTAATGGTGGTTGATCGACGTAACCAACTTAATAAAGAAAAGTGTTGATAAATGGAAAGTGTTTCAAGTTTCTCGCATTTGAGAGATGCATTGATCAGGTTCTGCTGGACTATTATTCAAGTAAAATAAGAAAGTTCAATGGGATGACTATTCCCCATCAAATCAATCACAAGGCCATTCTGGATTTATAATATATTAGCGCTTCATAGAATATTTTCATTTCGCACAATAACACACTCCCTGTGATCTTAACTTAGACCTATACCGGCCGATCTATTGAAAGCAAACAATAGAATAGCTAATTCCCTTCGACAATACTAATCGCACCAATCACTTTAGGCCAATGAGATCGAACAGCACACTAAATCATAAAAATCAGGGAAAAGGCACAACGATCGATCCTAAGAAATTTATTCACTTTCATATCAGTCAGACGACACCAGCAAAACTGGTACCTTAAACATCTCTAATAACAATACGTCAACATCATCTCCACTCAGTTTAGCAAAAGAAAACGACACCGATTATACTCCGCACCCCCAACTCACCTATTTCCCCGAGAAGCCACACACCTGTCGCACCTAATTTCTCCGAACGGATAAATTAAATATTCCGAACAGTCGCACTGCACTGCGTTGCACCTCAATAACATTTAACGAGCAAGTTGTTTAAACAATATACGACTAAAGTACATTTGAAAAATATCGCTTGTAACTTTTGCGTTAATGATAGACTCTTTGCGAAATTATTGCGCAGTTTTTGGCTGTTCCCCGCGACATTTTCTTCCATTCTGTTCCGTTCCGTTCTGCCATGTGTGCAAGCCATTCTGCTCACACCACGGATCGCGATCGCAACCGCGACAGGAGCAGGTATAAATAGGCTGGGACGAGCACCCAGTTTCACCACACTGATTTGAATACATTTCATCTCAACACAACAACTTCACTCAATTTCTTTAACAATGGCTGCTCCTAAGGTTGGTATTAACGGTTTCGGTCGTATTGGCCGTATCGTCCTCCGTAACGCCCTCGAGGCCAAGACCATCGAGATCGTTGCTGTCAACGACCCCTTCATCAGCTTGGAGTACATGGCCTACATGTTCAAGTACGACTCCACCCACGGTCGCTACAAGGGTGATGTTGAGATCAAGGACGGCAAGCTCGTCGTCGATGGCCATGCCATCACTGTCTTCAACGAGCGTGACCCCGCCAACATCAAGTGGTCCACTGCTGGTGCCGACTACGTTATTGAGTCCACTGGTGTCTTCACCACCAAGGAGACTGCCTCTGCTCACTTGAAGGGTGGTGCCAAGCGTGTCATCATCTCTGCTCCTTCCAAGGATGCTCCCATGTACGTTATGGGTGTCAACCACACCGAGTTCAACCCTGCTGAGACTGTTATCTCCAACGCCTCTTGCACCACCAACTGCTTGGCTCCCCTTGCCAAGGTCATCAACGACACCTTCGGTATCGAGGAGGGTCTTATGACTACTGTCCACGCTACCACTGCTACCCAAAAGACCGTCGATGGTCCCTCCAAGAAGGACTGGCGTGGTGGCCGTACTGCCGGCGACAACATCATTCCCTCTTCCACTGGTGCCGCCAAGGCCGTCGGTAAGGTTATCCCTGCCTTGAACGGCAAGCTCACTGGTATGGCTTTCCGTGTCCCTACCTCTGATGTCTCCGTCGTCGACTTGACCGTCAAGCTCGAGAAGGCCACCACCTACGAGGAAATCAAGGCTGCCGTCAAGGCCGCTTCTGAGGGCCCCATGAAGGGTGTGTTGGGTTACACCGAGGACGCTGTTGTCTCCACTGACTTCACTGGTGACCACCACTCTTCCATCTTCGATGCCTCTGCCGGTATCCAACTCTCCCCCAAGTTCGTCAAGCTTGTCTCCTGGTACGACAACGAATACGGTTACTCCCGCCGTGTTGTTGACCTTGTTGCCTACTCTGCTGCTAAGGACAACTGAACAGCTGGTCAACCCGATATCAAGAAACGTCGGGTGGATTAGGTGAACTGCATTGGCTCCATCTGAGTTAATTAGACGATATTTTTAGAAAACTTTAATGAATAGAGTGCTTATGAAAAGTGTGGGTTTGCCGGGGTTCTTTGTGTGATTGGGTGTCCTGTTATGTGAAGCTACTTTTGTTTTTTCTGATAGCGGCCTCTGGGTTTTGCCTCTGGCGTTCCATTTTGATCATGAGTGCGGAGTTTCTGCTTTTTTTTTGAAAAGATTGTCAGAATTCTGTAGGGTAGATAATAATCAAAAGATGTGGTTGTAAAAATAGATAAGATTTGCTATTCCGGAATCAACCGATAAATACAAAATTTTTAAAATTTTGGGATTTTAAATGTCAGTAATTAAAGTCAGTAATTGCGGTATTAAATACCTCTGAGTTAAGCAAAACCTACGGGACTAAGCAGTTTGACTGTTATACATTAAGCATGCAGTGAGGAAATTGAATTATCCCAGCAATGTTTCGTAATGTCACCGAATGATGGTCGATAGTCAGCTGAGATTACTGAAACTCACTTAATCACATAGCTTATTTAATACTGCACTTGCTAATTTGATTGGAGTAGTGCAAAGAGGAACATTTGTGGAACAACACATTAAAGTATAACATATCGACACCTAATTCCTGTGTAATGCACAGTTTAATTGCGTCTTAATTAGAATGCTTGCCCACTATTAAATTAAATTGATGTGCTTTGAAACGCCTATACGAAGGTTTTAATTTATTTCTACGCCAGCAATTAACTCTCCTAGAATTCGTTGCAGAGCACGCTTTTAGCTAACCAAAATGGCGATAGCGCATCACGAAACAAACTACTAGTTTGAGACGTCTAGGGTTTAGTCTTAGGGTTTTAGTCATAATAGTTCATAAATATCTACAGATTCTTACACAGTACGGTTGTGGATAATCTAAATTTTGTGCTCACTTGTATTTAAAGATCAATTACAAACAGGTGCGGTTCTCCTATTATGCTTCAATTCCAAATTCTTTACACTTTATGCAAGTATTATATTCTAAATGCATTGCTTAAATTAGAAAGCTCTAAACACTTTTTTTCCTCTTAAACACTGATTTTAAAAATATGATCCTTTCTATCGATGAATAAACGAAACACATGCATTTTCCTGCCACGCTAGGCAACCTAGCTTAAATAAAGTATCGGGGCAATAAATGTTACAAAAGCTTACAATAATAAAGGTCCTTATTAGAACTGCGATATCAGCATTATGATTTCCTCTTTATTTTTAACAAAAGTGTGGGAATAATGATTAGGATTACACACTTTGTAAGATTCAGTCCGTAGGTCAGAATAAGATTAGTTTATTCACTATAAAATTTGGCTATTTAAGACAACTGGACGCGACGCGCGTTAATGAAGTGACGTGCGCGTGTCCTGGGAGGTTTGAAGGCCTTACTTCAGTACGTTGCAGTTCGTTTGGCGGCCTTGGGCTTGGTGGTGATCGCCCAGATTTAGGCTTTCGCCGAAGTGAACCTTTATGCTTACACACTAATAATTGAATACTTAGGACATCTTGTAATTTTCTTTTTTTTTCGCAACGCTAAGCCATGATGCTTTTTGACAACCTACAGATAAATAAATAAAAAATAAGCAAGTGAACAAGCGCCTTACGAAACATAGTAAATACATTAGCAAATCAATTGAAGAAAATATTGCTCAGTCTAAACTTATTGAATACCACATGCACCAATTGAAGAAGACAGAGCTGCAGAAAGACTGATACGAGCATTCGCTTAAGTGCAACCATTTGCTCGGTTACTAACACAAAAGCTAAAACGCTTATCATAATAGACTGCTTCTCTAATTTGACAGCTTCCAGAGGGCGTTATGCATTGAAAAATGCACTCACTAAGATGTATTTGTGCCCAGTGCGCATCAAAAGTAGCAGGTGCGCTCCATGACATACAGCAGACGTCGACACAATAGCTTCTGGGTGAATTAGGGAATGAGCCATGATCAGCGATGTTTGCATGCAATTTCCAGCAGGCGTCTGAGCTAGTAACATGATTGTTTGCATCGCAAGAAAAGTAATTATAGCGTTTCGTCAATTGATTAATATCACAAACAGAAACATCAAAATTCTTGTAAAAGTCGACCAAAAATGAACTTGACGCCGTAGAAGCAAGAATATCAGTGTTGTTCAAACCATAAGAGGAAAGTAATTTACACGTTTCAGTAACAAACTCGGATGAGTCATTCAGCGTGATACCTTTTGAGTGGCCGTTCCGATTCATGAAGTTATAAAGATAAAGTGCATCACCCAACATTTCATTGGATTGCGCGTGTGCAAGCATATTTTTTACCTTAGTAAGTTTCTCATAGTTGTCGAAAGAAAACATATCAAGCTCCTTGAAGTACGGTTCAGCATCGCGCTTTGCCAAGTTCGATAAAGTGGACAAGCCTGACAGGCTAGACAGCGTTACCTGTCCTTCGCCGCCAGAAGGTGAATCATAATCGCTCTTGACAATGTCATTTAGAAGAGAATCGTAATCGCTGGAGTATGCACTAACGGCTTTGCAAGCAAAAGTGGAAGCTAACAAAAGAGGAATACTTGATAACTTCATAATGCACTGAATTTCCTTTGGACTCCTACCTTTCTATACTTTTTCTTTAAAGCAATTTTGCATTGAATGACATGATTATCTAAGCCATTATAGGAGTTTTGTTGATGTGTCGTATTTGCACCGTTTCACCTAATTTTAAAGTATCATACTTGGAAACGTACTTGTGGACCTTGTAGTGTGGCATTGGCATTAGCCTACTGGTCGCTAACTTCCAGAGGCTAGTTACACATTGTGGGAATGACACGAATGCAATGATAAATGTTCCAGGAGTAAATGCAGATGAACAACCCCCATAGCATAGACATATGATCTTATTTTTTTAAGTTAAATAAACAATACACATGATATTCTCAGGGATAATGGTTGCCACAAGTTCGAGTTGTACCCCTCACATTCTGTCAGTCGAGTCAAGTTAAGTCAAGTCATGAAAACATGTTACCTTAGAGTCGGCGTTTATAATCACACATTCAATTATGGTTTCCTTAAATCGTACACGATACAAGTACTGCATGTTTTCATTGGCGGGTAATGTTCACTTAATTAATTGCGATTATGATTGTGGCTTTCCGACAAGCGAGGGAATTAACTCGCGACAAATTCGTTTATTGTGTTAAGCTATGAAAGCGAAGGATAATTGTTTTATGTATAGTAGGCATGATCACTGTTTATGTGTTAAATAAAATAAAACGGAACCTATCATGAAAGATAAAAAAGTTTAAACCCGAGTAAAAATGTAACGAATATTTACAATTTGAACAACCAGGTTACATTAAGAAAATAACTTTAGGTCAGAACCATAGTTAGTTGGAATTTCTGTATCAATACAAAGCCCTAGGGGACAAACTTCAGTATCAAATTAGACGGACCGGGAAGCTCGTATCGTAGTAAAAATTCTGTAGTTAATTTCTACTAATTGTAAGCATTATAAGCTATTGAATGAGAGTGTGCAGTGTCTTCTTAACAATGAAAAGCAGAGTAACATCATAGGGTATACAGTAACACAATTACTACCCAAGGTGCGCAACTTCCGGCACATATATTCTGGTGCCTATCCTTAGTTGCCAATATAGCGAATTTATAATTTCAACGAGCCTGTGAATACAATTGGTTGACTACGAAACACAGTTTGCAACTATGAATTCCCCGTTTACTATCAACAGTATGTTTTGCGTTTAAATGCGGAATCATATATAGCAGTTCCGTGTAACCCTTAGTAACACGGCCTTTACGTTAAAAGATGATGACCTACTTAGAAACATATTCCTTGTACTTTATCTATTTATTTAATCGCTTTCACACATCTGAATTCTTTTAACCAGTTACATCTCCGTAGAATAAAACTTTTAAAGTAAATACGGACTACAGTTCCATTTATTGGATATAAAGTATTCAGTGTATTGCAACTCAGAAACCGGTATCTACATTTATCTTCGGTTGACAGTAACTTCAACTCTGGGCGATGAACACAGTGTCTTCTTAAAAAATGAAAAGCAGAGTAACATCATAGGGTATACAGTAACACAATTACTACCCAAGGTGCGCAACTTCCGGCACATATATTCTGGTGCCTATCCTTAGTTGCCAATATAGCGAATTTATAATTTCAACGAGCCTGTGAATACAATTGGTTGACTACGAAACACAGTTTGCAACTATGAATTCCCCGTTTACTATCAACAGTATGTTTTGCGTTTAAATGCGGAATCATATATAGCAGTTCCGTGTAACCCTTAGTAACACGGCCTTTACGTTAAAAGATGATGACCTACTTAGAAACATATTCCTTGTACTTTATCTATTTATTTAATCGCTTTCACACATCTGAATTCTTTTAACCAGTTACATCTCCGTAGAATAAAACTTTTAAAGTAAATACGGACTACAGTTCCATTTATTGGATATAAAGTATTCAGTGTATTGCAACTCAAAACCGGTATCTACATTTACCTTCGGTTGACAGTAACTCTCATCCCTTGATTGATTTGGCCACATTCACTGCCACGTTGTGGCTATGGTTTGTTGAAATTAGCAAGCTCTCATCTATATAGCCGAACCAGTGATTGAGTTACAAATGGATCATAGTTTGTTTTGTCCAAGATAGAACATTGAAATACACTACACGTCAGGCACGATAAATTCTAAGTTGTTGTTCGCCAAAACGTAGTTTAACCACGGAGTCAGACAGACACTCCAAGTTATAACGAGTGAAATTGTGATTAAGTATTATATATTTTTCTTTTCTACAGATCTTTCCGTTGTACTTGTGAACAGTCAGAAAACCTCTAGATTGGTCTCAATAGGACAGATGTTCGCGACGTTTACGAGTGACCAGTCCATTTACAAAGATCCGTCTTTAACGTCGGGAATCAAAGAATGATAACAACTCTGCTCTATCATAACTATATCATTCCTTTAGGTGTGTATTAGATAGTCAATTGTTGATTGTGTTGCAAGGCGAGATTGTTGCACATGTGGCTTTTAGAGTTTGCTAAAGAGAAGGCCGAGGCGGACTTTTGCCGTGCCCTTGCAGTTGTATTCACGGGTGAGGAATACACGTAGCATACCATGACAGCGAGCCGGCATTAGTAGACTGATAACTGTGTCAACAAACATTTAATCGCGTTTATGCATAATGCATTCAGTACGAACTTTATTGCATCGTATCTAATTGAGTAACTCTCCATATTACGTCGTGTAACACTCAATATTACTACTATTTGGATGTCTAAATGTTCAGCAATAGTTGATTAATTATAGGGAAGTGCTAAAAATTGCTTGTAGTAATGCCTATTACAAATAAACTTCATATAATATTAACAATGACAGTAATTCGGGTTACCGGTGTTTGTAACATAATGGTAGATCTCAGCGGGCGAAATTTTTATTACATAAACCTAGAGCTGTAATATAAACTGTTTTTGTTTGGAATAGTCCTCAAAACACATTTGCAATGAGTGTCACAAAGACCTAGCCTTTCCATAGAATAGTGAATTTACTAACATTAATCGGCATATGACGTGTGGACGACAGGAAAGCGGGGCATAGCTTCGCAAGCCGAATTTTTGCCGCTCGCTTATAGCCAATACCTGAGTTTAATTAGTTTCCGTGGAAGTGGAATAGCTACGAAAATACGCAAGCTTTCGTACAGTAACAACTATTTTGCACAAGTCATTGAGTTACAGTGTGTGCATCACTTGTTCCTATTAAAGGTCTATCTCTTCATTAGATGCTGTACTAGCGATAATCTTTAAGGAAATGAGTGTTTCATCTTGCTATCCGTTGAAATATGGGTCATTACGGGTGCGAGACTTAATTCACTTATGCTATAATAAGCCTATTATTGCTTTCTCAGTAAACAACGTGTGGGCGAACTGTTTGAGGGACCGCTTGATCCTTGTCGCGCTCCTGGCGCATTCGCATCTATAACAAACGCTTTGTGGCTGACGGAACTTAAGCATGTCGCGTGGTACAGGTACTACGCCATGACATGACCGAGAATTTAAAGCCCAGTTATTAGCTAATCACCACTTCGACAACTAATTAGCCTTCTCACTTGACGACCAGGAAGCGAGCGCTTAACGTCAAATGACTCGAGCTCTTTATAGCTGTAGACCCGCAAATCATATTATAGAAATTGTCATAAAACTTACTCAACATTAAAACTGCCCGTTCATTCTGCGCACTGATTTGTTGTTATAATCTGGCGTGAATAAAATTCTCGGCAGCCCACAAAAAAGCCTCGCGAAAACTAATTTGCTCATGGACACGTGAATACGTTCCTTGGGGTTTAGCCGTTGATTTAGGTATCATTCGGTCTTGTCGTGTTTAAACCTAGGGTTTAGGTTTTCTCAGGATGACGGAGTTTTTGAAAACAATAAATATAGGCTTCGTGCGATATGCGGCGTTGTCTAATAAGAGCATTTAGGTCTTGGGCTGTTTATACGGCAGTGTCCTGGCTTTTGCTTCATCATTTATGTTTTGTCTCTTATCATAAATCCTAAGCAATTAAGGGAAAGCATAGTTCAATTAGCAGTACACGAACAGAACCCAACATCCTATTTCCAGGCGGTATCTCAAATTTTCGTTTTCTTTCAACTGTTTATTCCTTAAGGGCAATTGAAAGGAGAACAAAACTGCTGCACAATCTTTTACGTCCCCCGGTACTAGTACCTTGTGTCACTGGTGAAGAAGCACGCCTTTTGAACGGTTCATGTACATATAAAAAGGGGAAATAATTACCTTGTGTAATTACAATAACACTTTACGAAGTATTCTTTAATTGTATTTTTTAGCGATAACTTACAGATGGGCATATTTAAAGTTAATGGGTATGTTCCAACAAAATGGCTTGGCATTGTCGCAGTTATCTCGTTTGCCGTTAGCGGAATTATCAACATTTTGCAAATAATTAAATATCGTAACCGCGCTTCAATTATTTCATTCATCGGGACCACCGGTGAAGTCATTGCTTGGATTGCCCGACTGTATTCTTCATCTCACAGTAATGATACAAGTCTTGTATCAGCTGGTTTGCAAAGTGCTATGATCATGGATTTCCCCGTTTTTTATACAGCGCAATTGTATACAGCTATTAAGCATCTGATAACACAATATGGAGCTAATGTTGATATACTTGGCTCTACTTTCTATGGACTTGCATTTATCATCTGTGATATAATTTCATTGCTCATTCAGTTTGCTGGAGGTAATATTGCTATCGGAGCAAATGAAAATAGCAGGAAGGAGAGAATTGGTTCTACTATCATGTTACTTGGTATTTGTCTGCAGCTTGTAACGGTGTTCACTTTCGCCGGGTGCAGTCTTGATTATTGGTACAATCATCATTATAGTAAGTCATATGGAGATTTGACTTGAAGACTTTATAAAAGCCATTCTTTCTTTTTTTTTTCTGAAGAGAATTGCCTTCTTGATCATAACGCTGCTTACAACTATTTACTTTTCCTTACTGTTGAATTTTGTTTTATGTATGTCAAACTGAATGACATCGAGGCCTGCTTACCGTTCTTTATTCCTGTTACGTTTTACGGTTAAGCTATTTTGTGCCCATTCCGTTTGAGACATAACGACTGCATCTATGCCTATGTCTGCTAAATTGTTAACAACTGTGAACTCTGAAGGACATTGTCCTTCACCTTTCGACAAAAAATTCAAAAGTTATAAAGAAAGACAATTATATTCACGAAGTGATCAAAGCTATCTTACTGAATACATTCCAAGGAAATATCAACATATTTCCTGAACTTGAAGGCATTCTTATTTTTTCTCAGGAACAAGCCGTTGTTATGAATGAATTTGAACGAATAGAATTTTCAGCTGTATCATATATTAATGAATTTACAATTATTGAAAGATTTATATTAAGGTTACAAAGTGTGTGGCTACTTCAATTTAGGAATGCCAGGACCAAACTAAGCATCAATAACGACACATTAATGCAAAAGGCCAAAATACAATCAAGTCTTTTAACGCGTTAAAGGTCATTTCAATAGCATACCATTGTTTACTACAGAACGCTAAAAGCAAATTTAAAAGCTGTCGTCACGAATGAAGCTCCGTCTAGTTTTATCACAAGAGAAACCGACTCTTACCGCATTGTTTCACGGAATTTATTGTTATTTTACTAAAGTGCGTGTGCCTGCAAATGTCAGAACTCCAGAATTGCTGCGTACAAGGTTTCGGCATGTAAATGAACAAGTTTGCAACGGCCAGATAAAACATTGGATGATTATTGACGTCAATGTTGAAACAGTTGTAGAAACAATCAGTCCAATATAAGCATCATAAAAGTATGTACTAAAAAAAACGCATATTAACAGCCATCTCAGACTTATCCTATAGCACAGCTCAAAGTTTATATTTCGTTACTCTACGCTTTTCAAGCAATATCAATTTAAAGTTTACATTCTCTTTCATGCGACCTATAACGTCACCTGTTTATATGACACAAAACACTATAATTACGTATGAATATGTGTACTTCATAAACGGCACAGGGAGTATTGTAACCAGGAGGAATGCGTTATAGCGGGTAGCTTAGCAGTAGTTCAATTGCTGTCTGATGCTTAGTGAAGCATCCGTGTAATGTTTCTTCAAATATAATTATTGTTTTGTATCCATGTTCAGCAAAGCCTATACTAAAATTTGGACTAAATTAAACAATTAGTCTATAAGCGAGTCGTTTTCGCAAGGTTTGGACGGCTATACTCATGCGTGAGTCAAGGAACTTCGCTGACGCCCCTGCTAGACTTGGATAATCCGATCCCACTCGAGTTACGTGACAATAATTGTCCAAAGTTGCTTTATAAACTGAATGCACAGCCACAATTATTCCTAAAGTATATATAAGACAGAAAAGCCAACTGGGCACGCCGGAATTCAGTGCTAGGTCTTTAGGAGTCTCCTTTTGGGGTTGACGTTTTGTTCGACCGAAAAGCTTCCGCCTAAGGCGTCTTTATTCGACGAACATGGTTTGAGTGTTGGCTATGGTAGGTTTACAATCGCGCCCCTTTTTGGACTTAAATTCTGCGAAGCGGTGACATTGGTTATTAAGTTGACTGTGGGCCATATCCCCCAAGGGGGGTTGAAAAACGTGGTCATTCTTCAGTTGCCGGGGAGCAAATGGTGTATTGGTCGCCGCTCATCCGTGAACATCTGAGCGGGGAGGACCGTCCTTGTCAGCTGACCCGGTGGAGCTGTGATTGGAGGAAGTCCGGTGAGGCTAGTGAATATGGTCGGCTGATGATGTCTCGCTCATTTTACAAGCGAGGTGTTTCATGGGCCTCTCTAATGAGGCTACGTTGGTAGGATCAGTCGACAGGAAGTCGGATTTTAATAATAAAGTCTTGTTGGTAGAAGTGTTGGATGGATTCCCGTTTCTGTTTTCCTTGAAATATTCAGCGGTGGGGGGAATTGCTTTTTTTAGTGAAGCGCCTTCCCTTTCTGTAGCCGATTATCGGAAGCTATATCTTTCGCATGTGTCATAGCGAACTTTGTGCTATGAAAGCGCTAAAACGACTAAATGTAGTTTATGTATTGGTAATTTGAGAACGCAATGAGCGCTAAAGACTGATGTTCAAGTTTCAACGACACAATTTTCCCAGTAATAGGAGCTGCTTCAATGAAAGAGGTTCGTGCGTTCGATTGTAAATGTCCTGTAACTCAGAATGTTCTTGTTTTTTTGTCCTTGTAATAGACGTTAAAATGCAAGCAGAATCATACAAATGCAATATTTTTTTTTTCGTTGTTGACAAAACCCCTTGAAAATAATGTAGGTCTCTCTATTCCTGTCCCTTCGCACGAAAGCCGCTAGTTCGGTCGGCTAAATCAGAATGATATACTGCGATTTGATTCTCATACGAAATTCATGGGTATAACGGAGGTCGTAATTATTTAAGTAATAAGTATTTGCCCTTTTGCTTGTGCTCATTTATCCTCAACTCCCAACTTTTTAAGCAGTCGCAAGCTTGTGATTATTTTAAGTGACGTGTCACAAGTACAGAAAATCCTAAGACTTAACTCTTTCCGCTAAGGAGGAATTCGTGCTGCAGCGAATAATACGTCGTCGCATAATATTCAGTATTCGTCCTCTATTCTTTTCTCAAACCTCTGTGATTAAGCTGTTTGCTGATCTTCTGCATTGTTGTGACAAACAATAGGTTAAATTATACTTTCGGAAGCGTTCGCTTGTTTATCATCTTTAAAAACGCGCGTCATTTAATTGAGCGAAAATCCACGGGTTTCAATAAATAAGCAGAAGACTTTAATCACAATTGAGGTCCTATTTCTTGTGTTTTATTATCTCAAACATATTATTAAAGCATCAATTTCTCTTCGATCACCGGTTGAGACTACCAATAATGAATCTGGTTGAGTTAGATGCTCTGTCAAGCACGGATTCAGTTTCGAAACCATATGCTTCATCTACAGATACTGGCGAAATAACCTATCGACCTGTGTATCGGGACCACGTTGATGATGCGGAAGATCTGGCCCGTCTAGGATACAAGCAATCATTTCACAGAGGACTTTCGCTGTACGGCGTTTTCAGTGTTTCCTTCTCCGTATTGGGTTTGCTGCCTTCAGTCGCAGCTTCACTCAATTTTACAATGCTGTCAGGTACACCGGGAATGCTATGGGGTTCGTTAATTGCTTTCGTGTTTATCTTGTGTATCGCTGCAAGCATGGCCGAATTGTGTTCTAGTATGCCAACATCCGGAGGATTGTACTACTCGGCTAAGGTGCTTGCTCCCAAAGGATGGGGTCCTTTGGCTGCTTGGATTACTGGTTGGTCCAACTACATAGCACAGCTTACCTTTTTTGCAAGTTGTGTCTACAGTTTATCTAGCACTACAATTTATGCCGCTTCTGAATACGACGGAACAGATTATCAGATTAAGCAGCACCATATCTTTTTCCTTTCCTTTTTCTTTATCATTGTGCTTGCTATTCTTGCTTCGTTACCGACTAGAATTATAGGCAGACTTCACTCAGTTTTTACATGCGTTAACGCATTATGTATCATTGCTTCTATTGTCATTGTTTTGGTCAGTGCCTCTTTACGCCATGGATTTAACAAATCAAGTACAGTCTGGAGTCATTTTGAAAACGGTACCCAATGGCCTCAGGGTTTTGCTATGCTTCTGTCGTTCTGCGGTGTTATCTGGTCAATGACAGGATTGGATACTTCTTATCATTTGGTTGAAGAATGTTACAGCGCAAGCGTGAACGCGCCTAATGGTATTATGCTTACCGCTATAATTGGTGGACTTGTTGGTTGGATTTTACGTGCGGTAATTGCATACACAGTCGTTGATTTCTTAGCCGCAGTACACGCACAAAGCATCTGGGTTGGGTATCTATCACAAGTTCTTAACCGAAAAGCAGCAATGGCTACCATTGCGCTTACCGTGCTTTCAAATTTTATCATGGCGCAAGGTGTTTTGGTTACTTCTTCACGTATCGCGTATTCTTATGCGCGTGATGGTGTTTTACCTTTCTCTAAGTGGATCGCAAGAGTAAATGGACGAACTACAACACCCGTTAACGCGACTATCGTAAACTGTTCCGCCGCGATTATTATTTTTTTGTTCTTTTTTGTAGGACATTGTGCGATTGATGCCGTTTTCGCCGTTTCTGCCATTGCAGCCTTTATCGCTTTCATCATCCCAATTGGCCTGCGTGCCTTTTTCGTGAAGGATAGCGAATTTTGTCGTGGAAATTGGAATCTTGGTCGATATTCTCGATACATCGGTGCTGCAGGCACTATTTTTGTTCTAATTATGACCCCTATTTTGTGTTTTCCAAATGACAGACATCCCACTTTTCTCAAGATGAATTGGGCTTCGGTTGGGTATTGTATACCAATGGGGTTGATTCTTCTGTGGTATGCCCTGTCAGCGAGACACTGGTTCAAAGGTCCGAAAGCGGATATGCCTGGCTTAGAAATTCCGCGTATGACCAGTCTAAAAAGCGCCGATTTGCAACATCAATTTTCCAGCAATTTCAATATGAAAGATTATTGAAAATTGAGGTATTAATGACAGTTTGCTCGAAAGTATATCGTGTATACTTTTCAACAGCTTGTCTCTGTATTTATTACTATTTCTTGATAATTAGTGTACATATAAAGAATTTAATTAAATCAAAGAAAAATAATCTACAAGGTGTCATTGAGTACGTAATCATAATTTAAGTGAAGATAGCACCACTTAGAGCATTATATTTTGTTGCACATTTAGTAACGTATTTCCCTTGCCATTTGTATAAAGCTTTATACGTTTGTACTTTTAATTACGTAAGCATATAATATTTTGGTTTAACACGCAAAAACACGTACTAGGAAGATTGGTTGAAACATCGTTAGTCTTACTATTTACGTGTTAAAAGCAACGCACAAAAGAGACAAGCGTATAGTGGTAAGGTTGATAGGCTTATTTGTGGATCACAGTAGTCAGCGACTTCTGGTGACATAAACTGGTATAAGTTTGGTAAATTCAAATGGTAGAACAAGTTAGCAATGATATACTTTTTAAGCAACATTTTTTTTTTTTTTTGACTTGAAAGTCAAAAGTGCTTGAGATTGTCAGAGAGTATATTAGATCACTGGAAGCACGGTGGAACTCAGAGGACCTTAAAAGATGATGGGAGCGTATTAATTATTACAATTAATTTTAAAAATTTATAGGCAGTTTAATAATGTAAAGCTATAACAGTTTCAACTAGGAAATCGGTTAGTGAGTTTTTCTTTCCTTTTTTGGCTAAATCCAACCATGACAACGCAACTTAACACATGATCCTGTAGCATAATTATCATTATTGTATCATAACATAGCAGTTAAATTGTACGCCGCATTATGAATACAATTGAGTAATATCTCGCCGCTTAAGGGTTGTTATCGTTTCATATCATATTAAAAAACCTAATATTGTATCATATTTTTTAATGATATTTTAGAATCTAATTACATATGTATTACAAAATCCAATTAAAATTAACACAAAGTACTAAGACAATATTAAGAGTTGAATAGGAACTTATGAACCACAGGCAAATACTTATGTTTATCCCAAAACTGTCTTAAATGTAAAAGGACTATAAATCTAACAATTGTTTTCAGACGGTTTACTCAACTACTAAAATCTATTTGGTTTAGATGCAACGATGACATGAGAAACGCGTGTAAGATAACTTAAACCATACTTTGCAAAATCACAGGAAAACATAGAGTTTTTATAGATGTATCACCAAAAAATGGTGCAGTTATTAAACAAAAATGAATAAAAGAAAAAGAAAGGTTTAAGTCGATGGTCATTCAACCTATTGGAAAACGTAGACATACACTAAAGGTGTAAAATGGGCTGAAGAACGAAGACTTAACATCATTTAAAGATTATCTTAAAACAATCACCCAACATAGACTGCATATCTGATAAATTCCTCGTCAGCCCTAAGTCTCTCCATATCCTCATTTCTCAAACATATAGTGGCTGGAATTTCACCATCACGATCTTGAGGCAACAGATAGACCAGTCCTTCAGTAGGCATGCATTGTGGGCGTCGTACCACTTCTGGTTTCCCTAAGCCAAGATTAAAGTCAAGGTCACAACAGTTCATCTTCGCCCATGAACTTAGCATCACAGATTCGGAAGTGTCAAGGTTTGCAAAATAAGAAAGAACACTCTTATCCCGAATACGATTTATGTAAGTCGCGAGTGCTCGTGTTTTGTACGCTAAATCCGACGGATCCAAAGCTAAACGAAGCTGAGAAGCAATATTACCATGCGATTCTCGTACAAATTTGTCAGTCACAATGTTGTGGTATGTTGAATGCAGGGCATTTCCTGGATAATTCATAGGAATGCCAAGATATCGTCGAACATTCACACAACGAGTTAGAGTTGTCCTTGTTGTGGGGCTTAAACGTGGTAAACGCGCACGAATTATAGATTTGAAAATGAAAGCAGTCAATGAGTCATCGGTTGAAACAAACTTTGCAGAGTCTGATCTGTTTCTAGAAGCCAGCATTTTCAAAGTAACAAGTGAGCTCTTTGGGAAAATAAAGCACTTCCAAGAACAGTCATGAGCAACACTCTGTTGTGTTTTTTTAACATCAACGGAATTGAGGGTCTTAGGGCTTGGTTTTATAAGTTGATGGACAAGTTCAGTTTCCGGCTCGAATAAATCATTGAGTACAGGAATAATGTTAGAGCGATCCAAGTTTCCAATCCTAATCTCTTCACTTGAAAACGGTTCGTTGCCACAAGCTTTTGAAAGTAAACGCAGAATCTCTGTTTCTCCGGTCATATCCATTGCGCTGTGATGACCTACAAAGGTAAGCAAAAGACCTCCAACTATAAAGTTTATTTGCACTAAAAAAACAGGTTCTGTTTGCGTCATTGAGCCGCTCTTAGATTCTGAGCAAGTAGTGCTTTTGCAAGGCGCAACAACATTCTCATCCAACGAATCCATTGGAAAGCGAGTTCGTCGGAGCTCATCCATTGTTGGTACAGCAGGGTCATTCCTTAAATCCTTTATGACAAGCGGGACCTTGTTCGTCAACTTAATTTTTCTGGTTCCCGAGCAGCCCTTACAAGCACCTTCAACGACAACCTCACCTGCAACCCAAGGAAAGGCTGTTGAGAGCCGTCGAAGACCGTTCTCAATTGTTTTAACAATGAGTGGATACGAAGATGGGTTTTTTACTCCATAAGGAAGACATAGCTGAACATATAGTGTTGAAGGAAACTGACCTAATGCATCTAGCGAAAAACCCATTATATCAAAACGGTGGAGTTAGCAGAAAACGGGACATCTTTTTATATGCGAATTAATAAAACTTTCAATTTAACACCCCTTGCTAAACCACAAAAAGGCATCAAAAATATCATCATTAGTGAATAAATAAAACGTATACGTGGTGTGATAACATTTTCCCATGAAGTTTAGAACAGAATGGGAGTAACCAGTTTCATGATAACACGCAAGAGGAGAATGTTAACAAAGTGAATAAAGAAGTAATTCGTCATTATATAATTTATAGCCTCATCAACTTGTTCAATAACCAACACATTCTGATTATGGGCGACTCAATCCGCGCTTACGTGCAATGGTATGTCAAGTAATCGGTACTGGACATTATGGGGGATGACACAGCCCCATGAAGACCTCAGATTAAATCGGCGATCATCGTTTATGCGAAAAAAAACTTTAACTACGGAGTTGGTACAAATTGATAGCACGTCGTATATTCAGGAGTTCAACTACCTCGACTTGATCCGTTTGTAGCGTTTTAACCCTGAACCCTAGTATATCTTTTTGAAGTGTATGACCCAAAACGACGTTTCTGTATATTATGTTGGTTTAGCGTTGTTCTTTTCATTGGAAGTTTAGTCTTAGAGTAAGTATTGCAGTCCATTAAGTAACAGAGAGAAAAAGTCTAACAATTAAACAATGGTCTAACCATTACTCGCGCTTATAATTCAGAAAGAAATGTCAATTTACGGAAATTTATACTGAGCTGAAAGCATGTTTTCGTAGATGTACCTCTGTTCAAGTCTGAAATAACCTCCATATGCATAATTAGCTACTTAAAAGCTGCAAAAATTAGGTGCCTTTCCATGCTTTCAAATAAAAATACATTCAAAGTACATGGGTACTGATAATAGAAAAGAAAACGTGTTAAGTAGTTGAAGCATGCATAAAACGACAGGTTTCATAAATAACCACAATTTAAAACAAATATGTACAAAGTTATTGCTTTAGCTACTCCGTGTATTGCAACTTATCCGTAAAATATTAGTATATGTGCTAGTGAATACTATACATCTACTACTTCATTCAAACAATAACGACCCGTACCATATCAAAGCCTTTCAACTCCATTAAATGCATGCTACAATACTCATGAAACCCACGTGCTTCCGTAACAGACTGAGCTCCGTTCTTAGTCTTTAAAAATCTATGAACATGGAAAACAATAAAAATCATTTCGGAGACCGTGGACGGATATCGTTCTCGATTCATTTCGTGCTATTGCTTTTTTTGACTACAGCCCAGCTTCAATGAACGCCTCATACGGCCACGCATGAGTGACATACTGTTTGCAGCGCTCTTTTCCATTCAGTTGTCATGCTAAGATATATCTCAAAACACTCCATCATTTTACAGTCAAAAACTTACTACTAACCCTGCCAACCCTGTGTATCAGACGAACCTACCAAATCGGCAAAATTAGTTATAAGGGAGGCGTCATAATTCAAATTTGGTGTTACAGTCTGTGATATGCCTGCTTTGAGGAAAAAAGTGCGACGTCGGCGTAAAAAAATATCATGCCTTAATTGTCGGCAAAAAAAGCTAAAGTGTGATAAATGTCTTCCGTGTTCACGATGTAAGGAAAGAAAACTTGAGGCAAGTTGTGTTTATGAGAATAATTACGAGGCACCCTACTCAAAAGATGATGCTTCATTTATATGTGATGCAAACCAGCATATTAATTATGGTTTCGAGTCAAACGATGATGAGAAATTTCACTTCTATCGTCCGCTTGTCTTGTTCAATATGATTCAGAAGTGCGCTCGTGCGAAAGGTATTCCTGTTGAGACGCTTTTTTCGTCGATTACCATTTCTGGTATAGAAGATGCAGCATCTTACCTTAAAGTTCTTCCCCCGTTACACATCGCAGACTTGATGCTGGATCTGTACATTGAGCGATTTGACTCTGTTTTCCCAATTATTGAAAGACACAGTGTTAAAGACACTGTACGTTGCCTGTATAATAGTCCCCCTATATTTCCTGTCGTAGGGCGGCTGGAGCTTTTATTCGTAGTACTATGGGCCTCACTTAAAGTTGAAGAGCTCCCGTCTTCGTTACTAGAGTACTTTGAGCAGACGGGTGATTCAGCTACAGGTTTGGCTGAACGTTCAGGCAA